AAATAAGTATTAGCTTTATAAATAAAAACTATATAATATTAAAGTATAGGATGGCAGATTAATAAAATTAATATAATAGAAATAAGTAAGATAAATAGTTTAATAAGATTAGACAGATTAGGTTTATAAGATCTTTAATTACTATTATAATTAGATTATATATAAGATAATAAATAAAATATAGCTTAAAAGGTTATAATAAGATCTTTAGTATTTAGGCTTTTAAGCAGTCAGGGGTTTAGAATTAGGAACAAATTCTTCTGGCTTGGCAGTTCCATCTTGGTTCTGGCAGGCTTGGCAGTGCCTTCAGGTCTGCACTGTGACAAGCAAGACATTCTAGACCCTTTGTATTAATCATCTAAATAAAGCTATTGATCACAGTAGTTGAAATAAAATTTTAATTTCTTAAATAAAAAACTTATTAAAGTATGTTTTCTAACTCCCATAGGATTCTAGCAACTGATGATTTCTTAAATAGGAAGGTAAGCTAGTCTAAAATAGGAAATTCCTTAAAAAATTTTTTTTTATTTTCTGCTTACTTTGAGCTTAGTTTCATCTTACTTTTCCCATATAATTTAGTAGTGGAAGTGAGAGTTTGATAAAGCGGGAGTAAAGTGATAGTGAATTTTAAATAATTTCAGTTGTAGGGCTAAATCAGGTGATTCTGGTAAATCAGGTGATTCTGGTAAATCAGGTGATGTCAGGTGACCCCATTTGACAATAACAAATTCCAAAATATTCTTAACCAGTGGATAGTTATCTTGACTGTTGGCTGTCACAGATACATGTGTTATATCAAACAGATTTTTATATAGGGAATATAATCCCTATAAAAGAGTATATAATAAACTAACAACCTTCCTTAACTATACTAATCTTAACTTATTACAGGTAATTCTAATCTATAGGAAAGTTCTGTTAGCTTTTTTTTTTTAAAAAATACAAGATACTTCTTAAGTAATAGACTAGGGATATTTATTTTGCTTTTTAAATTCCCTTATTATATTTTGAATTATAACTTTTAGATTTCTTTTAATCTTTTTATAAATCCCTAGATTCACATATTTAAAGATTAATAAAGAGCTCTTAATGTTAGGATATAGGCAACTGTGATTAAAATATATAATTTAAATTAGACTAAACTGGAATCATTTTTATAAAAAGATTAGTATATTTAGTTAGTAGTATTTTCTATAACTTGGCTTTATATTTGTCTAAAACATTAATAATATAATATATGTTAGGGCTATTAGTTAATATTCTTATTTTCATTAAAATAGACTATAGCATATTAAATAACAAAAAAAGTCTTTTTTTTTAAATATTATATTTTACTATAACCCTGTTCACGAAAGGCGGGTATTAATATATAATCTAATATATAAGATCCTTTAGTATAAATATCACCTTTTTCTAATATTCAGAGCTGGTTTTACAAAAAAAAAATAAAAAATAATTTCCTTTAATAAAATACTATTTTATAGACAATTCCTCTACAAGTATTATAACTATTATTGTCAATTGGGGTCACCTGACATCACCTGATTCATCAGAATCACCTGATTTAGCCCTACAACCGAAATTTACTGCAACTTTATTCTCATTTTATTGAACTCTCACTTCCACCACCAAATTGTATGGGAGAAGTGAGGTGAAACTAAGCTCAATATGAGCGGAAAATAAAAAAAGAAAAATTTCTGAAAAATTTCCTATTTTGGACTAGCTTACCTTCCTAATTAGGAAATTACCAATTGCTAAAATCCTATAAAAGTTAGAAAACATAATTTGATAAATTTCTTATTTAGGAAATTAAAAGTTTGTTTTAACCACTACAGTCAATGGCTTTGTTCAGATAATTAATACAAAGGGTCCAGAATGTCTCACTTATTTATTTTATAAGCTATAAAGTAAATATTGCTACCCTGGTTATTCTGATATTATTTAAATGATTTTATTATGATTTATGTATTGAATCTTAATTATTCTGATTATTTGATCATTTAAATGATTAAATATTAATCTAATAATAATCTATGAGGTTAATCTTGAAGGCCTAGATTAATAATAAGATTTACAGCTAAAGGCCTAGAAGGATCTGATAATTTTATGTTTGCAATGTTTACTTAGGGCCAGACTGAATTAGCCCTGATTTAATTGTCTATAAATATGCAGTCAATAACCTGCATTAATTCATTCTTTTTATCAAGTTAATTTACCCACTTAATTTATTCAATTGAATTTCATTCATTCATTCAATCAATTTCACCTATCTACATGCATAGCGAATGGTAGGACCTCTGGTCTATCTATTTCAGATCTAGGTGGTCCAGGTGAACTGTTTACTTCATCTGACTAATTGATTTTCCTTATTCTATCTAGCCATTTGAAATTTCTATTCAACCCACGTGACCTACCTACCCCATCTGACAATAAGGATACCCTTTGTTGGCAGGATAATTAATAAAAATATTTTTATATATATAGCTATAGTAAGAGATATAAAACCTTACTAGTTTTTCTGCTTATAAAAGTTATAATAGTTGTGGATTTTTTATATAACTAAATATAGGAGTTGATCTATAATCCATGCCGCTTTTATTTTAAAGTATAGTATAAGTAGATATTTAGTAAAAATATCTCGTATCTGAGTATCTTTTATAACTTGATTACCCGACACAACCAGGCTATAATAAATATATGGCTTATTACTCTCCTGTGGACTATATGGTATTAGTTATTTTTTATTATATCTTAAGCAGTCAGTATTATTTATTAGATAGTTATATATTAAGTAAAAGAGCTAGTCGCTATTTAGACGCGCAAAGGCTTTAATTACTTAATATTAATATATAATTTTATATATTATCCGCCCGATATTTATTCCTTTTATTATATTATTTAATTATATTTTTGATACGGTATTAAAAAGAAATAGATATAACTTATTAAGCAAACTAATAAGCTTAAAATAGCTTTCTTAAAGAATTTTCTTATAATTAGCTTAAATTATATTAAAAAATATTCCAGTAGGAATACTAATAATTATATTAATAAGGCAAATATTAATTTTATTAGTAAATAACCTTCTTCTGACTCTAACTATTAACCCAAATTTAATAATAGAAAATATTTATTTTATTTAAGTCTTTAATAAAGTGGCTGAGGTTGTTTTATAGATATTAGATAGTAAATAGGCGAGTATTATTTTGTGTTTACTTATACTACTAAGGGTGTAGATATTATTATTATTATTTAGTTAGAGTAGCTAATTATAAATATTATTAAGGAGAAGCTCTATAGCCGTTAATTTAATTAGTAATACATATATTTATGCGATAGTGTACTCGTGATATTTGTGGGCTAGTATATTACAAAAAGACATTATGTACCGTGGTGAACAAAATTATAAAGTATTATATAATAAATTTGGAGCGCAGTTCTCAGACTTTTTAGAAATAAATAACAGGATAAGTGATACTTAATCAAGACGGGGGAGGGATAGCCAGCGCTGTAAGGCTGACTATACTAATTGACTGATTATCTTAATACTAAACACCAACAGTGTTATGCAACTAGCTGCATTATATAGGACTTACTAGTTAATATTAATATATAAGGATTTGAATGATAGCTTTACTAATATTATAAAGAATAGTAGGTCAGAAATAATAGTCTGTATCCTATACTAAAGCCAGCATGCTTGCATAATCAAAGATTAAAAGATAGAGTGATACTGGTGTTATTAAGGCTTATTCTTATTTAGGACTATATCAGGTAACCCCCACTGGGTTACTCGGTAAGGCTAGAAGGGCTATAATCTGATAATATGTACCTTAGACTAAGTTATACGGAATAAATTTCTGGTATAGTAATATATGAGTAGACCACTTGTTTTGTTTCTTGTAAAGCCAGGGCAATCTAATTCCTTTTCTAGTTTCCTGTACAACAGAGCCAAAAAAAAAAAAAAAAAAAAAAAAAAAAAGAAAAACATTTTTTAGAATAATTATATACAGTAGTTTGTGCCACATCATATTAAACCATATGGAATTCTGTTCTGCCAATTAAATTATCCAGTTACTCCCGAGAAGTCTAGTGCTGGGTGTAATCTGACGAAGGCACTTATGATGGCGGATAGTTATTATCGGATGCTAGGCCGAGCCAAAAATAGGTTGTTAAAGGGCGAAAAAGGATAAAGTAACCTATAACTAAGAATACAACAGGATTTAAGAAGGGAGAATGGTAGCTTTATCAACAAGGCAGAGTTAGTAGTATATCAGCTTGCGTGAACGCAAGGCTGATTACAGAACAGGCTTTTTAATTGCACGAGCTACTTAATTTCAATGCTCCGTTTTTATTTACTTACTCCTAGAGTGGATGCCTCCACAAGGACAATATCTATTTTGCTTGATGTTTTACCTCAAACCGGACTAACCATACCTATCAGCCTTGCCTCCCCTCTTTGCAAGACATGCGGGATTTCAACGACCTGTATGGTTATCAGACCGTGAAATTCGAATGGAAATGCTGGAAGACCGTTTTATAAATCTTACAATTGCGGAAAATTCCGAAGTTAGGCTGACAGACAAGTGATATCTGATAAAACTCCTAGCTGTCACTGTAGCTAGCCGAGTAGAAAGGGGCGAGCTGGCAGGGAAAGGCAGGACTCGGAGTTCTTGAACTGCTCCACTGGGGACTGTTTTTTTCTTTTTTTTTTCTTTTTTCTTTTTAACCGCATATCGTTATTAGCATTTTTTTGCTTCCTGAGTTATAGGAATGTTTTTAGGATCTCCAGAAGTGCACAGGCCATTATCACTGACCAGGAGGGTCCTCTGCCGTGAATCATGTCTAACCTAAGGAAACCTTCCTCAATACCGCATTTAACTGCACCTTAGGTTTCATTCATTCAACATTAAACTTCACAATTTAGTCACAGTCCACTCAGTCATGCATCTTCCAAACATTTACATGCATTATCCAAGATCCTATGCTCCATTAGATCTCTATGAATTTCCAATTTGAAGGGACAGGTTCTTCAGCTTGGCTGATGCCTTCCGCCGTTCAAACGTACGTCCGATAGTAGGACTTGGTGGCTCGCTTTCCATCTCGTTTTCCGCAGCGATCCATTGGTCTTGCGAGCTCCTCAGCTGTATAAGAGCAGTATATGCTGTACTCATGCCATTTTCTATGACTGAAAGCCGAGGGAACACCGCCAAGGCAACTTCCTTTTGTTTTTTTAGTTTGGTGCTAGTCCCTGTTGCGGTATCCTTTAGACCGGGAAACACAAAGGCCTCACATTCATCATGAGCATTATGAGTGGTTGGCGGTTCAAAGTCCGGCTCATATCTGCGTTTCATACGCTGGATTGGCTTCCAGACATCTACAGCCCTCTGCGCAACCTTGCCGAGAGCTTTGTGGAATGTAAGGCGCTGATCTTCAGAGAGTAACTCGTCGAGGTATGCTGATACGGCTATTACCACATTTTGGGTACCCACGAAGCATGTTCTCATCTGGGATTCGGTGTCCATTGACAGAAGGATCGACCGACAAAATGATTCTTTCTCGCTGTTTAGGGCCGCTTGGTTGGTGAGAACCTTTCGAAATTGATCATCTGGCTGTGTGGTATACGTTGGCAGGAGGATATGCTTGTCAATCTCTCTCGCAAGAATAGCTAAAGTAAAGACAAGCCGCATCTGCTTTGCTGCCTCTGTGTTGGAACATGGTAGAGGAATTTGATGAGTCCGAGCCAATTCGCATTGTCTAAGTTTCTCCCAGGCTGAAAGATTCTGCCGTTCAAATCTATCAGTCTATGTCTGGCCCCCTTTTAAGCTCTCTGGGGTACGATGGTGTAGGATGACATTTAACGTACCCGAAGAGTATCACTGGGAAGATTCGTTTTCAACTGGGCATTTATCTCGGTTTTGGCATAGTCCCAAAGGCCAATAAAGCTCTCGATTCTTAACAATGTTAGAGTATTGCGTGAAGCTTTGATCTTTCAATCTGTAGACTCACACTGATTCTTCGTTTGCCTCATTATACCCGGCAGTGAAACCCTCTAACTTTGTAAGGCGTGCTTGGGTTGTCACTAGCGATCCCTTGAGAGAGGCAGTCTCATCTTCTAGTTCTTTGACTCTCTTTTTGGAGGCAGCTAATTTTTCTTTCAACTCTCCACCCGCTGATTTCATTTTGTTGATGGTGGATTCCTTGCCTTGAACACTTTCTTGTAAGGTATTGTTCTTTTGTTCAGCATGCGCCAGCTTTTCCTTCTCCTTGACATTGTCCAAGTGAAGATTCTTCACCTGCTTTTCAAGCTCATCTATGGCTTGATTCCGCTCTGAGATGCGCTTCTCTTTTTCACCGATGTCCATTCGAAGAGACAGCACTTGTTCTTTTGTTGCTTTATGTCTCTTCTTTTCTTTGTCGTTGGCTTCAAACATCTCATTGAGTGCTATGTCTTTCCTCTTTTCCTGTTCGCTCATCTCCTCTTTAACCTTTGCAAGCTCAAGATCCTTGGATTTAAGCTCGCTGTGTAATTTTGTGTTTTGGTCGTAAACAGCTGAAATAGCATCAAACCCGGCCGTGGAAGTCAACAACTTGAGTTGAGTGAAAAACCCCTTCACGACGTCCGCGTCAAGAGCGTCAGGCGTAGGTATAGGCGGTGGGGTTAGGCTTTTGGGAGACATATTGACAAGTTTCTCTGGTTTGCTCACACTCTAAGGTAGGTGGAGTTAAGTTAACTTATAGCACTTTGAAGTGCCCCGGGTGCTATAGTCCTTCCCCTCACATCCGCCTGGCTCGTAGTTCCTGTCAAGGATATTGACGTGGCATAACCTATTTGGCTATTGTAGAGGAGGGTTACTTTAATTTACGGTGCCAGTATTCTAGGTGCGATGCTTGCAAGGGTCCTGTTTCCATAGCCAGAAGGATCCGGCGGAATACGTATTGTGGCGCTTTTTAATGTAGGTGCGAGTCATGCTTGCTTAGAGAGACAACGTGTCGTTCCCCGCAGCAGAGACATGAGCCATTCGTCGTCTACCTTCCCAGCCTATTGGCTCTATCTCCTCAACTTTTATCAAATCACTGCCCGTCCATGACTGCGCTGAAGTGCGTATGGAAATAAGCTTATGATATATTATAGAAGGTCACCGATCATCAGCTTTTATCGTTCCAGAAGTACCCGTCTCCTAGTACCTTAAAAAGCATGCTAACCATTCAACATCTTTGCCTCTGATAAATTAGTTGCAGAACAATAGACCTCGGCACATTTTAATATCAGACGGCGGCTGGTGTAAACAGATCGGCAAGGCTATGGGGATGGAAAGAAAGGAGTTAAAAATAGTATATATATTCCTATTAGACCTCGACACGACCCGTGGGTTTTTCTTTGGGTACTGCCAAGGCGGTGGGTGCACCACCGGACCAACGACCCCACCCGCACCTACCTGGAGGTCATCCCACCGCTCACCTTGCATGTTACATTAGTTAGTCAATTAGCTTCATCAATTTCATCAGGTTTTTTTTTTTTTTTTTTCGTTCGTTTCGAAGTCGTTCAGCAGATTGCCTCCCGGAGCCTCTAAGAGCCGTATAGAGACGGCGTGTAGGTGGGCTGCCAGGGAGTGTTAGTACCCGTGGGTTCATAAACAGTGCAAACATAGCATATTAACTAGTTAACTATGCATATAAATGGATGAATTATTAGTTAATTATCGCTAAGATTTTCCTAATTAGGTGATTTATACGCTTTTATGTATTTTTGGGTTCTTGGCAGTTTACCCACGGGTAACCCAAAAAACCCGGGGTACAGCTCGCCAGGTGGCCAGGTCGGTCTGGCCAGGTCGCCAGGTGGTAATTTTCATGGTAAATTACCATTTATTACTGCTTATTACTATAATTTAATGGTAATTTAGCTCACCAGGTTGTAATCTTTTAATACCTAAAAGTTGGCCAGGTGGTATAGCTATAATTAAAAGATACTTTTATAAAAATTTAGTAAAAATTTTAAGATTTTTTTAATAATTTTTAGTAATATTAGTAATTTTCAAGTTTCTGCGACCTGGCGAGCTCATGTAAGGTATTAAAATATAAAAGGTATTTAATACCTAATATAAAATAAATTACTTAATTAAAGTTTATTAATAATTAGAATTCATTATTAATTTTTAATAGATATAAAATATTTTAATTTTAAAAAATTAAATAAATTAATAATTTTTAATACTAATTAGAATTTATTATTAATTTTTAATAGATTTAAAATTAGAATAAAAGTAAAATTTATATTATTATTATTATATATATATATATATATATATATAAATACTATCTAATTATTAAATAATAAATGTAAGATATTTAAAATTTAAAAATTTTAAAAATTAATATATAATAATAACTATTAGAAGCTAATAATATATATTAAAGTAATAAAATTAAAATAAAGCTTAAATTATGCTTTATTTTTAAAATTTAATAATTTCTAATATTTACTAGTAGAAAGTAATATATTTAACTTTAGAAATTTAAAAGAATTTTTATATAAATACTAATAATTACTAATATATTTTAATTTATTTAAATTTAAAATTTTAAATTATTTTTTAATATAAATATTAATAAATATTAGTATATACTAATTTATTTAATTTTAGAAATTTAAAATATTTTTTATAAATACTAAAAATTTTTAGTATATATTAATTAATTTAACTTTAATATTTAAATAATTTTTTATATAATAATTGTAATAATTTTAATTTATTTAGCTATAAAGTACTGTAATTTATTCATTAATAATTATTAATAAATTTTATAATTTTATTTGTATTATAATACCATATATAAGCTCACCAGGTCGTAGAAACTTGAAAATTACTAATTCTATTAGAAAATATTAAAAGAATCTTTTAAATTTTATAAAAATACTTTTTAATTATAGCCATACCACCTGGCCAATTTTTAGGTATTGAAAGATTATGACCTGGCAAGCTATATTACTATAAAATAATAGTAATAAATAATAAAAAACAGTAATTTACTAAATAAATTACGACCTGGCGACCTGGCGAGACCGACCTGGCGACCTGGGGACCTGTACACTCCAAAAAACCCACGGGTTGACGGGTAATGGGTATGGGTCCTGACCTTAGACCCGTGACAGGTTTTATCAAGATCTAATTCCTATAGCACCTACCAGGGAACTATCCGACCTAATTCTATAGACCGAGACCGCGTGACAAACCGTAGCCAAATAATAATGGTACCGACGCCTCGCTAAAAGGTTTTCTTTTCTTTCTTTTTCTTTTTCTTTCTCTTTTCGGGGTGACGGGGCTGACTAAAAAGTCATCCGTGCCACTAATTAACTACCATGTTAAAACCGGACTTAGCTGAGCAATGCCGAACTTGGCCTTCAGAATCTAACATCTCCAGCGAAAATAGCCCCACGGGCTTTTCACTATGAACATATACTACCAAACCGTATACTCAGCATCTCATTGATTGCATGTAAACAAGTGCAAAATCGATGCAAGAGACATTCTAATTCCTAAACGTAGAGACAATATAATCATAACGTGCAATTCTCGAAGTATCATGTCATGTCAGACATTAACTAAACTTTGAGTAATATCTTCATGGTGAGCTGTGAGCATACAAACATATATCAGCAAAGAAAGGTACTTGAAACTCATTACAATTCTCAACATTGGACTCAAAAGACGAGCCAAACAGTGGGTCTGTTGAAGTCAATGACAGGTTTTTTTAAACTAGTTCAGTCTTATCCAGAGCATGACATGCTCAGTTACTTTGCACATATACAGAACCAATGATCAAAATTATGTAATAACATAGCTGTGCCGCGAACAGCAACAGACACGAGTTCACTAGTGCGAGTTACCTATTTGGGAAAAAGGCCGCCCCCAGACAGATAAATTAGAATCTGAGTTGGAACAATATCTTTTCTAAAGGCGTAATTCACATGAATAAACATCTTTACAGTAGATTCCAGAGCGACCTTCAATTTTATGGTTCGCGGGATTGTATAGCCTCCGGAAAAAGACCCTGCCATGGTGATGTGGATTCAGAGCGGAATTTGAGGTCCGAGATGCGATTATAAATCCACCCCCGCGCCCCTCTCGCGGTGATATAAAATCTTGCTATTTCAATCAGCTGGACTTCTGAAGGTTCCTTTCTTTGGTCTCTCTGTTAAGCATAAATATTCAAACAAGTCTTACCATCATGTCCCGAGGTGGAAAATATGCCCTCGTATTTGGTGCCTCAGGCATCTCAGGATGGTCTCTTCTAAACCAATGTCTTCGCTATCCCACACCCTCCTCGTTTCGACGCGTTGTTGGCCTTTGCAACAGACCGTTTTCTAAGCAGGATTCCTTTCTTCCCGATGATACTCGACTTGATATTATCCCGGGAATTGATCTTACGCAATCAGTCGCAACCGTTACCGATCAGCTGAAGAGCAAAGTCAAGGATGTTGAGCAAGTTGAAGTTGTTTTCTTCTGCGGTAAGTCTCAGTCGTCGGTTTCACTGCCTTGATGACATGTAACTAACGCCCTCTCAGCCTACATAGATCATTCCGATTTCCAAGCCCAGAGAGAAATCAACTCCGCACTCCTCCGCACGGCCGTAGATGCCATTAGCAGCATTGCGTCAAACCTACAAACAGTCATCCTGCAAACCGGTGGAAAGGGATATGGACTCCAGTTTCCGAATGAGATCAACATTCAGCCACCCCTTCGTGAATCCATGCCCCGCATCCCGGAACCTTGGAGCAAGAATATCTTCTATTATGACCAGTATGACATTCTACAGGAGCGATCGAAGGGCCAAATGTGGACATTTTCAGAGATCCGCCCTGACGGAATCATTGGTTTTGTTCCCGGTACGAATGCAATGAACTTGGCATACGGTATCGCATACTACTTGACTCTGTACCGCGAAGTCCATGGAAAAGGAGCGAAGGTGCCTTTCCCCGGAAAGCTCCACGGCTACCATTCTACGCACAGTGATACCTTTCAGGATATTCTGTCCAAGATGGAGATTTACGCGGCGTTGAATCGAGACAAGTGCCCCAACGGGTCCGCATTTAATGTTGCGGACGGGGATGTTGTCAGCTGGGCACAGGTTTGGCCTGGCCTCTGCTCATATTTTGGACTTGTGGGAGTTGAGCCGCAGGGCGAGCGGAAGATAGAAGACTTTGTTCGTGAGAACCAAGGCGCTTGGAATCACTTAGCTGAGGTACATGGGCTGAAGACAGGGTCTCTTGAGACCTATAACTGGCCCTTTGTTCATTTCATGATGGCAGATTTTGATTTTAACCGGGAGTACTCACTTGATGCTGCTCGGTCGATCGGATTCACGGAGTCCATCGATACTGTCGAGGGATATCGAGTCACATTTGACAGAATGGTGGATGCAAAGCTCATTCCGTCCGTCTCTCCATTTTTTCAATAGAACAGTTCTGCTGGGTGTATGAGAAAGGCTGCAATTGAATATATTACTACTACGTCATAGTTCTCTCCCCCTAGTCCCGTTCAAATGACGTGAGGAATTTCAAAACACATAATTGCGCCAATGATTTTCCCTCGTATAAATGATCATAACAATAATTGTATTATGTAGATAGAACTGGTAAAAAACTGGATCTACGAATTTAGCGACATGAATGATCTTGTGTTGTGAGCCGCACAGGGGACTGACTACGCTCAAAGTCCATTTGCCAAGACGTCGACATTAAATTTGCGGGTTACCGAAACGGGTCATTTTCCGACATTGTTGACAAGGCGCAAAACGTTGTCCTAATGAATTTAATTCCCAGCCTGCGACCGTATTCCTTTTCGCTCCTAGCTATCTAGCATATGGGGGGTTTTTTTTTTTCTCAAGTCGAAATCACATCAACGTCTGCCATTTATCGCACCACAATCTTCGAGAAGTCATTCTCGACCCGTCTCCTCATCGCTCGTTCATCTACATCTATCTATAAAGTTGAGAATAATGCCCCGGGCATCCAGAGAGATTACTGCACTCGAGACGCCGCAGACGCAAAGCTTGACATCTGCCCCTGTTATACAATGCCATAGCTCATTGCTTCCCGAAAACGCCCCCAAAGGTGTAAATTCGACTACAGATCGATCAAAGAGCAGGTGGGAAAACAACTGGAGGACTTTGAGCGCTTGTCTCATGAGCTTTGGCAATGGAATCAATGACAGCACCCCCGGTGCCCTGATACCCTACATGGAAGACCGCTACGACATTGGGTATGCCGTTGTTTCGCTTGTTTTTGTTGGGAATGCCGTTGGATTTATTCTGGCAGCTCCGATAACCCATGCCTTGGAGACCAAGATTGGTCGTGCAAAAAGCTACGCAGTCGCTATGTCTTCTTTTACAGCCGGATTTGCAATCATTATCTCGGAACCTCCGTTTCCCGTCGTCGTCGTGACCTTCCTCTTATATGGGTTTGGCTTGGCGTTGAACTTGGCCCTCAGCAATGCTTTTTGCGCTACTTTAGCAAGACCAACTATTTCGCTGGGCTACGTGCATGGCGCCTATGGCGCCGGTGGAACCATTGCTCCAATTATCGCCACAAGTATGGCATCGAACGGGATTCGATGGTCCTTCTTCTACGCGATTCCTCTGGCTCTCGCCGTGTTCAACCTCTTCATCTCGCAGTGGGCATTCTCTCACCCCAATAAAACGGAATCACTGGAATGACAAACGATCTCATCTGAAGCAGCCCTCGCGTCCACATCTCGCATGGAAATCCTGAAACGGGCCATCCGGAACCGCGCGACGCTCCTCGGTGCTTTATTCATCTTTGTTTACCAAGGTGCCGAGGTATCCGTTTCTGGCTGGGTGGTCACATTCCTAATTAGCTACCGAGACGGCGATCCCTCTCGCGTCGGATACGTCAGTGCCGGCTTCTGGGGCGGCATTACAGTCGGTCGACTCCTACTAACCTATCCAGCATCCAAGCTCGGCGAGAAAGTGTCCGTTACGCTGATGATCGCTGGTGCTGTTGCGTTTCAGCTTATGATCTGGCTGATCCCGAACCTCATAAGCGAGGCTGTGATGGTGGCTATATTGGGTGCGCTGCTAGGTGCTGCCTATCCCTGTGCTGTGGCGGTTTTTACAAAGCTCCTACCGCAGTACTTGCATGTATCGAGTCTTAGTTTCATCACTGCTCTCGGTAGTAGCGGTGGTGCTGTGTTTCCGTTCTTCACGGGCATTCTTGCGCAGAAGTTCGGAACTTTCGTGCTACATCCCATTTGTATTGGGCTGTATGGAATGATGGCTGTTGCTTGGCTTTTCCTGCCGCGGATACCGAAAAAGTCAGAATAAACGCTGGTAGATATAAGGTTTTAATTTTCGATGGCTGTTCGAGACAACCTGGTTCCGTTTTAACATATAGCTATTTATCCCCCAACTTCTTTTTTTTTTAGGTAGAGCATTGAAGAAAACTCTAGATCTTCAGTGAAAAATAGACCAGGACCTTTTATTAACGTGAGGAGTTGATCGAGTCACATTCTGGGAAATATATATATTTTCACCATTGTTTCGCATTTTCCACATGATATAGTGTTCGATAATGTTTACCAATGAGATCACTGATGCTTAGTGTAGTTCTTAGTCAGAAGTAAAGTATGGTGATAGTCGCAAGGCCGTAATCTCTCTGATCGACTGATATTAGGCATCCACATCTTTGCGCGAAGGGTTGACACCAGGAGCCCTAATTGTTGCCCGATCGGGGCAGTGGAAGGTTACCGAAATAGGCTAAAACCCGACAACATGAGAAGATCCTTCGATGCGGGGAGGATCACCAGCTTTATAATCGGAAAACTAGATCACAGGTTATAAATCCAGTAATAATATGGTGATTGAATGTTGAGGTCAACCAGAAGAGTCACGGGGGTAGGCAATAGAAGCCGATAACGTTTATAGAGATGAGGATTGCTGGAGGGTTGAAATTCGGCATACAACTGGGGCCTTTTGAGAGCGAGAGTCGCTCGATAAAAACCATCAAAAGGTAGCAGAAGGATTGGAAATAAAGGTGGGCACAAAATGCAAGATGATTGGAAAGTGGTGTCTCGTCTAGGCGCAAGTAGGGCGGAGAATAGACTGCGAATGCCATAGCTTATGGAAAAAGGCTAAGAAAGAGATAAAAACGAAAAAAAGAAAAAGAAAAAGGCTTCCAGCGAGTTCCACGCACAGCGAACCATACCAGACTTTCCTAAACCTGGTCGATACAGTAAGTTGTTTAATGTTATATCACGAGCCGATTTTTGCGCGCGCGGCTCGTGGTGGGCAGTTGCCGAGCAGGACGCCCGGCCCGAGACAGGAACCCGGCGAAAACGTCATCCGTCCAACAACCATCGAAACATTCACCTAAAGCTTTACTGACACCACCAACGTGGGAGAAACGGACCTCTCAACCCTTTGGCTTCCGGCGCGACATGAGCGCTTCGCGTATAAAGTTCATTTCTAGCACGCCAGATGCTGGACATGCAAGAACGAAGCGCAATCGTCATGCGTGTGAGAGTTGTAGAAAACGCAAAGTAGGGAACTGTGGAAATACTCTTTCTGCTTTCGACTTAAGGTGTATGAGACGCTAACACTGGTCAACCTTAGAAACGATGCCAACATGATTATCACGCATTACCAACAACAGCTGCGCTCCACAAGCCTAGATCGGACAATGTGACTGAAAGTCCGTCCTTTTTATCATTTAATCCTGCTTCGATAAATAGAAACGGCTCCCCCAAAAGAGGTAGAAGCTCCAGAGGAATCTCAAGTTCTCCAAGTCGGTTCTATTCTCAAGGTGCCGCAAATGAAACCAGCCCCGCGGAGAAAGAGGTTGAGTCCCCTTCTAGCAAGACCAGAGGTTCTCCAGCTAGCCAGACCACCCCAATTTCCCTATCCGAAGACACGACGCCAGCTGCTAGGAGGCCCAAGGGAGGAGATGGTGAGCCGATATTCTTTGGGCACCTCAATCCAGAGGGAGCATTCCTTGCGACGGCCGGACCCGGCGCATCAGAGGCTTCTCAACATGATGACGGTCTCGGGTTTTGGGTACCACAAGAGTCGCAGAGCAACGTGAATAATGCAGTACAACCTACGGACCGAAGACTTGATCCTTCATCTGATAGCATTCCTGTTGGTAGATCACAAGTTGCCACCGAAAGCTTTTGGAGCATGGAAGTTCTTCCAACGCACCGTTGCTATAAGTCTCTGCGAGCGATTTATTTCCGAGAAATTCACCCTATATTCCCCATATTGAGTCCTGAGATTGTACCGGAGAGCACCAATAACAAGCTCTCTGTAGCGGATACCTTGTTAATTCAGGCACTTTGTATCGGAGTAGCCACAAACACCGCTGCGAGACCTTACCTCCGCCTGGAGCAAACTGAAGGAGTCCTGGCACCGAGAGAATTTGCGAGTCGTATAACTAGAGCCATATCAGCTACACTTGCTATGGCTGAGACCGCCGACCGACTTCTATTGATTCGTGTTTTTACCATTTTGTCACTGTTTTCCGCATTTTCATCAGACAGTCATACCTCTGCTGAATATGGCGCGCGAGCTGTCAGCAATGTGCACACTTTACAACTCCAGCTAGATACATCTGGTGTACGAAAGGATGATGTTGCTGTTAGTCGGATCTTCCTGTGTGTCTGGGTTCTGGATCGACTCAATGCAGCTTATCATTCAAGACCATGTCTTATGCATGGGCATGACATGAGCCGAAACATGAATGCTTTGATCGCTCAGCAGAAAGGTTGCTTTCGGGCGCTTCTAGTTCTGTCTGGCTTTCTTGACAAAGTCATTGGGCTTTACAGACCGGTGTACAACGCAAATAGTGGAACTGATGATTTCAGTATTCCCAGCTTTGAAGAGGTGGTAGTAGAAGCCGATGCAACACAATGTCCAACTCATTTGTTAGGTAAGCTTGTCTAGCGTGGACAATGTTATAGCATTGTTGTCTAACTTCTTTCAGCCACACTTGAGACTCTATACCACTGTGTATCCATGTTATCCCACCGATTTCAATCACTGGATGATCCCGACCGCTCGTCTATCTCATACCTGCGGTCTAGCCTCTCAGCCACTCGTGTGACAAGCCTCATGGGAACAACCTTTTTTCACCCACTCTCAAATTTCCCTTTTGTTCCGTACTCCTTATCGCTTGCGTTGCGGGTAGCCTACCGGGAGCTCAGACTCAGCAAAACGCCACTCTACCAATCAAAGGCACGAAGTCAGCTGTTACTCATCTGCTCGCTTCTCGATGAACTCGGCGAAAACTTCACCCTTGCAGAGCGACTAGCTCTGCTTGCGGCAAAGGTAGTTCGCGAAATGGACAAAGCAACTTCCTTGGTTCTCCAGGCCCGTCAAATAGATGCCGACCAGCCTGGAGAATCGAGATCTTTGGTGGATGAAAACGAAAACGCACCTAGGAGCAGCGCTGCCCCCGAGTCATCGGAGATATTCCCAACCATGCAACAGGATCAATCCATTACAGGTGATCCAACTCGGCAGTACATGCATTCGGAAATGCCTAACATTTTAGATTGCAATGATGGGCACTACAACAAAGAGAGCTACGAAGATGTGTATAAGCTACCGGACTTGCCTGACATTTTCGAACATTTCGACCCTGAATTTAATCTGGAGGCTGTTGATCTTGCGCTGATGCGTAATCTTGAGCTAGAGGCTTTCTGTCTGTCTGTATAAAGCTTTTATAGAGTCGCATAGTAGCTTGATAACTGATATTGCCTGAAGACATCCGAGAATGGATATAAAGACTGGCAAGGCAAAGAGATGCCCAGAATATTTACATAAATGCTTAAAGCGCTGATGAGGCTGGGGATATCACTTGAACCTGGGTTATCATGAACATCAAGGTCCTCAGAACTTGGGGCATTTGCCCGTGGTCCAACATATAACAAACCGACGAGTACTAGGCGTATTTGGCTAGTTGTCTTTCTACCGGGGTACGGTCATTTTCACACTGTTCTGTCGGCAGCCAGACTTACAAACTGCCATTCTATGGCATCCGCGGAGACCCCGTACACCGTGCGGTTGCTTCGGCCGGCTTTAATTCGAAGGTAATGAACCATGGCTACCAAAAATGTTAATATTTTAAAGGATGAGAATAAATATTAGAAATGAACTTACCCACATTGCTCAAACCCTGATAAAGGCCATTTTCTTTACTTTGCTTTGTTTCAATGATCATAATGGAAGTTGACTCGTCGGCAGGATCGTCGCCATACCAGACGGCATAATCAGCGAATCCGGTGATTGTGTGCATCTTCGTATTGATGTATCGATTTATTTGAAGTCTTCTCTCAGTTTGAAGATGCGCTCGCTTATACCCTGCTTGTCTTAGGGCACTTCGGATGAAGATGTTGACTTTCATGCGGATGATAGCCTCGTTAACCGGAGAGTTTTGCACCATTTCCCCTAGCTCCTCTAGAGATTCAACTGCTTTTGTTGGCCAGGATTCATGTTTATATGAGAGAATAGAAGATTTACCTAATGACAGAGGGACAGCAGGCAGGTCCTGAGAGGTAAAGTCCCAGAATCGAAGTCCTTCTCGCCACACAGGTCTAATGGAAACGCTATCCAGTGTCTCTTGCGGTGACAGCGATGTACTTGATAGAAATTTGGGGAGTTCCTCCTCTCGTCGCCGCTCTTGTCTAGCTTCTCGAAAAGCCTGTCTTATCTCTCGCTTCTCACGGAAGTCCTGAACGATGGCGTCTATCTTTTTCTGGAGCCGATCGGGCCAGTCGGCAGGGGCGATTTTAGCCATATCAGCGTTTAACGTATGTAATTTGTGTCCAGTAAGATCAAAAGAAGATAGAACGGATGTGTGTGAGCAATCAATTCATCCCAAGAGGCAGTAAACAGCCGAGCGGAATCATCCTATTGACAACAGAAAGTAAGATGAGTGAGGAAGCTACGATCGAGATCGGACCTGAGTAGACTTTTTCAGAGGACTGAACACTAATGAATATACTATTCATGAGCATAGTCTACTCATGAATATGCTATCCAAACATGAAGTTGCGATTCACTCATAAACATGCCATTCACTCATGAAGTAAAATGAGCGACACATTACCGGTGAAGGCGCCTGTCTCTGGCGGTTTGGGAATGGCAAAAATCATATACACATCACGGGTAACATCCACACCTTACTAAAGACCAATCTCCAACTCACGTCTCCTGGCGGCTGTAAAGACAGATTTATTGTATCCTCGAACCCCTGTACGCATGTCTGACTGAATTTACTTGAATAAACCCAACCTGTTTACTACACATTCCATGCGATGCAAAATACACTCTACTATGGTCATATCAAATTGTTATGACTGTATTAGACACATGAAAGAAACAGGCTCTTATTCCGATGAACGATTCTTTTGGATCCCCTTAACTGTACAACTCAATTATCCCTATCTTTCCCTCCCATGTAAATCCTCATGAGCAAAAGTAACATCCGTCGTCACTACAATGCCCCCCCCAAGCCCACCACCAGCTTCACTATCACCACCTTTCCCAAACTCCGGATCCACAATTCGCTCCTGACTCTCCCCTGATGAATCTCTTTTCTTTTTTCCCAGCGAACCCCCCAATTCATACGGATGGTTCTCACCACCACCCGTCCCAAACGCCCCACTCCGCCTCTTCCCACTAAACATCGTGCTCCTGGTCCTCGGCCTATCTCCATTCCCCTGACTATGTCCATATCCGTATCCATATTCGTAACTCCCCGCCGACCCATACGACCGGAACCATCCCCACTTTGTCAATAGAGGTTTTATCCCCGGCGCGCAGACGATGATCACGGAGACGAGAGCTTCGCGGGAAGCCCAGCCCAGAGCGGTGGATAGCGTTGTGATGTCTTTGACGGAGTAGTAAGCGCGTAGGAAAGCGGCGACCATGACGAAGATGCCGGAGGAGAAGAGCGCGCAGAGGAATATTTTCTGTGTCGTGGGAATGCGGGCGGCGAGGACGAGAGGGATCGGGATGCTCATGACGCCGAGGTCGGTCCTGTGGAGTCCGAGGTTAATTTGGAGGAAGGGGATCCGGGACGAAGAAGTCGTGAACGTACACGATGCTGAGGGTCTCGATAACGATGTAGTTTAAGGGGCGGATCGTGCAGTTATCTTGTTGTTTTCAAAATGTCAGCCTGTCACTTCTGTTTGGAAGAGGGTGGACACGGCGAACCTCCAGCGTAGGGCTTGATCTGCCAGGTTTTGGACACCGGATAGCAGATAAAGAGATGGAAGAATAAGGATGCCAGGAAGGTGCAAATGCAAGCAACGCCGACAACCTGCGCAAGCCGGTGTTGCCACAGACCCATTCTGCGATCGGTATGTTAGTATTTGTTGAGACTGGAGGTTTTCGTGGGATATGACGTACGTTAGTCTGGCATACAGAAACATGAGCACGCCTTTGAACGACCACACCATGAAGATATAAGAGAGCCAAGCCACGAAGGCGTAAATGGAACCCTTTCGAAGAATCGCCACTTCCTCATCTGGCACCTTCATGGCGGTTTCCTCCGTCAGGCCGATGTTAGAGCCGTAGACATCTATTCCGATGTAAGGTTAGGTCTTTTTGCACCAGTGCCTCATTGATTCGAGGATCATACCTGTGCAATAATATAGAAAGATGGTGTGGAAGGTCCAGAAAATCTGCATAAGCACTTAGAAAATAGATGAGAACAGGGGGCGCATGACGAATGGACTCACCGTTGCCAGACCAAGACAAGCATCGTCCCAATAGAAATGACTTTTCCCTACAGACCATCGTGCGTAGACGCGAACGGCCACAACCACGAGACCAATTGCCCATTCGGCGAACAGTTCTGCGGAGCCATTATAGCCCATTGTGTGTATTTGCCATGGAGAGGACAAATGGAGGATAAGCTCAGCCAGAGCGCCACGGGAGTAAAAGTATCAGATTAGTGAAAGAGGGAGGAGAATAAAAGTCAATTTCCTTAGTCATTATGAGCTAATTCCACAGTAGATCGACAGGGAAAAAAGAAGGAAGGAAACCACAAAGTGCGGTTTATCAACCCCTAACCAAGTACCATATGAAGTAGTGACTACGACGCAGGCCCTGAATGCTGGGATCGACTAAAAGGCGTCTTCGCCGATCGATTTGTGTTCTTTTTGCGGCGGATGCTCAATGCCAAGGCACTATTTATCCCAGCGTTCAGGACAAGAGGACTAGGACAATTGGATCCAAGGCCTACTCACTCATGCATGGGCAGTGGAACCTCAGCTGAAATTGTCAAAATCCGCTAATTGCTTAAATATTGTCTTATGGAACAAACTATTTAACTTGGCTGCTCCTAGAAGAATTAGGTGCTTTGGCGGAAAGGTCGAGACCGTCATAAAAAGGACACGAAAGACAAGTACACGAACTTTGGAGGGAAATCACTTTCTGATCTTGGACGCAGATAGATCTAGCATTCGATATAACGCGTGGGTGATCGATCCCTGCACACACCTAAAGAATCTCTACACAGTGATAACTTCATCGGTTACTAGTCTTGTGTTCTTTCGTAACCTGTTGAAACCGATTCAAGTATAATTGCATAAATATTAGCAGACAAATTGATTGTGCACCCTTTGTCCTGAGACTTGTTTACGCCAAAACAAAAGTCTATTCACGGTCTCATCCAGCCATCAGCCCATTAAAAATAAAACTTCTGTCTCCACGCGAGTCCTAGGCCTCATGACAATTCAATGTTGTGGGCTGCCACAGAACAACTCGACCAAGGGACAGGGGACAGTAAGCGCCCATGATGACAGCCGGGGAAACTAAAACCAAGATGTAAAACCTCGCACCGACAAAAGTACGGAGTAGACACGAGCGCTGTACCCACGAGCAAATCCCAAACTAATCGAGTCAATAGCACGATACGATCCAGTGGGCCGGGAGTCGGGATGATGGCCGTGGCGCCGTCTTGGCGACCCGTCGGCTTCCCCTAAGGAGCGCACGCCGGAGTATACGAGACCATTTGGCGGCTTGTTCCGGAGGCTAGTCTTTTTTCCAGCTCCATTCTGTTCGTGTACGAGAGTTATGAATATCCACTGCGATCGAATGATTTGATTCTCTTGATTTAAAGGCGTAGGTGGCGTCCACCGTGGGTTGCCACCCGGGCTCTCCGCAGGTATTCCCGTGCACACTGATCGACCATTTGCCCAAGAGCAACCTTTTTGAGCAGATCAAGGAACTGTAATGTGTTTTTGAACACTTTTCATCATACAATAATACAATACTCCTTGAATAACGATCAATTGGGATAGCATTCTATCCGAACTACTGTGTAGGATTCAATTCCCTCAACAGCAAGTCGAAATTTCTGTCGGACCAAAACGCAAACGACCCAGTCCCTAACCTTTCTAGTCCGCGGCGCAGGACTCTCCTGACAGGGATCATAGATGAGCGGATGCTACCATACCCCATAGTCCGTGCTACCGACTGCACGTCGTTGATAGACACCGATTCAACGGCTCCACCATATGGAGAATGTGGGCCGCTGTCCCGCTCGCCGGCCAAATGACAGAAACGCGTTATATAACAGCCTAGTTATGTAAAAGCCACGGACGATTCAAATGCCAGAGGAACACGGAGTTTTTGGAAATAAATGACGAACCCCTGATGCGGCTTGCGTTAGCCCGCCAAGCTAGCGCCTCAAATTCTTAACAGACAAAGCCGTCTAGGCCACCCTTTTTCCCTTCCTTTCACCGAGCGAATCATGTGGAAAGCTGCAAATAGCGGCCAAACCATTAAGCCTTCCCTGTGGCTTCTTGATGCGTAATTAGTGGAGCCGGATGGACCGGCCACGCCAACTGGGCTTGACAGCTATCTTGGTGTAACCTAATTGATTTTTGCTCATGGGCCGTTTCTTTGTGCTCTAACTTTCGCGCCGGGAGATGGGATTCTCCTCGTTTATCCGTGTTCACTGGTGAAAGTCTGTATTGGAGGTTCAGTGCGCCTGCTATGCAGCAATATTATGTTTTGTAATGCCGACAATAAAACCATAATATATAGTGATTATGTCCTCTCCCCTTTCAACTCCCAGGACAAAGCAAGGTCCATCGTTCTCCCCTAAAGGATCTTCCCTACGGTGGGGCATGCTACCCAACCTTAGTGAGCCGATGATGCGTTAGTTTCTCTATCGGGGCGAGGGGCATGGCCTCCATAGTCAATTGAGTGACGGTGTATCAAATGCCCCGTCGCATGTCCGGTCCCCAATAATAAATTGCGATGGTGGGATGGCTGTTATCATGTCATATAACCTGGGTACCGCGGCATATCCCCGCCGCACCCCTCTGATAAATCCAGTCCCGTGGGCGAGTGATCACCTTTTGCTCGGTCAAACACCATGGACTTCGAACTTATAAACAATCTACTCGCTGAGGCTAAGGCCTCCATTGACGAGTTCCAGACTAATGGCGTTGAAGACACCCGCATCGAGGCACATGAAAAGGTGGTACAGCTGGCGCGGGCGCTGGAGAAACCGAGAGACGCGATTTTGAAGTTATCATTTTCCGTGAGTGTCGTATGGCCTGTTTTCTAGACGAGATTCTAACTAGTAGTGGGATTAGCCTACCGTGTTCATGGCCGTGAAGGTGGCTCATGATATGAGTGTGTTCCCTATACTCAACAAGTCAGCGGTTCCAGTATCGGTGGAGGAGCTGGCGGCTGCGAAACCTGCGGATCCGTTATTAGTCGGTGAGTCGCTTATAATTGGGCTCAAAAGTCTCATGAAAGCATCAGCTCACATCGAATAGAGCGAATCATGCGCCTCCTCGTCGCGAACGGTTTCGCCGAAGAGCCCGAACCATGCAAATACCTCCCTACCCCCCTATCGGAAGAGATGACTCAACGAACCTCGATCGGAGTCGTAGAGTCGCTGTAAGTAACCCCCAACCTAGCAAAAACAGGACAGATAGTAACAGACCTATTCACTAGATTCCTCGAATTCCTCCCCTCCATCCAAAAGACCCCCGAGTACCTACAATCCACCGGATACCGCAACCCCGAAGACCCGATGTACGCACCGCTCCAATACGCAAACAACATCAAAAAAGACGGATTCGCCTGGCTGTGCAAGGACCCCGCCGCCCTGTCCCGCTTCAACAGTTTCATGGAAGGACAGCGCGCCAACCGCGCCTTCTGGGGCGATTGGTTCCCCGTCCGCGACGTGATCCTCAATGCACCCACTCTGAGTGCCGACCGCCCTCTTCTCGTTGATATCGGTGGTGGTCGCGGACATGATCTGCTGGAATTCAAGACGCGATTCCCAGACGCCCAGGGGAAGTTGGTTCTCGAGGACTTGCCATCGGTGATTGATGAAGTGCGACAAGCGAATGACCTTGAAGGGGCGGGGATTGAGACGGTGAAATATGATTTCTTTGCTGATGTTCAGCCGGTTCATGGTTCGTTCCCTTTTACCCCGTGTACTGGATGAGTAAACGTAGGCTGATGGGCGGCAGGTGCTCGCGTCTACTACTTTAAATACGTCCTTCACGACTGGTCCGACGAAAAGGCTCATATTATCTTCGACCACTTGAAGAAGGCGATGGTCCCTGGGTACTCCAAAGTTTTGATTGAAGAGTACATTCTCCCTGACCGGAACGCACGTGCGGTCAACGGGATGACGGACATGGCGGTGATGGTGTTCTGTGCTGGTCTGGAGCGCACACGGCAGCGATGGTTGAATCTGCTCGAGTCCGTCGGCCTACGAGTGAATAAATTCTGGACGCGTGGGGGAGATGCGCTGGGGATTATCGAGGCCGAGGTTCCGGAGGATCCTAACCAGAGGAAGAATATTGAGATACAACTTGCAAAACCTGCAGGGACGCAGGGGAGGGATTCGGAGGCGGTTTTAGAGTAATGGCATTCTTTCTAGCTTGTCAGTCAATATTCGTGATATAGAGTTATAGGACTTCTGAAGCTGAATATTTTGAAGGACGGTGGGATTGGAATATCGACCGCAGGGTCTTCCGTGTGACCTTGTGTTGCCAGAGTGAAAACTAATGGCATGGTTGATCGTTGATAGTCCGCATAGAGTAAGACGTTCCGTGGAATACATTTTGAGCGCTAAGACTTTCTCGACACTAGATGACTATAAACCTGACTAGTGCAAGGGTATAGACAAAGAAGAGCACAAGATAAAGCTAATAGACCTTCCTAGTGAGGGGACGAGCTTACGTTGGCGCATCGTGAGATTTGATAGGCAGGGGCAGGTGATATAGGCATGCAGAGGCTTCCAGCTGGCCTCATAACAAGGTCTACCTAGTTGATATCATAGGGAATATTTTGATAGAATATGACCTGTCCACTGAACTGACAAAGAGCAGAGGAACTCAACTTGGAAACAAAGAAAAGCCAGACTGACCAACAGCCAGAAAGGAAAGGCTTGGAGGCTTTCAGCTCCATTCCGATTGTGAAGGACTCAGCCAGCTGATATGGCTCTGGCTTGGGTTGCCTCATGCAACATCCCACATCGGGAAATGCGGCAATTGTTGTAGCTATTTGTGTTCCAATTATCTGATGTATTTTTGCGTCGTACCGAATATGACATGCTGCCATCATGCAGGCTCTTCCAGGTTGTTTGTACGCAGTAAGGTATCAGCCAAACATGACCATTGGGGGTTACACTAAGTGCCTACTCCGGCCGCATAAAAGAAACACCCACGCGGGATACCCAATCTAATCCTCCAATGCAGCCTGGGATACCACCACTAGTCTAGCACAGCTCTGCAATGTCTCATCTGACAGACGAAGCTTCATCTGAATGTAGAGTCCTTCACTGTGATAAAGGCCACGACCCCAGAGGGGAATTCTTCCGATGACGAAGCGCCCGTTTGATCGATGGTGCGGCTGATTGGCTTATAGACGGTCACTTATAAAAGAGCCTGAGGCTATTGAATTCTGGTGATAGGGCTAAGTAGGGTAGCAAAAAACAAGTTAATGAAATAGTCATGCCCGGGATCGAACCGGGAACCTTCTCGGACCTCGAAGTGTGAGCGAGACGCCATAACCATTAGGCCACACGACTGGAGATTACTAATCAACTCATCTTTGAAGGGACAGCTTAAATATCAATATCCCAGATCATAGATGCATCTTGAATACCGTCCACGAGTATATTCGCCGGTTCCCTTTGTTTTTTCAGCCTTCAGGGTGTAAATCTCCGAGTATGGATCGCTAGTATTCTGACCTAGTCACTCTTTCAACTCTCAAAGCACATTCACATAGAGACAAGCCGAGCAGTAGTCAATTGAGGATTATATGTCCATGTATAATCAGACTCCTCCCAGCGCACCGCTTGGCTCCCAACCCGGATTCGCCATCTCAAAGCCTTTGAACTCAAATCCCGGTGTCACAGAGCAGCCAACAAGAGTCCATTCACCCAACGATTGTGCGTGCTGCCATTTCCCCCGCTCGATCACGATTTGTGGTCTCTCGCCCTTCCACAGGTCCGGGCCAAGGATCAGATCGCGAGCCGGCTTGCCGTCGTCAGAGGATAGTGAGAGCTGCAGAGATGCGCCGGCGTAGTAATGCCAAACTTCAACAGCGTCAAGAACACGGTGCCAGTGCGAAAGGCCGGAACTGCCCTCGAGGAGGTAGTAGATGTAGGTGCTAAATGGGCGGCCCTCGGCTGATACGTTTGGATCGCGGAATGTCTCGATGTAGAAGCCCTTCTCTGGGTGAGGTGAGAGGCTGAGGGCGGCGATGACATCTTGGGCTGTGTGGGTAGTCTCCATACTGTTCTTATTTGCTGTGAGGGCTTGCTGGTAAGGAAGAGATGTCGTGAGTTTCAAAAGAGTCAAGCGGGTTCTTGTTTGACCTGGGCAGTCAGCATTTTTAAGACTCTTTGCAGAACTCAGGTTATCTGTGTGCTCGTGGTGGCGTTCATTAGGTTTTCATAGACGGGGAGGCCATACCTCTAACTGGATACCGACAACTACGGCGCTAAAATGCCACAAACAAAGAGATGATGATGTGGCAATGTAGGGAGGTTACACAACCAAAAAGCCACTCGTAATATTTCCAGGATGGTTGGTCTTTGACCTGCTCTTACCGCCTCGTAAGAGGCTTACCATCATCAAACAGACTGAGCGCTACGCCACAAATGCTGTGAAATTTGTTGATTGGGATTCGTGCAGTCCATTTCAGTATCTTTTCAGCTGAGCTGAATCCCGAGTTAACATAACCGGAAAGCGAGTAGTACACCCCTGTATTCAACATCAACCAAAGCCACCACAAGTCGTAGGCAAGGAATTGCAATCATTAAGCCATTGCTGTGATGATATTTCATAACCCTGATTTGAGAATCATTGTACGTGATCGAATTGAACGACCTATGCAGCTGGAATATGCTACTAGCCTACGGAATCAGGCCTTACATGATTTTTTTTGGGGCCTTGGAAAATATATCGACAAGTTCTCCATAAATACATAAGACTAACAATTTCATCTTCCATATTTCTTACCTCAACGGCGAAGACAAGTATAATACCATGCTCTTTGTTCATTGCTACGACCACAAGACTCGGTGCTGTTGATCTAGGACAATGTTCCAATCTGCTCTTGTATATGGGATACAGAGGTGCACAGCTTGGCTTCTGCTAATGTTAGATGGGCAAACAGGATGGGTAAGCAGCCACCAAATGTGACCCCCCAATCCCACTGAGCGCATACAATCTTTTGTACAGCTGAATTTGTAAAAGAACTGATGACAGGAAAAACAGCTTCTGGCAAACCTTAATACTGCAAAAATAATTAGAAATCGCTGCGCGTTGCCTGTTCTCCATTCCTTGAGATTCTCCACAGTACATTCCCTCTCTTTATTTTGATTTGAACACGAAATCAATGACATCCCATACACAACACATATACTTCCAAACATGAGTGATATCAAGCAGGACTTGCCCCTATCCATGATACTTGCCGCATTTACGGGCATCTCATGGTACATTGGGGTTGAAATCAACATATCCTTATTCCTGCTCTTCAAGCGACGCCGCGGGTTGTACTTTTGGTCATGCGCGCTGATCTCGTGGGCTGTAATCTTACAGCCTCTCTTCATTGTACTCGCAGACTTTGGTGTATGGAAAGACTTATTAGCAGCGATAATCATGATATACCTAACGTGGGTGATCATGGTAGTCCCACAAAGCTGGGTCCTCTACTCGCGACTACATCTGCTCAGGTGCAGTGCCAAAACACTCAAGAGTATCAGACGTGTTCTCATATTTAATTCCATCGCATTCACGATACCGACTATTATCATTGGTACCGTAGCTGTGAGTGTTCCCCAGTAAACTAAGATGACAGACAGCTACTTACAAGCCCACCCTGGATAGCAAGCTACGACCATAAACCCAAACCTCACTTCCATTAATCTCATCTGGGACCGTATTCAGCTTGTCGTGTTTTTCGTCCAAGAGACTATACTCAGCATTCTATACATATTCCAGACACGGAAGTACTTGGGGCAACGGTCGCCACTGATGGAGCGTACGTGGTCTACGCCATCCGGCGTTCGTGCTATCAATAAGGCGCAAATGAGCGAGCAAAATGCCGTCTTATGGCAGCTCATATATGTCAATATACTCATCATTGCGCTTGATATAACGCTTCTCGGCATCCAGTGCGCCAATCTGTTCCAACTGCAAGGCGCATTCAAACCGTGTGTGTACGGAATCAAGCTCAAGCTCGAATTTGTTATCTTGAATCGCCTAAGAGATGTCATCCAGAAGCCAGCCGGTGCAGGGTTATGCCTTGGATGTGGACCTTATAGCAGCGGTTCAGGGGCTAGCACAGGTTGGCATGGACAACGTTATTGTGAGGCCTCGGATACTATAGGCGACCACCATACTCATGGTCCTGCGCACTCGACTTTGCACCGCGCGGACCACGCCACCTAGGGGATTGGGTTAAATTTACACTGTTCACCAAAACTTTGACGTTTATCAGCTCATCAAAATTATATGGACCTTATGAAGCTTACTTATCCACTTTTTTACTGTCTATACTTAGTTTATGGACTTTGCGCATCCAGAAAAACTTTTTAACCTGGTGGCTCTGCAAGTCTGATGGAGGAGAGCAAATAAGGGGTAGAAACCGAAAGCACAAGAGGGACAACAAGATGAAAAAGGACACGAGCCTAGATACAATGTCTCATATTCTGGTTATCTTCAAGAGTTTCCAAGAGACACATTCCTTGAAGTCGTGACACCCGTCCTCGGCCCGCCTACCCGCCTCCGGCCATCGCGGCGATCACCTCCATCCGTTTTTCCGCTTCACCGTCCTGCATCTCAATCTCCCTCGCCCTCTCCTCCGATTCCAGCGTCCGCCTTTCGCGCTCCTCCTCGTACAATCGCTCACGTAGCTCTTGGAACTCTAAGTCATGGACCCTTACTTTGGCCTGCTCTAGGCTTTCTCCGTCGTGAACTAACCATTGACCATGGTCATCACTCCATGCTTTCCCCTCGTCTATCAATTTGCACGTGAGGAATTCTTTGAAGTACACCCAGAATAGACTAGTAAAGTCGGTGATGATATCCATGGGACTCCTGTCAAACCACTCTGTTTCGAAGAGTTGCGGGAACTCGATGCAGCGGGGATCATCCTTGTGTAGTCCACAGAAGGCGGCGAATTCTGGCCGTAGTCCTTGCTGGACGGCCTTCTTGATGTAGCCCTCTGAACGCCTTAGTAAACACGTGCTAGGATTCGTTTATGGCAGAGAGGTTTACCGTGGGTATACTCGTAGTCGGAAGTCCAGTGGTCCACCATGAGGTAGTACACATGGACCATTCTGTCTAGGAGTGGGAATTCGATAGAATTATTTCCTTTCGAGGCGTATCGTTCCTTGTATCCACACGGCGGGCCTTGAAAATCTGGATACAACTCATGAAACCTTTCTTCGACCTGAAGGATCTTCTCGTCGGAAAGCCCAAACCATCTCAGGCACTCATGTGTATCTACAGTATCTGGAAGAGCCGTGACTGGTTGACAGATACGGTACGGCCATTCCTTACTCGACCCTATGGGTCCAAGGTACGGATGTACTTGTAGCCTAGATCTGGAAGGTCTCATGAGCTCAGGCGTCCAGGTGAAAGAGATGACTTCGATATCTTCGGAACCTTTGTGATCTGCACGATGATCCAAATCGTCGGTCTTGAGAATGGGGCTCATAATGGGACAAGCCCCTTGGCGAAGAAAAGCTGGGTCGGGAGGCTCCGATATAAGGTGGCTTGGATAAGATGAAGCTACGTGTGATATGGGAGTTTTCTTACGGTGTGGGGTTATGATTGCGCTTTGGGCGCCCACTAATGATTCGATACCGCGTGTCGCAGCTAAACGCTGCACGGGGTCGCTATGAATAGAGATCTGAAAATTCCTCTGCCCCTGGGCTATATTCGAAATATAGAGTGAGACAGGAGATTTATTAGGCGAGTCACATTCAGCGCTTGATAAGTGAAAGCTTTATATCGATGTAAGATTGCTCAAGCTTTAACGCCCAGTGCAGTCTATTAGGGAGCCAAGCCGGTTTTGAGGAGTCCTAATTAATCCTAAAAGAGCTAGTGCGGGACTGACTCTGATAATTGCATAATGAAATCATAGAAATAGCTGATTTAATGGGGGTATGATACCAAGAGAAAGTCTGGGATGTGTTAACCAAAGTCCGAAACAACCCATCTGCAATCGTGCGATAGTCTTCAAGGTCGAGCCCTCTGATCTCGTGATATTGGAAACCTTTCCATTGTAATGGCAAACCAACAACAAGGGAAACAACAACAAGGGAAGCAACATCGCCAAAATCACGGTCTACTCCATTCTCTTCCACTCGACAAAGCGTTCCTTCCCTGTATTTCCCTGCCGCATGCACCGGTCGAATTCCTCTTGCGCACCAGCCTGATCAGGGCGAAGTTTCAACCGACAGGGCCATCTGTCGACAATGGTATGTCGTTTCTTCATCCGCGCGCCAAAGGCCTCTCCCGCTTCGCGAAAATGGAGGCCGTTCTGATACCTATATTCTCACCATCAACACAAATTCTTTTTTTCGTGCAAAGGAAGTCTGCCTTGACTATGCAGTAACGCACCGATTGAAGATATGGTCATGTCTGGCGATGACACCTCCCGCGAAGACCATTTTCACAATGCTAGGATCATAAGGGGAGCAGGGTCGAGTATTCTGGGGAAGGAATCTGGGTAAATCCTTCTTTATTCTACTATCATGTTCAATGATCTGCATTCTGTCTGCATCAGTCATGACCTGATCTATGGCGTTCATGAAGAGGGTTATGACAGTGGCGTGTGGATTTTCTGTATGCGGCTGCAGCAAGGGTATCATCAAATACAGAGTGTCGCCAGATATCCTATGTCGGAGATGTTCGACACCTAAGACCGCATAATTAGCATTCTTGTCAATGCCAAGTGTCATAGTATTTAGTTATGTTAACAAGAAGTGTTTTCCCATTTTCTCGTTGTTAGATGGGCTAGGTCCGTAGATCTTTTGTGAAGCATGGACTCAATACTTACGTCAATCCGGCTAAAAGATCCCGTTTGCAGACGATTGGGAAGGTAAGAGGCGTCAACATGATGGAATTCAAACGATACTTCGGCATCGGATATTCTATGCATGAAAGATCCAAACACTCCGCGAAGATGAAAATACAACTTGCCGTAGGTATCTGCTGTCGCGGGTCCGCTGGATGTATGCAAGACGTCTTCCAGAGACCAAGAATTCAGAGGGTCTGCGCTGTCTGGCATTGGCCAGGAGTCTGGAGTTTGATACAAGGTCCTATTTTTGTATCAGCGCCACATTCCTGTACCGGATCGATTTCGCCAACGCACGGATTTGGGTTGTTGAACTCGTGCCGCGGCATTCCAAAGGGAAGCAACAAGCCGTCTTGGCGAAACTTATGAAATGGAATCCGTTGGACTGGGGAAAGAACGGACATGTGTCGGTCGCGGTAGTCCTGTCTTGAAGGATCCAAGGTGTTGTTTGTACGGACCTTGATTGCCTGCTCAGGTGTTAACCCAGCTGGTACGCGGAAATATGATAAGAGGCGGTTCCACGACGACTGCTCGAGGACCACCCTCAACGAGCGATTCCCAAATTTCCAGGTTTTGGCAAGCAATGCTCCAGGTGGTTTGCTATTGACTTCCTCGCAGATTTCCTGGACCAAAGGCCGAACCCGATTCCAAAGGATGTCGATATCTGAGTCTCGCACAAGTGCCGAGTACCAAATATGAATAATACAGTCGATAGCCTTATCACGATCATCGACAACCAATGCAACAAGAGTCAAGATGATATTGCGGGCGACAACATCGAAGTCTCTGTCATTTATTGTGACGCTGACTGATTGGTTATAGTTGACGGGGAGATCGGTGAGCGTCTTGATCACATTTCGAAGGTCTCCTGAGGCTGTCGCACGATTTGTCAGTCGTGTCAAAAATATCGAGATTAACAGAAATCGATCATTACCTGCAAATAGGAGGCGAAGATCTTCACCATAGCTTTCTCCTTCGTTTGATGCCAGTTTCAAGACATCAAGCGCAGGGACGTTACCCCAGAGGTATTTTTCCTCCCCCATCACCACGATACCCGACCTGATAAATTCAGGGGTTCTGTTTTCGAGAACCCAGGCTGGCTGCCAGGACTCTTTTCCAAGCGCTGACTTACAGTCAATCTTGTGATCAGACCAATGAGACTTTTGGCAGTTTGGACCGCAGTACTGTCAGTCTAGATGCTAACATACTTTCAGATATAGATAAAGTTGTTACTCAAGAGCTCACTGACAAGGATCAGCCGACAGTTCTTGCATGTGTATTTCCCTTCCTTGTTGCAATCCGTCTGGTCGGGGCTCCAGTTGGCACATATGAACTTTGGAACCGCCATTTTGGTTTCCTTCCTTTGCATTCAGATTAATGTAGATAGTTTTCTTGGCTTCAAGGCGCGCCAGAGAGAGCGGATCGAATGCTGTCCGCATCACCTGCATGGTTCAGAAGGACCCGAAGAAGTAGAAGTGGCAGTGGCAAAGGTGGGACAAGTAGCATGGTGGGTAGATACAAGCCCCGTGGTGGTGAATACTAAGCAGTGAATAAAGCTAGACAGAAACAAGAGCAAGATGCCACGACGCCTGGCTAAGCTGCTCACCATGGAAAGATCCAGTATCTAGGCGAATCCTGCTTGCTCTAAGCGTTTGTGCCCTTTGTAGACAGCCTGGCCGCTATTCATTATCAAATCACCAGCTGCCAATTCTTGCAGTGCGGCGCCTTATGGCGATCAGCTGTACATATTTTGCAGTCTGATGAGTACGATTTGGGTTTAAACTTCCCAGAAGTCCAAGTATTTAAGGGATTCGCAGTGTATCCTAGACATCAATTCAGCACTTTTATGTACACAGTCTCTTTATCTAAAAACCCAAAGTCTATGTTAGAGGTCTGGAAATACATCGAGTAATTATGTGTAATGGAGTAAACCGGCATAAACCAACTCGCTTAAGGCTTAACCTCCTTCTTCAACTGACCGAATCCAATCCGGGGGTGGAAGTCATCAGCAGTCTTTCCACCAAAGTCAAAGATAGTATAGAACTGCTGCATCAGAGGAGTTCCAATAAGCGCCATGCCCTCGTTATCACTGCCCTCGAACGGAGGGTAGCAGGCATCATCTCTGTAAGCGAATCCAGGGCGCGCGAACTGATCACCGGTCATGGTCAAGTTGGGGTCGAGGTTGCCATCACCGAAGTTGAACGTGACAGACCAGGTAGAGTTGAACTCCGAGCAGAGCGGAATGTGCTTGCCGTGGAGAATGGCCTCATAGTCCCAGCCGAAGGACTCGTAGATCTCATCGACAATGCTGTTGGGCACAGAGATCGAACCAGCACCGGTATCGAAGACCGCGTTTCCAAGGAATCCCAGGCTGTTGCTGGCAGACTTCTTCTTTCCGCCATTCTCGGTCGTTCCGGTGATGGAGCTCAGCACTGTGCGCCACACCTCGTGGGTTTCGAACCGCAGAGGGACGTACGTGATCTCGCCGTCGACGTACTTGTCTTCGCGCGAGCCACCAATGGTAAGCACACCGTCGGGGTTGGAGCCGGTCTGGTTGAACTCGGTGCCGTAGTAGATACCGAAACGGGGCTCGTCCAGTTGGCCCTGCTGCATGAGGGTCTCAACGACAGTGGTGGTGTTTCCGTCGGAGATGGAGTTGAAGGCCAGGCCCATGAATCCGTCCGCGCCCAGGTTGTTCCAGGAGCTCTGATCAGCGGACAGGAAGGATTGTCTCCAGGTAAAAGCCTTGTCGCCGACAGGAACGCTGAACTTGTCCTCGAATGTTGGGCCTCCGGTCACGCCGCCAAAGTAGTCCATGCTGGCTCTTGCGCCCCGAGAGACACCGGTGGAAGAGGCAGTGACATCGTAGTATGTGCGGTCGAATCTGGACTCGTCAGTTTTGCTCAGTCACGCAAGGAAGTCATCAATCGACATACCCGGAGGTGTTGAGACAAGCATCGCCGCAGCTCTTGTCGTTCACCCATGCGGTCGACGATCCTGTATCAAAATGGAGCATGTAGGATTGGGCGGGGGTGCCGATCTCGACCTCCACATTCGCCTATGCGGCACATTAGTTGGATCGTCATACATGATACAGTGAAGTGGTCCGCTTACATAAGAGTTGAAGAAATGGACGGGCATGTCCAGAGTGGCAGCCAAAGCGGAGGGCAAGGCCGCAGCCGCAGCCGCCATAGACAGGAGATGAGGCATTCTGAGCGATTGAGTTATTTCGTGAGATAGAATGAATGAATTTGGATCTGAACAACAGGGACTCAGAGTTCTTATATAATTCTACTCCATATGAGCGCCGAGGCACCGAGCGACTCCGGAGAAGGCATGGGACTGGTGTTGCCGGTGGGATGGAAGAAATTAAGACATGGAAGTGGGGCGCCCTCATAGAGACTGAGACCCTTATATTAAACTGTGTAATTACATCGTAGAGCGTGGGGTTGAGAAGGATTTTTCCCTCGAGCGACATCATTGTCATATCCACGTAGCGTATAGAAAGTTGATGTCGAATCGGCGAGTCGATCGTCAGGCAGTTACAGTTATTTGAAATGTACTCCATAGGAAAGCGTAATTGCAGACAGTCCGGGCCCTTACAGATCAGGGCTGGAGACAGACTTTTCGGGGTATGCCGATCATGTTTCACAGCTGAGACATTGTCTCGGAACAATAACCGCGAGTTGGCACGTTATATATAGACCTTCCAGAAACCAGATTACAAATCCCGTGAACGGTTTCTGAAAGCAAAAACCGCCGGGAAAAAAAATGGCAACCAAATGGACCTCGTTGACGGAATAGAACGTCTCTAAATACTCGTTTCTTACTCTACAATACGATATAACGCCTACTGCATCAATGTTATTTTCACCCATCGCTACAAGATCGCTCATGATGGAGAAAACCTCAATGGCCATGAATGTATCATCTCCTTAGCTGTTTCACCAAAAAGAAAGTTAATGCCGACGGCCTACGGTCATGTGGTGATGGTTGTTCGTACATAATAGCATGATAGTTCCATGATACAATTGCCTTGTTTCGGTGGTATTATCCTTTAGGGAATGATAAAGTGGCCATCCACTCTCCTCGGAAGGAGTCCGTCACCAGTCAGGAACTATCTGGGGCACGATCATGATTATAATTAGTCTAACAAAATCTGTGGTTAGTTCATCGATCAAGCTTTCTAAAATCACACTAACAATTTCAACTCCTCGTGGCAGCTATAAATAGGTATTTATCGATGTAGACCGACGGCACAGAAATTTGCATAAAACAGTTACCGACCTTCCAATGATGTAATAATTCTAGGAATTTACGTAGTGCTAAAAGCTCAAGTAGCAGGTAAGTATATTTATGCCTCTACACACAAGGTGTGGTTGCATAACAGACATTACCTTTTAATTAATGGGTTAGACCTGTGTGGATTTGGAATTCTTAATTTAGAAGGAAGAAAAAGAAAAAGGTCGGAAAAGCTGAAGGCTACATGAGAGGGGCTCACCTGTGCGATGGAAACTTTTCGACATATCTGAAAAGCGTTGTAGTTGATTTTGTTTCTTTTTTTTTTCGGCCCTTCTTGGTTGCTCTGTTCAACGGCCCTCTCCCGATACCATAGAAAATCAGCTCCGTGATTTAGGATATCATGTTAACCTCAAGTTAATGGAGCTGTCCTTGGGTCTTCTAGGTGAAAAGAACGAGCATATATGTCTCTAGCTGTCTTGAGAACCATTTAATATATTGGAAGCTTGGGAGCTAGTTCGCTGATATATATTATGCGAACTGAATGAACAATTACCCGAGAAGAAATCAATGTCAACAACAATTAACATACCAGCACTAGACACTATAGTCGGAAGGTAGGAGAAAATGAGATTTTATATATTTTCTGTCCAAATAATGTACCTCATTGTTGAGATTGCCGATCGTGTCACGCCTAGCAAGTCAGGGATTCCAGTGTCGGTTCCCCGAACCACATGTGCATCTTCTCCTATATGAGCTTATTGCCACACTTTCTTCTACTACGCACAAGGTAGAAGACCTGCTCAGGCTCAGAATATTTCTCAGCATATCGGGATAGTAAATAGTGCTTTGGTTGCAAATAAGGTTAGGAGACTGAAAATGATACTTATTTCTATGACAATCAATCTTGTAAGAATTGGCATGTACGGTTATGAGAGCAAGGCTTATTCATAATTATCAACTTAGAATCAATCGACTCGAAGTGCAAGAGTTGAATGGTCCAAGACCGTCTCTAAAAAAGTCTCACGGTCGTTGTAACCGCCGCATCAATCACAACGCTCGTGCCATTGATGTAGCTCGCTGCGGGACTCAGCAGGAACGCAATTGTATCCGACACCTCGTCGCTTTCAGCAGCTCGTTTGATCGGCACGATGGCGGAGATCATGCCGGCAACTTGGGGGTTGCTCTGCAGCTCAACGTCCAACAGAGGGGTGCGCACCCAGGTTGGACAGACTGCGTTGCATCTGACCCCTTCTGCTGCATGGTCGAGGCCTGTATATAATTTTTTTTAACATCCTCTCCGCCTGAAGAAGCTCATGGGTAAATTTTAAAAAGGGGAGTTAGAACCCACCTGCCATCTTGGTTATCCCCATAACTGCGTGTTTGGATACCGTGTAAGACATCTTTCCTGGCATCCCGGCGAAGGAATTCGCGGACGCGATGTTGACAATCGCACCACGGCCGATATCTCGCATTCCGTTGCGACCTTGGACTTGTCGGTGGGTCTGCTTGCGCATAGCAGCGCACTGTGCCCGGACACACATCATCATTCCCTTGGCGTTGATGTTCATGATCCGCTCGAAGTTCTCGATGTCGGTTTCCGCGACCGGGCAATGGACGCCATTGTCAACCTACCAGACATAGGTTATTATGCCAGACCAGAATTGATACGCGAGAAGAGTCGGAATAAAGAGATGGGAGAGCAAGAGATGGGAGAACACTTACCCCGGCGCCGTTCACGCAGTAATCCAGGCGACCGAAAGTGTTGACTACGAAATCTACCATGTCCTGGACACCTTGACTGTCGGTAACATTCACTTTGAACGTAGTTGCAGTGTAGTCCTTGTTTGAAGCATATTTCTTGCTTTCTTCGGCAGACTCTTTAGCTGTCTCTTCGTTCATGTCGGCGAAAACGACCACTTTGGCGCCGGCTTCGGCGAGAGAAAAGGCGGCCTGTTGGCCAATGCCTCTCCCTGACTACGTGGGTAGCATGATATGTTAGATTGAATGAAACTGGAATGAGACTGCGCATATATGAAGACGAAGATCTTGAAACTAACCCCAACAACAAGGGCGACACCATCCAGCTGAGTGTTGGTAATCATGGCGAGACGCATGTCAGGGTCGTGACCTACGGACGAAAAGTGGAGAATGAAATTGGCAGATGAATTTCGAAAGGATGTTGCAGTGTTTGAGCGATAGATCAATCTGAGCCCGGAAGCAGACCTATTTATCTTACTGGACTCCTAGAGCTGAAGATCATCATGTCTGCTCAAAAATATGCCAACGCACCATAATGGACAGCCAACGCGTCTCTCTAATGATTGGCGAGAGGAGAAGGAAATTAAACGGAACGATCTCCAACCCGATCCTGGCCAATACTGAAATGATCCTGTGGGAGATCGCAGCAGCATCAGCCTTGCGTTGGGGTGCGTTGCCGTGGATCCATTGAAGGCTATGCACGCACCTCAACACACGATGTAACATCCCCGGAGATCAATCCGAACCGCAGCTCCCGCGTAGTCTACAAGCCATGGTCTTGGCAATTGGCGTAGTACAAAGAACTATCAAGTCGCCAAGGATCAACATGATTTGTTTCGCCAATGAAATCGATATTGACGATCAAATTGGCCAGCAAACGCTTGTTCTTGAATCCCTGCATCTTAGTTGGGTAGTCCTTGCGCTACATGACTCGCGGAGCCAAGAGCAGCGAACAAAGAAATGCTCCGTTTTACCCCGTACTTTTTAATCTGTTATCCTTTATGGTGATGTAATGGCGATGAGCGTAGATTAAAAATAGTACCTGCCTGACTGCCTTACCTTGGTATCTGCGAGGCTGAGCTGTTGGGTAATGCGGCTATCGCGATCTAGCCAAGAGACCTGAGTGTCTGGTATCACACATCTATAAGGCTCGATCGTGACGTGTGTTGGAAATGCATTAGTGCACTGGGACTTCATGCGACATATCCAGACAAAGACATCTCGACCCGCATACCACAGGGATTTTTCTGTTGGGACGAATGCCAATCGGTTCCATAGCTACCGTACGGTGTTGAGCCCCAAACATGTTAGCTTAGTTAGGGCGACCCTTTTACACTTCGAGGTTCAAATGGCAGTGGATTTCACATGATGAAACTGGTCATGGTGGTGGAAATTAGCCAGGTTGCTCCAATTGCCCACTATTCAACATTATTTGGCTTCGCAACAAACGCCCCCTCTGCTGCCTCTGGAACTTCCCCATCCGAAATATTACACAACATAGCCGTATAAACGAACCCACTAACAATATGGACCAACCCGACCATCCGATCACGACTAAGCGGGGTCTTCGCGCTGTCAAAATCAACAGCCTTCATAGGTCCCCGCAACTTGACCAACTTCAATGCAAACTGATAAACACTTGTCTCCGACTCGCTAAGACCAGTGGGTATCTGACCATTCACAGCCTGCTGCACCTGCTCTGGGGACAGCCCAGCAGCAACGGCGACTTGGGAGTGCGTGTATCGCACATACGGGGCGTCATGCTCGGACAGAACTGCCAGTATGGATAGCTCCTTCTCGCGCATCGTGAATCTCTGCTGTCCCATGACACCCAGTGCGAGTTTGAACCATGGGTCGGCTACTTCGGGCGTGTAGCTAGGCCGGTGTTAAGACGCTTGTGAGGGATAACATGATGTTGACTTACAGGAGAGGCGAGTACGGTCCTAGCAGCTCGCCTGACGAGCCTTTCCACTCAATCTGTGAGGGCGCTCGGGAGAAGACGTCCGTGAGTCCCTGTTCGATAGCATCATGAGCCTCGGTGCGTTCTTCGGGCGGAATGACTGGGAAACGCGACATTGTGAGAGTGAGTTAAGACAGAATGTTTCTTTCGTCCAGACACTGGCGTCCCTGGTACTTGAATAATAATCTAGAGCAATAAGCAACCCCTCAGTCAGCCCACCAAGAGAATAAGCCATCCATATGACTTCTGGATGATCTACGAATCAAATCCCGTCGGCTTACATGGTTGACGGGAATGTCATCAGCGTAAGCATCCCCACATCCCCCGCCCCGAAGACGGAGGACAAATTGAAATTCGGCCTGGTCGTGATCTGACTAAGACTGTGAACGAGACTCTCTGTAGAGGAATTGCTAGACCACCGCTCTTACACGCCACCCGGATCTTATCCTCGTGCTGCAATGACACGGTCAATAATCCCAACGGAGGCAGGCGCTGTCTAGCTGCTGACTCCGTGTTGATTATTATCGGACCGAACTGTATTCTTCGCGGCACTTTCATCGAAACTAATTTGGAAACACACCACCTAGTGGGATAAGCGGCCTGGGAAAGCGTGCCGCCGTAAAAAAGGTCTGTTTTGCTGGGAGCAGTGTCTAGAGAGAGCAATACGAACATGATATTACGGATTACCAACAATCTTTTGCCCCGCAGGACGAGGGTACATTCGAAATTATGTTAACTTCCTACTGCATTCTGCGGCTTACATGGGACCGTGATAATAATAGAAAGTGATTCCTTCCAAGCTTTTCCATCGAAACGCCGTTCGCGTAACTTGATGCATTAATTCAATCCCTTCTCTCTATCAGATAAATCTTTCCTCACCTCCGCCGTCGAATCCGAAACGGGACCTTTTTAGCTGGCTTCTTAACACCAAAGCCAAACCGTGGAGAGACAAATTCCAAGGCAGATTCCGGACCTAATAGCTCGATGTCAAACATCGTGGCGATCATGGCGGCAGTTAGCAGCATGATTCGCTTGGCTAATATTCTTCCAGGACAGGCATGTTGCCCACCTGGGTAAAGGCAGACTTTAGTATAAGACCCTTTAGACGCATAGGCTGGATGAGGGTAAAAGGGAGAAAATGGGTGTTACCTCCGTAGGGGATCCAGACTCCATCAAGCCCTTCGAGAGAGAACGTCTCTGGAACAGGCTTTCGGGATGCTTCGGTGTTGAGTTGGCTATCAACCCCCGGGTTATGCCTCTTGGTCGGACCACTGCCATCATCTCCAGGATTGACAAGAAATCGTCGTGGCCAGAATGTATCTAAAGGATGTAAACCATCCCGTGTGTTCCAGACGCTATCATTGATGTGAGAAAGCCAGGTATTGATAAGAATCATTTTCCTCTTGGGGACCGACTGTCCCCCAATCTGGAGGTCCTTATGCGGCGAGGATCGGGGTATGTGAATCTGCACCCCAAAGCGTAAGGACTCAGCATAAAGAGAAAGCAGAATGGGGTGCTTCTCCAAGGACTTGATGTCAATGTCTAGAGGGCTTTGCCGAGCACCGTGTCCCCCGCAAGACTGGCGCACCTCTTTGAGGACCGACAAATCTCGGTACATCTGCGTACATAGGATCATGGTGGATGGGACAATATTTGTGACGCTCCTAATTTAAGCGACGTTGAGATCCAGGTATTACAGGGCATTAACTTAGGGGGTTATAAGGAATAACTTACGCCCATATCAGCCCTAAGTCAGTCGAGGCAACGGAACGCAAGTCCTGGCCTTCTGTCTTCAGCAGCATCGCATGTCTGCGACGCATCATTGTAGATCCCCATAACGAGATTTCTTTCTCTTCGTCTGCCTCAGGCCATGAGAGAATGGTGGCAAGCTGATGCCATCTCATTATGGAGGCAATGAGCTCATTTCGTAGTTTATAAGCCCTGGGAATTAGAAAGCGAGGCAACCTTTTCGCAAGTTGCATGATCCGCTTATCATAATCCCAGAGATTACGGGTGAAGTCCGGGCTATCGGTCAATAACAGCGAGCCGAATAATCCTCTTAACATGGACGACCCGAGATGCTCTTCAAAGAATTGAGACAGATCATCCCCGTAAACCCATTCCCCCGAGTGAGGGTTAGCACCTTCCGCAAGCCCGCCCAAAGACGCGAAAAGTGCGTCTTTAATTCTCTTTGTCGTTGGCTCTAGCCCATCCCCGAGTAGACCTTCTACCAGATTCCTGTGAGTGTGGTAGCTTACTCGCGCAGTTTCGGGTACATTGCTGCCGGGTATGGGCCTTTCACGGGAGCCTGAGGTATCAGATAGGTAGACCTCGACAGCTCTATCACTCATTCCAAAGCAGTACTTCAGAGCAATCGCGTACGCCTTGGTGACGGTAAGGCCTGCAGTATTGAAAATCCGTGTGATTTCTCCGGGATGCTGTACAAGGTATATCTCGTCGGCCAGGAGATCAATTCGCAACGGCCGTCGCCCTTCACAATATTTACTATTTTGGAGCGTCAGCAATGTGTCCGTCTGATTGTTCATGTCTTCCACGGTAAGAACAAATCAGCTAGCATACACAGCTTTGTAGAAGAATGCCGACCCCCCATTTATGAAGCCAAAGGTGTTCCTGAGCAATGGGATCGTGTAAGGCAGGGAATGAGGTACATCTTGACGTCGGACTTTTGCTCTATGGCTTGGAACGAGTGGGGCTATCAGGCAAAAAGCAGTCACTACCCCAACAAGGTACAATGTCCACACTGGATAGTCCATCATTGATCAGCAGGGCCTCAGAAGCTGACTTGAATTCTTCCATCTACTCAGTATATATTTCTACACTCTTTGCTATTCTTAACCAGATGAGAGGGCCTGACAACTGTCAATGGCCCCCAAGCCTTACCCCGGCATATTGGAGCTGTTCTAGCATGAGAGATTTTATGTATGGTTGCCTCGCCAGATACATTGAAAATGCAACCACTTGCCAAGCCAGAGGGATATCCGCTCGGTAGGACCTTGAAGGGTGGAGAACGCCATCCACCGATTGAACTATCTCGGATATTGATCGTAAATGTGACCTCCTGAATAAGACAAAAGGCGTGATCAGCTTGCATGAGACAACAAAGAGAGAGAGCCAAAAAGCAAATCCAAGACACCGTGCCCCTGTACAGAAGCCAGCAAACAATCCAAACACTGTTCATTGGTCATACAGATTGACAAAGCAGCTATTGCCAAGGATTTCAGCTGCAGAGGCGGGGTTCAGTGTGTCCAATATCTGGCAAAACCTGGATATTATTTGATATCATTCTGTTGTATCTCTGGCTCGGGGTGTTGCCTTTGAGCCGATGTAACGCTGGCAATATGATGTAGGATAGTATCACATCCTAACCCCCACCTTTTCTAACAGTAGTGTTTAGAATATGACCAATCGCTTCATTGTAATCCCTCCCAGCCTTTTCATGTGAGCCAACGTCTACAGTGAAATGTGTGACCGCATACTACTTGAGAGTCTTGGGACTCCAGGGCCATGACTTTCTATCCTATCTAGCCAATAGATGCATCCAATTAAGCTCGGCTAGCGCGTCAATTACCGTCTCTTCATAAAATCTATGTTTCTAATCTATTTGTCTCTTACTCCAAAGTAGGGTTTGCTTGCCTGAGGCCTAGACAAATAGAAAAACCAGGATATGTTCAGGTAGACGTCAAATGATCAGCATACTATTAACCCTCATTATGGATTACGTGTGCCCCCGAATTCTGAAACCTGGCTCATATCAGTATTTGGAATGGAGGTTGTTTGTGTCTACCCGGAGGAATAACCGAACTCTGGAGCGATAGCGCTTATTCAAGTAGCCCTCATTAGCATATCAACCATTTTCTTTCTTCTTTAATTTTCCTTTTGCAACAATAGCCTGTACCAGAGAGAATTGCACCGTTGTATACGATCGCCACGTCTCCGCCTTGTTAACATGTCTAGCAACCCTGCCTCCGACATCCACATTGCCCGAGTGGCACAATCCGTCTTCTTGGTTTGGCATTCCGCATAATCTCATGATGACCTGAAGTGAGTTTTGACACAACTGCAGGCAGTTCAATGGACGTTCACGGGCGTCTCCTTGCTATTCATCCTTTTTCGTCTGGGTGTACGCCTAAATATACATCGACAATTTCACATCGATGACCTCCTCGTGGTGCTCGCATGGGCCATTCTCCTGACGACAACTATAATATGGCAGATCAAGTCATTTACTCTATATCAATTTTACGATATTCAAAATGGTAAAGGGCAATGGTCAGAGGCCTTTGCGCAGAAATACAGTGACTTCATGAAGTTTATTGCACCTTTGACTATCCTTTTCTACACGGGCCTGCTTTGCATTAAGTTGTCGTTCTTGGCTTTCTTCTACAAGTTGGGGTCAAAGATCAAGAGCCATCGCATCTGGTGGTGGATCGTCCTTGGTGCCACTGCTGGGGTTTGGATTGCCTCCGTGGCGGATATTGACTATCAGTGCAGTTTTGGAGGGTTGAAGTTCATCATGGGTCAGTTATTTATCCACTCGCTACCTGGATAGGACGGCAGAAATAACATTCTCAAGCCAACTGCGGCGCGCTCGACCACGTCCACTACCAGAATCGCACCTTCTATGCCAACTGTGCCGGTGACGTCATAACAGATCTAATGAGTGAGTGCCTTGTAACAGGTTGGTCGAGCTAGCTCCGCTCACATCAGCTACAATTCTATCCATCCCCGTCCTTATCCTCTGGGAAACGCGGATCTCGTTCAGAAAGAAAGTCATTCTCATCGGCGTTTTCTCAGTTACTGTGGTGGTCATGACTATTGCCGTCATCCGCGTTGCTGTCAATAACTCGCCAGACCGCAACACCGACGTCTCGTGGCTTTACTTTTGGAGCTTCATTGAAATGGGTACGGCCATTTTAGTGGCATGCGTCGCTTCATTTAGACAGCTCTTCGTGACAGCGCAGAACCAGCACCTTTACGGGAACACACCTCTGAGGGGCAACGGGAGATTCTCCTTTAAGCTGTCGAGCTGGCGCCTCTTGCGCAGTCACTCACATTCTCGACAGGTACGGAACTTTGGTCGGCGTCTGTCTACAGCTACTCGTGTTGGTAATACATTCGCGCCGAAAAAAGAGGACATCTTAATCACGCCGCTTGACTATGAAGCTGGGACTGCATATGGGTATGATGAGACGGATGTTATGAGTCTAAGGGTGAATACAAACGATCGGGAGCAACAGCGAGAGCGAGAGCAGGTTTAAACAACACGCCAGGTCGTCAAAACTGGTTGGGATTCTCCAACAAATGACATTAAACAGATCAACCCAGTACTACAGCCCAATTATATTGTAAATAATTTGACATGAACACACGTATACATGAGTACCATCAGTCTCTGCAGTTGATAGGCCAGCTTCTCTAGAAGTAAACCCACAGTTCCTACGGTAGCGAAGACCAACATACCTGGGATGTTATAGAGAAGCGGGGACTAAACCTTCCCACTCTTGTCATGGTTTTAATTCTCTTCATAATTGTCACTAAAGGGAGGTTAGTACCTCTGAGAAGACTAGGTCTGGCATGGACTCCCGATTAGCATAGTCCGCAGGTCAGGACGAGAAGAGATCCTTGCCAGGCAAGGTGGGGGTTTCAGACTCCATTTTTAGGCGTCACAAGGCTGGAAAGGCTTTGGTATCACGATTTCAATGTAGTCCATAAGGCGGTGCAGTGTGCTTCGGAATCCGCCCCCACTGCGAGTTTGCTCACGGTTGAATTTGGAACAGGGCTGCAGATCATCGGTTGCCTTCTCAGTTGAATCTCCACTTTTATCCTCGAGAGTCAATTCTCATGCTTATTACCCTCGTCCCTGCCGCTTTCTTTGACTGCTCAGTAGGTACACACACCTCAGCATGGCACACCGACTCATCAAATCTCCCCCCTTGGGCCTCTGCACCGGTCGACTGTTCCGAATTGTCGGCTCACGAGCTGCTTATTACTCGACTTCAATTCTAGAAAAACGGGGGTTGTGCAATAAAGACGTGACACGGCTCCTCGAAAAGATACACAGTTCCACTAAAGTCTATCTGGACTTCATTCAAACCCAGGGTCTTCCCGAACCGTCCTATGAACATGGCGACGGTTTGAACACAGCCATTAACATCCCTCGCAGTGTTCTTGTGGCCAAGGATGCCGCAATTGAAGCGACTGATGAGCTTCACCATCTGCTCTCAGGCCCCCTTGGTCTTATTCTCAGCTCTCCTGGTGATGTGCCGGCCCCCATTTCCTTTTCCAGACTATGTTTCGTAGAAAACAGTTAGGGCATACTGACATCCCTCTTTGATAACTCAGCAATACCTCCTCCTTGCCTTGCAATATATATATCGCTACAATGTTGCAGCCCATGTTCCGTCGAACGGCCACATTACGTTTGAGGAACTTGCCCGGGCAACGAACGTCAATGTCACGGATCTATCGCATTTCCTCCGCGTTGCGATTGGCCGACACGTCTTCCACGAACCGAAGAAGCACATAATCACACACACAGCAGCCTCTAAACTCCTGGTGAACCATCCCATGGTTAAGGACTGGCTCATGAACATTGCCGAGGAGTTCTGGCCCTCCCTAACTCGGACTGTCGACGCCACGACGAAATGGCCAGGATCAGAGGAGCCCAATCAAACTGTAAGACGGTCTTTTCTTTTCCCTTCTCACCAGTGACATGGAACTGATAAATTTGTCCTTTTTCTCTTCCAGGGATATTCCCTCGCTCACAACACAACGGAAAGCCCTTTCAGGGTCATAGAGTCAACTCCAGCCCGTCATACCCAATTCATAAACGCCATGAAGTACTCCCACATTCATTCAGCGTACAGCGTGTCCCATCTCATTGAAAATTACGATTTCGGCGCCATCGGCCCCGGCACGATCGTCGATGTGGGCGGGTCCACTGGCCAGGTCAGTATCGAAATTGCCAAGAAATACCCCCAGGTCAGGTGCATCGTGCAAGATATACCGGACACTATTGCCAGGCTTGATGGCCAAGTTCCTATCGAGATCAGGTCACGAATTCGGGGAATGGCGCACGACTTCCTGACGCCACAACCCGTCCAAGGGGCAGATATCTACCTCTTTCGATGGATTCTCCATGATTGGTCTGATAAGTACTGTGTCAAGATCCTGCGTGCTCTGGTGCCTGCGTTGAAGGAAGGTAGTAGAGTATTGGTCAATGATATTTGCATTCCCGATCCTGGGGTCTTGGGAACGGCGGCTGATAGGGCGTTGAGGTATGTACAGTGTTGTTCAGAGAAGGGCGTGGGTGAATCCAGCAGCTGACACGAAAGTGATATAGAACCATGGACATTTCTATGAAAGCGTTCAATAATGCCAGGGAGCGGGATGCGGAGGCTTGGGAGTCTTTGTTTGCTAAGGCGGATTCTCGCTTTCGGTTCCTGGGAATTACAATTCCCCCAGGCGCCCAGATGGCGATTATTGAGGCTGAATGGAGCGAATGATGAAGCTGTAGGAATGGGCTTTGTCTTTTAATCCCCTACCTGTCTATAAATATTTTACTTTCAATCCGCCAGCTATGCTGTTTTGTCATAAATGCTAGTACTTATAGACGTCCCCGGTATTTGACGTTGCACTATCAAGCTCTTCTGTGCTTCCCTAACCTTTAATAGCTATTTTTTATATGCAGCGACGAAAGTCGCTTTTGTTCATCGCATAACAATATTTGCGACATTCTGTGGTTTGGTTTGAATTCTTTTAAATCATCTCTGTTCGCAGTTTCTTTGGAGGACCTGCAAACCTTACCCCACAATCTTGCGATATATATCCGGATACTGAGCAACTGGCAGCCGTTGGCCTTGCTACATATATCTTTATCCCGAGGGCATACAGTTTCAAGCCGTGCTAATATCTCTCACACTCTAGCTTATTATATTAATATCTTATTTCAAGACCGTTATCTGGATCCCTGAAATTTTGATCACGCCCGCCTGCACACAAGCCGAACGCGATCGGCATCCTTCATCCGCAAGAGCATCTCCTGATCCACGTCGTTTACCGTGTCAAGAACCCGCCTCCTCGCATCTTCGAGAGACTCGCCTGCAGCTCCCACGATTTCAATCCGATGGTGCCGTAGCAGACTTGCCATTACCGCGACAAATTCCACCTGCGAGAACCGGGTGCCCGGGCAATTCTGGGGACCATCAGACCACGGAATATACGTGCATTTAGGAGGTGTAAGCAGGACTTCATCTCCAGGAGAAAGTGCGTCGCTTTCATCATTGTTTGTAGAGATCCACCGCCGTGGCTTCCAAGCAAGGGGGTCCTCCCAGTACGCCGGGTGAGTGTGCAGCGCCAGGACACCAGGCATAACGCCTGTATTGGGTGGAATGACAATTGTTTGCTCTCCGACCTGCAAGCTCTGGGGCTGGTCGTTTGTCCATTTGGGCAGAGCCATGATTGGGGGATAAAGACGGAGAGTTTCCAACTGGACCAACCAGCCATTAGTAAGTTGTTTTCGGTACCAGGGGGTGGAAAATGCCAATTGCCTCACCATAATGGCCTTGCTCCGTTTGAGCTTTGAGAAGAGTGCGTCGTACCCCCCTTCTGTGTCGGCACCAGCCATAACTTCCGCCAGCTCCTCGGCCACCCACTCCTGCACGTCGGGGTGAGCAGCTAGGAGCAGCGTCGCAAATGCCAGGGTATTTGCCGTCGTGTCGTGGCCAGCAAAGTTAATGACGAAGATGTTTCCGAAAATCTCATCGAGACTTAGTCCCTTGACACTACCGCCTTTCGCGTCCTCGTGTTGTTTCAGGTCCATGGCCCGAACGAATGATGTCATGATGCCCCCAGAGCCCGACTTTCCAGCTTTCAAAGCATCGATCTCCTCGTCGAGCATGCGGGCCATGTGTACTTTAAAAGAGGAGGCAGCCTTTGCCACACGGCGCCATGATGCCGGTGCAAATGGTAGCGAGAGGACGCGTTGTGGCATGATCATGAGCATGATGCAGTTGTCGAGGACGGTTTGAAGAGCATCTCGATAACTTGATGGGGTTTTTGTCGCCATTTCCGCTTGTCTAGTTGTCGTCGTGGAGCTGACGGGGTTTTTATTCGCGCCCATAAACTCGTATGATCGTCTGAAGCCAGTCGCCGCCAGTACGTTGAGCGAGAGTGTCCGCGTATCCCTGGCGACACTCTCAATGGCCGGACTCGACGCATCGGTCCAAGTGCTCAGCATCTGGCGCGTCTGCTTCACGCTCTCGTCCCACACAAAGGTCATGATACTTTCGTTAAATGGCGTTGCGAGGACCTTCCGGTGGCGTGGCCAGTCTTTCCAGCTGGCTGTTGAGATGCACGGGCCGTACACTTCCAGGAGCTCTAGGGGTATTGGAATCAGCCTCGCCAACGGGATGAAGCGGCTCGTCAATCGTACTGTACATCTTGGACGGACGTAGGAAGTCGGATCGTCGATCAAAGATATCGTGAACCGTGTTTGCATCCGCAACGTGCACGTAAATGTCCACGGGGGTTACAAGCGCCCAGATGGAGCCATATTGGAGATGTGAGTTTGCCTTATCAGCGAAGTGCCACCCTCTGCGTCCGTAGCGGCTAAGAGATCCCAAATCTATCGGAAGGCGATCAAGGATGGGCCACAGCTGGGACTCCAAAACCATCCAGACCAGGTTATTGGGGTCAATGGGGAGCCGGACTAGCGGGATACCCATCGAGGATGCCCTGCGGTAATTGATCTCCATGCTCACCATGCTCCAGCCCAAGTAGGCCAGAGATAAAGCTGCGAGAACTTCTAAGATCATGGTGCTGAGCGTTTTAGGTACACTTGGGGATTTGAAATGTGCGAGGGAGAAGGACAGTAAGTAGACCACAATCAAGACGAAGAATGGCAAAAGGAGCAAGAGTAAAATAAGAATTGGAGAAATCTAAATAGGTCAAGAAGGTCGGAAAGGGGTTCAGGGACGGAGACAGACAAAGAGGGAAAAATGGAACGGAAGACTAAGTGAACTGCCCGGGGTTACATGGCGTTCGGATGTGGCGATGAACAAAGAAAACCAGTTCAAAAATAAAAAGGCTCACAGGCATCAGCCTTGATAACACAGGGAGTATAATTGGTTATGTTTCCTGTTACTTTGGCGCTAGTCAGGTATACTACTGCATGTTTGCCTTCCAATCACACAGGGCCAGGGTGTGCTCAGCGTTGGAAGACTCATATTTTATATATCATCTGCCTGGTTTCGGAAAGGTTACTGCGTGTCAAAGACTGTGGGAACTCCCGGTATCCTAGGTAGGCATACCAGAACATTCCCGCCAAGATAAGATCATCTGCAGTAATTTACCAGAGACCTCCTGAATTAAATAAGAACCTCTAGCAAGATTATAAGATATAAAATAGGATCCTCTAATATATCTAGATCTTCCCTTTATTATCATCTTAATTATTAGAAATTAAACATTTTATTCAAGACAAATACAGCATCTTACTTTATAATTCCTACAGGTTATAAGCCCGGAGACTTAATTAACTAAGTTCTCTACCCAGACCCCCAGAACCCTTATTTAGGGCCCCTAGAACAGATCTTAAAATAATTAACTATTTTTAAAATAAATAAAATATTTTAATAAAATAGTTATAACACCCGGAAAATATACTATATCTTAACTTATATTAGCAGAAAACTACCAGGATTAGATTAAAGATCTTAATACAGAACTATAAATTAAAGATATATTTTATATAATTAGTAATAAGTTTTCTTGCCCTAAGGCCCTAGTATTAACCCTAAAAAGATTAGTATTATTTAATATAGCCCAGAGAGCTTAGAATAAGCTTTTTAAATAAAAAAATAATAATACTAAAATAATAGGTATTATTTTTATCTTATTGTCTAAAGCTATCTGCTATAAATTTATCTATTTTTATACTACTGTAGATCTTGTGAAGGCCCTGTCTAGAAAATATAAAGTTATATATAATATCTAGTCCTTTGAAGGACTTTAATCAGTAATAATAATAATTTATCTGTAATATAAAAATATAAATAAGTATATTAAGAAGATATCCTCAGCGCTAAATTATTTTAATAAGAGTTTAAAAAAAAAAGTTATTTTTAATAAATTAATTTATACTTAGTTTCTTCTTTATAATTTGGGAGAAATATGGCAGACCTTTTTAATCTTTTATTTTAATTTATGCTTTAATAAAAATACTATAACCTATACTGAGGTATCTCAGGTCCTAATTTAGAAAAAAATATATATAAAATTTAACTAGAAATTAGCAAATCTTATTAAAGCTAAAACTAGTAAAAAGCTTAGTAAAAATAAAGATAAGAACTAAAAAAATAAAAAAAAAAAAAAAAGAACTCTAAAAATCAGAAAAATAATAATAACCTGAAATTATCCCTGGAGTACTTTTATTGTAAGAAATTAGGCTATAAAAAAAAAACTATTAGAAAAAATATCTTAAGAAAGTTTTTTAATAAATAAAAAACTAATAAAAAGAGCAGAAGCAGCAAAAAAAAAGTAGAGTTCTTTAATATTTTATTTAATAATAATATTATTTATATAACCTTTGAGAGAGATGGCCCTGGTAATTTAGAAAAAAAATAATTAAAATTAATATTAAAAAAGTCTATTATATAAGCTGAAATAACTAGATTATTAATTCAGGGTTAACCTATTATTTTATTAATAATCCTAGTAACTTTATTACAGGGACCGCGCAGCTATTCTGCTGTGGGATTTATATAATAACAGGTTATTTAACTTATTTAATATTTACCAGAGATATTAAGTTACTTTTTTAATATTTTATAAAAATCTAGAGAATAGTCCTTACTAGTGCTTTTTATTTTCTAAAAATAAAAGTTAACCTGGTAGGAATTATTAAAATAAACTAGAAAAATCTTAGTATTAATTTTCTTTTAAATAAAGTTATTTTCACGAGAATATCAGATAAATTAATTATTAGATACAGAGACATTCAGAAAGATACTTATACTATAAAATTAGTTAGGGATTATAATTTAAATTAGACTTTATTTTAGTAAAACAAGACCCCTCCTATAAAAGAAATAATTAAAATTTAGCACGCGAATTATTAATTAAAACCTTACTATATTTAAATAATAAAAAAAACTCGCGTTAACTTCAGAACATGATATTATTAACTTACTTATTTTTTAATTAAAAATATAAAATATTTAAACAAGATAGTTAACAAGTTAAATATTAAAAACCTTATTATACTAAAACACACCTGTGAGCCCTGCCAAAAGGCCTTAGTGATAATAAAAAATAAACAGGAAATAATAACTCCTATAAAAAGGTATAAAAATTATATCTTTATAGATTTAGGAGATAGTTATTTTAATATACCGCCTGCTTATAAAAATAAAGCAAAATATTAGATTTTATTCTATAATTAGTACAGTGGATTTGCTTTAGTTAAATTCTTAAAAATAAAGGATTAAGTATGCTTAGTAATTCAGGCGTATACTAATTTTAAAAGAATTATAAAATATCTAATTTAATACCTTTATTCTAATAATAATAAGAAATTCATTAATTATAAAATATTAAAATAAGTAAAAGAGCAAAAGATCAAGTAAGAATTTATTTCCGCGTACGCTTACAGCCAGAATTTACTTATTAAATATCTTTTAAGGACTATTTTTATAAAAGTCCGCGCCATTTTAATTAATAGCGATCTATCCTGTTATTTATAGGCTAAAATAATAAAAATAGTTACCTTTATTTATAATATCTTGCCTGTTCGCAATAAAAAATTAACTTTATATAAAATCAGAAACAATTAGAGGCCTAATATTAAAAGATTAAAGATTATTAACTATAAAATTATAGTTACTATTCCCCCTAAGATCCGGTCTTGTGAGAAAGTAACAAAAATTAACCCTAAAATATTTAATATAAGACTTATTAAATATATATTCTTAGATAAACAGTATATTATCTAGATCCCTTTAACAGAGGAATTAAAGCAGGTCTGTGATATATAATTTAATAAAAGATCAGACCCAGACCTATACAGAATACCTGATAATAATTATAAGAATTAAAAAATACTTTTATTAATTAATTTACTATCCTGAAACCCCTATAAAATTAAATTAAATAACAACTCTAAAAATAAGCTTATTTAATACCTTTTTTTTAAACTAGCGCTTATTAATTATATCTTTTTTCTTATCTCCGAGTTACCAGTAGCAGACCAGCTGCTAGCCACCTATTTTTTTTATAATAACATCCTCTCAACTAGTAATTATCGCGGAAATTATAATAGAATAATTAAACCCTTTTTATTTAATAAAGCTATTACCTCTCCACATAAAAATAAATAGTAAAAGGCTATAAAATCAGAATTTAACAGCCTAGTTAAATAAAAATTATAAAAACTTATAGATTTACTCCCTGGGCGTAAAACACTTTGCGGTTATTAAATCTACAAGCTGAAATTAGATATTAATAATTAAATTTTATATTTTAAAGCTAGATAGGTTGCTTGAGACTTTATATAATAATATAAAATTAATTTTTAAAATATTTTTTTACTTATAACGCGCCTAGTGACTATCTGATTATTTTTTATTTTAATAACAGCCATAGATCTTAAATATTTTCAGAAAGATATTCTACTTGTATTTTTATAAAATAATTTCTTTAATAATAAGATTATCTATATAGAGCAGCTGAAAAGATTTAAAAATAATTCTGGATATATTTATTAACTATTTTAATTACTTTATGGCTTAAAATAAGCTGCGTGGGTATAATATCTTATTTTATAATAGAATTTAGCCAAAATAAGTTTCTTCCTAACCTTTATAAATAAATATCTTTTTACTAATATAAATAGGACCTTCTTAATTATTTATATTAATAATATTTTAATAGCTAGTAACTATAAGACTATTAAGGAAATAATAATAATTATCTAAGATATTTTTAATAGCACTCACTTTCAGGAAGCCACCTACTATTTAGGAATAAAAATAAAAAAAAACAGAAAGAAAAGGATATTTAAATTAATTTAATTTATATATATATAGCATATTCTTGACAACTTTGACCACAATTTAAATAAAACCTTATTTACTCCGGCCCGCGAAGGTATCAAATTAACTAAATTAACCGCGGAGGAACTAAATTTTGACTTTTTAAAGTAATATTAGAAATTATTTAATTTAATTGTATATATCACTCTATAGACTCGCCCCGATACCTCATTTAAAACTGGATAACTTATATAATTCGCTTTAAACCCTAATAACTCGCATATAAAAAACCTAATCTACCTCTTTTAATTCTTCTGATTAATAATTAATCACAGTATTATTTTCTGCTCATAAATTAAAAATAAAGAGGCAGAAGTGGTAGAATAATTAGGAATAATAAAAAAATATATAAATACAAATTTTGCTAGCGATCTTAATATATAAAGATCTATTACTAGCTTTATTTTTATATTAGCTAGCGGACTTATTTCCTAGACCTTAAAGCTGTAGACTATAATAAGCTTATTTACTTATAAAACTAAATATACTGTGGTTAATATAGCGGGTAAAAAAGTAATTTAGATTATCTAGATACTTAAATTAATTGGCTTTAGTAATATAAGGCTAATAATTATTTATACTAACTCAGAACCTGCTTTAAAACTTATAAAAAATACTTAGATATATACCTAAAGTAAATATATTAATATTTAAACCCATTAGATTCGTGAGGTAATTTAGCGCGGTAATATTAAACTTTAATACTTAATTATAAACAAAATAATCACAGATATATTAATAAAGGTGCTCCCGCGCGTTAAATTTAAATAATGCACTAAATTAATAGGTGTTAAATAATTACAGCTAAATAAAAATATCTAGATAAAATATTTTAGCTTTAAGATAACTATTATCTTAAGGGGGTGTGTAGGAACTCTTAATATCCTAAATAAGTATACCAGAACATTCTTACTAAAATAAGGTTATCTGCAGTAATTTACTAAAAACCTTCTAAATTAAATAGAAACCCCCAGCAAGATCATAAGATATAAAATAGGGTCCTCTAGTGTATCTAGACTTTCCCTTTATTATTATCTTAATCATCAGAAATTGAATATTTTATTCAAGACAAATACGGCGTCTTACCTCGTAATTCCTACAAAGATGGTGTTAGTTCATAACAAAATACCCTTCCACATCGCCAAGTGGTACTATTGTCAAAACTGTAATTGGCCCAATGAACGTAGTAGTTCAAAATCCATTTCCAGCCGCAGAGAGAGGGGACAGCCCGAGGCAAACATTTGTGTTCCGACGTCAAAACGCGTTCAACAATTGCTGCCCTGTTTTGTATGATAAGCGATCAGTATTTGAGCGCATGGAGGTCTGCACTTGGCCAGGCCTGCCTTTATATCCCCATCATTCATTGTGTCCATGATGCTCTGTGTCAGACGTCGAAGGTAGGCTAGGATCGAATAGGAAGGTGGTAGTCACCTGATCCTAGAGCAATACCTTATAGAATGATAGCTCAAAGGTTTCGATTATTCGACTTTAATTAAATTGATAAGAAAGGGTGAAATTGATTAATGAATGAATGAATCAATAAGTAAATTGAATAGATGAAATCAACTTGTCAAATTGAAACAGTAAAATCAACTTGTCAGAAAGAATGAAAATATGCAGGGGATCGTCTGCATATTTATAGACATTTGAAATAAATCAAACATTGCAAACATAAAAGAATAAACTTTTAATTTCCAAATTAGGAAATAGATAATAACTGGTTTTCTAATTATTATATGATTCTTGCGATCAGATATTTCCTAAATAGGAAACAGTTAGGTATTCCTTAATTAGGAAGTAGTCAGGTCTTTCCTAATTAGGAAGTAGTCAGTTGTTTCCTAAATAGGAAGGTAAGCTAGTCCAAAATAGGAAATTCTTCAGAAATCTGATCTTTTCATTTTCCGCTCACATTGAGCTCAGTTTCACCTCACTTTTCCCATACAATTTGGTGGTGGAAGTGAGAGTTCAATAAAGTGAGAATAAAGTCGCAGTGAATTTTGAATAATTTCGGTTGTGGGGCTTAATCAGGTGATTCTGATGAATCAGGTGATGTCAGGTGACCCCAATTGACACTCTGGATTCTGCTTCTGGCTCTGGCCGTGGTGTGCTATTTTGGCCTCACTCAGCTCATTACTGTCCCCCACGATTCTCGCGAGCCCCCTTTGATTCCCGAATCTTTACCCTTTATTGGACATGCCCTAGGAATACTACACCATGGCTCCATGTACTATACCAAGATTGCGTGCGTGACCTCGCCTTACTTCCTCCAAATCTGATTGGCCGGCTTAACCAGTATCAGCTCCAAAAACCGGAAGCTCCCAATCTACACCCTCAGCGTCCCACGGTCCAAGATTTATATTGTAACTTCACCCGGGCTAGTCTCGGCCATTGAACGGCATCCGAGATCCATCTCTTTTGGTCCTTACGTTGTCATGTTTGCGAAGCAGATGCTCTTACCGAGCCAAAGGGCTCTTGAGATGCTGGCCGAAGGCCCCGGAGGGGGGAGTAACGATGCTTGTAGCCTCCAGCAGGAAACTCTGCAAGCCATGCATCATTCGATGTCGCCCGGGATTGAGCTTGATCACACAACGCGGGCTATGCTTGAGAGCGTCACCCGGCGCATGGTCAACAACGTTGAAAATGCGAGCGTCGATGCTAGAGTGGGCTTTTTCGCCTGGGCACGAGAGCTCATAACTCAGGCCAGTACAGATGCGATATTTGGGGCGGAGGGAAATCCATTTCAGGACCCTAATATCCACGATGCTTTCTGGTTAGTTCCCTCGTCTGCATCGGCCATCTGGTCAACGAACAGCAGAAATGATTTCGCATCACTCTAGGACGATCGACAAGAATTTCGCCTATCTGGGACTCAACCTGCTCCCTTGGCTTCTCGCACGGCGTGCTCACCGCGCCCGCCAGCGCATCTTTGATGCATTCTATTCCTACTACGCTTGTGGGGGTCAGGAACACGCATCTGCCCTCGTAAAGGCCCGCTATGGAGTCAATCGCAAATACGACGTCTCATTAACCGATATCGCCCATTTTGATCTCAGTATCGCGACTGGCTTACTGGTTAACACTGTCCCTTCGACAGCATGGGCTCTCTACCACGCCTTTTCGTCCCAGGAGGTTCTCAGTGAGCTTCGCCAAGGCATATCCAGGTATGTCAGGATAGTGAGGGATGATCGAACGGGCCAAATCCTAGCACGCCACCTGAATATCGCTGCGGTTGTGAACGACTACCCATTCCTCCATGCGTTCATCCAGGAAGTCCTCCGCGTTCATTCCACCAACGCCTTGGGGCGAGTCGTGCTCGACGACACCGTCATCGATGACGACGGTCGCCAGTATCTACTACGAAAGGGCTCTATTCTCCTGATTCCATCCGCCGAGTTGCACAACCACGTAGAGGCGTGGGGTCCGTCGCCAACATCCTTTAATCCCCAGCGATTCCTGCAGCCGAGGTCGAAGGCGAAGGCTTCCTCTGCGTGTCGCACGTTCGGCGGCGGGGCCTGGGTCTGTCCGGGGCGCCATTTCGCACTAAATCAGATCGCTATCGTCTTAGTGATGATGGTTTGTCGGTTTGATTTGGTTCCGGTCGCGAAGGAGGGCTGGACGATGCCGGAGTGCCGCCCGCATATTTCGACTTCTATTCTGTCGCCCGTTGTTGATTCGAGTGTTCGCATTGTGGAGACCAAAGGTGCAGATGAGGGAGAGTGGTGCTTTTCATGGGAGAGGTAATATGCCCATCATCTTTGTGTCGCAATTCTAGGCTCCCCGGTCTAGTTTCAGGTGTTTCCCTATCTAAAGAGGGACTATATCAATTGGTCACCAACAGGGGGTGGGGCTGCTTGAGGCTAGGAACGCTCTTTTGGGTCTTCTTCGTACCTTAATCAAACACGGTGTAACGGGTCCTTGATAAAGAAAATATTACAATTTGGTATGAATGTTTAAACAAGGCAACACTGGAACCACCCTATGTGCAACCCGTTATATGCCTCATACCAACTAGAGGAGCACCAGATAGTATCTACTGCGACTTCTTCTTCCCAATATTTCCCACCTTACGCAATCCAACAGCCCCAACCCCCAGACTGACGATATTCGCCGCAAACAAGAACCAGAACGACACGCGGTACCCGACCATCAAGCCATTTGGCTCGTACCTCTCCTCCGCAGCAGCCTTGTTGTCACTCACAACATTCGCAATCAGCTCGACGAAGGTCAGTCCGAAACTCTTCCCGACCTGCGAGATCGTGTTGAAGACACCCCCCGCAAGACCCTGCGTCTCGGGCGGGAACAAATCCGCAATGAGGATATTCGACACGGTGAAGAGGGAGTCGGCGGCGATGGAGTTCAGACAGATCGCGACGAACGCGCAGCGCCAGTAGGTCCAGGAAGGGTTGACGAGCGCCATGATCAGCGGGGAGATGGCGGAGATGACGGTCGTGATGTTCATGATGGCGTCGGCGCGCACGCGATGCAGCACCATGCCGGTGACTAGGGCGCTGAGGAGCCCCGTTACGGGCGTCGGGATGAAGCGGATAGCGGTCTGGATAACGGAGAGTTCCTGGACGTTTTGGAAGAAGAAGTTGATGATTTGTTCGAAGCCGTTGAAGGCGCCCCAGATGATGAACACGTTGATACAGATGGATGTGAAGGCGGCGTTCTTCCAGAGGGAGTTGCGGATGAGGGTCGGTTTGCGGCGGCGTTCTTGGAATTCTTGCCACAGAACGAAACAGATTAGGAGGACGCCGGAGACGGTGAAGTAGGCGATCGTGGAGGGTTTGCGGGCGTTGTTAACGTCGCCGGTGATGATTCTGGATGGTCAGTTGGGGTGGTATAGAGTAGACGGGGGTACGCACGATAAGCCCAGCGAGAGCAAAGCCAAGGCGGCGCTGATGACGATGGCACCGAGCCAGTCGATGCCGAAGAAAAGGAAATCCCATTTGATTCTGCTTTCTTTGTGCTGGGGCAGCTGCCACCAGGACAACAGAAAGGCGACGGTGTTGGCGATGGCGGCGCTATGGAAGCCCCAGCGCCAGCCGACCGTGTCGGCGCAGACTCCACCGATAAGAATGCCCAGTCCGAAGCCGATGGGTTGGCCACCACCCATGAAAGAGAAGGCGAGGTTGCGCAGCTTGCCGGCGGAGAAATTCTGCGAGATGATGCTCATGGCGGACGGCAGGCACATGGCGGTTGCCAGGCCGGACATGACACGGAACACGATGAGCTGCGTGCCGTCATCTGCCAGACCACAGGCCATGCAGAAGATGCTCTGGAAGAAGCACCCCAGCAGGAAGACGAGTCGACTTCCTACCGCGTCGGAGACGGCGCCGAAGATGAGCAGCGTGCACCCGGTGGACAATGCATACATGGATACGGGCCTACACCGACGATTAGCCTTCTCCGACCGTGAGTGGTGCAGAGAGCAAATACCAAAGCTCCATTCCTGCGTCCAGCTGCAGGTCTCTGGCGATCTGAGGGACCGAGACAGTCACTAGGCCGCCCAAGTAGCAGCTGATGAAGGTGATGCATGAGATACAGAATATCACCATTGGCGCATGCTTCGGCTTGCGATCCTCCTCCTCCTCGTCGGACGCAGGTCGGCTGTCATTCCCTAGACTGCCTCGCTCTGCGATGGCCTGTTTCTCGTGGTGGTCACGGTGGTCGTCTCGAGAAGCGGCGGTTGCAGGGTCCAAGACCGTGACGGTTTGAGACATTGTTGACTCCGACAGAGGTCGAATTAAGGCAGAGTCGGGGATGGAGCAGTGCGACCGGAGGTGCAGGGCGATTAATATGAAATCAGCTGGAATGCTGCGCCACTAGGGGGGAGGCTGTCGAATCGATGATTCATTTGAACTAGTCGACTGGAGCTCTCTGACTCAGATCCGTTTCCGGCAGATCATCGCGATCCACTCCCCCGTAAGGGATGTCAACAATCAATATCCGCGAGCTGGTCGAGCTGCGCCCTTGCGTCGGCCTGATCCGTGGCTGCCATGGCAGACGGAGGACTGCGTGGTGTGCATCGTGGTGCTCTGCATCCTCCCTGCTCTCATTTAAGAATGCTCCCCGTTCAGCCTCAGCCGCTGCCCTCATCGCGCAATGCCTCCACGATCGGTTTCCACGCGTGAAATCGCCCGCCACAATGGGGCCGATGACTGCTGGCTGGTCGTCAATAATCAAGTCTGGGATCTGTCCGATTTCGCCCCCAACCACCCTGGCGGTGCCGAGACAATCCTGCGCTACGCCGGTCGCGATGCCACCGCCGCCTACAACGAAGTCCACGGCCCAGCGACGATCAAGATACTTCCTGCGACGCAATTGATCGGCCAGCTCGACTTGTCGTCAGTTGACGAGACGTGGACAAGCAAATCCACCATCCAAGCCCCCTCTGGAGATACTCGACCACCTCTGGACGCCATCTTCAGCGCCCACGACTTCGAGGATGCCGCCCGGTCCTCCCTATCCAAGAAAGCCTGGGCCTTCTACTCCAGCGCCGCCACCGATCTGATCTCCCACGCCGCCAACCAGTCTTTCTACCGTCGCATCTGGATGCGGCCGCGACTGCTGCAGAATGTTCTCAGCGTCAACACGCAAACCACCGTTCTGGGCGCCCCGTTCGCTCTCCCCGTCATCGCGGCGCCCGTCGCGCTCGCCCGCCTGGCCCATCCCACCGGCGAGAAGGGCATCGCCAGCGCAGCTGCCAGCAAAAGTATCGGATATTGTGTATGCTCAGACCTTCATCCGTTGTCCATCTCTCTGTCCGACCCAGCCAGTGACTGATCTCTTATCCTCCGTCTAGATCCCCATCACCGCGTCATTCCCTGCCGAAGAAATCACCGCCACTGCCCCCGACCATCCCTACTTCTTCCAACTGTACGTGAACCGCGATCGCGTCGCTTCGGAGGCCATCCTGCACCGCATCTGGGGCCTCGGCGTCCGCGTCCTCTTCGTGACAATCGACACCCCCGTGCCGGGGAAGCGGGAGGCCGACGAGCGGGTGCGCTCCGACGAGGCCATCTCCATGCCGATGACAGGCACGCGGGCCAGCCAGGACCACAAGGGCGGCGGCATCACGCGCACGACGGGGTCGTTCATCGACGAGACACTGTGCTGGGACGATCTGGCGTGGGTGAGGGCGCACTGGCGCGGACGGCTGGTGCTGAAGGGCGTGCAGTCGGTGGAGGACGCGCTGATGGCCGTCGAGGCGAGAGTCGATGGGATTGTACTCAGGTGAGTTCATGGGCAACACTTCCTTCCAACGGGTGTGGACACTCATTAACGGCTCCGTTCTATGCAGCAACCACGGCGGGCGAAACCTGGACACGGCGCCGCCGGCCCTCCTGACCCTGCTCGAGCTCGGTCGGCACTGTCCACATGTGCTGCGCGAGACCGAAGTCTTTGTGGACGGGGGCATCCGTCGAGGAACCGATATTCTGAAGGCGATCTGTCTGGGGGCGCGGGCGGTGCTGATCGGTCGGCCGGTGATGTATGCGCTCAGCTACGGGAAGGAGGGCGTCGAGCACTTGATTGACAGTAAGTTATCATTTTCAACGGGTGTCTGCAAAGCGATAAGCTAATTTAATAGTCTTCGGGTCCGAGTTGCAAGCGGCGATGAAACTGGTCGGCATTACGGATCTGTCGCAGGCGCACCGAGGGATGCTAAACACGCAGGACCTGGACCATCTGGTTGTGCGGGACTTGACGCGACGCGCAAAGATTTAACGACTTGGTAGACGAGAGCTATATAGTTGTATATCAAATGGAGTATGAAAAATATGAATATTGGAGTTCGGATGTCGCTGTTCCGTAGGGCGGGTGAGTAAAAGAGTATATACTTGTGTAGCAGGTCCTAGATGCAGTCGATGTCATTGACCAAACAATTTTGAGAATTATACTAAGTTCAAAGTAACATTCATAAGACATGTAATATAGAAGGTCAGCCCTGAGCGTGTTCATTCAAAACATAAACTATGTTTGCGGCTAGATCTGCTTCGTTGAAATATATATGGCAACAGTACATCCCAATATCGGCAACTAAACCTCTCAAGTCCATGCGAAATACAATCAATAATGACATATATAAGTAATCTCGTGAAGTGCCACATTCTAGTAGAAAATCATAACTATACATATGCCGCATACTAGGAAAGGGGAGTTGCTATCCCCAGCCAGAGGCAGTCATTCTATATAAAAGCAGGAATGCCTGATCGAACAACCAATTCCCATTGCCACTGACCTGTCCTGGCCGAAACACCCTACAAGCAAGCAGACAAAACTATTCAAAACATCAAATCGGCATTTTCACTCTATCCAACATCCGCTTTTGACAACCCTGACCTCCACCATCCCAAACAATCCAAATTACACACAACCCATCCTCTCTCTCTTCCTCAACCCAAACCCGCCTCCAAATCACAAACTACAAATTCCCCCTCGCCGCCTGCTCCCTCTCAAACGCCTCAAACAGGCTCTTAAAATTCCCCGCCCCGAACCCATCAAAGTTCTCGCGCTGAATCACCTCCAGAAACACCGTCGGCCGGTCGCCCACATGCTTCGTGAAGATCTGCAGCAGATACCCGCCCTCGTCGAAGTCGATGAGGATATTGTACCGCTGCAGCGTGTCGATGTCCTCGGCGACCTGCGTGCCGATGCGCGCCAGCCGCGCCCGCACCTCGACGTAGTAGCTCTCAGGGACGGACAGGAACTCGACGCCGCGCTTTTGCAGCGCGTCGACGGCTGAGATGATGTCCGCGGTCCGGAAGGCGATGTGTTGGCAGCCGGCGCCGTTGTAGTAGTCGCAGAATCTGGATCGTTAGCTCTTCGCTTGGGTAGGGGAGAAGGGGAAAGTGAACGGGAGGAGGGGGGCGTACTCTTCTATCTGCGATTTCTTCTTGCCTTTGGCTGGCTCGTTCATGGGCATCTTGATCACTTCGTTGGGTGACGCCACCACCACCGACCGCATGGCCGAGTAGTCCGAGCACATGTCCTTGTCGTCGACGCTCCAGTAGCGGTGGAAGTTGAGCGCTTTCTCGTAGTAGTTGACGATGCCGTCGAGGCCGTCCCAGTCGTGGTTGCCGACGCAGTGGTCGATCTCGAGGATGTCGATTGGGGGAAGGGACAAGGACTGCTGGGACTGCGGCAGGGGCTGGAAGCCAGGCAGGAAGACGCCACGGTACGCAGACCGGTTGATCAGCGTGTGGATGGTGTCGCCAAAGGTGCGGATGGCCGCGACGAGAACCTCTCCATCGTCGGATTTGAGCAGCTCCGGGGCGCGAACGGACTGGGCACCGTTGGCGACGGCGTGGTCCCAGACGGCGCGCACGTCGTCGACCTGGAAGGCGATGTCCTTGACGCCGTCGCCGTGCTTGGTCAGGTGGGTGTGCAGGTCGGTGCAGAAGGCGCGCTCATCGTCAGTGGCGCGCGGGTCCCACGAGCTGTCTGGGCTGCGCAGGGCCGTGGTGAAGACGAACCGCGCGGCGCCGTTGCCCACGACGTAGGCTTTCGTGGCGAACGAGCCGGTCTCGGGCCCGCGGTAGGCCAGCACGCTGAAGCCGTAGTGGTTGACGAAGTACGACACCGTCTGGCGCGCGTTGCCAACGTACCAGCCGATGTAGTCGAAGCCGATGTAGTTCGGGTTCATGCTGCGGATGACCGCACGGTTCGGGGGAACGCTAGCATCGCCCATAGTGAGTGATATGGTGGAGGATTACAAGAAGGAAAAGAAGGATGTAGAAGTGGGTAGAGTTGGATCTGGTGAAGCGAGCTTGTGGTGGTGTGCTTGGCTGGAATGCCGGGAAGCTCATTCGGTCCAGCTGGATTTATACGTGCCCGAAGAATCTAAACACTGACCGGTTTGCTGCGATTGTAGCAGGCATAGCGATGACATCAAACATCTATCTGCATTCTCACCCAAACGCAAAGTCCATCTCGGGCACTCGGAACTACCAGGGGCAGGCTCAACCTTGCGTAGGCGCATGATGCCAGACCTGCAGGGTCTAATGAGCCGTGCTCACGATGCTGCGTAATCCGCACGAACAAGGAATCTGGCCCGAGAGGCTTAGAATGACACCGTTGGTGGTTGCAGACTGCATCTCCGGCCGAAGTGGTCCAGGTCTTGAGCTCTCCAGGCTGAGCTTCACCTCTGCTGCATAGTCCATGAGTGTGGCGTCGAACCCTCGGGCTGAGCTGAAATGAGATTTACTGAGTGACGGCTCCCTGCGACTAGGTGGGTTAGGATACGCGTCCCAATGACCTATGAGGCAGTATCCGACCTGTCTCACGAGAGGCTGTGTATGCAGAGGCCGCCTCGGCGAATTGCGCTGCCATTGAGGACTATGAGCGATTTTGCCAATTGGAGCCTCGCAGCAGAGAAATAGGATTGCCACTCCCGGCGCAAGGAGCCTATCCTCATTAGCCGTAGCTCACTCTTAATCCCGGACCTGACAAGGCGAGTCAGACGATGCAAGGGTGATCGAGGTCTCTACCAGGAGATTATGTTCGGGAATATCGAGACCGAGTGTATCCCTTGCCGCAAACGAACACTTGATATCGCGATCGGCCGGCCGAATAATTAGCCTTGCCGGCATATCTACCACCCGAAGATGTCCGTCGGGCGTAGGAATTCAAGCACTCCTTTCCCTAATCCATCGTGCGTCGAGACCGACGAGGCTCTCGGAGGGTATCTGGCAGGACTGTGGTCCCACTAATAATTGAGTCCATGTAGCACGATCGACGCCAGCCACACCGCCACCAAACCCGGTACTCACAATGAATCCATGCATCCTGCATGCATGGTAGTCTGAAATCAGAAATGGCATTTCGTTGAGGCTCTGGCAATGTGGCAGCCATGGCAAGTGGCAGCGAGCCATGTTTTTAATCCTTCACCGCAATTAGCAACCGGATTCAGCAGCCGTCTCACCGCTAGCCAATGCATACAGCGTTATGGGTGCGTGCGAAGTCCATGTCAAGCTCACGACTATTCTCAGAATCATCCATGAGAGGTGGGCCGTAATGCGTCGCAAGTCGAAGATTGGCCATAAGTTGCGATAGCATTCGACGGATCATACTATGACCCCTTGCTTGTACTCCTCTAGGGCTTTGCTTGACCTGTGATTTCTCGGGTCGTATTCGATAAAAATGATAGGATATCCCTTCGTAACAAGCAACACGAAAATTGAATCCATTTGTTACTGGCTCTATACTCGACAATGGGATCGCAAGACACCTACAATGGCAAGGCAGCGCTTAACGATGCGCGCGACTGGTCTCGTAAGACACTCAACATAGAACATCACGAAGAATCTAACGATGATAGACCTGTTTAGCGCCGAGAGCGCATCACGAAAGGTACACTTCCTCTTGCCAATTTGAAACAGCCCCTAACGACCCCCATAGCCCTCCGTGATGCAAGCAATGCATGGGATTTTGGCCCAGCCAGGTTGGACTTCCACCCAGCTCAAGCATGAACGATGCCCTAACATGACCAGGGATTCGGTCTCTCGGCCCCGGAGCTCCTTCCACTGAGTACTTTCCTTTCTACAGCATGGACTTTGAAGTCGGTTCGACGGACGCCTTCGAGACCGTCGGCATGAAGATCCCCGACACGACGACTGCCATCCACGCCGGCAAATACGACAACACGACCGGCACCAGCATCTACGACCTGGAGATCGCCCTCCAGTACGGACTGGGCACCGGGTCCAAGCAGCTGGTCAAGTTCCTGACCGAGCATGTCCAGGTACGCTCCTCCTCTTCCAATCTACCCAGACATACTAACATAAACCCCAGCTCACCCACAACCCCCCTTACCGCAACTGGCAAACCATCCTCAGCGCCGGCACCACCTCCGCCTTTGAGATCGTGTTGCGCATGCTCGGTCAGCCCGGTGAATACCTCCTCGTCGAGCAGCACACCTATACCACGGTGTTCGAGACCGGCCTGCCCCTGGGCTGGAAGTTCGCGCAGGTGCGCATGGACAACGACGGCCTGCTGCCCGACGACCTCGACGACCTCCTCTCCACCTGGGACGAGAAGTCCCGCGCTGGCCCAAAGCCACGCGTCTTGTACACCATCCCGACGGGGCAGAACCCTACGGGCATCACACAGCCTCTCCCCCGACGCCAGGCCATCTACCGCGTCGCGCAGAAGCACAACCTCTTCATCCTCGAAGACGACCCCTACTACTTCATTCAGATGCCCGTCTACAACCCTGCCACTCGCGGCACACCCACCCCCGTCCCCTCCCTCCTCCCCAGCTACCTCAGCCTCGACACCGACGGCCGCGTCCTGCGCATGGACTCCTTCTCGAAGATCATCGCGCCCGGCGCGCGCATGGGCTGGGTGACCGCCCCGGCGCAGGTCATCGAGCGCATGGTGCGCACGCACGAGGTCTCCGTGCAGAACCCCAGCGGGTTCTCGCAGATCGCTATGTTCAAGCTGCTGCACGACAGCTGGGGCCATGCAGGGTTTGCGCGCTGGCTGGCCCATCTGCAGGGCGAGTATGCGAAGCGCCGCGACGCCCTGTTCGAGGCTTGTGATGCCCATCTGCCGCGCGAGATCGTCTCCTGGGTGCCCCCGACGAGTGGCTTTTTCGTAAGTCCCCCGGTTCCTCGGCTTCTGGCCTGCGGCTAATGTGAGTGTCCTAGGCTTGGATTCAAATCGACTGGAAGAAGCATCCTCAGGCGGGCGATCGGTCTGCACTGCTTGTAGAGAGACAGGTGTATGATGCGGCTATTGCCTGCGGGGCCCTCGTTGTCCCTGGAAGCTGGTTTCTGCCGGATGAAGGGGCAGGGGGCATGGATGAGGTGTTTTTTCGGATGACCTATGCGGCGGCTTCGGTGGAGGATATGAGGGAGGCGGTGCGGCGGTTGGGGATGGCGCTGCGTGAGGTTTTTGGATTAGTTTAGGATCTGGGATAGCGTAGCTTAGATGAAGGGGTACAACGCCATGCGTTTTGCAAAGTCCTAGGTTGCTCTAGGGTTCTTACACCCTCAGTACTGTGTCTTGATAGTTGGATATATATTTTATGCTTATCTTGATTGTATGCTTCATTGGTGTCTTTTGTCGTTTGATCTCTTAAGTAAGGTAACTTGACATATATTTCCTACGATTATGGGACGACAGTCTCTGCTCTAACCCATATTCGCTCTACAGAAGATAAAAGTCGTGGAGCATGTCTCTACAGCCACATATATTGGGTAGGCTTGTAGGTAGGAATCATCCTCGGTACTCTCGCACTTATATACTGCTTAAATTGTTTTTTATCTCGGTCAGGTCTAAAACTACACTCTGGGCTCCTGAAGAAGAACCAAAAACTAGGCAGACAGCAGTCTCGTATTCAGATACTATTTCAACGATACCCCCTCTGCGAAAAGATTCTATCCTACACCCATCCCCTCCATCAATACTAATTACCCCAAAACGACCCTCAGACATCCACACCGAAATCCACAACCCCCTAGACCTATTCAATCATCCGAACCTCCTTCACCGTTCTGCCCTTGTCCCCCGTATCCACGATCCTCGTCACCGTTCCCGCGCGCCGATCCACCGTCTCACACTCCGGCCTCAGCCGAAACCGGCCCATATCCAACGGCACCTCGGGGCCCAACCACATCGTCATATGCAGGTGGTCGCGCAGCTCGTCGTCCGTGTTCGGATGAACAAGCGCACTCAGCGGCCCGCGGTGCACCACCAGCCAGCTGACGAACGCGCCGAACTGCGCCGGCGTGAAGAGCGCCAGCTCGAACATCCCCGGCGCGTGCGGGCCCTGCGGCGTGGTGTGCAGCGGGTAGATTCGTAGTTCGGGGACTTCGTCCGTCTGTTAGCTTCCTTTGCAAGGGGTACAGGGAGGAAGGGAAGAGAAGGCAAAAAGGGGGGAGTACACTCAAGGCGAATGCGTGTCCATAGGTCCTGCGCGTAGCGGACTTGGATCTCGTCATGCTACACTATGTCAGATCATTGAAGGGGATAGGGACTATGGTCAAGGGGGATTACAGGATTGAAGTAAACGTGGACGTCGAACCCGGGGAGCTGGGCGTCGTGGCGGCCGGCGTTGGAGACCGGCGCGACGAAGTGCTCGTATGCGTCGCTGAGGACGCTCGTCTCGGGACTGTCGAAGCTCTTGCCATCTTGGGTCTTGGAGCTGTCATTCTATCAGCGTTGTCTGGACTGGGTTGGCATGAAATGGACCCCTACGTGGACAGAGGCACGTGGTTCTCCCAGCCCTTGAGAGGCGAGGGAAAGGTATACTGCGCGGGGTCGAGGTTGTAGGGAGAGATGCTGCCCATTTTTCCTGCTCTGGACCTTTAGGTCGGTTGGTGGTTCTGAGCTGGGGAAGATGGGTGTCTTGATGGGATGTATAGGATAGCGAGGTGGGTGTTTGGTTGGTCAGTTGGTTAGGGCTCGTCCACCGCCAGATATGTCGTCGCAAGTAGCTATTCCATTATGCGCCGATGATTGCTCATATGCAAGGTCCAGCTCAGTCGTCAGCTCGAATTACGCAATGTCTTGGAATCCTACATGTAGCAATCTGGCCTGCGTGACGCAGCCAGCCATGCAGGTGATATCCTGCACATCGGCGAGAAAGCGAATCGTAACTGACCGCCACCGACGCAAGGAAATTTGAATTTTATTGAGACATATTTGAGCATTGATATCCAATATTCACACACCGAACTTCTCCGATGGGGGCTACTGTATGGTGACCGCTAGACCAACCGCATCACGCAAGGCCTCCGACCACACTAGATCCCGAAGACAGGTACGAATTACTGACGACTTTCGGGTAGAAGGCTGAACACTGCATGATTTTAGCAGCTCAGCAGCCCAACAACACAGCTTCAGGTAGCGGGAATTGGATTGACCTGTCTGGAATTGGCTCCGTTGCCTGCGATGGCTACGAGCCGATGGCGTGTTGTTGGGAGTAAACACTGCGGGTTCAGAGTGCAGGAAGGTCAGCCACAGCCGAATCAACCGGGCTTTCTTTAGAATCCTTGCCTTGGTTCGGATTTAATAGAGCAGACTCACCTTCGCCCCCCACCTCCCTTTCTGGCATTCCTTTCAATCCAGTCAGTAAGTCCAACGACATGCCTGAGCAATACGATGCCGTGGTCGTCGGCGCCGGCCCCGTGGGCCTCATGTTCTCCGCGTGTTTAGCCCGTTTGGGTGGCTACAAGATCAAGCATATCGACAATCGCGCCGAGCCAACGAGTATCGGCCGGGCAGACGGCATTCAGGCCCGCACCCTGGACGTGCTTAATACCATGGGGCTCAAGAGGCCCCTCTGGGCGTACAACCCGGGCCTCATCTACGAGGTTGCCTTCTGGGGTGCGACTCCGGATCGGAAGAGCATCCAGCGTACCAGCACCAGCAAGGGCTACCCGGAGCACGTCGACACCCGCTACCCGTTCACCACCATCCTGCACCAGGGCCGCATCGAAGCTGTCTTCCTCGAGGACCTCCGCTCGCGCGGCGTCGAGGTCCAGCGGCCTTGGACTATCCGCGCCGCCACGTATCGCGGGCCAGGCTCAGAGTACCCCGTGGACGTGGAGCTGGTCAGTGTCGATGGCTCGACGACGGAGACCGTGCAGGCGAAGTACGTATTCGGGGCGGACGGCGCGCACAGCGCTGTGCGAGATCTGTTGAAGATCCCCATGATTTATAAGGATCCGACGGTGCATGTATGGAGCGTGATTGACGGTGTGGTGAAGTCAGATTTTCCAGATATGCAGGTACGCTTGTCCTCATCCCCGTTCGCTTCTGAGCATTCTCACTGACGACCACAGATGAAATGCACAATCCGTTCGCCCCGAGGCTCCTGCATGATCATCCCTCAGGGCAACAACCGCGTGCGCATCTACGTCCAGATCTCGCCGGATGAAGGCAAGAACCTGTCCAATATCCAGCGCATGGCCAACGAGATCCTCAACCCATACCGCGTCGAATGGGAGTCCGTCGACTGGCACTCAGCCTACCACATCGGCCAGGGCATCTCGCAGAGCTACTCGCTGGACAACCGCATCTTCATCGGCGGTGACGCCTGTCACACCCACAGCGTAAGCCCCTGCTCCTATCCCCATTCCCTCCAACCCAGCACTAACAGCCACAGCCCAAAGCCGGCCAGGGCATGAACTACGGGCTACTAGACTCGCACAACCTGACCTGGAAGCTCCATCTCGTCGAGTCCGGCCTGATGAGTCGCGACCTGCTGCACACCTACGAGGAGGAACGGCGCGCGGCGGCCTCGCGCCTCATCGACTTCGACGCCACCTACGCCGGGCTATTCAGCTCGCATAATCCCTCCCAGCAGACCAACGACGAGTTCGTGCGCATCTTCAAGCAAAACGCCCTTCTCACCAGCGGCTACGGCGTCGAGTACCCGCCCAACACCCTCACCCACGCCGACACAACCGCCCCCACCGCTCTCCAGCCCGGCCGCAGCTTTCCCCCCGTGAATCTAACACGCGTTATCGATGCCTGCGAGATTCCCCTTGAGCGCGAGGTCCCCTTCAACGGCAGCTTTCACGTGTATGTGTTCGCCGGCGCGCCAGAAGCTCATCACTGCGCACTAGCCGACTTAGCGGAGTACCTCGCGGACCGGGACTCCGTGTTCTCAAAGACTGGGGACCATCGCGAAGACCCGGACATGTCGTACGAAGGGCGCCATAACCCGCACTCGGGGCTGTATACCTTTTCCATCGTGTTCAGCGCTGTGCGGGCGTCCATCGACCTCGCTGCTCTGCCGCACTTCTTCCGTCCCTACCGCTACCACGTGTACTCTGATGATACGCGCAGTCGGAAGCTGCTTCCGGGCGGAGTGGGCGCGGCGCATGCAAAGCTGGGATTTGATGTCCAGGAAGGCGGCGTGGTGGTTGTGCGGCCGGATGGGTATGTTGCATGTGTCGTGAGGCTTGTGGAGGGGAGAGAGACGGGGGAGGCGCTGGATCGGTATTTCGCTGGTGTGTTGCCTAGTTAGGATAGCTATGGCGCGGGGATTGCTGTGAGGGGGGTCCAATAGCGCTTTGATAGATCATGCAATATATTTCTGGCAAGATGTAAGACTCTGGAGTAAAGTCTAAGGCAATTATTTTCATCCATAGTATTGATGCAATGCGACTACGTACAACCGTGCGACTCGTTCGGGCGTTGTTGAAGGTACTGGGTAGCCCTTGTAACATCTTATATGTCAACATATGAATCTATGACGTTGTTAGATAGCGACAGACTCCGCTACATATATATAGAGCACCATGTAAGCCTAACGAGATACAGTACGAGCTTGAAGTATTAAGAGACTATCCAACCTCAGTGACACATAGAGGGTCTCTCACCAGCGCCTATGCCAACAGGGGGTAACCAGACCACTGAAGGTCGGTTGCCAAGGTGTTTAAAACCGGTTTGGAATATAATTTCATATATTAGAAGCCCCTTTGTATGAAGACTGACTGCTTGATACCTGAAGAAGATTGAGTAATCCATTCTTTTGAGCTTACAGTTATTTCCTTTATATATTTTTCCGGTACATAGTAGGCGGTTTATAGGTATTTCAATATAAACAATGGTATCCGTCCTGTAGTTAATTGTATCTAAGTAATAGGATTTGAGTGATTCAAACATGCTTCTTCCATTCAATTCCCTAAGTAGCCTGTGAGTTCATTCTTCCGCAAATATATGCCCAATCTCATTTATCGCTTGTTTATATTTGCTAGCCCGACCAGATCCCCATATTTCAAGGTGTTCATTGTTGCTGCATATTGGTCTGTCGCCGGTGAAACGGTTAGGATCATTGACGATTGAGCATCGCTCGATGCTTCGAAATGATGACGCAGTACCATGGTCAATGGAGAGGACCTGTACGGGATACGCGGTTGAGCAAGTGATCTGGCTCGGATCACTTCTTTCAATGCGAGAAGGTCTGTATTGATCTGCCTCCCTTGTTGCTTCTCCTGAGGAGACTGTTTGAGCGCAGCTCCGTCTGCACCGGAAATGAATTCTGCCCCAGCCAGGTCCACGAAAACAAGCCTTCCGCCGATACATTCATGTGCACGAGCGGTGGTAGTGAATACTTCAGATTCGTGCTGTTCTGCCGCTTTCACCCGAGCTTCAAACTCGGCCTTTTGTGTCTCCGCAGCATCGACACGTTGCTGGTTCACCTGATAATCAGGATTTGGCGAATACTTCCCATCTTCCGTCTGAACCACTGCACGAAGTTGCTCCTCGATATACACATCTGTCGCGTATTTCCCGACAGGAACAAGCTCCGACTGTCGATCAACCACGCTGGCACGCGCATCAAGAAGATCCGTGGTGATGATTTCCATTTCAATGATTGCGTGCGTGCGCGAACTTTGGTCATGTACGGTCGATGTTGCGGTCTTGCGGTGCTTCAGTCCTTGCTGTAGCTCCCGCTGCAGCTGTTCGAAGTTCCAGCATGCCCTGGTAGCAATTGGCCGGACTCTCACTCTCCCATCCTCTAGCATTTCCGTCTCGCCTCGGATGTACACACGGCGATCAGGGCCCTCGCGGACAAAACATTCTGTTCGGTTGTTGAGCAGATCAAAGGCGCTGTTCTTTCGTAGTTCATACACTCGGAGGCCGATGCCAAATCGGTAGGCGTTATCCTCCGCATTGATTCCATCAAGCGCAGTGGCCAGCTGGCGCGCTGCTGCTAAGCAAAGCCCAAATTCGTCGCTGTTTTCAAAATCGTATCCAATCATGGTATGTGTCTTGCCGCTGCCTGAATGCCCGTATGCAAAGAAATTGCAGCACCGGCCCCGCAGCACGTCAGGGATGATTGGTGCCACAGTGCGATTGTACACAACGCTGTTGTGCTCATGAGGTTCAATGGCTCCGTCAAATGAGAAAGCACTTTTCCAGGATCGCTCACGGCTTGAACGCGCTTGGTCTTGGGCGGATGCGGTAATCGAGATCTGAAGCTGTTGACGATGGTGATCCCGGTCCGATGAGCGTATAATTTCTCCTTGTTGGGATTCGTTTGACTTGAGAGGCCGCCACCTCGCCCACACTTTTAACGCGTTCATTTCCAGCTCGGCGATGAACATGAGAGGAACGAAGATTTATCGTGGGATCAGGCCGGTTTCAAATAGACCCAGTACTGCACTCCAGCGAGAAAGTAAAAGGGACAAGAAGCAGAATTCGGTAAGATACGAACTGCGGGTCGCGGTGGAGACGGGGAAGTGGAGCATCTCGTAAACCCCCCAAAACAGTATAGTCCGCCATTCGATTATATACTTCATCATCATCGGGGCAGTAGTGGGTCTACGAGTTTGGCTCTGTTGTGCGACCTTTAATTTCATCCTACCAACAACGCGCCTGATCCAAATGAATGAATTTGTAGACGATGACCAGCCACTGTATACAGCATATAAGGCCACATGACCGCATCGCGGAATAAGCTATGAAACTACCGGAATCTACCACCGCAGTAGTGGTAGGTTTCAACAAAACCTAAAACGGCAAATCCTCCAAGCTTTTGTCCCACTCCATGTCCAACAGCCAAGCCATACCATCGAGTGTCGCCTCCTTGATCATGCGGCTGTGGCTGCCTGGCCAGGGAGGGGATACCCAAGCCGTATGGCCCTCACCCTTGAGAATGGTAGTTCTGGCTTGCACCCCCGCTGATTCGGAGAACCATTTACCATAGATAATCGCATCATCTCGGAACAGGTCATGCTCTCCACCATATACAAAAACCTTGGATGGATGCTCTTGGAAGGTCCTGCCGTGGGAGAACTCCAGGTTGATTGGCGAGAACCAAGGGGAGTGCACATCAAGCCGAGCCTCCAAGTCGTGTCGCATTGCATCGAGGATAGCTTTATTGTCCACTGCCGTTTCTCTGGATTTGAAGATACCGCGATATTCCGCTGGAAGCATAGGCTCGGAGACCAGAAACGGCAAGCCCGAGAATATACCGGTGATGGGGTTCCGGAGAGGAGTCAGACCAGCAAACCCCTCAAGCCCGGCCGATATGGCATCAGGTATGCTTCCGATCACGGCAGCCACAGAGCCACCAGAGCTGAGTCCACCAACCACCAAGCCACGTCCGGGGTCAACGCTGACCCCAGAATTCTTCAACACTCCCTCGTTCAAGTTTCGCACTTCAGACATCCACGCGCAGGCTTCCCAGGCAGCTCGTACCGGTTCTGGAAATGGGTGCGTTGGTAACTGGTTGATTGTGGGACAGGCCACTACACAAGACAGGACGGTGGCAAATCCGCGGGCTGGTGCTAGGACTAGATCAGGGCTGCACGTTGAGAGGCCACCACCGTGGAAATATATGACCAGGGGGCACCGAATCGGTAGTTCATCCGATAACCTAGGCCACACCACCTTCGTTGCATTGGATTGGTTGTCGGGTAATGGGATGTCGATCGACGCCTCACCTAAGTGCGGTGGACATGGGCCGAGGAGTTCGAGGCCAGCAGCCTCGAGTTTGGCCATCTCCGAGCGCTGCTCGTGCATGAATGGAGGTTCACTAGACGCCATTGTGGAAGCTAGCGAGTACTCAGAACAGTTTCTTGGTAGTTTGGGCGGAAATATAAACCTCAAACTAGCGCTGAGGGAATGGGATTGATTGAGCTTTGTCGGCGCTGTAGCGATGTTGCAGTGATACCCTGTTGTTGAAGCTTTCAGAGCGTTAGCGCAGGGTTGTTCTCTGCTTTTATAGTAATCAATAGGCATCGGTTTTCAATTGGAGTACGCGGAATGATTTTTTGTCTTTTTCTTTTGTCTTTTTTTTTTTTTTTTCGGCCAGTCCTGTGGGCTACTAAAATGGCAGTATTCCTGGGGTCTCAAACCTCTTCTTACTCAGGAGAAACACTACCAAGACATGTCGAGTCCTGATATGGCAACGTACGAAAGTGGGAACTCATTCAAGATCCAGTGTCTAGCTCGTAATAACCCCAAAGCGGTATAGCTTTCCTACAAGGGTGAAATAACCGTGCTGCCAAGCGCGGAAAACTAACGAAGAACACTGACCCGGGAGATTGATGCCAAAGCGTATCGCTTGGTGATTGAAGTGTTCCAATTTGGGAGCACCGGGCAATACATACGCTCGTAAACCACTGATCCTAGCTTTGCCGACAATGCCTGATGGTGAACAGACCGTTAGTGCTGGAATGATCAAAAGGGCCGTTCTCTATCAAAAAGGGTATTGAGCGAGATGGGTGAGCTCTGTCTTAAAGGACAAAAGCGTCGGCAATCCTTTCACCAGCGCCTGGTACAACAAGTTTGTGTTTCTCCGTGAAACAAATATATACATCCCTATTTCAAGGTTGACTGGAATTTTGCAATGCTGAAATCAAATCTTTCGAATATGTCTAATTTAACAATTGTATTCTGTTCGCAATATTCTTCTTATCTTCAATTTGTTTTTAAATAGTTGGTAAGTCTGTTAAGATTGTCTGGGTTAAGAAGTATTATCGCAAGGCAAATTCATGCATAAAAGTGCGGGATCTGTAAGACTTCCGGTGTAGTGCTGTATGTCAATCACCATTTGAAGTGCTTTTGGCCCCATTATTACGGGATGGCTTTCCTGCATGGAAAATAAGTTTAGTTAATGGACGAAGATCAACTCAAGATAAAAAGGACTTGAATGATATTCTCTTGATCTCTATTGGCCAAAGCTGAATGCTCGAATAAACGATAATCCGCTCCGGATATCAACCGGATTTTCCTCGACAACGCCGTTGTTGCCATCTCTTGAAGCACGAATAAATGGTAGATATCATAAGCACATTGCCAGGAAATCTCTCGAAAATGTAAGCCTCACTTCGAAACTGGTGACGCGACCAGGCGATGGCTAATAATCGCTAGATCGGTATGCCAAGTCAGAATTGCTTCACGAATTCAAACGGGGCATACGACAACCCAAAGTCAACCCGTAGGAGTATTTTCAAGGTACGCACAGGTTGCATCACCTGCAAGACGCGACATATCAAATGCGATGAGACAAAGCCACACTGCAATAATTGTCTGCGGAGCCGCCGACTTTGCGAGGGTTATATCAACAACTTGAAGAAACCTTCTGGTCCGGTCCAGATCTGCTGGGACTCCAAGCGCAATGTTCATCGCTCTGCCCCAAGGTCCAATTTGCAGCCGACTGTGCGTGCTAACGACTTCCATGATGGCGTGGGTATGCTGTATTTTGAAGAATTCATAACCTTAGTCCGAGGCCCTTGGATCTCAGCGGTGTCCAACGCAGAATTATGGCAAGCGACTCTGCCCCAGCTTTCTCGGACCAACGACACGCTCAGGTGTATCGCAATAGGAATTGGGGCACTGAGTATTAACCATCACTGTGAATTCTCCCATCCTTGTAAGCGATTGATGCTTCCTAGCCCGAACTTCGAGAACGATACGCATTATCAAAATGCCGTGCGGTATTACTGCCGTGCGCTTAAGCTCCTGAGTGACAGCAGTTCCGTTCAGGACGTGGTCTCTAGTTCGGTACTGCTCCTATTTTTCGAAATCCTCCGGGGTAACAGGAAGACGGCGTTGAACCACCTCAACCATGGCCTATCGCTATTGTTAACCCTGTTGACGGATGACACGCACAACTATCTACACGTTGTCGCACCAAACCCGAAACCTTTTCTTTTTTCACTTACCAGCATCTTTGCATGTTTGGCACCGCAGGCCCGCTTCCTTCTCCTGGCCTCTGTAGGTCAAGATCGGCCCCTGCCGAATTTCATTAGAGGCCTCGAGAGCAAGGGCTTGACTTTGGAGTCGTTCATAGTTCTGCTGGGCCGGCTATCACGACGCACTGCGACCATTGACTGCCCATCTACGTTTAGCAATCTCGACGAGTTTGAAGAGCATTGGTGGAATGTTCGGATTAACAACTCCGCAGTGGGCTCGATGGCGGTAAGGATTGTACAGGACTCGGGTATTTTGGGCTCCAAAGAGGGAGACGCCATCAACGCGTTTTACTGCGATCTTCTACTTAACCCAGAGATTCAAGAGTTTTGCGAACTTTCGAGGAAGGCTATGGATACGCTGAGCGCGGCATCGCTTCCGCTGTTCAACAAAATATTCATGTCCGACACTCAATCTTCGACATATCTAAGGGCTATCCATCTACGATTGCAGTTTCTCCAGGTGTATGCTTTCGAAAACCCACCACAATATTCCAGCGCGGAGACCTTACACTCGCAAACTCCTTTGTTCCGTGAATACTTGTCTCTAGCCCGCATTGCGTTGCAGATTGCCCAACGGAAAGTCTCAAATTCTCACTGCTACATTTCCCTAGAATGTGGAATTGCGTGGCATCTGCTACTTGTGGCCTTCTTCTGTCGTGACCCGTTAACTCGCGATGAAGCCGTACAGATACTGAAAGACTATCCCTGCCAAGACGGACTATGGAATGTACAGTCTCTCTACATCTTGGCCCTAAAGAGCCAGGATGTAGAACGTGCAAATGCAGTCGAAGGCACATCAACAGAGCAGTGGCACAGACTATGGCGTCGTGAGTACGTTTTCGAAGACGGTGGCAATCGAATCGTATTTCGCTATCAAGATAGGTCTGACGCCACGGGGCATTGGCAAACGGTAGAAGAGGTTGCTGAGATTGCAGGCGGGGCAGATGACATAAATTGGATACGACGACCTCTGACGGGTTTCGGAGCTTTGACTATGGGGGATCTGGTTACCCATCAGACTGGCACTGGAGGCCACCTAACTTAACAAACGTTATGACTAGAAGCATTTAAGATTCGGCTCTTTCGACCATGGGGTCCATGATGCAAGGCCTTTGCGCAAGGAGTCAATACGGTGCAGCCTAGAGACATGGACGTCTTCCATGCAACTCTACTATATAATATTTTTGAAGATAGCTGTCTAAATATGAACAGACCAGCTGATAGTCCTCGTACCCCGAACATGTGGGAGCTAACCTATGGAGTTCAACAAACTTCCTTTATAGTTGACGTGGCTACCCACGAAGAATGACAGGATTGCTTGTATTGAGATGCTTGCAGTTTTATGGATTTGAGCGGAATATGATCATCTTTTTAGATCATCATTTGCACAAGCAATTTTCTCCATGCGCGAATCACATCATAATTCAGCAGGCCAATGACGAAATTCTTCCCTTGATGCCGGACTGCTCCTCTTCCGTTAGCCTTATCCCAAAATGCTCTTCTAGGGCGTTGATACTTTCCTCTTCGGTTGTGCAGGTCTGGACCAGCATTGTTTTCCCGCCAGTGTTTTTCTTTATGCGGTCATGGTCCAGGATGAGCTTCCCATAGATAATGTCATCCATACGCAGAAACTTGGCAACCAGCAACTTAGATGTCAGGGGGCAGTCCGGGCTGCGACTTGCAAAAAGGTTCATGACTTCGAAATCCCGACGAGTGAATTCGATGTCGGTAAACACATATGCAGACACCCATGGCTGATCCACACCGTTCCGAAACTGGTATAGCCATGCATTGGGTTGTACGCCACCATTATTTGGCTTTTGGTGATGGACCAATCGTAGTTCTTGAGCCCCGATATTTTGGAAAGGCACGTCCGGGGTAAGAGGTAGAGGGGCTCTTGGGCCATTTCCACCATAGCCAACATCAACCAAGTACCAGTGATGACCAGATAGGGTCACGATATTGACCGAATGTTCCCTCCGATATGTTTGATATTAGTCGCGCGATCGGTATTAAAGCCGGTGATCATAGCGAGATGATTCTCAATCGGGAGACTCACCAGCCTGACCAACCGGAGGGCTGACTGCCACTCGTACGATGAAGTCGTGCTCCTGTGAGATATACCCGGAACCCGAAAAACCGAAGAACGTGATGGAAGAATATGTTATTCTCCATACAGTAGCCACCACGACGGTTTACGACCACTTTGTTATAGATATGCACAACATCTAGCGATACATGAGGGTTTCCCGTATAGTGGAGAGCGAGATTTTTATAGGGAATTGCGGAGAGATGACAGGATTGAATTGTTGAAAGGAACGCAAGATTTAGTTCGGGTCCCTTATCTCGCAGATAAATACTTGGTACTTGAACATAGTTGAAATATTCGTCGATCTGTTCTGCTGACAGAGCAGAGCCTATATTGCTGTCAAACACGATGAGTTGGCCCAGGACTTTGTGGCCGGGGTGGGAAGAAAATGGGCAGTAGCGAGGAAAGGTTTGCCTGCCCAGGTATTTATGCGTCATTTTAGGCCCATGGGTGTTTTACTTCGTTTAGACAAGTCCATGCGGAGTGAGTTTAGTCTATTTCTACATACATGGATATGTAAGGGCTCCAGACTCGGAAAACTAGATTGATTGACCCATTTGTACTTGTTCGGCGTGATTCCAAATCCCGTGGTTTTTGTGCCAGACCTTGGAAGTAAGATCTCATCTTAGCTTAGGCAGGGATATATGGAAGCTGATCGAAAGTGCCGCTGAAGCGACCAAATTTCAGGAACGCAGAAAATAAGGCATGAAGTTTAGCTCGAGGTACTATAAATGCCTAATAAGCCCTGGGTTGTAGGGTGTTTATTAGTTAGTATAGGAGGACTAACTAGACTTCTTCAACCCGGTTGGTGCCCACTAATCAGAATGGATTGCGAGCAGAACGGCAGAAAAATAAAGCAAAAACATACAACAGCCGGGATTCGCTGGTGGTCACCCACCCAACTACTAACCGGCCGGCGTGAGGCTTAAGTACGGCTGAGCGGACGGGAAGCCCTGTTCTCCTCACCCTGTGGTCGTATGTACTTGAACATATCCATATTCAACACATGTAGCTGGGATTGTGGGTGGTATCTGATTAAACAGCCTTTGCACGGCGAAGCTTTATCCCGCAGCATGTCAACCACAAGATACCAGTTTCCCTGATTATTGATTGTCCCCGCAACCTAGACCGCATAATATCATGGCACTATTTGCGAAGTTTGGGCGGTGTTGTCTGCCTACTTCCAAATTGATGGTTGCTCTTCGAACACAAGAGGCTACGTGCGTGAGAGCTTGAGACATGATGGTATTACTACATGTTCAATATCACTCTTAGTCGGCACCTTTCTCCACCAGCTGCAGCAGCACCATCCCTCCAGGCCCATATTATGTCAAGGTCCCCGGAAGGTCTCTTGAGAATGAGAGCACGGTTACTGACCCTGAGCCACAGTTCATCGCCACGTTGACCGTGCCAGCTGTTTCCCCTGGATGTATACCTGGCTTAAATCCCCTTTCCTTCGAAGTCCTTCACGACGGAAAATCTAAAACGGCCCAACAGGCCCTTCCCACAAACCTTTATAGTTACCCCGTGCCCAACCCCCACTGGTATTATGTGGGGTTCCTTTTGCCTCCCTAGGAAGCTTGAGACTCCCTGCCCGCATATCGCCCGAATCGAACTGCCTGATCCAGCCGTTATTCCCATACTTAGCAAGGTAACTTGCTCTGGCTTGGGGCTTCCATGTTTCAGCACGGGCCTCAATGCCCTTGAGGTAAATGTCAAACCAGTAGCAGTAAATCCCACGGAGACCAGTTGTGTTTGTCTGTAGGATACCGAGCGCATCTGGTTCGCTTTGCCAATCATATATGAATTCGAAGTCCGCGAGCGCCTTTTCGATGCCCTTCGGGGTGTCGACGAAAATTCCCCACACCTTACGGTCCATCATGTACCAAAAGACACCCGCAGTCTAGGGCATTGGTGGTAGTGTTAGCAATGACACGCTAGAAACAAATGCCGGGCGCGGTGGCTAGGGATAACAGCGTGATGCCTGTTTTGCGTTTGCTCTTCCGTTTGCAGGGTTCCACTCGACAATTCATTTCTCTGGAACAACGGGTTCTTCCTGCCGTTCATGTCTTCTTCTCTATAGAAAGTCCGTCCAATTTCGAGGTGCTGCCGATGCCCTCGAATGGACGTTCCCAGAGATGCCTTGCGTTACCCCAGTCTTTTTTTGAGGGCACAAACGGCGCCTCGGTGTTTGGTGCCAGACGAAATGCGCTCCGTATGCCCGAAGCCCTTCCAACACGACTAGGTAGTGGCGGCAGACCCTTGTTTGATGTTTCATTCCGAGATACGCTCAATATCCGCAGGGCGTGGGCTGGACGGAACGTGGAAATCGATCCACTTGTATCTGCGGCTACACGGGGCTTGCAAAGTTTGTTGTGGACCGGTGTATCAACAACCCTGCTAGCTGAGCTATTTTACTTCCAATCAAGCTGTCCAATGTCTTTGAACATATGTGATAGATGTTGATACGCCCTGACCCCGCATGGTAATCTCCGAACATCAATCAACTGACAGTTTGAGCGCGCCGGACCGCCCGGGACCGGATAGACACAAGGCGTGATACTTCGAAGCGATCTAGGCCAACGCAGGAGGCGGCAAGGAGCAGCGAGGGTTTCTTGCTTAGCCTCGAGACACTGTTTGCATCCAGCGGAATTTTACGGAGCTCCTTGGTTTGACTTAGAACTTACTGAACAAATATTGTTGCAAGACAAAGCCTGCTTTGCCCGGTAATTCCACAGTTATCGCATTTTCCTATCCCTTTTCTCTTGCCTTGTGACTGGATATGGAGTACTATCTATTCAAGACGCTCCTCTTCTCATTGATTATTATCGGTAGCCATGCAAGCCAGTTCTCAATTGACAAGACTCTACCCGAGGGAAGGCTTTCGGATGCATGCACAAACGCCCTCGTATCCAACATTTCCTGCCAGTATCAAGTCGCAACCTTTCTCCAAGACCGATACTACCCAGTGGACTCCCTCGTAGAGGCCTACACGTCCTCGTGCTAACAAGGACTTGCTGCTTACGAAGACGCCGTCTCGTCTGCTTGCAATGCCTCTGATATTTACCGGAAGTCTGAGACAGGCTATGCTCCAGCGTATGCAATACCTATGTAGTATCGCTATTATTACAATCAGACCTGCATCCGAGACGGCGAGCGCTGGTGCCATGATGTGGCCCATAACATGGCGGCCGGGAAGATTGAGGCAGATCGTATGTGACGCCAGTCTGTGAGGCCATTCTTGCTCGCTGTGTTTGTAGGGTGCGACGACTGCTCAATCAAACAAAGGCAGTTTGTTGCCGGCTCGCCCATGTACGCTGGTAATCAGTTGAGGTCCAGCTATACCGCTTTAACAAAGAGCTGCTCCAAAACGGGCTTCCCTTTGGCACCCTCTACTTCTTTGTATGCCTCGAACAATCTACCCAGCAGACATTGACTGACAATGATGTAGGCCGTCTCCATCTACCAGCAAAATTACCTCACCAACCCCTTCCGTCTGCAGCGGCAAAACATACAACATCAGATCCGGAGACACATGCCAGTCAATTTCCAAGTCTCAAGGTGTCGGCACTGCACAGCTACTGGTGGACAATGGTCTCGAAGCTTATTGCAAGGACTGTCCAAGCCAAGGTGAACTATGCATCGACCGCACCTGCACCACACACACTGTGGCCGCCAATGAGACATGCGTAGATATTGGACGAAAACACGTTATCACCCAAGTCCAGCTCACCACTTGGAACCCCATTCTTGGTCACAACTGCCGTCAGATTGAGCGCTCCGTTGGGAACAACATATGGTCTCGCCGCCAGGAGATGATGGTTCCTGGACGCCCATCACAACCTCATCATCAGTCGCCCCAACAACAACAGAAACCGCAACACCGGCTCCTGTCCCAACGAACTTGGCAAATGGTACTGTAGAGCGTTGTTCACACTACTATCTCGTGGAGCCCGGGGATTATTGCAACAAGGTCATTCTCAAATATAGCATTTCGCTGGATGATTTCTTGTTTCTCAACAAGGGTGTGAACAAAAACTGCACGAACCTTTTTGCCACAGAGTCTTACTGCGTCTCGCCTTTTGGTTCTATTGATGACTATCCCGGTGCACCAGGGTATATTGACCCGAGTGCCAGCTACTCGGATATTCACTACTCCAGCTACCCTACGGCAACCTATACACCTCCAATTGATGCAAACGTAACAAAGCTCTTGCCCATTTCCCCGGGTGGTCGGAAGGATTGTTATGTCTACGTAGCCGGCCCAGAACTCCAGGTCGACGTCTCCGGCACCTTCTACGCGTCTTCCTGCGAAGCCGTCGCCGAGGCAGCCGGAAAGACCGTGGAGGAGTTAGAGCAATGGTACCATCTTATACCCCGTCGAATACCCGGTTTTTCTAACCATGGCATGTGCAGGAATCTCTCTATCAGCGCCAACGGGACGTGCACGTTCAGCTCCAGCTACCGATACTGCATGAACCCGAACGGACCTACAGATGGCGGTCCTATTGCAACAACGCCTCCTATGTCTTCCCCAGCACATCGACGGCATCGCATACGACTATATCCTCCGTGAGCACCACGACTACGACGTCCAAGACCGCGCCCACGAACGGAGGCCCCCCTGGCCCAACCCAATCTGGTATACCCGATAAGTGCAACAGATGGCACCTAGTTACAAGTACGTGGGATTGAATATTGTAGTCTTTGAGTAGAGCTAACGATCTCAAAGGCTCTGACGAGAATTGTGCTACCGTTGCCGCAAAATACGGCATAAGCGTGAAGCAGTTTTATGATTGGTATATCACTTCCTTGAAAGCGTGAACGAGGAGTCTAACAGAAATACAGGAATCCCGCTGTTTTACATGACTGTGTGGACGGGTTCTGGAAGGATGAAGCATATTGTGTCGGTGTAGCCAAGTGAACTATCAAATGTAGTGCATGTTAGATGAGATGGAGAAAGACATCAGATGCCCGAGGACACAGCAGGAGCCCCATGCCATGAGAAAAGGGTTGGGTGATAACAAAAATGAAACTCATAATATGCTCTAACCCTTCTGTATAGTACTAGGCCAAGAATTGGAATATATATGTCTTCAACCGCTCTACATTCCCATGGTGTATTACGCCATGAAAGTGGTTGCCAACTAGACTTCAGAACGCCTTACTAGCGGTAAAATATGTAACATGGCAAACTGCATCGTCTTAAAAGGCCGCCGTTGCCGCCGGGTCTCCGAGACTCTTCGTTACTTCATCATTCTTTCCCAACATGCCAGATCTCACAGATTTACCTGCTGAACTCTTCAGCCACATTCTTCTTCTTGCCTTTGGCGTTGCTCCACGATATACAGAGGGCTATGATGATGAAGGAGCTCTTGACACGAAATCTCGAAGCCGTCTCCTTCTCGTTAATCGGAAACACTACCTCGCATTCCTTCCGCTGGTGTACTCCCAATGGACCTACAATGGGACCCGACACAACTACAGCGGGCTCTGGAAATTTTTTCGGACTGCAGTCAAAAACCCCGGTCTAGTATCTGCGGTGAAGGTGCTCAATATCGGTAACTGGGGCCTTTGCGCTCCATTTTATCTTGATAGGAACCGCGAGCTACAGGATCAGAATAAAGAGCTACAATTTACAGTCGCTGACGAGGAGACCGTGAAAACTGCGCTTCAGCGTTCGGGAATATCAGGAGATCTTGCCTACCAGATTTCTGACGCTATCTTTGCGGACCGAAGTGAATATCGTGATCGGCGGCCTCTAATGGCGCTTCTTCTGGCCTGTCTCCCTTGCGTGTGGAAGGTATATGCGCACATACCTGTGTCGGATCCATTCCTAGCAGGTGTTTTGCAGGCAGTAATAGGTCGGCAACGGGCCGGCTCGGGTGGACAGTTGACTTGGCTGCCCAGCCTAGAGGAATTTCACGTCCTCTGTGAGGTCCCTGGGTATTTTGAGGAAAGCTCTAAGTTACCCAATGACGATATATTCGATCCATCACTCAATTTAGGGGATATATGGCCTATCCTCTATCTGAAAGGTCTACATACCGTTCGTCTGTATGACTTCGATCCGGACGGGTTCAGCCAGCTGTTCCACCACAAAATGTATGGCAGTGGGTCTGAGTGCCGTATCGAACACCTTCATATTGCCACGAAAAGAAAGTCCATCTGCAGAGAAGAGGATATAGCACCGCTGCTTACTTTACCGGTGGCATTAAGAAGTATTTCTTTTTCTTGGGATAACGACAAGGCCAAGACTAAGGAAAAGATCAACGGCAGGAGGCGCAATGTCTGGCAGATATCCAACAATCAATTCTGGGCTGCTATCCTAAAGTATAAGGGGACATTGGAATATCTGGATGTCTTTCATGACTTTCCACCAGAGCCAGAACCACGCAAACGTTGACAAACGGATTACTTTGGCCTCCTCACCGATTTTGCGAAGTTACGCTATCTTTCTATTAAGGCGGAGATGCTAATCGGGGGCTGTATCAAGGACTCAGTGGCTTCATTTCGACTGAAGGAAACACTACCAGGCACAATTGAAACCGTGGTTTTAGCTACGGAAGATACGGTAGAGAACGTTCATGACCTTCTACTCCAGGTAGAGGAGGTGGCATCGCAATTCCCTCATCTGGCAACCCTTGACTTCACGGAAACCTGGGCCATAAGCGGCTCTACCACCTCTACCCAAGGAGTAACCCCCGCTATATACCAGCCGCTCAAAGAAGCCTGCTATCACAACGGTGTCCGATTCAGTACTGCGGGAATCTGCAGGTCTACAGTCCAATTGCAAAAATGCCCTTTCCCTTTGGGTATGCGGTGTCTGAGTCGATGGAAGGAAACATATAATATGCGAATAGACGCCGGTTTCCAGTATGAAGAAATGTGCGAAAGAGCTACCCGCAAAGCTGCAGGACTCCGGGAAACGCAATCGCCATCTCCTGAACCACATATTTGGGGCTCTCGAACAATTGAGAGACACGTCCTCCCATTCCATGATCACGGCGGAAATACAGCTTTCATGGTTTTTGAGAATGAAAAGAACATTCTTCTTCCCCCTCTGTTTAATCTCAATATCTATTTCACTCATTCCGAGGGCCCACCGGCTCAAACCGATGACATGGAAGATGATCTCCGAGCAATGCACGCGCGGATTAGGGCTGACGGTTTCGATGACGACCACTATCGACTCGATGTCTACTTTCTGCCAAATGCAAGCAGTGAGGATTGTATTGCGCATTATGAAGCTGAGAAAGCGAGTCGCGAAGATTCCATGGGCCTGCGTCTTGAGGCAGAAATCAGGCTCGACACAGATTTCCCACCACCGACGATCCCGCGACTGCCGGGCATGGTCAAGTTATACCATCCCTTAAAATGTGCTTACTACAGCGGAGTGCTGTTCGTTCATCCTGGTCGCAGCTGGAGAAACGGCGCGCAGCGCATGCGCTGCATCAGATATGGAACGGGTTTTGAGCTTGGGCAGGGCTTTGATGAGGAATGGTATGATATTATCCCTGGTACGGGTATAGGCTTGGGCGAGCTGTTCTGGGAGTTCGCTCGTCAGGAGCGGCATGAGACTCTTGCTATTTACCAAGGTGTTACGGAGAAGGGGTGGACGACTTGGTGAGGATCTCCTCTGTCTGTGCTTGTGTTCGATATTCTGCGCATACACTCCCCTCTAGCAAAATCCAGCAAGTCCTCCTCATTTGGTAACCTAGGAAATGCTTAAGTTTATCTTGAAATAACTTGGAGGCTCGTCCAATTCAGGAGGTCGTCAATATATAGTCTTGTAGGCGCTTATAAACCACTAGCCACCACACCTCTCCCTGACAAGGGTACGATCTATATTGCTCTTAAATACAAACTGGAACCAAATTACCGGATCAACGAAGGTCTTAAATTGCATCTAAAGAACGACAAGGCCTTTGCACAGATGCGCGTAGCCGAAACTAGGATTCAACAAAGATAGTTGCCGGTCAACTCGAGCCCGGGATGGAAACCCAGCTGAGATGCTTCTAAAACACCACAATGGCTGTGTGTCTCTGTGTCGACAACGAGATCACTTGCACACACCCTGCGCCTTGTTGGGAGATTGCTATAGGGTATACCAATCAGCTTCAGGATGAACCAGCGTCTGGGGATGGAAATTACACATACGACACACAAGTTCGATGCACAGACGCCCATGCTACCATCTTTCTTGCAATGAGCACCGGAAGGAAGCTGTGCATTAGGTAGTTAGTAACGCAGATGGATTGGGTACTGATGGATGGATGGATTTCCGAACCTTGGCGGCGCACGCAGCACCCACAAGAGTAATGACGGTAAGAAGAGAGAAACGCATTTTGAAAGAGACTTTGGGGTTATCCGAGAAGTTATGAACAGAAGGATATCGATTTTTGGTTTTGTTTCTAACTCGCAGAGATTGGGGGTGGTATTTATATTGACGACACTCGGTCTCTCACCGATTCAACGCCTATCCCCGAGTTCCTCGTTCCGAATTAAAGGAGTAAGACGCTCGACGATCGGCTTCACCATTGTCAAAACACTTATTACCGGGTAGATCTCTTGCCACTTCCTTCGCGTTGCTCTGGTGGTGTAGTTCGGCTATTCCGACTATAAATAGCCGACAGGGCATGCCGATCATAGTCGAAGCTCTTACATCCGACTTTCCGACTCAACTGAAACATTACGTTTTCAATTTGAACTCCGTAGACGACAAGGAACAAAAGCGCATGCTACGGTACTATCCATGGGATGGCTCGCAATTGCCCTGGCTCCGAAGCGGTCGATGTATGATTTATATACAATTACTAAACGGGTCGGCGTAATAAAACTACTCATCTAGGCGATCGCTCCGTCCGATTTTCTGGGTTTGTGTTAGATAGTACGATTTCGCTTATTATTCCTTTCTTACTCTCGGATGGAGAGAACCCAAAAGGATTAGTTTATTTGTCTCTCTCCTGGGAGCTCAGCATATAGCTACGCCATAAATTATTTAGGTAATAAAATAATAATAGATAGAGTTCTCTTATGAAGAAGTGCTTTCAGGACGCCCGGGGTGAGAGGCTAGGATTATAATCACCGGTGTTATCGTTTAGCCGTTGGACAGGACCTTCTGTCTTGAACCATGGTTGACCCGATTGGAGCTTTGTGACCCTGTTGCAGCAGAAATTAGCTTTTATGCTTACTATATATTACGTTTAGTAGTGTGCTTACTTTCAGAGCACAGGCTGCTATCTAATGTTGATAGTCACTTTTCTATGAAGGTTAAGATGATGGCTATATAATTTTAAGGAGGTTGCTGCTTCCTGTTATCCGAGTTGTAATCCCGAGCAATATATCGAGTCCAGGTGATAGTAGTATCTGAGACATTGACTTCTTAAATACATAACCAAGAGTATCCGGGCTCTGAAATGTAAACGACTGTACACTTCAACAATAGCCTGTTACCAGTTGACGGTTTCTTTTGCAGTCGGCAGTCACCAGATTGCCTACGGCAGTTCGAGCCCGCTGCTGGTCTCGAGTTAAAGCCAGCCACGACGGCGGATACGGACAGGCACTTCACCCACCGGACCGAGTACTCCGAATCCAAAGTTCCGCATACTCATTTCCATGTTCTTATCTGATGCAAGAACTTCACCTTCATAAAGTATCGCCAACGTAGCCGTGCAGAGTATGATTATCATTTTGGCAAACTGCCTTCCCGGGCACGCATGATGGCCTCCTCCAAAAGGCATCCAATTCCCCTTGGCTATGTCGGTAGAAAACTGGATAGACCTCCCATCGTGAGAATACTTCAACCACCGTCCGGGCCAGAACTTGTCGACAGGATGGGGTTCGTTCGAGCCTGTGCACCAAATATGTGGGTCCATGTGGCTAGGCATTGGGCTGGAAAGTAAGAATCGAGATTTTGGAATGCGCCAGCCACTGATCTCAATGTCATCCCTTGATTGATGCCACACAAAAAGACCATTAACCCGTAGTCGTAGTGTTTCCGCGTAAACGGCTTGTAGAACTGGTTTCTGGAGAAGTCGACGAGTATCAAACATCAAGTCGCCCTTATCATGTCGAATAATGCATGACTGGGCTTCCTGCCGGACAAGGTGCAGTAGTTCTTTATCCTGAAAGATCTCGACCGCAGTCCAGAATGAGGTCACCATTGAATTATTAACGGCACTACCACCAATAAAATTAGACAACGCTTCGTATCGGGGTTCAAGAAACAAATAACACTGACCCCCAGATGAATGCAAGGTTTTGTGATGCAATTGCATCCGCAGCAAATCCACTCATTGATTGAAACATCTCTTGTCTGAGCCTGAAGAACTTCGACCCCCAATAAGGGTCATCTCCGTTGGTATCAATGGAGGCAGAGTCGAAGTCCTTTTGTGCCCAGCTGCTCCATGACTTCAAGGCTCCAAGCATTTGGTCTCGCGCCAAGTGAGGTCCAGGGGCTAGAAAACGTGGGATTCTGCAGATCAGCCACCATACATTCTTATCGAAGGTCCACATGTTTTTGATAAAATCAGGATTATGTTCTCGGAGGTACGTTCCACACAGTGAGTCGACACATGAAGACGTGACTTCATAGTGGAATAAATCAAGAAAGTTGTCCCATGTTACCCAGTCATTTTCAACGGGAAGAGACTGTAGACGCCTTGTAATGTCACTCTGGAATCTTTGAGATAGTGTAGTAAGTCCTGGTCCGAGCAGGAAGCGATGGACGGAATCTCTTGCCAAGAATTCAACCCGATTGTTTGTCTTGACTTGGGTCTCCGGATAGGGCTCTGCATACGGACCCGAGTTATCACGGTAGTAAGTCTCTGTGGCTGTCCGTGGTAACTTGAATAAGCGACGGAGTAAGAAGGTATGAAGTACAAAAGAGGATAAGTATCGTTCTTTCATCATCGTTTTGATATTCTTCGTTCCCGAAAATAGATAAAGGGTTGTACCCAGGATTCTAATGCGTACAGGATGGGGGCTCCAGAAGACTCTTCTGTTTCATGTCAGTTGGTGCATGGTAAATTCATGAAAGGTAGATCCACCTTGATGAAAGAATGAAATGCCTCGGGCTCCAGAAGAATCTGAGTGGTATGCTTCCTAGTGGAGACATCCATGACGGAGCTAACGGTGGAGATCTTTGGTCTCCTGGATCATTTTCCTCCAAAACGCAGAGTCTCACGATCACAAAATGAACACAAAGAAAGGCGAACATGACTGTGATAGAAAGGTAGAGGACAGGATTTGCTTTGAGATCCCAAATTTGTAGAAATATACAGAGATTTGGCAGGTTTCCGAAGTCGTATGGCGACATGCTGGAAGCTATCTCCAAGTTCAGGATACAAGGTAGTTTGTCAAGCATCTGGGGAAATGGTGCTTTAGAGATAGAATATCGATACTGTAGTACTTGCTGTCCAAAGCACTATCCATCAAGAGCCTTTCAAAAAATGTTCATTCTGGGTAGACTACACTGCCAGGGATACTCCCTGATCGAATTCGCTGCCACAAAGCGGCCCCCATGTTGCAGCGGCCAGCGAACCGTCAAGGCTGGTTTTCAATTGGCGGCTAGGAGGCATAATCTGTCAACTTGGGCCAAAAGATCTCATGAGGGAGCAACAGGCAATTCGGACTGCGGGATTCGCTCGTGAGTGGGGGCAAGAAAATATGAGAGAATATGCCTGTGGTCAGAGTGTAATCTGACGACCCCTCAGTTGACTTCCAGCCTAGAGGATGCTATTTTGGGTTAAGTATAATGTGAGGCGTCATTGTTCGCAATCTAGCAAACAAGTGAGACCACGGCTAGAATTCGAAACCTCGAGGGTATTTTTGCTATTGTGCCTTGCAATGGTCTTCACTAGCTGAGATTGGGTAAACACTGAGTGGGTATTAAGAGCAACACACAAGAAATTGACTACAGAGGCACCCTTGAAAAAGGGGTTAGGGCTGATGCGGCAATAGGTTACATATGTACAAGAGGTTATGCTTGCCAAGTAGACAGGACTACGATGAATGCGACGTGAACGCAGCTGTTCCAGGGCAGAATTATACAGGACATGGCGAAAAGGAGAACAAGAAAAAAAAAAAAAAAAAAAAAAAAAAAAAAGCAAAAGAAAACATACTTTGGGAACACCAGCCTACTAGAACACACTTTTCCAAACCAACCGCCCAGCATTGGTATGCAATAGTATCAAAGAGATATGACATGCGCAAGCGTCCTGAGCCAACAAAACGCAAAGTTTAAAATTGGTCTGAGGCTGAAAGAGGGGGTCTGTTCACTCCATAACCGTTCTCCTGACTTCCTTATTATCGACAGGTTATGCACGTCTGGTCGAGAGCCGAAGCCATTAGGCAACCATGCCTCAGATAACTGATAATATCCACCAGCTCCTTTATCGATCCATGTACTCTATAGAGAGAACTTTAGGCCGGTTTCTAATGGTTGGGTACTTGAGCTTACCCTCTGTCCTGCCCGACCGATAGATGATAAAATGATCCACAGCGAAAACAATATACTCGGTGACCAGAAAAGGAGTCATCGCCATGAAAAAGAACACAAGAGTCTCGTAAATCAGCTGCGGTGGTCCATAGGACAATGCGATAAACAGGATGATCGTGACCAGAAAGCCGGAAAGAAAACTTGTTACGGCTGCCAAGTCCACCATAGGGATTATGTTGAGCCGCTTTCGCCGAGCCTATAGTCGTATTTATGGTAAAATGCGTCTGGTAAGACCCTTGTAGAAAGGCCAAAAGATATTCTTGTGGGTGGGATGTTCAAGATAGACTTCCTGATCACCATGGCGAGGAGTAGCTCTTGTATTATCCACTTTTTTCTTAATGCGCCTCACTGCAATAGAATACAAGTGATTGCAAGCTCACCCAAGAAAGACGGTGACATGTCTCAGAGCATAGTGTAAAATAGAATCAGCTGGATGCAGGGGCGATATCAGCCAGTCCTGTTTGGTCGAAAGGCAAACAAAGGAACCCGCTGAGTCCAACCCAGTGGCCCGTGCGCATTTGCGCCTCTATTGCAATTTGGTCTGTTGATATTACAATTGATCCCACAAAATTAGTTCATTTGAGAACCAGGTAATACGCGAACTCCAAGAAGAACAGAACTTCCGTTTGCAAACATGGTAACAATCCTCATGCCATGAAACAACGATTGACAAATACATCATGCTCTGTGGGGTTCTTTAGAATGGATTCTTTCTGGGCGATTAGGCAGGATGACGTCTGGATGATTCAGATCAGTATATGATTCACCTTCAGACTCTGCACGAGAAAGAACATTCCGATGTCGTGTAATATTGCCTGCCCTGTTATTCTGTGAAAGGGGTTGTAACTCAGAAAACGACCCTTCGAGCCACATGTTGGAAGGATTATTTCGCTGCCGATATGTGGGCTCTCCAGTTATGGATTCCTTGAGAAGCCTTTTGACTGAGTAGTGGGGTGTGGGTCGGGAATTGCTGCGAGCTGTGAAAAAGGAGCGAAAAGCGATGGATGCGGCCAAAAATACTCCGACTTCGGCGCTTAAGAACTGCCAGTATGTTTCCCAGATCGAATCAATGAAGCCGCGGTAGACAAGCCCAGATACACGGACGATAGAAAGGATGATCATAATAACCGTCAAACATAGTGAGCATGTTAGGATTATCTTCTGGGACCATACGACTTGAATCTTCCAGATTATGCCGATTGGGATAACCAGAACTATTGAGCTGTCAGAGTGGCTAGGACATACATGGATTAATACTGGGACGCATACTTAGTAAATCACCGATCGTGTCCAGTACCATCAACAGAACGGACTGTATTAAGATAATCCGTTTACGGTGCCCAGAAGAACACTCCGCTAGATTTTCCATTAGTATATCGCACATAAAGCCATCATTATAACTTACCTTCCCTCGCATCGAAGAAATAAGGACAACCAATGAAATAGACCGTGACTCCATAGGCCAGGGTACTGATTGTAAAAATGGTAATAACCCACCAGTAGATCTGCCAGCGCGGGATTCTGTCAATCAATCTTTTGAAGAAGACAAGAAAGCTCAGCTTTACGGCGCTGAAAGCGCACCAGGTAGTTGTTAGGCAGATACTACTCCACATGTGATACTTCTGGCTTATGTCTTCTATGTCCGGCGGAGGAACTACACCCTCAAGCCTTAGCTCCATCGCCATTACCATGTACATCGGACTTATAACCGCTCGATACATGATAATAATGCTGAGGAGTAAGAACGCGACCGCCACAAGAAGGAGGACGTCATCAAGTTTCAGCTTCTGCTTCTGCAAGCGAAACCTGATATTAAATCGCATCAGAACCCCTAGCAATGCAAGCGCTAGGAGGGCGGAAATGGAGGCCTAGAAAGTCAGACTCAATTCATTTTCCACGGTGGGTATCACGTACAATGAACGCATTCTTGGGAATTCTTCCAACATTATCCTGGGGCGCCATAATGATGGAATACACCAGCACTGCTGCTCAGGGTCCCTATGTCCATGACACTGCTTAAGTATTCCAAATGAGATCGATATCGCAACCATTGCATCAAAAAGGCAAGGCAAGGCTGCGCTGCATAGTACCAGGATAATAGCAATCAAGTGCAAACATCGTGTGGTTACACAGAAATGTCTGCTTGATCTTACCCAACGATGTAATGTCATTTATTCAGCTAGTACCAATGCATACTAGGTAGCTAAGATAGCTGTAACTTTCGTTCCATGGGCTAGTTAGGTAGTGTTGGTTATTTGGACCTATCATGTGCGAGGGTGTTCTTTGTGTCGTTAGTGGATTTCCGGCCTAGCAACACTGAATCCTTTTTATTTACTGTCATGATATCTCCCCCTCCCCTTGTTTCTCTCCTTTGATTCTCTATCCATTTGAATCGTCGCTACTCTCATTCTCTCTACAGCCATGGATATTCACAGGACGGAATGGAAAGTCCTCTTAAGCCGTATTTGGATGGCTCTGGCGATGGTTTACCTTATATCTATGGTCTACAGGATGGTAAAAGTCCGACTACTCTTCTACCGCCTTAAACGTAAAGCCATGGTGTGTGTTCCTCTTTTCCTGTCTGTTTTTGAAGTCGGTTACGAACACGACGAAAAGCATCTAACAACACATTGCAGCCAATGTACCCCTGGGATCCTATCTTTGGAAACATCCGAGTTCTTGCGGCTCTTAGCAAAAGGGTCCCAAAAGATGCCAGGCAAGCCGAGGCTTTTGTAGCCCTCTCATCGGAAGGTTCTGGAATAGAAAGTTGCTTTTATATCGACGTTTGGCCTTTTGGATTCCCCATGCTTGTTGTAATCTCACCAGAGCTTGCAGTTCAGGCCTGCCAGACTTATGACCTTCCCAAGCCAGATGCGCTCGCTCCATTTATTACCCCGATGGCTGGTGGACCGAGCTTTTTCGATACCAACGGGGCAGAGTGGAAACGGGGACGTGGGACTTTCAACTACGGGTTCAGTGCACAGGCCGCTATAAAACATGTTCCGCATATTATCGAGGAGGCAGAAGTGTACGTCGCTGTTCTTCGGCAACACGCAGAGACGGGTGATACATTTTCGCTGGATGAAATCACCTGCAATTACGTGATGGATATTATTGGCAATATCGCATTGTAGGCTTTCTGCGCGTGACCCGTCTTACCGGATCCTAACGATAGCTTGCAGGAATACTCGATTCAAGAGCCAGACAGGACATAATCCTATCGCTGCGGCTATGAGAAATACCATTGACTGGGAGTTTCAGATCGAAACGGGCAATCCATTCACTCGGTTGAATCCTATGCGATTGTTCAAGCAGTGGTCCAATGGGCGTACAATGAACCACTACATCGGGGTGGAACTAGACAAGCGCTATCAGGAATGGAGGCAAGGTGGACTATCCTCGTCGACAACCAAATCTATTATGGATCTTGTTATTGCTCAATACATGAAGACGAGACCGGCAGGACCTAGTATTGACCCCCAGTTTAAGGCTTGGGCTACTATTCAAATCCGTCTTTTTCTCTTCGTCGGACATGACTCTACCGCGGTGACTATCGTCTATTGTCTGTATCTTCTGTCTAAACATCCTGAGATATTAGTCCGTGTTCGTGCAGAACATGATGGAATATTCGGCTCGGATTTATCCAGCGCCGCTGGGCTGCTCAGGCAGCGTCCAGAGCTCATCAACCGGCTTCCATATACCCTCGCGGTGATCAAAGAAACGCTGCGTCTTTTCCCGCCAGCAAACGGACTCAGGCAGGGTCTTCCAGGAATCTCCCTTCGCGACAAGAACGGTACGGAATTCCCTACTGAAGGGTTTGCCATCTGGATTGTACACAGTGCCGTTCATCGTAATCCCGAATCTTGGCCAGACCCGCATTCCTTCATACCTGATCGTTGGATGGTCGAACCTGGTCACCACTTGTACCCCCCTAATGGTGGATGGAGGCCTTTCGAACATGGGCCTCGGGACTGTATAGGCCAGAATATAGCTCTCCTTGACATTCAGATTACACTGTTGTTAACAGTCCGCGTGTTTGACTTCCGAGATCAGTATTCCGACTGGGATCGCCTGCATTCCTCTCATGGGATCAACACTATGTTCGGCGAGCGGGCCTATCTTATCCAAAAAGGGTCCGGCCACCCGGCTCAGGGATTTCCATGCAAAGTGAGTCTACGAGACAGGACTTAGGCGCTCGGAATGACCTATGTCTGCCTCTTTCTATGTATCCATCCGTCCCAAGACAAAAGAGTGTTTCTAGCTAGGCCAACAGCCTTCCCTGTTTTCATACTTACACCAAACTATTTTCTGCTTACAAAACTGGTGTTGGAATATCAATGAAATCCCCTGCGGACTTATGATATACGATAAGCCCGCTATTGGAAATTTTTAGAAGTCCTCTTGTCGCACAAGGTCATTGCACAAAGCAGCAAACATATGTTGCAATCAAGGGGGGTTATTCTACATACTTGGTGGCTCTAATGCTAGGGCCTTTGCTTTCATTCCATACTCGACGGTCATTCCGCAACACAGCAGAAATTCCTGCTGTCAAGGGGGTTCATTATACATATTTTGTAGTTCTCATGTAAGAGTTAGTGTATTTTGATATTATACTCTAAGGCACCCTAAGTATAAAAGAGAGCCTAGTGACTCGCTCTGACTTGCTCTATATTTGGGCGGAGTTTGTCAACTAAGTTGAACAGCGGCTATATTTAGTACGCATTGAATCATATGAGTGCTTGCCTGTGCTACCCACTTTGGAAAATAGCTTGTTAACCTTACCACTGCCTACTCTTTACCTTGATTATATCACCAAGGACAATCATAATGAAGAGCCCTATAGCGGTCGCTACCTTCGCTTCGCTTTTCAGTCTGTCGGCAGCATGGAATGTCCAGGGCCACAACTATGATCTTTCCAGCACGGGGCCCTCAGGTTGTTTGCAGGCTGATTCGGCGCCGGGAATAGTTCCTATAACCGAGCTGGCATCAGATGAAGCTATTTTGTTTTATCCGGACTCTTGGTGCACGGGCCTTCCCGAGCTCATCAGTGAGAATGGGGAACATCAGCTAGCCAATTCATACAGCCAGAGTTTCAAGGTTATAGCTTCTTAAGCTATAGCTAAAATGCAGTGTTTGAAAGGTGATTGTGCTCTATCGCATGCGGTGCCGACGGGTGGGTTTCTGACTTTTATCAAGCATGCTATCTCACTGTGGAGGTTTGCCTCGTGATCCGAGCCTTGGTATAGTTTTTTCCTATCTCGGGTTTCCCTATACTATAATGTGAATGCAAAGGCTACATTTTGCCGTCCAAATCATACGAATCTGTTGTGGGATCTGAAGTAAACACGACATGCCAGCCGGGGAATAATTACAGGCGCATTGTTATGTAGGGTCTGTTAATAGTATTCTCGCTCATGAAAAATCGGATTTAGCTCCTCGGGTTGGTCCCTGCCATCCGAAGAGCTCGCCCGTACTACACAGGAGCCAAACTACTCAGACGTACATATCTCCTGATCTTAAGACCCGGTCAGGGGATCGTATGAATTGAAAGCTTACTCTGCTGGAAGATCCGAGATGCTCACATGGCCATGTGTTCTGTGGTAGGTCCTAAGGCTTGACAGGAAATGACTAAATTACTAAATACTTAAGGTGACCTCAATCGATTCAATATGAATGATGTTTTTGATTCTCCTAACTACGGGATTTATGTCATATATACGCAATCTCTAGAGCTTCTAAGGTGATGATCAAAATGTAACGAAAATTATCACTCAGTCCCTTGTAAGACGGATTCATGTCGAACAATTGCCGGATTCATTACCTTGGCTGGGCTTATAGCTCGTCGTGGGTAGAACCTAGATATTTTTGGCACTACCAAGCCTGTGCCAAACCTCCGGAACCAAATGTCACTGCGGCCCCGGAACGGGCCTACCGCCGGAAACTATGCACATACCTGCGGCATGCCAATCGGAGAAGACCGGAGAAACGAAATACTATCTACGAGCCAAAGAGACTAACATTGAATTTTTGAATTCTTTCGGGCTACCCTCAATAGTCTGCCGCAGTATTCTCCCAGGAGACCCGCCCCAACCACCAAAGGCTCGTCTTGGCCTTACCCATACATCTGATTCGGGCCTCAGGAATACTACACCCTAGTACCACATTGAGGTGAGAGATGAACAGTGGAGGACCGCACTTTTTCGTACACGCGCTTTTCCAAGAGCTGCCGATTATGCATGCTACACCTTTGCGCAACAGCTCCGCAGGTCAGATTTGCTGAAGGCTAGTAGAATGCTACTGCAGTCTTACCCATGGTTCTGTCGAACAGATTTGCCATGAACTAGCCGTGTTGGGGTCTATCAATATACTGCGCATGGAAAACCGTAGAATGTAACATGCCAAACATGACACTTGTGTTTTAACTTCATAGGTCAGCGGATGGGTGCTGACCTATTACTCCAAACAACCTATAAACCATTCGCAACTTCTGGAATCTTGTTACAATCATAGGACTATAAAAGTGCGAGCATCAATAACGCCCAGATATGGAACCCAATCACCCAATAGGCATCAGAAGAAGCAGTTGGGGAATCATATTTCCTAAGTGGGTCAGCGAGCCATTTATTCCGGGCCTGGAAGAATGTAGGGTCTCAGTCGCAGTAATATTTCACTCGGAATGTTTGATGGCTACTTCCACCTTAGGTCTAGTTCACATTGATTTTCTTTGTGGAGAGAAAATTTGGTGAAATAAAATGCTGACTTCTGGCTTTCGTTTAGGGCACACAGCTCAACTACTACTTGATTGCCATGTATCCAATAGTATACAACACTCTGGCAGCTTTTATTATAAACATATCTGCGAATTGGCTTAAGTATCTAGGTAATTTAAAGCCTCAAAGGGCAAGAGGTATCATAAAATGTGGTGTTACACTCCAAATATACGACGCTGCATTTCGCTAAAGAGGGCTGCATAACAGTTGCATCTAAGGGGACAAATAGACCTGACACTGATGAAGATGTAGCTTTTCTGCATATATCTAAGTATATATAATGCCGACTTACGTCACCCTCTGCTAGACGCCCTGCCTATCTAAAGTAGCACTAAAAGCCTGTCCAAAAGCCTTTCGAATCCCAATCATATCAGTCATAACACTAATCATCTGAAACCCCTTTTTCGAATACTCTCCTCCTTCTTCCCCGGTATCGCAGTAGATTCCACATGATTTCCCAGCTGATTTCGCCGCCGCGTGAACCATCTCGATTGCGTCAAGAAGTTCCTGGTCGTACGCACCCGAGTCGTCAATGGGGTGACCAATATTCATGCCGAGGTCGAAAGGTCCGATGAAGAGGACATCAATACCAGGGATGGCCGCGATTTCGCTGACATTATCAAGAGCGCCCTGTCTCTCAATCTGAACCGCAATTACGAGAGAGCTATCTGCCTGTCGCAGATACTCCATGCCGGTGAGTTGTCTAACCCTGCCACCGTGTGGATGCTGCTCGACGAATTTCTCCACGGCCAGGAGTGGCTCAAAACCCCGCTTTCCAAGTGGGGGGAATTTCGAATATTCGACAACTTTCTTCGCGTCTTCAACGGTCTCGATGACAGGGACTAGGATCCCGTGCGCGCCACTATCCAACGCTCGTTTGATCATCGAGCGTCCCCCCTCCATGACGCGCACGATGGGTGATACTCCGCAGGCGGCACTGGCTGCTACAATCTCGTGCATTGCATCATCGGAGATGTTGCCGTGCTCCAAGTCCACCAGGAGCCAGTCAATGTTGGGCGCTGATCTGCATATTGTGCGGGTCAGGTTTGTGCCGGGGAGCATTTGCCATGCCCCGTAGGCTGGATTGCCTGCCTTTAGGGCTTTTTGAAGACGGTTGGCTGCTTGCATTATTGAGAAGGTGACGTCCTTTTATTGATAGAAGACTGGGGAAAGGATTGTAGTATCAATCCTGATCATGGGCTCTATACATGGCTCTCCCGTCGGAATTGACGCCTTTTATCTTATCCATGTTCGATCATCCCGGGCTTCCGAGCCGAGAGTCCTCCTCCGCACAAGTGATAGGCGGACTATCCGACCATCTGCGTCTAGTGACTATAAGGGATAGCCCGGCTACAGGTACCGGAGTGATGTCAGAGCCTCGGGGAGCTAAAGCGAATGCAGTAAGTTTAGTGAGATAGTCAATCCTTGCCACGCATCCCGTATCCTTCTACGGCAAACCTAGTAAGTTTTATGAGACGACGTCCCTTTCCACACTGTCTCAACCATTCTCGCCCGCTCTCACGCTCAAAATGTGGGGATGTGGAAAAATAGGCGCCAACAAGTGGCTCGTTTGGGTATTGCGATCCGAGATGTAGATCATTTCTAGCTCTTCCTGGAGAAACAAGTTTGTCCTCCTGGTTGACGCACTCCTGCTCATGACCCCCTGTTATATTCAGGAAGGTCGCATATTATCTTTCTGCTCCACACTTTCGTCTGCCCTTTCTCCACTGTTTACAACGGTTCACATCTATCGTTCTACGAACAATGAGCGTAAAAGACAAGCAGCATGCCCATGGCACCAGGAAACTCGATATCGACGATATAGACACCCAATGCGCCTCACAACAAGACATCGTCCCCATCCACAGCGGTCAGCTTCATCGACGTTTAAACTACCGCCAAATTCAAATTATGGCTATAGGCGGTTCGGTCGGCACTGCTCTCTTCGTCAATATCGGGGGTGGCTTAGCAAAGGGTGGACCCTTGAGTCTGCTTCTCGGATTCACCATTTACTCCTTAATTCTGTCCTGCATCAACAACTGCATTGCCGAAATGACCGTCCTACATCCAACCCCCGGCGGTTTCATCCGCATGGCTGGCAAGTGGGTCGACGAGGCTTTCGAGTTCATGGCAGGGTGGAACTTCTTCATCTACGAGGCTCTGTTAGTCCCGTTCGAGATCACCGCCCTGACGATGACTCTCTCCTTCTGGAGAGATGACATCCCTGCAGGTGCCGTGTGTGCTGCGTGTATCGTTGCGTATTCGTATGACCTTTCTCCAACGCGCCATTCTTCAGTCTTTGATTTTCCTTCTCCTAAAATATGCTCAGAGCTAAGTCCTGATTTCTAGTTTACTCAATGTCTTTGCCGTCAGGGTTTACGGAGAAGTCGAGTTCTGGGGCTCCGGCGGCAAAGTAGTGCTCATCGCCATACTCTTCTCGTTTACATTTGTTGCCATGGTCGGTGGAAATCCTCAACATGATGCTTTCGGGTTTCGAAATTGGAAGGATCCCGGCCCCATGGCAACATACTTGAGCTCTGGGGACCTCGGCCGCTTCGAAGGGTTTCTCGGCTCCTTATGGATGGGAAGTTTCACGATCGTTGGTCCAGATTACGTTGCATTGATCGCTGCAGAGGCACAACACCCACGCACCTATGTCAAGAAAGCCTTCCAGACAATCTACTGGCGATTTGGAATCTTTTTTGTCCTGGCTGCTCTTAGCGTCGGCATTCTTCTCCCTTACAATGACCCGACCCTGATCGCTACGTTTCTGTCGAACGGTAGTTCCGGCGCCAAGTCTGCTGGGTCTCCATTCATAATCGCCATGCGAAATATGCAGATTTCCATCCTTCCTGACATCATGAATGCCCTCCTCGTCACGACCATTTTCTCGGCTGGTAATACCTACCTCTACTGCTCCAGTCGGAGCTTATACGCCCTCTCCCTAGACGGCAGGGCACCTCGGATCCTGCAGAAATGTACAAAGCAAGGGGTGCCAATATATTGCGTACTGGTTGTGATACTCTTTCCTCTGCTGTCACTCCTCCAGCTCGGGAACGGATCATCACAAGCCTTAACATGGCTCACGAATATTCTGACTGCCGGGGGTCTGATCAACTACTTCGTCATGGCGGTCACGTACCTCTTCTTCTACCGCGCTTGCCAAGTCCAAGGTGTCGATCGCACCACTCTCCCCTACTATGGACGCTTTCAGCCCTACACTGCATGGATCGGAGCAATCTGCGAGGGATTAATTGTGATATTCTACGGCTACGAAAGCTTCCGCCCGTGGGATCTAGGGACCTTTTTCTCGAACTATACGTTGGTCATTCTTGCTCCTATCCTTTACTCTTTTTGGAAGATTTTGAAACGGACGAAGATTGTCTCGCCTCGTGAAGCGGACTTGGTGTGGGAGCGGCCAATCGTTGACAGTTACGAAGCGAGCATGATTTCCAAGCCGCAGGGTTTCTGGGCGGAAACGCTGCAATGGGTTGGGTTAAGAAAGGCGAAACAGGGAAATGATTGATGTCGACGAAGGTCGAGTACTGGGGAGGGACATGGATAGTTTGCCTTTTGTCTATTGTGTATTTTGAATGCTAAGTATATCGAAAGCGCAAATGTCGTTACTACGAGGTTAGCATATTTGCGATGACCTTCAGCCTTTCACCTACATCTGCAGGGTAGCGACAACAGAGTACTCGACTATCCTCTGTTCGCTATCGCAGTATTTCATTGTTTTCGGCTTTTAGTCTTGAAACAGTAGCTGTGAATGATCTGAATACTCGGAAATCCTGCGGGTCAATGGCATGGGAGGCTGGAGGATGGTTTGATATGAAATACATATACATGGTCTTATAGATTCACCATGATAAATCTTAACACAGACGTTAAAATATACGCCTCATTACGTACGAAAAGTGTTGTCTCTTGATTCTGACATACAATATACCATTTAAATTCCCATATACCCTCCCTCTTTAGGTCTATGAAATCATTCGTCTAGACACCTCCAGCCTCCAGATCAGAGGAGTTAGACCTCCCTTCGTTCTCGGGTATGGCGCCTTCTTTGGTAACGTCATAGAACTCTCTACCAGCATCACAAAACAGAGCACCCATCGGCCTCATATACTTATGGAAAGCTAGCTATCCACGTCTGGAGGCATACTGGTATCGTCGTCATCCTTATACGGCCAGTTGCGCCAGGAGACCTCCCGCTGGTCCTCCTCTGCTTGCCGAACCATTTCCATACGAAACCGTCGATTGCCCTCACGCGCCCTCTCATAATTCTCTGGCTCAGTCCCGCCTTCTGCGTCGATACCCAGATGTTCTCTAACTCGTGACAGCAGTTGTTCTGACTCGTTCCACCCCTGCGATTCCGCCATAGCCTCCTCTCGCTCCCCAGCGCTGAAAACAACCGGACACGCTTCCGAAGAGAGACCAGTCCATACGGATGGCGTTGTGACGCCCACTAACGCAGCACGGAGATTGATTAAGTCTGCGTCCCAGGGATACCCTGTCTGGCGGAGAAGATATTGCCGCATTCCGAGATGAGGGAGTTTCAAAAGCTCCATGTGTTGCTCGTTGTGTATGCCTGTTGCGGCTGTGTAATAGAGGTTGGCTTCTTCTAGGCGAAAGGCAGCTATGCATTCTCTCTGTTGCTCGATACTCATTTGGTCGAAATCGTCGGGGAGAGATGGAATTTGGAGGCTTTGCGGTTGCGAGGAGTCATGCTCACAGAATGCGGGATATCCTGATTGCATGAAGCGGGGGGATATTACAGTATCTTGCCAATCAATGATGCTGATGATTTTGGTGGATCCAGGTGCTAATAAGATGTTGCTTAGGCTCAAGTCTGGGTGTCTTAGTGTCGGGGCGCTGTAAGTGCCCGATGGGCTAAGATGGGGCGCTAGTTGAAGAAATTGCGACAGCAGTGAAATATGCTCAGAGGGATGGATGTTATGATTTGTTGGTAGAAGGAATACCTGGCGAGGTTGAGGCTTGGCATGGTGCTGGATGATAGACATCTCTCGGCGAGCTGCGGCGGTAACGCAGTCAACGGGTGAAATCCCTATATCAATGATCAGTCCTGAGCTCGTTCGCTTCATTTATGAAGCTTAAAACCAAAGAGTAGCCGAGACAGGAAGACTTACAGGGCCCACGGTCAATCTCCGTCTTTCCTCGTTCGGCATGCCAAAACTGCCGCGCAGATGTAGGACCTATACAGAAATCATCTGTCACGGGTATCTGAGGTTCCCCATTAAGATCCTTCCTATGATACAAGCTTCCGTATGCAGGAAAATGGACGTCAAAAATCTTCCTCTCGATATCTGAGATTTGCCTCATGATGTCTGCCACTTCTGCGGTCGTAAGGGATAACCACCGCGAGGATAGACTCTCTCCTTCCACCCGCTCCATCAGGATATACTCTGCTCTGATAGGATTTTCCGACGAGGTCGAATATGCAAGGACCTTCGGTACGGGTACTCTGACGACATTTCGCAGAAAGTCTATCGTAGCCACCTCACTGGCGGTTGTGTAATGAGAAGGCCCGGCAATGGGGGTAGGAATTCGCGCGATCACTTCACGGTCATCCTTTGCTCGCAGGAGGAATACTTTGTTGAATCCTCCCTCTGCAAGCTTTGAAATATAGGGGCAACAGTCTTGTTGTATTGCTTCCCCGGCGATCCGCTGGAGCTCTGTTACTTGAACCCTGACGTATCGTTCTTTTAAACGGTCGGTTTCCTTGAATCTGGCTGATATTAAGTACTTGATTGTAGGAGATTCTGAGGCTCAGCTTACATCCATCGTCTTGATGTATTCCGGAAGAAATCCTCGTGGAGTGCTGCTTGACTGCGGGATGGCATCCAGGCAACTTGTCGTGAACCAACACATGGTTGGTGTGAACGAGGGTTGAGGGACTCTAAGCTCCGAGAAATTTCGCATCTTCGAAGATACTTCACCATTATTTAGGAACGATCGTAATAACCCGGCGCTGCTGGCTCACAGAGATGTTGACAGGAGTAGGTCCTCTAGTCGGTTGCCACCTGAAGCAAGGGGAGGTCAGCTGCACTGCCAAGCCCTAACCGCCCTGGGTAAAGAACTACAGTACAGGGGTTGATTTGCCGGAGAAGGGGTCTCTAAGCTCCAATCTGACTCTGACAGCATCGATAGCGGGCCATGTAGTTTGTAGGACAGTAGAAAATACCGAAAAATCGTAGTTGTGGGGTTATTACAATGTGTCCTCAAGAGAAAATACATGTTGTGGATACCCCTGGCGGCCGATCACTCCCAAGGCTAAACAAAATAAACTCACCAAAGGTCTATTAGCATGTAGACGATAGACCAAAAGCCCTAGCTAAGGCAATTTTCTGACTATTAATGTCAGCAATACCTAGATATGCCGCGCATATTCCAAACGCTTGGTGCTTTTTCCCCTAACCTCTAACAAATTGAAATTCGAAATTTCATTGTGCAATATTTTTTGGACATAGCTCATTAAATGCTCTGTGACTTAATGTGTTACAGGGCAGTGAATGACGGCGACAGCTGGAGACCTTGTTACAATAGTAATGTATATAACGTCATTTCAAACTAGTAGCAACTTCTATCTGCCAGTATGACATCCTGTTGACAAGTTACCCTCTTCATACCGGCTGTTGTGTACCCTTCTCGGATCCTCTTCCCGATACTCGGGTTGGCCGAGGCGACAAGCGATAGGTCAGGGTGAAAGGGCTCTGGTGAATTCGGCTTCCGCGGGCCCTAGAAATACATGATTGGAGCGTGAAAAGAGTGCCTTGTACCCCTTGTCATCTCGGACAGATACATGTATATTGCACTAGGTCCCGGCTCCCGAGATACGGTCGATCCGAGCACACGCGTACGTGTTTACCTTACTGGTTGTAATTGACAAACTACCAAATGTTTGAGATGTATCTTGTCCCCCATGCATGATAATGGATGACCTTATGTGCCTATAGGGACAACAACCTGTAACAATGATATCGACCATGAGTTTGAAGCATCATTTCAGGGTTTGCGCACGCCTTTACAATTTTTGACAGTACCCGGTTTATTAGAGATCAAAGAGTCCCGGCATGAGTGAGTATACAGTCTTGTAGTTGTATTTCTTCTTGAGACTGCAATATCATACCTCTTTTGGAAAGACTATCCCGAAATCGACCAACTGATGGCCTAGAGACATGTCACCAAGACCAGGCTCGGGCGGATACACGCAGAGCAAATCCCGAATGCAAGATCAGAGGTCTAGTCTTTGCTATCGCTACGAGGTGTGGTGTGGGCTGCGACGCGGTAGCACGCCGAAAGAGCCCTATCGGGGACAAAATCCTGCTTCCCGAATGACAATCACACGAGCAGTTGATCGAAATCTAGACAGGGTACAGACACACCATACCTACGTCTCATGACTTCAATTTTCGGGTTGCTCCCGAGACAGAGCACACCTGGCTCGTGAGCTTTGACCAGCAATCTACATATAAGTAAGGGGTGAGAGTGGCCAGCCTGGAAATTCGGTCTGTCTGTCTTTCATCTTCAACAGTTTCCCATCTCAACTTCGAATTTCTCTACCAGATAACCACTCAACATGGCCCCCGCAGCACTTGGCTCGCCTCGTTTGGCCCCAACAGTGGTAGGCCCTACCACCAAAAAGGCTACTCGTCCAACTCGCCAGCTTCCCAGAAGTCTCATCGAGGGAGCTAAGGTTGAGAAGAAGATGCCCTTTGATCCTGATACACACATCATTTACCAGCCCCCGGAGAAGATCCATCTGATGAGTGAATTGGGCCTCGAGGGTGCTGGTATCTCTCCGAATGCAATTTCCGAGCCCTTTCCTCTCTTCTCAGAGGCGGCCATCAAGCAGATGAGGGCGGAGATATTCAGTGACCCGGTCTTGGCGGATTGTCAGTATGCCTCGACCTTCTGTACCAATATGATCAGAGGGATGGGACATCAGTAAGTTGATAGATTGGCCTCTCGTTTCATTTAGTACAGGCAGTTGACGCTTCTGGATCAGACGTGCCCCATTCGTTTACGATGCCTGGAAATCATCCAGGCTCTTGTCTAGTGTCTCCGAGGTGGCAGGCGTGGACCTTGTTCCCGCCTGGGAATATGAAGTCGCAAATATCAATATCGCCGTCAAAGATGACGACGAAGCCGAGTCCTCGATTGACCAAATGGTCGATGTGAAAGACGATAACACGGCCGCATTTGGATGGCACTATGACAGCTTCCCTTTTGTTTGCGTAGCGATGCTCTCCGACTGCACGCACATGGTTGGCGGCGAAACAGCAGTCCAGTTGCCCTCCGGCGATATCAAAAAGTTCCGCGGACCTGCAATGGTATGTTTAGCATACAGTACCAACTAACCTACTAGTCAAGGTAGAGAGCTAATGTCAATAGGGTTATGCGGTAGTGATGCAAGGGCGGTATCTGCAGCACCAAGCCCTCAAGGCTATCGGTGGTCGCGAACGTATTTCCATGGTGACTCCGTTTCGACCAAAGGACCCGCTCGTTCGCGATGAGATAGTTCTCGTGGGAGTCCGGGGCATCAGCAACCTGTCCGAAGTGTATCCACAGTACTACGAGTACCGACTGGACGTCCTCGAGGAGCGCATTAGAGCTCGGAAGAAGGCTGAGAGAGCGCGAGAGACAGCTTACCGTCCGTTCAGTCTTGCGGAGGAAAGAGACTGGATTCGTGCTCAGAGGGACTATTTGGATTCAATGCTGAATGAGATGTATGAGGTGAAGTAATTTATGAGTCGGTGGGAAAGATATTTTATCGGGATGCCCTAGCTTTCTGTCACTTTCGTTGCTTCTGCTATTGTCATGGCTTTTTTCTTCTTATCTTTTCTTTTGCTATTTTATCGCTTCTTTCGATTAGCCTTTTCCAAATTGACTCGTTTCCTTTTCTTTTCCAAATATTCCTCCAGTAGTGACTCACGTAGAGTAAGGTGAAAGACGTTATAGTAATCTAAGACATCGAGCGTTTGAGTCTCGATAAGAGTTAAATTCAATGGCTTCGGTTCTCAAGCTCATCGCCCATGAATTTATTTCAATCAATTTTACTTCGTTCTAAGTTGTTAATGAGACGTGAAATGTCCCTCCCCTTGCCGGCGATATCATCAAAAGTCAAATGATGACATGAGACATAGCCTTCGATAACTTAGCTCGCAATATGTCGTGCTTTGGTATGGGGGTGAATATATGCATAAAAGCCGCCCCGTCCAGTCCGCATATCTCAGTTACTAATTTGAACCGGCCTCGCGGATACCGCGCGAAATCATAATTAGATTGGCACCATTAGGAGCATGTACATCTTACCTACAGTAAGTGACCGCGAGTATGTTCTGGCCTATCTCACAGGCCTTAGGACTGTCGGCGTAATACGACGTCGTATCTATCTATTATCTACACTGCGCAGATACCGAGCCGATGCGATTAGCTAGGGGAAAGGATCGGATGGGGATCCCGACGTGCAGCAAATCCGAGCCGAGCCGGGCGCCAAGCTGGCAAAAGAAACCTGGATTTATATTATTGTGTACCACGCTGTGACGCGCTGAATTGCTATGTGAGTTTCATGGGCTGAAACTCTTGTTTCCTTGTGGTATGCTTCAAATCTCAAAGTAATAAGGCGGCCGAAATCCTCCAACACCGTGAAAGGATAATTGATCACAGAAGATCTACTAGAATTTCTTTTCGATAAGTTCCCAGACGTGACGTGCCGGTGACAGATCGTGTCGTTGAAGCAGCTAGATGGAGGTCTACCTAGCTGTTGTCGCTCTAGTCTCGGAAATGTCGCGATCGCTTAAAGATTTGCCATATGATTGCGACCCTGCTGAAAAGAAACGTTTTACGCTCCCGAGACATTGCTAATCAAAATTGTGCCAATTGAGGTGAGTGAAACTCTGGTAGACGCGGTGGGATATGAGGAGGCTATGAGTATGGCATTTCACAAGCGCCCTGTAATGGAAGCGCTGCTGGATCTGCAACGCCATGATATTACATTTACCCAAGAGCTTATAGTGATGGCTTTGGATGGCTATGTGGATCATAGGGTCTTCGAAGTCTTAGCAAATCGACTGGGATCAACAGTATCAATAACGGAGAAAGTTTTGGAAACGGCTGTTTGGACTGGTAAACTTGCACATTTTGACTTCTTGCTGAAAGGGAGGCATAGTTTTAAGCTCCCAAACCGGGGGATTCAATTTGGCAAAATAACACCCCACACAATCTTTTCGTTGTTGTGAAAGCAGCAAAAACCCCTTCTGGGATGTGGAGAATTTTACATCTCGCAAACCCTGCTGGATTTCCTGTTCATCATTTACAGAATAACCCTCTGGTTTCATAGATCTCTATCCAAGCACTTTTATATCAAAAAACTACTTTAGTATGCCTCATCTCATAATCGTGGTGTGAATTGAAACATATAGGATTCTTCTGTTTAGCCAATGTACCAGCTTCCGACAAGTACGCCGAGGCCCCAAGACTATAAACAATGTGATCGAAATTGGTAACCAGGGTTCTCGATCTACGCATGGCATGGCATTTTTAAGTTTCTTTTCTTGCAATATGGAAATACCCGTAATATCTCTCCATTGTAGGTAGGTAACAACAAAGGTAATATTCCATTTCACACAATGATATTTCGCGTTAATTGTGTTATTACCTAGCATTCTAGGTAATTAGAAATCTTCTGACTGTGCTATATATCAATACTTGCAACTTCGCTTTTGAACTCCTTACCTAAATTCGACTAGGTGCCTAAGGTTGTCGCGGTATGGTGACGTAGATGCTCTATCATAGCAGGAACATCGAAATGAATCAACAATACGACATACATGAAGAATTAGTCACCTAAACCACTATGAGATGGCTTTTATTCCTTCATCCCATGGAGTATGATTCTAAGTTTCATTGTCTTCACAGTTCTCTCCCACCCACATCACGCCATCAACAATTTCATCAAGGCGACGCTCTGCGTCAAATTTACCTAGTTTTTAACGATCCATTTTTAACTTCATTCCACATGCCTGAAATATTGCCTTCAACGGAGCTTAAAATAAATCAGTGAGTATCAGCCTAGACAGTATCTTCCATACTGTCAATACCCTCAGTCTACCAACATGCGAGATAGGCCCAAGCCAAAGGACAACGCCAAAGTGGATAATGGCGCCAAAAGCAAAGATGACTCAAATCCAGACTCATCTAAAAGCCCTGTATTTCAGGCTTTACGTCGGAGGCTTACTGGATTGTGGCATGCTAAAAGTCGATCTAGCATTCTTCCTCGTCGCCTTCGTCCGCTGCCCCTCCCCGTGAACCCATCCCCGACTGGCCAGGTATGCTCGATAATAAATCCATCTGACTACGTATTAATGGACATCCAGTTGATCCGCGTGCCTTCAAATGCGTTCTGTGTCGGGAGTGGCATATCGCTCGGTGCCCGTGGCTACGGAATTACTAGGATCGCTTAGTTACGGAATCCGGTGCTATTTCAGCGGCTTGCTTCATTGCTTTTAAGTTATTAGATAGTGTCGGGTCTTTTAAAGAGAAATATGGGTCACCTATCAAAGAAAGATGTGATAAATGGGCGATTTGATTATGCTTCTAGCAGGGTCTATTGATTAACTTCTATCTCTCTTGTGTCAACGCAAACTAGCTCGCCGTAACGCAACCATAATACTCCCAGGCATCTTAAAATTTTCCCATTATCTTGAAGAATCTTCGATGCGATCGGCACCCTCGATAGCTTCTTCACAAACCTGGCTAAGCAACTCCGGTGCCTTTATTCCATCGTTAGAATCCACAGGACACCGATTCTCCATTACAGCATCTGCCGCTGAGTAGCTAGCCAAGGGTCTTGCCTTTTCCCGAACCCTTAGACAAACTTCCCTTGTAGAGGTCTTAAGGGTTGAGTCTTCAAGATGCGAGCCTATTTCTGAAGCCGAGGATGGTGCTTCAGTCTATATAATTCCTACATTTTCCATGCCTCCGATGAAATTACTCACATAGTAAACTCATTTTATATTGCTGTAGCACAGAAGTTCTAGGGTCGGGACCGACTATATCGCGGATTTCAGCTTGAATCACATCCAAACTAGCATTTGCAAGAGAACTCATCGGCTCTGTCTTGAAGCTTTGAGCCGACTCCGCGGACCCGCGAGCCTTCCGCGTAAAGACACGAACACGCCGTCGCCTCGTTCAAGCAGCGCCCGGGATGTCCTTTCATTGGCATGACAGCTTTGATCTGATTCGATGCACCGACTACATGCCGGCTTCTTTGCATCGCATTTGATCCTCAGCCTGCTACATTTGGGCCCACCCCACCCGGACGGGTGGTAAACAAAACAAGCCCCAATGGAAATCGTCCTATTCGTCGACAGCTCAGCCCTTTTAGCAGCACTGTGGCGAAAAAATCAGAACATCTTTCCACTACGCGTCTTTGCTTGAATTATAATGAGTTCTGGATCGACATCACGAGTGATGTAATGCATGCAGAGAATTCGCGTCATGGGATGGCAACCCGTGACGCGCGCAGCCGAACGGTCTGTACGCTGTCTGCCTGGTCTATCAGGCTCCAATTAAAGGATTGCATAGCTTATTTTCGATTTTCGTTGTTCTTTTTTGATACGATTTACCTGGAGTGGAGAAATTCCTGTTCAATGCGTTACATGTTGCTTGCATTTTCTTGCCAATATCTGTCCCCACAGGGCCGGAATGTATAAATCATGCTGAGTTCCACGGCCACACACACATTCAAAGATTTCACACTACCACTGGAATGATTCTCTAAATAAATTGAAACCTATTTGTAGCATCATATTCAAACCCTTTTTAAGCTAGACAGTTAAGTAAACCTGCCCATCAGGGCTTTGGAGATGGGCGCCCTGAATATCATACCTGACCGAGTCCATACTAGATACAAGAATTATTGAAGTGTTTATTTTTCATTTCCTGGTCAACATACCTATAGTCCAAGTTGCTAATATCGGCACAACTGGATAAACCAGCCCACGTCATCCTCGGTATATCCACGGGCCTTCGCATTGGCCTGAAGATCTTCTGCGGCCCTGTCGAATGTTTTCACAGATTTCTGGATCAGATCTACTGCGTCATGGATGGCACTCTGTAGGTTTCTGCTGGCGCTATAGGCGACAGGAATGAAGTTATGAAGACAATCACTTCGCTGCTGGAATTAGCATTTGAAGTGTATACTTGCATTCATGACTTACCAGCTCTTTCCTGAATGATGCAATGTCATTGACACTGTTGATGAGGCTGGTTAGCATAGCTAAAATGGTGATAACGCTTTTGTATCTTACAGGAAAATTATCAAGACCGTTTGGTTCCAAATCACCTTCATTGATTGTAATTCTTTGAGATCCTTGGGAATCCTTCTGTTCATACTGAACCTATACTCATGTTAGAAGTGAACGATATAAAAGACAAGATTAGGATATTATACTCGGAGCACGCGAGGACCTGTCCAACCGCACTAGATCCAAGTCTGATATTAATGTATTCTTCTATAGATGGGACTATACCACTTCCTTTCAGTCGCTGTTCCCTCCCTATTGAATCCACGTAGAAGGAAAACTCTTGCAGAAAGGCGGTTCTTTGCGCTGGAACAACTTTAGTCTCTCTGCTACTCTTTGGACTTCCGATCTTGTCTTCACCACTTACCTATATTATAGCTCTCACAGAGCGCATCGCCGATCATTCGAAAACCTTGCGTAATCGAATTGCGTGGTGTAATCATATGAGAGCTCTCTGCAAGTTCAAGGCATTGACTGACCCATGAAATACTTTCCTGCATGACCTGGTTTGAGTCATCGGTTTCATGGCACAATGATCCCTTGTTCGAATCGAATTGGTCATCCCAGACAAACAACCAAGCCAAGAGCCAGCCGCAAATACAAAGCTCCCTCAACTCTGCGTGTGGCCACCATGCCGCGTCGCATGAGTGAATTTTATAAGATCGGGCACGGGACAGTGCTGTCTCGTCGTTTTGGAAGAGGCTAAGTGGGATAAGATCAGTAGGCGAAAGCGAGAACATTCTATTTATAACTTATCATATATATTGTCCAGGAATGCTTCGAGGTGTTTGTGGTTTGGGTTTATCCCGTGGGGCCACTTCCGGAAGATATAGCGCAAGTCGGGGATCCGGATAGTGCAGCCTTTGATTTCTTTTAGAATAGAATTTGCAGAATTATTTTCGCCGTGCATAGCGGAGAATGTTGAGAATGATTCAGATAGAGGGGATTATATGCAGACGGTATTTGGCAATTTGTCGAGACTTATATATGACAACAATGTCGACATATTCTACAACTTCGATTTATATTGGAATCTATTTTCGCTGTGAGGTTGGTGAGAGAAATATGGGAACTATTGTTCCACACCAATCAATAAACTCCCAATTGATTGAAAAGGCGTGTTTATAACATCGTGAAGTATCTTTCAGTATTATGCGTAAAGTATGAGCTTCCTCCCTTTCTATAATCTTATCAGTGTGTATTGGTCCCCGAAATATCACGCTTTCTCGGGTAGATCTGCCTGCAGATCAGTGGACTTTGCCTTTTTTTTGAACTCTTTTTATGACGCACATGATGATCGAACGCTATTAGACGACTCTGGGCGTCTAGGTTAGCTTAATTACATCCACTTTTATCCTTCGTTAACGAATTAAAACCCTAGTATCCCTCATTGCTATGGTGGCAACTGTAAGGTCCAGAGTAATCCAAGGCTCAACGGGAAATCTATGACAAACCATACGACAATTTTATTTATTATTATTGTCATTTAGCATCCAGTAATAAAGCCACAGTGAGATTCTGGGTTCTCCTATCTTAACTTCGAACATCATTAACTCTTCTTAACCTCAAAGTTAACGTTGTCCCCACACCTGTCATAGAAAGTACCCCCAGCGTCGTCACCAGCCATGTAAAGAAGATGTCTATTCTGTTTGAGCATTCACACTGATGATGAGCGCAAAATCAATAGCAGAAACTTTAATCCAACATTGACAACTCTGCAAAGCCAAGACACTATTCCCTGGTGTTTATTGTCTCACTGCAACCACAAATAGACGGGGGTAACGAAGCAGCACCCTTCCATCTACGGACTTAGGATACGCCTTCTCGAGGGATTCCAAGTAAACTGCCAAATACGCCTCCTGATCTTTCGGCGTCAGTGGATCGAGATAAGGCCTTAATCCTGTACCTTTGACCCATTCAATCACAGCTTGATGATCTGCAAGGGGGTGGAAATAATCCGTCTTGAAAATCTGCACATCAGAGCAAAGAGGCTTGAGATTATCGTATATCTCTTGCGGCGATTGGATCTCGTCCCGATCGACATCGCTCAAGGCGCTTGCCCACGGTCCCTTGTTTGCCGTCTCTCTCATCAAGACATGGGATGGTTCAGACAGATTATACGGCACCTGGAAAGCAAAAGTCCCACCCGATTCTTGACTTCTAATCAACCTTTTCATGATTTCGAAACGTTCGTCACCCTTAATCCATTGGAAGAGAGCATTTGAATAGAAAAGATCGACAGTCTCCGAAGGCGAGTAAGACTGTAAGCCTTGAACTGTGAACTGTCGTTCAGGTAGAGTTGATCTGGCTTTTTTGATCATGTTGGGCGATGAATCGATCCCCACGATTTGGGCGGCAGGGTAGCGCTCCTGCAAGATCGCTGTGGAATTACCCGGTCCACAGCCCAGATCCACGATGTTTTTGGGGTTCTGGAGAGCAACTCGAGAAAGGAGGTCCCGGGCGGGTCGAGTACGTTCATCTTCGAATTTCAAGTATTGGGACGCACTCCAATCACCGCCGGCACTGGTGCTATGAGCCATCTTTTGGAGGCTATACGGGCGGGGCGAGAGGAGTGACTTGGAAGAAAGCAACCCTCTTGCTCCAGCAGCCAGGTGTTTTATTCGACAGGCCATACTGAGCGAATTGAGAGACGATTGAGTTGTATGTACAGTCGATACAGCCTTGTTTGGTCAACAGGAGGTGTACAAACCAAGGCAACCGTTGAGGGTGAGGATTGCGACTGAAAAAAGCAAGTTCCGCTTATAATGATTGTAAACGAATGCGATTATACCGATCGAGTGGTTTTATATGAGGCTTATAGTTAGGAATGTCATGTTCGTCCTCGATAACTTGCGATGATGACTGTAAATGTGGCGATAATCGGCACATTCCCTAAGGTGGATCCGCGGGAACATGACCGAAACCACCGTTTGCGGTTAGTCTACGCCCCGGATACCGTAAAGAAAGCCCTCCGATGTCGCTACTTATCTTCCAGGGGTTGCAGCCTTAGGCTTCCAAATGTCTCTAAATATTTGCCCCTACATAACTATTATGCCATTCCGATTTATACTTCTGAACATATTTTACGCAATTTCTAGTTGCCTTAGGCGTCCATTTGCCGGCACCCATCTTCTCGTCTATTCTGCAAATCAGCTATGTAAACAAATTCTATCGATGTATCTAACACGATGATATTGTTGCTTTTTATCACTATTTCATATACCTTCAAGGCGAAGTGTAGCAATGTTTATGAATCGTATTCACTATATATTCTAATTCTGCTCAAAGACCTGAATGGTTTCAATTTAGAAATGACGCTTGTTTCGGGGAGTTTGTCGCCGATTTTTGTACCCCTTTTTAGATATTTTTTCTGATCCTGTGATCTGATTAAATTCTAAGAATGAAAAGACACGTTTTTCTCGGGCGCTGTTCATAGCCTTCAGGTAACCGGCGGTAAAATGGAAGAGCCAGAACCAAATATGCTAGTCAAAGGGTGGGAAACCAGTCGTTGGCCTGTACAGCTGACCAGGAACAGGAAATAACAAAATCCTATTCAGAAATCTAATCCGGTATGACTGATTAATTGGGCGAAGAGATCTATTCTGGGATAGCCTGAAGGTAGACAGTTACGTAAAACCATAGTAATTTTTCCGCTCATATGAATACTTCTCCCATGGTGAATAACATCATCATCCTACAAAAAGTCACGAAAGGAAAGGAGAAGCAACGCCCAAATACCATCCAAGACAAAATATGCATTTATGGGATATGAGCGGAGGCATCAAAGATTGTTTGATTGACTGGTCTTCGTGATGCAAAAACTGAACAACAGGTGCCTAAGGGGCTTTTCATGCACGGCTGCCATTCCCTGTCAAGCATTGCCAATAGGCTGAGAGGATCTTCGAAAAAGATCTTGCATCATTGTTTCATGATATCAACAGGCTTTCGCCTCTGGCCCAGAACTTGAAGGCCAATCCCAAAATCTAGGTCAGCAGGTGTTGAGCTAGATGAGTATATTATCCCAGGATCGGATCATCCATGTCTAATTTGTAAACAACCAATGGAATGCCGGTATTCAATATTCTAAATAAAGTGTGCCAGACCCCAGGTTTCGAAATTGCTGTAATCAGGGAAGGCAGGGTGCAGGGGAGTGTTTTCCACCCGCCTAGGCCCGACCCCAAACCCTAAAATGACCGCTTTTTGAGTCGGTTCAGGAACCATCCCCAGAGTTTCAGACGGTCGGTGCTTTGATTCCTGTCGATCACCAAACATTTGGGCCTTTTAGCCTTATTTGAACCTACCACTAAACCGTAATGGAATTAGAGCTGTTCAATTTTCATCCAACATGGCCCAAATCCTTTTTTCTGGACTTCAACATCTCCAAGGGATCATGGGATAGAAATAACATATATAAACGGTCAAGTATCTGGCAGTCATGAGCAACTTCAACAACCATCCTTCTCTTCTTTCTTTCAATCAAATCAATCAAAAGACCACTCCTTTATAAATAACTCTCATTTATAAATCTTTCATTCACAATGAAGTTCGCCGCTTTCTCCATCCTCACCCTCGGCCTCACCTCCGGTGCACTGGCCCAGCCCACTCGCGTTGAGCGCGATCTCCCTACCGTCACTGGGGTTCTGTCTGGAATAGGCCCCAAGGTCGAGGCCCTCGACTCTGCCGTCCAGGCCTACTCCGGTGGCGACGTCGCCAAGGTCCAGCAGGCCTCTGACAACCTGGTTGACGCCATCAACGCCGGAACCACCAAGGTCAAGGGCACCTCTGACCTCAGCACCAGCGATGCCCTCGGTCTCCCCGGCCCCGTCAACGAGCTCAAGGACAAGATCTCCACCGTCATCACCCACCTCTCCAGCAAGAAGTCCCAGCTCGTCAAGGCCGGCAAGGGTGGCCAGACCTACAGCGACTTGACCGAGCAGAAGACTGCCGCCAAGAAGCTCTCCGACACCATCGTCTCCAAGGTCCCCGATAGCTTGCAGGACCTGGCCGGCAGCATCGCTTCCGGTATCTCTGAGGCCATTCAGAAGGGTGTGAAGGAGTTCCAGGACCAGGAGGGTAAGGGCAGCTCCGGCAGCTCTAGCGGTTCGAGCGGCTCTAGCTCCTTCAGCTCCAGCTCCAGCGATTCCAGCTCCTCCAAGCAAGAGCAGGCCCCTAAGAAGGAGGCTGCCCCTGCCCCTGCTCCCTCTAGCGACTCTGCTGCTGCTAGCAAGCCTGCTCCTTCTGCTGAGCCCGCTCCTGCTTCCCAGCCCGCCCCTGCTAGCAAGCCCGTTGGTGCTTGCGCCGCTGCCTACTAAGGTGTCTTCTATGGGTGCGCTGCCCGGTCTGGATCATTCTTTATCATGGGTCAGCACCAAGTGATGGGACATTGACGTTAACGCAGGAATCGAACGTCATGGAAGTGGATTGAATTGAATGTTTATTGGCTGTGTATTTAAGCCTTTAGGTGAAATCAGACCTAATGTTGATCAAATGAACCTTCACAATGTTAGTTTTCCAAGAAAACATGTAGTTGCTAATATGAACGATCCGAACCATTTGACATTTCCACACACTCGATTTCTTGGTGTTCTCTGCAGTTTATGCTCAAATAGTTACATGGCACGAAGCAACCGATGGCTGAGAAGCCTCCTTAGATTTCATCCAGGGCATTTGAATCGCATCTCGGTCTACATAAAGTATGCGTCTGTTTTGATATGCGTACGCCGAATATCGGAAACATTTGGTCCCTCAGGAATGTTGAAGGATAAGCCGATAAGCGGAAGAATTCAACTTGAGAAATTCGGTAACGCAATGACGTCATGAATTTGTCTTCTTCGTGCTTCTGACCAATCAAGATGTACATTTGGTCAGATTTATTACAATTGTCTTCACAGGCGTATGATGAACCTCGTAGATGAACCCGTGATTCTCTGTGTTCATTCTAGCGAAATGGAGACGAATCGGTGGACTGTGATCTCATATGGCAAATCCCAATTACATTGTTTTATCCGGCGTTTTCAAAGATCCTGTAAATGCTCTCAAATGCGCAACATATATTAGCGGCTTATGCATTCGTATCAGAGTGAAAACTAAACATTGGGGTTACCACTCCAATTCATTGTGATTTAGTTTAGTTATCGTTCGGGACTACATATATATATTGCTTGAACTAGTTAAGCCACGTGAAACCCTGACATTGCACTTAGCCATTTGAATAGCAATTCGAACAACTTCATGTCAGTGACAAAATTCAAATTGACGTTGGGAACAATCTTGAGACGAATCTCCAACCGTTTACTAATATTCCGAGTGGTTGTTTCTACGTAATGTTAGGAAGGGCAGGCATTTATACTCTGTCAATCCAACAAATAAAGTTAACCGAAGTTCGCAGGTTTAGAATTCGCGAGCTCACTACATGCTTACTAGCAAGCAGTTTCAAAGATATTCTTCGGGCCATAGGTGCTGTATAGATTATTTTCTTAGTAAATGATTAATATTTTAGCCTAGTTACTCGAGATGTTTAAGCTATTTTGCGTAGTCAGTGTTGGATTCGTAAACTATACCTTTTCCGATAGCATACTCGTATACTCCTGGACCTTTTTAAAACGGCGACGGGGGTATCCGCCAACATGCACTCCCGAAATATTCTCCGACCCCCATGTTTACACACGCACGGGTCTTTGCTTGTAGGGTTGGAGAATTATGAAACACGCTGACAGGACGACGAGTCAGTGTATTCGACTCTCGATCCAATGCAGTGCCTGGACACTAGTCATTCACAGACACCTGCTGTTAGAAAGGGGCAACTGAACCCCGAGTCTAGTAGCTTACCTGCACTGGTAGTTTAAATAAGCGCGAATAGGTTGTCACATGGGAGGCTATTATTGCTGCAGGGTCGTAGACTTGTATTTTGTGTCTCGACACGAGGGCGCTTCTTGGGGAGTGATAGGCCTTGAGACAAGCTCGGTTATTTTCAATCAGCCATCTTTTATTTCGATCATCCCATCTTGCCTGTCCTCGAGCCCGCGGGACGACGGCTAGGTCCAGTAACGTTGATACCCCGGAGTAGAGATGCGATGACCTAACTCCGTATATCCGTATAGTTTATCTACTCCGTCTAACTGCCTATATAGGTAGTAGGGAAAATGGCGGTACCTTTCCAGAATTCCGACCCCTTAAAACTCCAATCCACTTATCCCACCGACAGGACATGCCACATGCCATCGCTGGCAGACCAGAGTTTTATTTTAAGACACCGAACCCTGCCAAGATTGTCAGACTTCGGCTACGGACGTTCCTTGGACGTTATTCTTGGCATAGCGCCGATCATCACCATTCAGGTACCCCATCGGGGCCCCAGCGTTTCGGGTTGAATGGCTCTCCTGGCCACTCAGAAGAATTGTTATATTTCCACTACTAAGGTTTGATACCGTTGTCCACTTTTCCGCTAGGATCCGGAGTACGACTCCTGGATGCCGTACGGGGCAATCCGTAGTCAGCACGCTGCATACGGAGCACGGAGTACTAAGTAGGATGTAGAAATAGATCCTCATCCGTGGTACTGTTCTTGTGGGAAAGCTCCGAAAAAGCTCCGAGTAGGCTACAATCCTGTTCCTGTCTATGGCATGAACATGTTTGTAACTCAGAATAGACTTCACAGTGAAAATGCTGATGCCTATAAGTGTTTGTTTTCCTTCTATCCCCTGGTTGATGCACGTAGTTGTAGTTAATGCCGTACTTGTACGCACAATACGGCGATCATGGTACGGAGTATGCTCCGTAAATATAGTCACTCCAAGCACAGACAGGCCATTGGCCAACGCTATGAACTCGGGCCTCGGAGGAATTCTTTCATTCTCGCGCCATAATTGTGCCGTAAGATCGGAATAGCATTTGCCAGCTAGTTTCCCCGTAGTGCGATGTTTCTCCGCGGTTGTAAATAGATAAAGCTCACTAATATGACATCTTTTCAATACAGTTTATCTGAACGGAGCACACTTTGGATTTTGCTTAAAGTTTCACTTGTATATGATTGTAAAGTTCATAAGGCCCGACGTTATAAAAGTTAGTTCTAAGAAAGCATATTACGGAGTATGTACAGCTATCAGTCGAAGTACCAGGTCAAGTCTCCGCCATTAACTGGTAAAAGTCTTTTGGACTCACCATCTTGCGACGGCATCCTCACTCTAAATGGCAGGGCTTTTTTTGGAGCATGTCAACCCCTGGCCTTGGGTCTTATGGGGGTTGAACGTCCGAACTGTTTCAAACCATCCCAAGCCTCGCGCTAACCATGCGGGTCCAGGAATCGATGCCCCACCACATCCCTAATTTCATTTCTGCATCTGGCTTCCGTTCTGATCATAGTTTAGCTGCTATGGACGAGCGCCTATATCAAGACCCCGAATTCCCTGGACTGGTCGACCCCAACACCTACAATCTTCTTTGAAATCCGCTCAATAGCCCTCGTCCTATTCCGCAGCATGAAGCTTCTTTCAACCAGTCTCGCCGCCCTCTTGGGACTTGCGCACCTCGGCGCTGCCCAGAAGGTCTCTGGCGCCGCTCAGGGTTTCGCCTCCGGTGTTACCGGTGGTGGTGATGCTGAAGGACAAGAGCCCAGCGACATCGACCAGCTCAAGGAGTGGCTGACCGACGACACCCCCCGTGTCATTCTCCTCTCCAAGGAATACGACTTCACCGAATCCGAGGGTACCGACAGCGGAAACGTCTGTGCCTCTTGGGGCGAGGGAGAGAGCTGCCAGAAGATCATCCAGGACGACTGTGGCAGTGACCCTGCCTCCACTGGCACCTGGTACAAGGCCGCGAAGACCCCCATCGATGTCGCCTCCGACAAGACCCTCCTTGGTGTCGGAGACAGCGCCGCCATCAAGGGTAAGGGTCTGCGATTCCGCGGTGATGTCTCCAACATCATCGTCCAGAACATCCACGTGACCGACCTGAACCCTGAATACGTCTGGGGAGGTGATGCTATCACCTTCGACGGCGCCGATCAGATCTGGATTGACCACGTCACGGTACGTTTCCTTGAGAAGTGAACCCAGATGCACCGTTCTCACTAACCCGCATAGACCGCTCGCCCTGGTCGCCAGCACTACGTCTTCGGCTTCAACCCCAGCAAGCGTATCACCCTCTCCAACAACTTCATCGACGGCGAGAGCCCCTACTCGACCGGCTGCGGCGACAAGCACCACTACTGGACCTTCGAGATGGTCGGCGAAGACGACCAGATCACCCTCCAGAACAACTACATCTTCAGCACCGCCGGCCGCAGCCCCGCCCTCAGCGGCGGCACTCTCCTGCACGCCGTCAACAACGTCTGGGAGGACAACAACGGCCACGCCCTCGAGGGCGGCGACGACGGTGCCCGCGGCATCTTCGAGGGTAACGCTTTCATCAGCGTCAACCAGGTCATTGGCGACTACGCTGGCCGCATCTTCACGGCCCCTGAGTCTGCCCTTGACCAGTGCCAGTCTGCCCTGGGCCGTGCCTGTGAGGCCAACGTCGTCTCTGACTCGAACGACTTCACCGAGTCCACCGATACTTCGTTCTTCTCTGACTTCGAGGGCCTGGAGATTGCTCCTGCTACTTCGGCCAGCGAGGCCCAGTCTAGCGTTCCTAACAACGCGGGTGCTGGCAAGCTCTAAATTATCTCTGATAATACTTTGTACACTTTCTAATGGGCTTATCCCTTTACATGGGATGACTGAGTGCGAATGTGTTGATTTTCGAGTGTAATTATTTATTTCTTGACAAAGTCTATTCTTTTCTATAACACAGAACTTGTTTCGGCTTTTTTCTTTTAAAAAAGAAAAGTCCATAATTGTTATATCTCCCCCATAACTAGATATGCAGTGACGGCTTTTTCCACCCATCCTGTAACACCAGCTGGAAGCTCTTAACAATTCTTTGCACTGGTACTGGGTATTCTGTGCACTGCGACATGCAATTTGCAGTTTGATTTTGAATTTATTTTATTTCATTCTTGCTCTCTCGTTCTGTTCTTGCTTTTTTTCTGTCCTGCTTATGGGAGCTTATCGGTTTGATATTACAATACAGCTCCCCTTCCCAGACTCAACACCTGTATTACCTTCATGTGACTATGAAGAGAGTTATCTCAATGGTCACCCTCGCGCAGAAACCCATATCAATGTGACCTCTCTCAATAAAGATCCGGCAAGATACCTGGGTCGCTTTGAACAAAACCTGTTATGCAAAACTCAAAAAGCGGCAGTTGACGTCAGCAACTGTGCGATTGCGGACTGGGCTTTTGAAATGATAAGATGCACTGTCACTAAAAATGACCCGCGCAGCGTTCTCGTTTGCCACTTATCGGCCTTGACATTGGCCAAGCTAAAGCGGAAAGAGGCTAAAGCATTTCAGGGATCACGAGAGATTCTATACATATGAAGCGAACATTATCAGGCAATCAAATCGTTCCAGTTCAGCCATTGCTTAAATCGAGTAAGCCGTAGATAGGCCTGGATCCTTGGCGATGGGATTAAATCTTACCCCAGGCTCACGCGGGGTTGAGGAAGCTTTCTTGGACACGTTCTCAATTCATTTCTTGCTCGCTTGGTCGCATTAACAGACTCCTGTGCCAAAATGCCGGAGCCGACAGTGAAGGGGCTGGTCAGTCCTTTTCAACTGGTGAGGTGACTCCGTGGCATATACTTTACTTGTCATAGCTAATGGGTTCCATTCAACTAGCCCGTCAGCGCTTCTCTCGACGAAAGCGAATGGGGATCTATTCTCCAACCGTATCTTAAGAATGCGTTGGTATCCCAGGGACAGTATACTGGGCATGAAATCAGCCGCCATCTTGACTTCTTCTGCGATTATGTAGTCCGCTGGTTGGGTCCTGGTCCCATGTACGACTCCGGCACAGTGAAAGCCCAGTTCCCTTCATCGCTAACGAATGACCACACGCCTTTCGAGTTGAGCCTGTGCTGGAAGAGCAACAAACAGAAAGGACGGCCGGTTGTTCGCTATGTGACGGATGTCATTCCTCCAAATCTAGAAGCGTCTCGGATGGCTGCATTTGAAGCAGCCCTTACTGTCATCGGGACGCTTGAACAAGCAAGTATAAGATGTGCTAGCGATGGACTGGACCTACGTATCTTTCCGAAATTATGGACGAAGGCCACTAAGGAAATGATTGAATTTGAGCACCAAGCTCACGGTTCAACCGCCTGCTCCAGGTGTTCGCCATCCGGAGTCTTCGTCGCATTTGATCTGGTCGCTTCGGAGGCATTTGGCAAGCTCTACTGGCTATTTCCAGTATGTCTGACCACGTCTGAAGTATGTCAGGGTATCATGCGTACGCTACGCTCATGCATTGAGGCCGAACCCGGTTTCTCGACGGTCGTGAGTAGCTGGACAAAGGTCCAGCAATATATCAGCCAGTATCCAGGCGTGCTGCAACCGCGCATGCTGTCAATCGATACGACTAGATACCCGCAGTGGCGAGTCAAGGTTTACGTGCGGTGTATCTTCCACAACACAAATCGTTTCGAATATCTCGAGCCTCATTTAACACTAGGAGGTGCTATTAGCCCTCCGGAATCATTCCAAGAGACATGTAGGAGCTCGTGGACGTCTCTCACAAGTCAAGACCGGGATGATGTTCCAGGCATAGGGCCGAAATATTGTCTGCTTATGTATGACCTCCCGGCGGGAGCGATGCAGAAGATGTCGGCGAAGTTGTACGTTATGTGTCAGGAGATTCCTCGGGTCGATTCATTTATCGCTCGGTGTCTTTATGATAGCTGCACGGTTTTGCAGAGTGCTGAGATTATAAAGTATGTCTTCTTAACCGAAATTGAGGCTCTCCTTGTTGACATCCTCGAACAGGGAAATGAGTCAATCTTCTGACCCTACTGCATATATCTGCGAGTAAGCATGTCTTCCCAGATATGTAACTTGGTTGATTTCCGTGCTGATATCGTGGAGTAGAATTGGATTGGCTCCGAGAGACATTGACACTGAGGTGTCTATTTATTGCAGCCCAAGTTATTCGGCACAATGGAGCTGGCGGGATAAAATCGAGGCAAATGGCTACATGAAGAAGAAACGTAGGGTTATTCCAAGGAAGTCGGAGTAGCCTGTTAGTTAGTTACGTTGATTAATCTGAGGGTCCTCGGCGAGGGTGCTCTATATCCCAAATCCGTAACAAAGACGTAGCATACTCACCCACGCAAGGGATGAAAAACAACTAAAGAATTCCTTCCGCCTACTCAATCCAGAACCGAGGCAATCAACTTCTGCATTGATCAATCAACACTTCGAACCGACTGCCCAAGTGGGTCCCTTGGCATTGCGACGCGAAAACGAGGCAAAAAACACGACCTGCCCGACACCGCATCCAACATCCTCCACCAGCAGGCACCGGCCATGGGACTCGCACGGCACCAGACGGCCGTCTCGCGCATCGCCAGCACCATCCGCGGCTTCTACGAGCGCAAGGAACCCTTCCGCATCAACCACGGCTCGACCAACAGCACCCGCCCCATCCGCCGCGACCGCCAAGTCGACATCGGCGACCTCCGCAATGTCCTCCGCGTCGATCCGAGCACGAGACGCGCTCTTGTCGAGCCCAATGTCCCCATGGATAGACTGGTCGAGGCGACTATGAAACATGGCCTGGTGCCGCCGGTGGTGATGGAGTTTCCGGGCATCACGGCGGGGGGTGGCTTTGCGGGAACGGCGGGCGAGAGCTCGAGTTTCAAGTATGGGTTTTTTGATAAGACGATTCATTCGGTGGAGATGGTGTTGGCGGATGGGAGTGTCGTCAAGGCGTCGGAGACTGAGAATGCGGACTTGTTCCATGGCGCGGCCGGTGCGGTGGGCAGTTTGGGCGTCACGACGTTGATCGAGTTGCAGTTGATCGAGGCGAAGAAGTTCGTCAAGGCCACGTATCATCCGCAGCGCAGTGTCGGGGACTCGGTCCATTCGGTGCATGAGCATACGTTGAACGACCGGAATCACTACGTCGATGGGATTGTCTATGGGCCGGAACACGGCGTGGTTATCGCTGGTGAAATGGCGGACGAGTTGCCCTCCGCGGCTCAGGTGCAGACCTTCAGTCATGCCTGGGACCCCTGGTACTATCTACATGTGCAGGAGAAGACGAGAAAGTCTGGCGGCCCCGTAACGGACTATATCCCGCTGGCGGAGTATCTGTTCCGCTATGACCGCGCTGGGTTCTGGGTGGGCCGGTCTGCCTTCCATTACTTTAACTTCCCCTTCAACCGACTGACGCGGTGGTGGCTGGATGATTTCCTGCATACACGCATGCTCTACAAGGCCCTGCACGCCAGCGGGGAGTCAAGCCGATACGTGGTTCAGGACCTGGCGCTGCCGTACTCCACGGCCGAGTCGTTTATCGACTACACCGGCGAGAAACTGGGAATCTGGCCGTTGTGGCTGTGTCCGCTGAAGCAGAGCCCGGCACCGACGTTCCATCCACACGAGACCACCGTGAAAAGCGAGGGTTTCACTCCCGGCCAGATGTTGAACATCGGAGTTTGGGGATTCGGACCTAAGGACCCGGACACGTTTGTCGCGGCCAATCGGGACCTTGAACGCCGGCTGCGGGAACTCGGTGGCATGAAGTGGTTCTATGCGCACACTTACTACAACCAGGACGAGTTCTGGGGCATGTACGACCAGAAGTGGTACGAAGGATTGCGGCAGAAGTACTCGGCGCAGACCCTGCCGAGTGTGTACGATAAGATCCGCATCGATGTGGACGCGGATCGAAAGGAGCGCAGTGAATCGTGGGGCCGCAAGCTGCGTGATATCTGGCCCCTAGGTGGGCTTTGGGGTATTCACAAGGCGATCCAGAGCAAGGATTACTTTATTCATCGGAATTCGGAGTGGAAATGGAAGGGATAAACCATGTATTATATGTAATAGGGGCCGAGGGTTGTATATCAGCTCGATAGACTTGTATAGCTAGAGATAGACCAATATACTGGATATGAACACACAGGACCCTTCGCAAATAAACAGTGGGAGATTTATTGAGCTCGGGTTCGATGTCGCCACTCGGGTTCAACTCGATCCAAAGGTTCAACTTAATCCGAAGGTTCAAACTCAATCCAAAGCCGAAGGGTTCAACTCAACCCTCACAGAACCGCCTGGAATCCGCAGGAATTCGACATGGGTTGAACCTAGACTTCGGCAAAACCCATTGATGGGTTTTACATGGGTACCCATGGGTCCTGCCGAAGTCTAGTTGAACCCTTTTAACCATCAATCCTTTTAATAGTCTCTGTTTACGTTCATTGGTGTATAAAAAAGGGGATCTCTAAAAGCACAAACGTAGAATATATTATATTTTTGCTCACTCACATATTTACTCTCTATGGATTGTCGTAAGCACAAAGATTGCAGCAGAAGCATCCTAATTAAGAGGTTTGATTTCGCCACTCGACCCGGGGTTTAACTCAATCCAAAGGTTCAACTCGACCCGCGCAGAACCCGTTTCAGAACCGCTTAGAATCCGCGGGAATTCGGCGTGAGTTGAACCCTTCTACCGCCAATCGATTCGTAGTCTCTGTTTACATTTATCGGTACGTAAACCGAGAGAGACCTATAGGAAAACAAACTTATAATAATTTTCCTAGGCTCAATCCTAAGCTAGCAAAGGATCTAAATTGACTACTCACACATTCACCTTCTATAAATAGTCGTAAGTCTAAATATTGCTGTTAAAGAATCCAAATGTAGGGGTCTATTATCTCAAAGATACGTGATAACTGCTGGTGACTGATCTACTATTGCCCTAACGGCTGATCTGGCCATAAGTAGTAATATTAATACTGTTTGAACATACAGACGATCAAGATAGTAGGCAAAGTTCCACAGTTTGTGGAGACCAAAATTAGATAGAGACATGCTGCAACCCTCTTGCGGAATGACAAAGAAAAGGCCACACGCGATGAAAAGGAAAAAAGGAAAGAAAAAGGAACGGAATCGCTTAAAGTGAATAGAGGCTGATTCAAGGCAGAAATCTATCTCATTGGAGGCATGGCCGATGTAAGTCATGCAAGTCTACCCACTGGGACGCTGAAACACGTAGGGCTGACGGCACGTGGCATCGCAGAGACCTAATCACACCCATGCGATTTGTTTGGCACAGAGCTCCAGAGGAGAAAAGCTCTCTTCTCAAATTACACGCCAAGCAGCACTGCAAGATGTAGCCCAGATGTATGACATCATATAGGGCTGGGCAAGGCCAGCCGAGAACATTGGCATCGCCATGTTGCCGTCCCTCATAGGGCATCAAACGCAACCTCAGCCGTCCTAAGCCCTTGGCCCTACGTAGCTGATGAAATTTCTACCAGCCCTCAGGCAGCCGTCTGCTGGACTTAATGGGTTTTCTTCTTGCAATTCTCTCGTTGCCGTCTCCGAGTAACCCCCATCGCAGCAGGACTGAATCCACCCCATGGCGTCCCCGGACCAGCACCTCACCGCCGACGAAATCAACCAGTTTCTCGACGACCTTGACACAAACGGTGATGGCACGATCGATTACGAGGAGGTAGAGCAGAAGCTCGACCAGGTGTATAAGGAGATCGCCCCGGTTCCGAAGCGCCACCACCTGCACCATGATAGCAAACGAGACGATGCGCGACACGCCTTCCTGCGCCATATAATCGGCTCCGATCAGAGACGTATATCGCGGGCGAATATGTTCCAGCGAGTGCAAGAATGGCAGATCCCCTCGCTTCAGACGGAGTCCAAAAATGACCAGGACGAGAACAGCTACGTTCACAGCCTGTCCTTGTGGCGACGCATCCGCGCCTACTGGAGCGTCCATGGTCCCAAGATTCTCTTCCTCATGCTGGTCGTCTCCATGCAGTTGGCATTCGGCATTTGGCAGCTCGTCAAGTACCTCACGACCATGCAGTATCGACACGCGTTCGGATGGGGCGCCGTCCTGGCAAAGACTTGCGCCGGCTTACTCTACCCGACATTTTTCTTCCTCCTACTAAGCATGTCCCGATATTTCTCGACTTTTCTGCGCAAGTTCTATTACGTCTCGAGGTTCGTCAATTGGGATCTTTCGCAGTCGTTTCATATTAAGATGTCGATTCTCGCGCTGGGGTTGGCCTCGTTGCATGCTATTGGACATCTCACGGGCTCCTTCCTCTACGCTAGTAGACCGGCGCAGGAGGAGAAGGTTGCTATAGTGCTGGGGCCGGATGCGGTTCCTCGTCCCTATGAGGACTACGTGGCTACCCTGCCGGGATGGAGCGGCGTCGTGTGTCTGGCATTGTTCTGGACCCTCGCGTTACTGAGCACGCCGGTCGTGCGACGCCGGAGCTACGAAGCCTTCCAAATCGGTCACCTGCTCATGTACCCCATGATAGGTCTGCTGATGGCCCATGGCACGGCCGGACTCCTACAGTGGCCGATGCTAGGCTACTGGCTTGCGTTCCCGACACTGCTGATTCTCGTGGAGCGCGTAATCCGCGTTGCGCTGGGTTTCCATCGCATCCCGGCTACTTTGAAGGTCATGGATGCGGATACCGTCGAGATCAAAGCGACAATCCCTAGCGAGCGCATCTGGAAGTATGAAGCAGGACAGTATATTTTCCTTCAGGTCCCGAAGCTTAGTCTCTTCCAGTGGCACCCATTCACGGTCTCAGTGTGCATCGGTCACGAGATGCAAGTCCACATCAAGACGGACGGCGACTGGACTGGCCGATTGAGAGATCTAGCTGAGGGTCCGCCGCCAACGCAAATTGAAGTCGGCATCAATGGCCCGTTTGGTGCCCCGGCACAGCGTTTCTATGACTTCAGCCACAGTATTGTAGTGGGCGCTGGCATCGGCGTGACGCCATTCTCGGGTATCCTGGCTGATCTACAGGCCCATGATGACCAAGCCCATACTGTATCTGACGAGACTACCGACTCGGATGCATCCGGCGAGAAACCGCCACAGCCGGATAGCTCCTCGGGACAGGTTGATCCTGCCTCGCCGTCGTCAGACGAACCCTCTCCTATTGCCGACGATTACCGCCGCGTCGACTTCCACTGGATCGTCCGCGACAGAAACTATCTCCTCTGGTTCTCGGATCTGCTGAACTCCGTTTCTCGATCACAGATGCGACACCGTGCTCAAGAGGGAACACCACATCTCGACATTCGAATTCAAACATACGTGACGCAGCGACGCAAGAAGATCACAACGCACGTTTACCGCTGGCTTCTCGAAATGCACCGCACTGAGGAGCACCCCGAGTCGCCGCTTACCGGACTCATCAACCCGACTCATTTCGGACGGCCGGACTTCATTGAGGCGCTGGACGCGCATTACGAGGATATGCGGAAGGTGAAGGCATCCATGACGAAGCGGGAGCTGGATTCAAGGGAACGGTTGAAGATCGGGGTCTTTTTCTGCGGGGCGCCTATGATCGGTGAGATTTTGGCGGATCGTTGTGCGGCGCTATGTGCGAGGGGCCGAGAGGATGGAAGCAGGATTGAGTATCATTTTGTGACGGAGGTTTTTGGTTGATGGTCGTATGGAAAGGGGGTATTCTTGGTTTCAGGGTTTTTGGGTATTGATTCGCATGAGTTGTCTCGACTAAGATTCTTAATTCTAGTGCTTCTTGTTAAAACAGAAGACAGTTAATATAAAGTGTCACTTCTTACAGTTGAGCTTCTTCAGCGGGTTAGGCTCGACTTTATTATAACTTATTTATCCGTACTAATTCGAACAACAAGATGGCTCCATTCAATGTCCTAGTACCCATTTCGCCAGATCAACTACAACTTAATCGTCCACATTTCCGGGGACACTGTATTTAAGTGGTGTTGACGGTCTGATGCCGCCCAAGGCGGGGCAAGCTATCGAATAGCCTATCCATGGGGCCAAATAGTATGTAAGCAGTCCAGTGTCATGCTCAGTCTTGTCCTTCTTTTGAACGCAGCTTGCCATTGCCCGTCAAGAATCCCTGAGATAACGCTGTTGAGGGTGGAAGCCTATTTTTGCGGCGGCAAAGTGTGTAGCATTAAGTCTCCAGGTATATGAACTCATTTGAAAAGGTAATGTTTCCGATATGTTTCGTTTTTTCAAAAATGTCCGATGTTAACAATTCATCCGTTAAGCAGGATGGACGCCAGCCTCAAAAGGGTAGTGCACATGTTCTTGCCAAGCCCTAATTTTCCTGGCCAAAGTCACCACTTTTAGCGAAGGAGTGATGGAAAGAGATATAGCACAGTTTATACCTGCCACTATATAGCGCATTGTTTCTCTCATGCCCCCAAGAAGCATAAGTTTGGGATGCTAGATAGCGAGGATTTGATCGAGACATGATGTTGTTCATTCTCGGAAACATTCTGTCTCACGTCCTCAAACTACGAATTCATCCTCGTTAGGGTCGTGTAAAAAGGTAGAGAAAGGGTTTAGTCGCAAGTACAGCTGACTATATATTGTGCAACATAGTTCAGTACTTGCTGGTGAGGTCCAACGCCATAGCTTAGTTGATGGGGGGAGTTTCCTATTCAAAGGCATCACTATTAGGGTTGTCTTTGGCTAATGATTCCTCTCGGCCTCTGCCCTAGAGAGTAAAAGGGGACAGATGTGAGATAACAAGAGTCTAGTATTGAATTTACAAGTGGCGTGTTGACTTTCAGGTGACTCTGATTATGTATGGTGCCGCCGTTCTGTAGTACATCTATGCAGTTGATGGCATTCGCATCATCTCCCTTTCATCACGAACAAGCTTAAGCAATCGCTTATTATAACCAATATTAGTACACTCTGCTGCCTTAAACGATGAAAACAAATCAAGGTCACGACTGATACTTTGATTAGTTCAGTGGCGAACTGGCCACCTGAACCCCTGTGTCTAGGCCTCGCCAAGCCGTGCTATTATTATTCGACTTTATGGCGTGTAGTACCTTTGGCTGTATGATGGCTTTTGTGGCTCTTCAGCTGACATTGCATGCCCGCTGCATGTCATTCATTCAGCTCTAGTTTCTGCAAACTAGCCGACGAATCCGAGCGATTCCGCGACGCCCCGGATGGCAAACTACTTCGACCTGAGCACTTCTTGGCCAATAAATTGGTGGATTAACAGTCAGGACTATTAATCCGTGGAACAATTTCTTGGGCGAGCTGAATAAGGACGTTGTGGTGAGCTGAGCTACTGAGGGGTCGAAATACAGCTGTATGTTGGTTCAGCTAGCCCTGTATACCATCTACGGAACTTAGATCAAAATGGCGATATAAAGACTGCCCAAATCAAAGTGTTGGAAAAGGATGTTTTAACAACCAACTCTCCTGTCCAATCCAACACATACCAACCCTTTACATCTTGCTCCCTACGAAATTATACCACCCCTGACCACCACCATGCCCATCAAAAGCAAACAAATCACCCCTCTCCCCCGCCCAACATGGCTCGACAAAGCCGGCATGAGCAAAGGCGTCGACCACGACCGACACCACCTCGGCATAGTCCTCGCCCCCGGCCAAACTATCAAAGCGCGCCAAACCAACCCCGCGTTCAAAAGCGACCTGACCCTTCGCCTTCTCAACGACGACGCACACACCGAGACGTCCAAAAAATTCGGGACTAGCTGGACCTCTGTCTCTGTTAATTCCGTGTCCGTTCCCTTCATCGATACTCCCTATTATGACAAACCTGAGGGAAATGTGCAGCCCGTCGTGGAATACGATTTCCCCGATGGGTCTAAGACCCTACCGATCTACCGCAAGGGAGACGATGAGAAGGCGTTCTTCGCGCTCTGGGATAGCGTGGGGGCGGAGTTCGCGCTGATCAACTCGGCGGTTGCGAGCGTCTTGGTTCCGGTCGTGGATAAGGAGGCGCTGAGACATAAGAGTATCGACGGGTTGATCGAGTACTATGAGTCGCTCTTTGCATTTTATAACTCGCTTGCTGGTTTGTCTTTTGAGCCGGAGTTCGACTCAGACTTGAATATCTCGAACCGCTACTTCATGAAGGCGGATATCCATGGCGCTGGGGGTGCGTACTATGGTCATGAGTGGACGGCAGCGTCGACGAACGCTATCAAAGGCTGGTGGCTTGATCCGTTGGCGACGAACTGGGGAAATTTGCATGAGATCGGCCACGGATATCAGGCTTCGTTCAGGAATGATCGGTACTTCTGGAACGGGGAGGTGTCGAATAACATCTACGCCGCTTGCTACCAGAGCGCGATGCTGGGTGATCGCAAGTATAAGGAAGGTTGGCTATACAATTACGGGAAGCAGGCGCAGGTTGAGAAAGGTATCACCGACAACAGTCAGGCTAAGCTTGGTCTGAACGAGTGGGATCTGCGTGCGAAATTGTACTTCCTGGTGATGATGATCGACAAGGCTGGCTGGGACTCGTTCGCCGATTTCAATCGTCAGTATCGCCTGGCCAGCAATAGTCCCGGGTTCAAGGTCGCTGATTATTTGATTCTGGATATGCTGTCTGAAAGCTTCATTCGAGTGGCGAATTTGGATGTCACGCCTTTTGTTCAGTTGTGCAATGGTGTAATCTCGTCTACGCAGCTCCAGCGCAATCATTTCAGCCAGGCGAGAGCAGTTTACCCCTTGAGTGGTCTAGTGGAGAGCGACACTTTGACCAAGCTGCAGACAGAGCTCAAATTACAAAGTCCTCTCGACCTGGTCGAAGTGTCGCAGCTGCTGGCCAGTGGTGTGACAGGCGACGTTCGCCTGAGCTTGAACATCAATGATTTCAGTCAGATTTATGGGAAATCGATCTTGCTGCTGGTCGGCTCCCGCGTTGTACGGAACGTCATGATTCAAGAGTCGGTGGTCAGCCTGTCTGGTTTGACAATTGGCGCGTATACTCTAAGATTGCCGACTGGGAGGAATGACAAATACCAGACGCCCAACGACCGCTATCTAGTGGTTAAGCCCGGACTGGAAGAAGTCAAGGTCGACTTCGAACCTAAGACTGGATCCTTGGTAGTCTCGCAGGAGATCAAGCTGTTGGGGCTCGGAGACGATCTATTCAGCACCATCCAAGTCGATCAAGTCAACCACATTGTGGAAGTCGCCGTCACCGAGAAAGAACCACACTCGTACTTTGGAGACCAGACTTATGCTCAAATCATCATCAAGGATAAGTCTGGCACCGAGAAACTTCGCGTTACCATGCCAGGTAAAGGTGCAACGTTGAGCAATGATAAGATCCCGTTCGAACCGGGCTACACCCTTGAAGTCCATCACGAAGAACCCAGCCACCGCATCCAGCTGAGTCCTGACTTCGACGGAGTAATTGACCACACCAAGAAGATCAACACCTTCGAGATAACGGCCAGTGGGCTGAAGAACCAAGCGTTAAACAACGACCCCTTGAAAGCACTGCTGCCTCGGATTGAAGCAGCGGCGACAGAACTGCGCAGTCGACCCTTCATGCTACGCGCAGATTCTCCCGCTAAACTAGACATCTGGCTGGCAATCAACCTATATTCCGGATCTCAGCGGGACGATCTGCTCAAACAATACGCCGACTGTCTCCCGACAGACAACGACCCTCCGGTGGAAGGTCTAGGCAACGCGTTTACAGTCGACTTTAAGGGCATCGGCGATCGTCAGTTCTTGAAGGTTGACGTGGACCTAAACACTAGGAAGCTCACAGTCCACCTGGAGTCCGGCGTGGCACACCACTACTTCGATGACACTTATGCATCGTTGCAGTACATAGACGCTGACGGCACCGAGCAGCTGAACCTGGATATCAAAGGCAGCAAAGACCAGAAGGCTGGACAGTGGCCGTTTCCGATTTCCGGGTATGGCGAGGAGGTGTTGAAGATCAGGCATGAGGAGCCGAAGAATCGCCTGGTGGTGACCAACAACATGCAGAATCGACGCCTGTCTGATCGAGAGAAGTTGCAGGATTATCGGATCACACCCACTGGACTCGAGCTTATTCAGTGAGTGGACGGTGATGACGATGGGTTATACATTCGGGGCTTGAAGGATCATCTGTTAATCTTTCCCAATGCTTCTTTCACTGCTCCTTTTTCTGTCAAACTGAGAAATGTTTTCAATGATAGCACTGCTTGTTGGTTCCACGTGCTTTTCCACCATGAGTAGGGGAATAAGTCACAATCATTAAGATGAATAGTCCCAGATTCACTGTAAGGCACTGCTTTCAAGCTCATGGGAATCGTCATAGTTAATAAGAAGCATTGTGAGCTTTGGGGACAGATGCAACCCTTCCTGCACAGATACGATTCTCTCCGGCTTTCTCCGTGTCTTGACACATCACCATCATCCATCTTTGTGAATGAGTCCGATCGGGTCATGTAGCTGTATACATTATTTATTCTCTCTGAATGTCCTGGTTGACTGTTCGCCACGTTCTGTCTGTGGCGATCGCATGCCGGGAAGCTTCTCTATTGGCTGTAGTTCTTCGCACTTCCAGTAGCGGCTTCGTGCATGTATGTAGGTCACTCGACTTGCCAATCATACTCGACTCTCCCACACCACGTCCAACGCAGAGGTCCGAGCCCAAAACCAGAGGACGCAACACAACTCCCCACCAGCAGTCTGCAGTCCTTCTCACTCTCGATACCGCGAGCTTCCACAATGTCCGCGCAAAAGGAGTACCTTAATGCAAAGGACTTCGAAGCCGGTGAGCATGGCATGGTTTACTATGAGGTGACCACAGCCCAAAATGAGGCAGATGCTGACTAGACTCTCAAAGGACTTGTGGAACTCGATGCCGAGATGGGTCGTTCTGAATGGCTCGTTGCATTTGCTCCTATCCGAATCCTGACGGCGGGCGGGTTCCTCGCAGTGTCTTATTTCAAATGTCGCGACAGCACAGGGGATCTTGACTACCTGATTGAGCCAGAATTTGTGGGAGACAAGGACATCCAGAGTGCTCTTGACGCTGCCATCCAGAATGTCTCATTCCGGCTAGAGTTTAATAGAGATTGGGTGAATCAAGCCATGGCCATCTTCGTGACCAAGAAAACCAGACAAACCCTGTTTGAACAGGCAGAGAAACAGGGCATAACGCTGTTCAAGGGAGAAAACTTGGAAGTTCTCGCGGCTCCGATCGAATGGGCCCTCGAGCGCAAGTTGCGAAGAATCCACGCAACGAATCGGGACCGAAAAGCTGAATTGGATATGGTGGATGCGATAACCTTCTTGAAACACCTGAGGGAGCGCAACAACGGGCCTCTGGACCTGGAGTTGGTTCGGACAATGAATATGAACCAGTTCGACGTTATACCTGACCATCGCACATTGCAGCAGGTTGCCGACGCATATCGTCAAAAGTACGAGGAGGAGATTTTTCAGTAGGCCTTGTTTTCTGGCTCGGAGACTTTACCATATCCATCCGTCTCAGATGGTGTAAAGCCAGCCTGTGTTTGTGATGATATTGCGCTTGGCGAAATTGGGTGCTTTGCCGTTCTCTTCAAGGACCAAATTCCCTTCCGAATCCAGTGACTCTGGCGGTACCGATACGCTCAGCAAGTCCTTGTCAATCGGCGGAACCTTCTCCGTCCAAAGAGGCAGCTCCTCGGGAGTAAAGGGGGGCCACGGGTCTCCGTCTTCCTCCCGATAAACATGCTCCTTGTTTCTCCGCAGTCCTAGGCTCAGTCGCCAATTAACTGCTTCGTGCAATTCCTCGACGATAGAGGCAATGATCGCGTAGCGGAGCGGATCTGGATCGTTTGGGTCGGGTATATCTTTCAGCTTCCAGTCCCGTCGAAAGAAAAAGTATTCTGTTTCCCATCCCATTAGCACATACCGATCGGCGAGGTGGAGCTCGTAAAGTCGGTAAATAGATCGTAGCGGCGTGTCCCGCATGCGCCAGATAGGAATATCTCGAAGGTTATGAATATCACCGAACCGGGATAGAATGATGCCCGTCTGGTTTTTCTTGTCCTCGACGAGTGATCGCAGAGGAAACGGGCCGGGGATTGGAAAATACCACGAGGGATACGGAATGAACAGGCGGAGAAGCGCAAACAGAGGGTATTTGTGCTGATGACTGAGTCGGATGTAACTAGCCCGTAGTCGGAGAGGTGAGTGTGCGTAGCGAAGCCATAATCGAAAGCGTGTCCACAGAGACAGGTTGGGACGGCGACGAGGAGGCATTGCTGGCCTCGAGATGTGCGCAAGTCAAGATGAAGATGGCGGTCTCCGATTTCCCGCCGCGACGGTCACGAGAGAGTCATGTGACCGTTCCCCGTCACTTCCTGGGTTCATCCCATCCAGCATCATCCAGCATCACCCTACGATGCAGTCGGCATCTCGCTGTTGAGTCACCAAACTGAATAAGTTGCTACGTCATGTTCGAGTCTCTTTTGGGGTCCCTTGACTCTTCGGTGTTCAGCTCGATGGAGGGGTTTCATACTACTATTCTGCAATATATAAACAATCGCTTTCAGCTCAGATATCCCCAACGTGGCCCTCAACATTCATATGAAATGCCTCCATAATCGCTTTTTTGGCACTCTTACCATCAACAGTTGTTTTCTTTTTCTCGTCAGCCCGCCGACTAAGCTCCATCACGTACGGCACGATATCCTTCCATTCAATCTTCTGCCCCTGATCAACCTTCTCGGAGATACTCTCAGGTGCAAGAACCGGCTGCAGAGTACCGTCTTTCTTCCTGATCACTCCGTCGATGATGACAGTGTTGACGTCCCGCACTGTACTATGAAGCACGATGGCAGCCACAGGATCGCGATCAGCAGCGACGATCATGCCGGGAGTAGTGCAGTCGAAAACCACAAGGTCGGCCTTCTTTCCAACGGCTAAGCTGCCAACCGTATCTTCCATGCCGATGGCACGCGCACCGTGAATCGTGCCGAGGTTGAAGACAGAAGATGCACTGAATCCCACATCGCTCGACCATTTGTCCTGAGATTCCAAGTCTTCGTGTCTTCTTGCTCGTGCCCACTGCAGCGCTAACATCATCTGCGCGGGCATGTATGCGCTGCACACGCTGTGGCAATCAATACCGAGAGAAGCTTGCGCGTAAAGGTCGTCTCGTAAACAGACGGGGTTTCCATGGCCCATCTGAAGTTCCGTTCCTGGTGTGCTGGAGATCTTGACCTTTTTGTCAGTGACAAGTCGCGCGTCCTGTGGAGTTGGATTGTTGTTGTGGGATAGGAGGATATCTGGGCCAAGGAGACCATTGTCGTCGAGCGTTGCGGCTGCGGAGGTTTGATTGGGAGCTGAAATTATTTTGTCAGACCTCTATTACTGATGTAACCATGTCATAGACTCGGTACTTGCCCCCAAACTGTGCGCCATAAACCGAATGGGACGTGATCAATTGAGCCCCTGCTTCCCGCACCTTTGAATACATGTCTTTAAGCATGGATCCCGGCAGGAAAAGACCGTCAAATGCGAACCCAAGACTGACGCGGCCATTTGGTCCGAATGGATTCAAGCCGGCCAACTTTTTGAATGTTTCCATAACCCACGGTGGTAGGAAGTCTCTGTCCAGAGTAAATTCTGGTTTCCAAGAGGCTACGCGAGGCGTTGGGCAGTAAGCGAAGACTGATCGCAGGCCGGACGCAATGGTCGCTCGGAGGGCCTCGGTTGCTATTCGCCATTAGCACTAAACTCCAGGATGAACCAGGTTCGCGCTGGAAGCCGTACAATGTTCAGGTGAATAGTTGATGTGGGCATGGTCAACTACCGTTGTCGTTCCGCTGTCCACACATTCCAGAGCCCCAGCCAACTGACTCCAGAAAACGTCCTGAGGCGATAGGAATGAGCTGATGAAGTTCCCTTGTCCTGGTCAGCACGCGCAGGCATCACTCTTAGACACTACTGACCATCCCAGAAATAATCCACCAGGGTCTGATCGGCATGGGTCCCCTTTAGACATGACTGCCAAACATGGTGGTGGGTGTCAATAAAGCCAGGTGATATAATCTTTCCGGAACAATCAATCACGGTCGCAGATTGAGGCTGATTTATGCTGTCGTCGATCTGGCAGATAATCGAGTCTTCCACAAGGAGGTCTTTTTGCTCCGCCCGGATGACGTCATGGTCGTGGATGAGCAACGTCCCTTGCTTCAGCAGAATGGAAGTTGTCATTGCTGTGGACTATGTTTGAGATCCGAATGAATATGAGAGGACCTTTTCAGTTTAAATGCTCATAAGTGTGTCGTGTTAAAGACAAGTCGTGCTAAGATGTGGTCCTGCTCGCCTTTCTCCACCGGTTCGGCCTCGGGGCGCCTTCACGCCGAGCCTTAAAAGTCGCGATAATCCCGACCACATTTATGGATGCCTATTCTAATCCCAGGATGTCAAGGTATTCTTAATAATTGAATCATCTATGTCATTGCTTGCTTGGCTAGGCTGGAAGCTATCGTATATGTTTGGGTTTCCAGTTTGAATGTGATGTGCGCCCAATATCCGTTGTCATCAAACTCTGCATCCTTTGCAGCATGAGGACAGTATAGACCAGTATTTTGACCCAGATCCTATCCGATGGAGTTTGCGTATTTTGCATAGCGAATCGAGGTAACGGAGAAAAGCAAATTTCCCGATACGCATTCGATCATTGCGTGCGCATATCGGGTTTGCTGCTCACTCAGCATTCCCATCTCCGAGATCTGGCAGAGCTCATCCTGCAGCTGAGACTCAATATCAAGGATCAGGCGCAGAACGAGATCCTTAGCTAGAGTAGGTGACACCGACAGGGCCTGCTCCAGATAATTGACTGCGTTTAGTATGCAAGCACCCTCAGTCATCGCTGCATGCTTCTCCTTGTCAAAGGAAAAGAGATCGTTGACTAGAATGGTATGGTCACCGATCAAGTCACTAAAATGACGCAGTGGGTCTATCTGTTGCTGGCTCAAGTCTAGATCATTTCCAAATCTCACTGCTGAAAAGATGTGGCTGTAATGTGTCAGTCTCGGCCTGCGTTGCAACGACAATGTGATAGACGCAGACATACTCTACTGCAATATGGGTCGAACGATAATCGAGGTAGTCGCGCAGGCCTTTAAACTCGGTCCTCTGGCGGTGGTTGGTAAATAATATGTACTCGGCGAACGACTCCAGTAGAATATGCATGGGATGTCCCCTGATATCAAAAAGATCCGATGTCGATTTGCACTTGGCGCATAGCTCTTGTCCGAATGGATCATCAAGCCCTCGCGAAACTCGAATGAGAGACTGTGTTATATCGTCGACTACAGTTGAGCCCTGAATTCACGACTTGGGTTAACTAAAGTTCCAGCTGACCAGAGTAGGTTCCAACCCACCGCTTGTTCTGGGTGATATTCCAGAACATCTGTCCATCACGTTAATCAATATAACTCTGAACCTTTTATGCGACAAGCGGATGCACGACAGACTTACCATCTTGCGTCCAAAGAAGCATCCAAAGCTTCGCGATGACTGTGATCCTCTCGCATGACGAGTTTGGTATCATGTAGGTTGCAGCATCGACCGAGCTCGTCACAATCATGCTTTCCTTCGCTGTCAACCTCTGCTCCTCGGCCATGCGACGAAATCCATCAGGCACTGCTTTGCCCCGCTGAGTGCTGAGCGTCCGGATCTCTCGTATCAGCTCTTCGCATGACGCCTGGGCCTCCTTCCAATACTTGCATTGGCGGGCGGCTGGGAATGCGGATGGCCAGGCAAGATCCCACTCTGATGGCTGGATCGTCACGCTATCCGAGGTATTGTATGTCTTCCTGGTGTCATAGTTGAGAAATGAAAATGCCTGTCCTTGGCTTGTAGGTAGGTTGCTGTAGGTAAGGCCTTTGGGGGTATAAGAGAAAGAGATTGGTTTAGCCATTTTGATTTCAGCGTGGGAATAACTTTGGCATCTAGTTGATTCTGACAGTCAGGGCTGAGGAATAGGAACCCTTTTATATTGCAAATACCGCTCTAATTTAATAACATGCCGTGACTTCAGCAGCAGAATCGGCATTTGCTGCCCTCTGTGGCTACAAAGCATGTTGACACATCGGGACCCTTGGTAGTCCAACGGTTGACAGCCACCCAACCATATCCAACAGCCAAGCCACTCAATACATATGCAAAAACCCTAAAACAACCTTTGGAGGCGCCGAAAGACCAAAAAGGAAATTTGCGTCAGAGGAAGGTCATATGTCCCTTAAAAGGGCATGCCTCCATACAGCCGGTTGCAATTTTGAGAAGGATACATGAAGCGGTTCATAATTAACACCGAAAATATCTGCTTTTCCCTGGTTGGGATGCTGCGTAACTCACCTTGCGTATAGATATGTGCAAGGGGTCAGTTGCGGTGGCAAGCCCCCCAATCACTTCGACCGGCGAAGAACCCGCAAAACCTTGAAAGTATGAATAACCTTTGACTGATCAACATGGCGAAAACGCGCACATGAATTGACAGAAACATCATAGAAAGTACTATGAACTTGTTCTTTGGCCACCCGTCAAGAGCGTGGCGACTTCCAGTCAAAATCATTGTATAATGTTTAGTATCATTACGTCCTCCGCCTCTCGTCTGAGCATCGCATAATCAGCATCCCCACTTAAAGACAGTTCCAGACTATCAGCTATCCCTAACCTTCAGCAAGAAGACGTCTTGCACAGAAATCATCACTCGATCGTCCAGTGAAATCTGCCAGACCATTCACCCGTAATAATTGAGTTAAGCTCTCGAGTGGCTGGGCTGTCCGCAAAACTCTGTCTGAACCGTTCCAGACTCTCCGAGTCAAATTCGCTTGTCGTCTCCTGTCTTTGTCTTGCAAGTACGGGTTGTTCCAGGTGGTCTGGTAACTGAACCCCGAAGTCATGGAGCCTGCTGTTTATCTCGTACTGATAGTCTTCCACCGCGTTGAGAAGACCAGGAGGGTCCGCATCAACCGCTCGCTCTATAGCTTCTACCGTGGATTGAATTTCATGGCTTGGAATAAACCGCTCGGCGCCTAAGATGTCGACAAATATCTCTTGTGAGACGTGGTAGACCATCCCGCGGAATGCGTTATATCCTCCGAACCGGTCGAAATATGGATCTTGGTGATAGTCTTGGTTCCCATAGTCTTTGAAACTGATCCCCGTGCTATTGTGTCTCGGACACGGTTCAAAAATGGGTATGGTCATTTCTCTCTCGAGCTTGGATGGGGTGGATTGTCGCGCAATGCAGCGGCAGTACATATATCGATGGACAATGTTGTACATGGGCTCCCACTTCATGGTGAGCCGGTGGCAGACAAGATCGATGGCCGGGATATTATCTTGGGGTTGTGACTGAGGCATGTCCTTTGTATCCTTCAGCTCTACAGCCCCTTCCACGCCGGAATTTTGCGAAAGGCTGGAGTCCGGCTGTTCCAGGAAATTGGCATATGTATCCGGGCCGAGGCCTATGCTAACGTCGGCCGGTAGATATGAGATGTCGCCAGGCTCAACCCAGCGCACATGAAGCCGACAATTATCACTTGATAATGGTTAGTCAGAACCTAGGCCTCGCAAGGCTTTACTCACCAGTGTGTATATCTGCGTTGGCGGGTATTTGCCTTTGCCTCTTTAAAGCATCGCATGCATCTGCTCCTGGAATACCCAAAAGGACTGCACATCACAAATGAAACTTCGATCCCTTGGCCCCCCTTCACCTGTAAGGGCCAAGTGTCTTTGTCCAGTTTGGAAGTTTCTTCCCAGTTCCATATTTCCAGGTGGGCGTTCTGGATTTGTACCAGACCCGGGAGGTTTCTTGATTTGAATTTGAAGACCAGACTCTGCATGAAGATCTGCGAAGGTTAAAAACGTCCAAGCGCGACTTGAGTTCAAAACATACCTGCTGCGAAGAGCACCAATCCAGTGGGAGAATATACTGATGTCCAAGACCGTCATCTACTCGAATGTGCTCGCCTAACTCTCCTGTCTCCCATGGGTAACCAAGAGCCTTGGTGATTCTTGACTGCGGGCCTTCAAGGAAATGCTTCAGCAGTGTGTTCATCTGCTCGACAGACGCCTCTTGGTCTTTCATCGAGCGAAGCGCCCTTGTCTGTTCAACATTGAGACTTCTATGTGCCGTTAGCCATGTGTGCATACCCCCTCCCATAGCAAGAGACTACTAACAATATAATCGTTTGAACTAAACTGTCCAGTTGACTACCCATCTGCTCGATCTTCTGCTTCCTAGCGATCGCTCTCCGGGCTGCTCTCAGCCTCGCGAATAGTCCAGCGTTTTGCTTGACTTTGATTTGATCGAGGATCGACATAAGCCGTCGAGAAACATCGATGTAGGAGGTGATCAGGTATTTCTCTGGAGCCGATGTATCGACCAAATGTTCGAGTTCGCTGATCTTGGTTAATGCGGCAGATACGGCGCTCTCCAGGTCCCCGAACTCCTCAGTCGTTCCACTTGTCGAATGGCAGAGCTGTCTGACGCGCGTCGTGAATTCATAGCTGACTTGCACGAACTGGATAATGTTCGCGGTCAGTCCGATCGCTGCGAGGGCTTCCATGATCATGCGCTGGCGAGATCTAGGATCCGTATTGTTTTATCAAACGAATCGAATTCCCACCGAGGGTCACACAGAGAGTGAAAAGAAAAGACCAAACGGAGGAGAATGGATCATGTTTGCGATTTCAGCGCCTAGCAGAGAACATACGCCTGCACGGGCGTGGCGGCTCGGGGGTGACCCTACCCAATCACCAGGCCTCTATGTTTAAGATAGAGTGAGAAAATTGATAAATCTCACAAATGAGAGGTAAATGTGGGCCTTTACCAGAAGGACGTGGCGAGTGTTTCTCCCAATCGCTCCCGTGCCGCGCATTCTCAGCCTTGTCTGTTGGCTGAAGAGGCTGTGCATCTCGGGCGCAGAAACGCTGCAGATACATAGTGGGTCTATGACATTGGGCATAAGAGTTAGTATCTGCACAGCCTTTACTACTTTGGTCTTTTTATTGAATCTACGTTGCGATAAAGCAAGGATCGATGGCTTGCTTACCCAACGCAGCAATCAAAGAGATATTCGGCTTGGCTTTTCTATCTATATAAGACAGCGCCAAATACAGAGTAAGGATTGGGTCTCGTTCCAATATGCTTAAGGCCTAGAATACGCAGCCTTCTCCGATTTATCCGCCCTTAGTTCTTCCTTGCACCTATGTCGACTTCGTCAAGAAAGTCAACGCTGCAAGACAGAGAGCCTCTACCCCAACTTTCATCGTCGGCTGTATAGCAGGCGCAAAGAGCGCCGAATGGTTCGACGGTATCTCCAACTGATTCCCTTCTTGAAGAGCCTTGTCCCAGACCTGCGTATCAATTCCACCCAGAAACCAAAAGCAGCACGGGATATCCTTGCAAGTCGCCAGGGTCGACACATCCTCACTCACATTACTCCTAGGCACATCCCCATCAAAATCCTCAATGTGCTCCCCAAACGTCCTCGCCATCTGCGAAACCGCCTCATTGTCATTATTCGTCGGCGGAAACCGCCGTGTCGGCGTAAACACAGGCGGCTTCGGCGAGCCACTCGCCATACACTCGGCCTCGACAATGCGCCGAATCGCAGCCAGAATCTTCTGCCTCGTTTCCAGCTTCACCGTCCTAAAGTCCAGCCCGATCTCCGCTCGGTCCGCGATGATATTCTCCGTCTGACCCGCCTGGAGACTCCCCACCGTCACGACCCCGAGATCCGTGGGATCCACCTCCCGACTCACGATCCCCTGCAGCCGCACCACGATATGCGCCGCCAAAAGCGCCGGATCGACCGTCTGATGCGGCAGCGATCCGTGGCCCCCGCGCCCAAACACCGTGATCTTCATACTATCCGCCGCCGCCATGATCGTGCCAGGTCGGAGGCCAATCTGCCCTGCCCGCATGCGCATCACATGCTGGCCGAAGACGTAGTCCGGCACCGGGACCTTCGAGTACAGCCCGTCTTCGACCATAGCCTGCGCGCCGCCCCCTCGCTCCTCGTTTGGCTGGAAGAGCACGATCAGCGTCCCGCTCCATGCGTGTCGCGACTTCGCCAGGATCTCCGCCGCCGCGAGAAGACACGTCATGTGCATGTCGTGGCCGCAGGCGTGCATCACGGGCTTTTCAACCCCCTCGGCATCCCGTGCGGTGATGGTGCTGGCGTAGGACAGTCCGGTGAGCTCTTTGACCGGGAGTGCGTCCATGTCGGCGCGCAGGAGAACCGTCTTGCCCGGGCCATTTCTCAGAACGCCGGCGAGGCCGTAGCCGCCGATGTGCGTGTGGAGCTCATAGGCGTTGAGCTGCGCCAAGTGGGCGGCGACTTTTTGTGAGGTTAAGTCTTCCTGCAGGGAGAGTTCGGGATGGGCGTGGAAGTACTTGTAGAGATCTTCGTAGGGGCTCAGGTCGAGCGCAGTGGCCTTGAGAATGTCGGAGATGGGAGTCATCGTGTGGGTTCGGGAAAGTATAGCATTGGCGGGAAAGTCTGACGGGAAAGGCGACTAACAGACTAACCGTAGGAGTAGTTATAGTTGTCGCGGAAGGGAAAAACTATCGGCGGGGTGAGAAATGGGGCCAAAATAGTCAGAATGAGTCTTAAATTGCTGCGCTAGGCTTGTTTCTTCTAGTACTTTGTTGGATCGTTGTTAGTTTGGTGGCGCAATATTCACCTATTTTGGTGCAGTTTCCCGTCTTTCCACTCACCTTCTTATACTGCTCGAATAACCCTTCTGAACTATTCTTTGAGAAATGATATCATTGCAATTTATAGAGAAACGAATGAAAAGATATATACTATAAGATGTCATTAGTATCTAGGCAATGTTGTCAAGGCTTAGGAGTTCGTTCTTAATTCAAGGAGCAGCCAGACCTGTCAGCGAATATGCATATCATGATTTGCTGTACAATACTCAACTATACCTTTCAAGTAAAACATTAATCTATATAGCATCCCAACCCTTGTCCAAGGTAGTAAATAAAATTCGTCTGTTAAATTAACTGAACCTCATTTGGCAACTATCAGGGCAAGATACATGTTCCCAAGATTCAGAATACTTGATGAACAAGACAGACATAGCCCTATCTAATACAACTCAAATAATTTCCAACACTGCCAATCTATCCTCACTCATATCCGACTCTTATTACCAGACGCCCTCATATCGCTAATGTGGTATACAGCCGATATTTAGTAACTTAAAGTAAGGGGTAGAGGGGGGCACAGAACCTAATCAGCAAATAACTTCAACCTCACTCGATCTCTCTCTATCTCTTTCCATACGCGATCATCATCTCTGTAGATAACCATGACCTCAAAAAGCGCCTCCACAATCCCAAAAGATGTAATCATCGTACGTCTCCACCACTCCCCATATCCTCTCCACCCTCAGAATCCATCCTAAGTTTAACCCAAACTAACCCCAGATCGGCGGCTCCCTCTCCTCCCTCATGAACGCCCTCACCCTCCACAGCCTCGGCTGCTCCGTCCTCATCCTCGAGAAATCACCCACCCACACGCCCCCCTCGCACATGGCCGGCATCGCCATCGGCCCGGACGTGCTAACCCTCCTATCTCGCTTCGACCGAGCAGCCCACATCCCCCTCGGTATTCCCTCGCAGGCTCTGCAGTCTCCAGACACGAATGGCTGCCTCCGTCCATTTCTTAGACTTCCGCGTCTTATGACGTCCTGGGATGCGTTGTATTTTCGACTTCGCGCGAACTTTGACGGGTTGCGGAGTGGGTATGTAGTTGATCCGCCGGGGCCGGAAGCTCAAGGGGGAGAGGGGGTGGAGAGTGCGCGGAACAGGGCGAGGTATGAGATTGGGAAGAGGGTTGTTGGGGTTGAGAATGCTAAGGATGGTACCGGAAGAGTCTGCGTTACTGTGCAGGATAGCTGTTGCGAGGGACAGGGAGAGGAAGCAGAGATACAGCATGAGTATACACTTACAGCGGATCTAGTTCTCGGTGCAGACGGGGCGAACTCGATCGTGCGCAACACCTTTCTAGGACCGAGGGACCCGGAGCGACGATATGCAGGCTATCTTGCGTGGCGGGGCGTCGTGCCTGAGAATCAGGTCAGCGAGACGACCAGGAGCTTGTTTTCACATAATATCACGTACTCATTCGCCGCCAAGGGAGCGCATGCTATTGTGTAAGTCCCCCTACCAGCCGTCTATCGAGCTATCTACCTATTCATCAAATTCCAGGTACTACATCCCCGGCCCAACAGGCTCTATAGAACCTGGATCTCGCCTCTTGAACTTCTGCCTGTACACCAACGAGCCCCCATCGTCCCTGGATGCCATCATGACTGACACCTGTGGCACTCGACACCGTGTCTCCGTGGCCCCGGAGCACCTGAATCCATCCATCTGGGCCCATCGACGGTCTAAAGTAAGGACATCCCTCCCCGCGCCCTTCATCGAGATCATGAATCAGATCACCTCCCCGTTCGTGCATCTCATCACGGACTTCTATTCCCCTCGGGCTGCGTTCCTGGACGGCAAGGTGCTATTGGTAGGCGATGCGTCGGCGCTGCTGAGGCCGCATAATGCGTACGCGGCGAGTCAGGCGGCGAGGCAGGCGGGGATCACGGAGAGGTTGGTGAAGGGGGAGATTGGGTGGAGGGAGTGGGAGGAGAGGGTTACGAGAGGGACGTATCTGCATTGGAGGCAGAGTGTGTGGTTTGGGGAGTTTTATCAACGTGGGTGGTTGGGGGGGTTAGGGAGTGCGGTGCGGTATTGGTTGGTGGTGGGAGGGGAGATGTTGAGGGGATGGATGGGCTGGATTTCGGGGTACGATGTTTGATGGGTTTAATGCCTTGTTTGATGTAAGACTGTGTAGAGATGGAGATGAGCAAGCCAAGAAGGTTGGATGTTCCTCGAAGTTAGGGTTATATTCCTCTATCTTCCACTCTCAATATGTTCATCTTTGCAATCATTCAACCCATTATATCCCCGTTGGTATACATGGATATACACCATCACATCATTTACAACTATACAGCATTCAATCAGATCCACTGCACAAACCGCTTCCACTCAGCTTCTCCGTCGGGAACAGTACCCGCGGCGCTCCGCCATCCATCGGCACGGGAACCTTTCCGTCCGAATCCACCGTCAGGGCGGTGCAAGTGTAGATCTCAGTGACCTTATCGCCGGACGAGAACCCCGTGTTGTCAAGCGACAGGGTATACGAGGATCCGGACGAGCCCTGGTTCGACAGCACCGTGATGACCTGCGCGCCGTCGTAGCCTTTGCGCATGCCGAGGGTGGACTTGTCTTGGTAGATGGGGTAATTCTGTATCTCGTGAGCCTTGTTCAAGTGTTCTCTGCGAAAGGTGAGCCTACCTGGTAATTCACGTATTTCTCGTCCGTGCTGATGGCGTGGTTACGGATGGCATTCGACGCAGCGATCAGCTTGTACAGCTCGCTATCGGTGTTGTACTTGCCCAGCCAGGTCGCCTCGCGGTTGGCGGGGTCTTCGCCACCAGCATAGTGCTGCTCCTGGCCGGCGTAGATGATGGGAATGCCGTCGGCCAGGATGGTGAACGCGGCGACGTTCTTGGCCTGCGAGATGTCGTCGGTGTACGAGGCAAAGCGCGGGTTGTCGTGGTTCTCGATGAAGGTGCCCATCAGGGTCGAGTCGGGACAGTCCGACTTTACCGTGTTGATCATGTTGTAGAGGTCGCTGATGCTGCCGCTGGTGGATTTGAACGCGTTCAGCAGCGGGTAGTAGATCGGGTAGTTGAGCACGCCGTCCATCACCTCCTGGTAGGGACAAGTGTAGGAGGCGTCCCCGTCTAGGATCTCGCCGATGCAGTACACCCCGGCGGCGTCGTTGTAGCCGGGCCAGAAGTCCTTCTGGACGTGCTTGACGGTGTCGATGCGCAGACCGTCGACTATCTGGGTTAGTGATTACTCAAGTCTTGTTAGGTGTTTAATGCTCACTGGAGTAGTTCGACACCAGACCTCCCACCCAGTCGTACCAGATGTCCTGGACTTCAGACTTGGTGGTGTCCAGGTCTGGCAAGGAGACGGAGTTGTCACCCAGCCAGCATTCCTCGGACTGCGTCTGGTCATCGTAGTCCTCGATCGGACAGTAGGAGTGGAAGTAGTCCTGGGAGTTGAAGGGGTTGAAGACACTGTAGTCGACCGAGTCTCCGGCACCCGCGTAGCCCTACAATCTATTAGATCTGTATTCATGGAGTAACAAGAGAAAAGGGACGACAGACCATGTGGTTGGCCACCACGTCGACCATGAGATACATGTCGCGCTCGTGCAGCGCGTCTGCCAGCGCCTTGAGGTCGTCGGCGGTGCCATAGTTCTCGTTCAGCGAGTATCTGCTTGATCAGTCGAGCCACGAAGGAGTCCAAGAGAGGTCACGTACATATCCTGCTGCCAGTAGCCATGATAGGCATCGCCGTACTCGGTATCCTCGGTCAACTGGGCTGTCACCGGCGTGATCCAGATGGCCGTGAAGCCCATGCCCTGGATGTAGTCCAGCTGGTCGATGATGCCTTGCCAGGTGCCACCACAGTATTTCTATTCCGATCAGCGGGGTCACTTGGATCATCTAAAGACAAGAACATACCCTGTCCTCGGTATTACATGAAGCCGTGGTCGATCCGTCGTCGCGTGCAAAGCGATCGGTCAACAAGAAGTAAATGGACTGCGAGCGCCATTGCGCCGGCGTGGCAGCCAAAGCAGTCGAGGCCAGCAGACTGAGAAGCGACCACTTCATTTTGGTCAGATTGAAAAGACGGTGGACTCTGATGGACTGAAAATCGAACAGAAAAGGAGATGTTTATAAAGCGACTGGCTGCAGGCGATGCAACGTGACTCGCCCCGTGATTCGCCGTGGGCGCGATGAATCTCCTGCGAATGTCCGCCCCTGGTTGACGATCGACACTCGTCTTCCTCTCGGCATCCTTCGTCGGTTTTCTCCGTGTTCAAAACGGCCATCGCCATGACGCCGATCTTCTCCTATTTCCTGTTCCTGTTCCTTTTCCCGGCCCTGCAGATTCACGCCTTCCGGTTCGCCCAGATCCCCCTGGCTGCCTCCACCGAGCCGTTGGACGAGTGGCTGGCGCGGCAGATCCCGTATGCTCTGGACGGCGTCCTGAACAATCTCGGCGCTGATGGGGCCAAATCGATCGGAGCGAACCCGGGCTCCGTCGTAGCGAGTCCTAGCAAGACAGATCCGGACTGTGCGTCATCGTCCCTTTGCAGTTCCTGTACTGACTCCAACTAGACTTCTTCACATGGACTCGCGATGCCGCTCTGACGGTCCGCTGTCTCGTCGATATCGCCCTCTCGACGGACGATGCCACAGCTCACACCGCAGTGCAGCAGTACATCTCCTTCCAGGCGCAGCTGCAGTCGGTCGCCAATCCATCCGGCCGTCTCGACACTGGAGGGCTCGGCGAGCCCAAGTTCCATGTCGACGGGGCGGCCTTCACGGGCGATTGGGGTCGACCGCAGAGAGACGGGCCGGCGCTGCGAGCTGTCACTTTCATCACCTACGCAAACTGGCTGATTGTATGTCCCTTCGACGTCTAACCAGAGTAGCGAGTATGTGATTAACGACGCAGGATCACAACCACTCCTCCGTCGCCGAGTCCCTCTGGCCCATCATCCGCAACGATCTCTCCTACGTCTCCGAGTCCTGGAACTCCTCCACCTTCGGTATTCCCTCCCATTCATCAATCCTGCAGAACTCCAACTAATTCCCTAATCTAGACCTCTGGGAAGAAACCCTCGGCTCATCTTTCTTCACCACCGCCGTCCAACACTCCTCCCTCACCCTCGGCTCATCCCTCGCCTCCCGCCTCAACACCTCCTGTCCCAACTGCCTCTCCCAAGCCCCCCAGCTGCTCTGCTTTCTCCAATCCTTCTGGTCCCAGGACTCCTCCTATATCGTCGCCAACCACCATGCCCCCTCCCGCTCCGGCAAGGACGTCAACTCCATCCTCGCCACCATCCACACCTTCGACCCCCGCGCCACCGACTGCAGCGATCTGACCTTTCAGCCTTGCTCGGCCCGTGCCCTGGCCAACCATAAAGTCGTCGCGGACTCATTTCGCTCCCTGTATCCCATCAACCGAGACGTCCCTACCAATCAGCCGGTCGCGCTGGGCCGCTACCCCGAAGATGTGTACATGGGCGGGCAGCCGTGGTATTTGACGACGCTGGCTGCGGCGGAGCAGCTGTATCGCGCTGTAGAGCAGTGGAGGAGGTTTGGAGAGGTTGCGGTGACGGATCTCAGCCTGAGTTTCTTTCGTGATGTGTACGGTAGCGTGGAGGTAGGTGTATATAGGAAGGGCGAGGATGTATATGAAGGGATTCTACATGCGGTGATGAACTATGCAGATGGGTATTTGCGCGTCGTGGTATGTCTTGTCTTTCTTTTACTCTATACTCATTCCCCTTCCTTGAGTATCACCACGTCAAACTCTCCTCCCATATTTCAACCAAGCTAACAATTAATCCCCAGCAAAAATACACTCCCCCCAACGGCGCCCTCGCCGAGCAATTCTCCCGGCACTCGGGCCTCCCCGTCTCAGCGCGCGATCTCACCTGGTCCTACGCTGCCCTGCTAGCCGCCTCGCGCGCCCGGAACGCATCCTCCGCTGTCCAAGGCCCAGTCCCAGCCCCATCTCTAGATCTATATTCAGACCTCACAAACCCTCCCACCCCATCCCTTCCCCCTCAATGCCGTCCCTCCTCCGCACGAGGCCCCTACTCCACCCCTCCAACAAACATCCCCTTCCCCCTCCCTCCCTCATGCACCAACCTCCAACCAGTGCCAATCACGATGCGGTTCAGCGTCCTCGCTCGCACCGTCCCAGGGGAATACATCTACCTGGTGGGATCGATCCCGGCGCTGGGCGAGTGGGACGTGAACCTGGGGTTGAGGATGGATGCGAGTGAGTATGGCAGCGACGCGCCGGTTTGGTTTGTGTTGGTGGAGGGGCTTCAGGGCGGGGTGGAGTTCGAGTATAAGTTCTTCAGGCGCGGTGAGGATGGACGGGGGAGAGTGGTTTGGGAGGAGGGATTGAATAGGGAGGGTGTTGTTAGGGATGCGGTGGGTGGTGTTGGTGGGTGTGGGTTGGGGAGGGTGAGTGATGTTTGGAGGTAGGGTTTAAATTGGGTGAGGTCTACGGGTTTGATGATGATGATGATGATGATGATGATGATTAGCTTTTTGAATCTGATTGGATTTGTTTGGTGAGGAGACTGGTTAGCTAGAGTGTCTAAAAGCAGTCGATCGAAAATTACCACTCCAGAGTCCAATCGGTACTCCATGCTCCCTTCGCGGTGAGTTTCTGTAGTCCGCCGACATGCAGGGCCTGCGAGGTGGCGTTATAACGAACCGACTCGGTCGGGACCTTCTCGCCGTTGAAACGAACAGTGCCCGGTTTCTCTGCGACGCCGAGAACAGTCACCTTGTCGAGCGCGTTGGTCTCTTTCCAAGTCCCCCGTGCAGACGCCCGAAGGCTCGATTTGGTGGCGACAAAGTCCACGGACAGCGTGTCGGGCGGGTTGATGCTCTCGCCGTCATCCAGATACAGTTGGCCCGACGCAGTGCCCCGAGTGCTCAGCGACGCCAGGAGAGACCAGGGGGTTTGGCGCGCGTCCCGGGTCGTGAGGGCGGGCTCCTGCATGGGCAGCACGCTGCCGCCGCGGATAAAGACGGGAATGTGGCCCAACGGGGCGGCGATGGTGGTGTTCACACCCGGTTTGGCGTCCACCGCGCTCTGCGTGTACCAGTCGTACCAGACTTCGCCGTGTCCGACGCCGGGGAACACGCCCTTCACCTTGTCAACCTGGGGCTCCAGGACGGGGACGACCATGACGGAAGGACCGACGAGGAATTGGGTGTCGATGGCGGCGAGGCTGGGCTCGTGAGGGAACTCCCACGCCAGGGCGCGCATCACCGTCGACCCCGTGGTGTGTGCGAGATGGAACAGCGTGTAGAAGTATGGCAGGATCGAGTACCGGATCTTCATGGCCGCTTTGGTGGCATCGATCACCGAGGCCCATCGGTAGGGTTCCTGCGGGATGGCCGACAGGACGTTGTGGTTGCGGTAGAAGGGGAAGAACGCAGACAGCTGCATCCAGCGGTTGCAGAGCTCTTCGGCGCTGTTGCCGTTGAAGCCGCAGGTGTCCACACCAAACATGGGGATGCCAAACAGGGAGAAGGAGAGAGCCTGCGAGATGGAAAAGTACATGGATCCCCATTTGGAGAAGTTGTCGCCGCCCCAGTGTCCAGCCCACTTCCCGGAGCCGGCAAAAGTGGATCGGCCGATGATGAAGGGACGCTTTTCCGACCAGACCTTCAGCAGCCCCTGGTAGGTGGCGTTGAGGCCCTGGTGGCCGTAGAGACTGTGCACGTCGTATTCCTCGACGCCATCCGCATGGGTTGCGTTCGGGGCCACGGCGTGGACCGCAAGGTCGTGTCCGGTTTGGACGTGGTTGATCACGTAGGGAGGATGGTCGACATCGCGGACACCCGCAGTAGGCGTTGTTCGTAGGTATGATGTTTTGGTTGGGGAGCCCGATCCTCCATTGGCAGCAGCCTGGCTGGATGCACCGGCAGACGCCGAGGCCGCTTCTGTCGCATTCGTGATGTTGAAGCCCTCAGGATAGTCAAACACAACGTTCCCTGGCTCGCCTGGTAGTGAGAAAGGCGGGTGGACAGGGTTCAGAGTCAGATTTCCAGTGCCGCAGCTTCCCACGCAGAAAGATGATACCTCGGCCATGTCGTACCAGACTCCATCGTAAGCCAGCTTCTTCCACCACACCAAAAGTTCATTGGCCCAGAACTCAACGGCCTTGGGGTGGTGCCAGTCGGGATAGACCGTATATCCGGGCCATACGGCTCCAATGTACAGGCTGCCGTCAGGATTCTTGAGGAAGACATCGTCGGCAGCTCCACGGGTGTAAGTTTCGTACCTAAAAGTCATTAGAATGCAGGCTTATAAAGAGGGAAACCACTCACGCGTCCGATGCGTTTTCCGGGTTGGGGATGTAAAGCGCCGCATCCACAATTGGCACCCAGCGACGTCCCCCGTCGTGCAGTTTATTCAGGAACTTCTCGCCGTCCTCGTAGGAAAAGCGATGCTTGTCGTTATCGAAATTCCGGTACCCATGCATATAATCAATGTCCGCCCTGAGCACGTTAGAAAGTGGCAAAGGCAATTGCGATGACCAATACTTACCAGACGTATTCCAGGGGAATCTCAAACTTTTCGAAATTGGCAACGACATCTTCAAACTCCGACCAATTGTTGTAGCCCCAGCGACACTGGTGGAAACCAAGAGTATTATACTGTTGCATCGCGGGCAGTCCGACCGTGCTAATTTGATACTGCTTGGTGACATCCGCCTGGGTTGGGCCGGCATAGAAGGTCAGATCAATACTACCACCCAGTGTGCGCCAGATCAACTTCTCAGACCGCAGCAGAACCTCTTGTCCATGAGCGTTCCTCAAAAATACACCATGTGAGTAGGATACGTATTCTTGCGACGGGTCGACCTCGCTGCTCCGAGCCCGGGAATGCGGGCCATATTGCTCGTTGACCTTGTAGTATCTCGTATCCAGATAGAAAGGATGCTGACCATATATGTTACTGCATCCATATGAGCTACGGTCACAATCATGACCTAGAAAACATACCTATCAATTGGATCCGCAATATCCGCAGCATACATGGTGAGATTGGCGTTCTTCAGAAGCCGAAGCTGGCTCATCCGCTCGCCTAGCCCATACAGATTGTAGTCCTCAGGCAACGAGGTCACAAACTCGATGAACTGATCCTCATACACCAGCACAGAGCCCTCGGTGTCGAAAATGGCATCGCCTGTGGCTTTACGGATCACCTTGAAATTGAACGAGGGCTCGTTGGACCACGAGACGAAAAGGTCACTCTGGGGAATCGAGGCATTGGGAGAGAGCTTGGGCCTGGGCACCGTGTCTTCAGACAGATGATACCAAGAAGCGTTCGAGGAGTCAACATGGGACGGGACTATCTGGATATTCAAGCGATCCTTTGCCTGGAATTCCACCGTCAATGTCAACGAGTCGACATCCGTGCCGTACGCGTTGCATGGTTTCCCGGCCAGGTTCAAACTTGCCGTGAACCCATCCGAGGTGTGCTTCACGTTCGACGCCTTGTACCCAGGACAGGCAGACTGCGCATTGACGGCTTGGGGGTCGTCTACGTTGGCGATCAACTGCGCACCCACATCGGCAGAGGCCGGAATTGTAAACTGAGAATGCGGAGGAGTGGTGCTCGAGGCCAGCGAGGAGCTTGCCCCATACGCCACCGGGAACAGCCAGGCACTGGCCAAGAAGGCTGTGAAATGGATCATGGCGAGAGGGAAGGACGCTATCCGACGGCTCCGTGGTTGGTTCAAAAGAAAGCACCGCTGCCGTCCCGAATCACCTGTACTTTATATGTGACTACAGGCCGGTTTTCTGGGGAAATCTCGTGAGGGGTCATTGAGTTAGAGCCCTTGATTGGTGCCACCGTACCACTGTCGAGACATGGACACGACCATTATTGCTCCGTCGAATTCCCGGACGCAAGGGATGGACAGGCCTACTGGGGATGGAGCGGAGGCACCAACAAGCGTCTACCATGTCGGGCCGAGTGGGGATGCAGGTCCGTTGTAAGCGACCATGCATGCAAGATAGGTCTAGTCAGCCCACAGCAAGGCAGAGCGACCGAAATGATGTCGACCAGGACATCAGGAAAGGAATCGTGCCAGACTGCAGGCCGTGACTGCAGCCGATCATCTGACCGCGACACGCTGATTGGCCGCCGCCCCGACAAATGCCCGATTGGCTGGCTGCCTGGGGCACTCACGGCGTCAGGCACCCAGGCCTTCCCCGGATGGCTTTCTCGGTGAGATTCTTCTTCGCATCGGTGGAGACGCTGCAGAGGCAAATTTCTGGGGATTGGGGCCATCCCACGACCCTTTCAACTCAGATGCCCACACTTCATGCTGCGGTCCAGTCTCTAGCTGGTATTGATTCTCTAGTGCATCATACTATTGAACCCGCCCTCCAATGTCTCGGTTGGACCACCGTCGACCCCTCTGCTGCCTTGATATTCGGCTTCCCGAACTTTATGTCGCCGGGACCAGGGGGAGTCCATGACCAATCACCCAGAGTGGGCGCACTCGGAAACGATTTGCACATGTCAAGCAATCTCCCTCGTGTTGGTCGGTCATGCAGGGGTATAGATCTCGAAAATGCCGCATCGATCCGGGACGGTGATTGCCCTGAAGGTCCTCTCGGGGTTTATTTCCTTGGGAATATGGATAGAATTGGGGTCCTATGATAGCATAACAGTCTCTTCACAGATATACCGTAGAATGTGGACTCCAACGAAAGGCACAATAGAAAAGAAGGACGAAAAGTGAAGAAGCCAAAGATCCACCACTAACACGCTAAGCCCGATCGGGCCAGCCAACGCGGGGTCTGGCCGCCTGCAATTCCAGGCATCCTCCCCGCTGGCTTCCCCGGATTTCCCTGCGTTCCGTCCCTTTTTTATTTTCTTCTTCTCTTCATTTCAACATTCCTCTTCAATGGGAATGGCCTGTCGCTTACTATCAACACTGTCCTCGTCGGTTATGGAGTGCGGTGAATCCTGAATCCTTTCCCCCTGTTTTGAATTCCTGACCCACCTCGAATTCCTCCCCCGGAATCCATTTCGCCAATGGACTCTCAGCCATCTCCGAACCGGAAATCGTTCAAGCAGGCCTGCGATAACTGTCGGCGGCGCAAGATCAGATGCTCGCGAGAGCTGCCATGCGACAAGTGTCAGCGTCTTCTTCTCTCCTGCTCCTACAGTGATGTTCTGCGCCGAAAAGGCCCCAAATTCCGCACGCTCTATCCTCTAGCGCCTATTCATCCGCTGGTATCACGCCGCCGAGATGACCTCCACTGCGCTTCGCAGAAGCATCCACTCGATAAGGAGTGGCTCTCTGAGCCCGCGGCTTATGCATTACCGGGGCCGGGGTCACCTACCTCGCCGCAGTTCACGGTCCCTGACGCCCAGTATATCCCTGCCGAACTATCCGACTCGTGTATGGGGCTGCCACCCCAGGAACTAGTCTCCTCTCCCGACTCGACGAACTCGCTGTCGGATTCTCTCATTGCTGCAGTGTTCCCGTCGGCGCGACGTCTGTCCGCGCCAGTCCTGCTGGCCCATGTCAATGTGTTCTTGAAGTATCTTTTCCCGATTATGCCGGTGGTGCGCAGAGAAAGGCTGCAGCAGGATTCTCACCAGCCCGAGCAATTGTCTTCCCAACGATATGCGTTTTTAGCCTCGCTCTGTGCAGTCACACATATTCAGCTAAAGCTAGACGGTGCCACATCGGCTTCCAACCCTCCGAACCCGCAAGCTAGCATCGATGGCCATTCGGTCATGTCCGGGGAGGAATTACTGGCCGAGGCCGTGCGCGCGAGGAAAGACTGCGATCCGGTCGAAGGAATGAGCATCGACAGCTTGCTTACGTCGTTTTTCCTCTTTGCGGCGTACGGCAATCTGGACAGACAGGACCACGCCTGGTTCTATCTCTGCCAGGCGACCTCCATGGTCTTCACGCTCGGTCTCCATCGCGAATCCACATACTCCGAATTGAGCGCCGAAGACGCCGAAGAAAAACGGCGCATCTTCTGGCTGCTATTTGTGACAGAACGGTAAGCCCTGATAATAAACCCCTTTCCGACAATACCTCTGACAAAATCGACGTCACAGCGGCTATGCCCTGCAACAAGCAAAGCCCGTCATGTTGCGCAATTCCATCCATAAACCCCAAGTCCTCTCCTCCAACGACCCCATCCTCGCCTATGGCTTCATCAACCTCATCAGCATCTTCGAAAAGCTCACCGTAAACCTATACGACTGGGTCTCCGCCGGCGGCGGCGACGGCATCTTCGAAATGCCTCCGACCTCGTCCATCCAATCCAGCCTGTGCAAGTCCGTCTCGCTCGACGGCGTCTCGGAGATCCAAAAAGTCGACATCCTCATCACGCAGCAATGGCTTCAAGCCATGATGTGGAAACTGTCCATGACGCGCGCCGCGCAGCCCGGCTCCCGCGACGAAACGGTCCTCCCATTTCACCTCCCCGTATTGGTCGGCAAAGCCGTGATGGGCGTCATCGGCGCCGCATCGCAAGGCGCCGTCGATGCGCATGGCATCGGAATGGTAAGCTTCACTTCCCTCACCTTATCCTTTTACCCCACCCGACGAAACCCCAAACAACCTATCCTAACACCCAACAGGAACAAAAACTCTTCGACCTCGGCACCTCCGTCGCAGACGTCTCCCGCTCCCTCAACACCAACGCCGCACAACGCCTCGCCGAATCAGCCGTCGACCCGCGCGACCTGCTCTGGGGCATCCTCAACACCCTCGCGCGCATCCGCGGCTCCGAATCCTACCTCTTCCCGACCCTTCTGCAGCGATGCAAGGGCATTCTCGGCTTCGAAGGCCCCCTCTCCTCCATCAGCAGTACCAATCTCAATCTCAACCTCCTCCCTCCCGCCGTCACCGTCGCCGATGCCGGCCCCTCCGCGACCGCACTAGTCGCCGCTCCTCCTCCCCCTCCTCCTTCTGCCCCCGCATCCACCACATCCTCTTCCTCATCCGAAGACCCCTCCCTCCCGTGGCCGACCAGCGAGACAGCCTGGGAGCTCGTCTCCGCGTCTGCGCCTGCTGCGACGGACGATCTCCGCGAAGTGCGGATCCTCGAGGAAGACGACGAGGAGACAGAGGGGCCCTCGGCGTCAGTGGACCCAACAGTGTCTCAGATAATGCCGTCATCGGCGATCCCTGCACAAATGACATTTCGACGGGCGAGCCTATTAACTTGACCTGACTTAACTTGGCTAAACTTGCCTCGACTCGAGCCGATGACTCGGCTGGCTGGGCCTGGTCTGAGCGCTCGCTTCCATGTCTCCATGCCAGCCACCGACGCGGAAAATCGAATCGGTGGCTGGATATGAAGGATGATGTCATTGTTTTTTGTTTGGCACGGGCCGGCCGGGCACAGCGTGTTGGCTGGGTGAAAGTGTGGGGTTCGCTTTGGATGGCATTGCATGGTAACGAATCTTGCATGGTGATGCGGTGATGGTTATGTTTATGTTCATTCCTGTTTATTTCACATCCGTCTCTGCTCGAGTTCAGTACATACATACCTCTCATCTTTGGCATTCTGTATATAAGCGGCAAAGAAGCATGCATGATAAGACGAGTGACGGTCGGAGAATTTAATGGCTAACACTGTACCACGAGCCGATAAAAAAAAGGAATAGAATTGATTGAAGGGTATTTAATGTACATGATGGTAGACAAAAAAACAAGAATGTTATCCAACTGATTCCAGATCAAACCAAGAAAAAAAGAACCATCAATTTGATTTGCTCCTATACTCAAGAGCATAGTAAGGTAGATAAATGTAATCACCAGTTGTTTCACTGTACAGAGCCCCAGAAACTTTTGCTGGGGTATATGAAAGCTCTCGGATAAGATAGAATGTGCAAGTGTCCCGCAAAATCCCTAAACCATCTATGGTTTAGATTGCACAAACGGAATATCATCCAGGCTTTTTGAGAAAGAGAAAGCGAAATCATAATCTATACGCCATGACAATTAGACCGCGTAATGTGTTCCGAAGAGAGCGGGATCTCTTTCATCTATAGACAATAAAGGTGGGTGTGAGGTATATGCGATCGTCTCTGAAGAAATCGAGAGTGTTGTCGACAAACCTCTCGGATGGGAGATGATAGGGCGTAGGTGTGAAGATGTAGAGGCGGAATATGGGAGACCAGTATACAGACCACCCAGAAGATAGAGATTGCAGAGAGCCAGAAACCCCGCGATCAAGCTCGCCAGATCAATTCCAGGAGCTGATCTCCCTTCTCGGGGTCACGGTGGACGTAGTATTGTCGCACCTTGTTTCCGTCCAGGACGGTGTCGACCATCGCGTAGCTGAACTTATCATTGTCCTTGGGGCGCAAGGGCCCAAGCTCGTGAAGGTACGAATCGATGTTCGCGCCATTCTGACCACCCCAGGTCACCTCCATCGAAGGGTCGTTCGGATCGAGATCAACACTGTACTTCATCACGGAGAAACCGTTGGTCAGGATCCACCCATCTCCGAATTCAAACTGGCGTAGAAGACAGCCATCGCCGCAAAGCTCGCCGATCACGCTGAGCTTGGCCATGTCGGTATGGAACCACGACTTCCAATGGTGAACGGATAGAGGCGGCAGGCGATTGACTTCAAAGAAGCCGGATACGTCGTCCGTCATGTCCAGTTGGCGCAGGCGGTGATTGATGGTCAGCCGCGTGGGGGTGTTTTGGTAGACGCAGAGAGAAATTCTCCGGTCGCCGGTGTGGCCGGTATTCAGGCAGTCGTTGAAAATGGCCGGCTCGCTGATTTGCTGAATAAGAGGCCGAGACATGAAGACGCCGGCGCCTCCGAACCCCATCAGACCAAAGGCGCCAACCTGCGGGATACTCTCCGACAGACCCCCGACGTACATGGGCTGACGTGCGTCATACTCGCCGAGTGCCTTCACCAGTTCCGGCATCGACAGGAAAAACGTATCGTCATCAATCACGCAGGACCACTGTGTCTTTCGCTGCATGTTGTGTTCCAGGTGGGCGACCAATGAGAAGTATCGACGTTGATATTCTTCATCGGATTCCTCCACAAACAAGTTGATTCCCAACGCATCTGCCTTCATCTGGACCTCCTTGATCCGCTCCTCTTTATCCGGCTCAATGAGAGCAAAAATGCGAGTCTGGGTATAACCGGCCCAGTGGGCAAATGCGTCTATCGAGTCGTTCAACCGACCCAACGTTGTTGCCACACCGAAGTCGATATGCGACGCATCCACCCTGACCGGAGGCTTCGGAACCTGTAAAGAGACCGGCTTCGGGATCAAGCAATCGTCCTGCGATTGCGGAGTGGAGACGGGGTTGGGGCTCTCGAGTGGTTCGAACAGAGGTGTGTCAAGATGTTGTCTAATTGGTAACGTGTCGGAGGTCGGCGTAGCCACAATCTCCCGTTTCACATAGCCAGAGAGTTTTTTAATATCGAGGCGGGCGAGAAGTTCGAAGTCGGGCTCACAGTGAACACCCGAGGTAACGGTGATGTTGGAAACCGGATCCTCCATAACAATCTTCTCCCTGCCGAGATGAGGCCACAGCAGGAATGTAAAGCCACCGACCAAGCAGATGGCGACGACGAAGCGCAAAAGCTTCTTCCTCCACACCCATGACGCCCCTCTGGGTCGGGGTTTCTCCCCACCTTTCAACAACATCGGAGGCGGAGGAATATGTTCTGATAAGGAGAAAGAGAACGGGTATGAGCCAAGAGACTAGAAGATCATATGCACATCGGTCCCCCGTGTAGGACGGCGGGGAAGGATGAGCAAGTAGTGCGGTCCAGAAAGCGGTAGGAAGAAAGGGAGGAAATGAGGTATGACGGTGGAGGTTAAGAGTACGAGTAAGAGAGGAAGTAAGGTAGAGAAGAAGAAAGTAGGGGAAAAGAAAGGACCAGGGCGGGTGAGGAGGGAGGAAAATAATGACGATTAAAAAAAATTGGGACCCTTGAAACCGAAAGTTGCGAGGGAAGGTACGGAATCGGGATGGCGGCGGCGGACGGCAAAGGGGAGGGGATTAAAAAAAATAATAATAATAAAATAGAATTAAATAATTTAAAAAAGCAGTGATGATCGATATGGCAAACGAGCAGATAATGTTAGTGGTTGGACCAAAGGAAAGCAGAAAGACAGGCGATCAAATGGGACCCAGAACCGTGGCTGGAAAAGCCAGCAGCGCTCAGATTTCCGGATTTCTGGCGGGCAGAACAGCAGAAAAGCGACGACAAAGCAGGCGGAGAAGAGCTAAGGATCGACCATGGGACTCTGGAGGAGAAGATGGGGATGACGGTCGAATGAGAGGGCCTCCTGGCGCAGGACCGCACCTGCTATTCCGACAGCATGCAACTAACTCAGGCCAACGACAGTTTTCACACAGGGGTAAGATCGGCCGTGGAGCCGGACCAAGAATAGGAGAATAAGATGATCTATTTGCAGGGACACGACGGCAGGGGTCCCTGCGAATTATCGTCTGTCCGTGGCCCCGAGAGGGTTACTTTGCTGCCGTTTGCGCCAGCCCTACCCATCGCAACCGGGTTGGCAGAGACACCGCATGCAGGTTGGATTGGGAGGCAGGAATCAATCAGCATCGAGGCCGCTCTGCGCCGAGACATCCATCCAAGACGCGCGGACGACATTCCACGGAGGCGATCGCTGGTCGGCGGGGGCCACACGGGATGATGACGACGGTCGCAGGCGCTTCGCTTGGCGGTGGTTAGCGTTGACTAGTGGAGTTGACCTTGAAAGACGATAGATAGATGAGAATCAAGCCGACAATCGATGTGCCGGAGGGCTTAGAGTTGCAGACAATGCATGTCTTGAAACCGGGATATAAATAGAGTGACCCGACGTGTGGTCAAAGGTGAAAGAATCCCCGGCATGCAGAGCCAAAGGGTCAAAGGGTCTGCAGAAGCCAAAGAGGCGGGGTCTTAGTCAGCGTGCTTATGTCATCCCAGGGTCTTTCCTTCTTGGCCGCAGTCTGGAGTCTGGAGTACGACATTCTGCGAGGCGTGCGAATGGCAACAATGGCCGCTTCTCGACCAAAAGCCACCCAAGTGAGTCGTCCAAAACTACCATGCTAAAGATATCCCCAATCTCTCCGGAGTAGGGGGTCGCAGCAAGGTCTCATGTCACCCTCCTTGACTACCTGCTGTCGGCCGCGAACGGAAGTCTGGGCGCAGCGATGCCATCTTTCTGTTCCTCCGTTCCCCGGAGGTCTTATTTGCATGGCTCTTGATTATATCCGATCAGGGGCCGTCTTACTGTCGACCTCGACCAACATTCCCAAGGGATCGCAGCGATATTATCGGCCGATGCCGAACTCGCGCCAAGATGGCCCCGAAGGCCAAGCAGCCACCGCCGACTACTCCTGTGGCTAAGACGAACTAGCAGGTTCGGGCAATATCTCACGAGATTGTCTGGGATGGCCCCATCCTCGTAGGCGATGGACGCTATTCAGCGTAGATGTTCAATGCTCTGTTCATAAATCTTATCCATCTCAGTGCTTAGGTAATCATGCACGGCAATTGTTCTGCTGTTCTTCACCGCTTGCCTCCTGTGAGACTCATAACAAAAATAACTTCCACATACATTCAATTGTAGACATTGTGGAAGAACCTTCGATCTTGAGCAGTCTGGAAAGCTGCAGGTTATTCCCTGACCCTTCAGAAGGCATGGCCAATCATCATACGAAGCACTCCGTACCGTTAAGCGGAGTTCTGCAGAATCACCTGATTCTGCACCGTTCTGTTAGGCGGTCAAGAGGGGCAGCATACGGTGTACTTTAACGCCATCCGTGCAGAATTCCCCGATGGGGAAATATCGCCAGTCGCACCGTCCAGCCAGCTCACCATCGAGTCAAGATCGCATCGTCATTGCTGTCCCCCTCATCCGCCATGGCGACGCAGAAATTGAGCTCGCTGCTGCAACACGCCTCCATCGACGATCACGATGAACTCCTCCAGTCCGCCAACGCCGCTCTGGCAAAGTCCAAGTCGGACGTCCAGGCTCAACATGCCAAGGTGGTGGCTTTGGTGAAACTCGACCGCTACGACGATTGCCTGCGAGTCTTTGAAGAGGGAGGCGACGCTCTGAAGACGAGAGCCGCTCTTGAATATGCCTATGCTCTGTACAAAACCGGGCAGCTGGATGCCGCGATCGACATCGTCTCGAAGATCACCAACAGCCGCGGCGCTCGTCACCTGGAGGCTCAAGCTGTATGTGGCGGTTCTATCACACCGAAATTGTCTGCCGCGTATCATGCTAATTAATATCCGACTGCCAGAGTTATCGTGCCGAGAAATTCCGTCGCACCGCTGAAATCTACGAGGACCTGACCAAGGACCAGTCCGCCTTGGACAACGAGGACAATGACCTCCGTATCAATGCCTGGGCCGCCGACGCTCAATTGCAGTGGAAAGGATACCCCGAATTCGTCCGTCACAACCGTCCGACGAGAGATGATCTAGAGGCGTTCGAGACGGTCTACAACGCGGCTTGTCTGAGCATCGCCAAGGGAGAGTTTGGACAAGGCGAAGTACTGTTGAAGCGGGCGAAGGGTTTGTGTCTCCGACTAGATTGGTGGGATTGTGGCCGCTAACAATCGATCAGAGCTATGCCGGACTTCGGAAGACCTTACGCCGGAGGACAGAGACGCGGAATTGCTCCCGATCTCCGTGCAGCAACTCTACGTTCTAATCCGTCAAGAGAAATCGGAGGAAGCTGAGTCCGTCTTGCAGGAGATTTCTGTCAAAGAGTATGTTTTCTGCCACAGACCCTCCATATCCAGTCTACTCACGTCGCTCTAGTATCCCCGAGCTCTCAACCAAGAAGATCGCCGAAAACAACGTCACCCTCATCCGCGATACGGCCGCCAACCCCTTCGTCCTGTACAAGGCACTGCACGAGACTCCCGAGTCCACTGGCAATGACCGACTATTCGACTTCCAGAACAACATCATCAATGGCAACTTCAACGCCGCTGACCTCCTGGTTCACAAATACGACGGCATCATCCGATCGACATCCAAAGCGCGCGCTCAAGCACCCTATCCCTCCACCGAATCCGGCATCAACCTCCTGTCGGTATTCAACGCTGCCGCCCTGGCCCGCGGCGAAACGGGCACCAAGGCTCTGAAAGCCATCCTGCCCGCGCTGGAGCGACGCCCCAAGGACATCGGACTGGTGCTTACCGCCGCGCAGCTCTACGTGAGCACCGGCAACACCACCGCCGCCATCGCCACCCTCGAGAAATCGCTGCACCTTCTCGAAGAGTCCATCTCCGAGCAGGACAGGGAAGTACGCTTCAACCCCGGCCTCCTCGGCGTTCTCGTCTGCCTCTACAAACTCGAAGGCCGCAAGGTTCAAATCCGCATCGAGCTTGGCAAAGCCGCCGCCTACTGGCGCACCCAAGCCGACGCTCCCTCCTCCCTCCTGCGCGCCGCCGCCGCCTCGCTCCTCTACTCCTCGGACCACTCCGACCTCGTCACCGCCAGCGAGATCTTCACCGACCTCTACCAGAAGAACTCGACCGACCGTTTCGCCTCCGCCGGCTACGTCGCCTCCCAAGCCACCCTGGACTACGACAAGGTCGCCACGCACGTTGACCGCCTCCCCGCCGTCGCCGACCTGGTCTCCGGCATCGACGTCTCGGCCCTCGAAGCCGCCGGCGTGTCCCCGTCCTCCGCGACCACTGCCGCCGCCGCCGCAACCATCGCCAGCGCCCGCAAACGCTCGGCCGCCGACAAGCAGGGCCGTGTCACCAAGCGCGTGCGCAAGTCCCGTCTCCCCAAGGACTACGACCCCAGCAAGACTGCCGACCCCGAGCGCTGGCTCCCTCTGCGCGACCGATCCTCCTACCGTCCTCGCGGCCGCAAGGGCAAGCAGCGCGCCGCCGAACGTACCCAGGGCGGTGCCGTCACCGATAAAACAGAGGAAGCCAACGCCTCGGCTAGTCAGCAGCGTAACCAACCTGGTGGCGGCGGCGGTGGTGGAGCGTCTAAGAAGAACAAGAAAAAGGGCAAGCGGTAGTGGTGGTAAACTAGCGGTTGCGATTCGGGTTCATGTACAGATTCATTTCATACCATTTCAGACAGGACCAGAAAATCCATCATGATGATCATGATTAGAATATGCAATGCATTACATTACTTACGAGGCTTTTCCCACCTCCCCCTCCGAACAGAATCCCTAGAAACCTAGTACCCTAGAAACTCCACTCCCAATATAAGCAAACTATCCCAGCACAACCCCTACCTAAACACCAGCGAAGACAAGCAAAACAAAGAATCTACCCCAACGGCGTCCGTATCGTCCCACACTGCCGATCATACTGTTCGAAAATCTCCCGAAACAGCCTCAGATCCTCCATCGAGTCTTCTGCCGTCGTCTTCGCCTCCTCGCCCTCCACCAGGAACCGGTACAGCGCCTCCAGTTCCGCCGCGTACGCCTCCTCCATCGAGCTGGACTCTTCGCGCCGGTGCACCTGCCCCGCGCTCTCCTGGGTTTCATTCTCGGCCGCAGAACCTGTCCCCGCCGCCGCCGTCGTCGTCGCCGTCTCAACGACCGTCCGCACAACGCTGCCGTCGTACTCCAGCGTCACGGTCTTGCCGGTGCCGTAGACGGCGAGGTGTGCGTCGCAGCGGGGGACGGCGTCCGTGCCGCATTCGTAGGTGAGCATGTATGCGTGTTTATTGGGGCGGGAGGGGGTGTTAGTGGTGTTGGTGGTGCCGGTGCCGTTGTTGATGGAAGGAAGGAGGAGGTCGTCGCCGCTGTAGTGGAAGATGGCGGAGTAGAAGGGGTCGATGACGGCGATGTTGGAGACCGCGTCGGGAGTGCCCAGCGTCTCGCGCATGATGGACATGTCGGCGCATCCGCGCGGCCCGGTCAGGAGGCGCGACAGCTGGATGCGTTCCGTGGTGAGGTCCTGGCCGAGGAAGACTTCCTGCAGGAGCGCGTGGAAGGTGTTGGTTGCTTCGAGGGGGAAGTGTGGGATGCCGCCGTTGGCGGTTGGGTTGGTTTCGCTGTCGGGGTATGTTCCTGCCTCTGCGCCTGGGTGTGACTCTGGCAATCCGCCTTGGATGTTCCGGCACCGCGCATAGTAGATCCTCTCGAGGCTGTTCACCTCGGTCTTGAAGGTCTCGATGCAAGGGGCGTATCGTCTCGGAGAGGCAACGAAGACGCGGGCCCGGGACTTCCGCTGAGCATCTAGGATGCGGTGGGCGCTTGGGAGACTGAGGCTGACGGGGCTTTCGACGAGGACGTGCTTGTTCGACGACAGAGCCGCGACGGTGTGTTTCTCGCGCAGGGAAGGGGGCATGAAGTTCAGAACGAGGTCCACGGAGGGATGGTCGAGGACGGCATCGGGGGTGGAGGCCTGCGGGATGGACGTTGTGGTTTTGGCGGTCGTGACGTTGGCCGTGCCCTTGGGGCAGGCGGCGCTCTTGCTGGACGCATCGTAGACGATGGCGATTTGGTAGCAGGAGAGAGATTGCAGGATGGGAAGATACAGGGTTAGGGGCTGGGTGGTGATGATGCCCACGTTGAGGATCTTCTGGGTCATTTTGTATAGGATATAGGATATACTCCGTTTCCGCCACTGGATTGGAGGTTGGCGAGCGAAGGAACGTATAGACGAAAGGCGAAGGGAGAAGGATAAATAAGGAGAGAAGGCACGAGGAGATCGGAAAGGGATAGACTGTTGCATTACCAGCCGACCGGATAGGGGAATAACATGAAGCAAGGGATCAATTCCTTTGCCTAATCCGGGTGACATCAGCGGCGGTCTGATATCATCCTTCGATAGTCGTTCGTGGCATCCTTTCCACTGACCTGGACGAGTTCGCAATCCAGAGCATGATTCGTCGGGGATCGCGGTGTCGGTCGGCGAGTTTCTATCTTGCAGGTCATATTTATGTCACCAGCCAGAGCTGCATGTCAGGACTCCGCGTGCCAAGAATGGTCGCTGGGAGGGTGAGTTCGTCGGGATTGAAGCTATTCGCGCCCGTACCGTCGGGGAAGTGAAGTATATCGATCCAGAGTTCTTGCAGACGATGGCTGATGCTTGTTCTTGATCGGCTGACGGGATTTGGAATCATTCAAGTTAGTCGAGAATCGAGTTGATGTATACTCTTCAAGGTATATAACTGGCATGGTTCGGCCGACGCCACTCCCGACCGGGTAGTATTGACTTATCCTGAACATCCAAACTACAACAATCGTCTCTTCTCGTCGTCAATGGTCGAAGCAAATACTCAAAATCAATAGACTTTCAGAGTCGCCGCATGAAGTCGCACCTGCAGCCAGGGGATCCCGATCAAAGCTTCATTCTGCATACTCCGGAGTAGAGAACTCTGACATCAGCTCAGATGATGCGAGATCAGGTGTTGGATTTCCATGGATGGCCGACTGCAGATTCGTATTGGGAGAAAGTTAACCTCGAGGAAGAGAGCATTGCAGTAAGGCTTAGTATGCCTTGAGAGTAAATACTAAATACTAAATAATAAATACAAATTATAAAGAAAAGATCGAAAGCGGGTCCGATGACGAGCGGGTCGTCATTCTGCAGGATTAAAATGAAAATAAGAATGGAAATACAAATAATCCTACAATTAATTACGTAGCAAATAAAAGAAAAACAACCAAATCCAGTCCGGTCAGCCGATTGTTTGTCTCTCATCCTCTGACTCTGACTCTCTCTCACTTTACCTTTCGTCACCTTCTGTTTCGTCACTTCACCTTCCATTCCTCCGTACTTCTTCTCTTCTCTTTCGTCCCTTCTCATTCTTCTAGAATTCCATCATGGGGGTAAGTCCGTTCCTCTGCCCCGCGTCGCTGCCCCGCGTCAGCCAAGCGGCCGATTACCAGCGCATTACACCGGATTCCTGGCGAAGGAGCACCAGAGCACCGAGAATACAGACTAACCTGCATGCTGCATGACATTCCAGTTTGCTTCCAAGATCGCCGGCAGTCAAAACCCAGCCAGCATGAGCAGCAACAGCCCTTATCCGGGAGGACCGCCGTCGGCGCTGCAGCCTGGAGCCGGCGGTGGGTACGGCGCCGTAAGTCCATCCACTGAAATTCCTTAAGCCCCTCCATCGTCATCGAAATCTTTGTTTTTGACTCATCCCAGCCGCAGTATCAGGCTTATTCGGGCGCCCCTCCCTCTGGCAATTCGGTAAGCTTCGACTGCCCTTTTGACTTTCTTTCTCTCTTCTTCCTTGTTGCTCTTCTTCTGCTTCCCTTGCATCCTCCCCTCCCCCTCCTTCCATCCGTCGCATGACAAAAAGGACCCTGGGATCGTCCGTCTCTCCACCTTGCTCGTCGCCTGGAGTTTTTCGCTTTATATCGCCGGGATCCCGCCAACGGCGCCCCTTCCGTCGTCGCCTCTTTGTTTCCTCGCTGATCTCGACAACATCCCGCAACCATGTCGCGACCTTATTATAACCCCCAGGGATATCAGGGCTATCCGCCCCCGCGTCCCGGTTCAGCCCAGTCTCCCCATCCCATGTCCCCGATGGCCCCGACGCCGCCCCCGCAGCAGCCGCAATACCGAGCATATTCTCCCGCCGGCGTGCCCCCTTCCGTGCCCCCAAACAAGCCTGTCCCGTCGCCGTCTCCGGCTCCCGGTGGTTACTCGGGTCCTCCTGCGCCGTCGCAATCGCCGATGTCTCAGGGGTTTCCGCCTCAGTCGCCTTACAGCTCGGCACCGCCGCAGCAACCGGGCTATCCGCCCGCTCCCCAATACGGTTCTGATCCTCGATACGGCCAACCCCAAGGCTATGGGCAAGCACAAGGCTATGGACAACCCCAGGGCTACGGACAACCTCCAGGATACGGACAACCCCAGGGTTACGGGCAGCCCCAGGGCTACGGACAGCCTCCCCAATCCCCGATACAGCCGCAGCCATACGGAGCTCGGGGCGCGCCCTACCCTCCGCAACCTTCTTCCAATGTATACACGATCCCAGGCAGATCCCTTGTTGTTATCGGTTTCCTTACTTTGATCTTTGATTCGTGTTTATTTTATTTTGATCGGTTGTTTTGCTGGAGACCCATACTAACTAGGCTTCTCAACAGGCTCCCCCGTACCCCCCGCAGAATGCGCCCTACCCCGGTGGCCCCGTTCGTCCCCCGCAAGGCGGCCCTCCAGGCCCTGGATACGGAGCCCCCGGCGGTGCGCCTCCCGCAGCTCCCGCCACCGATCAGCAGATTTCCGCCTATCGCCAGCTCCTGATCGCGACCATCCGAGAGAAGAGCCTGGAGCACTTCTATCCCCCCGACAAGCTGGACAGAGTCGTCCAGGGACTTGCCAGAGATGCTCCTGCCAAGTGCAACAAGCTGATGCACGAGTGGGGCGTTCCGATGGAAGTCGCCACGGATATCATCAAGCTGTCTCTGTTTGACGTCATTCTTTATGTGGATGACAGCGGATCCATTGAATTCGAGGAGAAGGGCGTGAGAAAGGAGCAGCTCCGACAGATCATCGGCATCGTGGCGACGGCCGCGTCCACGTTCGACGAGGACGGCATCTCCGTGCGATTCATGAACAACATGGAGAATGGCGACGGAATTCGCAACGCGGACGACGTCAACATGCTCGTCTCCCGCGTGCGCTTCGCCGGTCTCACCCCGCTGGGAACTGGTCTCAAGAACAAGGTCCTCGATCCCATGGTCGTGGGCCCTGCTCGGGCTGGCCGCTTGCAGAAGCCCGCCTTGGTGATCACCATCACGGACGGACAACCCGCCGGCGAGCCTCTCGACACCGTGGCCAACTCCATCCGCTACGCCATCTCCGAGGTCTCCCGTACGCCGTATGGCCGTGGCGCCGTTTCCTTCCAGTTTTCGCAGGTCGGCAATGACACCAAGGCTCGCGACTTCCTGGGCAGCCTGGACGAGGACCCGCAGATCGGCAACTTGATCGACTGCACCTCCAGTAAGTGCACGCGACCTTCCGGTGTGAGTTCCGACTAACCTGTCCATTAGATTTCGAGGTCGAGCAAGATGAGATGTCGCGTGCCAACCCGCCGATCCATCTGACGCGCGAACTCTGGGTAAGTAATTTCTACTCCGTCCTTAACGACCGTTCTAACCAGTCAATTGTAGTGCGCCAAATTGATGCTCGGTGCCATCGATTCCTCGTACGACACCAAGGACGAGAAGGCGGCTGGTCGCTCCGGCGGTGCAGTCGCTCCTCCTCCCTCCAGCGGACCTCCCCCCGGCCAGTACGGCGGCGGGTACAGCCCGGCACCCGGTCAGGGCCAGGGCCAGCCCGGATTTTACAACCAGCCTCCTGCCGGCTACAACCAACCCGCCCCGTACAGTCCCGGCCCCGGATACGGTCAACAGGCGCCCTACCCTCCTAGTCAGGGCCAGGGCCAGCCCCCGGCCGGCTACGGACAACCCTACGGTGGTTATGGATCCGGCTCTCCTGCTCCTGGCGGCTACGGAGCCCCTCCCACTGGTCCCCCCGCCGGTGCCCCTCGCGGATACCCACCCCAGGGCTACGGACAGGGCCCTCCGCCTCCACCCCGGTACTAGGTTACCAGAATTACCAGAGTGACGATCTGAAGATGGCCGGTGATGACGATGATGCCTGACATGTTTTTCTTTTTCTCATACCATATTTTTCTTGCGCTTCGCTCTTTTTTTAATGTTATTCAGGCTGGGGTTCGGTCAGGACTGTATGCATTATGACGTGATTTGCTTGCTTTAATGACACCCAATCTTGTACCAATGAGCCAACGGAGAATGAATTGACGGAGCGGGGTTAGAGGATACCGTCCGGACTGGCTTTGCCGTTTCTGTAGTTCACGCTCAATTATCTGATGACTTTCTTAGGGCACGAATGACGCCGAGGGTCGCGTAGTGCGCAGTAGACCAGGGTCCAATTCTCAGAACGGAGTAGTTCGTCCGATCATCCATGAATGGGCCCACCCGGTCCACGTGAGGCCAACGACCGAATACGTCGTTGACGTCTGAGGGAACAGCATCGTAATCATCGTGCGATTCATACGCACTTCCTCCGCTGTCATCATGTCTTGTCGAGACCCGGGAGACTCAACGGGGACTGCCAAGACGCGCCCTCCTTTGTTTTGCCACTTTCCCACTTCCTCCACAGGGCTGCGTGTCCCGAATCCAGTCTAGTCTAGACCGGGTCGATGGGGACTCCCGTTTAACCCAAGATAGACTAGCGCCGTGGACTCCGCCTGGGTCCCTCCAAGTTCCAACCAAAACCCTCTGGGCCACCACCAACTTTATCCTCCATGTGGAGGACCTGGACGTCGTCCACGGGTTGAGGGGAAGGGAATGGATTCCTCATGGCAGGGAGAGGGTTTAGGCCAATACGGAGGACCGGAGTGCTTCCACTTCTTTTTCTGCAGAACTGCAAGTGTTCCCCTGGGCCGCAAGCGGTGGATAACCCGATGTGCCGGTCTTGCTTGGTTGCCGCAGAAATAATACGGAAGCACCCGACCTGAGGCAAGGGGGCTGTGCTACCGTCGAAGGGAGGGTGACAGACGCTTTCAGTCAACAGAATAAATAATCCCAGCGGTTGTACAAGGTTTCTTTCATCGTGGATGGTGTTCAGGCTGCCTACGACGACGGGCACATGGCAAAGAACCGCCATCCAGTCGTTCCCATCCGTGGTTGCATTCCGGCTCCATCTTGCGTGGCCCCCCAAGCCACCACCGCTTCCCTCCAGCGCCCGTGACTGGCCCGTCGCCAATTTAAAGTCCTTTTTGGACGTGGGTCCCTCAACCGTGGCCTTTAATTTTTTATGGTTGATTTTTTTAATTATTCTCGGGCGCTCAGGGACTCGCCTTTCCGAGGAGATTCACCCCGTTTCTTGGTAGTGGGGGGTCAAATGGAAGCGACGTGGAAGACTGTCTGATTCTTTCTTCCTCCTCTTCGTCTGCTTCTGCTGCTGCCAACCATTTGCAGTACATTCTTCATTAAAGCGCCGCAAATCACGTACAGCTGCAGCGACTGTGGCGGGCGGCTCTCTATTTTCGGGCATCTTACCGGATTCGGTGTCTCCAAAACTCAACCCAATTTGGCTCTCGCCGCCTGCGGTCTTGGGTTTGTCTCTGTCCTCTTGACTCGTCTTCTGTTCGTGTCTGTCTTTGCATTGTTCTGCGTGCTTGCTTTTATCTTTCTGCCTTCCCAGAGCCGTCGCTCTCTTCCTTTCGTTGATTATTTCGTTGATTATTTGGTGACTTAATTTCTCGACGGCACCAACCCTTCCCCCACTGTCGTTTCCGTTGGGCCTCATTCGCGCTCCTCGCAAACCCCTCGCTCGTGCTGCCCGGTGTTTTTCGACCGCCTGCACGCCCCTGCGGAATATTAATATCCCCCTGCAAGGATAGCGGTTAGGTGGTCGCCGATCTCGACGTCATTTGCAACCCATGTGGATGTTGTGAGAGGGAGGGCTATTTCCGCCGGATTGAAAGAATGAGCCAAGGCTGTATTCTCCCGAGTCAGACCTGCACCTGCACCACCCAGTCGCTATTCCAGCTGTCGGAGTTGTTTATTACGTTGAGGATATACGTGGCGTGAGATTTAGGGAAGAAGCTCCGATCTGATCATTCTGGGAAAACTTTTTTGGGCCGGAAAATTGTCCGGTCTTGTCCGTATCCTCAATCGAGCATACGCATTTCACTTTTTCTAGGACGACTATACGGGAAAATATACCGATCGTCTCGATATGTCCGACCGAGATGAACAGACACAATCGAATCAGGATTCGCAGGGAACGACAACCGGGACCGAACACACGGGGCCAATGTCTGGGGATCAGGAGTCGGCGGGGAATTCCGCCCCGGGGTCGGGGTCTGCTCTCCCGCGGAGTCATTCCTTGAACCTGGATCCCTCGCGACACAGTATCGGTCAAGGTCGACCCTCTCTGGCACCCTCGCGACCTTCCATCTCTCCTTCACGGACGCTATCAGACTCCGGGCGACGGCCGTCCCATCAGCACCATGTGCGCTTTTCGACGGACCTGGAACGTCCTTCGGTGGAGGAGTCTAGACAGCAACAGCCCCAGCAGCCCTCGACGGATCGACGACGCTCTCGAGGATTGTCCATTAATACAGACATCGCGCAGCAAACCTCGACCGGTAGATCCCCGGAACGAAGTGCTACCTCGCCTCTGTCGCCTCGAAATGCCCTCTCACCTAACTCGCCCCAAAGTCCGGACTCCACTGGCCGTTCTCGATCCCGGAATCGTGGGTACTCGCTGCGACGAACGATCTTTGCAAAGAATATTCAGACCCAGTCGGGCGGGACCTCGCCTGGCGCCATCGAAATGGGCGAGGCCATGAGCCCGCAGGCCGAAAGTCCACAGGAACAACCCTCACTGCCGGAAAGTCCACAAAAGGAAGACGACGTCGCAAAGAGTCCGCGCGTTTCGACAGAGACCGAGAAGAGCCATGTCCTTGTGTCGCAGACGTCGATGCCCGAGTCCAATTCGGCAGATGGAACTTCGACAACATATGTCTCGGAGCCGTCTGAGGGCCTTAAGCAAGGCAGACATCCTTCCATGTCTCTTTCGCATGAGCGGTGGCTGAAGAAGAGGGCTGCCATTGCGACGTTCCAGGCCCGTATTGAGGCCATGCTAGAGGCTGTCCGCAAAACTATTCTCCAGATTAAGGAAATTCCGCCTAGCAAGGATGGCCGCCATATCGATCTCGACCCTACGCGCGCGGAGACCCTAGTCGATGAGAGAACTGGAAAGGCTTATGCGGGAAACTGGATCCGATCCAGTCGATACAGTTTCTGGAGCTTCTTCCCTCGGCAGTTGTGGGCTCAGTTCACCAAGTTGGCCAATTTCTATTTCCTGGTCGTGGCGATTCTGCAAATGATTCCTGGCTTGAGTACCACGGGTACCTTTACCACGCTGATCCCGCTGCTGATTTTTGTTGGTATCTCCATGGGCAAGGAAGGTTTCGATGACTGGCGCCGATATCGTCTGGACAAGGAGGAAAACAACCGCTTTGCTTCCGTGCTGCGTCCAGGCGCTGCGTTTGGCGGTCAGACTCCTTCCGCTGACAACGCCTCGATGTCAAGTGAGGACCAGAATTGGTCTCTGGTCAAATGGGAGGATATCAAGGTCGGCGATGTCGTCAAGCTGGAGCGCGATCAGCCAGTGCCCGCGGACATGGTTCTGCTTCACGCGAACGGGCCCAACGGTGTAGCCTACATTGAGACTATGGCCCTCGACGGCGAAACCAACCTCAAGAACAAGCAGCCTTGCCAGCCGGTGGCCAAGGTGTGCGACACGGTCGACGGCATCTGCAGCAGTGCGATCCACTTTGCGGTCGAAGACCCAAACATGGACCTCTACAAGTTCGACGGCAATGTGATGATCGCGGCGAATGAGAAGCTACCCCTGACTAACAACGAGATCGTCTACCGCGGCAGCATTCTCCGCAACACGGAACAAGCCATCGGCATGATCATCTACACCGGTGAGGAATGCAAGATCCGCATGAATGCCAACAAGAACCCCCGCATCAAATCCCCTTCCCTCCAGGCCAAGGTCAACCACGTGGTAATGCTCATCGTCCTCCTCGTGGTCTTGCTCGCGGTGGCATGCACGGTTGCGTACAAATACTGGTCGGCCGATGTCGAGAGCCACGCCTGGTACCTCGCCGAGGCCAACGTCGACTACGGTCCCATCTTCACCTCGTTCCTGATCATGTTTAACACGATGATTCCGATCTCGCTCTATGTCAGCATGGAGATCGTCAAGGTCGCCCAGATGCTTCTCCTGAACGCCGATATCGACATGTATGATCCGGAGACGGACACCCCGATCGAGGCGCGGACATCGACCATCAACGAGGAACTCGGCCAAGTCAGCTATATATTCTCCGATAAGACTGGTACCCTCACAAACAACTCCATGCGCTTCCGCAAGATGAGCGTCGCAGGTACCGCATGGTACCACGATTTCGATCTCCGCGAGGAAGCCGCCAAAGAAGGGGATCGTGAAAAACTCATCCACAAGAAGCGCAGCGCCAAGGGAAAGAAGGCCATGACTCGCAAATCCAACGTTTCGGAGGCTAGGTCTTTCGTGCAAACCGGCTCGGCGTCAATTGTTGGAGGGGCGCAGAAACTCGGCCAATCGAACTCCAACAATCGCACCACCGACATGCTGAGGTATATCCAACGCAAGCCGTATACGGTCTTTGCCCGCAAAGCCAAGATGTTCATTCTCTCCATCGCCCTGTGCCACACCTGCATCCCGGAAACCGATGAGCACGGACACACTACTTTCCAGGCCGCATCTCCCGATGAGTTGGCAGTGGTTCTGGCCGCTCAGGAGCTTGGGTATCTTGTTTGGGATCGCCAGCCAAACACGCTGACCATCAGGACTTTTCCCAAGGGGCATAAGGGGCAGGCCTGCGATGAGGTTTACGAGGTTATGGACGTGATCGAGTTCTCCAGTGCCCGCAAGCGAATGTCCGTTGTCGTGCGGATGCCTGATCAGCGCATCTGCGTTCTCTGCAAAGGAGCCGATAGCATTTTGATGCAACTGCTCAAGCGGGCATCTCTTGCGCAAGAGAAAGTGGTCGAGATTGAAAGGCGCGCCAGCAAACGCAAGGCAGCCGAAGCCAGCCAGGTCATCCGACGAAACAGCGAGTACCAGAGCCGCAAAGATAGCGGGCCCCGGCCCAGTTTCAGTCGACCTAGCATGTCGCATCGACGATCCAGCGTTTCCGGACATCGCGTGTCCGCCCTCAGAGATAGCGTCGACGTCTGGCTGCGTGATCGCGAGACTGACGGCGGTATCTTGAACCGTGGGAACGACGCCGAATATTATAGCCCTCGGCCGTCGACTCAGAATGGTCGGCCGTCTACCACCGTCTCCGATTCCGGCAGCTCGGTCAATGAAGATGAAGAGGATTTGGTTGAGGAGGGTCTGGTTGTTAATGAAGCCGCGGTCTTTGAGCGGTGCTTCCAGCATCTGAATGATTTTGCGACCGAGGGTCTGCGCACGTTGCTATATGGCCATCGCTTCCTTGACGAGTCTACATACACTAGCTGGAAGTCGGCATATCGCGAAGCCTGCACCAGCCTGGTCGACCGACAAGAGAAAATCGAACAGGTCGGCCAGCAGATTGAGGCGCAGCTCGAGCTGACTGGAGCGACGGCTATCGAGGACAAACTGCAAAAGGGTGTTCCCGAGGCCATGGACAAGCTGAGACGGGCCAACATCAAGATGTGGATGCTGACTGGCGATAAACGCGAGACTGCCATCAACGTCGGTCACTCATGTCGCTTGGTCAAGGACTACTCAACTCTCGTGATTTTGGACCACGAGACCGGCGAGGTCGAGCAGTCGATTGTCAAAATGACGGCAGATCTCACGAAAAGCACCATCGCTCATTCGGTGGTGGTGGTTGACGGACAGACGCTGGGGATGATCGAAGCTGATGAGACCTTGAGGGTCCGGTTTTTCAATCTCGCCATCATGGTGGACTCGGTCATCTGCTGTCGCGCCAGCCCCAAGCAGAAGGCGTTCCTTGTCAAGTCGATCCGCAGACAAGTGAAGGATTCCGTCACCCTGGCGATTGGCGACGGTGCCAATGACATTGCTATGATCCAGGAGGCCCACGTCGGCATCGGTATTACCGGGAAAGAGGGATTGCAGGCGGCGCGCATTTCGGATTACTCGATTGCCCAGTTCCGGTTCTTGCTCAAGCTGTTGCTTGTACACGGCCGATGGAACTATATGCGGGCCTGCAAGTACACCCTGGGCACGTTCTGGAAGGAGATGCTGTTCTACTTGACGCAGGCTCTGTACCAGCGCTGGAACGGATATACCGGGACCAGTCTGTACGAGCCATGGGGATTGAGTATGTTCAATACGCTCTTCACCTCTCTGGCCGTCATCTTCCTGGGCATCTTCACCAAAGATCTGTCCGCGTCCACACTGCTTGCCGTTCCCGAACTATACACCAAGGGCCAGCAGCATGGCGGGTTTAATATCCGGTTGTTCCTCGGCTGGACGTTCATGGCGACCTGCGAAGCGATGGCCGTCTACTTCCTCATGTTCGGGCTCTTCGCCAACGTCGTCTTCACCCACACCGGCAGCGACATCTTCTCCTCCGGCCTTCTGACATATTCCGCCTGCGTCATCATCATCAACACCAAACTCCAAGCCCTCGAAGTTCACAATAAAACCTACCTCTCCCTGATAGTCATGGTCATCTCCATCGGAGGCTGGTTTGTCTGGAACCTGATCCTCGCGCGCCAGTACGACATCAACTCCGGCGACGGCATCTACCACGTCCCAGGCAACTTCATCTTTCAGTCAGGTCATGACCTCGCCTTCTGGGCCGTCCTGTTCCTCACCGTCGTCGCCGTGGTTGTCTTCGAGATGACCGTCTCCGCCCTCCGCGCTCTGTTCTTCCCGACCGACGTTGACGTCTTCCAGGAGTACGAGCAGGACCTGGAGATCCGAAAACGCTTCGAAGAGGCGGCTGCCTCCGAGCTCCAGCAGGGCTGGGACCATGGCAAGAAGAGATCCAGCCTCGAGATCGCGCGCGATGTTGCAGAGTCCGAGGCTCGCGAGAAACAAGTCCAGGAGCTGCTCGCCCGGCCCCGAGTGATGAGCAAGACGGGTGATGGACCGGTCGAAATGGAGGAAGTTGACGCCTCGGCTGGCGGGCATGTCAATGCAGGCTCAACTGGCATGACCGATGACGAGGCAACCACTGGTCGGCGACGATCCGTCGAGGTCCATGAATTGTTCACGAAGGGATACGGTGCTATTCGAAAGGGTCACTTGAAGTGATCATACCACGAATAGAGCTGTGGACATTAGTGTGGATGTTACTGTGGATATTACCCTTCTCTGTTTTTTAACCCTTATTTACTACCACCTCTACTACTGTTGTTAATGTTTGGTTTCTTTCTCTGTCCTGTACTACTGGCTTTATCAGCATGACGGCGTTGGCAAGTGGATACCCCGGATATCATTTTTGTCGCTCCTTTTTGTCTTTGCTGTGGTGGCAGCGTTGTATGCTTTGTGTATATGGATTGAAGTGTGAATATATTACTCATGAGTATATTTCTGGTCTGGTGTTGATAGACTCGATTTGCATGTAGATTGCTACATCGTGTGTTGTATATATATCCGTATGTCCGGTTTTATACCGAGTTCTCATTTTTCGCCGCTTTGGAACCTAGGATATATATTGCGAGTGTTGAGATTGAGATGCCAGCTGCCAAGCTTTCGCCGGTTGCCCCAGTCATTCTTCCTATACCACCAATACAATAAAATAGAAACCCAATTCCTTCATGTAAATAATTCAAATTGTTTTGATCACTGTAGTTGCCCCGAAAATCAAATCCCTGACATTAGCCGTGGTAGCAAACCCCGATCTTATCATACGATCGATTCAATCTCGCACCCTGCCAGCTACCGTAGGTAGTACAGGGTAGATCGGTCGGTCGGCCGGTAGCCTGAGGCGCGTCGGGATAAACTTCCTTTCCCTGGCATGCGATCAGATCAGGCTATCGGGCAGACTACGCAGTACAGACCAGGAATGCCTACCATAGGTAGGTACTGTAGGTTAATCCATGAAGTGTATGTAAAAATAGAACGCCTTCCCCGGATGTACTACCTTATAATGCTAGAGTCTGAATGTCCATCGCATAGGGTATTTTTATCGATCGCTAGAATGACCAAAACAAGGCGCGTTCTGATCTAAAAATGGATAAATCAAATCCTTCCTTTGCCGCCTTCGGCTCGGCGAGGACGCCGTCTACTGGTTTACCTACCTACCTACCTACCTAAGTTAGCTAAGTCAGGTAGGTAGGCGGGCAAGTGTCTTGGTCCTAACGGGGTAACGAACGAACTAACTCACTCGGGGAGCGACCTATGTAAACTAACGGAAGCCGCTTGGCTGGGTGGTGCTGCTGGTAGTAGCGTTTGTCGGCTCCGGGGATATATTAATTTCTGTTTTATTTTTTACTCTGTACTAGACTAGATGGTAGGTAGGTGCTAGCGATGGACGGAGTATGTATGTATGTATGATCGCTCGGTAGATGTCTAAGACTCGAAGCTAAGAGTAAGTGGTCAGTAGTCAATGGACTAAATTAGATTGCTCAGGGCTAGACGCAGGCTAGAATGTATGGTGGCCAGGCGGAGATTAATTGCGAAGGCAAGACAGACGGAAATAGAAGTGTACGGAGGGGTTGGGTTTAGTGTGGGATGTACTCTGTAGGTCTGTACACTTCCAGGGAAGTAAGGTAGGGACTGCTTTCTACATGTACAATGTACATTATTAGCTTCATGTACAGTCGTATGGTAGGCTGCAACTAGGTTGTAGGTAGAATAAAAATAACCTCCGACTAAGAACCCGTATACTACGTTGTAGATACGAACACTATGTACAATCGCTAATTATATCAACCCCCCTGCACGACTAAAGCAACGCAACTAAAAGACACTATTGGATTGCCGCAGCTCCGTGCGAGGGTGACGTCGCCGGCGTCTCTCCTCTCTAGCCGCCCCGTATTTCCGCGAAAACACATCCGGATCGTGTTGAATGTGTATCAGTGTTTTGGGCGGCCTTAAACATAGCAAGTCACATGTCTCGGTGGCGCAATTGGTTAGCGCGTACGACTGTTAATCGTGAGGTTGAGAGTTCAATCCTCTCCCGGGACGTTGCTTTTTGACTCAGTGCCTTATATATAAGGCACTGACTGTATGCTCTGTTTTTTGCTGAATTATATACATACTCTATCCACACTTGGCTTTATACTTGCTTCATTTAACTTAATATAATAATAACCATCCATCCATTATGTGGGTAGCCTTCATATGAACATAAAAATACCTTTCTTCACTTGGGGGGCTTTATATGGTACGTAAGTAAACCAAAAAAGTTTAAACACACGTCCCGGGAGAGGCTGACTCTCAACCTCATCAATAACAGTTGTACGTGCTAACTAATTGCGCCATTGACATCTGATTTGTTAGGTTGTTTGAGTTACGTCATTAGTTATATACATAACCCCAGCAATATGTGTGTTACAAACAGCTACTAACTACCAGTAACACCTCCTAATTGACTCATGGGTAGTGATGTTTCTGCTCGGCTGAACTGTCAGTATGTATCCTCGAGGATATTCACCAACGTGTTTATCCTACAGAGTGTTATGTAGGTCTTCTCAGCCGATAGCCACGTATTGAAGCTGCCTTGTCCATCAGGTGAACCTGCGAAGGATTGGAATAGCAGGTGAGCATTCAAACAATAACCAGCCCAAGGCTTGTGACCAGGAGTCGGCAGGTACCTCTCCAGACATACAGCTGATAATTTCTAGAATAACATTCCTACTATATTGACAAGCAATTGATGACTTTTAAGAAAATAGCACAATGCCCTGACCAATGATATAGAGCATGAAAGCAGGACTGTTTTCCGAGGGAGGGGAGGACATACATGTACACCTCGGCATGCCGCGAACTGGCAGGATCTTCGGCAAGACGAATACGAAACTAGAAGACGAGGATAGCATAGCTAGCCTATAGTCCAAAACCATGGTAGTAGTAAATCTGTGTCTTTGTGAAAGGCTGGTGGCCGACTGGACCTCGGCGGGATTCTTGTGGCTACAGAAGCACGAAGCGCTGCTTAGTGATCTGTCTCTACATCCATCATATTTAAGTAGTATTGAGATAGAAAAGAAATAGCACAACGGAGTTGAACGATAGTTTGATGTTTTGCACGTTTTGGTGTTAAAGTCTCGCCTCCAATGAATTCTGCGTGTCTGACTCCCCGGAATGTCTGAAAAGCAACACTTGGGTTGTATGTATACTTACTTGTCTTGGCTAAACTGATGAAATACCGGAGTCTCCATCGCGGCACAAAAAGTCAAAAAGCAACGTCCCGGGAGAGGATTGAACTCTCAACCTCACGATTAACAGTCGTACGCGCTAACCAATTGCGCCACCGAGACACGTGATTTGCTGTGTTTAAACTTTTGCATACACAAAAAAACACTACACAGTAGATTCAAATTTCCTACTAGCCTAGTATAGAAAACCGGCAAATCCCGTCATTGTCGTTCTCGGAGTATTACTCCGTACAGGTACTCTGTAGAGCGAGTCAAGCACTAACTACTTATTCATTCTAGAAATTATACCAGATCCTTTCTGATAAGGTCCCTGGAAAGTGTTATACTATTTGTAACACCATAAACAAATATTATTCTACTATTCCCTTCAACACTATCTAAATCCCCTAACCCTCGACATCCATCCTTCACCAAAAGGCAGAATATCCCGCATCCACAAACACCTCCGCCGTCCCGTGCAAAGCGCAGGTTCTCGTTCCGCGAGGAGGGCGACCGGCCAATGGGCTCCGAGGCATCGGGTGCACGGATCACGGCGGTTTGGCACTATGCCCGAGGGGGCTAATGCGCTCAGGGATCTCGGATGTATCAGTCGACGTATGGGAGGTGTACCTTACAGGATACGTACAGGTGGGCTGGTTTCATTTTTTTTATATTCTGTCCTTATTTTTTTCTTCCTCGGTGGGTGTACGGGTGGTGGGTTATTACTTATGAGTTAAATGCTATCTGCAGAGTATGTGCATTACTATGTATGCAGTACACGGAGTCCTGTATGGCTGGGAGGGAGTAATGCCTCAGCAAGGCAACTGCTAGTCAGGTACACGAGTGCCGACCTCTCCACCCCTGGCGCTGTCATGTCCACCGACCCAATCACCGCGCGCGTGGTGGCGACGGGGAAGGACGGGTACCTGGATCGAATCACCGCCGAACTGGCTGGCTGGCTGGCTGGCTGGTCTGCAACAGCCTGCGCTGCGCCTTACACAGTACTTATTAATAGTAAAAATGTTCGGGATGCGCACCTTACTGCGTATGTAGCGACTTCCTTGCCTCGCGCCAGCAAATCCGGCCGGCCGGACGAGCTGAGTCGGAGCTTTTGGCAGTCCTCAGGGCCCTGCGCCGACGTCACAGGAGAGCAAATTGACTTTGGCTGACCCTTGGATCCGGCCGGCGGGAAAGTGCTTTAGTCGAGGTACCCGGTCAGCACCTACTGCTGGGGAGTATTCGGAATACGTAGACAGTGTATGGGCTACTAGGACTCCGTGTGGAAAGGGAGGATCGGGTTCGTTTGAAACAAGACCCTGAAGTAAAACCAGTTCGGTCGCAGGTGCGTGTGTGTGCGTGTATGTGTGCCACCTTACTCCTTCCTGCTCAGCGTTCCACGAGGGGGTGTATGAGGAGTGTGTGGTGTGTGGTTCTTGGCTTGCGCTTAGCCTCTCTTTTTTTTTTTTTCTTTTTCTTTTTCTTTTTCTTTTTCTTTTTCTTTTTCTTTTTTTTTTTTTTTTTGTTCTAGTGTTTCTCTCCCCTTTCCCACTTCCACATCCGCCGCCCACTTCCCACTTCCCCTGCTCCTTAAGCCAGTGTCCACTGCCCTAAGCCGTGAACGGACTCGGCACTCCGTAGTCCGTCACCGCGTTGCCCGAGAAAGAAAACTAAAAGACGGAGGGAGAACCTTTTCGTCAAGTACCGTCAATTCGGCAGACGTGTGATCGGGCTTGGTGTGCTTGCTGGGGCTCCACTTGTTGGGAAACCCTTTTCCTTTCGCCTAGTGAGGTTGGCCTCGGATCCGATTGTCACCCGCGGCTGGTTATGCAGTTGGCGTTGGCTGAGGTCATGGGTGGGCTGGAATGAAAATAAATCAAAATCAAAAAAGAGTAAAAAGTCAAATCAACACATCAATAAAATCAAGGAGGCTGGCCCTTTTTTTTGTCTGGTCCCGCGATGTGTTAATTTATTTCTCCGAACGGTCCAGGTCGCCGTCTTCTGTTTCTTCATCCATTGCCTGGTTCATCCCAACTGCGCACTACGACTAGAACGGGGTCCTGTGGATTCGACTATCGGTCTTCCGTCTTCCTGAGAGTCGTCGACCGACCCGAAGGGGTCATATTTCCCCGAACACTAGGAGAGGAAAGAAAAATTACGATTCATGGTTTCAGTCCCGTGGTATTGGTCTGTCCATCTAACGTGGTTACCGTTGGCCAGCAACGGTCGGAACTGGGCGGTTAACTCCAACTGTTACCTGTCATGTTTTCTGCGAATCGCCCTCGAGGAGGCTAGTCGGCATAAGCTTAGAAGATAGTGCCCCGGAGAAGTTACTCGTCGGAGGAGTGAGAAGCAGTCAGCTCCTCCCCCCTCTCTCCGATTCGGTTCGCCCTGAAGGCTGGCGCCAAATGGAGACGAGCGATTAGTCCGTGCTGGTCGGTAGGTCGGCTTAGGTGCATGACTAGGTCGCGGTGCTCTGAGCCCTCTTGCATCGCAGGGACATCCTGGTGGCGGTCGGGGGCTTGTCATTGGGTGACCACCATCCCAAACAGCATTGGGCAGCAGACCTCGGATGCGCGTGGATGCAGGGGCCAAATCCAGGAGAGGGTGTGAAGAGGTGGAGGTGCTCCCCTCCCGTACAGAAAAGAAAAGTAAAATAAATTATTTAGGCTCGGATTTTGGCCCTCTGGAGTCGATAAGGCAAGGTCAAATCCGGAGTAGGGTTCCTGAGGTATGATATAAGCACCGGTCGACGGTCTGGAATTAATGGAATTCATCGGGCGGATTCTGCTGTCACCAGAAATCCAATCGCCGCCGACAAAGACGGTCGAGATCCAGGCAGATTAATTAATTCGGGTTCTTGTTCTCGATCGCGGATTCGGGATCGACTGGCCGTAACAACCGGTTTTTCTTTTCTTTTGTGTTTCCAAAAATCTGGCCAGGCAACCGAACAGGAACAGGAAAAAGAAAAAGAAAAAGAAAACGCCCCACGGAGAAGTCAGGAACCGCCGGTGCCAAAACAACCAGCGCGACCAGGCCTGGCGCTAAGCCCGATCGAGGCCCCCCATCTCCTGACTGACTCTCGCCGTCTCTGCCTGTCTCTGCCTGTCTCGCGCGCTCTCCTCCACCCGTTTGTCTCTCCCTCTTCTCTTCTCTTCTCTCCCTCTTCCTCTCTTCCTTCTCTTCTCTCCCCCATCGACCATCTTTCCTTCTTTTTTCTTCCCCCCCCATTCACTCTTTTTGTTTTCTTTTCTATTCTTTCGTTTATTCTCCTCACCCCAGTCGATCGTTTCACTCTTTCACGATCGACCTCTCCCTTGCTCAGCATCTCGCACTTTGCCTCGCTTACCTGGACGGTGATCGCTCATTTGTCATTTCTCAATTCCAGACTTGATCGATCCTCCCCCAGCTGCGGAGATCCTGAATTTCTTTCACCAGCCAAGCTGCATAGGTCGGCTTATTTTTATCTTTCCCCCCGAGACATTCGGTTCCCTTTTGACGCTTCTGCGACGCGATCATCTATATCCGCTTAAGCTTGCTGCTGGTCTGGTAAATCTCCCAGACTTCCATCGCTCAACTCCCGGCCTAAGCGCTGCCACTCGTTTGAAATATCACCCATCTTTTCTACTCCTCTGGCGCTTGAAGCTGCTATCGAGGATACCAGGCATCCCCCTTTTTTTACCTTTTGACCTTGTCGGCCGGATCGTCACATTATTCTCTCCTTTTTGAGAATCTCTTCGAAAAAGCTCGTCTACTTCTCTCTTACCAATTGGTCGACTTCTTTCCCTACCTCATTTCCATTATCTATCTTTTTTTCGGTCAATCCCTGCAAACGATGTCTTCGACAGACGTTCCTGACCCGTCGGCTACGCCGACTATCTCTACCACTATGGCCCCGACTGCCCAATCCCCTTCATCCGTCCACTCGACCCCGTCCCCGACGGTCTCGAATGCCACCACGGGTTCCGCCAACCGGCGCCCTCAACGGAAGAGCACTTTGACTCAACAACAAAAGAACAACAAGCGCCAGCGCGCGACTCAAGACCAGCTGGTCACTCTGGAAGTGGAATTCAACAAGAACCCTACCCCGACGGCGGCCACGCGCGAAAGAATTGCCTCCGATATCAACATGACTGAACGGTCGGTTCAGATTTGGTTCCAAAACAGGTGCGTTTGCTAATCCGGGGAGGACTGCGAAGTGGGTGAGGAGATGGGCAGTTTGGCTAACGGCAGTTCAGACGGGCCAAGATCAAGATGCTCGCGAAGAAGAGCATCGAAACCGGCGAAGGCTGCGACTCCATCCCCGAATCGATGCGCCAGTACTTGGCCATGCAATTCGACCCGAGCAAGCCTGGTGCGCGCGATCCTTTTGGCCGCACCGGAGGTTATGGCACCAGCGGCGCATTCCCCAACGAAGCCACCCCCTCGGGCAAGGTCGTCATCCACCACTTCACCTGTCGATCCCTGACAATCGGTAGCTGGCGGCGCATCGGACAGAATGCCATGGACCTGGTGGTCTTTTACTCCCCCGAGAAGGCCTGCATGACCTACTACATCAACAACGACTCCGCCGGGTACAAGATCGAGTACCCCTTTTCTCACATCAAGAACATCACCCTGGAGTCGGGAGACCAAACCCACCAGCCGAACGGCGTTCCCCCTCGACCCGGTGGTCTCGTGGTTGAACTGAACCGCCCTCCCATGTTCTACATGGATTCCTCCAACTCGGGTGGTTTCTACCAGTGCGGCGACTTCACAGAGGACCAGCAGGCGAGCCAGCTGATGGTCCACCATCTCGGAGGCCACCCCAAGGTTCTCAGCGTTCAACTCGCCAAGCTGGTGTCGCTGGAGTCCTTCCAGAACCGCCTGGCCTACGGCAACTTCCCCATGAGCGCCCCAGTCTCCACGCCCCCCTTCATCCAGCGTCCTGCATCCCAGCCGAACCAATTCGCGCAGCCCGCCTTCCTGGGCATGTTCCCGGACAACCATTCGCATCTGACCGTTCAGGCCGCTCGCGGACACAAGCGCCAGCGCAGTCGATCCGTTCCCGTGGCCGTCGACTTTTCGGCCATGCAGGCGCCGCTGCCTTCGTACAACATGCCGCAGACACCGGCCCAGTTCCACCATGCGGATTCGAGCATCTATGCCCCGGTTCCCCAGCAGGCCCATCCGTTGGCGATGAACCTCCGCATCGATACGTCGGCCGCCTACGGATTTGACCCGCGTGGCCATCCCATGTCGGCTGCCACGACGGCCTCTCCATCCGATTTCGCCAGTCCTTCTCTCTTCACCGCTCCGGGTGACTCCACTCCCGTTGCCTCGAACATGGGCACCCCGTTCAACATGTCCTTTGTTTCTCCCCAGGTCGATTCGTCGAACCTGGCGCAGTCAGCCTCTCCGTACTCTGCCGTCAGCCATGCTGACCCCCTGATCGCGGACCATTCGCCTCCGCTGTCGACAATGCACCACGCATCCCAGGAGATGTACGGCCTTGGCAACGACCACCAGGCCAACTTTGCAGACGAGGGAATGACGATGAACGGCATGTATCCCAAACACAACATGAACTTTACCGTGCCGACTTCGATGGGATTCGAGGGAAACACCTTTGACCTGCCTATCCAGAGTGTTGGTAGCCATGCTTCCCCTGGCGTTCAGGGCGACTACCAAGGCATGACCTCTTTGGACGGAGTCGATCCCAACACCCTGGCCCCGAGATCATGAACACGTGTATCTCGATCTACCGCTTAGTCCAGGTGGCTTATTGTGATGTTTGAAACCACTCTGCTGTCAGCTCCTGCATTCTGGATGGCAAAATGTGGCATTTATGGCTCAATCTTCGTACGTGAAGGTCTTCTTCTCGAACACCAAGGATATCCCCATATCCAACGGGCAAACCTTTGCCTTATCATTTTACGCGAACGTCCCTATTTTCAGGGATGGGCGATTCGAGGCAACTCAATGCCTCAATTGTTGATGATGATGAAGAGGACATATCTTTTTTTCTTTTCTTCTTGTGATATGCTCCCATTTTTCTTTCTTCCTTTGGAACTTTTGGTTTCTTTTTGATTTCTTCTTTCACTTCTTTTTTGATCCTTTTTCTTGATTTTTTGGTGTATTAATACCCTTCTCCTGTAGGGCTGGTCCTTGAGCGTTTTCCCTACCTTTTTTACCCAGTCTGACTGGGCTTTTCCATTCTTCTCCACTTTTTTTTTCTTTTTCTTCTTTTATATACTGGTCCGGGGCCTTTTTAACGTGGTTATGCCAGAAAGCCAGTCAAATGGCGAGATTCTCTTGAATTTCCTTTTCCTTGGTTCTTTGGGTCGGCAGGTTAGGAATTGTTTGCATATTTCCCTTTGTGATGGTCATCTTTTTTTTCTTTTTGGTGTCCTGGTCTGGTTGGATCCTCGATCAACATTAGCTAGTTTGACGGTTGCTGGTTGCGAGGCCGGCGCCCTGTCGTCGTGAAGCTGAGACATTCTTCGCGTGACTGAGTAGGAACAATCCAGATTATGATCTCAAGCTGTCCATGTAGTCGTAGGATTTCTATATTACACGTCTTAGTCTACAGGGGTATCACGGTAAAACATCTCATCCATCTCACTTGACGCCAGCCCATCACTAACCCTGCCACCCCTTCGGCGCCGGCGCCTTCAACCCTCTCGACTCGCGCAGATACCTCTCCACCCACGCCTCCATCTTCTCCAACACATTCCGATCCTCCCTCCCTCGCCGCGGATCCACCCCCTCCGTCACTCCGTCGCGACACCAAACACTCCACGCCCCCATCTGCGTCGCCATCAACACATCCGTCCCCAACCGGTCCCCCACTACCGCTATCTCCTCCGGCCCCTTCACCACCCCCCTCTCCGTAAACCAGCTCAGCACCTCCGCCCCGCAGAACGGCTTCTTCGCGCTCCCCGTCGGCAGCCTGAACACCGGGATCTGCAGCCCCGAGAGCCCGTTGTTCTCCAGCTCCTCGATCTCCGCGTCGTAGCGCGCGTGCGAGCCCGCGCGGTTCGAAACCACCAGGATCGAATCCGGCGCTGTGGCCATGTTGAACGGCGAGGTGGGGGAGGTGCGGAGGGCGTGCAGTTTCGAGAGGATGAGCGGTGGGAAGGTCGTTGTTTTGGCGGCGCAGAGCGTGTTGTCTTTGTCGAGGATGAGGGCTCGGATTTGGATTGGTTTCTTTTCCGTTTCTGAGGAGGAAGAGGAGCTGGGACTGGGACTGGGACTGGGGTAGGTGGCGGAGAGAGCTGGGCCGATTTGTTCGGGGAGGTGCGTGATGGTCGGGATGGTGAGGTGCGGGAGGAATTGCGAGGGTGTTTTGAGGAGCGTCGTCACGGCGAGGTTGAAGGCGCGGAGGTTGGAGTTTGGGGCGGACATTTTGAGTATTAGATATTATTTATTATGACCATGTAGAGGTAGAGAGGTAGTGGAGATGGAGATGGGTGTAAGATGAGAGATCCTGCCGGGCGGAACGGAAAACAAGCTAAGCCGCAGAGCCGCAAAACTCACTTCTGCCGGTCCTTCGCCGCAGCTTCACCTTTTCCTCTTTCGACTCCATCTTCTCCGCCATTCGCAGCCCTCGACTCAATTCCAACATGGGCAAGCTTACTAGCACGATCGGTATTCCGATCAAACTGCTGAACGAGGCGCAGGTTCGCATTCCCCCTTTGCTTTCTCTCTTGGGTTTATCTCATCTCCATCTCCACCTGGACTGGCCTGGCCTGGCCTCGATTGGAGTAGATCGATGGATGAAGACAAAGTCATGATAACTAATAACGGATAGGGCCATGTCGTCACGCTAGAGATCACGTCGGGGGTGGTGTACCGCGGAAAACTTCTCGAGGGTTCGTCTCCTTGCTCTCCTCGAAGCTGAATGCTGCACGATGTCTACCAACACTATGCTACACTATGGACGAGGGAATGGAATGGAATGGAACAGAAGCTAACTACACGCGCCCACAGCCGAAGACAACATGAACGTCCAACTGAAAGATATCACCGTCACCGCGCGCGACGGTCGCGTGTCGCATCTCGACCAGGTGTACATCCGCGGCAGCCACGTGCGCTTCTTCATCGTGCCGGATATGTTGCGGTACGTCCTCTTTATTTCCCCTGCCATTGTCCTTGGATATTGTCTAGAGATGAGTGGTGCTGGTGCTAATATGGTTTCTCTAGAAACGCGCCCATGTTCCGTTCTCGAGGCCAGCGCGGCAGAGGTGTCGGTCTGGCTCGCGGTAAGGCCACGGTGCAGCGTGCCCGCGGCCAGAGGAGAGGGTGATGGTGATGGTGATGGTGATACCGGGTTCTTGTTTTATTGTTTGCTTGATGCTTGATTTGAATAAATGGCGGCGTTTCAGTTTCGGGGACCTTTAGGTCTCGATCTATATCTTGTGTTTTAGGTCGAGGAGAGAGAAAATTTAAGATTCGGTTCGGATGATTGGGGGTTTAGTTTGATGGTGTAGGAATTGTGTGTGGGTTGTTTGGTAGAGATTGTAGACTTGTAGACTCTTCGACTCGACTGGAAGTGTGGTAGCTCAGCTGTCCGACGAGGGAGCTTTCGCGTCTCGTTTCTCCCCGCATTCTTCCACCAACATCTTCCGACTGACCTTCTCTCTCCATCTCCCTCCTCTCCCTCCTTCGATATTGATATAGTACAATTATAATTCCAACCCACAAATCCATGCCCTGACCTCCAACATATAACCCACTCAACATGCCCACCACAACCGACCACCCGCACCAGCAACGAATCCCCAACCCCCGCCGCCTCCTCATCCTCTCGCCCTCCTCGCACTCCCCCACCACCATCCCTCCCTTCCTGCACGCCCTCACCGGAACCCCCGTCCTCGAGCCCCCGTCCACCGCCCCTGCGAACCCGTCCGCTCCCAGTTTCGCCGGCTACACGACCCATCCGCCGCTGCAGATCCGGAACAAGTATTATGTCGCGGAGGTGCCGGTCTGGGTGGATGAGATTGCGCTGGAGACGGACACACGCGGGCTGAAGAATGAGGGCGAGAAGACGCAGTCCGAGTCCGAGTCCGAGTCGACCCTGGTCCCGTCGATGTCGACGTCGACGTTAGACACAGGCGCAGAACCAGCACCAGCAACAGCAACAGAACCAAAGCAAGGACAAGAACAGGAACCCCTCACCACCCCCTCGCTCTGGAAATCCGAGTTCTCGGGCCCCGAGGCCCAGGTCGTTCGCGACGCCGTCGGCGCTGTCGTCATGTGTATTCTGAACCCGGACCCGAGCAAGCGCGCCTCCTCGGCTTCCGGGCCAGAGACGGAGACAGAGGAGACACAATCCCTGAAGGACTTCCTGCGCGCGATCGGCGACGTGCGCGCGCTGATCGAAGAGGAGAGAGGCGGGATGGGCGACGTCCCGGGGTTAGTGGTTCTGGTTGGACCGCAGGGGAAGGCCGCGACGCAGACTCAGAGTCAGAGTCAGAATACAGACACGGACACGGGCCTGGGTATGGATATGGATGTTGGGGAGGACGCAGACGAGCCGTTCTCTATCCCCTGGTGGGAAGACCAGTTGTATGAGATGGGGATGATCGGGATGGAGGTTGTGAGTTGGGATCCGAAGGGTGGGAAGGAGATGGAGGAGGTGAGGAATCAATTTGGAGGTGCGTTTGTTTATCCCCCTTTCCCTATCCACATGCTGCTTGACTGCTATTTCCTGATGCCAGGGACGATGATTGACATGCAAATAGAGTATCAAGGCATGCGGCGCATTCGAGAAATTCTCGAGACGCACGACTGGGCGCCGTCGTCGCTTTCCGACGACGAGGAGGACAAGGATGACCCTGAGGGTGATGATATCGAGAAGATGCTGCTCGGGGCGGAGGACGATACGGGCTTTGGGCTGGAGGTTGACGAGCTGGAGCGCGAGATGGTGGGGTTGCGGTTTGCCATTGAGCGGGGAGGAGGGAGTGGGAGGGAGGATTCGCAGGATGAAGGAGACGACGAGTTGAGGGTGGATGCGGTCGAGGCGTTGATGTTGCGCATGGCTGCTATTAGGGGTATGTTCTCTTATCGCCTCTTCTCCATGGTCTAAACCCTGCGTGCTGGGTCTTTACTAGGTGACTGACTGCTACAGATATGAGTGACGACTTACCCGAGCATGAACGCAAACGGTTCGCAGCGAAGGCTGTACGAGATATCATGAAGGAGATCTGATTCATAGTATATAGTGACCTGGATAGCTATTATGATTAACTGTACTACTAACTACGATTATCATTAGTATGATCTATACACATTCCACAGTCAACAGTCACTTTCCCCTAGCCAGACATCAGAGTTCAGACATCAGACAGACATCCCATTCCATTTCTACCCCATATCGACCGAAAGCTCTACTCAGCCTTCTTCAGCACCTTCTTGCGCTGCGCAATCATATGCGTGTACAGAATATACGAGCCTACTTCATTAGCTTGCATTCCTCGATCAATTGCCCCGCAGATAAAACATACCAGGAACATAGATGCCCAACACGGCGATCAAAAACCACCGATACAGCGGCTCGAATTCACCCGCCGGCGCGAGCGCCTTGACGACAAGCACACACTCGCTCGTGATACCCAGGGGATAGAGGACGTAGAAAGTGTTATATCTGCAATCCGTGTCAACAATGTCCCATCTCCCAGCACCGGATAACAATGGGGGAAAACAAACCTCAACCAAGTCCACCACCCGGGGACCCCCGTCCCCAGGACCTGCAACGCAAAGAACCCGTACCGGATACACTCGGTCACGCCCCAGGCCGTGAGGCAGCCCAAGAACGCCGCATCGCCGGTCTGCGCGCCCTGCTGCGCATTGCCCACAATGTCGCCGCCAAACAGGTACAGCACGCCCCAGACGACTAGCAGGCGGCTGGCGACCTGCATGGCGGTGGTGAAGATGGGCGCACGCACCAGGCCCAGTAGGCTGTGCAGGATCTCGAGCGTGGCGAGGCTCTGCGTGATGAGGAGCGCGGGGAAGATGTCGGTGAAGATGGGGGGGAGGGCGGTGTTGGCGATGCTCGTGACCGTGTCGATGCTGATGGCGCTGGGTTCGTGGCGCGCGAGGGGCAGGATCACGCTTGTGGCGAGCAGGTAGATGCCGCGCAGGGTGCAGCTGGCCCAAAGGGTGAAGCTGAGCGCATTGTAGAGGATGAGGTATAGGCGGGTGAGGCCTTTGGGGCCGGAGCGTTTGGGGGTTTGTTGTTTGGGAGGCATTGTTTTGTTTTCTGTTTTGTATCGAGTGGTGTAGAGGATGGGGTGTGGTGATGGGGTTGGTGATGGAAGAGCAGGACTGCTGGATTGCAGCGCGCGAGGTCTTAACTCTTGTCCCTGGACGCGGTCATGTTGAATCGAATTGTTGAGGTTGAGGATATGTGCTTATGTAAGGCGTTTGTTCCGAGGCTGTTCGAAGGGCGGCCTGTGATTGGCCCGTCGATGGACTGTTTTTGAATCGCATTTTGGGTGGTTCTGCGGGTTTATGCGCGAGTTAGAAATTAGTACAGAGCAGTATAGAGTACTCGGGTAGTAGGTAAGGCTCAGTCGATGTCACGTGTATGTTCTAGATCCAGGATGGATTTCTACTTCGGCCATGCATCGGTAGCCAGGTCGATGGGATTCCGGCATAAAGGCCAGACCATTAACGGTAGGGATGATGAAGCCACCTCGGCGTCGCTAAATGAGACCATTCCATGATGGGCCCCTGTCGTGAGACGGTCCTGCTCTTAACGGAAAGAGTAATCGGAGTCGGCCAGTAAGCTGACTTTCCCGCCAGCCCAAAGTCACGCGAAAATAAAATGAAAGTACGACGTCAGGTGACCGGGCATGCCGGGTGATGTCATGGCGAACAGCGGCGCATCAGAATCACCCGCAGGTGGAAGGATTCAGCCCACCGACATCATCCGTGGCGGTATCCAGATTGAAGTCGGCGGAGGAGTATAACTATAACTATATAACCAGCCCGTCAACCGGGGACCGTTGGAATGCTTATCCTGAATTATCTTTGCAACGGTGGACCGAGAGTGTCTTCCAAGAGTGGAGCGACACGAACAGATGGTTAGTACTCCGCAAGAGTATCTATCTGACAGTTTGTCTAGTCTCCCCTCACATCTCGTGTCCTCCTTACTCCTTTCCTCCTTAGTCCTTCCACCTGGTCAAGTCTCGCCCGCGAAGTGTCTGGAAGGCGGCCCAAGCTTCGCCGCTCTTGGCACGCACCCGCCAACGTCAGCGGCGGCCGCGGATTGGCGGCTGACCGGCCCCGCTCTGATGTCATCGGGAAAGTGCCGCTCCCTGATAGGCCGGAGCGAAGAACCAGACCCAAGCAGACCTCCTCGAGTTCATGGCTCGCCTTTATGAACCCCACGATTGCCCGGGTTGGAAGGGCCAAAACGGATTTGTTTCTCTGAAATTGCAGATGCCATCATATGCCGCAGGTTCCAGCCTGAGCGGTCGGCCGTTTTCAAATGCCTAGGGGCTGGCAGCCGGGCATCCCATTACGGCATTGCCTAGGGAGCCTTATGACATCGTCTCGGCCCAGTTGAACCGTCACCCCGCAGTTGGAAGGGCTGGCTAAAAATTAAACCATTCTTTTTATTATCCTTTTTGTGATTGACTCGGGTGGTATCCCTTGTCTCGCCTCCTGCCGCGGGCAATCCGGCCGAGCAAACTCCAGGACTAAATTTGGACCGGTCCCTGAGGGGCCAGAACCTCGCTCGGGGAACTGGAAAAAAGGTGAGAACGGACAGGGTCCAGCGGCAGTGATCGGGGTGGTTGGTGTGCACCATCTCTCGGGGATCACGATACCTGAAACCTGTCCTCCGTTGGTCATCCTTCGCGGAGTGACACCGTCATCGGATTTTTTCTTTCCTTTTTTTTTTTTTTTTTTTTTTTTTATCTCTCTTCATTTTTCTTTCCTTTTGTCCACCCGAGCATGAGGCCAGATGAACTCGGAGAGGTCCGAACGCCTACCACGGTGAAGAAAAAGGTTATCTAATATACTCCGTCCTCTTCATCATGGGCACCTCCCCACGTGTGCGGCGTCGTCATTGGCAGGGTCAGCTCCCGATGATGTAAAGCGATTAGTAAGAGCCCGCAGTTCGAAGGGTGGGTGGGGAAGGGCGGGCTGGCCAATCAGTCCAGCGAACGCGATCTCCGTCGACGTCAGAGGTGTGGTCCGATGATTTCAACGCGCATCCCACACAATCAAAGTGGGGATTTGCCTTCGTCGGTTTTTGGCCCTACACAACGCAGCAATAATCTCGCGGTGGATTCCTTCCTCCCGCAGGTTCTCCTCGAGAATGGTCTGTTCAACAGTGCACGCTAATCAATGGAGTAAAAAATAGAAAAGAATGTCTCATGGGGAAATGTCAGGATGAGTTTTTCTTTTTTTTTTCTTTGAAATGCATGATGAGAATTGGTGTGACTGTTTGTCTTTTTTTTCTCTCCTAATGGTTCCCCACAAATAACAGACCAATCGGTTGCCCTGGTTTTGGTGGGATGTTTAGCATGTCTTTCAGAAAAAAATCCAGCAATGACGACGTTATGATACATCGCAATCGCCAACCTCACGCCGTAGATGTATAGGGGACTAGGGAGCTTAAGACTCCAATACTCCGTATGCACTCAATCTGAAAATAGCCACTCCCTCTGGAATCTCCTACACCACATCTGGAGGCTGACGGCGCGTCGTTCTTATACTCGCCTTTCTCCCGGACCAAATCGCAGGGGGTGGCCGGATTGATCATCATCGGTCTGCAATGCGATTCCCCACCAGTCGAGCTTCCATTCTCCCCCTTCTATACCGACCTTATTAGGCGCAGTCCACTTGGTCGGTGTCCAATGAGGTTGACCGCCTCTTGTGAATCTGTCCATGAAGCAATCCAGAGTACGGTGATTGAGATCGAGGGTTGACCGTACTGTCCGGGAGATGGGATAGGTATACTCGAAGGGTCAATGCCGATGTAAGAAAGCGATTTCCTTTCGTTCTGATTTGATTCCGACTGTCCTGCCAAACCCACGGTACCTGAAGGAGGCATTCAGAACGAGTCTCGGACGGCAAACCCACTTTGTTCCTCCCCTCCTTTCCTTTTCTTCCTTTTTTTTTTTTTTTTTCCCCTTTTCCCCTCCACTTTCTTTGGTTCATCGCCAACGCGCTTAAGGAGGGGGGTAAAAAAGAAAGAAAAAAAAATTTAAAATAAAAATAAAAACGGAAAGGAAAAAAGAAAAGAAGAAAAAAAAAGCCCGCCGATAAACCCGTCGGTTGCTCATTTTCTCTTCTTCTTCTCTGCTTCCATCGGCGTCACTCCTCTCGACTTCCCTCCTCCACTCTTCACACCCACCAGCCTAATCTAATCACCCTCGTCTTTTCTCCTTCTCGTCTTTCCCCCTCTTTTTTCCCTCCGTTCGAATTTTCTTTTGCCTTTTCTTTTTTTCTTTTTTCTTCTTTCCGCTTTTTTCTTTTCCTATCATCTTTTTTTATCTCGTCATTTTTGATACCGTTTATCTTCGGCTTAATTTGCAGCCTCATTCCGCAATATACCCGGCGTTGGGGCGAACTGGCATCAATCAGGTGGGAGAAAAAAAATACCCCTCGACGTGTGTTTCGGACGAACGAATGGATTCTCGCGCCGACGATGGATTTGCTTGCTTGCTTGCTCTGATTGATCCCTCCTTGCCGGCATGATTGGATGGGAATGCTGTCAAACTACCCCTCCTCGTTATTTGTCGTCGCCGGCGATGGATCGTGTACTTCTTTCCCTTCGACCTGACCTCTTCATCTTCCCATGTGGACCCATCATCCACTTCGGGCTGTGGCTGGTTGATATTGGCTGCCGGCCTTTGCTCTTCTCGCCCACCCTTCATTTCAACTCCCCTTGTTCCTCCCCTTCCGTCGAGATCAACCTGTCAGACCCGTTAGATTTCTTCCTCTTTGTTTGAATCTCCCCCCTTCTGCCTGTCCTTCCACCCCTGCTCGATCCGTGTGTGCCTTTCGCCACGCCCCCTCGTCTCTGGTGAATCCATCGTCTGCCCTACCTGACCCTGCCTTCTTGTAAACCGTTGCACTCTTGCCCTCCCCCCTCTCGTGTTGCCTCTTCCTTCCCTCGTCAGAGCACCTCTTCCCGCGTAATATCCTTATTGCGTAGGGCAACATGTTGCAAATCCAGTTCGAGTCGAGCTTCTGTAACGTTCGTCATGGATTCGTGGACTGTCAAACTGACCTCGAATTGTTGAATCTCGCAGATCGCTCTGTAATTTCAGTACTCGCGTGAACTTCTTAGAAGAACTCCCGGTGGGGATCCGAATCACTTAAAAAGAGAAACCCCGGAAAAGGCGACGAACTACGCGCCCAGTTCGTGACGAATATTCACCGTTCGGCAATCATCGGACCGCTACCACTTCAGGGCTTGCATCGGTTGTGAGGGGTGTTGTGTCCTCGTTACGAATCATCACCGCTCCAGGGAGACTCCCAGTTCACATATCTCACATCATGGCGCCGACCACCACCACCAAGACCGTGGAGGAAACTGTATGTCATCACCCTTTCAGGCTGTCATCCTCGGAGAAAGTCTCCGTGGGGTTTTCTGCATGGCTCGCTAACTGTCCTCCAGCCCAAGACCCAGTCTCCGTCTCAGTCGCAGTCGCAGTCTCAGTCTCGACCCCAGCCTCAGACTCAGCCGAAGGAGGAGGCCCCTCCCACCGACCTCGCTTCAATGACCGACCTCATCGACCAGAACACATTCGACCAGATCCTCGAGATGGACGACGACGACGACGACCGGGAGTTCAGCAAGGGTATCGTTTTTGGCTTCTTCGACCAGGCAGAAAGCACTTTTGAGAAGATGGAGAAAGCCCTGTAAGTTCTTCCTCTTATTTGTTTTGTTTAATTTTTTATTTTCCCCCGTGGATCCAATCAACCAGACCAACGCTGACAATCCAACAGAGAGGAAAAGAAACTGGCAGAACTGTCGTCACTCGGTCACTTCCTGAAAGGATCGTCGGCCACTCTGGGCTTGATCAAGGTCAAGGACGCATGTGAGAAGATCCAGCACTTCGGTGCCGGCAAGGACGAAACGGGCTCCACCGACGAGCCGGACGAGAAGGTCTCGCTGAAGAACATCGAGAAGACCCTCACCCAGGCCAAGAAGGATTACAAGGAAGTAGAGAAATTCCTCCGCAGATATTTCGGGGAGTCCTAAGTTTGTCTGTCGATGTCTTTTTTTTTTCTTCCTTGATTTGATCTCTTTTCCGATTCCAATCTCATTTTTCTTTTCTTTTTCACTTTTCTTCCTCTCCTTCCCGTCGCTTTTGGGTTGTTGAACATATGGAGAATTAGAAACGATGATATTTGTCTCTCTGAAACTGAATATACCATGTGCTTTCTTCTTCCTCTTTCCTTCATGAGCCCACCCGACAACTCAGAACAGTCCAGTTTGCATGCACAGCAATACATACCCCTCCCTCCACTTGAGCATGCTCTTGTTTCCAATATCTACCTCTACCTTCCCTTGCCATAACCTGAAAACATACCACCTTTGATCCAGCAGATCTGACGTCCTATTTTCTCTAAAAATTCTCTTGTTGGCCGCGTTTTAGTTTACCCAAGTAGGCATGAATTATGAGTTATGAGGTAGATGTCATTCCTAGGATTTATGCTGATGTCATGTAGAGTAGAGAAGTAGGCAAGTTCATCTTTCTTATGATCCTGCATGTACCTCTACCATAGGTCGGGCCAGAAAATGAATTACTCGTGCTCTGATAGGGAACACAAGTAGTGATCTGATCGATATGCCAGAGGTAGAAAGCTGTTGATAGTGTTTTATCTGCTAGGCACCAACTCAAACTTCTTAGACAGTCTTCCTAACTGTCTGGATCTAGCTAGTCACGTCACCTGTCGAGTTGGGTTTCTCGAGCCCCTCGCTTTACTTTAGAATATTAATTAAAAAGCATACTCGTCCTATATGTAGACTATTCAGGCTGAGGTTCAAGACTGTTTATCCTCTATCAAACTGATTTGTATACACGGTCTTCAAATGGTCATACCGCTACCTCTGCAGACATGATTCTCATCCATACGAATGATCCAACTGTACCACATCAGTTGTCTTCCGACTCTCCATCGAAACCTGCGGCATTAGTCTCTCCGTCGACATTGACGCCGAAATCTCGTCTTCGCTCGTAGTCAGCAACACCTCGAAGCGCGTGTTCGGCCACGTAGCCGGGTGACGTAGAAGCTTATCGCGGAGCCCGTCGAGTTGACACCCGCTGCGTCGTCGGGTCGGTTGCGAATCCAAGACATCGCACCCGGGATCCGACCCGGGATCCGACTCGTCGAATAGTAACTCGACGTGTTCCTGGTCTGCCGCGTCTGGGGTCTTGCGTACTCATATCCTAGAAGATCCAAAGACAGGCAGGCTATCACTGAACAAAAGCTCGTGTCGAGCAAATTGTATAACGACCGTTCCTAGTCTAGCGATAGTGGTGACTTCGGATTCGGCGGCTATCTGAAGAAGCAGCATGTTGTGAGTTTCCGACTCGACCGGGGACATGAGGTCTGCCTGAGATACGTTTTTTTGATACTAAAAGTCAAGATTATGATGGAGGCTGCAATCAGGATGAGGTGGATCGCACAGCGTCATAGAGCTGCCGGTATATACTTGGTGGTTATCCCTTTCGCAGGCTCCCTTTTATCAGGATACGAGGTGCTTGTGATTCAAGACGCATTATCGCTGTTAGATTTGTATTTTCGAAGTCACATCTCACGCGCAAGAATCTTGGTGTCATGCCAAAGACAGGGATTAGCTCATATCAAGGAGGTTATGGGTTTTAACGGTAGCCTTGGAGTAGCAGGGTATTGCTATCCTGTCCTCCGGGCTCTTGACGTTGAGATTGATGCATGAGATAGGAGAGGACAGATGTTTGCTGCAAGTTGAGAATCCTAGTAGATGCTGAGCTGCGGTGGAGACGAGAGCCGGAAGCGGCTAGAGCGGCTCGGTCATTGGACGAAAGCGCGGAATCCCGGCCGAGGCCTCGCTCTTTCATTCTCCCTTCTTTCATTCTGCTTCCTTTCAATCTCCTTTCCTTTCGTTCTCCATGTCGAATCTATCAGATCATACGGATGGAATATCGCGCTATTCTCTATCGCCCCATTGAAATGTTTGGAACAGTTCAACGGTTTATTTAGCAGCTCATCTTCATTAACTGCCTGACCGACGGGCAATGCCAACCTCCGAATGCGCATGCGCGCCTCGTCTCGCCTCAGGCAATAGCGCCGACAATGTCAACCCGCTCGCCACAATTTCACTTTGGTAGATTCTCTCTCTCCGCGACTGGCGTCATAGTCTGCATCCTTTCGGTCCTATACCTTCTCTCGCTTGGCTACTACCACGGCGCCAGCTATCGTGATCCCACGTCCTACTTCTTCAATCCGAGCCTTGCTTACGAGAAGCTGTATTCATCCCACCGGATCACGGAAGCGGAGGCTTATCTGAGTGCGGCTGGCGACATTAAACCCCCGGCGAGACTCCCCGGAGGGAAGCCGAAAATCTGCGTCGGCATAGCGACGGTTCGGCGACGTGGGGACCAATATGTTGGCTTGACAGTCGCGTCCCTCCTGGATGGTCTCAGTGAACCCGAAAGGAAAAGCGTATTTCTCGACCTCCTTGTTGGAAATTCTGACCCCGCCGATCATCCGATTTACTCGGAGAAATGGGCAGAAACGCTTCCCGATCGCTTACTCACATACTCGAAAGACGATGCCGACTTCGAGCAAATACAAAAATGGGAGGAGGGCGGATGGTATCGAAATAAGTCTATCTACGATTATACGCATTTGATGAAGAATTGCTACGATACGGGGGCGGAATACGTCGCGATGATTGAGGATGATACCTTGGCGGTTAAGGGCTGGCTCCCGTCTGCCTTACGAGCTCTCGACGCGGCCCAGGAGCGTAGCGCTGGTCGAGACTGGGTGTATCTTCGTCTGTTCTATGTGGATGATCTCCTCGGCTGGAACTCTGAGGAATGGCCGAAATACTTGTTCTGGTCCCTGATAGTTTGGGCATTGCTCACGGGATCCATGGTGGCAGCCAAGAAAACCTTCAAGACGCAGCTCAAGTCCATACCAAACAGTGCAATTTGGATCACATCCGGGGTATTCATTCCCGCTGCCATCGCGCTCCATTTTATGGCAGGCCGACAAACAATGTGGCCCATGTCACCCGGTGTTCATGAGATGAACAAATACGGATGCTGCTCCCAAGGCCTTGTTTTCCCTCGATCCATCATCCCATCCTTCCTCGAACAGACCGACTTGGCCACTGATTGGTTGGTTGATATGATGATTGAGAAGATTGCCAACCGCGAGGAATGGACTCGATGGGCCGTGGTTCCGCCATTGCTACAACATATTGGCGCCACGAGCTCCAAAGGATACGGCTTTGACAATTCTGCAAAAACCATATGGAATTTCAAATTTGAAGAATACCCTTACTAGTACCGTTCAGAATGGAAAACCTGCTTCCGCCTCGTGAAATCCAAACCAGATAGTACAGATGGCGAGCGCTTGGTAGCCTGCCTCAACACGGCTATTGCAGAATAGATGCCAAGTCGTGTTGAAGCAATCACGTCGTTTGTGTGGGGTACATTTGAAATATCTCATAATTTCCTTTCACAATCCAGCCAGACTTGAATCCTTTGCGTATTGATTGTATCGCTACCTGGCCGACTCACCATGAAGACATATTTGATAACAGCAAGCCTTGCAATAGCCGTTATGGGCCTAACGCTTCCCAACAGGAGCGACGAGGCCACTCGCCTGCAGCAACTCTACTTCGGTCCAGTGATCAGCTTATGTGCTCAGAATTTGCATGATCGAACAACCTGCGAGATGGGTCTTCCTCGGCAAGGGAATAGGCGGAAGTGCATAGTAACCAACAATTGATCGTGAAAAACCGGTAAGTATACCAAATCTGAAACGTTGGTTCAATCTGTTTCTTACGTATGATATGTGAATATTGTTGCATTGTGGTCTTGTTTTGGAGCATATTGTGCGGCATTTTTGGCATGTAATGGACTGAGCTAAGCTAATGACTGGTGAGACAGGACGCAAGGTGCCTCGTCCTGCTTGTCTGAGTAATATACGATGCTATAGTCAGGCCAGTGAGCAAGAAGCCACGCGTCTATGGAGTTAGTGTTGCCGTATGCACCTCTTACATACTCCCTGACAGGCTTAACCAATCAACGCTCCCAGACTGAAATGTCAAATGCTGTTTACCAATCGGCATACGCTTAACATGGCGGTGGACGAAGTACCGAGGTTATCCCCGGAATCAACGAAGCGAAATACTGCTTGAAATGCGACAGAGGGCCCTGCATGAGCGGCTGGACAATGCGATTGACCGAAATCTTCCGAACCGGAGATCATGCAAGAACGGGCGCCTCACTCTCAGCTGATACAATGTGAGATGCGAGGGATTGTCGATCGGGGCTCAGCCAAGTTTATCGAAATATTAGGTTTGGCATGCCAGGCCACCTACTCAGAGTGCTTGTGGCTTACTGGCGGCTATGTCCGTCCGATGTGTCGAGTAGGCTGTCTGACAGCCACTATGCTGCCAGGAGATAGACACTATATGGGAGAACGACGTACCGCAGTGACTTCTCGACCCGTACAAACTAATGGGATCGAAAATTTACTAGTCTAATGTTTTTATTTTTCGGTATATACTCCGAGGTTAGATCGAGGCAAGGGGATCAAATCTTCTCTTTGATCTCAGCTGTTTTTTTGATTGTCGAATGAGGATGGATGTCCTATGAATAAGTTCAATTCCAATCATCGTCCTCGCCTGGGTTGCACTTTTTGGCAGTCAATCTTTCTCGACTTCCTTGTTCACTCACCTGTTCCTTTACGTCCATCTACCCGTTGCAGAATGCCGTCATATGCAAGGCATTTCTCGAATCTCGTTTTCAGATCATGCATGTCCAGCCCCCCTCCTCTCAAAAAATAAATAAAATTCAAACTTTTCATTCTTACAGCACTAGCGTGATGTCATGATCTCATCTACAGCCGTCACACCATCTCCCCGCCATCCCTCTACCTGTCTATGCTGCTGCCACTACTGCATCTCCGCATCTACTGATAGATGCAAGCTGACGTTCTCAGGTCAAAAGTCTCGTGCGGAACATGCCAGGACGCGCGTCCTGCTCGGTGCCATCTTCAAAGCCCTGCCTTTCTTTTTCCTATGCCAGGCTCAGCTTCTCTTTCCGAACGGCCGCCTCCAGATCGTCATATGGACAGTGCGCAGTCTCGTTCTTATCCAGTAGGAAGTACTGTCTACTTTCGGTGGTTCCCTCACGCGCGTAGTCGCTGATGTCAGGGCTGTGGGGGATTTCATCGTACTTGTCGACAAGACCACGCACAGTGCGGGTGGCTGACTCACGGTAGCGTGGGTCCTTGAAGATGATATCAAAGATCATGCGGGGCTGGTAGATCATGGCAAAGTTGGGGGCGCTGCGAGACCGACGCTGCTTGTGGGCCGGGGTTTGGACGGCAAAGAAAGCCTCGAGGCCGTCGAAGTTCATGCACCATTGGCGATTCTGCGTGTCGTGGGGGATCTTCTTGGGCCAGGGCTTGGGGTCGAGCTGACGGAGACGCTTGAGGAAGGACCAGAAGATCTTGTGGTATTCCTCGACGGAGCGTTCGATCTTGGGCGGCGGGCACAGGAGTACGAGCGAGATGTTGCGACCACGGCTCTGGAGAATCTTATGGTATTCGACAATGGCTTTGGCTCCGACCTTGGCAATCTCGAGGTTGTTCAGGTCCTCGGATTCCAGGAAGAGGAAGTCGAGCTCATTGGCCTTGTATCCTTTGGTACCATAGATACAGGGGAAGATCTTGTCCTTGGCGACGAGAGCGCCGGTGAAGTCGTCATAGGCTTTGCGCTGCCAGGTGCTCTTGTCGTACTTCTCCTCAACTTGGTAACTGGCGTTTCACATGGTTAGTTGGATTATGGGGGAAACCGGGTCTGAATGGAGTCGAACCGGTCAAGAAGCTCCACCGAGACCTGACCCAAAAGTCTGTTTGCCTTCGCAACACGGGATCGTCCAAACGAGAACCAATCCGAAAGGTCCGACTGAATCTGGGACAAGTTGCTCAAAAGAGGCTTGAGAAAGCCCTGGGGGTTGTGAACTTTGGAAACCACCAAGCCCAGGAAAAAGGTGAAGACGTGAGTTATGAGGACCACTGAAAACGGTTCCATATTGATCGGGGGAAAAGGGAAACAGCCCAAATACAGTCAAACAAAGCGAAGAGGAAGTTGATCTCTGACGAAGACTTGATCTGTTAATCTGAGGTTGATGGATTCCTGCGAATCAAGCCAGAGAACAAGCCGACTTTATACCAGACGCCCTCGCCATCGGGCGTTTTTCGATGATGCCATGCTGATATCTCGGCATCAACCCCAGACTGCCATATCGGGCAATTGGTTCGCCATTGCCTATGTTCAGGTGCACCGGGCTTGAAATCTGGGTCTCCCTTGCAGCGAGCAAACGTGTGAGCAATGAAAATTACATTCTTCACTCCTCTTGGCCCCGAGATTTTATGACTTGTAGTCGAGTGAGCTGTTTGTACGGGGCAATGATCCACCCGGGCTCTATCTTGATTCATTGCTCTCGGTTCTTCTACTCCTTACTGGGAATATCTCAGCCGGAAAAGATTCTTACATCTGAGCCTATTGGCAGGTTGGGATCCCGACCGGCGGTGTTACAATCAGGGCCATAAGCCGCCCCCAAAACTTGGATGCCCTCCAAGGGCACCGTTGCCTTTGCTTTGTGCCGCAAGGAGCGAGAGACGATCTGAAGATGGCGTACGTACCCATATGCGATCTCCAACCCGAGGTGTGCGCTGGAACGTGTAATATGTCTCAGCCAGACCGGCACTACACTCCTTAACGTTGCACATGCGCCGTGGAATGCTTTCAAGGGCAATGATAACACTGACTCGACCCACTATCCAATAACAGTCTTCGACACTGGAATGATCCTTTCCAATATTTCCAGAACTGTCCCTACCCACTCAGAGCAAGGGAATGCTCAGCTGAGAGGCAGCGAGAGTGAGAAAGAAATGACGAAGGGCTCAATTCAGTTGGAGGCTCTTGTTGACAGTTCGTCATTCGAGTCTGCCTCTCCCTCACTTCTATCCAACTAGCCCTAGCAATCTGCCCGGAAGGTAGGCTATTTGAGCATGTCTCGTCCCCTGCGCCTCGATGTCGCCTTCATTCTCATCTACTGGCCCTTAAGTCCCCTCAAGTGTCTTTTGGTTGGCTACATCCAAGACTGCAACAAAGATGACTGCACTCAACTCTTCCACCGGAATAGCAATCTTACCCAATGACGGGGACAGCTCTGCAGATGACGAGTACCAGGATGCGCTGCGTCAGCATGGGCTCATTCTGAATGAAGCCGGCTTCGTTCGCTGGGAGAACAGCAACCCTAAGCATCCAAGAAACTGGAATCCAAAGCTCAAGACTTACGGCACCATCGTTATTCTCTTGCTTGAGTTCATCACCAGCGCTGTCGGCACAGCAGGCACAGCGGCCGCGCAGAAGATGCAGAACGACTTCTCCGTCGATCTTGGGCTGTCTATCTTCTGTCTCACCTCGACGTACATGATCGGCCAGGGGGTTGGCGGTGTATTCTTCCCGCCGTATTCGGAAATCTGCGGCCGCAAGACCCTATACATTGGATCGACAATAGTGTACTGCGTCTTTTCGGTCATCACGGCGGCCGTCCATGCCCTTCCGGCCGTCATCATTGCCCGGTTTCTGTCCGGGTTAGCGTCTGCGGTCCCCACGATCGTGGTGGCGGGGAGCATGGAGGACATGTACAATATGAAGGCGCGGGTGTGGATGATCTTCGTCTGGGCCGTCATTGGGAATGCGGCCGTCTGTGTCGGTCCTATCTACAGTGCTTATGTGACCCAGAACATGGGATGGTTAGTTCTAACCCATTCTCTGGCGAGGATTCCGTGCAGAGGGCTGACTTCAAATCTAGGCGCTGGGTTTTCTACCTGGCGGCTATCGGGCTGGGCATTCTTCTGGGATTCTGTCTGTTCCTGCACGAGACTCGGCCCAGTCTTCTGCTTGAACGCGAGGTCGCCATCCTGCGCAAGTCCCAGCCCGGTCGAGACATCAAACCTCTCAACCCGGACAAGACCCTGGACTTTAAGACCATGATCACCGTGACCTGCATCCGACCGCTGCGGCTCCTGCTCACCGAGCCCATCATCATGACGGCGTCCTTCATGGGTGCCGTCGTCTGCGCTCTGTTCTACCTCCAGGCCGAGTCCTTGCCCCTGGTATACGAGGCCTACGGCTGGCGGACGGCCACAGCGTCGCTGGGCTTCGTACCCGTCCTGCTGGGCTGCGGGATGTCCACGTTCGTACGCTTCTACGACCAGCACTACCTGGAGAAGATCGCACGAAGCGGACGGGCCATTGAGCCCGAGGACAAACTGACGGGGTTCGCCGTCGCGGCACCCTGTCTAGCCGGCGGTCTCTGGCTCTTCGCCTGGACCACCCCCCCACTGACACAGGTCCACTGGATGGTGCCCATGGTGGCGCAGTTCTTCATCGGCTTCGCGCTCAACGAGTGCGTCTACACGCTGACGGGCTATCTTGCCGACAGCTACACAATCTACGCGGCGTCGGGATTCGCCGGCCTGGTCCTCGTGCGCGCCTCGACCTGCGCCGTCGTCCTGCCCTTCACACACCCCATGTACGTCAACCTGGGCTACAACGTGGCGACGTCGATCCTGGCGGCCATCGCCACGCTGTTCTGCGTGGCGCCGGTCGTCTTCATCAAGTACGGCAAGCGGATCCGCGAGGCGAGCAAATTCGCCCGGCTGAGCCTGACCATGTACCATGACAACAAGGTGGAAGGGGACGGAATGGATCAGAAGGTGGACGAGAAGATGGATTATGAAAAGTAGATTCGATCCAACCATCTCTGTATGTACAAACAGATACAGACCAATAGAGTAGAAACCCCTGGGGGGAAGGGACAAGAGCAGTCCCTCTTCCTAGGGTTTGTCGTACAGGGTACAAACGCCCTTTTTTTTCTTGCCTCCGAGCAAACTCCTTCTCGGACGAGTTGTTGTTGCGACGGAGGGTTGGTTACACGACAGGATGGGTGCAGATCGATGGATATAAATACGAATCGCTTTTTGTCATGATCCTTCGCATAACTGGCGGAGTGTTTGACGAGCGACCCCGACTCGGTGGAACAAACGGCAGTGGAAAACCGAGGCCGTTTGGACTCGATGTCACTCTCTGTATACTGTTTCTCCTCGATCTGTTCATGTTAGCAACCTTCCAGTCCGTCCATCCATACCCATTAGCCCATTGATTTCTGTCTTTCCAACCCAACCCGTACTTTCTGTCCATCCCTGTCCCTGCCACACCAATTAGTCCGTTCCAACCCCGGCACACCCAGCCTTCGTAGGCAGTGAACACAGTCCCTGTCGCTAACTCAGTCGAGTAAGTCGTCGTCACGGAGTCTCCACCGGCTACATACATTCGCTCCAGACACCGGACGTGTAAAAAGCCAAGTACGGTGGAGACTGGGACAAGACCAACGGTCCTGCAGACGGCTGGCTTTGCAATTCGTTCCAATCACCGCTAGAATTCTGCCTGCGGTTATGTACCGGGCCGTGCTGGGTAGTTCTTTTTTTTCCTTTTTTTTTTTGTTTTTTTTTTTTTTTTTTTTTTTTTTTTTTTTTTCTTTTAGTGGAACTTGGTTTTATTTATTTTGTTTGGAGGAGGGAAGAGGGGTTTGGGCTTGCGTTTGGGTTTTTGGGTTTGGTTTGGGTTTACCCTGTCTTGTCCTCGAGTGACTTGACGTGATTTGATATTTGGTTTTGGTGCGCTGCGGTTTGATTGCTTGATTGTCTGTCTGGCTGTCTGGCTGTCTTGGTCCCGTCCCTCGAGGGAGGCGAGAAAAAAAGTACTGTTTTCCTTTTTCGTCGAATCCAGACTCTTTTTTTCTGTCGTGTGCAGCAGCATGTGCTCTCGTGGGAGAATGTAAAATACCCTGCCCAGACTGTAGATGTAGATGTAGATGTTGACTGTACTGTAGTATATCGGCCTCAGCCCATTCACATTAGCTGATGATAGAGGTAGGTCCTGGTACTTACCCTTGCCCGTTTACATTCCATGCTGTGTCACACGGGAGAATTTTCGACTTTGACCTCCTAGGATGCCATAGGAAGTCAACATTTGTCAGGAATGGGTACGTACATACAGACGTGAACTGACAGATTCATGGATTCATGGAGGTGAGGTGAGTGAGGTGAGGTGGATTGGATGGTGGGTTTTGGTTTTGGATTTGATTTCGGAGGGGTTTTTTTTATTTTGGATTTATTATTTATTCTTTCTGTTTTAATTCTATTTATTCGGGTTGGTCGGTCTTGTACTTCTGTCTTTTGTGATTTTTTTTTTATTTCTTAAGTCTGGTGGGTTGGTACTTCTTCCTTTTCTTTTCTTCTTTCTTGTTGTGAACTTCGCTATCCAGCATTTCTCTGTTGCTATTTTCCTCCCTGGCTGCTTGACTAGCTTGACTACCTACCGATCTGTTTACTTGCTCAGCTCAACCAGTCAGCGATGCCCCCCGTAGGCCCGCGCGCCTCCAAAGAGGAATTCATGCAGGCGTTGGGCTTGAATTCGCAGAATCCGCAGCATGAGCAGTACTATCGCGCGATGAGGGTGCGTTATGGTCTTTCCATTATCTGTGCCCGTTGTTCATATTCATATCCATATTTATATTTATACATATACAATCCCACATCTATCTTTTTGATATCCCCCACAAGAAAGAACCACAACAGCAGAAAAAATCTGACTATAATATAATACAGGACGTCGCCATCATCATCTACAACCGGCTGAACGAAAACACCTCGAACCTGCTCGACAGCGTCGCCACGGACCCTGCCACGCGCCCGCCGTTCTTCTGGCACCACATCCGCCCCGAGCGCCAACGCTGGGGCATCATGGAGATCGTCGCGCACGCCGGTCCCCTGACCGAGCCGTTCTTTGCGCGCGGCGCCACCGCCGGCGAGTACGGGCCCAATTGGGTCGCCGGGTGGTTGCTGTACAGCGTGTTTCGGTCCCGCGATGTGCGCAATAATCGGAATCGGAGGAAGGGGGAGGAGCAGGGTATGTTTTTGTTCGTTTTGTCTGGTGTTGTGCTTCTTTGGAGGGTGTTGGCTGATGTTTGGTGCAGGGCAAGCGGCGAAGATGTCGTCGAAGTCGAAACAGGATGAGGGTCCGCCGAAGAAGGAGTATTATGATCCGGTGAGGAATGGGTGAGGATGGTTTGGATGAGAGTGAAAAAGAGAGAAAAAAACACATGGGACCGAGAATGGAGGAACGAAGAGGAGGCATTGTCTTGAGCCTGAGGCTGTTTTATCCAATACACCATTAGTTATCGTGATCGTCGCCATCCGGGTCGTCTTTCTTCGATCCATTCTTGTGCGTGCGTTCCTTCTTCAGCGCCTCCGTCACGCGCTCGTCTTGCTCGTCTTTCTTCTCGTCCCAGTAGACGTCGTACTCGGCGGCGATGAGCTTGATTTCCTTGCGCAGGGTGTTGCCCTCGTCGATCAGCGACTCCCAGAGGTTCAGATCCACCCCTTTCGCCTGGTACAGCTTTCGCTGCCGCGCGTTGATCGTAAAGTCCAGTGCGGACCGGTACGAGATCTCCCGATTGTGGTAGAGAAACCAGAGATAACCGCCCATCAGCGTCGTCAAACTGACAAGATAGGTCACCGGCTCCATCGTGTCCCAGCCCAGATCCGTCTCGAATGTCAGCTTGTACACGAGATACCACCAGAACGAGAGGATGCCGAATCCGCCGATCGCCACGCGCTGAGCGCCGCGATGCGCCAGCGCGTCGCACTCGTGCTTGATCTCCGCAATGCTCTGGATCTTGCGCGAGATATTCCGCAGGCGCATGCGCAGGAAATGCGTGCGCTCGTCAAACGCAGGAACCGCCACGTGGATCTGGCGCAATCCCCCCGGCGAGCCCTCGATGCTGACGATGAACTCCCGCGCGCGCGACGCATCCCGGATGAAATCGCCCACCTCGGTCGACTGCGACCACCGCACGAAGCGTTCCTCCTTGGACGCCTTGCCGGGCGCCGTGCGCCGCAGGTAGCTGAACGTGTCGTCATCTTCTTTCGGATCGCGTCGCGACTCGCGACTCTCGTCACCGGAGTCCAGCTCCGCCAGTCGACTCACCTCCGAATCGGTCTCCTCGTACATCGGCTTCTTGGGCCGGATGGCGTTGTCGTCGATTTGCAGCGCGATGAACGATACCGTGGGAGAGCGCAATTCTCCCGTGTGCGTATTGATCTTGGGAACTTCATTCTGAATGAGCCTTTCGAGATACGACAACGGTTGTTGCGGATGAACCAGGATAGCAATGGGCTCGAAATCTAGGCCTGTCAGCTACCGACCATCCATCATCTCACCAGGAGAGAAAAACCCACCCATATGCTTCTTGTTATGATGAGCCGTCGGCAACGGAATCAACAGCTTGAACAGTCTCGACGGCGTCGTCAACAATTTCCCTACATTCCTCAACCCGTTAGCCGTCATCATCACCCACTCGCCACACAATGCAATCCAATAACCAGAGTCCGAAACATACCATTCGTCATCGCATCCTCAATCTTCTGATTCGACCGACCCGGCCCAGACCCATTCTTCGCCCGCTGCGTGCGATCCCGCTCCTTAATCTCCAACCGCTCCAGATGCTCCTTCGTCTCCTTCTTATCCTCCTGCTTGATGTCCCAGGGCGCCGCGTACCATCGTCTCTGCTCAATGGCAGGGATCCGAGGACTGCGAGACAGACCCTTCGTCTGCACCGGGAGGGCGGAGGAGAGGCAAGTCAATGCCGTCAACGAATACGAGGCGATGCCTCGAGTCCGGGTCGCCCCCGGACAGACGAGACCCAGCCCGCAGCCGGGACTGGCAGCGAAACCGAAAGCACGGATGGACCGCATTATGGGGCGGTCATCGGCGGACGAAAGAAGAGCATGAGCATGTAGATGGCGAGGGATCGTCAGGGACCGGGGTTTGGGGACGAGATGCCAAGATAGAGGTTAAACAGGTATAATAGGCAGTCGAGTAGGTAGGACAGGATAGGATGTCAGGCTAAGATAGTAGGGGGGTTAGTTGACTGGAAACAATCAAGGAAAGAAGGTATATAACGAACCTGGCCAGACCGGACGAGAGCCATTGCTGGCGGATGGCATCATCCACGGTCGAATGCCTTGTTGGCGGCGGCAAGGAAGACCCCCGACGTCATGCTGAGTCAGCGGGCGGGTCGGTCTATTCTTATCCTTTCCTCTGCGCTGCGGATTGTGTTGGCGCGGGTGACATGTCGATGATGTCGTTTTGTTCCTGGATTCGAGATGGTGTGGATCGGAGTAACTCTGTCTTGGTGTGCTACGGTAGCGTCGATGGCTGGTGTTGTTCTCTAACGTGGTACATGCATGTCTGATAGAACTATATAAATCATCCGCCAACTAATCCTACTAGACATGTCTTGCAACTTTCGGTACCTACGAACAGCAGATACTACCACCTGTACAATTCTAGAGACCATGAACCGGACAATTCCTGTCAAAGACTCGACAGAGCACCAGTCACAGCGCAAAAGGAGGGTCAGCTGTTGGCCAGCACTGCCGTCCGTCGCACAGTCACGGTATACATGTAGGAGCCTGACTGGGAACAAGGTAACACCCGGAATCAATAGCCGGCACTGGGTCACCGTGATTCATTAGGTAGGTACTAGGTATGGTATTCTCTCATCTTCATTCTTGTACAAACTTGGCCAGGGAAGGGGAAGGGTCAAGTGAATTGCAAAATTCCGCCGAAGATAGGAAGAAGATATGAAGCACAGAGCAGACATGAGGCGAAAAAAAAAAAAAAAAAAAAGACAGAGAAAAAAAGACTGCTAGCCACCACTGATAAATTTATAATCATATCGCATTCATTCTGTTCTGTCATCCACGCGTTGAAATCCGGGAGAGTCGCACCATGTGGTCAATGCGAGAAAATAACAGATACATGAAAATAAACAACAACAAAAAAGGGGGAGGTGTCGATCTATCTGGATATTCCGAGTCGTGTCATAATTCGTAACGTCATCAAAGTTTTTTTTTTGCCGATTCTTTTCTTTTCCCTCCTGTGGCGACTGCGTGTTTTGTTGAAACCAGTGAACGATTATTTCTCGACCAGGACGATGAGCAGGATTTTATCTACGGGCCACGGCTTTCGAATGCCAAAGCCCTCGACGGCCCGACGGGTCGGTCACGATCGATTCGCCCGCCCTCGTAGCTTTCAGGGCTGCTGCCTCCGCTCCTGCTCTCGCCGCTGGTCGAGATGTCGGTGTCGTCCCCATAGCGAGGCTTTCGACCGGTACCGATCGCGACCGGAATGCCCTGGACCACGCCGCCGTGGTCGTGACCCGCCGGATACATGCCGTCGTTGACGGAGAAATTGCGGCAGATGAGGTAGGCCCGCATCGCTGCGCCTTCCCGAGCCAGGGTCTCGTTCTCGCAAACGATATCCGTCTGGTACTCACGATTGTTGACGCGGACGGTGCAGGTGAATCCGGATGTGCTGGCATAGGATTCGTACTGGGGTTCTGGCCAGCGCCGGCGTCGGCAGAGACCTATACACCTGGTTATTGGTTATGCTCTCTCGATTTCTGAGATGGTGCATGATTCGGAGTCAAGACACGCGGGTGCCCGTCCCGCCTCCACCCCCGGAGGTTCCAAACAGATCAATGCGGGCATTGATAGGGGAATTCTAGACGATTGATCCCAACTGGATCAATGCCTGTTCCTGATCTCTGCAGTGATTTGCTCTTGCGTTTGCTTCTTTATTTAGAATCAGGGACGCAGCGAAATCGGGCAAATCAAGGACAGGAAGACATTGCACAAGATCCTTGGAGCCAATGGGGCAACAAACGGAGATCATCTGAGGGAAAACGGGGGCGTAGATGGGGACAGGCTTTGAACAAAAGGACCCTACATACTGGCAAGGTAGAGAATATAGTACATCGTCAAAGGATCGGGTGGATGCCCAATGGAATGTAAGGGGCCGGGGCGGTTCGAATCACTTATTCGCTGCCTTGGATCTGTCGACACTGCACAGTATCCTGGCAATCACACAAGAGGCATTGAAGCAAGCCTACTATGTGAACAGCGTTTGTTGATGCCCAATGGCCACGTTCCCATATGACGAGCAGCGAAGCGGTGATTCCGGTACGGTCAAACCCCTGGCCCTCGTGGGAACGGTCAAGCTTCGTATAGCTCGGGGACAAACAGAGACTGAGAACCGTGGAAATTGGAGGTTGGGGGAATGATGGAAGACCAGTAGTATACGCTACAATGACAGAAAGAAAGGCAAGAGCCACGAAAATAGGGATTAACAAAAAAGAAAAAGAAAGACGAGGGCGATGGTTCTTCCTGCTAGCCCTAGGTATAACCAGCTCAAATAAACGAGTGGGGCTCCATTGAACAACAATTCAAGACTGGCTTCGAATAGTCCACGGAAGAAAAAGGGAAAATGAAAATTAAAAAATTAAAATTAAAAAAAGGGCCCAGAAAGAGGGCAAAATAACGGCCTCAAGCGGTGCAATTGAGCAGCTCCACCCAGATTGGCGGAGGAAAAGCCAAGTAACAGGCGAATTCCATAATCCATTGCGGACCCCTCGAGGCCATTAACTTTCCATCGTCTCGACTCGTTTCTTTTTGGGCGAAGGGAAAGACGGACAAGCGTTGAAACGCTGATGTGCTGGCATGGCTCCTTGCCAGTGATCCAACACTAGGAGATCCTCCATCTGCCACGGTGTAATTCGCCGCCGATCCAGGCGGCTCGGATTGGCATTGTCGAATGCCAGAGCAAATCGTCATTCTCTTTCTCCCTGCAGAATGGATAGAAGTCGGTGATCTGGCCAGGGAGCGATCCTGGCGTTTTCTTTTCCTGGTTCTTCCTTTGTCTTTTTTTTTTTTTTTTTTTTTTTCTCCCCTTTCTTTTTCCGGCGCCTTCTTCGGACTGTCGAGAAGCCCGTTCAATTAATCCCCGCAGTTTGTATCCAGATTTCATGGAATGAGAATCAATAAGAATCCCAAGCTCTTTTTTGTTTTTTTTTGTTTTTTTTTTTTTTTTCTTTCTCATTCTTACTCCTTCCACCCCTAACGTTGTGAAAGGCCACTAATGCATACCATAACGATTCCAAGCTAGAGAGGGGGCTCATGTCGCGCGAAATTCCAGAAAGAAAAAGAAAGCATGCCCCGGGATGACTACGATCAGACAAAGGCTCAACTCCGTGGCGTTGAGACCAGCGCGCACCGCCAATGATAGAGGTCGCCACAATCGAATCCGGGTCGTAAAGTAACGTAGGAGACGATCGCCGTGGACCAACGACCGCGTTCGGTACTCGGTAGAGACTCCGAAAAGAAAGAGGGAGAAATCAAAAGACACAGGTCTTTTTTCTCTGCGCTGCGCTGCCCCTCATTTCTGGTCCTCTCGTCTCATTCTTGCAGGATGGACCGACCGGCGAGTTCCCATTGCCTCGGGATCAAAATCCTTTGGCAGACGGAATGACTGGGATCCATTGCTTGGACTCCATCGAACGAAAGCAGTCCAGGTCCAGAGCACAGTCCCTGACTGACACCCCCGACAGAGCAGAGAACCGTGGGACGTTTCATTCCCCGACGGATAGAAAAGGATCGTCTGGCTCTGGATTCTTCGATTCCTGCGTTTGACGGATCGGCGGCGGATTGGTCCAGCCCTTTTTTCTGGTTCGTGGTTGACAGGCAGGCATCGGATGCACTGATGAGTTGGCAGCTTGTCGCTTCGTGCGGCGGGGAATCCATGCCACCTTGACACGAGAGAGGCATGGAAATAATCACCACCCTGCCGATTGATTAGCCACAGATGCTTTCGGGGAATTCGGTTTCGATTCTGAAATTGCACCACCCTCATTCTTTTCCCTTTTTACCCCGGACTGCAGCGGATTCCTCGGTGGCTGCAGGTCGGTGCCTTCTTGTTTCCCTTGCGGGGCGGAGGGCAACCGGACTGTGGCTTGTCCATTCATTTTATTTCTAGGGGATTTTTCTTTTCCTGTCGCTGTCTATTAGAGGAATTGAGATGGTCGTAATGACTCAACAGTGGATGGAAGTGCATGGTGCCGATGGATGGATGGATTGACTGCTAGATGGACTGAGGGGAAATCGCCGGCGTCGATGAAAATCCCCCTGAAAAAGACGGAAAAAGCAAAGCCTGCACAGTCCGCCAACCAAATGGCATGACAACACAGGGCAGCGATGAAGTCATTCGGCTGACTACATGGTTGTAGAAAGAGAGAATGAATGACGGTACTCGCATCGCCATATCAATCCCTTGCTTCTTGCTTTATCCAGATGGTCACTAGTCATGAGCTGCCTCGTGGTTGGGTTACGAATAAGAGAAGTTCCCAACGGGAGGAGGTCTACCAATATGATACAAAACATCACCCCGGTCTACTACACAACTTCCGGGTTACCTGAGCTAGAGCCAATCCTTCAATTCTTGACCTTCTTGGAATGAGGCGTTTCTAGGTCTCAAACGGTTGATGCTCGTACCAAGCGCGCATCTCCTTGGCGGCCTGGTGCGGGATCACGTAGAGGGGGTGGACGGCTATCAATCGGTCTCGCTTGTCCAGGACGCTGTCAGCCGGTCCGTTCGAGGCGTCAACGTGAGAGTACTTCCATGAGAATGCCGACGCAAACTCATCCTTCGAGCTGGTGCTAGTGTCCGTGTGGTAATGATAGTATTGCGCCATACTCAACCCCGTGAGTGTGTAACATGTGTGGTACGAATCCGGGTGCCTTCGTTGCTGATTGTCAGCACCCCCCCAAGAGATCGAAAGAGGGGAAGGATGACTTACTTCCCGGGCTTATCTCGGAGTCCCCCGTTCTTAGACTGACAGCAGGAGAGGATGTACCTGGTCAATCCTTCTCGACTGTAGAGACTGCCAGTGGTCTGCTTCGGGGATGCAGCCGGTTGGGTACCGTCTAGCGCGGACTGGAGCAGCGGCCAGCAACTTCCGACCCAGTGGCTGTAACATCCATCCACCAGTTTATTAGTCCGTCCCGCGAACCCTCCTTCGGGAGCATACTGCCTGGCCGAGAGCCAGGACAGGAGCAAAGGGACGTCCATGCATCTACCATGGTCAGAGGGAGGACAGAAAAAAGAAAAGAAAAAAAATGGGCAAGGGACGGATCTGGTAAGTCCGATGCAGCCACTCACCTGGCTATGGTCACCTCGGGCTTTCCCAAGATGCATAGACATGCCAAAGCGCAGAACGCATAAGCACCATGCGCCTCTGCTCCGGGACTCCCGGAAATACCTCCTTCAAACGTTTGGCCTGCCGGCCGTTATCAATCGTGTCCAATGATACCAAGAGTGGGATGTAGCCTTACATCTTGCAAGATACTCAGAAAGGCCGCTTGTGAAGGACTCCAGTCCGTATTGTCGAGCTTCGGCGTCAGGGGGAAGTGTCAGGGGTAGATCAAGCAGAGATATAATGACCATTGCGCAGTAAGCGCCGCTAACATGGCACCCAATTAGCCAGGCTGCCACAATTTACGAGATGGAGGAAATTCGATTGCTTACCGCACGTCCTCTTCCCCGCCCTCGCAGACCCTGAAGCCGCCGTCGGCCTGCTTTAATCTCCCGAGCCATCTCCACCTGATTAAGGGGTTAGAGGAACAGCGTTGGGTCTGGACAAGACTTTTTGGCGCACAGCTCACATTGCGTTTCGATCAATCAATTGGAAGGCCTCCTGGCCGCCCACCATGGCAAGAGACAGCACGGCAGCATAGCTGGACGCGCAATGGGACATCTGGCCATGTCCACCTCCAAACCCACCCGTGGGATTCTGCATCGATTTGAAGGTAGACGTCACGCTGTAAAAGAGAGAGAGAGAGAGGCATTTTCAGAAGATGTCCATGTAACCGAAGATCATGTCTAACCGCGCCGGTCGAGTCTACAGGACCGCGCAAGCAAACCAGCATCGACTTACCGATAGTTGAATTTACTGGTGTCCTCCTCCAGTAGACACAAGCCCGCCAAGGCCCAGTAGACCAGCCAAGGACGACTGGCATCCAGGCCGACGAAGGAGCCGGGGTAGTCCTCTAGGGAGTCATAGAGGAAGGCGATATGGTCGTCGCGTTTGAGGGCCGGCACGCCGAATCGATTCAGCGTCCCGCGTTGGCTGCTCTGAGTGCCAGCGAGGAATGGCAGGCATTTGGAGACGGTTTCATTCTGAAGGTCCGTTGTCTCGGTGGCGAGCGAATCTCGGATCTGAGGCAGCTCCGTAAAGAGCGGCGGGATCCCGGGCTGGGCCTCGGTCTCAGTCATGGTAGCAGTGGTGCTGCGCTGCTGTTTGACTAATGGGTGATTCCGGTAATGAACTGCAGGCGAGGAGCGGCCGTTGGTCTGTAGACTGGGTCTGGAGCTTCTGGCGTCTGATTTGCCTGTCGCGGGCGTTTGCGCGGTCGAAGAGAAGCGAACTTTTCGACGATGTTTCCCGGACGCTGCAATGACCGGCATAGACTCATTCAATCCCGTATTTATTCCCGCACAAAAATGGATTATTGCAGAGCGAAATTGAATGATCTGGTTTGGAGTACTACTTCAATGGTGGTCACTGCGATTGTCCGTGGGAGGTCAATCGCTGGCTGGCATCCATTGTTCTTTTTTCCCGCCGGTCAGGTGGGGCTCCCCCTCCAAACCTCAGGCTCCGTGAGGGAATGCCTTTTCTTTTCTTTTTTCTTTTTCGTTCTTTTCTTTTTCTTCAATCTCGCTTCCCTTGTTTCAAATTGGCTGGCTGATTCGGCTTATCCTTTATATTGTTTGCTCGTCGAGTTCTATACTCCTGGAAGCCTCCCCAACCGAGGGCCAGCCCTGCCTAAGGCCAGCAATGTCCCGTGACCGCCAAGACGCGCCATCCACAAAGGGTTAAGCGCCCTGCTGACTCCCTCTTACAGTCTCACTGCGGAATAGTTTTACGCTGCGAATTGACTAAATTCTGAATCCTAGCTCGCCCTAGCTTGATGATCGACTCGCTGGATGAGGGGTAGACAATGGACTTGATCCGAGACACCCTTTCAGACAACACATGTCGCTCCTGTGCATGTTGATCCTCTCGACGACAGAGGTAGATCTTTCCTGGTCCTATGGATTTGCCAGCCTGTCAGGATGACCCTGGAATTGCTAAACCCGCTGCGTTCTCACCCACAGCAGGTAACCACGCTACTGTGTAATGTGTATCCAACCTGGGCGTAACCAGGTATAATGGTCCCTACTAACCCACTAGTGCTACGTAAGTCATGATGGCCTGCAGCTGCCCTGCCCCCCTCAGGATTCGAAAACTCAACATCGGGGATGGTGCCATCCAGGCTCGATGAATCGGGCTCGATTCCATGAGGACCTCTCACCACGGATGCAACGTGCATGTGGAATGCTAATAATAATTCGTCCCCGTCACTTAAGCGCCGATACCCTTTTTTTTTTCGGCACCAGTGACCCAAAGACTGACGCGTTTGGCCGATTTGTTTTGATTTCTTGCGGCCGCTGGCGTGGCTAGCTGCGAGTCAGAACCGAGAGCTTTTTTATTATTATTGTTTTTACGATTTCTTATTTAGTATTTTTTGGTGGCGGACGAATGGAGTTGACGGCCAGCATCCAAAAGTGGGGCCCACGGGCCCTGATTTCATATGCACGACGTTTTTCCTACGGTTGGGACTTTCCCACTTGCCTGCAGTCACCCTTTGCCTTTTTTTTTTTTTTTTTTTTTTACTTGGCTTGTTCGCCTCGTCGCCAACCCTTCCAGTCAACCTTCCCGTGGAGAATGTGCAGGACTCCGCGGTCTGTCGCCTTGCCGTTTATCCATCGTGACTTTCTCCCTGGGATTGAACAGGGTTTGTTGAGAAGCCGGATCTGATCTATCCACTCTTGGCCACGAAGCCGTGCGTGCTCATTCTTACCTGGGCTATTCGGATTCAATATTTGGTCATCATCACGAACCTAGTTAAGAGTGACTAGGGACTAGACGGTTGAGTTCAGATCGGAGGCGGCAAAAAACCGACCTAAATAAACCTAAAATGCGCGAGCCAAAAATGGGATCCAATAGGTATGGACTCCGAATACTCTAGGAGGTGTATACATCCTACGGCGGCTGGACAGACGCATCCATCGAGATTCATTCAATCGACAAACCCCCCCAAACCAGCAACGACGCGGGATTGGAAGAAGAGAGAAAGAAGGGAGCCAACGGCAGCCAGCTTATCACGATGGTCACGGTCTATCTCACCATCGTCATCTCGTCTTCAACCTTACGGGCTGCAGATTAGATGGCCCGGTGCTTGGAAGGATGCCCGTACAGTAGTGTAATTTTTGGCTGGGAGCTACTGCAGCGTCAGCGGACTCGTTGGCAACAAGTCAACATGTGTGCTGCAGTGATTGAGTCTGGACGGGGGACGGCAGCTATTATTGGCAGTCACCCGAACCGGCCAGAAGATGCTATTCTTGTTCTTCCCTTACGGAGGAGGTGTAGGAGGTATTGTACCCGGGAGACGAATACTACGCTGTACTGAGTCGAGGATGGAACCCGGAACTGGGCTCATGCCAATAACATGCCACCGCCGTCACCACCACCGCATCGCCCAAGCGGTCCCCACCCGTACGTCGCGATACGCCGGTGGCCTTTCAGTCGACGACGGGGGGGTTCCGAGCCGGGCGTATTGCCACGGCCTCGCCAGGCTGTCGATCGGCGACATGTGCCAATTATTAGTCACGGCCATCCCAGCTGCACCCGATCTTGACGGTTCCCACTGATCTGCCTTTCCCGAACGCGCACCCGTGTCTCATCCACGGAGTAAACCGCCGCAGTACCGTGGTATCCAGCGCCGGGTTGTTCTTATTCCATCTTCATCCGACGCATGCGCAGTACAGCAGAACAACTGGCTGCCCGTCGCTTCCCCCGCTTCGCCTGTTATTCCCTGTTGACTCATCGGCCTTCCCCTCCTCGGTCTCGTCTCCTCCCCGCTCTCTCCTGCATTCCACGGCAATGATATCATCGCTGTCAATTGTTGTCAATCGCTGTCTTTTCCTTCCTTCCATTCCATCCCCCCCGTGAAATGTCGCATGTGGCTGAACACGCCGAGGTGAGGAGGTGGTAACGGAGTTGGGACCCGGAGGTAGGTAAGAATCCGGAATCTGCATCGGTGGGTATCCTTTTCCACTAGCAGTCTAGCGAACAGTGGTCCATTGGCGAGAGATCGGGAAAGATTATCAGACTGATCAAGAACCTAACACCGGAAGGGGAAACCGTGTCAATCATGTATTTACCTCGAATTTAGGCCGAGTCGATCTTAGTGGAGGTACTACTGCGTAGGTCGACTTCCTAGCTACTGGTATTTTTTGTACCGTACGTGGAACACACGGCACCAGGTATAGTAATATACCTGGGTACCTACCACCTACGGTAAGGTAGGAGGAGGAGGAGGAAGAGAAGAGAAAACGCCACAGCGACGAATGCCAATGGAAAGACCCCCGTGGCATTTGCAGGGCGGCGGGTGACCCAGCCTCCCTCCCCCCCCCACTCCGATAGCGAACGCTCCTTCCTGCCAGTCCGCCAGTCCGAGAGTCTCCTAGCGCATCTCCGGCCGACGCACCTCCCGCCTCACCGCTGCTTTGGCTCCCCACCGCTTCACGCCGCCATCTGCTCTTCTCGCTTTCGCTCCCCGGATTCTGGGCTTTCTGCTCTCCCGAAGCCCTCTCTTCCCCTCTGGCTTCGCTGTCATTTCCATTCCATCCCTCTTATTTGTTTTTTGTATCACCCCCATCTTGTCCGGCCTGTCTTTTATATCATTATTTTTTATTTCTATTTTTTTTTGTCATTTACTCCGTACTGTTTTTTATTTCCTCGTCATTCTCGTTTTTTATTTCTTTTTTTTTTCTTTTCTTTTTTTTCTATCTCCCCATCCCTCCGAAGGGGAATTCTTTTTTTCCCTTTTTCTTTTTTTCTTCTCTTCTCTTTCCCTCTCTCCCTTGTTGGTAAATAGTTTCAAAAGTGTGACAATGTCAAATGTTGATATATCGAGTGACGGCTTCATCGGCCTGGACTATGACTCGAGGGGGTATACTATTCAGCCTCAGTCATGGCCCGTGGCGGTGGACCAGCAGCAGCCTGCCCACCGAACGGAAGGAGGGCGAGATATCTCTCCCTTGCAAACCAGCGGTCACGCTTTCGAACAGTCGGTATCTCAAGATCCCAACTTGATGGTGGACTGGCAATTCCAGCACTTGCAACCCCACCTTCAGTACTCTCATGAAGAGGCCTCGTCCGCTCCGCAGTTCACGGCCGCAAGTTATGGCATGCCCATCCAGTCGTCGCCAGTCGATCTGATCTCGGGAACCCAGGCTCAGATGAGCACCAGCCTTCTCGACGGTCCCTACTTGCCTCTCTCCGCTCCCGTGGACATGGTGCCGTTCCCTTACCAGGACCTTCAGACCGAACTCATGGCCTTCCCCACGGATCATGGCCTTCCCGACATGTCGTACGCCGCGCCGCAGAACATGATGGGCGGCAGCTCGCCCGCCGACACCTACCTCGAGGTTCGGTCCTTGACCAGCTCCAGCAGCGACAATGGCTGGAGTACCATCGAGCCGCGTCGTTCCAACGAGTTCTCCTTCCCGGAACAGGGCATCTTCATCAACCCGACCCAGACCCTGCACGACCGGAGCCTCTCGGAATCGTCCTACTCGACCTCCTATGGCAGCTTCGTGGACCTCGCCAACCCCGTCAACTCGCCCAGCTCCGAAACCAACTTCGAGTCGGCCTTCAACAACTCGGTCAACCGCCGGGTCTCCTACGACCACACATCGCACGGCTCGCAGTCGCCGACGGCGGTGAGCCCCGTGGCCATTGTCCGGCCTATTCCCGTCCCCATGAAGAAGCCTTCGTCGTCACCGACTCGGTCTTCCGGGTCGCAGTCCTCGGCTTCTCCGCCAAGCCGGAAGCCCTCGCGAAAGAGCCCCATTGCCGCGAAGACCGCCGAGACCAAGGTTCGCAAGCAATCGCAGAACGGAAAGCCGGAGACCGAGAAGCGAGTCGGTAAGCGTAAGGGTCCTCTGAAGCCGGATCAGCGAAAGCAGGCCAGTGAAATCCGCAAGCTGCGTGCCTGTCTGCGCTGCAAGTTCCTCAAGAAGACTGTTCGTTATTTCCCCCGTCCACCATTCAGCTTGATTATACATCTGCAGTCCGCTAACCCCGGTGATTATAGTGCGATAAGGGCGAGCCCTGTGCGGGCTGCCAACCTTCACATGCTCGGTTATGGCAGGTTCCCTGCACGCGGATTGACATCAAGGAGATTGGGTACTTCATGAAGGATTGGAAGGCAGACTATGAGCGCCATATCAGCCTCGGATTCTCCGTCGGAAACATCAAGGGTTTCTCAGACCAGGAGCGGACCCTCTTCATCACCCATGGCTATGGCCAAGTTCTTCCGATCAACGCCCGCGAGGTCTACGTGCGGGATGAGCAGTGCTTCAGCGTCGACTGGGTTGAATCGATGCACCGGGAACCCACGCAGTACGAGGTGGAGACCGCCAAGCTTTCCGCCGGAATGGAGGGGATCTCGCACGCTTTGCTGTCCGATTACCTTGACCGCCACATCGATGGCAACGGCACTTTTGAGAAATTCGTCGATGACTACTTCGAGGGCACGCCGTTCCTGACGCAGATGCTGAAGACCGCGTTCCGGTACTACTTCCGCACCAAGCTGCCAGTCATCCGGAAAGCCTTGAAGCTCATCATTGCCTACAACCTGACGCTCCACGTGACCATGGTGGAAGGCTTGGGTGAGGAGGAAGGGTTCCTCGGAAAGATCCAGGAAGGCTCGTCGAAATTCAATGGCAAGACGATGGCGCCCGTGATGATCAACTTCCAAATCAAGTGTGCCATGGCCAACATGTGGCGTGAATTGCAGAAGGACGTTCTGGAGGAACTGTCGAGTCTCTACTCGAGCGTCTACAGTGGCGACAAGCTGAAGAACTGGCCAACCATCTTCATCCTGGCGTCGATCCTTCTGGCGGTCTGGGAAGAGATGCAGTTCGATTGCCATTACCGCACTCCCGTAAGTTCCCCGTTCGACGGCAGCCACGCTTACCGATCGCTAACATGCCTCCAGGATGCCGCTGCCGTCGAAAAGTTCTGCAACGACATGGAGACGACGCCCGTTGGCGTGATTGTGGGTCTGTTCCAGGCTATCTCTCAGAAGCTGCCAGCATTCACGGATTGGGAGACCCAAAAGCATCACCACCTGCTGCACTCGAATCCCGACGTCTGCAATGCCATGACCGAGGTCCGCCAGCATGTGACTCAGTATGGTAAGAAATGCAGTCTTCGGTCCATCATGACGACACTTACTGACCCACCCGACAGAGAGTTACCTTCGGAGTCGCTCCGGCTCCAAGTTCAACCGCAACGACTTTGACTGTTTATCCAACAAATTCATCTCCCGACTTGTGATTCGGGCGAACTAAATGACACCACCGGAGAATGAGGTTTTTGCACATGTTTTTCCCGCAAGCAAATGTGTTACGGCTTCTGTTTATTTAAGATGACGGCATCTGCACGATATGAAACTATGAGATATGCCGGCATTTACGATTATGAGACTCGCATCAAGCCATTCTTAGCGACTACGATCGTTCCCACTCAACTTCTGTCTTCTACCGTCTCGGCTTCTGTTTTTTTTCCTTTTTTTGACTTTGTTTTTTTTTGATTTAGTTAACCGTGTGCAAAATTTAGCCCGAAGCATCTGTCGTTTTTTGTCGATTTCTCCTTTCCTGTTTCCGATCCACGCTCTTTCTTCACTTCTCAGTGGTATACCTTTTTCACGCACAGTATTTCCAGCAGCGATGATGAGGATCACGAATGTCATGATAACTGTACGGTCACGAAATGTTTGGCAGCAGCAATGACGAGCGCAACTGAGTTGCCGACGCGTGCTGGAGGCTAGTTCTCGCTTCATGATGCTGCAATTTTTGCATTTGTGTCCTTGATTTAGCGTGTGTGTGATGTGAATGCAGTTGTGGTTATGTTGATTCAGAATATTTGTGTTGTTTCCATATTGGAGTCTCGGGGGCTCTTGGGAGGTGGGCGGCAGGGAGTCCCGAGCTCAGTTTGTGATTTTGTGGCGTGCTAGCATGCCATCTCGCCTCGCTTAGTCTCGCCAGTTGAGCTAGTTTGCAGGTTTTGAATATTATTTATATACAAACTCAAATCGATGACCCTTGTAGTGGAAGATACTACGTGTCGGATTGTCGAGGACATCACCAGAGACGGGCCAGCCGGAGTGCCTCAGGTACCCCGAGCGGGGCGCCGGAAGCGACGATCACCTGACCCGTCCCGTCGGCCTGAGTGCCTTAGCGCCGTCTAGACCTCGCCGTAGTCGGTGAATCGTGTCCACCTTTTCCCCTCGTTGGGGCCGTAAGCCCGCTTTCCCACGTCATCGCCTTTGCTCGGGTATGACGCATTGCGCGGAAACCTGGGGAGAAACAGATGAGCAGCAAGAACAACAAGAGCAAAACACAGGAGGGACAAGGTCAAAGACGGAATCCAAACGGCAGGGGTTATGTCAGCCATGTGGTCCTGGTAAGGCCGGACAAGGAACCTGAGGCATGAAGGCTTCCGCGAGCGATGCCGACTGGTGGCGTCAGTGGCGGGTGCGGACGGAGTTCTGTCGCTCTGACCTGTCCTCACGGCCAGACTCCTTTGTATGCCATCATGATTAGCGGAATCATTCACCTCAAATAAAATCAAATAAAATCAAATAAAATTCAGTAAAATTCAGTAAAATTCAGTACCCCAAAAAAAATTCAAATTCTCTCACACTTCCCCCCCTTTCAGACCATGGATGCCGCAGGAGAGGACCTCCTGAGTCATTGGCCGATAGCCACCCTTTCTAGTAGTTTCCCCAACTTTCAAGCCAACGGAGTAAGAAGGGATCGCCCGGTGACTGGTCCGGATAATGAACAGGGAGAGGGAAAGGGAATAGGAATGGGAAAGGGAATGTGCCAGGAGGTACCAGAACCAGAGCCAAAGCCAGAAGCGTCTCAAAGGCACTTCCTCACGAATTGACCGCCATCTTCCGGTCTTGCATCACGTTATCGGCCAATTCCTGGTTGGGCCTGACTAAGGCGCTTCGCCTCCTTTGCCTCCCCTCATCGGCCGGTGCCTGCCTACTTAAGCCTTGTCTCCTCTGCCTTATCTCTCCCCTTCTCCTTCTTCCAACTCTCCTCCCTCTGGTTTCACCTCACTCCTGACACACCTTCCCCTCTCTCTCGCTATCTCTACACATAACTGAAAACCATCTCACATCCTCGTCTACTACAACTGTACCTATCTCACCTGCCTCCGTCGCCATCATGCAGATCTTCGTGAAGACTCGTAAGTTCTCCCCTGCCCCTGTCCCCTGCTTGGCTCTCTCGCCACCTCAGGTCAGATTCTAACCCTCTGCCTTTGATTAGTTACCGGCAAGACCATCACCCTTGAGGTCGAGTCGAGCGATACCATCGACAACGTCAAGTCCAAGATCCAGGACAAGGAGGGCATCCCCCCTGATCAGCAGCGTCTGATCTTCGCTGGCAAGCAGCTGGAGGATGGTCGCACCCTTTCCGACTACAACATCCAGAAGGAGTCCACCCTTCACCTCGTTCTCCGTCTTCGTGGCGGTATGCAGATTTGTAAGTTCCCGTTGGTCGCCACGGCCCATGGTTTCGCCACCCGGTCGTCATCTCATACTGACTCATCTCTCTAGTCGTCAAGACCCTCACTGGAAAGACCATCACCCTTGAGGTTGAATCCAGCGACACCATCGATAATGTCAAGTCGAAGATCCAGGACAAGGAGGGTATTCCTCCCGACCAGCAGCGTTTGATCTTCGCTGGTAAGCAGCTGGAAGATGGTCGCACTCTGTCCGACTACAACATCCAAAAGGAATCCACCCTCCACTTGGTCCTTCGTCTGCGCGGTGGTATGCAAATCTTCGTCAAGACCCTCACCGGAAAGACGATCACCTTGGAAGTGGAGAGCTCAGACACCATCGACAACGTGAAGAGCAAGATCCAAGATAAGGAGGGCATTCCACCCGACCAGCAGCGTCTCATCTTCGCCGGAAAGCAGCTTGAAGATGGCCGTACCCTCTCCGACTACAACATCCAGAAAGAGTCCACTCTTCACCTTGTCCTTCGTCTCCGTGGTGGTATGCAGATCTTTGTCAAGACCCTGACTGGCAAGACGATCACGTTGGAGGTGGAGAGCTCGGATACGATCGACAACGTCAAGAGCAAGATCCAAGACAAGGAGGGTATCCCTCCGGACCAGCAGCGTCTGATCTTTGCGGGCAAGCAGCTCGAGGACGGGCGCACGCTGTCTGACTACAACATCCAGAAGGAGAGCACGCTCCACCTGGTTCTCCGACTCCGTGGTGGAAACTAGGGGATGATCGTCTTGATTTTGCATGGCGTTTGGTTTGACTTTTCTACAGGCTTTTGACAAATTTGCTGGGCAATACCTTCTGTATCACCATGGCCATGGTGCATTACATAGTTCTATCCTTTACTTTACCTTGACCTTCAACAATGAATGAGTAGCTATCTAGCTATCTAACGGCCGATATTGTTTTTCTTCGCTTTCGTAGCATTTGTAGACTTTGGAGCATTCGTGGCTTATACTAGATGAGTCATTTCTCATATTCGACTTCCATTCAAAAGACCACCGCATTGATGAGCTGTACCTGCATGCATCTGCATTGCACCACAGCAACAAAGACCGGTTACTCTGTGACTGATAGGTATCCATCATCCATAATGCATCATCCATCATCCTGGAATGTGTAAAGAACCGTCTGCGTCGCCACCGGGCTGTCACATGATCGGCACGACCCGAAGCGGACTGGAGACAAACCGAACAAAATCACGGCCGTTGAAAGAGAGGCTCCGTCATTCTCTCCACCTTCGTTCTCTTCCAGCGATGTGAGCATCGGTCGGGATGCCCTCCTATTTCTACCACCTCGCGCTCGAACTCTTTTCTCGCCCTCAATCCGACCTCCGGGGCGCCTCTTCCCATCGCGTGACAGATCCGTCTCCCACGTCGCTATCCTTTGACTCCGCATGTGAAGCCCTCCTGCCGTTCCAGAAGCGACCCCGGTACTCATCTCCCTCAAATCGGGGCCCTCGCCATCCTCCGTCAACGTCCGGAAAGCATCGATGCTCGCCTCCGGGTGTCTCTACTGACGCTGCCCACGGCCCGCCGCTTGACACTGCTCCTCCGTCCGCAAACCTCCATCCCACCTCTACCCCTCCTCCTTCCCACGCCCGATCGCCGACCAGCGCATCCGAGCTCGAACGCGACCTCCGCCTAGACAAAGTCTCAATCGAGTGCATTGACATGATTCCGTCTGAGCCAGGCCCCCTCAGCAGCTCCAAGCGCAGCTCCGCCCGCCGCGAGCCCCGGGACAGTAACCCCGTCGCGACGGGCATCGGCACCGATATTCTCGGCGGGCTACGCACGCGCGGCAAATACGTCCCGCTCGACCAGCAGACCTCCGAAAGCGTCTGGGGCATTGTGCACCTGTACCGCGATTCCCAGGAGACCGCTTATCTGACCGAGGAGGAATATCCGTCATACCTGAAGGGCTCCGCGGCCGCGCGACAGCCATACGATGAAGTGGGCGGGAGTAGTGCCCCGCGCCAGGGCCTGCGTGCCGGGGAAGACCGCCCGCTGGTGACCCTTCAGCAGCAGCACCAGCCGGACGAAGAGGGCTGCACGACGCTGTGCATCCTGGCCGTGCCGTCGTATATGTCGCCGTCGGACTTTTTGGGGTTCGTGGGTGAGTCCACAATGGATGATGTCAGTCATTTTCGAATGATCCGGACGGCGCGCGCCAATCGGTATATGGTTTTGATGAAGTTTCGGAGTGGGAAGAGGGCACGGGAGTGGCAGAGAGATTGGAATGGGAAGGTGTTCAATAGCATGGAGGTGAGTTTTCTTGGTCATATTGGGTTTGATGATGGTGATGTTAATTCTTGGTTCGCGTTGCTACAGCCGGAAACATGCCATGTTGTGTTCGTGGACACCGTCGAGATTCAAGCAGTAGATCCGGATACGCAGGCCGGACTCCCCTCAACTCATCAAGGCGCTCTCTTATCACCCCACACCGCAACCAGTCCCCAGCGCTCAGCTGCATCGACCAGCCAATCGAGCTCCCTACCCTCAGCAGCACTCTCCTCGCGACCTCTCGCCCCGCCAACACCCGCCCTCATCGAGCTGCCGACCTGCCCCGTCTGTCTCGAGCGCATGGACGAGACGACCGGCCTGCTCACGATCATCTGCCAGCACGTCTTCCACTGCACGTGTCTCCAGAAATGGAAAGGCAGCGGCTGCCCCGTCTGCCGCTACACGCAAGACGACTTCCGCAAAAGCAGCCAAGGCATCCCCCTCGACCCGGACTCCGCCGAATGCTGCTCCGTCTGCCGCTCCGACATCAATCTCTGGGTCTGCCTCATCTGCGGCAACGTCGGCTGCGGCCGCTACGACGGCGCGCACGCCTTCGACCACTACAAGGAAACCGCGCACGCCTTCGCCATGGACCTCTCGACCCAGCGCGTCTGGGACTACGTCGGCGACGCCTACGTCCACCGGATCATCCAGAGCAAAACCGACGGGAAACTAGTCGAGCTCCCCGCCGCCGACAACAGCGCCCTCGACCCCCCAGACTGGACCGACGCCGTGCCGCGCGAGAAACTCGAAAACATGAGCGTCGAATACACCCACCTCCTGACCAGCCAGCTCGAGAGCCAGCGCGCCTACTTCGAAGAAATCGTCGAGCGCGCCGTCGACAAGGCCTCGCAGGCCTCTGCCGCCGCGCAGTCCGCCACTTCCGCCGCCCACTCCGCCACCACCAACCTCTCCTCTCTACAATCCCGCTACGACGCCCTCACCACCGACACCCTCTCGAACCTGGAGCGCGAGAACCTGCGCGCCTCGAAACGCGCAGACAAGTTCGAAGCCATGGCCCGCAAACTCGAGAAGGAGTGGCGCGAGGAAAAGACCATGAACGAGAGCCTGATGACGCGCATCGACCACCTCCAGTCCGAGGTGGAGGCGCTCAAGCTCTCGAACGCCGACCTGGCGGAGCAGAACCGCGACTTGACCTTCTTCATTAGTGGCTCGGAGCGCCTGAAGGATCAGAGCGAGGATGTCGTCCAGGGCACGGTGAGTGTTCCGGAGGTGGAGGCGCAGGGCACCGGCAAGAAGAATAAGGGGAAGGGGCGGAGGAAGAAATGATCGGTCTGGTCTTCTTACCTTCTTGTCTTCATACCTTCTTGGATGGTATTTGGTTGATGGGCGAGGATGATTAATGAATGAATGCACGGTTGTTTGATAGATAGGCTACTTTCTTCCTGGCTGTTTCCTGTCTTTCGATGAAAGGATGGGAATCAGGAAGGAGGAGTGAAAAGACATCTCAGTTCTTGCCTACGACCGTCCTGCCGCTTCACGTGTACTTTGTAATCCTACCTGATATTCTTTGTACTCTGTCCTGTTATTGAGCAAAGGTAGGTGAATACTAGTATCACGTGCATTCCATTTCCTAATGAAAACTGCTACCCTCCTATTGACTTGTTGACGCTCTATCTAGTATTCAAGATGAATCCGGTAGAGGGAATAATATTATATAAGATAAGTAGATAGATCCGAGGATCAGTAAAATGCAAGTCTATATCATACAGGTAAAGTGCTCATTTACAACGAGGGGGTTTCGATGAGGGAGATAGCATATTGGTATAAGAAGAACAAAAGAAAGAGAAAAAATCGACAAAAGAAACAAAGGAAAAAAGGGTAAGAGGAAACTGCAAAACAATTGGGGGGAATATAATCACACAATCCACAAGTCAGGTATTACATATAGACAGACACAAGGAAATCGAATGAAAGCAGACCAGAAACCAGATAGGAAACAATGACCCCGAATATCCCGAACCCCGTCCAACCTAGCCAGAAACCTTTCCGACCTCTCTATTTATTGATGCTTTCGTCCTCGTCATAGCGCATGGTAAAGGCAAAGAAAAAACAGTGAATGGAGAGAAAATCAAAAAACGCAACACACGAGGGACAAAAATCAGCTAGCCCGGACTCCTTCCGACGCGCTTGTAACCCATACAAGGGCGATGCTAAGACGATAATGACGGTATCAACAACAATGTATGATGAGAAATGAACAGAAAAAAGCAAATGCTGATGTGCTAAATGTAAGATGGGGGTAAACAAAGGAAATTGAACAAAGGAAATAACGATTGATGGTGGTTGTTTTTTGAGTCGCAATGCGATTGAGCGACTTCATTGTCTTGAGAGCTCATCGAAAATTATTCTCCAGAATAACCGATCGGTCCTGCCGTTCGACGGAGACTTGAGCCGATATGTTGTCGTCGACACTCCCTTAGACCGGAGTAGTCCATGAGTGTTCGCCAAGCTTAGGCTTCATCTCATAGTTCTCAGGTTCGGTGCTGGTGGGTCGCCGAATGGTGGAGTTGGGAAAGTACATATGGGGAGGCATGGAGCTGGCATACGCCGGTCCGTTGGGCTCAGGGTAGGCAAAGTCGTTCGCGGACCCCGGAGACGGGATGCTGCCATGAGAAGGCGATGCCCAACCCAAGTTCGACATATGAGGACTGCCGCTGACGCTATTCGGCCGGTGGTCATTGTTGGCAGGGGGCTCCAGAGGCTGAGGGGGAGCGTAACCCGAGGGATGGGAGGTCATCGAAGGTCGGGGGAGCGGCGCACTGCTGAAGCTGGACAGCGAGGGAGAGGTGGCCGTGGGAGATGCCCGGGGGCTCGCCTGCGAAAAGTCTCCACGAACATGGGGCGGAATAGGGCCGCTGCCCATGTAGTAATCGGGACGAGACATGTTCAGCGGAGGAAGATCCCCAGCCGGAGAGATCGGGTGATGTGCCGGAGAGGGAGTCGAGTGGACCGACACCGAGCCGTGCTCCGAAAACATCCCGTCGCCGACTCGCGCTCTCTCCTTGTTCTGTCGCAGGTTGGCTTCGGTTTCCGCGGCGGCTTCTTCAATAGTACCCGTGTGATGGTTCTGGTGACGAGTCAAGGTAGTGCGACGAGTGAAAGTCTTCTGGCAGTTTGCATAGGGGCATTTGTAAGGTCGTTTCCCAGAGTGGATTCTGCGATGCCTGGCCAATGAAGACGAATCGCTGAAAGGCTAAAGTCACAATGATATTAGAATGGGTCTTGATAAGTAGCGATCAAGTCGGTCACATACCTTTCCGCATCTTTCGCACATGTGCGGCTTCTCGCCCGTGTGGACACGAGAGTGGACCGTCAGAGCAGAGCGCTGGATGAACTGTTTCCCGCACCCTGGCCAATCACACGCGTGAGGCCTGATGCCGGAATGGATTCGCTCTGGGGTTTTCGTCAGCCAATCGAGCTCTATGAGAAGCATATAACGGTCCTTACCGTGTCTTGCCAGGTCGCTGCGTCGAGCAAAACCCTTGCTGCACGTCGCGCAGTGGAATGTCTTCGGGGGAGGGTCTGTCCGTCCTTGGGGCTGAGGAGCAGCGGCGAACGGTCCGGCGCCGTAGGTATTTTGCAGATATCCGACACCGGGGTGTGTCTGCGGGGCGTAGCGCATGTCCTGATGGATGTTCGGCATCTGGTTCATGGGGGCATGAGGCGGATACGAGAGGACTTGGTGATCACCAGCTTCGGCAATGCCAGGCTCCGACTTCATTTTAGGCGAAGAAGTTTCCATACTATGATTCTGCACGAACTGCTGCTGATCAAATTGATGAGCTTCTGCGGCGACCATAGCGGCAGAACCTTTTCTGTTCAAAATAGTTGTGATGTCCATGACCCGACCCAGCGATAGGCTGAGAGACGGCGGTCAAGGACGGATCGGGGGTTTTGGTATCCTTCTGACGTGAAGCCGTAGGATTGCGTCGATAACAATCCTTTAATATGCCCAACTCGGTCTGCGAAAAGCTCGGTTGTTCGAATAGAGACGGGCGATGCGACTTCAGACCGCACGAAGGAAAACGAGTAAGAGAGTGCAACTGGCGCTAATCGTGGTTCGACGAAGTAGCCTGAAAAAAAGCTGGTCAGAATCAAGTTTGGGGGGAAATTCAAGTCGGCGGCTATTAAGAACATGAGTGGGAAGGAAAGCCAAAAAAAATAAAAGGAACTGCTGAGTTGGCTATCCCCAACGCGAAGTGAGAAACAGAGTTTGTACACGAACGCACGCTGTTTCAGTCCGCGATGAAATAAAAATTTGCGTTGACTGTGACGTGGGCGAGGGTGGCCAGACTCACAAATACCGTAATCAGGAATGTCAGCAATGCAGGTAAGGGCGAAAATGGAAGACCCAACGCGACGATCTCGTCTTGCGACCTTGAGAAGCAACCACGAATTTATCGAACCGTCTCGCGTTCACGGCTTCTCCAAATGTCTCTCTGCAATATCACTCCAAGCGCACCGAATCAAGTCGAATCCCGGGCGGGGGTTGCAAGCTTTGTCGACGCTGCCCAACTTAGACTGACCGTAAGTGAACCAAGACACTTGTCTCAAGCCTTTGCCGGATAATTGCAGAAGTGGAAGCGATTCCAGACGAATGCGACCTCGAGTATTCCTTGCGACTCTCGAAACCCAGCGAGATGCGACTTCGGATACGTTGCCACTCTTCGCAAGAAGTTCAGGTGGATGCGAAAACCGATCGGGGACCGTCTGACGGCGAGCGTTGAGATCCGGATTCCTGGGCGCTACCGGGGCCAGTATATTCGAGGGAAATATAGGAGGCGTAGGGGTGGGCGGAGAAAAACGGGGAAGAATGCGAAAGGTCAAGAATGACGGCAGCAGATCAAGCGGACCTGCGATGCGAACACCAGGGGGTTAGCAAATTGCGCCGAGGTAGAAGAATGAAATGGAAAGCAGCGTGCGCGACAAAAACGACCGGATCCTCTCGAGTCTTCGCAGCGTCGGTTCCAACCCTCCGTGGGACTTCTGGTCCCAGGTCATGAAACCCGCGCGGATGCGACGAAGAACCGGAAATAAGATCGCCGATAGACCTTGCCCCGGAGAAATATGACGAATGCCAGACACCTTTTCTCGCCGAATCGAGCAAGGTCATACCACCGAGCAACCACACGGGAACCGGAGTGACCAGAAAAAAGAGGAGAGGAAAGGTAGTGTCGCACTGCGTCATCGGGACGAGGCAGTGAGGGGAGATGCAGAATACCTACCGAAAACCAGACGACGGGAAAACCCACGCGGAAATGAGGATCGCTTGAGAGACACGACAGGCAGGGAAAGCTGTGCGCCAACGCAGGTTAGCCCAAGTCGAGGGTTGGGTTGGGTTGGAGTTGGGAGTTGGCAGGTGGCAGTTGAGGGGGAATTGGGAGCGACTAGCGGAAGGAGAGGGGGAAGAAGAGGGGAAGAACGAGAGGAAACATACCGGATCCGATGAGAGGGGAGTAAGTAGAAGGGAAGAGAGGGATATGAGGGAAGGAGGAACTGGAGGGAAAAGCACTCGATAAGAGGTCGAGGGTTGGAGAGAGGAGAAAAAAAAAAAAGGGATCTCAGAAGAGAAAAGGGCGACCTGACAATTCAGGCAGGGACGAGATATCCCGACGAAAGACGAAACAGACGAAACAGGGAATCTTCGGGAAGGAATCGATCGATGGGTTTATTGGAATTTCTGGGAGGAAAATAAAATCAGATCAAATCAATCCAATAATCCCAAGGCGGCGGCCACCAAATTCTTATATTCCGGTATCTTTTGCAGCGCAAAGGGAAACAGGACGAATGATTTTAATTTTTACTCCCGAATCCACTCCATCGCCTGGTGTCTCTTTTTTATTAGCAACGCTGGGGAGAAAATCAAGCCGAAATAAAATTACCTCGATTATTCTTAGTACATCGCAACTCCCTCGCACGTTTCCACTCCGTGGCGCCAGAGCCTGAAGCTGGCGGCACCAGAAGGTCACCGTCAGCGTCCTCGGCTCCACAACGTGCGTTTCCCCGTCTCGCTGGCCGTGCGAGACGCCGGTGGAGCCTGCGCTGATCTGAATTATTCTGATTTCATTGTGCCTCCTGGGCTAATACGTTGACCACCTCCTAATGTCATTACTAGCCAAGCCTAAAGGGAGACCGATGCAGAGCTACCAGAGGGAACTCCCAAGGTTCCGACTCAGGGACCGTGATGAACGCATCGTCAGACCTTCGGCCCCCCTGAGAAGCTTACTTTCCCTAAACTACCCCGGATCAGTTGATCCAGGGGATCGTTCTATCGACCTGGACCACCGACTGACCTGACTGACCGGACTGGCCTGACACGGCCTGACACTGACCTTGACCCTTGGAAACTCCCCGCCGGACACAATAAAAAAAAAAAGGAGGCCGGACGAGACAGGCAACGTGACAGATGGGCATTCGAATGATGCCTTCTGCCATGCCGGCTGCATAAAGTTCCTGGGCATGCATGCAGTCTGGGAATCGTGCGACATGCAGCCGTCGACCTGTCCAGGAGGCCGTGACAATCCCTTTTACGGGAGAAATCACCCGCGCTCATTTGTCGACCTCCTGGTTCGAAACTTTAGGGCGACATTACTACTCCGTATTATTATTATTACTCTCGCAAAAGAGGGCAATCTAAAACCAGTCCACCATCCCCGGTCGAATCGGTCCACGGAGGATTGTGGCTTAACCCCCTTTTGACCAGGACCCTCCGATTAGCGAAGAACAACGGTGGAAGCTAATTTCCTTCTAGAAAGTTTCGAAGAACGGATCCTGCGTCTTAGTCGGGCACTTGGTCCTTCCAGGCTCCAGACCAGACTTTCGAGTCCGTTCCTTGGTATCTGACCTACTCCGTCGTACCTCCATTGATTCCCCTGGATCAATGGATGCCCCCCCCCCCCCCCCCCCCCCTCCTGATGCTGTCCTCCAAAGACACAGACATGTTACGTTAGACGACATGCTGACTGGGAGGACTCCGACTCCTACAATAGTAATACGGCAGAGAATACGCCGTGGAGCCGCCCTTGAGCCGGACTAAAAGTGTCTAGTGGCAGCTAGTCGACGGACCTTGACGGAGGAGGCTGCGACGGTTCCCACTTTCTTTTTTATTATTATTTTTTATTCTTTCACATTAGGCACCACCAGGGAATCATGGCTTTTTTTTTTTTTTTTTTTTTTTTTTTTCTCTCCTTTTTATTTTATTCCCTTTTTCTTTTCCCTCAAGAGGGGTCACCCTCCCCACTGCCACACGCTAACGGAGTCGTACATCGTTAGTCCGGCCTTCCGACGAGCTTCTAGAAAAAGTTCGGAAGGTCGATGGAATGATGGAAGCCTTCTAAAGCGTCCCAGTTCCATGTGCCGCTGCCGCTGCGTCACCCCGTCTGCGACTTGGACCATTTCCCAGTGGGGTTTGTCGATTATTAGATACGTCCTAGACCTGCGAACGGTGAGTGTGACCCTTCTTTTTTTTTTTTTTTCTTAATTGCCCTCCACACGGCTGAGAGGGATTTCTTTCATCTTCCTCCGTATTTTTCTGCGTACACCGTAGGTACTAGGTGGTATCTATCCCCTGGATTTGGACCTGGAGTTTCTGTCTGTCTGTGTCTGTGTCTGTGTATGTGCAGGTCCAAAATACCGACCGTCATCGTCCGTGCTAAGGATAGAATTTAAACCGAAACAGAAAAAAGAACCCTGTCTATAGAAAGCAACAAAAATAAAATAAAATAAAAAAACCGACGTGCATATCACTGCATCACCATGAAATCAACACCCCCCGACCGATAATTATCATTCGCTGCAGAAGTCCGTGTTGGTGAATCCATCCGAATAAAACGCCCCACTGTCCCTTCTCCGTACTAAAGTCGGTCGCTCACCCGCGCGCATTTGCATTTCAGGGGAGGGGGTTAGGAGAGAGAGAGAGAGAGAAAGAGAGAGAAAGAGCTGAGCCTGACGGGCTCAGCCCAGTCGACAGGGATTATTAACCACCTTTTTACGTACCGTGGATGACGTCGGACGGTCCCTGCTCCTACTCTAGTCCAGGTGAAGCACCTACTGGAAATAGTTAACCTGTGGGTAGGGTATAATCTACAGACGCCAGACGGAGACCCCTACCTACCTGGTACTTCCCCTAACTACGCCATAAGGAGGAGGAGGAGGTAGCATACTGCGTACGTACCTGCCACTATAGACATAGTACGGAGTAGATTCCTTTCCCTCAGACTCCGTCCTCGTAGGAGTACTAGAAAGGGGAGAGAACTCCATTGGCCGAAACGGACCAGGCCTGGCGCGTTTGGGAGGGTTTCAAGTGGTCGGATGTCGAATAGGAGAGACGAGACATCGTCCGACCCACTTCCTTTTTTTTTTTTTTTTCTCCCTTCCTTCTGGTCTGGTTCTGGTCGTTCGGAGAGATGCGGCCAAGAGGGTCTGTGGATGTGGATACCTTTTGCACGGAGTTCCTTGGAGCTAGGAAGCGATGAGGCTGGAGGGGTGGTCTGGTCTTTTTCCTTGTTCAGTCGGTTTTTTTTTTTTTTTATTATTGCGTGGAATGGTTTGGGTTATTTTATTTTTTTGTGTTTTGTCGCAACTTCATCGTTCATTGTTCATGATCTACTTTTACTCGATCGAGCAACGAAACAAACAAACAAACCGCAACCCTGGCAATACTACGGCATAACTATCGGCCTAATTAAACCAACCACGAATACCCAGGATTCTAGAAAGAACTCTCGAATCTCCCACGTAATTAATTAAATTTCTCTAGAATAAAAATAAGATATTCTAGAAAGAAAAAAGAAAGAAAGAAAAAAAACCACTCACCTGACCGATCGTCCCGAGCTACTGCTAGTCAGGGCACGTCGCGTGTGCCGCCCTGGCCGCGACGAATGATGCGCTTTCGCTCGTCCTTCGCAGTGGCTTGCTTCTTGTGGCGTGGGTTGATCCCTTGGGAGATCGAGATTTCGGTACCTGGCTGTGGCGTTTGGTGATGCTCAAATTAAAGGGTTTAACTTTGAGCTTGAGACTCAAAGCAAGCCTGAGCATGTTAGGACACTCATCTCCCCTAGTTAAGGGCCATTTTCTAGTCTCGCCATGAAACTATTCATAGCTATGCTATTCGTCCAGACGATCGACAAATGATCTTATGATGATTTGCATCGGGACGTGGCTTTCCAGATTCCTAGTATACTCCGTACCTCGGTGGGATATACATAGTACGTCTAAAAGACTAGACGCCGTTACGAGGAATCCATTTCGTCACATCTTGAAGATCGTGCGATTTTTCCCTGATTATTTCCCGGCTGCCGCAAGCGAGAGTGGATCAGACACCTCGTCCGTCGTCATACGAAGTACTCCTCCTTCATGATCGCTTTTCCCGCGACCCTCCGTATACTATGGCTACGTAGGATGCACTCAGGGTCGGCGTGAGTCATGGTCATCGATCTACCCTCTCGCGTAGAAGTTTCCCTGGGACCAGAGCACGGAGGAACGGACGGAGTAGGGATGATCGATGGGGAGTCCAGCCCGCTTTTTGCCGGGGCTATGACTTCATGGACCGTTGGGAATCAGAGAAAAGTGAGTGAGTACCGTTAGTGTTGAGCCTGAATGTTCCGAATCGACCAGAAAAAAAGAAAAGAAAAAAAAAAAAGCTCAGACGGGATTGTCGGCAGGGCATTGGGCATCGGTTTGGGGGCAGGCCAAGCAAGACAGGGTCGAGAAGGAGATTCGAGATCGCAAGCCCCGAGGTTTCGGAGTTGGACGGGCCTGCGAGAGGACAAAGAGTCAGAGCGAGAACGAGAGCCCGAGGAACGGTTCGTATTAGGATCTTCGAGGGCAGGGTTGCCTGTGCCGGGGCCCCGGTTGTGTGGCTGGTGACGGCGAGATTGAGTTGGGCATCTAGATTCTAGTGTTTTCGATGGGAGGGTTGGAGCAGAAAAAAATAAATAAAATAAAATGAACAGGGTCACAGAATGGCCAATTGGCAGGCTAACCACGTCGCCGGGATCACCGAGTGAGGCTGTCAGGAACGAGGAAAAAACTCTTCTCCCGAGCGAGTCAGGTAGACGAGACGAGATTAAGCAGAGGATGTCGAGAAACAAGGTTGAGGACGCGAACCATGGATCGCTGCGAGTCTCCTCGGCCGGCACTACGCAGTAGTTCTTTAGTTCTTTTGTGTTCTCCCAAAGTTACTCCGTGTCATTCGTTCTGTCCAACCCAACTTCATCAGCGAAGGATGAGAAACAAAGGAGAGAAAAAGGGTACCAACTGATGCATCAGGGGCAAAGGAATCCCGACAGAGATTAAAGACAACGAAAAAAGGGGACGCAATCGATCCATCCATTCATCTATCTATCTATAGTACCCTCACCATACTCCCCTGGGTAGATTGGCAAATCCTGCCCATCCTCCCCCGACCGACCGACCGACAACCGGCCGACCTTCTGGATTCTGGATTACACGGCTCGATCAACGGAGTCGGACAGTCACTCCGCTGTGGATGATGGGATGGGATGTCCTCCTTTCCCCTCGTACAGCATGCACTGCACACTGCACATTGCACATTCCGCCGTCTACCCCTTCTTCTTCCTCTTTTTTTTTCTTTTTCTTTTCTTTATTCCTTCTGATCCAACGATCGTCCATCCCACAAATGATCTTCGTTCGGCAGGTTGAATCCCGACACTATGCAGACGCGGCTCGAGTAGCACAAATCCCGACTTGACGGACTCCACCGGCGCCAGAAGAGACCCGCCGGGAGGGGAGGGAATCATTCTGGAAGACACGTAGAACTTCTTGGAAGTGGATACGGAGCACAGGGGAAACCTCACCTGGGCCAGACCTTCCGGACTGGTCCAATACCTCCCTAGTCAGTAATGCCTCCGTCCAGAGGACGAGTGGAGTGGCCGGCAGCTTTCCGTCGATGGGTGTGCTCCCCTTTTACTCCTAGTAGAGTAATATTAATTGTTATTGGGGGAGATGAAAGCGGTGCTGCGTAATATCCGGGATATTACTCTATCCTGACTAAAGATTGCCGGACTCTATGCAGAATTCTTCGTTTTCGTTAGAGGTCGCATTTTGCCGTATTCTCCGTGCAGACTGACCATCGGATCTGCATGTATCGAATATCGACCAGTATGCTGTCGAACACCCTTTAGAATATCGATCACTAATATCCCAATTGTATACTATCAACGAACCATGATCGTCCTCATCAGCTCCAGAGACATCATAACAGCCACTCTCGCCCACTTGGGACAATCCGGTCCATGTGGCATATCCCCGCCGCCTCCCATGCAAGGGCTGAAGAGCACAGACAGGTCATGTCCGCGCGACAGCCATGCGATCGGTCATAACAGGGCTGAACGGTTCAATCTGCGGCCTTTCAGACTGACATGTCCGATGTGAAGCCGTAGTTCCCGAGCAGGTGCCAATGATTGATTCGGAGCTGCACGATTGCATCATGGCGCCGTCGCGTGTCTGGAAACTCCAGTTTCGGATACATATTCTCGCAGATATATCATGAGGTGTACCACGGTGGCTTGGTGTGGGAGGTGGAGTTCATTCCTTTTCGAGTGTTCTGACGTGACCTCTAAGACGATACTGGTTGTGGTGACTCGCTTTGCCTCGTAGGGCCAGATGTCTGTGGCGAGACTGTATGTTTGCAACATGTCATCTTCTCGGACAGACTTGCCGCCACATCGGTGTGCTCCAGGCAAGTATCTCGAACATCAGCGAATGTGTTCTTCTCAAGGGATAATGGTGGCGAAATGAATGTCCCAGATCGGGTCGAGTTTTCGGGTGCATCAGGAGTATCCTATGCGACTGGCGAAAGCATCTATCAGTGGAGTATAGTCCATTGTATGATTTCTTTGACATGCCTCATCACACATACTTCCTTCTGGAAGATCAGATCTATGTGCAAGTATTGTCTGGTCCGCCCAAATATATCATCATGTCAATAAACCCGGTTTATATTCAGTGGGATTTGGAACTTCATGGCCGGTGGGCGTGAGTCAACTTCTCGTAACGCAGCGACATCAGCTGACAAGGGCTCTACGTATCGTGAGATTCTACACGGCTAGGTTTACTGTATGTAGTTTCCAATCACTTTCACTTCGCTCATCTCCATTTCGACATAAAGAAAGTTATCCCGGTGGTTCATTCTCCATAAGAAGCCCCCTTCTTTCCGCTGATCTTCTGCTTGACGGTCTCATATCTGGCGATCTCCATGCAGCCTCCATCCGTTCTCTCCCAGATGTATAGCAATGCCAGCATAACTTATTGCATTCGGAACCTATCGACACATCGACTCATTTCTATCCAGGAAAGGATGAATTAAGCGTCCAAACGGACCCGGCTTCCTGCCGGACTAGCTAGCCTCTATCACTCCAGCGTCGCTCTCGAACTCCGCGACGAGTTCTTGGACCTTGCCACGTCATAGACCTTGCGGAAGTTCAGCTTTTCCGACATATGCTCGGGGATTTCTTTTTTCTCCATCGCAAACTCTTCTTCTCGCGGATCTTGATCGTCTCGTCGAGGTTGAGGCCGGCACGCTCGATGTGATTGCTACCGGAGAATGTCTACCGCTGACTCTTTTCTCGGTGGTTTCTCTTGAAAGAATCATTGGGAAGGTCTCGATAAATTGGCGTGACGTGAGCTTTGGCAGTGGAGTCCATGAGAATGTTCTGGGGCAGATCTATGCAGGACGCATTCTAGATAGAGGGGGACAGAAGGCTTAGCAGTAAGGCTTTTTTGCTATAATGGAATTCTTTTAAAGCACTGTGCATAGGGACAACTATATAGCTTCCACTGGTCTATGCTTCTGCCTGGCAGTCTGCATGACAGATCCTACAAAGTATAATTAATCTATGGGTGCGTCTGGAGGAGAAGGCTTGGGAGTGGACCCTGCATGAATCAACTTTCTCTTTGTCTAAACCATCTCTGCAGAACTGCGTCTAAGCCTCATTCCTGGCCCCTCATCACGCCACACTAGCTCTCAAAACATACGCTGCATAAGCACCCTAGTGTGGCCTACAAGTCGCCTATCCGAACTCTCTTCCTCATATACAGCAATGTGGAGCATTCGCTCGCATGGAAGGTCCTGATCTTCGAACCTGATTGTGGCGCGACATTGCACATTCACTTTTATGGTACTCCACCCTTTCGGCACCCGTGAAAAGTCGCAGTCAATTCTGCCGACAATCGTCCCCTCTCGTTCTGATAATGATTCAGTTTGGGAACACAGGGCATGCTCGGATAGTGAGTGGACTTACGAGAAATTTGGTGGAGGGTTAGCGGCGTGGCACTCTCCACAATCAGAATATGACCGTCCTCATAAGGGGTGGGTGGCAGCACTATTGGGACATTCACAGAACTTCCATCACGGAATGGTTCTCCCTGCCAAAGGTTTAACACATCGACAGCAACTAAATAGGCCAAGCGGGCGGATTACCTTTGCGAATATCTGCATGGTTTCCACCTGGTCCGGAAATGCCATGTAGTAATACTTCCAGATCTTAAAAGTGAATCCGGATTGCCCATCGATGCCGCACATTGTGCCGCCGAGCGAAACTGCCTGCACTCGATGGTCCCTATGAACTCTCGGTAAGCTTTGGAAGGCGCTAGAAGGGGCTATAATGCAATGAGAGAGGCAGAGATCTTACGGATCACTCGGCTGATAGACCTTGACGTTGAGATCTCGTTCGAGGGTGTTTCAGATTATGTCCGAAAATTCGGGAGACTGGGTTAGACCCCCAACTAGAAGTACTTTCTGTCAGACATGTTAGCCATTCGATCTAGAGTCAAGAGTTCTCGAATGAGGGAGTACTTTAATCAAGTCGCCGCCGACATAAACGCTCGCGCAATCGATTTGCTGTTTTATGTAGCCGACAATCTTTGTGACAAGTTCCTTGTAAACCTCGTTGGCTACTGCTAGGGGGATGCCTACGCGACCCGGGTCCATCAGAGATATAGGACCATACGGGAAAGCCCCCGGGGCCCATTGGGTGAAGGGGACATCAATAAACCGAAGACCCTCTCTTCTCGAGCTGCGATTTGTTTGACGCTGCAGCACTCTATGATAGGCTAAACACTGAAGCTGAACTGCCCCCCAGGCTTTACCTAATGAAGGATTAGCTGGCATTATAACTTTACAGGGTCTTGCTTACTGGTATATGCTGTTAGCCTCTGGTACTCAAAGGAAGGGTTTGTCTGTTCGACATGAAAGGCCGTCAAGTCCTGGTCGTCTTAGTAGAATAAAAGCAACCCGCGTTTACCCTGAAATGGGTTCTTACTATCGTACTTCCGCCGCAATCGCAAACAATTGCCCCTTCATTTTCCTGCCGGAGAAAGTCCCGGTCATTAAGATAACAGCGATGGTGAAAGGTGAGCAGCAGGGTCTAGTTACCAGGCTGAACTGACCCATGTCAGATCCTATTTCATTGGCTGCGTAGACTGCAACAGCCTCAGCTTCGGTGATAAAGCAGACTTTGGCATTCTGATGACCAAAGCCTGCTAGATGAGCCACCTTCTTCATCGTCATGCGGGTATTTTCTGACCAGGTAGCCGGAATTGTAAAAGTGTAGACTCGTGGTAGGTTCTTGAGATGAGGAAAATCTTCCAATTCAGCCCGGAAGTACTGTAGCAGCATACCTAGGAAGTCTACCACGACTAGATACGGGGTTTCTTGCTGCTTCGTAGGTAGTCGTTCCCGTGCCTGCTTGACGAGACCCTGGATCATTGTGTCATCGGGCTCATCCACAATACATGATTCATGCAATATATGTTTGAGCCAATAGACACAGTTCGGATCCTTTTGGGCAAGCTGGCCAATAGCGTATGGCTTTTTTGAGGTGTATGCAATCGCCGTTGGGATCATAGAGCTTCCATGGAGGCAAAAAGGGCGGGGGTATATGGTACGTTCGCCAGACTGTCGGTAGGAGACCACTGCGTAGAAGAGGGTGTGAGTGACGATGACACTTGGGGGGAACATCTGGCGGTGTGGTACCTGTCTTGCTGGCTCCAAAATCAATTCCAACGACTAGACTTGAGCTTTCCATGGTGAGTAAGGAAATAGAACGTCCGTGGGAATTTGTAGTGGTTTGGACGGGTTAGCGAGAGGAAAGCGAAATGGCAGAATATCAAATGCGACATTTGAGCGGTCTTAAGGAAAAGAAGTTGGGGGGAAACGTCATACCTGGTTGGGGTTGTAGTTGTAGTTGTCGTTTGCTGTTGTGATGGTTGTGATTGGTGTTTGTAGGCTGAGAGACAAGACAAAGACCAAGTCATGGGGATGAGAGGCAATCCCCCTCTTCCTCTTTGTTTCTCCCCATCTCTTTCCTTCCCACATTTATGATCATACTCACATCCCATCTTCATCAACTCTGAGCATCATGGTGAACACACGAGGCCAGAAGAGTAAAGCAAAGGTTGTCAGTTCCCTCCTCGCTCATCTACCACCCTACTCACGTCTGGTCCTCATATAGAAACGGCGCATTGCTCAGTCCCCAAAGGATGAAGTTCCATCTGATCCACCCTCTGAGACAAAAGCAGTTGATGGCAGTCAGTTGTCCAGAAAGCCCTCGGTACACCTGACCGCTGAAGAGTACGAAACCTATAAGAGCCATTGCAACCGCATGTCAATCAGTCGAGTCGGATACAATCCCCATCCAGATATGGTCACCCGCAACTATGGTCAACTCAGCAGTGACATAAAAAACTGGACGGACAGATACGTCTGCGAAGAAATGCCGTCTCTTTCCGAGGAGCAGAAGCAAAAGATCATTGAAAGCCTTGAGACCTACTGCATCCAAGAATCTTGGGATACAATTCAGTCACTCCTCTCTCCTTTATCCCGCGAACATTTTCACCTGGGCTTGTGTGAAGCAATGATCAATAAATGGCTCTTCACTCATTTTCTCGATAGGACATTCTGGTTCCTGGATGGAAAACGTGATGAAACCGATGAGATTGGGGATCCGTTGTTCTCCGAGCGGCTCCAGTATCTGTATCAGAGATACTATCACGGTAAGTGTTCCGCCAGTTTCTGCTCCGATTTATGGATGTATTTCTGACAGATAGGTTCTAGCAAGCCCAGTCAATGCAGTCTGGTGGAAAATGGTCACTCTCGGTCTTGCCAATCTGAAGAAAGATTCCACCCCCAAGTGCCCTCGTGACAACGAGTTTGGAGACGAGAATCGAAAGCGACAGGCGGATATGGCAGAAAGTCTGGCGAACCAGCTTCTATCAGACAGCTTGTTTCAGCTGTTCCTCAGCGATCTGCCTGACGAGGAAGAAGAGACTATGCGCCGCGATTTCCTAATCACCATATTCAAATCCGGGGCGGAGCACCTCACCGCGCACGAGGTTACCCTAGGTGGACAGGTGAAGGTTCATCAACTGCCCGAGTTGGAGAAGTTTGACCCCTCTACAGGGCTTATGTTCTCGGGTCTCGTTCATGGGCGTGAGCGGAAGGACACCCCGCCGGTCATACCCAAGCCTCACGGCCGGGTCATTCTCGTCCTAAGACCTGGGGTGTACCGTTACGATCTGCCCAACAAATTCGTGCCATATGATCGTCACGTCAGTCTTGTTGAATTACCGACTGATGCTGACTCTTATCTGCTTTGCAAGGCCGAGGTAGTGGTGGAAGCAGCTCAGGCCAGCCCATCTGACGCAAACCAAGCCGACCCTAATGATCAAGATGTTTGGTTTGCGCGCGATTGCTACTAAACCATTCCATCGCTCTCGAACCCTTCGCTTTCAAGTGTTTTTGTTCTTGGGTTGGGGTTTTTTTTTTTTTTTTTTTTTTTTTTTTTTTATTTATTTTTTTGTCCTCTTTCCTTTCTTTCGTTCTTTGTTTTCTTTACTCGTGCTTTCACTGTCGACTTTATTGAATCAACTACTGTCGCTCATCCCTGAATGTTAACTATTTCGGTGTTTTTGAAGAAATGTCCAAAGATGTAAATCGTCCAACCCTTGTTGCTATCCACATGAAACAAAAAGATCAGCAAGACGTAAGCTAAAAATTCCTTTCACCAATTAGTGTCAGGATTCATCGCTAGTTGTAAAGCAACGAGCTCAAATCGACCCTAGAAGCCGGATGTCACGTGCACCGAGCCGTGAAATCATCGCGTCGCATGTCTTCAGCATCATTTCGTCAACCACAGCTTCCCAGCTTGAACGCAAGGAGGAAGGGCATACAGAGGGGATATAGGGTATGTGAATCTCACCCAGATGGTCAGCACACACAGCAGCAATACCCAAGTGACGACTCCGAACACCTGTGACATCTTATTTGATATTTTCCGCCTTCAATAGAGGATCCATCTCAACCTCATCTCACACCAACCACGCGAAAATCAAACCAAACCATGGCCCTCCGACCAACCCTCACCAAACACCTCTCGACCTCGCTATCCCTCTCCACCTCTCTCTCCCTCCGCTCCCACTCCACCTCCGTCTCCGCAAATGAACTCTCCCATTTCTCCGCCCTCGCCAGCAGCTGGTGGGATCCCATGGGTTCCTCGCGCGTCCTACACCTCATGAACCCTCTCCGCCACGACTTCATCGCGTCCTGCCTATCCGAGGGTCTGCCCGCTCCGTCTCCCTCGTCCTCCGCGTCTTCCCCGAACTCCCTCCGCTATCTAGACGTCGGCTGCGGAGGCGGCATCTTCGCTGAATCGCTGGCCCGCACGATCCCTTCCTCCTCCTCCTCCTCTCAGACCCAAACCCAGACCCAACCCTCGTCAACCGACCAACACCAACCCACCCCCACCCGCGCCGCCAGCATCACCGCCATCGACCCGACCTCCACCCTCATCCAGATCGCGCGCGACCACGCCCGCTCAGACCCCAAGGTCGCCGCGCACCTGTCCTCCGGCAAATTCCAATACCGGAATTGCACGCTGGAGGATGTGGTGCGCGCGCATACCCAGGCCCAGTCTCAAGAGTCAGACGCGCAGACGCAGACGCAATTCGACATCGTCACGCTCTTCGAAGTGCTCGAGCACATCGACACCAACGCGACGTCGTCCCCGCTGCGCTTCCTCACCGACTGTCTGCGTCTCGTCCGCCCCGGCGGCTGGCTCATCGGGTCGACCATCTCGCGCAGTCTGCCGTCGTTCCTGGTCAACCAGGTGATTGCGGAGGCGCCGTGGCCGATTGGCGTCGTGCCGAGGGGGACGCACGATTGGGCGAAGTTTGTGAATCCGGGCGAGTTGAAGGGGTGGTTGGGGGAGGGGTTGGTGATGCAGGCTAAAGGTCAGGGTCAGGGTCAGTCTGGGGGTGAGGGGAAGGTGACGCAGATGCAGTGGAAGTGTGATGGGGTGATGTATTTTCCTGGGTTGGGGTGGAGGATTGTTTCGGGGTCTGAGGATTGGGGGAATTATTTCTGGGCTGTGAGGAAGGGGTTGTAGATCGTCTGTTTCTTCTATCACTTTGTTGGATTGATTGATGGTGGTTGATTGTGGGATGGGTGGATGTATTTGTACCTGTGGAAAAGAGGTTGATGTATGTATATATGATTGTAGAATAGTATAGACTAGTGATAAAACTTAAATAAAAACCGAGTTATGTATTAAGTATCGGGTTGTGCGGAAGTATATACAACACAGCTCCTGGCGCAGACTCCCATTAAGAAAAAGAGAGAAGAGCACAAACACTCCAGACAGACCTAACCCCCAAAGCCATCAAAGAAAAACAAAAAGCAAGCTAGTAATAGAAACACGAAGAGGAAGAAGGCGAATCAAATTCCCGTAACATTAAGCCCCGCCCCCGCTACGGCATCAGAACCAGGGAGCAGAGGACACGAGCAGGCCGGAAGTGGAGGGAGGGAAGGCGAGGATCGCGAGAAGAGAGAGGCGGCGACAGTACCAGCCGTGGTCCCCTTTTCGGCGGAGAGAAGACCGAAGCGCAGGAAGACTTCGGAAGTGGTGACGATGATGGAGATGAGGATGAGGACGATGATGATCCATGTTTGGTCTGGATTTGCAGAGTTAGTCCTAGGTTCATGCGAGGTCGAAGGAAGAGGGAAAGAGCTTACGAGAGGTCTTGTTGTCAGCGATGGAGTCGGACAGGATCTCGGCAAGGTCGAGGAAGACGCGGCAGCGTTCGTTGAGCACTTGGATGCGCGGCTTGATTTCGAGGTATTCGCGGACCGCGATATAGAGAGGGTACAGCGTGGGTTCGCTCTCCCAGAAGAAATTGGGAACGTCGAGCATGTTGGAGGCTTAAACGGTCTGGTTAGCTTTGGTTGGGGGAAATAGAGCATTCATGATTGAAAACTTACAAAGGTTGACCTCTACTCGACTCTTGAAAAGTCTCCCCAGGATCCTGAAGACCTCCTCTCGCTTCATGCCAAGTTGACCCGTCATGGCTAGTCTGCGCGGAATGTCCTTGGCCTCCGCCATCTGGCGGGCCATGACTTCTTCGAAGAAGCAGAGCTTGGTGCTCTGGGCGATGCCATGACTGATAGCCAGCTTAATCATGTGGTCGCCACTTCGCAGAGTGATCATGTCGTTGTACACGCGGGGCCGAGTGATCTCGGTGGAATATTCAAAGTGGAACTCCTCCGTTTCGAAATCTTCCTCCAGCAAAGGCATCGTGGCCAGCGCAATGGGTGTGCCGGTGGCGGACGACGTCGCGAAAGCCAAGTCGGCAAGGAGGTCTTTCTCCTGCCTCTCGGTGAAATTCCAAAAGACAACCACTCCGTAGCTGAACACGAACATCTCGGCCACGTTGTATGGCAGACTCGCCGGCGTGGAAATACCAGGAGGCAGCTCATGATTGGCACGCTCGTGAAGGGTGGCATTGGAGTTATGGGATCCGCTTCCTGGATCCATATGAGAACCTTCCTCATGCTCCACATCATGATGCATCAAACCCTCGTCTTGCTGATTCTCGCCGTCGAGGTGTCGCGGCGAGCCATGCTCTCCCCGGCCGATGACCGAATGCTCCTCCGCTTCGACCATATAGTCATGGTGATCACGCAGTTCGTTTCGCTCGATTTCCTCGTCGAGGAATGATTTCCCACCGGGTCTTTTAACCATTGGACTACTTCTCAGCCTGTAGCCTTCGGTTCCCTGCAACAATGGGAGATGATATGCCGTGTACAGACAGTCATCGTACAGCTTCGTTCGCCCACCATGTTTATCCTTCACAAACGACGCCAGCGAGCTCATCTTGTAGGCCTGCGCCGTGCAGTACGCAGTCACACGGGACAGCTTCTCGGCGCGCCGCGCCTTGGGCAAACGCTCCGCATAGCTTTTCGCCTTCTCGGGCGCCACCTTTCGACGCCGCGACAGTTCTTCCTCTGCCAGCAGGGGTGCAATATCATTATCCTCGCCAAAATCTCCACCCAGCCTCCTCTGCGCCAGAAGCCGCCGTCTTATTGACTCCGGATCGACGTTTTTCTCGCTGGCCAGTCTCTGCACGAGTTCCTCGTCCACCGCCTCTTCCTCATCTTCATCTTCGTCCGGCGACCGTTCGTCGACTCCCTCCGCCTCCGGCAAAAGAACCAGCTTCTCGCTCACTTTGGTCGTCCGAGGAGGGAGACGCGACTGGGCCGCAAGACGCCCTATGGAGGCTGCGCTGCCTGAGGCGCTGGCACCGCCAGCGGATGGGTTCGCGCTGCCTCCTGCACCGATTAATCCACCCGCTGCGGATGCCAGACGAGATCTTGGGCGCACCCTCGCACTTTGGGCGGGATGACGTTGCTGCATGGAGGGAACGTCAGAGGTATATTGAAGGACGTTGTCGACTGTGATGAATCGGGTAGACGGAGAACGACGACGTCGGGACTGAGCGGAAGATATTTGATCGCGCGAGTCGGTTACCTATAGCCCAATTCGAATGACAGAATTAATAAAAAAGAACCAGAGCTGAGATATAGCAGGAACCAAGCGATACTCACCAGTACATGAGGACTTCTCTGGCCCGGAGTCCGTCCTCTTGCGGGGGCCATGATAGATCACTGTAATAAACCACGAAGGATCCAACTTCTCTAGCAAAAAAGAAAATGCCCGAGAGACAAAAAAAAGAGGCGTCTTCAGAAGTGACACCAATGCTGGGAGTAGAAATAAAAACGTCTCACAAACGCAATTGAAATCACCGGTCGGTCGGTCGATCGGTCGCTTGAGAATCGCGATTGCAAAGATAGCAACACCCAGACCCACAAAATCCAGCACAGGCAGTATCAATCAATCCACCATACTTTCCACAATGCAGATACTTCAGAGATCACCAGACCGCGTCGAGACAGCGATTCTCGTCACGTCTGAGGGGAAAGCGATGGAGAGCCGACGGAGGTGCTGAATCCATCCAGCAAGCTCCTCACCGCCTTGAGCCAGCCGGCGCTAGGCCCCAGCGGGTCTAGCGTCTGATAACGCATGAAGAATGACGTCGACGGAGCCGCGGCGGTCGCGGTCACGGCCGTACGAGCCAATACAGGCAGCATACGGTATTGAAACGCCGACCCATGTTTCCGGCGAGCCACGTGCGGCACGGGCTGAGTGGGGGCTAGAACCAGAGCGGCCTAGTGGTCGTCTTTGATCCATCCATGGTTGATCCGGGGTAAGTCAATCAGTCATTCGGAAAGCTTCGAGGGCAGCGGTCCTGATTTCCCTGATCGGAGAGGTGCATGTGACGGGGCTTGCGCTTGGAACAGAATCTGTATGTCTCGCAAGACTGCGGGGTGGACTTGATTCACATTGGTTGTTGCTGATTCGAGGTTCGACATGCATGGTGGTTCGGAGGTAAAGACAATGGCCTACTCTGGATTACGTCGGAATACGAGAAATTCTAACAAAGTACCGGGGTTTGAACCCTAAAAGATTGATAGTTGGCCTGCGTCAAAGCCCCCTTGCAGGAAAGCCTTCCTTGCGTGATGGTGATAGATCTCTAAATTTTGATTGATTGGATTACATGCACATGTTTTGGCTAGTATAAAAGTGACAAGATGCGATTATGCAAAAGGATCAGACAAAGGAAAAACATCAATATGTAAAAAAAGGAAAAACATATCCATCAGAAAACTCCTCGAAGCATGGGGGAGATATATGTGGCTTCGTCATGCTAAATTATGCAATCAAATGGGAAAACAATGCAAATCGGTTCCGTGGATACCCGAAGCTGTCCAAAATCATACAATTAATAAGAAACAAACCGGACGAGCCACGCGGAAATTATGATAGCCGGTCTCGGAGACGACGGTCTTCGTCCCAGATCTCTTTTTTCATGCGCTGCAATTTGGCGTGCTGCCTTTGCAAACGTTCCACGTCCGCCCGCGGAGGGTCTGGATGGGACGCCATGGAATCATGCAACGTGCGGTACTTGGCATAGTTTTGCTTGAACAGCTGCGATTTGTCCCGCAGCTGCTGGAAAAGGATCTCCCGGCTGAGGGGAGGTGATGCGCTGCCGGTGCTGCCGCTCGACGTGCTCACAGCCCGTCGTCGCTTGTGCTCCAAGTCTCCAGTGGTCCGTCCGGCCGCGAGAGGTCGAGTCACCGCTGGCCGCTCCAACTCTGCCTTCCGCTTCAAAGGGTTTGCCACCGGAGTCGGAGTCGATTTCACAACTCCGTTGGTCTTGACCAGTTTTGCGGGGGCAGGCAGCGTCTTGGTGGCTTGCTTGGTCTTGGCGACCTGCGTGATCAACGGAGAAGAGGACGAAGAGCTGCTGGTGTTGTTTTGACTGGAAGAGCGACTGCGGTTCTGCAGCTCGGAGGCATTGGTTGGGGGCGAAGAGCCAAGCGGCGAGGGCTTTTGGGGAGACTTTTGGCCGGGGCCCCGGGAAGATGGCAGTCTCTTCGACGAGACGGATTTATTGGAGATCTGCGAAGACTCGGATTTGGACGGTGGAACCTCGGGAGCCTCCACCTTGGGCGTTGGAGCGTGGGAAGAATCACGGGGGGTGGTGTCGATCGGCTTGCTGGGGGCTTTGGCTTTGGGCTTGGCCTTCTCAAGCTTAGGCTTCTCGACCGGTGGCGCATCTGGAATGTCCGTATCATCGTCGTCCGAATCATTGACATACTCTGCCGATTTGAATTTGCCGTCGGGTTTGATCACCGGCTTCTTCTCGGCCTTCTTGGTAATCCGACCAGTCAAGGTGCTGTTGCCCGCAGTCTTGCTCTTGGTGGCAGGCTTCTTGGCGGCGTCCTTCTCGGCAACCTTTTTCTTCTGTGTCGCCGCAGTGGGCTTGGGGGCGGACGTGGGCTCTGCGCTTCTTTTGGCGGTAGGGCCACTTGCACCGGTCCGATCGGTGTCCGCGCCGGTGGTGTAACCCTCCTTGCCCGCGTCGTCGGCGCTTTGCACTTGGATCCTAGGGGTCTCCGGTTTCTTCTTCGGACCCGTCTGCAAGTTCAGCCGCGAGAGACATTTGCCCTTGCCGCGTTCTTCCTTGGGGAGAAGCGTCTGCCAAAGCTTGTCGGTGCGAGAGATTCGCAAACGGTCAAATGCCGAAATCGCATTCTCAATGGCCTCCTGGCGATCTTCCTGGGAAGGGTATGGGAATTTCCACACGTCCAGCTCTTTATAGGTTCGGTCCTTGAGGTCAAACTTCTCCGGGTTGATTCGGTTTTTGACGCCGTATTGCTGGGCTAGGGCCTCGCAGTCCTCTGGAGACGCCCGGGTCTGGCGGGCGAGGAATTTGGTGGAAACGGCACGAACGGCGAGAAGGTGAACGAAGGGAGTCTTGAGGGCGTCGAGGCGAATGCGATCTTTGTTTTGTGGGAGCGGAGCGGAGGTAGGTGTGAGGGGAGGAATCGAGGTGGGCGAACGAGAAACACCCAGAGCAGGGCTCGAGGTCAGAGAGCGATTGGAGGCACCGTTTTTCAGCAACCGGTCTTTCTCCAATTCAGATTTGTTCGAGGATCGGCCGGCCAAGAGCGCAGCCTGGCGCCCGCTGGCGGACCGACCGTCACCCGCTCGCAAAGCCCGGACATCTTCAATCAGATGAGTCTTCCTGGATTCCTTCCCTCTCTCGAAAGCGTTCAGGCTCTGCTCAAGGTTGGCCAAGGCCTGGTCGGTGGCCGCGGTCGCCTCCCTAGCCTTTTCCACCTCCAAGCTGTGGCTCAGAACGCCGGTGAAATAGAGGTTCTCTTTGTCAGCGGAGCTCCCGCGGTAGATCTCGGAGGGAAGCGTTTCGGCGAAGGAGTGGAACGATTGGGATTTGGAGCCGTAGTAGAGAGCCGGATGCTTCCCTAGGCGAACTCGGGCGGGTTTGTCGTTTCGTAAAGTCTGGATCAGGTCGTCGAGGGTGTTCTGGGCCAGATTCAACCGCATGATCTGGGGAGGTTTACCGGCAGGGTTGTCTCTGCAGAGAGACAACCCGGTCTCGGGAACGTCCAGTGCCGGCATGAGGACGACGGGAGGGTGGGAGGAGCAACGAGGAGGGTGGTAAACAGCGAGAGCACAGGTTGCACGGAGCGTCCGATCTTCGGAAGGGAACGAGGAATTGAGGGAATGAATTGTCTTGGGTCCAGAACAAGGACGGGAAGCAGCGTTGAAGCTGCGGGTCAGTGGCCGAATGCACGGGAGGCCGGGTTGCAACTCCGTGCCATAGGATCAAGCAATGGAGAACAGAGGAGAGCAAAAGAGGGAGCTTGCATAAGGAAGAGCAACCGGAATCCGAGAGGCACCCAAACCCATGGCAGTAGGGCAAGGTTTGGGGGGAGGGCCTCAATAAGAAACAGTCGGGATTCGGAAAGAGAGAAGGGTGGTGTAGTGGGGGGAGGAGGAAAGAAAAGAAAGAAGAGGGTGGGTAGGGAAGAGTAAGGAAAGAGAAAGGAAAAAAGAGGGAGAGAAAGAGAAAGAGAGAGTGAGATGATGCCAAACGAAAGCCGGACGAGAGTGTAAGGCGGCCTGGCCTTGGAGCGGAGAGCGAGGACGGCGAAGGACGGGAGTGGGGAGCAAAGCAGCGGTATGGTATCGTTCAGGGTACCTCTTTCTGGGTCCCAAGGAGAACGCAGCGTTGTCAGGCCCGCTAGAGGTTCAAGCTAAGAATAATAATCACGGCAGTAAGAATGGATAATTAACCCCCAGGCGAAAAAAAAATACAAAATAAAAGTAAAATCAAGATCAGGACTCCGTAATAATACTGGAATGATCTGATTCCTCTAGGATTAATTTATTTAACTGCACTCCGATTGTTACCGTCTCCTGCACTACGGGCTCCGGTCCTTCTCAGAAGGCAGATTCAGAGGGCAGGAATCAGGAATTCAGCGTGTACGTATGGCGGCGTAATAGGAGGTTTTCCCGTGCGAGTCGACTGACTCGGGCGTTATTTATGTCTGTCGAACCCGACGGGGACCCGAATCATGGACAATGGACTTGATTTCGTCCCTTGTTATTGCAGAGGGGTCGTTTTCTCTCCTTTCTCTCTTTTTCTCTCCTTTCTTTCAAATGTGTTCAATGTCTCGATATTCATTGTATACCGTGACAATTCACAAGGAGGGGTGGACTGAGTATCTACTTCTCCGTGTCCACTTGCTCGGTGTGGCATACAGAAGGTTACTTTGCGGAAGAATCAGACTCGGAAGGGGAGAAAGCATAGTACGGCCACTAGTACGGGACGACCGCGTACCGTATGGAGTCACGTCCGAGAGAGGGAAAGTAACTTAATAAGTTAATCCCCAATCCCAAATCCAAATAAGTTGCGGTATTACGGACGCCAGCAGTTGGGTACCCTTTACCTGCACTAGATGTGATTGGGTTGGAGGCGCATTTGCATTTGCATTTTCAATTAAGGTAACCATTCGCATGAATAAATGACAGGCGGACAAGTCAAGACCGGACAATGGGCCGCTGCTGCTGCGGCCGAATTCTGGAACACTAACTGATCCCTACCACCGATCGATCGGATCCTGGATCGAGGGCCAGGAGAACGTTGTCTGCCTCTTGTCGGACCCATTCTTTGTGATGTGTATGACACTCGAGGCAAAGGGGATGAATGGAATCACTGGAAGGCAATACCGGATAATGGATGAATGGATTCAGGAATTCATGAATCCATAGGTTAATGATTCATGAATGAGAGAGTAGTCCCTCACCAAGGCACTACTGAACGGCAGAAGAACAAGGAAGAGGGGATGATTCTGCCACCCTGATTGTTCCAAGAATATAACATCATCACTTGCCCTTTGTTCCCTTGGGTCGGTCGGTACCAGACCCGGTATCTGACAGTAATTACGGGAGGCTGGCCCTGTCGCTGCCTGTCTCTGCCTGCCCCCACCGCGTCCGCTCGTGACAGGAGAGGCACAGCCAGTCATGCCGGTACACCACCGGAAATGAGGGTCCCTCCGGAGTCATCAGTCAATTGCTGAATAATTGGGGATTCAGAGTCCTTGTGAGTGAGTACCTGGGTCGTTATGGTTCTCCATTAATAAGGAGGGGAACCAGGGAATCCCTTATGGAGGGTCAACTGAGGTGACAAATGACAATACCTGAAGAACTCGGTAATTAATCCGTCGAGCGAATTATCCCGTCCTGCCTTGCATCTTCACACCCTCGCTAGCATCCTGGACGCCCCGTCCAGACTAACTCTATAATATTGACATTTATATTTATTTGTCTTATGGTTATTATCACCCTCAGAATAATGAATATGACCCTGTCGGACCCCAGGCCGAAAGGGCAAATTCCAAGTTCGCAACCGTCACCGGATCAGCGTCAGAATCACCGGTTCAGGGTGACGGGAGATCACCCGTCCGAGAACCAGCCTCGACCGTTTGCTCTCCTTTTCCCTTTCTTACTAGGTACGATTACTATTATTATGATGATTACCTGGTTGTCTGTACGGTACCCTGCCTTCGGTCTGACGCGCGAGCCATCGATGTTCCCCACCGCCAGGTAAGAAAATGCAAGATGGCCAGCTCTGCATCGTCTCGCAGCAGCAGCAGCATCTCGTTCTCGCCGCTAGAGGGTGCGGAGAAAGCATCGGAGAGGGAAGGGGAGATATTCGGCACCCAGACAGCCACATCACGTAGGTGGCCGTCCGGTTACGGAATCTCCGGTGGCCCGTACATAATACCTGTCGATTTATTGATCCCATTGGACTCGACGACTGGATTTGATGGATGGACACACATTCTTGAATCGATGTCGTCGCGTCGAAGAACTCCTCCGGACCAGATGGACGATCCCGGTCACAGGCTACATTTACAGTCGGCCGGGATCTAACCGAAACAAACCAACCGGTTGATCTCTCTCCACTGCAGAACCATTGGATGAGGACGATTCCCTCGTCGTCTTACATTGTTCGCACGGAGCCCATCGCCGACTCCTGCCGCATTGTACGGAGTAGCTCGATGCTAAATCAAATAAATAGCCTGGTGGCCCTGGCAGAAAAGAGTGGGAGATGAGCAAGAAGGAAAAAAAAAAAAAGGTAAAGCCCAAGAGAGCAGGAATCGTCGCTTCCGATTTGCCTGGACCTGAGGGGGCCAACCTTTTGGCTGCGATCATTCCGTGCCAGTAATGAAGGGATGGTCACATTTTACACTATTTAGCTGGGCAATCGTAGTTCGCGAGGACTGACTGGCTGTGAATTTCCCTGGCCAGTAATTTCTTTTTCTCTCTCGATTCTGTCGCTCTCAGGCATGGACTTCTTATTAGGATCTCCCCATCCTACTCTGCGTCGTTATACACATCCATTTAGCCGACGAGCTGATGCCGTCCCCCCCCTCTCCGGCCCCGACTCTAGTACGACGGCGTAGGAGTAACTACCTACTCCCTTGGGTATCTGTTTCCTAGGGTACGGACCAAAATCCATCGGCCCATTCGAATAAGCAGCGGGGACCCTGAAAGGTAAGAAGGTAAGAAGGAGGTGGGGAGGAATGTGCACTAAAATCGACTAACCGGGCAAGGTCAGGGAAACGATATCTCTTCTCGAACCAGATGAGAGGGGTAATTCGACTGTACATTCAGTCCGAGTCAGAGCCAGTCACCCGTACCTTACGGCGCAGGAAACAGACAAAGTACCTGGGTAGGAGGTAGTCATACAGTCCTAGTACAGGGGAGCAGGGACTCTAAACTTCTAGTTCGAAGTCCTTGGCTCCATCCGGTAATCTGGTCAGCTTGGGTACTCTTCGGCCGTTAAATCATGCAGATGGCAATGGTATTATTGCTCTCAGATCCTCGAGAAAAGCAACGCGAAACAACACCCCCTCGGAATGCTCAGCTTTCGTATCTTGCCAGTCATCGCCGACCAACTGGGCAGACTGGGGCACGCCCTGACTTCGTGTTACGCTTCATTGGCGGCCAATCCACGTGTTTCGAAGTGGATGAGTGAGATCTTTGCCCGGAAAACCAACCATACTGGGGTGATACTTAATATACGCAGGAATCATCGCAACGTAGTCGGAGGCGAATCTGCGGACTGAATTCGCCACCTACAAGTCATTCCTGCTCTTGTCAAGTGTCATGGGAAAAGGTCGCCCTGCATGGATGATTGCAGCCCCGACCTACGGATTGACCTCTTAACTTCCTATTTGCCTCGAGAAATGACCGATCGGTGCGGAATACACTTTGACCCCGTAAGTAAGGAAGAACGGAAAATCCCCCGTCGTCGATAGGCACACACACACTCTCTCTCTTTCTCTCTCTTACGCAGTACTCTCATACTCTCGTCTGCCCCCTCTTCAGGGAACATTTAACATTTAGGCGTTCCTTTCCGGGAAGGGATGGATGGATAGAGAATCTAGATTTGCCAGCAGACCTCCCCCCATTCCGTCCAGAGACTGAGCACTGTATCTGTAGTCACTTGGTTATTCCCCATCCATCAATCACTCCCTCCGTCCTCAATGGTCCTCTGACCGTCTGTCCGGCAGAGGAGGTTACACTTACACGATGTCACCTACACTCGGTACCTCTCGTTCGCTCAACCGGACGCACCCTGTCCCACCCTCCAATAGAGTTTTGTCTTGTCTGGAGCACCGGATGAGGATTTGACTTAAGCCTCTTTTTTTTTTTCTTCCTTCTATTGCCTTTGTGAGGGCTGGCTGGGAAATTCATCATTGGTGGGCCCTACCAATGCGAGGGATCCGACCGTACAGTGATCGAGAGGTATTGGTAGGTATTGGTATTACCTGCCGTAAGGTACTGGTAGATACCAGATACCTTACCGGTTTAAGCTTACGGGCTCCATTTCGATACCGCAGGACAAACCACGGGAAATTCGCGGCCTCCTGTGCCAACGCATCCTTCTTCCTTCGGTAGGTAGCTACATCATCGTAGATATCCGTGGATGCTACCTAGGTATTCGATTTGACTTGCCGTTGTGGTCATTGGAGATGATCGCAGTCACAATTACTGCCCTCTCGTCGACAATGTTGGTTCTTTGCTTACTGTACTTTACTTGAGTTGAGACTACCAAGGTAGAGAGAGAGAGAGGTACCTTGCTATGTCCCTGAACAGTCTCAACAGTATATGCGTAGGTAGTGGTGACCAGCTGAGACCTGCCGAACCATTTTCCAGAGTCCCCCAGGAGGCAGTTTGAGCTTCCCCGTAACACCTCCTGCTGCGCACTCTGAACTTTACCCCTTTCTCATCTACCCGCCGGAGTGACTCGGTGCCAACCGTAAAATTAAGGTCGGCTGGGTAAGGGTGACCGTCCAGGAGAACCTGAATCTGAATCTCCTTCAGGGTCGGTCGAACAGCTAGCTAGCTACTCCGGAGGGCTGATACTGATTACTGATAGGCAAACACGATCCTTTTTTCTTTTTTTTTTATTGCTGCTGATTTGCTGCCGCATGGGCTGGGCTATATTTACCCACTCCAGGGCAGTCTAACTGCGCCAGAATAATGGGTCCGGATCTACGATTTCCTTTTTATTTTTATTTTGGTCCTTCTCCTTTTCCAAGCCTCTGCGTGCGGTGCTGTGCTGTGCTTTGCTGGAGGCTGATGCTGCGCGTTGCCTGCAGCGCTGCTGGCTGGGGCGCTCGGGTTGAGTTCTTGCGCCTCATCTTAGATAGTCTCCGTACCTGCTCCGTACTTACTTACCTGAGGTAGGTGTGTATTTTTATCGCGAATGGTTATTTTTTCCCCCGTGAAGGCCTGAGGCTGAGGAATCTTTACTTAGTAATCCTGCTAATATTGGCACAGCCGCGCTACGCAGGGATAAGACAGACGCCGTACGGAGTGCTGCCAACTTGTAAGGACGTACGAAGTAGGTACTGTTAGTACTATACTCAAGTAGGTGCACGATTTCAATTCCAGTCTTCTACTCGGTTCTAGTGTTGGACACTAGGCAGGATAATACAGGGAGTCAGGAACAGGGGGGCTGGGACGTGGAAAGGTGAAAGGGGAAGGGGTAAAAAAAAAAAAACGCCTTGGTTTGGTTGCCTGGTTATCGTGGCCGGGTTTACTTTCCCTTTTCTTAGCGTTTCCGATGGTTGCTTGGGGCAGTACAACTATCTTTACGGAGTCTGCTCCGTCCTTCCGACTCCACTTCGTCGGACTACGGAGTAACTACACTTATCGTGAGCTTTTCGGTTGCATGATGCGTTGAGAGCTGGTTTAACGGCTGTTTGGGCTTGAGAGTCATGCTTTGTATTCGTTTTTTTTTTTTTTTTTTTTCTGATCAGGAGATGTCGTTTATTGCTAGGATATGCTAAGGGAATTGTCTCCCGACTGATCTGCCCGTTATTCACCAAGCAGTTGTAAACATTCCAGTACTTCGGGCGAAGTTTCTGATTTGTCATGTCCTGGCCCACCACGTTCAGGCTGTGAACTATCCGGACTTTCGAATGGCAACACGACCAGTCCCTCTGGCGTTGAAGAGGGCAACGCGTCCAGTGTTCCCGATCCAAAGAAGGACATTTCCATCGCTTCCATCCAAGCCGGTGTAGATGCCTCGGGAGAATCATCGGGCTCCGCCAGCGACGGAAGCGGCAGCATGTCATCTCCGGATGCTCCAATGCCGGTTATGGGCAATGGCTTGTCTTCGTCGGGATTGTCCTGCATGAAAAAGCATTCATCAATATATCGAAGGAGTCGCGTGTACTCCGCCAGGCGGAGCTCAAATAGGTCGAAAAAGCCGTCCGAGCTCAACATGGTGCTTGAATCGGTGTCTGTATTCGACATGGCAGATTGCTGACAGAGTTGAAGCGCGGCCGAGGTGACCGCCAGCACACGCTTCGTATAGTATCGGAAACTATAATGGCGGTTGACTTCCATGAAGAAGACCAACGTTACCTCGTGGCTTTGCTTGTCTTCTGGGACTCGTGAAAGTTGCGTTTTGACGCTGAGCAGGATCTGAGGTAACATCGTATATGCGACGCTGGCGAGTCGTTCAACAATTGCTCTGTGAAACATGGCTGGGCAGGGACTTACGCGCTGATCGGAAGCTTGTCCGCAACTCCATTCGTAAGGAGCTGCTTTACTCTCTCTGCCGTTGAGCTGATCGCTCGCACCAACTCTGTCCGGCAAAATCCCAATTGCTCTTGGTCGGCGGCCTCTGGGTAGTTGGTGTCGCTAATCATAAGGCACTTATGATTGCAAAGCGCTATACGAGCTGACCTGGTATCTGTTAGGCACATGCACATATCCGAAGGTTGAGCATCCACGAAGGAAGAACCTACTGATAATATAATGCAACAAGATTGGTATTAAGTACGAGTGACGAATGCAGGTAGCAATCTTTGTCATTCATGGGCGTCATCCAATCGAGTTCCCATTGCAACAAAGACGATTTGGCCTCCTCCAACTTTGCCAGTACGCGATCGTGTCCCTCTGCTTTCATAGATGCCCCCCGCTCAGCAGGATACATGATTGTGAGCAATTTGGTGACCGTGACGGCAAAATGACACAGACTAGACAATACTTGGCATAGAGCGGATTTGGTCTCTGGTCGGTACACTTCCGAGTAGAACACTTCATCTTTTAGATCCTCAACTGTAAGGCCCTGTTGATGAACATCGAATTCTGAAGGAGTGATTTGGATTGGGCGGTGCATCCCAAGAGATATGATCCGATCGCGTATAAGACAGCACCACCAAACTCTTTTTAGGTCGGATTGTTTTCTCGACCCTCGAACTTGAGGGGCGTAGTAGCGATCAGCGCCTTCGCTTCTGGCATTCTTGATTGCGATGCGCAACCATCTTGAGTTTGCGATTATTTCTGTGTCTGAGGTATAGTAGGTTAACAGTAGAGCCGATCGAGCGATAGCCAATGGGTCACATTCAACGCCGCTGCGGTATAGAAGCTTTGAACAATGTCAGTTACCGAAATTCTGGGGAAGAAGGCTTATGTACCTTAGATTTCCTATATAGCTCATCTCGTGCGGAGATAAGAGAATCGTAGCCACATTGCTTGGCGACGTCGATCGGTATGAACTATCCAGGTAAGCATTGGACAGATCTAAAGAGGGGCATCACATACACTGCTCGCAGCAAATAGCATTGATTGAAAGACCAAAAGGGAAATGCGTTCGTCTTGGCTGGTGCTTGAGCATTGATATTGCCTCCAGAAAGCAGCTTCGTCAATCACCGGGAGACATGGATGCACATATAAAAAGTAATTGCGAACGAAGCTATCCGTCACATGTCTGGCTGGCATTTGCAGACACCCCTGCGACTCGAGAAATGACAATTCAACCGGGCCCAATTGCTTCAATCCGGGTGCTTTGAGAAAGGTGTATGAGGAGAACGGTAGGGGCGCATTAGTAAATGCACCTGCGCGTGTAAGTACAGTTAGTCGGTTGTCGAAGTAGGCGTTGATACAAAACCTTCTAACTTTAAACAGAGGATGCTTCTACATACTGTTTATTGAACTCTTCTGCGACGAAAGCCTATCAAACGCTTGTGCCTCGCCGACGGAGGCACAGGCGATACGTTCTCTGGGGCGTGCCTTGAACAATTGCTTCCCGCCGATTTTCTTACCCAGGCCTGGTCGAACAGAGCAGGTGGACTCATCCAAGCGGCAATTAGTGCAAGGGAATCCATTGATTGAGCCATCACACCGCACTTTGCGGTCATGGCAGTGGTCACAGGCACGTGGAGCACGTCTTCTGGCTGGTCTATAATTGTCTTCCGCGTGTCGACGACGAGCCTCCCAAATCGAAGTAGTCGCCATAGTAGAGGATATGCTGCAGGTTGGACTAGTTCTTATCCGGGGGAGGCGGGATGGAGGAAATGAAGGCGAGTCGAACTCCTTTCTTCCTTACGAATAAGGCGGGGAAATAAAGTATATGGGGCAGTGGGGATCTCCTACTTTCACCCAATAAGAACCGTCAATCGCAGAGCTAAACAGGCCGAGGTCCCGTTAAACCGAATCAGTCAGCTCTTTCTCTCGTGTTCCGCTCCTTCGCCCGTCTTTTTTCTTCCTTTCTGCCTACAATGATGGCTGGGCCCCCCAGAACCAGTCCTCCTTCCGCCAGTTCCGCCCTCTTTGTTGGTCCATGACATAGTCTTTCTTTCTGATTTGCCCTTGCGGAGACGACAAGTCATTTAGTGTCGCGCTATTCCCATGATTGGCAACAAATCGAGGGCCTATCCCTTAATTCAACCAATGATACATCCCTTGGAGGGGCGACCGTTTCGAGAGAACTCCACTCTGATCGTCTAATGATGGATTGTACAGCATAAGAGTTCATTATGTAGCCAACAGGTGCTCAACGCTTACTGGGCTGTGGGAAACCTTCATCTCAGCGGAGCAAAGGTATCCGTGTATAATTCAGACCAATAAAACTTTTGATTCGGGCCATGGATTAATAAATATGGTTGGATATTGGCTATTGTTCAACCACAAATGCATTCCGAGTCAATATCCGCAGCAGCAATGCCTAACGACCATTGGTAGCAACCTTCATTTCCCCTGCTCTGGCTTGCTCTGATTATTCAATTTGCAGCTATCAGGAAATCTGAAGCTTCCTGAGCAGGATCAGAGCCCCAGGTAAAGGTGAACATACTCTTCGGAATCTCGGCGTCGGGCACATACTGGCGCAGTTCGTCCAGCATTTCTCCACGACGCTCCTCGTGCGTCTTGGACATCATCATTACTGTCACTGCATGGTCATAGCGGATCTTATTATATAACTCCAGCCGCTGGGGAATCTGCTCCGGCGTTGTGTCCTGGGTAAAAATTGCTCCAAGAGCCGCGCCATCCTCAAACGCCTGTGCGCCCCCTTGACCCTGGTCTATCAAAATGTCAGAGGCATGTCTCTCGAGGTAGGAGCGGAATCTTACGAGGAAGGGTGGGATGCGCAGCGTCACCAACTAGCGCGAGCTTGCCCTTGACAAAGCTCGAAGGAGGGCGACGTGATGCCAGACTCCATAATTTCACGTCCTCCGCGAGGCGGCACATCTCCTGGAGCTCTGGACCAAACATTTTATATGTCTCAAGCAGATGGTCCATACTACCGGAATCGAGCCAGGATGCGTCCCTAGCCTCCGACGAGGGATCAGACGGGTGAATACCTGCGATATTGAGGAGCTCTCCTCCGCGACACGGGTAAATTACCAAACGTCGATCTGGTGCAATGAACGCATGCACGCCATCCAAGCCGATCTTATCGACCAGAGATGCGGTCAGAGGATTAGCACGCATTTTTGAGACAGGAACCATGAGCCGAAAACAATTTTGTCCGGTGCTTTCTTTCTTTTCGTCCTCGCCAGTGACACCGCTGACGGATTTAGACTGGTCCTTGCTGTGAGCCAGAGAAGCCGGTCATCGTACTCGGGAGTCTTACATGTATTCCGTCCGCGCCAATGATCAGGTCACCCGTGTAGGTCATTCCGTTCTCGAGCGTAACGACTCCGTTTTCAGAATCCTGTGATGTACCGAGTAGACGGGTTTTTGGCGTTAGTTCAAAGACATTTAGTCCAACCTTCGTTAAGACCGAAGTGTCGGCAAAAGGATATGAGTAGTATACGACTTACAACTGAGGCAACCCGCGAGGATAATTGAATATCGACCTTTCTACCATTGACTTCTCGTCTGGCCGCAACGCGCAGAGCATTATGCAGGTCAACGCGGTGGGCCAATACCCAGTCGTCCGAGATATCCAGTGACTTCTGAAGCTCTTTGGTCACCTATCAACGCATAGTTGTTAGCCACTATCCCACATCATGGATCACACGCACTGGATGGAACCAACAGCAGGCGTCCAAAGATGATTGCCCATCGCATCCCACACGTCTAGATGATTACACTGGACAGGTCGCAGGCTTTCGAGCTCGACCCCCCATGAGCGTAGAACGCGGGTGGCATTGGGAGCCATGTGAATAGCTGCTCCCACCTCGTTGAGAAAGCCGGATTGCTCAATGACCTAGAAGTTCCCAATGAGTCCACGAAGAAAAAAATAATTTGCAAGAGTAAGACAAACTTGGACCTCATGGCCAGATCGGTTCAGGGCAATCGCAGCCCCCAAGCCTCCCAGACCAGCACCGACAACAATAACCTTGAGGGGCATGTTGAGAAATCTTCGCAAGATAACGTGAAAGGCAGCTGTGAATGTAGTTCTGGCGTTATTATTTGAGCCGAAAAGGAGTGTTTCTCGAAGGGACAACCAGTCACTTTATAGATATAGCGTTGTTCCCAACCCTGCTCAGGAAATTCCCACTCAGTTTCATGTCCTTTTCCCGTTACCGTATCATGATTGATAAATCCATTTGCTCCACCGACTATTTTATGTCGCTAAGAGTTAACGCCGCAAATGTTACAAAAATCAAAAGAGCTCCACGTCTAAAATACCCACCCTGGTTCGGCTCTCTTGGTTCCTGAAGACCCTCACGATATATCATTATCGAGACCTTAGAGAATGCTCCGTAGGATTCTTCAAGAGTTTAATCTTCAATGCAATTCATTGCGCAGGTAATGCGTTGCTGTTTATGGTCCTTCTGGCCGGTGTACGAAGTATCCTACATTTTTCGGCCGAAGATGCATCACTAGCCCTCGAGCCCTGCACTCAAGCAAAATACCCTGCTAGAAAGTCCCCATTCCAAGCTCCACCAATTATTTAATGATGATCTTCAGACTTTTCTCCTCGAATTTCCTAGTTGTGAAGTACGATTGTGTGGTACAAATCCCGAGCCGGTGTGGTTCATCCGAGAATTGTGGTCGTGTGGGCAAAGTCCGAGCCGATATGGTCCCATATTCGACTTTCTCAATCTATGCATTAGGATCTTCGAGAATTTTGACTCCCGGTAAGGCTCGTCAGATAGTGCCAGAGAATCATTTTATTCACGCCGTAATTGCTTTTCCCTTCTGGTAGCTGTACCCTCCTCAGGGCACACGGCAAGTGGCAAAATCGAATGTGGTTCGACCCCGTAGACAAGCATCGATAGAGGAATTTGGCATCCCAGAAGTCAGGAGTTGATCGGCTCGGGCCCGAGAGTGGCTTTTTCCTAATGAGGCCAGTTTTCCGGGCTTTCTTGTTGGTATATAGTTCATGGCCATCCTCTGTTTCTTTCCCATCCGACGCTCTTCCAGTTAACCGTGAACCCCCACTGCAAACTTGGGTAAGTGAATTATAGACCTGATACTAATAATGCAAATTGCTAACTTGCATCACTTCTCTGACCTAGTGTACGGTTTTCAAAATGCCTTTCCCTAAGCCTTTCCTAATTGCTGCGACTGGAGCTTTCGTCTCCCTCCAGCTCCTCTTCCTCGCCAACATGTCTTATTTATATGGAACTGCATATCACGAGTCACTCCGGATCAGCAAAATGGAAATCCTTTTTGTGGATTTTGACCAAGACGTGATTGGCAATTCCGTCACTGCCGCTTACCAGGGGTTAGAAGGAGCGGGATTCCCAACTCTTCGCCAACACCCAGCGGCCGAGTACCCTACCATAACGAGTGTGCGCCAGGCCGTGTGCAGGGGACCCTATTGGGGAGCCATTACTGCAAACTCGGATGCATCTTCCAGATTGTCTGCCGCTCTTACTTCCAGTGATGCCGCAGAATCTTACAATAATGCTGAGGCATTGACATATGTTTGGAACGAAGCAAAGTATTCCGCCTATGCCCAGACGGTATACTCCAGTCTTGAGATGCTAGTACAGGCCACGAGGATGGCCTACAACAATATCAACGGCACGAAGATGATGTCTGCCATTGACACAACCGACGAGTCTATTAGCCAAATCTTGCTCGACCCGATCTCTGCGACCGAAATCAACATTATGCCCACGACCCAGGGACCTCGCTTTTACTACAACACTGTCTCCATGGTCATGCCAATCCTTCAGCAATTCTTCTTTATTATGGCGTTGAACGGTCTTTCACAGCAGTTCAACATCTTCCAAAAGCTTTCTCTCCGAGCAAACGTCGGCTTTCGGCTGTCTGTGTCGCTTTGCTACACACTCGTCGCGTCCCTCTGCATGAGCGGATATATCTGGGCTTTCCGGGAAAATTGGGAAGTAAGTTCCAATCAATTTGGGCTGACATGGATGGCCATCTGGTTGGCTATGCACGCATACTTTTTGATGATTGACGCCGCACTGGTCGTCATTCCTGTTCAATTCGCGTCCTTTTTCATCTTGACTTGGATTATTCTCAATGTCTCCAGCACCATCAGCCCGTTCGATCTATCTCCTGGCTTTTACCGTTTGGGCTACGCACTCCCCGCTTACGAGCTGTATCAAGTGCTAGTCGATATTTGGACAGATGGCTGCAACCCTTACCTTTATCGCTCGCTACCTATCCTTTTCTCTTGGTGGGTTGTTGGTTTGGCCCTGTTTCTGGGAGGCATGGCGAGGAGAGTCAAGGTTTCACGATTCGGTCCTAGTGCCTCGGACAGCAGGGTCGGTACTCCAGATGAAGCAGCCGAAAAGATTCATTGAATTTACTGGCGTTGCTTTATATACCTAGGGACATGGGTCGGAGGATTCCAGATCACGGCCTCGCTCTTTGACTATCCCATCGTCTTGCACGTTTGAGTTTCGTGGTCTGGCATTCTATCTCGCTTTTAATATCATCAATAGAATTATAGTTGTTTCCACAGTGATATTCTCCCTTTCTTTACTGTTATAATGAGAATTAATATATGGGTTTTGATAAATACTTTATAGGCTCTTGGAAGTCGCCACTGTATAGTAAACTCGAGCATTAGCTCGGCAATAACCTCCATGAAATCCGTGGATAAGAGCCTCAAATGCTACTTTTTAATTTAAGAAATTAAATAGCATCATAATGCAACATCTCTACCAAAACAGCCATAAGGCGTGTTTGAAGATGTCGCTCAGTCAGGGCCCAGTCTTGTCACGTGGTCCATTCGGACGACAGGGCGAGAAGCGGAAGGTGGAAACACCATCATTCGTCAACCCTCTAAAATGGTCACATCATATTATCCATTGCATGGATCAATGCTCTGTCCTTCTGACTCCTAACAATGGCAGCTTATCTGCACTGTGAAGTGTGCAATGCCTCTTTTCAGCGACCTGGACACTACCAACGCCACCTTCTTACCCACTCCAAAGAGAAGCCATTTTCTTGCACGGAGTGTGGCAAGCACTTCGCTAGATTGTTTGTACTGTCTTGCGTTTGAAATATAACAGGCTAACAAGTTGTATAAGAGATTCTCTGGGTCGACATTATAGCAGACTCCATCAACGCGTCTCTGATGAAAGCGTTCCTGTGAGGAACCGCGGTCGGGTGTCCAAAGCATGCCGCCAGTGTTATCTTTCCAAGGTCCGCTGCAATGGAAAACAGCCGTGTCAGCGTTGTCAAAGGATTAGTGCGGAGTGCTCCTATGAACACCATCAAAAGCGCACATCGGCGGATCAGCAGTCTGATCCTGCCGCGGAAATAGATGCAAATTCTTCGCCATCTACCCATGTGAGAGATTTGATGGAAACGTCCCGCCCAGCTGGAATTGTTTCCACGCCACCGTCGATGTCGACTAAGACATCCACTCATCATAGAGAGACCAACTTCACACCAATGATGCTCGATACTATGCCCAATGATGACGGAGAAGACCGTTCCAGCCATCTCGTATCTGATCCGCTCCCGACCACTTGTGACATCTCACCAGTGTTCTACTCGGAGGCTGCAGACTTCAGCAGTTTTCTAGATCTCGATCTTGATGCAAGCTTATTTCCCGGCATCCTAGATACCGGCCATTTAATAGATGATTTTAACGAGGGTTTCCCCGCCTCTATGCAACCAGACCTTCCACTGGCGAGAATCCCTAACATGTCGCTACCTCCTGCAGATGTGGAAGAAATTTATGACCGCGCACATTCCCCGCCCCTTGAGGGAGAAACTCTTGAACCACGACACTATCAACCGACTACTGACAACTCGGACACAAACCTGTCCTTTCCTGATATGGGGAACGCTCCTCTCGAGCAAGTCGATCAAGAGAACCTGGCTCATGTTAGCGATGTACCTGCGACTGTTCTGGACAGTGTGGGTCAACTGGCTGAGACCATGGAGAACGCACCAATGTATCCTCGATATGTCGAGCTCAGGCTTCCTCCTATACATATCATTAATTCTTGGGTGCAGCTATACTTCGAATACTTTCATCCGTTGTTTCCTTTTTTACATAAACCGACTTTCAGGGCCCCCGAGACTCACTGGCTACTCATTTTCGCAGTGAGTGCTATTGGCGCCCAGTTTTCTGGATTACCTCAAGCACAGGACTGCGCACAGTCTATGCACGAGATGGTGCGACGGCAGTCAACGTATCTGGTACGACCCATTCATCGTAACAGCCCGTGATCGCCGCTAAAGGATTACATACAGTGCGAAAACAGAAACAAGTACAGCCGTGAACTTTGGCTAGCACAGGTCGTCCTACTGAATCAACTGGCATTGCGATATTCTGGCGATCGGAGGAATCTAGAACTTGCCGAAATTTTCCAAGCCCTGCCTGCTACTCTAGCACGTCGCAAGCGCCTGTTTACAAGGATTGTCTCGTTCGACAAGATTTCCCAGCTCGATCGGTCTCTAGATCAAAAATGGCAGATTTGGGCCCTTGATGAGGGGCGACGGCGTACTGGATTTGTGATATGGGTACGTAACTTCGCCTTGCAACGGATTGGTCCCTTGAATCACCTGCCCTTCTGTGATCTAACGGGAAATCAAGCTGGTCGAGGCAGGATTTCACAACCACTTTGATCTACCGTCCACAGTGCAAGTCAATGAGATGCAGAATACCTTTCCACAACCCGAAGATTGTTGGGGAGCCCCAACAGCAGAGAGCTGGGCAACTTTTTCATTGCGTCAAGGTCAGTCGTGGTATTATGCACTGGCAAAATGGCCTCACTGACAAACATGAGCACCAGAATCACATCCCCATTCTCTTAGTCAGGCTATAGATAGCGGTAGTTGGACTGCGAGCTGGAGGAAGACCGGCGTTCTTGGCAAGCAAGCTATTCTCCAGCAGCTTCTGAACATTGTCAATGATACTCACAGTCTTGAGTTCCAAGATTCTCACCCTACGCGAAATGCAGTTGAGGCACTCCGACATCTTCTCGTGATCATTCAGGAAGAAGGAGAGAAGTCAATGATGTTAGAGCTGAGGGCACGCATAGCGTACCGGCTGACCATTTATACCGCACTGATGATAAATGATCTGCCGCGAGGTTCATTGCTCTCTATTGCCTTGAAGGTCAAGTACCTGCGGAATAGTGAGCAGACAGCGCGATTTGCAACCGACTGGAGTCTTTCGCCATTGCGCATGCGGCGCGCGGTCGCGTACGCCGCCGGGGTGATAGACATCGCCCGGTCTAATTACTGCGCCCACTACTCGACCCCTATTCTCGTCTTCCGGGCCACATTGGTATTGTGGCTTTATTCTGTACTGCGCAGGCCATTTCAAGAGTCCTCTGTTGATGCGCCCACCGTGGTTCTTGGACCCTTGAGTCAGGCGCAGACTGACTGGGTTGAGACCGGACGCGGTCGAATCAAGCTGCCTGCCGTTGGGAGCATCATGTCATCACCTGGCCTTGCCAAACTCCTGGACGAAGCGATCTCCATCCTGGGGTCGCTGAAAGCATGGGGGATCGGCAAGATCTATGCGCAGGTACTCGCCCGGCTGCGTGAGTGAATGTCCTCAGGCACGGCCCCGTGACGCCGAGAGCTTCCCCGCACTCGCCCTCATCCCTGCTCCGGCCGCATAAGCGCCACGGTTGACGTTGCGACTTGCTCCCTGATGCTTTCTCCTCGCCAGTCACCCCTGATTCCTCGAGAATCCCCATAGTAATGGTCCGTTTGCCGTCATGCTGGCACCCAAGAGGGCATGGAGCGTCCAGCAGATGCGCATCTCGACGTCCATTCTGGGGTTAGCGCAATCGCCCTTATCAGCTTATCGGCACGGGTCCAGACTCAAACGAGGCAAACACGACCATCCTGCCAGCGCCGAGCTGCACTTCACTGAACCCGAATTGCTCGCGGGGTTTATCGCCAGCAGTCTTTTCCACTACAAGGCTGCCACGGACACAGTGGCTTCATGGCTGGCAAACACCGCCAAGTCGTGTGGCTACTCAATTGACCTCCCGACAATCGATGCTAGCTCCACCACCACAAACGATACCAGCAGCAGCAGCAACGACAACAACAACGCGAATACCACCCCAGCCCCCTTGAAACGACTGAAGGGAAAAGCGAGGAAGCTTGCCCGGAATAGAAAGGCTGCTGCTGCTCCAACGGCGAGTACTACCGCCTCTCGCTCGAAACCCGTTTTCACGCGCAAGCTCACCCTCGGCGAATTCGTCAGTTTAGCGGATTACATCGCTGCGGCCTCTAATCCTCCCGTCAAAGTCCCGGCGTCAGTTGTGAAGGCCCTTGACTGTGCCATCTCCATTCGGCAGAAACATGGTCGTCGGGTCACCTCTAAGATGTCTCAGGACGCTGAATCACAGGCCCAAGTGCGCCGGCACAACCACTTCGTTGGCGTCCTGGAACATGTGCGAGAAGTCTTACGTCCCCGGATGCCCATTGACCAAGTGAAAGACCCTTTGACTCAGAAGGTGGGAGAACAGCCGGCTGAACCACTGAACACCTTGCAAAACAGGTTCGAAGGTCTCGATGTGCAGAAACCTTCCGAATGGTTTCTCCAGGCCCCTGACGTTACCCCAATGGCTAGCAGTGGGACTGCCTCGCCCGAGGTTAACTACGAAGCCGAACTGCGGCAGGACATGGAAAAGGCGTACCTCGGCTTTGATCTTCTTATGCAGGACTTCCGCAGCCTTCGAACGGTCATCCTTCGAACGTGGAAGGGATATCAACTTGGGCTGTTCGACCTGGTGACGGTGTCGCTGGTGACGAACACGGCCATAAACATCGCCAAGAGAATGCAGGAGGACGTTCAAAAACTGTTTGACAAGCACGGTGGATCGGCGAAAATGCTCAACACCTTCTATGCGGCGTCCTGTGCCGTCGACGGCGAGGACCCGAATTTTCGCGAACGACCGGGCGACGACCTGAACTTCCGAATGTACGACGCCGCCGAATCGATAATGATGCCGACATTCATGCTGTTGCAGTCTTTTGACCGCCTGGCCGAGCCTGGCAACATCCTTCCGTACAAGCCCGGCTACTACGGGACGTTTGACCCGGCCAGCAACCGGTCGAAGAAGAGCGCGCGGGAAAGGTATCAAGAAGACAAGATTGTGATGCTGGAGGTTCTGTCGGAATTCCTCGCCTTCCACCGAGGGGTGCCTTCCCAGACGTTTGAAGACGAGTTCACTCGGGGTCTACGGTTGATGTTCGATACCCATGAAATCCCCATCTGGCTCGTTTTCGCCGCTCAGGTCTTCCTGGATATTCACCATGCTCTGCGAGGCCAAGTTCAAGAAGGGCTTTTACGATCTGAAGGCCTCCGCAAGGTCCATGGGGGCCTCCATCCTGGAGAACCTCAAATTCCATTCCTCGCTTTCCATTGTGGGATGGTCGAAACAGAACGATGGGGCGTTCCATGCTACGCTAAAGAACATTCATTGGTGGGTGGACTCGGATCCCGTGGAGGAGCTGAAAGCAAAGCTCCAGGTGAGTTCCGAGGAGATGTTCAAGTTCCTGAAGTGGAACCCGCTCTTCCGCGGGATGTTCAGTCAGAGCCTCAAGTGTTCCTACCAAGAACTCAGCCTGTCCTTCCAGGCCGCATGGGGTCTATCATGTACCCGACCCACCTGTACGACGCCGTCTGTAGCGAAGGGCTCGTCCGTCCGTCTTGGCAGGACATGGAGCTGGTCATGAGCTGGCGGGATGAGATCTTTGTCGGGGAAGCGCCGCACAACCCGGAGGACTATCTCAAACGATTCAACCCCAGCATAGGCTGGTCGACGGCGTCTTACGCCCGCAACCGTCGCCAGACCAGTCGACTGCCCGAATCCAAAAACGGGCCGAAAATCATGCAGCTGCAGGGCAGCGTTTCGCGAACGTTCATGGACCACTACTGCCGCGGGTCCCAGCAGACGGATCTCACGGAGGAGGATCTGGAGAAGATCCTGGGGATGAACTTTGACTACCTGACGCTGCATCGGTCCTGCTGGCGACTGCTTCGTCGGGTCCGCGAGGCCTGCGATCCTTGCCTGCGCGATATCTTTGGCGTCGGGTACCTGGAACGGGAGAGCCAGTTGCCTTTCGTGGTGGGATCTGTCTTCATGGGCGTTGCAAACACCGACGTCATGGGCAAGCGTCTGGCGGCGAAGGAGGACATCGTGAAGAGCAAGCTGCTGATGACCGCCGGCGGCGCAGTGGACGAGATGATCGAGACGGGCGAGGGAGCTCTGGTGGTCGATTCTCTCCACAAACGAGGATACCCCGTGGAGGTTGCGATTGAGCAGGAGCCGGCGTATGAGATTTTCTGCTGATGTACTTGTACGTATTCGACGGAGCATCGCCTAGACTTGCGATGGATCCCACTAGATAAACCCATTGAAATCAATCCGCAACCAACCAATACCAGCCGCCCCAATAAGCATCAGCATCAGCATCAGCGTAAGCCCAACCACCTCCACAGCCCTCATTGTCCAAACGCAGGTCCGGCTCAGTGCAGCCCACAGCCTGATCGAGCTCAAATCTTCCTGCTTCAATTCCCTTAAAATTACCCCCTCCCCCTCCCCCTCTGTCCCTCCTCCCCAATTGCCCACAATGCAAGCCACCAAAGCCATCGTCGCCGCTGAACCCACCTCCCCCGGCACCGCCAACTGGTCCCTGCAGGACGTCCAATGTCCCATCTCCTGCGGCCCCGGCGAAGTCCTCGTGGAGATCGTCGCCACAGGGCTCTGCCACACCGACGTCTTCGTGTCGGGCGTGCCTGAGGGGGCGTTCGGGATTCGGTATCCGAAGATCCTCGGCCACGAGGGTGAGTCAATCCACGCTTCACTCATCCCTGTACACCTTCTCTGATCTAGATGATCTGATCGACTCTAGGAGCCGGCTTCATCCGCGCCCTCGGCCCCAACCCCAACACCTCCCTGCGCCTCAACGACCCCGTCCTCCTCACTTTCCCCTCGTGCGCCGCCTGCGCGCAGTGCCGACAGGATCACCCCGCGCACTGCACCAGCCTCACCCACGCCGACAAGTACACCGGGAAGAAGAACTTCGCTGCCGGCGCCGGAGCCGGAGCCGGAGACAGAAATGGCGCAGAGGACCCGTCCATCTGGGGCTCGTTTCTCGGCCAGTCGAGCTTCGCGAGGCATACGGTTGTGACGGAGTCTGCGTGCTTTAGTCTCAGGGGTCTCTTGAGGCGCGATTCGGATCTGGCGTTGTTTGCGCCGCTCGGGTGCAGCTATCTCACGGGGTCGGGGGCCGTGAGGCGCATTGCGAAGGTTGGCACCGATGATGTGGTTCTGGTCATGGGGTTGGGGGGCGTGGGCATGGCGGCGCTTTTGGTTCGTTGCCTTCCCTCACTTCCCTATCTCCATCTTGTCAACCCATGATGGATACAGCTAACCAACTCGTCTAGACAACCATCCAATCCTCCCCCTCCACAATCATCGCCGTGGACCAACACCCCGCGCGCCTCCGCCTCGCACAAGCCCTCGGCGCCACGCATACCCTGAACACGCGCGCGAAGGGCTTCAACCTGCGCGACGCTGTCGCGGCCATTGCGCCGGCCGGCCCCTCCGTCGTGATCGACACCACGGGCGTGCCGGAGCTCATGGAGCCCGCGATGGAGGTGGCGGCGCCCAGGGCTAGGATTGTGCTTGTGGGGATTCCGCCCCCGGGGTATGTTGTCGGGATGCAGGGGTTGGGGTTTGTTGAGGTGGGTTTTCTTTTTTTTTCTTCTCTCTGGGCTGGGGGGTTGTTCTTGGGGGAGGTGGGGTTGGTGGTGGTGATGCTAACTTGACTGACTGACTATAGAGCGGGAAGTCGATCATGGGTTGTTTAGTGGGAGATTCGGTTCCGGGGGTGGTGAGTTCCTATCTGTCTCTCTCTTTCTTGTTATTCATTCGTGCGAGAAAGAAAGAATAATGAACTGGGTAATGCGAATACGAATGCTAATGAATGAAGGACATCCCTCAAATCATCCAATCATACTACGAAGGACGATTTCCCGTAGATCGTCTCGTGACAAAAGTCCCTGTGAGTGTGCCCTGATCTCTACCCATCTTCATGTCACCCCCTAGTGAACAAGAGCTAATCAGACTCAGGCCGAGGATTACGAAAAGGCGTTGCGCGGAGTCGAGGCAGGGGAGATTATCAAGGCGGTGTTGGTTTGGGAGTAGGTTTAGGTCAGACTGTTCTGAGGTTGAACTTGAATTTAGACTGTAGATATTTGTGTTACTATCACTCACGTTCATAGATGCTATCATCAAATGCCATCAAACATATCCTATATTCTAACTGATAAAGAGATTCATAATATAAACTCAAAATTGCTAATGTAACAGACATCGGATATCAGTACATCGGGCCCTAAGACCCGGTAGATCTATTTATCATAGGAACGACTTTTCCAACTTTTAACCAGTAACCTTGAAGATGGACTCGGCCAGTCTCTGGACGTTGCCGGAGGTGATACCAGCAACGGAGATACGGCCGTCCTTGGTGGCGTAGACGGAGTGCTACTCGAGTCAGTGGGTCATTCTGATATGGGGTTGAGACTTCTTACCTCCTTGGCGAGAGCCTCCATCTGCTCGGGCTTCAGACCAGTGAAGGCGAACATGCCGATCTATGGTCACGTCAGTATATACTCAACCCTGGTCCCCAGAGAACTTACCTGGCTGGTGATGTGCGACCAGTCGTGCTTGCTGCCCAGCTGCTCCAGGTTCTTGCGGAGCAGAGCGCGCATCTCGATGATGCGGTCGGCCATGCCCTTGACCTCACCCAGCCACTGCTTGTTCAGCTCGGCGTCGTTCATGATGGTCGAGGCGACACGGGCACCGTGGATGGGAGGGTTGGAGTAGAAGGGACGGATGAGAATCTTGATCTGCGACTCCACGCGCTTCTTCTCCTCGGCGTTCTCGCAGACGAGCGAGAAAGCACCGACACGCTCTCCGTAGAGACCCTACCAACGTCAGACATAGCAACAAGAAAGAGAGAGAAAAAAATCTTACCATGTTCTTGGCGAAACTCTGGCACAGAGCAATGTTGTGGCCCTCCTTGACAAAGTGACGGGGAGCAAAGGCATCCTGGTCGGCGTTACCGCTGGCAAAGCCCTGGTAGGCCATGTCGAAGAAGGCGAAGTGGCCCTTCTGCTTCATGACGTCGCTGATCTGGCGCCATTGGTCCTGGGTGGGATCAACACCGGTGGGGTTGTGGGCGCAGGCGTGCAGCAGGATGATGCTGTTCTCGGGGGCGGCCTTGATGTCGGCCAGCAGGCCCTCGAAGTCCAGGCCGATGGTGTCCTTGTTGTAGTAGCGGTACTTCTCGACCTCCAGACCGGCGTCCTTGAAGACGGCGTTGTGGTTGGCCCAGCTGGGGGTGGGCAGGTAGACCTTCTTCGCGTGAGGGTAGAAGCGCTTCAGGAAAGCACCGCCGATTCTCAGGGCGCCGGTACCGGAGATGGTCTGGGTGATGACGAGACGGTTGTCCTTGAGGACCTCGGAGTCCTTGCCGTACGCCAGCTCGGCGGCGGCGCTGGTGAAGGTAGGGATACCGGTGATGCCGGCGTATTCCTTGTCGAGACGCGAAGCGACCACCTTGTCCTCGGCGGCACGGACGGAGGGGAGGACGTAGGGCTTGCCCTTGTCGTCACCTACAGAGCTACGTTAGTTGATTCTTATGTGATTTTATTTTTCCCCCATGGTTTTCAATCCATTGCGATGAGAATGCGATGGTTCGAGGGAAACACGAAACATCCGGGGCGAGGAATCCTTACGGTAGGCACCAACACCCAGGTTGATCTTCTCCTTGAAGGAGTCGGCCTTGAAGGCCTCGGTGATACCCAGAATGGCATCCTAAAAGGCATTGAGTCAATTGATGACGTCGCAGGAGACGGATGAGATGGAGCGCAATACCGGAGGGCCCTGAGGCACATTGGACCAGGCCGAGGCATTTCTGGCGCCAACGACGACGGTGCGCATGCTAGCGTCACGCGAAGCAGCCTTGCGGCCGGCGACTCGGAGGGTGGAGAGCATTGTGCAGGTGGGAGAGATGAGGAGTGGACAGGAAGATGGATGAAAGAGAAGCAGGATGGGGAAAGGAAGAGATAAATAAGAGGGAGAGATCAATACGGGACTGAGTCAAAGGGAAAGTCTAGGGAGATTCCGGGGAGCCCAAGCGGTCGGCGCGGATTGGCCGCCGCCTCCGCAGTCGCGGTTAAATTGGGCGATCACGGGGTTTGCCTATTTTCTTATGGTTGATTTCTTGTTTCTTGTTTCATTGTGTCTGTTTCAATTGACTCAATTCTATGTCGTTTTCTCTGTTGGTGGTTATTTCTACTTCCTGTATTTCCGGTGTTTACATGTCCTGTGTTGAGGATATGGATGTTTACTCTGATATCATCGTCTCCCAGACCATATGGCTCACCACCTCAGCTACGGAGGAAGTAAGAATAATAACTAAAACTAATAATGATCGTGCCATTTCGGTGAACGGATCGAGGAGGCCCCCACCGTGGCCTGAGGCTTCCCCTCACGGGATTCGGGGAAGTTGGAGTTTTCAGTTCTCTCGACTCCCGAATGTCAGGCTTCATCTTTCACTCTTCACTTCCCATGGCTCTACCTGGTCCATCCGAGAGAATATCACCCTACAGTCCATCTCTCTCTGTCCATCTTCAATTCTTACTGAATTATATTCAGATCTGCCCATCAACCCAAAACAATCACCACTCCATCTCGGTTAATTTCCCCACACGCCAAGTCATCAGCAGTCCTTCCTGCGGTTCCTCTGGTAACCCTAGATCGAGGAAACCGACAGCTTTGCTCTGGTTATTTTTATCCTTACCCGGAGCTCTCCTCACGACAGCACAGAGTCCTGCACCTCTAGCCCGGATTACTATACTGTTTTCGACCAAGCCAAACACCGCCACTGCTCTTCTCCGGGCACAGATCGAGCAGCAGAGTGATCTAATCTGATCGACAGGCTTGCGTAGTCGCTGGCGGGTTGGGGAGGGATAATCCCTCTTCCACCTCCAATTGGTCTCGAATGGGTGATTCCAGCGGATTAGACATGGTTTCCTTCCTGTGCGGCATACTCAACGGGGTAACTCCGATGCGAAATCGATCTGGTTCGCTTTCCAATCCGTCCACCGTTGGTTTCTGTACTACACACTCGGTCAGTTACATATCACGTAGTACCGTAGAACATCATCCTACGGCCAAACCCTCGCCAACCCTCGCACTCCCCTCTGCATATCCCCCGTCCCCAACCCCGCCTCGTAATCAAACCCATGCTCCCCGTCCGGCGCCTCAGACGAGGTAGCCTCCGTGGAATTGCACGATGAGGGGGTATGTGGCGTTACTGCCGACGATGGACTTGGGCACGAGGATGGAGAGGGGAATTGGCTGGCCGTTGACTATTCGATAGTTGGTGTCGTGGATGCGGAATTGCTCGAACAGAGAGTGATCGTGCGGAGCGGCCATGGTGAGTTTACTCGCGGTCTCTGAGAGGACTGTTATTGGGAAAGCAAGTAGAATGTTCTGTCTAGGTGGATGCTGTTTCTCTGAAATAAGCGGGTTGATGTCCTACCATGGACTATTAGGCAATCTATTTATACGTAGGGGCCAATTTATACTACGCAATAGAGCTCCGTGCAGGAATAGGCCCACGAAGTAGTCATTGGTCAATGCGACTTTCCAGTCTCTATCCACTGTACTGAGTATTTAACGAGTTCGTGGTGTTTATAGACCAATATAGATTATCCCTTTCACAGGTGAATATACTAAGATGAAACCCTGTTGTATCAAATTGTCCCAAATCAGTGTATTGGTATACTGCATCCTGTACAAAACGAAGAACGATGCTCATTAAAACTACATGCAAGCAAGGACCGGACTATGACCGCCATGCATCGCGTGGTCATTAATTCTTATCCCAGTCGCACACCGGCCTGGCGGTTCTTTCGCGCCGTCGCTCCCATGGCGTTGTTCATACCCGTGTGCTGACTGCTGTCCAACGCACTCATCGCCTCGCGCTTCTGCTCTTCCTCGATCTTCTTCAGTCGCTTCTCCGTCTTCATCTTGCCGCTGCCCTTGCCGTGGAACTGGTGACTCAGGTGCTTGAATGCCTCCTTCTGGTTCATCGCTCGCCCGTACTCGTCCGTGTACTTGAGCTGCACGTCGGGCTTGTACTCCCGGTTGAAGACCTCCGCCATATGACGAGCATCCTGCTGGTCACGCTGCTTGTTCTCCCATCGTGCGTATTCTTCCCGCTCGCGAGCCGACATGCGGTCCAGTTTGCCGGAGGCTCGGTCACGCTCACGCTGCTGGCGGGCACGCTTCTCGGCATCGGTCTCCATACGCGTCTTTTCGCTCAGGAAGCGTTGGCGATCGCGAATAAGCGATGTGTGATCCGCCGCATCGGACGACTTGACCAGGCCTCGCTGCTTGAGCATGGACAGCGTCGCGCCCAGGCCGGAATCGAGTGTAGCTTCTTCGTCCAGTCCAGTCCCGCTGATCTGCTGGTTGGCCTGGGATTCATCGCGCTTGATGCGTTCTTTCAGATCTTCCTCGTCCTCGATATCGTTGTATGTCCCCATTTCCACGTCGCCCACCTCGTCTTCCGGCTCTTCCTTGACAGCCGGTTCTTCCGAAGTAGCCCGGGGCTCGTCGCCCGGTGTTGTGGTTGCCCTTTCGCGTCGTTCGGGCAGCGTAGGCTTCTGCAGATTGGACACAAACTCGGTAGTCTCGTCGATGACCAATCCAGGCTCTTCCTCATTGTCGGCGGGTGTCTCCACTTCCATCGGGGTCTGTGATTCTTCTTCTCTCAGTTGTCGGGCAAGATCCTCGGGACGCATTTTCTGTCGCTTTTTGAAGGCAGCTCGTCGCTGGCGCGTGAGAGAGGCTTGTAGGTCGTCGTCATCCACAAACGACACATCCTCCCTGGCGGGCTTCCGGGGTGCCGGGGCGGGGACTGGCTGGCCATTACTCGTGTCGACATCCATAGAAGCACCATTCGGCGTCCCTGTCGACTCGCTCGTAGGGAATATATCGTCTTCGTCCAGAACAGCTCGTTGCTTGGTGGCCTTGGCCTTCTTCTTCTTGGGTTTCTTGACCTTGATCTCGCTCACGTCCATGTAATCAGACTTCGGCGTTTCGGCGTCGAAGTCAAGGCTGATGACATTCTTCTTCAACTTATCGGATACCTCCTGGCGCTTGGCCTCGCGCTCCTCCTCAGTCGAGCCCTTGGCATCAAGGGTGAACCGCTTGCGCTTCTTGCCATCGATTTCCTCGTCATATTGTGCCAGAATTCCGGAGTTCTCCTCGGTAGGATCGTAGACCGGTTTGCGCTTCTTCAACTCCAGCTTCTCTGCCGTCTTATCCTTCTCCTTCAGTTCGAAGTTCTCCAACTCATCGCCTTCCTCTTCATTCTCATCCACCGTCGTATCCTTTAGCGTAAGAATATGCTCCTCTCCGCCTTCAAAATCCCCCACACCATGTCCCACCTTGAGACCAGCCAGGTCGGCAGACGAGTACTCCGCCGCACGCTCGCGCTCCTCCAGCTCCTCAGCCAGCTTGCGCGCCCGCTCCTTCTCGATCTTCTTCTGCTTCTTCTTCGCCTGCTGCAAAAACGTCTTCGTGTCCACCTGCATATCGCTCGACTCTCCCAGCGTGGAGCCCTGCAGCTTCGCGTCCCTCTGCGCCTGCTCGCGCGCTCGCTTGATGGCGGCATTGCGCTCCTCGCGCTTCCGTTTCGCTTCGGCGTCGTCCTGCATCTTCTTCCAGTTCGACGAGGCCGCCGCCTCCCGCGACTCTAGCGTGCTGCCGGGCTCGTCATCGCCGGACGCGCCGCTCGAGTCGTCGTCCGAGTCGGATTCCTGGAACGCCAGCCCGGCGTCGGCGCCCGGCACCGGGAGGGGTTTTAACCCCAGGGCCACCCGGATTTTGTTGTTCTGTTCGATGGACAGAGCGTCGGCCATGGTGGCGACTGCGGAGGACAGAACGGTTAAGCGGGGTTCGATAAAAAGCGCGAGCGATGGAGGAGGGTAGGCAAGTCGACGTCAAGGTGAAGGTGAAGGCGAAGGCGATGATAAGAGCCAACTGAAGCCAGCCAAACCAGACCAAACCAGATCAGGCCGCGGACCAGAATTCCTTACGTAATGCAACCAGCCTCGGCAAGGTTTAGCGCGGGCAAAAATCCTTAGCGCGCTGGCGCCACCGATAAAAGGGGCCCGCTTCTTCCGCCGACTTTTTTTTTCTTTCTTTTTCTTCTCTCATGAACAACATTACGGATCTGTGTCCAGCGATCCTGTTCACGAAGATGTCTGCTCCGCAAGGACGGCCTGATTTGTGTTTCGGTTGATTGCTGGACAGTTCGACGTTATACGGAGGCACTGATTAATGCTTGGTGTCTATTATTTCCGGTCGACAGATCTCAGATCAAATGTCGGCGTTGGGTATCACTCTGGTCTTGAGCTCCCGTTTAGGTGATGTTCGGCTGGATGGCCTGATGTCGGCGGCGCCATATTCCTGATCTCTTCACCGAATCGACCGTTGGTCGCTGAGGTTAGAGACTAACCATGGCTTGCCAACATTCCTTTTTTTATGCACTAGTTTTTGTAGTTACGTATGGTTGCGAGTATCTGGGCACTGCATCTATCTGTATATCAAGTCAGCTTGGCTGAGGCGATGAGTCGCGCTCGACTTCGCCGAATGCTTCGTGCTTTGGGGGTCTGTCTATGCGGTCTTAGGATGCGGTTTGATTTCATTGCGTTGAGCCACCGAATCGGCGTAAGAAAGAAAATTCGTTCCCTCGCTATGATATAATACATGCATGTCCCTCCCTCTCCATCTACAGCAACTTCAAGTGTCCCGTAACGCCATCCACCACGCTCTTGGGTCCCAGAACCCCCAGCACCGTGCGACTTCCACTGGCGATCTGAGTCCGTCCGGCATCCTGGATCACCCGCGCGCAAAGGCCGAGACTGATGGCCTGCGCCTGCAGTAATTGCAGCTCCTCCTCGGACTTGATCTGCAGCGCAATCTTCGCTTGGCCCTGTCGTTCCCAGCGGCGCAGGATCGGCGAGTTGGGCGTGTAGGCTGTGAGGTATTTGTAGCAGGCAAGGGTGGCATGGGAGCATTGGGCGGCGATTTTTCCTAGATGTGCAGTTTCGCGTTAGCTTTGAGGATCTTTTTTGGGGTGTTTGTGTTTGCGATGAAGGTTGTAGTTGTAGAAATCAAACAAGCAAGCCAATCCCATCCACAAGACAGAAAGAAAGAAGAAAGACCAACCCTTCGTCATGCCCAGATCCGTCCGGACCACCAGCACCAGCTTCACTTCTTCATTGTTGTTCTCGAAGCTGGCCAATTCGCCGCCGTCGCCTTCTTCCTCGCTATCCTCCTCCTCTTCCTCGTCGTCGTCTTCGTCGTCGCCCTCCTCGTCGGACGAGTCCCGGTGCACCTTCACGTTGTAGCTGTTCGGCCAGCCTTCCTTCTCTTTGGTCGAGAAGAGGCCGAGCGAGGAGCCCTGGCCGAGGAAGTAGCCGGTGACGCCGGCGATGATGGCTGTCGCAACCACGTAGGCCGTCGTTGACGGGGGGAGGCGATCGAGGTCGGCCATTTTGAGGGATTTGGGAGGATGATCTCGAGTGTTGTTGAGTTCTTCAATTTTTTCAAGGTGGTGTTGATTGACGTTTAGCGGGTAGCTTGGGGTGCTGTCATGTGACGAGGTTTGCGGATGTTTCGAGGTTTTCTTTGTAGATTTTCATGGCCCGGTCTATGGTGGAATACGCGAAAGGAGTTAAACCAATAGACTGGTCTGGGGAAGTGCATTGACGCATGGTCTTTTATTATGTTTTACACAGACCACTACTTAAGCTTTGATAGTGTTTCTTTCGATTCAAGCGCATAGATTACACGGGCATCTCATGATCTCAACCACGATCTACGACTCAAAAAGGGTTGAATAGCACTGCTTGTCTCACAAGGCAGTATATGAATCCACACAAACGTTGATCCAAATATGTATCTATTAAGTTTCAAAAAAAACCCAAAATAAAAATTCAACGCATCTCATGGATGGATGACCAAAACCAAACAATGTCCATTTTCTCCTAAAGTGTTGCTATTCATTATATATACATCCCTGACCATGGCAAATCGAAAGGTAACATCGTCATCCTCATGAGCAGCGATGTCTAATTAGCGCCAGCAGCGGGGGCTTGAGCAGGAGCCCCGGGGGTTCCAAGACGACGGCTCCTAAATTGAGGGTCAGTGATATTCAGCACAACCCCAAGACCAATAGTCGCGACTTACATCATGGTACGGCTGAAGAAACTGATACCAATCATGAACAGCCAGCTAGGGATCGCACTGAATCCGTAGATGATGTAGCCGGCCGGGATCAAAAGTCCGTTCTGGGCAAGCCAGCCATCCGTGGGGTGGAAGGCACCCTCGTAGGCGGGCTTGTTCTCGTACGTCTTCTCGGAGTGGACCTTGTAGATCGTCTCGGCGGTCACGGTGGTGGTGTTCAGGTTCACGGTGTGGAGCGTGGTGGGAGGTCGTTCCTCGCCAAGCTGGGCCTGGGGAACCTGGAAGTGCCAGACGGACGGGGCACCGGCAGACCAGATGGAGCAAAGAACCTGGTTCGATTCGCAGTCCAGGCGACCCAAGTTGGGAGCGGTAGGATCGGCAGAGAACAGGAGAACGGATTCCTAAATCGGATGGGAAAGATCGTTAGCCACTATGAACCCTGCACTCGGAGCACTTTTGCCCCTTTATATTTTTAGCCCTTACATTGAACGATTTGTCCGCTTGGCCACAGCGTCCGAAGCAGGTCTTGTTTCCACCAGTGATATAAAGGAGCCAGTTCTGGGGATCCGAGGACGGCTCGAGGAGAGTCTGCCAGTTGCTCAGGTTGAAGTTGGTGACCACCTTCTCCTGAAGCTTCTGCTCAACCACCTTTTCGACCGTAGGGATCACGGGGGTGGCGGTTGGCAGGTAGGACTTGGCCTTGTTGAACCAGCCCTGAACACGGTCGCCGATGGGGACCTGTTCTTGCGCGGCAGCCAAAGCTGGGAGGACGGGGAGCAGCTGAAGGAAGCGCATGGTTGCTAAGCGGCAGGGAAGGGGAAACGACGCGTTAGTGACAGGGGGACGCGAAAGATGTTATGGGTCGACGCAGGGCATCGATGAGGATGCACGAACCTGGGGAGATGATGAAATGGGCGCACTTTGGGAGGGAAATGGACGATTCAGGAGGCCAAAGTACGGACAGCAGGCAGCGAGGAAGACGAGCACCTGGGTTGTGGTAGAATGAAACAGCCACGATAGACGTAAGTAGAAGGCAGAGGCGTCGACAGGTGGCCTAACGCAAACGGGGAAAGGCGAATCAGCAGTTCCCGTCGTAGCGGGGAATCCGAAGCCCATGGAATCCCACTAATTTCCGGTGGAATTATCGATGTCTCCTCGTCGCTAGCCTGCTCGATGACTCTGCGATCGTCGCTTTCGCTGTCCATTGCCATCTTGCGACGAATCATGCCCGATCACCAGAGTTTTCCCCGTTCATTCCTACGCCCATGTCGTGTCAAAACATCGCTCCCTGCTTATGTCACCATGATCGCCGACAGCGTAGCTCGATAGCTATGGATCATTCTGATGCGATGAATGTTTCATAATTAGTAGACAGTGGTGGCAATGAATATCCATCCTTGCCTTGGCTATTCTTATTGTGCTCATTCGGCTCAAATGCCTATCCTTGAGGAGTCGAGAGGCTGTCGGAAAAGAAAGACATGGTGCCACTTTTTAGGGCAAGCCATGTGACTGACACCTGACAGGAGAGCAACCATGGAAGCATCGGAAGAAGCATTTTACATCAGGAATGACCGGAGGTGGATTGGCACGAATTATGAACATTGCATGGGTTCTTCATGGTCATGGTTTCCCAAGACACTACCTATTCATCGCACCTTCTTTACTCGGTCAATGTGCTTTGCCTGGTCGGTTTCTATGTCAACATGGCCTGTCTGGTAGGATGTCGATACAGCCAGCATGATTAGTCTCGTTCTACCATAAAAGCATTCTCTTATCAACAGCTTGGTTAGTTTTGAAGTATTCTCACTTCGCATCAGCTCCTTGCGCTTGCTATTCGGGAAATGCGGTCATTCCAAATCTATCTCCACGCCATGTTGGCTGCTATGGTAGCAGCGACACTCCTCATAGACAAGAGCTTCGGTGCTGCTACCAAAACCAACCACAGTAAGTACCTCTGTTATGAGAGGAGCGGATGTGCTGTGGTTGACCATGCCATGCACAGAACGGCTGAACATTTCTACCACCGATTCTCATGGGAATCTGTCTTGGCACCACCACGAATCTCCCCCGGGTGATTTTCCGGTGTGTACTGATGTGAACGGATCCTTCGCACCTTTTTGCCTCCCCAAGGATGGAGCCGATGTTCTGGTCGACGCGACATACTATGTGACCTGGAATGCCGACTTCTATCCTCTCAACGCCACGATTACCATTGAATTGAGGTATTCGAACTCGACGGCAGGAGACTCGGCGTTCACCTCGGAGAGAACGGATAATAGCTACGGCTACACCCCCGTGCACGTGCTCGAAGAATGGCTGCAAGGCAAGTCGCAGAACGCATTGACCCTCTATATCATCGAGCTTGATCTTGAATCGGATCGGCGAGCGAGCGTCCAACAGGGACCAACGGTCATACTTCGGCGCAAGCCTGTTGAGCACTGGCAACCATCGCCTCAATTACCATTCAACAGGATAGCACTTTACGTTGGGCTCCCCGTGAGTCTCGCCGTGGTGGTCGCTGTGGTGCTAGGCCTCTTTTTCGGCATGCGAAACCGGAGAAAGATTGGCATTGGGAACATCATGGGCTCTGGTGGATATGGGGTCGGAAAGTCCAGGGACCAACGCATGGGGCAGAGCAAAGGCGAGTCCGAGAGTGACAGTCCGCCGCACTGGAAACAATTTACGGATGACGTAGACTCGGGACTGCCTGCTATCAATCAGTCAGCCGCGTTCGATGATCTGGAACGCACGGCAAGCTATGCATTCAATCGGGATCACTCCAAATTCAAGAGCTGGAAGAATTGACGGGGCTTTAGGCTCAGTATGGATTAACGAGCTAGGGCACGACGAAGTATGCGCTGTCTTTCTTGTTATATTATGGCACGACAGTCGCTCGTTTTGGGAGAATGGAGTAGAATAAAGTTGTATAAACATCAACAGGTGCATTAGTACCTCTCCACAATTCAGTCCAGAAGGATCGCATGAGCTTATTGCACCGGCCCTTTTTTTTTTTTTTTTTTTTTTTTTTTTTTTTTTGGTCGAACTACTCCCATCCTTTGGAGAGTGGCTGAATTGTCCTGACAAAAAGGAGGCGGTCTGGATGTACACCGAGCAACCAAGAAACTAGTAATTATTCAGCCAACGAGAAGAGCGAGAAACGGAATTAGTACGAAATGGCCAGTATCCAAGGTGACCAACGGCGGTGTCGGAGACGATGACGTTCGCGGAAAAAATTGGAGTCATCGCGATGGAGGCCATTATCTCATCAGGTGATATCATAGTTGCTCCGTCGTCCAGAGGTTGATGATTACCAATTCTGTCGAGTCGAGGCTCTTCCGTACTGTTTTATTTTATTGAAATTATTTTATTGAAATTATTGTTATTCTCGTCCTGTATTTTTAAGGGGTCAAGGAAAAATACCATTCATATTTGACTTTTCTGGTTCTCAAAATTGATGCGAATCGACGGAACCAGCCCTCGCAGACGGCTCAGCCGATGTCGGGTCCCAAAGCAGACCAACCCTATCAGAGGAACCCTTTCCACCAGAACGCACTAAACGCTGTATTTTGAATTTAACAAATGGGAAGATGCATAAGCGAAGGATGGCTTCCAATCGCCCCGGACCTATCCTCTACCCTGCGGAAGGCGAAATTTGTGAGAATTTGAGATCTGCCGGTGGCAAAAGCGAAGCGTACTCCGGAGTAGAGCATTATCGGCTGTAGTAATACGCATTACTACTCCGTAGTCTACGGTAGCTCAGTGGTTCCCCACACAAAGCGCTGCTCGGCGTGTGAAATTTTCGCATTCTGGGCTTGAATCAGACTGGCCGACGCCCGCCTTTTCCCCCCACTCGCCGTGGTCGCTCCCGGCCTATGACTCTTCCCGCTCTCGACTGCGCTGCGTCTCTGCATTTAAGCATTCGTCCTGAATATTTTCCTGTGACTCACTGTTAGTATTTTCCCTTTATCTTCTTCTCGCTCTCCTTAGACTTGGTAAACATCTCCTTCCTTCCTTTTCATCCTCCTCCATTGCCTATCTTCATACCATCTCGCACACTCTCCGCTCTCTGCTCTAACATACTTGCTCAGTCTACCCCACCATCCCTCCATCTTTCCACAATGTGTCCCGGTGCAGACAATGAGCCCAATGGGCAAGGCAATGGCGCTCCCACCAATGCCAATGGTACGTTCTCTTGCCTCTGCTTGTTCCTGTATCACTGTCGCTAAACCTATCGCAAAGGTGAACACCCCGGCTTCACTGCCGTCGAGACCCGCCAGAACCCTCACCCCTCCGCAACTCGCAACCCCTATGGCCACAATGTCGGCGTGACCGATTTCCTCAGCAATGTCTCGCGCTTCCAGATCATCGAGAGTACGCTCCGTGAGGGTGAGCAGTTCGCCAACGCTTTCTTTGACACCCAGAAGAAGATCGAGATCGCCAAGGCTCTCGATGAGTTTGGTGTCGACTACGTGAGTCACTGGAATGTCGATGTATAATCATGAGGACTCTAGACTAACCAAGATTTTGCTGCGGTAGATTGAGCTTACCAGCCCCTGCGCTTCCGAGCAGTCGAGACAGGACTGCGAGGCCATCTGCAACCTCGGTCTCAAGGCTAAGGTATGTTGTAACGCAACGAAAGTCCCGGTCCCCCTGCTAATACTTTGCGATAGATCTTGACTCACATTCGTTGCCACATGGATGATGCTCGCGTCGCCGTCGAGACTGGTGTTGATGGAGTGTAAGTGCATCCATCAAGTTTCAAGGCATTGACATGTCATATCTAACAACTAGGCCAGTGATGTCGTTATTGGAACTTCCTCCTACCTCCGGGAGCACTCCCACGGCAAGGATATGACTTACATCAAGAACGCCGCCATCGAGGTCATCGAATTCGTCAAGTCCAAGGGCATTGAGATCCGATTCTCCAGCGAGGACTCTTTCCGTTCGGATCTGGTTGACCTGCTGTCCATCTACTCTGCCGTTGACAAGGTTGGCGTGAACCGTGTTGGTATCGCCGATACCGTCGGTTGCGCTTCTCCCCGTCAGGTCTACGAGCTCGTCCGTGTCCTGCGAGGTGTTGTGGGATGTGACATCGAGACTCACTTCCACAACGATACTGGTTGCGCCATTGCCAACGCCTACTGCGCTTTGGAGGCTGGTGCCACCCACGTCGACACTTCCGTCCTCGGTATCGGCGAGCGTAACGGTATCACCCCTCTTGGTGGTCTCATGGCCCGCATGATGGTTGCCGACCCCGAATACGTCAAGAGCAAGTACAGGCTGGAGAAGATCAAGGACATCGAGGATCTCGTGGCCGAGGCTGTTGAGGTGAACATTCCCTTCAACAACTACATCACCGGTTTCTGTGCCTTCACCCACAAGGCCGGTATCCACGCCAAGGCCATCCTCAACAACCCCAGCACCTACGAGATCATCAACCCTGCCGACTTCGGAATGTCCCGATACGTCCACTTCGCTTCTCGTCTGACGGGCTGGAACGCCATCAAGTCTCGTGCTCAGCAGCTGAACATTGAGATGACCGACAACCAGTACAAGGCGTGCACGGCCAAGATCAAGGCTCTTGCCGATATCCGACCCATTGCCGTCGATGATGCCGACAGTATCATCCGCGCCTACTACCGCAACATCAAGTCCGGAGAGGACAAGCCCCTTCTTGATCTGACGGCTGATGAGCAGGCTCAATTTGCCGCCAAGGAGAAGGAACTGGCTGCCCAGGCTGCCAACGGCATCCCCGTCTAGACTTGATGCCTTTTGCCTTTCTCTTTATTTCTCTTTGCAATTCCTCTTGGATTTCTATACCTGTCGGAAGTAAACTTCCCCGTGTCTTTCTAGAGCTTTGATCATACTCCTTCAGCGGCTCCTCAGAAGAGAAGATCTTTTTTTTTCCCTTTTGCTTGTCTTTTTCCTTTTCCTTTATGATTTGATGTTATGTGTTTCGGGATTCATTGGTTATGGGGTGTTTAAAAGCCGTCTTTTGTTGTCTCAATGAGAAAAAAAAGAAAAGGATGGAAATATCGGTGTTGTTTGTTTCCTGGAAGAACTTTGTATATACGCAGGTCGCGAAGTGGTTGGCTGCATTTCCTACAATAAACCGAATGCCAAATTTCGGCAGCTTTCAGATTTTTCCATCTTGCAATGACTCGTAGTATCGCGCATTAGTTTAGGTCTGGGATGTGAGTACTCCGCAGTATGCAAGGTTGCATGTGGAAGCCGAGGCTGCATTTTAGTCATTTCCTGGAACATCCGATCTTCCCACTTCCTCTTCCCCGTCCTTCCATCGCCATTCTTTCTGGAGGACGTCGCCCCTTCATTCGTTTTCCCCGATTGCATCCACGTCAACATGGCTTCGTCGGTTCTTCCGGTTGCCCTGCAGAATAAGCTGCTTGGCTACCGCAGAACGCCTAACGCGCAGTTGGTCGCCCTGAACTTGGACCTGTGAGTTCTCCGTCCCCCGCTCTGACTTCCCCGGCCTCCATTTGTCGCGCTTGCATTCTAACCGACTAACGCCATCAACGCAGCCTTCGGAACATTGTCTTTATTCTTTTCATCTTCCGCTGGGTTCGCAAGGCATTCTACGCCGTTCGTGGCTACGGTATCTTCGGCAGCATTCGTAACGTTTACGCCGCCGTCCGCCTCTTCCTCTATTCCGTCTTCCTCCGAATCCCCGGTGTCCGCGGCCAAGTCGATAAGCAAGTCTCGACGGCGATTGAGAACCTCGAGTCAAAACTCGTGCCAAACGGTCCTGGCGTCACGAGGTATTTGGAGCTCCCCAAGGAAGGATGGACGCCCGAGCAGATCCGCGCCGAGCTGGAAAAGCTGGTGAATATGGAGCATACTCGATGGGAAGATGGTCGCGTTAGCGGTGCCGTGTATCATGGCGGACAGGACCTCCTGAAGCTTCAGACCGAGGCTTTTGGACAGTTCGGCGTGGCGAACCCAATCCATCCGGATGTTTTCCCTGGTGTTCGGAAAATGGAGGCTGAAGTTGTGGCTATGGTATGTTACTTTGCCTGTCCCTTTGAGGTCAGCATGATGGCTGATTGATGAAAAAGGTGCTTGCTCTATTCAATGGACCCTCGGACGGCGCTGGTGTGACTACCAGCGGCGGTACCGAATCTATCCTGATGGCCTGTTTGGGAGCACGCAACAAGGCGTATGCGGAGCGTGGTGTGACTGAACCAGAAATGTGAGTCGACAGGCTTTCTTCCATGCCGCCGGTCATAATAGAAATGCTAATTATCACCCAAGGATCATCCCTGACACTGCTCATGCTGCCTTTATCAAGGCCTCGAATTACTTCGGAATCAAGCTGCACCGCGTTCCCTGCCCGGCTCCGGATTACAAGGTCCACATCCCCTCTGTCCGTCGGTTGATCAACTCCAACACCGTCCTTCTTGTCGGATCCGCACCGAACTTCCCTCATGGAATCATCGATGACATCCCTGCTTTGTCGCGACTCGCCACGTCGTACAAGATCCCTCTTCACGTGGATTGCTGTCTGGGATCTTTCGTCATTGCATTCCTCAAGAAGGCCGGATTCCCGTCGCCCTACGAAGAGGAAGGTGGATTCGACTTCCGTCTTCCCGGTGTGACAAGTATCAGTGTCGATACTCACAAGTACGGATTCGCTCCCAAAGGTAACTCCGTTGTGTTGTACCGCAACAGGGTCTTCCGTAGCCACCAATACTTCATCTACCCCGATTGGTCCGGTGGCGTTTACGCGTCTCCGTCCGTGGCAGGATCCCGCCCTGGTGCGCTGATTGCGGGTTGTTGGACCAGTCTGATGAGTGTTGGAGAGACTGGATATATCAACAGCTGCTTGGAGATCGTTGGCGCGGCGAAGAAGTTTGAAACCTCCATTAAGGAGCATCCTCTCCTTTCCAAGACCCTCGAAATTGTTGGAAAGCCTATGGTCAGCGTGGTGGCCTTCACCAGCAAGAACGGCGGTGTTGACGTCTATGATATGGCCGATGCTTTGTCCTCGAAGGGGTGGCATCTCAACGCTCTTCAATCCCCTGCCGCTATCCACGTAGCGTTCACCATTCCTACCGCCTCTGCAATCGACAAGCTGACCGCGGACCTCATCGAAGTCGTCGAGAAGGAACTGGACAAGGCCGAGGAGAGGAAGCGGCAAGGCAAGTCGTATGTCATCAAGCGTGGTGATACGGCTGCCCTCTACGGTGTAGCCGGCAGCATGCCGGATAAGAGTATCGTCAGCCGTCTGGCAGAAGGCTTTCTCGACACTCTGTATAAAGCATAGATGGACTTCCTCTTGGTTGAGAGAATTCCATTGTTACCAAGTCTATAAAAGCGAGCTGTTTATATGGGGAACTCGTCCCGGACTTTTCAACCATGTCCTCTACAACATAGTCGGTATTTTGGTGTTGAGGTGTTGCAACTGGGTGATGCGTTTAATTAGTCGAACTGAGTAAATCAGTGTACCTGCAAACCCGATGTAATTGTCATAGAAGAATCCCACTCAATTTAATATGGTGACATAGTATGTATAGTACAAGAGTCATTCCGACCCGAACCCATCCGAGACGAGATCTCCATATCTCGACACCTCAAAAAAGTGCATCAACCAAGGTAAATAAAACACAAAAATCGCTCCATGCAAATAAACAAAAACAAGATAGACAGACAAGAGAGGGTAAAATGTCATCCGAGTCCCAAACGACATCTCCATCAAGCCCAGAAACCAGACCCCCTGCACCTCACCATGAGAGCAGAGTCGCCAGAAACAGTCCAAACAATAGACCATAAGCCCACGTATTTAAGCAATCAAGCCAACAATCCAACGACTGCGCTCATAGCCTCCGGCTCTCCTTGTAGTCCGCACCTGATCGCTTCTCAACGTAGTATCCCGGGTCCGGCTTCCGCTCCAAACGCACCTCCTGCGTCGTTAACCGTCTATCGACCTCCCGGACCTCGACGAGCTCCTTGACGCGCATGATCTGACCCGCCACGGACGACGAGACGGGGTGGAAAACGGTGCCCATACGCTTCTTGAGGCCGAGCGCCTTGAGCACGTCTGTTGATCGGCGCGGCAGACCGATGGCGGAGCGGACGAGGGTGATGCGGAAGTACGACATTGTGAATTAATTGCACTCGACGTGGTAAAATAAGTTCTTCGTAAGGTTGGAGTCGGGTTTTCGATCGCAAGTTCGGAGGTTTGTGTTTTTTTTTCCCTTCTTTTTTTTTCGGACCGGGGTGAGGAATTGCGAGCTAGTCGAGGTTCGGTTTGAATGTTGTTCTGTGGTATTGACTTTCGCTGGTCTAGTCTTGACGATTTCAGCGTTGTCCGGAGGTCAAGGGATCGATCACTCCACGGCAGATATGGAGCTGGGGAAACTGTCGACATCTCGAAAAGCGCGGGATTTTTGGCCTCCCGATTCGGTCGCCCGGCCTGGGCGGGGAGTCACGTGGCTGCGTTCTGCCGCCGTGGGAGCGGAATTGCTGGGGATTCCGAGTGATTGCGGTGACATCGACGCGACCCTGACGAGACGGAGCTTGGCGATCGCATCATTGCAGGCTTGGATTGTCTGTTCTTGCTCTGGTTTGGTTATTTGGTCATTTTGCGGGTCAAATTGAGCCTCACACGCAGCTGTGTTTCGTGAGGGGCTGCTGCGCATACGGACAACTTGTCTAGTACATTTGGGTCCGGTCACTCTGCTCGGTGAGTATCCTGGGGTTGATCGCTGCGTTGGAAACTAGTCTCATCCGAACGCTTCCAGGCAGTACACATACGCACGATCAAATACACACACAGTCGCCATGGCGCGCGCGGAGGACCCCGACGCAACGGTGGCCATGCCCCGGCTCGAAGATATCCTGCGTCACCCCGAAGACCTCGATAAGATCGCGGGACTGAAGGCCGAATATTCACGGAAGAAAGCAGCCGTCGATTCGCAGCTCCGGGAGGGACTTCGGAGCCAGCTCGAGTCCGTGCAACGCAGCATCAACGCCCTCACGGAAGGCCAGCGGCAGGTCTCGAAGACCAAGGACGAGCTCCAGGGCATCGACAAGCTGTGCGCCGAGTCGCAGACCAGCGTCGACGACTTCTCGCAGATCGACCGACTGGCCAAGATCCAGCGGAACTTCGAAGCGATCCTGACGATGAAAAAGGGCCTGGAGAACTTCAGTGAGGATCTGGCGGAGGTGGAGTCGCTGCTGAGGGAGGACGATGAGGATCTGGAGAATCAGCCGAATCTACTGCGTGCGCACATGCAGATCTCGCGGTTGCGGGACTTTCGCGACGAGGCGATGGATCAGATTCGCAAGGTGCAGGACCCGAGTAGTGAGGCGACGCTGGATGATTTCTTCCAGGGGCTGGACTCGGTGGTTGAGTGGTTTGATGACCATCTCGGCACGGCCTGTATGAACATCATCCCGCTGGTGCAGTCGGACAATCCCAGCATGGTGGTCCGACTGGCGGTGGTTGTGATGCATGAGGAAAAGAACGACGAGACGGTTCGTGCCTTGCAGGAGGCGCAGAAGGACCATCAGGATCTGGCTGGTCGGTTCAAGTCCATGAATGTCGGGCCGAAGACGGTCAAGGGCTACAAAGAGAAGTTCATGCAGGCGATCGAGTTCTACGCGCAGAATCAGTTCGAAAACACCAAGGAAGAATTCCTGGGTAACCCTGACATCCTGGACAAGAGCTTCCGGTGGTTCTTCAACGACCTCTTTACCGTCCAGCAAGGCATGCAATCATTGATGCCGAAGAAATGGAAGATCTACAAGACCTACACCGATATCTACCATCGGATGATGCATGATTTCCTTGTCGGTCTGATCGACGATCCGGAATTGCCTCCTGACAACCTGCTCTCCATCATCCATTGGACCGAGAAGTACTACAAGAAGATGAACAAGCTTGGGTGGAAGCAGGCTGACCTTGGAACCAACGTTCTGGACGACCGTGAGCCGGATCTCATCCGCAAGTGGCAGGACGTTATCATCAGCGCCGTCGAGGACTGGATGGACCGAATCACCGAGTCCGACAGGAAGGGCCTGATCGAGAGATCGCCCGACGTCATTGAGACCAACCCCGAAGGCTTCTTCCGGACTAAGACCCTCCCTGACATGTGGCGCATGATCCGCGAGCAGATCGTCGCCTCCAGCTCCTCCTCCCGCGCCGATGTGGTCGAGGGTATTATCGACGCCATGTTCCGCGTGCTCAAAGCCCGCCAAACCACCTGGCAGACCCTCATCGACGAAGAGTGCAACAAATACAAAGCCCCCGGCGGCGACCAGCTCGACGGCCTCCAGCTGCTACAGGACTACCTCGTCGCGGTGGCCAACGACCAGATTGCCTGCATCGACGACAACGAAGAGACCGGCCAGATGGGCTACCTCTCGCGATTCAAGCGCGATCTGGAACCCATCGTCGACCCGAAATACATGGCGTCGCGCGCCCTGCCGGAGCTGGACGCCCTGCGCGACGGCTACGTCGACCTCAGCACCTACTGCCTCTCGCAGTTCGTCGACACCATCTTCGCCACCGACTTCCGCACCACCATCCCCGAGTTCTTCACCCAGCGCTGGTACGGCGACTTCGCCATCAAGCGCATCACCTCCACCTTCGAGGACTACATGGCCGACTACAGCCCCGTCCTGCACCCCTCGCTCACCGACATCCTGGTCGAGGAGCTCTCCGACGAGCTGCTGGTCCGCTACCTCTCCTCCGTGCACAACCGCGGCGTCAAGTTTCGCCGCCACGCCGACCCCTACACCGACAAGTTCAAGGACGACGTCCTCACCGTCTTCGCCTTCTTCCAGAAATACCCGGACTCGTTCGCCGCCACCATCAAGGACAAGTGGCGCCTGGTCGAGTGGCTGGTGCGCCTGCTCGAGGCTGAAAAGGGGCCCCCCGTCGTCGCTATCTACGAGAGCTTCAAGACCGAGTACTGGGATCTGCAGCTGTCGTGGGTCGAGACTGTCTTGCGGTCGAGGGATGATTTTGAAAGGAGCATGGCGAGTGCGGTTAAGGCCAAAGCGGCTGAGTTGTCGGTGGAACGCGGTATGGAGACGCTTATGGGCAAGGTGCGGTAGATTGGATTGGATTGGATTTTGTGCATTTGCTGCTTGCTGCATAGCTGTTATGGCAGGGGCATGATGTCTTTAGAAAGCGCGGCGTTTGGAGTTTTCCCCCATATATGGTTCGAGGGAGCAGTCAGTTTGTTCCCTGATGATGATATCTGTTGTATTGCAGTTCCAGCGCGGCAGGATAGGCTGCGCTTTGGGTATAAATGTAAAACCAACACACTTCTATATGCACAGTGCTCGGCTCTGGATGTAACAAGCAAATTCCGGGGTATATCCAAGCCACGTAGATCGTATGCCTCGACATTTCCTTCCACCAAGTCACCCAGACATTAGATCCTAACCAAAGATCAAAAATCCAACTTCCTCTCTGCAACAGCCATATACTTCTCTCGCAGCCGAGCATTCAGCCCACTCTCGTCCCCTTCCGGATCCAATTTCTTAGCGCCCATCTCACAGATACAAACAGATTCGATAGGGAAATCACGAGCCCAGACGAAGGGGCCCCGGGTTGATGTGTTCCCATCCTCGCTCTGGCCGTCGAGATGGTAATCCCGATATCGCGCAAGGAGGTCCCGTGCATCAAACGAATACCGGTTGTTTTTCTGGCTCTTGCCGCCCCCTGCTCCTCGGGATCGGCCCTTGATGTAGATCGTGTTGACGACTGTGGCGTGCAGGAGGAGCGGTCGGGATTTGGGTTTTCGAGAGGCGGTTTTCGACGGCGAGGGTGTTATTGGCTGGTCTGAGTTCTTCGCGACACCTTCTGTTACTTCGGCGGGCATTTCTTCGAGAAGAGAGGGTTCCTCGGCTGGTTGTTTAGAGGAAACGCCGTCACCTAAAGGTCTCGATTCCAATTCCGAGGGATGATTTGCGCTGCTATTCCCTCCCTGCTGGGTCTGCTGCGGTGCATCATCTTTCTGGACTTCGCCCTGCAGAAACCCAGCATCTAGGAACTTATCCCGCAGCAGCTCGCAGAACGGATACAGTCGCGACGTCGAGTCCACCGGCGCAGCATGCAATACGGTAGCGGCGCGTGCGCGTGGCAGCGCATGCAGCGATTCCAGAGAGACGGTAAACGGGCTCGGAGCACCCTCGTCTCCCCTATTTCCCGGCTCATTCGACCCATCTCCTGATCTATCAGACCCCGGCGCTTCCAGCGCAGGTTCTCGGGCTCCTCTTCCCTGCGCACGCACGCGCGCGATCCTCTCCGCCTCGCGCACCAGCGCTACCAGGTCGAGGGATTGTAAGAGGCCAATCGCCTCGTCGAGTCGCTCCTTACTGGGGAGACTCATCACACCGAGGGTAAGGTGGAGAGTGCCGACGGGGCGGATTGCGGCATCGGGAATGAGGGGCTGTGGTTCTGCGGATTGGTCTTGGCCTTGGTGGGTTGTTGCGCGAGGAATTTCGGCTTTGAATGCTGCGAGAGACGATTCGAGTTGAGGGAGAGACGTGGAATTGACCAGTGGGAGGCAGAGGAAGTGTGTTAGCTGTGGTCGTTTCTCTTTCTTTGCGGGGCCTCGATGGCTCTCCTGCTTGGGTGGTCTGGGTCTTTGCTTCCGCGGTTGTTGTTGTTGCTGTTGCTGTTGTTGCGGGGAAGACATGATCGTATGATAGTTTTGGGGATGATAGGATCGAATTGAAGAGCTGAGCCAGAGTCTGGGAACAGCCAGAGGCCGAAATGGTCTGGGGAAGAGGATCATCTATTGGCGATGATCGTGACGAGGATTAGGCTTGGCTGGATGGCAGAGGTATGACGTCGAGCATGTCTCGCTGGCTTGGAGGAGTTTCAAAGGTTAATATGAATTGGATGGGTATAAATTCAGTAATTTATTCCACATGTAACCCATAGATTCGATTCAGTCGGTAAGTGAATCTGCAAAAAGACTGATGGCGGAGGAGTTGGAGAGGAAGAGAAAAGCCGAGACGGAGAAAGAAAGCTATGATGTGATGATCACCACTCATTAAATCACCTTCCGCAACTCCTCTTCTTCCCTTCTCCTCTTCTCCCCCGGACCTTCGAATCCACTCCAAACAATCAATCAATCAACTCCCATCAATTACAATCCCACTTCGCTCATCCGCTCCATCTCCATCGCCATGCTCTCCCGCGTCCCCCGGGCTCTTCGACCCTCAGCCATCCGATCTCTCCGCGTTGGCCGCATCGCAGCTCCCGCAGCTGTCCACCCCCAGCCTCAATCCACGCCCCTCCGTCGAGGCTTCCACGCCTCCCCTTCGATCCGCAAGGGCCTCTACCCGGACTCCGCGGATCCTCCTGCCCCGAACCCGCAGTCGAGCAATGTCGCCGGCGCCGCCACCCACGTCACGGAGCCATCGCCGTTGACAGACGGTCAGTATCACGAGTATGCCGAACATTACCTGAACATGCTCCAGACGGAGGTGGAGAACACTCAGGAGGAAGGATCGGAGATGGAGGCGGAATATAGCGTGAGTACCTCCTCTACCAAGGATCTCGGAAGAGTGACGGGAGAGAATTTCTCCTCATTCATCTTTGTGTGCACATTTCAATGCAATGCGCTTCATCCTTCAGAAGCTAACCCAGGTATGATTCTATACAGGCCGGCGTCCTCAACATCGGTGTCCCCGGAGTAGGCACCTACGTCTTGAACAAGCAACCGCCCAACAAGCAGATCTGGCTGAGCTCGCCGATCTCCGGACCCAAGCGATACGACTGGGTGGTGGAGGGCGACCAGATGCACGAGAAGCAAGAGTCGAGACCTTTTGTCAACGGGCAATGGGTTTACCTGCGCGACGGGTCGAACCTGACTGATCTGTTGAACTCCGAGTTGACGCTGAAGATTCCCAAGGATGTCTACAGCGAGGAGTACTCATAAGTCGGGAGTCAGGGTCTATTCGCATTTTGATGACTGGTTGCCAGGCGATGGAATGCGACGAGGTGTCTTGATCTATCGGGATTTATGGAAACGATTTCGAAGGTGGAATATGTAGGATATAGGATGGGGGTCTTTGTGGTTCAATTTTATTGCGAGAAAGAGCAAGAGAAGTTCATAAATTTCGGCACCAGGGACTTTTTAGTCCTTCTGGATGCGCAGATATCATCAGAAGTAAATGTTACAATAATACTAGGCAGTGGACTGTCTATCTTCATTTTTGAAGTCTGCAGACGATGCAGTAAACCAGTCAATGTCCTTGGCAGATCCCCAAAGAGATTCAAATTCCAACATAGCACTAGCATCGTCAATCTGCCAATTCCCTCCGAAGCAAGCCCTCCATTCTTTCATAGTCCATGCGATGCGAGATGCCAGCCAGCCCAAGATAGGTTTCTAGTATCTCAGTAACGGCCATCTTGGTTGCTTGCCGACGGCGGGACAATATCGTCTTGATCCTCGGCTGCGAATGCGACTGCGACTCTTCCCTGGCGGAGGTAATATTCTCTCGCAGACAGCCAAGCAGTCTAGCGGCCGACGTTTCTTCAGCAGGCGATCAGAAGCGTGTTCTTCTCTCGTTTGACCTCCAGATAGATAGCGTTGCGCGAACGACAGTTTCAAGTGGAGGCCACATCGTTTGCGTGTATCAAGCCCCTACCAAAGTCCAACCCCGAAATCGAATCGTATCGTATCGTCTCTGTTGAATTAAGCCTGCACCGGCACTGCGCCAGCCGACCCGTTCTTATCGTCCTGGGCGAGATCGGACTATTACAGTCAAGAAAATATTAGAAAAGAGCACTTTCTAGACCCAATTTGTACAAAATGCTGGAGGGTTAACCTACCGGATCAAAAATCACACGAATCATCAGACTGCAGCTGGGACACACGGCGATCTCCTCACCGTCGCGCAGGTCGTCGATTGCGATCTCGAATCGGTCGCCACAGGGACACGGGTAGTGGTAGATTTGGATGGCAGGATCGAAGGTCATATCTTCGATTTCGATCTCGTCGTAGATGGAAAGGGCGTCGTCGGCCATTTTGAATATTTGATGTTTTTTTTTTTGGTATTTTTTGGATATTCTTGGTGGATAGAAAGGAGTATGCAGGAAGTCGAAGAACGATTGATCTTATCGGAAAACTTTTGGCGGGCGGGGTCAGGTGACTGCGGGGGTGGGATTGGCCGGGGCTCAAGCAATTTATACTCCGGAACTCCCTCTACCTAGAGTCGAGATGACGAAGAAACCATCCAGCCTTGAACGCTAAACAGAATTCTGAATACTACATAATGCATACAAATCTGGCCCCCTGTTTCTCTCCACAGGGAACAATAGCACTACAGTATTCACTATTTGAAAAATGGTGAATGGTATGTGAATATAGCTCGAGCACCACTATAACTACTTCACTTTCATACAATACTGATGCCTTCCCAGAGCCAACCACCCTGGTGGATCCGTACCTCACTATGATCAGCGATAGTTACGACATTATGCGTGACTTGCCACGAGGCTACCAGCTCCAGGTTCTTTCGACAGTCGCAGAACGCGGTGGAAGCCATCTATGACCAATTGGAGCACAACGACTGGCAAGGAAACCAATGGCTGGTTAACTTGGGTTTGTCCCAAGATGTCATTGACAGGCTGAGCAATGACCCTAGCTGCCTGTCGGACATCGCGTTTCGTTTCACGTGGATTGGGACAAAAGGACTTATCAAAGTAGTAGTCCCATCTATTCAACATAATTTTACCACATCGGGCTTGGTCCACTATATCGACCAGCAGTGCATTCTAATGGGAGTGCCAGACAATGATCTAGCTTGGGGGCGTACAGTCACGACACCAGGCACCGATACGACTCATGGGAAACAGCCGGACGGCTGTTTTTACCCCCCTAACCGCCAGCCTCTGGGTGGTCAGTTCAACGGCTGGCCGTCGATGGTTATCGAAACGGGTGTTTCGGAATCGTTGGCAAAGCTTCGTTGTGAGGCTACTTGGTGGTTCGAAAAGTCATCGGGTGACACTAGAACCGTCATTCTCATCTCAATCAAAGCAGCCACCAAGGAGATCAGGTTCGAGAAATGGCAGCTTATCTCTCCAAACGTTCCACGCCCTGTTACGAAGACGCTGGAAGTCATGGAAGACTACGTAAAACGCCTGACGCAGGGAAAGGATCATTACATGGATATGCTACGAGAATGGAGAATACGCAGAAGACGTTGGGAGCTTGACTATGTTAAGCGATACAAGGACATGGATGCCGCTGGCTGGTGGGACCGTCAAGGCCCAGTGTCGGACGAAGAAATCGAGAATCTGGAAAACCAAATCAATGCGAAAAACCTCCGCGACAGGTACTGAGGACTGGAGCTGCGGTATCACTGGCACCCTGGCAAAACCCGTGTCCAGCACGCCCTATCAATCGAAAACATTGGGACTATCTCTCGTGAACGCCTTTATTCGAGGACTGACCAATTTAACCCTCCGGACTACCCTACTTGCCCAAGTCGAGTCTTCGCACCTTATGAAGAAAGCCTATGGAGGGTTAATTTCTTTAGGAATTGGATGTTGGATCCAAGGTAGGTATACCTACTGTAGTTAGTAGGAGGGAAACTCAGTCTCTGTATAGATAGCCAGACTTGAGCTAGCTTTGGGATTAATCCCTGTATAGTAGATTTCATAAAAGAGCAACTACAAAATTAGAAGGAACTAATATAAGATCTGGGCCTAGAGGTATCTAGCTTATGTGAGGCGTGTATATGTATATCAGCTAATCACACATATCTGCCTGTATAGAGACTTCGGACTCTATAAAAATCATGCATTTAGAAGCTTTATGGAGCTGGGAAGCTTCGGTATCAGGCATCGTATCTACCCGTATAGCCACTTGTTGCAATGGAGTGGGCTACATCAGAGAATATGAATGAATGAATGAATCAATCAATCATGCTTTTTACTGTTTATTTCTTTCAATGTCTCTTTACGGAAAGTCTATATCCCATATTCTTTAGTAGAGAGTTTTCTAGTCCTGTGTGTACTTGCGATGAGAACCACAAATTCACAATTGATGACTTGACAACCAAATTCAACATTCCACTTCTGCATCCCATGAACCGTTTTAACTTGGCGACGACTATTCAGCGAGGACTCGGAGCCTCATGCTGACGCATATGCATCAACATTTCCTCAACCGCAAGGCCATCAGTCCGCATATCGAACCTGCTCCTGCACGGCTGAGAAGGCGGACCCGTTGGAATAAGCCGCTGGTTTTCAGGAAGATCCTCATAATACTCGTAGGCCAGGAAGTCCAGGCCATGGAAAAGCATTGCCCAGCACCGCCCGGACTCTATGTTTGTCCGCTCAAGGGCATCTTCAAGCTGCTTCAAGGCGGCGTCCAAATCCCCTCCGTCCTTCTTTGCCAGGGCCACGGTATGGTTGACCATCTTTCGATCGTCTAGGCGAAATCGTTGCAAACGAAGAATCCGGAAATCAGCGGTTCTGTGGTTGGAGTTGAGCTCGTAGACAGTCCTCCAGTTGTCGGCGACGGGGAAGTAGTGTTGCAGCATCGTCATTGCTAGTCCCTTCGTCCAGTTCCCGTCTGGTGTGTCGGTTTCGGCTCGTTCGAGGAGGACGTCGAATAGTGGCAAAGACGAGTAGATGATCATTGCTTGGATTTACGTTGACCATAGGGGTAAGAACTTGATCCGTTGACACTGAATATTGTGACTTGCTATTGCAGCAGTATTGTGAGATCAAAGGTCTCTTAAGTGGAAAACGCAGTAGTTCTAGGGTGGGTTGGCAAAGGGGCCGTGCTCATTTGCTCGGAATTGTTTGTCTGGGGCCTGTGAGTGGTCAAGTATCATCCCAAATATTCCTAAACGAACTATAAAAAAAAGGGTATCTCGAAACAATATAATCAAAACATCTACCCCCTCAATCTCTGGATCTCCGACCTCACCTCCTCGATCTCATCCATCAACGTCCCATACCGTCGCGCAATCTCCCTCATCGGTCCTGATCCCAAATGCGCCTTACTTCGGGTTCGGGCTGCAGGAGCCTCAGAATCCACATCCTCGTAGGCCTTGAGCTCCTCTAGAGCATGTTCCTGGCGCTCTTCCAGCCTTTCCCGAGTATCCTGCAGATGTTGTCGGTATCTGCCCAGTGCGACGACAGTCTCGGGCGTGTATATCGTCGCGGAAATATCCAATTTCATGACGCTGTGCCAGTCAGTTATCAGTCCGAGTCTATTTCCTAGATCATGGAACGATCCCAGGGCAATATCCGCCAGTCGCCTAGATTCGACATACCTCAGTTTTCCTTCCACGCCCTGCGCCACCGTAGCCAAATGCTCGGCCTTCGCCTTCGTGGCTCGCGCCAATGCGCCGTGTTTCGCGCGCTCCAGCAGCACCACGGTCCGTTCCATCACCGCCGCTCGCGCCGCCACAACCTCCGTGGCTGTCGCTGCCATGCGTGCTCGCGCCGCCGGAAGTTCTGATAACTGTATTTCTCGGAGTCTGCGAACTCGTTCGTCCAGCTGTGATGAGAGGAGAGGGACCCGAGTTACTGCGTGACGACCACGGGCCCGCGATCGTGTCGGCTCCGTCGGTTGTCCCGCGCTCGGGAGGTCACCTGTGTTCGCGATCTTCCGAAGGTTATGGAGGATGTTTGATAATGACTTCGAGAAATGTGGGGCGAGCACCGGTAGATTGGAGTAGAAGGCGTCGATGTCGGGTGCGAGAAGAGTCAGGGCATTTGCTGTGTCTCCGGGGTCGGTTTCGAGGTCTAGTTGGCGGGGTGAGGCGTCTAGATATAGCGATACAATGGCGACGGGGTCTCGGTCCTGTATTTGCAGATGTGGATAGTATCAGCGATGATCGAGAAATGTCTTCTCGCTTTGATATATCACTCGAATGGGCTCTTCTCACCTCATCTAGCACTCCGCTGTCGGGATCGAAAGCTAGCCTTCGGAGGGTCTGCTTCTTAATCTCCTTCTTCGCATTGCGAATGCGACAGTTCCTCAGCTCCTGTTCAAGTAGAACACTATCAGGTATGCATCATTGATAAAAGTTATGGGTTTGGTTCCAGTAGATTGGGGCGGTTCTTTCCCAGGCGTGGACGCACTTCGAGAGCTGCTTTTCGGGCTGGTTGCGCATCGTTGGCGCGGGTCGATCCATCCGGATGAAGGAGCTTCGTCGTTAGATGCTGATGAAGTCGTTTGAACTGGGGATTGCTTTCCAGAATGGCCGGGTCACAAGGTGGAATCATGTTGGAGTGCTCGGGAAGGAAGAAGATGGAGGGTTGAGGCGGATAAACAACGCTCGGCGTGGGTTGCTGCGTCACCGCCGAGTCGCTCGCCGATCCTTTCCGATGCTCAAGACTATAAAAAAGATGTACTCCATTCTAGGTCTGTCTACTAAAATCGGGATGTTTAAAAGTACAAAAGCTTCGGTTGTTCGCTTCCATTTTCACATTTCTTTCGTAATCATACATGCACTTGGTGCTATCGCAACCCTCTTCCCCGTCACCGAAACCGTCGATACGATCTCGCAGCAGCGAGAGAATCGCCTAACGCTACCCCCGATGTAAAGAAAAAGCAGTCAAGGCTTCGTCATCGCGGGTTCAGATGATTCCCCTTGCTGGGAGAGACAACGGCATATTCAAACAACTTCAAGTAACCCAAGGTATCACGTCCTCAAGGAATCCCATTCTGAACACCATGCCTTCTTGTAGGCAAGGGGAAAGAGGGGGTTGGGGATGGAATCAGGCAGCCAAACGAATAGGAAAGAACAGGCGGAGAAAGGCAGCTAAGCCACGCACAAGTCATAGGAAGATCAATGCTGTGTGCTGACGTGGGGAGGTTCACGAAGATCCGAAAACGCAGTCCCAAACGGAACGTGGGGATCCCAGACGCAACGTTAAGAACTTGAAGAAGATAAAAAGAAAAAGAAAAAGAAAAAGGCTATGTACAGAGATCTTCTGCGCCTGATGCGAGGACCAGACCATCTTCCAACACCAAGCGGGTCGCTAAAATAAAAAGAGAAAGGGCAAAACGAAAAGGAAACGGGAAACAAGAACAAAGGCAAGTGGTTCGTATGATAGCACAAGATAATAGTCACGGTGAGGATAGCCGGAGAATGCCTGATGGAGCAAAGACAGCGGACTCTCGGTTTTCTTCACCGAAGCACTACTCTGCCCGACTCTACTCCTCTTCACTCTCCTCGGAATCGTCGTCGGAGTCATCGCTACTTTCGTTGGCTTCGACGGAGGGCATCGGATCGGGCGAGCGTCCACCGCCACCCTCGAACCGGGACAAATTGCTCTGCAGCATGTTGATCTGAGCTTCCTGTTCATACTTGCTCATAGGTTTGTTCTTCTTGGGCTTAGGAGGCGCCGCATGAGCGTTGGCGTTGGTGGTGGCAGGAGCTGGCGGCGCTTCCTCTTCTTCCATGACGTGCGGCGCGTTCTTCTTCACGAACTTGAGTAGCATCAGAAGAACATCGTTGGGCAACTCATCAATATCAAGTTCAATTTCCGTCTCTTGGGTTCCCTGTTTGATGATGATTAGCGACGACGGACAGGCCAAAAAGGGAATAAAAGGAACGTCGACATACCTTGAGACTCGGAACGTTGCTCTGGATGATCTTGAGAGCCTCTTGCATCTTCTTGTCGGGAAGGCTACTGATGCCATTGGAGATAACCTGTTTCTCATTGTACGTGACCCAGCGTGGCTTTTCGGGCTTGGAAATCTTCGAGCTGCTGCTCTTCTTGTCCTTCTTGACTGGGTTGGCAGAGGCGGGCTTCTTGCCCTCCTTCTTGCTGGCAGACTTCGACTTGGTTGTCCCGACCTTCTTCGATCCAGGCGGGGTTTTCTTTTTCTTCTGAGTGATGGCTTCTACTTGACGAGACATCTCCTCAATCTGCTTCTGCAACAGGCCTAGTTTTTCATTGTCGGACTCGCTTTCCTCGGCTTCCTCTTCGCTCTCCTCGGAAGAAGCAGCGCTGTGATGCTCGGGGTGCGGCTCGTGGGCCTCCAAGTAGCGCGCTTTTTGCGCCCACTTCTCATTGAAAACTTCCTGGAATTTCTGGCCGGCCAAATAGGTAGGATCCCCCACGATGTTGAATTTGAAGCAATTCTTGAAGATTAGGCGCATATCAGCCTCGAACTCCTTCGAATTCTCATACTGACCCGTTTTGAGCTTGGACTGCACGGTCGACAAATCCATTGGCTTCTTGATGATGTTGTGGTATGTCGGGATGTTCAAGGCAACTGGATCCACGGGCCAGTAAAATGGCAGCGCGTAGTTATAATGCCTAGGCTTATGCAGATCATCCAGCAGCTCCTGGCAGAACCGAAGCTCCCACTGATACTTCTTCTTCTTTGGCTTCGTTGAGTAAGGAAGATCTCGTTTAGGAGGGTGGATGGATCGCTTAGGCCGTCCGTCCACGGTGGTAGAATCGCGACGGATGAGCGGCAGGCCTTCCGGTCCAAGGGCAAAGGTGGTGGCTTGGGGCGAGTTGCCAGTCGCACGCGCAGTGGGGGTGTGTCCGATACTTGTTCGTGGCTCCCTGCGAGCGGCCGAGGTCTTTTGAGAGGACTTTTGAGAGGCCTTTTTGGGCTTCTTCTCCTCCACCTCGTCCGGCTTAGGCAGGTTAACCAGTTGCTTATCAAACGCAGCCTTGAGCCTCTGACCCTCTTGCGAGACCACGTGATCAGCACCGTTGAAGGTCAACGCATTTTGGACCATCAGAGCGAAGTCATCAACAACCGCCTGCGCTGACTTGTACTCATTGTCCTTCAGCTTGCGCTCGATGGTTCCAAGATCCATGGGTTTCTTAATGAACTGGGGGTAATGGGGGATGTTCAGCTTGATAGGATCAACAGGCTCCCTGTAGAAACGCGCGTCGTTCGTACGCTTAAGGGTCTGGATGCCTTTCAGGAGAAATTTGTGCTGGACCTTGGTCATGCTGGTCTCTCCGTTCGCCTTTGCTTGCGCAGGGCCTTCGGTTGCAGGCGTAGGCGGCTCCGGGGCTTTGAATTCCACCGGTGCTGACCCTTCGCCCCCAATCTTGGTACGTTTTGCAGCTGGCTCATCGGCGGGGTCTGGCTCGCGCTCCCGCGACACCTTCGTCGGAGAGACCGGAGCATCCGGCGCGTCTTTCATCTCCTGATCTGTAGTCTGCAGTGGGGGTACAGACGGCGCATTGCTGGCAGGAGCATCATTCGATGCGCTGTCAGGTTTGGCACTGGTAGGAGGATGATGAGGAAGTTCAGTTTTCACCGAAGGGGATTCTTGCGGCTGCTGCGATTTTCCTTCGCCACTGGTACCAGACGAGGGTTCTTCTGCCGATGGCTTCGCAGCATCCTGGACGGGCTGGGGGTCACTGGGGATAGGCTTGTCTGCGCCGGTGCCGTTGGTAGGCTCTTGCGCGGTCGGTCCACTTGAAGTAGGGTTGTCTCCGACTGTTTCTTTGGTGTTCTCATCGGTCGCAGCAGAATCCATGTTCGAAGGTTTAGCTGCTTCAGATGATGCGGGTTGTTGAGGCGAGGCATCAACAGGGGTGCGAGCCGGGGACTTGGGAGGCGATGCTGCATCGGCACCGTTGGCGGGGGTCTTCTGATCTGCGCCATGGCCATTCACTGCGGCAGGCTTTGGTGACGTGGGCTCGCTTGTCCCATTCACTGACGCGTCTGGTTTGGCATCGGGAGCGGGACTTTTCACACTGAAATAAGAGACAAGCCAAGTCAGTGACCTCTCATCATAAGACCCAAACAAAACCGAGAGTGAAAAAAAAAAGAGAGAGAGAGAAAGCACATACCCTGCGGGACCACCATCAGAGACGCCATTTGGCGACGGCGGCAGTTGAGGCTTCTCCTCCTTGATAACAGAAGGGGCCTCGGGAGGCGGCGTCGCCATTTGAGGTCGCGAATTATGACGCCCGCGTTGGGGACCGGAATACAAAAAGATCTAACAAGCAACGGAGCAGGTGACAGCTGGACTGAGTTATCGGAGAGGTTTAGAAGAGCGACAACAAAAAATAAACTGAATGAGTAATCTCTGCGCTATCACAGACTAAAATGAATCGAATTTCGGGAACCGTCGCGCAGCAAAAAGAAACAGTCCCTGATTAGATGACAGATGAAGCAACAGTAACGCTGTTGTCTTGGCAGTGGAAGGGCTGCGACACCGCGACGTTAGAAAGATACAGGAAAGAGAGAGAATTAGCGCAGGTCGGAAGTGGAGAATGCGACAGGAAGCAGGAATTTATATTGCCAAGAGGCGGGAGCCTAGGTCGGGGTCACGTGGGCGGCGAGGCGGTGACTCAGCGGGCAAAAGGTCGAAAGCGGGAGATTCCGAGAAAGAGAAAAAATGAAAATGAAAAAGAGTTGCGGTGGAGAGATAAAAGGTTGGTCAGGTGATCCGGGTGAGGAAGCTGCGAGAATCCCCACACGTGCCGGAGTGGGTGCCTGAGGCCGGGAAAATTACACAACCTGGTTTGAAAGGGGGGACCCAAAAAAAAAAACAGAGGGGATTTAATTAGAAAAGAAAAAAAATGGAAAGGGAAAAAACAGGGAATAAAAAATAAAAATAAGAGAGCAGCTGCAGTAGTGGCCGGGATAGAAGGGTGGATTTAAGAGCGCGACGCGAACTAAAACGCGTGAAATCAAGGTCCAGGGGGAATGGACACGGTCGGTGTGGACAAGGGCGGTCAGTGGTAAGGAAAGGGGTAAAAGGCGTGACCGGCGCGCAGCTCTCAGCTCAGCTCCAGAAACAGAGACTGAGGAAATCGGAGGGGGTGCTAGAATCCTTAAGTACGAACGGCCGCGTCGCGCTCGTCCGCCCTCTCCCGCTAACTCCATCGGCCGCGCTAATCCCAATCGTTCTAGTTCAGGCCATTTAGCAGCCGCTGATTGGCCCGACGATGACGCGTTCTACAAGTCCCGCCTGGTGATTGGATAGCGGCATCCATGGTGCGGATACTTCGTCCCAGAAGTCTTTGGTCGGGAACATCTTTGGAAAAGGGAAAAAAAAAAAAAAAAAAAGCTGTACCTTTCAGCTTGGTAAGTTGGTAACAACAACAACATTTGGCACCAGCCTTGTAACCACGGAATAAAATAGAAAAAAATAAAATAAAATAAAATAGAACAAAACAAGATAATCTGGATCGAGGTATTAAATAAATCATCTCCACTGTCCACGGGTGGGTCTACCAGAGCACGGCACCGCCAGCAAGATTGTACTCATGATGGTGACACTTGGGTGAGATCAGATATGACATACCCAAAGGAAAAAAAGAAAAAAGGGAAAAAAAAAATCAATTTGTTAGGCATTCATTGCGGTCGGTCGGTATAGACCGGGCGGTATCATTTGGTCCGGTTGGATTGCTACACACCCGATCCCGGAAGTAGTGATCTGCTGACCGGCGGAAGCCCCAGGGTTCAAGCCCTGAACCCTCTCCTTGCAGCGCAATAGGACTAGCGCCGAGACCGACGCAACCGCTCCACCGCCCAGTCTATACGACGCATAGTTGTTCAGGTAAACAGAAGGCTCCAGCCTCGTCGTTCCGCTTAATTTGGTCTGTTTTAATAGTTGTCTGTTTGCGATTACAGGGGCCGTGGGTTTGGTGGAATGCTACTTGTTGTACAAGTCAATAAGCATCATGGATAACCCACAGGTGGCGCCTGTTGCATCCCTTGTTTGTTGGTCTCAGGAGAACTATATATATCAACACTACGGCCAAATCGAACGTGTCTCGCCCACCCTGATGACTCCTCGCTTTGCAAGGCAATGAAACATGTACACACCGTTTGAGAGCCGGATTTCCTCCCCTTCGGTGGGTCTGCGTTAAAAGTCCAGCGCGAGGGAATGCGCACTCCGTAGTCACCAGGACCGTTAGGCCACCGCAGTACAGGAGAGCAGTGATGTTAGGCAACAAATTCTTCCAAGTCTGGTAGAGTGCCGGAGTATCAACAATCAACAATAGCTAAGAGACTTCAAAACAAACGGCGCTGGTATCCCGCGCCTTATCTTGCACAAAATGAAGGTACAAGAAAACAGCGTAGAAAAAGCCAAGAAAAAAGAAAAGAAAAGGGCGGTTGTACGAAGTAACGAGAAGATGTTTCGGAGATATGAACAGGACAGGCGACGAATCAGATGGACAAAGTTCTAGAACCATGCCTGCAAGTCGAACAGCCTCCCCATCATTGGAGATTCAGCTGTCGGCAGGCGATCATACCGAGGTCACGGCGGTGTCGTTGTCCGATCAGAGCCAGTCCGCACCCGAGGGATTCGAACGGAGATGCCGAGAACAAACGGCCTCGAGGACGGGAAGCCGCGTCCTAGTACTCGAGGGTAGGGAAGAAGAGAGAACTGCGTAGGTAGTTATTCCGTAAGTCTTTACGGAGTACAAGAGAAGGCAAGACAATTAGATAAGACGCCGGAGCGGAAGTTCATAGCGGCTAGTCCCAAACAGGCCAAGCGCATCTGCCGGCTTCTACAGAACTTTTTTTTCAACACCGCCCAAGAGTCCAGCGACGGACTGCAGCTCAACTTGCTCCTACCTGTTGTTGCTCCTAGTCGAATCCGGACTAGATTTCTCCTGTTTCCACCCGAGAGCGCTGTTTTCTCGGCCACGAAACTTTTTCGATTCATCCCATTTCGCCTGTGAAATCCGTCGAAAATGGGGAAGAGAACGTCTCGTCCGCCCGCTACGAAAACTTCCTCCGCCGCGGTTTCCGGCAGCTCCAACGCGGGGAATAAGTCTTCGATCCTACGGGCATCCTTTGCGCCGTCGGACTATCAATTGGCGCTTTTCGCTTCGGTAATCCAGGGTCTGGAGGGCCACCACATTCGAATTCACGACACAAATACCGGCCGGTTACAGTGTGAGCACGTCCTGGGCCCGCGGGAGACGGTGACTTCCCTGGACTGGGGCTATTATCAGAGCAAGCCAAAGGAACAGCCCAAGAAGAAGAGAAAGCGCCACTCCGGCGCCAATGGTGGCGCTGATGGATTCGACCAGGGCGACGTAGTCGTTGCGTTTGGTACAAGCGCTTCCGACATCCGGTTTTACTCCCCGACGGAGGACAAGATCGTGGGAACTCTATCAGGCGGACACGATAAAGGGGTGAAGGATTTCAAGTTCACCTTCAACCGACCCGGTCAGGAGGGATGGAGTATCGGCGGAGACAACAAACTCGTACAATGGGATCTGCGTACTGGGAAACCCACGAAGTGAGTTCCTCCTTGGTTGTCTAAGCCTCCGGTTTGCACAGCCCGCCCGTTTAGCTAACAAGGATACTTATTTCAGGACGATCCCCATGCCCTCATCATCGGTGCTCTCCGGTCTTTCGCGCCCGCTCCCTTCTAACCCGCCCGTTATCTGTGCATCCGAGAAACCGTACATTGTCGACGTGGAAAATGATGTGCCTCCCACTTCCTTCTCGGACATGCGCAATCCGATCCAGAATATCCTCACCTCTTCTACAGAATCCGCAGCCGCAGGACTATTCCTGGCGTCCGATAACGACCGGTTCCTCAACATCTATGATCCCCAGAGCCAGAAACTCCTCATGAACCTCGTCGCCGACAACGAAGTGTCCTCGCTATCCTTGTACAACGGCGCAGAAAAGGATGATGCTGATGCGTCTCTCGAGAAACAAGTCCTGGCCGTTGTCACCGAGGATGGCACCATCGAACTCTTCACAAGACCATTCGTGAAGCCCAACGAGGCGCAGAGCTCCAAGGCCTCCAGTTTGAAGGCGAAACGTCAGCTTGCCACCAAGCGAGCCGAGTCCTCCATCAAGCTCGTTCGTTCCGAAGGCTCGAATGCGCTTGCTTCCGTGGTCCAGGTGCAATTCCAGGGCTCCGACCTGATTGTCGCCTGTGCCGAAGGAGGTGCCATTCCAGTTTTCGAGCGAATCAAGTGGCTCAACGAGGAGACGGACGAGCTGGCGTTTGTCGGTACGAAGACGATTGCCAAGACCCAATCTGCCCATATCCTTGGATCGGTGACTACCAACGGGGCCAAGAGCGCTCGCGAGACCCAGGTTGACGAGACCAAGGCGGGCGTGGAACAGGGAGCCTTTGCGGAGGACGATATCGAAATGGAAGACTCGAAAGAGGATGCAGCTTCTGTCGCTGACAGCGAGGAGGAGGATTCAGACGATGATGTTCAACAGCCCGAGAAATCCACGAAGGTGGCCCAGAAGCAGAAGGAGGGGGCCGACAGCGACGTTGATATGGACAACGCCCAAGGATCGGACCAGGAAGATGAGGAGGAAGAAACAGGAGAACCATCCTTCGGCGAGCTTATGCGGGCCCACACTGCGGGCGAGATCGATGTCGAAGCCGAGCTGGAGGATGGAGTGCGCATCGGGTCTCTCGTCCCCGGCAAGCCCAGCGCCGCCATTCAGCCAGTCCCCACGGGAGTCTCGTTATCCACCGTCCTGTCGCAGTCCCTCAAAACCAACGACAACTCCATGCTGGAGTCATGCTTCCACACCGGCGACGTTTCCATTATCCGAACCACCATCCAGCGACTCGAGTCGTCTCTTGCTGCTACTCTTCTCCAGAAACTGGCGGAGCGCATTTCCTCCCGCCCCGGCCGATACGGACACCTCTTGGTGTGGGTGCAATGGACGTGTGTTGCCCACGGAGGCGCGCTCGCCGGCAAAACGGACCTTCTCAAGCGGATGGCGACCCTTTTCAAGGTCATGGACCAGCGCTCCTCCAGCCTCCCGTCGTTGCTCTTGCTCAAGGGCAAGCTTGACATGCTGGATGCGCAACTGGGATTGAGAAAATCCATCCGCAGCGGGGCTGAGGACATGGACAGCGAAGATGAAGACAACATCATCTACGTCGAGGGTCAGGAAGAAGAGGAGGACAGCGACGCCGAGAACAAGCACAACGCCACACCACGGACCAAGTTGATCCGCGACCAAACGTTCGACGAGGACGAATCGATGGTGAACGGCGTGCACTCGGGTATCGACGATTCCGACAACGAGGAGGATGAAGACGAAGAGGACGAGAACGAGGACGTGCTGGATGTCGAGGCCGAAGAATCCGCCGGCTCGTCGGACGCCGAGGAGTCGCCGGACGAGGACGAGGACGATGAAGATGCCGAGAGCGTCGGATCGATGGCGGACTTCATTGCGGACACCGAGGACGAGGCGTCGGACGACGAAGGGGCCGCCTTATCTCAACAACCGCCGTCTAAGAAGGCGAAGTTGGGAGGAAAGGGGAAGAACAAGGCCAGGACATAGATTAGAGCAATGTTTATACCCTGATCTTTCTCCGCTTTGGTTTTGTTTCTTGTGTCTTTTTTGGCTTTTTGATCACCTCATTTCCTGATCTCTTATTTCTCTCATTGTCAATCTGGATTTCTACAAAAGTAAGGAATACATTATTCATTCTTGTGTTTTTATTTTCTATCTCTGTCGGTGTTTCTCCCCAATTTAGACCGGGACTCTTTTTTCATTTCCCTTTTTTTACTTGTCGTCCTGCTCGAACCAATCTACCTGCTCTCTGCACCTACTTGTACTGTACTCATGCTTGCATCCGCTCCGGATCCACCTATCTATATAGTGATCCTAATCAACCAACCAATCAAGCCAATGAACTCACTCACCACTTCTGCTCCTCCTTACACCCACCCCCATGCAGTACGCGATGCCCCGGGACCGCCGCCAACGGCACTTCCACCGCCACCGTCTCCTCGTCAGACGGATAATCCGTCAAATGCCCGTCGCTCCTATCCGGCGTGTCCAGCGCCAGGATAGCGCCGTATTTCCCGCCCCGGATATACGCCTCCTCGGGGGAATGCGGCAGGGCGATGTGCGCGAGCCCTGAGAGGAAAATCACCCATCTACCGCGTAGCATGTGAGTTAGTTTGGGATCCAACGCAGAGGGAACCATGCGCAAAAGACTGAGGCGGGGTTTAGGGGAGGGGAGGGGGGCCATGGATATCACTATCACATACTGCGCAGTGGGCGCATTATGCAGCCCATTATCAGTCCGCGGCTGGATGACCATATACGAGACATTACTGCCACCCGCGGCGGGGCCCATGGCCTGCAGCATGTTCTGTTCCGTGCCGGGTTGCGTGGAATGCGCGAAGCCAGGGGTCAGGGCCCAGCATTCCAGGGTGGATTGGTTGTTGTGGGCGCCGATGACGGTGATGTTCAGCGTGTTGGTGGAGTTAGTGGACGCTGCGGCGGTGGTGCCTGTGAGAGCGAGGGCGGAGGTGAGGAGGGTGTGGAGGGAGACCATCTTGAATAGTGTGGAATAATTGGTTATTCGTGCTTTGATGTATATGGGGCTGTTTATCGGTTAGGGTTGAGAGATTGGGTTGTGTTTATGGAAGAGAGTAGCATGGGCGTATCAATGGTGGCTGGGGAAGGAGTTAAGGAAGGGAGAAAAAGTAACCATGTCTGAGCTTCAGGGAATACTCCGTATGCTTGAGACCTCGAGCATAGAACCGATCTGCGACCAGACTAGTGGGATTTATTGGAATCGGAGAATTGCCTGGCTGCCACTATTGGCGATCCAAGTTCCGCCGGTCTCCATGCGACGGACGATCATCTGGATAGCGCGGAACTATACCGGGCCATCGTTGCATAGAATCGTGAAGAACTTTGTACCTTTTCTATTCTATCCTGGTGGAGGAATATTAATACCGATGATTATAGACAACGCAGTCACTTCACACTTCCCTCGAAAGTTGTGATAATAATAAGACACTCTACCGGATGATCTCGCGGCCTGGCTTTTCTGATCCTTCCAGCCCGTCGAAAATTCCGTTCTCTCCATAGGGCTCCGAGACTGCGGCTGGTCGTCTCGTTGTGTTGCTCCAGACCTCGTGGAATTTCACGCTTTCGTCGCTGGATGCCACGATGATACATCCCTCTTCCATCGTACGTGAACACCACAGGCCCCCTTCCTTCGCTCGAGGTCGCACGGCCGTCCGTTGACCGGTCTGCGCACAACGGGCTTTTCGTGCCCCTCGCTTGGACCGACGGCCTTGTCCTTTCGATGCCGAGGAGTCCTTGGAGCTTTCGAGTCCCCCGAATGGTCGAAGAGGGGGACGGCCAGGGTAGCTAACTGCACAGAGAGCTCGACCGCAATCACCATGGGGTCCATTCTCCGGCCCATCCCAGCTGCTTCCATGCGGCCCCCAGGGAATTGCCGCGATCTGTTCGCAACTTGGCCACGCAAATACAGCGATTCGGAACGGATGCTCGGGTTGGGCAAACCCAAAGGTTGCAGCCAGTTCTTGGCGGGTTTGGCTCCAGATAAGACTCGTCACCTGAGCAAATACATTAATAGTAGCCAGACATGCCCCGGACGGTGCGTGATAGAAATGAATGGCTCGGTCGTTGGAGCCGCCGCCGGTGGCTAATAGAGATGGCTTCCAGGGTGCGAATGCCATCGCCTTCACCGCTGCCGAGTGAACTAGCCTATGCTTCTGTCGATTGGGCCCGACCTTTGTTGTACGGTACTGCCCAGTGACAACGGACCCGGTGAAACTGAGGACGGAGGCCGACAAGGGTTCGGATTGGGGAGAAAGGGCCCATGCTGGAAGCAAGTGACTGACGAGGGGGTATCTGACCGAAAGGTGCTGACCGGCCTCTGAAGACGACGAAGGAAAGACGCCTGGTATGTCCGCAGTGATTCCCAAATCTCGCGCGGGCATGATCTCATGGAGGTCAAAGACCAGGCAGACATTGTCATTGCCACCAGTTGCCATGGTATTCCCATCCGGCGACCAAGTGATACCGCAGACTTGCTGTGTGTGAGCGGCAATTTTCGCAAGCAAGACCATCGTTCCCGGCCAGTGGTAATGGTCCCGCGTGTGTTTCTCTGGCCACTCAACTGAGTAATACCAGATGGTGCCAGCGTCGTCACCCACGGCTAGGTCTTCTGTATCCACCTCGAAACCTCGGAATCGCTCCGACAGCCGGCGCGTTTTGGTCTGCTTGAATGCTAGGCAGGTGATCATATCCGGGTGGCTAATCTCAAACCGAACTTCGTCGTCAAATGTACTCCATAGGCATAGTGCCCCCGAATGCCGACCAACGGCCAGGATGCTTTTACAGCCATTCTCAGAGGAGAAGGCCAACGAGGTCACATAATTTGACGGGTGCTGAACTAGGAAGGGTGGATTCTGCACACCATGGGCTTCGGACCAGAGATAGACACGATGGTTTAGACTAACTGCAAGAGACCCAGTTGTCGAAGAATACGCCAGAGTGGTGCAATAGAAATCATCACGCAGGTAAGGTGCATCTAAAATGCGGAACGGACGAGTCGGAACTACCCTCGGTTTGGCCCCTCTCGATGCGTCTATCGTCCCTGAAACCCAGCATTGTTAGCGCGTTGCGACCAATACCAGATATTAATAACCGCAAATAAACAGACATGATGAATAGCTTGAGTGTCCTGGCTGAGTGCAACCAAGAAAGATTTGCCAAATCAGAGATACAACGTGAAGCATGTGCCGTTGATAGTCAGCTTTCCCGAAGCAAATATTTGGAACCTACAATTTTCTATTCCTGCTTTGCTCCAAGCATTGTCTTTCCAAGCCAGAGGACTTTGCGTGGACTTCCGAAAAGGCCAGGGTTTGCTCTGTTTAAGCAGTCTTGTCGTTGGGTCAATATCTAACGCAAGTGCCACTCTCGACTCATGCTTCTTTTTGTCATCAGAAGGTGCACGGTGAGGCATGAATTGCGCGTTGAACATAGGAGCATTTGATCTGCTTGAAAGAACCCGCGAACGGGCAAAGTCCGGTATGGGCTGTTGCCCAACCGCAGCAAAACTCCCACCGACCTGCCACACGGCTCCATTGCTTACTTGTCTGGAAGAAGGGTTCCCTGATTCGTGGCGGCTTGCGGGCATAATCGCGGAAGCATTCACAAGATGCGGGCCATAACGGATGTTATTCATTCGACTCGAAACGATACGCCGTCTGCTCATTAGACTTCTGCGCCGCACGGGCATAAAAGGGTCATCTCCTGGTAAGCGATGCCGCAGGAGTCTCTCTTCAGAAGATAATTCCTGGGGAGTTTTGCCTACACGAAACGGTGACGACGGAGAGTTTATAAATTCGCGATCGGGAATAAACCTGTCCGGTGAGATCGGACTATCTTGACCCCTAGCTGCCGCATTGGCAACTGCACTTTTTCTGCACTTGGCTCGCTGTTTTCTCGTCGGGGTCTGTACGGTAAGAGGATCATGTCTAGCTTTTGGTGGAGCTGGTGGGTTATCACCGGACCGTCCTTCGTTGCTCTTCAATGGGGGCGGTAGAATTGACTTGTTGATGTTCACATCGGATAGATAAGGAAACTTGATACTGATATCATCTTTGGAGCGAGCGTGATGCCTTGCCAGGGGAGGGGGAGTTAAAGCAATATCGAAAGACGCCTCGGAATCATCGTCTTCGGAAGTGCCAGAGAAGAGCCCCGGAGGCGAAAGGCTACCAGCTGACGACGAATCGGATGACCGCAAGGAACGCCATCCTGGGTATATCATCACTGGACCAGGATCCAGTTTCGGCTATAGAATAAGACAAGGAGCGTAGTAGAGTAACCGATGAAATGTAGAGTTGGCTCTGGAGTATCCCAGAGGTCAAGGGAATGGGACATGCGGTTTGATAGGTAAGATAGATGGAAGGCCTTAATGGGCCCCAAGAATAGAACGGTCACAATGGGTGTGATGCATGATTCATCACGGCAACCAAGCTGGAAAGTGTGGGAAGAGAGGAAAGAAAGCAAGAGAGAAGAAAGAAGACGGGGTGTATAGAGCGGGCGCACGTGACCCCGTTCCATGGGGAAAGTGGCAGCGGCATCTCCAGCAGGCGACCGTCGGTCTTTCTACTCCCCTCCCGTTGGCCATCGCTGGTCCTGGATTTTCGATTTATTCGCTCGTATAGTCATTCACCATGAGTGTAAACCCCTCCCCGGCCCTTGAAGCGTGCTCCTTCCCCTTAACTAATGGCTGGGTCGGTAGCATGGAATCCCCCGCTACAGCGCCAAAGAAGAGCGGTCCGAGGAAGCATACCAGCAGGAACTTCGGAAAATTGAGAGTTACCAGGAACTCGATCAATTAGTTCGCGCCAAGGTAGGTTCGCATCCGGCCCACAGAAGGTGTCAATAGTCCCGGATTCTGATCAGGTCCAGATTGCAGAGCGTCAGTATACACCTGAAACGCTAGAGAAAATATCCGAATTACTGGGCAGAAACCCGGAGTACTACACCGTGTGGAACTATCGACGCCAGGTTCTGCGCCATGAGTTCTCACGAGCACTGTCAGATGACTCGGAAGATTCTCCGGCGGCCGATCAGATTACTGCCTGGATGAAAAAAGATTTGCAGTTCTTGATTCCGCTTTTACGCAGCTTTCCTAAGTGCTATTGGATCTGGAACTACCGGCTATGGCTGCTTGACGAAGCAAAGCGCCTGCTTCCGCTCCCTGTCGCCCGCAGGATATGGGAAGAGGAGCTTGCGCTCGCCGGGAAAATGCTGAGTTTGGATAGCCGAAACTTCCATGGTTGGGGTTACCGGCACTTCGTCGTGCAAACGTTAGAGCACCTGACGTCAAAAGAGACGGGCAAAGATAGCATGGCGCAGACGGAATTCGAGTATGCAAAGAAGATGGTGGGCGCAAATCTGTCAAATTTCTCTGCATGGCATTATCGCACGAAGCTCATCCAACGGCTCTTGGACGAGCAATCCGCCAGCGACGAGGAACGAAGAAAGATACTAGACGAAGGTAAGGTCACTCCTTCAGCCCTCTCGACCGGCGCGTTGACTAATGAGACACGGCTCTGTAGAGCTTGCACTGATCCATCGCGCCCTTTGTGACCCGTACGACCAGTCACTCTGGTTTTACCACCAAAATCTGATGTGCACTTTCGACCCTGCAGTCGCGGGGCAGACGATGGCCCCCCATCTGAGTGATTCCGAGCGGCTGGAGTATCTCCGACGAGAGATGGACGAGGTCGAAGAGATGCTGGACGGCGCCGAGGACTGCAAGTACATTTACCAGGCGCTGATCGACTGTACGGTGTTGGCGTCAAAGGTGGAAGGCAGCATGAGCAGCGATGACCGACAGAAAGTCCGGGGCTGGGTCTCCGAACTGAAGCAGCTGGACCCGCTGCGACAGGGACGATGGCTAGATTTCGAACGATCGCTGTGCAGCTGAGGGTCATCCCTTACCTCGATGCATGTAGGATGTAGGCAATGATGAGCTGGGTCTACGCCATCTACTTATAGAAATCCACGCCGACGACGGTGATGCGCATGACGAAGAGTCTGATGAATAATTGCCTTTCAATAGTTAGACCCGCCCAGCGAGTCCGTGTGTGTCCAGGGATCTGCTGCAGGAATGAGGGAAGGGGGAATTCGGAAGTGTTTCAGAACAACAAGTGGCCACAGCGCCGAACAATTGGCATTTGGACGGAGGATCCCTGGGACGAGAAAAATCGGCAGAAAGAACGAAAGATCAGGAACGCTCCACTGCGCTGAGTAGACCGACCGGAGCGCCAGGGAAGTAGGGAATTAGGGACTTAGAGAATTGGGTTCGAACCTACCAACTCCCAAGTGGTCGGAAGTAAACACAAACGGTCGAGAAGCCGCCAAGCTTTCATCCTCGACGCTGCGACTCGCTGCCTCCTGCAACGTCCTCCTCCATCCTCTTGGACCCCACGGAAATTCCCCAAAATCCTCGGATTCCCATTCTCACTTGCATCCAATCTCACGGGGCTCCTTTCTCGGGGGCGAATCGAAGTTCTTGCGCCCTTCCCCCCAAGCTCAGGAGGCCCATTCCACCGGTGGCTTTGGGTCCCATTCCCTCCATTCCATCTACACCTCCCCCCTTCTTCCTCCATCCATCCATCCTGCGCTGGCTGGCGGCCAGTCCACGGCTTTCTTTCAACCTCCCCCTTTCTCCTTACCATGGACCATCCGTTGCTCTAAATCCTGACTCCGTCGACTTTAAATCTTGTGTGGTTTTCGCCCGTCCGTGTCTTGTTCTCCTGAACTTTTCAACGCTCCTGTTTATCGATTTGTCCGAACTGTCCCTGGGGCGAGATTGACCACCGCAGAATATGTCTTCCTCTAGACGAAACAGCGGAGATCATGAAGGGGTGAGGAACCGCCACTGTCTCAGGTTTCATGTGTCAACGTCTGACTGGAATTTTTATTTTATTCTAGGACTCCTTCGACGATGCTCCCGAAGCACCGGAAGTTCACAACAACCTCTCGGTTTCCATCCCCCAGAGTTCTTCAACCCGTTCCTTAACAGACAGTCCTCCCAGTGGCTCGGCGTCCACTCCTCAGCAGACAGAAGTTCCGGCCTTACCCTCCGAGCCCCAGGGAGAGAACAACAAGAGCGACGAGGAGGCCCATTCGGACGATCAGTCGGAAGCCGAAACCCCCCGTAAACAGAAAGCGCAGAAATCTCCCCTCCTGACCGCCCACCGGTTGTCTACGACGTCTCTGGACGATGTTAATTTGGCGGGTGGGAGCAAGGATGATGAGTGGCCTAAATCGGAGGACCTGGCGCCGGAATCGAAGAACGACACTGTTGCGGCGGTTCCATCTAGAGACTCTGTATCCACTCAGAACTCGCAGAACCAGGTCCCGCTAGTCAATTCACCGCCGGAAAATAAACTTCCAGCTCCTGCACCGCCGGCGCCTCTCACGCGGAAACTCACCGGTCCGTTTGCGTGGCTTTCTCGGAGTTCGACGTCGAGTAGGGAGGTCAAATCGCCGCCTCCACAATCGGACCGCCGGAATACCGCTGCTTCCATCTCAACAATCTCCAGTAACCCTGAACTGGCTGGCCGATCCAACGACGAAGACGCGGACGGGAATCGGAAGCCGAGGCGCAACAGTTTAAAGGACCAGTTCAAGCTGCTCAGAATGCGGGAAGAAGGGCTGGCTCCGGAACATGACGAAGCAAGTGTCACGTCAGGACGTGCAAGCATGAGTCACTCCGCCGGAAGTCCTCCCAGCATCCCAGAAAAGGATGCGAGTGGCTCGACGGCAGCGCCTCGGGCGGTTTCGCCGGCGACCTCGCCGCCCAACGGAACGTCCACGGTCAATCCCAATCTCGCTCCGGGAACCGTGTCCGGATATTCGACCTCCGCGACCGACGCGTCGGCCCCTGTCGACTGGGAGCTCTGGCAGCAGCTGGTCAACAACGGTCCGCAGGCGCTGAAGGGGACCAATTCGGAAGAGTTGAACGCCGCCATCAAGCGAGGTATTCCGCAAACGATTCGAGGAGTGATCTGGCAGATTCTAGCGGACAGCAAACCGGTCGAGGTCGAGGAGACTTACAGGGAGCTCGTCGCGCGCGGTACGGACAAGGAAAAACAACGGACTCCCAATGGCACCGTCAATGGGGAGAAGGATTCGGCCGCCTCTTCATCGCGATCGTCCATCCGATCGGAGAATTCTACCTCCATCGCTCATTCAAACTCCGGATCCTCCTCGAGCCCTTCCCAAGAAGTGGATTCCGAGAAGCTGGCAAAGGAACAAGCGGCCAGCGAGACGGCCCGGAAGAAGAAGGCAAAGGACGATGCTGCGGCCCTGCAGAAGCTGGAGAAGACCATCCGCCGGGACTTGGGCGCCCGTACGAGCTACTCGCGCTACTTTGTGTCGCAAGGGAACCAGGAAGGTCTTTTTGGCCTGTGCAAGGCATATGCCCTGTACGACGAAGCCGTCGGCTATGCCCAAGGCATGAACTTCATTGCCATGCCATTGTTGTTTAATCTGGACGAAGTCGAGGCGTTCGCTCTTCTAGTGAAGCTAATGAACCAATACGGGCTGCGTGAGCTGTTTGTTCAGGATATGCCTGGACTGCACCGCAGCCTGTACCTCTTTGAACGCTTCCTTGAGGACATGGAACCCGCACTCTGCTGTCACCTTCGCCGGCGAGGGGTCAACCCGCAGCTATACGCTACGCAGTGGTTCCTTACTCTTTTCGCCTACCGTTTCCCCTTGCAGTTGGTCCTTCGCATTTACGACCTCATCTTCGAAGAAGGACTGGAGACCACGATCCTGAAGTTTGCCCTTGCGATCATGCGCAGGAACGCGGAAGCTCTGCTGGACATGAAAGACATGACGCCATTGACCGTCTTCCTCAAGGAGCGTCTGTTTGATGTCTACATCGACAAACAGCCTTCCGCATCTTCCATTCTCGAATCCGGATTCTTTGGAAGCTCTGGATCCGCCGACAAGGAGGTCTATCGGGCGGATATCCTGGTGCAAGATGCCTGCGACGTGACACTCGAGCCGGGACTGATCAGCGCGTACACTGCCGAATGGGAAGAAAAAGAGCGAACCGAGAAAGAGCGCGATGCCGAACTTGAAAACCTCCGACACACGGCCTCCAGCCAGAGCTCTCGTATCCGGCTATTGGAAGAACAGGCCGAGGCATCGGACAAGGAACATGTCCAACTCGCGTCGGAGCTCGTTCATCTCAAGGTCGAAAACGAGGAATTGACTGACCTGAACGACGCGATGAAGATGCAGGTGACCGAACTCAAGATCGTGGTGGATAAGCAGCCCGCGGAGGTGGAAGAGAAACTCCAGACCGAGATGGATCGGATCATGAAGCGCAACGTGGAAGTGCAGAACGAAAACCGTTCCCTGGTGGAGCAGATGGCCGAGATGGAACGAGAATTGGTGGAAGCGAAGATGAAATGGGCGGAGGTAAGCAGATCACCCTACATGGGGATAACTCGCGACCACATCCAACTGACTCGGTTCACAGATCCACGAGAACCATGAGAACTTGAAACAGAAATGGAATGATCTCCGCAAAGCTCTTGGCTAAACCCGGATGGATGAACTTTTGGTTTGTATATTTGTTGGCCCTCGATATCCGGAAACAGCCCTGCTCTCGCCGGCCCATCTTCCTTCCCTCTTGCGACTTTGATTTCGTGTACATTTAACAGGTCTGGGCATCTGTTCTGTTCACAGCAACTCCGGGCGAGGATAATGCTGTCATTGTATCATCATCTCTCTGTTTTTGCATCTCTCTTCACCCCCTTTGGACATTGCGCGAGCTCTCGACTCGCGATCGTTATGATCCGGCATCGTATGAAACATTCCCCACGCCATGTATCGGTGCGCCCACCGATTGATATTGTCTCCCTTCTAGTTGTTCTTGTTCTAATTAGCACCGATGCATTTTCCATGTATGCAGTGTATATCATGAAATAGATCTTATTCAGGATATGATATGAAATCATACAAGCGTTGTCCAACTAGCAAAACCAAGTCCAATCTATCAAATCCATATATCATATATAACAACCCCCCATAACGCTCTCCAGTCCTTCAGCAACTAACCCCACCAACGACATGATATCAAATAACACTCTCAAAGTATGTCGACAGTATATCCTCCTTGACCGGCCCCGCCACCGCCCTCAACGCCTTATGCGCCTCGCACTCGGTCTCATAGTACTGCATGTCCTCCATCGACGCGAACGTCGTCTTCACGGAGACATTGAAGCCCTTGTTGCGGGGGTCCGGGAACGACTGGCCGACAGCGACGTTGGTGATGTATGGCTTTCCGTCCTGGCGATGCGTTACGGATGGTTAGTCTTGCTTTGACTCGAGGTGGGTTTCAAAGGTCCAGACTCAGGCTCATGCGTACCTTGACGGCTGTTTTCGCAAGGACCTTGTACTGCTCTAGGACGCGATCCCGGTCTGCGTCGTTGGGGATTTTGAACAGAGTGATGCGTTCGATGACGGGCATTTTTGTTTCCTTTCTTTTCTCGTTCTCTTTGTATCTGTTGCTTGACTTCTGTTTTGAGGAGTTAAGGTGGATGAATGGATGGATGGGTTCACTTTGGGTTTGTGTGTTTGCGTAGAGCGAGGAAACAAGGCGGAGGATTACTTCGATTCCGGTTCTTTCCCGGTCCTTTTATATCACATCCAGGCGCTGCGGGGTAGTAAGCGCGAGAAGATTACGATTACAAAAGGATCCAGGACTCTGACGAGTCTCACAGTAGGAACCAGATAAAACTCCGTAAACTCCTTGGAAGCGGCTTGCCTCGGAGTTCCCATTCGGGGATGGCGGAAGGACGGCGCGATTCCGCGCAGTCGGGTATTTCTTTTGCAGCGCTTATACTTTACTGCGTACATGGGACGCGTTCGAACAAACGAGAATGGGTTTAAATTCCTATGGTCTGTTTATAGATTCCCCCGTCGGGCCTGCTCGCTCTCAAACGCCTCAAACAAGCTCTTGAAATTCCCGGCGCCGAACCCGTCGAAGTTGTTCCGCTGGATGATCTCGATGAACACCGTCGGCCGATCAAGAACGTGCTGGGAGAAGATTTGAAGCAGGTAGCCCTTCTCGTCAAAGTCCACGAGCACCTGAAGCTTCTCCAGCAGGTCGATGTCTTCCTTGAGCTGTAACCCCACCGCAGATAATCGCTTGCGCAGGTTGGCATAATATTCACCGGGTATATGAAGGAATGATACGCCCCGCTGCTTGAGGTGAGAGACGGTTGTGACGAGATCCTGGGTTCGCAGGGCGATGTGCTGCACCCCGGCGCTGTTGTAGTAGTCGACAAATCTGTCTCTTGCATCAGCTTGTGTGTGGGTTGGTATTTCATGTTGGAATGCCTTACTCCTCGATCTGTGATCTTTTCTTGCCATGAGCCGGCTCATTCATTGGCATTTTGATCACTTCGTTGGGAGACGCAACGACAATCGATCGCATGGCAGAGTACTCGCCACACATGCTATCGTCATCTACCGTCCAGTATCGGTGGAAGTCCAAGCAGTCTTCGTAACTTTTAAGCAGTCAGCAAGTTATACCATGAACAAATGTGCTTTCACCATACTATTTGACAACCTGATCGACTCCGTTCCATGGTTGATTACCCACACAATGATCAATATTGACAATGTCGATTTCGGGTAGAAAGTCATTAATGGGGTCGTCGTCGGTGATCACTTCATATCCCGGCAAAAATGGTCCAGTATATCCTTCCCGATTGACCAGGGTGTGCGCCGTGTCCGCGTACGTCCCTATCGTCGCCAAGGTAATCGAGCCGTTCCCATTCTTATGCATTATTGTAGGAGGCAAAATAGAAGCTGCGCCATGATCAACAGCTTTCCTCCAAACAGTCTTGATATCCCCATCGATCCTAAAAGCAACGTCCTTGACTCCGTCACCATGCTTCGTCAGATGGTCATGTATTTCGGCGAGCAGTTCCTTATCCTCCTCAGGGACACGGCCATCATCTTCAAACCTCGGGGCACAATTCGGTGAGGTGAGAACAAAGACCGTATCGCCATTGGAGATCACATATGATACAATGGCCCGGGAGCCAGTTTCAGGGCCGCGATATGCAATGTGCTTGAACCCCATCCGCGCGACATAGAAAGTGGCCGCCTGTTTAGCATTCCCAACGTACCAGGCGATGTGGTCGAAACCCACATATTCGGGGCCTAGGTTGGAGGGGAAAAGACTCTTTTCGAAAGCAGGGGGGACCACCATGGTTTTAAGGTTCTGTTTTGAGAAATGTGAAGACGACTCTGCGACTGACAACTTGGGTCCAGGGCCACTAAATATCCAGATAGCCAGATCCATAAAAGGTAACTGCACCGCTGAGGCTGAGGCCCATGAAATCATACCAGAGCTTGATGAGGACCGAGCTTATTCTCCAAGTTTGTGCTTCTTTCAACCTGTTGTGACAAGCTGGAGACGCCACTTCCGGTCGCCGCAGGTCATAGGAACCAGGCCTGGTCTGGCAGTCAAAGGCGCTTCAAACGGTTCGAGAAGAGTCTGGAGCCCCAAGCCTCATGAACAGTTGGCCATTCATTTCTTGCACACCGCCGATCAAAACCTGCGAAGAGGAAAAACCAAACAAGCCATCCACTCTCCAATAATCGATCGGGATCTCAAAGCTTCGGAAAACCACCACGTCATTCTCTTAGATCAACTGTCATTGACAGGCTCAGGTCGATTCTTGAAGAGTAATTTGAACTTCACGATCTCAACGATTTCCAGCTCTTCACTGTCGGTATTTGGTCGCTTCTGAACCACAGCAAGCGGCTGCGGTAGTTTCTTCACCTCCCCCGTCATCCGCTGGTATCTGCCAACATATAGATAAACCCGTTTCATCCACTTCGTATCGTCCGGAAGAGTAGTTTGGGGCGAGTAGTCCGGAAACATGAGCTTGCCGATCGGGGTTTCGAACGCGGGGGTGTTGGGATCGATGGAGTCGCTGCCTGCCCCAGTCGGATCGGACTCGTCGTCTTGGCCATCTTGAGACGGCACGTTTATCGTGCCCTGTAGCTCAAGGATTGCGAGACCAGAGGGGGTCTGAAGCAGTTGGGGGAGGGGATTGGCGGGGGAAGAAGGGGAACCGGCCGCGGAGGACGCGTGAGGATGGAGAGGGATGGAGGGCATGTTGCGGAGGTCTGCGCCAGAAGCTGATCTTCAATGTTATGTAGAGTTAGAGCAATAGGGCTTGCACGTCGAAGCTGACACTAAGCAATGTTTTCTTGGAAGCCCGAGTCGAAAATAAAACCGCACGTTGGATGCGGAGAAGAGGATTTTGAGCAGCGGAAATTAGCGTGTTGGGGAAGGGTTTATTTTATCTCCACATGATCTTATCAACAAACATCTACATTGAAGCTGCCATGCACATTGGCCACTGGGAAATCGCCCCTATTTCATTCACTGGAGATGTTATTGCATGTAGGGCTCTCTAATGATACAAACAGTATGGAATAGTGAAGAGCAAACCAAAATTTACATCGAGCATACTACAACTACCACGACAAACTGTAAGAGTGGAGACACAAAAATGAAAGAATATCATGAGTTCAAAAGCCCCTCCAGTGGTTTGCATGAGGTCGATGAGAGTCCCCTGGCAACTTCCTGTATGTCTCTTGGCCTACAGTCGCTGCCCCAAGCAGTCATGAAACCCCATACACCTGTGCCATCGACCCTCCTCCCCAGCAGACAAAATCAGAAAACCACCCATCAAAATGTCGCATACGGCCTCCAGAAAATGGACCTCAGACGAGCTGAGAGAATATGAAGCCTACAAGAGAGTTTCAGATCATTTTCAGCATATTGCACCCAAGTCACCGGCTTTGCCAACCAGCCTTGAAGAATGGATCGCGCATCGAAGGGCCATGGTTGAGGAACTCAGGACAGCCGCAAAACGAAAGCTCGATCATTTGGTATCAGGATGCAAGAAGAACAAAGACAAAACCAAGCCAGCATTCGGCGGCAAGAAGTTTAATGATGGTCGATCGTCCGTGCTTGCCATGCAATCGATTTGGGCGACATCCTCAGATATCGAATCAGCGAGATCCCACGCTCCATGGCCAACAAATGCTGAATTAAAAGAAAGCGGCATCTATCGAGCATCTTCCGGACAGCGACGCCTCATCCCTCACCCTCGTATGGATGCGAATCCCTCGGTGGATTGGAAAGACAGATCCCTGATTGAGCTCTTCCCTTTCGATGACCCCAGTCAGAATAACGAACGAAGGAAGTTTTCTTGAGTTTGAACTGCTCGAAGAGCTGGATAGATGAAGGCCGCATTATCGACAATTGTGGGCCATCGACATGGTTTAACGCCAGGGAGCAGATGGAGTGAACCGTGCACCTCTTTTTCTTTTCTTTTCTTTTCTTTTCTTTTTGTTTTTTTGGGCATATGCAGACCATTTGCTTTCATCAGATAGTTCCTGCCTGAATACTTCATAAACCATGGCATTCATTTCACTGTGTTTCTTCCTTCAAGTGGCATTTAACTGCGTGGTCGGTAAGATATATTCGCTACTCGTAGGCAATGAGAGTGAACCTGGAACGAGCCTGAGCCGCGGGTTGTATAAACTCCCAAGCGGTTACTGCTATGCATATGTAAGAAACCGGTGCTCAGGCCTCAGCATTGAAGAGCTTGTCGAGAGCGAAACATCACGTTCTTAAGCATTAATGGTTGAGGGAGCCTGCTTCATGCGCGCGGAGTCTGAACAAAGGGATGTTTTTTCCCCTTATGGTTCTTTGGCACTCCAGGCCTAGGGGTTATTTTTGTAACAAGCGTTTTCGAGGTTCCGAAGACCTTTGACGGCTTCATTTACCACTTCTTCTCCGGAAGTTCCAGCAGGGCCCTGCATCTTCCCATAACGCAGATCGCTCATTTCGCCGACCGTAGAGTTGAGCTCGGAGAGAAGGTTGCTCGCGTCTTTGTCCACCCCCTCAATGTCCTGCTCAATGCTTGAACAGGCTGCATCCATCGCGGACAGGAGACTCGACACGGAATGGTATTCCCGGGGGCTGGCAGATGCCTGGCCGAAGAGTTGAATGTCTAGATCCATTTCGCGCTGATCATCTGCACTCAAGCCATCGACGCCGGCTTCCATCATGGCTTTGCGAAGATCCGCTTTTTGCGTCTCCCCTTGATCAATTTCCTTGTCGATATTCTCATTGACCAAATCCATGTCTTGCTCGCGTAGCTGCTGCAATTCGCGATACAGCACCCTGACATGCGGATGAGACCGCAGTCGTTTCGGAAAGAGCTCAGTGAATTTTTGCAGCGACATGACAGTCGGCAATGAAGCCGGCGTCAAAAGAAAATTACTCAGAATTGATGATTCGGAGGGGGCCATGCTGGTAGATCTGGGCAATGCGCCTCTTTTCCCCACTGTTAGACCCAAGAAATTGTGATCGAAAATTCACTTGTAGAGAGTCCAGCCAGGGTCTCGTGGTACTTGGGGATGAAGGACCGGGAGAAGTTGAATCTGTGATGGCCGGAGCCGCCATTTAGCCTTTTCGGGAGGCACGCGTCTTCCGCTTCCTCGCTTCCTTGGCTTCTTTCCTCCGCACGCGCCGAACAACGGTCTCCCATCTTCATTCGCATCGCAAACCGGACTCCTCTTCCTGGGTCCTGCCATTGTAACTTGTATCGTTGCAGTTGACGAAGACTCGAGGGATTAAGAAACAACACCCTCCCTATCATCCTTGCTCACTGGCTGTTTGAAGGTGCGTGCTGGCCTCCCTATCTGAAAAGCCACACCTTTGATATATCGGCTTACAGATCATTCTAGCCGTGTTTTAAGTCTCTCTGTCTTGCTTCATTGTCTCCTTTACACCTGGACTGGCAGTATTGTCTGTTGCGAGCGCGTCAAAACTGCAGGTTCTTGAAGAAATCCTAGCTGCCGACACGGCGGTGTCGCTTCTTTACCTCTGCCAACATCTGGTGGCTCGGAATTATCCGTTCTACACTCTCTGCCTCTCTCCCACTCGCAGGCTCTCGCGATAAATCATCGCTATCCCGCCTCAAGATGGCTCCAGCAGCTCAAATGACTTACCAAAAAGACGAAAAAGTTCTTTGCTTTCACCATGAGATCTTGTATGAAGCCAAGATTCTCGATGTAAAGCATACCGTTCCCGACGACCGCAAAAGCCCATACGAGTATCTGGTCCACTATAAGGGCTGGAAGAACACGTAAGTGGCTTTTCACTTTGTTTTATGGATCCCTCCCTAGTTGCAGGTCTATTGCTCAGAGCAAGACCCAAATAATTGCAGTACGTTGCACAGGTGTGGATGCAACTAACATTACAATTTTCAAATCATTCCAGCTGGGATGACTGGGTCCCCCAAGATCGTCTACGTAAATTCACGGAGGAGAATCGAGAATTGGCCACTACTCTTCGCCGAGATGCGGAGGCCGCTTACCGCCAGAAAAACACCAAACCCTCCGTGAAAAGGCGGAGAGGCTCCGATCCCAGCTCTGTCCGGGGAAGCGAGGAGCGCCAAATGTCCGTTCCTGGTCGCAACAATAAGAGAGCCAGAGATAATGACATCGAAAAGGTATGCCCTCTTGAATCTCCTCTTCCTGTTCGCGCAATATCGGGTTGTTTTTACTAGGCAATTGCCATGGCGATGTCCAAATTAAACTCCTCGCAAGGGTGAAAGGAATATAAAGACCGATTGTAACTAACTAGGTTCAGGAGGACAATTTCTATGTTCGGCCATCAGTGCGAATTGTCATCCCTGATAATTTAAAGTCCCTCCTCGTGGATGATTGGGAAAATATCACCAAGAATCAACAAGTCGTGGCGTTACCCGCGAAATGCTCAGTGAATCAGATCTTCGAGGAATACGAAGCGGAAGAAAAGCCCAAGCGGACGACTGGAGCTGACACCGATGTCCTCGAAGAGGTGATTTCGGGTATCAAAGAATACTTCGACAAAGCTCTGGACAAGATCCTTCTCTACAAGTCTGAGCGCGAACAGTACCGCTCTATTCGCAAGGAATGGGAGAAAGGCTCTGGGGATCTGGCGGACAAGTCGCCCCTTGATGTCTACGGTGCCGAGCATCTGACCCGACTCTTTGGTATGTGCTCATCTATTCTTCCTCTGCCTTGTTCCATGTTTAAACATGACTAATAAAACGTAGCCACTATGCCGGAACTCATTGCGCAGACAAACATGGATCTGCAGTCCACCAATCGACTTCGTGAAGAGCTTTCTAAATTCACCCTCTGGCTGAGTAAAAACTCTAGCAAGTACTTTGCAACGCGCTATTTGAACATGAGCAATGAGTACGTCGAAAAGGCCAGGGGTGTTCCGAACCCGAATCCCGGAACCGCCACTTCGAATTTGGTTTGAATACACGTACTTGGAGGTGATGGAAGTTTCATTTGATCAATATCCCTACTATTTTAACTATCATCTTCGCATATCTTCTTTTTCTCTCTCTTCCTTTTCTTGACCTGATGTCGGCTGCGACAACCGCAATATTTTGTCTACCTTGGTGGGACAAGACTTGATGTGAACTGCGGTTTTTAATGAATTGGGATTACGTGTAACATAAGTATAGAACTGGCGAACTCTGGACGGATCCATTTTGCTTGATGCAGCTGTTTTGAATTTGTTGTCGAATTAAGACGTAGGCATAAAGGTCACGGATGTCGTAAGATACCGATTTGCTACTAAACTGAAGCAATCCAAAGCGTGACTCTTCCCAGACTATAAACGAGAAGAAAACGAATAAAAAGAGTAAACGCAGCCATCGAAATTTTACCGGACGTCCACCCGGGACTCCTAACTAATTCATCAACATCTCCTTTTTCTATAAACAGATTGTTCGATGCCACATCAGCACGAACAAGAAAGAAAGAAAAGAAAGCAACATAGAAAGAGAAAAGAAAAACCAAGACATAAACACAAGAAGAGAAAGAAAAAGAAGACGATGGCAAAGAGCACCTAATAGCTTTCACCCGCTCCCTTCCCTCCCTACACAACCAACTGCCTCGCATCGTCGACCGCACATCTCGCGACCCGCTTCAGTTCCGGCTTCCAGTCTGTCTCGCGGTATCTTGTCCAGGCGCTCAGCCCGTCGGGAGACTGGATGCTCAGCGTTTCGTACCCCTGCTTGATGATGCGGTGGACCTCGCGCGGGCTGAGGTTCTTCTTCTGCGTGGCCGGGATGGGCGCCGTGCCTTGGGCGTTGGGCTTCGCGTCGGCGCTCTGATCCGGGTTGAACAGGAGGGTGTAGAAGTGGGTGGAGACGGAGATCAGGGTGTCGATGGCGGCGATGTGCACGTCTTTGGTGGTGGTGGTGGTGGGGTCGGCCTTTGAGGGGGTCGTGGTGGAAGACGAGGGCTTGACGAGATAGACGTCGCGGAATTTGGAGATGATGGGGCCGGTCTCGACGAGCTTGTAGAAGAGATCGTCGTAGGAGGCCGGGTCGGGGAGGAAGGTGTCGCCGGTGGAGACGCAGAAGGCGATCAGGTCGACGAGCGTGGTGGCGAGCGTGTCGATGTGCGGGCTGCCGGAGAGGTCGGAGACGTAGGTGGTGAGGAAGCGCATGAGGGAGAGCAGCGTGCGCCAGAGCTCGGACCAGTGGTAGTTGAGGCGGATTTTGTTCATGGATAGGTATGTGAAGAGGCGGAGGAGGATCGCGATTGCTTGGCTGTGGAGGGAGGAGGGTTAGTTCAATGTCTTGGGATGAATGAAGGAGAGCTGATGGGTAGGAAGGGAGGTAGGTACCTGTAGAGGTTGATGTCTAGACGTCGGCGAAGGTTGTGGGAGATGGTGTCGATCATCATGTCAAAGATGGCGGTTGCAAGGACGCGGTCTCCGGTGACTAGGGGAAGATAGGGCTGCCTCTGTCGACAGAGACGGATCTTTCGTTTGGTGTCCTCGGTGCAGAGTTGCTTGCATAAGGAGGAGTCCTCGGCAAGAATGCGTAGAGTGAAGAGATTGAGCTCGGCATATTGGGCCACCCGGGGTGATCGGTAGGCGTGCTGCAGGAGATAGGATGTCACGGAGAGAAAGGTCGCGAACGGAGTCTCCTCGTTCTCCTTTTCAGGGCCAGAGGTGATGAGATGATAGCCAAAGAGCTTGTTCGCATTCGTAAAGTCGTAGGTAGCTAGGAGGATAGCCGCCTGTTGAGCAGGTCTGTTTAGAGTGTTAGCGAGACCAAGCTCTACGAATTGGGCTTCCTCCTTTAGAAGTCTTACAGTGCTGTGAACATCTCCTTTGTCTCTTCCGCAGTAGGAGGACTAGAGCGGTCTCTCCTATTGGGCGCAAGCACGCCCAATCCGAAGTAGATCAGAGTGCTAATCAACGACCACCCTTCGGGAGCGTCATCCTGCACGGCAACGTAGCCATTTCTCAGGGCGCCACAAGAGAGACCGACCCCGTTGACGATTTTGCGAATGCTTGCCTCATTGACGAAGTCATCAAGTCGGAGCTGGTAGGGGTTCTGAAACTCAAATTTGTTGTAATTTGCCAACAGCCCCAGAAGGAGAAAAGGCTCGAACCCTTGAATAGGAGTCTCCGAGTCTTGTACAAACTTGAGGGTAGGTCAGCCTTCAAATCCACGAGCGGGCAAGCAGCGCGCTGTAATAAGTTTGGGAGGCAAACCTTCATGAGTGACGGGAATAGGTCACGATGTGTGAAGTAAGAGACGAGACTAGTCTTGTATGCTCCACTGATCATGGCAATGGCAGTTTTGATGGCCTTCATTCGGAACTCAACTTCAAGAGGGTCAATATACTTGCTTTTGAGAGCCTACGATTTAGTCCCGGATCACTCACAGTTGCCACCATTGCGGATGATGCCATCCAACACGCTAACGAAGTGCGAGATGACATGGTCCACGTCGTCAAGTCCGGCTAGAACGGTGATGATGTCCGAACTGGGATTGGTATACTTCTTCCTCAAGACACAGGCTAGAAAGACCATCAAGGTCTAAGTCACTACTTAGAGGTTGAAGCACAATCTCTTGCGCGATGTACATACCTCGAGCGCATAGGAGTCCACCGGCTTGATGCCTGAAGCTGCCTCACGAATTGCGCGAGTAAAAAGTTGTTGGGTTTGAATCTGGTGACGAGTTAGCAAACCGATAGGTCATGATAAGAAACATCAAAAAATTTGATACAAAAAATAAATCAGTACGAGAGATGGGGACCAATGGCCTACCTGCAAGTTCAGAGTCTCATCGGGACTGAGCTGGTCCAAGATGGACCGGAGCTGCGCACGATCAGGCGGCAACAAGAAGAATTCCTTCCAAAACCCCTCGGAGGGCTCTGTATAATCAGACGTCTAGAGGACATGTTAGCACGACATGCATCGAAGCGAAGGCGGGCGGGCATACTTGGAATAGGTTCTCGTATAGTTGCACGATCTTAGGTTTGAAGTAGTCGGGTCTACTTTGCTGGGTTAAGGGGGATTCCATGATGTTAGATAGGACGTTCGACGATCCGCACAGAACATGGGATCATCGCTAGCATGGCAGAGAGAACCGGAAGTCCAAAGGGGATTGGATAGCGACCGGATGCGAAGCGTGGTGATAATCGTTCTATCGGTTTGATCCACGTCGCCCGTCGTATTATTCTCGCCCTTTTTCGGCCTTTTTTGGGGGGTGTTCCACACCAGCCACGTACGCCATCTTTCTGCACCAGCCACATTTCAATTGCAGTTGGCGACCGGTACGGAGTAGAGGTATCAAACTACCGACCATATTTTGTGTACGATAACTTAGGAGCTAATTTCTTAAATACTTTTTTCCCCTCTCAATTTCTATAGGTGACTTTGGTCGTGCCTCTTCATCCTCATACTTTACGATGCCGTAGCGACCGGCAGGGGCGATGACATAATAAGGGGTAAACGAGGCCATCGAAATCAATCGCATGAACCGCGAGGAATTGCGACAGGAGACATTACGTAGTTCTCCGGACTATGCAAAATCTGCCTTCAGCCCTGTGTCATATAGATTGCACTCCTCCCACTCCGTCCCTCCTGGGGAGTCGATGGAATCCTGCCGATCATCGAAAACGACCGAAAGGCATTAGTCAGGGTGTCTGCCTGAGGCCGTCCTCGGGAGGAGAAGGGACGGGCAGACCAAATCCGGTAACTCGGAAAGTCGAGCCCAAGCAATGGTCAGCACGGCCTGCGGTGCAACCAGGGCGAACACCACCAACCCGCCCTGCTGCGACCGGTAGAGACGATCCTTCAGTTCGCCCGATGAATCATGCGGACCTGAAACTCTGCGTACTGGATTGGCCCCGTCAGATGATAGAAGTGGCGCCACCGACGGTGTGTAGAAACGCCTGGCCGCTGATTGGCCGGCGGTCTCCTGGACCCGGGGCTTTAGCCGACTGTGTCCGCCTTCAAAACAGAACGCAACTCACCTTCTGTCCGAATCCCTTCAATCTTCAGACTCCCTCCCACCCACTGGCTACCCACCGTGACACACCACTCTCTCGCATGCAAACATAGCATTTTCTGGCTTCTATACCCATATAGAGCACCTCAGTTATCATCTCCAGATTTTAAACACACCATGTCGTTCTGCAGAGCAGCCATGCACCCGGTGACATCATCCGCCACAATGACCGCCGCTCTGAGAAAGCCCCCCACCACCCTGTCAACGAGAAGCCTTCGTCTTTTCTCCTCGTACGGAAACGTTTATGCCTCCTCGAGGCGGGACATGCAGACCCAGACTGCCTATCGCCCGCACTCCCTGCCTACCTCCTTCCCTCCGCCTCGCAACGCTGGAGTTCCCGACACCTCGATCGCTGCCGATTTCCCGTCGACTCCTTTCCAGCCTGCACCAGGGAAGCCAGGAACTTCGTCAAACATCAGCTACCGTGAGAATGAGGCGCAAAAGTCGAAGCCCGTCGAATCCAAGCCCGCCACCGCCCCCAAGGCCGCGGAAAAGCCCCGGAGGAAGTTGCGCCCTCGCAAGGCCGCGATGAAGCTGACTCCCCTGGCGATCGAGCAGCTCCGTAAGCTTGTCTCCCAGCCGGACCCTAAGTTCATTCGAGTCGGCGTGAAAAACAAGGGCTGCTCGGGTCTCGCCTACCACCTGGAATATGTGGAAAAGCCAGGAACTTTCGACGAGGTAGTGGAGCAGGAAGGCGTCAAGGTCTTGATTGACAGCAAGGCGCTGTTCAGCATCATTGGCAGTGAGATGGACTGGCAAGAAGACAAGCTGAGCAAGCGATTTGTTTTCCGGAACCCCAACATCAGTAGGTCTCCTTCATTACTATTTGACTATTTGACTCTGAACCCATTACTAACGCAATTCATCAGAGGAATCATGCGGATGCGGCGAATCCTTCATGGTCTAATCGATTAACCCGGTCTGATTTTCTATCCGGCTTTTTTGCGGAGTCCCTTTTAAACGGTGCATCGGACGGCGTTCTTAGATTACGGATGGTTCTTGGGTTTCCGGTTTTCTGTTTCACCACATTGTTGATATACCTCGTTGATTCCCCGGTCACATGTCGCGCTCATTGCTTATTTCTTTTGTGTGATGCTTTGGCTTTTCTGTCCCCTGCACCCGGCTGCTATGACACCTACCGGGTTGTATGCCAGGGATTTGTACAATATTAATGATATCGGAATGAAAGAAAGGATATATCATAACAATGGCCTTTCTTTTTGTTGTCACGGCTGTCTGTGCTTTGTTTGTACGCATTAGCGCTACTCTCATGTTTCGTTGCTCGTCTTTCTTCCCCGACGTTTTCCGCCAGCGGGACAAGTTTCCCGATATGACGTTGAAAGGACCGGAAAGGAACACTACCGAGAGACTCGTCGGTTATTGTACATGTAAAATGGCTCAAAATCCAAGATTGGGACTAGTCGCTTTTAATGCTGTTTCACATCCCCAGTCTTTCTATAGTCTGTAGTATGTAATGCTCTCCGGGGTTGTTCCCCTACTCCATCGTCGGCATCACGTGCGCCAGCCGGACTATCGGAGCGGCTTATCGAAACACCTCCATTTGGCATTCCAGGATCGTTTATTTACATTCTCGATCCCCAATAATATTAACACACAGCTTGCTCAAGCACTGTCCGATCCTTTCATGAGACATGACAACGCCGTCGTTCTTGACCTCCAGCAAAAATGAGGAAGACCCAGCACCCGACCCTCTGTACCTTACGATCCGCTTCTCAGCCTCGATAGCCGACCTCCCTCTAGAAGTTCTATACCCCGACACCACCACCGCAGCAGGCCTGAAACAATTAATCCGCACCCGTCTCCCCTCGAATCTCTCCTCCCATCGCCTCCGTCTCATCTACGCCGGTCGCGGCCTCGAAGACACCGCCGCCCTCGCCACCTCCCTCAAACTCCCTCCATCTCCCGCCCGATCGCCCAGAGTCCCGCACAATGACGACTCCGATAACCCCGACGCCCAGAGCAACGGCAAGAGCAAAGGCAAAGGCAAAGGCAAAGCGCCGGTCCGCGAGCCGCCCCGTCTCTACATCCACTGCTCCATCGGCGACATCGTCCTCTCGGCAACGGACCTAGCCGCAGAAGCCGCCGTGTCGTCGACGCTCCGACAAGCGCCGGAGCAAGACGGCGCCCCCGCGCAGCGTTCAGGCCTATACACAACACTCCACGGCCAGCGGTCATTACAGCAGCAACAGCAGCCGGATGGCTCCACCACGACGCCTGCCCCCCGCGGCTTCGACAGGCTGCTCTCCGCCGGGTTTACGGCCGCGGAGGTCTCGGCGCTGCGCTCGCAGTTCATGGCCATTCAGTCCGTGTCGCGAACGCCCGACACGATGCCCTCTGGGGCGGAGCTGCGCGAGCTCGAGGACCGATGGATGGACGAGGGTTCATCGTCCATGGCGGCTGGGGCGGGGGGTGGTGCGGGAGCGTCGTTGACGGACGACGACGATGGCGGGTTTGGGGCCGGGTCGAGAGGCGCGATGGATGATATGCTGTGGGGGGCTGTGATGGGGTTTTTCTGGCCGGTGGGATGTGCGATGTGGTTGAGGCGGGAGGAAGGGGTTTGGAGCTGGCGGAAGGGATTGGCGGTGTTTGTGGGAGTCGTGGTTAATGTTGCGTTTGGGGCGATGCGGATGATGAATTGAGAGGGTGACGTTGTTTGAGACTTGCTGTGAAGTGAAGTTGTTATGCTGTACATACTACCGATGATACCCCCTCTACTTGTTGAACCAGAAGCTATTTGATTGAGTCCACGAGGTAGTTTCTTCGAGAAGCTACAGACATCAGAGCTCGGCGAATAATATCATACAATGGTTCCGTGGCAGTCGTGGTGTATCTGCGACTGCAGGCCAAAAAATGTAAAATGTCGTAAGATGGAGAAAGAATATTAAAGCAACGCCTTCGCAACGCCCGTCAAAAATCCGACGCTCAATGGAACTTGCTGTAAATAACAGCGACAATCAACAAGACCAACACCGTAATAATCGCAATCGTAATTATCCGATTCGTAGCCATCCTAGAGAAAAGACGAAGAGTGAACGTTAGTAACCGCCATCTACCAAGGTCAAGGTCGATGGATATCGCAAGCGACAGGGCTTCAAAAGGTGACAGTACCTACGGGCCATTCCCCTCAAAGTCTTGATACTGGTGTCCACATATCCTTCACTTTGCAGCAGTCCTGACCGGGTATGCATAATCGTCTCCCGCTGCTGATTCAGATCAGCCAGCGTGTTGCGACCGATGTCTTCGGTTTCGAGAGCGATCCGCTGACTGTCCCGCAGTCTGTTGGAGCTGCGCTCCAGACGGTCCGTGCCGGACAGCAGCTGCTGCCTCTGCTCCAGATGCTCATCCTGAGGGTCGTCGGTGTACCGATCGCCGAAGAGCGCTTTGCGGTCGTCCGAGAGAGACTTCAGCTTGCGTTTGGACTCGTCGACATCCGAGGAGTAGTTGCGGAATCGGACGTTGACTTTGGATCGGGCGGCGGAGGGGATGTTCTGCTTCTCCAGGCGCATTGAATCCAGCTGTTCCAGGTCTTAGCAGTGAAGGAAGAAGGGAATGGGGATGTCCTTGGTCCTACCAATTCGGTGGCCTCGTCCAGAGACTGCTCCGCGGCTCTGATTGCGGACTTCCGTTGTTCCCCGCTGGACTCGGCGATCTGATCCAGCTTCTGGTTCAAATCGGCCTGTATGAGCTTCAACTCGGTCTCGTAGCTACTGAACAGCTCCGAGCCGGCATCGGTATCCAACGGGTTCGACATTATGGTGGTTGAGTGTGATTCAGGGGGGATAGGAGAGGGTGTCTGTGTGTCTAAGTTGATCTCTCGACCGTATCTCTAGGCAGACGGGAACTGTGGCCACCTTATCTAGCGGTGGCTGGTGGCTAGTGGCAGTATGTGGCTCGGGTGAAGGGACAATGGATCGTAGGTGTATTCAACGGGTTGCGAAGAAGGACAGGAGGTACGAGACTGAGACGGCGTCGACTTAGCTCGGAGGGGGCGGATGATGACGCTGCTGATGACAGGGAGACGCTTAATGCATTCTTGTGATGGATTGATTGACGGATCAATGAAGGGGCCCACGTGACACCCGGCCGAGGTTGATGTTTCCGTCGGGCATTTTCTCCCTTACAATCATCCTTGTCATTCCTTCAATAATATGATCGAGTTAATGGCTAATTTACTGCCAATCTCACGCCTTCCGTCATTGACCTCCGAAGTACTGCGGACTGTCCATGTGATCTGCATGCAGTGTCGTATTTCCCAGGTTGCAAGCGCTGAGATCGCCAGCCGCAGATGACTATTAACCTCATACCGGACCGGTGGAGCACTTATTGGACCCCCGTAATCCAGTTCTCCATATGATCTGGGCCAATAGGAGGCCGGAATACCGTCATAATTGCCATTCATCTCTGGGGAGTCTCCTCCTCCAAGCTACTGCACTGCTTATTACCTATCATCTGATATGATCACACTCGACATCCACATGCGGATCGTATCAACAAAACATTGGGGACTGTGGATGAATTAATAAACGATCTCCTTGGCCTCTTCATTCATGCTTGATATTTGCCTATCTGTCTGGATTGACTTCCTGGCCCCCGTCCGAATATTTAATGTGCTCTTGGGAAGAGACAAAAACTATACACTTTTATTTTGAACACTGCAACTTACTGTCAGCGCACGGTGTTCCTCAGATAATCTGACCGGCATATTTACAATCCAACCCAGAAATCTTTGGCTCCATGGACAGTCCAAAGCCAACAAGCTCTTATCCTCATGCCGCTCCCACATGCTGAACGCGTCGCGATTATTGGAGGTGGTTGCACTGGAATTACCTGTTTCTGGGCTCTACAGAACTCTGGACATGATGTCCACTTGTTTGAGGCGTCCGCAACCTTGGGTGGCCGCATCAAGGCTATTCCCTATGAGCATAATAAGAACCGAGTTGAGGTGAACACGGAGTCTCCCTTGTTCAACGTTGAGACCTCTCGTCAGTGCCATTGTGCTGGACCCCATTCCAGGGCTAACGTCAAGTACAGCCAACCTTGTTTCCCTGCTTAGCCATCTGGGAATTGTCACGTCGGCAGCGCCATGCCACTTCAGCGCATCAGATGGCGACAACACTTTTCAATGGTGCGGCAGCTTTTTGAAGAGCATATTGCTTAGCCCTTGGGTCTTGTTCAATATTGAAACATGTCGCCTCTTGGTTGACCTTATCTGGCTAAAGTGCTGGGCCTTGGATGCATTGATCTCCAAATCCTGGGTTTGGGCTTTCAGCTCTTCCGACTCCCATGCCTCGCTCAGTACACATGAATACCTTTCAAATGAGGGTTACTCGAGTACCTTTTACGACAACTACCTCGCACCATTACTCTCAACATTATGGAAAACAAATGCCGGCAGGTTTCTTCCGCAACTTCCTTTCGACGCTCTCATGCATTGCTTGAATGACCATCAAATTCTTTACCCGCGCCGAGTGGCGCCCAAGTGGCAGCGTATAAATATGGGTGTGAATCAGTTTATCAAGACAATGACCAGAGAATTCCCCCCCGAAAAGATCCATCTCAAGACCGAAGTCCGCGAAATATCCCCCTTTGGCAAAAAGCGATACAGTCTCCTTACATCTAGTGGTGAGCAGATGTACTATGACCGCGTCGTTTTTGCTGTGGATAACCAAGAAATAATGCGATTACTCCATCCAAAGCTTAGTGTTGAAGAGAGGGAGATTATCCAGAACTTCAAAACAGCGCAGAATATTGCTGTTCTGCACTCGGATTCACTGGTATGTACTCTCTCATTCCCGCTGTTGCGATATTATCATACACTTTAAATTCCTTTCTGCTGTCGTAATAGTTGCTTATTGCCCCGTTAGCTCTCACCGAGTGTCTCTCGATCATGGCCGGCACATAACTATATCATAGCCCAGAGCAGCCTTAAACAACATCATTACAGCTCTACCTTTGACCCGGCATCCGGTAAATCGTCGCTCACACACAATGTGAATACTCTCCAAGGTGTTTCAACCTGCCTCTTCGGTCGTGTCTTCATCACTCTGAACCCGTTCACTCCGCCACACCCTCATCTCGTTCAAAGGGTATGGGAGTTCACCGATTCGGAGCCCAGCCCCGAGTTTCTCTACGCACAAGCTCGGTTGCCCACAATCCAAAACAGGCACGGCCTTAGCTATGGAATCCGCTGGACAGGTCGCGGCTTTCTGGAGGATTCGATCACCGCGGGCCTGGAGATTGCGTTTGATCATTTGGGTGCGAAGCTACCCTTTGAGGTTGACCATCGACATGCTCTAGACTCGTCGCCGCTGTCCCTGGATTTGGGCATGACCGAACACCTCGTCCGATTGGTTTTGATCTCGGTCCGGATTTGTTTTCAACTTCTTGAGCTCGGTTTGATTCTGCTGGGTGCCCCGGGGTTGGTTTCCCCGAAGACCAGGACCCTGGCAAAGCGTTGGAATAAGGATAGAACATTCGATCTGAACTGAGTTCAGATATTTTTTGGGCGGTGTATATACATCCAAGCAATGAAAGCATATAACAACCTACGAGTATCGTGGAGCAGGGAAGTGGACGTAATAATTGGGTCCAATTGACATTAACGTAAAACAGCTAGACTCGTCTTTCCGATACATGAAAACATCACCGACACTTGCCACACATGGTATACAAATCATTGTCCTTTTTCCTTTGTTTTTAGAGTTGCACGACCTCGTCTAACTTCGATATCCTATTACCTCGCACACAACGTCGCAGCATCCAGCAACCAATCTGATCTTCCACCTAGAGGAACTTGTCGCTGTCCTGGTTCACGATCGTCGCGCTTCTCTTCGCATCGAGGAAGAGATCCTCGCACTCCGCGACGTCGGCCTCCTCGATACCTCCCGGGCGTCCGTTGACACGCGCAAGAATGCCGGCGGGGGTCAGCAGCTGCAGGGCATACCGCAGACTGACCTTGCTGCCGTGTTCGGAGACCTTGTCGAGGGCGGGGTCGGTGATGTTGATACCTTCTGTCTTGGCGCGCAGACGGATGATCGTCTTGATTTCGTCGGGCGTGTAGGGGTGCGTGGGAATGATGAGGAGGCGGGCGAGGAGGTCGGAGGGGATGCCGTGGGCGGCGGTGACGTCTTCGGAGCCGCGGATGACGGTGTGGCCGCGGTTGGAGGCAAGGATGACAATGGGGGAGATGGAGGATTCAAGGGCCCGGTTCAGGTATGTGAAGCATTCGAGGTCAAGCATGTGGACCTTAAGAACGACAGCCAGTTAGTGGGAAATCTGAAAGACCGGGGGAAGTTCGTCTGCATACCTCATCGATGAAGAGAACACCAGGGACAAGCTCGGCAACGCCCTGGTCGATGTAGCGGTTGACCACCGTGTTGATCTCCTGGCGCAGCTTATCCGTAATTTCGGTCTTCCTGGGCTTCATCAGTTGGCCCATCATGCTCATGACATCCTGTCCGCCCTGTGGCCGGGCGTTGGCCATGTCAAGGTCATGTAGCGTCACATCCTGCACAATTTCCTTCTTCTTGTGGACCTCTCCCTTCGGCACAGGGACGTATTCTTCGGCTTCGAGATCGAATTCGGTCGCATAGGCGTCGGATCGGCCCACTCGCTTGCAAGTTCCAGTGTTCGCTTCAATGTAGATGACGTCTCCGACGGTGACTCGTTCTTTCTGGATGGCTTCGTAGATGCTGGGGTCCAGACGCAGCTTCTTGGTGCCCTTTGCGGACTTCAATCCGATAATCAAATGGCTGATTGTCCGACCGTAGCCTCCCAATGGGTTTTCGGTTTCTTCGGGCGTGAGCTCCGTCACTTCACCTTCGTACACCTCTTTCGTTTCACGCACACGGAGACCTAGACAGATGTCAGTCTACCCAGTATATCCGATTCCAAGCATGTCCAGTATTGTCGCATACCGATGGCTCTCCGGAAGTTCTCCATGAGCGCCTCAGTCTTCTTCACTTCGGCAGAGTAAATCTCACTGCCCACGATGGGGCAGAACGGGACCTTGGTACCCAGTTCTTGCGACACGGCGAGAGCAAGGGCCGTCTTTCCAGTTCCAGGACCACCAGCCAGGAGAACGGCACGTCCGGCCATCTTCTTCGCTTTAATCAGGTCCACCACGACACCGCATGCCTATCGCAGAAGCCGTGTTAGCTACCATGTTGAGGTCTTCCGGGGCATCGAAAGAGAATGCTGCGAGGGAAGAGATTGGAAAAAATGCGCACCTCACGGGCAGCAGCCTGACCGATGAATCCATCCCCAGACGACTCGGCATTGCCGTCAGAACGCAATCCAAGACCCTTGATATGCGTGTGGGCGGCCGTTCGATTCTCGCGCGAATTGCCCTTGACTTCGCTGATCTGAACCATGATGGAAGGAATGCGACCTCACTCGGAAGTCACGGGGTGGTGGGAAGATCAGGGGCAAGATAACCGAGGATGAAGAATTCGCGAAGAAAAGGAATCCGAAAGCGAGACAAAAGGCCGACGACGTAGAGAAGAGAAAGCAGACGGTGATTGCTGCTGGCCGAAATTCCGGCAAAGCTCAAGGGATCGATCAATGATAGCGATCCGTTGCCAAAGGCGGTCAGCCCAACTCCCAAATTCTTTCGCCAACACCCAAAAGTCCCTCTCTCCACGACCGCCTGGCGCGACCTGCGTTTCTTTTCCCCGTCTTCTCGTCCACTCGCTCCTGTCATGGTCGATTGCCTCTGATCGATCTCTCAATTCATCACAATGGCAGGATTGCAGTCTCGCTCGGCCATGTCGCTGCCGTTCTCCCTCTCTTCGGCGTTTCGCAACCTCTCGTTGACGGCCTCGAAACGGTCCTTTTCCACGACTCCCGCGGCGCAGAAGATCAAACCGCTCCCGGACTACATCCCTCCCTATCCCTATGGCCCGAACTACATGTACCGACAGTCGAATACCGGTCTCTACGGCGGCGTGACGATTCAATTCGGAAACAAGATCTCGCAGGGTCGGAATGAGGGGAAAACTCGACGAAGCTGGAAGCCGAACGTCCGGCGGAAGAAGATCTACAGCGAGGCCCTGGACGAGCACCTGTTTATCAAGGTTACCCGGAAGGCATTGCGGACGATCCAAAAGTCTGGCGGACTCGACAAGTACCTGCTGGACGACCGGCCAGCGCGGATAAAGGAGCTGGGCCTCTTCGGATGGCGGCTGCGGTGGCAGGTGATGCAGACACCGAAGATCCAGGAGCAATTCCGACAAGAGCGAAAGAAGCTGGGCCTCCCCGAACCGCCAACCTTTGAAGAGTGGGTGGCACAGAAGGAGGCGGAGATCAAGGCCAGAGCGGAAGACGAGACCAACATCAAGGAAGCCACGAAGCCGATTTACAACAAGACGCTGTACTAGATGCAAGAGAGGGCCATGGGAACTTGAGAGAGACCAGCAGTTGATTTGTTTTAATTTGCGGTGACTTATGGATGGGCGTCTGTATCATTATGTCTGTGATGGTCGACAATGTCTTGCGCATACCACTTCTGACGTTGTCGGCATCTGCTTGGGGATGGCGGGGAGACTATAAGCAATATTTGATTGCATGATTAGCTTTTCAGTGTATTTATATTCTTTTTTTGTCAATGCTAGCTACACTTGGGATACATCTGCCCTGTACTCCGTAGCGGGTTGCTCAGAAGCCATGTGCAACCTGACATGTCCCACGACATGACCTCCAGATAACCTAGACAAGTTACAGCAAGCTCTTTTCCAATGCTCCAAGGTATCAAGTGCAATAGTCCGCAGTGCTCCCATCATCGTGTGAGACATCGTCGCCAGGAACGTTGCCATCGGGCCATCGATGATCCGCAGCGAATTTCCGGATCCGGCAGCGCATCTAGTGCCGTTCCTGATGGATGTCATTCCATATCATCAACTTTCGAGCATGCTTTGATTTTAAAAGAAACAAGAAACACTTCTTCACAACTTTTCAATAGTCCAGCACCTGGTCGCTGGGGGCGCGCACTTCCGCCATGCAGTTCGCCCTACCTCCTCGGAAGAATGCCCATATTCTTCCCTACGCCCGCTCTCCCCGGATTTCATTCCAGCGCAGGAAACAGCTCAAAGCGGCCGCGATCCTAGGCTTCGGTCTACTCCTCGTCTTCTTCCTTTTGTCGCAGTTCTTCTACACAAGCACCGGGACGGCTGCTGTACCGATCGGAACCCCGAGCGTCGTCATCGTCACCGTCCTAGACCGCACGCTCTTCAGCAACGACTACATCCAGAAGATCGTCAAGAACAGAGAGGACTACGCCAAGCGACATGGTACACTGCCCTTCCCCCCGGGGGGATACATGCATCTCTCCTAAGACTAATATACGTCTTGCGCAGGCTACGTGAACTTCTTCGCCAACCTCTCCGACTACGAGTCCTCGCTCGATAATGCGCCGCGAAGCTGGGGCGTCGTCCCCGCCGTCCGCCACGCGATGGCCTCCCATCCGCACTCGAAATACTTCTTCCACCTAGACGCCCACTCGCTCTTCATGAACCCGACCAAGTCGCTGGAATCCACCCTCCTTGATAACCGCCGACTCGAGTCCCTGATGCGCAAGGACGTCCCCGTCGTGCCGCCCGACAGCATCATCAAGACCTTTTCGCATCTCCAAGCCCAGGATATAGACCTGATTGTCAGCACGGATAACGAAGACTTGAGCGTCGGGAGCTTCGTCGTTAGGCAAGGGGAGTTTGCGCGCTTCTTCTTGGACTTCTGGTTCGATCCGTTGTATCGGGGTTATAACTTTGCGAAGGCGGAAATACATGCTTTGGTTAGTCCCTCCTATATGAAGATATCATCTATCGGGGCTACCTTCATGATTTCGTGATGCTAACAGTGTGTTTTCTTATAGGATCATATCGTCCAATGGCATCCCACCGTCCTGGCCCGGTTGGCCTTAATCCCTCAGCGTGTCGTCAACGCCTACAGTAAGGATTCATCCGGCGCCGCTGTCGATGGGACGTACAAGGACGGCGACCTAGTTCTTCGAATGTTCGGGTGTGACACGGATCCGAAGCGGAGTTGCGAGAAGGAGATCGAGCCCTATTATAATCTGTGGGCGAAGAACTTGAAAAAGGAGTGAGGCCACTCCTGGTTTGTTGGCTCAGGCCTGCTTTATGACTTGTAAGACACTGTATTTTTTTAACCTTTCTTTTATTTTATTTCCATGCAACATGATGGAGGATTTTATGTCTTGGAGTTCGCTGGGAAATGAACAGGTTGTGATGAGCTCCTTTTTTTTGTTATGTTTTATTTTGGTGTTTGGGAGCTTTTGGGTTTACGAGACGAGTCTTATATAGAGTATTCTTAATCTGTGGAATTTTGTTCAATGAAGAGTGCGTCAATTACTATTATTGCTAAGATGTTATAAACAAAACACTCGTTCTTTTAATTGCGTTGCGCGTTGACGGTTTAACCTCGTGATTTGGTCAGATCGAGGAGTCTGGCAAAGGTGTTTGTTTTGTAAGGGAGATTGACACCTCGCCATCAATCTCAACACTTGAAATGGCTGTCTCTAGTTGTGGACCAAGCGCAGGGGTCAATCCGTAGCCCCGTTCGCAAGCCCATACATGGCCAATTCGGTTTTAGTAGATGTGCAACCTCTATTTCTAGAAGTTCACACCCGCCGATATCTTTGGCTAGCCATTTAAATGAGGCCAGGGAACATGACGAACTTCTTGCTCTTGTACTTGTCGCCAAACTCCTTGCGGTAGCGGCGCTCCTTCTTCTTAGCCCAGCTGACCATCTGCGCACCGCCAACCAGGACGAAGAACAGCACACTCCAGCTCAGCCCGCTGACCAGGTAAACACCCAGCCAGGCAATCACTTCGAACAGATAGTTGGGGCAGGTCACGAGATCGAATCCGAAGCCGACGGGAATACCGCGCTCCGTGGAACCGGGGCGACGCAGATCACGCAGGATCAAGTGGGCGTTGAAGTTGGCCAGTTCGCCAAAGACGAACATCGCAAGACCCGGGTAGAAGAGGGCGGGGTTAGGGTGGCTCGTCATCGAGGCGGCGTCGGGACGGAAGACCCAGTAGGCGATGTTGAAGCCGGCTAGGATCCAGTAGTGCGCGCTGTTCTTGACGATGTTGCGGGCCGGCATGGTGGCATTGCTGAAGCGGTGGACGTAGACGGTTTCGAACTCACGCTTCAGGAAATGGACCGTCAGGAGCTCGCAGACGAAGAGCTGGAGGCTGGATCGTTCGGGCAGAGGCTGGTCGAAGTTGTAGTAGATGAGCGATCGCAGAGGGTAGAGGAAGAGGATGGGAATGAGCAGAGGTCCAAGGTATTCGATGATGAACACAGTGCGCCAGCTGATCTGGGGGCCTGTACAATTGCGATTGATATACCGGTTAGCTTTTTTTTTTTTTTTTTTTTTTTTTTTTTTTTGGCCCGCTGCTAGTCTTGCCGGGTGTCGATTCTTTCCACATACCAAGATCCTTAACATGGATGACGCTCTTGTCCTTCAATCCCAAGTGATCGACAATGGTGTTGCGCGAATTGGGCACAACACTGCGGTCACTTCCCTTGGTGATCCTCAGACGATGGATGGAGAAGCCGGAGGTTTGCGCGAGCGAGTCGTAGATCCCAGCCGTCGAGACATTGGCGGGGATTTCGAGTTCACTGGGAAGACCCTTGATCGGTTTGCCTAATCGTCAGGTAAGCATGTGCGATTTTTTTTCCCCCTCTCACATTGACGGGTGACAAGGAAAGAGCCATACCCCGTGGTTGAACAACCAAAGTAATAGTTGCCGACGACATTGCGATCCAACCCCGAAATAGATTTCCCTATTTTCTTATTGTTTTTGTCTTTGCAGGGTCCTGCGTAGTGAGTGACCGGTGGAAGCTGTGAGGTGTTCAGCCACAGATAAGCTGACCCAGTAACAGAACGGGCTAATGGAAGACCTCACAACACGAGGCAATTCTTGAGCAACGCGGAGCAATCGGGATGGGGGCCTCGGTCCGTGGGAGTCACGTGATCTCAACATTTTGCACAGCAGGGAGTAAGTACACTCTGCAGGCAGTGGGTTGTGTTCCCAACTCCGACAGACTCGCAGAAACTCCTTGATTCAAATGTCAGGGGATCGATTGGAACAGGCAGGGTGCAATTTGCCACCCCGAGGGATCATGTTTAAAGTACAAAGGACTTTTAAAGTATGCCGAATCTGAGCTTAGCGTATGCAGTCAGCTGCGCAAACAATACGAGTCTCGTCGGTTTACTCCGAGTCTCCTTATATCAGACGAGATTTGATTTGATCGGTGAATTTTTTTTATTTTGGGCTTAGGCGCTCTGCTTCGACGTGTTCTAGACTCTTGGATCATGAACTCCATGTTACCGCTTACGCAGATACTATATCAGATGCCATCTAGTGTCGGAGGAAATATATAGTTACTCCGAGGATTACTAGTAGCAGGTAGACACACAGCAAGACTGCAAGACTAGGTAGATGGCCACCTGTCTAGAATAATTGATCGTATGATAGCCAGCTTCACGTTCTACCATGGTACCCAAATAAACATGATCTAGAAGCCATGCCCACGGAGTATAGCAGGGATGGGCAATAACGAACGCGGGTGTTTAGGGCTGGCCAACCGTAGGCCAATCGTCTGGTCTACCCCATTCTCACCGAGTAATTTTATTCCCAATTGACTATTCTTGGTTCTACTATTTTGCTTATGATTTTTTTATTATCGCCCAGTTAAATTCCAGATATTAATTGTCCTAGGCCACTATGTAACTCCGGAACTGCGTACGATACCGGTACACGCGGGATCCACCGCATCATCGACTCCCCGCAGCAAATCGATCATCCTCCCTCTCCCTCTCCCTCTCCATCTTCATTTCCCTCTCACCCTCCCTACCTAATCATGAGCTCGTGGCTTCGGAAAAGTGACGGGAGTCTCGTCTGGCCTCGTGCCATAAGCCCGCTGAAATGAACGAGGATGGTGCTCCATCGCCACTGCAAGAATTTCAATCAATCGGGCCATCCCTGTCTCAATTCAGCTGACCAGTGGCTTTCGGACGCATGTATAGACCAAGGGGACTTGGAAGATTGCAAATCTCCACGTCCTCGCCAGCCACTTGAAGACATCAGCTGCTATCTAGTGATGCAAGAGGAATTACATCACCCATGGTTTCTTCCCAATTCCATTCCTCGAATTGCGGGGAACGGGCCAATATTCCATCAAATTCCTGAGTCTGGCCGAACAGCCTCGGCCGGTTTCTGCTGGCTAGGGATGCTGGAGTTGCTGTCAACCCGGGCCCATGCACGAATCAAAATGCCCTCCTTACAGATACACCTGTCAGTGGGGCACCCCTCCCTCGTTAGGGTGCATACGAGAGGTGCCCGGTGGAATATTAACGCCTTGAATAAAGCACGTCTGAAAACGGCATGAGTGGCTGGGGCAGTCCAGGGGTGGCATGAACAGCATTCGCCCCTCCCAAGCCCTGCCTTCTACTTCGACTCTTCCTGTAAATTGAATGCGAGAGATTTTTCTGTTCAGCCGCAGTGGGCTTACCTCGAGTACTGCAAGTCATGGCTGCAGTATTTTCCAGTCTCGTACAAACCCCTGCTTGGCTGTTACCATTCCATTAGTATTATATTCCCCATCTCCAACCCCCTTTGCTTCAGCTGCCTACCTTGGTTCGTGTATAAACCCTGACTGGAGCCCGGGTCGTTGGTTTTCCTCCACCTGCTGTTCATATGCTTCTGACGCCCTCTTGTTTTTAAGTTTCTGGTGGTCGGTATAGTATATCATAGGCCTGGAGAGCATATCCTTTTTCTATTGAATTGCTCATTGCAGCTCGCCTGCTGTCGTACCCTGCTGGTCTCCTGGGGATCTAATTACTCCTTGGTTTTCGATACTGGAAGGTTGGCGACCTGTTATAGCTTTATCGTCGTTCGTCGTTATATCCTGCTTTTTCTGCGACTTGATTCGCGATGGCCGAGTTAAACGGTAACTCAACCATAAACGGGGTTGGCCAGTCTATCCAGAAGATCGAGAAGGTCATATCTGCGTCGCTGCGGCCATTGCCAACTGAGACGGGGGATGGCACGTATGTCACGTCGGCAACAAGATCACACCTTGTCGAAGACATCAGCCGTCTCGACCTCGGCGATGTCAAGACCATCGTGAATATCGCCAAGAGTGCTGCGACGGGCGAGCCGGTGGACGATAAGCGTTATATCACGGAAAAGTTGATCCAAGTCAGTTCATCGCTCCCGTTCAGTGGATGGCGGATCCGTCTTTCCCGTATTAACTCCAAGCCCTAGCTTGCTTCTGGACTGCCCTCCACCTCTCGTACTGGTGCCGAATTGACGAACACTTTTCTCAACCAATTGTGGAATGACCTAGAACATCCACCAGTCTCGTATGTTGAGTTTTGAGTCACGACTCGTGGTGACGAAAACGAATCTAACTAGAGCGTTTAGCTATTTGGGCCGTAACTACGCATACCGCGAGGCTGATGGCTCCGGCAATGTACAACCCTTCTTGATACTCCTGAATGATAAGCCACTCACTAATCCATGCGACAGAACATTCTTTGGCCCCAGATTGGTGCCGCTGGCTCCCATTATGCAAGATCTGTAAGGCCTCAGACAGTACAGTCTCCGGCGCTTCCCGATCCGGAATCTCTCTTCGATTCCCTCCTGGCGCGAAAGGACTTTAAAGAACACCCAAATAAGATCTCCAGCATTTTGTTCTATATAGCATCTATTATAATTCATGGTAAGTCTAGGAGGAAACCCTATCACGTCACGTCTGCCGCTAACGAGCAAAAAGACCTGTTTCAAACAGACCGAGATGATGGGACAACTTCCGTCACCTCGTCGTATTTGGATCTCTCGCCACTTTATGGCAACAATTCGGATGAGCAAAGTCTTGTCAGAACATTCAAGGATGGCAAGTTGAAACCGGATTGCTTCTCATCGCGACGTGCATTGGGATTCCCTCCAGGTGTCTGTGTGATTCTGATCATGTTCAACCGTTTCCACAACCATGTGGTTGACGAACTGGCATCAATTAATGAGAACGGAAGATTTACCAAACCAGACGAATTGAATGTCAAGGAGTACGCAAAGTACGACAACGATCTTTTCCAGACTGGACGCCTTGTGACCTGTGGATTATACGTCAACATAATCCTCAAAGACTACGTTCGGACGATTTTGAACATCAATCGCACTGACAGCACCTGGAGCTTGGACCCTCGTGCGGAGATCAAAGACAGTCTGCTCGGGCAGGCAGCTGCCCGAGCTACAGGAAACCAGATATCCGCTGAGTTCAATCTTGTTTATCGCTGGCATTCGTGTATATCCAAACGCGACGAGAAATGGACACGAGACTTGTATAGCAAGATCTTCCCCGGAAGGGACCCCAGCAATATCCCTCTGCCAGAATTCGTCCGAGGTCTTGGTAAGTGGGACGCGGAACTATCGGGCCAACCAGACGAGCGCGAGTTTGCTGGACTGCAACGCAATGCGGACGGAAGTTTCGACGATGACGCTTTGGCCGAGATTTTCAGGGAAAGCGTAGAGGACTGCGCAGGCGCATTCGGTGCCTCCAATGTCCCGACCGTCTTCAGAAGTGTTGAAGCGCTGGGTATTATGCAAGCCCGTTCCTGGAATTTGGCAACTTTGAACGAGCTTCGGAGATATTTCAACCTTGTTGCCCACAAGACCTTTGAAGACATCAATCCTGATCCCTACATAGCTGACCAGCTGAGACGGCTGTATGATCACCCCGATCTCGTGGAAATTTACCCGGGGGTCATCGTGGAGGATACGAAGGAACCAATGGTTCCCGGCAGCGGTCTTTGCACCAACTTTACAACGTCGAGGGTTATTCTTTCCGATGCGGTGGCTTTAGTGCGTGGTGATCGCTTTTACACGGTTGACTACACACCAAAACACCTGACCAATTGGGCCTTCAAAGAAATCCAGCCACAAGACTCCGTTGATCAAGGCCATGTCTTCTACAAATTGGTTTTGCGAGCATTTCCGAATCACTTCAGAGGGGATTCTATCTATGCCCACTTTCCGATGGTCATTCCATCCGAGAACAAGCAGATCTTGACCAAACTCGGGGTTGCCGAACACTACAGTTGGGACAGTCCTAGCTTTGTGCCTCTCCCTCGATTCATCAATTCACATTCTGCGTGCATGTCAATTTTATCGGACCAAGAGACGTTCAAGGTGACATGGGGCAAGAAAATTGAATTTCTCATGCGGCGCGGCAGTCATCAGTATGGCCGAAGTTTCATGCTGTCTGGGGGTGATTTACCGAATGCGGCGTCGCGCAAGATGATGGGAGCAGCTTTATACCGAACGAGGTGGGAAGAGGAAGTGAAAGACTTCTACGAGCAGATCACCTTGAAGCTCTTGCACCGAAACTCCTACAAGATCGCCGGGGTCAACCAGGCTGACTTCGTCCGCGACGTCGCAAACATTGCACAGGTGCATTTCTGTGCGACCGTTTTCTCGTTACCCTTGAAGACCGAATCTAATCCTCGGGGCGTGTTCACGGAAGCCGAGCTATACAAAATCATGGCCGTTGTTTTCACTGCCATCTTCAATGACGTTGACGTTGCGAAGTCCTTCGAACTGAATCAGGCAGCTCGAGCGGCAACCCAACAACTTGGACAGCTCACCATGGCCAACGTTGAATTTGTGGCCAAGTCCGGCTTTATTGCCAACTTGGTTAATAGTCTTCATCGCCATGATGCTCTGACTGACTACGGTGTGCACATGATCCAACGCCTGCTTGCCAGTGGTCTCCCAGCGGACGAGATCGTATGGACTCACCTATTGCCAACTGCTGGAGGCATGGTGGCAAACCAAGGACAGCTCATCTCCCAGTGTCTTGATTACTACCTCTCCGAAGAAGGCTCGATTCACCTGCCGGAGATAAATCGACTCGCCAAGGAAGATACGCCAAAGGCCGATAGTATACTGCTTCGCTAGTAAGGACATTGCCCCTCATCCCGAAAAGACGCCTGGGAATAGATTCACTGACTGTTTGTTTTCTTCACCCAACAGTTTCATGGAAGGTGCTCGGCTGGGGTCATCTGTTGGCTTATTTCGCGTGGCAGCAAGTCCTGCCGTCGTTGAAGACAACGGAGAGAAAGTGAGCTTGAAGGCTGGCCAGCACATCCTTTGCAATTTGGTCAGTCAATCAATTCTATGGACACTAACTACCTAGATTGAGTGGCAGCACGCCCTTACTGACATTTGGTAATTTACACAGGTATCGGCGTCGAAGGATCCTGTCAGCTTCCCGGAACCGGCGAAAGTCAGGCTGGATCGTGATATGAATCTATATGCCCACTTTGGCTTCGGAGCGCATCAATGTCTAGGGATTGGACTCTGCAAGCTGGCACTGACGACGATGCTCAAGGTGATCGGGCGCCTCGACAATCTTCGCCGCGCGCCGGGGCCACAAGGACGCATCCAAAAACTCCCAGGACCCGGTGGAATTTCCAAATACCTGACGGCAGACCAGAGCGGATTTTCGCCCTTCCCAACCACCATGAAAATCCAGTGGGACGGAGAGCTGCCCGAGCTGGAGATGAAGTAGTCCGTCTACACAGTCCTACAGCACGGAGGAAGTATGGGATGACGGCTGTATGTAATATGTGAGAAGTTGGTCAATGGGAATGGGCTGTGATTTTTAGTTTTGTTTTAGTTATTTTTGATCGCAAGGTGTTAATCGTGTTAATTTGGAACATTCCCTGTAAGACTGTGGATTATGGGTCATTCCATGAAGGTGGATCAAATTCGGCAGCGGTGAATGAAATATCTGGTCCTTATTCCGACGCTCTGATGTCATTCTTCTGTCAAGGTCGCCGGTCGAGACTCCCGAAAGTCATCAACCCGATTTGCCTCAGGAACCATGACTACGTAGAGAATTCAAACCCCTATGTGATTGCCTAGAAAATAGTAGTCAGGAATTGCTCGTAACTAGTTAACTAGGCAACTGGGTAACTGGAATTACTAATGACTGACTATACCGTGGACTCGGCATCAGTCCGTGGCAGGTCACTCTAGGCAGTCGCGAGACTCCTAAGAGTCATACCGGCCAACTTCGACAAACGAACAAACGCGATGACCCGGAAGTTCTCGCCTGCAGTCGGAAAGCCGTTGATTCGAACGGTTCCCTAGTGAAAAGTAAAAAGCAGGGCTGACTTGTTTGTTCGGCGGGGGAGAAGACCCGCTCCGGCAGCAGCTCCCTTAGTCTTAGTGAGCCACAGCCGCGACCCAAAAACGACCAGAAGCCCGGAGCTCCATCCATTCATCGGCATAATTTCACGAACCTTCCAACTTCCCAACTCATCCATTCTTCCTCTTCCCGCTCCCTCATCCTCCTACCATCTCTTTCTGCTCGCTCCCCTCCCACCCCCTACTAACCACGCGTGCTTCCCCCCATCTAGCCTTCCCCTCTTCTGGAATCCCACTTGGCTGAAGCTTCAGGGAAGACGACCTGCACCCGTTTTCCCCGTCTCTTTTGGGCCTCCAGCGGTAACTACTAGGTGAAGCCGCATCTCTCGATCCGCCCTCCGTCCGACCTCATTTGTCCTAACTCATCTCAGAGGGCGAAAAGTTTTCGGCTACCCCCCCTCCGTTTCCATCCAGATCTTTTCCGCACGCTTTGATCGACTCACTCGACGGTCGCGTTCGGCTGGTCGGTCATCAAACCCTCCCCTCTTATTTCCGCTCGTTAGGTTTTCGTTGAGGAAGGAGAGCCACCAAAAACGTCATACGGCTCGCGACATTCTCCGCGACTCGGTCTTGACGACCTCCCCACCCTCGCTAGGAGGTTTTCTCCTGGACTTTTTTTTCTTCTTTTCTACCTCATGATTTAATGTCTTTTTGAGCGTCATAATGGGGAGAATTAAGAAGGTGGCTAGCCAGAAACACGAGGCTACGATCGTAAGTTTGTCCATTCTGCTTCCCCCCACCTCCAGCGTTGGTTTTGAAACTCGACTAAAAATTTTCCCCTTTCTCTTTGATTTGACAGTCGCCTTACCTGGCGGAATTCGTATCTCGTGCCACGACTATTCCGGTCCCCGAGCTTGCCTCCCACCTCCGCACATTTCCGCGGCTATGGCCTTTTCCTAGAGGAGACCTGTATCATTGGATCAACGTCCTGAATCGCTTTGACGAAATCTTGGCGTCGGTCATCGAAAAGTACGAACTCAACAATGGACCTCAAAGCAAACCTTTCGGTCGACTTGTTCTCGTCGAGGCTTATGCCGGTAACGAAAGTAACGCGGGCTCGGCGGATGTCGACTCTCGACTGAATGCTCTTGGATACGGTCCGGATGGTGATAGAGAACTTTTAGAAGTCGTGCTCGATTTTTCTCGACTCCTACTGGAGAAATGTGGCAACCGCAGCCTCTACAGTAGCAGCGAGCGCCTGGGGGAACTTCTGAATACGACGTCGCTGTCCCTTTTGCAGGCGACGCTGCGCCTGTCTCTCTCGTTGGCCCAACGGTATCATTTCCGGCAGCGCGGCGGTTCTCATCTTCAGCAGAGTTTGCTAGCAGCCCACTTTAATATCGATTTGGAGAAAATGCAGAAGATTGCCGCACCGTTCCCTCGCCCTTCTGCCCCCGCCTCGGATAAAGTCACGGCATCGTCACCCGCTCTGGGGACCAAAGGCAAAGAGAAGGGCCCGCAAACGAAGCACGACGCTAACGATCTGGTGTCTCTCACTCGAGAAAATGATGGCTGGGATGAATGGGGCCATGTGCACCAGCTTTATTACCCGTCCGGTTCTTGTGAGCAGGCCAAGACGACATCGGAAAGTGCTCAAGGCGCGGCGGCGCCAACGCAAACTCCCACCACTCCGACACCTCTGCGCAGAAGCCATACTCACCCTACGCCACGTCTGAGTCGTTCATCCATCATTGATGACTCTCCCAGCTCGGTAGCCAATACCCCCGGAAAGCCTGAAGAAGTACCTCGAGGTGGCAAAACCCTCGATGTCCCCTATTCGAAGATTGCTTCCCCGTCCACGACCGAGGATATCCTCGCGTCGCATCTGGACGAACTACCGGACGACTCAAAATATGAGCTTCTTCACCGGCTTCGAACAGCTCGTGGATTGACAACATCTAGTGCTACTCGGGAGCAGATTCTTGCGATCAGGATCCTTGCGGTAACAAACTTGGCTTACGTCTATCCCGAGTCGTTGTTTCAGCAGAAAATTCTTCAGTATGACATGGAACAGCCGAAGCGTCTCCAGATTGCCTACCAGCTGGGTGAATTAGTTCATCTCGGTGCAAGCGGCGATCTCAGAGTGTCGCGGCCCCTCCAGACGCTGGCTCTTATGGCCCTTGACTCGTTAGCTAAACATAAAGCACGCGCGATCGACGTCTGTGCGGCACTAAGTGTCAATGTAAACCACGGTGTCCTTATGTTCTTGACCCGCAAAGCAGTCAATGAGCTGGGATCCGAAGACAACGACGGGGAGGATGGCAGCCAAGATGAATGGCGGGATGCCTTGCTTTCTCTCCTGCGAACGCTTCCCGGATCTAGCTCCAGAACCCCGGAGACTCTTGTTTCGGCTGGGTTGATACCCATGTTCGTTGATGTCCTGAACCTGCGCACAGAGAAAGCACGCCGTGTTTACTCTCGTGTCATGGAGTTCCTTGATACTTTTGTTCACACAGTGCGGGATGCACTTGGAACTCTTACTAGTGCAAAGGGATTCGACGCTATCTCGGACCTTATTGACTACGAAACTAAGACATCGTTTGAAAACGTATCGCGCGGTGCGGGGATCCCCTCCCAACACAAAACCCCGTCCATTGATTACCAGATTCCGTACTTCCAGCAACAGACGCTTCGATGGATGTTTAGATTTGTGAATCATATAATGCAGCATAACGGAGGGGGCTTCGATCGAATTCTGCGAAATTTGATTGACTCGCCTCAACTCCTTACTTCTCTTCGATTGGTGTTTGAACATGCTCGGATATTCGGTTCTCATGTTTGGAGCAATGCGGTCAACATCCTGAGCAGCTTCATCCATAACGAGCCTACTAGTTATGCTGTCATTGCCGAGGCTGGGTTGAGCAAGAGCTTTTTGGAAGCCGTTACTCTTCAGGAGCTCAAGACCCCCGAAAAGCTGCCCATTCCGCCGGAGGACGCCGAGCCTGAGGGCGAGCCTGCTTCTGAACCATCAACGTCAAATGCTGTAGCTGGCCCCTCCGCAAGCTCAGAGCCCAAGTCTCGCGAGTACGAGCTCGCAAGGCCCAGGGATGCCAAGCTGGCTCCTGGCATCATGCCCGCCGCAGAGGCGTTGTCCTGTGTCCCATCCGGGTTTGGAGCCATCTGTTTGAACGCCTCTGGTTTGGAACTATTCCAGTCGTCTCATGCCTTGGAGAGCTTCTTCGAAATCTTTGAAAGCCCCGAGCATGTGAAGTGCTTAAAGGATGACCCCAACTTGGTCCGTTCACTGGGCACCACATTTGATGAGCTAGTGCGCCATCATCCAGCTCTGAAGTCGTCGATCATGAGTGCCGTCATTGTGATGGTCGCGCGCGTGGGTCTTTTGGCTAGAAGCAAAGCTTGGACCGAGGGAACTGGGGCTAAGTTGTGGACTGAAGACTCACAAGGGAACCCGGTCGTTTCAGGGCCCCTCCGTCATCTTTACAGAAAGATTGGTGCTACCATGACGGGCGAATCAATCGATGGACCTGATCTCGGAGTTCGAAGTCTTAAGTCTAACTCTCTTCCCGACGGTAGCAAGTTGACTATGCAGAATGTCGACCAGGTTCTTCCGTCCGATCACAATGTTGAACCGAAGGATCGGGATGCCAACGGACTTACGGCGACTGACTATCTCTATCCTGTCTTGAGATTCCTGGGGGCTTTCTTTGAGAACCAAACCAACTGCTCGCATTTCATTGAATCTGGTGGTGTAGAGTTTATTCTGGACTTCGCGACGCTGCAAAGCCTTCCGTTCGACTTCCACAACACCGATGCCAACCAAGAGCTTACTGTCTTGGTGCACATGCTGGCGGAAACGAAGCCTCACCTGGTCGTCCCTGGACTTGTCGATCGCCTCGACTCAATTGTCGAAATGCTTTCCGATTTCTGGCGCCTGTCCGGACCCAGGGAGGCTGGCTTTTTCTCTCCGTTGATTAAGCCCGCTTCTGAGAAGGGCCCCGATGCTGAGAGTGATGAAGCCCTGAAACTGGCCAAGAGCAATGGAACGTATTATGCGAAACACATGGTGGCTGCTCTCATTTTAACGGATCTCCTCCGTGAGGTCTACTCCATGCCCCTGTACCAGACCCGCCCCAGTCAACAGACTTCAGCATTTTCCCAGGTCAATTTGGCCGATCGTTGGTGCTCTCTGGTTTCTAAACTGGGAGGTCTGCATGCTGCGTGTGTGTGGGAGGAGATTTTGTTGGAGAAGAATATCCCAGACACCTGGGACCAGGCAACCAAGGTGCAATCAAACGCACCGGGCTCTGAACGGTCTAGTGATCCCACCGCGCCGGTGAATGTGGACGGAACGCCCAACGCGGCCGGAGCAAATTCTCAAGAAGATCCGAGTGCCACTGATGCCGCCCCGACAGGGTCCAGTCAGGAGCCAAAGGACAATGTTGCTAAAAACCCCGAAGGTGGCATGGCTTTCAAGAATGTTCAAGCGCTTCGGTATCTTCTGAGCTCATTGCCTTCATCAATCACGGGCTTCTTCCATAATATGGGGCTTGGTTTGCTCGGGAAAAGAAGAACTGATTCCTACCAAAAGCAAAATGCGACAATGGTGGCCGAGGCTGTTGCTGAGGCTGTGATCGGGCAACTCAAACTTAGCCCTCCCAACTTGAGTGCTAACCCCAAGCTTCGATTCGCCTATCTCATTGTCATTCTTTCTTCGTTCACCCATTTGCTCTTTGAAGGTAAGCGTCTTGTGTTCTTCCTGTTCCCCCCTTTAGCATCTGTGGGGGTTAAAAGAAACTAACATCCGCTGCAGCCACAGCAGATCGTCCTCACTCGCACTACCTCACGTTGGTCCTCTTTGCGTTTAAGAGAAGCCAGGGCCTGAAACTCTTGAAAGAGATCTGCGACACCTTCATGCGGGAAGTCAAGGCTTTAAGCCCACCAGCCACTGTTGCCGAATCTGAGAACGACGTCTCGGCTCGGCTTACTTCGGCCTATGGAGGTATCAAGATTATACTTGGCTTTTTCTCTGAGCTCGCATCGGGAAAGAACATCGTTGATTCTAGCCAAACCCAGGCCATGACAAGCAGTGACCGAGAACGTGATCGGCCTGATTATTTCCTGCCGGGACAGTTCCTCGTGGATCTCCGCATGGAAATACTCCCGATGGCCAGAGAAATGTGGAATTCTGATTTCGCAACTCAGTCCTCCAGCTCCGTTATCAAATGTCTTGTCGACATCCTTCGATCGTCACTCGACGGTGAATACGAAACGGGGGCTGCTCGACAATCCGACACTCCTCCGGCTTTAACAGAAGTTACAAGGAGGGCTTTCCTGGTTAATAGAGATCGCGTTAATTCATTGCAGGAGAAAGGGTTTGATGATGCTGACCTCGTCAAGGAGGCTATGTACCGCTGCAATAATTCCATCGTTGCTGCTGAAGAATACTGCAAAGCACAGAACTGGTTGCTGCCGCCGTCAAGGATGACGCCGCCCCCCAACGACATCGAGTCTGTCCGCTCCAGCACGGCCGGCGGAGAACCGTCAGAGGACCCCGCCGTGGGAGATGCACCGCCATTCGACAACAGTCTCCTTGAGCGTTCTGCTCTTGCCATGCTCCTGGCGCAAGCGTCGCGCCGGGCAGATGATGGATCTCAGGATCAGGGAGGAGCGGAAGATAGTGAAGTTAGGCACGGTACTGAATTCTTAGCACGAGCTTTGACCAACATTCTTAATGATGAGCATGGCGCAGGTGAGAACGATCGAGATGAGCCCTCGGGAAGCAACGCTCAAAACGCCGGGCCCCCCGCTGGAGAGCCCTCCGAACCGCCGAACAATGCAGCCGGCCGGCCCTCAGGGCAACCGGCAGAGCAGCCTGTCCGACGCCGCGAGGTCACTACCGTTGAGGATTTGGATGCAGAGCGCGAGAAAGTTCGCTCAAACTTGATTGAGCGTTGCTTGGACATTTTGAATGAGCACCATGATGTATCCTTTGAATTGGCTGACCTGATTGCTTCGGCTACCAAGAAGCACCGTGACCCTGAATCATTCCGTAGGGATGTCGGTGAGATTCTGGTTCAATCCTTGGTTTCACTGCAGATGGAGAACTTCCAAGCATCCGGTAAAAAGGTGGCCGCTTACGCTCACCTCCTCGCCTTGGTGGTTCAAGACAGAGACATGTACACTGCGACCTTGGGAGAACTAAAAGAGTGCTTCACGACTTTCCTCGGGTTTATCAAATTGTCACCAGAAAGTACATCGTCAGCTGAAAAGTCATCCGATGAGTCGCTCCCATGGATTGGGCATGTTCTTCTCATCCTTGAGAAGTTACTTTCTGATGACACACAGCCTCCTCAGATTCAATGGAGCCTACCAGATAACAACAATCCAGCCGGCCAAGACGAAGGCCCGGCTCACCTGGAGGAGCCCCTTGTTTCTCGGGACCAGAAGGAACAGCTGTTCGAAGCACTGGTTGAAATTCTTCCTAAGATTGGCAAAGACGATACCCTGGCCCTCTCTGTGTCTCGTATTCTTGTCATTCTTACTCGCGATCGCAAAATCGCTGCCCGCTTAGGCGAGAAGCGAAGCCTGCAGCGTCTCTTCGTCATGGTCAAGCAGCTTTCAAGCGCGACAAACGACAAACTGCAAGGTGCTTTCATGTTGATACTGCGACACATTATCGAAGATGAAGAGACTATTCGGCAGATCATGAGGAGTGAAATCGTTGCCAACTTCGAATCTAAATCGTCTCGCCAAATCGACACTACTGGGTTCGTGCGACAAATGTATCATCTCGTACTTAGATCGCCGGAGTTGTTTGTGGAAGTCTCCAACGAGAAGCTCAAGTTGCAACGATATGATAGCCGACAACGCCCGCAGGTTCTTACCCTAAAGGCAGACAGAAACAGTGGCGCACCTACGCCTGCAGCAACTCAACCGGGAGCGCAAAGCTCGTCCCGTAGCGGCGAAGATACAGCAGGAGACGTTCCGTCTGAAGACAAAGACAAGGGCAAGAATGTGGAACTGAAGGCCCCTGTCGTGGAGAACCCCGATGGTGTCATCCACTACCTTCTCTCCGAACTCCTATCCTACAAGGATGTAGATGATAAGGAGCCTTCCACCGAAGCCGCAGATTCTGCTGCCCCAGAACAAGTGGAGAGTCAGACCGATGTGGAGATGTCAACCGAAGAACCCTCGCCCTCTGTGTCTACTACCGACTTGCAGGCTACGCGCAATGCCAAGAAGTCAGACAAGCCGGCATTCAAAGCTGATGACCACCCGATCTACATCTACCGATGCTTTCTCTTGCAGTGCTTGACAGAACTCCTTTCTTCGTACAATCGCACGAAGGTTGAATTCATCAACTTCTCCCGCAAAGCAGACCCTCTCGCTACTACCCCATCTAAACCACGTTCGGGCATATTGAATTACCTTCTGAATGCTCTGGTTCCTATCGGTACCATGGACCACGACGAATCTGTCGCATTCAAGAAGCGTAGTAACACCTCCTCTTGGACCATGCGTGTACTTGTTGCCTTGTGCACCAAGACCGGTGAGTTTGGTGGCACCGGCAGACGCCGCGAGCAGAACATGAACGAGGAAGATGAGCCTGAGCTTGCTTTTGTAAGACGGTTTGTCTTGGAGCATGCGTTACGAGCATACAAGGAAGCGAACACGTCGAATGAGCCCCTGGATGCGAAATATTCTCGGTTGATGTCGCTGGCCGATCTGTTCGACAAGATGCTTAGCGGCTATGCCTTTGTCTCGGGCGATACTGCTTTCCCGTCGTCTACTCGACAGCTCGCGAGAACCATGTTCGAAAAGAACTTCATTGCTGCCCTGACTGCGTCGGTTGCCGAAATCGATCTCAATTTCCCAGCATCCAAACGCGTCATCAAGTATATCCTCCGTCCGCTTAATAAACTTACACAGACTGCTGTAGTCTTGAGCGAGTCCTCAGATATATCAAGTCTTGCGGATGCAGAAGGAGATGAAATCTCGTCGGCCACCTCGGTTTCTGACATGGATGATGAGCGTGAAGAGACTCCTGACCTTTTCCGCCATTCCACTCTTGGTATGTTGGAGCCTCGTCACGAAGAAGAGACCAGCGAAGAAGAATCAGAGGAAGAAGACGATGAAATGTATGATGATGAATATGGTGATGAAATGGACTATGATGAGGATCTTCCAGAAGATGATGGCGAGGTGGTCAGTGACGAAGAAGACGAGATCGATGGCGTCGGCCACGTCGAAGGCCTCCCCGGTGATTCAGGTATGGACATCGAAGTTGTTCTCGATGAGGACGAGGATGACGAAGATGATGAAGAGGATGACGATGAAGACGACGACCGATCCGACATGGACGACGACGAAATCCTCGCCGGCGAGATCACTGGCGACCGGGACAATGAGAGCTTGGAAGATGGTGAGGACGATGAATGGGAAAGCGAGGAAATGTCCGAAGATGATGAAGAGGCCGAAATCATGAACCAGTTTGAAGATGAACTGGCCGATATTCGACAAGCCGATCAGCACGGTGATGGACAGAGATTCGACGACCTGTTCCGCGTGCTTAACGAAGCTGCCGGCGGTGTCGAGAACCTGCAGGGTGATAGCCTTGGGGATCTTCATGAGGACATTGTGGATGATGATTTGAATGAGGATGATGGTCAGTCTCATCTTGAATCTTGTTCTTTTACACAGAGACGGTCACTAACGTTGTTTAGAAGATGAAGAGATCGATGAGCTTGAGGAGGATCTTGATGACGTTGACGATGATCAAGGATCGTATCAGGGCTTCGACGATGGTAATTCTTCATTGACTTCACATGCATAAGAAACAATTGCTAACCTCTAACAGATGAGGATCTCATTGAACCTTGGGGATGGGATGGTGATGAGCCCCCACTGCCCCGTGGACATCATCACCACCGCTTCCGTCCTCAGCCAGGATGGGCTGCAGTCACGGGAATCATGCCCGGCCGAAGTGGAATCGTTCCAGTTCAACCATACCGGTTCCATCGTACCCAGATTCCTGCTCGAGGATCTGACGACGGCACAAATCCCCTGCTTGTTCGGACAGATCGCGGACCGGAAGCTGGTCAACCCCGAGGGCCTGGAAACGAAGCTTTCACAGATTGGGTCCATGGTATGGAGCCAGTGTCTGCCGGGCGCTCCATCCCCATGGATAGTCCAGTCAGCTTCATGAACGCCATTATGCAAGCCATCGGCGGACAAGGCGCACCAGGGTTCGGAGTCATCACCCGCCCAGACGGAATCCACGTTCACGTTGATCGTCGAGCTCTTTTGCCCAATCGCATCCAGGATATGTTTGGTCTCGGTAGACAACAGGCTCCTCCTTCTCGCACCCGGGATGACCCGTCTCAAGCCGTGAGCTTCGCTCTGGCGACAACCAGGAGCCGCTGGCAAGAGGAGGCCCGCATTTTGTTTAGCGGTACCTACGTGGAGAAGACCCAGCGCGTGGTCAACTCCTTGTTGAAGGTTTTGGTACCTCCTGCGATTGAAGAGGAGAAGGAACGGAAAAAGCAGGAAGAAGAGGAACTCAAGCGACGAGAGGAAGAGCGAGCCGAGCGAGAACGCCAAGAGCGAATCGCCCGTGAAGAAGAGGAGAAGGAACGGAAGCGCAAGGAGGAAGAAGAGAATGCTAAGCGACAGCAAGAGCTGGAGCAACAAGAAGCAGAGCGGCAGGCTTCAGGGGCTGTTTCCGAGCCCATGGATGACGTTCAACAGACGGACGCCTCCGGTGAACCTGCCGCAGCATCGGGCCCGGCTGAAAGTGGCCCCTCTGAGCCCGAGCGCCGAGTGCACACAACTATTAGAGGCCGTCAACTTGACATCACCGGCATGGAGATCGATCCTGAGTATCTTGAGGCCCTTCCCGAGGAGTTGAGAGAAGAGGTGATTATGCAACAACTCGCAGAGCAGCGTTCTCAAGCCACCGCGGCCGGCGAAGAGCCTAGTGAAATCAACCCTGAGTTCCTGGAGGCATTGCCCCCAGAGATCCGTGAAGAACTCCTCCAGCAAGAAGCGGCCGATCGTCGCCGCCGAGAACGTGATAGTGCACGACGACAAGCGGTACCCACGGGTGCTGCTCCTCCTCCGACTCATGCCGACGACATGGATCCTGCTAGCTTCCTTGCCACTCTAGACCCATCCTTACGCCAGGCCGTTCTTGCTGACCAGCCTGAGGAGATCCTAGCAACGTTGGGCCCGGAGTTTGTTACCGAAGCGCGTGCTCTTCCTGGAAGACGACTTACACAATTTGGTGATATCCATAGATCCGAGCATCGCCATAGACATGAACCAGCCCAGGACGACCAAGAGCCGAAGAAGCAACAACGGCGTCAAATTGTTCAGATGCTAGACAAAGCCGGCATTGCCACTTTGCTTCGCTTGATGTTCATGCCCCTGCAGGGTAATGCGCGCCATCAACTCAATGATATCCTCCACAATGTCTGCGAGAATCGCCAGAACCGAATGGAGGTGATCAGCTTGCTACTGTCTGTTTTGCAGGACGGCAGCTCCGATGTCTCTGCAATTGAGCGCAGCTTTGCTCAACTTTCGCTGCGTGCCAAACCTTCCTCGGTTCAGAAGACGCCGCAGTCTGCCAAGCGCAGCCTTGCCTTCCAGACATCTTCGAGCGTCAGCAGCGAAGTGACACCGATCATGGTGGTTCAGCAGTGTTTGGGCACGCTTTCTTTCCTTTCTCAGTACAACCCTCATATTGCGTGGTTTTTCTTGACTGAACATGACCCCTCGTCGACACTCAAGTTGAAGGCTTTCCGCAAGGGCAAAGGCAAGGAGAACAAGGCCAACAAGTTCGCTCTTAACGCGCTGCTCACTCTACTGGATCGGAAGTTGATCATGGAAAGCCCCAACTGCATGGAGCAACTGTCCAGCCTCCTTAGCAGCATTACGCAGCCTCTCACCCTGCTTCTGCGTCGCGAGAAAGAGAAGCAAGAGGAAGAAGCTAAGGGCAAGAAGGCTGAAAAGACTGAAGATCAAACACAACCGGAGGATCAAGAACAGCGCCCTCAGACTTCAGAAGCCACGGGACCTCCGGACGCAACCATGACGGATGTCCCAGAGGGCACCGACTCACAAGGCGCAGTTGACTCGGCTCAGACTCAAGAGAACAAGGCGACCGAAGACAATAAGACCGAAACAGCCAAGGGAACGACTCAAGAGGAAAAGCACAAGAAGAAAACCATCGAACCCCCTGTTGTTCCCGACCACAATTTGCAGCTGGTGGTCTATATTCTGGCTGCGCGTGAGTGCAATGGCAAGACATTCCGGGAAACACTGTCGACCATCAACAACCTTTCGGCCGTCCCAGGGGCAAGAGATGTCATCGGAAATGAGTTGGTCAGCCAGGCTCAAACATTGAGCACCACTATCTTGACCGACCTGGACGAATTGTTGACCCACATCGACCAAGCTCAAACTGGCACTGATATGCAGGGCCTGGCTTTGGCCAAGTTCTCGCCAGCAAGCTCCGACCAGGCGAAGTTATTACGCATCCTGACGGCCCTTGACTATTTGTTTGATCCGAACCGTGCCGACAAGGTCAAAGGTGCTGAGCCCGATAACACGTCCAAGGAAGATGTTTTGCAAACCTTGTATGAGAGTTCGACGTTTGGACCTTTGTGGACCCGGTTGGGTGAATGCTTGACCCTCATTCGGCAGAAGGAGAACATGCTGAACGTGGCTACTATTCTCCTGCCTCTGATTGAGGCCTTGATGGTTGTGTGCAAGAACACCACTCTGAAGGATACTTCGCTTTCCCGGAATAGCCGAGAATTGTCTGTGTCGAGTTCTTCGGTTGAGGCTGGCGTGAACATGGAGAGCCTCTTCTTCAAGTTCACTGAGGAGCACCGCAAGATTCTCAATGAACTTGTTCGTCAAAACCCTCGCCTGATGAGCGGCACCTTCTCCCTGCTTGTGAAGAATCCCAAGGTCCTGGAGTTTGACAACAAGCGCAACTACTTCACGCGCCGAATCCACTCCCGCGGTGCCGAACCTCGTCACCCTCATCCTCCTCTCCAGCTCTCTGTCAGGAGAGATCAAGTTTTCCTCGATTCGTTCAAGTCTCTCTATTTCAAGACGGCGGATGAGCTGAAATATGGCAAACTGAATGTTCGCTTCCATGGAGAAGAGGGTGTTGATGCCGGAGGTGTGACAAGAGAATGGTTCCAAGTGCTTGCTCGTGGCATGTTTAACCCCAACTATGCCTTGTTCATCCCCGTTGCTGCCGATCGCACGACCTTCCATCCCAATCGCCTGAGTGGTGTCAACTCGGAGCACCTGATGTTCTTCAAGTTTATCGGACGCATCATCGGCAAGGCCTTGTACGAGGGCCGAGTCCTTGACTGTCACTTCAGTCGTGCGGTTTACAAGTGTATTCTCGGTCGGTCAGTGTCTATCAAGGATATGGAAACGCTCGACCTCGACTACTACAAGTCTCTTCTCTGGATGCTTGAGAACGACATCACCGACATCATCACCGAAACTTTCGCCGTGGAGACCGATGACTTTGGAGAAAAACAGGTCATTGATCTTATCGAGAATGGAAGCAACATCCCGGTGACTCAAGAGAACAAGGAGGAATACGTGCAGCGTGTTGTCGATTATCGCTTGGTCAGATCCGTCAAAGAGCAGCTTGACAACTTCCTCAAAGGTACAGTTTATCTTTGGATTGCGAATCATTTGGTAAAGCTATGGCTAACATGCGATTTGCAGGATTCCATGAAATCATTCCGCCCGATCTTATCTCCATCTTCAATGAACAGGAGCTTGAGCTGTTGATCTCTGGCCTTCCCGAGATCGAGGTGGATGACTGGAAGGTCAACACCGAGTACCATAACTACTCGGCCTCGTCGCCCCAAATCCAGTGGTTCTGGCGTGCCGTCCGTTCCTTCGATAAGGAAGAGCGGGCCAAGCTGCTCCAGTTCGTCACAGGCACAAGTAAGGTTCCACTCAACGGCTTCAAGGAACTAGAAGGTATGAATGGTGTGAGTCGGTTCAACATTCATCGCGATTATGGCAACAAAGATCGCCTTCCAAGCTCTCACACATGCTTCAACCGTGAGTCTCCCTCTTTGCTCCCTTTCATTCACCGTGCCGCAACGTACTGACTTGGAATAACAGAACTTGATCTTCCGGAATACGAGAGTTACGAGACTTTGAGGCAACGTCTGTATACTGCAATGACAGCGGGCAGCGAATATTTCGGATTTGCATAAATTGCTAGCGCTATCCCCTTTTGTTGGCCTAGGCCGATGACTTGACGAGTCTGCGTGTTTTGCTTCATAATTTTTTTTGTTTCTTTGTTTTTACTTTGTCTTTGCTCTATTGCAGGTGCATTTGACGGCGTTCGACGCATCTTATTCCAACTAGTTTGTACCATTTGGGTTGATTGTTACTGGAGGAAGCGGCGGAGGAAGCGAGAGCTGTGGCCGGAACACTGGTTGAAGTGCAGGTCAGCCAGGATTCACGGTGATAGAGCAGTCAATTCTTTGGTCGCGAAGGCAAAAAAAACTTTCATTGTGTTTATCATTTGTTTCCTGGAATTTCTTCTGCATGTATGTATTCAGGGTTTGTCTACAGCAATGCAAACCAATCCACTTCGCAGCAATCGGCATGACTAAGCTCCAGGATCACATGCAGGCGGTGAGGCAACCCCGGTCACGGGACACAGCATTTTTCTGCTGGGGAAAAAAAGTCACGCGGGGCAGCTTCAGTCACCGGAGATTTCCCTTCTTCTCTCAGGCATGATCTCGCGCTGTCTACTTGTATAGCCACCCCACTCAGCTCCTGCCAACCCGCCGTCCATCCCGACTGGCCCTATTTCTCGCTCATCCCCCGCTTCCGCACAATCTCCCCCTCGTCTCTCTACCATGGCGGCCAACTCGATCAAGCTTTTGACTGGTAACAGTCACCCCGAGCTCGCAAAGCTTGTGGCTGATCGGTATGAACACTCGATGCCACTGCCTCAGAGGCGGTCGTCTTGCTGAAATCTTGAACCATTGGACTAACGGGTTACCCTTTGGGTGGGATCGACAGGCTCGGCATTGAGCTGACCAAGATCATGGTCCTCCAATACTCCAACCAGGAAACCAGTGTCACAATCGGTGAAAGTGTACGAGATGAGGATGTCTTCATCCTGCAGTCTACGCGGCCCAATGATATCAACGATGGGTTGATGGAGTTGCTTATCATGATCAACGCTTGCAAGACCGCCTCGGCGAGGCGCATCACAGCCGTCATCCCCAACTTCCCATATGCGCGCCAGGACAAGAAGGATAAGAGTCGTGCGCCGATCACCGCCAAACTTATGGCCAACATGCTCCAGACCGCTGGCTGCAACCACGTCATCACCATGGATCTCCACGCCAGTCAGATCCAGGGCTTTTTCAACGTCCCCGTCGATAACCTGTACGCTGAGCCCAGTATGCTGAAGTGGATCCGGGAACATCTGGATGTGAACAACTGCGTCATCGTGAGTCCCGATGCGGGCGGTGCCAAACGGTAAGGAAACGCAACATGCGACCCCCGCGCTATCTCCCACGACCCATCGTTGACCGGTTTTTGTTCAATGTTCACAGTGCCACCGGCATTGCCGATCGCCTGGATCTGCAATTCGCTTTGATCCACAAGGAGCGTCCTCGCCCCAACGAAGTGTCGCGAATGGTTCTTGTCGGAAACGTGAAGGACAAGGTCGCTATCATCGTGGATGATATGGCGGATACTTGCGGAACCCTTGTCAAGGCCGCCGACACTGTGATGCAGCACGGTGCCAAGGAGGTCAATGCCATTGTTGTCCACGGTATTCTCTCGGGTAAGGCCATCGAGAACGTGAACAACAGCTGCCTCAGTCGCATCGTTGTCACCAACACCGTCCCCCACCAAGACAAGAAGGAACTTTGCGACAAGATCGACACCATCGACATCAGCCCCACACTTGCCGAGGCCTGCCGACGTACGCACAACGGCGAGTCCGTCAGTTTCCTATTCTCGCACGCCGTATAAGTTCCTGTCCCGGGAAAACAATAGCATGGCGTGGAACTGGGGCTGGACTGGACTGGACTGGTTTGGTCGGGAAGAGTGCCGGAGCGGGTTATCTCTTTTTTTTTCTTGTCCGAGACGAAAGAAAATGGAACCCTCTAGCCTTCCTATTGTCTACCTTCCTTGCTTGCTAAGCTAGCTAGCTAGTTCTGCACCAGTTTGACTAACTATTTTTGGGCGTGGAGAGGTATGACATGAATCCCTTTATAGACCATTGACAATGGGGTCTTTTGATGTTTGTTCGTTTGTTTGCTACAACCCTTGAATGATTGAGATCGGAGTAAGGTGGCATCTGGTTTCCGTCTCACCGACAGATTATTCTTCTTTTCTTTTCTTTTTTTATTTTTAACGCGCCTACAAGACATGATGCATGCACGAATCCACCGGAGTGGAAATGGGAACAATGGAATAAAAAAAATGAGGCCAGGGAAAAGAGACCAAAAGTTTGCTGCGCCGATTTTTTGTTTTAGACCCAGACAAACAGAATTTGTTGTATTTTTTTATGATTTATTTTTGCACTGTACATAAGTATCCTCAATATCTCAATACCTTTTTCTTGTTCCTTATTTTGGTTGTGTCAGTTTGATAGATTGTTATCTAACTTATACATGGATTGATTCAGATAGGCTATAAGTAGATATCAATGAAAATAAAAACAAGATAGAAACAAACCACGGTTTCCAAGCAATCGTATGTCCAAAGCCCAGCTAAATATAGTGTAGACCATCGGGAGTTTATCCAGCCCAAACCCCAGACCTATAATAATATACAATGCGAGCCGAAAAAACGAGCGAGAAAGAAATATACTTGGGCAATCTCAGCCCCGCTCAACAATACCTATAGTTAGACACTGATTGTTATACAACCAACCCCGGAAACAAACTAACCCTATCAATAATCACTCAATCAACTAAATCATTCACGATATCCGGATTAGAAACCCAACCAGGCCAACCCTCGCCCCCTCCCAAGTACTTCAGTACATGCAAACAAGCAAACAATCGCAGCCGGCAGACAATCAAGACCCAAGCCACTCTGCAACCCTCGTCACACATGAGGTCCAGGGAGATAAATTGCGCAATTGGAACACCTGGTTTACTAGTCCAAGCAGGGTACAAGGAGAATCACAGGCGTGAGGAAACTTTTTTTTTTTTTTGAAAAAAAAGAAAAAAGCCAAAAGAAAAAAAAAAAAAAAAAAAAAAAAAAAAAAGAAATGTGAGGATGAAAAAAGTACGGGGTTATTCGCGTACTAGGTGTTATTCCCGATCCCTTGACCGTGGTCCTGGGGCAGGGAGGGTGGTACAAGATCTGTTTGCTTGGTTATTCCGGGTTTATATTATGTATGTGCGTAGATTTATGTTTGTGGAAGAGGGATTGATATCTTTGTGCTGTCGGGTGTTGATGTTAAGGTAGACAGACACCAAAGAGATACGATAGGACGGGTATAAATATAGCAAGTGGAAGGAGAACTTAAAACAGAGAGATGATATTCGCACAAAACAATAAGGAAGAGTTAAACAAGCATAGAGAATTCATTTCATTTCCTTTTTTGCGGAGCTCCCGAAAAGAAACCACATAAGTTACGCTTCCCCAGCCCCGTTGGAATCGTTAACCTGCTGTTCTGTCTCCATGGTCAAGGCAAGAGGAAAACCCCAAGAGACCGAAAGGAAATCGACCTTCAATCTTTGATAAAGATTTCTTCCCTTTCATTTCCACATACACTTCGTTTTGGTATGGAATATGGCTTTTCTTTTCTTTTTCATATGTAGATAAAAAAAATCTGCACGCCAAAGTCTCTTGTCATCCTGGGTCACACCCTTTGTCTTTCACCTGGAACTCAACAAATAAGAAAGAAAAAAAAAACCCTATTCCCGGTCCGACGCTGAGATTTTTTTTCCTAGCCATAATAGAGACGTAACCCGACCATTAAACCCCCGGTGAAAAGAACATTTACTTTCTCATCGAAGACGCCCTGCGCTTGCGGAGCTCGTCACGCTTGGCCTTCTCCTCGTGGACACGGCCGGCAAGGAGCTTAGCGTAGTCGTTACTGTTGGGGTCAGAGGTTAGAATCATTTCTAATGATATTCTTCTTTTGATACTTCAAAAGAAGAAGGGGGAAAGGGCGGCTTACGCAGCCTCGCGGGAAGCCTCAGCGCGGCGGCGCTTGATGGCGCTCTGGTGACGCTTGCGCTGGAGACGCTGGGGAGTAACCAGACGCTGGATCTTGGGGGCCTTGGTGTAGTCCTGCTTGCCCTCGCGGGTGACGGTACGGCGGATGACGAACTGGCGGACATCGTCCTTCTTGTCGAGACCGAAGAAACGGCGGATCTTGGTGGCACGCTTGGGGCCGAGTCTCTTGGGGACGACGGTGTCGGTGATACCGGGGATCTCACCCTCACCCTGCTTGACGATGCTCAGGGCGAGAACGGCAAGGTCGAAACCGGTGATGGCTGCAGAAAACTCGCGTCAACGAAAACCATTCTCTCTTTTCTTCCATGCGCAACGGGGGTTTCTATTCTCGGGTTGCGAACGTACCACCACGGACACTCTTGCGCTTGCGCTCTCCGGTGCGGCGGGGGCGGTAGCAGCTGTGGCCTTCGGCAAGGAGAAGACGGGTACGGGTGGGAAGGAGAACTGGAAGAATTATCGATGAGTCTCTGGTTTCAATGTTGTTGGTTGTTGGTTTCGTCGAGTCGGTCGGTACATACCACCCTGCTTCATGGGGAAACCTGAACAAAGTTAAATGTTAGCAAAACTGTTCCTTCTCGAGTCCTTGGCCCTGTTGTATCTCCGATTTCCGAAAACCCCAGCGTTCTTCCTTCGCCCGCTCACTTCATCCATCGGCATGATATCCAGGGTGTAAAGTCCAGTCGTACCTTGCTTATCGTTACCACCGGTGATCTTGAAGAGGTAACCCTTGAATTCGTCGCCGAGGGACTCGCCGGGAACCTGAAGATAACCCTGATCAGTCTCATGTTTTCCCGCAATGATCAAAATCGATGGTGTGTAGACGTCGGTGCCCATAAAACGAGGAGAAACAGAATTGAATCGTGTGTTTCTTCCGTTCGTTTGCGAAAGGCGCCTGGATGTGTGTTTTCAAGATTCAAGGGAAGGGTTGCTAACTTCGGTTCCCATGCGCTTCTCCATGAAGGGACGGAGCTTGCGCTCATCATCGACCTCGATGATCTTCTGCGACCCATTGGCCGGGTAGGAGATGTTGAGCTTCATCTTGACGGAGCTGCGCGGTCAAGACGGAGGGCGCGGGTTTGTCGACAGGTCGAGGTGTTCAGGATCTCGTCGGGGATTCGTCTTGTGGAATTTTTGGTGGTGTAGCGAGATTTCCCTGTGTGGGTGGCTGACTCATCCCGCTAGCCTGCCCGGGACTAGCGCTCGGTAGGGCTTCTTATGTCAGCCACTAGCACTTCTTCGAGACTAGCGCTCCTCTGGGTTCACACAGTTGCTGATGCCTGACAGAATAGGCTGCCAGGCACTGATGCCGCCCGGCGTCTTTTTCGGCTTCTTTCGTCTGCCGGACGGAGTCAGTCAGTCGTACTTTAAGGTGGTATACTCCGTAACCCCCTCTTTACTTCGGCCATGTGATATTCCTCCAGTTCTATGAAGCCCTGGATTCGTGCTCTCGCAATGTGACATAACTGCGGGATTATACATCCATCACCGACCGCGTACGTGGTGGCTGCTAGTATCCCGTATCCCGTACTACGGAGTCGAGTTATCACCAACGGCGGTTGCTTATCGGCGCCGGGCTTTCAGCTTGGGCCCCCAGCCCGCCGCACCCGTGCGTACTGCGCCTGCTACCATTGAACAGTGGACACTGTGTCCATCGTCAACCTGAACTACTTCCCCCATGCCAGTCAGACTCTCCCTACCCTGGCACACCGCCGCGGATGGCACGGAATACTCCGTCGATGGGCCAGAGATCGCATGGGGTTATCCAGCGACGCACGGGGTGAGAGACTAGAGGACTCCGTAGATGGCCGAATAGCGTCATCGGATGGCGGATGGGACCCGTCTGCTTACTTAGTGTCTGGCTCTCTTTGTCGGGCCAAGACAAACGCCATGGGGGGCTCGGATCGGTCGGTTCGCTGGCTGGGGACTGATCGTGTTTTGTTTATTTGATGTTCATTTTTATTTTTGCTGATTATTACTCCGATGGATGCTACGAGGTGCAGGCTCGATGGAGATGTTGATAGTGGAGGAGGCAGGCTGACGCAAGAGCGCACGCGACGGGTTAACCAATCCGGTTTGGATTGACTTGCCGCAGCCTTATGGAGAATTTCATGCCGGGAATTTTAAGAAGGAAAAAAGAAAAGGGAAAAGAAAAAAAAAAAAAAGGAGGAAAGGGAGGGAAATGCAATACGGGGTAAACAATAATTCAAATCAGAATTCGATCTATTTCGGTCCTGCTGTCAGAGCAGAAAAATCAAAGGTTGGCGGTTCGCTTTCTCGCCCCCATCGCCATCCACGTCTTGTATCGAACACTGCCATCTCTCGGATCTCTGACTGTAATCTCTGACCCTCGGACTCTCCTTTTTTTTTTTTTTTTTTCTTTCTTTCTTTCCCTCTTCTCTCTCTTCCTTCCCTGTCTCTCCTCCTTTTCCCCCTCGCGGTTTTCTTTTCCATCCCCCGTCTGTTCAGGGATTTATTCCACACCAACGCTATTCTTGCCCGGGAGGAGAAATCTTTCGTTGCCTTCTCTCTCCCCACCCACTTGGGCTTGCCAGCGCACGCTAGTTTCTCCTGACTCTGCATCCTACCGTCGGAGATACGCGCTTATCCTCATCTTCTTTTGATTCAGGGGAACGTTCCATTTGACCTGATTCAGCTCCTTTCGTTTCCATCTTGACTGACGACTTTTTCTTTTTCTATTAATCTTATTTTTTTGTTGCCTTCTAGCCTGTGGAACGGCACACCACAGCGGGTCGGGCCTAACGTTCACCAAACCGACGGATGCAAGCAGCAGGCAAAAGAAGCTGAAGAATCAGAACCAGGAAGTATAGGGAGTCCAGCTATCCAGCTGATCAGTCGACCGCCTCCGCAACAACTATACCGCCATCCGATTTGCCCTGTCGCACTTTCATTCTTTTTGTGTCGCAACCATGATTCTCTCCTCGATGCGACTGTTCAACAAATTCCACGCCGTCTGCGCCTTAGCTGTGTGCAGTATCCTTCTTTCGGCATGGCTTCTCGCCTCGCAACACTACTACCGCCGAGTGGCCTCGACCGACCCCGCAAATGGCTTCCGCGCCGCTAAGACTTTCGACCGGAGATTAGTGGTCTTTGGCGATTCGTGGAGTGACGACAACAATGGAGGTGATGAAGTTCAAGGGTCCGTGTGGACAGAATGGCTTTGCTCGATGGTATGGAAACCTGCCTGACTGGAGAGAGAAAGAAAAAAAAAAGGAGAAAAGAGAGACAAACGACCAAAAGTCAAACACAAAAACCAAGTTGATGGCATGCGCTAATACCCAATTTTTTAGTTTTCGTGTCACCATGAAAATCTGGCAGAGACAGCCAAGTCGCTCCGCGGCACTCAGATTGGCTCGGTCGTGGATAACTCTGAGCTCTCAGGGATCTTGCTCAGCCTGTCCAAGTCGCCGGTGGCGGATTTCAAAACGCAGATGAACCGGTGGACGGCTGCGGAGTCCCAGGTATTGGAGGAATTGGCCGGCGACGAAGCCGCCATCGCCAGTCGCTTGAATCACACCATAGTGGCCGTGTCCTTTGGAGTGTGGGATGTCTGGAACATGATCGGGAAGGACTACGACAGCGCCGTCAAAACCGTCGATCACAGCGTGGAGACCATTATGGACCAGTTGGACTCGTTGTCTCGGGCTTTGGGCACGGACGATCTGAAGGTCATTCTGACGCTGGCGCCAGATGTGACCTTCCTGCCTGCATTCAAGGGCGCAGCGGAGCAGCGTGTCACTCGCCACAAGGACACCGTCCGGGTCGCGGAGTACTGGAACAAAAAGCTCCGGGAATCGGCCGAAAAATGGGACCACGGCTTGATCTACCTCTTCGACACCAATGCATTCCTGGTGGATCTGATCCGGGATCGGCAGCTTTATGACGCCGGCATTGAGGAGCCCAATGGACTTGGAAAGAACGCTGACCCCGGATGGGAAAACGTCGACGACTCCTGCGTCGAAAACGGCAAGCAGGTAGTGATGACATCAGAGGTCAAGCGATGTGAAACTCCGGAGAAATATCTCTTCTGGTAAGAACAAGGGCCTGACAGGCTTCCCCCATTGACTCGATCTAGACTAACGCGGATCCTTCAGGAACGATATGCATCTGGGCCCGTCAGCCCACCGTCTCATGGGCACCGAGGTGTTCCACGGAATTGAGAAGATGTGGCTCAAATAAAAAAGAAATCGATCAGAAATCAAAGCAAGACCGTCGGCTGTTCATCACCCACAACGGATGGGATTTATCCGATTCCAAATGTAAATTGCTCCCCGATCATGGTGTGCGCGTTTTTTGTACATACAGTAAAAAGACTAGGATGGCGGCTGGTTCCCGAATTCCTGACCCGATCAAACGCGCGGAGGTGTGTGAGAGAGCGAGACAGGGCACGAGCGAGCGGCCGAAACAGGGACGCGCGCAGTCCATTACTGGTGAGCCCGCAAGGCAGTCCTTTGTACAGCCGATCTGACCTAATGTGTCTAAGACTTGGCTTTTGGGAAGCCAATCTGGGGCTTGGAGGGCGTTGTGTCATTTGTGGCTTCGCGAGACAAAGTAGCCTTCCGAATTAAATGAAAGGATCATCAAAGACAAAGCCCAGTTGCATACCAATAACATTTCATCTCCAGCTCAGGACACCACACAGAAAAGGGAGGATAAAAAAAAAAGAAGAAAAAGAAAAAAGCAAAAGATTTCCGGTCGGGGAATTGTCAAGGTGGTATGTCTCATCATCTCCCAAGGGAGAGGAAAGGGAAAAGTGACATCTGCACATCGTCGATTGCAACGTGATTGTGGAGCGGATCGGAATGCGATCGCCGAAAAGGGATCGACCCAAGATGACAGGGGCTGCAACATCAACGTGTCACTGGCAAAGGGTCCTCTTTTTTTTTTTTTTTTTTTTTTTTTTTTTTTTTTTTTTTTCTATCTGCATTATTCTATCTCCCCGGGCATCTCGGGGATTCCGATGAGAAGGGTGGATCATGGAAAGGGAAGAAGACCGAAGGAAGAAGAAGAAGAGAAGGGGAAAGTTCCTTTTCTTTGTGAGGATGACGGAGGGATTTGCGGCGCAGGTGTCTGTGGCCGGATCAGCCTGCCTGCCTTACGGACCATGTCGGCCGGATTGCCGTCGCTGGGTTCATTTAATTAGAGGATGATTTCCACCTCGTTTGGCTTCTTTGTTTCGACTAATGGATGGCGTAGGAACGAGGTCAGCGGTACCTCCTCGCTGGGAAATAGTCTGCGGCACTTGCCTGAGCGGTGCTAGTGAAAGAAAGAAATCGTACTTCCTCAACGAGGGAGCTCCGGGTCGAGCTCACCTGACCCGATCAGGCAAGTGTCACTGGCCGGGGCGGGGCGTCAATCATCGGGGAGTGATGGCCGCCCTGCCTGCTGATTGGCCCGGGACCCCTGCAGCACACCGCATGCGGGCGCCGGACAGACAAAGGAAAGCTAAACCCAAACATTGAAACAATACCTTCCCTTCTTTCTCTTCCCTGCGCCTTCCCTGTTCTCTTCCCCCCCTCTGCCTCCACTCTGCGTTCAGTGTCCGACTGGCAAATCCAACGCTATCCCGTTTCGTGGGAACGAGGTTGAAAGGAGGGGAATCGATGGATCGATTGCTCTGGACTGGTCCAATTGTGGCTGACTCTTTCGCCTTTCACCTGTTGCCAACCAACTGCACTGCGTTGGTGTCACTCGCTAGTCGGCATACCATGCGGTCCTTTTTTTTTTTTTTTTTTTTTTTTCCCCTTCCCTTCCTCCTGTTCTCCTTTCTCTCCCTGTCTCGTCCCCGAGAGGTTCCTAGGTACCGAACGTTGTATGTGTCATTACACCATTGCACTTGTACCTGGCCCCAGCTCCGGTACCTTTGGTTCACCTCGTCCATTTGGCCCTCTTGCATGCACCCGGTCTCGGAGTCTGCTCCAATAGTTCCCCAGTCATCGGGATCTAGGTGAAATTGCTACCTCCCCTACCTAGCTACCACCTCTTCGCCGTATTAGTTCCAGGTGATGTTCCATTGTTCGAATTTTCATGCTCCAATTAATTGGACAAAAATCCTTTTCTTTTTTTTTTTCTTTGACGAAATAACCAACAGCGTGTCAGTATTGGGAAAAGGTGGTGGGGGCACCCAAGGGGAGGGTTCCGAGGGGATGTGATTAGTTGTGTTAGTATCCAGCCAGAAGAGACAAAGAAACCCGGTTCCTTAGGCTGGTTCAGGAGGAGGGGGCGAGCAGAGCAAGGCCAGGCAGGGTCATTAAATGGCACCAAACATAGATTTGCAACAAAGCACTTGAAAAAGCCAAATCCTGGCTTTATCATCGGCCTCCCTCCCACCTGGTTGGTTCGGTCTGAATAGAAACATTGTCAAAGAAGAAAAAAATAATAATAACAAGCCATATTAAAATTTAATTTAAAAAAAAATTGGAAAATAACACCAGAGAAAAAGACAAGGAAAAAAAAGAAAAGAAAAGAATAAGATAATAAAGAAAAAAAAAAAAGAAACCTAACCTGATATCTTTTGGAGCAGACAGAAAAAAAAAAGGGCTTCTTTCCTGCGTCAGGATTCGCTCTCTATAACCTTATATCTTGTTTCTTTCTTTCGCCTCGTTCCTTTTTTTTTATTCTCCCTTGTCCTGGTCTACTCTGCTATAATCAGCTGCTTTCATCTGATGACCCCTTCTTTCAGCCCGTCAATCCGATACTCTTGCCAGCAGAAGAGGGGTCTGACTATTCTTTCTTCCATTCTTAAATGTCTTACGATCGAGTTCTCCCCAAGCCGGCTGCTTTACATTATGATTCTCCGCAGGCCACTCTTTCCAGACCAACAAGTAATCTTCTCGAGCACAAGATCATGAACGACGAGACCTCTCAACTGTCCGCGATGGATCATCATGTCGAAAGCATGCCTGTCGGGGCTTCCTGTCGCTATCCCACCGACGGGTTGCCGCAAGTTCATCTGTCCTCCATCAACCGAGCTAAGATCGCCTTGAATAAAATCGCGTCCAGTGCTCCGTTCGAGCCTCCAAAGCCCAAGACCATTCCCTTTCGAGAACGCACTTCAGCATCGGAGCGCTCTTCTTCTTCCAGCCCGGTGAAGTCCACCGCCTCTAGGGAGCCTGTCACGCAATTCTGTCTCTGTCAACCGGACCCCAAGATCCCTAGACCTCGCAATGGTAAGCTTCACGGTTACCTTGGATGAGCCTATTTATATCACTTGGACTGCAGAAAGCTAACCTTTTCTGCAGCCTTTATCTTGTACCGCCAGCACTATCAAGCATCGGTAGTGGCACAAAACCCAGGTCTTGCCAATCCCGATATATCCAAGATTATTGGAGAGCAGTGGAGAAAGCTTCCTCAAGAAGTTAAGGACGAATGGAAGTCCCTGGCGGAGGTAAGAGGATTGAATGGCAACCTGTTTCGCCTATGGTCATGCTCACAAGCACGACAGGAAGAGAAAGCCCGTCACCAACAGCAGTATCCCGAGTACCGATACCAACCTCGCCGCTATGGTCGGGACGGCAACATTCGAAATGTGAGCTCTGGCATCAGTCATAACCCTCCCGGTTCTACGGTCTGCAATCGCTGCGGTGGCCGGGTCATGAACCCACCGGTGTCTCCGGAAACGCCTTTTACCCCCAACGGACCATCGAATCTAAATGGGTCCACCTCGCAGCCGGATTCAATCACCGTCCGCAGCTATCAATGTCGGACAAAGGACCCCGATCGAGCTCCAAACCCTATTAAGATAGGAACGAGCGGCGCCGAGCCACTTCCACCTCGTCGAGGTCATTGGGAAGAGAATGGGAGTCGGTCTCCTGACTCGAAACGTCGCCGATTTAACCCCCAAGGGATGTTTAAGCCCGGCATTCATCGTGAAAAAAGCCCAGACACTCAATACCCGATATCACCGTATACGCCTCGCGCGGATACAAATCCTCGGGGCTTTCAGATGCTCCAGCCACCCCGGCCGTATAGACACATGAAAGATTATCCTACGCCGGACCCCAGCCTGAAGCTTCCGCCATTGCAACCGAGTGCGTCATCGGCCGGTAACATGACGCCAGTGACCCCCTTTTCCCAGGATAACCCGGCTAGTTTGGAGGCTACGGTGATGACCATTCCCTTTCTGAACAAGATCAAAGTTCTCGCCAAAATCTCGCCTCCTCTGGTACCGTCATTCCGCGAAAACGCCATACAACGGCGAGGACCCGTTATCGCCGTAGATGGACAGGACCCTGCTGCGGTGAGGATGATGGTCGACTATCTCAACCATATGCTGCAGAAAGAGGGAAAGTACCACACGCGGATTTTTGGCGGGCCCGACATTCGGCAGAGGGAGGGTTACTCCGAGTCTGGACAGATGGGAGACGCCGCGGTGGAGTATCTGAACACGATCTCCGTATGGCACCGCATTTCCGACGAGATTGTGAGCTTTATCAAGACCTCGCCTGGATCTCCGGAAACGAAGCAGGCAGAGGAGGGCGATAGTCCGCCGGGGGTGTCCCCGAAGGGCATCATTCCCAAGACAGCTGACATGCAAATCAGCTCGCCTGCCCCGCCCAGTGAGAGCGGATCGGTATCCGTCTCTTCATCGTCGGGAACGATGTCTTACTCTGTTCCGGTAGCCATCGTTCCTCGGTATCAGCTTACCACGGCAGACGCATTCGCTTGCTCGGTGCCTATCGATGACTCCTACGCGCCACTGGATCATTGGCAGTGGATGGCATCTCTCTGGCGCGGTTGTGTCGGACCGGACATCACCGTGTACATTCGGGAGTGTGAGAAAGACGAGACGGAGCGCTTTGCAGGGAACCCGGTTGAGGTACGACTGCAAGATGCGCGAACCGTTGTTGTCCGCCGGGGGGCGGGTTCCCCGAAAGAACTCGAGGAGAAATCCATGAAACGCGTTGGATTTGAAATTGAAGATTTTCTCACTCAATAATATTTAGTACGCTTTTTTCCTTTTGTTTTCTGTTTTTTTAGTTTTTTGGGGCGGGGTTTGTTTATTGCCCTTTTCTTCTTTTTTCTTGTCTTTTTCTTGGTGTTTTCTTAGGGATAGGCTCTTTGTTTTCTCGTGGTTGGTTAGCATTTGCAGCAAGGCTGTATGTGGGATTGGCTTTTTGATTACAGATTACCCACATGACGTTGATTTCAACCGGAGGCTAGTACCTACTTATGTTTCAATTTCGTTGAGATTGCGGTGTTTTTGATGCACAGGACTAGGACATGGCATACATATTTATTTTGTTACCGCGTTCATTAGTAGTACCTACATTTCAATTGTTCCTGCACATTTATTGGGTGTTTATTCAAGGAGTCTGCCGTAATGAGAGCTTTCCACTTGACTGGAACTGCATAAGAATTAACACGAGAATGTCTGAATCGGACTCGAGAACCTTGGAAGTGAAGTCGGGTTGTCTCTCGTATTGCCAGATTCACTTGAACTGCCGGCCTCCCCGGAAAGGAAGGCTGAAGGCGGTCAGCCCCCTGACCAATGGGCGGCCGTCGATAAACCGGGGCTGGGGCTGAGTCTTATCGCGGCTTACGTAAGTCAGGCCAGGCCGTCAAGATCATCTGCGCGACAAATTCCGTTTTCTTCGCTCGCTTTTCCTCCGTGAATGCGATTGCTGTGAGAGATGAGGCAGTGCCCCGGGGAGACACTGCAGCAGGGTATCCTGATTTAGAATGATGATGAATTGCAATTTATCCCGCTTGTCTTTATCTTAAACACTACTTCGGCTGCTCATCGTCAAGTGTCGGGAGTTCGTCCCGCGCCAATACCTACTACTACTACTCTATCCCACCCCTGCTTTTGTGTTCCAGCCTGACAAAAGACGCTCGTTTTCCTTGAAGTTCTTGTCTTCTTGGCATTTCCCAGCTTTTTTGCAAGCGTCCAGGGCGAAGAAGCTCTTTCAACATCATGACATCTCGGCATCGGTCTCCTTCCGCTCAGGAGTCTTCAACAGAGTCGGTGTCTGCCGTCTCTACTCCCGCGACTTCGGTGTCTGATCAGCTCACGAGGTCTCCGGTAGTGGGATTCCAGCCGCTAGTTTTCCCTGAATCACCACAGCCCGTGGCGTATGACCGGAGCGCATACATCCCAGTGGGTGTTCTGAGAAGGCACAACGGCCAAAGCACAACTTTGGTGGCGGCAGAGGACCGGGGGGACAACTATCCCCAGAATGAGGTCTCCTATCTAGAGGACAATCAATGGATATGGACCAGCATCTATGACTATCACAGATTTCCTGACTGGAGTTTTGTTCGTGTATACATTTTACCCGATGACAGAGGGCGCAGCGAAATTCCACGATCAAGCCCGTCTCTAAGGCGCGCGCTTAAGATCGTCATGGCTAGAATCGACCCGGGGCCTGCCGCCTGGGCCGGCTACGTGCCTCCAGACTGGATCCAGAATCCGAATCGGAATCAACATGTCAGTGAAAACTCACAAGATGAGTCATTGTGGTATATCTTCAATACCCTTAAGAACCCGGAGCCCAAGGTTGAGAACATGGAAAATCCATATGCGAAGAGCGCCATGGAGTCATTGCTGTCCGCTACTGTTCCTAGAAACCGTGGTGAAAACGGAACAACAACAAACGCCGTCCCTGCTCTCATGGGCCTCAAGACGTCGTTGCACCTATACCAGCGCCGTTCAGCTGCCACCATGGTTCAGCGAGAGGCGCAACCGGCGCAGATGTTGGATCCAAGGCTGCTGACATATACCACTCCAACAGGGCTAGAGTACTACTACGACAAGGAAGAAGGCACTATCGTTCGCGAGAAAAGGTTGTACTCAGAGGCTTGTGGTGGTATGCTAATCTATCATCTCCTGGTTCATTTTTGGCCAAATTCTGATCTTGTTTTTTTTACTAGGCATTCTTGCAGAAACCATGGGCTGCGGAAAGACTTTGATCTGTTTGGCTGTCATCCTGGCGACACGTGGACATTTCCCTCAAATCCCCTTGGAGTATCAGGAGATGACGAACCCTGTCCGTGAGAAAACAGCAAGTCTGGCCCAAATGGCAGCCGCAACTGCAGGTCGGTTCTCGCTGCCGTGGAAAAACCAATTCACGTCGTTGGGCCAGGAAGGCTCGTTTTACACTACATGCATCAAGGCTTGCGAAGAAAACTGCGGAGAATACACCATCCCACCGCCGCCGGCAAGACACAACAGCAGAAATGGAGTGCCCTACCCCAGACCTTCCCCCTTGCGTCTCCGCTTATGCTCAGCAACCCTGATAATTGTGCCCCCTAATCTTGTGAATCACTGGTTGAATGAAATTCAGCGTCACACCGAAGGGCTCAAGGTATGCGTTTTACGCGACAGCTCCGATGCGACCCCTTCCCCCGAGGTTCTTCTACAGCAGGACATTGTTTTGTTTTCGCGAATTCGCTTTGAAAGAGAAGCGGGCGACGCGCTACATATCAGACGTCAATCAGGAAACCTCGAAGACTCCCCCCTGACCCGAGTCCACTGGCTTCGGATCATTGTCGACGAAGGTCACAATGTGGCTGGCCACGGACACCGTACCAACATGGTGCATATGATTGATAAACTTCACGTCGACCGCCGGTGGATTGTGTCGGGAACACCGTCTAGCGGATTGTACGGGGTGGAGGTTAGCCTGGCTTCGCAGGAAACGAACACCAGTGACACAGACGTAACCGAGGCCACCACAGCCGTGCTTGACGGGAGGAGAAGAACGGGAAATTCCGTCGATAGCGAGCTCAAGGATCTTGACAAGCTCAAACTCATCGTCACGCAGTTTCTTGATGTCAAACCATGGTCGAATTCCCGCGCCAACGATCCGGCCAACTGGACCAAATACATCAAGCCCGTTGGCGAGGATGGGAGGCGCCGGAAGGCACCCTCGCTTCGTGCCACCCTGCAGGGGCTGGTGGTACGGCATCGGATGGAGACGATCCATAACCAAATCACTTTGCCGCGGTTACACAACAAGGTCGTACATCTCGAACCAACCTTCTACGACAAGCTGAATTTGAACCTGTTCATTTTCATCTTAGCGGTCAATGCGATTACGTCGGAACGTAAAGACCAGGACTACATGTTTCATCCTCGCAATCGAAAGCATCTGACCACGCTGATCAGCAATCTTCGACAGGCTGGCTTCTGGTGGGCAGGCTCCGACGGAAATCTCTCCGGGACCATCGACACCGCCCAGAAGTACCTGGAGAAGAACCGAGAGCAGATGGCCGAGGTCGACATAGCTTTGTTGACAGATGGGGTCCGCATTGCCCAGAAAGCACTTGCCTGCGAGAGCTGGAACGCCTTCAATGAGTTCCACGAACTAGGAGTCTTCCTCCAGGATTTCCCTTCGCACGCTCGAAGCCTGTGGGCGCTGACCGAATCTCGATCGCATCTGGAGCCGCTTCTCGTCGGGATTACTCAGGCCCACCACGCCCAGAGATTCATCACCGCACATTTGGACTCCTTCGATCCCGCCGAGGGCCTCGCTGGCGCCGGGATTAAAGTTCGCCATCAGCTCCAAAAGCGAAAGGAGCAGGGCTCGGAGCTTGCCAGTCCCCACAAGTTTACCCCCGATAAGCCCATCACCACCCGGTCGCCCAAGAAGACTTACCTTAAAGGGCTCTTTAAAACCCTGCCGACGGAATCTCCGCTTGCGAAGACCAAGCTGGTCGCAACGGCCTCCGCCAAGCTGACATATCTGCTCGAGCGGGTCCTCCATCTACACAAGGAAGAGAAGATCATTATTTTCTACGACAACAACAACTCGGCATTCTGGATCGCCGAAGGACTCGAGCTCCTCGGAGTCGAGTTCCGTATTTACGCCAGCACTCTGAAACCCGCTCAGCGGGCCGAATACCTCGCCACGTTCGAAGGAACCGAGGACATCCGAGTGCTTCTGATGGATCTGGGACAGGCGTCTCACGGGCTGCACATCGCCAGCGCCTCGCGCGTGTTCATCATCAACCCCATCTGGCAGCCCAACGTGGAAAGCCAAGCCATCAAGCGAGCCCACCGTATCGGGCAAACCCGCCCCGTGTTCGTCGAAACCCTCGTCCTGAAAGACACCCTCGAGGACAAGATCCTGCGCCGCCGAAAAGCCATGTCGGACAGCGAGATCCAGCATGCCGAGCGCGACCTGCTGGACGATAAAAAAATGAGCGCCATCATCCAGAACGAGCACTTCATCCCGATGCCCGAAGACGAAGACCCTGCGTCCGCGCACCTGGCGTTCTTCAAAACCCCCTCCGGGTTCTTTGACCGCCATAAACTGTCTATCCCTGATGACGGAGACGACAACAGCAACATCAAGACCCCAGAGGTCCGCAAAACCCCATCCAAGCGTAAAAGGGCTGCCCCGGCCGCTCTCGACTTCGGTGCCGAAAGCTCCTCGGGACCAGACCTCTTGACTCCCCAGCGACGCAGGTCATCCGCGGAGCCGGTCCTCTCTCCGAACGGACTCCTGATGACCCCGTCGCGACTGCGCACGAAATCACCCTGGTCCTCGCCGTCGGTGATCAGCTCAACGGACGACCATGGCGGTAGTACCGAGGACACTGCTGAATCGAGCCAAGGGCCGAAGAAAAAGAAGAAGAAGACGGTATCTATTTTCGGGTAAGATTTCTTAATGTCAATTTTCGGGGTGTACACCATTTGTTTCGGGGTGGGATGATATATGGAATGGATGAGTGATTGTCAAATGTTCACACTGGATATTCTGAATATTTGTGAGTAATTAAGATGGAGGCGAACTTGGAGCGGAAGTCACAGATTAAAGAGATTTCGATTTCGGGATTATGTACGCAGTCAATACAAGGGGTTAAAAGCAGATCGAAGATTGTCCATGGATTTTTCTTGATTAATTCCTTCCACGACCAAGGTAGAAGTCCACGCAGTGTAAATATCAGATAGCGAAATGATGACAGAGACAGAAGTACACTGTCGAACAAAGTGGACCCAGAGTGGGTCAACCACTTTATGAAGTGTTGGCTATCCAAAGATCATCTATCTTAAAGTGACTCCGTGCCCGGAGTCCGGAGTAGATTTCTTGGAAACTTATATAAATGGAGTTGTACACGCGAAATAATCAACTAACTCAGTACATCAGAATAGAATAAAAAGCTATACCTACTATCTGACCTCCAACCCCATCATCACCAGATCTTTAAAACAAGCCCCAAGCAAGTTATGACGACAACAATAACATGCTACAGATAAACCCCGATAACGATACCGATAAAGCCTGGTTATCACCACGTGATGCCCCTCCATCGCTCTCCTCTCCGCTCCGCTCCCCGCCGCATTTCTCAAACCCCCTCCTCGAGATAGATCGCATCGGCACTAGTCCCTGGGAAATCCGAGACCAGGAGAGCAGAAATGGCTACGATAATCGGGATCTCGGGGCCTTCCTCATCGGGCAAAACCACCCTGACGAGACTGTTGCACCGGATCTTCAATTCCACCTCCCCAACAACCAGCGCGAATTCCAATGCCAGTGACAATGCCAACTCCAACCCTTTGAAAACATTCATCATCCACGAAGATGACTTCTACTTCCCTGATGACCGGTAATCCCACTCCATCCCATCCCATCCCAAACCCAAACCCACTCCAACCAAAGCCAACCAACGTACTAAACCCAACCCACCCACAGAATCCCCACCACCACCCTCCCCTCCGGCAAAACAATCCAAGACTGGGATTGCGCGGCCGCAATCGACATCCACCTCCTCAGCGCCTCTCTCACCTACGTGCGCACAAACGGGACCCTCCCGCCCCGTCTCCTTAGCAAAGAAGACCAGAACGAAGTCAGCGACTCGGGCGTGTCCGAGGACGTGGTTCTCGGGCTGCGGAGGAGTGTCCAGGAGCGGATTGCCGCCCGGCGCGGGGGTCAGCGCACGGTGGCGTTTCTGGAGGGGTTTTTGCTGTATGCGCCGACGGGGATAGCGGAGGCGGAGGCTGAAGGGGAGGGGGAGGGGCATCCGTTGCGAGACGTGCATGGGTTGATTGATGTGCGGTTGTTTTTGCCGGCGCCGTATGACCAGGTGAAGAGGAGGAGGGAGAGTCGGAGTGGGTATGTGACGATTGGGCCGGCGCCGACGCCGACGGCCACGACGAAGGAGAGCGCGGGGGAGGAGGAGAGGGGGGAAGTGGATTTGGAGGGGGAGGATGATCGGCCGCCGCAGAATTTCTGGACGGATCCGCCGGGATACGTGGATGATATTGTGTGGCCGCGGTATGTGCAGGATCATGCGTGGTTGTTGCTCCCGGAAGGTGAATCGGGACAGGGAGATGCGACTAGCTGTCTTGGAGTCGATCCTCAGGAGGTGGTTAAGCTGGTGGGACAAGGCGTTAATGTGAGGACCGATGCTGGAGTTACGGTGGCACCCGGTCAGGGAGATATACCGATGGTGGACATCCTGCAGTGGGCAGTGGAGGAGGTGATGAAATATCTGGAGACTTCACAATAGAACGAGTAGACCAATTTCAGCTGCATATCACATGTGTAGGTATCATTGGATATATCCTAATCGATTTATGCAGATTTAGCATCATCTTGTCATGCTCCATAATTCAATAACCCTGCCTGTTGTACTGGTAAAGATCTCACCCGAAGAAAGAAAAGCAAAGAAGACCATCCACCTCAGGATCTGCGGTTGACAGGCCCTTTCCATCCGAGCCAATGGTCGATCCTATCTCTGAAAGAAAGAAGTTCTGCGGCCTTATTGTCTCCGAGGTTCGCCTCCGCGTCCCCATTATCGCCATCTGTGCTCTCCCGCACCGGCCTTTCCATTTGATTGTCGCTATCTGCTTCGATGAAATTGAGCTCGACTGTTCCCCCAGGTGTGATAATAGTACTGGGGTCTTCTTTGAAGATACTATCGTCAAGACAAGCGCTTACGTTCTCGACCATCGTTCCATTTCCACCACACATTTTGCTCAAATCCAACGGATCTGATAGGTTTTGAACAGAGCTCAAGACCCCAAAGCCCGCATCTCTCACAAAGAGCCACACCACTCCCAGTAGGACACATGCAGAGCCTAAAGCTAGCATGAGATGCTTCATGCGTGAAAGTATCCATTGGTACGGGCGGGATATGAACGACATGGCAGTTACTATGCAGCCTTTGGTATGCTGTAGGATCTTAGCTCCGAGAGTCGACATCAACAAGCGAAACAGAATAAGAGCGTCAGGGGCCTCGTAGTGATCAGGACTGAAGGGGTCGGGACCGAAGGTTGCTTTTTTATCGGAAGCGTGATTTTCCTTGTCAGCATCGATCTCCTCGCGTGCTAGCTGCTTGGTCTTATCTCCAGTAACCTCAAAGAGTCCTCTACTGCTCAATTCAGTAAATGTGTCACGCAGATGATCCCGACTGCCTTTTAAGTATCTGGGGGATGCCGGGTAGATGCGAGGAAGCCAGTGAACGGCATGTCGATCAGCTGATGGAATGGACCATGTCAAACAGAACATTCCCAAATCCTTTGGTGAGCAGATCACTTGGACACGAGAAGTTCCAGCGGAGGCTGAATCGCCACTCGGTATTTTAATCATCGGCAGCCCTGCCTTTTGGTGCTCGAGTTTGCAGATGAAAAAACCATCTGGACCTCCGTCCACGTAGAAGGAAAAACCGCATTTATCGGAGCAAAGATAGCGCTGGCTCAATTTCAGCGAGCACATAGCATGATAGCTGATAGATTCATCGCTCTCTGCTTCAGAATTAACTACCGCATGATGGGCGATAACCTCTTGATCCACGATGAAGTTCTTGAGAAAGCCGTAAAATTTTCGACCACATACGCGCATTGAAATGATAAGGTTCCTGACACTGGTAAACTCAGCAAAGAAACAATCTTCCATCATCGTACAACGCTGCATATATTTAGTGCGGAATTCGAGACCACGGTCCTCCGGAAGAAGGAACAAGAAAGACCCGGTCTCTCCAGCCTGCAGACGAGGGAGCCCTGGCAGCAATATTGTGCTCCATCCTTTGACATAGTCATCATCCACGTAGACGGTAAGGTTGACGTCTATTCTGTAGGAGGCCTCTCGTGTTTTGCTGGAAAACTTCACAATGAGATCCCCATTGGAGAGAATCAATTTGGGGTCGGTCCAAGAGAACTCTATGAGTGGCTCGATCGCAATTCCATCGTCATCCTCGGTTGTCTCCTCGATCAAATAATGTTTCTCCCAAGTTCCAGGCTTGGAATTCGACTGCTTGGGTGTACTGAATAAGAGCGAGAGATTAGGTGATGCTGACAAGCCACTTGGGATACTTTCTTGGTCGTAAGGAGTATGAGCTTGAGGGTCTGGGGTACTGCAGAGCTTTTCCATCGTCGGAGTTTCCTGTCTCGGAGGTGTATTTGGCGACTCAACCACAGGGGTGGATAGCCCACAGGTATCCTTTGTGTTAGTCACATCACCTATCGCAGTCTCGCAATTATCCGAGTTTACTTCCTCCGGACGTAGCTCATCTTCACCGGTATCAGCGAGTTCTCTGTCTTCATGGGGTTGTGCTGCTGTCTCCAGCCAAGCCTTAAGACCGAGGAGTTTACCAGATTTGATACTTCCTTCTCCGAGTTTCGAAAATGAGCTCAGGGTCTTGTCGGTTTCATTGCTGGACGCTTGTCTCTTGTGAGTTGGCGTTCCATCCGAGGCTACTTCGGAATTCGTGAAGCATGCGTCCGCAGCACTCCTTTTCATCAATTGTGGCGAATGAGTCAGGTCTTCATACTCCGCAACATTGACGCACAAATCGGAGAACTTTGCAGAAACAGTGTCTTGGTACGTCCTGAGCTCTTTCATGAGGGAACGGCTTGGGAGGGGAGGCCCGTCTGGGGATGCTGAAAGGGCGTCTTCACTTTTGGGAGGTCTCTCAGCTGAAAAGCGTCGACCACCTTTTAATTTATCAGAATTCGAGATAGGAAAAGCAAACAAAGAACTGTTGTCATTCGATTCGTCCGATAAAACTCGCGCCGAAGCAGTCTTAAGAAAGATGGCTGAAGCTTTGGTGTCCAAAAGCCGCAGCTCTGTGTCCGGAGCAGACTGAACCTATCGATTCAGATCAGTACGAGGGTGAATGGAAAGCGAAAAGGTCCAGAGTCTAGCTACATCGAGAGATATCCTGAGTTTCACTGGACCCTCAAATTCCCCATCCCATGACCCAGAAATCTCAAGGTTGTGGAAATTTGGCGGCTGCACCGGTTTGGGGTCCATCCTGGCTTGCAGAGATGTACGGATTGGTCAAGAGAAAAGGAGCTGGCGGAAGAGAAAAAAGGAACAAAAGAGGACAGAGGAGAGGAAGAAGAAAGGGAGGGAGAGAAAGAAAGTGAGAGGAAGAGGAAGGAAGCAATGGATGCCCCAGGCAGGAGAGGGGGATGGTTTACGGGCATTTTCCACTTCATTTAGCTGCTGCCTTTACTCACTCAGCCGGTGGCAGAACAGTCAGATAATAATAAATCATGATGGATTCCAGAATCCTATCCAGCATGTCAGAGAGAACTGAGTTTGCTGGTCTTGAGGAAGCAAATAATAGTAATATGTACAGGGGGAAAAGCCAAACAACATCACCTGAATCAAAAGGCCGCACCGGATTGAGTGAAGAAAAGAAGAGAGAACAAAAACACCCCGCTAAGTAAGGGAATCCCTTTTTATGCCCCAAGGCGCCATGTATCCCCCAAAAACCAACCATTCTGTTCCCATAAAACATAAAATAAAACACCCATTCCACAGTCTATCCGGAATTTCTTTTTTCAAAATCACACCCAAGCGAAAAGGTAGTCGAATCCAAAACGTCCCACGCAGCACGTCACAATTCCAAGCCAACATGAAACAAAAACAGAGGGAGAGTAACGTATCGGAGCATTAGAACAAGAGCAAGAAAGAAAAATGAAAAGGAAGAGAGCCTGGGCAGGCCCGAGACAGCATCCAACCCACCCTGTCCCTCGGAGTTCAAGAGTCTCTGGGAAATTCATCGAGGGGTCTCGCTGGATGAGCCTGGATGATCGAAGGGCGTCTGGCCAGGTGCGGAACCATAACGATCTGCTTCGTTTGTGCCCATAGGTTGAGAGGGAAGGATCGGAGTAGCCGCTTGCGATGGTTGATCAAAGTAGCCCCGGGCCATAGCAGCACCGTTAGTCCCCTGGGGATAGTTGCCCCTCCGCTGCAGAGGAGGAAGGATTGTAGAGCTGCCTGGGTATTGTGCTCGCGGATACGCTTGAGGCATCATAGTTCCGGTGGAATCCGCTGTCTGCTCCAAAGAAAGGATCACATTCAACGGTCGTCAGCCATTTGTCCTTGAGAATTGGGGGTCGATGTGGTCCGTACGGGAGTACCTGTCGGATTCGCCATTCCCAGAGACTGCATCGTCGCCTGCTGACTGGTCCGGCTATGGCCCGCCGGGTCTTGCATCGGAGAAACCTGGGCCGAGGGGATACCGTATGAAATCTGCGCTCCGTGTAAGCCAGGTGCGTAGCCAGGAAATCCGAGCTCCGAAGACGTCACTGTACCCGTGGTTGGACTGTCAAATGACGTGGGAGTCGGTACGGGCTGAGGCTGACGAACCGCGTAATCAGGAACCCCCGCGTGGCCCGTGGGATACTGCATCATGGGAGTTCCATAAGTTCCGGGTTGGTTCGAGTACATGGTCGCAGCCTGCGGGTACGCCTCCATCTGACGCATTCGTCCATCGGCATCGTACATGCCCCGGTTGCCATAATCGATCGACGTGCGCTGCCGTTTGACGGGTCCCCCGTAGTAACCGTAATCTCGCCCTGCGGTTGGATAACCACCGAATGCATTTCCCGACATCTGAATCGCCGTACGATCTGGGGAGCGAGGAGGCAGCGGCTGAGGGAAATCCTCGGGTCGAGGAACCGGCCGTTTTCTGGCAGATAACCGGGTCAGCATCTTTGGATTCTTCGCAGAAGAGCGAGGGAAGAAGGCACCGCGGATTTCTCCCACTGCGCCTGCCTGCGAACTCACATCAATGTGCGGGGTTCTTTTCGGATCCTCAATTTCACGCCTTGGTCTGCAAAAGATCTGGACAAAAAGGTTGACTCCGCCATTCCCGGAAAGCTCTTAGGCGGCGATACTAAGAGAAGGGTTAGCATGCGCCGAGGAAGAACAACGGCCAAGCAAATGAAGAGCAAAAGCTCACCAGTAAAGCGCTCCGAGATGATCGATTTCAAATAATGCACCATGTCCCTGCACATGGTAATCAGCACCAACCGGTCCTGCTCATTCTGCTCGGGGGCGCGCATTCCGAATCCTTACCGGCGCATCTCAAAGAGTGTGAATTTCAATCGGTAGTCGCCCTCCACCTTCACGGACAAATCCCCAAAGACGAAGAATCCCCCATCTAGGCCCATTGCTGTCAGTCTCCAAACGTTTCCGCCTTTTCAACCCGGGGAAGTCCGGGATGCCGACTTACCGGTATTATCCACATCCTTCAGGCGATGGAGAGAGGAAACCAGGGTACCCGTCAAAGCTGTGGACGGGGACACGGGCACTGGAGTGTCTTCCGAGGCATCATACAAGCTGCAGCACATAAAATAGTAGGGACTTTGCAGATAATGTCTAGAGAGTCATCCTGGTTAGCGGACCACGAAGCCGACCTCGCTCGTTCAACGGCGGTGGCAACCTACTGCGAGAGATAAGTCCCTTCCTCTCTTACCCGGATTTGCACAATCGGTGGGGGATCCACTGGCTTGCGCTCTGTTGCAGCAACCGCCGATCACAAGTTAACCACAGCTGGCCAAAACGATGCGCGCAACACGCTTCTCGAGGCTCATTCGTCCGAAAACAACGGGTTCACGTACCTTTCTCTTTCCCACCAGCCACGCGCGCCCGAGTGGGCTGTTGGCGAATGTTCAATTCAAAATCAGAACTGGGGGACAGCATGATCAGCAGAAAGCCCTGGGCAGCTGCCAAAGAGGAGCAGGGAGGACAGCGACAGCCCAATAAATGTATGGAGGGGAGAAAGAGAAAGATAGATAGTATACACACCTGGGGGGATCGCGAGCAAGAGAGGCGTCCGCAAACGTCGACGCACTCATCAAGGCGAGATGGGCGGATCAAGAACCAGAAGAGGGAGGAACCAAAGAACCCAGGTCGGGAGATCCGTCAGAAAAGACCGTAGCGAACCACGAATAGATCAAATTAGGATAGACAGGGGAGGGGGGTGGACGGGTTGGAAAAGGGAAAGCAGTGGGAATAAAAGCGAACAAAGGACGGGGAAGAGCCGACGGGGATTGCGGCGAGGCCAAGGGTCGGACGAAGCAGAAGAAAAAAAGAAAAAAAGAATAACGAGAGCTTGGGAGGTCGCAAGGATGAGATAGTGGTTCAGCGAAGCACTAGAAGAAAGGAATGATACAAGGCAGTGGGGGGGTCGTGGAAGGGAAGAGGGGAGATGGGGTGGTGTTAAAGACGGACGCGACGGTATGATTGATTTGATTAGTTTAGGTAGGGTAGTTAGGTAGATGGGTTTAGTTTCGGAGAGCTCGCCCAGGGCCCAAGTATCCGGGGTGGAGACGGACCAGCTGCAGGATGCAGGAGTGCAGGAGTGCAGGTGTGCAGGAGCGGTGGTCGCAGTGGTAAAGTGGTCAAGTGGTAGGAGTGGACGAGTGGACGAGTGGACGAGCGCAACGGGAGGTTACTGAAAACGGCGACCCCCAAGCAAGAAGTCGTGAAGGTTGAGCAGACCAAAGGCGAGGCGAATCAACGATGGTGTCGTCAGAATGCAAGCGGCAACAGCCAACCGAGCACGGTTCCAGACAAACCTTAACCCGGCAGAAGTGCCTTTTGCAGCTGCCTTTGCTTGCGTTTTTCTTTTTTTTTCCTGTTCTTTTTTTTTTCTTTTTTCTTTTTCGTCCTCTCTAGCACGTCCAGTCGATGCTGCAATGAAACGTCACCGTTGGGGAAGTCCTGGAATAGAAAAGAAGAAAAAAAGAAAAAGAAAAAAGAAAAGAAAAGAAAAAAATCGGAGCTGCAGGAACCCCCCAATGAAACTTCCCGACCGTGTATACGGGGTCTTCCAATAGGTCTGGATCTAGGTCGGAGTCTGAAAAAAAAAAAAAAAAAAAAAAGAATAAAGGCCAATCGTAAACGACGAATATTCAAATCACAGCAGGATGATCAATAATAAATTGGGGAAAATAAAAAATAAAAAAATAAAAAAAAAATAAAGAATCAAAAATAATCAACCAAAGTCAAATTGTAAGGCCAAAGTGGCGGAAGTGAGGGCCAGCGATAAGACGAGAGCTGAACGATGGGTCAAAAAGTCGCCTCTTGACAGGCCACTGACGCACTGTGCGAGAAAATTCTGGTCCGAGGGGGGGTGAAAAAAATTATCAAATCAATTGTAGCAAAGAAAATCGATGCGAAATAAAATTTGTATGAGGGTCGACAAATGGGAATCCTCCAACGGGAGAAAAGAGAATTGGTTCGGAGGGGGGGATTTGGTCTGGAAACTCAACCACAGCTGAGAGAGCCTGACCAACTGATTAATTAGTGGAGCTGGACCAGAGCAAGAGAGCAACGCCGGCTACTTTTCGGCCGTCAAATGGTGTCCTTGCCGGCTCTGCTCGACCACGGTTGAGTAGGCGGGCTAATGGGTGTATCAGTCTCGACGATCCGACAGGAACCGCTGCGACATAGAGATGATGCGCACATTGGCAGCTTCCGCCGAGTCAGGATGACGTGCAAGCAAAGAGCTCCCTGCTCTTGCTGTGCTCTTCTGGCTTTCTCTCCGTCTTTCTCGAGGGGGGATCACGCGAGCGTCGAGGTCGTATCTAGTCCCTTCGTCTGGACCTAAAATGGATTGACGATTGAGATCGACCGACTGGGCATGAAATCCACCGCGTTCGCGGCAAATCACCACTCGCTTCCCCGAAAGAAAGACTCCCCCCAAACCCACAAGCGCAACGGTTTAGCCTCGTGCGCGCGGAGATGGTGCCGGCTATGCAAGTGATCAGACCCGTGTCTAGGCGCCACGCAGGGTCTCCGGTTCTCCTTCCTGACTCCAGAGCGAGAATCGTGGCTGGTCGGTGCGCGCGTTTAAGCATTCCAGTCAGAAACTCGTTCCCGTAGTCCCATCAGTCAATTTGCATCTGTTACCGACTTGGTACAAGGCCTTTTTTTAAACTTTGATTAGGGGGAAAGGGGAGGAATCGGTTCCTCGTCCGTAGATCTGACTGACTCCTTTTGTCTCGTGCCTGATTAGTCTGGGTCAATCGTCCTTTGCCTGCTTTCTCTTTCTTTCTTCTTTCCTTTTTCCCTTTAGTTTGTTTTTTTTCTTCCGCCGATTCTTCTGGCCGACCACAGATTCGGCGCTCAGGCTGTCATGGGACGCACCAGCAACGACGAGCTATTCCCGAAAAACCCGTCTCTCGCAAATAAACATCAATCAATATCAGATGACACGAACCTTGAATTTCAATGCCCGGCAGTAATTGGGTCCGGGTTCCAAAATGACGCGATCCAAGGGCGCCAGGACGGTCAGCAGGGAGGAATCCAGGGCACCAGCAGGCCCACTTGAGGACCGTTCCCTGGAGGACAACTAAAGAGCAGATAAATATTAATGGATGCGTCGCAAGATGACTTCCTCCCCCACCGAAAGAGCATTCACCTTGAGGATGATCTCGATCCACACGAGCTGGGAGGCAAAGCAAAATAACGGGGAGGGGCAGCCAGGCCAACGAGATTTGAAAGGGCCGAGGAATCCTTGAACGTGATGGGATAACGTGAGTCGTGTCACGAGATGCCCACTCGCTTCCCCTTTCCTTTCCTTTCCTTGCCTTTTGCTTTCGCTGCTCTTTGTTCTTCCAGTCCGCGACGGCAAATGAGCTCCGAGTACAATCCCGGTGAAGTTTCGTCGCCTTCTCTCTCCGACTCGGCCACGTCTTTTCACGCCGGACTGACGCGAATAACTCGATTTCCTCCCCTGCGAATCGTGCAGGCGTCGCAAGTGGAAACCTTCGCGGAAATCCGACAGACTTTCGGTGCGCGCGAATAAGCCTCGAGAGAATCGTTGGCGGTGGGACGACCACGTTACTCGGCGAACAGTCGGAGAAGCACACACTTCATGTCGCAAACAAGAAAGAAGAATGCGAAGAATCAAGTCCGGACGAGAAGGCGTGGGAGTGGGCCTCTTTTCAACGTGCAGTCGTGGAGAAAACAAGAAAAGGGAGAAAGAAAAACGAAAGGTTAGGCTCGAACCTCAGCTTAGCCGCTGCGTTCTAGGATCTAGCTGGCTGGATGCATCACATCACCTGGGGCTTGACATGCAGGTCGCAGAAGCCGCGTTCCCTCCACCCCACATCCACTCACGTCCAGGCCGTTGCGCTGGGCGATTGATTATTGGATCTTGGGAATAGGAGAATCCGGAACCTCCTCAATAAGGCGCGGCCACCAACGATCGGATCAGTCAATAGATGTGGCGTGGGGAGGCCCGGTCTGCACGATCTGCCTCTAGGGAAAAGCGATCGCCGTGGGCGAGTCGTGAAGAGCTAGCCTTACTGGTAAATGGTGTCGGTCATCTTGTCGGACTACACTGCCTTGCATGCATGATCTGAGGGTCCCTGGAAAACGATGTGGAAATAGGAAAAAGAAAAGAAAAGAAAAGAAAAGTTATCGGGCAAGAAAAGAGAAAAACGCGGCCCAGGATTACGTTTTTTTCTTTCTTTTTTTCTTTTTCTCTTTCATTTTCTTCCTTTTCCAAATAGCGTTGTTGGTCGCCCCTCCAGATACAGCTTGCTGCATCTCCGACGCATACGGATCCTGGAACTTAATAGGTGGCAGATGCATCTAGCCGCATCAGTTGCGAAGCTACTGGCATCAGAGGCCCACAATAGCGGTTTTCTTTTCTTTTCTTTTCTTTTCTTTTCTTTTCTTTTTTTCATTTTTTTTTTTTTTTTTTTTTTTTTTTTTTTTTTTTTTTTTTTACTTTCTTTGTTTTTTGCAGCATCGTCAGGCAAACATTCGGGGGAAAGGACGGGAACAATCAGCCATGCAATACTGTTGTTCTGTATAGCTGAAAATGGCTTCTCCGGGCCTGTTTGGCTTCTTCACTTCGCGAAACATAAGACGAGTCCACAGGGGGTCTTCGCGCATCAACCGGGATCAGCAATCAGCGACGGTGTTGGCGACGTTCATGCAAGGGTGAAGACCGGACCCCGATTTGTAAGGGACACGGGAGACAGAGGCTTATGCCGGATGAGCGAGGTCTCGATCATTAAATAAATCCTGCATCTTCGGCCGATGTTCAATATCTTCTCCGAGGGGCGTCCAGAAAGGGTAACCGAAGCCTTGAGCACGATGAAGGAGGGGTTCGATAAACGAAAAAAGACGGGACCAGCAAAAAGAACGAAAAGGAAACGAAGGGAAGGAACGAAAGAACAGGAAGAAGAAAAAGTCCCCAAACCTGGCGGTGCCGCGATGGTCGATTCTAGCCGCCCACAAAGTCCTTCGCACAACACTAGGGAATCGGTGATATCATCTGAATCAGGAGGTTGTGGGAACCAAACCAAAGAGTCGGGGGTGATCAATCCTGATTCAGACACATTATCAGACTCAATGGCATTGGATATTTACTTTGCTGGCCCCTTCCTTCACTCCCCGATCGACGCCACCCCGAGGACCTGTCAGCAAGTCTCCGGATGCTACCATGACTGCAGCTGCTCCAGAGAAAATCTCCTGCGCCGTCAGATACAAATTATGCCACGTTTCGATGGCGTGTGCACTGTACACGGAGTGGTCGGGTCAATTTAGTCGCAACTCTTGCTGATCAGCCGGTTGCTGGGAGAAAAGGGCGAGGGAAAAAAAAAAAAAAAAAGTACGCTGGCGTACGTGATAACCGGAAGGGTCTCCGGTTCGTGGCTGAACAGTTCCAGCCAGTTCAAACGCACTATCAGAAGCAAGAGTGGATGGGATTGGCATGTCAGAAGAGAAATGTCGGATATATTTTCTTACTGCCACGACCGTTGATGGTCTCGGTCGAGCAGGAACAGTAACTAGCGACCAGCGAGGAAAAAGAACAGGAAAACACCAACGAATCAGCCAGGAAATTAAGGGGAAAACACACGGCGAAAGAAAAAAGCAGGAAGAAAGAAGTACGAAACTAAACTCCGAGGGTCAGTCGGGGGATCAGGGGAAAGATTTCCCGGGATTTCCTTGAAAAAAAAAAGAAAAGAAAAAAGAAAGCCAATAAAAATCAAAAAATTGGGACAAGGGAATTGGCTGGAGAAAACTCTTCTCCTTTGGTCCCTCTACAGCAGCCGGTGGAGACAGAATGCGATGCACGATGAAGTGTTCGCCGGCCCTTAGCGGTTGCCTTCCTGCCCGCCGAGCGATCCCTTTCCCGGTCTGTAGCAAATCTTAATTCCTGCACTTCCTGGACGGAATCGAATCAATCGAGTCCATGCCAGCGGGCATCTCCATGCTGAACCAGACTTTCCCAGGCGCTTAATTCCACGCTACGGTTATGCTTATTCGCGCCCTGGGGGTTGGGTTCCCGTCCTGTTGACAGCCCCGGATCCATGGTCCTTTAGGGGTCTTGGGTCCTGATCGCCGATCCCTCCTCTGTTCCACGGTCAACGTCGCGGTCCCTGGCATCTTCAGATATCTGGCCCAGACTACGGGAGTGACAGGGTCATCCTGAGAACTAGTTCCCTCATCAATTCTCATCCAATGACCGCTCGTTCGAAATTCCCCTTTCCATCCCGCCAGATGTGCGGGTTGCCGACAGAAATGGCCACCTTCTAGATGGATCCACTTCAGGAGGGCCACAAAAAAAGAAACCGAAAAATTAATCTAGAGAAAAAGAGACGAAAGGAAAAAAGAGGAAAAGGTTTCCTGACAGATCATATTCTGCTCTGTCGCGCCAAACAGCAGGAACATGCATCCGTCCACTCAGGACAACTCTCCATGCTACCAGAATTAGGCAGATCATAAATCTCGGGTTCAATCGGTCGACACGTTGGCAATACTATTCCTTAAGACTATCGCACAGACCGAGCGCCGCAAATTATCCATCTGCAGTGTATGGAGTGCCATGCAAGCAGCATTCCCTCCGCCACAGTACCAGAGTAAGATCAATAATTCTCTGCATGTTCTTCCCGTGGACGATATCATCTCGGTCTTTGAATTGAATTCCAAATCCCTTTCGTTCGTTCCTTCAGCGCCCAGCCCCGAAGGATTCCCGTGGAATGATTACCACGCAGTTCGCCTGCAGTGCCATTAGCTACAGGAAGTACCGACGATCGCCCACTGCTCCAGGGTAGCCGTCGAAAGGTCAGACATACCCTATCAGATTCCTTCCGTGCGTCGTTCCCCGTACATGTCGCCACATCAGCGGCCGTACATATGTGCATTCTTGCCAGCGTGCCACATTGGATCTCGCTTCTGCTCGGATTCGGGTTCTGATTCAATTTTTCATCCGGTCGAACTCCCTACGGCGTACATACATATCGCGACAGTAGACACTACGTAAGGCTTCATAGGATCCCCGTGGCTCCACTCATCTATCCTGGTACGAGCCTGCTGCATACTCCGTAGTCCGTACGTCCGTCTACGCACGCTGACGTTGCACTCCTTGGGTTATACAGAGCATAATTCTTTCTCGATACATAAAAGAATGATGTGAACATAAGAAATAAAATTAAAAATTAAAAATTAAAAACTTAAAAATTCCAAGTGTAAAAACTAGATCCCCTCCCCTGCATGTACCAAACACCGTCGTTTCCTGGTTTTCAGCATCTGCACTCCGTTCTGTCTTTCAGGACTTTTTTTCGTTTTTCTTTTCTTTTTTTTCTTGACTCTGTTTTCTCATCGTCACTATCATTATTTCATTGCTCCCAAAACTATTATTCCATAGGTAGTCTAGCCCCCCCCCACCAACTGTACCTTTGCCCACACACTATGCAGAGCATCTTGAAAGAACAATCTACAACACAAACCTACAGACAAACCCATTCTCTCTTCATACTAGGTATCCAGCCCCTCCATCAACCTAATCCCTACCTAGGAGTAGCACCAATCATCCTCCCACAACCAACAACCAACCCACCAATCAACCCCTCCATCCTCCGTAGCAAAAAGCAAAAAGCAAAACGCAAAGCAAAGAACAGTTCCATCAACTTCCATACATCCCACCACGGGACGATCCCACCCAGAGATCGATACATCAGATACGATCCTACTTACATCGTATGATGGATGTCCACAGATTCAACGGATTCACGGAGTATACAGGCACGAACTGCGCAGATGTACAGGACTTGCCCCCCACCGAATGCAGGCTTTGCTGCCTTGGGTTGCGATGCAGTGGATGATCCACACTGAGGGCATTGATTAGCTCGGTTGAGGCTACACAGCATGTGTCATTGTTTAGGACCTCAGGGCCTCCCTGGGGGTCTGCTGCTGGAATGACAAATAGGTTGAAAATTGGGATTATGGTGCATAAACTACATATCACGTGCTGGGGCATACGTATGCATCCGGCCAGGGAAGAAAGAAAAGCGAAAGTGCATGCTGAGAATCAAGGATGTTCACAAGGAACTAGTTGAGTCAGAACAATTGCGTCCACTTGGAAACATCTTGAATTCCATACCTAGTACATAGAACGCTAAACATCAACATTATGAGGATTCCACCCAGTGCGTCGAATCAAACATCCCAGAGGACCGAAACAGAAAAAATAAACACAGGACCTCTAAAAGACAGCAGCAGAAGAGAATGGCGCACTAGCCAGTAAATAATAAAATCACATCTCGAGGAGTGGTCAAGTAAGGTCCGCCCCATGGTCCGACAGTACGGCGGTTAGACCAATTGGTTCGTGAAAAGTCGCATCAAATGATAAGCCAGAAAGAAGGGAAAAGAAAAACTCCAAAAGTCCCGCCTACTCCTTGCTTGAAAACAATACGATCAGCAAATGCCAAAGAAAAAGTGCCAAGTCGTGAAGTGTATCCCATCAGGGGGGAAATGAACCAGATAAAAATAGAAGGGGATAAAAAGGAATCCCGACAGAAAGAAACACGGTAACGCCCTGTTGTCTTTTGGGCATTGAAAGTACTTTTTTGCTGCTCCCTCATTCTTGTTCAAATAGGTAAGCGAGCTTAGGTACCCCCAAAGAATCACGACTTCATGACTGCATCCCCGTCTCGGTCAGTGCCGTTCAGCTCGACCTGGTTGTTGTCCACCCCATTCGTCTGATGGGTCTTCGTTGGACTGTCGGCAGAAAAAACAACCTCAAGCTGCTCCACAATGGACTTTCGGTTCACAGATCTGGTGAGTTTTGCATGACTATTGGCAGCCTTGCCTTTGGATGGGGTCGTGGGACCAGGCGTGGCAGTCTCGGCGCTCTCAATTGTGCCATCGCCCAATGTCTCGGTTCCATTCGGTTTAAGTGGCTCCTCTTCTCCCTCCGTATGACTAGTTCCAGCGTCCACTGCCGGTGGCGCCGCCTCTAGTTCGGGATCGGGCTCTGGTTCTTCTCCGGCAGTAGCATCCTCGAAGACCTGCACTCGCTCGGTTTCAATTCCATTGGTAGTGCCATCAATCTGCTCCGTGGCAGGAGAATCAGCGAGCTTTGCGCTGCGACCCCGCCTGACGCTCGACGGATTCGCGGTCGGAGTCGCCGAGTTCAAAACGGAAGTTCTTTTCGGCGTACTGCGACCGCTGGTTCGTGTAGTTGTTGGAGTGACCGTGACCTTGCCGTATGTGGTCTTGCTCCCGAAAGGCCGGCCAGGGCGTCGTTTCAAAACAGGCGCTTGGACAGGTGGGTAGATCTCGAATCGCCAGGCCGGAATCTCGTTGGAGGGAATCGTTTCCGCAGGGGCATTGGGGTCGGTAGAAGTTGTGCTCTCATGACGAAAACCGTTGACATTTGAAAGAGCGTTCGTTGAGGGAGGTCCAGCTGGTTCGGTAAAGACTTCCTCCGGTTCAACCTGCTTGGCACCGTTGACTGCTGGGAGAGCGGAGACCTCGCCATTTGGCTTGAAGTTCTGCTCCTCATCATTTCCCGACTCTTTAGCATCCTCGACTTCCTCTTCTTCTTCCTCTTCCTCCTCTAGGCCCTCTCGTGGAGCGACCGCATGGAGTGGCGCCCGATCGAATTGTGATTGATTGCTTCGGCCCATGACGTACGGGGTCCAGACCAGAGCGTCGGGATTCAGCTGCACATAGCCTTTGATCTCCCAATTGCGAATACACTCTTCGAAGTAATTGTAGTCGAGACGAAGAGCGTAGGACTTCGTGACTGGATCTCGGACGAGGGCGCGTAAGGCTTCCAGGCCGGACACGATATCATCCGCCGTCATTCCCGTGCGCTCGGAGAGGTCCACTATACTAAGTGGTTTTGTCTGATCACGCAGTTTGTAGGAAAGGATGAGGCGCCAGTAGTTTCGATAGGAGACAAGACCCATGTCGGAGAGTGGTTTCTCCGGGGACCCCGTCTTGCCCTCGATGCGCGTGAGGAGGTAGGAGAAGTCGATGAGAAGATTGCCGTAGCCTTTGCGCTGGTGGATAGGGAGGGTGAGGATACAGGAGACGTTGTTCGCCGAACTTGGCCGTTTCTCCTTGCTAAAATACCCCACGAAATGACAACCCAGGTCGTCATACTCGGTCATGACATAGAAGAGGAACGGCTCCACATCATAGTAGAGCGTTTTGGACCCGAGGAACAATTTGGCGAGCAGACAAAGATTCTGGCAATACACCGGATTCTTGCGCCCATCCACTTCAAAGATGGAGATTGACCCATCCCGGTAGATTTCATCCCCAGGAGGATGCTTCGCCGGGCATTTGAGTTTGTGGCGCCAGGCGACATAATCAGAATTCATGTACTTCAAGCAGAACTCGCAGATGAACAGAACTCGATTGCGGCTGTACTCCTCGGGATACGGCGCGGCGTACCAGGTTTCGATCTCGTACCCGCCAAAGTTAATGCATTTGATCTTGGACGGAGGCCCCGAGACCTTCTGCGATGCGTGCTGGAAGGGTTCGCCACTACTCTCAGCCTCTATGGCCCGTAGTTGCCATTCCTCCTCGGCTTTTTGGCGCGCCACTTCGAATCTTTCGCGGTCCGGATGCAACGGCAGGGTCTTGGTCGTGTCCGCATCAGTCTCCGATAGAATGCCACCGTAAGGTTTGGATTTCGATTCGTCGGTCTCGCGGTCGTTGAACGAATAGAATGGCGATACGTAGGAGGTTGATGTGATTGGTGCGAAATGTGCCTGGGCCTCATGCACGGCAGGCGGTGGTTTAGGAACTTTCCGGGTCTTAATCTGCGATCTGCTGCGTGAATTGAGGATTCTGGAAAGTTTTGTCTCGTTGAGGCGGAAAGCCATAACGAGTCGCCCGAACTGCTTCAATAGAACACGGCAGGCGTCCTTTTCGCCCGCGCGCGTGCGTCGAGAGCGAGTGCGAACAGGCGACAACGTGTCCGAGGTCGCGGCCATCGGGTCATCGGCAGGCTCGGGCCGCAATGACTGTCGCTGTCTCTTCCGAAGCATTGGAGTCTGTTCAGCAGCTTCGACCGACGAAGCTTTACGCTTCCGCAGCGAGCGGGAGCTATTCAGAAGATCATCATTGACATTAACAGTGTTGAAGATGGAGTGGAATCCAGAGCCTTCTTCCCCGACATGTGCGGGTAGAAGCTCTTTGCTCATGTTCCTAGGCCCCAATTTTCGCTGATGGGAACCAGGTTCTGCAGTTCCCGGTTCCAGATTCTCACGCACGCAGGCAAGACATCTCCAGGAACTCGAATCTAGATCCGAGTTAGCATGGGGACTAGATGGTTTGGCGCTAATATCCCAACTAGAACGCACCTTCTGCATCTTCTAATGCATCTTGTTCGCGGGCACATTGCCGATGAGCTGCCGGGTGCCGAGTTAGTAAAGATCGCCGTTGACAAAAGTTTGAGGCGTGTCGCGTCATATCGTGGACGGACCCGCATATATCAACTTACAGTGATCGCCACAGACTGCACATGTTAGATATTCCTCAAACTCCTCACTCGGATCGTTATCCTCGTCTTGATGGCAAAATCTGCGCCAAGCTTGTCAGAACGGCTTTCTGGAAAATTCTCCGATAGAACAGCATCGCTAGCCGATTACCCAGTTCTCAAAGGAGAGAGACATAGCGAGGACTTACACGCAATTCCCGCGCACTGTGTTATTGTCCGCTTCCCCATCTTCATTCTCATGACTCCCTTCTTCCCAATCTTCATCCACATCGGACTCCTGACTATGTGACGAGCTCGAGCCATCGCTGTCGCTTTGATTATCGAATGCCGAATCGGCGTCGGCAGAGCCAGCCGCCAAATCCTCATTGCTGGGAGAAGGCACCCCCTCCGGCAGCTTGACAGCACCAACCGGTTCGGTTTCATCGATTTCCCCTTCTAAATGTAGCTCGGTATCGGGGACTCCTTCCGCATCTACTTGCTCCCCGGGATCGACCTTCTCGCTGTCCCCGGTTTCCTCCCCGGAATATGCCCGGTGAACAGCATCCTGGAGCTGTTGATCCATGGTATATAGGTCGGCGCCGTCCTCTTCTTCCTCCCCTTCGGCATCCTGGTCACTATCCACCACATCTGCGGGCGGTCTCATCTCGGTATCATGGTGAGCCGACGGCACGGTTGCCGGCATGGTGTAGGTCACTGCGATCGCCAGGGTGTGCGGCTATCGGCGTGCCTCGATAAGGTAAATAAATGGATTAGGGTTGAAAGTAAAGACAACGGTTTTTGAGGTCAGGCGATTCAGGGCTCCCCGTTCAAATAGACAATCATCTGGCGCCGCATGAAACGGGCATCGGGGACATGAGCGAATGGCCGTTGGACACAAGAGATCCCGCGCAATGACAGGCGCACGAGAGATTCAGATCGAAATCAAGCAGCGGTTCCGGATGTGCTTTCCCCTGACGAAGGCGCAAGCCAAGCAACGGTCAGTACAGGAACGGAAAACGAAAGCTGAAGGGCCAAAGGACAGAGTGATTGAGTTGGGGGGGTGGCAGCAAGAGGGAGGGAGAGGAACAATGGCAAACAACGCGTAGAAGGAAGGCACAGGACGCATACCCCGTCAACCAGGACGTCAGCAATAGACAGTCGAATAGAAGCGAACGCGTCGATCAGCGGCGGAAACGACGTCCGAGGCCTTATCCAGCTCCAGCGTCCAGACTCCAGAGCAATCGGCCTCTCGCCCCTTCTGCGAGGTTGACGGAGGCGGCTGACTCAGCCGGCTCGACCCCGGTCGCGGGCTAAACCGCTTTGGGCACTCCCGGACCTCAAGATTCTCAAGAGACTCTTTGAGTACTCCGTGCCGCTCTCTCTCTCCCTCTCTCCACGCCTCGCTCTTTGCGCCCGCTCTTGTCTCCTCTCCCTGTCCTCCTCACAATTGCTTCACAATGGGTGTCCCCTTCGAGGCTTTGCTCCCTTATGGCATCATCATCGGCGTGCGTTGAAACCTGACCCCCTCCTCTCCGTGGATCTGCCTCCGTCCAATCATTCCCCCGGGGTTACCAATTCACTGACAATCGACATGCGCATGATAGTTTATGGGCGTGACCGGTGCCGGTCTCACCGCCGTCAAGTACTGGTCCAACGAGGGAAAGACCGCTCGCTGGAACCGGGATCTGTGGGATAGAGTAAGTTGATCGGGTATCCTCTGCAAATCGGACCAAGTTGGCTAACCTCCACGCAGCAAAGTACGTGACTACCGATTGAACCTTCCCCGCGAGGATCGCCTATCCGGTCATCCACCCACAAAGAATCATATGGAAGCTAACCGCCCGGGTCCGAAACTACAGTGATGGAGAGAGATCTTAGACTTACGGGAACCATGCGAGGCCAATCAAGCAACGAGGTGGCCCCCAAGGGATTCGAGCTCAGCAATCCCTGGAAGGTATGTCTCCCCAGTTGCGCTTCTTGCCGAGGGAAAGAACCAGACCGCTCATGCCTCAATAGGTCGAAAAACGGATTTACTAGGCCGGATCGACATGGGTCGAGTTTGGCGTTATGTCCTTGTCCACGTTGTATTTGTTCAGCCGCAGTTTTCTTTACTTTCTTGAAATACATATCCACAAGCTCTAGAAGAAATTCTATCTGTACAGCACTCCCGTCAGCTCCACTGGATAGACCCATCCCGCAGATTCCGTCTATTTAAGCTGGGACACCAATCCCTGGATCCCCTCCACCTCGTCATCCCGGAACTGCAGGCCAAACCACTTCCCCAGCGCCGCGACGCGATCTTCCTCGGTCTCGAAAGTAGCCACCAGCTCTGTTTGCCCCTGCACTCTCCTTTTAACCTCCTTCCCGGACAGAACATACAGTCCCCGCGGCTGGGTGCCCGTCTCCTCGTCCATGATGACGCGCGTGCAGACGAGACTCTGCGTAAACCAGCTGTTGCGCCCCGTGCTGGTGGAGTAGTTCATGATGCCGAAGTCCTGCGGCAGAAACTCCACCTCCGAGAACGAGTAGTGCGGCAGCCACGCGCCGTCCGCCGTGTATCGGATCTGGTAGATCCAGACCTTCTGCGTCTTGTCCACGAACTCGGGCAGGCTGTCGCGGATCAAACGCGCCTCCGAGGGGGCGATGCAGACAGATACGGTGTCTTCTTCAAGGGCCATGGGACTGGTTGGGCCGTTGTTGCCGAACCCGACGTCCGTCTGCGTAGCGTTAACTTCGTCCATGCAGGACATACTTCGTAGTAAGGAACCCAAAGACCAAAGGTTAGGAAGACGTACCATATACTTCTTGCCGTCAATGGTCACAATCAGAATCATGTGTCCCCTATACATGATTAGTATACGGCTTTCCAGTCCAATCCAATCCCATCCAGTCCACCTACAGCGCAAAAAACCTCTCCTCCCCAGGAGTTCGATTCGCTCCGGCCGCAACCTCACAGACCCTACCGCCGGTCGGATAGACCGTATACCCCAAGGACCGAAGAACGACGTAGAACAGGTTCGTGTTCTCCATGCAGTAGCCGTCCAGCCGGCGACGCACCAGCTTGTCGAAGACGGCCGCCGGGTGGATGGAGATGGACTTGTGCTGGGAATAGTGCAGCGCCGAATTGCCCCACGGGATGGCGCCCAGGTGGCGGCGTTGCAGCTCCGTCAGCGCGGCCAGCGGGTCTCTTGCGACGCATTGCTGGGCATGTTGGAGGCGGGTGGCGCCGGCGGGTTCGGGGTATTGGATGCGCTGGAGGTAGAGGTCAAGTTGATCGGGGGTGTAGGTTGACATGGTAGGTAGCTTGTAAGTATGTCAACGGTGAAAGGGGCTGGTGGATAGGGCAGACTGATTCCAGTGTCCATGCATCCGGATTGGCAGTCGCATTTAAACTAGTCTGGGGAGCCAAAGAATTGTCTGGATCCAATCGCTTACATGACTCTGATTCAGGATGTTAAGTTATTAATAATACGAGGCCGGAGGGACTGGAATTAGCCCTAGACAAAGGCATCTCCAACTCGACTGAGTCAATGGTCTGGTGCTGATCCGATCGGATTTACTTTCAGGAGTGTACTGAAAGTAATAGCAGTAGTTCTGCCTCTGGGCCGTCAAAGCATAATGATCAATGCGAGTAATCCGAGTTAATTTACTGCTAATTGTGGTTCGGCGGGTTCCTGAGGCGACCGGACGATGATGTCAACGCAATTCTCCGATCCTCGGTTATTCAACTTCACGAGCAATCGTAGTCAGTCCTCCATCCTAGTCTAACTCAACCTCAGCTACTTCCTCGTAATCTCAAACTGTTCCGACTACATGCATTGCCTTTCCCGCACGTTCGCCCTCCCTCTCCCTCGCGCCTCCAGAACCCTCGTCGCATCGACGCTCCCCAGACGCACCATGGCTACTACAATCCAGCAGAAGATCCACGCGCTACACGAGTATTCCGCCTGCGATGTACTTTTCTCCTTTCGCATTCCCACCTAGACCCCGTATCCAAACCACCCAACACCCCCACCTAACTCCTCCATCTCCCCAGGTCTCCGACGCCCTCCTCAAACTCCAAAAGCCCAGTCCCGGAACCACCCCTCGAGCCGGCCACCCCGCAGACTTCAGTGCGTAACCAGCCCTCAGTATCTATCTAACCTCCACCACGAAAGCCAAATTCATTGAATCCTTCCCTAAACCAATAGCCCCGTTCTCCCCCACCCCCGGCCGCAACAACACCTCCCCCAAGATCATCGCCCCGGCGTCTACCTTCAAATTCATCCCCCGGTCCGACGACGCCGTCGACACGTCCGAGACGCACGGGTTCCCGCCCGGCACGCACTGGGTCGACTGGGCGCAGGCGGATACCGTCGCGGTGGTGGAGCAGCCCGAGGGCCAGTTCTGCGCCGTGGTGGGCGGCATCATGGCGGTGCGGATGAACGCGCTGGGCGTGAAAGGCGTGCTGGTGAATGGTAGGATCAGGGATGTGCAGGAGATGAGAGGGTGTGGGATTCCGGTACGTTGGGGTCTGTCTGTTGTGGGTTGAGTACTGGGTTGGTACTCAGGAGGTGAGTAGGTGCTCGAGTGCTGATTCAATGCTCGCGGTCATCGTCAGGTCTGGGCCCGCGGAACCTCGACTGTCGGCACCGCTGCGGAGGCAAAGCCCGGGGCGAGAAATGTCCCTGTGAATCTGGGGGGTGTAGTGGTGTCTCCGGTGAGAGTCGTCTTTCTGTTTTAGAATGTTCCTGTGTTTTATGGAATTGGTGAAGTGGCTCATGGACTAACGGCGTCAGGGCGATATCATCTTCTGCGATCCGTTGGAAGGCGTGGTTGCCATTCCAATCGATCTGCTGGACCCGGTGTTGGAGTTGATGCCCAAGTTGGTGGCGATGGATGATCGGGTCAAGGAGGCGGTCGTGCAGGGGTCGAGTGTGTTCGATGCTTTTCAGAAGTTTCGCACGAAGATTTAGTCCTTTGGGGGGACGACTAATTTTGGTTCTTGCGAAGAGGCTTTAAGAATGATTTCATTGCGACGAGCCATCGCACTCATGGTTGATATCATCAATTTGAAACTAAAATACATGAAGAACCGTCATGTGTATAGAAATCGCTGCACTGGAACCCAAAAAGAAAAAGACACGGAGAGAAAGAAAAGAGTCTATACAGTTTTACTCGCGAACCCAGACAGCGGCCATACCCATACCGGTACCGACACACATGCTGGTGACACCGATCTTCTTGTCGGTGCGCTTCAGCTCCGTCAGCAGCGTGCTGATCTGGCGCGAGCCGGTGCAGCCCAGCGGGTGGCCAAAGGCGATGGCACCTCCCTTGGGGTTGATCTTCTCCAGGGGCAAGCCCAGTTCGTTGGCACACCACACGCACTGAGAGGCGAAGGCCTCGTTGATCTCGTAGATGTCAACGTCATCCTTGGTGATACCAGCCTTCTCCAGGGCCACGGGGATGGCCTTCCAGGGTCCGATACCCATGAGCAGAGGCTTCACACCCACCACGCTGGCCGCCACGTACTTGCCGATGATCTTCTGGCCCAGGCGCTCGGCGGTAGACCGCTTCATCAACAGAACGGCGGCGGCGCCGTCGGAGATCTGGGACGCATTGCCGGCATGGATGGAGCCATCCTTGGCGAAGGCGGGACGGATCTTACCCAGAGACTCGGCGGTCATGCCGTCCCGGATGCCGTCGTCGGCCTTGACAGTGATGGTCTTCTCCTCGTTGGTCTTGGGGTCGGTCCACTTAACCTCGAGAGGGGCGATCTCTTCATTGAACAGGCCTGCCTTCTGGGCCTTGACGGCCTTCTGGTAGGACGAAGCGGCGAAGGCATCTTGAACGGCACGAGAGATGTTGCGGTCCTTGGCCATGTTCTCCGACAGGACTCCCATAGGGACCTTGCAGTTGGCAGACTCGGGGTGGTTCTCCAGGAGGTCCGAGAACTCGGTGACTGCGCCGGGTCTGAGAAAAAGAACGTGGTTAATATTACAGTCCAGGTCGGTTTATTAGACGTATGCATCAAGACTCACCCGTACTGAGAGGACATGCTCTCGACACCCGCACCAATGCCAACCTCGATCATGTCCGACTTCAGCGCATTGGCAATATCCACAATAGCCTGAAGGCCGCTGGAACATTGACGGTTCAAGCTGCGCACGGCCGTCGACTCGGGGAAGCCAGCCACCAGGGCCGCCGCACGGAACTCGGTGGCACCGCCGCCGGGAGGAAGGACAGAGCCGACGGCAACGTCGTTGACAGCACTGGGGTCAATGCCACTCTTGTCGATCACAGCCTTGAACACACCGGCCAACAGGTCGGCAGCCGCAGTGTCCTTGAAACCACCCTTTCCGCCCTTGGTCAGAGCGGTACGCAGAGCACATGTGACAACAATATCATCGGGGTGCTTCTCGGTGATGGCGGCAACTCCCTTCTTGCCACCAGGGCCGAAGTGGGAAGCGACTTGGGTCAAACGTTGCTGCGCTAGAGGACAGAAACCAGTTAGAGGATTCTGATCCAGCGACATAGATCGAGCGACTTACCAGCGGACATGATGACGTCAATAGATTTAGTTCGATGAAATAGAGAGGAGAGAGGGTATACGTTTCGAAGTAAAGGAGTCAAGTCAGATCAAAATCGCCAGAAAGGAGCAACAGGAACCTTCTTTATAAACCCGGGGGAACCAACGTGGAGTAGAGCATCCACCCGGTCGGTCGTGTTGCCCTTTTGTACGCTCTTCCCCGGTCCCGTGAAAGTACCGAGGTCCAACCGCGTCATCGTTGTTCCGGATAGAAAAGTCACGGGACCTGCGGCAGTCGCGCAGTTTCACGTGAAGAAAGGCCGACAGTCCATCTTGTGATCGCTCGTCCCAAATGCCAAGTCTTTGGAATCAGCCACGGCGCTGATCTGTTGGAATTGGAGAAGAATGGCGGGCAGTATTCATGTGGAACGAAGTAGTACTACATCTCCGTGGGCCGGTAGAGTAAAGATAAGTTGAGGATACGAGCATGCTGCTTCTATCTGCCAGATCAAAACTAAAATATCCAAGGAATTCCGCTCAACTGCAGTTGTAAGCACTCGATGAGTTTCCTGTAGAATATGTATAGTCCGGGGCGCGTGGAGAAGTCCCGTGCCAGGCGGTCATGTGAATCCCGCGCATCCGCAGCTTTTCCCGATTCGTCCCAACATGGAAATCCTCCAACTCTCTCCAAGACCATTGCGACGGGATCCCACCACCTTTCTCGATGCATTCAATGCGCCTCGCTAGCAGGCTCCCCTCCGTCTTTACAGCGGCACCACGAGCCACTACCACCGCGCCATGGAAAACTCTCTCCGCCGGACATGTCCCATCGCAGATTCATGTACGCATTCTACCTCCCTCCCCTCTCACACCAAGCTCAAGCTCAAGCTAAAGCCCACGCCTCTTATAGAGCCAGCTCCCCTCGTCAATCTCGCCGCGCCGTCAATTCTCCCAGACCATCCCCAGCTTCTCATCGCCCTTCCGCCTATCTTCCAACAATGGCCCCGCCGAGCACAGCCAAACCTCCGCGCCATCGCAGCCGGAGTTCGAAATAAACGACCCCAACGACCCGCTCTCTCACTACGCCCAATACAAACCGAAGCGCCAATGGCCACCAGACATGTCCAAGCTGTCGCCGAAGCACCAGTTCCGGCTCGAGCGCAAGTACCGGCGACGCGCGGCGCTCAAATTCGCCCGACCGAAGTGGATGAAGGCGACGAAGTTGGTGCAGTGGGGCGTGATAGGATGTAAGTTTTGCGATGTGCCGTGCTTGGCTTGCGGAAGGGATTGTGGACGATGGGCTAATGGTTGCCTGTCTAGTTGTTTTGATATATGCGATGCTCTTTATGGAGTGGGATGATAGGGGAAGTCCGTTTGAGGAGGTGAGTATACCGACTTATATTGATCCATGCTGCTTAGGTGGGAAAGGACATTTTCTAACTTGACTGTGGTACAGTTCCGAAAGACCTTCTTTGCTGGCGTCAAGGGCGCCTTTTCGTCGCCTCCACCTCCAGGACCAGTCCGGAAGTCCGACGACACAACCACCAAGGAGCAGTAGAATACTATACTCGCCTACCCATCCTACCAAAGCATCCAGAGTCTCTCAGTTTCATTGCAACCAACGCATGCTGTACATTATACTCATATACTATCTAGACAAAATGAAACGAAAGCATGATCAAATTATCTACACCCTAGAATATCAATTCATTCATCTGTCGTAACGGGGCGGCTCTGGAATACAACGCAACTGTCCAAAAGGAACGAAACAATAAAGCATTTCTGTCTGGCATGCACTGGCAAGAAAAACGAGTGAGCAAAGATAAAAGCTGCAAGATTCATGATGGTGTGGCCCCGTTCCGTCATTAAGTCATTTCGCCGTGCCCGTGAGGCAGCAGGTAGATGATGCACCCAAAACTCCCAAATGTCAACGCCGTCCGATACAATACTCCGTGAAAAGCACTGAGCGGAAAAAACAGATACCCAGCAAAATATGGCCAAATATGAATAAACGAGAGAAAAATGTTCGATCGAGAACAAGGTAGGCAGACCCGAAACGCCGGTTCATGATCCTGAAAAGAGACGACAGAAGGGGCCAGTAAAGAGAATGTCAAGAAAGGAATATGCTGCAAGAATTGAAGGGGGCGGTCGTTGAAGGGCTCGGAATGAACATGTTTCAGGATCTAGATCCAGTTGCCGACCGGGTCATTTTTCTCGAATCTCGGGGACACCCGATTGTTCGCCGGGAGATCCAAAGCAAGCTCCAACTTGGGAGGTCTTTCATCCAGTAAACCCTTGCGCGGGCTGCCGCCAGCCGCCTTGAGCGGTGATTTGGTTGGCGATCCTGGCTCAGGTCTAGGAGGGCCTTCTCGAACAGCGAGATATGGCCATTCATCTTCAACGGCGGCGGCAACCCAGGTGCGCAGGCAGTCGTGCACCGAGAAGTAGAACTTCTCTTTGCATATTCTCAAGCTACCTCCCATGACTTTCTCAAACCCAGACGCCCGGAGCTCGGCTCGGAGCTGGTTCCGTTCCTCGCATGTCGGCAAGGATGCAATGATCCCGTTCAGGAGATCTATATGCGCAGCCAGATAGTTGGTAGCATCCCACTCAACTCCTCCAACATAAGGAGCAGCAGGGACCGGGGGCCTGGGCGTGGGGAAGTGACGTTCTCTATAAGTAGCGGCGGGTGTGTCGGCGTGCACAATGGGGATCACATTCAGATGGTGCAAGAAGATCCAGAACACTTCTTTGGTGACATTGCTGACCTCCTTGCACCACACTCGGTATGGCCTTGTTTGGTAGATGTTGGCAATGAAGGAGAGCGGCTGGTTTTCTTCCGGGGGCGTTGGGTCCCGCAAATACGAGAGGATTCGATGGGCGCGAGAGGCTGCGTCTGAGTTCGAGGTTGCGGTAGAGAGCTGGGTGAAGATAAGGTTGATGATGATGCCACGCGTGGTGAATTCACTGGGACCCTTCTTTTCCTCGTCAAAGATCATTTTCAAAAGCGCCGGAAAGAGTTCGGCCTCGATGTTGGTGAGGAGCTGCAGCGCTACCGATGTTGTGCAAAGAGCTTTTAAGCACAACAATGTCTCATGGAGGAGGGCGTCCTCGTGCTCTTCCCTATGGAATAGTTAGCATGGTTTCCAGGCCCGTGTCTTCGAGCTCGCGCAGCAGGATACTGACCTCCACTCCACCTTCATGATTCTGTATAAAAGTCCGACAATCTCATCCATTCCCCCGTCCGCGATGAAGGTATCAACCCAACTGACGGTCTCATTCCGCAAAAGAATTCGAAGCTTGTGCACCTTGCCTACCTCGATCATCTCCGGCTTCTGGATCTCCTTCAAGTAGTGCACGAAATCGGATGGGTCGGCGGCAGTGTCCCGCGAAAGGGATGTGGTCGAAGCCGTCGGAGTCATGATCTTGTAGATGCCTGCCGGTTGCGAAAGGTCCGCAGACTTGGGTCGACGGTGCGAACTAAAGCTATCGGGCCGTTGTTTCTTTGGAGACGAGGTCCCCTTGGAAAACGAAAAGCCGCGACTTCGGGATCGGGATCGGGAGCCTTTTCCATTCTGTGCCTGTCGGTCTGCTTTCTGTTCTTTTCCGCGGCCCCGACGGCCGGTGCTGTCGTTGGTATATACACTAGCGCTCGCGCTGTGCGGCGTGTTACTGTCCGCCTTGTCTTTCTGGATGAAGTCGGCCTTGATGTTCGTGTCCAGAGACCTCATCTTATCTCTCATGTTGTGAGGGATATTTCTCGCATCCTGGAAGATGGTGTTAGTCACTAGTGTTCTGTCCAGTATCTGGGGTCGGGTTAAGAATGCTAACCAAAAGCTTCTCGAACTCGCTCTCAAGGTCTTTGGAGCTGAGCCGTCTTTGCAGCTCGGCCTCTTGCTCTTTAGCATTGAACGCTGAAATAGCAGCCTGCACGCGAGAAACCCTCTTAGGGCTTGGTTCTGGTTTCCGTTCGGTCTCCGGGCGGGAGCCTGGTTTTGAGAGCCCACGAGGTCGTCCCCGTCCCTTGGAGGAAACAGGATCCGGCTGATCAGTTGGAGCCACTCTCTCAGGGGCCATGCTCTGGGGTGGCGAGAACATTTCCTTCACTTTGCGATTTCCCGCAAGGAAATCGGATTTCGGTCGGGGCTTTGCTTCCGTACGATTCGTGAGCGACGGCTGATGATAGTCGTGGAAATTACGCTGGTGTGCCGGCCCGTAGCGATTGGGAGTGTATAACGAAACCTCCTCCTGGAATGTTCTACGCCTGTTCGAAGATCCCGGAATTTCCGGCATGTCGTGGAATGAGCCCGTCGGGAATTGACCCCAGATTGGCGAGGGCATAGTGTCGACCAAGTCCGTAGGACTGCGGTTTTCCTTGTCTCGAGTGCTTCGGGACCCATCTCCCTTTCGGCCGCGCTGGGAGCGCTTCAGAATGGCCGAGAGACTGTTGGCTGACTTGGCTTTCTTCGGTTTCAGATCTGTGGACTCGTCTTCCAGCGACTCCTCCGTTTTGTGGTTCCCACGTTCCATGTAGCTCTTCAGGGACTTCAGCGACACGGCACTCTTTGTCTTCTTGTGCAATCCGGTCTTCTCGTGTTTATCAGGCGATTTCTGGCGTGTAGAACCGGCTTCCGCGGCATCGCGATTCGCAGCGATTTCGGCCAGCGGATGTTGGTCCAGGGTACCATACGCCTGGTCTATCGGGGAACCGAAGGAGTCACCCGATGGCTGGCTCTTGTGGGAGACTCTCGATGAGAAGGCTTCGTCGGCAGAGTGATTTCTCCGATGGGTTTTGGGAGACAGGAGCGATCTGAAGACGGACGATTTGGTGGGAGAACGGGTGGCATCGTCAAAAATATTCGGGCCTTGCATGCTGGGAGCCATATCTTATCACCTTTAGCCGGAAACTAATGGCATTGCCAGCGCGCAATTAGTACACCATTTGCAATAGCAGCCAGGAACAGGGCAATAGAGATGGCAAGGCCGAGAGGACTTACGGTAAATATGTCCCGATGCGACACCGAGCAAGCAACAGGACCCTAGGAGAAGGAAAGGAAAGAAGCGACCAATACGGAATAACACCAACCACGAGTATCTAGAAAAGCAAAACAGCAAGAACGCCTCGGAGAAACAAAGGCATTGAGGTCAACAAGACAAGATGTGGAGAGACGAAGCAGAAGAAGAAAAAAGAAAAGGGACGATGATAAGAGGAAGACGCCAACAACAACAGCAACAGCAACCACCGGAGCGGACGACGTGTGGGCAGGCCAGGAATTTGAAGGCTTCCAGAGCGACGGACATTAGCCAGGCGCCGTAATTCCCCAGGCTAAACTCATCTGACAACGGGACTTGCCAAACGGCCGGAGATCGTCCGCTGAGGGTGTAAACAGAATGCGGTCATCGCCGTTGCCAGGGGCAACCGACGCTGGCAGGTGAATCCTGCATGAGGTTTATTATCCATCCATTCGTGGTTTTTTTGGATCGCCCGTGGGAGTGCGTTCTGCGAACAAGTTTCTGTGTCGAGTCCGTCGGAGTTGATGTGTCCATTGATCAGATGGTGCTGGTTCTAGACGGTTGTGATATACTTCCCCTGGATATACTCCGTACAGCGGCCGCCCACCACTTCATCACGCCTATTTCATGCGAAAGATAGGATTACGACCACCTTTTGCCACTGGATGCTCTACACAAAGAAACTGCCTCGTCCTCTGTAGATCGTACATTCATGTCGGTTTGGGGTAAATTGATCTGTGGTCCTGTATGCGACATATATCGTCGACAGGTCTCAACGGGCAATGCAGCCTGCATTCCAGCTGACTGCATTGACGCCATGAGCCCGCCTGACCCAGTCGTCCGTACTACTGCCGGTGGACAGATGTAACTGCATTATATTACTCCATACTCCGGACTCAGTCGATGCAAGGAAGAAGAAACAGCGACCAAACAAACAAACCCCGGGTCACGGGACGCCAAGCAGATCGGCTTTCTTGGTCTTCTTGGTCGTGGGGTTCAGCGAGCTTCTTCTCTTGCAAGCATACTTTCTAGTGTCTATCAAATGCTCGAGATTCCCTCTATCGAGATTATCCATCTCGCCTCTTGCCCGGGTGGGTTTATCAATCACTTCCCCTGCCAGCTGTCACCATGAGGAACGTGACGATCGTGCCCACCGGGGCTAAGTTCCCTCGGCCAGAACAGCCCACCGGCGAAATGCGTCATGGCTACCGAATTCTGGACCTCGACAACCCACATCCTTTCGATTCACGCCCTGTCCCCGCCCTAGCATCGAGGCCTGTCGCCATCTCGACTCATTGATTCTGTCGATCAGGGATAATTGGACCAGATAGATCTCTTCCCCTGCTTCTCCGGTCTGCAGTGGAACCCGCCGGCATCGGGCAGTTTCGGGCATTTCTCCCCGCGGCTTGATTTCCAACGTGGTATTGCGAGTTCGACCTATTCCGACGAACAAAACGAGCGAACTCGAGACGCACGGTCTGTGCAAGTGTCCCACTTCTGCTGCAAAATACTCCGACAGTGCGATCTGTCAACTCCGGTCGCCATGAACTGTCCCTCGAGAACCGATGATGACCTCGAACACCCGGATTGGAACCAGAACCCACCGGCGCTGAGTGCCGACATAACCACTCGGAACAATCTGAATGGAATTGCCAACTCGAAAGTGCATCGGAGACATGCTCCGGGGCATGGTGGAATCATGGGGGACGGACTGACGGCCATCGAGTCTCAACGGTCCCGCCTGGATGACAACGAGCCCGCGTCCGAGAAGAAGGGCCCCGGCGAAGTGGTCTCTGCCGCCTTGGGGTATCAAGCCCCCAAGGCGGACAGCGGATCACCTCGCCGTCCTTTCAAACAATACATCACGTCGTCATCTTTGCATCTCGCCCAGAGCATTGTCAAATTTGCCCGCTTTCTGGGTCCGGGTTTCTTGATTGCCGTCGCCTACATCGACCCGGGAAACTACGCCACCGATGTGGCTGCAGGTGCCGAGTTTCGATACGCTCTCCTGTTCATCGTTCTCCTCTCCAATCTTTTTGCCATTTTTCTGCAGTCGCTGTGCATCAAGCTGGGCACGGTGACCGGGCTGAATCTGGCAGAAAACTGCAGAGAGCACCTCCCCAGATGGCTGGTGATTATTCTCTATATATTTTCCGAGTCTGCAATTGTGGCCACCGATATCGCAGAGGTAAGATCGTTCTTCCGGGATAATCAGCGGGGGATTGTTGCTGATCATCGTCTGAACAGGTCGTCGGATCGGCCATTGCGCTCAATCTCTTATTGAAGATCCCTCTGGTGGCGGGGTGTGCAATCACGCTTGCAGATGTCCTCTTCATTCTTATCTTCTACAGACCCAATGGCGCAATGTGGGGACTGCGTTTATTCGAGTTTTTTGTCATGGCCTTGGTCCTGGGAGTAGTGATTTGCTTTTGCATCCAGCTCTCTCTTATCAAAGAACAGTCAATTGGCGCTGTTTTTAAGGGGTTCTTGCCATCATCGGCCATTGTACAGTCGCAGGGGTAAGTCAACATACTTTTCCACTCAGCTCAGGGCCGCTGGGTTTCAGACACTCATTGTTTTGTCCACAGTTTGTACCAAAGCTGTGGCATCCTCGGCGCTACCGTCATGCCGCATTCCATGTTTCTGGGTAGCGGGGTAGTCCAGTCTCGCTTGAAGGAATTCGACGTTACCCAGGGCTACGTGGATCCCTCCGTCTGCTTGGGAAGTACGGGCGGAGAGGTGGAATACAGACCATCTCTCCATGCCATTAGAGGGTGCATGAAGTACTCCATCATCGAACTTACGTTGTCGCTGTTTACCTTTGCGTTGTTCGTGAACAGCTCCATCCTCATTGTTGCCGGTGCGTCGCTCTACGGCACGTCCGGCGCCGACGACGCGGACTTGTGGGGAATTCACGATCTACTGTCGAATTCCATCGCCCCCGCTGCAGGCCTAGTCTTTGCGCTCGCCTTGCTTCTTTCCGGCATCTCCGCGGGCATCGTCTGCACCATGGCGGGACAGATGGTCAGCGAAGGGATGTTGAACTGGAGCATTCGGCCCTGGCTTCGCCGGCTGATCACTCGGTCGGTTAGCATCATTCCAAGTATCATCATCGCCGGCGCTGTAGGCAAGGAAGGGCTCGACAAAACCCTCACTGCCAGTCAAGTAGTGCTGAGCATCATCCTGCCGTTCGTGTCCGCCCCGTTGATCTATTTTACATGCCGCAACCGGTTCATGACCGTCCCGGCCGATCGGATGAGCTACGGCCAGAATCCGGGTGACCCGGTGCCCCAGGAGGGCGTGAAAATGCGAAACAACTGGTTCGTCTCTGGGATTGCCATCATCGTATGGTTGATTATCGCCGTCATGAACGTAGCTTTGCTGGTTCTCGTGGGACTCGGCAAAGCCTCCTAACCGACAACAGTGTAGATTGGGGATGGCGATGACCCGTACGGAGAGGAAGAAATGACTCAGTATTATGCTAGAAGACAGCGTAGTTACAAGGGGATATGTGTGACGTCATGGAAAGCACGAGGGAGAAGCAAGTATGGAGGTTGAGGTGGTAGTAGGGCGACTGAAACAGGAGAAACTCAGGGTTGCAGGTATACATAGATAGATCATTGAATGGAATTCAACCGACGAGACCGGAATGGCTCAAATCAACGAGAACGGAACAAGAATAAGAAAACCAACGAGACTAAACTCCGATGCTGTCCATGCTCGAATCGAAACTCCAAATAAACCCGTCCAAAAATCATACGAAGCATTAGCCCAGACCACCAGCCGGCTCCTTGACCTTGGCCTGCTCCGGAGGCTCGTCGATAAACTGCGGCGGGGCCACCTCATCCTGCAGGAAACTCGGCATGGCGCTCTCCCCCATCGAGCTTTCGAACATGGTCTCCTCGCCCAGCGCCTCCAGCTCCGCGTCGAGATCCGCCTCGTCCACGTCCTCGGGCACGTCGTAGGCGCGCGAGATACTCTCCTGGATCTCATTGCCAACGTCCATCAGGTCCGCCATCTCATCCTGCATGCGCTCGATCTTGTCCACGTCGATCTTGCCGTACTGCTTCTTCAGCGTCGACGTGGTCGTCTTCATCGCGTCCACCGTCGTCATCACGTTCTTCAGGTTATCCTGCATCATGCCCGCCTGCTCCATGTTCCAGGACTGCTGCGAGAGCTGGTCGCGCTGCGCCTCGTACTGCTTCCGGCGCTGCAGCACCTTCAGCGCTTTCTGCCGCAGGGCGTTCTTGCCCGGCCCGTCGCGCATCTTGGAGATCTTAGACTGGTAGGTCGAGAGCTCGGAGTTTAGCGAGGCCAGCTTGACGTCGATGCTGGCGATCCGGTTGTCCACCTAGCATGCAGGGCACAGAAGGTTAGCTCATGCGGGGTCCTTTATTTGGATGTGGGAGTGAACGAGGGTGGGAGCACTCACGCCGGAGATGGCACTGTCCAGCGTCGGCTTGGGGGCCGAGTTCTTGGTTCCGAAGAGTCGATTCATGGTGGCGGAAGGAAACGTATGGAGGGTGAAGACTGAAGACTGAAGAGAGGGGCGAAAGACGGGGAACGGGATGATGTAGCTAGCTCTTCACTAGTAGATATATGCTGTAGACTAGGTTGGGATAGAATGGAATAGTATGCAATTAGGTAACCGGCGTGGCCACCGCTGCCTAGGCCGGCGGTCGGTCGGACTAAGAGGAACTCGAAGAGGATAGATACAATTGACTTCTGAAGGACGGGAAGCCACTCCAGTGAAGATGCGGACGGTGGATGTGGAATCAGGCTGGACACGAGGGATCTGACTAGACAAAGTTCAACGCCGCCAACGATCTTGAGTCTTTCGTTTCCCCACGAAGCCCGGCCTGCTGCACGTGATCCGCAGCCGCGGCAGTTGACAATCGACAATCGCCATTCATCGACTTGGGATGAATGGACTTGTGGACTCATGGATTCCCCGGCGAGCACTTCCCATCATCTGACAAGTTCATCGGCAACACGTGTGACGGGAGATTTACCAGCCCGATTACCAATAGATACACCTCCAGAGCCCGTAGGACTACTTACGTGAGGGAGTGAGCGACTGGTGAGGTATCCGGTACTTGTCCACCCACCGTGGCGGGTAGGGCCAGTGCGGTACCAGATACAAGGGAACATCGCCTCGTGCGGCGGCAAAGCGAGTTTCTCGTGGTTTTGGACGAGTCGCGGGGATTCGATCAGCTCCAGTCAACTTTCAATCTTCACGCTCAATTCTCAATCCCCACGAGAGTCTGGCCCCATCGGATCAGCCTGTCTGTCCTGGTCCGAGAGACTCCCCTCGACAGACCCCCGAATTAAATTCCTTAGTCAAAAGGCCCCCTCTTTCGCGTATCTGATTTCCCCCCGCCGTCGGGCTTGTTCATGTTGGGTATTTCCGCCCTGCTTCTCCTTCCAAGGATCAAACTTGCCGGCCGATCCAGACGCAGCCGCCAGCGCAACTGAACTCACCGATCATCATCCTTCCTCTTCCTCTCCCGACTCTCCTCTCTTAATACCCCCTTTAAATTAAACTAAAAAAAATACCCTATCCATCTTCCCCCACGGGCTGACACTCCGTCACTGTCCGACAACGGAGGCTCTGACGCAGACCTCCCAAACTGCCGACGGCCTGGATTTCGCCTGTGCACCTGAGAGCCCGTGCCTCTGACGACCAGTTGGTCTGTTCTCATCTTCCCCCCCTCAACAAAGGAGTCTGGCACGGTCTCCCCTTCATTGTCATTCTCTTAAGGTCGTGAAGGTATGCTCTCTACTTTCCCTGGGTGACTGGTGGTTTGTGTTAAGTGGTGGCTGTGTCTCATCATTGAATGTACCCCCCCTGATTTGCCGGGGCTTGTCGATTCCCACATGGTCTCTTCAACGCTTCTGATGTCGATCAGAGTTAGTCTCGAGGGGGAACACCTCGCCTGTTCCGTCACGAGGTAATTTGGGATATGGTTCTGCGATCGGATTGCTAACGGGCTGGTTTCTGAATTGCAGCGCTAGATCGCTCGGACCGGATTTATCTAACTTGTCAACCATTCTCTCTCCTTACCTCATCATCCCCGGTGCATCTGATTTGTCTGAGACGACTTGCATATGACGACTGCGCCTTCGTGGAAACCCGTCTTTTCTCGTCCGCCTCGAATCACCGCCGTTTCCCCTTGCGCGTGGGTTTGGTCCCGCATAGAAGAAAGCTCGCCCGCAGGAACTCGGTGAACGACCCGCCGCGCCCACACAAAAGTGCTTGTGATACCCTGACCTTTTCCTTTTCCATGAGTCATTTCGCTCAACTATATAATTCATCATGTTTTGGCGTTTCGGAGGATATGCAAGTATCTCGAGCATCGATACCCTGCTTGACAAGCCCCACGTCAGCCTCGAGGAGCTGTTGGACGAGTCGGAGTTGATCCAGGAGCTGAAGCAACACAATACGAAGCTCATAGAGTATTTACGAGATGATAATGTCTTGAAACGTCTTATGGACTATGTGATCGCCCCGAGTCTGGTGAACGACGACGATGACGACGATGAACCCAACGACAGTAATGCCGCGCCCGCGTCGAAGGACGCTTCCGCCGACGAGGAGAAGCGGGGTGATCCGCTGAAGGACCTGCTGGACCCCGAGGACCTGGAGAAGGCGGAGAAGGACCGCCTCAAGAGAGCCTACGTTGCCTGTGAGATTCTTTCGTCGGAGATCTGGTCGATACTCGAGTCGATCATGCTCAATCCCGGCTACCTACGGGATTTCTGGGGCTTTGTGAGACGATCGCCGCCCCTGGATTCGGTCCAAGCGAGTTACTTCACGAAAGTAAACGAGGGCCTATTCGATAAGAAGACGAGCGAAATGCTCGAGTTCTTCAAGTCGCTGGATGGCATCATCCCCGCCATTCTCCAGCATGTGGACAACCCGATGGTCATGGACCTTCTCCTGAAGATCATCAGTCTTGAGAAGGTGGAAGGAGGCCAGGGAATCGTTGATGTAAGTTCACGGGAACGAAGGGTCTTTAGACGATCGAACCGGGCGCTGACACCCAACTCCTAGTGGTTGAAAACGCAAAACCTCATACCGATTCTCCTCTCGTTCTTGTCCACTGATCGCCCGGCGTCGGTTCAGACCTCGGCGGGCGATTTCCTCAAGGCGATCATCACCATCTCTGCGAATGCTACGCAGAACGACCAATCGTGTATTGGACCCAACAGCCTGACCCGCCAATTAGTCTCCCAGCCGTGCGTGGAGAGTCTCATCAAGGCTATGCTCCAGGGCGGAAACCCTTTGACGGTGGGCGTTGGTATTGTCATCGAAGTGATTCGAAAGAACAACTCCGACTATGACCCGGACAATATCAATGGTCCCGACTCCATGCCCTCCACCTACGACCCCATCTACCTGGGGAACCTCTTGCGGCTCTTCGCGAAGCACATCCCGGATTTCATGGCCCTCATTCAAAGTTCGAAGCACACTGTCAGTGACGGCGGGGAGGTCAAGAGCGTGGAAAGAGGCCGGCTCACTTCGGCCTGGGGTGCTAGGATCGAACCGTTAGGATTTGATCGGTTCAAGACTTGCGAGTTGATGGCCGAGTTGTTGCACTGCAGTAACATGGGTCTTCTGAACGAGCCGGGAAGCGACGAATACGTGCAGCAACGCGATGCTGAACGTGAGCGGCTGGTTCGGGAGGGTGTCTTTAACCCGCAGCAAGAAACCTCTGGTTTCGACGGCAATGAATCCACCGCCGACTTCGTCAATGGGTCCGTCATCGGCGACGGCTCCCCAGAAGACTCCAAGGTGCTCGAATCCTCGGCGAACGCCGGTGAAGATGGATTTGAGGATGTAAGCTCCTCGGGCGTCCTTGTTGACAAGGAGAAAGATGCATCCGATGAAAAACCCACCGGTGCTCAGGAATCGGCATCCCAGGACGCGACTTCAAAGGCGCAGGAAGAGTCTACTCCAGCCTCTGACCAAGCCGCACCCAAGGCGCCGGAAAACAAGAGCCAGGACCAGAAGGATACGGAGATTGCAGACACGACCCAAGCACACACACCTCCATCCGACCCAATGTCACCGACAGCATCAGGGCTTACAGACCGAATCGGAGAAGTATCCCTTGACAACCAAACTCCCCAGGAGGCATCAACGGAGGCGAAGTCTGGGGAATCGGCAGCCGCCCCTCAGAGCGATCAGGGCCAGGAACAAGCGTCCGCTCCCATGTCATCCAACCCCGAGGCTGTGCCACCACCTCTTTTCGCTGCGAAGTCTCAGAGTCCCGAAGAAAATAACCCGAGCCCTGATACTGCTGGCCATATCGGTGATGCATCGGGTCCAACAGAGTCTGCTGCGCAGTCTACATCCCAGGAAACCGAGGAATTCCAGCATCATCTACACCCAGATGTCCAGGTTGATCCCAATGGCCGGCCAGTTGTCGGCGACTACCTGAAACTCATGTTTGTGAAGAATCGGGTTGTCCCTACTATTCTGGTAAGTCGGGCTCGTAGTCCAGACGCTTTAACGTGTGCTTTGTGCTGACTAGATGTTCTACAGGATTTCTTTTTCCGTTTTCCTTGGAACAATTTCCTTCACAATGTCGTGTATGACGTCGTGCAACAAGTGTTCAACGGCCCCATGGAGCGTGGGTACAACCGAGCGCTGGCTGTCAACGTCTTTGAGACCGGTCGGATAACCCATGAGATTGTGGACGGCCAGAGGAGAAGCGATGCAGCCCAGCGTGCCAAGAAGATCCGACTTGGGTACATGGGCCATTTGACGCTGATTGCCGAGGAGGTTGTCAAGTTCAGTGAGCGACACCCGCCGGAGTTGTTGTCTCCCACTGTGATGGAGCATGTACTGAATCCTGAGTGGATTGAATACGTCGAGCAAACTCTCTCCGAGACTCGTGAGCGTGACAACGCCATCCTGGGTGGAGTCCGCCCCGACATGTCGATTGGAGGTCGCCAAGGCATGCTCAACTCTGGCCAAAGCATGAATGCCTCTTCCGCCCTTGCTGAAGCGGGCCTCAACGGCTCAGCTGGAGGATCAAACTTCCAGGGATTTGACATGAACCAAGGCAGTGTGTCTGGCGGAGCTTTCGGTCTCGGTGGCGGCGCCGGCGGTTCTCTTCTCAGCGGATTTGCCAGCTCCAGCGATGACGACGAGGACGAAGAGATGGAGGACCAAGAAGATAGGAACTCAGGCGAACAATCTGCCGAAGGCAGTTCTGAAAATGTGGGTGATGATTTCTTTACTGATGTTGACATGCACGACCCATGATCATGATGATGACTTGCATTTTCCCTTTTCTTTTCCTTTTTGACTTTTGTTCCATTCCCCCTTCTCAAGAACTTCCTTTCCTCTCGTCCGCCCTTTTCTTAACCAATCTCTAAGCATTCGTCGTTGTTATCTCCCGATACAACGGCTGAGGAAGGGATGGCACATGATAAATGACGGGGAGTGGTGGAAGGTTCTACAGGAATCACTTCATTGAGCGTTTGGCTTGCAGCACCTTGCATTTACGTTTGGATCTATCCATCGAAACTCCATCTCTCCCCGACATCGTGTGATATCATTTCCTCTGGCATTGTTCTCCTTTTCTTTTCTTTCTTCATAGTCATATAAGTAGTCCCTTGGCTTTTTTCGCCTGGGTGATGACATTGCATTTGTATACATGAAGCATTGCATTTTTCCTCCTTTGCGGGACTTTCCCTTTTTCTTTTCTTTCTTCTCTATGCTTTGTATAGTTGTTGCTGCACTTGCCTCCCCAATATACCCAAAAATACATTTGTTGCATGAGTAACTGACTGTGATAAAACACAATAGGCCTCCAGCCAACCTATACCTATTCTTCCTCCGCCTCCAGCTCCTTTGAGTCTCGGTCCCTCTCGAGCGCGAAGGCAATTGGCAGCTCGACTCGCGGCCCAAAAGCAACAGGCGGCAGAAAACAGCGACAACAAGGACGAGGACAAGCAAGGGGGCGAGAGCAACGACTCCCAGTGGCCTTCCAACCCGTTCGTGATTGCCGGGCTCGAGGACGATGGCGAGGGTGCAGACTCACCTGCAAGGTCTGCCTTCCCGTCGACCGACTTCGCCCCGACGCACAAGGACGAAGCCTTCTCGTCACCCACGTTCCCCGAGTCCGGATTCAGCCCGCCCGACTCTTTGTCAACCAACTCATCCGATGATGACGGCGAAGGGCGATCGCAAGGAGCGCGACGTAAGGAACGAGTTCCTCTAGAGGTTGAAGATGACGATGACGATATGGGCGAGATGGTTGGCCCATCGCTTGGGTCCGATATGATGGACTCCGACGAAGAAGACGAGGCCATCATTAACGAGTCACTAGGATACCCAAACCTAGGCCCCGGACGGTACAAGAATTTCCGAAGATCGCGCGTCGGGGAATCTCCCTTTGGAGACGACCAGGATGACAGCAGCGACGGCGAGGATGACGGGCTTGTCGAGATTCTGGTCCCGGGGAGGAAATCCTAACCTGTTTATTTCGCCCATACGATACCGCATTGGTTTTCCGTCCAGAGCGCCGACGTGCGATGAGGTCGGGAGACAATCCTCATGATGATGTACACTATTGACTGCATGACATCTGTATGTTTCATCTCTGCAATGCATGGAGCTGAGTTCACCTTGACGGGGATCCAGAAGGCGGTGCACTATACGCTGGATGAAGCATTGAAAGAGATACGGGGGACTTTAGCAAGTCCCCAGGGAGAAAGAGGGAGGGTGGATGACATTTTTGTGACTTCGGCGAAGTCACGAAAGGAATGGTTATGAATCTACAGGCGTTCTTGATTTGTTGTTGGCACTTTTGTATTTGGGTCGGAGGGGGGAGAGATGCTCGGCTTCAAGATGAGTTGGGCTCTTTCAGGTAGTTGTACGATAACCATGTTAGAAGAGTGAATGTTGTTTTTGCGTTGTTCAACCGACATAAGAAAGTAGACCAGGAGATGTGTAGAGCGAGAAGATGTTCAGAATCAGAACGGGAGAGGAACACCAGCAAAAAAAAGTGGGACATGACGATTTATTCATCTTCCATCCGCCTTTCCACCCCACCTCCATCACCCTCCCTTTCACGCCAGAAAGAAGACAGCCTTGTAGGCATACTTACCTCTGCCCATCATGGCTACTGATCCGACATCTTCCCCGTAAGATCCAAATCCCTTTTCGCATCCCCAACCAACCACTAGAACCCATCTATCCATGTACCCCAGTACCTAACTTCATACAGACCCAACACCAACACCAACACCAGCAGCCTAGAGCCCTACACCACGCTGCTGCAATGGATGACCCAACACGGCGGGCATCTGCACGAAAGCGTGCAAATAGCCAAAGACGAGCGACGCGGCGTGCACCTCCAAGTCCGAAAGGACTGGGCCGCCGGCGTCCCCAGCGGCACGCATATCATCCAGACGCCGCTGGCGTCGACCATGTCGTACTTCAACGCGACGGACTACGCGAAGGAAGGCAGTGCTGCCTCGTTCCCCGCGCACGGCGTCCACCTCCCGCAGGCGTTCATGGACGCCGTCGGCACCGAGGAGGCGTCGATTTTCTTCCTCATCGGGCAGTTCCTGCGTGGGCCTGACGGCTTCTGGTACCCGTATCTCAGGACGTTGCCGCAGCCTGGGGAGCTGACGACGCCGATGTATTATGGGGAGGGCGATGTTGAGTGGTTGCAGGGGACGAGTCTGTTGGCGGCTAGGGAGCAGAAGACGAGCTTGTTGAGGGAGAAGTATGAGCGGGCTTTTGCAGTGCTGAGTGAGTTGGGGTTTGAAGGGAGGGAGAGCTATACGTGGTGAGTGGTTTTCTTTTTCCTGTCTGGAATAGTTGGCAAGATTGTTGATCAAGATGGCAGGGATCTCTATATCTGGGCGTCGACCATTTTCGTCTCGCGCGCGTTCTCGGCAAAGGTCCTCTCCGGGGTGATTCCTGATGCGGAGCTGCCGGAAGAGAACGTCTCCGTTCTTTTGCCGTTTATTGACGTCTTGAATCATCGTCCACTGGCTAAGGTCGAATGGCGCGCTGGGAAGGATGATGTTTCGTTCGTGGTGTTGGAGAACGTTGCTGCTGGCGAGGAGATTGCGAATAACTACGGTCCTCGGAATAATGAACAGTGTAGGTGCACATTCCCCGGGGTAATAGTCGATGAGGACCAAACTAACATCGGTAGTAATGATGAACTACGGGTTCTGCCTCCCGGACAACCCGTGCGATTATCGGATTGTCAGTCTACGAGCACCACCGGGCAGTCCGCTTCAGGTCGCAAAAGCCCAACAGATGCAGATGTTCCCTGAAATGGCGAGTGCCCTGGCCGATGATCATTACTACGTGTTTAACGTTTTCTATCCCCTACTTGCTCCCGACACCCCCATGGAGCATTCGATATTCTCGCCGGCGCTGTTCAACGGCGTATCCATCCTGGCAGCAAACAACCGGGAATTGGAGACGCTAGAGATCTCGGAGCAAGGCGTCCGGATTGCCGATGCATATGGAAACTCGCGGACCATCCTTGCTGCTATCAGCCAGATCATCATCGAGCTTATCACTCACATCGTGAAACTGAAGTCATCTGCGGAAGAGCTCTCAAGCCCCGCAAGTCTCAAGCAGACCCATGCAAAGGTTTACCGGGACAGTCAGATCATGCTGTCCGAGACGGCTCTTGTGGTTGCGGCATGGACCCTCAACCGGTCACGGCAGCACAGCTTCACCGGAAGCTGGGACGAAACCAAGCACCTCCTTGGTGCCCACATGGGCCGCATCCCGAAGGGGAAATTTCCGGAGACAGTCCTGTCGCGAACTCAGATGCGGATTCTAGAGCGACAGTCCATCCTCGCGAACAACGGGGAGCTCTTTGCATTGGAGGAGCTACTGGATCTTCTCCCGGCTGAAATGCAACAGCCGTCCAAAGCGTGCTTCCAAGAGGTTACCGCAACGGCTGAAAAGGCCATGCCGATGCTGCGAGGAAGCGGCGAAACGCCCTTTGCTTTCCCCATGTTCCTTTGCGCTGTTATGGCGGCCTACAGGATCGCAAAAAATTCATCCAACGCCTCTCTGCTGTCTCCTCGTCTAGCCCAATGGGCTGGCTTCCTTCTGGAGAAGTATCCGCCCCCGCCTGACGATGTACTCTGGGCTGTGGAGGACGAGGACGATGAATATCTATTGACGATGTTTGACGAAGCTCTTGAAAATATGAAAGAAAAGAACAACTGGGTATTCTCCCGGTTGTCTGCGTACACCGGGGGGTGGGAGAACGACAACTGGTGGCTTTCTCCCAATTGGGTGCGATGGGCCTGGATGCTAGTTGAGCAGGAGAGCGTGTCGGTGCCCGAGGATCCACTGGGACTATTGGCGGCCGGGGAGCCGGGACAAGGGTCGGTGATGCTGTCGACGGTGTCGTATCTGTATGTGCCGCAGGTGTAAGAAGGAAGTCAGATAGAGAGGTAGAAATGCAGGTAGATATAGAAACGCAGAGAGTTATACCTAAGTATGCACATAAGATTACCGCATTGGGAAGCGCGCACTGAGTAATCCGCCATTACTCAGCGGGGCCACGTGACCAGTCCGCAGCCAATCAGCGGCGGGCGAAAGGCGGATTCTCAGCAGGCGCAGGAATTGCCGCGAAGCTCAACTCCACGACAGCATCATATCTTGGTTCCCCCCTTCCTTCTCCCCTCTTTCTCCCCCAATTTCCTCCCCATTGGGCCCCAGCTGTCACCATGATATCTCGAGCGGCGGCTCCCACGCCTTCCTCCCTCGCCAACCTTTCCTCCCGGTCTCTCCGAGTCCAGGGCCCGGCTGCCCGCTCCTTCGCGACCGTCCAGGACAACGCCCCCCCCGTCCGCGGTCATGGCGGTCTGCAGGACCAGGACCGCATTTTCACGAATCTCTACAGCCACCATGGCGCGGATCTGAAGTCGGCTATGAAGTACGGTGACTGGCACCGCACCAAGGACATCGTGTTGAAGGGTCATGACTGGGTAGGCGTTTTCCTCTCTTCCGGACGACAAATCGAACCAATTCGTCGAATCAGAATCACCGATATGACAACGGACAATGCACAATGAAAGGAACAACCCAGGCTAACTAGTATCTCCTGTTCGATTTCAATAGCTCATCTCCGAAATCAAAGCCTCTGGTCTTCGTGGTCGTGGTGGTGCCGGTTTCCCCTCGGGATTGAAATACGTGAGTTGAATTCCGGCAAATCCTCGTGGGGGGAAGGAGATGGGAAAATTGATTCAATTGACTAACGTTTGGAATCTCCCATTCCAGTCCTTCATGAACTTCAAAGACTGGGACAAGGACCCCCGACCCCGATACCTCGTCGTCAACGCCGATGAGGGTGAGCCCGGAACCTGCAAGGACCGTGAGATTATGCGGAAAGACCCCCAGAAGCTCATTGAGGGCTGTCTCGTTGTGGGCCGTGCCATGAACGCCAACGCCGCCTACATTTACATCCGTGGTGAATTCTACCACGAAGCGACCATCCTCCAGCGGGCCATCAACGAGGCCTACCAGGCCGGTCTGATCGGCAAGAACGCCTGCGGCACCGGCTACGACTTCGACGTCTACATCCACCGCGGTATGGGTGCCTACATCTGTGGTGAGGAGACCTCCCTCATCGAGTCCATCGAGGGCAAGGCCGGCAAGCCTCGCTTGAAGCCCCCGTTCCCCGCCGCTGTCGGTCTGTTCGGCTGCCCTAGTACCGTCACCAACGTCGAGACCGTCGCCGTGACCCCCACCATCATGCGTCGTGGTCCTAGCTGGTTCTCCTCGTTCGGTCGTGAGCGTAACGCGGGTACCAAGCTCTTCTGTATCTCCGGTCACGTCAACAACCCCGTCACCGTCGAGGAGGAGATGTCCATCCCTCTGCGCGAGCTCATCGACCGCCACTGCGGTGGTGTCCGCGGCGGCTGGGACAACCTCCAGGCTATCATCCCCGGTGGATCCTCGACCCCGGTCATCCCCAAGTCCGTCGCCGACGACCAGCTCATGGACTTCGACGCCCTGAAGGACTCCCAGACCGGTCTGGGAACCGCCGCCATCATCGTCATGGACAAGTCGACCGACATCGTGCGCGCTATCTCGCGTCTGTCCACCTTCTACAAGCACGAGTCTTGCGGTCAGTGCACCCCCTGCCGTGAGGGCAGCAAGTGGACCATGCAGATGATGCAGCGTCTGGAGACCGGTCAGGCCCGCGAGCGTGAGATCGACATGCTCCAGGAGCTCACCAAGCAGGTTGAGGGTCACACCATCTGCGCTCTGGGTGAGGCCTTCGCCTGGCCCATCCAGGGTTTGATCCGTCACTTCCGTCCCGAACTGGAGGCTCGCATCAAGGAATACCAGCAGGAGCTTGGTGGCCAATCTCCCTACGCCGGTGGCTGGCACCCTAACAGCCGGGCGGAGGGTAAGCTGATCTCCCCTGGCATGTAAAAAACAGAAACAGAAAAAGAAAGAACAAAAAAATATCTTCTGTCTTATTCACATCTACCATCTCCTTTTCGTCTTTCGATTGACTTAATGGACATCGACAAAGAAACGGGAAGGGCCCAAACAATAACAATGAGAAGAAGATTCAAACAAAAAGGATATAATAACATCTCTGTTTATTATGTTTCTCTTAGATAAAGATGTGTTTGTGTGATTTGGTTCAGCAGGAGTGTCTTTTTTTTCTTTTCTCTTTTGTCTTTTTTTGTTTCTCCTAACCTCACCTTCCTCTCTTCCTCCTTTCTACCTCTTGTTTCCTTTTTATAATGTTCAGTTTATCATGTACAGTTCCCTGGTAGCAGCAATTCCACATTTCTTTTTCTTTTGTTCTTTTCTTTCTTGACATGTAGTAGTTGGATGGTTAATTGGCCTTGTTTGGGTCAATGAGTAGATAGGTTTTATTTCCTTTTCCCTTTTCCCATAGGGTATCTTAATAATATTGACCTGGGGTTCTACCAATAGATATTAAGATATTTGAGTTTTTTAGACCAATCAAATGTATCCAATTTCTATACGCCATCTCATAATACAAGTCTACTCTACTTACCCTTCTACTAAAATCCACACCTGCACCATCCACCCCATCTACGCAAACAAACCACATATTAAAAATCACTGCATTGCTCCATTACATCAAGTAGAATCGTCCCGTCATGGAAACGGTGCATACATACAAATTATGCCCGGGAAGGTAAGGGTGATCGGATCGAACTAAGACAAGGTTTTGGAATCATCATTCTTGCGCTTTACCATATGAGAAAAGATAATTAAAAAAGGGAGATGAGAAAAGAGAAAAAAAAAATAGCTCCTTCTCACATGGTCGGTGGCAGAATGGAAGAAATCCAAGTGGAAAAATTGGAAAAAAAGGTAAAATGATTTCAGACAGAAATACAATAGGGGTACAAGGGGTACGCGGTATGATGCTGAGGACTGACTGGCTGGACGAGGAAAAAAAGTGTACAGAGTTATGAGACACAAACAAATAGAAAAGAAAAAGAAAAAAAAAAAAGACCCGCAGGAACATCAAATGGGGGAGAGATGACGACAGCTCGAGATTTTATTGAAATGAAAAAAGGGCATGCAAAATGATAATTGGAACGCTTAATAGGCGCCCGCCATGATGACACTGTAGTAGCGCCGACTCATCTCTGCCATTTGAAGAAGACGCGCATCTCCCGTGAGAGGCAGGCCAAGGACATTTGAGATATCCACCGTCTGTAAAAGAATTGTTAGCCGGTGTACAGTCGTCGGTGTAAAGAAGTAGCTTACCTTTCCATCTTCGTGAGCCGTCCAGTTGGCAACAGCCCGGCTCATCTCCTTGAAGGCCACCCGTTCTTCCAGCCCTTCCACTCCAGATGCTTGACCGATCTTCTCTCCCATCGTCACCAATGCATTGACAAGTCGGTTGAGTCGAGAGGCATCCCGCTTGCCATGCTTGGCAGTCACAAGATGAAGGAAGTCGTCATAGATGCCGCCTCCAGTGGCCCAGCCTCGCACTTTGCGCTCCGGGGCCTCGCCAAAGCCCCAAACCAGAGTCTCGAGCGTGGAATAGTCGCGCTCAATCACAGCGGTCGGGCCGACGATGCGACAGAAAGTGGCATGAGCATCGTTCCAGTTCTTGCCGCGGACAAGGCAGTCAACCTCGCGGGCTGCATCGCCAACGTCACGCGCGTAGAGGGCCTTGGCTACCCAGATCCACCCCTCAGGAAGCTGCAGATCTTGGGTGAGATATTGCCAAGTGGCGTCTGGGGATCCGTCCGGGGTGCTTGGTTCAGGTAGCCGGGACGCAAAACGTGCCAGAGTCTCTTTGACGGCACGCTCGCGGTCTGACTGCCGGGATAGGTGGAGCAGAACAAACAAAACTCGTTCAAGTTCACCACTGCAGCTGAGTTCCCAGGCATAGTCTTGCACCAACTTGTCTACTTGCGCAGCGTTTGCCTTGAAGCTCTCGTGGTGTCCAATGGTGGCAGCCAAGAGCTGGTGCAGCTGGAAGGACAATCGACTCGATAACTTATCTCCGGTCACGGACTCAGGCAGGAAAGCAGCCGGTAGTTCCAGCGCAGGCAGGTTTGAAGCGCCCACGGTGGTCGAGTAAAGCTTCAGCAAAACCCACAGTGGGGATTCGCGGCCCGAGACATCCGTCGTAGTTTGGGGCACCTGGGTGTTGTCTTGGTGAGAAGGATAGGGGAAAGCCGACTCTTTGCCGCTGTTCAGGTCGTTGAAAAATTTGGAAACAGCAACCTCAAGTGGCTCGTCATCAGTGATGGCGTACCACAATCGAAGACCGAATGCTTGATACCAGTCCAACTCGAATCGCTCGGTGAAAGTAAAAGACGATAACCGGTCTTCAAGAGCACCCCCGGATTTTCCCTCGCTGTGAAGCGCATTACCGGCCAGAAGTTCATACAACGCTCGGATGGGCTCGGTCATTTCTGAGTATACATTATGCTGGCGCCACATCTCAACTTGCTTGGCCATGTCCGCGCGCGAAGTGGGGTCTCGACCGACCTGAGCGAGGAGTGTCGCAAGATGGAAATTTTGACTAGCGATCAAGACATTGCATGCCTCCTCGACTCGGTGGGAGCAGAGCAAGTACACCGCACGCTCCTCGGCCGAGTTGGCCTTGCCCAGTGTGTGCGCATGTCTCTCGCGGATGATCCGTTCCCACAAACGACTCAAGCGGTCCTTTTTGATGCGAGGGAGGTATTTAGCCCGATGTTGCGCTGGAACGCCGGCAGAGATGTCATCTTCAATTTCATTGTTGAACAATATGTTGCTCAATTGCCAGACAAGGCGTTCTTGATCAGACGCTGTATTGCTCGATGACGCCGAGGCAAACTGCCGGAAATCGGCATTGGCCAAGCGCGCGAAAGGAATACCATCGACACGGGTTACAACAGACTGCTTGCTCTGAATATCCAGCATCTCACTGGATTCGGCAGTGTTCTTGAACGCGAGCAAGACAACATCTCTCTCTTCACTGGTGACAGAAAGTTGTGGCTGCCATCGATCGTCAGAGCATGCATCGCTAAGTCCATTTTGAACGCAAATGATAGAGTCCACGGGACCCCAGCGCGGCTTGAACGAGTGATGGAAAGCAAGATCGTCTTCGGTCAATTCATTTGACTCGCCAGCGAACGTCTTCGGAGTTTTGCTGTAAGGCCACTATGAAGAAAAGGTTAGTCCATGTATCGAAACACTTAAACATAGCAAGTCAAACAAACCTCAAAGCCTTTAGCAGCCTTCGCATTCTGTTCCTTGGGGGGACTCGTTACTTGCTGCTTGCGTGGCTGTTGAAACAACGAATTCATCAGGTCGATGCTCGTCGAGAACCCTTTCTGTCCAGATTCCGTGCCATTTTCTTTTGGTGAGCTCTCGTGGGACGACTTATTGGCAAAGGCATTGCGTTGGATTTCGCGCAGTGCATCTCGGTTCTGCTTCCTGGGGCTGATCGTTCGCTGCAATTGCTCGGCCCAGTCGTCACTAAGATCGAGACGAGCCTTGGGAGGTGTGCCCCAGGGCTTCAAGGAAGGGAGGGTGTCCTCGGTAAAGTGGTCGGTGCTTTTGGTGTTGTCCTGCTCCACGGTATGATGAAGGTTGGGGAAAGTACCCGCCATGTCCATTTCCTCACCCTCATACGATTCAACTTCTGACTCGCCAGAGTGCTGGCTCTCGGTGATATCATCACCTTCTTGCTCAGTAGTCGAACCCGTGGAGCCGTCCCCTAAAAAAGACTCGTCTTCTCCAGAAGCGGACTGCTCATCCATCTCCATGGCCTGGTTGCCAAACGAGCCCGGGACCATTTTGCGCTTTTTAAAATCGAAAGTGTCGTCATCAACCCCTCCCACCGAGTTGAAGAAGGGATCGTCAGTTGAGATGGTGGACATTTGCTCCGAGCCCACGGTACTGTCGAGGTTCGCGGGGGACTGAGCCTTCGGAGTCGGAGTGTCAGGAGCAGCACTCACAGTGCTTTGGTTATAGCTCTCACCTTCATCTTCATCGTCATCATAATCAAGGCCATACGTGGTAAAGTGGGGCACTCTGAAAACCCATGTGCCGGTTTCCGTGGCGTAATCGATAAACTCGGTGTTGACGACCTTTCTCAAGCGGTCGATATGTTTGTCGAAGAGAGGGCCGCTAGTGAGGGGCGTTGGGGACCTTCTGTCTCTGCCTCGGGGCCAAGAGTTTTCGATGCACAGAGTCGAGGGGACGTTCAATCCCTTACCCATCGGGGGCTTGATGGCTTCGTCTGGGTACACGGTGATCTTGCGCAGGCCGATGTCGACCAGTCCACCCAGGATGTTGTCCAGGTCAACCGTCGTCAGATCAACTGGCTCATCGAAGGTTACCTGACCGCATCGTTCACGACCGACAGTCAAGCCAACCATGTTCTTCTGCTGCTCGCGGCTCATTTTGTTGATCTCCGCGCGCGTAGGCTTCATCCAGTAATCGCCAGGCCTAGGGTCCCTTCCAGGAGAGAAGGTAAGCCGGGATGAATCGTCGTCAAATTCAATGTTTTGCGCGCCATCCTCAGGGACAACGGCGAGATCTCTGGCGGGAGTCGTCTTTACAGCACCACCGGCGCCATTGACCCCGTTGATAGTGCCACTTTTACGAATGGAGCGCAGGAATCCCAGCTCCTCTGGGGTGGGCTCTGCGCTTTCAGTTTCAGCGGGGACGACAGCCGCGGGCGCCATTCCGTCGGAAGAAGAATCAAAGCTAACCCTCTTCTTGCCCTTGTCCGTCGACGGGCCCGACTCAGCTGCGGCAGGGAGGGGAGCGGTAGGCGAGCTGGTTGAACGCGAGAAGAGATCATTCTTGACGCTCACGCTGCGGTCAATGGTCAGGCGCTTCAAGCTACTGCCCGACGCGCGAAGTGGCCCGGAGGAGACCGACGAGAGGGCGCCAGGCGCCAGAACGCTGTGGGAGTCTGGCTCAAAGCTGTTCCGTAGATTGCTGGTGGAAAAGCTCTTGCTGAAGCCGTTGCTACGTCCAAGGCTACCGCCGACACTTGCGCGTCCACTGAGAAGACTGCTGCCAAGTCCATTGGGGGTGTTACCGGCGCTAGAGGGAGATCCGTAGGTCGAGTACGAGAACCCATATCCTTGACGCTTTGGCGGCGTGATGAGACGATTGGCGGCGCTTGGGGCGATCTTGTAAACGGGCAAGGGAGTGCGCTGCTTTTGCTTGATTGAAGACGAGAGCGGCGTTGCCAATGGGCCGGGGCTAGGAGCACTTGGAGCGGGCAAGCCGGAGAAGATGGACTGGTTTCCATAGGGATTTCCGTCGAGAAGGGAGGCCTGCAAGCTCCCGGGGGCTGGCTGCTGCGGTTGCTGCTGTTGCTGAGGCTGGGCTTGCTGCGTGCTTCCACCAAAGAGAGAGCTGCCTAAACCAAGACCGCCGCCCTGCTGTTGCTGGGGCTGGCTGTTGCCAAAGAGCGAGCTTCCAGTGTTTTGACCTGCCGTACTTTGGCCACCGAACAAGGAGGACCCTGTGCCGCCAGCCCCGCCGAAAAGACTGGGCTTCTGTTGTTGCTGGTTCTGAGTGCCGCCGAACAAGCCGCCGGTGCCAGTTTGCTGATTCTGGGTGCCTCCTAAACCACCACCAAATGGGCTGGCGCCGGTGCCGGTGCCGCCGGTGGTATTGCCGAATAAGCTCTTCTGTCCTTGCTGTTGATTCGCGCCACCAAAGAGAGAGCTAGTTCCAGTTTGCTGGTTGTTGGTGCCTCCACCAAAGAGAGAGTTACCGGCCGGTTGCTGCTGGTTTTGCTGCGGGTTTTGTCCGAATAGAGATGACCCTCCGGTATTGCTTCCCGCGGTGTTGCCGAAAAGACCGGTGCCACCGGACTGCTGCTGCTGATTGTTTTGACCGAACCCGCCGAAAAGTCCCTTGTTCTGAGTCTGGTTCTGGTTCTGCGCTTGGTTCTGCTGGCCAAAGCCACCGAATCCCCCCGTGCCACTTTGCGGCTGCTGCTGCTGCTGCTGCTGACCAGCACCACCAAAGAGAGAAGAGGTGCCACCGGTACTGGCGCCGCCGAATGGAGATGCCGTGTTGGTGTTTTGCTGTTGTCCAAACCCGCCGAAACCACCGGTTCCAGTAGACGTTCCGCTAGCTCCGAACAAAGGCTTGTTCTGCTGCTGCTGCTGGTTGTTGTTGCTGCCGAACAAAGAGCTACCGCCGGTTCCACCAAAAGCGCCACCCGTGCCTCCTGATGTGCCGGCTCCAAAGCCACCCGTCGTTCCGGTCGTACCGCCAAAAGGGCTGGCCTGAGAGGTCCCGGTGGAAGTCCCCCCAAACAAGGAGTTGGCGGGCTTAGCAGCTCCGAACAAAGGGTTGGTGGAGGTAGAGCCAAAACCGCCCGTCGTCTGGGTCTGGCCGAAGGCCGAAGGCGCACTTGTCCCACCGCCGCCGAAGGGAGAAGCGGCGGCTCCTCCTCCAAAACCGGTGGAGGCGCCTTGTTGTTGAGCACCAAAGCCGGAGCCTCCAAAGGCCGAGCTACCAAACGCGCCAGCTTGTCCACTGCCATTGCCGAATCTGCGCCCTTGGTTGTAATCACCCAGTCGCAGCTCCTCAAAGCAGTACTTGCTGTACGGCTGCATGAAGGAAATGCTCTGGTAGTGGTTGGTCACGCTGCTGGCGCCGTCCTTCTCAGTGAATGCACTGAAGGGGGTGCTCCCGGTCCCATCGGACGGGGGGACACTCTGGAACGCAGAGCCAGTTCCACTGCCGAAGCCAGTAGTAGGAGTAGCCGTGTTACTTCCAAAGCCACCTCCCGAGCCAAACGCACCGCCGGTCCCAGCCGAACTGCCAAACCCTGTTCCTCCAGACTTGTTTCCAAAAATGCTACCGCCCGCGCCCGGGCTACCAAAGCCACCGGTGTTCGCAGAGGCTCCGAAGCCAGTGCTTCCAAAGCCACTGCCACCTGCCGTGGGGGTGGTACCGCTTCCGAACATGCCGCCGCCTGTTGATGTGCCAGTCCCGAACCCAGATCCGGCGGGCTTCGAGAACAACGAATTTGACTGGTTTTGGGTATTCGCTCCGAATCCTACATGTCGATGATTATTGTTAGCCTTCTTGGAATTAGATTGGTTATGGTTTTGCTTTTGTTGAGGCTTTGGTTGGGACTTTGGTTGGGGCTTTTGAGAGTTGGGTTGGGTGCGGTTAGAATTGGCTTTAAAGCGCGGGCGAGGGAGAGTGTGCATCCGGCGACGAGACATGACAAAAAAAATAAGAGGCGGAAAAAAGAGATGAGAACGAAGCACCAAGAAGCACTCCTCGGACGGAAGTTCCCAACGGGCGACGGCTGCTTTATACATGGTCTTTTTTGTCCTTTGTTTCCGGGCTGGTACAATGCCGGCTTTGAAACCAGGCTCTAATCCAGGGAATACAAAGGGATGGTAAAACGCCACTTGAGGGATTCGTCCATTGTTGGCGAGTCCAGGTCCGTAGGATTTCGTCCGTCCAGAGTTGAAGCAAGAGAAAGGACCGCAAAGCTCACGGGGATATAGTCATTAAGCACCTACCTCCACCGGAACCAAAGCTGCTGGAGTTATTTCCAAACAGGCCACTGCCTGAGCTTGTACCTCCACCGAAAGGTGACGAAGTAGATCCAAAGCCTAGATGACGGGGCAAGATGCTGTCAGAGACTGTAATTAAGCTGCGATCCTTTCTCTCATATCGCTGCTGTTACTCGTCGTCGAGGACTTCCGCGGGACATTGTCGGGTCGAAGAGTTTTGATCAAACCATCGCGGGGTCGACGTCAGGAGCACCAGTCGCAGCCGATAAGAAGGCCCAATAAGCGTCGCAACCAGGTTTGGAAGGAAACCAAAGTGATCAAGGCCAAGGAGAGAATGTAAACATGAAGGGATGAAAAAGCGACCTACCTCCGCCAGTACTTGTGCCTCCGAAGCTAGAGCCGGTACCGAAGCCGGAGCTCTGCTGATTGTTTTGTCCGAACCCTCCGAATCCGAAAGACATAACGCTGTTCGGTGATCCTGAGATCTATAGGTTCATCCGTTCAAATGTGGCCCGTGACCGAGAATTAAGAAGAGAAGTCGGGAATTAAAAATCGGGAGTATGCGAAAAAGCTGCGACTTGATAAAGCAGCTGTAGGCGAAGCTCTCAACTGGAAGCTCTAAGGGATCAGTCGGCGTCTGTCGAAAAGAACCCTCGACGCGCCCACGAGCACAAGTGAAAACGTTGTTTAGAGACTAATTTTTTTTCGCTCTAACCACCGAAGAGGGGGTCCAGACTAGCTATGGACGGACAGTCACCGCCAGAGCCAGAATGCACACAAGGTTCCAGGATAAACGCAAGTCGGGAGCGCGCAGGAAGGGGGGAGGGCGAAGGAGGCAGAGGGAAGAACTGAACAGAACGCGCGACGGTGAAGGGAAAAGATGGCTGCTGTCGGAAGGAATTGAAGTGGCTTAGTCAGGGGGGCTCTTCGCTTAATACCGCGCGGTGACAGAACCGGACGGCGCCTGAAGCGGACAGGCTGCCCAGCGCCCGTAAATTTCCGTAATCCGCCGGTTATTTCCCTGGCTGCGGGCCACGTGATGCAGATCGATGCCTGAATATCGGCCAGGACTGCTCCAAGCTGCCTAAACCTGAGTGACTACGAGGAAATTGTGGATATATCGCTCCGGAAGAGTCGTGACTGAGACCTGGAGGACCTCCCCAAGTGAGCTGGTAGTGAGTCACGCTGGTCAGACGGAAGTTCAAGTCTGTTGACTCAACGCGGACTACTCTCTTCCTACGATTCTAGACTGGCCTTTCCAGGCATCATCGCTGGTCACGCGATCAATCTCACAGATAAGAAAGCCATTGGAACAATCATAGGGAATAAATTGTATGGTATGAATTACACACAGAAACATCAACGGGAATCGGATCGCTTGTCAACATGACAGAAGGCGGGAATCACATAAACAATCAAGATGGAAGAATGCGCATCAATAACTCGCCATCAGGCATGATATCAGCCCAGTGGGAGTGGACATTCTCAAAGTGCCTCGCTCTCGGCGACGACGGCCCAAATTTATATATTTCCTTTTTTTCTCATTTTTTTCTTATAAATTTGTTTGGTTTCTTCATTAGTCATTTACTTCATTCTTGACTTCCTCTCTTTATTTGCCCCGAGCGATGTGAACCGCATCGATGATCTTGTCCACGACGGAGGGGTCCGACAGCTGCAAGCCAAAATTAGTCTCTGCATATCATAACCTCGGTTTGGAGGGAAGATGAAGCTCACCGTGGAAGTGTCACCCAAGCTGTCCTCCTCACCACTCAAGATCTTGCGCAAAATACGACGCATAATCTTGCCACTTCGAGTCTTGGGGAGGTCATCGACGACGAAAACCGCCTTGGGGGCGGCGAAGGGTCCGATCGACTTGCGGACCTGCATCACGAGATCCTTGCGGACTTGGTCGCTCGTTTCGTTGCCCTCTTTCAGGGCCACAAACGCATTGACGGCCTGGCCGGTAAGTTCATCGGCAATACCGACGACGGCGGCTTCGGCGACCTGGTCTAATGGACTGTTAGGCGGACAATCTAATCGTGAGGGTTGCTCATAATTGACTTACGGTGCTCAAGCAAGGCAGCCTCGATTTCGGCCGTCGAGAGACGGTGACCAGAGACGTTGACAACGTCATCCACACGGCCACGGATCCAGTAGTATCCGTCGTGGTCACGGCCAGCACCATCACCGGTGAACTGTTGTTGCCTATGCGTTAGCCAAAAGACACCCGGTGGGAATAAAAGGACGCGTCTCTTACGTAGTATCCCTTGTAGACGTTCAGGTAGGTGTCCATGTAGCGCTTGTGGGCGCCCCACACGGTGCGCGCCATACTAGGCCAGGGCTGCTTGAAGGCCAGGACACCCTCCACGTCGTTGCCCGAGATCTCCTCTCCGGAAACCGGGTCGATGATGGCGGGCTCGATTCCAAAGAAAGGCATCGAAGCACTTCCCGGCTTGGTCGGCGTAATGCCACCCAGCGGGGTGATGACGTGCGAACCAGTTTCGGTTTGCCAGTAGGTCTAATAATAACATCGTTAGGATCATGACCGTATAGTTATCGCAGCAAGCATGATAAGAATATACTCACGTCGCAAATGTGCGCCTCTTCCTTGCCGACTTTCTCGAAGTACCACTTCCAGACCTCGGCAGCAATGGGTTCACCGACCGAGCCCAGAATTCGCAGATGGGCCATCTGATGGTGAATGTGCTCATCGCCGGCTCTCTTGAGCAGACGCAGGGCAGTGGGCGCCACGTAGAATTGAGTGACCTTGTGCTTCTCAATCACGTCCCAGTAACGAGAGAAGTTGGGGTAGGCGGGAGTACTCTCAAAGACGACCGTGGCGCATCCCAGCAACAAGGGGGCGTACACCACGTAGGTGTGACCGGTGATCCAGCCAACGTCTCCACCGCAGAAGAAGCGGTCATCGTCATGGATGTCAAAGACGTATTTACCGGTCATGGCAGCGCCGAGCAGGTATCCGGCGGTGCTGTGCATGACACCCTTGGGCTTACCGGTGGAACCGGAGGTGTAGAGCAAGAACAGAGGGTCTTCGGAAGCCATCGGCTCGGGAGCGATGTAGTTGGGGTATTTCTCCACCTCCTCGTGCCACCAGATATCACGGCCCTTGGTCCAGGGGACCTCGGCCCCCGTGCGCTTGTAGACGAGAACGCTGGAGACATCGGGGCACTGCTTGAGAGCCTCGTCGACGATGCGCTTGGTGCCGATGACCTTACCGCCACGCTTGCCCTCGTCCGTCGTGATCACGACCTTGGACCCGGCGTCCAAGACACGGTCCCGGAGAGAATCGGAGGAGAAACCGGCGAAAACGACGGAGTGGATGGCACCAATGCGGGAGCACGCCAGGAAGGCAACGAGAGCCTCGGGAATCATGGGAAGGTAGAGCGCCACGGTGTCGCCCTTCTTGACGCCGTGCTGCTTCAGGACCCAAGCGACGCGGGACACCTCGCGCAGCAGTTCGCCATAGGTGATCGTGCGGCTCTCGTTCGGCTCGTCAGCTTCGTAGATGATGGCGACCTTGTTGGGGTCTTTGATGGCATGACGGTCGACACAGTTGAAGGAGGCGTTCAGGCGACCCTCGGGGAACCAGGCGCTGTCCCCGTTCTCTAGGGAGCCGATGTGAGTCGTCTGGAAGTCCCTCTCGAAGGTAAGAAGCTCGCGGGCCATGCGGGCCCAGAAGACGTCGGGTTTGCGGATTGACTCTTCATATAGCTTCTTGTACTCGTCCAGGTCTTTCAAGTGGGTACCCGTGGGGTGCTTGTCGTAGAATGCCTTGGGGACATGGAAAGTGTCGACTTCGTGGGCTTCAAGCACCTGTAGGGAATGCGATTAGCCGTGGTCCCCTTCGATCGATTTTCTCTCATCTTCCCACGGATCAACAACTTACCACAGACGGCTTGGGGGGTAGAACGGAGCCGTCAGACATGATTGCGATGTCAAGGATAGAATACTAAGTCGGATGGGGGAGGAAGAGCCGGGGAGGGACGAGAGAGAAAAAAAAAAATAGGGTGTGAACTGTTACGAGAATTAGCTTCGAAAGCGCTTCCCCACGGAAAGTGGCAAGGATTGGACTCACGGGGGAGGGAATTTAGTGAATTGTAAGCCGGGATGCGACGTAACTCCAGAAAGTAAAATTATCGCCGCCGAAGTGGGGTGCAGTTAATTATAACCAGGAGGGGGAGGGGTTGTGTTCGTCGGTCGATCCAGAGCCCCGAGGAAGGATTGAGGCGCCGAGAGGAGAGGGAGAGTAGTATCGTGAGGGAGGAGAGAGGAAAGATGCAAACGGAAAGAGAGGGGATGGGGATGGGGAAGAAGGGCCGTTATTTAATTTAATTGAGAACACTAACAGAACAATGTTGAGGTACCGCCTGTCCGCTCCAATTTGCAATGGAGACGCTCTGGATGGCACTAACCCATTCTTCCGGGCGACCGTGTGGGTTCTCATTGGAACGTCTGCTCGACGACCTGCGGCCTGCCTCCTACGCCGCACTGCCCGGAGGACGTCCTCTGTTGACCTGCATTAGGCGGCCTTCTAGCGACGTACCTAGTCGTTTTGGTCGTTTCCGATTCCGTTCGCGCCGTGCTGGTCTGGAGAACGGAGATACATCCTCTGATCCTATACTCCATACTACGGCGTACGTGCCAGTCTGCCCGATCGAATCTCCCATCTTCCCTGGAATGACCTCACACCCTTCCCCGGCGCCCAGCGATCTCAGGCCCGAGGAACCGGAAAGCCTGAGAGCGCATCTGACGCCTCGTCGTTGGCTCTGGCCCGAACGCGTCCAGAAAGGAAGGGCTCGGCCATGCGGGGCTTGACAGCCTCTCGTTTCCGTTGCTCCGGGGAAGAGCGTCCAGTCGATGATCCGCCGGATGATTGCATTGAGATGCCCCTTCATTTGTCGGCGCCATCCCGGAGACCCTCGTGTGTTCTCTTGGCCTTTCTCTTTCTCCGGATTCCCCAGGTTGTACAGGGCTGCCAGGTTGAAACCCGGCTCAGCGACTTACGAAGTCATAATTTCTCAGCTCCTTGTAGTCCCAGTTAAGACGCTATAGATTAATATCACCAGCCCCCGGTCTATATCGGCGCGATCCTTGTCTCCGGGCGTCAGACCGGGGGAGGACCAGTCCCGCATCACAAGAGCATCAGCCAAGCTGACGGGATCTCGTCACGCTCGTCTTGGTGCGGGGAAGCCCAGGACGAGCTGGTGGATGGTTGAACCAGAAACTTTGCCATTTCGCAGAGTCAAATCCCAGGCGGGTGCTGCCTGAGGCCGACCCGGGGTCTGGCCGAGTTAACGCCGACTGCAGATGGGGGAAGCCACTACGCAACTCCGAGCCATGGATCCGGCGATTGGCCATCATACTCCATCCGGAGGGGTTTCCAGCCATCCGTGAGAACACCGATTGTTATCGCCCGCCCTCGTGTCCTGATACTCTTGGTGCCTCTGTTGGGTAGGAGGAAAGTGGGAGGACGTGCTCGATGGGTCGGGGATCGTCGCCTACCAAAGGCAGTAAAAAAATTAAATCAGACCTGACAGCGGAATCGTCCCTCTTCCCACCTTCCTCGAATGTCGGTGACAGGACATTTGCTTCCATTGCCAATAGTGTGTTTTTTTCCTGAACGGGATAATCGCGATCCATCCTTTCCTGATGCCTATTCCGGGCAAATATGAAAGGGGCAGGTTCTACCGAATCGACGGAACCACGATTCAGCCTCAACTTCGGGGTGATATTGTCCTGGTCACATCCGGAGGACCTACGACCTACATAGTCCCCGTGACGAGCATGTTCGTCGATGCACCCTTACTCCGTAGGCTGTGTAATTCAAGATGCGACCGGCCAAAGCCAAATCGCAACGAAGCCGCCAAGCGCATCCCCACCACCGGAGGGACTGTGGGGAGCCTTATTGTGGGTGATGTTTTTGGTTGGTGTGGACTGGACTGTGGACTGTGGTGATGGTTCCCAACTGCCCAAGGGAAGAGTTCTGTTCCAGAGAACATCCATTATTGCCAGGACAGCGATCGACATTCGGCTCGTCGGCCTTGTTTTGCAGGCAACCGCGGCGGTCGCACGGAGCTTCGGTCGTGCACGCCCCGAGGTTACGGTTCTCTGGGGTATTTCGCATTTTTAAGCTTCCCTTCCCTTCATCCTATTCTCCTGCCATCCGTGACCTTCTCGGTCCCTCCATATTCGGGAAAGTCCAGGAACACTTACCCGAGGGCTTCAACTGAGGCCGGATTGCTGTCTGCTGGTCTTTTATTATGGGGCTTGTATGCCAGCCGGCGCGACAAACTCGTCTTTCATGCTACTCGGACTAGGCTGGGCATTAGCTTCTCCGGAGGATCCCTGATTGACGGTACTCGCTTTAGCCCGTCGACTTTGCGCCATCTTAGTGAGCCTTCGGGGCGATGTCGAGCCCACCGCGATGTTAATCCTTATCACGGATCAGTTGACTCGGGCACTACTCCGGAGTACGTACTTTACTGTGCCTTTGCGCCTCCGAGCATTGCCGTCTACTGCGACGTCGGGCTGCGACATGGTGGCTACTGCGACTGTAGCATAACCATCCTCCCCATGTCGATCCTCTCTTCTGAACTCTGGACTTTACAGCACCCGGTAAATCTTCGCCTCTCTTCAGCGTGCCGTCCACACCATCTCGTTTGTTTTATTTTATTTTTTTTTTCCCGGTCTCTGCCCTGTTTCACTCTGTGTTCGCTGCCGTCCCGAGCACCTCACCCACCGCTAACCTCTAGTGCATGAACCGGTGTGGAATTGCATTGCAGGTGGGTAGAAAAACTTCGACTCCGAAGCCTCCTGCCAGTGAAACAAGCGGCAGGAGAGTCAACAGACTCTGGTTTGGCCCCAGCGATGGGCCGAACGCACATTAACTAGTTTTATCTATCTGTCCATCTTTAATTCCCTTGTCCCTTCCTCAACGGCTGACAGAAGATTTAGCTTTTCTCTAGTGCTGCTAAATCGTTCCGCTCCGTCTGCTGCTGTCAATCTTAACCTCTTCACGAGGAAACTCGGTGTGTGATTTGAAATACTGTCGGGAGTGAACAAGTCACTCCGAAAAGTGATGAATTCGCTGTGGATACAACGCAAGCTTTTTTTTTCTTGAACAGCCAAGGCTCGTCCCGTGCGATCATGATTCATGGGTATCGGATGCGAGACGGGGACGGTCAAAATCACCGCGACCCTTTAATTTTGAACGAGTACGAGGCAAGACAGTAAGTGAGTTTTCATCTCGTAATCGGGCAGCCATGCACGGTCCAGGGGATTTTCCAAATGCCCGGAGCAATACGACTCCATTTTTATACGATTATACCATAATAAACAAACGGCCCTCGGTTGCAGGCTTCTCAAATGCATGACGCGCTTCGAATGGCTGGCAGATGTTCACGTATCAAATAGAAACATAATGGAATCATATGAAATGAGTAACAGCGCTTTTCCCTTCGTCCAGACACAATCTTCTAGTAAACCAACTAAGCCGTCCACTCCGCATTCCACCACGCCCCCATCCCCATCAAAAACACCACCAGACTCCCGTCGCGCACTATATCCCGGAACAAATTGAAATACAACCCCAGTCCGGCCTGCCCACTGCCCCGTTTCAAAAACACCCTCGCCCCCGTCATCACCATCTCCCCGGTCGTGAAGTACAGGAACGGGCTGCGCGCCGTGGCCGGCGGCGGCGGAGCCTCGCCGTACAGCGAGACCGACGACCCCATCAGGACCAGGAAGTAGACGCCCACGGCGATCGCAAACACCACGTGCAGGATCTTCCACGTCCAGATCGCCGTCTTCTCGGACTCCGTCTGCGGCTGCGATCCGCCCGGGAGCATGCTCGCCACGAACGGCGGCAGGCCCAGCGCTGTCGCGATATCCGCCTGCGAGATGGGGGGCCCGTTGCCGTTGCCGTTGCCTCCGCCCGGTGCCCCGGCTCCTTCACCCGCGGCCATCCCGCCCATGAGCGAGTTGAGGAGCTTCACGGTGGGGTCTTCTTCCAGGGAGCCTTGGTTGAATTGGTTGAAGCCGCCGCCGCCTTGGCTGCCGGGGGGCGGGCCGGTCTGGCGCAGGAGCGCGCGGAAGGCTTCTTGCTGGGCCTGCAGGGATTCGGGCGATTGGGCTTGGGTGTCGGGGAAGGGGTGGGTGGGCGCGATGCTGGGTTCTGGTTGATTTGTGGTGTCGGCCGGGGATGATGATTGCGTCTCTGGGCCTGGGGAGATCGACGCGGGGGGTTGAGGCGATGGCGAGGGAGATGGAGCGGCATCTTGTTCTTGACGTTCTGTAAGGTGCAGCTAGGGTTAGAAGAGATCGTTCGTTGTGGAAGGGACTCGGTGACGAGAGAATGGGGAAGAGGAAGAGGACGAGTCGAATCCGCACGTACCGGCAGCAGGGGTGCGTCCACTCATGCTGGTGATTTTATCCAGGCGAGCGGCACCACCTTCTTTGATCTTGGCCTCGCGACGCTCCCGACGCAGGCGAGCTGCTCTCTGGGCGGGGGATTCTTCAACGGAGGACATTGTGCCAGGTGTGTGTGCTGATGTCAACGTTGACAGAGACGTTGATTGTGTGGAGGGGTGCTCGACTCCTTTGGGTGAGTAAGCAGTTGATGAGCAGGCAATCAAGTCAGAGCGAATTCTGCTTGAAGATCCGGTCGAATCCAGGGAGTGCGGGCGAATGACGTGGATGGAGAAACAGCGAGATGGGGGAAATCCCGATCGTCAACGAGGAATTGAAGGCGGCCGTCGTCGGGTGGCCTGTGCGCTCGTCGGTGGCGGGTCTTACAGTCCCTATACTACAAGGTGAGCATTCAGACACTTTGGAGAGATGTTTTTTGAGGAGTGTCGCATTACATATCTGCCATATGAACTTACAAAAGATATCTAGTCCAATTAGATGCTACTGTCTAGTCCGAAGCTATACCTAGTACTCCCCATGGGATCAACTATATATAGCTCCGGACTAGTAGGGGTCCTTGAATTCTTCTGCAACCAGTAACCTGGCACTACAAAAATAGAAATCCCAGTATACTGCTGGTGAATTAAATGTCACCCTCGAATCGAAGCCACAAATAAATATATTCTTGACATGAGGAAATAACACAACCAACACGCCAGCATCGTTGCTTGCTAACCCTTGCGTCTGATTTGCCCAGAGACGCGACCACAACAACACCGCCAGTCTCTTGGGTCGCATTTCTTTTCCTCGATAAGCTGCCCACAGCCTGAGAATGCACTGCCAATGCAGCGCCGTCGTCATACTTTAGCGCTCTCTGGGCCATTCCATCATTGCTATTCTGGGTGAGCCAACGGAGTTGCTCGATGTAACTTCTGCCTTCCGACCCCGCAACTGTCCTCGTATAAGCTGCATTCCTGTCCCTGAATTTAATCTCGTCACGGCGTCGACTCTTTCCCTTCTCTTGGCGGTTTTTTTCTCGATGTCGACTTGACTATGGCCCGAAATCTGGTGAATCGACTCCTTCTAACCTGCCTCGCCATCATCTACCATTTCTCACTCGTCCACGCAAAACCCGTCCAATACTGCAAATTCGGATATGACACCAACCCCAAACATGCTGAGGTGGACTTTTGCATGGGTGTCACCATGCACCAGAATCAGTCTTCCGATGCCTACGACATGTATCTGAGCATGACCGTAACGCGAGACTCCGACCTTGGGTGGACTGCAATCGGCACGGGCCCCGTCATGGCAGGCTCGTTGATGATGATTGTCTATGGAGATCCCAACTCGAAGGAGCCTCCAACTGCCAGCGTCAGAACGGTGGAAGGACATCGCCAGCCCAAGCTTCTCACCAGCGAGAACGCGGATGGCGCGGACATTCGGATTCTCGAGACAAGCTGGGAGCCTGTCACTCACGACGACACCCCATCATCCTCACCGACCTTTCTCGCCAGAATCGCCCTCGTTTGCTATTCCTGTACTTCTTGGCCGGGTGTTGGCGACCATCCCATCTCGGCAACGGCAACTTCGCTCCCTTGGATCTGGGCATGGAACGATAACCAGAAGTTCGATAACTTCTCGAGCGATGTGCATCTCAAAATGCACAAGCACCACTCGAGGGACGGTGGATGGGGGAACTTCTACGTCGACATGGCGCGGTCTATCGACACTGCCGAGAATGCGCCCTCGCCCCCATCTATCCGGCCAGGAGTCCGGACTTTGGGCACGACGGATAAAACATCGACTGCCTTCACATGGCCAAAGCTTGGACCTGTCGCCCAAGCTCATGGCTGGTTGATGGGACTGGCATTCCTGTTGTTCTTCCCCGGAGGCGTGATTGCAATGCGGTCTCAATCTAGCCAAGCATTCAAATACCACTGGATCATCCAACTCGTCGCCTCCCTCTGTGTCGCCGTCGGAGCTATTCTCGGTATCGTCATGAGCCGATCGTTCAGATCCCCTCACCAGATCGCCGGACTCGTGGTGTCACTCATCCTCGGCATCCAAGGGGTTCTTGGCTGGCGACACCACATGGCCTTTCTCCGCATCAAGCGCCGCACCTGGATATCTCATACCCACATCTGGGGCGGACGGCTGATCATGATCGTTGGATGGGTGAACATCATCAGTGGCATGCTCCTGGCCGGGTTTGGGTGGTTCTGGATCGTCCTGATGTCCGTGGTACTCGTGGGCGTGGCAGTCGGCCTTACGTTCTGGGTTCGAGCTTTCACTAATCGCAAGCTGCGAAAGGGACGCGAAGGGTATGACGAATCCGAAGATGCTCTCATGCCCTGGAAGGCGGACCAAGAAGGGGAATATTTCGTGCTAGGCGAAGAGGAGGAGGAGGACTTTGTGCACGATGATGTGGAGCTGAGCGATATGGGTGATCCGGGTCATGGGAGAGATCGGAGTGGCCCTTATGATCCCATTCTTCGTAAGAGCGATGCAAATTAGCATTGGAAAAGAGATTTGGTTTATAGTATAGTCAAAGTGTTTGGAGAGAATTTCGCTATATCAGAATTCATTTAAAAGCTACTGGAGTTACTCAAGCCTGAACTTTGCGCAAAACCTACCAATTGGCACCGATCTGATAAGATGGAGCATGACAAGGAGTTCATCAGTAGCTCAATTTCTATGATTGGCCAATTAAGACCGCCTAGAAAGTGAGCAGCAAATAATACTAAATCCATTCATAAGACAAGATTGCGTTAGTTGCTAGTTTGGCTGCTAGCATGAATAAAGGCTTGGACAGGAGAAGTCCAGACCGGAAATATGAAACGTCATTGGACCAGGTTTCTCAATCAGATCTATTGATCAATCAATTAACTTATTTGATATCTAAATAAAAGGTACACTAGCATTTTGCCACTGTCCATCGGGAGTGAGCTGTGCTAGGATAGCTCTATACAGCTTAATAAATCATGAAACTAGGCTTTTTATGTGAAATAATATTTACCGATTTCATGGACATTTATTTCTTTCATTTATATTTACTTCCAATGCATCCAAGTCCAAGACACCGGCATGGTTAAATTAACTGCGTGGAAGGGACGGCAACGTATGAGGTCACAAATGATACGATCGATGACGCACCATCAACAAAGCCCAGCAACTGCCCGGCTTCCACGCCCCCCATGGACCGATCTACGGGCTGACATGCTCCTCTGGGGCGGCGACCGGACGACCCTTACTTTTTCCTTGCCAGGACTTTTCCAGTTGGTCCCCCGGATGGCCGTGGACGCGTCCGCAGTGGATTGGGTGGATGGCCTGTCGCCCTCCACTATGACGTAGTGCTCTGTAGGGCTGGCAGGGAGCATTACTTCACCAGTGCCTGCAGCGTTCTCGGCTTCCTCTTTCCAACTTATTCCTCCGTCTGGGCCATCGCGCAATTCATTTGATTTTCGCATTTTCAACCCTTTTCAACACCGTCTTTTCAATTGCCTCCCCTGGGCGCTCCCAACCGCCCTGTGAGAGTTTCCCCGTCGCCCTGTCGAAGCTGCCACAGGATGGGAGCGTCGTTTATACCTTAACATTTTCGTCATCCTCATATCGTGCCGACCCCCTGTCATTCCCACCGTATATCGCATATCGAAATCTCGCATAATTCCCGAAGACCATGCCCCCTCATCCCAATGGGACCGAGTCCCCCCGACAGCATCGCATTGGCGAGCACTGGAGCGGACATAACCCCGTGCCGACCATTCATAAGTTCCTAGAGCATCTTGAGAAAGACAAGCAAGATCGGAAAGCGCACGAGGAGATACTGACTGCCCGGGAGAAAGAGGAACAGGAGCAGAAAAAGGCTAGAGAGAAGGAAGGGAAATCGGAAGACCGTGGAGATGTCGTGCCTCATCGGCCACGGAAAGTGCCCAAGGGCAAGACTAGGATGGTGACGGATCCGACCACGGGACGAGAGATTGAGGTGGAAGACCAGGATGAAGATTCTATGGATACCGTGAAGGATCCGATGGTATTGAGGCCCCGTCCCACTCATTCGCTGTGGTGGTTGCTAATATTCGTTCTAGCTGGTGGTGCCCAATGCAAACCTTGGAAAGCCAACGGTGAGTCAATTCTCGTAAGCCTTGAATTTTAACAGGAACATTTACTAACACACTGAAAATAGGAGGCCAAAACCGATGCCAACCAGAGTTTAGCCGATTACAAGGAGAACCAAGATATCACCGCACCGCCCGATCCCATTGCAGAGGGAACCACCTCCGATGTCCCTATCCACGGGGAGAGAACAAACGTTCTCTTCCATCCTACGCCCACCGTATCCTACAAACCCATGTACGATCATCTGCATAGACGGGGAACTACTCTGTGTATTGGAATTGTGGCGGGGATCATCTTTGTAGGACGGATGTTTGGTACCTCGTTGTGGGGCCTGATCCCCCTGTCTGCCGTTATTGCAAGCGGCGTTTGGCTGTGGGTGGAAGAAGTAGTCAGGAGTGGTCGTGAGATGGAATGGAGCAGCGAGCAACTTCGAGGTCAAATGGTACGTTGGAGGCAGAAAATGGCTTGCCTGGTTGCCATTGCTAACGATATCCCACCAGGCGACGGCAAATCTTCTGCCAGAGTCAGTCGAGTGGATGAACAGCTTCCTTGGTATTGTCTGGGGTCTGGTCAACCCAGAGATGCTATCGCCCGTTGCCGACACCATCGAAGATATCATGCAAGCATCTGCGCCAGGCGTAGTCGAGAATGTTCGCATCGCGGAGATTGACCAGGGAAACAACCCCATACGGATTCTGAGTCTACGAGCGCTTCCGGACGAGCATGTGCAAAACCTCAAGGAAAACATCCACGAGGAGAACGTCAAAAATAAAGATCCCCAAGAAGCGGCCGCCATAGAGGAGGGCGGCAGCCACTACAACATTGAGATCTCTTTCGCGTACCACGCCAAACCGAGCGGTCAAACAGCATCGTCTAAAGCACGCAATATGCACATGCAGCTGGTCTTCTACCTGGGAATGAAGGGTCTTTTTGGTGTCCCTTTCCCCGTCTTTGTCGAGCTCATCGAGATGGTGGGCACCGTGCGCGTGCGGCTTCAGATGATGCCGGAGGCCCCGTTCATGAAGGACATGACGTTCAGTCTAGTTGGAATTCCTCACATCAAGGCTGGCTGTATGCCAATGGTCAAGGGAGGTGTCAATATTCTGAATCTCCCTCTGATCTCTAACTTCGTGAACTACGCCATTGGAACGGCGTGCAGTCTGTTTGCGGCCCCCAAATCGATGACCATGGATCTTAGCATGATGCTGAAGGGAGATGACATTCTCAAAGAGACACAGGCTCTGGGTATCATGTGGGTTCGGATCCATCGTGCGGTTGGACTAAGCAAGCAGGACCGACGTGGCAGCTATGGCGGCGGCAGTGACCCCTATATCAACCTTTCGTTCTCAAAATATGGCAAGCCCATGTATTGCACTCGGGTTATTACGGATGACCTGAATCCCGTTTGGGAAGAGACGGCCGCGTTGCTGGTAACCCCTGAGCTGATCAAGGCAGACGAAAGCCTCAGCGTTGAGCTCTGGGACTCCGATCGCAACACTGCCGATGATATAGTTGGCAAGGTCGAACTGCCGATCCGAGAAATGATCCAGCACCCGGGTCGCATGTATCCGCAGGTCTCGAAGTTGCAAGGCCTCAGCGAGGGCAGTGAGATGCCTGGTGAACTGCACTGGGAAGTTGGGTTCTTTGGGAAACCGAAGTTGCGACCAGAATTGCGGACCGACGGCAAGAAGAAGGATCTTCCCGATAACTTCAAAGATATTCCTGAGTTCCAAGACGAGAAGGGCATCATCACCAACGAGGAGGAAGACCTCATTGTCCACACGCCTCCCGATCCACTTTGGCCTAGTGGAGTCGTGAGCATCGTGGTCCACCAGATTGTCAACCTCCAGCTTGCCAATATCAAGGGAAGCCAATTCCGAAGTGGAAGGGAATACGAACCAGCCAAGCCGTATGGAGAGAATACCGAAGAGCAAGGCAAGGATTTGCCAACCAGCTACTGCAAGATCGTTCTAAACGATCAATTGGTAATACCATATATCCTTTGATCCATCCTAAACCTTGCGAGGCTAACACTATCCAGATTTACCGCACTCGAGCGAAGGCTGTTAGTTCCAAACCCATCTTTAACGCCGGAACTGAAAGATTTGTGCGCGACTGGCGATCGGCCATCGTTACCGTCACCGTCCGAGACCAAAGATATCGTGAACATGATCCAATCCTGGGAGTCGTTCCGTTGAAGCTCTCCGACCTCTTACAAACCAGCTCGCAAGTCACCCGATGGTATCCTCTAGATGGCGGCATTGGGTTTGGACGAATCCGAATCTCTATTCTCTTCCGGCACGTCGAGACTAAGCTTCCTCCCAACATGCTGGGATGGGATGTCGGAACATTCGAGTTCGCTTCGGACAAGGTGACTGCGCGTGGAGTCCACCAGCGATCCAAGATCAGGCTGCGCACCGGCGGTAGCAGCGGCAAAATCACTCGACATGTGTGCTCGATTAACGGGCAGGATACTGTCTGGGATCTGAACGCCATTCGGGGCAACGTCCTTCTTCCCGTCAAACACCGGTATCGCTCGCCGCTGGTCTTTGAATTTCACTCGCAAGGCAAGCACCACGCCACCGGGTACGCAGTTCTATGGCTCCAGCACTTGGTGGACAACGAGGACATACCCATTGACATCCCGATCTGGGCAACGAAAAATGGCAAGCGCCTGACCCAGAACTATATCACCGAGGACAACTGGGAGAGTAAACGCGAACCGGGACTTGAGGACATGCGCGAGATCGGCCGGCTCCAGCTCACCGGTCGGTTCAAGCCGGGTATTGACGAGTCGCACGAACATTTCGTCGTGGACAACCATTCCCGTGAGACTTTCGAGACATGGGAGGCTTGCATTGCCGAGGGTGTGCGCACCCGTGGCGTCTCCATCGAGGTGCCCGAGGAGGTTGAGCGCATGCACGAACAATCCTTGGTCAACGGCCGCGACGTTCTCAAGCACGCCGACTCTCGAGAACGCCGACAATGGCTTGACAAGCAGGGCCAGGACTGGAGCGGTGCATTTGGTCACGACCCTCGCGCCTACCTCAGTGATGACGGCAAGAAGATCGCCGAACCAGGACGCGACGATCCGCCGCTCCATCCGACCAACCCTCCGCCCGCCGACATCGAACATACCCGGGTCGGAAGCGATAGCACCTCTGGCGAGTTCGAGGACGAGCACCGGCCCTCTCACGAGCCCCAGCAATCCTCCACCGACAGCCACAGTCGTCCCTCGACCGGTCAATCGACCCAGACCGACCCCTCGTCTACGGGGCAGACCAGCTCCGGCAAGCCGTCCACCGAGGAAAGCGAGGCCGGTCCTAGCGAGGGACAAAGCAACAAGGCGAACCGACGCAGTGAGCAGCGCCAGCAGCGAGGGCTGATGCAGTGGAAGCCCGCGCGTAACGTGGTGTTCGCACGAGACGAGGCCAAGTTCGCGATGCGCAAGGTGCGGAAGCGCTTCACGGGGGATCTAACGGGACGCGAGCCTGATATCGAGACTGAAACTGGGACCTGATTGATTGATTTATTGAGGGAATTGCCGTTTCTGCTTTGTATAGCTGGGAGTCCTGGTGTTTCGTTACTGTCGATGAGTCTCTATGTATGTATATCATATTTTGAATAATGAATCCACGACATAAAATTATTAGTGTCAGACTCAAATTTCTACCAGGTTTAGTATTCGGGGGTCTGCCTTGATTTGATAAGATTAGTATTATATTCAAACACGTTCCGTTGATGGACCTAATACTTCTTCCCTCGCCGGACTCAACCGGAGTAGAATGTCACTAGATCTTTATACATGGTTTTATTGCTGCTATTCCGGATGTATGAAATGCAGACGATGTGCAGGACCAAAGTGGCTCGGGGATTGAGTCGACTGCTCAACTCGGACTCCATTGGCGATTGTAATCTCCTCGCTACCGCTTTGCACATGGCTCTAAAAAGGACTTGCGGCGGCGGCAGCAGCAGCAGCATCATGCTCTACTACCACGACCAGTCGACCTTTTGAACGACCGGCGATGTGCATTTCGATGACGGCAATGGCAACACTCAGGATTTCCGGGGCCTTAGTTTTGAACCGGGCTGTGGGTTACCTGGCCAGATTGATGGTGGATGGAACCGGGTGTGTGACATGTAGTTCCGATCTCTATTCTCTCTGGTTGGGAGGGGTTGGGCGGCATTGCGCGGATTGGGTGCTTTAGACATGACGGAGGTAGTGAATTGTGAAGTGAAAGGAAATGCAGGTTGCCTATCGTCGAGCTTTTTGTCCTGTATAAATAGAAGCAGCGATTCCATGGCTGGGTGTCAAGGAGCTGGCGATCCAGGGTCCGAATTCGCGGCCATTAACACCGTCCTCAAATTGAACGGGCACTGCGATGTTCTGCGTGGCAGGTGCATCGCTAGACCCGGATACCGGAGAGAATTGAGCTTGCGAGCCATGGAACAGCTGCATGCGGTGCGCAGACAGTGGACACGTAAGGAGTTCTATATCGAGGGCTCTTCATTTGGGATCTATTTTTGGGCAGCGGCAGGCAGCAATGAACCACGTCTGTTCGGCCACCTGCGCAGAGTCAGCATCATGGAAGTTGGGGGAACCGCCAGGAGCAGATATTCGGGTCCAGTGCTTAATAAAACCAGACGGAACACATGATATGCATGCGAGTGATCGTCAGAATACGGGGGGGAGTGGATTCATGACTCCACTCGTTTCTATATTAATCGTCTGCAGTCGTATTTGCGTCGTGCTGAGGATACGACCCAATCGTATTTTTTGCCCAAAAGGAAATGTGGTAAGATTGTCTATTCGACTGAAAAAAAGTATGAAGTATGTATATGAAATGAAAAGAGGGCGTCCTCTGTATATGCAATGTCATAGTCGTCGCCGGCCTTGCTTGTTTCAAACAACCATAGCGCCGGTGAATGCAAAATAAAACCCCAGCGTCAATTAGAAATAAAAGAAGGTTTTCCAAAATACCCAACCATTGGAAAAAATATAGCAAAAACAACAAAATAAATAGGCCCATATGTGACGGTGAGCAGTGCTCAGAATAATTCATCTCCCATGCTTTCTATATGCATAAATCGTGATGGGGGGTTGAGAGATCAAGTAAATAAAGAGATATAAATAGAGGCTGCAAGCGAGTGCAAGTAAAAATAGAACTGTAGGTCGTCTCGCGATGCAAGGGTGACTTGTGACTTCATCAATGGTTATTCCGGGGGATCGGCATTTGCACGTTCAGGTTCGTGACTCGTGGTCTTCCAGTATTCGTCGTTCTTGTCCGCCACTTCCGAGGCAACCGAGGAGCTCGGACTGGAGTATGGCAGCGAGGCGGCGCTCGAGGCCGAGAGAAGGTCCGAGGCCGATGCAGGGCTCTCGACGTCCTTGCTCACCCATTTGGGAACGGGGTTCGATAGTACGGGAACCGTTTTCGTCGTCGCCAGATCAGACGGCGTTTCGTCCTGGCTTGGAGGAGGCTTTGCGCCTTCGGTGCCAGTGTTCAAGGGTCCCAAGGTCCACCGCCATTCGCATCGGCGTTTGACTCGTTTCTGGCGAGGAGTCTGAGGAGTCGTCGAGCCGTAGTTATCCTCCAGTCCGTCCATCAGCGCGACCGCGCGAACCTGTTTTTCCGCGCTCAGGTGTTTTCGTTTCTTCCGCTCGAGGGCGGACAATGGGGAGCGGCGCGTCCCCGTACTGGAATCATCCTCGTCCGAGGTACTTGTATCTGACGGAGCCAGGCTGGAGTTGGAATCCGAGTCTTGGTCGGAGTTCGTCTGAGGAGGTTGCTCGGCCGGTTCTCCCGCGATATCGGAGTGACGGGCGGTATAATGCACGTTTTGGATTTCTTCTTCGAGTGGCTGTCGATAGTTGACTTGCTTCTTCGCGGGGAAAAAGACCCGACGCGAGCCCGTGCCTCCGTTGGCACTCGTGGCAACCGATGCGGACCGTAGCCGACATGTCGGCTCCAACGGGGAGTTCCGCAGGATGCTCTTCACTCCCAGCGGGAGCTGGTAAGGGTTGTTGCTGTTCTGGTTGTGGGAAGGATAGGGTGACGAGGGTTTGCTGAATCGACTGTTGGAGGTTTTTGAGGGAGAGGCGGTTGCAGAGGAGGGCAATGCCGCATCGTAGGCATTCTTGAAGGTATTGCGGACGGTGGGGGAGGCCGTTGCACCGCCCGCCAGCGAGAGCGAGAGTCCAGTCGAGGACGTCCCAAAGGTTCGGGGTAACGAGGAGGTTTGGAGAGTGAGTTTGGGTCGGGATGATACGGTCGGCCGGTGTTCGGTTGTCGCATTGGAGGATAAACTGCAAGTCATATTGGGGTGCGAGACGGTCGACTGCGACGGAGACGGTTGAGGGACGATGGAGGTCATCGTAGAGAATCGATCGGCATGGGAGGAGTACGATAGAGACAAAGATAAGAGATAGATCGAGAAATAAACAAAAGGCCGGTCGAGCAGACCAGGAGGGGGAAAAAGAAGAAAAGAAGAAGAAGAAGGGTCTGGAGTCAAAGAGAAAGCCAACCCCCGCACGAAAGCGCCGTGATATCACCGAGAAGGGATTCGCTGTGCAGGACCAACACTTAAGCGTCTCGACGATCCAGGGTGTCGGCGCTTGTCCAATCCTTTTTCTTTTCTTTTCGTTTCTTTTTTTTTTATTCTTCCTATTTCTTTTTTTCTCTTTTTCTCTTGCTGTTGATGGTTCTGCTTGTTCCTAATTTAGGATTGCCACACGGATAGGTGGACGATCATTATTATTGACGAGCCATGATGACTTGGATGGTGAGATTCGGGCGCAAATGTCAGATGGAAGAGAGGATCGCGATGATTATGTAGTATGTAGTACAGTCAAGAAGCGAGAACAAAGAATGGAGACAAGAAAAAAATGAAATAAAAATTTTTCTTCGAGAAGAGGCGAAAAAAAAAAAAAAAAAAAGAAAAAGAAAAAGAAAAAGAAAAGGAATAATAAGAGCGAGAACTATAAACGGTGATGCCGCAATTCTGAAGATGTGCTGTCGACGAATGGAAGGAATGGAAGACATACAAAGCCGAAGCGCATGGGTGACATTAATTAAACAATTAATTTAAAGCAGCCATTAACGAGCGGTGGCATTCCCTAGTCATGCGATAGCCTCGAGATAGTCGCGCCGACTAATGCGGTGGTCCTACACCACGCTGCGACTCTGCTAATAATAAAGCGAGACTATCGAGTGGTATCGACGCCGCATCAGCTCTCTATTCTTGTCTGGACCCGTTCGAATTTCTCCGCTGAGGATCCCTGAAAGGTCTGGCTCTGGCTCACGGAGGCACGACACGCGGCCGATCCATCGCTGCGATCGACTGCCCTCCACTTCGCATCATCCCATGTCTTGAACAAATCCCTCTCTCCGGACGTTGTGGGTGTAGACTGTTTGACTACTGACTCACTCTCTACTGTATACACGCTTGAGACTCAACGTCCAGAAATCTCTTCTGACTGACGGCGGAAAAGAAATGCCTCGGGGGAGGTTATTTATAGGCGCGATGTCGTCATCGGCCAGTCGTCGGCCAGTCACGCCGCAGGAATGCTATAAAAAGATCCCTGTCGCGTGGACCCGCCAAGACGCGCTAATTCAGTCCGGCCGAAATGGCGCAGACCCGCTAACCCGTTCGGGCTGCTGAGTCAGTCCCCCGCTCCAGCCACCGTGCCACACCCCAGCCGCCCGCCGACACCAATCAGCGCCGGCTCTTGCCGCCGTGAGTGACTGGCGCTGCATATCAATCAGTCTCGGTCACATCGACTACTCTTCTCTCCGCAAGTCCGCAGTACGGAGTAGTCTGCCGTAGGGGTTATCCCCTCCTGTCAAAATTCAAAATTCGAAATCACTTCGGAAAAGGATCTTAGATGGCTCCCGTTCCTGCCAGAGAAGACCGCCGAATCATTCTTCATTTTGTCAGTGCCACCCAACGGAGAAAAAATTGACCACATAAAAAATAAAAAAGAAGAAAAAAAAAAAAAAAAAGAAGGCCGAAAAGGAAAAGAACAAAAAAAAGCCTGCGATTTCACTAACCCGTCTGGGTTCGGTCCCCACAGGATTATGATTGCTTCTACGCCTCCGTCTTCGAAGCCGAACAGCCCGTCTTGAAATCGCTGCCTTTGGCAGTTCAGCAGAAGCAAATCGTCGTGACCTGCAACTATGAAGCCCGACGCCGGGGTCTGCACAAACTTCAATTGATCCGAGAAGCCAAGCAAATCTGTCCCGACGTGGTGATTGTTCTGGGAGAGGATCTATCCAAATTCCGAGATGCGTCCAAGGAGCTCTACCTCTTCCTCCGCGGTTTCGTTTGGGGAGGCCGCGTAGAAAAATTGGGATTCGACGAAGTAGGTCCTCGTCCTGGTCTTACCCTTGACTCTGACTTTTTGCCTCTTGCCCTCTGTTTTGCCTTTTGTCTCATAAGACGAGATACAAGACTTGGTCCTGTCGCCTTGTGTTTCCAATTTTGCTTTCCGTCCCCACAGATGGTGGATCCCCGGAGCCGGATTTCTGATAACGGGATCGCAGTTGTTTTTGGATGTCACAGACATGATCACGTACAACGTGGATCTGCTGAATCCAAATGATCTAGAACACTCGTTCTTTCATCTCGACCGCCAGGAACCCACGGTGGGCTTCCGCTACAATGCCACCCTACCACTTGGTCCCACCTATCCGTCGGACCCAACGTGGTCCTCGCCCGTCGCCCAGGTCGACTCGTCCTTGCTGGACACCAAGCTGCTGGTTGCCTCCCATCTAGCAGGCCACCTGCGGAGGCAACTCGAGCAGCGGAAGGGATACACTGCCACGGTGGGTGTGTCAACGTCGAAACTTCTCGCCAAGCTGGTGGGATGCACCCACAAGCCTAATAGTCAGACAACCCTCCTGCCGCCCTACGTTGCGGCGCAGCCTGGCGCACATACCAACGTCCTCGATTTCCTCGATGCCCACGAGATCCGAAAAATCCCCGGCATCGGGTCGAAAATCGCCCAACGGATCGCTTCCCATCTCGTCAGAGCAGGTGTTCGATCGGGCACCACCCGGCCTGAAACAACTCCTGTCGCGGATGCCCCCATTACCGTTCGACACGTGCGTCAATGTCCGGGCATGGGCCCTTTACTTCTAGATAAGATCGTCGGGGGGCCCGGATATCCCAAGGACATTGGTATCAAGATTTGGCGACTGATCCACGGCGTAGATTACTCGGAGGTCCGGCAGGCCCGAGACTTGCCAACCCAGATCAGCATCGAAGACACTTACGGGCGTATGGACACTCTCGATGCCGTCAGGCGGGAGCTGGTCTCTTTGACGGTTAGTCTAATCCGGCGCATGCGGACGGACCTGACCGAGAGGCTGGACGAGCGGGAAGCGGCACCGGGGCGAGTTCCCGGGACTCTGCGACCTTCAGAGACCGCTCGCATGCGATGGCTTGCTCGCCCTAAAACAGTACGTCTCTCCACGCGACTTCGACCACCTCCCACACCGGATGGAGGGCAGATCCGCAGCTTCAACCGCATCTCGCGCTCTGCGCCCCTCCCTCAGTATGTCTGCAATCTGGACGAGAACATCGATTCGCTGGCAGAGCGACTGGTGTATGAGCTGGTCATGTCCATGTTTCGAAAGCTTCATCCCGAGAAATCCGGCTGGAATCTACATCTGTTGAATGTCGCCGTGACGAACATGATCGAGACGGCTGGGGAGCACAAGCAGAGCGGCGGTCGGGACATCGGGAAAATGTTCCAAACCCAAGACACGGCAGATCGAGGTCCTTCGAGTGTAAAGGAAGAAAGCTTGTTACCGGTCAAAGAGTCTGTCATGACCAATGCCTCAGGCGAATCCAGCCCTCGACCCGATCCCGGGATTGATGCGTGGGAGAGCGATGAGGAAGAGGATATGGCCTGCGTAGCGTGTACCACGTGCGGAGCACTGATTCCGCATTTTGCACTTGTAGCCCACGAGGTCTTTCACTCTGCACCGGGAGAATGATGGAGATATCACGGGGGTGGAGAGCCTCGACCCCGTAGATGGTGCTAGTCCTGGATATACGGAGTAAGACGGCACCTGGACCTAGCTTTGACGCTATTGGCCTTACCCACCGGACGAGTCCGGGGTATAATCTAGACTATAGATCTTGTACCGTGTATTTACTATCTGTATATATGATCTGCCATTCCAGCAATAATACTATGATACTCTAGTGAACACGGACGAGTATCTTTAGTAGGGCTGACCAGATCCCGTGGCAGTCATGGGGTTGGCGCCAAGACGCGGGCCCTTCTTTTGCCGCAAGCAACGGATGGAAGTCTTTTCTTTCTCCCCGAATCGTTTCAATTCCCTCCAACCACTCGCTTCGTTCGATATTAAATCCTCTCCCTGAGCCTTTCCCCTCTTTTCCTTCCCCCCCATCATCTCCGTCGTGGTGCAGACTTCAGAGGGACAACAACACCGTGCCCAGAACCTACGCGCCGTGGCCGACGATCCCAGACCGGCCCGTCAAATCGCTGTCCTCCTGGTTCCTCCTGGTTACTAACGCCTTATTATTAACTCCAGGGTCCATTAGTGTCATTCTCAACTCCCGGACCCCGAAACTCCCTCCCATGCAATCGGCGTGAGACATTCCCTCGACCTTTCATCTGCTTGGTCTTGTCTTCTCCACCGTTCTCATCCGCTCTGTTCCGCCTGCTCCTTTCTCCTCTTCCCCCTTAGTTCGAACGCTCTTGTCTGGCGGACTTTGCAATCCACTCTTTGATGCCCATCATTTTCGTTCGTTCTGCTCGAAGACGTTCGTCGTTCGCCTTTTAAGTCGATTTCGCCTCAACGCCGTCCGGTTCCCGCCAAGCCTGCTGCGCCTCGCGGCCAGGCATATCCCCGTTGGTTTCGGTGGCTTTACTTGACCGACTTCTCCCATATTCCAGGAAGAGCCGATCAAAAAATTCTATTGTCTTTTTATTGCATCGATTGCTTGCATAGCGCATGCCAATCCACGCATTCGGGAACCACGGAGGTGTGACCGGTCTCCAACGGCCTTAACTCGAGCGCCGAACAGAGATCTCGATTTGTTCGTCGGCACAAGGAGAACCGCCGTTCGTTTGACTGTTGCCTGATGCTACTCGCCAGTCCCTCGGTTCTCCAAACCTAACTTTATTCTTGAATTTTTTTATATTCTTCTCGCTGTATCTAGCTTTTGCCCACACATTCTTTTCGTGTCCGATCGATCAAGCCCGTTCGTCTTCCTGGCCGTTGGTCCAGTTCCTCGCGGCCATGAGGTTCTTCAAACATTCGTTGCCCTTTGTGGCAACGGCACTTTCGCTCCTCACAGGCACTGACGGTGAGTATCTCCAAAGAGCAGTAATAAAATCCCGGAAGCCCTCGTCTGACTTGAAAATATCTAGCCCGGTCGCAAGAACCAAATGCCATCCAACGCGTTTCGAGCCTCGATCATACAACGATAAACACGCCCTCCCATCAAATAGACCATCTCTCCCACTTCGATATAACGTTCAGTCTTCGTGACAAGAACCAAAGAATCAAATTAGAGCTAGAACCGAACCATGACATTCTCGCCGAAGACGCTTTTGTACAGTACCTAGACGCCGATGGAAACGTCCGACGAGAGGAGGCTATCCCGCGACATGAACACAAAGTCTTCAAAGGAAGGTCCTTGAAGGGACGAGGGAAGGGCATGTGGGACCCGGTGGGCGAGGCCAGAATCTACATCAAGAACGACGGACCCCAGCCACTCTTCGAAGGTGTTTTCAGCATCAACGGCGACAATCATCACGTGGAATTAAAATCGACCTACTTGGAAAAGAAGCGCTCCCAAGATGTTGACATCCCCGACCGGAAAGGCGATTACATGATCTTTTACCGTGATTCTGACATGATCCGACAAATCCATACCGACCTGAAGCGCTCGCTCCCTCTCTCTTCGTCGTGCTCGGCAGACAAGCTTGGCTTCAATGCCGACCCCAATCACCCGGTTCTTCAACCTCTCGAGCAGGAGAACATGGGAACCTGGGGAGCTATGTCCCTAAACTCCATGTTTGGGCTGAACAAGCGGCAGTCTGATATCGGTGGCTCTTCGGGAAATGCCGGCGGAGTGAACCTGAAGTCAACTATTGGTAGCACTTCGGGCTGCCCCAACACCAAGCAGGTTGCGCTCATCGGTATCGCCACTGACTGTGAATTCACCGGCTCGTTCAAAGATGAAGAGGCGGCCAAGCAATGGGTTATCAACACCGTCAATAGTGCATCCAACGTCTATGAGAAGTCGTTCAACATCTCCATCGGTCTACGGAATTTGACCGTGACAGACAAGGAATGCCCGGAAAGCCCGCCGTCTTCAACCGAGTGGAACATGCCTTGTTCAAAGGGGAACATCACGTCCCGCTTAGACCTGTTCTCCAAGTGGCGTGGACAGCAAAAGGACGAGAACGCATACTGGACTTTGATGAGCAATTGTCCTACGGGTCCCGAAGTCGGATTGGCATGGCTGGGGCAGCTGTGCAACGCGGAAGTCTCTAGTGATGGCGCCAACTCTGTCAGCGGAACCAATGTCGTCGTCCGCTCCTCGGGAGGTGGATGGCAGATCTTTGCTCACGAGTCGGGCCACACGTTTGGGGCGGTTCACGATTGTGATTCCCAAACCTGTAAACAGAACCTTGCGGCATCTTCCCAGTGCTGTCCGTATACTGCCGACGAGTGTGATGCGAAGTCACAATACATCATGAACCCAAGCACGGGCCAGGACATTACCAAGTTCTCGCAGTGCACAATTGGCAACATCTGCTCTGCCCTTGGTCGCAACAGCGTCAAGTCTACCTGCCTTTCCGATAACCGCGGAGTTACTACTTACACGGGTGGTCAATGTGGTAATGGTATCGTCGAGTCTGGTGAAGACTGCGATTGTGGTGGGGAGGAATCTTGCGGCGACAACAAGTGCTGTGATGCCAAAACCTGCAAGTTCAAGGATAATGCGCAATGTGACGATGCCAACGACAGTTGCTGCTCGAGCTGCAAATTTGCCAAGGCCGACACAGTCTGCCGGGCCAGTCGCGGTGAATGTGATGTCGAAGAGAAGTGCACTGGAAATTCGAGCACCTGTCCTTCTGATCACTTCAAGGATGATGGTTCGAAGTGTGGCAACTCCTCGTCTGGTTTGACCTGCGCTAGCGGCCAGTGCACTAGTCGAGATTACCAATGCCGCAGCGTTATGGGCAGCCTGCTGCACAGCAATGACACCAATGCCTGCAGTCAATTCAACGACAAATGCGAGATCATCTGCTCCTCTCCAGGCTTCGGCCAGTGCGTGAGTGTCAACCAGAATTTCTTGGACGGAACTCCTTGCGGCAGCGGTGGTCACTGTGACAATGGAAGCTGCAAGGGATCTAGCGTCAAAAACTGGATCGATGACCACAAGAACGTGGTGATCGGTATTGCCTGCGGTGTGGGAGGTCTCATTGTCCTTGCCATCTTGTGGTGCCTGATCAACCGGTGTCGCCGCTCTCGACCTGCCGCAAAGCCGATGCCTCCCCGGGTTCCCTACGGCGGCTGGCAAGGCCCGATGCCGCCGCCACCACGACCTCCCATGGGCCAGTGGCCCAACGTACCGACGCGAGGATATCAAGGACTCGCCACGGAACCTCCTCCTCCCCCTTACCCCGGTCCATCATACAACAACCCCGGGGGTGCAGGCTACATGCCTCCTCCGGCGCGATACGCATGAGCGTGCCGCATTCGAAATCCACTTCCTTTCTACCATCTTGCTTTTGCCTTACATACATACATATCTATGCGATGAGAGTTTGTTTGCATGATGAATCTGTAAACACCTATCACATTCTGACGATCCTTATATCTGGCACCGGCGCAAGCATAGATCTTTGCTTTTATTATTTTTGCTTATATTGGAAGATATCATTTTTATTTTCATCTTATTTATTCTTTTTGGCCTGGCTAATATTATCTGTTCTTGCATTTATCACTTTGCTTCTGCCATACTCTACCGTCTTATTCTGTGTATCGTTTGCTTTCGGATTGCTCTGTCATGTGTTTGAGCTGGATAAACCGTGTCAACCGTCCTTACCTGTACAATCAATCTATGGATGACCCTCCTTCGGTGTCCGGAGTCATATAGCTCGCCAGTATCTTGAATACATGAAGTGATGACTGCTTGGATATAGCAACTACCATTCAGAGCTATGTTCTAGATGTAGAGAATGTAAATCCAACCGGGCAAATGGAAGCCCCAAAGCCGAGGCTGCCATGCAGCACCCACCAATACGTAGACAAAGAAAAACCCGTAGACACCCAAATGGAATTGCAGGGAATAAATGTAAAAATCGACCAAGAAACTGCCAGGCGCCCACCCAATGCCCAAACAAAAGCAGCCAATAGAACAAACTAAGCACCTCGAATCAAATAGACCTAGACCTGACTGGCGATGCAAGAACCATACCAAACCAAGAACAAGAAAAGAAACACAAAAATCGAGATCATTTTGATGTTCCAATCACCAGAACAAACCCGTCATCGTCCAGGACATTTCCGCCCTGTTCTTCTCCCCTTGTCGATAAGATAGATGAGAGCAATGTGTATACCCTGTTCCCGAGCACTGAGCAAAGCGGGCGATTTGGGAAAAAGAGAAGCAGAAAAAACCAAACAAGGAAGAATAAAAAACATGCTACGAACCCCAAATGAAGAAAAGAAAAACACACACAAATGTACAAGAAACAAAACAAAAGAAAAGTATCACTGCCAGCAGATACTCACGAACGCCTCCCTCGTGACACCGCCCACGCCCTCGAGGTCGAACTCCTCGATCATCGCGCGCAGCTCCTCCTCCTCGAGGCCCGTCTCGCCCAACTCCCTCGCCACCCGCCGCAGATCCTCCAGGTCGATGTATCCCTTGCCGCCCTCGTCGAAGAGCTCGAAGGCCCGCAGGATCTCGTCGCGCGGGTCGCGCTCGAGGATCTTCAGCGCCGTCACGGCCTGGAAGGCCGACAGCGGCATGAGCAGGTTGGACGGGTGCTGCGGGTTGGTGGCGGGCGCGGCGCGCGACTGCTGCTGATGCTGGGACTGTTGGGCCGCGGCGGCCTGCTGGACTTGTGGGCGGGAGGCGCCGTAGGTCGTGAGGAGGGAGATGAGTTCTTGTTTGGGGAGCGTGAAGCCGAGGGCGCGGAAGGCGACGCGGAGTTCGTGGTAGTCGAGGTGTTGGTCGCGGTCGAGGTCAAAGAGGGTGAACTGTTAGGGGTTGGCATTAGTTATGCTTGGGTTTCGTCCTTTTTTTTTTTTCTTTTTCTTTTTCTTATTCTTATCGATTGATTGGTTTGGAATGGAATGTCGCGTCTGTCACAAGGACGCAATGGAAGGGGATGATAGGTCCGGAAGTAAAGAAGAACGTGCAAGCAGGAGACAAATAGATCCAGGGTTCTTACAGCTTCATTGATCTCTTCGCGCTGCTCCTCCGTTAGCCGACTCAGCGGAGTCGAGTCCTGCGATGGGCCGTGAGTCTGCGAATGGACCGGAGGAGCCGGGGCCTGCTGCGAGGCCTTCGCAGCCTCGGGCCCAAAGTCACTGGGTCCGGGAGCGCCCAGCCGTTGCCGCGGAAAAGAGGAAGTATTGAGAGGGTTTGCATTCCCACCGGCGGATCGATTGTTTACGTTGTAGGAGCGCGACAGGAACTGTTGTTGAGTGGACATGGTGGTTGGCGGGGATGAGGCGGTGATGGGAGGGGGATCCCGGGGTGAGAGGGGAGAAAGAGAGCCGGGACCTGCACCGAGAGGCCCAGACAAACAGGCAGTGAGCGCAATGGATACGAATGGGGGGTTTTTCTTTGGGGTTGAAGCGGAGGTCTCGAGGATGGAGCGTCGGGAGTTGTTGCGACAACGCGAATTCGGGCGACGCGAGGCGGTAAACAGCGCCCGCGTTGATTGGTGGGCGCTGGTGACAGATATACTACGGTCACCAGCAGGTCCTCGCTCTTCTTTCCTCCTTGTCGGACTCGTCCGGTATGTATGTATGTCTTTCTAGTCTCGCCTATTTACACATTGACTGGCCCGAGTCCCGCCCTTCTCGTCCCTTGCGCCAGGCATTTCTCCACCGAGATTGGTGGCTATTTAGAGGATTCCCTTGAGCCAAGCGTGACGATTTGCTGTCTTCTCGGGTAGTGTCGCTAATTATAAGTCGATCTGTCCAAGTGAGTTATTGATGGAGTGAATATGCTGCGCTCCTCGACCTAAAAGGGTGGGTTGTCGGTCGAACATAACCACAGACGATGTAGAGGTCTCCGAACGAAGACCTACATCATGCATCTCGCATATTCATCCAGCGATTCTGTAGCTCCTGGGGTATATGGATCCTGAGTCCATATGGCTGGTAGATGAACGTATCAAAACGGACTGTCCGAGAAATCCATGTCCTGTGTCTGGAGATCTGGGTCGACTTGATAGCCCAGATCCAGGTCTTCCAGAAATTTCCGATTTCGCAGTTTTTCTGGAAGATATTCCTGGGCCACCTCCCCATCTCTATAGTTCGGATTGTACTTGTACTCCTTGCCGTATCCAAGTTCCTTCATCAGCCTGGTGGGGGCGTTTCGGAGATGGATTGGGATAGGCAACCCGGCAATGCCCGGTTCGGCAAGTGCAGCGTTGGCATTGTTCAGGCCTCTGTATGACCGCGTGCTCTTCTTGGACATTGCCATAGCTACCGTAGCGTGTGCCAGATTGATGCGTGCCTCGGGAAGCCCGATCTTCTCGACAGCCGAATGAGTGGAGATGGCGAGCGTTAGCATACTATTGTCTGCTAGACCAATGTCCTCTGACGCCACAACGATCAACCGCCGGGCGATGTATAATGGGTCTTCCCCGGACTGTATCATACGTGCTAGGTAGTATAGGGCTGCATCGGCGTCGCTGCCCCGGATGGATTTGTGAAAGGCCGAGATCGTGTCGTAGTGCTGGTCTCCAGCTCGATCATACACCAGAGTTTTGGTCAAGGACCGCTTCAACTCTTCGCTGGAGATTCCAGGTCGCTTCGAAAGATCCATTGCTAGTTCGAGGAGATTGAGGGAGGTTCGAGCGTCGCCGTCGGAAAATTTGGCCAGGTACTTTATTAGGGTATCATCGACCAAGGCAGACGGTGAATAGCTTGGACCCTCAACCTCCAGAGCATGGTAAAGGATCTGTGTAACGTCTTCATCGGTGAGCTTGGACAGCGTAAAAGTCCGACACCGAGAGAGCAAGGCACTCTGAACCTTGAAGGAGGGGTTCTCCGTCGTGGCCCCGATGAGAGTAACCTGCCCGCTTTCTACGGGTCCCAAGAAGACATCCTGTTGCGATTTGGAGAAGCGATGGATTTCGTCGCAGAAAATGATTGTCTTCCTTCCGGTAAGACCCAGTTCGCTTTTCGCTTCAGAGAAGATCTTCTTACACTCCGCCACCCCGGAACTGGTGCTGTTTATTTCCACAAACCGGCTGCCCACCATCGATGCGACGACCCTTGCAATGGTTGTTTTACCGGTCCCCGGGCCACCCCATAGAATCATGCTAGGAACCCGGTCTTGTTCGATCAATCCACGAAGCACGCCATGCTTGCCGACCAAGTCCTGACCGCAGACCTCATCGAGGGTGCGAGGACGCATCCGTTCCGCCAAAGGAGCCACCTTTCTGAATGCATTTATCTTTGGTTTCTTTGACTGATGCTCTGTTTGAGGGGGATCCGAGCTCGGTTCGGCGTTCGTCTCCGGCAGGCGACCCGAAGGAGGCGGCATCGACCGCTTGCGGGTGACATTTTGCAGGGGCGAGGAATCGGAGCGTATATCTTTCTGTGAGTTGGGCTGCGCAGGGGTTTTACGCGCCGACGCTGGCTGAAAAATGCTTGGGACCTGAGCTTTCTGGGAGGACGAATCTCCTGCACTAGAGGTAGGTTCCTCGATGTAGCTTTGACAGTTGGAATCAATATGATCGTTGATTTTCACGGACGGAACGGAATTACTGCAGATCGGACACGAGACCATTGCGATCAGCTGGCGATATGAGAATTGACGGACAGCAACTCGGTAGGAGTCGAGGCCACCGAGACATCGATTGATATATCAACTTTCTCCGTCGCAGCGCAACGCGAACGCGTGCGGAGAGCCGCTGACTCAGCCGCGCTGTCATTTTCCCCTTTCGGGACGCCAGGCACGGGATGCGCTAGCCCCGATTGGGCCAGAGCACGCCATCTACGTGTCTTACATAAGCCACGTCGTCATTCCTCGATCCGTCGGACTCATCGCTCTCTATCCATCCCTCTCTGATTCCCCTCCCCTTCTCTCCCCTCGTTCCGTCTTTACTTATGTTCTCGAGATATCGTGTGTCGGCTTCATTTGCAGCAGCTGCCAAAGTCCAACTCCCATTGAGTCCTCTAGTCGCCTCCACGTTTAGACCTCCACCCCACCTTCTGTTTCCCCGCGCTAGAGCAATGTCCGCAACCGCGGCTCGGCCTGACCCTTTTAAACCGGCAAGAAGGGTTGCTGGCCAAAGACAAGATGTCTGGTACGAGGTCTCTTAGAACATAAGGCGATGTAGAATGGTTCCCTAACTAGCTCGTAGGTCAATTGTCAACGAAGCTGCCGCCGCGTCTCCGGTCCAGCCCATTGTGAATATGGGCCAAGGTTTCTTGTGAGTGAGGCATAATTCCCCGTAGGGTCTCTGATGTCACATGCTGACCATTGCGATCATGGCTGTAGTGGATATAACCCCCCTAAATTCGCCATCGATGCTGCGAAAGATGCCCTGGACCGTGTGGAATGCAACCAGTACTCTCCCACGAAGGTACAAACACCGAGGGTTTTATCGCAATGAAGGAATATACTCATGGCAATGATAGGGTCGTCCCCGCCTGAAGAAGGCCCTCGCGGATGCGTACTCTCCGTTCTTCGGCCGAACTATAAACCCAGACACGGAAGTGTCGATCACGACGGGGGCAAATGAAGGAATGCTGAGTGCGTTCATGGGCTTTATCGAACCTGGTGATGAGGTCATCATCTTCGAGCCTTTCTTCGATCAGTAAGTCTGCGCGATACGATCAAGGGGGTCATGGCTCTGATAGATTGGGAAAGATATATTAGCAACATTGAAATGCCCGGTGGCACTATTCGATACGTGCCTCTTCATCCGCCGAAGGATGGAGCCACCCGAACATCCCCTGCTTCTGAATGGACCATCGACTTCGAGGAGCTGGAGAACACCATCAACCCCAAGACCAAGATGATCGTAAGACTTCCAAACCAGACTTACTGCGGTATCAGCTCTAACCTCTCTATCTAGGTCTTGAACTCACCGTGAGCGACATCCAACCCATCCTTCTACCATTCTACCATCATACTGACAAAGAGCGCAGCCACAACCCTGTTGGAAAGGTCTTTTCCCGTGCTGAACTCGAGCGCATCGGAGATCTCTGCATCAAGCATAACTTGATCATCCTCTCTGACGAAGTTTATGACCGCCTTTTCTACGTCCCATTTACCAGAATCGGTACCCTGTCTCCCGAGCTCTACGAGCGCACCCTCACCGTCGGTTCGGCTGGAAAGGCCTTCTATGCCACGGGCTGGCGTGTTGGGTACCTGATCGGACCCGAGCACCTGATCAAGTATGTTGCTGGCGCGCACACTCGGATTTGCTACAGCAGCGTATCCCCGCTTCAAGAAGCTGCCGCCGTCGCTTTTGAGCAGGCCGACAAGGTGGGCTTTTGGGATGAGAGCCGAACTGAGATGAAGAACAAGATGGAGCGTTTCTGCCAGGTGTTTGACGAGCTGAAGATCCCCGTAAGTCTCTTGTCTCTGTTTACTTTTTGGTTGTGCGTTCAAATAACGGTATCATAGTACTCTGATCCCGAAGGTGGCTACTTTGTTCTGGCGAATATGTCGTCGGTCAAGCTTCCTGAGAACTATCCCTTCCCACCCCACGTTGCAAACCGTCCTCGCGACTTCAAGCTCTGCTGGTTTCTCATCCACGAGGTCGGCGTTGCCGCAATCCCCCCCACCGAATTTTATACCGATGCGAACGCCCACATCGCCGAGGATTACCTTCGATTTGCCGTCTGCAAGAATGACGACGTGTTGGAAACCGCGAAAGAGAGGCTACGGGGCTTGAAGAAATACATCGTGCAGTAAAGCCAACGAAAAATGAATATTTTCTTGGGTTAAACATGCATTGGAAGACAGGAGCGGGTAAATCGGGTGTGCTCCAGATGGCAATTATAGAATCTATTAAGCAATTTATGAAAAAGGTGGCGAAGGCCGCAAAATAGAAAGTTTGGTTTGACATTCTCTTTGGCTTCTCAAATCCTAATGTTCTGATATTCCACATCCAACCGCCGCGAACTTGTTCCAGACCATCACGCCTTGCTCTTTTTTCTTTCATTCCCATTCTCACAGTCGCAGACCATGGACTAACGGTAAGGAGATCTACCAGAGCTCTCCGACAAAGGTGAAAAACGCCAGATAGATCCATAAACAGTTCACAAAGCAACCCAAGGCATGGTGAGATACAAGAGAGAAGTCTGAGAGGCCGAGAAAACTGACTGTACAGGACGAAGGGATAGGTCGAGGGCTAATTTCGAAGACCATACGAACAACGGCGATGCCAATCATCTCCAGCCCTCGTAACAACCAGAGCTCAAGCATTCATATCTTCGATCTCCATGTCTCCAGTACCGGCCCCGTCCCATCCCTCTCCGCGACGGAACACTCGTCGATCTTCGTCGGCCACTTGATCAAAACCCTCTCCTCTCATGCGCTCAATGATACTGGAAACGTTAGGATGGGTCGTTCGTGCAGTCCGCAAAATCCAGTAGGTTCCTTCGAGATGGTCAATCAACTGCCCGTGACCTCCACCAGGAGGAGACCCAAGCAGACGGCGGTATTCAGCTCGACAGGAAGCGTCAGGGCAGTTGCGACGATTCTTCCCGTTCCAGTCCGTCTCGCAGGCGTGTCTGGTCCCAGTGATTAGGTCCTGGATTGTCACATTAAATTCCGATTGAAATTGGTATTTTACTGCCACTTCCAACTCTTGGGCTCTTCCCTCTGAGCGCAGTTTGTCCCGGATCAGTCGAAACAAGTAATCCACCAGTTCGTGAACGTCGATAGTCACTGCAGAAGAGAACGAGAGTCAGTACATGGCTAGCAATAAATCAAAGCAGGGATTAACACGCCAACTTACGGAAGAGACAAGTGGCGAGCACCCGACGGAAGCGATCCTTTTCGATTGGGTCGTCGAATTTGATAACATAGATAACCCTGTGGGAGCAGCGAACATCTAGGTTGTTTTCGGGGAACCTAGCTGCGACGAGATCTGCCCAATCTGAGAATATGAAATAATCTCCTGTTCCGGTGTCTGCGCTGAAACGCACCGCTTGACGATGACGTTCCGGCGTGTCGTAGGGGTGAATGCATGGCACCATAGGTGGGCCTTCTCTTACTTGACGAGGAATTGAAGATTCCCGACAGGGGTGCTCGAAGGTCATCTGTTCGCAATACAGCCAGTGCCATTTGACATCCTGGAACATGTGCTCTTTGCAACAGTAGCGAAGCTCAGAGTAGGGGCCACAGCGAGCACAAATCACAGTTGCTCCATCCCACAAGTTACAGCGTTTATCACATCCCGACATTGCGCAAGGGAAGCCATGGCTGTCTAGCTGCCAGAAGAAGTCCTCCGGCTTTTGTCTCGATACGCTCCCCTGGGTGCTTGGTGCCGTCAGAGTGGATTGCTCGCTTCTAGCCGGGGACACAGGGTGGGCATGACTAGTTTGGCTCTGACCTGAAGCAGTAGCCTGCGACTTGCCAGAACTTCCATGGCGTCGGTGACTATTCTCATCCGATTCGAGGGTGGACCTTTCACTCTGTGGCGTGGCTTGGGGTCCGAGATTGCTCCAGATGGTGGTCGACGACTTCGGCGTGCTCGTGAGAAGACTGCGGGTTTCAGATGTGAGATCTTTGACATCGTTATCCGTGTCCCCTGCTGTTTCCTGTATAGTGGATAGCTTCTCTCTCATGTGGACATTAGTGCCCCTGCGCGAGGACTGGGCTGAGCGAGGAGGTGGAGTCAAAATCGCTGTCGCGGCCGCTGGAGGTTCGGTGGTGCTTTGGTCTAAAGTGATGCCCTTCACTCCATTTTCAATACTGGCAATGGGCGTGCTGGGCGCTGGCAAGCAAGAGCTTCCTTGAGGCTCTTCTGGAATCTCATCTCCTGTGACTGGGTTGACTCTGGCAACGCGCCGTTTTCCTTTCTTGTTTGATCTTGCAGATTTGGACTGAGTTGCCGGCAAATCATGGACCTCCTTGCTATTTTTCTCGCTAGTTGGCTCTTTAGACTGGGTTCCCTTGGCCTGGGGCTTCTTTTCGGCCTGCAAGACATGTTTGCCCTGGGAATTATAACCCTTGACGGCCGCAGAATAATCCACGGGCTTGGTTTCTTTTGTGTGTGATGGCGAGTCAACTTTGGGGCTGCATTTGCTCTGCGCTGAGGATGAATCAATATCACAGAGATCATCTCTCTTCGTCTGGGGCTCAGATTCTGGAACCTGCGCGTTCGACTGACTATTGGCCGTGTGAGATCGCCTTCTATGGGGAGGAGAACTAATGTTGGGTGCAAACTCCGCGAGATCGAGCTTTTTGTACTTCTTCTTGGCCTTCTTCTTTTTATCTTTTTTGGACGATGAAGTAGGCTCCGTTGTGGTCGCTGGGGTGTGACTTGTGGCGGCTGATTGAGGATTATCATCCGCATGACTCGGTTCTCTGGACTGAGAAGAGTCCACTGGATTGGACGAATCAGTTAGAGTCGAGCGAGAGGCTGTTCGGGCTCGCAAGAGGGTGACGGCATCTGAGCGAGACTTTGGCTCATCGGATGCTGGGCCTTCCTGCTGCTTATCTATTCACCAGAAAACAGGTTAGCATTTCTATCTTCAATTGCCAGATTGCTAGAAACCATAGAGAGTATGTGATATGAACCTACCAGGGTGATTGCTTTGGTCACTCATGAGAGAAATCTTGATATCGATGTGTGCAATCCGAACTGATTCTGTGGCGGTATGAGCGAGGGAGGGAGACTGGGCAGGTTGCTGAGGTGGTGGTGATCTGTTGTTTGAAGACTTCACTTTATCTGTACTCTCTGGAAGGCCAATCACCGCCTCGCACGCCTGCGAAGGGGGCTCATTTCCAGGCACAGCGGAACCTTTTGGGGGAGTTCCATTATCCTGAACTGTCTCCTGGAGATCTTCCGGTAATTCCTTTTCAGTCCTGTCCTTCCATCCCGCAGGGCCTTGGTCTTCCTTGTACCTGATTGTCATGTTGACAGATGAGAGCCGTGATGCGCAGCCAATTCTTGAGGTAAGTTCCGTCCTAGAAGAAAAGGCACAGTCAGCTATATCACTTGTTAATTCAGGAACATGAAATGTTACCCCGTGCTTTGCGGATATCCGCCTGTTAACCAGGAAGATATCCCAACTGTTATGGTTCACGTTTTCACTCAGCAGTTCACTTGGGACAACAGATGTAGGGAGCAGTAAGAAAGAGAAAACGAGGACTACAAGAAGAGGGCCATCTTGCCTCGCGCAACCTTATCGTCATGGCGATTGATGTGGTGAAGGCCCACGTACGGGGCACTGCACGGGTCTCGCAATGCTATACCTTTGTGTTTGCCTAAAACAGACTGTTCAAAACTCAGATCTTGGACTTGGATAACAGCAAGGGGAATCGAATTCTTCTGTAGGCTTAATCTTCAACAAATATAGTATGCATGGGACTCTCAAAGTTTCTCCAAGGGTCCTTGAAGCGACTATGATCTTGCCCAGAAAGGAGTTACCACAGACTAAATATTAATACCCGATAGTAATAGTCTGGTATTTTGATCCTAGAGTAGATATTCTCTGGCTTTTCTTTGCGACTTGCTTGTTTACTTTTCGATTCTGCAAATCATTATAGTATAAATATGTAAACTTGACCACAGTCTCTCCAGAAGATGACACTACCACTCCCTTCGATTTGACTGGACAAGTGCAATTTTGATGCTCCATTCGTGTAAAATGACTCTTTTCTGAGACAATTGATGGATGCCTTGACAAATATTCATATGTCAATTGTTGAGAAGATGAGTCTTTTGATAGACGCCCGCCCTTCTATATGGGCCAATGAACCCCACCAGATGTATAGCATTCTATTTAAAGTCATAAATCACAACTTACATGCGGATATTAAGGAATGGAAACCCTCCGTAATTTGAACGAAATGCAAGACAGGAGGTTCTTCTCGTAACAGTCACGTGTTGTGTCAGACCCTTGGGTCCCCAAACAGGACAGGGCAAGGAAGAGTCACGCTCCTCTCCCCTTTCTTCTTCTGTTCGTCCATTTTGTTATTCACCGTCACTTCCCATCATCAATCTTCGTCTCCCTAAAAAAAGTTAATTTCAAGCTAAATCTCAACATTTGCCCTCCTCCAATCATGCACTGGGCCAGTATTCAATCTCCAGCACCTCGGCGCCAAATGGAACAAGAAACACCGCAGAAGTGCCAAACAAAGAGCGATTCATCAGCGTGATTCCCACTCCAGCCCAGAAGCTCCCTTTCCCTCACACGAGGTTGTGGGGTTTTTTGCTTTTATTTAGAATAGTCGAAACAAGTGCACAGACAGTGATGCCCTGGGGCAATGAAGCTATAGGACCACCACCACGACATCGTGCTAAGCGCCGATCTTGGGAGGCTATTTTAGGCCCTGCTAGGCGCCCTGAAGACCGCCATTGAGAAGATGCCGCCGACAAAGAGATCGCGCCAGATGAAACAAAGCCATTGCAGAAGATCCTGTCGTGGGTCTATTTTGGGCATTGATGGTGTTGAAGTGGATCAATGGTCAGTTCCCTCAATGGCTGCTTTTGTTGCCGTCTGCTGGGCTCTTATTTGCATTCACTTTGTAGGCCTATCAATTACTGGGAGGCCCCATTGTTGTTCTGGCATAAAGGTTGGTTGTTTCCTTGATTGTTGACTTTGGCTTATTGACATATTGTTCCTAATACTTTCTTTGGCGTGCAGGTGCATACTCATTTTCTTCCATTTTCTCCCATTCCAGCGCATCATCTTTATCTCTCAAGACTATCACATACATTTGTGCATGGCCTACACCATTCTTGCAGTCATTAATTTTTTACTAATTTGGGTCACGTTTACTGCTGGTCAGCCCCTTGTACAAGACACCATCATTTCACGTCTTTTCCTCTAAAAGTTACCATCTTCTTCTGATTCAATTATCTTGGGAGTCGCCCAATAGGCGCCCTTTTTTCCCTTAGTTTATTCTGTTCAAACTGTATTTCATATACCCCGTTCCAGTCTTCCACCATGCTCTTCTCAAGACCAGGCCGATCGATCTTTCCCCTGCTTCCGCCATATGGAGCCCACGATCCCAACCATGGTCCCGGGCGTGTGATACTGCATCCCGATGAGATGACACCATACCTCGGTCTACGAGCTCGTCTGTCTCAAGTTTGGATGAACCGATGGACAATTCTATTGTTGTTGGTACTAGCACGAGTCCTGATAGCCGTTGCAGGCATGCGGTCAGACATGGACGGTGCCAAACGCGAAGCCCTATCTGCCTGTACCGCTGTTGAGTCGATGGGTAGCTCGATGGCTTCTATGCCCCATTACCTGTCGCGGGGAGTCAATGATATGACCGCCTCGTCGGTTGAGGCAGCCGTAAGCGCGCTCAAGTCGATGCTCATGCTCACCGTCAAGGGAGTCGAGGAACTCGTCGTCTTTTTCATCAATGTCATGTATCAAACCTACCTTTGCTTGTTTACGATGGTCGTCCGCGGCAGCGCCCACGTCGCACTCAGTTTGATACAGGATGTCACCGATTTCTTGAACTCTACCCTCAAGTCGATCGGGGACGACATTGAGAAGGCAGGCGACAAATTCCAGAGCGCTATAGACAAGTTCTCGGAAGGCGTAAACACCGTGACGAGTGCATTGGGGGGAGGAAATGCTATCCCGAAAATTGACTTCGGCGACGATATCGAAAAGCTCTCTAATCTTCAACTCCCCGGGTCCATCAATTCTACCATCGACAAAGTCAACAGTTCGATCCCCACCTTCGATGAAGTCAGCAAATTTGTCGAGAACGTCTTGCGGTTTCCTTTCGAGGAAGTCAGACATCTCATCAATGGGTCCTTGAGCAACTACACTTTCGACCGCTCCGCACTCCCCGTTCCCGCAAAGGAACAGATGACTTTTTGCAAAGACAACAACGGCATCAACTCGTTTTTTGATAACGTCGCTGACCTTGTTGACACGGCTCGCAAAATTTTCATTGCGGTGCTCGTTCTCGCCGCTACATTTGTCTGCCTCCCCGTCGCCTGGTACGAGATACGCCGATGGCGATCTATGAAAGAACGCTCTGAGCTCGTGCGCAAAGACGCCCACGACCCAATGGATGTTGTCTACATTGTCTCCCGCCCGTACACTGCCGCTGCAGGAATCAAAGCTGCTAGTCGGTTCAGTAATAGCCGGCGACAGACCCTCGTGCGCTGGGTCGTGGCCTACGCAACCTCCACGCCCGCCCTCTTCGTGCTCTGCCTCGCCATCGCCGGCCTCTTCTCCTGCCTCTGCCAATTCATTCTGCTGCGTGCCGTCCAGAAGACCGTGCCGGAGCTAACCACCGAGGTTGGTCAATTCGCTGACAAGGTCGTCACAAAGCTTGAAAATACATCCGCCACCTGGGCCAAGGATGCCAACGGCGTCATCGGCGACATGAACCACGACCTCAACACCAATATCCTCGGCTGGGTGAACACCAGCACTACCGCCGTCAATGACACGCTTGACGCTTTCGTCGAGAAAACCATGGGTGTGTTAAACGACACCTTGGGCGACACAATCCTCATCGGTCCCCTGCAGGATGTCTTCCACTGCCTGATCGGCCTGAAAGTCGAGTCCGTGCAGAAGGCTCTCACCTGGGTCCATGACCACGCACATATCAATTTCCCCGTCCTTCCTAGCGACGTCTTTTCGCGGGGTGCCCAAGAAAGCATCTCCGATGGCAACGGCGGTGATGCTTCGAACAGCTTCCTCGCCGACGCAGGGGACTCGACCTCGAACAAGATCACCGAGGTAGTCATCCGCGTCATCAAGAAGATCGAAGAGGGCATCCGCACCGAAGCCATTATCGCCTCGTGTATTCTGCTCGTCTGGTTTCTCAACGTCCTCTTCGGCCTCATCCGTGCCTTGACACTATTTTGGAAACGAGAACGCAGTCGCGGCGATGGCGGTGGCGCGCCTGCGCCCCATCCCGATCAGAATGGTTTCATCGATGTGCCGCTGACGGCGATCCCAAATGTTCAGGCAAACACTATAGACACTTATGCTGCGTCAGGGGCCCAGCCGGCGCCAAAATATGAGCCTTCTCCTCCCGCAGCTGCAGGTGGAAATAGCACCGAGTTGAGTCAGTACGATGATGAGAAACTGGGATTTGCAGGCCAGAGGAATTATGGTTCCGCGCTGAATGTAAGGAAGAATGTTGGAGGGGCCGATCAGCGAGGAAGCAGTTATGTCGAATATGGCATGGAGAAACCTGGAGTGGTTTGATTCTGCATGATGGATGTCTCTTCTTTTCTTCTGTTCCAGCCTGATGCACCTTTTTATTTTCAGCGTGCAATTTATATGATTTGTTAATTTTGGGCGTTTTCGATATCCATTCACTCCTCAAGTCACTATGCCACTATGTTTATAGTTGAATATTCAAATTAATTCATAGACAGTAATCCGTTGATATATCCTCATTAGAACCAATCTATGTAGCTCAAGTTCGGACTGTCTCCATATGCGAGTGAATACCCGAGAATACAACCAAGAAAGATATTGCAAGAAAAGTAATACAGGCAGTCACAGTCGCAAAAAGTCGCTGGGCGGCGGTCTATGCAGCAAACAGGTTCGTAACTCATGACAGTGGGAAGCGTAGGTATACCGACAAACTTGTACAAAACAATCACAACCAAAGGACATGCTCACAGTAGGATTATATTTCCACGAAGAAGCTCTTTTCTCCTTCCTGGGGCTGCACTCGGGCCCTTTCGATGATGGGATCCGCGCAGCTGACTCGGATCCGCTCGGGCGTTGCCGGGCTCTGCAGACTGAGGACGTCGTGGACATTCCACTGTTTCCGCGCGGCTTTCAGAGCATCCCGGATGGCGAAGAACGCGGCACTACCCATAAAAAGGGGAGGTTCACCGACGCCGCGAGAACGTTGGATCGTCCGGAGGTTCTCCCACTCGACGTCTTTCAGTAGACTGACGTTGAAGATCTGGGGGATATCACGGAAGCCCGGGATCTTGTAGTTTCCAGGGCCCTTGGTGAATACCTGGCCTGAGGCCCGATGCCAGAGACTTTCTTCCGTGGTGAAGAGCCCTTGTCCTTGGACATATGCTCCCTCGATCTGCCCATAATCTATGGAGGGGTTAATAGTGCGCCCCACGTCCATCTTGATGTCAGCTCTCAAGGGAGTCCAGTCTCCAGTTAAGGTGTCAATCTCAACCTCAGCGGCTGTGACACCCTGGGTGAAGTAGAAGAACATCTGACCCTTGTTCTCCCCCCAGACATAGCCGATATCAGGCGTGCGGTAGTATCCCTGAGCCGAAAGATTCACGCGGTCGAAGTATGCCGCATGTGCCAAATCCTTTAGAGAGGCGCCAGGCATCTTCTCCCGATATGGCTTGAGACGCTCGTTGATTTGCTCGCACGCGTTGAAAATGGCATAACCATTGAGGTCAGAGCTGGCAGAGGCAGCAGTGGCAGATGTGTTGGCGACGGTATTTGTAGCAGTCTCAGAAATGAACACGTCGGACTGAGGGACACCTAAGGCTTCAGCCGCAATCATCGTCATCTTCGTGTGCAGCCCTTGGCCCATTTCAACTCCTCCATGGGCAACTAGAACGCTTCCATCATGATAGATGTGGACTAAGGCTCCAGCTTGATTCAGGAACAAGGCCGTGAAGGAAATCCCAAACTTAGTAGGGACAATCGCCATTCCACGCTTGGACCATTTGTGTTTCCTGTTGTATTCCTCAACGGCCTTGCGTCGTTCTGCATATGAGCTCTCTTCCAGAACTTGTTTATACATCAGCGGAACGTGCCAATCCTTCAACTCCTGATTGAAGTGGGTCTTATCGCCAGGTCGATACATGTTGTCCATGCGAACCTTCTCAACTGGAATATTGAGATGGTCCGCGATTTCGGTAACATAGCACTCGGCGAAGAACAACCCTTGGGGGCCACCGAATCCGCGGAATGCGGTATTAGAGACCGTATTTGTTTTGCAGATACGGCCGCGGACATGGACGTGAGGGATATTATAAACTCCGTCAATGTGAGACAAGCTCCGTTCCACGACTGCACCCGAGAGATCCTGAGTGTGACCGCCATTGGCATACACATCCGCATCCAGGGCAAGAATTTTGCCTTCTTTAGTCACCCCCACTTTCCAGTGACAAAGGAACGGATGGCGTTGCCCCGAGGTGGCAATGTCCTCGTCGCGATTGAGCATACATCGAACCGGGTATCTTGTTTTCGCTGCTGCAGTCGCGCAAATACCTGCCAACTGAACGGATCGTGTCTCCTTGCCACCGAATCCTCCACCGAGACGCTTCACGCGAGATACAATCTTATTCTGTGCCACGCCGGTGACTTGCGCAACATATGTCTGGCTGTAGAGGACTTCAGCAGTGATCCTTGAGCGGGGGTGAAGATTGGAACTTACGTTTCAGTGGGATTTTGCGTGCCACTCCAGATCTCCATCTCTCCATCCTCGGGCTTTGGAATGGCAACGCAGGCCTGGGTTTCCAGGTAGAAATGCTCCTGGCCACCAATACGGGATACACCGGTAAAAATGTGGTCAGCCTTCTTGAAACCGAGTTCCGTGTCACCTCGTTTTATGAAACGGGAATGTTCGAAAAATGACTGGGCCTCGATAGCTTCTTCCATGGTGAGTATCGCTGGCAACTCTTGGTATTCGACCTTGACAGCTCTCGAGGCCTCCTCCGCAATTTTTGCCGAATTTGCAAGGACCATGCCGATGGGCTGACCGGCCGTCGTCACCTTATCGACCGCGAAGAACTGCTCATCGGGATTAGGAGCACCCCACCAATTGGCCTGTGGGTTTGGAAGGTCACTATGATCAACATAATCATAGACTCCAGGAATCTCGAGAGCCGCTGTGGGATCAACGCTAAGTATTTTGGCGTGCGCCTTGGTCGAAAGAACCATACAGCCAAACTTTTCGTTCTGCTGTACGGGGATGTCATCGGTGTACTGGGCTTCTCCAGTGGACTGCTTCAGAGCCGAGACGTGCGGGCCAGCCGTTCCCAGGATTCGCTGCTGGTACGCTGCTGACGCTTCGTTATCTTTCTCTCCTGAAGAGATCGCCCTTTCAATTTCAGCAATAACATCATGGTCAATATCCGTGTCCTTGACTTCCATGCTGGCCAAAGCATCGTGATAGAATCGGTAAAAGAACCCAAGAGCAAGGGATTTGCGATACGTCGCCATGCCTCCGGGAACACCAAATTTCAGATCAAAATCTTTCTCCAAGGCTACCATTGTTCCTTCGAGCGTCGCAGGATTTGTAAACTTTTTACCGACTAGGAAAGTCTCTGCGTTCCGCGCGGAGACTGTCATCGGAGCAAGGCCACCGAAAACGAGATTCACGCTCTTCACATCGTTGGCTGAGGAAAGCGACACGCGCAAGGCTGCGTTGACTATGGCAATATCATCATCTTTCCGCTTTGATTGTTTGTATGCCCGCATGTATTCGCCACTCCCAGCCGCTGTCGGGATGCGCAAGCTCGCAATGATGGCGTTGGGAGGAAGCGCAGTGGTTCTATACCCTTTGAAAAACTGGCTCATAGGAATTTCGATTTCTTCACCGAGTGTCTTGGCCACAAGGACGGTGTTTGTAGCCACGAACACCGGGTTCAGATCAGAGATAGGGGAGGCGGTGGCCAGGTTGCCGGCTGGGGAAGCCACATTCCTGATTTGTCTTCCTGCAAAGTAACGAAGCTGCTTCTTGATTGCCGTGAAGTTCTGGCCTCGCACGACTCCAAACCGCTCCAGGGCTTGATCACAAATCGTCTCCAAATCGGTAAGAGAGACATTGGCACCGATTTCCAAGTGGTCATCATGCAGCGAGTACTGGCGCAATTCTTGGATATCACCGACGTAAACAGACGCCCGATATTGCATTGCCTTGAATTTTATCTCAATTTGCGTCTCGGTACTGCCGCCAATGATCTTTGCGTCTGGGTGCACATGCTTAATCTCCAGGAGCTGCTGCAGAGTGACCGGCCGATACCATCTTTTTCTCTTGTTGCCAAATACCAGCGGCCGGAATTCGTGCTTTCGGAGCATGGGCGGGAAAATCAATTCAGTTTCGGGGTTGTACTTGATGAACTCGGGAGGCGTGAACTTGGGAGCATTGGGGTCAGTGACCGTGGTTTCCGATGAGCCCTTGCAGCAACCTCCCGCGCTATTTTGCTTCTCCATACAACAGCCACCTCCTCCGTTAGCGGTCGATTTTCCACATCCATTGGATTTGGCCTTGAAGCTCTGGGCAGCATCCAAAATTGGTCTATAGCCTGTGCAACGGCACAAGTTTCCATCAAAAGCTTCTTCGACTGCGTGTTCAGAGGGCTCGGGAGTGTTTCGTAGTAGGGCGTAGAGACTCTATCAGGCAAGTTAGATTCTATCTCACAGTATTGATAGGGTTTATCCCAGATAGGGCACACCATTGCAATTCCTGGAGTGCAAAAGCCACACTGGCTTCCGTTGCCCGCCGCTAACCGTTGCTGAACCGCATGGGGATTCTTCACATTCCCAATTCCCTCGATCGTGATGACATGTTTGCCATCCACACTAATCAGGGGGGCAATGCAGGCGTTGACAGATGCGTGATAGAGCTTCTTAGTCGTTGGGTTCGTGTGCGATACCACCTATCGACGTCCATCAGTTACTTGCCAGGCGATGCAGAGGAAAGGTGAGCGCAAACATACCACTGTGCAAGCACCACAGCCTCCCTCTGCGCATCCTAGTTTAGTACCAGTCAAGCCTATTCCCCTCAGATATTCCAAGAGGGTAAATTCGGGGTTCACCGAATCGAGGGTGACCTTGGTGCCGTTGAGATAGAACCGAATAGTGTCATCCCAATCGTCGGTCAGCTGGAGCAGCGAGCCAACCTTATCAGGGACGATTGCTGCAACTGGGGACTCTAAGACGCCGGGTGCCATCTTGTGTATACTTCCACTCCAAGGGTTGAAAGTTTCACGGTCCCTGCCAAGGAAGGTGAGTGGCGAGCAAAGCGAAGTAAATAGTAGGAATCAGTGTTGGGCGGATAGAGTATATAAGAACGGGGATCACAGGAAAGGACCGAGGAGCAAGACAGAAGGGTCCCCGCAGATGAAAGGGTGACAAGTCATATACATCAGGATAGGGCATCCATGCAGGAGGAGAAGGAGGAAGCGCAGCTTTAAAGATCCCCGATGACCCGCCATCGTTATCGCCATGTGCGGGGATCGCCACCGGCCGATGGAAGGCGGCAACCCGCGGCACTAATCAGCGCCAATCCTCGGTCGCTGATTGGCTGCCCGCAGGTCTTAGGTAATGCATGCTCGAGATGGGTCCCGTGATATTCCACCGCATCGGGAGATAAACAAGAAAAACGCCAGTCCAAATGCTCCCAATGATCTAATGACAGATGACAGTAATATAACACAGCTTTTACATTCAGAGAAGAAGATAGAAAGGATTCGAGCAAGGAAATGAAAAAGAAAAAGAGAGAAAAAAAGGGTTAAAGCGCTCGGAGGCCTCACGGTTTAACCCGGGCCCCGACGAAATCCTTCTCTTCCTCCTCCCATTTCTTCCGTTCGACGATGCTGCGTGCCCTAGATAAATTCAGGTTAGCTTCCGCTTCCTAAACATGCAGGTAAGGGGGAGAGAAGCAGGGATGACAAACCGGTACGCCCTCACAAACCGCCACACTTCGGTATCTGCCAGGTTCCATGCTTCCGCCACGTCTTTGATGTTAATCCGATTGGTCTCCTTGCTTTTTAAGATCTCCCGCGCAGCCCTGAGAAGATCGTATTCCTTGTCGACACCCTCCAGGCTGGGATTGGCATGTTGGATAGACTCCTTGGTGTCGCCTTCGTGCTTCGCATCCACTTTTCCTGTCCGGGGGATTTTAAACCCAAATTGCCACTCCAACTCGTCCAAGAGTTCGGTGGGGAGAGCCTGACCAGCCTCCGGGGGGATTGATTCAACCGTCATCCACAATGACGTTCCGATAACTCCGTCGTCGGCGACGGCCTTCTTGAACACGACGGCTCGCGACGATCCACCCAGCTCAAGTCCCAGCTGATCCTTGGTGACCGCCTTCAACCAATTATCGCGCTCCGTCTCACGGCGAACGTGTCGGGTCGTAACCTCCGCAGAATTCTGCTGCAAACTGATGAGCGTATACGGATGAGGGAGGGTTCCAATAGTGAAGACACGGGTCGTATTGCGATAAGTTGCCGGTTGGCTAACCTGCATGGGCTTCGCCGACTCGCAGGGGTGGCATTTCAGCAGGTTGGGAGGGCACGAGGAGGGCACGGGGGATTTTGGGCATTGAGCGAGGGCTTTGGCAAGTCGCAGCGACGGTTCGACGAGAGCGGTTGTGTGTTCCGGGAAGGGTTTTAGAACGGCGAGACCGGCGGGGAACGAATTTTGAAATGCGCTGTGCAGATGGGAATTGATCAAATCAACCAAGCCAAGTCGGCCAGCGGTGGCGGATTTGACGCTTTGCTCGGCCAATGCGGGAAAGTTGGTCGTGACGGTCGTAGAGTCGTAGAAGGCCAACGAGTTGGACTGTTCGTTCCTGAAGAACTCACCAGGCACCAAGTCCAGCATTGATTTGGAGTTTTCGTCAATCTTTTTCATTGCTTCCTTGATCGCTTCGTTGATGCGCGATTTCTCTCCCGCGAAGAGTGCGCTGTTGATGCGGTCGAATCTCGTAATGAAGGCCGGGTCGGTACCCAAGCGCAGGGACGAAAGCAAAGGGTCGTCATATCTCGCCATGGGGAAACAGCGCCAATCCGCCAGCAAGCCATCACCCATGTGGCCCCAGGCGAGCCATCGGAACAGTTCCACTTCCAAATCCTGGTGAAGCTTCAACGGCTGCACAAGCTCGTACAGTTGGTTGTTCATCGCCTCCCCGGGCCCCAGGATGATCGGGCGGAACCCCTGAGCAAACCAGGCTCGGCGCCAGGCAAGAAGCAGCTGAGCATCCGCGTTCTCCTCATTCTTATCATTCCCCTTATTGGGTTCATAGTACGTGTATATAAACGGCCGCTGCCGCAACGGAGGGAGTACGGAGCGGTTCTCGTCCAGTGTAATCGCGGAGGAAAATGGATTGAGCCACGCCCAGTCGGTAAACCATTTTGATTCCCCACTGGTGCTGTTCGGTTGCAACTCGGGCGGCGTATGCACGGTAGGACGAAACGAGGGCAAATGGAAATCGTTTAGAGACGGAAGCTTTGGGTGCCGGACATAGTCGGCCACACTAGAGACCTTTTCTTCCCCCGACGCCGAGTCCACTGAGCTCGGAGACGTCGAGAAGATCACCAAGAGAAGAGCGACGAAGACGATGATCGTAAGAAGGGCCGTACTGCGGTGAGGTATCATGATGTATGGTGTATTTGCCCGACGCGAAGAATGTCGGGAACAAGAAAAACAGTAAGTACAGATGATGCAGGGGATGGAACAGTAGGTAATAGGGGGGTCAAGTCTAGAATTCTTCCACCGTAGACCTCTGAGGGGCAATGATTATAATGAAAAAGAGTGTAGGTTCCAACAGGATGGGATTCAAGGAACGGATGAAGGTCGCATAAACATCCGCATGGATGGAAAGAGATCAATCCATTACAGTCGTACAAGAACAAGAAAGGAGGGACAAAAAGAGAGACCGATGCAGCCGTACTCGTACCTGACGGAAGAAGGAATTCGCCAGCCTCAACGTCAAGCCACTAGTCGGCTCTAGTACGATATCCAGTGAGATTCTGAGATAAGAATAGGACCGAGTGCGACGCTGCCTTTGGCTGGACCCGGTCACTTGACGCGAACGGCTTGATGCCTTGGTGTCTTGGTGCCTTAATGCCTTGCGGCTGCGCTGCCTGCATGCCTGCGCTGTCAGGCATGGCGGTGAGGGGCAGCGAGATCGGAAGCGGTGCCCCTCGTGACTCACATACTATTAAATTAATGGATTTGCTTCTCCATTAACATCACCGGGTCGCTTCTCTCCATCCATATTATTATCCTCAATTCCATTGGCAGTCTGACGCCCCCCAATTCCGCGCCGAGGGAATTGTCACTGCAACCATGGGTGTCGAATCCGCCTCCTTACAGGAGCGCCTAGAGCGATGGGCTCAACGCCTACAGAACCTCACGGTCTCCCCCCTCACCCGAGACTATCCCGATGCTCAGAACCAGGAGCTCCCCAAGAGGTCAATTGAGGCCTTCGAGTCTCTCAAGATCTCCAAGAATTCCCTGTCACAACTACAAAACGTCTCCGGCTCGTCGTCGGGATTCACGGTCTTCCTGACTGCGTTCGTGGTCCTCGTCGCTCGGTTAACCGGTGATGAAGATATCGCCATCGGCACTAGCTCCGGCGAGGATGGCCGTCCTTTTGTCCTGAGAGTCCCCATTGAGTCGTCGGAAACCTTCCTTCAGCTCTACGCTAAAGTGCAAGCCGTATGCTTTTAGTTCTCTTTCTCTTCGTACGCCCCGAGCTAATGGTTGGCCAGGCATTCAACCAAGGATCATCCGATATCGTCCCATTGGGTAGCCTACGGTCTCATATCCAAGAAAAAACTAAGTCGGAGCGAGCACCCATTTTCTTCCGTTTCGCTGCCTACGATGCCCCCGCCGTTTCGCAAGAATACCCCGCCAACACCTTCGAGACAACCGACTTGGTTGTGAACGTTGCGCCTTTGTCCGACGAGTCGTCGGCAGCGGAGTTGGGAGCATTCTACAACCAGAGACTTTTCTCGAGTGCAAGGATCGCCACAATCCTCCGGCAGCTCTCTCGGATTGTCGAGAATGCCACCAGCAACCCCGAGGAGGCAATTGGGCGCATTGATTTCATGACTCCGGATCAACAGGCGCTTCTTCCCGACCCTACATCCGATCTGAACTGGTCCAAGTTCCGTGGTGCCATCCATGATATCTTCGCTGAGAATGCGAAGAAGCACCCCGAGAAGCTTTGCGTGGTAGAAACCAAGTCTGAGCGATCTCCTCACCGGGAGTTTACGTATCAGCAAATCAATGAGGCATCCAACATCCTGGGCCATCACCTGGTCCAGTCGGGTATTGAGAGAGGGGATGTGGTTATGGTGTACGCCTACCGTGGCGTCGATCTCGTCGTTGCCGTCATGGGTATCCTGAAGGCCGGTGCTACCTTCTCTGTGATCGATCCGGCCTATCCTCCGGAGAGACAATGCATCTACCTTGACGTTGCCCGCCCTCGCGCGCTCATCAACATTGAAAAGGCAACCAAGGATTCCGGTGAGCTCTCGGACAAGGTTCGTGCATTCATCAATGAGAACCTGCAGCTCCGCACTGAGGTCCCTGCGCTCGCCCTTCAGGACGACGGTTCGCTGCGGGGTGGCTCATTGGACGGCCAGGACGTTCTGGCCAACCAAGTCCCCTTGAAGGCCGAGTCTGTTGGGGTAGTCGTTGGCCCAGACTCGACCCCTACGCTGTCGTTCACTTCCGGCTCAGAGGGTCGACCCAAGGGTGTCCGAGGACGTCACTTTTCATTGGCGTACTACTTCCCTTGGATGTCCGAGACATTCAAGCTCAACCCCAATGATCGATTCACTATGCTTAGTGGCATTGCTCATGACCCCATTCAGAGAGATATTTTCACGCCCCTTTTCTTGGGAGCACAATTGTTGGTCCCGGCACGGGAAGACATCCAGAACGAGAGACTTGCGGAGTGGATGCAAGAATACGGAGCTACGGTCACCCACCTTACACCGGCCATGGGCCAGATTCTCGTTGGCGGCGCTTCCGCACAGTTCCCTTCTCTCCACCATGCATTCTTCGTGGGTGACATCTTGATCAAGAGAGATTGTCGATCGCTGCAGGGCTTGGCCCCCAACGTCAACATTGTCAACATGTATGGAACCACCGAGACCCAGCGTGCTGTCAGTTACTACGAAATCCCCAGCTACTCGAGCCACGAGGGTTTCCTGGATACCATGAAGGATGTCATCCCCGCTGGTCGAGGAATGCTCGACGTGCAGATGCTGGTTGTCAACCGCTTTGAACCCAGTCGTATCTGTGCCATCGGAGAAGTGGGTGAGATTTATGTCCGTGCCGCCGGTCTTGCGGAAGGATATCTGGGTTCCGCCGAATTGAACCAGAAGAAATTCATCAACAACTGGTTTGTGGACCCTAAGATCTGGACTGAAAAGGACCAGGCTTCGTCGCAAAACTCAACCGAGCCATGGAGGCAGTTCTACGTTGGCCCCAGGGATCGTCTGTACCGCAGTGGAGATCTTGGTCGGTACACTCCCACTGGTGAGGTTGAATGCTCGGGACGTGCAGACGACCAGGTGAAGATCCGTGGCTTCCGTATCGAGCTTGGTGAGATTGACACTCACTTGTCTCGCCACCCATTGGTGAGAGAGAACACCACTCTGGTGCGACGTGACAAGTTCGAAGAGCCTACTTTGGTCAGCTACATCGTGCCGGACATGGGCAAGTGGGCCGCCTGGCTGTCAGAAAAGGGCCTCCAGGACGATGACTCCGCCGAGGGAATGATTGGCATGCTCCGTCGTTTCCGACCTCTTCGCGACGATGCCCGCGAGCTTCTCCGCAGCAAGCTCCCAACCTATGCTGTGCCAACCGTCTTCATCCCCCTGAAGCGGATGCCTCTCAATCCCAATGGCAAGATCGACAAGCCCGCACTGCCATTCCCTGACACCGCGGAACTCAGCGCGGCCGCTCCCCGACGCAGATCCTCGGTGCTGCAGGCGCTTTCCGAGACTGAGCAAGAGCTGGCGCAAATCTGGGCCAAGCGCATCTCCAACGTGACTGCTCGCATGATCGGCCCTGATGACTCGTTCTTCGACCTCGGCGGACACAGTATTCTGGCCCAGCAGATGTTCTTCGATCTCCGCCGCAAGTGGCGCGGAATCGACATCAGCATGAACGCGATCTTCCGTAGCCCTACGCTCCGTGCGTTCGCTGGCGAGATCGACCGCCTATTGAGTCTCGACTCGCTCACGACCAGCGACAGCAAGGACGCCGCCGCCGCCGAGGCATCCGAGGCTCTCAAGCAGCCCAACGACGAATACTCCAAGGACGCTCGCCAGCTGGTCGACACATTGCCTCAGTCATTCCCCGAGCGCACCGAGGACATCCTCTCGGGAGAACCCACGGTCTTCCTGACCGGTGGAACCGGGTTCCTGGGTGCTCACATTCTCCGCGACTTGCTCACCCGCAAGTCCCCCTCGGCCAAGGTTGTCGCTCTGGTCCGAGGAAAGACCGAACAGCAGGCTCTCGACCGCATCCGCTCCACCTGCCGGGCCTACGGCTTCTGGGATGAGGCCTGGACCAGCCGTCTCCAGTGCGTGTGCGGTAATCTCGGAGAACCTCGCCTGGGTCTCTCTGAGGCATTATGGGAGGACCTGACCAAGCGAGTGGATGCCGTGATCCACAACGGCGCGCTGGTCCACTGGGTGTACCCCTATTCCACCCTCAAGCCGGCAAACGTCCTCGGTACTATTGACGCTCTGAAGCTTTGCGCCACCGGCAAGCCCAAGCAGTTCTCGTTTGTCAGCTCTACTAGCGTGCTCGACAGCGACCACTATGTCGAGGAGTCCGAGCGGATCATCGCGGCCGGCGGAGCGGGTATCAGCGAGGATGACGATTTGGCGGGCAGCAGTGTCGGCCTAGGAACCGGATACGGCCAGAGCAAGTGGGCGAGCGAGTACCTGGTCCGCGAGGCCGGTAGAAGAGGATTGAGGGGAAGCGTGGTGCGCCCCGGTTACGTGCTGGGTGACTCCCAAACCGGAAGTATGCGATTCCAAACCCCATTACCAGGACGAGAAAACAGTCGGTCAATGTGATCAAGATGGATTTTTGGCTAACAACTGCTTACAGCTACGAACACGGATGACTTCCTGATCCGCATGATCAAGGGATGTATCCAGCTTTCCTCCCGCCCGAACATCCACAACACCGTCAACATGGTTCCTGTGGACCACGTGGCGCGCGTGGTTATCGCCGGTGCCTTCCAGCCTGCCTGCAAGCCTATCGGAGTGGCCCAGGTGACAGGTCACCCCCGGCTTCGATTCAACCAGTTCCTTGGTGCCCTGCAGCTGTACGGGTACGAAGTGCCCCAGGTTGACTACGTGCCGTGGTCCACGTCGCTTGAGGAATACGTCAACAGCGGCCAGCATGACGATCTGGAGTCCCAGCATGCACTGTAAGTTCCATCATCTTGATTTCCGATCGATCACAAAGTTAATCCTATGATTTTAGCATGCCTTTGTTCCACTTCGTGGTGTCGGACCTTCCCAGCAACACCAAGGCTCCCGAATTGGACGACAAGTACGCAGCTGCTTCCCTGCGTGCGGATGCCGCCTGGTCGGGTGTTGATGCGTCGGCAGGCGCTGGTGTGACGGAGGAGCTGGTGGGATTGTACGTCTCTTACCTCGTGGCCGTGGGATTCTTGCCCGCACCGCCCGCGTCGTCCACCGCTCGTCCGCTGCCTGTCGCTCAGCTCAGTGCCGATCAGAAGCAGGCGTTGGCCAATGTTGGCGGTCGTGGCGGCACTTCATGAGAAACTTGAAATGGTAGCGTTTGCCGGTGCATTTTTCTCTTTTTTGGTTAGAGCATGAGATTTTTCTTTTTCTTTTTTTATTCCGGGTGCTTCGTATATAGTGATGGGGAGAGAGTGCGAAAATAAATCCAGGGATGGAAGTGTAAATATAGAATTCGGCAGGGAAATCCGAGGGAGAGGTTTCCCAAAACAAAAAGTCATTCCAGTCGATTGGTTTCGAATGCCAGCCTCCTTTTTCCTGTTTCCATCTTTAATTATCGTCCTCGTGTTTTGGCAGCGGGAACTCCCCCACGCAGGATTCCACCGCATTCGACCCAACCGATCAGGGTTCGTCATGACTGGACAAGCAGCGAGCCGGGTCAGCGAATCGAGAATTTACCGCGGGAAATACAGTCCAAATCGATATCGAACGGCATCCACGATCATGCAACCGGATAAGCGGACAGCGAGAGGTCGAAGGCATTTAATCACTCAGACCCGAATAGATTAGTTTAGGGGGGGCACATCTGGCCACTTGCCGCGTTGCCGACTCTCACCGGGCGCTGAGTGCTTATATAAGGCACACCTCGCGACAGCACGGCGCTCTCGTTCCTTCTTGGACTTCACTTCTTCCACTCCAGAACTCCGTTGCGAATTTTTGCTCGAGATCCAGTCTGTCGACTTCTTCATCATGGCTACCACAGGTACGTTGGCGATGCTGTCGGATTTTCCTTCTGCTTGGCGGGTTGCAGCGGGTGGCGGGTTTTTCCTGCGGCCTCAACAGTCTTTCTTTCCCCATCCCCAGCGTTTTTTTGTTCTCCAGTCCCTTTCATCCTGGCTTTTTTCCACTCCTGGTGTTTCGTGACCACATTGAACGGTGTCTCTTGTCGCAACCGTGAACGGATCCCATCGAGTGCTTTCCCATTTTTATTTTTCTTTTCCCTTCTCCTTTTGGCTTCTGTCCCCTCGGATCGTCCTCGGCGAGATTTGAGTCACAAAATCCCCTCTGCCTTCGCACCCATCCCTGCCCGAAAATGACCGTCGCGAGGCTTTTCCCGCGGCCTCAGTCACTTTCCCGCTCCTTCACGGCGGCATGGGAGATGCAAGGCCGCCGAGGGATCAGCCCTTCCCCCTCGTTTCCTGTCGCACAGGGTGTGGCCGGCACATTCCGACCCTGTTCCACCTCTGCGCCGTCATCGTCCGACAATTTTGCCCGGTCGCAGAACGGTGCTAATGTCCCTTCAGATCGTTTCATCTCTGCTTTGGACCACAACAAGCAGTGGGCGGCCAAGACCGCTCAGGAATTTCCCGACCTCTTCCCCACGCTCGCGGTCGGTCAGCATCCTGAAATTCTCTGGATTGGCTGCTCCGATTCCCGATGCCCCGAGACCACCTTGCTTGGCCTGAAGCCCGGCGATGTTTTTGTCCACCGTAATATTGCCAACGTCCTCCACGCCGGTGACCTGTCGTCGTCGGCGGTGATCGAGTACGCGGTTCGTCATCTGCGAGTCAAGCACGTCGTCCTCTGCGGTCACACCGGATGTGGAGGTGTCGCTGCTGCCATGGGTAACAAGCAGCTGGGCATCCTCGACCCCTGGCTCCTGCCTCTGCGTCAGATTCGCCAACAGAACCTGTCCACTCTGCAGACCATGTCCCCTGACCAAGCAATGCTCAAGCTGGTGGAACTGAACGTGGAGGAGGGTGTGAAGCTGCTGAAGCAAAAGAGCGTCGTTCTGGACGCGATTCACGAGCGGGGTCTGCAGGTCCACGGCCTGATTTTCGACGTTGCCTCCGGTGTTCTCCGTCAGCTGGACACCAACGAGCCCGAGGAAGCCATCAAGGCGCGACTAGTCTCGTTCAAGACGGAGTAAAAATCCACGGTCGGCATCGACCGTGCGATGGTGTTGTTTTTCTGGGTCGGATGGTTGGTTCGGTCATCTGTTCATTTTTGTTTCTCTCAGCGAATTCGCGAAGGTGTTCATGTCGGTTAATTTCCCTGTGAGCGACAGACGTAAAAATCTGTGCTCTTGATCATTGTTGTTAGTATATAACTTTTTTTTTGTCCATTTCTTCTCCTTTTGCATGAATACAGTGAAGATCTCGTCATGAGACTGTGTGAATCATCCACGAAAAGGAGCAAAGCTTCCAGTAGAAGCGAAAGGGTCGGGAGAGGAGACGAAGAAAAGGTGAAGAAAAATGACGAAAGAAAAGTGGAAGGCGACAGTTATTATGCCCCCGTCTAGTCTCGTTTCACGCTGCTGCGAAGGCCAACAGATCCTCTTCTCTCCGCGTCCCGGCTGCCTAATCGGGAACCCGAGGGAGTCCACTCCTGCCGCTTCGGGTATGGTCCCGGCCGAAGCGGTTTTGCGTCGGTGCTGCCTGATCCGTCAGGTTTCTATTCCTCTTCCCTATTCCTTCTCTTTCCACCGTAGAATCTTCCGGAGTAGATTTCTAACTAGACGTCTCCTAAGGCCATGAATTCAACATCCTCGAATCAGGATGGGGGCAAAAGCTCCAGAGAAAATTATTTTCCAGCAGACCTAAAACCCAGCAAATCACGATCAAAGTACGCATTACGCAAAGGGTGTGCTGAACCCATGGAGAAGGGCAACAGAGCAAATCAAGCCCATCAATCCCGAAGTTCGATTCCCCCAATTACTAGCATTTACGTCTAAACCAAAATAAACCTGTCAAGCTCGGACTTCCATCAACCAGCCTCAATCTATCCAATTCATTCCCTGCTATCCACCGATCAGTCGAGGCGTCTGCAAAATCACTGGGTGGACCAAGTTGCGTCGCCGGTGTCGACGCCCTGGAAGGTGAAAGACGAGGCCGTCTGGACAATGCGAGCAACGGGCTTGTCAGACTGGTCGGTGGTCTTGAAGTCGATGATGAAATTCTGCAGAAAGTGTCAGTGTGATGCCAGAATTCTTAGTTGGGAGGGGGGAGGGGGCTTGAATCATACGCCATCATTCATGTAGACCTCGACTCTCTGATTACCCTGGAGGGTCTGCTGGTTGTCGTAGTAAATGGTGGCACTGTCGAGCGATATAGCATTAGCCGTTAACTCCAACGACCAAGCCACAGCCAAAGAGAACAACCCAATCCAACATACTTGATATACCCGCTGTTCGGGCGGAAGAACCCATAAACATCGCCGGAAACAGACTGTCCCATACTCGATGAATTCAGCTTGAAGTTCAGCTTGACACGCGAGATGGTCACATTGCCGTTGATCTGGTCGTTATATTCCCAGTGGTAGCACCGACACGCGTTGGCCTGCTTCAAGGACGCTTCGAGCACCTGGCGGCCCAGGGGGCGGCTGATCTCCTGCTGGAAGGCCTTCTTGATCTGTTTCTCGGAGACGTCGTGCGCGCCGCTGCCGTTGATGGTCACTTGGCGGAAGAGCTGGAGGAGCTCGTCGTCGGACGCTGACTGCTGCGCGGAGGCTTGCAGAGGCGCAGCTTGGAGAGACATGGTTGGAAGGGCGGTGGTGGTGTAGGTGGTAGACATCGTGGATGGTTGATTGTTGTAGCTTCTAGTCTAGATACTCTGTTGATTCCGTAGAATGCCCGGGATGATGATGATGATGGTGATGGAGAAGAATCGGAAGGAAATGCTCGGGTCTTTATACTCCATCCACCTCTGCATCCTGAATCGGAAAGCCCATTTTCAGCTTCATCATTTCCCTCCCGGAGAATAAGGAAGCGCAACGATTTGCGCTCTCATCGCGCTCCAATGGTGAACAATGTGTTTGATCCAGATGAAGCCCGGAGAACCTGACATGCGATGCCTTGCTCATGCCCAACTCATTCTATCCCACTTTGCCTACAGATAGCAATCAGTAATGTCTGGGGTTGAATACAGTGACTGTGATCATTCCCAGCTATCCACAACCGCCCGAAGGCGAAGTCGGCGTCGAAAGTCCTTGGCCGTGGCTGCTGCTGAAAATGCACATATGACCTGGCCGGCTTCTACTGGGTATATTACCTACATCTGGTCCGGGGGTAGTTTCCTTCGCAGCTCCAGAGCAAGCAGAAGAAATAGTATACAAACTGAGGTCCGTATCAACAGGGCAGAATCTGCAGGGTCGTAAATGCAGGACCTATACTGAGTGGTCGGGACGTATTGGCACCAAGTCATTCTTCATGGCCTCATCGAGGGACCGTGGCGTGCAGGGTGTATACAGGCTGTATGTGATATCACATAGCGAACCAGTCGAGAGAGTAGCAGAGGCATGCAGGCGAATTGGATGCAGACCTGCATGCTGCATCTATAGGGCGTGCGTGGTGGTCGTGCCCAAACCCAAGACATGCGCTCGACATACGGCAATAGGCATTGTCTGGGGAGTCAATAATACGCGATTGGTAAAGCGACCACGCCAAGCATGGCACAAGGCATATAGTATGGGAATGGCTACTATCCACGGACAGGATTCGGCATGTCTTTTGGACGAACCTATGGGGGTGTCCATGATGTGGCATCTCAGCCAGCCCACGAACCGGTTCGCTGCCAAGCTTCAGGTCTTCACGGGGGATTGTGGCTGACTGAGCGCTGCTGGCATCTTCGGTCTGCAGGACAGCGGAATCACGCTGATTGCTGAAGAAGGGACTGTCTGTCGATCGGGCCCCACGGCCAACTTCAATGGTGCCGACATCGCCAACCGTCGTCGGTATTTGTCGGTTCGTCGGTGGGGGTGGAGGTGGAGGGCTGAGTCATCTGCTACAATGACGACGAGAAAGACCCTCACATCATTTGAATCAGTCGAATACAATTCTCTCGCTTGAAATTGCAAACGATCTACTCATTCATCATGGCAGCCACGCACGAAATGGAATACAACCGGTACGTCACCCAATCACCAACCACGCCATCCATCAGTCCCGTTGGTTAACATCCGCCACCACCATGACAGCCTCGGAAACTCCGGCCTCAAGATCTCCAAGGTCATCTTGGGAGCCATGTCCTACGGCACCAAGGAATGGCAGGACTGGGTGCTCAACGAGGACGAGGCCCTGCCGCTGATCGAGCATGCGTACAAGCGCGGCATCAACACCTGGGATACGGTACGTGAAAGGTCCCCCGCCATGATCGTAGGTAGTACCTAGGTCAGTAAACAGCTAACCACCCAAAGGCCGACATCTACTCGCACGGTCGCTCCGAGGAGATCATCGGCAAGGCGCTGCAGAAGTACAACATCCCGCGTCACCGCGTGGTCATCCTGACCAAGTGCTTCTTCGGCGTCGACGATGAGGGCGGCCAGCCGCCCATCTCGGCGTCCGGGCGCAACGACGCCGGCTTCGTCAACCGCGTCGGACTGTCGCGGAAGCACATCTTCGATGCGGTGGACGCTAGCGTCAAGCGGCTGGGCACCTACATCGACGTGTTGCAGATCCACCGACTGGATCGCGAGACGCCGCAGGAGGAGATCATGAGGGCGTTGAATGACGTGGTGGAGAGTGGGAAGGTGCGGTACATTGGGGCGAGTACGGTAAGTGTACCAGCTTACTAGCTAGCTACCTTACCTACCATGTAGTTATGTAGGTTGGTTGATGCTCAGAAAAAAAAAGCTGACGGATCGATCAGATGGCGGCCTGGGAATTCCAGTCGCTGCAGAACATCGCCGCCCGCAACGGCTGGCACCAGTTCATCAGCATGCAGAACTACCACAATCTGCTAGCGCGCGAGGAGGAGCGCGAGATGATCCCGTACTGCCAGCACGCCGGAGTGGGCCTGATCCCCTGGTCGCCCATGGCGCGCGGCGTATTGGCTCGGCCGTGGAACTCCCGATCGACCGTGCGGGAGTCGACGGACGGAGCGCTGAAGCTCCTCGTCCGAAGCCGCGAGTCCGAGGCCGACCAGGCGATCGTCACCCGCGTCGAGGAGCTCGCCAAGAAGAAGGGCGTCAGCATGGCCCAGGTCGCGATTGCTTGGTCGTTGAGTCATCCCAACGAGAACCCCATCCTGGGCTTGAGCAGTAAGCAGCGCATTGACGAGGCGGCGGCCAGCATCAAGGTCAAGTTGACGCCGGAGGAGATTCACTATCTGGAGGAGCCGTACATTCCCAAGTCGTTGACTGCGCTGGAGCGGTAGATAGATCTGGATTATCTAGACTACATGTTCGGTCGTTGAATATACAGAATTGTTTGATTTTCATATATTTGGTTGGGTTATATTTGCGGCTGCTGTTGTCGCTTGATGCTGTCCAGTATACACGGTATGTTTCAAAGGATCACAGGAGTAAGGAAAGAAACGCCAATCTTGAATCTTGGGTAGTCGTATCGCTGAAAAAAAGAGGAGAGATGAAGGAAATATATAACGAGAGCTGACAGACACGCTGTGCATCGGGGTTGGTTTGGATTCTTATGCCACGTACACCAGTGTCCGGCATTCCAATGTCCAGATATTGTTCAAGAACAAAAGGAAAAAAAAGAAAAAGATAAAAAAAGGTCTTGTGGGTTCTCAAGACATCCTCACCTCCACAAGAGGGAGCCACGAATCGAACATATTTTGTATGTACATCAGCGGAGATTTCAGTAATTCCAACAGGACAAGCACCAGGCTTTCCCTTCAGTGAGCGCCGCTCTTCCGGGTAAGAAAGTCAAATATACTGCTGAACCGATGCCGGCGTTTCCCTTTGGTGGGCGCCGGCTCTGCACTTGGATGCGGCAATTTGGCCGGCTTTTCATGAGAAGCGTCTAGCTGCCGTGTGCCATGGGGCGGGTCGGGGGATCTGCTAGGAGCCGTAAAACGCCTCCCTTTCTCAACGCTCTGCCTCACGCGGCTCGCCGGATTTTCCTGGAGGGCGTTGGCTTCGGTGGCTTCACCGGGAGCTGCTGATTCGCGATGGTTCGAGAGCAGACTATGTCGACTGGGTCGAACCGTGGCACTAGAGGTACGTCTGTTCGAGCGTTCAATAAAGGCGGCGCCGGTCGAGTTGGAGCGCTTGGATAAGCTGCCGTATGCAAAAGTCCGATCAGAAGGGGTGATGCTCCGAGGAGGTAAGGCATGCGAGCCGGACATGCGATGTTTGGGGCTGGAATACGGTCCATCCGGGTGGACCTCTTCGGCCTTGGTGGCGGTCGGGGAAGTCTGACGGGACGAGCACAGGTTTTTAGGGTTGAGAGCCAGGGCGGTGTCCTTGTAGTTGAAGTTATGCGACCAGCCCTCCCTGAATGCCACCCAAATACTCGTGATGATGATCAACGTGCGCAGATTGTCGTCGGTCACGATCACCCTTCGATCGAGCGGTCGATCCAGGGGGGCGTCCAGTTCGGAGGAATCGCTGATGACCGACATACCGGATGTTGGCGACGCGAATCCCGAGGTAGGCATCGAATACTCGTCAAAAACTTCGAGGTGGTTCCGCGTCATGGTTGCGATGACCGGATGCCGACGGGTGCTGGGGTCAATGACACTGAACGTGAACCGTCGCGAGTCCTCCTGGAGTGTCGACCCCGGAGGAGCCGAAACGCGCCGGTTTTTCCCTCCGCGCAGCACCCATCGCAGGGTCTGCACGCCGTGATCCGTTTCGGCGACAAATTCGTAGGATCCGTTGGGAAGCGGAGTCGCCTCCCACACCGGCCCGTGATTCAAGCAGATCTCGGCCTTGCCCTTCGCCAGCGCATCTTCCTTGAGGAGCTGGCAGATCGTCGCGACCACCTCTCGATGCTCCCCGTTCTCGTCGTCCGAGCTCAAATACTTGTCGCCAATGTCTCCACCCGCGCGCTCGTACAGGTCGCTGGTGACGACGATCAGGTCATTCGGGCCCAGCCCTTTCTTGCCTCGGAAGATCGTGGGGAATTTGCGCGCCAGTCGGGGCAGGTATACGGTGGACGGCAAGACGTCGAGGACCGGCAAGGGGCGCGGCGTCTGCGACAGTCGTTGAAGCTGCAACACCAGCTTGGGTCGAAAGTTTAAGCGTCGGTGGCGCGCATGGCTGGCCGGATGGGCCAGCTGATAGGACGTCTTCGGTCGCGACGATTGTTTCCTAACTGATTGAGCACGGGAGATCCGCGGGCGACCGGGGGCGGGTCCGACAGTCGAATACTCCCCGTCGCTTGATCCCGGTTCTTCCGCATCCCTAGACATGGCCGCGCGCGAGCCCTGGTGAGATGGAGATGGATCGGCCTGGGCACCCTTGGGCCCGCCGTTCCGGTTGCCCAGCCTCAAGGACGGCAGTGCAAAGGGGATGGTCGGAGGGGAGGAATGGCGCACGGGTCGCGATTCAGGTTGGTGGGCGTCGTTTTCGTGGGCTGCTGCCGCATCCGCTGTCAATCCCAGGTTAAACAGCATTATTTGACCGGAGGCGGGAGGCTCCAAGGGCCTAACAAGACCAACATCGACAGCGAAGGGGGCAACGCTGTGGAATCAATCGTATGCGGTCCGTCCGGGTCGCTCTGTAACGTGGCGTTCGTTTGTAGATCGCAGATTCCCGGAGTCTATACCTAACGACGGAGTGGCCGGAATGGTGGGGGAAGAATACAAAATGAGGTAGAATCAAACAGCAAGGAAAAGGGAGCTTTCAACAGCGAGGAGAGACAGGATAACAAGGGGGACAGGAGCTTGGCGTGACCTGCACGACCGGAGAGCAGAGTATGAGGGATAAAAGAAAAGGCAGTCGTCAATTGGTAGGGGCAGCAAGGCCAAGGCTACACGGCGGCAGCGATATCGTAATAATGTACTCCGTTCTGCAAGGGAGAGCGCAAAGGACCGGGGAGTAATCCGGCCAGGACGAAGGAGAAGGAAAATTCCTGGAATGTGGGCAGCCGTAGCCTTAAGAATGGAGTCCGGTGTGGTCTGTCAGATGGAGTCCCGATGGTAATGGCGGTCAGGTAAGTCGGTTTGGGGGGAGAATACGAGAGCGAAACCGACGAGAAATGGCCAAGATGGATTGGATACTTCCCAAGAGGAAAACGACAAGGTTAAAAAGGGAGGTCGGAGGGGGGGCTAAGAAAGGAAAAAGAAAAAAATATTCAAAAAATGGAAAAAAGGGCATCCACTTTCTGGATTGTATGCACTCCGGAGGTTCTGTAGTATGAATAATCGGAATGGGAATTTCGCGACTCTTCCAAACACCATCCCGATCACACGCCTCGGCGGATGTCCATGGACCCTCCGAGCGGGATTCTGATTAGTTACGGATTACGGGGCAAGTTGACAGCTTTTTGCGATCATTAATCACGATCTGACAGAGCCTTCAAGAAGAAGGCCCATCTACAAAAACCATTGCCAGCGATCCATGGATGCACCGCCCAAACGGGTTTAGCGGGCGATCCTCGGAAGTCTCAAATTGAAAAAGACCGACGCGGTTTGTGACGCCGCCGTATTGCCGCCGTATCGGTTCGGATCGTCTGCGTTCCATACAGTCTTACCTCTATAGACTCTCTCCCTCTCCCTCTCCCTACTCGTCAGGCTCTGACAGTTCGATTCTCTCCCGCTATCTCCGTCTGCGTCGGAGGTTGTCCTCCTTGTCCGCGCCGCCCTCCGAGATCCATCTGAGCCATTTTCATCGCGATCCTGAGGGATGCCGTCTCAATCTCCCTGGCTTTTAAGCCGCCACTGACTTCCCTCTGCCAAGCGCCCAACTGACCATTCCGGAATACGAGCCCTTACGGTCGGAGGTCACCACCTCCGAGTCGCCGGTCAAAGCCGTGCAGTTCCACGGACGCCACTCTTGGCTTCAAGGTTTTCCCCCCCGTACCTGGCTGGTTACAACCGGTACTCCAGTACTCCAGGCAGCCATCATTCCTGGCGGGCTTAAGAGGCCATGCTTGGTGCCATGATGCCAAGGTCATAAGATTCTCCAAATGTGCGGTTCCTGTCGCCCATCTTCATCCCTACGTGGGAGGCGACGTCTGGTGCCGAATCGGGGCAAGGGATTGCTTGCCACCGTTGCCCCGGTAGGCGTGACTAATCGGCTTTTAGGCCTTGGCTTGGGCTTTGGGGTTCGTAAATTTTACGATGTCCAGCCTTACGATGACTGACTCTTACGGAGTACTCTGAGTAACGAGTCAGAGAGACTGAGAGTACCCAGAATGAAGAAAATTTCCCTTGGGCGGAGTGGAGTCCGGCGGAGGTCGGCTGAAAATTCGACTGACAGCAAGGTTTTTTTTTTTTTTTTTTGGCCCTTCGACTCATACGGTGCGATGGGGTTTCGCGATCTTATCCCCTTCAAGGATGGCGGTTTTCTGGTTTCATCAGGTTTGGGGCCAATGTGGGTATTATTAACGATTACCGTTTGGCAAGGCATAAACTGGTGAAGTGGTTTTACCTATTATTCTATGACGCTGACAGTCATAGCTCATGTTGGCACACGTCATGATGTCGGAGCCAAACAAGGCACACCCCATGTTCAGAATACTTCAGAATCTGAGAATAAACTTCGGTGGTGGCTCTTATATAACCCTTGGCATCTTCTAAATACGTACTCCCTCCCTCTGTCTCCGTCATGGATGGAGTACTTCCATACTTCTGTAGGGCTGAGGACATCCGTGGATGTTCATCCTGTCGCGGGATGACTAACCGCTACCAGTGACCAACAAACTAACCAAAGGCAGTTAGTTATGCTGCCCTTGGCTTATGCAGTTATGCATTCATTATTGTAGGTCCAGAAAGGCCTCATGTGGAGCTTCTGCTTGGTTGGGAGTTTTCTACCGACAAATGCAACCCGCGGCACTAAATTGGCTCCCTGCACTTTTTCTTCATGCCATCGTCAGATTACTGTAGAACTCATGATTGGCGCATTTGCATAGTACAGCTCACGAGTCACTGCATAATAGCCTATGCACTACCACCAGTATGCACGGCCAGATGCTGAGTAAGAGGAATTTGGGCTGCCGAAACCTCCGGACCCTTCAACCTCCTTTCGACTCTCCGGATCCAGCTGCCTCGGCCCATTCGTCGCGTGACCCCGTTTTCTTTTTCTTTGACTTGTTTACTTGTGATCCATTTATTTCCCGTCGCCTTACAGAGAGAGTAACCCAACTTGGAACCACTCTGCATGGGGCTTTATTGGCGAATCACCGGCATGAATTGTGGCCTCATTGCCTGATAATCGATAATCACGGGTGTCAATCATAATACTAGAGGTGTATTGCATGGACGTTCTAGATACCATGACTTCAAAGTCGGTCTCGGTCTCGGCTCGCTCGGGTCTACTGAATCCTAGTCATCCTGTCAGAAGCTTGTCGGTCGCCTTTTGGCTCTGGAAGACCGTCTTGTTCTTGGTCATTGTCGGCTGCCCTGGCCCAGGCTATGATACGTCCACGAGTCTTCTTCCCGGGCAGGGAGTTGCCCCGTTGAGTCTGCCGGCGCCTTTGAAATTCGTCAGGTGGGATTCCATCTATTTTGTGCATATCGCAGAAAGTGGCTATGTGTTCGAACAAGAGTGGGCCTTTAGTTATGGCTATGGCAAATTTATCGCTTTCCTGACCTCTGGTGTGTTCATCTGCTCCCCGAGTAACCCGAGCGCATCATAGATGTAGATACTGATGGCTGGTATCTTGGTAGTTCTGAATCCTTGGAGTAACAATGCCTTGGAGGGAACCGCTGGGATCGCAGTGGTCGCGGTTGCGCTCTCACACCTTGTCCATTATCTCTCGGTCTTAGCCTTGTACAGACTCTCGATTAATGTCTTCGGTCAAGAAACGACCACGCAACGGCTCATTTGCTTCCTTTCTGCCGCGTTGCATATCATTTCCCCTGCTGGGGCTTTCCTTTCTGCCCCGTACGGAGAGCCGGTCTTCTCTTTTCTCAATATCGCCGGGCTTTACATCTACTCTTCGTCCGTCTTGGACAGCAATACTGGTAGCCCGGTGTCCAGAAATGCGAAGCTGCTATTATCGGGCCTAGTCTTCTCGGCTGCCACGGTGGTGCGCAGCAATGGGGTCCTCAGTGGTTTCTTGTTTGCCTATGATGCTCTCCTTCTGTTGCAAGGGTTTTTGTCTCGGGGTGTTTCGGTCGATGCTGTTGTTCATCTAGGCGTCGTCATCACCAGCGGCTGCATTTTATCCCTGGGATTTGTCGTTCCCCAAGTCTTCGCTTATATGCAATATTGTATGCCGGAAGATGTCTCAAGGCCTTGGTGTCAACGTTTTGTTCCTAGTATTTATGGCTGGGTCCAGGAACATTACTGGTACGTACCCTTGTTGGTCTCGTTTCATGTCTCGACAATCGCTTACCCCAACTTCAGGAATGTGGGCTTCCTTCGATATTGGACTGTATCGAATATTCCCCTCTTTCTACTTGCTCTTCCCATGCTACTCATTCTGTTCCAGTCATCCATATGGGGGCTTAAAGCATCCCTGGGATCAACCCCGTCCAAAACCTCCAGCACTGACCAAGGGGCATCATCTACGACGCGGGCTTCTTTGCTGCTGCGGCTCGCCGTCCCGCAAGCCCTGCTTTCGGGGCTAGCAGTCACGAGCTACCACGTGCAGATTATCAATCGGGTGTCCTCCGGATATCCTTTGTGGTATTGGTACATTGCACATCAACTTCTTGGCGATTCCGGGGAGAAGCATGGCCGAATTTTCACGCTGGCTGTGCAAGGCGCAGTAATTTATGGACTCATACAAGCGGTTCTCTTCGGCTCCTTCCTCCCACCGGCTTAAGATGTAGACCGGGTGTCGTTTAATTTTCAGTGGACTGTCTTTCTATGTTCTCATCATATTCTATAGTACGTGCTGTTTAGAGGCCAAACGGGTGGGGAGGGAGTGAATGCAGCATGATGACATTTCATTAATCCCAGGTGGTCACGTGAGATATTCTTTATAATCCCATGTTCTTTATATTCTATTTCATGTTACTTTTCCCTTCCAGCCTCATTCACATAAGCACCGCTTGGGCAATGCTGGAGGCAAACGCCGGCAACGCGTTCTTTGGTTGTTCTGGGTCCGAGCCCGATTAGGCTGCGGCGTCATTGCGTGTGGAATTATGTCATCAGTTGATCTGACAAAACCCAATGATACCTTCACCCGTCGGACTGCTACGCATGAGCTTCCCCCCATTTGTCCTCCACCTCAGAGCTTCAAGTCGGCGCAATTCTGGCAGCTCTTATTCCATCCAGCCCTCTGTATCAATCAAAACAATCTTCGAAAGATTCTTTCTGGCCAGCCCTCCTGCATCTCAACCACAGCTCCGATCGTTGCTTTCGGTCGCTTGTTAGCTCAACCCGACCAAGTCGCCCATGCGAACGGGACTGATAGCAGGCTACTCTTTCGCATCGGCTTCCACAATTAAGTCTTAGCTACAAGCTTCATGTCCAACGTATTTACCCTCTATTCTTGATCTCTGATGCCTTGCCAGGTGGATTTAACGCAAAAGCTGATGCCAGTCTCCCATAGGATTCTCCCACATTCCTACTTTCTCCACCGCAGTAATCGTCGGACGGACTGCATGATTATGGATAATTCAGGCCCAAAAGCGATCCTGACACCCGAGAACTTTCACAATGCGCACGAGATTTCACGGGCTACCTCTCCAGGAGGCGAGCCCGCGGGGACCAACGGCGATGGTGAACCAATAGCTCGTGTCCGGCCTCGGACATACCCATACTTCAAATATCTACCGTATTCGCTCGAGAGCGAGACCGAGAGAGATCGAACTCTACGGGAGATATTGAGCCAGCTCTATATCGCAGTGGAGGCAGGTGACTTCAGCCCGGGTGCTGTGCACTGGACGCGGGAGCTTCGAGGATGGCTGTCACTCAAGTTTGACCCGACGCGCAAGGAACGCATCAATCTTGTGAGGCTCTATTACGAACTTTGCCTGGCCCCGGGAATCGACCCCGGTGTTTCGGAGCGGTTTGCCAGCATGTTCATGCTTCTCACCAAGTGAGTAGATTTAAAGCGTATATCAGCCGTCGCGCCTGAATACTAACGTGACCGCAGGCGCAAGCATTACCTTCGACCGGTCAAGGACCTGATGCTGGATTGGAAACCCTTGTACAGAGAGTTGAAAGCCTTCGTTCTACCGACAGAATCGGGTCTCGTGCATTCGACCAATTTGAAACGGAACGTCAAAACACTAACGAAGCTCTGTGCGTTCGTTCAGCTCTATATCGACCCTTGCGAGCTGCCGGCGATGTTGGAGGAATTCCTTCCCCACTATACAACGTCATTCTCGGAAGGTGCATTTGTGGTCGTTGGTCTGATCAATTTGCTTCTTCCCACGTCTCCCCCGCCGGAGTCCCGGGAAGATCTGCTACCTCAACACTTCATGCCGACGTATTTCCACCTTTGGTCGTTGGTCAGCCGTTCCAAAACCTTCGACGTCACTTTCATGGACTTCCTCTCTCGGTTAGCGCGAGATTCGCTTCCCGCTGCTCACATATCATTTTCTGAGTATGGAATCTATACCAAGGAGCAGTCGTCCCTCATATTCACGGCTATTCTGCGGCTATTGGAGATCCCTGTAGGACAGTCAACGTCCCCCTACAGTGCTCTTGTCGATATTTCTTCGGGACTTGGCATCATGCTTGATCGAGACACCAGAAAGCATCCTGTGGCGCATCACATCGCTCGCTGGATAGTCATGTCCCTTTCGCCGGCATGCCTTGACGCTGAAGAGTCGATCCTCACCCAACTTGAAGGGTTAATCCAAGCCGTGGAAACGTTCTTCCACCCCTCTAACTCGGGTAGTTGGACCAAGACTCTGTCCCAGTTGGTTTACTACCTTTCTGACTTCTTCATAATGCGCTGGAACCGCGAACAACGTGGAGAAATGGAGGTCCCACCCGAACGGCGACTGACAGAGCCGCTGAAACGTCGTTTTGTGCTGTGTCTGCGAGAGGTGATCTTCATGGGAATTTATGCAAAGAGCGGCACAGCTATGAGCTTTTCTTTGTCCACGCTGCAGAGTTTGGCATTCCTCGAACCACACCTTATCCTGCCAGGTGCTCTGCAGAGAATCTACCCGGCACTTCAGGGTCTCGTTGAGGTCCATCGTACGACGTCTTCGCTCCGTGCTCTTCAAGTCCTGGCACGTATCATATCCAGGACCAAAGGATATCGTTGCCATATGACAACTTTACTGGGGCTCGCGTTGCCAGGTGTCGATGCCAATGATCTGGAGAAATCCTTGCACGCCTTGTCATTCATTCAATCTGCCTGCTACAACATCCCTATGGCCGACTTGACGAGTGGAAGGGAAGATGTAAACTCCAACATGCTCGCCGTGCAATGGATAACTGGCGAGATGGAGCGCATGGAAGAAGAAGGTGTCGAGGTCCAATTGAATTATGACAAGGATCTCGACGACGAGACCGAGGAACTTATTCTTCGTTCTTCAACCTGCGGCTTCGCCGACTTTATCGTCTCATTCTTGGGCCGCGTCTTTACGCTCTTGGAGAACCTCCCCGACGCAACCAGGGTCCGAAATGGATCTCCCGAGGAAAACATTGTGAACACGCTTCCTGCAACTTTCATGCCACTCCTGTCGTCTCTCTCCCCGGAGTACTACGACATTGCTCTAACCAAGGTTGTTGATTTCGTATCCAACCATGTGATCCACCAGGCTCGCGATGCCATGGCTTTCATCTGTAATTCTGTGTGCAAGGTCAATCCCGAAAAGGCATTGAAACGCTTCATCCCGGTGTTGACACAGGCAATCCGTACTGAAATCGATGACAACGGTGCGGGCTCGACTCGAACGACGGGTACGGATGTTCTTCCCCGCGATCGCGGCTTGGTATGGAATATCAGCATGCTGAGCATGTGTGTCGTCCACGTCGGGGACTCTGTGCTGGCTCATAAGAAAGAGCTCTTCGACATTGCCGTGTACATGCAACAGAAATGCAGGGGTATCCCGACCGTGCACATTTCGAACTTCGTCCACCACCTACTCCTGAATCTCACGGGAACTTACACCGCCGATTACTCGCTCTACGAGCCCGCTGCTGTGGCTAATGGTGTACACCCCGGGCTTTGGAGTTATCGAGCTGATCCGCATAGTTTGACCGTGAAGTGGCACGTTCCTACGCGCGAAGAACTTGAGTTTGCTGTGGATCTCTTCCAAAATCAAGCGGAGACTGCTCTTTCACGGCTGACTGCATTGATTGATGACACGTCTAGCGTGAAACGGGACGGCAGCGGGAAAGATTGGTCGGATGAAGTTATTAGGAGTCTAGTTCTGCTGCGCCTTATCCTCTCCGGTATCTCCGTGCTTTTCGATCCCACTGCAGCTTCGAAGACCAAGGAAAGCGGGTTGAATGGTTCATCGAGCGATATAAACATGGCAGACGCCCAGGAAGTCTCCTCTGGCAACGACACTGAGAGTGATGATTCAGCTCTTGATAGTTCCGATGAGTCTACCGTTCGAGAGTCTTTCGCATACCCAACTGGCTATCCACTCCAAGAGGGTAACGCGATGCACACTACCATCCATTGTATTCGAGAGAGGGCTGGCTGGGTTCTTCACGGGGTGCATAGATTTTTGTCCGATAAACAGGAGGATGACGTACCTTGCTTCAGTGCTTTATACTCTGCATACCGGTCGTGGTTTGTCGACGTCGGCATTGAAAGGTCCGCCCATGTGCTGGACAGGGTTACACGTCTTCTCGCCGCGGATATTCACCCTTACAAGATGAGTGGTATCCGTAAGGATTACCCGCGTCCTTTGCTGGTTCGCAGAGCGAATGTGTATCACTTGCAACGGCTAAGACACAATGCGGCACCGCGACCTCGGTCTCGGCTGGACGAAATCTTGCTCCTGGACATTGCCGAATCATGCGTGTCTCTTTACACAGAAACCCGTCGTAACGCCCAAAGTGCAGGAGAGTCGGCCCTCAAAGCCGTCTGGGGCTCTCGGCTACTTGTCATCCCACCGCTGCTCCAAGCCTTGCAGAAGGGTATCAAAGAAAATGATTACGCGAGAATTAAGGGCTCATTGTTTTCTTTGCTGTTAAGCAGCGTCGCCAGAACTGTCGGGCGTCACTGGAAATATGCCCCTACTTTGATCAGGACTTTCATTGATGCAAGTGCGGTTGACAAGCCATCCGTGCAGAAGATTTGCTCCAGTGCTGTGTTTCAAATAATGGACTACGGTCGCTCTATGGAGAGAATGGCTATCCTGAGTCGAGACCGCGTTGAAGCAATCGCTCCTAAGGATGATGTTCAAGATCAAATTACGCAAAAACGCAAGGCCATCAATAATAAACGCGCCCGTATTGAAAAAAGAAAGGCCGATCTGGCTGAAGAACTCGTGAATCTGGCAAGGGTGTCTCACTGGAAGGTCGCCAGTCGAGCGGCCACTATTGTGGTCACAATGGGTCTCAGATTCGACTACATTGCGAGCGAGAATCTCATAGACCTCGTGACACAAGGGTCCATTGATGACCACCCTGGCTTGCGTGGTATGTACTCTCAAGCGCTCATTGCGTTATTCACTATGGTGGATGTGCGTGCAATCTGCAGTCATGATTACAAGAACTACATCTTGGGCCACCAGCATTTCCCCTCTAAGATCAACGTAGCTACCAAGCGCTACGAGGAGGGTTGGACCCAGGAATATTTGTCCAGCTTTGCCAACCCAGAGGCGGAGTATTACGTCGACCATGATTTCCCCGGCTGGCTTGTGTGGGGAGATAGCATGCCCGCGTATAAGTCGAACGTTGCTCGCGATATTGAATACGACGAAACCGAATGGAAAGTGCGAACTCACATGGGCAAACTGTTCAATCGAGCGTGGTTCACCAAGTTTTTCATGTACTTGAAACAGGAGCCACGAGACCCGTCTGCTGATAAGTTCCGGATGCCCTGCGCAATGATGCTGCTCTACGCTTTTGAATTGATGCTCCGAGATGGACTCACCGCTGCCACATTCCAAGATATCCAGGAAGAAGTCGCGGCTGTCTTCGAAGACGGCAGTGATAAGCATCAGCATAGGGCTACTGCCGAGATCCTAGGTGCCCTTGTGAGCTCTGTTGCAGACTCTAGCGTACAGAATCGGACCTTGGTGTGGGAGTACGCTTTCCCAATTGTGCAGAAGATCTTCACGGATGGATTGACTCCTGAAAACTCTGGCTATTGGACGACATTCCTTCACATGATCCTCCAATGCCGCGATCCTCGCAGAGCTTGGCCGCTAGTCGACTGGCTTGCAAGCTTCAGGCTGGATATGACCACGAATGCTGCTTTCAAGGAGAGCTCGAAGATCAATCTATTACATCAAGCTATTATAGATGCAGGGTGGCATTTCCAACTTGAGAAGCCCATTGTTGAGGACTTCCTTGCGCACCTTGATCATCCCTATAAGGGCGTTCGTGAAGCCATGGGCCAAACCATTGCTACAATCTATCGCACAAGATATCATGAGTCCTATGCAGATGTGAAGCGTCTTTTTGCAGCACAGGAATCTGCTTCTTCGGTGGGCACGTACCCGTACTATCCTACTGAGGAATTCACAGCAATGATGAATGATGTCTTCAACCGAATTGAGAAGTGGCGACATGAAAGAACGCCGGGTCAGCATACACCATCGTCGTATACTTCGGGCAGCAAGACAGTCCTTCTCTGGCTCGACTCGACTCTCTCATCCCATGAATGCACCCAACTTGTACCATTTTTCCCGAGCGTGTTCACCGGGCAACTTCTACACATGATGGACGTCAAAGAAGACCCCGAGCTTCAATCCCTCGCCTACCACGTCTTCCGTCATTTACCAAACATCCCATACCCTGCCGAGGAAAGCTCTGGGTTCATCAAATCGCTCATCCACATCGGCCAGACTTCGCCCTCGTGGCATCAGCGTTTGCGGGTGATGATCAATATTCAGATCATCTACTTCCGCCGCCTGTTCTTGCTCTCCGTCGCTGATCGTGACAAGCTGTTCGAGTGTGTGGCGAACATGCTGGAAGACCCTCAACACGAAGTTAGAGCCGGAGCATCGGCCACCCTGTCCGGAATGATCCGCTGCTCACCAGTCTTTCTCCGGGAAGAAATGATCAAACGATTCCAGGACCGGTTCGGCAAGATTCTGATCAATAACCCCCTTCCTAAGAGGCCAAAGAATTTTAGATCTGGAATCGCGTCGCCAGTCTCCTCCGGGCCCGGGACTCCGACCCCTGAACACACGCGACTCATAATCACCCGCCACGGTGCAGTTCTGGGACTTGGTGCGCTCATCCAAGCATTCCCATATAACAGCCCACCGCCACGATGGATGCCTGAAGCTTTGGCTACCTTGAGCGTTCGCGCTGCAAATGATCCGGGCATAGTAGGATCGAGTGTCAAGTCTATTATCAGTGAATTCAAGAAAACCAGACAAGATACCTGGCACATCGATGCGAAAGTGAGTTATCATCCCATCACCCCAGCTTTTGAGAATAGACGAATTAACCGCCTGCAACCTAGGCCTTTACATCCGATCAACTCGAGGACCTCTCGGGTGTGCTTTGGAAGAGCTACTTTGCTTAATCACAACAACGGGGGGCGGTCGAAGCAAAGCCGACCTATAGGTGTTGTACTGGTTGCTATGGGCGAAGGGTACTACTCAAAACCCTCTCGCTCCCATGACACAGGATATAGGGCATACTTCCCACCTGACGGCCCATACCATCTACATATCTGCAGGGCTTTGGAAATGTGCGATCCGGCTGGCTTAGTTGTAATAAAGCGAGGATATCTGCTGGTAGTCAAGATTTGGGAGGCAATGTTGATATTGTATACAGCGTTCTTTCTCAGTGGTGATTATTAATCAGTACCAGGGCTCCGGTCTTGGGCCATAGTCGAGGTACTTCACCTTGCTAATCATCTTATTCAGTGAAATTTCGACCGTAGACTAAGTTGTAGTTTAACTATGAAGCCAAATGCGGCAAGCGGGATCGTCTCTTAGTCATCGTTTCAACTTGGTCACGTGCCGTATCAGCAGCCACGCGGCTTTCCGACCGTCGAGGCCGCATCACGACTCCCAGGGGGTTCTTTCTTCCAGCAGACTGCTCTCACGCCAGCTCCTGGCTAATATATTGTTACTTGGTTCAACTCGGACATCGCCGAGCTTTTTTATAACTACTTTCTCGTCCCTCTGGTGGAAAGAATCTGCTCAAGGCAGCCTTCCTTTCACCATGGCTCCAAGGGACACCTTCTTCCGCTCGTCGGATATGAGCTTGACCCAGCTCTATATCGCCAACGAAATCGGACGAGAGGTTGTCAGTGCCCTGGGAGAGCTTGGTTCGGTTCAGTTCAGAGACGTATGTTCACACCAGACAAGTTCGAGCTTGAATAAGATGTCCCGGAACTAACATGTATTCATTTATATCTAGCTCAATCCCGACACCAATGCCTTCCAGCGTACCTTTACGAAAGAGATCCGTCGGCTGGATAATGTGGAAAGACAACTGCGTATGTTTTGAAGCTCCGAGATGGCGGACGGTCTGCAAAAGGCCGAAGCGAATGTCAACTAAACTTCCTACCCTCGCCAGGTTATTTCCATGCTCAGATGGACAAGGCAGCTATCCCGATGAGATCTTCGGCCGAGTTTTCAGACACGTTGGCCGCTCCCTTAGCATCCGAGATCGACGAACTTGCGGAACGCAGCGAGAGCCTTGAACAGAGAATCTCCTCGTTGAACGATAGCTACGAAACACTGAAGAAACGTGAGGTCGAGCTTACGGAATGGCGCTGGGTTTTGAGAGAGACCGGTGGCTTCTTTGACCGTGCCCACAGCCACACGGAGGAAATTCGCCAGTCTTTTGACAACGACGAGGCTCCTCTTTTGCGTGACGTCGAGCAGCAACCTAGCCGAGGTGCGAACGGTGATGCGCAGGGCCAGCAGTCGTTCCTTGAGATGAACATCGGCTTCGTGGCGGGTGTGATTCCTCGGGACCGTATCGGCGCTTTTGAACGAATCCTTTGGCGGACGCTGCGTGGTAACCTGTACATGAACCAGTCGGAGATCCCTGAGCCCATCGTCGACCCTACCAACAACGAAGAGACCCACAAGAATTGTTTCGTGATCTTCGCCCATGGAAAGAACATCATTGCCAAAATCAGAAAGATTTCCGAGTCTCTCGGTGCCTCTCTGTACAGCGTGGATGAGAACAGCGAGCTGAGGCGGGATCAGGTTCACGAAGTGAACACGCGGCTTAGCGATGTGGGCAACGTTCTGCGTAACACGAAGAACACTCTGGATGCGGAACTCTCCCAGATCGCTCGCTCTCTCGCAGCTTGGATGATCATCGTGAGGAAGGAGAAGGCAGTCTACGATACTCTCAATCGGTTTTCTTACGACCAAGCGCGAAAGACTCTCATTGCGGAGGCATGGTGTCCGACCAGCTCGTTGCCGTTGATCAAGTCTACCTTGCAAGATGTCAATGACCGTGCTGGATTGAGCGTGCCTACTATCGTCAACCAGATTCGGACCAACAAGACTCCGCCTACCTATGTCCGAACGAACAAATTCACGGAAGCCTTCCAGACCATTGTCAACGCCTACGGTATCCCCAAGTACACCGAGGCCAATCCCGGATTGTACACGGTTGTGACCTTCCCTTTCATGTTCGCAGTCATGTTTGGTGATTTCGGCCATGGTACCCTGATGACCCTGTGCGCTACCGCCATGATCTTCTGGGAGAGGAAGCTTCAGAAGACCAAGTTGGATGAATTGACGTACATGGCTTTCTATGGTCGCTACATCATGTTGATGATGGGTCTTTTCTCGATGTACACTGGTATTATTTACAACGATATCTTCTCGAAGGCGTTTACCATCTTCACCAGTCAGTGGCAGTGGCCCGACAACATCGAGAAGGGGCAGGCCGTCGAAGCTACATTGAAGGACGGTTACCGATTTCCTATTGGACTCGACTGGAACTGGCACGAAGCGGAGAACTCATTGCTCTTCACGAACAGCATGAAAATGAAAATGAGTATCATCCTGGGTTGGGCGCATGTAAGTGGATCTTGATCTCTCAGTTGGGGGGAATTGGAACTAATGGCTGTACAGATGACCTACGCCCTTTGTCTCCAGTACTCCAACGCTCGCCACTTCAAGTCAAAGGTCGACGTTATCGGCAATTTTATCCCAAGCATGCTCTTCTTCCAGTCCATCTTCGGTTATCTCGTCCTCACCATTCTCTACAAATGGTTTGTGGATTGGGGGGCCAGGGGCCAGTCGCCTCCGGGTCTTCTGAACATGCTGATATTCATGTTCCTTTCTCCTGGAAGCGTTGAGGAGGAGCTCTACCCGCACCAGTCAACCGTCCAGGTCATTCTATTGCTTATTGCCTTGGTCCAAGTTCCGGTTATGCTTTTCTTCAAGCCGTTCTACCTCCGCTGGGAGCACAACCAGGCTCGTGGTCTTGGATACCGAGGCCTGGGTGAGCCTTCAAGAGTCAGCGCGCTCGACGATGGCGAGGCGGATGGCCGGGCCCGTGACAGCATGGCCAGCGATGGCGAAGGTGTTGCTATGATTGCCCAGGACCTCGGCGACGAGGAACACGAAGAATTTGACTTCTCGGAGATCATGATCCACCAGGTCATTCACACCATCGAGTTCTGCCTGAACTGTATCTCCCACACTGCCTCTTACCTGCGTCTGTGGGCCCTTTCTTTGGCCCATCAGCAGCTTTCCATCGTCTTGTGGAACATGACCCTCGGCGGCGCCTTCGAGCAAGAAACCAACGCCATGCGTGTCATCATGATCGTCGTCACCTTCTACATGTGGTTCACGTTGACCATTGCCATTCTCTGTGTCATGGAAGGCACCAGTGCCATGCTTCACTCTCTTCGTCTGCACTGGGTCGAAGCCATGAGTAAGCATTTCATGGGTGACGGAATCCCGTTCGCTCCGTTCAGCTTCAAGACCCTCCTAGAGGAGGATCCCGTCGATTGATCTCGACGAGACTTTCCCTTCGTTTCTGTCCTCTCCTTTATTTTTTGGATTCCTCTGTATTGTAACTTATCAGAAACAATCAATTGGATTTTAGACCCTTTATTGTTGTCCCACCTTGGCTTGGCACCTTCTGTGGATCATCTAAGTCAAAAGTAATCGTGCTCGTACACAATTTTTAAGCATATTGAGCTGAGCTGGCGGTTAAGATTTATAGGAAGTAGGGAAGGGCGGGGGGCTTGGATGTCCAATTGTTTTCACAGTTTTCAATTTTCTCGAGTATTTTTTTTTTTTTAAAAAAAAAAAAAAAAAAAAAAAAAAAAAAAAAAAAAAAAAAGTCAGATTATGTAGACATTGGAATACTTACACACGTGCCTGAATCCTTTGCAAATTAAGATTCTCTATGAATGGTGGTTGTTGGCTGATTTCCCTACTATGACACAATATATATTTTCATGCAAGTCTCGCGAACCCGAAAGCATACTACACCAGGACAGATAATGCTCGATAGAAAACCCACGGAGCCTATCACGTTAGATTTGGATTTACTTTTGAATATTGAATTTGCTATAATTTTTAGATACATGAAGATCGTGAGCTATTTGCTGGTAAAAACCGGGCGATATTCCACACCCGCGGTGTGTTATGTACCGACGACATTAAAAATAATCATTGTGAAAATAAAACGACACAAGAACTCCGTACCGGACACCGACCGAGAACTATGCAACCGAAATCAAATGATCTGCATGGGCTGGATCGTTTATTTCTTGTGCTTGTTGTACGTGTCGATGACCCGTTGCACCTCGTCCTTCGAACCGAGGAACACGCCGCTGCGGTCGTGGATGTGCTCCGGCACGACCTCCAGCAGACGCTCGGCTCGCGAGTTGATGGCCAAACCACCGGCGTTCTCAAAGAGCATGGCCATGGGGGCGCACTCGTACAGAATACGCAGCTTACCCTTGGGGCTCTTCGAGTCGGCGGGGTAGGCAAAGAGACCGCCGTATAGCAGGGTTCGGTAGGCATCGGCAACCATACTACCGATGTATCGTGCACTGTACGGCTTCTTGCCCTCGCCTGGGAACTTCATGGAGCGGAAGACCTCGTTGGTCCATTCCTCCCAGTACATGCTGTTACCCTCGTTCACGGAGTAGATACCGCGCTTGGCGGGCATCTGCATGTTGGGGTGGGTGAGGATGAATTCACCCAGGGAGTTCTCCATGGTGAAACCGTTGACGCCACCGTTGCGCATGGTGATCACCAACTGAGCGGAGGCACCGTACATGGTGAAACCAGAGGCCACCATCTCGGTTCCCGGGGAGAGCACGTCTTTGGCGGTGACTTTTTTCCCGGGACCCAGCAGGGAGTCGGGGAGCTTGAAGATACCAAAGATGGTGCCAACCGAAACGCCAGCGTCCAGGTTGGAGGAGCCGTCAATGGGGTCGCACACCACGGCATATCGGGCATTGGGGTGCTCGTCGAACAAGATCGCCTCATCCTCTTCCTCGGAGACGAGGATGCGACACTTGCCGGAACCCTTCATGGCGGAGATGAAGATGTCATTTCCGATGACGTCGAGCTTCTTCTGGTCATCACCGGTGGTATTCGAAGACCCGGCCAATCCGGTCAGGTTGATCAAAGACGCACGACGGATGTAGTAGGCAATGGACTTGAAGGCGAATTGGAGGGCGTGGCACAGGAGTCTGTAGATTGTTGCCCCGCCGTTAGTTCCAGGCGACTTTCCCCACGGAAAAAGAAGGAAGCGGGGCAGGCGTGGACACTTACGTGAAGTCACCAGTGGCTTCGGGCACCTTAGTCTGCTCCTCGGTCAGGAACCTGGTGAGCGTGACGATGTCGGTGTTAATGTTCTCCTGTCCCACGGGGGGAGCGCCGCCATTGTCGGTAGACATGATGAGTGGATGGAAGATGTAGAGTAGACGAAGGGGAAGGGATCCAGCGGAGTCAATTGACAAGTATGCAGAGGAGGCGAGGCGAAGGAGGGGAGTTTAAAGCAACCGTCGACCTCGGTTCAACGGAGAAAGCAGGAAGAGAGCGGGAGAAGGCAAGGGAAGTAGATTCTCGTCGACTAGGATCTAGCTGCACGGGTATGAGGGAATGAAGCGAATAAATGGACAAGACGTCTTTTCAGACCCAGGGCCAGACATGAGCTCTTTATGGCGTCGCCATGGCCGGACCCCCTTTTTTTTCCCTGCAAGGCAATTTACATCATTGTCTAGCGGCGAGCCAGAAATGGGATACGGGTGGATCGGGCAGCAAGATGAAGCGCAAGACAAGTCTGGCTCTCCCAACGTCAGAAGCGACCAACCGGTTTGGGTTGACGCAATGTCACGGGGATGGTCACGGTACGTAATCCCCGCAACAGGAAGGCCCCTCTTTCTTTCTCCCGACTGCCTCCGATCCTCAGGCTGACAATTCTTCCGGCCGGCTTTCCTTCAATCAGAGCCCATTACTCTATCTATTCCAACAATGCCTTGCTGAGCCATTATTGAGTCCTCCAGGGCTTGACGGAGAACCTACGCTGTACGCAAGAGATGAGACAGGTGTAGATCGCCAGTACGTGGACACGTGTCGGACACGGGATCCCGAATCAGTGCAGAGGATATGATACATGCGATGCTATGCGCTCAGGGACAACTAGTTCTGCGGGTGGGTTTCCCGGCCGGTCACCAGACACGAGGAGTTTTGAAGTCCACCTCCAACTATCGTGAACTATTCGAGTCTGGCCCCGGCCGCTTCGGGTCTCTTTCCTCCGTCGATCGCGAGCTGACTAAGACCAGATCAGCTGACCGCCGTCGGACTGCTGACATAAGCATCCTCGTCCGCTCGCTGCCGCTAGCCCGCTTGGGCCTAGCGGCGCTCGGTAAAATTAGCTCCGGAAAAGTGAGCTTGAAAAAGTTCGCCGCGCGCGCTTTGCTTTCAGCTTTTCCTTCTTCCCGCACACACTCGACCACGGCCTGGTGCCGGTCTTGACACGATGATGGCCTCAAGAATGTTTGACAAGCCTCGTCCCAGTGTCTGTGTCGTAGTTCAATTGCCGAATTGCTCATGCTGATGTTCCACTGACCATCTCAATCCGCCAGATGCAGGATGATTTTGGTACGTACCGACCACCTCGGACTCGTCCCTTCCCTTTGCATGATGTTACCCACAACCATACAAACTAGAGTCTTTGACCTTTTTGGGCATGAAAACTCGATTGTTTTGCACGTCAGTCTGATATGCTTGGCAAGCTTTCTTTTGCACTGTTGATTCACCTCGATTGTGCTCCCGCAGTTTGCTGACTTGGACCACAGGACTACTAAACCTAGCACAGCGTTGTCACACCAAGCAGGGTTAAAGAAGAACGGTACGTATTTTCTTGTCTCAAACACCTGGTACTCCCCACTTGCATGATGCTTCTTCGTATATATACGCTGGAAATTACCGACTGAGACTTTCGGGTCCTTGGCGATATCAAATGGCTATTTCTGATCTGCATGTTTCAATTACACCTGTTTTATCCTCATACATGTTTGGTGTGCGAGTGCTGACAGAAAGAAGATTGCTACTGCAGTTTGTTCATGTCTTTCCCAATGCCTTCATGGCCTGTTCAAATGGTAAGGATCTCGATACCATCCATCATTCCACGGAGATGTTTCAAAGATGAAGCGGCACTGGGCTCCGACGGCGTTAGACAAAACGACCGGTCTTGAAGGAGATGCCATTTTTGCGGCAGGCCTAGAAAACCTCGCCCACTGAGATACAACCTCCAGCCACGCAATTCATCCGTCATTGGGTATGATTTGAGGCTAATTCCAGAAGAACTAGTAGTTCACTAGACAGTCATGAGAGCGTTCGGTTTATCAATCTTATAAAGGTACATTGGAAGCCACGATTCAGAGTTTTCCCATTAGCACTATGATGATTCCCTAGATGACGAGTCTTATTCGAGTTATCGATGCTGACACCATCTTTTTTTTACCATTCATGCAAATCTGACTCGCATTTTGAGCACAATAACATTGTTGAAACTTTCAGGAATTTGGCTAACATGCTTCAAGTGACTAGGACTTGGTTAGAACCATTGATCACTTCGGTCGGAGATCCCTGTATGTTGGCTCTCCGCTCTCGTTCCTTCTGCCCACCGACCACACCATGATGATTTGACATCACACAAAGACAAGCATATGTCCAAGTCGGCTCTGCTGACCAGGACGAGAACTGTCATGACTGATCAGTCACATACCCGTTCACTTGTTGGATATGTAAATAAGTGCTCGATGCTGATTGATCTGTGCAGTAGCTGGGATGCTCCCACTCATGTAGAGCCGAGGACTCTGTCTTCGGACGGGGTCCTCGGGGCGACATTTTTGACTAATGTGAGTTATTTGTTTGATCTTTTTTGCTTTCACTCGGGCTGCCATGTCTTCAATGATGATTTACTTTTATTTAATCACGACGGTCAACATAAAATATATACCTTGATGACCACTGCCTGTGACAGGGCACTTATCTGAAATGGCAGCTCGACATTCTTGTTTTTGTCTTTGCACGCGCCATGACGATGATCGGAGAAATGCTAATATGACTCCAGTGAAGCAGGACCTGAAATTTGAGATGACCCGTGGGAAACCGATCAGCGGCGACCCCCGGGTGACACCACGCCTTCTGGCACCAGGGCGATCTAGAAAAGTATGCAGTCACTAGTGCGAGCTTAAGAATGAAATCAAAGAATCCAAAATAGCAACACCACCATTTCTCTGGGCCTGTCCCGTTGGTCGACGCCAGTTGTATCCCCCCGTGTAGGCGCCTGTGGCCGATGATCCCCCCCAATCAGCAGGCGAGTCCCCGCGGGAAATGGCCCCTGGCGGTGGCCCTTTTTATCTTCTCGTCATGCAACCGGGCCAGACTTGTCGCGCTGGAGTGTGACGAGCGATCTGGTTCGCTGCAGCCGACCGGGGTCGCAGCCTGTCACGACGCGCAAATCCAGCGCCGGCGGCCCCAACAGCACGCCGGCCGTGATGAACCTCGCTGGCCTGCATTTCACCCCGTCCCGACTCTGCAGACCCTCGCCGCTGTCCCCTTCTCATCCAGCCTGACGGTGTCTTGGTGTTTTATTTTTATCTCATGGCCACCGCCGGTGGATCCCACGAGTTATGCCCGTCGAACGGCCGATTCCTTTTGGAGACATGCAAGCCGCCCATCGTGCGCGGTGGGCCTGCGAAGCTGTTGCAAAGAATAGAAATCTGCATTCCCTCTCTCGCTCCCCTTCTGCCGTCGCGTCTGGTAGGCTCGGGGCCGTTGTGATTGCTCTCGATCCCATTTCCACTTCTACGCGCGGCCGGTAGCCATGGCTTCACGTCCGGTTGGCTCTTAATCTTTGCGGCAGTATGAATAGGTGCGCGAGCCCCTCTCACCCGCCATTGTCCCTGCCTGCCCTATTCTTCCGGGAACTTTGCTTGTGAGGTCCTCATCGTACTGATTGCGGGCTGTGCATCATAGCTGGTGGCCTCCAAGTAATGCTGGCGACGAGCCGCCGTCCAGTGCTTATCCTCGCAACGGCTGGCCCGCTCCCCATGCTGGCTCCAGCAATCAACCCTCCCCCAGTCGTCGAGATCATGCTGTACAGCCCCCTCCGTTGACAACAGCTTTGAGTGGTCAACAGTTCCAAGGACTCGGAGTCGCTCTTGGTGCCGGTTACGCATCGACGCCCCTCTCGACCACCTCCCTGTCCAGCCCCTTCACGCAAAGCCAGTCTCCTGCCGTGACAACCCCGGGAGGCTTCCCCGCCACATCTTCTGCCATGGCATCGAGACAGTACACGGTCCCGTACAATCCACAGGATTGGGGCCCGGTGAACGGAGCTCACATGCATGCGGCACAGTCTGCGTATCCGCAGGCGAACAATATGCTTCGCGTCATGTCGCACCACCGACCAGCGGGGCACTCAGGTTCGATCGCCACCGTGAGGGGACTTGTGCGAAGAGACAAATCACTGACTGAAGATTCCTATAGAGATGTCCCTCTCGCCGCCCCCGCCGCCTTACTCACCTCCCAGCCAGCCCCAGCAACAGCAACACCGGGACCATGTGAACCAGGGACCCGCCATGAGAGCAGGCTCCGCATCCCCTGGTGCGGTGTCTACCTATAATGGCCAGGTGCATCATGGGGCCGATACTCCCGTGGAGTATCGCCAACAGCCGCTTCCTCGTACTCGCCCGCTGTCCGTGGTAGGCGACGCAGGTCTGACGAGGCAAGTTTCATTGCCTCCGCCTCCTCCCTTACCCCAGGGAGTCCCAAGCTCGAGGTCTTCCTCTCATAACAGAACCGATGTATACCGAGAACAGCCCGCGTTCGCTTCCAGTTCCAGGGCGTACGTGATGGCCTCGCCCCCGAGTATGCAGCCGTCACATCCGAGTAACCACAACAACCACATGGTTGCAACTGCTCAGTACGATGACATGTCTCGACCGCCAGCTTCCCGACGAGCTGTCTCGGCGGGCCCAATTGTGGGTAGTGCGAGCACGTCGAGGGCCACGAGCCAATCCCGAAGTCGTTCGCCGCCGGGAGGTGGATGGGAACCCGGAATGCCCCTTCCGCCACCCCCTCCAGGCCCTCCCCCATCCTCTACGAGGTCACAAAGCGTCAGTGGTCTGTCCGATGCCTCCTCCTTACGCCACTCGCAGTCAGCGGCGAGGACGACGAGAACTCGACCTCCTCCAGTCTTAGGAACTGGCTTGGACAGTATCCCGCCCACCCCGGCTGACTGGGTGGAGGAGGGATCTGCGGAGGCTAGGCAGAGAGGCAAAGCACCTCTGCATATTGATACAACAAGCACATCGTTACATCGTCCCGACACCAATGGTACTGGTTCGGTGACATCCGCTCATCCTTCTCAGAGCTCTTCGACAAGTGGCCTCTTTCGTAGCCCAGCCATTCGAGACACGAGCACCAAGGGTATCAGAGAGAGGCGAGTTGAGCGTCGAAACAGGCAGAGCCAAGTTATGGACGACTTCAGCGCCGTATCCATGAGCAGCAACCCTTGGGCTGAGGCCTTGGAGCAAGTCAAGCCGTCCAATCTAGTTCTGGACGACGTCAATGTCACTCCTGAGCACCCTCGGCAGCAGGCTACAACAAGAGCCACGCCACGCAGCAATCACAGCGTCGGGTCTGACGGACAGCAACCGACTTCACGCTCCAGGGCCTCCTCAACCGGGCTGTTCTCCAATCGTTCCTCGTTCTCGACTCCTCGAGCCGAACCGAGCCCTCTAGGACCATCTCGGGGCTATGCACAGACTCCGCCATTCTCGCCTGACGGAGACAAACCGTCTACCTTCCCCAAGGGAGCTTCTCCGGCTTTACCACCGAAGGCCCTCCCAACGCCGCCGTTGCAATCTGCCCAGGAGGTCCATCCACCGTCCCGGCCGGGATCACGAGAAGATCGACCGGTCTCGCACATATTACATTTGCCCAATGATCAGCTCCAATCGGTCTCGACGTTATCTCCTCGTCGTGTTCCGATGTCGCAAGGGCCATCGTTGAATTCCGTTGTGAATCAAGATGCGACTTTTATGAACGACGCGATCCAAAGGCACAAAGAGTTTATTGAGAAGGAGGCTGGCGCGGCGGACGAAGCAGAGGCTTTGAGGGTTTTCACCGAATTCATCATCGCGGAATCCCAAGTTCGACGAGAAAGGTACTCCAAGATATGGGGCTCGAATTCGCTGGACTTAGAAGGGGTCCGTCGGAAGCTATTTGAACTTCCACCCAAGCCTGCTCCGCCTCCTCAGCCAGTCGTCCCCCCTTCATTGTCGCGGCGACCATCTAGGGGAGCTCCAAGGCTAGATATTCCCCAGCAGTCTCGTCCGGAGTCGGCCTGGTGGAGTAACTACAAACCCTGTCTGTCGCCCATAGCAAGTCTCAGCATGAGCAACGACGAGATGAGCTCCCGAGGCCGTGCCCCGAGCCGTTGGTGGGAGTCCAAATCCAGTAGTGAGGGTGGCGAGCGAAGGATTCTGCGATCCAAACGAGAGTCCAAGTATATGGGTCTGCCTCGCGAGTCTTTGCAATGGCCCCAGGGACGTGATTCTGTGGAGGCCAGCAACTCGAGCGATGCCTTCGAGTCCGGAGACCAATTTACCGCTTATGGCCCTGATGAATATCCGCCTGAGAAGGTCGGATGGCATGAGGACTTTGCGCCGTCGGAATACTCCAGCACTGCCGGCCACAGTATCTCTAAAGAGACGCAAAAAATGGATGTCTCGAGGCTGATTACCTTGCCGCCCCCTTATCCCCGGCACCATCCGGCTGTAAATAACAGTCATCCGGACCTTGTCGCATACCGTACCCTAGTCCGATCCATCAGCGATCTTTCCGAGGTTAAGACTACGAGGCAACGGCATAAAACGGAGGTTGAAACTCTATCGCAGGCCCATCAGGAGCGAATCCAGGAGGGTCGCCGACAATTCAAGGCTAACATCCAGAGCCAGATCCAACAAGGAAGCATCACTTTCGCGGAAGCTGCGGAAGCGGAGGCTGCTCTGATCGAGGAAGAAAACAAGCACGAACGAAACTTGGCAAAACAAGAGCTGGATGCATATCAAAATACAGTGCTCAAGCCTATGCACGCGATTCTGAATGATCGAATCACCAAAGCTACCACCTGCATCAACGAGCTACGCAGCAAGATGTTTGATGACGCGCAGCATGAAACACCGGATCAGACCCAAGAGGAAGGTGATGAGAAACCGGAGCTGTTGGAAAAACTGACGCAGCTCAAATGGCTGTTCGAGGCGCGGGAGCAGTTGCACCGGGAGATGCACGATCTGGTCAGTGACCGAGACGAGAAATACAAGGCCGTGGTCCTCCTGCCTTACAAGCAGAAGCTCAACGAGGAGAAAGTGCGTGAGACCAACGCTTTCTTTGTCAAGGACGCCCAGGACCGGCGCGTCAATTACGAAGCAGCTGCCTTGGCTCGCCTTGAATCGTTCTTGGCCGTGATTGAAGAAAACGCCGCTCGGGGTGTAGAACTACAGCTCTCTGCCTTCTGGGATATTGCACCGTCGCTTCTTACCCTGGTCCAACAAGTCCCGGAGGATCTTGATGGCTTTCAGATCCAGATCCCGGCCAATGAATACGAGGAGAACCCAAGTTACCACCGCCATCCGCTGCAGTATCTCTACACGCTCATCTCACATGCCGAGAAATCCAGCTACCAGTACATTGAGTCGCAGATCAACCTTTTCTGCCTCTTGCACGAGGTGAAGTCCGCGGTTATGAAAGCCAACTGCAAGCTTATGGAGGCGCAGCGTATTCGTCAAGGCGAGGCCGAAGACTCGGTGCGGCGGGAGATGCAAGACTCGCGTGCAGACGAGGAGCGGGCCTTGACCAACGATCTCAAGGACAAAGTGGCTACGGTGGAAGGTCAGTGGACCGAGGCGTTGGGAAGTGCCATCCAGGGCCTCCGGGAGCGTGCGAAGGAGCAGCTGATGGAGGAGAATGGGTGGGAGGATCTGGAGCGGCTGGAGGAGGCATGACGGGACGAAGTGATGATTTCGCACACTGTTTTTTTCTTTGCTTTTCCTTTCCTTTTTTTTCTCTTTCCTTCTGAGTGGACTCAGTCCCACCGCGATGTTCCGCACGATACCCTTAGTCAGTAATACCACGTGACCCACCTTCTAGAGGTTTCCTTTTTCTTTAGTCTCGCTTTTTCGCTCTTTCTTCGCTCTTCTCTCCCTCGCCAACACGCAATGCTATTTAACTAACAACCCCCCCCCCGCCTCGCCACGGTACTTCCCTTGATTCCTTGGATCCCGGATTGATCTACTTTTGCAGTGTTCCAGTGCCTGGACTTGCTCTGTTAACTGTAAGTCGAGCCTTTTCCTGCCTTGCTTCCCCTACCCCTCCTTTTTTGGTCGCCCTCGCACACTTGCTTGGTACCAATTGGCACCATCCAATTGCCTTCATGCTTTGGATGTGCCTTGCCTCTCGATGATGAGATCCTATAGCTGGCACCAGTCAGAAAGAGGCTTGATTTGAAAAAGTCCTGCTTCATTGCTGAGTAGCTTGCGATCTGGGAACGCTACCCGTGATCCTGAGAAATATGCCACCACGACTTTATTTTGACCCACGTCAATTACTTCGAGTGATTCATTGCTGACTCAGAGTTTTTCTCCTGACAGAACCTTGAAACTAAGAAGAAAAGATTCTGCGCTGGGCAGAATTCCTTACAGAACCCCGGAGATAATACGTGCCGTTGTCTGCATTAGAGTACAACATCTCTTACAGCAAGAACAATTAGCAAGATTATTTTTTTAAATAAACAATTTTAATACCAGCAATACCATCATGGTTCTTCACAACCCCAACAACTGGCACTGGGTGAATAAGGATGCCTCGGCCTGGGCCAAGGACTTCCTGACCAAGAATCTTTGCTCGATCACCGCCGAGGAAGATGGTGTCACCGCCAAGATCTCCAATCTACTGAGCGTGGATGGCGACGTAGATGTCAGCCAGCGAAAGAACAAGGTCATCACCCTGTTCGACGTCAAGGTCCGACTTGAGTATGAAGGTTCGTGAATAGTGAGTGCTTCACCCTTCTGGGGCACGACTAAATCCTTTCGACAGGTAAGACCAAGGACGAGGAGTCTGTTAGCGGTACCATCACGATCCCTGAGGTAGCCCACGATACAGAGGAAGATGAGTACGTTGTATGTTCCCTTATAATGTCCCCTCTCAGTGCTTTGTCGTTGGGTATAGGGTGACTGACTGTAGACGCTGGTAATACATAGTTTGAAATCGAGATCCACTCGGAAACCTCGTCCAAGCAGCCCGTGAAAGACCTCGTTCGCTCGAAGGTTGTGCCTCAGCTGAGACAGCAGCTGAGCCAGCTTGCGCCGACCTTGATCGCCGAGCACGGCAAGGATCTTCAGCATGCCCCGGGTGTTAACCCATCCAGTGGCTTTGCTGCTCCTACCTACCACCCCCAGACGACCAAGCAGGCCTCTGCCCCCAAACCCACCACCACTACCACCACCAACAAAGTCTCCGTGAACACCACCACCGTCACTGCCTCGGATGAGTTCCGTACCACTGCGGAGGAGTTGTACAACACTTTCACCGACCCTCAGCGCATTGCCGCTTTCACCCGTGGACCCCCTCGTCAATTCGATGGTGCCAAGGTGGGAGGAAAGTTCTCTATCTTTGATGGCAACGTGAACGGAGAGTTCTCCAAGCTGGAGGCTCCCACCTTGATCGAGCAGAAGTGGCGTCTGGCCCAATGGCCCGAGGGACATCTTAGCACCCTCGAGATCAAGTTTGACCAGAACAACACCGACGGTGTCACCCAGATGCGTGTGACTTGGACCGGCGTTCCCGTTGGCCAGGAAGACGTCACCAAGCAGAACTGGGAGATGTACTACGTCCGCAGCATCAAGCAGACATTCGGGTATGTGCCCTCCCCTGTTGGCTGGCAAATTTGCTTCCTTACCATTCTTGCTGCCAGACCGCCCTTGCTTTCTTGGAGACAGCTACTGATTTCTTTTGTTGTGCTTGTTTTTGGTGTAGGTTTGGCACTATTCTCTGATAGCGTGCGCGAATATTTGGAGACTCGATGATTCCACAATGCCATATATAGGGAGTATGAAGGCGCTCCGGGATTCTCTCTGCGTCAAAGGTACCCTGTCCGGGGGCCGAGATTTGGATAAACTTGATGGTTTTCATCCCCAATGACGAATCTTTGACGCTTGACGCTCTCATACATCCCTTGCTTTTTGGGTCTGTCTGGCTCCTCTTCTCTTTTGGCGCTTATGAGGAAATGGTTTGGACGATTGCACGATAGAAAAAGGTCCCACGATTAGAGCAAATGTAAAGTTGAATCACATAATGAACTTCAAAGTAACAGACGAGATCCTTGTACGAGTGGTAGAGTACTCTGGTATGTAGGTATGTATAAACACAGTTTAATTTACGTAGACACGTAATCTAAATATATATAGTAGATCGTTACATAAATTTCATTTTACTTTTTTTTAATCGTCATATCCGCCATGAAGCTAGATAAAGGAGATCTACAGAGTCTTTTCGATCATCTCGATGCCGTAGTCCTCCTTGAGGGTCTTCAGGAGAGGAGCGCAAATGTCCATGGTCATGGGAGCAAGGACACCCTATTGTGTTTTAGGATAGTTAGCCAAATTGTTCTTTCCTTATTTTAAGATCAGAAGGACGAGAGCGGGAGAAACATACCTTCTCGCTGATGGTGCCGTCCAGCACCAGCTTGACGGCGACACCGCAGGGCACACCGACGGTCTTGGCCATGGCGGAGTAGCCGCCAGGAACGCCGTACTCGCACATGGTGCTGGTCCGGGTCTCCTGGGAGCCGTCCTTGTGCTTGATGCCGAACTTGTGCTGGAGCATGACCATGTCGCGCTCCTCGGGGGCGTACTGCATCTTCTTCTCGAGCGTGGCGCAGAGGGTGTCGAGAGGGTTGCCGCGGGGGGTGATCTTCTCGTCGGAGAAGATACCGATCCAGCGTAGACCGGATATGATGCGGTTGCGGTCCTCGCTGGTAGCGAAGGCGGTCTTGGACGAGATGGCCGCTTCCAGGTCCTTCTCGCTGGACGAGGCGGCGCCCAGGATCTGCTGGGTAGCCTCCTTCCAGGCAATGGGAGAGTTGAACGTCTCGCGGGGCTCGTCAGACAGGAAGTCGATATCGACAAGAGCCTTGATCATCTCGGGGAATCCCTGGTAGCGAAGAGTGCCGCGGACAAGGTCCTGGGCCTCGGGGATGTTGTAGCGCTCACGGAAGGGAGTGGAGTCCCGGTTGGGGTACGCAACGAAGGCGAATCCGGGGTAGATGTAGTAAGGCTTGGCGGTGGCCATGAGATCGGGGCCGGCCACACTGAATTCCTTGCCGTCCCGGTAGAATTTCGCGGCGTTGCGGAGCGCAAGGAGCACACCACGGCTGGACCACGAGAACTTGTAGCCGAGCGGGTTGTCGGAGCACTCGGGGGCGGGGAGACCACCACAGTAAGAGAGGAAGGAGGTGATCTGACCACCCTCTGCGTGGACCTATCATGCCAGAAAAAGCTCGAGTCAGGCTTGGGACGTGGGAGCAGGAAGAAAGAAACATACCTCGGAGATAGTCTTGACCGCATACAAGTGATCAATACCCTAGATATACAATTAGACACTGGAAACGTCGAACATCTCAACGGTGGACTGTCTCATACCGGATCGAGACCGATCTCGTTCATGACGGTGATACCGGCCTTCTTGCACTCCTCGTCCAGCTCCATCATGGCGGGAGAGACGTACGACGTCGTGACGACATGCTTCTTGGTCCGGATGGCGGACTTGATCACCACGGCGTGGAAAGTGTAGGGGATCAACGAGATGACCAAGTCGACCTGCTCAAGAGCCTTGTCCAGAGCGGCAGGGTCGTTGACGTCAAGGGAAATGGCCTTGGTGTTCTTGAAACCTTCGGAGAGCTTCTGGGCACTCTCGAGGGTTCGGCAAGCTGCAATGGACGAGAAGATCAATGGTTAGTTCACCATGGGCCTCGCAATTCCTCGCCCAGACCTTTCATTGGGAGGGGAGGGGGTTATTTGGGGCGTGCGGTGGAGCAGCATCACCCCATCCCGAGCTGTGATATCAATTGAACATACCGACAGTGACATTGACGTCGGCCTTGCTCAGAACCTCAACAGTAGGCTTGGTGACTACAGACAAAAGCAAACAAAGTTAGTCGTTGCCCAAGAAGAAAGGGAGCTCTGCTGGCACCGAATGCGGGGTTCCGGATGGAACATGGACTGGCGAAGCTCTAGAATATCAGGACGAGAGTAAGACAACATACCGAAACCCGAGCCCAGCAGGAGAACCTTGGAACCAGCAACTTGGTTAGGCATTGTGACGATTGGAGGGGATGAATGATGTGATTGAGAGAGGAGGGGAGACGGCGTGAGTCAAGAACAAGAAGGCCGTCCTCTCCACGGTGGGGGGTCACGTGGGGCTGCGGTATCGGAGGGCAAATCCGGCAGTCAATCATGACGCTGCAAATGTAATGATTCATTCCTCTATAAGAAAAAGAAAAATGCGGCTTGGTATGAGGCTATGTACAGCAAAAACTCTCGGGGATATCGGTCGTATGGTTATGTCCAGAACAAACGAACTCCAAAAAAAAGGAAAGAAAGACGAGTCAAGGGCAAACGAAACAGAAAGAAAAGAAAGGAAAACACTCCGTCAGGTTGAATGCAAGGTATATAAATCTACAGGCCCTTGACCTTCTCGGCAGGACTTAACGTCGTCCCATCCGTATCTTCCTCGGGAGATTCTGACGTCTCTCCGTCAAAATTCCCTTCGGCCTCGGGGTTCTTGCGCGACTTCGAGATTCTCCGCTGCCATCCTAACAGGACCGGCAGGAATTGCCACAGGTCGAACTCGGGCCACAGCACATCGAGGAAAACAATCTCCGTATCTTCATGACATTGCCAGAGCATAAAATCGCTGAGACGTTCCACGCCGGAGGTACGGATAAGTAGATCAAGAGGAGGGCTGTCCTTCGTAAAAAGGTGTTCGGATAATGTTTGTCGCGTGATGGTTTCCGGGGATTTGAAAACAGAGCGGCCGGACTCATTCGACACGGCGGTCTTGCCATTCGTTGCCTCCGCATGGCCGCCGAGATGGAGGGTTGTGGAGGACGAGAAGGAGGAGCCCGACTCGTAGACCCTGTTCAGACGATCCGATTTGGGCGCCCCGTCCTCGCCCTGCGACAGCGATTCCGACGAAGACTCGACGTCGCTGCTGCTTTCCTCCGTCTTGTGGTTCTGCGCTCGGATATTCAACGCAATATGGGTCTCCGAGAAGGGGGTCCGCTGGCCAGCGGACGCCGCGTGAGCCGAGTCCAGCGGCTGGCTATAGTCGGCGACGGTATCCCGGATGGCGCCGGTGATCTCGTCGCGAGATGTATAGGGGAAGCAAATGTTGAGAACCCGATCGCCGTTGTTGGCGGTCATGTCGACCGCCTTGTTGACCGCAGCGAGTACGTCCGGTCGGAGCAGGTCCAACCGACCCAAGATGCGGACCTTCGCGCCATACCGATCCAGAATTTCACCGTGTTGGGCCATTTGTGCCAGCTTCACCCGGGCCATTTCCATCAAGGAATCCACCTCAAACTTCGATCGCTTAAAGTTCTCGATACTGAACGCATAGATCGTGACCACTTTCACTCCGCTTCGGTAGCACACTTCGAGGATCTAGAGAGGCAAACATCGTCAGCATCCGGATGAAGGAAACGGGAAACCGGAACGAATCTTCTTGTGCAACCCCGATACAATGACAACAGCTGGCCATGGGACCGAAGATCTCGGAGAACAAACACGGGGTCGAAAGGGTACAAGAGATAGGGTATCAAGAGGACAAATGAGACATCCAAACAAAACGAAGGGTTGGTTTTGCTTAACTCACCCTAGCCAGCGCCTCGAACCCCAAGTTATGACCCTCGACGGTTTCGATCCCGTGTGTTCGGGCGAACCTTCGGTTTCCATCCATCACAAAAGCAATATGCTGTGGAACTGGCCCTTGCCTGAGCGCTCCAACCAGCAAGTCTCGGAGCCTGGACAGAGCGAACTCGATTGGCGGAGATGCAAGGACCCATTTCCGAAGACGGGACAGATGCATTGACGTCGACATGGTGTTCGGACAACGAGAGCGATGGTGACAAGTGACAGTTGGGGTGGGAGGAGTGGCCACCGAAGTACCGAGAGTAACGGAACGGATGGGTGTCAGGACGACGATATGCGGAGCAACGAGCAGGAAGACGAGACGGGGGCGATTGAGATGGAGTGGGTTCAGAGAGCGGCCAGTCGACTAGGGACAGGAAACAACGGAGATCCTGGCTGGTAGGGCTGTGTCCATCAGGCTACACTGTTCTCTGTGTTCCCCCTAACGAGAATTTTCTAATAGGCGGTGGTGGCCGATCAGACAACGCTGGGAGGCAAAAAAGGACCCCGGCCAAGGAGCTAAAGTGGTCGCAACGGAGTCAACAAGAAGGGAGCGACGGCAGGCCGAGAGCAAGAGCGAGCAAGTCAGTCGGTGACAGGTCGGTCGATTAGTTTGGAGGAAAGATGGGCGACAATCCGACGGGCGACGTAACCGCCAGACTCTCGGTGGGTCCACGTGGAAGCCCCAACCATCGTCCTCGACTACGCTGCATACCACGTCCTTCATTCTACTCAGGGGAGAGCTCTTGCATCCGGAGTCAAATGGAATCTCACAAGGCCATACATGCAACCCCGAGGTAACTACCGTACAACGCCCGGCCCCGTCCGCTCTCCACCCAGATTCGATGCAACGCTCAACGCTCAAAACTCACGCGCATTCCTCCCCGATAACCTCAAAAGCAGAATTATGATTATTAAGAAGATTATATATTCTTCCGGTTCTCATCCCCGGAAGGAGTCCCCGGCCCCGAGCCCGCCATATCCCAGCTACTACTGTCTTCGCTCTGCCGCCGCCGCCGCTCGCCCCGTTCTCGCATGGCATCCCGGATCTTGCTGCTTACCTGTTCCAAACCGTCGTTGGTGGTGACTTGGCTGAGAGGCTTCAGTTGCTGTCCGGAGGAGCCCGGTCGACCGCCGAAGGAGCTACTACGGCTGCGACTGCGGCTTGGAGGTCGCGTCGAAAAAAAGCCAATGTTGGCCAGGTTATGGAACGACTCGTTGCGAGGAAGGGGCTCTTGAGTTGGCGAGCCCTCGCCGAAATCCGTAGTACTCGTCCGTCGAATCTCAGGAATCGGAAGCGGCTCCTCATCCGGCCTACGATTCAACTCGCGGAAAGGATCCGTCACGATCCTCGCCGCGTCAAAGTCTGGGAATAGTTCGGGCCCCAGAGTATTGATGGCATCGGTGACTTGCTGAGCCAGCTCAGCGCGTCGCTGTCGAAGTTTGACGAGGGTGTTGGCGGAGGATGGATTCAAAGATAAGACCAGTGGACGCAGAGATTTCAAAATATCCATGCCAACCTCGCCAATCCGAAGAGCCGCAAAGGTGATGGTCGGAAATAGGATCATGCCGACGGGTACGATCAGCCACAGTGGCATCCGGTCTGGTACAATCCCTTGGATCCGGTTGTGGTACGCCCAGAAGGTGAAAGCCGCCGTGTAGAACGCATAGAGCGCGGGTGCAAAAGCGAGAGCAACCAGAAGTTTCCAGGTCGCCATGACATCCCGCCCCTGCAGTTTGACCGTGGAGGCAGCTAGGGCCTCCTTGGACTTCTTGATAGAAATCAATTTCGTGGCGATGAAAACGGGTGCAAACAGAAGCAGACCGGGGAGCGTTGCAATGGCAAGTAGGGCCAATTTGACCAAGCGAGAAATCAACGTAAAGATCACTTGGAAGAACCTGAACTTGGCATAATCGACTTGGTGGTCGCGGATACCCAGAAGACGCAGCTGGCGATTGTAATCCGCAACGGACTTCCTGAGATGCACGATGCGAGGGTCATCTTTGAAATGAGTATACCCTTTAACCAAACGCCGGTTCAGCTCAACGACCATGGGCAATGGAAGCTTCTTGCCCTTGGTGTTGTAAAGGCGGCGAGCAGCCTGGATAACCTGTAGCTTTGTCAGTTCTCGCCTCATACAAGAAGCATCAAAAGATAACTAACCATAAGAGTCTCGTAATCCGTTCCGGTGACCGTCACTGCAACCAGGCTTTGATATATAGTGTCCAACAGGGCTCCGACTGCCTCCCTTCTTTCGCCGCGCTTATACTGTTCGACCAGCTCTCTCGGCACCTCGAATGGAGTTCCGAACTCAATGACAGCACGGGAGCGAAACTTGTGGGCGTGGAAGTAATTCATTCCACAGGGTACAATCTTCAAGCCACAATCCGGGTTATCCGCCAGCGTTCCAAGGGCCATCAGAGCAACACCAGCTGGTACGGGGATTAGAAATCGTCAATTTCAATCAAAATCAATGGGACGACACACCTTTCAAGGGAAGCAGTTCAGTCCGATCATGGCTACCACCTTCGGGGAAGATACCAACGCAGCCACCAGCATTAAGCCGAGCGAAGACTGCCTCGTAGACTGCCGTTTGATCGACATGAGGCGAGACCTTGAACTTGGCGCCCTTAAAACCAGCCAGATCCCTGTCCGATGAATCCCCCGTAAATTGCCCGTCGTTCGTAATGTCCTTCCGACCAGTAAGTTGGTACAAAGGATCTCTCGCTTTGAAAGGCTTCTTCAATATCAATTCCTCCGGTCCCCGAATCTCCGCAATTGTACCACTGTGTGAGGTTCGGTTGATGGTTGGGAGAGCGATTGTGCCCTCCTTTTCGAATCCGGGTCCTTCAAAGTTGGTGTCTATGCCACGCACCAGGGTGGGCTGATTGACAGGATCAGGTAGATAGATTGTTCCGGCGCCGACCTTCATATTGTCCATTGCTCGAGCAACAGGGACCGTCCCTATGCCCCTCGCCAGTAAACCGATAAACTTGCGCCGGAATGACTTCTCCGCGATGAGCCATGAAATGCGGCGATGAGCTTCGCTGCGCATCACGCGCATGAGAATCAACGAATCAACGAACTATAATGAAGCCCAACGTTAGTATGTACAATGTCCAAAGCTGCAAAAAGCAACTCAAACAAAGGACACCATACCTGATTAGCATGAGGGGCCGCGACAATGATCATAGGGTCATTCCGCGGAACCTTCCAAGAGCCTCGCGGGTGAACCTCCCTGAAGAAAAGGTCCGCGAGCACCGAGAATGTCCATAGGACGAGGTCATACAGCCACCCAATTAAGGGAGGGATGTAGGGCTGCTTCGCCATGGCGTTGTAGAGGGCTTTACGCTGCCGCAAATTCCCTTCTCCAAGTCGGTCGCACTCTTCTCGTGTCGAGCAGTCGGGGGGAAGGGACGACAACGAAGAGGGCAGAACAGGCGATAGGACTGAGTGGCGTTATTCTCCGACAGAGTGGTGCAAAGCACGCGTCAACACGACACAACCGAGCGAGGCATGGGCAGCTCAGGCTGCAAACTCGATTGAGTCGGACTGGAATTGTTCAGCCGATGGTGCTCGCAGTATTTGAAGGCGACTTACTGCGATATCAAACGAGCGCATGGAAATCCACGAGGGGAAGGTCGATGCGGGCGAGAGACTAGAGAGAGAGAGAGAAGGGGAAAAGAAAAAAAGAACCCCCAAACGGCGCGCCCCATGTGACAAGGGCCCTTAGCGGAGTGTCATGGACACTTTTGGTTTTGGGGCGGGGAAGAAGAGGAGCCGGCGCTAACGTCGTGCCTTGGCTTCCCTCCATTCAACTTCAGATCCAGTCGGGGCCGTTGGTTGCGTTACATCATCATGATCTGGAAGCGCACGATGGCGAGGACAAGGAAGGAGCGATGTTTCGTGCATGGAGCATATAATCACTAGGGGGCAGGAGTCAAGAATCCTTACGGAGGAGGTACTTGGGTGTTTTAAAGAAGAAGAAAGAAGGAATTAAAAAAAAAAAAAAAAAAAAAAAAAAAAAAAAAAGCGGCAGTTTTCTCCCTCGCCCAGGGTTGCCCAAAGCGGATAAGCGCCGTTCCTTATCATCCTCAGGCAGACTTGCATGTCGACGTCGTTGAGGCGAATGTTGGGCGCATCGAACCCCCGTTGCAATCATCAACCTGTTGAGACACGCCATGTCCCATGATTATTAGCCTGTCGGTATTAGTTCCTACTATCACATTCCCTTCCCGGAGGACAAGCTGAAGGAACAATAGTATTACGACGCTCTACGGGGATATGGATTTTAAGATGTACTATTCAGGCACGTATACGCTAATTGGCAGATTTGAGAATGTGTCTTTTCTCCATGAATCCACTGATCCCCTTGTGCCAAAGATCTCACAAACTCGCGGCATTCGGGGTGAACCAACACCCGAGAATCTTCCAGCAATACATTCGCCATCTCATAATTACCATCATAAACCGCCATTCGCAAGGGATCCACTCTCCCATATGGGATGATATTGGCAACCGCATTGACATCGACCTCGGGTCTGCTACACAGGACGCGCACAATGTCGCCATTGCATTGGAGTTGCTGGACCGCATAGTGCAACTCCTGACGGCCCCATTCGTCCGGGATGCCAACCGCGCATCCCATTTCGATTAACTGCTCGGCAATCCCGGGGTTGTTTTTCGAGTAGCACAGAGCTCGGTGGAGGGCCGTCTGGCCGATGAGGTTCTGCTCATCAAGAAGGTCAGGATAGCTGGTCACAATGTAGTCTATCAGTCCCGGGTCTCCTACCAAGGGCGTTGAGACTCGCAGTCCATCCTCCTGCACTACAGGGTAGAGTTCTATCCAGTCGTAAATCACATTGTGCAAAACCGTCGATCCGTCGTGCCCGGTTAGGCTTCCAAGATCCGTCCCGTGCTCAACGGCAGAGACTAAGATATCCAAGGCATCGGGCCGGTTGCGGATCAAGCGGAAGACATTCATGGATGTGATTTTGACCCCGGCCTCGAGGAGCGAGTATATTACCTCGCCTCCCCTTCCGCAACTGGCTGCCGCATGATAGAACGGTACCCTGCATTCCACGTTGATGTTGCCGGTGAGGTCTGGCCGGCGAGGGTTGGCATAATACTGCAGAAGAAGCTCCGCGCAGTCAACTTGATCGTGCAGGATCGCCACGCTGAGCATTCGACGTCCATCGATGGTGTAGGAATCGGGACTTACATCGACGTCGAGGAATCCCTGGAGGGCATCCACTCGGCCACTCATGATAGCCTCAGCCATGGGTTCTCGGGGAGCACTCTCTTCCTCGTCAAAGACATGTGCATAGTACCTGCCGTCTGACTCCTTCTTCAGGTATTTATCATAGACTTCCTGGGGTGGCAGAGCATATGCTTTTGCCGTCCGCTTCAATTTCTCTCGCAAACAGTAGTGGAACCCCCGACAGGTTCGTGCAAATCGACTGAGGCTTGCTGGTTCCAGATAATCCGTACATTCCCAGAGCATTTCTAGCGGAAGGTCGCAGATCGATGTCATCTGGAATTATTGATCAAAAGAAAGAATTTGAAGTATAAAAGCTAATAATGCAAAAATCAACCGATAGTGAGGACCAGAGTAGAAAAGAACAGTATCATGGCGTTGGCGGCGATGACAATTAGGGAGTTCTACGAGGAAGTTATATATTATGCATTATGACGAAGAGTCAGAGAAACCGACAATGAACCATCGAACAAGGGACAGAGCGAGATGAAAGAGGTCTTCTTCTCATACAAACCAAGTGTTTGACCTATGTTCCTGGTTGACACCATTTTGTCAAAGCGACACCGATCAAATAATGAGCCACAATGAAGATGAAAGACCGGGTTACAATGGCAATCAAAGGCTAACTTAACAAACGAGTCTAGACCCTTTGACCGTGCATCAGGTTGATGCACGATGACCGACAGCACGGAAAGAAAGAAAAGAAGAAGAATATTTAGTAGGAGTTGGCAGGGACAGGATTCACGGGGAGAATCAGAATGTCTCGTTTCTGCCGACAGTCGAGAGGTCTGGGCCGTTTTTTTTTTTTTTTTTTTTCCCTCCCTCCCTTCGTCCCCGCCTGACCCCGCGAAAAAGTGACCCCAACTCCTTCTCTCATCCCGACGTTAATCTAGTTCTTGCCATTATGCCTTTATACCCAAGCCATTCCTATTAGTATTGTTATTGTTACTGCCATTGATCTTGATACCCATCACTGTTCCCAGCCTCCTGGAGTGTGAACGTACTAAACAATTACCGTCCTTCTTTTCGGCTGTCATCGGTCGAACTGACAATCCCGTCTTTCATCGCTGCCGCGTCAGTGTTCTTAACCCATCCTGTTCCTGACCCTGATATACTACGGCCTCTATCATCGGGTTCAAACCATACAGCCAAATCGAATCCGAACAGACTCATCAATCGTTACCGTGTCCTCCAGCTTGGACCTTTTACCCGACAGTTTCTGCTGCTTTTAGTGGTCCCCTTGTTTCCCCTTTTCTACATCTTCAGCGTCCTTTCGACCGTGGTCTCATCCGCTATCCACAGTCCGACTAATATCGCGGAGTGTTGGTTCGGACATCTTTTAACCAGAGTGCTCGGTCTCGGGTTTGCCGACTTTACTTCAGGATCAATCGCTCTGGCTACAGACGGTCTTGCGACGACAACATGTCGGTCAAGTATGTGATTGCACCCTTGCTCCCCGTCCAAATGATTTGATAGTAGCCTGCGCTATACGTGGTTTCCGCCGTGGACTTAATTATTACCTCTCTTCCTTCTCTTCTTGAAATCACCGGCCCACCCTTACCTCTACAGATGTCCACAAATGTGTCATGTTGGATTGAATCTAATATCTCGCACAGCTGGGTGATGCTTAATGATCGGGAAGGCTTTGTTCGCCTTCCTAATGAGCAATCGATCTACACATCTCCTCCCCGTACTTCCTTTTCCCTACAGCCGCTTGGTTCCTACAAAGGCAAGGAGACATTAAACATCCAAAGCAGCGCCGGCCATATCTCCGTCACAAACCAGCGGGTAATCATACCGCCCTCTCTGATCTTCTTGACGCCGGCTGACAGTGTATTCCCAGGTCGTCTACATTCCATCGCAGAAATCAAAGGAGTTTCAATCATTTTCCGTTCCCCTGCTCAATGTGCACGACACGCATGTTTCGGCTCCATTCTTCGGCCCAAACCAGTGGATGGCCCTTGTCCAACCCGTCCCGGGCGGAGGTATCCCGCCAGCATTGCCTGCAGTGCAGCTCAAAGTAACCTTCAAAGAAGGAGGGGCATTTGACTTCCATAACCACTTCGAACGGATTAAGGAGCGCCTCCAGCAGGCTGTCGACGTGTCCCAGGAAGGCAGCCGGGGGGCTAGGAACGTTGACATGTCTGCCGTCCACCTGGACGAGTTACCCGCCTACACTGGGCCGTCACAGGGCCCGACCACATCTGGGTTGGGTAGTAACCCAAGTGATCCGTCGCCAAGTTCACAGTCGCCGACAGCTGATCGAGCCGCCGCCTCAGGCCCCGAACCTATGGAACCGCCTCCGGGGTATGAGGAAGTCCAGCAACAGAGCGTAGCACACGAGTTCGAAGAAAGACTACGCCGAGGGAGCTAGCGGACAAGGAAATGTGATTTGGGAATTCACGTTGCTTCTTTCTAGCACGATTCATCCACTGTTCCCTTCGAGAGAGCCTGTATACCGAGAGGGGGTGTATTGCTGTACAGTACAATGAATAAGCGAATAATCCGAGACCAAGCCATAGTTTGTACTCAGCGTAAACCTATAACTAGTTAGTTACATGCGTAGGTCAGTAAGTAAGTAGAAAGGAGGCCAGAGTGATTGGGCGATCCCCTGCCGAAGCGTCAGCCAATCACGTGTGCGACAATAACACATTCGCCGGGGCGTTCCGATTTTCCTGGTCCCGGCAGCTTTCGTAAAACCAACCCCAAAACCTCATCAATCCTCGCTCCGTCGCTGCCACCTGCACCACTTCCCCCCCACCACTATCTTGGATCCCAGACCCTCCAGTCTCCTCAATTGATCCCTCCTCACGCTTCAGGATGGGTCTCACCGATTTTTTCTCCGACATGATCTCCTCCCTGAGCTTCCCCGAGGCTCAGGCTGAGGCTCCCGCCGAGACCGCCGAGGAGACCCCCAGCCAGGAGACCCAGCCCGAAGAGAAGTCGGCCGCCAGCGAGGAATCGACCGCCGACGAGAGCTCCGAGAAGACCGAGGACTCGGCCGAGGAGACCCCCGCTGAGGAGGCCTCCGAGGAGGAGCCCGAGAAGGAGGAAGAGGAAGAGGCCGAGGAGGAAGAAGAGGAGGAAGAGGAAGAAGAAGAGGAACCCGAGGACATCAAGCCCCAGCTCGAGGAGGGTGAGTCGCTGAAAATACGCTTTGACTTTGACCGCCCCGTTTTCATTGGGATTTTTCCCGCCGTGGTCGGGATTTACGCGACAATGGCTTCGAAGCAGCGGATGGGCAATTGGCCTGTCGGTCAGCCGACGCTGGGCTGATTCGGCACCGTCCCATCAATGCCATTGTCGCAAGACCCGCCAAATGATGCATTGCTCTTTACCATGATCTGCACAGATTGGAAGCTGACTTTTGTCATCTGATAGAGTGTGCCAACTCCTCCCAGTGTGCCCCGGCCAAGCACCACTTCGACGAGTGCGTTGAGCGTGTCACCCAGCAGCAGGAAGATGAGGACTACAAGGGCCCCAAGGAGGACTGCGTTGAGGAGTGTAAGTGAATCCCGTTAGCCCAGCGCTGTCGTGCTGGGTAATCGATGCGGTATCTGCTCTCTGTGGGCGATGTTCGGGGCTCGCAAAGCAGTCTGCATCGTGCCAGAACACCCATCACTGACACGAAATTTTCTCTTGTAGTCTTCCACCTCGCCCACTGTGCCACCGAGTGCGCCGCCCCCAAGCTCTGGAAGTCCCTCAAATAAATGTGTCGCTCCCGTGACGATTCCTGCCACGTTTCTCTTAATGGTTCAATGACAAAACGGGTTTAACGAACGGCGCGTGTCACGTATTGACCATCTGGATGCGATACGAAAGAGGAGCAGTGGACGGGGATTCACATCCAAGCGCAATGGCTGCGAGGTCCTCTGGCGGTCGCCTCTGCCTTGGACGGATTCCGACACGGAAAAGGAACGGAATTCCTCTTTCGGTGTTGGATTTGTGTGTTTGTTTGTTTTATAAAACATGTGAAGGAAGGGGGAAATGGATCCTTCGCCGTGTATGTACAGATAGCTGGTTTTTCTGCCTGTTGGAACTGTGCTTCTTAATTTTCTTTGTGTTTAGAACGAAATGTTACTGCTCTCCTAGATTCGGTGCTTCTCACTATCGGCCGATGAGCGTCAAGACACCACCTTAAACTAACACGATACTTATGAATGGCTAACATGATACGGAGTACATGACACTTAATTGACTAGAAGCAGGGTTCTCGACAGCAGCAAACGTCAACGAACAAAAACAAAACTAAAAGGGTATTGGCATATCTCATCGCAAGCAACTCCAACGTCCCCAGCCACCGACCTCATCTCGACCAAAACTTGAGATCGAACCTGGACCTTGCAGGGGATGCACCGTCCTCGCCGCTTTGCATCTGCTGCACATCAACCCGACCGTCTTCGACGGCGTCCAAATCGACTCCCCGGTCGAGATCCAGCCGTCGGCGCCGCACGTCACGCCCAAACAGCCCAATGCAGATGGGAAATGGCACCGCGACCGCCGCAATGACGGCCGAGAAGATCAGGGCGCGCTGCATATTCCCGGGCGGGGAGGCCCGGTCGCCGGCCTTCAGCGCGTCCTGGATGAGAATGAAGATGGCGCCCAGCAGCTGCCCGCCCGTCCAGCAGGTCGTGCTGCCGATCTCCGGCGAAAACGGATACGTGATCTCGACGAGGTACTCCAGCACGACGGGAAGGAGGCCGAACGAGGCGGCACCCAGGATGGCCAGCACGACGTACGAGGGCGCTATGCCGGCAGGGCTGTCCGGCGCGAAGATCAGCGCGATATAGCAGATGGCCACGATGGGCACCAGCACCCGGATGGTGCCCAGGTAGTGCTTGAAGCGATCGGTGATGGGCGAGATGATGGCGGAGCTGATCAGGCCGACGACGATGAGGATGCCGCCGGCGATGCCCGCCTCCGTCTCGCTGAAGTCATACGGGGAGAGGATCTGGTTGAGCAGCGAGGAAACGCTGTTGAAGAAGCCGACGTAGACGGAGAAGGGGATCAGGATGAGCCAGAACTCCAGCGTGCGCAGCAGCTGACCGAGGGCTGGCAGGAGAGGCGCCTGGACGGTGGCGGCGGACGAGGCGCTCGGGGGCGTGGGGGGGTTTGCAGGGAGGAAGAAAGAAGGCAGGGAAGCGATCGTGGCCTGGGTTGTGGCGGGTCAGCCTCTCAAAAATGTTCACGGCGACGAATGGGGGAGACCTCACGATGACGGAGATGTAGAGAACCATGTCTGGGATCTCGCTCGCTTCTTCGGCCCAGAATGAATCGATCAGCTGGCCCAGTGCTGCGCCCAACGGATTGGCCAGTGTTGCCAGAGCGGTTGCGCTGGTTCGTCCGCGATCTGAAAACCACAGATCACTATATCGAGTCGGAGCACTCAGACAGAAGGGCTGTGCGAATCCGATAAGGATCTGGCCGAACATGGCGACGCCAAAGATGCCCCCGCGGGCGCGAGTGCCGGCATATCGAATCCAATTACCCACCAGCAAGAGAGCCGACGTGGTGATGATGGCGGGTTTAGGGCCTCCTTTGTTGAGAGTGAGGATCGCGACACTGGGAATGGGTGAACCAGAGTTAAGTCTGGATATCCATTGGACGGCATCGCCCAAGGGGAGACTCACGGACTGGCGACACAAAAGGCGAAGAGATAGCCGGTACTCATCCAATTGATGGCACTCTCCGATACCCCAAAATGCTCCGACGCCGTGGTCGAGATGGAGGAAAAGGTCAACCACTGTACAGGTTTATGTCAGTTGACGCAGGATGGATCGTTCAAGATACGTACATCCCAGCTCACGACGATATTCAGCAAGACCAACTGCACCAGACCCCAGAACCGGCGCTTGTAGACCCTATAGCCACGGCCAGCGGGGGGCAGTTCCACCGGGGGCTCTTGGGCGGTGGATTTGGAGGTCATTCTGGCGTTCGCAGCATCGTCGACCAGAAAAAAGAGGGGAACGCAAAAGAGGGGGCAGCGCGTTAATTATTTTATATTAAATGATCACCAGGCCTAAAGAACGGGAGGGAGGGATGAACCAGTGGTCTCTGCTACCCCGGAAATTGAGGAGTTCCAAGCGGCCATCCGAGGTTTCTCCCCGGTCGACGTTTCATTCGTTGCAACCCCATTATTGAGACGGTTGAGACTCCGTGGAATGTGAAACTGGGCGATTTGGAATTCCCGACCGACTTGACAAGCTGACATGTCTGGAGCCGGTCTGTCACTGGAGAATTGAGACGTCGAGAATGCCCGATCACTAGGATTCTGAGGGGGAATTGACTCCTCCGATCTGCATCTGCCCTTCCGGTCCATGAAATGTGAGATATAATCCATCGCACGGTAGTTAATCAGAATCTGCCCGAGTACGATCGCTCACACGAACCGGTTCGTGTGCAAAATTCTCCTAAAGCCGGTGGTTGGGATGCGATCAACATCAACCTCGTCGTCATACCTGCAGTTCAGCCAGACACCGGCCTCCACTTGAGTGGACGATCCTCGGGGGTGAAACCTGCTGGGAGACCGAGAGCGAAGGGGAAAGACATGGCGAGTATCCGTAGTTCTGTAAAAAGCCCAAGGAAAAGCCAAGCCAAACAGCGACAAGAGGAAGGGCAGGACGAGGGCCGGAAGGTGGATGCATCAACCTGCAGTTCGACGGTCGGCTCAGCCCTCGCAGATCCCCGTGATCTCCTTTCTGCTCGTCTTTCTTACTTTTCCTTCTTTCTTTCTCTCTCCCTCTCCCTCCCTCTTCCTCTACACACCCCGACCTCTCTCCCTATCCTGTTTCTATTTATTCCCTTTGCCTCTCCCGGTGATCGAACTCGGGTCACTCTTTTCTCTAGATCAGTGTTCGATCTCCCTCTTCTACCCCGTACTGCGTCCCGTAAACATTCTCGCCCCCCCCAGCATGGACGCTGCCTGGTGATTCTCGTCGCCGTTCGCATGAATTGGGGTGGATTCGATTGAACTTCCACTCGATCCCCATCCTGACTCCGTTCTCGCATTCTCTCCGTCGCAATGAACCGTCTCGAGCTCCGATCAAGCCAGTCGTCGTATGGCGACCCAAGGCACTACTCCGCCAATTCCTTTGGCGCTCCGCAGCCGCCCCCAACCAAGACCCTCGTGGACGGCTATCGAGGCGACTTCGACACTCAAAATGCAGACACTTCCAGGTTTAACCCGGTATGCCTACTCTTGTCTCAATGCTACGCTCCGATGTTCTTCCGCAATGGGTCACTAACATCCAGGTCCCGGAACAGCTTAACCCGGCGCATCCCCAGAGCTCCGCACTCCTGAACACCAATGACCCCGTCGCCATGTATCTATTAACGGAGACCGCCATGGGGGACAGCAAAAACTATGAGATCTTGTCGTTGGAGGAGGTGGAAGGATTGAAGAAAGAATACAAGTTCTTGTCGGGTCGCCTGGATGCGGCCAAACGCAAACTGGCCCTGGAAACGAAACTCCGCGATGCGGCGATGTCTCTCAGTAGACTGTACAACTCCAAGAGTCCTCGAGTCAGCGACGAGTATGAATCTGGAGGCTCCCCCAAGTCCAACCGCAGTCGCAAAAGTGTCTTTGGGCGCAGTGGCGGTTCGGGACCGCTGGACAAATCGGACGGGGAGCTTGCTGTGAGTGCGCGCAAGTGCGAGGACCTCTCGCAGGAAATCTGGAATTTGGAGCGGAGAGTGCAACAGATCCAGAAGCGACTGCTGGAGCACACGGCTGGCATCTTGCAGATGACCCATAAGGGCTTGAAGAAGAACAACAACAACAATATCCCACACACCCCGGAAAGCCTCTCGAGCCACAACACTCGCGATAGTGTGGACGATTTTGACGACAGAAGTTTGTATAAGCCATCCGACCATGCTCAGGAAGTAAATGGGCAAGGTACACGTGCAATGGGACCTGCCAACGGTTCGGACCAGATGCCCATGGGTCTGGATGCGCTGCACAACATGGAAAGACGACTGGAGGAGCTGAGTGAGCGGATGCGCGGCATGATTCTGGAATCCAACCCTAACAGTGACTTCCACTCGATCCCACCGCCATCAAACAATGGTGGCCCAGTCAATCCGACAGCAATGGTCGAAGCACATCTTGCTTACATTGATGACGGACTTGGTGCGCTCGCTTCCCAGCCAGCCGGTGTATCTTCTTCTAGAGACGGAGATTACGAGACAGAACAGAACTTGAGTGAAATTAATGCCCAGCTGCACTACATTGTAGGCCAGTCTGGGTTGTCTCGGGCGCAACCACTACCCCCGCCGCCCCAGTCATCCAGTGCAACTCTGCCGGAACAACTCTCATACCTGAACCTGGCCGTGGACAACATCCAACAGCGGATGGAAGGATTCCTGGAGCAAAAGAGTATTCTTACGACACAGATCCAGCAGCAGCGTGAGCTAAACTCCAAATCGGATGCGCAAAGAGACGCACACATCGCCGATTTGATCGAGCAGCTAGCCCATGTCAAGAAAGATCTCGAATTGGCGGAACGCGATGGCGAGCAATCGAGGGATCAGCTGAACTTTACCATGGAGCAACTGGAGGCGGCGCGTGAGCAGCAGCCAGAGCAACAAATGCGGAGCATCCCCGAGGATCACTCCGCCGCCCTCACATCCGAGAAAGAATCGCGTGCCCAAGCCGAGGCCGAAATCTCCCGCTTGCAGAACGTCCTGCGTGAGCTTGAGCGCGAGAAGGAAACCCTGGCAGATTCTAACAAGGCCGGCGCGGACGCAGAGGCCGAAATCTTGCGCCTTCAGGGGTTCATTCAGCAGTTGCAACATGAGAAGGAAGCTCTGGCGGACTCACACGAAGCCCGGAGCCACGCAGAGGCTGAGATTACACGCCTTCAGGGGGTTATCCAGCAGTTGCAACATGAGAAGGAAGCTCTGACGGACTCACGCGAAGCCCAGGGGCACGCGGAAGCTGAAATTGTACGCCTCCAGGGTATCATCCAGGAGCTGCAGCGTGAGAAGGATGCGCAAGCAGATGCCCACGAGGCCCGTCTTCGTGCTGAGGCCGAGATAACACGCCTGCAGAGCGTCACGCAAGAGCTCCAACACGAAAAGGAAGCTCAGGAGGAGGCTCAAGAAGCTCGTCTCCGCTCAGAGGCCGAGATCGCACGCCTGCAGGGTGCCATGCAGGATCTTCAGCAGGAAAGAGAGGCCCAGGCCGATTCTCACGAAGCGCGTCTCCGCGCTGAGGCCGAGGTCACTCGCCTGGAAGCCCACCTTCAACAACTGCAAACCGGGTCCAACACGCACGCAGAGGAGCTGAGTACGGTGCGGTCACAGTCGGATGCCGAAACGGCGCGTCTGCAGGGAATGATTGATCAGCTTCATCGGGAGGCCGACGCCAAGGCAGAGGAAGCGACGGAAGCACGCGAACGCGCCGAACAGCGGATCTCCCAGTTGGAGGACATGATGCAGCAGATTCGCAGCGAAGCCGACGCTCGTATTGAAGAGGCCACACACAAGCGCGCACAGGCCGAGAACGAAATCGACCGGCTGGAAGCGTCCATGAATCAACTTCGCGCCGACATCGAATCGCAGCTGCGGGAGGCAACCGAGGGTCGTACTCATGCCGAGGAGACTGCCCAGCGCCTTCAGGGTGAGCTGACTGAGCTGGAAGGTGAAGTTGTCAGAGTCCAGACGGAGCTGACAATGGCCAAAGCCGAGCTCGATGGCGCCTATGGCTCTCGCTCTCAACGTGCGGCTGCCAACCCTGGTATCCAGAAAGAGCTCGATGAGCTACATATGAAAAACTTTGAACTGGCCCAGGAACTCGCAGGTCTGAAGGCCGGCAAGCCTGGCCACAACGGCAACCTGCAACATCGCGCAGAGACGCTGGAGAAGGAACTCCGAGAAACCATTGATGACTACGAGACTATGACCAAGGCCAGCATTGAGTTCGAAAAGGAGCGCGAGCGATTTGAAGGTCACATTGACAGCCTCCGTGATCGCTGCGAGCAGCTGGAAACGCAGCTCAACGAGGAGCGCATTACCTGGATGGGCATCCACAACCCCTCCATGGGACGCGATGGCACCTATGAGACTACGTCGACTATGGTGTTGAAGAACGAGTTTAAGAAAATGATGCGGGACACTCGGGTCGAGAACATGAAGATCCTGAAGGTAAAGTTATCCCAAGCCCTTGGGGTCCGAACCCATTGATGCTAATGCGGACAAACAGGCGGAACAAGAAGAGCGTCGCAGACTCGAGACTTTGGTCCGAAATCTGAAAAAGGAGCAAGCAAATGCCAATGACAAACCTGGCGTTGACCAGAGTGTCACCGCTTTATGATCATGATAGAAGACGCGTTTTGGATTTTTGATTGATATTTCTTTTTTCACAAGCCTCCTTTCCCATCCCATCGCCCTATCTTTGGCTGATGTCGATTGATATCCCCCTGTTATCTACTACTATTCCCCGTATATACTAATGTTTTTCTCTTCTTCCTTTGCAGCCCTTCCGGTCTATTTTCTTTGGGCGAATCATTTCTTCCTCTCGGTCCTACTATCTGACTGTCCACATAGACAATTTTGGGGAGTCATGTATTATACATAATCTACTTCTTTGCCCACGGGCGTTTCATAGCTTTGAGTGAATCTTTCGTGTTCATATTCCGTTGGTCTTGTTGGTTTCTGTCGGATTCACAGAGCGCCTTCTCTCATCTGCTCGAGAACAAATTGGAAAGCACGATGGAGGGCCATGCTCCCTTCATCGCATGGATACCATCGCAATCCCGGCATTATCTCAAGCCATCTGAGGCCACCCTCGCACAAATTTCTATATATTATGTACCTCAGTCTTTCTAATGTGGGATTAACAACTCTCACGCGTTGTCTCAGCATGGCAAGCCAATGCCAACCTCATTCCAAACGAAAGGCCTTCTCAACGGCACGGTCGACATTCGAAGACTCTTCACAATGCGTAAAAGAAGAATTATCAGAATCAAGCAATGATAGCTCTATCTATAATGCTGTTCGAGCAAGCTCCGCCAACGATGCCAATCCGAGTTCAATGGACGAGCCGAACATGCTGGACAGTAGGATGGCAGCGAATATCGCCATGCTCCTTCCTCTCACACCCGAGCAGACTGCCCATAACCCCCCGTTGCAAAGGCAAGACTGCTGTCAAGACCAGGACGCCAATTCTTGCCGATGTCAGTCGCATTTGCTCTCCGACAGCTTTTTTACTCCGGAGTCGCCCTCGTCCAAACAGACCCTAGTTGATCGGTTGCGACAGCGCGAAGTGAGCAGTCTTAATGATATGTGTCGGCGACCGACGACTTCAAAATGGTCGAAAGACATTTCCTCGCCCGCAAAGCCGGTCTTACCAAGATATCCTCCACCGGTGAGGTCCCCAACACCTCCTGGTCTTCCATCGTTCGGCACCCAGGAAGCGATCAGCTACTCCACCCAGTTCCCTGTACAGTCCTTCACAAATGATAGACAGCCTCAGCTGCATGACCGGCTCGGCTTTAATAGTAATTCTCGTCGCCGTACTGTGCAGGCTGCGGGTGCTCCATCTTACGGGGAGCGATGGCGGAGACGCCTTGGTTTTGCATCCACCCCTCCGTCCGCCGGTTCAAATCAACAAGTATGCGCCGTTTCAAGAGCGGCAGATGGTACTGCTGTCTTGGGTCGGTTTCCACACAGACAGAGTGGACATGGCATGAATGCTGCAAGGCGGTTGGATGAGCACCCTTTTCATCGAAGAACGCTCACAATGGCTCAGTGCGACGGCGTCAACGCAGAAGACAGCATGATTCATGAGGATGCACGCTCAAATGTAGGCCTTGGAAATTTGAAAAGAGAAACACATATCGCCCTGGGAGCAGATTCAAGTACTGGGAGTCAAGAGGTTCAAAATGCACTGCCGCCACTACCCAATCCAGCAGTCCTTCGTCTGCCACGAAGACCGATATCCATGAATACTTTCAGTAATATCTCCAGAAATACATCGTACCAGAGTTGTGAAGGCCAGCCGCACACAGCTGAAGCGTCTGGAGAAGCGCTCACAACAGGCCTGCAGATCCGCAGCAGAAATAGTGACTCTGCTGGATGCCTTCTCGCTTCAACACAAACGTCCATGCTGAGTAGCGTACAGCAATTGGATGTTGGAAGCGAGGACAAGCCCGTGACTTGGTTACAGCAAGTGAAGACGAGTGCCTTTTGTTTTTCGTGCTGCTTACGAACGGGCAACGAGTCGGACATTGTCACGGATTCTAATACCTGCTCCCATGACACCTATACTACAGCTCGAAGCCAGATTCTAGACGAGAGTACGGCAGAGCAACCACAACATCGATTTGACGTGAGCAAGCAATCCCAACAGTTCATGCGACGGTGCACAGATACATGGAAATCGCTCTGTGGCCTGGCTTCTCGCAACTTCCTCGTCACGGAACCTATGCTTGGCTAGATTGGTCTTCCGGGAGATAGGTAGTCGAAACTTCTTGTACCCATGCATGGTGGCATTGATGGCTCTTGTTCTTCGCTGCCCGAGACCGTTCTTACGCTGATGACAACCCAGTTAGTCTATACCGGTGACATTATTGTTAGAAATATTTGCTACCACACTACAGCTCGCTCCCCACGTTGTTTTTCCATTTCTTTTCTTTGCTCCTTTTTCTTTCTACCTCCGGAATCACTATCACTCCCGGCAGTGAGCGGAGTGGACGAAAGGGATTCGAAACTAGTAATATTTGTCTATATTGGCGAGGACCTGAAACCAGTGAACTCCATTGCTCTTGATGCCACCGTCGCTGGGAAGTAATTCAGAAGAAAAATATAGACCTTATGAATCGCAAAGATCCAGTCCAACACAGATCTGCAAAATATGACTTTTCTGGGTGGGATGGATTTCCATAACTCCTATAAAATGACCATGACCCCAAGTATGACGGCAAGAAGCCGGGCAAAATAGACTAACGAGCCCGAGATAGTAGAAGCGAAAGAGAGAGGGGATGAGAACGAGAGCAAATGGGATGTATTGAATGACCGGCTCAGAAAAGACAAGCGAGAGAGTAGTGGGTGGATGCAACTCGACGGAAAGGGAGGGAAGATATAACCAGGTGTTTGATCGACACCATGCATTTGCACATGAGAAAGATTCCAAATACAGATCGGAGACAGACAGGAGAAAGACACAGGCCGAGAAATAGAGTCTAGCAAGGGAATAAACCAAATCCAGGGAATCAATTCATAAACTGCTGAAAAAATGGCACGCTTCGTTAAGTTCGGGATCGTCCCCTACAAAGTCCCACCCCACGATTCGAGGGTCGTGGCTGGAGCAAATGATCTTTCGGCAGTCGAACTGGAGTTTGTAGACGCGAGAGGTGGGCACGGCTCGCATAGGTCGAGCAGGATGGCCGTTGTTGAGAGGCAGGAAGGGCGGGGCGAATGGGTTAAGATGAGGCCCGTGGGCTGCCGGGTTCTGCATCGGTGGTGGATGAGGCGGGCCTCCCTCTTGGGGAGCGAGAGGATGGCCTCGCGGGTGACGGATTCGGGGCGTCGAGCTCGCGTTCATCGAGGAGGCTTCTTGGGCGCAATCAGCCTGTTTGAGTTCCAGGCCCACAACCCATTTCCCTTGACGGTCTTTCTTCCAGATGACGACGGTTTCGTCGTAGGAGCCCGAGACGATGCGCGCCCACCGACTTCCACCTCCGCCCGGGGGGATTCGAGCTCCCAGGGCCTTGATGTCCCGAGGGTCTCGCGATCCGGCGGTATTCTGGAGGTAGCCTGACCGTCGCAAAGCGCTGGGACCGAGTCCGACGCTCGTGCCGGTGCGCTGAGCATCCCAGAATTCGTTGTCGACGGCCAACGCCTCGAGTCTCATGGTTTCTTCGGCGCCTGGGGGATCGCCGAACCCGGCCTGAACGGTGCGGACGAGATTACGGTGACCTCGGAGACAGGCGACTTCTGCGCCAGAGATGTGGTCGAAGATGCGGACGGTGTTATCGTTGCTCCCGCTAATGATGCGGCGGCTGTCGGACTGGACGCAAGCAATGCCCTTCTCGTGGCTGATGACGGTCTTTTCGCAGGCGCCGGTGCGGAGGTTCCAGATCTTAATCAGTCGGTCACCCGAGGCGGACACGATTTCATCCTCGTGGATCTGGATGGCATTGACAGCGGCGCCATGGCCTTCCAGTGACATGAGAAGGGTGTAGGGTGCCAGAGTCAGATTATGGTTCCGAGCAATCTCCGCCTCGAGGACGGGGGATGACATATCTGCGGTGTCGATGATATATGAGGGATAGTTAACTCCAGCGCCATGGTGGATTCTTGGGTATTCTTGATCGGCCGGCGTCAGCTGGTGTCGGCTCCAGACTTTGATCAGATTGTCCTTGGAGCAGGTGACCAGATACCGCGAGTCGTACCGCAGATTTAGAACGGAGTCATCGTGAGCGTTGACAATCTGATGGATCTTCTCGCCTGTCGAAAATCGCCAAATGATAACACTCTTGTCGCTACTCCCGGAGATGATGATGTCCTCGGACGGACGAGGGTCGAACTGCAAACACAGCACTGATTTCGTGTGGCCCACTAGGGGAGGATGACATAGCCTTTTGGTATCTAGGTTCCATACCCGCACGGTTCTATCTCGACTTCCGCTGACCAGCCATTTGCCCCAGAACTGAATCGAATACACACACTCCTGGTGGCATTCATCCATGTGAGACGGGTGTGGAAGCTGGAATGTACTGTAACAGCCTTTGTTCCATCGCTCTTCCAACCGACGGCGTTGCGCGTACAGGTGAATCCAGTTGAGCTTCACGGACCCGTTAGGCATCCTGAAGAAGAGAGAGGAAGTTGGGGAAATCCTGGCGGACACGGGAATCTGACCGGCCGAGGCAGACCCGTGGCTACTACCACAGCCTACCAACGTTTGCCTCCCGGAATCCGACCTGCTCCGCTGGTTTGAGGCATCGCTCATGAGATGATCCCCTTCGGGGTCGGCGTCCACGGGAGCCTGCTGTCCATTTGTCGGCGTAATTTCGTGGGCATCCTCCAAAGATCCGTGTTCCCGAGAGTCCAGCCAGCTTGGTGGCACCCGCTTTTTTTGCTTCGGTTCTCCTAGATCGGCGTCCGCATATCTTGATCGAGATTTACGACTCTGTGGGGACAGCAGCCCGGAATGCTCCTCTTCAAACCGGCGCACGGCGTCGACGTCAACACGCCAGCCTTCTTGGATGTAGAGGTATCGCCATAGGCGCGAGTCAGAGATGCGATTACGCCAGGCGCGAGATGCCAACGAAGCGGTCGCTAGCGTTTGCGGGTCTAGGTAGGAGAATATCTCGGAGGTGATTTCGGGCGGGAGCTTGAGAACGGGGTCCATGTGTAGTAGAGGCGCGAGTCGGTCAACCACAGCGGCTACGGTAGAGGTACTTAGAGATCGTAGCAAGCTATAGGCAAAGTCTAGATAAGAGAGAAAGCAAGAAAGGAGGGGAAATGTCAGCACCTAGTCCGAAGTGGGACGCAATGAATCCACGGGAACAGGGCACACGCGAGTCTGCGCCAGCAGGAGCAACTCACCAGCTCTCTCCGCCTCCCTCGTAGCTAGGAGCCATTCCGGGAGATTCATCACATCGTTCGTGGGCGATCTGAGAAGGAAGTCCTTGTCCGCTTGACTCCCGGTCTCATCGGAGTAGCCCTCGTCGAGCTTGAAGGGCGTGGGCAATGAGGAGGTCGCGAGGGACGAGTCGTTGGCGGCGTGGAGCCGAAGGAGACGAGGGATGGTGGATTCGGGCGCGGGAGTCTCCCTCGCCATGAGTCTGGAGGGGTTGAAATAGGCGGAGTTTCAAGGAGGATAGAGAGAAAAGAAGCAAGACGCTCTGTCGTTTCTGCGCGACCTGCTTGGGCTAAGGCGGCCGAAAGCGAGAGCAATGACGAGGGGAGGTTTCTAGTTACTCGATCACCGATCACCGATCACCCAACAGAGAAGCCGACGGCGAAGGAAGAGGGCGGGGGACGCCCAGCCCTGGTAGAGTTGAGGGCGAGATAAGAGGATGACTAGTCCAGTGGCCACATGGGACGAGGGAAGAAACGAAAACAAGAAGAGAGTCGGACTGTCATTCATTCATCGATGGACGTCAGTCGCGCTTGCTGCTTCGGGTCCTGCCGCGGAGCCGCTTTGGCGCCGGCTAAAGCGGCCTTCCGTTGGGGTTGATTTGTATACTTCCAGTCTACACCATCTAGATGGAGGCACCTTTCTACGCAGATGCAGCAATTGGAATCCAGCAAGGCCATGTTCATTCACGGTGGTATCGATAATGATAAGCAAGAAACAAACAAACAAACAAACAAACAAACAAACAAACAAACAAACAAACAAACAAACAAACAAAACATCATTCGTGCTGGTTTTTGAGCTGAGGCCTGGGGATTTATTGGTCTCCATCTCCTCCATCTCCTCCGTCTCCTCCATCTCCTCCCTGACCTCTGAGCAAGGCAATATAATTTGCCACATTCACAGACTGGTTGATTGGACCAAACCAAGTCGCTGCGGGTGCCAATAGCGGTGCTGTTCGCATCCAACCGGGCTTGTATCTCATGGGTATTGGGTACCGCGCCCCGTCGACTATTGATTGGGCGCCGAATCTCGTCTGCCAGAGAACAGGATCCTGAACAGTTTTCGCCAGATATATGATCAAATTGCAGCACCGATTGAATCCCTCATCACAAGTTTCTCCGGAAGCTGGAGTGTACAGTCTGGGGGGTATCTCGCAACTCAATGGGGGCACCCGACGGCCCAATTCGGCGAAGACTTTGGTCTGTGCTACTGCATTCAGCCGATCCCTCAAGTCAGAAGGGGAATAAAAGTAGGTGCCTTTGATTTGCTGGAGCATTATTTCCAGAAAATATGCAATGTGCATATACGTTGTCGTCTGATTAAGTTGCAGCAGTCCGGGGTCAAAGGCCCAAACATCGTAAGGACCCCGATCATATAGCTGTGTTACAAGTTGAATGGTCTCCCTGTTGCTGAGATAAAGCGAAAGAAGTATGTACTTAAGGTACCTGGTATTCAGCCACGTAAGCTCCGCAGGAAAAAGCGTGAAGAAGATCCTCAGGCAGTCCAAGACCGGCCAAGAAATTGCAAAGTATCGCAGGTCGCGGCGGGTACCAAATCCCAGATAAGCGGCTAATTGAAGCTCTTCCGTCTCAGGGTCAGCGTCTATGGTTGACAAGAAGCTGGTCACGTCGGCTGGATTCCCGGGTAATGCATCCTGCAGCGGATCATGGGGGGGCTGGCAAACAAGTTAGAAAATGAGCGTGTGAATTTGGGCTTGATCTTTACCTGGGCCATCGCGGTATTCGCGGTCCCCCCGGTAGGATTTGCCTGCTTTTTTGCTGGCTGCTTTTTTGCTGGCTGCTTTTTTGCTGGCTGCTTTTGTGCTGGCTGGTTTGCTGTTTGACGAGGTTTCCTTTTCCTTAGTTTCATTGATCAGCCCGAGTTGAAGATTGAGGGTTGCAATTTGCAATCTCGCCCTCCAACAAAGCTCAAGGTCCGCGAGTCGAATTCGACTCGCGCCGGGGACAGAACGTCGGCCGAGATAGGGGGGGGGGGATCTTATGGATATAGTAAGTAGTATGGTCTGAATGAAAATGCTCCGATATTGAAGATGACATGGAAAGCAGAGTTCCAAGGAAGAAGAATGAATGAGCATCGTGAGAGGTCGACGTTGAAATGGACAGAGCCACCTCCTCGCCCGGAAGGTGCATCTGGACAGGTTTGGAGGGGTAGGTATTATCATTGCGCCTGCCTCGACGAGAATGATGGTCGAAAGAGGTCTTCATAGTTAGTACTAGGTAGGCTGTAATCAAGGGGCAAGTCAACGGCCAGATGGTGCAAAGGACCTGACAGTTGGATTCGTCCTCTACAGGGCCGATGTCTATCCGTGACTCGGATGCCTGGATGCCTGAATGCCTGACAGCCTGAGGTGTCCGGCGCACCAATGAGAGCGTCTTTCCTTTCATCAGCCTGGATTAGGTTCCTCTTTCATCTTCCCTGCCTCTAATCTCCAGGTCGCCCTGGTTCTTTCTTCTTTCTTCTTTCTTCGTCCATCCCTCGATCACTCGGCCTTCCCATCCTCCCATCCAGCCATGGCTACCCTGAGTTCCGACGTAGAGTCCTACATCCTACATCCTACATCCTACTCCGTAGTTACCCCCGGGACCAACCCCGTCGTCTCAGGAGGCGAGACTGACTAGCCCGAATCTCAAACGCTCACTGTATGAAGATTGGTTCTCTGATTCGTAGTGCCCAAGGAGGACTCCCAGCATCGGCAGGGGAAGCCTGACGGAATTGAATCTCCTTGCCCCTGCGGACCCATCGGCCGGGGATCCGACAGAAAGGTACTCCTCATCTCCTGACCCTACGGAGACCGTCATATCTCGATCTTGGTTCCTCCATCCATCTGCCATCTGCCTTTTGCCATTTGCCATTCGTTCGAATCCCTCCTTCGAAAGTTCTCGTCTCCCCTGGACGCTTGCCTGGCTGCAGCGGCCGAACCCCACATCCACATCCACATCCACATCCACCCTTTCTCGATCTCCCAATCCCCGGGGGCTGGTCACTTACCAGCAAGGGTCGGAGATTTTCTCTCAAAGGAACGCTGCAATATTGGGGGACTGCGCGTAAAAAAAGAAACAAACAGGAAAGAGAAAGGGAAAGGGAAAATTCATGGTCACTGGATTGTGACCTGCATATTTACATCCGCCCCGTTCGCTCTCTCCCCTGCTCTGGTCTTTTCTTTTTTTCAATTTTTTCTCTTTTTCTCTCTTTCTCTCTCTCTCTCTCTCTCTCTCTCTCTCTCTCTTCCTCACGGTCGTGTGGATTTATTGCCCCCTCATCCTGGAAGACTGGAAGAGTCGAGACACGGCAGAGACCAGCTGAGTCAAGGAGTTAACGTACCACTTATCTCCACTCCCTTTCTTAGCTGCTCGCTTGCGCCATTCATCCCGCATCGGTCCACCGGCTCGCATTCAGTGATCCATGCTCGACTTTATTCTTCCTCTTGTACAACCACGCCTGTCTGTCCTTTCCACCTCCCCGTCCTCTCGATCTGCTGCGCGGATTTGAGCCGATTCCGACCCTCCCCCTCCTCCCCGTCCTCCCCTCCTTCCGCCCTCCCCTGAGATCCCGCCGTTGGCTCGTCTCGCGGCCCCAGTCGACGGACTGTCGAAATGGCCGAGACCGTGGTTGTAAATGGCGGTCCCATCCCCGAGGACAACATCATCAACCGCCGCGGCGGTGAGTCGATCTACCAGAGCTGCGTCAACCTCAGAAAGCGCCTGACCGAGCTGCCCGAATTCGAGCCGCACCTGCGGGAGATGGACGATGCCGACGAAGCGCAAGCCAACACCGACCCCGTGGCCTCGCTATGGAACTGCCTGCGTGCTGGATACCCTCTCCTGACCATCTACAACGCCTCCAGCCCCGAGGAGTACCTGGAAGTCGACCCCGTCAAAACCGCCGAGGCCAAACGTCCCAAGGCCGCCACCTTCAAATTCCTGCAGGCCTCCCTCAAGGAACTGGCTTTCCCTCAACAGGACTGCTTCTTCATCACCGATCTCTATGGCGACAGCACCACCGGCTTCATCAAGGTCATCAAAATGGTCAACCGCGTCTTGGATATCTTGGAAATGCAGGGCCGACTGCAGCGACGAGCCGACGATCCCACCCATGCCCCCGAAAAGGGGGCGGTCAAACTGACTCGGCGCGAACATATCCTGAAGGAATTGCTGGAAACGGAGCGCGACTACGTCCACCATCTACAGAACCTGCAGGCGCTCAAGAAGGAACTGGAGGAAACGGGCGCTCTGACCGGCGATCTCAGCCATCAGATTTTCTTGAACCTGAACAACCTACTCGATTTTGCCCAGCGCTTTCTAATTCGCATCGAGCAGCATTATGCCTTGCCAGAGGAGAGGCAGAACTGGGGAGACGTGTTCATTCAGCACGAGGAGGCCTTTCGACAGTACGAGCCGTTTATCTCGAACCAGATGCGCTGCGACGAGGTTTGCCTGAGGGAATGGGACAAGATTCGGGTTGCCCCGCGCTCCCTGGATTTGCAGCAGATGGTGGCCCAACCCGCAACGTTGAACGGTTTCTTTGTCAAGCCTTTCCAACGACTCACAAAGTACCCTCTGATGCTTAGCGTGAGTCTCTTCTCCCTTCTACCCCGTCCGCTCCGGTGGAGACGGAAGCGCCAGGTATCAAATTTAGTCCCGAGGGCGCAGTATTAACGCTTCCTATAGGAACTTCGCAAACAGACGGAAAACCCAGATCTCCAAAACGATATCAGCCGGGCCATCGATGCGATTCAGACCGTCCTCGATTTCGCGAACGATGCAATTGACAAGGAACATCTCGCCTCGGCGTTTACGGAACTCGATGAGCGAGTTGATGATTGGAAATCGCTCAAGATAGATTCGTTCGGCGATCTGCTCCGATTTGGGACTTTCACGGTTTTGAAAGGCGACAATGGCAAGGATTCGGAAAGAGAGGTTTGTACCCTTTCAATCACCCATTGCTATGAAGACTTTTGGCCCGCAAACATCGTTTCCCCTGCACAATATGGCTTGCACATGCGACTTAACCTCGCCGACATGGACGGGTTTCCAAAATAAGACAGGCGTGCACTTTTCTCCTCGGAAAGGCCCCTTTCGAATTTCCTGGAAAGCACTGCTATACCCCCCTCCCCCACAGCCTTCAGAGGACCCTGATCAGTCAGAGATGCACCCTCCCGCTTCATTGGTCCTTTATTTGTTATGAAGCCCTGTCTCCATATCACTTCCGCAGCGGCGTGTGGTCTCACTCACGTACCGGATTCTCTCCTGCAGAGGATTGGATGCTTTGTCATGTCAAGGGCCCGGAAAAACCACCGCATGATCTTTTTTTTTTATTTATATATAAAAAAAGGAACTTTGATCGCTGACTTGCTCGGGGGAATGTTTCCCTGGTTTCTCGAGTCTAGTACCACATCTACCTTTTCGATCGCATCCTTCTCTGCTGCAAGGATATCAACCCGAACAAACAAAAGACCAAGCTTATTGTCAGCAAAGACAAGCCCGCCGCCACGGTGAAGGGAAAGCCACGTCTTCAGCTCAAAGGCCGCATTTACATGGCGAATGTGACCGATATCGTTTGTCTTCAAAAGCCCGGTATGAAAAGGACTTAGCTGCTTACCCAGCCTGGATTACAGTAGCTGACAGATACCTCCTGTAGGCTCTTATCGCATCCAAATTTTCTGGAAGGGTGACCCCGGCGTGGTGGACAACTTCATCATTCGCTATCAGAATGAAGATACCATGCGCAAATGGTACAAGGATATCGACAACCAACGCGCGATTCAAGCCGAGAACCGCAACACCCGAAGCACCGGCACGTCCGAAACGGAATTCACATATATGAAGGGCATGGCAAACATGCCAAACCCCTACCAGCAGGAATATGATGCCGAACAGGAAGCCACCAAGGAAGCCGGCTTCTTTTCCGAATTCCCCATGAGTCGAAATGCCTCCAGCACGAGCCTGAGAACCCGATCTGCCACGGGAGGAAGTGGGAGCTCAGGGCCGCCTCTCTCCTCGGGTCGTCCGCCACGCTTCCCAATGCCCGATCCTAACCTCTCGGTGCATACTCAGTTCCCCGGCGGAGGCATGTCCCCCGCAGAAAGAAACGCCCCCTCCTACTTCTCACCCGTCGCCGAGACGCCGTCCACGCGATCAAGTTCTCAATCAACCGGATTTTCTTACGGACGGCAGACGCCGTCGGCCAATTGGAACGAAGAGTCGAACCGATACACGGCCCCGGCCTTGTCTCGGGGTGCATCCAGGGATGGCTCGAATTCATACTTCAACAACGCCCCGAATGGACGAGGCGTGCAGCGTCCCTCCTTGCCGCCCATGTCAGGCCAAGCCTCGAACGGCATGGCGCAGCGCATGCGATCTGCCAGCAGTCCCGACATCCACAACCACAACCCCGAAATGCGCCGGTACATGGGCGCACACACGATGCAGACGGTCGACAACGTGCCGGTTCCGCCCATCCCGGCGCACATGGCCAGCATGAAGGCCCCCGTCAACCGAAGCCAGAACAACTCGCCCACCAACGGCAATCTTCCGATCCGAAACGCCAACCATCTTTCCAACACCCCTTCGCACCACGACTCGCGCCATATGCCCGCCACCCAGTTCAACGAACCCCAGTATTCGGAATCTCGAGCCAACCCGTCGACGTCGGATCAACCGACGTCGCCCTTGAGCCACGAGCCCGACGAGGACCCTCTCATGCCCACCCAGCTCAAGGCCAAGGTTAGTTTCGACGATAACTACGTGACTCTGGTGATCGCCAGCAACATCATGTTCCGCTCGCTCACGGACCGGGTGGACGCGAAGCTGGCGCGATTCACCAACCGGTCCATTGGAAACAAGTCGGTGCGCTTGCGCTACCGCGACGAGGACGGGGATTTCGTCACGATCGACAGCGACGAGGCGGTCCAACTGGCATTTATGGAATGGCGCGAGCAGCATCGAGACGCACTCTCCCGAGGCCAAGTTGGGGAAATCCAGCTGTATTGTCAGGCCGTGGAGAACTGAAGTATTAATGGGCACCATCGTCATCTAATTGTCATCTACGGGATATGTCCGTCTCTATTTCCTTTTTCTGATTTTTTCTTCTCATCTACATCCTCTTTTTTTCCTCTCTTCCCTCTTGGTTACGCTCTCTCCGCCATACGCAGAGACTGACCGGGCGAAGGGTTTCTCAAGGAAAGTCGCTGGCGTTGTCTCCAGGTGTTCGACAACTCATTTCCAACTGGATTGGCTTGAGACTGTTGGGGAATCATTGATCATAATCTCGTGAATAAACCGGAAAGGGGAACAACAAAAACAGGGATGGTACAGGGTTTTCATTTTTCTTTTCTCTTTCTTTTCTTGCGCTAGGAGCCGCTATTCAACCGAACTTCTCTTGCCATGGCCAGGGGACCGGCGACGACGATGGATGCGTCTGGAGTGTCATTTTTTGTCTTGTCTTGTTTGGGCTGCTGTTTTCCCCTACGTCCGAGGACCATGACTGCATGATGTATGTATACCGCTATTTCGATCGAGCCGACTCGATTGCGTTTCTATTTTTATTATCTTGAATCTTCGGTTCCCCCGAGAGGTCTGGAGTGAGGGAATTTTGGATTTTATTTTCATTATTTGTGTTGCATTTGCCCGGCTGGGAATTGGCCTGGTCGGAGTTTGGAAAGCCGGATTCGGGAGAGATTGCAAAGGACAGGGCATTCGATTATTTAGACTGCACGATGCGTGAATTACTGTCTCACTTTACGGAGTACTAGGATATACTCTTCTTCCACTGTTCTCTGTAGATGTCGCCATCGGATGGGATCCGAGAGCGGCGGCCCACTCGCAAGTGGATCGGGTCTGCCGAATGTCGCGGCCACCATTCTATTTATTCCCTTTCGTGAGCTTATTAGGGACCCGGGAATGAGGCTGGAGTGCCGACTTGCGAGGAAAAGGAGAGTTCTGACAGGTGAGATGAGGCATTTTCTCGCCCTCGCCTTGTCCGCCTCGGAAGATCAATCAGGGGCAGGGCGGACGGTGTTGACCGCTGTCATTGGCATGTCCTGGGGATGAACGATCCTGAGGGATTCTCATTGGAAAGTCGACGTTGGGGCAAGTTGGTTGGAGTTGGAGTCCGTCAGAATCAGGCCGACACTTGGTCTATCCTTCTCTCTCGCCTTCCGTCTTTCTTTCTTCCTCTCTCTCTCTCTCTCTCTCCCTCTCTCCCTTTTGTCTCTTACTATTTAACCCGCCTTGGGACGTCGTTCATGCTCAACTGCGCCCATCGTCTTTTCTCTTCCTCTCGCTCTACTTGATTTACTGAACTACACCTTCGTTGATTCTTTCGCCCATCATGTCCTTCTCCGGACGTCGTGTGAGCATCCTGCGTCCCTCCAACCGGCGGTTCTCTGCCGGCAAGGAATTGTCGGAGAATGGTACGTCTTTTCCTTAATCTTATAGAGTAGTCTCATCTTTTTTTTTTTTTTTCTTTCTTCCGAATGAATCGTATTTCCCGATTCCATGCTGTATCTATCTACCATCTATTGGATTTGTTCTTTTCTCCAAATTCATTGCTTCTCTGAAACTGCCAGCCTTGCACGATGGATTGGGCACAAACCAGGGTATCGTTGTGATGCCGGCAACCAAACAAAAAAAAAAAAAAAATCAACCTTCCAAGACACTAGGCATGCGCCATTGACGCAGCTAAACTAACGCTCTCTGACAGAACTCCGATCGGAAACCCATCGTCAATTCCGAACGGCCCACGAAGGTCACCGTCCGCATGCTGGTCTCGATGCCTCGCGAGCCTCGACCGGTGTGGTGTGGTGTACTGAACGTGCGACGGAGCATGGCTACGCCGAAGATCCCTCGTCCTGGGCCAACCTAGGTCAGGGTGCCCCCGAGGCCGACGACGAGATCGAGGGCAGTTTCCCCCGGCCCACCTCCATCCCCATCACCTCCGCTGCCCGTGAATACGGTCCCACGGCCGGTATCAAGCCCCTCCGTGCCGCTGTCGCCCGTCTATACAATGAGCACTATCGTCAAGGCAAGCCCAGCCAGTACACCTGGGAGAACGTGTGCATCGTCCCCGGTGGTCGCGCCGGTTTGATTCGGATTGCCGCCATCCTGGGCAACTCGTATCTTTCCTTCCCCATTCCCGACTACTCGGCTTACTCGGAGATGTTGACCCTGTTCAAGAACGTGAGTTTGTGCCGCCCACTTTCGGTATCTTTGATCTTCCCCCCCGGGCTAACGGTCGCCTTCCAGATCGCTCCTATCCCCATCCCCCTCGCTCAAGATGACCACTACCACATCCATCCCGACAAGATCGCCGAGGAAATCGCCCGTGGAACGTCCGTTCTGTTGACCTCCAACCCCCGAAACCCGACCGGTCACTTTGTTTCGCACGAGGAGCTGGCCCGGATTCAAGACATCTGCCGTGACCGCGCCACCCTGATTCTGGATGAATTCTACGGAGGATACAACTACACCACGGACTGTGACGGCACCACGATCAGTGGTGCTTCCAACGTGGTGGATGTCAACCAGGATGGTACGTTTGCAGTCCCCCTGTCTCCCTTTCTCACCGGCAAAACTTGCTAACTTGGGCGCGCAGACGTGCTTTTGATTGACGGTCTGACCAAGCGTTTCCGTCTTCCGGGCTGGCGTATCGCCTGGGTGGTTGGACCTAAGGAATTCGTTAATGCCCTGGGCTCGGCCGGATCCTACCTGGACGGCGGTGCCAACGCCCCCTTCCAGGAAGCGGCCATCCCTATGCTTGAACCCTCTCTGGTCCACGCCGAAATGAAGGCTCTGCAGCAGCATTTCCGCGAGAAGCGCGACTTCGTCCTGGGGCGTCTGCATGAGATCGGTTTCCGCGTTCAGGACGTGCCGCAGGCTACGTTCTATATCTGGCTGGATCTGACCTCGTTGGACCCTCCTCTTCCCGCGGAGGCCAACATCTCCGACGGATTGAACTTCTTCAATGCTCTCCTCACCGAGAAGGTCATCGTGGTGCCCGGAATCTTCTTCGATCTGAACCCGGCCAAGAGAAGAGATCTGTTCGACAGCCCCTGCCACCACTTCGTTCGCCTGAGTTACGGACCTAAGATGGATGTTCTGAAGATGGGTCTGGATGGCATCGAGCGCGTCATCCGTCGGGCTCGGGCCATGGGCAAGCAACAATGGGAGGATGAGGTGGCTGTCCAGGACGACTAAGGAGTGCATCGGAGGTAGAAAGAAGGGCTGGAGAAGTAATAGGAAGGATGTTTCGGAGTGTAGATTTATAGACCGCACAGGATGAAGCTGGACGACCGCCTGTGAATAATGCCGTTATGCCCTGAATACCGTCCCATCCAAGGAGTAGTCCATCATTCTGATTCATTCATGACCGAGTAGGTCGTCTAAGAATAGCCCAAATTAAAGGAGGCGAGACGGGGCCATCGAGGGCCCTGGGGTCACGTGCGCCCGGTCGGCGATCGCGCGGGCTCCTTTTCGGTTGCCGTCGCCCGCTTCCAACTCGCCCGCTGGCATCGTTCTCTCGCTTCTCTCTCTCTCTCTCTCTCTCTCGTGCTGGCATCGGCACAGGCTGCGACGCGCAGGATGGTGCGCTCGCGACTATGGCCTGGAATCTATATCGCGCCCTCAACTACACTGTTTTCACCGTCCTCTCGATCATCCTCTTCTGCCTGGTGGTCTTGACCCCGGCCGACGCCATCTACCAGTGCTTCGTCACCTCGCGACTCACCAACATCTTCATCATCACTGGCGGATACGTCGTGACCATCATCTTGGCCGCCTTGATCTATGCGACGCGCATCTATACCAACCGCACCGTTCTCTCCGGGATCCCCAAGGCATGGATTCCCATCGAAAAGGAGGATGTCGGCAAAAGCGTGCGGCGCCTGGTGATGGAGGGACTGGCCCGCAGCGCCATCGTGGCCTACCAGGCTCGACCCCGGGACATTGATGCCGACGGGGACCGATTTGCCGACTACCAGATGCTCGTGGTTGACCGCGACCACCCCCCGTGGGACCATGTCGAACACCCGGGCTGGTCGTCGCCGTCGTCGCCCGAGTTGCCCGATCTGCCCTATCGCACCGTCCTCCAGGAGTTGCCGAACCTGATCGAGGCCAAAGCGGTCTCCCTGGCGCCGCCGGACCCGTACCTCTCCTTCGAACCCGCCGCCGCCGACTTGGATCCTTCTCCGCCGGACACGCGCGTCGTCGAAATTCTGCGGCGACCGGCGTCCATGGGATTGCGCGAGTATCTCCAGCACCTGGCCGAGTTCGGCATGATCCAGCCACCCGAGACCGGCAGTGAATTCCTCGCCCTGTACGAACGCGCCCGCTTCTCGTCGCGCGAGCTCCACGAGTCCGAATTCCAAGAACTGATGCACGTCTTTGCGGAACTGCTGCGCGGGATGACATTTTTGGATCCACAGGCCCTGGGAGGAATCCGGGCTGAAAGTTCCCGCGGAGACAGCGAGTCCGTCATCGGCCCGTCGGACGAGGAGGGGGAGACGGACACGATGGACTTCCACGGCAGCGAGGCGCTGTCCCGCGGTCGCAGTTACAGTCCGCGGCCCTCGAACGCGTCAACCTGGGAGGGTCGCTCCATCTACAGCACTCCACCGAGACAGAATGGTGGACCGCGATACCGTGAGCCACAGCCGCACCACACGCTGGCCGTCCCCCGAACCCCGTCCATGCGCTCGCTGCGACAGGTGCGATCGAACACGTCGGGGAGCTCGGGAGGCAGTGTCATCCGCCTGGCCGATCCTCGCGGACCGAACGATTTGCCGTACACGTTCAATTTCAATATGAGCCACCGTCCCTACACGCCGTCGCGATAGATTATCAGATAGGATCGAATCAATAACCATGGATTGGACACCGATGGTGTGCGTTTTCGTCATCAGGCGGGATTGGCTCTGATTGGTCTTGTTTCAGCGACCAGGAATTAGTGCTGGCTACCGAGGTACTATCAGGTCGACTGGATCGACCACCCTGCCCTACCTACCATGACTCCTACCGCCGAGTAGTACTGCCTACGTAAACCGTACTCCGTGACTCTGCGCAGCCAATGGGCGGCGGGTGAGTCAGCAAGGCCACATGTTCGGAATACATTCCGTTCTTGGCGGCGATTGATAAGATTCGCCTTTCCATCCTGATTTGTCCCCGACTTTTCTTGACTTCCATCTTTCCCTCGTCTTTCTGCTCCCTCACAACCATGCAGGCTCTCTTCCGCAAAGGCACCTCGCTCTTCAGCCCCACCCCGACGGACTCGTCCCCGGAGCCGGGGCAGACGCCAGAGCAGAGCACCCCCGTCACCTCGACCGAAGACTTCTCGAAAGCGCCGTCGCATGACGCCCTGTTCCCCAAAACCGACCCCGCCGTCGACGGCGAAGACTGTCGGCACGACTGCGCCTCCTGCACGGTGCGGTACCCGGCCAAATTCGACGTCGACCAAGAGGACGAGGTGTACGGCAACGTGGGCGGGTGGGCGACGCATCTGCTGGTCGCCACCGGCAAGACGGACTGGGTGCGCGACGTGGCGGACGAGTCAGGAAGTGTGATGGAAGCCATCGAGAAGGGAGGAATCGAGCCGAATAACGGGGTATGATTGCTATTCTGAGGCTGAGCTAGACAGACAGGACAAGTCCGAGACGCTAATCCATGACCTACCTTAACGCAGAAACTCAAACTCTCGGCCTCCAATATCCCCGTCCCTGATGAATATCACTACCATGAGCCCGGCACACAACCCACCACCGTGCTCCTGCTGCCCAGCTTCACCATTGTCGATCACGTCACCCCCGCCCTGGCCCCGGATCTCATCACGCACTTTGTCAACCCCGCGCCCACAACCACCACGCCGTTGGCCGGCGTAGAGGACGTCTCCTCGCCAACGGAGAAGAACCAGGCCGCCGAATCCGAGCCGGCCGTCCCCGCGCCCCAAACCCCTCTGCGATCGCGCGCCTCCCCGCATGCCGCCGTCATTCTCCTCTGCTCGCAACGCACCCGCGACGCGCGATGTGGCCAATCGGCGCCGCTGCTGAAGCGCGAATTCGAGCGGCACCTGCGGCCCCTGGGGCTCTACCGCGATCTGGACGACGAGCGACCGGGCGGCGTGGGGATTTACTTCATCAGCCACGTCGGCGGACACAAGTACGCCGCCAACGTGATCGTGTACCGCAGACGGGACTTCGAATGGTATAAGAAGCAGGCGAAAGAGACCGGGGAGACGGCTCCGCAGCCGGACGAGGGTGCGGCGCAGGGGATCTGGCTGGCGCGCGTGAGGCCGGAGGACTGCGAGAACGTGATCCGGTACACGGTGCTGCAGGGGAAGGTGGTGAAGCCGAAGGAGCAGTTGCGCGGCGGATTCGATCGCGAGAGAGGGCTGATCAGTTGGTGAGGCGATGCGATGCGGTCGACTGGAGAACTATACAGCTACAGTCCATACAGCGATATACTTTCCATAGATTCTTCCTAGTACATTACTCACGATTTCAAATCAAGATCCATGACGGTTACGACATGACTGACCCGAGGACCTGTCGACTCCATCGCGATCACTTAGACAGTTAGAGCAAAGTCAAAGGCCCCTTAGCGAAGCGGGTCCCTTCGTCTAAAATTACTCGGATCAGTTAAAGCTGATGCATCGTCCATTGGGGCGATGTCGGCAGATACTCGTTCGCCAGAATCCAATTCCTCGGCAGTCGAGCTCGATCGCCGAGCGAATCTTGGAAATTTGACTTTGTCGCTGGACCCAACCTGTCACTAGGATGGATGCTGTACGCAGTACTCCGTATAGAGCCGGCCATTCTACGGTCCCCAACTCCAGATCTCTAGCGCAGCGGCTGGTGCCGACGAATACGAGGCTCTCTCGACCTGCCTGTCTGGGCCTGTCGGTCGCGGGCCAGGAAAGTATCCGGTACCCGCGAGCGCATCGATCACGGCACGACAGTCGACGTATCGAGTACTTCCGTGGTTCAAACCTGCGGGTGGAACGTCGGACGGTGTAACTCGGTCGGGGCGTGTGTTACAGGCAGAAAGTAAGTAGTAAGTGCCTGTCCGTCGTAAACCTACTGGAAGTCCCAGGGCCAAAAAAAAAAAAAAAAAAAAACTCAATGCCTTCCCCCATCCCACGGTTGTCATGACATGCAATTAGACTTAACCTCCGGAAGGCCCGAGCTTGACTCTGAACCTGTCCCTGTCCTGTCCTGTACATCCATCCATCGGGATAATATAAAAAGACAAGTCAATCCCACGCAAGCAGAGCACGTAACTTCCTCCCCTGTCCTTATCCCTTATCCCGGTCGTCTACGGACAGGGTTCTTGCCAACACATCCGTCACTCATTGCCACGACCATGCCATGCCATGCCATTCCGTCGCGGTCGATCGTTTCCCCATCCTGTCTGGAAAGAGAGAGAAATAAAAAAGGAAAAAGAAAAAAAGAATGAGAGATTATAATCCCCGTCTCGCAAGAAAATAACACAATCAATGATCATCGTCTTTCCCGCCCGTCCAGCTGATCCTTCGTCTTTTCATGGCCAAATGACATCCCCGAGGAGATGAATTCCGATGGTTTCTAATGAAAAAAAATCTCCACTTGACTGGGTAGGCTGTGGGGAATGGAGAATCCTTTGTTTTATCTTTTTTTATTTATTTATTTCTTTCTTTTTTAATTGATAGAAGGCAACGGGTAGATAGTTAGCATATTGTGTAGGTGCTCCGTAGTCAGTTATGCATCGATTTGGATGTATCACTCCACATTCGCCATGTCCATATGCAAGTCAGCCATGCCATGCCATGCGGCCGCGTACTTTCTGTCCGATGGACACTGCGTCCATCCAAAGGGCAAGTACCTGTCGACACGGTCCGGACGGAGTTAGTTCAGTCGATGCCGTCGACTACCTACCCTACTCCGGAGGAGACTTGGGTAGCCAACGATGGCGTCACTCGCTCACTCGCTCACTCCGTGGTCGACTTACCTATCCAGCTCACCCATCCCAAAACAACACGGTCGAGATTGGAAACTCGGATGCCACAGAAACCCCGCATTCTAGACCGTTTCGCACCCCGGTCGCCCCATGTCAGATTTGACGGGCATGCGCTGGCCTGGTCTGTCTCTTAGGTGTCTCTTGGGTAGGGATTAGGGAATATTGGGGGGGATAGGGCGTGACTGTATATGTAGGGGTGGGTACATGATTAAGAGCGATTCGCCGTTTGCGCGATGGAGATAGTAGAGTAGCAGTAGAGTATAGTAGGGAGGAATAAGATAGTAGATACCTGAGGCACCACTCCGTACCGGTACCATACGGAGGCGGTAAGTTACAGGGACCCGTAGAAACACGATACATACCCACCGTACTGTCAGGAGCGGCCCACCTCCCGCTCGGCAGGTCTAAACCCAACGTGGCAATCAAGTCTATCCCGTCGTTATGATTCATCGCGGACTCTACAGCCACTCAGGCCGTTGTTTCTGATTCATTTCTGTTGCTTTCTGATCCTATGTGCCACTGCCAGTATTCCCATACGCTGGGTGGCAGGATGTTCTGATATCTTTAGGTAATGCCTCTTCTGTACCAACCTACCTACCAGGTACCTAATGCACCTCCACTAGGTACCTGGTACGTACATACAGTACACGCGTCCGGCGTACGTAAAAACCGAGGGACGGTCGGTCTGTACAGTCGATCCGTCAGCCACGCCGCCGACTGATTCGTGCTGGTCCGGTCCTACGCCTCATCTTGCCGCTTTTGGTTGGCTGGATTTCTTTTCCCCCCCTCCGTTGGCTCCCCTCCATCCTTCGACCGCGCTGATTGACTGGCTGGCGATGGACATGTTAGAAATGAAAAGAAAAAAAGAAAAAAGAATAAGAAACCAAAAGGATGTGAACGTGAACGTGAACGTGAACGTGAATGTGATGATGATGATGATGGCAGTGGCGGTGGTGGTTTATGCAGGCGAAGCGCGCGTCCATCCCGCTGCTTTCGATTCTGTCGCCAAATTCATTTCCCCCGTCTACCGGACTATGCGCCCGGTCCGATGCCCATCCACCCAGAGAGTACCTACCTGGGTATATCCTAGGGAGGTACGAAACTGGGAAGCACCCCAGCTAGCTCGGTATTGGCCGCTGGGCGATTTGGCATGTGGATAGCACCGATGGGCACTACGGACCACTGGTCCACGGAGACTATCTCCTTAGCCCCCGAATCGACCTTTAATCTCTCATACCGCTTCAGTCTCGTGGTTTGGATCGGGATCATGGCAGAATCCGGAGTCTTGACTCCCCTTCGCCTGTCCAGCAGTATCCCGACTCGGACTAGTAGCGTAGTAAGCTAGGTCCTCCGTACGCCGCATGTTGGACAATAAACTTGGAAAAGTGGAGTTTTCCGAGACTGTTGAGGGTGGATCCTTGGCTGACGGTATGGTATATGCACCCTGTACGCCCAGCAGTGCCTGATCCTAAGGTACGCGTTCCATCGACTGAGGTCGGATCGAGAGACCAGAATCGCACCGTGTCCACGGCTTCTCGATGAAGTCATCCTCAATCCCCTCGCCGGGAGACCGCTAGCTTCGGGCAAGCCTGCAGAAGACGGGCGAAATGGAACCCAGATTAAACCCGCACTTCCTCCGTGCGCAGGGATAGAGATCGGCGCTCCTCTCCATATGCCAACTCGAACTAGGCAGGTGGCTCCGTCGCCCGTCGGCCAATAAGCAAGATTAGATTGCGAAGATTTCGCGGGCCGTCCAGAGAGACGGTAATGCCGCAAAGGAGTGAGTCAAATGCTTAGGAAATGAGTATGAATAAGTACATGCAGAATCCATTGCTCGTTTGAGGTTCTATTCAAACGGCCATGTCAAACGTAACCAACAGCTCTGATAACTGATCTGATCCAAAAAGGAAGAAAAGAAAAAAGAAAAAGAAAAAGGCAAAAAAACAGACTTCAAGGGCATATCATAGAGGACCAATCACGTCAGGTATCATGGTATCGCAACTGAACGCCTAACCCTTTTAACCGGGGAACCAAGCCAACGTCACACATGGGCGAAGTAAAAAGTGACCTCATCATCCAAATCACAGCATTAACGGTCAAAAATCGAGAGAGACGGTGGCACTCGGAATCAAGGCATGGCATGGCATTCGGACCAAATAGCACCCGCCCCGTAAAGATAGTCGTAACGGGCATCACACAAGAAACGTCCAGTCTCTTCTGAGCAGACGGTTTCTTCTCAAAACCGGGGCTGCAGTTCCAGGGAATTTTAGCCGCCAGTTTCAAAATCGTTTAGATAGAGTACAATTCGTCCATCATCCAACCCCTAGAAACCCCCAGTCGGTTCCTTCGGGTTGGTTCAGTAGCCGCGTTTGTTCCTGCTTAAACTGGAAATTCTGAGGGTAGGTGACCATCAGCGGATGACTCTCCACCGCCGGTACACTTGCAAAGGGTGGTTGGAACTCCGGCGGCACGTAGCCGGGACGGCCGTGTCCGTATCGTTGCTGCATGAGCTGCTGCATGTACTGCTGCTGAACGTGCTGCACGTCCACCGGGGACGTGACGGGCACGCTATGGGCGACAATCGGCGGGGGTTCTTGTACGGCAACCGGCGTCATGGGTACATTCTGATGTTGGTAGAAGTCGTGGGTGGGTGTGGACGAATGAGGATAGTAGGGCTGCTGGGCAAGAAGATACTGATCGTTCGGAACGGACGTGCTGATGGGCGTTTGATATGAATGCTCGGAGATCGCATCCTCAGACGGCGGTCGGGTCACTGTCCCGGGGGGATGCGAGCGGTGCTGGTGTTTGGTCAAGGTCGTTTTGCGACAAAAGCTGGTTTTGGAACAGATTAGACGGGTCGGATTATTTACCCACTCGAGGATCCGCTCTTACCTTCGTTCGCAGGTGGGCTCTTGGCAGATATAGGGACGCTTGCCCGTGTGGATTCGACGATGGCGTGCGAGACTGGAAGACTGGTCGGGGATGTCAGCAACGGCACTGGAAGGAGGGAATGGGAATCGATCGTACATCAGAGAATGCCTTATGGCACCCTTCATGGTCACAGACATGAGGCTTTTCCCCAGTATGCGTTCGCGAGTGGACGGTCAGTGCGCTTCGTTGGATGAAGCTCTTGTTGCAATCCTTGACCGTGCAATGGTAAGGCCGTTCATTGGTATGTATTCGGTAATGTCTGCAGAGGTCCGATTTGCGATTGAAAGACTGTCGTCGGGATGTCATGGTTAGATACGACCGATGTATATCCATGCGAACCGGAGGGAAGGAATACCTTGCCACAATGCTCCCACGAGCAGTTGAAGTCGCGTCCATTGCCAGGCGCCATGGCCGCGGTAATAGCGCGTGGATATCAATAGGCTTAAAGGGAATCAAATAAAAGTGGGACAGACGGCGGAAGGGAAGGGCGGGGAGGAATCCGACGGGAATGGGATGGCTTAAGAAGAAGGGAAACCGTTGAAGGGGGCGGGGATGGAAGGAACAAGAAGAACGCAGGTTAAGAAGGGAAGTCAGACAGCATAAAAATAGATAAAAGAAAAAAGAAGATAGACTCCAACTGTCACGGTGTTTTTCTTTTGACAGGGAGGGCAAAGAAATAATAAGAATAAAAATAAAAATAATAAAATAAATAAGTAAAAGATCTGGGAATTTCGAAAAATAAAAGGAATAATAATAAACTAAAAAAAAAAGGGAACCCAGGGAGATGGAGTAGATAGGTACTAAATAGAGCAACGGTTCGGGAAGGGAAAGGGCTGGTGGGTCGAAGGCAGGAAAAGTGAGCGAGAAGGCAAAACCAAAACGAACAGTCGAGGTGGAGAGGACAAGACTGTCACCGAAGGTAGATTAAATCCGAGACGTGCAGCTTCGTCAATCATTGGAGGTCTGGCCCCGCGAGTCACAAGAGAGAGGCCCGATGGGTCGAATGGGGAAAAGCAACCGCACTGCTGCTGATGATTTCTGCTCGCTATCCCGGTGGTTATTCTTGGTCCATATTATTATTATTTCGAGGATAAGAAGAAATCGTAATAATAATATCAGTATTATTCCGGATGGTGAGGATAACGTCCCAGTCCGTAGTCCGTAGCAGAAGGGCGCCGATGAAGACGACAGGGAGATAGTAGGTAATCACGGGGGAGTGGATTCCCAACCAGGCAGAACAAGAATAAGAAACCTAGTAATAATGGGAAGGATTAGAACGATGATGGATACTATATTCCCGCTCCTTTTTTTTATCTTCGGTTGCCTCCTATTCTGGGAAAGAGCCAAGCCCGTCAGCTTGTCCCAAGACCTAGGGAAGAGGCTAGGAAGGTGAGAAGGCGGTGGTCGGTGGTGGTTTCCTCTCTGGACCGCCGTCGACCAGGCGAGTCCGATATAAATAAGAGGTAAGAATAATGGATTTAGAATTTCAGAGGCACGGAGAGAGGGAAAAGGTGGGAACCGTCAACCAAAAAATAATAAATAAGCTGTTGGGGCTGGGTGGAGTCCCAGTGATACGGGATGCTGCGCTTTTTATGCTGTTTACAGTCCGTAAGGAAACTCCTCAGGAGACTGGGGGGGGGGGGGGGGGGGCAGAGGGAATAATGATAAAAAAAATAAAATAAAAGGGAAATCAAACCAACGATGGCGATGGACAGGAGAAGAGATTGCAATTAAAATCAACGAGGCCAAGGGTGAATGATGATTCCTGCCATAACCAGAAAATTGAAAATGAGCTGACAAGCACGAGAAAAAACCTCCTCCTGGTTTCGATTTTCGATTTTCGATTTATTTGGTTTTATTTTATTATTTCCATCGCTGTTATTATTATTATTACATGGTCGACCCGGGACAATCAATTTAATTTTATTCGATTGGATTTAATCTGTTTATGATGCCTACCACCAACTAGCAATTATTAGATTGCTTTTATTTTTATTTTCTCCTGCGACCTCATCGCGTATATTTTACAGGCCGGAATTACCAGGTGCCAGGAATCCTCGAGCTACCTACCTCGACCTGCCAGAAGCTACAGAATAATACGACTTCCGTATGGCGTCGATACGACTAGGGATACTTACAGCTCGGTAACCAGAGATGGTTAGAGCCAAGTTGTCCGCCCCCCTACCCCGGAAGACTGGCGGCGGTGGGAAAAAGAACTGGAGGCGAGAGGGCAGCAGCAACGAGGCTAGAAGAGGGGGGTCACCCAATCCACTTGGGGCTGGTTGATTTCATTATTTCTCTGGGGAACATAACTACGGTGTAGGTATCCGGCCGGGTCTCCTGTCCATGTCATGGCACTACTCCGTAGTCTGGATGGATTCTCCCACCGCTTCGACGGACCGCAAGAAATGGGAACTGCATCCCGGACCCGGAGAAAGGGGAGATTCATCCAGAAGGGCAGATGTCGATACCCAGTCCATAGTAGCAGTGCAGAGGTAGCATCATGTCCTGCGCCTAACTAGCCCGGCTATTCTAGGTACCCTGGTCGTTGTGATTCTACCACCTCGTAACCGATCTGCTCCGTTCCAGCGCATCAGTCCGTCCTCCATTCCGAACTTCTGAGACCGTCGTCTACTCCGTAGGTTGTTGTAGAAAACATCTACGTACGGAGTCGGTGGATGCTGTCGGGGTTAGTCACTGGGTGGTTAGAGAGATAAGGTAGTACGGAGTACAACCAACATACGGAGTCCTACGCAGTACGAAGTGAAAAAGAAATTTAATTAAAAAAATAAAAAAAAAACAGACAGGAGGGAGGGAACTCCACCGAGAGAACAGTTTCCGGTCAAGATCATTTGGGGAGGGGAATGCCAGGTCTCCACCCACCCGCCTGTGCCTTAGGAGTTAGAGGATAGGCTCGGCCAATCAACGGCGGGTGGGGTGAGCCCGACCTTGGAAGAAATCCACTAGGCGGATGGTGGGTTTAGCTTCCTGCATGATGGGATCCCACATTATTATTAAATATTAGATATTAAATACTAAATATTAATACCTGCCTGTTATTCGGGCGGTACGAGGCCAGGGAAAGGCGAAGGTAAATGTACAGGTACAGGTACAGCAGTCACCGTACGTACCCCTCGATCCATTCGTTCATTTATCGCGCGATGAGCATTGGAGGAGTTTCAAAGCCTTCCCGGATCGTCTGGATGCGCATGTCTAGCAGTCGTGATCTCACCTCTCTTCCAGGGGTAACTACATACAACAGCCACTCATCGCTTGAGCTATGGGTATCACTAGGTACCTGGGTACTCCGTACTCTCCCACGGTTGTACGACACACCCCCCGATGCACGCAGGCGGTATCATTGGTTGAATCCCGGGCCAACAGGAGATGCAATCCGCACTCCTGCGGCCTGCCAAATGGTTTCCAAAGCATCCCACGGATTAGGGGGCAGATTGGATCACAATGGGAGGATGGGGTGCCGTGAAAGGCACGCAACGACCGATGATAAGGCCAGGGCATTTACGGAGTACCTTAGGCAAGGAGTGTCCTCGTCTTCTGCAGCAACCCATCGAACCGACTCCAAGATGGATACACAACGGCGTAACCTCTCCGGTCCGCGTCCGTAATAATCACGGCTATCTTTCTCGCCCGTCCGAAGTAGTTAGTTGATTAGTCTCTGACCAACTGACCAACTTATCTTGACCTTCTCCCGAGTGGTGAAACCCCCCAACTTCTCCCGGGTCCATCATCACGAACAGGATCAAGCCGAGCTCTCAACTCCCCCCCACCACGTGGCTCCTAACCTTCTACAATGGGTTGCTGATGGCCGGACAGCGACTGGTTGGTCGAAGATCCTCAAGGCCCCAGCGCGATAATCCAGAACAATCCCCATCCCGTCTTTCTCTTTCCGTCTTTCAGTCCTTCAGTCCTTCTCCTTCTCCGCCCTCCACAATCCGCGATCCTTCCCCTCGGATGACGGTGAGGCCAGTGGATATTTAAAGCCGAGGACGTGGATCCCCGTGGCGGTGACAAGCTTGGTCAACGCTGAAAGCTAGATACCCCCCCCCCTAGGCCTTCCCTCTGTGGCCATTATCCACATGGCCCTCCACTTTCCCTCCCGTCAGCAGTCGAAGTACGGTCTAGATAGCCATCGACCCGGACATCCAATCCCTAAGCGAGAGGCTTGGGGAGAACATTCCTGTTGCCGCCGAGTTCAGCGCAGATCCCAATTCCGTTGGCAGCGATTTGGAGAAGTACGGAGTGGTAACTTCTGCAATGGCTCTTTCCCGGTCCCCAACCATGGGTGAGGGCCAAACTTTCGGCCATGGTTCTGTCAATCATAAGAGGGTCCCCATTGAGCTTGGCGACGACAGTTCCCGTCCCCGCCAGCGATAGCCGATGAAGATTGTCCACAATTGATAGGAGACCGGACTTGATAGATCGTCGTCCGATGGCTGCATAGGCTTTCAACTGGGCCCGGCCTATTCAAATGGGGGTTACATTCTTTTTACAGTAATACTGGCCGGTCCAGGGGAGGCTCCGCGACTGGAGATAGCAGGATGGTCAGCGTGGCTTGAGAGTGCGGCAGTCTGGACCGGAGGAAGTGGAGGAGGGCAAACTCGATATACGTAGGCAGGCTGTAGGCGCCGGATTGCCATCAGGGGTGCTATACTCGGCATTCCTTCGTGTCTAGCTGTGCTGTGCTCTGTAGGTACGCAGTAGATCTGTAGACTGGAGGTACTGGTGGTACCGGTACTCCTGGTACTGACCAGTCCGGGTCTGTCCGGTATGTCGTATGTATGTACTGTACCCCTCGTACGGTACACCTTACCTGCCATTACCTCCATTATTTCCATTACCAGGTACCTGCCCTCCTCCGTCGTACAGGTGGTAAGGTAAGCAGGTATCCGTTCAAGACTCCGCCAGAAATTCATCGCCCGGACCAGTCGTTGCCATCCCAGCAAATATTCTGTCAATAATGCGGATCGTCCGTGGATGTTTCCACCACAGATCTTCTACAAAGGACAGGAATCGTCGCTCGTATGCAAGTCCAGCCCTTGTATACGACTCAGTCCGATCCAGCTTCCTTTCTCACCATAAGCAATGGCTGCATAGAGTTGTTTAGCACGGTGCCACCGTACGTCGTCTGTCGCAAGTCGCCCATCCTTTCCAAACCTTACCCGGTCTGTCCATCAATGAAAACCACCGCATCGACCGCCTGCAGCGCCTGCAATGCAGGAGAGGCACCGAGTCTGGCGCCGTTATGTCATCCTGCTGCTGATCGCCTGGGAAATGGTGTGACAATGGGCGATAATCGTCGACGATAGCGACGTGATGGGCCGCCCGATGCACGCCGGCGAAACGACTACACGAACGTCCTGCCTCCTTCGCCGCTTCGCCTAGATAGAGATTGATTAAATGCACCGGAGGATCACGTCACTGCGATCCATTTTTTGTCCCCTTTCCTCTCCTCACGCCTAAATCCGAACCCAACAACCTGGTCGTTGGTTCTCAGTCTGACAGCCGCTGCTCCAAGCTGCAGACAGGAAATCATGGGTCGAATCGGAGGACAGGTCTTCGCCTCGCGATATCCCTGGTGCCCCTCTTCTTATTAATATCTTAGTGAATAGCGTTCTCACTTGCTTTTCTTTTTTTTTTTTTTCTTTTTTCTTTTCTTTTGGTTGCTCCTTGTTCATTTACTAAAAGGATCGTCGAAAGGGCTCACTCTCAACACATTGCTCGCCGAGTTTCCAAACCCCGAAAAGCCACAAGAAAAGGCTTCGTCGGTCCACGCAAGGAGATACTTGACTGGTTGTATGAGGGGATGAGCTGATTCGAAGCTGGCTGGGCGATCAACGGCGTGAAGGTTAGTCAGGTCGACTAAACTCCTACTACGCCAACTAGTTGGCCAACCAACATCCCACTAGTCGGATGATGGTCAATTCCCCGAAAATTCAGCCCAGCCTTGTCTCCGATTAAATTGCTGGCTCGTCATCTGTTGGGTCGTCAAACGCCGGGAAATGGTCTCCTCGGGCCTTGACTCGCTCCCTTTTCTCCGCTTCGTCTATTAATCTGTTTTTCCCTTTTTGGCCGTGTCTTCTTCTCCCTCAATCCGTTTCGGCCCTTATCACTGACCTAAGAATGAAGCCGCAGTATCTCCCGCCAAACAACGTTGGGGGTGACACTACCAAGAACCCCGCGTTCTTGGGAGGGGAAATAAGGGAGAGGACCGAGTCCTGTTTTCCCTCTTCTCCTAGTTTCTAACTACTGCACGCAGCAAAGGACTGAACGGAAGGAAGGGGGGAGGGGCGTGGCATGCGTGGAGAGATTGATTGCCGCAGCAGCCAGAATCGGACAAAATCTACTCCTACGTGAGATCCCATGCAGCTTAGGACTAATTTCCATCGCTTTTGCAATTATCATTGGGCATGCAGATGACTCGCAGCTTCTCCCGTGGGCCGACGGGGTAAACTAATCTTTCGATCGAGTGTGCACATCGCCCATCGATGACATGTTTCCATCCATGCTCCGTCGATGTTAGGCGTGGAGAAGACACTTTGCTCTATCGCCAATGATCATATTCACAGGCTTCTCCGCCCGGAAGAGCCGGCCATTGGTCCCCTCTCGTGCATTGAACCGAGGTCAATTATGAAACTAAGCAATGGAGGGCGTCGTTTTCTTGCGGATGATGCTAGACATACATGCGCTCGATGCGCCGCTCAAGAGGTAGCCAGCACAGAGAAAAATCTCCGATTTGCGGGTTCCACATGCGCCATATCACTTTTTTTTCTTTTTCTTTTTCCTTTTTTTTTTCTTATTCCTCGATCCATGGCACACCCCATGAGTCGCCCAAACGGCTCGGGTCGGAGCTGTGAAGGAGGGGGGGCAATTAATTAGATTCTTGGTCGAACCAGGCGAAAATCGATACATGAGGGCTGAACAGAACACATGAATATGAATGGGCTTTTCGGGAAGCCAAGCGCCTCGTTGGAAAAGCCACTCCTAAGGCTGGTAAAACTATGAACGGTCCGGGCTGTATTCGGTTGGTACGCCTCGATTGCCACGGTTTAGTCTGTTTCCTGGTAATCCGAGTCTCAGGTCCATTTTCACCGGTTCCCAAAGTGTCGGTGAGCGTCTTCGTATGAAGCCATATACTTCCCTTGGTGACTATGGTCTAGCGCGGGAATACCTTCGCACTCTCCCACAGACGTATGCGTTTCACGCAGAGAGTTTACCGTTTTGGGATTATCCGTTGTATCTTTAATTCTTCTATTATTTTATTTTGCTGTCATGATTATGATATCGTTTGGGGAAGTGAAATCCCTCTTCTGTTCGGCTCTGTTTTTGGCCCCCTTGCGGCGCTTCGCTTCAGACTGGATCTTGTGGATGTCACGAGAATCGCCAGAAAATACTAAAAAGAAAAGGAAAGGGAAACCCTTCTGTCTTGGAAAAAAAAAAAAAAAAAAAAAAAAAACCCCCCCAATGAGGCTCCATACGAGACAGTCGATGTGTCGAGTGGAGTCACCAGTCCCGTTCAGAGTCTAGATGACTCTAGTTCTACCGTTATCTTCTTGGGGGGTTATTTTTATGATTTTGCCTCTTGGTATTTGCGCCATACAGCCTGCCCGTTGCTAGCGGTGGCTTTCGTATGGAAACATCACCAGGTATGATTGAGAGCAGCGTCTAATCCGACCCAAATGGTCAACTCGCCTCGATAACGAGGGTTTTGAAATGCTGACATGGAATCCTTCGGGGTGGCTGTGTCGCCTTATTTGCTGTCCACTTTACGACGCCGCTCGCCTCGCTCCCATGCTGACAATGATGGCGATAAGTCGGAAGGGGTGTCATTCAATATCGATGCGCGCAAAATGGACTGGATGGCCAGGCGTTCTTTTTTGGCCCTTTTTCGGGCTCCTCTTCAAGCCGTGTTTCACTGCTGATCCAGCCAGCCCTCGAGGGATCCGAATACCTATCGCGAAAGTCCTACTTAGTTCGGTCTTGGCTCTTGGTCGTGGAGGATTCCCAATCTTTCTCACTGGTCGTGTTGACGCCGGTTGACGGGCGTATATCAAAGCGATTCGCTCGAATGTGGTGCTGAAACAGCTCTCAATTGGCCTCGATGGGCTAGCTGTAAGCCTCTACCATCCAGGGCTCCAGTTACGGCTTGCTACCTCGTGGAGCATGCACAAAAAAGGCTGAGAGGTTTCCCTCTTCTTTGTGTCGAGTCGACGAATGATTCATAATCGGTGCATGGACAACGCCACTCTGATTGATGTTGATTTAACTTCGGCCATCCTATCGTATGATTCGGGGCAGAAATTGCATGCTCGCGCCGTTTTCAGCTGACACGCACCTCACCAAGTAGATACATACAGCATTGCCTCTTTGCTCGCTCGTCATCGGCAAAGCGCGGAATCGAGTAAGCCAGGGACATGCATACATTACGCGATTAAAACCTCTTTCCCTGGGGTCCTCATGACGTAGGCAGATCGCCGACCGGAGATGGAATTCTATCCCAAGTCCATCTGGGATACCTGATCATTGGGGGCACTGTTCATTTCCAAGGACGACGGCTCATGGTGATCGCTCTCAGATGGTTGATTATCTCCTAAGCGAGCCTCAATATCCGGCCTTCCCCAGATCCTCCCTAGCACGGAAAAGAGCGCACTAGCACACGCTCATCCAGTCGCGGATTGCATTCCCCTCCCAGATGGTTGGTGCTGGCTTGGCTGGACTGAGGGGATACGAGCCATTCACCCTGGCAGGTATTCCGATTGCATTATCCCGTGAAGCCGCCTGTGCACCAACTCCTCCGCAATACGGACAGCCAAGGTCTACTTCTCCATGTGGCTACCAACACGCTAGATAGTGGAGATTGGCCTTTTTGCGGGGTTGATTCCTTAGGCGCTGGGCTGGACGAACCATACATATTGGCAATGCGCCGCCGGGTTAGTGATATCTCAGGAGGTTTAGGGAGCTTTGAGGGGGGTGCGGATGGCCGGAGCCGTCGGCTTGACCACAGCAACCTGTTGAGTAAGTTCCTCGTATTGAGTCTACCAAGCCAGGAGGCCGGCTTGACCGCATGAAAAGGAAGCGAGATGGACATCTAAACAGACTGCCCCTTTGGGCGGCCCCGTGACTGCCGCTTTGGGGTGTCACATGGCACGGGCGCCTCAGGCCACCACGGCTCGTCCAGCGGCCCCACACGGCCAGCGGGCCAATCAGCGGGTCGCCCTGGATTTCTTCACCCCCGGCGTCGACTTCCTTCTCGATCCTCCAGTCTAGATCGACTCCTCAATCCATCACAATGCAGGACCAGACCTACGTCCTGGTCACCGGTGCCAACAGGTATGTTCTCCATTCCTGATCCGTCCCCCCGCCCCTGCCACTCGTCTGACCTCGTCAATTGCGTTGCGCATTGCAGTGGCCTCGGTTTTTCCATCTGCTGCCGAGTAGTGGACGAATTCCTCGAATCGACTCGCCAGAGAACCATCGACCAGTCATTGACCGTCATCTTCACCACCCGGAGCACCAGAAAGGGGAATGACACCCTCCGGCTTCTGCAAGACTACCTGCGCACCTCCGCCAATGCCTCCGCCGCTGCCCGAGTGACTTTCATCCCCGAGAATGTCGACCTGTCCAACCTCGTCTCTGTGCGAGCCCTCTCTCGCCGACTGACCCAAACCTTCCCCAAGCTCGACGCAATCCTGCTGAACGCCGGCATAGGCGGTTGGACGGGCATCGATTGGCCCCGAGCCGTCTGGGATATCTGCACCGACCCGGCCCACGCCGTCACCTGGCCGGCCTACAAGCTTGCGTCGGCCGGCGTGGTCACCGATCCTCAGACCGCGCGCGTCGACCAAGAGCCTCGCCTGGGCGCCGTGTTCTGCGCCAACGTCTTCGGCCACTACATGCTCGCTCACAATGTCATGTCTTTGCTGCGACGGCCCGGCCAGTCGGGTCGCATCATCTGGGTCTCCAGCATCGAAGCTACCGTGAACCTCTTCGACCCTGACGACCTCCAGGGCCTCCGCACCACCACCCCCTACGAATCCTCCAAGGCCCTGACCGACATCCTGGCCTTGACGTCCGACCTCCCCAGCGTCGCTCCCTGGGTCCGAAGCTTCCACTCCATCGACGACCGCACCGCCGCGGACACAACCCCCCAATCCTCTGACCCTCCCCTCCCCCCGCCAAACACCTACCTCTCCCACCCCGGCATCTGCGGCACCGCCATCATCCCCCTCGCCCTGCCGCTCTTTTACCTCATGCTTGCCGCCTTCTGGTTCGCCCGCGTCCTCGGCTCCCCCTGGCACACTCTGTCCACATACCTGGGTGCCCGCGCCCCCGTGTGGCTGGCTCTGGCCCCGCAATCGGCCCTCGACGAAGCGGAATCCGCGTACCGGCGTCACGGCGGCGGGCGCGCGAAATGGGGCTCGTCCTGCGGCCTCTGGGGGCCCGCTACCTCCGCCTCGACCGAGGTCGACGGATGGGGGTACGGCGGTGTCGTGGGACCTGCCGTTGTCGAGGAGGATCGCACGCGGAGACGCAAGCGCGGCGCGACGGAACTCACGGCGGAAGAGAAAGAGCGGTTCGAGGAGCTGGGACGAACGTGCTGGCAGCGTATGGAGGAGTTGCGGGTCCAGTGGGATGGCATTCTGGATGAGGTAGAGAAGACGCAGGCCTAGATGATATAGGCTTCTGTCTGTCCTGTTTTTCGGCGAGTCTTCTCTAGCACAAGTATTCCGGGGTTTCTTCATTTTCTTCTTTCTTCTATGTTATTTATTTTATTTCTATGTAATATAACCACGACTTGGGCCGATTATCAAAGGAACACGATTTGGATTCAATGCGAAAATTTTCATTCCGAAAGCAAGCAGTAATCTAGAGAAAGGAATTGATGATTGGATGTGAAATTGAACTTGGAACTTTTTCTTTCGTTTTTCTTGTAGATTCATTTCTGAGTTCTGCCTCCCATATTTACATTCCTTATAAAACCCCATGTCCTCATACATCATTAAAACCAGATAGTGTATTAGAACCCATTTACTCACCAGTCTCCGGGTAAGCAGACGCAGAGTAATGAATAGAAAAGAAATCGCGACGAGGAAAAAAAAAAGTAAGAAAGGGGAAAAGGAGGTGAGATGGTGGACCAAGACACGATATAGGAAAAAGAAAAAACGGGATATAGGATGAGAATTACTAAACTTGGAGACAGTCGCACCAGGCGCACTCACACCGTCAAGGTTCTGAGTGCGTAGATACCGACAGACCATAGATGAGACTAAAAGGGGTTTATGCAAGAAAAAGGGGGAGAGATAGGTAGGAAGGCGCACAAAATCGGCGTGTTTCAAGAGGAAGGGGAAAAGAAAAGAAAAAAGGACGTCATGCTCTTGACCAACAAACCAGGCAAGCTCAGGACTGCTCGAATCAACTGCATCAAGGCAAACAAAAGATATAACGACTCCGGCTCTATGCGTCTGGGCGATTGCGAGGTATAGGCGATTTAAATCAAGATATTCGAGGACATGTCGACGTAAAGGGAAAAAGAACGGGAAATTACATGATGATCGCAGGAACTATCGCGGGATTCGTCAGTATCGAAAGAGTAAGGATGGAGAGTGCGAGCAGCCCCAACTTACCATCAACGTTCTGTTTGATGCTCTTGTGGGGCAAGATAGAGCCTCCGTTCACGTAGACCTCGTCGGCAATGGTCACGTCGTCACCAAGCACGGTAACGTTCTCCAGGCGAGCCCACTTGCCCACCGAGCTGTTCCAGCCAACAATGGTCGACTTCACCCAGGCGTGATCCTTAACCTTGCTGTTCTCCAGCAAGACACAGCGTTGCAGGCGAACACCATCACCGACAACAACATTGGGACCGATGACGACGTTCGGGCCGATGCGGCAGTTCTTGCCGATCTTTGCGCTGGGATCGACCATGACGTTTCCGCCGTACACGTAAGGCTCGTTGTTGGGAGCCAGCAGTTTGGAATTGCGCTTCGCGAGCGAGGTAAGGTACAGGCAGGTACCGCTCAGGAAATCCTTCGGCTGACCGACGTCCATCCAGAACCCTTCAAGATCAAACGAGTGGAGCTGACCTTCCTTGCAAATGGCGGGGAACGTCTCTTGTTCGATCGAGGTGGGACGCAGTTCGATGCGGTTCAGCACGCTAGGGTTGAGAATGTAGATACCGGCATTGATACGGTTGCCGACGAACTCGACGGGCTTTTCGACGAAACGGTCGATGCGCGAAGCGTGGTTGGGCTTGTGGACGACGACACCGTACTTCGAAGGCTCATCAACCTTCGTGACGACGATGGTACCCTCGTCACCGTGGTTCTTGTGGAAATCGGCCAGCTGCTTGAATGGGTAGTCGCAAATGACATCGGAGTTCAGGACAAAGAAGGGCGAGTCATCCTTGCCCAGGATCTTCTCGGCCAATTTCAGGGGACCGGCCGTACCCAGCGGCTCCGACTCGACGGAGAACTCGATGCGGACGTTATATTGTTCCTCGTACTAGCGCAACCATGAGCATTTGGATCGATCGATTCACGAGACTATCGCGCGTACCTTCTTCAGGGCCGAGACCATCACATCGGGGCGGTAGTTGACGGCCAGGACAATATCGGTCACACCAGCAGCAGCCAAGCTCTCGACCTGGTGCAGAATCATAGGACGGTTTCCGAATTCCACCAAAGGCTTGGGGAGCGTCAGAGTCTGTGGTAACGAGCACAAAGGTTAGCAAAGATTCTTTTGACAACCAGCTGGTATGCTCCGACGTCACGATCGTCGGCGGCGGCGGGGGGAGGGGGGAGATGAGGGGGAGCATTGGCTTACCAAAGGACGCAAACGGGTACCGAAACCTCCGACAAGAATAAGAGCTAAAGAAGGGTTAGCCAAAGGAAGAAAGAAAGCAAATTGGCGGGGGAGCAGGTACCCTTCATGGTGAAAGTGGGATGGAACGAGTGAATGGGAGAGAGAGGAAAAGGAAGGGCTAGGATGAGGGGAAAGACGACAGAGTAGAAGTCGACAGAGGGAAGGGGAATCAATCAATCAATGGATCGGGAGATGGCCGGATTGAAAGATCGGAAGCTCTCAGGGAAGAAAAGGAGAGAAGGAGAAGGGGAAGGAGAAGGAGGAGCAGCGGAATAAAAGAGACACATGATGAATTCGAGCCGTAAGGTAAAAGAAGAACACCTGGCGTTGGTCGATGTATTGCCAGGTATTGGAGTGTACTGCCCGCCGGTCGTTGTCCGTCCGTTTGCGGCGACCCCTGGGGCGACGGGCGTAACGATACGGTACGGGGGCCGCATCAGGTGCAGGGTGGGCCCATGTGCCCGCGCCCTTATTGGCCGAGCCGGTTTCATTCACTTGCGCATCGAAAAGCCTCAGGCCCTCCGGCCGGCTTCCTGCAATCTCCCCCTATTTGATTCTGCGCAGATTATACAGAGTACGGAGTAAGGTACTAGGACCGATGCATTGGGCATTTTAAACTACTCCGCCGATTCCTACGGTTGCATCCGAGCACGTCCTCCATCCATGGATGCTTCACTCCTGGAGAATGTTCAAATCTATTGGAAATGTCTCTCATTCGGATCCCAGGCCGCGTCGTCTGTTCTAATTATAAACGGGGCAGGCTACGACGGCGTATCTGGAGGCAGAATCGTGGGATGAGGATTTTTCGCCGGATCCTCCATCGGCCCACGTTGTTTTGGCCCCCTGGTGCCACCGCCTGCTGCTTCCGGGCCCACAAACTGCCGGATCCACTCGCGCACTTCGCGCACTTTCGCCAGCGGCAGATCGTCTGGCTTGGCCTCGCGCAGCTTCCTGGCGCTGTACAGTCCCCCGGCGTCCGTTGCGTCCACCCGCTGCCGGTGCAGCAATTCCACGCGCGTGATCCCATTCCGCAGACTCTGCCCGTACACCCGTTCGCGGAACGCCCCCAGCCCGACCGTACCCAAGAGAACGATGTCCCGGGGTCGCAGGGTCGCCAGCCTGCCTCGGAGCTCGTTCTCGTCGCCGCCGTCTCGACCCGTCCGAGGAAGCCAGAACGTAACCCCAAACCCGCTGCGTGTGTTGTCGCCCACCACCACCTCAACCAGGTCCAGCTCTCGTTTCCATTGTCGCGTCACGATGCGCCGCGGCGGCCGAATCGCAATGATCCCCACGATTAGATTCACGGTCATCGTCTGAGGCACGATGCCATTGAGGTATGCGGCGCTGGGAACATCCTGTAGATCGGTGATATTTCCTTGCATCGGAAGACTAGGCTTGGTGGTTTCTTCGTCCCAGCTAAGCGCGATCGAAGTACTCGTACTATCCATCCATAAGCCGCTCTCTCTCATCGAGTCGTCTCTAGAGGTACCGGGCGCAGAAATCTCCGAGGTCTCATGGATGGCAAACGAGTGGTTGTAGAACTTGGACAGAGTCGAGTCGTCCGATGTCGTGGTAGATATGTCGCCAGGAGTGGCCAGCTCGTCGATGGTGAAGAATCGCGCGCCTCGCGTAGGGTCAGGTTCGTCCTGATCGGGGGATGCTTCTGGCAGAGCTAGTGGTTCTTGCAGCAGTCTCCATTTCACAGGGTAGGCTTCGTCAAATGATCCAGCTCCTTCGGTGCCAATACTTGCGCCATGGAATGGGTGAATGGGTGCATGGAGTAACTCATGTTCATCCCAACGGAGGCTCTGCACGCTGGGAGCTCCCATTAGAAAAATAACCTTTCGGGGCATTTCGGACAAGAGCTCGAACAACAGAAGCCATGGAGTATATATCCGAGTCGAACCTGCTGGGCCTATCTCGACAAAGTTCAGGACGAGCGTTGCATAGGCAGCGACGCTCTTGCTATATAAAGGAAAGAAGACCTGCTTCCTCCAGTCGTAGTAGTTATCCCAGCTGGCTAATGCCGAAATATGCGGGATATGAGCTGCAAATATTGATATATAGAGATATATGTAGCGTTGGACGACCAGTCAAGATATTTATGCCGGTGTACCCCAGCATGTGTGGCAGATGATGTGTTCTGCAGTGGTCATTAGCAACAGGGGGTTTTTTTTGTCTATGATGGCCTTGTTATCGGTGGTCGCATTGAACCATGGGTTGCTGAGTCTGCCATTCCATTATATTGTATGATGCGTGTAAAGCCACAACGAATGCTATCAAGGCGGTCCCAGCTGTCTCCGGGGTCCCATGGAGAGGTAAAACCGTCGAGAACAACCAGGCGGAGGAATTGCACATGGTAGAAAGCTCTGGCGCTCGAAGACGCCGATGGAACCAAATGGACGGAGTGCTGCCTGGGGCATACACACACGTGACCCGGATCCGGGAGGGGAGAAGCGCCGGAGTGGCAAGCCCGTCTCCAATGAATTCGCCGCCGCATTATTGAATTCCGCCGAGACACCTCCATCTCACTCGGAACCTCGATCGCTATCAAACGGTGATGGCATTCCCTTCCCTTGAGGAATAATTTCACGCCATCTCCATTTCCCCTTTCGTCCAACCTATCCGGGGATAGAACCCTCTGTTGTCGCGGCCAAGTGCCGCCTTACGTCGGTCAACCATGGCCTTTCAACTTCCGATCCCCAAGCCCGTAAGGACCCTTGGTCTATGTTCTGTCGCGCTCGACTTTTCTAACCCCAGTGATGCCGTACAGAATATGGCGGCGGTGACCTCCGATATCTGGCCTTCCATGTCGAAACTTCTGAATGCGCCGTGGAAGAATGTCGAGCGCGGCCCTTCCTCCGGATCTATGACTTCCCAGCGCACGGCCGGGGAAGCGAGTTCAGCGGTATGTTCCGCGTCACGGACGGATGGTGAAAATGCTCTCTTAACTTTCTGACGAATTATCTAGAACACCGGATCTGTTGCACTGCCCGAGTTCCTGCACACGGTGCCCTCGGCAGCTTTGAGAGCGGACGTCACTCACCAATCGGGATGGTCACGTTCCTTGTTCAATGGTAATCACAACCCGGGTGCTCGAGAATAACTTGATCGTGGATACTGACTGGTGGATTGTTTGCTTCAGAACGCTCTCTCTGGACCTCGCCCTCCCTAGCCTCCCGGGCCTTCTCTCCGTCGTCTTCTCGTTCCTATTCTACGTCTTTGAACCGACTTCGCCACGTTCCCCATCCCCTCGGTCTTTCCAAATTGCAGCAACAACGGTTTCTCTTCGGTGGTCCCTCTCGCAACGTCTTGGCACAGAAGGAGAAAACTGCGAACAACAATCCACACAACGTCAATGCTCAGAACTCCTTCTACCAGGACCTCCTTCGTGCTAACATGCCGGCGATCGTGGTCGAGCGGTATAGGAGTGGACATTTCGCCGGTAACGAACTCTCGGAAGCAATCTATTTCAAGGCCTTGAATGTGGTCGGAAACACTGGCCCCTCACCAATTGATCCCAACGCAAATCAGAACGTGAACATTGAACAGCTCCAAGCCATTGGCCAGGCCGTTGCGGCCCAGAAGCATGGTGGTCAAATGGGATTGGCGACGAAGCAGAACGGCACTGGCGCGAAAGAAGCTCCACTGTATGTTGTTGTGGAAGAGTCACTTGGAAGCACCATTTTCCGATGGGCTAAATTCTTTGTGTCCTTCGCCTTTTTCGTTTACATGTCTCTTGTCCTGGTAACTGTTTTGGTTGAAACGACGGGCGTTTTGAAGAACATCCGAGGCCCTCAGAGCAACGAAGCCCAGCCGCAGCATCAGACTGTTCGCTTTAGTGATGTGCACGGCTGTGATGAAGCTAAGGATGAGCTTCAGGAGCTCGTTGAGTTCTTGCTGAACCCGGATCGATTTTCTTCGCTCGGTGGCAAGCTGCCTAAGGGTGTTTTGCTTGTAGGACCTCCCGGCACTGGTAAGACTCTTCTTGCCCGTGCCGTTGCGGGCGAAGCCGGCGTCCCCTTCTTCTACATGTCTGGATCTGAATTCGATGAGGTGTACGTGGGTGTTGGTGCTAAGCGGGTCCGTGAGCTGTTCGCTCAGGCCCGCGGCAAGTCACCCGCGATCATCTTTATCGATGAGCTGGATGCGATAGGCGCCAAGAGAAATGAGAGGGATGCTTCGTACGTGAAGCAGACGTTGAACCAGCTACTCACCGAACTCGATGGCTTCTCGCAATCTAGCGGAGTGATCATTCTTGCTGCGACCAATTACCCGCAACTACTGGACAAGGCCCTGACCCGACCTGGTCGGTTCGACCGCAAGGTGAACGTCAGCCTCCCTGATGTCCGGGGTCGGATGGATATTCTCAGACACCACATGAAGGACGTGCAGATCAGTACCGATGTGGATGTTGCAGTGATTGCGCGTGGCACACCTGGCTTCTCCGGTGCTGACTTGGAAAACCTGGTCAACCAGGCCGCCATTTATGCCAGCAGGAACAAGCAGAACAAGGTCATCGCCAAGGATTTCGACTGGGCCAAAGACAAGATCATGATGGGAGCGGAGGCTCGCAGCCGGATCATCCAGGACAAGGACAAACTATTGACCGCCTACCACGAAGCTGGCCACGCCCTCGTTGCTTACTTCTCTCCGTCCTCTACGCCACTGTACAAGATCACCATCGTTCCTCGCGGAATGGCGCTGGGTGTGACTCACTTCCTGCCCGAGATGGACATGGTCTCTCGCAACTACACCGAATACCTGTCCGATATCGACGTTTCCATGGGTGGCAAGGCCGCGGAAGAGCTCATCTTTGGGCCCGACAAGGTTACGAGCGGCATCTCAGCTGTAAGCTTATCCCCCTGCACATCCTTGTCGCTTGATTGCCGTTTGCTGACCTGATTTTCAAACAGGATATCCAACAAGCCACCGAAACGGCCTTTACTTTGGTCACTCGGTTCGGATACTCCAAGAAGCTCGGAAATGTCGACCTTTCCACCAATTACAACAGCCTGTCGTCCGAGACCAAACAGGAGATTGAAGGCGAGGTCCGGCGTTTAGTTGAGGAGGCCCGCGTGCGCGCCGCGAACATCCTCAACGAAAAGCGAAACGAATTGGAGCTCTTGACCCAGGCTTTAATCGAATACGAAACTCTCACCAAGGAAGAGATGGAGAAAATATTGAAGGGAGAGAAACTCAAGAAGCTGGAACCCCCGCCGCCACCGCCTCTCAAGTTGCCCGATGCTCTGCAGACGACACGGTTAAACCAGTCCAATGCTGATCAAGAACCCCCGACATCCAACGAATGAGGTCAACTTCCCTCTTGACGACATTTTAGCTTCTCTCTATTGATAATCCTCTTTCACTCTCCGTTATTGTTTTCTTTGAGTTGGCCTCCATTAGGTGTCTCGAGAACCGGCATTGTCCTTGTCACATCCTGGACTGCCACCCTGGGGTAGTTCTCGTTCGGCCTTCGGTTTCCTTTTTTTTTTTTTTCACATTGTACTCGGTGTTGCGTCTTCTGCCTGCTTTACCCCCATTATCTTTTCCCTTTCCCGTTTTGTGTTTTGATATCTTTGGTCTCAATATTCATCCTCGAAATCCGCAATCACAATGAAGAGCAAAAACCAGGCATGTACTTGTTGTTATCTGGCATATAGCAGGGTGAGTTACGGAGTGAGCAAGCGCCGGCGAGCGCGGAACTGAAAAACTTCCATACTTGCCTTTTTACCTGAGTACCTTGCCTGTCTTGGGTTGTATTGTATTGTACATACATGCATAGGTATCAATCGAAATTGAATGCTGAAGCTAGAAAGAAATCCTGGAGTATTAGGAGGGGCCGGTGTGAGGGTTGGTTGTGAGACAAGGTGGTGTTTATGGTGTTGTCATTGTCATCTGTAATAGGAATGACTGGGGGGTGGATGCTTGTATCATGAAACCGGAGACTGGACAAGATGGAGTTGAGTGATACTGATGACCTTCCGGACATACTGAAGGCAGATGGCATGGATGGAACAATAAGGTTCTCAACATGAAGCAGCACTCCAGAGATATATCACGTGGGCAGCGGGGCCAACCCCTCCAAGGGCAATGATGTTAGTCGAATGACAACCAACCTGTGTTTGGAATAGTAGGTAGGGGGTTTCTATCCAAAAGTAATCGTCTATGCCGTCGCTGCCCAATAAATATATACCAGAGAATTGAAACACCCGCAATATCAACGGCGAGATGAGCACCCACAATACAAGTCGTTCGTTACTCGGAATGGACCCTTAGTTTGAGAGATCAATGGACTTGTTCTAAATATGTATGTGAAAGCTAATATATATGTATAAATATGTACCAGGAAACCTGCTCAATAAGAAATGAGATGAAGAATCGGGTATCTTCAGAAAAGACACCACACCGCCGGAATGGCCAAAGCGAACAAAGAAAAGACCCATGAACCCCAATGAACACATGACAAACGCACACCGCTTAATCGCACAAAAATCATCCAGGTATTATAATAGAACGTGGTAAGGGGGTGTCCCCTTTCATGTATATTTTCCTCCTTTTATCTTTTGGAAGAGCAGTTTACTCTTCGTCTTCTTCCTCATTCATTTCACCCGAGTCGGTCCAGCCGCGAGACATCTCGACGGCCTTGGACCATTGCTTGTACATCTTCGCACTCTGCTTAATGGAAAGATGAGGTTCGAAGGTTGTGCGGTTGGCGCGATTCATGTTTTTAAGCTCATTGAAATCCTTCCAAACGTCGATGGCGAAGCCGGCGGCGATGGCCGCCCCCAGAGCGGTGGTTTCGTGCATAGCGGGACGTTCAACCGGGATCTGAATCACATCTGCTTGGGTCTTGAAAGTGTTAGTATTTCTTCTGTCATGCGAACATCGATAAGACCTGCGCAACATACCTGCATGCAGATGTCAGAATTGCTCATTCCGCCGTCAACGGCGAGTTGAGTCAATTTGTGCCCGCTATCTACCTCGATAGCATCAAGAATGGCCTTGGTTTGGAAACAGGCAGCCTCCATGGTGGCTCTTGCGATGTGTCCACGTTGCGTGTATTGGGTAATGCCAACTGTGTCATAATTAGCAAAGGACATCTCCATGTTCACACCCGATGACTGAACTTACAGATAGTTCCCTTGGCATCATCGATCCAGTAAGGCGCGAACAAACCACTGAACGCCGTGACGAAGTAACAACCGCCGCTGTCGGGCACAGACGCCGCAAGGTCACTGACTTTGCGTGAGTCACGGAAGAAACCCATGTTGTTCATCAGGAAAGAAACACCACTGCCTGCAACTGCCACACTGCCCTCCAAGGCGTAGACAGGCTTCCGATGCTTGCCCAGTTGGAAGCCCACAGTGCCAAGGAGACCGTGCTTAGAGATGACTGGCTTCTCGCCAACGTTGTACAGCAGGAAGCATCCAGTACCGTACGTGTTCTTCGCACTTCCCGGCGTGAAGGCGCAGTGGCCAACCAAGGCGGAGGACTGGTCACCAAGGCAGCTAGCGATGGGGATGCCTTCTAGAGGACCCGAGCTAACATATCCATATCCATCTGGGTCCGACGACGGAAGAATGGTAGGTAGACGGATCTTGTTCCTGTCCAGCCCGAAGAAGCTGAGCAACCGGTCGTCATAATCAAGCGTCTCAAGGTTCATGAACATTGTTCGCGAGGCGTTGGTCACATCGGTGACCAAGCGACCACCCTCAGGGCCGCCATTCAGATTATAGATGAGCCACGAGTCGACAGTACCGAAGGCGAGTCTTCCGTCCTCATATGCCGCCTTGACTTCGGGCAGATGCTCGAGCATCCATACCAAGGTAACGGAGGAGGGGTAGGTAGACAGCGGAAGACCACACATGTTCTTGAGATCATCTGCGCCCGGTCTAGATTTCAACTCACGGACCAAGCCCTTGGTCCGGGTGTCGGGCCATGCGATGGCATTGTGGAGAGGTTCGCCGGTTTCCCAGTCCCAACACACCGCAGTCTCTCGTTGACTGGTGATCCCTATCGCCTCGATTTCGTCGGTAGAGTGGCCTAGGGCGAGGAACGTCTTCATCGCTTCTTCGATGCAAATGTAAACGGAATCGACCAGCTCGAAGGGATCCTGTTCGTGCCATCTAGGGTTGCGAGTCAGCGAGGGCGATCCGGGCGGTGGAAAAATAAAAAATAAAAATAGGAGATATGGGAAACTTACCCTGAGTATGGGTGGATCTGACGAAACTCGGTCTGGTATTTCGCTACGGGGACACCAGTACAGTCGAAGATGATAAAACGAGAACTAGTCGTGCCCGTGTCGATGGCACCAATAAAGCGGTCCTTCAGATTGTCATTGCGACGATTTTCGTTCTGTAATAAAGAACGATTGCCGTCGTGCGATTGATAAGAGTGAAGGTCGGCATAGATCTCCTGCTGGTCTTGCTCGTCGACGAGCGAGTCCAAGTCGGACATATCGAAAGGGTTCCTCATTGTGACGGTGGGGTTGGTTTAGGCGATTTAGGAGAGAGATGAGAGATGAGTTGGCAAGAGATAAGATTCTCTCTCCAGGATCCGCTGGAGAAAAGAAAGAACGGGTGGCAAAGAGCAGCAGGGATTGTTGAGGAATTGATTGGAGGGAGGGACAGAGGATAAGAGAAGAGGGGGAGAATTTACGTCCCGAGCGCAGTTCTTAAGAGAGAAAAGGCGGGGGAAGAGAGAACGAGGATTGGTTAAAGGATGACGGAATTGGACTACGCGGAAGTGGTCGGTGGGGGGCAGAGGAAACGAGGAAAAGATACTGGGCAGCCAAGATGCTGAGAAGCCGGAGAAGTGGATGGCCGTGACGTAGCCGGATTCGGGGGGTGCGTGTTGGTAAGGCGGTGGGAAGGAAGAATCACTCGCGAGAAGAGGGGAGAGAGAGAGAGAGAGAGAGAGAGAGAGAGAGAGCGACAGTCAGAGAAGCCGAGCCGGAGAGCGCCAGAACAGGAGAGAAGTAGGCGGGGATGAGGTCACCGAACGGCCGGTGGCGAGGCAGCAAGGCAGGAAAGGGAAGAAACGAGAAAGAAAGAAATGAATCTTCGCTCTTCTCCAGAAAGGACAACGGAGACTCTTTATCCAACTCGGTGGATCTGGCCCGCCCCGACCAAGTATTCCCGGTGCATAAGTGGACAGCTTGCCCTTGGTACCTGTCTCTCTGGATGTACTATGTAAGTACTAGGCGTAGGCGCCATGGGGGTGCATGTAGGAACCTCCATGACTCTCTCGCCCGGCCAGTCCCTCCTGCTTGCCTGGCGAAATCCCCGTTCGTCCATGGCGGAGAAGTGGGGGCGTGGGGGACCCTTTCCCGCCTTCGCATTGGAAGACGCTCGAATTCCCACTTTCTTCGGGCCTTCTTTTTTCTTTTTTCTTTTTTTTTTCTGATCAGACGACCACCGTCCGTCGTCAGCACTGACATTCATGGCCCTCCTTACGCGGAATGGAGATTGCTTGTTTGGGGTTTTTGGGAAGGTTAGCCTGGGGGAGGAAAATAATAGTCCCAAAATCTGGAGTCGCCGTCTCCCTATTTCCGTTATCGTCAATTATCACCCTGCACTATTTGATTCCAATTCGGACCGGGGATCCGGGTTATCGCTCCCCATCTTTTACTCCGTACGCAGATGTTTTTGGCTGAAACCTCAGGAATTGATTGATGGATTTTTTTTGGGTTCGGGTGCTATACAATTCCTTGATTATGGCCATCAATCATCGATCACCCTTCATCCTGGATCTAGAATTTAAGGGTCATTGAACGGAATTCTTAGGAGTAAGTCACCTTCATTGACGAGAACCCCCCAAAAAAAGAAAAATAAAAATAAAATAAAATCGCCCTTTTCCCATCAGTGCGGTAAAGGAGGGTGTGTCCGGCAGGGCTTCCGATCATCGCAGCCAATGGCTCGAGGAACGCGACTAAGAATAGTAGTCGGTGTTGGACTGCCACATGACATCGATCACGGACCCATCGCAGGTCGATTCCATGGTTTTCGGTTCTAGTATCTGCACCTCCACCCGGACTAGTCGCGGTGCCTAGAACACCCCCCGAAAACAGCTGTACCCGGGATGGTCTCCAGCAGTATACGCTGGGGGTCGAGATAAGCAATCGTCGTAGACTATCTAATTGTGATTGCCGCCAACAATGAGAACAAGAGACCCGTCTCCCTTCTTTCTTCCTTTTACATTCCCCCTTCCAAGGCTTGTCTAGTGTGATTATTCCTGGTCTGCGATCCTCCTACAATACGGCAAGAGATCTGATGGAGGCAACATGGCGGCAACATGAAGACAAAAAATTATAAGAAATAAACACACAATAATAAAAAACCAACGGGCTCAGTCTCTAATCGATAATGCAAAGCCGATGTGCAACCCTACCCGATCCATTCCACAACCAGACATACCTACCTGCAGAAGAGATGCCGATCTGGAAATCGAATCTCCATCGAAGCCCAACCACCGTCCCCCGAACAACGGGGAGGAAATAATCCTAAATAAACCAGATCACATCCCTGCCAAGGTAGGTAGGATTGAAGACAAAACACGCAAGAGAGGGGCTCTGCGGGCCCCGTTTCCTCACGACTCCGTCGATCGAGCACATGACAGTGTGCAATTTTCTCCTCGGCGATCTAGACCGGCCCTTTTTACCCCTGGATTATTGCTCTTTCCTTTTTTTCCTGATCATTTGGAAGTTCTAGCTTCTTCTCTTTGAGCGTTCCAGGGTCGTTGCTGGAATTTGGACCCCCTCTCTCCTTTTCCCCTTCTCATTGTTAGTTTATTTTATCTTATTTCAGGATCCGTTTTTTTTTTTTTTTTTTTTTTTTTGCGCGTGCTCATGACCTCTTCCAGAGTGGACACCCAAGCATCCATTAGTAATGTCAGAACTATATTTTCTTTTTCTTTTCCCTTTTCCTTTTTTTTTATAAAAAAATAAAAATAAAACTAAAACTAAAGATAACCCATGACCCCCCGTTCGAAACTATTTAATATCTCCAGAGTACCCCAATTCATGGTGAGGCCTAAACATCTCATATTCAGGTTTCTCCTGCGTGACTACCCCGTCCAAGGGTTCGTAGACCCTTGTCCATCTAGCACGCGTTCCGGCCGGGATGAGACGGCACTAAGGAAGCCGACGGGGGGAACAAGTCATCGATTCGGTGTTGTGATTTACGGAGAAATTCGAGCAGCGGATAGTCGGGTCGGCTTGGCCCCCTCCGTTAGTCAACCCTGGGCCACGGGATCAATTGTGCCGACCGGCAGAAAGGGTCTCGACGCTGACCGGCTCTCATTTTAACTACAGACAATATCAATCTCAGTGTCACCACGGAGGATTAAATGTACTGCTCGAAGATCCTCCTGTCCAGTTCCGTGTTTCGGATGAATGAATTATTGACGACAGCTGCGAAGTACGCTGTAAGCAATTGTTGAGTTGACCAGTCCGGCTGACGGCCCAACTGCCTCCGTACTTTCGCATTTCCACCCGGTGGTTTTCCGGGCCATCCTCAAGCTCTGCCCGGCTAGCCAGCTGTCGATGTCATGATTATGTATCCCAGGGTTTGCCCACGTATCCCAGTTAGCTCAGAGATCCCACCGAGGCCCACCACTCGCCACCTCAGGGCGGATAGTGACGTTTGCGACCAGACTTCAAACCCAACTTACGTAGCTTTGCGTGCCCTGGATGAACATGATCGGCAGCAGAGGTCGCTATTTTTTTTTTTTTTTTTTTTTTTTTTTTTTTTTTTTTTTTTTATTTATTTTGATTTTCATTTTCAACTCGTCCTTTTCGGCGTTTCAACCCTCCCAGGATAATCAACTTGAATCATTCGGAGCCTCCATCTCCAGCCGGCATTGACCTTTGATGCACTACGGACCGTTGGTCCCAATTGGCTGGAAGAGACGGATCATCAGAGCATGCAACAAACCCGGAGTCGATCCTCCACCGAGAATTCTTTTATTTATTTATATCTTAGAGATCAAAAAGACAAATGGCAGAGAGTACTGCACGGAGTAGCTGAATTTTGGCAAATCCCCATTGAGACCTTCAAGATCCCGGGACAGCTAGGACCGATCGATAGATAGCATACCCCGTGCGTGCGTTGTTCTTTGGACCCGCCAAGAACGAGGGAAAACAGAGTTACGGAATCTACGGAAGGGAACCTTTTCCTCTCTCTTTCCCTTCGCTTCCTTTTCCCACGCCGCAGCCGTTCAAATGGCCAACGGTGAGATCCTGTCAAAGGTTGGTTAGTACCTATGCGGACCGATACCTTCCCGGCGCTTCCTCCCAAACCTGTTTGGATCCCGGCCAGTCGTCATCGCGGGCTGTTGCTGCGATCTGCAGATTTCGTGGCCGACAACTACCTATACTCTGGTGGGTGGTTCCGTCGCCAGGTTGCCATTTGTACTTCGCAATGTTATCTATCTACTCCGTCCCTATCTACCTAGCTATCTATGTCTTGGGCACCACGAGGACTGGCCCAATTTATGCACGGAGCATGTATGCACATACATAGTAATCAGGTAGGTACATGATTAGTACATGACCGACATATTTGCAGGGTATCGATCTGGTCGGTTACCCTGTTTGGGTCCTGACAGCGAAGTGTCCTCGTCTGACTTTCCTTGAATTGCTCGTTTGCAACGTTCCCGCCGGATCCTGGGCGCTTTCCGGGTTGCGACTTGCTGGTAGGTCGTTGTCCCTTGTCGTGTCTGGTCTGGTCTGACCGACCCCGTCATCCCCAGGGTTTGGGTCTTGCCTGGGCTGTCAAAACCCCGCATATTCGGTCTTGGATCGTGCGATCCTGGTCCGCCACGCCCGGGGTTACTTCGTCTAGTGGTGACTAGTAAGGCTGGGCCTGGGGTCGTGTTCTGTCTGTTTGGATATCCGACGTGACCTCGGGAATGGGCGCCAAGGGCCTAATCTCTTACCATCAGGGATTCCTTACATATCCGTAGTCCCGTGGGGAGAGTAGATCCGGAGTTTGGAATCTAGGCAGGTAGGGGAGAGGGCACGAGCCACTGCGCTCTACGGTACTACCGAGTACGACCTTAGTCTCTAGGCTGTCTCCCCGCACCCGATGAGTCCGGAGTACCTTATCTTCGATGGTTACGGAGTATACGGCGTATGTCGAGTCGGACGAACCACTCTTTGCCTTCGATAGCTTCAAACAATGGAGACAGGCTAAACAAATGAAAAATTCCAGCGTCCGCTGATTCGTTGATTCCGCATGTAATCTACAAGAAACTCAACCCGACAAAAAGATAAAACTGACAACCAAAACGAGAAACAATGATATGGGACCACTCCTTTTGCTTTACTGTCACACGGGACTTGCCACAGGCAAGGTCTTAGAGACGCATCGTCGCTCTCGGGCCACTCCATCATATTTCAAACTATGCACAACATATCACATGCTTATACAATCACGGGATCGGAGGATCTCTTTTGATATAGAGTAGTTCGATTGAATTCGATTCCTTTACTCGGCGTCCTCGAGCTCGGCCTTGCGGCGGGCCTCAAGCTCCTCCTGCTCCTTCTTCTTCAGGAACAGCAGAGCGTTGATCTTGTCGGTGATGCTGTGCTCCGAGGTGATGGTGTTGGCAATCTGCTCACGGCCGACCAGGGTGGCCACGATGCTGGCTCCGACGACGAAGGTCAGGACGAAGCGGTACATGCTGTACCAGGCGGGAGCACGGCCGTGGGTAGCGGCGCGAGCGTCGTTGTAGTAGAGGAAGGTGAAAGCGAGGAACTGGCTGATCAAAGCGTATTCGGTGGGGAAGAGCAGAGTCGGCCACGCAACGGCAGGGGCGACAACACCGGCCGCATAACGCTTGTAGCCGTACTTTCCGCCGTATCCGGCCCACTCAAGACCCCAGTGCACGGCACCCAGGAAAGAGAGGATCTGTTCATCACTCCCGGTCAGTCTAGATCTTGGTTTAACCCGATGTCGTGGACTGCACTTACCACAGCGCCGTATCCGACCTGGATGGGCTCGATCATGTGGAGCAGGAGCTCGGCAGTCTGGCCGGAGAAGATAAGGCCATCGGCACCAGCGGCGGATCGGCTGATCTCGTACGAAAGGTAAACGGTCTCCATCGAAGTGGCGAGATAAGGAATGACACCGGCCATACCGAGGTACAGAGCCTCCTTGGGGACCTCCGCAAGGCTGAAGGTGTCCTTGATCACTTTCTGTGGTAGAATCCCGAACGTGAGCCAATTGCTCTTTGGAACTATGCCCGACGCGTACAAAGCCCGACGGGACCGCATATGATCGGGGGGAAGAAACGAATCGATGGATACATACCGCCTCACCCTTGATACCGGCCATCATATCAACATCTTCCTCGCCGTGGGAGTCCTGCTCGGATGGAATCAGCGATTGGCGTTCTGTACAGTGCCTACCGGCAACCGTGACCTTCTCACCTTGGACGAAGAAGAGGCATAACGGACAAGCGCCGTGGTGACGGGCTTGCGAGCAGCCAGAGCAAGGCTGGGAGACGAGGTCGGACGAGCGGGAAAGCGAGCGGCGGAGGTCAAGGGAGCCTTGAAAACGTTGCTGGCGAAGCTCGAGCGGGCGACCGAGGCATTGGTGTTGGAAAGAGCCCGGAGGGCAGAGCGGGCAGCGGTGGTTCTGTACAACATGGTCGACTAGGACAGCTAATTTTTCTCCCGATCTCGGGTTAGCAAAGCGATGACTGGAAAGCTCGGATAGACGGTAGACGGACGACCACTCACCCAATTGAGCTGGAAAAAGAAGAAGAAGAAGAAGGAAGAGTGGAGTTGAGGGTATTCACCCAGGAGCTGGTCGAGTTTGACTCGTGGGAGTGGAGATGGCAGGCCGAGGAGACAATTGATCCTGGAGACAACGAATGAGTGAGGTGATATTATGCTGAGGTGCGGTAATGCTCGGGCTCGGGCGCACCGCAGACGCCACTGCCGCAGGTGTCATCGACCGGCAGCCTCAGGCACCCAGCAATCCACCGCCGCCCGCATGCGGGTGACTCAGCCGGCAGGGCTGGAGCCCTAGGCGGCTAACCGGATGCGGCACTTCGGGCGGAGAGACGCTGCGACGCGGGATTGGGAAAGAGCGACCGACGTCACTGCCCGGTCGGGTTACGCAGCCCCCCTTTTGGTCGCTGGCCAGCACATGTTTTCCCCAGGTACAGTAGGCCTTAGGCTGTCGAACTAGCAGGGCGGCCTTGTCTGCTTTCCCAACCTGAACTCAGCTCACTTCGCCTTCCCCTCATCCCCATTTCGACTCCCGACATTCTTTCTGCTATCTCTCGCATACCGTCTCCGGCGTATCTCACGGCTGTCTTGCTTTCCCCACCTTTTCTGCTGGTCAAACCGCCATCCATCCCGTCTCGACCCAGCCCGGCCCGCATCCGTATCGCGTGTACGCCTAGGCGACATCCTGGATGGCTGTGGTTTCTGCAGATTGCGCGTGTAACTAGAGCTCGCGCGTGTGTGGCAAGGTCGGCCTTTCCCTGCCTGCTTTCATTGATTACCCGTCCTGGCCCTGTTTCTACCTGCTCAATTGCCCAGCTCTTGTCACCTCCCGCCTCGTCTTGCCGCCGATTGGCCCCCCTCATGCTGACATTTGGCTCTCCAACCAGGCTGGCGTGATTTGGATTTGAACAGCTTTGAACAGCTTGCCTTCGAAGGCTTATCATTTGTCGTATTCTTTCACACCCCGGCCCCCGTAGCCGCATACCGCAACCATGTTGGAAGGGGTTGTCGCCAACCTGCTTAACCGCTTCTTGGGCATCTACGTCAAGAACTTCGACGCTACGCAGCTGAACATTGGTATATGGTCCGGTGATGTCAAACTTCGAAACCTAGAACTGCGGCGAGAAGCCCTGGATCAATTGCATCTACCCCTCAATGTCGTCGAAGGCCACCTCGGTGAGCTCACTCTGTCGATACCCTGGTCCAACCTCAGAGGGAAGCCGGTCAGAGTCGATATCGAGGATGTATTCCTCCTCGCCGCCCCGAAGGAAGATGCGGACTACGATCCAGACGAGGAGGAACGGAGAGAACAAGCCCTGAAGATGGATAAGATCGACAGCGCGGAAATCTTGAAGGAACGAAACTCGGAGGGCATGAGCCAGGAGGAACAGCGTCGAAACCAAAGTTTCACCCAGAGCCTCATCACGGCAGTCGTCGACAACCTTCAAATCTCCATCAAAAACGTACACTTCCGTTATGAGGACTCGATTGCATCGCCTGGCCATCCGTTTGCCGTCGGTATCACGCTAAAGGAGCTCAGTGCAGTCAGCACCGATTCCGATTGGAACCCCACTTTCATCCAGTCAACCTCGAGTACAACGCATAAATTGGCAATCCTGGGTGCCCTGTCAGTCTACTGGAATACAGATGCGGAGCTTTTGGGTACCGGTCGAGGTTCTGACGTGGGCGCAGAAGCTCAGGGCACTAGCCATGCAGAACTGATGGAGCGACTACGATCGGGCATTGATGAAGAACATAGCCAATATATGCTTCGCCCAGTGAGTGGGCGTGCTGGGTTGGAACTGGATAAATCCGGAAAGCATGATCGGCCGGCCATCAAGACTCGGCTGCTCTTTGACGAGCTTAGCTTCGTTTTAGATGACAACCAATACCGGGATGCGCTGATGCTCGTGGATCTATTCCACTACTTCATCCGTCATCAGGAATACAAGAAGCTCCAGCCGAAGTCCAGCCCCAAGGAAGATCCTCGCGCTTGGTTCAGGTTTGCTGGTGAAGCCGTGCTTAGCAAGATCCATGATCGAAATCGGCGTTGGACCTGGGATTACATCAAAGAACGAAGGGATGACCGAATCGCGTACATTGATCTTTTCAAGAAGAAGAAACGCGACGAAAATTTGTATGGAGAAGACGCCGATGAGTTTGATAGGCTACAGAGAAAGCTGAATTATGAGGATATCCGGTTTTGGAGATCGTTGGCGAGAAATCAGCTTCGCAAGGAGAATGTAGGCGTGAAAAAGCCTGCACGACAACAAACCTGGGGAGAATGGATCTGGGGTACTAAAAAAGAAGAATCCGAGGAGACAGCAATGACCGAAGAACAACGCCAGGAGCTCTACAATGCTATTGACTGGGACGAGAAGAAAGCAATTGCCGACAGCGTCGAGGTTCCGCGGGAATGGGTCAAATTGCAGATCAACTCTGCTCTCAGAGCCGGCAGCTTTACCTTGAAGCGTGATCCCCATGGAGCGGCCAACGAGATCATGAAGTTGGTGTTCGATAATTTCCGTGCAAAGGCATTACAGCGGTCAGACTCCTTTTTTGTTGACCTGGACCTCGGAGGACTAAGAGTTTACGACGGAACAACGGAAGGAAGTCTTTTCCCGCAGATTGTGAAAGTGAAAGATTCTCTCCCAGAGCCAAAGAACCGTCTATCGCAGGTCTCAGGCAATGCTGAACTAGATGCTGAGGTCGGTGACGATATCGTTGAAGACGAGGACAGTTTGTTCCACCTTCAGCTCGAGAAGAATCCTCTTGAAAGCGATGCCGACTCCGTGGTCAAGGTCAAACTAAAGAGTATCGAGGTCATCTACAACCCCAGGTTCTTGGTCGAGGTGGTCAAGTTCTTTGAGCCCCCAGAGCGACACATGGAATCCATCGGGGCTCTTTTGGATTCGGCGGGCGCTACCGTGGAGGGAATCCGGCAGCAAACCCGAGCTGGCTTGGAGTTTGCCTTGGAGGAACACAAGAAAGTGGATGCACAATTTGATATCCACGCGCCGTTGTTCATTGTTCCGGAGAGCATCACGCAAGAAAGCTCCCTGTGCTTGATCCTCGACGCTGGTCATGTCAGTGTCAACAGCGAGTTGGTTGACCGACAGACTATGAGAGACATCCAGTCCAAGCAGAAACGCCAGTATGACGAGGGCGATTATAAGGAGCTCGAGCATCTATTATATGATAGGTTTCTACTCAAGCTTGACTCGACACAGGTCCTCATTGGCCCGGGTATCGAGACCACCAAGTCTCAGCTGAATGCCGACGTCACATCTAGTAACTTCCATATCATTGATCGTATCAACGTGGACTTCGTCCTTGAGATGTGCATCGTCCCGAAGGTCACAGAACTCACCCGGACCAGAATATCCGGCCATCTCCCCGAATTACATGCATCGATCTCCGACACAAAGTATAAGGGATTGATGAAATTGATCGACATCGCAATTCCACAATTTGATGATGGGACAGGTGGGCCTGCTTCCTCAGAAGTGAAAGGCGATAACTCGACTGTCACTGGCAACAGAGCGAGGTCCTCGTCATTTAAACCACCCAGCCTGAGGGAACTTCCCGTCGTTGACGAAGATTCTGATGATGAGTCGGATTCCGAACAGACAAATCAGAGCGTTGATAAGCCGACCAACATTCATCGCCGAGATTTTGAATTCAAGTTTACTGTCGGTCGTCTACGTGGTTCATTGTTTCGCTCGGATCCTAATGATCAACTCCGAGATCATCTACTAGCCGAACTGGTTGCTGAAGGGTTCGCATTAGACTATTACATGCGCCCATTTGATATGGTAGCAGAGATAGTCCTTAAATCCCTCAGTGTAGATGATTACATTGAGGACAACCCCTTGCCCGAGTTCAAGAGGATCATTTCGTCCAAGGGATTCGATGCGGACGAGGATAAAGACCTGTTCCATCTCAAGTTTGTCCGAGTCAAGCCAGAGTCTCCCGAATTCGAGTCAACATACGAGGGCATCGCGATGAACCTTGATGTTTCTGTCTCAACTATAAACCTCGTCGTCACCAGAAGGACGCTCCTCACTCTCCTGGACTTCATCCTCCTCACCTTCACTAACCCGGAGCAATCGACCAACGGGGACCGCCAGTCAGACCGAGCTATCCAGGGAACAGCCGAGGAGGACCAGAAGCCTCAGCAGTCTGGAAAAATCCGCATTAAGGCTGACCTCAAAAGTATTGCTCTCATTCTCAACAACGATGGTGTCAGGCTTGCCACCATTAGTCTGAACACTGCTGACGTGGGCATCTTCCTTGTGGGCAAGACCATGCTCATTCAATCTCGAATCGGGAGCTTGACATTGGTGGACGATGTCAATACAGGAGCTTCTGAGAAGTCTGATCTTCGGAGACTCCTGACTATCGAGGGTGATAACTTCGCCGATTTCAAATATGAGACTTTCGACCCGGAAAGTGCGAATTACCCTGGATATGATTCCGAGGTTTTCCTCCGATCGGGATCGATCAAAATCAATTTCCTTGAAGAACCATACCGAAAGATCATCAACTTCTTGGTCAAATTCGGGAAGATGCAGGCAATTTTCAATGCTGCCCGGCAGGCCGCGGCCAACCAAGCCAACCAGCTCCAAGAAAATGCTTCGCGGATGCGTTTTGACGTTGTCGTCATGACACCCATCTTGGTCTTCCCCGGAGCCGTCAAGGAGGACCGCCCTCGCGACACCGTGACAGCCCACCTTGGTGAGATATACGTCAAGAATACCTTTGTCCCGCTCGAGGATGAAAAGGACAGCCCTGCCGTGAACTTGATTTCTTCTGGTATCCGCAATATCCGCCTGACGTCGAAATTCCATTTCGATGAAGGCGCAGTCGAAGAACTTGAGATGATTCAGAAGGTCAACCTTGATTTCAGTATATGCTACTTGGAGCACCAGCCAGACAACCCACGCCCTGACATGGAAATCGAGGGATCAATGTCGCCCATCAATCTCCGTATCTCGCAGAAACAACTGAAGTTCTTGATGGCTTTGTCTAAAACAGTGCCCGGTGCATTCGCAACCGACACAGAGCAACAAGAGCTAGAGGCAATGCAGGCACTTCCATCCTCAGTAACCGAACCGACCAAAGAAGCGGGGTCCAAGGCAGCTCAAGAGAGGCAGTCACTGGAAGCGAACAATGGAGATGAAACCTGGGTCCGACTTGATATGATCTTCAAAGTAGATAGTGTCGGTTTGGAGCTCATCTTGTCTCAGGACGACGAGCCAGTTGGGCGCTTGGAGGATGCCAGTTTGTCAAAGTTCTCGTTGAACGACACACGAGTCAAACTACGCATGTTGACGGATGGCTCATTGGAGTCTGAGCTATTGATACATTCCCTTTCTATTCGGGACAGCCGCAATGGGGACACCAATAAATTCCGGAAAATCATGTCTCTGATCAACAATGATGTCCAGCAACAATTCATGGCCAGCGTGTCAATGTCTGCAGGACCGGAAAAACATCTGATCGCCATGTTGACCATCGATAGCCCGCGCATTATACTTGCGCTGGATTATCTTTCTGCCCTGCAGTCCTTCACAAACTCTGCGTTCGCTTCAGAAGAGTCCGTCGAAGAAGATGATGGCAACGAGACAGCCGAAGAATCGGAGCCCAGGTCAAGTACAGCGGAAAGTAGAGATGGCTCGGTTGGACCTGCAGCTGGAGAGACCGCCACCCCGGCTGGGCAGACTACAGTGTCATTCAAGATGAATCTTGTTGATGCGCAGGTGATAACAATTGCGAACCCGGCCATCACAAACACTGAAGCCATAGTACTTGGAACGAAACAGGTGCTCTTCTCTCACCAGAATGTTTCAACTTTGCAAATCACCAAAGTTGGCATGTTTCTGTGTCGGATGGACAAGTTTGAGACCAGCAGGCTTCGGATTCTTGACGATTTCACGCTTGAGATAACCATGGATAGTCGCCCCCAAGAGAAAGGCTCTGCTTTGACATCAATCAACGTGCATCTCGAGCCTTTGGTCCTTCGTCTCTCTCTTCGGGATATTCTAATGGCTGTGCAAATCGTGAACAAGGCATCTGAAATGCGGGCCCAAAGAACCAACGAACTGGAGAGTGGCGAGGCAAATCAGATAACAGATGGCAAAGCCACAGGTACGAAGTCTTCGCGAAGAAAGTCTGTCGGCAAACCATCGTCTTCCGCGGTTGCTCATCGTGGGTCGCGTGGAGCCCTTGATCCCCAAGAAGCTCGACTGGCACCTACGCGTTCGGCCATTCTCAAACGAGAGGAGATGAATGCTCAAATCGACGGTATTAGAGTCATTCTCATCGGTGACCTCCACGACCTCCCACTGCTTGATTGGAGCGTGAAGAAATTTACAGTGGATGTTCGTGACTGGTCGTCAACCTTGAACGCTGACACAAGCTTCGATACATTCCTCAACGTCTACAATTTCTCCAAGTCAGCCTGGGAGCCGCTCATAGAGCCATGGCAGCTGGGCTTCCATGTGGCGAAGGAAGTAAACCCAGAAATACTTTCGATCGATGCCTACTCTCACAAAACAATGGAGCTCACGGTCACGTCCGCCACGATTGCACTGGCATCCAAGTCTTTCCAGTTCCTTTCCACTGACGAGGATGTTCTATCGAAACCAAGAGGCGCCGATGCACCCTATCGGATCCGCAACTACACTGGTTTTGATCTCCACGTCTGGGCCGATGTTAGTGCCGACGAAGACGGACCGGCTGCTAAGCTTACAGACGGGGAAGAATATCCTTGGAGATTCGAGGACTCAACTGCTATGCGTGAGAACCTCGCGCCAGAAGGCCACGCCGGGCTTGTCGGGGTCAAGCTGGAAGGAAGTGGGTTTGAAAGCGTAAGCCGGATTCCTGTTGTTCGAGAGGGTGAGATGCTATACAACTTGAAACCGAGGAAGGAAAACGTTCTCCATCGACTTCTTGTCGAAGTCAAGCTCGGCACAGACAACGTGAAATACATCACCTTCCGGTCACCATTGGTCGTTGAGAACAACACCCAGATACCCGTCGAGCTAGGTATCTTTAGTCCAAACGATGGCCATCTTCTGAAAATTGAGAAGATCCTCCCTGGTGATGCTCGACCGGCGCCTGTTGGGGCAGCGTATATGCATTCCCTTGTTGTGCGCCCTGATCAAGGCTTCGGGTATGACTGGTCCAACGAACAATTGCATTGGAAAGATCTCATGCGGCGGCCAACTCGGACAATCAAGTGTGTCAGCGAGAACGGACAACAGGCCCCGCCATTCTATTTCCAGATGAATGCTACATTCAATGCCCGAGATTCTCTGACAGGTCACTATCCTTACATGCGGATTCGCATCTTCGCTCCTGTTGAAATCCAAAATCTCCTTCCCTACGATTTCAAATACCGCATTTATGACAAGAACACGAGAAAGGACTGGACTAACTTCCTGCGAAAGGGAGGCGTCAGCCCTGTCCATGTCGTTGAACTTTCGCACTTGCTTCTTCTCAGTATTGATATGCAAGATACTGTTTTCAAACAGAGTGATTTTGCTATCATCAACGGAAACGCGCAGGACTTTAGGCGAGAACATGTGCTCTCTTTGAAGGATGAGAGGGGCATTCAGCTGAAACTTAAGCTACATTACTACAATGTGCCTGAAAGTGGAGGCGCATTCAAGGTGTCCATCTACAGCCCCTACCTCATTTTGAACAAGACTGGCCTTCCGATGGAGATACAGAGCAAGGCCTTCTTGCAGTCGGCTCGGTCAGCAGCCGGTCAAGGTCTGAGGGCCGATCCCAGGACTGGCGGTCGTGCTCTTCCCTACATGTACTCTTATCCCACTGGTGATCCCAAGAACCGGTCCATGCTGAGGATAGGCGAATCTGCATGGAGCAAGCCTCAAAGTTTCGAAGCCATCGGAAGTACATTTGAGGTCGTCCTTCCGGACCGAAATGGCAGGTCCGAATTCCATTCAGGTGTGTCTGTCGCCGAGGGTGAAGGGAAATACAAGATGACCAAGGTCGTCACAATTACGCCTCGGTTCATTCTGAAGAACAAGCTCAACGAAGAATTGTTGGTTCGAGAGCCTGGTTCTTCTAATGTCCTTAGCATTAAAGGAGGCGATCTTATTCCTCTTCACTTTTTGCGTCAGGTTGCCGAGAAACAGCTCTGTCTTTGCTTCCCAGGAGTGAACAACCAGTGGTCCTCTCCTTTCAACATTGCGGACATAGGGACTGTACACGTCAAACTTGCGAAGACAAATCAACGCCAAAGACTGATCAAGGTTGATACCATTATGGAAAACGCTACTCTCTTCGTTGGTTTCAGTTTTGAAAATCGCAATTGGCCGTTTTCCATGCGAAATGAGAGTGACATGGAGTTTATCTTCTACCAGGCGGTATGTTCTATGAGATATGAGACACTTTGGAATGCGCAAATCACTGACTTCTTTTTCTTTTAGAACCCGAATATTGAAGATGATGAAGTTGACAGGACAAGCGACTGGCGGCCAATTCGTTACCGTCTTCCTCCACGAAGTATCATGCCTTATGCGTGGGATTATCCAGCCACGAAAAACAAAACTCTTGTGTTGACCTGCAAGGGTAAGGAACGACGTATCAAGCTTGCGGAGATTGGCAATTTGATTCCGATGAGAATTCCCCCAGCTCAGTACGGTGAATCTCAGAAGATCATCGACATCAACATTACTGCCGAAGGTCCTACCCAGACTTTGGTTCTGTCAAATTTCAAGCCTTCGAAGAGCATGTACCGGCAACAGAGGGGACAGGCTTCTCAATCCAGTCTAAGCACCGGGTTCGAGGTTAAAGAACTGGATTCTGATGTCAATTTCAAAGCTCAGCTTCGTCTCGGAGGGATTGGTATATCATTGATCAACCAAAACCTGAAAGAGCTGCTTTATATGACCTTCCGCGACATTGAGATCAAGTATAGGGAATCTCGACTCTATCAGACTCTGAACACTACCATAAAATGGATTCAGATCGACAATCAGCTCTACGGAGGTATCTTCCCAATCTTGCTGTACCCCAGTGTGGTCCCGAAGACCGGCAAGGAGATGGAGGCCCATCCGATCTTCCATGCCATGATTACGCGCGTGAAAGACGATTCTTACGGTGTGCTTTACATCAAATATGCCACGATCCTACTGCAGCAGATGACACTAGAGCTGGATGAAGACTTCGTGTTTGCGATGCTCGACTTCGCGAAGGTCCCTGGTGCCTCGTGGTCTGAAGAACAAGAGGGTCAGCTTTGCGACGAGAATCTCCAAATCCCGGAGCCAAAGGGTGAAGGTGCTGGGCAGGATGTATACTTTGAACTGCTGCATTTGCAGCCGATGCAGGTTGACATTTCTTTCATGCGAACCGAGCGCATCAATGCGGAAGACACGATGCAGCCCTCCAATCCACTGATGTTCGTCGTCAACGTCATGACCATGTCAATGGGCAATGTCAACGACGCACCGGTCCGACTCAATGCCCTGATGCTGGAGAATGCCCGAGTGTCCCTCGGTGTGCTTGTGAGCAACATTCAGAGACACTACACCCAAGAAATTCTCCGTCAAGTCCATATCGTTCTTGGATCTGCTGATTTCCTCGGTAACCCGGTCGGTCTGTTCAATAATGTTAGTTCCGGGGTTGCTGCAATCTTCTATGAGCCATACCAGGGATTGGTCATGACCGACAGACCTCAAGAGCTTGGTATCGGCATTGCCAAAGGTGCCACAAGCTTTGTCAAGAAGTCCGTCTTCGGCTTCTCGGACAGTATGGCCAAGCTCACTGGAAGTATGTCGAAGGGTCTTACTGCTGCCACCCTGGACAAGGAGTTCCAAGACCAGCGACGGATGTCAAAATCTCGAAACCGGCCGAAACATGCACTTTATGGTATCACTGCGGGCGGGAATGCGTTTGCGAACAGCTTGGCAAGTGGTATCGGAGGCCTCGCACGTCATCCACTCCAAGGCGCTGAAAAGGAAGGTCTTCAAGGATTTTTCAAGGGTGTTGGCAAGGGTGTATTAGGCTTAGCTACGAAGCCTGCCATTGGTGCCTTTGACTTGGCCTCAAGTAAGTTTTTTGTCTTGAAGGGATTGTTTGGATGTGGTCACTAACATGTGTACAGACCTGGCCGAGGGTGTCCGCAACACCACTACTGTATTCGATGCAGAGGGGCTCGATCGTGTTCGACTGACGCGATTTATTGGAACAGACGGCATAGTACGACCATACTCGCAGCGCGAAGCCTTGGGTCAGTTCTGGCTCAAGACCTCGGACGACGGACTGTACTTCAACGAGGATTACATTGCCCACCTGGAGCTTCCTAGCAGAGACATGCTGGTCATGTTGACATACGACCGGATAATGCTTGTGCGGTCCAAGAGGCTCAAGACCGAATGGGACACTCGATTGACCGATATCCAAACCATCTCGAAGGAGCGCACCGGCATGAGCATCATTCTCAAGGGAGGTGCCAACGGACCCTTCATCCCGGTTCAGGATGAAAGCGCCCGAAACTGGCTGTACAGACAGATTGCTGTTGGTAAGTGAACATGATGTGCTCTGGATTGATGAGGCGAGGCTAACAGTGTTTCTTCCAGCCGTCAATGCATTCAATGAGAAGCATAACAACATCGCGCGGACCAGTTAATATATTGAAATTCCTATGGTCTACTAATGACGTTTATGAGAATTGGCCTCGAGGTATTCTGGCGTGATGTCGAGAGGACAGAAGGTAAAAAATTGTTGCAAGCCATGGAAATTCAGACTGGGTGCGTTCAAGGGGCATCTCAAGTTTACGCTTTCACTGCACTTCAGCGTCGCACATAGCCATCTTATGTTTTTATGTTTTCGATTCCTGTCGCTTTTGTTTTTTCATTCTTCCCCCCTTTCTAAAGTGATGACTGTAGATAGTACATTACGTTTGGTTATTCATCAGGTATTTAATTAATATTTTCTCTTCAATTATATAGAGTCATGGGGTATTTCGTTTGCTTTTGAAAAAACGGTACTCCGTACATTCTATCATAGACGAAACAGGATATCATAAAAGCCCAGAAAAAGCAAAAAGTTTTCAAGAAACTCGTAGGAACCTTGAGGGTGGTAAAGGCTAAGAACGAAATTACTTCCCTTCTGCCCTCTCCACCAATCGCTCTTCCAAGCCCATCGGCTCCCAAATATCTTTGGCCTTCTTGTTCTGCACCCAGACCACGTCGCCGTGGAAGTATGCCACGACGCCCCCTTTTCCCGTCGCACTGGCCGTGATGCGGAAGAGAGGCTGGCCGTTCTGCGGATGCGCCTCCCGCAGCGGCAGCATGAGGAGTCCCTCGTTTTCGCACCACGATTCGAGGAGGTCCTTGAATCTGACCTCTTCGACGGCCTTGGGTTTGCGCGGCGCTTCGACGGGCGCGCGAGTTGCCTGTTCCTTCTTTTCCTCGGGCTCGTGGCGCGTCGTGGTCGGGGGTGGAAGTTCGGCGGCTGCTCGGTCGCCCAGGCTCGAGGCCAGATTCATGGACTCCAGGCCCTTGTTCCATTCGTCGTTGACTATGGGCAGTTCGTTGATGTCGACGGGGATCTGCGTACGCCACCACACGAACCACTCGCCGACTTCTTCGTAGTTCGGGTCGTGCGTGAGCCAGTAGTGGAGAATGAAGTGCCATTTGGGGAAGAACTCGGCCACCAGGAGCAGGCCCATCACTTTGGGTTTGAAAAAGTCCTTCCATGCCAGCACGTCGTTGAGCGCGGTGAGATCCTGGTCTTGCGGGCTGACTTCGAAATCGTCGCGCAGATGGCGACCGAGTCGCGGGAGGAGGTATTTAAGTAGACAGTCGTCGAACCCGGATCCCAGCGCGTCGCGCCAGAGCTCGATGCCGCTGACCAGGCCTCTCCTGAGGTCCCAGGACTCCAGCAGCGTGCAGAATTTCCTCTTTGCATCTGACAGAAGACCCGTGGCCTGCTTGGGGTCGGTGTGTCGTTCGTCGAGATATTGAAGCCATGTGAATAGCCACCACGGGAACCGGGAACCGTGCTGCGAGGATGAATGCTGTCGACTGCTGCTTCTGGGCTTCCATTCTTTGATCCCGCCGGTGAGCTTGGGCACCACGAGCTGATCAAGCACGTTGGCGTACACGAAGGACGGGAGAATCTCCTTCCATGCAACGATTAGCGACGTGGCGGAGGTCGGGTCGAACACATCCCATTCGTTGAGGAGGGCTGACCGCACGCGGGGCAGCCAGAGGGTGTATATCATCGTTTCGTAGGGCGATGTTGACTGTCGTTGGCCTTCTTCGGTGTTCTTCTTTCGAGAGAGCAAGGGTTGGAGGCGGCGGAGATGCGGTACGAGGAATGTCGGTTCCTTGAGAGGCTCCCATTCTTCCATGGCTTCACGGAAGAGGGGATGTATGGCGGCTACCGCTGTCTCAGGTAGTCGGTATTCAAGGATTTCGTTTCGGAATTTCATTTCCAGCGATTCAAGCTTGTCGGTTACTTCATCGAACTTCCTCCGGACGTTGCTGTCATCTTGGAAGATTTCCAGCGCCCCAACGGCCGTGATCAATTCCGCCAACTGATCGGCTCGTAGCTGCTGAGTGTCGAGTTGCTCAACTATCTGCGCCTCTTCTAATTCGATGAAGTTCTTTCGTTCGGTCAATCCCTTCCATTCGTCGGCAAAGGCTTCTAGGTCATGGCGCGCCCGTTGTGCGATTTTCAGCGCCTCGCCTTCGCCCTGGTTGACGAAGGGCATTGGGGTCATCAGGCCCGCTGTGGAGGTGATCACTCTTTGTTCCTTCCCCGTGGCATCAATCAACGACTTGAGCACATTCGGGACCTCCAGGCCCTCCATATCTGCCTCCATTTCCCGGGCCGTGCGGAATTGCGGCTTCGCGCGGGCAACCGGCGTCCCTGTGCCACTGCGGCTCTCTCGTTTGCGTTGCTCCTTTTTCTTCTGTCGTCTCTTGCGCTCCTCGTCGGAGCTATCCTCGAGCGTTTCACCGCGATGGGCCGCCGCTCGTTTCTCCTCCTCACGCGCCTGCTTCGTCTTCTCTCGAACGGCACCCAGACCCGCACCCGTGGGACGCGCCTGAGCTTCGATCGGATTGACGATACCTTGACCCCCGGACCCAAGACCTTGACCCTCGACATAACCCATCTTGGCCATCATGCGCGCGGCGAACGAATTTCCTCCCGCCAGGCCTTTGCCGCCATTGTTATTGCCCCCCCTGGAGCCCCCCATTGCGGACTGCGCCATGTTGTTCCTAGGCTTGCGATGACCGCTACCCAGACCGAAAGAGGGAGGGGACTCCGACCGAGACGAAGCTCGCGCAAAGCCGCGGAACCCCATGGTCGGGCGCTCGTCCTCGTCGTCGGAGCTCATGTCGGCGACTTTGCGCTTCTGGCCGGCGAAGGATGAATCCGACGGGGAATCCATGTCCCCGAGCGAGTGAGGGAGGGAGCGGGCGAGGGAGGAAATCGGAGTGGAGATGACAATCGTCGGTGGAGGGAGGAAAGTTGATGGAGATGGCGATGACACCAAAATGTTTGGACTCGGAGGCGGCGAAATGCAAATCCCGAGGCGATGACGTTCTTCCCCGGCGACCCGCTTCTTTTTCCCTTGATCGCTCTCTCTTCCTCCCTTCTTCTTCTTCTTCCTTTCTTCTCTTTCCTTTCTTCTCTCTTCATACTCTCTCCACTTCTTCAATTGATACCCTCTCCTGAATAGTATTATACCACCTCTTCCACTCCATTCCATCATGGCTGCTTCTCTCGTCCGTCCCACTGCCCGCGCTGCTCTCCGCGCCGGAGCTTCGGCTACTCCCAAGTCCGCCGGTCTCGCTGGCTTGACCTTTGCCCGCGGCAAGGCGACTCTTCCCGATCTGGCCTGTAGGTGACCCTGTTCCTGTAGATGATATGTGCGGCGAAGACAGACCGTCACGACGTGCCCGACAGCTCGGAACCGACGACTGACGCGATCACCCAGATGACTACGGTGCTCTGGAGCCCTCGGTCTCGGGCAAGATCATGGAGCTGCATCACAAGAACCACCACCAGACCTACGTCAACAGCTACAACACTGCCGTCGAGCAGCTGCAGGAGGCCCAGGCCAAGAACGACATCTCGGCCCAGATCAACCTCAAGCCCGCCATCAACTTCCACGGCGGTGGTCACTTGAACCACACTCTCTTCTGGGAGAACCTGGCTCCCAAGAGCGCCGGCGGTGGTGAGCCCCCTTCGGGCGCTCTGGCCAAGGCCATCGACGAGAGCTTCGGCAGCCTGGCTGAGTTCCAGAACAAGATGAACACCGCCCTGGCTGGTATTCAGGGCAGCGGATGGGCCTGGCTGGTCAAGGACAAGCAGACCGGCAACATTGGCATCAAGACCTATGCGGTAGGACTGACCCAGACTGTTCCAATCAACCGCATTCTCAAGCTGATCCCTCGCGCAGAACCAGGACCCCGTCGTCGGCCAATTCCAGCCTCTCCTCGGTATCGACGCCTGGGAGCACGCTTACTAGTAAGTCTTTCTCTCCTTGGCAGACTTGGCCGTTGCCCGGGCAGCTGCTAACGTGCATTCCTCTACAGCCTGCAATACCAGAACCGCAAGGCCGAGTACTTCAAGGCCATCTGGGAGGTGATCAACTGGAAGACCGTCGAGAAGCGCTTCTCGTAGAGCGTCGGCGGTGCATTGACTGTACATTGCCTCTGGTTTGAGCGAATGATTTAGGAAGGGACTGTAAAAGGTGATGCGATCTAGTATTTCTTGTAGGCTCCAACTTAATGTCACGATCTTCTACACTTTGCAACTATACAACTATACTCCTGACTACCACCGTAAGAAAAGGTGCCTGGGAATTCCCGGGAGGCCGCGGATCACGTAAAGCATTACATCAGCGGCTTCGTCATCGCCAACTCTTTGCGGCTTCAATCGGAGCTTCTCTGCTTTTTCTTCTCCTCCGCCGCCCCTTCATCCCTCCCAATCCACTCTCCACCATGTCCGCTGACAGTCCGGGCGAGCGGCGCGGCTTTCGAGCCTTCTTTGCCAACGCCCTGCGCCCCAAGAAGTCCCGCCAAGTCCTCCGCAAGGGCTACAGTGCATCCACCCCCGACCTGCGAGCCGAGTTGCAATCGCGCGCCGGCAGCGATGACATCCCTCCGATGCCCTCCCTTGCGCCTCTAGAGGCCCATCGGCTCAAGTACCGCGTCGCCAATGCCCAGCTTGACACCCAGCTGGGCGAGAACCGCGACCACACGGCCATGTTGCACGCCATTGGCGTGCAGGACATGAGCGACGCTGCGGCCAACGATGCGAACGAGATCGACCGTCGGCCGCCCGGCGAGCCCAAGATGGCCATGCTGCCGCCGGATCTCTGGCGGCGGGTGGCGGAATTCCTGAATCCCGCCGAGCGAGCTAGTCTCGCCTTCGTCAGCAAAGACTTCCTCGGCCGGCTTGGCCCCGGTCCCTGGATGGCGCTGAACGACGCCGAGAACCACGACTACCGCGCCGACTTCCTCGTCTCGCAGGACCGCGCCCTCCCTCACCACCTCCTGTGTTTCCCCTGCGCCCGCTACCACCGTCGCACGCGGGAGGGCTTCGAGAAGCTGCAGCCCGCCGACGTGCTGAACCCGCTGTTCGACTGCCCCAATGCCCGCAACTCGCTGGCCCCGGCGCCGCGACACCGCATCACCCACGGCCGCACACTCCCGTTCGCCTTCGTCCAGCTCGTCATGCGTGCCAACCGCTTCTCCCCTCGCTACGGCATTCCTGTCGACCTGCTCTCGCGTCGCTGGCGCCGCGACGGCTGGTCCCACCACAGCCGGTACTATATCCACCGCGGGCGACTGCTCATGCGCGTCGTCAGCAGCTGCTTCGCCCCGCCAGACTTACCGCCTAGCTCGCAGCGGATGCTCCTCTACTCGCGGGACGATTACTGGCCGTACTTCTCGGCCTGCGCGCATTGGCGCGACGGCGAGCTCATGAACGTCTGCAAGTGCGCCCTCGGCCACATTCCCAAGCCGCGCGAAACCGCCGGCCTCCAGGGCCTCGAGCACCGCGGCAAGGACATGGTCCACGGCCGCATCCACAACCCCAACGCCCTGACGACCCTCTGCGGCAAGTGTCGCCCCATGCGCCGCTGCCCCGAATGCCCCTCCGAGTACCTCGTCGAGGTCAAACTCACCGAGGACCGCACCAACCCCAAGAGCCTGCACTTCCGCCACGCCATCGTCGTGACCCGCTGGAGTGATCTTGGCGACGGGTCCTCGCCGCGCCTGTCCCCCGAGTGGGCAGCCTGCAACGGACTCCGAGACGGTTACGATTCGTTCGAAACACTGGGCAAGCGCACCATCTCGGGGACCTTCGAGTCCTCGATCACCGACGACGTCCTTCCCGGACAGCGTGTGTTGTCGATGAACCCCAAGGGTAAGAAACTAGGCGAAGCCGGCACAGGCTGGTACTAATCAAAGGGAAGCCCTTGGGGAAAAGGTCCATGTATTACTTGCTTACTTATCTTCTTCTTCCTTTCTTTCATTCATTTATCGCCTATCTTGATATGTACCTGATATGGAGTTTTAATTGGATCGGTGTGTGCATTTCCGGGGTTATAAATTGGCTTCTTGCTGTATATAGATTGCGACGGGTCGGGTCATGCATGGGAAATGGGAGTTCCGTTGGATGGTAAAATTATATATCGATCATGGACGAATTTTGGTCTACAAAAGGAATTTTACTTTGTACTCACCATCGTACCAGGTCTAGATATTCACTACATGTTACTAAAGTTATTTGAATGTAAGTGGAAGTTCCTAACAGTGTGAATTGTAATTTTTGTTCTTAGAATAAGAAAGAAGGAAAGAAGAAGTAAAAAAAGATAGAAGGAAAGAAAGAAAAAAAGAAAGAAAAACGAAATAATAAAGAAAAAAACATAAAAGAGGGAAAGTAAAAGGAAAGAAAATTTCGAATAAGGTCAATGAAATGGCAATAAAATGAGAGACGAATGGTTAGACCCAGAACCAGCTAGATAGAGATGGATAGATCTCAAGCAACAATATAAGAAACAAAATAGTGAGAGTATATGGACGCAAAGAAATAACAAAAGTGAAAGACAGAACAGAGCAGTGCAGCGAAGTCAATATGAAGGCCATGAAAGCATTACCAGCAAACCCATATCCTAATGGTACAATCCTCATGCCAGCTCCGTTAGATCAAATAACTCGTGGGTATCGTGAGAAAAACAAAAAAAGAAAAAAAGAAAAGTAAAGTAAAAAAGGAAAAAGAAAAAAGCCAAGGGAAAGCAAAAAAGAATGAAAGACAAGGAACAAGAAAAGAAAAGAAAAATGAATGCAGTAAGAAAGGAGCAGTAGAAACCAAGAGATGAATCAGACCCGTCGTGAACGTCGTTCCATATATCGTGGCCGTCGTCCAGGTTCCTCTTCATCCGCTCGAGACATGCGTTTGGGATTATATGCGAAGTCTTCGACCACGATATTCATATCGGCCAAAGTAGCGGACTCGCTGTTTGTCTCGGGGATCGTTGTAGTCGGACCTGAACCATCTTGACCGAGACGAGAAGATGCTCGACTCTTGCTCATTCCGCTGGTAGACTGAGATGATGCCATTGGATCCGCGGATTCGGATTTCTTCCCAAGAGACCCGAGCCCACTCGCTTCTTTGACCCAGCCGAAAATCCCCAAAGAGGTTCTTCTCTTGTGGTCTTTGGCATGCGGGGGCGGGTTTTTGACTACAGTCCCGTTCGAGGTGAAGCTGCTTTCTATTGAGGACTGAGGAAGGGTTCTGTGTGAGGGGCCCTCAGCCGGGTCCGCGTAGGTTGGTGCAGATGCCCAAAGATTGCCATACGAGGCCGTTTTTGGGTCTTCGAAGTTTTGACTTGCTCGTATGGCTTTGGAATTGGCTATTTGTCTGGTTTTCCTAACAACGGGAGCAGGTGCGCAGTCATCTTTATCTAGGAAGTCGAGAGTCGGAGACTCCTGCAGACGTCGCGAGCTTCCTGAGCGGTTGAAGAATGGACGAAGACTTATTCTCCGACGAGACGGCTCGGGGTCAGGGTCAGGGTCAGACTGGGGATCGCGCTCCAAAGAGCTCAGCTCGAGGGTCGGGACTATGGGAAGGTCAATGTCTCGGACGGCCGAATCGATGCTATGCCGTCGACCAAGGAAAGATGATTGACTTGGGGCCCGAGCACCGACGAGCCGTGACCCTGCCGGGAGAGGGCCAGCTGGAGGAGCGCCGGCCTGGTCATTCACAGCAGGACTCCCTGACTTCGCCGCTTCGACCCAGTCCTGCGGAGTAAGCGGCGGCGACGCGGCAGGGCCCTTTCGTCTTGCTTCGAACATTGCCGGTGAATAGTGGTTCCGGTCCATTTTCGAGAATACTCTCTCCAGACCATGGGGGTTGAATATCTCGTTGCCTCCGTAATGACCGAAGCTGGGCTTGATGATTGATTCTTGGCTGAGAAGGGCTCCCGTTCTGGATGTGATGCTGTCCAGCGGGAATATAGCGGGTATTTCTTCCTTCTCTTCGAGGCTGCGCCGAGGCAATGTAACCTTGCTTGCATCGGTGTTCATGTCATCCGTTAGGTTGCTGTTAGCGGAGCTTTGCCTCGTTGTCAATTCGCCGGCAGAACGGGGACGCGCCAGCCTTCGTTTCACAGAATGAATCTGATCACCCCGGCCTTTGTCGGCACTGCCATTGGACCCGTTCCCGCCTCCTGCATATGCTGTGCTCATTGTGTCCGGGGTAGGCGGAAGTCTTATGCTCCCAAACACACTGTCCAGTGGCGTCCTTTGGCTAGAACCATTCAAGAACGAATCGCTATCAAAATTCGGTTTATGTGATTCTCGGAAAACATCCAACGATGGCGCTTTCGCTTGCGGGATTTCGTTGGTAAAGGGGTCCGGCTGGGGTTGGATCCAGTCAGCGATTTGACGGTCCTCTAAAGCATCGCTCGATGACATAGAACAGCCAGACTTCTCCGGGGGCGGCTCTCTTTTCCGAACTGGAATCATGATCTGGTCAAATCCATCACCTCCTCCGGTGCCATCGGTGTAAGGATTTAATTCGCTGCATTCGCTCAGAGCACTGAGTCTTGGCGATTCAATGTCAGATGTCTCATTCATAGAATTCAGACTGTCAGACTTCGTGATCACACTCGTGGCACAATGATCGTCAGCCGGGGCATAGAGGCTCCGTAGGGCTGCAGTACTCTCTCTCCGGTCGGTGAGGAATGACGGCGGCCTCTTGAGACTGCGCGAGCCAGATGATACACGGCGATATTCACCGGACACGGAGCTGCGTTTGGAGGACCGGCGTTCGGGGATCTGGAAGGTTGGCTTGTTCTTTGGTGTCGCAAAGTCGTAGTCATCACTAGGGCTGCGAGCACTGGAAGGGCGAGACGCATCCTGGCCCGCTTCCAGTTCTTCCATTTTGGCTTCCAGCTGGCAGATCAGATCCACAGCCTCTGTCACCGCCTGATCCCGCTTGTCAATCTCTTGTCGCAGTTGTTCATTGGAGTCTCGTAGCCTCAGGTTGTCCTCTTCGGCCTCCCGGAGTTCCTGGAGCTCATCCTCCATCTGTCGCATTCGCCGAAGTTCCTCTTCCATTTCGGCCATCCGTTCAAGTTTCTTCTCCATGGCTACGATCTGTTGGGAGCGATGAAAAATCTCGAGTTTCAAGTCAAAATTTTGCTTATTGATTTTGGAGATGTACTAGCAAGTGGTCAGCTGATTGTCAGACTTAGGGTTGATTCCGAGTCACCTACTTGATCCGTCTCCCGCATCCCCATCTCTCGTGGCTGTTTAAGACCGGAAGAAAGCGCATTATGGATCTTGCGTTGTCTCTCCGAACCTGGATCGTCTCGGGATTGGGACTGGGATTGCGAATGAGAATCGGAACGAGAGCGATCCGGCGTACGGGGTGCGCTATCGTCGCATTCTTCCGACATGGTTCCTCGTGAGCCTCGCGACGCACGTTGTTCTTTCAAGAGATCTTGTAACAGGGAGGACGAAGGGTTGACCAGGGTCGCAGAGGTCTCGGGGGTTTCTATTTGCAACACGAAAACGATCAGCATTCATCCATCCGATATAGTTTTGCGATTCCCAAGAGCTCCCGACACTGAAGTACACATACTTGATCGAGGGGTTTGTGAATAGACCGACTTTGGCGAAGCGGTCATGGAAGGCAAATCCTCGGTGCAGGACATATCTAGAGACTGATCAGTTTTTTCGCTCAGCCTCGAATCCTGGACTGAATAACGGGGTCGCACCTGTGCTCGTTCGCGAATCCATTGCGATATCTCCCTTGACACGGGTGACGGCGGCAGGCTGAAGAGACACCGGCCTGGCTGGAGACAGATAGATAGGCACAGGTTAGCTTGACGGTTTCCTCGGTTTCACATCCCTTGATTGGGCCAGGGGAAAGAGATCGAGGCAAGACTCACCTTTCTTCGGGCTGTGTCTCAGAGAGCGTCTTTCCCGTCTTTCAGCGGGCGTCGGATATACGCAGTGTCGCAGCGACGAAGGGGCGGACGACTGCACCGAGACGGTGCTCCGTCTCTGAAGATCTCTGTCCATTTTGACGACGATGGGAAACTCGACTAGCTAATGCGCATTACTGACAAGACGCACAGCACGAGTTAGGGTGCACTAGAGCGGCAGAAGCGTGTGCACCCTCAGCGCAAACCTGGCCAGCTCGGAAGATAACTGGATAGATCTCGCAAGGGGAAAAAGCAATAGGCACGGCGATTGGAGGCGGGCCAAGCGAGGAGGTGATATGTCGATTGTTACCGATCCACCGCGGGCGAGTTTGCTGGGGAAACGGCAAAGGAAATTTGCGGGAGGGAGAAAAGGATGCGAAGTCAGGGACGTGAGGGGAGAGACCGAAAAAGATGTGACGAGGGCGCTGTGACGAGTCGATCGTTGTGGCCAAGAAAGGGGAGTGACATAAACTATATTTAATCCCCACCGGGCACGATTCACCAGATCTGCTGGATGATCCCGGCTCGACTGCTGGGAATCCGGTATGTTTCGTTACCATGCCAGCCGTGGAATGCGTGGAAGTCCTTTGGGACTCGATTCCGGACATCTCCAGCATCGAGTCCCTCCGACTCGGGAAAAAAGAAAAGGGGGACGAAGGGAATTCGACGGCGAGGCGAGTTCAGCCATCGCGAAGTCCGTAAGATTTGCTGGGAATAATCTTAAACTCCATCTTTAGTGTTGGAAAGCATGAACCCCCCCCCCCCCCTGCTGGCGCAAAGTCCAACCGGCCAATCGGAAAGGGCCAGGCGCTGCGGGGGTTTCATCCCTTGCCAATCAGCAGCGGCCATGGCCCTCCCAGAGGCCCAGACTCTCCGCGGTCTAACCGTTCTGGACGGACCCGCCTTGGCCGGCGATCCAATTGATTAATTTAGAATTGATCGTTGGCCAAAGTCCCTTCGACGTTCTGCGCACAACTCGACACCTCCAAATCCACGGTGGACCCGCTGCGAGGTACCTCGATGTACCTCGATGTACCTGGAGGTGCCGGCCCAAGGACGCCTTCGTTTGGGATTCGTCGCGTCTCAAATTTTCATCCGACTAGCGACTGCCTAGCCGTCATCCATGGGTCTTGCCTAGCCCGAACCCTGGACACTACGAAACAATATTCGGCACCATTAATAACAGCACCGGGGGCATTGCCCTTCCCGGGTTCTTTTCGGTGTTCCTGCTTTCTGGTTATCGCGGCATAAAATACCAGAAAAGTACGATACCGCTGCATGTAGTTAGCACCTATGACGTATGACATTCGAATCTCCTGTAACCATCCAGACTGTATACCTTAACTTGGACTTAAGATGGATCCGCTACTATATTAGAAGCACGATGATAATTGCATGCAGTTTACATTATGCTCGATATATTCTCGATCTCCTACCAAAATTAAATCATAAAAATAAAAAGTCTCGTACCATTCTACTTCCAATAAGGTTCAAATGCGAGGTTCAGATAAAATATACATCCAGATCAATCCACCCGGCAGACCAAAACTCCATCGGATGCAAGTCATGTCACATCCTACATAAACATGATCAACATGTCCCGTAACGTCCAGAATCGACGAGCTCAGCTCAATCACCATCTCCCCCGATTTTATCGCTTTTTGGCCTCCCCGGCCCAGATTCGCGTTTCCTTGGCGCTATCATGGGCCACCCGGAACACTATACCCACGTGTGCCGGTCAGAACCTCAACCACCCAACGCAAGACAGGATAGGTGCAACTTACGCTGTCGCTCGGTCTCGTCTAGACCACGCAGAAACTCGACGCCATCGCCGAGAGCCCCTCGCGGGTTGTGCGCATGATCAGCAATCTCAGCTGCACGCTTCTTGAAAGTCTAAAGGAGTGGGATCAGTCAGTCACGGCATTCCAATCATCGACGACCACGACAGTTGAGAAAGGTCGGTCAAGCCATACGTTGCTTAAAACATCCACCATCTCTTCCTCTTCGAAGAGCTCCAACACCCGCTCGCTCAGGCTGTAGAAGTGGGGCGCCAGGGCGCGCAAGTCGATGGTCCGGGGATCAGCCTTCAATGCGTTCATGACGCGCTCTGATAACGCGGAAGGAAGATCCAGTGTAACCAAGCGAGATGTCCCCAGCCGTGCTCTGGGACCAGGGTTAGACAGGATCGCACTGGTGCGTTTGTCCGGCTTGCATGCAGGCAGAGAACTCACCCGATGGAGAGCATTTCCCCCAGCCATAGCGGTAGATCTATCCGCGTGCCGGCTTTGATCTGGGCCCCGTCAGTACGAGACTACCCTTCAAGACGATGTTCCTGGATGACTTGACCTACGTTCTCGCCTGGATTGCCTTCTAGAATGCCAAGCCCTGGCACCTCGAGCTCAAACGTACATGGCAATTTCTGGAGTGCCGAGTATTAGAATGAGATGGATGGGCTGGATTCGGACCAGAATCCGGTGCAAAATCACAAACCTGGGCATCTGTCAGAATGGAATCAATGTCATAGTAAGACATCTTGATTGCTTGGGGGACATGCAAACGACTTCCCGCCTGAGATCGACGATGTCGAACTCGCTTGACGACCGGCGCGTTCCTGAGGCGCGCGGTGTCACGTGCACAGACAACCGTGCGGTAATCTATGACGGTACCGTACACTACGCTAGCCCCAAATGGGCAATCCACCTTCCTTCTTTCGCTTTAGATCCTCTTTTCACTTCATTTGAACTACCTACTTTCTTTCGAGGGAAATTCACGCATTCGCCCAATCTTCATCCATCACGCCTGATCCCAAGACTTGTACGCGGATAGGCGCTATGTGGCCTAAGAATACTCCGTACACATCCTTCTAACTCCCATGGCAGTTGTTCCACTGGCATCATCCGCCCTAATAACCCCAGGTCTCAAGGTACCTCTGTAGGGTCTCTTGCGTATTCTCCCGCGCTTCGAGGAGCTGCTCCTTAGTACGAATTTGAAGAATATCGGGATCATACAGATGCCACGGTGCAAGGTCTTGGATGAACCAATGAACCTGAGACAGCAAGTCGGCCCCCTCGGTGTTGCGTGGTCGAAGGGCTCCGACTCTCTCTAGTTCAACCTCCCACGCTTTTGCAAGACCCCACTGAATGTCGCGTCCACTACCAAACATGGCAGGGCCTTGACGCATGGGATTGGATATCGGAGGTATCTCTGGAAACCCGTGTAGCATTGCATGCCGCAGTCTTTCGGTTTCCTTATCGAAGGGCGCGGTGAGGGACCCGGAGAATGCGGTGAAAGAGTACAAAAACTCGACGACTGGGATGGCGATATGGGAAAGACCATAGTCAAGGATCGCGGTAATCCGAAGCGTTTCAGGGTCGTAAAGAGTCTTGATGGGCTCTGCTTGCGTCTCAGCTATGCCTACATGTCTTTTTATGATGTCCTCTACTTACCAAGGCTGCCTTGAATGAATGTCGGACGATCGGATGGGAGGTTCACAAGCAGCTCCCCAGCTCCATTCGCTATAAACTGATCTAGTCGGTCTCTGAGGTTGCTGTCTCTCCAGCCATTGATAATCCCATACCGCTCGGACGCCTGGAGGTGCCAGCTCAGAAGACCTTGGTAAAAGGAAGCAATAGAACCAATGGGCGCCCCAGGGCAGTGGAAGCTCGGAAGACCCGAGCAGACTTTTCCCTGTCGATCAAAAGCAAGTCCACCGAAACCGGTCACGGTATCGGGAAGCTCATAGATCTGGAACGCCTTCGTTACATCTGCAATCTGCGCTAGAATGATTCTCTGCTTGCTGATTGGAAGGTTTGCAAAGTCCTCGGCAAGGTTTTTGCCTTCAATATATTCTTCAAGGACCCAGCCAAGTGGGCTTGGCTGCTTTGCACCGCTGTCCCAGCCGTAAACTTGGGGGACAAGTGCTGGAAGCTGAGAGTGAGATAGGGCCGAGCTGGCAATACTCATTGCAGCTACTTTGTTCTCTGCTCTTGCAGACTCATTGTAGGTGTCAAAGGGCCTGAAGAAGCGGAATATCAGCTTGGACGTGTCCCTGGGTATGGGCACGGTACCAGGCTTTAGGGATCCACGGTCCTGCGTCTGGGATCGAATGCCTTTGGTAGGCTCAGGAAGGTTAACTAGAAAGACCAAATTGCTGCGGCCATAGCCAAGAGAAGTGATGTCTGACACCTCGAGACAAAAGTCTCTATCCAGGATCTCACTGATAAGAGCTTTGTGATCAACAGTGGAGGTCGACATATCGATGGAGGAAGGATGCGGGCTGTTGTGATCGTTGGATCTGATGAAGAAAGATGACTCTCGATCCTGAATTTGAATGAAAACTGGGCATTGCTGCCTATTTCATGTGCTGCGGTGCGAACAAAGAAAGCGGCCAACCAGCGCCCCCTGGGAGAATACACCAATCATCGAACTACCCCAACAAACATCATCATACAGCATAACATATGCAACATTCTCAATGACCTTCCCAGCTATGATCCTTCACCCACTTTTGTATCGCCCCAAAATCCCGACAGGTATGTCTATTGGAGAATCTCGGCTGCGGGGCGTTCCCTGGTCCCATATTATCGAAAACCACCAGGCCCACGTCGCCATTACACTGAATCACTTGACGAATAAGGTCCACGCAGTGATCTACATGAGCTAGAACGGTGCTCTCTGGGTCCTGAAATGCCATGTAATCGGGGTAGTTGTCTCGGTGGATGTACTTGCGGATGAGATCGACGCAGTGCAGCTGGTGGAACACTTCTACCACCGCAAAATACTTATCCCCAAGCTTAGTTGCATTCTCCTTGGGCTCTTTGAGAGCATCCATGCTTTGCTCGTCGATCAGGATCAAGTTCGCTGCAAGAGACCGGGGTGTCTGATCAGCCGCAGCGCTTTGTTTGCTGCCCGGGGCAATCCAACAGGGGAAGATGATTATGTGAAAATGCGTCATTTATGAACTCACTTTCGACCACACTCTCCCATGCAGCGTCTAGCTCTGGTCGTATTGCGCCCGTGAAACGTGAAGTGCCATGCAGGTCAGCATGGAAATGCATCCTTTGGTATGTCACTACGTCCCATAATGGTGCTAAGTTCAAGAGTTGGTATGTCAGCCATCGTTTCTTTGTTATCAATCAATGGTAAGGGAAGGGATCGACGCTACAGTATAGCCTATGGTACCCGACATCATCAATGGCTCGCGACCTGCCCGAAAGAACGACTGTTGCAGCAAAGAGCACGATTGAAGTTGCAAGGGAGCAAAAGCAAATCCCATAGAAAACCAAATGCCGAACCCTCGAATATGGCCAGCGCTCTTGTTTCTCGTCAATGAACCGTCGGTCTTCGTCATAATCTGAGCCCTCATGAGCCTCAAAATTTGAGTTCAGAGGAAGGGTTTCTTCCTGGTGGGTGTCATTCGCCGGCATGCTGCTGGCTAGGGCTAGGCAGTAGAATTTGCTGGTATGGGCGGAGGAGCAGTATTCTCACTCCGGTGGCTCAACTGTTAACGAGCGGCTATTTATGAGCCAGGTTGTCAGTCTGGTGTCTCGTTGCATGCCCCTTGCAACACCTGCAGCTACGTGCAGCAGTAAGCCTGCTCAGCCAGTGAGAAGGCTCTTTGGATGGCATAGGCTAAGCACACTGCAGGAAATCAGGAATCTGTGCTTATTCCTTGTGCCACCCCGGGTTCGAGGCTCTAAACAAAGAGCTCACTAGGCCTCGAAAGCGTTGATGCCTTGATCGCACTCACTCATGTCAGAAACTGCATGATCACCTATTTCAAACTGAACTACTACTACCAATACGCGAAGCAGGGCAGGGATAAGCATTCTTCGGTGGACAAACATTTGGTTCATATCGCGCCACATAAGCTGATTACAGACATCATTACGATCTCACCCTCCATCTCCATCCGTTTCTCGAAGCGTGTTGCCTGGTAGGGCTTATGGTGACATCTGATACCTACCCCAACCAAGGGGGTCATCCTCTACCACCTTACTCGCATCGAACATGACTCGCAGGGGCCTGGCTTTCGCCCACTCCCGGATGGCGTCGAAGTCCCGACAGGTATGCACCACTTCCGCCACCTCTTTGGCCAAACCATCATGCGAGTCCCGTGTCCATGTCAGCGGGGTTATGTCCGCATTGCACTGAGCTCGTCAGCTTGCTGGCTCTGATGAAACGTTTCCCCCGTTTCTGTGAGGATCTTCCGTCATGGCTCATTCCACGTACCATGAGATTCTGTCTGATTATGTCCACACAATGATCCAGGTGGGTAATGCCCGTGTGATCATCCTCGTCGGTCCAGTCTACTTCGCCGTAAAGGCCTTTGCGGACTTGATTCTGTAGCAAAAATCAGATCCCAGGGAGGAAAGATAAAAAAAAGAAAGAAACCGATCAGCAAAAACCAGGGTTCACCCGACTTACCAGACAATGCAGCTGATGAAATACTGACAGTGATACAATGTAATGATCTTCATCACCGGGGATGGGCAATGTCTTGTTTACCATTGGCCTGGCCTCCTCGGCTGATATGCGGTTGATGCCGACTGGAATGAGAATCGAGCCTCGTCAGAAGTGTTTTGATGACGACCAGATGCAAGGCAGGGGTTGTTAACATACAATTGTATAACTCTGACCAGAGATCATTGTTCACGTTGGACGGCGGACCCTGGTACATTGTCTTCATGGCACCGAATGAGCTATCGAAAACAATGTTTTTGTATCGAAGCACATCCTGGGCAGGAGCTGAAACGGGATCAATTTCGATTGACATCAGCAAACCCGAGCGATTTCATTACTCACAGTAGAGGACTTGCGTGTCGGAGACGTCCGCCGGAGAAGAAAGCTGGTAGAGGACAAAGCTCGCATTCAACACAAGAGACAGGGTCAAAATAGAGTGCAGCATCCAAGTAGACTTGACTCTCGTTTGGGATACCCAGTCATTGTCTCGATCAAGCCCCTCCTCGTTTCTAATCGGGAGCGGCGCGTAGTCGGTGTATTCTGGAGCCATGATTGGGTTTTTCTTGCCTTTAGGAGTAGAGTCAATGTTCATTGAACAGTGCAATTGCAACGGATATCAGAAACAGATCGGGTGAGCGTGCTTGACGACCAGAAATACGAGTAGCTCGAATAGCCTACAGACATCGAGGCAGTGGAATACTGCTCATCACTAGGTGAGAAATCACGCATGTCAGCACACGTACGTATGTTCTATCTGATGCGGCTGCGAACCGCCATCGATATGACGAATCCACGAGAATAGGCTATTACTTTGGCAATCAAGGATGCTGACGGTCATCATCGTGTGCGCATTGCAATACCACATACCACGCAGTCCTCAAGAATTGGTGGATCCGACCTATCCGAAAGATCTACAGACATGGAAGAGACAAGTAAGCTGAAGCGGCGAGTGTAATAGTATAGGCATCCGGAGTCTCGGTGTAACCATAATCTCGTGCCAGATGCAAGTAAGAGTCGGATTCACAAACCGCCGAGGCTGACTGTTGTACGACTCACAGGGCTCATTCCATGTAGCCCTAGGGATGTTGAGTTTATACTCAAACCGTAGTAGCACAATGTCGTGTTACCACGGGGATCCTTGATTTCGCCGGCTTGTACAATGTCGAGACAGGCTAATGGTAGCCAATTCAAGATGCTCATCTAGGAAGGAGGAGTAATCGGAAGAGAGGGGGAGCCTCAACGTCGATGGTCTCATAGATAGAGAACCAGAAGGTATAAGTATGGGAGCCATTCCATGAGGTCAATGAATTCTGACAACAGGCTCTCTCAACCACACAAAAACATCAGAGAGTAGAACCTGCTTTTTTCTTTTCTTCGAAACAGTTCCAGCATCCACTGCCCAAAGTCTCACGGTAGCTTTATCTGCGACAATGCATTTCCATCGCGGCTTGATTCTCCTGGGTCTGTCTATCACCAGCGTGCTTGCTGCTCCGACTCCCGTGGATGCACAGGCCGATGGAGAGGTAAGAGGCACACCTGACGCATAAAGATCAGGTGAAAATGGTCGAATCACTGACATTTCGTGGTCCCGAAGAACGCAGTAGCTGGTGTGGATGGCCACTCGACTCGCACCAAGTGGTTTACCAAGTACAACCCCGAAAAGCGAGACGTTGAGAACACCGATGACGAGGTATCGGTCGACGGACACTCGACTCGGACCAAGTGGTTCACCAAGTACCCCCCGGTGAAGCGAGACGTTGACGAAGTCGAGAACACCGACGAGAAGGCCTCAGTCGATGGCCACTCGACTCGCACCAAGTGGTTCACAAAATATAAGCCCGAGAAACGCGAGACCGAGAGCGTCGACGACGAAGCATCCGTTGACGGCCACTCGACCCGCACTAAATGGTTCACAAAATACCATCCGGAGAAGCGAGACGTGGACGAAGTCGAGAACACCGACGAGGAGGCCTCGGTCGATGGCCACTCCACGCGCACCAAGTGGTTTACCAAGTATAAGCCAGAAAAGCGTGATGTCGAGAACACTGACGACGAAGCATCTGTTGACGGGCACTCGACTCGCACCAAATGGTTCACCAAATACAAGCCTGAGAAACGCGACGCCGAGAACGCTGCCGACGACGACGACGCTTCCGTTGACGGTCATTCCACCCGCACCAAGTGGTTCACCAAGTATAAGCCCGAGAAGCGAGAGGACTAAGAGCTGGAGATTGGGTGGAACCAGACCTTACATCGTGGGGGGGTAGGGCATGTTTTTCTGGTGTCTTTCATGATAAGTGATAGGGAAGAGGAGATGGAAGTGATGGGATTGGGGCACTTTTCCGGGGCAGGAACCGCTTTCAACAAGCGGAGGGAGGAACAGATCAGGACCGAAAGAATTCCATCAAGGGAGAAACTTAAGCATATGTACCTGATTTTCTAGCCAGACCCATGATGACCAGATTGAGTTCCTCCTGCGTTGGTTGGATACGTGGTCGAAAGGGTTGAAGTTGAGTGAGAGCTTCGGATTGAAAGTATTTTGACCTTGGGCCTCTCTCTTTTCTCTCGCGACTGGCATATTAGAGTAGGTATTCAATGATCTGACAGACTAGGGCAGTGTGAATTGACATGATCTCTCCATGTGAAAATCCAATCTACGCTTAGAACCCAAAAGCCCATCAATGCTTCATCTTCCCTGAATTGGCATTCACTTCCTGTCTCAACCCGCTCCGATTCGCAACAGTCGCCCCCATCGCCACAAAGCTCGTGCCTCCCAGAATCTCAAACGTAGGAACATCGGCCTGAAACACCTTGCGAAGCCACCCTCTCAAATCAACCGCAAGAAGAGAGTCAACACCACACGCCACGATTGGTTGGCTGGCATCGACCTCGGAATCCCCCGTCGTGACCTGCGAGATACTCCGCGATACCTTGGCCACCAGGGCTTCGGTCACGACCTGGCCTGCCTCGGAAGAACTCGCCGCCTCGAGGAATGCCCGTCGACAGTCGCGCACGTTCTCCTGACCGTGCATGTCCCCATCAGCAGGGGAGGGCGTCGTTGTCGAGGGGGCCCAGTACAGAGTCCCGAACATGGACCGCTGGAGCCAACCCGGCTCGTCTAGGCCACGGACATGGAGATCGCGCGGCGTATTGATCCCGCATGCGACTTGGCATGCGCCGAGCGCGAGAATGCTCAGCGACGGATTGCAGTAGCGTTCGAGGAGGGCAAAAAGGTCCTGTCGGGTAATAGGCTGCATGGCGCCGGCGCTGAGCAATCGTTCCCTGATGTGCTTGTTTTCCGCCTCGGCGAGGTAGCCGTCGTCGACCATCGCGCCGAGGTTGATGCTGACTGCTTTTTGGCCTTTCGAGATCCGATGATGGGCGAGGGCGTCTTGGAAGGTGTTTCCGGCGGCATAGTTGGATTGGCCGCGGTGGCCGATTATCCCAGAGACAGAGGAAAGTAGAATGAAGAAGTCCAACGCTTCGGGTAATCCTTGGTGAAGGTTCCAGGACCCGGACACTTTGGGCGCGGTCGAGGCTGCCCACTCGGCGTGGGTCATTTGGTCGAAGATTACGTCCTGTGAGGAATTAGCCCTCGTCTAATTAAGATGTTAGGGATTGTAACTAACCCGCAAGACCATCGAAGCATGTACGCATCCTCGAATTGGAGGCATCACTTTGCTGCAATCAGACAGCACACGACGAAGCTCGGCCTCGTCGCTGATATCACAGGCCGGTGCTTGCACTGTAGCTCCAGCGCCCTGCAGAGTGTCGACTAGTTCTCGCGATGCTGGAGACCCAAGGCCTGAACGAGACAGAATGATAAGGTGGCGTGCACCCTTGTCAACCATCCACTTTGCGATAGTACGGCCGATTCCACCAAAGCCTCCTGCAATAACATAGGTGGCGTCATTGGAAAGTGCATACGTTGGCTTTTGGATCCTTGTCTGTGTCCGGTTAGACGTTTGCCTGTGAATCAAAAGAAAAAGAAAAAGAAAAAAAAAAAAAAAAAAAAAAAAAAAAAAAAAAAAAAAAAAAAAAAAAAAAAAAAAAAAAAAAAAAAAAAAAAAAAAAAAAAAGAAAGAAAAGAAAAGAAAAGAAAAAAGTTTACCATCACTTCAGCCGTCGGAGACACCTGCACCACATGCTTGCCACTACTTTTCCCATGCGCGAGGGTCGAAATAGCGCTCTTTACGTCTGTAATGTTGTAGACATTCAGAGGCCTCGCAGTATGCATCTGTCCACCCGCGAAGAGATCCATTATGATCTGGATATTTCTCTGCGCTTCATGCGGCCGTTCAACCATCCACATTGAGCCGTCGAAGGCCGAAAACGTAACCCCCTTGTTAAATGGGAACATAGGCAGATTGGAATTCGCTAGGATGTCTGTTTTCCCGATCTCAATGAATCGTCCATATGGCGCCAGAGACTCCCACGAGGCAAAGAGGCCATCACCCGCCAGTGAATTAAGCACGACATCAACGCCGCGGCCTTTGGTGATTCGTTTGATCGCGGTCGAGAACGAACTATCGCGACTATACAGAATATGATCATATGGAATACCATATTCAGATACTAGCAGTTCCTTCTTTTGCTTCGATCCCACCGTCGCGATGACCTGGGCTCCTAAATACCGACAGATTTGGATGGCGGCCTGGCCAGTTCCGCCTGCACCGGCGTGAATAAGCACAGTCTCGCCCTTGGCCAACCGCGCAAGATCGTGAAGACAGGTCCACGCCGTGACAAACTGCGTAGGTATTGATGCTGCTTCCGCGAAGCTCATGCTTGAGGGAATCCGGCAGACGCATTGCGCCTTGCTGCGCGCGTAGGTTTTAAATGCCTCGGTGGTGGACATGGACACTCGGTTTCCGGGTTGGAATTGTTCTGCACACGCTGATCCGACGGCCCGGACAATCCCAGCGCATTCGTTTCCGAGATGTTGGCCTGGTACGCGGCCCAGCGCAATCAGGCAGTCCTTGAAGTTCAGGCCCATGCTGCGAACTTCGATCTCGACTTCGTCGGCGGCGAGATGCTGGGAGTGGAGGCTATCTTCGACGAAGATCAGGCTTTCTAGAAGACCGGGCGTTTCGGTGACGAGCCGGAGAGGTGGAGAGGCTTGCCAGGTTGCTTGCTGGGGGATTTCGTCTGCCGGACTGTCGGAGATGGCGTTTCGACAGTCACTATCCATCTGGAGTCTACAGACGTTCATGAGACCATCCTGTTCTTCGTATTCAAGTTCGAAGTTTTCGTCATCACCTCGGCAGAATCGAACTATGATGTCTCTGACAGCATGCAACTGCTCCGCGGGAGGGTCTTGATATGCAGCTAATCCGATTCTCAGGACCTTGCTATCCTCGACCTCGGTTTGCCATGATCGAACAAGACCACTAACCATCCCAAAGGACGGATGACCAGAGCCATCATCAGCAGGCCGGGAGATCCAGATAATCTTTTTGTATAACCGGACCTGGTGCTGAAGAAACTGCAGACCAGGGCCGTCTAGATTGAGAAGCAAAGACCGATCCGGGTTGTCGATAATGATGGCGGTGGATTCCAGGTCGATGTGCGTTGCACGAAGCTCACGGAGATTAGCACGCTTGCAATCCAGGCCGCCTGCATCGAGCAGGACCCGCTGCAAGGAACCAGCCAGTACGGTCTCTCCGGAACCGCCCCGGTCCGTGATGATATCGATACCGGTGAAGTCCCCAGAAAGGGTCCCGGGATGCTGGACCTTGGTGCTGACCAGAACACTAAGTTCATGGCATTGCTTGTCACGGTAATCACGAAATTCCTGGTCAACACCCGAAAAGCCATTCTCTCGAAGGATTCGATTCCAGCAGTCGACGTCAATGCAGGGCCCTTGTGGGCGGAACGATTCGCTGCTCAACCACCAGCCAGGAAGAAGCCCCATGACAAAGGCAGTGATCCCTAATGATGGCTCTACTACTTCATGCAGGATGAGCTTACCACCCGGGCGTAGCATCGCGTGGACATTGCCCAGTGTTGTGGACAGGTCTTGCGTGGCATGGAGAACATTCGCTGCTATGATTACGTCGTAGGATTCTGGAGAAAAGCCCTGGGCTGCGCCGGACCGTTCAATATTCAAGCGCTGGAAGCCCAGGCGTGGAAAATCGCTGAATCTGTCCTTGGCTGGTGCGAAGAATGCTTCGGAGATGTCGGTGAAAGTGTACTGCTGGTACAGTGCATACGTGGACTGTGAGATGCCCTCGCGGCTCAAAGACGTGAGGATCGGCATGGTGGTTCCTCCTGTTCCTGCCCCTATCTCAAGATACTCGGCGTTGGGATGCTTATGCGAGAACAACTGGAGATACTTCTGCAATGGTCCGAAACAGCCCGGCACTTTGCTATGCTCGGTGTAGAGGTCTTCAAGCAAGGAACTGCTGAACAGCAAATCCAGGGGATCCGTTTCTGAGAGCAGGATTCCCTTCATGTTGCGGGCGACCGCGGCATGGACCTTGCCTTGAGCGCTGGAATGTTCCAAGTAGCTCGCCTGTTCTTCTATTCGTGCCTCGTAGCCGACTTCATGATCCCGACAGAAAGACACGTTCCGGCCATGTTTCTTGAGACACTCTTCTGCCCATGTAATATAGTGCGACAGATGAGAAGGAAGCTTTAAAGCCGATGACTTTCCAAATTGCACCAGGTTAAACTCTAAACAGTCCAGCTGGAGAGCGATTAGTTGCCGGTGAAGCCCAATTGGCCCGTCATCTTCGAGCAGACCTGCCTCGCAGTATCTCGATAACGCTTTGGCATCCATAAGGTCCACATCAGGCAACCAAACCGGATTCCAGCACAGCGGAATATCTCTGGTGGCAGAGCCGGAGGGACCTGAAATCGCATCGACAACAGTCATCTTGGCGCCTTCTAGCTGGGCAAACACCCTGGACCCATCGTTGCTCAACGCGGTGATCTCGCATTCTGTGCCGTGATCCGTCTGCGATGTTATCTTTGATATGGCACTGACAGAATCTTCTTCCGCCCAGCCCTCACCATAGTTTGAGATCCATGCTTTTCTAATCTGCGATGGGACTAGGGTCGGTTTCACAGCTTTCCCTCCTTCGGTGTAGGTCACCAGTGCCAGCTGAAGGAGCGAATCGAGCATTCCGGAAAAGGCGACTCTACCTTGAGGGCTTTTCTCGTCTGCTCCTGACGGCCATTCGCAATGAAATACACGGCCAGCTGACTGGTTTCCTAAAACATGGACACTTTGGATGTTTCTGAAGAGTGACCCGTAGTCCATCCCGCAGTTTCGCAGGCATTCGTAAAGGGAGTCCACCGAAGCAGCTGAACCAGTGTTCGTCACAGAATCAATATCCTGCTGAAGCTCGCGGAGGAGATCTGCGGTCCCTTGTCCGTTGTCGACTTCGGATGCCTCGGACATATGCTCCGCGCGAACGCGCCCAGTGCAGATGTTTTCCCAGTTGTTGCGGAGGTATGCGCAGAGACGAAAGCTCGCCCAGGATCGATCCCGCGCAGTGGTGTTGCTGTCAAAATGCAAGAACAATTGTGTTTCGACACTCTGATCCTCTGGGACTGTCATTGCCGCGTGGAATCTGATATCCCTGAGCTCATAGCCACAGATAGCCCCCTGGGCGGAAGTAACTTGGGCTGCAGCCTCAATAGCCATTGAAAGCATGCTAGCAGCTGGGAAAAGGGCAGAATTGTTGATCTGCGGTATTCATTAGTACTTTGCTGTCTTCAGGGCCCTGCGCGCTCTACCTTATGATGTTCGATCCAAGGATGATCAGCCATGCTCAGAAAGCCGCGCCATTGTGGCTCAAAGGGGTTCCAATCCACGGCACGATCTCCCAAAAGACGGGTTTTGTGGCGCTCTTGCAGGCGATGAGACTTGGAGATTCGACTGTCGTGGAAGTAGCTTTCTGAATGATCGAAAGGATACGGAGGGAGATCGGAGAGCGGAAGGACATCACCGGACTCTCCATTCAGTCGGGAAAGATGAGGCGAATGTCCAAGACACCAAAGGCGTCCCATCGCCTGCATTATCGACTGTACCCCCGAAGAGCCACGTTCAAGCGCGGAGGCATACTCCATGTTGGCTTCTTTTGACGTGACAATATCACGGATGGGTCCGCGAAGTGCACCGTGCGGGCCAACTTCCAAACAGGTGTCAATCTTCATCAGTCCGCAATGGCTCCTGTCAATCTTCTTTACAACTCGTTTTGCGCACAGTCGCTCAAAGGCCTGTGAGAACCGGACTGGCTGGACCATATTCTCAACCCAGTAGGCCGGATTTTGCAGGCTCTCGTATTGCAATCGGTTTTCCGAGACGGTCGAGAACATAACGGGACCATGGAGGGAGGGGTCCCCTGGTTCCAGCCGTCCCAGCGCATGGAAATAGTCACTGGATACCAGATTCATGTGCGAGGAATGATACGCCGCAGTGGCCCTGAGTTTGCGGGCAAAGACGCCAGCTCTGTCGAAGGCGACCTTGAGTAAGTCTATGGCCTTATCGTCCCCGGAAACAGTCACACTGGAAGGACTATTGTAGCAGGAGATGCAGACCGAGCCGGAGACTTGGGTCTGTTCCTTTAGAAACTTCGAAGTCTCTTCTGACGAGAGCCCGACAGCCATCATTGACCCACGCTCCATCGAACTGCCTTTATACAAATTCGATGTGTGAATCCCACGCAGGTAGGCAATCTTCCAAGCCGAAGTTCGCGATATAGCGCCGCAGCAGTACCTAGATTCAATCAGTGAATATGTTAGACATCGGCCTGGGTCCATCTCACGCTGCTGCGATCTCTCCAGACGAGTGCCCAATAACAGCGTCTGGACGAATGTTGAAATACACGAGAAGGTCCACCAGGGCAACTTGAAGGGCTGTGCAGAGGGTCTGGCTGAACTGGGGCTCTTCGATCTGGCTGTTTGATATGTTTAAAAGTTTGTCTGTGCAAGTCAGCATTGGGTTGCGTATCCAGTAGAGATCGATATAACCACCTATTAGGTTCCATTCGCACCCAAAAGATCGTAGATAGACCTCTGCCTGTCGCAGGCTGTCCCGAAATACATTATACTGCAGAAGCTCTATGCCCATCCCAGGCCACTGTGCTCCTTGTCCGGTGAACGCAAATGCCAATTTCGGCTTCACCGATGCCTTCAGTGGCGCGGAAACACGGAATTCGAGCTCACGGAGATTGGTATGAGGATCAATGACACTAAATCCTCGCCACGAGAGAAGACTCCGCTTCTGTACAAGGGTATAAGCCAGTCTTCTGAGTAATTCACTCTGCGACTGATCATCGCCAGGGATTTGCTGGACGAAACGACTATATGATTCAGCAACGCGATGGACCGCGATACTGCTGGCGGCAGGAAAGGGAAGCAGGCAGAGGCTGGGAGAAGGATGGTAGCCGTTTGACTGGCGGCAGATTTGGTCTCGAACGGGTCTGGGCAAGACAAAGATGCCTATCTCCTTGAGTGCCATCGAGGAGCACACGATCCCGTCAAGACTCCGCTCCAACAGGAAGTGATAGGCATCATCGAATATAGCATGGGCATTCGACCCTCCGAACCCAAACGAATTCACCGATATACGCCGCAGGCCGCTTTTCGGCCACGGTAGGACTGTCTGGGGGAACTGGACTCGCGCTCAGCAACCATCCACGGAAATTCGACCAACGAACGTACTTTTATTCCCAGATATTTCTCGTCAATCTGCGGGTTGACCACTCGGAGATCGGCCACCGGGGGAATTATGCCTTTTTCAAGCATTGCAACCGCTTTAATCACCCCCGCTATTCCACTTGCTCCTTCTAAATGTCCGATATTCGCCTTGACAGATCCTCTTCGCGCCCGTTAATCTTGATGCTGGTTCCGACGAGGGGAAATCAAATCACTCACACATAAAGGGGCCCATCCTCCCTATCTCGACCCCGACAGAACGCCGCCCCCAGCGCAGTCGCTTCGATCGGATCACCGACGGGAGTGCCAGTGCCGTGCGCCTCCACATACGCTGTGCGCGACTTATCCAGCCCAGCCCGTTCATAACACTGGTTGACCAGACGCTCCTGCGCGCTCCGGCTGGGCTGCGTGACTCCGTTCGTATATCCGTCTTGATTGGATGCTGTGGACCGAATGACGGCTCGGACGGTATCCCCGTCGCGTATGGCGTCTCGGAGTCGCTTGACGACCAGAACGCCCGCCCCTTCGCCGCGGCCGTATCCGTTCCCACGGGCATCGAAGCTCCGGCATCGACCTTCGGGAGAAAGCATGTTCATGCCAGAAAGGATGTGGAAGAGGTCGGGCGCGAGGAGCAGGTTCACGCCGCCCACGAGACTCTGAATCCGTTAGCGGAGTTCTTTCCATCTATGAAGCTCGAGATGACTGGGTTTCAAATCAAACAACACACGGTCATACCATATTACTGGCTCCAGACCAGATGCTCTGGCACGCGTGATCCAACGCAACCAGACTGCTAGAACAAGCCGTGTCAACGTTGACACTGGGCCCTAGCAAATTGAAAAACCAACTAACTCTGTTGGCGTTCAGAGTCGTCGTGATACCCGTCGCTGCGTATGCGGCTTGGTCGCGGATGTCTTTCTCATATAACGTCTTGAAGTCGTCGGTGAAACAGCCGACGTAGACGGAGGTATTGGACCCGTGGACCTGCGCGATCGAGATCCCAGCTGTAGAAGGACAGAATCGGGTCAGAGAATAAGAGCACCACGATCGTAAGGAGCAGAGAGGGAAAGAGAGAGAGAGAGAGAGGACCTACCGTTTTCCAAGGCTCTATAGGTTGTCTCCAGGAGTATGCGCTGTTGCGGATCCATTGAGGCTGCTTCTGTCACGGACATCGAGAAGAATGGCGCATCAAACGCCATGACATCGTCTGCTAGAAAGTGCGCCTGTCGTACCGGAATCTGTTGTCCATTGTAGGAAAAAGACGATCAATCAGCATGAGGAGCACCGCCGAGGGAGGGAGGGGAATGTCCACATTTTGCGGATTGATGCGCTCAGGAGGAGGGCTTTGTGATACACATCGGCCCTGGATGAGCATGTCCCAGAAGCTATCCAGGTCTGTGGCTCCTCCTGGAAACTGAAGGGCCAGGCCGACTATGGCGATGGGGTCGAGGACATCCTGCTCGGATGCGCTCACGAGAGGGTGCGTCGCTGTCATGACCGTCTGCTTTGGAGTTGAAATGGTGAAAAGATGAATTGGTCGATTCCTCACAGGCTATCTCGGACCGTATATACGATATAGTCCCGATTGATCTGAAGGTCTGCTGGTGGAGGGTTGGAGTAGTCCTGGGGAGGCTGACAGCGCCCCCAATACATCACCACCATTCTCGGAAGAATCGCATCGCAACGGCCCCTGAAGTAACGAATCCCCCCCTCCCCCGGGCGATGTGATTTGCATCGTAGGCTGCATAACTGGCTTGGAGCCCCTCCATCCGGGGTCCTGTATCCCGATGTAATAGGCTAGCGAGGCACGGCCGAAACACAGTACTGTACGACATGAGACCAACTGGCAAGGATGACGCCGGGGTCTGCAGCATGTAGCACAAGAACTAAATTGGTTTCTTATACAGAGAAGACATTGCTCCGCTTACAGCCATCAGTCTGGGCAGGTGGACGAGGATTGGACTATGATGCTAGGCGTTGGCGCCATGTCGATCGGTTTGCGCCACAGAGAAAACAACAAGAACACAAACTAAAGAAAGAAGGGAAATGCATTACTGCAGTCCCTCCGCAAAGTCCACCGTCCTGCGGATCGCATTCACGGCCCCTTTCAAAGAGCCTCTCTCTCGTCCCCCCGGCACCGCGTGTCCTCCGGAATGCACAAACGGGGAGCACCACTCCGGCCGACACAGCGTGCTTAGCATGCGACTAGTGTCCGAGTGGCGATCGGCCTCACCCCAGACGTGCGCGGTGGGGAGCTGCAATGGAACCTCAACCCCGGCATCGTTGGTCGGTGGGCCCAGGATGGGGGCGCCGTCGGGGGTGGCGGCCGAGAGGAAGATCGCGCACCGCACGGGGTAGTGCGCCTGGAGTCGAGCCAGCAGGGCGGCGGCCACCTGGGCGCCCTGGGAAAAGGCCAGGATTCCGTCGAAGGGCCCTTCGTGCTCGAGGAACTCGGCCAAGTGGTGCAACGCCGTCGCGAAGGACTCCGGTCGCGAGGGGTCAAAGTACGCGAAACAGTCGTCGTCGGTGGGGAAATACGTCGCCAGACCTGAGAGTCGGTTAATTGTCAAAACATGCTGGCCGTACTTTTGCCAAACATGCCACATGCTGGACGTACCGGGGTCTACAGGACATGGGACAGTTCCCTCGGCATAGTCGTACGTGTGGCCGTCTCCCAGCTCATATCGGAGGGCAGCTAATGGCCCCGTCGGTGAGAGATCATCGTTCATCGTTCATCATTCATCAATTCGGTGGCTTACCGGTTTGCGCTTCAAGGATCTGGTCCATGGTTAGTCCAATGAAAAAAACACACGGCACAGCCTTGTCACCAGCGAAGACGCACCTGGCTGTTCGACCCAACCCCGTGTAGACAAAGAAAATGCATTGCGGTGCCCTGCGTCTGCTCGAAGGGAGGGTTGCGTCCCATTTATAATTGGAACCCGGATGAGCCCGACAAGGCTCCGCTGGTGTGACCCTGACCGGGGTCTGCAGTAGTGAAGGTGCGTTCGAATGGTCTCTCTGGATGTGGCATTATCCGAGCGAGCAAGGAGGACTGACAAGCGGATCGCAAGGTGAAATGATAAAGCCCCGAACTTCCCTCCCTCATATGGACTATCATAGGGACTATCATAGGGACTATCACCACCATGGCCATCACCAGCGATTTCCTGACTGCTTTCTCCCTGCCCGAGATCCTGCTTCTCGGCGTCCTGTGCCTGGTACGAAACCCATCTAGTGCTTCTGGGCCAGTTACAAGGCGAATTAACCAGCCCAACAGACCGCCGGATATGTCTTCCACCAAGTCTGGCTTCATCCCCTGGCCAAATACCCCGGTCCGTTGGTGTCGAAGCTCACGCACCTCTACTCCGTGTACCATGCGTTCAGGAGTGACCGCCACGCCGACCTCTACCGACTACACCAGCAATACGGCCCCGTCGTGCGCTTCGGCCCCAACCACATCTCCATCAAGGATGTTCGAGCCCTGGAGCCGATCTACGGGCACGGGGCCAACGTCCGGAAGTCCCGCTGGTACAGCTCCTTCTACAGCGTGAGCATCTTCAACGCCACCGACAAGGATGTCCACGCCCGGAAGAAACGGGTCATGTCGCAGGCCTTTTCGGACCAGGCCCTCCGCGCCATGGAGCCGCATATCATCTCGAGCATTCGAGCATGGTGCGGGGCGATCGGGAAAGATGCAGCAGGCTCCACGAGCAAGAGCGGTGCGTCGGACCCGTGGACGGAGCCGAAGGACATGGCGCATTGGAGCGCCTGTATGGTCTTTGACGTGCTGGGGGAGATCTGTTTCGGACGCAGCTTCGAGACGTCGGTCAGAGAGGAGAACCAGTTCTTCTTTCCGCTGATGGCGCTGAATGTGCGCATCTTGAATGTCTGTGGCCAGCTGCCGATTCTGCGGACGTTCGGGCTCGACACGTACCTTCGTCGAGGGACGGCGGCGAGCCGCGAGAGGCAGATCCGGTTCTCGCGGCAGCAGTTGGCCGATCGGCTGGCGATCGATTCGGAGGCGACGCAGAGGAGAGATATCATCTACTACCTGCAGAAGGCTCGCGACCCGGAGACGGGGGAGGCGTACTCGCAGGCCGAGCTGATTTCGGAGACTACTTTGCTGATGGGAGCCGGTACGTTGCCTTTTCAGAAGGTCCATCGAGATCAAGATCGCTCACTCTGGATGCCTTCTGATTCCCACAGGCTTTGACACAGCTAACACCGCCCTGGCCGCAACCTTCTACTTCCTCTGCAAACACCCCCGAATCCTCACTCGCCTCTCCGCCGAAATCCGCACCGCGTTCTCGACCCTCGAGAGCATCGTCTCCGGCCCTACCATGCAGCAAATGGTCTACCTCCGCGCCTGTCTCAGCGAAAGCATGCGACTCTGCCCTCCCGTCCCCATGGACCTGCCCCGAGAAGTCCAGTCCGGCGGTCTGCGCGTCATGAACCAAGATTTCCCGGCCGGCACCATCGTCGGCGTCCCGACGTACTCGCTGCACCATGACGAGGCGTACTTTGACGATCCGTTTGCCTACCGGCCCACCCGCTGGCTGCTTTCTGGTAGCCCGGCCTGCCAGGACGACGAGGGCGTGAGCGCGGAGACCCTGGCCCGGCAGAAGGAGGCGTTCGTGCCCTTCAGTCTGGGTCCGAGGGCCTGTATCGGGAGGAACGTGGCGTGGATGGAGCTTGAGGTGGGACTGGCGAGGGCGCTTTGGCTGTATGAGATTCGGATTGCGCCGGGGATGGAGCACGTTGGCGTTGCTCCGCGTGGGGGGGAGTATCTGATTCGAGATAATTTTGTGGTGGGCAAGGAAGGGCCGATGATTCAGTTTCGTCCGAGGGTAGATTGAGCCTGAAGTGTATTTCGACACCCACCCGTGAGGAATAACTATATATTACGTTCTGTCCACCGTTGAAATTGAATTCTACCTAGACCAGACCAGCCCATGCCTCGCTCACAGCTTCTCCTTCTTCGGTTTCGGCGCTCGGAAAGCACTGGTCGGTTTGATCGCCTGGTACCATTCCTCCCCCAAGACCAGATGATCGCGCTGGCTCATCGACCGGCGCTGTTCCTCCCACTCGCGCTCCAGACGCAGGAAGTGCGCCATTTCGCGATCCAACCACCGGAAGCACTGTTCAGCGGCGTCGGCCACGTTCTCAAACGGGAAGAGATGGCCCGCCTTGGGCAGGATGACTTCCTTGACCCTCCCTGGCGCCATCCCCCCGCTGCCACCGACCCCCGTGCCACAGGCCTGGACCCCCTGGCGGATTTCATCCGTGCGGAGATAGCTGTTCCCCCCGAGCAGCCAGAGCGCCGACGGCCTCAGGCTCGGGAGCCTGTAGAACGTGCTGCGTGGCTCCGGCCGATACATGGGGATGAAGGCGGCCAGGGGATCCAGATCGGCGTGCGTGCGACGATTGATGTGGACGGAGCCGTCCGGGGCGCGGGCCGCGAGATTCTCGCGGATCTGGCCCAGCAGATCCTGGTATTTGGTGGTGGTGAGCGTGACGGGCGGGTCGGACGCATCGCTGCCTTCCGGGAGGTTGGGATGCAGCGCCGTGGGCAGATCGCGGAATCCATACTTGGCCGCGCGCTCCAGACACCGCGGGTCCATGGCGGGGAAGATCTTTGCGTACGTGGCCATGGCGGCCTTGCGGTTGGGCCAGACGTCGGGACGATACAGGGTGAAGTTGATGGCGCTGGGGGGGTCGGTCCCAAAGCCCATCGGGGGCGGGTTGAGCTGGATGACGGGGTCTAGGAGGACGACCGTCGTGAAGAGACGAGGATGCAGATACGCCAGGTTCGTTCTGATCGTGCGTTAGCTGCGGGCTCTTCGATCGGATGAATCTGGAGAGGGAATCGGACATGATGGTGCCTCCAAAGCTATGGCCCACGCCCACGATGGGTCGAGGCATTTGATCGCGGAAGTGATTGACCATCAAGAGCAGGTCTCGGGCACAGTCCATCCAGGAGACTATGGATCCGGTCATCAGCTGGCTACCCTAGAGGATTGATGATTCCTTCCTGGCCACCACTCACAATCCGTGCTCAACTTGTCTTCGTTGAGGATGCCACTGCCGCCCATGTTGACCATGTCGGCAATCCAGATGCTGCGAATCTGCACATTTCCACTCTGCCTGGAACGCTGCCAGATTTCGTCCCACAGTGGCTCGTACAGTTCCTTGGCCAGGGCCACCCCGTGGGCGGCCACGACGGTCACCGCGTTTGGGGACAGCGGCAGCGATTGCTCCTTGGGCGTGTACTGCTTCACATGGAGCTGCAGCACCTCCTCCTGGCTGTTGGCGGTGCTACCGGCATACTCGCGAATATGGCCCGCGGCGACGGTGTGCTCCGTGACGGTGAAGTTGGTGGTCGACATGGTTGATCCGGCCGAGAAAGGGAGTTCATCAGTCCAAATCGACCGGACGGACGAAAGAAAAAGGAGGCGGAGGGGCAGACAAAGAAGTGTCGTAGCCGAGGCTGCAGGGATTCTTTCCTTTCCCCTGGCTCAAGGCTGTGGGACTATTGCCACAAATCCCACGCTCCAGGATGCTTGGAGGCTATAAAGCGACCCTCCGATCACCGACCAGTCCCCACCCCCAGGAAGCACAATGTCCTCTCCCCAAGAAGGAAGCCCAAAGGCATGGCTGACCGTCGCTGGCTCGGCTGCTGCGCTGTTCGCTTCGTTCGGCTGGGTCAATTGCATCGGCGTGTTTCAGGCGCAGTACGAAGCCCATCAATTACGCGAGTACAGCAGCTCCAAGATCTCCTGGATCCCGTCGATGGAGTGTTGGTCCCCCCGAGCCCTCGTGTGACACTGCCCTCCACGACTAACGAAGATCATTCCCAGTCTTTTTCATGATGTTCCCCTCCGCCTTGACGGGGAAGCTGTTTGACAATTACGGGCCGCGAGTGCCGATTGCGATGGGCACGCTGGTGCACACCTTCGGGCTGATGATGGCCAGCATCTCACGCGAGTACTATCAGTTCATGCTGAGCCAATCGGTCTGCTCCGGACTGGGATGCGCGCTCATCTTCACCCCGGCCATGGCCGCCGTACGAAATGCACCCCCCTGGTGGTCGGTGGTTGGTGGTTGACTGCTTCCCAGCCGTATACCTGGTTTCGCCGAAGAAAGGCCATTGCGTCGGGGCTCACCGTGGCAGGGTCCTCCATTGGCGGAGTGGTGTTTCCTCTCATGGTCCAGCACTTGATTCCCCGCGTGGGATTTGGCTGGACGATGCGAATCTGCGCCTTTTTGGTCCTGGCCATGCTGATCTTCGCGACCTGGACGGTTTCATCCCGCATGGAGCATCGTCCCAAGCCAATGAAGATCGTCGACTACGTGAAGCCTCTAGCCGAGCTGGACTTCTGCATCTTATGTGCCGCGTGCTTTTTTCTCTACTGTGGGTGGCGCAACAGTCCCCCGACGGGAGAATGGTTCTCCAGACTAATCGCATGCAGGGGGCATGTTTGTTCCGTTCAATTACATTTCCGTCGTCGCCATGCGCCATGGCATGTCCCAGAGCCTTGCGTTGAGCCTAATCCCCATCCTGAACGGCGCGAGGTAGGCTACTGTTCCTTTCCGCCGCATCTCGGTCTGTATCTTGACACGCTCGCAGTTTCCTGGGTCGCACGGTGCCAAACTACCTCGCCGACCGCTGCGGCGCATTCAACGTCATGATTGTCATGACGCTGTTTACGACGATCATCGTGCTCGCCCTCTGGCTGCCCGCCGGGGGCAACGTGGCTTTCCTGACTTTCACGGCCCTCTTTGGGGTGGGTTCGGGCGCGACAGTCGGCCTGGGTCCTGTCCTGATCGCCATCCTGTCTCCTATCAAGGAAGTCGGTCTGAGAATGGGCACCACGCTGGCCATTGGGGCCATCGGGGGGCTCACCAGCCCTCCAATCGCCGGGGCGATTGCGGCGCAAGAGGAGGGGGACTTCACGGATGCGTGCGTCTTCTCGGGCGTCAGCTACTTCTCAGCCCTGGTGTGCTTTTTGCTCCTGCGCGTGCGTCGGGGTGGGTGGAGGGTTACATCGGCGGTCTGAGGGGGTGGAATCCCTGTTTGGGCCCAGCCTTACGTTATATGCACTACATATCCAATTCAATCAAATCAAATCGAATCCCCGGATGTTTGCTGTCTCTTTGGTTGCACTTATCCTTTGCCTGCAACTCTCCAGCCGCCAAGGCACTATAGCTGCAGTATCTTACAGGGGATGACAGATCCATTTCCATTTTGATTGAATCATCAACTACTGCGTATGTGTTTCATACTGCTTTCTGTATCATGCGTCAATGGCCTTTCTTAGCTGTATCGATATGCGAGTTGTGACATGGATGTACCTGTATGTTGTTTCAGGCTGAGCCAACACTACCCCGATCATTTGCCAAAGTACGACTATCGAACAGGGTGTATTGACTTTTGTTTGCTTCTCTCCAATTCTTCTGCCGACTCAACCGGACATGCCAATCATCTCCCCCGTCAGATGCGGCTTCAAGTGCCTTTGCAAGTCTCTGCGATGTTACGTCCTAACCTCTTGATAGATGCCAAAAGCACGAAAGGATTTAAAATTAGCCTCATCACACCTTTGTTACAGACCCGCGTAAATGCTTGTTGTCTTGGCCTCCTTGGCCCGGATTCTTATCCCATTCAGACCAAGATCAACATCCACCGCCACGAAGACGCCAAGGTTGCTTGTCCAGGGATGCTGCATTGCCCCTCAAGACATCCAGCCACCTACCTTGGAGTGCTTAGGGCCGTGTCCCCATGCCCTATCCCCATGCATGCCATGCCATGCCCAGAGCCTGTCCAGCACGACTCACCTCAGGTACCCTCATGAACCTTTGGGGCCAAAGTCCCCCTTCCCTCCCTCCTCTATGCCGTCCGTCTCGATGCCATTCATGTCCTCTGATGAAGGTGAGCGAGCGAGCAATCCTTGCCCTTTCATGTTCGACCCATACACTAAGCGTGGCATCGGCTTATAAAGGTCGTCTGCCCTGGAGATGTTCGCGAGAGAATGGAAAGGGCGGTTCTCACTGATTAAAAACCTCGTCACTCCTTTCAAAAGGTCCTCGGAACCAGGCCTTACAATAATATTGATTGATTGATTGCCTTCTATCTACACCCCCATGTCTTCTTCTTCTTCCTCTTCCTCTTCTTCTTCCGCCGCCGCGGATATCCCGCCCGCCCGCATCAGGGAATACAGCGGGGACCAGACTCGAGATGTCGCGATTGCGTTCATCGTCATCGAAATCGTTGCAGTGGGGCTCCGGTACCTGGCCTTCATGTTGAGCGAGAAACGCTTCGGCATCGATGATATTCTGATGATCCCCGGATTGATCCTTTGTTTGGCGCTGAATACTTCGGCGTTGAGTATGTGCCTTCCATCCATAATGAATCCACCTTGAAGATATCATCAAACAAAGCTAACCATAGGACCAGTTGGCATCCGTCTCGGCCGCGTCGGCTATCACCTCGACGTCGTGAAAGCCCTCTACCCCGAGGCGATGGTCCCATGGGCCAAGGTCCTGGTCGTGACGCCCATCGTGTACTCGGCCGCCTGCATGGTCCCCCGGGTGGTGATCCTAGCCCTGTATCTGCGCATCTTCCACGAGAGAAAATACCGCATCGCCTGCTACGTCTTGATCGCGGTGGTGGTCGCTCTGGGCGTCGCCGACATCCTCACGGGTGCGTTCGAGTGCATCCCGCTCGCGTATCTTTGGGATAAGACCATCCCGGGGGGCCGGTGCATCGACCTCACGCAGTTCTTTCGCTACGGCACCCTGCCCAATGTGTTTGTTGACTTGCTGATGCTCATCCTGCCGCAGCCGGTGATTTGGAAGTTGCAGACGAGCAGGCAGGTGAAGATTGGGCTGGCGGCTACGATATTGACGGGGAGTGTGTGAGTATCTCTCTCTCTCTCTTTCTTTTCTTACTAGTGCGGTATACAGTTGGTGATCCTGGTCTTCTAACTAAATGACCTATTGGGTTGTTGTTGTTGTTGTTGTTCTCCCCATGACGCACGAAAGCAAGCAAATCCTACATACGTAGATCCATATACTAACATCACCCAGAGGAATGATCACGTCCATCATGCGCTGCGTTGCATTCTTCCAAAGCAACCCCCTCGAAGACGGGACCTGGACCTCCGTGACATTCCTCAGCTGGAGCATCATCGAGCCAGGCGTCTATCTCCTCGCCGCGTGCCTCCCCTGCTACAGGCCCCTGATCCTCGCCGCGGTTCGGCTGACTGCGCACCACACCGCGAAGCGATCCGGGACCTCATACCTGAATCTATCGGACAGCAAGTCGGCAGATGCGAGATGGAAGAATAATGAACCGGAAGCTGTCGAATTGTATCCGTATCAGGTGAAGACAGGTAGGTCTACTGAGCAGGGTCTGCCGGAAGAAGACAAGAAGAAGAGGATTGGATATGCTCGAGATTGATCGTCTTCCTGGGGATGGGGAAGTAAGCAACGTTCGTGGGGTCGGCGAATGTCATGGATAACCTGTCCCTGTCCCTGTCCCTGTCCCTGTACCTTAATGTCACTCTTTTTGGTCCCACTTCCATCCTCCGTGCTACCACTTGTAAGCTGCTTCTCATGCTGGAACAGCTGGCTTGGATGGGATTCAGGAGTAAACATGTGTTCCTGAGGGACAGGTCACAGCGCAGGCAGGCGGACGCCGATGTGCCGACATCTTAAATTGAGAATTGCCTGAGGGCGGCTTGTTGTCCGGTCGACGAGTTGCAGGAAGAGTGCCAGTTCGATACGGTGACGGCCATGTCCAAAACCTCTTCGTCGTGCTGGCGGTTGTCTCCACAGCTTTGGTCCATTGGAGGCTTATCCACGCCCCGTACTGGAACCCAATGGGTAGTAGTAATGCAGGTGATCCCCCCGTCAGGGATTGGAAGTTATTGATACTGCGGAATTATATAGGTAGATTGCTACAACTGCCGTCTCTGAAGGATATTATAATTTAAAAGACTTCCTTCATAAGGGTATCCTAACTAGTACTAAGTCTAGGGTAACCTTGGATATAAGTATAATATCTTATTTTAGCAGGTTTAGCAGGTTTAGCAGGTTTAGTACCTAGAGCGTCTCATCGTGGCGGACGCGATAGTCTTGAAATTTCTTTTTTTTTAAAAAAAAAATAGAAGTATATACTAGGAGATACCATAATACCTACTAGCTATAATGTATTCTCAACTTATTATATATAGGGCTCTATCTTATAACAATCTTATTAAAGCGGCCTCATGCAAAAAAGGTAAGTCTCATTAATTCTAAGAATCAGCTGTCATATATTTGCTTCTGTGTGGGGATCAAAGCAGCATGTATGCGTAGATCAGGTGGAAGGTCTAAGGAGGATGATGGAGATGAAGAAAGTCTACAGAGCACGTGTTAAGAAGTCAAGAAAGATACAAAACCATCGAGATTAACCAGTTGAAAAAAATAGATTGGACAAGTCTATATATTTACTCCGAACATTGATCAATTAGAAAACCACGCAGTTGATGGTCTGTTGTCGCTTCGTTATCGTCGTCCGCGTCTACCGTCCGCTTCGACTGCGGCGCAGGTTTTGAAGACACTCATCGCAATACCATTTGACTGCGTGTTGTTAGCGATGGCCGTCGCGCCTCGAGGGCCAAGGAGGCGGGACTTACCATTCTTGCCGGGTGGCTTTGTCAACCCAACGCAGGACAAATGGAACCATTCACGCGGACATGCGTCGTTGTCACACGCAACCATCTCGCCGAAACTGATTTCGTTGCAGTAGCAGTACCGCGGCTCGCCTTCCTCATCCTCGTCATCCCCTTCGTGAAGGGATTCTTCCTCCTCGGATGGTGCCCTCGGCTGCACCACAGGCGTACTGCCATTCTTCTTCTGTGACCGCTTGGCCGGTGCAGGGTCTGTACTGCGTGTGGCACGTACACGCTGCTGGGTGGTGGTTTCGGAGAAAGTCGTCGTCACGGGAGTCGACGTCTTTGACGACCGTCCCTTGGGTGCCGTGTTCAAGGGCGGCAATGTCGGTGTTTCCCGCTGTTCAATGGATTCGGTCGGTTTACCGTCCGTGTCGTCACGCTTAGTCCCGACAGGAGTGGGAACCTTCGATGCAGCTGCGTCGGCAGGCTCGGTTTCCGTTTCTCGGCGCTTCGTTTCGGGGATTGGCGGAGGAAGAGCATCGGTCTTGGATGCGATTTCTTTAGGTGTGATCCTCGCCTCGTTTGTTTTATCTACACCAACACCTTTTTGTTAGCCACCTGCACAGGAGAACTCAACCACAAGAAAATACATACTGTTGCTGTTAACACGATTCGAGGCCGACGATGAGGGTCTTTGGCGACCATTGGCAGATTGGCTGGTATTCTGTTGAGTCCGTGATGACTGCGGCCGCGCCGCGGCGGGAGCTGGCCCTGGACTGGCTGCGCTTCGTGGGATGGCAGCAGCACCGACAACCGGTGATGGTGCCAAAATGGGCGAATCTGTGGCTGAGACCCCGGTATTGTTCCTGGATCATAGTCAGCCAGAGTTCTCCTTACTTCCCACGTACTGTCGGTCTCCTCTTTTGAGTCTCCATACCTTTTGCGTGCGGCTGCCGTATTTGTGTTCGGTGCCCGGGATCTCTTCTTCGTCCCATCGGACCCTTCTTTGGCGGCCGCTCTGCCCGACACATTGCCGCTGGCTGAGCGCTCCATAGCAGTGCCAGTATCCACGGGGGGCGGTCGCTCGACTTTGCGACGTTTCGTCTGGCCCGACGTGCCGGTGGTCGCATGCGCATTCCCCACGGCAGACGCATCACCTGCAGCGGTGGCACGCGCCTTGCTAGACTGTCCCTTGCGACCGCCGGCAGCGCGGACCTCCTCCAGATCCGACTCACCGTGCGCCCGGCGCTGTCGCCGGGCCATGACAGCTTCACGTCGAGCCTCGCTTCGCGACGCAGCCTCTGCCTCCTGAATAGCATGGACTATATCCTTATTGGAAGCAGCTTCCCGGCGAGGGCGCTCATTGGCTGCAGCCTTGGCCGCTGCATTGCGATTGGAGTAGGCCCAATGGCTGAGACTGCCGAGGCGTGCCTCGTCGCTGATCTCGCCGGCAATAAAAGGGAAGACAGTATCCAGACGCAGAAGCTGACGATCCAACTCGTCGTTTGCATTGGAAATCACATGATTTTTCTCATCCGCCGTCATCATCAGGTCCGAGAGGGTATGGCGTACGCGATCGAAGAGAACCCGACGGTTTCTGCTGTCTTCGGATTCGGGTTGTTGTGGGAGGCCCTAATGCAGATGTCACAAAAGAAGTCAGCATGAGTATTATCAAAATTGCATCGTCACCGGTCATCTCCTTATTGATTCCTCTTTGCGCAGAGAGGGGGAAAATGGACTAAGTGTTGACCCACCGCAGGCAAGAGATCCTCGCGCACCGCCCCTGCAATGACAGGAGCCGGGTTGGGAGGAAAAGGAACGGCCTGTGATTCTGAAGACGTCTTGAGTAGCTGGAGTAGGTTATCCTCCAAGGCCCAGGCCTTCGCATCGACCTCCTTTAGCAAGGAATTGTGCCGCCGAAATTCTCGGGGTAGGGCGGCGATGGCATCGGTAAAATGTGTGATCGCTGGGTAGAATCCGTGGGGGATGGGAGGCGTAGGGGAGGTGTCTGCCATGGACGAGTGTCCATAGGCAAAAGACGAGCGCCCCAGGGTCTTAGAGGTGCGAGATGGGTTCGTGCGTGTCTGGCGCGCTGACTGACGGGCACTGGAGGAGCCCTGGGGAGGGACGGCGGACGCAGGAGCCGCCGAGGACATGGTGCATGGAAAAGAAGGCCGGCGGGATTCAATCAGGGAAGAGAAAGCAATCACAGAAAACGGCAGGCCGGCGCCTCAGCAGCGGGAACATGGAACAGCGGACGAGACGAAGAGATGGGAATCTCGCGGTGCGGAGAAACGACGAAACGCAGAGGGCCTTCTTTCCCCTTTGGGATCGCCGTCAGGTGATTGGTGCCTGCGGACTCAGGCAGACACGGTGGGCTGACTCAGCGGTCGGGCTCGGGCATGACATCATCCCCATCTATACTTGGCTCCTACGGGAAGCTGCACAAAACAAAGAAACAAGACACATCGATATTATACCAAAGTCCTTAATTTACATGCACGGCAAAAAGAAAACAAACAAAAAAAGAAACACATGCTAGGTATAGACAGGCCAGATCATGCTGCTCGTGCCAGAGATGAAACCTGAAAATGCCAAAGCCCCTGCGGGCACAAGCACAGGCGGAGTTATCAACACCGTGCAACTATGCAGACAACAAATGAAAAATCATACATAGGAGACTGAAACGAGTAGGCGCTGCCATTTCTCTCTCCCCTCAAACAACCGCACATGGCACCCGGGAAAAAAATGCTGCGACAATACCTTCTATTGAGCTGTCAGCTCGTCTAATTCTCCCTTCCAATTTACTCGCCCTTCAACCGGTCCTGGTGGACGGTGAAGGCATCCTCGAGGAATTCCTGCTCTTCCTTCAAGTGGACGGACTTGAGACCCGAGGCCACGGAGGCACTAGGGGAACGACCGGCGTAGAGAACGTGACGGCGGTTGTGGTGCTCCGTCGCGTTCAGCAGGGTCTCAATGCGGGGCTGGGCGTAGCTCCAGGCACCGGCGTTGAGGGGCTCCTCCTGGGCCCAGACGATGTTACGGGCGTTGGGGTAGCTGTCCAGGTTCTCCTTGAGCTGAGCCCAAGGGAAGGGGTGGAGCTGCTCGATGCGAGTGATGGCGGTGTTGCGGAGACCCTGGGCCTCACGGTGCTTCACAAGGGTGGCGTAGACCTGGCCAGAGCACAGGATAACCCGCTCGATCTTCTCAGGCTCGTCAATAGCCGTGCCGTGGGCCGGGTCAGGGATGATGCACTGGAAGTGAGAATCGCCGGTGAACTCCTCAATGGAAGAGCGGGCAATCGGGTGACGCAGGAGAGACTTGGAGAAGAAGATCACAAGGGCTGCGATAAACAGATTAGTCTGGTGCTTGGCAAATGGCGGGCAAATGGTACTTACGCTTGCGGAACTGGCGGTGAATCTGGCGACGCAGGATGTGGAACAGGTTGCCGGGGGTGGTCATGTAGGCAATCTGCATGTTGCAGTCCTGGTGCTGGCGGTCGAGCTTGTCGGCGGAGGGGTAGACACGAGGCTCCTCGTTGCAGAGCTGCAACCAACGCTCCATTCTGCCCGAAGAGTGCTCAGGACCCTGGCCATCATAACCGTGGGGCAGAGACACGACAAGACCGGATCGCTGGAACCACTTGGACTCGCCGGAAGCGATGAACTGATCGATGATACACTGAGCGTTGTTGGCGAAGTCACCGAACTGAGCCTCCCACATCACGAGCGCGTTGGGAGAGGTCAGAGAGTAACCGTACTCAAATCCAAGACTATCAAATCACCGAGTTAGTTTGCGTCCGCTTTGAGAGATGGAGCTGCGATAAAGATGACTTACGCTCCGAATTCACTGAGAGAGGAGTTGGAGATGACAAAGCTGCCCTGTCCGTCGCTGATGTTCTGCAAAGGAGTGTAGGTATTCTCGGTCTCCTGGTCGTGCAGGACGGCATGACGCTGGGAGAAGGTACCACGCTCAACATCCTGACCGGAGACACGGACGTGGTAGCCCTCGTTAACGAGGGAACCGAAGGCCAGAGCCTCGGCGGTGGCCCAGTCGATGTTCTTGCCCTCATCGACGGTCTTCTTGCGGTTCGACAAGATACGCTTGAGGTTGCGGTGCAGGGTGAAGCCCTCGGGAGCATCGCTGACCTTGCCGGCAACGTGCTGCAGCAGAGGAGACTCGACGCCGGTGGGGAGGTGAGGCAGGACCTCGGTGGCCAGCTCCTTGGGGGTCTTGAAGCCGTTCCAGGCGGAGGTCAGCCACTCCTTGCTGGTGGGCTGGTAGTCCTTGCTACGGTCGAAGCTGTCGTTGAGCATGCCCCAGACCCACTTCTTGTGCTCGTCGATGTCCTCCTTGGTGAAGGTACCCTCGGCGATCAGCTTCTCGACGTACTTCTCGAGCTGGAGCTTCTGCTCCGCAATGCGCTTGTACATCAAGGGCTGAGTAAACGAGGGCTGGTCGGTCTCGTTGTGACCCTGCTTACGGTAGCAGACGATGTCGATGACAACGTCGCGCTTGAACTCGGCACGCCAGTCGGCAGCGACCTGGCAGACGTAGTTGACGGCCTCGACGTCGTCGGCGTTGACGTGGAAGACGGGGGCATCGATGGACTTGGCGATGTCGGAGCAGTAAGGAGTGGACCGGGAGTAGCGGGGGTCGGTGGTGAAACCGATCTGGTTGTTCACGATGATGTGAATGGTACCGCCGGTGGAGTAGGCGGGCAGAGAGTGGAATCCCATGGTCTCGTACACGACACCCTGGGCGGCGAAGGCAGCATCACCGTGCAGCAAGACACCCATGGCAGTATTGAACTCCGTCTCGTCGTTGTTGTAGTGCTGGATGGAGCGGGCCTTACCGAGCACCACGGGGTCCTCGGCCTCCAGATGGGAGGGGTTGGCGACCAGAGACAGCTGGACACGCTTGCCGGAGGGCGTGGGACGCTCGAAGTTCATACCCAGGTGGTACTTGACATCACCGGAGCCCTCGTCGGAGGGCTCGGTCGAACCGGCAAACTCGCTGAAGATGGACTCGTTGGGCTTGCGAACGACGTTGGAGAGGACGTTCAGACGACCACGGTGAGGCATACCGATGACGATGTCCTTGATGCCGTAGTCGACACTGCGGTCGATCAGGGCCTTCATACCGGGCACCAGGGTTTCGCAACCCTCCAGACCGAAACGCTTGTCGTTGGGGAACTTGGTGGCCAGGAAGGACTCGAAGCTGTGACTCCAGATCAAGCGGTCCAGGATGCGGCGCTTGTCGTCGACCGAGTACTTGTAGGGTTCGGGGATCTCGAAGCGGTCGCGGATCCAGTCGCAGGGCTTGCGGTCGGGGATGTGGATGTACTCCACGCCGTACGAGCCGCAGTAGATCTTCTCGCAGGTGGCGATGATCTCACGCAGCGACATCTTCTTGCGCTCCTCGGTGGCAAACCGCGGCAGGATACCGGGTCCGAGGGTGAACTCCTCGTCCAGATCGCGCTCGGTGAAGCCGTAGTGGTCGAGCTCGAGCTCCTTGGGCTTGTTGTAGCCAAACGCCTCGGCCTCGCCACGGATGCCCAGGGGGTCGATCTTGGCCTTGTGGTGGCCACGAGCCTGGTAGGCGCGGACCAGCAGCTGGACCTTCAGATGATTCGTCACGTCGGTGGCGGGACCGAGGGAGAGGCCAGCGCCCGGCATTTCTTGAGGGACACCGCCAGTCGGGGTGGGCACGAGAGTCGGAGGGGGCTGGAAGGCCTGGGTCACGGGCATGTTGCCGTCTTCCATGTTCTTGAAATACGTTTGCCACGAGATGTGCACGCTGGACGGGTCTTTCTTCCACGCCATGTACATTTCATCGATATAGTTGGCGGTGTTCCCCGACAGGAAGGAATCGTTGGGGTCCTGGGACGAAACAACGCGTTCGCGCCGGAGAGGTTAGTCGATGCCGATTTCGCGCCAGAGGCCCGGGGAAGGCCTTCGCGGCCCTGCCGATCAGAGGTGTGTAGAGCTTACCACGCCCGCCGCGGAGGCAGCATATCTCTTGCCATTGGACAGACGGTCAACAACGGCGAGAGGTCGTCTCGCAGTCACGCCGAATTTTGAGCTCTGGCTGGAAGCGGGTCTGACGGTCGAAGCAAGAGAGAAGGGTCGTCGGCAGGCAGAGCAAGCGGCTCCGCGCAGCACACCACTGTTGGTGGCCTTAACGGCTGTAGTACGAAGCATTGCGGGGATTTTTTTTCCGGTCCTCGAGGGAGCTCAGGAAAAGTTCAAGCAAGATGCTGCGAAACGCGAATTTCGGCCTTTTTTAAAGCAGGAAAAAAAAAAAAAAAAAAAGCGCCCGATCAACCGTGAGGTCTAAAAAGACGGACAATAAAAAAGAAATATAATCTCAGCTGATCGCTGTAATCTAAGACACCTAAACACGTCAGAAGTTAAAAGACTGGTCAATCGACTGGCGGGTGCTGGCTGCAGATGCCGAGATTTCAGGCGGACTAAAGGAAGGATGGGAAGACGCACGATGTGTAACCTATGGGAAAGGAAGGAACAAACACAGGTGTCGACTAGTATTGCCGTAGCACCTGCACAGAAACGGGACTCATCAGAGTGCGCGAGCACACTGGACCGGTAGAAGGTAGAGCGGAGAGAAGAGGACGAGGGAGAGGGTGCAAGAGAACCCGAGGTGTTGAAGTTGAAACAGGAGAGAAGGACAGCGAGAACAGGATGAGAGCGAGAGGTTTGCCGAGATCTACCGCTATGACGGGGGGCTGTGGCTGGGCCGCAGCCACACCTGCTGACTCAGCGCCGTCGCTGCCGGGCGGCAGGACGGAGCGCTCCGGACTGGCCGAATAATGCCTCACTTGCGCCCGGGCACAGCGCCGGCTGCCTGCAAGCGGCCGCACCGCCACAGCCGGTTATGCGAAATTCCCGCGGCGGGTTTTTGCGGATGCATCGGGCCAATCACCAGTTTGGATTATGTTTACCGCCAGTGCCTTAGGTAATTCTTACCTAACTCATACCTACTTCCCTCAAGGCCTATAGGCCCAGCAATGAGATCACTTCCGGAGCAACGATGCCTGAACACTGCATTGAAAACACATCTCTAGGGAATCAAAAACCACAATCACGAGGAAAACACACTGTCTTGCCTCCCGGAATTTGCTCAAACAAGCGGCGTCAACTCATTATATCGTATCAATCAGATGGTACAGATCACGGGCTTCTCCTATGGCACGAGAGAAGAGATAAAACATTAAGCAGAAGAATGGGCGGATATCAAGTAAACACAACACGTAAAAGACAACAGATAGAAGAAACAAAGTGCCCTGTATATATATATATATCAATGTGTATATTTACACCCCCCTGATCAACTCTCCCCGGGGTTTCTATGGAGCGAGGGGGTGTGACGGTCCCGTTCCTAGGTAAATGCGCCCTTGGAGGATTCCCGGATAGGTGACTCGGTTGCGCTGGAGCCACCGAACAGGTCCGGAGGGGCATTGTAGACGGTGGGACTCACGTCCGAAAGTCCGGTGAAGCTGGCGCGATTCGACGCGGTCTGGAGATTGGGAGGAGGGCTTCCGCTGCTGCTGCGCAAGCTGCCGTTGCTGCCTCCCCAGGCTCCCCGACGGAGTCGCATGAGCGCACTGAGGGAGATCTCGTCCTCGAGATTTCCGAGATCGACCAGTTGGGCCAGCCCGGGGCTGAGAGGGTTCGAGTGCGCGGCTCCGTGGGCGGAGACAGATATCATGGAATTGCGCGTACTTCCGAGCTCGCTGCGCTCGGTGATAGGCGTCAGGCTAGGTTCCCGGAATTTTCCCCGGCTGCTGAAGCTGCGAGTGATTCCTTCGACACCACGAGGTCCGAAATATCCACCGTTGGTCAGCTCTCCGTTGCCATGGGCCTGCGCGTAGAACCCAAACTCTTGCCCGTAGAATCCTTCGTCGTCATTTTCTAGGGCCTCTGCATTGGCGGCGGCGATGATCGGGTCGTCGTAGAAGGACGCATCGTTATCATCATAATCAAAGTCTTCGAACCCCTGCTCGAAACTGACCATGTCGACCGACTGATTGAAGTGGCTGTCGTCCGACACAAGACCTGGTTGGGGACTCATCGGCTGGTCCACATCTTCCTGGTTCAACGACCGCTCGCTCACGCTCACATTACGGTCGAACCGGTCGTCGGCGGTTGTTTGGTGGGCCGCTTTTGCTAGCGCGTTATGTAGAGCTTCAAGATTGTGCTCGGACAGCACACCCCCTTGGGATTTGGCCGATCCCGCATTTTGCACATCCTGCGGGACATGAGAGTACTTCCGGGAGCCCGGCTGGTACTCACTAGCCATACTGGGAACATGTTTAAGCCCGCCATTCGGGCCCGTTTCCAGACTGAGATCATTAAGAGATGACAGTGCATCTTTTAAATCATCCTTTTTCTCCGGCTCCTGCTGAGAGGCCGCAGCGGCGCGTTCGGAAGTCCGCTTTCGGTCATAGAGGTGACTTGTTTCGTCGTCGAAGATCGATTCATCGAATCCCTCGCCTCCAACGTCAGCCGTGAGATCACCAAATTCTCCGTCATCAAAGTAAAGATCGTCGTCATCATCAAGGAACTGAGTCGCATTCGGAGGAGGCTTCGTTGGTATCTGCGGCACCTGTGCCGGAGACTTCGACGGCTGGAGCGGCGGCGGAATCTCGACCGGTTCTTCCGACGACGCCGAAAGACCCGCGGTGAGATCCTCGCTGTCGTTCAATTCCGGCGCAGGAGCTGGATCGCTTTGCCCTTGCGTGGTAGTTGGTAAACTTGGGGTATTCGGGCTGATGGGACTTGCAATAACTGGAGACAGGCCAGGGGCGAGCCAAGACTTGTTCAGGATATCGCCAGGGCCCGAGAAGCCACTGAACTGGTCGTCCTCGTCTGCATCGACGTTTACACCCGGGATCTTCTCTTCCAAATCGTCCAGGTCATCCAAGAGCTCGTTGTCATAGTCGTCCTCCCCGTCACTGAATTCCGGGTCTTCCAACCGAGCCTTCGCTCTTCGCGCAGCCTCCTTCTCCTTGTGCTTTTCCTCCAGGAGCTTCTCTTGCGTTGAGGACTCGACGCCGTTCATATCGAAACTGAACCGGGAGGCATTGCTTTTGAGGTGCTTGGGTAGGCCCGATGGCTGATGGGGCACAAACTCGATCGTGTCCGAATCTTGCGGGACATCTGCGGGCTCGCTGCTCGGCGGCGGTTGCGGGCTTTCTCTCGGTGGAGGGCCATCGGGCTTTTCGTCTTGCTCCGGTAGCTTGGTGGGTAAATTCCGGGCAAAGACGGGAAGAGACTGCGCGTCATTATCGCGAGGGGGCGGGTTCGTCAGTAATGAAGATTGGAGGTAGCCCTTGTTCTCAACCTGCAGCGCTCGCTGATCATCCTCGAAATGCTCCTTGAAGGCCGGCGAATATTCACTGTGCCGTTTGTTCTGCTCGCTGGTCGGCACGATCTGATCGCTAACATGTCTCTGGGTCCCGTTCGTGGGCCGGGGTTGATCGCTCGAGTTGCGGCTCGTGGCTTCGCGCAGAAGCACGGGTGCAGCTGATACGTTTCGACGGGGTCGAGGGGCAGAGAAGTCGTGGACGATGCTTCCGCGGATTCGAGGATCGTAGTCGTCGGGAATGGCTGGCACGAGATTGCGAGCCCCAATTTTCACGTCCTCCGTCCGCGACGTGGCAATCTGAGACGAGCGCCTGCGGGCCAAAAGAGACATGGGGTTCAATAGGTGTAGTCTGGTCTTCCCGGATTTGTGGTGGTTGGTCTGATCCGCCGGGACATCTCGGTCGATTTGACGTCGATGGCTTGCGGTCTCGAATCGGCTCTCCTTCTGCAACGCGGCTGTTTTCTCCGCCGGCGAGTCATCGGGAGAGGCTCTCAGTCGGAAAGGGCTTGAATGGGCGATTCCGGGGGTCGACAAGCGTTTCGACTGGTTATCGGAGGACGGCGTGTGATTCAAAAACCCCTTGCCAAATGATCGTCGGAACGGCGAGTTCGGTTTGGACGACTCGCTATCGGCGTATTCAGGACGCGGGGCCGTGACAGACGGCTGCGAGGAGTTCGATTGAGAGGTAATGGAGGGGTCTCGATCGCATTCTTCCGGGCTCGAGTGAGGTCGAACGTTATTTTCCGAGGCGGCGGACGGCACGGCCAGGTTGGTCGACGAAGACGAGGGCGCATTGACGCTGGTCGCGGAGACGGCGACGTTCGTCTTGCCCGCGTCGAAGTCGGGCAGAAAGTCGCCCCAGCCCTGGGGACTCGAGCCATCGGCCGTAGCAGACGAGGTCCCGAACGTCGTCGGCAGAGCAGCAGTGTTGGGGATGACCGGCAGCTGCGGCGGATTGCTGGCGCTTCTCGTCGACGAGGCGATGGGCGGCGTGGGCTGGGCGGACGAGACAGGAGACGCACTCGATCGGCGATGGTCGCGACGCCAGTAGGAGAAAACGGTGGAGGGGGGCATGGTGAGTTCAGCGCTCCAAAGCACACAGGGTGCTTGTATCCGAGCGAACGCTCCGTTTAGACGACGCAAAAATGGGCCATGGTGTGCGCGCGCAATCGAAGGTGTTGCGGAGGCGCCAGATTAATTGCAGGCGTGGGGCAGCGTGTCTCAGCCGGCAGAAAGGCGGTGCGATAAGAATAGCAGCAGGGCAAATTAATTGGACGGGGCTGGTGAAACCCTGAAGTCCTGCCCGATCATGAAATCCAGAATCCAGATGCACGGAGGAAATAAGAGCAGGGGGAAAAGGGAGTTTATCCAGGAACGGCCAAGAATGTCGGTTTTGCTGTCATTCCTCGACGTTTCCGCATGCGGCCCCGTTCAGACAGCGGCATTTCCACGCCTGTCGTGCAACGTCCGTCATAAGAGTGATATAATGATATAAGTAGTTAACTCCAATCCAAAAAGTGCTTCCTGGGCTTTACTGTACAATGCAGGATAATTCGCTAATCTACACACAAAGACCTATGCTGCCGACCATCCAGATCATGCTAATGATGACGATAATAAAAACGAAAACAAGAAAGAGACACTTATAAGCAGCACCAAATAATAGGGAAAAAGAGAAAGAAAAAGAAAGGAAAGGAAAGATATAGTAGTATCGATCAAACGCGCTCAAAGACACACACATTATAAAACGAAATCAGAATAGGGAGGGGAATGAGACGAGAGAAGCTATACAATGCTCTGTCTCCAGCGATCGATCACCTCGCGCTGACCGGGATCAATCACCGACGGGACGGCCCTCTGATGGTAGCTCTGCGGCACGGCATAGCTCATATGGCCCATGCCGAGCACCGCGTCGGAGTAGAAGGTGTTCGGATGCGCTAACCCGGGTCCAAAGGAGTCGGTCCTGGCGGCTCCTGGATGGTACGATGCACGCCCGGGCATCCCGACCCTCGTCGGGAGTTGTTGCATCGACATCCGAGTATCGAGGCGACGCTGAGGACCGCCGGGCCCCTGGGGTGCTGCGGCCTCGTTGTTGAACGAAGGACGGACCACGGCGGCCGGTCGCCGCGCGTGGAGGATGTCCGCCATGCTTCGGCGGTATCGGGGGATCTTGAGGGTCGAATTATTGGCCTCGGCCTCCTTCTGCAGTCGAGCGCGCCGCTGTGCCAGTGTCTCGTCTTCGGGAGCGACCTCCTTGGGCTTGTCATCGTCGCCCTGCAGGTGGCTGAGCTCCGCCAGGATTTCCGTGGCGAATTCACTCTCGACCGCGGTGCTGGCGCGGTTGTTCCCCTTCAGCCGGGCGATGCGCTGCGCGAGGGTTTCTCCCTCGTCGCCGCTCTCGGGCTCCGCGGCTTCTGCGGGAGCCGGAGCATGTTGCGAGTACATCGTCGTCGGGCGCCGGTCAGGGGTGCGAGGCGGAGGGGGTGGCGCTTCTCCTCGCAGTCTTGCGCGGCGGTGACTCAAGGGTTCCCCTTCCTCCATCTCTCGTTTCTCCATCAGACCCAACGGGCGTTGCTCGTCGGCCGGATTCGTCTTGTCCGGGAAGAGCATGCCCAGCGGCACGTCGTCATCCTCTTCGTCCTCGGCATGCTGAGCATCTGTGCCCTCCCAGGCCAAGGTGATCGGCCGTTGTCGCCTATGCTCACTCTGCTTTTGAGCCACGGCATCCATCTGTAGAAGAGTGGAATGCATGGCATCGGCGGCGGCCGTGCGTTGCCGGTTCCGCAGTTGATGCTTCCTCTGCTCCAGCTCTGCCAGCAGAGTCGTGGGAGGACCGGTGAACGGGACTTCCGGCTCGTTACCCTCCTCCTCATCGCCCCTGGGATGCTCTCCATCTTCTTCGCGCCCGTCACGAGAACCTTCGCGTAACGACGTGCCTTCGTGAATGTTCGCCGCCTCCGCTTCCGTCTGCAGATAAGGCTGGCGTGATGCGAGTGAGTTGGCCCGCGTGTCGGAGTCGGACTGCTGGTGGACCAGCAGGGTACTTCGGGAGGGGTTTTTCTTGCGTAACGTCTTGGGTTTGGAGCTTCCATAGACCTCTCGGCCCAGGTGGCCGGCATACGGATGATCCGTGAAGGCTGTCACCGGGGCGTGTGCCGAGGCATCGAGAATACTGTCGAGCGTCTCGACGGCGGAATCTTTCTTGACGTCGATATCGAGCGACGCGGCCGGCGGCTCGAAAAAGACACTGGCACGAAGCTGGGGCGGCAGGTCTTTCAACTGCTTCTCGGGCTTCGCATCGCCTCCATCCGTAGCCGCCAGCCAGGGCGCCGACTTTCGATTCTCCGAGGGCACCGATCCCAGCAGTTGCGTGCGACGCTTCTCCCGGTCGGCATTGGGTCGTTGGGACAGACGAGGGGGCAGGTTCAACATCCTGGGAACCGGAGCAGGGTAATACACCATGTCCTCACCATTCCGGGGCTCCTTGTGGGACTCGGAGTTTCTGGCCAGTGGTGGCCTCGTCAAGGACACCTGTCGCGCCAGGTCATGGGCCTTATCATGTGGCACGTAGTGCACCCCGTCGAAGTCCCCAAACAATACCCCAGCCTGTTGATACGTGTCGGTCGAAGCCGCCGTGGCTGGACGTTCGATCTCGTCCGGGGGCGGATGGTCGTACTGGTCTTCATGATGATAATTGAAGTCGAGGTCGACATGGCTAAATTGCTGGTGAGCAGGGGGCGGCGGCGGCGGCAGGATGGGCTCGACGGGGTCGCGATTCGAATGGTAGTAGCGTTCCTCGGGACCATGCTCAGACACCTGCGCCAGACGCGAGGCGGATTGAATTGACCCCTGACGGGAGGACATGTTGGCTCTGACGGGCACGCCGTCGGCCGCGGTAGCGTTGGAGGCGGAACTGGACGAGCGTTTCTTCTGCTCGCGGTTCATGCGGCGAATTTCACTTCCGATATCCGCGGAGCTGGAGCTGAGACGTTCGGCACTCCTTTCCAGGCGCTCTACATTATTGAGGTAAGCACCTTGGAGCGATTCCAGGCCGGGGGTCGGATGGGAGAGAGGGACGGGGATGTCGGTGACCGGGGTCCGCAGGGGCGGTTCAGGGGAGCCGGCGTGGGCAGCGGGCGACGTAGTAGTCGTGGTAGCGGTGGCCGTAGTGCCAACGGTGGTGTTCAGCGGAGGCACGCGACGGAGACTATCGGACCTCCGGGGCGCTGAAGGATCGACGGCCTCGTAGTCGTCGTCCTCGACCATATCGTAGCTGGTGGAGGTCATGGATCGGATCATCGAACCTAAACTGGGGATGTTCGAGTCTTCGGCATTTTTCGCCGGTCGCAGGTACGAGCCTCCCCCGACGTGGTCGGCATCCAGAGGCAGTTGTTGGAACGATCGGCGACGGGGCGAGGGACTGCGAGAGGCATCAGAGTCGCTGGCGTGAAAGGTCGCATCCTGATCGGCTTGAGAGACGGCGTTGTACGCCATGTTGGGTTCCTTTTCAATCACGGGCTGGGGCAAGCAACGTGCGGTCAAGATCCATCCAGAGAGAGAAATAAAATCGGGACAGTGTCGGATCGGGTGGTGGAGACGCAACTAGCGACAGGGACGAGAGAGCCGAAGACGACGGCGGCGGAGCATGCGAGGGTCAGGAAGAGAGAGGAAGGGATGGAGGGAGCAAGGGAGGAAAGCAGGGAACGAAAGGAAGAGAAAAAAGGCGAGGGAACGACGGGGAAAGAGGAAAACGGACGAGAGAGAGTGAGATAGAGACCGAAGGAAGGGAATTAATTTCCTGGCGTTGTTTGATTCCGTGGATTTTCTATATTTGGAATTTGGGGAAACCCGCAGCCGCCACCGTTTGCCAACTTCTTTTGCTTCTCCTTCTCTCTCTCTCTCTCACGACCGAGTCTGACGCTCCCTCCGAGGACTGTCCTCGTGCGTCATTTCCTTTCCCGGCCTCTCAGGAACTGCGCAAAACAAGGCACACCAGCCTGGCACTGGGTCGGCGGGCACGTCCAGAGCCATGATAGGCCGGCAGACCAGTCTAAGGATTCTTCCCAGTTGGAATCCACCGGGTCGAGGGATGCAGGAGAAAAGGAGGGCAGACAGGGGTCCGGACTCCGGGGATCTACCGAATATCTACGCAGGAGGAATCTGGCTGTGATCGAAGCCGATCAGTCAGAATTACTCCGCTGGACGTAGAAAAAGATAGCCAGAAACGGCCAAAAACGAAGCGCGACCCCGAAGGGATGGGATAACTTCCAAGAAGGATTAGTCTTACGTCTTAAACTCGACCACCTTTCCCCGGATCAATCATATTCCCAACTATTGGGATCATAGCCATTCGGCAACAGGATGCTATTATTCTGTGGTGGAGCCGAGTCGAGACTCTTTCGGAATGAACTCTCGTGCCTTCCAGACTTCCTCGAAGAAGTATAAGTCTAGCTAGTTACTAGTAGCTACATTCCTGGCCGCCGAACGAGCTTATCCCCTCGTGGCGACGGGCTGGAATTCCGGTCTGAGCCCAACGGTGATCCGTTTGATTGGAGGATACCAATGTAGTCCCTTAGGTAGGCTACCCTAGGTACCTATCTAGTAGGTCCCTTATCTCAAGAGAGATCGCGTGAGATTGGTAGGAGAGGAGTGCCCTATGCACAGTATGCCGATAAAACATGTCTAACTCGATCTAATTGAAACCTCATATCTGCCTCTCTCTCGCTGGGCGCTCTCCAATCAGAATCATCCCGAGGTATCACAACTCCAAGGAGTCTAATCTTCCTGTCTCCCTCGATCAGTCCCCATCCGCCATGCGCACTCGCTGTCTCTGCGCCGTCCCCGATCCGGACGCCGACGCCGAACCACTGGCCGCCGCCGCAACAGCCTCGCCCTCCAACCGTCGTCGCAGATCCTCGTATTCACCACTGCTGCCCCCGCGGCCATTACTTCGCGGGATGCGTCGAGTCTCTCGCTCGCCCACCATCCACGCCGGCACCCGCCAGGCGCCGCCCGCCGACAACCCCGGCAGGATCTCCATGCGCCACGCCAGCCCCACGCCCCACCCCAGCATCGCCGGCAGCAGCATCCCCGGGAACTGCGACAGCGCCAACTGCGCCCCGATCAGGTAGGTCGTGGACTTGTCCGAGAGGAGCACGGTGAGGGATTTGCCCGCCGGAGACGTCGCGTCCGAGGCGGAGGATGGGGCGGAAGTCGACGTGGAGATGCGGTATCGGACGGTGTGCGGGATCGAGGCGTGGTATTGCGCCAACAGGGCGAAGAGCGAGGCGGTCGGTCCGGAGGGGAGGTAGCCGATCGTGTTGAGGGAGAGAGGGCGCACGAGGAGGGCGAGGAGGATCGGTGGGAGGATGGTGGTGTAGGGCAGGGTGGAGAGGAGGAAGGTCTAGTAGACACGATTCACGTTAGCCGGGTCTGTTTCCTGTCTCCAAAAAAGAGGAGAAGTAAGAAGAGGGGGGTAGATACCGCCATCTTCCTCTTTCCCCAGGCGCGCTCGACGACTCGGCAATGGTAGACGATCATGGCGGCGAACAGGGCCTCCGTGGAGTTGGCAAATCCGGCGACCTGCCAGATCAGGATGCGCCAGTACTGCCCGTAAGGGCGCAGATGTGGGGAGACATGGATGCTGGACAGGTGCTTGAGGTCGAGGATGGAGAGGAGGACGGAGGCGGCGATGGTGTAGATGAGGAGCAGCTTGGTGATCGGGGCGTTGGTGAGGCCGGATGTGAGCATCCTTCTTGGTCTTCGAATTTCTTTGGGTGTGCTCTGGAGGCCTGGCGTCTATCTGGGTGGACTGGTTGGAGAAGAGGGTCGAGAGGCGATGCGATAAGGAGCAAAGCGGCGAGGGAGTCGATCGAACACGTCGCGTGAAGGGCGGGCCGAGGTCGGTGGGGAAGTTCCCTGGACTGGGGGATTAATATTGGCCTGCTCTCGGCATGCCGACCAGTACTTCTATTATAGGTATAATACGTACTACTCGCCAATAATCAGATTCGGATTGCTTCTTCGCAAGCTCTATGGTACAGTACATGGTTTCTAACGACTCCTTTTATGTGGTCGGGGGCATCTCTTTCATTTCCTCCGCATACGCCGCGTGATATCGTGTCAACGCCGTCTCCAATGCCTGGATCGTGGGCCCCAGCAGCCGATTGACTGCCTTCTCTCCCCCCGGCACTCCCGCCAGATTCAGTCGGATTTTCCTTCCCGTGGCGTCGAGCACTTCGCGTGCATGTCGCTTGAGTCGATCCACCTCCACCTGGCGCTCGGCCTCCGCATCCTGCGCCACCGACTTGATGCGCGCCTGGGCCCGATTCAGCGATTCCACCAGCGACGCGACTTCGCCGGCACGGTCCGAATTTCCCGACAGGAATGCCTGCCAGTACTGATGTAAGAACTCCGTCGTCGTGGCATGCGTCAGGATCAGGCGGTCGTAGAGGTTGGAGGACAGGCCGTAGGTGTCGGTGGTGGACGAGACGTCCGTCTGCGCGCGACGATCGCGAATCGCGTCCAGGATCTGGGTCGACGCCCGTTGTAAATTCGCACGCGAGCCGACGTGCCGACGTTGCTTCTTCTCGTCATCGTCGCTGTCCTCGTCCGGCTCGACCAGCTTTCCCAGTGGAGCTGTCCCGTTCTCGGGCAGGTTGTGCTCGACCTCGACGCGCAAGTCACGCAGGATCTTTTCCGGGTCTTGCTTGGCAAAAAGGCGGCTTTGTTCGTCTTCGGTGACCTTGGACTTGGAGGAGAAGAATCGGCTCTGGTCCCGGATGTTCAGTAATATACGATTCTGCTGTTCGTCGCCACGAAGATCTCGTAGCTGCAGCTCATTGTACGTTTCCTCGTCCATGCCAATTGGGGCGTGCGGGTCACGATCGGCCGGCGCCACATTCGCCATGATCTTTTCGCTGAGACTGTTCAGCGAGCGAATGATGGGCACCTTGTCCGCCCCAGACGGTCTCATGTCCAGGTCCGGCCGGTTTCCTCGGCGTTGACTGTTGTTCAACTCGTTTCCTTCCAAATCAAGAAAATTGGGCACGTGTGCTTCGCGCGACACATTTCCATATTCATCGGCTTTGAGGTATTTATCGAGAACAAGGTCGGTGGGGTCGTTCTCCGAGATGCGCTCCCCTCGCATTTTTTTGAACAAACGACTCTGGAAAAAGCGAGACCAAAACTGCTGCTCGCTAAGCTTCGGTACATTCTCGTCGTAGACACGCTTGATGAGGGGATGCTGCGAGAAGATCAACTGGATTTGCTCCTTGCTAATATTCATCTTCGATACGTTATCCTCCACTCGCGGTTTCAACGTCGACAGCACATTATAGGAGCCTCGTGTTTGCGCTCTCTCGATGGCGTGAGCCCGTAAAAGATGAACACGCGTAGACCAGAACTGGGACATGAACTGCGGAGTGGTCATCGTATCGGGTTTCGTGGTAAGCGACTCCATCAGCATGCGCTTCAAGTTGAGGTCCGCATTAAGTAGGGCCTGCTGTAGTTCCACATCCGCTTTGAGCTTTTTGTCGTCATCCCACATATTCCTCCCCGAGCCCGTCGACGACACTGCATTCGCGATTGCCATGGCCGCCGACATGCCTTCGCCGCTCCCCGCTGCCGGCGCTGGGCTGGCATGGCCAGCTTTAGCTGCTTGAATGGCGGAACTAAGAGCATCTTTGATGGCATCCGCTTCCGGGCGCGCGTTGGCCCCGGCCGTGAAGGAGAAAACGTATTGCTCGGGGGAGCCGGCGGATGCGTTGGGAGGCTGGACGAATATCTTCAGCATCACCTTGGGGTTGCTGGCGGGTGTTTGCTGCAAATCTACAATTTCTCGCGTCAGCACGACTGTGAAATCCCATTTATACCCCGCTGCTCGAAGCAAGAGAGCTGAGGATTCTTCACACTCCCCCTCACCCAGGGTCCCGTCTTGGGAGGATCTCAAAAGCTGAAATGGAAAAGATCTTGATACGCACTTGTGATTTGAGCCACGGGTAACGTGATAGTTCCCGATGCACCACCAGCCGCCGGGATCCAAGAGACCGACTGGCGATCCTGCGACATGGTCAGGGTGCCATCTTTCTTCTTGTATGCCGCCGACCCGCTCGGAGGTGCCATCGTCTTGGAACTCGACAGCGTCCAAGGTCCTGGGCGGCGTGTAGGGATCCACCCATCGGGGAAATAGAATCCCAGCGGAGTTTCCGACAGTTGCGGAAGGTCCAAAAGCCTTCAAGCTGGTCGACGAGGTCGTGGCAACTGAAGGAGCGGAGAGAGAAAGAGACAAAGACAGCCATTGAGGCTCCGAATCCGAAGCTTTCTTGGGATTAGCGCAGGGCACGTGACCCGCCCGGTCATGCCGTTCGGAGCCCTAATTACCCAGAACGTACTCTCTGGGGTCCTCGCGCTTTCTCATCCGTCACCGTCTTACTGGAACCTCGAGAGGATGGATTTGAAATTAAATTAAAATTCCCATTGGGCCTGTTCCTGTCATAAACCTAACGAGCCTAACTCCAGAGTCGAAACCATCAATGCACACCTTGTTTTTGCACCAAACCATCTTTCTGACTGGGACATGGACAAGATGGAAAGCAAGTGAAATCAAGAACAGAACAGAAAGAACGAGACAATGCGAAAAACAACCGTCAAAAAAATGGGGATATCGCAACAACAGAACAAAAGACCATACTCAGACAGAGAACCCAAACGCTTAAAGACATCGCTCCGCTATGCAGACAACTCAAAAGCCAAGCAAATCATGAGGCATGACAGCAGAATCCACCCACACTTTTGTCGCCCGCGCATGCTGGTGCAATTTGTCCTAATATAGCCAAACACGAAATCCACCCGTAAATGCAATGTGAAGATGACAGCAGCGAAAAGGAAAGCAGAAAGAAAAGGAAGAGAGGAGAATGGTAAAGAAACAATGACAAGTATGACGACTCATGTTACCAGAGCCGCCAGACCAAGGCAGATCAAATGGACTGCCGAGTCCAGCTCCGGCCTCATTTCTTGAACATGTAGTGTCCGTAGATTCCGCCTACATCACCAACGGCCACGGGGATCTTTCTCATTCCCCACCACCTGGCCCCCATTTTCCAGGTCCGAGCGCCGTCGTCCGGCGTCTCGTTCGTCATCGATGCAGGGTCCCGGACGTACCATCCTCGGCGGCCGAGCTCTCGAACGGTCCACCCGGTGGATTTGGCGGTTTTGGTTCTCTCGCGCAGCGGGGCAATCAGCTTTTCGTGGAATTCAATCACCTGAAGCGGGTAGCTCTGCTGCGAAAGTAAGAGGCAGGAGCTCGTGTTGAAAACGGTTCCCAACGTCAACTGAGAAGCCTTCGTGAGGTCTAGGTAGCACAGGGATGGGGGAACCCAAGTCTCCACGGATTCAACCGCTATATCGCCATCCGGCCGCGGGGCGGGAGTGAAGAAAGCGTTCAAGTCCTGTGCGGACAACTCCGCCGATCCCAAGCCCAATTCTTCCAGATGCTTGGTCAAGGGGATGAGGGCTTGAGTGTGAGCCGATGTGACCTTGGCCCCTCCGATGTTCAGGGAACGCAGCGTAGACGGCAATTTCGGGAGCAGCGCGCTGACATCCTCTTCCTCCAGGAGTCGGTAGCGCGTAGGATCGGTCATCAGGTTCAGGAACACCAGCGAGTCGGTAACGGCCGGGTGAGTCGTCAGAAACTCGACCGCCTTGGCGCCCCTCAGACGAATGGTGCGGGAAAGACTCAGGTGCGTAATGCGAGCGGTTTCGGGGATGGAAAAGAGAGCCGCCTCGTTGATCTGCGTGTGCGTGACATCCAGGTGCGTCAGGTTCACCAGGCGAGGAAGAAGGGTCTCGAAGGCGGAGGCGGGAAGGCTGCTACATTCGTGCATCGAGATGCGCCTCAGATTCGGCATGGTCAAGGGGAGACTGAAGAGCGACTGCTGGAAGACCGCGGAGAACGACTGCGTCGAACAACCGCAGAGATCGAGCGCAAAGAGATTAGGCAGGCCGGTGAACAGCTTCTGCATCACTTCGACGCTGATATCGCCCTCCACGTGCTCCTGCAGCAGACATTCCTTCAGGTTGGGCAGCAGATCCAGGCATTTCAAGAGCGTCGTGGCGGTCAAATTCTGAATCTCGGCGTTCATCTGCTTGGTCCGTCCCAGGCCGACGGAGGTGAAGTGCGAGAAATCGAGGCGACGAACCAGCGTTCCCAAAGCCGGATACTGGGACATGTGGTTGAGAGCCTTGGAAAAGATGATCGAGTGCGGGAACGTCATGTTTCGGTACAACACGGCGAGGGTGGCCGCGTGCAACGTGCGCGAAGCTAGAAGACAGGCAATCAGGTCGACATTGCGAGGGGTGTACCCATTGGGCGGGACGTCCAACGCCAGCTTGGAGATAATTTGGTCTGTGCCGCAATCCGTTAGACCCGTCGGAATAAAACACGGACGGCGCGACAGGCACGCAGACTTACCGAGCACCTCCGGAGGAAGCTTCTCCAGAAGAGAAGTGCCGGGAACCGGCTTCTCTTCCTCCACGACCACCTGCTCCACCTCCAGCGTCTTGGTGGGCGGAGGGTTGCTGGCCGGCGGAGTGGCCTCCCAGGCCCAGCCACGCGCATGCATCTGACCCAGCTGGCGGAGGTCACTGTAGCTTCGGCTCAGGCTCTTTCCACCCAGTCGGATCTGCTTCCAGCCCAGGAAGCCGCCGCAGGGGCAGCAGAAGTCGGGGGTAGGCTGCATGTCGGCGACGGCGGGCTTTTGCGGTTCTTTGGAGGTTTGCTGTTCTTCTTCGGGGTGCGTGTCCACAAAGGACTGCGCAATGCCTACACATCCGCGACGAGGGACCGAATCAGTTCATTGCCCAGCACCATAGGTCGGGGCACGTTCTCATACCGTCAACGTCTTCTTTGATCGAACCAACCGACGGACGGCGGCGACTGGTCGACCGGGAACCGTCGGGCGAGGAACACTCGGAGGAACGAGGCGAGGAGCTACGCGAGAGACTGACGGGAGAGGAATCTCCCTGAGGGGCAAACGGATAGCGAGGCTTGTGCAGGCAGAGAGCGGGAGAGGCAGCGGCGGAAGACATGACGGGCGACTGGCGAGGAAGGCCTCTCGCACTCTAATATAGGGAGATCCGTAGGGCCAATCCCGATTAGGAAGAAGACGATGGGAGGGAAACGAGGACGAATAGGCAGGGGGGGTGGAGGAAACACAAAAAGGCGAGTGGAATCAAGGTCGAGCAGGAAAAAAAAGAATAAAGTGATCGTAAGAGAAAAGGGAGAAAAAGGGAAAAGCGAAAAAAAGCCTTTTTCTTTTTTTTTTTTTCACTTTCTTCCCCGGATTCCACAAACTCTTCCTAGTGCAGATTGAGAGGGGCGGCGGAGACGATGAAAATGTAGACCGGCTGAGGAGGCAGAGGAAGCTGTTAGTCACAGATTGCGGCGGATGGAACAGTGACCGCGCCCCCCCGAGGCGGACACGCTATTGATTGAGTGGAGGCCGGTCGGAGGTCGGGCGAGATGAGATGCTACCGCCGACGGGGTTCAGATTCAGGTTGTTGCAAAGACGGAGAAGGTTTGGGCAAACGAAGGAAGGGGGAAGAGACGTTGAAGAGGAGGGCAGGCAATGAAGTCAGTGGCCGCCGGGCAGCCAACGGAAAAAATTCGATTTTCGCTGGGAGCGGAAGAAGCTGCAGCTGAGCTTGTCGCAATCGACGGGATTTCTATTAAGTAACCCGATTTTCTCTTTGTTGAGACGTGAGACGAGCTGATTCCAATACGTAATTCTTCTCTTCTCCAGCGTTATACTCCGTAGATTTATTCGACCGGTCTGCAGTGGGAAGCGCGGCGAAGCAGAAAACAGACAAAGCGAGCCCTACGCAAGCCAACTATAGCGACTATACTTAGATCTAGACGTGCTCCGGGCCGTTTAAACATCCCTGTCACGGGGTCATTTATTCTTTTTCCTTTTCCTTTTTTTTTTTTTTCTCGGAGTGTCGCCGCCTTCCGAACACCACCTTTTTTCACTCTTCTGTGTAGACATATTCAACCTCAGACTCAACCTCAGACTCTGAGTCTAAGTCGGAGTCTGAGGCTACGTACAAACAACATGTTTATGAATCCACCGGGGCGACAGACTCACCGGATCGACCGACGCGACACTTCATCTCCGAAGATCAGGAGGGACTGAATGGATCGCCGCCATTCTATGACATAATGGAAAATCGCCGCTGGCCGGCCCCGTGACCCCAAGGACCTTCTGGGCGGGACGAGCGAGAAGGTACCCGGTACTTTCTCTTCCGTGCCCGTCGCCGCCAGCCGCCAAGTATCTGCGACCTGGCGGTGACTCCTTCCGGAAGGGACACGCTGGATTGATTTGATTCATGTCCCCCTTGTCGTAGTCAATCAACTACCTACCTAGGAGTACTACCACTTCCTCCGGAGGGTACTACTAGTCAGTACTGCGTAGTGTTGAATACCCCGGACGCAGCCACGTTCCGGGAGGATTTCCCTTACGTAACAGTTACCACCCTCGCAGGCCCAACCGCCCGCCGTGATTGGCCGCGGCGGACTGGGCTGGTCCCGTGACCCCTCTGGAGGACGCTAGTCCCTCTTGGGGAACCATCTTCCCTCTCCTGCTCGCTTTCCTGTCATCTCCATTGTTTGCTCCCCCCTGGTCCGGTCTGCCCCTCCTGGGATCATCCGTGACCCTCCGGACCCTCCGAGCTCCGGCTTATTGAATATTACGGAGTAGTATAATATTAAGACGAGTGATCAATCGACTCGCATCCCCTGGATTTCTCATCAATTGCAGGACCAGGGGGCTCCCAACTGTGCACTAGATAGATGAACTCTCGATCGCTCTATCCTATCCCCCGGTCCACTCTTGGCCCGGTACCCCTTACAGTTCCTCTCGACACTGGCCGGAGCCCTTTGGTCCTGGTCTCATTTCACGTCCTGTCTTTTAGTCTCGCTGCTGGGCGCGTGACCCGAGATGGCATGGCGCAGTGCCATCCCGTCTGTCTTCAATTGTAGCCTGCACGGTCAACACTCCCCGGCACCTTGCATAGCTCCTTCCCCGGAGAACCTCGTCCGCCAAGAAAAGAGCATTCGAGCCAAGCTGCCGGTAGGCATTCTTGAATCTACTCCACTCTCTATTGGGTTGATCTGGCGCATAGTTCGTTGGCCTCCATCCCCCTTTCTGCTGCCGGTGCAACGATCCCGCCGCTTTCCCCGCCGATTTGAGCCTCGGGTTGGCAGCTGGCATCGTCCTGGCCAGGTTACACTCAGTGGCAAGTCAATTTGGAATGCCAACCGGTCCCCCCTGTCGACTGCAATGGTCCATTCCACCTCCTTATCACCCCATCTTGCCTCATCCGTGACAGCGCAGGCGTCATACGTTCATGGGTGAGGTGTCCGGCCCAATCGCACCATCTCCATGGCAAATGGTACAACCCCGTTCGACAGGGTGCACTGTACCTAGGTAGATCGACTGGGAAGTATGCCACGATCTTGTCCGCGGAAAGGCTGTTCTGTGAGACTTGACGGTTGTTAATGTAGGATGGAGAACGTGTCTTCAATCCGGTAGGGCCCATCCCCTGTAAGACATCAACCTTTATTCCGACGTAAAATTGCATCATAGGCATGACTCGAGAGTTTGGGGTTCCCTTCTAAACCTGCAGTGCAATCAGGTGGTGAAGTGGTGCCATCTCATTGGTCATGACTCAACGGATCAAACCACCACATCCCGACCTCTTACACTCTGTCTACCACTCTACCTCGAAGCATCCCATGTTCTCATGTCACTTTTCTCGTGGATCTCAAACAATGGGCCGTTGTCGGTTGGCAACCTTGGAAACGTCAATAATCCCACGGATCTCGAATTAATTCCACGAAATGAATCTGACCACCTAGGCTTACATGAGCAATACGCCATCTCGATCCAAGCCACCAGATCCTCGAGATCTATTCAAATCTAAGCTTATTGGGGAATTAACTCAGTCTATATGTGAACACTTTCCGAAATCAAGAAACTCAAATTTTGAGATAGCTGCCATGATATAACGAGCTGTATACGCTTGGGAATAGGCATCATACAGGATATCTTCTTCTTTTTTTTCCGACTCAAAAGCTCGTTCAATCTTATAATGAGCAATGCGTGCATGCCATGTTGAACTTTGTTATTAGGGTATACTGAGTATGTCCGATTCTCGGGACCTGACGAACAAGAATCTTGGTTACTGCATTCAGTTCCTATCTTTGTGGCTTTTGGAGTCACGAGCCGGCACCCTTTAACATATGGTTAATTCTGGGGGCCCCGTGTCTGGTGATTACCGATTTGTGATATCGTTGACACTGTACATCCAGTTCCGATACTCAACTCGTGACTCCCATTACAACAGCTTATGGAGACCTCAGGTGAAGCAACACTACCTCGAAAACAGCTTCAGGCCATGATGTCTATTGACCACCTAGCAAGGATTGCAAAGTTTTATGCGTTAGCGTAAATGGAGTCTGTTTTAAGAAAGCTATCCGGTAAACCATTTCCATGATTGACTGTAAACCCTGCCTAGAAAACCGATTTCTACATGGAATCTATCCCCGAAAGCTCATCACTAACTTCACCTCAAGCCCACGAGTGCTTTCTGACGCTCAAAGGATAGGAAACCCCACTTGGAGTTATCAGTCCATTTCAGATATACTTCTTCAACCATCCTTGCTATTCATCCAACTCATCGACAATCTACCACCAGAGCTCGGAATTGCTGCAAACTCGGTGGCTCAAATCACAGTGAATACGTACGCGAATATCATCAAGTATGAACTTATCCACCCAACATTGTGTATCCTCAGCTCCTGGCTAGTTTGGTGCCTTCACTAAAGCCGGTCTGTTCTTCCCAGTCTGCCGTCTCTTCAATAGAGGCAGAAGCGCAATGTATGCTCACTCGAGTGGATGAACTCAACATACTTCTATCCAATTATCTGCACACATTAATTTCTATAACTTATAGATCGTGGAGTCAGATATAGTGGTGTTATTCAAGCAAAGCGAGGCCCTCGATTGGAACGCTCAATGGTTCAGGAACGGAATCATAACTGTGGTCGTCGTGCCCATATTCTCTGCCATCTGAAATTCCTCAATGCTGGGATATATTCCATTGAGTCATGCAGAGTCTAGGTACTACATGAATATCTGCCCTAGAAGAGTGAGGAAAGGTGCGTTGTACATAATATAACAAGATGTTGTGAAGGCTTATGTTAGGCCTGAGCAGTCAGGCATCAGCCTATGCAAAGGGCGGCGCTCAATTGAAGGTCTACACCTGCCCACCTCCCTCCTCTCTCCTTCTCTCACTCGGTCACACACACTCTCTCTCTTTATATATAGATCGCTCTTTATCTCTGCGTCTATCCTACAAGCTGATCTAGTCAATTGAACCCACTCTTGAAGCATACACAGGTTGTCTTTTGGTCGCAGTCCATCCAGAGATCACCTGGGCTCATCTTTTTCTTCAGATGCTCTGACGTGCATTCCTAACTGTCTACTGAACTAGGTATAATCACAGGTAAATTTCTCTATCGTATATCAGAGTAACCACTTATCTATGTTTCGGCGATTTTATTTGCTTTGAAGCCCGGGAAACAAGTCTTAAGCCATTGATCACTGAGCATATTTGGAGGTTTCAAGTTAGAATGTATTCTTACAGGGCATTGCTGCTTTAACAAAGACAATTAAACAGCATGCACTCCATCGTATCCATCTCATCTATAGACACATAGGCGTTTAATAGATATCAACATCGGGAATCGACTTTGGTTGCTTTTCCCATGGACAAATGAAACCCCCTAAAACAGTCTATCTCGACCATTCACGGACATATGTCGGCTTATCTCCATCTTGTGGAGGCTGCTCTTCAGAAAAATAATAAATAAAAATCAAATCAAATCAAATCAAATCAAATCAAATCAAATCAAATCAAATCAAATCAAATCAAATCAAATGGCAATGATTGAAAATCTGGTACCTAGGTAGTAGTATACCAGTGGAGCCCTGGATTATGATTGGTCAGAATATTATGCTGACTTTCTCAGCCCTAACTTCTGCACATGGTCTGGATCCTGAATACCAGGTGCTCACTTCAAGGGACAATATTGCCAAAGAACAACGTAACGGTAAGAAGTTTTACCCTTCTTCTTTAAAACTATCCAATCCCTTCAAGATCATGCCGCATTTATTCTAGCCAATGGCCCACACCTACATTGGAGAAGACGCAACCCTAATTCCCTTCTGTCACTCGACAAAGACAGACAGGCAGATATAGAAATAACTAGATCAATAGACAAACATGCACATTGCCTCATCAGGAAACAGACATCCTGCACTGAATGCGCACGCTCCCCGGGCATAAGTACTGTACATAGACATCTGCGCCCCGAACGTAAAATGCAAGCCTAGTAACTCCCATGTATTCTATAGTGACCTTTGATACTAGCAGGACTTGGCATCAAGTAGGTAGTATTTAATCCGTCCATTCAGCCTAAGTGTATGTCAGAGTTTTTTTTTTCCTGCGAGACGGAATACGCCGTAGGAGTTCCGGTAAGATTTCTTTTTTTTATTACTGCGTACTGTCTAGTTCTTTCTTTCATTCAATCAGCATAATTATAGTGACTGTTAAGGTTTTTCTTTCTCGTTTTTGCCTCCCGTTTCAGCCTGCGCCACTCACCCATACCTACCGAATGTCTACCTACTAATTGTCTACCGGGCGGGATGAAATTCCGACTGGACTTTCTCAGATGCAGTAAGACATTAGCTGAGGAGTGAAAGGTACCGTCGAGTGGCGAGCCGTTTGGTATCGTATCCTTTGTATCGGGGATATAATGAACTCCGACCTGGATCTAGCCTTTTGGGCATCCCGCTTACTTGCGGAGGATTCTCCAGCTGAAAGAGATTTTTTTTGTACGTTTCACTACTGTAAACTACGTAGAGGGGACGGGAGACGAGATACATGTAGGCCGAGATGCAGGCATAAGTCTATGCAAGCACAATGCATGTAGGTAGCCGACGGGTGGCCAGAAGCAAGAATCTCCCGAGAATCGTCAGTCTGGCAGCCACGGTTGGTGCGCCAGTATTGACTTTTACAACCGGGATGGAATTGAGTTCGACAATGAATCCCGACGTCAGCCATTACTGCTCGACTGGCGTGGAAGCAAGTTTTAGTTTGAGGACCGCGGTCTCTTAACTCTTACTAGAAGTCATGCGGGAAACTTGGAACGAGGTATGCAAGAGAAAAGAAATGTCTCTAGTTGTTAATCCAATCTATCTAGATCCCAATCCAGTTGAAAGATATAGTTGGTATGTAACAAGATTTGGTCGTTGATGCGGTTGGCATCATCACATCAAAAAGAATAAGGAAACCCAGTCTAATAACGATAATATGCTAAAACAGAATTGTCGGCCTTATAGTGGAGTTTCCAAGACAGGCGACAATGGATATCAGTAATTCAAATCCGTAAACCCGTAAAGATAAAAAAAATATTCTGCAGAATGCCATCGTGCAGGTGAAAAAATAGAGAGACATGGTCGTGAAGGTAAGGCTGAAATATCACCTAACGCCATCAGAACATCCAATGTTCCTTTAATTTTCCTGGTCGTCCTATTGGTGATTGATTCGATGTGGACTTTTTGTGGTTCGCTTTCATTTATTCAACAGCGGAAGCGCCATCGCCGTGAGTGACAGGGTTGACCTTGGGGTTCCACTTGAACTTGAACTCCTCGCCAAGCTCCTTGCGAACGGCAGCCTTGACGGCCTCCAGCACGTTGGGGAAGACACCGAAGTTGGCGGGGTTGTTGTCGTCGTTCTCGCCGCCCTGGAACACACCGGTGCGGACCAGGCAGGTGTTCCAGCCGTACATGTTACCACCGCAGATGTCGGAGGCCGGGTTGTCACCAACCATGTAAACGTTCTTGGGAAGGCGGTTCTCGTCGTGGATCTGCTCCATCCACGAGCGGAGGACCTCGTCAGCGTAGGTGTAGGTGGCACGCTCGGGCTTGCCGTAGACCACACGCTCCAGGTCGACACCGGTGAGGGCCTTGTACTGGGCCTCGATGGATATCCGGAAAGCACCCTGCGTCAGACGAGGGGGTCCCTTGTGGTTGGTAGGGAAGACCAGGTCACCTTGCGAGAAGTAAACGGGGATGCGCGAGGCGACGGGGTCCTTGGCGCGGGTCAGCATCTTGCCGTCCTCAGCCAGCAGCAGATCGATGATGAGCTGCATATCGGTCGCGTAATCATACGAGTCGGCGAAGACGAGGATGGCATCGAATTTGACCTTGGAGAAGTCACGGGGCTTAGCCTCGGCGCGATCTTCCTCGGTGAAGGTGCGCCAGGGAGAGACGGTGGGGTCCCAGGCGAGGATATCTTTGGGGTGAACGACGTTCTTGAAGCCGTAGTTCTCGGCCACCTCCCGGATCTTCTGGCCCTCACCACCGCAAACCAGAACGGTCTCGTAGTACTCCGCCAATGCCTGCATCGGGGTGTGAGACTGGATAAACTGGTCGGTGGAGATGGGGCTCTCCAGGATCTCGGAGAGCTGCTGGCAACGGGCGGTCTCGGTCTTACCACCACCGTTGGTCAACAGAATATAAGGGATCTTGATGCCCAGCTCGTTGTCGCCATTCAGCATCTTCAATGCCTCCTTTGCCTCCTCAATGGGCTCGTTGCCGTGAGCGAGAACACCGTCGATGTCGAAGGCGAACGCCATGTTCTTAGCGGCATCAACCTTCTCCTTGGACATGTCCTGGACCTGCGAGGCCAGGATGTCCCGAGTGACGGAGGCATGTCCGGAAGGAACGGCGGAGGACAGGCGGGAAACCCGGGGAGATCTGGGGATAGGCAGAGAGGTACCGAAGGAGTTGCGGGAGCTGCGACGTTCCCGCGTCGAGGGGGACAGACTCAGGTTGTGCATGAACTGAGCGGCATCACTGATGGCGCTGCGGGTGGCCGGAATCTCGACGGTGTTTCCAGCATCGTTGGGGATGGGGAGAGTGCCGCTGAGGCGAGACTCTCTGGGGGCGGGAGCAGCAGGGTCAACACCCAGGTCAGCGTCGTCAAAGCGAGGCATGGCGGGATTGGTCTTTGTTTTTGCGGAGAGGTTGGTAGGAATTGGCTGAATAGGAGAGATCTAAGAGAGCAAGAGAGAGGAGGGGTGATAAGACCAAAGTCAGTTATATGATATCACTCTTGGTAAGAACCAGGACCAACAGGAATGTTAGTCGAAGAGTGAGAGGATAAGATAAAGGAAAAGACCAGGACAGGTACAAAAGCTGGAGAAAGAAGGCCTCAACCAGGAGGGAATGATACAATCTATATATAATGATAAGAACGAACCGGTTTCCAGTGGCGGTCTAATTATCCCCGTCCCAAAGCTGTGACCTGGTATAGGGGGGTTGTTTTTTTTTTTTTTTTTTTTTTTTTAATCTTTCCCTTTTTTGTTCCTGTTCATTTTAATTCCCTCTGGAAATCCCCTTGGATGCAGCCATTCACACGCCGGGGATCCACCAGGCGTCTCATTATTCCTAGGAATTATCGTCATCGCGGCTTTGGCATTTGATTAGCCCTGATTCGGCCTCCCCAAAGATACGCAGGGGCGGGTCCGCTAGTCCGCATTGGGGAAGGCTGGCCATGGACGGTAATACGGGGAGCCTGTCTTGTACTGGTATCGATACCATACAGGGTAATACCTGGCCTCCCATACAATCATACTGATTTTTGTGCACACCCTCTCGCACGGTGCAGATGGCAGCCTGAGTCTAACCACAAATTGGCCCAGGAGGAGCGGGGCGGGATGCATGACATCTCCTACGATTGGCCACGAGCTTTTTTTGTTTTTCCCCGCTCTCGCTCCTTTCCTCCGCTCTCTCTCTCTCTCAATGGTTTGGGAGCAACTGATAATCCCATTATTGGAATTTGGATTTGGTGGGAGGTTTGTTGCTCGAACTGGACGAACCCAAGAAAGGAACCCCCTTCGGCCGGCATGAGCCCGTTCTGCACGGTGAGTGGACAGGAGCGAACCGAGCGGGCCTCATCCGGGCCACCCATTGGCCAGCAGCCCTTCCACCCGTGGAACATGGCCTGAGATCGATGCAGCCGATGACGATCGAGCGGGCGACGACGGGTCAAACGCTCGCGCCGTTTCAACCCAAGAGAGGCCGTGATGTCATGGCGGCCCCGTTGGCTTTCTGCGCCGGTGGGGCAGGTTGGCCGGTGGCTGCGCTGCTGGGCGTCTGGGATGCCGTCATGGAGGGCAGTCTGAAAGGTCGGACAAGAAGAGCTCCCCAAGCTGCTCGGGATAGCTCTGGTGATACGATCGAGGGGCCCAGAACCACGAGAAAGCAAGGAATGGGGTGCGGACACCGGTTGCCGCAACAATGCCAGCTTCATGGAATTGTGGGAAGAAGAGAAATGATCCAAGACGACGGAAGCAGGCGGTATGACAACAAACCCCTCCTCCCTGATTGCCGCCAAAATTCCCCTCCACCCCACCTTGTTGCTTCCCAGGACAGCTAAGCAAGTGAACCTTGTCCGAATCTACCCCTCCTCCGATTCTGCAGACTCTTTATTATTCTCCTCCTGTCCCGATTCTCTTCTTCCTCTTCTCAATTCCTCCATTTCCCCTCACCTTTCCCCTCCCTATACCAATCAACAACCATCCACCATGTCGAACGGAGTCACTTTCGAGCTGAGCAACGGCGTCAAGATCCCCGGCGTCGGGTTCGGCACCTTCGCCAGCGAGGGTGCTGAGGGCGAGACCTACCGTGCCGTCATGACCGCTCTGCGCACCGGCTACCGTCACCTGGACTGCGCCTGGTTCTACCTGAACGAGGGCGAGGTCGGTGATGCTCTCAAGGATTTCCTGAAGGAGAACCCCTCCGTCAAGCGTGAGGACATCTTCATCTGCACCAAGGTCTGGAACCACCTCCACCGCTACGAGGACGTGATCTGGTCCGTCGAGAACTCCCTCCAGAAGCTCAAGGTCGACTACATCGACCTGTTCCTGGTCCACTGGCCCATTGCCGCCGAGAAGGAGACCCAGGAGAAGCCCAAGATTGGCGCTGATGGCAAGGTAAGCTATAGCTCTCTTTTTTTTGTATATGTCTTGTGTGTGTGGTTTTAGCTCACAAACCTCCCCTCATAGTACGTCATCCTCAAGGATCTCACCGAGAACCCCGAGCCCACGTGGCGCGCCATGGAGAAGATCTACGAGGACAAGAAGGCCCGCGCCATCGGTGTCTCCAACTGGACCATCGAGGGTCTGGAGAAGCTGCTCAAGTTCGCCAAGGTCAAGCCTCACCTCAACCAGATCGAGATCCACCCCTTCCTGCCCAACGAGGAGCTGGTGCAGTACTGCTTCAAGAACGGCATCATGCCCGAGGCCTACTCTCCCCTGGGCTCTCAGAACCAGGTGCCCACCACCGGCGAGCGGGTCAGCGAGAACAAGACCCTGAACGACATCGCCAACAAGGGCGGCAACAGCCTGGCCCAGGTCCTCATCGCCTGGGGTCTGCGTCGCGGCTACGTCGTGCTGCCCAAGAGCTCCAACCCCGCTCGTATCGAGTCCAACTTCAAGAGCATCGACCTGTCGGACGCCGACTTCGAGGCTGTCAACAAGGTGGCCGAGGGCCGCCACTTCCGCTTCGTCAACATGAAGGACACCTTTGGATACGACGTGTGGCCCGAGGAGACCGCCAAGCAGCTGTCTGCTTAAAAAAGAACGATTGGACAATGATTTTACGGGTTATCGAATCTCTTTTCTTTTTTTGAAAAAAAATTTATGCGGGTCATAATAAAGGACGGGGAAGATATTTGGATACCATGATATAAGAGATACACAAAATAGTAGAAGAAAGAAAGAGTTATTCCACCAGAGTTTGTACTTGTAGGGAACCAGGTATCTTATGCCAAACGAATGCAGCTCGTGCTAGGATGCCAGTAATCATCTTCACGGCATACCTACCTCGTTCAAATAATAATGACAATAATTAAAATCATGTTAAAAACCGCCAGAATAATTACAGTAACGACGAAAACCAGGCCAAGCGAAAGATCCTTAAACCAAGGACCAATCCGATGAGGCTGGAATGGAACCATCAGATGGTGCTGCAACCTGCATCCTACGCCGGAGGACTGTCCTCCATGGAGTGCAGCCGCCCGGTATTGATGACACCTTAGGCATGTCTACGGCCGGATGACGCTATGTATGTCTGTGAGAGTTGAGGATTCGATTCCCAGACATACAGAGTATCGACTGTCAGTTCATCGATCTCCGGCCCCGCCACCTTCCCCGAAACAGGCCAGAAGCGTTCCTCATGCATGTCGCAGCAGCGTACCGACGAAGTAAGGAGAATAATGTCTACCTTACCACCAGATCCATACCAGGTAGTATACCAACAAACCCGCACCCAGAAGAAAGCCCTCCTCCCTCCTTCTACTCGACATAGCAACACCCACCAGCAAGTCCCAGCCACAGAGGACGGAGAATCCCGGAACGCACGCAGCCCTCGGTGGGCAAATCCGGAAAAGCCCTAAACCAAACACCGGCTGCCCGAACGGGTTAAGGAGGTTTCTTTTTCCTGGTGGCTCCGTATTTTCCCCGTTCGTGGCTTAGCAAGGTGGACGGACTTCCTGCAAGCACGCACCGCTGGCCCAGCCCGATGCCGAATGACGTGGGAGGATGCCCGCCCTAGTTGGGCGCTAGGCTTTAATAGGATGGTCTAGGTACACTGTCCTCCGCTGGCGAACTCCACCGACAGAGGAGTAATGGGCTCGCTAATCGGGTTAGTGAGGACGGAGACCTACTCCGTACAGTGTATACAAAGAATGTGGTTTGGTTGGTAGAGGATACGGGCAAGGAGCAAGCACAGGAGGTGAATTCCACACTTCAGCTCTGCAAGGTCCTTGCCTTCTACTCTGGGATGAGGATTTCGAGCATGCTGTATGGTTGAGAGCGCTGAAGTTGAGGGATTAAATTGGCCGGAATGCGGGATGGCTTGGATGTGAATGTTTACGTAGTATGTTCCTGGAATGAATCAATTAGATGAAGGTGTAGGAGTTCTACTATATGCTGATCTATCGGCCTCGTGGAATGGAACGGCTATCTCAGTCGGCAAGTGAACCCGATGTCATTCGGGATCGGGTTCATCGGTCTGGTGGATATCGATGGGGATGGGATGAACGATTCGGAGTTCTACGAGCACACCCCGTCCATGTGGCCAGCACGTCAGGGAGTCTGCTATCGTCCGATGGATGGGTACCGGTGAGCTGAGATGGAAGTACCAGGATCTCTGGAATGCCTGGCTGCGTACAGAGAAGTATATGGCATTCTATTATTATGTCCGTTCCATCCTACGTGGGCCTTGAGCGAGTAGATTGTGAACACTTGGATACTCATATGCTATGCAGCCACAATATGCGGAATCTACGCTTCGTAGTGATATGGATATCCAACTAGACAGATACTCCTTATTGGATACCAGAGACGTACCAATACTGTGTCCTGTGCCCTACATATGGGTATGGCTATGGATACTCCATACTAGCACGGAGTATGTTTGCCTATGCATGCATCTACTCCGTACATACTGTGCACTATATGATCCTACTCTCCAAACAAACATCCACGGGTATAGACAACCACACCCACAAACCACTCCAAACCAACCCATTCACTTCCATGCCATCTCCCTGATTCTTCACGACGATCCACCAGACTCTAACCCAAAGCCAATTCACTCCAACCAATCTCCCTCTCCCTTCCGTCCAGCTATCTCCCTCCTGACCAGGCCCTCCAACCCCAATTCCCCTGCTCCGAGGTCACCTCGCGCAGCACCATCCCCAAGCCCCTGCTAAAAACCCTCATATGATATCATCATGCATCCCGACCCCCTTAGCCACCGCATTCCCAGGCAACTAAGGTCGTAGTTCGCCCGGACTAGACGCTTCCACCGTACGCGAGATACCGACACCCCGGACCGTACGCCGTATTACGGATTCATACCGTATCTCCGGCGGTATGGCCCTGTATGGGTGTACGGCGTTACTTACGAGGATGTCCAGACGATGGAGTACAGTGCCTCCTATGTATGTATGCACTGTAGATTGGATCCAGTTTAGTAGATCATTGTAGATACCTCCCGAGGTGCCATGCAGGACATCCATCCCACATCGCGCATCCCCAGAAAGATGGAGCAGAGACCCCATCCGTGCTCGGCGCTCCATCTCTCCGCCAGTTTTGATCTGGGGAGGCCCCCGAACGGCCACCTACCCCTCCGACAACGAGGGTACTTACTCGGGTTACCTAAAAGACTGGGGAGGTTCCTGGGCGATTCGATTTAGGCAACATGGATGCGTAGAAAGGAAGTTTGGCGGGGAAAAATGGGGAGGTGAAGCGAGAGGCTGGCCAGGATCAGCAAAAAGAGGGGGAAACTTCCAGGATTCGACCAGGTTTCCGGCTCAAGTATAGACTAGTAGTAGACGGAGGGCTTTCCCAATTCACATGTCCCCGGATTTCTTGGATTTCTTGGATTTCTTGGATTTCTTGGATTTCTTGGATATTTGGATTCTTGGACTCATGGACTCAAATGAAAAGCAAGATGAGAATTGATTGACACGCCCCCATGGCGAGATATCCCAACTCCGAGCCTTAACTAACCCTGCCCTGAACGCCGCCGATATCCCGAATTCGTCAGGCCCGACGATCTTTCCAAGTCCCTGATATTATGACTATGTACAGCATCCCCCTTTTCCAACCCCCGTCCAGCGGGAAAATAGCATCATCACGGCAGACAAACACAATGGATGGACCAGCCATCACACAGAGAATTCATCGAGCGGCTCACGACACCAACCGCGCCGATCGGACTCTTCTAGGCATCGGCGTTGAGCCTGCATGTGTCTGGAAGATACTGGCACTTTTGCCAGTGCTGCCACTTCCCGAGGATCGACTGGTGCTGCTCACCTTCGACGTCGACGACCCCAGCAACGTTGTGCTAGGCGACCGCGGAGTCAGCTTTTTCCGCTTCTCCGGACTGGGTGATAGCGACGACGGACTCGATTCAAGAGACGCGACTGCGGCCGTGGCCGATGATTTGCTTGTTCCCAGGCGTCGGACCCGCCGCGTACGAGGAGTTGCAGTAGCGGGTGCAGTAGTGGAAGTTCCGTCACCACCACTCTCGGGGGAGCCCTGCGAGCGAGTGACGCGCCGACTGTTCGCCTTTCCTTTCTCGGACCTGCGACTCGGCGACCTGTCTCCCCGGCCACCAACGTCATCGCCGGGTCTCGTGCCTCCATTCTGTTCCCCCTCATATTCGACCAGGTGCTCGCTCCACGAGACTCGCTTCTTCCCGGCTGCCGGTCGACCAGGCTTATGCGCAGACTCGTCGTTATCGGTCACGACCCTGTCGGAGTCGGATGATGTCTGCGCCAACTTCTGCAGCGTGAACTTTGGAGGTACCGATTCTCCTTTGTTCTTTCGCGTGTTTCGTCGCGTCGCCAACGCCAACTCCTGAGCCTCCGATCGTTGCAGGAAGACAAATTCGGTCCCGTTGGAGCGCCGGAGCGAAAGTGTGTTCTGAATAACACCGGGCGTCCGGCGCGAAGAAGGCTTGGGCGTGCTGTTGCGGGCGCTTCGACGGGGACTGGAGGGAGGCTGCTCATCTTTCTTGTTGACGTTATTCACAAAGCCTTTGATCGGCGAGGGCTGAGACTTCTGAGGGGAGGGCGAATTGGTGTCGAGATCCTCCAAGGCCCGACGAGAAGGTGGCGTAGGCATTTCGGTGACTTCGATCTCCAGCGGGGGCGAAGTCTGGCCTTCCTCGATTTCCGGCGTGACTGGAGCGGCCGCTTTGGCGTCGCGTTTGGCCTTCGCCTTGGTAAGGAAGTTGTTTATCAGCGCGGCGTCCTCCCCATCCAATGAGCTTCGTAGTGCCGACCGAACCAGGGTCGACTCTTGTTCGGCAGTGAGTTCCTGCACCGGAGCGGTTGTGGGCGCAGGAGCAGCTGCAGCTGCAGGAGGAGTGCCGTCCGCTGCAACGGTCTCGTCGGTGCTCGGGTGTTCCTCCAGAGAATGAGACTGTCGATCAACGGTCATAGTCGCATCCAGCGTTGCATCCTCAGCCTCAGTCGTAGTTATCGCGGTCGCGGTCGCAGTTGCAATCGAAGCCGGGAGATCGCTTTCGTCCCCAAGCCGGGAACTGGGTAGATTAATCTGGGGCGAGTCGAAATCTGCCGTCTCCTTTATATTCGCGACGGTTTCGTCGGTCTCACTCGGGGCAGCGCTGGATTGGCCATGTAGCACGCGGGGATAGGCTAAAGGCGGCGCCAACGCGATGGCTGTCCGGGATTCGTCCTGTTCCACGGAGTTTTGCGCGACCGACGTGGACGTATCCGACGCGATCTCATCCTCATTGTTTTGACCCTGCGCCTCTTCGGGCTGCAACGTCTCGACGGTCATAGGCTCGGACTCGTCCACGAGACCGTACTTTGTCGGGATCTTGCCTGCGAACGGTTAGTTTGGATTGACTATCTTATGCGCGCTCCCTAATCGGGCCGCTAAGAAAAGACGGAAAAGCACGAAGGATAGGAGGGGTGAGTCTTACGTCGGCGCCCGGTAATAAGATTAGACTCCCACTGCGTTTCCAGGAATGACCGACCACGCGATGTCGTCTCATCGGAGTCGTCCTGTGACAAGCAGCGTCGTTTTACGCCACGCATACTGGTCGCATTTCGCGAGGTGTTGATCTCGGTGAAGTAGAAGTCTTCCTTGACGCACTCCTGCCCGGTCGCGATCAACCGTTGCAGCGACTTCATACTGTTAAACGAAGAGCGAAAGCGCTTCCACACCTTGCGCGACCGGGGACGCGACAGAAATGGAGTCGAGGGTTGGCGATCCCAAACACGAGGGATGTCGCGAGTGGTCTTGATCGGTGTGAACCGGAAGCGATCTCCCTGGAGCTGGGCGAGTTTGGAGGTGGTGAGAGAACTGTAGAAGATCCCAGTCAAGTTAGCGATGAATGGTTTGGTGAAAAATGTGGGAAATGATGATGATGGCGATGATAATAACAATAATAATGACGACAAGCCGGAGCAGCCAAAAGGGGGCATAGTAACACGTCAACGTCCGTCTTTCTTGAACACGGAGATCATCTGTGTCTTTTTGTGTTTCCTTTCCCCTCCACTCGACATGTGTCACTGGAATGTTCGTGGATAAGTGACTTACCATGACTGTGGAGATGGCATCGCAGCGTTGTTGGTGGACATTTTCGGGACTCCGACGCGAAGAATGCTTGGATGCGCCGAGTCGGTGACGTCCATACGACCAGAACGGAAACCGAATAATCAGAAACCAGACGATCTCTGGATGGAAGCCGATGAAAAACTAAGACAAGGCGAGCGGCGGAGATCGCAGGCGCAAGTGTCGGGATGAAGATGAAGAAGCTCGTGGAGAACAAAACAGCGAAGAATCGACGGGGACGGATTGCGGGACCGTTGCTGTGCCAACGCCCTCCCATTCTAGACTATTCAGCCTCCATCGGTCAATCGCATTGAATGGCGATTCATGATCATCGTCTCTCATTATTCATTTAAGCCAGAGTTTAAATATCGGAATTATAGACCCCCAGTCATCTAGATCCCCCGTCGATTTATTCTTCCATCCATCTATCCATTCACTCTCAGAACGCCTTCGCCTGCATGTCTCTTTCGTCGAACGGATCCCCAAATTCATCTGAATGGCCCCCATTGAGATTAGCGCTCCCTCTATTGTCTCCAACCACTGATTGAACGAGGCACAATAGCCCGAGAACACTCACTGAGATTGAAGTCCTTGTCCACCACGAACTCCATCGCACGCTGGTATTCCTCCTCGGCGCGCTTGTTCAGCCACATGGCTCCCGGCTGATCCTCCGGCGCTGTCGAGCCCGGCGTTGTCCCCGGAACACTGCTACCCACATTGGTGAAGGTAGGTTGGGTCTGGGATCCTGGCGGGGACAGTTCGGAAAGACCCCCGGCTGGCGGGTTGGAGGTGGTTCGGGTGGGAGTGCGAGATCCGGCCTGCGAGCCGTCGGAGGGGAGCTGGGCCGACTCCGGAGAGGAGGCCATTTGCGAGTCTCCGTCTGGATCTGTACAGGAGGAGTGAATTAGACACTAGGGTGGACTGACAGGTGAATGCGGGGAGGGTTCGGCGTAGATCTGGAAGGGAAATGTAGACAGCAGAGGGGGCGCGTGGAACACACCGGTTGTCATGACTGGATTAGAGGGATTGTCCGCCGACCAAAATCACGATTGAATGCCGACAGAAGGAGGATCGAGAGAGGGAGAGACAAGAGACAAGAGACAAGATACTCCGCCCAGAGCAATCCGGAAGAAAGACCGTCTTAACTAAGCAGCGGCAACAACGATTTTCCCCGGCTGTGGTTCTTCCGCTCTTTTTCCACTTCCCTCGCCGTTGACATCGTTCAATTCTCAATCCGCCTTGGTGTCTGTCTTTTTTGGTCTACAATTTGGCCCTGCTCCTGGGAATCTCTTTGGCCGCTGTCTCCTGCATTGCATCTCCTGCTTGTTTTTATATACAGCCACCCCCCCCTACCCCTCCCTCGTATATCCATACTCCGGCGACCATGAGCGCAAAGCCTTCCTCTGCAGGTCCTGATGCTTGGGAAGATGATTGGGAGAGCCAAGCCGATGTAGGTATTCGTCATCTCGATCTCGACTACTCAATTGTCCCTGGCTGACTGGCAACGTTGGTGTTGGTCGCTACAGAGATTGTCCACCGACCCCACCCCGCCTTCGGAGAAGAAAGTCTCCTCCAAAGTCTCCAAGGCCCAACGCCGAGCACAACAGGCCGAGTTCAACCGCCAACTATGGGCTGAAGCGTACGCATCTCGATTGAAAACAATCATCAAATCCCTCGTCTAGGCGCGCAAATCATATTCTGACCGACGTTCTCCCTCTGCCGTTTAGAGAATCCCCCCAAACGTTTCACTTCCTCGAATCCCGATCCGACGTCCCTCTCAAGCAAGAATATAAACCCACCGTGACCCTTCTCAGTCGCAACCCGCCCTCGAAACAATCGGCCGTCGACGCGACCACGGCTGGTGTCGGGCGACTAGGCCTGAATCACGGCACCGAAGACGACTCGGAGGAGGAATCCAAGCCGCCCGAGCCGACTCCCGAGGAACGCCAGGCCATCGCCTTGCGCAACCGAGAGGAGAAGCAACGCAAATACGAAGAGGTGCGCGAAAGGCTCTTCGGAAGTCCCTCCGCAACGACCTCAGGAGCATCTTCCCCGCGCAGCGGAACCCCGCCAAAACAACACGAGGGCCGGGGCAAAGGGCGGAGTCGCGGGAACGGCAGAGATAACAACAATACCAACAACAACAGGGACAAAAGGGATTCTTCTAGCACGTCCGGGAAATCGAGACAGCTCTACGACCCAGCGTCGTCCTATGTACCGCGGAAAGAGAGACCGCAGACGGCCGACCGGAGTCCAAATGACCCGACATCTCCCCGACAACCCATTCGCAGTCCCCGAGGCCCAGATGCTAGCGGTAGAGGTGGTTTCCGATCTGGCAACCGAGGTGCAAGGGGCGGTTAAGGGTACTACTTCGTACATGCACGAGGGTTCACCGCGGACGGGTCCGGGTCCTGATAGCAATCACGTCTTTCAACTCCAAAACTTCAAAAGCGATTTAGATACCCCGGGGACGGGGCTATCATCCTCGATTTCCTATGGATTACGGAAGACCTCGTCCGGAATTGATTGCATTTGCCAGCTGGGAGGTGTTGGGCCGATTTTCTGAGTCAAAAAGTCAGCTTGACGACAAAATCAACCAGTGCCTGGCAAAAGGCACTCACGCGCATATCTTTCATAGCTGTCAAGGTAAAGCTCATCGGTGCTCACTGTCGCCTTGATGTGCTCGTTATCTTCGATGGCGCTGACCCAGGTGGCCCAGCGACTGCCTGCTTCGGGGTCCGGCCAGCCCCGGTAAGGCTTGAGGGCACGGCTCAGCCGAAGAACCCAGGGTGCGATTTGCACATCCACAAAGGAGAGAGACGGGCCCAGAAAGAAAGGCCCCTGTGGGTTGGCGGCCGAAACCAACGTGGCCAGCGCGTCTTTGAGCTCCTGCGCATTCAAAATTTGTTTCTGGTCGTTCTGTTCTTGGAGAACGCGATAGAAATTCGGTACCACATGGCGATTGATCTACGCATGTCAGTAGATGCCGGTGATTAGTGGCTCACTATGGGGTGTGACGCACAAAATCTGTCCAAAGTCGACAGTGAGCGCGCAATTGCGCATCCCCTGGAGGGAGGAGAGGTGGGCCGACATTGAGGTCCTCGAGCTGCAACGAGATTTGTCAGGATCGGTTGAGTTCAGGGCGAAGAGGCAAACATCATACATATTCCATCAATACCGAGCTTTCATACGATCCCCAATTGCCGTGGCGCAGAGCAGGAACAAGTCCTCTTGGATTCACTTCCAGTAGCTCAGGGGGTTTCTGGTACGGGTCGACTTCGATGTACTGGTAGGGGATACCTTTGGCCTCCAAGGCTATCCAAACACGCTGCACAAAAGGACTGGGTGGAATTAGCTAAAGAGCCATGGGATCGGTTGGCAGGCAGCGCTTACCAGAAGCAACTGCCATACAGTTTCAGTCCATGCTCCCCTGAATGCTCCGTTGCGGTCACGGCGGCTGCGCCGGTGGCCTTGGTATGATACGTCTTCTGCGATTGCGGGGTCTGAGCCGACATCGTTCGAGCCTGTATGGTATGATGAACCGGGTTAGAAAAATGACAATCGGATCACAGTAAAGTCTCTTCGATGGGCAAGACAGAGGATGAAGTGATGGCAGGGCAGGAGATAAGACGAAGTGGGGAAGTGACGTAAAGCGCCCGAACACCTGCGGACTTACCGCCGTCGCCTTCTTCTGCTCTTTGGCCTCCTTCAGCAGATACCGCTGCACGCTATTCTTTTTCACCCGGTCGCTCTCCTCCAGGCTATGTCGGTGACCTCCGCCCACTCCGTCGTTCTTGCCGTTGGCACCGTTCCCGTTGACCCGCTGGACGGTAAAGAACCGCTGGCCGTTGGCCCCCGGATGGCCCTCGGGCAAGGGAGGATTGGGCGTGAGGACTCCGAACGCCTGACTCCCTCGCGAGCTAGACTGCTCTACGCCCACACTCCCCTGGCCGGCAAATAACGTATTCGCGCTCGGCAGCGACTCCGAGGACAGCGTTGGCGTATCAATTCCATGGCCAATGGCGTCCGAACCGATCATGTCGCCGTAGGCCGGGAAGTATTCGGTGATCTTGATCTTAACGTCGCAGAGGTCCCGCTGACGGGCGGTGCGTTTCCGCTTCTTCTTGTTGGGATCATCAGACTTGGGGGTTCCGGGAGGTCGGCCTTTGAGTCGACAATCCCAGTAGTGGGAAACCAAAGGCTTGCGCTTGTAGTGCTGTGTAGACCGATGCGAGTAGATATTGTCCACATGGGGGAAATAAGTGCGGAACCTGGGAAATTGGCCGGTTTAGCTTCTAGCCAGCCTTGAGGCAGAAAGAATGCGACGATCTCCACATACTGCTCTTCGCTCAAAACAATGGTTTCATCGACATTGAATAGCCTTTCCCTCCAGAGATCTAGGTCCGGCGGATCTAACACCGACATCAAATCGCGGAGGTACCCGTTCTCTTTCGATGCGAAGATCGACACGTCGGTCTCGGTCTCGGGCTGGGTCTGATGTCGCTGTTGCAGGGAAGCAGGGAGACCATCGCGCGACTACAGGCGTCAGAAAGAAAGTCCTTGTTCTGACGAAAGTATACGTATTGAAGAAAACGAGGCAAGAACAAGAAAAAAGTGGTTGTCCTCACGAGGGCGTTATATGGCTCTGCCGTCCGGGGCAGACGAGCTTCATTTCCCTCCAATTGCTGCGACGTGTACGAGTCTAGACCAGCAGATGCCAGATGAAAGGGCGGTAGAGAGTGCGCATCCACTGCATTGTCACTGGACGCGTGCTGTTGAATCGACTGAGGCTGTTGTTCCTGTTCCTGCGCCGCGGCCAAGGTCGACGCGTCTTCCGCAACACAAGACAGCGAGTCTGGAGGCAGCGGACGGGGAATATCAAGGGATCTCAGGGGCTCTGGATCGTCCATCTCGGACAGAGCACTAATTTAAGGAGAAAGAGGGGAAAAGAGAAGAAGGGAGAAGATGCAAGTCCAAGGTCGATGGATCTAGATAGATGGAGAAGGGATGCTGCTTTTGGTGGGCGAAAAGGCGGGGAGGCGTTTAGAAGCGGCAACGCCTTAGTCCTGAGGCAACATTCAGAGGGACTCCGGAAGGCGGAATTCTTCCACTTCCACTTCCACCGGCTTCATCTATTTCACTCTGGCTCATCCTCGGTCTCTAATGTCTCAAATCTCTCAAAACTTCAGTCCGGGACAACAAACGAGGGGCAAACAAAAGCAACCAACACAAAACAATAATAATAAAAAGGAAAACTATTCCAGAGCGAACTGTCATCTTCAGTCCGATTCGCAATCACTGACTCCAGAAAGCAAACAAATGACACGCTCCTGCGTATAGCATCCTGTGCTCGATTGACGATCTGTCACTCCATTTCTAAAACCATGCTTATCCACCGAGGCTGCTGCCTATCCTAATACCCATTCTCGTCGACACTACTCTCATTATACATGCGCAGACTATACTTGGCAAACTGACTTCGGGCCCGAATCGTCTCGCCATACCGCGAAAACAACGGCGGAACGAGACAGAAGACGGTGGCGATGGCCGCCAACACGGACACCGCGACATTGGCGCCCAAATCCGAGAACATGGGGACTGCGATGAGTGGCAGCGCGGCCGACAACAGCGCCCGGACCAGGCTAAGGGCCGCCAGTCCGCTGGCGGCGTAGCTCAGGTAGCTGTCCGTGAGGTATCCACTTAGCACGTAGTCTATTTCATTCAATGCATATCCGATCAGCACCAGCGCCAGGGTCGACACCGTCCAGTGCACATTGGTTACCTCCGGCGGGATGGTCCACGCAAAGACCCAGAGGGCCCCGGCCAGGATGGGCGTTCCAATCCAGAATCCCGCCAGCTTATGTTCCGGTAACAGCGGCCGGCCCTGCTGACGGTGCTTCTCTATAATGTGCAGGTCAAGGCAGCGAGTCAGAACTCCAAAGGCCAGTCCGATTCCGATCGCTAGGAAAGGGAGACACGCTTGCTTCGGACTGAACCCGAATTCCTCGTACACCGGAGGTAAAACCTCCGTGAAAAGGTAAACCAGGGCGATGGCAACGGCGCTCATGATCGAGACAATGAACACGATGAGCTCGGTGAAGAAGAGTCGCGCCGGTCGGAACAGCGCAATTCGAACGAAGGTCTGCCAATCCGGCGTCTCATCGGGATTCAATCCTTCGAGCGTCTCGATCTGAGTGGCTTTCCGAAGTTTCGCAACCTCCTTGGCCAATGCCATGGACGGGCGAGATTCACGAATCCCCAGCAGGAGAAGGGCGAGGCCGCCGGTCACTATCGTGGCGAGATAAAATAACCATCTCCTGCGTTCTGTGGTCAGCCACTCTGGCTCATTCCAGCCCCTTCCGCTCTGCATCAGGGTTTTGGACTTACCACCCCAGATCCGCCGTGACAAAGGTGCTCATGATGGGCCCGACGATCAATCCCAAGTTCGACACCACAGCCCAGCAGCATACCATCCAGACTCGATCCTTCGAATTGAACATGTCTTCAATACTACCCATCACAACGGTGGTCGGAATGGCCGAGAGGAAACCGCTAACGAAACGACCGATGACGACGCCAGAAAGGCAGTGAACGGAGGCCACGATGACGCAGGCAACGCTGTACAATGCCGTACTGACGATGTAGAGATTTTTGCGCCCGAACGCTTCCGAGTATGGGGGAAAAATGATGGCACCGATGCCCTGGCCCAGTAAATATCTATAATCCAGCTACTCATCAGAAAAATTAACGGACTCTTTTGTTACTACATTATATGCAGACGAAAACTCCACGGACTGACAAAGGTGTTCAACGGACATGGAGACGAAGAGAAAGATAGACAGCTCTTTTCGAATGCCAAACTCGCCGGCGGCATAGTGGGCGGTCGTTGACTGCAGCGATTAGCATTCAGATCTGCTCCAGAGACAAGCTCAGCACGACGCTCGCCTGTTCTAGAGTGAACCCAAAGGCCCCGGAGGAAAGAAACGTACACCAGCTGTGCTGATCGCAGTCCTGTGTACACGGCGTGTTAGCTGGCCATTCGAGCCCTATAACCAGAGAAACGTGGACATACGTAAAAAGCTCCAGGAAGATTATCAAGCTAGCATCGTGGACCTTACGAAGCAAGCTCCAATTCCGGGGATGACGAGGATTTCCCTTGGCCCATTGAATATGAATCCCATCGCAGGCCACCTGCAGTCTGAATTCGGACAAATACGGTTCCAGAACGTCCTTGTCCACCACAATCGGGGATTTATGGATTTCCGACATGGTTGTCTCTCGGGAAACGGTACAAAATAGCACGCGACGGACTCAAAGGGCCAACAAACAGGAAACAGGGAGGGAAGAGATAGAGAGAAAGGAGAGGAAGAAAGAGAAATGACCAAGCAGAACACATCTCGCAGGATTCGGCAGCATAATTTGCGTTTATAAGACCCAGCACGAAAACCGCGAAGGGGGCGTCGAGCTTGCAAGTATCCGCCCATCTGTCATCGTGACACTCCCTAGTTGATCGCCGTGATTGTGGGTGTAACTGACCGGCTGGTCCAGTCAGCATCTATTGCAGTTTTCATCACCGTCGAAGCAGTCGTCACTCTCGGCCCCTTTGTATTCTCGTCTCTCGTCCCAGGGGGTAAAGACCCGCATTCCTGCTGGATCAACGACTCCCATTCCTTGTTCTGTGCTGGGCAAGGTATGTGGAAACCCCGGGGTTTGAGCGCGACAACCTGAGGATGCAAGAAATCCAGACGGCGAGTGGTTTCCTGGAAAAAAAGTAGAGGTTCGTGCAGCGACTCGAAAGTGCTCTTTCGTTCCAATTTGAATTGGTCACAAGAGGTGGAGCGGAAAACAAGCCAGTTCTAAGCGTTTGTGCGATAGCGACGGGGGTTTGAAAGCAGAAAGGATGTCTTGATTGGTCTGCAAACAAACTATGTATAGGTCCATATATGTATCCATGATTCTTCATGAAAAGATCCTCCTCATAAACAACTATATACTTCATCTATATCATTTCCCCTGTGTACATCATCATCACTGTCATCCTTAGTAGCTCGAGCAGGGAGCTCCAAGGGGTCCGAACTCTAATTGTGAGTTTAAGCGCCGTTGTAGGCAAGGAGGTTGGGGCTGCCCTTGACATCGGTGATGACACCGGAGGTGGCGAGCTCCTTGATGCGCTTGGTGACATCGCCGGGGCTGGTGAGACCCTCAAGAGCCTGCAGGTAGATGGCCAGACCAACGATGTGGGGAGTAGCCATGGAGGTACCGGAGATGGTGTTGGTGGCAGAGCTGGAGCCGATCCAGGCAGACTTGATGTCCTGGCCGGGAGCGAAGACATCAACGACGTCACCGTAGTTGGAGAAAGAAGCACGGGCGTTACGGCTGGTGCTGGCAGCGACGGTCAAAGCGTTGGGGGCAGAGGCAGGGCTGGTCTCGCCAGCATCGGACTGTAGCACTTGTATTAGTTCAACCCGCGGTGGTCGTCGGGAAAATGGGACACTTACGTTCTCGTTACCGGCGGCGACAACGGTGAGGACACCCTCATCGAAGGCGTTTTCGACGGCGTTGTTGAAGGCATAGGAGTATCCACCACCTGTGTGAAGAAAATTAGCAACTGTGAAATTTCCCAGCCGCTGATCCACGGGGACAAGAGCAAACTAACCGAGAGACAGGTTGATGGCGGCCTTTCCGGTGCGGGACTTGCTCACGATGTCGTTGGCGGCCCAGTTGTATCCGTCGAGAATGATAGAGGTGGAAGAAGACTCGCCCTGGAAGACCTTGACGGAGAGAAGGTTGGCCTTCTTGGAGACACCATAGGTCTTGCCACCAATGGTACCGGCGACGTGGGTTCCGTGGCCGACGCTGTCGACGTGAGAGCCGCCAACGGCGTTGTAGGCAAGGCTAGCGCGGCCGCCAAACTCGCTGTGGTCAACGTTGATACCAGTGTCAACGACATAGCCGTAGGTGCCCTCGCCGGCGCTGTCGTCGTAGACGTAGCTGGTGCTGGACTGGCCCTTGTGCGAGATGGCACCCAGGCCCCAGGTAGCACCGGTCTGGGTGGTCTTAGCATCGAGGTACCAGACCTGGTCCTCTTCGATGTGAGCAACCTAAAGGCGAATTAGCACATCTGATTCACGTTTTTGTTCGCGGTTTCCCGCTGCCATTACATACATCGGCGCTCTTGCGGATCTCATCGATGGTAGAGTCATCGAAGGAGCCGAAGTAGGCGGCGAAGTCCTTGATCTTGAAGTTCTTCTCGATACCGATGGGGAGATCGGACTCATCGGAAGCATCACGGCGGGCAAGGTTGCGCTTGTGGATGTTGGTAGCCCAGGTGGTGTGCTGCTCGATCTTGGCGGTGTCGATGCCGCTCTTGAAAGTGACGATGTACTTTCCGGGGATCTTCTCAGCAGCCCGGCGAGTGTTCTCGATGGGGGCACCGAAGATGGCGGGGAGCATAGCTCCGAGGAGGAGCAAAGTCTGCTTGAGGGAAGGCATTGTCAACGACTTGAGAGCGGGAAGAACTGTTCAAGCTTGATGATCAGAGAACCAGAAGCTGTGTGATGATGAGAAGAAGAATGCGAGGAATCCGCGCCGTATTTATAACTTTCCGGAGCACCCTGCGTCTCCCCTTTCGAGGTCAGTTCCGTGATATCAAGCCACTCATGCACCATGGGAGGACAAGGGTGCGGGTGTCCCGAGGAGCCTGGTTGGAACTCTCAAGGTGACATCGCATCTTCAGACAACTCCGTTGTGCTCCATTGGGAATGGTACTATCAGTGGGGAACATGGTGCAGGTGGGAAGACCGATGTGGATGTTGGAGGAGCAAAGACAGCGACGATCATCACAGAAACTGATCCGCCCTCTACGCCAGGCGGGCAACTCTACTGGGTCACCAGGAACGCCGGGCAGATGGCGAGCAGCAGCGAATAGAGAGCCATGGACCTGCGCAAAGATAGCACAGGCCGGTCTTCCCAGCTGCATCCGGACGATCTTCACCTTCATAGGGAAGGTGGTATAGCTTCGATCCTTCAGACATATTTGACTGCGACGAACGACATTTTGTCCCAATTGATGCTAATCTGGCGCAAAAGAGGCCCCAAGAGGCGGGGAGCCCTAGCGCTTTGTTCTTGGACGCCAGTGTGACTTTGTCTAAGTGCTTGGCATTCTCACGCGATATGCGCTGCTGCCCACACCTTTTTTTAAATCGATGATAGACCGGCTCGACTGATTGGGCAGACGGGTGATAGCCTACCGGGATTTTCTAGAACAAGACCCGGCATATGGACAGCGAGCACGAAAATGGTTAAGTGGCCAGGGTTGCACGCCAGGGTACAAAGCTGGTCTCGCCTATCAAGTCACAATGCAAGTGTTGGCCACCCAGAGCTGTCGGATTAAACAAGGCTGCAACACGGGATCGTACACGGGCTAAGATAGTGGTGATAAGCATTAGTCGCCCTTTGACCCCCCTCTCCCGAGCATGAAGTTAAGCAAATTTTGGTGCTACACCAAATGAGCACAAGCACGGCATGTGCTTTCCGGCGTAGGGAGGGGGGTGCAAGAAAAGGGGGTCTTCTGATACCACCAGTGCCGGAGCATATCAGATGCACCTCCAGTGAGAATAATTTTGCGAGGCCAATAGGAAGCGGCAGGCAACCCAAAAAGACACAAAAAAAAAAAAGCGCTCATATCCCGATGCAGAAGGGGGATAGCAGGAATCGCATTTTCCTCTCTTCACGTTACGCAAGAATCCTCGGAGATAACGATACACCGACATGAGCCAGCAGAGCGCCAATCACAACGGCTCAGCCTTCAGCAACCCGTTAGCCGTTGAAGCCTAGGTGCATACAATATCGTCCAGGGCCTCTTGGAGGCTGCGAGAGGACCGCCGGGAGTCCGGACAGGCCTGGGGCTTGGCATCAAGGGACGCAACAAGACCTCAAGAGGGGGTGACTGGCGAGAAAGACATCGAGCGGGGACGGGCGGCATTGGAAGATCCTCTAGGCCCGGGAAGTTAATATAGCATCGCCGATGGTGATTGGCGATGTCTTTGAGATGCATACCCTGCAGATGGGAAAGCGTGGACCCGGTGGGTAGCTCCCACCAACCCTGTTCAGTTGCTCGGTGCATTGATCAGAAATCAGCCTTCAGGCGCAAAGGCCATCTCCACTTGCCAACGACATGACGGGCGGCTGGCTGTGATGCAGGGGGGAATGGATGTCGGCCATTCATCGAGCCAAGACGCGGACGGTCAGACACGATGGCGATAGCTGATAACCGATAGCTGATAGAAGATAGGATAAAGAGGAAAAGCGGGTCTCTCCTGTCGGGTCAGTCGGGGATTTCCGTCCGGGGAGGGGAGAGAAGAGGAGAAAGTGAGGGCATTGAGGAAGCTCAGAGTTGGCCCGTTGATCGGCCTGATTGGCGGGGGTGGAGATGACAGGCCTGAGGTTGCAGTCACGCGGCCTTGGCATGCGTCGGGCCTCCGTTGGTCTTCGCCTTCATCTATTCGTTTTATTTCCTCATTTTCATCATTTTCACCATCCCCCCCCCGCCAAATGGGCTGATGGCAAGCATTCTCCCCCCCTGCTCTGACTCATGTCCCCGCTCTTGCCAACTTTAGCTGAGTTGAGGCCATCGCTGTATCCGGAGATCCCACTCCTCAGCTGCTTCGCTTCCCCTCTCTGGTCTCTTGAGTGACTTGGCCCCTGGCCAAGGCTTCCGATCGATCATGAAGATCTCTTGCCAAAAACGGGATCAGATGCCAAGTCGCAAGTGGAGTAGATCGAAAGGGACTCCGACGGCCTGGGCAGCTTGATGATACTCCTAGTTCCGACTGGTGCTATTCGATACGCCTCCCCTGGCAGGCTCTTCGCGCTGCGCACCATGACTCGAAGATTCGAATTTAATCTTTCATCTTGGGCTACACCAGCTAGTCGAGGTTGCAATGGCGAGGATGGTTCTCAATCTACGTTGTGTAAGGCTCGAAGCGAGAGGGGGCAGAAAAAAGAAAAACAAAAACATAAATCCAGGCACCCCTATCCTTCGAGATGCAGCCTTCGGACATGCAAGCTTGGCACTGTTACGCAGAACAACGCACCGACAAATCACACTCGGGCCAAGGAGCACAACAAGGCAGATTAGCACATGTCAGAACTTGGAAAGGGAAATGCAGAGAATTGGCGTCTTCTAGATGTGGAGACTAGGCGTTTTCTGATCAGGAGATCGAGGGACTAAGAGGTCTTCAGCACGCAGGAACCTCTAAACTGACGTGCTGCCCTACAGTCCAGTTGGGGGGCCTGCCCTTGAGACCCTTGGCCATCCGCTGCCCAGCTTCTCCGTATCTTGGTCACGTTCAGGTGGCCGGTCTCTTCATGTCTCAGTTGACAGTGGAGAGGTTGCAGATAGCGAACGTCCTTTTTCCGCTCACACCTGCTCCGGTTTTCGCTTGTATCCTCTGCGTTCCATTCGCCCGATCCTACAATGCAGTCTCGCCATAGGCAGGGCTCTTTGGTAAAACGCCCCCTCAAAGAAAACCCGTCACTGCAGGTAAAAGAGTGTAGCCACCGCCACAATGCAAAAGTAGTGGTTGAGAAGGAATGAGGTGATATTATGCAATGAAGAACAGGAACGACGGCGGACAGGGGCAGGCCCTGCAGCCAAGAATAGGAACAGATGTTCGATTAGATTAAATCCATACGCATGCAATCAGCGCCGGCCAGGATAGCGTCATTGGCCGGGCATGCCACCAAAATAGGCTCCGAGGGATTCAGCCACCCGGCCATAAACCCCCAAGGTTCTTACGCCGCCCGCTCCTGAGCCCATCTTCAATCCTGTCCTCCGGTGGAGCTTAATGCAACCTGTTCATACACCTGTCGCTGACCCATGCAGCTCCTGCGTCTCTTCCCTGCTCACGAACTCTTCTTCCCGGCATGTTTCTTGGCTGCCTCCTGGTTCTTGAACGGAAATCCGGCGGTTCTCTTGTCGGCCCCTGTCTTTCGGCTGATTTTCCCGTTACTGCTGGCAAAGAGGATACACCATAGCCCCACCGACGCCAGCAGAGAGTATCCCACCATTCCGATGGCAAAGGCGACCTGATCCGAGGCTGCCCAGCGCGAATACGCATAGAACGCTGAGAGTCCGCTGGAGATCGTGGTTACAATCAAAGTGGGCACCGCATACGGGGCCTTGGGGTCAGAATCGTCCGTGGTCACTGGTTCCACTACGCTGGAGGTCAAGGGGACGGAGCCCGTCAACATCACGGTTAAAACGGCAAGCGTGAAGAGGTTGAAACCGAGGCATCGTGCGAAATAAACCTCAACCGCTGTATGCAGTCAGCATTGGCTCTTCCCTCTCCTCCTCTCTCTTTTCTCTCCTCTTTTTCTTTTTTTGTCATAGCAGACTAGGAAATCAGCCCTTGCTGGTGCAGAAAACTTACCAGAAGGTGGTCTGGTTTCCTCAGACAACATGGTGCTCATCATCTCCGGGACTGTGACTAGCGGGATGCTTTGTAGCGCCAGCCATCCGGCCGTTGAGTATGTATAAGCGTAGAATACCTGCAGGTTATAGCCGATTAGATCACTGTTGGCTTCACGTTCCTGGTGAGGCAATAAACAGAACAAGACACATGTGGACATACATCCATGATGGTTAAAAAAAACGTATGTAACAAAGTGGTAGGTAATTTTATTCAATTGAGTTGGAAATCACGATATACTCGATGAAGTGTAGTGAGGCATTCAGATGTTGGCAAAGCTTTGGAAAAGGACGAGGCAGCAGCAAAAAGACGCGGGCGTTACATCATCAGTCTGACGTCATTTGTAGCCTTATTCTTCAGGCACTCAAGGCTCTCTCGGCCTTGGGATTGTTTGGACGCAATAACCCTACAAATGAATGCGTTGGTGTATGTGTGGCTGGTATAGTCTATCTAATTGATCACTAAATCCAATGACTACTAGAAGGTGTGTTCTTAATTCTGCAGCGCATTGAGAAATTACTATAAAAACAGTTTGGGCCGGTTGGATATATATTTTGAGGCATCCTGAACATAGTATGCAACCAGGTACCAGGTACTCTGGTCCTAATCCGGGGAACTCACACTACCCAAGGACATTCCCTGCTCAATTGTAAGCCCAGCCAACATTATGTAGATCTCAGGGGATTTGAGTCTCAACTCCTGTTGCCAGGACAGCCTAATCGTCGCCAACTAGTTCGTGGCCGAATAACACAGCATGGGGAAGATTTAAAACTTCAGTGTACCCAAAGCGACCGCGAACCAGGTACGTTAAGCAACAATTTGTTGAAAGTTCGAGACAGATTACTATTGCTACTGCCAGAATAGAAAATGTAGTCCATATCTCAAAAGATTCTAATTCATTTACTCATATTGCGTTCAAACGAGGACACGGAATGACCATAAAAAGTTAAACTCCTTCAAAAAAACACCAGGGAAGCAGAAACCAGAGCCTATGCAAATGTTTGTTTCAGGTTGAAATATCATTGGTTAATGTTGTTCGCCCGCAAGTATCTGGTGAAACTTATGTCCTGGTCCGAAGGAGCCTCTCGCGAGCCCCCAAGCGCTTGCTTGTACCGCTGGGAGAGGCCTTCACTGTCACCAACAGGGGCCCTGATTTCGTCCTCGCCGCTGTCATCGTCGTCTGATTCTTCGAAGTCTCCTCTCCTCTTCGCAGCGGCAGCTTCCTCTTCTTCATCTTCGGCCTCGCTCACGGTCTCGGCCTCGTTATCCGCGCGCCGGCTGGGACCGGCTCCCGTAACGTTCATATCCTTCATGAGTTTACCCAGCTCGATTTCGCGCTGGGCAGACTGGGTCTCCTCCCGTTCCTTCTTCTTGCGATCCAGCTCGGGCTTGTAGTCGCGTTCGAACTCCTGTCGCTTTTCTTCAACCGCCTTGAAAAAGTCGTCGACGCCGTCACCGGTCATAGAGCTGACCCCCACGACGTTCAAGTGTCGGTAAAACTCCTCGAGCATCAAGCTCATGCTGTTGAGAAGGGAGCCCATGTATCCACTTCCCGACCCGAATCCTCCAGCGGCACCCTCGGTTCCGAACGCGCCCGCTTCCTCTTCCTGCCGCAGGGCCTGCTGGAACGCATCGAAGTCGGTCATCCACTCCTTCGCGAACTCCGCATCCTGCACATCCGTCTTGTTGAAGACCAGAATCATGGGTAGTTTCGTTTTGTAAAGAATACTGCAGGCGTAAAGCATGTTGCTCATGAAAGTGCTCGTGGAGCTGGTGCGGGGGGTATCGATAACGTATGCGATCACCGTGGGGAACGAAGATGCCAGAGTCTCTAGTAAGATACTGCCCGAAGCGCTCCACACGAAGACTTCGATCTGTCCCGGGGTGTCGACCAAGATGTGTTCGATGGGTTTGGCGGAGGGGTTGCTCGGGTTCGGTGCCGTGCGTTTCTCCAGCAGCGAGATGATCTGGTCAACCTTGGTGGCGAAAAGATTGAGCGACGTCAAGATACCGCCGTTGGGTCCGAGGTTGTACTGTTTCATGACCTCTTTGTAATTGATCGAATCCCGAATGTCGATGTTGCTCTCGAACGGAACGGAATAAACGGCGGGGTCCAGGTTCAGCACGTAGGGCACTTTCTTCTGCGAATGAAGATGCGAGTTGATTCGCTGCATGAAGGTCGTTTTTCCAGAGCCTAGCACCGAGGAGAAACCCTTGTTAGCACCAGAGTGGCAGCGAGTGAACAGGACGTATTCATACCTGCCATGCCTACGCAGACGACGGCGACGGGAGATTCGGCCATGGTGAGGGGCTGTCAAAAGAAAGACCAGCTAGAAACAAACTAGAAACGACAGTGAGATATCAACGATGACCGTGCTGACCCGAGAACTTCGCGCAGAGGAGGCGTGGATGGGAGGGGATGGAATCAAAGAGCCGAAGAGAAATTCTTTAGTCGCGGGGAGGATCTGCTCGGGTGGAGTCGAGACCGGCCAGACGTCATTCGGCCTTTTCCCGCTAGTTGGTTTCTGCCGCGCGACAGCTTCTTCCTTCCTAGCACCACCCCGTCCCTAAACACGCAAACCTCCTGAACCCCGGCAAAATGGCGTTGGAGGATTTCGAAAAGTCATTGACAGAGGACCAGGACAGGCGACGCGCGAGAAGCGATCGTGACAGACACCATCGCCATCGGGATCGCAGCCGGGATCGCAGCAAGGATCGCTCGAGGCATCACCGCCATCAACACCACCGCCGTCACTCATCCCGATCGAGAGAACGCGAGTCCGATAGACACAGAGGATCGCGCCATGGCGACGACGATGGACATCGACATAAACGCTCTCGCCATTCGTCGGACCACGGCGGCGACCGAGACCACACCCACAAACGGCGGCATAGACGGGAAGACAGAGAGGACGATGCGGGCTCGCCCGTGAAGGAGACAGTCCAGGAGGAACCGAACCGCTTAAAAAGGGATTCATGGATGGAAGCTCCCTCCGCCCTTGATGTGGATTACGTACAACGCCGCGATACTACGCGCCTGCAGGAGGAACCGAAACCCACGATGCTCCAAGCGGATTTCGAACTCAAAATCCATGGCCGAGAGCTGAACAGCCATTTGCGCGATCTAAAAGATGGGAAGGCATTGGAGGAGGTTGAAGAGGAGCCGGCTCAGCACGAGGTCGATTATACCTTTGGGGACGTTGGTTCTAAATGGAGGATGACCAAGCTGAAGGCCGTCTACAGGGAAGCCGAAGAGAGCGGGAGGACGGTGGAAGACATCGCATTCGATCGCTTTGGGGATTTGCGGTCCTTCGATGATGCCCGCGAAGAGGAGGCGGAGCTAGACCGCCGCGAAACATACGGAGAAGGCTATGTGGGCAAAGAGAAGCCCACGGGAGAACTATTTCAGGAAAGAAAGCTCGAGGAAAATGTCCATCGCGACCCTCATGAGCATGTGCGAAGCCCTGCACGGGAACTTGATGCCGAGGGACAAGGCAAACCTATGGATACCCAGCCTCCTTCTAATACCACGCAGCATCTGGACCTGACGGCCCTCAATCGACTGAAGGCTCAGATGATGAAGGCAAAGCTCAAGAAATCGGCGGATGCTGCCGAGCTCGAGGAGCAGTACAACGCCGCGGCGGCGGCAATGGCAAACCGGAAGGAATCCGACGTTGTCGTACTCGGCGTGAAAGATAATCGAATGCTGGCTGGGGCGAGAAACGAAGTGAAAGCGGTGGACAACAAACGGGGGCGAGAGCGTGGCAAAGTGGAAGAAAATGAAGACATGAGCATCGACGACATGCTTCGGGAAGAGCGAAGGACACGAGGGCAGTATGGCGGAGACGGACGACGCATCGCCGAGAGAATAGCCAAGGATGGCAAATTTGAGGTATGTTTCTGGCCTGAACGGTTAATGCGAACCTCCTACTAACATTGCTCCGTCAGAATGACCTGGAATACATGGACGATAATGCCTCGAAGTTGGCCAAGCGAGTCCATCGGTCTGAGATCGACATCAGAAACACCACCATCAATGAATTCCAGAAGATGAATCGGATTTTGGACAACTGTCCCCTTTGCCACCATGAGGATACCAACACTCCCCCAATAGCCCCGGTGGTGTCTCTGGCGACCCGGGTCTACATGACGCTACCAACCGAACCCGAGCTCAACGACGGCTGTGCCACCATCGTCCCCATTCAGCATCGAACGAATCTTCTCGAATGTGACGACGATGAATGGGAAGAGATTCGCAACTTTATGAAGAGCTTGACCCGCATGTATCATGAGCAGGGCCGTGACGTTATCTTCTACGAGAATGCAGCCCAGCCGCATCGAAAGAGACATGCGGCCATGGAGGTGGTGCCGTTACCCTACAGCCTTGGAGAGACCTCTCCGGCTTTCTTCAAGGAAGCTATTCTCTCCGCAGACTCCGAATGGACCCAGCATCGCAAATTGATCGACACGGCCGCCAAAGCCAAGCAAGGGCTGGGCCGGTCTGCATTCCGGCGAACCCTGGTCAAGGAGATGCCTTATTTTCACGTCTGGTTTGAGCTGGATGGAGGACTGGGCCACGTGGTCGAGGACGAGAATCGATGGCCCAAGGGCGACCTGTTCGCCCGGGAGGTGATCGGAGGAATGCTGGACGTGGGCCCCGAGGTGATCAAGCGACAGGGACGCTGGCATCGGGGAGGAGACCGTCGCGCTGACGGGTTTAAAAAGCGGTGGAGGAAATTCGACTGGACGAGAGTTCTGGTTGAGGGATGAGCATAGGATTGGATGAGGATGTATTCTAGGTATACCGGGCACTGGAAGCACGTCATGTGATCACGGGGTATGGAGGAAGAAATGACTGCGTAATGTGCGTGTTTTCTCTATTTTCGTTCTACACATCATCATCATCATCATCATCAACCTGAGCAATCATAACCATGCCTTCGTTGTACTATCTGCATCAGCTAAGACTACCTCCCACTAACTCTCTGGTGGATCCACCGCTAGCACTAGCGCCACGATCAACAACGGGTCTTGGCTCACTGCGTATCTTGATTTGCTTTTGCGTCCCGCCTTCAGCATCAGAAGAGGCTCTCGTGGACATGGCCGAAGAATACCCGCCAAGTTTGGTCCTGAGGGAAATGGCTGACATCTCGACCGTCACCACAGCGAGCTTCGTGTGACTCTCCCCAGTAACCATTTTACGCACCAACAAGTACTCCGTGCAACTAGCGTACTTGCGATTCCGCCTCGATCCACCGGGCGTATTTCAGTAGGAGTCATCGCCCCAATCGGGTCAGACTAGTCGATCACCGACAAGGCTGAGTTCTGCCGGCGTCTCTTTTAAAAAGAATTAGAATTAAAGGGATGCAACATCCTTGCTGGTGCAAACTACCACACGCACATACGGGGGAGAATGCTGTTTACAGACTTCCCCGACGATGTCGTTCTCTACTTAATTCAATTCTTTCCCTATCAGAGCGATCTCAACGCACTACTAAGAGTCAACACCTATCTGTACGCACTATTGAACCCGCTCCTTTACCGACACAACGTCAAGAACTCAAATTACTCTGCCTTGCAATGGGCGGCAAAACATGGCAATGCCTCGACGGCACGAAGAATGCTCGATGAGGGCGCTCCTCTGGATGCTGGTTCCCAGGACCTATGGTCGCTTCCCATAGCAGTGGCCGTCAGGGGAGGCCACGACTCGGTCGTTTCCCTCTTCATCGAAAGAGGGTTGGACCTCAAATCCCTGACGCATCTGGACGCGGAAACCTCATGCAAATATCTATCCAACCATCTATTCGACCAGGCTGTAATGTACGGCCAAGAGCCCATGGCCCGGAGATTGTTGCCATATAGGGTGGACCCCCAGTCTTTTCGCTATACCGGGTGTTCCCACTGTAGCTCATACCCGCTCAGCCAGGCAGCATACGAGGGATACCTTTCGCTTGTGAAGTTTCTGGTGGACCTGGGATATGACATTAACGCCGGCGATGAAATCAACGACACCCCGATCATCCATGCAGCGGCATGCGGACACAGCGATGTGGTCTCGTTTCTCATTGAACGTGGAGCAGACATGGATCACGAAGGCTCATGGGGTACAGCCCTGACGGCGGCTGCCCGAGAGGGTCATTTCCACGTCGTCAAGACTTTGATCAGTGCCGGTGCTCGGCCGGACCCGGTCTCAAGCCCGGGCAACACTCTCATGGCCGTGGCGCAGGCTGCTGAGGAACAGCACCTGGAGATAGCGCGCTATCTACTCGATCACATTGAAATCGACAAGAAAATTGTCGCCGACGGTGACGATCCACATTTACTTTTGCGAGCTGCCGCTCTTTGCGGGCGAGACGATGTCATCAAAAAGCTTCTGGACAGTGGAGATGTCATCGCGAATAAGCTTAAAGAATCCGGCAATTCAGATTACTACGGAGCCGGCTGGGCGGATGCCCTTTCACTGGCAGCTCAGTTAGGCACTTTGAAATCAATGAAACTCCTCCTCGACACTGATCCGCCACATGTGAGAAACGAGATCGGGATGGCTTTGCAAACGGCTATCAACTACAATGCGGTAGAAAAAACCAAGTTGCTTCTCGACTATGGCGCAGACCCGAATGCCAGAGACTATCTAGGTCGCAGGCTTCTGGGGATGGCCTTTGCTAGCGAAGAGATCTTCGAGATGTTTTTGGAATATGGCGCTAGTTTGGAATCCGTGCACGAAAAGGGAGAGAACAATATCCTGGTGAAAGTGATTGAATTTGGCAATGTTGGTTTGCTGAAGATATTGTTGAAACGAGGGGTCAAGCTGCAGCTTCCACGGCGCACAGGGACTTCCCTACTCAAGTCGGGTATCCGAGGAGGGGAGGAGATGATGCAATTTCTATTTGACCATGGGATGTGCATTCCTCCACCTTGCAAGATGGTGGACCAGTGCATGGGAATCGCGGCGCGAGCAGGCCAGCCGGCCGTGCTGCGGTTATTGCTTGAGCGTGGCTATAGTCCTGACACTGACACGCGACGTGCAGAGCTCCTCCAGAAGGCATCCGACGGAGAAGGAGGGGATCCGAGTGCGACAATAGATTTATTAATCAGTTATGGGGCAGATCTCGAGGCGAGGAACAGACACGGCGAGCCCGTGCTGTGGTGTCATGTTCGTGGAGCCCACGAGAAAGCAGTGCAGCTTCTCCTAGACAAGGGGGCGGATCCTCTGTCTTGGAACCAAGACAACGAAAATTTGCTGAAGATTGCAGCTCAGGGTGGAAATTCAGGCGTGGTCAGACGGCTACTTCAGGCGATTTCTCGACGAGGTACACCGTGGGCCGAAGTCAAAGACGCCTGGTTGCAGGCAAGCTCCGAGGCCCAAGGCAGGTACCCACGGGTTACGCGGGAGTTGGAGGTGTTTTACGGGCGGACGGTGTTTCCGGTGGCGGAGTGATGGCGGTGATATCGACTGGGTAGATCCTGTATAGTAGAAGATAATTAGTATTCACGGTTAATGCAGATAATGCAAATGTCAGCACAACTTATGCACGGATGCAGACCTTACATAAGGTGGCGCAGGCGCAGGCCAGAACGTGGCTGGTGTGGCTCGTGGCGGGGGCAACCGCGGCGCTTGACTCATTCGCAGTAAAAACTTTTCCCCGTCGAGTTGCTCCCCCTCCATCCCCGCTTCGCGATCTCCGGTCCCGCCATCCATTCATGCAGATTTTTTGGACCTCTCGCTTTCCGGTTAAGGCCCTGCCTCAATTCTCTCACTGCGCCTTCCGACGTGCGGCGTGGACTCCTCGTGACCGCGGGACAATCAACACTGCTTCCCATCCCTACCGACAATTCCAATCTCCATTCTCTTATTCTACCCAGCACCGCTCCGAAGAAGACCCGAACCCCGATATCACAATGGGTGCCAAGGAGGGAAAGGCCGGTAAGGTGAGCTTCCAGCTCAAGACCGCCAAAGGAACCAGGGACTGGATGGGTATCGACATGAACCTGCGGGAGTCGATATTCTCCAACGTCGCCGATGTCTTCAAGCGCCACGGCGGCACCGCCCTGGACACTCCGGTCTTCGAGCTGAAGGAGATCCTGGCCGGCAAGTATGGCGAGGACTCGAAGCTCATCTACGACCTGGCGGACCAGGGCGGAGAGATCTGCGCATTGAGATACGACCTGACCGTGCCGTTTGCGCGCTGGTTGGCCATGAACTCCACGATACAGAACATCAAGCGCTACCACATTGCCAAGGTCTACCGACGTGATCAGCCGGCAAGTATTCTCCTTTGCAGCTCCCGTTCGTCTCATTCTAACGGACACGCTGCAGGCCGTGGCGAAAGGACGCATGCGCGAGTTTTATCGTGAGTGAATATACCCCTCCCAGACCTTTGGTTTTTTTTTTTTTTTTTTTTTTTTTTTTTTTTTTCAGTAAAGCACTTGCTGACATCTCTTTCTTTGTATAGAGTGTGATTTCGACATCGCAGGTACCTACGACGCCATGATCCCCGACGCTGAGATTGTGCGTATCATTGTGGATGTGTTTGAAGCCCTCGGACTTCGGGAGGATATCACGATCAAGATCAACCACCGCAAGATCCTGGATGGTTTGTTCACGGTGGCGGGCGTGCCGGAGGATAAGATCCGCAGCATCAGCTCGGCTGTTGACAAGCTGGATAAAGTATGTGATGAATCTGCTGCTGTCGTGCCGAACCCCACTGACTGGTCATAGTCGCCATGGGAAGAAGTCAAGAAGGAAATGGAAGAAAAGGGTCTCTCGCCCGAGGTCGCCGACAAGATCGGTGAATACGTCAAACTGAGCGGTGGTCGCGAACTCGTCGAGACCTTGAAGGCGGACGCTCAGGTGTGCGCGAATGAGGACGTTAAGAAGGGTCTTGACGACATGGAACTCCTTTTCACATACCTCGAGGTCTTCAAGGTGACGGATAAGCTGTCCTTTGATCTCTCCCTCGCCCGAGGCCTCGACTACTACACCGGTCTGATCTTCGAGGTTGTCACTCCCCTTTCCTCCGCAGACGGTTTCAATGCGAACAAGACGAAATCTTCCTCGAAACCCAAGAAGAGCAAGGACAACGACGACGATAGATCCAATGACAACACCATCGGCGTGGGAAGTGTCGCCGCTGGCGGTCGATATGATAACCTGGTCAACATGTTCAGTCCCAAGCGTCAAATCCCTTGTGTTGGTGTGTCGTTCGGAATTGACCGTATCTTCACCATCATGAAGCAACGACACGAGAAAGAGCAGCAAGAGGGCAATGCTACTATCCGACCTAACGAAGTTGAGGTCTATGTTATGGCATTCGGTGGAAAGACATTCAATGGTCTCCTCCTTGAGCGGATGTCGGTTGCCGATCAGCTCTGGAAAGCGGGCATCAAGGCCGAATATGCCGCCACGGTGAAACCTCGACTGCCAACGCAGTTCAAGCAGGCTGAAAACGGAGGTGTTCCTCTCGCCGTCATCCTCGGCGAGGACGAGGTGGCAGCCGGCAAGGTCAAGCTGAAGGTTCTTGGTTTGCCCGACGGTCACCCGGAGAAGGATGGACGTTTGATTTCCAGGGACGACCTGGTCTCGGAGGTCAAGAAGGCTCTCCAAAAATAGATAGAGATACCAAGATGCATGGCAGGTGGTAGAGCCATTCATTTTCCTTTTTTTACGCCATGTCTGGGGCTGAACCAAACCCATCAGCGCCCTCACTTTACTCCCTTCGACATTTAGACCATCTCATTACTCTCAAAAATGCAATAGAAATGAACAAGCGTATCTTTTTTCTTCTCTTGATTTCTTTAATTCGTCTTTGTTCGTCGCATCTAGGACTAGGGCCGAGTAGATTGAATGGTATGCGTGGCCATTAATCGTGATAAAGCCATACGGTGGAATGAGGCAAGAACTTCATCAGTAAGGCCGCAATCGCCGCTAATCGACATCGGCTATCTTCCGATTCGCAAGTTCATCCGACGGTGCTAAAGTTGCTGCGTCTAGCCTTTCCATCGGAACTTGAAGCCGAGAATTGCTCATCGAGACGGACTCCTCCGGTCGATAGAAGGCGATGTCGCGAGAAGGCGCAAGCGGGGGAGGGAAAGCGAAGATGACGCCGGGGTGACTAAGCAGCGATAACGGTGGGGGTCCGTGGGGGGAATCTCTGGCGGAGGAATTCCCGATTTCCCCTCCATTCTTCGTCACGTTCCCTTTCTCTTTCGTATTCTCGCTCTGATAGACCGGATCGCAAGAGACTGCTTCCTCTGGTCTTCTGCCCGTGCTTGAAAATCTACCCTGAGGCCGTCTTCGGTGAGTGTTTGCGCAACATCAATTGAGCTCGGCCTGCATTTCCCCGCGTCTTTATCTCGGGATAATTCAGATGCGATTCTTGAGTCATATATTATATACTCTGCACGGTCCGGGGGGCTAATGAATTGGGAGCCCTGAACAGATAGAATCAGAACCTCTCGTCCTCTCAAGCAAGATCAATACACCATGGCCTCGACAAAACCCAAGGTTCTCCTCCTCGGACGCATCGTGCAGTACGTCCCCAAACACCTCACGAATCACAACCAGTCCGACTAACCCCAACAGCGCACACAAAACCTGGCAATCCCTCGGCGAAATCGCGGAGTTGATCCAACCCACCGCCACCAGCCGTGCCGAGTTCTTGCAGGAATGTCGCGACGGTAAACTCGACGGCGTGGTCGCCGCATACCGGACCTTCGACTCGGTCAGCATCACCGGCCTGGTCGACGAAGAGGTCGTGAACGCACTTCCCAGTTCCCTCAAGTACCTGGCTCACTGTGGTATGCTCGATTCCCGCATCCATCTGGACCCTTTCCACCAGCCCCCACGCACCTTTTCCAAACCGTAGGAAAACGAAGTAACGCTCACCATTTTCTCAAAGGTGCCGGATACGACCAAGTCGATGTACATGCCTGCAGCGCGCGGAGCCCACCCCTGCGCGTCTCCAACGTCCCCACGGCCGTCGACGACGCTACCGCCGACGTCAACATGTTCCTGATCATCGGGGCCCTGCGGAACTTCAACACGGGCATGCAGGCCCTGCGCGAGGGGAAATGGCGTGGCCAGCCGCTCCCCATCCTCGGCCATGACCCGGAGGGCAAGGTGCTCGGGATCCTGGGGATGGGAGGCATCGGTCGGAACCTGAAGCGCAAGGCCGAGGCGTTCGGCATGCGCGTCGTCTACCACAACCGCCGGCCGTTGACGGAGGAATTGGCCGCCGGGGCGGCGTACGTGTCGTTTGAGGAGCTGCTGGCGACGAGTGATGTCATCAGCTTGAACCTGCCGTTGAATGTAAGTGCTGTGAGGGTGGGTCTATTCTCGTGCGGATGCTAATTTGATACCGAACAGAAAAACACCCGTCATATCATTAGCAAGCCGCAATTCGACCAGATGAAGGACGGCGTGGTGATCGTGAACACGGCTCGCGGCGCTGTCATCGACGAAGATGCACTTGTGAATGCCCTGGATAGCGGTAAGGTCTACTCGGCCGGTCTGGATGTCTTCGAAGAAGAGCCCAAGGTTCACCCTGGCCTTGTGCGCAATCCCAACGTGCTGCTGGTGCCGCACATGGGCACCTGGACAGTTGAGGTAAGTCAGAATGGATAGAGCGAAATGGTGTTTGAAAGTAGGAACGGACGCTAATTCAATCCACAGACGCAAACTGCCATGGAAGAATGGGCGATTGGTAACCTCCGTCTTGCCCTCGAGGCTGGGAAATTGAAGAGTCCGGTTCCCGAGCAGGCAAACCTATAAGTCCCTGCCGGTGAACGTATGCCAATGACGTTGTCCATATTTGACTTTTATTAGACGTGTATATGAATTTAATAGAGGGAACTGGGCAATGCGATTTGCCTAAAGACGACACATAACTTCATTGCAGGCCCTCGTGGACTTAAGGACTTTATCAGACAGTGCTCATATCACCGGGTATGAGCAACCTGACAATAAGGTATATGTGCCAATAATTTCCAATGATTTGTATTTCAAGGCGGGGATGCAGCCAGAACGCCGTTGTGCTGCTGTTTCCCAGCCGTGGACAGAACTGACAATCGCAATGAACTCCTGAGCCATGTCCTCCCCGTTAAAAATGACCAATAGACATAAAAAAAAATCGATAAGCAGCCACCATTAGGAAGAGAAAATAGAGCAAAGAAAGGGGGCGAAAAAGGGGCGTTATCGAAAGAGAAAAAAAAGGGGGTCAACATAAAAAAGTTCTAATGAGACATCGTTAAAGCAGCTGAAAACATTTCGCCAATTCGCTTTTTTCATGTTACAGGTTGCAGCAGAAAGAGACAAGACATTAAAAGAAAAGGTATCACCGCAATCTTATTCTCGTGAAACAATCCAGGAACGGAGAACCATGCCACAGATGCGCTTGATCACCTGCGTGGTTCCTTTACCGCCTGCTTCTTGTTCCAGGAACTTTTGCGCCACATACAATTTGGCGCCGGAGTCCTTCTCGTTAGTCGTGATAGGTTGGGGGAAGCTGCGCGGAAAGTCGGCCCAACGTTGTCCAAGGTGGCGGGCAATGGCAATCGAATATATGACGTCGCGATTCTCAAAGGTGTCCAGAAGCGTGCGACACCGAGCCAGAGTATCGTCAATCTCTTTGGCCGAGCTAGCCTCGTTGTCATGGAGCGTCAAGAAATACCCGATGGCACTCCAAAAATCGACCGACCGCTGACCAAGTTGATCGGTGAGCGATGGCGGGTTGGCGGGTGTCTCCCGGGCCGGGAACTGTGCCAGAGGATTGGAGTCGAGGTGCTCCCCGGTGATCATTGCCTCAATTACATCAAGTCGCTTCGACGCGGCCAAGAGGTCGTAGTCCTGTCCAAGGCTGCCGTTCGACACGTTCATGACATGTCGACAAAGAGTCATGGAACCCCACACCACAGACGCTTCGAAACTCTCCAATCGCGCGATGACGTTAGGATCGTTCAGGTTGCGATCGTTAAAGGCGTCGATCAGTGCCGAGTACTCGGCCATCAGTTGCGCATTGGCCAAGAGGTGAGTCAATGCCTTCTCCTGGAACCACCGGGTCTCGAAGAACTTGTCGATGGCGGGAGCATACGTAGCCAGGAACACCGCTTGGATTTCCTCGAGACGGTTCGGTGGGAGAGACGTGATCGGATGGGGCGGCGGCGGAGGAATCCCCCGCAACGCGAGAAGATCGCTGACCTGGACTTGTTTCACTGCGAGGCGCGAACGTGAGCACATTGAACTAGCGGTCCGATCCTTTTGTGGAAGCTCACCTCTAAAACTGGTCGGGTCCGACGCCGTGGTCGTCGTTGCCGGATTTACTGTCGGCTGCAAGCCTCCATCGGTCGCATTGTGTAGACTGGCCATAGCGGACGAGTCGTTGTTGGTGGGGTTGGTGGTAGTATGGGTGCTGCCGTTGTTATTCCTATCCAACGACGGATCGATGGCCGCGCCGTAGTCGTATCGTTCAGTCGACGTGCTAGGCGACTCCGACGGAGCGAAGGGTTGAGAAACGGCAGGAACGTATCCCGGAGGCGCAGCTGGGTAGGACGGCGAGGATGAGGTAGAAGGGTCCTGAGGATTGACGACCAACGAGGGATGAGGGTTGGGAGCTGGCTGGATCGCAGAGGGAGTGGGTTGAGGCTTAAAGACCGGATCGTAGCCCAAACATTCGCGTTTACTCTTCACGCAGTTTCGGCAAACGGGATGGCCCTCGTCGCACTATAGAAGGAAACGACGGCAGCGGGTTAGTGGAGAGCTTGGAAAAAAAGAAAAGTTTTGGAGGTTTCAGAAATGAGAAATCCCGAGTCACCAGTCGAAGGGTTAAAAAAAAAAGAAACTTCAGTGAAGAAAAGGAAAAAATTCCAACAAGAAAAAAAAAAAATAATAAAAAAGAAGCAAGAAAGAACGGTGGGCAGCAGCAACAACAACAAGCGGAAAATGGCGGGGTTCCTCTGCAGTCGGTGGGCTGGACGCGAGCCGAAGCGACACAGCGGTTCTTCTCACCTCCCAAACCCACCAACCCAGTGCCCTTTTGCCTTCCATCCAAGCCGGCGGGGCTGGAATTTAGCTGGCTTGCATTCCACGTACCTTAATTCGTCGTTTCCGACATGTCAGACACCCGGTTTTCGTCCTGCGCTTCACTTCCTTCTTGTTTCGCCCCCCCGACAGCATCTTGTTCGGGTCTCCTGGCAGCTGATACCGCATCTGGGCGCTCTGGTTCATTCCCATTTGCGTCGGGTATCCTGTCATGTACTGTCCCACCGACGCCATCGGTGGCATCGGGGATCCGATGGGTGCCTGTGGAATGTGCGACGTCTGGCCCTGGACGGATTGCTCCATGGTCTGCATCGAGGGCGTACTCATAGGCGTAGACGCAGAGGGACTGTTCTGGTACATGTCGGGGTTCTGCTGATATTGGTGTGGTTGTCCCTGGTGCTGTCCGTGTGGCTGTGGCGTGGGCGAGGAATATTGTTGCGACGGCGCATGCTGCTGATACTGCGGCTGGGGCTGCGGTGTTTGGTGATGAGATGGCTGCTGCTCCGGGTGCTGTTGTAGATACGTGCCATTTGAGTGAGCCTGGTAGGAAGTGTCGGTGGCAGTAAAATCCCCCGAGTCGGCAGCGAGACTGGAAACCGCATGGGCCTCAGTTCCCTCAGTTCCGGGTAGGTCGGTGTCTTTCGTATCGAACGAAAAATTCGGGTCCCCGTGCAGGTCACTCAGATTCGAATCCGTAGCCGGTAAGGTGGTGTCCAAAGGAGGCAAAGACGTGTCAATCGGCGGCAGCGACGGTATCGTCGGATCCATCGGTGGTAACGACGAGTCTATACTTGGGAGAGCGGTGTCCATTGCCGGCAGGGACTTATCTATCGGGGGGAGAGAGGTGTCCAGACTCTGGAAAGTCGCTTCCAGGTCGACATGACTGGTGTCCTCAACAGGCGCATCGTTCGACTCGCCAACCGGATTGGGCGGCTCGCTCGTCGGGTTTGCTGGTTCTGTCGTGTCCGCCATCTGGGATCACTGAATATTCTCCGATTCGGGCAGCTGCACGGGAAAGATTCCGAGAGGACCGGACCGTTTCGATCGTCGACGCGAATCTTCAAAGCACGCTCGATTATTGGGAGGGAAGAGTTATGCGGTCAAGGCTCTTATTCCCCGTGGTCGATAAAGGGCTATTCGCCGATTCAGCGCCTGTCAGAACGCAATCTCTGTAGTCTTTTAGAAACGACAGTTAGTCGATCGACACCAATGCAAGTTAGGTTGAGCCGTGGCGACTACGGCGCCCAAAAATGACCGGTTGCGATAGTGATTGCAAGTGGGGGAAAATTCAGCAAGGAAATAAAAAGACATGGTTCTCCCAAATTCGCGCATGAGTCGGAAAGGAAAAAGAATTTCGGTATAGACATCTCCAGCGTTCCGTGGGCGCGACCGGGTGGGCGCATATCTCATCATTGAGCATCGATCGGTATATGCGAGTCTCGTCATCCTGGTTTGATTCCACAATTCCACCTATGCTGACGATCGGAGGGCCCATCCATGCAATCTGGTGCCGCCGGAGTTGAACGCGACCGGATGGATGCTATCCGATCCCCGTCGAGTCCAACACCCACCGCCGCACCAGCGCAGGCGTCCCCATTTTATCAAATCCAGGCGAATGCGAGAGAATAGCCAGGGGGCAGCGAGGTGGTATTGTTCGATAGTCGGGATATAACTGAGGGGTGGGAGAGGAGAAGGTGTCTCGGATGGCAGGAATCGAGGCAAGCAATGAGAAAACGAGGCCATTTACTTACCATGTAGCGGGTCCAAAGAAGGGCAAGAAGCAGAGACAAAAGGACTAGTCCATCAGAACACTCAATTCCGGACCTGATAAGCACTGCATTTGGGGTGGAGGTGGGCGTCGGGGAGGTTGCGACAGAGAGAGAGACCGAGACGTTGCGCGACGGAAGAGAGAAATGGAAGTTCGCCGGCCAAAGCTTTTGGGGCCAATAAATCGGCGCCCCGAATTTTAAGGCAGGAATTTCGTCCTCTCCGCACTTGCATGAATTCTGATGATTTCGCTGCATGTATGCGTCTGCCCGTCAACGTGCTTCTCTTCTGTCATTTTCTTCTTCATTGTCATTCGACTCTGCTTTGTTTTTGGAGGAAAAAATTATTAAAATAAATAAAATACATAAAATCCCCAATTAGACCGATAGTCCCCTCGAGTCTCTCGGATTTGACAAGACCACGCCTTTTCACCCTGAATATCCGATATAGTCCTCATAGCCAGGGGTCAAGAAAGTCCTTACAAGCCCTGATGTTTCCTCAGGCCAGTGATTCGGCAGCCAGCCTGTGTGACAGAGACACCAGATATCTCAATAGATAGATGATCATGGCCTTGTAGTGTATTCCATCCTTTTCTTCTAGAGTCAGACTGGTCGGCATACGCTGCCACGTACTTCCCTTGCTGTTGATAGAACGCAGGGCAATAAACCTGCTGCGAGGAAGCAGTGCGCGGCATGTTGAGCATACTGCTCATGATTCAGGGAGTCCTGCCGTAGAGAGTCATGCCATTGGATGTGGACATGGAAACAATGCCATCCGCCAATTCGTTTATTTCTTCATCACTTTCGGCTTGCGTTTCTTGAAGACCACTCCTCCAGCTGCCTCTTCGGGTTCTTTCTTCGCCTCCGGAAGGCTTTCCTCCTTCGTCTGCGATGGCTGATCCGTCTCCGTCTCCGGGTTCACAGTTTCGGCTTCTCCTTTCTCTGGTGCCACGCTAACCTCTTTATCATCCCCTTGGGCAGGCGCATCCGATGTCGACGGCTTGCTCTTCTTGATATCCTTCGTAGACGCAAGCAGCGCATCCAGATCCGTGTCGTCCTGGGCCCCAGGGTACTGCCTCGTCCTCGATCCCCACGGCTTACTTACAAACCTCTCTGCCTCCTTTTTAGCCTCCTCCTCTTCCTCGTCCGCTTCCTCGTGTTTTCGTTTGCGCACGCCCAGCGACGGCGTCGATGCGCCATCGACAACCTTCTCGGACAGAGTCTGCCATTCTCCCGCCAGCGCCATATCTCCACGGTATTCCTGCGGAATCGCCACGCCCATCTCCGCCAACTGCGCCATCTGCTTCTTCCGCTCCTCTATGGAAACCGATTTCTCGACGGGCGCAGGGGCAGCGGCAGGGGCCCGTTTCCAGGGAGCCGCGGCATTGCTGGCACCGTCGGCGGGCGAGCCCGAAACGGCCGATCGCAGTCGCTCGACTTCGCTCTTCGCTCTTTGAGTTTCGCGCTGCTGGTGCTCGTTGGTGCGGTGAATGTCGCGTAAAAATCGCTTAAGGTTGCCCTGGTGTTTGCCGGTGGCTTCGTGTTGGGTTTTCTCGAAGGGCGTGTCCCGGATGAATATCTTGCATTGCTTGCACCAGTGTCGAGGCTAGAGAGGGGGGCGTTAGTTGCTTTCTTCGGTGGGGAGTTGGGGACAGATGGAACATTTAGGACTTACTGCTGATTTCCAGTATTCGGCCATGGTTAATATCGTGAACTATAGTGAGGTTTGTAGCTGAGCTTAAATGATATCACTGCGAGTCGTCGCGTTGAGGATGCCTCAGGTGCGACCAGAGCTAGTCCCAATGTGGTAATACATGCATAGTGCACCTCAGGCATCAAATCTATCAACTGCAGATTCCACATTCGCTCTTACTTTCATATTTTGAGGAGGATTCACTGGTGGTGAAAATGATGGAGACCTTGGTCTCAATGATAGGATAAAGTATGTGAGGGGAACTGATTATAATCAGTCAAACCTCCCTGTGAATTGTGTCGAAAGATACCCATGCCAGTACTCTCACTAGTATGATTGAAACCGGTGAATAGATGGCTTATTTACGGAGTGAGAATGCTTTGACTGCTTTAATTTCCCGTCATCTAAAACAATGGATCCACCGGGCGATTGGAATCATAATCGTAATTCGTTTCATCACAACTATTGTATGGGCTCTCGTCATGAGCGAGGCGCAACTTCCACTCTGACTCTTGCTTCAATGAGATCAGGTTGAAACCAGAACCCGATGTCCTTGGTGCTGTCCACAAGTTCAACTTCTCTCTTGACAAATTTGGTGTCATCACTTGGGTGTGGATAACCCTCGACTCCTTTGCCGCCATCTGCGATCTCCTCTTCACTATCCCATCCGTCTGCATCCTCCATATTCGCTTTACTGACAGGGTCTAACTCATCCGTTTCCCAAACTAGCCGACACTCATACGGCGGTAGATCGAATAGGCGAGACGCAATTGCTTTGAGCTGGTATGCATCGAAAGACCGAGGAACCTCTTTCGCTTTGATGATTTCGGATGTCTGAGAGTTGTCGGATCGCAAATGGAAAACCATTTTCACCAACCGAGCAGCAACAGAGCGTGGATTTACCGAAGTACCGGCCCTGGTCGAATCTGAAGCCCTCGTAATTATAGGCTCGCCATGAACCTTGCAAAGCTCATTATAGCGAGGATGTTTCGCGAGAATTTCTAGTTCGGCAGTCTCCGAGTTGGCAGATAGCTCTTTGCCAATGAGCGAAAGATAGTAGAGTTCCCCGTTGCTGCGATCCTTCGCATTAATTTTCCCATAGTTAAGGACTTGCAGAGATGCAAGTCTAGATAGTGTCAACATGTATGCTTCGTCTACTGTCATCGGCTTCTCTGGCATCCCTGTGACGACTGACGGCCCGATTGGTTGATCGTAGAGAGGGTTTCCAGAAATTCGAAGAACCTGAAGACCAGGAAACACTTTTGAGAGTTCATCCACAAATGACCATGTGTTAATGTTATTTCGAGACAAATCGACAGACGTAAGACTGGGTGAAAACTGGAGAGGCTCTCCGGCCCAACTCTCGTCGTACACTGCATTTATGCAGTTTCCTCGTAGGGAGAGATGTTTGAGATTTGGCAGTGATGCGAGATGTTTTATTGAAGACAACGAGGAGATATCATTAAGCTCCAAGGCCAAAGAAGTGACGGTGTTCGGTATTGACCTTGAGAGCGTTGATATCTGATTCGCACAAGCAGACAAAGTAGTAACTGATGGAAATTGGTATGCCAAACTTGAGATCTGGGGAATATTAAGTCAGCATTATTATCATTGACATAGGAAGCATTTGAAAATACCTCATCCCAAGCAAGAAGAGTGTCATCCAAATGAAGTTCACTAATCCCTTCGAACTTCAAACCCTCCTCGACATGGTCAAATCGATTGCAACTGTATCTTGGTTACGAAAATATTTCCCGTAATTCACATACATAGGGACTTACTTCAACTTCAATAAGTTCAAACCTTTGAGCTGGGCGCATATACCCTGAACGTCAGTCCAGCTAGTCAACAAGTTCCGACTAAGGTCGAGTCCTGTAATTTTGGGACATGTCTGCTGGATCTCCTTTCGAGCCCTTTCGACTTGTTCATGCTCTGCTGCGCCGGGAAGAGCTCCCGCAACACACAGCCCATCAAGCAGCACGATTCTAAGTTCCTGGAGCTCTGCAAGCTGCTTTCGGATCTTGTCGAAGCCCACTTCTTCAACAACCTTACCGCTTATTTCGATGGGCTTGTGACGAGAGTCTTCGGACGGGTTACCACCTGGTGTCTCCTTCGTGGAGACCTGCTCCAACCCAGAGGCGTACTTCTCGCGCAATGCCTCAAGAAAGCCTCGAGGCTTGTCCGAGGCGCGGGATGGACGCACGAACGACCCGGCTGTGGGCTGCTTGCTTTTGCCTAGAATGGGTATGAGTCTAATCGGCACAGTGCTAAGACAAAGAAAACCATACATGTGAAATATCTCACGCCTTGATGTTCGCCGGAGTGCTTCCCTCGCGTTGAATCGTCCCATTCAACTCCGAGCCACTCGCCGGTAGTGCCCTCGACTTTTCCTATATAGCGAACTGTGCATAGATCGCCATTGTAGGATCTCCGCTGACCGAGATGACAGGAACTATTCATGATGATTAACTATTTCTGGCCACTGCATCGAAGCACGCCCATTCTTCAACGAAATGTTGACTGGGGAGACTTGGGATGCCCGATTTGGTCCAATCGTAGATCGGCCCGGTCGCTTACATAATCGCTATACAGCGAATTTCCCGCCGAAGCTTATCGCCAGCCTGGGAAACTTCAGCCATTCCTCTCCACCGGTGTGTTGCAAGGGAGATCTCAGGATGGATTTCCAGGTATGTACCCCTGACATACATATTCCAGTGTGTCTATTCTATTGTGAGCTTCTATGAATCTGACATTCTCTCCCTCCCTCAAAGAATCGTGCAGGATCCAAATTCGGTGGCGGCGGTGTCGCATCGCAATCCGCGACCAATGCAGACCGTCGCGAACGTCTTCGCAAACTCGCCCTCGAGACGATCGACCTCGACAAGGATCCTTATTTCTTCAAGAACCATGTAGGAAGCTTCGAGTGTCGTCTGTGCTTGACGGTCCACCAGAACGATGGCTCCTACCTCGCCCACACCCAAGGCCGGAAACATCAGACGAACCTTGCGCGACGTGCGGCCCGCGAACAACGGGAAGGGAAGAATCAGGACCCCTCGTCGCTGCCCGGGGCAATGGGCGTGCAGGTCAAGAAGCAGACGATCAAGATTGGACGGCCGGGTTACAAGATCACCAAGATCCGGGACCCCTTGACGCGACAGCTGGGGCTGCTGTTCCAGTTGCAGTATCAGGAGATTACGCCGGGAGTGCAGCCCCGGGTGCGTTTTATGTCGGCGTTCGAGCAGAAGGTGGAGGAGCCTCCGGACAAAAACTTCCAATATCTCGTCGTGGCTGCCGAGCCGTATCAGACGTGCGGTTTCAAGCTTCAGGCGAGGGAGATCGATCGCCGAGATGGCCGGTACTGGACCTGGTTTGACGAGGATAGCAAGGAATTCTGGGTGCAGATCATGTTCAAGACCGAGCGAGAAGAGCGATTCAGTGGTGTCCCTGGTCTGGCTCCGGCTATTGGATCATAGAGACTAGCTCGGCTGCTTCGGGGAGGAAAGTGCTGTTCATTTGCTGGCTGCAAAATTTGATGGCGTGTGCTGTTCATCGAAAGGGTTCATAACGGCGTTTCAGGATTCTTTTCTTTTCTTACTTGTGATATTGTGACCTAGCACTATCTTTCCACTGTTATCGGGTTGTGTGTTGGGAACTCGAGATGGCTTTCTTCTAAGGTACAAACCGACTTCTTTTTTTTTTCTTCTTTGTTCCAAACTACACATGTTTCCCTGGCGTCTTCGAGCCACTAGCATTGTTATCTAAAATGCTCCAACATTTAAATTAGATCGCCATTCTGACTTTCAACTTATGGTATATGATAAACTCCGTCGTTCCATTCCGCACAAACAGATTCAAAGGGGAAATTTTCATACTAAGAAATAGAGCCACTCGCAAATGCACCATACTATCGCCCTAGCCAAGAAGCCCAGGTGCGAGTCAAATCATAATCTGCATTTGTGGATGTAGCACATAAACTGTAGACTGTAGATCAACAATGCACTGTATGTAGTTTTTGATGCCAGATATTGTTTGTAAATAGCAGGCGTCGTCTCGCGACATGCAAGGGGAATAAATAGAAGAAGATGCTCAGGTCATTATCAATAACACAGTGATGACAAATGCGCTATATGCTTGATCAAACAAACCAACAGGGGTATGCCGAGATTAAATCATCGATGAATCACTGGAAAGACATCGACGCAAGCCTGCCCGCTTTCAGACTTCCCAAAGATGTTCATTGTACAATGTTCAACTCGGATAATCGACTCTAATGCTTAGTTTCCTTGGAATGCGTTGAATGCCTTGTATGTGTATCCGATGAACGGAAGGCTCATCTCAGCCTCCTGGTCATCAGGCATGGCACGAGCCTGGGCGCGGTGGATAGCACTGGTGTCCTCCTGGGGAATTTCGTCAATGGGGAAGTAGGACACATCGATGTTCGAGCTGAGCTTCGGCTCAAACGGCGCGCGGATGTTGCGAAGCTGTTCCCAAACGACGCCACGGAAGAATGGGTGGCTCTTGATGTGGGAAGCACCTCCGTATTGGCCACCATCGCTTCCAATACGGTGTTCGGTATCACACAAGAAACTAGACACGGGGTTAGCTCAATACCACAGAAGCATTTGAATTCAGGGAGATATTCACCTTCGGATCAACCCCTCGGATTCACGCGAAAGAGTGAGCTCCTCCGGGAAGTACAGGCACTCCCTCCAGTTCACGATCTTCCGGTAGGTATCGGTCGTGTCTTCGGCACAGAATGGAGGCCAGCCAACCAAGCATTCAAACATGATAGCACCAACCGACCACCAATCGCAGAGGTAGGTATATCCCTGGCCGTTGAAGATCTCGGGTGCAATGTAGTCGGGCGTGCCAACAGTCGAATAGGCCATGGCGCGGCGGGACTTTCTCCAGGTATTGATCTGACCACGGTTCGATACCGTCAAGTTGATCGCGTCATTGAAATAACCGGAGTTACGGTTCTTGTCCTTCGAGGTGGAGTTCTTGAGGAGGTTTTGATAGTACGAGTTGTCATGCGTCTTCTTGCCTCCCGTCGAGAGACCGAAATCGGTAAGCTTCACATGACCACCACGGTCCAGGAGGATGTTGTCGGGTTTGATGTCTCTGTCGGCGCGAACATCGATTAGCATGTGATACAAGCAATAAAAAAAAATATGCAACACGGGCTGGGGATCAAGTTTGAAACACTCACCGGTGAAGGAAGCCGAGTTTGTGAACGGCCTCGATGGCCATGACAATCTCCGCCATGTAGAATCTCGTGATATCCTCGGAGAAGATCTCATACTTGATCAGCATCGTCATCAAATCACCACCCGGCAAGAACTCCATCAGCAGATAAAGGTAAGCGGTGTCCTGGAACGAGGCATGCAGCTTGACGAGCCAAGGGTTATCCTTGGAATCGGCCAGAATATCACGTTCCGCACGAACGTGGGCCAGTTGGTCCTTCTTGAACATCTCCGTCTTGATCAGGGATTTGAGAGCGTAGATCTTGCCGTCGGTCTTCCTTTGCACCAGCTTAACCTCACCAAAGGCACCCTTGCCAATAACCTTGATAGTCTGGAAGTTTGAAGGGGTTTCGCGAGTTCGGAGGAATCGCAAAAAGTTGGACTCCTTCTTCGAAACGACCTCCGCCTCCTGGTGCTTCGACTCATTGGGAATACCAGGTTCGCGGATCATCCTGTCGAGCTCTGCAGATCTGGATGTTGCCGCATGTGTCAGCTCACTTCTTACAATATCGAGCGCTGATATGAGTCAGAGAAAGAAGAAAAAAAAATCTTACCGCATATTACGATCGCGCGCTCGCTCGATGTTCTCGTGGAAGAAAACGTTCACCAGCTCCTTAGCCGCCTTGCCCCGCTTGTGAATATTCTCGGAGTACCGTTCGGGGTAGCGCTGCAGCTCTTCGTTCTCAGCAGGGGCGCGAGGGCTGCGAGGCATCGGCGGGGCCAGATGGCCCGGTTGTTGCTGCCCAGGGGCCGGGGAGCCAGCGGTACGGGGTCTCTGCGCGGGGGAGCCCGAACGACCGAAGAATCCAGTGCGGCCGGCGTTCAGGTCCTGGTTGGAGAATTGCTGGATCAGGCCATTGGGCCCGTCGTTGGGGTTGTAGCCCATCCGGGATTGATAGGCGGGTTGAGGGGACTGCAGGTTGGGCTGGCCATAGTGCTGCTGCTGAGCGTATTGGGGCTGCGCAGGATAGGGGTTGGCCATGAAATAGCCCTGACCGTACGCTCCATTTTGAGGATCGACGTACTCCTGAGGACCCTGGTTCTGATAGATCGGCTGAGGGAACGCGGAGGGGGTGGTGGGATACGCGCGGTTGTTGGCGGCCGCATTGAAGCCACGGTCGTTGTACCCGAAATTCAGGTGGAGGCGATTGTTGTTAGGGTCCATGTTGAGGCTCCTCCCGAGTACCAAACGGTGGTTGGACGGGGGATAAGGAAGAGTGGTGAAGTTCTCGAATATAAAAGAAGGGAAAGATGAAACTCCAAGGGGGAGGGGGGGAGGGGAAGAAACTAAAGGAGCGGTGGCTCAGGAGTTGCCCGAATTCCCCGACAAGTAGGAGTTCAGAGGAGAGGAGGAGGGGGGAGGAAAATAGTGGAGAGCGGCGTTTCGGTCTCCACGGGTGAGTAGGTAGGGCAGGTAGGTAGGCAGGTAGGCAGGTGTTGTTCCGACAGGACGTGGATAGGGGAACAGTCCTGAGTGAGAGACAACACACAGGAAGCCAAAGAAACGAGTGAAGCGGAGAGAAAGAAGGACGAGGGAAGAGAGAAAGAGAAAGAGAAGGAGTCGAACAGCTCAGTTTGAGACGGCGGTAGATTAAATTACAGGAATTTGCGAAAGTCTGGACTCGCTACGGCGGGCCGGTGGGACCAGCCGTGCCGTTCCTGAGGCTGCCAGGCACTCAGGCACCCTCTCGGTCTGGATCTGGTGAACTAGTCGAGCTAAGGCTGATGCGATCGCTCGACTGTCGGCAGACTCGACGCAATGGCAGGGCTAGTCGATTATTGTGGAGGTGCTATGGGCATGTAATGTACAAAGTACCGAAGGACCGAAGTATTGAAGTATAGCAGACAACTGACAAATACGGAGTAGGGACATACGACCATCACACACGGATCCCTCAGCCACAATGTGCGACTGTCGGCGGATATATGTGAAACCCGTGAAGTCCACCCAATGGCTCCGGACAAGCAGAATGGGCAGTTGGTCGAATGGCGGCCGTCCAAAGAAACCTTCGATGGACCTTGGAAAGCTGCCTCGGATAAACTGCGCTTCCGACGGAGCGCTGCAGGCATCCCGAACTTTTTTCGGCAGTTAAACTTATCGATGTCCTCGAGAGAACCTCATGATCTTCTCTCCCGGTGGTCCCCTTTTGATGATTGACGGGATTTCTTTCTTGTATTTATATTCTTAATTTCTGTGTTCTCCCTATCTCTATACCCCGAGACCATGGCGGACTCCTCGAAACCCGCTCCGGCTTCAGGCCCGGCTCCCAAGCCGCAGAACCCAGCCATGCGCATGATGGGTATATACCCAAACAATCATTTATCTCGCAAATGTGATCAATCACTAATAATATGGGATCCTAGGAATGCCCAACATCCGTTTCAAACTTCCCTCGCGCAATTGGATGATCTTCCTCACCATCACCGGTTCGTTCACGGCGGCCCTCATCTATGATCGCAGGGAGAAGAGTCGTACGCAGCAGAAGTGGTGCGATCTGGTGGCGCATTTGTCGAAAGAGTCCCTTCCGGTCGACCAAACTCGCCGAAAGCTGACCGTCTATCTGTCCGCCCCTCCGGGTGACGGGCTCCGCACCGCCCGGGACCACTTCAAAGAATACGTTAAGCCCATTCTCGTGGCCGCAGCTTTGGACTATCAAGTCGTCGAAGGCAGAAGACAAGGCGACGTGAGGGCCGGACTATCGGAACGGATCCGCAAACTCAGAAGGAATGCAGGCGAGTCGAGTACCCTTGTCGAGGAACCCACCATAGAAGATGTTGTTGCCGACGCGAGACAAAAGATCGGTGTTACGGACGAGCCAGGACCGAAGGGCGATTTAGTAATTGGACGTCATACTTGGAAGGAATATATCCGCGGTCTTCATGAAGGATGGCTCGGACCTCTCGACCCTCCTCCAGCCCCAGCCGCTGAACCTCTGGACGCGCCTCCGTCCGAAGGAGCAGAGGCAAGCAAGATCTCTGATGATGGCACTCCCGCACCGGAGAATCCCGAAAAGACCGAAACCGCCGAGAAGAAGGAGGAAAAGCCGAAGCCTACCGGTCCGACCCCGGCATACTTGGCCGTTGCCGATTACTCGTCGCAAAGTCTTCCGCGCTCTCTGCCCGACTCTCTGGATGGAACTGTCCCAGTCGCCTTCCCGCACATTCTGGGCTTCTTGAACACTCCGATCCGAGTCTGGCGATACTTGAACCAGCGCCACCTCGCCGATGCCGTAGGCCGAGACGTCGCTGGCATCGTTCTCGCGTCGAGCACTAGACCCTACAAGGATGGCTTTTCCGGCGCAGACTCTGGATTCGGTGCCGCGGACGTTGATGCTGGTCCATCATCTTCAGGCAACTACGAGCAGCAGACTCTACTCGAGGAGGAGGAGCCGGAATGGCACAAATCCGTGCACAAGAAGGACGAGTCGAACCCCGACCAGGAGCGCGAATGGGTCGACGAAGTTGTCGTTGACCCCCGCATCGCATCGCGGATGCAGCGTTATGTTCTCTCGTCGGACGAGGAGGCTCGTTCGCAGCGTATTCTCGAGGGGTCGGAATATATTCTCGGCGAAGAACGACCCCCGCCTGTTCCCTTCTGGAAACACCTGTGGATCAAGTACGGCTACGGCGAGGATGAGGAAACCATCAGAAGAAAGCCCATCCTGGGCAACATCGATGAGGAGTGATTTGGCCTCCTATTTACGGGATATCTTGTTCGAAATGACTGGCTCTTTTTTCTTTATATTAGACGTCATGGGACGCTTCTCTTGCAGCAAAGACCACAACCACTCCACTGTACCACAACATCTCAGCATTGTATATTAATTAGACTTGGGCGTTATATGTGATTCTATAAATACTAGAGGACTGAGATGCCACAATTTTCCGAATGCTGTCATCTTGGATGTCACTTAAAGACGGGCCACGGGCCAGCTGTACACTAGTGGTACATATATTGCATTTGATTTTTATATTGCCGATCTGGGCTGACATTACCCACGAGCTGAGAGTTTTCTCTGGGGAATGATATCACACCAGATCCGGCTTTCTAATCCTATTGGTAGATCGAGAACTGGAGAATATCTATATTCAGGGATATTGTAAGATCAGACGCAGCTACCCCGGCGAGCTATAAAGACCAATTGACTATGGTTCTCTGAACGGTTCAGATGCTATCTTAACGGATTTAAGAAATTTTTGTCCCTTATTCAGCGCGGAACAGGGTCGACTCGGGCCACTTGCTAGCGGCCTTTTCGGCGTAGGCCGTCTTGGACGCTTGGTTGCTTCCCCATTCGCTCAGCAGATCAAGACCAGCAAGAGCGGTCTCGAGGGTGATGATGTCAGAATCGAGGGTAGCCGTGAGATCCTTCTCGTACTGGGGTTTCGAGTCCGACTTCAGAAGCTGTCCGCATGTCAGACCGGCTTGCGTGTGCGGGACGCTGTCCTTGTGCGCGGCAAGGAACGAGTTGTTCCACTCTTCCAAATTCTGGGATTTCGGGAGCAGAGTCTCGAACTCGGTGTTAACGACCTCTGCTACCTCAGGAGCAAGGGGCTCCGAGAGGCTGTCCAGTGCCTTGCGGAACCGGAGAAGCTGAACATGAAGCGTCGGGTTGGACGCATCAATTGCATGAGCGGCGGAGAGACACTTGAGGGCAAGCGCATATTTGTCTAGAAAATAAATGTCAATAAATCTCCGGGTCGAATATGATCGCAAGAAACGAAGATTGGATAGAACTCAAGCGGGCGCAACTTACTTTTCCTGAAATAAACTTCGAACCCAAGTAATTGCCCCTCGATGTTCTTGGGGCTGTATTCCAACAACGGCGTCAAAAACTTGGTTGCCTCTTTCAGGGGATCCTGCGTCTGGACAAGCTGGTTTCCAAGAGGATCCGGGTCTTCCTTCTTCACTTCTCCATCGACGCTCTTGGCGGTTGCTGCCGCCGCCCTTCTCGCTTCCCGTTTATCGGCCTCGATCTTCTCGAGTCGCTGTTGCTCTTTCTTAGCCTTTTTGACGGCCTTCTTGCGCTCCGCATCATCGTTGGCATCGCCCGCGCCATTGGCACCGCTAGGTAACGGTCCATGAACAAGATCCGGTTGATCGTGAAGAAGCAGATACGCCTTGATAGCAGCAAGAGCCACCCGCGTGTAGAAGGGGTGCTCACGCAAACGATCTTCCCAGCGAACCATGTCAACGTAGGCTCGGACCATGCCCTTACGAAGAGAAAAGCCGTGGAAATCAAACTGGTCTTCTTGCCACACGTCGAAGATGTTGTAGACGGCATGAAGTCGCTTGAGAGCAAGGCCAAGCTTCTTCTGTCGTAGGTACGCCTCTCCATCCTCGGTGAGGTACCAGACGCACTGCATCTCATGGAGATCGCCCAGTGCACCACCAACGGTCTCGTTTCGCGTGAACTTGCTCATGTTGTCAAGAGCCTTGTCGTTCTCGTTGTTGCGGAGTTGGTACTTGGCAGCCTTGGAGTTGATGTAACGATCTTTCTCATCCAGGAGTCGGGCGTTTTCCATCTCCTCCGCAGCCTTCTCGACATTGCCATAATGCTTCCATACCCTTGCCTTGGTCATCTGGTATTCCACGGCCTTGGGAGACAGCTCGAGAGCCTTGTCAACATATTCCATGGCCTTGGGCAGGTTGCGGCTGAGGTGGTAGTTGTAATGCTGGGCCAGGAAATAGTAGGTAGATGAGAGGAATTCCGTGTTGTCACCGTTAGCCTGGTCCTTTCCGGCACCATTCGCCGCCTGGCCGGAAGCGTAGCCTTCAACCAGTTCCTGCACCGTGTCCCGCTTCGCCGTGTTGGTGTACAGCGTTTTGATGTTCGCAAAAAGAGACGGAACACCCTTCTTCAGCATCCGCTGCAGATAGGCGTCGGCAGCTTGCTTGAAATCATCCCCCTCCAAGAAGTCCAAGGGGATTCTCCGAGAAGCATCTCCTCGCGGGGTCTTCTCCGCCCAGGAGTCATATACAGCCTTCAAAGCTTGGTGGTCGTCCTCCGAGATACCCTTGGCTCGAATCAAAGCATCGTAGTAGACCGAGTTCTCCGGGTTTCGCTCGAGGAGGTCATTGTAGGCGGCCTCCGCTTCAGCCTTGCGGTCCAGTCGCAGGAGGTAGTCGGCCTTCATTTCCATCACGGCCAGAACATCGGTACATCTGTATCCCACAGATTCCAAGTGCTCCAGAGCCTTGTCGACCTTGCCCGCCTCGGCCATGATGGTGTTCTTATACAGGACGGCCTCGGAGTGCTCCATGTCAGCAACTGGCGGGGGCGTCTTGAGAGTCTCCTCATAAGTCGTCAGCACCTTCTCCGCCTCCTCCAGGTCCCCAGCCAAGTGATGCGCAATGGCCAGAGCCGTCCAGTTCTGTCGGAAAGCAGGGCGGGCCTGCAGCATGGCGCTCCGACTTTGAATGTAGCCCTGGTAGTCCCGCATTTGCATCTGGAGCAAGGCGAGGTCTCTCTGGATGGGTTGAGAGTCGGGTTCGATTCTCAATGCGAACCGGTACGCCTTGATTGCCTCCTCGTAGTTCTTCTCGGCCCGATATAGCAGGCCATAGACGTGCCAGCAGATATGCGACTTCATGTCATTTTTGAGGGCTTCCTTGGCCAGCGCAAAAGCCTCCTCCTGCTGACCTTGGTTGCTGATGATCAGGGCCTTCATCGCGAGGGTGTCGCCATGGTTGGGGTTTTTGCGAAGGATCTGCTCAGCGGTTTTGATTCCTGTGGAGGGCGGGATAGATCATGGTTAGTTGTCATGCCAGACAGTCGCACAAAGATGTCCCATTCCAATGCGTTCACAAACCCACCCTTTTTGTGTTGCTTGTTCTCATAGTGGCGAACCACCTGGCGAAACAAGGACGCATCCTTGGAGCTCAATTGTTGCGGCATTGTGGCTGCTGAGGGAGGTTGGCGGAGGTGAGGGACTTGCCAAGTCAGTGTGTGAACTGAAGCTGGATGTGCGCGGGGACTCTTTCCTCCGGGAACGGCTGGACTTGTCGATCAGGCAGCGATAAGCTTAGGGCCGGCCCATTACGACATTCACTTTCTACCCTCACAACAACCAACTCGAGTCCGGCACGATCAGGTCAATTGGGAGAATTTCAGCTCGCCTTCAATCTATGCATTTATCATACAGGTTCATTCATATACATCCAATTACCAACTACAACAAATCCGCGGGGCAGGGACCACTGCCCACGGTGTTTTTTTTTTTACTGTCGCTTCTCGCGCCAGCTGTTGAGTGCTTCCTCCCAGCCTGCAGACGAGCTGCCGCATCTTTCCGACACGATACTCCATGTCCGAGATCGAATGATTTCCTCCACGCCGCGTTGTGTTCGAACTACGTTCGCTAGTGACTCGGTGCGCGCTTCCCGGGGGAAGAATCGAGCTGAATAAGGGTCCAACCTCTCGTCGACAACTCGTTCTCGGTCCCTCGCAGATTCGGTTTCTCGGAGAATGAGATCGGGGTCGTCCGGGTCAGGACTCGTGGCCACGCCTGCGCAGTAGTTGAGGACGTCGGAGCGGGTTTGCCACGAAGGAAACAACACGTTCTCTTTAAATCCCTGGCAGGCGGCGGGATTGATGGAATTCCCCGCTTCCGACTTTGTTTGACGCACTGCGGTCGAGGAGGGATCGAACCCCTCCTGTGAGGGCGTGAACAAGGCGTTCAAGTTTTGGGTTATCGAGTCATCTATCGTAGTCCTAGAGAGGCGAAGGAAGTCTGGATAGACGTAGATGGGAATGAGCACTGCTCTCGCCAACAGTAACAGCCGAAGACTCGTGACGCTGGGACCAACCTGTGAGGAGCTTCTCGTTGAAGCAGAATCGCGGGCTCAGCGCAGGCGCCGAAGTCGACGAGGCCCGTGACATTTTCCGGCTTCCGGGTTTCCCGACGGTTCGGTCTCCTTTGACCTGTTCAGACCAAAACCACTCCAGATTGAATGATTTGGTAGGATAATGAAACTAGGTAGATCAATGGGCAGCACCAGCAGAGTGCGATGGGAGCTGGAGATGAATACAAGTCAGGGTTGCGACCGCCCGCCGGAGTTGCTGGCCTGACGGGGATGGTATCATAAGCTGCCTGCCTGATCAGGCTAGCAGCCCATTGATCAGCCCCGGATCACGGGACTACGTGCCCCATAGGGACCGCGTTTCCTCGCATATCAACAGACCCTCCCCCATACTCTAATCCAGCATTAATCCAGCATTAATCCAGCATTAATCCAGCATTAATCCAGCATTAATCCAGCATTGGCAGTCGGGTCCTTTCTTCTTCCTTGGTAGAGCCCTCCAGCATCCATCGCCGCCATGCCTGAGCTAGCTGAAGTCTCGCGCATCGTCTACTTCATCCGCCAGCATCTGGTGGGCAAGACCCTCTCCAAGGTATCTACGCAGAACGATGATATCGTATACGGTAAAGCCGGCACCACGGCGGCCGAGTTCCAGAAAGCCATGGAGGGCAAGAAAGTAGTGGGTGCGGGCCAGCAGGGCAAGTACTTCTGGATTGCCATGTCCTCACCACCGCATCCCGTCATGCATTTCGGCATGGCAGGCTGGCTCAAGATCCGCAATGCCGACACGTATTACTACAGAACGGACAAACCAGAAGATAAGGACTGGCCGCCCAAGTACTGGAAATTCCTGCTCGAAACGGACGGCGACCCCAAGACGGAGGCTGCGTTTGTGGATTTCCGCAGGCTGAGCAGAGTAAGACTCGTGGATTGTCCGGCGGAGGAGATTCGCAGTTACAGTCCCCTCAAGGAGAATGGCCCAGACCCGGTAGCCGACAAAGAGGCGGTGTCTGAGAACTGGCTGGGAGAGAAACTGAAGAGTAAGAAGGTGCCGATCAAAGCTCTTCTTCTTGACCAAGCCAACATAAGTGGTATTGGCAACTGGATGGGGTTGGTTTTCCTGATCCTCGGCGCAGTAAAAACCAGACATGGCAGACTGACCACTCCTCAGCGACGAGATCCTATACCATGCAAGGATACATCCCGAGCAGTACAGCAACTCTCTGAACAATGATCAAATAAAGAAGCTGCATTCCTCCATTCATTATGTCTGCTCAACGTCAGTGGACTTGCTGGCCGATTCAGACAAATTCCCCGAGGACTGGCTTTTCAAGCATCGATGGGGCAAGGGAAAGAAGAACACGCCATCTGTTTTACCCAACGGTGAAAGGATCACATTCCTTACGGTGGGCGGCAGAACAAGCGCCGTTGTCCCCAGTGTGCAAAAGAAAACGGGGCCCGTGACCAAGGGTGCTAGTGGTGAAGATACCAGCGGCACGCAAAGCAATTCCAAGAGGAAGCGATCAGCAGCCCCCAAAGAAGAAAGCGATTCAGAGGCCAAAAGAGAAGAGCCCACGCCCAAGAAAACAGGGTCCAAGCCGCAAGCCAAGAAGCCTGTGAAAACCGAAGACAACGAGGAAGAGAAGGCTGCTGATTTAGGACGCCGACGCTCTACGCGCCTCCGGAAATAAGTCCAGCCCGTCGTTTGGAAATCTATCTTTGTATGCTATATTTGAACGAACATAATGCGGATTCCCCTAGCATATTTTCGGGTGTTTATAAGGTGCTAGTCATGCAAAAAGGATCGCTCGATAGCTATTGGTCACACCCTAAGTCCGTGCAATTTATTGTAAAAGACCTGGAAATTCGAGTCGGGGCCAGTCATGTTGTCCAGAACTGCGAATGCAATAGTGTCCCACCAGCCCTGAAACTCGTTTTCCTGCAGAACTTCCATCCAACAGTCCGCGACCTCGTTGTTCGGATTTCCGAAAACTCCGCAGCCGAGTGCACCTAATACAAGCTTCCGGTGTCTATTAAAAGCCGCCACGCGGAGAACAGAGCGCATCTTGGTTTTCATCAAGTCTCGATCGGCGGCGTATCGATATCTAGGCAGAACGGGGCCGTGGTTCAACTCCGGATCTCTGACTGCAGCCACACTGATCACGCTGACAACAGGGAGTTGCTCAGGCTTCTGTAAGTTCATCAGTCTGTGGCCTTTGCTGTAATTGTCGCGGAAAACGACGACGGTTGGCGAATACAAAACGTCGCACGTCCCCATAGGGTAGTGGCGTCTCTTGAGGGTAAAGCTGAGGCTGCTTCGATAGCAGAGTTCTTCCTCCTGGGCCATGGCTCCGTTCAGCCAGCCACCTCCCGCTGACACCTGGTTGGCCATGTTCAAGACGCATACATGCTTTGCGTGGTGGGAGTTGAAATTCGCTGGATTTGAAAGGCTTCTCGCTGTATCAAACGTGTCTCCATTGATGACACTGACTTTCGCAACCAGGTTTGGGTGGTATTTAGGATCCAGCGGTGCCATTTTAGCATAGGGGCAGTAGTGTCCATTTGGAGGAGCTTGAGGTTTCAATGCCAGCACACCAGGGAGCAGAGCTTTGGTTTCTTCCGCAACTTTCCTAAGGTCAGGCTTGCTTCCCGAAGGCTGAATTTTGAATGCCTGCGCCATGTTTTAGCGACGATAAATTGGGTCTAGGACCGAATGTTCGACTCTAATGTGTTCTTGTGGAATAATGAACGAAATCAATAATACGTTTTCGGGTATTCAAGTCCGAAGTTAAACAATGGAATAATTAGTAGAGCCGAGAAGAAGAAACGGAACTGAAGGCAAACTGTCATCAATTTGATTAAAAAGGTCGCAACTAAACATGCCAGCCTCGTATTCCAGGCAGCCACCAAATACTATCCAGGCCCCCAACCCGTGCCTAGGTAGTACACGAGAACAGCTCGGCATGGTCTGATATTTGAGTAAGTTCCTCGTCGTGTTTCTCTCTTGCCACACAACCTATATTCGGGTGTTTAGACGCTCCAATGGAGTCCAAAGAAGAGCCCTGCCTGGTACTCTGTAGTTGATTGAGATTGAAAGGAGGGAACGATGAACAGCCAAAGCGGAAAACCCAAAATCGGCAGAATCAGGCGGAGTGTCTTAGGCGGTGAGCTTATCGGCGCCGATCGCGGGGGGCTTCTCTAACCTTCTCTAATCCGCAGCACGGGATTCGTCGCCACTGCCGCTGACAAAGCATCCATTGATTTCATTTGATTCCGTCTTCCTTCTATCAATGTCTTTTTGCCATCTTTTCGCTGCGACACTTTGAATCCCATCCAACCTTGTCATCTTTTCTTTTCCTTGAATACAAACTCAGCTAATACCTAAGGATTCCGTCTATCTCTTTTAGTCGACTCCCGAACAGTTCTTATCGCCCTCCCATAGCAACGAACCCTTCGGCGGGGACTCCGCAGCATCTGCAACCATGAGTGCAATCCTATCGGCAGATGACTTAAATGATTTCATTTCTCCCGGTGTCGCATGCATCAAACCGGTCGAAACCCTGCCAGAGAAAGAGCCTTCAACTGCAGAGGTGCGTTAGAACGATGCTTCCCGTAGCCCCTCCCCCCACTTTCATTCATCCGATATTGATTTATAATGATGCAGAACCCCTATGAAGTAACCAAGGAAGACAAAGTGCAACCTGAAAATCTCCCGCCGGCGCAGATTTCCTTGACGGACTGCCTTGCATGCTCAGGATGCGTTACCTCTGCCGAGGCAGTATTGATCTCAATGCAATCGCATGCGGAAGTTCTCAACACACTTGATGCACACCCAGAAGTATCATTTGGTCGAAACCAGAATGGGGCATCTCAAGGGGGCGGTCAAACAGATGAAGACGAGGGCCGGATATTTGTTGCCAGTGTCAGTCCTCAGGTACGGGCAAGCTTGGCCGCGACATACAATATCACGGAGCAAGAGGCAACACACATGATCGATCAGTTCCTTCGTGGACCGCAAGGACTGAGGTCTGGTGGCAAACACGGCAGTGGCTTCACATGGGTCGTCGATAGCAATACCCTGCGTGAGGCAGTCCTAGTCCTCACGGCAGATGAGGTTGGCGAGTCTCTTTCGTCGAGCGACTCGTCAGGCGTGCCTGCCCCCAAAAAGCCAGTTCTGTCCTCAGCCTGTCCCGGTTGGATTTGCTACGCCGAAAAAACCCATCCATTCATCCTTCCTCATTTGTCTCGGTTGAAATCCCCGCAGGCATTATCTGGCACTTTCTTGAAGACAGTCTTGAGCAAGGCTCTTAACGTCCCAGCTTCACGTATATGGCACTTGGCCGTCATGCCATGCTTTGACAAAAAGCTTGAAGCCAGTCGAGAAGAACTCACTGATGCTTCGTGGCATACCACTGAGAGTCAGCCATCTGCCGAAACCCGTGCTCCTGTTCGCGACGTTGATTGTGTGATCACTTCCCGCGAACTTCTCACTCTGGCTTCCTCGCGCGGCATATCCCTTCCTTCCTTACCATTGCAGCCCTTGCCTTCTGCCTTTTCACCGCGATTTCCGGATGAAACCCTTGATGCATTCCTGTTTTCTAAACAATCTTTGTCGAAACAAGCAATGACTACCGGTACATCTGGAGGGTATTTGCATCATGTCCTACTGACCTTCCAAGCCAAGAACCCGGGAAGTGAGATTGTAACTCAACGCGGACGCAATGCGGATGTTGTGGAATATATACTCATGTCACCCGGCGGTGAGCCTTTGATGAAAGCCGCTCGCTATTATGGCTTTAGGAATATCCAAAATCTTGTCCGGAAATTGAAGCCTGCCCGCGTGTCAAGGCTTCCTGGCGCAAGAGCACCCACCACCTCTGCAGCCGGAAATCGGCGACAGCCGATGTCTCGGAATGGAGCCTCGTCTGCATCAGGCGGCGACTATGCCTATGTAGAGGTCATGGCGTGTCCTGGAGGCTGTACCAACGGAGGTGGCCAAATACGCATCGAGGATGCGCGAGAGGTCAACTCGACTGCCCAAACCGTGGTCTCAGAGGAGGCACCTAGCGTCTCGACAAAGCCAACGCCCCATGAGCAGCGTTCGTGGCTGGCTCGCGTGGACGAAGCATACTATTCTGCAGACTCGGATGCAGAGAGCGAGGCTGAAACCCAGGCACCAATTACTATCTCGGAAAACGAGACTCGGGTTCACCGGGCTTTGCGCTACTGGTCGGATCTGACGGAGATACCACTTGCTAAGCTGGTCTATACCACCTATCGCGAGGTGGAAAGTGACGTGGGCAAACCCGAGCAAGCGTCAAATGATACCACGCGGGTGGTGGAATTAGCTGGAAAGATCGGCGGTGGTTGGTAGTGTGACAACCAGTATATGTTGTGCACTCAGTATTGTGATGACAGTTTATACCCCATGGTGCACTTTGATGTTTTACGATTTTTGCATTTGCATCTTGCTGCATTTTTACAGATAGAGATACGCGATACCTGAAGTTAGATACGAGGGTGGCGTATTTGATTTATAGATATGAGGAATCAACAATGTCAGTCAGATGAATACCGATCGGTAAAATAATCACAGGGTCTAAAGAGTAGCCCATAAAATCTTTTGATCTCATTCAAGGTCCAGGGATGAATTACCTACCTAGGTAGAATAAGAACAAGCCCTGGAGGCCAATGTGATGAAAAAGCAACATGATTGGCCACTTCTCCAATACCCTCCCCAAAATGGCTAGCTCAACTCACGGCAGCCTGAGGAAGTCAGGCCGCCAGCTGACTCAGCGCCGCTAGATTTGCGCGAAAAGTTCCAGAACTGACCGTTCAATGCGACCTGCTTCCTTTCACCAACCCTCCACAAAGACGTCCTTCCTGACCTGACAGCGGTCGTATCCGATTCCCGGCTTATCCACCGCTTACGTCCAGCTACATTTCGTGCCCTCGCGAATACGAACCGACCCCTCACCAACAGCGACGAGACAAAACCTTCGCCAAAAAACCCGTCATCATGTCCCGTGAAGCCTACCAGGTCCCGGCTCAGCTGAACCAGAATGCCTTCAGCACCGATATGGGCGCCAGCTCCGGCGACGGCCCCACGGTCTACTACCGCTGCGGCGAATGCACCGATCGCGTGTCGCTGAAGCGGGGCGATCAGATCCGTTGCAAGTCCTGCGGTTACCGTGTGCTCTACAAGGAGAGAACGAAGCGGTAAGTTTTGCTTTTGGCATCTTGATTTGTCGTGTTTGCTTCTTGCGAACCGTGGGACTAGCGGTTTGGGCGAAGTGCTGACTAGGGTTATCGTATAGTATGGTCCAGTTTGAAGCCCGATGAGCTCGGATTTGATTTAGTCGCTCGAAAGGGAGAGAGGTGTGGATGTCTCAATACGTGGATGGAGAGAGGGATGGCTTTGAACTGCCTTTTACGATCGTGATATGCATTCTGCGGCGCTTGTGGAGTTTCTCATGATTTTGACTTGTTAATAATACTCCGATGCAGAGATTGTACTGCCGGAGTGAAATGTGAAAGTGAACTCTGTTTTGCAGGCATGGTTCATATCCTGGTAGTCTACACTTTGGTTGGGAACTTTTGAAAAAAAAAAAATTAACCATTGATCATTTTGCTCTACCTTGCTATGCCTTATCCAAACCAAACCCGAAAGATATTCTCATTAGATGGACGAAGGGGAAAAAAAATAAGAAGGGGAAAAAAAGAAGGAGAAGGAGAAAATAGAAGAAGTCGGACGGGGTCATGTGTTGAAATGGCAAATGAGAGAAGAAAGGACAACTTCACCTAAGTTAAGCAGGTTTACTGAAGCTTGTTGGAAATTTGGATGAACTTCTCAAAGGATTCAAGAGCTGCACCGCTCTCCACTGCCCAGCGTGCTCGCCGAACACCTTCCTTCCAGCGCCCTCCGCCAGGTCCGCGTTCGGTGATTACCTGGCCGTTGTCACCGGTGCCTATGTTGCTAGTCTCAGCCTCGCAGATGCCCGAGACCACCAAGAGGGACGCCACATTCATGAGTACGAAAGTCAGGATGGGGTCATCCGGGGGCAATTCATTCCGCAAGATGCTCATGAGCTTGGCAGCGTTGTCCTTGGGCATCTTTCTCCCGTAAACTGCGGTCAGAGGGTGAGTGGGAAGACCGAAGTCAGAGGGGTGCAGCTGGAAGGTTTCCAGTTTCACCAATGTGCGAGGGTTCTCTTCCTCCTCGTCACTCGAGGCGTTTCCGTCAGCCGGGCCCTTGTAAGCCGGGTTGGGGTACTCCGAAAGTTTCCAGCAGTTTGTCTTGCCCGCACAACTGATCTCATCCATATCCTCCTCGCCGCAGACAACCATGGTCTTGCGGCATCCAGTCTGCCGCAAAGCTTCTGCGAAGACAGGGCCGAGGCTCTGGTAAGCCACGCCGACCACCCGGGCCTCCAGGGCCCAATCAACGGGGTTGGCCAGGGGGCCCATGAGATTGAAGATTGTCCGAAGGCCGAGTCCACGGCGAACGGGATTGGCATACATCATGCCAGGGTGGAAGTTGGGCGCAAACAGGAACGAGTAATTGGTTTCCGCGTACACCTGATGGATATTCTGGGCGGAGACCGCGGAGATGTTCGGAGGAACTGGCGAGACCGCATTGAGGACATCGGCGGAACCCGAGAACGAAGTTTGCGCCCGGTTGCCGTGTTTGGCCATCATCAGGAACGGGGAGGCAATGATGGAGGCCGTCGTCGAGATGTTGAACGTGGAGTGAGAGTCTCCGCCGGTGCCGACAATGTCGCACTAGAGGCAATTGGAACCGACGTTAGCCTGGATCAAGATGTGCAACTTGAGTAACCATCGAGACTCACCAGACCACCCTTGTAGTTTCCTTCCTTCTTACCACGGGCCTTGATGACCTGCTTCAAGCTCGGCTTGTCCACCTGGAGGGCGGCCTCTCTCATGCGGTGCGAGCATTTGGCGATGACCTCCGCATCTCGGTCCTTTCCGGTGGAGTGCAAGAGAGTCAGGAGAGCAGCGGTTTGGATCGCAGATAGACGATCCTCGAAGATCAATGCGAAGGCGGACGCGATATCGGCCGTATCAACCGGCAGCTCCTGGGTGGGGTATGCAAGCTTTTGGAGCAGGGGAGAGATGGAGACGTGCTCCGGCTTCTGGTCGTAAGCGTGGGCGGACATGTTGGGCCAACCGGGGGGATCAAGGATGACCTCCGAACTTGCAGGCACGACGGGAACGAGCTGAATATAAGGATTGAGTCACCGCGCCGCTGCGATGCCCCTCGTTGAGGAATGCGCCGGCGTAGTCAGCACGCAGGCCGCGGCAGAACCTCACCGCCCGTTGGCGACCATTCCCCTTTGGGCGGGCGAGATTTCGTGATATTTTCCGCTGGTCGTCCGTCTCGTCCCTTCGACTGCTGGTTGTGACAGTCCATTTGCCTGCCTCCTCCCGCCCTCGTCATCCCTCGTCATCCCATCACAATGCCTCCCCGGGTGCGTCTCTCGACTGGCCGTCTTCCCCAGCCGCTCCGACAGACCAGATTCCGTCAATATGAATTGCCGTCGGTGACCAGATGCGCCAGCACGGCGACGACGCCGGCGCCCTCAGTTGAGCAGATGACGAAGTCGCCGGCTCCAATCGCCAGATATCCTCCCTCCCAAGCTCCGTCGCACCGCAATCCCGAATACCGCCGGTCGCAACTCCTGCGTCAATACACCTCTCTCATCCGCACGACGCCTCTCATGGTCTTTCTGCAACACGACAACCTGCAATCGGTGGAATGGACCGCCATCCGACGAGAATTGACCAGCGCCTTGCGTAAGGTGGACGAGCAGATTGTCGCCGAGGGCCGGAACACCCCGTCATTGGCCCCCCATATCAAGGTGCAAATCGTGCAGACCAGCATTTTCGAGGCGGCCCTGCGGATTGTCGAATACTTCCGGCCCAGCCAGGCCGCCCTGGCCAGCGAGCAACCCCCTAGCGCCGTCAATCCGGTGACGCAGACCTCGGCTGAACTGCCTCCCACCGGCTCCAAGGACGACCCGTCGTTGACACATGATCTCTCCCGTGCAGCCCACGACGCCGTCCTGCATATGAAGGGCAAGCACGAACTGTCCACACTGTTGGCGGGCCCCATCGCCGTGCTCTCGATCCCCGACGTGTCGCCGGAGCATCTGAAGGCTGCACTGACCGTCCTTGCGCCCAAGGCCTGCGGTTTCCCTTCCCCCACCCGGAAGGCCAACCCGGGATGGCATGAGCTGCCGGTTCAGAACGGTCTGAACAAACTGGCCCTCCTTGCTGCCCGGGTCGACGGCAAGGTGTTTGATGTCGACCAGACCAAGTGGGTCGGTGGCATCCAGGGCGGTATGGATGGCCTGCGGTCTCAGCTCGTCCAGTCCCTGCAGAGCATGGGATCCGGCCTTACGAATGCCCTGGAGGGGGCTGGCAAGAGTCTCTACTTCACTCTTGAAAGCAGGAAGAACGTTCTGGAGGAGGAGCAGAAGGGACCCGAGGAGCAGAAGAGTGATTCTTGAACGAGGCAGCGTGAGCCATCTGATTTCTATGTATAATACTACTACACTTATGTACTTTTCCTCTTTCTTGGACACTTGTGGTTTTTCTTTTAGCATTTATATTTGAATTCGAGAAGAGCCAAAATCATAGAATGCACGAATTCTTGTTACCTTTGGAATGAATATTTGGGACTATGAAATTCAACAAGTTTAAATTCTGAGAACCAGCTGCGAAGATTTGACGGGGATAGAAAGATGAAAGCAACATAATCATAGCATTGGATTCTACACCGTCATAATATATCCACCGATCTTGGTTCTGCCATTTATTTCTTGGACTCTTCATGCTTCTCATGTTTATCCTCATGCTTCTGTTTCTCCTGCTTATGGTTGTCATGATTTTCATGCTTTTCGTGTTTCTCCTCATGCTTCTGTTTCTCTTCATGCTTTTCATGTTTCTCCTGCTTTTCATGTTTTTCATGATTCTCATGCTTTTCGTGTTTCTCGTGGTTTTCATTCTTTCCATCCTTTCCGTGATTCTTGTTCTGGTCTTCCTCCTTCTTCTTCTGGTCCTCGTTCTTCTTCTGTTCCTCCTCGTTCTTCTTCTTCTGTTCTTCCTCGTTCTTCTTTTTTCTCTCGTTCTTCTCATGGGTCTCCTGTCTCAGCTTCAACCGTGCATTCATGCCGACAATGCAGCGCACAAGATCCCAATCCCCGTCCAATCCGACCCAGTCAGTGACAAGGATGCCAGTGGACCAATCGCCGTCTTTCTCGCCATGCTTCCGGCAGAGATGGTCAACCGTAGCCGGGTTCAGCTTAGCAGCAATCTTCTCTGGCCAAGTCCCGAGCTTCCAAAAGTTGCTTGCACTCAGGAAGTTGATGTAGAATGGATGAGCGCTGGTGGCCTTGGGCCCCGGAAGCACCCCGAACGGGTAGCAGGTCTTGCCGGCTCGTTCGCAATGTTCAGCCACGTATTTCACCTTTTGCCCGATGTTCTGTGTTTCCTGGACCTCGTAGAAATCCTGGATGCAAACCTGTCCGCTTGCGCAGGTCGCATTGGCGCAGTTGTCGGCCCAGGCACTTGCGTCGATACCCCAGCCACGTCCACCATGTGCCTCCTTCAGATTCTGTGCAATATTAAATCGGCGCAGAAGGACGACCTTTCCTCGCACCTCACCCAGCGTGGGGATCTTGGGTTCTGTGTACCAGTTGCTTTCGGAACGAGCGTAATGATCGTGCAAAATACGACCTAGCTGTTCGTCTGTATGCTCTCCGGGGCCTTCCCGTTTGAGGGAAATGATGAGGGTCTCGGATGGGTTGTGCTTAAGGAAGTCGTCCACTTCGCGCATGAGGTCTCGGAAGTATTTATTTCCCGTCAAGGAGATTGGAAATACGCTGTGCACTAGGACCAGGTCATCTTTAGCGGGATCGTTGGGATACTGTGGCTGCACGCGGATATCGAAAAACCGCACTCCGTTCTGCAGTTGCTCTTTTGGACTGACTGCCTGGCAGCGAACCGACGGCGGTGCAACGTGACAGGTGGGAGAGTTGTGTGTGCCGGGGATGGAAAGAGAGGAAACCAAGGTGCTATCCTTCAGCTCCCCCATCCAAGCATGCAGGTTGGCCGACGAGTAGAGTGCGAGGTGGGACTCAGGCGTGACATATACGCCGGTGAGTTTATGCTTGGGCTTCTCGCACAGCGCCTTCATCGTGGCAGACTCCGTGGTTGGCACAGGTGTCTGGATCTGGTGCTTCTCCCCCTCTACTTCAAAAACCCAGCGCAGACGCTCTTTGTCCGAGTCAACGAAGGTGCGCAGCTCGGTCTTGATTGCCTTGAACGGTTCCAGGCGAATATCAACATCCTTATGCTCAAACGGTTCTGTATCATGGCCGAGGGAGGCGACGGGCCCGGATGCGCGGGTAACGTTGGTGGTGACATTGGCCACGAGCCGGGTGAAGTTCTTCGCTAGCGACTGGAGGTCATCGCGGGGCTTTTCATGAGGACGAAACCGCTCAATGCGCTTCAAGGTAATAGGGGTCGAGGTCAGATTGCGAATAGTCAAATGTTCGGCCACCATTGTGTCGCATGTATTGGATGGAATGCCTAGGTAATGACTAGAATCGAGAAAGCGATCTCTTCCGAGGGAGTGGGGGAGGCGGTTCTGGGAGAGATGTGAGCAGTCAATTGAAGTTTCCAACAGAATCAGAAACCAAGCCCAGCGCCATAGGGGCAGAGAGGCTAGAAGGGGGATCCTCGTATCAGGCTACCAGGCAAACCGGCGCGCGTTATTGGTCTGGACGGGCCAGGATGAATGGTTGCACTGGGGTCGGACAAGACCACTAAGCCGGCCTCGATGGATGGCGCACCAATAACGGTGCGTCCTGAGATCTCCCGCGAAGCCGACAGACGGGGCCTAGAAAAGTTCCCTCGCCGTGTGTCCCTACAGGGCGGATGGTGAAGGGGTCGTTCCTCAAGTTAGCCATGGTCATTGGCTATCCTCCTGCCTTCCTGGTGAATCATTCATTGTTCCCAGGCAAACACGCTCCATGTACTTGGACTGGGCAAGAGCGATCGACTGGTTGCTCTCGCAAATTGGCTCGAATCCGGCCCGGGATCCACAGTCAGTGGAGGAAGACGATTGATTTTCTGACGGTGGAGCTCTAGGGCTCTCATCAGCAAACACCCTTTAAATAGCAACCGTCTTCGAAACGGAACGTGCGCAGTACGGAGTATGTGCTGTCGGTGTTCTTTTCTTTCTTTATCGGTAATCCACGTCTTGATTCTCATTCTAAAGATCAAGGGCCAACGTAGCATTGCCGACCGGGCGGAGAGTTTGGGTTAGTGAACGTCAGGTGGATTTGGAATTCCGACGGACTATATGAAGCCGAGGCTGGCATTGAAGGCCTCGCGACGACTCCCGGGGGAGATGGACAGCGTCAACACGAAAATCGACGGAAGGAAAATGGAAAATGCGGAGGCGGGTCACGTGGGATCATGTGGGATGACGCTCCGGGGTTCGGTTATCGTCGGCGCGGAGAAGCAGCGATGCGGAGGAGAAGACGGGCATATCTACACCCTCCTCGCTGTCCCTCGCGATGCCGTGCGATCTTCTCCTCGCTCCGGACGTTCCTTTGGCTTCTGCTTACCCCTGAATTGACCTGTGCCCAACAATGAGCTTTTTACGCCTCGGTACAGGCCTTTCTTGCGCTCTCCGGTCTACTCGACCTCGCAGAGTCCTGCCAATTGCCCATTCTCCGTCCTTTTCGCTCCCCTGCCGCAGTTTTCACGCTGCGCCATCACTGTGGGGAATCAAGTCCCAGGTCCTCAAGGATGTTGGTGAAGGTATGCAAATCGCTCTCGGTGTCTTTTTAGGTCGCCTTTGAGGCTGTTCCCCCTTGCCTTATCTTTCGGCCATTCGCTGACCCTTCAATGTTCTTAGGGATTACGGAGGTTCAGATCATCCAGTGGTATGTCGAGGAGGGTGCATATATAGAGGAATGGAAACCACTTTGTCAATATCAATCGGATAAAGCAGTCGACGACGTGAGTCCCTTGACGTCCATGAAGTACACAGACCAGGCAGTTGACGGGAGGTAGATTACATCAAGATACGAGGGTGTGGTCAAAAAGCTTCACTTTCAGGCGGATGACACAGTCCCAACGGGCAAGGTAAGAGAAAACTGGATCATGCATGGGACCGCAGAAAGTGATTTTGCTAACCAGTGGCATTTGAACCCATCGACAGGCGCTTTGCGATATTGAGGTAGAAGATGGGAAATACTTTGAGGACAGTCCGCCGCCTGCGCCGGAACCAGTTCAGCCAAGCCCAGCCCCTGTAGCCACTCCACAAAAGCAGCCCGTGGAGGAGATCGCACCTACTCCTACGACAAGTGAGATGCAAAATGGGGCACCGAAGTCGCGATATGCAACCCTTGCAACCCCGGCAGTGCGTGGTCTACTCAAGGCTCATAATCTTGACATACAAGATATTCCGGGGACCGGCAAAGCTGGGCGAGTTCTTAAGGAGGATGTCCATCGGTTTATAGCCTCGCGGGACTCGGCGGCTACATCAGCAGTCACGACAAGCGCGTCGCAAACAGAGACCGCTGTCAACATGACTCCTTTCCAGTCTCAAATGTTTAAGACCATGACCAAGTCGCTCAGCGTACCTCACTTCCTGTATGCGGATGAACTGAACATCAACCAGATCACTGCCATGAGGAAGAAGCTGGCCAACGACCCTAAAGACCCCCAGAAAATCACATTCCTCTCATTTGTCGTCAAGGCGGTCTCTCTTGCACTGAATGAGTATCCTCTCCTCAATGCGAAAGTGGACACGAGCAATCCTGACAAGCCGCAACTCATCATGCGACCCAGACACAATATCGGCGTCGCTATGGACACACCTAATGGCTTGATCGTCCCCAACGTCAAGGACGTTGCCGGTCGTTCGGTCCTCGACATTGCATCTGAAATCTCGCGGCTGAGTGCCCTGGGTCGGGAAGGTAAACTCACGCCTGCAGACCTTAGTGGCGGTACCATCACCGTTTCAAACATTGGGAATATCGGAGGTACTTACTTGTCCCCTGTGATCATCCCCAACGAGGTGGCTATTCTAGGCATTGGAAAATCGAAGACCGTGCCCATCTTTGATGAGGTAGGCCAGGTGACCAAAGGCGAACTGGTGAACTTCAGCTGGAGCGCAGATCATCGCGTGGTGGACGGGGCGACCATGGCAAGGATGGCCAACAAAATCCGGGGATTCATCGAAACGCCAGAGCTGATGCTTCTAAACCTCCGATAGCGTATACATAAATCCTGGCTTACTTACATTTTTCTGCGTCGAGGGTCATGCGAAAAGGAATTCCTCTATAGAGAATACTGTTGACCAATACGGCCACTATGAATAAAAGAAAACCTACCATATTACCAAGTACATGTATAGCTGAGTGCCTGCCTTTCTTGTTTATTGCGAATGGTATCATAAATTCGTTTGGCCTAACTACTAACTACGGCGTCATTTACAATGCAGACAGCTAGCATAGATTGAAAGCCACGCCTGTCATAGTAAAGCCAGTTCCTGCACTATAAAAGAACCTTTTGCCTTACTGTTTGATTACTATCTGTAGCCTAATATAGTTGACTAGCCATGTGCTATAGTTCCTCGATATCACCGCTTCCTGCGCTCACCGACAGTGTGACGTGGAAGCCGAGCCGGCACTGTCGCAGGCCCCGTGATTCTACCAGATGAAAGTATATCTGCTTCTCAGACTGGTTGGCACATTGATATAGTCACTTGAAGATAGCTTGTTTACTCCAGATTTTGGCTCGTCAGACAGCAACATATTGCAGCTTTTGTGACCGAATTTTATGAATTTATCTTGGTGGTTTTGGCCGGTTATTTCACCCCCTTTCTCCGGCGAAGCAGTGGCCCGAGTATATTTCTTGAATCAGTCCCCTTCTATTAGCAAGAATGGCAATCCAAACAACTGTCCCGGCCCCAAATGCCACCGTCTTGCCGGAGACGGAAACCTCAAAGACGGTGGTGTTTGAGCCTTACCATGTGGACTTGCTCCCTGAGTACTGCTACACTAGCGAGGAGTTCCTGATCTCCGGAATCGCTCACGGGGAGTCATACTGCACTCGCATTCTTCTCCGTCGTCCTGTGGATTCTGGCAAGTTTTCCGGGTTGGTTGTTGAAGAGCCATCGCATCTATGGGGCGGAACCAGTATCTGGCGCCATATCAACCGCTGGCTCATGTGCAATGGTTAGTCTTGACGTGCAAGATTAGATTACCACAGACCGTCTGACAAGGAGTTCCTACAGGTCATGCCTGGCTGGAAGTTGACTCTCAGGCCCCCTCGGCAGTTGGCAAGATCAAGAATGTTGACCCGGAACGATATTCACGAATGCATTTCATCCCGGGTCCCCTCGCAGATGAATTTGCCGAGACAATCCCCTTTGTAACAGAAGCATCCAAAGAGGCCTTGTCTGATGATTACGACAACTTCAAAGCCACATGGTGGCCTGCCACCTTGCAGTCCCCGGAGATCCTGGCAGCCGCTTCATACGCTTTGAGATCAGGACAGCTGGGCATTCACGCGCGCTGGGTTGTCCTTAGCGGCCTGTCCCAAACGGGTGGAGTGACGAGACGCTTCATCACTCACTCCTCGCACTTGCGGCTGCCCGATGGTTCTCTTCCTTTCGAAGGATACCTTCCGTGTCAATCCGGCGGCGAGGCGCTTCCTGATGGTGCATTCGCTAAGATCATCGAGCTGCTGGGGGAATCGGAGTTTCCGTCTGTCCGACATCCCTGTGGTGTCAGTGGGCAGATGAAGGGGACAGCCCATCGCCGTCCCGATAGTGATTATTTTCGGGTGTACGAGGTTGCTGGAATGGCCCATCGCGAGTCCCGATACGCTTCAGAGATTGACCTCAAGCGCTGGTCTGTCGCCGATCTCCGAGGGGCTAAGTGGAGTACATTTTCGAACTCCTTCATCTACCATGCTGTCTTCGAGTTGATGTTCAAGTGGATTTCCGAAGATAGAGTGCCACCGGCGAGTGCTCTGATCGAAACAATTGGGAGCACAGATGAGATTGTACGGGATGAGCATGGAAATGCTAAGAACGGCGTGAGAACCATTCACACTGATGTGCCTCTGGCACGCTTTGTTGCTGCTACCCCCAAGGGCAGGCCGAATTGGTACTGGGGTGTGTGAAAACGGAATCCAGATCCATGTTAAGTTCAAATTGCTAATGTGTGTTCGACTCACAGGGTCTGAGTGGCCGTTCTCGGAGGATGAGCTTCGCGTGCTCTATGGATCTTCTGCTAGCCACCGACTTCAAGCCGGTATTGCTCTTGCTAAGCAGATCAGGTCGGGATTCCTGCTCTCAGCAGATGCGGAAATTCTTCGCCGGGAGACTGTGGAAAAAGTGCACTTTTGTTAGTCGCCAGTGAGGAGCACATTATTATATAGCAGACACCACAAAGAATAATACCGCTCAATCATTGCTTTCTGAATATATGGAAAGTCATCACAGTCCTAAGAACTCTATTCGTATCTGAGACATAGGTCTTTTGTCTGGGTTGGAAATGGACCGTCGAATGTACATGACACCATTGGAGAGGATAGCTTCAATAACCTTGGGCCAGTGCTATAGTAGACGTGGTTAGCCTTTCACATAGCGTACCTAACCGTTTCCCATTGTTCAAAGTCTGTAGCGGCGCATTGTCTGGAAGCTTACCTGGCTAGCAAACGTAGACGGCATGGTATTCTGCGGCAAGGGTCGATATGGTTCGATGAATCTATACAGGCCCCTGAATTCGACGTTTCTGTTGGCCCCTGCAGAAGACGAGAAACGGACACACAAGTCTTGCTTTGCTACCAGGGCTTAATGCTGCCAATGGCAAGTAAAATTATAGTTAGAGGCCATTAATTGTTCGTTGTAACTAGGTCCTAACTAACTTTGTCCCAGATCCTCACCTTTCCTCAACATGATAAAGAGACCGATGCACGATGTTATCTTCCTGTAGAACTAACCACCTACTTATTTCGCTCATTCGAATGCGACTAGTGAATACTGCGCGAGTTGACTGAATAGTACCCAGTACTGCGTGATGTGGCTCCCACGATTTAATCGTTCGCTTCTCCGCCCTCGCCTTCTTGCTCATCCTCATCGCTTTCGTTGCTTTTCGGCGGATCAGCAGTAGTGTCGGGGTCAGCGTTATCCTTGTCACCCCCAATACGCTGGCGAGACTCGGTGATCGGATCCCATTCCATGCCGAATCCCTCGTCGCCGCTAAAGATCTTCAGCCAGTTCTCCAGCTTGGTTCGATCGTTTGGATCTCGGATGTCGAGCGGGCTATCTCGAGGGGTCATCTCAACAAGACGATGCCTCCCATCCGGGTTGGTGCAGGCTTCTGCAACCCGAGCGCTGTACGAGCCCGGGTTTAATGGACCGGTCGGTGTTTCTTTGCGGCAATAGACGTAATAAAAGAGCCTCGCATGGGTGCCGAAGGCCACTAGAACCGGACGGCCCTTGATGTAACCGTCCCGGCGGCGAGTGCGCTCGGTGAGACCAAGCTGGGCGATGGCGTAGTTGATTGTTCGTTCCCATTCCACGGGACATTCGTCATTGGGGTGACGCAGGAAGGCTTGAAAGCCGTTGCAGAACAAGTTGTCCATTCTCAGCTGGCGATAACGAGGAGGAAGGAGACACTGCCATTGCGCATTGTTGAGCATCACGAACCGGGAGGCCGAGTTTTCGCCGCCTCGAATCAGTGCAGTGATGTATTGGCCCCAGGCTTTTTCGACAGATCCGGGATACAAGTACGTGGGCATCTCGGAGAGCTTGTTGACAGTATCGGTATGTCCGCTGCTGTAACTGCTGTAAAAGTGACTTTCGCTGTAGAAAGTGTGAGAAAGATCGGAAGGCCATGCATATTTTACGGACGACAGAGGACTTACTACACTGGTATCTCCACTTCTTCCGTATATTCCGGATCCCATGCCGAAAGCTTTGTGAAGAAGAGACTGATGGTTTGTAAGATAGCCGTCCGAGGACTACTGGCATCTGCGATACCGATGATCGGGTTCAATTCGAAAGACGACTTATTTCGGCTGGTGAAAAGCCAGTGGGACCTGGAGCTACAGCTCGCCGTCGAAGTGATTCTTTCTCCTGTGCGTAAGTCCTCCACAATGAAGCTTTCGGGTGTCTGTCTTCCATCCGCTCCAACCACTGCGTAATAGTCGTTCAATCGGATGTTGCGGTTGCCGACTTGCTGGCCACACGCCGACACTTTCCGCAGGATTTGGTAGGTCCGGACATCTGAGAACTCCATGATAATGGTCATTATCTCGTTGGGCAGGATGCGAGACCTTGCACCGGCTAGCTGCTCTTTTGAGGCTGCATCAAAGAAACGCAACATCATATTGAAGGTAAAAAGTTCATCTTCATACGACTCCTTGACGACCGTGGGAGCGGTTTTGTCTTCTTCGCTCTCAGTTTCCAGGTCCTCCTCAGTCTCTGCCGAGTCGGTTGAATCTTCGTCTTCATCTTTTGAGGTGGTAGGGACATCGGAGTCAGAAACCATGGTAGCCTCCTGGGACGTACGAAATCCTCTCGAGCGAGGACCGTTGACAAATTCGGAATTTTTGTCATTGAAATAAATCAAGGCCATCAAAGGCGACCTTCGAACATGCGTACTGCCGTTCTCGTGAGTCTGTACTCGGATAAGAACAACATCCAGGATAGAAAAGACCATGGCATAAAAGTCCTTGACTCCCGCATTGAGGCCAAAGTCGACAACCTCAGCAATTGCCGCTTCTTCGACGTCAACCAAATCAGTCCTGGTAACCAGGTGAATGAGGACATTGTTCATCCAGTACGTTGTGTCCTTTGGAGCCGATCCAGGCTCGACTCCAGGGGCGTGGTTGTCATGTAAGAATAGAGGAAGGAGACGTTGTTGGCCGGGCTGCCGTTTGGTTTCTGGAATGACAAAATAACCCTCTTGACTGTATGTTCTGTTGAGAGACGAGGGCTCCTCGAAACCCAGTTCACCGGCTGCGATAGATAAGAATGCAAATGCAAGCTCCCTGAAAATGAAATCACTCGGGTTCCATTCTGGAAGGGACTGATCTAGGAGTGAGAAGTACCGGCCCTGCGTATAGGAGAAGATCATGCCAAAGAGGGCCTCCCGATGGGTGGCGGCTTCTTTCGAGTCAGGGACCAGAGACCGCGGCGACGCAACTTCAGGGTCAAGGTCTCTGTACCTGTTCTGCGAGGGTCGGTTGATCTGTGGCATGTAGGCAACATCGCCGATTATTTCTTCGGGGGTGTACTTCTTGAAAGCCCTACGACGATGGCCATCTTCGCCAATGTATTTCATCCAGCGACCAAAGCGCGGTATCTTCGTGAGTTTGAAATGTAGCGCCTTATCAACCGTGAAAAGCTCACGGTCGAGGTCAAGTGTGTAAGTCCATTCAATGTCGAAGTTTTGTAACTCGGGCACGATTCGCAACGGGGAGCTCTCAAGCCGATCGTCGACGGACAGAAAGCTCATATTGTATCGCTCAGCGAGCGATTCGTCGCCCTTAACCGAGACCGGGAGACATCGGTCTTCATACTGTGCGACGAGCTCTGAGTACCTTGCTCTCATCGACCGAAGCCATTCTGGACGTGATCAATATTAGACTAGCGAATCTCGAATGCATAGGGCCCCTCATACCAAGATATTCCTCAGGGTCTTCCGGAATTTCCTGAATAATGGCATCCCCAAGGCCCTCAGGGTAGCTGTCGAAATGATTGTAGTAAACAAAGCATCTACCGCGACAACGCACGAAGAGGAGCCCTCTGGTGCCCATGTTGACCGAGACCGCTTCAGGCGGCAGACGGAATGATCTGTTGAGAAGACTGAGATTGAAGGAGTAAGAGTAATGGATCCAAGAGAAGCAAGAGTAGAGAGTTGTGGGAAGTGAAAAGCGGGGGAGGGAGGGGGAGTAGGAAGATGAGAATGGATAAGAAGGGAAAGAACGTACAGAACCGTGGGTCCTACCGCACCACCCAGCAATAATGATTGCGACGTGCGTGCCCAAATCACAACGACGAAAAGCAACGAGGTGCAGGCAGAAGCCCTGCAGCCTATTTTTCATGCAGGGAAGGTGCATGAGCCTCCCGTCTGGCAGGGTCTTGTCCACTAGTAGTCGTCCGTAGCAAACAAAGAGAAAGCAGCTCCCCGGAATCATGGAAATCCAAAAAAAAAAAAACTGGAATATTCCAATAGGATTGCAATGGGCGAAATGGGTACACAGTCAGTGATACGGGAAAATCACTTCTCTTTTATTCACTGTAGAGTGGCCGCAGGTAGCGCTGATAGGTCCGCTTCTAGATAAACAAGCCAGCCCTGGAGCCTATAGGGCCAATCCATACGCGTATTAGTCTCACTGTTCCAACAGTAGCGCGGACATGAGATGAATCTTAGCAATCAGGATAGTCTATTAGGAATAGCTAAACTAACTTAGTACTATGCAACTTAAGGCAAGCTCCCATAGTATCAGCAGCCTGTCCCGCCTCCCGCATGTATTCGAAGAAAGTTTGATACCAACCTTGGGAAGCCTTTCTGATCGGGTCTCACTATGAGAGGTGTGGTTGCCAATCTTTGCTAGCTGTCTGCATTCCAAATAATGCTGTAGTAGCCAGTTGGCATGAACTTCCATCTAGAAGTATGCGATGCAGGCACCTATGCGCATGACGTCATACTGCCGATAGGAAAACCCATTTGGAACAAGCTGGTTGATTCTATGGTAAACGAGACATGTACAATCAAACCATATAACCAGCACAGCCGGTCAGGCTAGTGAAAACTCCGGCAACAAATCACAAAGCAAACCTTCCGGGGTTTGATATCATGCTTTCCAAGACACATCGCAAATGAGAAACTCCGCAAGACACCAGTCCAAAATAACCAATCATTCAACACATAGCCACATAGAATGTGGGGAGGGAATGAACCCCCCAGAATTTACCCAAGATATATAGGTGAGAAATCGACAAAGGCCGCCCACAAGGCAGGTCAAAGAGGAGACGGGCTAGTTCTGTTCAGCCAGCTTATCTCGCACCATCTCCAATACCTCCCTCTGAACCTGCTCCGGGGGGTGGTTGGCATCGACGGTGAGCGCATCCCACTCGCCCTTGGGTTCTTCGAGATCCCGCAGTTGCGACTGGACCATGGTGTTCTTCATGTAATGCGATTGGCGCTGCGTGACCCGCTGGAAGAGCGCCTGCTCGTCCAGCTTCAGGTAGACGAAGTGGATCTGGACGGACGGAGAGCCGTAGGCGGCCACGCGCATGACGTCGCGGTATTTCTGCTTCAAGGCAGAGCAAGCGACGACCACGCCGGAAGGGGGGAGGTAGTTGTTGGCTTCCGAGGGGGAGAGCGCCTCGATGGCGGCCTTGCGGAGAGAGATGAGCCAGTCCCAGCGGTCCGCATCCGTGAGAGGGATTCCGCTGCCCATCTTTTCTCGGTTGGAGTCGGTGTGGAACTATCGAGCCACGACGGGTAAGTCAATCTTGTTCCGAATGGAGGTGAGAAGGGGTCGCAAACTTACATCATCGCCCTCGAGGAACGGGACTTGCAGTGCCTGCTGAATGCCCCGTCCAACGGTACTTTTCCCGCAGCCGGCGGGGCCCGTGACGACCCAGATATGTTGGACAGTCTCTGGTTTTGACGATTCTGTCCACATTGGGGCGGTGGTATGGTTCAACGAGCTCTTGGAGACGGGGGTGCTTCGAGCCATGTCTATAACGGCAGCATTCTTGCCCAGAGGCGGTTGAGGGCGTTCCCCGGCAGAGAGCATTGTGTGGGTAAAGTCGAGGAAACAAGAAAAAAGGAGAATTGCACTTATAACAGGCGAACGGAAAAAGAGCCGGCAGCACAAGAAATGTATGACGCTGGAACCGGCGGCGCAGTTCGTGGAAGGGCTCTGATTGGTGGGGCGGCTGGATATTGCAGGGAGGAGTGGTGCCTGAGGCGGTGTCGTATATATACCGGAGAACAGAGGGGAGTGGAAGAGGAGGGAAGCGAGAGATGAGAGAGATGAGACAGAAAGAAGAAGGATTCCAGGGGTAAATAAGAGGGGAGCAGAAGAATAAGAATAAAATCTGAATAAAAAAAAACAAAAAAGGCGAGACGACCAGCAGATGCGACGAAATCAAGCTCCTTCAAGTATGAAATTTGGGCGGGTGGGTCGTTGGCCCGTACCCGTAATTTTGATATCGGATACCGATGGATGTCTGCCTGTACTCTGTATGGTGCCCTCTGTATACGTAGGGTACAGCAGGTATACCTGGCCTCAGACAGGACGGCAGGCAAGGGGGTGGGGGCAAGGGAGAGTCCGGCGGTCTGGTCAGTAGCGGGAGATCCGATCCGGCGGTGTTTTTTCACCATTCGTGTCTCTTCCTCCGAGGCGTTTGCCAGCCTGCAGCCCGGAGTTTGACATTCTGCGCCTGGACGCAGGGCGGTCCAATGGCCACAGGAATCATGGAATTGCCAGACGGGTATTGAGATGGGATTCCTCGTCAGCGCATGATGTCACCGTTTCATGACGGTCAGGCGTACGGGCGATACGGTGGAGCCCCGTGACCCCCACGCTAGAGACGAAAGATGATTCTCCCGCCTTCGCCGTCGCTTCTGCTGCTGCTTCGTCTCCGCTCAAGTCCGTGGGATAACTATAAGAGTACGCTGAGCAGTCCCCTCAACGTCGGAACGTTGAATTCTCTGCGACGCACATTCTGCCCGGACTCACCGTCGATCTGCCGATGTTTGCTGCCGACCGAAAATGATGGGTGCCGGTACTTTTGCCCCGCGGCGGTCAATTTTGGATCGGTCGATTTCTCACTGGACCCATGTTTCCGCCCGGTGGTACCTGAAATCCGACACGATCCCCCCTCTGGTGGCCATTCGCAGACAAAGACCGCCCTGCACTCAGTCCGGGGAAGCCTGGCTCTGACGCTGACTGGCGACTGTCGACCCCTGTCGCTTTTTTACCGCATGATCACCGTCCTCTCCAACGGCACTACTGATTTCCAGACGTCTGTGCCAGCCTATGGTGGGTTTTCCTTGGTAAATCCGCTCTTTGTTGTGCATCCCTTAGCCTTTCCGTTGGGCGCGCATCATCTCCCATGTACTGTGCAACACTCTTGATTTTCGAGTCAATTTTCGGATTGCTGCAGGAGGGCCGGGATTCTCCCCGACTTTTTGAGTCAAGGTCTCAACTGAAGTCGTCGCCAGCCCAACAAAGTCTAATATGTGTAGGCTCGTGACCGTCCAAGCACCTGGTTCGGAAAGACTCAGGACTCAAGGAGCGATGATCGTGTCGGTTGACGTCTCTCGATGTCTGGATTGGTGAACATCACCCACCCGATGTTTGCGCCGTAGGAGGAGGCTCCATCAAGCCGAGCAAATACTGGTCAAACATGCGCGAAGGATCCGCCACACGTGCGTTGTCACTGGGGCATGGCGAGAATCCGAAATCCCCGACCAGTGATTGATCGGGGCTGCGATCAAATTGTATAGAACACTGCATTGGGCTCTGTAGGACCGAGACAAACACTGTGCTGTCGTCGAGTTATCGGTGTGAAGTCACGCCCGCCGACATGGGGCTGGATCCGGTCATACTGGATGTGTAGTACGAGAGAATTGGATGGTTCATATCGGATGCATCTCACATCGGTCGTAGTAATAACAGACATCAACATCCGTTGTCGTTGGAGGGGAGAGACCAACAGGAAAGAATGGCGGGGATCCCGTTGTGCTTACGTAACACCGCCAGCAGTTGCGATGCCGTCAATCGCAGCTGGGCGGAGCTTCACTCGAATGTGCCTTTCCTTACTTCGTACATGACAGGGCCATTATTGGCGGACTTCTGATTCGACTGCCCCGGATTAATCCCGACCGAGCTCAACTCGCCTTATTTTCTTTGCCGATTAGTATTCCATCTGTCCCGCCGGTTCGACGACCTGGCCCACGATGACCTCTCTCTTCTTCTCCACCCCCCTCGACATCGACGTCGTCCTCGAAGATAGCGACGAGCGCCAGACCGTTGACGTCAAACTCGACAAGGGCCGTCGCGAACGAGTCCCCCTTTACGAAGATGGCGAGTCCGTGAAGGGTGCTGTGACGGTGCGACCGAAGGACGGGAAGCGATTAGAGCACACGGGCATCAAGGTTCAGTTCATCGGCACAATTGGTATGGAAAGACAAGTTGCCTCACCGACGCTGCTGGGCGCAGAGGAATCCAACGCTTTCGTTCTGTTACTGCATCTGCTTTCTACTTTATCCCATGGTCTGTCGATGAAATCGTGATGCTGACGCATGGTGTCTGCCTAATCTAGAGATGTTTTACGACCGTGGCAACCACTACGAATTCCTTTCCTTGGTGCAGGAGCTCGCGGCGCCGGGAGAACTGCAGCACCCGCAGACGTTTCCTTTCAACTTCAAGAACGTTGAGAAACAGTACGAGTCCTACAATGGTATCAATGTGAAGCTGCGATACTTCGTCCGGGTGACGGTCTCCCGGCGCATGGCAGATGTGATCCGCGAGAAGGACCTCTGGGTTTACTCCTATCGCATGCCGCCCGAGACGAACAGCCCGATCAAGATGGACGTCGGCATCGAGGATTGTCTGCACATCGAATTCGAATATTCCAAATCCAAATACCACCTGAAGGATGTGATCGTGGGCCGCATCTATTTCCTCCTGGTGCGGTTGAAGATCAAACACATGGAGCTTTCCATCATCCGGCGCGAAACAACGGGCTCTCCCCCCAACCAGTACAACGAAAGCGAAACGTTGGTGCGATTTGAGGTTGGTGTCCCCCGAGACTCCCGCGACGTTGATCCCTGCACGTGATGCTAACTCGGCGTTTGGGCAGATTATGGACGGTTCCCCTTCACGAGGTGAGTGGTTGACTGCATGAGTCTGGCCTTCTGGTGCCGCTAGGCCGCCATCATCGGGGCCTTGAGTGGCCCATTATCCCACGGCTGCAGCGGATAATGCCAAAGTCTTGACGGAAGCCCGTGCTGATCGCAGGCAGGTGAAACCATCCCCATTCGTCTTTTCCTTGGCGGGTTCGACTTGACGCCCACATTCCGAGACGTGAACAAGAAATACTCCACGCGGTATTACCTCAGCCTGGTGCTCATTGACGAAGGTACGTGATCATGCAGGCATTCTCTCCTGTCGGAGGACATCCCACCAGGCATCCCACCAGGCATCCCACGGTCTCTCAATAGCCGGTCGGCTACTGAGGGACCGCCATTCGGGCCGGAGTCGAGCAGGGAACGGGGAGCCCCCGATGGCCACCCCCACGCCATCCCGCTTTGGGCTGCGGCTTCGCGTGGTCGGCCCCACTCGTCCCCAACTTTCCCCCGTTTTTGCGTTTTTGCGTTTTTGCGAAACCGTCCGGTACTGACGCGTATTGTCCTGCCTCTAGATGCCCGTCGCTACTTCAAACAGTCCGAGATTGTCCTCTACCGTCAGGCCCCCGAGATCGCCTCCACGCCGCAGATTGCCCAGCAGCAGCAGATCCAGCAGCAGCAGCTTCAACTCCAGCAACAGCAGCAGCAACAACTGCCCCCCGGTTCCGCCACGGCCGGCCCCGGACGGGAGACGTATCCCCCCCAGACCCAGCCAGTCACGGCGCCGGCGGCTTAGTCCTCTGATGACGGCGCTCTTCTCGTGGTTGTTGAATTGTCTTTGTAGTGTTCTTCATATACCCTACCTACCGCTGTATCCCGCTCCGCACACGAAACCGGCTTGGCCAGACGGCAGGCCCACTACGTTCATGTATCATCTCATCATGTAACAAGAGATAGATCTTTCTCCGTTCCTGTCCGAACCCAATCTACGATCAGCGAATCTTTACTGATGTCATCCCAACACTGACATACTCCGTAATGCGTGTTTAGTAAGCAGGGAGAGAGGGAGACAGACCGGAGAGCGCACTCACTCTCTATTCCATCGCATCACATTAAAAACTAAGAACAGAAAGACATCACACATTGTAGACTATACTATACGATCCTGTAAGATCCTCTCCTATACTACGCATAACCCCCAACCTCATGTAGCACCTTGCCCAGAGCATGAAGAACCTCCCCGTCATCCTTCTCCTTGCCTGCCACCTGCACCGCGCGTACAACAAGGGGGTAGATCCATTCCAAATGTCTCTTGTGGCTCTGGCCGCTATTCGACGCAGAGTCCGGGAGCACGGCCGGGCTGGCGCTGGTCGGCGGCGGCGGGATCGCCGTGGGCTCGCTGCGCAAGTTCACCATGCCTAGGAGAAGGTGCAGGAGGGCCCTGCGTGCGGGGGTGGGCTGAGGCATCAGGCCCCGGAGAGGCTGGTCGGCGATGTAACCCTTCAGGGAGACCGCGCTGCGGAGGATGAGGTATGGCGATATGGAGCGGGCGAGGAGGACGCGTGCGGAATGGTGCGCCTCGCTGTCGGGGGTCTGCTCGGGCACAGGAGCCGAGGCCAGCTCGAACAGGGTGTCTATCACGGCGTAGGCCATCTTGGTTCGCGACGTGGGTGTGGGATCGAAGGTTCTTCCGGGCCGCACGTGGTATATGTCTTGCAGGGGCTCGTTCTCCAGGTTCTTGCTGGGCAGGTCGAATCGCTGCGGAAGGTAAATGAAGGATGAGGATAATAGAGTGCATGCAAAATCGCGTCGAATGGAATCCGGGATGATGGATGCTCCAAGAGCTGGGATGATGAGCGTTTTCAATCGTTGGAATGCGTCGACATCGAACGATTCGTCGGCAAGTATGTTGGCTCTGGGAATGGGCATGGTCCGGTATCCTCGAGCAGAGACTATGCCATGGGTGAGATCTACAACACCGGCCCAGAATCGAGAGATCTGGGCATGATCTGATTTTCCGTACTGCTTCTCCACGTAAGGAATGGCAACTTCGAGGATATTGAGCGATGCGGTAGTTGACTTCCGCCACAAAGTGGGCTCGCGGTCTTTGCCGGGCCATTCGTACTTCTGGGAGACAGGGTTTGCGAGATGCTCCAGAACAGTTGATAGGGAGTCATTGGCAAAGATCTCTCTCTTAATTCCGAATTCAGCGATGTACCAGCTGAGGAGATCGATCACATTTTTCGAGAATGCAACGTAAGTTGGCACCCTTGAGTCACTGTTTGGCGACCATCTCATCAGTGCGGAATCGGCGAAATCTGCAAGGCAGGTGAGAATCTCCGCCTGAGAATCTTCCTTGTCCAGGCATAGCGTTTTGATGCAGTCGACAAGCAATGCTTGCAAGCTAGACGGGCGGTCTGTATCTGGTGAATACCGTGGAAAGACGGAGTTCCATGCGAGAAGCTGGATGTGCTGGAGAATCTTCTCCACATGATGATTCGTCATTTCGTCCTTGTACAGGCGATAAACTTGTTGAAATGCCTTTATGTAGGCTATCGAGGCGTCTTGGTTTGAGTGCTCTAGGTTCAACAGATCTTCTCGAATGGCGGGATGACCATTCACCCATAGTGTCCAAGCTGCTTCTAGGGACTGTTTGCTAAGGACGTTGGGAGCCTGCACCCGAAGAAGAATATTTGACAGACTGGTGAATACCGCTTCACTAAGCTCCAAAGAATGGAGAGCAGCCACGTTCTGGCAGTGGTTTAGCAGGCGTTTCCAGGATTGGTCAAATTCCTCATCCTTGGTAATTGCTTCAAAGAAGTTTGTCAACAGATCGGAGAACCCTTTGAAGGTGACAACTGCTGTTTCGACCCATGAGCTTAGCTCGTCCGGGCTAGTCTTTGCTCCTGTGCTTTTGGCAGAACCTAATTCTGTCTCTATCTCATCTGTCATTTGGAATAGGACTCGATTGAGACACAAACGCCATGCCTTGGGTGACAATTGTTGGCCGTAGGCATCGAATATTCTAAGAAGGGTGTGCACCGCGCAATTTCTGATCTCTGATCTGCTATCCGTAGTCAGATCAACAATTCGCAGGAGTAGCAATAACCAGAGGGCATTTCGAGAAACGGAATGGTCGTCGTTCTTGGCCAGTGTCACGAGCATATCCTCGCTAACCGAAGCATCGACAAAAGATTCGATAGAAAATTGCTCGATTTGGCCCTGGAGGAAGTCGGACACATTCCAGAAGGATGACGTCGTAGTAAGTGAGATGTTGAAATCCTGCTGCTGTATGGAGAACTTCGAGAATGACTCCACAAGATCAAGGCGACAAGTCAACGGCAGAAGTGCAATAAAATCGGACGCAATCAGCTGCAAAGACTTGTATGAAATGCGAATGAGCTGGTGCGACTCTGCCAACAGAAAAGTCTTGCGATCTTTACTGCTAACCGACGGTCTTTGGCTTTCTTCCGTCCGAGAGTCCCCGAAAACGCTGGAAATGAGCTCAAAAACAATGGCCCAGCCATCGACAAATGTCTCTGCATATTGCTCTAGAATGCTTTTCAAGGTCTCCAAACTCTGACCATGTATTTCGATAATAGGGCCAGTAGGAGAGCCCGGCCGACAAGCACTCGCAGTATAGAGCAATTGAATTTGTTGTTTTAGTGTTTCGAGGTTCCTCTTTTGCCGAGAATTTCGCGTTTGATCATTGTCATCAGCCGTCTGCTTTAGTGTTTGGAATATGAGGCTATTCAGAACTTCGTTGGCGCGCAGGCGAAGGGTTTGGTTTATTTCCCTATCCGCTGCACTCGACATGAGCCTTTCTGTTAAAAGTTGCCAGGCGCCACAGTCGCCCTCCTCTAGGGATGAAAATCTCTCCAGGTTAGACCTGGCTAGTTCATTGGACTTTTCCAACACAAACCGCAACTCTTCATCCTGCATTTTGGATTTACCCAATGCAATGGAGACACGGCGGGTGTTCCGACGTATAGTTCCGGGACGTTGATGCGGCGACCGACTGGGACTCGATTTCAGGTCAGGAGTGGCCGGTTGATCGGATTCCTCGGTGGTTTCAGAAAGATTCAACAACGCAGCCAAGAGATCCCGAAATGAGCTACTTGGGTAGTCGCTTGTGCTTTCAAGAAGCTTAGCTGAGGCTGCCTGCACGGCAATGATCTCATTTCCAATATTGGCTTTGGGAACATCACTTCCCGTAACAGACGGCGATTCAGTTGTGCTGCTGAGGGTGGGGTTTGTTTTCGTCGACGCTATACCAATCAGTAAGTCAGTTTCTTGGAATGTCCCTAATATTATGGACCAGGCCGGCTGGTCCAAGGTAGGGCCAAGAGCAATGCCCAAATTAAGTAAAGCACGCAGGCATAAGAGATTTCTTGTGCTAAGAGACACAGGCGCTTTATCTGAAGCGGTCCCAGAGGCCTCGGGCACGGGAGACCCTAATGTAGGTGCCTGTACACTTTTTCGCTTTTCGTCGGTCGTTTGATTGGCATGGGATGCGGAGGTAGTCTTCAAGATAGGGCCCGGTTTAGCTGCACCAGTCTCGGCTGGTACAGTTGCTTTTCCAAGGGTTGTCAGGAAAGCGTCTCTGGGGGTGGACAACCTCAGAAGACCTGCCACGTGGGCTAGTTTTTGGAATGAACGGACAAGATTGTGATAAAAATCATCGTCTAAAGATGCGTAAAGGAAAGTGGAGCATGTTGCCAAAACAGCAGGCCAGCAATCTTCAATGATCCCTGCACAGGTCTTGATTGCTCCCAGCTGGGGATGAGATTCTAGTTGAAGGGGATTGAGGGGCATCGGAGATTTCTTGGCCCCATGTTTCTGGCCATTCTTGAATGAATCCGTCCTCTGGATTTCGTGAGAGGGACTGGCAGGCTCTGCATTTTGATCTGGACCGGTAACCCGGATCTTTCTCTTCTGCTTCAAGTCAGGGACCGTCAACGGAAGAATGAACTTTGCAAGTCCCTCGGCAAAGGAACTTAGACAGTTCAGCACAAGACTATAGATATAAGTATCCGGCGGGGATGGTGGCTCCGTTTTATCAAGCAGCTCCAGATACTGTGTGCGAACAACACTCCACTGGCTACTGATGCCTGGAACATTGGCATCAGTCGATGGAACAGTGGTTCCAATGACTCCAGCAAGTCCACCTGCTTCTAGAGTAATTTGCTCTTCAGTGATAGACCTCGAATGATCGGTCCGCAAAGGCACGGTTGACCGGCTACTAACACCAATTAACGACGGCTTTTCTGATGATAGACGGACCAGTGCAGCCATGTGGTCTTTAAGGATGCCTTTCCTTCCATCCTTGCCGTCAAAAAGTGAGAAGACAAGTCTCACGAGCCCGGGCTCTGCGTATAACCCGCGGAAAACCTCCATGCAAAGGATTCGTTTCCACGGCGAAGTACCGTCCGGTTCAAGCAGATGTGTCAGAAGGCCTAATGCCATCTCACACTCAGCAGTGAGGAGGGACATATGCCTTTTGAGAAGCACGAGAAGGATCCGACAAACACGAACAGTCAAAGCGAAGTCATGTCTTTCGGATAGAAACCTCACGATCATTGGCATAAGCCGGACTCTTAAAACTTGTGCAAGCTCCATATGACCAATAAACAGGCGACCAGAGTTAAGCAGAATGCTCTCAATGAGTTCTAGAGTGAAGGTCGGCGAGAGTGCCTTGATGCGCAAAAAATGGAGCTGTTCGCCATCGACGATGCGGCAGAGGTCATCCAGAACCTAAAAAGTCAGCACGTTCGAAGTAAGAAGCCGGGATTTCAGCCTTACTCGCAAAGCATCATAGGCAAAGTATCCTATCTTAATAGGATTGCCGTCCACCTTAACTGTTACTGTTGGTTTGGACTCGTCCAGGGCTTCTGCATCCATGTCAGCGACTAGCCTGGAATATAAACGGAATAAGAGAGTGGGCAACGCACTGTCTTCGTTGGAAACTCGCTCGAAGGTTGAAACAACTAGCTGCTGAAGTGTAGCGGCCGCCGTGCTAGAAAGCGCAAGGGTCTTGCTTGTTTGCAGCGTGGCACATATTTCGAGTGTGCTCACGAGCAATTCACCACCAAGGTCATCCGAGTAATGCTGCAATAATGCTGGAAGAGTCTGCAAGATCTTCAATTGGATATCCAGGCCTTGACACATCAGTATCGCGATCCTGGGTCAGAAAGTGGAGACTCACTCAAGTGTGTTGTTTCTTTCAGTCCACCGAGAACATCTCCCAGTCTCTGGGAAGGTAGTGATCGCGATGCGACCAGTCTTTGGAGGCAGACAACTCCGGTCCCCGAAAGTTTTGCATGACGAGCGTGGCAGGCTAAAATGAACGGGTCGACAAACTTCGGCTTGCGCACCAGATCTCGCGGGAGTTCAGTACACCTGCCACCCAACGGATGGATCATCAGGACTTACCTGCCGAAATTTGTGCCTCCGAAGTAGATGGTAAGCTTTTCAACTCATTGAGTGATTCTTCAGCCGCCTACACTTCGGGGTCAGCATCGAAACCATAACATGCATCCCTGCCCCTTAGAGCTTACATGTCGCAGATCGGCATTCTTTCTCTTGGACTCTTGTATCAGGTTCAAGAGCTCCGCCTGCAGGAGCTGAGAGGACATTTCCGGGACGTGGTTGGTTTAGATCATGGCAAATGCCACCATTGAAATGGATTGTCTATCCAGCAGGTAGCAAGCTACAGTAGCTTTATGGGGTTGTTGACAGGCTGTTTGGCAGCAAAGTGAACGCTGGGGATAAAGCGGCCAGCCCAACGTCAAGATTGGCTCGTACTATACTCCTCGTCTCGGCAAACAAGCCACTCGTCGTCTAGATCCGCGATTTGGCGATGAGACTGCGGGATTGCACAGGGCGCAACGGTACTTCAACAGTGGCATCTCCGGCAATGCCAAGGCACCCGCGGAGATAGGGCCACCACGTGACACGGAGTCACCCGTTATCATCACGTGCCGCGGTCTGCAGGAAACCGGGCGATACGCCAGTCCGTCCAGGCGGGATAACGTCGACGGTGCCCCTCCTTCGCCTCGTTTATAGATTCCCCTCTTCCACCATCCACCCCGGCCCTTCCCCGGTCTACCCCTCTGTCGATACTCCCCCAATACCACCCTCCGACCTTTTCACCATGGGCGCTAAAATCCCCAGAAACTTCAGACTCCTCGAGGAGCTAGAGAAGGGCGAGAAGGGCCTTGGTGCTGGTAGAGCCCCCCCTTCCCAGTGTCTGTACAATCGTTAGCTATAGATATGCTGATACGCTCCCAGAGGCCTGCTCCTACGGTCTGGCAGATGGAGAGGATATGATGATGAGCAACTGGAATGGAACCATTCTTGGCCCTCCTCATGTTCGTTCACACCCTAAGCCTACGTTACAATTATTCCACATCCCAGCCTTCGCTGACCCATATACCTTCTACAGAGTGTCCATGAGAACCGAATCTACAGCGTAAACATCCACTGTGGTCCCGATTACCCCGACAACCCTCCAAGCCTGCAATTCATCTCGCGTGTGAATCTGCCCTGCGTTGATGCCCGAACCGGAAAGGTAACAACACCCTTGCTTGCTGGAAATGCCAGAGTGATGATTCTTATACCCGTATAGGTCGACCCGACGAAGCTTCCGTGCCTTGCCCAATGGAAGCGCGAGAACACCATGGAGACTATCCTGTTGGAGCTCAGAAGGTGAGTAGTATATTCTATGATCCATGGTGAATCTATCAAACTCACGGTCTTCCTAGGTATATGGCCCTTCCGCAACATAAGAAGCTCCCTCAGCCTCCGGAGGGATCGAATTTCTAAAGAAAAATAAACTATAACAAAACAAAACTCGCTTTGTAAATGGCCCGGGACCCAGAGTCGGAGTACTATGGTTGGTTTTTGCGTCAGGTTCATTTACTTCTTGCTTCCTTGGCTTATTAGAGCGTGTACAGTCTATGCATTATGGCGGGCATGGCGTGGTTTCTTCTGAAGCCTAGCTTCAAATATATCACAACCTAGAATCTCATTTCTTGCTTCCATACCTTCTCTGAGAAGCGAAGCCTGCTCCTTTCGTAATGTTGGGCGGGGTACTGCCAAGCTCACCATGAGCGACAAACGACAAACAACCCTCTAGAATCCCCAGCACATTAGAGACGTAAATTGAGAGCGTTGGTCGAGGCACGGAACGATGACAGTGTCGGCACGTGACCGCCGGCGGCATCTGCTCATTTCCGCCAACAAAGGTCCAGTCGGTCTCCAAAATGATGGCGCTTCACAAAGTAGTTGTCCCCAAACTGTCTGGGGTTCATCGCTTTGCCTGTAAGTCCCCCCCAGCGTACTGTACGTATCCTAGAGGGAAAGCAAGCTAACGAAGGTCTCATCTTCCAGGCTTAGCTCTCTACCGAGGGCTCCTCCGACAATGTGCCAAATTACCAACCACAATTCCCGAGCTCAAGACCCCTAGATTCCTCGTCAAACAGAGGTTTCGAAGGTACAAGAGCCTTCAAAGCCCATCTCAAACCATCAATGCGTTGAAGGCTGGATACGAGGTACACTCATCCCTTTTCCTTGTTCAGTTGATCAATGGCTCAAATCTTTCTTTTCTTGATATGCAGGCCTTCGACCTCTTGCACTCGGCTGCCCATGGGAACCAACGGGACGCACAACGTATTACAGACCTCATCACAAAAGCCGAATCGATCCAACAGCGGAAGATCGCGGAGCAAAGTAAATTAGTGAAAGCCACGCCCGTTAAACCTCCGACAAAGAAGCAACTTAAGAAAGAAGAATCCCAACGTCAGCAAGATCTCACTGCCCTTCGTCATCCAGATACGGAACCTATACTTTCCCGCCCTCGTCCCGTTGTGAGTGGCAAGCGCCGAGTTCCTGTGCTCGTCAGTGCGCGTGGGCTTCCATTTTTGCGCATCAAGAAACCCCAGCCAAAGAACCTCAGTGGCGTGCTAAGGTCCAAACTCGAAAGGCGATGGGGCTGGATTGAGCGTCGCACTAGACTGGAGACGGAAATACTCTTTGGCAAGGACGAAGACTACTGGGACCAATTGACGGGCCAATCGACGGAGGATCAAGACGATGGCCAATGGACCACGGAGATTAAGGATGCTCTATTGACAGTCAATAATCGGATTCGCGATGCGGATAGGAAGAGTCGGGAGCTAGCCGAAGAAATGTGGAAGGTCGTTCTCGCTGAGCGCGAATTGGCAGCGAAAGAGAGAGAGCAAGAAAAGCAAGAGACGCAAGAGAAGCAAGAGACGCAAGAGAAGCAAGAGACGCAAGAGAAGCAAGAGACGCAAGAGAAGCAAGAGACGCAAGAGAAGCAAGAGAAGCAAGAGAAGGTCACCACGGACTCTTGATCGTCTGGCGTGGATACTTCAGTCAGACTAGATTAAGTGCTCTCTGAAGCTCATCTATTGCTTCTATTTGCGCCTGCAAAATCTGGTACGTGGCGAACACGCAGTTCGAACTATCAGAGGTATACGGCGCTGTCGCAACACTGGGTGAAGGAGCATTTGTTATGCGGTCCTCCATACGAGGCCTACATGGTAGGCGAAACAGTCCCTAAATGCCGCCTCCTCGCACAGCTTGTTAGGTCACAGCTCATCAGCATTTGCCTTCAATCGACAGAGCAAAGAGCAGATTTGAGACTGTATCTTCAAATCTCGGGCCCCGAAAGCACGCAATATTTTGTTCGTGCATCTAGATTTGATATAGAAGGCATTGGAGGACTGGCTCGCCATTGGTTCAGCATCTGTCTGATCTATTCCAGGTTGCTGATATTATCGACTCTACCCGACTCCTGGAAGGGTTACCCTGAGAAGCAATGTACATAGTCACCACATATAATCCCAATCTCTAGTTTCCCCAGTTCTCCGGAGTAGTAAGTATTTACATTGACCGCACTTGCTGTATAGCGCTGAAACGTAAGAACTGAATATTTCGTGAAGAAAATAAAATAGAAACCCTTACTCAAGAGCCGACTTCCTACGCAGCTATTTTCATCTTTTCCACAGGCGGCATAGAATCCTCCTCATCTTCGTCAAAGTCGGCCTTTCCAGCTAATCCGCGTTCCCATAGTTCTCTACCCGTCATCTTCTTCTCCTCCTTCGCCGGCGTCTTCGTCTTAGACCTCTTGTCGTCCGCCTCCTTTTCTTCCTTTTGTCGCCTCTCCTCGTCCTCAATCTCCTGCTTGAAGCCCGCCTGCCACTTTAGGAACGACTCCCTGGTGACCGCCGTACCCTGGAACTTCCGGTTCTCCTCTTCCTCGGCCTTGGCGGCTTCCCTCTCCTTCTGCGCATGCACGGCGTTTACCCGCTCCGACATGAGCTGCTCGGCGCTCTCCTTCAAGGCGCTCACAAGCGTGAATACCATCGCCATCCCGATGTTCTCCTCGATGGCCGGCTGCAGGGTCTCGAGCAGCTGGTCGCGATCCTCCTGGATATCTAGTCGCGGGTGTTTGGGCGCGTTGGGAGGGGCGGAAAGGTCAAGTTCCGGGGCCACGTCGGGGTAGTCAGGTGGGTAGGACACCTGCAGCACCAGCACCGGTTGCTCCGTTTCTTCGACGTCATTCTCGGGCGTTTCGAGAGCGATCGATATCCGGTATGCGGTGTCGGAGATGTCTAGAGAGGTGACGGATCTGAATTAGCGGGGGAATTCTGATGCGCGGGCGAACCGCTGCCGTGGATATTTTCTTTGGGGTTCTTGTATTCACCTGTAATTTCTTCCGGGAAGATCGAGTCGAGCACCTCGCGCTCTTCGATCTGGTCTTCGCGGCCCATTTTGCGTCGATTATGCCGCCGTGCGGATGGCAGGTTGTAGTATGGAGGGGTACGAGGGACTGGGGGTGCGAGGGATTCGGCGGCCAAAGGGATTCAACCGTGCAGCGTGCAGGAAGTAAAGGCGCTCAGTGTCTCCTCACAGACAGAAGACGAGAAAAATGCACGGCGACAACAGCTTCCCTTCGTGGGATGATTTTGGGGACGAGAGTTGCAGGACTTCAGGCCGGCGAGTCCATTGAATCTTGCAGCCCACATGCAAACAGCACAAACAGATAAGAAATCGGCCCAAAATGTTCGACCCGCAAAGGAAATCCGCTCTTTTTTCTCGTCCTGCAACAAAACATCCCCTCCCCGTTTATATATATTTCTATACGCGGTTTGAGTCAGATTCTTCTCCTCCGATTGCCTATTCTTGGAAACTGAATAGTACGTTTGCTTGTTGCAATTTTTTTTCGATTCATAGATTTTCTCTCTGTCCGGCGGTGATATCATGGGTAAACCCAGACCTCAGAAAAAGAAGAAGACCTCTAAATCCAAGTCCGTTCTCAGCGCCGGTGGCTCCGTTTCGAAACAGAAAATGAACGAAGACCCTTCGAAGCTACTCGACCAAGCGACAATCCTCCTTCAGACGGGACAGGCAGATGGCGCGCTGGGGCTAGCCCAACAGGCCCTCGACAATGCGCCGGCCAATTCGCCCGCTCAGCTCTCCGCCCTGAACCTGGTCGGCGAGATCTACGTCGAACTAGGAGACATCGACGTTGCCCGGGAGCAGTTTTTGCGTGCGGTCGAGCTGGATCCGGCCGGTACGATACCCGAGTCCCAGGGCGGCGGGGCTGAAAAGTTCTTATGGCTGGCGCAATTGAGTGAATCGGGAGGGAAAGACAGTGTGCAGTGGTTTGAGAAGGGCGTGTCTGCCCTCCGACATACGATCGAACAGCTGGAGGCCAATGCCGGCCCGCAGAATGCCATTGAGTTGGACGGAAAGAAACGGAAGCTGGCCAATGCCTTGTGCGGCGTTGCGGAGATCTACATGACCGACCTTTCGTAAGTCGCCCGAGCGCCCCGTTGCTTGTCGACGGTTGGGATTTGCTGACGATAAACAGGTGGGAGGAAGATGCGGAAAGCCGGTGCGAATTCTTAGTTACGGAAGCTCTCAAGGCCACCCCCAAGGCGCCCGAAGTGCTGCAGACCCTTGCCTCCATCCGGATTTCACAGCTGCGAACAGACGACGCCCGCGACGCACTCACGAGAAGTCTGGCGATATGGAAGGATCTGCCTCCCGACGACCTCACCATTCCGGACTTTGCGACCCGAATCAGTCTGACCCGTCTGCTGATGGAGGTCTCCATGGAACTCGAGGCACTGGAGGTTCTGGAGCGTCTGATCCTGGAAGATGACCAGAGCGTGGAAGCATGGTATCTGGGAGGGTGGTGCCTCCATCTTCTGGCGGAGAAGCAGCAGGCGGCCCCGAAGGATGCCGAGGCAGACGAATCCCCCGAATCGAAACGACAGGCCTCGCTGGTGGCCAGCCGGGAATGGCTCAAGCAGAGTCTGGCGCTCTACGAAGTGCTCCAGTACGAGGACGAACGGCTGAAGGAGCACGCCACGGAGCTGGTGCAGGAAATGAACAAGGAACTCGGGGAGGAGATGGACGAGGAGGAAGGCGAGGAAGGTGAAGAGGGCGAGGACTGGGAAGATGAGGAGATCGAGGCCGAGTCGGACGGGGACCACGAGATGGCGGATTCATGAGGACCACGGGATGTTATGACATGATACCAATTGAAAAAAGATGCACCGAGAATAGATCTACGACCGTCCATAGGAAAATACAAGGGACTATATGACCATAACTATAGAGAACCAATGATAGCGACCGGAAAAACCCCCGGGCCGACCGCTTTCGGACAGTCGCAGAGCCAAATTTGGCCCGGCAGCTGGACCGATGCGTGGCAAATCGCCCGATGTGAGTGAAAGGCTTGTTTGTCTTCGAGGCTGCTGGAAAGTGTCCGCTCTTCCTGTCAGGATGGACCCGCTACCAGCGCCCCGCGGGGAGACCTCGTCGTTGCAGAAGATCGAGGTGGATGCCGCCCAGATGGCCTCCGCGGACGTCCACGAGGCGAATCTCACCGAAACCGTCGTCGCGGTGGAGAACGACGTGTCTCAGTCCGAGTACGAGTCCGATAGCGACGCTTCGGGCGACGAGTGGGAGACCCAGTCTCTCTACGAGGACGCCATCCAGGTTCTTCGCGATGATCAGCTGCGCGATGGAGGTAAGCTTCTCTGATGGCCTGGTCCATGCGCCCCCGTCTTCTGGTCGCGCTCCCTGCTCACTCCACGCCGTCTGGCATGATCTAGTCCCCGATGCTTGCACCTTGGAAGAGGCCGTCGCCTTTCGAAATCGGCTCCATGAAATCGGCAAGGCCGCCTTTGTCGGCGAGACCATTGGCCAGGATGCCGTGACCGCGAAGAAGCTCTGCACCGCGTTCGGCATCTTGCCCCCGTCGTTCCTCGAGGGCGCGCCCGACGAGGCCTATCATCCTCTGCTAGCGATTGCGATCTCGCGGGAGTTCTCCAGACGCCAGAAACTGCCCCAGTACAATACGGTGGAGGATGCGGTCCGATTGCTGCAAGAATCCAAGAATATCGTCGTGCTGACGGGTGCCGGCGTGAGTCCTCTGTATAGAACAACATCGGCGTTGAAGGACATGCGCTGACCGATTTTCTAGATTTCTACGAGTCTCGGTATTCCGGACTTCCGATCGAAAGACACTGGACTCTACTCGCAATTGGAGCATCTCGGCCTGAACGACCCGCAGGAGGTTTTTGACATCCAGGTCTTTCGCGAGGATCCCAGTATCTTCTTCTCGATCGCAAAGGACATCCTACCTACTGAGAAGAAATACTCGCCGACCCACGGGTTCATTCGGCTGCTGCAGGACAAGGGAAAGCTCCTCACCAACTACACCCAGAACATCGACAACATCGAGGCCAATGCAGGTGTGCTTCCCGAAAGGATTGTCCAATGCCATGGTTCTTTTGCGTCCGCCACGTGCGTCAAATGCAAGTACCAGGTCCAGGGCGATGCAATCTTCGACGAGATCAAAAAGGGGGCCATCCCTGAATGTACGGTGTGCCGCCAGAAGATCGCCGAGGATGCCATGAAGACACAGGGCATGAAGCGCAAGCGCAGCACCAACGGAACCCAGAAAAGCCGCAAGAACGAGGGCGAGGACAGCTCGGAAGAGGAGGATTATGAGATTCCCACTCCGGGTGTGATGAAGGTATGTATTCAGATGCTGTGTGTTCTGTTTTGCGTTCTATCCGGCTGACACAATATCAGCCCGACATCACCTTCTTCGGCGAGGATCTTCCGGACGAGTTCGGCCGTCGCCTACTCCATCATGATCGTGACCAGGTGGATCTGGTGATTGTCATTGGGACCTCGTTGAAGGTGGCTCCTGTGGCGGAAGTGCCGGGAGTGCTGCCTCGCACCGTTCCCCAGATCTACATTTCTCGAACCGTAAGTCCAGAGCATCTCAAGACACGGTGAAGCCGGAGCTGACCATAAACCAGCCTGTATCGCACACGGGCTTCGATATCGACCTGTTAGGGGACTGCGACGTGGTGGTGTCGGAGCTTTCTCGCCGAGCTGGCTGGGAGTTGAAGCACGAGATGATTCCCCCAGGCGAGACGGTCGAGGTGAGCCCGGTGGAAGGATATGAATCACGACATGTGTTTAAGGTTGTTGGCGCATAGCGGCGGTGTTTTGTCAGGGCGATCTCTAGTATTCAGGGACGGCGTATCTCGACGGTTTATTTTGCAAGGGACTTCTGGGTTGGATGAGATTTGAATGAACTTTTCTTGCTTAGATGCAAATACTTTGATAGAAGGCGACTGGCTTTTCTACCGTTGCGAATCCGAGTTCTTTCTTTTTTCTTTTTTTTTACACTAAATCTACCTGGAGTGACTGAGATTTGTAGCAATTCGTGGCCATTCAAAGGAGAAGAACGCGGGTGTTTTCCGGCGACGTCAAAAGAAAAAAAAAAAAAAAAAAAAAACCTTCCCTTCCAACTTCTTCCCCACCAGAACCGCATCTTAGACGAGACCACCATCCACTTCTTTAGACGCGTATCGATCGAGATCCAACGACTCAATCTTCAGGGCTGCAGTCCGGCCTAGTGGACGCAATCGCCATGGAATACCTGATCCGCTTCGCTCAAGCGCACGAGACCTTCCGGCGGCCGGAGATTGAAGCCCTGGCGTCTCTGGCCGGCATTGAGTTGGAGATCCTATCTTATGACCAGTTTGTAGGTGCTCATGCTTCTCTGCCTCAATAATTTTACTGTGGCACTCGTTCCCATCCCCATCCATCGATCATCGATCGCATCGCACCCCCACCTTGGAGATATTTTCACCCCGCCATCCAACCCATCCGAGAGATATGTATCAACCGCTAACTGCTCTTCCAGTCACCATATTGCATTATCAGAATCCCTGATGAAGCAGCTGCGAGAAAGCTCGTCTCGCGCAGCATCCTGGTCAAGGATATTTTCGAGCTCTGGGGCCACGGCGCCAACTACGATGAAGTGCACGCCGACGTCCGCAGGCGGACGCAGCACCGCTGGAGCGAGTTCAAGGAGGGCTCGTTCCGCTTCAGTTTCGAGACCTTCAGCGGCAAACGCAGCATGGAGGAGAGACGCAGCATCATCCAGTCCTTCTCCTTCATGGCCTTCACGGGCCCCATCCGCATGAAGAACCCGGACAATGACTTCTGGGTCCACGAGGACTATCTCTCGGCCGTGGAATCCGCCGTGAAGTATCCAGATGCGCCGCGCCCGGAGAAGCTGGACCTGGACCCCAAGCATATTTACTTCGGCCGTTGGATTGCAGACAGCCATCGGGACATCATCAACCGGTATGATCTGAAAAAGCGTCGCTATATCAGCACAACGTCCATGGATGCCGAGCTGAGTCTCGTCACGGCCAACATGGCGCATGCGGACCCCGGGAGACTCTTCTACGACCCGTTCGTGGGGACGGGGAGTTTCTGTGTGGCGGCAGCGCACTTCGGAGCCTTGACATGCGGTTCGGATATTGACCCGCGCAGTTTTCGCGGCCGAGAGAGAAAGAAAGGGGATCCGATTGGGGTGGCGACGAACTTTAAGCAGTATGGGACGACGAGCAAATTCGTGGATGCGTTCACGTCGGATCTGACGAATACGCCCCTGCTCAAACGCCCGTTTTTGGACGGCATCATTTGTGATCCGCCTTACGGCGTGCGCGAGGGCCTTCGGGTTCTGGGAACTCGCGATGGGCGTGGCAAGGAAGAGGTGGTCATTGACGGTGTACCGGCTCATTAGTATGTATTCAATCAGACTCTTACCGAGTACTGGCTCCCTGGTCCTTCGATTGTGTCTAACATCTGCCTATAGTCGACCAGGTTACATCGCTCCCAAGAAACCGTACGGTTTCGAGGCAATGCTGCACGATATCTTGGAGTTCGCCTCGCAGACCCTCGTTACAGACGGGCGAATGTGCATGTGGATGCCGACATCTGGTGACGAGGACGTGAAGCTGATGATTCCGATGCACGAGAACCTGGAGGTCGTCAGTGTCTCGGTGCAACCGTTCAACAACTGTAAGTGCCATAGACACATTCAAATCTCGAGGCGGATGTTAACAGACCGAAAAGGGGCCCGTCGACTTATCACCTACCGAAGGCTCCCAGAAGGCCAAGTCTCGGACGTATCGCTCGGGCGACAGAAGGGCGATGACCAGGGAATCAGCGCCGACGACCTGAACGCCTTTAGACGAAAGGTGAGCTAGCATCCTCCGTTTGGTGTCCATTGAATCGATCTAATGATCCATGTCTAGTATTTCGCGAGGAACAAGACGGGAGCCGAAAGCCCCGCAACGCAATGAAGATATGAATGAAACGATGAAAATAAGCTGTACTGCATGAGATATAGAAGCAATCCAAAATATATCAAAATTTATTCCAACCGAGTTTATCAGCCTTCAACGCCTACCAATGTATATCTCCCAAGCTCCCAAACCAGAAGGCCATCCATTTGATTAGAAAACGGGAGAGAGCAAGCAAAAGACATCAAAGCAACATATCACAACTTCCCCAACACCTTCCCATCCTCACCATCCTGCCCATTCAAATCCACACCCTCCTCTCTCATCACCCTCTGAACCTCCCGCGCCAAATCCTCCCGCAACAGCCTCGCCAGCGCCTCCCCCTCCTCATCATCCAACTCGTCCCTCTGGCCCCGTCCAAACATGACGAAACTCACCTTGCCACCGCTCGGCGGCGCATTCGTTGCCGGCCTGGGGATCACATGGAAATGAACGTGGGGCACGAGTTGCGCAGCGCTCACTCCTGCTCGTTGTAATTATGTCAGTCAGCGTCGAACGTTGTCCGCCTCTCCTTGCATATACCCTGTATCTGACTGTATATAGCACAATCGCGTATAGTCCAAGATGAAGAGCAAGAGAAGTGAAGGAAGAAAAAGAGGAATACCGTTATTCTGCACGACGTTCCAATTCCAACGCGAACTCGAACCAGACTCAGACGCAGCCTCTTCGCCGAAGAGGGTCCGCATCGCGACACGGGATATAACAGGGAGCCATTGACCGATCTAAATGATGGTATTAATCAATTATCTATTCTGTACGGAAGCTGAATGGCTACTGTGTGTGGTAGTGCTGATTGAATCCGGGTATGGTTCGACAGGATATACAAACGTACTTCTCGACTGATTCGGACGCCCACATCGGCTAATTTCTCATGATGCTCCCTCGGAACGACAAGGATGTGGCCCTTGGTGAGGGGCATGATGTCGAGAAAAGCGAGGACATGTTGGGTAGATAGGATGAGATGCGCCTGGGTGTCTGGGTTCGAGGGTAGTAGCGGCGACGGGGCGGTGGATGTTGGATGAGGTAGGTTGAGAAAGGCGGAGGGTGCGACTGGTGGATATGCGCTCGCAATATTACAGAAAGGACAGGCAGATGATGGCGAGACCATGATGAAGGATGATGGGAGAAACAGAATAATGCAAAGAGGAAGTATGAAGAGTGGAAACGCGGGAAGGCAAGTCGGGGAACCTCGGTTCAGCGGCCACTTCAGCGTCTACACCAATCAATGACTCAAAAACACAACCAAACCGAAAAGTCTCAACAGTGGTTAAATTAATCTCCCTAAAAGCACATTACAATAAGTCCTTCGCTCTATCCTCGCTGGTAGACTAATCCGAATATTGATAACCCTGGCGGGTTATTATCCTCAACACGCTTTCAAGCATCACGGGTCATTAAGAAACAGGCCGTGCGACATCGTCTACTCCAGAAGCCATGATCTCAGACATGGAAAAGCGTGGAGTTGGTCGCGAATATAAGAAGCGAAACGCCATCAGAAACAACCCCGATGGGCCGAGAAAGGTCGATCATAGAAGCAGAGTGAAAAACCAAAAAGAGAACTGCAAATGCCATTTCCGACCATGGAGAATCCGACGCCTGAAGTAAGAACAGAGGACAAGAAAATGGGAGGGTGAAGAAAGAAGTGTAATGCAGCCCGGACACTACCAAAAAGAGAAGAAAAAGAAGTCAACGAGAATAAAAACGAGAAGGGAAGAGCAGAAAGAAAATCACAAAAAAGACAATAAGAGCGCCCTGACGCCCCCGGAAGAATTGAACAATGCCAACGTCCGCAACTGAAATGAAGAAATGCCGTCGTAAACATATGCAAGAGGTGTGCTTTATACCATCACAAACGAAGAAATGCCAACATATGGAATCAATCAACTCCTTCTGAGTAACCCTGCCACGGACGCCGATTTGAGCGGAGTGCCGTCAAACACGCGTCGTGATCATTTACTCATGATCCTTGATGTAGTTGTACGGTTCGGAGAGGGAGCTGTCAATGTAGTGGTGATGGTACTTCTTGGCCCATTGCCGCGTAAGGATGGAAGCTGGAGGACGATGGTTAGAAGGGAGCAGGAACGGATGAGATCCAGACAGTCAGCACTTACCCTTGAGGAACTTCTTGCTGGCGTACTTCTTGAAGAAAGCTTCGTGGCAGACGGGGCGGTGGAGGTAGTCAATCATTAAACGGAAGACCGGCTCAATTTCTTCTTCGTCGTATCCAGCATAGTGGGCAAGAGTTGGATCCTAAAGGTATGAGGTGTTAGAATAAACTTCTGCATTCGGGACATAGCAGCAGACTTACCCAAGGACCGCGCTCCAGAATCAGACGAGCAAGGTACATAGCAGCGGCCGACACGTGACTCTGGCGGTACTGCATGAACCGGTGGTCCAGCAGGCTGATTTCCATCAGGTACTTGCCAAGGGTCCGCGTCTGGATGTCGTAGTTGTCTGCCTTGGAGATGCGACGCAGGAAGTTCATCGGGTTGGGGAAGCTCATGTTGTATTCGAGGGTGGCCAAGATATGACGTTCGGCATCCAGGATCTCCTTGTCCGAAAAGGTCTCGTCGGCGACGTGGCTGAAGTTGGCCACGTGAGGCGAGAGGACTTCCTCATATTTGGACGCGATGAACATGGCAGCGACACCGACCAATTGCAGGCGATCAAGGGCGACGACCTCGGCAGAAAGGAATCGATCGATGAGATTGACGGCGAGGAAGAGCGTTTCGGGAAGCAGGCGGAAGCGGGTGTGGACCTCGATGAGCCAGTCGACGAGAATGCCGCGCATCTTCCATTCAAGGTCGGGCTGGTGTTCGATGTAGTCGGGATTGGGTAGCGTTTCCAATTCGAGTTGTCTCATGTAATCGAAAATCTCAACCACGTACTCGGCGGCCATCAGAGGGTCGTCCAGGTCTTCCTCGTCCAGGTTTTCCACATCGTAGGGCACGTCAGCCTTCTCCACGATCTCCTCGGAGACTTCGACCTTCTCCTTCACCGTCGAGGCCTTCTCCGTGGCGGCCTTCTTGGCCTCGAGCTTCTCGACGTCGACTCTCTTGCGTGGGGGTTCTTCCTGCTGCAGCGCCTTCTCCGGTATCGATTTTTGGCTAGCCGACCGCTTCTTCTGTGCGCTACCGACTCCTGATCCGCTACCGGGGCGTTTCGCGTCGACGGCGGGCTTCTTAGTGTTGGCGTCCTTGGCGCCCATAGCAGTACGCGTCGTGTTGCTGCGGCTGAGTTTCTGGACGCCTCCGGCCTGCATCGTGGCCTTGGATGTCAAGCCGACCTTGCTGCCTGCAGACTTCTTTGATTCCTTGGTTTCCCCATTGTCCGCCTTGTTGACATTGCTCACATCGCCGAGGGCGGCGCGTTTTCTGGGGACTCCGCCCGTCGCCGTGGACGTGGCAGCCTTCTTAGTCTGGAGGGGTTTCTTCGCGGCGTTGGCAGCCGGAGCATCTCCTGCCGACATGGCAGCGGCCTTGGCCCGTGTCAGACGCGTCTGTGGTCCGTTCTCGTCGTTCTCGTTCATCGCACCCCGCGTACGGAGACTCCGAGCCTGCACAATGGTTAATTCAGCGGCCGTCGATTTGACAGGAACGAACGAATGCCAATCGAGGAGACGGGCTCATCTGAGTTCTGACGCGTCTTAGTTCCCCCCCAGAGTCAAGGAAAGCTTACCGGAGGCATGATACTAACTGAAGGAAGAGTAAAAGGGATGGGTGGAAAGGAGGTAAAGTAAATAGGACAGTATAATTACTGCATTCGTTAACTCGTCAGCATTCCGAAGGAAATTACTCCGGTGGAGCCCAAATACCTGAGGGCAGGAAGGTGCTGATGCACGTACCACGCGTGAATTCTTGTCCAACCCCGAGCAACAAGGTATTATGCAAGGTTGCCAAAGCAGGCCTGGCAGGTATTTCACAAGACTGGGCGTGGAACGGCTTTAAAATAAGGGCATATATGAGTTTGTTGACGTTGGAGGTCGGATCTTGAAAAGACCCGAATCACGTAAGTTTCCGGGCGCGCCAGTCACCGCTGTAATAAGAAAATCTGTACAGAAAGTGATACTGCACGTGTCAATCGATGAGTATAAACAAAAACACGCGAAGAGGCAGCCTGATGACGAGGGTTGAGGGTGGTGAAGCCGGGGGGGTGGGATCGCCTCGAAGAAACAGAGGATTGATGATGGAGGTTGGGTGCAGGGAAAGGTGTAAACTTGACAGGGCAAAGACGATGTTTGGCCCTAGTCTTAGCGTGGAAATCAGCCAAGCTGGGAAATGATGCCCCACAGCACAACTCCGGTCAAGTCGCGTGGATTCGCGGATTCTTAACGGCTGTACACTGGTGATGCGGTGTATATGCAAGACCCAAAAAAGCAGGAGGATATTGACAGTCCTCGAGGGGTAAGGTAGTATTAGAATTATGTACGATGGAGGGTAGAGAGGAGGGAAGCGGGAAAGGAAGGCTGGGAGAGGGAGATGAAGAGGAGGAAAGGAAAGGGGGGAGACGAGGGAAAAGTAGGGAATCAGCGGGCGGCCTGAGGTATCCGTACGTATGAGAGGGACGGAGAGAGGGCGACTGCCTGCGGAAATGCACGACAGAGAAGGTATTGATACCGTCACGAGACGAAGTGCGGGAGTCATGGAGTCATGGATGCCTGAGGGTGCCAAACGCAAGACGCCGTCGCGCCCGAGAAGGAGTGCGCGCGAGACGACGATCGCCCAAACAAAAAGACGCCCGCGTTGCCCGGCAACGCCTCGGCCCTTTTACGCTTTTGCGTATCGCCCGGGACGTGTTGCCGTGTCGCGCCGTCCCGTGACCTGCACCTGCGCCACAGCCTCAGAATGTGGCGGTGCCAGACCCGGGATCATGTGACTGTCTGCCCAGCCACAGCTGCGCGCCGGAGCCAAAGACATTTTCGTCCGGAGAGCATCAAAGTCGCTGGTTGCCGACATCCGCCGCCGCGTATCTCGACCACTCTCGGGCTGTGCTATCGGGAGTCTTGCGTTGCTCTGGAGGCGACGTCTTACTTTATCTGACTTCTCGTGTGTTTGGTTGCATCCGGCATGCTGGAGCAATAATCGACTGGATCATCTCGCAATCTTCCTGTCTTCGATCTTGCAAGTGCGCTGCACCGTGTCTGGAGCTGGCACCTGTCAATTGATCTCGGAATCTCTTCTGCATCCCATTGATCCATCATGCTTCAACCTCGTCTGGCCTTGACCGGCCTGCGGCTTCCCTTCAGATGCCTGTCCTCCGTCTCGTCTCGGGCCTACTCGACGGTCATCACGGAGAAAGAGGCGCCCTCCGCCGAAGAACCTCCGAGTGCGACCTTCGATCCTAGTATCGCCTTCGCTCCTCCACCCACCCGTGACGATACCGGCGTTCTCATCCGCAAATATACGCCCCGGACGCCCGGTGTCCGCCATCTGCGGAGACCCATCAACGATCATCTCTGGAAGGGACGACCGGTCCAGAAGTTGACATTCCCGAAACGAGGCCATGCCAAAGGTGGCCGTAACAACACCGGAAGAGTGACGATTCGGCATCGTGGTGGTGGTCACAAGCGCCGTATCCGAGTGGTGGACTTTGCCCGGGCTGCCCCCGGGCCGCACCTGGTCGAACGCATCGAACATGACCCCGGACGGAGTGCTCACATTGCACTTGTCCGCAGTCAAGAGACCAAGCAGCTGAGCTATATTCTGGCTGCCGAGGGAATGAGAGCCGGGGACGTTGTGCAGAGTTACATGCCAGGTATCCCGCAAGATCTGTGGAACAGCATGGGTGGCGCCGTGGATCCCGGTGTGCTGGCCGCCAGAACTGCCTGGCGAGGCAACTGCTTGCCCTTGCACATGATCCCCGTCGGGACGTCGATTTTCAACGTCGGATTGAAACCGGGCAAGGGTGGCCAGCTGTGCCGAAGCGCGGGTACCTTTGCCACGGTGATCGCCAAGGGTACCAACTCGCCCAGCCAGGGTCAACAGGAGACGCCGGAGGAGGGTGCCGAGACCAAGAAGGTCTCCCAGCGGGAGCTGCAAAAGAAGGAGCGTCTTGCTACGCACATCACTCTGCGGCTTCAGAGTGGTGAGGTCCGCCTGATCCACAAGGACTGCTGCGCAACCGTGGGAGTTGCCAGTAACCCTAACTATCAGTATAGCCAGATCGGAAAGGCCGGACGATCTCGCTGGCTGAACATCCGTCCCACCGTTCGTGGTCTGGCGATGAACGCGGCTGACCATCCCCACGGTGGTGGACGTGGTAAATCCAAGGGTAACGTTGACCCGAAGAGTCCTTGGGGTCTCCCGGTACGTATTGCTCTACATCTTTTCGTTCTGTCCCCAATTGTTTACCGGCAGACTGCTAACTGGCGTCCCAGGCGAAATCCGGCTGGAAAACCCGGCCCAAGTGGAAGGTCAACAAGAACGTGGTTGTTCCCCGAGTGCGCAACCAGGGCAAGCGTCGCAGAGGTTACAGCTAAAGGTATCGCACATGCCATCGTTTCTCTCGTGTCATTTCATTTCCATTTTCTTCATTGCATTCGATTCCTAATATGTATACTTCCTGCTTGCCACGACGCTTCTCCCAAAATTTCTTGTCATTTGTTTTAGCCTGAGACGTGCGCGGAGATGAGAGATGTGTACTCAACTTGTACTATTTCAGAAAGATGTTCTCGTTACCTTGGGGTCTGTTGAGAGAGCGAGAGAGAGAGAGAGAGGAGGAAAGAGGGAGAACGAGCGAGTTTGCTGCTCTGGTTCCTCGGCCTTTTTTTTTTATGTGTTCTCTCCGACCCTCCGTGGCGTTGTTACTGTATTATATGGGATTAGAATATAGGTCATGCTCACACGGGGAGATTTCGTAGACATGAAAATAGCGAAGATGAAGTAGAGGACCAAAGATGGCTGAGCCCCCAAACGGGGCTGGTTCGCAACGTGACTTTAGCCTTTCGGTGGCGCTGCCGACGGACTTCAATTCGATCGGCCGATCAGCGTATACGATGCGCTTTCAACGCCGTCACTCGCACCCCCTCGACCCTCAACTGCGCTTTGTTGCTGCCTTCGCTCCTTTCGTATTCTCCTGGCAAATGTTGACGGCCGTTTTTGCTCTTCTCGTCACCGAGGTCTGGCGCCTCTAAGCCTTGAAACGCTGCGTTCCCACTCATCGTCCGGTCCCACCTCGAAATATTACGTCCCCTTCACCTGCCATCGCCGGCCTCTTCACCATCTCTCCCTCGAAGGCCATGGCGGATCTTTACGACGAACAGTCGCAGCCGTCTTCCAATCACACTTCTGCGTTGCACTCCCAGCATGCTTCGATGAATCTCGATGCGGCGGCGGGTCACAGCGATGTCGATGGCTTCTACGTTCCCCGCCCAAAACGTATCGCATGCGTTGTCTGCAGGAGGAGAAAATTGAGATGCGACGGCAGAAAACCCAGCTGCGGGACTTGTGCGAGATTGGGGCATGAATGCGCCTACGACGAAGTCCGAAAAAAGAGCGGTCCGAAGCGGGGCTATGTGAAGCAGTTGGAGGCACGTTTGGGTGGGTGAATGCCATTCATCTCCATCTCCCATACATGGCCGGATACTGACCACGCTATCTTCTTTGTTAAAAGCTCAGGTCGAGACCTTACTTAAAACCCAAGAAGGGGGAGCCCCTCTGCCCCAAACGAACGATTTCAGTGCTCCGGCTCCGAGCGAGCTGACAAGCGTACCCGAGCCAACTGTTCTACCAAATGGTACGAGTGCACCTATATCGCCTCCAGAACAGACCGGAAATCATCCTCTTCCGGGCCAAATATATCTGCCGCCACCCGTACGCGACTCTCATAATTTCGCATGGGACATGATAAGTCTGGGGCTCGAGGAGCCTCTCCCCGCCCGAGAAGTCATTGATGAACTGTATGTTTAAGCCCCAATCTCCGCTCCAGAAGGGCATTGGGTTCTCATACTTTGACAGGAACCAAATCTATTTTGAGAAAATTCACCCCGCCCTCCCCGTATTACACCGGCCGAGGCATTTGGCGGCCATGGATCTGGCCCCAAATGTTCGACCCCCCGTGTGTTTGCAATACATCACATGGAGTCATGCTGCGTCTGTCACTGACAAGTACAATAACTTGCACGAACTGTTCTACCAGCGGGCTCGCAAATACGCCGAACTGGAGGAGATGAAAGGTCTTGGAGAGGGTGTCTTGTCTTTGGCATGCTGTCAGACATGGCTACTCATCGGTACCTATGAGTTTAGAATGATGTGCTTCCCCCGCGCTTGGCTGAGCGTTGGGAAAGCTTCACGGTTGTCACTCATGTTGGGTTTGAACCGAATAGATGGGCTGGGCCACGGAGTTAAACAATCACTCCCAGCCACCAGCGATTGGACGGAAAAGGAGGAGCGACGAAGGGTCTTCTGGATGGCGTACTGCGTTGATCGGTTCGCCAGCGTGGGAACTGGATGGCCCGTATTGTTCGATGACCGAGACGTGAGTTGACTCCAGATTTCCCCCCTACTACCTATCAGATACACGAATGCGTTAACCAAGAAGCCAACAGATCACGACCAATTTGCCTGCTAGCGAAGAAGCATTCGTAAAAAGCCAGCCGCAGCAGACTGGGAGTGTCAGCGATATCGTGGACGGCGATGGTATTCCCACGCTCTCGCCGTTCGGAAGCGTTGTTTTCATGGCGTACCTCTTTGGCCGGAATCTCTCCCACCTCCATCGCCCCGATCCACAAGACAACGAGTATGATCTGAACGGGGTGTTCTGGCAGCGACATCGGTCGCACGATAACATCTTGCTCCATTTCGCATTGGCCATGCCAAACCATCTTCGCCTGCCTGCGGGTGTGGCAGATCCCAATGTGATTTTCTGCAACATGGCGATCCATACCTCTACGATATGCCTTCACCAGGCCGCCATATTCAAGGCGGAGAAGAACAAAATCTCCGAGCAGATCGCGACCGAAAGCAAACGGAGATGCATAGTTGCTGCGGACCAGATCTCCAACATCATGAAGATGATCAGCCACATGGACCTGACGATTGTAAGCCCGCCCAGCTCAATATGATCGAACGACGACCGGAAAGACAGCTAATCCATTTTAGATGAACCCGTTTATGGCATTCTGCGTCTATATCGCAGCGCGGGTGTTTGTACAATACCTCAAGTCTCGCTCCGATGACTCTGCCGCCCGATCCTCTCTACAATTCCTCTTCTCTGCTCTGGGTGCACTGAAACAGAAGAACCCCTTGACCGAGTCCTTCCTGGTTCAGCTTGACGTGGATATCGAGGGCACCGCACTCGACGATATCCGACCCCGACCATTGAAAAAGATTCGCCGCGCGCCCAGTCGTACGGTAAGCACTGATCATCCTTTGTCCAACAAACGAGCTCTCCAATCCTTCGTGTAACTAACAACGACATAAAACATATAGTACTCGGACGAAGAACTTGCACCAGACACCCAGCCTCTCACATCCATCTGTCCGCATTCACGGACAACGTTAACCCCCGATGAAGGGGATTCGCCATCCTCCTCAAACAACTCCCGTCAAGCGTCCGCGCGCGCGCCCACGGCCCTCCCTAGTCGACGAAAACAACGTCCCCTCCCCGGTAACATAGCCTCCGTCTCCTGCTCTCTTCCTAATAATATGTATATCCCGCCTTCGAGGAACGGCACAGGCCCTACCGGTTGCGGAGGAGGCGCAACCCTCGACATGGACCTCTCGCCCGGGTTCACCGACGCCAGCACAAACAGCACCACCACTACCACGCACAATGACAGCAACGGCGCCATTCCCGGAGACCCAGGAGTGACGCTGAACCGTCCGCCTCCCAACGGACACCCACAATTCCCATCTATGCCGAATGGCTCGCAGCCACAGCCACAGCCTACGCATCGACATCAACATCAACAACACCCACGTCCCCACCCATCCAGTACCACTAACCCGCTCGAACCAAACGCCTCGATGACGCAGTCATCGCTCGAGGACATGGTCCCCGGTCCGTATATGGACATCGCGTATCCGGGTCGAGGGTACCCGCCCACCACGGGGATCGTGACGCCGCTCGATTCGACCGGATCGGAGGGCTCAATGCCCATGCCCTCGGCGTGGGATTTTGCGCCTTCTCAGGATCCAAGCGTCGATGCGATTCAGATGACGACGGGAGGAATGGACTCGTTCAGCGACGCGCAGTGGGCCCAGCTTCTGGCCTCGGGAAACTGGGATGCATGGCGGAATCATGGGTAGAGGGCAGAACGTCTGCTGTCTATTCTTCTCTTTTCTTTTCTTTCCATAAATTTTTATACATATCATAGATACCCCCCCACTTTATTACAAGTTTCTCACACTACACTCGTGGCTCTAGAACCTTTATTTTATCTTATCTTATTGTATTTGAACCTGACCCTTGATGGGATCAACTACGATGTGGGTCTTTTTGGACTGTGGATAATTCATTAGAAATAGATGGAAACAATTAAGAACTAAGGAGTTGTGATCGATGTTAGCAAGACGAAGTCAATCCCTCGTCGGTAGGAAATCGGAACAAAAGAAAACGGAAACGACAGACGGAATTATGTAGACGGTGAAAAAAAAAAAGGTAGAAACGAAAGTAAAGAACATCAATTCTCGCCAATATGCTCTGGCACGCAAATCCGATGCTTAGGCACATTGGTTCGGGTATCTTCTGTCCGTGGGAGGCTCGGGGAAGACGCCGTGCTCAAGCAGATCCGACATGTCCCATCCGGGTGCCCCCTCGGTCTTCCAGGTCCAGAACAGCCAGCCCGATTTGAGTTCGTAGGCGTCCAGCTGGGCCTCGATAAAGCGTCGAATGTTTTCCTGATCCCCGGCGGGAAGATCCGCCACGGATCCCTGGTGTTTATCCCCGCAGTCACCAAACTTGGTGTCGGAGGCATAGGTTCCGTCGTATCGAGCGAGGACCCCCTTTCCGTTGAGGTACTTGGTACAGTCAGTCAGAGCACCGGTCCACTCCCCGACAATGACAGCCCGGTTGGAGGCCAGCAGGTGCTGGTGCGCATACTGGCAGACGTTGTTGACGTGACTGTTGATGTCCAGAGCAAGAAGGCCGTTGTCGAACATATGGTAGTGGTGGGAGTCCAGCACTGTGTTCTCGTCGCCAACGCTGAAGTCGTTCCAACTTTCCACGGGCAGGAAACCGTCCGCAAAGACAACTGCGGTATTTGCGTTGTGCTCACGGACTCGGTCATAAACCTCATCGTAGTAATCACGTAGACCGACCTCGTTCACCCCAGCGGGGACATTGGGCTCGTTGACGGCCTCAATGGCGCTCACGACATCATCCTCAGGAGCATAACGCTTGACCAAGACATCGATGGCTTCAAGGGTGTGCTCAACTGTGCCTCCTTGCTGCCAGTTGACAGGGCCTTTCCGTCCACTGTTGTCAAAGCCATTTTGAGAGCCCGGTGCTGGTAGCATTGTTAGCGATTTTACAGTGTCCTCGGAAACCTTGCTCGACTATTTTGTTCGTTTTGGAACCGGTAGACTCACCACCATGCAGATCAACCAAGACCTTGAGACCAGAAGCTCTGGCCCAAGAGATTGCGTTGTCAAGATGTTCCAACTGACCGTCGACGTAGGGTTCTCCATCGATCGGCGCAACAGCCCAGTATCCGATAGGAATTCGAACATGGTTCAGTCCCGCCGCAGCTATGCGTGCAAAATCGTCCTGCGTAACGAAAGAGTTCCAGTGGTCCGAAAGCCGAGCCTGGGCCCCATCTTTGCCCAGGACTTCGGTCAAGGTCCATTCATCGACGGCACCATCGCCGGCCTCGTCGAATATCGAAGGCGTGATCCAGGGTTCCAACACAAGCCAACCTCCGAGGTTGACACCGCGCACCTTTTCAGTGTGGAAGTCGAAGGAGGCCGCACGGGACTGCAGGCGACTTGAGAAACAGTCAGCGTACATTAGATACAGTAGATTCTCCAGTAGACCACTCACACACGGGCAGCCTGTGCACTGACGGCCAGCAAAGAAAGCGCAAGCGCCTTCGGCGATATCTTGGAGAACATTCCGAAAACACAAATACCTTAAAAGCAATGATCTGTAGGCTGGGAAAGAAAGAATGAAGTTGACGAAATTCTGCGTCTCATGGAATGGAAGTCGCTGCCGTATAAGTAAAGAAATATGCGTCTTCTAGAATCGACTGAGCCGGATGCAGGAGCAGCACGAAACAGGCCGCTTTCAGAGATCTCGATTGTCGAGGAAGCTTCAATAAGGGCGCGCCGAAAACAGAAACAACGTAGGAGCAAGACCTGCCAAGAATACAATAGGGATAAAAGAACAATGCAATAGTAAGAGGCAAAATCGTGCCAGTCTCTCTCTTTCTTTGGTTCTCCCCTTTCCCAGAACCGTCGAGGCCACCATGTCAATCTGACAGGTCGCTTAGCTCAGTTCACGCGGAGCCGCTCATTGTGGGATGAAGTCACCCTGACGAGCGCAGAGTTCAGTTTAAACTCTCTGGGGACTCGAGAATCCTGCCAGACTTGAATCTGTGGATCGTCGATGTGTATCCGGGGTAGGAGCGAACCCAACGGGGCCGTTTCCCATGCCATAACTATCTCGTCATTTTATCGGCGAATATGATTGAATAGAATCTCTATTCTATTCAGAATATTTGCTGTCGTCTAGTTCAAGCCAACGAGTTGGCTACAAACCGGATGCTTTGATCCACACCATCATAAAGAAGTATAGTATAGTAGTTTCTCCCACCGTAAATCATCATACTAGTCACAGTAAATGGATGTGATGAAGCTACTCCGCATACCGACATTCAAGCCGGTCAGCTGTTATTTCTGCTTGCGGAAGCGATCGAGAGATGGAGATGGAAAGAAAGAAGAGACGAGGCGAAGAAGCGAAGGACGACGGCCGCTTTCGGAGGCTGCCACGTGACCCACTCCGATCTAGATCTGCCACCTTCACTGGAATGCCGCGCAGGCACTGCAACCCAGGGATTGATAATAATAATAATGCTGATCTCGACGCAACAGAGCGATGTAGAATGTGACTAATACGAAAGGGTCCCCGGTGCTGCATGGTGTGGATGTGCCACGTCCCCGAGTCCTCGGTCCTACGAACTAGAGAAGTGATGAAACGACAGGTACTCCGTAGAAGTTCCGGATTTGGGTAAATCAATCATATTTCAATGGCAAACACTGGAGCCTGGACAGGCCCAGGAGGTAGCCGACGTGTGCTTGATCAGTTTCGGGCGAGAGACAAGATGAGACCGAAGTCGACTCCGAATGCCATCGGCCCCATAGGCCCAATCGTCCGAAACTGATGCAGAAAGCCACCTTCTGCCCCTGCATTCGTTGGCGGTGCCATTGCGCCTGGCTAGGAAAGTTAGTAGCGATGGCATCACGATCGAGCAGATGATAGGCCGTACAGATTGGGATCTACGGCAAGCGGACATTGCAAGGGAGGGGGGACTCTCCATCCAGATCGATCTCTTAGAATGGTACTCCGTAGTCAGTCTATGGAGCAGTGTCAAGACCGATGATCCTTCGAGGCCCGGCAGACCCAGACTTGGCAAGGGGAGATTCAAAAGAGTCAAGCAAGACCTCCGGTCCGGATTCCCGCCGAATTCCCAGACAGACATGGAGGACCGGCGTTAATAATGCGTGCGCGGGCTAACCATCTCTTAAAACCCGCTATGGCAAGTCGATCAGATCCACCATCTCGCTTTGGATCGATGCAGAAGAGGCAGGGAATCGATAGATCAGATTCGAGGACGGGGACGGAGTTGGTAGATATACCGAACTATATGAGGCCATCTTATAACTCCGCTGGGCGTGGGATGGACGTGCTAACCCTGTCATGACCATGCGTTCTGCAGACATCGTAGGATCATTGCAGTAGCCGGGGGACCATGAACTCCTCCGTTGGCTCGATTCTGGATTCATGACATACGCATATGCCGTCCGTCGGTGGATCCCGACGACGGTCGGTGGAGATGATCGGGTCTGTCTGCCAGTCTGGGTCACTCGGGAGCTCGGCCGTCGTGCTAGTGATTCTACATGGAGACATTGGGACATTGACAGTAGGACCGGGTGGAATCATGGCGACACTTGCGGCAGCGTGACACAGCTGTGGCCGATACTCCGTAGACGTCGATGAATCCGGGAGGGACTAATCCTTCGGTCCAGCCCAGTGCCCCATTATTTCCCATGCAGAGCAGCTGTGGCTCATCAATATCCAACCCCTCCTGCTCCATTGGGCATCCATAAGATTGAAGCCAAATTGCTTCGTAGCTGTCACCGCCCCCTTTCTTCCCGTGATGAATGCCGGGCCCGGTTGATCGGCGAACCGGAGTAGTCGCCCAGGATGAGGCCACTCGAGGCATTAGAGAACCGACATGCGCGCAGCTGCATGACCTAACGTCACTGGCCGGGACGTCAGCAAGAGGTAATCTGGACGATGTGCGAACAGTCGGGGTCCTCCTGCATTTCCCGAGCATCGATGATGAGCGTCGATCATTAACCCAGGAGCATCGTCGTCGGTGAACGTTCAGTGCCGAGTTAGGGGTCCGAATAAAGAAAGCCAATACGAGAAAACAATGCCGGAGCCAATAAGATGGGACCAAAATGATAATAAGATGGTCGGGGGAAAGGACCAGGAAAACCGGTTTCACGCCAGAATCAGGCCATAGTGGCAGGGCAGGTCAAGACCGAAAAGCGAGACTAGAGAGAAATCAAACCATCGCGAGGGAATCCACCTGCGAGATGGTCCGTGATCACACGATTGAGACATTTTTCGCTCATTCTTATTTTTTTTTTTTTTTTATGACGGATAGTTATGATTTTATGATCCTGGATCGATTCTTATTTTAGCGATGGAGGAATGACGAGGCGCTCAGGATTCATGAAGTGAGGAGTTGGATCTCGCCTGCTCTCGTGACCTCTCAGGGTCTGGGCGCTTACGTCGCTTAACAGTTAGCCGTCTCTCGCGCGTCTCTGCGCGTCTTTGCCAGTCTCTGCCAGTCTCTGCCAGTCGCTCGGTCGAGCTTTCTCTTCCAGGGAGGAGTTTAATCTATCCCGGTCAGGCCATGGATTAATTATGCATCTGGCACATGCGAATAATCATTCTAATACGAAGAGGATCGGAAGCAGCTTACTGACTCTTTCTTCCGTAGACTCGGTCGGTTATCGGCCCCGAAGCCGTTGCGGATCCATGCTTTGTTTTTTCTTTTTTTTAGCTGCCTTCTGTTGGTCCCTCCCCTTTTTCGTCCCTTTTTTTAAAAATTTTTCTTTTTTTTCTTTTTTCCTTTGAGCAGGAATCGGAAAAAGATCAGCATTTACGGATAGAGGGAAAGGGAAAAAAAAAAAAAAAAAAAAAAGAACGCCGACATGCCAGTACATTGCATACATGCTCCTTACTCCGTAGTACCTTCACGATCCCCATCACCGAGGACTCGTATACTCCGTAGAGACTCAACGGAGGCCCGGTCTGCACGTCATTCGACGGAACAAATGGATTCATCCGCAGTCGAAAATCGATAGTCGCGATACTCTCCGGACTCCGTAGTACAATGCCAATGGCCCATTCTCCGTTCAATTCGGCCGGCCACGTCGGAGCGCCCCACGGCACCACGTGTGTCATCAGGGCCGTTATTCGCGTTCGAGCAATCAGAGGCCGTGGTTTAGGAAGCCTTGCAGCTCCTTGTGTCGCTCGGTCACATCAGACCACTGCCCGGTTGGGTATTGTGACCACCCATCATCGCCAAATCTCGGGATCTTTGCCCTTCGCCGTCACCTTTTCCCTTCTGGTCGGACCATCTGCTTCGTGTTAGGCGAGGTCTCCATTGCCTAGTCTGAAACAGCTCGATCCCTTGAGATAATTCCTTGAGCTTTCTGTCTCCATCCGGATCATGTCTTCCCAGATCCCGCACATGGCTGGGGAGGGGCCCTTTTTCGTCTCCTGCTCCCCCCGTTGTTGATCTATATAACCATGCCATCTCTCTGGCCAAATCTCCCCGTTCCCTGGAATTCTCGATTTTTCCATTACGCTTCCATCGTGTCCTGTCCTATCAGTTAAACAGAAACCCCAGTCGTTCGTCATTCTCAATCCAATCCCCGGCTTACCCCGTCGTCTCTTGTTCGATCAAACCCCCCCAACTAGTCATGGAGGAACTCCTGGGAAGCAATCGCCCCATCAAGCGTGTCAGCCGGAAGGCTTTGTACACCAGACTGGAGGCACGCATCAACTACCTTCGCGACTTCTTGGACTTCAATACAGGTACTTTCCTTTCCCGTTGCACGAGACGAACCTGCGACCTAACTGTCGTGTTTTAGCCGACGTCGAAGCCCTCACCACGGGCTCCAAGTATATCAAGGCGTTGATCCCTGCCATTGTCAACATCGTCTATAAGAAGCTCCTGGAACAGGATATCACGGCCCGCGCCTTCCACACCCGTAACACCGCCGACGAGACCCCGATCGAGGATTTCTACTCGGAGGAAAGCCCCCAGATCATGCGGCGGAAGATGTTCCTGCGGTGGTACCTGACCAAGCTCTGCTCCGATCCTACGCAGATGGAGTTCTGGCGTTACCTGGACAAAGTAGGGTGAGTGTTCCCAACTCAATCTCTCTCGGCGAATGTCAATCGGACTCGCAAGGCTGACTCGTCCCCAATAGAATCATGCACTCGGGCTCGGAGCGGATGCACCCCCTCAATATTGAATATATCCACATGGGAGCCTGTCTGGGCTTTATCCAAGACATCTTCACCGAAGCGCTCATGTCGCACCCTCACCTCTCCCTTCACCGCAAGACGGCGTTGGTGCGGGCCATCAGCAAAATCATCTGGATCCAGAACGACCTCATCGCCAGGTGGCGAATTCGCGACGGCGAAGAATATGCCGATGAGATTTCCACCATTCCCACCGACGATAAGGAGGGCTACGTCGGCGAGAAGAAGGTCCTGGGGGATAGCAGCACGTCGGCCAGCTCGAGTGACGACGATCGCTCAAGCATTGCCAGCAGCTGCGCGCCGTCCGCCGCCCCGGCTTGCCCCTTTGCAGATCTGGCGAAATCCGTGTCGGAAACTAAGATCTGGGCTGGGAAATGAATTGAAATATAGAAGCCATCCTCAACGGCCCCTTCAGTGGCTAGAGAGGGTATCCGCATCGGGCGGTTCACAATAGGCGTCTCGGTGAGATATCCAGTTCAGGGGGTGCAACAAAAGGTATATAAGCTGGCGCATTGTTCGGGATTAGAGTTCGGGGCTTGCTTTTTCTGTTTCTGTTTCTTCTTCTTTTTTGGGGATCTGAGAAAAAATTGTCTGCGTCTTGGGTCTTGGCTCTTTGGAGCATGCATGGGCGGTGTTCACGGTTTTCGATTTGCTGCTTTTTTTGATATCCTCTGGCCATGTCGACCTCACTTCTCTGTATCTCATAGAGTCAATAATATATGCACGTATTATCTATTATTATCCACAGTGCGTCCGAGCAACGTTTCGGGGAGATCTCAAAACCAATAGATCTGGCAAGCCACACGATGGGAATTATTGGCGATAATTGAGGAATAGGCTCTTCCGGAGAATTGCCTGCCTGGCCACTCCGTCCGACTCGACCCAAGGATGCGGCAGCCTTAAGGTTCAGGCATCCACGGCATGAAGTGGCGTGACTGACCAATGAGACCCCGCGGCGCTTCCTTGCAGCCGCGACGCAAGGGAGGATTTTCGAAGGGCTCAAGGTGTTTCCGCTGGTAGGAGACATGAGTGTGACCAGCTGGATGGACTTCATGTATGGTCAAGCCCACCGTGAGCCAATGGTCCCGTTATTTGGTGTTTCGCCTGTCAACCTTATCCCCAGTGGAGAAGACTGGAGGGGTGAAATCCCGCACTCTGACTCGAGGACTACCGAAGGACGGGCTGAGCCCGCCCACCAGAAAGTATGGCCGCGATCAGACATTTCCTCCCCGAGAATGAATCACGCCTCAAAAACTCGAGAGTCCTGTGGCGGCAGCTGCCCTCGCCTGTTAGAACCGCTTGGGGACGTCATTGGGAGGCCGGAACGAAACGTGCCAGCCCGCCAAGTCAGTAAGACCTCCCTAGTAGCTTTGAACGGTTCCAGATTCGTCCGTCTCCTTGCCGTCGCCCATGGACCCTATCTCGAAGTGGATAGCCAGGTCGGTTGCACCCCGGGGAGAAAGTACCGAGATTGGCTCCCCTCACTTCCCAAGACAGGCGTCTCTGCGAGGGCTTAAACGGTCGCGAACGTCGCGCCATCCGGACATGCATGTAGATCCCTCGACCGTTACTTTCTCTTCCCACCCCCCTTCTTCACCCTCTCTTCAAGCCCCCTCCCTTTCTCACTCTCTGGGCTCTCTCACAATCTTCGAGCTTTATATTTCGTAAATCTTTTCGCCTGTCCCAGACCACTGACCGGTGTTATTAATTTTTGAACGAAAAGCAGAATAAGGCAAAATCATGGGTTCGATCGACAGAAGTGGCGGAAGAACCACCATTCCACTCATCATCAATAATGAGTCAATCATCACAGATACCGTCTTTAATGTGCACAACCCCGCAAATGGTGAAGTGATCGAGCATTGCGCCAGTGCGTCAGTCGACCATGCCAATCGCGCCGCAGCTGCCGCCAAGGCTGCGTTTCCTGCGTGGAGCAGAACAAAGCCATATGATCGCAGAGACATTTTAACGAGAGCCGCGGAGATCATGCTGTCGCGAAAGGAGGAGTTGATTGGATACCAAATGGAAGAAACGGGCGCCGGAAGGCTTTTTGTGGAGAAAACCTTCATGATGGGTGTCGGGTTTATTAAGGATTTCGCAGCGAGGATTCCGTCGATTGAAGGATCTGTGCCATCTGTGTCGGAAGATGGCGAATGCGCGATGGTTTTCAAGGAACCATATGGAGTTATCCTGGGGATTGCGCCTTGGTATGCTTTTCTCCGTTGCCGAGGTGGAAAAAAAGATGTCAAACTGGTCTTGAAAGGGTATACTTATCAATGACTCCAGGAACGCTCCGTACATCCTTGGTACGCGGTCGGTGGCTCTGCCCCTCGCAGCTGGTAATACAACTATTTTGAAAGGCTCCGAACTGTCGCCAAGGTGCTTTTGGGCGATTGGCGATGTCTTCCGCGAAGCTGGTCTTCCCGCAGGATGCCTCAACGTGCTCTACCATCAGACATCAGACGCGTCGGCCGTCACCACGGCTCTCATTGCGCACCCTGCCGTACGCAAGGTTAGTTTCACGGGCAGTACGGCTATCGGGGCGATTGTTGCTTCCACGGCTGGCAAATACGTAAAACCAGTACTCCTCGAACTTGGAGGGAAGGCATCGGCCATTGTATTGGACGATGCCAATTTAGAAAAGGCCGCCATGTGTTGCGCCCTTGGAGCCTTTATGCATGTACGAAGTCCCCCCCCTTTCCGGATGGCTCAATGATACTAATTCAAATGTCAGTCCGGCCAAATTTGCATGTCCACCGAGCGTATTGTAGTGGAGCGATCTGTTGCAGAGCAGTTTCGCCAGCTGCTGACCGAGGCATCAGAGAAGATCTTTGGTCGGCACGCGGCGGCGCCAGTGCTTGTGGCATCCGCTGCAGTCAAGAAGAACAAGAGCTTGGTGACAGATGCGCTGGCCAAGGGGGCGGATGTTGTCTTTGGTGACGCAAATGCTCATGAAGCGTGCACCAACAGTATGCGACCTTTGGTCGTCGGCAATGTCACCAAGGACATGGATCTGTATTCCACGGAGTCATTTGGTCCAACTGTCTCCCTTATCACAGTCGACAATGAAGACGACGCTATTGCGCTGGCCAATGATACTGAATACGGACTTACGTCCGCAGTCTTCACGAACAATTTGTTCCGAGGACTGAAGGTAGCCAAGCAGATCGAGTCCGGGTGAGTTGCTTTCTCGTCTACAGTCACTCTGGGAAAGATTTACTAACCATCGCCATTCTCAACGTGTACTAGTGCCGTCCACATCAACTCGTTAACCGTACATGACGAGCCCGTGCTACCACACGGAGGGTGGAAGAGCAGCGGATTCGGCCGCTTCGGCGGAACTTCCGGGTACGACGAGTGGTTGCAAACCAAGACCGTGACCTGGGTGCAATAGAGTTAGAGGTGATAAACTTTACGCTGGAGACTCAGGGCCGGCCTTGCTTTGAGTTCAGAGAACAATAGTGTGGTCCACAGAATGCTTAAGGTGTTCGTATATAATTAGACATCTGGTGCTAACCGCCCAATGACACCAGCCATGAGAACGGCCAGTGCTCGATCCACTGGGCATGGTGGCGAATGCGATATCCATGTTCCATACTACTTTTGGGGCCAAGCTATCCCACTCCCAAAAAGATCGTACGGAGTAGGAGATATTTTGGGAACGCTGGGTGCTTTCCCTGTTCAGGAAAATAGAGATGTAGTACTATTGCTTCTGGTTCCGTGGGTTGTGTAGACATAGTGAGCAGAATGCTCGGATAGTCTAGTGTGGTTTTGGAGTCTTGGACCAAGTTGTCTGACCGCGTTTTCAGGCTTGGGGTCCATGACTCCATCTGAGTCCATCAGGTGTTTGTCGATCGTGTCCCAATTCTCTAGTCAGCTCAACCTCTAAACGGGTCCTGTTGTCACTGGTTAGCCCTTTGCACATCCATATATAGTAGTGAATGTGTTACTGTAAATAGACAAGTTGACTCTACTACGCAGGTAAGACAGCGACTTAGACACCGGATGAATCCAATTCAGGTCTCACAATCCACAACGACTTCTTGGCTTCCGTACGACATCCGTTCGTGTTAGTGTAATTTAGCTTAGGCCTCCGTGAGTTCATCTCCACAAGCCGAGGGATGACTGATCGCAGGGTGCAAGTCAGCAATCAGAACGAGAGACACCCGCGCTAGTTTCGGACGCCACTGAAAATTCCTGCTCTGGGGCACACTGGTGCCAACTCTGGAGTACTTGATAGGACACCACTTTGCGATGGAAGCGCCAGCCTTCCCTTTGGGAAGGTCGACAGAGTGCGGTTCCCCTGCGAATTTGGTCACGCTGCAGGCCGATGGCGGCGTTTCTCGGAGCTTTTCCCACGTTTTCTTCTTTGTTCCCCTCTCTCGCAGTTAACGGGACCAAATTTCCTTGGTACGCCGTAATTAAACTTGCAGGCCTTGTCCCTTTTTTAGGGCAATTAGGACCGAGCGGCTCCACCGACCAAGTCAGGAACAAGGAATGAGCGACACGGAGGTTGAACATCATCCCCGAGAGAAGACTGAGGATGACTTCATCCCAAGTTGCGATCATCCCTTTGCGGGGATGAGTCGAGGTTATCAGCTTATCACCATGGAGGCTTCGGGACTTGGGATGTCGCGCCCGGTTTTTGCTTAGAATTAATTGATCGACCGAGACCGGCGTGTGGGCGATTTCCAGTTAGACGGTGGGGGGGAAGATAATCTTACTGAGATTGCGAAATTATCCTTACTCCGTAATCAATCGTGCTCGTTTAACGAGGAGATGGAATTAATTGCATCTAGCCTCGTGGCGTCTCATTTTCATCTCGGTTTCTGACGTGGACGCACCTAGACGCTCGGAATGCGATCCCACGCTGGAGCAGGAAATTAAACTAGCGATCGAAAAAGGTCAAAATACTGGAGAGCATCCATTATGGCCAGCACAAGGTCTCAGATAATTTCGTACGATGGAGGCGACTCGGGTATTTTCCGGAAGTTAGAATGAGACATGCGGCGAGGGGAAAATGCAGGAACAAAAGTTGCAGCGGATGTTGGGAAGCACGAGATTTGCTCCCGTGCCTGTCGATGCCTCGGGCCGCCCTTTTTTTTCGTCTTGCTTTTTTGTTTTCCCTCCTTTCATCCCACCTCAGCATCATCGCACATCCCCGTCCAATCCTTGTTTTATTTTCTTTTTTTTCCCGCCCGTTTGGTCCTTCGATTTGAAGAATCGTTCCATCAGGGGATCTCCGAAAGATACCATTGTCCGTGTTTTACACCTCTAGCACTACGACGTTGGGCTGATACAGTTCACCAGTCCGGCGCCGTTGGCCCTTAGTCCGCTACTAGATGCCCTTAGCCACAGGATCCACGAGACTACTACGGAGTACCATCTGGCCGACCCCTCGGGCCCCCTCCTTGATGAAGTTTCTCTGGTTCTCGGTGCCTAGTGCCTCGCGATGACTGGGTGGTGAATGGTAAATCTCCGCCAATCCTGGCAACGCTTCAAGGGTCAACAGTTCAGGCACGCTCAATCCCGGCTCTGGTTGGAGAGATCTATACAGGCTAAAGATGGGTCTAAAAATGACCGCAGGCCAGTGAGATGGCCTCCCCTCCTGCGAGGTAGCATTCCCAATCCCTCCCAGCCCTTCAAGGTTCAAACATTCCACATTCCATAGGCTAACCGCGCCGCAATCCAGGGTAGACTGCTTAGAACCGTAGAGGATGGAGCACCGCAGGAGGCACCGGTGACCGTCGAACCCTGTGAGATGCCCACCCACCTTTGTTTAGTTCAGGTACCCCTCCGGACGCGCTCCACCGGTCGAGTGAGCCGCAGCATGGACGGTGTATGAGGCAATAATCTCCCCTTTCGAAGGGGGGCAATTCGCGAGAAGGCTTAGCCTGCTGTTACACTCCAGTGCAACTCGCCTTTAAAAGCTGATCCTTTTTCTTTGCCCCCTTCGCCCCCCTTCCTTCCCTTTTCTTCTCTTTTCTTTTTACTCTTCCTCTTCGATTGATACCCATCCATCCCCGTCGCTCTTTTCCCACGGTAGTCACTCTTTTCATCCTACCCATCCAACTCAGTCATTCATTCTTTACTTGCATTCTCCGGAATCCACTCAGTTATTCTCCTCGTCAGTCTTCGTCTCAGTCAGAAGGAAGAACAAAACCAAAAATCGGAAATCATACACAATGCGTTTCTCCATCGCCGCTGTCTTCTCGGCCGTTGCCGCTCTGGTGTCTGCTCACACCGACCCCGACTACAACCAGAGCCCTACTGGCAATGCCATCTACACTCCCGGCCTGAACCAGCAGGTTGAGGCTGGCAAGCCCTTCGTCATCACTTGGGACCCTACCACCGAGGGACCTGTCTCCCTGGTTCTTCTGCGTGGCCCCAGCAACAACGTGGTCCCCATCGACACTATCGCTGAGCAGGTCCCCAACTCGGGCAGCTTCACCTGGACCCCCAGCACCTCGCTGGAGGACGACGTCACCCACTACGGTCTCATGATCATCGTCGAGGGTACCGGCCAGTACCAGTACTCCACTCAGTTCGGTGTCACCAACCCTAGCTACGGTTCTTCCTCTTCCTCCTCTACTACTGCTAAGGCCGCTCCCACCACGGCTGAGGCTGCTCCCACCACTGCTCCTGCCGCTGTTACGACCCACGGTGCCTTCTCCACCAGGTACGAGACCTACGAAGTTACTACGACCATCTGCCCCGAGAGCGCTGCCCACCCTACCGGCAAGGCCCCTGCTTCCAGCATCCCTCTGATCGGTACCGGCCGTGTCTCCGTCCCCGCCGTTTCTCCCAGCCAGACTCCTGTCCGTCCCGGCCAGCCCAAGGCCTCCACCCTGGCCAGCTCGGCCGTGCCCTCCGGCACTCCTTCCTCGACTGGTCCCTCGACGCCCGTCTTCACCGGTGCTGCCGGCCGCAACGTCGTTGGATTCGGTGCCGTTGCTGCCGGTGTTCTGGCTGTGCTTGCTTTCTAAATCTCTTGAGATCTTTTGTGCATTCATTTCTATCGCTTTCCAGAATCAGTGTGAAGCGTAATGTTTCTTTTTCTAGGCATGTATTTCACACATTTTAATAGTATGATAGCATAGCTCGGAACCCAAAGCTTTTCTCAACATTCACCCGCGCTGTTCTAAGTACCTCTCCATGACCTGAAACTGAGTCTGTGTCAGTAGGTAGTACAAGGGGTAGTTGTTGGCAATCCAATATAATCCCGCAATATGACCGCCTACGCTAGAGACATAATTTTTCTTGATTAATTTAACTCACAAAGACGCGTCACTAATCTGGCATGGTCTGTGCCCTGTAGGCTAAATTACATTTGGGTATATTTCCTATCTCTGAACGAAAGGGGGACAAACTTCAAGCCTACGGTTGTTTGTACGTGCAATGCACCATCGATTAAACCACCCTAATGAGAGCCGTTATACCCTAAGATTCTCGAAAAATGTCGACAGGGATCTACTATACTCCAGCAGGCTTCTTTTTGACTCAAGCCTTCCCATAGATAACATGATCATCCATATGGTCCCACTCTTCCTCTGTCAGCCGAACACTAAATAGAACATGTGGAAATTTAATTTTGATTTCAATCAAACGTTGAGTCACCTGTTCATGCCGTGGCGGCATTAGCACTGAAACATGGATGTTGCCTGTTTCCTGGTTGTTTGCTAGGTAAATCTCTTGTTTCTTTCTTTATTTCTTTCTCACATTCGCTTTTTTTTTTTTTTTTTTTTTTTTTTTTTTTTTTTTCCTGCGTTACAAACATACAGAGTGCGTACAGAAAATATCAATCAAAAAATATTCCGAGATATTTTCACCTGTAGATCCTAGATCCCAGATCTCAAATCACGAGGATTGTATCCTGGGCTCTGTTTGTCACTTCTTCTGGGTCAGGTCAGACATTCAAAATTCATATCATGCTGTGCGAATCTAGCGAGAGCACGACAGCAATTCTGTGTGCATCCTCTGCTTCTGTGTGGATTTTACTGCATGTTCCCGCTTCCAAAGCATAGATTGTTTGTTAGACGGTTAAGATGAAACAACCCAATTTGGTTCATGATAGCCACACCGCATCTATCCGCGGGATTGACAAACAACTTGAAACTGCTTGGAGCGTTGGGAGGGCTGAGGAAACTGTCAAGTTCGTAGGTACTGTGCAGTAGTGCAGCCTGGTACGAGTCCGCACATGTGGCACGATCTATACGTGCGGGAATCGCAACTGGACTTAATCCTATTACCGAGTACGAACTCCATTACTTCGAACAAGTTCCAATCAACTGTGCATTCAATTGTCAAATAATTGGACTCCATTAAGTAGAAGATGAAAATTTAGAAAATAAGTAAATAAAACACAATGAAAAGGTGATAAGAACCACCAACCGAACAGACTACCCAATCCGGCAGCCCACAAGATCGACACCACGTGACCGATAACGACGCCGCGATAAGCAATTTTCTCCAGGAAAATAATTTCCCTCCAAACTCACCACTTACTCTGCCTCCAACCCATACAACGCAGCCCACGTCTCACATCCCATTCTGATACTCCCGTGCTGCTGGCAGTACTTTCAATCGAACTTCCACCAAAACCGCAAAAATGGTTCAAGGATCCCTCAAGAAGGCCAAGACCAACACGGCCTCCACGAAACGGTACGATATTTGCCCCCCGACTTTGACCTAGACCTTGACTCGGTGCGCCGGTTCGGCTCTGGTCTTGTGTGTCGTCTATCAATAGCCTCAGGGAAATAGGCTAACGATGGCTGGTTTTGCCCATGTTTAGGCCCACTGCCCTCGGTCCTAAGCCCGGACCTCGACAGATTGCGCCCAAGAAGGCTTCGTTGGTCAAGCAGAAGAAAATCACCAAGGTGAGTGATACTTGATATTGGTTTATTCTGGATGCGACATCGAAGACTTCCGCACGTATTTTGTGGAGAGAAGTCTGGATGTGAAGAGGAACATTATCGCTGATTATACTTCGTGCATTAGAAACTCACTGCCGGTTTGACGGCAAGGACGGAGAGGAGTTTGGCTGAGCGGGCAGGTCATTTGGAACTGCTGGCTGGTGGAAAGAAGGACAAAAAGAAGGCCGCTGAGAAGGGGAACCAGGGTGCAAAGAAATAAAGGACAGGAGTTTGGTTGGGACTCCTGTTTGAGGAATGGGTTGATCGACGGCATGTCGATCAAGGTCGCCATTTGTTCGCTGATATAGTATACATTACACTATGATTAATGAAACCAGAAGATACCCTTGAGTACAGTTCTCTGTTGTCGATCTCATTGGCTTCGCGACAATAAATATGATCACGGGGGCTCCTAAAGTAGCTCTGGTCTAAAGGAAGATCTAGATATTTTATATATAGAAAGACATGTACGCACAAACATACATATAAGATATTTGCTAGCACTTAGGAGCCTCCCATTGCAACCATACATAACTCCTAATCAAATATATATCTGAATTATAAATAAAACACCACAAACAAAATCATCAGTCATGAAAGCAGAAGAGGGTGTCGCAAAAACGCTGAAAAAGGGTATCTCAAACTCAGTTTAAATCCAATCTATCATGCCACCGCGGAATTATTTTTTCGCCTTAATGAGTGGGGGGGGTTTCCGAGCCCCCAGACACCGAAGAAAGGCATGTTCTAGGCTTTGGGGGAGCGGTTCTGCACACCAGCTTGGTCGATAAGCTCTTGGCCCCGATCCATCCAGTTCTGGAAACCGTCATCGCTAGGATCCACGGGGAAGTCGTCCCAGATGGCGTTTTCGGAGTCTGGATAGGTCGACCAAATTCCCTTGGGAACATCAGAAACGGACCACGAAGGAAGCTTGGCGAGTACGCAGGTGTAGTAGACGTAAAGAATCCTGCACAGCAAATCGACTCGGTCGACATAGTGTTGCTTAGTTGGGTCGGGGTTTCGACCGCCGTCGCCGAGGCGTTTCCACCAGGAAACCCGCCAGCGAAGAGTGAGCAGAATGTGGCCCAGTTCGCCCAGGAAGCGCAGATGCGTCTCCTGAGAGATCTGTTTCCATTTGATGTTGTAGAAGTCTCGCTCCAGCTTGCGGAAACCCTCCACTTCCAACATACGGCAGACAATCCGAGATAGCTGAGCTGCTAAGAGGATCTCACGCTGATCCTCCGGATTATGGATATCCATCGGTCGTTCCTGGCCTCCTGATTGGATTGGAACAAAACTGTAACTTGCGCGACTGGGCATGTTGTTCCATTGAGATAGAAGAGACTAGTTCCAGATCAGTGATATGATTCGTGCGAAAGCAGGTAAAAAGGCGAACTCACGTATATATTATTCATGGGGTCGCAGTCTTTGACACAAGTAAGCCAATTCTTGGATTTATCCTTGGACTCCACGATCCGTCGATCAATAAATTCCAAAAAGTTGGATCGAGAGTTGCCGTTGTAGTCGCTGAGACTTCGAAGGAATTTGTAAGTTTCTCCCAGGTCCAGGACGTAGAGCGATCCCCAAGACTGGCTGGCACGAATGTTGAAGCGACCTTGCCGCTCGCCAAGGAACGACAGCAGATCGCCCAGGTCAAACTCGAAGGGAATCTCCATTCGGACTCGACCAGCTCCATCCAAAGTACGGTGGTTGACCGCTCGTTGGGCTAGATCACGTCAGCAACATGGACCAGGAACGAAGAAGACCGGGCTATACGTACAGATGTAATTGCACGTTCCATATTCAACAATGTTGGCAAAACAAGCTCGTGCACATGGCTGTTCATGAAGAGTAGGCCGACAAGCATCGCATGGAGAACTGCCATCACACTAGATGATCAAATTAGTGTCTGTCAAGGCAAGGTTTCCAAGGTGATAAGAGACCAACCTTGCGTTTATTCAAGCGGCATTGGACGCAAGTGTCCTTGTTCTTTCTCCGCAAACCCGCATTGGCCCGGCCGACCATGGACAGAGGTCCCTTGCGGCGGGCTCCACGTGGCGGAGATACAAAATCGGCCGAGGCAATCGAGCCACCCTGACCGTCTTCCTGCACGATCTGAAGCGGTTTAGGCTGACCGTCCAGCGAAACGATAGAGGAGCGCTGTTTGCGTTTTTTCACCGCGGCAACGGACTGAAGCGCGAGGGCCTGCGGTCGAGAGTTTGCCCGTTGCGCAGCATTGGACGAGGCTCGAGACCTTGAGGGAGTCGAATCAAGGAACTGTTCCGACGGGGCTTCGCTGACCATATATGCAGTGGCATTCTGGAGAGGTTGAGACACTTCCGACGCCTCGTCCTTCGGGCCATCACTCCACGGTCCGTCTTCGTTCAATTTCCGTTCGGGAAAGGCCGAAGGCTCGTCACTGGTAGCTGAGTAAGAGCCTTCGTAAACGCCGGGAAGATCGCCCGACACGGACGAGCTTTCCGATTTGTACTGGAACGCGTCCTGCTCTTTGCTGTCTCTCAACAGACTGGGGTCCTGCGAAACGGTCGGCATCGACGCAGGAGTCATGTTGGTAGGGAGTTGGGACTCGAGGCTCTCGAGCCAGCGCGATTCAAGCGAGCGCATGGATCCGTGGAAGCCACGCATGGCATTCACATTCTTATTTGGCAGCTGAGGACCCATAGACATCGGAACTTGCATTTGATTAGCCATGTGATCGGTGGAAGGGCTGGTCGATGGCTCGGTCCAGGTCTCGGGCGCCGAAAATGGGAACGCCTGCGGCATGTTCTGGAACGATAGAAATTGGTCGGGCGTGATGTCTGGAAAGCCATGATCCTGGGGGAGCTCCCCAACATCTCCGACAATCACGGTGTTTCCCGAGGCCGTGGGATCCTTGGCGTACTGATAGAGGAGGGGTGTCTCCATGGGGACGGCCGTCATGGTGTTGAACATTTGGTAGTGCGGCCATGAATCATCCAGGTGGAAGTTGTCATCGGCAGAAGGCAAAGTTCGCGGGCTGACGGTGCCACTGATGGTGCCTTCGACGGTGGCATCGGCGACGCTGAACTTATCGGGCGAAGTGGTGGATTGTTTGCTGCAAGAGAAGCCGTCAGTCCGCCACGTGCTTTTTTTTTTTAATGTATATGTATATTTTTATCAACAGGGGAGGAAGAGGGGGTCAAAGTGCCGCACCTGCTGTCGCCTGGTCGATAACCGGTCGACTGTCCCGAGAACGAGGCGTCAGGCTGGTCTTTCGCCAAAGGCCCATACTGGGCGTTTATATCCACAATCTCCCCATCGCACTGACTGGATTCCTGGCTCGTATCCCAGTCCAGCGGATGCTCGTAAGCGGAGTGTTCCCAGGAAGGAATGGAAAAAGCAGCGTCCGTTTGCCAGTTATCGAGAATTTTGGGGTCGATGCCCGCAGCCGTACCGGTGCTCCCGGAGTCCATCCAGGGGATCGAGGGAGGGGAACGAAGCGTAAAGGACCTCGAGGAGCTGACAAGGTCTCAACGCGCGTCGGCGGGTTTGTGGCCTCTGAGCGAGCGACGGATGGTGCAGGAGGGAAACGCAGAGCCCTCGCACCGACGAAGAATAAAGCGAGAGGGGGGTGGGACGGGGGATGGGATGGCGATCGCAGGAGAGATGGAAGACGGAGGAACGACGATGGTCTGACGGGACGAGCAGAAATTCATCCGCGCTGAAGTGTTTCCTTTTCCCCACCAAAGATTTTGCGGCGATCGGTCGTCCGCTAATAACAATTGGCAACGCAACTGACTAAGACCAGCTCCCCTAACTTTGGGGTCGGTTGATAAGTCTGCACTGACCAGGTCTGGGATCTTAGTTTTTCTGGGAGTTGGGATTGGAATTCTAAATCTCCCAGGGTGGAGGGGAGGTGTAGCAGTTATATGCCGATCGATCAAACTAACTATACAACTACGGTCCTCGTCACTGCCTCATCAGCGAGGGGAAGCGATCCAACTCCAGGGCCAGGAACCCAACCAAAAAAAAAGAAAAAAAAAAGAAAAGAAAAAAAAGAGGACTATTGTCTCTCGGCGGAAGATCAGGACTGGGCACGAGGAGGGGGAGGGACCGTCGATGCGGATTATTTGCTGAAACCCTCCGTGCGACGGTCGAATGCTGCACGGTGATTCTGTGACAGCCAAGGCTGAGGATTACGCGACGGCATCACTCATGGAAACCTGCAACGGGGATCAGTCCTCCGTGCTGCATCCAGAGACTCCGCCATGTGTCGCTTGCCAGGCGCTGAGTGGAAGATCGAGGGCAGCGGACCCGCCGGGGAAAAGATTGGCGCCAGTCGGATTGCATGGGTGCATTGATCTAAGAATAATAATAATCATCGTGCCATTCTAGAAGGCAGTAAGTCATGGACTCATGGACTCTGGTACTCTAAGACGGTCAGACCACGGTGAGGCTTTCGTAGGAAAAATTTGCCGGCCCACTTTGCCCAGTTCCTCAGGGTCCGAAGTCGCCTGTGCGAGAGCAGAAGATTAATCCGATGATATGAATGGCATGGGGACCCTGCAGCCACGGCAGCGTTCGATTGGACCTGATTCTTGATACACTGTCGGGGGGGGAAGTATAAACTCGAGGACTTCACCCGACTGAGAGACCGAGAGACAGAGAGCACTTTCTAGAGTTTCTACAGAGAATTCTCCTACGGTTATTACGTGATTCCCTCGCGGCAGGTGACCTCGACTGCCTGTTCTGGAGATTCTTCACCGGAGACGCTTCACCGCAGACTCTTTTGGGGAGGCACTCGTCGGGTGCGCGTCATGACAATACCCGTCAATTGCAGTATCTTTCGTTATTTTAGCAGGGGAATGGCCAAAGATACGGCAATATACTCGTACTGTCATGACGCTTCCCCCCCCCCGCAGCCCCGACTCGCCTTCACCGCGACCGAATTGGCGATTTCTTCCCCGGTCAGTCTTCGGGCGTCGGGGTAAGTAGGAACTGACGCTCTCTCCACGTTCAACGTTTAAACCTTTACCCTGAGCGTGCCTGGCTATAAGTACTCCGCGATGGATGGGCTCGATTCTCTCCGCAGTTCTAGACTCTGTCCTCCGTCGATCGAGCGCCAAGCATCGCTAGACCCTCCGGAGTACATCGACGAGATTGACTAGATTGACTCCCATCATGCATATCTTGGTATGTCTCCCTCTGGCGGCCTCTATCTCCAATTGTCGTCCAATCGATCCCCGGCGTCAGGTCAGCCGACAAGCGCTGGCTCGTCATCCGTACCACCCCACGCACCGTCCGCCCTCCCAAGACTAATCAGCGAGCAGGTCGTCAACGATGACGGTCCGCCGTGCAGCCAACTCTCCCCCTACATCCGCCCATTCGTCAATGCCCTCCAAGATGCCGGCCATCTCGTCTCCGTCGCCATCCCCGCCGCCTCCCGCTCCTGGATCGGCAAGGCGCATCTGATCGAAGCCTCCCTGAAAGCCACCTACGTGCCGCCTGCCGCCTTCCGCAACGACGCAACCTGGGATGAGGCCTTCGACGCCGACGCCGACGCCGACACCGTGCAGGACCCCCACGGCGACTGGGTGGTCATCCGCAACGGCACGCCCGCCAGCTGCGTGCAGCTCGGCCTGTTCAATCTCTTCGCGGACCGCGGGCCCATTGACCTGGTGATCTCCGGCCCCAACCACGGCCGCAACGCCTCCACCATCTACAACCTCTCCTCCGGCACCGTCGGCGGCGCCCTGGAGGCCGCCACCTGCGGCAAGCGCGGCATCGCCATCTCCTTCGGCAGCAAGGACCCCCAACCCGCCGACACCATCGCCGCCGCCTCCCGTCTCGCCGTCCGCCTCGTCGACCACCTGTCCCGCCGCTGGGACGAGCGCGTCGAGCTGTATAACCTGAACATTCCCATGCGAACCGACGTCGAGTCCAGATCCATTCAATACACGCGCGCCCTGCCGTACTACTGGGCCCGGGGATACCTGTACGCCGAGGAGCCGACGGCGCAGAAGACGAACGGCGCGACGAACGGCGCGCTGACCAATGGCGCCGCGCCGTCGCGGTTAAAGCAGCGCAATTTCAATTGGTCCGCCGAGCTTTCGGATATGAAGAAGGCGCTGCAGTCCAGCGAGGAGGGCACGGATGCGCATACCGTGCTGAATGGAAACGTCAGGTAAGGGGGTGGACCCGAGCATCCGGAGCAAGTGGAAGTTCTGTCCGACGGCAAAGCTAACGCAATTGGTTCTCCTCTAGTGTGACCGCCCTCTGTGCGAATTTCTGGCATGTGCCCGGTTTGGATGGACCCTTGGAACTGGACAATTGATATGATACAAAAGAACACGAGGGAGGAAGAAAATGGGGTGACGTTAGATGACATGATAGATACCTAGATACCCGCAAAGGTTCTTGTTTTTGTTCCTATTTCTATTGCTATGTGACTGGAGTTTTCACTGGGTAAGAACGGAGTATTGTAAGATCTAATGGCATGGCCCGGATGGGACATACTCACCTGGGCTTATACATTCTATACAAGCTATATTGCTGATTATCGTCTGATGGTCATATTGGAGATTAACACCGCTATTACCCGTTCGCAGGGACAGAAACGATTGAAACGATTAAAAGAGACTGACACAGAACGGAGCACATGACGGGGAAGGGAAAACAGGAGTATCATCTGATCATGGAAGATGGCATATCGACACGGCAGGAAAAACAAGCCATAAGAATAACAACACGAATGAAATAGAGAAAAACAGATAGACAAAGCGATTCTAGAGCGCCCGCGCAACCTCTCCCGCTCCGCTCTCCACGGCCGACGCCTGCTCGGCACGCATCTTGCCCTTGGCAACTCCCGCCTCGCCAACGCCCATTCTGCGCGCAACGTAGCGCTGCGCGACGACTCCGGCGGCCAGAGAAAGGGTTTCCTCGATCCATTCGGCGGCCCATTCGCGAGGGTCGACGCCGCCACTCTCGACAATCTCCGCAATCTCTTCCGGGACAACGGCCCGCGGGATCTCCTCTTCGGGGTTGTACTCCCCGGCAGCCGGGGCGGAGGAGTCCAGCCACTCGATCCATTTCTGCGGAACTGCCTGCGACACCGTGTGAAAGGCGATGCCGTGGATGGGGTCGTGCAGATAGAGGGCGAAAGTAATCTCCTCTTCAGTCGCATCGGGCACGTCAACCACGCCGCTGGGAGTGGCCTTGTCCGTGGTCGGGCCTGCCTGGAACAGTTCCGTCGACGAGGTTTGGCTGATAGCCTGAATGGCCATGAAGATGTCGCTGTTCCGGACCGGGTTAGACTCGCTCAAGACCTGGCTGGCTTGCTTCGCGGCTTCCTCCACGCCTCCCTTGGACGAGAAGAACTCGGCCGCGTAAGACTCGGCGCTTGCCCGCGCGAGCTTGGTAGCCTCTACGGAGCCACGGATAGCGGAGAGGTTGCGAGGGTTTCCCGGGGTAACCGTGCGCCACCACGGACCATCGCGCCAGCCCGCTGTAGCACCGGTGATATCAATGCCGCGTCTGGGTGCCGATTCCTGGCCTCGCTGGATCACTAGGAGGTCACCACCCTCAACTTGAGACATCACGCGAGAGAAGACAGCGTAAACGAGAGGGTCTAGGCTGGGGTAGCCGGAGAAGTCGTGGGTCACATGGATTTGAAGACGTTCGTGGGACGAGATCGGGGGTGCGAGAGTATGGATGAGGGAGGTAAAAGTAGGGATCGCCATGTTCCGGAGCTCACCACCTAGAGAAAAAAAAAGAGTCAGTATAGCCCTTGCCATTCGTAGGTAGTAAGGGGGCAAAGTACCAAAGTCTTTCAGCGCACCGACATTGCCTTTCACCTGCTGAGCCCACTTCTGAGCTTCTTCGTTGTGTTGTATCTCTTTCACGGCGGCTTCGGCTTGCTTCATGGCCGCGCTGGCTGTTGCGAAGATGCCTCCCCACCATCCACCACCGGAGGCAGAAGCCTCCTCTGCGGCGGACTTTTCAGCATCCGACTTTTGCACATTCTCGGACTGGGTTGTCGCACTGGCCGAGGGAGCGCTCTCCTCTGACTTGCGTGGAGTGGGCTTCTCTTCACTGGATCGGCCGGTGGAGGGGGTAGTGGTCGCCGCCGCAGCTGGCTTGGGCGACTTGATGGTGGGCCTAGGCTCATTAGTAGAGGCACGTGGGGTTCCCGGAATACTGCTTGGACGCTGCGAAGCTAAATTATCCAGCTCAGCAAGGATGTCCTGCTCGGACTGCGCGGCGGTAGTTGCAGCAGCCGCCTGGGACGGTTGCTTCTCGGCGCCGGAGTCCTCGACCCCGAGATTGTCAAATTGAGCGAGAAGCTCATCGCTGGTTGGCTTGCCACCCTTGGGACGCATCTCGGGTAAGAAGTGGATTGTTGCAGCAGGAGATGGTTTGTCTGTTTGATTCGTCGTCGCAGGAGATATCGACGGAGGTTGGCTTGAATCACGGGGGATGATGTTTTGGGCGGTGGAGACGGAGATGACCTGCGCCAAGAAGCGTTAGCGTGCAGCTTCTGGACACTGGAATATAGATGGTTGTCAACGTTGGGATGGACGATTGTTTATGTCTCTTCCTTGTCAGTTGCCAGTAATATATTCGTAGTGCAGGCTTGAATACAGCATTTGGGTTTGGGGCTGAATTTGAGATCTTATGCTATATGTAGGGAGTGCACATACATTGTCACTTTAATAGTGCTGTAGTTTGTATATTTTGGCTACCCGTGGGTGTACTAACATGCCACAGGATATTTTGTGTCACTCAAAATTTCTAGGAGACCACCGACAATAGTACCCCGCTATAGATAGCTAAGGCAGTTTCTCGCGAAGAGACCACGAAGCCCCGATGGGATTACTTTACTGAACCTTGACAATCTGGAGGAATACTTACAAGAAACTCCCTCCTGCGAAGACCCCATTTCCAAATCGCTGCGCGTTAATAAATTTATGCACCAGTTTATACGTTAATTGCAGAGTTCCTAAAGAATCCTTAAGATCGGACCGTTGATCGGAAAGCGTCCCGAAGGCTAGATGATGCTAACGACAGCGATTGGGAATCTTCTTATCGGCGAATATACAAATATCTATATCTATATCGCCCGAGTGGCTGCATTATCATCCCGCAAAGACAGCCCGAACCAAGAGAGAATGGATCGGGTTGCGCCGATAATCCCTCCTATACTCCGGGCTTGCGTCCGATATACTTACTTACTGGCTCGGCTCGCCCGCGGCGGACCCTTCCCGCGGTGCGTGGGGTTGGACTGCGAAGGAGAATCAAGTGGCTTAAATAGTAATCGCAGCCCCCAACGTCGGTTTGAATTCTAGTTGATCTGCCCGTCCGCAGCCTGCATCGAACTGAGATATACGCCGAGTCGCTACCGCAAATTGGGAGTACTTAGTTCCCAGCAAGGGGGGTCTTCACTCGTTAGTATGGATAATAACCCCCCACATCAAGGCACGGCTGGATGCATTATTGACAATCCGGCAGTCAAGAAACCAAGGATCTTTCATTTTGGCCTGAAATCGCCTGAAATCCGACCATTTCACCATGCGTCTCCCATACGTGCCCGATGCCCCACCAACCAGCACTCCCGAGGAGGCAGATATCCTGGCTCGAGTGCAAGCCCGACGTGGCCCTCGCGGCCTCATCCCACTTGATCGCGCGCTCCTGCACTCCTTTCCCGTCGCGGATGGATGGAACTCGTTCATCGGAGCCATCCGCACTCGAACGAGCCTCTCCCAAGTCATCCGCGAGCTCATCATTTGCCGCGTGGCCGTCCTCAACGGGGCACAGTTTGAATGGGAACACCACGCGCCGCTGCTGCAGGAGGGTGGATTCAGCGAGGATGCGATCAGAGTAGTCCGCGATCCTCTAGCAGATCTCACCCTGAAAGTCCAGGACAAAGTCATCAGCGAGGCCGAGAGCGCCGTCATCAAGTACACCGATGCCATGACGAAAACGGTCACCGTGCCCGAAGAGGTGTTTTCAGAACTGAAGGGGCTCTTTAACGATCAAGAGGTGGTGGAAATCACCGCCACTGCGGCGGCGTACAATTGCGTGAGTCGGTTTTTGGTGGCTCTAGATGTTGGAGAGAAAAACCAATAGACCGTAATGCTATATCTTCTGTTGATCATTGGCTCCAGCCAGGCCATAGATCGGGAACTCAAATCCCTGGGATCCAACTGCCACGGCCCATGATGGAGCATATCCAAGACCCACCACGTTAGTACACAGCGGGTACCATTTCAGAGGGTCACGTTGCGGATGAAGATATTGTGTCTGTAGATAGAAAAGTCCATGCGGCCTTATCTTTGCGCCCAGGGATTTCTAGTAACATACGATTATGTGTAGCCAATGGCCTTTGAAAGCAGAGCATCAAACCACCCGGTGCCGTCAGTACCGTAGGTAGGTAGGTAAATAGCAGTTGGTCTTCCAACAGAGAGCCGCACTGTTGACACCTAATTTCCCTGGGTCGTAGGGTAGGTTAGGTAGGTGGGCGTTAGTAATAGATTGACCTGTTTCCTTCTCCCCTCCTTTCTCCCTTGATGTTCCGGCCCTTTATAAGGCACTTCTTACCACGGCGCCTTGATAGATTCATTCTGAGACAGGCCTGGGTACTATTTCTGGAATGAGCGACTGACTGTGAACTAGATCTACAGACTCAGACTCCAGTGTCAGATGATATCACCATTTTAGACAGCCTCATAGCTTTTCTATAGATTGTCGACCGCCCAACTCATGCACAGGATGGCATCGACGACAATGTGGCTATGATGTCAAGAAAAGTCGTCGGTATCTGGGTGACGATACCAGGCCGATTAAATTACCGATTGTATATTCGCTCCAATGACAGGGCGCGAGCAGATGAAGGAGGCCTCCCACTTCGATTGTGTTTGAAAACTGTCGCAGGAGGACTCCGTACAAAGAACGTTGGAAATAGAAGCTGGACACACTTTCTGCGGCGCGCCAATACCGTTGGGCTCACTACTGCCGGAGTTCTTTTAATTCTGTAAACAAAAAAAAGAAATGAGTGGGAAAAAGGGGAGGCCCCATTGATTCATTGATCTCCTGACAAAAGGAAGCTGTATTGGAAGTAGATCGGGGAACTGTCGGCGTACTTGAATACACCATACGGTCAGGAAACGGACAGGGCGACACTGTGCGGGGCCTGATTGGCCTGAAGCTCGATAGGGTGTTCGGCGATGGCATTTATCCGGGGCATCTGGCGGTGCCGATTGGCGAGTGCTATGGAGCCCGTACGGACAGCAAATTACAGTACATACGGTGACGGTATGGTATGGTACCCGCAACCCGACGTTGTTACCTGAGGTACCTTACCGTTACTTTTTTTTCGCTCTGCAAAATAAATCGATTCCATGGCGATTCCACGATCCGCACGACTCAAACTCCCTCCTCAATCATCCTCCCATTTCTTCCTACCTGCCCTCACAACCATCGCCTGGCCGGTTTGCTAACTCTGCTCCTCGGTCTTGGATCGGGCGTCAAGGCTTCGTTCTTTCCTCAGCCCCTTCTTCATCCTTCCTCTCCACCTCCCCACGTTCTTCCGTCTAGCTAGCTTCATACTTCTGCTCTTACTACTCCTCCGTACTAACTACGTACTTCCATACTACCTACCTTACTCCTACTTTCCTACCAACCCCCATCTTTACCATTCGCTGCCCCAGAACCTTCCCTGAGACCGCGTTGCATCTCTTTCGACCGGTTCTTCGCAATTGGGAGTTTGGACCTTTTTATCTGCCCTTCGTTTGACCGATCTTCTCTCCCGGGGTGAGAGCGTGGCCAAAAAGCATAGTAGCATTTTTTTCCTGTTGCTTACCCGCTCGATTTTTTTTCTTTTTCTTTTTTTTTTTTTTTACTACTTCGACCTCCTCATTACTACACCATCACCACGGCCTTTTGCTATTCCAGCGTCTCATTTCCCCTTCCCTCATCTCCCAGTCTCTTCGTTCTGTGTTCCTCGTCCTTGCCCCCATTTGATCCGTGGGTGACAAGCACACCGAGCTTGGGTTCCCTTGCTTACCATACCACGCTCCAATTTACACTCTCACGTTACCGAGTTCTTCTGGAAGGGAATCCGTGTCAAAGAGACGGCGGATCTTTGATCGTCAATTTCCTTACTTTCCTTACTTCCGTTTCCCAGCTCTCCACACCGCGCATCTCGTTCGGATTCTTTTTCTTGGGTGCCAGACCGTCCGGGTGGTAGGCCGATACGCAGCGGTTTAGTCCTCAGCTTACCCGCTCCGTTTCCTACTTTTCCCCTTCGAGAGGATTTCTACTCTTCTCCCTCCCTGGCAGCCGTTCGCGACCATCTTATGCTTGACAAAACAACGCTTCTGCTCCCCCCCATCATCCCCCTCGACGCTGCGATCTGGAGCCCGACTCCCTCTTTGCTTGCTCCCAATCGATCTCGGGGGTCGTCTTCAACGGACTGGCTCTGTTTATCTTTTCCCACAAGGTACGTCGCCAATCGTCTGCACGCCGTTCTACATCTACTCTGTTGCCAGTCAGAACTTTGTTGCATTTTTGCCCACTTTTTTTTCTCTCTCCTGCTTGACTCTACCACGACAAAAAACCTACATGATTCGCATCCTGTTCCCCTGCCCCCTTTCTACACCTCTCTTCTCGTTCTTTCTTTCTACCCTCGCTGCCTTTCGCCCGTGTTTCCTTTCTCCCTTCCGGCCCGCCGTGCATTTGCTCTGGACTATTACGCTGCACTTACTACTGGTTTCTTGGCGCCGCAAGCGAACTTTTCAACCCAAGTTGACTTGATTAACGCTGTACAGGCATCTAGGTCCCATTCTTGGGAGCCGTAGAGAACCGTTTTAAATTTGTTCTCCTTTATCGCCCGCGTGCGATTTTTCCCCCTGATTATTCTTTGTTTTATTGGTCTTTTCTGTTGCATCTGCCATCGCCTGCTTCCTTCTATTAAGTCGATTTTGCCATGGCTCCTGTCGCTCAAGGCGACATCGAAATGGACAGCCATACTTCGGACATGGCCAGCCAGGACTCTCCGCTGCGCCGGCAATTCTCCGAGCCACTCCATGGCCATTCTGCGTCCACACAGGCGTCACCACCTCCTTCTCCTATGACGCATAAGTCGAAATGTGGCTGGTGTGGTCAGTATTTTGAATCGGTTGATAACGACCCCGTGTCTCATACAGATGCTTTGAAAGCACACATTGCCTCCGCGCATTCGCAAATCGCCAGAGAGTCCACGTATAACGAGGCTGTCAATGGAGATCAATCTTATGATACTGACGAGCTGCTCGACGCCGGAGATGACGAAGACAATGCTGCACTCGATGATCAAACGGGAGACGTAGAAGCAGCTGAAGCTGAAGCAGAAGATGAAGAAGAGGAGGCTGTCGAGGCCACAGAAAATGGCCTCGTCGAAGGTGTCGAACCCCCCGAAACTTACGAAAACGAAAACGATCAGAATGACATCGATGAAGAGGAGGCCGATGCTGAAGGTGACGGTGAAGGCCACGAAGGAGAATCTGATCTTGCACTATCCAACCAACTTCATGAGTTCTCCCGCGAACAAGATTCAGTCACCTTGGAGAAGCGTCTGCACAATCTTTGGAACATCCATGATGTCCGCAAATTCTCTGCAGACTACGACGATAAGTATGCCGGCCTGGAGAAAACCTGGGAACATGTTTTTGACGATGCGAAACGCTCCAAAAAACGCGACTCATTTGATTCTTTTGCCCGTCCTGAACCATACACGAAGTCCAAGGTGGCGCGAGGAGAATTTCTGGAGATGACTCCTCTGGAAGATCTTCTGGCCCAGCTTCGTGACGCAGAGACACGTGCTCCCGATGAGCTTTACGCCATCACTGAGAATGTGGCTTATGTGTTGAAAGCATGGCAGGACGAGTATCTGGCAATTGAAAAACTTCACAAGGTTGCCACTCGTCACAATGTAAAGCAAACAAGTGGGCCCCGAAAGCTCGACAGGCGGGAGGTGTTTGAAGACAAGAAGGAGGCGATGCTGTACGGATACAAGCATGATCCCAAGGAAGATAAGGTTGGCAACCAGAACCCGTTCGTCCAGGGTGGGTTCAAACCAACGCCAGCGCAAGCCAGAAAAATCATTGCCAAATCGAGTCCTAGCATGCCGAATCCCGATGGCTGGCCGACAGTCTCTAAGTTCGGCGTGGAGCATGTGCCCAAATTTCAAAATCCCCCGCGCGAGGATTTCGTGGGCAAGGCTACTCGCAAGCGCAAGGCCGCCGAGATGGAAGCCGCCAAAGCCAACGAGACCGACGAGGCCCCCGCCGAGTCTCCTGCTCTTGCAGATGCCGATGCGGACAACGCAGGAAGGCGACGCACCCGCACCCGCCGTTCGGCCGCCGAGGCCGAGTTCCAACCACCGGCGCCGATGCGAGGATCTGGCCGCGGCCGTGGAAGAGGTCGCGGCCGGGGAGGAGCCCGCATGGGCTCTCGCGCGGGCTCTGAGACTCCTCAGTCCGAATTTGCCGCGAGTCCAGCCCGTGCATCCGGTCGAACCGGTCGCGAAGGGACGGCTCCAACGTCTGGGCTGCTGCAGGCACGCACTGCAACGTCCCAGCTGGCCCCGCTTGAACCGGCGCCGAGCGGCGCGCAAGCGCGTGTATCTCCCGTCGCCACTATCTCCGCCGCGGAAGGCAGTCTGGACAGTGCCATGGATCCGGCGGAGCAGGCTCGACGTGAAAAAATCGCCAACTCGAAGAATCCGAAACGTACGGAAGCCATGTTGAACCACTGGGCTCGATTCAATCGTGAAGGGCGAACACGCAATCCGAAACGGTCGAAAGCCCAGATTGAGGCTGACCGGGCCGCTGAGGCGGCTAGAAAGGCGATCGAGCCTCCAAAGATTGTGGGCAAGAAGAAACGATTGAGTAGCCCGACGTTTGGCGACTCTCCGAATACCGACCTTGGTCTCGCTCCGGCACCAACGATACCACCACCCGCCTCGCTGGCGCCCGGTCCCTCGGGGCCTCACCCTCAACTGGCCCCGATGCCAGCTCCCCGGGGCTCCATGGCCCCATATGCACCCATTGACCCCCGGTCTGTGGCGCCCTTCCCTCCCGCTCCTCCGGGACCTCTCCAGCCTCCGCCGCCTCAGCCATATCACACCCCTTATCCCGATTTCTATAACTTTTACGGAGCTCCCGCCCCCGGTCTACCTCATGCAGGTCGCGCCCGGCCCACTTAAAGTGTGTGATGCGCACCTTGGTAGCGGTCGTTTCTGTTGATGTGTATTATTTTGTTGGAGCCGACCTGATGCGCGTCGAACCTTTTGTTCAATCAATTTTCTGTGTCTGCGGGTTTATCAGCGTGTTACATGCTAGCGATTGGCGCAGGGTTCTGCTTTCTGTTTTCTGCTTTCTTTTCTGCTTTTCACTTTTGGAACATTGTACAATTTGGGGCTGGACGACTTCCTGCTCGTCTCCTTTCTAGCCTTTCATTATTATTCTCTCTGGTCAACAGTGGTGAACCGGGGTGCTTGTACATTTAGGAAGGAATAATGTCTTTGGGGTTGGGGTTGGGGTTGATCGTCTTGTATTCTGGTGGATATCTGAACCTGGGTCTAGATGTTTCTGTTGGGTCCTTTCTTGTTGGGTCGGGATTGGATGGGCCTTGCACCTATTTTTAACATGGAAAATCAGCTTGCTAACATCAAATGAGTCTTGAATCTGCATCTTATCCCTTTCACCCAGTAAGCAGTTGTGTTGTATACTTCGTGGCGGTAGATGCCATGCATGTCACGTGAAGATTAGCATACCCACGTGACGTTGCAGCCTCACCGTCCGGGCGAATTTCATCATCTGCCACTCGGGCGACGCGCTCGGAACACCGGACATCATCATCGCCAACCCACCCATTCCGCCCCTCAACCTATCCAACCCCTTTGAAACCTTTCGTATTCCTCGAGAAACACCGTCACAATGGGCAAGAAGAGACGTGGACCCACCTTGGAAGAGGTTATCGCTCGTCCGTGGTGCTACTACTGCGAACGCGACTTCGACGACCTCAAAATTCTCATATCCCATCAGAAGGCGAAGCATTTCAAATGTGAGAGATGCGGACGGAGGCTGAATACCGCAGGAGGTGAGTTGTCGACGTGGCTTGTCATTTTCCCTTCTCTTTTTCCTTTTCCTTCGCTCTTTGCTCACGTCTGCCACGCACAGGATTGTCGGTGCATATGAGCCAAGTACATAAAGAACAGCTGTCGGCCGTTGACAATGCGCTTCCTAATCGATCTAGTCTTGATGTCGAAATCTTCGGCATGGAGGGTGTCCCGGACGACATTATCCAAACTCATAATCAACGGGTGATGACCCAGTTCCAGCAAGCGGAGGCGGAGCGGCAGGCCGTGACGGGAAACCCTCCTCCAGGAACCGGCGCTGGCGGCCAACCTGCGAAGAGACCGAAACTCGAGAACGTGTCGGATCTGAAGAAGCGATTGGCCGAACACAAAGCCAAAAAGGCGGAGACTCGCACTGGAGGGAGCAGTGGCGAGGCGACCCCCGTGGGCGCGGGACAGACACAGAATCTCGGTGGCTTTGTAAGTTCACGACTCCTGGGGATGCGATCAGGTCGAGAATAGCGACGGTAGCTAACACAAATGTTTCCTGCAGGGCCAGCAAGCTGCAAACGCGGCAGTCGCCCCGAACCAGCAGTACTCGTATCCCCAGCCATACGGAGGAGGTGCTGGCTCTCCTTACCAACAAACGGCAAGTCCAGTTTACCAAACATTCTCACCAGGCGGGCAGCCGCAGGTTCCCCCTAGTACGCAAACACAGTATACTCCTACAGGGTACTCGCCACAGTCGTTCCAGCCCACACCGGCACAGCCTGCGTATGGAAGCACACCTTCTCCGTTCCCGCCCCAACAGCATCCGCTTCCTCAGACAAATACACCCCCCCAGGCCGCAGCTTCCGGGCAACGGCCTCCCAGCTTGCCGGCGGCCCCGAGTCTTCCCCAGCGACCCATCGTTGGGGCGCCACCGGTCAATGCCTACCAGATGCAGCAGATGCACATGGGCCATGCGCCACCCACACCTGGAGGTACGCCACAAGGTGTTTCCAATGGTGACAGACCCGCAGGAACCGGAGCGACGCCGATCGCATCATCCATCGATGACCTTATCTCGGGAGCGGCCAAAGAAGCGGACCAAGCGGTGGCCAACACAGCACCCGCCAAGGAGGCGACCGAAGAGAAAACCAGCAAGAAAGACAAGTCCAAACAGGCCAAGTTGGTATATTCTGACAATGAAACTAGTCCGGAGGAGAAGATGGCCAAGTTGTCAAGGTACGCATTCGTTCCTGACCGCCGCGGGGAAACGGCACTTGAGGAGCTTCCTTCTTCTACAGTAGTGGGAACCATCCGAGAATCGGACACGGTTGTCGACCCTACGGACTAGATGTCGATCCATACATGAATGCGTGGTGGGTGAAGAGGAGGGAAAAACAGTCATCGCTGTTGCTTTTTGCTTCTCTAGACAACAAGGGGGAAGGAATACTTATCGGTGCGACGAGGGACTCGCGCGGTCCAAAAAGAAAAACCGAACGATGGAAAGACCACAAACTCCAGCTAAGTTTGATTGCATATCAAATTCTCGAAATACGTTTTGATGATCTCTCTCTCTTTTGATCTATTCCATGGTCATTCATGTGTTGCCGCTTCCTGCCCTGATTTTCGTGTCAGTAGTTGGCAAGCGCAGTGCAAGAAAAGCGCCCAACGAAGAAGACGACATGATCGCACCACACTGCTTTCGGGTTGAAGACAAGAAAAAGAGACTTGCCCGCATGAGCACCGATATAAGACTGCAGGAAAGAAGGCTTTGCACTGCGGAGTGTTGGTGAGTTTGGTCGTCATTCTTACTGAAGGAAACTGATCTTCGAGAAATCGCGATTTCGTCCTGACGCCGAGGGGCTGGTTTAATCTTTTCATGTTTATTCATTTTGATTCTGTCTACTGTAAGTTCTAGTCAAGGTAGGCCAGACAATCCATGATCTAGGGGTATTATCAATAGTCTAAATGGGCAGAGATAAGTAGAAGATCTTCAATCAGTGATTTTAAATTTGAACTGCATCGATTCAATTTCGCCCGTGGCTCCCAAGATTTCAATATAATACAATCGGACAACGTACCCATCCCGCAGGCACTGCCTTACATATTCCTCTCCAACCCGAACTCGAACAATGAGCTCAATAAATCAAGCCTTCTTCAAGTTCCCCTTCACCCCGGCCCCAAACACCAACAGCCCGTACGCAGCAACCAAGCTCAACGCCGCGGGCACCACCTTGCGCGTCTTGATGGCGCGCGGGATGGAGCTCCCGCCCAGAACCACGGACGCCAGCAGGCCCAGCTCCTCGCCGTAGGCCTGGCCGCCGCGCAGTCGCGAAAACGAGTACAGATAAAGCGCGCCGACCGAGACGCCGGCCACCACGGAGGGGATCGAGCCGGTGCGTGCGTAGCCGATCATTCCGCCCAGAGAGGTCAGGAGGGAGAGCGTCAGAGCGGAGTTGATGTGGAGGGGTTGTGCTTGAGACTGTGGTTTTTGAAATTGTGTTAGTATTTGCTTGTCTTGGGTGTGAGGTTCTTGTTTAGGTAGGGAATTGGTTGATGGGTGGTCGTATAGGTGTAGTGAAAAGGTATTGGGGTTGGACTGTGATTGGGGAGGAGGGTTACCATATCGGCGGTTGTTTTTGGAGCGAATGGATTGAGATCGGTAGGTGGATGGGTGCGGAAGCGCAGTAGACAGGACGGATGGAGAGGAGGAGGGAAATGGGATGATGTCGCAGTCGAAAAGAAAGGTGGACTGATTGCTTGATGGAAGCTAAGCTGATTAGATTAGAAATCCGCCGCTCGTCATCGCCTGTCAGATGATGTCAGGTGATCTGCGTGCTTTCCTTTCGGGGGAGTAGACCTGTCGCTTTCTACTTCGTCAACTTCATTCATTCATTCATCATCATCATCCATTCTATTCTACCGAATCATGTATAACAGCTATTGACATCATCAGACTACATTATCAACATGAATGCATATAGACGCCAATCACATGCAATCTCATCATCATCGTCGCCATGGCCATCGTGATAACCAATTCTTTTGAAAAACAAACTTTTAACCGAGAAGCTGACAGTCAACAAATCATTCTCTTCGTGGAGTGATACCGGTATTGGCCTGAGGATCTGTCTCAGCCTCTGTCGCTCCGTATCCACCTCCACTGGATGGCTCATTCGGTTCCGATTCGTCCTCGTCCGCCGAACCATGGAATCCATCCGACTCGACGGCCCAGAACACCGGAACCGCACTGAGAACCCCAAACACGCAGAGTATCCACCAGGGAATGATGACCATCCCGCGTTTCACGCCGAACGAGAACGCCGCGCCGGTGACGGCGGGTCCCACAGCGCGCCCGATAGCACTGACGCTGGTGCCGACGCCGTTCAGAGTGCCCAGGACGCTGAGACTGGAGGCCGAGTTGGTGAGCAGGATGGTGGTGCAGGGAAAGCAAAAGATGGATGCCGAGAGCTTGGCGAGCATGAGAATAAATACGGTGACATGGCGCAATGACGCAGGCACAAGGGCTGTGAAGGGGGTCAAGAAATACAGGACGGGGAAGATAAGGGAGACAACTTTCAGGCAATTGAGGACGCCGTACCGCTTGGCAGCGGTGGGGAAGACGGTGAATTGTACCACCATGCCGATGATGCCAATGAGAGTATAGTAAATTCCGATCGTTTGGGAGTCTGACAAAATCGATTAGTGGGAGGTCAGGGGTTACGGATGAGAGATGACATACCCACGCCGAAACCGCCCAAGAACTTAAACGGCAATCGAACGTCTGGGTTGTCGTGCAGACGCTGCACCGGAGTATGTAAGAACACAGGGAGGACTGAGTCGAAGGCCATCGTGTGCATCGACATCAAGGCATATGCCAGCAAGATCAGCCGTGACTGTGGCGTAAATATTTGCTTCCAGCTGGGTCGCTTGCCGGGGCTTTTCTTCCCTGCCTGCCGCGTTCGCCTGTCGCCCAGCAATGCGGTCGACTCGTCATCTTCAACAATCTGATACGGGCGCTTCTCTGATCGTGAGGTGCACGAGCGCGTCAACAGGTCTCCTAGCACGAGACCATAGTCGCGACGATCCTTTCTAGATGCCAATGTTTCCTGTGCACTGTCAGAAGTGTGCATCTTCTCATTCATTTACGAGAGAACACTTACATGGAGAAATAGAAAGCCAATGGTAATGCCCACGACGAAAAGAGCCGCGGCCGCCAGATTTGGCAGAATAAAAGGATACTTCTTCAAGAACTCTGAGTCCCCAAAAAGCTCAGGATGCTTTTCTGCCGGACGGGCAAGCGCACCCCCAAATGCCGGACCAAAGATACTGCCAATCGTCCACACCAGGGGCATGATACTGAAGGCTCGCGGCTGGAGCTCCTTCTCTGGCACCATCTCGGCTACCATGGTTCGGATGATCCCCACGTTTCCGTTCATCAGACCCAGGAATGCGCGCGAGGCCACCAGCATCGCCAGCGTCTGCGACATTCCAAACATCACGGAAAAGAACATGGTGCAGGTCAACCCCAGCAGGATGATATACTTCCGACCGGCATAGTCGGATGCAGTACCCCAGGAAACGGCCATCACGGCCTGACAGACAGCCGTCACGGCCGAAGTCACACCGACCCATTTGGCGACCTCATTTTTAGGCACGCCGACATACTCGATCATCTCGGGCTAGATAGCATGGCGTCAGCATAACCGATACCCGTAACATCTCCCATAGAGACCTCCACTGGCCAGAATCAGAAGTAGCCGAACACAACCGACAGAAAGATGAGGAAGAAGACATACAAGATAAGGCAAGACAGACGTCAAGACGACTACAAACATCGATCAACAAGATGAACAACCACTCATGCAGCCTGATCGCGTCATCGGCGGTGGATCTCGCAAATTCAGAATCGAATTTGCTTGATTGATTCTTGGGAAGTCAGTCAAGGCATGGCGACTTACCCGGCTCAGCGAAGCGACATATTGCTGGCGAAATAAATCCGATTAGTTCTTGACCATCGATTTGCCGGTGGCAGTTACAAGAGTTGGAAGCTTACAGAGAATCAATAGCTGCCGGACCGGCAGCCTCGGCGCTTTTTCCAGCATCAGCGGTCACTCGGTGGAACGGACAGAGGATTCTTATACTCGGCTCTGAACGTGCAAGACTCGTACAAGAGGGTGTTACCGGTCGGAAAAGGAAAAAGTCAAATAACGAAAGCGCTTGAAAACCGAAGCAAAAACACAGCAGGGGCAGCAACGAAGGAGAAGTGAGAAGAGAAGAGAAGAATCGATACTAAGAACGGAGGAATGGGCGAGTGACGCCGTGCATGGAGCTAACGAGGTCCGGCGAATCCACTAAGCGGGGAAGCGCAAGGTTGCTTGTCCCATGATCGTCCCTCCTTGAAGGTCTTTGCTTGTTACTCTGGACTACTGAACTACGCAGTGCACTGGCAATGAGTCAGTTCTGCATGGCTGAACTAGCATCCGCTTGTTCTGACTCGCTCACGTCGAACGCCCTGACTACCCGTTGACTAGCTACGTCCTGCGACATGGATCAATGATAATCCAAAAAAAGATATCGTCATATTCGCCGGTCTACATAATGAGATCCGCTTCTTTTGTGCAATCTGTATATCTCAACCCGCCAATTCTACTTCACGGGGTTTCCCCTACGCTGGTTTAATTCAAATCTGGCCGCCTAATGCAGCAGCTTGATGGCAGCTTCCAAGCGCTCAACGATGATCGCGCGCCATTTCTGATTCGGACTGTCAGCACCAGTACTCGAAAGAACCACAGAAGACATCCCAAGAAAAAAAATAGAAACTCACCTGTGCATTGGACACATCGCCCGCGTCAAAGCTCTCCACCAAGCCGGGATACGTCGCCCCGGCGTATCCGGTCCAAACGCCGGGCGCGAACACAACATGCTTGAACCAGCTGCGCCCGTCCAGTCCGGGTGCGTACAAGAACTCTCGCTCGAGGAACTTGTACTTGTCGTTGACCACGCGGATCTGGAAATAGAGCTTCACCTTCTTCCACCAATGGTACCAAGGCACGTCCTCGCCCAACTGCGAGGCCAGGTCCGCCGCGTACGCGTCAAACTGCACGGCCACTCCCTGGAACTCGGCGATGGCCTTGTCCAAGGGGCCAAAGTCGAAGGAGGCACCGTCAGGTAGGTGCTTTGCGTTAGGCCGGATCTTGTCCAGGTATGCGCCGAGACCGAGGCCGTAGTCCGTAGCATTCAGCGACAGAACGGGGGTTTCGACCAGGTTGGCCGTTATCAAGGCCAGAACCTTGGAGCATGCCTCGTGGTAGAGCCAATTGGGGTCACCGAATCGGTCCATCCAATCGAAGCTGTCGTAGTTGGAATGGTAGTGATACACGGCGTCGTTGTCCCCCGTAGTAAAGCCCAGATCAAGACTGGCCACTCCGGCGAAGTCCTGGAAGGCAGTGAAATCACTACCGCTTCCCATGGTCCCGATATACCTGTCCGCGACGACTTCCCAGACATCGCGGACCGTCTGACCGGCAACGGTCTGATTGGGGGACTGCACAAGGCCTGTGGCCTCGTAGATCGCATTGTTCAAAAGCGGGCTCGCCGAAGTTTTAAACCTGGAACCAGAAGCGGCGCCATCCAGATTGAGATACGCAATGTTGGCCTTGGAGAGCCATGGAAGCTGGTCCTCCACCCACTCGGTAGAGCCCAGCAGACCGTACTCCTCGCCATCCCAGCTGGCAAACACAATAGTACGAAGCGGCTTCCACCCGGCCTTGAGCGCTTGCCCGAAGCTGCGAATCACTTCGTTCAGGGCGGCGGACCCGCTGTTGGGGTCGGCAGCTCCACCGGCAATCCAGGCGTCTCGGTGGTTACCCACAACTACGGCCTCATCCGGGATGGAGCCCTTGATGACGCCAATCACATTCCACAACGGTGTGGTCGTGTACTCTTGCTCGTTGTAGAGGTTGATGACGACGTCATCCGGCGTAGGACCGATGTTATACTTAACGCCCTTGTAGCCGAGTTTGCCCCCTTGCCACCACTCGTTGAAGTCCTCTGCCTTGGGTCCATGGCCATTGAGAGCCTTCAAGAAGGGAAGGATTTCCTTATACGACACGGGAATGGAGGGGATCGAGGGGATCGCATGATGGGGGTCTTTACGCTCACTGCCTGGTTTCGAAGGGTAACCAGGCGTAGTAGGATCACCAGGGGCGAAGCCTGAAAGAAAATTCCCATCCAATTAGCCTCCGTGTCATTCAAATCCCAACCAGGCCGGATTAGAAATCAATGGCAAATGAAACTCACTCAGGAACTGAACACTTCCCCGCTGCACGGCACTCGGGTTCCGAGCAGGGCCGTCCGGGTACGGCTTGTAGCCATTTTCCTCGGTGATGTCGCCATCCGCCTGTGGATCATCGTACAGCACGACTCCCACCATGCCATGCTCCTGCGCCGCCTTCACCTTCAGCCCCCGGAAGATGCGCCCGTACTTGGCGATGGCGATCTTACCCGACAGGCTGACATTGGCATCCACCAGGTCCTGGAAATCCGCGATCGTGCCGTAATTGACGTAGACAAACGGCGCCGTCACGTTGCCGCTCGCCGAGTAGCCGTGGAACGTGGGCACGCGATCCTCCAGGCCGCTGGTGTGATCCTCCTCCAGCACGTCCTCCTCCAGGGTGGCCTCGTACTGGACCTCGAAGCTATTCTCGTCCTGCTTCTTGAGCAGCGAGAGCGCATGGTCCACCGGGTAGTTGAGGTAGATGTCGTACGCCACGATGCTGGTGTCCGCGACGCCGAACTCCTGCCACCGCTCCTGCGTCCAGAGCGCCTGGCTCAGGTTCTTCCCCGCCAGGTGCGGCCCCGCCGTGTAGTAGGTGCTCCATTCGCGCGCCTTCTGGGCCGACGGCGTCTCCTGGAGGATGGCCTGGAGGTCTTTGTAGCCGAGGCCGTTGCCCTGGGGCCAGGCGGCGTGTGGGTAGGGATGGGCACCGGGGAAGTAGGACCAGATGGAGCCGTGCTCGCGGGGCAGGATGGCCGAGGGGATGAGGAAGAGGATGAGAGAGAGGAGGAGCAGGGATCCCAATGCGAAGCTGCAGATGCGGCGGAGGGTGTGATGGGGATAGCGAGGGCGTCGGGGAACAACGTTCACCGACGTGAGAAGGGGGGTGGCCTCGGAGGGAGACATGGCTTTCTCCCTCATTTCTGGGGCCAGCATGGTTTGATGGATTGGCAATCAGGGCAGGGGGAAGATGGATGGATGTGGGAAGAGACAAGGGAACATTGTCTGGATCCTTGGGGGAGGATTACTTATGAGAGACGGATGCGTCTTGCGGGTGCGGAGATGATGTGATGCTCTTATCTTATCCGCCCCACATGTGACCGGGCTTGGCACGATAGCGTTTACAGTGTCCATGGAAACAACATATACAAAGCTATGCAGAACAGAGCTTCTCAATCAGCAAACACAGAGGTATCATGGCTGAACATCACTTATATACACTGATAAAATCAAACAGATTAACAACCCGAAAACTCCCGACAGCCGAAAACATGGAACTCAGTGTTAGCACAGCTATTCCGCCGCGTCTGTCGCCTGCTCCTCCCCGTCCTCGTCCGGGACTAGAACCTTGTCATCTCGCGCAAAATTGAACTTCTCGCCGAGATTGATGCTCTCGCGCAGGATCTGTCGCGCAGACTCATCATTGACGTTCAGGTCTTCTTTGACGAGCTGCACCGCCAATTCGGGAACAAGTACGGCTTGGGTATAGCCGACAACGCCAGCCGTCTTGACTATAGGGTCACTAGCCGCTAGGCGACGAAGTTTGCGAGAGAAACGCGTGGTGAGCGCGTGCAACCTAGAATGGACCAGTTAGCTTTATGACGACTGAGAAGATTGGCTAGGACGATGCCATACATTATATCAGCACCCCGAGTGCCATAATAGCCACAAGATATCGTCTCCAGACCGTCTCCAGAGAGGGTGAGCTTGAAATTCTTGGCCTTGCCGGATTTCAAGACGGTGTCCAAGATGTTTCGGAAGTAGGACGGACTCTCGGAGACCAAAAGAGTATCGATATAGTCGAAATGGCCGGCGATCCGGTCGTCGAATTTATCCCAGTCAATGCTGGGATACCCCTTCTGCTGCCACTCTGTTTCGGCGGATTGCTGCTTGTGTGATTCGCAGAACCGCTGCTGATCGCGGATGCGTTGTCTCGGCTGGGCCTGGAACCTAATCAGGAGTTCGGGATCCACAGCCTGCTTGCACATCGGGCAGAAGAACCCTTCTTTGGGTTCGGACTCTTCCAATTCATCCTTCACCGCGAGCATTTCATCGTCCAAGTCGGCAAACTGTTGCATGAGGGTCGAGGAAGCAGAGCTCAGGGGCGTGCTGAGAGGAGAGTCATCGTCGTCAAAGTCCAAGGTCGGTGGTTCTCGAGCAGATGAAGTAGCGAAGGAGGAGCTGGATATCCCATCGGGAGGGAACGGGGGCGCCTTGAACTCAGGTCGGGAGCGAGTCGTGGAACTGGGACTCGGGCTGTCCATATCGACGCCCTTTGGGACTTTGAACTCATGCTTCTGGGCTTTCTCCTTCTTCGCCGATGTGGTCACGGCCTTCTGTTTGGCTTTAGACTTCGTCGTGCGAGCACTCTCACGAGGCGTTTCCGACTTCGTAGAAGCCTGACTAGGACCCGGCGCTCTAATGTGGTTATCCGACTGCCAGCTACCCTTCGATATATACCCAGCCACCTTGCGTCTTTTGGAAGGTTGTGATGAAGCCCACATCGGAAATAGGTCGTCGTCGGCGTCGTCTTTACTTTGGATAGCTGAACCCGTCGACGCCCTTTTGCGAGTCGCCCCCCCAAACTTGGATTTCGCGGGTGCTTTCACGGAGCGAGGAGACGGCAGTTTCCGGTCGCTTTTCGGCGAGATTTTTGCCATCTTGTCCTCGAGCTTCTCACCCGACCCTCGAGGTGTAACTTCATCTTCCGACTCTGACTCCGGATCGGGCTTGGTATCCTCGTCGCTGGAGCTGATGGGCTCATCATCCGTCGCGGGTTCTGGCTTGGGAGGTGCTTCATCCTTCTTAGCATTCTTGTTTGACCCCTTAAAGCTTGACAAAAGGCTTTCTTTTGGTCCGTTTCTTCTGGTGATGCGGTTCGAGGCATAGCTCGAATCTGGCTTCGGTTGCCGGAACATCTTGTGTTGTGGATTGACCGTGTACTCAGACACTCAATGGAATCGATATAAGGAAACGGGATAGGACTCGGAGGATGGATAAAGGCTATATTTCAATGGCTGCTCGACAGTTTTCATTGACAAGTAATCACGTCAGGCCGGGTCGGTCAATAAGCTCCGGTCGCGATTGCGGGTGTTTCATCGGGCGGAAAGGGGGTATCGCAGAAACGAATGCTTTATAGCCAGTCGTTCATTGGCGACCGGTTAAAGATGTAGACGAAGGTCATGGAGAGGCGGAAACGAGATCAAGATGGAGGTGGAGATGGGATGGAGGAGAGGGACGCGTGAGGTGACACGCTATCGAGGCGTTTCTCCGCAGTGCCAACGCCAAAAGTCTCCGCTCACACGGAACGCCTTGTCCAACTGCCTCACATCGCGTTTGTTTGCTAATTTAAGGACGGTGTTCTCGGACCCCTTGGGGCGACATTCATAAATTAAAACTTCTAGCGCAGTGATAGACTTCAGAACCAATGATCTTCAAAATAAAAACATGTATATGCAGACGCCGCGTCGCCAGGACACCCTTAAATGTCCACAGAAGTGCCGGAGCATGATAAAAGAAAGACAAAGAAAATGAAATGTAAATGAAGCAAACATGAATGATATGCAAGAACAAAGATTATTATGCACAAAGGTCTACCTCGAACCAGGAGGGAGAGCGTCTTGCCCTCCCACCAGTCGAGAACGGTGAATTAAACAGATAGAAGATTCGTATCGCGATCTCGTTGTACTCCGTTGGTGAACTCGGTCGAGAAGATCGTAAAGCACCGGTCTAGTATAGAGAATCATAAAGCTCGTCACTCGAAACACATTGAAATCTCCCCCTCCTCTCCGTCGCCGACATCGTGATCGGCCCAGGCGTTGTGTTCGAGGGCCATGGCACCGAGGGCGCCGGCTCCTACTCCCATTCCAGCTCCGACCCCGACCCCGACTGGCATCGTGGCTGAAGATCGGAGTTCGGGTCTTGTGGGATGAGGCTCGTAAAGGTCGTTGGACGAATTTCCGAACGATGAATACGAACGTTGTGGGGGTTCATGGTACGGGGTATCGAAAGTCATTTCAATCCCTTCTTCCCCAGTGTCGTGGGGATCCTTTTTGTCAGCTGGGCCTGGGGGCAATGGCGAGACAGATTGACTGGTGCCCGTACTCTTGGTGTCTTTGCCAGCTGATGGAGACGGTGCCGCCGGGGGAGCAGCAGCAGCAGCAGCAGCAGCAGCAGGAGAGGGACTCGAAGGAGAGTTCAGGTCCAACTTCATGGGCGGAAGCGTCGACTCGAGTTGTTTGACTTCGATGCTTTCCGAGGCGAGTTCGGCTTTGATTGCGTCAATGTCAAAGAGCACAGTCCCGGCTCCGTTGCTGTCGCTCGACTCTCGAGGAGTCGCATTATTGCGCTCCACATCGTAGGTCTCCCATCCTTTCTTCTGAGCCAGCTTTCCGCGCTTGAACAGACCGAATCTCTTTTTCTCCGGTCGAGCTTCAGCATCACGGCGAGCTTCGTCGATCTCTCGGATCAGCTCCCGTTGTCGCTCGTTGTGGTTGTCGGGATCGGGATCCTCGATCTCGGCAAATTCTTCGCTCAGGACCTCCCACCCAACCTCCTTCAAGAGTCGAGGCATTGCCGCACGGTAATCCATGTGGCCATTGACCAGCTTAGTAACGTCGAAGTTCTCCAGCCCAGGAATTCCCTCGACGGGGGCGAGACCGGCCACACGCATGATACCACCGCTCGTAGCACGGAAAAGATATCCCAGGATCCAATCGTTCGAGGAGTAACCATTGACGAAGCGGCCCGAGACGACACTTCGGGCTTTCAAATATTCATCTCTGCTGGCTACGATGGGCGACCCAAACATGTAAACGTTCTGAACAAGGCCATGAGCCCCCCGATCCGCAAGCTCTCTCAGACAGCAGAAGATGACCCTGGCACCGAGGGAGAAACCCAGCAAGGTGACTGGTCGTTTCCCTAGATTGTGGTCCATCAGAGAGTCGGCAAGGATGAGACCTGCCGCACTTGCACGAGCCAGCGAGACAGTCCAGGGGTTGTCAATCAGATACGACAGCTTCGTCAGGATCATCGGAAGCTGCAAAGATGCCATTAGAGCCACCAGGACTGTATTCCCGAGGACTTGCTGCAGTCCTTGAGTTAAGGCCTGTATTGTCATACTGCTGTTAGTTACCAGCGGCGACGGAGCTCCCGGCTATACGTTGACTCACCTCAGTAGCTAAGATGTTGATGGTTTCACCCATACTCCGAAGCATTTCAGGCTCCCAGAGGACCGAATACAGATCGCCCATGATGGGATCAACCGTACTGAATGGCAAGCGGACGTCATCGACCTTACCAGTCATCCAGCCCGCTACGGTGACAATCAAGTTGACCCTCTTGTTGTTGTGCAGAGGACGATATTCGAAGGTCTGAACTGCACCCGTGCGCCTCTTGGAAGCCCTCATTCCAATTGTGCTTCCGGTCAAAGTGGCACTGGAAGCGATCAGGGCCGTGCCACCTGCACCTCCCAAGAAAGCTCCAGTGCCAGAAATTCCCACGGTGGTGAACCCAGCCGCGAGACCGGCTCCGATGACAGGAGCCAGCAATCCGGCAGAAAGACCGATGACGAGACCACCACCCACGGTAGCCAGGCCCATGGTGATGTACCGGCGCTTCAAAGCCTTCTTACGTCGTGCCTCCATATGTTCGGACTCGTCCCATGTCTCCTTTTCTGATGCCTCCTGCATCTCGAGGGCATCGATCACACGCTTTTCAAATCGCGCGATCTGTAGCCACGAAACCTCCATGGAGTCGCCTACTCTTTCAAGTAGGGTCCGCGATCGCGCATCGTAGGCAGAATCTGATATAAGGACCAGAAACAGGTCACATAGCACTGTCCAGCGGAGGTCTATATCGATTTTCTCCGAAGTTGGTAGCTGGGAGGGCGTACGGACTTCGGGAAGGTCTTCCCCTTCGTGGGTCTCATAGGGCGGAGGGGACATTGAGGTGGAAGATCGGTCGATCTCCGTGGAGAGACTGCTTCGGAAATCCTTTTTGACGCTGGGAGAGGCCAGAGAGGACGTGGATTTTCTAGAGATGTCTTGCTCGTCTGCCAGGGGATTGTGAACGCGGGCGTTCTGCATGAGAGGTCGAACAAGATCGGCTGGTTGGACGCCGTGTTCTGCCAGTTGCTCGATCATGATTTGCTCTGCGGCATCGATATCCATATGGAAGTAGATCCTCGACATCATCGCCTGACCCCATTGTCGCATTGAGTCGATACTCTTTTGCTTTGCCTTGCGCGTGCCGCGGGTGACCGGTATCTTCTCCATATCCGACGCAATTTGATAGATAGCCAGTCTGATCACTCCAACGTACGCAATTTTTTGTGTTTCATTCAACAGGTCCTTGGTTGCCTGGAGTTGACTGAGGGGATCACGCAGCTCTTCGCCCTCCAAGCCAGCCGCCGTGGCACCGTTTTCTTTGAAAAGATAACTTGTGTCTTCGTCTAAACTGGTCACCGAGTGAGCGTCCTCGTCAAGCTGTACACGGGTGTACCCTCTTCCAGCGCCTCCTAGTCCTTGATAAACTGCTTCGTCACTCTCGGTTTTGGCGCCGCGCGCGACTAGACGCCCGTAGTCGTCGTAAAAATCGAATTCATCTACAGCGGGCATCTCCTTCCACCCACCATCGTCCTCTTCCTCGGGTTCACTATCGGATTCCTTGGCTGCATTGAGTCGCTGATGTGACCATTCCGAAGGTTTGAGACTTGACCGTTTCTTTTGAGTGGCCTCGGATTGAGCTGAGGTGGCTGTATTTTGTGGAGTTGGAGATTCTGTGTATGGCGGTGGCGGTCCGTCTTCATGGTCTGGAGAAATTCCGGGGATTTCCTTCTTTTCGCTGGTCTTGGATGCACTTGTTTCGGTCTCTTGTGGGGTCTCGGTCTTCTGCGGTTCAGAAGTTGCAGTAGGGGCTGCAGTGGTAGGCTGCGTCTCTTCCTTTCCATGCTCTACCTTCTCCTGTGGTTCAGAGGTTGTAGCAGGGGCTGCAGTGGTAGATTGCGTCTCTTCGTCTCCATGCTCTAACTTCTGCGGTTCCGCCTGATGTTCTTGTTCCTTCCCCGGCCCGTCTGCCATCGCCTGTGTGTCCGGTTTACTCGGTTTGCCATCGTCTGTTATATCCGCGGCAGCCTCCTGAACATCATGGAACTCCTGAGTGCCTTCGGAAGACTCCGTCAGCGACCGGGCAGCTTTGGCGCGCGGTCGAATCGGCAAACCGAAATCGTCTAGTTCGTCCCCTTGTCCAGGTCCCGTGTCGCGGCCACTCTGATCGGCCGCCGGTTTACCGTCCGAATTGGCCGCAGCGGGATTGCCATTCTGTTCCTGCTCTTTATTCTCGCCGGATGAAGGCGTATCCGCAGTGTCTGCCGGGCGAGGATTCTCCGGGGCATGCGACACCGCGTGAGATTGATCGACGGAGGGGTCGACAGGGTGGTCAACGGCGGCACTTGGAACCGAGCTCATTCTTCATGGAAGGTGTAATGGTCGGGAAAGGGTTCGATCGCCTCGGGAGATGCGTTGTTTTTGGTCGATCGGATTGCCGATTCGTACCGGTTACCTCCTAACCAAGTTCCTGCGTGAACTACGCAAGGAAGCACCCATTCGCGCAAGGAAGCAGGAATCGGGTCACCTGAGGCTAGTATGGGCGTTGGGGCAGGATTCCGCCACCCGTGCGGAGTTGTGGCACGATGGAGGCTCGGTTGCGACCACCCAGAGGATCGAGGATCACTTGGAATTGGGTCGTTCAGAGAATGGCGACAGGGGGTTTCGAGGGAGGCCGACGATCGATCCGGAAGACAGGATTTGGAGGGGCAATGGGGGCGTAATCGTCGGTCGAGCGAGAGAAATTGGGGGTTGGGGAGGCGAAGGAGGAAAGGGGAAAAGAGGTGGCCAGTCTTCTGTCTTTGCTCACCACCACAGCTTATTTGCTGGGAATGAATCCGGAGCTGGGCGAGAGAAAGAGGCAGAGGCAGAGACAGAGGCAGAGGAAGGGGAAGAGAGAGACTCCTGCGACCGGGCGAGTTCAGCACCGGAAGCGGCAGCGATCACGTTTCTGGTTGCCTACACCTCGTTACTACGGGGTCACTAGAGTGGATGGGAAATTACTTGGTAGGACAGGTCTCTCTGGAGTCGTGCCATGGGACAAAGACTGTCAGTTTCTGCTCCACTTTATCGCATTGACCTTCTATACTCTAGGTATACTCCAGAGGACTATGGGTTCACATACTCCGTAATGATTCTGGAAGGCAAGGATGCTGGGCTGCTTATCTAATCTCCCCGGATCTCCTTCACGGAGTCACTTGCGAATTGCGATCCCTGTGGATGTGCCTGTTCCTGTCCCTGTTCTCTCATCCGAACCACTTCATCTCTCCATCATCCCCGCCATCCCATCTGAACTCGAGACAATGGCAGAGGGTCCGTGATCCGTGATACGTCATGCCAACTTCCGAAGTGGCATCCGTCCGCCGAGCCCCAATTCTCCGGGTCCAGATCTGTTGGGTCTGCGAGCAAGAGCTCCTCTGTCTAGAGACCTCGGGCATTTTTCAGCAATAGCATCGAGTACTGTTGTTCGTCCAGAGAAGAGTTATTGGCAAGCTTCGTACAGACATAACAGCAAAGATCACGTCTAGATTTCCACTAGACCCCCCAAATGACCAGCAAAAACCAACCAAGATCCATGCATCATCTGGACCATTCTTCTGCCCTAATTAAAGTCCCAGCTTGGCGGCCGCGAAATCCTGTCCCTGAGATCTCTGAATGATTCGTTCGCGACTCTCCAGAAGATGTTTGGCGATCTCATCCCAACCAGTCTCGACACCCTCCGCGGCATCCACTTTCTCCAGGATCTCGACTGGCCGTAACCGTCCACCCTCCTTCCTCACCTGCCCATCCACAATCACCATCTCGATATCGCGCACTCCTGCATGCAAGAGAATCGCACCCACCGGGTTCTCCTCGGCCGCACAGACCATGCCCGGACTAGTCGCGTCGAAGACGACGATGTCCGCCCTCTTCCCCTCGGCCAGACTGCCGGTCTGGTCGGCCATGTTCACAGCCTTGGCGCCCTGGATCGTACCCAGATTGAACGCCTCTTCAACGGTAATGTCGACGCGCGGCATTTCGCCGTTCTGGCGGGTGGCGAGGTTACCGGTCGCGCGCGAGTGCTGCAAGGCCAGGCGCATTTGGGTGAGCATGTCGGCCGAATTGTTGGAGTGGCAGTCGATGCCGAAGGACGTGTGGGATTTGATAGCAGGGTGGAATGCGACAGGATAGCCGTGGCCCATCTGGAGCTCTGTTTCGGGGGTCGCGGCGACGAAAATGTCGTTCTTCACGAGACTGTGGGCGTCAGTCTCGGATAAGTCGTTGGCATGGGAGAGGACGGTAGTGGGACTGAGGAGGTTGTGCTCGGAAAGGAGCTGCACGGTGCTTTCTGGATGGAACATGAGCGTTCAAATCGATATACGGGGTAAACGTGGACTACCATACCCGTTTCAAATCGCGGAACGTAATGCGACGTCAAGAGCTTTACGTTCAACTCCCTGGCCTTCTTCCACAGATCAAGGACAACCTCCTGACCGTACATGAAGTCAAGAGCAACACCTAGGTTGACCCGACCGCTGCCGAAGGGCTCGGTCTTGAGTAATCGCTCAAGGGTTGTCAGCCACCAGGATGGGGGGAATTCCGGCTCATATTCCAGGGTTGATGACCAGCTCTTGACCAGTGGGATCGCGCTGTAGCAGAAGAACATGCGCAGTCCGGAGGACACAGAGGCCCGAAGCCCCTCATCCACTGGATTCATGGGTTAGTATGTTGGATGCATCTTTCTCCAGATACGACTTCAGGGCTACATACCGTGGTCTGGAGAATAGGTCATATGTGCATGATCGACGACGGTGGTCACGCCCCCGTCGATGCTCTGTAGACAGCCTGCGAGCTGCCCCCAGAAGACATCCTCGGGCTTGTAGTTGAAGGGTTGCATGTTTCCTGGCGATATGAGTCAGTTGTGCGTGACGGAAAAGATGCTAGAGGCCGATTTCATACCGGTAGGATAGTACTGCGTTAGAGTATGATCGCAATGACGGCCTTTCAGCTGTGACACGGATCAGCAACGCATGCAGGCGATTTGCAGCGTCGCTAACACTTACCTGCGTCTGCCACACATGATGATGCGTATCCACAAAGCCAGGCGAGATGATCTTCCTGGTACAATCCACCTCCTGACCACCAGGGGGCAACTCCAGACCTTGACCGATCTTCTTGATCGTATTCCCCTCGATCAAGATATCATGTCCTCTCAGCGGTTTGACATGGGCTCCCTCGTGGACCAGAACGGTCCCATTGCGAAGAATGATATAACCAGAAGGAGAAGCAGACATACTTGCGAGTGATGGTTACTTGAAGAGTGAATCGAAACTGAATGTGACAAAGGGGCAGTTTTATGTAGTATGGCCTGCTCAACCCCTCATCGCGCAACAACGTCTACTCCGGGAACTCCGTACTCGACTGGGTTGCTCCAGAAGTCCGAGATGCGCCTGTTTGCAGGGAATATACACCGATTCTTTGATCGTGTGGACAACTAATAGTATCCTTGAAGGCGAGCTGGGGGTTGCGACACGATGACATAGCTCGGCAAGCCACCGTGGAGGTTGATTTTCTATATTCAAATATTTGTAAACATCTGTCAGATCGGTTCTCACTCGTATCTTAGGCCAAGCCTAGATTTGCCAGGGTTCGCATATTAGTACGTGATGCTAGTACATGCGTTCATGTTGGCATAGCCCTAATTCGTGGAGCTCATCCGCAAATTAGCAACAGTAACTATGGCGCAGGGCAGTCAGCTTTTGTTTACTCACTAGTCATTCCAGATAGTGAAACACTCTGATACTAGACACCGGAGGGATGCAAGCTTACTGTGGGATAGTTACTAGGGAAGTCGGACCAATCAGCCGAACGACTAGTCCAGCACCTAGTAGTAGCAGAATCCCTCAGCTCACGGGCGTTGCTGATCCCTCTCAACGACGCAGCTCTCAACTTCGCATCCATAATTTAATTAATATATTCGTCCTTGTTACCCTGCGCTTGGCACCATGATAGACGAGGCGAACACTGCCTTGGCAGCCTTGATCATAGCCATTGTTGCTATGTTCATAGCCTCCGTTCAGCTGCTGCAACAGCTCTTCGGTACCGCCGACGGCTATCGTCGCTGCCCGGAATCCATCATCGGTCCCTGGTCGGAACTGACGCGTCTGAGCTGGCGCTGGTCTGAGTTTCGATTCGAGACGAAGTACACCACGCCGCTGATCGTGTCGTACGACGCGGACGAGAGAGCCAATGACCCGCGAATCGTCGGCATCAACGATACGACGCCGCCCCGGGAGCTGCAGCAAACAATCCACAACTGCGACCACGAGGTCTGCAATCGGCCGACGGCGAGATGGCGGCAGAAGCTGAGCCTGGTGCGCGGTCGTCGTCGTCGCCAGCTCGCCACTGCCCCCGGTGACCAAGTTTCGTGGACTCTGCTTCTTCGCATGATTCATAACTGTCAGGCTAGATGGCGGGTGAACGGACCTTCTCTGTCGGAGAAGCAGGCGTTAGAAGGGCCCTTGATGCCGCCTTCTACGGCCGAGCGCGACTTTGGCGTGGTGTACGTGGAAAGATCCTGGGATCTGATGATCCCTGAGGTGACGAGGCCGCTCGCGACCAGCACGTTGGGCGATATTGTGGTCATTGCGCATCGCATGGGAATGCGCTGGCTGGACCTTCGATTCAGCGAGGGTTTCCTGCGAGCCGAAGGGAACGGACACAGTCTGTCGGCGACGCTTCTGCGGGGATTGGGACCGGTGTTCCAGTATAGCTTCGAGAAAAAGGCCCATGCCATTCAGATGCACGAAATCAACGGCGGAGAGCCAGCATTTGAGTGGGTGCCTGGAAAGGATGCGCTTGTGCCCACGAAAGAAGCCGACATGATGGCATGTGGCATTCTCGTTGGCGATTCGATGCTGGGATTGTCCAACTTCCATCTGGCGGGCTCCGACGATGCAGAGACGCACCACCTGCTGAGACTAGCGCTGATCCGGCTGGGTGTCGCCAAAGAAGTCGCGACGCGGCTCTCGGACGGCTACTCGCAGCGAGGGATCGTGAATGGCTGGCAATCTCGATCGAGTTTCGCCCTCGGCGACCTCGTAGGGCTTCTGTCCCCCTTTATTCCTCTACCGGGCTCCGACATCAACCTGATTGTGAATCCGATCCGCACGTCGCAGGTCGGATCGTCGTTTCTGTTCTGGGAGTCGCGAGAGATCTTCCTCCTGCGGCTGAAAGAGACGGTTCAGCAGCGAAAACGTGCAGACGTGGCTCGCGAACGATCGAATTTAGATATGATTTGCGATTATCTCACCGAGCTCCACGACCAATATCCCGACGACTTCTTCGATCGCTGGGAGAAAGACCCCTACGTGAAGCAATCCACTGGACGAACCGACGCGACGTCCTCGCACATCAACACCGGGAAACAACGGTACCTCCAGCGCCTGTACGAGATGCACACACGCACCACGCAGTATTTCTCGGAGCGACCCGAGCATTTCAAGTTCCTGGTGGCCGAGTATATCAACATAGTGGCTGATGCGTGGCCCCGGGCAACGGAGAATGCTCGTCAGGGCAAAGCGCGCAACACGAAGGGCAAATTCGAAGGGCCTCGCAATCAATGGCATGAGAATGGCCATGTCATTCTGGATTCCCTGGAGGACCTCCTCCGTAAAATGGAGGGGAGATTCGGGGGTCGGGATGGAGCGATGGATGCGTGGTGGATGCTGGTGCTGCGAGGGATGAGTTGGTACATGTCCGTCTGGATCACCGTGCCCACCTCGTTGGTGCCTTCGTACTGCTATGCCAGTCAGTCGGTTGTCTATGTTTCGTAGGTCCTATCCGATAGCCTCAAGCAAATCCGTTTTCCCTTTTTTCTTTTCTTTTCTTTTCTTTTTTAGGTATCTATATGTAGGGCTTAAGGCTGCTCTCTAGCAAATTGACTTGATTAATCTAAGTATGGCCCTCAAGGACTACTATGTAAGTAGCACTCTTGAACATTGACCATATCACTTTCTCTTTAGAATGCATTAAGATGTATCACTGCAGGACTAATCCATCGTCCACACCAACTCCGGCTCCAGGATAGTCCCGGTGCCTTCTAGGGATCGTTTCTCCAGGCCAGGCCAAAGGCACATCCCGACTTTGTCCCTTGATTCTCCATCGCCTCCACCGAACGCCATGGAACCCATGGAAAGCTCGTCCCTGGAGGGCTGCAGTAGAACACGTACCGGCCTTGTTGTCGACCAAGAGCAACCTTTAAATCAGAGCATCTCTGCAAAAGCAGTTGGAGGCGGTATCTCCTCGACTTTTCGTTCGTGGATGAATACCTACTAAAGTGCTCCTCGTTAATGTTGACAATCCACTGAATTATATATTCTCGATCGTGCTTTGTAGCCACATCAATGAAGTCACAGGTTATGGCTTGCCATGTTCTCAGGGCCCTTTCATCAGAATCTAGAGACAGTCAGAATAGTGCACAGTTCCCTTGTATACTCGGTTGGAGTTATCCCGTACGATTCTTCTTAATACCCTCCTTTAAATCATCAATGAAACGACCTAAGGAATTGTTGACTAGTCCAAAATGACGCGGAGCCAAAATGTGGTCATGAATCAGCTGTGTAACACTTCCTTGGATCCAAGCCTGGAGCTGAAGGGAGTTGCACGGAAATTGACTACCAGATTCCTTCTGCGCGAGAGTCGCGGGTTTTTGGTTATCCTTGAAATTCAACCTGATCCATGAATCCAAGTCGTGGCCCACTTCGCGCATCCTCTGCGTGATCTGTTCGTCATTCAACTGTGCCGGTCCGATCTGCAACGAGTTGATCATGTTGTACAACTCGTATAGTTTCCCTCGGTGTGCCTCTTCGGTCTTTCCAGCTTCCTCGCGCGCTTGATCTAGTAAACTAGTCAGTTGTCGAATTTTCTCGGAGTCAAGCGAGTGCCGGTCTTCCATTTGCTCTCGGAGGAGTTGGTTGTCCTGTCGATGCTTCGTGGCTTCCGTTTCCAGCCGTTGGATCTTCGTGGCGTCAAGCAACTGCCTGGCTTTTTCTTGATTCTGTAGATTCTCATGATCTCGATAATGGTCCTTGATCTGCTTTTCTAGATCTCGAATCCTCGTAGAGTCGATTAAGTGCTTGCGGTAAACTTCCTTTGCTCGCCGCTGGAGACGCAAGTTGTCTCCTCGACACCGAACGACTACCGATTTCAGCTGCCTTATTGTCTCGCCATTGACTGAACGTGCTTGGTCGCTTGCGTCTAGTCGGCTCTTGAGATATTTGTTCTCCTTGCTGAGATTTTAGCTTATGAACGGATCCAAGGGCTCAGGATGGAGGAATAGAGGTCCTGCGTACCTCGCACAACGCTAGACTTTCACGCTTAAGCTGCTCTTGAACCTCCTGGGACTCATGCTATAAGTTAGCACAAAAACATTTTATTGACACCTAGGTAATTCAAGCCTTACCGGGGTCATGGCCAGACCATGGCCACAAGAGTTTCGACAAAAACTCCGACATTCCGAGCAATGAAGGGGGCTTTCTGATAAAATCTGAAGCTAGGGACGGGCTGCTAGATATAAAATATTTCAAAACAAGCTTTGGGATGAGGCGAGAAAATGGTAAGAAAGGGATAACGCTCCGTCGGCGTCATCATGATTGAACCATTGTGCAACGACGTCGTATAAATGTCACGACTTGCCGGAAGCATCCCATTCTTCCTTCAGACCTTCTATCCTTTCTAGTTTAGCAAAAAAAAAAAAAAAAATACGGGTTGTGGCTTTCTTAACACCATGTCTCAGGGGCCGTCATATGTGGTTGGGATCGATTTCGGCACGACGTATAGTGGGTATGGGAAGGATCCTAGTCATTCGTAATGTCGAAACATACTGACCAGTCTGCAGGATCGCTTGGGCACTCGAGGGGTCTAAGAATGATATCCAGGTAGTATCAGCCTGGCAGGACCAACGAAATCGTCAGCAATTAGTTATGCCATGGAAATTCCAGTTTCCATATCGACTAACTCACAAACAGGAACCTACGCCAAAGTCCCGTCGGTGATAGACTATGACGATAAAGGTCGGGGCGTAAGATGGGGCTACCAGGTCGATTTAAGCACGAAAGGCTTCCGGGGAATCAAGTTACTGCTGGACGACGAACAGAAATTTGGCTATGCCCACTCGTTGGCTTCGGGAGGGTTGCTGGAGAAACACAATAAGAGTGCGGTACAAGTCACCGCGGACTACTTGGAACGCCTCGTCAGGCATGCCAAGCAAATCATGCTCCAAGATCGCTTGATTCCAGATCAGACTGATATGAATTTGCGATATATTCTCACCGTGCCAGCCGTCTGGTCTGACAAGGCCAAAGACCGGACGATGAGCGCCGCCATCCAAGCCGGTCTTCCGGCGGAGGACATCTCTCTCATTTCTGAGCCAGAGGCTGCGGCGTTGCATGCGCTGCGCAAGGTCCTACCTGGCTCATTCTCTGTGGGTGATTCTGCTGGACTTATCGTGCATAAGATCAGGTTCTGACAACTACAGGGAAATGACGTGTTCATCGTCTGTGATGCCGGTGGAGGAACAGTGGTAGGTCTTGTGAGCAAACGTGGGATCACGGAAGTAGTAACTCCCTCGACAGGATCTCATTGCGTATCGGATAAAAACCCTGGAGCCCTTGGAGCTCGTGGAAGTGACCGAGGGAACAGGTTAAATCCCCCCTTCCGAGGAGACATACTGTTGGTTCCTCAACTAATTTCCGGTGGTAGGACGCGTCTGTGGATCCCTATTCTTAGATGAAAGATTTGAAAACCTCGTCCGTGGTAGGATGGGAGCCGAGAAGTACGACTTTTTACCGGACCCATGCAAGGATGCAGTGCGATCTTACTGGCAAGATCGCGTGAAGCCTTACTACGCTGGAAGAGAGGAAAAGAGCGAGGTAGGTGGTTGATGAAGAGTGGCCAGTCCTCAGGCTAAACACACTCAATATGCTTAGACCTCCACTGGACCAAGTCAGTCATGCAGTACTTTAGAAGACTCCGATACAGTAGTAGGCGACGATGAATACACCGAGCCCGACAAGTTCATCCCGATTGCGAATGTCCAGGATGATCCGACCATCCCGATTATAGGAGGCTGCTTCCCACTGAGCGCGTGAGCTCATCGCATTAACTGGGAGACTGAATACTGACGCCCTTTTAGTAATGACCTCGAGCGCATTTTTGAGCCCATCGTCCGGGACGTCGAGGAGCTGGTTGCCGGCCAGGTGGCGACTATAGCACAACGTGGATTCTCGACCAAGGTTACGACCCTGAGTTACCGATTGCAAGACGTTCCAGCTGACTTGATCGCAGGCCATCATTCTTGTCGGTGGATTCGGATCTTCCCCGTGTCTTTTTAACCGACTGAAAAAGGGCCATCCAACCGCGAGGATCCTGCAGCCCCAGGATGCGTAGGTGTCACTCACCCCACGAGAGAGGAAGAATGCTGACGGTTAGAAACATGCAGCTGGTCGGCTGTTGTGAGGTAGGCCTACCTCCATGGAAAGACGATCGAACTTTCAGCTGACAGTGCCCCAAAGAGGTGCGGTGCATCGTGGATTACAGGGCAATCAGGTCGAGTCTCGAATTGCGCGTCGACACTACGGGGCTACATGTGGAGTGCCTTGGCTTCCAAAAGTTCACAGCACCCAGAACAGATACTGGGATGATGTGGAGGAATTGAACTTGGCTACTGAGATGCGATGGTTCATTAAAAAGGTGACTGATTCCCCCAGTCTAGTTTCACGATCCAGCTGATTCTGGGGCCCAAGGCCTCCCCAATGTACGAGGACCAACCGATCAGGATACGCCTCTATTTCACTGCCCGCGTGGATAGAGCACAGACTGAGCTGATTCATCATTCGTCTCTTTACCATTGCAATGCTGCGGATGCCCCGAAGACCAGAGATGACAGTAAGTTGGCACGAGCAGAGTATCCCCTACTCTTTCTGACGTTCCAAGACATTAGGTTATTGTGTCGCTTAGAAGCGGATCTCACCAAGATTCCTCGACGCCTGTTTCAGAAGAGATGCAACTCAAAGGGGGTCGAGTATTACAAGATATCATTTGACCTGGTGCTGACTCCCGCATCCTCCCTAATCTTTGAGCTTCAATTCGAAGGGATATCTTATGGGATCGTCCGATCGAAGTATTCTTGAGTGTTTCAGTGCGCAGTGTGTTGCTTTAATACGTTTGCTGTGGTCAGAATCTAGTTTTATAATCAAAGATTTTGTCTCTCCCTTCGAGCTATCCTACAAATTATACACCCGGGTTATCTTCCTATACCAGTTTTCACCTCCCTTCCCACCAAGCATCCACATGACATTTGCTCTTCCTAAACGCCAACGGAAACGAAATAACCCTTCCAAAACACCTTGCAACCACTACCCACATACGGGTTCACTGGGTCCTTCGAGAAGGGGAGGGCGGACTCGAGCCGGGATTGGGAGAGAGAAGAAACTACCATCGACTTCTGTGCTTCTTGGAGTGTAATTAAATCCCTCACTCTGGATGTAACATGCCCTAGCTACTCTTACGACTCTCGTAGATAGTACTCAACGATTTCTAGGCTCGTCTGCAAACACCACAGTACGCAACGAGAACCAGCTAAATACCGTAGTTTTGCAGACTGTACCAGCCCGGTTGCAGACGGCTGGCCAAAATCTCGCATTGAGAACCGAAAAACGCCGAAATGAATGCCTACTGCATAGAAGCCACCGACTGAAATCCGGTCGTGACGAACCTGCATTAGCTCTACAGGGTGCCTGGCGGAGGTTACATCAACTTGGCGGATGCATGCTATTAGCGTGGTATGTTCATATTAATAGGATTCATGATCAGACTAGCTACTCCGTAGTTCTCAATGCTTGACAAAATTGGCATTCCCTTGGCAGGAGTGCACCGAGGACTCTTCTGGCGAGCTATCACCAACTAGTGCCAGGTTGGGTAGTTACCGCGCACCTGGGCAAGGAATGCTGCTTTACTAGTCGGACACCGGAGATGCGCGTGGGTCGTGATGTGAAAGCTCGGCTTCAAGTTCATCTTCTCCTTCAACGCCGTAACGTAGGATGTCATGTACTCCTTTTCCGGCGTCTCCTGACAGCCGCGGGATGACAGCAGCGTAACGGCTTCCTCGAATTCCGCCCGGACAGCCTCCCGGATGTCCTGCTCGTCCGGACGAACCCCTTGCTCGGTGACGAGGAAGCGCAAGAGGCCCATGTGTCGGGCCTGCACCGCTGCCCAGACGGTGCTGTACCGCCCACCCCATTCCTGGTAGCTGCAATGGAGATGCGGATTGGCACCATGCGCGACCAAGTACTTGGCCATTTCGAAGTGCCCCATTTCGACCGCGGTGAACAATGCTGGATGGCCATGGATCCGGATATCCAGCCCTCCAGTCGTGGGGTCTGTGATCCGCGCTAGCGCCCTAGTATCGTCGCAGCGCAGCGCCAACTCACATAGCACTCGGTCCGAGTTGGGCCGGCGTCCATGCTTGAGCAGTAGCTGCAGCATGTGCCCCTCACGCTGCACCGTCGCTTCGTACCAAGGGCAGGGGTTCTCAGGCTCCCAAACCTCGGCGCCCCTCTGCAAAAGCCGCTCCAGGATCTCGTCGGGGCAGCCCGAAGTGATGGCCACCCCAAGAGCAGTGTTTGATTTCAGGAAGACGATATATTCACCCTTCGGCAGACCGATCGCAGCCCCTCGGGCAAGCATCAAATCGATGATCTCGATATTATGGGAGCGAATCGCCCAATGGAGAACCACGCGCATTTGAGGATTGGTACACGATTGACGCGGCCGAGTTTCGGCGAGAAGGGTCTTGAGGGTTGCAAGATGGCCATGATGGGCAGCGGCGAGGATCGGGTTGCCTGCCTTGGTGCAGGTTCCGTCCGGCTTCATTTCATATTCGCCGTAAACGTCGGTCCGGTCGCATGCCTCTATGCTGGCGCCGGCAGCAAGGAGTTTCTTCACCAAGTCGGTGTACCCGTTGCTGGCTGCAAATAACAACGCCGAGCCGAGGCGCTTTCGAACATCGAACCGATATAGAACAGGGTGTACCAGACTGTAAAAGGTTCGCGTGGTGCGCATGAAAGAGCTGAGGTCTCTCTGGCAACGAAGAAAGTGCGCGATATTGAGGATCAACTCGAGCGGCAATCGGCTTAACGACATGATGTATGACTATTAAGTATGGCAGTGGTGTGGATGAGGGAGGAACATGAACTCCGATATCTAGAAACTGTCTAGCTAGAAGGAGAATAGTACACTAACAGGTGCATATCCCCTAAACCTAGGAAAGTCATGGCGAAGGACTGCGCGGGTGCAAGCCTAGAGTGAACATGGCGAGTGTATCTAAGAGGACTTGTCAGTAAGTAACAGAATATACAGACGGTTTTCGCCGTCTAACAGGGACTAAAGAGTCCGAGATCCACGACGCCATTCCATCCATATGATGTGTCTGTCCTATGGGGATTGGGGAGATGGAGGTCTATGAGCTTGCTCTTGACGATGCTGTTGGGGAGGATGGACATAGATAGCCTTGCTTAGGCGGTTGGACATTGGGCTGATTGTGCAGAAGAAAGTGGTTCCATGGCGTGGAGGGGTAGACATAGATGGGAATTTCAACTTTTCAAGAGTAGAAGTAAAGCTTCGTTCAAACTCTAGGGTTCGGCGGTGCAGATCCGGATGATTTCTCCCTCGTATTCGTATACCCCAGAGGTGTGGATCTCCACGTCGTTCCAGGCGGGGGATGATAAAACAAATACTAAAGCAAAATGGAATAATATGAAGTGAAACGAAATAAATAAATGAAGGAACTCCTGCATCCATTCTCACCGTCATGTCGCCATCGCAAATGAAGTGGTCGGTGGCGAGCAGATCACCAACATGTCTCACGCTAATGGAGACGCATCCAACAAGGGACAAGCAGACGACGACTTATTGGTTCTGGATGGGATGTTGGAAACGGAATGGAAATTCTGACGAGATCCCCCATGCGGAGGCTCTGTTGGCTCGGAGGTTTCGAAGCTGCCGATGGCCCCGATTCTGGATTTCTGCCGAGGTTTTCCCATGATCCATTTTTTTTCTCTTAAATGTCTTGGTGCCTGTTTGGCTTTCTTTTGGTCTTTCTTTTTCCTTTTCCTTTTGCTTTTTTCTTTCTTTTCTTTCTTTTCTTTATCTTTCCTATCTCTCGCTCGTTTAAATCTCATGTCTACGCCGTACTATGGAAATTGAACGTCTATTGGGGTATTTTTACTGACCATGACACCCTGGTCGACTCTATATACAGGGGAAATTTAACGCTATGGGTATATAACGCTGTTTTCATGCGAGCCATGCCTCTAGATCTCCGGCAAACTGGGCATTCCCAATATCCCCCCATCTGGGACCCAGCCATCGAGCTCCATTCCGGTATTGGGAGCCATCGGTGTACCGTTATGTAGTGCACCGCCCTGGACAACCCTCGGCTGAGATGCCTCATATGCATACTGTGACGACACGATGGGTGGAGTATATACTGAGAACTGTGTCACGCCCGAAAAATTAAGGTGGTTTGTGCCCTGATCAGGTGGCCACGCTGGGGTCATTCCTCCTGGCGTTCCATAACCGCCACCCACCGTTGGATACGCCGAGACCTGCGGCACGTCCACGCTCATTCCGTACGCTCCGGTCGGCTGTGGCAGGGTGGACGCTGGGTCGTATGAAGGAGGATGTGCAAATGAAGCCGGAGCTTGCGATGTGGATGGGCTTGTCTGGGTCGGGGGAGCAAGCCCTGTTTCTCTCTGCATCTGCCGCTGCTGGAACTTATCATACCAATTCCGAGCTTTGATCGCAATGACATACAGCCATCGACTGGGGATCCTGTACTTGCCCCCGCCACTGGCTTCGCTCAGGCTGTTGGTCATCGCGTCCAGGTACTTTTCCACGTTGATGGACTGGGTCGTTATAAATTCCCCCAAGCCTCCTGACCTGACCGAAAAATAGATCTTGAGAAGAGACATCATGGCTACCCCGACTCGGGTGTAGACAAGATTGGGGATGGCTCGCATTACGTCTGTCTCACACTTGAGAAAGGTATCGAGTGTCTCCTGGGCTGCATTCATCCATTTGATTGTAACGTCTACACGCACGGCACTCGGTGGGGTTTGATGCCGCTCACTGCCATCGTCTTCCGGCCTGGGAAGCGTGTAATATTGTCGCTTGATGGCATCGGGATCTCGATATCCTTCTCCAACGGCCAGCTCATATATGGCAAGGATGGTATAGTGATATTCGAAGGCCATCGGCACTGTTGAGAGAAGTTAATATTGCTCAATGCTTTTGGATTCGACTCTGCCAGCAGAGATGGTGAACTAACCAGTGAATAACTCCGTGGGGACATTCTTCATCCAAGATTGCATCCGACTATCAAACCACCTCAGTATAGCTTGGATTCGCGACTCCGTCAAAGGAGTGGTGGAACTTGTGTCGTCTAGGCCGAAGGAGGCCATCGCCTCGTCAATGATTCGTTGCAGCTCAAACCACGTGGCCATATGCTTATCGAGCAAATTCGGCGAGTTTTCAAGGTGTTTGACACATTCTTCCATCCAATCATTGAAAAGAAGCAGGTTGGGTCGACGTGTTTTCATTGCGACCCTGTGGTCTGTCAGGTATATTGATTGTTGCACAAAAGGCTTAGTACTTACGTCGATGCCAAGTGATAACACCCCAATATCGCCCTCGCCTGTTCAGCCATGTGCTGATCATACCCATCCTGCCTGCTGGATTTACGGTCCGTGGCGTTGAGGACTCTGCGCTTAGAGGCTAAGCCGATCTCCAAAGCCATTGTGGCGGCGATATGGGTATACTGATAATGCTGCAATTTCGAGGGCGAGTCGGGGGGATAATAGAAGACGATCATTAACAGCAAGGCTTGAACCAGTTCCAAGGACTTGTCGCCGTTCATGAAAAAGCGCTCGGCATAAAGTCGAACCATCTCACGGTTGAGGACGGCTGCTAGGCCCTCGTCCACGGCAATAGCGGCTGCCGCAATCACCGACAGAAAAAGCACCGGCTTCGAGCGACGCAGCTGGGCGGCGGTCGTATCGCACGGCAATGTCACCATGGGAGAAAACATCGTCAGGTCTGTCATGTAAAATGCCACAAGTTTGTTGGCATAATCCAGGCTGATCACTCCCCGGTCGACAACGTCATCCCCGATGGCCACCTCGGGGGAATATCTGGCTTGGGCTGGGTTAAAAGAAGTCGCGGGTATTGAGCCATCCTCAAAAGTATGTGGATACGAGACGGATGCAAAGCCCGGAGAGGCATCGATAGGTCGGATCGATCCCGACGTGCTGCTCGGAGCATCTGGGATGGTCTGCAAAGCCTCCCTGGATTCCGATCCAAACTCGGGTTCGAAAGAGTCCTCTCTTTCACTTCCCGTGCTTTCGGTGCTACTTTCGTCGATTCGAATGCGATCTTTGAGGAGAGAACGCATCTGGCGCATTTCTCGTTCCAACTGAGCCACCCGCGAGTCAGTTCGCTTGCGTGGCCGCCGTCGCTGAGGGGCCACAAAGACACAGGATCTCTTGGCTTTTACGCATCGCTGACATTGATTGGGGAAGACATGATCCGGTAGACAGCGCACTTTCAGACTTCGGCACGATTCACAGGACCTATTGAGTTGCTGTGTTGGGGCGGGTTGCTGGGCCGGGCCTGCGTCACTCGGAGTAGTGGTGACGGGGGTGGTCGACATGATCTAGGTATCCGCAGCCTGATGTCGAAAAAAGCAGCCCGGGAAATAAGAAACTAACCAGCGACAAAAAAAAAAAAAATAAAAAAGAGAGAGAGAGCAAAGACGGGAGTCTGACGAAATGCGAACTCAAATGGAGGGCTGATAAAACAGGGCTGTAGGTGCGCAGATGGCAAACCTTTCATGTCTTCCGCAAACCGAGCAGAGACCCACCACCAAAGGGCGGAAGTTAGAAGGAAAAATAAAAACGGGCTATGAGCAATGCCATTGCTAGCACGGGTGACGGACGCAATAAAGAAGTGAAGAATAACCAGATGGGGTGAGGTGAAACCAGACCCCAAAAATCTCAGGAGATAGCGAATCCGTACTCCGTAGTGATCTGTCGGCCTGCAGATCGAGGATGCTAAGAATAAAATCGGATAGGATCAGATTAAAAGGGAAGCGAGGTCAATCCTTGATGCAGGCTTGCAGACCACACGCCAATGAGGTCTCCGCTTTGCAGGTGGCGCAGAAGTCGCAAGGCGCCATGGCGGAGAGGAGAACGAGGGATGCGAAGAAGAACGACGCCGGGCCGGTTTCGACTTGGAGCAGTGGGTCATGTGAGCTCCCGGCCACATGGGTCGACGGGGGGGTAATTTAATAGCGTTTGAACGGCGTCTTTTTTGCTTCGTTGATGCCTTCACTGAGTACTGGGCACCTGCGCCGTATAACCACAGCCTCATTCCGCAACCCCTGCTGAGAACGTGGATTTCGTAGTCTCGGCGGAGATTGTTTCCGATTGGTTTTCAGGAAGTACCATGCAGGACGAGGGATGGTAAAAAACGTGGCCGCCCATGGTAGAGAGGTATGTAGGCTTGGAATACCAGTCTCGAGTATCGACACTAGTGTGCCCTTCATCTGGTACTCTACTCTGTACGGAGAAGAACTCCAGAGACCACAGGGTCTGGCACTTGGGGCCAAACCCGAGATGAGTCGGAGAAACCCCCACCGGCACGTCAAGCCAGAACTCTAAGCAGAGAAGCACACGAGACTGACGGAGTAAAGAAATTCGAAGCCTGAAAAAATGGAACTAAAAAGATCTTTTAATTTTAGGTCCCTTTTGAGAACGGACTGAAACCTGACGAATCACCGGTCAGCCGTCCCCGCCACGCCACTGCCCTCGGCCAATCATTTCCATGCGATGGAGACCCTGCCAGCGGCCCGTTGGACCTCGATTGCCGCTTCGGGAAATTTCCAAGATCCCCCTGGCCCGAGTCTGGAGTATGGAGTTCCTCTGAACCACCTCCTAGGAGTCGGTATTGGCAAGATGGGAGCTCCTTCAACCCTTCATGCCATGCTTCTTAGCAGTGTCCTAGGGCCTGAAGGATGGAGATGAAGATCGTCTTGGGTAGGTGCTTCCAGCATTCCGACTCCGTACTCCGTGCGCTACCTGAAACTACTCCGTAGTCCGTAGAGTTGATGTTAGCATGATCTGACGATGCAAAAGCATAGGGCACCTCACTTTAGGGACTCACCTACGGTAGGTAGTTTTGACCACCTTCCTATTTGGGCTGGCCTTGCTATAGGTACTCCGTCTCTTGTCGTGCTCTCGGCACAGAAGCCGACTGTCAACTTGTCACTCATCCGTTGGCACTCGCTATAGTTCTTCCTTCCGCTGTGAACGGGGCACGGGATACTTCCGCCCGTTGGACCCGGTTTAGATCACCGGATCAACCAATGTAAGCATCGTTTACCTGCTTAGACGATACCATGAGTGTCTCATTATCTTATTGTATGGCACGCCCTTGAAAGCGTATCTGGTCTTCGTTGAACGGAGCTCAGTCCAATGATTTCAGAACGAAAGTATACCTCCAGACCTACAGGGGTCTGACGCCCCCATGGCCGTAAATAGAACCATCTGCATATCTTGTTTGATCCTGCAGGCGAGCCGTTCGAAGTAAGCTTGGTCTAGCATCTCCCCACGTGGCCTTGGAGGGCCCCGGATAATCCCCGTGTCGTGACTAGACATCGAACGGAGTCATGCCGTGATAGCCATGATCAACCTAGCCGGGGTGATACCTGTGCCACCGCACTTTTGTAACGGACGGCTTGTTTAGTATTCTGCAGCTAGACGCAGCTATGTCGACGGCTTAAGACATCGCCGTTGCGCTATGCATAGTTTGAGGGGGAAAGGAGGGGCCGAAAAGAGAGGAGCTAGTAGGATTAGCAGAATCGCAAATCGCCCCCAGAGGATACGCCCGCAACACGTGGTAGATCTTCCAAAAACTTATGGTTATTTCTATGAAAAGAAGGTCGATCCAAGGGGTTAGAGTGTTAGAGAATCTGTGGCTTGCATTAAGGCGGCGTCGCGCTCAATCTGCCCGCCGGGAATTCTTGGAGACCTTCCCTTCTAAACACGAGAAACGTCTGCTAGCAATTATCTCATAGCGGGGTCTCGGGGCAAGATGCGCAACTAATCTATTACTATGTATGATTCGCTGCATTGTGCTTCATATTGTTGCAGGCGTCGGGCGCGACGGATCGAGCAGGACCAAGGATCTACTTCGTATGATGCCTGGGACCCAGAACCCAACACGCCCTAGGATTAATAGCGTTGTCAAGTGCAGGCGTATCTAGACTTTTAGGGGCAGTTTGGGGATAAATATTTAAGAGTTTCATTAAAGTGTTCGAATTCAAAGATCACCCCGCCGAGATATAGTCTGTAATACTGCATCCCAAATGTACAACACTGAAAGCACAAACTGGTATGTTTTCATCGCAAGGTTAATTAGATCAGAGAGATTCGGCCCTAGGGCTTGTGGCTTGACAGTAGGGCGCCCAATGCCAAGAGTCAATCAATAACTGCCATGGTCGTGAATGGCATGACAAGACCACCCACGGACTATTAGGGACTAGGGAGTAGTCTCCAGAGACATCCAAGACCACGACGCCATGAGGTTCAACTAACCGAATCCGGTGGGAAATAACACTGGAGTTCGCGGAAACACACAAAGACTTGGAGAAGTTGTCGCTGGCCAACGTTGGGGTTGCCATGGACACGTGCCCACTGCGCCATGTCTTAGAATGGACCTTTTCTTATCATGTCAAGTATTACCATTTCTTAGCATTGATATCAACAGGGCCTGTCAGATAATAGATCTCAGCCGATCGCTAGCGAATCCACCGGCATCGACTCGGACCAACCAGATTCGGGCGAAGACTAGAGAGATGGAAGCCAACGGGGGCTTAAAACCTGGAATGGGAAAATCCTACCCTTTCGAGTCAAGGTCAGACTCACTCCGTAAGTTGACAACGGGCATGGTGGTATCCCGGCAAAGATAGCCAGAGATGATGTCAATGACCGCCTCGCTAGACTGGCGAAGTCGACAATTCCGGCGTCCGAATGGAACCATGAACCGTATGCCACTTTGACCTACTCCGGAGTGGATTAGCGAGCAATACCACCTACGACTGAACCCCCCTCCCTGGCACGAAGCTACGCAGAGTACATACTGCGTACTCCGTACATTCTGGATGTGCAGACGATCCGGACGGTTCGTCCCCGGAGGGTCTCCTGAATGCTGATTTACGGTGGATCGTGGAATACGAACGATCTGCCCTGAATGCTGACGGTCTGAAACGAGAATCAAGGCGCTAGCTTTGGTCTAATTAAAAACTTTTCTTTCCTTTCCTTTTCTTTTTACCTAGTGGAGTCCACCCCAGTCCCCACTTCTGCCTTGGAGCATCCGTCCATCCCGGACGAAGTGCGGATTTCCCATTTGTTCCGCGACAGGGACAGAGCGTTCGCAAGTTGACGGAGCCAGGGCACTTGGCAAGCAGGCATGCTGGACTACTGCGGAAGAAGGAAAAAGGGAGGCCCGATGCATCTATTCCGAGATTATCTCCTGAGACACTGCCACAGGGGACGCGATGATTGGGGGCTTGGCCCCCTTATGAACCGCTAAGTGGTTTGTGACGCGGCCCCCAACTCCATTTCTCACCCAGTCGATTTCGGTGGGCTCTAGTCGAGTATCACGTTGATAAGACGGAGTATGAATCCATCATCACCCAGAACTCATAAGTTGCTGCACCACGCGGTCAGCGTTTGGTTGCTCACCACTCTCGCGAGCCAGACGCTGTCGTTCTGTCGATGGTGCACGTAGTCTCTCCCGTCCATGAGCCGCCTCGTCAGCAAGGCCATGAGATTAACACCGTAAGGCGAGAGAGGACCCAAGAGTAATACTGGAATGGCCCCGATCGGGAGCATCTGGGAGGCCAAGGCCCACAGGGCTGGTCGTCAGTGGCCAAGTCGGCGGTAAGTGAGCACGCGACAATTGAAAAAGTCGTGTGTCCCTTTTTTCTCCTGGAACCGCCTGTCGCTGCCGATCCCCGTGTATCTGCCACTTTTTTCTCGGTCGTGACTCTTTTCTTCCTGTCTTCAACCTTCTGGCTGGAATCCCTTCCTGCATTACTCCTTACTAGTTATATATATTATCCTCTCTTTTTATTTTTTTTATCGGACGCCCTGACCCCGGCGGCGCCAATCCCCATATTTCTCTCCATTGATCTATCTATCCCCCCCTTCCACTCCTCCCATTCCTCCCCCCTTGTGGGCGCATCCGCCATCCTTGCCTGCTTTTCCGCCCTGGTCCGTCACGTATCACCACCACCGGCTCTATTTGCTTTCTTGTGCAACCTCGAGTCGGCGCATCCGGTCGCCGAGTCGCTGAATTGGTCCAAATACGATTAATTCAGGAATCCATACCATTCGTTCGCCATAATGTGGACGTCGCCGTCCCGAATCCTGCTGTCCGTCAGCACGTTGCTGTTCGCCGTCGCCCAACCGACCACGAGTGCCGATGTCACTTTCCAGAGCGTGCGGGAAGAGGTGGTAAAAGACTATACTGGGCAAGGGGGAGACATCCCCAATAAGAAATACTTCCGTGAGTACTCCCACCCCGGAATGCCGTTTTTGATGTCTTCGGATCCTAATCGCTTCTGTAGGGGAATCTAGGTACGTTCGCCACCACAACGCTGTGATTCTGCCCCGTCGCTTCTACTAACCTTCATCTTCCGCAGCTTCCATTATCATTATGATGGACGGTAAGTCTTCTTTCCTTCTCTTTCTCTTTTCTGACAAACCGGTTTTCTGGGTTGAGTTTGATCGCTGATGATGATCCAAGGTTTGCGAACGAGACTCTTCCCGCCGAAGAAACCATCCCTCACCTGTCGGAGCTCATCCGAACGTATCTGTCGACCATGGCCGACCTAGGAGCTGAAACATGGATCATGCACGGCACGATGCTGGCGTGGTGGTGGAACCAAAAGGTTGGATTGCGAGCGCCATCGGACTCACAACGTGTCATCGGCTGACGGCTACCTAGATCTTCCCGTGGGACAACGACATCGACGTTCAGATCACGGAACCTACGATCCGCTTCCTCGACCAGTACTATAACATGACCGAGCACCACTTCGACATCCCCGGCGTCGAGGGCGGACGCTCCTACCTGCTCGAAATCAACCCGTTCTACGTCATCCGGTCGACCAACGATAAGGCGAACGTGATCGATGCGCGCTGGATCGATATGTCGTCCGGTCTCTTCATCGACATCACGGCGGTGCGCAAGGATGATGCCGCCGTGGAGAAGGGCGACACCACGGCTTTGATGTGCAAGGATGGCCATCGCTTCGACGTAAGTGGCTTGCAGAAGTGTCGCACGGCAGGGCGCGCTGACTCCCCCGGACTCTCAGGAAAACGATATCTTCCCTCTGCGGAACAGCCATTTCGAGGATTTCCCCGTCAAGATCCCGTACGACTACACGAAACTTCTTGTCGAGGAGTATGGCAACAAGGCTCTGACGGTCACCAACTTCCAAGGGTATGTCGTGGCCGGAACCTTGCTGGTTGGGTTTGCAATCGCTAATCTTATTTGCTGCAGTCACACTTTCAATGAACAGACGCTGGTGTGGGATAAGAATGAGTAAGTACCCGCTCGGAGGAATTGGCAGTGGTCGCCTTGCTGATCGGATGCTCTAGGGACAAAAAATCCAAGAGGGACTCGGTGCAGCCCCGAAAGGCCGGCATGCCCGTTCGAACCTCGTCGCTCGGGCCTCGATTAAGGTGATCGTGCGACAACTCCTTACTTCCCGTCGCCGCGCTATATATAACTCTCAGGTCTCTTACCTACACTCATGATAATAATGATGTGAGCCAGGATTGGATCTAGCAACATCTCTTGCATATACCAGGCGTTTGTTTTGATTCTGCTCTGCATCATCACCCGGACATTGGTTGTGATTGGCTTTTCTTTTCCCCTCTTTTTTTCTGGGATATATTTTCATCTTTTGTCTCGGTCGCCTAATTTTGTTTTTCTAATGGGTTGGGTTCAAAATTCGGTGGGCTCACAGAACGGGGTTGAACACCCCGGGGCCCCGTGTGTATTGGATTGGGTTGGTTATCGGGGCCCATGTCAATACTAGGTAGGATTCTCTACGGGAGAGCCCAATGCACGCATGTACATATACAGTTCTTGGACAGGTAGACCAGTTCTCAATGTATGGATATTGGAGTGACTGGATTGCCGTGCCGCCCAGATTAGGCACCGAAGTATCGGGATGGTTAGTGCTTACGGGGCTCTGTTGAAGCTTGGTGGGCGTTGGATCGTTGGTGGACGCTGGCGACCCGTTGGCGGCTTAGTGGTGGGGGCGGATTGACAATTCATTCTACCCCGGAGGCTTCCCGTCATTCTACACGGCCTCGTAGTGCATCTCTAAAAGACTACGCCCGGGGATCACGTGTCGACCGGTTGACTCACGCAGGAAGACCCCGTGACGTCATCAACGGCCTGGTCCGATCCATATCAATCGCGATTACGAACAATGAGGGAGGATGGCTTTCTAGCAATTACCGGATCCAGCATAGCGGACGGTACCTGAACGTCTTCAGGCTGCGGAGTGTTACCAGCTGGGGCTATTCCATACTCCGTAAGGAGCCATATGGAGATATTGGTGAATACAGTGTACAGAATCAAGGTCTTCTCTTCGTCCTCACCTGCACCGTTAACTACTGCGTACGCAGGTAATAATCGCAGATGGAAAACTTCTAGTGAACGCAGGCATTAGTAATGCGACAAGAGCGCCAAGCATCAGCCGGGGCCTGGATCCGCCCCCAGACAGCCAATAAGCACCGCTGCTGGGCCCCGCTATGAGTCGAAGACTGGAGATCGATTTGTCTTTCTCACGCTGACAATCCCGTGTTTTTTTTACCTTCTGGCCTCGTCGGATTTCCCCCTCTTTTTCTCTGCTTCCTCCGTTGCCCGTCCGATTCTAAAGATCCCCCTCGTGGTCCGAAAAGGATGTAGAAGGGGTGTCGACCTTGCTTTCATCCATATCATGTCGTTCCCCACGGAATCCACTCCGCCCATGAACAATCCCACCGCCTCCCTGTCCTTCCCCGCCGCGGAGGGCCCCGACAATGCTCCGGCCGCCGTCTCGCATAACCTGCCAGAATCCCAGGGTCTGCGAAGCTGTGTGACCTGCCGTCGAAGGAAGGTCCGGTGCAACAAGCGATGTCCATGCTCGAACTGCACGAGGGCCGGCATCGAATGTATCTTTCCTCCGCCCGGCCGAGCGCCGCGCAAGGCGAAGCGGCCCCAGGATGCCGAACTGCTGTCGCGACTGAAGCGCCTCGAGGGCGTTATCGAGCATCTGAGCGAAAAGAACGCGGGCGCTCCCAACACGCCCTCTCCGCCGCAACAGACACAGCAACAGTCGCTGCCCCAAGAGAAGGAGCCGGCGCCCGCTGAACCGCCTCATACCGCAGACAACGAAAACTGTCCGTTCGCCAACATGGACCCGCGAAACCCCCCGCAAAAAAGAAATCTCGAACACGAGTTTGGTCGATTGGTGATCGAGGAAGGACGCAGTCGATACGTGAGCAATCGCTTGTGGGCAAGTCTTGGAGACGAGGTGGGTTCTCCGCGAAGCTGCCAGGCTAGCGTTGCCCGTCAGTTTGATCGCATCGTGCGTGCTCACATAATAGCAGGTGGAAGAATTGCAGGATATTCTAGATCCCTCGTCTTCGGACGAAGAGGACTATCCATCGCCAGAGTCGTCCTCGACGCTGTCCGGCAACCATGAGGGCTTTCTCTTCGGCTTTTACTCCCTTTCGCAATCCCTCCGCAGTTTTCATCCTCCGCCCGCAAAGGTCTCAATGTTGTGGGACCTTTACCTGGAGAATGTGGCGCCGCTGGTTCCTATCATCCATAAACCTACGGCTAAGCAGCTCTTTGCCAAAGCGGCTCAGAAACCAGACTCGATGGACAAGAACTCTGAGGCGCTCATCCTTGCCATGTACTTTGTGTCGATCATCAGTCTCTCTTCTGAAGAGTGTCGGACCAAATTTGGCGAAGAGCGAGAGACCCTCGTGGGTCGTTACCGGTTCGCGGTGGAACAGGCTCTCGCCAAAGCAAACCTCCTGAACACCCAGCACATCATGGTCCTGCAAGCCGCGGTGATATTCTTAATTGGTGTTCGTCGAGAGGACGATACCAAATTCGTTTGGTCCATGACTGCTCTTGTCCTTCGCCTTGCGCAAGGGCTGGGCTTGCACCGAGATGGCACTAATTTTGGCCTGAAACCCTTCGACACAGAGATGCGACGACGACTCTGGTGGCACATCTGCTTATTGGACATTCGGTCATCCGAGGACCACGGGACCGACGCCCAGATCCATGAGAGAACATATGATACTCGACTGCCGTTGAACATCAATGATGAAGACATCACCCCGACCATGGTGGAACCACCTGAAGAGAGAATCGGCTTCACCGACATGTCATTCTGTTTGATCCGATGTGATATCACCGTCGCCCTCCGCCGGGTGAGCTATTCCTGCCCGAATAACAACTTCCCGGGACCACCCCGACAGCCGTCTCCTGAAAAGTGCGGTAAATTGATCAAGGCTGTCAACGACCGCATTGAGGAGCAGTACCTGAAGCATTGTGACACAAGGGTCCCAATTCAATGGGTTTGTGCGACAGTTGGGCGTTTGATCCTGACGAAACTATGGCTGGTGGTTCATCATCCAATGACAAGACCATACCAGGGCGTTAATCTGACCAACGATTCTCGCGAGAGCTTGTTTGTTACTTCGGTTCAGGTGGCCGAGTTTTCTCGTTTGTTGGCGGGAGATCAAAACACCCACAAGTGGAACTGGTTATTTGCTACCAACATGCAATGGCAATCTATTGCATTTGTTTTATCCGAGCTCTGTGTGCGTCCCATCAATCCTCTCACGGACCGGGCCTGGAACGCGGTCAGTTCGCTCTACGGAGAATGGATGCTCACCGCAAAACAACGGAAAGGAATGTTATGGCGCCCGCTAGCTCGGCTGATGAAGCGGGCGAGTGCCTGTCGAGAGAAGCAAAAGGAGGAGATGCGGATTCGTGGGGACCCCTTCCCAAGCGCCTCAAACACCGTCGCGCCCCGTACTGTTGCTCAAGGGCCACAAATCGTACCCCCTCCTGTGTTACCTCTCCTCTCGGAGCTTGAATCCTTGTATAGGACGGATTCCACTAGTCAACCCGACCCGGAGCCCAATATTGATCTCCGCGGCGGACCATTGGACGCCATCAGTGGCATGTTTCCTGGAGTTGACTGGCTTGCGGTTTCCGCATCTCCTTCTGAGCAGTCGCTACCACTCAACCCGAACCCCGAGCCGACAATGACCCTTCCGGATCAAGCGCACATGTTACCTTTGGCGCCGCAAGGAGATCTATCCTCGCCCCAGTTGAATTGGGATGAGTGGGATCAGGTTATGCGTGACTTCCACACGGACCTGCAGCAGGCGCATACTACGAACCCCATGGGGAACATTTCTGCGAATGTTTCTGACTGGTTTATGTGATCCATTGACTTCTGTCCCTTTTCGCTCGCCGGTGCTGCCGGCATCTAGATGGCCCTGGCGGCCATCTTTCGCACTACGTTATGTAATTGCATTTATTCATGATTCCCCGGAGCTGATATTTTGAATACCTACACCCCTCTCTTGCAAAATCAATTCTCCTCTCACGCGGACTACTCTCCACTGTTTACGAAGTATGATGTACGATACATGCCCTAATTGTGTTTTCTGGTCTACTGGTGTGACTGCATGGCGTCGGAGATATCGCGGCGTAGTAACATGGCCGCTAGCAAATTGACCGCTGTATTATATTATGGAATAAATATCAATCTACGCCCTAAATTCCATTTGCACCTCAACTTGCAAGACTGCCAAGTGTAAACCCTCCGGCATCGACACTTCCATCGGCGGAGGCCATACATCACGTGACCGACCTCCGCGGCGGCAGGCCGTGAGTACACAGTAGCTTCATCCTCTCCGCACCTTCACCCGCCATCTCCGACCACCGCTCCCCATCGCTCCATTGCCCTCAATTGACTTCCCCGATCCATTCCGGTGTCTCGTCGACCTCACCATGCCGTCAAAACGCACCCCCACGACCCCAACCACGCCCACCTCCCTCTCCTCCGGCCCCAAGACCCTCACCACCAACTCCTCCGTCATCGACATCGCCCAGCACGTCTGGCAACAGTATGTCGCGACGACGCCGCAGCGCACCCTCCTTCTCGATGCCTTCATGGCCTTCCTCGTTCTGATCGGTGTCATTCAATTCGTGTACTGTGTTCTGGCCGGAAACTACGTACGTCGCCCCCTACCTATTTACGTCGGCATCCACCCTAAGACGGATGGATGCAATTGAACGTGTAAATAAACACTCGGGATAAGAATCGATCACTAACACAGATATTAAACCCAACCAGCCCTTCAACGCTTTCCTGAGTGGCTTCTGCGCCGCTGTCGGCCAATTCGTCCTCACGGCTAGCTTGCGCATGCAGACGAGTTCCGACGACACGAGCAAGAGCACAACGGCAGCTAAGGGCAAGAATGCGAAGAATGTGGACGGCGCTTCGGAAGGGGGTATTTCTCATGAACGGTTCGTTTTTTTTTCTTTTGCCTTTGTCTTTTGGGGAGGGTGTTGTGCTAACGGGTGATGTCTGTAGGGCCTTTGCGGATTATATCTTCGGGAGCTTGATTCTGCACTTTTTCTGTATCAATTTCATTAACTAAGCGGGTGGGAAATGTGGCTTTGTGTGTTGTGATGTGTGTTGGAAGACCGGGTGATGCGATGCGATGCGGATTGGCATATGTTCCTGCCGGATCTATGCCCTTCCTCCGGTCTGGTTTGGTCTAGATCTTGTCTGTATGTCTGACGTTCGTCTTGAGGACGGCTGAAGTTGAATATTAGCATTGTTTTATCATTAGTCTACTAGACTTCGCCTATGTGTTATTACGTGCGGTTGTGCTGGATGCATCCGAGTGCAATGTCGGGGTTTCTCTATGCTACTATAACGTGCTAAAACGGGATCGCAACCTTGAAAATGATCTTTAACTCGATTATCCGGGTTCTATACGCCAGTCGTTTTAACGTCTCAAAAACCCAGGGGTATATAATCTATAGCTCAATGACTAGACAAAAATGTACAAAAGCGACCGAGTATCCATGACGCTAGAACGCACGGCCAGGTTTCCTCTTGACCTGCGGCTTCTTGACCACACTTCCACCACCACCATTGCTGGGGCCGTTCCGTGAGGAAGACGACACAGTGACACCACCGCCTCTCTTGGCGACGACAGGACGTCGTACAGCCGAGCGACTGGCGCTACTGGTGCTGCCGCCACCTACTTCAACTTCCTTTCTGCGCCGAGACGGGTCATTGCGCTCTTCTTCGCGTTGCTTGTCTGCCGCGGCGCGCTCGCGGTCCGCGGCCATCTGCGTTTCGATCTCCATGCGCTTGTTGAATTCTAGTTCGGTAACACGGCGATCCCGCTGCGAGTAGCCCTTTTCCTTGACGGAGTAGAAGACGCCTCCTAGTTCGGCGAGCCACTGGGATGGTACTATGGTTAGTTGGGTCGGACTGTGAGTGGGTTACGGAGAGAGAGACGGGAAGGGAGCTTACATGAGGGTCCACGGATGTCACAGTAGACATGTACTCCTTGCTGGTGAGGATCAACTCGTGGTAGACGACGTATTCGGGAACATATCCGAGACCGTACAGGGCACTGGTCGGGTGGAGCTGCATGGTGACACTGGTACGGAGGTTGATAAACTCGCCGATACCCTTCACTCGGGCCGCCTGGTGGTAGAACCCGGAGCAGATACACTTGCGGATATCATCCCACTCGGTGCCGCAGCTGACCAGTGGCATCTTCTGTGCCACCATGATGTCGCGAAGCTGGTCACGCACTTCTCGGGCGCGTCGCAGCGACTTGGCGTGGAGGAAGTGCTTGATACACCAACCGTCAGAATACCCATTGGATTTCCACTGGGAGTATACGTGAAGGAGGGTCAAGTGATCGGATTCAGGAACGAAGAACTTTTCACGGGCAGAATCGGATTCTTCTTGACGTTCCTTCGGACGGTAGAAAACGCTGGGAACTGAGAGCATAGACACGATGCTAAGCATTTCCTCGCTGCAGCCGTATTCATCGGATGCAGTGATCAACAGCTTAGCAAGCGGAGGGTCCATTGGGAAGGGTGTCATCCGACGTCCCAATGGGGTGAGATCGCCGAGGTTGTCCAAGGCTCCCAGGGACCACAGTTCGAACAGAGACGTGGTGATGGTCTCTTGGGGAGGAGGGTCCATGAAATCAAAATCCAGGAGGTCCTTCACACCCAGGGATTTGAGAAGCAGAACTGTGTTCGAAAGACTCGTTCGCTGAATCTCCGGGATTGTTTGCAAGTAGAGTTCGTTCTTATACGCCACCTCAGTGAACAGACGGTACGCTTTTCCAGGTCCCGTCCGCCCTGCTCGACCAGAACGTTGGTTGGCGTTGGCTTGGGAAATCGGTGTGATCTGAAGGGTATCCATACCCATTCGCGGGTTGTAGACCTTCAGTTTGGAATATCCTGCGTCGACCACATACATGATACCATCGACGGTCAAACTGGTCTCGGCGATATTTGTTGCAACGATCACCTTCCGCACGCCCGTTTCGGCCTTCTCAAAAATCTTCGCCTGCTGCTCTGCTGGCATTTGACTGTAAATTGGCAGTATGCTGAGCTTTGGCGGGTCATTTAACATCTTGAGCCGTTCATCAACCAATTCACAGGTGGCCTCAATATCCTCCTGTCCGGTCATGAACACGAGAATATCACCAGGTCCCTGCGAGACGTGGATAGCCAAGACTTGCTTCACGGCACTATCGACATAATCTTCGCAAGGTGTTCGCGAAAAGTGGACATCGACGGGGAACGTTCTTCCTGGAATGATGAATTCGGGGGCGCCACCGTAGAACTTGGAGAAACGATCGGCATTCATGGTAGCGGAGGTGACGATCAATTTCAGATCTCGTCGCCGAGCCAAGACCTTTTTGAGAAGACCCATTAGGACATCGGTGTTCAAAGCTCTCTCGTGCGCTTCGTCCATGATAATACATGAATATTTGTCCAAGTCCGACTGGACCAGCGATTCTCGTAGAAGAACACCGTCGGTCATGTACTTGATCACTGTCTTGTCACTGGTGCAATCCTCGAAACGGATCGCGTATCCGACTTCATCGCCCAGATCAACTTCCATTTCTTCGCTCACTCGTTTCGCGACACTCATGGCCGCCACACGACGCGGCTGCGTGCACCCAATCAGGCCAAACTTCGAGTAGCCATCTTCGTGGAGGAACTGGGTGAGCTGTGTAGTCTTCCCGGATCCCGTCTCACCGACAACCACGATGACTTGATTGTCTCGAATCACTCGTAGCAGGTCCTCCCTCACAGCAAAAGCCGGTAGAAACTCTCTCTGTTCCCGAAGCGTCTTGCTCTTGCTGAATGAGCTCTGGCCTCCTTCATCCTTCTTCATGTGTTTCGCGAATTTATTCCCACTCTTATACGTATCCTCCACGGGCATCGCGACGGCGCTATCACCCTCATCTTCCTTGACTCCCATCAGGTTCCCCAGTGCCGTGCCTGCCATCGTCGTTGCTTCCTGCGCCTGCTTTTGTCGCTCCCGCTGTTGACGACGGTCCCGGACGACCTTGCTGCCCTTCCGACTGAACACCGCCATATCACTCTGCGGATCCCGGACGGCCGAGATAGGCTCCAGCTGCTTGGTGAAGATGGTCCGGCCATCGAGGAACGGCGGGCGCAGGTCATGGACCAGCAGATGAACACGGGTCCCTTCTTCATCCTCGGGCATGAAGTCGCCATCGAAGTCGCGTCGCTGGGCCACTCCAGACGTGAGCATTCGATTCGTCTCCCAGTTGTCGATGTCCTTGCGCTTCGCATCGCGAAGCTGCGGAGGGAGGTTGGAGCTTTTTTGCCGCTTGGCCGGGGGCCCGTCGGACGCCATTGTGGGTGAGATGTTCGGGGCTGGGCGGGTGTATTCACGAGATGGCAAATTTCGGTTTCAATGGGCGAGCTGAGATGTCGAACTGCCAGCTCCGAACGTCGAGGCAGGTCAGTTGGAGAAGAGAAGTCAAGGTCGAGTGCAGGAATGGCAAAGGCAAACAGTGCAAACTCCGCTCGGGTCACGTGCAGGAGCATGGAGGGGCTGATGTGAGCTTTTTCTTAGAGAACTGCATGTTGAGAAATATATAAAATAAAATAAAATTACACAAAGACAAACTACCATAAATAGGATTACTACTTTATTGTTTTGAACATTCCCATTCCAATCAGCTGGCTGGGCTCTTCGCATCGGCGGAAGACAAGCGACTCCGCGCAACATCAACTCCGACTACCGCCCCGCATCGCCAGTCCAGCTTTGCAACCAGACCATCCCATTCAAAATGGCCGCCCAAGGACAAATAAACCCCAAGAAGCAGCAGGGTATGTGCTCTTTTGGCGCTCTGTGGCCTCAAACATGCAGGACGTGTCCGGATGCAAGACTAACCCCGTACAGAGCTCCAGCTCCAATACTCGAATTACAAAAACACACTGCAGCAGTTGGCTTCGAAGATCGGAGACATTGAGCAGGAGGCGGAAGAACACAAGTGAGTCTATCCTCTCCCTAGTACTGCGAATTCAGCCGCACTGCAATACCTTCTGTGCAGCCCTGGACAAAAATTGAAACTGACGGATGTGTCACTAGGCTTGTCATCGAGACGCTTGACCCGCTCCCTCAAGACCGAAAATGTTTCCGCATGGTGAACGGTGTTCTGGTTGAGCGCACAATCCAGGATGTTTTGCCCTCTCTGAAGACCAACTCGGATGGACTGAAGCAGGTGCTCGAGGAGCTGTTGAAGCAGTACAAGACGAAGCAGACAGAGATGGACACCTGGAAGGTTCGTTTAGAATTTCCTTCGGTTCTTATGGTCATTATTTGGAGTTCAATGCTGATCTTGCTCTGCGATACAGAAAAAGAACAACATCCAGGTCGTTCAGCCCTAAGAAGGGGATCTACGCACCTTGTCTGTCTTCTATATCCTATTGAACATCGTCCGGACTATACTTGAGACAGACTGTTTAGAATTCTTCAACATAAGCGGCGTTAGAAGGAGTCCGGAGACCGGATTCAAAAGTTGCTGGGTCGATTCTTCACCTTGGGGGATTGGGGGATATCGTACATCAGACGAACAACTTTGTCTGATAGAACTGTTGATGATCTTACCGCCACATACTAGGCCATCCGGTAGATGTGCCGCAAGAAACACTTGGTTATATCGATCTCCTCGTGCTGCCTCATCTAGCCCGGGCCTAATAGGAGAAAATGAGGGAGGAGCTTGAGTTTTCCCTTTCGGAGCAATTATATTTTACCACTAGCTAATGAATTCTTTCGATTCCCTCTTTGACATCTAAAATCCGATATAACAGCAATTTGAACTATAGGGCTTATTCGGACCTGATCTGTACGGATGGTTAGCTCTAAAACTTTGAAGACCTAAACCAAATGGACTCATAAGCAGACTGTGCTCATGAAATATAGCTGTTCGTGATATTCATTCCCGTCGTCAATTAGTATATCGTCAACAAGACACTCAACCCATTCGTATATACAGATATTGCTTGGGGTAAAGAGTCGAACACAGACACTCAGAAGAAATAAACCTGTGTCACAGAATATTTGACGAAATAAAAATTCAAAAGCAAATGGAACAAAGATTAGCGCAGGGTAATTCAATTACCAGATGTATACTTCGAGCGCCGGTAAGTAATTTTCTCCAGCGGAATTTTAAACCTGAACATGTAAGCCCACTAAAATGTACGTTCAGCTTCAGGATGTCGCCGTAATCGAGATCCAGAATTCGGTCCCGGTATGTTTTTGCGGTGTTTCACACCAATCGAATGATGAGCCATGGGTCCCTGAATCATATGTTCCTCGAATGGTGTCGAGCTTCCTGATGTCGTGGATCTGCTGCTTCCTGCACTTCCGCGTCGTACTGCGAAGTATCCTTCGGATCCATCCACCGAACGAGCGTTCATCCGCGGCGGGTTTCCTGCAAGACTAGTAGGAGAAATATCGTGAGACATTCGTCGGTGTAGAGGATGCGGTGATACTAATGTTCTCGACCGGTGGGGAGCCGGGCGATTTGACAAGGACGCCGATGAATGCGAACCGCGAGACCCAGGGTTTGGTATCATTGACGTTGTAGCAGAGCGATGGTGATGCCGCTCCCTATGGGCGTCTGCCACAGCAGGTGACCTTTGCCTGGATCCCCACAAAAATGGGTTTTCTGGAGAGTCATAACTGTGTCCCAGGGTTAGAGATTGTGTAGGTAGCTGTAATCGTTCATTGATGGAGAGCCATGCCCTCTCGTCTGCTTCATCGCTCACGCTATCGTTAGGGGATGGCGATGCTGATCCGGAGAGATATCCACGGAGTCCAATCGATGACGCTTGAGTCCGCCATCCGCCCACGCCCTCGAAGTCTCTGCCTTCGTCCCCACTTGTCAGGCCAAGGAAGGCCGTCGTTGGGGGGTGGGAAGAGTTCATGGAGAACGATTCTCTCGGGATATATGCACCGGAAGATCCCATGGCAACCCTCTCTTGCTCACCCCGACCTTCAGAGGAGTTCGAGCTTTGCCGGCGCCGTAATGAGTCTGGTCGCCCTGGGCCGGAAAAGCTCTGGCGGTATGCCAGAGAGTTCGAATAGAGCGGCGTCAAGCCATAGTCCAACGAGCGACGCTTGGGGGTCGCCGAAATCCCTGGTGTAGTTGGTTCAGACGCAGCAAAACTCAAGAGGGATGTGTTTTCGGGTGTGGGGATGGTGAAATAGCTTGAGATAATGCCGTAGAGAAGCTTAATGTAGACAAACGAGAAGCGTATGAACAAAGTTACAAATGCCAGGAAGATGGTGAAGCAGGCAGATGTAATTAGGGGTATCGAGATAAGGAGAAGAAGCGGTAAAGTGATGATCGTGTTCCATATGGAGGACATGAAGAGCCGAGCAACTCTTCCTACAGTGAGATCTCGTAGTTAGTAAGTAATGGTTGCCAGATGGTAGTAAATAGTCCTATTGCCCGACAGATGGCTCGTGTAAAGCCTCTGAGACTAATCCGGTTGAGAGTCCAAAAAGATACCCAGGATTCAAATGAAAGACAGAGACAGAGAGAGAGATAGAGAGGAAAAAGGGAAGAGAAAAACATCGCAAAGCGCAAATGCGGAGACAAACATGTGATGCGCGGGTGCCCCAGGCACGTCCGGCCGTTTCTTACGTCATAACCGCCTCGACTTTTGCATCGCATCTTCAACGCCGAATTTCATCAACAAAACTTGCCCAAGGACATGGCACATACGGAGAGTGAACATGGGGGTGAATTTCCCTGGGAGATCGGGGTTTTCGATGCCCATTGCCATCCGACCGACACAATGTCGTCGATTGCTGAGATCCCTCGAATGAAAGCCACCACTCTCACGGTCATGGCCACGCGTGGTGAGGACCAGGATTTGGTGCTACAGACTGCTGCAACTCTCTCGGATAGGCAAACAGCTATCAATGGCTCCGACACTGGACGTGTCCTGCCTTGCTTCGGCTGGCACCCGTGGTTTTCGCATCAAATCATCGACGATACTCCCGAATCCTCCGATCCCGCTATACCCTCGGAATCCGAAAGAAAGAAGGCGCATTATCGCAAGGTGCTTACTCCATCGCCGGATGACGAATTCATCTCAACCCTTCCGGAGCCAAAACCGTTATCTCAGCTCATCTCGGAAACACGATCCCGTTTGACAGGGCACCCCCTGGCACTTGTCGGTGAAGTTGGTCTGGACCGGGCTTTTAGACTGCCCAACTCTTGGAAGCCTCAAGATATTGAGAATCGCGATGCGGGAATGACCCCAGGATCCCGTGAGGGTCGCAGGTTGTCTCCTCATCGAGTACAGCCGGAGCATCAAAAGGCCATTCTGAAGGCGCAGCTTGAACTAGCCGGAGAGCTTCGACGACCCGTCTCTGTCCACAGTGTTCAGGCGCACGGGGCCGTATTCGATCTTTTCAAAACCCTGTGGGCTGGTCATGAACGGAAGCTGCAGTCGCGACGAGAGAGGCAACGACGCCGCAGTGTCGCTGACGCACACGCGGATAGCGAGACGGAGGAAGAGGCGAAACAAGCATCACCCCAGCCAGAACCCTCTCTTCCATTTCCCCCACGGATCTGTATGCATTCGTATTCCGGGCCAGTGGATCCCGTCAAGCAATTTTTACATGCGTCCAACCCATCGGATGTTTATTTCTCCTTTTCCACCGTGATCAATTTCAGCGGACCCTCGGCCCAGAAAGTTATAGATGTCATCAAAGCCCTGCCGGACGACCGAATTCTGATAGAAAGTGACTTGCATACTGCCGGACCTCAGATGGATGATCTCCTGGAGCAAGTGGCACGACAGATCTGCGAGTTGCGTGGATGGACGTTACGGCAGGGGGTGCAGCAGTTGGCGGACAATTGGAGGCGATTTGTGTACGGTGAGGCGTGCCATGCATAGGACTATTATATACCTACCTACCTAGTATATACCTACCTAGTATATACCTACTCTTGTATATAGTGCAATGATATGCAATCGTGGTAAGCGTGCATAAAGCAGCCCCGTGACCTGCGCCTTCTCCGCAGCCACGTGATTCCCCAGACCCGCCGCCCCACTTCCGCCGTCTCTTTCGCTTTCGTCGCTCGCGATCTTCGCTTCTCCTCAATTCCTCCCACTTGCTCGGAGTCATGTCTTAGACCCCGGCTGTCCTCTGTCTTTAGCCCGTCGCCCGGTCTTTAATGATGAAGCTGCGAGTCTCCGGACCCTGAATCTGCGTCGATGCTCTTGCTATGTCCTCCACCGCGCATAACAGCCACTCGCCCACCGGCAATGGTGTGACTAAGCGCAAGTCAGGTATGCTCAGCGTTGCTTTTCTAGCCTTTCAAGGAATGTGATCGCCTGATTGCCGCTCGGATTCTAGGCTCTGCGGCCTGTGTTCATTGCCATCGACGCAAAGTTCGATGTGACGCACGCCTAGTCGGTTTGCCGTGTTCCAATTGTCGCTCCGCGGGAAAGGCCGATTGCCGCATCCACGAGAAAAAGAAACGTTTGGCCGTGCGCTCAATTCTTGACCCAGTCCCCATTCGCTGTCGCCCATCCCCAGCTTCCGGATCTTCGCCGAGACCATTGCCTCCTCAACCCGCCGGCCAACCCTCCGCTTTTACAACGACCTTCCGAGGGATTCAACCTGACGTGGCCACCCCGGCCACCAACACCGCGCCAACCAGCCATTCCCCCAACTCTAGATTCGAAGACACAAATACCAACGACCCGCGCAACAATGAGATTTCGCCGATATCGGGAACTCAGGAATACGCCCGCCAACCGGGTCTTGACCGGTTGACGGAGCAGGACACAAATGGGGATCTGGAGAAACGGTTGGTGAAGATTATCGACGAAGAAGAGTCTGGTGCCCGAGAAATTCAGCGGGGTGTCCGGGCGATCTACGTGGGCCATGAATTGTCAAATATGTCCTTCTTGATTCGCCAACAGCGGGAGCAAGATGATGATGTGTATCATTTCGCCGGAAATGAGATTCCACGGCGTCAGTTGCGAACCGGACATGACCAGCTCCTCATGGATGCTTTGACCTTGCCGGAACAAGCTCTTGCCGATGAGCTGGTACATGCATATTTTAGCCACATAAATCCAGGCTATCCCATCATCGAGGAGGATCATTTCATGACTCAATATCGTAACCGAGACCCCGCCGATCCCCCTCCGGTTCTGCTCCTTCAAACCATACTGCTGGTGGGAGCCCACGTTACCCGGTCAAAGCCGGAGCGAGATGCTCTGAAGGAAATCTTTTTCCGCCGCGCCAAATGGTTGTTCGATAGTCGGATCGAGCGGAATCGCGATATCATGGTCCAAGCAGCCCTGCTGCTGACCTGGCATTCAGATAGCGCCGACGACGACGTAGCCGCCAACGCGCACTACTGGGTCGGAGTTGCGGCCAGGATTGCCACAGGCCTCGGAATGCATCGTAACCCGGTCTCGAGCAGCTTTGTATCCCGCGACCGTCGGATGTGGCGGAGACTATGGTATATCTTGGTCCAGTTTGATGTCATGGTATCTCTTTCCTATGGCCGGCCGCAAGCCATGTAAGCCGACCCTGTTACACTGACATTGGTATATTTCCATCTGACTGAAATGTGTGTTAGCAACCTCGAGGATTCGGATGTTTCCCCATTGACTCCTTCTGATTTTGAAGGATGCGGGTCCCGAGTGCAATCGGAGTACGTGATTCATTTCTCGGAGCTCTGCACCATGATATCATATATCGTCCGCGAACGGTTTGGCCTGCGAGTCAGTGCGGAACGTCGCAAGGCTGCCCTACAAGAAGCCGATGAAGCGTTAGCAAACTGGTCTCTGAAACTACCGGACAATTTGCGCCTGCGAGCATCAGACATGGATCCTTGGTCCGCTATGCTTCACTTGACATACAACAATCTTCTCATACTTCTCCATCGGCCTCATCCAAGGGCATCTGCGTACTCCGATGACTATGGTCCACATGACGCGGAAATCTGCAGCGCGGCCGCCGGAGTGATTGCTTCTATCTTTGAAGAACTCCGTTTGAATGATCGGTTGAAATTCCTGTGGTACTCTGGAGTCCATACGCTTTTTACGGCCATGATTCAAGTGCGCGTGGAACTGCGGTTCTCCAACCCTGTCCTGGCGATCAATGCGCTGCGTCGCTTCGATTCAGCGTCATACTCGCTCCGTGAGCTGGCCTCGTACTGGTCCCACGCCAACACGATTCTCCGACTATTCGAGGACTCCCGACGCCTTCAGGAGGATTTGCGGTTAGCGACGAGCCAGGGACCCCGACGATTTAACAGCGGGCGCGATTCTAGGCCCAAACCCGATGCTCATCACCCGCCGGCTCCCGATCCTATAATACAGCCTTCTCAACCGGACCCGTCACTGCCGTATGAAGTTCCGACTCCCGAATCGCCACATCTACCCACCTCTACTATCAGCCCGAGCCAGAGCCAACCATTCGACAGCTGGATCCCCTCCAGCAATATGACATCGGTGGATCCACTGGATCAACCGCGGGAGCTCCTGGATTGGCGCCAGCTGTTCTCCTTCACCGATCCGGAACAGGCCGTGCTTCCCATGGCCATGGAAGGACTGCCGGAACTCGAAGACGAATGGCGTCAAATCTACTGGCAGGACACGCCAATGTCCGACCTCCTCCAGGATGGGGGATGGATGCATGGGTAGATTCGCCGTTGTAATCGCTTAGTGCCATATTGCTCATCAGCGAGAACTGGAAAGAACGTGCCTTTGGCATGGGCCATGGAAGGCCAAAACAATAAAACCCCTACACCCTGTATATAGACTACTATCTACCGTCCCAAGCCACTTCCTGGAAATGAAGAAATGAAATGAAATGAAATGAAAAGATTCCTTCAGATGAATTTCCTGCGTCAGCAGCATCGCTTAGTCATCTCCCCAGGCCCCCGTCAAAGCGAAGGACGAGTGATGCAACTTCGTCTTTTCCATCCCCGCGGAGGTGGCTCATCTCACAGGCACAATGAATCCCTTGCGTCTCCCCTCTCGCATGCAGACATGGACCCGAAACATTCCATCGTATCTCTCCGGCGGCGCAACAGCCCGCATTCAGCCCTACCACCTCCCATGTCCCTGCTGGCGACCCACTCTCGGCACTCCAACTACAACGTCTACAACCACACCCGGAACGCATAGATATACAAGATCTATCGACACATTACAATCATCTCGCTATATCCACCGCTCTACAAAATCCCGCCCAACTAGCTCAAAAGATGAAAAACCAACGCAATCCCAACAACAGCAGCAGCAGCAGCAACAACAACTCTACGAGCTCTCGCTCAGTCTCTCCCGCACCCCAGTCAGCGGCAACGTCGAGATGCAAACCACCATCTACGACGCCGACGGGTCGAGCTCGGACCCCACGCGACTCACGAAGCAGGACATCTCGCAGCGGTACGGCCTGAGCGCTCGGGATCTCCGCGCCATCGATCTCCCCTCGGACGGGTTCCCGCATATCCTGATCCGCGAGACGACGATGCTCGTCCACCTGTTCAATCTGCGGCTGCTGGTGCAGGCCGATCAGATGCTCTTGTTCCATGTGGCGTACCAGGGCCAGCGGTCGTCGACGGATAACACGACGCGCGTGTTCACGCATGACCTGGCGGGGAAGCTGCGCGGGGACCCCGGCCGGGGCGTCTCGCTGGGACTGCCGTATGAGCTGCGGGTGCTGGAGGCGGCGCTGGCGGCGACGACGTCGACGCTGGAGGCGGAGTATGTGCTTGCGAAGGAGCGGGCGGTGAAGGCGCTGCGGACGCTGGATCTGCAGATGCTGGACAAGGAGGAGAGTGTGATCCACTCGGATCTGCGGGAGTTGTTGGACTTGGTGCGTCGGCTGGCGGGCATCGAGCAGCGGGCGAGGCATGTGCGGAGCGCGGTGCAGGAGGTGCTGAACGAGGACGAGGATATGGCGGCGATGCATCTGACGGATAAGAAGGCGGGTCGGCCGCATGAGCTGGAGGATCATCAGGATGTGGAGTACCTGCTGGAGGCGTACTACAAGGCGAGTGACACGGTGGTGCAGGAGACGGTCAGTTTGATGCGGAACATTCAGCAGACGGAGCAGACCATCCAGTCGATTCTGGACGTGCGGCGGAATCAGATCATGGTGCTCGAGGCAAAGGTCGAGATCTGCATGCTGGGGCTGGCGGCTGCGACGCTGGTGGCCGGCCTTTACGGCATGAACGTGCCGAACTATTGGGAGGAGAAGAGCTGGGCGTTTGGTCTGCTGGTCTCCTTCTGTCTGCTGGGGACGGTCTTGATCTCGCGGTATGGCATGCGGCAGTTACGGCGCGTCCAGAGGGTCCATCTATAGACGAACCTCTACGACAAGAGACTCGGTTCATGATATCAAATGAGACTTGTTCAATAGCTGTTCTCCAGCTCCAGACCCCTCACTCGTCGACCAAGGGAGGATCCCATTCCTCATCCTGGCCGTATTTCTCCAATAGCCTCATGGTCAAAACGTCCCTCTCATACTGATATGAGCGACTTATTGTTTTGCCTTCTTGGTCTCGCGCTGTTCGCTTCGCAATGGAATAAGCGGAATATCGAGCACCGCAGGCACGATTAGAAATGGCGCCTCTCTGAAGCAAGAGCTCGACCATCTTGCTGGCATTATTTCTGGATGCAGCAGCTAGCGTCAATGGCGTGTGTCCATTAGACACAATGACCGTGTTCACATTTACGGCACCCGTATCAAGCAGCGCTTCTACAATCCGTCGGCTTTCCCCCATGACAGCTAAGCAGAGAGGCGTTATGCCCTGACTATTTGGCGTGTCGGGAGACACACCTGCATCGATGAGTGCGATAGTCTCCGTATAGTGCCTTCGGATAACCGTATCGCACAGCTGAGCCCTCGCAATCAAGGTACTGGGGATTTGAAAGTTCATCTGGTCCCGGATATACTCTAGCACCATGGGCTGTCCTTCGGCGGCGAGAAATCGGATCAAGTCGTCGTTCACAAGGGCATGGATTTCTTGGTGTTTGATTCGTAAAAGATGTATCGGATCATAATAGCGATGCCAGAACTTATTCTGATCCCTACTTGAAGTTGCTGCGCGGAGAATGGAGTCCGTTACCACAATCTGATCTTTGAAGCGGTTGACTAATAGCGTGACAGAGTCAGGGTGAAATCTGTCAGACTGTAGCATTGCCTTCAGAGTGCCCTCTGCTAACATGTATCGTTGAGGACCTTCTTGAATCAGGAGTTCTATCAAATTGAACCCCGGGGTGCGATTGATAGCTGCCATGAATGCAGATTCGGTTACTGGCAGTTCTGACGGACAATGATCGGCCAAGAGCTCTAGAATCTCAACATCATCGCTTGAGCTTGCAGCAAGCACGACCAGCTCTTCTGTTACCAAGATATCTCCCTTGTACTTGATGAGCAGTATCTTCAATGGCAACGCCGAATGGCCATTCTGCACTGCAGCTTCTACTAGGGCAGTTATACCTCCCAGTGGAGGCTCAGCCAGAGACAGCAGCCATCGATAGAAATCCTCGCTGGCTTTCACATGCTGAAAAGCAGCACAGACAGCCCTGAACGTAATCGAGGAGCCCCCTCCTTGTTCATAGAACATTTTGATCAAGTCCCCGCCAACGCGCTCGGAGGCTGCGGCTACCATGATGTTCTCCGTGATGGTAAATTTGCCTCGGAGTTGTTCGTAGCCTTTAACGGGCATACCATCCCATTTGATCAGAGATATCACCGTACTCTCCTCCAGTGGACTGGAACACATCCTGAGAGCCTCCACACCTTGGCCTTTGGCAGTTGCGCTGCCTTCTTTGGACAGAGCCACCAGTAACTCATCTGTAATTTCCGTGAGGCCCCAGTGTCGTATTAAAAGTCTCAGAGGCTTTGGATCTTGGTTGTGGGCAGCAGCCACCAGCATCTCTGTTCTCTGGAGACCTCCCCGGTCGTATTGGCGAGTCACAGCACTGACCTGCTCCACGCCGTAGTTCTTGAGAATGAACTCCCACATTCTCGGCGAAACCCTCTCGGGGCTTGGGTAGGTTTTACCCCAACCCTCGATCACAGCCTTTATCACGTCGTAGCCTTTAAAAGGAAAGTCCAACGCATATTCTAGGACACTCGATGCTCTCTCGAGCTTGGGCGTTATGGTCCGTAGAGTCTCAGCCCCATTAGCCCCCATCAAAGTCAAGCGATGCCAAAGATTCATGGACATTGGGACCGGGCCACTCGTCATTTGCAGAAGGGCTTGGACAATATCAGGCTCAAAATACTCATTGCTAACAGCAGCACACCAGATCATCTCGGGGACACATGTAGCGAAATCGGGGCGACACCGGAAAATGAACGACACCGTCGCCTCGTAACGATTAGTGTACTGTAAGGCCACCGCAGCGATTTCATCGGTCACTTCGACAGTAACATTTGCCTCCTTTGCTTTCTTGATCAGTAGTTCCATGATTTCTCGTGCTTGCTCCTTGTTGTATGCCGCTGCCTTCATTATTCGTTGCCAGTTCCGCACTTGAACATTAGACCTACTCAAGAGGTTATTCATCAAATCTTTCCCGCGGTCGCGGTTCCCTGCGGCCTCCAGTAATGTAGCCTCTGAAATTGTGACTTGGTCTTGCGTGTGCTTAAGCAGTATGTCGACCACCTCATCGCCGCATATAGGATTTCCAGCGGCACTCCGGATCACCCTATCTGTTATCGAGGTTTCTCCAGCATATGGCAAAAGTGACACTACGAGCTCTTTACCATAGTGCCGATTGATGGCACTCTCCTTCCAAATATTCTCGGAGATATTGACAAAAGGCCCATAGTGTGCGAGGAGAATGTCAAAGAATTGTTCCCCGCGTCTTGCAGCAGCGATTGTCACGCCGTCAAGGGGCTTTTGGCTGTTATCCCGTGCCAGAAAGAGCTGAAAAATATCATGTTGCTCGCGTTTAATTGCGACCTCAAGTGGAGAGCTTCCGACGAAATCGATGAAATGGGAGTCGCAATACTTTGATCCTTCGGGAAGCAAGTACTCCCCTATGCTCAGAAGTCCCCAAAAGGCTATTATATGAAATATTGAGTACTCCAGAGGCTTCCTATTCAAAGAATTACTCAAATTCCTTAAGCATCTCATGGAGAACTCCCTGGCTGGAGATTCAATGTCGAAAAACTCCTTGGTCTCATGTGTTATCCGAAATAGGTCTGCGGCTTGTCGAACATGCTGAACCCAATAGTATGTGCCATATCTATGGAAGGAGTCATTCCGTACCATATAGGGCCTTCGCGGGGCATGGATTATGTACTCAATGAGACGATGGGCCAACAAGGCGTGTGCTGCTTTCTCATCGACAAAGAAGCTGTCTGCATTCCGTGGATCCAGAAGAAATTCTCTCGCTGTCGTATGGATGAAGGCAACTCGTTCATTCTCACCGATACTGAGCAGGGCACACGTGTTGACATCTTCCCTTATGAAAGCTCTGCGCTCTTCCAGTTCCTCGTTCTCGTCAAAACGACACACAAGGGTTAAATCGTGAATTGAGAAGGCTTCTTCTGCAACGACAACTATCTCTAGTATCCTTTGAAGTTTATCGACGGACTGAGCTTGTTGGAAATCCTTCTCAACGATGACACGGAATAAGGAATACAGCTCGGTGGGTAAATGGCTCAGTGTTGCTAGAGCATCACGCTGTGGCACACGCATCAGCTCTTTGCAGGCCAAGCCAACCCACACGAAGGTGCCCTCGGCCTTCTTGTTCAAAATTTCTGACACTTGATCACAGGTCTTTTTTGTGTAGCGTTTCTTCACTTGTAGCTGCGAGACCTGCTCTCGGATGAATTTCTTTATGTCCTCTTGGGACTCGCCAAAGGAAGATAGCCCTGTGTTGGGGAATATCTCCAGTTCCTCCCTGATGTTTAGATATGGCCTGCTGATTATCAGAAAATGTATTTTGGAAAGGGCCTCATCAAAGGAAGCAAAAGTTTGGTGGATTTGCCTGAGCAAGTCTTCCTGTGAGGAGTCTTCCAATTCATCTAATCCGTCAATAATCAGGAACTTGTCGCCTGTAGTACTGTCCTGGCCTAGCTCAATTAGAATTCTCCACAGGGAGTCAAAAGAGCCGAAGAGATTATCGCGCTCCTTGTATTTCTTCGTGAGCTGCGTCAGCAGTCGAGGATGCTGCTGAACAAGTTGATACAGCAAGCCTCGCAATACCGCCGAAGCAGTTCTGTGGTCCGATGAACCGGCCTCGCAGAAGAAATACATCAGGGTCTTTCCTGTCAGATAAAAAGAAGCTCTTTTGGGCAATTCATCCGCTAATGTGATAGCCAATGTTGACTTTCCCGTCCCAGGGGCACAGTGAAGCCAGAGGATGCTGGGGTTGGGATTCCCATCATCTTCCAGTTTTCTCTGATCTTCTGGATCGGGCACGTCGAGCCAGGTTTGAAATTGCACCTTGTCTATAATCCATTCACAGGTACCATGGGCTCGATTGCCTCTGCGTCGTTTAAGAGCACTTTTATGCTCGTATGGGTCAACTTGAAACAGCTTGCGAAGACATTCCTGCTCGTCCGAGGACCTAGACCCAGGATCGGCTCCTAGGTTTATGTTTTGTTAGATATGCAAAGATGACACCACCAGCTCAAGCAAGGGGTGTAACTACTCACTGGTTCCATACGGCATGGGCACTGGCAACGGAACAGATGCCAGTAATTCTTTTGCATACGCAGCAGCAGTTCCCGCTGCATAGTGCTGCCAGGTTTTGTTTTTATGGGAGTCAGAATAGTCGCAGATGCCCCGGATCACAAGGCACGGGAGATGATCCATCAAGCCTGCAGCTTCCATTTCGAAACAGAGAATATTCTTTTCTTTTCTCAATTTTTCTCTCGTCATTCCGTGCTTCATGAGGCTATTGGCCGAGGCAATGAGGCCGTAGTGCACATAGGGCTCAGAAAATGGCCGAGCCTTCCTTGTTATGAGTCGACCTCGATCACAATGATCACAAGTCTCTCCGCTGTTGATATGCTCGTATTCTGATTCAAACAGTTCATCCTCCGGTGCCTCTGGCCGGCAGAAATAGGATCTCATTGCTGGTTTTGACTGTAGCGCATTTGCTAGAATCGCTGGAATTCGTCTGACGCCCATATGGTACTCCGACTCTATCTTCCCAATCACATTCAGCAGGTACGACGGTGGTTTGTTCAGGAAGCCAGTGGATTCGAACTTCCCATCGCCAACTATCTTGCCGAAATCATATTGAACGATCCCTGGCGATGAACCTGTTGGCCGACTAACCACAATATCCCCCAGTCTGATATCGGTGCTGCCCCCAGGCGCTCCCCCACCGATGCCGACCATCAATCCATATTCGATTTTGGGGAAAGTGGCCTTCATCTGCATTACAACGGCAGTTGCAGAGGATATCCCATACACACCAGCTGCAAGAGAAGCGATGACAACATTTCGTCCATGGATGGCTCCCAGAGTGTAAGCATTATTGTCTGAGGATGGCTGAGCAATCGTCTCATGGGTTTCATCCAGCATTGCCGCCGCCGCCGCCCTCTCCAAAGGCAGGGCGCAAATCCATCCAACCGTGTAGTCTTCGTGGTAGAGCTGCTTCATGATGCGACACGCTCGATATCAACGTTCCTTTGCTAAGGGGAGAGTTGTAACTGTGAGGTGGGATCGAAAGAGAGGCGGGGTTTGGGCTGAAGACGAGGCTGCCAGAAAAAAACATCCAATCGACCCCTGTCTCTTGCAGGCCACGCAGTGGGCCATGGCCAATAATAATAGCTGCCCTTGTCCAGTAGCCAGGTGCAATGACTTCAGATATTGGGATTCTGAAAGGGCCTATTGTCTGCGATGGTTTAAATCCATCGCTACTTGCTCATCGGTGAATGACCGTGCATTTCGCCTTCCTAGAAGTACTGCTGCGTGCTTATCGTCTATCTCAGAAATACGCATCAATACTAACGGCTTTCGACTAGGCGGCTATCGGCTTTCCCTCCGATGGCGAAAATCCATGCCCAATGAGTCGTTCAAGATGCGGTTAATTGTTTTACCTATCGGACCATCAGCCTGGAAATGTATACAAATGTCCTCGAAAGAAACAGACTTCTAAGCAGTAAGGTGGCCTTTGAGACGGTAGCTTGGTATGTCCGAGGCTAATCATAAATCGATGGAGAAAGCTTGGAGGCATAGAAGCGATGGCAATGAATGGGAGGAATGTAGGGATGGTAGGGCTCGCAGGGCTGCCAGGGAAAAGGATTTACCGCATCTCGCCGTGGAGTTGAGTCAATCCATGTCCTCACCAACAGTCTTAGTTCTTAGAAATCATCTCATGCTTCCCCCCTTCATCTCGATAACCAGCACCAATCGGGGGATTTGCGGCAGTCGAGATGGGCGACGGCACCACGGAAAATGCCATTGCCAGCGACCACGCATCACAACCACCGCCACTAGAAAATGGAAATGAGAATCCAGACCCGCTGTCGGTCTTTGACCGATCCTCACCGGCTAGAAAAAGAGTCATCACGGTTGTTCTCTGCTACTGTGGTCTTCTTACACCCATCAGCTCGACCGCAGTCCTCTCTGCCATCCCTGAAGTCGCCGCCACATTCCAGACGACGGGCTCTATCATCAACGTGTCCAATGCATTGTTCATGGCATTCATGGCTCTGGGTCCGATGATCTGGGCCCCCATATCTGGGGTCTTTGGGCGACGACCCGTTTTTCTCATCTCAAGCACCTGTTTGACGGCGTTCAGCATAGGGACCGCGCTGGCACCGAATCTTCCTGCGTTTTTCATATTTCGCATGCTCAGTGCGCTTCAAGGCACGGCTGTACTGGTCGTCGGGGCCGTGGTAATTGGGGATATATATGTTCCCACCGAACGAGGAAGCGCACTTGGTTGGTTCTTGTCGGGTACGCTCATCGGTCCAACGATCGCGCCATTGCTGGGTGGAATCATCGTAACCTACACATCGTGGCGAGTGATCTTCTGGACACAGACTGGCATGTCAGGCCTATCGATGATTTTAGTTACCTTTTTGCTCCCTGAGACCATCCATGAGAAGAAAACGCAGATCTTCGAGGGCTTGACCCTGGCGCAGAAGTCGACCCGACTGCTGCACCTGATGAACCCGACAGAAATCATAATGTTGCTCGTGTCCTCTCCCAATTTCATGATCGTGGGCCTGGCTGTTTCTTCTTTCATGTGGAATCAATACTCACTTCTCACGCCCATTCGCTACGTCCTGAACCCCCGATTCCATCTCGCAACGCCACTGCAGTCCGCGTTGTTCTTCATCGCCCCTGGAGCAGGCTACTTGACCGGAACCTTTTGCGGCGGAAGCTGGTCCGATTATACCGTGAAGCGATATGTGGCAAAACGAGGGAGACGCGTTCCCGAAGACCGACTGAACAGCGCAGTCGTGATAATGGCCATTCTGGTGCCAGGCTGCATGCTGGTTTATGGGTGGGCTGTCGAGAAGGAGGTCGGTGGTATTCCGCTGGTCGTGATCGCCATGTACTTGCAGGGGTTGACGCAGCTGTTGTGTCTGCCGAGTCTGAATACGTATTGCGTGGATGCGATGGAGGAGAGTGGAAAGGGATCGTTGGTCGTGGCGGGCAATTACCTGACGAGGTTCATGTTTGCGGCGGCGAGTACGGCGGTCTGTCTTCCTGCCATTCAGGCCATTGGAGTGGGATGGTTCAGTACCATTTCTGCCCTTTTCATCTCGGTTTCGGCCGGGTTAGTGTGGCTGGTTGCGAAGTATGGCGAGGGATGGAGGTTGAAGCGAGAAGGGAGATGATCGAGCGATGGGAGTGAGGGCAACGAGTCATCTGCTACCGACCTGGGCAACTATACACCGTTGGTTATCACGTTGGCTATCATGAAGAGAAGCTGCCAATGGAGGACAATGAAGTCCCAATTCATGTATTCTCTATCAATCATATCCGCTTCCACGAGACCCATCGAGAATCATAAACGAGGTTGATCAATGATATCATAAATACAAAGGTGACTCGGTTCATGAGCGTGCAACTTCCCACTCACGGGCCACGGTGCAAGACAACAAGGATGATTGTATCACAATCGACGTAAATGAGTTCTGAAATGACCTCCTGTTACATGCAAGTGTACACGTCTGGCCTGAGTCCCAGTGAAGAAAAAGAGGATAGGAAGGGTGCGCATTGACTGTCGCCGAGCGTCGCACAAAAGAAACATCAGAAGATTAACAGAAGACGAAAAGCCCAAATATTAAAACGGAGAAAGAAAACCCGGCCGCCCCTAAAACTGTCTGTCGTAGTATCCGTTAAGAACCCATTCCCCGAAAGGAACAGGCGATGCCGCGCTGGTGGGCTTCGACAAGGGAGGACGGCATCCGGAGGTCTGAGGCGAAACATGTTCAAGCGCAGCCCCCCGAAGCGTCCCCGCGCAGATGCAATTTAGTAGGCGTCGCCACCTGTGCCGTTGTGCGGCTGACCGACCATTGGGGGGTAGCCATAAGCAGCGGTTTCTTGCTCGGCGGCATCCAAACCCGGGTTCATGATACTGTTGGCGCTGTCGGCGGCGTCACCAAAGGCCCCGGGGCGGCCACCCGGAGCGGCACCCACGCCTCCCACGGGTCCACCAGCGCCATAACCGCTACTGGTTGGCCGGTTCTGATGCTCACCTCTTGCGGATTGGGTCTATACCAGTCATCAGCGCAACCGATTCTCAATCCACTAGACCATTCACGGCTAGCGAGAGGGCTGGAGGAAACAAGGGTGTTGCACAAGTCTTACCTCACGATACTTCGACAAATAGATTTTCAGGGCTTCTGCATAGTTTTCAAAGCCAAGGGAGGTCATAGCAAACAGGATGTCTTCCCCGTTGACGGTCTTGCGTTTCTCCTGCTGGCATTTCTCGGATGCTGTGGTTGAGACACCACACGATCAGACAAGAAGCTCACATACACCCATCAACTGATTTTACTAACCTTCGCTGGTGATGAATGAGATAAACTCACTCACGCACTCCTGCATGCATTCCTTGGCCTCCTTTGCGATCTTTGCATTATCGGGAAGGGCCAGCTTCATGATACGAGCCACTTCGCAACAAATGTTAGCCCTCGCTCCATTTAATCCTCATGATCCCTCGCGAGTGTGACATGAAAACAGAAACGACAGAGTAAAATCCAAAGGGAGTACAAATGATATGCACCATATTCAGGATATGGGCAAATGAAGCCCAGGCACCAAGAGGAATGATGAGGGAAGTTGAATCAAGTCAAAGAAATAAGGGAGAGGTAAGAGGAAGGGGGCGCGCGGATAAATAAGGAGTCATCCCCGAGTAAGGAAGAGATAGGGAGAGAGAAAAAAAAAAGCATCGAGGGAACAAATCGGCACGGGATCACAGAAGGGTCCGGCGCAGTGTAGTAGGGCAGGATGGCTGTTGACCAGCAGATGAAAGGTAAGGTACGCGCAAATCAGGAGGACAGACGAGCTGCAAGGAAACGCAACTAACCATTTGCAATGGGTAACCATCTATCCTGCTCCTTTACCTCGAACTCTCCCTGGCCTTGTGCGTCTTGCTGTTCCTTGTCCATTTGGTCTTGCTCTTCACCCGATTGAACTTCAGGGTCCACCTCAGGTTCCTTAGAAGGGGAGGCCGACGACATGATTTTTAGCTGTTTGGTAACGCGCGGTGGATACTAGAATTCTGGAAAAGAATGGCTGTGTCTAATTGCCCTGTTGGCAAAAAACCACGTCACAGATGCGGCGCGCGATGGCTGTCAAGCCCTTGACGCTACGATCAACTGGCTCCAGGGGGGATGCCTTGCTGGGCAGCGATTCGCTTCACAGCAGCCTAAACGGGGAAGGAAGTCAATGTCAGCATGTGTGGGGGATTGGCAGTGCTGCAACGATAAAGCTGCCCTGGCGGTGTGATTCCGGTCCACTAGACTTGGTATTATTCAACAAGGATGGCAATGATGAGGGGGGCGCCCGATAAGGCTCTCGGTGTTTTTTCTTTTTTTCTTTTTTTTTTTTTGTCTTTGTTATAAAAAAAAATAAAGGGGGAAAAAGATGATTTTTCTTCGAATGGGAAAATGATCCTTCAAGGTCAAAGCTGATTTGATGCCCAGTGACCGCAACCAAGTACCAAAAATCTGGGAACAGTCTTGGGCCCGGGGGGAAGGAGGAAAGTGGAGGAACTAGAACTTACAGATTGCAGTGGTGGTAACGTCAACTATGCGCGGGAAATCCAGCACAGCAACACGGGAGATGTGACGCGGGTAATGCGACACGGAAGTAACCAGTGGGTCAATGGGCACGTTGTGCAAAAGAGAATCCAAATCAACCCGACTAAGAAGCGATCGGGGTATTTTGGGGGCGATGCTTAGATGGATCTTGCGAAGATCCAACGATGATTCGTCTACTGGACAATTGTCGCAGAGGGACAGTTAGTATTGCTCTGGAGAAGTCCGCGATGCGCGCAAGCCGTCCATTGGCGAACCAGAGGTGCCTGGCAGAACGAGCGCGATCACTGGTTGCTGGGGACAGTACAACGCCAACAGTAGGGGAGATGGGGACTAACCGATGCTCCTCCAAACAAAACACGCGACACCGATGGAAAAGATGAACCAGGAATGATGCTTGATGATTGACTGATTGGTTGAGGTGCAGAACGCCTGCTGGCTGGCTGGAATGAATGAATCCAGAATTCGATGGATGGAAGGGAGACCGAACGAGAGAAGTCCGCGGGCAGGTGACTTGCCGTACCGCCGCCGTACTGCGCCCGCCGTATTTCTCTGCCTGTTCCGGCTTAGCGCGTCACATCGCGGGCGGTGCGTCGGGGAGGGGGTGGTTTCGATACCGTAACGCACGTGACTGGGCATCAGTCATCTTTTCCATCTCTCGTCCCATATCCCCATCCCCATCCCCAGGTAGTTAACTGCCTGTTCATCCTTCTCGTGTCGATTGGGTATCATCAGCCATCTCCGGACTCTCGTTCTCGTCTCCCTGCATCCCAGATGACGACCCAGGCGTTTTCAGGCATCAATCGCATTCGTCCGAGTTGTACAGATGTACATCCGAGACATTGATGGGCAAACAGATGGTTTCGACACCATCCTTCTCGATGCGACGATAAAGCATGAGTATCTGAGAGTCAGGCAAACCTGCAGTGGACCCGGCTGTCGCCCAATCCCATCCAAGTTGGTCACCTTGTCTTCGCATTGGACGAGATGATGATGGTGGGGAGACTGCTGAATGCCTGGATGATGTTCCTACCCAAGTCATCGTTGTGGATGCCTTAACTTTCCGCCTGGAAGTTCCCTTCCCCCCTCCTTCTCGGATGGGATGATGTGGACATCGACATCAGAGACAAAGAGGGAACTGATGATGATAAAAAAAATTCTAAAAAGATAGGGGGGGTCAAATCATCATCGATGGGCGGATTATTGGTTCTTCGGTGCTACGTGCATCTGCAGATTGGTCGAGGCTAACATGAAGCAGCCAGTAGGCGACTTTCCCCTGCCCACCATCAGGATCGATCTGGGGAGAACCAAACGCCCCGATTTCCTGGCCTCGTTGGCGCCAACTGCAGCCAAGAAGATTCGAAATTCACCTTAAACGGTCTGCTTTCTCATTTGCTCCTGCTTGGTGCCTTTTTCCTCTCCTTCCTCAAATCATATCGTCCTGTCTGTTTGAGCCATGACGATTCCCTGGATAGCACTAGGTTCTCTTCCGGCCACGACGGTCTAGACAAATCACTCGCGGATAACGTCATATCACTTGTCTCGTATGAATTCTATATTCAGTATATCTATTGGTTTAATATGTACTATACATCATGCATATCTCCGGGTTTAAGGCATGCTGGACGGCATGACACCATCCTGCCTGAGCCAAAGGAACACCAAAACGCGCCGCCAACAAACAGACCGAGGAAACGAAAGAAAGAAGAAAAACGGCAGGCAACAAAATTCACATGGGTGGTGTTCATGGCTTCTTCGCTCTTTCTTTCCTGCCTACTTCTTCCATTTCCGATAGTATTATGCGATTGAACTCTTCCCAACCATCCAGGTAGATATGGTGGCCGGAATTTTTGATGACCACCACCTTAGCCGAGCCATTGTCGGATTGTTTGTCCTCCGGGGTGGCCGTGCTAAGAATGCGGTTTTTCTCTTCCTCGAGCTTCGCCCGGGCCGCCATGCCACCTTTGACGTCCATCCAATCATGGTCGCCATACATGAAGACAATAGGCAAGCCATTCTCTCGTTTCACCGACAGAGATGGAGGTGAAATAGTCGATTTCGGATCGGTGGTAGAATCAGAGGGCGACTGAGGGGGAGAGGAGTCTCGGACCTCGGCGGGCTCCCACGATGATGAGGACGAGGACGACTGCATCATTTGCCGGCCGACCCCTTCTATACGACGAATCAAGGGACTGCGAGCAAAAGCCCCTGGGGCGAGGATATATGCAAGTGCATACTCCCCACTACCTCGTAAGCTGAAGATCGAATACGAGTAGTCATGAAGAGCCTTGGCTTCTTCGGCAGGCAGGTGGGAGAAGCGTCGAGAGGTCCAACCTGACACCAGTCGTGGCCCAAAAGGTCCAGCCCATCGCACCAGAGTAAAAGGTGAGATGTTGGCATCCCAAAGGTAGGCAAACCACTTGGGTATTATTCGGCGAGGTGGTCGATTATCAGAGGCAGGCCCACTGGTAGGGGCTCCCTTCAGAAGAATGTTGTTGTCGCCTTTCTGCACCGACGAAGCGGATTGGGCGATTTCGTGTTGGTCCTGGGTGACCTCGTTGGCCATGGTCGATTCAGACGGTTCCGGCATGGCCGCAGATACCGCGTATGGGTCCTCTGGTATGCCCACCGGAGAGGCGAGGATGAGCTTATTCAAACGACCTGGGTATTTGAGGGCATAGGCAACTGCCATGTAGCCACCCAGACTGTGGCCCAGCAAGGTGAATCGGTCGATTTTGCGCTTAACACGCCACTCCTCCAGCGCATCTATAAACCAGTCCTCGGCTTCTTTGATGGCATCTTCACGTTTCTTCGCTTTGATGCGAAACGAGGGCCGCGTGCTGCGACCCATGCCCAGCAAGTCCAGGGCGTGAAGTTGCCAGCCTTGTAGCCGACTCAGGGGCTCGAAATTCTTGTAGAAGAATCCTAGACCGGCCCCGTACCCGTGAAGCATCACCAGATGTTGATCTGCTTGCTCGCCGACTCTCTCCACTGAGAATTCATTGAGAGCTCGATGCTTGCCACTCAGCTCCACCATACTGGAGCGCCATAGCCGAGGGCCGTACGGATCGTCGAAGGAGTTGGCGGAGACTTCGCCCTCTTGGCTCTGATCCGCGGATTGTAGACTTCCCGGCTCGCCATCCGGAGGCGCCGTCTTATTGCCGGTTTGCAAATGAGTTGGGGGTTGGTGTTGAAGGTAGGGAAGGTAGGACAGGACTTTATGTTCAGCTGCGGCGGCGGGTAGACTCGCCCACTAAAAAAGAGCGTTTTTAGTAAACCCATTGATCCATGATCCCTGATTTCCTTCCGAGGCCTGCCAGTTCAGGAACCTACCCACTGGTTGAACCCTTCTCTGTAGCCCAGGGGAAACCATGCCAACGGTGGAGGCGTGGCGCTAGCCCCTTGAGCCGCATGAGGGACGCTTTGCTGTTGGGAAGACATTGAACTTGGCTGTCTGCGATCGTGAAACTCGTCCCTCGACGAGTCCAAGGATTCAGATGTCATAGAAGAGCTCAAGCGAATATTTGTAGCAGAATTCAACGGAGAAAGGAGACGAGAAGAATCCAGGGAAGTCCAAGGTCGACAGCCTTGGAGGGCTAGAGAAGGGAGTCGCGCGGTAGACACCTTGCTGCGTAGAGTTCAGAGCAACAGAGAAACCTTCCCTGTCACTCAAAAAGCAACAGCAATTGGGGGAGATGCAGGCAGAAAAAAATGTTTTATAGTGAGCAGTCGAGGGTTTTCGGATGACAGCTTGCAAAATCCGATCGGGGAGACTGAGGCTAAAGACCGCTTATCCCCGATCAATGGAATTCCCAGGCAATGAGATATAATGAGAGTCAAAATGGGCAGCAGAAAAGACAAACGAGACTATCCACAAAGACTGGTGACAGGCAGAGGGGGAAATGCAAACTGAATGCGAACGCGACGGCGACAGAGGCCAAGACGCATGGATCATCGGAGGGGAGACGACGTCAGGACGACACCTCAGGCCGCGGATGCACGTGACCGATGACGCTGCCGATACCAGGCGATTACATACCGTACGATACGGTCACGTTCCTCCTCATCGCCTTCAATCGGCGTTTTCCGCTTCATCTCTTGTTTTCTCCTTCTTGCCCGCCTCTCGCCTGTCTCGCAATGCGGTAACGCCTGGCCGCAGCGGCCTTTCTGTCCATAATTTTCTCTCATCCGGACTTTTGGGGGCCCCTTTATAAATAGATCCGGATCCCTTCCTCTTGACGCCATTGCTTTCTCTCCCCGACCCCGACCTCCACGACTTAGATCACCATGACTACCCCAAGCTTGGATCAGCTGGTGAAAGGGTCTCCTACTTCTGGAAAACCCGCTTCGTCCTTGCCGACTGCGCCAGACGCATCGACTCCGCCCCTGCAGACGGATTCGCCGATTTCGTCGGATTTCTCTTCCCCGCCACGTTCATCAACCCCCGATCCACTGTCCACGTTACCGTCAGCTCCGCCCCAAATATACCTGAACCTGCTCATTCTGGAGAGCTCCCTTCGAGCGCAATACCTGGCCTTGCGTGAGCGCCGAAGGCAGAACACTTTTTTCCTTCTCCTGCTTGCCGCCTGGATCGCATACTTTGCCTATGCCCTTTTTCTTCGGCCTCGAGAGGATGGCCGCGGGGTAGGAGGCTCGGTTTACTGGGTTGTGGAGATGGGAGACAAAGTAGCCCTGCTCGGGGGTGTGGTCACTGCTCTTCTAGTCTGGGGCACCGGGCAATGGGAGCGAGGAGTGCGTTGGCCACGGCGCTGGCTCGCTGTCGCCAACCGCGGCCTTCGTAACATGAACACCAAGATCGTTGTGATACGAGGTCCCTGGTGGCAGGAAATGTTGTCTTATCTCTCTTTCCTCTTTCCGTTCAACACGCCTTTCTTCCCCTCTCCCATTGGGGATTTTCACTTCATAGAGCGGCCGGCATCTGAGAAACGTGTTGGTGGTCGGCAGTACCATCAACAATATCATAACGTGGATCCCGAATCAGGACTTGTGGAAGAGGATCTCAGTCCGGGAGGAGATTACATTCGGTTGCTGCTTCTACCCAAATCGTTTTCTCCTGAATTTCGAGGAAATTGGGATGACTACCGGACCGAGTATTGGGAGAAGGAGAATGAGCGACGCGCTCAACTGCGTCAGAAACTACGCCAGAAAGAACGTCTCTTGGCCGAACAAGACGGGAGCTGGTTTGGGTCGATTGGGCTTGGGTGGAAGGCTGCGCGACGACGACGACTCGCAGCGGCCACGCTCAACAGACCGATCGACGGCGAAAAGCATCGCCATCACCATCAACACCCCAGTATCTCTAGGCTCAGCCACGAGCTCAAATCTCCGGTCCGACGTAGCACGCGCTCGGACTCCCATTCCCGTACGCCTTCGCGTAGCACCACTCCCGTCGACCTAGATGATCGCCCTCCTTCCAGGTCCTCTACAAGCGGCCGTCCTCGGCGAGGAAGCACGCCAACCTCGACGACATCAGCCTCCGAGCAGAGCCCTCAACATCGGAAAAAGAAAGGGTCTAAGACCCTCACCCGGGGTCTATCGCCTCTGACCCAGGCGCAAATCAGAGAGGGAGTTCGTACGCCTTCATTCTCGTCCGACGATTCCACGATGACGGGGCTAGGAGAAGAGAAAACCAAAGTCAAAGAAGAACCTGTGGAAACCTGAGCGGCACGCCTCGCCTGCTGCATTCCTGTCGCTCTTAATGTGCTTTGCGATGATATACTTAATACCCCTTTCGACGCTTGCTGGTTGCATGATGCATGTTTATTGGAATGCTGTCATGGATATATGCCGTTCCCTTTTCTCTTCTCATCCATTCTTTGTATCCTTCCAGTCTCGGGTTCCTTTTTTAATATCTTTATTCCACTCTAGATCATGTCAATACAATCGAGTCTACGATATGCAGACTGTACAGGTTACAAGGATGCCCAAATACTAATTCCGTTCCTGATCCTGAGCATTGCTTTGTGAATCTAACGGGGTCTGTATGAATCTCATTATTTCACTATTTTGATTTATGCATTGGGTTCATAATGCCAACTGTGACAGTGCGGCATAAAGGGAGAAAACTCCTAGACGCCATACCGCAAACTATCCGTGAATGAGGATATCGGAGGAACAAAAGAAAAAATTCATAGCTGCCGTAATCCCCTCTCCTAGCTCCATCTCCAACCAAACGCATTGATTAAATCCTATAAACTGTCTCGTCTTCTTCAAGGAACCTGTTGACAGAAATTATGGTTAGCCAAATCAGACATTCTAGATTGGGTGGTGGCCGGGGATCAACTTACATCAGCTCATTTCTCTCATTCATGGCCTTCAAGGCTTGGATGGCTTCCGCTCGCTGGAACGTATGTCCTTCGCCGAGCGAGCGGTTATTGCGGACCGCGGTGTTCACAGCACCGATGAGTTCTTCCACGTCGGCGGTGTCGCCGCTAGCGAACACTTGGGTTCCCATCAAGGGCCCGAGTGCCTGACGGAAGACCGTCAGGCGAGCAGGCTGCAGAGACTGCGAAGCGCCACCGGCGGACGCTCCCTGGGACTGCGAATTATCCGTCTGGGACTCGACAAGCTGCGAAGCGGGTTGAGAGGATGCCACAGACATCTGGGACTGGCTCTGGGTCTGGGTGCGGGTGGCGCTCGATCGGAGTCGCTGACCACGGGGGCTGGCACTGTACAAGCCGTCGCCGTTTTCTGACACATCGTCTCCATCTGCATCCATTTCGTCGGCGGTCGTACGGGCTTCTGCGCGCGTGCTGGTCGTGCCGCCTCTCCGGGTCGATCGCGCACTTGCGGTATTTGCTGGCGTGGCATCGTCGTCGTCGTCGGAATCGGAACCGCTGGACTCGGAGTCTTCGTCGAAGGAGGCAACCTTTCTTCGCTTCCGGCGTTCATCCTCAAGGACTTCTTTGAACATGGCAAAACGAAGGATAGATTCGGCAATCTTGGCATCGCGCTCTTCAACCCGACTAGACAGGCGAGACTTCGCGTGAGCAGTCGACAAACGAATCAACGTTTCGAGGGTACGGGCTGTGATGGGAGATGTTCGGCGCTGGTTGCCGGAAAGTTCGTCGTTTCGCAATGCCGAGTAGGTTGACACAATGTGATCAGCAGCTCCCTTCGTCAACACAGGCTTGACACGCGATTTGGCATATTGGATGTATTTCTTCACGAAGGGAATGCTCAGGATTTCGGGGTTCTTTCCTCTGTTCCGGCCGGTGTTAACCATACCGGCGTGGAGCATCACGTTGAAGTTCTCAAAGACTTCGGTTGGTTGGTTGGAGTCTTGGTTATCCTCGAGACCAACACCCAGGCTCTGGTTGAGCTGTTCTCTAACAGGCGCGCCTTCTTCAACACCAGGCTGGCGGTAACGGTGCATACGTAGCACATGCTCTGAAACCATTCGGTCCCGAGAATCCTCAATGTCATCTGTCATGACGAAGAGCAAATCGAAACGCGACAAGAGAGAATCCGGCAAGGCAATGTTCTTGTGCGGGTCTTTGTGCGGGTCGTACTGTCCATAGATCGGGTTGGCCGCAGCCAGGACACTGCATCGAGCGTTCAAACTCGTGTGAATACCGGCTTTGGCAATGGTAACCGTCTGCTGTTCCATCACTTCGTGAATGGCCACACGGTCGACATCACTCATCTTATCGAACTCGTCGATACAGACGACACCGCGGTCACCGAGTACCATTGCACCGGCCTCCAGTCTGCGCTCCCCAGTTTCCTTATCGGAAGTAACAGCAGCCGTCAGACCAACTCCAGACGATCCCCGTCCAGTGGTAGCAATCGCAAGAGGAGCGGTGTTCAGGACGAATCGAAGGAGTTGCGACTTGGCGGTGGAGGGATCACCAACCATCAAAATGTTGATATCACCACGCAAGTGAGTGCCGTTATCAAGGTTCTTCTCCATACCACCCAACAGCATGAGCAACATTGCCTTCTTCACGTAATCATGGCCGTAGATACTAGGTGCAAGCGAATGTGACATCAATTCAAACACGTTCTTCTTCTTCGAGATCTTGTTGATGTTTCGAATGTCGGTGTCGGTAATAGTGGCCTGCGCAATTCCTCCGCCGGATTTGGAAGATAGTTGGATGATGTTGTTTGCGAGAATGAGCGTACGGAAAGTCGAGGATCCAGAGTTTGCATTTCGATTTCCCAGGGAGCGATAGATACCGACCAGTTGGATTCGATCTCCGGGTTTGGCTCGGTCTACCAGGTCGTCGTCAAGGATCACATCCACGCTTCGGGGCAGCTGACCGGCCGGCGCTCGCTCAGGCATTTCTTGAATCGAAATCGTTTGATGGTCCATATAGGTAGAGTAACCATACTCGGTAATGAGCTATGAGAGGACTGGGCGTTAGTAATAGCTCTTGGATTGGAATACCATCCACACATACCGGGTTCTTTTCGTCATCCTCTTGTGGATAAACATTCAGATTTGTGGCTCCGCTGGCAGTCATGGTCTGATCTCGATACTTTCTCGTGAGAAATCGGTCCTTGCGCTCGCTATAGTGAACACTCTGGATCACTTTCGGCCGGACCAATGAACACTTCGTAACAATTCCCTCCAGGGAAATCATCCTGTTCAGATGATTCGACCCTAGGGTCCTAGGATTGCAGGCGAATTCTCCGAAGGCTCCGACGTAAGCGCAGTAATAGTTCTGAGATATATTAGTTTATGCAGGGGAGCCGCCAAAACCTAGGTCATCGTACCACATCGTCTGCTGTTTCTCGCGAGGACCGGCCTAACGACTTAATAACATCTTTTAGGGCTCTGTCGAAGGCTTGCGAGTAATCGAATGGATTCGTGAGCAGGCTTTTTTTGCCACATCAGCTGGTATACTTTTTTTGATATCTCTCTTATGGATAACCTACCCATCGGCGATCTCACGGTTGTGGGCTCTGATTTCATCGATGCTCACCTGTGATAGAAGAATTTTTTGTTAGTTTTATGTTTCAAGGCGACGGGACGTGAACAAACGCCGAAGGGGATCATACTATCAAGCGACGTAGTCCCCGATTCAACATCAATACAATGTCTGCTCGGTAACTAGCTGAAAGTCAGGCTCATTGTTTTCCAGAAATCGACGGAAATTCCAGAAAGGGAGGGTCGAGCAAGTGTCCACGAACCTTCGCGCTCTCGCATCGGCTAAAGCAGAGAAATTAGCATTATACAAAAAGCAGACAGGCACGAGAAGGCTTACTCGGATCGAGAAACTCGACGGCGGCACGCACTCGATCCTGAGCGGCCTCATCACGGAGTTGCACCCCGTCCATGGCGAAGGAATTTGGCCCTAAATGCGGTGGAATGGAATGGGGGTGAAATTGAGCCAGTTGGCTTGTCCAAGAACCGGAGAGCTGGTAGATAATGGCCTTGGGTCCAGAGGTGGTGCTTGTTCCCTTGCGGAGCTGCAGCTGGACGAAAGAGTGGGATGGCGGAGGATCCTTTCGGCGCCGACACGCCGTCCCGATCGGGCAGAATTGAATCGCGTCTCGCTGGACCAGACGCGTGTTTGACGCGCCCGTTGTGCTGCTGAGTCAGCAAGACTTTATGTCGGGCGTGCACTTTCCCTTTTTGGATCTCAGCACAAAGTTACCCATAACTGGAGTTACGATGTCTTCTTACTTGCACCACAGCACACAATGCAACAGACTTATGTTCTGGATATAATCACACTATTGTACACGTTGAGAAATGGGATGATAGTATATACATATAAACGCCAATGCCATGCTTCTTGGACAAATCGCCAGTGCTGCGACTAAGACGAGTCCTGGTTGTCTTTTTTAGCCAGCTCTTCCTTGGGAGGCTGATTTTCGTGGAGCCCATGATCCTGATCGGGATGTTCCACTTCCACCGGCAGAGAGCTGCCAGTGTCTTCATCGTTGTCAGAGTCCTTAGCAGTCGGGTTTTCGCTGTGCGAGTCTTCCTGACCGGAACCATGTTCTCCTTCCACCGGCCGAGAACTGCCGTCTTCATCATTGTTGTCTGAGTTGTCATGTTGCTCGCGATCGAATAACTCATCGGTCACCCCCTCCGCGATACGTCGGGCCTCCAGAAGAGATTCAGCCTCGATGTCATACTCGTCCTGGGGGTCGATGGTCTTTTCAGGGAGCTCGGAAGTATTGTCTAACGAGACAGGGTCGGTCTCATCAATGAAAAACCTATTCTCGCCAGGTTCCACGGTGTTTTCCGGATCAGGTCGAATGTGCGCATATTGCAGAGCCAAAGCTTCGAACTCCTTATCTTCCTCGGATTTCTCGGGCTCTTCGGCCTCTCCGCTTTCCCCTTCTCCCTCGACCTCCTTCGCCTCATCGCCGTCCTCAGTCCCCTCTTCCTCGATGTCGTAATATTCTTCCTTTGGCCGAGGAATGGCCCGACGTCTACCGCCTACTCCGAGAATACCTCCAGTCCATACAAAGTGATTGGATCCTTTCTCGGCATTCCTCTTGTCGCTTCGTTCTTGGCGACGTCGAAGCAACACACCCTGGAATTTGTCACGTAGAATGGGCATGTAGGCTATCGCCTTGATGGTTTTTGGTGCTTCCTTGTAGAGGGCTTTCACTTCGGCTGATCCATCGTAAATACTTCTCTCACGGAATCTAAGTAAGGAGGAAGCCAGATACACCATAGAGATGTAAGTAGGCTGCAGAAAGTCCGGCTGGACCTTGCTCCAGTATCGCCGTCCTTCCTTACCAAGGACATCGGGGCGCTTCCCGCGCTTGGGGTTTTCCATTAAGTCAATACCAGCCGGAACTCCGTTGGGCTTCAGCCCATGCCCTCGGCGTAGGTTCTTCCATCCAGGAAAGTTTGGCATGAACTTTGTTTCGAAGATGGTGAAAGCTTCGAGCTGGTCTGAGGGTCTATCAGAGGATGCAAGCATCTGCACCAAAGTTGACCAGTTGAAAGTCGTCATAGAAAAGCCCGCCTTCTGGATCTCCGATACAACCTGAGGGAGCTTCCATGCCTCGTTTCGATAGGCTAAAGAACGCATGTATAAAGAAAGCGGCCGGGATAAGAAGAATCGATATGAGTGCAGCACAGACGTCTCGGGATGAGTCTCTCCAGAACTATCAAATTTGAGGAACCCTTCCGGCTCACTGCGTAGTGAAATCGGCAGAGAGGGTTGAGGCGGACCGACATCAGAGGCATCAATGGTATCGGTAGCCTCGGCAGCAAAAGCAGCATCAGTCGCGTCAGTGGCATCAGCAGCAGGGAGCAGCTGCTTAGACAGCCATTTATCGATATCGACCCGGCTGGCTAAGTGCTTAGCACGCGAGAAGGCCATATTCCAGCACTCTTCAACCTTTGAATATTCTTCGCCTTTGAGATGGGCGAGCATTAGTGCAGAAACTAGTTGAATCGGGGCTGTGTCCTCGACAGTTCCCAACGCCTCGGGGGTAGGCCCGCTTCGGATGAACTCATCGAACAGTTCACGAGCTTTCGTCGAGGCTCCTCTCGTTCCGTATGCGTTTATGACATATTGGTAATACATAGCAGGGAAGGCGATGCTAGGCGATTGCCCTCCCGCACCGGGTAACGGCTGTTTAGATGCCAACTTCATGCTATCAAACTTGCGGAGGGTGTCCATCAGGAATTTTTCAGCATTTTTCAGGCGAACTTCGGCAGCATTGACACCTTCGCTACCTTCATCCTGCACAATCTGCAAGTCACGCTGGAGCTGACTCTTCAGAACAAGCAAACGAGAGCTAAATCCGGGCCGGTTGAAGCGCTTTATGATCTCGCGGAAAACAATGTGCACCATGTCGCGATTCCGGGCTTTCACGTAACCATACAGAATGATAGTATAGTGGAATTCGGTCGCATAAATGCGACGGCTTCTGTGAAGTGTCCGCAGGATTCGACGGGCAGAATCCGTCTGGTTTATAAGCACCAAGCTAAGCATGAGGGCGGCATAGGTCATCCCATCCGGTGCTAGGTCGATCGCATCCATACGGGAGCGGATCCTAGAAATAGCGTCCAGATCTATCCGGAAAGCATGGTTCCAAAGCAGCACATTCCACATTCTCAAGCGCGATCCCTGGATGCGCAAGCCGAGGCAGGTCTCTGCAACGCTCTCGGCCAGATCGAGTCTCTGGTTGCGGCAGTAGGCCTCCACGATGGTATCAAGAAGCGGGGCTGTAATCTGCACTTGTTTCTGCTTGGCGAGAAGAAGCAGTTGACGAACTGTTGCAATATCACCCTTATGGGCACACAATCCCATCAACGTGCCGAAGGTGTGCGAATTGGGTTCGACGTTGTTTTCTAGCATCCTCTCAAATGCGGCAAAGGCACCTTGGAAGTCATCTGATCGGGCATGCGCAGTAAGAACAATGTTCCAGCAGATGTTGTTTGGCGTCAGTCCGAATTCCCCCGCTATTCTATCGAACTGACGAAGCGTCGATTTCACATCACCGGCCCTAGCATGGACGTAGAGAAGCGGAGTGACGAGTTTCCGACTACGCGGTTTGCCATGGTCCGCGAGGTACCTATCAAATACACGAGTAACACTCTGCACATCGCCGGCTCTTGAGAAGGCGATTAAGGCACTCTTGTAAGCATAGACCGACGGTTTTCGGTAGAATTTAGTAAACTCATTCAACAGGTATTGAACCCCAGTTGTTATTTCCAGCGCGGCGAGTCGTTCTAGAAGCTTTCCCAAGAGTTTGGACGGGGGAATGTCTTCCGGCGACTGCCAGCGAAAATTGCGATACACTAGAATGGACTTGACGAATGTTGAACGGATGTCGGATGACTGGAATGTTGTGATGAGGTCGAAATAGTTGCCGGGTGTGATTATGTCCAGTGCATGGTACTTTCGCAAAAGAAGCAAGAGGTTGTCAGTCGGTATCTTTTCGACCAACTCTCGGTTCGTGAAGACACGAGCGATCAAGAAAGAAGAAAGACCACGGAGAGATGTATCTGCACTCTCATTTTCCAAGTAAGAAGATAAACCGAGCAAATTCCGCGATAGGTCAGACGCAGAGAAATGTGGCACGAGGAGACTCCAGAGCTGAGTACCCGAGGTAGTCGGCATCGAGAGCCATAACCCATGAACCGCTTTCCAATCGCCGGCTTTAAGAAGTTTCGCTAGAGTGAAAGCCCAGCAGTCATGACCTCGTTGTCTGGAAATGGCTTCCTGGCAAATTGAAATCATCTCTGCTGGTTGTTCAGTAGAATGATAAGATCTAGCCAAGTTCAAGTAGTCATCGGCAGATCTCGAGTCAACTGCGATCCCGTCAAATAATCTTTTGACCCGCCTATAGTCGCTGACACGCGCGGAATGACTGAGATACGCCAGAAGAGCCGAATTCATGTCGTCAGGATGTCCTAGCGCCGCATACAGCGCCCATGCTTGGTCATATTGGCCGGGTTGCGCCTTGGCCAAAAGCAAGACGAGTGCTCTTCTCGTTTCACTGCTCTCATCGAGCTCCTCCGCTGTTTCTTCCTCCGACTTGGGTTCTCTTGCCGACTGTGGCAAACCAGCAGCGTGCGTCGCGTAATTTCGAGACAGACTCGGAATGGCCTTTTTCTTTCTTCGGGGAAGAAGTCTTCGGGGGGCTCGTAGCAAGCATGACGTGACGACTTCCTGTGCATGCGGCGGATACAAGAATTCGAGAACGGGAGATCGCGCATCGTTGGCGACCGCGCCTGAACTTGCTTTGCCTCCCAAGGCACTTGAGGGTCGCGTGGGTTTCGACTGTAGAGAAACCAGAAGCCAACGGAGACATTCAACGCTGGCGGTATTGAGTTGCCCAGGACCAGAGTTGAATGGTTTGGGACCTCGGATCATGCCATTTGAATCCCGAAAGAAACGCCGTCCTGCGTTCTCAAGGCATCCGGCGGCCCGTTCCAGCATCACCCCCGAAGATTGCGGTGCTATGCCCTGAAATCACCGAGTTCGAAAAGGGATGCGTAGCATATCGGTTCGAAGAGACCTATTGTCGGATGGAAAGATAGGTTAGATACTGACTGGATTTTCACGGTCTCGGACAACGGAAAAGGCGTACCAGAGCAGAGGAACCGGGTGCACGAAGCTTCCAAGGCACAACCAACCGGAATCTCCACGGGGAGAAAACGCAATCCGAGGTGCAGTTCGGAATTAATCAATCAGAATGCCAATTGGAAAAAGCATCCACTGGGGGCGATGGCGCGGTGTTGACACGGGGTCAAAATTTGAGAGGGTGCAGGTAACGAGCTTGGCCGACGCTGGAAAAGAGAATCCCGCCGAGCGTAAATCAGCCGGGCATTCGTTTGGCCGAGAACTGACCACGCCAGCCCGCACTCTCTCGCAACCCACCGGCCCATCGACGTATCTGTCCGTCTGCTTCTCCCAGCACCATGGATATCACCGATTTTATTTTCGCCCAGCGCGAGGACGTGCTGCTCGCTGGCGACTACAATGGCTACCGTGCCCACGCCACCCGCAAATTGCACAAACTCCGCAAGAAGCTGGGGCAGACTACTCCCAAAGGTCGAAAGTACACGGCCAAACCGCCGGTGAGCGCCGAAAACATCAGCAACAACGTGGCGTAAGTGCTTTGCTCCTCTTTTCCTGGCGTTTTCGTTGACTAACACCCGTCGTTTAGTTACGTCCATGTCCTCCTTTTGAGCTCCGAACGGGCATGGGCACAGGCCATGCACATGAAGTCCGCACACTCGGCAGATCCATCAGCGAAGGGAATTGTCGGAGCCGCCAGACGCCAGATCATCTCGAGGCTTCACAAGGCAACGGGTTACGCAAAGCAGTTGGTACTGTTGTTGGAAGATCAGACGACTTCTGGGGCTACGGGGATCGACGTTCTCGAAGCACGCGCATACCTTGCGACCCTCTCCGGGGCGCTTTGCCTTGACAAGCGCCAATGGAAGCAATGTGTTGAGCATTACTCGATCGCCAAGGTGATCTATACCGCGCTCGGTCAACGGTCTAAACGAGATGCGTTCCGGGATCTTCTCTCGAGCACCGTCGACCCCAGTCTTAGATACGCGGCGTATCAGATGAAGTTGCCCCGATCCAAGCCTCTTTCGTCCCTGGCAATTGCCTTCTTCCCATCGGATTCCCAGATTCGCGGGGAAGTCGAGAAGGTGGATCCCAATTGTTTCAATGAGGAGGCCGCTGGGACTCGGAAAACCGCCGACGGAGGGGTTCAGCAACTGCCCGAAAATATCACATGGAGGACCCGGACCGTTGCATTGGAAGATGCGGCGATCTCGCAGGCTCTTGCGGCCGCTGCAGCTGCAGAGTCTCGCCTTACGTCGTGGCTCGCCGACCCCTCGGGAAAATCCGCCTCTTCGAAAGACAAGGCCGCCGCTTATGATAATGTCATCATTGCGAGTCAAGATGCGGTTGATGCGACCAAAACGGCGATCGATGAACTCGCCGGCGAGGGAGTAGACCCGGGTGACAAAAGAATGCAGAGCCTGCAGGTCACTCGGACTGCGGTGAATTACGCCTTGGTGGGATGGCGAATTGGGCGCAATCGCGTCCTGTGTGGAGAGCAAGACGGTATCTCTTTTGAGACCGACCAGATCAAATCACACAAGAGTGGCAAAGCTCGAGGCAATCGCGATGATGCCCAGGGCAAGAAATTGGCGCGCCTGCGCGAGAGAGTCGTCTTGTACGACTCCACGCTCCAAAGTCTCGAATATATTCTGGAGCTCCCTGGTGTCGCTGCAGACACTGCCTTCGTGAAGGAAATGGAAGTCAAGAGCTCTTACTTCCGCTCACTTAGGTATGACCCTAGTCCCGGCGATCGGTTGAAAATCGGCTAACGTGAAATCAGGTGTCTTTCCATCGGGCGGTCCCACAGCATCCTAGGCAAGTCCCAGAATGCGCTTGCCTTGTACTCGCAGGCATTGGCCCTCTCCGAGGCTTCGGGCGCTGGCCAGGCGTCGTCGGACGTGGAAGGGCCCCCCAGACTTGACGTTTCTCGCGATCAGTTCCAGAGCCTAGTGTCGACCTTACAGGGGCTGGTAGCACAGTACCGCGGGCTGGTCACTTTGGAAAAACTTTCCGAGGCGCAGCAATCAAGCTCGGCCAACCAGCGGCCTGCCGTTGAGCGACTGCATGAATACTCCGGTGACGGGTTGGATTTGGCCAATCTCGTGCCGTATCCGCCTCGGATGCAACCGATCCCCGTGAAACCTCTCTTCCTTGATGTCGCATGGAACTACATTGATTATCCCCGTGAGGGTGACGCCAACCAGGGCGCCGTCCAAGCCGAGGTTGAGCCCGCAGCCGAAGAAAAGAAGGGTGGTCGGCGAGGCTGGTTTGGTTTTGGACGTTAGAATAGGGAATAGGTCTATGCGACTACTTGAGCGGTTTGTTCTCGACCGGTTTCGGGCTCTTTTGTGAATAGGTATGACGTGACGACGGAGCAAAAGCGGATGCTACGAGGCGACGCGTTTTCAATTTTGGTATCCAGTGGTCGGAATGGAATACTCGAATTATGGATGCACCGGTAATTCTTAACTTCTTGGTTTGGTGCCAGTAGGGGGTTCTTAGATGTCGGTCATGAATATCTGGATGCCAGTAGATGAACTCGGTTCAATTTATATATTTCGCATCTGTAATAGGCATTCAGGTTTGAGTCGAGTTCGACCGTAATATGCAAAACTAAATCAAGCTCGAGACATTGTCTGGACGCATGCCATACTTCCTACCTGCAGGATTCCCAATAATGACCGCAATGACCGTATGAGGCGACTGCATTCGGTGGTGCCATCAGCATAACCGTGCAACGGAGCATAGCTGAGTCAGACCGACATAAGGCATTACATGCAGCGTCGGATGTCTTCGGATAAGCCGACCCGGGAGTTGGACAGCCGAATCACCTTTTTGCCAATCCTGATTAGATGGAGGTCGAAGGGCGGAATGGTTAGGAATAGTCATGGTCGCATTGGTTCCGCATCTCAACGTCATCATGGATACTGGCCAACGTGTCTTCGTCTTTTCGTTGCATGTTGGGGTCTTTTGCTGGGGCGATGCGGGGTGAGCCTGGGTGCCTTTATGCCTGAGGACCATGCACCACCGATCGATATGTAGGCCTTACTCCGTACATCCGCAATCAATCAGGGATGGTAGTCGGAGGGTGCTCCGTATTGAGAGTCGATTAACTTGAGAGATGACTGCCTCTGGGAATCAATTGCCCTGTATACGCCATATATCTAGTTCATATAGTTCGTATACTTCGTATAGTACCTGAACAGCCCGAGGCAAGTTTGGCTGGTTTGACCGGGACTAACGCCATTGGGCGAGTACCTGCATGGCGCGGGAGGGCCGCTTCGCCGCAGCCAATCAGGCTGGATTGAAGGAAATGAAGTTTTGCTCCTCCTTTTTCTTGCACGGTTGGCCCGCCGGTCGCTCCGTAGTCTCTCCTTCGTCCTGTTCCTTCCGCGTATCACAACATCCTCTTTTTTCTTTTCTTCGTTGGCCCTCATTTATTCACTCTTTTACCCCCCTCCCCCCCTCCCCGACTCCATCCTCTGTCCCTCGGGGTTGCGTCTCTTCTATTCTCTCTCTTCTCTCTCTCCTTCTCTCCCCCCCCCTTCTCGCTCCTTTCCCTCCGGAGAGTTTGTTCGTCATGGCCAGCGTCAATGGGAGCTTCGCCTCCCCTGCCGCGGATGCGACTGTCACTCCCCGGCTGTTTCAGGCCGGGGGCCTCGTCTCTTCTTACCTCGAGGGTCTCAATGCCTGGAAGGCGATTCTAACCTTGTTCCTGGCTGCCGTGATCTATGATCAGAGTGAGTGATTATCGGAAATCCGTCCGTTTCTTATCGGGAGTCCCGGCTGACCCAGTGGGGCGACTGTAGTGCGATACTTCTGGCAAAAGGGCTCGATTGTCGGACCCTCATGGAAGATGCCTTTCATGGGCCCGTTCCTTCAATCCGTCAATCCGAAATTCCATGAGTACAAGGCCAAATGGGACAGCGGAGAATTGAGCTGCGTCTCCGTCTTCCACAAGTAGGTCTTCCCGGCATCCCCATCTCAATTGCGTTTCGATTGCCATTGGCAATGTCGCGTAAGATTGTCATCTAACAAACCCCGCCGCATAGATTCGTCGTCATTGCCTCCACTCGTGACATGTCTCGGAAGATCTTCAATTCGCCCACCTATGTCAAGCCTTGTGTGGTGGATGTCGCGCACAAGCTGCTCGGCAAGACCAACTGGGTGTTCTTGGATGGAAAGGACCACGTCGAGTACCGCAAGGGTCTGAACGGACTGTTTACCCGCCAGGCGCTCTCTTGCTACCTTCCCCGCCTGGAGGAGGAGTACAACAAGTACTACAAGTACTTCCTCGAGAAGTCCGAAGCGGAAAAGCATGCGCCTACTCCGTGGATGCCCGAATTCCGCGAGCTCATGTGCGCCGTCTCCTGCCGTACCTTTGTCGGCCACTACATCACCGACGAGGCCATCAAGAAGATCGCCGACGACTACTACATGATCACTGCCGCCCTGGAACTGGTCAACTTCCCCTTTATCCTGCCCTACACCAAGGCCTGGTACGGCAAGAAGGCTTCGGATATGGTGCTGGAGGAATTCGCCAAGTGCGCGGCCAAGAGTAAGGCGCGCATGGCCGCCGGCGGAGAAGTCAGCTGCATCATGGACGCCTGGGTCAAGGCTCAGCAGGATTCCGCCAAGTATCGCGAGAAGATCGCCCAGGGTATCCAGGTCGACTCCAGCGAGAAGCCTTCTCAGGTCCTCCGTGATTTCAGCAATTTCGAAATTTCTCAGACCATCTTCACTTTCCTGTTCGCCTCCCAAGATGCCACCAGCGCCGCCTCTACTTGGCTCTTCCAGCTCATGGCCGACCGCCCCGAGGTCTTGGACAAGGTTCGCGAGGAGAACTTGCGTGTTCGCAACGGCGACATCGATGCTCCCCTGACCATGGATCTGCTCGACAAGTTGGAATACACTCGCGCCGTGGTCAAGGAGACCCTTCGGTACCGCCCTCCCGTCATCATGGTTCCGTATCTGGTCAAGAAGGATTTCCCCATCACCGACAAGATCACCGTGACCAAGGGCTCCATGATCATTCCCTCCGTCTGGCCTGCCACTCACGACGAGGAGGCCTACCCCAACCCCGATTCGTTTGACCCGGATCGGTGGATCTCGGGCACCGCCGAACAGCACCCCAAGAACTGGCTCGTGTTCGGCACGGGCCCTCATTACTGCCTTGGACAAACCTATGCTCAGCTGAACCTGATGGCCATGATTGGCAAGGCCAGTCTCGAGATGGACTGGGAGCATTTCCCTACCGAGAAGTCCGAGGACATCAAGGTGTTTGCCACGATTTTCCCTCAGGTATGTTTTCCCACCTCTTCCAGCAGTCAATAATTCCTTGTGCCTCCTGCTAACAAACCAATAGGATGACTGTCTTCTCACTTTCCGTCCTCGCCCCCGCCCTTAATCTTTTTTCTCAATTCCCTTCATCTTTCTTTTCTCTTCTTCATCGTTTCTCTTTCAAAAGCGAAGCTCGGGCTCATCCTATTGCTTTTGTGCTCTAGCGCCTTGCTAGCAGTGTCATGAGTTAGACCTTGTTTATATCTGGTTGGAGTCATCCGATTCCATCCCATGGTCCTCCAGCATTAAGCTTCTATCCTGGAGATAGAATGGCCGGACGCTTTATCCTTTTCACTGTTTCCCTTTCTTGCTGTACCTACCTTTGTACTATTGCCCTGTGGAGTCCCCCATGGGCGAATTTTCCCCCCTTTGTTTTTTTCCCTTTGATTTCTTTTGGGTGGATGGAAGTCCCAAGGCCTCAGATCTGGCTTTATTGCGAGCCGGTGATCTCTGAGGCCAAGACGGACCAGAGTACATGATTTTGAAATGATGCCTGTGGAACCCTCACGAATGAAGAACTGGGCCACTTTCTTAGATACGGTATTTAGAACTAATAATAATTGCAGCTTTCTTTGATGTTTGAGGTTCGGGATGTAGATTTTGCCTGTAGGGATATACTTGGATGTTCATTCAGCCTGAGGCAGCCTTGATCACGCGTCGGGAATTTCCTTCCATCGATCTTCCTGTTCTCCTTCTCCATCCCAGACATGATTCAGATCGATGATCGTTGCATGACAGCAAAGATGTCATTCCTCAAGTATAACATGCCCAATACCTGTTGCATTCTGTCTATCCAATTCTCTATACAGCTACAAACCATCAGCTCAAATAATCTAACCACTAACGTCATTAACCGTCTCGCCTGCGCACCACCGTTCAATCGTCCACTTCACCGCATCCTGCAGATTCACCAACGTATCTTCCGACAACCAAGCCAGATGAGGCGTCAACACCAAATTCAGCCCTTCAGCCTCGACCCCCAGCAACGGCGAATCCCCTCGCCCCGCCGGCTCCCTCGCAAAGACATCCGTCGCCGCCCCCGAAATCCACCCCTGCCTGAGCGCCTCCAGCAGCGCGCTCTCATCGACAATCCCACCCCTCGCAACATTGATCAGCAAGGCTTGCGGATGCATCCCCTCCAGCTCCTCCCTCGAGATCAACCCCTCCGTCTCCGGCGTTCGCGGCAAGCAAAGAATCACCACCGTGGACTGCCTCAGGACCTGGTCGAAGGGCGTCCGTCCTGCGCGCGGCCGCTCCACCTCGCCCTTCCGCTCTGCAATCAGCACCTTCATCCCGAGGGCCGCGCCGACCTTCGCGATCCGCTGCCCGAGCGCTCCGTAGCCGATCACGCCTAAGGTTTCTCGACCGCAGAGCACCGGCGCGTGGCCGTCCTTGGAGCGCAGGCGTCGATGCAGCGACCCCGTCGTTTTCCAGTCCGTGTCTCGCTCCGGATCGGCGGGGATGGCGGCCGTCGCGCAGTGGAGCTGCACGATCTTGCGCCGGGTAGCGAAGTAGAGGCCGATGGCGTGCTCACTGACGCTCTCGACGTTGGTGCCCGGGCAGTTGCACACGGGGATCCCCCGGGCCCGGGCGGCGTCTTTGTCCACGCAGTCGGTCCCCGTGGCCATGACCACGACTAGGCGGAGGTGGGGTGTGACTTCGGGGCTCAGTTCTTTAGCCGTGAGGGCGATGGTGGTCGTGATGATGATCGTGGCGTCTTTGATGCGCGGCGCCAAGTCGGATTGGGAGGTCCATTGGTGTTGGATGAGAGTATAGGATTGTGGTAAGGGGAGGGCCGGCGCTGGAATTGGGCAGTGGATAGCTTCTATTGCCACGATGTTATGGTGCTGGCCATCGACAGACATTTTGGCCTTGCAATTGCAGGAGGGATGTTTGGAATTGGGTAAAGGAAATCAATTGCAGGATGCAACGCTGCTAATAAATTAGAATGCCTAACGAAAGTGCAGAAAGAATGGAGGTGGGCACGCCCTGTGCGTGACAGGGAGGCCATCTAGTATACAGCGATCCACAATCTCCGAGCATAACCGCCCCAGGCCCACTCATGAACCAAGTATATCTTGGTCGACTATCTTATCTCACTTCTAGTCGTCATCGCCATGCGGTTTGAGCCATATCAAAAGGTAGGATGAATCACAATGGTGACCGAAGCATGTCCACGGCCAAAAAATAAGCATTTCTCTTCTCTGTCTTCTGTGGCGACCCTTCCTGAGCCGTCTTGTCGAAAGCATGGCTACAACGTTTCACCTGCAAGGGTATAACACGGCCACCTCCCTTGAGCTCCAATCTACGCCCCAGCTCATTCCCTTCCGGCGCAAGCCTATCCCCGTCGGCCGTGACAATCATCACCCGAGGCGGGAACCGCTCCGGGGCCGCACACAACGGAGACACATAGGGATCCGCAAGATTCACCTGGCCCTGGAATACAGCGTTCTTGAACAGACGCATCATCCAGGCAGAAATCGGCGGACCATGGGGATTCGGCGCCATCTTAGCTCCCGGGTCGATTGTCCAGTCGACAGTCGGATAGAAGGCGATGGCGCAGTGGAATGCACTGGGGGGATAAACCACACTTGCGAGACTGAGCACGATGCTTCCTCCCGCGCCGAATCCCGAGAGAGCTACCTTCGAGGTGTCGAATGTCTCGCGCTGGCTCCGCACCCAAGTGATGGCGTCCTCGGCATCCTCATGCGCCGCTGGGAAAGGGTGCTCCGGAGCAAGACGATACCCGACATCGATGACCGTGTAGCCTGTCCTTTCGCTAACCTTTCGACAGAAAGAATCGTCACTTCCATGAGCGGGGATTACGAAGCCGCCTCTGTGGAAGTTGATCAGGACTGGACCGACTTGACCTGGGGGTTGCCGTTGGGTCGGTTGATAGACATGGACTGGGATGGATCGCTTGGGGTTGCGCGATGGGATTGAATAGACCACATTGGGACTTGCGGAGGTTCCACCCGTCATTCGAGCCCATAATCTCACGCAGATTACAAGGATCCTGAGGTAGATATAGTAGAGAAGCGACATGGCGATGGGGGAAGTTGGATGTTAGAAGTTGGACTGGTAAAGGGCTGGTATAGATGGAAGGATATTTCTAAGAGTTATAAGCTTGGTAAAAAGGAAAGTAATGTCTGGAAAGTCATGACAAGAGGGAGGGAGGAAGAGAGAAAGAGATTTATAGACATAGAATTGAGGAAGGTGTTCCTCTCCGGCAGGAACCACTGACGCCGTTGACTTGAAGTTGTTGAAATTGCAGCAACTCAAGGCGCCCTGACCACACCAGTAGACCCTGTCGTGATTGACTGTATGGATCCGTGGGAATGCTGGTCTCCCCAAGCTGGATGAAGATGAAGCCTTATACTTCTATCCAGCATACAAATGCTTCATGCAACTGCAGGGGTACTACTACTTTATCATGCAAACTCTCACCCCCAGTAGATCGTACGTAGTATAATATGAGAGAGAACTACATCTGATCCAATCTCACCAAACAACTCTCCCCAATCCCACGAAAGAAACGAAATGAAAGCAAACCCTCATGCCTCATGCAATGTATACCACCCAATCCAGAAGGCGGTGGGCCCCACCAGACTGACATCACGGCGAAGGAACGGACTTCCCCAGACTCCCTCGCTCCCATTCAACCCAACACTTCTCCCCAGCCAACGCACCGCAAAAATGATCGCTAAACGCCCATTGACATCTCTCCTCGCCCGCGGCGTGCAGACCGCCTCGCGCTCTCCCATCTCCGCAGCCGCACCCGTCCTCTCGAGCTCCAGAGCGTTCGGCTCGAGACATCTCCCCCAGAACTCAAGATGGACGGCACTCCAGCACCAATGCCAGGCTCAGAAGCAAAACCACCGACAATACCCTAGCCAGTCGGTGCGATGGAAGAGCAACGCGGACAAGTCCATGAGACAGTGGGGATTCGAAGACGTATGCACCTTCCCATAACCATCTAGCACCTACTTAAGTAGTCACCGGAAAAGGAAGAGCAATAGAAACTAATGAACCCTTCGATAGATCAACGCCGCCCTCCCATCTACCTCTCCCAACTCGCCGCCCTCCTCGCCCCAGAAATCCCTCATCCTCGTCGACGTCCGCGAGCCCGCCGAGTTAACCGCCACCGGGGTGATCCCGTCCGCCGTGTGCGTGCCGCTGGCCTCGCAGCCGGACGCGCTGTTCCTGACGCCGGACGAGTTCGAGACGCGGTTCGGGTTCCCCAAGCCCGGTGCCGTGGAGGGCCAGGAGTCCGGCGATATCGTGTTCTACTGCAAGGCGGGGGTTCGGGCGCGAGCGGCGGCGCAGTTGGCCGTGAAGGCTGGCTACGATCCCGAGCGGGTGGGTGTGTATGAGGGCAGTTGGTTGGATTGGGCAGGTCAGGGAGGAAAGGCGGAGAAGTGGGAGGGAGAGGATTACGAGTAACTGGGTTATAAAGTGATTGAATGAGAGGGACAGAGATGGATCGGGTATCCAGAGGCTATGTGAATATGAATGGCGAGGGGTGGTGTACTTATACTTATATTTATACTTGGAACCAACCAAAATGTCATTCAAAAAAGAAAGAAAAGTATCATTAACACACATTGAAAAAAGACCATGGCCTGCTTCGACTTTTGTTGTTGTTCATGTACAGGCATTCCCAACCTTGCTTTTTGTTTTTTGGGAGACTGTCCAGTCACAGAAAAAGAAGAAAAGAAAAAAGGAGAGTCATTCGTTCCTCATGCATCCAGATCCTGCAACCGTTCTAAATCATCCACCCCAAGTTTCGTCTCTATTCATCAGGTACACCGCTGTCGACGCAGTGCACATATCATCAAGACACATGAAAGCAAAAATTTCGCTAGAAGGAAAACATGTACAATTGCAGGGAGCTCGCCCGGCCTTGCTCCCTGGGGCGCAAGACCGTAGAAGATATCAGCTGCAAAACGTGATTTAAGGAATGTCGAACACAGGCTTGAGCTTCTTGACCAGAGCCCATTCCTCCATCGACACTTCCGAACGGTAGAATTCCTTGAGCGTATCGATGCTGGCACGAGAGATCCGGGTGTACAGCTGGTCCTTCTCTTCCAGGTGACGACCGTACATCGGCTGGTTGGCGCCCTCGATCTTGACGGCAACGGAAGGTTGGCCTCGCTTGACGACGGCCACTGGCTTGTGATCACGCTCGATAGATACCCTGGGAGCAAATAGTTAGCGGTTGTTGCAACGAATACGAGACTTTGCTGTCTCTCCACATAAGGATCAACTTACACTCGGCCAATATCGATGATTTCCTTTTGCCCAGCGGCATTGGTCTTCACAGCCGCCAAAGGCGAGTGCATGCGAAGGCTGCCCTCCAGAACATCGACACCAATAACAATGGGATCCTTCTTGTTGAAGACGGCCACGGGCTTGAGCACGCAGGGGAAGACGGCAAGCAGCTTGCTCTCCTCCTTGCGCTGCTCGGTCAGCTCAGCCATGTGCTTGGTGAAGTCGTCGAACAGGTGGTAGATGATGTCGGCCGTGAAGATCTTGACACCAATTTCCTCGGCGTAGGCGACAGCCTCCTTGTCCACCTTGACATCGAAGCAGAGCATGACGGCGAACTCCTTGGCCTTCTCCAACATGGTTCCTGCCATCATGACATCACGCTTGTAGACGGGACCGATGGAGATGTTGGCAACGGGAATCTTCGAGACACGCAGGAACTCCAGCAACGCTTCCAAGGAACCAAGGGTGGAGGCCTGAACGCTGACACCACGCTGATCCCTGGAGACCTTGCTAAGGAGGTTCTCCAGATCGGACATGACCTCCTCCTCGATATCCTCTTCATCGTCGTCGGGTCCGACAACCATCAACCGCGAACCGGCAATGGCCTGCTCGAGATCGTTGGCAGCAATCTTGACACCCAGAGCAGCCTTGACCTCCTTGTTGTGGACGTACTGAGACTTCAGACGCAGCTCCTTGAGAGGTGCCGGCGTGAGCAAGGCACGGATGTTGGTCGATATAGGCCCGTTTAGACCGCACAGTACGACTCGGTCACCCTCGCGAAGGATACCGTTCGACAGGACAACGTCAATGGTCGTACCGAGACCCTCGATCACCTTCACTTCAAGCACGGTACACTCAACCTCCGACAGGTACATGAGCGAGTTGGTCATACGCTCCTGGGTCAGGGTAGTCAACAGGCGCAGCATGTCGGGAATACCCTCACCGGTGTGGGCGGAGGTGGGAACCAGGGACACATTGCGGGCCATGGACTTGTTCTCGTAGAAGACCTCCGAGTTGAACCCTTGCTCGGCGAAGAGAAGCTTGGTGCGCTCAAGTCGGGTGCGGAATTCGTTCTGGACACCCTTGTTCTGCATGGCCAAACTCTCCTGGAAGCCGTTGTTGTCAATCTTCTTCCAGCCGTAAAGACGATCGATCTTGTTCAGGGCGACAATGAAAGGCGTGCGACGGTCACGGAGCAACCGCATAGATTCGAGAGTTTGCGGCTCGAGACCGTGCATGATATCGACGACCAGAATGGCGATGTTGCAGAGAGACGATCCTCGGGATCGCAGGTTGGAGAAGGACTCGTGACCGGGCGTATCGATGATCAACAGACCGGGGATCTTGAATTCGAAGTTGCCGTCCTTGTTCACCACGGAGGTCTTCTGGCGCAGAGCTTCGACGGGGAAGTAGGTGGCACCAATCTGTTGCGTAATACCACCAGCCTCGCCTTCCTGCACGTTGGTCTGTCGGATCTTGTCCAGCAGCTTCGTCTTACCTGTATCGACGTGACCCAGAATACAGCAAATGGGAGATCGCAGGTCGTCCTTGGACCGGGCTGCCATCGCTTCCTCATGCTGTTTCTTTCTCCGCTCGGCGGCTTCGGCTTTCCTCTGAGCAATGGCCTTCTGGGCCGCGGACTGTTCTTCTTCATCCGAGTCCTCGTCGGATGAGTCCTCCTCGGAAGAGTCCTCTGCCTCTTCCTCGGCCTTTCCGTTGGCAGCGGGCTTGGCAGTTTCCTCAGCCTTCTTGGGCTCTTCTTCTTCGTCAGACGGAGCGTCCCAGCTGTCCTTCACGTCATCGGCATCGGCGGCCTTCTCCCAGTCATCGACATCATCATCTTCCTCTCCGGGGGCAGCGCTAGCAGCAGCAGCTTCGGCCTCGGCCTTAGCCTTGGCCTCTTCCTCTTTGCGTCGGCGCTCATCCTCGGCCTCACGCTGAGCTTTGGCGCGGGCGGCAGCAGCCTCCAGATCTTCTTCCTGCTTCTTGCCGCCCTTCTTCTTTCGATTTTCGTAGACAGGCTTCTTCTTTTCGGCCTGGGAGTCCTCAAGACCAGCAACCTTGCCGGCACCGGCCGCAAGCATCTGCTTCAATCGCAATTCATTGCGCTCCTTGGCTTCCCTCTGGGCCTTGGTGAGGAGCTTGCCCTCCTTCTTCAATTGTTCTTTCTTCTCCCTCTCCTTCTCCTTCTTGCGTTGGCGAGCTTCTTCTCTCTTCTTCTCTTCTTCGGCATCGAGACGTTGCTTTTCCTCCGCCTCAGCCTTTTCTTCGGCCAGAAGTCGCTCTTCTTCCTCACGCTGCTTTCGGAGGGCTTCCTGCTGTTTCTGGATGGCGGCTAGATGGGCGGGGATCTTCTTCTTCTTGCCACCGGCAGGTTCGGGGGCAGCAGGTTCGGGAGCGGGAGCAGCGGCGGGCTCATTCTTCTTCGCAGGCTCGGCTTTAGCTGGTTGAGCCGCGGGAGCGGGCTTCTTCTTGGATGCCTAAACGCAGTTGGGAAAAAAAAAAAAAAGTCAGTCTGTTTGATTCTTGACTACGTCTTGAGCGAATGGACGTTACCTGTTCCTTCTTTCGCTGCTTCTCTCTCTCCTTCTTCTCCTTCTCCTTCTCCTTCTTGGACTTCACACGGAAGCCACCCTCTTCTTCCTCGGCGGGGGGCGCGGCGGCGGCAGCGGCCTTGGCTTTGGCAGCCTTCGCGGCCTTCTTTCCGCCAAAGACATCCTCATCGTCGAACGTGCCCTCTTCGGGTTGCTTGCTGGCGAAATCGGCGTCTCCGTTGGCATCTCCGTTGGCGTCGCCTGCATCCTCGCCCTCCACGAAATCATTGGCGGGCTTTCCCTTCTTGGCCTTCTTGGTCTTGTTCTTCCTCAGAGCGGCGAGCAGGCCGCCGGCGCCGGCTTCCTCTCCACCAGCGGCACCATCTTCAGGGGCATCTTCGGCGGGGGGGGCCTCCGCGGCAGGGGCCGACTCTCCAAGTTCGGCCTCCCAGTCTTCCTCCTGTCTCTTGTTTCCCTTCTTCTTGGGCGCCATGTTGGGTGGGAAAGCAAAGACGATCGCTCGGTCGGATATAAGGATCCTATTACAGGATTAGGAATTAAAAAAGGGATATCAACAGCTGTTTCCCAATGCAAAAGTTAGTTTTATTGGAATTATCTAGAGAGGAATGCAAGACGAGGCACAAGGTAGGTAGTAGTAGTAGGTAGGTAAATGGGGTGCACGCACACTGATATCCGCTTGATCTGCGACGTGCGATCGGCAACGGTCGCAAACGACAGACAGAGAGGCAATAAAGACAGAAAGATGTCCGAGATGCTCTCAGTGTACCAAAAGAAGGAAAGGCCCCGATGGTTGACGAGGCGAAGGTTGTCTTTGGCCGAGAATAAGAATTTTGGGGGGTTTTGGTGGGGCCGACGCTGGTTGGCTGCTGGTTGGCTCCGCCTTGGCACGGATGCCTGGGCGATCAGGCCGATTTCATATGTGCTACGGAGTGCTCCAGTTGGAGTATATCTACAGCCCTAGACTACCGGCATTTTCCGCTTAGAGTCATGAAAGAGAAGAGAATCGTTCCATTTTCTGAGTCACAACCCCCCTGCCTCCTACAGCTCCACATGGAGGCATCGTTTCAACCAGCCCATCACCATTTCTACCGCACTCGACCCTTCGTCATCTCCCAGCAGTTCTCGAGATAACTCGGAGAATCGATCCCGAATCGCCTGCGGACACCCTGTCTCCGGAGTCGAAAGCGTATGGAATTCTCCCGTAGCTAGCATGCGCGCCAAACATTCTGGCCCGCGCATCACCAGACGACTCAGGATATCTCCGTCTATGTGCATCTGAGAGGGCTGGAACTCAAGCGGATCGTTCCCGACGGGACTCCGTAGCCTGGTCCGTCGCGGAGTAAAGGGACAGATGACTGGGTCCCGCACACAGAGATTCTGCAAGAGGCGCAGCAGGCGCCATTCGTTCTCCGCCAGTGTCATGAACCGGTGAACCGTGCCGTTCATGGTCGTGCCGTAGAAAACCTGGGAATGCGAGGACACGGGGGACGGCTTCGTGCCCAAGCTGAGTTTCGACACGGACGAGGGTAAATGGGCCTCGCACAGAGCGGCCGGCATCATCTTGTAGCTCTCGGTCACCCCGCTCTCACTCAAGATGCTCACTCGCCCCCCGCGACTGGATGCCAGAACGAGATTCTGCTCTCCGCCGATATGTACATGCGAGAGCCCATCCAGTTTCTGTCGATCGTGAGCATGAAGCGTCAGCTTGTCATCGGAGACTCGAAGGATCATCAGCGATTCGCGAGCTGTTGACATGTAGATATATGGCTCCTGGATGGTCATCGACAGCGCGGGAGATAGAACGGGAAATCTAGCTGCCCGGATTCCCCGCGAATCTGAAATCTTAGGCTCCAACGGAACAATTTCACGGCCAGTAGAGACCATCAGAGTGAATCCCCCATAAGGGGCGATGGAATACACGGGTTGCTCGAATTTGTGTATGTGTTTAACATGGCATTCGACTCGCGATGGCGTTGAAAAATCCCGCATCGTTTGCAGGAAGATAACCCGACCTTGCTCTGCCTGGTTCTTCCGGCTAGTCCCGATGACGATGAAGTGGTACTCCTCATCTCCTTTCCTGGGGGTCCACTCCAGAATGCAGCTGATCTTCTCCCCGGCTGCGCCCTGCGGTCTCCACGGAACGGGTTCGTCCTCGGTATGGGGCTCGAGAGGGTCCAGGACGGCATGTTGGGAATCAGGGTCGACAAATTCAATCCGTGGTCGAGTAAAACGTCTGATAGGGTCAGATTCCGTGTCGTATTCAGTTTGGGTATAAGCGACAATAAGGCTTTTCAGATATTGGGAATAGGCAAGTTTGGTGGCGCTTCCTGGTAAATCAATCCTTCTTGGGACGGTTTTGGCATCCCGATCCAAGGTACAGATGAGAAGTTGTCCATCCGCAATGCAGAACAAAGTATCAGAAAGAGCATCCACGTCCGAGTTTACGATGTTGGCGATTGAGAACCCGAAGACATTTTTGGGATGATAGGCCGGCTGGAAGAGTTTTAGAGAAGAGACCCTAGGAAAGGAGAATAGTGAAACATACGTTATTCTGGTCAGTGATCCAGATCTTTTGGAGTGTGCAGTCGGGCTTTCCGCCATTCTGAATACACGAAGCCTGCCAGAACCCTTGCCCGCAGGTTAACAAGGTGAGCTTTGCCCTGCTTTGCACTCGAACGGGCGTGTGTCCTAGACGCTGTGAAGAGGTTTGCTGTATCGCTGTACAAAGAGGAGACTGTCAGTTATATAAAAGCTTCAACCAGAACAGGCGGCTTACCAATGGAAGAGTTTGCGCTGTGACTGTCGAAAACCAGCTCAAAAGACACTAAGATGCCACTCCGCAGGCCACAAAGGAGAAGGTTTTCCTTTCGAAGCCCTTCCGGGGCCGCACTGACTGTCGTAATACTATCGATTGCTTTTGATATGTCGTCAACATTTCCCACATCTACTGACTTCTCGATCAAAAACTGGACGGCACTCTCCTCCACGCGATATACTAGAATTTTCCCGTTGCCCGTCCCAATGAAAACAAAACATGCAGTGTCGAAGCTTTCGATGAAGATGCAGACTGGCTCGTAAGGTATTTTAAGAGAGTGACCAACGTCAGAAAGCTGGAGCTGATTAGCCGCCGTGGTCAACCTCTTGAGGTGAAGGTGCGTTTCATGTTGAACTCGAACGGCAACTGCGATGAGAGAGGATTCTTCGTCTACTGCAGCAATCGCGATGCTTTGACCGGCATCGTAATGAAACCGAAAGCTCGACACAGATTCTGCCGTTGCCCCAAGGTGAATAGCCTGGTTCGTCACCTGTATGACGACACCCGAGGCAGTGCATCCCGCGGCCAAAGTCTGAGCTCCGAAGTCCAAGCCGCAATCCACTTCGTCGACGGCGCAAATCTCTTCTCCAAAATTAGCGGACAGGTATAATAGTACAGAGGAGACAGGGTCCGAAATCAGCACGTGAACGCCTCCGTTTGCGCCGTCCAACATGGTCCATATGTCTCGGGTGCCGGAAAGCTCTTCTAGAGAGACTGCCAGTCCAATCTGCGCTTCAATTCCGTGTCGTAGCTCGACGATTGCCCCTCGGGCAAAGGAAGATGCAGAGCAGACAAACAATCGATCACCAGCAACATCTACCTCGGAAGGTTTCCGATTGGAGGATTTCACGAGAACGGAGTCTGTAACCGGGGTCCAATTCATAAATTTCTGGACACACCTCGGGTGATCTCGCGCTTTTTGAACAAATAAACCGCCATCACCTGTATTTCCAGCGGCTAGGAGTAGATCACCGCCTTCGTGGCCAATGTCCAAGATATCAAAGGCAGCATCGACGTCACAGCAGAGCTGGCCTAAATGAGTTTGGGTCTCAACTTCGCCGTCATTTCCGATTCCCAGGTAAAATATGCGGCCATCCTCACGGCAAAGATATATGTCGTCATGTTTCTGATTGTAGATCCAATTCCGCAGTGGCCTCGCCCACCGGGTCCATAATGGAGATCTTTGGGATTCACGGTCGGGAACAGGAAGTGGATAACGGCTGGGGGGCCTTCGCGGGTCCAATCGGCTCCTGTATACAGCCATGGAAGTTGTTGTGATAAGCATAAAAGACGACGTCTTGGTAAGCGGAATGAGCATGGTGGGCAGCCTGTCCTCAACGGGTAGAAGCTTCTTGGTCACTCGAGGGGAAGCCTGTCTCAGGGGTTCATTGGCATCCCACTCGTAGCATATAGCATGGGTTGTATGCTCCTGGGCAACAAGGAGAAGGAGAATGACCTTCCCGCCATCGTCGGATTTCGGGTACAGAAACTCCATAAAAATGATGTCCCCGTCAACACGGAAGAAGCGTTCCTGGTTAATTTGAAAGATTAGCTATGGTTCCTTTGGAGTCAATCGAGCTTTTATGCCTACCTCCGCGATGGGCTCCAACTGGTTCTGTAGCATTTGTGACTGAAGGATAGGAGGCTTCTTCAACATGAAAACGCCAAAATAATCGCAGGATGCGCTGACAGCTACAGCGCGGGATCTGTAAAGTTCTGAGAACACGAACTCATCTGAAGGAGGATGGAGAAGAAAGCATACCTCGGCTCCACCGCAATGTTTCGCCCAAATCGTTCAAATGTACTGACGTCGTTTGGTAATGGTCGGTGGTGGTGAATGAATTGCCCATGGGCATTTGAATAGTAAAGAAAGACCAGTTCCTTCGAGGCCAGGCTGAGCAGCAGAATTTGAGGTGGCAAATCATTTTCCACCTTCGACGTAGCATCTGTAGTAGCGCTGCTGGCTCCCAGCTTCATCTGGGCCTCCCACGGTAACTCGGTGCTCACGTTGATCACCTTTGCTGCCATAATATAGGCATCAAAATCCGATTTTGAGGTAACCCCTTCTAAATGCACGCCAGAAACAGCTTCTTTAATCTGCAAGCTTCGTTCACCGACGAATACAACGTCATTTTGATGTTTCCCTCGAAGCCGGGCAGGTAAGATCCACTGGATAATTGGACTTGGTACCAAAGTATGAGAAAGCAGGCCAACTTTTGCCTTCGTATTCGAAGATATGAGGTCACTTTCTATATCCATAGGATCGGCATCACGTCGCTTGCCAGAATGATTGGCCGTATGTGAAGTACGACCCTGGCCATACATTGGGAGAGCCATAATGATTTAACCACAAACAGAAAGCCTAGAGATATGGGGACCAGAAAACCATAGGAGTCTCGTTGCGGAGGAAAGACAGTTGAGGATGATGGGATGATTAGAAGACAAGAAACGGTTGCAGAAAGGCAATTGACGACGAGTGGGAACAATTAAGGGCTGCGGCAAATATTTCCTTTGACCATGCTTAGAACATTGAAGAAGTAGATTCCCATTTTGATGCCTTTAAGTGGAAATGTCGGTGATGTATGGGAAGTGGGGAACGATTTTCCTCCCAGGGTTCGTGCAGATGGACAAGCAGTGCGTCTCGACGCATACAATATAATACAACAGAGACTAAACGGTGGTCATGACTCAGGAAACAACCTTCTCGAAGGACGAGTGGATCTCGAGCATGCGACTTACAGGAAGATATGGATCGTCATACACATGTGTGCCCTGGAGTGGTAACGATATGCAGGTTCGTCAGTACCGTGTCATTTTTCTCCTTTTTCACTCTCTGGGTTAAAATAGAAACAAGGCAGAGCCCGAATGCTGATAATATCCTCAACGATGTCTTGGCGCGGCAAGCGGACCGAATTATTGAGTGCCACGCCTGCGTAGTTGGGCTGTAGGCGAACGGACGATGATGTATGTATGTTTATGCCATCTGCCGCCACACTTGAGCAGCCCCTTCGGGCACTGAGGATGTCGCGTTGCTTTTTCGGGGCCGGGAACAGGGGTGTAAGATCATGGCAACCTTGAGGAAACCACCGGCAGACGTCTTGCACCGCGACAGGCAGCGGGTCTTGATGTCGAAGGGGGAAAAGAGGGACCAAGAGATTCCCGGACTTTGGAGGGGCGGACGATGGCGGTTTTTTGGGCGGTCAATGGAAATGCCGCCAGATCACGGGACCGGACTTTACTTCCCTTTTTTTTTTTTTTTTTTTGCTCTTTCTCTCTCCGCGCCTCTGCCAGAGAGCTCGTTGTCTATTGAGTGTTCTGTCAATCTGATCTTCTATAATGAATGGCAATCGATTGAGAACGCTTGGTTCTTCTATGGAGAGGGCGTTCGGTCGGCCGTCCCAGCAAAGACCCATTGCGGGTCACGAGGCACGCTAGACCACATTGGGCGCGTACAACCGAGGAGGAAACGAACAGCCAGCAATCCTTCTATCAATCTTGTCTTCCCTCCCTTACATCTCACTTACATGCCTTCGGACTTGGTACATCATTGAGGGGAGATTGGTCGGATAATGATACATTCCGAAGAGCTTGGTCACTTTTGTTTCCAATGAGATCTTAAATAAGAAAGCTTCATCTACCCCTAGGCTTCCCGTCAACTGCAGATGAAGATTGGATACTACAATGGAAGCTCAACCAGATCCCAACAGTCAACTTGATGCCCCTGTACCTGAAATTAAGGACGATGGACAGGAACAAGAGAATACAACTAGCGATGCCGGCCAATCACTCACAACTATTCAGAACAAAGAGACGGATGCTCGGGTAGCCGAGAAAGAAGCATCGATTCGCCAAGCCTGTGACTTGCGCGATTTCGATGCACTGGTCGCGCATGCCACTTCGGAGGGGGGTTTTCTTCGCGATGATATCCGAAGAATAGCCTGTAAGTCGCCCTGTAAGTGAAGGAGCAGACACGGCCTGGTAACAGTCACAAATAGGGCCGATGCTTCTTCAGAGTGACCGGGACCCGGATTTTGCCGCATGGGACGACTTACCACCACATGCCGACGAGGACCAAATTCAGCTTGATGTCAATCGTTCTTTCGTCTACTATCCCGACTGTATGGTCATGGTCCCCGCCAGAATCGTGGTGAATCGATCTGGAAGCTAAACTACTCCCTCTAGGCTCCGATACTGAGCTTTCGTTGAAGAAGAATGAGCTTTCAGATCTCATCAATCAAGTACTACGAAACTACCCGATGCTTTGCTATTTTCAAGGGTACCATGATATTGTTCAAGTTCTCCTCTTGGTTTTAGGGGGTCAAAGGGCTGCACCGGCGGTCACCCGGCTATCTCTCCTTCGTATCCGGGATTACATGCTACCATCCCTGTCCCCGACGCTAAAGCATCTGCAGCTTATTCCCGATATTATTGAGAAGGCCGATCCGGATCTTCGGTTGCATCTTGCAGGCATCAAGCCTTTTTTTGCACTTGCGGCTACCCTCACCTTGTATGCTCACGACATCCAAGAATATAGCGATATCGCTCGCCTCTTCGACTTCTTGCTGGCCAAGGAGCCCATTGTGTCTATCTACTTGTTCGCCGCGATTATCCTTTCTCGGAAGAAAGAACTGCTAGAGATTCCCGAAGACGAGCCGGAGATGCTCCATTTCACTCTCTCAAAGCTTCCATGTCCCCTTGATCTCGAAGGCTTGATATCTCGCGCCGTACAGCTTTTTGATGACTATCCGCCGGAGTGTCTGTCATCTAGTGCATGGAGAAAACTATCCAAGTCCAGTGTCCTAAAAACCTCAAGAGACCTCATCACAAATCAAACGACGGACGAAGCGGTAAGTTTGTTCCAGCAACAAGTGCGAGATCTACGCAACGAGGAGCGACGCGAGAAAGTCATTGGCTTTGTATGGTATCACCGAAGAACAATCGGCTCTGTGGCTGTCGCTATCTTCATTGGTGCCATGTCTATTTGGATCAGAAAGAAGGGGCTGGACACTCCGATTTGGTCATATCTCGCTCGTTTTAAGGCCGCATTTCAGGCACGAGGCTATCTTTGAATTTACCTTGTTCATCATAGTGTATTCACAAAAATTTTGGCGTTTGGTTCACTTTCATGTATTTATAAGCAAAGGAAAAGGGCACCGCGTGCTAATGGATGGGGGTAGATGATGGTTCAATCGGTTGTCGCCCTCGACAATGTATAGATGTAAATTTTTGGTAACAGACATGATAAGACGGGAATAGCAGATTAGCACCAGTACTGAAAATCAAATGGCACAATCTACTGGTGTGGTTAGTCTACGTTAATTACTATAGGGTTATATATATTAATGTCAGCCTGCATACTTGGTTGTGGTTTTAGACATCTCCCTTGCTTCTTTTGGCTTCTCGCTACTTCTTATTCGCCCCTTCTCCAGCTGTCTCACCCATAAATATGCGACTGGTGCAATGGTTTCCTTGTCGTCTATCAATTCTCCAGTGCCCATTATTAAGTCCGGAGCCCGATTGTAAATCAAGGAGTGCAAACCAAGCAAACAGCTGAGTCAGCCACAAAAAACTTGAGGCGGGGCAAAAAAGAGTCATATCTCCGATCGTGCATCACTCCAGACCTGCGACTCTCCGAATTTAGTGGACTTGTGATTGCGGTTTGCATCTTGCATTCAAGATGTCGATGGATTTAGATGCTCCAGTCCCCATGTCGGGGCTGCAGCAGGACCAGCCCATCGCTGCGACGTGAGTTTTCTTATCGCCACACTTTTTTTTTTCCTGATTGCGATTTTAACTAGCTAAAGTTGATCAGCCTGAATGGTTGCTAATATATTCTAGTATTCTTTGCTGCAACTGTGGTGCCCCTATTGATGGAACCACTTCAGCTGGAGCGCTGTGCCAGGACTGTCTGAAGCTCAATGTTGATGTTTCCCAAGGGTATGTTGAACCCTCGACAAATAACCCCACGTACGGAGCAAAGATTGATTGATTTGCTCGGAAATTTAGTATCCAGCGCGAATCGACGCTCCACGCCTGCAGAGACTGCGAGCGATGGCTCCAGCCTCCCACCAGCTGGGTCAGCGCAGCCCCCGAATCGAAGGAACTACTTGCAGTCTGTCTGCGCCGTCTTCGTGGCTTGTCGAAAGTCCGAATTATCGACGCCAATTTCATCTGGACCGAACCACACTCGAGACGTATCAAGGTTAAGATCACGATCCAACAGGAGGCTTTCCAGGGTACAATCATTCAACAAGCGTTCGAGGTGGAATACGTTGTGGCCTCGCAACAATGTCCAGGTAAGATTCGCTACGGATTTGCCTGCTTGCATCAGTGAGGACCCCGCTAACATTCCTTGTAGACTGTCAAAAATCCTATACCCATAACACGTGGCGAGCAGCAGTCCAGGTTCGACAGAAAGTGCCTCATAAGCGTACTTTCCTTTACCTGGAGCAGCTTATCCTGAAGAATGGCGCCCACAGGGAAACGGTCAACATCAAAGAGGCAAAGGATGGTCTCGATTTCTACTTTGCCCAGCGAAATCACGCCGAGAAGATGGTCGACTTCCTCGCCTCCGTTGCCCCTTGCAGGTCTCAGAAGTCTCAGGAACTCATTTCTATGGACATCCACACCAGCACCAAATCCTACAAGTTTACATTCTCCATTGAAATTGTCCCGATCTGCAAGGACGACCTCATCGCACTACCGATCAAGCTCGCGCGCCAGCTAGGAAACATCTCGCCTCTTACTCTATGCTACCGCGTTGGAAACTCTCTGAACCTCATGGACCCGACCAGCCTTCAAACCACCGACGTCACCACAAACACGTACTGGCGGACTCCGTTCAAGACTCTTGCCGATGTGACCGAGCTCAAGGAGTTCATCATCCTCGACATCGAGCCTACTGGCCAGACCAACGGCAAGTGGCACCTAGCCGAGGCCACCGTCGCCCGCGCCTCGGACCTGGGCTCCAACGACATCACCTACTTCACCCGTACTCACCTTGGCGGCATTCTACATGTCGGTGACTCCGTGCTCGGATACCATCTTGCCGGAACCATCTTTAACGATGACAACTACGAGGCTATCGAGTCCAGCCACCAGTACGGTTCAACACTTCCGGACGTCGTTCTCGTCAAGAAGTTCTACGCCCGCAAGAAGCCCAAGAGCCGCGCGTGGCGCGTCAAGCGTATGGCCCGCGAGTACGAGGAGGAGGCTCTTGCTGCCCCCACCCAGCAAACGCGCCGCCAGGAGCAGGAGGCCAACCGTCTTGAGGAGGACTTTGAGATGTTCTTGCGTGATGTCGAGGAGGACCAGGAACTACGGCACACTATGGATCTGTACAAGGTTCGACAACAGCGCCAGGCGGATGCCATGGAGGAGGACGATGACCAGGAGAGCGATGGTGAAAGACCGCAGATCAACATGGACGAGCTGCTTGATGACTTTGATGAGCTGAATATGGATGGTGAATGAGCTTTCTGCGGGTAATATTCCTGACGATTACGGCTGGCGTTTTATCTTCTGCTTTTCTGATGGGTTTCAGAGAAAATAAAAAGTTAGTGAAATAGATCTTACATATTACGACCCGATGTTGCGTCCGCGTAGGGAGTAGACTTGGTATATGTCGTATGCATCCTGTAGAACAAAAACTCCCGGCGGGAAGAACAAGCCACCGTCTGCCGTGCCGTCTCCACATGGTGGCTGAAGTGTGGCGCTCTCCGGCTGGAGCTGATGTGTACTCTTGCATTTCCCGCACTACTCCCTCTGCCTGACAAAACCAGTTCTCACGGACGGACAGACCGCGCAAGATGGCTAACCGGGGCTACGATGTCGTTGTAGATGTGGATGCTGAGGTATATTACTGGCATTGGAGCTTATTTGGTCCGAATACTTGAATCTAACTCCAGCTCTAGGGCGACCTCGGTCATACCGACCTTCAGGAAGACCTCGAATTTCATCCTTCCAGTAAGCCCAATTTCGTCGGGAGAATCAGGACTATCGCTGTTTCGGTGAACTGACCCCCTGCGTCACTTTAGACTTCGAGAACGACCAACGCAGCGCCAAAGCGCAACAAGACTCCGCGCCTTTCCTCGGCGGAAGTTCCTCTCGTGGCCGTGACAGGTCACCCGGAGGCACGCCGACCAAGCATACCTGGTGGTCGATCCACTACTACGCGCAGTTCTTTGACGTCGACACGAACGAGGTCCTGCGACGATGCGTGGCGGCCGTTTACCCTCGCAGCAACTTCCTCGATGTCCTGGAGGGCAACGCCGACCTGTACGGCCCGTTCTGGATCGCGACAACCGTGGTGGTGATTCTTTTCTTGACGGGGACTATTTCGCAATGGCTTTCGAATAACGACGACGACCACTTTGAATACGACTTCACGCTGCTTTCGGGCGCGGCAGGCTTGGTCTACGGATACACGGGCCTTCTGCCCATCGCTTTGTGGGGTGCCTTGCGCTGGTTCGGTAGCTCCACTGCCGACCTGATCGAGTGCTGGGCGCTGTACGGATATTCGAACTTGATCTGGATTGCGGTCGCCCTGGTTAGCTGGAGCCCCCTGACTGCTCTCAACTGGGCCCTTGTCGGGGTCGGGTTTGGCTGGACCGTCTTCTTCTTGCTACGCAACTTGTATCCTGTCCTGAGTGCCACGGATGCGAAGGCGAGCAAGATCCTGCTGGTCCTGGTCATCGTGCTGCATGCGGGTTTCGCCATTGCCATCAAGATTTTCTTCTTCGCGTGAGTGAACTCTTACTACGATTGACTGATTTGTTTCTTTGCTGATGATTTATGATACAGTCACGGAAGCCCCGTTTCGAAGAAGAACAAGGACCACGACGACGATGATCATGACGACAAGAGACGGATGTTGGGGATTTAGGAAGATCGATTATTCCCCATCTCTGTTCTTCGCTGATTTCGTCCTCATCGAGCGCTGACTCCGCATCGGATGACTTTGCTCAGGCAGCAATGTGAGCCATCTTGATACATAGTCTCCCCGGGTGCTTTGCCGTTTTCCCTTTTCCCTGTTTGTCACTGCTCTTTCCAAACTGTATCTGTATCCACCTTTAGTTATAAAGATTATGAGGAACTTTTTGAATTTTACAATTGTTTGATTGCAGCTGTTTCCGAGAGGAGCCAACTATTAACATTTGACTTCGGCTATCATGTTTTATCATTCCAACGCCGTGAAAAACCTCCCACGCTGCAATCGGCTCGTAACCCCCAGCATCTTCTCCCCCCAGCAACGTAGAAAAACCGTAACAATATGAAATCGTTTATTTCAACTTCTTCTTAGGGCGGAGCTGGTTGGTGTGTCCGCACTTCTTCTTACGGCAGTTGGTGGCACGAGGGGGCAGACGAGCCTGTGTGACATCACGTCAGTAACCGGGCGCATGGGAGCATGTCATGGATCGCCTGATGAACCATCTTGACATGTGACGGAAGAGAGCAAACATACGTAGCACTTGCGGCAGATGGACTTCTCGCAGTTGTACTTGGAGGCGAGAGCCTTAAGGGAGGGCTCGATGATACCACCACGCAGACGGAGCACAAGGTGAAGGGTGGACTCCTGTAGAAGTGGAAAAAGCCGCGTCAGCCAAATCGGGTCGTGAAATCCGAAAACCATCATCCCATGCGCCAATTCGTTTCAACCAAAGGCCGGTGTCGATAATTGATTTGGCGGTTTCCATATTTCTGACACAAAGAATCGCATTGTGTTGTCGCATTTCGAGGCCTCCACCACCTTGGTCCCCAACAAAACCAGCGCAAAGAGATTCAATCGATGGGAAGTTCCTTCATACCTTCTGGATGTTGTAGTCGCTCAGGGTGCGGCCATCCTCAAGCTGCTTACCAGCGAAGATAAGACGCTGCTGGTCGGGGGGGATGCCCTCCTTGTCCTGGATCTTGGACTTGACGTTGTCGATGGTGTCGCTCGACTCGACGTCGAGGGTAATGGTCTTACCCGTCAGGGTCTTGACGAAACTATCAACCGGGACATGTCAGCATCTGCAATCTCGTGTTTTCGCATGACTCTGTCGATTCCAAACGGGCCGTCGTTGTCGGGAGGGGCGTTTAATTGCTGGGTGTTGGGTGCGAGGGACTGGAATGGGACCTACATCTGCACTGAAAACACGCGGAAAAAAGAAAACGTTAGCTCATAATTCACAGGTCAAAATAACGGCGCTCACGGGGACAATAATGCACGTACTGGTTGCGATTTCTCGTTGTTGCTGGCTGACGATCGGCTGGAAGGGTCGGTCGGAAGAGGCAATGTCAATTTGAGGATTTCTCGCTTAGCAAAGGTGGACGGGCCCCATGATACCCTAAGCCCTAATTCCCGCTTTCGTCATCGCGCCTCTGGAGGGCCCGCGATTGCCTCTTCGGGGCGTCTTTCTCCACGGGTTCCATTCTTTTTCTTGTTTAAGAGTTAAGCGGTCCTTCTTAACGCTGGCTAGTCGACGGAGCACGACTCCGGAGTAGCCATGTCATCCTCTGAGGTCATACTCCGGAGTACTACGCACTAGATGCGATCTGGATCGATCATGATCAGGACTATTCATTTCTCTCATTCGTTTCTCCATCTATCTATCTACCTATCCCATCCTCAATGCAGTGCCATTGCCCCATCCACTCGAATCACTTCCCCCGAAATCCAGGCACTATCGGGTCCGCAGAGGAAATTAAAGGTCCCCGTGATCTCCTCCGGGACCGCGACACGCTTGAACGGATTGGCGCTAGCTATAAGGCGCAATGTCTCCTCTGATTTGCCCTGGAGGAACAACTCGGTCTGCGTCGGACCAGGGGCCACGGCATTAACCATGATCCCTTTGCGTCCGAGATCTTTGGCGGCGATCCGAGTCATCTGTTCGATTGCGCCTTTCGTGGCGGCGTATAGAAGGTAAGAAGGCGCCGCCGCGGAGAAGGATGTAACGCCCGTCGATACAAAAATGATGCGGCCCCCGGAAGGCATATGACGCGCTGCCTCCTGCGCTAGGAAATACGGCCCTTTCACGTTGAGCGCGAATGCGGCGTCAAAGTCGGCTTCCGTGGTACTGTCGAGGTCTTTCATCGGGAGAATGCCAGCATTCGGGATGACCACGTCAATGTGTCCGAATTTCGCAACCGTCGTCTCGACTAGACGGTGGATATCATCGGTTCTGGAAACGTCGGCTTGCACGGCGAGAGCCCGGTGTAGGCCGATCTCGTCGACCAGGGCATTGGCAGAGGTGGCATCACGTAGATAATTGATCACAACGCTGGCACCGCTCTGGGCCACGCGCTGTGCCACGGCTTTCCCTATCCCGGCGGATGCTCCGGTGATCAGAATGACTTTTCCCGTAAGAGACATGATGATGTCTTTCAAATGGGTGACCTTTTTGAGGGTTTGATAAATGTAGTAGACGGTTGGTTTCAGATGGTGCAAGACCAGGTGCGACAGGGCGCTCTATTATATGCCGATCTCCTTCTGGCTTACTTATGCTTTTACAGACGGCACTGTATGCTTAGAAGGACATCTCTCAATGTCTGGCGACGTTACGCTGTACACATGAGGCGCATTCTCATAGTCTCCACGGAGATCGACCATAAAGCCGAGCGGGCGGCGATAAGAGCGGATGGACCACATAATGAGCACTCTAGGGTCGGTCTCTGACATCAACAATGAACAATCGGGCCGGGATTGCCACTTAAGTCCCTGTGTCAACTGATGAACTACGGAGTCAGAGGCAATTCTTGTAAAGTGGATCCTTCGTGTTCATGACTGATTTTACTGCCCTGTGGGTTACCTGGGGCGAACCCCGGAGGTACGGCGCTCCACTGTATACATCCGGTCTCTAGTAAGTTCCGCGCAGGGTCTACTATTTTGAATTCAATAATTATGTTATCAGTTATGGCACATCGGATTTTGGATTTAAATAATAGTTCACTATGCATTCAAGTCTTTATTCCTATCACTGTAGTGGATTTCGTTCCATAAAGGTCAATACATCCATCAACTTTGCCGCAAATGTGAAACCGTTCATTATATTGTATTGTCCCAAGTCGGGGTCACGTCAACATTTATCCTTCCTGTGTACAGCTAACAAGATTTGCCCAAATCGAAATTTGTTCTGACTCTCAATCGGCCATAAAATGGTCGTCAATTTCCTCCGCAGCATCAGAATTGGCATCCTCAACATCATTCATTTCCGAAGGATCCCCGTAATACTCGATTCGCCTCTGATCTTCCAGCCAACGAGAAATCCGTGTTTCCGCTTGATAGACAACCCTAACCAGAGTAGGGAGGGATACCCCAACAACCTTAGCCGCTGTTTCGAAGAATGATCTTGCGGTCTCTGGTAGATCAGATTCCATCCGATAACGCGAATACGAGGTGCCCGGACGAGGAACATGTGCTCCATCTTCGGAGATTATCCTGCGGGGCTTTAATTGGCCAGTGACTGTCTGTACCATCGAGCTCATCGCTTCATTCTCGTCTTCTTTAGATGTTGGTGCTGGTGCTGGTTCTGGTGCTTGCGCCGCCGCTGCCGCAGAAGCCGTAGACTGGCTTTCTCCGGGCGCGAGGCTCGTGGGGAACAGATCGGCTAATGGGTTTTTCGCTGGGAGAAGGAATATTAGTACCGGTATCCAATCGGACAGTTTCTGATGACGAACCTTTACTGCTGTCCAGCCAGCTGTTCTCGTACCAATCCATGTACTCATCGAGTTGATTGGGTGCCATGTCGAACACCTCATTTTCTTTCACCAGGATCTCGTTTCCCTTCCCGATCTTCCCCCCAGAAGTTTCATGACTGTCAAAGTATCTTTGAGCTTGAGCCCAAATATTCCAATCAATACTTTGAGTCGTAGGTTCTTGGGCTGAGCTCGGGTATCTTTTTATGGAGTCAAAGGGGAAATGAAGTTTTGTGGAAATGACAATGAGAGCCATTAGTTGAAGTTCAGGGAGATTTATAGCCCTCTTTTTACCAAGAGATTGTGTTGGATACTTGAAGTCGAAACTTAAAAGAGGTTGTAGTCGTTTGACAGCAGGGTGTATTTCAACTAGGCACGGGTTAGAGGGAGGAAACATAAGTAAAGGGACAAAAAAAATCCATACTGGGAAGTGCGAGTCTTTTGATAAATCGATACAAGAGGGGCGGATGGTTCAGTGGCGGAAATTGTACGCCAAACTTGTGATGGTACAGAAGCGACAGCTCCAATACGGCTTTATGGAGTTGTTCAGCTTCGACGAGCCTCTTGGGTTGGTCAGAACTGGTGTTGTGGAGCAAACACAAATTACTTACGCTAGTCTCAATAATTGAGATATATTCCTGGGGAAGCTTGTCTCTCATTTCCCGAGGGATTTGCTTTATCACTCGGATGTAGGGAATATCGCCGCGAACAACCATCCTAAGGGCGAAGCCAATCAGTCAAACTCTAATCAGCGGGTCTTTTGACAGCATATCCTACCGGTGTAGATCACAGATACTGACGGGGATTCTCATCAGTAGAGCCCCCAAGTAACAAAGGGCCACAGTGTCAATCAGCCTGGGCCAGTGCGATTTGGGTTTAAAGTCTTCCGGTTCACTCTCAACATCAGTGCCTGGTTGCGAGCTGAAAAGTTCGAGCTCATCATCTCCCTCTGGAATTTCTTTGATTTTATCGGAATATAATTCCAATCGAAGGGCCCACAGATCACGGATCACAGACTATACATGGATCTAGTCAGCTGGGGATCTACGTTTTCATGCGAGACTGAAAATGCAAGGGTTACCTCGAATTGTGCTGGAAACCCCCGGTCCTGGACCAAAGCATAGCATTGCTTCCAGAGAATAAACTGATAAGCTTGCAAGAAGAGCGTGTAAGCGCGACGACCACGATACGCTGTCCAAAATTAGCAGTCTAATCGCGGGCAATATGAATGAGGATGGAGTGCTGTCTTACTCCTGCGGCCTTTCTCAGCAGCCACCTTCTTAATTCGATTGGTCTTGCCCTGCGTTCCAAATTGCTCCTGTTCTGCTTCGACTTGCCGGCCCTAAATCAATCCCAGCACATCAGTAAACCGGGTTCTCTGACTTTTTTCTTCTTCATTTTTTTGGGGACGCCTGAAATCGAGGAGCTGGGGCGCAGTACCTCTTGTTGATGACCTTGTTTACAGAACCAGAGGCCCTCATCCAGATAATACCGTCTTTCACGGCATCCGTCCTGCCCACAGCGCCCTCGGATGGTGTACTCCATCCGGGGCAGCGCTCTTCATTCTTATGATCACAACGAGCGAAGATCAAAAGCCATGGATCCTCGCTGTATCGGACCACAGCAAGGAGTATTCAGAGCCCAAGAGACTCGAAGGATTCAGTACAGGAATTTATAGAGGATGACTGGCGAGATGCATCGCAAATCATGGGATTTTCATGGAGTCCGTGGGAAGAATTGCCCGTTTGGGATGTTCGCGACAGACCGGCTGAGTAAGCATCACGTGCGCTGCTGCGGCCAAAACGGGCAATTCTCCTCTTGCTCTTCCTCTTCCTCTTCTTCCTCCTTCCTGTCGCTGAGAACAGAACAGTGTGCTGTCCTACACTGCGCCAGCTGCTCATGACAGCTTAAGACATAATCGTTCCGCCAGCGATTCGATGCAACGCCACTCTTCTTTATACAGCCGGCTACATACTACAGGTTCTTAGCAGCTAGATCGAGTACAGCTCGACATCATTTACTTCTAGTTACTGCCGCTGAGAATGTACAGAACCAAAGCTCTCAAGGAGGTGTGATTCTTGTTGGCCCAGTGGAAAATTCGATAGCGAAACCCTTTACTAATGTCTTGATTCCCAATGATAGAAGCCTCGGCGGCTGTCTGTTTGGATTGGTCCTTAACTATAAACACAAGTCCTACTAACTTCTAGATTCTTTTGATGAAATCAAACCGTTTCATGATACACCGCAATCCCAATATAACCGACAGCTTGGAAGTTTGATTCCAGATTGTCGTTCACTGACGCCAGTCGCACGCAATGTCAATTTAGAAGCTTCCTCGGAAGAAGGTCATTGTCGTCCCCGGAGATGACCTTTCGACCATGGTTGACATTGGACCTGAACCTATTCGAGACAAAGCGCGGAGTATTCACGTCCTACTCTGCCCTTTTGGACGCTTTTGTCCTTAATTTCATCAACAAATACACCAACCCATATGAACTGAAAATGAAAATGACGAAGATGCCGATGTCTCGCCAACCATAGAAATAGTCGTTGAGATTAAGGGTCCTAAGATAACCGCTTCCCTTGGTATAGGGGCAGACACGACACCCATGGGTAGCTTCCGGATTCACCAGGTTGGCATCCGATTCACTGAGAAAGTCCGCCAGATACTCGCGACATGTGGAATTGGAGGGTGCGTCAAACACGGCGTATTCAGCTTCTGTGCATTGCACATCGACGTCAAAGATGCTGAAAGTAAGCAAACTGCTCACCAGGTACGTGGTCGGATTCAAATAGTACATCCAGTATCTCCAGAATGGTACGATCTGCCCGTAGGGCACAAGGATGCCGCAGAAGGATACGAGGATCCCGACCAACAAAGGGTTAACAAGAGACGCAAAGACGGCATTGGGAGAATATGCTGCAACGAATTGGCCCATGCCCGTATAGAAAAACTCATATAGCAGGATGACCAGGAAGGATGCACCAGCTTTGTTGGTTTCTGCAGGGAATCCCGCAGTGTAGTACCAACATACAAAATAGAGAACGCCGCAAACACAGAGGTAAGGGAATTCGGAAACAATCAGGCCGGTGACGAACGCCTTCCAGGAGTACATTCGAGATTTCTTTTCGCGTGTCATATATATCACGCCTCTCAATGAACAAGGGCTGAAGTTGATTAACCACACCAGGTGCAACGTACATAAACACAAAGATGGTGAAAATATGCAGCTGCAAATCGTTGACACTGTTCCCGATCATCCAGTATGAAAAGCCATTGAAGAGCGCCAACCCAATGTGAAGGTACATCTTATTGTTCACATAGTTGGTGTTTCGAAAAAGAGAAACATTCATTCGATGGAGCACTATCTTCGTCTGGTCCCAGAGGGGCGTTGCATACTCCTGGCCGTCATCCCGGGTGACCGGCTCTCGCGACGCAGACTGCTCGATCATCGTGTCCAGCTCTGCCGTGGAACGGCGAAATTCTGGAGATCGCAGCCAGACCTGATGCCAGTCGGTGGAAGATAGTCTACCGGACACCACGTCGATAACATGGTCCGCTGGATTGCTTTGCATTGGGCAGGGCTCCCCGTGTCGCCCGAAGTAGTCTTTCAGCGTTTGAGCTTTGGGACCGATGTCGCCAAAATAGACTGTCTTGCCACCACGGGCGAGCAGCAAAAGGGTATCAAACTGATAAAAGAGCTGGGCCGAGGGTTGATGAATGGTTACCAGGATTGCTTGGCCATGATCTGCGAGTTTTCGCAGAAAACGGATTGTATTGAATGCAGACTGCCCATCAAGCCCCGAAGTTGGTTCATCAAGGAAGATCAAAATGCTGGGTTTTGCAACCAGTTCAACCCCGATGGTCACTCGCTTGCGTTGTTCAACGTTGAGGCCCCCAGTGGTGGAACTTCCAATTAGAGTGTCTGCAATGCTATGAAGGTCTAAGAGGTCCAGAATAACATCCACATACTGCAACTTTTCTGCTCTTGGAATACCGGAAGGCTGACGCAGAAGAGCAGAGAACTCCAAGGCTTCTCGAACAGTGGCATATGGTTCGTGGACATCAAGTTGTTCGCAATATCCCGCAGACCTTTGGAACGAAATTGATAGAGGCCGGCCATCAACCATGATAGATCCCTCGATCCTACCCTCTGTCTTTCTCTGGGCAAGAACATCCAACAGCGTTGTTTTGCCCGCTCCAGATGCGCCCATTAGAGCACCAAGCATGCCGGGTTTTACCCATCCATTGACATTTTCCAATAAGACGCGAGGTCCAGAGGGTGTTTTCACGGTGTACGTCAGATTTTTCCAAGTGAAGATCGAGGTATTTTTGACCAATTGTGTACCGGCTGGTTGCTTCTCAGCTTCGGGGAATGTAGTCGATTCGGAGGATGGCTGGTCTTTCAGAGAATTTTGTGCTTGAGATTCCTCATCAGAATTCAGTGGTCGTTGATGATGGACCAACTTTTCGCGAGGGATGAGCAGCGAGTCGCCGGATGCTGAAGCATCTCGCCAACGCATGGTTGCCAAGATTGTGATTGTCACATAAAAGGCCCACCATGCCCAAAGGATGCCAAAATTCCGCCAGAGATGCCCGTGTGAGTATGAAAGAGCGCTTAGATATTGAGTTCCAAGGACCACGTTGGACCTAGGCTCCGCGCCTTTGACTCCGGCGCAGGATTGATGGGCAGAATCCATGTTCGAATAGGACTCGCCGTGAGGGATCAGATTGACGCCAGCGCAAGGGATCGTTTTATCATAAAATTCGTTGCCCATTAAAGAATCAAAGGCATAAGCGACCGGATTGAGCCAATACAACCACCCTAGCCACGGATGCATTTGCGAATACTGGATCTGATATCCTGCATACATCGCCATCACAGTGACTACATACCCTGATATTTTGGATGCACTATCAAAGGTGCGAAAGGTTGCCCCGACAGCGCGAAAAAGAGCCGTCCCGCACATAATGGATGCAAAAAGAACAACCCAGTAGGTGAAGAAACCACTGGCAGACATTTGCAGGCCCACCATGAAATAGACAATCAGGGACCATATGGAGACTTGGACCAAGCTTATGGGAATATCTGCTGTGACCTGCCCTACACAGAATGCAGCTGGGTGATGAAGGGCAAAGCCTCCGTGCTTGATGACCATCAGACGCCCAGAAAAGGAGTCAACAACCTCGGACATGGCACTCATGCTGTTGTAAAGAATGGACCAAAACATTGCTCCTCCTTTCAGGAAGAGCCCCGTTGAATCCCCCGTGGCTTGGTAATAGAGAGAGCCAGCCACCAGTGCTTGGATCAAAGTTGAGCCTTGCTTCATAGCAAGCGTCTTTTTGTCACCCAGGAGAATTTGATATTGACGAATCACGCAGGCTCGGACTTGCGTGGTGAAACCGGCTGTATAGATGCTTCCTGGGCGATACCTCTCCATGGACACGGCATCTTTGAAGTTATCGGTATCTTGCTGAGCACCTTCGCTGGTCGGGTAATCGTACTCTGCTGCCATCTGCGTCCGAAGGGAAGAATTGTCGTACACCTGCAAAATAGTCTCGGCGTCTCGCGGGAAACGAGATTCATAGCCAGGTCGGATTTGGCGCTCAGTAGGAACGGTAACGCCGGTCAAAAAATCAGCCACTTTTGCACCTTCGTCGACAACAAAGCCAAGATCCTCCATGAACTTCTGTGCTTGATTGGCCGGGCCATAGTAGATCTGCCTCCCTTCGTCGAGGACCAAAACCTTGTCGAAGAGCTGGAATATATCGTTTCCTGCTTGGTATAGCGTGACAATCATGGATTTGCCATACACATCCGCCATTGCACGCATGGCTTTGGCCCAGTCTAAAGCACTTGAAGCGTCGAGACCTCTCGTGCTATTGTCCCAACAATAGACCGATGCGGATGAAGCGAGGCACTCCAGTATCGAGACACGCTTTCTTTCTCCCCCGGACACTCCACGAATATAGGGATCGCCAACTTTTGTCTCCTTGGTATGCGATATTCCTAAGCTTTCCAACAGAAACTCTTTCATTTCTGCCTTGTAACTCTCTGGGCTGTGTACTTCATTTGGGAGATGCTGGGGTACTTTCAAACTCGTGGCGAAATCAAGGGTTTGTCCGACGGTCAAGGTCGGGAAGAAGATCTCTTCTTCCGTATTCATGATGATTTGACCCTTATAACGGCTTGCTTCGTCATGTCGCATATTGCCATACCAGACGTCTCCTTCGATTTCTTGATAACCGGCTCGCCTGTTGGCCAGCATTTTCAGCAGCGTGGTGCAACCAGATCCTGGTCGTCCAAGAACTAACAGCATCTCCCCAGGCTTGACACATCCGTGACTTTTGTGAAGAATCTCTTTCATAGGAGGTTTTTGTCGGCGTCGTTTCATCTGGTCGATCACGTCGAATTGAGAGAAAATGTTCTCGTTGACCGCTGAGTCCGCACTTTTTGCTTTCACCGTTAAATCGTTCCATGTCACACCCAATTTTCGGGGCTTGAATCCCGAATCCAGGTCTCGTCGAAGCATGTCTTCCAGTCGATATGTCAACGGCCAGGCGTCCTCACAGTTCCCTGCAGACTTCTGTTCCTGTATTGAACAGTCTGTGACCGATGCTGTCGTGGAACTATCCATGGCTGGGTTCTCTCTGAAGCTAGATTGATCCAAGGTTCAATGAATGAAGATAAAAATGGGAATAAGTATGCGTCTGATGCGAAAAAAAGGTAGGGGCTGGCTCAGTTCGATATAGAGTCAGTCGAAGATGAAAAGTCACAGCATATATGAACATTATCTAGTAAGTCATTGCAGTGGTCTTCTATATTTATATTCTACAAAACTTTACGTATTCAAAATGTTCACACCAGCTCTGGCTGCCAAAAAAAATCCTTCTAATTAGCTGTATGCTTAGGGCTCGGATTTTCGGATTCTCGGTTTTTCAGACGAGACCCGCTTCAACTGATCAGGTACCTAGACGTGATGACCAGGACCACATTGAACAGCCTGGCGCAAATTCGACACTCGCATGTCTAGCCTTTCCTCAGAGCCACTACCATCTATCAAATGCAATTGGTAAGTCCACTCTGCTTCCAAGCCCCGGGCTCACCCATGCCGGGAATTGAGATAAAGCAGTTGATTCGAACCAACTCACTTTCTAATGGGATTGATTCTGTTACTACCTATTACAGGTCTACTCATCGGCTCGTATATACAGTATATATTATTAAGAGCGTGATCCGAGGCCTAATCGTCCTTGGGCGATAAGTGTCTAGTTCTGCGAAGTATACGGTTCCAGAACGGGGCGGATGATGTCAGCCACCTGGCCGCTTCGTCCGAATTTCCGACTGAAAAAAATCCGAAACTTCCGAGCAATTCAACGCAAGTTTACTGAGTGAGCTTTAGAAAGAGAGCTTCTTCGCTTTTTTTCTTGTTGCTTACAAATACATCATGGCCGAGAACAATCCGAGCCTACTACAGTCAAGATACCACCGACTACAAGCAGTAAGTTGTGCTACAAAGATGGCCCGTTTGTTCTGCCCAAATTTCCGAAAATGCATTCTTCAATTAACGCATTTCCCTGCACTATTGGATCGGTATTCGAATTGAATACTGGTACTACTATCTGAAGCATATCAGTTTCACTTTGCGCTGCAGTGAGGGAGCTAATTCTAAGCAGTGTGACCTCTGCCATGCTAGGAAGGTATGAGATTTGAGCTCTATAAGATGAACAATACAAGCTTTGAATATTGAAGATTTGTTGCTAAATTAGATCTTCAGGTCAAGTGTGATAGACAAATGCAATGCTTGAATTGCACAACTGCACAGACTCGTTGCATACGCTCCAGATCTCGGCGAGCTCGGCGACCTCGAGATTCACGGTAAGTGTTGTGGCGCGGTTGCTCGCTGATCGAGCTGACAAGTGACTCTAGGAGCTCACCAGAGTCTGTAAACAGGCAGACCAAAAGTACTACCTCTCAAAGAGCGTCATCGAAGACTGTGGAAGCAACCGAAAACGCAAATAATGCACCGACTCACACCAGTACGATTGGCCTTTCTCCCGGCTACGTCCACACAGCAGGTGAAGCAACGACGATTATCCGTCGAGAATTGGACTCCAACAGTTCTCTATCCGATGGCCGAAGGCGTGTGCTGGAGTCTGCTTTGTCATTGATAGGCCACTTCAAAGACGCCTCCCATTCTGCTGGGAATGCGAGCTATGATTCAGACCCGGAGGATGAGCAAAGTTCAGGTGACATTTCCTCTGAGTTATTGGTCATGATGCTATATAGTAAGTTCCCCCTATCTGTTCGGGTATCGATTCTTATATCCTTAGCTACGCCGAATTGCCCGAATTCATGGAGTTTGTTCTGGCCTGATCATATCCCTCAGCAGAAATTTGAGCAAATGTGCTTGACGTTGATGCATGGGAAAGCAAATGGTCAGACAGTATGTCACTACGAGATCTCTGTTTTTGCAAGAGCAGTCAACTATGTCAACAGGTGGCTGCGGGTTTCAGATTCGAGCGAACTATCCAAAGCTTTGGAAGAGTTCAAAAGGAAGTATACCGCTGCTGGTCTAAGAGCTCTTAGACGGTTAAATGTTTTGAACAGTCCCAGTTTGTCACTTCTTCAGACCTTGATCTCAGGGGTAAGCAATTCTCTTGCACCTAGAGGCGAAAAATATTGACAGAAGAGCTTGCTGATTTTGAATTACTATCAGGCGCAGCTGCTTCAACTGCTTGGTGATGCTTCTCAGGCCTGGACCCTTACATCTTTTGCCTCCAGAGTGATGGTCGCGCTGGGTTACCATAATCTTACTCCCCAAGCACTAAAGGAGAACGAACACTCCGTCGAAATTCGGCACTGCTTATATTACTGCTACTACCTAGACAAGGCCCTGAGCATGCTTTTAGTCCGGCCTCCGTCCTTACCTGACTTGAATGTCGAGCCAGTCTCCTTAATCGAGTTGAAACCTACTGAGCCCCTCAAAATCAAAATGGGAATACTCCTGAAGCTGTCTCGTGTGCAAGATGGGGTGCTGTTGCTTCTGATTAAGGGCGACAAGTTGACCGAAGCCGAAGCCTCGGCGACTATTCCGGTCTTAAAATTGGAATTGCAGGATATATGGAAGGAGTCTTGTGAGGTAAGAGTGCATCGCAATCGGGGAGTGACGAACTGCATAAATCTAATTTATTCTATGTAGGCACGCCTCCAATCGAGTGATGCACCTGAATGGCGCCTCGAATGGAATGCCCTCGATTTTACTTATCATGCTATTGCTACTACGGTGCTTCGACTAAATTCCACCTCTCTTCATGATCATCAAATCAGAGAGCAATGCTTACTGCATGCACGCAAGGCCTTGAGCGCAATGAGTGCTTTACTCAATCATATACTAGACGGACAAAGATTGTATATGGATTTCCTCTTCTGGTACGATGATTTGGCCAATTACTGCTACTTGCGAGGCTTGAAGTATGGACTGACTAAAAATATAGGACCATTCTCCTCTATCCGCTAACACCTTTCTTTATCGTGTTTTGTAACGTCCTTGCGACATCCAACGAGCAAGACTATCATACTCTAACTCAGATAATGACTGCCTTATCGCGGATCAAGGACAACAATTCTTTCGTGTCCGGTCTCTACGGGCTACTGTCTCAGTTCATGGATCTATGCGGTCAGCTCGAGGCTTTTGTAGAGCATAATCATTCCGAAAAGAATGCGCTGGATTCTGTCCCGAATATTTCAGAGAGACCGCGACCAATTCAACCACAAAATGTGGATTCCATATCGTACGGTCCTCAGTCACGAAACTTCTGGGACATGCACATTTTAGATGATGGTACAGACGGAGGGTTATCGCTGGCAGAGGAAGAGTGCCATGGTGGACTGGGACAATTGCGACCCTCGATGTGGGATGACAACCTGATGTGGGAATTGTTTAACACTCAGCCCTCAATCGAGTGGTTTGACATGACACAGGGGTCGTTATAGGGCAAATGGCCTCCGAAGTGACAGCGTGATAGAAAACAACGACGAGATAAGGATGACCCCACACGTGCCAAGTGGCTATCAGTGACGGTGCGGGGGTTCTCTACTCCTTGCAGATCTCTTTACACTCTTGCATCTGGGTTCATTCATCTATTTTATCCCATCGTGAGCTCAATAACCATCCTAGAAGACATGCCTGCAAGCGTCAAGTCTCGCGGAGGATGTGCGCGATGTAAGGAGAAAAGAGTACGTTGAACGTGGTCTGAATGGCATCAAACCAGGGATGATCGCTTATCTAGAAACTCAGGTGAAATGCGATGAAAAAAGACCGTCGTGTCAACGCTGCACTCGTTTACAGCTCCCATGTCCAGGTTATCAACCGCGGTTCCGATGGTCGACGAAGTATGAGGTTCTCAGGAAGGATCGGACCAGTCCACTGCGTAATGTCCGTTCTTCGTCCAAGACCCGGCACACGCCTCCGGTAAATTGCAATTCGGAAGGACGGTCGGAAGCCACTGGTCCCTCTGGTGCCATTGATGGAGCTACAGACGGCCTGATTGACATGGGATTACATTGGGACAACTTCTCCCTCTTGGACGAGATTGATCTGACTGGGCTCAGCACTTTGTTCCCACCAGGTCCGAGCCTAGAAAGCTCATTGCATTCTTTGCATGACCATCAATCTACGAGATTTGAGATTGGTAGCGGTAGACCAGATCATGGCCACCTCGCTGCAGATGCCGACATGCTGGTCGCCACTCTTAAGACACCTTCAACAAGTCCAGCTCTCCAGCTACAAGGTGATAGCTTCTGGAGCCAACACTCACCAATGAAACCGTTAGCCTCAATCGAAACATCGCTCGTGGAGTACTATTTCCAACATGTTGCCACTACGTACTCGTGTTTTGATGGAAGCATGAATCCATTTCGTACGACAGTTGGGCGGGTCTGGACGTCGTCTCAGATCTTAACGTGGACGCTTCAGAGTATGGCTGCGGCCTGTCTCGCTCGCGACTTTCCGCATCTAAAGCCTCAGGGCATGAAGGTACGACAGCAGGCGCTGATGGCGATTGAAGAAGAGGCAGCCGCCGGGAAGACCACTGAAATGTCTCTTTTGTCGGTCATTATGCTGGGTCAATCTGCTAGCTGGCATCTGCAGGCGGACGTAGGTCTATCCCAGTACCGTCTGGCCAAGAGGATAATGGCGAGTGGACAGCGTCGCAACAACAAAACCGAAAACACGAGGTTCCCTGGGAGGAACTCGATGTTCTTTCAACAATCCTTGCATTACTGGGAGATGCTACTTTCTTTTGTCACCGGCTTGGATGGTCCCACTGATTCTCCGAGAGACCCCCATGGGTCGAGCTTGCCCTTACAAATGATTCCTCACCCTTGGGCAATGGTTACATCGGACCTGATGGAACGCATCCACGAGGTAGGCCGGCTGGTATACAAGCACCGACGGAACACCCTTGGATCAAAGTTCTGGCGACGAACGGATCTCACTGCGCTGCAGGGTATGATCCAGGACGTTGGGCCAATAGAGCTTTATCTATTGAACTACCAACTCCCCGCACAAGAGACCATTGTTGATCCGGGCGATGATCTGACTCCCGTTTCGCACTTTGTGTCGATTTCTCAGGCATACCGACTCGTCGCTCTGCTTCAGATCTACCGAGTGTTCCCGGACATTCTCGAAGAACGTCTCGCTTCAGAAACCAGAACACCTGCCTTTGCAGGAGTACCGAAGCCATTACTGAACAGCGCTGAGCAATGGATACACACTCTAGCAATGCACACCGTTGATATTCTCCGCAAGGTGCCATTCGAATCCCACACTCGCTCAATACAGGCTTTTCTTCTTGTGGCCTTATCGAGCGAGTTACGGTATCCGATGTCCCCTGACAACATTGAGAATGTCAACAGTGAGATGCTGGAGGTCGCCGAAGCCCGGAAGTTCGTCCGCGGTAGATTAGAAGCCTATCGATTTGTCTTTGCTCCGCAGCCGGCGCAGCGTAAACTGGATATTGTAATGAAGGTGTGGGAACAACTGGACGGGGGACAGTCAGGCGTGTATTGGATGGATGTGATGATTGAGAATGGATGGGAGGTTTTGTTTTGTTGAGGGAGCTTCAGGGTTATCTATTCAGCAACTCATCTACTTGGTCTAAATGCATCCGATCAACTCATTTCCGCCCGATCGAAAGAGGGGACCAAATCACCGAAGGGGATAGCACCAATTTCTAAGGATCCCAGAGAATCCCCGCATCGGAAGCAGACACCGAACCGGCCAAAATGCGCGAGGCGAAACTGATAGGCCGTTTTTTCCTAATCGGGTAAAAGATGCCTTATCCGTACCTCCCTTCGCTCCAACTCGTCGCCATATAAATCGATCCCTTTCCAGAGGCGACTCGATTCACTCTGTATGTTCCAGCGATCGCTATCAGTATCATGGCTGCAATCATCTTTCTGTTTCTCACATTCTCGGCCGTTTGTGCGTTGTACACAGGGATCGGATGGGCGAGATACTACTACCATCGTCGGTCTTCCAAGGTGTGTTCATCTATATCTTTGCGGCGAATGTGTCGAAGTGCTAATAGTACTCTCTAGGCCAGTGCCTGCCCTCAAGATGAAAAGACCACCCAGTCTCCCCCGACCTTCAAGATCCAACCCTTAACCCCCTTCGACTGGCAAACCACCGAACCAGAGAAACACAGGCCTTACAAGCCCAAATACAACCTCACCATGTGTATGGCCTCCTGACCACTGACATGTCCCTCCAAACAACATCCCAGCAACTCATCCGTCTTTCTAGCAATCGAAAAAACCACCCTCTCGGACCTCCTCGCCATCGACAACACCTACCTCGACCGAATCACCCTCCGTCGCCAGATCATGGCCGACCACGAAGAAACCGTGCTCGCTGCCAACGACGCCTCTCTGCCCGCCATCCAGGAACTGTATACCTGGATGGTCGGCACGTATCTTCCTACCCGATATCCGGACCTCTTCGTCCTCGTCTCCAGTCCTTCCACCTCACTCCACCACCCCTCCCTCTACAACAAAGTCACGGACGAATCCTACCCCGTGGCCCTGGACTCCTCGACCTCGGGAGTCGAGATCCTTCGCACGCTAGGCGGACTTGTCGAAGACGACCTCCTCTTCCTGCTGCCCTCGTCGGACGGCGACGGGTACGCGCTTCAGGCCTTCGTGACCTGCTTCCCGAACGGGTTCGACACGCGCCGCAAGCTGGGCCTGAAGCTGAGAGACATCCACACGCCGGTGCCGGGGTATGCGGAGAAGCTGGCGAAGAGTATGGATCGGTGGTTTGATCGGTTAGAGGTGGGGACGGTGGTGAGGCGGTTCAACGTAAGTCTGGTCTTTCTTTGTTGCTTTTTTTCTTCACTCTTTCCTGAGATATGGTCATGGAGGATAAGGGAGCTGATCTGGTAACAAACACAAATAGTGGACCGTCCAACCGCATGACCGGCTCTTCGCCCCCTCGGGAAACCATCTCTACGAGGGCGACGACGTGCAGCCCATCGAGGCGGAGATTGACCGGGTACGGAATCCCTTCATCCTAGATATATGATGCTCACTAACGTAGAGCGAATGGCAGACCTACGTGCGCACCGAACGACAATTCGTCCACCGTCTCCCCCGCACCAGGGCCGTTCTCTTTTCCTTCAAGACTTATCTCTATCCGATCCGGGATATCAAGGCGGAGGGACTAGGCGAGACGCTGGCGCAGGCGATCGACGGACTGCAGGGGGGGAATGTGCCGGGGATGTACTATTACAAGAGGGCGGCGGTGTGGGGGGATTCGGTGCAGCGGTATTTGCGGTCATAGAGGGTATATTGGTAGTAATGAGACCAGTGGAAGGAAGAAGGCGATGGCAGCTACAGATGAAGTACGAGGCTCATGGAATCATGGAGGATGATAAGCAAGACAGTAGACACGACAACTTTAATCATGGACCACTAATTTTTGATTCGTCAAACTATCGTGAGAGCTAAACTCAGAACTGGTTCTCGGACAAAGCACGCTTTATGCTGCCAACTAAATGCAACTCTCCTGCCGGCTCGGCGCACATCCAAGGCTCACTGAGCAGCCTTGCCGTATGTAGCCCAAAACGTCGCAACACTAGCAAAGCAGACATTAAGACCGGAAAACATTTCAAGGGGAGGCGAACGGAGTTTAGAAGAAAAGGTTCCCATCAAACGGAGCGTTCCGCTTATTTGGGGGCTTCCTTGCACTCAATGGCGGTCTCCTCACCCATGGAGGTCAGGATGATGACGTCTACCGAGATCAGTACGTTGTACTCGGGTGGATTCAATGCAAGGGCACTTACTGCAGTCCTTCTCCTCCTCACGGAACATGCGGATGATCTTCTCACCGGTCTCGTTGTCGGGGACCTTGACGTCGTCCTTGGTGTTGCCGTTGTCGTCCATCAGGGACAGGAAGTCATCGTCAGTGATGTCGATCTAGGGGGTTCGCGTTAGTCTTGATCTGCTCGGCACGAGTCCACCACCCGGGCGGGAGATGGGGAGCGGATCACTCACGAGCTGGTACTCCCGACGGTTGACGTGGGGGACGTCCATGTTGTGGGTGGAGGGAGACAGATCCTCGAGCTTCTTGCCGGTGAAGATGTCGATGGCGACCATGTGGACCTTGGCGTGACCGTGCTTGCCAGTCTTGGAGGTGGACATTTCGACGATCTTGCAGGGACGGCCCTTGATGACAACGTGACCGTTCTTGCGCAGAGCAGAGCACTGCATGGGGTAGGTGCTGGACGCACCAGCGTCAGCGGATTCGAAAGTCTCTTGCTGTTCGAGCGATTCATGTTAGCAGGCAGAACAGGCAGAACAAATGAGAAAAGACGACGCAGAGTTCGATCATATGCATTGCGTGCAGCAACCGCCAGCAGGAAGGGGGGAGAGGGGGGCAGATTCCAGATGCGGGGCTGCAGCACAACACGAGAGCGACAGCGAGGGCAGTTCAAAGGGCGAGAAGAAGGGAAATACATACCACCTCGTCGGCCATGGTGATGGTATTGAAGGGGGGGAATAAGGACAGGAAGGACAAGAAAGAGAGGTAAGGATGGAGATCGAGAAGAGGAGGAGAAGAGGAGAGAAAAATCGGCAGGTCGAGAGACGAAGAAGAACAGGCGAGAAAACCGACAAATCGCTGGCGAAGGAAAAAAAAAAAAAAAAGAAACATTTTTGTTGTGGCGGGGTCGTGCCGCCTAGTCCCGATGCGGTTTAGCGCGGGTGGTTCCCGTGCCGGAATGCGCAGTTGGTCTTTCTGGACGGCCCTAGTGCCTGTCCGGCCCCGTGACCTCACCTGACCTATACTTGTCGTGGTCAACATCCACCTCAACTCCTCGCTCCGGTCATGTCTCCATGATCTCTCTGCTCTAGGTTCTTCTCTTCCCTCCCCTCCCATCATGTGGCTCGACCGCATCTCCGGCCATTCCACCCCCTCCGCCCCCCAGCCCGACAGTCGCAGTAACTCGCCGCTGCCACGACGCTCCTCCTCCCGCCTCTCTCCCTATGCGCAACCCGCCCGCCCGACCTCCTCCAACCGACAAGGCTCCTCCCTCTCCGTCCTCGTGACCCCCAGTGACTCCAATGTGTCGCTGCCAGCCACCGTGCGCGCCGATGGGTCGGTGCTGAGACAGTCCGCTGCAAGGTCCCGTCCCTCCGACGTGGCCGATCCGCTGCAGGTGTTGAGCGGCATTATTGGAAAGCAGAAGGAAAATGCAGTGCAGACAGACAAACTCTCCCCGATCTCCGTATCGACGGACAAACCGTCGCAGCTAGTGGAGAACATCGACTTCAACGGCCTGAGCCTCGAGGACTTCGCCGCCGCCGAATCGGAGCCGCGACGGGCCGGCAGCGACGTCGGCGCGCAGACCATTCGGCAATTCGAACAAGAGCGAGACAAATTCCAGGATCTCCATTCGGCCATCACGGGATGTGACGACGTGTCCAAATCGGTGGAGTTGTATCTGAGTGACTTCCAGACCGAACTCGGCGCCGTCTCGGCGGAGATCGAGACCCTGCAGACCCGCTCCGTGCAGCTGAACGCCATGCTGGAGAATCGGCGCAACGTGGAGCAGCTGCTGGGGCCGGCGGTGGAGGAAATTAGCATTTCGCCGCGGACGGTTCGGGTGATTGCGGAAGGTCCCATTGATGATAGCTGGGTAAAGGCCTTGAACGAGATCGAGACGCGAACGGCGAGCATCGAGGCTCGGGTTTCCAGCTCGACTACCACTGCATCTATTGACGATGTCCGTCCGCTTCTGGAGGACATCAAGAAGAAGGTTCGACTCCCTCCCTGAGGATCTCGAGAGAACTGATGGCGCTAACAAACCCTACAGGCGGTGGAGAGGATCCGTGATTACTTGGTCTCGCAGATCCGAGCGCTGCGGTCGCCGAATATCAACGCCCAGATCATCCAGCAGCAGCGGCTCGTCCGGTTTAAGGACCTGTACAGCTACATGTCGAGAGCGCACCCGACGCTGACGGGCGAAATCACCCAGGCCTACGTCAACACCATGCGATGGTACTATCTGTCACATTTCACGCGCTACCTGCAGGCCCTGGAGAAGATCAAAGTGTATCCCAGTGATCGGAACGAGGTCCTGGGCGGAGATGCGACGCAAAAAGCAGGCAACATGGTCACCGGCAGCCGGGCTGGCGCGGCGGCGCACGATCCGTTCTCGCTGGGACGAAGGATCGACATTCTTCGCACCGGCAACCAAATGGCCATGTCGTCGTACCTGGCGGAGGAGGACAATTCCTTCCACGGCATCGAAGTGCCGTTCCGGAATTTCAACCTGGCGCTGGTGGACAACGTGTCCGCCGAGTACTCGTTCATGACGGAGATGTTCTCGTCCCTGTCGTTCCACCAGATCTCGCGCAAGGCCGTGGAGATCTTCGAACCGGTCTTCGCTCTGGGACAGACGCTGACGAAGCAGCTCATCGACAACACGACCGACTCGCTCGGCGTCCTGATCTGCGTGCGGCTGAACCAGCACGCCGCCTTCGAGCTGCAACGCCGCAAGGTGCCCGTGGCCGACGCCTACGTCAACGGCACGAACATGCGCCTGTGGCCGCGGTTCCAGGTGATCATGGACATCCAGTGCGAGTCGCTGCGCCGGGTCGGATCGAACACGGGACGCAGCGCGGTGTCGGCGCTGTCCCTGGCGGGCGGCGACGATCTGAACCAGTCGGCGGCGCCGCATTTCCTGACGCAGCGGTTCGGGCAACTGCTGCACGGCATCCTCGTCCTCAGCAGCGAGGCCGGCGACGACGAGCCGGTGGCCAACAGTCTGGCGCGACTGCGCGGCGAGTTCGACGCGCTGCTGGCCAAGCTGAGTCGCATCGGCGGCGATGCCAAACGACGCGAACGGTTCCTCTTCAACAACTACTCCTTGATTTTGACCATTATTAGTGTAAGTGCCTCCTTGCCATTGGATTCTCTTGACGGAGGGTTTGCAGCTAATGTGCCAATGAACAGGATACCCAAGGCAAATTAGCGACTGAACAGCGACAGCATCTGGAGGAGATGCTGAAGAGCGTGGGCAAGCGCGGGTGATGACGATCCACGAGCGTAGATCCTGTAAATAGAATAATCCCTACCTATATACCGTAATGCATCCATCTCATACCCACGATTCCATTCAGAGAAATCCGCAGTAGAAAGAAGGTCGGCCAAGTCGGCGATCGGCAGCAACCCCGAAGACAGACCCACTCCAGCAATCACCTCATCGTCCATCCTTCTTTGCCATGGCCCCATGCCACAACCGTCCCTGGATCGATCAACTCAATTGAATTCGCCCGATCAAAATGCCCCTGTCGTCGCGTGCAGGCCTCCAGTCCCTTCGCCGGGCGCGACAGTTCCAAGCGCGCTCGTTCTCGAGCTCCCGCGCCGCTCGGGCCGACGTGACCCATGCGGTATGTTCTTCTGTGTTGTTGCTGTGGATGGATTTGACATGTAGTCTGCATTGAATTGAAATGAATATGAGGCGAGATTTGATGGAACAGATGGGCTAATGATGAAATATAGGTCATCGGTGCCGGTGTCGTCGGACTTGCTGTCGCCAGGCAGTTGGCGGCCAAGGGAGGCTCGACCATCTTGTTGGAGAGGAACGATGGACCGGGCATGGAGACGAGTAGTCGCAATTCAGAGGTATCTCTCTCTCTCTTTCTCTATTTGTTTTTGTCGTGTCATGAGGATACATTCCCCCTGTGTCACCGCTATGTCATATGGACTGTTCTCTATACGAGCCTACGCCTCGTCTACAACCACTTCCTGAATAGACAATGTTAACACGCCCCAGGTCATCCACGCCGGTCTCTACTACGGCACGGACACGCTCAAAACCAACCTCTGCATCCGCGGGAAACAAATGCTCTACGAGCTCTGCGCAGAGAAGGGCATCCCGCACCGCAACACGAAGAAGTGGATTGTCGCGCAGACGCCCGAGCAATGGGCCGCCACGCTCAAGGTGCACGAGCACGCGCAGAACATCGGCGTGCCGACGCGCATCCTCACGACCGAGGAGGCCTCGCGACGGGAGCCGGCCGTGCAGGCGCGCGCAGGCATCGTGGAGAGCCCGACGACGGGCATCGTCGACAGCCACTCGCTGATGGTGTACCTGCAGGGGGCGTTCGAGGAGAAGGGCGGCGACTGCGCGTTCCGCACGAACGTCACGGCGCTGGAGAAGTTACCTGACGGCCAGGGGTTCCGGATCACGGCGCGCGACGCTGACGGCGAGGAGACCAGCATCACGGCGGAGACGGTCATCAACAGCGCCGGCAACTACGCCTGCATGATCAACAACATGCTGCTGCCGGCGGAGCGCCACCGCACGCCGTACTACGCCAAGGGCACGTACTTCTCCTACGGCGCCTCCAGGCCCACCACCAGCGTGTTGGTGTACCCGGCGACGCTGCCGGGCCACGGCGGCCTCGGCACGCATCTGACGCTGGACATGGGCGGGCGCATCCGATTCGGCCCGGACGTGGAATGGGTGGACGACGCCAACGACCTGAAGCCCAGCGCGGCGCGCCTGCAGCAGGCGCTGGCCGAGATCCGGGCGTATCTGCCCGCCGTCGATCCGGAGGCGATCAGTCTGGACTACTGTGGGATTCGACCGAAGCTGGGCCGTGGCGGGGCCGTGAACACGGGCAAAGGGTTCCAGGACTTTGTGATCCAGAAGGAGGACGGATTCCCGGGGTTTGTGAATCTGTTGGGCATCGAGAGTCCCGGGTTGACGAGTTCATTGGCGATTGCGGAGCGAGTGGAGGGATTGCTGTACGGTTGAGCCTGTCATGTTTCCCATACCCAGGCCATGGCGAAAAGCCACTGGCCCGTACATATTAGACTCTCGCCCATATGATTGTGTGTTCGCAGACAAAGAGCTGATGTGTCGTCGAGCAAAGTCCAGACAGCCAGACCCACGTAGAGAAGCTTATTTAGCAGCCAAGTCGATGCCAATTCGCCATCCGGGGTTCTACCCTGAGGTCCCTGACGTCAAGACTCTGCGTGGTTTTCCAGACAAACCAAGAAGTGGATGGCGAAAGAAGTGAAAGTCCGGACGATCAGGAAGTCTCGAGAGCCTCGACTGGCGGTTTGTGTGGTTTGCTCGCTTTGCCTGCTTTGCGCGGTTTGCTTTGTCTGTCCACCACGTGCCACTCGCCACTCTCATATACTCCTGCTCTCTCTCTATATCATAAAATCCCAATCCTTGACATTCTTACATCCCACTACCCCTCGCTCTCCATCCATCAATCCACCCATCATGCCCGATCTCAAATCCTACTACCACGACTTCCCCCAACGACGCACTCCGCAATCCCCACGCCCCAAATCCCGCGCCCAAAACCTCGCCTCCACCACCACCACCAAGTCCCGGTCTCGCTCCCAATCGCCCGCCGCCTCCTACAACCGCTGCTGGGACTGGATCGTCGTCGGCGGCAACTGCCACTACGCCAAGAACCGCGCCTCGTTCCGCACCTACCGCCGCGCGCCGGGCAAGATCGGCGGCAACAAGGTGCTGGGCGTCGGCACCGTCGAGCTGCAGGTCCGACGGGGCTCCGGCGACGAGCGCACCAACACCCTGGTCCTGCAGGATGTGCTGCACCTGCCGAACGCGCGCTGCAACGGGCTGAGCGTCTCCAAGTATCGCGAGGCGAATCCGCTGTCCGCCGTGGAGACCGAGAAGGAGCATTTCCAGGCGACGAGCGACGTCGATGGCGAGCCGCTGTGGTGTGCCGATGAGTACTGTGGACTGTCGAGAGTGGTGCTGGCGGGGAGTCCCAAGGGGCAGTCGTATCTGCGGGATGGGCAGGTGTATATGCTGAGCGTGATTGCGTCGTCGGATGAGCTGGATAGATTGAGTAGGAAGTTGAGAGATTCGGACTGGACGGTTCATTCATGATATTCATGATGTCTAGAGGCGTTGGTGGTTTCTTGCTGTGCTTTTCAAAAGATACGATGTCATGCTTGGATGGGTGTTCACGAATAATATAGATGACCTTGTGAGATTATCGTAAAATATACATACCAGTCATGTCCAATGCTCATTTCCATATTCTAGCCAACTGTACGCGCCAGTGCAGACCAGACCGTCGTTAATATACATGTATACAAATCTCCGTTTATTAATTCGCACCCAGCCCGCTGGGCGTATATTCAATGGTTGCCGAAGGTCCTGTCGCCAGGACTAATCACGGCAGCTTTGTTCGCTCAGTCCACGTCCATAAGCACGTCACTCATGATGTGGAGAACATACGAGAATTTGCGGACACTCCATTTCCCGGCATCTTTGAGCAGCCCCGCGTAGTCCAGGAGAATCCGTCGTGCAGACTGATATCCTCCCTGGAACGGTACGCCACGGAGGTACACAACGCCGCCATTCCGAATGAAGTTCACTGCCGGGTTGTCCGACGGCGCAAACGACTGGCTGCCGCGCGGTTCCATGAAGCTAGTAAATCCTTCGGTCCCCACGGCCTGCCAGTCAACGTCGTCGAGGAGTTCGATGTAGCTGCCCCGTCTCTGTCCTTCGGTGTTGGGTACCATAAATTCGTAAAGCCCCAGGACAAGAGCGGCGGAGAACAGCGAGAAGACGGAGTGGAACATGGTATGGTCCGAGGCTTTCCTATTTATCATGGCCTTGTAGATCTGGGCAGCATGTAGGCATGCTCTGCGGGCGGCAGGCGTTTGCGACCACGCCGCAATGTCCTCGAGTGCTTTCTCTGCCGGCACGGGACCCGCTCGTCCCGCCGCCAGGTCGAAAATCTGCGTATCAGCTGTGAGCGTCATGCACATGTTGTGCCACATGACAGCGGCGTTGGGGTTCAGATGAGAGAGAGCATCGCTGTATCTGCTGGCAATTTGCAGTTGGAGAGACGGTAGGCAGCGCGCGCGACCATCCATGGCGTACGTATGGCAAGGCGCAAAGGGATAGCTTGCTCGGTTGGATAACAACCGATGATAGGCTTCTGACAGCCGCAACTGAACCATCGCCAAAACCGAGTGCACGGAGAAATCATCGACGGGACTATCGAGCACCGCAATTTCGACGTTTTCCGAAGGGGCCACCACGGTGGGCATCAGGATCCGTCTTCCGCTTCGGATTAGATGCGTCCACCCTGCGGAGGTGTTGGCCTGGAATAGACTCTCGTTGCAAGGTAATATAATTTGGATGGCATCAGGGACAATGATGGGGCTCATAGACAGAAATGACGAGTACCAGGAGTCCAAGAGTAGAAGACCAGAGATTAATCTGTTCGGTTCAGCACGTAATGACAATTCAGCCAGGTCAAGAAAAACTTACCGCTTGACTGATTCTATTTTACTCCAAGTTTTCCATCGTATATCAACATCCGGGCTACTTTCAAAGAAACTAGAGTCGAGTATTTGGCCTTCGGTTGCGGTAAACAGCCCGTGTCGTTGCGCAATCTATCCCCCTGCGTTAGTCGCGAGTTAAAGGAGGACCACTGGCTCCACTTACCGAAATCAGACTAATATAGAGCATCTGGCTCTTCTCCAGGTGCTCCTTTTCCTGCGAATCAATCAGGCTATGTATCATGGAAATGGGAAGTAGAAAATCGTACCCCTGTCATGGCGGCGAGGTTGAGAAAGAGAAATGCGGCCGCGAATGTCGACATGGTATTCGCCGAGCTCTCGGTGCCCAATGAGCATTTGGCCAGCTCCGCTGTGATTTTCTCGAGTACAAACTAGTACGCCATATCATGAGTGGCCCGCAGTAAAACCAATGGGTGGGTAGTTCGATCGAAACTTACGGAGTAATTCTTGGAGACGAAGTCAGTGGTCCCTTTCGTCCCAAGCATTATCATACCGATCAAGCACATCGAATACAGCACCGATGGATTCGTGTTCTTAGCGGAAAACGTGGGAACGTGAATAAACGGAACCAGGGGATGGAAGTTTCGAAAATACAGGTCAAGGGCCATATCAAGTACTTCGGCAGGGGGGAAGTTAGGCAGAGTGACCAGTGCGCCAGAAGCATTGGGGGGATATGCCATGTGCTCTGGTAAGCGTGCGTGTGGGTTGGCGAATCGGGCGTATCCAAATATAGCCTGTAGATGCTGCCGACACTCTTCATCTAGGCCGTGCCTTGATCCTTGGTAAACACCAGACGAACAGTTGGCTGACATGCCGGGATGCAATGCGAAAACATTATCTAGGTCGATGCTCGCTACCTCCTGCCAGAGATTATTGATCAGGCGTCCGTTATGATTCGAAGGCGCAACCCAATACTTTTGGACTTTGGCGAACCGCTCACTCGGGATGGTACTCCCGGATTTAGGCGTGCCGACGCTGTCCGCAGAGGGTCTCGCTTGTCGGTCTGAAAAGGCTCCGTGACTCTCCCCAAGCATCCCGAATCCCGAATCGGGCATCAGATTTATCGAGCCATTGTGCGAGCCCGCATCGACTCGCGGTTCAAGCCAAAACTGCATCATGTCATTTGGCGTGTCGAACATAGGCGCTCTGTAGGCCGGCGTGTCCGCCGTAGCCGGGACCTCGTTCCACCCGAAGTATGCCGCTTGTTGGTCATCGATCATCATGGGGTTGACTTGGGGCTCGGTGCGTGCGTGATGCGTTGAAACGTTTGCTAGGAAATCTAGAGACGATGGCGGGAGACCGGTCGCGGAGGGGAGAGGCATGTCACGAGGCGTCACCGAAAGAGGCTGCACCATATCGACTGTTTCGGCGCCGGCTCCTGGAAGATATTGCTGACCTTCGACGGGGAGAGCAGACGGTCGACGAGTCGAGGCTTGGTCGGATGTGGCCGCGGGCTGTCCATTCTTGACTCCGTTGGATGCGGTTGCGGCCGCACCATTGTGTCCTTTCGCATGTCGACTCAACACATCACTGCGATCAGAAGCATATTAGATCCCCACACAAATGAAGCGCAATTATACCATCCGACGGGGCCATATTACACACCTTCGCGAAAATCGTTTGTGGCAGACGTTACATTCATAAGGTTTCTCCTTAGTGTCTGCGGGCAGTCAGCACGATTCGAAAGAAGCCTCCAGACAGCAAATATCGGGAATAATTGACTGACGTGACCGTTCATGGCGTTTGAAATGCTCTGTTTTCTTGAATCGCCGGTCACAGATGGTACACTTTCTCATGACCATGATGCAACGCGCCAGAGGGCGAGAAATACGAAAGACCGGGGAGACCGGGACCACGGAGCATGACACCCAGTGGACACGGAGGGCAGAGGGAGAAGAAGCCAGGAAGAAAGAGCAGGAAACAAGAAAAGGAGTTGTCGCAGTGAATCCGTTGGCGCAGAATGAGGGGAGGCTCCCACGACCAGACGGATTGGGTAAGGAGGAGAACTAGAAGCTGATCCACCGCCTGCAGAATGGGGACTCGCCGGGCGTATCCGTAATACGGTATTGTGGCCCTCGTGATTCGCCGGTCAACAGATGCTGGAGATAGGTACCAGGGAGTATAGGTAAACAACTACTACTACTCTGTAGACTCGAGGGATCTGAAAATGAATCTGATTCATGATTATTACCCTAGTTACCCCCACGGGGTTCAACGTGACGCGCTCTCCGCGCCACCCTGGCACTAATGGCCCAAATGCATCCTATTCGGCCATTTTCCTGCGCGATGAACGCTTTCTCCATCGCCGCTGCAAAAGCCGGGGGCCATGCGGCTGACTCAGCTCACGCGGGGCTTCGGCAGTTGCGAGCCTTCCAGTGCCGGCTCCTTCCGGCCATCACAATTCTCCGTGGTATCATTCGCTATCCAAGTGCCTTTCTCCATACATTATTGTGTCCTATATACAGACTGTGGACCGCCCAAGATGGGACTTTTTATGCCGACTTTTGACCGCCGACGAGCTGCGCCAATTTGCTATCGTCGTAATATGCCTCCAGACGCTCCTTCCGGGCTTCCTTGTCCGCCTTGACTTGGCGAAGAATCTCCTGGATGTTGGGGTACGAGGAAAATTTATCCTGCAAATAACATATTAGCGAGCGGCTTTCCTACCGTCAAATTCCAGTAAAACTCACCGGAAGAGCATCCCAGACTTTAGGGTCGGTACCCTGATCCTTGAAGGTCCCACATCCACTCCGAGCGTATTCCGTGAACAAGAACGACCGGCTGCTCTCCACCATGATCGTCATTTGATCTGCGGTCCGTTAGCGAGGGTTTCGGCAGATCAGGTTTGGTCCTCACTCACTCTCAAGGATCTTCCGAGGCTCGTTGACCTGGTTGCGCATCTCATACACGTAGTCCTCGCTGAAATTGCCGTGCGGTGTATGGCTGATCTCGACGCTGCCGCCACCGGGCAAGAATTCATCGGACCGACCCAGTCCATTGCCGTATAGAGAAGCCAAGAACTCCGTGGCCGAGTTGCGGTGGAAGTATGGGAGGCGGAAGGTGTTGGTCGCGACGTCCCAGCGAGGTCCGAACCACAGGAAGTCCGCCAGCGGAGTATTGGGGTCGCGCGAGGGAGCCGTCAGCACGCAGTTCACCGAGGGATCGGTGTGGTCGATTGATGTCGCGTTCTGAGAGGAGAATTTGGTCAAGTCGTACTGCGCCATGATTGATTGATTGATTAGCCACGGCTCCTATGCCAAAAGGCAGGACTAGGTCAACGCTCCATACCTTGTAGGGAACAACGTTCCCATGCCATGCAACGAGGTCGAAGGGGCTGTGGTCTTGTTCAATGGCATTGTAAAGACCGTTGGCCTTGTTGACGATGGACCAATCTGCATGGAGAATCTCGTCGATATGAGCCACCGGGTGGAGGAAATCCCGGGGGTTGGCTAGGCCGTGGCCACCGATAGGACCTAGATCCGGCAGCTCCCATCGTGAACCCCAAACCTCGGTGATGTATCCACGAGCAACCTTGTGTCCGCGGCCGAGTCGGATGGCGAAACGAACGCCCCGAGGAATGACACAGATCTCTCCGGGCTGCAGGAACAGCATTCCCATCTCGGTCTGGATATCCAGGTTCCCGAGCTGCGCGACGATGAGGAAGTCGCCGTCGGTGTTGCAAAACGCCCGCCGGTCCATGTCCGCGTTGATCATGAACACGTACAGAGCGATCCCCTCGCGTAGGTTGGGGTCCCCGCTGCCGCCCAAAGTGTGAAGACCGTCCACGAAATCGATTCTTTCGTCCTCCTTGGGCAGCGGAAATGGGGCCCATTCGCCCTGCTCGGCCAGCGTTGCAACCTTAGGGTTTAGAGATAAGAAGCAGTTCTCGATGTCTGCCTTGTGCTTGATGTTGGCTCGGTACCCATCTGCGGACGGTTAGCCTCTCTGTCCTATGACACAGACCGGATGAAGCGGGAAAATATCATACTGTGAGCAGCAGCTGGCCGAACACGGTACATATAGGTGCTGAAGTTGGCATGGCGGGGGGCTGCAAAGGCCGAGTAGGTGATGCCCTCTGTATACAGACCGAACCGAGGCTCTTGGGGATTGTTCTGGCCAGCAGGCAACGTCCCCGGGATCACTTCAGACTGATGTCGGTTACCAAATCCCGCCAGGTACTCGTAGGGATCATTGTCTCTCGTCGGTTTGCGGGTCATAGTATCCGTATAGTGGAAGACCTTTTGCATGTCCTTGATCGGGACTCTTTCCTTGATCGGAGGCGCCGGCATGGTGACGGTGTTCCTGGTGTTCACCAATTGCTTCTGTCCAGATAGCTTTATGCTGCTTGGAAAAAGTACGCCACAGATCCAGTCTTTCTTAAAAGACAAATTTTCAGTGACCATGGCCCCTCTGTTCTGCATGTGGAGAAATACATTTTCAATGATGAGGACATCGACCCACATGGCGGTCGTGATATCCGATAGCCCGCTGCATTGGGAGTGTGGTGTCTTGCGGGGCCTCGTGGCTCATGTGGAGCAGGCTTTTGCTTCCCTGCATGATTGACCGGAGATTTGATGCGTTTCCTGGGTTTCTTTGTGTTCCTGTGGTCGACCAACGTCATCTGATAGGGCTTTTTGTAAAGCAAACAGCGCGACAGGCGATCTAATGCAGCCAAGAAAAGGGTTCCCTCCCACTATAATGTGGGGAAACAAAGCCCGAGTATCTAGAAATCCATTAGATCATAATTCATAAAAGTGCTGTTGTGCATCAAACAGACGTACAAGTTTAGCATTGATCATGAAATACTACGACGCCACGTAAAATATTACTACCGAAAAAATCCCGAGATAAAATCACTCCCTGATGAACAGCGCTGCCACTCCCATTCCGGTACTAGATTCCCCAGCCCAGTTAGCCAAGAATGTCTCAACACTCGACGAGACAGATAAAATTAAATAAAAATTCAGATTCAAACAGACAAAGGGAGGCTTACCTCGCACACATGCTCACCACGCCCACCTCCTGCTCCCTTCTCGTCAATTCGGCCAACAGGGTTGCTGTCTGTCGGGCTCCCGTCGCTCCGATCGGGTGCCCCAGAGCGATTGCGCCGCCATTGGGATTGACCTTGTCAAGGTCCAGTCCTAATTCGCGCACGCAGTGAATCGTCTGACTGGCAAATGCCTCGTTCAGTTCCCACACGGCGACATCACTTTTCTGGATTCCTGTATAGCGGTACAGGCTCTCAATGGCAGCGATAGGCGCGATTCCCATCTCGTCGGGGGCGCAGCCAGCCACCTGAGTCCCTGCGAATCGGGCGATGGGCCGGAGACCATGGGCGTCGGCCCACGAGCGACGAGCGAGGATGGTGGCGGAGGCACCGTCGGAAATTTGGGATCTAGACATCAATAGTTAATGAACCTGCCAATTCCAACGGGGAAAACGACAGTCAAAAAATGGTTGCATACGAATTTCCCGCTGTGCTCGCCCCATTCTCCAGGACTGGCTTCAAGCCCGCCAGCTTCTCAACCGTCACCCTCTTCCTGATCCCCTCGTCCTGCTCGACCACGCAAGCCGTCTCCTCTCCCGTCTCCGTATCAACCTGGCGCGTCAGAACCGGCGCAATTTCATGCTCGAAACGGCCCGATGCCTGCGCCTCCGCGGCCCGTCGCTGACTCTCGGCCGCATACTCGTCCTGCTCGCGCCGACCGATGCCGTAGCGCGACGCAACATTCTCCGACGTCTTCAACATGGGCAGCAGACAGTCGCGAGCATCTTTCACGGCCGAGTCCTTCAGGGTCGGCGATACGTCGACGGGGATGCCGCGCGTGGTATAGTTGCGCGTCATGCTCTCCACGCCACCGGCCAGCGCCACGTCGATCTGTCCGACCAGAATGGCATGCGACATGTGCGTGATGGCCTGCAGGCTACTGGAGCATTGACGATTCAGGGTGTGGAAGGTGGTGGAGTTGGGGAATCCAGCGGCATTCAGAGCCATGCGACCTGTCTTCGCGAAACCGAGCTCGGCCAGAACGTTGCCGATCAGGGCATCGTTGACATGGTGCGGTTGGATGTCTGCGCGTTGAACGGCCGATTGCATTATCTAGTTCCAGCGACATGGTTAGATTGGGATAGTGAGCGGAGGGCTACGAGGGGACAAGCTGTACGGGCATCAGGATCTCCTCCGGGTAGCAGTCCTTGTAGGCGCCCTTGTAGGCGCGGGCGATGGGACTGCGCACGGAGGAGAGCACGACGACATCGTTGGGGGACTTGGCGAACACCTCACGGGCGGTTCTCCGCAGCATGATGAACGATAGGGAGTTCTCAGAGCTGGGAAGACATCAGTCTCTGAAGTATATGGTACTCCCCAGAGGGTGGGGCAGTGACATCAGGTCGTCAGGAATGCCCGGAGGATCAGGCATGCGGGGAGAACTACTACGCAGTGCAGGTAGTTAGTAGTGGTGCCTTGGTAACGAGGCCAGAAACCCCGTAAAATACCCCGGAAAGGCCCCACCGTTGAGCCACCGTTCACTGCCGACGCGACTCCCGTCGGAATCGTAAATTACGCTCGCTCCCGATGTCTTCGGTATTGATCGCAGACTTCCGCTCTACTCGTCGCTGTTCCCGATTGAACGACCTGAGAAATTGTCCTGCTTGTTCCTTTGCATTTCCGATATAACAGACTGTCATGGCCATCGTCCTCAGGCCCAGACTTTGCCTGCGTCCGGCAGTCAGGATGAATCCTCCCCCGACCAGCCTGTGGAGTCGGCTTCGGAAGGCGGCAAAAAGCTACGGACGGCGGATAATCGCTTTGTCGGCTGCCACGGTCGCTAGCCGATCGGAGAGCTTCTGGGGAAGCTACCATACCTTTTAATATGTAGCCCTTCTGCCTTTTCGAATTGTCTTTTTTTTTTCTCTTTTTCCCCTCATTCACTTCCCCAATTGAGTCATTCTCCAAGGTCGCTCAGCATGGCGCGGCCTTTCCCTGCGGTGTTCCGCCCCGTCTGGCGGCGGAACTTCTGCGTCTCAACCCCCAAACGAGCCATTGACAAGCTATGCGACTCGGCCCCGGAGGCCATCAAGGAGATGAAGGGCTCCTCCACCGTGCTGGTCGGAGGTTTCGGCTTCTCCGGCGTGCCCAACACCCTGATCGATGCCGTGCGCGACCGGCCCGACATCACCGACTTGACCGTCGTCTCGAACAACGCCGGCATGCCCGGCGCCGGTCTGGGCCAGCTGCTGGAAACCAAGCAGATCAGTAAAATGATCGCTTCGTTCATTGGTGAAAACAAAGTCTTTGAGAAAATGTATCTGACTGGTGATTTGGCTCTCGAATTGACCCCCCAGGGCAGCATTGCTGAGAAATGCGCTGCCGGGGCGGCTGGTGTCCCTGCTTTCTATACTCCCGCGGCTTATGGAACTATCGGTGGGTTGACCCTATGGCGATGGGGCTTGGATCTGTGCAAGGCTGACCGGTACGACAGTACAAACTGGTGAACTCCCCGTTCGGTATAACAAGGACGGCTCGGTGGCGGAAACCTCCAAGCCCAAGGAAACGCGCGAATTCAACGGCAAGAACTACCTCCTGGAAGAATCGATTTTCGGCGACTACGCTCTGGTCAAGGCCCATAAGGCCGACAAGCTGGGTAACTGTCAGTTCCGCAAGGCCATGAACAACTTCAACGAGGCCATGGGCAAGAACGCCAAGTACACCATCGTCGAGGCGGACCACATCGTCGAGGTCGGCGAGATTGCCCCCGAGGACATCCACCTGCAGAGCATCTACGTGAACAAAGTCATCCAGAGTCTCGGCGAGAAGCAGATCGAGAAGCTCACTTTCGCCAAGGACCCCAGTGAAATGCTCAAGGCCGGTAAGTAGCGCTCCACCCGCCGTCATCGCAATGTCCAATGCGCACGGGGCTGACACTCGTTTCCTGGCGTTTAGGATCCGGCGAGGCCACCGCCCGTCGCGAACGTATCGTCAAGCGTGCCGCCAAGGAATTCCAGGATGGCATGTATGTCAACCTCGGAATCGGAATGCCCCTGATTGCTCCTTCGTACCTGCCCGAGGGCGTGGAGGTCGTCCTCCAGGCCGAGAACGGTATCCTGGGTCTGGGCGGTTACCCCCAGCCCGGCGAGGAGGACCCCGACCTGATCAACCCCGGTAAGGAGACCGTGACTTTGGGTCGTGGAGCTTCTCTGTTCGGTTCCCACGAGAGCTTCGGTATGATTCGCGCGGGACGCATTGATCTCACGATGCTTGGCGCTCTGCAAGTGAGCCAGTACGGCGGTATGTGATGGCCATCACCCTTGAGGAACAAGACCTTGCTAATCACCTTATAGATCTTGCCAACTTCATGCTTCCCGGTAAGGTCAAGGGTGTCGGTGGTGCCATGGACCTGGTTGCCAACCCCGAAAAGACCAAGGTTGTGGTTACTATGGTAAGTGGAAGACTAAACGGCTGGTGCGACGTCGCTTTAGATCCATGACGTACTAACGATGAGTAGGAACACGTCGACAAGAAGGGCAACTCTAAGATCCTGCCCGAGTGCAGCTTCCCTCTGACTGGCCCCCGCTGCGTGTGGAAGATCATCACGGATCTGGCCGTGTTCAACGTCAGTCCCACCGAGGGTCTGACTCTGGCCGAGCACGCCGAGGGTGTCTCAGTGGACGAGATCCGCAGCAAGACCGCTGCTCCTTTCAAGGTGGCGGATGACCTGAAGCCCATGTTGTAATGTCTTACTTAGATATCTGTATATAGATTGGTCAATTGATTTATGGTTTGTTCAACATGATCCTGTTTATAACCTGTTCGCCGTGGGTCTGGACTTCGCCTTGCTGGATCTTGCCGGACTTGAAGTTTCTCGTCCGGCGAATCATTCCCAGGCTGTTCCGCCATCAACATCATTCTCCGTGAAGTATTATTGGCACCTCGTCAATGCTGCCGACACCTCAGGCCTATCTGGCCACGTGATGGCCCCGGTGGGTTTCCCGTTGGTTTTGGTTTTCATTCCCTGATGTCATCTACCGAACAATCTGTCCAACGCGAGACGTTTTATGAATGTCGAGTCCATGCCCCGATGCAGATCGCTTGTCTGGGTTAAACTATGTCAGAAACAAAAGACTCATCATACCGACTAGTCTTTGTATTCCCCTTGCGGCCGGGCATGAGGAACACCTGTCTATCGACTTGCCTTGCGTCACGAATGGCCCATCATAAGGCCCGTTGAGTCCAGGCGAATCCACTTGAAGTATCTTATGAGCCTGATATCCATACCAATAATTCGTTTCCCGACAAAAACCGGTGAAGGCATCTTGACAAAGTATAAGGGCTCCGCTGCTGGTGGATCCATCGAGTGTAGGAAAAGCCAAAAATAGCGCGATTGGCAGGCTGTCAAAACATCATGGGCTTACAACGATGCGAAAGGCACATCATTACTTTGATAGGCACGGCCCGCAGCATGAAGGAAAATACATGACACGAATACCACCATAATCGACGAAGATTTTATGCGATCCACGGGTTTCGACAAAAGATATTGGAGGGCTCGGGGTTTAACCTGATAAAGCACTGTCAGCCACGATCATACGACCTCGGGTCACTTGATATGACAGAATATGATGTGATCCGATTGTGAAGGGTTTTCAATCTGCCCTTTATTCCTGACTATCACTCAAAACTCTGATCCTAATAGCGTTCAGCCACAATAGTCCAATGACCTCAGCCCCTTCATACCCCGGACATGAAAACTTGCATAACACGACTAAGTCTCGAGTTAGCTTGTGGCTCCCTTTTCCCCATTCGGGGAAATGGGGATATTGGGTTTGGCGCACGGTAGTGGTTTAGGAGATGCTGGTTCTTGCATTCAGTGGACTGGTATGTGTCCAGCTTATTCAAGAAACCAGTGACATCAACCCCGGTGACAACTTGGTCATTGAACAATGGGCTTTCAGCTGCAGTGAACCTATATAAATCAGCACAATTCATTTGGGATGTCATTCAACAACTTCGAAGTTCATTCTACTATCGAACAGAGAACTATTACAATCAGCATTTTACTATACCTATTTGTCTTGTCTTCCATCTGCCTTGTATCCCTAATCAGTCCAACCCTCAATATGGACGGTTATCTTTCCAGCCATGCAACGATTAAGCCCGGTGACGTCGCCATCGAAGATTGCTCCCGTTCCATGAGCTATCGTGAGCTCGACACAGAAGTGGGGAAATTGGCATCAGTCCTCAAGGGATTCAGCCTGAAGCCTGAGGAACCCGTCTGTGTCTTGGAAGGCATCGGTTCCAATATGATCATTGCCCAGCTGGCTGTCCTCCGGGCCAGACTGACCTGCGTGCCTATCGACCCATCGACGCCCGGGCTGCGCCTCCTGGATATGCTCCAGGACGTTGGTGCAAAGTATATTCTCACCAATCAGAATGCTCCGGATGGTGAGGATATAACCATTATTCCAATTTCTGGCCGTGAAGCCGAGAATAATGTGGGCTGCTCATCTTCTCGAGACCGGGGAGACGAATTTCGCAGTCATATTCTCTGCACCTCGGGATCCAGCGGCAAGCCAAAGGCCGTACAGATTGCGGAAAGAAGCCTGCTTCATTTAGCAACCAACTCACCATTTACGCCACTTCATCCAAAAGATCGCATGGCGATAATCAACAATCCTGGCTTTGACCTCTCGTTATTCGAAATCTTTGCTCCTCTAGCCGCAGGGGCAACACTCGTTATCGTGCCCCGTGAAGTAGTCACAGATCCGTTCACATTCCGTGAGTTCATTGCGGAAAAGCGCCTTTCCATCATCTTCTTTACTGCGGCACTGTGTACAATCACCGCGCAAGCCTGTCCCGCGGCTTTCGCAAACGTTCGGCACGTTCTTTCGGCCGGTGAAATTGCCAATAAAGCCGCCATGAGAGCTGTTCTGGAGTCTTCTGCTCCACCAGAGAATCTCTGGAATACGTATGGCCCGACTGAGACGACCACTTTTTCAACTGTTCATCGTGTTGATCTCGACGAGCTTAAACATGAAAACATCGCCATTGGGCGGCCAACTGGAGATACCAAGTTGCGACTGGCAGATGAGCATTTCAATGCCATAACTGGGCCTGGCCAAGTGGGTGAGATTCTTCTTGGAGGACCCGGCCTGACCCTGGGATATTTCAGTCGTCCCAAAGAAAATCAAGAACGTTTTGTCACGCTTGATGAGATCCACTACTATCGGACTGGGGACATGGCCAAGTGGCGTGAGGATGATCCCGAGGTGCTTGATTACGTCGGCCGTGTCGATCTTCAGGTTAAACACGGTGGATTCCGTGTGGAGCTGGAGGAAATCCAGCAGACACTTCTTTCGAGCTCCTGGTTGTCCGGAGCTGCCGTTGTGCAGATTCCGCCTAAAGATCTCGGTCATGAGCCTCTCCTCGCGGCATTTGTGATTCCGGTCGTCGCAAATAGCATTCACTCGCGAGATGTCACAATGTATTGTCGAGAGAGACTTCCGGCATACATGGTCCCCCAGGACGTTGTCTTCTGCTCGAAGTTCCCTTTGTCTGAACATGACAAGGTGGATCGGAAGAGTTTAGTCCGGAGATATACTAAACAACGTGAAGAAAAAGACAAATACCAGGAAGGGGAAGGTGCAAAAGATTTACTTACCATTGTGAGAAAGATTTGGTCTGCATTGCTGAGCAAATCCGATCTCAATGACGACGATGACTTCTTTGTTTTAGGGGGCACTTCCCTTCAGTCGGCTGCACTGATCGCTCGATTGAGACAGCAGCTCGGTAAAACCATACCCATGCGATCTTTGCATGAAAATTCTCGTCTCTGTGACTTAGTCAATCATATCGAGGAGTTTGCCGAGGGAGGAAACGCCCCCGATGAGGCAGAGACGTGGGATTACGATGCACGTATTGCGGATTCCTTGGATTCCCTTCCAGAATGGCAAGACAACAGTGAAGGTCGGGTTTTTGTCACAGGTGTGACCGGCTTCGTTGGCGCCCATTTTCTCGGTCGTTTCCTCAGGCTGCCGTGCATCAAGGAAGTCGTTTGTCTGGCTCGTTCCAAGGGCGACTTGAGCCCTACCGACCGAGTTCACAGAGCTCTGCACCGCTATGACCTCTGGGAGGGCTCGGCTAGCCATCTGAAGAAACTGATGGTACTGGAAGGAGACATCAGTCTGGACCATCTCGGCCTAGCAGAGGAAAATTTCACCTGGTTAACAAATTGGGCCAGCACGGTGTTTCACCTCGCAGCCAAAGTAAATTTCTGCGAACCGTATGACTCCCACTTTGACGCCAACGTCCTCGGAACCAAGAACGTGCTTGAAGTCGCATTTTCGGGACGGCGCAAATCCTTCCACTACATGTCCAGCATCGACTGCTGGGGCCCAACGGGGCTAGTCTTTGGAACCCGCAAAGTCCTCGAAGATGGGCCTCTCGAGCCGCATGCTCGAGGTCTGCCGTTCGACATCGGCTACGCCCAGAGCAAGTGGGTTTCCGAGCAGATGGTCCGGCGGGCGCGCTCTCGAGGTCTCCCCACGGCCATCTATAGGCCAGGCTTTGTGGTCGGAGACTCGCGTGACGGATCAGGCAATCCCGATGACTTTTTCGCGCGTTTGATGGTTGGGTCCATCCAGTTGGGTGCTTTCCCCATCCTCCCACATCAGAGGATGGAGTATGTGACCATCGACTATGTCTGCGACGCGACCCTGCATATCGCCTCGCAGAACAAAAATCTCGGGAAGTCATACAGTCTGGTCGCGCCGGACCCCGCCGACTCTGTGAATCTGGAGAAGACGGTAGACGTCATTCGAGGGGCCGGATACCCCGTCGAGCATATCCCATACTGGGAGTGGGTGCAGCGACTGCAAACAACAGCCCTCAAGGAAAACCCGTTGCTTCCGGTCATGCCGCTACTGCAGGAGCCCGTCCTTGGTGGCAGGTCCAGGTTCGAGACGAGCAGGAACACGCCACATTACGACAGTTCGAACACGGTGGCGGCGCTGAAAGATGCGCCTGCAATTGGATACATTCCTTTTAGCTCGGGGATGCTCAACAAATTCTTGGATTATTGGGATCGGAAGGGGTTTTACGAGACGATTGGGATTCGGAATTGACTCTTAGTGGCCACAGCAGGGTTTGTGTATTCCTTATGTGCTTGTGTTCTAGTCTGTTTTTACGCAATACTACAACTCCACTCTTTGAATTCTTCCAGGCAACCTTGTGGGCAGTACATGCTTGGGCGTCTGATGCCCCTCACATCGTCAGCCAGCCTCAATTCTAACAAACCCCTCGTTTGGAGTCTCCAGCCTGCCTCTCTCCGGGTCTCGATCCTCTCCATCGCTACATTCAACCCGTTTTCCCGAGACATGCTGCAATACCACGTCGGGGTATGCCTTGCCATCCGACGCGGCAATTCCAAGCGACCCAATCTGCACGAACATCGCCTCCAATCCATTCCTCGCCTGCCCCGGTTCCTGCAATGTGACATTAAGCTTATGTACGTTTGCGTTCGCAATGATCAACTGATCAGCTCACGTCTGCATGTAAGCTGCAGGAATCCGGCCAGGTTCCGGGCAGTCGTCGGGGTCTAGACTCGCTGCCATCGTACTATTTCTCCAGGGAAGGAGTAAGGGAGGAGTATTTAAGGGCTTCATTACTCGCCTGCAATGCATTAACACACTCTGACCAGGTCAAACTCCTAGCCCCAATCCGAGCAAGCCCAATCAAGTCAGGTTCACAAAGACCATCACCATGCATATCCCCTTCTACTACACCCTCCTCTCCCTCCCCCTGGCTATCCACGCCGCCCCCTACCAGACACGCATCCTGGAAACCGGTACCACCTTTGTGTCTCCAGACCCCTTCGGCCCCTGGCAGATGCTGCCCGGCACGCCGCCCAACCTCGCCTACATCAAGACGACCAACACAGGCACCGGCAAGGTGGAAGTCCACATCGCCTCGGGATCGTCGACCTACCAGACCCGCACGCTCGAGGTCGGCTCGACCTACGTGTCCGAGGACAACGGCACGTGGCAGCTCATCGACACCGACGGCGACGGCAAGCCGGACCTCGTGTACATCAAGACACGGAACACCGGCACCGGACGCGTCGAGGTGCACATCGCCTCGGGGGCGTCCAACTACCAGACGCGCATCGTCGCCACCGGCACGACCTTCTACCCGGAGGACGACGGCGTGTGGCAGCTGGCGGACTTCGACCGCGACGGCAAGCCCGACCTCATCTACATCAAGACGCGCAACACGGGGACCGGCCGCGTCGAGGTGCACGTTGCGTCCGCGGCGTCGAACTACCAGACCCGCGTGCAGGAGGTCGGCACCACCTTCTATCCGGAGGACAACGGCGTCTGGCGCATGGTCGACTTCGACCGCGACGGCCGTCTGGACCTGGTCTATATCAAGAACCGCAACACCGGCACCGGCAAGGTCGAGGTGCATGTGGCGTCCGGCAGCTCGACGTATCAGACCCGCGTGCAGGAGGTCGGCACTACCTTCTATCCTGAGGATAATGGCTTCTGGGAGCTGATTGACTTCAATGGCAATGGGGTGTTGGATTTGGTGTATATCAAGACCAAGCAGACGGGGACGGGGAGGATCGAGGTGCACGTTGCGTCGGGGACTAACTAGTTCCTAGTTATTAGAGAGTTAGTAGTAGTTGAGCAGATGTTCTGCCGTGAATAGTCAATGCCATTCTTGCTCCAAATCCATGAATTCTCCACATGTGGGGGTCCTCCATATCCTCTCCGGCTGCCCGTCGTGGGGCTTCTCCATCTCCATTCTCCAGGCCGAGGTTCACCAGAGACTCAGCAATGACTTTCACTGACATACAATCACTCTACAGCAACGATGAATCGTTTATCGACTGGTCTCAGGACATTTCGACGGATTTCGCCATTGTACAGTCACAGTGGCAATGGCAAGATCAGCAATATCCGTCCATTCGCCAATGTAGCCGCCACCAAGAAGTTGCCCCTTGCCGGGCTGAAGGTGTTAGATATGAGTCGCGTATTGGCTGGGGTATGTGGAATGGTCTCTTGATGTCAAGCTTCTAGGATCCATGCTAATATCTCATCAGCCGTACTGTACTCAGATCCTCGGTGATTTAGGGTATTGGTTTCCCTCCACACCAAAATCGGATGCGAAGACGCTGATATCGTTCAACCAGGGCGGAGATCATCAAGATCGAGCACCCGGTTCGAGGCGACGACACGAGAGCCTGGGGCCCTCCGTACGCGACCTACAAGGATGGCAGGGACGGAGAAGGTGAAAGTGCATATTACCTCTCTGTACGAGAGCCCTATCCTACAATCCTACATGCGTCGGTCCCAATCGCCCAGGGCCAACTGACATATGTATTTCCACAGGTAAACAGAAACAAACGCTCGCTGGGTCTCTCCTTCGCTCACCCGGAGGGCGTCGAGATCCTACACGAACTGGCCCGGCGCTGCGACGTGCTGGTGGAAAACTACCTCCCCAATTCGCTGAAAAAGTATAGCCTCGACTACGAGACTATCCGGCACATTAACCCCCGTCTCATCTATGCCAGTATCACTGGGTACGGCCAGACAGGGCCGTACAGTAACCGGCCCGGTTTCGACGTCATGGTCGAGGCGGAATTCGGCCTGGCGCATCTGACGGGCTCCCGCGACGGGCCTCCCGTCAAGGTGGGAGTCGCCGTGACGGATCTCACGACGGGTTTGTATGCGTGCAACTCCATCATGGCGGCGTTGTTGGCGCGAGGCATCACGGGGGAGGGCCAGCATCTGGACGTGTGTCTGAGTGATTGTCAGGTGGCGACGTTGGCCAATATGGGAAGCTCCGTCTTGATCAGTGGCGAGAAGGATTCGGGGAGATGGGGCACGGCGCATCGTAAGTTGGATGAAACTTATCGGCTGGCTGGGTGAAATAAAAGTTGCTGACCAGTTTGGTGGCAGCGTCCGTTGTCCCCTACCAGAGTTTCAAAACTGCCGACGGCGATATTTTCGTCGGAGGTGCCAATGATCGTCTCTTTGGCATCCTGTGTGAGAAACTCGAGAAACCTGAGTGGAAAGACGACGAGAGGTTCAGCAGCAACAATGAGAGAGTTCGGAACCGGAACATCCTGGAGAGTATGATCGAGGCCGAAACATCCAAGCTCACGACCAAAGAATGGCAGCAAATTTTCGAGGGCAGTGGGCTTCCATTTGCAGTGGTCAACGATGTCCAAGGCACGATGAACCACGAGCACGGTAGGGACCCCTCTGAGTCCGGATTGACATTTGCTAACACAGTGGATAGTCCGCGCTCGAGGCATGGTCCAAACGATCGACCATCCCTCATGTGGGCCCATCAAGGTCATCAGTCCTCCGGTGAAGTATTCCAACGCAGAACCTAGTATCAGAAGCCCTCCGCCTCTTCTAGGGCAGCATACACAGGAGATACTGCGGGAGGTGGTGGGATTCAGCGATTCGCGGATTCAGGAATTGAAAGAAAAGGGCGTGGTTGCATAGCAAAGACCATAACTTACCTCATTCTATAGACGGCCAGCCGTGACTGTACATATGGCCTGTATTCTTTGGCGTCTGGGCGTGAATTCCAGTTCATGGTTTTCCAAGGATCATTTGCCTTTGAGTATCCAAACTAGACGCCGCAGTATGCCCCCTACCAAAGGAACTGCTCCTGGAACTTGAACGACGGCGCTTCACTCCACTGGCTTGGTTCACGCGGCGTATCGGAGGCAGAAAATTGTTCGTGAGTCTTTAGGAGGGACCCATTTTGCTGAAAAACAGGGGTGGTAGGTTGACTTGATTCTCCGTTGCCTCTTTGCCCTGTCGGGAGGGTCGGAGGCATATTCCAGGCCGGTCGGGGAGTGTTGTGTGTACCTGTAAGAAAAGATCTTTGACGTGGATTCGAAATGGACTCTGGAATAAATATACCTCTTCGAATATTTAGACCAGAAGTTGTTTTCGGACTGCTCATATCGGACGGTGCGACCGTGGCACGGTTATCAGCCGTTCTTGACCTCGAGTTCTGCTCCCCGTTGCTTGACTCCGTCGGTCCATTGTCATGATTGTCATATTGCCATCTTCGTATGTTGTCTGCCGTATCTAAAGGGAACTCCTTCCAGTACTCTGTTCCCTTTTTCTCCTGTCGGGGAGATGGCAAGTAATTCGATTGATCTCGCTCGGAGACGCTCAGGAATTGCTCATCGGAAATCCGAGATAATACCATTAACAGCGCATTCTCTGTCTCGTGCAACCTGTGCTCCAGCACTTCGATGTACCCTTTTGCAGGTCCACTGGCAATTCATCAACTTTTTACATTTACCACGTCGAGGACCGGCCAGTACTAACCGCTTGAGCTGCTCAGGCCAGTCACACCTCCGATTGTGCTGAGAGCATTGCGTGCACACAGGCCTTGAGAATTGAGAAGTTAATTCCAGCAACCAGGCTTTCATTCAGTCCAGGAGTCACCTTTTCCCACTACACTAGACGGAGAATGCATAAGTATATACGCTTCTGTGTGTTGGCTCGTGCGATCCCTTACCTTCTGCTTCCGCGTACGACAAGAGTTGCAGGCTATCGTGATACGAGATGGTCTGGGGGTCTTAGAAGGAGACATTGGTATTCAATTGGAATATTTGACGCACATGAGATCGCTCTGTGGGGGTTGCGCAGATGAAGACGTGCCATCGAAAGGGAAACCGTTTTGTCTCCTCCGCGGCTGAAAGTTCAACCGATGCTTTTTTGGCCTCAGGCATGAACACGGTCTGGTCGCGATTCCTCCATCGTCCTCCATCTCGTCCTCCATCTCGTCCTCCATCTCGTCCTCCATCTCGTCCTCCATCTCGTCCTCCATCTCGTCCTCCATCTCATCCTCATCCATCCATCATTCATCCTCCCTTCTCCATCCGCCATCATCTATCAATCATATTCGTAAGATGGCAAGTCACCTGTTTTATCTTGATCAGCTTCACATCCCATAGCCAATTCTTTCAGAAGCCATTGACATCACTTGTTTATCCCCTCAACCCCTCCAGCATCACGGATTTTCAAGCCGAATGCTGTTACCATGCATGGCAGTCGATGTGCCAAACCCCGCAGACGACCAAAAAGCGGAAACGTAAGTCGCTGCAATGATATACCACCGATACATAGATACAACGGAGTGGGCATCATTGGCTCATCGTGGTCATCTTCGGTTCCCCCGTCTGGTTCCTCTTCGGGAATGACCCATTAAGCCGGTGAAAGGCTTCAAATGCCGGGCCGTGAAACGGCTGTTGAAATTCATGTTCCCTTCGGCGAGATACCTGGCTTTCGGGGAAGAACCTGCCGACCTGCGTTGCTGGAGATGTTGCGAGGGCGTGGATCTCCTCTGTCAACAAATATCCGCGCGAGTCCTTCTCATTTGCGAAGTCTTTCTTATTTTAGAACCTGTATCCCTTTCGGGTAAGTACCCGCCAAAAGCCTGCTTCAAACTCTGGAAAAAGACACCTTTCCGCAGCCCGCAAGCATCATTGACACTGGTCCCTGGCTGAACTTGCGTCAGAAAGTTAAATTCAAGTCATGGTGGCTTGATGCGACTGCGGTGCTGCTTGGAGGTTGCCTCCGGGACATGTACCTTGGGCCGGAAGATACAATTCAACAGTACCTTCCCCCATGCAGGTTTCGAGACGGATGGTATCATTCTAATGACTTCACTGCCGGGAGGAGACTCTTTTGGGTCGCTCGACATAAAAGCAATGGGGCATCCTGTCTATGCACATTGAGGGTCACACAACTTTTGTTGAATATGGATACTCGCAAGCTCATCGGTCTAACAGGAGGGGAAATAGTCCGGGAAATCGTTGCCAAGTACGGAACTCATCATGTTTGTACGGAATCAGTTCCCCTTAGCATGACAGGCTACATCTCACTGTGTCTATCTAGTCGGATACCCAGGAGGCGCTGCCCTGCCCCTGTTCGACGCCATATTCAAGAGTTCCATCTTCCGCTTCATCCTTGCCCACCATGAGCAAGGAGCGGGCCACATGGCCGAGGGGTACGCCCGTGCTAGCGGGAAACCAGGCGTCGTTGTGGTCACTTCGGGGCCAGGAACCTCCAACATGGTGACTCCCATGCTGGATGCCCTTCTGGACGGAACCCCGATGGTCGTAATATGCGGCCAAGTATCAACAGCCGCCCAGGGCACGCATGCCTTCCAGGAGATAGACGTTGAGGCGATAGCTAAACCATGCACGAAATGGTGCACCTGCGTGCGCAGCATCAGCGATCTCCCGGACTGCCTGGAGTTGGCATTTCATCATGCCATGGACGGGCGCTCCGGTCCAGTCCTCGTTGCGGTTCCTAAGGATATCGGACTCGCCACCTTTGACGCCCTTGCATTTGAAGAGTCTTTGAAAAGTTCATATAATGCTCGTGAAAACAGTGACCCGCAAGAGTCTAGTCTCGCTCCGGCGCACAATACAGATACCCTTTACGACCAGATCGACCGTGTTGCGAACGAGATAAACCATTCCCAGCGCCCTGTCATCTGCGCGGGAAACGGGGCTCACAGCGAACACGGCGCTTTGTTCTTGTCAAAAGTGGCCGAAAAGGCTCAAATCCCGGTCGCTACCACCCTCCTGGGACTCGGCAGCTTTGATGAGATCCGAGACAAGTCTTTACACCTGATTGGCACATATGGGTCACCGTACGGCAACTATGCCATCCAGAACGCCGACTTGATCATTGCGATCGGCGCCCGTCTAGACGAGCGTGCGGTGGGTAATGCTGCTGGATATGCCCCTAGGGCTCGAGAAACCGAGTCGGGACAAGGCCGTGGGATCATCCACTTTGACATAACACCCGACACGGTGGGCAAGGTCATCAAGCCGACCGAAGTGGTGGTTGGAGATTTATCCCAAACCTTGCCTATTCTGCTTGCGCGTCTTTCCGGGCATAAAGGTCGATCGAGCTGGTTGGATCAAATTCAAGAGTGGAAGAGGCAGCATGCGTTCAAGATTTTTTATAGTGACTCATACACCGGCTCCTGTCGCTGTCTCCCTCAGCATGTAGTGAGGGAGTTGAACCAACAGACCGCACTGTTCAAACACCGTACGACCATCACAACGGGGGTTGGGCAGCACCAAATGTGGGCAACGAGGTTCTATCGCTGGAGATACCCCCGGTCCCTCATCACGTCCGGCAGCCTCGCCACGATGGGATTCGGGGTCCCTGCTGCCATTGGAGCACAACTTGCTCGGCCAGACCATCAAGTCATTGATTTGGACGGTGACGCTTGCTTCAACATGACCATGGAGGAACTTCTCACCGCTTCCCAGAATCAGATTCCAATCAAAGTAATCATCTTCAACAACGATCAGCAAGGGATGATAAGGCAAATGCAACAATCCGACTATGGTGGCCGAGTGTGTCACGTCCGCCAAGGAAATCCTGATATCGTGAAGCTCAGTCGGAGTATGGGCTGTCAGTCTCGACGCTGTGGCTGCCTATACGAACTTCCAGGTTGCATCCAGTGGCTTCTCAGATGTCCGGGACCCGCAGTCCTAGATATCCTAACAGATGATACTGAGATGATCCCTTTCGTGCCAAATGGACAACCATTGGACCGAATGCTTCTGGAGCCGACTCGAGCAACTGGGTCATAAAACTGAAGGGTAGAAGGTTTTCACCTTCCATTGTTGGGGGGTCATAAATTTTTTATCGTACTGCTTATATTGTATACCCGAGCAAGAATCGCTTCTTGAAATGTTATTGTTCTTTTTCTGCATGGAATTTCAGATGGCAGGGTGGTACTTTGGTTGGGGCCTATCCTGGTCAGTATGACTACTGCGACGACGAGGACGCGGAGGGCGGCACCACCGTTCAATTCGCCAGTGGCCGCGAAACTAGAAGAGAAAATCAAGCTGGCCTTGGGATTTTTGGTCTTGCAGCTGCATGCGCAAGGAGGAGATGACAAGGCCTGACCAGAGTCTTCGGATGAACCTTCAGGCAGAATTCCCACCCCCCGGAGCAACATCCCCTCTTTCCCCGCTGAAGCTATATATTGGCCATGATCCTGGCTTCAGATGTCACTCTGGATTCCAGGCATCCTCAGGGTTCATGTTCTGTTTCCTGCCACAATGACCGCCTCAGTACCCTCCTACCGCATCGCTTCTATCCCCGGGGACGGCATTGGCACCGAAGTTGTCGCCGCTACTATCCAGGTCATCCAAAAGCTAGCCCAGACACTGGGAACCTTCCAAATTGATTTCACGCACCTTCCCTGGGGCACCGAATACTACAAGAAGCATGGTCGCTACGTGTCGGAAGGCCATCTCGACACTTTGCGGCAGTTCGACGCCACGCTATTCGGTTCCGTGGGCGACCCCGGTACATACAGCCAACCCCCATCCATAGATCTACCGCCTTGCTGACGACTCTCCTGCAGATGTCCCCGATCACATCTCCCTCTGGGGTCTCCTCCTAGTCATCCGCGGACCCCTGCAGCTCTACGCCAACGTGCGCCCCGTGCGCACTTTCCCAGGCACCAAATGCCCGCTGACGACGGTCAAGGACGGTATCGACTGGGTGCTTGTGCGCGAGAACTCGGAAGGCGAGTACTCGGGGCAGGGCGGTCGCAGCCATGTCGATCAGCCATGGGAAGCGGCCACGGAGGTGGCGATGTTCACGCGCGTGGGCATCGAACGGATCATGCGGTTCGCCTTCGAGACGGCGCAGTCGCGGCCGCGCAAGCTCCTGACGGTGGTCACGAAGAGCAACTCGATGCGCAACGGCATGGTGCTCTGGGACAAGGTGGCCGCCGAGGTGGCGCAGGATTTCCCCGACGTCACCTGGGACAAGATGCTGGTGGACGCGATGACGATCCGCATGGTCTCGCAGCCGCATTCCGTGGATACCATCGTCGGCACGAACCTGCACATGGACATCCTGTCGGATCTGGCAGCGGCGCTGGCGGGCTCGATCGGCGTGGCGCCGTCGAGTAATCTCGACCCGACGAGGAAGAGCCCGTCGCTGTTTGAGCCGGTGCATGGCAGTGCCTTCGACATCACCGGCAAGGGCGTGGCGAATCCGGTCGCCACGTTTTGGTCGGCGGCGGAGATGCTCTCGTGGCTGGGGGAGAAGGAGGCCGCGAAGACATTTATGGACTGTGTGGAAAGGGTGTGTGCCGCCGGGGTTCTGACGAGGGATTTGGGAGGAAGTGCCAATACGCAGGACGTAGTGGACGCCGTGTGCGCGGAAATTAAGGGTTTGACCAGGGCATGATGGAGAGGTTTGCGCGTATGTACTTGGTTGTTTAGGGCAGGTAGCAGCATCATATTCGTGTGGGGTTGTTTTTTCATATCGAGACTGCTATATTTAATGTGGATGTGAATCTCTCTGCGTGTTTGGTCTTCTGCCTTCCTTTTTATTTATTTCTTTTTTTAATCCGCTGCTCCTCGTGAGTGTCAGTAAACTGTATGGGTTCGTACGCAAAGGGTCACGGGAATATGTAATCAGACAGCGAAAGTGAGAAAAGGCCTCGATATGCCCAGCATTCTTGAGACCACGAGAATGAAAGATCCATTGTCTATTTAAAAACACACCCAGTAAAAGCGAGGGAGACAAAGAATTGAATCAACACGAAAAGAAAAAAAAAAGAAAAAAAAAAAGAAAAAGAAAAAACCAACACCAGTAAAACTGGGCCGAGGCAAAAAGAAATGACAAGAGTGGGATTCGAACCCACGCCATCGTGAGATGAGTAGGAAACTCGAGGAGTTGTGAATTAAGGTGAACCTTAACCTACCGCCTTGGACCGCTCGGCCATCTTGCCAATTGATGAAGAAAGGTTCTCTAATTTGACACCATGACCCTGGTTGTCAAGTGAAATCCACTGACGTCCAACTTTTCCCTCGTCGACTTTCCGTCTTCGACTTTCCATCTTCATTCGTTTCCCTTCCTTCTCCCTGGCAAATCCAACAATGCCCTCTCCTTTCCCCCCCAACTCCTCCTCGTGAGAGGCATCATGTACCGACCACCATGGAGCCTTCTGATCTCACATCGGGCCCCTCCGAGATTGGTTCCCTGACGGCCCAGTCCAACGACGAGAGTCAGTTCGTCGGCAGCTCCAGCGGTGTTTTCTTCATCAAGACCGTTCGACAGGCCTTCTCGCAGAATCTAGATGGTCCCGCCGGTGCTTCGTCTGCCCAGGACTTTCCCCAGCCAGAAGACACTCTTCTTGGCAGTGATGGCTCGCCGCGTGACAGGCGTTCGGCCCCGGCTTCCGCCAAAGCGTCGCCCTCGGTGATGGAATCCCAGTCGTCCCTAAGTCAGTGGGAGTATGACCCTACCGTGGCGGCGGTTCTGGGGAATGCTCCGCCGCTGGATACAGCCCGCCAGCTGATGATGGTGTATTTCAAAGTCTGGCACCCGTTGTTTCCTTTTCTTCATGGCCCGACTTTCCTACAGGCCATGGAGTTGCTCTATTCCAATGCGGGCCAGAGCATTGCCCAATCACCCGCCTCGGCCCATCGGAGTGCCTGCTGGACTACCATCTTTCAATGCGTCTTCAACCTAGCTAGTCACCTGCGTCCGGATCTCCAATTTCCTGCGGGATCTCGGATCGGCTCCCCTAGTAGCATGCACGCCTTGCTGGGCACGCTGACGGGTAGAAATGATCTCCCATCTCTGCAGGCGCTGCTCGCCTCGCAACTGTATCTCGTGGCCAAGATGTCATTGCGCACTGCGTCTACCGTAGGCGGTTGCATGCTGCGGTCCATGCTGCATGCAGGTCTCCACCGCTGTCCGTTCCGATACAAGGAACTCTCCTCGCATGACCGCCAGCTGCGCAAGAGGATCTTCTGGTCGGCATACGCCATTGACCGCTATCTCAGCCAGGCCCTCGGCTTACCGCTGGGGATCCAGGACTCGGACATCGATGTCTGCGCTCCGGGGGCCCATGAAATCCACATTCCCGGGGCCTATAATCGGGAATGGCCCTTCTTTTTGCCCCCTATGGCTCCTGCGCCAGAACGTCATCCGACAGCAGACAGTGCGTCAAGCTCACACGCCGAGAACCCCAACCTCAACGGACTCCATCATGCCAATGACACAACCGGGACCATGTCGCCTACGTGGTGTCCAAATTTGGATTTGGACTCCGAGGCTCGACAAAGCAAGCGAGAAATCGCCTTCGCCAGCTACGTCGAATCCGGCAAACTGACCGGTCAAGCACTGGAACTCTTCCACAAATCCATCCTTGTGCGCTCCGTCCGGCGCAGCTCCGTGCTCTTCCTCGTCACCGACGTGCACAAATGGTGGAACAGCCTCTCCACTGACCTACAAGGAATCCCAACGCCGTCACTACCGTCAATGACCACGGAAACTCCTTTCAACTTCGGCCCCTTTTTCACCGTCCTCTACCAACATCTCATCCTCCTGATTCACCGCCCCTCGCTCTCCCTCAGCCCCTCAACCCCAGAGTTCGCCTCTGGCCTACAGACCTGCATTGGCGCCGCCAGGGAGATTCTCTCCGCGCTCAAGGCGCAGGTCGAGGCTGGGCAGGCCCTCTTCTGGCCTGGATTCCTGTCTGCCGCTTGGATGGCCGGTCTAGTACTTGCTTTTGCGTGTCAGCTACGCCAGTATGTTCTGGCTAAGGGTTCGAGGTTGGTATTCTATTCTCCCCCCCAATGTACCTTTATCGTCTCAAGCCCAACTAGCCACCGCCTTGCCCAATTGACCAAGCCTGACTGACATAACATACCCAACCCAGAGAAATATCCAAATGCCTCGACTTCCTCCACCTGATGTCCACACAATGGGAGACGGCAAAACACTGCCACCGCGCGCTCTCCCTGCTGGCCCACAATATCCACCACCACCAGGTCACATCTGCATCCGCATCCTCAACTCCCACCAGAACACCATCGCTGCGTAGAGACCCACATGCGCAAGCAAGCAATATCCACGGGCGAGAAAGACCGAGCCAAACCACGGACACCTCGGACCCCCCGGACCCCGAGAGCCGCAAACGAAGACGTTATGAATCCACCACCACTGACCCGGTATTCCATGGCCATGGCCATGCTCCTGCAAATACCCACAACAGCCATAACCCACCGGATGAAATCGGAACATCCGTACCCGTATCTGACATGCCGCCCGTGGCGGAGAATCAGCACAGTGGCGAGGGGGCGGATTCGTACGGCACCGGGCAAGACCCGGATCCGGATTACGAGGATCGCTTGTTCTTCCCCGACGTGTCGGCAACCTCGATGATGGATTTCGATCTGAATATGGCGGATTTGCTGCAGGGAGCGAATTTCGATAACTTGGTGGATATGTTTGGGCAGCAGTATCCTAGTTTCTAAGCCTGACTGTTTTTTTTTTTTTTTTTTTTTTTTTTTTTATGTAAAACACACCATATATGCATGCTACGGTCTACAAAGAAAAGCTCAAGATCCCGTGAGGAAGTCATAAGTCTATATTACACTCGTGTCAGATAAGCAACGGACGAGAGTAGGTCGAGTAGCGGGATAGGAAGAGAAAAGACGTCACAACTTCCCCCCTCTCGTGACATAAAACCAGGAAAGGAAAAAAAAGAAAAAAAAAGTAGAAAGCATCATGACATCCGAGTAGCATTTTCTCCGATCCCAATGGTTCACTGATTCTCCATTGAATTTTTTCTTCTCCACATACACGTGAAGTGTAAACAAAGACAGAAAAAGGAGACCCAGAAAACCGAGTGTCGCTCACAAGATTCAAGTAAGTGACACCGCTAAAACAAAAATAAGAATAACTTTTGGAAACCGAGGGATATCAGGACCAGAAGGAAAGAAAGCAATAGGAGAGAGAGATAGGAGGGAGGTAAGAGAGGAAATAAGAGAAAAATCGTTAATTCGATCCATGGGAAAGTAGGTCATCATCAAAAAAAAGTGAATCAAAAAACTCCTGGGCAGATTCAAATCTACCGTGCATCGGGCATGAGACCCATCGTTTACGACTTGTTTTCTTCGGTCGAGGTCTCCTTGGCAGCCTCCTTGGGTTTGGCGGCCTCGCCGGTCTGCTCACCCTCGCCCTTGTTCTTCATGTACTCGTCATAGACGCTCAAGGCCTCGTCGACCTTGGCGCGCAGAGCCTCCTCGTCCTCAAGCCTGGAAAGGAACAGCATTGTCAGCACGGGTCCTACTGACGGAAACCAAAGGAGGAAGGGGGAAGGGGACAAAGAAACTTACAGGCTAAGCAGCTCAGTGTTATCCATCTCCAAAAGCATACCAGTAATCTTACCAGCAAGCTCGGGTTGCTGAGCCTGGATCTTGGGGTAGAGAGCCTCACCCAGCATCTGCTTCTGCTGGGCAGGGGGAGCGGAGGAGAGGGTCTGGCTGTTGACACCACTGGCAGCGGCTTCCTCGCCACGGCCAGCGGCGGGCTGAGAGGCGTTCTGTCCGCGACCACCCTGGCCAGGGCGACCGCCCATCTGACCCTGCTGAAGGGGCACACCGCCACGACCCTGGCCGTAACCGGGACCGCGCATACCCTGGCCCATAGGCATGCCAGGAACCTGGCCGCGGCCACCACCGCCACGTCCGAACTGAACCTGAGCCATAGCCTGAGGGTAGCCCATGCCGTTAGGCAGGCCACCGGGGCCCTGCATACCCATGGGGATACCCTGAGCGAAGTTGGGAGGCATCTGCTGGTTGGGACCCATGCCGCGTCCACCCTGCTGGCCGGGGAAAGGACCGGGGTACTGACCGGGGCGTCCACCGGGGATGCCGGCCATCACCATACCGGGCTGGGGAGGGAAGGCCAAACCACCACGCTGGCCACCGGCGGGGATGAAGCCCTGCTGGCCGGGACCGTAGAAAACGGCGGGCTGCATGTACTGCGAATGATGGTTAGTAGACGGTCGACAGCAAAATCCACGAACAAAAACTTACAGGCTGGGGCATGCCAGCGGCAGCAGCAGCCTGCTGCTGTCTGATGGTGTTGCGGGCCTGGATGCTAGCCTCGAGCTGGCTGCGACGAACATCCTTACGCTGAGCCAGAGCGACGTAGAGGGGCTTGCCGTTCACCATGCGCTGGTTCATCTCAGTGACAGCCTTGGAGGCCTCGTCGGGGCTGCTGAAGCAAACGAAACCAAAGCCCTTGCTCTTTCCAAGCAGCTTCTTGTCACCCTTCTCGGACTTCTTCTCCTTGTCGCTGTCCTCGGCGGACTCAGCGGGCTTCTCCTCGGCGGGCTTCTCGGCCTCGGCGGACTCGGTCTTCTCGTTCTCCTTGTTGGAGTCCTTCTCTTTCTCGGAATCGGGGGAAGAGGTGCGCTCGGGGTTAGTGTCGCGCATGATCTTGGCGGAGGTGATGGTGCCGTAGGGAGTGAACAGCTCGCGCAGCTTCTCGTCGTCGACATCGTCCGTGAGGTTCTTCACGTACAGGTTGACACCCTGGTACTTGGAAGCCTTCTCCAGACGGGCGGCCTCGTACTGCTTGCGCAGCTCCTCCTCACGCTCGTGCTTCTTCTGGGCACGGCCCACGTACAGCTTCTGGCTGCGGACATCCTTGTCATTCATCTCTTCGACGGCGGCCTGCGCGCTTTCGTGGGTGGAGAAGTTGACAAAACCGAAGCCACGGCTCTTGCCCTCCTGGTCCCGGCTCAGGGTGGCCGAGGTGATCTCACCGTACTTCTCGAAGAGCTTGCGGAACTCGTCGTCGGTGACCTCGGGGTCAACGTTCTTGATGTAAACGTTGGTGAAGTTGGCCTTCATCTCCTCGAACTTGCTCTGGCGATCCTTCTTGGAGATGTGGTGGCCGACGAAGACCTTCTTGTCGTTCAGAAGCATGCCGTTGACGTGCTTGATGGCGTTGTTGGCAGCCTCGGCAGTCTCGTAGTGCACGAAACCGTAACCCTTGGAGTTGCCGAACTCATCCTGAGCGACCTTGCAGCTGAGAATGTTGCCGAAGGCGGCGAAGGTGTCGTGGAGAGCCTTGTTGTCGATGGCGTTGTCCAGGTTCTTGATGAAGACGTTGCCCTGGCCAGTCTTACGCAGAGCGGGGTCACGCTGGGACCACATGATACGGCAGGGCTTGCCCTTGATGAGGGTGTAGTTCAGGTCCTCCAGAGCACGCTCACCGTCGGCGGTGTTGTTGTAGTTAACGTAGGCGTATCCCAGAGAGCGTCTGGTGACGGCGTCACGGCAGACACGGATGGAAGCGACCTGGCCAATGGACGAGAAAAGTTCGTAGAGCATGGCCTCGGTCACGGAGGGGTCGAGTTCTCCGACATAGAGGGAAGCCGAGTGAGGCTGGGAGGTGCTGGGGGCGGAAGAGGAGTTCTCAACCGCGGTGACCTCGGCGGCATTGGGCGCAGCAGGGGTGGTGCTGGTCTCAGGAGTGCCGTTGACAGCGTTGTCGGCGACGGGGGTGGTGGCAGCCTCGGCAGACATTTTGATGGTTTAGGAGTTTCTTTGGGTTTTTTGAAGTTTTATTGAGTCTGTTACAAGGCAGGGTGAGATTAGCACGAGGTTTCAATCTTTGCAGTGTGGGATAGATAGGCTCTCGATAACAGAAAAAAAAAAAAGCGGGTCAAGACAAGGCCTCTTGATGGAGAGATTCAGAAGTTTTCGCTGAACTTCCAAATTCCGATCAAGATCAACACAGTGAAACCCCGGGAGAGAAACGGGAAGCCCAGGTCACCAACGCACTTCGGTGTAGAAAGTTCAAGTAGTGAAGATGGGCGCTGTCTCAACGGTCCCACGACCACGAACACACAAAGTGGGCCAAAGAAAAGAAAAAAAGGGCAACAGAAAGTGAATACAGCGCGACGGACTTGCGACTCTAAATCCCACCGTGAATACGATGGTACAAGCGAATCCAGAAAGAATCCGGCGCAGCGAGGACAGACGATCACTGGAGATGGGATGGCAGAGAAAAGGCGGGCAGTGAGAGAAAGGAAAACGGTAGGGATCGCACACACACAAGCGGGAAAGGGTCAAATCAAGTATGGCGACTTGGCTTGACAACGTTTCTTTTTCTGGATTTTCCGGGTTTTTTTTGGATATTTTTTTCGATAATTTTCGAAAAAAGGAGGATGTAGAAAAGGAAGAGGAAGAAGAAAGGATGTGCTGGAGAGGCAGCAGAGAGGGTTTTGAGGGGGAAGAAAGAAGGAAAGAAGAAAGGAAGAGAAAAGAAAAGAGAAAATTCCGTTTTTTTTTTTTTTTTTTTTTTTTTTTCTGGAAAAGTCAAAGGAATTTCACTTTTTCTTTTTTCTTTTGGGTCAGTCTCTTTGATTTTTCGCGCGTGCTGATTGGTGGGCAGTGCCACGCCAGGCCCGAACAGGCCTAGCGCCGCTGGTAGCGCCCAGGGCTCCTGCTTCTTTAGCGGCAAATCACGGGATGCAGTCATGTGTATTGAGTCGACGCTGCTGAGGGACTCTTAAAGCTGATCGTGATTCTATTCACATTCAATGATTCAAGTTACAGACAGACAGACACCTCCCCAAATGGCGCCTCGGCTATGCACTTCGGAGGGTTCGCCTCATTCTAAAATCAAAATCCCTTGCATTCCCTCCAGTTCTATGTGCCATCCATGTCCCCCTCCCACCCGCTCAGTTTCAACTCAAATCAAATCCCGCCCCCGAGTTGACCGCGTAGAGAAGCTTCTCCCGCAGTGTGATGGCGCTGCTATAACGAGGGAGCTTGAGAAGGTTTACACACGTACTCGTACTGGGCAGTCGTTCCTGATCCTCGCTGGAGTCGCGGATGCTGAACCGCGGGTTGAGATGTCCGAATCCTAGCAACGGGGCCCGAGGCGTGGACGTCACGAAGCGTAGCACTTTCTGCCGTTCCTCGTTGGTCATCTTCTCCATGACCTCCCAGAACAGTTTGACCGTCGGGTGCTCTTCTTTATCGTCGCCGATGGTGTATACCCCGCCGTACAGCGTGTGGCGTCGGAGGTCCGAGACGTCGATGTCCCCCGACTCGCCGCTAACCAGCGTCTGTAGTTCCGACTGGTTGAACATGGATAGCCACGAGGGCTGGATGACCTGGCCCAGACCTTGAAGGAAGGCATTGGTTTGGAGAGCCGGTTGCACCTGAAGACGGTACCGGGCGATGTAGGAAATATACACGAGCCGGTTTTGATTCGTCACGGGAATATCGGATCCGTGGCTTTTCAGATCTCTCGTGATGGTGCGACTGGTCGAATCTGGCAGAGAAATTGTGTCGCTGACCGTGAAGTTCAGGGAGAAGTCTTCCACATCTCCGGGGTAGTTTTTCAATTGCAGCTAGATTTCAGAGGAAGGGTCAGTTCTTCGTTCCGTCTTGACCGGAAAGGGTGAATGATCTCGCGCCTCACTTACCAATCCCTGGTAAAGCCCCTGGTCCAAATCCTTCAGGTCGTTGAGATTGGCGCGGTAGGCTGTCTCCTTCTGTGCCGACCCCGTGCCGCCGGTCAGGGCCCATTTCAGGAGAAAGAATGACGCGAAATTGACATCAACCAAGATGCCCTCGTAGAGACACTTCCCGATGACCCGGCCCAGGAATTCATACCGTCGGAGCAGATCACGAACCTGATCACTCCATTCCGCGCTGTTTTCGATGAAGCCGGTGCGTCTCAGGAGCTCTCTGCGCTGCTCAACGGCGGCCGGGTTTGGGTAGAGCAGGTGCTGATCATTCTCTTCAAACAGCGTGAGTGCACTCGTGGATTTGAAAGCCTCGTTGGTTACGCTGGTGAGAAATTCTTTCGTTACGCCGCCGCCGTCGATTCCCGCCTCGGTCGTGTTGAACTTGTCGATGAACGTAATCTGGATCGGCTCCTTGAGACCCTCGCCTAACTCGTAAAACTGGTCAAAGGCGTCGTCAAACACGCGCTCGCGTCGGATGTTCGCATGATGCCGACCCAAGATATCCTGCACGGCAGGACGCCCGTCGATCATGCGGCCCATAGATGCTTGGGCCACGGACATGCGCCACGAATCCGGATCAATGAAGCCTTGTCGCCTACGCATTTGATCCCGAAAGATAAACTCTCGGAATATCTGAACTCGGGTGGCAAAAGGAATGAAGAAAGGCATGTTCCTCAGGATCTCCAGTCTCGGGGCTACGGCCTCCAGTTGCTTTCTCCGAGTAGCCTGCTGCTGGCGCCGTCGCAGGGCCTCAATCCGACGAGTTTGCTGGGCGCGACCGGTACCGATCAGTCCCGGGGAAGGCTCGTAGAGGGAGTCACCCATCAAGTCGTCCGGCTCATCCTCGTCATCCTCGTCCTGAAGCTGGTGTCTGTTCTCTTCTTCGGCAACGACGGCGGGGATGAATCCCTCCATGTCAAAGCGATTCGTCATCAGCCAATGCCCGTCGGGAAGGAATTTACGTCTCGAATCACGCTCATGAATCATTCTCAGTAGACCCGTGACTAGGCCCTTGAAATAATCAAGCGGAATGCCAGTCACTCCTGCCAGACCCTTCTCTTTGTTCTTCATTTCCAGATCCCGAACACTTGTGATGGAATCGGAGGGCGGAACTAAAGAGCTGAAGTAACTGCGAATACTGCCGGGTTCCTGGGTGGGTTCATGCTCATTCAAGTCCGCCGAGTTCCAATACAAAGTAAACGCCAGGTTCTTGAGAAACACCGTCATGTCCTTAATATCGTGGAGTGGGAGGGCACTCTCCTTGGTCCAGGACACGCGCGTGTTCGAAGAGGCAGTAAACGACGACTCGCTCGAAAAGAACTCCTCGTCGTCCATCACTTTGAGAACAAACGTATATAATTCGAGGAAGAGTAGAATGATAGTCCATTCCTCGTCTCTCTCATCCTGAGAAATGGCCGACAACCTAGCATCGGTCGAGTCCGCGGCAGGCTTCAACAGGGGCAAGACTTTTGTCGAGTCGTGGCTGATAGATGCAAATATCCTACTAGACCGAGATGCATGCCAGAAGTATTTGATGGCAGGGATTCGCGATCCCGAGAGACCCCCGACTTGGTCGCTCGAATTGGCGGACCCCAAGTATAGCCACATGCGGATATCGTCACCGCGACGGGGAAACACTCGCAGAAGGGTTAAAGCATACGTGGCCAGGATCTTGGCCTCCCGCGAAGCGTCCGACTGTACGTCAGCCAGATCCCCTTGGGATAGATGCGTAGACTGAAGCTGCGAAAGGAGGCCGGTGATGCTCGTCTGGTTGACAAGGCTGACAAGCTGGTCCTTGACAAATGGGTGCAATGGAGCTCTCTGGGGGGAATCATCAAGCTCGGAGGCATCTTCATTGTCCAATCGCCGCGAGATATGCACAGCCGTGGAATTCAGCAGTTCAGACACCACTCGAACAAAACCGGGTTCTGGGGCTTGAAGTCCGGCTTGGCCGCCCAGAGCATATCGGTGGAAGAAAATGAAGTGGGCAAGCAGCCAGAGGCGGGACTCTACATCGTCCGAGTCATGGGGCCGCTCTCTGAACTGCGACTGCAGAGGTCCCAGGGCGGACGTAAGCAGTTTGTAATTGATGTTGTTTGCCAGGTCATCCAGCGACTTGAGATGGGTCATCAGGTCGGGGATAGTCAGGTAGCTCCTGGCAAACCATTCATAGGCCGTGAGAGTCTCCGACGTGATCGGTCGCAACAGAGCCAGCACGCTTTGCACTAGATCCTCCGTAGACAGAGCGAACCTGCGGGAGATGCCCTCCACATTCTGGGTGAGGTGGGCCATGACAGTATAGTATCCTCGGGCGGATCGTGCCACTTCCTTGGGTATTAGGCCCGTGAGGAATCCCAACAGCTCCAGCAAAGGACGCATCGCAAACGCCGGCATCGTCGACGAGGGAGCGGCGTGGAGCATGCGCAGAGTCAGCTGTGCCAGACGCTTCAGCGGAGTCATCCATTCCCCCTCCGTGGCAATGGTCGGCAGTTCCTGCCATGTTTTCTGAAAGGGACCAGAAAACACCACCAGACGAGCGATATCACCGCTGTTCCACGGCTCCAGGAACTGAACCAGCAACCGCAACTGTGCCCAGCATTCTGCCGCCGTTCCGTATGCAATAGGGGGTGGCATGACACCATCCACACTCTTGGCCAGCTCGTCGAACGACGGAGCACCTGGAACCCTCCGCGCCTCAGCTGCATCCCACTCGGATCGCCATATCTCCCGCGTTATCTTCCTGCTCCGATAACCCCGCCATGTCCGCTGGACCACCCGACTAGCACCGAGTCGTTCTCTTTCCTGCTGCCTTAGGAGTCGCTCTTGCTGTGCGATGGCCAGAGTATTCTGCGGGCCGGGACCATGGGGGTTCTGGCGTCCGGGGGGAAATGCGGCGAATGGGTTGGTATTGCGAGCTCCGAGATTAACTTGCCGGGGACGGCGGGAGTTACCCGTGAATGATTGGAACATAGCTTTCGGTTCGATGCGCGGAGAGGATTCCGAAGTCGATGGAAGATCAAACCTTAATCAAAAAGGCACTTCTGCGAGGGGGAAGTAGGACGGCAGCGTCTCCATGCCGCAACGCAAAGATGGGGGACAAGCGTTGGGTGGACGAGGGAAGCTTTGGGGGGAGATTTGGGAGAGATTTGGGGCATGACGGGATGGAGTTGCTGGTCGGCGCACGCACCCGCCCCGACTGGCAGTTAGTGCCACGGCAACTCTTGGCCTAGAGAGTTATTGCCACGCACTAGACGCCACCGCCTGCGCCGATGAGGTGAGATTGAATACGCAGTATGTTCTAGAAGATTAGTAGAGCATTGTCTCGCCGATCAATTTGCTATGTGCAAATCTCTAGTGTCCTATATCAAAAAAAAAAAAAAAAAAAGTTCCTGAGATGCTAGAACCAAAGAAGACGCCAGGACCCAATAACCACAGCGGAATTTCCGGTGATGTCCCATCTAGCCACCGTATCCGACAGAGGTGTACTATGCATATCATACAGCTAAATGTTGCGAGACGAGCTGCAGGAAGCCCAGACACGGCAACACCCTTGCAGGCTCCGAAGGACACCGGCGGAGCCAGGAGTGCCCGGTCGAAGGCGCAGAGAGAAAGTTCATGGCATACTTCCAAAGTCTCGCAATCATTTCCTCCCTCCTCAAATCCTCTAATCAAACCGCAAGTTGTTTATTGCCGGGTGGAGGACGTTTCGCTTGTCAAGGGTTCTTGTTCGAGTCGCTCCTGCTCAAGAACTTCCGGTCCGTTGTCGGATGCCCACATGTCCAAGTATTCCTTGCCATCGAAGGGTCTCTGCGCCGCAACTATCGAGCCATTCCGCTCCAGGTCTTTGGTGTATTTGCCCTTGGTCGGGGCCATGCGTTTCGTCACGAACGGGGTAAGCTGTCCAATCCACGTCAGTTTCCATCCTGGTGCGTTTCGGAGTCCCGACAGGTTGACCAGCAGCGTACCTTGAACTGATCCAGATTCTCCGGGACCGCATAGGTGCGGACTTTCTTCCAGTCGATCACGTAGGTGCCGTTCTTCGCGAAGTAACCCATGGAGCCGGTCCGGTTTCCCTTGTAATAACCGCCATTGACCTGTTTAGTGGTCAGGCGCAAACGCGCCATCATAGGTTGCGAAGGCTTGAACATTGTGACGGGGGAATTGAAGGACGCACTGGGCGGCGTTGCGGCGGACTGGACTTGGGATGAGTTCGGAGGTCGGAAGAAAGAAGTGAAAAAGGCGGGCGGCGCTAGCGAAGCTCCGCGCCGCCAAGAACTTTTTTTTCTGCCCGTAGAAAAATCATCTTCACCTCCGGCCCTTTATTTTATTCGATTTTTTGGAACGTCACGGAGTGTGTCGGTTGGCGCTGTTGGATCATACGATCGCGCTCGATCATCTGAGATTCACTCGCCTCTTATACTTTATTTGATTGCGAACGCCCGCAACCATGCCTCGCAGGCAGACCCAGTTGCGCGGCCCTAAGGACAGGGACCAGTCCTCGAAAAAGCAGCAGCCCAAGAAACAGAGCCGCAAGGGCTTGGATGCCTTTGCTATCGCCGAGAGTGAACTCCCCTACAAACCGAAAATCCGTCGCAACCGATTGGGTGAAAACGATGACCTGGTTAAGCGCAAGCGACACCCCGGCCATGATGAGGACGACGACTTCGACGACTCCGACGGCCCCGACAACAAGCGCCGTCGCACTCGCAACGAAGGCGCCGACTATGACGAGAATGCTGGCAGCGACGGTGAAGGAAACCGTTGGAGGATAGGAGAGGTTGATAGCGACGACGACAGCGATTTGGACAGTGACGAAGCCATGGGTTCTAGCGACGAGGAACGATTCGAAGGGTTTACTTTCCGCGGGAGCTCGAAGAATAAATCCCAACCAAAAAAGAAAACCGCGGAGACCAAGAAGCGCGGCCGCAAAGTTACGTTGTCCGAGGATACAGAAGAGTCAGAAGAAGAGGAGGACGAGGAAGACGACGATGACCTCGGAGAAGACGCCATCGACCTGACTACCGCATGGGATATGAATGAGGCCGCAGAGAAAGAAGAAGCGGCGGCGGCAGCCAAGGCACAGAAGGCCGCTGCAGGGGAAGACTCGGATGAAGCCGACTCTGAAAGTGAGGACAGCGACGACTCCAATGAAGAGAGTGAACTGTCCATGTCCGATGACGAAATGAACGGCAATGATGAACATGGACTTTCGAAGCTACAGAATTTTGTGAACTCGATGGATCCCGAGTCTACCAACAAGTCGACCAAAAAGGCCAGGGGCGGACAAGAACATGCCAATCCGACCGAGTTCGGATTGACGTCTACCAAGAAACTCACCGTTGCCGACCTTCTGCCATCGATTACGGATTCGCGCCTGAAGAACTCGCTGAAGCATGTGGACTCTACCGCCTCGTCTCAAAAGCCGTCCTCCGGCATCCCGGGGAAATTGGATGCCCCTCTTCCCAAACGCCAACAGGACCGACTGGACCGTGAAGCGGCATACGAAAAAAGCAAAGAAACCTTGGATCGCTGGCTAGACACGGTCAAGGCAAACCGACGAGCGGAGCATCTGATGTTTCCTCTTCCCGACCCCGATGCACAGCAGGTCCACCGCATAGCCCCTGCTCAACCTCGTAACGATCTCGAAAACACGATCCAAAACATTCTCGTGGAGAGTGGTCTAGCCGAGAACAGTGGCAAAACCGGCGAAGAACAAGTGCAAGAATTTGAAGAGCTGCAAGCACGGAAATTGCCCATTGAGGAAATCCGAGCTCGCCGGGCGGAGCTGCGTAAGCGACGTGATCTGCTGTTCCGAGAAGAAGTGCGGGCAAAGCGTATCAAGAAAATCAAAAGCAAATCGTACCGCCGCGTGCACCGGAAGGAGCGTGAGAAGCTCGAGCAGCAGGAACGGCAGGCTCTTCTTGAAGCCGGAGTTGACATGGACGAGCAAGATCAGGAGGCGAACGACCGCCGGAGAGCCGAGGCTAGAATGGGCTCGAAGCACAAGGAGAGCAAATGGGCCAAGAGTCTCAAGCAGACCGGACGGACGGCGTGGGATGAGGACGCCCGGCTTGGTGCCGCCGACCTCGCCCAGAAAGAGGAAGAGTTGCGGAAGAGAATTGAAGGCAAGAGTGTTTCTCACGGTAATGAGGACTACCTCGGGTCATCGAGCTCAGAGTCTGAGGATGACGACGATCCCTGGGACGAGGAGGCCGGCGCTGAGAAAGAGAAGCGCAAGATCCACCAGAAACTCAAAGACTTGGAGGGTGACGAAGGTGCTGAGCTCGAAGCCAAGGGCCCTCATGCCAACCTGTTCTCTATGAAGTTCATGCAGAATGCCGAAGCTACACGCAAAGCTCAGAACGACGCTGAAGTTCGGAAACTGAACCGGGAGCTCCATGGAGAAGAGTCCCAGTCCGAGGCTGAATCTGAAGTTGGTCGGCGTAAATTTGGCCAGTCAGCAACCGACAAGTCGGCCAAGGCAAACAAACCCAAACCTCTTCCTCGCAACGAGTTTGAAGAGGCACCCGGTTCCGATGACGAAGAGGGCCCGACACGAGGAGCTGACGAGGGGGCCAATGCTGTTCTGGATCGTCCTGACAAGAAGCAGCCGGCTCGTTCCAACAACAAGCCCCGTGGTCGTCCCACAGGCGGCCTCTCGGAGCAAAAAGAGGAAGACTCTGCGGAGGAAAACCCGTGGCTGGTCCAGACGAATCGAAACAACCGTCGCACAACGACGAATGACTCGCAGCAAACCGTGGACATTTCGGTAAATGATGCCCAACCCAAGACCGCCGGATCCAAGAGTGCCTCCAAGAACCAACCAAAGGCGGTCGCTGCCCTGAAGAACCAACAGTTGGACGGGGACAACGACAGCGACGAGGACAGTGTCCCCGTGCTCCTCAAGAACCACGACCTCGTGAAGCGAGCATTCGCCGGGGATGAGGTTGTACAAGAATTCGAGGACGAGAAGATGGACACGATTAAAGACGAAGGCGACCAGGTGATTGACAACACCATGCCCGGCTGGGGCAGCTGGGCGGGTGATGGCATTAGCAAGAAACAGCAAAAGCGCCAAAAGCGTTCGTTGACCACTGTCGAGGGCGTGAAGCCTGAAAACCGAAAGGACGCCAAGTTGTCCCGTGTTATCATCAACGAGAAGCGAGTCCAGAAGGTAAGAAAGATCCCAGTTCCACACATTCCTCCCCCCGGCGTACCTGATCATCCGATGCTAACATGGTTGTCTTCCCATCTCCAGAACAAGAAGTACATGGCAACTCAACTCCCTCACCAATTCGAGACTCGACAGCAGTATGAGCGATCACTCCGTATCCCCATCGGTCCCGAGTGGTCCACCAAGGAGACTTTCCAAGGCGCAACCAAGCCTCGCGTGATGATCAAGCAGGGCGTCATCAAGCCGATGGAGAAGCCCACGATCTGATTCCCCACGGCCTGTTGACTGCGACGGAAACATTGGCATTTGCGATTGGCAAGAACGGATGTCAAGCGATACCACTGCATGTCGATCTTTTGCTGCTTTTTCTTTTCTTTGTCTCGGGGGCGATGTCCCATCATGTTTATAGATTCGGATCGTGTGACGGTCTTCGGTTGATATGATACCAACAAAAAAGGTTATTATGATGCTTAATTAGAGATGGATCTTCGAGTCGTGACCAGCCCGTAGAAGCGAAATGATCGGGTCACTGGGTGCCTGACTGCCTGGGGGGTCGGGGTCTGTCAGCCGCCACGGAACTTCCTCCGTCTTCCCTCTTCATCCTCCTCAGCCTTCCATCCCCCGGCCACATGGTCATCTCCGGATCTTCATTCCCGGTCGGTGGCGTCGACTCGGCTGTCCGCATGTCGCGGTACGATAGCGGGTGATGGAATGCCAACCCTAGGTGCCTTGAGCCGACGAGTCGACCTTCTCTTCCATAGGTACAGTTCCCTCGAGAGTGAGAAGCTCGTCAACAGGGCGTCGTGGTTCTAAACCCAATTCTCGCAGATCATCTGGGAATCGAGATCTATATGAAGTGGGAAGCGAATCTCACGTGTGTTCTTGATGGACACCAAGCGGGTTGATTATTTAGTTGCCTGCGTTGCTCCACATCCTCCGCGACGGACCACCTCGACTTCTTCGGACATCCGCATCTTTGAGCGATCGACATCTTTCTGCAACCCCGCCGTATCATCTGTGCCAGATACAAGCATTGTCCATCAGGCGATCTGACCCAGCGAGTCACTCGGTAAGTCATCGACGCGGCTACAGGATGCATATGCCCGGGTGGTGGGGGACCGATTGGCGGGCGAACTAACCACCGCCGCGGTGGCTTGAGTTCAGGAACATTCCGAGCCACCGTCCACCCTGCATTGTTTTACCCTTTCGGGTACCCACCACGACTGTTTGTTATGTTGTAGGACCTTGCTTAGATACTGACGCCCGGTTAGATCGACATTTTTCCCTGTATTACCTCCTGGCCAGCCCGCTGCAGGCATCGGTGTCATCTGGTATTCGGACGCGCAGTAGTGGAATTATTGCTCCACGCTGGGCCGAATTCTTGCCAGTCGCGACTGGAATCTCTCTATACTTGGTACTGGTGAGTCGGTTTAATTTTATAAAAAAGCGCGACTACATACTCCGTCTCCGCGATGTCGCTTTCTATTTTTTCTTCCCCATTCCACCTTGTGCGTCCTTCGGCTTGCTCCTGTGCGCGCGGAAACTGGACTATATGCAGGGTGTGGACATCTCTTAGATTTACCCTGCACAAGTCTCAGTGTTGTGTGCTTGTTCCTTTCTATTATACCCTTGTCTACAGAAGTATTCATCCTCTCATTCTATATTCTGCCATTTTATTTCATTCTTTTGGAAGTATATCAAGCTTCTGTCCATTCATTGTCACCATCAACCACCGCTTAATTCTATTTTCATTATTATCGATTGGATTCGCTATCGATCCGCCACTTGAACATGGAAATTAAACCCACATGGCGTTCTGCCCTTATACTAACATGGCTACTTGCTGCAGAACAAGTGAGATCGGCTCCCACGGCTGCGAAGGCGGCGCCTACTCCACTCAAGACTCAGTACCCTCCAGCTGAAGCCAGAGTAGCTGCTGCTCCCCAAACACAAGGTGTAAGAACTCTGCCCACCTTATCTTGCAATGGAGCTTATTAAGGCTGTGTAGTTCTACCCAACGAGCCTTGAACGGGAAGGCCACGTGCTGCGAAAGCCGACCAAGAGTCCTCTGAAGGGAGATCTTGGATTGGATAACCTGCTAGACGTTCTGGAACACCCAGACTCGCTACTTGGCTGGCTTCTCCCCGGGACGGAAAGTACACCAGAGCCCGAAGGACCTGTCAACATCCCAGAGACGACACCTGCCGCTCTGACATCTTCCAAAGACACTCCGCCGCCCACGCCTTCGGCGATTCCAACATCAGCAATTCCGACAACGCCTGCGTCAACTCCGGAACCGACTAGTAGTTCGGAACAGGTCCCGACGAGTGAACCTTCCATCTCAATTGCAAAGCCAGAATCCAGTTCGAGTAGCCATTCATCTGCTCCAAGCCCAACTCCGACGAGTCCATCAAGCTCAATCTCAAGTCAGAGCCATCCAACTAAATCGGAACAGTCTTCGGTCCCGGAAACATCTACTCCCGTGGCGTCCTCACCAACCCCATCGTCCACACCAAAGTCATCTCCATCTGTCGAAGGTAAATCTTTTCTGAACATCCACAAGTTGTGATGAGTCTAACAGATGTTGATCCCAGGTCCCGCTACCCCCATGGCTGCCAATCAGGATGTATTTATTCCATTGGCCACTGGCCCTGTTCCCAACACGATCAAGACTAGAAATGACCATCCCGTCCCCAAAAATGGAATTGTACGCTCCCTAGCCTGAAAGCCCATTCTCTGGCCCGATCCTAACCTCATTAGGTAAACACGACGGTCCCTATTGAGACGAATAAATTCTACAGTGGGCTATTTTTGGGCACTCAAAGCAACACCACTTTCACCCATCCATATGGACTGGCCTGGTCGAAAGGAACTGGCAACCTGCAAAGCTATGGCATGGCTGTTTCTCACGTGGAAAGTAACGTGATGGCATTGGGACCGACAAATGCGCACATTCCCGGAAACCCAGTTTCGTATTATGTGAACCCGATTGGAATCCAGTCGATCATTTTATCAGCAGCCGAGTTGACTGCCTCGACGGTACTAACAACGGAGAACCCATTACCATTCTCAGCCAACGCGGTCTTGCGCCCACAGAGTGGCTCAGCTCAGAGCATCTCTTTTCCCGTGGTGCAGGGTATGGGGTTCGTGACCGGCATTTACTCGGGTCTCCAACCAGCAGTCCAGAGTAGCGTTCATTTCGACAAGGTTGTGTCTGCTGGATCACCGAGATCCGGCATTTATAAATATACTGCTACCTTGGCCGACCAAACAACATGGCTTATTTACGTCACTCCGCAGGACGGCAAAGACCCCGATTTCCGTTTGGAGTCAAGTACCACCCTGCGAGGACCAGCTGGATGGTCGGGTACGATCCAAGTGGCCAAGAATCCGGCGGGCACGTCCGGGGAAAAGTTCTTTGACAACTCGTCCGGTGTCTACGCCTTGGAGGGTGCAGTCTCCGGTGCCGTTTCCGACAGCACCGGTACCTATAACCTCGCGTGGGCTAAGGCCGGCAAGGACGCGCAGAGCACTCCCCTGTTGATGTTTGCCTTGCCGCATCACATCGAATCGTTTGACAGTAGCACCAAAGGCCGGGTGACGAACATTACTATTCGTACGACGACAAAGGGCCAAGCGACAGCAGTGATCGGGGAGATCTGGACCATGACCGAACCCGACCTCCCCATTGGCATGGGATTTGCCCCTTGGTCTGTGTCCCAGGGTAGTGTTGACAAGATCTCTGCTGCTGCCCAGAAAGTCATCTTGGATGCCGCACCTACTGAACTTAATCAAGACGTTGGCAAAGAAAGCGACTTGAACAGTATGTACTTCAGCGGAAAAGCGCTGAGCAAGTTCGCTACCCTTGTATATACCGTGAACAAGTTGGGTGGCAACCCCCAGCTTGCGGAATCCGCCTTCAAGGCACTCAAGGATGCCTTTGCCCGGTTTGCCAACAACAAACAGCAGTATCCTCTTGTCTACGACAACGTCTGGAAAGGTGTGGCCTCCTCGGCAAGCTACGATGGAGGCGATCCCGGCGCGGATTTCGGAAACACGTTGTACAACGATCACCATTTCCATTACGGTTACTTCATCCACGCCGCCGCTATAATCGGGACGCTTGATCCAGCTTGGCTACCTGCGAACAAGGAATGGGTGAACATGCTAGTCCGGGACTCTGGGAACGCCGCGGCAAATGACCCTTATTTCCCATTCTCGCGTGGGTTTGACTGGTTCCACGGGCACTCGTGGGCCAAAGGGTTGTTCGAGTCCTTCGACGGCAAGGACGAGGAATCGTCGTCGGAAGACACCATGTATGCCTATGCTCTGAAGGTTTGGGGTAAGACCATCGGGGACGCGAGCATGGAGGCAAGAGGAAACCTGATGCTTGGAATTCTTCGCCGAACGCTCCACAACTATTTCCTCCTGGAGAGCGACAACAAGAACCACCCCGAGAGCTTCATTGCAAACAAGGTCACAGGAATCGTAAGTCATGGAATCCCGTGTTGTCTAATCAAGAAGCGCAAACTGACACATCCGAAAGTTGTTCGAGAACAAGGTGGACCACATCACCTACTTTGGCGCCAATCTTGAATTCATTCAAGGGTATGAATCCTTTGACGCCTGTTCCCTGCCCATGGTTGGATGACTGACGGATGAATGCTAGGATCCACATGCTTCCTCTTTTGCCATCGTCCGCCTTTGTGCGGCGTCCAAAGTTCGTGCAGGAGGAGTGGAACGCGATGTTCGCCAGCAATGCCAGTACTCCGGCGGAGAAGGTGCAGGCGGGATGGAAGGGAGTTCTGTACGCCAACCTCGCCCTGATTGATGCGGCGGCGTCTTGGAAGTTCTTTGCCGACCCCAACTTCGATTACGGCGCGATTGACGGGGGAGCGACTCGAACATGGTATTTGGCTTTCGCTGCAGGTACGTTCTACCCTTCCCCTGGCTCCTGTGATGGATTGATGGATCGTACTAACGATGGGCCAGGACTCGGCGGTGGCCCGGCATGAACGGAGATCTTTTTCCGATTCGTTATAGAGTGGGGGGAATGTTTTGTCTGTTTATCTGATTGCGTTCTGTTTGGAATGCATGACTACTAGAGATGCGGATGATCTCGTCGAGTGCTAGCCACTCGAGTCGGGTATTTGTGGATTGAATTTGTTGATATATGTTTATACCTCTTGAACCGCTTGACGAGGACTTTGCTGTAACGGTCCCTCTGGTAGCCAGTCCCTTGGAAGTCACTCAGTAATAACTACTCCGTAATACTCTGTCGTAGATTGGGCATGGCATCGTCCGTCTGTGGGCCGATGCCGCACGTGTCGATCGCCAGAGGACGTGAGGCTGGTGCATAGTCAGGAGTGGAGAGATCGATCGCAGCACTGACATGGTCAGTCGGCATGGGCAGCGGATGCGCCACAACACCAACCCGGGAAGTTGGGAACATCGCGGGTTGCACAGCCTGGGAAGAACCGTTGGTCTGGTTGGTCTGATTTGAATTTGCTGTGAAATTGGAATTCGTGCGGATCCAGTCAGCATTTCTGCAAAATGTCTCACGCAGGCAGGTGGAGACGGCATTGTGGCAGTGCCAAACCTTGGCGGGGGACTTCGTCATCTGCGATCTCGGGTTGACTTTGACGCCGGTGGTACGGAACACGAGGAATGGGGGTTACCTGGTAATAGGTAAGACAACCTCCCTACCTTATCTATTTACCCAGTGATTATCCTGCTCTCGAAGGAACGAGAGAAAGGTCCATAACGGTAGGGATGCCAGCGTATCGGAGTATGTAAGAGAAACGCCTGGTGGAGCATGACTCTCTCAGTCGGGAATGGCCTGAGGTGCAAGGTTTGGAGATTGCCTGATCGGGCAAGGGCTATTCCCGATACGGCCAGCCACTAGGCCCAAGGGGGCAACCGAGCTGTTTGCGCCCGCCCCACCAGTCCGGACAGCGTCAGCCACTCACAAGTCGACTTCGCGTCGTGCGACCTTCAAAAAAAAGACTCCCGTCGTCATTTCATCCGTCCAGATCTTTGGCTTCAATGCGTGGCACGCCTTGACTTGCTTTGCTGCACCGCCGTTGGGCATCCCTTTTCTTTCATCGCAGGACCAGACAGTGACAGCTGTGGCCACTGCAACCATCGTGGTCAACCGTCAACGTCACCATTCGACCAAACTAAATAAACGCAACCACCCCCCCGTCTCCTGCCCAGACCGGGTCCAAATCTTAGCCTGGACCAGGGATTCTTTTTCTTTTTTGCTTGACTTTTCTCATCCCTGAACGTTGGTGATTAAATCTGAGGCTGTGCTCTCGGCGCTTTCCAGTTTCCACCCCCCAAAAGTCGGAGTCCAGAATCCAATTCTTTCGGAAATCACCATAATCATGTATACTCCACTGACTGCGGCCCCCTAGTCCTGTCCGGTTCTCGACTAACCGCTCTGTAACAGAAGGATCCCTGGAATGAGCGGAATCTTGTCCAATTCCGACTCTAGCCACGATTGATCACCGTAGCCCGTGAGCCACCCTCCATCTTCATCTGTGGATGCCATTTCTCGTCCACGGATTCGTGGCTTGTGCTCCTTCTTCCCCTCCTCTTTCGCGCTGGCTAACCTTTTCCGGGCCCCAGAATAACGCATGGTCATCAAAACCACTTTACTCGACAAGCCACACAGCACCACCTCCTCCACTCCCAACTAGTTCGCCAATTGATCCTTCCTGGTCCCGTCTCAGAGTCCAAAGACCCGTTGATCTTGAGTTATATATCGGCGGCGTCATTGATTTGCGCGATTGTGCTGAGTGTGGTTCCCCATTGTCACACCTACGCCACCGTCTTTCCCGATGTGTACGTGCTAGATCGTCCTGCTCCAATTCCGTCACCATCACATCCTTCTTCTCTCGTCTTTCCCTCTTCCCTTCCTAATCCCCTCTTTTGATTTTTTTTTTTTTTTCCATACCAACGCCGTTTTTCCAAGCCTCCTGGGGTCCCGTTGGTTGGTCTCACTCCTTCCTCTCCTTAACTTTTTACCTGTTCCTCGATCTTGTGCTGGTTCCCACAATAAACCCTCTTGCCCACTCACTCTCTTTGGTTAACCTACTGCGTTGGGGTTGATCTTTTCTTCTTCTTCTTTATCGTTATTATTTCTGTCTTTTCTGTTAAATCTTGTTCCTATTCTTTTTTGCACTCCTTGAATTTTTTATTTATTATTTTTTTTAAGCCGGCAGTACAGCTCCTTGCAACTATCCTTTAATTGCACTGAGCAACTGCACGAACAGAAGCTAATTATTCCCGCGCTCATTGCATACAGCGTCGAAAAATTTGCGTTCGACCTTCCGAAGTTATAGCTGGGGCTCTAGACGGACAATGACGGGCCTCTCAGGAAACGGCTCGCCCGAGCCCAATGAAAGAGATGCTTTGATTAGCGATATCAATCGAGCTAACTCAGGACTTCGTCCCCGACACAAACATAACCGCCATTGGAGTTACTGGCCTGCGCAGGCAGTTCGCTTGACTTGGTCGACCCTCGTCCGAGACTATGTCAATCTGCTCCTCGTTTTCGTTCCGCTGGGTATCATTGCTGGCGCTCTTCATTGGGACAGTACCGTAATCTTCACCCTCAACTTTCTGGCAATTATCCCGCTAGCATCCCTGCTGAGCTTTGCGACCGAAGAATTGGCCGCTACTATGGGTCAGGCCTTGGGCGGCTTGATGAATGCCACCTTCGGCAACGCGGTGGAGCTAATTGTATGTACTCCCACTCCCTTCTGTGTCCCCTCGTAGGCCGTGAAGCTGATCGTTTTTGTCAATCTCCAGGTCAGTATCATTGCCCTCAAGGATGAACAGATCCGTGTCGTCCAGGCCAGTATGCTTGGCAGTATCTTATCCAACATTCTCCTGGTACTCGGCTGCTGCTTTTTTGTTGGCGGTCTTCGGTACTCCGAGCAAACATTCAACAGCACGGTTGCGTCGACCATGTCCTCTCTAATGACCGTTGCATCTGCTTCCCTTATTATCCCCGCAACACTTTACGCCTCCCTTTCGTCCTCTTCCGACTCCAAGGATACCCAAAAGAACATCCTCATCCTCTCCCACGGGACAGCCATCATCCTTCTGATCCTCTACGTCATGTACCTTTACTTTCAACTCAAGACCCACGCGCAACTCTTCGAGGAGGCTAGTGTTAATGACGAAGAGAATCCAGGCCAGAACGCAGACGAGGCTGAAGAAGAGCACCTTCTCAGTCCGTGGGCTGCTACAGTCGCCTTGGTCATTGTGACAATCTTAGTGGCCATCTGCGCGGACTACCTTGTCGGTAGCATCGATAGCATCGTGGAGAAGACGGGCATGAGCCGAACCTTCATTGGTCTGATCCTTATTCCCATCGTCGGAAACGCAGCGGAGCATGTCACGGCGGTGGTCGTGGCCTGGAAGGGCAAGATGGATCTTGCCATTGGGGTTGCCGTTGGAAGCAGTCTGCAGATTGCTCTTTTCGTGACTCCGTTCCTTGTTATTCTGGGCTGGATCATGGACATCGACATGACCCTTCACTTTCATATTTTCGAGACCGTTGCCTTCTTCATCTCCGGCCTGGTCGTGACCTTCCTGATCCAGGACGGAAAATCCAACTACCTGGAGGGTGGACTATGTTTGGGAATGTATGTCATGGCATTTTTCGTTCCCCCCCGGTTCTGCTGATTCCAACTAACCTTGTCATTCTTTAGGTACGTCATTCTGGCGCTTGCCTTTTACGTCTACCCGGACAATGTGAACGAAGACGCTCTCTTCAACCCTTGAGCGCCCTGCCGTGTGTTCTACATGAACTGCAACAGGTCTTTCCTTAATTCCCACATATCGTGGTTTATTAAAAATCTCTTATCTCTTCTGTTTTCTGTTTCTGTCGCTTCTTGGTGTCGTCGTCCCTCTTTATGACGGCAGGTTGCCAACCAGAGAGGCGCCTTTTTTTTCTCCCTTAATCTCACATCTTGTGATGTGTCTGCAGTTATTTGAGGCTTTGTACTGCGGGTCAGTCCATTCGAACTACTTGTACAGAATCTTCATTTAGTCTTGAGACTCAAGTGGCTTGTAAGTTAGTTATTGGCCGGCGTTCTCTCTTCCGCTCTCTCTCTCTCTCTCTCTCTCTCTCTCTCTCTCTATTTTTTCTGGTTTGCTATCTGTAGGGCGGGGAATGGAAAATTATGAGAATGTCAAATTGGGTTGGATTTCGTGAATGTGTTTTACTAGGGCTAGACAATATGACGGAAATCTAAGATCAGCCACCATCGTTGATGTCCATCGCATGTCGCTCCCGCAATGATCTCATGGGGTGGCCGACACCGGGTTCTTGGCACGGTGACTAAGCAGGAAAACCCAATTATCCAAGGAAGTGCTGCGGAACCCTTCGTCGATATCATCCACCCTCTTCCAACCTCGACCTGGTGTTTTTTTGCCTTGGAGGGGTGCCATTTGAAATGCCGCCTCGTCTCAACCTTTTCACCGTGAGGGCACCTGTCCCCGTCCTCCGTCAACCCACGACGCAGTCTGTGAATCACCCTTCCCGACGCAGTATCGTCTCTGCTCTCAACGTTCACAAGCCCGGCCTCTCGTCTGCAGGCACGGCACAAAGGAGATGGAACTCCTCCGGCTCCGACAACAAGGATGATGCCGATAGGCTCAAGGGCCCGACCGAGGATCCTCTGCCCCATGTCAGTCAGGAGGCCGCGGAGGTGACCAAGATCATGGATAAGAAGTGTGACGGCACGGCCGCCAGCCCGGAATTGGAGCAGGGAACTCCGGTCTCAGAGGTGGGTGACTTCAAGCATCGTGTAACGTTGGTTTATCGTCCGGATATCTCTGATGACCCCGAGATAGATCCTTCAGCGCGACAAGGAGGCGCAGAAACACGCCCCCAAGGTCATGCAGGATCAAATGAAGCGACCATCTGGCTCGCGGTCCTTCTCGACGTTCGCTCGCCGCCAGCAGTCCGAGCTCCAAGGCCAAGCTCTGGACGCCCATGACCCGACGGCTGCCGTCGTGGCCAACATGATTTCCCAGGTTAACGCGCAGGCGGAGGAACTGCATACCGGGCTCAAGTTTAAGGCTCCCGGCCCCCTCCCGAAGACGGAGCATTATCGCAAGAGATACGACTCTGTGATCGATCAATTCACGAAGTTGATCATGCAGGATGGCAAACTAAGCAAGGCTCAGAGGGTAAGCGGATTGAGAACCCCCGCAACCCCCAACCCCCCTCAATGTTGTTTGGACCATTGCTAAGGGCACAATTCTCTGTTGCACAGAACATGGAGTTCATCCTCGATCATCTGCGCACCGCATCCCCGCCGCAAGTGCATCCCCGGCGCCCTCTCCTCCCGGGTCCCCCGGGCCCGCAACTCCCCTTGAACCCTGTCCTTTACCTCACTACGATTGTGGACTCTGTCGCTCCTCTCGTCAAGCTCAAGTCCCAGAAGGGTATTGCCGGTGGAGGTGCTTCGGTGAACGTGCCCGTTCCCCTCCGTGTACGACAACGGCGAAGGACCGCGATCAAATGGATCGTCGATGCTTCTGACAAGCGACGGGACACCCACTTCGCCCAGCGAGTCGCCAACGAGCTGGTTGCCGTTGCCGAGGGCCGTGGTGGCGCATGGGACAAGAAAGAGCACACCAACAAGCTTGCCCTTGCCGGTCGGATGAACGTCAACCTCACCCCTCGCAAGTCGAAGGGAGGAGGAAGGTAATGGTGGGATTCAATTGGGAATACGTTGGAGTCTTGCGTTTGTTTTGTATGCTATAACCCAGCCTCGTGCAACCTGTGTATAATGAAAATCGAGGGATTGGTCAGTGTCAGGTAGCGCCCTTGCGCCTGAAGGATGAGAAGCGTCATCCGGACAAAGAGAAAAAGACATACTACCGCCCTATCTACTTTCCATCCACCTACTTTATACTAGAGCTTTATATTAGAGACCCCCGGGAGGCAGGAGACGAGCCTGAAATGGCGGGCGCCGAGAGTGGCTGACTAACGGCGGCCCGAAAGGGGAGGACCCTGGCAGGTGACCCGGCCAATCCCGAGCGGCGCATTCTCTCTCATGACCGTTGCTTCTTGTCCTCCCCGGAGAAGATCAATTCCAAGGTCTGGAGGTCATGAGTGAGTCCAGATGATTTCCTGTCATCTATAATGTTTGAAACCTAATTGCCTGCTTTTACTCGCCCGCCCCCCCCCACATCCCCTCCTCCTTTCTCCGATGTACCACCCATCATTCGCTACGCTCCGCTTCCTGCTGCGTACTATCTAGAGTCCAAGTCAGCTAGTGTCGGCGGAGACTCGATCTCTCACCGGCTTCGCGCTGCCTTGAAAAGGGCCACCTTATCTTCCTGCCCGTCCTCCTTGCTTTCCTCGGTTCTTCGCCGTCGCACACCGTGTCGTCGAATGCTGCGGGACGAAACGTGGCACGCATCGCTTCTGCGACGGGTGCCTCTTCTCACGACCTCGACTTGACCCCCCCTCTCCATTCCCCTGACCAAGGCATCGAACTTGCCGAATATCCTCTGCTTTCCGATTTAGACGCTGGCTCTCGTCAGTCGCATATCCACTTTCCCGATCATCAGGCCCGCGATCGCGATCCGGCGCCGATACCTGAGACTAAAGAGCGTGTGGGCGAAGGAAGAGGCGGTGACCCGCATAGACATCACCTATACTCGGGACCGCTCAGGCTTAAATACTGGGTCGAGGCTCTTCACAATCGCTCGCAGTATTTGGCACACCGCGGACTCGACGCCAAGATGAAGTTTTCGCACAGCATTCAGTTCAATGCGGTTCCGGAGTGGAGCTCCTATTATATTGCATATAGCAACCTCAAGAAAGTGTAAGTGTTTTCTTGTTCCTTTAAATACCGTCGGATGTTGCCTGCCTGTTTAAATTCTCCGCGCTCCCGGTGTTACTCGACAATGATGTGCAAGTGCGACGGTCGGTGCGCTCGGAACCGCATCGTTACTTCGTGCATCGGTGGCTTGTATGAGATGAACGGCTCGCTAACAAAGTGTAACTGGGCTCTAGAATATATTCCCTGGAACAGCAGGCGCATCAGGCTACTGGAGCGACTCATCCCGACGTTGAATCTGCACCCTTGCTCGACAGTACCCCCAATCCTGACGCGATTTTCCGGCGAGCTTTGGATGTTGAATTGGAGAAGATATGCACCTTCTACGCAGATAAAGAAGTAGAAATACTCAACGAGGTGGAAGGCGTTGTTCGGGATGCCGAGGAATACGTTTCGGAGACAGACGGCGTGAGCTTGGACCCGATGAGCGAGAATATGACCAAGACGCGGACCATGAGCTCCGGGTCCAGACCGCGTGCGGACAGTGCGTTCCGGGAATATTCACTGAGCAATGAGCGGCGACGCAGTGCCATTAGCGAGTCGATGGCTGAAGACGACGAGGATGATGCAGATAGCGACGACGAACATCCGCTGTCGCATCGAGAAAGACCGATGTCGCACGGCGCTACCTCAACTAACCTCGGTGATAGCCGCGCCGACATGAGGCATTCATCCTTCTTGCGAGATGCGAGGGACCTGGAGTACGACGGCCACCCCAACACCCGTCCAGGTGCGCAGGTCGAGAATTTCAGGGACCCCCGAGTTCTTGACCTCTACAATTCAGGCCTCTCTTTGAAAAAGCAGATCGTTGACGCTTACGTGTCACTCTGTGGACTCAAGTCATACATCCAACTAAATAAAACCGGGTTCTCCAAAGCCCTGAAAAAGTATGACAAGATCCTTGATCGCAACCTCCGACGAGATTACATGAACTCCACCGTCTCCCTGGCATACCCCTTTACGGACTCTACCATGAAGAAGGTGGAGGATGATATCTTCAAGATTGAGAGCGTTTATGCGGACGTGGTTACAGCCAAGAATTTACCGCTCGCCAAACGCGAGCTTCGATTGCACCTGAGGGAGCATGTGGTCTGGGAGAGAAACACAGTGTGGAGGGAAATGATCGGGATTGAAAGAAAGGCCCAGGCAGCGAATGTCGGTATTCGCAGGACCCTTCTGGGCGGCGCCGAAGACCCTGCAACGGCACGGCGACAGGGTGATGAGCAAGAAGCTCCAGCGAAGGAAATCAGAACCCCCCTAGGCGTCTTCCGTCCTCCGGAATGGCTGTGTAGCGTGAGCTTCGGAATGCTCATCTTCATCCTTGTTGTCTTCGTATCGCTGCTCTCTGTGCCGATAATGGACAAACCAGAGCAGCAGAACTGCTTGGCCATGCTTGTTTTTGTCAGTCTGCTGTGGGCTACAGAGGTATGGATTTCCCCCGTCTCGTATGTATCCTGTTTATTAACGGCGTTTTTGGCTAGGTCATTCCTCTTTTCGTCACCTCGCTCCTTGTTCCGTTCCTCGTGGTCTTGCTGCGCATAATGAAGTCAGAGAAGAAGCCTTACGAGCGATTAGGACCAAAGGAGGCTACGGGGGTTGCTTTTAGTTCGATGTGGACCCCGGTTATAATGCTCCTGCTCGGTGGCTTCACCATTGCCGCAGCTTTGTCAAAGCACGACATCGCTCGGCGGATGGCGATGTTTGTCTTGAGTAAAGCCGGATCCAATCCTCGGGTCGTGCTCCTTACAAACATGTTCGTGAGCATGTTCTTGAGTATGTGGATCAGTAATGTGGCATCACCCGTCCTGTGCTACTCGATCATTCAGGTAATACATGGTCTCGATTGTCTCTGCTATCCTGTGTGACTGACCCAGATAACTAGCCCCTTCTCCGCACTCTTCCGCCCGACTCGAACTTTGCCAAAGCCCTTGTTTTGGGGATTGCCCTCGCCGCCAATGTCGGCGGTGCTGCGTCACCGATTGCATCCCCCCAGAACATCATTGCGCTCCAGAACATGTATCCCAGCATCAGCTGGGGCACCTGGTTCTTTGTGTCACTTCCCGTCTGCATCATCTCCATCCTGCTGATCTGGCTCCTCCTGCTGGCCACCTTCCATCCCGGTCGTGACACCACCCTTGTCCCCATTCGGCCCGTAAAGGACAAATTCTCCGGCGTTCAGTGGTTTATTAGCATTGTCACATTGTCCACCATCGCCCTCTGGTGTGGCAGCCATCAACTCGAGCATGTCTTCGGCGACATGGGAGTGATCGCGATCATCCCCATGGTTCTTTTCTTCGGCACCGGCATCCTCAACAAGGAAGACTTCAATAATTTCCTGTGGACCATCATCATCTTGGCTGCCGGTGGGCTTTGCCTTGGAAAAGCCGTGACGTCCTCCGGGCTCCTGCACACTCTGGCCAATGCCATCCGCGATCGAGTCGATCACCTTAGTCTGTACGGCGTCCTGATCGTGTTTTCTAGCCTGATCCTGGTTGTGGCCACGTTCATCTCCCACACCGTAGCCGCCCTCATCATGCTCCCTCTGGTCCGACAAATCGGCGTCAGCATGGAAGACCCGCACCCCAATCTGCTGGTCATGGCTAGCGCCCTGATGTGTTCCGTGGCCATGGCCTTGCCGACCAGTGGATTCCCTAACATGAGTAAGTTCCTTTCCTATCTGGGTCCATTGTAAACCCGACTAACTTTCTGCTTTTCCCAGCGGCCATCATGACCGAAGTACCCCAAACCGGCCAGCGATACCTCCAGGTCAACCACTTCTTAACCCGAGGTATCCCGTCCAGTTTGATGGCGTTTGCAGTGATCGTGACCATCGGTTACGGGCTAATGTACGTCGCCGGACTATAAACCATGAACAAGTGGGTTCTTGCACCAGAGACCTCTCATGGAAGAGTACATGCATTCTGGCTTTCAATCAGTCATCTTGCTCTTTCTACTTTATCACGGTGATACGACCACACGCTGTCCTGTGCTTTCTTACTTCCGTTGCTCTTTTTTTACCTTTTGGTTTTCGAGTATTCAGCGACTGTGCTTCTCACGTCTTGGATATATTTTACTTTTGTCAATTCGCTGTTGATCTGGTTCGATTGGAGTGCCCGGTATATTGCTTTGTCCTGTTGTTCCTGTTATGGATTTCTTAGACGAGATATAGGTACTATAGTTTACTATACATGGTAGAAAAGGCCGGAGAATAAGGGTGTGGCGGAATTGATTTGACTTGCTCATGTATATCTGTTGATTTTTTTTTTTCCTTTTCCCCCAAGCTTTCATGTTAATATCTGTTTTACTAGACTGTGCCTTATCTTACAAGACCAGACCCGATCAATTCAAATTGGACTGGGGAATACAAAAGTTGCCTTGAGTTATAAATTTGAATATAGTTCATTAGTCATTCCGTGTCCTTGGGATCCAATCCTGAGAAATGTCATGACCGGGATCCCATGTCCAGGAATATTATACATGCATCGCATCGTTCCGATATCGAGATATAATGAATATAAAAAAGGAAAAAGGGAAAAAGAAAATCCAGATTCACCGTGCCATGCCACCCTGAAATAAGAAAAAAAAAAGAAAAAGCTAATCATCAACTGTGAAATAGGCAGCACGGGAGATCTAGAACTCTGCGAAAAATTCCAAAAGGCATTATCATATGCGAACGAGCAAGAGGCAAAAGCATGAAAGAACAGAGCAAAGGTATCGAGTATGTGCAATGAAGCAAAGACGAATACGAGATAGGAAATGCGGTTTTTTCGTCTATCGATCGAGTTCACATCACGTCGTTTAGTTGCTGTTCAAAAGGCAGGTTAGTTTTAAGTTCGTATGGAAGGTTAGGTAGGCAGGGGGGTGGTAACTGACAGCAATCCAAGAGTCAGATCACCATGAATCTTGGCCTTCAATTGCACTTCGATGTCGAGGTTCAGGTCTAGACGCAGCCGCAGCTGTTCGTCCTTTCCTCCTTCCTCACCACCCTCGTTCTTTCCGCCGCCGAGGATGCCCCCAACGGCCTTACCAGCCGAGTCGGTGACTCCGTTGACAGCATTGCCGGCCGTGTTCTGGACCAGGTCACCGACTTGGTCCACTCCACCCAGGCCCCCGAGTGGGCCGCCGTCTTGTTCTTGGGGCTGACGGCGCTGGCGGCGCTGGCGACGGGGCTTCTCAGTAGTGTTCTCCATTGCTCCGGAGTCCTGACGAGTTCTCTGGGGACGGGGTCTTCTCTGGCGACGTTCAGGAGCTGGTTCCCTTTGAGGAGCGGGCTCGTTATCCGAGTCTGGTTCTTGCTTGAACGTCTTTTTGTTGTCGTCCTCTTCTTGTTTGGGTTGAGGGGAGGCAGGACCGTTGTCTTGTCCTTCTTCTTTGGGTTGAGGGGAGGTAGGACCGTTATCCTGTTCCTGTTCCTGTTCCTCTTGAGGCTTGGGAGTGGTGTTCTCGTTCTCCTGTGCGGGGGTCTGGGGGTTGTCCTCCTTATCAGACATGATGGGAAGAAAAAAAAAAGAGAAAAAGAAGAGTTTAGAGGTCGAAGAAAAGAGGGGATTATATCTGGCGTAAGGGGGGCTTGGTTACCTGATGGGCGCTACTTAGTGTCGGAGCGATATGACCGCATCGCGTCCCGATCTAATTTATATGACCTTCACGATCATGCAAGGGTGCAACATCGCCCAGCCCACCTCCGACGTCAGCTGCGTTCAAAACGAGGAGCGGAGATTGGATCAAAAATGAGGAAGCGAGGGCAGCGTCATCTGTACCACAGTGAGGAGGAGGGCTGGAGCTTGCCCTGATTGCACCGGGTGGAGGCCGACAATGACGTCTCGAGTACAAGGATGTCAGCCTTTCGCATCTTGCTCTGCCGCTCGCGATCGCCGACCATACTGAACCGGGAAAGGGGTTAATATATTAGCGCACGTTGTATGGCCCGAGCTGATCCATCGTGAATGGCCCACTTGACGGCTTAGACGCAAGATGACGCCACGCACGTCAGTGCGGTCGAGATCTTGGGTCATCCTTCTTCTCAGGCCCGGTTTTCATGGAGATGACAGGTACGACAAACGTCGGGAAATTACGATGGCCAGTGTATCAGATTTTGGAGTCGTGGGTGCCAGTCCAGACGAAAGTCTGGTTCCCAGTCCGCGCGTGCGTACCGTGGGCGTACCATGGGCGATGGACTCAAGTGTACCTGGTTTATGTCTGTCAAGCACTGGAAATAGAAACCCGTAAACATCGGCTCGGACGACATGCGTTAACTTGTTTGGAGCCTTGATGGAGGTGGGATGACGAATGGGGAGTAAATTTGGGTCTCCAGACTTTCCGGACGTCTGACCATCCAGAAGTCGAAGATGCTGTCGGTCGCGCCACCGATGTGATCACCGATTGTTGGAGGCGCATTGCAGGACAACGTCATGGGCTTGGCCATGCATGTACGTAGTAGGAGTTGCCCATCTCCGGGGAGAGAAAAAGCAGACAAAAACTGTCTCGCTCGTCGACTCTCGTCCAGCCTTTTTCCTATCCATCAATTTTTCTCCCTCTCGTCCGTTTCGATTACCTCTCCCAGTCTTTGGCCGGTCTTTTTTTTTACCTCTCTTTTCTTGTCCATTCATTCCTAGCTCCGGACAAGGACCCCGTCTAGCTGCAGCTTGATTTTCATTCGCTGTTATCATCCGGCGTGCTTGTAGATCAAGACTCCCATAAACAATGGCAACCGCAACCGCCGAGAAGCCCAAGGAGCAGAAACGCTTCCAGCAGCAACAGGACGACTACTCGGACGACGATTATGACTCGGATGAATATTCGATCTCGGGAGACGAAGATGACTATGCCCCTCAGAAGCCCAGTCAAAAGCAGCAGCAGCAGCGACGACGTCAGCCGAACCAACAAAGACGTCCTGCTGATGACGAGGACGACTATCTGTCCGACGACTATTCTACAGACGAGTATGACGACGACTATGAAGATGCCGACGAAGAAGTTCCGAACAATGCGATGCAGCCGTTCAAGCGGGGTCAGCAGTCATTAACCAACCAGGGCATCAGCAGCCAGGACCCGGTGCAAAACGGAGCGATGAACACCGTGGATAAAGGGGGCGAGGAGAAAGACGACGGCCTGCGACTGACCCTGGAACTGAACCTCGAGATCGAGGTGGAACTCAAAGCGCACATCCACGGCGATTTGACCCTATCCTTACTGTAAGTTGCTTTCATTATGGCCTCATCGTACCTCCACTCCATGGGGCTCTCTAAGAATTGAATAGGAGTTGACCACTTCTTAACTATGCAGTGCATAATGAACGGTGGCCGCTTGTGCCCATGCTCGTGTCGAATTCGATGAGTTGCAAGGCATGGACTGCTTCTACTCCTCACTCTTTTTTTGATACCGTCTTCATTTTTATATGAAGTCATGAATGGTTGGCCGTGGTTTGAGGCCTTGTATTTTCTTTCTATCTTTCTTTTCGTTTTATGTTTCTTCGATTTCCGATAGAATTCGGTTGTTTGTGTTGATGCGTGTTGTGCGTCCTTATACTCCATCTGCTGGCATGATTGATCGGGTTTGTCCGGTGTTTTTATTTCTTGAACTAGGTTGGAAAGACTTTGCATTTAATTTGATAATATTGACATTGTCGTTCAATGAACCCAGCCGGTCAGAGTCGATGTTGACAGTCCTACTACGGCATACTCCATAGTCTGTAGTGAGGGTGGGTCGAGGGAGACCATGCTAGAGCCCAATGGTTAGTGACAGTCCAATCCCAAGGGAACCGAACTGATCATCTGGGGTAGAACAAACTAGGATGTGATCTTCCCGGGGTGATTGATGGGGATGTTGATGAATGAGAGAATGTGTGTAAGAAAGAATGAGAGAGCAAGAGAGACGGAGAGGGAATGGCCGCCATCACGTGGCGCACGGGATCCGAGGATGGCGGATGGCAGGCTGGACTCTCCCTGACTCTCCCTGAATCTTGGATCCTGACGGAGGATTCCAACCACCGAGGTCAGTCACCGTGAAGCATCCCAAGTACATGTGCGCCGAAGCAAAGCCGAGGCCGGATCTTGGCAGGAGAAGACCGATCCTCCCCGCTCCGACCGAGTCCCGAACTAAACCACGATAGTTACCACGATTGCCGGCAAAGCCGTTGCAATTGCTCTACCAACTCCCTACCACTTGCTATTTTCTCCCTATCAATCCAAGTGACAGAATTCACAAACTGAGCCATCGCCATGGCATCCTCGAATGCTGCGGACCAGTCCGCCACCACGAGCAAGAATTTCATCATCAAGCACATGAACGCCGACCACCAAAAGTCCCTGGCGATGTACCTGCGAGTCTACTGCCACGTCTCTGCATCCGAAGCCAAATCCGCTCGCCTCGAAGACATCAGCCTGTCCGATCTACTCCTCAGCGCCCAAGGCACGCGCTACACCGTGCCGCTGGATCCGCCCATGGCCTCGTTCTCCGAGACCCGGGGCCGAGTCGTGGCCATGCACAAAGAGTGTCTGCAGAAACTGGGAATCTCGGACATTACGATCAACGAGTATCGCGCGCCGCGGGGTGTCGGGGCAGTGGGATTCGCCGTGTGTCTGGCTGCGATCGTGGGATTTTGTCGGCGCGACAACTTCGTGCCCGGGTCGCTGGTCTACGAGACGATCGGACTGGACAGTTTCCCCGCGATGTCCCAGTTGTGCTACAAGGTGCAGCCCCTGGTGTTCTCCTTTCTTGTGGGAGCGCATGTCATTGAGGCGACTCTGTTGGCGATCAAGCGATTGAAGCCGCACGGGGTGCCCTTCTTGTCGGCGGCGTGGATCGGGTGGGTGCTGTCCACGCTGGTGGAGGGATTTGGGGCATGGATGCGGTTTGACGCGATGGTTAAGGAGAAGCGAGGGAAGGAGCACAGTCAGTAAAGGTAGTGATGAGAAGTCGATACTGTAGTATTAACTAGTGGATAATAAGAAGAATGACAAGATGACTAAAACAGAAAGGAATAGAGATGAGTCAGCAATGCCAAGGCCCCGAGGCGAAGTCACGGGAAGTCACGGGACCGGAGACTAGCACCCGAAGCGGCTAGCGCAGTGTGGAATAGGGCAACCTTCGACACAAGCGAGCCACAGTGCGAAATTCACGAGAGTCCGACGACCAGCAGTTCAACTCCTCGACGACAAACCCAACGACCCTTGCCCGCTGCGTTCCTGGTGAAGGGCTGCAGGATTAGAGGTGAGTTTCTCGTGCCTATTGCCTCCGTCTTCGATCTCCCTGTTGTTCCTGTTTTCGTCGTTCTCGCTGTTATCGGTGCGCCGTGATCAAGTCTCGTCGAGCGTCAATTCGAGTCGGGATTGGGATCGAATCGCCCAGAGGACAGCGCAAAGGTTCAGAAAAGACAAGAAGAACAACTTCAGCGTCGACACCGTTTTTTTCTTTGGATCTCCGACACTACGGTCTGGAATTATAAGAAAATTTCTTGGATTTGCGACTGTCCCCCCACCCACGACAATCGATCAATTCGTCTACACTTCTGCCTACGCACACGAGAAGAGAAAGCACAAGAAAAAAAAAAAAGAAGACAATCAGGAAGACAAGGAGATTGCAAGACCGCGAGATCGATCTGGTCTCGTGTGAAAATCTTTTCCATCATCCACTAATACCCATCTCTCTCCTTCTAGTCCATCTATCGCCAACATGGGTATTTCTCGCGACTCCCGTCACAAGCGCTCGGCTACCGGTGCGAAGAGGGCCACCTACCGCAAGAAGAGGTATGAAACCGGCTGCGAACCCACATCGTGATGGTTATCCGGCGATTCAAAGTTTCTGACGGTTTTGTTTTTATTTGCATTCAGGGCGTTCGAGAAGGGTCGCCAGCCCTCCAACACTCGTATCGGTACCAAGAGAATCCATCTCGTCCGTACCCGCGGTGGCAACCGCAAGTTCCGTGGTCTCCGTCTCGAGGCCGGTAACTTCTCGTGGGGATCCGAAGGCATCTCCCGCAAGACCCGTGTCATCGTCGTGGCCTACCACCCCTCCAACAACGAGCTGGTCCGTACCAACACCTTGACCAAGTCCGCCGTTGTCCAGATCGATGCCGCCCCCTTCCGTCAATGGTACGAGGCCCACTACGGCCAGCCCATCGGCCGGAGACGCCAGCAGAAGTCCGACGTCCCCGAGGAGAAGAAGAGCAACAGCGTCACCAAGAAGCAGGCTGCTCGCTTCGCCGACAGCGGCAAGGTCGAGTCCGCCATCGAGCGACAGTTCGAGGCCGGTCGTCTGTACGCCGTGATCGCCTCGCGTCCCGGCCAGAGCGGCCGCGTGGACGGCTACATCCTGGAGGGTGAGGAGCTGGCTTTCTACCAGCGTGCGATCCGGAAGTAGACGAACGTGAGAAGAAAAAATGTGTGGAAACGGGTAGTATTTGGAGTTTGTTCAAGCAATTTTTTACCAGAAATTCAATACGTTATGAATCTGGGCCTCTTTCGCTGTTTCGGAGGTTGCATTTGTTGTTGTAGAAGCTCCTGAACGACTTGTTCGAACAAATGGAAATGATCCTAGTTACGTTGTTTCAATTAAGATTTTAATGTCTCTTTTTTTTTCCCCCTCGTACCTCATCTTGTTGACCTTGATGTGATGTTGATGTTGATGTTTTCTGTTGATGCTGATTGATGTGGATGCCTTAGGGCTGCCTTCGACATGTCTATGACGCCACCCTCGACTTTACCTTCACCAATTCCCCTCATCCACTCCCACTTCCACCCTTTCCCTACTTACCTGCCTACCTTCTCTTCACTTACCTTCCTCAAGAATCGTAAAATCCCCCCATCTACTTTCTCAAAAGGTCAATCCCCCAAAATGCCCCCCGACAAAACCATCAAAACCCGCCTCTGCCTCATCTCCGACACCCACAGCCTCCCACCCAACCCGCCCTCCGACACCAGCAACCCCTACCGACACCCCCTGCCGTGGTCCAACATCCTGCTGCACGCGGGGGACCTGACAAAGCTAGGCCGACGATCCGAGCACCTGGGGATGCTGTCGATGCTCAAGAACGCGCCGGCGGAGCTGAAGCTCGTGATCGCCGGCAACCACGACATTACGCTGGACGAGGAGTACTACACGCGGGTCGGGCACTACCGCCACCGGTACCGCAGCGGGTACACGGCGCCGTCGGCGAGGTTCGGCCTGGAGCGGTTCACGACCGGTGGCACGGGCGGGACGGACGTCGAGGACGTCGACGCCGTCGAGGACCCCGTGGCGATCAAGGCGCTGTGGACGAGCGCCGACGCCCAGGCCGCCGGCATTCGGTACCTGGAGGAAGGGACGCGCGAGTTCCGGCTGTCAACCGGGGCGCGGGTGCGGGTGTATGCGTCGCCGTATACGCCGGAGTTCTGCGAGTGGGCGTTTGCGTACGAGCGCGGCGAGGACCGGTATGATGCGGCGAAGGGGGCGAGGAACCCCGTGCCGACGTTCCCGCCGGGGGTGGATGTGATGCTGACGCATGGTCCGCCGTATGGGATTCTGGACCAGGTGGTGCCGGGGCATGAGAGCGTGGGCTGTGAGCATCTGTATCGCGCGGCGGAGAGGGCCAAGCCGCGGCTGCATGTGTTTGGGCATATTCATGAGGGCTACGGGGCGCGGCGGTTCGAGTGGAGCACACATAATCGGTCGATGATCCAGTGTGACGAGACGACGGCGCGCGAAGAGCGATGCGCCTTTGTGGATGTCAGCGAGAGTACGAACAGTTCGCTGCGCGTCGGTAAGGAGACGCTGTTCATCAATGCGAGTGTCGTGACGGTGGAGTATGAGCCGGTCAATGCGCCGTGGGTGGTGGATCTGGAGCTCCCGCTGGATGAGGATGGTGGTAGAAGTAATTGAGGGTAGTGGATGGCTGGTACATCATATATATATGTCTCTATAACTACCTATATCTATATAGTACATGAGTATTTACGGCGTGGTGGGTCTGAGGTTTGATAAAGCTGACATTAGCGTGAGTTGAATGATATATTCTACATGACTGCCGACGGAATAGACAAAATGCCCAATGCTTCATTTCTTATATAAAAACCACGCCTCCCAAGGACCAAACCCACCAGCCATTTGCCTCCACGGGTATAAAAGGGTCCATACATGATAGTAACAGTATGCAATGAAAGAAGTCAAAAAGGATCGAATGCAAAAAAGTCGCCTAATAATTTACATGTCTTTCCAAACCTTGGAAATAGAAGAGAAGAGAAAAAAAAAGTTGCAATTGCAACGGACAAAAAAGAAAAATGTCAGGTATCTGGAGAAGAAATGGTAAGATCATGCCCTGGACAGGCTGAGAAAAAAGAAAAAGAAATCGAACGATATGTGTCAGGCATATCAAGATCAAATAAAAGGAAATAAGTATCCAAAGGAATGTTCTCAAGCCGGGCGTAAGAAGCAGTGAACGCTGCAATGCAAATATAAGAATGGGTGAAAAAAGGTGAAAGGAAGAAATGTCCAGGCATTACAAGGAATAAGATGAAAACCATATGAAGAGAGACTCTGGAATCACTCTTCGTGGACGGTCATTCCATTGGAGTCAGACCGGAAATCAAGACGACTGCCTTTCCGATTGAGGCCCTTGAAGAGACTGAATCGCTTCATGACGGAATCCCGCACGCCGCCGCTAGAATGCCCGGTTGCTTGGCTAATCGGACTCCCAATCTCGGGACTTCTGATGGAGGTCGCACTGCTCTGCGTCATGGGTCGCGGGTGGTCTTTGATCGAAGGGATAGTGGACCATCCCGACCGAGGGCTTGTGACCGATGGTTCGCCCGCAGATGTCCCGTTTGGCTGCTGCTGCGACGTAGGCGTATTGATGCTTTCATGGGACTTTGCGGCCGCATCTCGAGAGGCACTTCGCGATCGCTGCGAGGAGCTCTCGGCGGAATTACCACCGGGGACTGACAAGGACGATGTGTGTTTATGCAGCTTCTCTCCGAAGAAGCTCCTCCGCTTCGATTGCGTGTCTCGAGATTGATTGGTGGTTCGACTGTGGACAGTTATCGCATCCGCATCGCGCTCTTGTGAAGTCTCGGCCCGCGAAGGCGCTCGGTGGGAATCCTCGATTCCATTGGTGTTGCCGGCTGGCTGCGACGCCGCCACCCCTTGGACCGTAGAAACAGAGTTACTGGCTCCGTGGTTGGAGCGTTTGAAGGGGTTCATCACGCTGATTCGATGACTAACAGAGGGTTTCTGGGAATGCTTTCGGCTGTGGCTGTTTTGGCGTGACGACCGGATCAATTCATGCTCGGGGCTGGTGGATCGCGCCAGGGACTGCGGCTTGCGACTGACGGAAGGAGTCCGAGAATAGGGCAAGGTCAACTGAGGCGTGTCCTGCGCCATCGGGGTGAGAGAAGACAGTTCGGGAGCAAACGCATCCTCAAAGCGGCGGATTAATTCGGCCTGTGTTGCTTGGTGGGCAGGACGATGGAACATGGCAAGAGCATGCTTGATCGCTAGCGCATGGTCGATTAGAGCGACGGCTAGAGCGTTTCTCAGGGGATCGGCTGGCGTTGGGGTGTCCTCAATTTCGTCCTCAGCGCGAGTCTCGGACAGGAATTGACGATAAACGGCCACACAGCTGGTCGAGGAAGAGTTGCGGTCTAACAATTGGTCCAATGCCTCGGTCAGGCTGGAAAGACTCGAGTCTTCACCGGATGCCGCTCGCCTCTGCAAGAGAGCCAACTCCTGGGTCTTACGCCATGTGCGCTCAAGAGCGGTTTGCAAAGGTGACAATGCAACCTCTTCGGTGATAACCACCTCGCTCCTGCGGAGGATATTCGGGAAGGGGTCTGCAGTGGTATAGATGGTTTTCTCGACCCACTGTCCCTGAACATTCGCCCCGCGGACATGTTTCTTCAACGTTGAGGTGAATCGGCAGGGCTCGGAAATCAGAAGATGGTCCCTGACCGAAGACGGGATTTTCGATCGTTGATAAACCGGATGGTTCATGTCTCGGTAGACGCTGACAGGATTAATGTGTAGATACTGGCCCTCATAATCGTGGGGTTCCCCAGAGGAAACAATCTGCGCCGCGGGGTGCTCTCGCTGCATGTGATCCACGAAATTGGCCATGCGCTCACCTGGTGCGCATTCGAAGATAAACTCCTTGTCTCGCAAGTTTGTCGGAAATCCAAGCCCCTTGTAGAGAACCCGGAAGTATCGGGGGAAGTGTTTTTCTTCTCGCGAGACGGTGTCGTAGATCCTGGCCATGGAGCCTTGGGCCCGTGAGAGCTTGGCGAAGTCCACCATCGTGTCTTCGTATTGCTGGGCAAGCTCTTTGTAGCAGACCAGGGCATGAGCCCATGCCTTTGCGTCCTCGAAGTATTGGATGATCGTGAAGTAGAGCGATTCCTTCCTCTCAAAGCACGTCTGCTCGGGCAAAGCAGGGTTCAGGAGTTCGGGAACCGTCCGCTTAGGGTCCCAGTCATAAAGGTCGGCGTGGAACTGGAGCGCAAGGGCGGCTTCACAAAAGTTGCCCGCCTCAGCCTGCACTTGGGCGAGCTCGTGAACATATCGAATGAAAATGTCCTCTCGTCCCATGTCTTTCATGTATTCCATCAGCCGCAGCGTGTGCAGGCTTTCAGCCATGGAGCCACCCTGAGAGGCAACGAAGAGATCCAGCAGTTCGTCCACTGTCACAATGAGGGCTTTGACCGCATTGGACAAGTCCTCGTCAAAAGACGCGCACTCCTCGAAGTGCTCAAGCAGTTCTCCAATAAAGAGCTTTTGGATGACGCCCTCGCTCATGTTTTTTGTCTTGAATAGATTATCCAAGCTGGAGATGATCTCTGTCTCGATGATGGAGAGATCCTGGTTGAGGCTCCATTCGCTGAGAATCATGGTGCGCAGGATCTCGACTGCTACGTGCCGCAGTCCCTCGTGGACACTGAGGCAGAGCTCGATGATCGGGGCCACCAGACCGGGAACATATTGCACCTGGTAACCACCAAGTTTCTTCAGGCCGAAACGCTCCCGCTCATCATCGGTAGTCTCCCAGCCGATCGCCTCCCAACTGGAGTTCAACAAGTCTGCACCTTGCTCCCGGACATCACCCGCGATCTTCCAGATGGCGCGCCTCTTTTGTTCGGGGAATGTCTCCAGAGCCAGAACGTCGCTCGACACGACCTTGAGCAAGGTCATGAAGAAGTTCTCCCAGAGCCTTGTGTCGAAGCTCTCGGCATCATCCGGCGAGGGAAGGAACTTATGAATCATGATGGAAGAGAGGTGTTCAAGACTTTTCACGGTGGCGCGGTGGTTATAGACATGAACACTGAGCCAGCTCTCGGGGTAAGGCTCACAATTCAGGATCGAGGTATGGACCTCGAACGCCTGGGAGAGGAAGGTGGATAGCTCCAGACCCTTGAGTCGAGGCCTTTTAGGGTTGGTCACCGTTGTCATGGCAGCCATAATTGCAGATAGTTCCACAAGGGCTTCATCGAACTTCTGTGTGTTCTTGGACAATTTGACCTGAAACGGGAAGGACTTGCTGAACAGCAACGAGAGGTATTCGGTATCATCCACCCCATCAGGAATGATAGAATAGTATGAGGAGACAATATGCGGCATGAAATCATAAAGGTATGGGTTTGGCTCCCTCAACAACTCCGCCACGATCGCACAATTCAGGCGGACTTGGTCGCGGTAAAGGTCGGATACCGAGCCTGTCGCTCCCCAGTAAGGCGCCAACCAACCCACGCAGCTCGTGATCAAGCTTTGCCTCTCCGATCCCGAGCAAAAGATCTCCAAACGCGTGTAATGCTGAATCAGAATCAACTTGTACAATATGAGCATGCCTTTCACGTCTTTGCACGAGTCCATGAAGCTGAGAGCCACCATGATGATTTCGTCCTTTGGAAGCACCTTGGATAGCTCCGGCAGCCACGTGTGGAAATGTTGGACCACCAGCGTCTTGCTTCCAACCATGGCCGGAGAGGAATTTTTCATGAGGACTTCAAGCGACTTGAAGATTGTATGAAGATCTCGATTGAAAGTCGACTGTACCCGAGTAATGCCAATGCCTTCCTCTTTCACTTTCTGCTGCAGTCTGGCATTGATAATGAATTTGAGGACATGTCTTCCGACCTTGAATGTTGCCCGGAGACTGCGTGATTGTTGAGGATCCGAATTGGCCTGCAGGAGGCGTGAATAGCTTCGGATGAGACAAGGAGTGGCGAAGGGGAAGTTGAACTGGGTGTCGGCATAATTATCGACCAGCGGGCCCAAGTTGAACCGGCGATCATGAACAATACCAAGCACGGTCACCAGGTTCTTGAAGATCAGGTCTTCGTATTCCTCATTACCGGCGTTCTCTACCAAGATTCCAAATAGAGCATCGAAGACACCGCGTAGCTGCTTGACAATCTCGATCTCAGGAACAAAGAGAACCCGCTTCAGAGTGTCCAATACCTCGTCCACTGGCCGCTCCCTCCAGTTGAGCAGGCTGAGTATCACCTGGTCCTGTGAATACTCAGTACTACACAGGTGAGTCTCAAGACGCAAAGTAGCCATTGGTCCCGTGATTGCCTCGTCTTTGGCGGATTCGTTCTTGCCAAGTGAGCTCCACGGCAAGGTGAGATAGGCACCCTTGCCGTTCTCAATGGTGGAAGTATGCTTGTCGTAGGCATGTAACAATAACGAATGGGGGCCATCACGCATGAAAGCTTGATTGTCCCAGAGGGGCATCCAAGCGAGAGCAAAGGGGAACTCAGGAGCATCCGCGACGCTCATGATCAGGTGTGATCCCGGAATCTCCTCGGCAGGAATGTTTAGACGGATGGTCTGGTTCCAAGGAGTGCCTCGTTGAACTATGGTGGTCCGCCATGCTGTGTGGGCTGTGTTATTGGATGAGGGAAAGATACATCGTTCAATTCGTGCCCCTGACGATGCCCGCACCTCTAGTGTCAGCTGCAGGTTGTTGAATGCCGTATTCGAGGGTATCGGCACTTGCCCCGCCTGGGGATGTGAAAGGAGTGCTTCCGGGGGGAACGAGGCCTGTGAGATGGATACATAAATATCGGATCTTGGTTTCGAGGGAGCCTGGGAGAACCCGATTCTCCTGGTCTGGGCAACGTTGTGCATGATCGTCGGGTTTTGCCACACCAGAGCGTCGGAGTCAGAGGCTACAAAAGGTTGCAGGTGAATATGAAGGCGAGCGGCACGCTGGGATCGTACGTATTTCCCAGTGCGGCTGGGAAGCAACGTCCGCACCAATTCATCGAACCCGTCCGTATGGCCGTCGCCGTCTTCGCTTTCCTCGGAAGGTGACCAGATATTTATCACTTGCTCAGCGTCTTTGTCTTGCCGAAGGATCTGGGAGACCTCCAGAAGACCGACCCCTACCGTGCGAGTCTGGGTGGACTCCTTTGCAGACTGACCCGCCGTTCGATCCCTGTTGCTCGACGTACTCTCTGAAGACTGCGGAGGGCCTCGAGGACTCTGTCTTCCCTGCTCCGCACTCTGAATACCGCGCGGCTTTGATGACCACATCATGCTACGGCGCGTCTTCAGGCTGCCTTTGACCGATGGATTGAGTGCTGGCGATTGCTTGGAAGCGGAGGAGCCTTCCCGGGAGACTGACGGCCTTGGCTGGGACGAAGCTGCCGTGGAGGAAGCAGTCTCCGTGGCCCGAACCGCAACCACCAGATACAGACTGGGTCCATTCGCCGAATCGTCGCCGATGTCATTGCCGCTCAACTCGGTGAAGAGCGTCTTCAGCTTGTTGCTCTGCCCCATGCTGGCGAACTTCTCGGGAGACGGGATATAGAGGTGGTATGCTTCGGACAGAGGGCTCAGGGCACCGGCTTCAGATTGAACACATAGATACAGGGCGAGGGTTACCGGACCCGGAGCATTGCCCGAAACGGCATTGATCTCAAGGAGTAGATGATGGAGCGCAGCCGTATCGGCCTGATGCGTAGGGCTGCTTTCTAGCATGCTCATTTCCGACTGAAGTTTGGCCAACTGAATGGCCGAGTCCTCGCCGGTCAACAAGCGGCCCCGTTGGTCGGGATCTCGAACAATAATATCCGCGCCTAGCATTTTATTCCCCCGAACCAGCTTCCAGACCACCTCACGCCGCAGCGCCTCTTTCTCCTGCGCCGTGAGCACATTATATAACAGCTGCCGTCGGGCAAAATCGAGTTCGCGGACGATGTTGGTCATCTCCTCCACGACGCTGTACTGTCGGTTCAGCAAGAGCTGATGGAGGTTGGTGGAATGCCATTCGCGGAGGCACGATGCGATCTCGTCGACCAAAGGCTCGGACGAAGAGGTGGGAGTCTCGTCGCCGATCTTGAGCATCGGAACAGGGGCTGCGGGTTTAGGGGCGTTGGGATCCCGAGGAGTCACAGCCACCGGGGTGTGTGGAAGGGACGTCGATGCCGCGGGGCTATGTAGCAGTGAACGGGGGCTGGGCTGGCCATCTTCCTCCAATTTCTGTATGAAAATCTGCGACGGTTTGCCCTTTTTCGCAATCACAACATCCGACACCTCACCCGGCACCGGATCGTCGTAATGTATCGAGGCCAGGCTGTTTCGGATACCTGTCGGGTCGGCGCTTGAGCGGTCGCCGTTCGTCAAGCCTCGTTGTCCATCTGCGTCGCCCAACACCTCACGGATCTCGACGCAATTGCGGGGGAAAATGCCCGAAAACACGCGCGCTTCGAGGGTCTGGCCCTTGGTGCTGGTCAGGCCCGCCAGCAGCGAGGGCGGAGCGACGAGATACCCGCGACACCATTCTCCATTGACACCACCCTGCTCAATTATATACAACTCATCGCCTAGTTCGAGGGGTAAATCGGCCGGCGTTGACGGTTGGAAGGGATAGATGGCGACAGCGAAAGCGATTCGAGGCAGAGGCCGCCAGGGCATATCTGCTATCGAGGCGGCCGTCCAGAGCGCACCCCGCAGCGGTCGTCACAATGGCCGTAAAGAATGGAAGCGGGGACTGGAGGCGAGCGGAAAGGGGGAGGGGGGAAGAACTGGAATTCACTCCTGATCGAGGAATGGGGCGCTACATGCAGCGGTCGCGTAGTCGGTGCTTGAAGAAAGGGAAAGGAGGAATGTGGGCGATTCCCAAAGGGGACTGAGTCTGGTAGCAAACGAGGGTAGGTCGCTGAGTTGGTATGTTTAAAAGGGGGGGGAAGGAGGGCCACTAAAAGTCCATCACTAAATCCACCCTTGTTAGCAGAGGTAGTTTAAAGGTAAAAAGGTGATTTCGCACGAAATTAATGGTAACCGGGGGGTCAATTGCTCGCAGGACCAGTTCCCATCAGGGGAGGTTGAAGTTGCACGGGGGAGGTCGCCAAAGAAACCATGGGCGAGTGTTCATCAATCACCACAAGCGATCAGAACGACTTGACTGCTCAATGGGGGAGTTTTTTTAATTTTTTTTTTTTTTCTCTTTCTCTTTTGGCCCATTATTCTCCCTGGGCAGCCCGATTTCCTCCCATGGGCTTTTGCCCCCCTAGCAGGCAGTGGATGGCCGGGCCTGTGGAGCCCAACCATCAATTGTTCACCTTGGCAGGAACTGTGGAGAACAGGCAAGCAACGAAGGGGGAGGGGGACAAGTTGGACGGAGCAGAGAGAGTTTAGAGGACGTACCCGATGGAGGCCAATGAGTCCGGGCCAACGGTGGTGGCACAGGTCAAGTTGAAAGGAAGCCAGACGGAGGGATGGAGCCGTGAAAGAGGAAGAGTCTCGACTGAAGGAAGATCGAGAAAACGAAGGACGGTCCTTAGTGCCTGAGGCTAGACCCCCGAGGCACCCAATAATAACACCAACTAAGAAGAAGTCGGAATCCCTCCTGAACGGATCTCGATTCGTCGGGTGTTTCCTTGGAATATTAAACATTCTTATTTAGTATCTCCTCCCTAGCGGACTAGCTCCTGTCTCCTGTCGTCCATCTCTATCTATCATCCAAATCTTAAATCCGCTGTCCAGACCTGAAGTCGATCGAGTCTCCACCGCGTCGAAAGAACCATTTGATCCGTCAACCTCTCCAGTTCCCAGCACCCTGGGTAAATGGGTCCCCTGGCACGTTTCCTGCAGCTCTCTTTTCTTTTTTCGGCGTCAGACTGTATGCGTCATGTCCCCTGAAAAATTTCGATCTATCACGCTGGACGGAGTCTGATTCGCGAGTGTCTCCCCCCCTGAACCAGACCATTGGATGGGCCCCTTCACCTCGACTACGCATCATTCATGATTATGATTGATCCGTGATTATTCAGAGCCGCTAATGAGGGTCCCCAACTAACCGTCGGCCTTAAACTGGGATAAGAAAAGTGACGAATTTAGGCACTTTGGTGCCGGCCCACTGCTCGGACTTCCCATGGTTCTGGTGTTTCAGCTGCTGTAGATCTTCTGACTTCGACCTCGTGCCATCCGACGTGGGAAAAGGACCTCCGTCCTATAAATAATTGATTACATGCCGATAAAGGCCGGGATTCAACGGACGGCTAACGTTGCGACGACCCCCCGGTTCGTGGTCTGGCCGGTCCAGTCGACTCGCACCGTCACACATCCAAAGCAAGGGGATCTCATCGAACAAGTAACACAAGGAACACAAATGCAATACATATCCAACCCGGGCGCCCCGATCTATGATCTGCCGAATAAAAAGAAAATGCTCCTTCCTTGCCACCCCCGGTATACAAGTGCAAACATAAAAATCGTAGCGGTAAAAGGGGGCTTGGAAAGATGACAATGATACAAGGATATAGAGATATCAGAAAGGGGGAGAAAACAAAAAAGAGAAGATGAGAGAAAAAAAAAATGCCGCTGGATCCAACTACTTCCTGAACATCGTCATCACGTCCTCCTTGTTCCACTCCAGCTCCAACTGCCCCTCGTACACCGCAGCGAGAACCCGTCGAGTCCGGTCGTGCGCGTCCTGGTAGCGACCCTCGCATGCCCGAATCACCTTCAGCACCAGACTCCGGCTGAGTCCCGGATCGTCGGCATCTCCGAAGTGCTTCTCGACTCGTTTCTTGAGCAATTCGATCCCTCGCCGAATCTCCTTGATGTCGTACGTCGCCAACACCTTCTTTGCCACCGACCGGGAGTGGCTGGGACGGCTGGCAATGTCCGTCCGGTTGTTGGTCGCCGCCATCATCCCTTCGGCAGATTCCACAAATTCCAGCAGCTTGCCCAAGGGTCGGTGAATGACCGAGTCCAAGTACAGCTTCATGTGCTCTCGGAAATCTTGATGTGCCCGGTCGCGCCATTTTTCTAGCACGGGAAGGCCGCGAACATCCACCTCCTCGAAGTAATGATTCATGTTTTCGATCAGAAGAATGTGATAGTTGAGAATCTCCTTGTCCTCTGGGTCGCCTGACGCGGCGGTGGCCCCGGTGGGTTGCCCCGGTGCCTCTTTGGCGATGAACTTCAGGGACTCCCACATGGCCTGGTTGATTCGGTTGTAGGCCTCGTTGACACTGATTCGGATGTCGAAGAACTCTTGTGTCGGTTGGGAGAGCATGCTCTCCACGGCCGTCGAGAAATGGGGGAAGACCCGCATAAACGAAATAACTCCCTTTCGCTTGTTCACCTTGACCTTGGTGTCTTCAATGCCACGGATCTGCTCATCCACAAAGCGGTTGAATAGGCCAATCAGGCGAGAGTGCAGCTTCTGAAGGGAATGGATGATAAAATCTTGGTTGGTCTCGTCATACTTCGAGATGGCTTTTTCCAGGGCGAACAAGATCCCAATTCCCTGCCTGTACATGAAAGTTAGCTTGGTGAGACATCGCACTTTTGAAGCAAAGAGACTTACAAAGGATCGGCATGGAGAGCCCAATCCACCAGGTTTTGCATATCGGTCGGCCAAAATGCAAAAAGCTCGTCCATGATCTGCTCGACCTTCTTTGCCATTCCTCGATCGGGATCGTGCGATTGGTTTGCGCTGAAATCCGGCAGCCGACGCATTTCCGGGTTCGCCGAGGCAACCAAGTCAGGAAAGTCGACACTCGAAAGAGAGCTCAAGTGGAAGTAGTGGAGAATAAAGTTCTGCTCCTCCGAAATCATATTCAAAGTCTCATGGAGCGTGCCACCGAACACGTCGCAAGGTTCAAGCCGGCCGTGTTGCTTGTCACCATAGGAGAGTCGCAGACCTGCTGCGGCTTTCGTGGTTTTGCCCCTTCTGACGGTCAGTTTGCGGGCTGCCATTGTGATGCCCTCATTCTCCTTCTCCTTCTCTTGATGCGTAAACAGGAGCTCCTGTTCTTCGCCCGTGGGTTTTCTTGCAGCTCTTTTCCATGCCAGGCTGTTGTCCCTGAATTCGTTCTGATATGGGAGCCTCGCCTGCTGCTCATAGAGTGAGATGAGAGCATGCCACTCCGACCCGCTAATTTCTCTCGCAAACAGCATCAGAGCATTGTACAGCCAAAGCTCCCTCCGGAAGTAGTTTCTGGCCTCACTATCGAGCTTCCGAGGATCCTTAGAGGTATTGGCTGCAGCGTCAACCCTCTTCTGCTCAGCCACCTTGTAGGCGATTGCCATGAATTGCTTGAGCCTCTGCAAGAAGGTGTGCGACTGAAAGCGGTATTCTTCTTTCTTCTCTTTGATGGCACGCATCTGCCCAATTTCTGTGTCGGCATACACGCCGACACTGCCTTCACCTGCACTGTCCACGAGACGTCTCTTATTCTGCCAGATGTTGGAGTCAATCATGAGCATGGCTTTGTACAGCGTGGCCAACGCGATTTCGGTGTCTCTAAGTCCGTCTGGATTGCTCAGAGACGCCTCCTTCAACGACCGCAGATCATTCGAAGAGATAGACAAAGTCTTCAATAGATTCTGCAACTCGTTATGGAGAAGTTTCTGGTTGGCAGTTTGCACCTGCAATCCCTGAGATTGCGTCTCGATGTATGACACATCATCGTGAAGAGTCTGCTCCGATATTAGCAAGAGTATTGATTGGCAAAGCGCTGTTGGGAACAGGGCAGAAGATGGGGGGTTCGAGAGCGGACTCACGTTTAATTCGTGCGAATACAGAGTAAGAAGATTATCCAGCTCTTCACACTCCTCAACAGTTCTGTCAATCAATCTAGCAAGCTGATCAACCTTACCCTCCTGCTGTTCAAGGTTACCAAGCCAGCTGGTAGCCTCAACACGCCCGATTTCACGACGGATATCAGCCTCAAGATCCTCGATCTTCTTCTCATCGTTCAATCGCCCGTTCCAACCGAGGTCGGTCAAAATGTCATCGAAGTCGACCCCGCGGCCTTCAAGGACACCGGCCTCAATGCCAAGTGCCTGACAATATTTGATCGTGTTGTCTTCGTGGCGTCTACGACGACGATCGTGGGGCGAAGGGGACACGGATCTGGCCCTTTCATCGACATCCATTTTGACTGTGGCCCTCGCGGTATCTCTGGGCTCCTCCGGGACTTCCAACACCGGCACAACAGGGGCCTCCTCTGCGGCAGGCCGAGTCACTTCAACAGTGGGTGGTTCGTTTGCCGGGGATGTAGTCGGTGACGGAATTTCAGGGGCAGTGGCAGGGACAGGGGCAGGAGCAGACGTTTCTTTCTCCGGCGTCTCGGGAGTGGCCGCACTCTCAGACTCTTGATTCGTCCGCAGGAATGGTGCAGGTACCACGCCAGTGATTCCATCCGGCTCGTCCATTTCAGCTTTTTGCCTTTTTGCCGCCGCCAATAACCTCTCGCCAGCGCCTCCCGGTCTGGGTTTGAAAGGGGCCTGGGTAGTCACGGGCTTGCGGAACGCCCCTACCGTATCCTTGCTTTGCTTTTTCTTGATCATGGGGCCAAGACCGGGTCGATGGGCACCTATGGGACCATCGCCTTCTGGCGATGATGGTGCAGGCGGACTAGATGGGGGAGATGGGGGAGATACGGGAGCATTGTCTGGCGTGGGTTCACTGGGCTCGGGTTCTTTAGTGTTATCCAAAGTTGGAGCATCAGTTGGCTCCGCCGTGACTTGAGCACTGCTAATTGCGGGCGAAGCGGGCTTCAACGCCGGTGGCACTGCAGCTGCAGCGACAGTGGCAGCAGGAGGTAAATCAAATGACCATTCCGACTGTTTATCCGCAGGCTCAGGTTGCGTCTCTAAAAGGGGCAATCTTGGTGGACCCTCAGGACGACCCCGGTGGCTTCCCGGGCTTTGCGTAACTCTCTGGCTTTCGACAGCGGGTGTTTTGGGAGTGGTTGGCCGGAGACTGTCCTTGCCACGCCCGGGATCGGGGGAGCTTGAACTCGAATCGTGCGAGCGAAGCATGGATCTCGGTTCAGGCACAGGCATTTGATCGCGGGACGACGGCGGCCGGGAGTCTGGCTGAGAAGCGACTGGCTTGTTTTCCTCGAATTCGCCGCTTGGCCTTTCCCGCGGGCCTGTGGGCGATGCGGCTAGTAAGCTACCAGGGATGTCTTTACCCCTCGCGGATTCTGGCGGTAGATGCATAGGCGCCTTTGGCATTTTATTCTCAGGGGCCATACGGTCGGCTGATCGAGGCGGTGGCTGGCTCCGTTGGTCAACGGGAAACGGCGGTGTTGGATGTTGCGGCGGCGCAAACGGCGAAGGACCACTTCTCCCAGAATTGCCCGTAGAAGGCCTTGTCATTTGCTCGCGACTTCTCTGGGCTCGTAAAGAGTGTTCTTCGGAGGGCAATCGACGGGGACCGTCCCGACTTTGTGCGCGGCTTGAGTAAGGCGACTGAGGCCGACCGCCCTGCGGTGAAACCGGACGCGGTGGTGGAATAGTCACCTCAGGACGTGCAGGCCCCGGACCTCTTGCGTTTGCGCCAGGCGGACCCATGGGCGGTGGTCCCGACGGGGGCGCCCCGGCAAGTAATTGTCGCTCGCGTTCATCGAAGCCAATGAGGTTCGGCACTTTGCCTCCGGTATACTTCCGGTAGATCTTCACCAGACTGCCGATGAAGAACTCCTTCTCCTTGGAGGTTCTCGCATGCCAGTAATACGGTTTTCCGACGTTGACCGTAAATCCCACATTCGATGCCCACTGTTTGTACTGTTGCTCCATCGGAGATGTAGGGTTCCAGGCACTGTACGATTGAATAGAAGACAGGTCGTCCAGCATCCACGTCTTGCCGATGGAAAACGTTCCGTCGTTGTTTTCCCTCGCTTTATGCATCCGCACCCGCCCGGACCTTCTCACTGCGACAATGATCACTCGTGGTTTCTTGTTCTCGGGGGGTGATGTTGGCGGAGCGGGGGTGGACGGATAGGCAGCATCTTCCGAGATGCGAACATGTGTTATGTAGGATTCAACCACTGCGGGGGAGAGAAAAAGAGAAGTTAGCTTGCAATGCGTCCAATGCTTTTCCGAGTCTCTGTTTGCCCTCTCTTCCAGGCCCAGGAATGCCAGTCTAGCGCGTAGCCAACAACACCACGGATTACCCGGGCGCTGAGCCTTGCCACGCTGAACACTGGGGAGATTGAGTCGTGACAATCGCAGGAACAGCGTCGAAAGTGCGCGAGGAGGCAAAACACATACATGAGCCGTCATTGTCTTTCCTGGCGAAGCAACTTTGAATGATCCGTTTCTTCTCATCCTCGAACTTCTCGGCCCTCGACATTGAGCCGTCGGTGGGTGCAGGCGGCCCCCCGTTGCGACCGTCGCCGCCTCGACGCGGATCTCTCTGAGGCGGAGGTAGGTCGCCCGGCGGAGGACCCCTGGGACGATCACGGCCGTTCATCATTGTTTCTCAATCTTCAGAAGCCGGGGTCATTCAGGAGGGCTCAATGGACATTCTCGGGTGAGGCGGACAGAATCCAACAGCGCGTTGTACTCGAGGGAGACGATCGCGGCGGGACGATCCTAGCGGGACACGGGGCCAGAGCGAGAAAATCCGCCGAATACTCGAGCAGGCGACAGGAACGAGTTGGGATGACGGCGCTCGGAGTATGGAGTGGACGGAGGATTGAGGAGCAAATGGCAAGTGGTCGGCAGGAGGGAATTAGCTCATCAGCCCGTGGGAACTAACAAGTTGGAGGGCGGAGAGCACGGCAGTACTAGCCACTAGCTATGAGTGTTAGAAGAATGTAGGGCTGATAAGATCATCGAGGTGAATTAGAGGTGTGTATATATAGATATATATATAAACATATATAAATAATGGAATAGAATAGAATGTGAATACGGATGTTCATTAGATTATATGACAGAGTGACATCCAGGGGGACGCACAGCATCGCCATGCAGGCATTTGATACGTCCATCACGGGGGCCCACGTGAGTCTCGACTGCCAGCAAAAGTGTCTGTCCAATCACCACTCTTCCTGGCCCTGACCGCCTTTTTCCTCTGTTTTTTTCTGCGTCTTTTTTTTTTTTTTTTTTTTTTTTCTACTTCACCTTCTCGAACTGACTGAACCAACACTTCCACCACGGTCAAGTCGTTTCCTCCGGGATTGCTCACAACTCTGTCATCATGGCTGTGCGAAAGGAAAAGAAGGTACGGCGGATCCAGTTCTGAGGAATCTCACCACCAGCATCACTAACGATCACTCTTCACTCAACAGGTGAACAATGCGGAGTCGCCTCCCGCTCAACTGATCGCCTCGATCGGTGCCTTTTTGACCGAGTTTGGATTTACGAAAACGAGTTCCGCCTTGACAAAGGAGCAGTCTGCTAAGTCCGGCAATTCCTCGAGCAACGCAAAGGATGTGCCTTCATTGCTGGAGATCTTCCAGAACTGGGAGAACCAGGCCGGAAAGAAGAAGACGACCAAGACTTCGGCCAGCAGCAGCAGCAGCAGCGAGGATAGTGACAGCAGCTCCAGCGATTCGGACGTCGAAATGGACGAAGCGCCTAAATCCAAGTCCAAGAAATCCTCCAAGAGTTCTTCCTCTTCCTCATCTTCTTCCTCTTCGTCTTCCTCTTCCTCTTCGTCGTCTTCCTCGTCCTCCGAGAGTGATGCGGACGATGAGGATGAGAGCGAGGCCGCTCCTGCGCCCTCCACCGCTTCTAAGCAGCAAGGAACCAAGCGCAAGGCTGAATCCGATTCCTCTTCTTCCGACTCTTCCGACTCGGATGAGGCCCCTAAGACCAAGAAAACCAAGGTCTCCTCCAAATCATCATCCAAATCCTCTTCTTCGGACTCGTCCGATTCATCTTCCAGCAGCGAGAGCGACTCGTCCAGCTCCTCTTCGGATTCGGAGTCCTCCGACTCGTCCTCCGATTCTTCCTCTGACTCGTCTTCTGACTCGGACTCCTCATCTGATTCCTCGTCCGATTCGTCCTCCGAATCCGAAGACGACAAGAAGGTCCTGAAAAAGGCGGCCAAGACACCTCTTCCCCCTTCGGATTCTAGCTCCAGCGGATCCAGTGATGACTCTTCCTCCGACTCGTCCTCCGATTCGGACAGCGAGGACAAGAAAAAGAAGACCTCGACTTCATCCAGCGACACCAGCGGAACACTTGAGAACTCCAACAAGTCTGCGCCGGTTCAAAGCACTAGCTCCTCGAGCGCTAGCCCTGCTCCCGGAAATGGTCCGGCCCCGAAAAAGCACACCGGTGCCCGTCCCACCCCGCTGGCATTGCTCAGTGAACAGCCCTACGACCACCATCCCTCCAACACCTACGTGCCTTATGCGTACGCCGAGAGGGCCTACAACGATTTGATCGTCACTCGTGGCAAGGGCTTCACGAAGGAGAAGAACAAGAAGAAGCGCGGTTCGTACCGTGGAGGCCCCATCGACATCGGCGGAGGCAAGTCGTTCAAATTCGACGACTAAGAATTTTTTTATCGCGTTCAAGCTCTTTCAATCTGGTTCAATTTATTAGGTGTTTTGTTCTTTCCTCCTTCTCTTTTCTCTCTTGAATTCCCTACATCTCTTTTCTCTTGTTTCCTTAAAGAAAAGTTTAATTCCAAACAAATAGATCTAGATCTGCACGTCTTACGTCTTTCTTGATGATTTCGCTTCCAAGCAAGGCGCTGATGGAACTTGGGTCGACTTGAACTCTTCTATTCTAAGAGAAATAAACAAACCGCGCAAGCTATTTACTCACTTTTTCTGAATCATCCATCTTCGGATGCGTTGCAGCAGCACCGGTTTATCGGCGCACGTAATCTATAACTTTTCTCTTCATATTATGTACAAACCACTATTAAACCTTCCAGGCCTCTGAAATGATCCTTAATCCCGACGTCTCCAAGAGCCCGTCTCTACGCGCATCCATCTACGATCCCATCCCGTAGCCGACTCGTTGGCGACGTCATCCATAGCGACGTTTCTGAAGGGCTGCTGAGTCCGCAGCGGTGGGAGATGGGTGGTGTTTCTGGGATCCGGGCGCTCGTAGCCAGAGAGATTTAGAACGCTGTCCGGGGTAGTGAAGTCTCTTTCGGCGTTCAGATCGAGATCGATGAGATCCTGATACCAGGATTGGCAGGGGCCCGTGAGATCGTCCGTGGAAACGAAGTCTAACCGCACGACTGCGTCCTCGATCCCGGCGTAGATGGTCGGTGAGAGGAGGGAGGGAGAGCACATGTTATAGATTGGTCCTCGGTAGTTGCGATTTGCGCGCCCGCGGGCACGTCCCGGGTTTGAGAACCCTTGTAGGTGTGGGGGCGGGTAGGAGAGGAACATAGTGAGGTCTAGATGAGGGGATTTGGCGTCTTTGGTGAGGTTTTTGTTTGACTGGGATATAGCGAAGGGGAGGCCTGATGCAGGAGAAGGCTGTTGGGTAGGAGCACTTAGTGCGGAACCTCTCGCCTCGAGGGAGTCGTAAGTTCGAGGCATGCGCATATCAAAGATCTTGAGGACGGCATCACCCCCAGCACCGACCGCGAACTTGTCGTTGGTGAAAGGATGGAGGCAATAAACCGGGTTTGAGTCGGTGATATCTCGATATGCTGCCTCATACGCCCTGTCCGAGCGGAGGTCATGAAGTCTGTTTAACCGGCGTAACTGGGTTAGTGAGGATCCGGAGAAGTGAGGCTCGAGTAAGGGAGCTTACCGGACCACATTGTCACCCCAGGATGAAAGGAAAGTATCGCCTGCGGTACCTCCGGCAAACGGCAATCGGAACGGTGCAATTGCACTAACACTGGTTTTCGGGGCCAGGGCAGCCTGGTCATCAAGATCCAAGTCATCCACCCCGATGCGACGACCAGGTACCACAGATTGAGAAGCGATAGTAGAGATGACGAGCGCATCGTCAAGTCGTCCAGTGGCCACGGCAAAGCGGTCCGACGACAGGAATCGGGAGCATTTGTTGCGTGCAACGTTCTCTTCTTCAATGCAGATGGTGGCGAATGGCTCGACCACTTCCTCCCCAGAGGTGGTTGGAAAGAACCCAACGGTACCGCCAACGAAGTGTGCCGCCAGGACTGCTTCCGGACCATCGCTCAAGTCGATGTGTTGGATCTCAGCAGTATTCGTCCGAAACCTCTGCTTGACTTGGAGGGTTCCGTCGTCAGGGGCGATCGCGATGTGAACGAGGTCTCCACGCATACGCCCAAATATCAAATGTTCTTTATTGGCCTCTTTGGCGTAATGCCCAGGCTTCAACAGATGCAATCCACAGATGTCGTCGTGGCTGCTTGTGTTCTCCAAGTCATTGAATACATACCATTTCTCATCATGGGCTGGCCCGAACTGTTTAATACCTATGATCAGCTCGTGGGCCGCACCCCAAGCCACCGTCTCCTGCCGATTCTCCCATCTATCGCCATTCCAGACTTCATAGCAATCGACAGTAGGGCAATAACCATGAGTAGGGTTGTCCTGTCTGATGGATTGCCGAGACCCGAGTCGCGCCAGACCGGCGGAAGGCACCACAAATCGGCCGATGGCTGCGTTTCTATCCACAGCACGAGAGCGAGAGGTCAACGCCTGCGCAACATCCTTCCACAGCGGAGGCGTATCGATGCCGGGAAAGCGATGTTGAATGAAAGCACGGAAAATCCGCCAGTCCTCGGTGGAGAAAATGCCATACAGGCGTCGACAGGTTCGGGAGAGATTAACCAAAGCACTGGCGGTGGGCAGGAAGCTGGCAATGACATAGACTATCTCGGCTGGGAGGAGAGATAGCATTTCCAGGGCTTCGTATGCACAGACGGACTCTATAGTGTATTAGTAGGAGTCAACCAACATCGAATGGCCGCGCGACGCAGGCCCAAGGGAGGCCGGGAATTATGTCATCGGGCCCTTATCGCTTAGCCTTGAGTTCGACAGACCTCGGATCCTCCCAGCATCGACGGACCACTAGGTACCAATCTGTCAAACATGCGTTGGAAAGTGGATCAATCATTGCGATCCGTTCTCTTCCTTGCGGGGAAGTGGTTCTGCTAATGGTAAGTCCAGCCTGTCGGAAGGTTTTGTCGACCGGCGCCAGACTAAATCCCCGAGCTAGATAAGGACCCCGTGCCACTCTTGGACTTGAAAGAACACATTCTACTAGTAGGCTTGCATAGGTGATAGTCATGACGCTGTCTCCGGTCACCGCGATTGCAGGCGCCTCGCTGGCCCTGCTGCTGCTATACAAGTATATCCTGCATCCGGCCTTTCTGTCTCCATTGTCCAAGATCCCGAATGCCCATTGGACTGCCCCGATCTCCCCATTATGGATGCTTTGGAAACGCTTCCAAAGCAAGAACAACCGGACCATCCATGCAGCCCATGAAAGTCTGGGGCCCATCGTGAGGTTGTCTCCCTCGGAGATATCCATTAACTGTGTGGAGGACGGCATCAAGACAGTCTACTCCGGCGGTTTCGAAAAACATGAATGGTATCCACGAGTATTTGGATCCCTTGGGTAAGCGTCTCCATCGATCTGGAACACCAGATGGGAACCAGGAGCTGACAAAGAACTGGGACCTATTTAGAACAGTCAGTATGTTCAGCATGACTGGAAGCAAGGTCCACTCCACCCGCAAGCGCATGCTGTCAAACATCTATAGCAAGTCATTCTTGCAGTCTTCGCCTCACATGCGTGTGATATCCGACGCCATTATCTTTGGTCGTTTTCTGCCAATCATCCAGGAAGCCGTCGCCGCCCAGACGCCCGTTGACGTGCATGATCTCAATCAGGGCGTCACCATGGATTTTGTGTCGGCATATCTATTTGGTCTGGCCACCGGAACCAACTTTCTTCAGGATCCAGCTTATCGACAAAACATACTGTCACTCTACCACTCCAGAAAGCAATTCGAGTTTTATCACCAAGAAGTTCCGAACACCTTATCCTGGCTCAAGGCGTTGGGGATTCGTTTAATTCCCACGTGGTGCGATGACGCGAATGAGGTGCTCGATGCATGGTGCCTGGAGATGTGCGACAAGGCAGAGCAGAATCTGGGGTCGACAGATCTGAACATCGAGCCTGCCGTGTACAAACATCTCAAACAAGCGATGTTGAAACAGTCCGCAGGCACCAAGAGAAGTCGGGAAAGCCTCGATCAAGAGCGACTTGATATCGCCTGCGAACTATATGATCAGCTCACGGCTGGCTTCGAGACGAGCGCCGTGGCGTTGACTTACCTCCTATGGGAACTCTCCCAGCATCCCGAGTTGCAACAAGAGCTTCGCGAAGAACTACTCACCCTAGAGCCGAAGATCCTCTATCCCCGACCCTCGACGTCCAGCGGACTGCCGTCGGCCAAGGCCGTTGATTCTTTGCCTCTTCTCGAAGCCATAGTCACAGAGACTCTGCGCCTTCATGCTCCCATTCCTGGAATCCAGCCGCGAGTGACTCCGTCGCCCTCGTGCAGTCTAGTCGGGTACGGTGATATCCCTGCCAACACGAGGGTCAACGCGCAGGCTTATTCACTCCATCGCAATTCGGACGTATTCCCGGCCCCCGAAACCTGGCAGCCCAAACGGTGGCTCAAGAGCAGCAACTCGGCTTCCGACATCGAGGAAATGAAACGATGGTTTTGGGCATTTGGGAGTGGTGGAAGAATGTGCGTGGGGAGCAACTTGGCCTTGCAAGGTAAAAGAGCCCTATATAGATTTCCCTATGGTTTAAAGCTGACATCCAATTGCCCACCAGAAATGAAATTCGTGGTTGCTGCGATCTACACCAACTACAAGACCAGCATCGTCAACGACGACAATATCGAAGCAATCGATGCTTACACTGTAAAACCTCGTGGAGAAAAGTTAGTTCTGAAATTTGAATCTGCGTAGTGATCAGGTTCTAATTATGATCAATCATCTTTGCTACGTTCCAAATTGCATCCAACTTAAGAGAAACAATGCTGTTTTCATATAACAAGTAATAATATACAGAGTGCAACATATACAGAAACCCCGGCTTCGTCTCACACAATCCAAGAAATGCACAGCAACCTTATATTCGTAGTTTGCCTTCAAAACAGACGATCAAAATCCAGAAACTCCAGGTACACGGTATTTTCTTTGAAACCATCAACTAGGCAGCGAACAGGCAGATAACACCCCTTGGAGCGGGGACTATCTCCTAGACCACCATCCCATTATCCCATTCATTGTCTAGCCTCGACACCTTGTGCGCAGACAGATCGATATCTAATTCTTCTTCTTGGGTCCAACCACCTTGGGGTACATTCTCATGAGGTGGTAGTTGATGGTGTTCACGCCGGAATTCTTCTTTTTCTGTATCGTCCGAAGAGAACTTTGTTAGTATCAATTCATTGATGAACAAGAGTTCCAGGTAGAAGAGTGCGCAGAATCAGAGGGGGGTTGGATTGATTCGCAGCAAGACACGTACCGGTGCGTCCATGCATTGCTTCAGTTGTTGTTCGAGGGCGAAACAGCCTTCCGAGTTTTGACCGGCAGAGGCCCAGCAACCTAATCAGATAGTAGATTGGTTAGTTCTCGAATCGATTGCAAATGTTGATCAGTGGCTGCCGTCATGGGGATTCCGAGCGGCTCAATCGCAATTGAAACCACCCGCCTCCCCCCACCAGAACAACAGTATAGAAGATAGGTTCAAAAACGTACTCAGCATCGAGGACATGATCGCCATACAAGGGTTGCCCTCATTCTTGTTCGGATGGCGGATTCGCAGGTGAGGGATGGTCTGCAGGCGGACGGGGTTGAGACGGGTCGAGGCACCTTTGGGAGGCATATTGACAAGATATCGCCGGGGGCGCTGGTTCTCTAGCAGACTCAAGAAGGCCCGAACCGAAACAAAGAACAAGGGAAAGGAAAGTAACGGTGTAAACCGGCGGCGTCGCAAACCGAGAAGAGAGACAAGTGCCAGCCAAAAGCTGCCTTTCGGAGGTCCGGCAAATTTGCCCGCGGAAGTGGCTGACGTAAACATCCGCCCTCCTTCAGTCGAGGATAATAGAACTATCAGCTACTCAACTTCTCGCCCTCGCCACTCCTGTGTCTTCTCGGCATTCGTGTTATTGCTGTTAATCAACTTCTTGGCGGGTCAGATATGAGCAGAAGACATGTGGGTGCTTTCAATGTCAACGGCCTCGTGACATTATACGCACCCAGGAACCATACTATCGCAAGGCCGTTCTCGACCGCGAGCCGGAGGCAGAATGCAAACGCGAAGACTCAGAATGACAACGAACCCGTCCGATCGAGGGACGAGCCTAAAGAAGATGGCGCGATGGCACGAAGGCTGTCTGAGATGACAGAACAAGCCATGCTGGAGGGGGGACGCTCTGCGCGCAAGAACATGGAACAGGCGGGGTTCTCGGAAGACCTGAAGAAAGAGTTGGAGGAGCGAATCGCTGCCAGCGCCTTCAAGAGTGAGCATGCCACTGCTCATTCCATCGTGGACATGCCGGTAAGTGTCGACTTCAGCTCAACCCACATGGCCAAACCACCATGGTGCTAATTGTCCCAAAGGAGAGCGCAGGTCAAGGAACTCGCGACATTGCCGGAGCTCAACCCTGGGGCGGATCGGAAAACCTTCACGACGTTACGCTCCGGATGTTGGATAGCTCGAAGAAGCCGCTTCGTACGCCTTATAAAATCCCTCAGCCGAATCCCGTCGACATGAGAATATCCCCGAAGCCCAAGAAATCGCCCGGCCTCCGTCTCGCCGAGGCCAAAGAACGCACCTCGACATATACGCTGAGTCAAAGTCCCGGGGTATCGGATCATGAGCGTGAAGCTATGCGGAAGGAGATGCGGGAAAGATTCACCCCGGGTGCCCGTCCGATGCCCGTCACAATCCAAGGGCTGACATCGCTTGCGAACGAACGGATAGAGGATGCAATCGCTCGAGGCCAATTCGACAAGATCAAGCGAGGGAAAGGTATCAACACCGAGACGGATCACAATGCAAATAACGCATATATCGACACCACCGAATATTTCATGAATAAGATGATCCAGAAACAGGAGCTCGTGCCGCCGTGGATCGAGAAACAACAGGAAATAGCAAGAGAGGTTGGCCGGTTTCGCGACCGTCTCAGAACGGAGTGGAGGCGGCATGCTGCCAGAAAAATTGCTAGCCATGGAGGATCTCTTGAGGCCCAGATGAGACGAGCGCAAGCGTATGCTGCTGCGGAGGCTCGCCTGGTTGAAAAGGCCAAAACAGAGAAATCGTTTCAGGATGGCGGTGGTTCTGAAGCTTCTTCGGTTGAACTGGAAAGCAATCTTTCTGAAATCTCCGCCTCCTTGGCCGAAGAGGACCCCAATGCCTCGGCGCCAGAGACCTTGAATACCCCTGATACGGAAGATGCTAGCCGTCTACCGCATCTACCACCATTTCGAGACCCAGAGCATCTTGCAATTGAGCGCTCATTCTACGAGCTCACAATCAAGAACCTCAACACACTTACCCGTTCGTATAATCTGCAGGCGCCGCCGGTCGCTCAGAAGCCGTACATGAACTTGGAACGCGAGCTCTCGGCATGTTACGCCGACGTAGCTCCCAGTTTGGCAGAGGAGATTAAGAGACGGGCAACCGAGAGAGCCCGCACTCCCGAATCGGTGGGTTCGAAGGCCAATGGATTGCTTGACTCCCTCAGCACGTCACCCACTGTCAACGTGTACGAGGAGGACCAGGCGAAAGGCTACGGGTTCAAACAATTTTGGCGGGACATGTTTTCAAAGAAGGATTAGACTTGGAGCAGCTGTAGATATGGTGTTGGTATGTATATTATGTAAATACAATTTTGACGTGTAACGAGCAGGCTTTACTACACGACTGACACTTTTCATAGAGCGAGGTATGTCGGTGCCAGGTAGGGCCTAGGTAGTATTCTCCCAGAAATCGCCGCCTGGACGTCAAACACTGCCAGCTGCCCAATGGTAAAAATGAACACCTCCCATGCACCATGTTGCTTGCTAAAGATAAGCCACCGTCCATGTTCTCGGAAGGCAAAAATAAAACCGAATGATCCAGGGAATACACTATGGTTGCACCAATTCCAGGTCGCCCTCACGCCAGACCTTCCTCCAGTCTTTCCAGAGCGGGATGACCGTCTTGACCTGAATGTACAATCCCCATGCGAGGAGAAAGGAGCATAGGGTTATAAAGAGCGGCGCAAACCAAGCGCGCAGTGACGAAGACGGTCGGAAGGTCATGAGGAAAAAAAGACTCAAAATTGCGGCCGTCAGAGAGACCATCATGGACAGCGTGCCGATGGCTGCGCGGGAGATATAGTACCGAGTTTTCGTCCTATGAGGCTCCATGGATAAGCTGGTCGGCTCCGGGCGTTGTCGTAGGTAAATCGGCAGACGAAAACTCGCTACGGAGACAGTAGAAAGGACGCCCATTAGGGCCATGGTGCCGACGTCAGAAAGCACGCCGGGCTCGTCCCATCCGTCGTCGTCGCCGCCTTCGTCAGAACAAGCAGGCGATATTTTGCTGCTAGAAGATAGCTTCTTGCCAGGCGATACCTTCTTGCCGGGCAAGACTCTTTGGTCTGCCGGTGCGTCTTTCTGATCAGTCGGGCTAGTGGCAGGAACCGTGACCACCGGAACCGCGTGCTCTACCGTCGTCGGGACCAGATCTCGTTTCATGGGAATGATGAAATTGTGCCAGGGGACTTTCGGCCATTCGCCGTTCGACCAGCCCGCCTGGGCCATATCGGAGTCCCCAAATGGAAGACGAGAGATGAGCTCGACATCACCGAACCAGATCTCATTGATGGCATTGCCGGGTTGGTAGTAGTTGTCCGACCGCACGCCATTGACGGCGGAGACGTTTTGGCCCATGATGAGAAGTATAGCAGGACGCAGATAGGGAAGGATTGGCGCTAAATGAGTGGCTAAGGTGTATACATGGAGATTGGAAGCGTGTGGAGAGTGGCTCCATGGCTGCCTCTCCAAGGAGTGACGGTCATAACGAGTCTCTCAAGTGGCGGACGCTCTTTCCCCGTCCGAAGATGAACCTCAGGCAGCCCAGCGATCCTCAGGCAAGGATGGCCGGCCTGAGGCTATTCCCGTGTATGTAAGCACTCCACGTGCTCTGCAGGCTTCGTCCGGGAATTCCATCTGTCGTCCTTTCATCTTTCATCTTTCGTCTGCTGGTGACCATCTTTTTTGTGGAGAATCAATCACAACATCAGCAGCATTAGTTCACAGCCTCAATGTGACAGGAGCTTTGACCCTGTCGGTATTTATTGGCTATGATTTCCCCCTGGCAACTTAGTGGCGATGAATGGATGAAACCAATCACTTCAGATAAGCCGGGTTTCATGATCTCTGAAATGAGAATAAATAGAAATAAAAATAACCCCCCAGGACTAACCAATTGACCTCAGCACCCAGACTCGACCGGGTTGGCCAAGACAGAGGATGTGTGATGGCCGTGCCGAGCGTGCAGCAGGGCGCCTAAATTGCACCAACGACGGCACAGCAACGGGCATCCCCATCCCGCTCAAACTCAACCCTCCTCATGGCGGTTTCTTCACACTATCACATCCAATCACTTGGCACAGGTCTGCCGGTATATCACCCTGGCCCCTCTTCTTTCAGGAAGTGTCACACTCTATCTCTTTCTGTAAGGGATTTGCGGCCTCATTTGCAATCCCGCGATATGCCTACGGATCCTACTTAATATCACTCGTTGTCTGAGGGTCATTCATTTACCATGTCCACTCTTACATGCATCGCAATTCTGTTATCGCCGGCCGGTGTTGCTGCCAGCGGCTCAATCTTCCCAGATAATTCGGTCCTCCTGTCCAAATTGCGTCGGGATAACGACCTATCCGTCAACCCTCCTCTGGATCAGTCCCTTCTGGCCATCCAAGTTGGCGGCATTGTCGGGGCATACGTGATCTTCGTCGCTGTCCTTCTGACCCTGCTGCTCTTCATAGGACGACGCCTACGCAGGACCGTTCAATCGTCCAATTTCAGTTTGCAGGTAGAAATGATGAGGCCAGCCAAGCCATCCGTCAGTATCGACCCGAGTCCGGTCACCCCCATCTCCGTCAACCTTCCCAGTCCCAACCGACCGAACAACTTCAATAGGTCGTGGAGTAGTTTGGCCCGGGGGTCAAGGTCTCATATATCCGGGAATGGCAGCGTCGCCACCATCGACGAGTCGGTAATCGCATATGATAGGCGCCGAGCGCAGGAGGAAATGGAGATGCTTTACGCCGCCGTGCTGGAGCATGACGAGCAGAAAGCCGCAGGGGCAACGAGCTCTGAGGAAGAGAAGGATGTTCAGTCTCCCGATAGCGCCATGACAAATCCCTTCACCGATCGTTCCTCACGGGTCTCCGAGGGCCCTTCGGCGGCTCCGATGAGATCTCCGATGAAATCTCCGACGAGCCCGAGAAGCTCACGCCTGTCCAAGATCTCATCACTCTCGCTGTTCAACTCGAACAACAACACGAACCCGCGATCTCCTGCCGACACTAGCAAGCTTCGGTCTCCCCGGATTGCCCTCCGAAAGTTACCCATTTCGTCCCCCGTGGGCTCTCCGGACGTGACCGCTTCGGCCTCGTACGGCGAAGAACAACCGCCGTTGACACCCCGGACCTATAATCCGCCTCCGCCACCGACGCCTCCGGCCGCCATCGGCCGAGCGCCTCACGAGAGAGTCCCGGGGGTTGGAAGGGCACCCGCCCCTGCACCACTGACTTTGTCGACGGTCAGCAGTCAAGGGGCCTCCTCATTGCCCTTCCGAGATGCGTTCCCGCTGCAGAGTGCACCGGCCACTAAAACCACGGTCTTGGAGCGACCGGAGAAACCGATTGGAGGCCCTCGGACGGGGCTGCCGACCCCGTATAGCCCGTATATGCCCTTTACGCCGGTCACGCCCCTCACACCCAGCCGGATTGTCACCAAGCGGCAACGCAAACGAGAAGTTAAGGAGAACGGGCTGCGGGTGCTGAATGAGGACGACATGGTGCGGGATGACGGGGACGTGTGGGGATGATGACTTTTATGATTACTTTATGATTACAGCGTAGTATTATGGAGTTGCATATTCTTGTTGACCACCCTCCTGGATCCCCCGTAATTCTCCATTAATCAATAGCGCACGCAATGGCGATGCCAAGCGGCTCCAGAAACATTCCGATGCGTAAGCGCCGGCGCTCAGCCAATCCGCAGGCCCGCCGCTCCGCCCGACGGCTTGGCGCGCGTCATCCTTCCCCTCCCATTTCCAGCGGCCGCGAGTCAGCGAACGCATCTCTCGTCTTTGCATCCTCTTTGCTCTCTCTTGGTCGCTCTTGGTCTCTTGGACCGCCCTCCGTCCTCGTCTCTTGTCTTGGCCTCCGACCTGGATATCTTCCTTGGCTGGTCCACTCCTCTTGGCACGTTCGTGAACTAGTATTTTATGAATGGAATGGCCGCAAACGGCCACTTGTTGCTCCCCGACTTTCTTCCCCAGTCTTCTGATTCCTGTTCCTATCGTTGCTTCTACGAAGTATACACTTAATTTACCTCTATCTCCCCCTATTCGAGGTCAGGGAACTGTCTCTTGACCTCACAGACTTCGTCCGATCTCCGACATAACCCCACCTTATCCCCGATGCCGTTGACCATCCTCTCCCAGGCACAGCTCCGCTCGCTGCTGCTCTCTCTCACCCGCGATGAAATTGTCTCTCTACAAACAAACCTAGCCCATGCACTGCGAGAGTACTCGACGGGCAACCAAGAAAATGGTTGTGCCGCCACCTACCAACCGCAGAGGACCGCCATCACCCGACGGAATGGCTGCACGACCTTGTTCATGCCCGCCACGACGGGCCAGACACTCGGTATGAAGATGGTCTCGTTGCAGGATGGAGGCGCGGCCGGCTGTGCGGTCGAATCCAAGGGCAGTCTCACCGAAGGCGAAAAGACGGTGTCGCGGACCCGAAGCGGACACAGCCATCGAGACTCGGTGTCTTCGCTCTCCTCGGACATGAGTGACCTGTCCGTTTCGTCGCAGGAAAACGGCAGCAGTGCCGGTGGCAGTACCGGCGGTACTGGTGGCTCCAGCACTTCAAGCAGTCAATCCCTGCCGTCTGGCTGCGTCAACCAGCAGCCCGTCAATACCGGCATCTCCAACACCATGGGAGCGTGGCCCGGGGCGGGCGCCCGAGACACTTCACCGCAGGGCAGTCTAACGCTGCTGGGTGAGGACAGCATGCCATTCGGACTGATCAACGCGCACGAGCTGACGCCCTTCCGCACCGCCCTGACGGCGATGATGGTCTTCAGCAAGCGCAAGCGAGTTCGCACGGTCGTCGTCTTTGGTGCCGGAAAGCAGGCCTACTGGCACATTCGATTGGCTCTGACGCTGCGGGGATCCGACATCAAACGGGTCTTCATCGTCAACCGGTCCTTCGACCGAGCCGCCGAGCTCTTACGGGACATCTACTCCCCGGATAACTCGAGCTGGCGCGGTGACGTCAAGTTCTCTGCCGTCAGCACGGACTTCGTCGAATACACTCGTATCATCCATGATGCGCTGCACAAGGCCGACGCGATCTTCTGCTGCACGCCGTCCATTGAGCCCCTCTTCCCTGCCGAACTATTGACCTCCAAAGAGGCCCGGAAAAAGGGCCGCTTGATCAGCGCCATTGGTTCGTACAAACCGCATATGACGGAACTCCACCCGGATATCCTCCGCGACGAAGTCGACGTCCATCACTCCCACCGCCACTTCCACAAGCATGTCAAACGCAGCGGTGTGATCGTCGTCGACAGCCTTGAAGCCGCGCTCAAGGAAGCGGGCGAAATCATCCAGGCGGAGATCAAGCCGAAGCAGGTGGTCGAATTGGGCGAGCTCCTAATGGTGCGACACGCAGCACAGGATATGCCCGAGGATGACGACGACAGTAAAAGTCTGAGTGACTGGGTGCAGCGCGGTAATGTGATTTTCAAGAGTGTAGGAATGGGCCTGATGGATCTGATCACCGGTGGAGATTTGGTTCAGCTCGCCCGGGAGAGGCAGATTGGCACCACGGTGGAGGAGTTTTAGACTATTCTTTTCCCCCTTTTCATCCCCTTTCTTTCGGTGTATTCTAATGGGTAATGATCATTCTTCTTATTTTTATGCGATGCCGAAATCTGGTGGACTTTTCCTAATAGAAACCTAGCTATTGTTTCCATTGTTACTAGTATATCCCCCGTTCAGTGTCTTCGATAAGTCCATATATGTATAACTTTGTAAAGGTATGTGTATGTGTAAATGTAAGTGTATATACAAAAATCACATCAACACCACAAGCTCAGACTTGCCTTTTTACACACTTCATCGCCCAGCCTCTCGCCTGTCCGTGACATCCCCAACACCATCATCCAGAGCAAAGAATAGTCCCCGTGCCTCCGACCCCGTATGTGAAGAACCGGTCCCGTTTCTACCATCGCCAGTTCCTCCCGCTCCGAATAAATCGGTGCAGAGAGGGGGAGATAATAGAGGGCGGTTTGCAGTCGCATATGGGGTTGATTGGAATGACTGCAAAGGTCTGGATAATAGGGAAGAGAAAGCCTGCGATAGGGGAGGAAGGATCTCAGAAGTATCTGATTCCATGTTTGTCATCATAGCCGGTGGGTTGATGTAGGTCACAGCCCATAAGGCAGAGTTTAATTTCAGCTGAGAGCATCAGTCCCTTTAACTTTACCCTTCTCCATTTTAGCCGTCCTGGACCCAAACTGAATGGCTCGTTTCTTTTCGCGAGCCACTTGGTTCATTCCCAGCATGAGCGCTACCAGGCGAAGGGCCTTCTTTTCCGAGTCAAGCCCGGACTCTAGGGATGTCTCTTCCACGGAGCCGGGAACTCCAAATCCGCACTTCTCCCAGACAGGCATTTGCGAAACCCACGCCACAAATTCCTCGTCCAAGAATGGGAACCGTGCTTCACGGCCCCAGTGCGCAATGACGCGATTGTCGCGGCCGAGGTTTCGCTTACCCAGACGCCTAACATCCAGGTGAATCTCCTCAATGAGACCCTCGAATCCACTGCGCGCAAAAGCCATTCCGTGTCGGGCGTATCCCGCAAAAAGCTCGTCGGCCCCCAGACCGGATAGGAGCACCCGCGAGGGAGTCGTATATGCGAGGGGTTCGGGGTGGGTTGGTCGGCTGTCAAATGCCACGCCTTGTCCGCGCGAGGCGAAATACAATGCGCATGCAATGGACAAATCCATTTCTGTATTGTGAGGCCTCATCAGGCGTTTCACTGTGTCACGGTGGGCAACCGTCTCCACGTAGGGAATGTCAATCGCTACAAACCGCCAGTTGCGGTCCGGGCAGACCGTTTGTAGCTCTGCAAACGCTGCTCGGCCAGTAATGCGGTCAGGGCAGTTTTCGTAAACCGAAACGGCCTTTGCTTCTTTACCGGCAGCGGCAGCGACTCGGGGATTCTCGAATGCAACGTTCAGTAAATCGATGGTCTCATCATGTGGTAGGAGCTCGTGGGAAATTCTAGCAAGCAGGGTGCAGTCGAGACCTCCGGAAAACAGAACGGCAACTTTCACATCGCCTTCTGCCGTAGCCCCAGGAGGCGCCCGGACATTCTGGATCCTTAGAGCGAGGGATTGACGGAGCTTCTGCTCAAGATTGCTGACAGAAAGAGACTCAACACTTAGCTGAGGGGGTTCCCCATCTGGGGTCGACATATTCATGGGGGGAATTGGATTCCTCTGTTTCCTTGTGAGCATGTTAAGAAAAGCCGGACCTTGTAGAACATATTACCAGATTGTGCCCCGCAGGCGAGTCGCTATTATTCCAGGGTATTGTCTGAATGGTTTCGAGGTTGAAAGTAACATTAGCACCAGTGGTAGCTTCAGGGGTATCCTGGAGAACACTCTGGGTCAAATCGATCATGTGCATTCCGTCCGTGAGAACCTCCTCAAAATGAGTAGTTGAGGTCCCATCGCAGAGACTACATATCTTCAGGGACCCCCTTTTGTCACAGCCTTGAAGTAGTGAGCGTCGTCCTAGGCAGTCTCTGCTGAAGAACAGCCTAGAGTTGACTGCATCATAAAACACAAAGGCAAAAGGCCCCGAAATACTACTGATGACATCCGCAACGCTTTGCACGGTGTCACTCGGCGGAGAAGACTCAGAAGAAGGCTTTGTAGCCTGCAGTAATAGGTTGAAAATTACCTCCGTGTCATTGCCCTGGATTGGTTCACCTGCAATCTTCCAGGCGTCCCCATTCCAGCAGAGCACGGACTGGGTGGCGGTGTCGACGAGAGGCTGGGACACGAGATGGTCGCCTCTCATGGAAAGAACGGTGGAGACAAACGTGAGGCAGAGGGAGCCCCTTGCATCGGCCTGATCGGCGTGCGCATCATGCTGGAGTGAATGGGCTTGAAAGCTGTCTGGACCTCGGTTGCGCAATAAACAGCAAGTCTCCTCATTGGGGGATACTGATCCAGATTGACTCAAGGAGAAAAAGATCCCACACATGATCTCACCCCTATGGTCGCAGGAGACTGCAAGTTGGGGGGGGAATGCGACGCGACAGATAGAGAAGAGGGAGGGTGAGGGACGCCGAGCGAGAGAAAGAGAGAGCTGGAGACGGAGATCGGCAGAACGATGATCCCGTAAGGCTGTCATACTCGCGCTCTTCCCTCCACCCCCCGACTGATTATCATCTCTCGACTTCCTCCGGTTACTTACTTCCGGCCTCGATCGCATTTCTTGTTCCGACAGAGACTCTCGTTGTCCAGCTTGCGACAGCTCAAATTTAACCTCTTCCGCTGGATGGTTCCTCTCACCATGCTCCGTGTTCTCCTCTAAATTACCTCTTCGTCCAGCGTATTCTTTTTTTCTATTCGACTAATTTCAGTGGCGTGCATGCGGGGATAGCTTATGTCTGCGACAGGAACATTGGATTCCCCAGCTTCCGGTGGACAAGGGGACATTCAACCGACTCCTCATAATGAGGGAAATCAACAGACTCCGCAGGTGACCTCGAACGGCATCGAATCGACGGCCGAGTCACAGAACAGCCCTTCGGAGACGCCCACGGACCGTCAAGACATACAGAAAGACAGCATGGAGGGACAAACGCATGACGGGTCCCAGGAAACCGTTGCAGAGCCCCGTGGTGGGGGACCGGCCCCTGCTGATGTCGATCCTACGGACTCAACCCCCAAACCAGAGCCACTTTCGGGGAGAATGAAGGGACTCTCCATATCAACCGATACGTCGGATCGGACCTTATCATCAGGGGCCGACAAACCCCCTCCGCCGCCGGAGAAAGATGACGCCTACCGTGCACCCAAACCTCAGTCTACGCTGCCTCCCCAGTCGCCAACAAAGCTTCCCTCCGAGTTGACGGAGAAAGAATTGCCAGATGTCCCGGGTGGCCAAGAGCAAGCGGGGAAGTCTATCAAGAATGAAGGGTCACGAGAGGATGACTCCCAACCGGAGATCCAAAACATTATGGGGCAGTTTCAAGACTCCGCGGGCGGTGTCGATCAAGAACAGATCATGTCGCCTCGGCTGGAACTAGCTGAGCAGTTCCTGAGCGGGCAGAGCTACTTTCCTCCGCGGCATTCAAGCTTGGATCAGGCGGCGACGGCTGGCGAGGGTACTACACAGGTTCCCAAACCTACGGCGGAAACTTCTTCGCACGACAAACCGCCCCCGCCGGTCCCTAGAAACTTACACCGGACCTCGATCATGCAGGAAACAGCATCGAGTCGGCGCTCATCCACTTCCACGGTTCCTCCCCCGCCGGAACCCGAGCCTGACCAGCCGTTCGACTTCCATCGATTCTTGGAGCAGCTGCGACATCGCACGGCGGACCCGGTGGCCAAGTTTCTTCGCTCGTTTCTCCATGAGTTTGGGAAAAGGCAGTGGATGGTCCACGAGCAAGTCAAGATTATCAGCGACTTTTTGGCGTTTATCACGAATAAGATGGCCATGTGTGATGTCTGGCGCGATGTGTCGGACAGCGAGTTCGACAACGCCAAGGAAGGAATGGAAAAGCTCGTGATGAACCGACTCTATTTCCAGACTTTCTCCCCAGCCATTCCCTCGCCGCCGTCCATTCCCAGAAGTGCGAGTCGAAGCAAGCGAAGAGAGCTGGAGCGGCTCCACGGGCCATGGCGCCGTGGTCAACACCAGGAAGACATCGAGCGGGATGACGTATTGGCTCAGAAGATGCGAATCTATAGCTGGGTCAAGGAGGAGCACCTTGACATTCCGCCTGTGGGCAACCAGGGGGCTCGATTCTTGAACCTTGCCAAACAAGGTGAGTCAACGTCGGATTGGGATCAAGACGCCCTGTTTCTGACCCAGGCCAGAACTTTCTAAAATCAATGGCTATCGCGCGCCTCGGGACAAGGTTATCTGCATTTTGAATTGCTGCAAGGTTATTTTCGGTGAGCCAAAGACACAATGCCATACTGGTGAGACGGCTACTAACGAATCGGACCAAAAGGTCTCCTGAAAAACACTAAAAAGGCCGACACATCCGCCGATTCCTTCATACCCCTTTTGATCTACGTGGTGCTACGGGCCAATCCCGAGCACTTGGTTTCTAACATCCAATACATTCTGCGCTTCCGGAACCAGGATAAGCTTTCTGGGGAGGCCGGGTATTATCTGTCCTCACTGGTAAGTTGGGTAGGCCGTGTGTGTCCTGGAGAGCTCGAGCTAAAATTGAAATGCAGTCTGGAGCCATCCAATTCGTCGAGACGTTGGATCGGACCAGCTTGACGGTCAGTGATGAGGAATTCGAGCGCAATGTCGAAGCGGCCGTGTCCGCCATTGCCGAGCAGAATCGCAAAACCGAATCTGTCGATCAGAAGAAGAGCTCCGAGCGACCAACCGAAGGAGGGCCATCTGCGTCGGCGCGACCTTCGGCCGACATCCAGCGAGGCCGGCGGGAGGCGGCGCAGTCCAGCGACGAGGATACGGCACCAGTGGCCGGAATCCTGCGCACAATCCAAAAACCGCTCTCGACGATTGGCAGGATCTTTTCCGACGAGCCCGATTCCCCGGTGGAACCCCCGACACAGCCGGCGGTCACTCCGCAGCCCGGAGCGCGACTGAATCCGAACGTGTACCAGCCGCCGCGTAGCAGCGGCGAGGAACGACGATCCAGCGAGCGGCGATCGAGTGAGCGACCGCGCCGTGTCGATGCTCAGGATGCGGCCGCGCGTCAGGCCAGTGCCGAGGACGCCGAAGCGCGGAGAATCCAACGAGCGGAGCACACCAACGTCGTGGAGACCTTGTCCAACATGTTCCCGAATCTTGACCGCGACGTGATCGATGACGTTGTCAAGATCAAGGAGGGCAGGTGAGTTTTGTCGTCTGTATTGAGGATCCATGCTCCAGGACTGACCATTGGGACAGGGTTGGGTTGGCGGTGGACGCATGCCTGGCGCTGAGTGCCGAGTAGATCCCGGTGATTCACGATTTCGGCGACGGGACGAAGATGCGAAGTCTGGGATGGGGCATCAATGGCAGTTCCTAGCGTAGCTTACTAGCGAAGCGTCATGGCGCATAACATATATTGGAAAGCTCTGCCCGAGGCAGATTAATAGACCGTGATGAACCAGTTGTTGTCCGTAGCGATGCAGCGGTGGTAAGTCGAGGCAGCAGTAATGACCTCTACATGCAGATTATGGGTTTTTTCTTTTTCTCTAGATATCTACGCATCATACTCCGTATAATCCCAGGCAGTGTTGGCCACCGAAGGAGGGAATGCCATCAACCCGCTGATGACTCAGCATTCGGGTCAGACTAACTCCGGAGAGGACCCGTCCAGCTGACCAATCAGAAACACTCCTCCTGCCTCGCTTACCGTAGCGCCGTGTTCACCGCCCCACGCCCTCCTATATAAGCAGCGACGGTCCCCCGATCTTTTAGACGTTTTTCTTCTTTCTTTTCTTCATACTTACCTTGTTTGGGTGGCTGCGATCAAGAAGGCGGTCCACCACGGATTGGTCCCTGCATTGCACAGCGCGGCGGAACAGTCCGTTCAACGGCCTTCGGGTCATTGACAGGCGTATTCTTTGGCACTTTCCACTTGCTGGATCTTTACTTTCTTTTCATCATTTCTTCGCTACACGCGGGGGTATGGAGAAGAGATCCCGTACCTGTAGCTTTTGTAGTCTGTACATATTACATGCAGTGTGAAGATGGAGCCTCGTCAGGAAGATCGGCTGTTGCCAACAACCCCTTTCGAATGAGTCATTCGCAAAATGAAGGTGTTCCTGGATGACGTTGTATCGCCACTGTAGCCAACCAAATAAATAAGCTCTATCCAACCTCTTTTATCCGTCCTATTCATTCAACTCTTGCATATTCTTCTATCTACTCTTACATTCGATCTAAGGAAACCGTGATCGAAGCTATACGAACAACCTAGACAGACAGACCCTCAGTCTCAATCTGCCCAACCCGTCCAAAATGCCTCACTTCACCAACGAACCTGAACCGCAACCGAACCCCTCAACCTCGACGACAACCTCGTCGACCGGCAGCCAGGCGGAATACACCAACGCGCCCGACAACGCGGGCGAACAGCAGCCGATGAGCAAGGAAGAAGCGGATCGGTTGTACGAGGAGCGAATGGAGGAAGAATATGCCAAGAGGGAGGGAGGTGCTTAGTTGACTGGCTCTGAGCTCTCTCTTTCCTTTCCAGCTTTTATTGACTTACCACATTCCAATGGTGTGTGGTTTTATGAGAATGTACGATATGATGCGAGGGGACTGGTGGTGGATGAAGCCGTGTTGCGGATATATTTCTGGTGCCATTTGTGAGATGGGGAAAAGGACCAGCGACCGGGCTGTTGTACTATTTGCATGTATTTCAGTCTATGATAAATGAACTCCCCTCTATCTTTTACACGTATAATTGGAAATTTAAACGGTGGTTGTTCGGCTGTTGACTGCGTATGCTTGCCCACCGCGAGGGAGAGAGGCCAAAAAAAAGATTGATTCGCGCGAGATTCGAACGGTCGACCTCGGAAGGATGACAATTGCAGCAGAATCGCACAGGCGTCGCACCTCACAGAAGGGCCGGTAAGGAAAGCAAAAAAAACTGGTAGCTTCTCTTTGATTGAGCGTGTCATCCTTAGTGCAGGGGCCATGCTAATCTTCTCTGTATCGTTTCAAATTGACCAAATGCCCGAAGGCAAAGGGACCAACATTAGAATGGATTATATCCCAAGACCGCGGGAAGATTACGGGTGCTGATTGGCCGGCTGGGTATCCGGATGATTGATGATCCCCGCTCCGGGTTCCCCTCCTTCTGGTTGTCACCCGCCGCATTCGTGCTGGCCGTGTTGGGAGAGTCGAGATGAGAGGAATCGATTGATGGAGTAACTCAGTATGGGACGAGTAGGCACATGTCAGACCGCAGGCTATCAGTCGGGATCAATGGGTTCCTTTGCAGGGGTTGTCATTGCAGCGGGGCTCCTCCATGGACGGAGTACGGGGAACTCGATTGTGCGTGGAGTTGCGCTTCCTGCAAGACAAGAATAGAGAGAGGGAGAAGGCACGGAGTACAGGCTCATTAATGGCTGTTTGTTAATTCTCAACTTACTGCGTACGGAATGACACAAAGACGGTGCATCTCATGAGATGACACAAGAGACAAGCCCTGACCATGAAGGAAGCGAAAGCGAAAAGTCCCCCACCATTTTAGGGCATCGACCAGGCACCAGCAGGCGGTCAGGCACCAAGGGACCTAGACACCCAGGCACCCAGGCATCCAGGCATCCAGGCATCCAGGGCCGCCGAGGGTGCGGCTCCTCCATCGGAGCCTCGCGGTGGGTCTTCCACTCCCACCCAATTTTTGTCCGGAAGACGTCCATCTTGCAGTGTCCATCCTCTGCTCCAGCCTCTGTCCTCCGCAAGGGTCACCACTCATCAGAGATGCACATCTAGGAACCTTTCCGGACGAGGCTCGTATATGCAAGCAGTGCCTCGCTCTTCCTTCGTCTCAAGTAGATTTCAGGGGCTCGAGCTGAATCCTGGAGAAACGTGCCTGCTGCACGCCGTGCAACAGAAGGTTACGCTTAGTGTACCTTGGCAGCCTGCGGTACTTGGTCCCTGGAGTCTTGGCCCATCACCTGCCTTGGGGGATCGCAAGGCTGATACCAAAGGATTTCTCTCTTCGTCCTACTCCGTGTCCATCCATTGGCCCTGACCATGGATTGTCATCCCGGATCTTCACTCTATCGGAGAGAACCTGCCTCCTAGCCCTCGCGCACGTTGCCCGCGGGGACTGAGATTTCACGGAGTAAAATGTTGTCTCGCTCATACTCCGGATGTGGCTGCGCGAAGAAAGCAACGGCCTCGATCGAGGGCTCCACTCGTCGACTAGCGCAAATCCAACTCATTCCTCCGTGGAGCCTTGGGTCTCTGAGCAGCCCATCGCCCGCTGGCAATACGAGCATCAGCTCTTCTTGACCCGGATTTTCCAATCTTGACGACCAAACCCTTTGCTAATAATATGCCCTGCCCGTCAGCAAGACGTCCCAAAAAGGCACTGGACTGGAGTGCCTGCAACCAAAACAGCCCCTTACCGTGTTGATCCCTCGCTGGAAGAGGCTAATTTCCGCCTAGAAGGGCACTACCGTTCTGGCCAACGCCCCGAATCGGCCCCCAAAGGCAGTGTCGCCCTTGGCTCCATGGCCGTCTATTTAACCCGATGGGTTTCCCATGGCCAGAATTTACTTAATGATTGTTTTCGGCCATTCATTCCATTCTTTTTGAGTGCTATCTACCTCCCTCATTGTACAGACACACTTGATTTTCCAAATTTACAAACATTCCTTTCAATCCTTCGCTACCATGCAGTACAGGGCTCTCTCTCTGCTCGTCCTGAGCGCAACTGCCCTGGCCGCTCCTGGCCCCCAGAACACCGACTCTTCTCTCGAGAGCAACCCTGAATACCAGGAGTACATGTCCTCCCTGGAGTCTCTGTAAGCGCCTCCCCTCTCCCCCGACCATTGTCAGCTCGAGTCGAACCCTCGACTGATTATCCATCAGCGCCAGCAAGACGGGCGACGCCGACTTCAGTGTCCCCACGGAAGAGGTTGACATCCCCCCCTCCGTCCTGGCCGTCCTCGCGACCGCCATGCCCGCCTCGTTCATCAGCCAGCTCGCCGATCCCTCCGCCATCTCGTCTCTGGACAAGGACTGGAAGACCGGCAAGACCCCCGACTGGTACTCCAAGCTGCCCGACGACGTCAAGGACTACGTCTCCGCCCAGGTCAACACTGAGGCCACGGCGACCAACTCCGTCGAGGAAACCGGTTCCAGCACCGGCAAGGGCACTTCCGTCGGCTCTGCGTCCGCCACGGCCACGGCCACCGGCACCTCGGACGCTTCCTCCTCCGCCGCCCAGACTACCGGCACCCAGACTACCGGATCTAGCTCTGCCTCCGGCAGCTCCGCCGCTGAGACCACCGGTTCCCAGGGCGCTACCTCGGAGGGTGGTGCTCCCGCTCCCACCGGCGCCATGGCTGCCAGCTTGGCCGGTGCGGCGGGTATTCTTGGCCTCGCCATTGCTCTGTAAATGACATGACAAAGCTCTGGTTTGGCCGGGGATTGGGGTGGTTGACAGTGGCCGCCTGACATTCTTTTCTTCCTTGAGTCCCTTGACCTGGGGATTTTTTTAAATCATCATATCGATTTCGGCATGACACATGCCTGGATGTACCCTTTTAATGTGTTCTTGTAAATGATTAATGTAGTTAGATTGAATGTACAGCTTGACATAGTGATATCCATAGCAATACTAGTTCTAGAAGTATGAATCAAGAGTAAAAGCCATGCAGCGACCGTTGTGATCAATAATTAGTGTGGAGTGATCGGCCCCTTCGATCATGCCAACGGTCATCCGCAGACTACGCGTCAAGATATGTCAGGTCACAACGAGCAATGCAGCCTACTCAGATGAGCTCATTCTTACTACAATGCATACATTCGTACAAATTCCTGACCCACCCAGCAGACATCCTTGTCCCAATAATACCAAAACAAGCACTAGACCTACGAAGGGCCGGGCATGGCACCTGACAAGCCCAGCCCTAACGGCCCAATGCGGCCTGCAGTTCTTTCTACACGGAGTGCACGGCCTCTTGATCTTTGTCGACCTCGTATCGATGAGCCAGTCACTCAGGCAGTTTGTCTGTTGCCTAAACATCAATAACTGTAGAATTTAGTTTGAAAAGGTATATGCACAGCATTCGGTTCAATCAAGAGTCCTCGGAGTAAAGCAATTCTCCGACGGGGATAAAACCACGAGCCCCGACTGAATCGGACAATCTGCTAAGCCACTCACGATCGGAGCAAATTATAATAAATAAAAAATAAACAGAAAAACAAGGAAATTAAAATAAAACAAATCGAAGGTTCTATTGGGAACATGAAAATACATCATATTTGCTGCACTCGCAGGATTGGACATGACCGTGATTCTTTTATTCATTCTATCATATCATATACACATTTCAGTTCACATGCACCACACTAGATAGTCTTCAGGCCCGCATTCTGAACCAAAGCCTTCATCTCCGCCTGCAACTCCGGCTCCAGCATAACGAACGGCTTTCGCAGTCCGCCGGTCGCGGTTCCCGTCAGCTCCAGCCCCGTCTTGACGGCCGCCGCATAGTTGTGGGACTCCAGGAACTTGCAGATCGGGTAGGCCTTGGCCCACAGTTCGCGGCCTTTCTTAAGATTCCCCTTGACGGCGACCGTCTCCCACAGCTCGACGGCCAGCTCGGGGATGATGTTCGCCGCGCCCCAGATGCCGCCCTGCGCGCCTGCCGCCAGGCCGTAGAAAGTGAGGGTGTCCCAGCCGTTGAAGGCGGTGATCTGGTCGGAAAGTCCGAAGAGCAACTCCGTCAGGGCCGGTCCGTCGCCGGAGGTGTCCTTCAAGTAGCGGACGCCGGCCTTGGATAGGCTGGCCAGTTCGGACGGGGAGAGTTTGAGACCCGTGGCGGAGGGGATGTTGTAGAAGACAATGGGGATCTTGGCGGCGTCTTTGATCTCGGTCAACAGGCCCGTCAGTTCCTTGAGGTTCACAGCGTCGTAAAAGGGCGGGACGACCATGACGGCCGAGGCGCCGGCCTGCGCCGCGTGGATAGAGAGCTCGAGAGACTCGGTGGTCGTCAGACCTCCGGTTCCTGCGATCACGGGCACCCGTCCCGCCGTGTACTTGACCACCAGCTCTGTGAGCTGCTTGCGTTCGGCAAGGGTCAGCGATGTGAATTCTCCCGTGCTTCCGCCGGGAACGAGGCCGTGAACGCCGGCTTTGATCAGTCGGTCGATGAGCGCTTGGAGACGACGCTCGTCGATGGCGGTCTGGTCATCGGTGAAGGGGGTGATCAGTGCCACCATGATGCCGTGAAGGTCTGCCATTGTGTTCGGTGATGGAGGGGAGGTAAGGTTGAATAGGAGATACGTTGGTCGGTGTAGAATTAGATTGTAGGAGGTAGACCCAGAGAGGACACCATCGAGGGCTGAAGAGACATTTTTATAACCGACCTGTCCATGAACCCAAGGCCCGAAGGTGCGTCATTCCGGAGAGGATGAATTGATGCTCGACAATCGAGAACTGGCGGGGACGATATCCTAAAGGGATGTCGGGGAAAGAACCCCCGCCAGGCACCGAGCCAGCAGGCAGGTGGTTCCGCAGCCGTCCCGAAATCGGCAGGTCTTCCGGTTTCCCCGGTTCTCTCCAGACTTCGCCATCCAATGGAAACCGGGGAAGATCGGCAGTTGGCAGCTCCACGGGCTGCGAGATAACTACCCCGTACTGATATGACAGTACTGATAGAAGATTGTGCTTGGTTATGCCAGTCATAGTATTACCCGTGGATGGCGATAACCGACGGCGATGTCATATCTGCGGAGTATGCAGATGCCCTAGACAGATGGGCGGAACTCTATAGGAGAGGGCTTCGTAGTGCTGTGTGGGCGTGAGACTATCTCCCCTGACGCCCTGGTGGCTTTGGTGACTCGTCCTTCGCCTTCACTCACCTATCACCATTCCTATCAATCGTTTATCCCACACATTCCACAATGCCAGACTCTCCCATCAACATGACCTCAGATTTCGAGGCAATAGGCCCTCACCCCGAAGAGAAACAGCCCGAGAGAGACCAAAGTACCGTGGAAGGAGTGCAGAAGGCAGAGGTCCTCCCTTACCTCGAAGATGCCTTCGGGAACGAAGAGCATGCAGAGGTTAAGTACAAGGTTCTGAAGTGGTGGTATGACTGCACTGTCAGGCAGATTCTCGCCCATGGGCTGACATTCTCTTCGATATCAGGCAATGCTCGCTCCTGATGATTGCAGAGACCATCTCTCTGGGGGTCCTTGCTCTGCCCGCCGCCATTGCCGGGGTAGGGTTAGCTCCTGCCATCGTGATCTTACTCGGTTTGGGGGCTGTCTCAACTTACACAGGCTATGTGATCGGGCAGCTCAAATGGCGTTACCCCCATGTTTCCAGCGCGGCCGACGCCGGTCAGTTGTTGATGGGTCGGCTGGGTCGAGAGTTGTTGTTTTGGACAAATATGATTTACCTCATCTTTATCATGGCCAGCCATCTGTTGACGTTCACCGTGGCCCTGAACACAGTTACGAAGCATGCCACATGCTCCATCGTGTTCGGCGTCGTCGGCCTGATCATTTCTTTCTTGCTGGCATTGCCCCGGACTCTAGACCGAATGTCATGGCTTTCGCTCGTCTGTGTGTATTGATAGATCCCGTCTAACTGTCCCTATTGCTGACATGAACATCAGCATTCGCCAGTATCATTGCAGCAGTCTTCATTACCATGATCGCCGTTGGGGTTCAGAACCCGGCCAGACACATCACACCAACGACCGAAACAAATCTCGTGACTGCTTTCACATCCACGGCGAATATTGTCTTCTCATACTGTACTGCTTTCCGTTCTTCATTGACGTGATGCATGGTGTCGCTGACGACTCGCAGCTAGCCATAACACCTTCTATACGATCATCGCTGAGCTCCGAGACCCACGAGACTTTCCTAAGTCATTGGCCTTGCTGCAGAGCGTTGATGTGACGGTCTATCTCGTCGCTGCAGTAGTTATCTACTGCTACACCGGAGACGAAGTAGCTTCCCCGGCGTTAGGAAATGCTGGAAAACTCATTTCCCGTATCGCCTATGGCGTTGCCCTTCCCACGGTAGGTCGATCGATTCATCACGAAAGTGATAGAAACCGCTGATGACAGACGAATCTAGATTATTATTGCCGGGGTGATCATGGGACACATTGCCTGCAAGTCTATTTACGTCCGCATCTTTGCGGGCACAGATCGAATGCATAAACGAGACCTGGTTGCCGTTGGGTCCTGGATTGCCATCGCTTTTGGCATCTGGGTTGCCGCTTGGATCATCGCCTCTGCGATCCCCGTCTTCAACAACCTCCTCAGTTTGATTGTGAGTCACTATAGCCCACAGATCTTTTCCAGAGGGAGGAATCCCGAATGTCCTAATCCCTTGCTTTCTATAGGTTTCCCTCTTCGCAAGCTGGTACTCTTTCGGACTCCCGGGAATCTTCTGGCTGTGGATGAACAAAGGGCTCTGGCTCTCCTCTCCTCGAAAGATCAGCTTGACCCTGTTGAACATCCTCTGCATTTGCATTGGGGTTATCCTCGTACGTTTGAGCCCTCCTCACCCAATCTCCGCTCGCCTGCTGACAATTGTCGATCTAGTGCGGTCTTGGACTCTATACGTCAGGAAAAGCGATTCACGACGACCCCCAGAGTGCGAGCTTTTCATGTGCAAATAACGCCGATGCTTGAATGATCTCTTTTTGCTGCTGGAAGCTTGACGTAGCATATGGATCTATGGCTGGTTACCGTAGCTCGTTTGAACAGATACCTGCTTGGATACCTTGTTTGTTTCAACCAAATTGTCAACCAAAAACTGCCAGGAAACCTCCAGATCAGGCAGTCATTGTGGCAATGTTTGTTTTGCCTTCATACCAAGCTTCATGATGGGTTAGGAATTGTCATGTGTCAGATTGATCAGATTGGGATACCGAGAAGGTTCCGAGTGGATGGTCTAAAGATTCAGACCCTCGTACTTTCGTTTATCAGACCATTGCATTGTCGTATACTAGCCACCACTTGTGTTGACATAAGTTGTATGTAGATGATAATATTGATCACAGGATTAGTTGCAGGACCGGTTTCGATGAAAATCTCGTATTGTGAAGTCTAGGCGACCTGGGTTTGTAATCCAGTCCATTGGAAATTGCTATTATAGATGCCCACATCGAAGGATGTCCTATGCCATTTGAGATTCCAAGTCGAAGAGATCCTAAAAGGTGATGAGAGGTGTTTTTCCTTTTCTCTCGTCAACACAATATCGGCCAGATTCTCTCTTGACTGGCAACGTCAATCCAGGTTGTAATCAGCTGTCCACGAACAGCCAAACATTCGTCTTGTTTGCGCCAGAGAACTGTCATAAAAGTTTTAGCCGTGGAAAACGGAGGGAATCGACAGTATGTGTATGTCTGATCCAGCCATTGCACGATAGCATCGCGCCTTCGAGAGTCCGTAGCCTCGCACCCTGCGATGAATGCAGGCCATATGGAACCCAGGCCAATGGGCTCGTCTGGTTGCAAAGCGGCCCGAAAATTCTCCAACTCGGCTATTACATCGTCCACGTGGTGCTCGAGAATCTGCGGATGCACCTGGTAGATACGCCGATAAAAGAAGATCACCAAGGCTGCGTTCAGAGCCCGGAGCAGATGATAACCGGGCTTGGAAGCTATATTACCGTGATCGGTGTTTCCGCTCTGAGTGCGGTTCAAGGAGCAGATCATATATTCTAGTCGGACACTCCGACGTTGGAGCGTGTCCCATGCCTCAAAATTAAGATTCGGAGTCGATCCACGTGCGTTTCGAAAGGTCTCCATGACATTGGCCAGTCGAGTCGTCTGCGAGACTAGGCTCAGCCATGTTTCCGGAATTCCGTAGATTTCTTTGTATAGGGTCTCGGGATAATCCCGGGAGTCTTCTAGGTGTATATCTCTGAGGCTGGTCTCTTGGTCTTTGCGTTCATGAATATTGAGGTCTCGATCCGAAGCATGCGTCTCTAAACGTAGAAAGGTGTCGAGTCGAGCGTCTGCCTCGCCCATCGATCCGACAGACTCCGAGGTTTCTACCGGAGGTGGTTGGAAGTTCGTTTCAAGAGCATCGAGAAACTGTTTTGATGGACTGTAATCGTGGAGGACATACGTACTCTCCCCCACAATCCGGTGCCATGTATAAACGTGGTGAAGAAGACGGGCCTTCTGAGAAATTCTGCGCTTGGTGAAGCCTCGGAGACGCACCAAGCGTTCTGTATCTAATAAAAAGCACCTAGCGTGTTGCGGTTGTCCGGATATGATCTGCTGTTATTAGTGCCGAGTCCAGAAGCGCGAAGAGTATATTCCACTTACGGCAAATTCTGTCAGGGCACAGAGCGCCATCATTTGATCCTTGTACTTCGCCTTCTTGGGAAGCTGAGTCTCGGTTTTGAGAGATATTTGCATGTGTTCCTTAGCCTGCTCAAAGGCTCGTTTGGTAACTTGTTTCCAGTGGTCAATCGAGCGGTTCGTGTCATTCGGTAACTTCAGAGTCAAGTGAAGAGCAGAGCATGCCAGAAGGCCGTAAAGATTAGCCTGCCGAGCATGGGTGATATTTTGGGCATTAAGAAATGTCAAATCCCCAAGAGTGACTACCGCAGCCGGCATATTCAACATTGTCCACGGTGATTTGCGCCCCAAGGGCATTGCCACCATCAGCGCAATAACGTTTTCATGGAGATGCTTAAGGAGGAATGGGGCATCAGCTAGAACGTCTGGTGATGGGCCAGGTGAGTTCACCGCAGCATGCTGTGGGGGAGACGACCATGTCAAATGCAGTAGATCTCTCTGGCTTGACGGTTCGCATGGGATGTCACCGCCCACAATATCGGTGCCTAGTCCATCAATCCTCATAGAGGATGAATTCCCATTCTCCAGAACCAATTGGAGAGGATCTATCGCGGTTGAGGTTGGCCATGATGAAAAGTCCGTCTGGTCAAACTCGAGACCCAGAATATCGGACCAATGAAGAAAATCGTCCATATATCCCAGTGACTCGGGCAACGATATCAGAGGACCAGCCATGGGTATCTCCGCGGGGATTGGGGTCTCCGCGGGCGTTTCCATGGCAGGCTCCACATCCATAATTGGATTCTGGTCAGCATTATCGACCGGACCGGGTCGCTGAGGTTCACTCGGGCCCTCGGGCCCTCCGGGGAAGTGCAGAACAGAAAAGGGGCCTATGGCCTGCTCATCCGAGGAATCCTGGCGTAGTTGATGCGATCTGCGATCGATCTCCGCTAGAGAGGCATCTATCGAGCCGGATACCAGGTTGGCACCCAATGCCACGCTCATGGAAAGCCTCGACTCTTCTAAGGAATGGGTCAGTGAGACGAGGCGATTACAGGGGTAAGAAGAGGAACCAAGAATCAATGTACCGGAATACAGATACCGACGGGCACCTTGGCGTGCATCCTCGATCGTAATGGCTGAATTGTCGACGGGATTGTCCTGTGCGATCCATCGCACCTGGTCGGAGAAGCCCTCGCAGGGGACTCCCAGAGCCCGGCACCTGGAACACGAGGGGCGTCGCCGGTCGCATCGAACATGGCGACGTCTGCAAGTGTGGCAGCTGCCTAGGAAATGGGAGCGAGTCGTTGTCATGAGCACATTCCCACAGAAGTTGGGGCAGGAGGAGAAGGAGAGCTGGAGGTTGGAGAGAGAAGAAACCGTCCCCGTCGATGGTGGAGGCGGGGGGGAATGACTTGTCTCCACTTCCTACTACAACTACTACTCCTACAACTACTACTCCTACAACTCCCCCAACCCCTACAATTACCATGGCTTCAAGCTTCAATTACAATGACTACGATCTGTTCTTTTTCTCTCCAGTTCGGATTACTGCAGCGCTATCGGACTCCATTGTCTATCTCAATCCACCACTTTCCAAACTACAATTCACGTCCTAAAGTTTGGCCAGTTCCCCGTCCGGTCGTAGTACGGACAGGTAGCATTTCTGGATGTCCTCGATTGTTCGGCACCTGCAGGCGGTTAATGAATGAAGGTGTTGGTGGTCTGGAAACTGCACATACCCCGACAAAGCCATCGTGACCTTCAGCTCCATCTGCAGAATTTGGAGGGCCAGTTCAACCCCTGCTTGGCCGTTATACTGTCGCAGTTCAATCAGCACCAAGACCCTCTTTCAGAAAACAAAAGGAACTGCTACGTACCGCCAGACCCCAGATCGGGATTCTTCCCAGGAAGCAGAAATCAGCCCCTAGAGCCAGAGCCTTGAATATATCGGATCCCCGTCGAATGCCCCCATCAATGGCAATGGGGATTTTTCCTTTGGCTGCAGGAGCACAAGCTCTCAAAGCATCCAGGGTGGATGGGACGCCGTCAAGCTGTCGTCCCCCGTGATTGGAGATGATCACACCGTCTGCACCGTGGCGAATTGCAAGCTCCACGTCTTCTGGAGACATGACTACCGGGACATTAGAAACCCGTGGCTTTCGTTTCTACCGAGCCGAGCCCAAGGGGACTTACTGCCTTTCAACCAAATCTTCATGGACGTATGCTGTCGAAGCCAGGGAAGGGCCGATTCCCAATCGAGACTCGGATCTAGTCAAGTCAGAGCACGAATCCTAGCAGTTTTGCGGGGAGACGAACCGTAGTCGGTACGTGAGGACCGGTCGCTGCCACTGCTGAGGATATTGGGGTAGGACATATCCACGGGGATTCGGAAGTCGTTGCGGTACTCATTCAAGCGATGACCCAGGACCGGCACGTCGACCGACAGGAACAGTGCCTTGTAACCCGCCTCTGCCGATGGTGAGCATTCCACGGCCTCGAATAGAGATTGGGACACACATACTTTCTGCTCGTTCCAGGAGCTGCAAGGTCAGGGACCGATCTCGCAGCACGCACATTTGAATCGCATAAGGGTTGCCATTTCCTTCCTTGATCACTTCCTCCAGGGCATAGGTCGAATACGACGATAGACCCATGCAAATTCCAAACTTGGCCGCAGCGCGGGAAGTAGCCAGCTCTCCCTCCGGGTGCGCTAGTTTATGCGAGGCAGTCGGACTGAAGCCGAAAGGAAGGGATACCTTGGTGCCGAGGATCTCCGTTTCCGTGGCCACCTTTTCGACATTGATGAGGACTCTCGGGCGAAGCTTGTAGCGATCGAAAGCGGCTTCGTTGTCTTGCAAGCTGAAAAGAGATCGAGTTAGAGACATTTCCACGCGGCGAACGTTCGCGATGTTGGAGTCACCGTACCTGATCAAGTCCATGGCACCCCCATTATAGTAGTCTCGATTCATTGGCGAGAGTCGAGCACTACCCAACCTCTTCAAGTCGTCGATGCAACAAACATCCTTGCCGAGTGCGTTCCCACGGTGTGCCATGATTGCGTGAATTCAATGCGGAGTCAATCAGCACGACAAGAGGCAAGAGACCTGTCATGGCCTGAGTGACCCAGTTGGGTCAGTATTTATAACTGGGTGAACTGGACTGAATGTTGCGTGTATAGTAGCAGGAGTGTATACTTCCGGATGGTCGTCGCACCGCTTGGCTTCAGTCCGCGGAACTGCCTACCGGTTCGGGAGACCCACCGGTATACAGTCTGGCGATAAGCATGGAGACCGTCTCTGGAACCAGCAGGTGCCCCCGTCCTCTTGACAGGCCGAAGACTGATCCCCAAAACGTGGTTGGTTGAAGGTCATATACTAGGGCTATCCTCCTATCTATGTCTTGTCTATGTCCGTAGTCAAACCCGGTTCGAGAAAGACTACAACCAGCCCGGACTCTCTCATTGTATCTGTCTTTGTTCTTCTCTTCGGGACGGGCATTTGATGGGGGTTTCTGCCCCCCAGCCACAACCGCTAAACCGCCTGGCAATTTAGTAGCAAAAGCTGCTTGGTGACTATCCTGGCCTCCACGTAGCCATGACGCAACCCGAAGGCTCCCACCGCCACTTTCAAGACTCCAGACCGGCCGAGGGTTGCTCCGAGTCGGAGATGATCGCGGAGGATAGTGCGTCGGGGTTGAAACGGTTCAAGTATGTCCGATCTTTCACCTAGGTACCAGCTGATGGTGTTAGAATCGAGCAGCCTGATGAGGGCTGGCCAATCACCTGACCCGAGGGGCGCTGGACAACCTCAGCGACTCGTATTCTTTGCAACGGACGAAGGTCACGCAAGCAACGCCAATCAGATCGGATGGATTGGTCAACCGTCGGCCAGATCGCGCAGAAGAATTCGGCCGTGCAATAAATCCGAGTCTTCGATGGCGTCGATCTCCGAATGCTGACGATTACCCGCGCCCTGATTGGCCGGCGCGGGGCTGCATCAGGTTTTGCACGGACACGGCGAGCACACATATAAGAAAAGTTCTGCTCTCTGCTCTGCTGTGTCTGAGAAGTCGAAAAGAATCATCGGTCTCAATTGACTCGGCTCCAGTGGTGGCATTCATCCTTCGTGGTCGATTCTTCGTGCAGCTCCTTCGACGGTCTAGATTCGGCCATTCCGTACGCTGACGTCAGTGTTTGTCCTACGAAGTATACATCGTCAACTCTTCTACGGAGTATACAACCCAACATCCTGCAATTCAATCAGGAGAGAGACAAAATTAAAACAAAATGGCTCTCCTATTTCTCAAACAAAAACTTTTCCCGACCCACAACTCCCAATCCAAAAATTCATCCGGTTCGCCTGCCCATCTATAGTCCTACCACCAGATCAACACTAATCCCCGGCCAGCAAAACCACTCCTCTCAGACAACTCCAACACTCCCACAGTTTGTGATGATCTCGAATCCCAACGCTCCTACTCGACCTTCCACTCCTCGACGGCCCACTCCGACAATGACAATGACGATGCCGCCTCCAACTCCTCCAGCACCGGCAGCACGCGCTCGCGCATCAACCCGCGCATCGTCTCCGATGCTATCCTCGGCTTGTCCGACGGCCTGACGGTGCCGTTCGCTCTGAGTGCGGGCCTCTCCGCATTAGGCGATACCAAAGTTGTCGTGCTGGGTGGGTTGGCCGAGTTGGCGGCCGGTGCGATATCCATGGGACTGGGAGGATATGTAGGCGCGAAGAGTGAAGCGTACGTTCCTTCCTCTCACTCTAACAACTTCTTCAATCAATAAACACTGACAACGGACAACAGAGAATCCTACGAAACCACCGTGCGCGAAACCAACGCCCTCGTGGCCGCCTCGTCCGCCGAGACCTCCGCCATCGTGCACTCCATCTTCGCGGCGCACGGCATCCCCGAGCCCGCCGTCGCGCAGATCAACGCCTCGCTGCATGCCTCGCCTGCCAATCTGCGCGACTTCCTCGTCGCCTTCCACCACAAGGAGTCCGCGCCCGACTGCAACCAAGCCTGGATCTCCGCGCTGACCCTGGCCCTGGGCTACTTCGTCGGCGGCTTCATCCCGCTGATCCCGTACTTCGTCGTCGACCGCGTCATCGTGGCGCTGTACTGCAGCGTCGGCGTCATGGCCGTCACCCTGCTGGTGTTCGGCTACATCAAGACGGGCGTCGTGCGCGGGTGGCGCGGCAGTGAGAATGTCCTGGCCGGCCTCTGGGGCGGCGTGCAGATGGTCCTGGTGGGTGGGATCGCTGCAGGGGCGGCCATTGCTCTGGTGAGGGTGATTGGGGCTTAGCTTTCTTGCTTGGGGGGATGGGGTTTCTGTACGATATTATGATCTGGATCTGGATTTTGAACATGGCATGGGCGCATAATGATAGACAGCATGGCGTTTGGGAGGATCAAAAAATGGGCTTCTTCTCTGTCTTGCATTGCACCTAGCATATAACATAAATACAATAATGCACCACACAAGACAACACTCCCATCCAACCACCCAACAGAATCAATATGCATATACAGCTGTACCCAGTAACCAGACCAAACCCAACCCCAAAACCAGCTACCCCTGCACCGCCCTCCCCACCAACTCCTTAACACCCTCATCCCGAATCTCAATCCCCAGCGCCAACGCCCTCCCGGGCTCCGACATCTTCGCCCACGTCTTCCTCAAGATCCCCAACATCTTCTCCTCCCCATACTCGGCCCCCTTCTCCCCCGCAAACCCCTCCAGCTGATCATCCAGGAACACCAGGCACGCCACGTCCTCCAGCACCTGCGTCTCGGGGTCCCCGGCCTTCAGATCCTCCTTGCGCACCAGCGCCGCGACCCGCGCCGCCTCGGGCCCCCCGTACCCGGCCTCCAGACACATGGCCTCGGCGATCTGCGCCTGGTGCCGCTGCAGCGCCGACCGCCAGCTGTGGTAGCCGATTTTGGTCATGGGGTAGCTGGCGCGCGGGATCTCCCAGCGGCGGAGGTGCTGGGCGCGGATGGCGAGGGAGAGCGGTTCCGATGGGGCGGGGGTGGAGGGGTCCGAGCAGCGCAGGGTGAGGTAGTGGGTCATTTTTTGCGCGTAGTGTAGTTCGTAGGGGATCGTGTCGGTGTCGTTGGAGGAGGAGGCGGATTCGGGCTGGGCGGCGGAGGAGGCGGTGGGGGGTTCGGAGGGGTTCGTGGATTGGGATTTGGGGATGGGGATGCGCCGTGGGTCTTGGGCGTGGGCGGCGTCGATGAGAGCCATTGCTTTGGCGAAGGGGGTGGACATTTTGGAGGGAGTGCAGGTGTTCGGAGGGAGGGGTGTGGGATGAGATGAATTGGAGGGAGGAAGAGTGGAAGATGGAGAGATGCGTTATCAGATAAAAGATATGAAATGAGGGCCGTCTGAATGGCCGCCCACTTGGGCCGCTTCGGGAAGGGCAGCCCTAACGCTTCTTACGGTGGGAGTGGCAGAACCATCAATGCAAGGTATATGTCAATATTTGGTCCCTCTAATAATATATCACATCATTCCTTCGCCCTGTACTGTAGTCCCGTCAAGAAATACAAAATCCATGCCGATTTGGTCGGCACGCAACTCGGATCCCATCGCAAGCTTCGAGTATAAAATAACAATCAATCCATGAACATTACAGCTGCGAGATCTCCTCCTGGAAAAAAAAAAAAGAGAAAAAGGATGAGCAAGACGAGATGAGCGAAGCATAAGACACAAAGCGCAAAGAGCAAAAAGCACACCCATCAACTTATTACTCCTCCGAACGCCGCCCATTGGATGAAGCCGGGTATATCCAGCACCGTAATGCAAAAAAAAAAAAAAAAAAAAAAAAAAAAAAGGGGAAAAAAAAAAAAAAAAAAAAGGGGAAAAAAAAAGACAGTAAGAAAAAAAAATGTACGGAGAATAACAAGACAAGGCGAGGACATTAACAAACCAACTGATGAATCGGATCCCAGCATGCCATCGTTGATCGTCGTGTCATGCAGCAGGTCCGCAGTGGAGTCCTCATTTTTGGATCCAGAAAACCTATGCACGAGGTGAATGGGGTTGTAAAAAAAATAAAGAAAAAAAAAATAGAAAAAGCAAATCACAAGGTGGAGGGGAATGAGAAAAGAAAGTGAACCGACAGTAAGAAAAAGATCCAGCAGAGAAAAAGATGGATTTGAAGGTTCAATTCTCAAATCTCATGTTTTCTTTTCTTTTTGGGTTACCTCGCCCCAATCCCATACATGCCAATGCCATAGCTTCCTCCTCGATCGGGTAGAGGCGTGCCGATTTTCGAAACATGTTCCTTCAGAATGACAATCGACCATAGTCGTCAGCAAGGTAGAACTCTCTCATGTTTCCGGTGAGGGTCCTACCTTCTTCCGCTTCTTCTTCCCCATGCCCTCGCTGTTGGAGTAGAATGCGCCGTCATCATCGTCATCTGCGTAGCCTTCGCCGTATCCAACAAAGCTGTTCTCGTCGTAATGTCTCTTGCGACCTCGACTGGGTCGGGACCGGTCCGCGTCAGAGGCCGTCGCCGCGGTAGGAGTTCCGTTGGGTTGAGTAGGAGGTCCTCGAGCATTGTTCGGAAGTGCACCCGCCTTCTTGCTGCTACCCTCCCCGCTGCCGGCATGTTTCGATGGTTTCTCATGTCCTAACACATCCTCCCACTGTTCACTGTTCGGTATCGGTCCGGGTTCCATGTGCATCGCCTTCATGTGGAGTTTCTGTAGCGCCGAGTCCATGTCCGCCATCTTGATCTCCTTCCCGTGGACCTTCTGGTTTTGCCATTCGTCTTCCGGCCACATCGTCAAATGCCGTAGTGTGCTGGTTGAGGTCGGGTCAGCTTTCACGGCTTTGTTTCTTCCAGCCAGACCGAGCCCCTTGAGCTTTCCTTCGTAGGATTTCCTGAGTCTGTTAATCTTTTCGCCAGTCACCGGATCCATCCTTGCCACCGATTTCGCAACCGGACCTAGCCCGTATAAAGAAACCAGATCTAGTGATGGGTCTGGACCAGTCGCGATATGGGCTGTAGAATTGGTAGAGCAAAAGTGTTAACAGACCTCATCCAAAGAAAAGAAGACACAAAGACAGTGGAAAGAAAGAGAGGGGGGGGGGGAAAGACAAAGTGCACGTTCCAATCACAGTAGAACGGTGATGGTCACACCAAATGGGGAATTCTTACAGCTTTTGCAAAGATGATAGGCCGATGCAAATTCCTTCTGCAGCGAATCTAAACTGAATTCATCCGGATTGGACGGGACTCCCGGCTCCGTGTCAACGTCCATAGCGCCGTCGCCATATCTGGATAAGTTCGGGTCGCCCGAGTGGGTGGTGTCGCGCATGCCCGATTCCATCATTGCATCACCTGGCTGCCGATCATGATCGGTCCGTCTATGTTCTGCGTGCTGAGTGGAAGCCGACGAGACCCCGGATTTGTCTGGATGATCGGGATCGTCGCCCGAGGTGGCGCCGGTGAAGTGGCCACTCACGCTGCTGGCGGGCGTGGGAAACGAATTGGTCACACCTAGTGTAGGCTGTTGCGAGGCCTGAGTGGACATCGGGGCCGAGGAAGGAGGTGAGGAGAGGTTCGCGGGTTGAGACGTTGCCTGGCTAGGTGATGCTTGCGAGGATGCGAAATTGGAGGCATAATTCTGAGCGCCTACCGACATCAACGGAGGGGATGTCGGGGTCTGGGGAGTTGGTTCGGAGGGGATGAAGGAGGAATGGTTCTCTTTGAGAGACCCGGCGGCGGGAGACGACGGTGACGGAGGCTCAAGTCGGAAAGACGCCGAGGCGCGATCAGACATGGGAAAGTCTCGAGGGAGAGAGACGGAGAGAGGAGGGGGGTGGCGGAGGATGAGAGGAGGATGGCCGAAGCCCAAGCGACCTTCAAAAAGAGATCCGTAGCCTTATAGAAAGGATCTCGATCGAAAATCCGGGGGCTGCTCCGTGGTCCGGGTCGAGTTCAGGGTTGATTCAAGGTAGAGTCTGGAAGAGGGGGAGGCTGGAATTCCGGTCGAGGATCGCTCAGGCGGACGAGCAGGACGTTCCGACCGGTTAGAAGTCACGCATTCCAATGAGTCGAGTTTTGCACCGCCGTCCAGAGCTGGCGAAGGGGGACGAAGCAGAGGCAGACGGGCGTGAGGGGGGGAGGAGGTAGGATGCAGAGAGACTCGGGGGGGGGGGATGGTGGATTGCAGTCAGGCCAGTCCAGTCCGGGTCGGTTTTGGTCGGGTTGGGATTTTGGGGTGAAGAGAGCGCAGCCCTTTGGATCCGCAGAGGAGAAAGACGGGCGGCTTCTTTCGTCGGGGATGACGGCAGCCGGCACGTGACGGCGGGCGCGCGTTTCGCCGCCCGTACGGTACGGTAACGGCTGTATTTCCCGGTCGTCGCCCGCCTGACTAAGCGCCACGCTGCTTTGTGCTTCTTTGTGGTCCCAGGAATGAGGCGTCTCTTGGGGGAGACCGCGAACCATGGGTGTCAATGGGAATCTACGAGTCAATGCGCTGAACCGGACTACGGCTTAGATGCGGTTGCGTCTGATTGATGGATGATGCATCAGTCGATCGATTGCGCCCACTGGACAATGGTCATGTATGGTAAATGCTGAACCCAGAGAGCGCTCAGATAGATATCCTTGTCACGCATAAAGAAGCAAAAAGTGAAAGAGAAAAAAGAAAAAGCAACAAATGACAAAGCACGCTCCAACACCGAATGCAGACGTGTCTCGTAAACTCCTAATCCGACCCTACTTGGTGCACCTGCTTAGGTCTGATAAAATGTCCCCGTCTCGCGCATCAGCTGGGCGGAAACGTCCGGAATGTTCTGCTCCAACGAGGCCATCAATTCGATCTGTTCCTGCTGGCTGAGAGTGCGTCCGCGCCAGGACGGGGTGGGATATGCGCCGTTGAAATATTGCGAATATTGGTTTCCAATGATGTCCATCCAGTCCATCGGATCCACCTGCGCCTCGACAAATGCCAGATGGCCCGGAGTCGTGGTGCCGAGCGTGAAGTTCGGGTCCCAGCCTTGCACGCGGGGAATGACGGTTGGGAACGGATTGTGCGGGGTCGCCGGGTCGAATTGCAACTCCGAAAAGGGTGCGGCCGGTTCACTGTAGGGGGGACTGGTATAGGGAGTGGGCGTCGCGGTGGACGAGGGTGGCAGTGGCGGCGCGGGCGCCGGCGCCGGCTGTGGTCGCTGGAGCTGCGGCTCCCACAAAGTGTACTGCGGAGCCTTGAGCGACTCGACTGTCGTAGAGGACGCGGGTGAAGCCTGCGTGTATGAGTACGCCGGTTCTGCAGACGGGCCTCGCGACAAGGTGCCCGACGACAAACTGTCGGGATTCGAGCACTTGCTCGCCCGTGCATTCTGGGAGTGGAATGAAGTGGTTGTGCTTGCGGGGCTCGAGATTGACGGGGGGCTCGTCACATCTTGAGAAGACGTGGGGGTCGCATGGTTGGAGGGAGATTGGACGACGAACGATTCGTCAGTGTTGAATGCCTTGAGACACGCGGTTACAAGATTCTTGTAGAGAAGCAAGGCCGATTCAACGCCCGGCCATCTTTCCGCGGCAAGCACTATGCCATCGAGTGCTATGTCAAGGTGACGTTGGACTTCCTCGATGGAGTGCTCCTTGCGAATTTCGGGATACGAAAGGGACCAAAGAACGGTGTTGAGGGCCATAAATAGTGATTGAGTGAAGATCCACGTCAGATCAACGGATCCCGTCGCGATTTGCTCTCGCTGCATTGCCACGTTGAATATCGATGCTTCGTAGCACCGCCGCGCCGCATACAACGAGGGTTCGGGTACTTGAGGCGAGGGCCGGAACATGAAAACGATCATTGTATTTCGCCGACCAAGAAACCTAAAAAGTTCTTCGTATTAGCAAGCCAGAACGGGAAATCAAGCCCGAGCATGCGAATCCGTACCACGTTTCACTGAGGCCGCTCCCTCCGTCATTCTTGGGGCAGGAGGCTACCCAATGATCAAGTTTGTCGAGCATCTGGGAAAACCACGGGTCTTGATCGTCGGTGGGTGTATCGCGTTTGTTTAGATAGAGAGTCCGTCTAATCTCCGCCTGGAGCAGTCGCATTTTGAAAAAATGAATCGCGATACATTTGGCGAGTTTGGGGGTCCCCGGAAGAATGCCCTCCGGTGTGATACAGTCGTCGTCCACCAGTTCGAAGAACTTGACGCGCATGTAATCGTGGTTGACAGAATAGCAGCTCGGACGACCAAGGCTGTGAGAGAGACCGAATTCCATCGACGTGACAATCCAGAAGAGCCTTCTCCGCATGTCAATTTCCAGAGGGTTGGGTCTCTGTCCACCGCAAGGTTGCGTGATCGAATCTTCGTCCATCAATCCTAAATCCTGACATAGCTTGACCGCCATGCCAACCACCCAGTAGGCGGCAGTTCTCGTGGGGGTTAGTAGAGAATATTGTCCGATAAGAACTAGGCACTGCAGTGATTTGATATCCATGCGTTTCAGAGAAGCCTCCAAATAAGGCAGCGCTGCGAGATAATAGCTGTCGGCCAGCCCTGCATATATCGGACCCATCTTTTGCATGCTAATCGCGATTACCATTCGCAACTGGAAATTCTCGCAAGGATCATCGGAGCCGTTGAAGACGTTGTCGACCTCCTGGCGAAACGTCGGAAGGTGTAACGTCGGAAGCATCGCTTGTGCTAGAGTACCGGTCAGTCCAAATGTTTGTTGGTAGCGACTGGAGATAGAACATACCCTTGACAACAAACACATCGACAAGTCGATCGGTCGACTTCCGTGCGGGCAGATTGGGCTGAGGGATCGAACTGATCATGGGATATACTTTTGACGTTGGCTTGGAGCTTTCTTCTTCGAAGGCCAGCTTGATTTCCTGCGCAGTCAATTCCGGGACGACATCTTTAATGCTCTTCGAGTCGGTATTTTGCTTGGCCATTTCCATGACCAGGCGGGTGATTGCGATGCCACTCGACGGGCCCAAGAACCTCGACTCGTCGTTCTCTTTGAACCGGATGCGACCCGCCCCGCGTACCATCAATTCCGCGTCGGCGGCATGTTGGAAATCCTTCTCGAGCTCCGCCAACTCCTTTTCCAACGCGCGTGCCTTTTCGCGCAGGGAAACGATATACGTTCGAGGGATGGTGCATTTTCGTGAGGAGTCGAAGTAGACGCATTTAGCATTGCTGCGTTCGCACGGGGCGCATCTTGGGACTCCCGGGTCACATCTGGATTTGCGCTGCGGGCCGGCGTTAGCTGGATTCGAAAAAAAGAAAATACGAGTGAGATAAGACGCGGGAAGGAGTCAAAAGGGTATGGAGTCGACGTGGACCAGATGTTGGCTCAAGGGGGGGCCAGGGAAGGGACGGGGATTCGCACCTGTCTGCATCTCGTACAGGCCGTTAACGTATGCGCGATTCGACCGTCCGGAGCATCGTCGGATTGCTCGGAAGATCTCGAAGACGGTTTCTTCCAGAGATCCATAAATTGCAGTCGGGAGCTTGTCGAGTTCAGTTGCGAGTCCATGGTTGTCGGGTCGGTCGACGGCCCCCAAGTTCAGGGGGGGATTTTTGTTGATCGAGGGGAGAGGAAAAGGTATGCAAGCGGGTATCCCCCGCGATCGCATGGGATTCTTGCCGGGCAAAAGGGCAAGTCAACCGGAGTCAGAGAGCGATCGGGGCATCCAAGGCTGTCAAAAGTCGAAATGGTATCCGGTGAGACAGGACTTTCGACATGTTCAGAGGCCGACACGACAAAGGCCAGCTGCGAGGAGGCGTAGGCGGTGATACCTGTAAGAGAACATAAGGTGCGCGCACAGGCTCTCGGAGGATTGCGTTAGGCGGACATCCACCAAGTTGGGCGGTTCGGCGATATTGTTGGATGCGAGGACAGCCGGATTCAGCGACGAGGGTGGGAGATGGGGTTGCGAGAGAGCTACGATCGCTCTCCGTGGCAGAGGTCGGTATATAGTCGAGAGGGTCGCGGGCGTCAGGACCGTCAAACTTGGAGGTCAGTCACCTCGTAAGGATCGGAGACGAAACGGAGTTGAAATGACAAGGGCATCCTCGGTCCAGTCCCGCCTGGATCGACAAACGCGCTAAACGGAATGATTACGGGACGCCACCACGACTCGATGCAGCAGGTCGGGGGAATCGATCTGCCATCTCCGATCTATCTATCTCATATCTATCCGTCCTTCTTCGGAGGGACCATCTCGCATTCGTAGTGACTACTACCTTCCATAAGGTCCTGGATATTGTTCGTCAGGATCGACGCCAAATGGCTGGATCTGAGAACGCCGGATGTGGAGAGGATCGGCGTCACGTTACCCTCCCTTTGGTCGATTACTCATCGCCCAGGAATACTCGAGGGACAATAATGAACATACGCTGTAGTACTAGGTACTGATCTGGCGATCCTGTGATTTCACTAGCATCTACGGAGTACCACTAGAAGGAACCACCACTACTTTCTTCGCTACTGTACCTTGGTATATCTTAGACTGGACTCTGGACACTACGACGGAGGGCCAGATTCCATGCCAAGACTGGCCCTCCACCGAAATCTGCCACCCGTCACATGCAAGAACAGTTTTTTTCTTTTTTTTTTTTTTTTGTTTTCTTCTCTGTTATTGCATTTATCTCACTGGTTTCATTCCCATCTACAGGATTGTCCGTATTCTCTGGGGGCAATTGTGCAAGAAACACTGCAGGAATTTGGATTATTCTGCCCTTTCCGACCCACTTCGCCAGCAGGGTTGATTCCCGCGATTTCCCTCTCCAGCGACGGTGGAGCGGTCGAGTGGGGGTCGACGTGAGGGGATCTTACCGTATCGTAACGATCCCAGGAGTACCGGTACCTCCATAGACTCTCTCTCTCTCTCTGTTCAAGGTTCTCCGTTCTCTTCCCCCCCTCTTTTCTATTCTCCCTCCCTCCCCCATCGACGCGCACTTCCGTCGCCCAACGGTTCAAACTAAAAAGCCACCCCCGAGTCTTTACCTTATTCGTCCCCTGGTGTGCTGCATCTGCAAATCCACGGTAGCGCGGTTGGATATCTACACTCTGGTCATTTAATCTTTGCTTTCTTTTTTTTTTTCTTTCTTTCTTCTTTTCTTTTTTCGTTTTCTTTTTTAACTTGCCATTTTTCTTTTCCCCCTTTCTTTTCATCCCCCCCTCGGGAGTTTCTCCTTAAACATCCAGGTCAGCCTTAGAGTAGTACCTAGTTGCCTATAGAAGCTGTCTAAGCTAATGTAACGTTTAGTCATTTCATCCGCGCGCAACTTCGAAATGGCCTTCTTTTGGCGCCGATAATCTCCCTGATCGGTAGTCGCATTAAGCCTCTGCAACAACCCCCTACTCGCTTTCTGGGCGGCAAATCCGGTTGAGGTGAGTTGTACCTGCATTGCTCGGCCTCCGTCAAGGTTGATCGACATATAAACTTCTGGCTCCGGGTTGGGTCGAGGCTGCTCTGCTGCTTCGCCTCCTGTCACGGCCTTTTATGACGGGGCTACCTCCCACCTGCACCGACTAGTGCTGACCCCGGACACATCGTCTATTGACTAGACGGCGCAGAATAACCCTAGGCCACATTACATGGTGCACTCCATTCCGACTCGGAAATTCCCCTGCTTTGCCCAACCTGTCGGGTAGGTGGTTTTCGTTCGTTTGGTTATCCGTACAGCTCCACACTAGATGCTTCATGCCTGAGCGCTGCCGCCGTACTCACAGCCTCCCTAGGTAATATGCACGACCAGGATGTCAAATAATTCATTCTTGGACAAACCGTTACTTAAAGTCAGCCGGCCCGTGGCTGCGTGCTCCAGATGTCGGACGGCCAAGATCAAGTGCGACGGCAAGCTGCCTGCTTGTTCCGCCTGCGAGAGAGTCGGAAAGGCCAACACCTGCTCCGGCGCCAGTGACGAATTCGCCCGAGGCAAAGAGAGAAGCTACGTCGCCTCCTTGGAAGGCTACTGCGAAAGACTTGAGAGCCGAATCGCAGACCTCCGCCGTCGCAAAGAATCGCTCTCCACCGACGAGTCGGGGTACGTGCGGCAAAGCTCGATCACCTCGCGATCGTCCGCCGATACCGTTGGACACGCGCATCGGAAAGAAGTTTCGGATATCGATGATCTAGTAGGAGACTTTGGTTTCCTGTCAGTACCACTTGCTCTTGTGCGTGCTCTCGTAAATACGGTAATCCCTCTGATACGTTGATCTAGGTCTGTCAACGCAACCTCCAGGGATTTCAATGGAATCCAGTCCAACACATCTTTTGCCAATCTTCTCCTATCCCTTTCTACCGCCGAGCCTATACCCAAGCAGTCGACCCAACTGCTCCCCGCCCGTCATGAAATCACTTCACTCTTGCAACATTATTTCGACACCTTTTTCACTCAACTGCCCTTCTTTGCCGAGACGGGATTTTGGACCTCGGTGGATATTGTCTACCAGGCCGGCGGCCGCTTTGCAAAGCCCTTTGATCATTGGTTTATACGAATGGTATTAGCCATCACGTACGCGTCGATATCGTATCAATTCGGCGACCAGAATTATCAGAATGCCCTGTCCTTAGTCTCCTCGGCTTTGGATTATGCCGAGGAAGTCCTGCAGCCGGGATCCATCGCCGGCATCCAGGCCATATTGCTACTTGCCCAGTATTCTCTTGTTGACCCCAAACATTTTCGGTCCTGGTATCTCGTGGGCATGGCCGTCCGGGTCATGGTTGATCTGGGCCTGCACCAGGATCCCCCGTCGGATGTTCCGGCGACAGAGGAACAGCTAGATATCCGCCGCAGGGTTTGCCATAGTGTTTACTCCCTGGACCGGTTTGTTTGACCCCGGATCCCACCGCTTTTCAACGGAATGCTAATCAGGATTAAACAGGAGTGTCAGCACTGCGATGGAGCGGACCTTCTCGTTTTCTGATGATTCGATCAACGTCGCTCTGCCGTCGGCACCGGCTCCCCTCAGTACCGGATTGACCGAGCAGAGCCATATCTTTCTACACAATTCGGAGCCGGCATGGCACTTGGTTAAGATTCGACAGATTTTATCAGCGGCGTATCAGAGGAAATACTTCAACGTGTCTGATTCCGTTCCGCATTCGCTCGCCTCTAACTGGACCCTGTTCGCGAAGACCCGCGAGTGGTTTGACCATGCCCCCAAGGCCACCCCACGCTACTTCCCAATGCTATATAAATTGGAGCTCCTCTACACGAACGTGATGACCCTGTCGCCCACCAGTCAATATTCCACTCTGTGCGATTACGACAAAGTTCTGTTGTTTGATCGATGCATCCAGTACATCGCCGAACTCTACCGGATCTTACAGAACGACAGCTGGTTGCCGTATCTGACCTTCCTCGATATCCAGCGAGCGTATCAGGTGGGCGAGCGCTTCATCGACCTCGTCGCCCGGGATTTCGATCTCGTGCTAAGCCCCTCCGTGCCGGAGCTACCGCCGCTTCCCTACGAGACGCTGGTCCCGCCGACATTAGAGGTCGACCGCACGATCAACTGCCAGGGTCGGGCTATGGAATGCGTGTTTCGCACCCAGAACATCCTCCAGCTTGGCGTGAGGAAATGGAAGATCACCGGGCTATTCGACGCCTTCCAACAGCACTCGACCTGGCTCCGGGGACAGCTGATGCAGCCATCGGTTGCCTACCTGCCAGCATCTGGAGCTTACGTCTCCGGCCCGTTACCCCCCACGGGGACTGGGTATGCCGGGTATAAGCAGTACACATAGAGAATCCAAGTCTCGGAATGACATGTCTTTTTTTCTTTCTTTTTTTTTTTTTTTTTGCTTTTTCTTTTTAAACATCACCATCTTGTTTAGATTCTGGATGCCGGGGTGCAACGGGGGGTGCTTTGATTGCGGATGTGATGTGAATGTGATGAATAACAGGCAGCCACATCAGTTGGCCAGTTGGGGGTGGGCCGGAAATGCAGATGGAGACGGCAGATGGAGGCCATACGGAGTATTGATTAATTTAGTTTCCGTGTCTTACGGAATAGGGTTCCGATCAGCCCTACGGAAGTCGTAGCAGTGCAGTGAACAACGGCGAGCCATGTCGGGAGTTTGTTTCGGAATTGGATCTATCTTGATTCCAGAGACGCGATCGTATGTACGCATACCGCGGAGTAGAGGGAGGGATGCAGGCATATTGCTTAGATCAGCGAATAGGCCGAGGGAAAACCACAGAAAACTTGGATCGCGCCGTACCACCGCCAGCGCAGACCCCCTGAAACGCCCTTTTGACGTCAGCGTGATGTCCCGAAGGAATCCGCTGGTTAGGTAATCCCCCCTAGCCGCGGGTCTGCCGCGACCCATGGTTCCCCCTTCACACTATCGCCCAAGCACGGACGGTGGACTTCCTCAGTCACCACTCTGCGCGACTGCGCCTCAGGAGAGGATCTCGAAACCAATTCCAAATTCCACGTCGCCAAGCTTTGCGTTAGTCATGGCGCGACCGATCAGCAGAGGTGCGAACTTAGAGCTCCTCGCCGGCTGCGTATCTTCCTCCATGGAGTAGCCGCTCTGGACACTTAGGCCCAGCTAGCGGCGATCCTGTAAGGCTACATGGGACAACTCTATTATTCTGGGCCAGGGAGTCGTCATGGTGATGATCTCATCGACCGCGACTCAGGCCAGGTCGGTGTCCCAATTGTGCTGCCTGATCATTGGCGAGGATCTTCAGGGACCAAGCCGAGTTCGGTCGCGACGCCTTTGGCTGGCCTGGACGTCGCAGCGTCACGACACGGTGACGTCAGGCTGGCCATGCGCTGCGATCAGCGCTCGGTGCTTGCTATATGAACGCACCGTTGCCGTTGCCAACTTCTGCTGCCGATTTTTCTTGCCCCAAAATAATATTTTGTTTTTCTCTTATAATTCTTCGACCACGGCTCTTTCCTTTCCTGGACCCTCCGGACTGCTTCAGCTCGGGATCCGTGGTTGCTCTCTCCCTCACATTCTCCCTTGCCCATTCCGGTGATACCCCAGCGACGCGACCCTTGACTTCCTTCCTCTCCCTTGTATTGCACCTGAATCCCCTCTGCCGATCCGTCTGTTGCTGGAAACATAATCTGATACATATACCCGTCGTCTTTTTTTTTTTTTTTTTTTTTTTTTTTTTTTTCTTTTTCCTCCCTTAATTCCTTTATTTGACCCCGAGATTATCGCGTTTGACATCCTCTTGCTCCCGATCATTGGTCCTACAAACTCTTCGTCATGCCATCCGGAGTCAATCGTCCCACTGATACGAAGTTGAAGGAGAAGGTATGTGGAATTGTCCTCGCATTGGCGCTCTGGAAAGTCCCCCCAGATTTTCAGCTGACTGGATGTTGTTGCAGGATATCAACCAGAAGCTGCAGCTGTATGGAATTTATCAAGGTAGAACTGGCACTCAATTCGCGGGATGCTCATGAGCTCTCGAAGAACGAATCACTGACGCTTTCAAATAGCTTTCAAAAGCGGCAAGCTCCCCTCGGTAAGTATTCTGCTCCAATTACAACGTGCTGGGGTCAAATATACTAACCGTGGCCCCTTCCTGCAGAACAAACAATGCGACATTGCCTTGAACAGCGCCCTCAATTCGAAGGCCCTCTCCTCTCCCCCTAAAGAGCTGTCGAAAGAAGGCCAAGCCCTCGTGGAAGATCTTCGAAACGTCATTGATCAGGCGAAGAAACTCATTCTAAGCAAGAACGAGGGCCAGCTGCTCCAGGAGTTCATCTGGCAGGCTGAGCACATCTCCCCGGAAGATGTGCAAGAGAAACCGGATGTGCCTCTGAACAAGGAATCAGCTCAGCAGGATGGCAAACAGGCGTCTGAGGGACTGAAGACCTTGGGGAATCTGCTGATCACCAACGGCGAATTCAGAAAGCTCCGTGAGTGGGACCAGTCGCCTAATCCTCGAAGAGCAGTGCTGATGATTGACAGTAAACGATGCTTGGATTATTGCTCGCGACATCGCCGGCGACGCCTCGCAGAAGGCCGCCAACAAAGTTCGACCGTCGGAAGAACAACTGTCGCAGATTGACGAGCCGGCCGAGGAAAACCTTTGGCATGAGAAGCCGGATTTTGCAAAGCACAAGGAGCAATTTACATCACGCTTCAAGAAGGCGAAACCCGCCGTGAGTGCAATCCCTCAATTCTATCTGTGCGTCCGTTAATTCACACTGTCTCTTTAGGCCCAGCAACAGTACGAGGAGATTGGTGACACTGCCATGCAGGCAGCAACAGGAGGTCGCAACGTCGAGTCACCAGCTGATTTCGACAGCCGTGCTGGTGCTGCAGCAGGCGCTGAGGAAGCCAAGCGAAGAGTTTCCGACAATGTCTCTGAAAGCACCAAGTCTCGTGCTCGTGATTACGCCGATCGAACCAAGGACTACATGGCACAAAAGATGCCTAAAGAGCGTCGTGAGCAGGCCATTTGGCGGTTGAAGAAGATGGTCCTTGAAATCCAGGGCCGTGCCGATTGTAAGTAGACCCAAACATATTGCGCATTGACGCGCGTGAAACTGACGGCGTTATCAATCCTACAGATCAACAAGCTATCCAGACCTTGCTTGATCTCGCCGGTAAATATGGCAGCACTGGAAGGAACCTGTCACAGCAGGGCGCTGGTACCGTCAAGGGTATTCGGGGCGGAGAGAAGGTCAAAACCATGGAAACCAACCTCAGGGTATGTTCAGAATCCCCCCTCCCTCGTCGTCACGAATGCGATCGCAGAAGCTGACGTTTGGTAGGTTTTGATCGAACGGTTCGCAAACAGTACTTCCCTCGATGACTTTTTCGATTCGCTAGAGGTCATCTACCGGGATGCGGACAAGGACCCAGAACTCAAGGGATGGTTCAAAAACATCGACACGTTCTTCCGGTAGGTTGCCTTGCACGTTTCTGTCTGATGGAGAGAAGTTTGTGGTATCTAACAAGCGCAGGAAAACTCTCCAAGAACAAGGCTACGTCATGCAGGAGGACTGTGACCGACAATGGGACCAGCTGGCCGACCATGGCCGATATCTGCTGCGTGAGCGATACAGGGACCATACTAACCGTGTTCTCGACGAAATCAAATTCATTGGCGTTGAATTCACCAAGGATCCCCAGAACAAAGCCTTCGCGGATTCCATGGACAAGCTCTTCTTGGACCTAGGCCGCGACTCGAGTGGAAATGTCGCTTTCAAGAGCCACTTGCTGAAGGACATCAGGGACATTATTCTTCCTGGGGCGTTTGAGAACGTCCGATACGTGCCTATCCCCCGCATCGAGGTGTCTGATCCGATGGCCGATGTCGTGGTTGAGAACTTGGTCATTGAGAGTGACAACCTAATGCCCAATGTCGTGGAGTTTGGTAGTGACAACTACTTCCGCTGGGGTCGCAAGAAGATCAGCAACAAGCACGACAACAAGATCATGATCTCCGTGTCCGGCATCCAGGCCGACCTGAGAGACGTCAGCTACCACATTAACAAAAAGCAGGGCTTCCCCTCCATCACCGATACCGGCGTTATGGATATCTTCCTGGGCGGCGAAGGCTTTGGCTTCAAGATCGCCGCCTCCACGGCCCACAAATCCGATCGCCAGAACTTCGTCAAACTGGACAAGGTGACCGTTAAGATCACCGACCTCAACATCAAGCTGAAGAAATCTAAGCACAAGGCTCTCTTCACCATTTTCAAGCCCATGCTCTTCCGCACTGTCCGTCCCGTTCTGCAGAAAGTTCTCGAGGAGCAGATCCGAGACGCTTTCACTCGTGGTGATGCCTTTGCTCACGAGGTCTATACCGAGGTCGAGCGCGCCAAGGAGGCCGCCCTCGACGACCCTAGGAACGCTCCTAACATCTACAGTCGGTACGTGGATGCCGTCCGGGCTCGTCTGGATGAGAAGAAGCGTCAAGCCCAGCAGGCTTCCCAGCAGGTCGCTCAGCGCGATACCAAGGTCCAAACGGCAACCACGATGCACGACTCCTTGTTCCCTGACATTCACCTACCTGGTGGCATCTCGTCCAAGGCCACCGAGTACAAGGAACTCGCCCAGAAGGGTGATCGCTGGGAATCCCCCATCTTTACCATCGGCTCTGCTTCGGAGTCCACGGACATCCCTAGCCTGGCGGACATCACCCGCAAACCTCACTCCAAGACGCAGGGCCATTTGTCCGACGCAGGTCACACTAATGGCACCACTGCTACCAACGGTGCCACGAACGGTGCCACCAATATTAATGGTGCCGGTAAACCGGCAGGGTATGCCGGCTCGCATGGCTTTTCTGATGAAATGGACCAGGCCTTCAGCAACGGTGCCAACACCTCGAAGCAGACTCAACAAGGACCGACTATCCCAGGTTCGGAGACTGCCTTCAACCCTCAGACAGCGTGAGGAAAGTCAGCCTGAGTCGAAGTATTTCCTAAAAGACAAAAGGAACACGTTTGTGATTTGATTGATTTATATGCGTGTGTATGCTTGTTTACTTGATATCCTGTCTTGTATTTGTTCATGTTCTATTTGTTTTGCGCTTGTATCCAAGTGCAGCTCTCTTAATTTGTCCTGCGTTTATTCGAAGCGACTTGACATGAGATTGGGTCCGGTACAGTATGACAATAATTTCTGTGACTTGTCATTAATATGTTTAATTATATGCCTCTAATCTTCACTTACTAGTTGATTTGCATATTTTTGTCTGTAGCTGTAGATACTTAGTAGCTCTTGGTCCAACATCATATACTTTTCATGAACTGACTCGACACCCAACCAAAAAAAAAAAAAAAAAAAAAAAAAAAAAGCGTGAAAAAATCTTTCTGTTTTTGGCATCTATATAACCTTTCCCACCTATCCCTCTAAACAATTATTTTAATCCCATAAACCAAACGTCCCATTTGTTTTCATTCCTTCATTCCTCGTTTGCGAGATTTCCACGTGGATTGGTCCGTTCACAGAAAATAGCCAAAATATTCCCACATCCCTCCATCCCATTCAACACCCTACATCTGCTCAAAGTACTTCTCCCAGCCCAGCTCCTGCATCTTGGTGCCTTTCAGGTCCATGTTCTCGGTGCGAGCGTTCTCGGCGTAGGCCTCGACCTTGCGCTGGATGGCGGGGTCGAACGAACCGAGGATGCGCGCGGCCAGGAGAGCGGCGTTGATGCTGTTGTTGATGCCGACGGTTGCGACGGGGACGCCTGTTATTTTTCAAGCCTTTAGTATGCTGGGTACGTTGGATTATAGGGGGGAAGGAGGTAAAGATGAAGGGGTTATACCTCTAGGCATCTGGACGATGCTGTACAGACTGTCGACTCCGTCCAGGGAGCTGCCCTTAACCGGGACCCCGATGACCGGGAGAGCAGTATGCGCGGCGGCCATGCCGGGGAGATGGGCGGCTCCGCCGGCGGCGGCGATGATGACCTTGATGCCACGGCTGGCGGCGCTGGCGGAGTACTCGGCCATGAAGGTCGGGGTGCGGTGGGCGGAGGTGATGTCGACGGCGGGTTCGATGCCGAAGTAGTCGCGCAGGAGCTTGAGGCCGGGGACCAGGGTCTTCAGGTCGCTGTCGGAACCCATCATGACCGCGACGGAGGGGGCGGGCTTGGACGGGCCGGACTGCTGCGGCTGCGTCTTGACGTCGCTGCGCTGGGCGCGGATCTGGTCGACGACGTCGATGAGCGGCTGGATGTGCGTCTCGGCCTCGTGCATGGAGGGCGCGGTGACGGTGATATGGCCCATCTTGCGGCCGGGTTTGGCGGCGCCCTTGCTGTAGAGGTGGATGCTGGCGTTGGGGATGGAGAGGGCAGCCTCGGCGGCCTTGAGATGGGTGTCTGGCGCGGCGCCGCCGATGATGTTAAGCATGATGGAGGGCTGGCGGAGCTCGAGGCTCTGCGGGGGGATAGGGAGGTCGAGGATGGCGCGGATGTGGGTATCAAATTGGGACAGGGGACAGGCCTCGATGGTGTAGTGGCCGGAGTTGTGGATGCGGCTGGCGATCTCGCAGAGCAGAAGGCTGTCGTCGTCGAGCAGGAACATCTCGACGCCGAAGACGCCCTTGCCGTCGAAGGCCGCGACGGCCTGGCGCGCCAGTTCCTGTGCCTTGCGGTTGATGGCGTCCGAGACGTTGCGAGCCGGCGCGTACACCAGTTTGCATATCGAGTCCTCCTGGACGGTCTCGACCGTGGGGTATGACAGCACTTCATCCTTCGTTTTCACGACCATGACGGCCAGTTCCTATAGTACCGTTGGTTAGGCGTATGTGGCCAGTGGGGGTTCGGGTCGCGGCCCGGGGGGTATAAAGTAGAGACGGCTAACCATCTTGAAATGAGCCCATTTCTCGGCGTATAGAGGACGGTCCTTGAGAGCTTCTAGGGCCTCGGGGATATCGGCTTTGGAGTTGACACGGAAGTTTCCTAGGATCAAGTCCTGTTAGCTGCGCAAGCCCCATGCTTGGATCGGGTATACTATGACTCACCACGTCCGTCGTATGCCATAGTCTTCGACTTCAACATGAGAGGGTATCCCAGCTGCTCACCAACAGCGGCCAAATCCTCAGGGGTGTTGTTGACCAGCTCGCGATGATCCGCCATGGGGATGCCATACTGGCGCAGATGTTCCTTCTGGTTGAACTTGTTCTGAATTGTCCGAATGGCCTGCCAGCTGGGCTCGATCCGCACCTGCGAGGCAATCTCCTCCAGGGCGTAGGTGTCGACATGCTCGATTTCAGCGGTCACGACATCGCAGGTCTTTGCCAGCTCCCTCACGGCCTCGCGCTCCTTGAAAGAGCCAGTGACATGCCCGTCATGGGCGCTGATTTGCTTGGCCGGGGAATTCTCCGCATCGAGGACGTTGCATTGGATGTTGAGTCGGTTGGCCGATTCGACCAGCATACGGCCCAATTGGCCTCCGCCGAGAATGCCGACCTTGGGGGAGTTCCACATCGTGACAGCAGAGGAGGCGACGAGAGAGGAATGACCGGGGAATGGAGCGAGACAGCGAAGCGAACGCGGGGGAGGAAGAGGAAGAGAGCGCAAATGCCCCTCTTCTCCGCCTTGGAAAAATCGGCCCGATAACCGTCACGTGCGCGCGCGATAAGCCGCTCGGACGATCCGCCTTTCGCTCGTCCCTTCGCCTTCTCCTTGTGCACCTCAACGCGTCGGGAGAATGTCTCTAGGTTGGTCCTCCCGTCATCCCCTGTCGAGACTCCCCTGGCTAATTGCGCTTCCGCTCGTCTAGATGAAGAAACCCTAGAGACCGCCGCCAATGGCGGCTTGATGGACTTGTATGCGACACCTTGCCTCTCTGACCACCGAGTCTCGTCTACGGCGTGATTGGGACGCGACTGGGGATGCTGACTAGTCTTCATCAGTGAGAAATGGAACTCAATGGTTGAACCGTTGGTGACACGATTGGAACATGTACACGATTGATTCCCTTGTCGAACCCTTCTTGTCCTAGACGCCAGCTGACCAGCCGACCAGATCGTCTTCAATGTCTTCCCCATGCCTCAAGTTCCTCCCGATGCGACTGCTTCGACTCCTCCAATTCCTCAAGGATCCACATCGGAATTGATTCCTGCTACTAGCGGTAGTAATAAAGAGAATGATACCCCGGCCTCGACGATTCAGTCCTCGACCGACCGTGTTCCCGACTCCCAGCCTGAACCGCCTGACGATCCAGCAACAGGCGCCGCCCTCCCCGCACCTCTCTTGCTCTTATTAGACTCCGTTCGATCGAACTTGCGCACGCTGTTCGCCTCGAAACCTCCTCACACGATTCAGAGACTGGCAGAGCTGATCCTCCGTCCCACTGCGCATTACCGAACCCTCCCCGCTTACCTCCGGGCTGTCGACCGCGTCGTCTCGGTGACCAGCAGCGCTGATGTTTTCCCACTTCGGGTGCAAGAAGCGACCAGCCAGCCCAATGGCGTAATGAATGGCGGAGAAGGTAGCTTCCTGCTTCCAGATCATGCCTTGGGGAGCGACGAATCCTTGGGCGGGGCCCTTCTCACTCCAATTCCGTGGTTGAGGAATGCTGCATCGCCGGGGGCGGAAGATGCAGCACTTGAGACTGAAGGTATCGATTGACCCCCTCTTCTAGACTAGATACCCTTTCCTAGGAACTGCTGGCTAATGGGTAACCTTAGGCGACGAATCAGTCTTCGCAGTTGCCCCGACAGAGCAGCCTATCCAACAGGAGTCAGAGCAGACGGTTGGTTCGACACAAGAAACCACCCTCCCTGCTCAACCCGTCCCCTCAACGGTAGAGAATCAAGCCATGGAAGGCACGGGGTCTCCGCCGGCCGACGCATCAGAAGATATACCGCACGCGCGAGGTCCACGGGTGCTAGGCGTCGAGGACATGGGTCTCCAAGACGGCAAAGGGGTCGAAATGACCCTTCCGGCCGCCGAAGACAACCCTAGCAAGCAATCCGATCAGCAAGAGCAGTCTGAACAGCCGGCCCCAGAAACCGACAACAAGCAAGCGGCTGGCAAGGAGAGTGCAGACGGCGATGGAGACATAGTCCTCGGGGACATACAGGGGGCAGGGGAACAATCGCCAGCGTCGGCTGAGACCCAAAAAACAGACGAGTAGTTTCAATGCTTATGTTTCGGGCTCAAATCCTCAGACCCGGAGACCAAGAGACGACGATGATGAATATTTGACCTTCAGACTAAACTGCTATTTTGTTAATTTGCGATCCTTTGTTTCCCTTATATCATGATTGATGATCGGCAATGACTTCGACTCGTGTGAGACATACATGAGTTATATCCTCTTCATTCCCGCTTAATCCAGTGATGACTGATGATCTATTCGTTGTTTTCTATTTTAACTCTTTCTCTTACAATGGCTATCAAGAAGCATATGGGATTTAGCTAGCGGACCAACGGACACGCAATGCGCAGTGCAGTTATCCGCCCCGTCTGTTTGGTTTTATAGAGGCCAATGATAAGCGAGTTCAACTCGAGCAAATCTTATTGATTTCCCGAAACGCTAGCTAGCTAGGTAGACAAATCGACAAGAGGTATCAATCCTATGTTTATCACAAAAACAGTTTCAGTAGAACCAAAACACGTAACACCCGAAACAAAAGCCAATCATTAGGAAAATCGTAAATTTGTGCAATATAGTATCCCATCATGCCAGTATATAGATTGCGGTATATCAAGCCCCGGGAAAAGATTTAAAAAAGAGGTAAGAAGGATGGTAGGATTTTCCACGCGCATGGCTCAAGCCACAGGCTCGACCGTTTGCAACGGAACATATCCCTCATCAGTGTCTGATTTCCGAGATCCTCTGCCAGTAACCAAGGACCAGGCTTTGCGGCCTGCGCCTTGGATAAAGCGGACGGGACCGGAGCGGGCACCGAAGCCGGTAACGGAGAGATTGGCATCCCACCAGGTCTTCTTGGAGCCGCGGAAGCTGGTGTTGCCCGACTCAACCTCATTTTCGAGTCGTTCGACGTCCATCCATCGGGGACGCTGCCAGAACTTCAAAAGAAGGCTGCTCACGACAACGGAGATGCTGGAGGCCGCCATAGCGGCTCCGGCAGCCATAGGGGGCAGCATGAAGCCACCGAAAGGAAGGAAGAGACCCATGGCAAAGGGGATGCCGATGACGTTGTAGAGACAAGCCCAGATGAGATTGAGGCGGATGCGGTTGAATACAGACCGGGAGAGCGCCAAACTGGCAGGCACTGAGAGGAGGTCGTCAGGCTGCATGAGCACGATGTCGGCGGCTTCCATGGCAACGTCTGTGCCGGATGCGAGGGCTATACCGATGGAGGCCGTGGCCAGGGCGGGAGAGTCGTTAATACCATCGCCGACCATGGCGACGCGCAGACCGGAATCCTGCAGGGAGGCGACAATGGCTTGCTTGTCGGATGGAGAGACAGAGGCGTGAACGGCCTCGATGGGGATCCCGACAGCCGTGGCGATAGAAACGGCCGTAGGGTAAGTATCTCCTGTGATCAGGGAGGTGGCAATGCCCATGCGATGCAATGCTGCAACGGCAGCGACTGCGGTCACCTTCAAAGTGTCTCGGAGCAGAATGGTGCCGGCGAATTGGCCCTCGATGGCCACATGAATATGAGTGATACCGGCAGGCACGTTGGATTTGTCCTTGACGGTCTCGGAATCTTCAGCGTCGACCGATTCGGGCAGTGGAATATCCCTAGACCGGAGGAAGGCCGCGTTTCCAATCAAGACAGGGTATCGGATGCGCTCGGCACTGGACGTAGGCTCTACCAGAGCTGAGATACCTTTGCCCACACAGGCATCAAAGTCGCCCAGGCTGCCGGGTAAGCCGCCTTCACCAGGTTGACCGGATTCAGTTTTGGCAGCATTGACAATCGCTTTACCAATGGGATGTTCACTGCTCATCTCTGCAAGACCAACTATCAACCACCAGAGTCGACGGCGCCAATCATTTGTCGTCCAGTGGGGCTCAATCCTTGCATCAGCCACGCTCATCTTTCCGGTGGTCAGGGTTCCCGTCTTGTCAAAGACGACATGGTTGATCTTCGTGGCGCCTTCCAGAACAGCGCCGCCCTTGACGAGAATGCCTTGCTGAGCCCCAACGCCTGTGCCGACCATGACTGCTGTCGGGGTGCTGAGGCCCAAAGCACACGGGCAGGCAAAGACAATGACGGAGATGCAAAGCTTCAAACAAACCATAACCTTGCCACCACTCTGCTCGGACATGAAGATCTTAGGGGGGTGAGGTAGCAAGTGGCTCATGAGCATCCAGCCAAAGAAGGTAATCAGACCGAGACTAATAATCGCAGGGACAAAATGTCCGGCCACGGTATCAGCCATGCGCTGGATTGGAGCTCTGCTAGTTTGCGCATCCTGAACTAGTTTGACGATCTGACTTAACTGCGTGTCTTTACCCGCCCGCGTCACTTTGAAGTCGATCGAGCTAGTTCCATTGACAGTTCCCGCAATGACAAGACTGCCCTTTGTCTTATGAATTGGCAAAGGCTCGCCAGTGATCATACTTTCGTCGACATAGCTTTCTCCTCGGATAACAAAACCATCCGCGGAAACTTTGTCGCCGGGGTGAAGAACAACGACGTCGCCTACTTCGATAAGCTCCGTCGAGATAGCCTTGATGACGGGACCGGACCTTTCGCCGGAAGTCGACGTCCTAGGTTCCTTTGAGCCGACTGGAGAAGTTTCCCATTCTTCGGCCATCTTTTCTGCAGCAATCGGGTCGTCGTAGATGGTGGTCATAGACGGAGTTAGCGACATCAACCGCGACAATGCGGTTGACGTCTGGCCCTTGGCCCTATTTTCCAGCCATCGCCCAAGCGTGATGAAGGTAATGAGCATTGTGCTGGTGTCAAAGACAGTGCTCGGCCGTTTATGGGCTGAAGAGCACATGGCGACAACCATCGTGAAAACGCTGTAAAAGAACGCCGCCGATGTGCCCAACATGACCAACACATCCATGGTTGGGGAGCGATGCTTCAATGACTTGAAGCTCGTAACGTAAAAGCGCTTCCCGATACCGAATTGTACTGGAATGGTGAGCAAAAGACAGGCGACATCCCCAAGATAGATCCCAGGAAGCAATTGAACATTGCCAAAGTCGAGAGACGGCAAGTACATGGGTAGCATCATGTTGATGATAAACACGGGAACCGCAAAAGACACCGAGAACAAGAATGCTCGCTTCCATTCCTGAACCTCTTTGGTCTTGGAAAGTGACTCCAGTTGCGCATTGGTATCATCGGAGTCAGCCAGCAAGGCATTGTATCCCTCCGCCTCAATGGTCTCCACGACGGTGCGAATCCCAAGGACAGAAGAAACGTAGGCAATGTGAACTAGCGAGGTACCCATGTCAACCGATGCTGAGGTGATTCCAGGTCTTTGGAGAAGGGTATTTTCTAACGCATTCGCCGAGGACGCATCGCGCAGCCCATGAATGCTGAGCGTGACTCTACTTGCGGCGCCCGAGACGGGTACTTGGGCTTCGGAAGAAAGTACGGTTGCATCGAAACCGCCATCTTCTATCAAGTCGACAAGTTTCTTAGGGGGAAGAATCGCAGGGTCGTGGGTAATAACGGCGCGTTCGGCAAGCAGACTGATGTTAAATTGAACCAGGCCATCAACGCCTTCGACGGCGTTCTGTACACTTGCCGTGCAGGCCCCACAGGTCATTCCATCAATCGAAATGGTAGTGACCATCAAATGTGACTTTGGTTCTGCAAGATCCTGAGAGGCGCGAGGACCAGCCTGGAGCGTCGAGGTTTCCAGCACCTTCGCACCGAAGCCGCGATCCTCTATGGCTTCTGCAATTTGATCCGGTGTCACAGCGGCAGCATCGTGTTCCACAACCGCTCGCTCCGAGAGCAAGGAGACATTAATTGACCGGACTCCGGATATCTCCTTCAATCCTCCCTCCACCGCCGAGGTGCAAGCGCCACATGTCATTCCCTCAATCGCCAGCGTGGTGGTGGAAATCTGTGACTTATTACTCTGAATATCCTTCTCATTTGCGGTCGGTACTGAGGTGCTGTCCGTCGAAAGGATTGTCGCATCGAAACCACTATCCTCGATTATCTCGGCGACTTTTCCCGCTGGAAGTAAGGTCGGGTCGTGGTGTACAACAGCCCTGCCCATCATCAAACTCACGGACACGTCTCCAGCCCCGTCGACGCCCTTGAAGGCACCCTCCACGGCGGAGGTACATGCGCCGCATGTCATTCCATCGACATTTACCGTGGTGGTGGCCATGTGGGCGGGTGATCGTCCTGCGGATGGGCCATCGAGACCGGCGCGTAGCGGAGCGGAGGAGGACGCCGCCATTGCGCCTAACCGGATGAACGAGAACCAGACAAAGAAAAAGCGCGAAAACCAGTCGAACTATCGCATAAGAGCTGCTTCTCTGTCGAAAAGAAAGGGGGACGGGAGGGGGCCGGATGGAACGGACGGGCTTATCAGTCGTAAGAAGGTGAGTGTAGCACGTCAGTAAGCAAGGGAAAAAATGTGGCCTTGGTTTTGACACGGATGTGGTCGGAAGATCGGGCGGGTCGATCAGTTAACGGGGTTCATGCAAGAACTGAAAGACAGGTCTTGGACTGGGAACAGCAGCCATAATAAGGACAATCCAGTATGCTGTTAATAATGGAATTCAAGACTAGCTCGAGGAGGGAAATGGCCCGAATATAAATTAATCCTGCCAAGCTTGTTGCTGCTACTGTCGCAGGCCGGGAGCAGTAGGGTGGGGAAGGAGAGGAGAGAAAGCAGTCAGCGCCTCTTTTGCGCAAGTCAGCTCCGGAGGGTCGGCGGATCCGGATGGATTATTATTGATTGACGGTGGGATGCGGTGGGATGAATGCATGGATTGATTGGCAATGAAAGTGCAGAAGATCGGCGTACGGCAAGGAGGAAAGAAGCCGGAGAAAGATTGACGATGTCCTTGCTTCCGGCGAGGCCCCGTGACGCTTGCGAGGTATTATTATTGCAGAGGTACTCCGTACTCTGTCCTCTGTCCTCCCCCAACACTCCAACGGTGTTCTGGAAGAAATGAACGAGGGTCCAGAGGATTGGCTGGGTCTGGCTTGACATGTTTCAAGTATAATGAGGTTCCCCTTGGTGTCTCTTGTCTCTTGAAAGTTGAAACGACGACGCGCCGCTTTTACCTAATCGGATCGGGCGTATTGACCGTATGATACGGTACGGTACGGTACATTGTGGATCATAATCACGTGACACCGCCGGTGTTTGCATCGCCGGCAAACAGCGCAACACGCCGGTCGATGTCATCCTATTCACTCTCGACACTATCATGACCCAAGCATTCGACGTCCCATGTTGATCCCTTCACTGCAATAATACCCCCCATTCTCGACAGATCCCTGGATCTCGGACGTTTGACTGATTCCGCTCCCGTCTCCTCACACCTCTGCCGCCCGACGTCCTATACAAATGGATCAGGTACATACCCGGGCTATAGAGGCCCTGCAGCCTTTCATCCATCTCGCCAACTCCAACAGTGCTTCGTCCCCACGGTTCGTTGCCAACATCATCACAAATGCCACCTCCAGTCCAAACACCTACGTCTTCGCCGAGCTGTTAGAGACCCCCGCCGTGCAGGGCCTTCGGTCCCAGGATGTCCCCGCGGAGTTTCATGGGTACCTGACTCTTCTCGAGATTTTTGCCTGGGGTACATGGCAAGAGTATCAATGTAAGCTTCTGTCCGGTCCCCAGTTCAAGAAATGAATCAGAGTCATAGCACCTGGCAAGCAAGACAAGACGACCGTGGAAACTAACGTCCCCGCTCTCAGCAACGCCAAATCTCCCCGCATTAACCGACGAACAAGCTCTGAAGCTGCGCCTGCTTTCCCTCCTGTCTCTCTCCGCATCTGTCAAGCCTCTCACTTACGACACGCTCATGAAATCGCTATCCATCCCGGCCGCCGCCGATCTCGAGTCTCTCGTCACCACCGCCATCTACGCCTCGCTCATCACCGCCCGTCTCTCCCCCGCCACCAACCCGCCGTCCATCAATGTCACCGCCGTGGCTCCCCTGCGGGATGTGAAGCCGCAGTCCCTCCCATCGATGATCTCTTTCCTGACAGACTGGGAGACGCGCTGCGGCGACGTGATCACCGATATCGAGACGGAGATCACCAAGATCAGAACCAACTCCGCGAAGCGTCGCGCCAAGGAGCGCGACGATAACGAGCTCTTTGAAAAGACCTTAGCCAACTGGCCCACCATCAGCGCTGACTTGGCCGGTTTCGAATCCAATCGGATGCCCGGTTCTAAGAAGTCCGGCTGGCATGGTGGTCATCTGAGAGGTGGCCCCGGGGGCTACATAGGTAGTAAGAGAGAGTACAGCGCGGACGACTTCGACGAAGATGACGGCTACTGGGATAATGGGCTGGAGGGTTCCCTTGACATGCATCTCGGTTCAAGGATGGATGTTGATGAGGGCTTAGGATCCTCCCGGGCTGGACCCGGAGGTGCTGGGGCTCGCCATGCCAAGCGAGTGTTAGGGAAGAAGTCATAAAAAGATATCTTTTTTTGTGGTTGCAACTTGGGGATCTTGTAGTTGCCCGGATCTCTGGTTACTATACTAGCATTACGAAGCATGGCTAATGTATCCACTTTTTATTCATCTAGCAGAGGCTTATTTTTAGGAGCTTCGAAATAGATTCTTTACGATACGAAGCTTTCTCCACGCGCGGTGATCAACCGAGACAAAGGCGAGACAATTATGCCACAAAGTTAATATCACATTTGTATATCCAGATTACCAAGAACACTAGGTATTGCCACAACACCGAAACAAAAACAAAAAAAGCCCACCGAAGAGGGGAAAAGAAAACGTCATTTAACATACATACACGCAAGTTGAGCGGCCAAGGGGTATTGTCAAGAAGAGAAAGGAACAAAATGACAACGAGATCCAAGATTGACCGGCCCGTGGGAGTAACAAAAGAGAGTCTGCCAGGGAACGGGGATGGCGCTATTCACTTCCATCCCAGCCCCGATCGGGGGAATACACCTGTCACGGATCGGACCAAAAGGATTGTAAGAGAAAGACATGCCGGATTATACAGGACACGCTTTGCGATGGGAAAAGATTGAAATATTGCAATGCAAAGTCGCTTGGTGCAAAATTAACTGCTCGCTAAAGCAAAGACAATACTCGGTTCCTCCGTGCGTCATCAAGCCATGCTGTTGAGTCTCCAACAAATCACGAATGCGAAGCAGAGCTTCGACCGGAGAGAACAAGAGAAAGTAGCCGCATGCTCCACGAACAAAGAGATTACATGCTTGGGTAAAGGTTTGAAAGGAAGGTCACGATTAACGGAGCATGTGCGGCACGAACAATTTAAAGCATGGTCCCCGGAACGAAGATGAAGAGCACACTTAGTGCTGCCGCAACAAAGAAGGCAATAAATATCGTCGCAGTCGCTCGTTTGTTCAGCAGTTTTCGCACATAGGGTTCGCGGATTGGAGACCAATTCATGAAGGTGTATTCGCTGTATCCGAGCATTGCCATCACCGGGTCGAGTTTGTACTGGTAAGATACAATAAAGTAGGCGGCGACGGCGAATGGAAGAATCAGCTGGAATACTGTTAGTGAAATTGCGTATTGAACCCGGGGAGTTGAATTGACCTACCCAACAACGGGTGTGTCGTGGTTTATCACGAAGGACAACATAAAAGGCACCCCAGAAGCCGCCGCCGAAGCTAATGAGAGCAAAGGCCAAGCGCGCAATGATGGTGAGCGGTACCAGATTACCAAGAGCCTTCGCCTGCAAAAACCCTGGGAATGCGTCGCGTTCCATTGCCTGGAATACGTAGTCTTTGGCGGGATCAAAAACCTCCGGGTCGTCTCGGCCGTCGTCTTCCACCAGATTGATGATCGAGGTTACCATATCTTCGGGCAGAACGATCTCTCTCTCCGCTCCGGGGAGCAGGTACGTATACAGAACTTTTTCCGCACTGGCACGAATATCGGCACGGGCTACCGTATGGCCCGGTGAAATGGAGTCGATGCGAGTGGCGGAGCTGGCCCGGGGTTGACCTTCGTTCGACGACGTACGGGCGGCGTTCTGCGATCCAAGACTGCTCTGAGGGGAGTGACCAGACGTGTGTCCATCTGAGCGAAGGAATGCCGACAACCTTTGATCCGCATCTCGATCCTCCGAGTCCCGATGACCACGGCGCATACCAGACGGCCCGGCTTCCACGAGCGGGATATCGCCAAAGCTCTCCAATGTTTCCAAAGCAGCTGACGAGCCTTTGCTATCGGCCTTTTCGAGATCGGGAGTAGCGACTAAGACAGACCGACGCAGTTCGCGGACATAGTGACGACATAGGGACATATGCTGCGAGACATCCAGCCTAGACGAGAGTTGGGGTTAGTGGTGAGATGCGACCGGGCCGCAACGACTCCAGGTCATTCAAGGACCTACCAGAAATCCAGGTAGTCCACCGAGCGCTTCTGGTCCCGCATGTAAATATAGAACGAAAAGAGATCGACCGGAGCCAGCGTTCGACGACTCAGGACCTCGAACAGGGTCGGGAGACGATTCCGCTGCTCCAGGTCCGACAGAGACGGCGAAGCCATTGTGAATGGACTGGGCGGCGGATTAATTAGGAGTCGGGATCGGTGGAAGCGCTTTCGAGGCGATAAGCGAACGAGAGTGAAAAGGTGAAAGAAACGACGGGCCAAAGAAAAAGGGGGCAGTGAATGAACGGTGCGTTGTAGGCGACGACGGGAAACGAGTGTATACGGAGCAGACGATTGGAGACAGCTGCGACCGACGTAGGCGAGAGTAAAGACCGACTAGAAGAGTTGGGCGTAGTGGTGGTTGGGCGAGAACGCGGCGAATGCGCAAAAATAGACCGTTTAATAAATAAACTGGAGCCTGTGCAAAACACCAGGAACCCCTGGGGCGCTGGAGTCGTTTGGGACGGTAGGAGTCAACACCGGAGAGCCACCCGACAGCAGCTGAGATCAAAGGCCGCCGGCACAATCCATGGAGCAGGGAGAAAGGAAGGAGGACGGAGGGAGCAGCCAGCCAGCCTGCATGAAAGAACTCCTGCCGACGATGGCCTTCTCGATGCTCGACGCTTTTCTGCAGCCAAACGGCCCGCCTCAACGTTGATCCGAAATGACGCCCCACGACGGCAAGTGAAGCTAGTCGGTGATCATCGTCGTCCACGTTCTCGACACTTTGCAAGGGATGTCTCAATAGTTGGCCGGGGAAGAGGGACGTTATCGGACAGGTCACATCGCCGTGTCTCGCAGGGGCTGGAAAATGCGGTGGACGTCGTACAGGTACTTTCTTCGCCATCCCCAGGTCTCAGGGGAAGTCCGGAGGCGACGATCCGAGTAAAATGAAACCGAAAAAGAAAAATGGAGACCACAGGAGATCCGTGGCATAGTCCGTATGGATTTCGTCATACACAGTCTATCACTAACCAGTCCCAACACTGCCGAAAAAAACACGCTCCGTGATGCGTCAACCTGGGTATTTACTCATTAACTCTTAAAGGGAAGAAAGAAAAGAACAAAACGCCAGAACTCCTTCGCCCCGACACCAGGAATACTACTATACAGCCACCAACCCCTATGTTCAAATAGTGACCACCTCCCTAGTGGCCATCGGCCAAATGCTATGCAATAATCAGCCACCCATGTCACAAAGGAGTAGGGGTCGCCTGCACTGGGCAAACAACTTACCGACCACTCGGGAATATTGCGGATTTGCTGCCACATAAACTTCTCCAGCTTGTTGGCACTCTTGGCGTAGGGCGTGTTCTCGTTGTTGTACTTGCGGCAATTGTCGAAGATCAACGAAGCGTCCTTGATGAATTCCTGCGGAGTCGGATACATGTCCTTTTCGTGCTTCTCCTCCATCGTCGACAAATCCATGGGCTCCTTGATGACCTCGTAGTAATCCGGTACTTCGTCTCGGTTGACGGGCTGGGTGAAGGGCCACGCCGCACTGTGGTTTTGCATGTCGTTGAGGAGGTGCAGGAGTTGGTTGTAGTTGGGCCCGTGGCGTGGCTGGCGAGCCAATTCATCCATATCGGGCGACCATCCCGACGCGCGGATGGCGGGAATACTCAGAGGGTCGATCTTGCACGGTCCGTTCTTCCATTCCTTCGGCGGGTTGTGGACCTTGTATGACTGGCTGAAGGCACGGATCTTCGCATGAACCGCCTCCTTTTGCTTGAGGAGCATTCGACCGATTTCGAGATAGCGTATCGTGGGAAGCATGGTGCACTGCATGATCGTTCCTCCCTCGTAATCCTTAATGTACCCCATCCAGATGGATTTGTCCAGTGTGATCTCTTTCGTGAATCCCTGCTTCTTGAAATACCCGATCGCATAGTTATCCGCATAGGTCAGGAAGTGCATGATGGGCGACGTCGCCTTCACGTAATCCTGTACAGCGCGGTCGGTTAGCCTCTCCCCGCGCAAGAGCGAAGCATTACCCAAGTTTCATACCTTCAAGTGCGACATTAGATGCGCACCGTATCCCTTCACCTGCTGATCCGAAGAAATGGCACAGAACACGATTTCGGCGAATCGGCGGCTGTTGAATGGTCGATACGTAATGCCCCTGCGCGTCTATCAGTGAGACCAAGTCCCCGACCCTGGCAACGTAGAGCGCACATACCCGACCACCTCCAAGGGATGCTTCACTATAGCCATCGACAAATGCGATCGATCATAGACCAGCCGCGCAATATAATCCTTGGGCATTTTCGGCAGTTGTTTTTGGAAGATGCATTTCAACCCGGTGAGAACCACGAAACTGTCGCGCGAGCCATCGTTATTCACCACCCGGAATTCGATCTCTCCTCGACGCTCCTCCAGCACGGCGGGCTATAAGCAGGCGCAGTGTTAGCCCTGACGCCTTGATCGGATGGACCCAGGCGGCTTGGCTTACCTTCTCGGGAAAAGGGACGATTCGCAGCGGCGGCTTTCCCAACGGTTCATCCTCGGTCTGAAGGCAGGTCACGTCAGAACACATTTGTCTGTCACCTCACAACAGAGTCGATCCTATACCTTTGGCTCTCTCTCCGGAGAATCTGTGCGCGCTTTCTTGCTCTGTTGCTGGGAATCTGGGGAAAGGGCCTCCTCCGATGCTTTCCGCTTGGTACCTGGGTCTATGCTCAGTAAATGGGGCGATGACGGCCACCAAGGACTCCCTCTGGAGATGGGAACTCACTGTCCGATGCCATTGCCACCATGATGTCGAATCGTGTCGGTAGGAAGAGTTTCGATGGCGGAGGTGACAGTCAATAATCATACGGAGTCAATGCGATCAACTCCACGTTTGGCCGATTGCCGATACGGGGCCGGAGCCGGAGATACGTCGACCCGGGGGGATTTGGGCCAGATCAACCACTTAATCTACTTCCCCCGACAAAGCTCCTGGGAGCTGCCATCGCCCTTTGACACCCGGTTTTGCTCGATCATTTGAACTTTGTCATCCGCTGGCTACGGTCTTTGTCCTACTCGAATTCTCCCCATGTCTTTGAACGAGGTTTGGGAGGCAGCTTCTGCAAGCCCCTACACTCCCTTTATCGGCAAAGAGAGCCAGTTCTCCATTGGCTTTGGTCTACTGCTGTCCGGTAAGAGTGACCTGGCCTATACCTGATAGAGCTGTATCGCTGAGCAATTGCCCTAGCCTTCATCTTGACCGGTCTTTTCGGATTGAGTGAGTTTGCTCATCGCCTTGGTCGCATGGGTTCTTTCTCGTTGCTAATGAAATAGATCGCTCGTTTCTGAGCATTGCATCATTCGGTATCCCGGCATCATTGGCATTTGGGTATGATGAACAAACCGCCCCCCCTCCACAACGCGCGCAGCCCGAGCTAACGTCGATTCTACTGCAGCTTCGGAGCCGTGTACATGATCTGTGCCGTTGGGGTCTACGTTTAATTGACGCGCGAATACCTCAATGTACCATACATGGAGAGTTGAAAGAGACGCATAAGGGCTGTACCACTAGAAACACCGAAGTCCCCCGTACTGCAGACTCTCTCTAAAATCGATTTCTCGGCGTTTGTTGCTTTATAGTTTTTTTATTGTACAGACTTATCATCCAGGGCCATGGCGGCCGTGGAACCTATATTCTCCGCTGTTTCCAGCAATACTCAACACCTCTATACCTTGCTTCAATGCATCGGGTTCGCGCCGAAAGCCACCGTGCAAATAACCCCGGATGGAATTCGATTCTCGGTACAAGACACGCGCGTGGTCCAAGGACTTGCTTTTCTCGACAAAGCTCTCTTCACCAGCTATACATTCAACCAATCCACCGTGGCTGGCAATCGAGACGAGACTGGGGAAGATGACGATGAATCCTCAGACACCACCCCCTACCCGTGCTTCGTTGTTTCGCTGTCCGCCCTGCTTGAAACTCTGAAAATATTCGGCGCCAATGACATGACCACCCCGGGAACGAATCGGGCAGCCAGCGTCGCGCCGCCGAATCCTTCTGCGTCGAGTGCCTTCACAGCCCCTGCTTTGCTACTGGATCGTTCGTGTACTTTTCAGTACTTCCGAGACGGCTCTCCTCTTAGCATCACTTTGTCCGAGACCGGAGTCAAGACCACGTGCGAGCTGACAACCTACGAACTTGACGGCAGCGAGGTTGACATTCCTCTTCAAAGAGAAGCTATTATCATGAAGATCATCATGCGCTCAGCTTGGCTACACAACGCAGTCACCGAACTTGGCGCCACCGATCCACGGGTACTGAGAATCTCCGCCTCCGCCAAAGAGGAACCATTTTTCTCCCTTTCTGGCCACGGCGGTCCGTTCAGCGAATCGTCGGTGGAATTCTCCATTGAGCAGCAGGACCAGAATACCGGCACACCACACGAGTCCCATCACAAGGTTCTCGCCGATGACGGTACTTCTCGGGCGCGTGCAACGAGAGCTAAGCTTGCTCCTACCGTCACCGAGACCTTTCTCGTCAGCCCGCCATCGTCGATGGGCTCTCGCATCAAGCAAGATTACCGGTTTCCTCTCATCCAGAAGGCTTCTCGTGCGATGGCCGCCGCCAACAAAGTCAGCATCCGGGGGGATCGACAAGGGGTTCTCAGTCTACAGTTCATGATCGAATTCGACTTGAATGAATCGGGCCAGGCAAGAAGCGCGGCGAAACCCCCTGTGAGTTTCGTGGATTTCCGATTTGTGCCGTTGTTGGATGAGGAGGCAGGGGAGGATGAAGATGGCGAGGATACGTTGGAGTGAGAGTCAAGCGGATGGTGTTTTCTTTTTTCTTTCAGTCTTGTTTTCGCTGGCGTGTCATCCATATGCATGATCGTGATCATGATCCTCTCTATAGCGAGCAATCAAGTGTTTCTGCCTGAGGCCTGGATTCCGCCCTTATCGGCGCCGCATCACGTGCACGCGGGGAAATGCCGGCACGCCGATTGGCTGCAGCTCGGCAACCCGCGCCCCCCGCGGAAAACGATAAGAAAATTTCGCTGATTTACTTCCTCTTCCTCTCTCTCCGGCTGGCTCCCATCCTCATCCGCATTCCTTTCCCAGGCCCTCTGCACGTCGAGTATCTCTGCGAGAGCACCACCCGCCACAATGGACGCCAAGAAGCCCCCTCACTCGGAGTTCGACACCATCCTGACCCTCGACTTCGGGAGTCAGTACACCCACCTTATCACTCGCAGGTATTTCCAACCCCTCCATGGCCCAGCCGATCACAGCTAACACCCACCTTCCAGGCTGGTCAGTACTTAGGATGCTATGTTCTTCTGTCAGTTTACACTACTAACTGCTCTTCGGCTCGTCAGCGAGAGCTCAACATCTACTCTGAGATGCTGCCATGGTATGTGCCAATGTCAATCCGTTGAGTCACAGTACAATGAGCCCCGTGCGCTGACTCAATTGCTCGATAACTTTTGCAGTACTCAGAAATTGGCCGATCTCCCCTGGAAACCCAAGGGTATTATCCTCTCCGGTGGTCCCTACTCGGTCTACGAGGACGGCGCCCCCCACGTTGACCCCGCCTTCTTCGAACTCGGTGTCCCCATCCTCGGTATCTGCTACGGATTGCAGGAGATTGCCTACCGCCTGAGCAAGGACAACGTCGCTGCCGGAACCGCAAGAGAGTATGGCCATGCCGTTCTCACGGCGAAGCGACTAGACAACCAGGGCCATGTCGACCGCTTGTTTGCCGGCATCGAGGATCAGACCAACGTCTGGATGTCCCACGGTGACAAGCTGATCCAGCTCCCCGAGGGCTTCCACACCATTGCTACCACCCCCAACTCCGAATACGCTGGCATTGCTCACGAGACCAAGCCCATCTACGCCGTTCAATTCCACCCCGAGGTGAACCACACGACTGAGGGTGTGAAGCTTCTGAAGAACTTCGCCGCGAACATCTGCGGCGTCACGCAGAACTGGACAATGGACAAGTTTGTGGACCAGGAAATCACTCGTATTCGCGAGTTGGTCGGTGAGACGGACCATGTTCTCGGTGCTGTCAGTGGAGGTGTGGACTCTACCGTTGCCTCCAAGCTCATGAAGGAGGCCATTGGCGATCGATTCCACGCCGTCCTCGTTGACAACGGCTGTCTGCGTCTGAATGAGAGCCAGCAGGTCTACGAGACCCTTGGAAAGCACCTGGGTATCAACCTGACGGTTGTGGACGCCTCCAAGGATTTCTTGGACGGCCTTAAGGGTGTCACAGACCCCGAGAAGAAGCGCAAGTTCATCGGTGGAAAATTCATCGATGTCTTCGAAGTTGAGGCTGCAAAGATCGAGGCCAGCGTTGAGCACACCGGTGCCAAGGTCCGGTGGTTCCTTCAGGGTACTCTGTATCCTGATGTCATTGAGAGTCTTTCCTTCAAGGGCCCCAGTGCCACCATCAAGACCCACCACAACGTTGGAGGTCTTCCGGCCCGCATGCAGGATGGCGCGGGTCTGAAGCTCATCGAGCCCCTTCGCGAACTCTTCAAGGATGAGGTTCGACAGCTGGGTAGGGAATTGGGTATCCACAACGACTTGGTCATGCGACACCGTAAGTCAATTTGTTACGTTAGACCAATTATTTTGCCATGGAATTTGCTAACTTAACCTACAACAGCCTTCCCCGGTCCTGGAATTGCCATTCGGTAAGCGAACCTGTCTATTCCAGCTCATCAGCTAGGTCCAAACATAGACTTTTGAATCACTTCTAACCAATATGTTCAGTGTTCTCGGCGAAGTGACCCCCGAGCGTGTCGAGATTGCCAGACAGGCCGACCACATCTTTATCTCCATGATCCGCGAGGCTGGCCTCTACGATAACATTGCTCAAGCCTACGCTGCTTTGGACCCCACCAAGGCTGTCGGTGTGATGGTAAAATCGCCTTCCCTCCGCCCCTGATGGCATATACTCCAATCAAATGCACAACGTTCTAACCCTCGTCACAGGGTGACAAGCGCGTCCACGCCGAGATGGTTATCCTTCGGGCCGTCCAGACCACCGATTGTAAGTTCCCCGGTTTATAGTCAGTCAGTCAATCAAGCTAATCGACCACAGTCATGACCTGTACCGCATACCCCTTCCCTCACGATTTCCTTTCCCGCGCCTCTACCAGGATCATTAACGAAGTGCACGGCGGTATGTTCCTTCTATTGCTTACTCCCTCCCTCTTGCAGCTCATGCTATCGGTTCTTGCATGGTCTGACGGTGCTGATTTTACTTTCTATAGTTTCCCGCGTCCTTTACGACATCTCTTCTAAGGTGAGCTTATATTCTTACTTCATATTCTCACGGGATCCTTACTAATTGAGCTATAAACAGCCCCCTGCTACTATCGAAATGGAGTAAATTGGATCTATTTTTTTATAGATGGGAAAACCTTGGCGATGGCGGGTTGGCAAGAAAAAAAAAGATATCGTTACCTTAAATTTGGTCGAGTTAGACAATGATTAATGCATATGCTTATGAATTTCAATAAACGACGTCGCGTAGGCGAAAGAGCAAACCAAGGAAATAAATAATTGACACTTCCATGTTTGGTTCTCTGAAAGAATACGTGGATAAAGAAATAGAGATGATATTTTGAGCATATTTTACATATCCCAGCGCTATACCTAAAATTCAACCCCCCACAACTCCCATTTTTGTGGTTTTCAGAAAAAGAGATCTCTATCCCCGAGTAGATTACCGAAATAGAGCGACGGCTGGACTCATTCAATTGGGAAAGGGAATTACATAACCTAGAAGCGAAATGTCAGTATGGGGTGTTCATGCTCTAATCAACTAGGAACGAATGCAAATACTCACCTCGGCGATTGACTGTCTCTCGATGATCGACTTCTGCTTCTCGTTACGAGACACGCGGTAATAGTAATCACTGAAGTCACCGCACTGCATATGCCGAAGGAAGTCCTCGTCGTGCGTGATGATGATCAACTGGAAATTGGCCTGCTGGCGACGCGTACGAATGATGTCGTGCAATGACTCTGCCAGAGACCGGATATTGTCCCGGTCAAGGTTGGTCGTGGGCTCGTCCAGGGCGATCAGACCGCAGTTGACACCAAAGCACTCGGCGAGGGCCAGGCGAATGATGATACTTGCCAGCACCTTTTGACCAGCACTGCAGCGCCCTCGCATGTCCATCTCTGCGCTCTGCTTGACCATGCAAACACGGTAGTTGTAGGATCGGTTGCCCTTGGCATTTTCGTTGTCCGAGCGGATGAGGATCGTGTCCACGTCGGTTCCTCTGTACGTCTTCTGCCACAGTTCTCCGATGATGGCGTTGATCTCTTCCATCTTCAAGCCGTGATACTTCATGATGGCTTTGTCCAAAGCGCCGCCATACCGGGCCAGATCGTCGACGGCCGCCTTCGTGGTCTCCACCTTAATATGTGCCTCCTTGTATTTGGAAGCAGCATCTTTGTAATCGGTGTTCCAATCCGCCAGCAGCTGCATCAGTTGATCATCCTTGGACTTCATTTCACCCATTTTGCTGGCCTGTTTTGCCGCCAGCGCATTGTGTTCGCGAGTGCGGCGCTCTGACTCTTCTTTGAAATGACTCCGGTCAACCTCGGCGTTCTGGGCTGCGAGCTGTTCGATCTCGGCCTGGACCGTATCAAGCGCTCTGGTCGCCTGACGATAGTTTAGATTATCCGCATACTGGCGTTTAGTGCTTTCGCTGTCCTTCAACTGAGCGGAGATCTTGTTGATTTCTTTCGTTATGGCTCCCAGTCCGGCTTCCAGTTCGTCGATTTCTTCATTGACGTTCGCGAGTTCACGCTTACTCCGATCTAGCTGGTCAGGACCGCCGCGCTGGTTGTAAGCATCGATCTCTTCGTTTGCCAATTCCAGCTGATGGACGCTTTCGTACAATTGGGAGATAGCCTGTTGCATCTCCCGCTCGCGGTTTTCGGCGCGCTGGCTGATGTCGTCGTACTGCGCTTGAACCTTCAAAAGTTCTGGAGTCAAGTCTTCAATGTCTTTGTCGGCCTTTGCTATCGCCTCACGCTGCTGACTATTGAGATTCTTGTACTCTTCCAAGCGAGTGAGAAGGTCAGCCTTCTTCTCCAGCTGGAATTTCGCGTTATCAAGGCTGCTTTTCACATCTCTTAATTGTAACTCCAGGTTATTGATTTCAGACCGGGTCTGTTCTCTGTCGTTCGTGAGCTTGGTCAGGGTCTTCTTAAACGCTCTGGACTTTTCACCAATGGAAGCCAATTGGTCTTGAATGTCTTCCAATGTGCGGGTAGAACTGGCGTCTTTTTGGTTCGAGGAAAGTCCCTGTATCTGGGAACGAATCGACTTGATTTCACTCTCATATCGAACTATGGTATTGACCGTTTTGGAGAGAGCTTCGACGTCCCTTTTCTTTTCAGACTTCTCGCTGACGATCTTGTCACGGCTCTCTAGTTGGTTCAAGAGTTCATCCCGTTGGTTGAGGTACTGCCCTTCTTCCTTCTCCAGTTCTGGAATTTCGGTATCCTTTAAACGGGACCAGGTATCGTACGAAGTGCTAGCTGCACGAGCAGTCTTAACATCCTCCTCGAGATCGCGCACATCCTCATCGTCAGCGTCGCGTTTAGCCTTTTTCACTAGGTTCTCTAGTTTGTTCTTGAAAGACTGTAGTTCGGTATCATTCTTGAACCCGCGAGTACATAGTCTGCATGCCTTGGCTTGCTTGGCTGTCTCAAGACATGTAACCATGTATTCGCCGATGCCTGCGTATTGTTCGGCATCTTTCCTTGCGATATCAAGCTGCGCCTGTCGCTGCTGAAGCACCTCAGGGTATTCTTCAGGCTCATCGTCGATAGCTTCACGAATCTCTTGGATGCACTCTTTGAGTTCCTTTTGACGTTGAGTGAGAATCTTTTTGACGTTTTTCATTTTGAATTCCACTTGCTCCAGCTCTCTACTGACCGCATCACGTTCCTGTTCGGCCTTCGATACAACATTTGATTCACCTTGCAAGGCATGGTGGAAATCATGCTCCAAGGTCTCGGGCTTCCAGTCTGCACTGACAAGCTTGGAAAGACGGTCACCGTGAGCGCCCTCCATCGTACTCAAGCTGCGCTCCCGTTCCTTCAGCTCTTTTTTCAGATGGTCCAATCGGGCCAAGTCACCGGCCCGCTTCGTGGCATCGATAAGTTCGGTGTTTAGGCGAGAGCTCTCGTCCTCCAGGTTGCGGATTTCAGAGTTCACGTTTTGAATCTCCTTGTCCCAGGAGGCAGTCTTTGCACGTTCCTTAGCCTGATCCAAACGAGATATGGTGTCTTCAATATTTGATTCGAGAGCAGCTTGAACGCCCTCATCAACATTGATCTCGTTGAGCTTCGCTTGGTATGATGCTGCATCCTTGTCATTTGAAGCAATCTGCCTCTTTGCGGCATTTTTGGTTTCTTGCAGAGCAGACTTCCGCTTTTCGATATCGTTCAGGGTGACCTGCACCTCGCGTAGTTCGCTCTGCGCATCCCGCCTGGTCCGGTCCAGCGCCTGATTCTGATCTTTTAGTAGCTTCCTGACCTTCTTCATGAACTCATCAACCTCGGCTTGGTCCTCAACCTTATCAAACCCTCGAATGTTGTTTCCTCGAGCGATCTCTTTTGTCATCCTTTGCCGTCGCTCAAGCTGTCGCTCAAAATTGGCCTTGTCGTTTTCGAACTTTCCATACTCTGCCTGCTTGGTTCCCAATTTTTGCCGAGCATGTTCTATTCTCTCTTTGATATCCATGTAGTTCTCTTTCTGGGCTTCTTCCTGCTGTTGGTACTGAACCTGTCGCGATTCGAACTGCTCCAAATTCGTCTCCAGCCACTCATCTGAATCATCCAGCTCCACCAAGTGTCTCTTCAGACTATCGATGGTTGCCTTGACACTTTTGGCTTCGATGCGCTTCCCTTCCAAGGCGCCCAGCACCTGAGAGTAGCTTTCGGACTCTTTCCATGCTTTGTCGGCGAGGTCGGCAACACGTCGCATTTCTTGGGAGAGTTTATGCGTCTCGTCACGCAGAGCCTCAATTTCGTCCTGCAGTTTGACGGACCTCTTCTCGGCTCTGTCGGCCTTCTCTTTGTCCTCCTTGGCATGCTGCTCCATGATTTTGTACTTGGCCAGCTCCTCGTTCTGCTTCTTCCTTAGAGCTTTGATATTATCGATGGCCTTTGTATATTTCATCGCTTCGAAGATCTCGTCGAATTTCTTCTTGAGGACAGAGGGCTCGCTCATGGGCCACAAGCTCTCGTCTTGGTGACAGAAGATGACCGAATCCAAAATGGCTTTGGACACGCCGAGGTACTGCGGCATGATCTGGTCCAACTCGGCCACCCGCGAAGAGATGGCGGTTCTCTCGCCATCTTTGACCATCAATAGCTGTCCCTCCAGTGTCTTCTGTTGCCGGGTGGTTTTCTTGACCGTAAGCTGCAGACTCCTCGTCGAGACCATCTTGGCCCCCGAGGTGGCTTTGAAAGACATTTTCACCTGGGCCAGTACCTCTTTTTCGCCGCAGAGCTTCGGGTCGTGGATGAAGGCGCCACCCTTACTGTTCGGCGGAAGGTCGCCGGTGGTGGCATATTTGAGACACTCGATGATGGTCTATGCTTCCCGTTAGCCCGAGTAAGACGCGTTGTCCGGTTGAGGGTGTAGAGTTGTACCGTTTTCCCCGATCCATTATAACCGACGATCAACGTGAGAGGGGTGTGGAATTGGATGGTCTCGCTGCGGGTGTTGTCGAAGGAGCGGACTCTAGGTAGCGGTGGAGATGAGTCAGTGGAAAGGCAAGCAGCAGAGTGCAGGGTCAGGTAGCATCGACATACCCGAGAATGGAAAGCTTATCGATCTTCGCTGGGGGATGAAAGTCAGCAGCAGGAATTGCGGACTCCGACGTCTGGATGCGCCGCACTTACACCTGGTCAGCTGGTCAGCGGACGAAGATCTCGCATGAGCTCAGCTGGAGGAGATGTAGGAAAGAGACGACTCACATGGTGTCCTTTGGCCCTGTCAGTTGTCGCTCAGAACCACGCAAGACACGACAAGGCGAGAGGCGAAAGAGAAGGCAAAGGCAAAGGCGCGTCGACGCGGGGAAGAGCGCGCGGGCACGTGACGGGTCACGGGCGCAGGCGGTCACGGGCGGACGAAAGAGGCAGGAGCCCAAAAGGCGAACGGGGAAAAAGGAATTCCGGCGAGAGTGAGAGACGTCGAACGCAGCGAGACCAACTGCATCTTATCGGGCCCTGCAATGGACGGGTCAAGGCGCACACCCTTGTGGACGCATCTCCAGGCACCATCCTATCGGATACATCTCGACCATTGGACGGCAATTCCGTGCTGTCAGTCCTCCTCATTGGCACGCCGTGTGGGTCGGCCCCGGTCGTTATACAGTACAGGAATTGACAGCTCTATCCATTCCAGCTTAAGTGGCTCGTAAATGCTGCTGCTAGCCTAGTGTCTGGCTGTCTGGCTCTCTCTCTCACTTTTGCTCTCTCTCTCTCTCTCTCTTTCTCCCTCCCTTTCTCTTTCCCTCTCTTGCTCTCGCTTTCACTCTTCCTCTCGGTGGTCCCGAATGTCAGTCCCTCGCGACTGTGATCTCGTCGGCCACTCCAGTTTCCAACGATGGATTTAAATTCCTCCTCCATCGACAGAGGGTCGATCGCTATGGCACACAATAATCAATTATCTTTGGTGCAGGGTCACATGAAGGACCCGTATACTACGGCTCCCACCGCCGCCACCACTTCTACTGCTGCTACTGCCACCACCGCAGCTATTATTACCTCACCTACAACAACCCTTCCTATAATGGCCTCCACCGCGGTGTCGGCCTCAACAGCCGCGGCAAGAGAGCCGCGATATCTTCCCCCATCACACACTGAGAAATTCGGCGCACAGAACGTCGATTCCGACCCGTCGTCCGACGCAACTAAGTCGGTATGGACGCAGCGGGTTTTGGGCGAGATGAAAGACATGCTGCTCCTTCTCGGCTCCGACGGACGGATTGCGTATGCGTCGCCTGCCTGTCATTGGATCACAGGCTATGAATTCCCGCAAATAGACAGACACGACATCGCCCGTTTTATCCACACGGAGGATCGGGCGTTCTTCGCGGCGGAAATGGATGAATGCATTGCAAATTCCCGACCATTCCACTGTCATTTCCGGTTCTACAAGCGCGATAACGCCAGCTGTGTTCTGGAAGCGTATGGACATCCGCATATGGCGACCCCCAAGAGGGGTAGCGGAAGCAGTAACGGAAGACCGACTCAGGTTTGCAATGGCGTGTTTCTTGTGTGTCGACCCTATCCCACAAGGAGCTCGCAGACTCTCGATTCTTTCCTGGAGCACAAGCTCGAAAACATCCGCCTCAATCAGCGAATCGCGCAACTGAGAGAGGAGGAAGAGGAAGATGATATTAACGCAGGCCAACAATCAGCACCCGGTAATCAAACAACGACGACAACGACGACACATACGATGCACTCAACCTTTATCACTTCCGTGCAGTCAAGTGTCACTCAGTCTAACGTCGCCGAGGCTGCCGGATCGGGCGACGATTCCAATGACTCGTCGGACGAGCCCACAATCGGTGACGAATCGGATTCACGTTCACTCCTGGAACAAGTCGAGGACCGACTACCCCAGACCGAAGACATGTCCCATATCGAAGGCATCGAGGTCATGACCGGTCTGTATTATGGAGACGGCGAACGATCTCAGGGTCTCAGTACCGGTCTGCGACAAGGCCGTCTCATCCACTGCAACAGGGAAAGCAGCTCACCCGAGTCCCAAGAGCAAGATTTGCCAGACAGCGACCGGAGAAAACGGCTAAAGGGAGAATATATGTGTACCGATTGCGGCACAGCCGACTCCCCAGAGTGGAGAAAAGGCCCCGAAGGACCCAAGACGTTGTGTAACGCGTGCGGGTGTAAGTTGAAGAAACCTTCTCCCTAAATCAGAGCTCCTGCTTTTCAGGAACTTCCCACCCAGACTAATTCCATCGTGCATGTAGTACGTTGGGCTAAAAAGGAGAAGAAACGTCAAGACCCGATCTAGTCCCTCTGTTCCTCTTCCCTCTGCTCCCCTTGTTGCCGGATTGGATGCATAATCGAATCCCCATTTCTTGCGTTGCGAATATCCTGCTCCTGTCGACGATACCCCAAGCCATTGTTTTCTGTTCTTTCAGTGTGCCTTCGTACGTGAGTCTAGTTGTTTCCCACTTTGTCCTACCCTCCCTTGCGTGCTGATGCGCGTCCTTTTTTATTTTTTTTATTTTTTATATGTATGTCTAGCTGGCATGGATCGGCGCTCTGCCTTAGCGTACTTTGCTTTCTTTTTGTTTTCCTTTTTTTTTTATCTCTCTTTTTCTGTTACTGTTTCCCCCCTTCTTGTCATATGCGTTGGACAGATGATGTTGATGAGATTTTCCATGGATGGAATGAAATTTGTGTGCGACTACGAGGACCTGTGTGTATTGATATCTCGAACCAAATGTGAATTGAGAGCCATATTAACTACTTGGTCATAAAGGCATATTTCGCAGGAATGGTATAAACAAGCAGATTGGAAAGAGAAGAGAAAAAAGCAAAGGCTGTGTCATAAAAGTAGTATTAACACCGTGACTGGTCGCCTCGTTCACCGCACCCTGAGAGCTACTAGTGCCAGCAGGGGGGTATTTCAAATCAAGAAAACCAGTCGACCAGCATGCAAATCGGGAAGATGGAGGATATATAAAAAGCAGTTTAGACTTAATGCATCGTGACATCTCACCGTCGATCAGGGCTCAAAATTTCTCGATCGACAGGCAATAACGGTCAACATGTCACACCGAATCGAGACCCTACAGACAGCTGAACAGGCAAGCGAAGCCCTCTCACGTCTTGGCCGCCTTTTTGGGTGGCGGCGGAAAATACGTCTGAACTGGGGCCTGATGCCCCGGCGTCAGGGTCTCCGCCGACTCCTGGTGCAACGAGCGACGCGGGTTCGGCGAACTGAAATGCTCCCGAAGGGGAAGATCTGACGAGTCACGACCCAGTCGGTTGAAAGCAAGGCTGCGGGGTGTCATCATGGGCGGCGCTTGTGTCCCCTGCATCGCCTCTGGAGGAGGTGCGGCGGGAGTCATGGGAATCATGGGGGACTTGAGCACCATGTCTTCATATTCTTTCATGGTTCTCTTTTCTTCGCGGCGCTCGGCGTACTCGGCTCGCTCCTCTTCCGTGGGGATACAGGAGTGGGCACTGATGACCATTTCGACGAAGTAGAGGACACTGGAGAAACGTTTAGTTCGAAGAACTTATATGGTAACGGTGCGCCGAGGGGGGAATCGCTCACATTATGATTATGGTGAAAGCAAACAGCACTTTTGCCTGTTGGCAATACCCCACATTGCCGGGATTTGAGGCCACGGAGCATTTCTTCGTAATGTACCATGGAGGACCTCGTTGGGGGTGTTTAGGGTCTGATGTATCACTGCCGGCCTGGTACGCTGCAGAAGCGATGTAGAGTGCGAACAAGCCGGCATGGATGATGACCGACAAGGGCGGATAGAAAATGCGGAGGACATGGACGGCGGCCTTTGTTATCATAAAAAAAGTGCTCAAAACGCTCAGCACTAGATTATAGTCGGTAATACTGTCACCTGTCAGCAAATGATCGCCGGAATCAACAGCAAAGGCGATGGACGTACAATGTACTCCAGACCATAGGAACCTTGAAGGACCGGTAGTTTGCAGCGGCGTAGACAACCTCATCGGGGGCACTGTTGAAGCCGTTGTCTGCGCCATCCTGCCATAGCTTGGTCCGGTATGTGTCATGGGAGGCAATACCCGCGAATGTCAAGATGATCACGGTGAGAGGGAACTCGATGGCCACTAGGATATAGAAGAGATTGTGGTTGCGCCAATTCCGAGGGAAGTACATATTGGCGGTGTTATCTGAAACCGGAGTATTTGAGCTCTGCCGGGCCTTAATTTTGCTGATGCAGTCGGTCGGATTCTGTTGGTGATGGCCAGGCCGGCTGGCTGGGCATTCAGAGCACACTCATCAGACGATCCAAGAAAATCAGATCGCAACGGGAGAAATCCCAAGCACGAAGTCTTGGAAAAGCAGCCGGGCAGGCGCCGTAGATATGGAGCGCCGCGCCGCAGCAACCGGCAGGGTCGGCCATCTCCTCCGTACGGACCATGGTCAGGGATCAGAAGAGGGGCAGCGCTTCAGCGACGAGAATGCAACCGAGCGAAATGTTTCCCAGAGGTGCATCTGGCCAATGCTTGTTGTCCGAAAAGCGCCAGCACCGGAGGGAGGACGAGGGTCTGTCACCAATGGGGCGGCAGAACGAGAGAAGTGGCCAGTAGCCGTCACACGCTAGGCCGTGTGATAGCGATGGTGATCTGCATGGTCGAGCAGAGCGCATCGGCGCAACAGGACTGGTGGGATTGCACGGGGCCTGTCATCGAAGTAAGCGCCCGTGTGGAGATTGCCATCTGTGACGGCGCATGCATTGCTTTTGCATTGCTGGGCTGGGCTCAAAAGTACGAGATTCCGGCGTGGTAGATGCGAGAACTGTCGATCCGATCATGATATGATTCTGTGGTGATTGAATACGCTGAACGCAGTAGATGGTCGAGGAGAGGAGAGGGAGAAGAAGAAGAAGGGAAAGACGAGAGAGACGAAGAATGCGGGGAGACGTCATTCGATCGCTCCTCCACTCGTCCGCCGTCGTCCCCAAGACACCAACCCTCCCAGGATTCCATCCAGACAGACTCCATTCCGAATGCGACGCCAACTGCTGCAACTCCACCGTTCTTTCATCGCGTCACATCGGCTCGTCTCGTCACTCCCGATGACCTCGTCCGGCGGCAAGAAGACTTCGGTGCCTCATCTGGAGCGCACGGCTGCTGAGCCCCGACAGAACCGACTCTACAATGTGCATCTCTCCCATATTGAACAGGTCAATCCATCGGTTCGACTTTTCCAGTTAGCCATTCCCCCTCAGAATGTAGAGACCCCCGAGTCGGATGATGCCGAGGTAAGTACATGCTCGTAATATTCCATCCCTTGTGTGCTATAATACACTCTACTACATATCCATGCATGCTTTGAGTTACTATACAGATACTTACGCTTAACTCCAGTCCTCTGCTCCTCAACCATTCTCCTTTCTCCCTGGCCAATGGCTAGACGTGCATATCCCGTCCGTCTCCCGCGCCGGTGGGTTCAGCATCACCTCCACACCCGCCGATGCTCAGGTGTTGCCAGCCCCAGAGCCAGCGACTGAGTTCTCCACCGGAGGTGAGGACGAGGCTGGGCTCTCTGCCATTGAATCTCAAGGAAGACCCCCTTACGTAGAGCTGGCGGTTCAGCACGCACCGGAAAATCCGGCCAGTGCTTGGCTCTGGCAGCCCCAAAGTGAAATCCAAGGGAAGCAATTGACCGTCCGCGTCGGAGGCAGCTTTGTATGGCCCCCGTCGGGACTCAATCTTGAAGGAGTTCGGAATGTGACCTTGATTGCTGGTGGGATGGGTATCAAGTAGGTTCTCCCTCCCCGTCATCACGAGCAAATGATATCAAATCAACTACTATATACATCCGATTTGCTATGTCCAAAACATCTAACAGGAAAACCTAGTCCCATCATCTCCATCCTTTCCCACCTGAACAACAATGTCGATGAGATCACAGCTCTGCAACACCCCTTCAACATTCACCTCTTATACTCCACCAAGTTGCCCCCATCGACTGATACATCCACGGCATCTTCCGAATCATACCTTGCCCAGGTCCTCTTCCTCTCGCGACTCCGTCAGATCATCCGCGGTCAATCACAATCCCGTCGTCTACGGATCTCTCTCAACCTCTTTCTTACCAATCTGTCCAGCGATCAATCCAGCCTGCTACAGGAGAACCCGGCAGAACTCACGGTTCATTCGCGCCGAATTAGCGAGAGTGATTTGCAGAAGACTCTAACGGGATCAGATGGAAAAGCCAATCCCAATGATACAGTATACTACGTGTGTGGCCCGCCAAAGATGACGGATGAATTGGTGAATGTCTTAGGGGGTTTGGGCTCGACGAAAGAAAATGTGTTCTTCGAGAAGTGGTGGTGATCTTTCTGAGTCTTGCGGATTTCTTGGTCTGGTTCTGCCGGGGAAGGATATCTCGGTGTACATCTTTTTAATACATACTACATTCCAGAGACAAGATTCACAGATGTCAAATGGGAAAGATTCTTCGTATTTGGCGAATCTCCATTCGCTTCCTATACAGGTATCAAACGACCACATCGGCCAGAAAATGGAAACAGAGCTGCGCATGATACTCACGAATGAGTATAAATGACCACGCAAGCATATTAGATATACATCATATGAGCGCAAGATCTCTGTCCCAGGAGAGCAAACCTTCGCTCACGGTTAGCAGATGAGAATATAGAGATTCCCCCCTCCCTCCCTTTAATTCTTCCGAGTTGAGAGAATAGTTGATAAACAAATGCAATTTTTAATTGTCCTCCCCGGGTCCTTTCACAATACCCCCGTCGACGATCATCATCTCATCGATCTTCGCCTCGGTTTGGCCATATTCAAGCCGCTTGTAAGTCATGACTCGTCCCGAGTTCATGTCGAAATCGAAGAATCTGATACGCCGAACGTAGCCGCCATAGCCCCCGTAGCCTCCAAATCCGGAGCCACCGCCGTAGCACATCCAAAGAGACGGCTTTTCGTTTGTGTCCTTGTTCAGCATGCAGTAATCATTGACATGATCACTAGAGACGTCAAGTTAGCCCTCAAATATGCCCAGTTATTCCCTAGGCGGCGTTATAACTTACTGTCCGGCACTAACAAAGAGGATCCCTTCCTCCTCAAGCGCATCCTTCAATCCCGAATTGAATCCGGGGGCGGTAGGCGCTTCTGACCAATCTCCCCGATAGTAATTCTGAGACTCGCGGTACTCAGGCAAAGGGATATGAATGAACGCCACATCCATATGCATGTGGGTGTACTCGTGGTGTTTGCTCTTGAGACCCTGAGCGGTGTTCTTGAACCACCGGATCTGACTGGGCTTCACCCAGTCATAGCCTCGGAACTGTCGCTCGTCGGGGGAGTAGGAGTGAGTGTCCAGAAGGTAAAGAGTCAAGGCAGAATGGGCCGTCTTTCCGCGACCAAGGACTTCGACCACGTAATTACCGACTCCGTCCACTTCTTCAGGGCCAGCTGATGATAGTGAGTACGGTAGGTCCTCCAAGATGGTCATAAGGGCAGCCCGCTTGAGGTTACCCTCGTCGTCATGATTGCCGAAGATGGCGGCATAAGGGATCTTGCGGTCAACGAGCAATTTGACCGCCTTGAAGAGCGCGCTCTGTGCGTCTTTAGAAGTTTCGCCATTCACCTGATCTCCGCTCATCACGACCATATCTGGCTGCTCTTCATCTAGGAGTCTTTCCACGAACTCGAGCGTTCGTGGGTCGGCTTCGCATTTCTGTCCCGGCACAGGTTCGGCCGGAACAGGGTCTCGGCAGTCTCCAAGACCCGTACTAAGATGTAGATCGGCCAATTGCATGACTTTAAATCGACCATTATCGTTGATTCGAGGGACTGGCTTCTTAGCCTTGGGAAGGTCTCCCCTTCGCACGCTGATGCGAGTCTCCAGCTCCTCCGTTCGACTATCCAGCAGCAACGGGGTGCCGTTGACCTCCCAGCCCAGTCGTGGATCGACCGCATCGGCGCCGAAGAGGACATCGACCGAAGTAATGACGGACTGCGAATCACTTGCATGGCGTTTCGCCGTCCTTTTCAGCCAGATGCCACCTTGCCTTTGCTCCCACTCCTCGCCCTTGTTCTTAGATTCAGGGGTCGATTCGGGAACGAGTCGGCCGATCTTCAGATCGATGACAACTTTGTCGGCAGGAAGCAGATCCTCCTCTTTCTTGTGCTCGAATCGAACGAAGGCAGTGGAGGTCCAGCCTGTATGCAGATAGAGATCCTTCTCGACTTGCGACCATGTCGGCGAGTCTGGTTTGCAGCCGGAGAATACATTAATAGTCGAGCACGTCACAACGACCACATCGGTCACAACGAAGCCGGCATAATGGGACGGAAGGTGTTCGTGGATGGAGTCCGGTAAAACGCGAAATCGGTTATCCAAAGTTACGATAAGAAGTAGAACAAAAGCGGCAAATATAGCGAGCTGCACGCCCGCACGAACCTAGAAGAAAGCCTCGATTAATTTCCGATGTCTATTGATGAGACAACGTGGGTGATGAGGAGGTAGGGGAGAGAGCATGCATACAAGTCGGCGTGCCATGATAGTAGATTAGTTTCCCCGGAAAGCTTTAAAGGAATGAAAAGCGACCAGGCGCTGAAGCATGGTGGAGTATACTCAAACAGGTAGACGCTTTCTGCGGGCTCACCAAGAAGAAGACCTATCGTCAGGTCATCTCAAGGGGCCATAATTTAGAGACGAGAAGGAAGATCGTCGAGGGAAACGAATGGCCGCCGTTATTTTGGCCGGGGGGGGGGTCATCGATCCGGAAGGCGGTCACCGGAGTCGGCCTCAGGCTGGCCAGGAATTGGGCCATTTGGGCCACTTTGGGCTACAGGCGATGGACCATACGAACTACAGAGTATTGAATTATTTATATCACCCTATTTGGTCTATTCGTTAAGTCTCCACGTTATATATAGGTATATATAGGTATATATGTGTATGTATGTATGTGCGTACCTCGGTTCTATCCCCCCTCTTTCTATCCCGATCTATATACTGTATCTATCGTGGATCATGTATTCGACAGATCCGTCTACAAAACTAGGCCTTGTTATCAGCCGCCTTCTTCACCGACACCTTGCCGGCTAGGATGTCTTTCGTGGTGGCAAGGATAGACTCCCAGCTCTCAAAGACAGTGTACGGCTGTCCTTGACGCTCGCAGAATGTCACCAGATCTAAATGAAGTCAGCACATCGCAAGCGCGGGGATGGCAAAAGGCCTTGCACAGAGAAACTCACCTTTGCCCTTTTTGGCGAAGAGAAGGTCGGTTTCCGAAGCAGCAGACAAGTCGGAAACGCCATCGCCTGCATACAGCAGAGTAGGGCGCACATTGTCCGGCAGTGCGGCGTAAGGCTTGATCTCGCGAGACTTGTCATGACCGAAATGGCTTTCGTCATGGTACCTGATCTGCCAGCCACCTTCGGAGTTGATGTCCTTGCCGTCGCGGCTTTCCACGTCGTTGGCCACGATGTGAAGGTGGTCATCAGGGGACTCGCCCAGGAAGGACTCGAAAAGAGCACGGATGATCGGCACCATTCCAGAGGACAGAACCACGATGGGCACGTTGTTCTCCTTGGACCACTTGTAGAACTCAAGGAAGTACGGATCCAACTTCATGTTCTTCTGCAACGTCGCGATGCACTCGTTGTAGGGGGTTTTGACACTGTCGAGCATTTCGCGGAAAGAATCGCTGGAATCCAGAGGATCAGTATGTAATCAACCGACAGAGGTGACATGCGCTCCAGCATACCGGAAGCTCATCTTGCCCTCCAGAACGTCATAGTTGCCCTGTCGGCGTTTTTGCTGTCCATATCCGAGGTTGTCGGTCTGGGAACGTGCTCCGTCAGTTTCTAATCAGGGCGTCAAGAACAAGAGTCATGCGGTTAATTGGCAGGTACCAAAAAGTCATTGCTATCTTCGAGAGTGATCGTCCCATCAAAATCGGTGAAGAAGATGACCTGAGGGTTGGTCTTCATGTAAGGAAGAGTTGAGGCACTCATGGTCACGCAATTTATCGCAAAGTAGAAGGATGACTAGGAATGGCGAGATGATCTATATTAGCCATCTGCGACAACTATTTCTTTAAAGCATCATCATCGCCACCATCAACAAGGGCACCCTCAAAGTCAGACATCGATTGCCAACGTTTGTCATTAGCAATCAACAAATCGAGCCTGGTCAAGGAACCGTTGAAATGGGAGATCGAGGAGAGAACGAGGAGAGACTTCTATACATACCGGGTTCTAACAAATCCAAGGCTGGCAGAGAGGGGCGAAAGAAGAAAAAGAAGGAATGCGACTGAGGGCGAAAGACCCCGCGAAAGGAATCCGGGCAATCAGGGCCCATGCGGCACACTAAATTGCATTCCCCATAGTGAGATAATTATGGGTCCTCTTTTTCTTTTTCTTTTTCTTTTTTTTTTTTTTTTCTTTCCCTGCCAGGGACTAGCCCCGTCAGGAACTCGTCCACCGATTTCCACCGTTCTCTCGGGGTCCTTCGATCTTCCCCCGGCATTCTTCCAGTTCAATCAAATGGCTCGTTTGCTACAATCCCTGCGGCGGGTCTTTGGATTGACTCCTGCCCGACCTCCCTCGAAGTTTGCGAGGTCGATCGATATCGATTTCTCTCGGTTCTGCGGTACCGCTCGCTCTGTTCCTTCGCCTCATTCAACGGCCCATGCTAATCCATTGCGTGATTCTCATTAGAGGGGGACTGTGTCGTCGTTCATCCAACAAAAAATGCCCAAGCAAAAAATGTCAAGTTGACGAAGCCCCTGCGCAAAAATCAGAAAACGGAACTCCCTCGCGGCCATCTATTACACGAAAGCGTCATCGGCCGGAAAGTCCGCGATCGCATCCAAGCGCATAAAGGTTGGCACTCCGCCAGATGCTATGGCCGAATTGAACACGGGGAGGAAAAAAAGGCTGACAATTCAATGTTCGCCGTGTCTACTAGGTCCTGATGTCCGAGTCACGCATCCCACGCTCGAAGAATATGTCTCCATGACGCCTCGTCTGGTAACGCCGGTATGAGCGCAATTCTTGCGGCCACGAGACTTGCAAAAGACAAAACAAAACAAAAACTTATCATACCGAGTAGATCTACGGCCACGATGCCGACCTCATCGTCTCCCTTCTCGATATCCACGTCACTCCTCCCGCCGAGGGAGACCAGCTACCTCCGTTGGAGATCCTAGAATCAGGCACCGGCCATGGCTCTCTCACATTACACCTCTCCCGTGCCATCCAGGCAGCAAACACAGCACCACCATCAATTCCTCCCAAATCCCAGATCAAACACCTAGAAGGCCGTCCCCTGCGCTCCGATGAGCAAAATGATCAAAAGGGCCAAAAGGGTCAAGATGGCGGCAAGTCGGACGTCGTCGAGCCGGAAAACTCCTCGCCAGACCCTCTGCAAGAACAGTGGGATGTCTGGCGCTCGCAGCGTCGAGCAATCATTCACACGGTGGACGTATCGCCCACATTCTCGGCGCGCGCGGAGAAGATCGTCCGGGGATTTCGGCGCGGAATCTACGCAGGAAACGTCGATTTCTACGTCGGACACGCAGAGAACTGGATCGCCGAGCAGATCCAGCAACGAACCCCGAAATCGCTCCTCTCGCTGACCACCCCCAGCGTCGAGCCGTTCCTCACCCACGCCATTCTCGACATGCCGTCCGCGCATCAGCGCATCCCGCACGTGGCTCCGATCTTGAGAACCGACGGCATCCTGGCCGTCTTCATGCCCAGCATCACGCAGATCGGCGACTGCGTGGATCTCATCCGGAAACAGAACCTGCCGTTCACCATGGACAAGGTCGTGGAGCTGGGCGCCGGGATCAGTGGCGGCCGACAATGGGATGTTCGACATGCGGTTAAGAAGTCCCGCGCCGATCCGTCGTCGTGGACAAAGGGCGCCGATGAAGCCGAGGGGACTAAGGAGGCTTCTGGAGAAGACGCAGACGACTCCGTCTCGATCCCCGTGGAAGACGCACCCCGCGATGACGGCGTGCTTGTCTGCCGGCCGAAGGTCGGGAATCGCATCGTGGGCGGAGGGTTTGTTGGCATCTGGAGACGGATTGGCTGATGCATCAATCGTATCCTGAATACCCCCTTTGTATTATACCATATGAACTACTCAAACTACATGATAGATTAGACTAGACCGCGACTGTACTATACTTGCATAGCATGCACGCATACCACTCTGTTCAAACTCTACTATACTCCAAGGACTAGAAGACCCAGAAAAGAAGAAGCGTCACTCTACTTTGACTAGAACTGCGAAATGGACTTTCGAGACTAGATAAACCAAGTCAACAGAGACAACAAGACGAGAACCCCATTCGCCGAAGAGAGAACAAAAGACGAGGACCGACTGTCCTTCAGTTCACTCATCCTAACCTTACCCTGTCTCTAGGCAACCGACCCGGCAAAAGCCGAACACATCAAACATGACATGAAAGAAAAAAGAAAATTGCGAAAAGAACACGAAACAGTCATAATGATAAGAAGATGGACACATGTAACTGAAGAAATGCGAGGTCATGTAGAAGAGCGTAGTCATAGCCTAAGACATGCCAAACAAGAAAATACTGCCACGCCATTTGAACTACTTTCCAAAAAACAAAGAAAAGAAAACGAAAGAGAAAGAGAAAGAAAATCAAAGAGAAGAAAAGATACTGAGGTTGGATTGCCCATAGGCCCTCTGGCGACAGCAGCAGTAACAAAAAAGACTCACAAGAATGATGATAAGAGATGGGGAGAAAGCAGAAAGAGAGATGAAGGATGAAGGATGGAGAAAAAAAGAAAAGAAAGCAGAATAAAAAAAGATGTGCAATTGGCAAAAAACACCACAGACACGCGAAAAAAGCCCCCAAAGATTCCGAGATAACAAGATAAACCGGCTACACAAACACCAGTCTCATAAGATTTCGACATGCTCCATTTCCTCAATTCCGTTGCGGTCCAAAATCCGCCTCCACAACCTTTCCCTTTTTCCCTTTAACCGTAAACTCCGCAAACAATGCGATATGGTCACTTGGGAAGTGATAGTTGGGGAACCCGGGCACTCGGCGGAGATACTCCTTGTCCACCTCTCCAAGTAGCGCCGACACGTGAAGCGTGTTCGACGTATACCAAATGTAATCCAGAATGGCCTTGAAATCGGGCGTGTAATTCGTAAAGCTCAACTCACCAATCGAGCCGTAGGCAGACTTCAACTTGAAAGGATGGGTCATACCCACCCGGCTGAGATTGCCGTAAAGACGTTTCTCCAGATCCGGGTGTTCTTCCGACAGCCCTCCGTGCGAAACAAGATTGTACGCAGCGGAGCCGGGTGAAGAGTTAAAGTCACCACACATGAAGAGCGGAATCTGTTCGCCGCTGGAGTATTCCACTGACGGAGCGGGTTCCGGTGGAGTGGCAGCCTCCTCCCCTTCCGCCTCGGAGAATCGGAAGGCAGCTTTGTCGGTGCATGCCGGCCACTTCGAGTACGTGTCGGAGAGCTTCGTGAGTTCCTCCATCAAGATGGCGGTCTGAATCAACTTGACATCCTTGAAGGCCGGATCCCAGTAAAGATGGGCATTGACGATGATGAAGCGGGAGCCCGTCAGTCGATTTTCCAAGAACAACACAACCGCAATGTGATCCTTCTGCCAGAGTCGGTTATAGATGTCATCCTGCCCTTTAGCGTCGGGTCGCCGTACAGCCGTTTGTCCGAAATTGATCATCTGCTTATCCAAAAGGATAAATTTGCTTCCCTTGAAAAATGTGGCACATCCATCGACCGACTTTGCTTCCTCTTCCTGCATTCCCATGGCTCGTCCTCGAGGCCAATACACGCCCTTATAATCGTTATACGCCAACTGCTCCCTGAAAAAGCCATTGTAACTGCCTTGGTCGACTTCTTGCAGGCAAACGATGTCCGAATCGTGTGACCTTAACTCGCTCAGGATAAGCTCCCTTCGGAACTCCCACGACAAAACACGAGACGGGGTATAGCCAAAATGGGACTGCGTCGCAGAGGAATCGCATAGGGCGTTGAGAGAGAGAACGGTGACTTTCTCTGTCGGATTGTTGGAGGAGTTGGCGGTCTCGTCGAGAATCACCCAGTCTCTGTCCGGAGGCGGGAGGTGAACTGTAGGCCCCACGTTAGCATTGTGGGGTGGAAATGAGTACATCTATCGATAAGCAAAACGAACCTGGCATTTCCTCTCTCAGATACTTGATCAAAGCCTTCGTACCCTCTTTCACAACCTGAGACTTCAGGACGTCGTTCAAGGGGTTACCTTCGATGCCCAGCGTATCCAGCCGGTAGAGATAGCCCATTTCGTACGGGAGCGTGCGAATGTGGTTGTCAAACAGAAGCAGCTTCTTCAGACTTGTCAGCATCCCAATCTCCTCGGGTAACTCGGTAAGATCATTGTGGGACAGATCCAAGTGCTCTAGTTTGCGCAGCTTTCCGATTGTCGAGGGAAGCACTTTCAGTTTATTGTGACCCAGGTACAGCTTCTCCAGGAAATCGTAACTGAACAGAGATGTAGACAGCGCACGCAATCCTTGCCCGCCAAAGTCGAGGGCACGCCAGCCCTGCTTCGGCGCCGACTTGGTCTTGGCCACCCCATTCCGGCCGTCGGCTCCGTTTTCCTGGGTTTCGGGTTGACTGGGGGCGATCTGAATGCCCTTTGCTTGCTGAGCGACCGCCCGAGCGTAGTAGTGCGGGGAGTTAGCCTGGCGGGACTCGGCAGCCAGCTGGAGCTGCTGCTGCCAGTGTTCGTTCATGGACTCATCGATATCGTCGTCAATGTTAGCGTGGGCCCCATTCTGGAGGTGGCCCGGGGTGAAATGTGGCGTAGCGGCAGCCAATGCCCCGCTGGAGAAGTTGTGCTGGTGATTGATGTTGTGGGAAGCTTGGTTGTGGTGCGTGTGGTGATGGGCTTGCTGAGCGGGGTGTGGATGGTGGCTCTGCGACTGGAACTTGGGAATCTGCATGCCAAACCGCTGGTGGGCCTGGCCGCCGTTCATCATCACATGCTGCCCTTGGTGAGTCTGCGTGTACATGGTGAAGGGGTTGAGGGCCGCCGCCTGTCCAATAGGGGGGGATCGAGAAGGAGAGGGGGCGTCCTGGTTGAATTTTAGTCTCCCAGTTGGAGAGTTGGTTCCGTTCCGAACTAGGTGCCGTTGGTGAGGTTGTTGCGCTTGGAAGAAGAACTGCCCGGCCCCAGGCTGCTGGAACCTGTAGGTACCATCTGCCATTTAACGTGGCAGACGAGACCGTGACTTGATGATTTGGCGAGGGGAGTCGGAGCCGGCGGAGGTGTGGGATGTCGGGCTCAGAGTGGTGGCAGGCGAGAGAGGAGTCGGGGATCGGATACGTTCTCTCCTTCTCTTCAACATGGGGTCCTGAGACGGAACCACCCTGGATGTGAGGCTTTCCCCGATACCACGGCAGCTGTCGACTGGGATAAACACGGGGCTGGATTGACCTCGGTGGTAGTCAAAGAGCCGGAGCGGAGGGGCGATCGGTGGTCGAACGATAGGGGCCGGCGTCGGACGAACGAGTCACAACAGCGGGCGACAGCGATCTGGCGAGAGACCGGCACGGGAGGTTAGAAGAAGAGCCGTTGAGAATTGATACCAGGCAGGCAGGAGAGACGCACAGAGAGGCTTTACAAAGGAGGCAGCAGAGAGGCCGGCGGCTGGTCGAGACGAAGGACTTGTCGCCTTGACGCTGTCGAAGTGGTTTGCATCGAAGGCGGGAGTCGCTCGGTCACGTGAGGTGGCATCCGCCCGCGTGATTCGCCGCCGATGACAAGCGCCAAGACCGGCTTCGAGTCGCTTTCATCGCGAATGCCTCTGAACTCCTCCGTGGGTTGGCCTGCCTGCGTCCCCTCCCTGGCCCGGATTGACAGGTCACCCTGATCCCTGGTGCCGACTATTGATTCAGCGCCCTTCCCTATGCCTCCCTCTTTCCACCCATTCGGACATCGCTCCCTCGAACGAGTACGAACGTGCCGGTGACAGGGGCTACGTAACTATCCCATGCCTCCTGGGTTCCATAATAGTAACTCATATAAGCTACGTTACGGGGTGGAACGGAGGCTCCTTGCATGTCCCTGCATAGTTGAACGATCACAGACAGGGTTTGCGTCAACAAACTAGGACTGCCGCAAATGATCCTGTGGCCATAATTGAAATGCTAGCAGGAGAGCAGGAGAACTAGCACCGACCTTGGCTTGGAGAACAATATATTTACATGTGGGGTAATAAGGGATCATGCCCGCAATAGAGCCTCCGAAAATAACTAGTATTTGATCCTCCATACTAGGTGGGTAGGTAGCAGAAGTATATTCACAGTCTATTTCGATAGATCATACTTGGGCGTGCTCTACCGATCGGGGCTACAGGGTTCTTTCTGCTACGGCGCTACCGAACCAATGGGTCCCGGCGATTGTGACAAGGTATGACCTGGATTTAGGGAAGGGGTTCAATTCCAATCTCCTCGATACTCCGTAAATAGTCAGGGGCTTGGGGGACCCCAAAGGACCACCGTATGAATTGCTTCCTCCCATGTATATCCACAGGCTGTATACCCCGTCAGATGAACCGGACGAGTGAACGCAATCGAAAGATGAATAATTCGGCAGGTGCCAAACCAAGGATCTTAGGTGCGCGGCCAAGAAAAGGAGAGCGACGGATTCCACGGGGTCGTGGTACGGGGTCGATCTGTGCTTTCAGGGTCCAGCCGACAAGACGGTATATCTACTGTTCAGTCAGAGATAAAATCTTGGATGGGAGATGATAGAGATCGCTCGCCACGTGACAATGCAATCAACGGCCTGAGACCAGCAATCCCAGAGACCCTGCCGAGACTCGTGAAACTTCATCTGGCTTACTCCGTACTCTTAAGGAACCGACGAGGTCGAAGCGCACCCGTAATGATCCTGGCCTCAGGCCAACCGGCGCACCCAGCACGTGCCCGGCAACCGGACCGCCACCCGAGATGGATTCCTGAAAACGCAGGCGGCGGGAATTGCAATTTCCATGGCTCAGGAGACTCGCCGCCTGTCATGATGTCAGCACTCTCAAGCTGGACTTTCGATGGACACTAATTCAAATCCAGATCCATCGCCTCATTTATTAATTATTTCCATTGTTCACCCTGGTTCAATTGTTCCCCCCTTCGCCCTCGATCTAAAGTCTCCGGTCAACGATAGCCCGGCCGCTATCAAAGTCTGTACCTACGTTAGCCTGGCCAACCGGGACCGTTGGTTGGGCCTTGGGTCGCCATAATTTTCATCCTGGGCAGAACGAGCGATCGGAATAGGTAACCCGTCCGCGCTGCTGGGTTCCACTCTTCGGCAACGCCCTTGGACGGCTTTGGGGCAATTTTTCTGGTCCTTGGGGACCTGCGCTGGCCCTCAAATCCCGACCTCAGGTAGCCAGACTGCCAGTACACTGGGAACTGGAAACTTAAACAGGCGGGAAAAAAAAAGAAGAAGAAAAATCCAGCAAAACGTTGGCGTCGTATTCGGTGCAACACCCGCCATGCGAAACCGTCAGGATACTAGTCCTCGTTCTTGGGGACCAGTCTAGGGCTAGGGAGCTGAAACAACCTCAGATAAAGGCTTGTGTTCGAGTCTCGCTTTTCTCCGCCTGTAAAATAGACAGTCCTAGTCCGTCGGAGTCGCGGCAGTCACGGAGTATATGTACGTATTATGTAGGTACCTAGTATGTATGCACCCTGCAGAGGACTTTGCAGGCTGTCGTCAGTGCTGGAGGCCAGGTTGTACGGCGTAAACTTTTCAGGGCTGAAATCCGTGGCGACTGTTGGCTTATTTCGCAGGATCCCATCCCCGAAGTCGAGGTGTAATAATGAGGGTAGTGTCGACGGTGGAGTTGGTGGTCTAGGGGGGACTTGGCCAAGGTTCCTGTCACGATATCCGTTTTTTTTTTTTTTTTTTTTTTTTTTTTGCCCCCTCCCTCGTCCATTATTCAATTCATTCCATTCCCTGCATGGGTCAAGTCTCTCTCATCCACAAGTGTCCAGAACGAACTTGTTTCCTTCGGCCACCCTCCCCACAACTCTAATTTTCTCTTCTTGATTTTACGGCCGTCCTTTCTGAGTTTTTGGGTCATGCCTCTACAATGCTCATATTAATCTAATCTTTTTCGCCCGCTCCCCGATACCCCTCGACACCCGCCTACACTTGGTTTCGTCTCCCCCCCTTCTTGAACCCGTGTTGCACGAGAATGCGTCTCAACCATTGCTTGCTGAACCACTCGAACACTTGATCGATGAAAACGGTGATCGTGTTTCGGTCATGGACATGATGTCGGCCAGCACTGCGGCGTTCGCTGCACCGGCAGCCACCTCCGGCTCCGACCTGCATTCTACCACCAGCTCGACTGCCCCTACCTGGGGGGCCGCGACGTCCACCTCATCCCTTACCTCCCTCCACGACTACTCCAACTACCCTCTCATCCGTCAGGGCGATCGCACGTACCTCCGAGACCCCGACAGTATATATCCCTTGCCATGCGATCTGCCCGAACTCCATCGTCAGACCTTGCGCTCCCTGATGCTGATGCGCGTCTTTGGCGGTCCCTTTTGCACTCCCTACCCGGCAGACGGGCCTCCAAAGCGCATTCTGGAGATTGCCTGCGGCTCGGGTCTATGGTCCAGTCTCTGTCATGACTACTTTGCCCGGCGCGGCCATCGTAGTGTCTCCTTCCACGGGCTGGACTTGGTTTCCGTTGCGCCCGATCTGCGCAAACAGGGCGTAAACTGGCAGTTCAAGCGACATGACTTACGCAAACCCTGTTTGCCCTTTCCCGACGGGTACTTCGATTTTGTCTTCATCAAAGACGCGGGAATGTGTCCTTCCAGTCCGGCCCAGCAGGCGTCTGGCTTAAGCGAGCCGTTGCGCGTTCTGAAATCGGGCGGAATCCTGGAAGTTTGGGACTCCGATTGGGTGTTCCGATCGTTGCTTCCCAATCCTGCGCCCGCTCGCAAATTGGCCTCGAGAGAACAGGAAATCGCGGATGCGACCGCGACGTACACTTTTTCGTCCGCGACTCCCTTTACGAAAGTCCAGAACAAATTTCTGCAGGATTACAATTCCTGGGTCGAGAAGGCCTTTGACCGTCGCAAACTTACTGCGCTGCCGTGTGCGACCATCGGCCTATCATTCAACTCCGAGATCGACGTGCTAGAAAACATTGACAGCCGTCGCATTGCGATCCCGCTGGGCGAGCTGCGGTGGGAACGAGAAGGACAAGGCAAGGGCACGCGCAAACAGCTGACCGCGGACCAGCTATCCATCCGACGCACGGCGCTTTTGACGGTGATCCAAATGATCGAAGGCATGGAGCCCATGCTGATGGAGGCCAGCGGGAAGAGTAGAGACGAATGGGACCGATGGTGGACCGCCATGATGGCAGATGTGTTCCAGAAAGGGGGCCTTGCCAACGGAGAATGCCTGGAAGTGAGCGCCTGGTGGGGTCGAAAGAAATGAAAGCCATCCAGCTAGGACAGAATTTTGAACATTGCTCGAAAAAAAATCGATTTTTTCGCGTGGACGAGGAAAAGGAAAGCAAACTGCATAATAAGTGCAGGGCCAGTGACCATTGCTCAGTTCATATTGGTGATACCCCAACTTTATTTTTTTCTTTTTTCGTTTCTCTTCTTTTTGGTCTTTTCACATGTATATTCTTCATTGGTTCATTATTATTTCTTGTTATGTCAACGCTTGATGCCCAACAGCATAACTGGCCCTATCTGTTTTCATAGCGCTGTTTCAACGTGCGATATCGCTTTAAATAATACCTGGTTGCTTTTTGTTAGTACCGTGGCTCAGGAAATGATATGGTCTTGGATGACAGCTGCATGGTAGATGATATGACGGATAATAGAATTAGATTTTCATCCTGTCATGCTCTCCAAACCAACGCAGTGCATGTGTGGATAGTAGGCATGTTTTTAATTGGGTCGCATCCAGCAGGTTGTTGAAACAAACAGACCCAAAACAAGAACAGAGACAAAACTTACAATGCCTCAACTTCTGTAGCGCAAAGGGAGTCAGCCACGATTCCTCTTGGTTTTGAATATGACGAAACAAAGGCCAGTGACGGAGTAGATCCAACATACCCTTCTTGACAAACTCCGCCCTCGCTATCCCCTTCCGTATCTGCTCCTCGTCATCCAGATGCGACTGGGACGCAAATGCCCGGTGCAGTCGGTCCCTGAAATAACCGTATCCAAGGGGGTAGTTACGCCCGAGGAAAAGAAGCTCTAACATAGAGGATCAGTTTCAATTTCATTTTTGTTTGTGCTCTACTGTAGCTCCAGAATCGGGTGCCGGCATTCCGGCGGGCCAGCCGGTCGAAAGACATGCAGGCACTCACCTTTGTAGATGTTGATTACCTGCCGACGCAGCTCGAGGTTCGTCATGTTCGATCCATGCGGGGGGGTCCTCGTGAGAGATGTAGGAAGACAGGAAGTTGGGGAAGCGGAGAGACGAGAGGTTGAGACTTGGCCCGGAGATAATTCTCGGTGACGTCTTCGCTTGTTTGATGCCAAGAATAGAAACCCAGCCGGACGGCCATTGTTTGCTTCTCGCGTTTGCTGGCTTTGGCATGGTTGGTTCTTCTTCTGTTAAATATGGGGGTTATTACTGCAATTGACCACTAGCTGGTGCTTGAGTCCTTGAGAGAATGATGGTTCTACATAATAAATGTGTTTACGAAGTACACAGCTCGGCTTCTAGATTGCATATAGTTGTGACTATGCAGCGCAGGAGACCTAGCAGTTCAACACATTAGCCTGCATTTCCCGGGGATTGAATGGCTAATATTTGTTTCTATGAAGTGTACTGTCATATTTTAATACAATCCTACAGTGAACCGGAGTAGGCATTTTCGCTTCCAACCCCGAGTGACACTTGAAGCGCGCCCTGCGGAGAGCTCGAGTGGGGTTGAGTAACCGACGGGGAAAAGGCCGAGGCTAGGCGCAATGGGGTAGACCGCGAATTGCTTCAAGGACCAGCCCAGCCCCTTGTCAACACAACTACACTCCACGCAACGACAATGATAACGATGAGCACCTTACCCAGGCAGCGCCTAACTATCCTTCCCTTTCAAGGCTCAATTCGCCTTACCCGCTTCCTATCGACCTCCCCTGTCCTCCAAGATGCCCGTCACTCCGATCCGAAGACACCGCGGAAACCCCACGACATCGATCCCCGGTGGCTGACTACAACCAAGCGACGAATTGGGAAATGTATGATGTTTGGGCTGAAGCCGCTGCAGATCCAGGAAGCAGGGAATATACTAGAACAAATCGCGAGGGATTGGCGGGAGTTAATTGCCGGCAGCGAGGGTTATCTGACCGATGCGACGCGGAGGGGGTTGTTCAGACAAAATGTCGCTTGGGGGGAGATGGTAGGGCGCATCAGATATTTCCTTGTTAGATTAATAAGCGCTAATATGGGGAATATCGTGTTTGGATATAGGATACTATGGTAAGGACGGGCAAATCGACCCCCTGTGTTCGTTTGGTCAATGGACTAACATCTGAATAGGGTACATGCGCCCCCTTTCTTCTGACTTCTGAATTCCAGCTCCTGAACGAACCCATTTGGTCTAGACGACTCCGTTGACCTATTCTAGGCCATGTAAACAATGTCACCTATGTCCGATATGCCGAAACGGCGCGAGTATACTTCACCCGCAACTACGCGCTCCACATTGATCCTGCCCACAAGAAGGAGTGGATGAACCTCGTCAGCTCACGCGGGATCGGGCTCATCCTGCGTAGTATCAAAATCGACTACAAATTTGTATGCTTGCCCGCATGATCATACGCCCGGCTACATCCAACGATGCTTGCTAACTGGCCATCTCTTGCCCTAGCCCATGACCTATCCCGACCAGGTAACGGTCTACCATAAACTGGCGCATGACCCCGAATCACCGCATTCCGCTCAGCATGCGTTCTTCCTGCAAGCCATCATTCTCTCGGAGTCTCGCCAGCGACCCGCTGCTCGGATCCATGAGGACATAGTCACGTACGATTATAAGCTGGGGAAGAAGACAGCGTTGCCGCCGTTCTTGATGGAGCAGTTCAAGTCCACGTGGGAACTTCAAGAGCAGGCTAAGAAGTTCTGGCGAGAACGCATACTAGAAATCGAGGATCGGGTTCGGACGCTGGAAGTCGAAAGCTGGGATAGGGAGGACGCTGTGGAGGATACGGGGTCGGCGAAGCAATAGAGAGAACAAGGCTTGGTTGGTGGCTTGTTATCAGGTGGGTTTATACTTGATAGGTATGCACAGACTTGAGCGATCTTATTTTCTCGACGTCTTTATATCATATGATCACTCTTCATGACAATATGCACCCCTATTGTCCATCCCTTGGTAAACGGCCGCGTCTATCTTGATCATGAGGAACACCTTCCCCGGTCACACACCCCACAGATGATCATGTATTCTATAGAGTGCCTGCTCTCTCTCCCTCCCTTACATCATTCAAAATGTACGCAAGGAGAACGACTATGCATGTTCTCCAAACTTAAGATAATCAAATCACCGTTCTCAACTTTGTTGAATGCAGTGTGACCTACGGAGTCCTGTGTGTCGGTAAGGTGTCGCCCATCGTGCCCTTGCATTGAAGCAATTATACCGTTGGAAGGGATTGAAGGGTTCCATTCATCATTATGTTTAGCATGGAATATTTCAACAGATTCAGCAATTTCGTAAATGAGGGGTACAGGCGGGAACGAAACTCCTAGGAACCTCTAAAGATGCAGTGCCAGGATATACATCCTGGACGCTATGGGCCTGAGGCGGTCCGTCGTGGAAACTACAAAACATATACCCAGCACTACATCCTCCATCATAGGTACTCCGTGGTAGGTAGCAGGACCCTACACACCGAAGTCCAGCAGAATGATATACCCCCAGAAACATACCCGATCTCGTCCACGTTGGGCTGATCTCATTATCACGTCCGGAGGATGTTCCAACTGTGGCGGTCTTCCCTCCGAGCCAAGAAAAGCTTGCTCGCCAAGTGGCCCTCGTCAGGCCATCGGTATTGGACGAGCAAAAAGGCATCGCTCCCAATCGCTACCCTGCGATGCAGATCTCGCCCGGGTCTAAGAGGCCCGGTGGCTGCGCGGGCGGGATTCTCGTTGGGTAATAGAAAATCGTAATCGATTTGGCGAAGCAACGGTGAGAGGTAATGGAATTGGGTAAGGGGAAATCTCTTCCTTATGACTCACAGAGTTTGAAGATCTTAAGGACTGGGATGCTTCAATGTGTTGTACAATATGATTGTTCCAGGGGGGCCGAGGACCGTCGGCTGTGTTACCTAGTAGAACGTAGCAAATAGCAATAACCAGGTACTTGATACTTATATCATATATAGTTATACGACGTATAATAGTTCCGTCCGGACCGTCCAAGCTCTGGTGGGCGGGTTGAACCGTTGAAAAGCCAGCTCCAAGGAGCCTAGCAAAATAAACAGGTCAAGCATCAGAGACTTCACGGGGAGAGGACCAGGTCCAGTCCTGCCTTCAGAATTTTAAGACTCCATAATTCCCACCGGACCCCGTCTGGAAGCCGAGGAAGACCCTTCTAGCCCGTGCCCGTCGCCTGATTGGCCCGCGAGAGTACCTGCCCAGGCGATTTCTGGTGCAGATATTTCTTAGTCTGATGAAACATTATATTTAGTACAGGCTGAATCAAGCAAACTCCGTAGTCCATATTCACGCAGGTAAGTTGGTGGCACGGATGTTCGTCCAGCAGCGTCTCGCAATCAGGCATCAACCACCCTGTGCCAAGCGGACCTAGTATCCCAGCGTGAGTCGGAACCAGGGTTCGTTGGTCCTTCGCAAAGTAACCTGAGCGAAATGATCGACCGTTTAAAAATCTAGTGCCGAAAGTCAAAACCAGAGCGACGAAAAAAAAAAAAAAAGAAAAAATACTTGCTAGGGGCTGGGTTAATCGGGAGCGCCATCCGTGGATCCGCCCAGTTAGTCGCCATCCTTGCCAGGCAGCGTCAGTCTGCAGTCGTCAGCCACTCGACCACTTCTGCCAGTACATCTCCTGCTCCTCCATACGAAGCAGATCAATGAGCGGTCGACGCATAGCAAAGCCACTATCATCTGACAAAGAATTGCGGGGCATCGCCAGCTCGCCCAGGTCGACCACCGCAGCGTCTTCCTTCGTTCCCACGAGTCGCCCAATTAAGGGTGGAAATGGTAGATCGTCATTGCCTTGGTTCTCAGCCTAGTGCACCCAAGGCTGGCGAACAAACAATCATTCGTTTTCCCTCCATCTGACATGCTGCAGGCGCGGCTCGTAACAACGCCATCATTGTGCCAGATTGACCTGGACTGACAGGGAGAGCCTTCTTTCTTTTCTTTTCGCACCGACGGTGAGGAAGGTACGGAGAAAGAATGATGGAGGGACAGCGATGATGACGATGACGATGCTATAGTGGAGACTCCCCGACCGTAAGGTAAGATACCCCGTCAGAGCTGTATCTTACATACCATACCGTACGTAATATCTTACGGGCATTCTTCGTGAAATCGAGCTTGCAGTCACAAACAACCGTTTCCCCCAGGCTGCTGGAATGAAGATCCAAGGGGGTATCTTATCTCGACTGCTCTGTCATCTCTTTCATTGGCTGGGCATTTCCATCCCTTGGCTGTCTACTTCCTCACGGAGTACCTAGGTCCTCTCTTCTTGAGCAAGTAATTGAGGAGGCATCCAAGCCGAAGTCGCGTTATGCCTCTCCAGCCTCGACCCTGGGAATGGATCTCAATCATCGGTCCCAAATTCAAGCCAAAATTGACTGAACCCTAATAACGGCGGGAGAAGCCGCGCTCCACGAATCATCCCTGTCCATGCAACGACAGTCGGGCATCTTCTCCAGTCTGAATCCTCCGTCGGCCCATACTGCAAGTTAGCCGAGCATGTGAACCCCGGCGTATAATGGCTGGGATATGGACCTTCCCGGCTTCATCTCTTTCTATCTCTCTATCTTCCTGATTCTCTAATGTCCCGTCTCTCGATCGGTCTAACAGATTGTCAGCCATCTCGACCATATCTCTGGACCCACCCATCATGACTCGATGATCCAAGCTACCAAGCCGCACGACTAATCCGCTATGCCACCATAACCTTTATCAGAATAAGGCTACCCGTGACACCTCCCCAACTGATTGTCGCAATTCTCTCTGGGATTAGAACAAACCCCGCAGAGACGGCCCATGAAGGACGAGATCGTCGGATCGTCCGTCCTAGATTGGCTCTAAATCACCTAAGACGCTGGATAGAACACCCCCAGGCATCAGGTGGACAGATTAGAGTGAAAACAGCCTAGAAGGTGTGCGAGAGAGGGGAGAGAGGGGCAACGATGGAGATAACAAAAGAGATTTTGATGATTGCTTGGCCTATCAAGGGCTGTACACGTAGCATTGACTAACCCATGTGTCCTAGCCCAGCGACCATCCGAGCATCACACTCAGCGAGACGGATACGTGAGGGTGGCAGGGGCCCTAGTTGATACTGATAGTAGATTGACAATTGGAAGGGAATCACGATATAATGCTTTATGCCACCGACATATGGGCACGAGGTCACGATGACATACGATTGATGGAATATCATCGAGACTAGCGGGATGAGTTTTGGTCATGTTTTACCCATGCACTTGCAGCTGCGTTGTCGGACGATCAACTTTGCTGTGCAGAAAGACGCATGGCGTAAGCTCCCGTCCATATTGTCCGGCGATGGAGTCGATACCCGAAGTGCTGCTAGGTGTGGTATATACTGCCCTGGGTAGATAGCTACCTCCAGCGATACCCCCATAAAAGGTGGTACCTGGTACCTACGGAATACTCCCGTCGGGAGTAAGTAGAAAATGCTATAGATCACATTTCAGATAAACAAGGCGCATGATAGGTGACATTGAAACAAGGAAGTACCTGGGTAGGATCAAATACGGAGGCGTCCCCTTCCACATCCATTATCCACTCTTGAATCACCGGCGTCCCTGGGCTGGTCCAGTCTCAATAATCGATCTGTCCAAAAATAAACCGTCCCCGGCCAACCGGAATCGGGCGTTTGGCATGTTCTGCGCGTAACTTACCGTCCGCCCAGACGTCCATACATACGAATACGAACGCAGCCTGAGGCCGCCATCGCAGCCTGGCAGCCTGAAGGGAGTTTTCCGCCCCGAAATGAATAAACTGATTTTCGAAGAATTCGATCCCAAGACAAGCCGACCAAACCTCATTCGATTTCCCTCTTTTTCCTCCCCGCCACACCCTCTCGCTCTCTTTGCCGCATCTTCAATCCCCCGGTCTCTTTTTTTTTTCCCCTTCCTTCCTTTTTTTTTTTTTTTTTTTCTTTTTCCTTTTCGTTACTTGCCTTTTTGGTTATTTTGCTTTACCCATTTTCCTCTCTTCCGCCTTTAGACCCCTCCTGTCATTCCTTTTCCCTTCCACACACTTTTCTTAGATCATCCTTTTGCTCTCCTCTCTTGCCTATCATCGCCTTCCCATTCTCCCACCCCCCTCTCCTCCGCCTCCCTCCGACCCCCTCCTTAACCTTTTTTCTTTTCTTTTTCTGACGCTGTCTCCGTCTTCACTTTCCCGCCTGGTCCAAGTCCTTGGCTACCCTCCGCCAAGCTGACTCGGACCTGGGTGATAGGCTCCCTTGTCCATGCCACGTTCATCGGCTACGGCTAGGAAGAGTCACAGCAATCGGCATGAGAACGGCGTCGTCGCCTCCGGAAAGAAAGTGAACAAGCAGAAATCCAATGGGCATCTAAACGGCAACGCTACCGGTGGCTCTGCATCCAGCTCTGGCCCTTCCTCCCAAGTCGACTGGCCCGCGTCTCGTTCCTCCAGCGACTCGGCGATCACTACCACGGTAGCGGCGGCATCCAAAGCCAACGGAACGACCGATTGCTCGAAGACGGACGGGACCGGACGAGGTCAGCTGAATGGATACGCCAAGGGCAACGCGGACATGTCGTATGGGCAGACAAACGGTGCGGTGCCGCAGAATGGCGGGCTCGCAGGGCAAGGGTCGCGACGCGCGGAAAAGTCGGTGCCGGGTTCCAAGAGGTCCAACTCGACTGCGTCCATCAATCCCCTGCAGCTGGCGTCGACCATCCTCAAGTCGTGTCCCATGTACGACACCATCGCCATTCTCATCTTCCTCCTCCAGCTGCCGCCCATGGTGCTCACCCTCGTTCAATTCCTGTTCGCTTCCTTGACCTTCATGCCTCCCGGTGGCGCCTCGGCCGGCTCCTTGTCGTCCAACTTTGATATCTTTCAGGGTCCGGCCGGTACGCCCTCTCTCGGGACAATGATTGCGATGGATGGGTTTTTCTTGCTTTTTTGGGGCCTGTTCATGTGGTCCTGGGCGCAGAATTTTGCCCTCGACTTGGCCCATGTCCAGGTGGCCATCACGCTCGGAGGAGGAGGTTCTGGAAAGAATGGAGGAGTGAATGCTATTTGTGTTGGCATTGTTCTTATTTTGCATCTGATTCGCAGTAAAGGTATACAGGATTTTGTGCTGGGTCACCTGCTCTCCGCCAAAATCATCAGTCCCGATCTACTATCGCAGTATTCCCATCTTATGCCCCCGGAGTTTCGGCGCACCGATACGCAGTCGTCTCCCAGCTGGATACGGAGTTTGCTTGCCGTCCATATTCTGGCGCAAGCCGGCACCGCTATGGCAAGACGCTCGATGGCCAAGAACCGTTCTCCCGCCCCCTCTCGAACCGGCAAACGTGTCGATACCGAGGCCTCTGCCGGCTCGCAGACAATCGATTCGGCATTCGAGTCGGGGGCGAGCATGTCTTCCTATATCGGTGCCGACGGGCAACTCGTGACTCCGGCAACGAACAAGGATGGTAGGGATCGATTGATTTCGGCAAAGAAACGCAGGCGACAGGCAAACCAGGTTCGGAGTCGCCAGCCCTTCTGGGCGGCACTTGCGAGTACAAAGGTAACGGTTATGAGAGAATACGAACACTCTAGGGCCTTGTCCAAGAATGCCCGCGGTCTTACAATGACCGAGGACGATCTACAGGGCGTTTCCCTGGACGACGGACTCGTGTGGATTACGGAGGTCGACAGTTCTACGATCAAGTTCGCGGCGGGCGATTTTGCCTCCCTGGAAGACTCCGGCGCTTCCGGGGCGTGCGAAGCTGGACGGCTTGGGGATGAGGAGATGGAACCGTTTTACGTTTGTGTCAACGGCGCTCTTTGGGCCACTGTCACGATCTGTAAAGTCCAGGATGCGTCGAAGGGGTCTAGTGCAGTGCATTGGCGGGGTGAGGTCTCCGGCCTCGCGCCCAATTGTGCCTACACTTGCTCCTTCGCGCGAAGCGATACGGACGAAGAGATCTGTGTCATGAGCGTTAAGACTCCCGTCGCCAATGACGCAGAACAAGGTAAGTTGAATATGACCGCCCCCTCGCATTGAGACCAAGGAACATGTCTGATCTTTGGACGCAAGTAGTTTCATCGGTCTCCACCCCGCCGCAGCCATCCTATCGACCCTCGTCTCCCACCACGACGCTGAAGAATTCCATCGTCAATGCCGAGTCCAAACTGAACGAAAAGCGTGCTCGGTTAAGAAAGGCCAAAAACGACCATAAATTGGTCATTTCCAAGATCAAGAAAGAGCTGGACAACTACAACCATCGACTTCAAAGCGGAACGGATGAGAATCGGCAGAAACAGCGCTCGCTGCAACTGGAAAGGAACATCAAGCAAACGGAAGAGGCGACTGCTGCCCTGGATGGTCAATTGGACACTTTGGAGAATATTCCTGAGGAGGAGTATGAGGAATGGAAGGCACAGAAGGCCAAATACGAGCACGAGCTTGAGCTTCTGAAGCAGGCGAAGGAGGATCTGGTTACCGCGCGATCCACCGTCGCTCGTGATGTGTCTGCGCTGGAGTCCGATTTGAATTCTACGATCCAGCGACGGGAACGTCTCCAGGGTCGTCGCACTCGTGTCAACGAACAGTACGAGCGCATCGTCTCAGCCAATGCACAGGGTCTCAACGAGAGGGAGCGCCGCGCGGCGGAGCAGTTCGCCCGAGAACAGGACCAGGCGAAGCTGGAGGCCAACTTCAACGAGCAGTTCACGAGTATCACCCAGTCTGTGCAGGAATACCAGCTGCGCACCAACCAGCTCTGGCAGCAATCGGCGACCATTGAGCAAGCCATCCAGCAACAGCAGCAGCAGATGCTCATGGACTCGGCCCCGCTCACTCCTGAGGGCAACTTGCCAGGCACCAATCCGCTCGGCGAGGCGACCAGCCTGTCCTCGGTGGCTCCCCTGACGACCACGGCTCCCCACACTCGATCGCTCCTTGGGCTCAGCTTTCCCGCGCTCAAGTCCAGTCCGCTGCAGCACGCGTCGTCTCCTCTGGGCGCTTCCACGTCCCATCCGACCAGCCCGACTCAGGCCCCGTCGTACCTGCAACCCTTTTCGACATCCCCGCTTGGGCACAACGGCAACAACTCCCCCTTCGAATCAGACTATATCTACCGCGACCGCTCGTTCTCCAACCGGTCCGGCAGCAGTCTCTTCGGCTCCGACTTCATGGATTCGAACCGCCGTGCCCCGTTTCAGCTCGACCTGTCCGACATCGCCACCGAGAAGCGGAACAGCTCCGGATCCGAGAGCGCCGGCCCCAATCTAGGCATCCGACCCATCTCGAGTCCCTTCCAGCGGGCAGTGAGCCGTACCAGCGGCAGCGGCAGCGGTAGCGGCGCGAGTGGTAGCGCGGGTGGCAGTCCCAGCTCGACCAGTGGGAGAGGCAACTAGATGATGTCTTCCAGGAAAGCAAAGACAAAAGACGAGGAGAAGAAACGAAAAGAAAAACAAAAAAAAAAGTGTTCGATTGATGCCGGTGGTCTGTATCTTGTAGTAGTTGAGTTGCGTTGTGGTGTGGTTTGATGTTGGCCTTGTCGATTCTCATCATATATGGCGATGGATTCTTGGTTACTGGGGGCCGCGAGGCTTCGTCCTGGTTTTCTTCTTCGCCTGCGATACATACTGCGGTCAATATATTCTTTTTGTCCTTGTAGATTTATCCGTACGGGTTCTTTGTAGCTTCTAGACATGCTCGTAGCCGGGAATGGATCATGACGGATTCTGAAGGGTTTTAATCTTGTTCTTATATTTATCCATATCCTTCCTTGTGTTCTATCTATATACAATCCAACCGACCAGCTCAGGAAAATAGATAAGTAATAAGTAGTGCCCAGCCAGTCCTCTCTATCCCAACCTAATCTATCAAACATCAAATCAACATAATACACGCAGCTCTTCCAGAGCCAGGATGCAAGCCCAGGTAAGTATCATTCAACACAGAATACCCCCAGGACGAAAGAAAAGGGCGACCAAAAGGAAGAATCGATCAAATCTCCTCCCCCATCTTCCAGAAATGCGTATTCGCATACGTCAGACACAGATCATCCGCGGAAGCGGTCTGCGCCTCGGAGCCGCCAGAGCAGCTGGTCGAGGACAGCGCGCGAACGACAGTCCCCACGACAATCGTGTGGTCAGCGACGGTGACATTCTGCGGATGCAGCAGACACTCGAAGATGAAGGGGAAGGCGGGCGGGGAATGCGAGTTCGTCGTCTTCTGCCGGAGTAGCGGGAGCGGTCGAGGCTCGCTGGTCTCTGCTCTGGACGCCCCGGACCCGTCTGTGGAGGTAGTAGGCGTGTGCGGGACGAATTCAAAGTCGCTCTCCCCGCTGACGAGGGACAGGTTGTGGTTTCCGCGCGAGAAGTCCCGCGCCAGAGACGCGGGGGCTGCGTCGGCCGCTAGCAGGTGGATCAGGAAGCGGCCGGAGGACTGCAGGGCGGCGAGGGTCTCGGAGGGGTGGCGCACGTTGAACGAGACGACGGGGTCTGGGTGTAGCGTGACGGTGTTGAAGGAGGAGACGGTCATGCCGCGGAAGGCGCGCGGGGAGTTGGGCCCGGAGGGGTCGGTGGAGGTGATGATGGCCACAGGGTAGGGGACGCGGCGCATGAGAAGGCGGACTTGATCGGGGAGGGAGAGAGAAGGGGGTTCGGTGTTTGCGGAGGGCTGGTTATTGCCATTGCTGTGGCGGCTGCTGCTGAAGCATCTGGTGGATGTGCGGGAGCCGGTGACGTCGGAGAAGACGGTTCGGCGGAGGGAACATCGCGGGAGATGGCAGGAGAATTGGGTGGCGGAGGTATATGTACATCGAAAACCTGCACTATATATGAGCATCATATCCTATCAAACAGGTGCTTCAGGAAGATACATACCTGACGGGTCCGCAATCCGGCCTGCAAGTCGCGGCGAAGGGAGGAGTTTCATAGCGCAGAGCCGGGGAAGAGCTGCAAGGCTCAAGGAACGACAGGACGAGCAACGAGGAAAGAATCACACAAAAAGAAAGTCGGTCGGATCGGTCCGGCAGTCACCATCCTGGGATTCTCGGAGGAGGGCGTCAATTGCAGACCATTCTGGCCAGAAATGGGTTTTTTCTCGATGAAGCCGTTTCGATAATTCGACGAAGGAAATGCCGGTGCTGACTAAAGCCCGCTACGACCAAATTTCTCCGCCGAAAAGAAGCCCTGCGGTTTGCATCCGACCAGCAGCTGTCCTGCCATTGCCAATTCCTCTCCTTCTTGCCCAGCCTCGCTTCTACATCTGTCCTCCCCTCGCGAGAAGCGGCTCTCCCGCCAAAGAAACAGAAACATACAAAATGTCCCTCGCATCCTCCCTCCTCCGCACTGGAGGCACCACCGCCCGATTGACCAACAGCACGCCCTCCACCACCTTCATCTGCTCGCAATGCCGACACGCGACGCTGCTGCGCCGACCTAAGAACCCCTACACATTCACGCAGCTGATCACGCTATCAGACGGCAGCACGTTCACGCACCGCACCACCTCCCCGGCCCCCGTGTACCGATCCACCCGCGACACGCGCAACTCGCTGCTCTGGAACCCGTCGTCCAGCAAGCTGATGAACGTCGAGGACGACGAGGCCGGGCGGTTGGCCGCTTTCCGAGCCCGGTTCGGTCGCAGCTGGGACGCAAACACCCCCGTCGAGGGCGAGGAGTTGAGCAAAGAGGAGGCCGCGGCGGAGGCGGCCGCGGCGCAGGAAGAGGAGGATAATCTGTTGGATTTGATCAGTTCGTTCGGGCAAGCTCCTGAGGAGCAGGGGGGAAAGAAGAAGAAGGATTAGATGGTGTTGATTGAGTAGGATTTGCATAGGGTTCAGATGAGGGAGTATCCATTGTTATGCATGGGCCTGGATTGATTTCTTGCTGCTCCCGTTGTATTATAGGCTGGGGTTTTCTGTTTTTTTCTTTTCGATTTGTTCTTGTCAAGATATGCCCAATACTACTACTGTACAGATCTCTGAGATACCTATGAAAATGGGTTCGTCGACAGAATATTCATATCAGAACATCACCGTCGAGTCCTACTGCTTACATTGTATGAATCGGGTAAACATTGACAGACGTCAGATTATTCCAGGCTATTGATATCATACTATGCTAAGCAATATTCCGACAGCATGATTGCATTACACACTGGCCATAACTTCGATTAAAAACAAATCGTGCGCCTCACCATGCACTGTATACTGACGGGCATTGTGGTTTGAGCAGGACACGGGAATTGGGAGCAGGGAATGGAGGGCGGGTCGTGGGATGTTCTTTTATACAGGTCGAGAAAAGATTTCACAGCAGAGGCCCAGATACCTAATCTTGTTCCTCTGCTGTGACCGGAGGAGCTGCCTCGGGGTTTCCTTCTGCTGGGAGCTCGACCGGAGCAGATGCAGCCCCGTAGAAAGGAATGCCCTCTTCGCCCGCATCCAGTTGTAAAAGGAATGTTTCCCAAAGCTCGATCAACTGCACGATGTATTAGCAACCGCAGGGGTATCGATCAACAAATCAAGAGCACAACGGCTTACCTCCTTCTGCGCCTCCACGGCACTCTCGAGGAAGGTCTCGACTCCGGACTTGAAATCCTCCACCTTCTCTTTCTCGAACCTCTGCAGCTCGTTGCGCATCAATCGCCCCATGTCTTCGAACAGCAGACGGGCCTGGTGAACCTTCCGTTCCGCATCGGCCACGTCGGCATTGACTTGATTCAGGCGGTCCTGCTGCGTTTTCCCTTGTCGGAGAAGCTTCTCCTGGGTGTTCTTGCGCTTCTGCATCTCCGACTCGGCGGCATGCCAGCTGTGGAACGCCTTCTGTCGCTGCGAGAAAGCAGTTTTGATGCTACCGATCAAGCGGAGATACTCATCGATGGTGATGCCCAGGGTCAGGACGTCTTGTTGCGCCTGGCGCTCATACAGCTCTCGAATGCGCAGCTGAAGAACCGAGAGCCCATCGAGGGGGCTAGACAGGGCAGGAGACAGCTCGACAGAGGCCAACGCCTGAAGTGAAGCCGAAAAGTCTCCGGCGGCTTCTGCCAGTCCCTTCCGTTGGGCAGCCACCGTGTCGATGGCCTTCATCAGAGCCTTGAGTTGGTTTTCCAAGGCATCCAGATAGATCTTACGGTCATGGAACCACTGCAATTCCGGTTAGCATACGGTTGACCATTCCCGCCCCTTGTTCCGAGAAGAGCCTACATCGTCGTGTTCGACAAACTTTCCACCGCCTCCAACACTGATACCAAACGAGCTGAACATGCCCTTGCTCTGACCGAGATCCGGCTCTCTATTCTCCTTGTTCTTCACATCCAGAGTGAAACTTTCACTTTCCAAAAAGATCTTGAGATCTCCATCGTGCTGGAGGATCGGGTGTGCGGCGATCTTGTTCAGCATTCGTTCCAGGGCAGCTCTTCTCGACTCGACAAAGTTGGTGTCAAACCGACCCACCGCCTGCTTCTCAGGAGGAGGAGGAACGACGACGCCGGGGTTGTTATTATGCATTGAGTTGTAGAGCCATAGGAAGTCGCGGTATCGACGGCTGACAGTAAACTCCGGCTGGCGATACGCTTTGGACGTAGTCTTTGGGCCGATGTCAGCGTGGACATGCGTCATTCGGGCGGCACAGTCGCTTACCTTGGTTCTGACCTGATACACAATGTGACTGCTGGTCAAATCGCCGACCTTGTGCGGGTCTCCAACGGTGATATCGAAAGTTGGGTGGGCGGCCTTCTCGACACTGATACTGGGTTCCGCCTGTCTTTTCGAGCTGTCCGCTTCACTGGGGGGTTGCACCGGTGGGGGACCCCGGAACGCCGAGCCGTCTTCTTCTATCGAATCCATCATACCCGCCGCACTCGGGGTCTGCGACGTAGATGATGTAGGACGAGCATTGTTCCCTGCGGATTCCTCCTTCTGGGGTGGCGTAGGAGCTTGCTCGTTGGCGGCGGGGGTTTCGCTGGCTTTATCTCCGAGCGGGCCCAGCGGATCGAACGTGTCGTCCACCGCCTCTAGTTTCGTGGCTTGCGCACTGATCTTGCGGGTGCCTCGGGGGCCGCGTCGTACAGGGGACCGGGGATTGCTCGAGCTCGCTTGCTGTGACGGTTGTTGGGGGGCTGCGCGGTTGACGTAATTAGGCAAACGTCGGACAAACGCGAGAGGATCAGGCAGGGGGAGGGGGTTTATTTTTAAATACATGTACTGTCTTCTGCATTCGAGTCGGAGGCATCGCGATTGCCGACGGATTGGGATGGCACATCTGTAGTGGCCGATTAGAGATCACCCTGGATGAATGCGACAGAAACGTGACTGCCTGCTTACCGCCCCAAGGGGAGTCACCAGTGTCCAAATCCATGAGGGCGAGCTGGAATCAACAGCACGGGAGAGGAGGAAAGAAAAGGAGACCAAGAATTGAAGGGGGGGTCGTAAGATCGAGGGGATGCCACCGGGACAGAGCAGGAGGGTGAAGCGGAGAGCCGTTGGAGAGTCGGAGAAGCGGCGAGTTGGACGGCGCAGTGTCACCTGACGGGCCTAGTGCTGCCTGCGACTCCCCGCTGGACCCAACTTGGTTCTTGTCACTCCCCATAAGCTTACAGTTCTCTGTTATATAGAAACTCGCATACTTCCGGTCTTAGGTTGTCCTGCCACGGAATTGGACTGTGGATCTGTGGATGGGTACTTTGCCTTGACTTCAGTCCAATTGCATACTTTTTGTTGATTCTATTGGCTGATCATCCTTGTATCCGGATTCAACGTGTTTTCTTCTTTGCTTGCGGTGTTTGCTCTTTAAACCACCAGGGTGATGAATGATTGCATCGATTATGCAAGTTTTCTGACCCCTAGTCGGAGTTGACCGGTGTCTCTGCCTTTTTCTTGAAGCCATCCAGCCTCGATCGCCCTATAAACAGGCAATTGCCGTGGATATAGCTGATCTGTTCAGCAAAAGGTAGATGGGGTGTGAAGAATCTAAGAATGCTGAGAGAGAATAGTTAATCACACTCTGGTGGATTGCTTTCTTTCGAGTTCTGCTACTCTGTTCGAATTCATCGTCGTCATCGTCACATCTACATCATTTACATAGGGGTTCGTCTTAAACACCCCCTAGCCGAGGCCCCAGCACCTCTGGAAGCTGCTTCGAACTTTTCCGGCTCTATTGCTTCACCCATGGGATACCCAATTTGTGCATCTCCACCGCCAGCTGGAACAGGTAGTCCAAGCTCTCACACTGGGTCTTGGCTTTGGCAACGTCGTCTCCCCAGACGTAACTATCCACACGATTAGCAATCGATCCATGCCGACAAGAGTCGAAAAAGCCGAATCCACTTACATTCCGTGTCTCCTCACCAGCACCGCATAGGTGTCGGGGTTCTCCTCCATGGCCTTCTCCAGGGCTCCAGTCAGGTCCTCCTCGAAAGCGGTGTTCTCAATGATGGGGATGCGCAGGGTGTCGAAGAAGCCCAGCATGCCCTTGCCCTTACCCCGAGGAATTCCCTTGATCTGTTCGATGTTGCTAATCTCGAAGTAGCCCCCGGGACCCAGCTCGCGCTCAACCAGGAGAGTCACCAGAACGGCCCACTGCGAGTGAGTGTGGATGCAGCAGCCAGCCCCCCGCTCAAAAGCGGCCAGGAACAGCGGCGTGCATGCCGAGGGCTTCAGAGCGAGCGGCTTGCGGATGTACTTGCGATCCTCAGGCGGGTACTTGGGGGTGGGGTACTCGAGGACGAAGATGTTCTGCGATTGCATCAACTCCTTCTGCACGCCAGACGGCGCAATAAAGATGTGTTCTCCGCGACGAATGGAAGTCTAAAAGCGCAGCGACGAGAGTTTTGATTAGCGACAATTCCCAAAGTCAGGATCGGATGCGACCAGCTTACCCCACCACCGGTGCCAGTCACCCAGCCCCAGTTGTAGAACTTGCGACAGAGCTCCGGGATCAAATTGGCCGGGTGCTCGGGGTCGGTCGATTGAATGAGATGGTCATTGTTAGTCTGCTGGATTTCGTTGGCCATGATGAGGAGGGCGCGATGGCGGCGTGAGGGGAGGCGGGTTTCCAGCGAGATGGGGCACTACGGATCAGGAGGAAGTGGGAATCAATTGTGATGGAAATCCCACGACAGTCGGCACGAGGAAAATGCAGACGGCAGCAGGCGAGCCAGATGGATCGGGGCGAGGTGGGACAGGACGAGGCGACGGCGTAGGACAGGACGCAGCGGGCGAGCGGGGAGTGAAATTCTAAGCAAACGGAATTAATTACTGTTTAATTTCGTTAGCGTCGCGGGGAGATGGTGTCATCGTCCGGATATCTACAGGGTGGTTTCTTTTTCTTGAGGATTCACAGATGCACCGATGTCTCTGGACTGCGGTCTCAGCGGATGCTACCGATAGAGCCCACCCAGCAGGAAGGACACGGAGGGATCCGTGAAGATTACCACTGATCTAAAGTCCTCAGTTCTCGACGCAACGGAGAAACGAGAAGAAAAGCGGAAGAACATTGGAGAAGCGCCGCTAACCGCATCAGGCAGGCGGAAGGCGCTCCCCCGACGCGGCAGGAAGAGGCCACCTTGACTTACTTCCCTTCATTCGCTGCTTATTTATACATCGCCTGGCCTCTTCTCCTCTTTCTCCCCTTCTTCTCCTCTCCAGCTAGCTTGTTGCCCCGATCGGCTGGCCTCATTTCCCCTTCCTGGTCTTCCCATCCCCCATATCCCCCCTGAGGAGGTTCAATTGATTGTTTGTTTATCTTCCTTCCCTTCATTGTACTCTCCAGCTCGTCGGCGTTCTAGCTCGACTATATCCTATCATGCGTATCAACGCCGCCTTTACCTCGGCTCTGGTGTCGTCGGCCACTCTCATGGGCTATGCCCATGCAGAGGACGCTGAGAAGCCCGCCGACGCTACCTCCGTCGCCGAGAAGCCTGCCTTCACCGTAAGTTCCCCCCGTTTGGTGTGGATCGGCACCGCGATCGCGCGCATCCCGGCGCCTGCCCGTTCTCCGCAATTGCTAACGGAAGATCGTTCGCATTAGCCCTCTGCCATCAAGGCTCCTTTCATCGAACAGTTCACGGAGGGCTGGGACTCGAGATGGACTCCGTCCCACGCCAAGAAGGATGACTCCAAGTCGGAGGAGGACTGGGCCTACGTTGGTGAATGGTCCGTCGAGGAACCCACCGTCTTCAAGGGAATCGAGGGCGACAAGGGTCTCGTCGTCAAGAACGCCGCGGCCCACCACGCCATCTCGGCCAAGTTCCCCAAGAAGATTGACAACAAGGGCAAGACCTTGGTTGTCCAGTACGAGGTGAAGCCGCAGAACTCCCTGGTCTGCGGTGGTGCCTACCTGAAGCTTCTCCAAGAGAACAAGAAGCTTCACGCCGAGGAGTTCTCCAACGCGACCCCCTATGTCATCATGTTCGGTCCCGACAAGTGCGGTGCCACCAACAAGGTGCACTTCATCTTCCGTCACAAGAACCCCAAGACCGGCGAGTACGAGGAGAAGCACCTCAAGGCTCCCCCTGCCGCTCGTACCTCCAAGCTCACCTCGCTGTACACCCTGATCATCAAGCCCGACCAGACCTTCCAGATCCTCATCGACGGAGAGTCCGTCAAGGAGGGCACCCTGCTGGAGGACTTCAACCCTCCCGTCAACCCCGAGAAGGAGATTGATGACCCCAAGGACAAGAAGCCCTCCGACTGGGTTGACGAGTCCAAGATTGCCGACCCCGAGGCCAAGAAGCCCGAGGACTGGGATGAGGAGGCTCCCTTCGAGATTGTCGACGAGGAGGCTACCATCCCCGAGGACTGGCTGCAGGACGAGCCCAGCAGCATCCCTGACCCCGAGGCCGAGAAGCCCGAGGACTGGGATGACGAGGAGGATGGTGACTGGGTTCCCCCCACCGTCCCCAACCCCAAGTGTAGCGAGGTCTCTGGCTGTGGTGCCTGGGAGGCTCCCATGAAGAAGAACCCCGCCTACAAGGGCAAGTGGTCCGCTCCTCTGATCGACAACCCGGCCTACAAGGGACCCTGGGCTCCCCGAAAGATCGCCAACCCCGCCTACTTCGAGGACAAGACCCCCTCCAACCTGGAACCCATGGGCGCCGTAAGTTCTCCCCGTTGCTTGCTTGTGATCCGCGAATTGACCCTTGGCTAACCGCATCATAGATTGGCTTTGAGATCTGGACCATGCAGAACGACATTCTGTTTGACAACGTCTACATCGGCCACTCCGTCGAGGATGCCGAGCAGCTTCGCAAGGAGACCTTTGACGTCAAGCACCCCGTCGAGGCCGCCGAGGAGGAGGCCTCGAAGCCTAAGACCGAAGAGCAGCCTGCCACTCCCAGCGTTGGCTTCAAGGAGGACCCCGTCACCTACATCCGCGAGAAGGTTGACTCCTTCGTCGTTCTCGCCAAGCAGGACCCCATCAACGCCGTCAAGCAGGTTCCCGAGGTTGCCGGTGGCCTGGGCGCTCTGGTGCTGACGATGATCCTCGTCATTGTGGGCGCCATCGGATCCAGCACCCCTGCTCCCGCTCCCGCCAAGAAGGGCAAGGAAGCCGCCGGCGCTGGCAAGGAGAAGACCGGCGCTGCCACCACTTCGTCGGCCGACACCGACAACAAGGGCAAGGCCACCAAGCGTACCACGCGGTCGTCGGCGGAGTAAGCGACGGCGTCCGTTTTGGACCTCCACCCTGGGGAGAAAGAAAAACGAATCAGGAAAACCACATAAGTTAAAATACGAGAATCTTTCCAATACCAAGTTCATACCAGTTTGAAGCGTTCTATTCGATGGCCGATCCCGCCGTCCGTTGTCGGGATATTGAGATCTACTGTGATGCGATACGAGAGCCCTCCAGACCCCAATTTGCGCGGGGGACAGAAAAGAAGAGAAGCGAGGAAGAAAATTCTTCGGGAGAAGCCTGTAAATTAGGGATAGTGAGGGACGTGAATTGTCTCCCGATCATTAGTGACTTTTTTTGTGAATGTCAGACACGTTCAGGCGAAATCTGGAATGCCGCGACTCCCCGATAAGCAACTCGTAGACCGATAAGGGCCCACGTGACCCACCCCGCCGCGATGCCTGAAATTGATTAAAAGCAAATCACGGCGACCCCTCGTTGGCCGCTAATTTGACTCACGCCGGCTTCTCTTCCTGCATCCCTCCCCCCCGTGGCTCCTGATCTTCCCCTTGCTTGCCTCCCGACCCGAGATCTCTGCGCTGTCCAGAATGGCTGAAGAAAACGCACCGACTGCCCGCGACCAGGACATCAATCCCTGGTCCGTCGATGGTGGGCAGGACGAGAACGGCGAAGCCATCTCGATCGACTACCAGGCCCTCTCTCAGTATGTGCTTGCCCCTCCTGACTCCAGTATACCGAGGTCTCCGCGATCAGGATAGGTGTATACATGGGATTGATCGCTAACCGCGCGACTCCAGAAAATGGAACACCTCGACCATTGACCATGCCCTCCTCGAGCGTTTCGAGCGGGTGACCGGACACAAGCCGCACCGCTGGCTGCGACGAGGCCTGTTCTTCAGCCACCGTGACTTCGATAAGATCCTGACCCGCTACGAGCACGGCGAGCCTTTCTTCCTCTACACCGGCCGCGGCCCCAGCACCGGCAGCCTGCACCTGGGCCACACCATCCCGCTGCACTTCACGAAATGGCTGCAGGACGTGTTCGACGTCCCGCTGGTTTTCATGTTGACGGACGACGAGAAGGCCCTGTTCAAGGACAGCGTCAGCTTCGAGGATGCCCTGCACTACGCCATGGAGAACGCCCGCGACATCATCGCCCTCGGCTTCGACGTCAAGAAGACCTTCATCTACAGCGATCTGAAGTACTTCGGGAACCACTTCCTCATGAACGCCTGGGAATTCTCCAAGCTGGTGACCTTTAACCAGGTCCGTGGGGCTTTCGGATTCAACGAAAGGTTCGCACAAGCCTCTCTCCCCGGGTTGAAAACTAATAGAAGCATGCTAAAATCCCATCCAGCACCAACATCGGCCGCATCTTCTTCCCCTCCCTCCAGTGCGTCGCCGCCTTCGCTACCTCCTACCCCGAGATCTGGTCCGACGAGCCCCAGGCCACCCGCAACCAGAAGATCGCCGACATCGCCTGTCTGATCCCCATGGGTATCGACCAGGACCCGTACTTCCGTCTGCTGCGCGACAACGCCCACCGGATGAAGTACCCGTCGCCGAAGCCCGCCCTGATCCACTCGAAGTTCCTGACCGCGCTGCAGGGCGCCGGCGGAAAGATGTCCTCGTCAAACCCTAACTCGGCCATCTTCATGGATGACACGGCGAAGCAGATTAAGGTATTCTCCTTCCCCTCTCTCCGCTCCCTGGGGTCAAATTATCTGAGATAGGTTGCTCACCTCGATATGAAATCATAGACCAAGATCAACAAGTATGCCTTCAGCGGTGGTCAAGTCAGCATCGAAGACCACCGCCGTCTAGGCGGTAACCCCGACGTCGACGTCTCCTACGTCTACCTCACCTACTTCGAAGAAGACGACGCCAAGCTGGAGGAGGTCTACAAGAACTACAAGAGCGGCGAGCTGCTCACCGGCGAACTGAAGAAGATGGCCATCGAGACCCTACAGAAATACGTGCTCGACTTCCAGGAGAAGCGGAAGCTGTCGACGGACGAGGTCCTGAACGAGTTCATGCGCCCGAGGAAGCTGGAGTGGAAGGGTAACCCTAACCCGGTGCCCAAGCCTCCCAAGGAGTCCAAGCAGGGAAAGGACAAGGAGGCTGCGAAAGGGTCTAAATAGACATTTTCCGCCGTGATGTAGGGAGCTACGAGAGAAGAAAGAAAAAATAAATAAGCAAGACATGGTCTGGACCATCGCCTTTTTTTTTGAGAGTTTGCAGCGTTGAAAGCATATCGTTTCATTCCCGAGGTTGGAACACATAGGAAAGACACGATCGCGAAAGTCGCGAATTAAGAATAAGAAAAGAATAAGAATAAATCAATGTATTAAAAGGAAAAACATAGAAGAGTATCATATCATAGTAACGTAGCCCAAAAGCAAAAAAACAAGACAAATCCAATTTGTCCAATGATTTATTTCATGCCAGCAAAAAATCCAATCCCACAATGCACCAAAGTCAAGCAAAGAAAGGGGTTCCGGCGCTTTTTATATATGTCATTTGTGTTTCAAGTTTCAACACTTACGAGTGAGTCGGCATCACCACGTTGGCCTTGGTGCTGACGGCATCCTCGCCTCTCCACAAACTCGTCACCGTCTTCTGCTGCGTGTAGAACTGCAAGCCCGGCTTGCCGTAGAACGTGTTGGCACCGCCACCGGCGATACTCTTCTTGTTGCCGGTGAACGAGAACATGGGCAGCGGGACGGGAATGGGGACGTTGATACCGACCTGGCCGGCCTCGATGTCCTTCTGGAAGCGTGAAGCAGTGGGGCCGGAGCAGGTGAAGATCGCGGCGCCGTTGCCGTACTCGTTCTTGTTGATCAGTTCGACGGCGTCTTCCAGGGTGGGGACGTTCAGGCAGACCAGCACGGGGCCGAAGATCTCTTCCCGGTAGCATTTCATGTCGGGGGTAACGTTGGTGATGATGGTGGGGCCGATCTGTGTCGTAGGCGGTTAGTCAATGGCTCTTTTTGCTGGGTGATTTGCAATGGCAATTGTAAGGGGGAAGGGGGAGTAGAGGACTGGGACGTACAAAGTTGCCGTTGGGGTAGTTCTTGGGCTTGTAGCCTCGTCCGTCGAGGAGGATGGTGGCCCCCTCTTCTTCGGCACTAGCAATCAAGTCCTCGATGCGCTTCTTGCTCTCGGGGCTGATGACGGGGCCCAGATCGGCACCCTCTTCGAATCCGCCGTTAACGCTCAGAGCCTTAGCACGTTCGGCCATCTCAGGAAGCCAATCCTTGGTCTCGTCGACCATCACCACGGTGGACAAGGCCATGCATCGCTGACCCGCCGCGCCAAACGCAGCGCCGACAATGGCATTGAGGGTCTGGTTCTTGTTGCAGTCCGGAAGCACGGCGGCGTGGTTCTTTGCACCGAGGTTCGCCTGCACACGCTTGCCGTTGGCGGAGCCTCGAGTGTAGATGTACTCGCCAGCCTTGTTGCTGCCGACAAAGCTAATGGCCTTAATGGCAGGCGCGTCCAGGATGAAATCGACGGTCTTGGCGGAGCCGTGGACCAGGTTGATCACACCAGGGGGGAACCCAGCCTCCTTGGCCAATTCGGCCAGGATCATGGCGGCACCGGGGTCCCGCTCCGACGGCTTCAGGACGAGACAGTTTCCAGTCACAGTCGCAATGGGAATGCACCAAAGGGGAATCATGGCGGGGAAGTCTGCGCGCGGGCGGGGGTAGAAGCGGTTAGAGTCGGAGAAGATTCACGGTGGATCATCCGTGGGCATTCCGGGGGTGGGGAAACTTACTGAAGGGGCAGATGGCCGCAACCACTCCCAGGGGCTCCCGGTAGCTCCTAGTCTCCATATCCTTAGCGACTTCGAGTACTTCGCCCGTGAGCTGGGTGGTGATGCCGCAGGCGGTTTCGGCCACCTGCAATCCGCGGAGAACATCGCCCTTGGCATCGGCAAAGGTTTTGCCCTGCTCCAAGGTGATAGACGAGGCCAGTCGGTCCCAGTTGGCACGGATCAGGCTGACAAACTTGAACATGATCTGTTGTTTGGCAATGACGCTGGTCGCACGCCAGGCGGGGAAGGCCTTTTCGGCCGACTCGACGGCGGCCCGCAGTTCCTCATCGGTGCTCTGAGGTACTCGGGTGACGAGGTTGTTGGTGGCCGGATCATTCAAGTCTATCCACGTCGTGGCCTTGGACGGAACGAACTGATTGTCAATGAAGTTGGTGGTATCAATTGGGTTGGCAATGGGCTTGTGGTCCGTCGGGTATTCGGTGGCGGTGGTAGCCGCGGAAGTCGTTGCGGGGGCGAGCTGCTGCGCTGTAACATGCAGTTTGCGCGTAGCAACCAGAGGAGCGGGGGAGGATGCGGACGACGAGCGCTGAGCAGCCAGCACCGAGGAGGCCGAAAATGTGGACGAAGTCGAAAGAGAGCGAGCTGAAGACGCCCCGGCAGGTGAAGCCAGCACCGTGCGGGGAGACGCAGCGCGGAGAGCGGGGAGAGATCGAGCAAGGGACCGACGGGCAGCAGCCATGGTGAGGAAGGTAGAAGAACGGGGAGGATGGGTCGATGGGTTGATACAGAATATATAAGAGAGTTGGACGAAGGGATAAGGGTATTAGGAGGGGAGAAGTACAGAGAGTGGCAGAGGAAGGAGAGGAAAGTTGGAGACGAGCGAAGGCAAATAAATAGCCTGGTACGACCCGCGTAATGCTGCGTAATGCTGCGTAATCCGGGGGGGTCTGCGATCGCCGAACTTCCCTGATAACCGCCTCGTCGGCGCGGGGGACCAATCAGAGCGCGTGGGTAGAGCGGACCCTGAACAGGCGGTCGGTAATACCGTTACCGGTACTGATATCGGAACCGCATGCCTTCTGCAGCCGCCCTGCAAGGACGAGAACTGGAGCGTCCTGTTTTTGACCAAATGCAGAAATGGGGTACGGTGGCCCTAGGACAGGTCGAGGATATCTGGCCAGGAATAGTGGCCGGGTGTCAATTGTGCCGGCTGGTTCCTGCAGTACCTATCCTCGGCATCCTATCCGATCCTACCGAGAGTTTGTATAGATTGTCGCATTGATATCCGAAGATCCATGATCTCATTTCTGGGTTCATAAAATTCAGACCTCTCAGGTCGGTATATGTCAAATGACTTCCAGGTGATGCCTGGGATTATGATCGCCATTCTACTGGGGTTGCGCCAATATCAGTACGTTTCTGACGGGCACTAATCGGCGACAAAACCGCTGCAAATCTACGCATGCCGGACTTTGGTCACGACATACATCACGATAATATCGGGCATGAACCCATCTACTTGCAGACCGGCATCGACCTGCCGTGCGCAATATCTACGAGTTCGTTCGGGCCCATGTGTCTCAATCCCACGGGTCAGGAAGGACGACAGCATGGCCCCACTGTTCTGACCATACATCAGAATACCTAAGGTCATCGAGGTGCATTAGAATGGAACGCAATAATCAAGGGACCGCTAGTAGACTCATGGAATTCAAATGTTACCAAGATTCCCCACCAAGCTCTATGGACGAAGACTCCTGTCTCGACATTCACAAGATGACTTATCTGTCATCGATAGGCCGTTAGCAATGAGGACCAAAGAAAGGGTCGCAGAAAAACAAATGTGAGCAAATAAGGAGACAACCGGTCTGTCACATAGACCACACATGAAAATGCCCAAAATCCCGTCATGACCATAACTCCGCCGCTTGGCTTTTAATATCCTTCATCGTCAGCCTGCTGGTAAACATGTCGAGTCCTCGAGGGGTCCTTGCGCATCTGTTGGCCGGACCCGGTGAATCCGACTGCAGAGATATCGTCAGAACGTAATTTCGGGATGGGTGGGTGGCAATGCACACCCCAAATTGGAGAAGGGACCCCATACCTCGCGCATTGACACTATCCCCTGTTCGAAACATGCTTTCCTTTCGGCCCAGTTTGCCCTTGCTGGCAAAATCCTTCCATTTGTTTTTACCTGCCTCTAATTCCCGGGTAGCCTTGACCTTCCGAGGCACCTTTGCAGGACGCGCCGGCCCATCACCAACCTTGCTCGGCTCCTTGCGCGCCTGGTTGGCCAACGCAGGATTGATATCTGCCGCCGCAGATATCACACTCGAATGTGCGGGCTGAGGGGTGGGTGACTGGGATGCGGAATTGCCTGAGTTTCCATCAGCCTTGCGCTTGCGCGAGTCATTGCCGGAAACGGGCCGGATATCCTTGGCAGTTAGAGATTCCACCGTGCTGTAAGATTTGAACGAAACTAGATAAACGGGGTTGCTAGACGAGCCGGTAATGGAGGTGATTCGGGCAGGGTAGAAGGAGTTATCGCCCGAAACCCATCGAGCGAGAACATGTTCATTGACGGAGAACGAGGCGGGGGCTGACGATTCGTCCGATTGTTCGACCGTTGGTTTGCGATAGCCCGATTGCGTGGGGGCCTGAGATTCTCGGAAGCCCTTCTCCTTGACCGGGGGGGACGGTTTGGATGACGGCGGAGCGGCCGGTTTGAGTTCGGAAATAGAGGTTTCGGTGAGGTTTATAAGTTCTTCCAGCTCAGCTTTGAGACTTTGTAGTTCCGTGTTATCTGGGTCTACCTGCAAGCTCGATTGGACGGTTTCAAGCTGAAACAAAGCACCGTTAGAGTAGGATGGCGGGCGAGACGGGGGACGGAGGCAATTACCTGAAGCTTGAATTCCTTGACCTCGGCCTCTAAGGCTGCTACGTCCGCCATGATTTCAGGGGATCAGGATCGGGAGAAATTGGAGAATGATAAAGTAAAGCGGACGGAACAGAACACAGGTACCGAAATCGGGGGAAAGGCGTGGTGGGGTTCAGCAAGTGGAAAAGCAGGAATCGGGGGAGTGACGTGCGAAGGCAGAAAAGAGTTGAGACGGTCGGGATAAGATATGGCGTGGGCACGTGCCGGGGCTGCTCCGCCGGGCGAGACTCTGTCACGTGAGGCACAGGTGATCGTCCGCCGGCCTTCCCGATTGATCTTATCTCTCTCTCTCTCTCTCTCTCTCTCTCTCTCTCTCTCCCTCTATCTCCCTCTATCGCTCTCACTATCCGTGGTCATTCCACTCGGCAAAACGATCAGACGCCAGCCACGGCACGCTTCTGTGGTGCATGATAATAGGGATTCCCATTGGTCCTCCCTCCCAGAAATTCCCATCGCTCCAGTTTCCATGGATCCCATCATACCAGCCGCACCCAATCGAGGGACCACCCAACGGGTGGGCGGGATCAGCGCTTAGTCTGGATGGCTAACGCTATGCAAATGCGGCCTTGTCGTTTGGAGGACGATCGTCACGTCACCTGGCACGCAGTTTTATTGGATATTGGATACAACGGTTGACCAGACTTCGGTTCACTGGTCGTAGTCAGCTTTTGCCACCGTACTCCGGAGTAGGTGAGAAACTTTTGTTCTTTTTTCTCCTCAGGGATCGGGGGAGAGCTCCGGCGGGAAGTAAGATCCAGAACCCTGGTGGGCGTCGGGGTTTGGTAGCCTAAGATATCCGCTTCTTGTCCGGGGAGAACTCGTATCAATCGCCGGACCCATGGATGATAACACGACGGAGATGCTTCATTCTCAATTGTCGGGATAATATCAAATGTGGTCCACCGCATTCATACGGAGTAGTAGTTTTTCATGAGTCGATCTTTTTTTTCTTTTTTTTTTTTTTCCTGCCCTTCTACCCGGCGGTCATTAAATCCGAATCATCCGAGTCCGATGGCCGGAGCGGGGGATACGTCAGACATGCAGAGGACCTGCCGGTATAGTTCTCAGGTACGCAGGACGCATTTGTGTACTACTAGGTAATAGGTCGTCCTCAGGCAGACGTGCCTATCATCTGGGGACTCCGTAGAAGCGTCAGCCTAATTCTGCCTGGCATGCAAAAGACCAAACGGGCTTAGAGCGTGGAAAGTGGCAGAACGTCGGAGGCGCAGCGGTTCCATTGCCGGCCTGGCCTGATTTCTAAGCACCTGGAGGATTTTCATCCCTTAGAGCGGCAGTCCGCCGATGGCGCCGGTCATTGGTGGTTCCGCAAGTGGGAGCCAATGGCACGGCGTCAAATGCCACGCCGCTTTGACAAACAGCCCACCGCCCACGGAAAGTAAGAGTCACCGCCGTTCGCCCCCTCAGGCATGCATCCGTCTCATTCAATCCATCATTTCATTCCTGCAACTCTTCCATCTCGATCGAAAGACCCAGCCGGATTTGCCTCCTGGTTGGTTCATTCGTCGTTCTTCATCCTGCCATCTTTCTTTCCACCCTGCATTTCCTTTCCCTAGTGTTCTTTCCCCCCCATCCCCCATCTCCCCTTTTGCCTTCTTCATACACGGCTTCCTCTCGCCTTCTATCTCTCTGCCCTGCACCCTTTTCTCCCTCCCCAATTGGCCTGAAGACCCTGTCTGACCCCATCGGCTGCTACTGCTGCCGCTCTCGCAAGCCTCCCTGCAGTGGCTGCCCCATATCTCTCCATCCCGACCCCCCTCGAGCCCCTCTTCAACACCGGCTCTTCACCCTCGACCAACGGGCTTCTTTCCCCTCTTTGCCTCCTGGGTTTTATTCTAGCCAACTATTAGCTCACGAGGCCGGATTGTGGCTCTCCGCGATTTTCAAGCAATCGATTTCTCGCGCTTCTTTTTCTGGCTGGAGCCTCCCCACCCTCGACTTTTCGTCGCCCGCCATCTCTAGGCCTATATCGGAATACGAGTTTTCGACATCGATTGACTAGGCACACAACCCTTTGAGTTTTCTTGCCTATCCTTTCCTTGCAACCGTCGCCAGCGGAAGGATTCTGCCAATAATTACCCTGTGTGTTGACTTGGGTTGGGTTACTTTGTATCTTTCATTCAACAAGCCACACCTCACCCAAACTTGACTGTCTTACTTTGTCTCGTTTCGATCCGACTGCTCACTCCCTTCTTTCATCGGTGATCTCTATCGATACAAGAAGCGGGCGGGAAGCCCGGCCCTACTATCTCACCGATTCAACAGCTAAGTTGGCTTTTTTCTAGCCGGGACCAACAACCCCGCCACTCTCAGTCTCGGGTCCTCACGACCGTTTTTCTTCCTTCTTACTACTGGAAAATCATTCTCTACCCACAATCTTGTCGAAATGGCCGACTACAACTCTCTCTATCAGCAGGGGCTTTACCTCTCGCCCGGTCAACAGGACCTTCTCATGGCGGCTCTTTCATCCAACAATCCTCAAAAACAGCAGAATACTCCTAAAAACTCGAATTTGAAAAACGATCCGGAGAATACGCCGGGGCGTATGTCGTCTGGGGGCTACAGCGCGTCCCCCGGGTTTGACCGCTCCCAGCACTCCGGTAACCTGGGCTTTGAAGACGAGAGTCCTTTCCTTGACTTCAATCCCGACCTTGACTTTGATTTCCAAGGCTCTGAAAGCTTGATTGGTGATCTCCCGGGAAGCGTCCCGTCCGATGACCCTGAAGTTGGAGAAAAGAGAAAAGATCTAGAAGGACGCTCGGATAACGAAAACGAAGACTCGGGCAAGAAGCGGAGGGAGAGCGACGACAAAACGGCCAAGAAGCCAGGGCGAAAGCCACTGACCTCTGAACCAACTTCTGTATGCATATCTTTTCCCCCTTCGGAGCACGAAAGTATCGTGTTACTAACGCACGTTGTAGAAGCGCAAGGCCCAGAATCGCGCAGCTCAGCGGGCGTTCCGTGAACGCAAGGAGAAACATCTGAAGGATCTGGAAACCAAGGTGGACGAATTGCAGAAGGCATCGGACGATGCGAACCAGGAAAATGGCCTGCTTCGTGCCCAGGTGGAGCGTTTGCAAGTCGAACTTCGTGAATATCGCAAGCGTCTCTCATGGGTCACTACTGGGAGCGGGATTTCCGCCATCAACGCCATTCCAAGCGCCTATCCCAACAAAGGAACATCCGGTCTCCACAATCATGATTTTATGTTCGATTTCCCCAAGTTTGGAGATCTGCCGGCCTCGCATATCTTCAACAACGGTCAATCGTCCAAGTCCAACAATCAAAACAAGCCCAAAGAGGATCAGCATGGGTCGCAGCGAAATGACTCTTACGTCCCTGGTGTCTTGAACAGGGATTCTCTTCGTTCATCAAATGGCCAAGCTTCTGCCAAGCCTGCCAATTCCCCAACTGTTGCGTCGGATTCAGCCGGCGCGACCCCCGCCTCCACGAACGGCACAACCAGAGGCCAGGCACCCAAGTATTCTTCCGCTTACAATTCTAAGCAGCCGGGGTCCTCGCTTGGTGCATCCAATTCAGACTCCCCGTCGTCCTCGTCCGACTCGCATCAGAGCCAGCTATTGTCCTCCAGCGGGACTTCCCCCGAGCCGACCACACACTCCCCTGGAAACAAGACCCACGATGACGGGCACCACTGTACTTACAGCACCATTGACGGTGAAGAGTCATTCTGTGCTCAGCTTGGTATGGCTTGTGGTAACATCAGAAACCCAATCCCAGCCGTGAGACACAACAGCGAGAGTGCTTCGAATACTCCCAACCAGAACGTCCCCGCCGAGGAGCAACCAGATGAATCTGACGACAACAACCTTGGACTGGATTTCCTGGCCCAGCAAAATGGTGGCCAGTTCGACCCCGTGCTATTTGGGGACTGGCGGGAACCCCAAGACGCGATATTGTCGCAGGATTTCGGCACTTTCTTTGACGATGCCTTCCCGCTGCCCGACCTGGGAAGCCCATCCCATAACTTGAGCGAGGTGACAAACCAGCAGACACCGCAGGCACAGCAGGCGCCCAAGAAAGATCTCATCGCTTCCATTGATCAGAAGCTGGACGAGGAGGAAATGGTGCCCGGGGAGGACAAGTCGCAGATGCTGTCGTGCACCAAGATATGGTATGTATTGACCTTCCCATGTATCGTTCAATGACGAATTTACTGACCCTATCTCTCACAGGGATCGTTTGCAGTCCATGGAGAGATTCCGCAACGGCGAGATCGATGTCGACAACCTCTGCTCTGAGCTGCGTACCAAAGCTCGGTGCTCGGAGGGCGGCGTTGTTGTCAACCAAAAGGACGTTGACGATATCATGGGACGTGCTCACTAGCATGTACCTAAGTATCATAGTCCTCCTTGTCTTTGAACTCAGATACCCCCTACCCTACGATACGATACCGCAATTGATGTCATGACGAGCGTAAGATGGAAACGGAAACTCGGGGAAAAATTGGAAAAACACGGGAATATGATCAAATTTATCTGTTCAATCTGGAAATCGCCATTCTGATTATTTCCGGCGTACTTGTTTAGCCGTCTTTCATTTACCTCACTCTTATTCTCACACTCATTTCGACTCCCTTTTTGCTTCTTCTGTTTACAATTGAGTTGAATGGGAGGCCCCTCTGGTCAAGCCTCATTCCCCCTTCGGGCCGGAAGGGATGTACATCAATGTCTCTTCGATCATAGGCATGTTTACGCTGTTGATTATGTCTTGTTTTACTTATACCGTCCTCAATCGGCGGCCACATCGAGAAGCGGCGCTTTGGACTGGGCGCAGTTTGCGTTTGGATGGACCTGGAGCCGGAGCCCGAGCCGGAGCTTGGAGGAGTTTACCTGTCTTTGATCTGATTTGTTTACGTTGAGGGTACAGCACATTTTATTCTGCAGGACATATAATCTTGAAATGTACTTGGTATTCTCCTTGTCTGTTCTGTTCCTGTCCAGCAGTGCAGGTATGATCGTGCCTAGTCTAGTCGGCGGAGACTTAATTATGCAGCCCTATCCAGGTATGATATGATCTGGAATGTGCCAACCTCTCAGGCTAGAAGCTGATCTAATTGGACCTTTCCGTCTCACAAAACTTTTCTGTATTTCTGAGTCCCTGAATCATCTCCCACCCACCCTCTACCAGTCAAATCACAATGGTTGAGGTTTCCCCTGCTCTTCTCGGCGATCATGGTCGGCGCGCAAGGTGAGCGCGAGCAGGATAGGTCCAAGCTTGGCCATATGCTCTTTTTTGAGGGTGTTGAAGGGTCCGAACTCGTGCATAGTCAAAAACGATAGAGGGCGGTTGGGATTTTGAGATCCATCCTCAATGTATTTGATGTACTCCCTATCGTACTCTGCGAAGCTCAGCCAGATCTCGTGGCGGTCCTGTGATACATGGAAACGCCTAGACGCCGGAATTAGTCCATTTAAAGCTCGCTGCTATTTTCTGAATGACCAGCTTACCGGAATGGAAGCATCTTGGGAGCATGGGGGCTCTCTTTGAGCCATGCGACCATCTGCGCACTCTCCTGCATACGGATTTCTGCCTGGCTGCTCTCCCGAAGGGGTGCCTTGACCTCGATCAAGGCGCGCACCTCCTTACGGGCTTTCCCTCGAAGATATCCATCTGTCCTGGCCTCGTACTCTGCATCCTTGAACTTGGCTTTCAGTTGCTTCCTATGGATGGTTCAGGAGCTCGCGAGCGAGGAAAAGTGGTCAGTAAGAGCTTTCAGGAAGTTCAACGTGGCAATGTTGACGATTTGCTCGTCCTCGAGTTTGGGGTACATCTCGTGTCGGATCTCCTTAGGGCCCAGAGAGTATCCCGTTGACATGGGTTCTGGTTCGGAGGATGTTTCGTCTTCATCGTCCACTATCGGGGTGGCTGGCGCAGTAGACTTATCATATAGGGCAAGTCGTCCGATAGAAGAAGAGATCGACTTGGTTGGCGTTTGATTCTGCTCACGTCTTTCACGAGACTTCTGGCGCGTGTGCTTGGAAATTGGCGAGAACATGACATCTTGGGAGATTTCTTCGCTCTTAACATTTGCTGCATCGGCCTGCGATGTTGTAACTAAGAAGAAATTGCCCTCCCCAGGCTTGCCACCGAAGCTATCGAGGTAGACCTTCCAGGAGTGGTGGGACTCGAGCATCTCTTCGGCTTGCTTCATCCACCTTTCCAGGTCAAGCCACTGGTAATCCAACTTCTTAAATGGTCCCGTCCAAAGGACACGCAGAAGCAAGTACTGACGCAGTGTGATCTTAGAGGCAGAAGATAATTTCTCCTCGTGGATTGGTTTGCCACGAACGTCTTCCTCCTCTGCCCACTCAGTCCATCGGGCGGGGTTTTCAGGAAGCTTCCTGCCTGAATCCATGATTGAGTAATGGCTGTGGTCTGTTTGATTGGCAGTACAGCAAAGAATTCAGAAGGCGCGATTTGTAAAATATTGGGTAGGATAAGGGGTTGTAAAGGCAGATAACGAGTGCAGTTCTAGTAACAAAATGGAATGAGGAGAAGGAATAAAGAACAAGGGCCACAGGGCCTACAAGTCCGTGATTCACTTCTTATAGAACAGTATATTGGATGACAGCGCTGTTGGCCAATGACTGCCGTGCGCCTTTGCAGGAGGGTGCCACAAACCAGAAGCGCCTCCCATCGAACCTGAATTTGTCGCCAGTGAATGTAGCAAGAAGAGGGGACATGCTGTCTGTGCGCATCTCTGAGGCTGGACAGGGGGGCATCTTTGTAGAAGGGAAGCCGAACGATAGGCGGAGAGAAGCCGGGGGGGTTGAGTGGTGGGCGGTAAAGGCTTCCTCCTCCCCCGTCGTTGCCCCGGAACCTCCCATTATTAAACCAACTTCCTCCCGCGCCATGTTTACTCCATAAATATTCTTCATCATCCAACTTCCCATCATCCACACCCACGTCCACTGCTTTATCCCTGGCTATATTTTATTCGCTTGGGGAATTCTTGTCCTGTACGCTGCCAAAATGAAGGGAAATACAGAACGCGACGCTCGTCGACGTGCTGTTAGGGCTGTTAAGGAAACCATTTCCCATCAAAAGGATCTTCTTATATACGAGCACAAAGACCTCGATCAACATGCCCCCATTCAGGTTCTTCCCATGCCCTTGACCAGCGACGGTGATCCGAAATTCAAGTCTGAATTCTTTGACCCCTTTCGCAAACCACTCCCAGACCCAGATGAGGATATCCAGTTTTGTCCTGCCAGTCCGAAGGAGCCTGACGACGCGATGAGCGAAGGTTTGGTCGTGGGCAATTATTTCAAGAGCTATATCTGGGATGGCATATACAGAGGCAAGGCCGATAAACACAATAATCCCATGCAGTATGAAACCCCACCCCTTCGTGGCCTATAAATGGCTACTGACCATCTTTTGCCAGGCCCATTGATTTTCCACGGTGCTCCCTTTGGGAGTTTGAGTTCGAGGATTCCATTGACTGGCGCTCCGGCGGTATCGCTGACTCTCCCGACGGGCCTTGGATCAAATGTATCTTCTACGATAGTGTCAATCCAAACGATCACCAGATCACCCGTGGCGAGATCCTGTGTATCTGTCGGATCATGACCACCTGCCTCAGTCGGCAGGCCTATAGCGCCCATTACATTATTCCGGTGAGCGCTCTTGCTTCTCCCTCTCTTCTTTCAACTAACTAACGCCTCCACAGGTGCTTTTGTTATCTTTCGTGGGCCCCAGACACGCCCGCATTCTCCTAGCCCACCACGACGGCACCAACCTGGTGATCCGCCAGTCCGATCGTTTTGCACTCTGGGAGAAGGACATCCCCAAATTGAAGGTCTTGCTTCGATGGTGGTGCTCGTCTGGGATCGGGGATACCGGCACTACCAAAGCTGTGTCAGAGTGACGCAGAACCTCCCCTGCCTATCGCTCTCTTGCCTATGATCTTGTTTATTTCATGAATTCGTCTACGAATGGCTCGGTCGGTGTTTGGTTTGTTTTGGTTTTGTTGAACTGTTAATGAAAGGGTGAATCGGGTGGGTTTATCTGGCGTTGTGGTGGACATCAGATATACTATGTACACCTCAAGTCATTCAGGATGGATTGGAGTTCGGAACATGCTTGCAAGCATGATATGTATCATCGGTCAGATTACCTGGATACCCATTTGCAATAATTTGAATACTTGAATGTTTGAATGATAACGACATCATATTACATCACCAGCCCAAGGACCTACGCATGGAAAAAAAAAAAAAAAAAATAGGAGCCACAATGAAGCTTACAAGGGTATCGATATTGGTGCGATCCAGGTAAAGAAAAAATAAGAAAGCAGAAGAAAGGAGAAAACAGGGTTAGAATACAGGAAACTGTCCGCTCAGATCCCTTTTTTTGGTCTTTTTTTTTTGTCGCTTGGTTGGTCTTCTCCTTCGTACATCACCAATAATACACACCAAATTCACTTTTTTTTTCCCCCTTTTGCCTTTCTTCACGCAAGCTGATAGTGCAAATGAAGTTCCTTTCTTTTTCTGTTTCCTCCGTATATCTGCACCAGTAGTTCTTGGGAATAGAAAAGAATAAATCCTAGCGGAATCCATCCGAAGACGAGGGTCTACTAGGTCAAAGAAAACGAAGAACATCTCGCTCAGACGGGGGGCATAGAAGGGGAATGATGGGAGAAAACATTGTTTTTGCAAGTATCACAAGAATAGAAATTAAGTGATTAGTTGAAACAAGTCGTGGGAAATCTGGCGAGTGTTATCAAGAGAAAGAGGGAAAAAGAGAGGAAGAGGAAGGAGAAGAATGGTAAAAGGTGGCCGAAAAAAATGTTTCGACACAAAAAAAAAAGGAAAAGAAAATGTGGACAATAAAGAAGATATTCAACAATCAAGGGAATTCAAAACGCAGGAAGAAACACGAGTCAAAAAAGCAACAACAGGCTATCCATTGATCACATCACACCGTTCAAGCATCACCGCCCGAGGGAGCCGGCTTGTCGCCTGAAGGGGTCGATGTCGGCGCTGGAGAATCTGCTGTCGCTCCCTTGTTGAATCCACCGCGACCTCCTCGTCCACCTCGTCCGCCACGGTCACCGCGGCCTCGGCCTCGTCCAAATCCACCACGTCCTCGTCCGGTCTCACTGTCACTGGCCCCACCGCTCTGGTATCCGCGCTGAGACGTGTTTCCTCCACGGTTGCTACCCTGCCACGTGCCGGCGTTGCCCCGGTGGCTACCGCGGTCTTCGAAGAACTTGATGTTGGGCTTGCGAGGTTGGCCGGGAGGAGTGGGCTTCTTGTGCTCGACGGGCTGGCGGTCGAGAGCGGCCTTGGCCTCTTCGACGGTCGTGAACATCACGACGTGGTTGTACTTGCCCCATTTCTCGACCTTGACCATCTTCGACTTGTCCTCCTCGGGGAAGAGATCGCGCACGGCCTGCTCATTGTCCACGTTCGACACGAAGAGTCCGTTGCTCTGCTTCTTCTCGGGCCTGGGTAGAGGAGACTCGGAGGGTTTCTCGGGCTGAGCACTGCCGTTGGCCTCCGAAACCGAGGTCTTCTCCGGCGAGGCCGGCGCGGGCGGCTGGGCAGCGGTGCCGGCGGGCTGGGGAGTGGCGGGTTTGGGGATCACCGGGGCCGGCGAGGTACGAGCGGGAGCAGCGGTCGGGCCCTTGGCCGGCGCCTGGGGCTGGGGAGGCGCTCCGGGACGGACGGTGGCGGGCTGAGCCTGGCCAAACTGAGGAACCGGTCCAGTCGCACGAGTCGCCGGGGACGTTACGCCAGCGGGCGCTCCGGTAGGCACGGGGGCGCCGGCTTGACCACCGGGCGCTCCAGCAACCTGGGGCTTTCCGGTACGGTGCGCAAAGTTGAATCCCTGGGCGCGCATCTCCGTGGCGATGCGGCCAGCCTCAACCTCGAGAACCAAGAAACCAAAGGCGGCGTCAGCCAGGTTGAAGTTCCACATGTTCTTGAAGGCGCTCTCGTCAACCTGGCCGGCGGCGTTTCCGGGACCGGCAGGCCCTCCAAAGGGGTTGCCACCGTTGGCGATGGTGGGCATCTGGTTCACCACGTTCAAAGCGTTGTCCAACAAGGTCTTCTGGGCCTCGTTGGAGGAAATGGCGGCCTCCACCTCACCCCGAACCGTTTCCCAGACGTCATTGAAAGATGCCTTCGAGGCAGCCAGCTTGCCACGGTAATGATCGAGAGAGGGGTTCACCGAGAACTCGTTGTAGGACGAGCCGTAGCGGAAGTGCAGTCCGGCAGAGATCGAGAAGTCGGCCTTGAGGGTCACGGAGAGTTGGTTTAGCATTCCCTCCCGGGCGGGTGATGCGTGTGTGACGAAAATGCGGGTTTCCGATGGGTCGTACACGCGGTTCGCGGTGTCTATCAGCTCACCCATCTGAAGCAAGGTCGTCCACATGGTACCTTGCCCACCGGCGATGGTGGTCTTGCCCTCGCCGTTGTCAAACAGCTTGTGCATCACCACGGCGCCTCCCAATCCCAGCAGACGCAGCTTGACACCGCCGACGTCCAGCAACCGCGAATTGGCCTCGTCAATGATGTGCAGCTTGTCCACCTTGTACTCTCCGGAACGGAACTTCTCCAATACCCGAACGTCTTCGCAGGCACCCCAAACGGTGTATACAGGGACATCAAGAGTAATCCGCCTATCGAGCAGCATCGGAAGTTCTGAGAGGGGTAGCTGGTCGGGGGTGAATCGCTGCTTAATCGACTGCTGAGGGGGGGTCTGGGCAATGGTCCGCTTCACGTTTTCAGGAAGCAACGGAGAGTATTGAGCCACATGCTTAAGAGTCCTGTTGTTTCCAGATTGCGCTTATTAGCATACCCAATTCCCAAAAGAAAGAGCAAGCAGCACATCCCCTCGGGGCTCGTCAAGTCGGAACGACAAGAAATCCTGGAGAAAAGGGAAACCTCGAAACAATTGGATTACTCACTTGTCTGCAATTCGCTCCAACGAGGTGTCATCGTAGAAGCCAAAGTCACCGGTGTGGATAATGTGATCTGCACGGGCCTGCTTGGCCAACTCATTCAAAGACCTCAGGTTCCCTACGTAACACAAAAAAGGAAAAAAAGCAACAATGTCAGCCACATCTGTCCATGGCCCGTGACGTCGGCGTTGAGCGTGCGCCAGGAGACCTACCTCGAACATCTGCAATGCACAGGACTCTGACCGGGCCGTTCTGGATGATTCGACCGTTGTTCGGGAGAAGAGGGGCGGCCCCGGGAACAGGACCAGTGGCACCGTTGGGGAGAGGATAGCCTTGGGGACCGAAGCTGTGCGGAGGACGGGGCTGGAGGGCGGGCATCGCAGCATTAGCAAAAAGAGGCATGTCCTAGCGCGTGCGAGGGGTGGCAAAACGCGTGGCCGAGGTGGCCATGACGTTGGCCAGGGAGCTTGACGGGGTGAAAGTGACGGGGAAAAGAGAGGGCGAGAGCACATACGGAAGCCATGAGTTATGATCTAATTCAACCGGGGGGGGGCAAGAGGGCGTGAGAAGGTCGACGATGGCGATGAAGCTGGGGAAGAGGAGGAAGGAATGTAAGAGGGAGGAAATCAAGAGGACAAGAAAGTGGCAAAAGAAGAGGAAGAAGAAAGGAAGAAACGAAGCAGGAAGCTAAACAAGCGGCGGTTTGGATGCAGCGAAGAAGAGAGGAAGAGAGAGCGAGAGAAACAAGTCGGCCAGTCAGCGGCTTAGTCAGCACCCTGGACCAGGGGCAACCAGCGAGCAACACAAAAAAGCAAGGGACCGCTGCTTCTGCTCGCTGCGTCGTCTGCGCAGAGTCAATTGCTCGGTTGCAGAGGACCGTTCAGGGCCAGAGTCCCCGGTGAGCTCGGTGCCTGGCTGGAAAGGCGCATCCACGTGTTGGGAGACATCGTGGATCCTCTTCACTGCGACCCAATCCATCCATGTCGCTGGACCTAGCTAGCACTGCGATGGACTCTACACATCGTACGCTTCGTGATTGGCTCGGAAGGGCTCTCCCAGGGGATTGCAGGGCATGAGATTCGTGTCTCTGCTTTTTTTTTTTTTTTCTTTTCTTTTTTTCACCCACCCTGATTTTTATTTGCTACCTACATAGGGGCTATCTCATGTTCCGATATACCTTCTCGGTGAAGAAACAAACTTCCCGAAACAAGGCACCATACCATGGCTTCAGAGTTCTTCTCCGTGCTGCCCAGCCAAACCATGCTCTCCTTTCACGTCTTCCATAGCCTTCAATGAACCAAGCACGTCATGATGAAGTGACCGGGGACCCTCCAGCGCCATCAGTGCAAAATGGCCACCGACTGTGGGTCGAGCGCGACAAAGGATGGGGTGACCGGGGTGCTGGCCCTTGGCTGATGTGGCAACGTATCGATCAGAAAAGGGCCAATTGTGCTTTCCATTGGTCATGAATGCCCACAGGTCGTCGACAAACTCGTCCCGGGTGCTTGTGTCAAGCGTGCCAGCCAGCCACATGTTCCAATCTGATTTGGCCCAGTCCTGCCGGTGGTCAAGAGGGACCCCATATTCGCCGCGCACCGTGTTGAAAAATGCGCTCCCCATCTGGTATGCGGCATCTGGGAACGTTTGCAGGTCAAGTAAGATATCGGGGTATAAATTGTATGGGATCTTCCATGAAGTTGGGTTCTCGGGATACTGAAGCACAAAATGCGTCTTGCGCTCATCGGTTCCGAGCCCTTGACCGAAGAATAGCGACGCTCGCTCGTCGCCAATCCGTGAATATTCAGCCAGCCCCGTCAACTCTCCGAATGCTTTCAACCCCACTGCAGCCTTTATGGCCAGGTTAGTTTCGTTGGCCAGGGGACCCGCTGCATCATTGGAAGACAATTGCTCCGGGATGTTAACGCTGTGCTCAACCAAATAGTCCGCATAGTTTCTCAGGATAGGCGTATACTGTGTCTTCCAGGCTGCATCGCCGGAAGCCCTCACGTATGCCAGAGCCAGGACCATCAGATTTCCACATTCTTCGATCGGCATAGGCTCTGCCTTCTGATCATCGTGGCCAGTGGCATTGGGGTAGTGGGCTCCCATATCATGGATTGTGTATGGCTTCTTCCAACGCCCCGCCGCGAGATACTTCATCATCGGCTCGAGTAGAATCCGGATATAATCCGGATTGGTTATATAATAGATGGGGAAGGCGGGCATAATAACGTCCACGGTATTGAGGTTTCCGTTACTCGACAGCTCCTTGATGAAGCCGAGCACGTCTTCGGTGTCGAGGGTGTCACTTGGGATGGTTACGTCAATCCCACCGTATGCCTGGCGAGCTGAAAGGGTGACAATGTCCGCATATTTCTGGCCTGCAACTGCCTTTGCTTTACGGGCCATTTCGAAATCAAGGATCGAAGACTCTTGAAGGGCATCGTTATAGTCATCCAGGAAGTATGAGACTGCCTGGTTCGTGTCCGGGTACTGGGCCCTGTAATAACCCGTGTATGCCTTTTCGAGGTAGTTAATGGCATTCTCCCTCACGTAGCCCACGGCGAAGTTGATCGATTGCTCGTTGGTAACCGTGCCCAGGTCATGCGACAAGGCTAGGACTCCCTCCGGTACCCAAGGGGCGTCGTCAGCCAAGACCCCCGTATCTACAAACCTGGATCCCACATCTTGCCATTTGCCTGAAGAGAAAGACAACTTGGAAACAGGCATTGGTCGAGATGCAAAGACTACCTCTCCCCAGGTTGCCATGTCGCTCTCTTCAGAATATGGCGCCGCATTTTCTACTGTGAGCGAATAAACTGCTGTAGAACCCGTCTTCTGGAAGTTACGCGCAGTGTTCTGCGCACTCCCCGTCCATCTTCCGTCGATACTGGAAAGTATTTGAACGATGTTAGCAGAAGACTCGGACACAGTCACCGTTAGATAGCCTGGGTACCACATTGTTAGCTCCCAACCAAAGAACACTCGGATCCGAGGGAGCGTGTCGTACTAAAAGGAAGAGATTGGCGAAGATAATTAGAGGGAGATATGGGGGAGAAAAAGTCCAGCGTGATGACCACCTCCCCTGCAGCGAGGGTGAAAAGCGAATGAGTCGCTGTATATTCGGCGCTGCGAACGACAGCCGGGCGAATGCCATCGCTATCTTCCTTCACACCCATCAGACTATAGGTCCGACCATCTACACGCGCCAGGACAGACCATGTGAGGTTCTGACCAGCCCAGAACTGAGAGTCTGCGTGCGGCAAATTCTGGATTTGGTTGCTGGGCATCCAGGTCGAGAGATACGGGTTACGGACGGCCAAGGGATAGGAGGGTGGTAGTGCTGGCCGATACGCGATGGCATTGCGTTCACTTGTCTCCGTAAAGCATGAAAGCAGCGTCGTAAACAAGGATCCCAATCCTAAACTATTTTGGAAATCGAGATACATGATGGAGTTGTTCCTCGAGTCGAGAGGTTCCGTTACCCATCGAGCAAGGGATGATCCCAGGAGTATCTGAATCATCCAGACGAGCAAGACGCGTGGGGAAACCCCTGTGTGGAGCTGTCGATCCCATGTCGTCATCGGGGCCGGGGTGCGCGTCGCCTTCCAAAAGGCCCCAAAGAAGATGCCAATCGATTGACAACGCGCAGCCCAGCATGGCTCGGTCACTTATGGTGGGCGTTGTGGTCATGATCGACCGGAGATTATTGTGTCAATCGAAGTCAGGTAGGAAAGATGGAGAGATGGTTCAGGATGATCCCGCAAAAACGACGCCAAGAGAGGATGGAATGCGGGGTTGATTTGGATCCAAGAAGTTTATCCATGGATGGGCCAGTTCACATAACCCCAAGCCAGACTTTCGTTCTTCTTCAACAGGGAGCATGATGTCTTCTCATTTGTTGACTCCCTTATCACACGCAGGACGGAATTCCTGAGCCATGATGGCGAGTGCAGCATTTCAGTTCTGATCGAAGGGTAATATCGATATCAACATCGCAGTCATATACCTGAGCAAGTATCGGCCAACGTCCAGCTTCGACCTACCACTTCGTTTCTCTGAATTTAACGACGCCCCATTGTCTCTTCTTCGGTGTCATCCATCGTTGGTAACTAGTTTTCTCGGGTTATCTGAGGGGTTTCTTCGACTCGAATGCCGCAATTTAACCCCCGATTGCGTGATTCCATGCTGTCTGATGCCACGCCGGAAGTCCCCCGCCGTGTGGGGGATATTGATAGCTTCATTGAGGCTTTTGTTCGTATTACAAATGCCTTCTTATCGGATCTCGGTGTGAGCATTGGAATGATTACCCCACCGAGTCCAGTCTAGAGAATACTCTTGACGGGGGGGGGTTCCCTCCTGTGATGCCGTGAAAGGTCTTGGTGCTAATCACCTGGTCATCTGGCGGTCTTATATGACATCCGTTGGTTTTGTCTCGGCCTGTAGAAACTTCATGGGGTGTTCAGTTGGAGCGTTTATCATTGTAGTGGCCGATGAACGGATACTTCGGCTCAGGAACAGGATTAATAATGGGATCGAACGCTGATCGATATCGGAGGCATCCCACAAGGCGTGCTTCAGTCGCAGCTGTCGCCATCATCCATCGCCCATCGCGTGCGCAACTAGGCCATGTTGGCCAATCACGATGCATTCGAGCCCGAGGGGTTGCAATGAATAAACGCATATAAAGAAGGGCTGGTCGTCGGTTGAAGCAGACCATTCCAGACATTCAGGCCATCAATGTCCAACATGCCGACCGAATTCATTAGCTTAACGTTTCCCAATGCGTCCACGGAGCTGAATCCGATTCCCAATGCCTCGATTGATCCGGATTATCTGGTCCGCTATGCGCGATCGCTGGACGACAATGCCTTCAACTACACGTTGGTGCCTTACGATTCGTCCTCGTATGACCCTTTCACCATCGGCGCGACCATTGCGGCCGTAACCAAGAACCTCAAGGTCATCATCGCGCTTCGGCCGAACACGTTATATCCGACCGTGGCCGCGAAGGCTCTGGCGACTCTGGACCAGCTCAGCTCCGGCCGCGCGGTGGTTCACTTTATCGCCGGTGGCAGTGATGCCGAACAGGCCAAGGAGGGAGACTTCCTGAACAAGGAGCAACGGTACGGGCGCCTCGAGGAGTACATTCGCATTCTGCGCCGCGCCTGGGAGTCGCCGGAACCGTTCGACTGGGAGGGGACCTATTATCAATTCAAACAGTTCAGCAACAAGGTGCGCCCGGTCAACGGCACGATCCCCGTGTCGGTGGGAGGATCGTCGGACGAGGCATACCGCATTGGAGGGTCGCTGGCGGATATCTTCGGACTCTGGGGCGAGCCTCTGAAGGAGACAAAGGAGCAAATCGATCGCATCTACGCCGAGGCGGCGCGGGCGGGCCGTCCCGAGTCCGACCGGCCTCGCATTTGGGTCACCTTCAGGCCGATTCTCGCCGAAACCGACGACCTCGCCTGGGCCAAGGCTCATCGTACCTTGGACGCTCTGACCGAGAATCGAGCCAAGGGCCAGGGCAAGGCGCCCGCCGATGCGCCGCCGCCGCAAAACGTCGGCTCGCAGAGACTCCTCGACATCGCCACCCGCGGGGAGGTCCAGGACCGCGCCCTGTGGTATCCCACCGTCACCGCAACCAATGCGCGCGGGGCGTCCACGGCACTCGTCGGGTCCCCTCAAACCATTTCCGACTCGATCTTGGACTACGTCGATCTCGGGGCCGAGCTGATCTCCATTCGGGGTTATGACAATCTCCACGACGCCATCGACTATGGCCGTTACATCCTGCCCCGGGTGCGCCAGGCATTGAAGGAGCGGGAAAGCTCATCTGCGGCCTAGGGGGGTCTTTTGCAAATACTCGAGATGGGAGCCGTACTGTGGTGCTATATGAGGCCACTGATTATGAGATATGAGTTGGTTAGATGTCGTTGTCAAAGTCTTCCCACACGAAAGATTAATGCGCACCTGGGTAGAACACCTTAGAATATATAACAGATGCCAGAATGGACACGACCAACTATTAGACAAAGAGGACATATTTGCCATACAGTAAGAGAAGCCGACAAGCTGCAAGACCGGAAGCTAGAAAGCATTCGGAAGGATTGGCTTGCTTAAAGGGTACCATTATGGACCAGGTGTCGTTAGACAAAGATAATACTAGGCAAATCGGTCATAGAAAACAATCATTTTGCTTATGTAGCATAAAATGGAGCCTAGATTTCAGCAAATGGGGTGATAGCTCAGTTGGGAGAGCGCACGACTGAAGTTTACTCGGTCCAGTCAGGTCATCTGGCAATCGTGAGGTCACCGGTTCAATCCCGGTTCATCCCATTATCCATTTCTTTTTCTTTTTCTGTTTTTTTGCCCTCAATAATCAAGTTCTTGTCCTTCCCTCATCCTTCCAACCAGCCGACTGACTTCCTCATTGCTCATTGTTATAACCGTCTGTCCCACTCGGTCCCATGTTTCATCTCCCCTTTCTCTCGCCCCTGATTTCCTCACAACGTCAAATCCATGTGACGAAGAGCTATCCAATCGTTGCTAAATCCTTTGAAATTTCCATCTATCTCGTGTGCTAATCAGAACATTTCCATACTCCATTATGCCGTTACCCTAGAGCTGAGCCTTCTCCACCCTTCTTCCGATCTCATCGAAATGAATCTGCTTTCCAGTCACCAGGGCCTCCTGTAGGTACGAGCCGATCTCTACTGCCTTGACCGCATTGGTCAACTTGATGGGAAGCGGCGTGTTATCCAAACACGAGGCAGTGAACTCATTGGCTTCCCTCACGAAGGCAGGTCCAAACCGACCGATGAAGTTGGACGGGATCTCGCGAGTGATGCCTCCGGGATGGTAGAAGTTGACAAAATTGCGCTGAGGGTTGATGTTCACAGACAGCTTACCCTCCGTGCCAATCACTTCTGTGGTGTCTTCCTGCCCATGAGGCATCATGCGGGAGCAATAATAGTAGGCGATCTTGCCATTGTGGAACTCGACAATTCCCACTGCATTGTCGTAGTCCTTGTACTTCTTCAACTCCGGCTGGACGGCCGTGATTCCATGCGCCGAGATGCTCTTCGGGACGGCATCGTCGCCGAAAAACCACAAAGTCAGATCGATGTCATGAACGGACATATCCACAAACACACCGCCAGACCATGCCGCATAGGCCACGTAGAAGCCAGAAGGGTCGAGCTTATCACAGGTTTGGCTTCTAACGATCGATGGTCGCCCAATTGCTCCCTGGCTGATCTTCTCGTGGACCTCACGGTACGATTCATCGAATCGTCGTGAGAACCCGCACATAACTTTGAGATGGGGTTTGGTCTTTGCTTTTTGCACAACGGCTTTACACTATCATCGAATGTCAGTATACTAATGCAAAAACCTGGATGCAGCTAGAACACAAGAAAGAGACGTACCACTTCGACGTCGGTTGACAGTGGCTTCTCACACAAGACGTGCAGGTCATGGTCAATGGCCTTCATAGTCTCCTCGGCATGCACAGATGTGGCTGTTCCGATAGCCACGGCCTGCAGTCCGGGGTGGTCCAACATTTTCTCGTAGTCATCATACAACGTTACTCCGTACGGCTCAAGGTTCTGTCGGCCCCAGGTGAGCTCTGCCGGGTCAGGGGTAAAGGCAGCAACCAGCTCAGCGCGCGGAGTCTGGTGGAGGAAGTTGTTGGCATGGATTTTGCCGACGCGGCCCAGGCCGGCCATGCCAACTTTGAGTCTTTGAATGGACATCGTGGAGTAGGAGGAAGATATGTTAAAAAAAAAGTCTTTAGAATCTGGGGTGTTAAGGCAAAGACTTGTAGCTCAAGAGGATGGATTTGAACATTCAATCTGGGGTTATCTAGAGCCTTTTTATATCCAAGGAGCCCGAGTCGTGAACTACTTGTCTCACCTTCTCTTGCGTTGCCCATTGCGCACAGGCAAGTATATCCATCCAAAGTTCATCTGCATCTGCATACTGAGGGGTACAAAGAGGGCATTGAAGGTGATCGTGAGCCCGCAAGCTGCAGAGAAGCTCCATAGCGGAGACGGGAAAAGTTTCCAGTGGAGACGGAAAGACTTTCCCTGCATTTCGAGAGGGCGGATTTCTTGTTTGCGGGGAAGTTTTTGCGGGGCTCGGTCTTTTCTCCGCCCTGCGAGGAACGTGTCGGCAACTCTCTCCGCCTTCTTCTCCTCCTTCCTCTTCTTTCTCCCCAGATGGACTGTGCAGCTCCATGTCTTCGCCCCCGAAGAAGAGAAGTCGTCTTGCGACTGGCTGGTAAATGGCATCCCGTTCCACCTGATCCAATGATATCCCTGCTGAAGATCGGACTCAATGCTACAGCCAAAGATGTCGGGGTAAGTAGAGACCCCAGTTCATAGGGAAGAGGCCACTCTTCTTGCTATAGAAATTGGATCTATCTCGACCATGACGCCTTAGACTAACTTGCATGTCATACCATAGCCCGCCATTTGAAATGTGCGTGCTGTCTCCTCGCACTGATTTAGCATCCTTCTTACACAGCTTCCAGGCGACCTGAACGTTTCAGCCTGCAACCACTGCAAACTAGCTAATGCCAATTGCGAAAGAGGAGTCAATGTGAGGTTTCGCAATGGATTAGATTTGGACGACGATCACGCCGTTTCATTCCCAGAATCAAAGATATGGCCGCGACCAATGGAATCTTGTAGGCCCCGTCCGTGCCAAGTGTCATGTAATTCTCCTACTAACTCCCTACAAGTGCAGTTCTATGATGAGACCCTGGAGATAAAAAGTCTATATAGGATAGTGGATCCCTCGGAGACAGAACCATCAAACGAACGCCCTGTTAATCAATTCTTCGCCAACGTCAATCCATCCCCTGCATACGACAGCCCCGAGCAAGTCGGTCTCTCTCCAGATCAAGAACAGCAATTGATTCAAATACCCCAGAATATAAATAGACAGCCACTGGGTAGGCCCGTCGCTTTCCACTATTCGAGTTGACTTACCTAACGGCATAGGATCCTTACACTACCCGGTGATTTCGCCGGCTTCCAGTGACCACCTTACTCCAAATAACTCCCCAATTTCTCTCAAGAATGACCAAAGGGATCAGCCAAAGACGCGTGGCTTGTTCAATGAGAGAGAGGCTATCCTAATGCGCAATTATGTGGAAAATATGGCATTGTGGGTATGGAAATTCAAAACATGGGGACCTGCCCTAACTGGTCTGCTGAATATACTGACTTGAGTTGAAAGGCCGATATCACAGACTGCCAAAGACATTTTGAAGTTGAAGTCCCTTTACGAGCAGTCCAGGACTCCGTCCTATGCTTTGCCATCTTTGCCTTCTCCTCTCGACATATGAACCGACAGAGAAAGAGTGAAGCAGCCGAGGCATTGCAGTATCACAACAGATGCCTTCAGCTATTGATTCCTGTTCTTTCGGATGTGAGGGACAACATTACCGACACTGTTCTTGCCGCGGTCGCAATACTTCGGCAGCACGAAGAGATGGACAGTAAGTTCATCAGAGTTTCTGATCTTGATGTTCTAGGCTTACCTGTCTCAGGCGAGGACAATCAATTCCACCTTACAGGTGCAACTCATATTCTAAATACAGTGTCCTCGTTTGGATCATCCGGGGGTCTAGGTGAAGCAGCGGCATGGTTGTGCCTTCGCGAAGACATCCACATATCCATAACATCTCAAAAGCCACTACGAGCTGACCTTGGAAGCTTCAGAAACTCAAATGTTTTCCTGAGAAATGACGATTTTGCTTGGGCAAGTCGAATGGTATTCTTATTGGCCAAACTTCTCAAATGTGCATTTAGTTACGACTCGGCGACACACCCGACTTTGCTGCAGCGTGCAAGCGAAGAGATTGAGCATTGGTATGCTGCTAAACCGCGCACGTTCGAGCCCACTCAATTTACTCCGCGGAGTCGAGAAACTCCTGACCGGTTTCCGGGCATCTGGATGTTACTACCAGTTCATGGTTGGTTTCTCTATTCCAGGGTTTGGCAGCGGTTCACTAATAGAACACAGTGATCGGTGTCCAATATTATCACATTGCGAAAATTATCCTGGCCTTCTCGTGCTGCCCAAATCCATCCCCTGCATATGAGGTTTTCAAAAAATCTCGCCATATCGAGGTATGATCGTCGAATGGTACGTGACACAGATAGGGGCATGTTAACATCAAGGTTCCCAGAAAACCGTTCGGAACCACCTTCTCACCGTGCTCGGCCTGGCCAAGTCCAATAAAAAAGCCGAAAACACCCTTTTTACTGCACGCCATAGTTTGGTAGCGTGTGAGTGGTCGCACCAATCCTTCGTTGGGGATTTGAATTTTTGCGCTTCTACTAAATCGGTCTAAGCCATTGCCGAATCAGAGTACAATCATGCTGATTATCAATACACAGGGGGCTGGGTTCTTCGCTATAAACCAGACCAAGAAGCCGCGGAAGGTTTGTTAATTGACATAGAGAAGAGGACTGGATGGGATGTGGGCCCCTCGATCCAGTCATTGCGACAGCAATGGTACGATGAATGCTCGGACGAGTAGTCTAGAACTCAAGCAGGCTTCTAGCAAACCTTGGCTGAAAGGATGACACCAATCAGCAGTTGCTGTATACGGGCCTTCTTATGCTTTTTACAAGCAAACGTTCCATTACACGTGCTCCATTTTGAGGCTTCTGCTTGTACTTGCGAAGATGACTTGTCAATCCAAGACCGCGAAAAAGACAGGGCGATAATCTCTACTCGAAAATCCAGATACAGACCGTCACGACAGGAGTTAGCGCTTTTATTTGCTGTCATAGTTCGACCCTTGCGCCTGGATCATGGTGGAATGTAGCATCCCTGCCAATTTTGCGACAGCATTACAATCCGGCAAGAGCAACCCAGTGCGATTAGCGCTTGGCCTACTCCACTACGCTTGATCCGATTTCTGCTTACAGGCTCAAAGCCCATTATCTTTCCGGCAGTCTATTGGCGTTTGGTTGGTTTGATATATCGGAAGAAAGCTAACATCAATTTCACCGTCAGCTCCAAACTATTTGGTGACTTCCGACCAGATACAAGCGGTGAAGAGATGCAACGATGACGGAAAATCAGCCTGGATGGGCCCGGTGACAAGATAGCTGCATACCTACTAATTACTCCTGGCGTTTTGTGCTCTTTTCTTGACCTATCACGAGCTCCACCGCCGCTGCACTCTGCATGGCTCAGTCCTATCCGGAACATTTGACTCGTTCAGAGTTTCCTGTGGGGCCAACCTTGCATCTTCCATGCCCTGATCAGAACATAGACCCGGAAATGTCCTGGGACACCTGGGCAGCAAACCTTGCCTGACATTCCACCACCGATTATTGCGGCCTATCCACGTGTACCCACCGGAGATGTCAAGCTTTATGCTTGAAACGCCTCGTGATGCCTTTATTGTTCGGATATGACCTCTCATGACCCCTCCAAGTTACTCTCCGACTCGTCTTGATTGGGATCTAACAGATCGTCGTTAAGCCAGTGATCTTGGCGATAAGGCAGCGTTGACAGGTCATCGCATTGGGAGAGGGGGTGCCTATTTCCCTCTAGATCCTTCTTCCTACCTGCCTCTCTCGTCTATTTTTAATCCGCATTTCTGAAAGTGGCTACTTTTTCTTATCTAGCTCCAGAAGTGGATACCCTTTTACAATCCGCCATGATGCCGTTTATGCGCATGTGGTCTCGATTCTCCTCGTCACCTGCACCTGAGAGCACCCCTGTCAACAACGAGCCAATAAGTACTTATACGAGGGGCACGGAGTCGGTTGCCATCGACTGTAAACATCCGCACTTTCCAGTTCCGCGCAAAGAAGAGTCTCGAGCTCTCCAAGCACAGATCGAACCTGCCTCAAGCTCTTCCGCACAAGAACCAGCCTCATTCTGGAAAGATATCAACCCACCGGCAGGGCATAAGTATACACCAGCTGTGCTGGCCCACAGCAGTGATAAATCATCTTTACCGTCTTCATCACCCCCGCCAGTCCAACCACGGAACAAAGACGCAATGGACCGAACCAAACCTACCTCGACCAGAAACAGTGCCCTTCCGGGCTATAACGACGTGAGCGGCGCGGTCATAGTCGATTGGAATGGCCTACCTCATTTCCTCTCGCCCCAGGAGGAGTTAGAACGGAAATCGAGACTGGAACGCGCCGTACGTGAACGGATGTTGGGACTGTCGAGACGGACAGACTTTGCTTGGGAAAGCCCTTGTCATGGAACCACATTGCCGCAATACTCGCCTGCAAAGGCTAAACGATCACAACGACCATCACACAGAAGTGACCACTATGGATGAGTGTTGGTTTTGGATCCAAGGAAGAATTATTGAGCTAGTCTTCTCTGACTACCTATATATGGTTGGTTCTGAAAATCAATGTTTCTCTCGCTGGAGGATGAAGACCACCCACTCATAGTATTTCACGCAATACAGACGAGGATTCGTTGCTCTATACCTATGGATGGACCTTTTGGTCTCATGATACGGTCGCCAGCTCCGATTTAGTGAACCTATGGCGGCGTCCAAGAGAGTTCTACACATGTGACGATTTTATGATTGATGATATTGATGTGTTACGATTCAACAAAGAGAAACTGGAGGCTTACCCACGGCTATGATTTCGGCCAGGATGATATGAAATATGTGAATGCGATTTTTTTTTTTGTGAAAAGCTGCTAAAGAATATGCTTCCAAATATATCCAAGAAATGTTCTACACGATTTTTCAGACGTAGATCTAGCTACGGAAGAGCCTCAATCCACCTTCCTCGCGATCTTCATCGCTCTCAGCGCCACTGGCATTCTCATCGTCCTCTCCTAGTAGACCACTGGCCGTCTTTCCAAGCAGGGAGGCAAAGAACTCCTCTCGGGCGTGGGTCGACCACGAACCCCGGTCCTCCGGTGCCATGAAATTCTGCAGCTTCTCGTGAACATCGAACCGCATCTTACGACCCTTGGAGGCCCGAGTGTCAATGTCTCTCTTGACCTTGTCCTTGCACATGCCGGTGACCGGGTGGACGGAGTTGAGGCGGGACGGCAGCTGGATATGCAAGGTGTCGATGCCATTTGTGACGGCGTCCGACGAGGACATGCGCTGTTCAACGAGATCCCGAAGCAGGGATTGGTAGAAGATGGTGTCGTCGAAGACAGGCTCGCGGTCCTCGCCGGCACCGTTGGAGCCACCGCTCAGGGTGCGCGCACGCTTCGCGGCGCGGTCGCCGGTCTCGGAGGCGATCTGGGCGTCCAAAACGGCGGTGATGGTCTGCTGGCTGCCGGTCGCGGCGCCCAGAAGCTTTCCGCGGGCGTTCGGGGCTGCAGCGTTGGAGCCACGGACCTTGGAGGACCACTTGTCCAGGATGCTGCGGCGGTGGGTGTTCGAGTCGGACTCGAGATCGGTCATGCGTTTCCACAGCGAGGCCGAGGATGTGGACGGCGAGGCGACCGAGGGTCTCTTTCGCTTCTTGGACTCGTCCTGGGAATGCGCGTCGGCCAGGGCCAGGCGCAGATCCTCAAGGGTCGACCAGAGAGCCAGGGCGGCCGATTCGGCGGACTTGATGGCCTCGCCGTCGGCATTCTCCGTGTCCTGATCTGCGAGCGAGAGCTGGTTGATCGCCGTCAGACCCTTTTGTAGCTTGATCCGGGTGTTGAGAAGAGCGTCGAAGGTGGCGCGCTGTTGCTTGACCGCTTTACCCTTGGTTGCGTCGGATTTGGCGGCTTGGGAGAGCGTGGCCGCGATGCTCTTTTGGTCGGTGGCCATCAGTCTGCGCAGTTCGTCCCGGTCGTCGGATTTGGCGGGCTGGTCGAATGTGACGCGACGTTTGGAGGGCTTGGGTTTCTCATCCTCGTCCTCGTCTTCATCTTCATCCTCGTCTTCCTCGTCTTCCTCGTCCTCGTCATCGTCCTCACCATCGTCATCTTCGTCCTCGTCAGAGGGTATCTCATCCTCATCCGAGAATCCATCGCTTCCTTCGATCTCATCTGACCCATCGGTGTCCATGTCAAAATCGGCTGCCTTCTTTCTCTCCTTCCCAGAGACCCGAGACTTCGTAGGTTTGTCCTCTTCACTCTCCTCAGAGCCCTCCTCGTCATCATCATCGTCCTCGTCGCTTCCAAGCTCGAGACCTTCTCCATCGTCCTCCTCACTGTCGCTCTCCTCGTCACCGGAACGCGCTCTGAATGGATCATCGTCGCTCTCGGCCTCAAGGGCATCTCTGCTGACCTTGGACCCGGCGTATTGTTTCCCCAGGGTGATCGGGTCCTGTTTCCGAAGCTTGCCCTTGCTGTGGGATGTGAGCAGACTGGAAAGGAAAAACCCCAAATCGAAACGGAATTGGAAAATATCACTCACCCTACAGCTTGGTAATGCTCTCTACCGGCATCTTCATCCACCTCTCGGCCGCCCTCATCGTCGCTGTCCGGTCCGGCGTTATCCAAGTCCTCGGGATCGAAATCTGTTTGCGCAAAAAACCGTGTTAGTTGGGATGCGACATGCAATCAGATGAAAAAAAAGCAGTCCATCGACATAGAGTAGTTCGAACCTTTAGGAGTCGGATCGTCAAGTTCCGCGTATTGCTCTGCTAGCGATCTTCGAGCCATGTTGAAATCCGCCTTGTCTGCTTGTCGATTTGCGATCAACCCGGAATTCCAGCTTTTTTTTTTTTTTCTTTTCCTTTTTTTTCTGCCGCCGAAGTCACGAAGCGGTGAGGGAGTTACTTACCGGTTTGGGTTAAAGCCGGTAGAAAGGAGGGAGTTACTCCGGCGGTCAGGGTTATTTCCGGCAATATTTCCTCCGCGGGTTTTGCATCATCGTTTCGTTTCCTTCAATTTCCCTTCTCGAGTCTGGACAACTCATCCCCATTCGCTTGCATTGGCCATGTTCGGACGGAGATTCTTCTCGACCGCACGGGTCTTGCAGCACGATAACCCATTGGTGAGCCTCCTTGATTTTCCGACCTTGATCTCTTCCTGTCCGCCAGCCAGCTAACCTCCGCTAGGGCCTTCCTCGCTCCGGCACTCCGCCCTCATTCGCTCGTCGCCGCGGACTCCCCGAGAAACGCAAGATTCGCGATGTGAAGAAGGTCATTGCGGTCTCGTCGGCTAAGGGGGGTGTGGGCAAGTCGACAATTGCCGGTGAGTGATCTATGATATGGCGCGGGCGGATGGTCGATCTATCTATACAACTCCCAGCGCATTCAACCCCGAACGGCATAGCCCTAATACTACAATACCGTGTCTACCGAAGACGCCACTGGCTAACAGACACCGCGACACAGCCAACCTCGCCTTATCCTTCGCCCGTCGAGGCATCCGCACGGGGATCCTGGACACCGACATCTTCGGTCCCTCTATTCCCACTCTCCTCAATCTCTCCGGCGAACCTCGCCTCGACGATAGTACGCCAACCCCTCCACCCTCCCCAAGACCCAACGCTAACCCTAACCCCTACCCAGAGAACTGTCTCGTCCCGCTCACCAACTACGGCCTCAAATCCATGTCCATGGGCTACCTCCTCCCCCAAGCCGCCACCAGCACCGACCCCAACGCGCCCCTCCCCATGGACACGACCCCGATCTCCTGGCGCGGCCTCATGGTCACCAAAGCGATGCACCAGCTCCTGCACTCCGTGTCGTGGGGGCCCCTGGACGTGCTCTTCCTCGACCTGCCCCCCGGCACCGGCGACGTGCAGCTGACCATCGGCCAGGAGATCATCCTCGACGGGTCCGTCATCGTGACCACGCCGCAGGACATCGCCCTGCGCGACGCCGTCCGCGGCTTCGGCATGTTCCAGCGCATGGACGTCCCCGTGCTCGGCATGGTGCGTAACATGGCCTTCTTCGCCTGTCCGCAGTGCGGCCACCAGACGAGGATCTTCTCCCACGGCGAGCATCACCATCACGGTCAGGGCCAGGGCCAGAACCCCGAGGAGTGGGGCGTCGTGGCGGAGTGCAAGCGGCTGGGGGTCGATTTTCTAGGGGATATTCCGCTCGATGCGCGGGTCTGCGAGGATGCCGATCGGGGCATGCCGACGGTGGTGGCGGAGGAGACGGACGACCGGAGTGCGAGACGAGAAGCGTTTATGGGTGTGGCGGAGAAGGTGGCCAGGAAGGTGGGGATTGAGTGGTAGACTTTCCTTCCTTCCTTCTGGACTGTATCTGTATTATAGGAGTGTGTTTATACCCAATGTACCTTAGATCTTTCGTTGAATTCATGGGGATATGATGTGAATGGAATGTACAACTTGAATAGAACATATGCTATGGACTATGTACATTCATTATTCATTCCACTGAGATGAAGTATCAGACAAGGGTATCCATTGTTTGTAAGAGTAATGATAATATAATAGAAATCAGATATGAAACAAAGATCCGTCGGAGTATAAGTTAACCAAAACATATGCAAAAGAGGCCGGCACCCCACTAGGTATACAGTATACTATCGCAGCACAATCCAACAAGAAAACCAACTAGACAAAGGAAATGTAAGCAAACAACGAATGTACCAAGGTATCAACATATACACCGAATCACTGGCCGGGTATATACTCGTCGGCGGTCCTGAAGACATCGCGTTCCGGCATGCCGGGGCGAGAAGAGTCCGCTCCGTTCTCCAACACCTCGCTCTTAGTACCCAATGAAGACGTACTGGCGAAACCGCCCGAGCCATGGGACATCGAGAGGGCCTCCACGGAACGAGACTTCGAGTCCGCATCGTTCATCGTGTTCACGACCCCCGCGGCGTTCAGGACTGCCCGGGTGCTGGCGGCGTCAACACCCGTGTTGGTGACGGCCAATGACCTGTCGCCCAGGGTGCTGACGTCGTCAGCAGCGTCGGCAACGTCGGAAGTCATGCCGCTGCGGATCGTGCCCGATCCAGCATGGGACGAAGGCCGCGGTCGATGTCGCGTGGAGTACGGGTCGGAAGTCGGTGCGATGATCCCGGGGGCGTGGAAGAGAGACTGCGTGCTGGCAGCCTCTTCTCCGAATCGCCGGGATTCGTAGGCGGGTAGAACGATAAGAGGACTGGTGGTCTTGTCGAGAAGGTGGAGGCGTGTCTGCGTGCCCGTGCTGGTCGTATCGGGGCTGTTTCTTTCCGCAGAAGAGACATCTTCATTGGCTTTTTCAACATCAATAGCAGGGAGATTAGGATCGCCAGAACTAGATTGTCCCAGAGCGAGAACAGGGGGCTGTGGTTTCTCGACCGTAGGCACGTCGCCGTTCTCGTGATTGGATGACCGCTTGAGCGACGCACCGGCTTTGCCAGCCTCCACGCTGGTTCGCCTGGCCTCGCTGTCCTTTTGTCGCTCTCGTTGGATGGTCTTCTCGTCATGTCTGCTGGCCCAATGGCTCCATAATGTCATGGGGTAGCTCTTCCGGCCATTGCGAGAAGGCAAGACGCCGGGAGCCTCCTTCCGAGCAGCCAGCGAGCAAGGAGGCGGGAACTCATTTTCGAAATCCTCAAACCCATATGCCAGCTCCTTCAGCCGCTGCTGCTGCACGCGGAGCTTCTCCTTGGCGAACTTAACGTCCCACTCCTCCTTGCCGGCGAGCCATTTCTTGACGAGCTCCGGATTGAAGGATCCCACGTGCGAGCTGGGGAGCTGGAGGATGGAGTACGACGATGGCGGAGGCAGTGGGTAGATCCGGCCTCGTTTGTCCACTCTTTGGCGGACCATTCGATCTTTGAACGGGGGCAGTGGATCGCCAGCCACGCCGACGGAGGAAACGACGGCATCAGAGTCCAGCTTTTTTGGCGCCGTATCGGCCGGTGTTTCCGGGGTGTCCGAGTCACTGGACGAAATCGGAGAGACGGCATTGTCATCGAGAATGTCAATTTGAGATTCTTGCGCACAGGCAAGCGCCCATGCCCCAAATTGGGCGATTGATCTATACATGTATTTGGCCGGACGGGTGAAGCTGAGGGTCGGTGCCACATGACACAGATCATCCCAGACCTGAAGCTGGACGTATGTTCCGGGGTATTTGTGGAGGACTTCGCGATTCGGGTCGTGTTCGTCCAAGACGGTATCGCTCGGCGGATAGGCCGTCGGATTTGCCGCTTTATGCGCGAGGTAGATCTGTTCGTCACGGAGCATCTCACCTCCTCCGGTCATGATTTGAAGAGGTGGTAGGCCTCCTAGTGAGGACTGCATCACTGGTGAGACCAACGGATGCGACAGGAGCTGATTTGTCGTGTACATATGGATCTGATCCTTGACTTCAACTGTCTTGCCGTCCATGGGAACTTTGGCCTTGTAGGAATCCTCATAATTTGCGTCGGGGTTCTTTTCCGTGGGAGCGTCTGGCAAGGGTGAATTGTTATCCTCGACTGAATAGCCCTTGGCTACAGCTTCACCCGCACGATTATGTGCCGGCAGTTTGGCATCCGGGACTTTGGTCTCCGACGCGCGTTTCTTACCGAGCGCCTCTTTGATGGAGAGAACCTCGTCTGCGGTGGGCGGGGGCCAAGCTTCCGATGGTTTATGCCGAAAGCCGTAAGGAGGGATATAATCGCCGGGATTATCCTTGACGATACTGGGGAAGGAGTGCGTCAAGTCTACCCAAGGAGAGATTAGAATGGCACCTGCAGGAAGAGGGAGACCCTGATCGCGGACGGTAACCAGCATGCTTCGCATATCGTTAGCACGAGACAGAGGGATATTTCCGTAAGCTTTGAACTTACGAGAGCACCAGAGCTCCGCCAGCCGAGTCACCCGCAAAGATGATCTCGTTGGGTTTATACTGATTCAAGAGAAAAAGATAAGCCGACAACGAGTCCTGCAGCGCGCACGGGAAGGGGTACTGTGGCGCCAGACGATATTGCGCTGTGATTGAAATCAAGTCAGTTTCCACGAATGCCATCTATACCCTATATCATATACTCACTGCATCAAATTAGCATAGGGACCGAAAGCAAGCGCGAGCATGATCCTACCGTGCAAACACCCGCCCCTTGAGCTTCCTCGCATGACGCTGCATCTGATAGCGATGCGTATCTATACTCCCAAAGTAGTAGGCACCGCCGTGGATATACAGCATGATGCGTTTCTGGCTCGGATGGTCGCCATTGGCGCGCTTTCTCTCATTGTGATCGTTTCGCATTTCGATCCATTCGCCCTTGAGGTCCTCTGCGGGGCCACGCCATTGCCACCATTCTTTCCCGCCGACACGCTTGATTCCATGAGGGCCTAGCTCATTGACGAGGGCCGTCGCTGCGGCCGCCAGATATTCATTGGGGATAGTGATCGTCTCCGTTCTCACCCAGTGCGGACTGGGTACCCATTGGGTGGTAAAGGCTTGGATGTCCTCAACGGTGTGCTTGGAGGCATACGCCAGAAACTCGCGAAATATACGGATTCCTTCATCGTAGGAGACATGGACGTTAGGTTTATGGTGCAATGATTTCCTATGTATGTACTAGGAGGCCTGCCGTCAGTACATCTGGATTGCGAGAGGGCAGAGCTGCGAGTGGACCACTTACATGCGAGACGAAGGTCGAGAGAACGGCAGGGGTGAGCGCAAAGCTCAATGCGACCGTATTCAGAGGCATGATGGGACGCAAGAAGATGGGGATGGGGAGTCGCTATAAGCTATGGCTGTGAAAACGCATCCCTTGCGGAGACGGAATGGCGAAAAAAGGGGAGAAACTAGGGACCGAGAGGGAGGAATACGAGGGTACTTAGACGAACAACCGACGCAAGTGTTCGACACGACAGGGGGTCATTGCGGTGACAGCGAAGAGGCTAATCAAGAACCGATCGGCCAACCACGCGGAGAATGAAGGCGAAGAAGAGTTCGAGACCTCCCAACGGCTGGCCAGTGTTTTTGGGGGGAGGCGCCATGACGTCATGCATGGCCTCCTGTGCTGGACTCATTTGCGCCTAAGAATAATAATGGTTAATGGCGATCGTCGTTTGCGAAAAGGCCCACCGGCCCAGGGGTGGAGGTACACATGGGCCAAGCTCCTGTCGATCGGCTGTTGGAATTGGCTTGATGGTGGCTCTGGCTCTACAGAGTAGTAGCGGAGGCATCTGCTAATGCAGTCAAATTAGGAGAGTCATGATATATAGAGAGTGTGTACTCCGTATGAGAAGGAGAGAGATGGAGAGAGAAGAAACGTGGCTGTGCGGTGAGATGAGAGGAATGCAGGCACAGAAGACTGTCATTCTACGTCATTGCAGTGCGCCAAAGGAATATCATTAATTCATACTAATTTGACTACTCCGGAGTAAGTAGGCTTAGCTTCTTAGCTTAGCTTAGAGCGGAGGCAAAAAGAAAAACAAAAAGATTGACCGACGCAGGGGTCGAACCTGCAATCTCTTGATTCGTAGTCAAGCGCCTTGCCATTGGGCCAGCCGGCCTTGCTTGAAGATCTGCTGCTAAGTTAGCTACAGAGCCCTGCGCTGCAGACTCTGCGCCCGCGTCTCCGTCACGACCGTCTCCGCCGACACAACCGCCGTCAACTGTCCCACCCCGGCGCCTCTTCATCCTGCAGTCAGCATCACTGCCCGGAAATTGGCACAATGGGGGAACTTACGCCCAGATCACTTTATGCAGATGCCCATCCGGCGCGGCGAGCAATTCTTTGTACTGCCGGATAATTTCGTCTTCATCTGCGCCCGCCAGCGTCTTCTCGAAAGATTCGGTGATGATGGCTCGCCCGTCGTATTGCCCCGGCCAGAAACTCTTCATGCCGGTCACCACGTCATGAACCGGTGATCTTTCTCGGTCAGTCGATCCTAGGTGAGATCCCGGTTGCTTCGGTGTCCGATTTATCACTCACTTGGCCGTGCTCGAGGCTCCATTGTCCGCCGCCAAAAGACGACTCTTGATCTCGTCCGTCCATGGACATTCCTTCGTGCCCAGGAACTATAGCCGATCAGCAAGACTCCATTGAAACGATAGGGTCTGAGAAAATCAAACCTACCCGTGTCCCCATAACCACCCCGTCAGCACCTATACCACGTTAACATTCATGTCAAGTGATCTAGCCCAGTCCGTCAAGAAGACAAACTCACCCAACGCCAACGAAGCGGCCACCCCTCTCCCATCCATAATCCCCCCCGCAGCGAGAATCGGCACCCGCCTGTCCGGAAACTCCGAGCTCAACATGTCGGCAACATCCGGCAGGAGTGTCATCAGACTCGCGCCCTGTCGAAACTGGTGTCCCCCGGCATCCGTGCCCTGAACCGCCAGAATATCGATCCCATCCTGCACGGCCTCGCGCGCCAATGACACATTGCCCACCTGAGCGATCACCTGGAGACCCCATGCCTGCCCGACGGCCTTCAGTTGAGCCACCAGCGTCTGGTGCTGGTCTCGGCGCTTGTTGCCGAACAACCAGACTGCGGCGGGCCGGTACTCGGCGACTAGGGCGACGAAGTCCTCGGTCCAGGAATCAGCCAGCATGGTGAGTGCTCCGATGCCGATGGGGAGCGGCGTCTGCGTGGGGAATTGTTCTCGGACGAGATCGAGCTCGGCGCGAAACTGCTTGGTTTCTTCGGAGTCCTTGGCGAAATTGGCGCCTCCGCTGATGAAGCCTGTATTGTTCTTCCCTCAGTATTTCTAGTCGATGGAGGAGTGTGGAAGACATGCCGGGGTCATACCTAGACCGCCGGCCTTGGTCACGGTGCCGGCCAAGGCAGCATTCGTAGCTCCAGCCATGGGGGCATTGCAAATCAGAGGCGCCGTAGTGCCCGGGAAGATGCGAGTTAGGTTTTCTACTGGAGACATGATAAACCGTGATGTGCTCGGGGGATTTCCAAGGGGCGAGGATGCGAGGATGAGAAGATCCACGAGGACGGCCGAAGCGGGGGAATTCCGGCACTCCTCCGTATTTCCGTAACAGCTAAAAAGTGTCACCGCATCCCCACCTTCTGGTATAGCCCCATTAATCTTGGGAAGTATCGGAAGTATCGAAGAAAAGGCCTAGATATTTTATAGCGCCTACGTTAGCTTTAAGGAAAAATTAATCCGGCAGGTCTTACATGGGCTTCTGTCTCTACCACGAGAGCTAGCGTAAAGCGGCCGGGAGGTTGGCTGTTGCCCGTCCAGACTATAACCAGCGATGTAGTTCTTTCAATAGCTGATTGTCTCATGTTGAATCCGGATTCAGAATGATTATTCTTTTATGCTTGCGTTGTTTACTCTTATATCATTGAAACGGAGAAATCAGGGAGATTCGTAATGATTCATTTCGCAGGTAGATCAAAGGATAGTAGCTAGTACAGCTGGATGACAACAACTGCTCCCACAATCTTTTCAGACTCCCTATATTCGTGCAAGTAAACCATGAGAGAATTGACTTAAGGGCTTGAGGCCACCAAGCCACACCTTATCCCACCTCGGGGATGGTTGCTACGCTCCCTTTCTTTTGAGCCATGTCATTCATTCATTATCCTACCGTTAAATGACTGCAACTATTATGCGGGCCAGCCGAAAGCAATATAATGAATCATTTAGAGAGAACCAGCTCCCAGAGATAAAAGGTATCGCTAAGAGCGCAAAAACTTAACCGCTCGCTCGAACGCATGGTCTTCCGTGGCGTCTGAGAGCAGCTCCCGATAATACTCAAGATCGATCTCCTTAACCAGGTTTGGGTTGAAATCTTCGATTAACGGTTGGAAATCCGTCGGAAAGAGGTCGGTAATCTTGACTGAGGGATTCTGGGGCGACTCTGGACGGGGTAAAACAACCTAAGGTCATAAGCGTGCGAATCAATTTAGTCTAGTATAAACCTACCAACTTTTCTCTGACCACAGGGGTTGTTCCACAAAGTTCCCACAAAGTCATGACCACCGAGATAGGTCCGACCCAATCGGTAACCGTGATCATTTTCCGTATTGATTTATATAACTCCGGGTCTGAGTCTGACGGGTCATCGTCAGAGGTAGAGATGCCGTAGCTTTCCTTCAAGGCATCGGTTCCAAACGAGCGGATTAGCTGGAGGAGTCGTCTAGTCGCGGGAGGCTCTTTTCTGAGAATGTCTCGTGTTCTCGTGTCCTCCCTGATCTCAATTGCGATGACAAGCTGGACTTGGCCATCGGAACGTAGTAGCCATTGGATAGCGTCTGATTCTAGGTCGATTGCATCTTCAGTGAAACCCGTCTCGAACACCACCACTGGGATACGTTGACTGGCTCGAAGAACAATCGAAACATCGGGATACTTGATCCAAGCATGTGCTTTATTGGAACGCGTTTCTGGGGCAGGCGGTAAGGTCATTATGAAGCCCCGGCGACTCAATACTAATCGTTGGTGGAGATCTGAAGGAATGAACTGGCCGTCTTGGGCATGAGCCATGAAATCAAAAGCGAGTGAAGTGGTCGCATCATGCAGTGGCCGCGACACAATAGACACCTTTAAAATACCGTTCTCTGCATCGTAGGTCCACCACACACGATTGCCCTTAGGCCTTGATTTGAGCAGATTCTCGATTGCCTGTGTGTAAAGAAAGGACTCGGGGCACTTCACTTGTAAGTCGTGCTGCTGTGACTCTAAACAGGATTTCAAAAGCCCCCCTAACTCCTCAGGGCTGTTGATATTTTGAAGGTTGTCCATTGCTCTCCAGAGTATCACGAAGACTGCTCGTCGGTTCTAGAAAGCAAAGTAAATAGCACGGATGGTCAGCACTATTAGATGACAGTTAAGACCTTACGAGGAATTAGTCCCCAATGTTCCTGCTATGTAGAGGATTTAGGATGGCGATAAATCTTCTTAGGACTATTCCGGGGAGTTACAGCAGATGATGCAAAGTCTGCGTACCTGAAATTTGGTGAATATTGTCCGGAGGCTGCATACTTTAGGCTACTATTCGGATGATGTCATTCCCTGGTCAATCCACCGGCTCCACTTGCTTCACCTTTTCTTCACCCGTTTCTAGGCAAAAACACCAGATTCCCCAACAACCCGCTTATCTAAAAGCAACCACTCAAAATGACCGACTCCACCACCCCTCCGCCTTCAACCATGAAGGCCTGGATGTACCACAGCGCCGGCGTCGGCTTCGAGAAGAAACTGACCCTGGAAACCGACGCCCGCGCGCCGCCCAGTCTCCGACCGGACCAGCTCCTCGTCCAGGTCCTGTCCGCCTCCATCAACCCGGCGGATTTCAAGGTCCCCGAGATGGGCCTCATGTCCAAGGTCATCGTCTCGACGCCCGCCTCGCCCGGCATGGACTTCTGCGGCCGCGTCGTCGTCACCGGCCCCTCCGTCACCAAGGTCACGCCGGGCCAGCTGGTCTACGGCACCACGGCGATCCCCGTCCCGTTCGGCTCGCTGGCCGAGTACATGGCCGTGGGGGAGCACAACGTCGCCGCGCTGCCGGACGGCGTGGACCCCGACCACGCGGCGACGCTGGGAGTGGCCGGCCTGACGGCGTACCAGGCCGTCGTGCCGTACGTGACGTCGGGCGACAAGGTGTTCATCAACGGCGGGTCCGGCGGCTGCGGCATCTTCGCCATCCAGTTCGCGAAGCTGCTGGGCTGCCATGTCACGGTGACGTGCTCGGGGCGGAACGCGGAGTTCTGCAGGGAGCTGGGCGCCGACGAGGTCATCGATTATACGACCGAGGATGTCCTGGCGGTGCTCAAGGGGAAGGGCCAGGTGTTTGCGCACGTCGTGGACCATATCGGTACGCCGGAGGCGCTGTATCGGGAGTGCGACGCCTTCTTGCTACCCGGGAAGGCCTTTGTGCAGGTCGGGGCCTCGTCGATGCTGATCTTTGCCAGTCGGGTGGCGTGGCCGGGGTTCCTGGGGGGAGGTAAGAGAAAATACGTTATTCTGTTGTGCCGCATGAGACCGGATGAGCTGGCGCAGATCGGCGAATGGGTGCATCAAGGGAAAGTGAAGGTGGTTGTGGACAGCACCTTTGAGTTCGGAGACGCTGTGCAGGCCTTCGAGAAGCTGCGTCTGGGCAGGACTAGGGGAAAGATTGTGATTCATGTGTCCGAGAAGGCTTGATTAGGTGCAAACAGGGCCTGTGCACAATTTGTAACATAGTATTTCGTAGCGTGTTTTTCATGCAAGGATTTCTCCATCAAGTTATTATATACAGATTGACGTCGCCGAACACCGGCTCCTACTCTGGCGCATGTGGCCGCAATTAATATGCTTGCTTGAGGAATGTCAATGCGCCGACAGACATGGCATCCACGGCAACTTGCACTGTCGGTTCGACAACTGGAGCAAAGAAAGGCGAGTGGTTGCTCGGCAGCTCATCCACAGTTCCCTTAGCTACCGCGTTGTCCCAGGTGCTGGGGTCGATACCGCCGAACGTCCACATCACGTACGGGGCTCCCGCCGCTGTCGCCAGAATCGAGAAGTCTTCACTGGCCGCGGCGGGCTCGTCGTCGACCAAATTGTCCGCAAAGTACGATTCAAAGCTACCCTTCAAGGCCTTGACCATTTCGCCATCATTAATCGTCGCGGGGCAAGAATGGGTGCATGTGATCGACGGTTTCTGGACCGCGCCTCCGGCCTCACATTCGGCCTCAATAATGCGCTTGATGGCCGAGTTCACCCGCTCCCGCACCTTCGCGTCGTAAGTCCGGACCCCGAGTTTCAGATCCAAATGGCTGGGAATGATATTCGCCGTGCTGCCGGCTTGGATGCTACCGCAGCTCACGACGGCCAATTCCCCGGGTATCACCTCCCGGCTGACGACCGACTGCAGCCGGGTCACGATCGACGCGCCAATGACAATGGGATCGATGCATGTCTGGGGGGCTGAGCCGTGTCCGCCACGGCCGTAGATCCGAACATCGAACGCATCGGCCGCCGTCAATAACCGGCCAGGCCGGACGGTGACCGTTCCCGACCGCTGTCGCATGACATGCTGGGCCAGAACGACATCCGGTTTCGGGATCTTCTCATATAGCCCGTCGTCGATCATGGCCTGGGCGCCCGACAATTGCTCCTCGGCCGGCTGGAAGATGCAAATCAGGGTGCCCGACCAATACTGACGGGCCGCATGCAAGAGCTGAGCACAGCCCAGGAGGCCTACGACGTGGAAATCATGCCCACAGGCGTGCATCACCGGCCGTTCCACCCCGTCCTTGTCCTTGACAATTTTATGGCTTGCGTACGGCAATCCGGTCTTCTCGGGCAGGGGCAAGGCGTCCATGTCGGCGCGCAACAGGGCGGTAGGGCCGGCTCCATTCCGAAGAACACCTGCGACGCCATAACCACCGATATGAGTGTGTACTTCGAAGTCCAGCTTTTTCAGAAAGTTCGCTGCCAGCTCGGATGTCTCCTTTTCCTGGCCGGACAGTTCCGGGGAGTTGTGTAGTTGACGATAGATGCCTTCGAAGATTCTGACATCCGGGCGAAATTTGTCGACGATCGCCCTGAGGCTGTGATCGGAGGCTGTTATGGTTGAGGTAAGCCATTGATGCCGAATCGAAAGAATGGAAACCGATGGACTTACATTGCTTACTTTTAATCTGCATAGTGTTCGGCGGGGTGGGATCAGGGTGGTTGGGGAACGGTACAACGAAGGCAAAGGAAAAGGGGAGGACGAGGGGACATTGAGACTGACGATGCGGGGAGAGACGGTCTTAAGGGGAATCGGCAATGAAACAGAGTTCGCGATGGATGGAGCCGACGGGCGTCACGAGCCGATAAGCTCGCCTGCCCGATTGGGGCTCGGCTGGCGGGCCTGAGGCGCTCCTTGGCGGCTCCGCTGTCGGCAAGGAGTCGCCGCTAGTCGCCCTTAGTCGCATCTCAGGGCGAGACCTGTCTCTCTCTCTCTCTTAATGGCGTCCGTGGGCATTCCGAATCGGCCATCGTTCTGAAACAACAAGAGGGCTGAAACCTATTGGATACTGGCCAAAAGAGGACGGAATCTCGGGGCCGAGCAGTTCCTCCTGGTTATACCCCTGGCAGGTACTGAATCGACTGCAGATGAATGCAGGGCTTCTTTTAAATGAGAAGGTGCCCTGGCAGGCCTTAAGGGGCTATCCCGGGATCTATTTCGAGTATACCATTTTGCTTGACTGGTATGTTCTCGCAAGGGCCTCGGAAACCCTTGTGTCCCCATACTCATTATCAGAATGAGGCATGCAACTATTTAAGGCACGGCAGGATCAATCCAGCCTGGTTCGGTTGTCTGAGACCTGAATGATGAGGGAAATGTGTGGAAACAAGTGGAAACGTACGCAGAGAAACAACAGCCAAAAGCCCCTAATTCATGTGGATTGGGATGAGCGCAATGCAGCTGCCAATCCTCACGGAGTAAAACATGGCTATTAGAATTGACGCTGCTATAAGAATACCTCGGGAGATACGTGGTGAATACTCCAGACATGCGGATTTTCTCAACAAAGTACTCAATCTCAGGACAGTAACTACAATTTCGCTTTGACCGAACTCTCCAAGCTCTTCCATCGCAGGTCCGTGAGGAGCAACGATCTCGGATACTCGGCCGGAATCTCTTGTCCCAGAATCAGCAATGCAAGCATCTGTGCCGACCGAAAGGCCCGAACCATGCCGATCCCCTGGTATGCACCGCAAACCCACTGATGCCTTCTATTGGGCGATGGTATGCGTCCCACAAAGGGATTGGCATCCTGGGTGAAGGCCACGCAGCCGCTCCAGGCATGCGTGGTTTCGACTATGTCCGTCCCGAAATCAAATAGCTGAGGGACGACGGCGCGGAGATGGGTATGTGGAAGGAGGTCTCTTGCGCTGTCGTCACTGGTAGCTGGGCGTCCGGTGTTGGCTCGGCCTATGATAAACGCTCCATCGGGTCGTTGGATCATGTAGTCATAGTCTTTCTCCGCGTAGCGAAGCCAGAAAGAGCTGTTGACGCGTAGAGTAGCCAGAAAGAGCTGTTGACGCGTAGAGTAGCCCCCTGCGGCACTTGACGCTGCACATTCGCGCGCACTGGCGAGACGAACGGCTGCAGCTCGTGGACAAGGTGGCTCATCCAGCCGTTCGTGGCATGGACGACATGACGAGCTCGAATATCGCCTCGCGTTGTTCTAACGGTAGCGACGTTGCTATCGTCCTCATCCTCGATCGAGGTGACAGACGTGTTTGTCTGGACGGAAAGTCCGTTCTCATCGACAAATCGTTCGAATAGAGCCGTGACCAGCTTGTACGGCCAAACCGAAGCTGCTGGCATTCCAATCGCCCCGATACACTTGTCCGAGCAATGGCGCTCGTCAAGCAGCTTCCTCGAGGTATAGAGAGTATATCTGGCCGCAAGTTCCGGTACAGACTTGCGCATCTCATCCAGAGCCCGCTTCGCTCGGCCAAGAGTAGCCTCGTCATGATAGCAGTCCAGTCCTTCTAACAGGCGGAAGTCACATTGGATATCGTTTTCCTTCACACAGGCAGCGATCGCGTCGAGATGGCTGTGCTCAAACTGCATCACACGGAGCGCTTCCTGTCTTCCGTAGTTTCGCTCGCGCTCGAACCAGACACCCGGACTTATGACTTTAACGTGGCCTCCATTTCGGCCCGTCGCGCCGGAGCACAGATCGCGGGCTTCGACGATGACAATCTTCAGGTCGGGTCGATGGGCGTACAGCGTGCGGGTGAGACTGGCAGCCGTAATCCCAGAGCCGATGATCACTATATCCGCGTGCTCAGACCATGGGGACTGGAGCGTGCTTATCTTTGAAGGCTCCGATAGCCAGAATGGCTGGGTAGGATTCGGGACTGGGAGGCCAGGATCCACGATGCCTGGCTCGTAGATTCCTTCTGGCGACGTTGACATGGTCGATCGAGCTCGATCGATCGATTATGGGTTTGATGTTGAATTCTAGTTAATTTAGGAGGGTATGCGAGGATAGGAATCAATTCAGTTGAAGGGATCGAGCAGATAAGTCGTTGAAAGCAAACGGCGATCCCCCGCACGCGCGATGCCTGATTGGTGTGCCTCACCCCTCAGGCTCCCAGGATCATGGCCGGTGCAATGGATTAAGAACAGTAAATTTTGTGCTGTTTGCACTGTTTGATTTATCAGTAGGTTCATAGCAAATCGTACTTTCTATTTCCTAAATCCCCAGTTCATGAGTAAACAAAGAACACCTCCATCAGTCAACCATCCTATGAAGCTATACGCAACCCTCATCATTGGCTACGCCAATGGCAAATGGATGAGCTCGAGGGCATGATGTAAATCCAAGGACAGTTGTGGGAACTTCCTCCTAACTAGTATCTTCTCTTGTATACTACCTCGGTTGTGCAACATCGTTACGAATGCACGCTAACCATCCTAGGGATAGATACTACCAGTATAGGGACATTCACTGCTTCATCCAGAGATTCATGATGGAACTCTCCAGGATCTTAGCAAATTCAAGAAGATCCTCAGGATATAAATTCAACCTCAATGTGAGAGATTCTCTTCTCCCTTTCTTCCTCTCTCCAACCCTCCACTTCCTCTGCTACTCTCTGTCCTGTTGACTCAAACAACTCCAATCCCAAAAACAACCCAAACCACCTTATCCACCGCCACCATGAAGTTTGATCTTCGTTTCCTCTTCACCCTCCTCGTTGTGCTGACCATTGCGGCTGCCGTCCCTGTCCCCGCTGCTGATGCCGACGTTGATGAGGTTGGTGATGTCGGTAATGATGGTGAGGCCCTCGGCATCCTCGTCACTCCCAGTGGCCGTCGTCGTGACAGGTGTGGTCAGGTCTGCACCGGCCATAATGACTGCAATGGCAAGTGCGGCAAATGTGTGAACTTCCTCTGCAAGAGTCTGTGACCCTATCCATTTTCCTTTCTCCTTTTCTCTTCCCTCCTCCTCCTCCCTGCAACTTGCTTCCACTCCTTTTGTCTCCTTAGCAAAGGCAACCCAAAAAAGTCAATCCTGTACAGTATACCTCCACGCAGGACTAGGCTAACTTTGACAAAGAGTAATCATCACTCTCGCAACTCCCTCTTCTTATGGTTGAGATCTTAGGGGCCGGATCATCGGATTCGAAATGGTGAGCCACTCTTCTCCTCTCTATCCCCTCTCAGACCAAATCCCAATCTCGATCTCAACTAATCTTTCCACGTGGACGGAAGACCGCTCTCGAGACTAGCCTCCGATTTGCGATTGAGTTGTTGATCGACCTACTGGATTGGGTCTACGGCGATCCTTATGAGAGACTGGGTGAATATTACATGGAAGAGTTCGAGGATTGGGATGAGGTGCCTTAATGGGAGTCTGTGATCTTGAGATGGCTTAGCTACCCTGGGTCCTTCTTGGTCTAGTCAATTCATTCACCGGTTTCTGCGAGATTTTGTTTGTGGTGTAGTCTCTCTTCTGGTAGGCTTTTTCGTAGGTTCGATAGGATTATTGGCTTGTTCACATGTACGTGTGGCTAGAATAGAGCTAGGCATACCATTTTTTTTTTTTTTTTTTTTTTTTTTTTTTTTTTTTGGTTGACTGGTGGTTCTGGACAAGTGCGTTTAAAAGAGGCCCCGAATACGTCGCAACTTGCGGATATATATATCACCGTTTGTTGTAAACAGCTGGTCACTATTAGTATGAACGAAGTAAAATTATATTGGACCATCCTTTCCGCACCAAAGCCCAGACCCTCCAAGAAGTCCAATTTCATATAGTACCTGGCATTATTAAACCTACCTAACTATCGTGTCTTAATGAAAGGTAGTACCTATAGATCAGGGCCACGTGACTGCACTGCAATGCGAATGTGGAGCGCCAAGTGGAGTGGCTGAGCCAATCGCTCCCTCCCATCGCATTCCGTTCCATCGAAATTTTCCACTCACCCAAAAAAACCTCCTCGAATTCATTTTGGATGGAACCAAAAAGTAAAGCCCAACGCGGGGCTCGAACCCGCAGCCTTGTGATTAAGAGTCACACGCTCTACCGATTGAGCTAGCCAGGCTGGCTTGTTGAAAAGGGTTTCTAACATCTAGTACAGGTGCTATCTGGGAACTTCACGTCCATGCAGCCTACATTGGTACAATCGGTCTTAGGAGGATGTCGTCACTGATCAGGGATTGTGCTCCTGGAATCCTAGCGGTGGCGAGGGTCGATGGCTAGGGAGGACGCGTCCGATGATGTCTTATCACGATATTTCTAAGCAAGGCTGCCTCCGGTGGCCGCGCTTCCCCAGCAGAACCATGCTCACCATCGGGAATCACCGGGCCAGAGCCGACACCATAACAGGCAGACAGGCAGCAGGCTTTGTAACGTAAAGAAAAAAAGACCTGAGGCCTGGAGATATGCGGGTATGCAGTTACGCGCTCTCGTGGATGACCCTGTGGCATTGATCAGTTGAGCCGGTGAGAACTATAAAAAGTGACATGCAGCAAAACCCAAAGATGAAATCACACGGAGCTGCGGCAATGGTGTATTCCGCGCAGGGCTGTGAACTGTAGCCCTATACAACCTCGAATACTGCCGCGCAAGGGGTCTGACCTCAATTCGATAGGATATCGCGACTCTAAAAAGAAGACGACTCCGTTGCGCGCGCCTTCCGCAACACGGAGTCGAGCGTCCAAAATAGCATGCAGGATGAGTTCAGTCGATCAGTGGACCACCGACAATGGTTCTCTGTATTTTATCAATACACGGTAGGTTGTTGACGTCGAGTTCTGCCCGGGAATGTGCTCGGACCCTCGCGATGCCGAACTGTGGCTACGGCGCTTGACGGACAGGAGAAAAAACAAAAAGAAGCAACCGTAGCCAGTGAAGTCTGTGGCTGAGGCGGAGTCGCACAGTGTCTTGCGCGAGAGGGGCATGAGGCTGAGACGGTTCGGCCCCCTGGGAAGCTCACTAGGCTCCTTTTCTGATCATGACATTGGCGATCGCGGTGGATCGCTCGTATTGAGACGAACCGGGGGCTCTTATTCTTAGAACAGAGCGATGGCATCACTGAAATAGAATTCCGATCAGAGAGCCGACCAAAACAGGTTGCAGGATTCTCGTAGGTTACCAGCGGAATGGAACCAAACGACCGATCGTCTCAGGATATACCCGCAACGGAGAACGGCGGTTGTAGAGCAAATGAGCGGGCCAGCAAGGGCTGGCGGGTACTGAGGCTTAAGCTGCAGGACATTGTGAAGTTGAGATCGCATCAGAGCCAACTGATTCCATGCAGGAAGTATCGTCATGCATGACAAGCATCGGGAGTCCAGACGGAAAAGCGAAATCCAGCGAGGAATGTCAGACGGAGAGAAAGGAGGAGGCAGTGGCAGTTGGACGGAGGGAAGTTGTCGTAGGGATTGCGGCGCAGGAACACGAGGGTCAAGCCACAGCGGCGTGAAAATAAAATACCAGAACAAAACGATCAAATAATAAAACCAAGAACTAAACAATAAAAATGACAGAATGACGAGCGACAGAGCACGACGAGGGGATCACCGCCCTGATTGTCATCATGGGGGGTGGACTAGAGCGTCCCCGACTTCTCGAAAGAGTAAGCGTGATGGGGGAAGGAGCGGCGCTAAGCTGAAACGGGGAAGCATGAAGGAGAGGGTGGGGACCGGCGGGACCAATCAGACACCCGGGAGGTGATCCAAAGCCACCGAAAAGCACAGCCTGCAGGCATCAGCCACAGGGAACCGGAATGCCTGAGAAAATCGCGGTATCATTCGACTGTATTGTGGCATTTCCTCCCATCATCTGCCACACGCCTTTCTGGTTACCGCCAGAAACATGCCGTCATCGTAATTTTGGAGCTGTCGGCGTCTGCGCTAGTGTATTGCGCTAGCTGCTAAACATGGGTGCCTTCCTCCCCAGGTGTTTACTCTTTCCCGTACCTGGTCTGCTGCGTAGTCCCCAGTAGAGTATTTATACCTCCCAAGCCCCCGCTGCATATCCCCTGGATATCTTCACTCGCAACCTCTTCACAGCGTCTACTTCTACTTCTACTGTCTGCTCTACAGTCTCCTTTACGAAGACTTCAGCTCCAACATCCACATCTCTGATTTCGGCCCCCAAGCCCATCCCTCCGTTTCCTCTACCTGTCTTGCGACTCCCCCCAATCCGTCACAGTGTCGCCCTTCGACGCATCTCGCCTTTTTCGCCAACACGAACGCTCGTCCATACGGGACTCGATATTCCCGCGCATAGTGCCTCGCAGAAGATTGTCCCTGCGTCGAGCACCCACTATGCCTGCCCCCATCATCCAGAATATTTCGGAGCCCGTCGTGCCCGTGCGCGAGCTCGAGGTTGACGAGGAATATGTCATGACCAACTTCGAACGTCACGCCAGCCACTGCTACCAATGCGCAGACCCTCTGCAGGTTCACCAGGAGGACCGTTCGCTCTGTGACCGTGGACACCAGTACGCCCTGGACGTGGCCGACTACATCTACAGCAAGAATGGCAAGGCATACTCCGTTGTGGGTCGCGAAACCAACCAGCCCACCATGGTCAGGATCCCCCGCAACTCCGTTGCCGTGCGTGGTCTCCTGCTTGCCATTGAGGATGGCCTGCGCCTGCACCGTCGGGAGCGGCAGCAGGTCCAGACCGCTGCCCCTGTCATCAGCTACGACCGGACCTACCTTGTCCCACCTCGTCGTCGGGTTACACAGCCGGCACCCCAGCAGCCGGCATACAATGAGATCATCGAGAGGGAGCCACGCACCCCCAAGCGTCGTCGGGTCATTGTCTACCCTTCCCCGCGCAGCTCGCCCAGCCGGGGTTCGTTGTACGAGGCTGATGCGGCTGATCGCGTCGAGCGTTTCAAGGAATCCTCTCGCATTTACCGACCGGCTGAATACCACCGTTGAACGTGTCTGGGCCATTCTCGATCATCGAGGCCTGGCGTTTCGTATTACTTCTACGGTTTCCACCCACCACCACCGGCCCCATTTCTCCGCCATTCTGCTGGCAGATGCGACTTTAGACCCCCAATGTCTGACACCTTGTGAAACACAAGTAGCTTCGCACCCCCGAACAGAGCCCAGCGGGCTCTGGCCACGGAGCCATTTCGCCCGACTCCTTAGGAGTTTGGGTATTATCTTCTTTCTCATGCGCATTTGAATTTTGCCGTATTCATTTGACCTTGAGACTTTTGGGATTGCCGGGATTGATTTCTCTGCGTTCTGTCGCTGGCTATTTCCTATGTTTTGGATTTTGCTTGCTCTTGTTCCTTGTTTCTGAATCACCCTAAACGGATCGAGAAACAATACCAAACACCAAACAAAATTGAAAAGAAAAAAGGCGACCAAAAAAAAAAAAGCTGTTTGCGTGGCTTCGATTGGCGAATGCCCGAATGTCGTACATGATTCGCACAGCGATCTGCAAGACACCTCGTCGGACGTAGTGACTCACCGAGTCTACTTCTCCGCACCATTCAGCATCGAGGCCAGTTTAGTCCGAGTGCTGATGATTGGAGGGTGATAAGATTGAGGCTACCACGAAATTCCTTTCCTTTGTTTGACTAGTTAGTTACCGAGTTCTGTACTTGTGCATGAATGATACGATTCTCCACCACTGAGCTGTTTGATGTACTGTGTAGTGCGAACTGAATCTGTAGCTACTTAGGGGTGTTCTAACGCTATACTCCAACATGCTAGTAGGCAGTAGCGGCCGCACCGAGGTAGTCAGCAGTATATTCTGAAGATCATCCAACATTTCCACCCACCTCTGCAAGACAGAAGAGAAAAAGAAAAACGAGAGTACGTACCTCGACCAGAAGAAGGGTGAGTAACCTGGCAGTCCGTGAGTCATGCGAACGCCGGTCATCCTCATTGGCCCGACTAGTCATGCACGTTGGATGCAGGCAGCTGGACGTTGGAGTGGCATCCATGACTAGGCCGAATGGGTATGACCCGTCTGCAGGTCGGTATTGCAGTATTGCAGTATTTCAGTAATTTCGAGGTTCTGGTGGGTTATGGCGGTGCAGAGTTATTCATACTTCATGTAGTATTCCGTTGGTGGTGTGGGTACGGGGCTGGTGGATGGTGGATGGTGGAGTGGGGTTTGTGTGTGCCCCGGTGGGGAGGAGGATCCTTTGCTTCTCGTGGGGGGTGCCAAGGCTATTTGTTAGTATAGGTAGGTAGTTGCTAGTTACATGCAAAAAAAGGAGGGTAGAGCGGGAAAGGGAAAAAGAATCGACGAAGGTAGTAAAAGGAGGGGGACAATATGTACTACGCAGTACAGACTATAGAAGGTACGATAGACCTATGTGCTCTTTCTGGTTTGGTGTACTCCTCGCCAGTTTTTTTTCTTTCTTTCTTTCTTTCTTTTTTTTTTTCTTTCTTTTTTTTTTAAAAAAAAATATATCTGAGCACACTGACCAAGTGGCTTTAACAAGATACCCTACGCTAGACTGTAATCTTACCTGTTTTATTTATTATTTTTCAGGGCTTTATAATGGGTTGACGGGACAGGAGCTGTAGAGTAACAAGTGCCAAGCTCGGTATACTTCATGCCGAGATTGTATACAAATAAGATTCTGGCCCCGTACTGCGGTTCTGCGACAGATCTAATCTAACAATCATGTTCTGTAGATAGCAAAAAGCTTAGGTTGACGTGAAAGAAGCATATTAAGTTTGAAGACATTTAATCTATAGTAAGCTCACGTGGCTCAAATGCAGCTTTCATTTCCATAATTCTTATGTCCCTGGTATTATCTATCCTGATTGCTATCAACAGTCTTTCAAACCGCATACAGAAGAGCCTGCCGACCACAGTTCATACATTCCTTCATTGTAGAGAACATGCTGACACAGCCCTTTCTCCTGGATTCACCATTCCTGGTGTATATGGAGGGCATGATGTTGCCTAAAAATATTTAGTAGGATTGATATGGAACAGCACCGGTAGAGCACTCCAAGCATCAGCCAGTCAGTGCAGGACGATTCCGGAATAAACCGAAATATTTTAGCTCTCATCCATTATCTCTAGTGAATATATGATAAGAAGATGGTCGAGCAAAGAGGGCGAGGCGGTCACGGGACTGGTCAAGGTGCGAAGGGTCGCTTGTTCATCTTCTTGTTGCTATATTGATCCTCGCACCTTTCTCTCACTTCCTTCATACAAACCATCTCGTGGACCCCGCCACTCTCGTGTCTCGTTTCCCAAACGTGCTTCATAGATTCATCCAGGCGATATCATTGGGTTGTCGTGTCAAATTGGTAAATCTCGCTCTTCTGGATGATTCTCGTGGGGAAACAGTGAGAAGGCGTGAAAGATCACTAACGTATGCTGAGTTTAGCTTTAGCTTCTGTCAAGACCCTCACGATGTCTGCCTACTTCCAGCCTGAGGAGCTGCGTGTTGTCCTCGACCAGCTTGCCAGGGATCCGTATGAGGAAGAACTCCACGACAGGCGATTCCGTGATACCTACTCCCCATTCAACCCGGTTCACCATGGCCATCGCGACGGCGACCATGAGGTTCAACTGTCTGAGATGCCTGTGACTCCTCGCCCGGCAAGTAGGCCCGTTCCAGTGCCAACGATGGCCTCCGGCCAGCAGTCAAGCACTCCCTACCCCGTGGGCGCCGGCAGTGATGGCGAAAACCAAGCCCTGGAAACTGAAAACATCAAACAAATTGGCCAGATCGGCATCTATGAGCGCATCAGACACTGGCGTCGATCGTCCTGCCAGTGGCCTCTTCCCAATGCTCCCGTAGCAGGAGAAACACGATATGCAGCCAGTGTCGATCAGCTTGAGATTCTCACTGAGATTGCCTCATCTTACAGCGGCTCTACCGACGGCAATTGGTAAGTTAAAGCAACAGGATTGCCTATGAAGACATACCTAACAGACGGGAATAGTATTCATGCAAACGGTGACATCGAAATCCACGGCACTTGCGTCAGTCCCGTTCCTCAGCAAACCACACTCAACCCTCCCGTGAAAAAGACCAAGGGAACCATCAAGGGCGGTAGAACCCAGGGCAATATTCCCACTCCTGAATCGTCCCCAAAGAACGATGACGAACATACCCCGGGGAAATCGAACGAAGGTAATCAGCAAATCAATACTAAGGAATCCTTCAGCAAGAGACGCCGCAGCGCTCGCATTGCGGCTCTCACCAAAGCCGGAAAATAGGGAGCTGGCCCGTGAGTACTTTGCAAGACAATCACTGACCGTCCTGATATCAATGATGAGAGACTAACCTTGGCTAGAAAATTCCTTACTTTTCAACATAACAGCCTAAGCTACGCTCTTCAAGGGGTAGCACATGTTCTTGTATCTGACTGGACTCTGGTGCTCTGACTTATTCTGGGATGGCGACTGGTGTTCATTTCAATCTTGTTGCAGTATGGGCAATCATAATATCCTGGACCTACGGTGTTTGGCGGCACAGTCGATGCATAGCTGTGATAGGAGTTTAGGAATTGATTTTTGTCATTTTTGATGAAGCCAACGGCACGATGCTTTTTCTTTCTTTGCTTTTGCTCCCTTGTTCCTCACGGACAGACGATGACAGTAATGACTCGACTGAAGATATAGAGGGCAGCAGACTCACTGGGCCAGAATCGTGGAATAAAAAAAGATCAATGCTCGCGTTGAACTTCTTCTTTCTATAAGTATGTCTTGTCCCATCACGGTTGAACCATGGCTAACAGCCATGCAATCCATCCTTACCTGACTGCATGACGATCCCTGTTCTTGGCTTGCAGGTTAGCCAGGCGAGCGAGGGAGTCAGCGCAAGAGGCAGACCCTGGTCGGTGCTAGGTGGCAATAAGACAACCAGTCTGTGGAGATTTCGCTTCTGTGGCTGGTGCTCTTTTCCATTTTTCCATTCTTGGTTCGTATTTTTTTTTGTCAAAGCAATATTTAACCTGTCGGGGTCGCCTGATGATCGCGAAACCCAAACCTTACGCGACAATAAGAGAGACACCTTCGCGACCCAGACGACCCCGCACGGCGGGTGTGTGGATGGCGACGAGACTCGGAGGGAGGGAAGGTTTGTCAACGAGAAACAGAGGTGGATGGTAAAAACCGGAAAGGAAGAGAGAAAGAGAGAGACAGTGGAAGAAGAGATAGAGTGAGTTAGTTTCCTCCCCGTTCAATAGGAGCCCTGCCATGTGACCGGCATTTACCGGCCCTCCATCTTATCCTCCCAGAGGTCATGCGACGCTTCCATCCGCTTCTAATTATACCCCAGAATGGTATCATGAGGGTAGAGAGTTCGTCGGTAGGCTCTCCCGGATGGCTTACCAAGATCATTATCTCGAGTCAGTCTCGACCGGAGGGAAAAGGTCCAGTATACCCCGATATCAGCACCCAGAATCCACCCCAAAGTCGCAGAACCCAAGATGAGAAAAGACGAGCCCCCAAACAGACAAAACCACCACCGCTAAAGTCCTAATAAGATCTAGGTGGATGATGCACGACTGCCTTGATTCAAGCCCCCCTATTTGCATCCCCACGCTGCATGCATGGCACATCAAGATCCGACCCTCCCTCCATTTCGTCCTTCCGTGAACTTAATACACCACGCCATGCAGAGCTTTGGTCCCCCATCCAAGCTTTTCCAGCCATCCACCGGGTCAGCTGGTATCGCCGGACCCCCGGTGGATGCCACACCCGTTGCCCACCACACGGCTCGTCCACCGAAGCAGCTGCAGCTAGGGAAATCCTGCAGCCGTAGCCCAAAGTCAGGGTGGTTGCAGGTCGGCAGCAACTCCACACATTGTCTATCTGCCGTCGTCGCACGGATATAGGCAGCCGGGACAGCACAGATCAACTGGAGCCCGTGCGGTGTTACCCTCCTTCGGAGTCAACGACGCGGGTGTACTGCATTCTGATAACGGTACGAGCATCTGCATTCATTGCACAACACCACAACGGGTGCACTGACCGGTGAACGAGCTCGACTGGCAGACAGGTAGATCGAGACTGATATACTAGTAGTAATGTCCGAAGGCTCGTGCTAGCCATGCCGTGCCATGCCATGCTCTGATCCGAGCGCCATAAAGTTGCAGAAACCGGAAACCGCGCCGGCGGCAGGACTGGGATTGGTTTGGCGAGAGTGAGACATGTACCGTAGATCTCCCATGGATAGGGAGACCACGAGACCGGCGGCCGATGTCAAATGCGCCTGAAGCCGCGTCGCCGATCCTGACGCCCTAGCGGTATTGCCGTTACCGTCCGTCTCGTCATGACCCTGGGACACTATCCCCCATTCGGACAGGCTCACGTGATACAATCCCGGCCCGCCAAAGTTTCTCCGCGCATCTCAAAAGATCGAACACCGTCATCCATCCCTCTCCATCCCCGTGTCCTCTGGTCCAAGCCGTCACCATGGCCAAGAAAGGTGTGTTGTTCTCATCCGTCTCATCCTTCGCGATTGCGGCGGTCTAGTCCCGAGCTTGCCGCAGCGACTGCTGTGACATTGATGGCCCTGCTCCATGAAAACCACCAGACAATTCCAGACTGACCAGCGAATCCTTGTCCGACAGGCAAATCGCGTACCCTCCCGGTCCGGCTCATCTCCATGGCCATGACGGGCTACTTCCGAACGATGATCCGACCCCGTGCCCACCGCCCCTTGAGCATGCTCAAGTACGACCCCGTCGTGAAGAAGAAGGTGCTGTTCCTGGAAGCCACCAAGGGCGGCCGCAACCGATGATTTACGATCTCTCGACTCTTTCTTTCCCTTTGCGTTCGAACGATCAACTACTTGGCGCCTTGGGGGATGTTGGAATCGCGCGCTCCCCCCGATTCTTACCCAACTAGCATGGCGCTGAACTCAATGCTCGGAGAACGTCGGGTTGGTGCCCCCCGAGGGCTCGGAGTCGATTATTTCGGATAATGTTACCCTGTATATTAAGGCGGATCATCGGTATCGGCAGTATCGAGAATGGCTTCGACCTTCTACGGTTCGTGCAGAAGATGTATCTATATCGGTTTTGCATTCTGGCGTTTAGAGCAGTACAATCTGGGTCAAGCAACATGTTCGACATATCATATGGTCATAACTCCATTCATGCGGTAAATTTTCAATCTTGATCATGGTGCACGCCATCAACTTAATCATTCAATGGCCGGATAGAAATCCCTTGTGAATATTTAGGAAGTCAAGGGAGAAACGCTGCAAAACTTGTATGCGCGACTCGCGATAATCCTCAATCGTCCCTTCAAGTGGGTTGTTTCGAATTGCCTATTTCTATTTAAACCGAGCGTTATACCGCTCACCTATGCGAGTTAGCAACTCCCATCCCATCAACTAGGCTACTTACCTCGTGTCTTGCGCCCCCTAGAGCCCCGAGGCCACCTGCTGTTGTTCGGGTGATTGCGCTGCACCGGTGAACATTTACTGCTACCCGAGGCCAAACCAACAGGACTTGCTTTGCGCTCCAGGTACTCGGAAGAGCCCTTGCTATGTGTCCTGGTGGCTGATAAGGCTGTGGAAGCGCTCGCCTTTCGATTGCTACTGGAAAGGGGACCAGAGCCATCACGATCACTGATTTCTTCTATGCGAGAAGAAGAGCGTTGACTAACTGTTCTTTCCTGCTTACTTGTGAAAGAAAGCTGCCGAGTTCGACTGTATGTTCGTTGATTCGTGCGAGTTACTTTCCTCTCAACTGCATGTGGCTTGCTGGTTCCTCTCTCGGAGGCCTTTTCTTCATCGGAGGTCGAACGTTTGCGCTTTCCCTTGTCTGTGCCCGAGTCTTGCCCTTGAAACTTGACTGTCTTCTGCTTTATTGGCTGGCATTTTGTGGGAAACTGTTCTTCCATAGACTCTGCCTGGATCGTAGACGGCACATCTTCGCTTGTCTGCGGTGTTGTTTCCACCGTTTCTTCAACTGGTTGGGGGTAAGAAACCTGTGAAGCTGTTTCCTGAGGCTCCTCCCCGGCTTTGTTTGCCGCATCGAGCGCCCCTGAAGCTTCTTGCTCATTTGCCATCATGCCGGGCACCATGACAAAGTCAGTAAAATTATCTGCAGGAGTTGAGCAACGGGCTGGAGAAATCTGTCGTCGTATACTCGAAAATGGCACTATACCGACACTAACAGATGTTTGTGAATCAGGGATTCCTATTTGCTTGCTCATTGCTGGTTGGGAGTTTCCGACATCGAGGTCCCCTGCGTTTGGAGAAGAGAACAAACTCCTTTGGATGCTTTCGGTCCGGTAAATGAATTCGGTTGTCTGAAGAGGCCCCTGGCCTGGAGTTCTGCAATCTCCTTGAGACACTGGAACCAAGGGACTGCCTATAGGAGCATCGGACATAGCATTGACCGGACAGTTCAAATCCATAGAAGGGTCATCAATGGACTTTTTAGAGTTTCCGGACTGCAATAAAGTTTCCAATCGAGACCAAACATCCGACATTGGCCCCTGCGATGAGATGGAGCGCAATTGGTCCAGTGTTTCCTTAACACTTTTCACCCAGCCTTCTGCATCCTGAACTCTCCGGAGCAAGGCATGTATCTCGACTTTAGCCTTAGATTTGCCAGCTTCTAGGCTTGATCGAGCAAAATTCGCCGCTGATAGCTCGTTTGCCAATGACTTGCAATTCTCGTCTTTCTCCAAGAAGCTGGTTTGAAGTGATTCAAGCTTTGTCTCTAGTTCAAGAGACGCCTTTTGAGAGTCATTCCTGACTGTACAAAGTTCGACCTCAGAAATAGCGAGCTTCTCTTTCCCGTTATTAAGTTCTTGCTGTAGCTTTTTGACTTGCTCCCCGTTGGAAGATTCCATTTCTTGGAGCCTTCTGATCTCGTCGTTTTTCTCTGCTAATCCCGCAGTACTTTCAGCAAGTAAGCTCTCAAGGGCGTGTATCTTACAGTCCTTGTCCGAAAGCTGCTGAGTTTAGCATATGCCGTCACAGCAATTTAGGTAGCATACCGCAACTTCAGCTTCGGACTGCTTTTGCCGGGAGGAGGATTCTTTTTCAGCCTGTACATCGTTAGCCAGTGCTTCGGACATTGGCCAGGATATAATACAAGTTCTCGATGGGACTCAGCCAGCTGCTCCTGCAATTTACTGAAATTGGTTTCAAGCTCGGTCTTTTCTCGCAGAACCCCATGAAGTTGTTGTTCAAATCTCTTTTTCTGCTCATCTCGGGAAACAACACCTGCCCTATTCAGCTCCTCGCGGACATTGATTTCAACTGATTTGACCTTATCTTCGAGCTCGACGATCTGAGATTCGAATTTCTTTGCGTGGGCTTCAGTCTCCTGAACCTTGTCCATCGCTTCAAGCAGAGCGTTGCTTGTTTCCTCATTTTGGCTTTCTTTCTCCTTGAGGTTTTCTCCCGCTATCTGGAGTTCTGCAACTAGATCCTGCACCCGGCGCTGTAGTTCGATCTTCTCTTGGGCATGTGTGCAGGGCTCCACCGGGAGAAGCTCAACTTTGTCTGGGATTTTGATCTCTGAAATACTCTTGCCAAGGTGTTCCATTTGCTGTGTGATGTTGAACCCCTTGTCATCCATTGTCTTTATGGACGAATTAAGGTTCTCAATGGTCGGGATAATAACCTCAAGGATTTCCTGCAAGGTACCGCAACATCTCTCATTTTCGGAAAGCTTTTGAACAATACTCGAGCCAATGTTCATACTATTTGCCAAACATTGAAACTGCTCTTTCAGCTGCATGGCCAAGTTGCAATTGGCTTCAGAGCTCCCATGCATTTCATTCGTTATCTCAAGTTTAACGGCTTCAATGCTGTTATGGTGGTCAGCAAGTGAAATGTATGAATGCATCACAACTTACCTCGCCAGAAATCCTTTGATGAATTCTTCGACCCGACGCACATCTATCATTCCTGCGGAATGACTCTCATTGAGCTGCTTTAATGAAACGAGACACTCATCGAGAGCATTGCTGACAATTGACTGGGCGTTAGTCTGAATGGATTCGAGTTGTGAGCCAATGTTCTGAAACTTCGAATCCAGCGTCGTCATGATCGAATTCTGGTTGGACACCACCAAGCTTAGCCTTTTGCTCTGAGCGGATGTTTGCTGCCGAATGTAAGACTCCAAAGTAGACGACCGCTTTCTCTCATGAGCCAGCTGATCCTGGAGTGCCTTTACACTGTCCTCGGCGTTCGTCAAATCCTGTTTTAGCAATTCTGTGGTGTGCGCGGTTTCTGAAAGATGGCCGCGCCTCTCGTCAAGAAGATTGGATACTTGCGAAATATGCTTTTTAGCACTGGAAATGCTGCTCTCGATCTCTTTTTTCTCCCTGTCCAGGTATGTTCTGGCTGCCTTAAGTTGGAATGCTTCTCCGCGAAGGGCTTTATAATCTGCTCCAAACTCATTGAGAAAGCCTCGGAAATTCGTAAGTTTTGATTTCCAAGTTTCCATCTGCAATCTAAAGGCGTTCAGTTCGGCTCCTCGTCTTTGCAGATGGGTGGTGCAAACTTCCAGGTCTTCCTTCAGGGCTTTGTTTTCCTCTGTCAATTCCATGACGAGGATTTGCATCTGCTCTTTTACTTTAAATGCCGCAGTCTCGCTTTCTTCGCGCATCTTGACTTTGTTAATGAGGAGTTCAAAGAGACGCTCTTCTGAAAGCCCAGAATGTTCTTTCAATGCGTTTTCTTTGGATGACATCCTTTTTCCATTTGGCCGACGGCGCTTGGAAACTCTGTGCTCATTGACAGCAGATGATGAAGGATGGGCAGGAGAATCTTCTTCTCCCCTTGCTTGTTCGTCGTAGCCGACAGTCGCGACAGAACGTGGTCTCTTTGGACCTCTACCAGATGATCTCGGAGGGCCTGGGCCTGAGTCACAGGAATAATCTGGTCAGTCTCGTAATAAACATATGGAAGGGGATATTGTATTTGAAAACAGCAAAAGCAAATGCAAATATACCTTGTCCTCTATCCTCGGACTCTATGATTTGCGAGGTAGCCAAATGCGAGGAGCGGTTACTTTGCGCGTTGTAGGTGTGGGCTGATTGATTTTGATGAGCACCATCCCCAGCCCTGGCCGAATTCCTCGCGTCAGCGTTTGATAACACCTGTTCATGCTGTATTTTGTCTGCTGACGATGGTTCCTCGAAGCTCTGGTGGCTCACGCTGTGCTGGAGACCCGCCGACGGGGGTCTTGTACAATCAGCAGTGTTTTCCAAACATCAACAATGCAGCAGTACCTCGACCGTTCCTTCCGTGCTTGGACACTTTCAATATTTCCAGACTGTTGTACCTCATTCCTATGAGCGTGATTATCAGACGACTGAGCCTTCGATTCTCCCGAAGCTCTTCTAGCAGATGACTGGATGGAAAACGTCTTCCCCTGCTGCAAGGGCTTCGCAAACGAGAAAGCCGCGACATCAATTCCCGAGCTCTGGGGACGCTCCACCAGCAGAGGAGATGCAGCCCTTGGTCGGCTTGCCCATTCGGTGCCTGTAGGTTTATGAATGACCGCGTCTAAGTTTGGGGATGCAGGGGTATTAGGGTCCGCTATCTGTAAAAGTAAGAGCTCGTCCTCTTCGTATGCATTCCCATCACTGCGGAGGTCGTGCTCGGAAAGTCCTTCGCTCGGCATCTGAGGCGGTAATTGAGCTCCTGCGTCTTCCATGATGGGAGAAGATGACTGCGTATGGTTGAGATGTTGATAGCAAGGGCTTTGTCTTTTCACTCGAGCTAGATGGCCTGACGGCTGAACGTAATGAACTGATTGATGGCGAAAGAGAAACACAATCAAGGACAGAGAGCAACAGAAGAAGCAGGCAAGGAAGGGATCCCGTGATGGTCCTGGCCATCAAACGGGAAGGAGCACCTGGAGGCCTGAGATCGAAGGCAGCCGCAAAGGGGCCTTTTCTTATAAGATAAACAAAATGATGAGCTATCAACGCCATAACAATTCAGTAATACTCCCAAGCTCCAATTTTCACATCGAAATCAATCCCGTCACATCATACCAACTAATCTCAACCAAATACACCCATCACTTTCAACCTCCCAAGCCCTTATGTACCACCATACCCCTCTATACCTAACCCATCCTCCTATACCCAACAAGAATGTCAGCACCAAGAACCTTGAGCATCGCACCGTCACTTCCGACCGAAAGCGAACATAGACCCCCAAGTCCTCGGCTTCGAGTCGTTGTTGCCCGAAGCCTCAATCTCCGTCACTACCGCATTCTTCTCCAAATCATCGTCTCCTCTCTTGTTCTTTATGGTTTGGTCAGTGGCCGTCCTCTTGGGATTTAGACTCGACTGCGACGGCGGCTGGCGGAGCTGCGATCTCGAGAACTTCGGCGTCAGGGGTGTCTTGACGGCATCGACGACGTGTCGTGCAGATCGACGCAGGGTTTCTCGCATGGCCCACTGGCGGCGCTTAGCGACGAAGAAGAGTGCGGCTGACGATACTACATGATTCTGTCAGTATTGTCGTTGGCAAGAGGATGAGAACAAAGGAAACTGACTTCCAATGACGGCGACCACGCCTACTATCGTGCAGAGGATGATCATTCCCGTCGATGACACTCCCACTCCGTCGTCGGAGGGGCCTTCTGCTCCAGCTCGGTTCTGGCTTTCAACATCGTCGCCAATGTCCTGAGCTGCGGAGTACGCGAAGAGACTAATTAGGAGACAGCGATAGTAGAAGGCTGGGGTTGGTGACGACATTGCGTATTTCGGCCGTCGACTCGTCGCTGTGGGGCAGGAGAACGAAAGAAATCGAATTTATTGAGTAATAAGAGCGCGCGCGCAATGAAATGGGTCAATGTGACAATGCTGAATGATCTCGACCTGTCAGCCTGTAGTATAGATGGTATCCCGCTAAGGTGGAAAAGGTCAACAAACCCAGATCGCAAGACCCAAGGAAAGAAAGAACACAAACAGTACGCTTCAATCATACCCCTTCGCGCCCCTCAGCACGACCACCTAGTCGATATATAACCTCCTCGCCAATATCCAAACCAACACACCACCAAGAAAACACAAGGCATCAATTGGGAAGCCGAGATGCAAGCCAACCGCCGTGATAGGCCCAAGCACACCAATCCTCAACACCCCCGGGGCAGTCTGTACGACCCTGCATCCCAAACTGGGCGGAGCGGACATGGTGACAGGATTCGAAGATGCTTGCAGACGAGCGAATCATCCCGACCAGCTGGCGGTGACGGTGTGATGTAGGCGCCGGTGCCTGTGATTCCCGCCTTGGCTGGTGAACGGTTAACGGGGCCTCGTCCAATGGCAGCCGGTACGCATCCCCTCGGGGTTTCTTCTGTGTTTCGCGTTGAGTGACAGGCGGGTGCAGAACTTGGCTGCAAGGCTGAGTCGTGGGTGCTGGCGAATCATGCTTGCAGGCTCCCTTGTCTTGTCGATTGCGTTTCTTCACCTCCAACTACGGTGTTTGGGGTTTCTGGAGAAAACAGCACTGCCTAGTCTTGGCGGTAGTAGGACTGGTATACCTATACAAGGGTTGCTTTACAAGGCATCATGCTTTATAGATTCTAGACATGTACACATCACCAAAAACTATACAGAAAACACGCCAGGCCCCGCCACGATGCACAACCCGAGACTCAATAATTCTCGGGCAAATCACCGAAGCTGGGGATATCATCGCCACACTTGAAATCCGGCGCGTACGCCTTTTTCGGCATGAATCCGTTCTTCCACGCGGTCTTGTAACTCCACTGCGCGGCGGACTCCGTATGCCAGGTCCAGTAGAACCAGCCCTGCGCCGTTCCGAAGGCAGACATTTGCGCTTCCGCGTAGGTCTGCAGGAATTTCTTGTAGTCGTCCGAATAGTCCGCGACATCGGCATTAGCGTTGGTGCAATCGCATGAAGGGCCATCGTCGGCTGTGGGACAATACGCGGTCGAGTCGGTGGTAGAGAAGGTGCCCTCCCAGCGAGTGCCTCGACCGACGTTGTTGAGATATTTGGTGCAGTCGGTGTCGGCTTGGGACCACTCGCCACAGATGGTAGGCCCCCAGCTGCTCAGACATTAGCGACCTGCCTTCGATTCGCTGGTTGATCTGGGGGTGGGGTCATTCAAGGCTTACCCTGCGTCTGTGGTATTGATTTCCTGGATCATGTGGTACCAGTCATTGCAGATGAGTTTGACTCGGTCTGTATGTTTGAGAACGGTCTGGCCAGTATTGAAGATCGTATATTGATGGGTGTCCAAGAACATGTTATCGGGACGCGTTTTCAGCATCTTCTTCCATTTGCTCAGGTTCAGGAAGCCATCATGAACAACAACAAAGGCCTTCATCCCATTATCTTGTACCAATTTGGTGGCGTCGGTCGTCCAGTTGAGAACGTCCTCCACCGGCAGTGCAAGCATGAGGGGCTCGTTCACCAGGCCATATATGGTAATGATGTTTTTGTATCGGTCCTGGGTAAAGAATTTGGATATCTTGTCGTGGAACTCGAGAGACCGTTTTCGATTCAGGCTGCCATCTGTTCCGTTTAACCAGTTGATCGTACCCTCGCGGCCGCTATGGTTCCATCCGTTCTGACTCCCAGGAATCCCATGTGGATCCAGCTTCACACGCAGCCCATACTTTCGACAGTATTCAATAGCCCGCAACAGATATCTCCACGCAATCTTCGGCACGTAGGGGTCGCCTTCATAGGTTTCGACCGCCCAGTACGGAAACGGGATTCGAACATGGTCGAGTCCCGCATCTTTGATATCTATAAAGTCCTGTTCCGTGATAAATTTAGAATAGTGTCGCTCGATCTTCTTGGGGGCCGAGTCTCCGAGTTTTTTGGACAGAGTGTATTCGTCGATGATGCCGTCTCTCGATGAGTATTTATCAAAAAATGATGGAACGATGAACGGCTCGATCGACAGCCAGCCACCGACGTTGACGCCCCGAATCGGTTGCGAGCCATAAGGGAATGGCTTGTTCAGAGGAGGAACGTGCTCGTTGGCCCTGGCCGAGTCATCCCACGATGAATTCAGTCCCATAATAGGAAGGCCGCCCACAGTTTCATTCGTAAACGTCACATTGAAGTCGGCTGTGTCATACCAAGTCCAAGGATCCAGCACCGTATCCCGCGCGTAGTCCTAAGTCGCATAGTCAGCTCCAGCAGCATGGTCCTCCACCACACAGGTATCAGACGTACAGGAATGCTATCATGGCTTTTGCCATTCAGTTCTGAGTTAGCAGGCGCGTCGCCATCATCGTCGTCATCCGCATCAGCCGAGTCGGACGAATCTTTATTCTTTTTTGACATTACCACCGCAACCGGAATGACAATCGCAAGTATGATTAGTAGAACCGCAATAGCGATCCAGATCCATTTTTTCCGCTTCTTCGGCGTCTGCCCATCACCGGAGCCATCCATACTGCCGCCCCAACTGCCCTCCTTCTGCCATGTACCTTGCGCTGGTGGGCCACCGCCGCCGCCCCGGTGTCGAACCGCCATGTCGGGATTTCGCCCCTCTTCCAGATATGCGCCGGACACGATTCGACCTTTCGATTGCCCTCTAGGTGTATCTTCCGGGAATGGCTCCAGCATCTGTGATTCCCCTTCCATCACGGGTCGCTTGCGTGGCCGTTTCCTCTCCGCTCGAGAGTCGCCCGTTGTGTGGGATCGTTCCACTCGGTCTTCATCATCGTACTGTGAGCTTAGCTTGGCCAGTGCATCAGCACTTAACAGATGAGACGCACTACTAGTCGACTCGGTACTCTCATGCTTCGATGCCGCCGCGCGCCTTCTTTCCCTGCGACGTCTTCGCTCTGCATCGCTTTCCCCAGCGCGATCCCGGTGCCCTCTATCTCTGTCTCGGTCATGAGTCCTCCTCGGTGATGCAAGCGGCGAAGCGTTCGTTCGAGATCTCTCCCTGCGGCTGCTCTCTCCACGCGATCGTCTCAGAGGCACTGCGGGATCTTCCGGGGCCATGTCATATTCATTCGCATCGTCGGCATCATGGTCGTAATAGCTGCGGGGTTCGTAATGTCGTGAGTCGCCTCGCGAGCGGCGATGATCGTCCCGTCGGTATCGGCGCTCGCGAGGATCGTAATCAAAGTCGTCGTCGTAGTCGTCTTCCCGGTGTCGTCGGCGCGTGTACTCTGAGCCCGGCTCGCGGCCGCGAATGCGGTCTCGACTGCGGTAGTGACTCGGCATCCACTCTTATTTCAATCGGAATGCGTCAAAAATGGTACTTTATCGGCGGTGCGATAACTGGAATGCTGGCCCCGCCTCTTCAGTAAGACGCAGGCTTCTTCCGGAAAGTTGGTCGCGTTCAGAAGATGTCGTCAAATCGAAAAACCACGCAAAATTTCCCGGTTGCGCTCACGGCCAGAAAATCGCACAGAACAGGAGCATTGGGCGATGTTGGTCGAAATACATATGGCGCGAGAAAAAGCAGATGTTGCAGGCTCCAGCTTTAAGCGTCCCCCGCTAGGGAGCAGTCCGGCCTGTTATACTCAAAACAGTAAACAAACCAACCAAGTTTCCAAGGCACTCGCGTCGGCAGGCTAAGAACCCAGTTGCAGATGGACCACAATTCTGCGACACCGGACGCTCCTGAGTCAGGCACCGAAGGAGGCACTTTCTGCAGGTCAATCGCGCAAGAACCGCTAATCTGCGCTCTAGAAATTGCAGTTCCCTGAGATCTATGTCGGTCGCAAGGGATTCTGGAACCGGCGATCCTCAAGCCAGCCCCCTCCCAGCGGTCGGTGGAGAAGGAAACGACGGAGACTGGCAGTTGCACCGCAACAAAGGCGGTGAATGGGAGAACCTGAGCATCTGAGACACAAGACTGCAAGTCTGACCAATGCCAACATCTTGGTCTCTCCTCGCTTTGCAGCTGCCAATGTTGTACTATTTCTTGGACATGCAGGTCTGGGCGAAAGAGAAGTTGTTGTGGGGGAGAAGGAAAGTGAAAAAACCAAATGGAGAGAAGAGTGGTGACTTCCCGCAATCTAATCTAATCATGGGGTCATGCAAAACCTGGCAGTTTCATTCACAAGTCTGTCTAGTATATATTTCACTGGGAAGATTCGCTCCGAGGGGAGTATGGACAGAAGATTCGTTAGATACAGAGAACAACATGGAACAGGAATGAGTATGAGATGTAGAGAAGTGAAAACACGGGAGAAAATCGAGAAAGAAAAAGAGAAAAAAAAGTCTATCCAGCCCTTCACGTATATCTTCATCCATGAAGTCTTGCATAAACCACTTCCAAGCAATGACTATCAAGAGGGTATGTAAACGCCACAGAACAGACAGAAAGAAGAAAGGCTAGGAGAAGGAGATAGGGAAAAGAAAAGTAAGTACAATACATAACCATTATGAGCAATGAGATGCATATAGAAGGGAGGGCTGCTAATGAATAACTGATGATTATGATAAACATGTCATGTATGTCACTGCCGTCTGTACAACTCCGCGATCAACCATCCCAGAAAAAATGAAGAAGGTAAGAGATAAAAAAAGAGGATAGGGAGGAAAGGTAATCTTATCTTCGCTGAAATCCATGAATGACAGTCGATATTAGATGTATTTTTTGTCGCAGCCCGCGAATGTTTCAATAGGATGGAGAACGACACGTCAAGAAGCATCAATGCTCTGCATTATCGTTCTTATGGCGGAAAAAAAAGAATCCCGTGGATCCGCCAAAGACCGGATTAGCGGCCGGCGAAGTCAAAACCACGATGATTCAGGATTGGCTTTTTGGTTTTTGGGTGAGCCGCAAAATTCGCGTGAATAATGCCTTGGAACAGCAAGATATCATCTGAATCGTTCGCTTGCCTTGAGCGGAAAACTGCGACCTTGAAAGACACTCGGCGACGGTCATTCTCAAATGGTGAAGGCCATGCAAAACGGACCAGCCGATAAGCCCAACATAGGTATCAACAAGTGCTCAGCGAGCATGAAACTTCCGATGCGCCAGCAACTGCTGGGTACGCTCAAAACAAGACCCCAGCAGGGAAAGGCGTTGCAGTGCTGCTCTCCGGCAGACTCGGCTGCGTGGTGTCATTACGAGCCAATAATCTGTCTGGCGCCTTCTTTGCCCAGCACACCCGGCTCCTGAGGCTTGGGACTCCTGTCTCGACCCTTCTTCCGACTCAAAAAGGCAAGCATGCCACTGTTGGAGGATTTTCCTTTCGGGTTGTTCGTGTCGTAGCCTTCCGCGGGAAGCGTGGTACTATGATCCGCCAGCTCAGTCCAGCTACCGGCTTCCTCCAGGACCATCTGCACTCCTCCGCCTTTGCTGGTCTTGCGCGTTGCTCCACGAGGGCGGCTGGCTTGCGGTAAGGGGCGATGGAATGGAGGAGCAGGAGGCGGTGGAGGCGGGGGTTGTGCTGGCTGGACAGCGGGAGACAGAGGAGCCTTGTTAGGCACAGACGTTGGGTCTTGTGGTTCTGGGGTCCCTCCGAGGGGAGAAGGCGTATCTGGCTGGGTCAGGCGGCCAACCGAACCCTCGTTGCGCTGAGGGGGAGGCGAGTTTCTCGAATCATGCTGCGAATATTGTCGTGAATGGGTCGAGCCGACAGGAAGGCAGTCTTCCGGATTCCTGGAATGGATGTCAGCAAATAATAATGTGTGCAAAGTTCGCCGGCGTGGTTACTCACGTTGCGGATGCGATCGCATCGGCGGCATTTCTACGGTCGGGTCAGCAAACTTGACTCTCATATTTTCCGTCCACACATGGCCAACGTACCCTCGGAAAGTCACCGTAGTATAATCGAACGGCTCAAACATCGTCTCGATGAGGCGATGCAGTTCATCCTCCCGGATCTCCTTGGCCGTCGCATCTTCTCGCAACTCGGCTCTCGGCTTCTGTCGGCGAGCTCTAGCTTCAAGCGGCGCCTCTTCCAACAGCAACTCCTCCAGGTCATAGGTAGCGTCAAAATTGGTCTTGTCGCTGGAGGGGGTGAAAACGGGAGGGATTTCTTTCCGTTCGAGAGCCACGAAGTCGAGTTCGGCAAAGAATGGGTGGGAGGTAAAGGATTCGAAACTGATTGCGCCGATACGCTTGCTTCGGTCCTTCTCCATAAATGCAGCCATTGCCCGCAGGCATGGAACCGAGACAGCAGGGTTGGTGACGTAGTATTTCGGTTGGGCCTTCTTGATGTTTTCACTCAGCGTGTCCTGGCTGCGACCCTCAAACGGTCGCTATCCAAAGTGTTAGCTCGGTGTGATGGATGGACCGTGCGTGGCAAAGAACAAACCTTGTTGTAGATGCACTCGTAGAACGTGACACCGAGCGACCACCAATCGACTTCGCAATAGTATCCTCCTCCCTCGTAGACTTCGGGGGCTAGGTACGCCAACGTTCCCGATTTGCTCGTGAGAGGCTTGCCGGGTCGGAAGTCCGAGGCGACGTTCTGCACATCATCAGTTTTCTGTCGGTCGGCTCAAGAAGCGTGGGGGGTCAGGGCGTACAAAGTCGGCCAAATGGACGTGTCCCTCCGAATCCAGCAGGACGTTATCTGGCTTCACATCCCGATGTATGATACCTTGGGAGTGGATGTACCGCAGAGCACAACCCAGCTCCGCCACCCAGAATCGCACGGCCTCCTCCGTGAAGCATTTTCTAGAGATGTGAAAGCGCAGATCACCACCATTCATTAAATCCACCACAATGTAACTTTTCAAGGATCAGCATCGGGCGCTAGAGAGGGCAGGGTGGATATATGCGGAGAATTGCTGCAGGACGCACATATACTCTATGTCTTGAAAACTGTATCTTAAGTTGCAAAGAAAGGCATGGTTCAGATGTTCGAGCATTCGCCGTTCGCGAATTATATTTCGTACGCTTTCCGATCGAACCACTAGAGAAGCCAGGCGGCACTCGTTAGTTTCACCCGCCCGGACCACGCTGGGAAAATTTGTATGGGATGGAGGTTCGAACCTTCTTCTTTGCGGATGTACTTGAGGGCAAATGTTAACCCGGTATCCTTCTTCTCGACGATGCGAACTTTGCCAAACGCTCCTTTTCCGACGACTCGTAGCAACCGGAACTGGTTCAGGTTCACTGTGCACCCGCATTGTCAGCGCAATCCGATTTGGCGAGGGAGCACGAAGCGCAGCCGAAGTCCATCGCTCGTCCCCGGTCGCTGTCCGGCCATTCTGGCAGTACGTACCCTCATCGGTGGAGCACACCGGCTTCCCCTGCGTATTCCCCATTGAGAAGAATGTGCGACAACGAAAAAGAACGGAAACGTGTTTCAAAACGTCACTTCCGACCACATGCCACTGAGACTAGCACAGAATCCGACGGAGCTAAAGCAACCAGGCCTAAGCGTATTCGGGTAACCGCGCGGATCGGGGAGAAGAGACGGCGACGGAGGGAGGGAGAGACGGAGAGATTCCACGGGACGATGGAGACTGAGGAGATCGAGCGGGTTTAATAGGAGGAATGGAGAGTCCGGCACATCCAGTCCTACGCAGAGGGCAAGACAAACGGGTTAGCCTGCAAACAAAGGGGATCGGGAAGAGCGTGAGGCTGCCGGCCAAATGATGATAAGACGGGAACGTGGGCGGAGGGGTTCATTTTTCCGAATGGCCCAAGAGACCGAGACCCCCAGGGGAGGTGGGAAGGTGCAGGTAAAACATACCCCAATGCAATGCAATGGCTCCAGCGACAGGTGAGTCGGTCTTGAACCCCGAGACTTTTGGGCGTCAAGACACGGGAAGGTGGCAATTCGGAGGGGGGAAGAAGTAGAAGACGAGAGAGGGAGAGAGAGAGAGACGGAGAGGGCGAAGAAGAGGCGTTTTGGGTTGGTTCCGAGGAGGTGAGGAAGGAAAGGAACCCCTAAACCGGAGGCTTTAGTTGGTCGGTTTCTGTCAGAAAAGGCGGGCCCTTTGCGACTAGCAGGTTCAAGCTCATGCGCAGGTCGGCTTGGGTCTGTGGCGGATTGATTCGTACGTTTCTGGCTGTTTTTATTTATTATATCTTTTCTTTTTGTTTTTGATTTTCCAATTTATTCGTATTTTTTTTTTGAAAGTAGGGTTATTCTCGGCGTGCTGACTGGACCCTCGCTCGTCCTTTGTCTACTGCCCTGTCGTCTCCCGTTCGGCAACGGCCAACAGACAACGCACAAGACGGGGAAAGCCAGGAGATTGGGGACGCCGGAATACGAACAATAATCTAGACTGAACCAGGTGACTGGAATTGCCTGGTACCCAGGAGTCAGGTTGGCCTACGGGCTTAGTTCGTCGGCGTTCAAAACGAACAGAGACATCCGGAGTAAGAAAGGAGTCACGAAGGCAGCTACGAAGTCGATCTCTAAATACCGAGAATCCTTCGCGGTGTGAAGGAAGAGTTCTATTCGCATGTCTGTCATCCTGTGATCCTAGGACGTTTTTATTTCCTATTAACCTGACACTGAGCGTACGATCCGGGTCAGGTCGCCGATCGCGGCAGACACCAACACGACATAATTGAGGCTGATTAAGGACCAGGGTGTGTTAGCATGGAACTTAGCACCCTAGCCAGAAGTAGAACAAACAGAGAAAAGAAGAAAAAAAAATCGGGGGGTTATTCAGCCCGGCCAGGAGAAATCAGAAATGCCGCTTGGGCCCACGAGGGAAACACGCCGGCGCAGGAGGTACGAAAGCGCAAGGAGAGATGGACAGCCGGTGGAGAGGCCGATGGGGGGACAGACGAACTACTAGTCAATTAGTCTGGGCGATGGAGAACCGGGAAGACAGTACGGAGTATGGCCCATGGCTATCCATAGAGATTCCATGCATCTCATATATGGAGGGGGCCAATTTATTCAGGAGAATATGCCATCCACTGCGGTCGTCGGTAGGGCACACTGAGAATGCACTACTGCATCGAAAGTGTGTCCAGATGGCGCCATGCAGTAGTATTGGGCGTAGTAAGGGGCTCGAGACTCCTGCATCTTACATCACGTCCAGTCAGATGGCGGGCGGCCCCCGTTTGGAAGATGCATCGAACCGGGATTCTAGAAGATCCAGAAGGCCGCCCGGAGAGAAAAAAAAAGCAAAAAGGAAAAAGAAAAAAAAAAGTGACAAGTGAAACAGACCAGGGCGTCCACACAAAGGGGGAAAAGAAATAGCGGTGACCAGGGGATCAGGACCAGGATCCTGCGTCTTGTTGTGATTGATTATTATTTAAAGAAAAGGAAAAAGAAAACAAGAAGAAAAAGAAAAATAAAAAAAAAGAAAATATCGGGGCTGCCTGGAATATCTTCATCCTTCCCGAAGCGGGTGCGGATTCAGGAGACCCTTTCAGAGTTCCGAGCAATCCAAGGGCAACACGAAGCAGGCAGTTGGTCTGTGGGCAAAGCGGAAACGCCCATAGGATCAGCGCTGTTAAGACCATCTGGACTTTCGGGAGTCTCAACTCTCGCGCCTGCCAAGCATCCTGTCGGAGGAGCAGCCTTGTTCGTCCTGCGCTGTCCTCAGCGGGAGCGCTGGTGCGTAGGACGCGAGCCCGCTTGTCGGGGCCTCTAACCCGGGATTCGAATAGATAAATGGGATCAGCACCGTTGGCGCCGAAAAAAATTGGATGCGATGAGAGACGGATCCACTCATCGATGGATGGAAGTGGAGAGACCCGCCAATCCTAATGCGGCCGATCCTAGACTAGGACGCTAGGGATGGCAGACGTGGTGACATGAACAGATAGTTTGGACGGCGGATGTGGTCATCGACGAGGATTGAATTTGACTGGGACTGTCGTGTATGCCATTAGTCAGGGTGAAGAGTTGTGGGTTGTGGGTAATCAAATCAATATGGAGTCCACCCCGAAGTCTCTGGATGAAGTTTCCGGATAGGAGAAAGCAGGAGTGGATCGAGTGGGAGGATCTGATCGGTGGACTTGCCGGAACCGCGTTGGTCTTCGGATGCTGCAGAAACGATGGACGAGGACGAGATGGAAGACACGCGAGATGTATGTCATGTTTGCCCGCGTTGCCCTGTTTGCACGGTGCATACGGAGTCGGAGTACTCCGTATACGATCTCCTCGATTTCCTCCATGTCAAACCAAATCATAGTCAGCAGGTTCAATAAACAACCAGTCATTGTATTTGTGAACCTCTGAATAATCGTATGTGGCCTATCCTCCCAACCAATCCGTGATCTATACCCTATAACCGTTTCTAGCATCCATATCCATCGCCCTACTCTATCGCAAACCCGGCCTCCCCGACCTCCATTCGTCTCACCAATTGGCTGGGTCAATAATTCTCCGTCGCCTTTCATCCAGATGAGATTCGCGCCAAGCGACTACTGCGGCCCTGGATACGCATTGCAACGTGAACCAGCGCTTACTGCGATAGAAGTGGGAATGCAAGGGTCTCGAGGTCGGGGCCAGAAGGAGGGGACAAAAAGTCATCCGAGACGCCCGATCCTGGTCAACGTCAAATCTCATCTATCTGTCACCGGTCACCACTCTAAATAAACCATGCTACTCCGTATGGTGCTAGACACCAGATAGCTGATAAACACAGGCCCCCCGGGTGGAGCCTGGAGGGCAGATGACAAAAAAAACACGAAGCTGAAACGCGAAACGCAGAGCGAACAGGGATCTTACAGCATGCAACTAATGAGAATCAGTGTGGATGATCTGCAAGCGGTTGGTGGGAGCAGGGATGGTCGACTAGCTCGCTCGCTAACCTCTACTTCTTTTGTTCCCTGCGATGAGGTAAACCGCCAGAGATTCCGGCCAAAGAGCGCAAATACCCCCCTGAACCGGTTTTCAATTAGTTGGGGCGTCGAACGGAATCGAAAAAGTACCGTCTCCCCACAAACCGACCGTTTCTTTGTCGTGGAGGCCCAGGTGGAATTGTGGCTATTGGCCAGCCACTCAATAGAGCAAGTCAATCACTCACACCCATGGATCTTCCCACCCTCCAGCCAGTAGCCAAGCGGAGCAGACGGTCGCTCAAAAACGTGGCGGCCACGAGATTCAGCCACGCCGGGCAACAAAGAAACGCAAGGGTCACGACAACCTTTCTGACTGGTCGAAAACGTGTCTCACGAGGTCATGAGGAATTGACAGGTCAGCAAATGGGCGCTGGGCACTGGACAGGTCAGAGGTTTGGGTCCCTGCTGGGGAGAGCAAACAAATCGGAGGCGGATAGAGTTGGTTAGTGGATCGAATAGCGCCACAAAAAGTGACAGGTAGCAAATATTGGCCTTTCGATATGATGGCGATGAACATCGAATACTGGCTGATTCGTCCATGAAACTTCTACGGAGTACAGGCAAAATATTGAGATTTTCGGAACATCAAACTGGAGCAGATCGGATTACGAATTGAATCGTTCGCAGTAGCACAGCTAGCAATAAGACAAAGGACCCAACAACAAACGACGGAGCAACGTTTGTACAGAGGCCACCGGTTGGTTTAGCACCCCCTCAAACGAATAAACGCCGAGACATAGGCATTGCCTGGACCAGGCTTTTGTGATCCCCCTGAACAACATAGCAAACCTTCCACTACACACCACCACAAGGGGTTTGAGATGTTTCGATACAACCAAATCTGGCCACCAAGCTGCAGCATACGTGTCAGGTCTCGCCATGAAATTATTCCAAATCTTTGCGTTACCGCCGAGAGCGGCAGCTCCGTAAACAAGCTATCTATCTGTCGAAGGAGACTGCATTTCATGGTGGCAATATTGTACATGGTGGCAACCAGATCAACGTGCCACAAATATTATATCGATGACGTAGTAGGATCGAGATCGATCGAACACTCCTGCATATCATTGGAATACTTCTAAACGGGGTAGGACTATACAATGTGGAGGCTTTCTCGGAAAACGTTTCCAGGAAGAATACGGAATGAGAACGACTTTGTACGCGAGTGGTTGAGACTGTACAGACCAGGGGAAGACAAGTGAGGAGAGATAGTAAGTTATCTATGTTAGAGGCCCTGGTCAAAGTTAGTTTTGCGAAAGGGATTTCTTCTTGATCGACGAACAATAGCTATCTGAGGCTTGACTCGGACTTGCTTTAAGCCCCCATCCATCCAATACCGTCTCCCTCAAGGAATACAAGCAGTCTTACTATTTAATGCACCATTGTTTCGTATGATAGCCGTGCCATGCAATCATGTGTTATTGAAACCCGAAAGTAAAAATTGCAAGATATCCTGAAGTTCAAAAAATGTCTATGCATACCCGAAAATCCCACCCGATCATGGCTGCCAAACGCCGGTATCAACAAATTGCTATCTCCAATGCCCCATAAAGCTTCATGCTAACTCTCGTACGCCTGTCCAGTATCACTCCAAACCCATCACCGGCATCGCGGCAATTTACCAACGCCGTCCGTAAACCGAATCCTCCGTTCGAGGGGCGCGCTTTTCAGGCTGTCGATTCCGGTCGCGAGACACAGAATACGAATCCTGCGAGCCAGGTTCCCCATGTTGAGATCCGGAATGACTGCTTTCACTCGCTGACGTCAAAAGTCTGGTCTTTTGTGCCAGATCGACATTGTCCCGGTCGCCGTTGTACCGTGCCTCTGCATCCCGACCAAAGAGAGCCATCATATCCTTCATCGTAAGCTTGGCAGCGGCAGTCTTGCCTTCGATGGTAACATTGGCCAGTTCTCGCTTGCGATCTTGGAGATCTATGATACGTTCTTCGACAGTGTCCTTGATGATCATCTTGTAAATCTTGACATCGAGGGTCTGGTTGAGACGGTGAACACGGTCAATGGCTTGTTCTTCGACGAACTACAGGGTAGATATGTTAGCACCTGTTTGAAAATCGAGCGAAAAGAGATGGCCCGAACACTTACAGGGTTCCAAAACGGTTCCAGAATTACTACTCGACTCGCCGCAGTCAGGTTCAGTCCCAGTGCGCCGGCTCGCAGACTGCAAAGTAGTACTCGAGTCCCGCTGTTGTTTCGGAGCTTGTTGAGACTGGCTTCTCGAAGATCGTTGCGCATGCTACCATCGTATCGCGCGAATCCAATTCCAGCTCGCTTGAGGAAGGGCTCAATCTTGTCAAGCATTGAAGTAAAGACAGAGAAGACAATAAACTTGAAATCAGCGGACTCTCGATTGAGGATCTTCATCAAATGTTTGATCTTTGTCGAAGGTAGTACTTGGTTCTCGTCATCTCCTGGGTTCAGGTAAATGTCCTCCTCAGAGTCGCTTTCTTGGTGCTGGATTTTTGAGCTCATGCGGTTGGCAGTTGGTGATTCCGGTCCATCATCATCAGAATCCGACTCATCTGAAACAAGCCATTCGCCGCCTCCTTCCGCGTCCTCATCGTCTGAGCCTCCGGCCCTTCCAAGCTTGGGGGTCGAACGCTGTCCTTCGGGGACAATCCATTCTCCATCCTCATCCTCGTCCTCATCGTCACTGTCGACGACAATTCTTCGGTTGCGTTGAGCACGAGCCATCTTGGCTTCTGAGCGACTAGCCGATGGTGAATCAGTAAGATCGACGATGGATAGTTTGCGGGAGCTCTTCTTCTTCTTGCCACTGCGGTTGTCCGAGAGTGTGTTTTTAAGATCCGTCTCACAGTCGCCGCACCGACTAGCACCACTTGCTGCCTCATCTTTGCTCAGGTCCGTCTGACAGACATCGCATTTCTTCGACATCACGCTGAGCGCTCCAAAGAGATCTGCCATGCTATCGAGGTCATCCTGCTTTCCTGGCGCAGACTGATTGCCCGATGATCCATTCTGCAACAGAACATCTTTGTCCTTAGCCAGGTCACTTTTCACCAGGTCAGGATGGTTGCAAGATTGCCGCAGGCGCAATAGCAAAACTAAAGCACCGGCGTAGTCCATTTTCTCGCCCATCATTTTCTCGAGGCTGTTTTCCGTTCGCTGTTCGAGGCGCTTGTAGAAGTTCATCTCTCCGGGCATAAATTCGGCAGCAACCTTAATGACTTCTCGTTTCGTGATCTGGAAACCGGAGGACTTCTTTCCCTCTCCACCTGCGCCCTCTTCGCCGGGTTTGAGGTTGGAATTGAGTTTCAGAACATCCTTAGTCCGTCGCTTCATGAATGCCTTCAGGTAAACCTGCAGACGCTCAATCGCGAGACCACCCCGGCCATTGGCTAGAGGTTTCGTAATTTGGTCCTTCCAGGCTGCCAGGTCGTTGAACGGCTTGATGCGCAGGAACTTGATTAGACTCTGCAGCTCGTCGAGGTTGTTTTGCATAGGGGTTCCCGATAGGCACCACCGGTATTCCGCATCAAGGGCATAGGCGGATTGGGTTGCCTTTGCGTTTCGATTTTTGATGGTGTGGGCCTCATCCAATATGATTCGGTACCAATAGACAGAGAAGAGCCCCGATTTCGGTTTCTTGTTGCTCTTGTCAGAGGCTCCATGTTCGGAAGTCAGGGTGCCATAGGTAGTGATCACTACATCGTAGTCTTCGAGATTGTCTGTTGCCTTTGCTCTGGTGTTCCCGTGGTAGACACACACGCGAAGCCTATGCGATGTTTCGACCTTGTCGTTGATTTCTGCCTCCCACTGCTTTATAAGAGCCAAGGGAGCAACGACCAGGGTTGATTTGCTTAGACCAGGCGGCAGTTTTGAGCTGTTCTCTCCATCTTCATCGTCGCTCTCATCGGAATCATCAGGATTGACGGGTCGTCTGCGTCCATCCGCACGCTTGCTATTGGTGAGCAGGAGAGAAATAGCTTGAACTGTCTTTCCGAGACCCATGTCGTCCGCCAGGATTCCACCCTTAGGAAGAACGCCTTTAGCTTTGCTCTGACCGGTTTCTTTGTCCCGCATCCAATTTACTCCTTCCCGTTGATGTGGCAGGAGCTTGACTTTTAGACCCTCCACCGTACCATCGTCTTCATCGTCTTCTTCTTCCTCTTCTTCGTCATCGTTCTCATCTTCTTGTCCACTTTCGGCGTCATCTTTGGCGGAAGTCTTTTCGTTGCCAATCTCTCCAGTCGATGCCTTCGTACCAGGCTGCTCCCCGTCAGTATCGCTGTCGGAATCATCATTCGTGGTTTTAGATTCCACGACAGACACTCCCTGCAGTTGGGCAGTCAGATCATCGATATCAGCAGTCTCCTTCTTTTCGGCTTTACTATCATCTTTGTCGTCCTTCTTTTTGTCTTTCTTGTCTTTTTTGCTCTTCTTCTTGCTTTTGTTCTTCTTCCTGCTCTTTGACTTTGAAGGCTTCGATTCGTCTTCCTCGAAAGCCCCTTCTAGCAACGCCTTGATGTTCTCATTGGCCTTGGCTGCATCCACATAACCGTAGTTGTCTGTCGAGCCAAATCCTACATTGCGTGGGCGGGCGCTTGGAGTAAAGCCACCCTCGCCAGTTAGATCCACAAAGTTCTGCAAGTTCTTGGAGGCATTTGTAATTTTCATTGCGGAAGGCTTGGCTGAATTGGAGGTGTAAAACGTCTTGGGGGCTCGAGGGGTGGAGAACGTGACATTTTCAGGGCGCTTAATCTGAAAGACATCGTTGTTGGCAGTGCGAGAGAACTTGTTATTATTGTAAGCAGAAGGTCGGACGTGCTTGAAGGGATCGAGCCCGTCACCCCGTCTCGGAGTGGATACTGCAGCTCCTGGGGTAGAAATCTGTCGATGGACGGGATATTGAGGTCGTGGTTGAGGCTGGCCTTGGGGTCTATGATGCTCAGGCCGTGCCCTGTTGGGTTTGGGTATATTGAACAGGTGGTTGGAGCGTTGGTTATGAGGGTGCGCCGGGCCTATTGGCGAGGGTTTTCCAAATTCGGGATGCTGAGAAACCTGCCGACGTGGCTCATCATTTGGCTTTCGAGGAGTGATGGGGTTGAGGGGGTTTTCGCTTTCTTTGGCCATATTGTATGGAAGGGTTGTTGTTGTTGTCGGTTATTGTCGAGGTGCGTTTGCTGTCTAAGTGGGGAGAGATCTTTGGTGTGTTTCGAGAAAAGACAGTATATCAAAAATCGAGTATCGTGCGTCACCAGTATTTTTGCCTAAAAGAGAGACTCGTGGACCACTCATATAACCGTCTCAGGAATTAGTTAGGGGATATTGTTGTCGATGTAGCGTGGTTAAGAAAAAGTTTCGCGTCTATCTGGCATGAGGGGCAACGTGGTTAGTTTCTATCAAACGTTCAAATAGCAGTGCTGCGAAACCTCAATAGGAGACATAGGACTAACCTGAGTCATGCCATTTCAGAATCCGCAGTGGTTGCCTCTGAAGAGTAGTGGGCTGTCGAAAATTGTGGAGGGGAAGAAGTGGTGGTGATGCAAAGGTTGTGAGAGCCCACATTTTATCGATAGCGCCTATCGCTCGTTTGTTTGGGCGGTTTGCCCCAGCAACGCCGCCCCGCGCCTTCTACGGAGTATTATCAACGCACGATTTCATACGTCGGAATTTGACAATAACGTATTAAAATATATTGCCCTGGAAGTTACTTTTATAACCCTCACCATCGACTCCCACCGTAATTTCTTGCATTTCCCTAAATTTCCCCGATAAAATCCTTTAACATCTCCGGAACAATGGTACCTGCATCGCCCTGGAAGAACCAGTCCCCCTGTTTCAACCCCGAAGCCCCAATGTCATTGCGATCCATGTTGACCACTGCGACTCTCGCGCCCCGATCGCGAGCTTTATCGACGTATCCCGCAGCGGGATAGACTTGGGAACTCGTACCAACGACCAGGATAAGATCAATCGGCCCCGAACGCATCCAGCTATCCACCATATCAAGCGTATGCATGGGTAAGCTCTCGCCAAACCAAACAACCCCCGGCCGAAGAATGCCATCTTTACACGCGGGGCACTGCGGAAGCACATCCAGACTTAGCGCAGGAAGCGGTACCCGTTCGTCAGATATGTCGGCTTCCGGTGCCTCTGCATTCCCTAGGTAATCAGACATAGATTTTGAAGCACTTTCGCCGGTTTTGTCCTCGGTGGAAGAGATGAATTCCGGGTTTCCCTTGGGGATTTCCAAGGCCGGGACAATGGGATCCGTGAAATCATTCTCACGAGAGTAGTTGCAGTAGAACGAGGTGCATTTCACCGTGAAAAGAGACCCATGAAGGAGATGCAGCTGTTGCAAGGGATGATTGGCTCGCTGTGAAAGACCTATTGTCCCAATATTAGCATATCAGTTCGACAAAACAACTGAGCCAGGCCTATCCTACCATCAACATTCTGGGTTAACGTGATAAAGTCCTTGTTCTTCCTAGCTAGCTCCGCCAACGCAAAATGAGCCGGATTCGGCTTCGCCTTCAATGCCATATGTCTGCGATAGCTGTAGAACTGCCACACCAAATCTGGATTGGCCTCAAAGGCTTCGGGGGTGGCGAGATCCGTCGCATCGTGGGATCTCCATAGCCCCCCGGCGCCCCGAAAAGTCGGCAAACCGGACGATGCAGAGATCCCCGCGCCCAGGAGAGCGAGGACGCGTTTGCATCCTTTAAAGTATTCCGTAAATGAGCGGAGATCGGCGGCTGGAATGGCGGACGAGGCCATGGCGAGGGAGGGTTGATGGTGCCGCTACTTGCAGGTGGGGACGTAGAAGGTGCCAGAAAGTCTTGACGACAAGACGGTATGAGCCGCAAAGGCTATACAAAATGGGATACACAATCTACAGATGCGGCTCAACTGGATGTGCTTTTCTGGAAGCTAAACGGTTGTCGGGGATGATGTTGCAGAAACTCGGGGACGCGCTAAGTTTACCCAGCGATGACGTGGGGTTTGCATCTTGACAGTTCCCTTGGGGGTAAGTTAAGATGGACCGGTCGGAAGCTTGTCACACAAGATTAGAGTTATTATAGCATTTAGTTTGATCTTTATTTTTTACAACACAGATTTTTATTTTTGTTTTTATTTCTCCCCGTGTGCTTCTCCGCCCACTACAGCGCCGTTAGTATATATAGTTCGGGGAGGTCGGAGCCAGTACCCGAGTTACATCAACCAAACTAAGAGTATTGCACCAAAAGAATTCTCAATTTTGTCAAGTAAACCTTGGACATTAAACAGATTTCATGAACATTAATATAGTACTGAGCGCAGGAAAAGCATACAGGCCATTGAAAATACAGTGAAATAGTCACTAAACTAATGCTGCTCTTCCTTGGGAAGAGTCACTCCGACTGCTTCATGGGCATAACTGCGGTTTTGATCATTCCTACTGGTAACAAAGCCAGTGATGTGGTCGGGTACTTCGGCAACCTTGTTACCAGAACTTGGGATAGGAGTACCGAACGTCTCCCAGACAGGTACCACTCCCGTCCACACGCGATTGGTGACCTCGTCGTCAGCATAGTCCTTCTTCTCATCCGAAACCCCTCCGTCACGGATCTTGCCACTTCCGTCAACCACCTTGACTCTGAGAATGACGGTCGAGGACATCTCGGCACGGTCTGGGGGCACTCGTGAATGATTCCAGCGGTCTGGGACCACCGAATTGGTGATCAGCTCCATTGCCCAAAGTTTCTCGGCTTCGTCGGTGACAACACTTGCATATCCATGGAGGATAGCGGACCGATAGTTGTAACTGTGCGAGTTGGGTGTCAGGGACAGGACCAGTCCGTCAACTTTGCTGGCAGCCACGCAGATCGGCAGTCCTTTCTGGGAATCTCGGGCAAGATTCATGATCCGCGAGCTGACATAGCCGTGGAGATAGCAATCCAACGGCTCATTTATATCTGCGGACGGATAATCGAACGATCCCATCTGCCCGATCATGGGGATGATAGCTGGAAAGGGGTCCTCCGGACCGGGGTTGAAGGATACATGGAGAACCTGGGTTGAGTTGACAATGGAATGGATTGCTCCCAAGTCATACGTCGCTGCATGGACACTGAGTTCCTTTTGCCTTCTTCAAAGCGAGGAATCTGGACATACCTCTATGCTTATAGCGGTTGACGGTGTTTGCAGACTTCTTTGGGTAGGTCAATGTGCGGCCCATAGTGTATGCTGGAACCTTTGCGGATGCCGTGGCTTTGACGGATGTCCAGTCCTGGGGCAGGGACCTGGTCTACTTCTTATACTGTGAGGGTGAGTCATGAGTCCATCTGAGAGAATCTCGGCCGATTTTGACGCAACCTGGAGTCTACGTTGGATCCTTTCAACGCCGAGATAAGCATGGAATGAGTAGAGACGAGGCCAATGATGGACACCGCATGGACTTGCTCCATGCGGCGCATCGCAAACCCCGTGACTCTGATTGGCCGCGGGCACCGACCCGGGGTGGCAGCCTGAGGCAGCAAGGCCCGTGCGGATTCCCGTGGCTCGGGAGCTGCTGCTTTCTTCCAATTGAACCTGACGTCCACCTCCCAACGTGAAAGCCCACGATAGTACGGAGTAAGCATGTCGACATGCAGGTTATTCGCTCGCCAATGGCCTCGTTGCCTTCGCCGCTCCACTCCATGGATCCCCCGGTCAACGTCGAATCGCCTGGTCTCTCATCAACTCCCCGCCCTTCGCCGTTCCTACGCTTCGTCTATCTCCGCCGCGGAGCTTAAGTTCGGCCAACCATTACACGAGACACATCCCCATTTGCTGAACCCCGGAGAATGTGTGTATTCCTTCGATGTGTATCGCGCCCTGACATAACGGGACATGGTGATATTGACTGAGAACAAAAGTAACGCCTGGGATTACGGCTCTCGAATACGCCCATCGTCGATCACGCCTTGCGAACAAGCTCCCCAAATACTCGATTGCCGTGCTAGCTGCGTCGGAGGTCACATATCGCGCGTCGGGCATCTTCAATGAGTACCGACAAGACTCCAACTTCTTCTATCTAACCGGTCGGTGTTCATAGCCAAAGGAAGGGGGAACGTATGGTTGATTGACTTCGTTGGAAACAGGATTCAACGAACCGAATGCGCTGGCGATTATCGGTGGGTCTTTACATAGGACAGTTCAAACATCAATCCGACAACGCTGACCAGGCTGCAGCAAACGACGGTTCTGGCGACAACCATCTTTTCCACCTGTATGTCCGGGAGAAAGACGCGAAGGCCGAGCTTTGGGATGGAGCTCGGTCTGGGACGCAGGCTGCAACTGACGTTTTCAACGCCGATGAGGTAAAACGTGATGGTGCTCTCCCTGTATCCAAGCCTCGCTAATCTGGAATTCCAAGACCGGTGATATAGAGCGCATCGGAGAGTTGCTCCCACGCATTATCTCGGACGCTACAGAGATCTATACCGATATCCCCGCTTTCAACCCTGGCCGATCCTCCCTACATCGTTATCTATACGGGCCTACGGGTGCATCCGAGCAGCTTAAAAAAATTGTTGACTATCGGAAAGTCAAGCCCTTGCGCCCGATTCTCAACGAGACGAGAGTCTTCAAAAGCGAGGACGAAGTTGTGCAAATGCGGGCAGTGGGACAAGCTTCCGGAAGAGCGTTCACCGAATCCATGAGACACACATTCACCAAGGAGAAGGACCTCACATCCTTTTTGGAATACAACTTCAAAATCAACGGCTGTGACAACAGCGCTTTCGTCCCCGTTGTCGCGGGCGGCTCCAACGCTTTGAGCATCCACTACACGAGAAATGATGACGTCCTGAAAGACGGCGATATGGTCCTGGTGGACGGAGGAGGAGAAGGGGGCACCTACATTTCCGACATCACCAGAACATGGCCTGTCAATGGCAAGTTCACGGATCCTCAGCGTGACCTGTACAATGCGGTGTTGAATGTGCACCGCAACTGTGTCTCGCTCTGTCGAGAGGACGCAAATCTCTCCCTGGACCGACTTCACACCGTCGCCGAGAATGGCCTGAAAGACCAACTGCAGCAGCTGGGCTTTGACGTCTCCGGAAACGCCATGGGAACTCTCTTCCCTCACCATCTTGGCCATTATATTGGACTGGACGTGCACGACTGCCCCGGATACCCCAGAGGGTACAATTTGAAGGCAGGCCAATGCATCACCGTGGAACCGTAGGCGTCTCTCCGTTCGATCTGGTTGGGTAATTTTTACTAACCTGTGCTAGTGGTGTCTATGTGCCCGACGACGAGCGGTGGCCGGAGAAGTTTCGAGGAATCGGGATTCGCATTGAGGACAGCGTCTGCGTCGGCGATGACAGCCCCATCGTGCTGACCACCGAAGCCGTCAAAGAGGTAAGTTTGCTTTCCAGCTGGAAGTCTTGCGTGCATTAGCGTCCTTTGCCGACTGACAATACGTCATTTTCCAGGTCGACGACATCGAGGCACTGCGGGATTAGGATCGGGAAACTTCAGAGTAGCAGCAAGATACCCTTTGTACATGGATGTATATTAGCCAACGTATTGATGACTTGGGAGGGCGCGGACGGAGCGCCGAGTGGACATGACACGCCTCTGGTGGATGTTATTGTTGTTATTGTTATTGTTCGTTGCAGAAAACAAACAAACCCTAAGCGGTGTTGTCACCCGTTTTCTTACATACACATACTCATACATGGATACAAGCACCAGCGACGCGCAAGAATCCGGGGCTTTCCCGGGTTCCATGGGGATTCCCCACTGCGAGAAAATAAGAGAGAACCAGTAGCACAAAGAACAGCGCGCTGAGGGGGAAATCAGACCAGGAATGTCCCAACCTTCATACCTGCCAGAGGTTCGCGGTGGGTTGATGCCCCGTTGTCAAGGCGCACATCCCGCGGCCAAAACAAACCAAACGGAACCAAACCATACCAGACCGTCTCCACTCGCCGACACGCTTTACTTCCTTCTCTGCGCTCGCTCTCTCTTCCTCTCCCACTCCCACCCCCGACGCAGCCACGGCTACTCTCCTTGACTCTCCACGCCCGGGTTTCTCTCAACTGGACAGTGCTCTCTCCTCCCTGGGCAAGAGGACTTCTCCCCCCCCTCCCCCCTCTTCTTGACCCTCCTACGCTCCCTACCTCCATGACTCTGGATCGCCTGAACAATGGCCCTTTTCTGATCGAGCAAGCCCTCGAGACGTGTATTTCTTCGCGTGCTCGGCCTGCAGCGCCTCTCTTTTGAACAGGCCTCTCCGACCTAGCTGCTTCATCTCCTTATTTACGCCTGGTGTATTGTTACCATATGGCAGCAGTATTCATACCCCCTTCACCGCAAGCCTCGTTTAACATGTCGACTCGCCGTCCACTCGCCAACGTGCCGAATGCTACCAACTCCCCTCACCGGGTGGGCCTCGTGCCTGCCAAACGACCTCGCCCGGGAAATGGCCCTGTTGAAATCCCTTACGGCCAGCCACCTCCCAAGAAGCAGGTAGTCGACGGTCCCGACGTCGACGGCCGTTCCCCGACCCGGTCCAGATCCTCCGCCTACCAGAATACCGACTCCAAGCAGCTATTTACGCGGCGAACGAACCACGGTCAGCCAAGTGCATTCGAGAGGAAACTGGTCGCTGCCAGGGACAAGGAGAGACAACCCCAGAGTCGAGCGCAGAGGCACGAGAAACCGTCCGCGGAGACCATTGATACCATCCGGCAGTGGCAGAGACATTATCGAAAGGCCTTCCCGCAATTCGTCTTCTACTTCGACAGTATCCCGGAAGATCTGCGTAGCAAATGTTCGAGACAGGTCATTGCATTGGGTGCTGTAAGTGCATCCGATTCATTTCTTTTGGCTTCACCCCTTGACATTTCCATGATTCGAACGGGAGTCATGCAATTGATTTTAGCCACAACTTTTTGTCTTGAATTATTTACACCGACGCGTGGTGTAAGAACTCTCAGAAGCACGTCGCTAACAATTCACCTTAGCGCGAAGAGAAATTTTTCTCACGTTTAGTAACCCACGTTGTTACCTCTCGTCCTATCCCTCCTGAAAATGAAACCGCAAGCCCGGCAGAATTGACGACGGAATCCGTGGACCAGACGGCTGCAGACGGTTCTTTGCAGACGGTCAACCCCTCCTTGCTCGAGAAAAATGCCGACCCGCACCTACATATGTCAACGAAGAATGACGCGCGACGTGAGCCGACTAGTATGGATGTTTTGCACCGGGCCCGCCAAATGGGAATGAAGATATGGGCTATCGAGAAACTTCAGCGGATGATCGCCACGATCAACGACGGTGAAATCGGGGGCCACAGTGGTCATTCAACCCGCAATGCCAACGCCGGTGGTCATTCTAAAACCAGGGGAGACGCCGACCTTTCGCAAGTTCTTCAAAACGAACTCATGAGTGGCTCTTCCGATCGCAATCCTTTATCGGTCCTGAAAGATTTGGTCATGTTCAAAGGTCCGTTTGTCTACATCCACGACATGGATGAGAAGACCCGGCCTGTTATGGTTCGCGAATACCCCAAAGTGGCAAGGCGACAAGACGGTGTCTGGCCACAATTCCGCAGTGCACCATTAGGGAAATGTCCTTTTGTTGAGGAAGCCCCTACGAAGAAAGAAACGGAACGGCAACGGGCGCGCCAGAAAGAGCGGGAAAAGAAGGCATTCTCTAAACCTGCACCCGTTCAAACCACTCACGATCTCAAGCCCAAGGCGCCTGCAGACCCTGCAGGGAAGGCAGTGGATCTTGAAGCTGACCGAGAGACCAGCCCCAGAGATGAACCTGAAGGCGCTATATCCCAGCCGAAGCAACCCGAGATGCAGGAAATGCAACCGACGAGGCCGCTGTCGCCAAAGAAAAGCTCGGAAAGCTTCGTTCCGCCTCAGATGAAGCGGAACGGGCCCTTTTACCTTGGCCGGGAACCCGCTGCGTCGGGTGTGCAGCCCTCGAATATCACCTCTGCTATCCGATCCCAAATGGTATCCTCGACTGCCGGTGCGCCCGGTGCGAAGGCTGGCGTGAGCAAGGAGGTCCACGAGCTGAAGAGAAAGGTTCTCGAAAAGAGCAACGGGGGATTTTCCGCTGGTACGGGACCATCATCTCACCATCCCGTGGACCCTTCTGCAGCGATGAAAACAGCAAAGAGTCAGGCCAGCCGACACGGCCCGCCAAATGCACCGGAAAAGCCTGGACATGCTGAAGAGGAAACCACGCAGTCAGAAGGCAATGGCAATGCCAAGCACCGACCAAGCCTTCGAAGAAATAGCAGCCAGAAGAAAAAGGAAAGACGGCGGGATCCTAAGCCGGGGTACTGTGAAAACTGCCGGGATAAGTTCGATGACTTTGAAGAGGTGAGTGTTTTCCTGCTGACGCGAGGGAAGCAATCGCTAATAGATGAATCTAGCACGTGTTGACAAGAAAACACCGCAAATTCGCATTGAACACGTCGAATTGGGCCGAGCTTGACTCGCTCCTCTTCCAGCTCCAGCGACCCCTAAAGGAAGAATACGATTATGTTTAGGTCATCCTTGCAGAATCCAAAATGCCGAACAAGAAAAAAGAAATAAAAAAAAAAGCAACCAACGAAATCTGGCATACACATAAGTCGCAATTCTTTCCATCTCAACCGCATTAGCGTCACCCACTTTACTCTTACGATCCGCTGTTCCTTCGACGGCAGTAATTACATTCATGGAGAACACGAGAGCATTTAAAAGAGCGGTCCTAAATAACAATGGTACATATGCGCCTCGGATTTGTTTCAAACTCGCGCTCCCCGGAGCAAATAACTGACTTGATCTTCTGTCGCTCATTTAACCTTCCATTCTCAGGTTTCCCTTTTACTCTTATCCTTTTTTTTTTCCCTTTCTTTCTTCCCCCTTCTCACTTGCATCGGTTCTGTGGTTTACATTTCGTTTTATTGTACCTGATGTCTCACAGTGCATTATCATACAGCCGGCGTCATTGGATTTTGCCTGCATTATATTATACGGGTTTGATGAACGAAAGCAATTGACAACCTCACCAACGCCAATTTTGGGAATCATGATTTCGGGCATTCAACATAAAAAAAAAAAGAAAAGAAAAAAAAAAGGAAGCACGCGAAAAGCCGTGAGTTCGGAGAGGTGATTTCGAATGCTCATCAGCTTCCCATACCTGCCTTGCATTGGAGCATAATCCACCAAATTCCCTTCTCATTCCCCTTTTCATTTCGTTTCTTTCTCTTCGATTCTATTTGTCTTGGTTCTTGGGTGGATGTGTCATGGGGTTGCATTCAAAGGGCGGACTTGTCCGTACCGGTGGTGTTTTTGTGAACTTTATTGTTGATCGTTTTATTTCCCCAAGCTACGTGCTTATTGTTAGCTAGCTTCACTTCTTTTTTACCTACTTATCTCGATAGGTTCATGATCCATGCCGCCGGACCGAACACCGATGGAGGGCGTTCGAGTGCTCGTCCAGGTCGGACAGGGCACATGCATAGTCTCTAGCATTTATCTCGCAATGAAAAGACGAGTATCTTTGCCCTACTCCGGTAAATCGAAATCGACATAGAAACTGAGTAAACATCCGACAGTAAACAGCCTCGGTCCCTTCGGCAGGAAGAACGGTCCATCCGGCGGAGCATCCACGGAACCGCCGGGGGCCAATCATCGGGTTGCCACGGCCCAAAAAAAGCCCTAAGATCACCGGCAGAATGGAAGTTGCGCTCTGGGGATGCTCCCGGCTACGCTGCATATACCAGCACGTCTGCGCTGAGCTTGGTTATAAAGCCCGGTGGGGGCTCGATTCACGTTGATTTCTTCTCTCCAAAGACCGGCCTCGACGGATTCTCACTCTTTTCTCTTTTTGTGATTTTTTTTTGGGCTTTTCCCAAACCCCATTCTATCTTTTTCGTTGCCACTGTCAGTCAAGGATCGACTAGGTTGTGGATCCAGCTTTTCCATCTACGGAACTGGTCCTGGTCGTTTCCTTCTTCCGGTGCCGTTGCTGGTAACGCCACTCACCTCAGTACTTCAAACTACTTTATCTGATCGGATCGGAATACAACTCCATACGTACACCGGTTATTGTTGATATCAATCGCTTCTTTGCGCTCGGTCTGTCCTTCTTTGGGGTTCCGCAGTCGAACTTGACTCTCTTTCTCACCCACAAAACCACTCTCTACTACACCCATCTGCGGAACAATGAATTCATCCAGAGCCGCAGTCCAGATGACGATGCCTTTGCGGTGTCTGTCGAGGAACCTGGTCACGCGCACTACCGCCTCATCATCTTCATCGATAGCTCCGCTGCTTCTGGCCGGGAGTAAAACCTCCCTCCCGGCTAGATGTCTCCCGTCGTCGGGAAGCAGTACTCCAGCATTCGTCCGACATAGTTCGCATTCCCCGCTGGGCGGCACGCCGGCTAATCCTCGCAAGAAAGTGACGATACAGAATTTGCGCAGTCTGTATCGGAAAGGCGAGCCGATCACCATGCTAACGGCACATGACTTCCCCAGTGCCCATGTCGCCGAGGCGGCCGGCATGGAGATGGTGCTGGTCGGAGACAGCTTGGCAATGGTGGCACTGGGGATGGAGGATACGAGTGAGGTCGTGATGGAGGAGATGTTGTTGCATTGTCGGAGCGTGGCGAGAGCGGCGAAGAGTTCGTTCACGGTGTGTCTCTCTTCCTGATACATTGCCCGAGTGAGAAATTGGGGCTAACAATCTATTTAGGTTAGTGACCTCCCTATGGGCTCCTATGAAGTGTCACCGGAGCAGGCCCTTCAATCGGCCATCCGCATCGTCAAGGAGGGTCGCGTGCAGGCCGTGAAGCTGGAGGGAGGCGCCGAAATGGCCCCTACTATCAAGCGAATCACGCAGGCGGGGATCCCCGTCGTCGGCCACATCGGGTTGACGCCGCAGCGCCAGAACGCTCTGGGAGGGTTCAGAGTCCAGGGCAAGTCGACCGCGGGGGCATTGAGTCTGTTGAAGGATGCCCAGGCTGTGCAGGAGGCCGGTGCATTCATGATGGTTCTTGAAGCCGTGCCCGCCGAGATTGCCGCCATTGTCACGAAGAAGCTGAGCATTCCGACCATTGGCATCGGCGCTGGTAATGGATGTTCCGGGCAGGTCCTCGTGCAGATTGACATGACCGGTAACTTCCCGCCGGGTCGATTTCTCCCTAGATTCGTGAAGAAATATGCCGATGTTTGGGGCGAGGCCATCAAGGGGATTCAGCAGTATCGGGAAGAGGTCAAGAGTCGCGCGTATCCTTCGGAAGAATACACCTATCCTATTCCCAAAGAAGAGTTGGCGGAGTTTGAAAGAATCGTTGGTAAATCGGAGGACTAAAGAGTCTTCGCAATTTGTGTTTCATCATTTGCTACATGTTATTTTTCCGCATCCTGTCTGGCATGGTGGTTTTCGTGATACCTCATATTTCATAGCTCGTGTCCCATGTCTCATATCTGTTAGAAAGTGATAGAAGCCAGCTGGCTGCTCTCTACGCTGACCCCTGCATACTTCAATCGAGTCAATAAAGATTTTCGTTTACCGCAGTTGCAGACATGTAGTACTCACAGTGTCCTTTTGGCGCCATGGGACCGTCACCTCCCATTCAACCAAACGCAGGGGTCATGGAGTACGACACGATCAATTGGTCATCCGTCTTGAAACACTGCACGCAGTAGGTTAACAAGAGCGAACACAGAAGTCAGACCCGAACAATGAGAAACTCACTCTCCATAATCCTCCCACACCCTCGTCGAGTCCAGGTGCAAAGGTACTATTTACATAGCAAATAACGGAGTCGGAAGGCTTGCAGTTCAGTTTCTTCCGGAGAAACTTGATGACGGTCTCAAATTTCTGCGAAGCACTGATTTTGAAGACCCGATTTTTCAAAATTGGGGCTGCAGGCAAAGGCTGGAAGCGAACGGTCACTGTTCGACAATCAGCACCAAAAACGCCTCTTGGGTCATGCAAACGCTGCGTGATGGAGGGACACCAATCGCATGCCATCTGGAGGGAATCAAGCGGGGAAAATAGAGTTACAACAAAAAAGAAGCGGCCAGATGACCCTACAAAGAAGCTCCTCCCTCGGTAGCCAGCGCGAATTCTGGATTCTTTGCCATCCGGTATGAGAGGGCAGGGGGTAGGTAATTTAGGAGATTAAAATCGAGTGCCCAAAGCGATACTTACCCTTTCCTGTGTCAATGGCCTCGGCATCCGCTAGTGCTTGATGAGCGTCCCGTGGAAGACTGGTTAGCACCACGGAGGCAGACATGGTCAGCGGCAAGTCGGAACCATGTTCGTCATCGGGAATAGGGGCATTGGTGGTGTTGGCAGCGGAGTCTGAGGCTTTATTTCGACTGGCCGGTCGATGGGCCAGATTAGTTTTGGCGATCCCGGGCGGATTCCGGTCTGGCTGGGGCGAGTTCTGGCTGGAGGGGTCTGGAGAAGAAGAAGAATCCATGCTGTGCAGTACAATGGAGATGATCACAAAGAAAGGCTGTGTGAATAATGCCTGTGCTGAAACAAACGGCCAAGTGATGGAGAGTGATGGGGAGAAGATGGAGAAGGATGACGGTATTTACTCCGGAGACTCTGGCGCATTCGACGGCAGGAGAGAGAGACACCTGAGGCCACAACACATACCCCGATCCCTGCGGCCATTAACCAGCACCAGCATCATACCCTAGGAGGTGAGTATGCGGCATTAACCAGACCAGTTTGGCATTTTCTAGCCTTTACTACTCTTAGACATATCCTGGAACTGCTTCCTATCTAATTCTGTAGTACTCTGTAGTACTCCGTAGTACTCCGCAGCACTCCATAGCACCCCGTAGCACCCGTAGTAGTTAGGGCACTACCCAAGGTCATGTCGAAGAGCAACTGGACCTGCCCAGCCCCCATCTTGATATACAAGACCACTACTCCGGAGTAGAACACCCAAGCATGACCGAGTCCTTCTTCAATGAGTACCTGATCCAACTCGCCGGGTCTTGCTACCTGATCATGCCCCACATGCGACACGATGCAAGCGCCTGACCGGTCTAGTCTAGGGAACGACACTGTGATTTAGTCACTCATGAGGAACCATTCAGCATGGGAGGCTCATGTCCATCTGCCCAACGATGACTACATATGCCACTGCTTGGAGAAGGGATGTTCAGACTGGCGACGGCAGCGTGAAGATATGGCGGGGCTGAGTCATCGGGGCACCTGACTGTGGTGCCATCATCGCCTGCTATCACTGACTCTCTCCGTCCTCGCCTTCTCCCCTCCCGCCTTCGGTCATACCTCCCACTTCTCTACTCCCTCCTTCCCCCTATTGCTCTACACTCCCCCCCTTTTTATAACCTGCGCCTCTCCCAGTCCCCCGTTCCTCTCCCGGGCTCTGTTACTTCGCCGTATCTTCCTTTTCTCGTTCTACTATCGCCACCGCCTCCAACTCCTTTGTCCCCGCTCGCTCAATTGCTTCCCCGCTTCCACCTTGGAGACCAGTTGCCTCTTCCCAAGTCACACAACTCGCCCTCCTTACGCCAGCTCTACTCCGTGGGACTCCGTGGGCATATCCAATACGATTCGTACTTTTTCCGAGAGCGCGGCATCGTCCCAATTTATTCAAAATGAGCAGTCCAAAGCGGAGAATCGAGACAGACGTGAGTCGGTGAACACACCTGGGATCTGCGGGAGACATGACGAAAGACTAACTCTGGGTTTTGATCGATATAGGTCATGAAGTATGTCAAATAATTGCCTTCCTTTTTGCCGGCTTAATCCCCGGTCTATCACACCTGCGAATAGATCCACGGCTAACTGTTAGGCAGGATGTATGCACACCCGTTCATTTATTCCCAACATTCGTCGCTCTAGTCATCCCTGTGGATTTATAAACCGCTGTCGAACCACAGAAAGCTCGACCCGAATTTAACTGGGACATGTGCTGATATATCGGAATAGGTTAATGAGTGACTACGAGGTGACTTTGGTCAATGACAATAGTGCGTGTTATCCGTCATTTTGCCACCCATTTGAAATTGCCTGCTGACTTTTTACTGTAGTGTATGTTGAATAAGGCCCGGAATACTTCCATGGGACATAGGCTCACAAGGTACTCTTCCTACAGGCAAGAGTTTTACGTGCGCTTTAAGGGCCCCGAGGAGAGTATGTACCGCCTCAAACACTTGATGTATCATTTGTTCATTTTACCTAACAACGCCATAGCCCCGTTTCAAGGAGGACATTGGAAGATCCACGTCGAACTACCAGATCAATACCCGTACAAGAGCCCGAGCATCGGGTTTGTCAACAGGATATTCCACCCTAACATCGATGAGCTGTAAGAAATGCCAGCCTAATCCTCCAAGTGCTACCGCTGACGTCTCTTCCTGAATATAGCTCGGGTTCTGTCTGCTTGGATGTCATTAACCAGACCTGGTCACCGATGTACGACATGATCAACATCTTCGAGGTCTTCCTTCCGCAACTCCTGCGATACCCGAACCCTTCGGATCCGTTAAACGGAGAGGCCGCGGCTATGCTGATGAGGGAGCCCAAAAGCTACGAGGCAAAGGTGAAGGGTATGTATTCTGTTATCTGCTGCATTTCACGGGTGCAGGTTTGGCTTATCATCTATAGAATACGTGGCCAAGTATGCCAGCAAAGAAGCCGTTGACGATGCCGGGGAAGACACCGAGTCCGAAGATGAACTCAGTTCTGCTGGTAGCTACGAATCCGGCGGGGAAGAACCCGCCGGAACCATGGATGACGTTTAAATCGCCTGTTGTTATTCCTTTTCCTTCAGTAATGCCTTTTCTTCTTTCATGACTATTACGGAACCCGGGATTGACCATCCGCGACCAACGACCTTATATTGCATCGGCCTGATTTCCCTTTTCTATTATCTATGTGTCGTCTTATCAGGATTGGGTTTCTCGGCGTTTATCTGGTGGAGTTCTGACGTTCATGGCGCACCTGATTTGACCACGGTTGTGAGGATGGAATTAAGGAAAGGTCGAACTGATCGTTCTATCGGCGAGTGTCCGAATTCCTCACTCTTCTGTCTTGACGGGGCTCTGTGTTTCATAGCCCCGTTCTTTTTCTTTATGCAGACCCGAGCGCCGTGGTCGCGCATTATCTCCTTTCCTTTTTCTCTTTTGACTCCCGTGAACATACCGAAAGCAACAGGTGCTGGATTTTGATGCTATGTCTCTACTTTCTCCGCCTGTTATATTATTACGTCTCAGAATAAAATGAAAATGCCTAGAGAGAATGGCTTCGAGGTCTCCGTAGTACAGCGGTAATAGAATGTCATTATACTGGAAGACTATCAATTACGTATCCACACTGCGCGGGTCTATACTGAACGTATGATGTCATTTTTAATGTTACGGCGCAATGTAGCTATTTCGAGCCAAGGACATGTAATACATAAGAAAGCGCACATTTTTGACAGGGATGAAAACTTTGGTGATGAGAAAGCATGCAACAAGGGTATTATGACAAGTATGTCTCTAAAAAAGGGGGGTGGGCTGAAAAGAGGAAAGATATGAAAGGAAAAGAAGAAAGAGACAAGGGAGGGATTGTGGAAGACGCGAAGAAACAAGCCAGAAAAGTAAAGAGAGGATGGCAAAGAAAAGCAGAAGGGTAGAAAAGGAGAGAATAGACCGTCGACCGGCGACCTATGTGATGGACTCAAGCGAGGGAATGGAGTGCAAAAGCATAAAGAGAGGCAGGATTAAGAAATCGAAGGGAAAGAAATGATCGGGAAAAAGACCCAGATATTGAACCGTCACGTCGTGTCCACTCAAGTCCAGGAGGATCAAGTCACCTTCAAAACACCGAAGACGTCGCGAGCATTGGTCTCGTAATTCGATCCCGAGCGCGCCTGTTTGCCTTTCCGAGGATTGATGACAACTTCTCCCCAATGTTTAGGGACGGCACCGGGCTTGGTCGCGGAGTCTTTATCAGCCGATTCAGGGCGTTCCGAAGGCGGCGAGGTTGTGATTCTCACGGGGACATCGTCTGTTGCACCTGATTTCGATGTCGAAGGGGACACGGGACCGTGCAGCGTTGCTTGAGGTTGAAGGTGAGGTTGAGGTTGAAGGGACCAGATATCGATGACATTGCTATTTGTAGAAGTTAGCCTTTTACCGAAGCCTCTCTGCGACAACTGAGGGCTGCGCCATCGTTTGGCGTATCGTTTCCCAAAGAGAAGATAGAGGAGCGACTTACTCCGAGGTCCTTTGACAAATCGCTTCTAGGGCTTCCCGTTCGCGCTTTATGTATCCGGTGTCGGGTTGAGCGACCTGGTTCGCATGGTTGAGGGCTCCATATCCGTATCCCGATTGATAGATGTCGTCTTCGAGGAGGCGCGAGGACTCAGACTAAAGAGAGGTGAAGTTAGCCACAGTACTGAGTGGAGGAGCCATCGTATCGCCGTAGATACCACGATCGCTCCGTCGCATTACCCCTATCATCACGTCGTTACTCACATCCTGACTGTCTCGACGACTGAGTCCGAGACAAGAAGCGCAGATACCCATTTATACCGAAGCAGGTTTCGTTGATCGCAAGTTGGGAGCACAAGACATTCAAGGCCGGAAGAACCCGAGGGGATTTTGCAGAAGACAGAGTCGTTAATTGAAGGGTGGAAGGACCGCGTTGCAGATGTGACAGAGCAGCCGCAAGGAAGCGGAAACGAGTGATGGATGCCCGAAGAACAGCAGTAGTAGCGACGCACCAACCGGTGATGCTGGGAGAGTTTGGAAGACGGATTGGATCGATGAAACGGCGGGCGGAATGGAGAAAGGCGGAAGGCGGGTGGCCCGTGCGTGATGACATCGGAGGCCTTCGCCTTCTTCTACTTCTCTCTCTCTGTCTGTCTCTCTCCCCCTTGGTCATCCATCATATGATGCCCGCCTTCGCCGCAAGGGGTCTTTGTGTATCACCGGATCCCTACCAGATTGCGGGCTCATTTCTCAATGCAGTAGGATCATCAGATCTGATCCGATCACCCCTGGTTACCCATGCCCCTGGGGTTTGATAACAATCTGCCAGGAGCTGTGAAATGTTGGTTGTCGCCATGTTTTCAAGCCTTCCTAAATAGACTCAACGCAAGGGCCTCTTATCTTGATGAATATACTGAGGCTTTGGAATGGCATCGTGAAGTCCGTTGCTCACACATCTCCATGGACACTTAAGGTTCTATCATCGATCTTCGCTTGATTCACTGTGAGCGGATGAGTGACTGCTATGATGGGCCATCGTTTCTATGGGGCATTCACCACCGAATGCCTGCCTATCCTGAGTATCACTCGTGATGGACTCAAGTTTGTGCAAGAATGCCGACTGGATACTTCGAGACATCTAAGCATAATTGGATCTTCGCTACCCAAAGTACTCGTTGATACCCGGTCCCAGGGTCTTTCTACTATATTTGATTATCGATTTCCATCAATCTCTATATGAAATGTCCTTGGGTTTGGAGCCGGAAATAACTCCGTCGTTGTGCTTGATCATAACTTGAGCCTGGACATTGAGGCCAATTGTGTCTATCCGTTGAAAACCCGGCGATTAGATCGTTTTTAGCATGTAGATATTACCAAATCAACAAGAGAACACGCAAAGAGGTATGATTTACCGAGGATAATTTGTTCTTGAAGGAAAGCCTAGTAGAGGACGGAGTACTCCGTACACTTGCAGACGTGAAGAAACAGCCGTGGCCGCAATGGGCGGCGCACGTGGAAATAGCGCCCCTCGCGCCGACTTTTTTCAACTCCCACCGACTCGATTTCTCCGCACTCCAACGACCTCACGATAGCCCCTCAAACTTCGCAATTGTCGTTCACACCATCCCTTCAATTTTATCTATACCTATTCACAGACAATGTTCGATCTCCCGAACGCAAAACGGTACGTTCGCACAACACCTCCTTGTACCGCCCCAACGCCATTCTCTTGCAATCCAAATCAAACTCTCCAGATAAAGTTACTAATTAAATGCTCTTAATTTCCAGCGTTCGTCGCGAAGACATCCTCTCCCGTGCCTCGTCAGCCTCCCGATCCCCCTCGCCGCAACCCGAGCCCGCAAATACCGATGCGCATCAACGCCTCGCCAAACTGCTAAACCTCGACACATTCGTCGCAACGACCACCCAACCAGAAGCCTCTGGACAAGAACCACACCCCGACGAAGCAGACGGCCCGAACAAAGCAGAGGAGGAGGAACAAGAGTTCGAGTTCCGGTTATTCAGCGCCCCAGCCGCGACGAAATCGCAATCGCAAACGCAAGCAACTGGTGACTCCAAGGATAGTAACGAGAATACCGCGCAGGGGGCGCAGAAACTACGGATTAGATTGCGGTCTCCGACTCCGGAGACGGGAGATGGACGCTTCGTGAACCCGTTTCGAGGGTGGGGGTACTATTTCTCGACGCCGACGTTGTCGGGCGTGAAGGTAGACGAGGATCCGCAGCTGGAAGTACGGAAGAAGCAGTTTGCGGATGTCGCGGTGTCTGGAGATGATCTGTTGGGCTGGGCCAAGATTTCTTGGGTGAGTGGTGTTCTTGGTCATTGCGCCAGTTTGAAGGGGAGGAATATGGCTGACTATTCTCTAGCCTGGTTGCCATCTGCCATGGCGGGTCATTCGCTTGAACAGGCAGCATACGAAACTCCCGCGGGAGTCGAACGATACAATCATTGCGTACAATGCGGAGAGTGAACCCCAGACTCCCAAGTCCTATAAGAAGCCGGGCAAGAAGCGTCGTCTGCAGCTGCGCAAGCGCGTTAAGGCCGCGGAGCAGGCAAAGGAAACAGAGGCGGAAAAGCGGAACCGCAAGAATCGCGAGAGAAAGATCAAAAGGAGACAGAAGGCCAGAGAGATCAAAGCTGCCACGGCAGCGGCTACAGGCCAGGCTCTGCCTGTTGAGATGGATGAAGACGTATCCTCGCAAGAAGAGGACAATTAGGTTCTCGGCAGTTTGCGTGTCTTTTGCGCTGTGCCTCGTTGATGATACCCATGCTCACATCGCCTTGATAGATCTAATTTGATATTCTTTTTGCGATCATTTTCCTACAGGTGGTTCCATAAGTTGCCATAATGCAATTTAATTCAAAGCTTCGACACGCTGATTATGCAAGCGAACTGTTCGCTTGCAATAAGAGATGCAATTTATACAAAACAATGACCGATAAACGCAAGCAGGGTATTATGAGAATAAAAACGAACAATAATCAAAGCCTCAATCTCAAAACTCGGGCGGCAATTAATGCCAGGGTATGGTATGCAAGACAGAATCACAGGGCAGAAAAAAATAGACACAAAATTGATGCGAGACAGGCAACAAATCCATTATTTGATGGACAGACACACCAGCCACACTAGAAAGCGAACATGAGGGCTTCAGACACTTATTTGGCCTCTTGAGCTGCATGCAATATGTTAGGGCCTTTATCTGCTGGGAGACGGCAGGTCGAACTTACGCTTCGTCTCGGCAGGCTTTTCGGCGGCAGCTGGGGCCTCAGCAGCCGGGGCGGCCGGTTCAGCCTTTGTCTCCGGTGCAGCAGCGTCCGTCTTCGTCTCCGGCGTCGAAGCCTCTGCCGGAGCCTCGGCGGCTGGAGCTTCAGGCTTGGCCTCGGGAGCTGGAGCCGGAGTATCTTCAGGGTTCTCTGGCTTCGGTTGTGAGGACTCCGCAGCCGGGGCTTCGGCGGGCTTATCCGTAGCGGGTGCTTCTTTTGGACGGTCAGTGATCTGGCCGGACCTGATGTCTTGGCTAGTGGGCATACCTGTCTTAGGGTCTGCAGCAGGAGCGGGTTCTTGAGGTTTGGCTTCAGCTGGCGGCGCAGCAGCGTTCTCCGCAGGTTTATCGGCGGGGTTCTCTGTAGCTGGAGCCGCGTCGGGTTTGTTCTGGGGGTTCTTCTTCTTCCTCCGAAGAAGGGACTTGAGTCCCTGCTTCAGTTGCCGAAGCGCATTAGGTGCTGCAGATACGGGTTAGAGATAGAGACACCAATGGGGAAACGGAATCAACATCGACGGTTTACTCACGAACACCGGGCATTTTGTACAGGGAGATGAGGATCAGAAAGATGTATATCCGAGAGAATAGAATGGGATGCGAACAATGACAGACACGGCGGGATGGAGATGGAAAGAAAAGAGAGAAAGCGCGACGCCTCGTACTTCCCCCGTGCATTTAAACCTCCGTATGACACGCCACGTGACGCAGCACGGTCCTGATCGTCCTTAATAATAAGAAAAGCAACTCTCCTTTTTCATTTCTGTCATTTGTATTGGAATTCCCCTGTCATCTCCAGAGTGGAGACCCACGCCGATCCTCGGGGTTCGTCAGCTCTTGTGTCCTACACTCCTACAACTCCGTCCATCCAGATGGGAAAAATCTCGATGACACCGTGACGCCGATGTCTCTTCGCAGATAGGCCGGGTTCGAGGTCGCACCAAGCAAGGGCGCGTCCGTCAGTTGAACGTGGCACGGAGAACAACGAACTGCTGGGTCTCGGCGTTGACCACCTCTTCGCGTTGAAGGGCCGCCGTTGTGGCTGTGCTGCACTCGCTAGACCAGATGAGGGTCTGAATTTCCTCCTGCTCCAGTTCGCATTCGAGAGTCATTGGACCGTCCGTTTTAGATCGAATTCGCGGAATCCAGTTGCAATCGGATTGGAAATGGGGATGAGGGTCATCCTGCCCGACCATCAATGCTCGCCGTTTGGTCTCAATTGCAGCGGGCGTCTGTAACTCTTTCCCATTCGTCTGAAGTGTCTGCTCGGATTGAATCTGACACGTCGGAATCTGAGTGATCTCGACTCCAGAACATGGCGTCAGAGCTAGATAGGGTCTCCTGGATTAGAGCTCAAGCTAAAATTCCAACCCGCGGTACGCACATCTTTCAGATCTATCTCAAGTCTGTCTCTCGGAGATTGGATTCCCGGATCAACTGCCTTAAACTACCACAAGCTCACCGAGCAAGTCTATGAAGTATGGACGCCCTTGATTAAGGAGCGCTCTCTTTTTATAATTCCCTCATCATATAACCCCTGATTTGGGCACCCGCGGAGTACGTTCGGTGTGCCTAGAGACACTAATTTTACGTTGGCTTATTTCTAGAGCTTTTTTGCTATCCTAAGAGGACAGGATTGAACAGACTCTGACGCCACATGAGTCATGCATCATGTCTTCCGCCAGGCCTTCAGATCTGGAATACGGACTTCGATTCTTCTCCCGTTCTAGAAATGACAGAAGTATATTAAGAGAGCAATACTAAACCCCTTCCAGATTAGCTCCAGGTACCGTTCTTCTCCGTGGGACTCTCGATGATTTATCTTCCTCCTTCTCTCGATTCTGTATACAGATGAAGATAAGAATGACGCGGCCCTGATAGAGAACTGACTCGGTTTCGTCGTGGCGTTTGGATCTCGAGCCACTGAGGCGCTTAACTCGATCACTAGCTGCGGCTTGTTGTGGACTCTTCAGATCAAGCAAATTGCATTCATCTATCTCGGTGGGTCATCACAACCTGCCTACTAATGTGGCTAAGAATGAGTCGCAGGGGAAAGGATCTCTTTTAATTAATAGTTAAAATTATTGTCTCGGATGGCCTCACCCTGTAATCCCCGACGACGATAATAATCTATTGTGGACAACATGCAGCGAAAGACAGGTTCTCGGGCGCAGTCCTCCAGAATGGAAATCAAACGAAAAAAACATAGATGAAACTACTCAAAAATCACGAATCAGGAGCATTGGGCCTATGTGGCGGGAGTGCCTTTTGCTGCCATAGTGTGGCTTGAAGATGCTTAATCGCACGCAGCCGAGGCTCCTCAATGAAACTATCTGAACATGCTTCCTCCCATACTGGCATGAAATGCGGCTCAAGTTTCTCCGGCTGAAGCAGTCCAGTTTCCCCGACATACATCAGCAGGTGCATAAACCAAAGGAACCAGAGACGATCAAATCCCAGGACGTGAGGGCTAGGGTGCTGATCACGACAGATCAACAGTATCAAAGCCTCGACCAGTTTTGTAGGGTGAGGGACTTTTACCGGGTACAGAGAGGTATCATAGCGGCCATATTCCGGAGGACAACCCTCTTTCTGCTCCGGCAGACGGAGATCGGTGGTAACCATGAAATACTGGTCATCTGCCGCGGGCCTTTTCAGAGGAAGGTTGGGAAATTCCCACAGGAGCTCGGTCTGCGCATAAAGCCTAAGAGGCCGATGAGCATCAAGATGTAGATGCGCAGCTGGATATGGCTTTCTCTCGGATGGTCGTTTCAGGACACAGCTGGGTCCATGAGCACAATGAGAGAACCCGGCAGTCCGGAGGACCTTATGCGCCTTTTCATGCCAACCATCGCCAATAACAAAGTCAATACTCTGGGCCTCACGTTAGCTGGAAGTTTTGGTATAAGTAGGAGATGGTAGATTTCAACCTACAAAAGGCATTGCTGGCGTCCCCAGCGCCCTCATCATGCTCTCGCCCCAGAGCACATAGGGAATTCGAGCACCATCCAGCAACTGTGCTATTTGCGATATCAGCTCCCGGGTAATCCGGGTGCTCTCTGTGCCTGAATACCTGAAGCCAGACATTCCTGGAGATTGTGTCTCGCGACTTCTTTCGTTCCCTGGAGACCGAACGGATCTGCTTGAGTAATGTACCTGAGAATCAGGGAATATTCAAGCGCAACAGGCTCTCTTGTTTGGACCAAGGCGAGCTCATGAAATCCTTGTGTGCCGTGTCTGCCTTTCTTGCATCTGACTGAGGATGTCTAGGTTGACGCATTGACCTTCAACGACTCAGTGAATGCTAATTCATTCGGGGATCAACGGGCAAGGATAGGCCATGGTTCGCATAAAGTGAATTCAAAGTGTAATGGTTGAGTTTCTTTAGAAGACCAGGAAACACCTTAGGTCAAAACCAGGGCAAGGATACCTTAGATGCCAGCAGGAGTCCAGGGCGTACTCATTCAATCCAAGAGTGTCAGGTATGGAATGAGATTCTGCCACCAGTTTTGTCCTACAGACAAAGGAGATGCTTTTGATCCAGAGGCCAATGCGCAGCATGAACAGCCATTGTTTGGAACTTCTTTGGCTGTTTCTTTCTGCTAGAGATGACTAGACTTTCCCAAGAAATATGTATGCACCGGTCAAATTAAGCAGGGGATGCCTGGTTGAAATTACAAAAAGAGTTCTAAAATAACCAGAAAATGATAGTTCAATCAATAAAGCAAGGGGCTTCCGGGATTCCCCCTGTCTCCGACTGGAAATGACCCCGCGATAATCATCCTTCCAGCAGATCGTCTGTTCTCCATCCTCCTCTTCCCAATTGCCAACATGAAGTGGAAGGATGCCAGACCCGACGGAGGGAGAATGGTTCGGATCGGAAATAACGGATCTTCCCTCGGGATGTCATCATCGACGATCTCTCCGACCCCAACTTCTGCTCCGCACCATCGACTACCGTCACCCAGCGGGGTTAAACATCGAAATCTTGCTGTACAGTCATGACATCTGATCAATTCCGTACGGCTGATGCCGCCGACGGTTCAAGAGCTCCATTGTCGGAGCAGACGCCGCTCCTGCAGGGCCAGACCCAGCATGACTCGCCCTCTCCGCAAGAACCGGAGGTCCCGCTGGCCGAAGAGCCCACCACGAAGGAACTGTTGCTGGTATTGGGAAGTATCTGGATCGGGATCTTTTTAGCAGCGCTAGGTGCATTGGATCTGTTTCATTCTGTTTGGACGGTGGCTAATGGCAGTAGACACGACCATTGTCGCAACCCTGACGGCTCCCATCTCGTCCTCCTTCAATTCGCTTTCCTTGCTCTCCTGGCTTGCCACCTCCTATTTGGTCTCCAACGCCGCATTTCAACCGTTAAGTGGACGATTGACTGATATATTTTCGCGACGTACGGGCTTGATTTGGTCCAACATTTTCTTCGCCGCCGGGAACGTGATCTGCGGTCTTGCCAAAAGCGAGTGGACGATAATCCTGGGTCGGGTTGTTGCAGGCATCGGCGGAGGAGGTCTCACGGCGATTTCAACTTTCGTCACGTCGGACTTGGTGCCTCTGCGGAAACGTGGGGTGTGGCAGGGCATTGGCAACCTCTGCTATGGCGCCGGCAGTGGGCTCGGCGGCGTGTTCGGAGGATGGATCAATGACACCTTGGGATGGCGATGGGCGTTCTTGATCCAGGTCCCCTTTGTCGTCGCTTCCGGCATCGTCGTCGCTCTGACGGTCAAGGTGCCCGTCAAGGAGACTGCGAAGGGAAAGTTGAAGCGGATTGACTTCCTCGGCGCCATCACGCTGGTCATCACCCTCGTTCTGTTTCTTCTAGGCCTCAATGCTGGCGGAAACCAGGTTTCTTGGACCCATCCTCTGATCCTCACGACCATGCCACTCTCAGCAGTCTCTTTTTGCGTGTTCGTCTATGTGGAAGCGAAAATCGCTTCCGAGCCTGTGATCCCGGTCCGCTTACTTCTGGATCGCACGGTCTTTTCTGCCTGCCTCACCAATTGGTTCACGACGATGGCGGTCTTCGGGCTGCTATTCTACCTGCCGCTCTTCTTCCAGGTCCAGGGATTGTCGGCGACAGCTGCGGGTGCCCGGCTGATTCCCCAAGCGGTCGGAACCGCCATGGGTTCATTGGGGTCGGGGATTATTATGCGCGCCACTGGACGCTATCGAGCTATGAACCTCGTCGCCATGGCTTTAATGGTTCTCGGGGGAGGCCTGATCTGTACTCTGCATCTGACCACCCCGGCTGCGCTGCCTTTCGTGTACTTTTTCATCCTGGGCGTTGCTTACGGAAGCATGCTCACCATCACTCTGGTGGCGCTGATCTCGGCCGTGGACCATAAGCACCATGCCGTGATCACGTCGGCATCCTACGCATTCCGCAGCACTGGCAGCACGATTGGGATCACCGTTGCCTCTGCGGTGTTCCAGAACATGCTGAGGACCGGTCTCTGGTCTCGATTCGGCAACCGAGAGGATGCCGACGAAGTGATCCGACGAATTCGAGACAGCCTGGACGAGATCTGGAAACTCCCGGAGGACTGGAAGCCAGGCGTGCTGGATGCCTACATGGTGTCGCTGCGGGCTGCCTTTGTTACGTTGCTCGCCCTGGCCATCGTCGGGGCGGCCGTCAGTCTGGGAATGCGGCAACACAAGTTGCATTCAAACCTGGCCCGGCGGGAGGGATAAAGCGAGTGAAGTAGGGAATAATACTATAGATACTCGGAATACCATAAATACTATATCCAGAGCATATCCAGAGCATAACTTATAAATTGTCACCGTCTGCGAGGAGAGCCAGAGGGGTCTCGGGCGGGTGAGTTGCTCCCAACTGTGTATGGCACTATATATGGCAGATAGATAAAAATGAAGATATTATAAAATAGATACTTTATTACATGTTTAATCTTATATATTCTTCGCAAGTATTTTATTTAGTTTTCAAAAAAAATATATATATATATATACGCCTAGTCTTTATCCTATCTTTTATCATTACCTTTTTCAGCTTCTTCCTTACCTTGGACTTTCAGATACAGTCTTAAATTTATTGATAGAGTACCAGCCGGCTACGTCGCGCAGAAAAAACTCCCTTCGTTTATAATACCCATTTGCGTTTATCTTTTTGTTCGTTCTTTGAATGAGACTGGTTGCATTATTGTAAATCAGATGTCATTTGTTTCGGTTGCATGGAAGCAGCGTCTATTCTTTCTGAGAAATGAACCCAAGATTTCTGAATCAACGTTTATGATGACGCTATTCTTGTTTCATCCTAAATCTTTGCTACGCCTTTAAACGTAAATGAGATTGGTATCGTAATTCTTGGTCTTGAAGAAAAGAAAAAGAAAACATAAAAATCAAGAAATAGAGAAGATAATGGTACATGTCATCATGGATTGAAAACCAGTCAATCCATGCGAACAATCAATCCACTCCGCGGAGCCTAACCATCGTTGCTTATCATGTATCGTGAGAAAATAGGGTTATAGAACCGGGGATAATAATCAATGCCATTCTGCGAAAACTGCTGGAAACGGGGGTTGGTCCTCCTATGTCGGGTGCCGTATAATTAAACCTCTTTCCTGCATGGAATTAGTTCTGGTGGGATATGGTGATATCTGAAATGGGTGCAGATCAACCGCGTTACATACCAAGTAGGTTGGAACTTCTCAACACCAGGTGTGCGGATCTCATTACGGTCTCCGAAAGGATTGTCCTCGTCGTCGTCCTCGTCAGTTTCCGAGTCGCTGTCGCTGTCATTGGCCCGTCGGGCTTGCTGAGAAGACGAGGACGGGACGCTGATGCTTAGCGGCCGCGCAGGCCGAGGAGGTTTGGGTAGGTTGATAACGAGACCCGCGAAGGATTCGTTGACATCATCGCGGTCAGGAGTCCATCCTGTCTCAAGCACATCCTGGTCACTATCGCTATCGTAGTCCACGCTCTTGTCCAAGACCTCGAATGCCATCAAGGCAGTGACCAGCTCCTCGTTGGCGTGAATCAAACTTCCCAGGAATTCCTCACTCTCCACATTTTGAATGTATCGAAGGATTTGGCGTCTGAGTTGCTTGCATGTTTCGAATCGGTTGAGGACCTCGGCATCTTCGCTCACCCGGTGCGTTTCACGGTTGACAAGCTTCAGGGAATTCAGGAGGTTCGTGCTGGCAACCGATGAAGAGGCAAGCGTCTGTAAGATTTCCGGCTTTTCTTTCTCCAGGTTGAAGGGAGCCCGGATCCTTTTCTCCTTCTTATCTTTCTTCTCCTTCTTGAGGGATTTGCTCGACGAGTGCTTATGTTTGGGACCACTGAGAACGGTAGATGGGCCATCTCCGGCAGAAATCGACACCGTATGACCCAAAGGAGGCTCATCGGAAGGGTTGGCATCCCTTAAAACCTTGGCCTTGGCCTGGTTGGCCGGTTGCTTGCGCTTGGGTAGCTGTCTATAGAGAGCCGTGATTCCTCCCATGCCCGGGGTGTTTTTATAACTTGCTGCCCATTGTCCGAAAAGCTGTTTGCACTTTTGCTTCACAAGAGGGTCGGAAACCGAGTCGGTGGCGGCAATTCGCAATCGCTCTAGCAATGGCTCGTCGGCAAACTCGCGCAGAAAACGGTCCCCGGCATTTTGGATCAGAAAGTCGAGGATCGTAAGCGCTCTCAGTTGACGATGGAGATTTCCATATTTTCTAAAGGAAGTTAGTTATAAGTTCACCGTTGGTATCTCACAGCAAGGCAAGACTGACAGCTTCTTGCGCAGAGCCCGACTAGCCTCGGTCGGGCCGCTGCCCTGGATAGTCACAGCTTCTATAAGATCAACGATTCCACTGGAGTCTTCGACCTCATATTGTTCGCTCGTAAGAACTTCAATCTGCACGGTCACGGCCGAGTACGGTTTCTATACGAGGAGTACGTTAGTGCCAACCACCGAAGGAGAATATCATCACACCGCAAATCCCCAAGGGGTTCTCTACACGCAGCCTGCGCATTCCCGACAAGTTTGCTCCCATAGGAATGAACTTACCGACGAGTGGAACATGGTGATAAGAATGCAGTCTCTCCGATAGATTGCTATACAATTTCAGGATGCAGTATCTGACAATAGCCCACGTGCTGGATGTTGATAAACAGTATCCCCGCATCCAAGTCCACAGTCCACAATCAAGCCAAGCCCGACGGTTGAAAGCAATGAAGAAAATGATGACCCCGCCAGGTGACCTGACTCCCTTTTCTTTATCTCGCACAGAGCCGGTCGGGATTTCCCTTTAATAGTTGCGGATGGTAGAGGGACAATGGCAATGGCAATGGCAATAGCCAGACGGTGACGTGTTAGACCCAGTTGAAGTGGGTTTTGTTTTCCGTTGGCGATGAGCAGCCTAACGCGCTGAACCCCTCCCAGAATGAAACCCCAACTCGGAAAACAAGCTCGTGCAGATCGACGGTGAGGCCTCCGGACGAGAAAGAGCGAAGAGGCAGAGGTTCCTGCGAAGGCGAACGTCATGCCGCAAGGACCAATCTCGTGACTGCCCCTCGCGGCGCCCGATGCGGTTTAGGGCGGGGGAGCAGGGAGGCCTGCAGGCCTTGGGGCCTCGGTGCCTCATGGCCTGAGGATGCCGCATTTGCTCGGTTTGATTCCTTCTGGTCACTGGACTCGCCGGCATTCCTTCATGCGGAAGTTGGAGCCAATTCGTGCTCTCTCCCTCTCTCCCATCCCCTTCTTCCTCGACTGCTCTCCGGGACGCAGGCCTACTATCGTCGCCGTCTCGTAGTAAATGGGTCTTGCGATATCGGCAGATCGTTTCTCGATTCGCCGGCCGCGCCTCTCAACATTCGTCGTCTGCTCCACTTTGCTTCTGGGTGTCAGTATCATCTTAAAAACCCGCCACTTACTTCCCCTCCCTCAACTCTTCTCCCCCTCCCATTCCTATACCCAAGTCGCAACCATGTCTTACCAACAAGAGCGCTTCATCGCCGAACTCGCCGTCCAGCGCGCTACCCTCCTCACTCAGAAGGTTTTCAACGAGAAGGCCAAGGGTACCGTATCCAAGGATGACAAGTCGCCCGTCACCATCGGCGACTTCGGAGCTCAGGCCTTGATCATCCAGGCCATCCGCAAAAACTTCCCCAATGACGAGATCGTCGCCGAAGAAGAGGCCAGCTCCCTCCGAGAGGACAAGGCGCTGAGCGCCGAGATCTGGAGACTGGTCAGCGACATCAAGCTGGAGGACCCCGAGAGCGACAACCTCCTGGGCGGCCCTTTGCCAAGTGAAGAGGCAATGCTGGACATTATCGACCAAGGCAAGAGCGCCGGAGGCCCCAAGGGTCGCGTGTGGGCTCTGGACCCCATCGACGGCACCAAGGGATTCCTGCGTGGCGGACAATATGCCGTGTGTCTCGGCTTGATTGAGGACGGCGATGTCAAGGCGGGAGCCATTGGTTGCCCCAACCTGCCCGTGGACGACTCGGCCGCCATGACCGCCTCGATCGGTGTCGACCAGACCAGCGGTGCTGGCAACGGAGTGCTCTTCTCTGCGATCAAGGGCGCTGGCTCCACTAGCCGTCCCCTGACCAATGCTGGTCTCGCCGAGAGCAAGTCCATCTCCATGCGCCCCGTTCCCAACATTGCGGAGGCTGTTTTCTGCGAGGGCGTTGAAGCTGGTCATTCCGCCCAGGGCGACAACGCCGCCGTTGCGCAGCTCTTGGGAATTACCGCTCCCAGCGTGCGTCTGGATTCCCAGGCCAAGTACTGCTCCATCGCTAGAGGAGCTGGTGACATCTATCTGCGACTGCCCGTGAAGAAGGACTACCAGGAGAAGATCTGGGATCACGCCGCCGGCGACCTGATCGTGCGCGAGGCTGGTGGTCAAGTGACTGATATCTACGGTCAAACACTGGACTTCAGCAAGGGCCGTACTTTGGCCGCCAACAAGGGCGTTGTTGCCGCCCCCGCGGCCGTTCAGGGCCAGGTCATCGACGCCGTGAAGCATGTCCTGAAGCTGTAGTCGGAAGAACAGGAGGATTGTTACGATTTTGATATATGATGAGCACCATTCTTATCACGAATTTTCTTTTCAGACTCGTTGCACGCTAGATGCGTCTAAAAGTACAAAAAATGGATAGATACCAGTCGCGGACAAAAAGGAAATGTGCTTGGGATATACATATACAGAAAGTGTAGACTGCTCCTCTTTTCCAACACCTGATTATAAAACACCGCCGTTTACCGGATCTTCTTGGCCTTCAACTTGATCGTCTCCCCGTTTATGAAGATACCCTTGCCCTTGTACGGTTCCGGTCTTCTCCATTCCTTGATCTCCGCCGCAAACTTGGTGACCACGTTCTTGTTGACTCCCTCCAGCAGGATACGCGTCGGCTGCGGAGTGCTCGCCTTGACACCCTGGGGGACGCCCAATTCGATCGGGTGGGAGTATCCGACCTTCAGAGAGACGAACTGCTGACCGGGGTATTCGGGCTCGACGGTGGTGGCCGACGATTCGACGGTAGCTCTGTAACCGACACCGACCAGACTGAGAATGCAGATGTGACCTTCCGACACGCCGAGGATGTAGTTTTGTAGGTGCGCCCGAATGGTACCTAGGGTGAGAGAAGCAAGAGTTAGGTCTGTGATTGACGCCAATGAAACAACTCTGAAGTGACACTCACCCCACATAGCGCGTTGGTGCGCGATCTCAGGGTCCTGAACAGTGAGACTGGCTTTCCGAGTAGCCTCGTCGTGTGCGACCTCCAGGAAGGGGGGAAGATCCAGCGTCATTTCACCTGTCGTTCACATTCACGGTTAGAGAACCTGCATCCCCGGGACACTATTCTGGCTCATGGCTCACCCAATGGCCCTTTCACCTCAATCGCCACCTTCGGCTTCTCCTTGGCCATTCCTCTCACTTGAGTCTGAGGCAGGTCGATGAATTTCAGGGTGACTTCGGGGGGGATGGAGAGCGCGGCGCCGCCAACTCGAGATTGCGTCGGTGAGGTGGTCGAGAAACATTGTGTTCGTTGGGAGGAAAAGGCGGGAGCGAGGAAAACAGGCAAAGATCCCTGCTTCAAGGGACTCCGTGACAGCTGTCTGAAGCAGCTCTGGGCGAGAGAACGTGACATGGCGGTGATAATTGAAGGGTTGATGCTCGACGATGGCGGAGAGAACCTCCGATTCCCGACTGATTTTGCCCGGAGAGCGACATCGCCCGATGCGGTTAGTGTGGTATGGTCACGTGTCTTGGTGGTTGTATAGATCGTAGCGACGGCGACCTCAATTCCATGTTCCAACCACAACTGTGGGTGACGGAGCGGTATCAGAGACGATGTTCGTCCATCCTTGTCTGAGTTGATAGTTCATTTCATCTATAAATGCATTCCGTTCCTCTCTCTCTTACAACACCCCATCCAACTTTCTGTCTAGTACTAGTACTATCCGCCCAGTTCATTCCCTATATCTGCATGACTTAGTCCATCGTTCAAGCCGTTCGTCTCTACTGGTATCTGAATCAATGCTACTCTTGAGTACATACCAGAGCTTCTGACAGAATCCATCGTTTGCTGTCTCATTCCCTCGACTAGCTTCTATACTACTACTTGTTACTCTCAATCTATCAAGTCTTTCCGAATTTCCACTTCCCCAATCCAGTTACTCCTTTGCTCTTGCAGTGGTCATCATGGCTCTGTTCATATTTCCTGGGATTGTATTTACATATATGGTATACTGGTTGCTTGTTCTGACCTTTGGCTGCGCTGAAACTACGAGCGGTAACGTTCCCGCCCATTATGAATAGGACGCACTAATAAGCACCCGCAGGATATGACCTACAGAGAGATAGTCTGACCGAAGATATGGACCTTGTTACATTCTTAAACTCGAAGACTCAACAACATGATGCTATATTCATGGAAGCGGTTCAATTGTTGGAAACGATGAAGTCATCCCCGTCGTGCAACCGATTAGCAGCTTCAAGACTAGTCAACTCCTGCCAGTCCATTGAGGGGGTAAATGAGAGTACAAATCCTGACCTTTATTTGGCTCTGGAGCATGTGCGGTCACTGTATGCCGCTAGGTTGGCTATCTGTGAACTCAACGAAGCGGGCGCCTCCATACCTTCGCCCTGTGTCCCAGTGACGAGTTCGCAACATCATAGGAAGGGAATATTTGGATTCTCCTCCAAGCAGAAATCTCCAACTCAAGAACAGGACGTCATATCCAAGGAGTTGCTTGCGTCATGCCTCAAAACGCTAGAGTCGAGACCGCAATGGTGGACTTCCTACAGCAATAGCAGACAGAATGCTCTCGTCATATGTCAAGCTGCAAGGGTCGAAAGCGAGAAAAATGAGCTTCTTGAGCTTTACAAGTCTATCCTTGAAGCCTCTGCTAAGCTCAACAGTGGCCTCCAGGAGGCTCTGCGTATGGCTGCTGCGGAGTCGATGCAGCATAAAGCTTTCATGGAGACGACTGCGATCATGAGGGCCAGACTAGCTACGGAACTAGACGAAACGCATTCACGCTTCATTTCCATATTCGAAAGCATCTTTCATGATATTGGACTCGGCGTTAACTCGATGGTCGGTTCGGTCAATTCCATTCTCAGCAGGGTTCAAAACGAAGCGATTAGTTTAGAGAAGGTATGGTGCTATCTGAATGTATATGGAATCATTCTAATACTCAGAACGGATAGAATGTTCTCAATGCTTCTGAAGAAATTACCCACCTGCAGCATGCATTGAAAGTGGTTCATGATGAGGCTTTGTTGAGGAATCAGCAGATGAGGATAGCTTATAGACAGGATTCCCAGACACAGAATGAGCTCGCATCATCTATACAAGACAGATTGGAAGTGCTTTTACAAAGCGATATTGCCACTCTGTTCAATCAAGTGCAGGCATTTGACGCCTCTGTAGTAAGTCGTCCTGTTTCGAGTTGGTACTAAGTCCATGCTCAGACCCAAGCAGGATTGGTTGTCAGGAAGATTCGGGCTTTTACTACAACAAGAGACGAGCATATCCGAGGTACGTATCATCTTCCAAGCTTTTCGCATTGCCCTGACCTTTCGAAGCGCCTGCGGAACCTCGAAAATGCAATCGAAAAATCCCAAGTTACCGCCGACGATCTTCACAAATCACAAGCCGAGCATTTTGAGACATTGAAAGCCCAATCTCAAATACAACAGAGCATGCAGGCAAACATGAATATCTCCCAGGCTTTCATGGACAGAGCCGCTGCAACTGCGGCCAATCTGCAGGCAATGATTGATGAAGCAACAGCGAGGTATAAAGAGTCACCTGCGATGAGTGGACCTTTGGGGTCATACTCTACATGGACACTGTATGGTATTCTTCTTAGCGTACTGGGTACGCAGAATTCAAGGATATTCGCTGCCATGATACTGATGGGTGCTTGTAAAGACCCCCCCCCCCCCCCTTTTTCTTTTTTTTTTTCTTTTTTTTTTTTTTTCTTTCTCTTTTTTGAAAAACTAGCTAATATGTCTTGACCGTGGCAGTGCATATTTCGGTTAGGCTGCTATGGTATATTTAATCTCATGGGTGGCATGACGATACCCCATGGTGAGAATCAATAGTGACGCCAACGTACTATACTAGGCTGGGACCATACCATGGAGCATGACACTATATTTTACCTTCACCACGAAACATTGAATCGGGATATTGTTAAGAGAGGAACAGGGAACAATTCAATACCGGTTATTCAAAACAATTTCTTTCTTCTGCCGTTTGCCATCTGCTTTCTGCTTTGCTTTTATCGTTTCGTTTTCTGTTAATTTTTACAGTTGAAGTTATTCGATACTCATGGTGAATGAAGATTTATTTACAACACTTACACGGTGCAGGTAAACAGACTAACTGGACCCACTCATCCGGGGAATATTAGGCAGTCAGATTAACGACTCCAAGGCGGAGGATGCACCTGGGCCTTCTTGATGTCAGGGTGGGTATAAGATGACAGACAGCATCCTAGCTTGCAGCAGAAAGTCAAAATTCCGCGCTACGGCATCGGGTTCGGTAGAGACACGATTCTCTACTTCCACTGGAGATTGTCGGCAAGACCGCAGAACAGATCTCCCTTATGAGCCTCGGCAACTCTGGACCTGCCTGAATGGCAGTGGTCGATCCTGAAGAGAAGACCATTGCTCAACAATTGTTAATTGTGCTACTCCAGGGAGACGTCGATTCAAACGAAGACTGGATACCTCGACCTTTGCGTGAAGGGAGAACAGTCTTTCTGAAGAGCTAAAGTCTTGCGGTGTGTCAGTTGAAGACGGTGAAGATCTCGGTGAAAAGCTTCGAGGCGTTCCTCTCGGCAGCGGGACTAGCCGAGAAATGCGTCGTAACCAAGCGATGGAAGTGAGGGAGCTTCTCCAACTGCCGATTCTCAGAACCTGCTGCTGGAAGCAATGCTGGTGACGGGATGCCCAGGAAATTTCTCCGCATTTGTGGGGATTCCGCCTGACGATCCCCGGATTCTGGAGACGCATGATACCAGCCATCCACTCATCTCTTGCGATGTTCTCTCCTTCATTTCGGATTTCGCTCATCCGAAAATGCCGATCGTCGCAGCCATGCTGAGCCCGAGTTTATCTGCGCTGAGCGTGTTACGCATCTCCGCATATTGGCGAATTAGCATCGTCCTAGCTGGCTCCGATGGGGCTATCCCGAGCACGTTTCCCCGGCACAACTTCGGAGGAAGCTTTCCCGTCCCCACGGCCTCTGGTGGCTACTAGTAACCGTGAACGGAAGACGCAGGAAAACCCACTCGGAGGAGTTGTATATATTATGAAGGACCCGCTGCACTGCCTGGACGACACTCCAAAGCCATTGATTTGAGTGCGAACAAAAATGGCACCCCTGCACTTCCTTTTACCCTTACTTTCGTTAGGGACAGCGTCTCTTGCTCGAGAGGATACTTTCAAATCTCAATGCACCAGCTTCGCTGAGAAAATTGATATCCCCAATGTGCGCGTGAATCTCGTCAACTATGTACCGGGAAACACGAACCTTTCTCTTGCGGACAATCCACCCGCATGTGGAGCAAGTTCGCAGTCGGTGCCTGCAGATATTTGCCGAATTGCACTGGCTGTGGCCACTTCGAATAGCAGCGAGATCACCATGGAAGCCTGGCTTCCGCGTGACTACACGGGCCGTTTCTTGAGCACCGGCAACGGAGGACTCGGTGGCTGTATGTTGGACTGACGCGCGGAGAATGGGCTCAAACCGCTAACACCTTGTCTAGGCATCCAGTACTATGACGTTGCATACGCATCCGGCTTGGGATTCGCGACGGTTGGTGCCAACAATGGCCACAACGGAACATCCGGCGAACCCTTCTATCAGCACCCCGAGGTCGTTGAAGACTTCGCCTACCGCTCCCTCCACACCGGCGTCGTGGTCGGCAAACAGCTCACGAAACAATTCTACGACCAGGGATTCGACAAATCGTACTACCTGGGCTGCTCCACCGGCGGCCGGCAGGGCTTTAAATCCATCCAGAAATATCCCAATGACTTTGACGGCGTGGTCGCGGGCGCTCCCGCCTTCAACTTCATCAACCTGCTGTCGTGGAGCGCTCACTTCTACCCCATCACTGGGTCTCCTTCATCCGACAGCTACCTATCCCCCGCCGAGTGGAAGGTCGTTCACGAGGAGATCCTCCGACAGTGCGATGGCATGGACGGAGCCCGTGACGGGGTCATTGAAGACCCGGACCTCTGCCACCCGACGATGGAAACCATCATCTGTAAATCAGGCTCCTCCTCGAACAAATGCATCTCCGGCGCCCAGGCCAAAACCGTCCGCGAGATCCTCTCTCCGCTCTACGGCGTCAACGGAACCCTCCTGTACCCGCGCATGCAGCCCGGCTCCGAGATCATGGCGGCCGCGATGATGTACAACGGCGAGCCGTTCGCCTACAGCAAGGACTGGTACCGCTACGTAGTCTACAACGACACGAACTGGGACGCCACGACGTTCGACGTCCAGGACACGGCCAACGCGCTGGCGCAGAACCCCTTCAACATCCAGACGTGGGAGGCGGACATCTCGCCGTTCCGGGACGCCGGGGGCAAAGTGCTGACCTACCACGGTCTGCAGGACCAGCTGATCAGCTCCGATAACTCGAAGCTGTACTATGCGCGGGTGGCGGAGACGATGAACCTCGCCCCCTCGGAGCTAGACGAGTTCTACCGGTTCTTCCCGATCAGTGGCATGGCGCACTGCGCGCAGGGGGATGGCGCCTTCGGCATCGGGAACGGCTACAGGACGTATAACGGCAAGGAGCCCGAGAATAACATCCTGATGGCCATGGTGCAGTGGGTTGAGAAGGGGATTGCGCCCGACCATGTCCGCGGGGCCAAGTTTGCCAATGGACCAGGAAGCGCCGTGGAGTATACGCGCAAGCATTGCAGGTATCCTCGGAGAAACGTGTACAAGGGGCCAGGGAACTATACGGAGGAGAGTGCGTGGCGCTGCGTCTAGAGAGTATTATGGTGAATATACTGTTGCTACCACCGTGACTGGTGGGTGACTATTCAGGATTTCCGGGCAAATCCAATTACGACTTTAGTATTTATTTCATCTTTCTTCCGGAGTAAACGAGTCGAGTAGACAACTCCATATCTTGTAGAGATAGCCCTAGACACCTGAGGCATATTGCTTGGCGCCGGCAGAAAACAGCGGTGGGCAGCGGCAGAACGGCGGCGGTGGGGCAGTCCTCGAGGCATTTCGCCGTCTTTCATCGTCGATCGCCGACTTTCATCGCCAACTCTCTCCCTCGAGGACCTGCGCTGCATCTGGAATGACCCATCAACTAGACGGTATGTGCGATCTTCCTATCTCGGTCTGGCGCGTGGTGATGCTTTATTCCGATTCACCCCGCACTTTATACCGGGCACACCGCCTTGGAAACCCGGGAGGCTGGAGAAACCGGGGCGGTCGTTGAGAGACCACGAGAGGCCGTTCGGAGATGTCTCACTCGAGCGATGCCTGCCGGCGGCCGTTGTGGAGCATATCTGCAAGGCGCGGCTGGTCCCTCAAGTTGCGCACTCGATACACGTTGACCTGGACTGCCTTGACTGCCGATAAACTGACTTTCTCCGCTAGTATCAGCTACGGTTAGCGCTACCTGACCGGCGATCCTTCCCTCTACTCTTCCCTCTTCCCTCCGAGTTCGCAACCTCGCAGTTCGCTATCACCGACGCCTGGTTTCTCTTTCAGCCGCACCGGCTCTCCAACCCAAACCAACTCGACCCAATCCCCGCGAAACCAACCTTCATCCGATAAAATGGCCGACGAGTTCGCCCAGACACGCGGCGGCGACGATTTGTTCGACGACGAGATTGTCCCCGTCCCTGCGGAGAATCAGGCCCAGCCCGCACCGCAAGTCGCCGAGGAGACCGTCGTCCCCGTGGAACCTGAAGCACAACCCGCTCGTATCGACACCCCGCCGCGGTCGCGTGGCGGCGCAGCCGGAGGCGAGAGACGAGGCAGAGGCAGAGGCAAAGGACGCGGGCGACGAGGATCACAGAACTCCAACCAACGACGCGCCGACGGACCGGTACCGCGGCCGAAGTCGGTCGACGCGACCTCCCAGCCGGAGAATAATAGCGTGGAGGAGTCTGCGCCGGATGCGTCCGGGGAAAATGCGGAGCAACAAAGCAATGAGGATACCAATAGCAACAACGCCACGTCGGACCCCAAGGCGCCCGCCGCGGCGGCCGATGCTCCCAAAGTGCCGGCCGTGCGTGGCGATCGCAGCGCCACCGGCGGGATCAAAAAGGTACGTCAGATTTCCCAATTGCAGCGTGAATCAGGAACGTGTCCATTGGCTAACCGGAGGTCCTTCTGATTAGCCCAAGCTCACCGAGGAAGAGCTCTCGCGGCGCATTGCAGCTGCCAAAGAGAACGCCGCCAAAGTTGCCGCCGCGCACGCCCGTGCCGAAGCCGACCAGGCTTCATTCCTTGAACGCGAGAAGGTTGCCGAGGTGAAGCGAAAGCAAGAACGCCAGAACCGTCGCGTGATGGATACCGAGCGAGAGCGTAATCGCCTCCGCAAGCTGCAGGCCCTGAACGGGCGAGAATGGGATTCTGAAAAACAAGACGAGCCGGACAATGCACGCGGCGGGCGAGGTCGATTCCGCGGCATGCACGGCGGCGTCTCGGGCTATGCCCGTCGAGACTTTGAGGGAGCGCAGGCGGAAGAACAGACGGCCGACAACCATTACTCCCATTATAACAATAACAACAACCATCGCGGTCGAGGTCGTGGCGGACGAGGTGGCCGCGGCCGCGGAAACGGTCGCGGAGGGCGCGCCAACGGCCCCCTAGACGGACCGGCCCCTGAGCAGAAACCAGCCTCATCTCCGCCGGTGATCAACAACGAGCGCGATTTTCCTTCTCTGCCCGGTAGTGACAAGAAGGACGATGCCGCCCCGACAGTCCCCGCCGTCGAAGCGGCCAAGATCGAGACATCCATATCGCCCGTATCAGCCGGGGCCTCCTGGGCCGAGCAAGTTGAATCGGCTCGGGAATGAGATTACAGACATTATAGCCTCCGAACCATCGAGACGATTTCATCCGTTTTCAGCAGCTGGTTAGACCTGTTTTCCTGCACGATTTATTCCCCAAAATTATGGACCCCTGGTTCCATTGCTCATTATGACCCTTCAAGATTATGCCCCGACGGTTGGAAGAATGCGATGCATTGTGTTTGTGTACAGGACACCAAGACTACACATTATATCCGACTTTATTATTAGATAGTAATGCGTGACGTTCTCTTTTCCTCTTGCCTGAACCTTTGGGATTTTGTATTCTTCCGGCTGTACTCCGTATACTAAGAATAAACACACCGACTCGGACCAGACCAGCCGGAGTCACGATAGCACAGCAGGCACCATAATGCATGATATCAGTCACAGGTCCCAACAGGCAACAGAAACCACCCTTCCTGATATCCACACCGATGTAACCCCAGCCTCCCAGCCAAGGCCATTCAGACTCTTTCCGGTAGTGCCTGAAATGAAGTATTCATTTTCCCACGGAGTAGATAACCAAGACCCTTGGGGGCTCCATAATCCTTCAGACTGAGACCCACCGGCCTGCGGAGCAATCAGCGCAGAGCGCGATATGATGCCATCACCCATCGGGGCATGCTAAATGAACGAAGGAAGATCAGGGTGGATCGACAATTCGACAGCGCTGGAAGGGACTAGGGGGGACTTGATTAAAGGTGGATATGTACCGATATTTCTCCGACACGACGTTTGGTTCGTCAGAAGTTTAATTCTGGAGGACCTGGATGGTGGATGGATGGATAGGGGAGTTTCCACGACCGCTGGGCTTATAGCGCTAGCTCTGTATCTGTACTTACGGAGGATGGACTCTGTACAGTGCCCAAGTGAGGTGATAGTAGTAGGGGTAGGGGAGGGAGAATGCAGAGCTCTACCTAACGACATCCACCTCCCGAACTCAAACCACCCCAGAAAACAGACCTCATCCAAGGTCCAAGTCTAACCCCCAAGCGGCAAGTTCAACGACTCCGACGGAGTGGGGCGTAGACAAGGACAAGGTTCGCTCTGTTTCAGACCGCAGAGGGTTCAACAATCACCAGTTCAACGGCCGTGCCATGGTTTCTGCAGATTGCGGATTGAGCAGAGCAGAGCAGAGCAGACCGGTGGAGCCCCGAAGGATTGAACCGGATCGACCGGATTGCAGACGCCGTTCCGGGTCCGAGCAGCGATCGACAAGGCCGATGCCTCGCGATGGATGTGTCGAGGGGGTTAGTTCGGACGTGGTGGGAGGATGATGCTGGATCCAGGGGAGGAAGTGCATATAGTTGGTTTTTGGGTGCAGGATGGAGGGTTCTTGGTTGGAAGGGTTTCGGCTGGACTGGGGATGGTGCATGTCGTGCTGGAACTACTGCAGGAGACTTCCTTAGCGAGGTGTTTATTGTTTTGGTTGAGACATGAAGAGACGGTGGTGGTGTCGGTCTGCTGGATGAAGTCTGAAGGATCCGGGAATTGTAGGATCCGGATCCGGACGAGGCTTGCTTTTCTCTGGGCTGATGACACAGGGATGGCTGGGTAGAGCAGATACAGAAGAACGCGATGCAGAATTGGAGGTATAAAAAGGTGTAGGATTCCCCTCAGCAACCTCACTTCTTCATCAACAATCCGGACAATCCAGCTCCAACATCCTTCCATCCACTTCTTCTATTCCAGCTCTGCTTCCTCCACCGACTCTTCTCCATCATGTTCTCCAAGACCTCCCTCCTGACCCTCCTGGCCCTAGCCTCAGCCACCGTTCAGGGCTCTCCCATCCAAAAACGCGCCGTGGTTGCGCACGACGCTGTCGCTCCCTTCGCCGAGGCCGTCCCCAACGACGCCACGGGCAACGCGTACAAGAAGTTCGAGCCGTATCTGCACATCGCGCACGGCTGTCAGTCGTACCCGGCTGTCGCGGCCAACGGGGATACCAGGTGCGTCTTGACGTCGTTTTCGTGGACATCAACCCTTTTTCAGACCGGACTAACATATCAACCTGCAGCGGTGGCCTGAAAAACACCGGCAGCGCCCCAGGTGGCTGTCGCGACCAGGGCAAAGGACAGACGTACGTGCGCGGCGGCTGGCTGAACGACCGCTACGGCATCATGTACTCCTGGTACATGCCCAAGGACATGCCGACCAGCGGCGTGTCGGCGGGTGCCCACCGCCACGACTGGGAGAACGTCGTGGTCTGGGTGAACGACCCGGCCGAGGCGAACCCGACTCTCCTGGGCGCCGCGGCCTCGGGACATGGCAGCTACAAGAAGACGACGAGTCCGCAGCGCGAGGGCGAGCGGCCCAAGGTCGAGTACTTCACCTCGTTCCCGACCAACCACGAGTTGCAGTTCACGAACACGCTGGGTCGCGATCTGGCGCTCATTGCGTGGGAATCGATGCCCGAGGCGGCGCGAAAGGGACTGGAGGAGGCGGAATTTGGCAAGGCGACGGTGCCGTTCAAGGACTCGACATTCCAGGGGAATCTGGAGAAGGCGGCCATCTAAGGGCGTTTCATAGGAGAGAAGGAGAGAGAGAGATACAGAGAGGAAGTAATAAAGATGAATTATATAGATTAGACCGACTATGGCTAGTTAGCTTATTGATATATAGTTATAAGTGAATAATTTCAAATCAACACGTCGTACATTCCATACCAGACATCCCAGGCTATTCCAGTACTGGTGCGGTGGAAATTAAATTGGCCCTCCTGGCCACTGCCATCTCGCCTTAGGCGCTTGGCGTGGGAAGACGTGCGCCGTGAATGGAGGGTTGAGAAACAAAGGAAATAAAAGCGTGCCGTGAGGGCAGTGGGTATATGATTAAAGCGAGAGCCTCGTTCTCTCCTTGGTCTGTTCTTTAGCTTCGGGCGTGCTTGAGGAGCAAATCCATTGCCTCCTTCCAACCGGACGAATCCACCATCTCGAGCACCGTCTGGCCCGTCTCGTCTTTCTGGCCGAGGTCCACGCCGCCTCCCTTCTCGACCAGAACATGCAGAAGTTTGATGTCGCGGTTCTCGATCGCCTGCATGATCGCATTCCAGTCTCGGTAGGTCTTGCTGGGGTCGGCGCCCTTCTCGAGCAGCAGTTCAATCATGGTGAAATCACCGTCGAGGCATCGACGCACCGCCTTGACGATGGGGAGATGCTCGCCCGGCGCGTTGGGATCGGCGCCACCTTCGTCTAGTAGGTAGCGCACGATGTCGCGGTGGCCCTCGCGCAGCGCCGTTGTGAGCGGCGAGAACACGCCGCCGTTCTTGTACTCCACGCTGGCGCCGGCCGCGATCAGGAGCTTGATGCTCTCGAGTTGGTTCGCCAGCACGGCCATCTCCATCACGCCCTTGTGCGCCGACAGGTCCGTCACGGCGGGGAGCAACTGCTGGAGAATGTCGGGCGACCGGACGGCCATGCACACGGGCCAGTCCTGGCCGCGCTGGTTGGGGTTAGCGCCGTGCACCAGCAGCAGATTCAGCATGTCGACCCGCCGCTCGCGAATCGCCGTCGTCAGGGCGGTGTGCCCTTGCGCGTTGCGGTCGTTCGGACTCGCTCCGCCGTGTTCCAGCAGCCACTGCGCGGCCTCGGCGTTGTTCATCTGCACCGCCATCTCAACGATGCCCGGGGGTTGGTGGAGATCCGCGCCGGCATCTACAAGATCGGGGAGGAAATGCGTCCGGAAATGCGTCACGCACTTCCAGGCGGGGTATTCGGAGGCCATCACGTTCGGGTTGGCACCGTTGGCCAACAGGAGAGCGAAGATGTCGCGTCGGTTGTCGCGGATCGAGGAGCAGAGCGGCGTATAAATGCCGTCCTTCTTGGAGTTCGGGTCAATGCCGGCCTGGAGCAGAATCCGGATGGCATCGATGTTGTTGATGCTGGTGGCTTGTTCCATGATCCCGGGCGTCTTTCGGATGTCGGCGCCTCGGGCAAGCAGAATCCGCAAGCAGGCCGGGCGATAGATGGCAGACCAAAGCACATGCTCCGGCCCGGGCAGGTTGGGATTGGCGCCGTGGTCGAGAAGCATCGTCACGGCGATCACTTGGTCGGCCTGGACAGCCTCGAACAACGCGGATTTCCCTTCGCCGTTCTTCAGGTTGGCGTCTGCGCCGGCGGATAGCAGCAGGTCTACCAGCCGCTGAGGGGCCTTCTTTCGGATAGCCTCGATCAACACCGTGCTCCGGTTTCTCGTCTCGTGGTTGGGGTCTCCCCCATGCGCCAGCATAGTGTGAACCATGTCGGTCTTCGCGGCCAGGACCGCAAACCCGAGCGGGGTCTCCAACTCCGGGCTGGGCATGAGAGTCGGCTCGGCCTGATACTTCAATAAGAGGGTTGCGGCATCCAGAAAGGATGCGTCTACCGCGCACCACAGGGGTGTCTTCCCCTCTCGGTCGGCCTGGTTAGGGTTGGCCCCAAACTGCAGCAGAAGCCGCACGCCTTCGATGTCACGGCGATTGACAGTCTCGTTCAAGGGATGCGAGTTTTCTCCCATGTCGGGGGACACCCCGCTGTCCAGGAGTTGTTCCATCAATTGATGGTTTCGCGCTCGCACGGCGGACGCCAGGGCACTCTTGAGATGGCCGACGGTCGCCGCGCTGGTATGACTGGGGGTGCGACGAGGCATCGACGCGTCACGTTTCGGGTGCGTGCGGGTATTGGAGAGGGAACTAGTTGCGTCCCCATCTATATCATGTTGCGCCAGGGTTTCCGCCGCAGATGCGGATGAACTCGCGACGCCGGGGTGGTTCTCATTTCGGGAGTACGGGAGACGATGTGAGAAATTGGTTGGTTCATGGATGTGGGAATCGGATAGGGAAAGGTTGTCGAGGTATAAGACGGATGACAAGGTGTCTGGCACCGATTCGGGCGCCGGCTTCGTTTGGTATTCGTGGTCGGGTTGTCTGCTCAGATCGACGTCGCTGAGCGGTGCCTTCGGAGGCACTGGGGGAACGGGAATGGAGGGTGGCGGGCCACCGGGCACCGTCTTCACGGCGGAGGATGGTTGCTTCGCGCTGCTCATGCCGCGTTCTAGCGACCTGACTTGAGTGATGCCCGTCACCGATCGCCCCTTCGCCATGCGGTCCAGCGCCGCCGCCAGCCCTGCATATCCGACGCCAACCGAATCCTCCGGCCTCGATTCTCCCAGCGACCAGTGGAACGCCAGTACGCTGATCTGCAAGGCATCCATCACCTTGCTGAGAGACTCGCGAATCTTATTCAGCTCATTGCTGGGCCGATGCCATCCTTTTTGCAACCTCCCCAGGGCACCTCGATGCTCGTATTGGGCCAATTTGGTGACGAGACGGTCCAGCTGTTGAAAGTCCTTGTACGCCTCTGTAAACTTCTTTTCCACCTCCTGCAAGATCACCGGAGGCAGAGGTCGCTTGGCACCCGCGGACTCGCCGAGACCGGCTTCAATGGTCCACAAGGCGCGACAGGTGTCGAGAAAGACTCGCGCCAGGTCCTGAAAGCCGTCGGGGATGTCGTGGACGGTACTGAGGTAGTCCAGCATGCGCACGGAGATGCGGTTACCCAGCTGGGTGGCCTGAGCGGAGATCGCAAAGACGCCATCCTCCGGGGAAGAAACCATGACGCAATTGGGACTGATAATCGGCTTCTTCTGATTGTCTGTAGCCCCTGCCAGACGTTGTCGCTTTTGAAGTCTCGCTGTCGTCGACGTCTGCGGCGGGTGAGTATTTTGGGGTCTCGGGGGGTGCATGGAGGGGAGAGAGGATGAGGGGAGGTTTAAAGGGGCGGGGGGGGGGAAGGAAATACTCCAACGCCGTGTGGCCTGGCCAGGGATTTAATCCGCGCTTTCCCTAGAACACGGTTGGGCTTGGGAACCAAAAGGGACGGATTTAATTGCACAGGAGAGTGATTGTCCCTGGGCAGGGTTCTAGACGACACGCAAGAACCCGTCGCGTACACCAACCATGAATTGACGAGCGCAACGGGGTGGAGCCAGCTGAACTCCTGGGGCACGATTCGTGAGATGCTAGAGAGGCATCGCTTAACCTTACCGGCGCGACTAAGCCTACTCGGCTCGTAGTCAGGACCATGGATTGCTCGAAAAAATCTGGTGAAACGGAGTCGAACTCAAAAGCCGGTGGACCAGGACTTTCGAGTCCGCTTCAATTTCCAGCCAACATCGAGCCGGGCATGGACTGCCCGGGCGATGATAGGCCAGCACGCATCGGCCAACAGATCCCGATCGACAGTCTGGGACACGATTTCTCCGGATCCACATGGTCGATAGACTAAAGCCATGGCGCAAAGAACCGGCGGGCCAACCCAGAGGCTGGCTGGCTGGGCCACGCGGGATTCCTGCAAATGCACGGCGGTCCCTGAGTCCTGAAACGGCTAAACCTCGCTGAAATTCGGGGGTGGTTCGTGTGATGGGCGATCTTGTGGTCGAAGATTCGGGATTCAGGAGAGTCAGATGCAGGAGAACGGACAGTGTCCGGTGGGAATTAAGGTTGATGACCGTTGATGGATTCTTGGGATTTGGGATTCTTGGGATTCTTGAGATTCGTTGGATTTCGTGGGAATTCGGGGGTCACCTGAAACCGGCTTAGTCATGCCCACGTTACACGGCAAACGGCCTGAGGCAGATCTCTTTGTTCTGCCCTCTCGTAGAGGTGGCCTAATTTCTAACGTGAGCAACACGAGTAATGATTTGGAATGATGGAATCGTAATCTCGAGATCCCATAATTAATCTCGAGATCCGGTCCACGCAATTAATCTCGCGGGTCGCCATCCCGCCCCTTTCTGGAGGCCATCCTGCGGTCATGATGATATCACCGGATTCTGCCATCTCGTCATGACGGATCATCTCGCCTCTTCATATCTCATGTATACACTTCATATATAATGGAGTGGTTTCAACCCACCATTCTGGCTGAAACCATCCTGACACCATCTCATACCATCTCATACCATCCCACTCTATCAACCAAGACTGGTCGCAAAGCTTCGCCGCAACATGTCCAACGCCAACCAGCCATCGACGGGCGTCCGAGGCGGCGCCAGCGCCATCCCGACGCCCGCCAACAATGCCGACCTGCAGGGAGGCGCCAGTAGCGGCGTGCGCAATCAGGGCGCCGGTCATGTCGGAGTAGGTCCAGACCTGCCCATGAAACCGCCACCGATGGATATAAAAATGAATAAAAAATAAAATAAAAATACAACCAACGTCAGAAGAAAGAACGACAGCAAATACTAACATGCCTACTCTCCCAACAGATTGGAGCCCCCATGGAAACCGAAGGAGGCTTCCTCAGCCTCAACCAGCAGAAAGGCCTGGCGGAGAATCACTACGGAGAGCGCGCGGGTCTGATGGATCCCAACGCGGCGGAAGACCGAAGTTTCGCGCAGAAGAAACCCGGCGCTCAGGATACGTTGCCCGGCTGGGAGAAGGCCAAAGACGTGGTGGGGAATCTGTACGTGTTTTTTTCTTCTTTTTCCCTTTTTCTCTTCGGTGCTTTTCTGCTTTGGTTCCTCGGTGGACACCGCTGACCGATTTCCGTGCGCTAGTCTGCCCTGATTAACTGTATCGATCGAAACGAGATCGATGCGGGTTCACTATAAATTTGATTTACCCCATCCTGTGCACTTATGACGGTTTTTGATAATTGTTGATGATATAAAAGACATAACGAATGCATAAAAAAGATTTCTGTACATGTACTCCCCACTTCATTATTATATACTCCACAAGTAGTCAAAGTCTCTATTCCACCTTGGCCTGCTTCCCCTTGATCTTGTCACGCAACGCCACGACCTTCCCGGCGATCCGGCCCTTGAGCGTCTGCGCCGTAATGGCGGCGGCCTCCTCCACGGTGACAAAACGACGGATCAGAAGGTTGAAAATGCTGCCAAACGCCAGAGCAATGACCGTGCTGGTGAGGATGATCACGTTGTACGGCATACTGAAGTCCGGCGTCGGCAGAGGCAGGAGAAGGCTGGTCGTGCGCATGTAGACGGGCTGGCCCTCCTGCTGGTCGGGCGTGCCGAGTTTGATCACCGCCGGGGCCACGTTGAACCCTCGGTTCGCGTCGGGCGGGTACTCCGTGTACCGGAGAATCGCCTTCTCGAAGTCGTAGGTGAGGGTCACCGTGGATGCCGCCGGAACGGTCAGTGCGAGCTCGAGCTGCGTGCCACGTTCTCGGTCGATGGCGGGTCGGTAGACGGTTTCCTTGATGATCTGCGTGGCGGGCACCTGTCGTCGGACTCCATCCCGCCCGGTGATCGTGGCCTGCAGAGTATGGATATAAGGCCGCAGGAACCACGGTAATGTCTCGAAGTAGATAAAGTCCACCGCGTCGGTGTCCGAGGGATTGTCGAAGATGTTCCGCATGCCACCCCGTTCCTGCCCATGCCCCACAATGGTTCGTTCCCCCCGCAAGATAGGCTCGTCCAGAGGCACCTGGGTCGTGGATTCCTGCTCCGGAATGGTGATGTCAAAGGGCGTTGAGGATTGCAGGGTGTAGCAGCGAGTAAAACCGTCGGGCTTCTTGGATTCAATGGCCCCCGGCGAGACAGAAACGTCTCGATCGTGCGGCACTCGGAGACAGACCGGTTCTTCCTCCGTAGTCTGGTCCTCGGTGAGCGGGCATAGCCCGTTGATGCTGCGGCCGAAGATCTCCGTTAAACCCCATCCCTTACCGGAGGGGTTTTCCAAAGGATAGCAGGTGTCGTCCGAGTGATAGGATTTGGAGGCGTCACAAACAAGCTGCTCGGCAGGAACTGGTCGAGGGATTGGGTTATCTAGGAGCAATTAGTAGGTAATCGAGACAACTGGATAGAGTGCGACCTCACCGCGAGTTCGTTTCGACCGGTCAATATCCAGCGCGATATCCACGGTCTGTTCGATCTGCACCAGGCATTCTCCCGACTGCGGACAGATGGGACGCACATCCACCGCCATGCTCTGCCACGAGGCGTCGAAGAGTTTGTGGCCATCGAATAGACTGGAAACGCCGGCTTTGCCCTTACACGGCAGAAGTTTGAGGAATGGTGTCAGGTTCTCCGTGCAGACAACTTCTCCGGGGAGAGTTCCGTGCAACAAATGGAGGTTCTTCGACGTAGAATGGTCTCCAGTTGGCTGGAAAGAGGTAACGGGGCGAGTCGTTCGCGTGGAATCGATGAAGTTCAGCGACGCGCAGAACAAACCGGACAACGACTGCGTCAAGGTGATCCATTTGGCAAATGCCCTGTGTCCAGTTGTCAGCATAAACAGACGATGCTGTCGGCAATCCACCACATTACATACTCCTGTTCATCGACGGCGTCAATCCACGCCCACAATTCCACACCCGTACCACCTTCTTTGGTCCCGTTCCAGGGGCGCGAACCCCAACTCTCAGCGTCCCATCTACCCGTCGTAAAGCGGAGGTGGAGTTCTTCGGTGTGGGCATGTTGCAAGATCTGGCCTAGTGCCCGCGGGAAGTATTGAAAGTTGCGCTCGTCAAACGACTCTTTCGTCGCATTGCTGCGGAAGTTGAACGACGCTAATAAGGACGACTGGGGTAGCGGTTGCAGGACGAGGCTTTCGTGATAGTCCGATGCGGCGGAGGCAAGCGTGGACAACGCGCCGAGGAAGAGCGAAAGAAAAGACCAAGAAGAAATCATCACGTCATGCTTGCCAGTAATAATATTGCCCGAATAAGTCTAGATGACTGTCGCACGTCTCGTTCGACCGTCGAGGATGATTGCGCCGGGCGGAGCTCCGATCGTGAAGGACAGACAAGCAGCGTTCTAGGCTGAGGGCAGGGTCTTGGCGAAATCTCACGGATGAATCACTGCTGGGAAAACTGGAATTTCGCGCTCTCGACGAAGTCAACCGTACTGTCGGCACGCTGGGCCGGCGCAGAAGGAGATGAAATAACTCCGTCGAGAACAATCCGGACGTGGACAACATCCCCGACTTGCCAGAAGGGGAGAGCTCCCCCTAAGCGCAGCCGCGTTTAGCGCCACTCCGCAGAAAGAATCGGGACGACGGAGTGCTTTCATTCTCTCTCCAATTCAATCCCCCCGTTTCCATTGCGCTCCCTCTCATCGATTTCTCCCTTCCTTCTTCTCCCACCCTCCTCACACCATGGCGGCCGAACAGAGAAAGCTGCTCGAGCAGCTGATGGGAGGTACGTTCGACCTGGACGCATCGCGCGAGTCGAGTCTCAAGCTAACTTGAAAATCTTCTTCTGTCCAGCGGACCAGCTCATAGGAACCGGCGCCGCCTCGCGCAACGCCCAGCTCTCCATCACCGACTCGAAGGTCTGCCGCTCGTATCTCGTGGGAACCTGCCCGCATGACCTCTTCACCAACACCAAGCAAGATCTGGGCCCCTGCCCGAAAGTTCACAGCGAAGGATTGAAGACCGAGTACGAGACGGCCTCGGCGGCGGAGAAGGCGAAATGGGGATTTGACTATGACTACATGCGCGATATGCAGAAGTACATCGATGACTGTGACCGGAGGATCGATTCGGCGCAGCGCCGATTGGAGAAGACGCCGGATGAGATCCGACAAACCAACAACCTGGTGAGTGACTGCCGTGGCGGATGGTCCACTACCTGGCTAGAGGGGAAACACAAATCGCTGACGCTCGCATAGCTCAAACAAATATCCGACCTGACGAAGACGATAAACACGGGGTTGCTGGAAATCTCTGTCCTGGGCGAAACGGGCTCCGTTGCGCAGGCGCTCAACGAACTGCACAAGATCCGCACCACGAAGCATCAGAAGGAGACCTGCGAGCGCGAACTGAAGAACCTCCAGGATACCTCCGGTCCCTCGGGCCACCAGAAACTGCAGGTCTGCGATGTCTGCGGGGCATACCTCAGTCGACTCGACAACGACCGTCGGTTAGCGGATCATTTCTTCGGAAAGATGCATATGGGTTACTCGGACATGCGCAAGGGCTTCAAGAAGCTCAGCGAGGAGCTGAAGGGACGGCCGCCTCCTGTCCGCCACCATGACGATGACGACGGCGGCTGGGGTGGACGCTCAGGTGGTGGAAGAGGGCCTCGATACGGTGGCGGCGGAGGATACAAAAAGCGTGGTGGACGGTGGTAAGCCCGTTTCTCCTCCGTATCGTGTCTGGATATGCATAGCGTAGGCGTTGTTCTCTTTATCATGCCTGGGAAATAATGAACTGCAGTATGTGATAAGTATTAGTACTCTTAAAAATCTTACATTGATCTTCTACATAATCACTACGCGCGTGGAACTGAAATATTGAGCGACTGCTGCTCCAAGCATACTTGTGTAGAAAAAGTAAGTGGAAGAGTGTGGAATAAATTGGCATTGATCCGTGGCATGACAAGATAATGGCAAAATAAACATGTAAATAACAGCAGAGATCAAATTCAGACCAGGAAAAAAAAAAAAAGTAAAAATTAAACACCCATCACACCGGAAAAGAGAAAGAATAAAAACAAATCAAATGCAAATCCCGGCGACGAAAATATCCCGATAATCACCCAAGTACCCCTTTTTGTTTTGAATCCCTTCCCAAAGACAAACTATAGAATCGCAGAAAACACCAAGCCGAAACGTCACTTGGAAAGATGAAGAACAGGGTAACGATTACTATACAACCAGATGTGATTTGTGCAGTTATTGTTGCACACCATTTCCGTTAGTGGTGGCTTGAACGAGCTCGCGCATCAACATGTCATAATTCGCGGCAGTATCGGGTCTTCGCAAGAGAATATCTCGAATGACGCCTAGTTGAGACACGTCCGCATTGGGCGCCTGCTGCAACAGTTGCTGGATTGCAGGTGAGCTGGCCTGGGCGCCGAGGACTTGCACGGCGGCTGCCATGCCAGTAACAGGAGCTTGGTTCGGGGCTGTGGGAGGCTGATACGATTGGAATGGTTGGGACTGATGCGGTTGACCATACGGGGTTTGCGCCTGCGGTGTTCCATCAAACGGGGACGGCGTCGCAGGCATATGAGATGCGCCCCGTGGGCCCGGGGTGAAGAATTGGGATTGGTGAGGCGTTGGCGCGCCCACGGTCAATGGACTTGCCGAAGCAGCAGGCTCCTGGCTGGGATAGTGCGAAGGAGGCTGGACAGAAGGCGGATTCGAATCCCCGGTCTTGACGGCAAAGACCACGAGGAGAACACGCTCCGGCGTGGGATCCTCGAGCGAGTTGTTCTCTAAAAGCTCGATGAACTCGGGCTTCTTGGTAGACTGAGCTTCAATGGGAATGAGGTAGGTATCTTTAACGGCCGGCAAAGGGTGTTTTCCAATCACACCGTATCTCTTGCGATCTTGGAAATAATTGAAGATCTTATCGAATCCGGCTCGTTCCTTCGGGGTTTCAGGGGCGCTGATCGAAATGACCGACACATCGGTGGAAGAACTAAAGCGAAGACCACAGAGATAGTTGGTGGCCAGCTGGACGTCGATTCTTCCGTCGATGAGTAACGTAGAGGGAATCAGTTGGCTCCATGGGATTCTTCCACTCAAGTCGGCGCCCCCAACGTGCTTTGCAGATGACGAGAACTCTGCAATCGGGTTCATGATAACCTTGCCGCGCCAGATGGCGCCTTCATCATGGAAGTCCTTGGGCGAATAAGGCGGGGATTCAGGCTCGTCGTCCTTCAACAACTGATCGATTTCGGCATCAGCCTGGACCTTGCCAGTAGGGACCGGCTCGCGGATATGAGCCGCCATCTCGGGGAACACCTGCTCATGGCTGGTGCCACCAGGGGAGTGACCCCTCGGAGGGAAATGTTCGTCGTGAGTCGGTTTGGAGTCCGTCGACTGCAACTTGCGAGTGGCATCCACGTCGGGTTGTTGCTGGTTGCCAGGACTCGTCGGGCTCTGGGCGCCGGGGCTGCCATCGACATCAGCCAAGCTGCGACGGGTCGGGGCCGAGGAGAAGACAGGCTCGCTGGCGACCTGCTGGTTCTCATCCTCGACCAGTTCCTCGCCTTTATGGGTCCGTCTAATGCGCGGCCCTTGGTCCTGTACGATGATGTGTTGTCGTTCGGCTTCCCGCTTGATCTCGGCATCTCGCTGCTGCAGTTCCTCGCTGGCCATGTCCTGGGAGCTCATTTTAGAAAGAGCATCCGCCTGTAAATTACCTACGAGCAGACGTTCGCGTAGAGAAGCATTCTTCTTTACGTTAAACAGTATCGTCCGCAATTGTGACTTATACGGCTCCGTGGGCTCTCCTGCTCCTCCGCAGATATTCTGGTACATTGCATTCTCGATAGAGAGAGCGAGCTGCCGGGCGACATCCTCCGCTGACTTTCCGTCGGGCAACTTGGAAGCCGATTGCTTCTGCGGCGGGTTCATGAGCAGCCTGACCAGAGCGGTGGCTGCACTCCTCCGCGACGAGTTTGAGATCTCTTCCACAGTGCCCAAGTCTTCAGTCGTCGTCCTCACCACTTCGGAGCTTCGGCGTGACGATGGTTCGTTGGTTTCATCCTTCACCGGAACCGGTTTCGCCGCCGGGGGAGTCGGCGTCTTTGTCGGAGGTGAAACCTTTTGTTGCTTCTTCGGTTTCGATCCCTGTAGCATGATGGGTCAGCGGGGCAAAAAGATGGGATTCAAGGGAAGGTCTCTTATGCTCACCGAGCCGGGCGCTGGGCCCTCTTCGTTCTCCTCGAGTTTACGTTTGTGCGAGCCTGCGGGTTGTGCTTTCGGCGAGACACCATTCTTCTCGGGGCCTGGCGTGGCAGCTGGCGGTGTTGGAGTCGTCGGGGCGGGAGCAGGGATAGGAGTAGGAGCTGGAGCTGGAGCTGGAGCAGCATCAGGAGCAGCAGCAGGAACAGGAGTGGCCGTAGAAGGGGCAGGAGCAGGCGTCGTCGAAGTAGCAGCACGAGCGGGCGTGCTTGTGTCCGTCTTCGCCTCGCTGGGTCTGCCTCTCCTGCCACCCTTTTTGCTCTTCCTGCGACGCGAGTGCTTTTTCTCCTCGGCTTCCTTGCGCCTTCGTTCGGCCACTTCTTCCCATGGTTTCTCGCCGCGCGCGATCTTTTCCAGTAGGACCTTGTGGTTTTCCGGTTTGCATTGCTCGCAGAAATATTCGTCAGGCTCCTCTCCCTTGGCGAAGGTGAGGCCCATGCAATCGTTATGTTGCCAGGCGGAACACCGGTCGCAACAGATCATGTCTCGCTCGACATCTTCTTCCTCTTCGTACTCCCCACATATGCATCGGATGATCTCTTCTTCTTCTCCTTCTTCGCTGGGACCTGGCGTCGGTTCGGCGGAGGGTTTGGGGGGTTTGTCTTTGGCCTGGCCTTTGGTTTTCGATTTCTTCGGAGTGTCGGGGACTAAATCGAGGTTCTTGTGCTGGCCTTTGGTCGAGCGACCGGAGCGTCGCGGTTCATCTGCAGTGCTTGTTAGCTTTGGGATTCAACTCTTGAGATAGGAACTGGGCCCAGTCGCCACACCTCTCGGAGGGGGGTGGAAACGGGCCTGTTCGCGATGGACTCGGGTATACTAATGCTTACCAGCCATGATGAGGGGCCAAATGGAATTATGAATGGGAGGATTTCAGAATTTCTACAGCGCGACGATGAATAGCAGGGGATTCGCCGGGGATCAAGTCTTGCGCACGCCACCCAGATCTCGTTCTACGGCATCAGAGGGCTAGAGTAATACACAGGGTAAGAGACTGGACAGTGGCACTGTTGCCCGGCCCACTCAGGTATTACTTCTTGTCTTCTCAATTGTTCCAGGTAGTTTATTTAAAGGACACAACGCGTAGCAGCCAGACGTAGCACCGACCCTGGCGTTTTCAAGTCACTGTTGGCACGCAACGTCGCGCGCAGCGTGAATGCTTGGCGTGGGCGGGGTCGCGTGGTCGCTTTCCTGATTGGAAACGCGTGTTCTGGCCGGGACGAGATGGAGGAACCGAGAGAAGAATCGCAGCAGATGCGCAGGGTGCTGCTGGAGATGGATGCGGTGTTGCGCAGGGTGGATGGATGATGGAAGAGAAGAGGAAGGAAAGGCAAGTCTTGGGAAGAAATGAGGAGAACCTGAGATGGCGCGCGGCTGACTCAGCGCACGTGACGGCGGCTCGGCGGGGAGTCTTGGCACGGCGCTTCTGCATCGTCGCGTTGCCTCTCTTTTTCGGCGCCTTCGAAAGCTTTCTCCAGATCCCCACATCGACTTTTTTTCTCTCTCCCTTCTCTATTTGTTCTTACTCTCTAATCTTCTACTGTGTAGCATCCTCTGACCTCCTTTCTTATCACACGATCCCTACACTACACTACACTACGATGGCAGATGTCCGATCCTTACTAAGAAGCGAGCTTGCCTCCCGCAAGGGTTCGTCGCCCCAGACAGGGAGAGCACCAAACCGCGTCACGAAGAAACGAAAGGTAGACTCTGGCGAAGACTTGACGCGCAAAAAGTTGAGGCAGACCAACGGAGACCAACTGCTGGCACATGCCCAAACCGTACAGCCTCCAAGTGCCCAGGCGCTGGAGTCCGAGGAAAACGTCGAACAATCAGATCAAGATGTCGCTGGTCCGGACCTACCGCCCGAGGAAGACCTCGTGGAAGACACGGAGGAAGTGGGTGCGCAGCCATCTGAACCCACGGCCGTAACTTCGAATCCACCTACGGAGCCCCCCAAGCAGGCCGTCGACGAGGATGAATGGGCCGCCTTCGAACGGGATGTAGTGGCTCCGACTCGAGTACCACAGGCACCCGCTGCGCTTGCCGCAACTGCCACCATCTCAGCAGCCCCTGTCACAGCCGAGCAGCTTGCTGCGCAACAAGAACAAGACAAGCAGACGGCCGCTCGATCTCGCGAAGCCGAGGCCGAAGGGGAACGTGAAGACGCCGCACGATTTATGGAGGATGAATTTGATGAAATGGATCAATTAGAGGAACGAGTCAGGCGACTGAAACACATGCGGGAGGAGCTGAGGAAAAAACGATCCGTGGAAGGCGCGGATGCTAGTCAAATGGATTTGTCTACTTCCGCTGGTGAGCTCCAGAAGGACCAAGCCAAGAATGACAACAGCGAGGGTGAAGAAGATGACGACGACGAGGATGAAGATGATGACGACTGGGATAATTGGAGATTTAGGTAATTCAGAACCGGAAAAACGGAAAGGCGTCAACTTTTACAAAGGAGGTCTTGGACTGTTCATGTTTACATTGATACCCCATGAGCTATATGAAGTCACAAAATTGTTGATTATCCCCCCCCCCCCCCCCCCCTTAATGTCTCAGAATACTTATGTGAATCCCAGGGCTGGAATGCCCGTTGGGATTTGGCCACTTTGTGATGTTGCGACACGCATTTGACTTGGGTGGCCAAAATAGCCGTCCATCCAGCTGGTCAAGCAAGATGAATGATGTGACCCTGTATTATATCAGATAATGTGCGAATTAAGATTCAGTTATACAGTTATTGGTCCTCCGCTCGATCTGCATCCTTTGATGCCTCTTGGTCGGCATCGACGTAGCTTCGGAGTCCGGCTCGGCCAACCTTCATGGCCTCTTCGACCTCGGCTTCACCCTCTTTCAAGAGATGCTTGCCACGTACGAGGTCACCTCTCTGTCTTCGTTTCTCTTCTTGCACCTTTTTCTCGCGCTCAGCCAGCGCCCTTTCGCGCTTTTCCCGCTCCAGTCTCTTCTTCTCAAGTTCCTCCCGCTGTTCAGCAGTCATGTTTTCCTGCTCCGGGGCTGGAGGCAAGGTCGTTATGTAGGTTTCGATGAGGGGATCGCGCACTTTAGGTGCCAGCGCAATATACTTCAGATCGGTGATGATGGAAGGCGGAAGAGCTTCCAGACTTGACGAGCGGTTCAACTCATGCAGTGGGACGGATCTGAGCAAGGCAGACAAGTCAGATTTGCGGGTGCTTTCGGGCTGTTTCAGCCGAGAAACCAAATCGCGATAGAACTTCTCTCGGTCTTTGTCGGATAACTGTGAATCTTTCATCTCAGGCTCTTTTCGATATTTGCGCTTGAACTCGGGCCAGTACAGTTTCGGCGTGGCGTACTCCTGAAGGAACGCGAGATACTTGATGCGTGGATCTTCCTTTTGCTGTTTTTCTTTGCGGTCCTTCAGCATCTGAATTCGATCGCGACCCCAGTTGGACCACACTTCACGGCGAGCCTTCATGTTGGGAAGCACGGTGTATCGGGGGTCCTCTATGATGTGGCCCTGTTCAATGATATTCTCCCAGGTCGCATAGGGGTTTATGTGGTAGTCGTCAAGCAGATCTCGGAATAGGGCCGTGGCATCTTCGTCCGTCAGTGGCAGTCCTTCGGCACCTTCCTCCCAATCGCCTTCTTCTGGCTCGCCGTACTCGCCGGGGTCAAGGCCGTAGTCCTCGCCCATGGCAGCTAGCTGATATTCAAAATCTTCCTCTGTAAACTCCATCGGTTGCTTTTGGTCATCGTCATCCTCAGTTTTCGGGCGTTTGGTAGGTTGGCCTTCTTCCTCTTCGCTATCCGTGACTTCGACTTCTTCATACTCGTCGCTATCATTCTCAGGACCACCAGTGACAGGAATCTCTTTTCGTTCTCTTTCCCCTCCGTCCACTGGGCCCGGCCCCGGTTCGAAGGCTGATTTTGTGCTTTCCTCGACGTCCTCGCCACGCTCCTTCCTTTCTTTTTGTTCCCTCTCTAGGCGATCGTATTCAACAACCCCCTTCAAAACATCCTCCGGAAATTTCCAGAAACTTTCATTGGTTTCCGGATTGTGAACGAATCTCCTTCCAAGTTTTGTCTTCACAAGGACCCACGGCGCACACCCCGGTATCGTATGCTTTGATTTTGGCCGATCTTCAGGTCCTCGATTTCTGCGGTCATTAAAGCCTCCTCTTCCTCCGCGAAAGCCTCCACGGCTTTGTCCACGGTGAGGGATCTCCTGCGATGATACCTCCAGTCCATGAGGCGCGTACGGAGTCGAGGAAAAGGGTGGTAAGGTGTCCGGAGTGAGGAATGGAGCGTTCTGCGCGGCCACGGGAGTGTGTACGGGCTGTTGAGGTTGAACTGGCGGCGCGACCGGTCTAGTGTACGTCGACTTTTTCGTCTGTGAGTTGTAGTAGTATAAATGCCCTAGTTCTCCGTCAGAAAAATGGCCTTTGATGGTTCGAATGTCGCAACCAACCTGTAGGAGCCCGGTGCTCTGTCCAGCCCGTGGGCAGTGGAGGGGGAGGGGTATAGGTCGATTTGAGCATAGTGATCACCGGCGACCAAAAATTCAAGCGTCAATTCCAGGAAGCGCAATAGCTCCGAGTTTCCCTCCCCAAGAATATGCTGGAATTGCGGAGACAATGGCTTGCGGAGAGTAATTTTGCGGCGGCAGAGCTTCGCCTGGGATCCAAGAGTGGTCCGAGCTTGGCAGATGGAAGGACGCGCCAGGGCGAGAGTTGCCTGCCGGACACTACGGCGAGCTCACCCAACCATCATCATCATCCTCCTCGGTCTACGCCCACCTGCCCCCTCCTCATCCCAACGTCTTCCCTCCGCGGGTTTCTTTCTCGTTGAGCTTTTATTCTTCTGTTGATCCTTCTTTTCTATCGCTAGATTCAAGATGTCACGCAGATACGATTCCAGGGTATGCCGGAACTCCAATTTCATCATCCCGGAAGCTCCAGCTAACCAGACGACGCCGTGCTTCAACAGACAACCATCTTCTCTCCGGAAGGGCGACTGTACCAGGTCGAGTATGCGCTTGAAGCTATCTCGCACGCTGGTACTGCCCTCGGTATTCTGGCCAAAGACGGAATCGTCCTTGCTGCAGAGAAAAAGGTGACCAGCAAGCTGCTAGAGCAGGACACGTCTGCGGAGAAGCTCTACACACTGAACGAGTATGCACTCCGTCTCCCTGTGGTGACACATCCCGATCCGTACCTCAGAGCTAATGCTGGGTGCAGCAACATGATTTGTGCCGTTGCCGGTATGACAGCCGACGCCAACATCCTCATCAACTATGCCCGACAAGCCGCCCAGCGATATCTTCTTACCTACAACGAAGAGATCCCCTGCGAACAGCTGGTTCGTCGTCTGTGCGATCTGAAGCAAGGATATACCCAGCATGGTGGTCTGCGTCCGTTCGGTGTGTCGTTTATCTACGCCGGGTACGATCCCCTTCGGCAGTTCCAGTTGTACCAGAGCAACCCCAGTGGTAACTACGGTGGCTGGAAGGCGACCAGCGTCGGTGCAAACAACGCCAGTGCCCAGAGTCTGTTGAAGCAAGATTACAAGGAGGACTGCGATCTGAAGGAGGCTTGTGCTATGGCCGTCAAGGTTCTGAGCAAGACGATGGATTCGACAAAACTCAGCAGCGAGAAGAGTAAGTGTGCCTTCTATCTTTCTTTTTATCCACTGGGAACATGCACTGACTGGGCTGCTCCTTTCTTCAGTCGAGTTCGCGACGGTGGGCAAGACCCCAGAAGGGAAGATCTTCCACCATCTGTGGAATGCCGATGAGATCAATGCCCTCCTAAAGGAACATGGATTGGCCAAGGTTGACGACGAGCCCGAGGCTGGTGAGATTAAATAAATAAATGAGCGACGTGTTTCTTTCTTTGCTACCTGATCTACATAATTCCATTCTTGTTATTGGAGGCTGTCCTACCGAAAGAAACCACCTTCCCTAGTTCTCACTGCTCCCAAGTACCAATCCCGGGAGGCTTGTATGTGACTGAGACATGAGCCAGAAGCTTCCTGGGTAGTTATTGAGGCCTTCTGCCGCTACATCTCAGGCGCAACTGACGTTGTCCACCGGTGACGTGGCACGCGACGTCGAGGTGAGCAACAACTGGTTCCATTCTCACGTTTGTCCTCGATTCTTCAGCCCAGGGTGACGGGGTGTGTAGCTGAGCAAGAAAGATCAATGGTCCACGTAGTCGGAACTTGCACATTCCCTGAGCGCGTGAAGAATCTCTTGTCAGTAGGGGTGCGTTTCCCCGGGCCAGTCTTCCATATAAGAGGTAGTCAGCCGTCGAATTTTTCTATTTTTTCCCTCCTGAAGAAATGCACTCTCTTTGCCTTGTGACCATATTATAGAAATAAAAATCCCCGGGAAGTCAGCTCATTTACAGTGAGCACAATCTACTGTCGAACATTCCAAGGACCCGCTGCAGCAGAGGGTCTTCACCACCCTGTAACGTTCTCAACCCCGATCTGCAAGGCATCTCTGCCATCGCCGTCCCCAAAGAGGTATAGCAAGGGATCTAGCGTTCGAAAATGTCGGTGAGAGGGGCCCTGCAACGGGCTGAGCTGAATTGCGCTGAGATGAAGAGGTAGGCGACCGCAGATGTTTCATCCTCACCTCCAAGTCTACAGCGTAAGACCCGCGCTAACCCCGACCCGGCCAGGATCACGTGTGGGCCGCGGGGTTTCGACGGCCTCGCCGTTTGTCGATAAACATTCCTTCCTTCGAATCTACCCTGTTCGATGGCTTAATGGCCTGGCCATTCAACTCCCTTGGATTGAGTCCCTTGGTATCAATCGGTCGGAAGGGCCGGCCCTTTCTGCATAGGACTTCCTTAATTTCTTGCAATGGCAAGATGGGCACTCGTTTCATCCTGGTCGTGGCGAACCGCTCATCAAGAATACAGGCGCTTATTGAGTGGAACTGACCCCCCTGATGAGACCACCCAAATATGCAAGATTTGGAGAAATGGCAACTGTTCATTGGATTTCATATTTGATGAACGGCAGTTTTACATCATTATCGGACTTTTCCTCCAACCATCGGACGGGTCTGCCTTCTTTCTGACGAAGACCAACCCGATATGCTGCCGCAGCCAATGAACCACATCAGCTGAGTGTCTCATGGCTGTGAGACACCAAAGAAACGGGCAGAATTCAGAACGGCATAAAAAAAAAAAGAAAAAAAAGAAAAAGAAAGAAACTTGCAACTGAGGGAATCGAGCTTAACCAAAAAGAGAAAAAGAAAAGGAAAAGGAAAAAACGAGTGGACCAAAGACTTCGCCATTGCCAGTGCCCCGTCTCTTTGCATGGGTTTCACATTCAAGATCTTGCACTCGTCAGGGCATTTCTTCGGTCATCACGTTCTCGCTGGAGCTGGAATATCTCTTTATCCAGTTCCATGATGAGTCTCTGTGATCGGTCCATCGAGGCTACAAGCGTACCCCCTTCGCGTTTCCATCGGGTCAACCGTTCCGTCTCGGCGCTTCGCCGACGGTACTTGGTTTCAATCTTTTCGCAAAGGCGGCATTGTGCCGTCTCGAATTTGGTCTCGTTGACAAGTTTTATACCGCATGTCTCGCCCGTGCGGTATTCATAATTGCACCGGTGGTCGAAACCGGTCCAGCTCCAGCACTTGCACGCAAACTGCCTCTGGTTGTAAAAGCACATGCCTATCGAATCTGTCAGACTGGGTCCGTCTGGGGTGATTACCAAACTTACTTGCTCCCGGTGCAGTATGGACGTTTCACCTTCTGTCTTCTATTCTATTGGCTGAGTCCGGTGGTTCTGCCGCCGTTTCAAATTTGATAGGCCAGGCTTGAACAATGCCTGAAGAGCTATGAAGGCAGACTGAAAACGTGAAACAGATCTTTTCGAAGAAAAAAGCTTTATGGCTTATAAGATTGCTTGAGGAAGTTGTCTCTGAAACTGATATTGATTCAGAGTCCATCAACATGAGGGAATGGCGGCCCTATTTATGTTTCGTGGGAAGCTCCCATGTTACGATCCAGCACTCTCCTGTCACCATATCCACCTGCTGTCGATCAACTCTCGCCGGTTTGCGATGGCTTATCGACTAAGGCATTCTATCATCACATTCGCATCACATCCCACAAGTGTTCCTCACGGTTGGCTACAATGGGTTCGCCCAGCTGTGGAGACACGAGTGGCCACAACATTCCGTTGCGGGACAATCGTGCTCAATGGATGCTTCACGAATGCATGCATCCTGCTGTCGTGGCCGCATCATTTCCTCTGTCCCAACTTCGTGAAAATCCCTCATTTCGAGTCAATAATGTGCCCTTGTCACAGCTTGGCTTGGTTGTTCAATCGATCTTCCCCGCTTCGTCTATGTTGACACACTCCGTATGAGGCCGTCTTTCGAGAAGCAGGCATCGTTTCCGGTTACTGAATCAAAGCTCCTGCATGACCACTTGCTCCCACTTGCTCTTACACTACGCCAGCTGTCGTACCGTCTCACACTGGAGCCTTCCCATCCCATCTCAGACTAATCTAGTGTTCCAGCCCAACGAAAAATAAAATAAAACTAGGGAAGGGAAAAGACATGATGCCTGACTCCTACATGCAGGTGTGATCACAGCTTCGGATTTCTAGAACCGTGTCAGGTATCTCACCCCTACATGACTGCTTGGATATTCACTGACATCCAATTAGTTCTAGTACTGGCTGCGTCTAGTGCCATAGGCTCTAGTATGGGGTTTCGCCCGAGAACAAACTCGAGTCCGAGACAGAATCTTTGCCTAGGCCGTTTCTTTTTCTTTTTTTTCTTTTTCTCTTTTTTTCTTTTCTTTTTCTGCCACGATCCCCTCTTTTCTTTCTGGACTTTGCTGGTTCTTCCAATGAGAATTGCTACTAGTTCCTAGTTGCAACCCTACGTCGCTATCCACCTCCTCCCCTCCATCTCCCTCCTGCCGTACAAGGATATCTAACCTGTGTGCCAATGGCTGTCTCATGTCCTCCGCAGGTTCCCGTTTGGCCACTTTGAATGATGGCTTTTAGCCTTTAGTGGCGAAAGACGCGTCACTAGGAGATATCGATTGGCATCCGATGCCTCGTTGAGAATTGGTCTTTGGCAGCCGCAATTGCTTTATGTGGCATGATGAACTCTCTTGTTCATTCGCAGACGATCCCTTTCAGCTGATCTCTCACATCTGCAGACGAATAATCCCGCATTTGCCCCCGCTCAGGTGCAGGGTTTATCTCAATTTACTTGCATTTGTTTTTTCGAGATGATAGGATGGCACTCCTGTGCATCGGGCATGGCAGACACAATCCGTGATACGGTACACCTACTGTTTAACCCATGCATCTGCACTAAAGCTCGGAGACTCTGACGTGGCGCCCTTCGGCTGGCTCAAGTTCTCCATTTCCTGCGTTTTCAGGCCGTCGGGGAGAATTTCGAGGCGAAAAAAACTGGTCAATCTATGACCTAGATGATGTCGAGTGAGAAACTCTGGAAGCGTCCTTTCCGCCATTGACGAATTGCTGAGGGAAAACTTTCGGATTCCCGCTTGTCCGAATATGCTAGGCTGCAATTTCCTGATGGTCCCTCGCACGTCCGTCAACCTTTGGCTGCACACGATCGCCAGACCGGTCTATTTAGCTGCTTAGACACGGGGCTTTCGAACCACGGATCCATGGCAAGACGTTGATTGCCAACTCAGCGGGCACTGCTTCTGGATTACAGCCGCAATGAGTAGGCAGGAGTAACAGCCAACTGTATACCTATTCTCGAAGAGCCCTGCCCCAATGCGATTAGACGATTTGCCACCCATCCACCTTCCCTTCGCTCCCTGTCTCACTCTCACCGTTTCTAGCCTATTTTTGGCTGTGGCCATTATACTATCGGCAACCAGGGTCAAACTGATTAACATGGACAGCGTAACTTCTGCCCAACCGACAGAGCCGCCTGTGTTTTTTGTTTTTTACTTTTTTTTTTTCTTTTCTTTTCTTTTTCCCAGAGACGACAAAGTTTTGAGACCTGGCTCATCATTATTCGCTGCCTACTTATCATGCCTCTACTATCGATTACCAGCTCTCGATGACGTTGAAATTGGATTTATGTGACCCACATGCCTGGACCAGCATGCTGGGTGTCTTTGATCCCGTGACCGCAAAGGTCAGCGTGTCCCTCTGCGCATTTACGCATCCCATGTTTCGCAAGCGACGTATAGCCGATTGCAATCTTGCTTTCCAAATTTTAAGGTGAGGGAGCTTTGCTGTTGTGTTCGGCCTGCGCATCGGGATTGGCTCGCCGGAAAGAATTTGCTAAAATTCGTCAGCGGCTCATGCCCAATCGATTCCTTCTGCTAGCCATGAGCCATATGCAACTAAGGGAAAACCCTGTCGGTTGCATCCCTAGGTTCCGGGGTCACTCAAGTACAAGGCCCACTGACTCGCGCCGAGGAGTTTGAAAGCGGGCCCTCGCATCTGCATGTAAGCACCTGCGAGTGCCTTTCTTACACAATAATACCGGTTTGGTGGCTGTCCCCTTTACATGTGCATGCCTAGCCCTTCCATCCGCCATGATTTCCGTACCGTTGAAGTCAACTATGACAAAACAGACGACGGGCTAATTCCGACGAGGTACATGTACAATGGCAATTCGTGCAATCAACTCCTGATGTGGCCACAAAAACACGAAACACAAAAACCACAGGGAGGGAGAAAAAAAGAAAGAAAAAAAAAAGACAGGTCGCCCCCTTTACGGATAGATAGCCCTCCGTCATATGGATTTTCCTCGCCTCAACCCACCTCGCACGAGTATGATCTACCATAGCCAGCTTGGACCTCACACTATGGACAGTAAACAGTGGTACCGAGATGCACGGTCAATGTGCTATCACACTGCTGCAACTACGCCGCAATTCAAATGTCAGATTGACGTGGCACATTCAAATTCGACTGATGTCAATTCATTTAGTATGATCAGCTTTATTCTGCCTCTTTTGATTTTGAGCCCTCTCTCCGTTGCCCTTGGGCAGCGGCATAACTCCACCCGTCTATCATTAACCAAAACTAGAAGCCCGTTGTGCTGAGATCCTTTGGCTTCGCGAAAAAAATAAGAAAAAGAAAGGAAAAGAGAAAAGAGAAAAGAAAAAAGAAAAAGAAAGAGAGGAAAGAAAAAAAGAAAGGAATAGAATCGGAAAGCGTTCATACCTTCGCCGCTCTAACGGCTTTTGCCCTTCATTCTCGAAGACTAAGATGCAATTTCTTTGGTAATCGTACATTGTAGAAGTCAACATCTTCAAGTAAAAAAAAACGGCTCTAAAGCTTTTGAATTACAAAGACTCTACTTCCATTCACGTTAATAAACAGTCAGACAGACACCATCAAGGCATCATCACGTGGGGAATGGCCTCATACGTCAGGCAATGACGTCAAAATGACTATTCAACAACCAGGATGTCGCCCATCTTAAGCCACTTTCTCTGGTTCAATTCTTCTGCAGGACTTCAATCACAGTCTCTGGATACGAAATAATCACTTCAATCCCTCAAAGGTAAAGTGAACTAACTCATTTACCAAAACAGTCGCTCTAATGCTTACCGCACTGCAGACTTGACATAAAATATATCCGCATACATATACAACCACATATCGTTCAAGCAATTTACTGGACAATTCGTTGAAAACAACCCCGAAACCTCATTTCTAAACATCACCATGTGGAAAGCAACCACCCGCGTATCTCAACTGGGCCAATCCGCCATCCGGAACTCGTCCCGGGTCCAAACACGGACAGCAACACCACCTCTCCCAGCTATCACCCACGTCAGGCGCTTCCAGGCATTCCCGTCGCTTCAAACCACGAGGGAGCAGAAGGGTGAAGAGGATCGAACCCACGATCGAACCGTGCTGGACCCGCAGCGCTCGGAAGTCTCCAAGTCCGGCACAGACAACGAAGTCGCCGCGCATCCTGCAGCATATGACCCGCACCGGACGTCGCCGGAGAGCGAGATCGAAGCCACCGAGGAGGAGAGCCAGCGCGAAGGAAAAGTGAGCAATCCGTTGGATATGAGCCCTGCTAATAAGGAGACGAGCAAGGCGCGGCCGCCGCAGGAAGGAGGCCCGGATCGGAACGCTGAGAAGGAGAAGCTGAGCTCAAGAGGGTCGGCGAGGAAGCATGGCAAGGTGAAGACCGGAAAGAAATAGATCTGTTGTGCTTTGTTGCTGGGTTTCTATGTGAATGCATCTGATGTTAGGGGGGCCGATTATATTTATATACGTCGATATATATAGTGCACTTAATCTCGGCGTGCGGTGTGGGAATTCAGGTACAAAATCAGCGATTATAAAATGTTGCTTGAACACTTGCAATTAATGTCATATATAAAGGTTGATGTACACATATCAGCAATTTGTTACAAAATATCAATCAAGTCTTCAGCTCGAGGATTCCTTTCCAAGCTGGATAATGTCGGCACCGAAAAGCTCCCAGACCTTCTCACTGCCAGCAGGAACATCACCCTCGAGCGCCTTCAGACCAGCGTTGACCGCAGCTCTGCCAATGTCATCTGCCTCCTGAGCCCAGCCATTTTTCAGGCTGGAGTGCACCTTGCCCGCAAAGGAAGCAACATAACGCAACGCAGCTTCCATGGGACGACTCTCCTCGCGGGTACCGGCAATGAGGCCGGGGCGCAAAATAACGGTCTTTTCAAAGCCCAGAGCCTTGATATCTTCTTCGATTTCTCCCTTCATCCGGGTATATGGGATCGATGAGGCTTTATTAGCACCACTCGACGAGATCAGAACATAGACCTTCGTTCCGGCGTCACGCGCTGCCCGCGCCATCTCAATGTTCAAGCCATGTTCGATTTTGTACTGGTTTTCAAACCCACCCGCTGTGCCACGAGTGGTTCCAAATGAAGAAATAAAGATCGAGGGCGTGGGAGCGAGCGAGGACAGCTGGCTTGCCCAACGCGACGTATCGTCGTCAACAAATGTCGTCAGTTTCGCCTGCGCAGCGGATGCCGCTGGTGGTGTTCGACGTGAGATAGTATCCACGCGAGCGATGGCGGGGTTTGCAAGAAGGCTGGTGAGGATATGGCTTCCCTTGAATCCATGACAGGTTTAGTTGAATGCACGCCAATCCGGGTTATCGATTGATCAGTGTTACACGAGTAACAGGAGCAGACCAGGCGCGTGTTCAAGAGACCAGAAACATCATGACGGAGAAGCTTACCACCATGCCGGTGCATCCAATCAGGGCCACATTCGCCATGGCTATCCAAGGGTTGCAGATGGGGATTCACAGCAGAGAGAGATATATATAGTATGGAGTAGAAGTGAAGTGGGAATTGGAGACCGACCCAAAAGGCGGATGACGTGAATAACGGGAATGACGCTAACCCGAACGGGATGAGTGATGCCTCAGGTGTGCAGCGACAAGAGACGCTGACTAACGCTGACTAATGCGGGGAATCTCCGAGAGCGGAGGGTTCTGCCGCTGCTCACCGCCGCCGAAATCCCTTCGATAAGAAATTGCGTGATCGGCGCTAGCCCGCATGTGGCAAACGGCCCTGGGGAATTTCTATACATTCAAAATGGCGGCGGCCTCCCCACCCCCATTGCCTCCCCTTCTCAGGTCTCTGATCCCCCATCTTTCTCCTCGAGGTTCGCTGCACTCGAGTCGTGCCTTTTGACACGAATTTCCTCCAGGATGGCCGCTCAATCCCCTGCCTTGTCGGCTCTTAGTGGCCCGACCTATGTCACGGCGCAAACCCTCATTCAGCAGGTGGCGTACGTCCTGAGCGACAAGATCTTCTCCTATTCCCCAGAGTCCTTTGACTTGGATGTCGCTCTCCGGGAATGGGCCTCGAAGCAGGAAATCAATGCCAATGGCGAATCGCCTGCGCTCAAGGCCATGGAAACTCGCCAAGGTGCCGGGAGCATCGCTCTGGGTTATCTCTTCTCTCAGGATTTCGACCTGAAGAAGCGCCACGTTCCCCAGGGCATCGTCGCCTCCTCCGCCACCCTCCCCTATATGCGCTCGGCCTTGGAGCAGCTCTCCCTTCTCTACTCCGTCGCCAGCCCCGTCGCTGCTCATGTCGCTGCCGTCGATTACGCCGGGGAGGAGGGCCTCGTTTCGGACTATGCCTCCGCCCTCTCCATCGCCGAAGAATTGGGACTGGGTCTCGTCTCGAGTGCCTCGGTCCACGAGTCGCAGCATATGGCGCTGTTGACCACCCTCCTCGCATCCGTTCTGCCTTCCATCCATATCTTCGACGGCGTCCGCGTCGGACGTGAAAACACCCGCGTTATCGACGTGCTGGACCAGGCCGGCCTCGCTCGCACTTATGAGACCGTCCGCAAGACCCTGGAAGACTCCCGCAGCCGTCACCTTGACACAGAAGGCAAGCTGCTCGAGCTTGTTCAGTCCCTGAACGGCGAGCTTGGCACGGACTATGGCCTCTTTGAATATCACGGCCATGCCGAGCCCGTTTCGGTTCTTGTTGCTTTTGGCACTGTCGAGGCGTCGCTCACTGCCCAGGTTGCTCGTTCGTTGGCTAAGGATGGCATCCCTGTCGGCGTCATCAACGTCCGTGTGTATCGCCCCTTTGTCGAGGAAGAATTCCTCCGAGTGCTGCCCCAGTCGGTCAAGACCGTTGGCGTTTTGGGCCAGGTCACGAACGAGCAGGCCGTCCAAGAACAGGGCGTTCGATCTGCCCTGTATGAAGACGTCCTCGCGGCCTTGACCTTTGCCAGTGGTCGTGAGCACGTTCCTTCGTGCGTGGATATCAAATATGCCCGCTCCCAGCGTTGGGACCTAATCAACACTGCTGCCGCCTTCCAGCTCGTCTTTGAGAAGCCCATCGTTCAAAATGATGGCCAGTCTTCCCCTCTTCAGTTGCTCGACCCTGCTACCGTCCAGGAGTACTCTTTCTGGGATGTCGACACTTCTGTCTGCGAAAGCGCTACCGCCGCCCTTTCCCAGGCTCTCGCCGCCGATTCCGCGAGCAACGTTACCACGAGCAAGGCTCATGACAACCTTGTCCAGGGAGGAGCCATCCGCATTGACATTCGCAAGAGCTCTAAGATCGTGGACGCTCCTTACTCCGTCACTGCCGCCGACACCGCTTACGTTGGAGACGTCAAGCTGCTGGGAGAAATCGATATTCCCGCATCCGTCAAGCAAGGCGGCAACCTGATTGTCAATGCTCCTGGCGTCAAGGATGATGAGCTGGAGAAGAAGCTGCCCGTTGCATTCAGGCTTGCCGTTGCCCAGCGTGGAATCAACGTTTACTTCGTTGATCCCTCGGTTGCGGATGATTCTTCCCTGGAGCCTACTGTCCTCCAGACCGCTTTCCTGCGGGTTGCTTTGCCTTCGCAGGAAGATGTCGGTATGAAGAAGCTGGCTTCTGTTACTGGCAATGCTGAGTCTTTGCAAACCGTTAGCAACGACCTCAGTAAGATGCTCCGCCAGATTGAGGTTCCTGAGGCCTGGAAGACTCCCGAGGAGGGCTCTGAGATTCCTCAACTGCCTAAGGATATTTCTCCCAACAGCTTTGCTTCCTTCGATAAGGATGACACTGAGGCCCCCGGCTACCTCAAGAACTGGAAGACCGCCGCTAAGGGTCTGGCTTTCAAGGAAGCGTACGGAACCAAGAACGCCCTTCGCCCTGAGACCGCCACGAAGACTTTCACCGTTCACGTCAAGGAGAACAGGCGTTTGACTCCTGTCACGTATGACCGCAACATCTTCCACATCGAATTCGATCTGGGTGACTCTGGTCTCAAGTACGACATCGGCGAGGCGCTGGGTGTGCACGCTGAGAACGACCCCGCCGACGTCCTGGACTTCATTCAGTTCTATGGCCTGAACACCGAAGACGTCGTTGAGGTCCCCAGTCGCGAGGATGTCGACGTGCTGGAAAACCGTACCGTCTACCAGGCCCTCGTGCAGAACCTCGATATATATGGTCGCCCGCCTAAGCGCTTCTACGAAGCTCTTGCCGAGTTTGCCACCGACGAGGCCGAGAAGAAGGCCCTTATCAACCTGGCAGGACCCGAGGGAGCTGCTGAGTTCAAGCGCCGTGGCGAGGTTGACACGGTCACTTTCGTCGACATTCTGCGCGAGTACCCCTCGGCTCACCCCGAGTTCCACGACCTGGCCCGCATCATCGGACCTCTAAAGCGTCGTGAGTACTCCATCGCCTCATGCCAGAAGGTGACCCCCACCTCCGTGGCGCTCATGATCGTGGCCGTCAACTGGACCGACCCTACTGGCCGGGACCGCTTCGGTCTGGCCACCCGGTACCTGAGCGGACTCCAGCCGGGCGCTCCCATCACCGTCAGCGTCAAGTCCAGCGTGATGAAGCTGCCGCCCAAGTCCACCCAGCCTCTGATCATGGCCGGTCTGGGAACCGGTCTGGCCCCCTTCCGTGCCTTCGTGCAGCACCGTGCGCTCGAAAAGGCCCAGGGCAAGGAGATCGGAGCCGTGCTCCTATACATGGGCTCTCGTCACCAGCGCGAGGAGTACTGCTACGGCGAGGAGTGGGAGGCCTACCAGGAGGCCGGGGTCATCACCCTCTTGGGTCGCGCCTTCTCCCGTGACCAGCCCGAGAAGATCTACATCCAGGACCGCATGCGCCAGTCTCTGCCCGAGATCATCCAGGCGTACATCCGCGAGGAAGGTGCCTTCTACCTCTGCGGTCCCACCTGGCCCGTCCCCGACGTCACCGCGGTCTTGGAAGAGGCCATCGCCACCGAGGCCAAGAACAACGGCAAGAAGGTTGAGGCGCGCAAGGAGATCGAGAAGCTGAAGGATGAGGAGCGATACGTTCTGGAGGTGTACTAGAATGATGGTGGATGGAAATAAGAAAAAGGGGTGGAAGAGATTGACATTGTCAGTTGACAAGTTTAAAATTTCTCCGCATTTTGATTGTGCATGCAGTGGACGACTTTCCCGAGTTTAGCGCATTTTATCGCATATAGACTTCATTTTGAGACGTTAATCCCATGTACAGTTTTCACGTTGACATATGGACGTTCCAGTAAAGAAGATTCTCTATTGTAAGAATTCTATGGGTATCTGATATATACTTGTTTTTGAAATCTGTGTTCTTTCCTCAAAACCACACTCCGATCTCTCTTTTCTTTGCAAGGAAAACTCCATCTTCAACAACCCCAAATGCAACGGAATATAAGACAACAAAATTCATGATCGTGACGAATGTAAGATTTAAATACTTTTGGTTAGTAGCGGGGGCCTCTTCACGCTCGTCCCATCGCCCCCAGTCTCGTTTTTCCATATGCGCCGCCCTTCTCCTTTCTCAACTCCAGGGCGCGCCGATAAGGCGGCGCAGTAGGTGGTTGGACAGGTTCCAAACTAACATGGTCGGGAGGTAGAGAGTAGGAGGCGTCGGAGTCCCAGGAAGACAAGTCACCACACGCAATGAACGACGGAATCCATCGGTTTTCGACGGCGAATTTCTCGGCGACGGGCTTGTGCGCCAGGGGTTCGGGCGTGCCCGAGGCGTGGGAGTCCGAGTGAAGCAGGCGAGTCTCGATCGGTTGATTCGAATCGTTCGAGACTATTCTTTCCGTGGTGAGAGTGGGACCATTGGGTGCCGATGGGGTGTCCACGTCCATAACTTCCTGGCCCAGATTGCCATCAGCAGACGTGGGACGAGGAGCTGCGGCACCGCCAAACACCGGGTTTTTCAGAGCTTCCATTCCGATCAAGCCATCGTGAATGGCCGGGGGAATGAAGCCCTCACAGACCACGAATGCTTCCAGACTACTTGCTCGACTGCTCCTCGGCTTCGCAACGCTGACCTTCTCGAAGACCGTGCGCAGCTGTGCGTAAATCAAATCGACATCGCGACCACGGAAGATCTTTGCGACAAACTTGCCTCCCGGCCGGAGGACACCCAGGGCCAGGTTCAATGCCGAGTAGAGCAATTGGGACTGAATGTAGATATCCAAGTCGTGCAGGCCAGTGACATCCGGGGCACCGTCTGAAATCACCAAGTCGACGGGATGCGGGGGTCGCAGAGCAGAGGGAGAAGCGGCGGTGGAATCGTAGGCGTCGGGGTCGAGAGCTCGGAGAAGAAGTGGAATGGTGGAAGGATGGGTGATGTCTGCCTTGAGGGTCGTGATGCCATCCAGCGGGGCCATTGGTTGCAAGTCAATCGAAACGATCTTGACATTGGCCCTTGGCTTCAACTCTGCGTCACCATCGTCGTTGGCCTCCTCGTCCTGTGCGGCACCCTCGGTGGATGCTCTGGCCAGCGCTTCCTTTTCCTTGCGCTTCTTCTCCACCCACGACCGGCGACCAAAGCTTTCTCCCTTGATCAACACGCGGCTGAGAACTTGACTCCAACTGCCCGGGGCGGCACAAAGATCAACAACGCGGGTCACTTTCTCGGGGTTTTCGTGCTCGAATAGGTCGAATTGTTCGTCGATCTGGATCAACTTGAAGGCGGAGCGCGCTCGCCAGTTCTGCTCCTTCGCCAAGCGGTAGTAGGCATCGCGCTTATCCTTGGAAGACCGGCCCATGGTTGCGGAGACAGAGCGACGTCGCGATCGGAGGCAATGAGGAGGGAGGGGCGAGTTGAGAGGGAGAAATGAATTTCTTCTCCGTGGGGCAGCGATAAGATCGGGGCCAAGGCGGTCGCCGCTTTTCTGCCGCTTTTTTTTTCTCTCCCGCGAGACCGTCGCTCTTTCGTCCTTCCCCATCTTCCGCCATCACCGTCAATTCGACCAGTTCCTGCCGTCAGAATGGGCCAGAAACGGAATCGCGACCCGAAGAATGCCGGGTTCCAGTCCAAAAAACGAAAGGGGAATGCCGGCGCTGCTAAAGCCGTCGAGGAAGATGACGGCTGGGATGGCGTGGTTGGAATAGAAGACCTCAACTGGAAAGAAGTTTCTCTTCCTGACCGACTCGAGGATGCTACTGGGTTCTTTGGCCTGGAGGAGATCGATGGTGTGGATATCGTTAAACCGCAGGGAAATGGGAACGTTCAGTTCAAGGTATACTTCGAAAGTGCCTCCATGAAGAACGACATGCTGACTTGAGCAGGCCGTCGCAGGGAAACCAAAGAAATCCATTCTGAAGAACAAGACCCCGGAGGAGACTAAGGAATACGACGATGAGTGGTCTGGCTTCAGTGATGGTGAAACTCCGGCGCAGCAAGAACCTTCCGCTGAGAAACCCGAAGAAAAGAAGACGGAGCCCGAAGAATCCGACAAGAAAGTGACGGCGAAGGAAAAGAACGCCGCGAAGAAGAAGGAGAAAAATGCCGCGAAAAAAGAGCAGAAGTCCAAGGCCACGAATGAGCAGGACAAGGATATCAAGTCTGGACTGTCTTTCACGGCCCTGCAGGATGAGGAAGAGGACGACGGTGTCGATGTCTCCGCCTGGGAGTCGCTGGGTTTGTCTCCCGAAACTCTGGCCGGCCTCTCAAAGATGAAGTTCACCACGCCGACGTCTGTTCAAACGACTTGTATACCTCCGATCCTGGAAGGCCACGATGTTGTCGGAAAAGCATCAACGGGTTCCGGAAAAACCCTGGCTTTTGGTATCCCCATCTTAGAGCACTATTTGGAGAAGAAGAGAAAGGAGACGGAGACGGAGACGCAAGCCGGGAAAAAAGAATCGTCTCCCATCGCGCTCGTATTGTCCCCCACCCGAGAATTGGCACATCAGCTGGTGCAGCACATTAGCGAATTGGTCTCTCACTCCCCGGGTGTCAACGCGAGGATTGCGCTGTTGACTGGTGGTCTGTCGGTGCAGAAGCAGCAAAGACTGTTGGCTGGAGCGGACATTGTTATTGGTACTCCGGGGCGAGTGTGGGAAGTTCTCAGCGCCGGCCAGGGTTTGATCCGTAAAATGCAGGGAATCAAATTCCTTGTTATAGATGAGGCCGATAGACTTCTGAGTGAAGGCCATTTCAAAGAAGCACACGAAATCCTCGGCGCTTTGGATCGTGTCGAGGACAACGACTCACCCGACAAGGAAAACAATGATGAATCTCAGGACCCCAAGTCGCAGAGACAGACCCTCGTCTTCTCCGCTACCTTCCATCGCGATCTCCAGCAGAAGCTGGCAGGCAAGGGCCGATGGACTGGAGGAGATTTGATGAACAAACAGGAGTCGATGGAATATCTTTTGCAGAAGCTGAACTTCCGGGAGGAGAAGCCAAAGTTCCTCGATGTGAATCCGATCTCGCAGATGGCGGAAGGCCTTAAAGAAGGCATTGTCGAGTGCGCTGCCATGGAAAAGGTATGTTACTCCTTGGTATTTCAATATACTCACACGCCCCTGCTCACAACTCACACACAGGACCTCTTTCTCTATTCGCTACTTCTCTACCACCCTAAACACCGCACTTTGGTCTTCACCAACTCCATCTCTGCCGTCCGTCGCCTAACCCAGTTTCTCCAAGCACTGCAGCTACCCGCTCTTGCTCTACACTCATCGATGGCACAGAAAGCCCGTCTTCGCTCGGTTGAGCGGTTCTCCTCGCCGACTGCTAACCCGAGCACCATCCTTGTCGCCACCGACGTTGCGGCACGTGGTCTGGACATTAAGGGCATCGACTTCGTTGTCCACTATCATACCCCGCGCACCGCAGACACATACGTTCATCGATCAGGTCGTACTGCCCGTGCCGGAGCATCGGGAAAGAGCGTTATCATCTGTGCCCCGGAGGAAATGGTTGGGGTGGTGCGTCTTGCCGCAAAGGTGCACGCCAACATGGCTAACGGCAAGCGACTTCCTCTGGAGTCCCTCGAGCTGGACCGTCGAGTCATCTCTCGCGTGAAGCCTCGAGTGACGCTCGCCTGTCGCATTATAGACGCCAACATCGCCAAGGAGAAGGTGTCGGCCGAGGATAACTGGCTGAGAAATGCAGCCGAGGAACTTGGGGTTGAGTACGACAGCGAGGAATTCGAAAGCGCCGAGGGGCGTGGTCGGGGTCGTGGACGAGGTCGGCAGCAGCGGGACCGACAAGTTGGCAGTACCAGCAAGGCCGAGCTCGCGGGGATGCGCGCCGAATTGAAACAGCTGCTTTCTCAGCGAGTCAACGTGGGCGTGAGTGAACGATACTTGACGGCTGGACGAGTCGATATTGAGGCGCTGCTGCGCGGCGAAGGGAACAACTCGTTCCTGGGCCAGGTTGATCCGTTGGGATTCTAATCGTGATGAACATGTATAGAATGAGATGTTAGATCAAGATACCAAATCCGATTGCATGTAAGCAGATTGTATGCTTCTTGCTTAAAGCCTTAGTGCCTGCCGGAGACAAGGGTTCGACTCCGAAGCCACCGGACCCACTTGTTCCGATGGACCCACTCCATCTCGGCAAGCCGATCCGATGCTGTTTTCGCTTTTTCTATTTTTTTTTTTCTTTTCCTTTTTCTTTTTTCCCTGATCTTTCCGAGTTCAGGGTTCACTTGAGGCAGTAGCCAACTACACTCCGTAATCAACGTTGCTAGACCTTTTCAAGGATGATCTTCGGTCTCAATCCCCTGACACTGAGAGTCTGAGACACTCGGTGGTTTTTCTCCTGACCGCCCATCCCAGTACCCGTTGGGCCGTTACCCAAGACCCTAGTCCAGAGATCCTTCCAGAGCAGATCCCGTAGGTACAGAACGGAGTACTCCGTTGGATTAAACTCCCGATCCAACTGCAAAACAAGTATGTCAGTCAAGTAGCTATGACGCCAGTGAACTATTTCCAGTACTCAAGCCCTCGCCATCGCCACCTCGTCAGCGAGCAAGTGTTACCAAGACAGGAGAGAGAAGCGCGGACATGACGGCATTCCCACGTGGATGCCGTGCTCCACATGGTGATTTCCCGTTTTGGCTGAGCGGCCCCATCCTCGTTTTCTTTTTTTCTTCCTTTTCTTCTTCGCTTGCAGATGACTTGCATGCTTCTTTCCTGTATGGTCTGACCTCCCCTGCATTGTCGATTAGGTGAGTTTCTTATAGTCCCTTTTACATGCTGCCTCACACGCAGTATGTGTGTTCAATTGTGATGTCAACTCATACCAAGATCGCAGTATAGATTGCAGGCCCGCTAGAAACGAAACGCAAAGAAAAAATGTCCTACCTCGCAAGACCTCTCGCGCGCTGTCTGCGCACCCCCATCGCAGTCCCTCGCTTCATCATCCCATCCTCATCCTGCTCTACCTCTCCAATTCGTCACGCCTCGACCGCCATCCCCGACACAGCGCATCATGCGCCGCCGCACGCGCAACAGCCACCAACCAGCCCCCGCGCCACCTCGCCCCCGTCCTCGACCTCGAACCCAAACACCTCGACCCTCGAATCGCAAACAGACGACCTCATCGCGCGCCTTCCCCTCGTGCAATCCCTCCGCGCCAACCCGTCGTACAAGGAATCGCGCCCCCACCGAACCATGAACCCGTCGCTGCAGCCGACGCACTTCGTCGCCGGCTCGCTCTCCGGACCCGGCATGGTCACCGTGCCGCCGTTCATGTGGATGGCGACGGAGAAGTCCCCCGGCAGCGCCAGCCTGACCAGCCGCGTCGTGTCGGTGTTCCACGTCGGCGCCCAGCTGTGCGGCCACCCCGGGTTCGTGCACGGCGGGCTCCTGAGCGTCATGTTCGACGAGGCGTTTGCGCGGTGCGTCTCCGCCTGCTTTCCCAGTGGCTTGGGCATGACGGCGAATTTGAATGTGGATTTTAGGAAGCCAGCGGTGCCCGATCGGTTGTATGTGCTGCGCGCTGAGACGGGGAAGGTCGAGGGTCGCAAGGCCTGGGTGAAGGGAACATTGTGTTCGATGCCTGGCCACGGGGAGCAGGGAGAGCCGGTGTTGGTGGCGGAGGCGAAGGCGTTGTTTGTGGAGCCTAAGTTTGCAGAGGTCAGTTGTTGACTGTTTTCTTTTCGTCCCCCTTTTCTTGAGGTTGAGCTAACTTGCGTGGATAGTCCATGGTGCCTCTGTATCGGGGTTGATCGACACGATACCTAGATGCGAGGTCAGCAGGGCCGATGAAAAAGCCGACATAGACATATACATACACCCATAGACATGATACCTGATAGACAAATAGACCAACTACTACTTACACATCACCAACACTCAGATCACACAAGTCCATTTTCTATCTAGTAGTAGACACTAATAAGAGACCCCCAGAAACTCCTTCCCAACCCGAGAACTCGAACAGGACGAAGTGATCAAAACAAAATCAAAGGAACCCGAACGCAGAAGGCCGGCCGATAAGAAATCACAGATTCACTCATGCTGCCATTAAAATTTCTCCCATTGCCATGCTATAAAAAGGGTATGTTGCTAACATTTTTTTTTTTTGGTACCAGTGCACCGCGATATGTGCTTTTGTGTTAATTCTGGTAGACCTTCATCTTTCTCTTCTGCGTGTCTTCCACGCCAGCCAACCAAGAAAAGGCACCGCCGATATTGTCTGCTAAAAAGTCTATCGGGGAGCCGATGGATCAAGACAGGTGGAAGGCCCCCTGGCCTTCCTTGATGGCAACGGTCAATCGGTTTCGGAGAACGTCCAGGCTGCTATAGTCGGGCAATTTGAGGTAATTTACACAGGTCATGACGCTAGGAAGATAATCATCCGGCGTGTATGGCGGTTCACTGGGGCGACACACAACAGTGAAGATAGGAGTCAGACTTTTGAAGCCTGCAGAGAGAGCCCCGGGGTTAGCCATCAAGTCTGCCACAAAACGAGACAATCGCGATTTTCTTACCTCCAATGGGAAGCTTTGGACTACCAGTGACGAACTGAAGGAAGTCCCGTCGTTGCTGCGCGCTCAGTTCGCTCATAGTTTGCAACAAATTCCGAACGCTTCGGCTGTCCATGTTAAATCCATGGTCCGCCTTGATGGAATCCATAAGAGCTAGAAGATGCAAGGTTAGTATTGAATTCGTACCCAAGAAAAGCGGAAGCTGAGCCAACTTACTCTCGATCGTCCAGTCTTCTTCAGCTCGTCCAAACAGCATGACTAGCTCGCTCGGCGTGAAAGTTCGCAGGGCCGCATACGGGAAGACCTGCGAGAATCCAGTTCGGAATGCGTCGACTTGACGTTGCACACCGCTGCCGAGAGTCATGTCTACTACTCGGTCGACATACAGATCCACATTCTCGATTGTCACCGGGATGTTAGATCCGTCGGTGATGAGATCAATGGCCGGATAGCCGGGTAATGTAAAATCAAGGCCTAGATCCTCGACTTTAACACCATCTACCTCAATCTGGTGCAAAGCTTGCGTCTTCTGCACGTCGGGTAACTTCTTGTCGATGACCGCCTTCTTCGCATTGGCAAAGCTCTTCAAAAGAAGCAGCGAGTTTGCCAGGTCATGATCAACCGCCTTGACCGTGCCCAACGACGGGGCGACTGAGGATGAGAGATCGGCGATGCGGAAGAAGGCTGGATTGAAAGAGATATCGATGATTCGCGAGTCAAGCATCGACCGAGCAACAAATTTTCCAAGCACCTTGAACAGCTGCAATTGCTTCTTGCCCGACTCAGAAGCCGCTTGCTCATCGCTCATCGGAGACGGGAACAGCCCTCGCCTGCCGAAGGCGTACTCTTCAGCGTTGTTACAATCGTTCTCCCGCCAGATCTTGAGTTTCTTCTTGGAGAACTCCTTCGAGACGGTCGAGTAGAATTCAAGGGTGGGGCCTAACCCGGTGCCCACTTCTTCGAAGTATTCAACCTCCAGAATGCTAGGCGAGGAGCCGTACAGCTCCATGACCTTCATAGCGGACTCGAGGATACGACTTCTCGAAATGCGTACCTTCTGGCGCTGCAGGCGGCCTAAGAAAGGCCGATCGTCACGACGGTGGTCATTCCGGCCGTCGTCACCGTTCTGAGAGTTATGCCACCTCATCATTGCCCGTGAGTAGCCAAATGCCGTCGACTGAAGGAACAAGTGGCGGGTTTCAAATGGAAACAAGAAGGGGAACAGTCGGGCGAGATCTTCGCTCCAGCTTGGAAGACAGCTACTAGCCACGATCAGTGGTTCTTCCATTTGCCGGTTGAGCTTGGCGGTGAGTTTGGTGTTGATGAACTGGGCGAGCGACTCGGGTTTGAGTGCGACCAGTTCCTTGGTCTCGGCCAGAATATCGTCAAGAGTGGCATTCATTTCGTGCAGAACGCGGAGCAACCGCAGGATCGACGCAGTGGTGAAATCCTGGCTCAGAGAAGACGGCATTTCGGTGACGCCCAATTCCGCGTCGGGCTTTGACGATCCAGATACAAGAGAGGTCGGCTCGGGAGGAGGCGGGCCTGGAACCCGTCTGAACTTGACGGTGTGGACGGCGGACCACACATTCCTTGCTAGAGGGTCCGAAAGTTGGCGGTTGTGATGCACCGCACGGTAGATCGTCGTCTCGCTTGAGACGGGCTGGTCGTCCACACTGAACTCGATATGCCAATCAGAGGGGATGGAGGCCATGGCAGCAGCGTAGGAGGAGAATGGCCGACCGGCCAGAGCGAGAGAGCTGTTCCCGGCGGGGTTCGAAGCCGGAGCGGGAGTCGCAGAGGAAGAGGATTTGGAAGCGGGCGTGGACTGAGAGGGAGTCGCCACGCGAGTGCCATCTTCTTTCCGGGCCGTAACCTTGCCTGAGGAGGCAACTTCCATGTTGACGGCGGTGGGGTCGGGTGCATTGTCATCAGAGAGATCGTCGTCAAGATCATCAACAATCGCGTTCAGCTCCTCATCGTCCCCACCATCCTCTTCCTCGTCCTCTGCATCACTCAGCTGGCGCTCATCCGCACATTCCAGAGGCTCGCCATCGTGTTCATCCCCTTCCGATGCTTGCTGGTGTCGAGCAGAGCGCCTCGACCGCGACCCACGACCCTCAGTGGATGGTTCCTTGGCAGCAGGACGTGACTCCGCGGGACGCGATGGTTGATTTGTTCCGGCAAAGGAACGAGGGAAAGGGGGCGTGTCACTTCCCGGAGCCTCGCCACCGCCGGTGAGCTGCTCCCGAAGACGCGCCGCGTTGGCAATTTGGGAAAGAATCGTGTCGCGGCTGCGAGATGGTTTTGGTCGATCTGACAGGCTGATTCGCGGGTGGAGGAAGTCATCCAAGGCCTTGAATGTTGCGATGGCGTGGATGGAGACCATGATATTTCGATAAGAACGAGGAATATCGGAATCCTCGTCGGCCACCAATTTCAGTCTAAGCTGTTTGCCCAGCATATAGGTGGCATTGCTGCGTGTATTCTCCAGCGAGTTGTGGCTGACGGTTATCACTTCAAAGTGCTCAGTCCGGCTGAGCAGGTCTTGAAGTTTGTGGATCAGCACGCTGAACGGTGTTGTCGCCGTACTCTGGCTTTGCGCCTTCTCGGAAATGCTGGTACCCATAAACGCCTGCAAAAATGCAGCCCGAGCTTCGCGCATTGATGGAGCTATGCGCCAACATCAGTATATCCACTCGACCATAACACGCAATGTATGCATTAGTGGGGGGATTTACTTACCTTGGAAATCCGCAAATACATCCAAAAGAATTCTAATAATGCCCGAGTTCAGCAACTCCGAGCTAGTGATACTTTCAAGAGCGTCCCCGTCAAAATAAGTGGCCAGTTTCTTGAAGAGCGCGAGGCCATCTCCATCGGCACCGCCAAGATAGCAAGCTTCAATATCCGCAGCAAGCGTCTGCAACTCAGTCAAAGTTTCCAGAGCCTTGTCGCGCATCTCTTTACCTGGGCTAGCTTCGTGCAGTTCGACAAATGCTCGGGCGTCACGAACGACAAGGTCCTTCATCACATTGTCGATTCTCGTGGAAAGCACCTGTCCCGAGAAGGAAGAGCTCTCAGACTCTGACATGTCATCGTTGTCATCGTCATCTTGCTCGTCGTAGTCATCGTCATGACCTTCGTCATCATCCGAAGCATGCTCATCGTCTGAGCTGGCCTCCCGATTAACCTGGCTGGGTTCCTCACGAGAGTCACCGGGCATATCTGCGTTTCCGGTGGCAGGTGACTTTCGGGAAGACTTTGCTTGCTTGTCCGTGGACAGAGGACCCTCGGCAAGTTTGAAGATCTCGGAAATAACCCCCTCACGATGGAATTGATGCTGATAGACATGCTCTAGGCGCTGGAAGAGGAGTTCCGCACATCGGAGAGCAGAGGACACGAGAGAAGGGTGATCCTTTTGAGAGAGAATGGATGCTAGGAACGAGGCATATGGCACCGTCTGCAGAGCCTCTTCGATCAAAGGAGCATCCAAGTTATGCAGCATCTTAAGTTGAGCGATCAGAACCTTCTGCCGCACCTCTAGATTGACGGTACTAGAATAGGCATCGGTCAAGGTGGGCAGCAGGATCATGGCGAAACGCTTGAGTTCGGTCGTGCAGTCCATCAACAACGAACGCCGCTTCTCAGCGGATTCTCTGGCTTTGGGTGATTTCAGCGCCAGTGTTGGGTCCACATCGAGAGGGGAGCCTAGCCACCCATCTGCTTGCGAAACCTGTCGGCCGGGAACACCGGGCAACAACTCGCAAATGACATTCAGGGTTTCGAAAACTTGTTCTTTCGGGCGATGTATCAAGGCCTGCATAACAAGAACACTGTCCATCTTGACCGCCGTGTCCTCGAGGTTTTCCGGTGGCGATACGCCAGTCAGGATTTGATACAGCGTGTCAACTACATCCATCTTGAGCAGCTCCACGGAGAGCCTGGGGCTTGCTTTAGACGTGATTGCCAGAACCCTAAGGAATTGGGTGTGGATGTGGGGCCCAATGAGATTCGTCGTTCCCGGCAAAAGCAGACGAAGCACGGCCCTCAGCATTTCCGGTTCAATCAGTTCCTCAAGCTTCTCAGGTTTGTGCTTGAAACTTTCCACGATCCGAGATACACACAAGCAGCCCTGCTCCACTACCTTCGGGTCGTTGCTAGAAAGGACGTTCAAGAGTGTAGGCATCACGTCTCGGACCACAGGGAAAGAATCGTGTGGCAGGTTGCGGCAGCAGTTCGCGGCAGTGGTCACGGCGGTACGTTGTGTGCTGGTTGGGAAAAAGTCAAGGTAAGTCAAGCATGCTGTCAGACCACCTTCTCGCACTATGGATGCTGGGAAATCGACGGAAATTTTCGCCAGAGTCTGAGTGAAGATGATCAGTACGCCTCTTCAATTCAGGCAGGTGGTGCAAAAGAGGGAAACGAACGCTAAGAGCCTGTTCGGCCAAATCAATAAATTGAATGTCGAGTAACTTCTGGCACAGGATCGGAACAGCACCGCCGTAAACAACGTTGGCCACCGACCCCCGCAAAGCTTCCATCAAATTTGCCAGGCAGCGGCAGGCAAGAAGCATGATTTCGGGGTTCTCCTCGCCAAACTCACTAGGCTGCATCAGAGAGACCAGCTCCTTTACGTACGGGTCTGGGGAGAATTGGCCAGAGAGGTTGTCCTCGTTTGACACGAGCAGAAGGTCCGATAGCTCTTGTAGGGCAATCAGTTGGATTGACGGGTCTTCCTTCGTTCTCAAGTTGGACAAGATCTCTCGCAGGCGAGAAGACATTCCCGACATCATACCACTCAAGGCCCGGAGAGTGCTTTGAAGCCCCAGGGGGCTGCGTGATCCAAACAGGCTATTGTGGAATAAATCTCCATCATCGTCGTCGACGCCCGACTGGTTGGTCCCGTCATTGCTATCGCTTGGAGGAGACGACTCATGGTCTTCACTCCGATCCTGTCCTTCCAAGTCCTCATCCGCATCCGCATCTTTCATGACAACATCCGCATTTGCTCTCGGTTGGTGCTTCTTCTGTCGATGGGGCGAAGAGGATTGAGTAGCCGAGAGTCGCTCTGGTGGGTTTGAACTGTTAGCTTTACCGACCCAGGGTAGATCAGTCCTCCCGGGTGACAGATGTTCCCCCATCTTACCTTGCGATGGTTTTCCATTTCGACTAGACTTTCGTCGAGATGTCGGAGGCGAAGTTTGATTTCTTGAAGACTCCTCCGTGGGACGCGAGGACGGACTACGTGAGAGAGGGATTCAGGTCAGTAGGCAAGATCTTGGGCCAGCACCAGGTATTCCCATCGAACTCACCCGGGTTGGGACATAGTTGGGCGGTTTCGAGTACCACGACGGGGAGCTGCGGAGCCTGCCGCCGCTGGGGGAGAAGCTGCACGCCTCTGTCTCTTGGTCTTTCGGGTTGGAGACGAGTCGTTCGGTTGTCCCGGGGCGTCCGCAGGCCGATCGCTGCGTACAGGAGCTCTACGCTTCCGAGAGGGAGCCGGGCCAGCGGCAGGGATCGCAGGCGAGGAGGCGGAGCTGGTGGGCGGAGGGGGGTCGGCGGCTAGTCTCGCGGCGGAGCGGGTGATTCTGGGGGACATGAGAAGTTGAGTATGTCTGAGCGATTCCAAGAAGGATGTTCTAAAGCAAGGCGAGGGGCGAACGGGAGGGCCACATAGAAAAGGGCAATGGATAAAAGTGACGGGGAGGAGACACGATGGGTGAGGTCAATCAAGGCAGTCGTTATCCGACACCGACGCCCGGCACCGACGAGTTCGGGGGTGTAATAATGGGGAATGGCACGGCGGGCTAGGCGGGTCCCCAGGAGACAGGCAGTGCGGGGCCAGCAGGGTGAGGGGAGTGAAGCAACGGGTGTCAGGCCAGGCGGCAAGAGGGCGAGAGATACTCAGCGAGTAAAGGAAAGCAGATGTGATATGTACCTGGCGGCGGAGGCGGAAATTCCAGCGGAAGAGTCCTCAAGAGGGTCCTGGCGGTGAAAGCTGGGCCTTTGCCTGGCCATATGTTGATCGCTAACAAGAGCCGAATGGGGAGGGTTCGCTCATCAGTCGACACCGTTCAGCCCGCCATCCGTTTACTCGAGGAGAAACCGGGAGGGAAGGCGAAACAGGATTCGTTGATGAGTTGGCAGAAGCAAACGGGAGTCGTCCCGGCGAGCGAACGAGGAATGGAGGAGGAAGAATAAAAGTGGTCCGGAAAAAGGAAGGACGAGATAGAAATAGAGCCGAGAACACACGAAGCAGTAGTGATTTGTCGATCAAAAGAGCAGCTGATGATAAGATGCAAGAGTCGTGTTCGTCGTTCGATTCTCGATGGAAAGGTGGAAGATGGGTGGAAAGAAGAGGGTGGGTGGGGGAGGAGGGAGAAGATGAGGATGATGGAGAGAGTTGGGGGAGTTGACGTGGTGAGCAAGCGGTCGTGACGCCGGCCTGAGGACGCCATTCCGGAGAGCGCCAGGCGGCCGAAGTGCAATTTCTACTTCCCCGGCACTCTCCTCCTCCTCTTTCTCTCTCTCTCTCTCTCTCTCGCTCCCCTCCCCCTTTCCATCCTGCTTACACCGGGGTTTCCCCTGATTCGATCGGAAGCCTTTCTCGGCATGTCTCTCCGCATCCTGTCCAGATTTCATGCCCCTCGCTGAAGACCCGTCCCTACTCGGTCGATTAGTAACGAGGCTCGCTCTCTCGTCGCTGTGTGACTTGGGCACGACCAATTTCAATCCGGTCGGAAACATGCATGGGCCCTGGTTCCAAAGGAGGCATCAGCGATCTGCTCGGATCGGCGGAGGATAGATTGGTGGATGTCGGCTGCCTCCATGGAGCGACACAGGTAGTTACACTTACATACTTCGAACGGGCTGTCCCGATATGAGACCCTCCATCCCGTTGCCTACCCCTTGCCCTTACGATCGATTACGGTGCATTGGAGTGTAGGATATTGCAGATTTATCGATCCTTGATGCTAGTACTATCTATTTGATTCATCCGGTCGTCATCTCTGAGGTCTCTCCCAACTCTCAATCGCATACGTTGTCTGTATATATTTGGAGGCCGGTGGTTGGGCCACAATAAAGGAACCTATCACAGTAACTTCTCAATTACACTTCATCGGCAAGTAGTGAACCCCAAGGAGAGAAAAGAGATGAAAGAATCCTTCGGACAGGTGCTCAGACCCCCTGGATTCCGTGGTCTCCTGGATAACACACCATGTTATGCCCTCCGGTACTACCTGACTGATGGGCCAGTCTGATCCGAGCACGTTCATCGGAGGGAAATTTCAGACCTACGGACTCTTGTCTAAGGAGCCTAAGAGCACTACTACGATTGTCGCCGGTCAATTCACCATCTGGGCGGGGTTGGATCAATCAATCACCCTTATCACCGGCCATGGGGTGAGATGTAACCTCGGTCGGAGAACCTCAATGGTGACTATCTAGACCGGCCAAACAGATGGAAATCTTCTGTTAAATACGGTTACAGCAGTTAACTGCAGAGAAAAGCCACTAAAATCATCCCCTGCATAATTACTCCATACAGAGGATTATCATCCGAGTTGGCTGGTCGAATATTCCAGGGGAATTCCTTATAGTTCTGGGGTAGGACAACCGAGAAATTCATGGATCGGCTGGGGTTCAATGGACGCGGTCTAGGATGACCACCTACCGAGTGCTTCAGAAGATGGAGTGGAAGATGGCATCAAATAATGGGTAGAATTCCGGCTGAATCGGGCAAGTTGATGCGATGATGTGATCGCGCCGCCCGAGGTCCCGTGATGGTCCCGTGACACACCGACGACCCGTCTGGGCGGATGACATAAGCGTCTCAGAATTTTCCCCCGCCCGGAACGTCCGGAACAGGAAAGGCGGCCTCCCTCCCCCACGTCTGACTAACCGCAGGCATCCAGTCTTCTGTCGACTTCCTCTTCTTTGCCGACTGATTCTCTGCCTTTATATCCTCCCCCCCATCCCAACCGACTACCCCATTCATTGGCTTCCCCCCCCAGTTTATTTCCCACGACTCAATCCACTTGTGCGAGGGATTCCACCATCCTCTCGCAACCATGACCGACATCATGGCCGATCAGACCGACCTCGGCCCTCACGCCCCTCCTCATCTGCCCCCGGCTCCTGCCGATGACTACGCTTTTCCCGAGCTGCGACTGAAGCAGAAGATGGATGACCCCGAGAAAACCCCCTTACTGCTGGTGGCCTGCGGTTCTTTCTCGCCCATCACTTATCTGCACCTGCGCATGTTCGAGATGGCCGCCGATTACGTCAAGTTTAGCACAGACTTTGAAATCGTCGGCGGATATCTGTCTCCGGTGTCGGACGCTTACCGCAAGGCGGGGTTGGCGAGCTCAGAGCATCGGTATGTACTTGCGGTTTCTTGTCCCGTTGTCGTCATTGTGATTCCAGTTTGGCTGATCGATCAATCTTTCTCGTTTACAGAGTAGCGATGTGCCAGCTGGCCGTGGACCAGACCACCGATTGGTTGATGGTTGATACCTGGGAACCGATGCAGAAGAAGTACCAGCCCACTGCCGTTGTGCTGGACCACTTTGACCATGAGATCAACACGGTGCGCAAAGGTGTGGATGTTGGAAATGGCTCTCGCAAGCCGGTGCGCATTGCCCTGCTGGCCGGGGCCGATTTGATCCATACCATGTCTACCCCCGGTGTGTGGAGTCAGGAGGATTTGGATCACATTCTTGGAAAATACGGTGTATGTGTGCCTGACTCGACAGTTGCTCAATCTCACGGTCGGATTCTCAGACTGACTTTCTCTTTAGTCTTTCATCGTCGAGCGCAGCGGCACCGATATCGACGAAGCACTTGCAGCATTGCAGCCTTGGAAGAAGAATATCTATGTCATTCAGCAACTCATCCAGAATGACGTCAGCAGCACTAAAATCCGTCTTTTCTTGAGACGTGAGATGAGCGTTCGCTATCTGATCCCTGTCCCCGTTATCCACTACATCGAGAAGAACGGTCTTTACGTCGATGACAGCGCAACGGCAGGCTCCACGACAGAAAAGGGCAAGGGACGACAGGAATCGGGTCAATCAGGCTGAGGCCGTCAATTCCTTTCGCATTTTTGACTCCAACGGCTCTTTGATGAGACAGTAACGAGACCCGATCCCTTGAAACAGATTTGCCTATAGCAGATGCAAGACTTGAATGTTTGATCTCACCATCTCGGGCATCAAACCGATCTGAGTGCAGCTCGTTCTTTTTGGCCGGACATTACATAGTGTTCTTACCCATCTCCCTTGCGACGCAAAGCCGCTCTCATTCGCCATCCTTTCTTTTTCCAACCCGCGCAGGAAATATACGATGAAGCAATGCCCGCAATGCTTCCAGAAACATGAAAGCCTGCGTGGATCATGGACCACAGACCGAGTGGCGGAATTTGACATGGTGTGCACCGATAGAGATGAGGTCTCTTATCTAAGTCTTAGCTGGTTGGTTCTCTTTGACCACTGCCTTTTATCAAAATCTGGCTTTCTTGCTTGTGCGCCCAGTGCTCTTTTTTTTTTTTTTTTTTTTTCCTTTTCTTTTCACTCTTTTTGGCAGTCGTTTTACTGCACGTTGAAGTGTTACGAGTAATGTTGAAGATACCATAGAGCATGTTGCTTTTTTCTCGTTTTTTTTTTTTTTTTTTTTTTCTTTTGAAAAGATTTGCTTTTATACCCCTAACAATAATATGTGTATCCATAGATACTAGATAGAAGATGGTAGACTCGAATCTTTGAATGCCATTTCAGCCGGAATCCGAAGAGTAAATTAATCCAATTGCCACCGACATGAAACAATAAGTATACCAGTGTACTTCAATCCAATTGTAGGATAAGGAGTTTGAAGATGCTTTCCAAAATCCAAAGTAAATCTATATAACGCAAATGTGTATCGCAAATGTTTAGTAGCGGTGTATGTGGTTGTTGATCTAAGAACAGATGAAAAAAGAAAAAGAAAAGCCAAAAACGGACATTACAGTCATAGCCATCGTTGATATTTAATAAGTCGCGCGTAGGGGGTTTGAACAAAGCGATAGATGTGCAATATGTAGATGATGCAGATCAGGCTTGCTCATCCCACAAATCCTCGGCTTCGATGACTCCCAACAAATCATCGGGACTTTGGTCTTTCATGACAGCAATCACCGTCACCGGGGATCCTGTGGATGTGGTAGTTTTCGAGACTAATTGGCGAGCATGCTCGACGGTAGTTGAGTAGGGGATGCGCAACCAGTCCTTTCGAGGGACCGCAAATGGTAGACCGAGACTAGTGAATGCGGTGACTTCCATGTCCACGTAGCTGCTCTGCGAAAGGGAGCGGAGATGTCGCGGCGGAATGATTTCCGAGGGAGATAAAGACACCCAGGATTTAGCGTTGGGGTGTTGGATGGCAGTGAGAAGAATGTTCAGCAGGCGGATTTTGCCTGCCGCGAAGACCGTTGGGATTTGGTCCATCAAAACTAGCATTTCAGCGAGAGGCGGGGATCGCATTGCTTCCTGCGGGGGAAACGACAGGGTGGGTTGGTGCTGCTCGTCGGAACTGGTGGACGGAAATGATACGGTCGACATGCTCATTGGCGTTGTAACGTTGGACGCTGCTCCAATAGCCCCGCCAGGATGGAAGCTCTTGAAGATCTCGGCGGGCCCTCGTCCCGGGGTGGTATGTAGTCGCCTAGCCGTGGCAATGGCCAAAGCATCGCCTAATGACAGGGCTACCGTAGTGGATGAGGTCGGAGCGCTGACGCCAAAAGCGGTCTCTTCATCTTCGTGGATCGGGGCCGGCAAGAGGATGCCCATGTCGGAAGGCTGGAAGGATAGCAGTGGACATGTCGCCGGGTGCAGGTGGTTTGTGATGGCAATCACCGGGACGGTGCAAGGGATATGAGGCAGCAGCAGTAGAAGCTCGGGGGTGCGACCCGAAAACGATATCAACAACAGGGTATCTTGCTGTGACAGTAGGTTAGCAAAAGCCATTTCCTCGACTAAATGGGAAGCAAGAGAATGCATACCGGTCGAATCATCCCCAGGTCCCCATGCAACGCCTCCGTGGGATGTAGGAATGCGCTGTAGATACCCAGACTGTTCATCGTCGCCTCCAGTTTCTGAGCAATCTTGCCGCTCTTGCCTACCCCACAGCACACCAACTTCCCCCCATTTCGGATACTCGAGGCGATCTGGCTCACTGCGCGCGCAAGGTGCTCCTGCGCCAACAGGTTCGTTTGATACAGGTGTTCCAAGTTCGCTAGGGCAGCGCGTTCGGTGGAGATGACATGGACGGCGGAGCTCACCGAGGTGGTCCAATGATGCCCGGGAGACTTTAACAGGTCCGCATCTGCAGGATCCGGGGGAGTCATGGGTAAGAACGAGAGATTGGGGTGGGTGAGCTGGTCTTTCGCTATCATATTGGGCGTGGGAGGCGACAGCGGAGTCATCGGGGATCGGAGGTGCCCCATGGTGCCGGAACCATCGTCTGGGCGCAGTTGGAAGGACAGATCGTCTTCTCCCAGGAGGAGCCTGGGAAAAGCGTTCCTGGACCGAGTCCTGGAGCCGAAAGAGGGGAGAAGACAGGGAAAAATTCGATGGTGGGGGAGAGTCGCAGGAAAGAATCGGCCTCGGCGGGGGAGGAGAAGGCGGAGGTGACTAATGCGCTTCGACCGGAATCGATTGTTACGGAGTAGTCAAGGGCTGCTGCATCCAGTGGACTGCAGATTCTCCCTTAATGATATGGCCCTGACCTATTCCCATGAATCTGATACCAGATACGCCCGGACTATGGATTGGACCGCCATGACACCATCGCCGCTTATCTTGACGCGTTTGCAGATCCCGGAAGAATCGGATTATTTTGGGTCCACCCTAGTTCTACATACTGTACAATATACATATACATCAGTCGCTGAAGTCGTCGCCACCTCTCAAAACTCAAGCCCGGGGAAGCGGTTTGATCCCCTTGTGGATCGCCGCAATCCCGCCGGTGAGGTTCTCGAAGCCTCGTCCGGGGATCATGAAGCCGGCCTTCTGGATCATCCCCCGGAACTCCTCCTGGCTGGGGAATTTCTCGATACTCTCCACCAGGTACTGGTAGCTGTCGCGGTCTCCGGCCACCAACTGCCCGATCATGGGGATGGCGTTGAAACTCCACTGCTTGTAAACGGTGTTGAAGAGGGCGTTGTCCACCTTGCTGAATTCCATGCACGCAAACACGCCGCCGGGCTTCAACACTCGAAAGGCCTCCACGAGAGCGGCCTGCTTGTCGGTGAAGTTCCGGATCCCAAACACAACCGTGTACAGATCCACGGAGTTGTCGGGGATGCTGGGCATGTGTTGGGCGTTGCCCTCCATGAATGACAACCGGTTCGTATTGTAGTAGGGCGTCTGGATGCTCCGTTTCTTGCCCTCCGCCAGCATCTCGGGGTTGATGTCCGCGATCGTCACCCGAGTCTCCCGGTCGTGGTTGATGTTGGTCGCGTGGTCCAGCATGCGAAACGCAATATCGCCCGTCCCGCCGGCGATGTCCAAGATATTCCACCCTCGGCCGGCCGTGTCGGTTTCGCAAGAGGGTAGCGCAGACCCGGGATTTAGGGTGCGAACGAAGTGATCTTTCCAGAGGCGATGGATTCCGAGCGACATGAAATCGTTCATGGCATCGTAGGACGAGGCAACCGAGCTAAAGACCGACCTCACTGTCCGAGAAACCGCGTTAGTGCAATCGTACTTTCTTTCTCAAGACCCGCGGAAGAGGGCACCCACCCATAGACTCCTTGTCTGCTTCCGGGACATTGGTGAAGCCAAAATGGGTCATTCGATCGGTCTCCGACTTGTTGGATGCGGCCTGCGCCCGGACGGTGCAGGAGAAACAGCGATAGGGAGTCTCGGGAACGTTGACGCCTCGTCGCGCATTCAAGCGGAGGCTTCTCCATAAGGACCGGGATAACATGTTGGCTGTGGAGGATGCTGGACGGCGCAATTGAGGAGATTGAGGACGGAGGGAGAACTGGGGGAGTTTGCGGCCAACGCTTTTCTCTCCGGGCGGCGAGTGGAGGCCTTGCGGATCAGGCACCGCCGTGTTTTCTGCCGATCGGCCGCCGCGTTGCCTTTTTGGGTCGATGGCCTGATCTATACTCGAGTAGACTATCGTCCTATAGAGAATAGAGATACAAGGTCTAGATGGAGGGCGTGGAACTTCCCAACACATAATATAGAGCTTGGATTCAGACCCTGTCATCCTCGCAATAGGGGTTGAGCGGGAGATTGGACTCGACAAGAGTTGTCGCTAGCCCTAACTCTAGTCACTGCAATCAGGACTAACTGAGTCCCGATGGCTCACAGATAACAGGGCAATACTAAATATTAAAATATATTATAGATTCTAAATACCGAAAGACAGCCTGCTATTGCACCAGAAGGGGTAGCAAAATAGCGGTATACAACACAAAACATAGTTTCCTTGACCAAGCTTAGTAGATTAGATCATTTGGATCGAATTATAGAGCCGACACGACTTGTACTTTAGGACCTTTCCTGCCTTCTCCAGTCTGCCGCAAACTTCCACTGCACAAGCGGGCCGATCAACGCCACGAACTGTACAGCCACGCAGACCGTAAATGCTACCCCAACCCCAATGCGATTGACCATAGGCATGATGAAGCTGGTCCCTCCGGCAGCAAACAGACACCGGGCCAGGTTCAGACTGGCACTTGCCGCTGCACTCCTAGTAGGGAAAACATCCACAAGATAGGTCATAATCAGGGACTGCGTGGAAACCGCCGTCCATCCGGTGATGAAAGTCGACACGATGGGAACGGCAATGTGAACACGATCGGGATATTGAATGGTCCAACCAAAGAGAATGATCGAGATGCATTGCAGGAGAGAGAAAATTGGAACCAGTCGAAGGCGGGCTTTTTCCAGCGGGAATTCTTCTTCCCGATCTATTCCAGCGCCCGAAGAGTTGGGCTCAGTTTCGATGTCACTCAAAGATGATTCAAAATTCTGCTTGACGCGACGGTAGTCTGCATCTAGGATCTTACCGGTCACAAGCGTCCCGACCATCGATCCTACTCCGTTGGCGATAAACGTGAGACCGATTTGGATTTCGCTAAGTCCGTAGCGATCCTTAAAAAGGGTAGACATGACCGTGATGCTCATTTGCCAGACACTATAGTAGATGGCGAGGTATATGATGATGGGAGCTGCGAGCTTGCTGATGAGAATGCGGAGAGGTCCGGTCACGTCAATCTCCTTCCGAGGTGCAGGATGAGATGGCTCTTCCTCTTGTTTCCACTGGATGCTGGTCCATTTTTGGTACCCCGTCAACGGATATCGAGTGAAGGGGTTCGAGGGTGTTCGGCTACTGTTCGCAACGACCGATCGAAGTGTTTCGGGTAGCAAGATCACAAGGAGGATCAGAAAAACACCACTATAGATAGTAAGGAACCAAAATATGGATCTCCATCCTAGGGATCCTGCTAATGCGCCTCCGATGACAGGTCCTACGGCAACAGGCACGAGAAGACCCGCCTGGAAGATTCCCATGTAACCGCCGCGCTCAGCACGAGTAGTGATATCGCCAATAACACCAGAGCCAATGGCAATTGTACTCGCACTGCCTGTACTCTGGAGGCACCTGAGAACAATAAGGGTGGCGTAATTCTTCGTCTGTGCCAGACCAATACATGCACCGAAGAAGACAATAAATGTGCAGGTATATGCTACTCGGCGACCTCTTACGTCGGAAATCGGACCCCAGAGGCTTGGTGCAAGGCCCTGAAAGATAAGGTATGAGGTAACAGTCAGGTTGACGAGTTCAACAGAGACATTAAGATCACTAGCAATGGTTGACAGTGCCGGGAAGTAAATATTCGACGCAAAGCCCGAAACTACCCAAAATTAGCAATCCAGACATACCACAAATAAATCGGTAGACATACAAGTCGCTGCAGTCGAAACAAGGAGCACTATCAAAGCCTTTTGCTTCCTATCGAATATACTGAAAGGCAGTTCCGTAACCGCAGCTAGGGGTGGCGGGGTTTGATTATTAGAGGTCATTCCTTTGTTTTGATGTGGTGATGCTTGGTAGACAGTTGAATGGGAATTGAAATGTCTAGAAGATGTCATATTGGAATCAACCTAGCGGGACAGACATCTTTTATAAGTCTAACTTCGTCATGACTCCAAGGCAGGTTTTACCCCGGAGCTGACTTCGGAGTTCCGACGTAGGGTTCCGGAGTTGAGACTCTCAACTCCGCCGCCATCGACAGCATTTCGAAGACGAACAAGAAACATGCGTTCAAACCGCCCCATAGTCACGCCGTGGACTTGGTTAATTTCTCATTTCTGGTATATCCCATCTCGTTAAAATGAATTCCTCAGAGCAGTCGAGCTATACTTCAGTCAATTTTGGTGACCGTTATGCGATCCTCAACTTGGATTGGATGTCGGTGCTCATCAACGCCGTCAAGGATACGGCCGAGGGTCAGGCGCTGATTTCGAATTGCTCCGTGTGGAATGATGCTGTGCATCGGAAACATCCTCGTCCCTTGACCATCTTTTCCACTCTCGCTTTCAATCGTGCCCAGCCTGAGGTGCAGGCCAACACGCCGTTTGCCAGACAGATCGCCCCATATGGGAACTTTGAATTTCACTCCCCCGAAGTGCAGATTGACTCACATTTCAAAGTGGATGAGAAAGATGTGGTGCTCCACAAAACAAGGTGGTCTGCTACCATGGGAAACAGCCTAGAGCAGATATTGAAGGCGCAGAGTATTGATACCGTGGTGATTGTAGGTGAAAGCCACTCTTTCGCCCACTTGAAGCTAATACAAATGTCACAGTCTGGCCTAACCCTTTCCGGCGTCGTTATGAGCACTATCTATCGCCTGTTTGACTTGGATTATAACATTTATGTGATAAGCGACAATGTGCTTGAGTTGCCGGTGGATCATAATGAGGCATTCTCGAAAGTGATGCTTGAGACTCTTCTACCGAAAATGGGCCTGAAAGCGATAACTCTCGGCGAGGCTCTGCAAACACTGGAACAGTGTTAGAGCAGTGCCCGATAAAATGAGCCGCATTAATTGTGTATCGATAAAAAGCGTTTGTGCGGTAAAAAATACCACCTGGAAATCTCGAATCAGTCACCGTGTGTACATGTCGTAACCGCGCAAAGCATAGTCCCAAACTCGTCGGTATTTTCGAGCCATTGATCCACCCGGGCACGTCTCCTGGCGAGTTGAGTTTCGCCAAAGCCAGTAGGAACAGGCCAAAGTTCGTCAATCGTAAGGCCGCCTTCCGCCCATTCCGCCATGTGGACGTGATACTCGCGTTCCCACTGGTAGCGGCTTTGCGCTTGCCATAACAACTTATTAGCCGGAGCAGGTAGTCCCTCAAGTTCGGTACCGAGAAAGGTGGGAAGACCTTCTTGCGTCGAGAGGATGCTGTCGAAAAGATACATCACGTAGAGTGCCCGTCGTTTGGTCTCAGTAATGACCCATTCTTCCCATCTGGGGCGCACCCTTCGTTGATCGGCCGCACACACAACCCCACGCCGAGTCGAGGAGCGGGCAAGGTTTTGGAGATTCATCATCGTTCCGCGAAAGACATCATTATAAGCTTCGCTGAGTCGGAAAAAAAGTACCATGGCGTAAATTAGATAGGCTTGAAACGCAGCCAACTGATCCTCGTCATCAAATTCCTCACATTGATTGAAAATATCGTTCATTTCTCGTTGCAACACACTGGCCGCAGTTGCTTCACTACCCGGTAGGGGACTTGAGCAGACCCTGACTAGGCTCAAGCAAGAAGCAAGAGGTGACCCTACCGGTCGCGGTCTCATCTGAATAGGATGGACGAAGGGCAGAATCCCCCGACCGTGGGCTGCCACGGCCGCGTAAGACTTCAAAATCCGGTAAATGAAAGCATTGACGTTGGTAGGATACTGTTTGACTGCTTGTCCGGGAACAGGAATATAAGGGTTCAGCCAGCGATTGCTTATAGCAGTATCGTCGATGGGACAGATCAGCTCAAGACCCGAGAAATTGAGATCATCCAATCCCTCAGGCACATGCATGGAGCCAGCCAGTCTCTCTCTTTCAGTAGCGAGGGTGCTCGTGTTGACCCGATCGGTTCTCAAATTATTAACCGGGTTGCTCCCTATAAGCTGTTGCGCGTTTATTGCCGGAAATGGGGCATCAGAGCCTAAGAGCGAGGAGACATCGGATGTCGAGAATGGACTGGGTAAGCGACCATCGGTCATCGCGTGGTTGACAGGGCTTTCGGACCTTGCTGTCCGAGGGTATACACACGACAGGCCGCGCCGTGTGCACCTCACACAAGGACCGTGTTGACGATCACATCTTGCTTTGGCACTTGAGCATTGCTGGCATGCCTTCTGTCGGGAAGCGGAGTACCTAGACGTCTTCATTGCCATGTCAATATGAAGGCGGGAAGATGTAAAGAAGATGGCGTCGGAGCGTCTCGACGGGCGCCCGAAGACTGCGACGTCACGTGCATCTGTCAAAGCCCTACAAGACGAGGACTCAGATCATGTATGGTGGATTCTTTTAAAGAACAAATAGATCAAATATTCTTAATGATTTGCAAATGATCATGAGGTATCTAGCTCAAGATCCTGACCTCAGTATGCCACAAAGCGCCTAGAAAGCATTATGTTGTTATGTAGCATACTGTACTATAGATGGATAAATATTGAGACTACTAGCGATGAGATATCATGGAATTCAGAACTGGATACCATTGATTTATGATAGACCTCATCTAGTAGATTCACTCTGATCAGTCTCGTCTTAGACTTCTGTTCACACCGTCATCAAATTATATGGAAGCTGACCATTAGCCCCGGACATTCTATGCCCGTGGTATAGCAAAACTCGTATAGTCTACCCCAAGACCACGCCAGATTTACTGAGCTCCTCCTCACCAGAAGTGATAATACTGGTGTCGTGCTCCCCAAGAACACTGCCATACTGCTGATAGGCTCGTTCCATGTTCCAAGAAAACGGGCTAGACGTTGAAAACAAGGCTTCAATGGACTCTAACGACCGGTTGCGGGTCTCCGGATAAAAGAGGTAGACCGTTGGAATCCAAAGCAGATTGAGACCAGCGAGCAGGAAGTAACTCCGGCTCTGAAGACTTTCCAGCATGACCGGGTTGATCAGGGTCGTCATGCCAACCCCAAGGGCCCAGCCCGTGATGCCAAATCCATTACCTTGGGCACGCATTTCCGAGGGAAATATCTCAGTCGGCAAGAGAAAGGCCACTGTTCCCCATGTTGCAGCATATCTGCATTTCCGTTACCACCAATGCGCCGGAGGGTAACAAGACTAGCAAGAATTGGAGGTTTCACTCACCCTAGGTTGAATAGAAATAGCATTGAAACAGCCGCCGGGGCGTACTCAGCTGCTTTACTAGAATTCTGAAGGGAAGCTTCATATATTGACCCAGCCTGGACATACTATCAACAAGCGAACACGAGGCTTGAACGGCGCAGGAACTCTTACAATCAGTTCAACAGAGAATAAAATAGCGGAACCAAGCATCAAACAGCGTCGACGGCCCAGGCGGTCGACAATATGCGCGCTGATGATGGTGCCGATTACACCAATAGTGTTCAGGCCGCCAGCGAGACCGTTTTGTGTGATTTCACTATAGCCGGCCTGACCAAGAAGAGTAGGAGAGTAGGCCGTGATAGCCTAATACGATGCGTTAGCTCACTTTCCAGTTGAGTTTACATAGACAGGATTGACTACCGTGATACCAGTCCAAGATGCCATGATTTGAAGCAAAATGCATAGCCAGGCACGCCGACCTAAATTGGCTCCCGGCTTGCCACCCCTGCCAATGAGGATTTTAACAAACTGAATGGGAGAGCTAGGTTTACTGCTTTGCGAAGCAGCCAAGATTTCGTGATACTCCTGCTGAATCGCCTCGAGAGTTGTCCTGCGACCTCGGATCAGCACTAACAATTCTCTAGCTTCCTCATTGCGTCCAACCGATGCGAGGTATCGGGGGCTATCCGGCAAAATCTTGACAAAAAGAGCAATGAACAAGGTCGGAATGCACTGAAATGCAAGTAAAAAGCGCCACCTCAAGTCCGAGTACCCTCCATGGATAAACGCAAGGCCAAATGACAGCCAGTACGCGATGGAGATCCCTAGATCTGTGGCTTATCAGCGTTGATCCAGAGACCAGAAGCAATTAATGCTTACAGTTGGCAATGAAGACATAGCCTAAAAAGCTGCCTCGATGGTCTGCAGAAGAAGTCTCCGAAACCAGCACTGGGGTTATTCCAGTCAATGCTAGAGAGAAGCGAGTCAGCGTCCAGCCAGACTTCTATACGGTTTAGACAAAATTTGAAAAACATACCACCTGTGCCAACCCCGGTGATAACGCGCGCAACCAACATGAAGTCTGAGCTGGTGATGCCCGCCTGTAAAGCGCCTCCCACGAGAGCGAACAGCGAGCCGATGAAAAGCCCGTTGACCCGGCCGATGCGGTCTGCCAACCAGCCACCTGCAAAGCAACCGAATATGCATCCCAGATAATACACGCTGACGAGGCCACCCTGGTGTGTCGTATCCGTAATAGTTCCATCGGCAGTTCCGATTCCTACTCGCGTCACGTATTTTGGCGCCGAATTGACACCTCCCATCACCCCTTGGTCATATCCTTCGAAGAAGATGGAGACAAGGGAGAAGGCGTGAATCGCGAAATTGAGTTGTCGCGACGAGAGTCGCTGCCAGAAATTGGTGAAACCCATATTGACGACCTTCAAAGAATTGGATTCAGTGCTCAGGAGAATTGCAATTGCAGGGCCGAAGAACAGTTTGTTACACAATCCTACCGACCCCTTGCATATGCCTGCATAGAATTAAGCCATATTTGGCAGTCAGGGAAATAGCTTGTATTCCTCAAAACAATTTAAGAGCAAAGATCTGAGAAGAGAACCTCTGATAACAAATGGTAGTGGATAGCTGGACTTTGGTGCAAACATGTACCCGATCAACCACCACCGAATAGACAATCTGAACAGGAATAAACATAAGAGCAAAAATGATACCTTGGCTTCTGTTCAATCTTGAAGCGTCTGATTCCAAAGACTCTGCACGGTAACATCATCCCTCCAATCGTCACTACCACTCTCCACCTGGACCACAAACTCGATCTCTTTCTTCTGCCCCGGAGCCAGCACGAATGCGTTCTCGGTGAAATATCCTACCAAGCCGGCCGGATAATCCAACCAAGTATACAAGGATACTCCGGACGTAGCCTGGACCGTGAAAGTCCCGGACACCGCATCGTGTGAAAGCTCAAGGCCCGGATCCACTAGTTTCAGATCCTTCGGGATCACCGGGGTGAAGTGATTCTCATGGGTAAGACTCGAGCTTTCCTTCATATTAGGGAGATGTCCATTGGACTCAAGAGAAATGAGAAGGATCGAGTCCTGTGGATCTGCTAGATTGAGACTGCTTATATCGGTGCTATAGATCCTAGTCGCGTTGAGAGACCCCACATTGAACGGAATCGAGGTTGGTGAGCCAGCATTCTGAGGAATACCGTTACCCCGGAGGTTAAGCCAAGTGAGACGAACAGTACCGGTGACCGGTTCCCACAAATCAGAGATGACGTAGATGTCCAGAGCACCCGAAGTGGTGTTCCAGAACGGGGAGACGATGATCGGCTTGTATATGTCCCTTGCCACATAATGGAGGACCTTCCAGCGTCCGTCGTACTCAATCCCGGCCCACGTCGGTGCCTGCCAGATGTCCTCAAGCTGCCAGTACAGGGTACCGAGCTGCCGTTCAGGCATACCGCTGCCACGACGATAGAACTGGATCTGGCTCTTGTCCATGTCCGCCTGAAATAGCTGGGTGGCGTGGCACCAGGCGCTGAAGTTCGCGACGGGGTCCCGTTTGTTGGGGACGGGGTAGTAGCGTTCCACAGCCATGGTCAGTTCACCCATTCCGATGGACGAGTTACGGAAGTTGCTCGTGTTTCTGTCAGAAGGGGGGTAGTGGTGGTTCCGAAGCATCACCACGCTACTGTTGAAGTGCAGGTCGGACGGGTCGAGAGCCTGTTTCCAGGTTTGAAGACTAGGCATACTGTGATGTCCGAACTCAACTGCGAACCGGCCCACGGGGTAGGCCGAGAAGTTGAATGCAATGCGACTATCGTAGCTGTAGTATTCCGTATCGCCGTAGTAATGCCCAAAAGTGGTGTTATTGTATCGTTCCACCATGGGGATGGACGCAGATAAGTCGATATCGAGATAGCCATTTGTCGCGCTGCTGGGGATGTATGAGATGGAGCGACTATTCTCATAAACCAGCGGCATTATGAGATTGATGTACAGCGCCTCGTACTCTCCGACATACCGCGGATGTTCCTTCGGATTTGTAAAGTTAACCAGAAGAAGTATGAACCCTTCGATCTCATTCCCGCCGGACCATAAAGCCAAGGATGGATGATGATTCACGCGTCGAACGTTGTATGCCACTTCACCCGCAACGTTATCGAGAAACTCTTGATGAACAGGATATACGGCATCGCTGAATTGAAATTCACTCCAGAGAAGTAGTCCCCTTTCATCAGCCAGATCGTACATGAAGTCAGGAAGGTAGCTGCCGGATGACCAAATCCGGAGCATGTTCTGGTTTGCCTCAATGGCAGCATCAAACAGCCGGGCCATTTTATCTTCCGTGACTCGGGGCCAAAAAGCATCAGGGGGAATTAAATTGGAGCCTTTGACATAGAACTCATGGCCGTTTACCTCGAAATGCCAGTTGCCACCTGGTGCGATGCCTTGAGAAATCTGATCCTCGGTGATGCTGCGCTGGTTGAGGAAAATGGTGCGAAATCCAACTCGCTTTGTAATGCAGGCAATAGATTGTGACTGTTTACCACCATAGATGGTGATAGAGAGCTGGTATAAAGGCTGTGACCCAAGACCATGGGGCCACCATAGCTTTGGCTGCACGCCATCCAATACTGTGACGCCAGTAATGGAGCCCTCGGAGACGGTGACGTTGCAAAGGGCTTCTGATGTGAGAACCAAGCCCGTCTCGGCCTCTGTAATCTCAATCGACATTGACGGGCCAGGAGGAATAGAACCCAAGAAATCAATGCTAGCATTCACCACCCAGGGCTGGTTCTGGTCAGGTGGCATATGATTGATCTGACCCTTCCGACAGATATCCAGGTCCGTGTTCAAGACATATATTCTCTCCGGGCTGTTGAATTGCACCAGGTAGGCAGGCTTCCAGGGACCAGCCGGGGCAAATCCCGGACCCCAATCCCATCCGAAGTCTGACTGCTCTTTGCGCATGTACCATCGATTGGGAAGTTCAAAATTGAATGACAAGGGCAACTCTATCGAAGATAATTGATCAGTGCCGTGCTCAACTGAGAAGGGCACGAGGGCGTACCTATCCAGTCGTAACCTTCAGCAATCTTGTCCACAATTGCCGGCGCGCTGCCAAAATTAAGACTTAGGACTGGGGTATCCGTGCAATTCCGTAAAATATCGGAGACATCGAAGTAGTACTGGCGGAATTGGTTGTCCGTGGATGCTACCTGTTTCCCACAAAGCAAAACCGTGGTATAGGTGTCTAGACCATCAAACACGAGCCATGTAGACTCAGCCCCTTCATTTCTGGACAACGTTAGATATTTGACCTCCCAAGCAAGGAGTTTGGGGACAGGGAAAAATACAAGCCATCTATAGGTCCACTAGTATATGTCCAATTGGAGTCGCCAACCCAACGTTGTTCGAACTCATTCAGACGATAGTAGCTTTCGAATTCGGTCAGTAAAGCACTTTCTTAGATTTCGATTTCCAAAGAGAAAAGTGTTATGCGTACGGATCCTCTATCCTAAGAATGAGTTTCATTTTCCAAGAACATGAAAAGATCAAGATCACCCACCAATTACCCCAGCCTTCAGCAAGTCCAAGTGAACATGCGATGGCAGATATCCAGGAACAGTCTGATTCAAAGCTGGACTACTAATAGTCCACTTCTCATCACTCAGGGGGACTATGATCTGTGCATGTATAGCAGACAGCATCCATGCCAGAAATAACAGTAATGGTCCCATTTTTTCAAGCCTGTTGTGAAAAGAGAGTGTGTGAAGGAATGTGGTGTGTAGCCAAACGCAAGCTATGAAGCGAGTTGAAGAACGCTGACCAGAACAAACTAAATAATTGCCTTATAGATCACAGTGGATCAACTGTGAGCCTTCTATCCGGCAAGTTCCTCATCCGAGGCAAGCAATGATATATTCACTCTCAGGCAGCTAGCGTAATGTAACCTGCCGGTTCTGAGAAGGCAGGGTGGGCATCAAACAGGGCAGTGAACTCAATGTTTCCTCGAGACTGTCACTTAACAGTGCAATGGGATGTTATGATTGGCGAAACGCGTGAAAAGACGCCATCTTTACCAAAGCAGATAAGATGGTGGCGTTTGACGTCCCCGTGGAACTTCGCTACTGGAAGATTGGTTCTCATTTTGACTTCGAAAGCAGACGACCTACTTCATATTGATGGATATGATAGAGAGAGTTAACCTGAATGTAGCACCTTATGGTTGCTGGTCAAATCAGATGCAAGGAGATCCTGCAAGTCGGGCTGACTGTGACCTGCATGTCGGGCTGATTGCGACTCTACATAGCGGTGTGAGCGATGGGGGGACAAATGAATCCGATTGACTGCGCACCATAAAGTCCTGAAGGTTGCATGCAGCTGCCGGTTGACCCTTTGGAATCTGATGGAGGGAGGGATGAAGAGAGTCGGAATGATGGCAGTGGCGGGCTTCGTGGATGCCGTATACTTCGGGCGAACAGCCTAACCTCTTGCGGCTAGCTCCTCTCCACGTGAACCTCGGAGATGAGCCGCTGAGTCAGCACGGCTATTGGCGGGATCGGCATGACGTGGGACGCCGAGGCCAACCGTCTCCTCCGCATTCCCCGGACTTGCCCTTTATCGCCCTCCTCTCCCCTCTTCCTCTCGGGCTTCCTCGACAATTGCTCTCTGGGAACACTGGCACGATGTCTTTGAGTCTTCTGGGACGCTTTTCGCGGGGCCCCCGTGTCCTCTCCGCCGCTCCTCGACGATGGGGAAGTTCGGTTTCTCAGCGCCCTGGCTCGGACCGGTAAGCGGTTTTCGAACATGACATGAAGATAAACAATGGGGGATCGAGAAGTGAAACTGATCACGTTCTGCCTAATCCTAGGGTCCGATTCCCGGGTGCCGTCAACAGCAAATTCACGACCGAAATGGCCTTCCTCAATCCCTCCGAATCGTCCCATATCCCTACCTACCGGGTCATGGATTCCGACGGCGTGCTGGTTGATAAGGACCGGAAACCTCTCAATGCATCAAACGAGGAGATTCTCACATGGTACAAAAATATGCTGTCTGGTTGGTGGCACTTTGGTCTTCGTCTTGCTGGACCTGGCACTAATCTCCTCCAGTGAGCGTAATGGATGTGGTGATGTTCGAGGCCCAAAGACAAGGCCGAATAAGTTTTTACATGGTAGGCCAATCCCTAATTCTTGAACCACTATGGCTAATAGGTCAATTCATCGATACAGGTATCTGCCGGAGAGGAAGGTATCAGCGTGGGCTCCGCCGCAGCCTTAACCCCGGACGATGTAGTCTTTGCCCAGTACCGTGAAACTGGCGTGTTTCAACAGCGAGGATTCACACTCAAGGACTTCATGAGCCAACTATTCGCCAATTGCCACGACAACGGCCGTGGACGCAACATGCCAGTTCACTACGGATCGCATTATCCGCGCACAGTAAGTACTAAGACCCCAATTATATATAGCAAGAGGACAGACCAAGCTAATCGCCTTCACCAGCACACAATCTCCTCCCCACTTGCGACGCAAATTCCCCAGGCGTCTGGCGCAGCGTACTCTCTCAAACTGCAGGCCCTCCAGAACCCCGACACGCCACCCCGCATCGTGGCCTGCTACTTCGGCGAAGGAGCCGCTAGCGAAGGAGACTTCCACGCCGGGCTCAACATCGCAGCGACTCGCTCCTGCCCGGTAGTGTTCATCTGCCGAAACAACGGATATGCGATCTCCACGCCGACCCTCGAACAATACCGAGGCGACGGCATTGCCAGCCGCGGCATCGGATACGGCATCGACACGATTCGCGTCGACGGAAACGACATCTTCGCCGTGTACGAAGCCATGCGCGAAGCGCGCCGCATTGCGCTCTCAGACGGCGGAAAACCGGTACTGATCGAGGCCATGAGTTACCGCGTCTCGCACCACAGCACCAGCGACGACAGCTTTGCGTACCGGGCGCGCGTCGAAGTAGAGGACTGGAAACGACGGGACAACCCGATCATCCGGCTGCGGAAGTGGCTGGAGAACGAAGGGCTGTGGAACGAGGACATGGAGCGCGAGACGCGTGAGCAGTACCGCAAGAACGTCCTAAAGGAGTTTGGGGAGGCAGAGCGGGAGAAGAAGCCGCCGATTCGCGAGGCCTTCCACGGCGTCTATGAAGAAGTCACCGAGGAGGCTCAGGCCCAGATGAAGGAGCTGAAGCGCATTCTGGAAACATACCCGGAGGAATACGATCTGCGGGAGTATAAAGACGGGATTAACGGACTATAGAGGACACAATGAGATCGACGCTTCCAGTATATACATACTACACATACTACTACCCCTCTACCTAGGTTCTTAGTTACCATGCTTCTTTCTTCCCATAGCAAGGCATGAAGCGACAAGAACAGGGACAGCAACTTAATGGAAACCCTGTCCAACCATAAATGAGATGACGCTTACTATGTTTGACGCGTGTACGAAGGAAGTGTGATGGCCTGAGTAGCATAAAATGATAAAAGAAAAGCTCCTTAGGAGGTAATGTTCAATTGATGCCCCATAAACACCTTGCAGAATAAGTAGAATAAGCACTGGCTTCGTAACTATACACATACAACTAGAAGGAATGAAACCACGATAAGATACATGAATAAGAAAACAATGCGTGATGTACAAAGTTCATATCGTAAAAGAATACAGATCATCGGGGGAAGTATCCATGAGAGTCAACCTGAAAGCCGTTCAGTTGGATGCCAGAGCCTGCTGTGCAAGCTTCTTGTTGCGCTTGACCAACGCATTGAGTTTCTTGTCAATAGAGTCGAATTCCTTCCGCGATGTCTCCAATTCCTTTTGAGACTTGACGGCAAACGAGCGCAGTTCTTCGTCGGTCATGCCCACCACGTCGTCCAAATCCGGGAGACTGCCCACGACGACGCCCGCCGCCCCGAGCATATGCTTAGCCGTGGCCGCTGCAAACGATCGCACCGAGGTTGCCGTAGCGTTGACCAACTCTGCAGTATTGGCGATGGCCCAGTTGTGGCTGCGAGTGCTGTCCGCCTCCATGGCTGAAAGTACATTGGGCGGAGCAGGTGCGCCGGAAATGAGAGAGGACTCCGATACGGACAAGCCGGCTGTAGGCGACGCCGAGGTAAGACCAGCCGAAGTTTCATCCACCCAGCAGATATTGAAGTTCTCGGGCGTGGCGAAGAGCGCATCAAGGCCACCGCTGCGGTTGGTAAGATCGGGTTCGGTGACTAGCTCGGCAGGGTATTCCTGGAAAGGATCGCTTTCGGTGGCAGAGTTCTTCTCAAGTTCCAGGTAGCGATCCTCCTCCTCACGGGACAAGTGGCGCAAAACACAGCCGCGGGGGGTGATGAGGCATCGATATTTCAGCAGGCTGGAATCAGCGTTGAGACGAACGGGCTCACCGCGCAGCAGGGTTTTGCGATGCTCCTCGGTCAGCTCGAACGGATGCTTCAAAATGTCGTAGTCGTTGGCATGGCACTTCATGTCCACACGCTGGTTGAGGTGAGGCGGGTTGAAAAGAGGATGAGTATTGAGATCCAGTTTGCCCGACTTGTGCAGTTCGGCGAGCAACATGGGCAGAGGCAGCGTTCGTTCTGCGAAGAGCTCCTTAGGTGGAACGCCACTGGCCACGGAATCCTTGATCAATTGCTCCACTGTATTGTTCGAGCGCCACGCCTCGATCTTCGGGGTGGGAGGTTCCTTCACTTCCACGGGGCTAGGCTTCTGGTCCTTCTCCTTTTCTTTAGACTTGCTCTTCTTGGACTCGGTCTTTTGATCAAGCTTGTCACCGCTGTCATTTCGACTAGGGGCGGCAAGTTTGGCAGTGTCATTGGCGCTCTCAGGCACCGGGGATGGAGTCTCCGTCTGGCTGGTGGGGGCCTTCTTGGTCTTGCGTTTCCGTCCCATGATGGGTGCCTGTACTGGTTCCGCTGCCAACGCCGAGGCTTCTTCATGCTTCTTGGCCTCAGCCTCTTTAGCTTTCTGGCGGCGCTCTTTCTTGACCTGACTCTTGGTCATGGATCTGACCGGAGCGGAACCGATCCGAGACGAGGCAGGAGGAGAGTTGGCACGAGACACAGACGCAGAAGTATAGAGGTCCGCTTCTGATCCGAAGTCACCGGGGGAGTCAGGACGGCTGATGGAGGAAACGCTGGGCCTTCGGGAACGCGTCTTGGCCACGACCGGCTGTTGGGACGAGTGGGAGGGTGTTGCAGAAACAGGAGGGGGAGTCTCTGCCTTCGGTGTGTCCACCACCCGCAGAACACGAGGCTGACGCGGGGCCGAGGAGTCAGAAAGGCGGGAGGCAGCAGTCAAAGGAGTGTTGGGACGAGAACCGATGGCAGATGGAGGCGCTGGGACCGGGCCGGACGATGCCTGATTCGAGGGTTCGACCTTGGACGAGGACGCTTCCGGAGGGTGAGATGTGCTCAGCGGCAGCTCCAGCTTCATGGGTTTGGCTTTCGAGGAGCCTTTGTCTTGGGTGGATGCTTCGGCCTTCTTGCCGGCCTTCTTCTCGGCCGCAACGGTCAAATCATCCTTGGGTTGCGAACGAGCTTTGCTAGCAGACTTCGGCACCGGCGAGCCCAGGGAGATTTCCGAGACGTTCTTCGTGCGGTGAGATGGAGGCGCAATCTCGGGCGTGTCCTTCAGATCGGGAGAGGCGGCACGGAACGCCGGGTCCTGGAGACTCTGGGACGGCGTCCCCAGCCGCGAGAGAGGGATGTTCAGCCCCGGGGGAAGGACGGACACCGACGAGGTCGGACTGGAGGGGTTCAATGGACTGTGGAAGAGACTGGAGGCCGGGTGAGAGTGAGGCAGAGGAAGTCCCGGCGGAAGGGAAGGAGTGCCGGCACGGGCGGAGCCCTGGGATTCACTCTGGATATGCGACCGCACCAGGAATCCAAAGCTGTCCACGGGGCGTTTGTCCTTGGAGGCTGCACCGAGAGGAGGGAATTCCTCGTCCACTAACGCAGGTTGGTTAGCCCGAGTGTCCTGTCAACGAATGATGGGTGACATGGAGGAAGTAGGACAACAGAACACAACGCGCGAGATGAAAACAGAATGACCAACGCAATCCCCGTGCCAGACACAAACAAGAGACAAAGAGGACCGGCGGATGGGATTCACCGTCCAGAAGAAACGAACAGAACACAAGATACGAAAGAAGGGCTGGCAGATTAATTACATCAAAGGGCCCCGGCCATGGGGCCAGACAGACACACCAGGGAGGACGTCTATATGAACAGTGGTTGTGAGAAATTGGTTTCAAGTAGACAAGCACCCGGCGTTGGGTTTATCCAAGCCAAGGGCAGGGAGGTTAACATACATAAAACCATGACCGTGCCGAATGGGCCACCAAGGTGCTGTAGTTCAAGCCAGCTTGGATGCAAAAAATGAAGAACATACATACGACCGCCACCGGAAGACACCGAGTGTCCACGGCATCATGCAATGGGGACGTCGCCCTCCAGTCCATGAAATGCGGACGAGGTCAAAGGGCATGGCAAACACAGCAAGAAAGAAAAAGGAGTGGAAAAGACATGGACAGAAAGAGATCAGGGAAAACACAGCACGGGTTCCATAATTTTCAACAACGCCAAAGGTACGCCAAAGCCCGAATAATCTTGTTCTTTTCAGAGCCGATTGCTTTAATGCTTCGTTGCAAAGTGGAAATAAGACGAGGGAAAGGAAACACGTCGCAAAAAGTTTGGGAAAAAAATCACATCCGAGAACGGAAGAAAACAAACTCATATCCTGCACCCATCTAGAGAAATATGATATCATGTCATGAAGGGTAGAAGGGGAATGCAAAAGAAGAGGTGGTCATTAAAAGGAGAAACAGAACAGAGATCGGGGAAGAAAGGGAAAGAGAGTAAGGGGATCGGGAGAAGAGGGAAGCAACAATCACCAGCGGTTGAACCCGCCTCCGTACATCATGGTGTGATTGTACCCACCTTGACCCTGACTCCCATACAATGCTTGCCCAGCAGCGGCATTCGCACCCACCTGGTGCATCCTCGCCTGCAGGATACTCGGGTCCGCAAGATCTACTACACCGCCTCCACCGGAGGAAGTGTTAGCGTGTCTGTGCTTCTTCCCCTTCTTCTTCTGCTTCTGTGACCCAGCCTCGGAGAGATTCCCCGCCTGAGAGCCATAGAAAGAGCTGAGAAGGCCATTGGCAGGAGTCAAGGGAGGGGGGGTCTGGTGTTGTTGGAGAAAAGGAAACATGAACTCACGCTTTGCGGCATCCTGCCCCTGTAGTCCACTGGGGTTCGTCCCACTGCGGCCTCGCAGCAGCTCGCGCATCAACTCCGGGTTGGCCTCCTGCTTTCCGACATTCCCGCCAAGTCCAAGGTTGGAACTGGTAAATCCGTGCCCTTGAGCAAACATTCCTCCGCCGCTGATGGGGGGTGTGCCGGCTGTCTTCAGTCCCGGGGGAGGGCCCTGAACGCCACTGGTGTAGAAGTTACCGCCGAGTCCATGTTGAGGACTGGGGGCCGCCAAGGGGTTGGGTGTCCCGGACTGCATCAAAGACGCCTGTTGGTTGAGCATGCGGACATTGGGGAGGTTCTTAGAACCGGCTTCGTTGGCGAAAGAGAATCGAGAATTCTGCCGGTTCTGCGCTTGCAAGGCATTGAACTGCGCCATCTGGCTTTGCAAGAGACCTTGCCGGACTTGAGCTTGATCAAAAGCGGCGGAACTAATCCCACTTTGCAGCGGGTCCACGATACCGGCCTGTTGATTGTTGGCGGACTTGAGAAGCATGAGCTGTTGCTGTTGCAAAGGAGTCAGGCTGCGGCCACCAAGGTTAAGCCCTTGGAACTGATGGCTTGCTGCGGAAACTGGCGAGCCAACGGTGGAGTTGTCGGTTGTGCCTTGTTGGGACGGAGGCTGAATCGCGCCGTGGGACTCACGACTGCCGCGACCTCTAACAGGATGAGGATCATCCGGCTCTCCACCGAGTTGCAAACTCCCACTTTCACGGCTCTCTTCTTCCACGGTGGCCGTCTGCAACAGCTCCTGCTCACGTTTGGCACGTTCCTTCTCGGCCCTCTCCCGCATGGCTCGGCGCTTCACACCCCCATAAGGATCGATAAACGACGGGTGGTTTTCAATAAGAGCGATCTCCTCCGCCGGTAGCCCAGCCGCGGAAAAGATGAATTTGAACTCCGGAGAGTTGACGGCCTTGATCAGATTGTCCAGCAAAGGGGTTTCGGGTTCCGACGGGGGCGGAGGTGCTTCGGGCGATTGAGGAGCTGACGGTACGTTGGGCAGTGACGGTGTTTGGCGACCGGGGGCGTTCACTGGTGGTTTGTCGGCACGCTTCGGCTCCTCGATGGCTGTCGCAACCGTGGCACTCGCCGGTCGAGGACTTTGTGACGGTTGACTGCCGGTCAAACTGGCGCGTCTCGTGCGGTTGATCGGAGCATCCTTGTTGGCCCAGCTCGCCGATGATGGTAAGGCAGACCCGTCAGGCGGACGGCTGCCGGCAGCATCATCCTTACTGGGTTGACGGCGCATCGGTTGTGAGAGCGGCTGAGCCGACGACCGGGTGACATGCGGAGGAACGGAATGAGTTGGACCGCTAGGGGCACCGTTCGAACGTTGGCTGGATAGAGTATTCATCGAAGAAAGGTCCTGCCGACTATAGCTGTCGCTGTCCTCGCCCGTTTCGTGTAGGAAGGTGCAGTTCCGGTTGTGGCATTGCTCATTACGCAGGAAGGAAGAACAGTATTTCGTTGTCCCGTATTGCGCCCTAGTTCCCAGTTAGTCAATTCCGCAGTGACCGATATGATTTGGTATAGGTGGACCTACCTGAGGACCCGATCGCCGTTCGCTGACCCGTCCACCGACATGATACAAGTCGCAGCGTCGGACTTCCTCGCGTAGGTCACGTAGACGCCGATACCCTGGTTGGGGTTACCGCCGGGCTTTGCCTTGCTGACCACGATCTTTTCGATGTCGCCATACTGGCCAAAGTACTCTCGTCCGCGGAGGGTTAGCAGAAGCTGGTTCTCGTCGCGTATTGTGGGGTTGAGGCCGATCACGTAGACCAGGTTCTTTTGCACAACCCTGACACCGGCCAGGTTCTTGCGGCTGGAGGCTTCGATCTCGCGCTTTTCCGCTTCTTTTTTCTTCGCGGCGGCAGCCTTTCGATGCTTCAACGCCAAGTCGGCCTTGAATCTAGTTTCGCGGGATGCGATGTTAGTGCCAAGAACCGGGTGAAAAGCCAACACCGCTGGGGTCTCGGAAAGGCACTTACTCGTCTGCGTCGGGGACCTTATATTGTATGGTACTGTCATCGTAAGGTCGTCTACAGTTCGGGCATCGACCTTCTTCGCTATGGGTTTTGATATTGTTATAGCAAAATTGACAGATCTGCCGGCCGAGGTTAGATTCTGCTGGTTTCGCGAACGGCAGGACGGTGGTGTGATCTAGGGCCGAGGGAGGGGAGGAGCGAAGGGATCAAAGCATCGTACCTGATACCCGCAGGGACACGGCTTGAAGTTCTTGTCCGACAGATCGAATTCCTCTATGCAAAGGGGGCTAGACACAAGTGAAGTTGTCAGCCCAACGGGTCCAGCACGGGTTAGCCCAAACGACAGCACAACGTACCAGAACTCATCGTCATCGTCGATGACGGAGTCTATCTGTTGGCGATTTGACATATTTGGCGAAAGGATATGAGATTATGAACCACTCAAAAGAAACGAAGTTGTGCGATCCAAGACGCAAGACCCATCAACCAGCCGGGGTGGAAGGGGGGAAAGAGAGAAAAGGACTAAAAAGACGTAATATTAAGAAACCGTAAAAAGAAAAGAATCTCGAGTCGGGGGGGAGGTAAGAGGAGAATTAGAGAACGAGATCCCAGTAATCGTAGATCAATGGACGTGGGGTAGGAGAGGAGGGACGAGGGGGTGACGAAGCAGTGCAGCAGAGCAGAGCGAAGAGACGAGATGGAGGCGAAGAGAAGAAGTGAAGCTTTGGTTGGGTTTGCGCGTGGTTTGCCGTGTTTGCACCCGCCCTTATGTCAGCGCGCACGTGAGGGTCACGGGGCCCGAGCCTTCGCCCGGAAAAGCTCCCTGCGAAAGCGAGCGAAACGGATCTCTCGAAGAGCGTCTCTGCCCCCTCCACCCTCCCCAACGCTCTCGCTACCTCGACTTCTGCCATTGCCCCGTCACCATGGCCTCTGCTCGCTCCCTGATGCGCCTGGGGACTGGCCGTTCCCTGGCCTCGGCCGCGCGGTCTTCCGGAGCCTGCCGTGCCTTCTCGTCGACCCCTCTGCAGGCTGCTGTGAAGGAGGCCACCGCGACGGATGTTCCCAACATGCGCCAGGCCCAGCGTCCTCGTATGGCTCCTCCGACCCGCCAATTGATTTGCTTGGACGGGGAAAAAATAGATTCCTTGTCGATTGACTGACCAATTCGTATCAAACAGCCCAGGGCCCTCTCCGCGCTCCCGTCATCAACCAAGCCGACAAGTACCAGGACAAGGCCGAGGGCCTGCACCAGTACGGCCAATATGTCATGTCGTGCTTGCCCAAGCATGTGCAGCAGTTCTCCGTGTGGAAGGATGAGCTGGCCCTCCACATTGCCCCCAGCAGCGTCATCCCCGTGATGAGCTTCCTGAAGAACCACACCGCCGCCGAATTCACCCAGGTCTCCGATATCACGGCGGTCGACTACCCGACCCGCGACCAGCGCTTCGAGGTCGTCTACAACCTGCTCAGCGTCCGTTACAACTCCCGCATCCGCGTGAAGACCTACGCCGACGAGGCCAGCCCCGTGCCCAGCATCACGGGCCTGTTCGAGGGCGCTCTCTGGTACGAGCGTGAGGTCTACGACATGTTCGGCGTTTTCTTCACCGGCCATCCCGATCTGCGCCGTATCATGACGGATTACGGATTCGACGGACACCCGTTGCGCAAGGACTTCCCCTTGACTGGATACACGGAGCTGCGGTACGACGAAGAGAAGAAACGGATTGTCATCGAGCCGCTCGAATTGACGCAAGCCTTCCGGAACTTTGAGGGCGGTAGTGCTGCGTGGGAGCCCGTTGGTCCGGGTAAGGACAAGACTCCCGAATCGGTATGCAAGACAAGCTCTCTTTTAGGTCCCCCGGTCGATCGTCCGCTAACGCATGGTTGATATCTAGTTCAAGCTCCCTACCCCCAAGCCCGAGGAGAAGGAGGAGGAAAAGAAATAGAGCAGAGATGTAATCGTATTTGTTTTCTTCCTTTCCTGTTTGTATGTACATACCAGTCTACGAGTGGAATTCAGTTGTTGGGATTTTTTCACCGATGATACTCTGTAGAGCTGTAGGAGGTTTTTACGAGCTAAGCTGAGCACAAGAAAGAGTACGATGAACTCACCACCAAAGCCAGTTACTGTAAATCCTTCAAAACCCCCAGCGGTCTTAGATTAGCGATAATCAGCATCAGCCAACCAGAAAAGCGCAATAGTAAGAGCGCTGCGAGACTCCAGTCCACTTCTTGGCAGCTCCCGAACCGCCGGAAAAAAAAAAAAAAAAAAAGACCGGCAACTCCACATCTTTCAAGCAAATCAATCAACCAACCAACCAATCCCTCCACCAGAATCAATAACCTCAATCTACCTTACACTTGCAGAATATAATTATTTTAGATACTTCTCCTCTCAACATCCGCACTTCTAATCGACCTCGAAACCTTAACCAACACACCACCATGCCGAAACGAAAACTCTCCGATCGCGACTCCGCACCCGCCCACAGCCTACAGACGATCCGACTCAGCCAGAAATTCGACCAAGGCGTGCAGTTGCTAACTCGAGCACTCAAGACGGCCCGCGGATTCGAAAGGCAGAAACTCGGCCGACGAGAGAAGACGGCCAAGAGCCAGGGCGGAGATGAGACGCTGAAGCGACTAGCGGAGGAGGTGCAGGTGTTGAAGGTTCGTCATTTTCCTTCCTCTTCGTTCGTTCCCTTTTGAAAGCAGGGGAGGGGATATTACATGTCGTGATTCTAACGGGTTGGAACTAACACATCTCCAGAGCCTCGACCCGCCCATCGTCGCGACCAAATATCTCCTCAAGCAGATGCTCAAGACGAAGCGCATCGCCGAAACCACCGCATTCACGGAATTCCACGCATACAAGAGCAAGAAGGTCTCGACGGAGGGGCCCAAATCACCAGCCGAGGCGAACGTCATGGCGCGATTGTATAAATCCAACCCGGTCAAAAATGTCTATCCGGATATCATGACGGGGATTCGCGAGTTGCTGGGCCTGAAGGATGCGCCTGCCGGGAAGAAGGACGGCAAGGGGAAAGAGAAGGGCGATGCGAAGGCTTCCAAGGAGCGGAGTGCGAAGTCGAAATCGACACCGGAATCAGCGCAGGATGAAGTTTCGGGCGACGAGAGCGGGGAGGAGGCGGGTTCTGCGCTGCGCGCGAAGCTGCTTACATCGAGGAAGGGCGGCGATGACGATGCCGATAGTGATCAGGAGATGAGCGAGGCGGAGAGCGACGACTTTGCTCAGTTCGATTCGCGACTTGCGCCGGACTCTGGGGATGAGGACGACGGAGGAGAGCAGTCTGCGAGCGACGATGGTTCGGAAGGCGGGATCGACCTGTCTACCGCGAAACTCCCCTCGGACATGTCCATCTCTCGATCTCCCTCACCGGATTCTCCGCCGGCGAAAAAGCAGAAGGCCAAGAAGGCCGCGGCCGCCCCTATCACCAGCACAACTTTCCTGCCCTCCCTCAGCATGGGTGGATACTTTTCCGGCTCCGAGTCTGAAGCCGAAGATGTCGAAGACGCCGCTCCGCGTCGCAAGAACCGAATGGGCCAGCAGGCACGTCGCGCCCTGTGGGAGAAGAAGTTCGGTTCCGGTGCCAATCACGTCAAGAACCAGAAGGATAATAAGCGGAATAATCGCGACAGTGGCTGGGATGTTCGGCGAGGTGCTACGGACGGCAGAGAAGGCCCGCGGGGAAGACGCGGCCAGGGACGAGGAGGCGCGATGGGTGCGACGGGCGCCAATGCATTGCCTCGCCAGGGTGATCGTTCGCAACGCGGTGGTGCGCCGGCGAGCAAACCGGAGGATAACAAGCCCTTGCATCCCTCGTGGGAGGCGGCGAAGAAGGCCAAGGAGCAGAAGACTGCTTCCTTCTCGGGTAAAAAGGTTGTGTTTGATTAATAGGACTGGCATAGCATATTCAAACTACTCTGATGTGAACTGTATACCTACGAGCGAACTACATGACAGCGTTGGGAACCCAAGGCATCGGGCAATAGACTGTATAGGTATCGAAGAAACACTCATCCTGCATCCAAAATGCACCCGAAATGTCAGGCAAAGCACGTATTGGAAAAGATCCAAACCAGCTAAGAGAAAAACACCACCATGCTGAAAGTCAAAAGTCACTCGCTGTACAGATCGTGATAGCCACCGAAGTGCCTAAAGAAAACTATCAATCATTCATAAATTGCATCCATCTCGTATCGGAATTCTTCATATCGCCGGCAAGACCTTGCTGTACGTCCGACTCGAAACAGGGGATTGCATTGAATTCGCCTAGTTCTTGCGGGAGGTTGGAGACAAAGTGGTCGAATCCGAAAGGCGGCATTTCAGATAACGTCGGATGGGATGCAAAGTCCGAGGATCCGGCGAGGTCCGTATTGGCCACGTCTCCTTCCATCGGATCATTCCCACCAGAGGTACCAGTCAACGGCGTAATAGGCACATGTGGTAGGCCAGATCTTCCTGGGGGAAACGGCTCTTGGTATGGCACTGTTTCGGGTGAAATGGGGCCCGTCTTCCAAAGCATCTCCCAGTTCTTGAAGCGGTCATATGCGGACTCGACAGCCCCGGTGCTGCCAGGAGCCTGTCGTTCGCTCCATTCCTCTAAGCGACGAATGGCCCTCTCAAGAGCCTCTATCACGCTAACGGCAGACCGGGCAGAGCCGACGCCCATCGACATGATCCGGATCAACGCCATGCCTTTCTCCAGCGCCTCCCGAAGTCGCTCCGTTCGCTTGGTTAAGCTCTGCGCCAGGATGACAAGAAGAGCCGCACGACAGGAGCTGAACTCTGTGAAAGACGCACGCGCGAGACCACTCTCGTCACGGAGGAGACGGCAGAGGTCGATAATCTCCAAAGCCGCTTCCACACAATCAGTGACCAGGATTGTACGGTTTTTGGAGACACCCGAAGGCATCTTATAGTTTGGTCCAAGCAACGTGGTCAGGTTGACCCCCCTCAAGCTGCTGAACAAAAATGGGCGCCCAAGGAAGATACGAGTTAGACAGTAGTCCAACTTCAAATGCAAGTTTGACCGGAACAAGGGGCCGGCAGGATTGAGATCCCGACAGTCAGTCTCTTCGGGCAATGTAGACCACCAGTCGACTAGGTTCTTTCTTATAGTCAACATTCTCTCAAGGCAGTCTTGCTGCTGGCCTTTACTGGACTTTCGCAAGACGGAGCTGTTCATTTTGCATTAGCATCTGCACTTGTTCGATGACCGGCACACTTTCACTCACATTTCATTGGCAACTTCTCCCAGCTTAAGAGTCAGCGTAATCAGTGTTATCATATTGGTATGATTGGAAACCTGGCTGGGGGGCTTCAAAGCGGGAAAATCGACAGGCATAGCAGCATCTACGTCAGAGTCGGACAAAGACACCGGCCTCCCGTGAAGAATGCTAACTCTCCTGGGACAGTGTAAGCATATATTGTTTCGGATTCGAAAAGTAATTGCGCGGGAGTCTCACTTTTCAATCGTGTATGCTGTCCAGAAAACTCGATTGCGCACCTCAATCGTTCGAGGGGAAAGGCCCTCTCCCAGATATTTCCGGTGCATGCCGTTTTGAATAGCCATTTTGAGAGCCAGGCCGAAGTATGTGTAGCATAGGCCCGATGTATCGAGCGGCAACAAATATGTTCCAATAAGCAGGCACGCCTGCACACTCCGGATCGAAGCGGTGGCAATGATATCCGGGAGTAGTTTAGACGCAAACTGATAGAAGGTCAGACCAACCTCATCTTCCGAGAAGTGGTGGTCTTCCATTATCGCCATGTCCGACGACATGCGATTAACCGGGGTAGCCGACTCCATATGCGCAAACTGGGTGCCGACGGCCAGGACCATCAGCAGAGAGCACACGGAGCCCGCATCATTCGATGAAAGGCTCGACGGGTTGGTATAGCATATATTTAATTTGTCCCGCAGCCAGTCTTCTTCGACATAGAAGTTATTGGTCTGCGCATATTTGAAGAATATCTGCACTAGAAAATCAGCCACGAAGCGTGGCGGAAGACAGGTGATAGATGCGGATACGAGCGACGACCCTGACTGAAGCTGCGTCGCTCGCCATCGCTCCTCGAATAACTCTGTTTCAGTAGTGGCCTGGCGCTGTCAGCACGGATCGCGAACCATGACTTCGGGGGGAGTTACTTCTGGGGCTGCTGTTTTCATCCATTCATCAATCTTCTGTCTAATCTTCATGGAGAAGTTCAAGTAGGAAAATTCCCCGGAGTATTCTGCACATCCGCTCTAGTTAGCCTACCGCTTCAAGCCATAACAGTTCCAGGGCATCCAGCGCAAGAGGTGCGACATACGGGTCGTATTATCCGGCAGCGCCTTGATGGTAAAATCTTCATCGTCAATGGCTAGGTCCTCGAAGTCTTCCTCATCTAGACGAATGGAGGGGCCTCCATCCGAGTCCGACCCTCGATGTTTGTGCTTCAATTCTTCGGCGGTCTTTCGCAGCGATTGTAGGTCAAAAGAGATATTGGGAATGTAATGTTGCAGGATTTGTTCCATGTACCGGATTCGTTCCGAGTCCGCCAGATTGTTGCGACTAACCCCTGCCGTTCGTTCCAGAAGACTGCCACAGGCCAGCCGTCAGCACTTGACAAGGCACATAAAATCGGGGATGCAAGGGGATCATACGATATCGAGGACGATCGCGCGATCTTCTCCGCATGGTCGGGGTGGGTGAAGACGCATTGCCGCCGGTAGCGCAGACATCGCCGACAGGGCACGCCACCCTCGCATTTCTCCTTCACGCGACGACAGCCGTCGCACCTGCAGCCGTCAGTTAACCCATCCGCGCTAGGCCTCCAACGATATAAAATTCTAAAAGCAGGGGGCGAATCGTGGGAGCCACGTGGGGGAACTTACGCTCGAACCGCACGCTTGCGGTTCTCCTCCGCAACGCGGGGTCGTTTCTGCTGGCCGAGACCAGCCGGAGTTGTTGGCCCATCGTCCATGGCGGTCGTGATCAAGGAGGACGACGAAGAAACAGGAGCATTGTAGGACGACGGCGGAAAGGTCAGGGTAGTAACCGGACCGACGGGGGATGAACGGTTGCCGGGACTAGTTCTGCCTGAGAACGAGCGAGCGAAAGAGCGGAAGAGAGAAAAAGATCCCGCTGGAGCTGCGGAGTTTAAGTCGGCGGACTTTTTCTGGTTCGGTTCCTTTGATAAGCACCGCCGCGGCTTCTGCGACGTCGATCGCAAGTGATTCGCTTTTTTTTTTTTTTTTTTTTTCCCCTTTAATATGAACCTGCACGCTAAGCAAACGATTTCAGTGTGTCGCAAGGCCTCTTGTGGGGTACGATTTCCTTTCCGGTGTCGGTGAAGTCTGGGAGGGCGATAGTATATATAGTCTGGTAATACTCCAAGTATCGACCGACATTGACCGAAGAAATTCCATTCTCCATTTTCATGACATACTCTCAACTCGTCTGATATTGACAAAGAAAGGCAAAGACACCCTAGAATCCATCGACTTCCATTCCCAGCCCCCGTTCCTTACCAACGTCCAACAACTTCTTGCCAATAATCAGATCCATGATCCCCATCCCCACGCATTTGATGACTACATTACACCCATCAGGAACCACAACTGGGTCTGATTTCCCCTGTTTCTCATACAAGTCGCCTAGTTCGATCAGTTGACTTTCTTGGATTTGCGCCCGAATGAGCTCGCCCGACTCCTCCAAGCAAGCCTCTTTGGAATCCACATATACCCGACCTCCCCCGGAAAGAACGGTCTCCGTATCGATCTCTTGCATGTGAGGTTTGTAGGAGCCGATCAGAGAGATGAACCGGGGCTTAAACCGGTGGAGATAGGAGTGTGGGAAATTTGGTTCCGTCGCAGGAGTACAGCTCAAGATCACGTCGCTTGCCGCTAATTCCGAACGCAATCGCTCCGTATAGTCTGGAGTGTCTTCCTTTGCTAGCGTCTCGATGGCCACGTCTGGATAGGCGGATTTCAGTTCGGAGATCATGTCGCTCATCTCGTCGAGCCTCTTGCGACCGCGGTTGATAAATACAATCCTTCGGATCTGGCTCGGAACCAAGATCAGAGCCAGGCGCGCATGCCATTCGGCTTGTCTGCCGGAACCGAAGATCACGACGTTCTCTTTCTTCAAGGAGGAACACCGGATGAACAGTGTCATGATCGCAAGCGCCGTGCGGAATGCGGTGATCTCCGCGGCGCTGAGCAGGCCGAGCAGTTTGCCTTCCGGCGAGAAGATGTTGATGACACCGATGATTCCGTTCGCTTGCGATGCGGTCACTACTTTGAACCCCGTGCTGACGGTGTTTGAAACCGGCATGAAGAGCGACAGGTTCTGGTCTTTGGTGGTGATAGTAGTGCGTAGTGGCTGATGAATCGTTCTTTCTGACGCTGCCGATCGAGCCTGGGATGATACTGTAACAAGTGCCTCGGACAGGGCGTCAAGAAAGTCGTGGCATTGTTCCTGGGTCAGCTGCCGTAGCAGCTGGGCGACGGTGGGCTCGGACAGAAGATGCATTTTGGGAATAGGTGCAGCCGTCGTGAATCACCACTTTATGACTTCGATATACTTGCACCTGAAAAGCTTTAATAGCAGGAGGGATAAAAGGTAATGGACTGAGGAATATATGAATATTTGTAGCGACTGGGGGCTCAAAAACGGCGATATCGGAGGGTCAGCAAGTACAGACAAGATGACGCCCGTAATTAAGGAAGGCTGTTCCGTTCGGACAATCTAGAGTCGGAGCCGTGTTCCGAGAGGTGATTTAACAAAAGTTGACTGACGCCGTGCTGGCGGTTCCTCAGAGAGTGCAAAGAGAAGGGAATGTGGGGTGGAGGAAGCGATAAGAACTGGAGATTAAAACTACGTGGTTCCCCGCATCAACCGCTACAGTCATTATGAAGGATTCGAAGAACAGGCATTTCATCCCATTATCAGTACCAAGAAAAAAAGTTCAACTGATCAACTAATTATAAACGCCATCTAGATGCAATTTCGCCAACAACAAGACACCGAGGGAATAAAACGAAAAGAAAAGTATATGCAAGTGCGTGAGTCATGTCAAGGGGAGAAAGGTGAACAAAAGAATACTCGGAAGAACAGCTTAGTTCTTGGGGCCGAACACTCGTCGCTTGAGTTCACCGAACATCGCCTCCTGGGATTGCTTGGTGCGACCAACAGCCTCGGTGTTCTCAACAGCGCGTCGCAGCAAGAAGCCCATGCATTCCTTGACGGATCCCCAGGTCAGAAGCTTGTACACGTTAGGCACTTCCAGCGAGGAAGGCTGGCTCGACTCCGGGCCCTGGAAACCCTGCAGGAGCTCGCAGCTGACCTCGTCGGCCATTCCCTGGAGCTGGGCGTACGAGAGATCAACGCCCTGGCTGTCACCCTGAATGGCCTGCTGCATGCGGAGAGCGTGGGCCTTGCGCACGGAGTCCCGGTTGTGAGTGGCGACGATGACGTTGACGGAAGGTAGCTCGGTCTGGTGCTCCTTCGACGCAGACTGCAACATCGAGTTGTAGCGACGAGTCAGAAGGGCCTCCACGACGCCGTCATAGCATTCGTCGGTCTCTTCCTTGGTAGCCCAGATCAAATGGCGAGGCTCGGTCTTGAGGTATGCGCCGCGGACCAGCTTAACGCCCAGGGTGTATCCTTCCTGGCGGGCAGTTTCCAAATCCCTGGCGATGGTGGCCGGAGTCGAGCACAGATAAGCCTGGTAGGTGTTGTAGAAGATGGCACGGCCGGGGGTCTGCGAGTTGCAGTACTTCTGGTACTTCATCGTCCAGTGCTCAATTCCGGGCTGCACGGCCTGCTCCTCGGCGTCGACTAGCAGTCGGACGTTGCGCGAAACGGCCAGGTCGCAAACCCTTTGGATGGAAGCATCCATGAAAGACGACGGCATAGCCTGCTGCTGCAGGAGCTGGAGCGCCTGAATACCCATACCGGTGAATCTACAACAGTTAGCTCAAAGTCTCGATGTTTGCAGGGAGGCGAAGGTAAGACAACAACATACTTCAGAGCAACGAAATCACCCTCCTGGGCCATGTCAACCGTTTGCAAGGTTCCGTCCAGCCACATCTGGATCTCTTCGCGGGCGGCCTTCTCATCCAGGGGATCGGCGTCGCTCTCCCCCACGAGCACTTCCCGGGCATATCCCAGCAACACGCCACGGTATCCCAGCTGTTTGATATCTTCGATGGACCGCTGAACCTCCAGCTTGTTCTCACCGGCATTGAACTGCTTGTAGATGGTGTGCTTGACCAGCATGTTCAGGAAAGGGTTCTTGGCGACATCCAAGGCCGGCGTCTTGGGGTGGGCCAGCATGGAAAGCGTGTAGATGCAAGGCTTCAGGAGCAGCTTGGAGGACGAAACCGACAGGATCATGAGCGATCGCAGAACGGACGACAGCGGCAACTTCGCCAGCGGGGAGGCAGAGCCCGTCTTTGCCGGCATCTGTTGCCACGCATTGGTCGCGCTTGTGGCCGCTGCCAGCGAGGACTTCGCGTTGCTGGTCCGGCTCACGTATCGAACATTGGCGTAGGATGCGGGGAGGCTCGATAGCGTCCGCATGGAACGGCGGGGTGCCTTCATTGTGATAACGAGAGGGAGGGAGGGGATTTCTGGTTCTCAATAGATAGAGAGATAAGGAAGCATGAACTATGGCTCGAGGAAGGCGAGAGAAGAAGAGAAAGACCGGTAGTGAATAGGAAGATGAAGATGGCTCGAAGAACAATAATAAGTAGAAGATACCATGGAGGGGATCTTCCGCCCACACCGAATGGCGGGCATGATTATTATTCTGCGGTGGTCGATAGTGCCGTTAGTTCGCCCGGTCAGTGAGGCCGAATGGGGGTACGGCGGACGCTTGCCGGTGGAAGCCGGTTGCCTTAGTCATCGCTCCGGATTTTACTTACGCAGCACGTACTACGGAGTATGTCCTCGGTTCTACACAGTCCATGGGTGTACATCCAAATAACCGAAACCCCCCTGGTCACCTGAACGCCTCTCGTGACACCGACATCATTCTGCGTCGACTCTTGTACAAGGGTCGAGGGTCGAGGGTCGAGTCAGCTGCCGTGACACGTCTGTTGGCTCTGCATGCGATCGACCGCCACTACTGTACTACCCGGAGATCTTGGTGCCAAGCTACCTCTTCCCCGGGACGATCACCTACGGCCTGTAGCCTGTGGCCAAGGGCAGGTTTAGGGCCGGCCGACTCAGCCTGGGCCGGTCGCAGGGCCTGTCCGGATGCTGTTTCATGTATACCAGCGAGCTAGCGATGGCAGCCACAGTGCTTCCCCTCTGCAGATGCCGTACTTCGTTCATGATCTAAAGAGGCCGGTTCACGGGCCGGTGGGAGGAGCCCCACCGGGTGGATTCCTGCTCGACCGGGCCGGTCAACAGGCTTATCGTCGCCTTATCAGATCCTGCAAATTCTGGAGTATTTGGCAGTAATTCTCATTGGCCGCAATTCATTATCGCTTGGTATTCTTCCCCTTGCCACGAGCTCGAATACGGTACTCTGTACCACTCCGGAGTATGGGGAGAAGTCCTCGGAGTAGATCTAATTTCTTTATCTGTTCGTCGGCCCGACAGGATAGAGCTGACCCATGGATGCCTAAACTATCAGGCATCACTCCGGGTGTCTACTCCGTCAGGCTCCAGGTTCGTCTGATGGTTGGCGGCTCGACACTCAATCACCCAATTCTAGACCAGAGTGATGCGATTCTTATTCCCTACCTTAGTACTTACCTACCACTCCCACCGAATGCAATACTAATACTAATTGATAACAATCGCAACTCTTATCTAATCTCAACTGTGGTCTAACCCTAAGCCGCGCCGTTTCCATTAGTCACAGGGACTTTTTGTAGTTCGACTTCAACGCTCAGCGATGACTCTGGGATACATTCTGATTCCTGGATCTACTCCGTACGGGGTATGAATGCGGAGGAAACCCCAGATTCACATTATAAAATTCCATCGTAGAGAGAACCATGCCGCATGGTTATTGAAGCCCTTTCCGTCCGTCGGCAGGATGCCGATATGGAATATGCCCTAATCCCGTTCCAACGGCCACCAGGGCGATAAGCTTTGTGGCTACGACCATCTGGATCTCCTCTGCATACTTCTCGTGCCTGAAACTTGAGATCCAATACGTAAATCTTATCTTGCGCCCCTGGAGTGATAAGCTCCATATCTGGTTATCTCGCATTGACTATCTACCCCGTACATCGATGTCTAGCGTAGCAGGGTTTTATATGCACCACCCCAGCTCATGTATCCTCATAGAGTAATACCCCAGAGCTCCTTGGTTTTCATTTTGGTTGAAGATGAGTGTCTCGCCAAAAGCCCTGGAGGAGGCCAAGCCCGCGCCCGAGGTGTTGGAGACATACGGTTACGGGGACACCAAGTCCATAGAGCTAGAGACGCACGATGGCATCAACACCGAGACCCAGCGTGGTCTGTCATCAAGACAGCTGCAGCTGATTGCCATGGGCGGTTGCATCGGGACCGGCCTTTTTGTCGGAGCCGGATCAACCCTTTCTCTGGTTGGACCTGGTGAGGAGACCCGATGGTCGGAAAGTGGAATGAGGCTAGCTGACATCTGATTAGCGCCGCTGTTCATGAGTTATGCCGTCATGGCACTGATTGTTTGGCTGGTGATGAATGTTCTCGGTGAAATGACCACCTATTTGCCCGTGAAGGGCATCTCGGTCCCCTACCTGATAGGCCGCTTCACGGAGCCAAGCATTGGCTTTGCTGCGGGTGAGTTCGAAATTCAGGTCTCTTTAACACTGTGGATGATGTATGCTAATCGATTTCCAGGGTACAACTACTGGTAAGGCCCTATCGACGGGATAGAGCTGACGCTCGATGAAAACTTACGTATTTGGTCCTAGGTATTCTTTTGCGATGCTCTTAGCAACGGAGGTGACGGCAGCCGGCCTGATCATCGAATACTGGACGACGTCCGTCAATGTGGGAGTCTGGATCACAATCGTGCTAGTTGGTATGCACTGCAGTGTCGGCCAGATCTATCGGGCGCTTCGACTGACCTGACAACTTACTAGTGATCCTGGTGCTCAATATCGTCGCAGTCTCATGGTACGGCGAGGCAGAGTTTTGGTTTGCGACGCTCAAGATCATTGCTATTATCGGCCTGATCATCCTGGGCGTCGTGCTCTTTTTCGGCGGGGGTCCCAAGCATGATCGGCTGGGCTTTCGATATTGGCAGAACCCGGGCGCATTCAATCCCTATTTGGTCCCCGGAAATACCGGACGCTTCCTCGGATTCTGGACGGCTCTTATCAAGTCGGGCTTCTCGTTCATTTTCTCTCCCGAGCTCATCACCACTGCAGCTGGTGAAGTCGAAGCGCCGCGACGCAATATCCCGAAGGCCACCAAACGGTTCATCTATCGGGTGTTCACCTTCTATATCTTGGGAAGCTTGGTCATCGGCGTCACCGTGGCATACAATGACCCGGGTCTGCTCTCCGGGGTCGCCAGCGGGGGTTCTGGTGCCGGGGCCAGTCCGTTTGTGATTGGAATCCAGAACGCCGGTATCGCCGGCTTGAACCATGTGGTCAATGCCGCCATTTTGATTTCAGCCTGGTCTTCCGGGAACGCCTGGTTGTTTGCCGGATCTCGAACGCTATACTCGCTGGCCTGCGGTGGACACGCTCCGCGGTTCTTCGCGAGGTGCAACCGGAACGGCGTGCCATACGTGGCCGTCCTGAGCACCTGGGCCATTGGGTTGCTTTCGTATCTAAACCTCTCCAGTTCCGGGGCCAACGTCTTCTACTGGTTCACCAACATCACCACTGTTGGTGGCTTCATCAACTGGGTCTTGATAGCGATTGCATATTTGGTGAGTTCCCCGCCATTCTCGCGTCCCGGGATGATTGAGCACGCGTTGACTGGGATCCAGCGATTCCGCAAAGCTCTCATTGCCCACGACATGCTAGACAGCTTACCATTCCGCACGGCCCTGCAGCCATGGGGCTCCTACTTCATCATTCTGATTGTCAGCGTTCTGACCATGACCAATGGGTACGCCGTGTTCTTTCCCGGACAGTTCACCGCCGCGGACTTCCTGGTCTCGTATTTGGTGATCGCGATTTTCGTGGCGTTGTATGTCGGCCATAAGATCTGGTATCAGACTCCATGGATGACCAAAGTGTCGGAGATCGACCTGTTCAGCGGTAAAGAGGAGATCGATCGACTGTGTGAGGAGGACTCGGAGCGACAGCCACGGAATTGGCTGGAGCGAGTTTGGTGGTGGATTGCGTAGATCCTAAACGGACTGAGTTTTCGACACGAGCGATCAAAATGTATATACCCCAGTAGAATGCAGGCTGTTGTTTGTTGTCCGTTGTTCACTGGATCGACTCAAAGTCCGGAGTGTGAACAGTGACGTCATCGCGCAGGATGCGGGGAAGCGGAGACGACGGGGCGCTTAGTCACGGCCAGAAAAGGCCTGGAAACGAAGTAGAAGAATATTCCCAGACGGTCTGGGTTGGGAGGTGCTCCGAGGGAAACAATAATATCAATTATGCTTCCATTGTATAGAACCAAGGAATTATTATCTATGCTATGAACCGGAAGAGTGTAATGGGATAAGGAATGCCGGTATCCATGGATGGAGGCGACGATAACGCCGGGCCGGTTGCGTCCCACCCGGCAGCCAGCCGGAACTACCTGCCTACGCTGTAGAACCACCAGGTCACTGTACTGCGTATACTCCGGACTCCGGACTCGGTGGAAAATACTGCCAGGCCGGTACCAAACACGCGTTTCCAATATTACCGCCAGTTCGACTCCAATTCGGCGCAATCTTCGGTGTCACCGCCTACGTTGACCGCGCTGACTAACCGCTCTCTTAAAGTACAGCTTCCCCGCGTTCTCTCTCTTCTCTTCTCTCCGTTTCACCTCACCTGCCTTTTTCCATCCCTCTGGACTCAGCTTGAGCGGTGTTGAATCCATCATGCATTCCTCTTTGCTTCTTCGTGCCCGGGGCCTTCCATTGGCGAAGGCCAGCCTCGCCCGCTCCAGCGTTCGCGCGATGGGCTCCTACGCCACTTTCAAGGTCCCTCGAATTGACAACGAACCCAACGTAGGTTCTTTCGGGCTGAGCTGGTGCGGTGAATTGAGATAGAGCTAATTCCAAAATGTAGAAACACTACGCTCCGGGAACGCCCGATCGCAAGGGCCTCGAAGAGGCTCTGGCCAAGCACAAGCAGAATGCTCCCCTCAATGTCCCTCTGGTGATTGCGGGCAAAGAGGTGGGTTAATTGACGTGGCCATTATGGAGAAACACTTTCTAATAAAAAATGCCGAACAGATCAGCAGCTCTCAGTCCTTGACCCAGTCGAGCCCCTCCACCCACGCCCCTCTGGCCACCTACTCCCATGCCTCCGCCGCCGATGTCCAGGCGGCCATCGATGCCGCTCTGAAGGCTCGCAAGTCGTGGGCCGCCACCTCGTTCGCGGACCGTGCCAGCGTCTTCCTGAAGGCGGCTGACTTGATCTCGACCAAGTACCGTTACGACGTCATGGCTCTGACCATGCACGGTCAGGGCAAGAATGCCTGGCAGGCCGAGATTGACTCGGCGGCCGAGCTGTGCGATTTCTTCCGTTTCGGCGTCAAGTACGCTGAGGAGCTGTATGCCCAGCAGCCGGTGCACCACGCTCCTGGCGTCTGGAAGTGAGTAGTGTCCCATATTTCTCCCATCAGCAAGAAGCTAACAGAAGTAGCCGTGTGGAATACCGCCCTCTGGAGGGTTTCGTCTATGCCATCAGTCCCTTCAACTTCACTGCCATCGGTGGTAACCTGGCTGGTGCTCCGGCTCTGATGGGCAACGTTGTCGTGTGGAAGCCTTCGCCCTCTGCCATCGCCTCCAACTGGCTGGTCCACCAGATCCTCCTCGAGGCCGGTCTCCCCAAGGACGTCATCCAGTTCGTGCCCGGAGAGGCCGAGGAAGTCACCAACACCGTCCTCAACCACCCCGAATTCGCCGCTCTCCACTTCACCGGTAGCACCGGTGTCTTCCGTAGCCTTTACGGACAGATCGCCAACGGCGTTGCCGAGGGCAAATACCGCAGCTACCCTCGCATCGTTGGTGAGACCGGTGGAAAGAACTTCCATCTCGTTCACAAGTCGGCCGATGTCCGCAACGCCGTCGTCCAGACCATTTGGGGTGCTTTCGAATTCCAGGGCCAGAAGTGCAGTGCCACTTCCCGCGCGTACGTGGCCAACTCGATCGCCAAGGAATTCCTTGAGGACATCGCGGCCGAGGCCAACAAGCTCAAGGTCGGCGAGCCCTCCGACTTCACCAACTTCTGCGGTCCCGTCATCCACGAGGCCTCGTTCAACAAGCTGGCCCAGGTCATCGATGAGGCCAAGAACGACCCCGAGCTGGAACTTGTGGCTGGAGGCACGTATGACTCCTCCAAGGGCTGGTACATCCAGCCTACCATCTACCGCACCACCAACGCCGACCACCCTCTTCTCTCCCGTGAACTCTTCGGCCCCGTCCTGGTGATCCACACCTACGAGGACGCCACCGATGCCGACTTCACCAAGATCTGCGAGAAGGTTGACCAGACCGGCGATTACGGTCTGACCGGCGCCGTCTTCGCCCGTGACCGTGAGGTGCTCCGTCTGGCCGACGACGCTCTGCGCAACACGGCTGGCAACTTCTACCTCAACTGCAAGAGCACCGGCGCCGTCGTCGGACAGCAGCCCTTCGGAGGTGCCCGTGCTTCCGGCACCAACGACAAGGCGGGCAGCGGAAACCTGCTTTCTCGCTTCGTCAGCCTGCGGTCGATCAAGGAAGAGTTCTGCCCTACCTACAACGTCCCCTACCCCAGCAACGCCTAAGCTTGACCGCTCGTGAGATTTGATTTGACGTTCTTCTGCTTATTTTGGTTTTGGTTTTGGCATATATATTATTCCCCAACTGCTTGCGCACTCCATTTGCTCGTCCCATCGGTGGCACTGTTTTCCGGGCTGGAAGGGCCCCAGGTTGCATCATATTCGGCGTTTTGTATGACAGAATCTTCGGCGATGTACCAAAAGCTTCGCTTATGAATGTTATGGCAATTGACTGTATCAGAGATGAAATTCTACATATTCTTACAGAAAGCGCGCACCCGATTTTAATGATTATCTATACAGGTTCGCTCCGACTTCTCCAGAAGTTGCTTCATACTCCCCATCGCCTTCTGCGCATACTCCTCAGGGTCGTACTTCTTCCCTCGACCGTCGGGTCCGCTATCAAAGACCTCCATGGAGAACCAGCCGCGGAATCCCGTCTTCAGCACGGCCCTGGCCACCGCCTCAATCGGCAAGTATCCTCCGTCGTACGGCAGCGGGCGATAGTCGTGGCTCCATCTGGCGCGCGGCCACATGCCATCCACCCGCTCCGCCTCCAGCGGCCGAGGCGGCTTATACGCATCTGACACCTGCAGCAGGTAGATCTTCTCCGGCGGCACATCTCTCGCCAGTTCGGCCAGCGACTGCTCGAGCCGCTGATTCATCAGCCCCAGCGGATTGTCCTCCACGCGCCCCGATGCCGTCGTCGGGTCCGCCCATTCCGAGCCCGCCGTCTGGAATGTATCCAGACACAGTCCGACATTCGGGCGCTTCACGTCGCGCACGATCTCCCAGACATCCCGCCACGTCGGCGCATGGGTCGACCAGCACCAGTTCTCGTACGCGACGCGCATTCCCTGCTCGGCCAGCAGGTCCGACAGCTCGCGCAGATCAGCCACGATGTGCTTTCGACTCAGCGAGAGCCGTTCCTCGGGAATGTCGGTCGACCCGACCTGGTTTTTGTCAGCTCTTCCTGCCCTGCAATCTATCCCTGATCTATTCTTTCTTCTTTCTCATCGAAAACGCACCCCCGAGATAAGACACTGTCAAGTATAAAACGCACCTGTAAAATCTCCGTCCCCAACGACCCCATCACCTCAATCCACCTCCTCGCCCTGCTAAACGCATCCTCCCTCTCCGGCGACCCCCTCGGCCATCCCTCGAAATTCGCAAACGGCTGCAACATCATCACCACCAGGCCGTGCTCGCGACACAGCTCGCGCGCCTTCTTCGCGACGGCAACCAGCTCGTCTACATTATCGTCTGCGATCGCGTGACCCAGGACCTGCGCGCCGTAGTCGAGGAGGTCGGGGAACGCAAGCTCGATGCCCGTGAACCCGGCGTTGGCGATGGCGGCGAGTTTGGCGGGGAGGGAGGGCGCGTTGATCGAGCAGGTGGCGTAGGAGAAGGTTATCGTGGGGTTGGGTGCTTCATTAGCTGACATTTCGGTTTTGGAGTGATTAATTGACTGGCTGACTGGCTGACTGCGTATCAAGTTGGGGATTTGCATTTAAATTGGCTGGCTTGCAAGGGTCGTCGATGGATGATGTAATGATGAGATGAAGTCAATTGGGAGGCTCCACCACCACTGGAATGCGACCTTCTGCTCATTTAACATTATGATGTAATTCTAACCGGTTTTCGATTAAGTCACCGAAGGACGCAGGGAATATATATCCGGCAAATCGCTGGGCGAGGTTTGCGTCTATTCTACGACTTCCATTCTTCAGCAGCATGACGTCGACACAGAATGAGCTACTACCTTTCCAATGCATCGGCATCGTCGGAGCCGGCAACATGGGCTCCATGATGGCCTTTGCCTTTTCGGAAATCGGTCTGGATGTATCGGTCTGGGACGTCAGCCACAAGAATGTGGATCAGGTGATGGAGGGCGCAAAGGCCGAGGATTACAAGGGCAAGATCTCCGGGTTCTATGAGATCGATGATTTCACGAAGAGCCTGGACGGTAGAGGAGATCGCAAGCTGTTCATCTTCTCGATCACGCATGGTGACGCCGCGGATAAAGTCCTGGGTGCCATGAAGGACGCGCTGAACCCCGGTGATATTATACTCGATGGCGGAAACGAGAACTACCGGCGCACGGAGCGAAGGCAGAAGGAATGTGCGGACCTCGGAGTGGATTGGATTGGCATTGGGGTGTCGGGAGGATATCAGTCTGCCCGTCGGGGTCCAAGTTTGTCGCCTGGGGGTGATGCGAAAGCGTTGGAGCTCGTTATGCCATTGCTGGAACGGTACGCGGCCAAAGATTCCAAGACGGGCAAGCCGTGTGTGACGCGAATCGGGCCTGCCGGTTCAGGTCATTTCGTGAAAATGGTTCACAATGGAATCGAGGGAGGAATGCTATCGACCCTGGCGGAGGCCTGGTCCATCCTTCACTATGGACTGGGTCAGACCTATGACGAGATCGGGGACATTTTCGCCCAGTGGAATCAGAAAGGCGAGCTGCGCAACAATTTCTTGCTGGAAATTGCGGTCGACATGTTGCACACCAAGAAGCCTTCCCAGAGCGACAGTCATGGGGACGGATACGTGCTGGACGAAGTCCTTGATAAAGTTGTACAGGACGACGATAATACCGAGGGAACGCCCTTCTGGTCCATCATGGAGTCGGCCGCCCGGCATGTGTCGGCCCCTTCTCTTGCCACGGCTCATTATTTGCGAATAGCCAGTGGCAACCGCGCAGAACGCGTTCAGGCGGCGAAGAAATTGCAGCTACCAAGTCCTCGTGCTATCGAGGGAATCCAGGATCGCAAGGCATTCATTGAAACTCTGCGACGCACAGTCTATTGCGCCTTCTTGGCCTCATTTTGCCAAGGCCTTGAATTAATTGCACGCGCATCCGAAGACGAAGGCTGGGATATTGACCTCGGCAAATGCCTGCAAATCTGGCGCGCAGGCTGTATTATCCGATCAGAGGCGATTGCCGATCTCCTGCAGCCGGCACTGGCCGGCGCTACGCGCCTCACTAATATGAAAACCGTCGACGAAATTGCGCGAGAGTTGCACGAGAACTTCGCCAGCCTCAAGGAGATTGTGATCCAAGGAACCGTCTTTGATCAGTACATCCCCGCGATATCTGCTACTCTGGAATACCTGAAGTATGTTGGCGGTACGACACTCCCCACGAAGTTCATGGAAGGCCAGATGGACTTCTTCGGGGCTCATTCATATGACCGGCCGGGGGTTCCAGGAGAAGATCCAGGGCCGGTTAAAAAGGGGGCGCATCATTACGAATGGCGACCGGCCTAAGACGCTGGTTGGAATCTGGAATAGATGATTCGGTCGATAGTTAGGATGAACCAATGCCACCTTGTTATGTAAATAGGAGAAACCGAAGAAACGGAAGAATGGATAAATGGATGAATTGGAAGGAGCATCGAGAAAGGCGGCGATGGCCGACATGCCTTGGTGCCTGACTGCCTGGCTGCCTGAGGATGCCCCACGTGCGATAAGGCGACGGAATTGCCCGATCGAGACATCGACCCCGCCGCGGAGTTTTCGTGATTTGAAGCCTTCTTTCACGCTTCGTTCCTCCCTCTCCGCGCCCCATTGTATGTTGCCTGTCTCTTCGCTTCGCCGTTTCCTCTCCACTAAATCCACAAAGCCCCTTAGAAAGATCGAATCCGCTAGACAACTGGCTCGAAGAATGGCTGCTCTTCCCTCCACTTATCAGGGTGAGATGGAACCCCTCCCTCCCCTCAGTGGCCGAATCAACAGCCCATTCAGTCCCAACTGCGAGCCACGCTGACTCGAATTCTTCCCGTATAGACCCCGTCCGCATCGCCGTCATCGGCGGCACTGGTCTTCGTGAGCTCCCTGGTTTCTCCCAGGTCGCCTCGTTGGACATCACGACTCCCTGGGGCAAGCCCTCCTCGCCCATCACGATCCTGCACCACCAGTGCTCGCACAACAACCAGACCGTCGCCGTTGCGTTCCTGAGCCGCCATGGCCTGCACCACCAGATTGCGCCCCACGAGGTGCCCGCGCGGGCCAACATCGCCGCCCTCCGCTCCATCGGCGTCCGCACCATCATCGCCTTCTCCGCCGTCGGCAGTCTGCAGGAGGAGATTAAGCCCCGCGACTTCGTGATCCCCGACCAGGTCATCGACCGCACCAAGGGTATCCGTCCCTTCACCTTCTTCGAGGGAGGTGCTGTCGCCCACGTGCCCTTCGGCGACCCCTTCGACGAGGGTGTTGCTAAGATTGTCCGCGCCTGCGGCCACACTTTGGAGGGCGACGGTGTTGCTCTTCATGACCGAGGAACCCTGGTCTGCATGGGTATGTTACTATCTTTGTGATGCCCCTTTTTGTGGGCTCTGATTCTACGACCTGGATTTCTGACCGTCACACAGAGGGACCCCAATTCTCGACTCGCGCGGAGAGCAAGCTCTACCGCTCGTGGGGCGGCAGTGTGATCAATATGTCCTGCCTTCCGGAGTCGAAGCTGGCCCGCGAGGCCGAAATCGCCTACCAGATGATCTGCATGTCCACCGACTACGACTGCTGGCACGAGTCCACCGCCGACGTCACCGTCGAGATGGTGATGGGCAACATGAAGGCCAACGCGGAGAACGCCAAGCGCTTCGTGACCGCCGTGCTGGACGAACTGTCCGCGGAGAAGAACTCCGAGCTCGTCCAGGCCAAGCACGTCGAGGGATCCATCAAGTTCGGCCTCAGCACCGCTCTGCCCCACTGGAACCCCGAGGTCAAGGAGAAGCTGACCTGGTTGTACCCTGGCTACTTTGAATAGAGAGATTCTCGTTGACTGTATCTATCTGCATACCTTATCATTTCTCTCCTATAGATTAGACATTTATAGTTGATAATGAGCTTACGAAATTAAAGCCTCTTTGACGTTTGTCCTGTTTCACATATGCGTTTTAATATCTCCTTTCTTTTGTTCATTTTCTCTCTCACAGTCGGTCTGATGAGAGAAGAGTGATAACAAGCCCTCATTCACTACGCCATGAAGGGTGAAAATAAAACTACCTACCGGAGAGCTCCCGTGAATACTGAGACTACCGCCGTGATATCAATCCATTCACCTTCTCTCCAGTCCTATTTAATCTACTGGACTGATCCTCTACCCAGCTCTGAGCTCTTGCTGCAGCCTCATCTTCTTCATACACCCTGGGGCACATCATCTCTGATCATGGACCCCAGTTTCTATGTCATTGATCCTGAAGGTGACCTTCTCCTTTATGTGGAGGAGTGCCTAGGCCAACTTCATGTGAGCGTCTTCAGGACTAGTAAGTAGTAGCTCATCTCATTCTGTCTTTCTCGCACTTTTCTCTTGTGCTTGTCTGCTGGGTGACCCATTAATCACTCATAAACTTGGCAGCAGAGACGTACACTCCACTCTCAACCCCCAGGACCTTATTAGCGAATGAGGGCCTTTCTGACGATATTGCCAATACCGTCATGTTTTCATCGGATGCGCCTGAAATGCAATTCGATCCTTCTTCTCTATTAGGTCTTCAACAAGATGACGGTGTCCGAGTCTTCAAATTGCGAGTGTTGATATCCTCGAAACATCTAACTCTAGTGTCCAAATTCTTCCGCACCAAACTCGAGGCAATGCTGGACCTCGGCGAGAGCGACATCCTTCCTTCCTGTGCCAATGAAGTGGACGCGCTACTCGTCCTCCTGGATGTCTTGCATTGCCAGACGCGCAAGGTACCGCGATTCCTCGCTCCGGATATGCTGTTCATGGTTGCGGTGCTGGCGGACCACTACCGGTGCATCGAGGCTGTCGAGGCCTTCTCCGAAGTATGGATCGAGAATTTGAAGAAAGAGGTACCGACTGGGTACACGGCGGACTTGACAAAGTGGATCTTCATTGCTTGGATCTTTCGTGACCAAAATCTCTTCGAGTTGACCACGGGAATCGCCGTGCGAGAAAGCATCGGTCCCTTGTCTGATTTGCCCACGCCGATGATTCCCGGCAGCTTACTGAGTAAGTGTATCCCAATGAGAAAAGCCTCCTTGATGTAGAGCCGTCTTTAACGGAGTTGATTATCGGCCCAGGGACCATCGAGAAGTCACGCCAGGACTCTATCGGCTATATTATCCAAATCATTTATCGACGCCTAGAGACCCTTGTGCATCACGGATGCTGTGATGACTGCGACCGACTGATCGCTGGAACTCTCGTTCGACAACTGCAGATGCACCAGCTCTATCCCCGACCTACAGCTCCATTCCATGGCTATAACGTGGACCTGCTGGTTCGTTTCATCAACACAATCCCCGAGCCTCGGTGCAACGTATTAATTCATCCTGTCAACGGCTGTCTATCGAATTGTGTGTTGCTACCCGAGCTCGACCATGTCTTCTTCGACACTCTGGAGAATAATATGACTGGGATGACAGCTACCGAATTTCCTCTGAGGGTAGAGTGAAACATGCAGGATTAGAGGTGCTGGCAGCCATAGGTGCTTTTTGTTCTGTTTGTTCTTGTTTCTTCCATGCAAACCCTCATGGTTATCTTTCTCGGTGCTCTCGTTAATATTTTTGTCAGAATAAGAACCGTCTGGACATTGCACGTAAAAGCGCAACAGAGTGCCATGGAATCCTTCTAGTTAATGTTTAAATATGTCGGAATAATCCACCCTCAGAAAAATGTATGTATGCATGATCAAATGCCCATAAGGCCTGATGAGATTTAGCACTTCACACCTCATGACCTATTCAAAAATCCCCTGACGATCAAGATGTTAGCGGCACCAACTAACTAAAAATATCCACCAGGCGATCGGCAGGTACGCCGTGCCCTAAGCAGCAGTTGTCGCCCGACGAGGCCCGGAGGATTTCCCTCAAGGGAGTTCGATCGACAATCTCCGTTCCGTTTTCCAAGGAAGGTCACTGGGATTCAGATTGCTGCCATCTGATTTGATCATGGGAGAGCTCGTGGCTGACAAGTTCTGCGGGGAACATTCCAATTGCATCGATCAGCATGGCAGGCAGGCTGTACCGAGTAGTGCTCCGAGGCGCTTGGTGTGTTGTTTTACTGGAGAAACGGAAATCCCCCGTGTTTTCTTTAGAGGCGTGCGCTTCGTCGGGAGACATAATACACTGGAGGTTTGGCAGTTTGAGGAGGAGCCGAGACGAGCCTCACGACGCAAATTTATGGCCAAGCGACGTCCTCTCCCTTGTGCAGCTCTCCTATTCGATCCACTGGCACGTACGGAGTAGTTCATGAGATTTCGATCATTGCGAGTGCTCGGGGCACGCACTTTGGTGCTCACCCCACTCTCTGGGCCAGTAGCACAACACTAGAAGCCCAGGCTGGCGACGGGGAGTGGATGGATCGACAATCAACCATTCCCCCTTAGAACGTTCTTCAGGGTTCCCGAGATTGTGATTCTGCAGCCGCTTGTGGTCCGCTCCTTGGGTATGACATCCTTTTGGTCTGTTGGTGGTCCTGCGATCCGATTTTCCAGCAATGATCGTCTTCGGCTCGAATACTCTTCTGCTTGGCACGCGGACTGTCGCGTTCGCATTCCGGTTAGGCTATCTTGCATCCCCAATCGCCCTTCCCCTATTCAGCATGGAGCCAAATGACCCTGTAAACTGCCGCTCTTGTGGGGATCCCATGATCAGTTGCCCTGTTTCCCTGCTGGGGTATCGTGGGTCATCAGAGCCGTATAACTGGTATGGCTTCCCCCGCTGTGGCTCTTGTTGGCTTTACAGTAAGATTGTCCGTTTGAAGAGGTGCTGCTGAATTCGTGGTGCGGTCTTTTTGAATGAATCGACCATGGCTGCTCGATCGCTGTGTCTGGTGCTTGTCTCTATCTTGCTGCCCTCGGCTCTATCATCGGCCTCGGAGCCAGGTCTGAGTGCAAGAGCCTCGGATGATGCCTACTCTCCTCCATACTACCCGGCGCCCAAGGGCGGCTGGCTGGATAACTGGGCGGACGCCTATGAAAAGGCACACGAACTCGTGAGCAAGATGACCTTAGCCGAGAAGGTGAACCTGACAACCGGCACGGGTATCTTCATGGGACCTTGTGCGGGCCAGACAGGAAGCGTTTTGCGATTAGGGATTCCCAATATCTGTCTCCATGATTCCCCACTTGGAGTACGCAACTCAGACCACAATACAGCCTTTCCACCTGGGATCACCGTAGGGGCTACCTTCGACAAGGATCTCATGTATGAGCGAGGCGTGGGACTCGGTGAAGAAGCACGGGGCAAAGGCATCAATGTTCTCTTAGGCCCGTCAGTTAACGCCATTGGAAGGAAACCACGAGGGGGTCGCAACTGGGAGGGTTTCGGCGCGGATCCCAGTCTTCAGGCTGTCGGGGGTGCTCTGACGATCAAGGGCATGCAGAGTACCGGAGCGATTGCTTCGCTCAAGCATTTCATCGGCAACGAGCAGGAGATGCATCGTATGAGCTCTATAGTGACTCAAGGGTATTCTTCGAATATAGATGACCGTACCCTTCATGAGCTCTATCTGTGGCCCTTTGCTGAAGGCGTGAGAGCCGGAGCTGGCTCAGTCATGATCGCATACAACGATGTGAGTATCAGCTCACCTTTCTCCATCTCTCGGTATGACATTGCTAATATGCTCTCTTTTCAAGGTGAATCGCTCGGCATGTAGTCAAAATAGCAAGCTCATCAACGGGATCCTCAAGGACGAATTAGGGTTTCAGGGATTTGTCGTGACCGACTGGCTGGCACACATTGGCGGCGTTTCGTCGGCATTGGCTGGTCTGGACATGGATATGCCTGGCGATGGTGCTATCCCGCTACTTGGAAACACCTATTGGGGTTGGGAGCTCTCTCGTTCTATTCTCAATGGATCAGTCCCGGTCGATCGTTTGAACGATATGGTATGTTTTTCTTCGGGCTCGAGAGAGAGGTCTTGGGTTGCTGATGTCGAAATTAGGTGACGCGAATTGTGGCAACATGGTACAAGATGGGTCAGGATCAAGACTACCCTCTCCCTAATTTCTCCGGCAACACGCTGGATGAAAAAGGACCTTTATATCCGGGAGCTTTGTTTTCGCCCTCTGGTGTCGTCAACCAATATGTTAATGTCCAGGGCAACCACAACATCACGGCCAGAGCCGTGGCGAGAGACGCGATCACGCTGCTAAAGAACGAGGACAACCTCCTGCCTTTAGGTCGAAACTCCTCGTTGAAGATCTTTGGCACCGATGCTGGCGCAAATCCAGATGGTCTCAACAAGTGTGCTGATCAAGGTTGCAACAAGGGAGTCCTGACCATGGGCTGGGGAAGTGGAACTTCTAGACTGCCATACCTTGTCACCCCCCAGCAAGCGATTGCCAACCTATCGTCCAATGCTGAATTCTACATCACAGACAAGTTCCCCTCCAACATTTCCCCAAAGTCGCAGGACGTTGCCATCGTTTTCATCAATTCCGACTCCGGGGAGAACTATATTACTGTCGACGGCAACCCCGGAGACCGCACTTCGGCGGGATTGTATGCGTGGCACAATGGCGATGACCTTGTAAAGGCTGCCGCGGAGAAATTCTCGAAAGTCGTTGTGGTTGTTCACACGGTTGGCCCTATAATAATGGAAAAATGGATTGACCTGGACTCCGTCAAAGCAGTCCTTGTTGCACATCTGCCTGGCCAGGAGGCCGGCTGGTCCCTGACGGACATTCTCTTTGGCGACTACAGTCCCAGCGGACACATGCCTTATACGATCCCCCGCAGCGAGTCAGACTATCCAGCCAGCGTGGGCCTGCTCCAACAACCATTCGGCCAGATTCAAGACGACTATACCGAGCGCTTGTACATCGATTATCGGCATTTCCTAAAAAGCAACGTCACTCCTCGGTACCCATTTGGGCATGGACTTTCCTATACTACCTTCAAGTTCTCAGAACCCAGTCTTTCCGTGGATACCCCCATTGATAGTGCATATCCCCCAACTCGGTCTGCCAAAGGCACCACACCCACGTACCCAACGACCATCCCCAATGCATCCGAAGCGGCTTGGCCCAAGAACTTCGATCGTATTTGGCGCTACCTCTACCCATACCTTGATAACCCTCAAGGTGCAGCCGCCAACTCGACAAAGAAGTACCCCTATCCCGACGGATACACGACGGAGCCGAAACCCGCGCCACGTGCCGGCGGCGCAGAGGGCGGAAATCCCGCTCTGTGGGACGTCGCCTTCTCGGTCAAGGTGAAGGTTACCAACACGGGCTCGCGGAAAGGACGTGCCGTTGCACAACTATACGTGGAGATGCCTTCCAGCCTGGGGGTTGATACTCCATCGCGGCAGTTGCGTCAGTTCGAGAAAACGAAGACTCTGGCTCCTGGTGAGAGCGAGGACTTGACGCTTGAGATCACCCGCAAGGATATCAGTATTTGGGATGTCGAGGTGCAGGATTGGAAGGCGCCAGTGAACGGTGAAGGAGTCAAGTTCTGGATCGGACAGAGTGTCGCTGATGCACATGTGCGCTGTGATGTGGGTGGAGAGTGTTCGAGTTTGTAATTATCAATTATCGTGTGTTTGATCTGTTGATTACCATATCATGCGTTATTTTCCATAGCCCAGTGGACAGCATTGCGAAAGATAAATTATGAAGGGAACATGAGAGACGAGAGACAAGAAAGTAAAGTTGAGGTGCATAGCGACTGCCCGATCGGGAAAGAGCCACCCACTAGAGCAATTATGTACAGCATAATTAGTCATCTTGACTGATGCACATTATGCACGTCATCCATCGCTTCTCCGTCGCAATCCTCAAGCTCGCCTGTCTCCAACCTTTTCATATTCGATGCCGTAGTGCCCATCTGCGGTACCCAGCTGCCAAAATGCAGGGCTTCAGTAAGTACCCCCGCCACGCAATTTTCTCTAGCCGTTTACTAATCCCATTCCCCCTTAGACATGGGACGGTTCGTCCAACTCCCTCCTCCCCTCCGCGCACCGCCATCTAACCAACGCCAGATATGTCCCACCCGACCAAGAGGGCCTTACGAGCGCCAACAAACTCGCGGGAAAGCACCCACTCGGGTCCCGCGCGCGCCATCTGAACACCACCGGCGCCCTGGTCGTTCGATTCGAGATGCCGTTCGCGGTATGGTGCACGACCTGTAAACCGCACGAGACGATCATCGGACAAGGCGTGCGCTTCAACGCCGAGAAGAAGAAGGTCGGAAGTTACTACTCCACGCCCATATATAGCTTTCGCATGAAACACACCGCTTGTGGCGGGTGGATCGAGATCCGCACAGATCCGCAAAATACAGCGTATGTTGTTACGGAAGGGGGTAGGAAGCGGGATACTGGAGAGGAGAAGGATCTGGGCTTGGGGGAGATTGCAATCAAGCTACGAGGGGAGGGGGGTGGGGAGGCGGGGAATGATCCGTTGGCGAGGTTGGAGGGCAAGGTTGAGGATAAGAGGAAGGCAGAGACGGAGCAGAGTCGGATATTTGATCTGCAGAGACGGCAAAATCGTGACTGGGAGGATCCTTACGCGCAGTCTAGACGGCTGAGACGGGGGTTCCGGACGGAGCGGAAGGTGCTTGAGAATGCGGAGGCGAAGCGCGAGGCGTTGAAGGACAAGATGAGCTTGGGGATCGATCTAGTGGATGAGACCGAAGAGGATCGACTGCGCGCTGGAATGGTGGATTTCGGTCCTGTTGGTGATGCGACTACGCGCTCGCGGCCCATGTTTGAGTCCTCGGTACAACCGACGTCCAAGGCATCGCCCCTCGCTTCGGGGAGTAAGCATGGGAAGAGGCCGAAGACGACTAATCTTCTGGGAGACCGGAAGGCGCTGTTGCGCAGTGAGTTGACGAGCAATACGCGTGCAGCAGTCGATCCGTTTCTCAGTCAAGATGCAAATACATGGCAGCCGGAGAGCAAGCGACGAAAAACTGCGCCAAACAAACCAACGGCGACGGTCAAGGGTCCTGATGATAACAACTCTAACCAACCTTCTGATGCCATATCTGATGGGCCTTTGCAGGAGGGGAATACATCGGCTCAGAAGCAGCCCGGTGCTGCAGCTGCTCTGGTTGCTTATGCTTCCGATTCAGATTGAGCAGTTCCTCCAATGCGTTTAATGCGATGGGTGTACATATAATTGCTTTGGCGTTTTACATATATGCAAATGATACCCGGATGGAGTTTGTTTCAAGAATGCGTTGCAGGCTCGTCATAATACTTTTCTGTTCATTTCCATGCAAAGGCGTACGCCACATACGGGAAGAATATATACAAGAAATAGAGGCAGCGTTTGCCACATCATTTAGCCCAGGGAGCTTTGGTAACGACGTCCCCTTGGGCAGTGCCACTCGGGGCCGTCGGGGGCTGCGAGCTCGCCCAAGGGGCCCGAGTCGGTGTCATCGGACCCGGAGGTAAATTCGATGTATTGGGGAGCGTCGGTGGGTTTCTGGATGCAGATGGCACTCCAGGTCCTCGTGAGACTGCCCACGGCGCAGCAGTTCCACTCTGAGGAACAGATTGCGATGCAGAGACCCAAGGCGCTTTGGTTCCCGCACCAGAGGGCTGTGTCGTTGGGGCTGGAGCAGCAGAACCTTGTGGTCGTGCTTGAGGACCAGATGAGCTATGGGCCGTGGACGGTGGCGGCAGAGCGTTTGGATCACGCTCCCAGCTGAATAGGGAACCAAAAGGAAAATGCTGGACCACAGGAAATTTGGAGAGCACCTCGGCATTGTACATTTTAATCATCCCCTAATTTGGATTAGTGGACAGTTCTGTACTCGTTAGAAGGTTAGGAACCGACCTTATTGATTTTGGCCCAGCCAGTACGAATCCCGGAGATGTCATACAGCATTGGGCTATGTTCCCAGAAGGGTCCTTTCTTCACATCGTAAATAAAACCGACAGCGGAGAAGTACAAGTTGTCTCTCCGCTCTCGTTCGACAATATTTGCCTTGGACACCCCAGTGGGATCCGGTGCGTTGGGCAGAGAACCCTCATCCGGCACCTTGTCTGATTCTCCTAGGGCCGGGGCAAACTGTGCAGATCCAAAAATATAAGGAATGAATGAATGATCGTCTAGCCCCCACACCCCGTGAGAGCCTGCCGGCTCCAGAGTGTAGGTCTTGATGATTGTCCGCACCAGTTCCAAATACCTAAATCCATTTTCTGTCAGTAGAGACTTTGCACAATATCTAGCTCACTGGAACACGCACGGCTGTATCACGCCCAGAACAAGAGCTCTTTCTTCCACCCCGGCCGCGTTCTTGGGGAATCCGCCCAGCTTCCAGATCCCGGCGAGGAAAGCCAGGAAGCTCAGTTCATGCCCCGTTCCATAGTCCAGACGTTGAGAACTTCCCCAACTTCCCAGAAAGTAAGCCTTTAGTTCTACTTCTGCCGTCGGGCCATTTGGATCTGAGGACGGTTTCTGGAGTATTTCAGACGACAAACACTCCTCTAGCAGGGTCGAGACTCGACTCTCAACAATCTGGTACCATTTTCGAAAGCTGACATTCCCGAATCTCCTTGGTCCCGTGTCCGGTGGCGCCTCCGCGATAATCCCTTCGAGTTTCGAAAGCAATTGCTGTAGCTGTCGGACCGGGGCCGAGTATTCGACAGCATCGGAGTTTAGAGGCCAGGTTTGCACGCTACCATCGGAGAGTTTCTCCGGAAACATCGAGCGATTCAACTGAAGTAGTAATGTCATGATATCAACATAGCCCTTGGAGCATAGGAAGTCCGAGACATCTCCTCCTTCGTGAATCTTTTTGCCGGGCTCGATAAAGGAGTGGTGCGCGGGGTCAATCGCGGGCAGCACCCGCACTGGGAAACCCTCTGCAGCCATTCTCGAGGCTGTGTTGGGAGATCAACACCGAGGGCAGAGTATGAACCGTGGCCGATTGAAAAGATTAGTTCAAGCTTTTATGATTGATAATATCAAGAGGCGGATGTGAACTAGTTGAAGAACAGAGAAAGAGAGAGAGAGAGTGAGTGGGAGAGAAAGCGGGAAGAGGCGGTTGTTATCGATAAGGACGCCATGACGCCGGTGATCACGGGGTGTTGCGCCGACAACCAACAAACACCAACAAATCGTCGAGATACTCGCTTTGTCCCACGCCCTTGAGCTTCCAGCTTCCTCCCAGTCCGTTCTCATGGTCTTCAATTGATTCGCTGAGAATGGCCACGCGATCTGTCGCCCAGCGAAAACGAAAACGCGACTCGACCTCGCAGTCCGTAGACTGGCTAAACAATATTGAACCTGCCGATCGGGTCAGCCACAGTTCCCCGGCTCGGCCTCGTCGCCCCTTGCGCCGTCAAACGGCGAGGAAGACACAGATTCCGCAGAGTGATGAGATCTTGGGGAGTCCTCAGTCTCCCGAAGAGAGCGGAACGGCCGTATCCAAGCGCATTCCGCAAAGTGAGCCGATTACCCCAAGACGGTCCAAACGTCTACAAGATCATCCAGCGAGTGAAAGCACCCCCAGTCGAAAAGGCGTTATTGTACAGGTAGATAGGAGCGCCAGCAGAAAGCTCACAAGTGACTATGTCAGTGGTTCTGATAACCACTCTGACTATGAGTCCGGTAGAGACTCGGACGAGTCTGAGGAGAGTATGAAGAACCCCACTCCGCGAAGTGCTATCGCTGGGAACAGTCACCAGCCCAACGGGCAGGATGAAAATATGCGCAGGGGCTCTTTCAATGGGGCATCCTCAGGGTCGCGTCAAGCTGCGGTTGATGGCGAATCATCTGGCGAAAATTCTGATGAGAGCTCTGACAAATCCGAGAGCTCTATCGAGAGAACGAGCCCTAAAACTCAACCCCCACACATTAGTGAAAGTTCCAACAAAAAGGGAACCAATCACGAAGATATTGTTGCTGGGCTGCCTATCCGGGACAAGCCATATTTGAGTGGTGGTGTCGGTGAGGACAATGGTTCCGACGATAGCTCTGAAGCCTCTTTTCAAAATAACCTCCATGAGCCAGAGGGAGCCCCGAACCTCCCGGACGAATATATACAAGATAATTCCGAGGAAGACGATCCTACTCATGTGGAACTTTTTCCCGAAGACGACGGCGACGATGATGGTGAGCGACACACCAAGGACTTCTCTCCTTCAGAGCAACTGCAGCACGAGCAAGAGATGAACGTGAACAGCGAGGAGGTGGCCAAATATACGGCCATACCCGACTACGAACAGGAGACAAACATGAACAGTCAGGAGGTAACAGAAGATGCGACTGTACCTGACCACGAACAAGAGACGAATGTGAACAGTCAGGATGTGGCGAGAGATATGATCATGTTTAACTACGAGCAAGAGGCAAACGTGAATAGCGATGGAGTAGCGGAAGAGGCAGCTGAGGAAACAGAGTACTCTCCTTCGGATGAGGGATCGGCCTCGGCGGGATCTTCGGATGCGTCTGCTTTATTCAGGTATACTCCCGAGGGCACTGAAGAGGCTTCGTCGCCGGCGGCGTCTCCGGAACCAAGGCCACGGCCGCAGAATGATCGCCGCCAAAAGCATGAGGTCGGGAAATCACGTCAGCAAAGAACGTTGTCAGTCTCTCCAAGCATGCAAAAGCGCACCGACAGTCCCGGCGAACAGACTACAAGCTTTGAAAGTGCGAGGAGCACGGAGACTCCAATTGACGAGGGAAATGTATGGTTTGCAAAAGCCAAACTACTTGGAGGGCAAAAGAAAAACTGGGAGGTCTTGATCTCCGAGGCGCGTGCTGCTGCTGAGGTTATCACTTCATCCCGAGACCACTATTTCCAAGAAATCGAGGCTTCGATGATCTCTTTGCAGGAGGAATACACCACGGTAGTCGACAGCTTGCGAAAACAATGTCTACCAGCACCAGGGACGCAAAAGAAGTGCGAGAGGCTCCGCCGCGATATTGGTGATAGAGGAAACCAACTCCGTGATAGGATCTATTACCGCGCGGCCAAGCGGGGCGAAGAGAGCCGGCTGCTTAGTGGAAAATTGGCGGAGGAATTTGAGGCGCGCATATACTACCCAATGGTGATGATTATTGTTGCGTGTTTCGAAGCATATTGCCACAAAGACATGCGTCAGCTCTTTCCACGTGCCCATGGCCATCTTCTCCAGGCCATGAAGCTGCTGCATAATTTCTGTAACCGCAGCCACGCTCAGGAAGTCACGGGGCGCGTTTCATTCCGAAGCCGAGGCGGGGGTCTGAAAAGGATTCTCGACAAATTGATTAAAGCTCTGCAGGACGGTGCACTGCGTGATCGTGGTTCCGCCGATGCGTCAGGTTCAAAAAACATACGTCGGCGGCGGCGGCAACAGCAGCAGCCAAGCACGACACAGCAAGCTGCAGGTGCTGAATCAACTCCATCCCCCGAGCTTACCACTCGAACCAGGGTTAGAAGCCCTTCTACTGAGTCGGTGTCCTCCCTTGATCAGAGAGAATGGACAGAAGATGAAGGAATCGCTCTGGTGCAAGGACTGAAGCGTTATCAAGGTAAGGTGTCAAAAGTCTCAGGCAGAAGGAACGGATAAAGATCGAAGCACTAACCGAGAACGATTCCATTCCAGGTCCAGGACGCTATGATCAAATATTAGGACGGTTTTCTAGTAAATTAAGGGGGCGGACTGTTCGGGAGCTCCGGGCCCAGGCGCAGCAGCTTCAGGCCGCATGGGCATCTCATATCGAAGAGACGGTGAGGACGCAGGAGCAACGACAACAATGGCAGTGGTTATCGGAGGTGTGACAGCCATGACAGGATGAGTGACGTGTAGAGAGATACCCTTTCAGTTTTATTGAACTCCGTCTGATGCTACTCATTTTGCGCAGTACTAGTGCTCTTAGTAATAGTGATGTCTCAACCGCTCCATTTAGTATATTTCGGTGGTTCAGGGACAGATGAACCATGGAACCTGAGGACTACCAGGAACGCGCCTCACAACAAACACTCAGGGGCTGAATGGACGGGAGGACTTGGGTTGACCCTGCAGACCTACAACCGTGGTTGGGCCGATAACTCCCTCCTACGCCGTACTATGTATAGTTCCTCGAGACTACCCTGTACATCCTGAGTGAGGTGTAGACCTGCTGTCCCTCAGAGTCCTGCGTGTCCTCCCAGAAGGCGGTCAGGCGTCTTGATACCTCGTCATTACCATACGTGACTGCAAAGACGCGTATTATAACGGCACTTCCGGGTGGTGGAGGGCATTCTGACGGCGTCCCCAGGCCGTTCCATACGGTACGATGACCGTACGACGGGCCCCCCTCGGCCTCCCGTCTTTCGTCTGCCTTTCCTTCCTTTTTCTCTTTCTCTCTTTCCCTCCTCGCTCTCTCGACTTCTACAACGCCTCTTCTTCTCTTTCTCTTGTACCTAGCTCCTTTAATCCTCGCTCTATTTTCTTTTAATCCCCCGTTTCTGTGGTTGTTGCTGTTCGTTTCTTGACCCGTTACCTTTCTTTCTCTTGCCTTGTGTTTTGTATCCTTCGTCACTTCGGGGATCGAAAGCTGCTGCTGCTTTCTCTGCTTCTTCTATCCCCACCGGTTCCTGTACAACCCGGACTCGGTGCTTAGTGAATCATTCCTGGTTCATTCTTCAGGTATTTGGTCTGCAATTGACGGTTGACCTCTGTGTTGGAGTAAGTACTTGTCGTGAACTGCCCGCCCTCTCCAATTGGACCTCGGGACGTTGGGGGGAAAAGGAGAACCCCCCATTCCGTGCTGTTCGCACTTGACCTCTCTGGCGGGAGATCAGCAAACCCATGGGGGCAGTGTTGACCTGCTCCCCTCCTTCTTCTGTTTTCCTTTCAATTGGAATGGGAAAGGCCTAGGGTTACGATCTCCTCACGTGGATGTTAACTATTCCCTCTTTTGACCTGAGACGGAGCTTCTGTTTTTCTTTTTCCGCATTTGCTGTTGCCAGCCTGGAGCTAACGTGGACCCGTACAATTTTGCTAGACCGCCCGCTTTGGACCTGTCACTTCGTATCCCCTGACCGTTTATCGTGCCCGACCTTGATTTCACGCCAGCCACGATGGCTTCGACTGAGGAACCCGTCCCTCCCGTGACCCCGGCCGAAGGGGTCGTGGATTCAGATGCACCCCCGGCCACCCCCGTCGACTCAACCGTGCTCTCTGGCAGTGAGGAGCCCGTCACTAGCCCCGATGCCTCCAAGGACAAGGAAAACGTGAAGGCGTCTCCCACCAAGAAGAGTCCTACTTCCAGCACCCCGGCTACCAAGCGTCCTGTTTCCGGGACTCCGGCCACGAAGCGGCCCACTTCCATGTCCGGTGCCCCCAAGACAACTACGTCGACTTCTCGCCCTTCGACCACCAATGGCGGCACATTGAACAGGCCCCCCACGCGTCCTCCCACGACAACTACCGTCCGAAAGCCGCTGAGCACATCGACAACTGCCTCTCACCGATCCCGCGCATCAGTGAGCAGCTCCGCCGATGAAAAGACGCGATCCGTGGCAAGCTCTGGGGACGAGAAACGAGGCATGTCCAGCACCGCAAAGCGGATGTCGCTGGTTGGCACCCCGGCCACACGTGCCCCTGCCAAGCCTACCAGCACACTGGATAGACGGTCAAGCATCGCTGGTTCAACTACGGCCGAGAAGAGAACCTCGGTGTCGCGCCCCAGCACCGTCGCGCCACGTCCGACCACCCGACCGGCCACGTCGACAACCACTACTCGTCCGACCTCCTCGACTACCGGTGCGACGCGGACGACCACCCGCCCTACCTCGACTGTGACCCGCCCAGCGACCGCAACTGCAACCAAGAGACTGAGCACCGCCATGAAGACCTCGGAGGAAGATGCAGAGAAACTTCAGGCTCTGGAAAGCAAGCTGTCAGAAAGCGAGGCTACCGTAGCTAGCCTGAAAGCTGAACTGGAGACGGTGAATGAGAAAATGGCGCAGCTGTCTGTTTCTCCACCAGAAGATGACTCCAAAGACAGTGACGCCGCTACCAAGGAACTCCAGGAACAGCACGCTGCGGAGCGCGAGCGTCTGACTGCCGAGCATGCAGGGCAGCTGCAGGCTCTGCGCACTCAGCTGGAAGAGGCCGAGACTCAGCGGAAGGAACTTGAAGAAAAGTCCATCAAAGATTTGGAAGAAGCCGCAAAGTCCGCCGCAGCTCAGGGCGATGACCAGACTGCTACGGCGCTGGAGGAACTGAAGCAGTCCCACCAGGCCCAGCTGGAGGCCCTGCAGAAAGAACTGGCCGATCAGAAGGCTTCCGCCACTGGCCACACGGAGGAACTCGATGCCCTTAAGGCCGAGCTCGAAACGCAGAGGAGTAGTGTCGCCGAGACCACCAAGATCTTGGAGGAAAAGACCGTGGCTCTGGAAAATTTCCAGCGTGAGCTCAACGGACGGGACCAGGTCATTGCGAACCTGAATCACGAGATGGAGAAGCTTAACCAAGCCAAGGAGGACCAGGCTCGTGCTGCTGAAGAATCTGCTCGCCAGTCTGTTTCGGCCCTCGAGGAGAAGGTTGCGTCGCTCGAAGCTCAACTTGCTGAGGCTGAATCTACTTCGAAGGGCAGCGACGAGACAGCCACCGTGCTCGCTGAAAAGGAGAATGAAGTTGCCGAGCTGAAACTTACGGTAGAAACGCTCCGATCGGAGCTCCAGGAAGCCCGCGATGCCGCCGAAAACGCTCTTAAGGAAAAGATCCAGGAACTCGAGGCGGCCCACGAAGCGGCCGTTGCCAAACTGAAGGCAGAGCATGACGAGGCCCTCGCCTTGGCCGCTACCACCCATGCACAGGAATTGGCCGCGGCTAAAGAGGCGGCCGAGTCGGCCGGTAGCAGTCACTCGGAACAACTTCAGGAGCTCCGTGCGGCTCTCGATGCTGCCGAAGCTGCCGCACAGAAGGGCCGTGAGGACGCCATTGGTGAGCTGAAGACTGCTCACCAGGCTGAATTGCAAGCCCTGGAACAGAAACTGACCGCCTCGGAGCAGGCTCTTGGCGAAGCTAAGCAATCCCTGGAGGAAGGCGCCAGCTCCGCCCAGGAAGTGGCCATCCAGGAGATTGAATCGCTCAAAGAGAAGGTCGGTGCCTTGGAGTCTCAGCTTTCCACGGGCCAGGGCGAGATCAAGTCTCTCCAAGATGCTATCCACAGTAAGCAGCAGGAAGTCGAAGCACTGCAGCACAGCCTCGTTACATTCGAGGACAAGACTAAGTCCAAGGACGTTCAACGAGAGGGCCAGCTGAGGGCGCTGGAAGAGAAGGCGCAGGCTGCGGAAAGTTCTCTTCAGGCGCATCTCCAGGAGGCTGCCGTGGCCGCCGAGGAGCACGCGCAGGCACTGGAATCCCTGAAGACCGCCCACGCAGCGGACTTGGAGACTGCTCGGACGAACACATCTGGATCCCACGAGCAGGCACTCCAGGAGTTGCAAGCCAAGCATGACGCGTTGATGGCGACAAACCGCGAGTTGGAATCAAAGCACGCGGAGAAGGTCGAATCTCTCGAATTCGATCTCAAGTCGGCCTTGGAGCGTCATGCGCAGGAGATTGCGTCGCACTCCGAGCTTCGTGGCCAGGAAGTCGCCGAGCTGCAGAAGCAGTACGAAGAAACCCGGTCGGCCCTACAAGCTGAGTTGGCCGCTTCGCAGGCCTCCAAGACTGCCGAAAACGAAGCCGAACACATCAAGGCGATCGAAGAACTCCTGACCGCGCACGAGGAGAAGACGACCAGCCTCCGCTCTCAGCTGGAGTCTTCCAATCAAGCTCAAATTGACGCGCTGCAAAAGTCCCACGACGCGGCTTTGAGCGAGGTGCACGCTCAGTTGGCTCAAGCCCAGGCTGCCGCTCAGGACAGCTCGGTCCTTGACGGTTTGAAGGTCACCATTGCTGAGCTGGAAAACAAGCTTGCCGACGCGGAACGGTCCGGCACGGAGGCCGCAGGCCAGCACGGTGCGGACATTTCCAAGGCGCAGGCGGAGACCAGCGAATGGCAGCAGAAGTATCAGGAGTTGGCGGCCCGGGCAGCCGAACTGGAGACGTCGCTATCGGCCTCCGGAAGCTCGCAGTCGGAGTTGGAGTCGGTCCTGAAGCAGCTCTCGAACTCCCAAGAAGAGTTGACTCAGATCAAGGGCAAGCATGATGCGATCAGCAGCCAGCTGGACGAGGCTACGACGCAGAACCGGGCGATGAACGAGAAGTTGTCGCAGGGTGAGAAGGACCTGAACGACCAGATCGACAAGAACATGTCGCTGTTGAACCAGCTGGGCGAGGTCGACTCGGCCATTTCGGCCAGCCGCAAGCGCACGCGCGAGTTGGAAGCGGAGGTGGCCGCGCTGAAGGCCGAAGGGGCCAAGGGCAACGCGGTGGGCTTGGATGGTAGTCGATGGGCAGCAGAGGGACCCGTGGAAGGTGAGGAGCTTGGTTCATCTATCGAGGGAACGGTGGGACTTCCCCGTTTAACGTCCGCGTCTTCAGGACTGCCCGGTTTTCACCCCTTTACCTGATCGGCACCGTTTCCTTTTCCCCTTTTCTTCCGCAGACATGGGTTACTGATTCGCATGATTGTTGTTTTCTCGCGTTGCGTCTCCACAGATGGCAAGCATTCAGGCTCAGCTTAAACACATCCGCACAACCAACGACGAGTGGTACGAGGATCATAATCGGTGAGTAGCCCACCCCTCCGCGGCCGATGCATGAACAGCAAATCCTAATGAATGACTCCCTGCAGGCTCGTCGGGGAACTGACGCAGCTGTCTCACCGATCGACGCCAGAGGTGCCCAGCCACTCATCGACCCCCCAGCCGGAGAAAGCGGCCGAGGGATCGTCGTAAATGAACGAAGAAGAATCATCATAAAAACAAAAAAGAAGGCCACCGGTGCCGTGGAGCAGCGTTTCTTTCCTTTGTGCTGCGGTCAGGGTGGGATTGGATTGGATTGCATGTTGTATTGATTAGGTTGTATATGTAATACGAAGCTCAGGATACCCCTGTTCGACTGATCTCTCTCGCTTGTCTCTTTCCCTTGTCTTTTCTTCTTCTTCTCTCCCCCTGTCTTTCTGTCTCCGGTCTCAACGGCCACACAGCATTCGTGTCCACCACGGCCGTCGAGGGGGTTCTTGGTCTCGGATGAACTCGCGGTACCGGGAGGGAGTGAGCACCCGCGGCGGCGGTGGCGTCGGCGAGGGCGAGGGTGGTTCGAGCTGAGTGAAGCCGTGGGCGCCCACCGGTAAGAAGCTGAAGGACGGCCACTCGTCCAGGTGGACGGACTCGCGTTGGGGCGTGCGTTGCCGAGGGCGTTGGGGTGCGCTGGAAGTCTGACAGTAGACGGCATACGACTCGGCCAAAGTCTCGGAATCATCACTGGCGCTGTTGACTGTCGGCGTTTTGGGGCGCGAGAGCCGTCGCGACACCCAGCGGAGAGGCGAGCGCGAGGGTCGTCGGAAGGAGAAGGAGTCGTCGGAGGTGGTGAAGGACGAAGGAGCGGTGTCGAGAGGCATGATGGAGGTATTTATTAGATTAAGAAATTAAATATTGCCCGGATTCATGGGGATAAATAATCAGAGTGGAAATCCCAGGTCATGAACGAGAGAACAGAGATTGGACGCAGCAGAAACCCCAGGAGACGAGATGGAGGAGCATCAGGATGGACTGGATTTATAGGCCCCGAACGACCGGACGAGCGACACATCGACCTTCTGCCGCTTCGTTTACTCGGCGACGGTTGGAGCTTGGATTTTTAGGGATTCTGGTTTGGGCGTGTTGGTTCCACCGCAACTTAACTCGTGCATGTCGTGACACGTCCAGATCATCATTGTTGTGTGACCTCGGCGGTCATACGGGCTTTTCCCTATTTTCTTTTTTCTTTTTTTCTTTTTCGCCTTTTTGCTTGGGGTGGAAACGAGGATATAAGTCTGGAGAGCAGTCCGGTTTGAGAACTATCGATGCGGGCTGCATGGATGACGCATGCAGTCATGTAAGTATATACGTAAGTCGAACCAAGGAAGGCAAGGCTATCTAGGACGATGAAGAACTAATAGTACAAGGATAAGCGAGATTTGACACGTCTCCTACCCGGACACTCCGTCCCGTCCGAGTCCCCAGCGACCGACTTCGTGCATCGCCTCGTCTCCGCCGTCCGCCAGCCGCCCGTCCGCGTTGGCAGGATGCTGGCTGCCCAGGACCCCTGCGACGCAGTCCCATCCGTTGCGTCCGCCGCCCCAGCGAAGGACCTCCGTGCGGTATTTCTCACCCGCCGCGCGGTCCACGGCGGCGGCACCGCCCCGGAAGACGTCCTCCCAGATCTTGTTGGCGATGGCGCGGTCGAAGATGTAGCTGTAGTAGGTGGCGCCGTAGCCGCACAGGTGGCCGAAGAATCCCTGCCAGGAGGTCGTCGAGTCCACCGGGTCCGGGAGACTGGCGTGGGCGGAGGAGACCTGGTGGTAGAGCGCGGTGGAGGAGATGGGGGACTGGGAGGGTCCCTGGGAGTGGTAGGCCTGGTCGACGAGGGCCATGAGGATTTGGGCCTCGTTTTCCACGGCGCCGTAGATGGACCCGTGCGCGTTGCGGTCCTGCTCCATGCGGCGCATCATCTCCTCCGAGAGTGGCTGGTCCGTCTGCCAGTGACGGGCGTAGAGGGCCAGGACCTCGGGGGCGGTGGCGAAGCGCTCCATGAGCACCGAGGGGAGTTCGGCGAAATCGGTGGCGCACCGCGTGCCGGAGATGGATTGCAGTCGCGTCTGGCCGAGGATCGAGTGCAAGGCGTGGCCCATCTCGTGGAAGAGGGTGCGCACGCTGTGCTCGCTCAGCAGCGAGGGTCGTCCGGTACCGGTGGCCGGGGGCTCGGGAAAGTCACACACCAGGGCGATCGTGGGCAACTGGCGGAGGGTTTGGGACTCGACCGCCGTGGCCATGCCGTCATTGGGGTGAGCGGACGAACCCATGGTCGCACATTCGGCCACCTCTTCCGGCGAGATTTCGCGGGCGCATCGCAGCGTGAAATGAGCTGGGTTGGGGTGTTTGTTAGGCCGCGAGAAGAGATCGCAGTAGATGACGGCAATGTGTCGCTCCGTCTCGTCGACGACGTCCAGTCGGCGCACGTCGGCGTTCCACGTCTCGCCAGGTGCCGTTTCCTGGGGCACCAGACGCACGCCATAGAGGCGGTCAAACAGTCGCGATAAGCCCTGCATCACCGTTCCCAGCGAGAAGAACTCGGGGACGGCGCTCAGTTCCCGAGATCGTCGGGATTGCGAGTACTGCATGACCCGCCGGTGGACGTAATAGGCGTGGTCCCACGCCTGCATCGCGGCGCTGCCTTTCATGGCCTGCAAATGCGACAGCTCTTCACGAACGGCCTCGCGGTTGCTTCCCACCAGCGCGGTGAGGAACTTGGACACCGCCTCGGGGCTCTTGGCCATTTTGTCACTCAGCGTCATATGCGCGAAACTGGAATGGCCCGACAATTTGGCCAGTTCGGCCCGTTTGGCCAGAAGCTGCTCCAGCCGATGAACCTGCCGACCGCTGGAGGTGCGCGTCGCCAGGTAGATCTCCTTTCGGGCCGCCTCGTCGTGCACCGATCGGAGGGCCAGGCGCGGGATCATCCCCATGGTCGGTACCGCAGCCGTGCGATTCCATCGCTTGATTTGCTGGACCAGGAGCGGATCCAGCCCTCGCAGGCTGTTGGTGCTCAGCACCACGTTTGATTTCGCCGGCTCGGCGCTGTTCACAAAGGTTGTCCCCAGTTGACTGATTTCGTTCGACAGGTTCACGAACCGCTGTCGCTCGTGAGGCGGCATGTGGATGGCCGAGTTCGAGAAGTCCTTGATCAGAATGTGGGCCACAATCTTCTCCTCTTCCGACCATTGCGCCGTCACCTCCGGATTGGCTGCCGCTTTCTTCAGCTGGTCGTTCAATCCCGTCGTGGTGTTGAGCACGTTCATGTACTCGAACATCAGCGCATACGCCTGCGTCGCCGCCTCCTGCACCCGGGGGTCGGGATGGATCACCCGGATGAAATCGGACAAGTCGATCACTCGGCACAGAAGATCACTTAGCCGATCCAGATCCCGAGCCATGTCCCGGTATTCTTCCAGGGTCGATGCGGCCAAGACTTTGGATACGATCGCCTGGCATTTCTGGAGCGAAACATGGGCGAACGTTCGGAAACCATCGGGGTTCGTGAGGTACTGGTTCTGCACCAATCCGGTCGAATAAGGTTGCGAGGCGCGGCGCTGCGAAAACTCCCTCCAGAAGGGCGGCGAATCGAAGACCCGGCGAAGAACCTCGTCGTCGGCGCTTTTCCTCTGCGTCGCGGTCCCGGCGGGAGCGTACTCGAAACCATTGGCGCGATGCGAAGGGGAGGTAGCCGCCGTTTCCAGGGATCGTCGAGTCTGCTGCTGCAGTCGCTGCAGGCATGCCCGACACGTCCAGGGCCGACGCCGGAGGGGCGCCAGCAAATGGCCGGTCATCGGGGATAGACAGGGGAGTGGTGTTTAAGGATAGAATCGAGACCCAGCCGACATGTCTCGCAGGGAGGAGAGAGGAAAGGAAACAAGAAGAGAAAGAAAAAAAGCAAGAAAAGACGAAGAAGAGGCGGAAGATGGGAGGAATGAAGTAAGAAAGTAGGAAGAGAAGGAGGCCGGACGATGACGGAGGAAAAGCCGAGGCGGCGAAAAAAAAGGCTTGGCGGTCACGCTTTCGACCTCATCTCTGCTTCTCCTTCTCTCTTGCCCTCTGCCTGTCGTCCCCCCCCCATTTCCTCCCCCAATTGGCCTCTCCCCACCATGTCTTTCCGGCCAGTGTTGCGCCCGGTTCGTCCTCGTCCTTGTCGACTTCCCTGGCTCCTTGCTGACCGCGTTTCTAGCGGGCTGTGGCCCCATTCGCTGCCACCCTCTTGGCTGGGGGTGTCGCTCTCTATCCCCGTCAAACCGCATGGGCTGAAGAACCCCAGGACCTGGTAGGTCTCGACCTGTCGGCAGATGCACCGTTGTCTGCTTTATATGGTACTTGATTGTCGCCCGGAGTCGACATCCTAACGTGGCCCCGTGGACACAGAGAAAGCCCATTTACGATGACTTCCCCACCGAGACTCCGGAGCTCCCCAAGACGCCCTCTGCTGTCGTGCCCCAGCCGTCCTCGCCTGCGCCCTCGTCGTCTCCGACTCCCACAGACATTCTGACCGCCCAGATCCGACAAGCCCGTCTCTTCCTCTACAACAACTCCCTGGCCGCCGAGAACTGCTTCAATGACTTCCTGTCCCGGGCCCTTCACATCGAAAACGCTTTCACCAACACCGTTGCCTCGCTGGCCCCGTCCCCGGAGTCCGGAGAGCGTCTGCTTCCCGGTGGAGTCTACGTCGTCGTTGCCGCCATGGCCGGTTCGATCGTGTCGCGCAACCGGGGCATCTTCCTGCGCTCCGCCTCGCCGCTGGCCTTCGGTACGGTGGCCGCCTGGTCGCTTCTGCCCGTGACGATGCGCAACGTTTCCGACCTGGCCTGGGAGTACGAGAAGAAGGTCCCCGCCGTGGCGGAACAGCACCTTCTGGTCCGGGAGAAGGCCGAGCACATCTGGTACACGGGTATTGCGCACAGCGGAATGGCACGGGCCATGATGGAGGAGAAGATCGGCGACACCCGGAAGAAGCTGGAGGAGCTGGTCAGCAAGGGCCATTAGAGTGGCAGACATTCCCTGTCTCGATCCTTTCCTTGATTTTCCTTTTCTTTTGCTTCTCTGCTCTGTATTTGGTTGTTCTCCTTGAAGCGGATACAATTTGGAGCCCGTTGGTTGGTGTAGCGACCATCCGGGCTTGGGATGGGTTACGGTTTCCATTTCATATGTGTGTGTATTCTAAGTAGATTCGAACGAACCGGTCCCGTGCTGTTCTACATTTCTCTGTTCGTTATCCCAAAGACCGTCTGGGGCGGATGTGTTGGGGATTGCATGACAAGAGGTCAATCTCCGGGTAAGAAACATATAAATAGAAAATCCTCGTTCCGTCATTGGTATATGGTCCGTCGTAACTCCGGAGACTCGTGATACTCTACAATACACAAAACGAAAAAAAATAAGAACCCTGGCCAGTTTCATTGAGAGTTCTCTATCCTTCTTGGGGCGCGGCTGGCTGTTCTGCGGCCGGCGGAGATCGGACGCCAGCCTTGGGCGGAGGAGGCAGTGGCGTGGATTTGCGAGACGGGGCGAAATCCTGCTCCTTACTTTTCTGTTCCCCTTCCGCGAAGTAGTCATCGAAGGCTCGGCTGGGCGATACTCCTGCAGGTCGAGCCTTGCCCCGGCGTGGTCCCGAGTGCGCAGGTCCCATGGGAGGCAGAGTGCCAGGCTGGGGTCCCAGGGGAGGAGGCGTTGACAAGTTGGCAGGGACAAGAAATTGGCCCCCAATGGCCGGTGCAGCCGTTCCCATGCTCTGGGCTGGGCCCAAATGACCCGTGAAGGGCGTCGAAGTGCCGTCTTCTCGCGTCTCGAAGACCACCTCGCCAGGCCCCTCGACTTCTTCGCCCAACCCCACGGGTAACCGGTGCAAGGCGCCGTATCCCAGCTCAGCGCCCAAAGCACCTTCTCCACCCCAGCCCCGGGTGGGCACCAGTTCTACCTCACGTACAACATCGAATTCGCTGTTGTACACCCAGAGCACCAGCGTGCGGTCCAGGTGGTCCTCCACCAACTCGCCCAGCGCGGACTCGCCTCGTAATGTTCCACTAGGTGTGCCGACGATGTAGTCCGAGTGTGGCAGCAGCCCGGCCCGGTATGCCGGGCTCAGCGGCGACGGGATGTTCAGGATATGCCAGATATGCTGCGTAGATGACAGAGGCGCCAGCTGGAGCGCCAGGCCTAGCGTGGGGTTGGAGGGTGGTACCGGGATAGACACCGTATGCGTCCGTTGGCCCTGATGCAAGAGAAGTCATCAGCGATACGGATCCATCGGACATGATCATTGATCACCTGTCAACCTACCTTGGCACTCCAGATCTCAAACGTTACACTGGAACCCGCGCAGTTGCGCACCTCGGTCGCGAATAGATTTGGGTCCGGATCCTCCTTCAGACGACGGCAGTGGTTAGCACTTGGACTGGACGACCGCAGAGGCGAATATCCCAGTCACTCACTATCAGGCGCCCATTAATGCCGACGATGAAATCAAACCATGGCTCCAAGGGGAGCTCGGAGTCTTTGTTGCGGAGTACTTGGAAGCCAAATGCGCTGTCGTTGGTGGCAGGCGATCGAGATTGTTGGACGGGATCGGAATCCAGACGTCCGATGAATCGATTTAGAGCTCCAAACATGACGACGACGGAGGCTGCGGAGGGGAGAGAAACGAGAGTCGATTGTTGTTCTGTTGATGCTCGCCTCGACTTGGTCGCCGACGAGGGAAAGGCGGGGATGCAAACAGGACAAACGCGCTATCAGTTTATCGCATCCAACGAGAGTTTCATCCTCGCCTTTCGCTCCTCCATTCGACTCCGAATCGCTCGTCATGGCTGTCCTCTCCATGGCGGACAATCCTCCCCCGGAGGTGCATCACTACAATCACCTCGGAGAAGTGCCCTGGGATATCCAAAAGTATGGCAGGGCAGTCTCAGAATCCATGCTCCATGTTTTGCGCCACAGCCCCAAAATAGATCATCACTGACCATCTTTTCTTATAGTTACTGGGCACAGCGGTACAGGATCTTTTCGCGGTATGACGAAGGAGTCTGGCTGACCGATGATGCATGGTTTGGGGTTACCCCGGAGCCTGTGGCCAAGTGAGTCCCTCCATTTTATTCTGTCCCATGAATCCCGAGGCTAAAACTACCGGGACAGTAAAATCGCCGAGCACGTTGCCAACTCGGCCCCCGCTGGACGGAGCATCCTGGTAGATACGTTTGCTGGCGCCGGTGGTAATTCCATTGCTTTTGCGCTCTCGGGCAAGTGGAAGCGAGTCTACGCCATCGAGAAGAACCCGGCCGTCTTGCAGTGTGCTAAGCATAATGCGCAAATCTACGGGGTGCAGGATAAGATCACCTGGTTCGAAGGGGACTGTTTTGAGCTTTTGAGGAACCAACTCAAGGATCTGGCTCCGTATAGTGTCATCTTTGCGAGCCCCCCTGGGGTGGTAAGCTTCGGTCGGTTCCGTTCTCTACGTGATTCACACTAACCTCGACATTGACAGGCCCTGGGTATCGCTCCGACAAAGTGTTCAATCTTCGAACGATGGAACCGTACTCATTGAGCACACTCTACCGTGAATTTGCAGCCTTCAGTGAGCATATGGTCCTCTTTCTGCCTCGAACTTCGGATGTGAAACAGTTGGCCAAGGTGGTCAAGGATGGGCAGCAGGCAACGGTGATGCATTACTGTATGGAGGGAGCCAGCAAGGCCCTTTGCATCTACTATGGAGGGTTCAACCTGCAGTGATTCGAGGCGCGTTTTTCTTATGATTTTCTCATGTAAATTTATGACGCAAAGGCAACGGGGCGGGACATCCCCAGCCACGCGCGATGGTTTGCTCTGGTTTGGAATGTACTATAGTCGGCTTTGATTAATGAATGAATACCCAATTTGATTTCTGAGAGAGAGAGAGAGAGAGAGAGAGAAAGAGAGAAAGAGAGAAAGAGAGAAAAGTGAATGGAGGAAGCTGGTTACCCGATGCGGCCTAGTGGCTGCCGGGCGTCTTCCGTTTCTCTCGCGACTTCTTCTCCGCTCCTCCTCGCCTCTGCGTCTTCTCGTCTCGCTGCGTCCGGTCTCATCCCAGCTGTCCCTTCAGTTTCTTCTCACTGCTGTGGACATCTCAATAGCTGCGAAGTCTCGAGTAGACTGCCCGTCCGTCCCCATGCGGACTTTCTTCTAATCCTTTCTGCTCCGACTCCGCTCGTTTGATCCGCTTCCTCCCCCACGCGCTGTCCACCACCGCAGCTTCCTTGTTGACCCCCCCGTTCGCGTCACTTGCCGAACCTCGCTCCCACAAAATGCCTCACGCTACGGAAACCGGCGCCCCCGACGCCGAAGACGCCGACTTCGAAAATGTCATGCGACAGATGAACGGCCCCCTCGAGGGCGGCATGTCTATGGACTTCTTAAATCGAGACCTGGAACCCGGCGAGAAGGCGGATGACGCGGTCGACTACGAAGATTTCGACGACGATGATTTACCCGAGGAAGAGGAAAGAGCCCAACGAATGGCAGAGAACGGAGTCGCAGACACCGACGACCTTGATAAAGATTTGTTTGAGGCCGAGGAAGATGATTTATTCGGAGGTCCGGATGATGACGAGCCGCCGCAGCACCAGCCACAAGAGTCTGCCCCCGATGAACTTGACGACCTGTTCGGCGACGGGCCCGCCTCGCCTGGACCCGATCAGGTGGACTCGACTCGCGATCTTTTCTTCGAAGAGGAAGATGAGCAGCCGCCGCCTATGCCCCCCGTCGCTATCGAAACACCAACTGCTGAACCGGAGCGAATGGACGTGGAGGAAGATGCCGAGGAGCCTTTGCAGGACCCTGGAACGATGAGCCCTACGGGAGAGGATATGGACCCTGCTGCCCTGCGCGCGTGGAAACTTCAGCAGGCCTTGTTTGCTATGTCCAACGTTGGCCCCGACAATCCTCCTGCCCCGCCGGAGAACGTGGAGGAACTTCTGCAATCATTGTTCCCTGGGTTTGATCGCAAAACTCTTCCTCGATTCCTTGAATTGATCCCCCACAAGAAGGCCTTCTTTCTAGGCAAACAGCACACGAAACCCCCGAAACCGGTACTTCCAACTAAACTCAACGTCGAACTGGCTCACGACCAGGAGAGGGGCTTCAGGTCCGGGGGTCAGGCTTTTAAAAGATCACTCGAATCGGAGCATCTAGGGATCATGACGATTACCGAGGCTGCCCCAGAGGACGAAGGCGAGGAGGAAGAAATCCGGGAGGAGTTTGACCAAGACACTGACGTGGAGGAACCCTTGCCCGGCGGCATTACTTTGCATGATCTTCGAGTTGTATGCATGGATTGGGATGTGAAGGATGACATCTCCGTCATGGATATTGACGAGCCCGTCCCCATGGATACGGCCGAAGACGAGGACGATTGGCTCATCGAAACTACTCAACCAGCGAAGAAGCGGAAGATTGGCAGAGACGCGACTGAATTGATTGCTCTCTCTCATATCGACGTGCCTGTGATGGATGATCCTACTCAAGTCACGTCGCGGATTGCTCAAAAGGTAACAATTGATATGAACGATCCTCATATTTTGCTTGATGAGCGGGGACCCGATTCTGCGGTCCAAAAGCCCAAATCTCTAGGAGCTCTTAACCGCGAGGACATGGATGTGAACGTCACCCGGCGTCTTACCTCCCGCTACAACATTTCAAATGACCAAGCCTATGACATGCTTAAGCAGAACCATCAGAACAAGGTCCGAAGCACTCTGGGCAATGTCACTCTTGAGCACAGTATGCCAGCACTTCGCCTGCAGTGGCCTTATTACAAGACCGAGCTTGCTAAGGCGGAAGCCCGATCGTTCCATCGGCCGGCCTTGTCTTTCCGACCCGGTCAGACTTGCTGGTTTAAGAATCCCAACTTCATCAAGCGCAAGCACCAGAGGGGAAAAGATGTCAAGCAACTTTATAATTCTACCAAGGCACTGTCCATGGCAGACAATTCGAACGTCTTGCTCGTCGAGTATTCGGAAGAGGCCCCCCTCATGCTCTCGAACTTCGGAATGTCGAATCGAATTATCAATTATTATCGGCGAAAGAGCATGGAGGATCCGACTCGTCCCAAGGCCGAGATTGGCGAAACCGTTGTCCTCCTTCCCCAAGATAAAAGCCCATTCTCAATTTTTGGGCACGTGGACTCTGGGGAGATTACCCCCGCTATCTCGAACTCCATGTATCGCTCACCCCTATTCCAGCACAAAGCCAAATCGACCGATTTCTTGGTGGTGCGTAGCAGCACTACTGGGGGTGGCAGCAATTACTACCTCCGGAACATCGATAATCTGTATGTCGCCGGCCAGCAATTCCCGTCCGTGGATGTGCCTGGACCTCATTCACGAAAGGTGACGACGGTCGCCAAAAACCGCATGAAGATGCTCGTTTACCGTCTCTTGAAGAAGAGCCCTGATCTCAGGCTTTCGATTAGTGACGTCACTGCCCATATCCCCGGGACCAGCGATATGCAGAACCGCCAGAAAGTCAAGGACTTCCTCCAGCACGACAAGGACTCCAAATACTGGGTCCCCTTGGAGCCGGTCCCTGAGCAAGATGTCATTCGATCCTGGGTTCAACCCGAGGACGTCTGCTTGCTTGAGTCCATGCAGGTTGGTCAGCAGCATTTGCATGACACGGGTTACGGCAATGATGCCGAAACCGGCGGTGACGATGACGAGGACGGGGAAAGCGAAAGCTTCGAGCAACAGATGGCCCCATGGAAGGCAACCCGAAACTTCCTTCTTGCGTCCCAAGGAAAGGCAATGCTCAAGCTTCACGGAGAGGGCGATCCCACCGGCCGAGGCGAGGGTTTCAGTTTCATCAAGACGTCCATGAAAGGGGGTTTCAAGGCCATTGGCGAGAGTGTTGAGGACAAATTGGACGCGCAACGACTTAAGGAACTGGGCGGACACAGTTACAATGTGGCTCGACAGCAAAAGTCATACGAAACGTCGATTCGACGAATCTGGGATGCCCAGAAGGCTAGCTTGTCGTCCACCGTTGAGCATTCGGATGCGGAGAGTGACATTGATCGTGAAGACGAGGAGGAGTTCGGCAAGCCGACCCCAAGATCAGAAGCTCCTACTCCGGCACCCGGTCGCCGAGACGACGAGACGACCAGTCAATTTAGTAAGATGAGCATGCCGGATCAGAAAGGGAAGGTCCTTCGGATCATTCGATATTACAAAGACGAAAAGGGAGGCCTTTACCCCAAAGAATCCCTTGTATGGGATCAACGTGTCATTCGGCACTATATTCAGCATCGCCACAGGGCCGAGGCGTTGTCGACCAAGTAAGTCGCCATGACTCTGAGATGAAATGACTCACTAACATGTTCTTCCCCGCAGACTGGATTCTCTCCAACCAACAGGCGACCCTGAGATTGATGCTCGCAATAAGAAACTGTACGTTGAGCTAACCCCCTATGCTTTTACTCCCCCTTACGAGTCCCTTTGCTCACAATTTCCCCAGGATCGAAAACGAACTCAGCCGTCTGAACCGCAACAAAGAGCGCCGGTTCGCACGCGAAAAGCAAAAGGGCGTTGTCCGAACGTCTGGCGGCGACTCACCGGCCGAAGGTGGCTCTGGAGGTGGCAAGTCGGCCGGCACTCAGCGCAAGTGTGCCAACTGCCTCCAGGTCGGTCACATCAAAACCAACAAGAAGTGCGTACTTCATCCCACTCATTCCCTCTCTCCCTCTGCAACATAGTCCTGACGACCCACCCTTGTCCGCAGACTCTGCCCTCTCCTCAACGGTACCATGAAGCCCGAAGAACGGGTCAGCGATTCGGCCTTCGCTATGGGCGCTCCCCCTGCAATCTAATGTATTCCAGCACCGCTCAATGCCTACACTTTCTCCCCCACGACCCAGTTCCGGAAACTCGCGCTCAATCTGTGGCTTCGACTTCTCATTTTTCAATTTAATGACTTCGTTATGATACCCCCGCCGTCGATGATAATTGGAATGTTTTTTTTTTTTTTTCCTTTCTACTTTTCTTCAAATCGGGTCCCTGCATGGTTTCTCCAAGAGAGAATCTGATGGCCTCGGTTTGTAACCTGCAATCAGGCGTTACCAGACGGTGCTCCGAATGCTACTTACTGCAATGTGGCTTTCAAAGCGAGCAATATTCAGGGACACGATTTTCGCATCATTGCTTTTTCGCCGATTCTCCCGGTGGAAACTGCTAGACATTCTCGCCCTCATGTTTGAAACAGCTAATTTGTAATCATGAATGTCTTATTATTATTACTCTTTTTTTTTTGTGATGGATTGGCGTGATTCGGGGGCACTGAAGACAGGCGACATAGGGGAGACAAGAATAGAATCGTGATACATTGAATTCAAGCCAATAAAAGGCAAAGCACTAAAATCGGCACCACACTGGTTCCATAATATATTTTTGGCCATTTCTCGGTGCCATCCAGAACTCCCCGCGAGTTCCAGCTCGGCTCCAAATAACGATGATATTTAAGGATAAATAACATGAGCTTGCCCATGATAGGCACCGCATATTGCAGGCTTCCGTTGATATTATCCTCCTAACACCCGTATAGTTCGGACAAGACCCCCCGTGGCAGATAGGGTCGGCCTCGGTCAACAGCGAACGCCATGGCTACAGCCTTGGGTCGACGGTAGGTATAGCCCAAAAATGCACTCTTCTTGCGCATCTCAAGCGCAGTCTTTCCGGTTCTTTTATCGCGCAGGAGCTTATCCCGCGGCCGGTTCTTCTCCTTTCCCTTCTTGCGGTCCCGTGCAGGCGACTGTGCGTCTGCTTTTGGGTTGTCTTTCTGATCCGGCACTGGATTTTCATCCTGATCCAGCGACAGTTGTCCGTCAAACTGACTGGGACTTGGGTGACCCTCCATTTCGTTCTCCACATTGGATGAACTGGACATGTTGTCACTGTCCTGCGCGTTCCCCCAGTCATCGAAATACCTGGTGTCCTCCCAGCCTTTCACTTTGGGGATGAAAGGAGGAATAGTTCGGTGAAGTATGTCCCAATTGATGTTGCGAAAGAACGCGTGGGCTTTGATATCGGTGGCGTCGTTGGTGTACACATAGAAGCCTCGGTTGTCTTGGCTAAAAGCATCGATGTTGTAAAAGAGATACCTCGGCGGCGATCGTGCAGGAGGGGGGTCATTCTGCCGATATTCGTTGCAGGATAGTCGAAGCTCTTTCTCCTGAAGTAACGAATTGATAAGATCGACTGCCTCCCCGGAGATGAGTTTGTCAGAAGGGCGGTGCATTGGAAAGCGTAAGGTCTGGAGGTGGTGCTATTACATCGTGAGCCAAAAGTTCTGCCCGACGCCATTCGGCACGGTATCGATGTTCTTACATGAATCTTGACTTTGGTCTTCTGGCGATCATTGGAAGCAAAAGGTGTAAACCCATACAAGCACTGGTTTAAAGCCGTTAGTTAACTGATGCAGGTAATGAATGAGTCTGGAGCGCTTACCTCGTACAAGATAATTCCTATGCTCCACCAATCGCAACGGCCATCATAAGCTTGCCCCCGAATAATCTCCGGGGCCATGTACTGGCTCGTCCCCACGATGCTCCTCGCCAGCCGACGTGTTTGGTTTCGGTCTCGCCACCTTAGAAGACCAGATGATGGCGTGGTGCATCCAAGGCTATCTCCACGGCGATCTTCTTGCGGATTCAGAGAAGATCCCGCTGTTTTCTGTGCTTCTTTCTGGTCCTGAGCATCCCCACAGACTTGAATCCCTAGCTTTTGGACCAGGGAGTATCGGTGATCGTTGTAGTATAACTGGTCATGGGCCCAGTGTCCATCAAACGCCAAACCAAAATCAGATATCTTTAGATGCCCAGATGCGGAGATCAAGAAATTGTCCGGCTTAATATCACGATGGATCCATTGAAGTCGATGGGCCTCCTCGACACAGAGAATCATTTCTGCGACATACCATTTTGCAACGTCCTCCCGCAGAATGCATTGTCGCAGAAGTAGGCTGAGAAAATCTCCGCCCACCATGTAGTCCATGATAAGGTAAAGATAGCTGTTGTCCTGAAAACTTGCAATCAAGGGCACGATCCATCGAGACTTCGCAGACGCAACAAGGAAGTCTCTTTCTGCTCGCAGATGACCCTCCTGGCAATTGCGGATCATGGCCGATTTTCGTATGACTTTCATGGCAAAGACATCTTTCTTTACTCCGGTCATGATTCTTCGGCGGTTTGATTCCCCCGGAGTGTTTGGCTCAGCTTCGTCGTCGGCAGTACCACTGCTGTTTCCTTCTATCGCCTTTTCTTTCACAAGACGCACGACGCCAAAGCTTCCTTTCCCCAGGACCTTGATGACTTCGAATCCAGCAATGGAAACACTTTTTTCATTCCTAACACTGTGAGAACGGGTCTTTAGCACTCGACATTGGCGGAGGTATTCTCGTTCCTGAAGGATCCATTTCTTCCGTATTCTAATTTTCTCTTCGGTTGTAATCGAGGAGGAGCAGATGTATTCTTCAAGCTCTCGTTGACGCTGTAAGCGAGGGTCAATACCTGAATAGACCGTACTGAAAAACGTTTCGAAGAAGATTTTAGCATTTGCGGTCGCTTCAACAGTAATGATGGACGGTGATGCGCCGTGCATCGATTGTATGGGAGCTAATTGAGTAATTGGCTCGTGGTTCGAGGATTCTAAACTCTGTCTACTATTGACCGCACAAGCCGAGGCTTGTTTCGATTCATCTGGTGAGGATGTTGGCTCTTCAGATGTTGGAGGCGTTGATTGAGTGCCAGGTGGAGAGGCGCTGCTACTGGGAGGCGTTGAAGGGTTGGAGCTATTCTGATCACTCTCCGAATTCTTCTCTGGGGGTGTGCTTGGGGGTATGGCGAACTGCACTGCACGAATATTCGGCCTTGATCGCAGATGGGTACGACGAATGACGGTCGGGTTTCCAAAAGTACTTGATAGTTTCCGTGACAGGATGTTGGTGAATGCTTCTGGGGTTGATTGACTGCGTCTCACCCCCCCTGGGCCATCCGTTTGATAAGACGAATATTGGATTTCTGTCAGCTGTTTATCTTTGGCCCTTAGTACCTGTGCGGCTTCTTGGTATTTAGAAGATGAATCAGGGCTGGGGGGTTCGCTGTTGAGAGCCGTCGGATGGGCATGGTTACTATGGTATTCCATGCTAGAAATATGAGTTGCAGAGTTGGTTTCTGCTGGTAAGGAGAGGCCGGATCGCAGAGTGTCAGTATGACCCTCAGGTTTTGAAGTCAACGCAGAGTCAGGGTTTGTTAATTTCGCAACTGCAAGAGAAAGGTATCAGTCTATGATCGAGCGGTTTTCGAGTTGATGTGTAGAAAGCTGTACCGTAAGCGGGATTCTTCAGGCCCAGTAATGATAGCAATCTTGAGCTTCTTTCTCTCAAACGAGCTCGAATCCTGTCCTTTCCGGCATTCTGAGCATCAGAGCTAGAGACGTCCGACATGATCAAAGTGGCCCGGGGCAGCTAGACCGGACGAAACAGGGAAAGATAGAGAGAGAGATGAGCGAGACAGACCACCCACGCAATGACTGTATAGAGGACCGATGAAAGGAATGGGAAGAAGTGGCATGGGAGATGGACGGGATGGAATGAATCACTTTGCCGCCACCTGGCACGCTGCTCCAGTCTGGACTGTAGTAGTCTTGGATTTCGCCCATATGGCCCGCAAGGGTTTTAAGGATACAATGGCCGAAATGGATCCACTGGAAGGATGAAAGACCGCGCATGGATGGCAGAGGGTGGTTGAACGGCGGTTGAAGATGGAAGGTTGAAGGGCAAGCGGAAGGAAAGTCGGCGGAAAGGGCGACGGAGACGGGAAAACACGCGCACTACGAAGAAGCTACGGCGACCTCAGGCAGTCCGGAAGAAAGCCTTTGTTTTAGTATGGAAGAGACTCGGATGGCTTGCGATATCCTCATCCCTGCTAATATGCATCAAAACACGGCATGAGAAACAAAACAAGTCGGATATCACACAGAAACTAACGAGATTCAAAAACCCCCTAGAACACCCTTGATTTTTGGTAGATTCGAAACATGAGCAAAGGAACACGCGCCAGACATTTATTTGATCTCCAGCAGCTTAACGTCGAAGATCAGCTTCGAGTTGGCAGGAATACCGGGGAGAGCGCGCTTGCCGTAGGCCATCTGGGGAGGAATCGAGATGCGACGCTCGCCACCCACAGCCATGCCGGCCACACCGATGTCCCAGCCCTTGATCACCTCGCCCTTACCGAGCTTGAAGCTGAAAGGCTTGCCCTTCTTGTTGGCTGTAGCATCAAATCCAACCCGTCAGTGACTCGTTCCACTCATGAATGCTGGGCATCGTCGGGGGGGAAAAACATACCGTCAAAGACCTTGCCGTCCTCAAGCTTTCCAATGTAGCGCATGGCAACGGTGTTGCCGCTCTTGGCAGCGGCGCCCTTTCCAAGCTTCTTGTCGTCCATCTTCACGCCCTTGATCTCCTTGACACCGAGAGTGCCGGTGGTCTCGGCGGGCTTCTTGTCCTGAGCCGAAGGCGTGGGACCCTGCTCCAGGTTCTTGGCGAACTGGACCTTCTTGGCCTCCTTGCCCTCCTTACCATCCTTCTTCTCCTTCTTATCCTCGACCGGGGCGGCGTCACCGTTGTTCTTCTTCTGCTTCTTCTGCTGCTTCTTGCTCAGGGCCTCCTCGCCGTTGGGCTTCTTGGCGGATTTGGCCATGAGGTCGTCAAGGCCAGCAGCATCTTCGTCAGACTCGGCGGCACGCTTGTTTTTGCCCTTAGCCTTGGCAGCAACGAGCTTAGGAGCCTCCTCCTCGCTCTCCACCTCGGTGATACGGGGGTTCTCCAGAGCGTCGAGCTCGTCATCCTCGTCGTCCTCGTCCATGAGGTCGCCCATGTCGAGCTCAGCCTCATCGGGAGACAGATCGTAGTCCTCATCCTCTTCGTCATCCGAGTCATAAGGAGCACGGCCCTCGTCGAGGGGCATCACATAGTTTCCGGTCAAGTAGATAGTGTGGGTACCAGTCACCTTGAAGAAAACACGCTCATCCTCGGAGATGGTAAGGTCCAAAGGCTGCTGGTAGGTCTACAACGAAAAAAACCATTAGCATAGAGCCCCAAGAATAATCAATGATCACAAAGACGAGAATGGTTGAGACTCACCTGTGCAGGGTCCAGAGTGCAGACAACGGTTTCCTCAAGGTCCAAGCCCTCTTCAGACTCGTCGTCCTCGTCGTCATCGGTAGCGGGGGCCTTGCCCTTGACGAGTTTCGAGATAGCCGCCTTCAGGTCAAACTCTTCGTCCTCGTCATCCTCGTCGTCATTCTCCTCCTCATCGTCCTCCATGGCCTCCTTAAGGGCAGCGAGCTCCTTAAGCTTGCGGGCCTTCTCCTTGTCGCTGGGGCCGCCATTGACCTCCTCATCGTCGGAGTCCTCCTCGGAGTCCTCATCCTCCCACTCGTCATCCGAGTCGCCGAGGTTCATTCCGGGAGGAGCGCGAATGATCTTCAGCGTGGCCCTAGGGCGCTTGTTGGAACCATCATCGAAGTCGGGTTCCTCGTCGGGGTCGACGGCAGCCATGCTCACGCGCAACTAAACCGGCCGAGTCAGCACAATTCTTCCAGGGTACACAGCATCAAGGGTTACCAACCATAGCGGCAGCATCGGGGACAGCGGGAAGCAGAGTTCCTCCGGGGGGAACCCGCAGAGTGTAGACTGCGACAGGCTGGATTCCAGACATTGTGAAAACGGGACGCAGAAATTAAAAAGAAACCCGAAAAAAGAAATCAAGAATGAAGAAGCAGAAGGAGATTCAAACAAAATCAACCAACTAATTGACGGAATGGGGAGAGAAGAAGGAAGCGTCCGGGAAGAAGAAGGAAGAGAAGGAAGCACGAGGAAAAGTTTTGAGATGGAGATGGAGACCAACCGTTGCCCGGAGCACTAAACCACCTCGGGCCTTTTTTTTTTTTTTTTTTTTTTTTTTTTTTTCGGCACTTTTCTGCTCCTCGCCACCGCCTGCCCGAGTTTCGACCAATCACATCACGTGGGGGCCACCGCCTTTTCTGCTCGTTCTGACCGCCCCACATGACTGCCCACCTGACTGCACATGACTGCACATGACTGCACACGACGCCGGCAGCTCCTCGCGCGTCTTCTTCTTCCCTTCATCAAGTGGAACCTGGTCGGACCATGACCCCGTCGTTGGCCCATCATGGGCTCTACGCTCGATGCCAACTCCAGTGCCGTGCGCAAACGCATCGAAAATCGTAGGTGACTCTGCTGCAGCCAGATTCAACCTGTCTAATCCATGGGACAGATCACTTCGAAGATGAGGAAGGCGAAGAATATGGCGCGTCCGCCTTTGGTGGGTTCAGCGACTATATGCGCCGGAAGAAGATCAAGCTGCAGAACCTAGATGCGGAGATACGCTCGTCGGCCGCCGATTGCCCTCCCATCTTTCGAGGAGTGGTAGCCCATGTCAACGGCTATACCCAACCCTCATTGCAAGATCTACACCGCCTCATCGTAAGCCATGGAGGGGGGTTCCTTCAGTATCTTGATGGCAAGACAGCAGCGACCCATATCATTGCCAGCTCGCTCACGCCCAAGAAACGAGAGGAATTTCGAAGATATCGCATTGTCAAGCCCGCCTGGATAGTGGAAAGCGTGAAGGCCGGACGCATGCTTCCCTGGGACGCTTTCAGGGTCGTCGACGAGGGACAATCCCAGAAAGTTCTTAAGTTCGATAGTGGCCATTTTACTAGTCAGACAAACAGCCCGCAATCCGGCTACAAAGACCAGACTAACTCCAGCTGGTATACGGAACAGCTCAAATCCTCGGCGAACGCCAATTCGTCGGGATTGAAGCCGCTTTCACCTGGATCTCCCACGCCTTCTCATGTGCTCAGTCAATCCATAAAAGAATCGCAGTCGGATTACGGTGACTTTCCCAGTTTCGCCTCCCTTGACGAGCCCACCGAAAATACGTCCCTTCGTAAAACCCATGAACTTGCCAACACGGTGGATAGCTTAGAAACCGATGCAACTGCACAGAATTCCATAGCTCCTCGTTCGCCACCTCCCCCCGATAATGATCAAAGCAATGTTACCCCTTCGCGAGCTGTTCCGAGGTCGAACATGACCTCCGAAGAATACAACGCCCAGCTTCTGTCAGATGAGCGCATGAAAAGCTCGAGTGTTGTGAATCCCGAGTTTCTCCAGCAGTACTACAAAGAATCTCGTCTGCACCATCTTTCCACATGGAAAGCTGAGTTGAAAGCCCAACTTCAGTCGGCGGCGAAAGAGAAGTCACAATCACGAGTCGGACAGCGAAGGCATGCCCCTGGGGCAAGAAGGTATATCATGCACGTGGATTTCGATTGCTTCTTTGCCGCGGTTTCCACGCTTCAACATCCGGAGTTTGAAGGGAAACCAGTTGCCGTAGCGCATGGCAGCGGCTCGGGCTCGGAGATTGCAAGTTGTAATTATGCCGCCCGAGCACACGGGGTCAAGAACGGCATGTGGATGAAGGGCGCCTTGCAATCTTGTCCTGACCTCAAAGTTGTGCCATATGACTTTCCTGCATACGAAGAAGCAAGCCGAAAATTTTATAGTGCCATTCTCGCGATCGACGGCATAGTTCAAAGCGTCAGTATTGATGAGGCCTTGGTAGATATCACTTCGCAATGTCTGGAGACTGGCGGGACCGATGGGAAGGGCGTGTCTGAGGGCTCTATCTATCGCGAACAAGCCAAGGCCGAAGAAATCGCTCAAGTCTTGCGAATCTCCATCAAAGATCAAACTGGCTGTGCAGTTTCTGTTGGAATCGGCGGCAACATCCTGCAGGCAAAAGTTGCTCTACGCAAGGCCAAGCCGGCTGGACAATTCCAACTCAAACCCGACGCTGTCCTCGACTTCATTGGAAATCTTCCCGTCCAAAATCTTCCAGGTGTTGGGTATAGCTTGGGGACCAAGCTAGAGGAGATCGGTGTCAAATTCGTCAAGGACATCAACGATCTGTCTCGCGAAAGGCTTACTTCTACTCTGGGGCCCAAGACGGGAATCAAGATGTGGGAGTATGCTCGAGGTATCGATCGCACAGAAGTTGGGAATGAAGTGATGCGAAAGTCGGTGTCTGCGGAAGTCAACTGGGGGATCCGATTCGTTAACCAAACCCAAGCCGAGGATTTCGTCACTTCGCTGTGTGGTGAACTACATCGAAGGCTTGTCGAGAATCTAGTGAAGGGCAAACAATTGACTCTGAAGGTCATGCGACGATCAGCAGATGCCCCACTGGAGCCCGTCAAGCATCTGGGCCATGGGAAGTGTGACGTCTTCAACAAGAGTATCGTGCTTGGAATAGCCACGAATGAAGCCGAAGTCCTCGCCAAAGAAGCCAATTCTATGCTCCGAGGCTTCGGGGTCTCGCCGGGCGATCTACGTGGCTTGGGGGTTCAAATGACCAAACTTGAACCTCTTTCCTCAAGCACAAGTGGGCGGCTTGAAAGCAGCCAGAAGCGACTCACTTTCAAGGCTTCTCCCGTTCGCAAACCCATGGAACAAAGTATTGATCCAGACAACTTGAATAGCCCTCGCAAAGGAGATTCCGAATCAGTTTCCCATGGGCCTTCATTGAACGACAGTGCTCACAAGCCTCTCAACATTTCGGGTAGCCAGTTTATCATGCCATCTCAGCCGGACCCAAAGGTGGTTGCAGAGCTTCCGAATGATATCCGGTCCAAACTTGTAGCGCAAGGCAAGCGTCGACGGGATTCTCGGTCTGTCTCCCCGTCTCCAATCAGTCGCCAGGCGCCTCGGCAACAACCTCAATCAGCTGCTACAGAGCTTCCTCCTCAGTCCCAACTTGACCCGGAGACTCTAGCGGCACTCCCAGAAGATGTTCGAGCTGAGGTACTGGGCTACTACAATCCACCGTCAGAGAATTCAGACGTTCAATATGCACCAGCCCCTGTGGAACCTTCGCGTCCGTCCTCCTCCGGGTCGTTGAAGTTTAAGAAACCCACGACACCGATCAAAAAACGACGCGGTCGTCCGAGTTTAAAGCCGTCCGATAATCTCATGCAGTCGAAATTCCTTTTCCCTAAAGCTACGACGTCTAATCGCCCTGATATATCAGTCTCTCAGCAGCTATCCCCTTCGGAGGACACAGAAGAAGTGTCGGCCGAATTCCTTGCAGCGCTCCCTGAAGACATCCGTCGTGAAGTGCTTGAGGAGCACCGACGAGCTCGCATGCTACAACGCTCGACCAACGGTTCTACAGCAGTTCCCAGGGCAGCTCCAGCCAGAAACCTCTCGGCTCCTATCCCTCAGACACAGGAGCCGCGACTTCAACTTCCCCCTCTCCCAGAACGACCCACCTTCACCTCGCTGAAGCTGTCCAGTTTACCAGACCTCCGTGAGACAGTCGACTCCTGGCACGCCGCCTTTGCTGAAGACGGCCCATTTGATGAAGACGTAAACGCTCTCTCGGGGTACTTAAAGCGAGTCGTTGCCGACGAGAAGGACATCGACAAAGCCGTCTCCGTGGTTAAATGGCTCATGTGGCTCGTCGATGATGCGAAGGGAAATCTATCCCGATCATCTGACACATCTTCTCTTCCAGGGCCGAGTGGAAGCTCCCAGAACGTTGTTCCGTGGGATGATGCCGTGCGATCTCTTCAGCAGAGCATTCAGGATGGGTTAGAGGAACGGGATCTGCCTCCTTTTGAATTTTCTTGATGCCCTTTTCTTTTCTTTTCTTTTCTTTTCTTTTTTTTTTTTTTTTTTTTTTTTTTTTTTTTTTTTTTTTCCTCCCGCAATGACGGTATCTATTAATAGAATAATCATTAACTCGGATTGGTCTTCACGATTGGAATATATGTGTTTTTGCTTTTTGGGTATATATACTATGCTGTATATATTTAATTGTTATGTGTCAATTGACCACTATGCTACCTGCAAACCAATCACCGAATGTACACAAGGGAAGTGAGATTTTGTACGTTTATATAAATAGAACGAATCCTATTCTAATAAAACAGAATACTACCAAACTCTGTAGTTCAATTATAACCCGAATCATGTAACCGATAAGAGCAGATTATCTCTAGTAGTCAATATGAATTCGGTAACAAATCAGCCCAAAGCCCTAAAACTCCCGATTCGGAATGAATCGGCTGCAACGAAGGAGCTTATGCGTTAGTCGACCAACACTCCTTCCTGAAATAATCAACCATCTTGCCCACCAACGCCTCATCCAACGGCTTCGCATCCGCCAAGGAAGCTGACGCCTGTCTTGCCCTTTCAGTGTGGTATTGCAACGACCGCCGGGGCTTCTGGGTATCATATTTACTGGCAAAGAAATCGACCAATTTAATCGGAGGATTGGCGACGGGATCCGGGTTCGACGTTCTCAGTCGTCGGATCCACTCACGCTGGTCGAGTTCCTCGAAGTTCAAACCCGCGCGGCGAAGATGAGGGAGGAGATCCCGGGTCCAGTGGAAGGGGTGGTGGCTGACGATGTTGAAGAGGAGGTCGGTGTCGACCGCAGGGGAGGTCGTTCGATCGGACAGGGAAAGATCGACTACGGTGCCGGCAACAACATCAACAGGTAGCCAGAGCGGCGACTCGTCGAGTTTCGGGAGCGCTCCGATGGTCGTGGCGCTCTGGAGCATGAGGGGAATGGCTTCAGTGGCGTTCCAGATGCCGTGATCCTGGTCGCCGATGACCTGACCGATTCGGAGAACCCGCGCGCAGATACCGGTCTGTTGGGCCGCTTGGATGCACAGGTGTTCGGCGACGAGTTTGGACTGTGCATAGCCCATCTTTTGGGCATAACTGAGCTTCAGGGGCAGGGCTTCGGGGATCTTGTTTCCTTCGGTGTTGACGACAGAGCTGACGGATGAACAGAAGTTGAAGGATGCGGGAGTTGGTCGCTGAGCCTTGAGGCAGAGGTTGATGAGATTCTGAATTCCACATATGTTGTCTTTCTCGAAGCTGCGGAGATGTAAATTGAAGTTGACGGACCAGGCGCAGTGGATCACGTCGGTGATTTCTGAAGATAGCGTGCTGTACATGGCTGTGTCCAGCCCCAGCGTCGGGTGGGAGAGGTCGGATGGAAGCGCGATGAGCTTGCTTTTGGCGGCATCAGAAAGACCGCTAAAGACTCTTCGAGTTTTCATAGAATTGAGCAATCGACCGTAAGCCTCAATTGGAGAATTGGCGCGGACAAGACAGTAGATCTTGGTGACGTCCCCCTGGGCCGCAAGCTTGGCGATAGCGTGGCTTCCAAGAGAACCAGTTGTCCCTGTCACAACCTGGTATTGTTAGCACTCTGTGATTTGGTAGAATAGACAAAGTTTAGCATACTATGTATTTTCCGCTCAAGCCATTTGGACAAGGCCTGTGCGTATGGAAGTGACTGTATTGCGATATCAAAGCCGCCATTTGATCCTCTACAGACTCCACGCCATTCGTAGCCCCAGAGCTGAGGCTTGTGAGGTGACGAGCTAGTAGATCGATGCTGGGGTTCTCGAAGGCAACGTTCATCCCAAGTCTTTGTCCATTAGTATTGATCGTTCTCACAAGAATTGATCGTAGCTGTGAGGCCTGCAAAGAATCCATGCCAAGGGCGAAGAAGTCTGCATCGTTAGTCAGGTCGCTTTGATCTTTGGGAAGAAGAAGCTGGAGAAGCTGCTCTCTGATGAACGCCTTCAGCTCCGCCTCGGGTAAAGTCAAGGAACCGGTCATGGCATCCTCCGCTTCGTACGCCTCTTCAATTAGTGAGCTGAACTCTCTATAGAAGGCCTGGCGAATGAAAGTTCCTTTGTCGGTGCGAGAATACTGGGTATCAGCTGGCAGAACTCGAACCATGTTTCTCGAAAGCTGCCCATAGGCCGGCATTGCCTCGTGTGCTTTCTCGACGCTGGGCCAAATCTCATTGATGAGGTCTTCGTCGGAAAGAGAAACAGCTGCAGGGGATCGGACAACCACTAGGCCAATGCTCGCCTTGCCAGATCCAAATACAATAGCCTCCGCAACTGCACCATGCTGTCGGACTCGCCCTTCCAGATCCAAAGGGTTGACCTTCTCCCCATTGACCAGAGGAATAGTGTCATCCAACCGAGCATAGTATTTGTAGGCTTCGAGTGTAGGGTGCTTGATGAACAAGTCCTTTGTCGCGTAAGAGCCATCCGGTCTATTGGACATCACCTTTGAAGGCCAGCCATCGAGGCAGATCAATTCGAAGATTCCGGGGAAGCGCTCTTCAAAGCGCAAAAACTTTTTAACAAGTCCGTCAGGTCGCACGTAGTCCCATTCCTTGTCTCCAGGTGGTCGGATTGAGCTCATGAGCTGACCTGTCTCAGTCCTGTGCCGGGTGAATTAGCAAGAATAAAACCCATGAGTTCTTGACGTAATGAACTTACGATCCATAATGGCTGATGAGGGGAACACCATTGGCAACGAGTAAATTCCCGAGCGAATCTGGACATGCTGATCCTCCAAACATGACTGCTTTAAATTTCGAGAGAACTGAGATTCCTTCTTCAGTTTCGGCAAGTAGCTTCAAAGCGTATGGAACGCCGTAGAAGATTTCTAGCTCACGCGATTTCATTATATCGAGCAGGTTCTGTCTAGTGAGTGGGGACTTTGCGCTGTAAAGGTATAGCCTTTTGTTCGAGTAGATAGTTCGGAAGAGAACACTGATTCCATGGTTGTGATACAAAGGCAAGGTGATGAAGCCAGACATGTTCATGTTGTGGGCATAGTTCTTGATGGCAGCCCCATGGGTCTGGAAAATCGGCTTGGGTAGCCCGGTCGAGCCACTGGAATGAATAATCCACGAGATATGTTTGGATTCTTTTTCAGGATCAAGGTGCGGGACGATATTGGTGTCAACGTCAACTTCGGTGGAAACAGAGTAATTGTAGGTCTCCTCAGTCGGGATCTGGGCCGTCTGCAGGCCTGGAACCAATTCCCGAAGTTCCTCCGCGGTACTCGTAAAAGAATCATGAACAAACAGATTGTTCGAGTTTGTTCGTTCCAGAAGTGAGACGTATGCTTCGTTGGACAATCGTGTCGAAAGCAGGAGGCCCGTGTGCCCCAATTTAGCCACTGCCAGTAGCATGACGAGATAGTCGAGATCAGAGGGCCCCAGCAAACTAATGACCGCTGGGGCTTCCGATGAAGATGAACGAGGAGGGATACGCGCAGACAGCACCTTCGCGACTCGGAAAGCAAAGATGTCCAGTTGGTGGAGTGGGTAATCAACATAGTCTGTGCCTGCTTTGGGGTAAGAAATCACAGGCTGCGCTGATCCCAGGGCCGCACGCTGTCGGACAAGCTCGTCGATTGTCATTGGCTCTTTTCCTTTTTCCTGGCCATGATGTCTTTCGTTCATGGGGACCGTCTCCAGTGGCGAGACTTGGACATGGTGTGCCAGTAGCACATTCAGTGGTTTTGCGGCAGGTGATTCCAACATGTTGTCAACAGGTGTTTCTCGGGAGAGTAGTTGACCAGGTTCGAAATGACAGGGCAGTGTCCGGTCTTTAAATAAACTTACCCTGCCTGATCCACTGCTTGAAATGTATGTGTCGATGTGATAATCCGTCCCTGTTTCGGTTCTGCAATTAGTAGGCGGAAAACCTTGAGCGATCCCGGATTCTTTTCCGGGCTGAAAGTAGAGCATTCTAGTTCACAGGATAACTGCCGGATGAGCACCAGATAGTGTGATAAATGAAAAGGACTACTCTTAAGCTAATCCACTTGATGAAAACATTCCTATATACTTGATGCCTCTTCAAACCGCCAGCACATCTAGCGTAAAAATAATACTAAACCTTCCTTATGGAACACGAGATCTAGAAGGTAATGGCCGTGGGATCATTAGGCAGGTTCGAAAATGCCTAGGTAGATTTTATTAGTCCAGAGCCAAACAAGCAACGTTTAGTACTCACCCAGGAGTCGAGCTGAGTCCACCAGATTGATCCATCAAGATTATCCAGCAAGCCCATGTCTTCAGAGGAATCAAACTGGCCCGTTAGGTCTGGTGCCTGTAAGCCCCCTAGATAGTTGACAGAATTTTCCTCCCATGAGCTTTGGTGCACAGGAACCGCGACGTTGATATTTCTTTGTTCAAAACAACTGTCCTGGGTACCAGACAGAGTCGAGGTATTATTTCCTGGTGGCTCCTGCTTCAAGCAAGGTCCAATTTGCCGGTGCACTTCCAACCTCAGTTCTTCCAAAATGATACTGTAACGACGACTTGGGCAGTTCTTGCGAGTAGCTTCGGCAAGATGTTGTTGGCAAACTTCAGCCAGACTGAAAAGTGACCGCAGCCGATTGCGATCCTCAATAGGACTGGTTGGGCTTTCCGATGATAGCTGCCACTGCTGAATTGTGTATATATAGACCACTATAATGGCACAGAAACACACATAATGGGTGAACCAAAATGATTGAATGAGGATGCCTTGCTTGGCAAGGCTATCCACTAGTTTCATGATATCATCCGCGGCGTCAATACATTTGCGTACATGGCTTGTCACAGTGGGATGTGGTACCGGCGGCCTTCGACTAAGGTCGGTGAAATCATTCAGAAGAAATGACCGCGTTGCATGGATTATCGCATGTGAATATGCAAGTTGTAAGACCTGACTCTGTCGGCAAAGTGGTGGGATAAGACTGGTCGCACGCACACTGTTGAATATGGGCGGTGCTGTTTCCTTCCATTTCTCAAGCTCTGACGTGAGGCGTGCAGCTGTTTCCAGAGATTGATCTCGAGATTGCGGACTGATAGTGTATATCTGACGGGATATTTCACCTACTATGCGTCCGAGTCTGTTCCAGATAGGCTGATTAGCGTTGATGGAATTCTAGGAATGTATTGGGAGACCCACTTAAAGTGCAAGACGGACGCAATCATCATACAGTCCGGAGAGCCTGTTCGCCTCTCGGGATCATCTTGCACCATATCATCATCGTTCATTTCATCCGGGAGCTCTTGGTCATTATCCTCGTCGTGAAGAAGACGCGGCCTCCCGAACATGACGCTCAAGTATTTATCCAGAGTGTAGGCGCTCCAGAAAATGCGCTTGCGGAGCTCACGTTCCAAGTAATTGTTCCCGTGCTTTGAGAATTTGGCAGAAGATTTTCGATGAAGACCCAGTGCGGTCACCAGTTGCAGTGCCGTTCCGAAGGCGTACCAGCATTCATTGGCCCGAGACGAGGAAAGAAGGTATAGACATTGGCCCAATCTTGCTTGAACGGTCTCCAGCCGCGGGGGCCCGAACTCCAGAGACGTCATACGTTTCGATGCGGAGTACCATCGCTCACTATCAAAGCTCAGCACCCCCATTTAACATGCATGGGAACTGAAAGGATGCAATCTCACCTTCCATTCCAGGGGTCCACATCGCTTCCAGGTCTTTTTTCCTCGTATAGAGTGGTTACAGCAAAGATTATGAGAATGATGGCCGTTCTAGCAATCAAAGGTCCAGCCGGAAGATTCGAAGATGAGATATTGCTCTGGTATACTTGCTTAAGCCATTCCTCCACACTGCCTCTGTGCAGGAATCGGTAGGTCACCATGGAGAAATCGAAGTACGTATCCACCATCTCTAGGGCCCTTTCGTACGGGGGCAGAACGAACCCAGTTTCCCGGTAGTCGGAATAAGGCTTGTCGCCAAACATAAAAACCGACGTGGTTTTCGAGACTGACTCATTTTGCAGTTCGTCAGGAATGGCACACAATTCGTCCTGGTGGAGACGACGCCAAACTCTGTTGAGAAATGACACACCAGACGCCGGACCTAGATAATTTCCCTCAAAATCCGTGACTACTGGGTCCGGCGAGTTACGACGTGAAGCAGCAGACCCAAGCTTTGGGGCTTGCCGCCGGGCGGGCACATCAGTTCTGGGGGGACTCCGAGCGGAGTGCCGAGCAGGAAATGCTAAGCTTTGGTCATCCCGACCCGAAGCTGAAGACGGGCTCTCGTTCTCATCTGCCACCGAGTTAGACGCCGGTAATGGCTCGGGAGGTAGGCCTCTGGAGTAAGCTGCATTGTATTCGCAGCGGAGGGCTAGTCTCGTGCATCTGACGCAGGGACGCGTCCCGGAGCACCGAGTCTTCTTTTCTTTGCAGTGATCACAGGCCCTGGTGATCTTTTGCCTCGGTGCATTACCTTTGGGTGTTGAAGATTCGAGGGCCTTCCTCTTGCGTTTGCCACCAAGGGGGCCGAGGACTTCGGGGGACAAGTGCTGTCGGTCATCAGAGACTATCTCCACATCGCAAGCATTTCCGGGAGGAAGTTGTGTAACGGCACTAGCGTCGACAGCGGCGGCCATTGGATCGGCAGAGAATGCGTTTGCCGACTGTTCATTACCTAGATTAGACGTGGGTGCTTCGTCTAACTGGATTGTGTTTTCCGCCTCTCTTCTCAAAATGATGCCATGGGCAAGTAGAACAGATCTAGGGGAGGAGAGTATGAGAAAGGAGAAATTTCCGGACGAAGGATCGGAATTGAATCACTGGGCTTATGGTGCGGGGTTGGGGTTGGCCATGACTCCACCAGTGCGGGAGAAATCCGGGGCGCTAATAACTGACTCATGAGGGACGAAGATTGATGGAATCAATGCCCGAGTATGAGCTCATCGATTGCCGGAGCTTCATGCATCAGATGGAAAGGAAAGGGAAGGGAAGGGAAAGGACAAGACGAAGGAACGGCATCCCAGCAAGTCACCTGGCCTCTTAGTCAGCCCCTCTAGAGATCCCTCTCGAACAGACACCAAGACATGGACCCGTTAATCTACACCCATGGGAGAGAGAAGATGGTTTTGTTTTCGATTTGGCTGCATGACAAGGAGTGAGTCCCCGCATGAGAACCAGCGATACGCCCAGGAGAGGATAACATTCCTTTCAATTTCAGACTCGGAACTACCTATGGTATTGATGGAAACACCATTGGAAAACAGTGACCATTACTGCTCGTCCACTAGGGCTGATGAGCTCCAGGGGCAGGGATGTAATGGGAATATATGCTGCTTGGGATATATTAAGCTCGGGGTCTCCCCCGAGTACCCAAAATCTCCAGGTGCCTGGTTCTATCTGATGTTGCACGGCGTCAACTGCAGATACAATCAACATCTTCCACCGGACCAAGCTGGCTTGTGATTGACCCAGGTAACCTCAGTGTTGACCAAGAGCAGCCATAACGTTCAATCTCGTGGGGGAATGCATATCAACACTGGAAGCTTGGATGAAGGGAGAGGGGAGGAAAGAAGGAGGAGATGAAGAACTGGCGATGGACAGGAGGAAAATGGAGAAGAGGGGACCAGAAATTTTTGGAAGGACTATGGCTCGTTGACTGTAATCAGGCTGGCTAATCTTGCACGCAAACACAAAAAGAAAAGAGCCCCCCTCTTATCCCGTCGAAGGACAGCGTGTCGTGGTTTGCTATCGTCCTCACGAGACTAGGATAATTCTAGGTTCATAAAGAGAGGCAGCGTGGCGCAGTGGATAATCATCAAATTCGTCGACTCCGTCATTTCATAAACAGCGAGATTTCATTTTGTCACGGCCAGCCATCGGGGGTCATGTCGGGCATTTTGCCATCGGGGGTGGCATTCTTGCGGAAGTCCAACAAGTCCCCATCCTCTCTGGGCTTTTGGCTCAATATTTGGGTGATAACGGAGTGTATTTCCTTGTGCGAGGCGCCCGACCGAATGATGTTGACGATCGACTCGATGCTGGGACCATCACCGGATCGAATCGCCTCGAGCAACTCTTCCACAAAACCACGATAGAATTTCAGACTTTCTTCGGTGCGTTTGGCGGAAATTTTTCGCCGTTTATCGGCGAACTCGTCGACAATACACTCACGACCGTGGAGGGCGCATTCTGAACACGGGGAACCGGCCGTTTCGGCAGCGTTGCACTAGAAGTGATGGCTCCCTTTAGCAGAGGCTCTGGGATAAAAGGACCGGAGGGTGTAACAAGGAACAAATAAGAGGGACACCTAAAGCCAGATTCAACTGATCGCAACGCCAGAGTCCATGGGCGACCTCACCGAACGGTCGATTGAGGCCACACTCGTGGGAGGGTCACAGTAAAAGAAGCCAAGATAGGAGGAACTCACCTTCGTTCGACGTCGTTTGCATTCGGTACAGGCCATGGAGGCTCTTTTGATCTTCCCCTCCTCCGGAGGTGGCCCCGGTGTAGGAGGATCAGGGAACGACCTGGGGGCGATGGGCCGTAATGGCCTGGACGGCCCTTGCTGGGCCATGGTCTAACAAAAGCGTCTAGGGTGGTCGAAAATACTCACGACCGAAAAAAGCATTCAAAGATGAAGAAGAGAAAAATAAATGACTAAGGGCATGTTCCGCGCGAGGAGGCACGTCCAACCTATAATAAACGTCCAGATCATGCTCCCCAGGGAGACCACACGTGTGAGATGCTAAATTATTCACGCTAATTCAATTTCCTTGCGCAGCGATTTGCACGCAACAAGCGCCGTCCATCGACCGTCGGCCATCGAACGCGAGAGTGGGTAGGTGGGCAGTGGACGCAGGCAAGCCTGGCAGAAGGGGGTTATGAAAAACGGGGGTTAAAAAAAAAAAGAAAAAGAAAAAGAAAAAAAAAAAAAGAAAAGAACATAAACGGGGAAAAAAAAATGAAATATTTTAAAATCATTGCGTAGCGTCCGCTTAGGGGGTCTTCCCAAGAACAGCTGGTCCTCCCGGCCGGTTGTTTCCAGGCACGCCCAAGCGACAGAGCGCGTGGAAACAAGGGCGTATGAGGCAAGCTTGAACTCTCTTCTTGACCACACCAAGGGAAGCACAATAAATTAGGTTCAGACGGTGACATGACGAGTGAAAAGACTGCATCCACTAAAGCGGCAGACACATTAGTCAGGCTCTGGAGAAGAGCTCGAGTGCCATGGTGGTGAGGAAACAAGGCTGTCTTGAAGAATGGGTATGTATCCACACGTACATTGCCCATCTAGGCGTTGCGTTTCATTGTTGCGTAGCAGGAGATTTGGGTTTTATGATTCCAAATTTCTCTGGGCTGATACCGTTGGGCTTTTCTATTTTATTTTCCCCTGTCATTGACCGTACGCCAATGGACGGATGATAGATCATGATCGATCGAAGGGGTTCTGTCACCGGGTTTTTCGTGGACTCGGGATTTTTATTTTGTTTCGCGCTCGGTGATTCGGCCATGGCCTTGGGACTAGTGGTTGAGTGAAGGGGGAGGGGCGCTTGGTTGGATTCCAGTCTCCTCCCGGAGTCATTTTCCGTCAGTATCGATAGGCCAGCAGTGGAGCAATCCGCCGGGAACGTAACCCCAATTACGGAGCATGTAGTTGCCATCCACTGGGTCGGACGTACTAGTCTCCAAGAGTCGCATCCAATTAGCACCAGTGGCAGAGACCCAGTGATGAATTCGAAGACGGTCTGACCTTTGACGGCTCACGGGAGGAGCATGGGAGACGGACGGGGGTTTGGCATCGCGAGGGTTTGAGGCAGAGGATGACTACGTCGTAGAACGCGATGTTGCGGATCGACGCCGTCGCCAAGCCATGGCGCACGTGACCGGCGCTGACCTGGGACGGCGCGCTAGGCCGCAAAGGGGAAGGCCGGGCTGCGTATCAGCCGTCCGAGGGGCGACTTCATTCCTCCATCATCTCTCCAATTCATCGCGATCATCCATCGTCATAGCCAACGCACGGCCAAGCCAATATGCACACGCACGCGCTCTCTCCGATCCTCCCTCCAGGCGGCTGCTTTCCATGGAATTGACCATCATCTCCCGGATTATAGGTCATATACTCGGGGGGGGGGGGGGGGCATTCAAGGTTTTCCTGCGGCACGTCCCATCCATTCTTGCGCTGGATGTCGACCACGGTACTGGGGGAGCATGGACCTGAGAGAGGCACCGATGCACCGATGCGAAACCGTTGAGCAACTTCCTATTACGACAGTGCAGAGGAGCGGCGTGAGTGATCGTCTTGGGCCGCAGGGTGGATGCCAGCAATCGTCGTCTTGACTCGAGCATTTCGGAATTCTCATTTCCGAGTCTGGCTGGAATTAGACAAAAAGCTCTCGGCGGGTCGACTATTGCAAGGTCCTTCATCCTACTGGATTAGTGCTCGGTGGATATAGATACCTGATTGGGCAACATCGGGATCTGGCGCCTGGGGTGCCTATGGACGGGCAAGAACCATCGTGGATCAGCGAACGCATGACAATAAACATTCGGGCTGCGGTGGCAACTTTTCGTGCATCCTACCGATTCCTACCCCTCACCCTCGTAACGCCCTTTCTTTGCTTTTCTGTTCTGTTCTGTTCTTTTTTGGGAACAAGCGCGACAGAATGAACGAATGATCGATGCTCGGACGCAGCCACAGATGCCTCGATAACCTATGGGACAGAAGACGTGGTTAGTACCGATTACCGAGTCTACCAAGCTCCGATTCTCGTCCTGACAATCTGGAACGGCCGAGCAGACTAACTTCCCCGAGAGCGCCGCGATCCCCCGATGCCCCGCATCCGGACTCGAAAATTACTCATAAGCAATGGAAATTATACAGGCCATGCTAGATTAAACCTGATCAAGAATTTAACAAGGTGAGTTATGGGAATCTTATAAAGCAAGAAAAACATAAGGATATCCAACGAAGAGAATGCTGGGTGTCAAAGCGCCAAGGATATTATAACGTGAGCAAACAACCACTGAAAAAGGTCGACGAAAAAGCCAATAAAAACGACTCAAAGAAAAAAAAGAAATAAATAAAAAAAAAAAAGAAGAGATAGCAGACCAATCGAGCCCAAGGTCAAAACCAGCCCCTTCAGTATATGGGCCGTCCTTCATCCCACTTTCGCGACTGCCCGGGACTTCTTGCCATGGCGTTTTCATCAGGATGCTGGGAGTTCTCAGACAATGCCGTGAAGTGCACCTTATTGCCCTCTCGCTGACGAGTGGCGCTCCCTTCGACGTCTGCACGAACACTTCCAATTCCTCCAATCCATTCCCATGATCGTGCAACATCTCCACCCCGGCCTTCACGGACCGCGGCTCTGATGTTGGTATTTCCTTCGACAACGTCGCGGACCCGCCGCCAGAGATCTTCACGCCGGCTGCCCCGTAATTCCGAGCGTAGCACGTCGTCACGCAGTTGTCCAATTGGAATATAAGGCTCGCGAGCCTCGCCGCGGGCATGCAAAGCTGCCTGAGTTGCGAGGCGGTCTAGCGTTGTAGCGACGAGTTCCGGGACCCTTGCCATGTCCGAACGACGGGCAATAACCCGAGACCGCACATATACCAAGGTGCCTAGGAATACCACTAGAATCGAAAGAGGTAGTCGATACGCGAGGAGAGAGAGTCGGACGTAGCGGCGGAAGGCGCATGTGAGAGGGAGTCGGGTGACGGATGTAGATGTGAGGGTGAGGATTGAACTGTAATTGTTTTGTCGCCTCTGTTAGTTCCGGTATACATGTCAGAACCACGAAATCTTCGACCCCGACGTAGCCACCACACGTAGGCGCCACGAGCTGGGACTACAGGCAAAGGAAAGTCCGGCAAACTTACTGTTTAGTTTTGCTGACGATCTCCTCCTTTCCGACAACCTCACCCAACGCGCCTTTCCAGAGGCTGTCGAATTCGGCATCGCTCATTCCCTTCCGTCGCTTTCTTCCGACTTCCTGCTTCAGCTCCGATTCGCTAATCTCCGGCCCAGACGCTTCTCTGCCGTGCTCGGTGAGCTCGCCGCACTCCCACTTCGCTCTTCGATCACGGAGCTCTTCAATGGCCTTGTCCGCGACGGCTTTTACACGACGCGCCTTCTCGCTGTCAGGTTCACAAGTCGGGGGCAGGGGAATCAATCCTCCCAGCGCCAAAGGATGGGCTCGGAGGATGAAATCATGTTCACAACGGGCTTCAAAGTTCGTATAGCAAAACGCATGGGAGGGACACGGCTCGCATTGCGGTTCAAGCACATTGGCCCACTCGGGAACTCTCGTGTTGGCCAAGGACCAGGTGGGCTTTCCAATACCACAGAATCCAATTTCAATTTTCTCCTGTCGCCACCAACCCGCGAAACCACAAAGAAGGGCCAAGATGACCAACCAGGGAGCGGCTGTGCTTGCTGTTCCGTGTGTTTGAGGACGTCGATGTTGAGGAGTTGGGGGGTACATCAAATCCGCATGTTCTCTCTCCAGCGCCAACTGCTCTTCAGGCGTGAATTCTTCTCCAGCGCTGTCGTCACTTAGGTCGTAATCATCATCCACCTCAGGTTCGGAATATTCTTTAGGCGTCGCCATTTTGGAAATTTGAAACTCCGGCGAAGACCGAGCCGAAACCGTCGGCTCTGCATCGTAGCCTCGAAAAGTGCGCGCGTCAGACTTCCGAGCCCGTAGGCCTTGATTCAACGCAGGGCTTTCGGTCGCCAGATGTGCGCCGCTCTTCCGTTTGCTATCCCGGCTTGCACCTCTTCTCGAGTCCCAGGGAGCTGGAGAACTTCCACTCTGGAAAGGATTGTCATGTGTGAAAACGCTTTCCTCCTTAGGCTCCGCTTTGACAGAGTGGGCTAGCGGCTCGGGTTCGGTTGAGGGAGTCAGTTCACTTCTGCGCAATTTCCTGGCTGTAGACTTTCGGGGCGTAAAGGCATCAGCGGCTGTAGGGGTTGTCGGCACATCATTTTGCTCGACTTGTTCCGAGGGGCGAATCCGTTTTCCTTCCGATCTCGCCGTGGTTCTTCGCGAAGCCGTCGAAGGTGTCACCGGAACGTTGGTTTCTTCAGCATCGGCAGTCGACGCCCTAGTGCTCATCCGAGAGCGGCCCCTGCGCGCCCCAGTTGCCGTCGAAACTGTCGAGGGTGTCGGTGGAGGGGGCATTGAATCCCTAAATGCGCTCTCATGACGGTCATCGTAATCGCTCGCGACCGATGTAGCGCGACTCCCCATATCTGTGATTCCTTCACTTGTCCTCCTCACTCGTTCGCGTTCGCGCAACAGCTTTTTCGCCTTAGGAAGAACATCGCTCTCTAGAATTTGGATGAGCTGTGCTTTTTTAGCGGATGCCGGATATGAGACGTCATGGTTGACGAGGATAGATCGAAGACGAGGGACTGTGAGAGAGTTGAGGTCGAAACCAGGAGACAAATAATCCATTTCGTCCGCCATGGTCAAAAGCACACGGTGTCAAATTCACCGGGATAAAGGAAACACCAAGGATTCCAACTGTCAGAATTAAAACTCGTAAACGCGATCGCTGAGAAATATAGGGGAGGGGGGAAAAAAAAGGCACTGATGGTTTCAAATTGTCAGTTCCGGATCGTGGGCGTGAGAGAGCACGGTATCCACGGCAACACGGCGGGGCCAACGACAATCGTGCCACGCTAGCAAATGAACAGTTGTGCCTTTGTCGCAATAAAAGTGGCTAGTGACAGGTATGAAAGAACTTCACCATGAGCTCTGTCTGATCATCTTTAAAGACAGTGGATGAAGGGACCCGAAGAAGAGAAAAGAGATGAAGAATGAGATTGCAGGGCGATGACGACGAAAAGTCCGGAACAACAGACCGGTGCTTCACGTGATACGGCTGCCTTCCTGCCTCAGGCCACGGAAGATTCTCCATATATGTAGTTCAACCACACATTTCATATTTACCATGCTTCTACTACTTAGATGACCAATGTATGTCAAGGCCCAGCCATAAATAAGAGAGTAGAAACAAACGACAAGATTCATTCCCCGTGGGCTCCTAACCATGCTTTGAAATCCAGAATACCCTTCCGTTTCATGAGACGCCACTCCAGTTTAACCAAAAATGAAAATGAAAATGAAAAACATCGAAATAAAGGCAAAAGAAAGAACCAAACTAGAAGAAAAGGCAAATACAGGCGCACGCCGGCTGAAAATCACTCCCCAGAGAATCGAACTGTCACCCAAGACGGACTCCCGAGTAAGTGCGATATTAATGCAAGCCTAAGACAGATTCAACAAATGAATCAGTGGCTTCAAGAGGATGAGGATCATCTAAGGGTCTGACGACGACGAAGAAATGTCGTCACCATTATTTGGCATCATATTCGGTGGATACCTGGGAGATGCACCAGGAAAGTGAGCGGCATTTCCCGCAAGTTGCTCCTTAAGAGCTCGGTATTCGGCAAGCTGGGTTTGCAGTTCTTGCATCACTTCCCCAATAGGCACGGCATGATCGTTGAGTTGGTCCCCTGGCCTGAAGGGCCGCATCATGTGTCGAACCGCGAGTGTATTGATCGTCATCTAGAAAACATAGTGATTAGTATGCTGGGATGAAAAGGGAAAGGTCGGGGGTTGATAATCGTCTTTATCATACCTCAATTCGAGTCACCTGCTGTTCAACCAGGCTGAGCACCGTTGAATCAGCCAACTCCCCTCCATGATTTTTGACTACGTTGAAGAGTGCCACATTCGGTTCTTTGAGGCGCGCTTCGCCCGGGTACTCCAGAGCACCACAAAGCCTTTCCAAACGGAGCGTGATTTCCCACAATCGCCAGATCAAATCAGTTTGGATCTCGAGTTGGGAATGCTTGCTGATGGTCGTCGGGGCATTCTCATTCACCGCATCCTTTTCCAGGGAATTCAATCGACCGGACAGCGAATGTGGGTAGATAAGATAGAGAGGCTCGGGATTCTCCAGTCCTTTCAGTTTGCGCTCGCCCTGGTCCTTGATCACAAAGCCCAAGCTGTTCAGTTGCTGAAGTTCACGGCGAATGTTATATCCCAGGTTGTCTAGTGCGTAGCTCTCTTCGGAGCCGGTCGAGGCGGCACGCTCGCTGTCCGCGAATACCTCCAAATTGCGCTGGATATCGCTCATGAAATCAGAGGACACGAAAATTTGCCCCCCATCGGCAACAGCGGAGATTCGTGATGCACGGTTCACCATCGGGCCAAAATAATCCATGCGGTTCGTGACGGGATCCTTTTCACAAACAGGCTCACCCCAATGGATGCCCATTCGGACAGATAGTCCCCGGAAAATAATGTTGTCGTCCATGTCATATTGGACTTGGCATTGGGACTGATCAAGAATCTCTGTGGGCCACTCCGCTTCGAGTAGCTGAGTTTGACAATTGAAGCACCAGAGTAGAGCCGCCGTAGTTGTTGAAAATGCAACCATGAATGCATCACCCTCGGTTTTGACCTCGTATCCACCAGTTATTCCCAGTTGCCGACGAAGGATATCGTTGTGGATCTGGATCGCGGAACGCATTGCGTCAGGGCAGGTTTCCCACAGACTTGTCGATTTTTTGATATCGGTGAATATGATCGCCAATTCCCCAACCGGCGCATCCACGTAGTCGAACCGAGCAAGTCGGGAATCGCCAGGGACATCGCGTGGCTTCTTGGTGCGTTTCGTGCTTGGAATGATTTGTTCTTCAGGGGCGCCTAGAGAGACACTTGGTCGATTGTACTTGTTGTTCTTCTTCTTGAGGTCACCCACTCCGAGTACCATCACCATAAGCTTGTTACTGGCCCCAAAGGAAACAGCAAGGTCCCTTAGCTTTTGAGCCGCTATCATCATATCTCTTCGTTCGGCCCTCGTGACATCGACGACGACATCCGGCGTGACATAATCCCAGAGCTCCTTCGATGCAAGAATGATCATCTCGTCCTGTTCGGTGAGGTTGATATGCATGGTATGGGGAGCTGCGATAATCGCTGGCATATCAGGGAAAAACCCGAAGCACCTTGAGACAGGGATATCGTCGTTGAGCCTGCCGTTGCGGGTGAGATAGCCTCCAGCAGCCCGAATCCTAGCCCTTTCGTGGGGCTCGGTAGGGTCGTGAACCTTGGTCAGCTGCCTGAGCGAGCCATCTGATTTGACAAGGATTGCCTGGGCATCGCCGACGTTGGCAACATAAAGGTCCATCTCATTGAGATACAGTACGGTTGCAACACCACCGGTCCTGATGTCATGCTTGTTTAACCGCACCCTTTTCTGATCAGGCGTGTCGTCATGGTACTGTCGGACAACCTGGTCATCAATAGATTTGTAGCAGGCAAGAGCGATACTCTTGTTCAAACCCAAGAAAGTCCGCCGGAGAGCATCCAGCGGCGTTTCCTGCTCTTCCGGTCGCAATCGCTTCATCTGGCTCATGAAGGTGTTGACGAAATACTCATGGAGGAATTTGGCGATCTTTGAACCTTCGCCATAGTTGAATTGGCCATCGAATAGACCCACAATGGTCTCCAGCGTTTCTGTTTTCAAACGCGGCACGATGACATCGATGATGGATAGGTGGTCGTCTTTCCCTAGGAAATCTGCCATACCATAGGCAACTGAACCGGCGATTGATGAAGATGTTCTCACACGGCGATCTTCATTCTCCTCGGGGATAGTGGATGTCGTGAGAGTAACATCCATCAATCCTAGAACCCGCAGATGACTGAGAGAGTTGAAGTCGGTCAGATCGGTGCCTTGCGCGTTATTGTAGTTGGGCTTTATCTCCAACCGCTTGTTGCCGGAAAAATTGAGGTATTTCAGGTTCCGATTCCAGTTCCAGTTCCAGTCATAGGGCCAGTTGGAGACGTTGTATTTCAAATAATTGCTGCCGACGTCCAAAATGGCAAGCCTACTGACCTTACACAGCTCCGCTGGTAGGACTTGGAACTTATTCCCGTTGATATTGAGGACCTGCAAATTGCTTGATTCTTCAAGATCATCGGAAGGAAGGGCAGATAGCTCGTTACCCGAGAGGTACAGTTCAGACAACAAAGGCCATCGTCTGAGCAATCCCTGCGGCAACTCGGTCAATTCATTGTAAGAAAGGTTTACCACGCGCAAGTCCGGGATCAGCGAGAGCTCGCGGAAGATGTCGTCCTCCAAACGGTTGTCCGCCAGGTAAAGATTCTTGAGCGAGCCAACAAATGTAGATGCAGAAAGCTGCGAGAAATTGGAATCCTTTCTGGAAGATGGGCTTCCGTCGGTGTGGGAACGTGAGGTGGTAGACACTTTCCGGCCGCCTTGGCCGAAAGAAGACGCAACCGATGGCTTGCGATAACCTGTACCGTTGGGAGGGCTTCCGGTGCTCAAGACACCGGCTGAGGCCTGGCTCGGTCGACGAGTTTGACTTTCATCCAGCGCACCTACGTCTTCGTAACTTGGTGTTGCCGAGGGTCCTGGGGTTGTTGTAGGAGTGTTGCCTAGATCATTGAGCGTTGGCGGTTGAGAAGTGTGTTTCGGAAAGGCGTCCAGAACATTTGAAGAAACGTTAAGAGTCTCCAACTTGAGACAGTGCCAGATCTCCGGGGGCAATCTTCTGAGGTTGCACTCCCGCAAATTAAGATACCTTAACTCTGTTAGACATCCGATTGTGGGGGGCAGCGCAGCCAGTGGGTTTTTGATCATGCTGAAATACTCAAGCCTGCGGAGTCTGCCAATTTGCGATGACATCGACACAAAGTGGTTCTTATCCAGAATCAGCTTTGTCAGATTGGGTAGATTCTCGAACATGGAATCGCGCAATTGAACGAGCTTTGCTGAGCCCACGTTCAGCGACGTCAAAGTAGCCATGGGTGCATCGATATCGAACTGGGTCATGGGACAATGATCCAGGGCTAATATCCGCATTTTCGGGAAGGACCCTCTGAATCGTGAGATTGGGTTGTGACCGATCGACAGCTGCTCTAGACGTGGAAGCATAGAGAGGCTGTCAATGTTTGTTATTTCATTGAATCTGGCATCCAGTTCCTTCAAGTTGGTGAGCCCCTTAAACGTCTCACCCAAGGGGCCTCTCAAAGCATTGCTTGTGACGCAGATGCGCTCAACAGATGTCAAGTTTCCTATATTTGGCAGTTCCGCGATATTGTTGAAACTTAGGTCGAGGTCGATCAGGCTCTTCAAGTCGCAGACACACCGAGGCAATGTTTGCAGATTGTTGCACGAAAGGCTTAGGGTTCTCAGAAATTGGAAGTTTCCAAAGTATCTCGGCAAAGTGGTGAGTCTGTTGTTGCTCAGTCTGATGCAGACAAGACCCTGTATTTGGTCCAAACTCGCGTGTTCCAGGTCGTCCAGATGATTATTAGAGATGTCCAGCAGAGTTAACCGACTTGCAGTGCTAAAGCTAGAAGGTAGACGCGTGGCTTCGTTGCCTTTGAATATGATCTCCCGCAGGTTGACGCAGCCCTGAATGAAATCCTTCGGAACGTCCAATTCCAAGTTCCGCGACAGATTGAGTGTTATGATGTCCGAGCATCTTTTATATAAGCTGATGGGAATCGTCACAAGATTTCGGCTTTGAAGATCCACGGTGGTAAGCTTTTGGGATTTGCTGATAAAGGACTCGGTTCCACTTTGCAGGCTGCTAAGGCCGCTGAATTTGATGGGAAGAAAGGTAAAGCTAATCAAATAGCTATGGTCCTCCCGACCGACTTCTTCTAGCCTGTCTTTTTTGGTGTAGCCTACTTGTTCGAGCATTCGCTTTTGCATGAGGATTGGCTTTTCGGTGACATCCAGGGATCGAGACAAATCATTTCTCCGCATCACAATGTCATAGCTATTGAGATGCTCGGTGAGAAACGACTTTCGACCCAAGATAAGTAAGATGTCGGCGGCGGTGGCGTTGAGGCCCGTTGATAAGGTAGCGAACGTCGAGTCTATGCGGAAAACCCGTATAAAATAAGAAACTCCGGAGTAATCAGATTGTTCAGACGTAGTACGAAGTTCGTCGCCAGTCCCGGGAAGTAATGAAGTGTTGTCGTCCCACTGTTTTTTGACATGCCAGCTCTCCGGGGCATCCCAATTGCCCAGAGCTAAATTGTCAGGATTCCCCTCTTGGTCAATCGAGGCGCCGTCCATTCTGTTGGCATCGCCAGGAGGTGCCGGAGAGCGTTGCCTCACAATGCCTTCCATGTGCGAGAGATCTGTATCGAGCGGGTACACACGTTGCTCGTCCGGATTCGGGGTATCTCGCCCAGTGGCGTCGGCACCGCGGCGTCCACGCAGCTTCCCGGACCCGATCGCAAGGCTTCTGCCGTCCTTCTTCCGATCATCGGCTGCATCTCCGTATTTCGAAGTGGCAGTGCTCTCCAGGCTTCCCTGGCGGCCCCGGCGAGACGGAGAAGCTTCTCGTCGTGGAATTTTCAAGGAGCTCTTGGACGCATCCTGCAAGCCTGGGAAATGTTTCAAGGGACCATGGCCTTTAGGCCGACGGATCTTGTCGAAAAGCGACCGCTTATTTGGCTGAGGCCCGGGCGAGTTCTGCCCTTGCTCCCGGGAGTAGGCGCTTTGTACGCTCGGCGTAGGGCTGGTAGAGCGTCCAACCAAGGTACTGGATGAAGTCATCGCCGAAGTATAAGGGTAATTGAGACTACCTTCCCGGGAAGGACGTAATCCAAGGGAAAGATCGTCGCGTCCAGTCGCCGGGCGTGCCGGGTACCCAGCGAGATCGCCCGCAACGGTGGGTTTCTCCTCTTTGCTTCGCGAGTGGCGATGGCCGCTGAAGTACCGCCGCGATTGATCTCTTGACGGCCCTCGTGCATTGTGGCTGCCAGCACGTTGGCCGTCAGGCCCCGTTGGGGATTCGCGAACCGGGGCTTCTCCAAAGTGGGGGATATCCTGCAGCAGGCGATTAGACTCTACCGTCCATCGCAAGATGACAACGGGGGGAGGGATGGGATAGAGAGCAGCTTACATTGATGCTTTGGTACAACCACGGCGTAATTTCACTGGGCGGGTACGCGTTATCAGATCCCTTGTCTTCCTGGGAGAAGGATTGGTCATGCGATCGGCCCGGTAGGTTTCGTGTGCCATCCGAGTTTGCTCTTTCGCGAGCTCCATGTTGCGCCATGCGCACGGGTCCGGCGGCCGGCTTTTGAGAGTTGCCGTCAAAATCACCAGGGCCCGTATACTCGTCCCCAAAAAAGCCCTGCAACCGTTTCCGAAACCGAGCGCTGGTGCTAGACTTCGACCCTTGACTACTTACGGTTGTGGCACTAGCAACAGACGGTCTGCGATCATCACCATTGTAATCTAATTCGACCGGTTCGCTTGTATAGGTCCGCCCCGTCCCTGGACGAAACGTGGCAGAAGCGGGCGAGCCCTCATGTTCCGAGTAGTCATGGAAAAAGGTCCCCGGGCTGTCGTTGGGCGCGATTCTAGGGGATGAGGATAACGAGGAATTCTGTTCGTGCTGGAAGTAGTCGGATGTCGATGGATTCAGGTGCGCCGGCGGTCGCGACATTGAGCCGGAAGCCGGAGGGGGGCCAGGATCGTCGGTTCCCAGCACTGCCAGTGCTCTCCTATGACTGCCAAATCCTTTGTGGCGCTGATCCGTAGGTGAGAACTCCGGAGCGATCCACGTAAATTTCGGGTTGTATAGGTCGGGGGGAGCTTCTATGGCGGCCGGGCGTTTTCGGCTCTGGGAATCAGATCTGGTATACGTCAGTACCCCAACTCGATTGCCGTGCGAATGCTGCGAATATCAAGGGAAGCACCCGTGGGGGAGAAATGGACTGGTGATCAGGTCGCTGGTAGCCACGGCATTTTGTTTCGCAACCAAGACCAAGACAAGGGAAGAATGACCAAGCAAGCTAAGAACCACAATGCCCAAATCAAAAAGCAACCAGGATTCTGGTTGGATCAGATTCAAGATGGAATGTTCTAGCGCCTGTGAACCATCATGCATGTGGACAAAAAATAGCTGAAACATCATGTCTTGCTTCAACGTGTCGCATAATGCCGGTATTAAGAACGCCAGCACAGGGAGCGATACAAAGACCAGGGGGAAGAAACGGGAACGAGAGTCAAAAGATGGCTTTCTCACCTGTCGGCAATAGTGGGCCCCGAGAATGGAGAGACACTGCGGCCGTTGGACATGGCTTGATTCTGCTGCTGACGGTAACCGGAATTCCCTCTAACAGTCTCTTGTGATAGCCAGCTACGTCCACCGGAGCTCTCCGAGCTATGCCTCCCTTCGGAGCGCTCGCCAGTTCGAGAAGCCATGGCGTTCAAGTATGCGATGCGATTCTACCGGGTCCGGTGGCCGGAGTACAGCCAGCCGGTCGGGTCGGGTCGGTGATTATAGAGATTTCAAGGAACGGGGAAGGGAAAGAGAGAAGCAGCCCGCATTCAAGCAAGCGGATCCTCCGATATCAGCGATCATCCACGGATGGCGAGACCGGTGCAAGGGCGAGCGAGGAGCTGGAGTTGAGGAGGGAGGAATGAAGACAGCACTAGGTCGACTAGTGGCAAATATAATTATCGTTTACACGGAGGAGCAGCGGGTCGAATCCTATAAGATGCAATGAAAGCGGGAGGCGACAACAGCCCCGTAACGATCGAACGGCGTGCCCTCCGAGAGAATAAGGACCTGCTATGGGCGTCGGTCGGGAGGAGGTGTTTGGCGTCGGGCGCGACGGTGTCAAGACAAGCCGAGCTTTCATGTCCTGGAAGGCGAGCGGCAGCGGTCAGAAAACGCCATCGCAACAGCCCAGGGGCCCATGGTATGAAGTGGAAGACAGGACTCAAAGAGTCGTGGGCATGAGGGCGAGAATCGGAGGCGTTGGGAGGGGGGAGGTTCGGTGTGGGGGAGCAGAAGAAGTGCAGGAAGGCAAAAGGTGGTCGGAGGGAACTCGTTGAGGCTCTGGCGCCCGCTAAGCCGGAGAAAGCAACGTCAAACCACCGCCCTCCGACCTACGCAGGACTACGCAGGACCACGCAGTCCCTCCGACAACGTCCCATCACTCGCTTCGGATTCCGCCAGGAAGGACATCCATCGCTACAATTGCATCGACCTCTCTAATGATGCCGCCGTGATTTGCCATCCAACTGGATGTCAACCCACATTCTGGGGCTGCTGCATGGTCCGTGAGGGTGTCTGTGCTGACCCGAGGCCCTGTCGTCCTAGTGAGTCGCCTTCATGCTGCTACTATTGCGCCGTAAGCAGTGTATCTACCGTAGTAGGATATGTCCTTTCGAAGGATCGCAACTGCGGGCGTGGGAATCGCGGTATTACTCATTCGTGGCGTTATGTAACCACGGCCGATGATACCTTTCGTCCCCGGTCCTCTTCGGCCGAGTTTCTCTCTCGGAAGGGATTTCTCGGTCATACAATAGGATTTCCACGGGATATATAGAATGGCCAAACCGGTTGATCGCACGGGAGGAAACTAGAGTTGCTTGAAACCGCGTTCGCTTGCGATTTCAAATGCCCGTGACGAGGGAGGCTCACGATGGGTTCTCAGTACCAGAAGCACCATCGACCTACTCTAGACCGTTGTTGGATGCAACTGACACAGCTGTATACGTAATACGTCCTACTATAGTACTAACAATGTTATCCGGCAAGACCATTCCTTAGTACTACATGAGTACTCAGAGGGTAGTTGGTTGTGTCGTTGTATATATTTGCAATCCGACCGTCAATGATGCGCTCCCTCCACAGCAGCTGCGTTTATATGCAAGATTACGCCTGGCACCCGATCCGTTGACTATCGCAACTAGCCGGGTGCCATTGGTGCCATTGGTTATCAGTCCGTAGGAGTGCAGCTGCTGAGGATTGACGCAGCCTTACGGAGTACAATGGAAACCATGAAACTCATCAGCCTATGCACATGCCTGAGCCATCGTGGGATCGATGAAACATGACGGCCGGATTCAGGCATCAATAGGGCTATTTGGGTACTCTGGACAGTATACCGCGTTGGCCTCAGAAACCGCCTTGTTTCATTATAGATCATCTCGTTGTTCTTGACCTTAATCCTCAGGGTTGGCCGTTAAAAATACCCTGCCTAATCATTAAATGCTCAGGCACATTTCCTCTGTCGACAGTCCATACGAAGGTCAGCCTAGCCAGATGAGGTTAAATCCGATCGGAGCCCTAAGGAATCCATGTATGCAATCGGTCTCTGTCCATTCCGTACGTACTTTGGATGAACGACGAAGGCATTGGCCCAGGATAGCCCGAATAGAGTCAGTATCCCCTGTGATGCAAGACCGGACCAACCGGTTTCGTGCGGGATTGGCATATTGGCATCAGGTGGACGGCAAGGTGAGGCTGTACGGGTTATGACACCAGTACGACATGGCAAAGGCAAAGACATTAAAATTTTGACTCTGCATTAGTCTCTCGTAGCTCCGCCCCAAATTGGGTTAAGAATAGAACGGCCGATTGTGGCAACGGAGTCCGCGCAGAGAGAGAAGAAAAAGAGGAGGTTGGGGGTGGAGTTGGCGATGAGCGGTGATGAAACAGGGCGATTTCCCCCAAATCTCCGGGCGGCTCGTGGACGTCGGTGATACCTCACCGGGGGTTCTGGACTCTGCGCCAAACGTATTTATTTCTATTTGTATTTATCTTTATTTTTATTTGTATTTATTTATTTATTTATTTTTTTTTTCACGAGGGGAGTGAAGGATCTTGTCCGTATTCCTCGGTAGAAGTAGGTTGACTGAGATACTCCGGATAGTTACCAGAGGGACGACGGGTCTGCCAATGGTCGCACGGCACCGCCATGATGTTGGCGCCTGCAAGTCTCCACTGCAAAAAAAGCGAGGCTGGACGACTCTCCTTCCACCAGCTGCCTGATGGCTCTTGCTTTGCGGGCCCTTTTCATTTCAATTTCGATATAAAGTGCCTCTGCGGCCAGTCATGCCCACTATGCCTGCCCTGACCTGCACCTTCCTGGATCTCGGTGGTGTCCCTCACTTTGCAATTTATCTACTTGTTCCCCACCAGACCATCGTCACCACATACTCCTGCACGCCGTTTTGATTATTGGTCAGCTTGGTGAAGCTTTCGGCACTCCGTTGCTCTTTTCTTTTTCTTGTCTTTTTCGATCTTTCTTTGGGTTTCTCTCGTCGGATTCTCTTGTTTACTGCCAACCAACCTCACCATGAAGCTCTCCGTCCTCAAGGTCGCCACCTCTCTACTCTTCTCTTCGACTGCAGTGGTGGCTCAGACGTTTTCGGATTGTAACCCAAGACAAGACTGTAAGTTTGTTGACCGGAAATCACCAAGTTTGCATGGCTCACCTGTCTCCTAGCCTGTGAGCCTAAGCCGGCATTCGCGAGTTCCTCGAAATTCGATTTCACGCAAGGGAAATCCGACGACTTTCAACAGACTGGAAATCCAAGTTACGACAGCAATGGCGCTGGATTTACGGTGTCCCAGCAGGGCGACGCGCCCCTGCTCAATTCGAAATGGTACATCATGTTTGGACACGTTGAATTCACGATCAAGGCCGCCCCGGGCAAGGGAATTGTGAGCAGTGCCGTGTTACAGTCGGACGACCTGGATGAAATCGACTGGGAATGGCTTGGCGGCAACAATGCCCTGGTTCAGAGCAACTATTTTGGAAAGGGAAACACCGACAGTTTCAACCGTGGTGCGACGCACAACAACCCGGGGAACCACGACGACTTCCACACATATACCATTGATTGGACGAGCTCTCAGATCGTGTGGCAGATCGACGGCAAAACCGTCCGAGTCCTGACCCCGGACACTGCGGAGGAGAACCAGTATCCCCAGACGCCGATGATGATCCGGGTTGGCGTGTGGGCCGGTGGTGACCCGAACAACCCGCAGGGAACTATTGGTGAGTGCTGGCGACGAATCGACCCCCCTGAGCCCGCTATGGCGTGACGTGCTAACCTCTGGATAGACTGGGCTGGCGGAGAGGTTGACTACAGCGCTGGGCCCTACACGATGTACCTCAAGTCGCTGAAAGTCACCGACTATTCCACCGGATCCACGTACTCTTATGGCGATAAGAGTGGATCGTGGGAGTCGATCCAAGCTGAAGGGGGCAAGGTCAACGGTAACAGTGGAGCCGAGTCCTTTTCCAGTGTTCAGTCTGCCCCAACCGTGACCGCGACGGTTGACAGTATCCCCATCCCGTTCAGTGGTACCCACCGCGAAACCTCGAGCTTTGTAACCCCGGACATCTGGCCTTGGGTTCCGACGCCAACCAAGTCCTCTACAAGGCCTGAGCGGACGTTCCCTGATGGCTGGACCTCTTCCGGTTCTGGACCCGTCCAGCCGCCCAGTGCGGCTTCTGTGAGTGAGCATTGCCCCATCCCCAACGACTAACTCATGTCGCCGAATTTGCTGCTAAAACTCGACGCCTCCCTGCTAGTCTACTTTCCAATCTACATCAGTGTCGTCGCCCTCTTCGCCGGCTTCAGTCTCCCCATCCGTCTCGCGCTCTGGTCATGAGACTGAACCGGGGACTCTCACCTCAACCGGTTCTCAGACCCAGTCAACCGATCCTTCTTTTACCACGACTCAAGGGGGTGCATCTGCCACCGGCACCGAACCTTCAACTCCCACAGAGGTGCACGCCGCCCCCAACGTTAATGCCGCCCATATGATCAATGTCCCTGTTATGATAAACACCTTTTCTTTGCTGCTCGCAAGTGGCCTCATGATGCTTTGAGCCCGTTTCTTTGTGATCGCCACAAGCCGTACGGCACTAGCAAAGAACGAACACGATGGCTTTTTTTTACGACATGGCAGATATGGGATATGAAATAATGACTAACGCGATCAAGGTTGGTTACATGTATGTAAATAGATAGAACCTTCTTCTTTTTGCCCCTTCTTCTGTTCTCCTTTTTGTTCTTTTTCCACCACGATGTCTATGACGATTGTCAGTCATGTACTCTATGCATTGGGAGTTGACTTTGATGCATTGCAGCCCATCAAAAGTTGGGTGTTTCATTGATACATTTGAATTGTCGCCGGCCACCTTTTGGGCTCGGGCTTTTGTCTATTAGATGAGTCCATGGTTTAGGCTGTACTTAATTACGATCGAACTTTTCTTTCGCTACTAGATGGCTTCTTGGCCAACAAGGTAGTTTATCAGCTCTATTCTGCATGTAGAAATTCACCGGGAGATATATTCGGTGAATTTTCCAAACACTGATATCTACTCGAGCTACACCCATATTTGTACGCCCACGGCCATCAAGTGAGCCAGACCCATCATATCGCCAAATCACCAACTCCGGGAGGGAACACCCCGGGGTCCCCTCCGCACCATCGTTGTTAATACCTCACCTTATTGTACCTACAACCCGGAATTTGTCCTCCTCTGTATAGTACACACGAATGCCAATCCCGAGGATATCCGGACCCTCGGATGCCTTCCTTTATTCTGTTATTGGACGTCTACTTAGGCCAAGGATCTGCATTAGCCTAACCCCAAGCCAAGACCCAGACGAATGATAGGTTTTTACTCAATAATCAACTCCCGCCTCTTGGGTCTGAACCCTGGAGTCTCCGGATTCCGGCTCCAGAAGGCAAACGGCGGCCGGTGGATGACACGGTAGAGCTGGGAGGTCGTACATGTGCGAGCGCACGCGGGACTGTTATGGGCAAGACGGACGGGAAGTTTCGACCTTTGGGTTTTCCCTGCTAGAATGGGATGGGGAGGAGAGAGGTCATGCGACAGGCCTTTTCGTGCCGGTTTCCTTGCTTTGTCCTACGTTTTGTGTGCTAGATACTGGATGGGTAGTGCCTAGTACGTGGAATTATGGTTATAGTTATGGTTAGGGTTGAGTATGTGGGGGAGTGGAGATGGAATGGGACGGATATGGAATGGAGGTTGGTATGTGGGTAAATATTTGGGTCTTTGGCCTACTGTCTTAGAATGTAGGGAATTATGTTGCGAAACGTAGACTTTTTCTCATTTGTAGAAAGCTACCGACAAACTGGTCGTTGGCGCTATTACACAACCCTACCCAGTAACCAACCATCCCAAGTTCCAAACGTGTTACCGATCCTCGTGAACGCCAGGCTCAACCGAGCCAACTCCCCTTCTCGTTGTCAATTTGGATTTGTTTCCCCTAGCCTCCGGGGCTAGACGTGGCTCTGCACACCATCTTGCTTTCGACCTAATGGTCGGACTAGCCGCCGTAGTCCGATGAATGGAGTGTTGACGGGGCTGTCATCTCCTGTATAGAGGAACATATCGTAAATCCAGCCGCCAAAGGTGCAACCGAGGAAAGGGGCGACCATTGGGACCTGAAGTATGAAATTAAGTCAGCAACGGAGAGCCCCAACAGATGAGAGAAGAGAAGAGAAGGGGGGGGGGGGGGGGAGAAACCATACCCAGAAATAATAATTACCCGCCTTCCACACCTCCGGCCCATACCCAACCATGTAGGTAACTAGCCTCGGACCGAAGTCTCGAGCCAGGTTAATCGCATACCCAGTCTCCCAGCCAAAGCAGGCACCGATGCCAAAGATAACGAAGAAGAGCCCAAGCGGAAACAAGGGGCCAGCCCCGAGATTGGCGTCGTCCTTCAGCGCGAAGATCATGAACATGAGAATGGCGCTCGCAATGAACTCGGAGAAGAACTGGCCTGTCCGCGTCAGGAAGGGGGCAGGATAGGTGCAAAAGATGCCTGCCGTGGCGGTGTCCGAATAGCCTGGCACAGTTCGGATGTTCGAACCGCCCTCGTAGACGTCGATGGCTGACTTGTAATTCCCATAGATGATGGCCGCTGCGCACATGGCGCCGAGGACCTGAGCGGCGGCGTAGATGGGCCACTTGCGCCAGGGAAATTTGCGCAGGACGCAGCTGGCTAATGTGACGGCGGGGTTGATGTGCGACCCTGAGGCACCGCTGACGTAGACTCCTAGCATGACTCCAAGACTAGAAGGGAACGTGATTAGCAATATATCTGAAGACATGGCGGACGCTGAGGGGGGAGGCGCTGATAAAATGTAGACAGTGAAAAGGGAGTGAACTTACCCCCAGCCCCAGGAGATAGATTGATAGTTGCCCTTCTCACCATGGCTGAGTGTGACTTGAGCGACAACGCCATCACCAAAGAGAACCAGAATCATAGTGCCAAAGAACTCAGAGAAGGCTTCCCGGCAGTGACCCCTAATCCTGCTCCACAGGAGTTGAGAGGAAGCATTGGTGGCATTTCCAGATTCAGATTCAACACTAATGTTCTCGCGGAGGGATGCGCCTGGCTTAGGACTCGACGTTATGGAAATCTGCGCTGCGTCTTGGGTGGTAGAACCTGCCATAGCTTTCACTAAAGCCATCTTCTATAGTGGAGGCAGGATTGACAGACAGCCAAGGGCCTCTGGAAGGGAAGAGATCAGGTATAATAAATCCAAAATACTCCGAGATAAACCCAGGGGACTTATCGATGAGTGGCATGTTATACAGGAATCCTCACTTAAACGAGCAGGCCGTGTCACCTTCACTGAGCTTATCCCGTTTCCTCCCCTCATCATGGCAAGTCCAAGGAATTGATTGGAGTACGTATCGCCATATCCCGGAGAACCCCGGTGGATTTCCTCACCTGGGAAGAGGGCATTGGACAGGAATGTGGCGGTTTAAGTTGTTCAAATCGCAAAGATGGCTGTCTATACAATCTCACACGCAGCAAGGACCCCAATCCCAGCTAGATCGGGAGCCACATTGCAAGACATGACACCACAAACAGCGAGAAATGAGAGAAATGAAATGAGGAAGCGCTGTAAAAGCGATGTTTTGGTAATGATATCCTTGTCAACCGAGAATCGGAGGATGTAATTCTTTCACAGCGAGTCTAGTCGCAACTAAAATCTGCTCATCATCACCGGCCCCTGCAGAATCTTCACCGCAAGAGTGAATGTGCGTAAGTCTGTCCCTACATACATACCTACATGCTTCAAGCCAGACTCGTGAAGCAGATGACTGCTGGCCTCGCCAGTTCCAAAAGATTGGAACAGAGCTGGTAGTCATACCTGCATAATGTTTGTCAAATGGCGTTGAGGACAAAGAGGCCGAATCATGCCTGTGTCACCTTGGGGTCTGCTTGGGCGGCCATGAAATCACTTCTTGCACGGGGGCTCGGATGCGGTGACCAGTATTGTTGCTGCTTCCACTGCCGCCGCCGCTACTGCTGGGAGCAGGGCGACTGGACTGGCAGCGAATCCCATTCAAATTATGCGCCTCCCACTTTATTCCAGTCCACATAGAAAGCAGTTGATGTTCATTTCTTGGGTCTGGTCGCAGCGCAATTTTCTGCCTAGAGAGTGCGGCTCTGTCAGAATCATCCTCGTAGCGTTACTCCTGGGACCTTTCTCCACTAAGTTCTGGAATATCGCCAGATGCTGTCATGGACGATCATCCCCGCAATTTGGATCTCTGGACGAGTGGGGGTGGGAATGGTAACGGAGATCTGAGACTCCACGATGTGGATCATTTGGAGGGTTGGCGATTGTGAGTCGTCGAGGGTCAGGCTTTAGTGTTAAGCGATTAGGCCGGGCTGGGTTTAGGGCCTGGCTTTGCAGGTGACGGCGGCGCATGATCCACGTGAGTCTCCTGCCCTTCGTTTCTCGCTTCTTACTAGCCCGCGCGGCCAGACTCGCTTCCCGAACTCGACCTGGCGTCGCCTTCCCATCGCCTGGCGCCTCTTAGGTCTTGGTTCTTGGTGGCTCTGGTCTCGTGGGATCCGGCACTGGCGAGAGCCCGTCAGATTGACAGACGCATGGCAGATATGTGACTTTCCAGTAAAGGAATCCTTCCACCCAGTCCAGTTCCCGATGCAATGCTGGCCGAGTCTCTTAGCAAACATCATCGGTCTCGGGCCTCTACGAATGAGAACGACTTGTGCATGGCTGGGCAAGGGTCGGCTGGCCCACTAGATCCTGTCTTTGTATCGGATCCCTTCCCTCCATTCTGAGGTCGTTCTCTGGCTCCAGGTCCCGTCTCAGCCAAATGCCCCCCCGCAGCTTATTCCCTCCGAAACGGAAAAACTGTCGCACAACAATCGCCCTATTAGCCACTAGTTTGCAAGGGTGACAGAGGTCGGTATATAAAGATCGGTTATCACAGTTGTTTTTCCGTCATGTTTCTTCCAACGATTCATCTTTTTACAGCCTATACGCAGGCAGCTTTCTATCCATTCTCTCAACCACTAAGTCAATAGGGGCTCTCAACTACTCACGATAACGGGTGTTCGGGAGTCTCGAAGCCCAAAATGCAGCCCTCGGAGATGTTTGTGGGGTCCATTGACCAAGGCACGACGAGTACGCGCTTCCTGATCTTCAACCGTGATGGGGAGCCCGTAGCTTCACACCAGGTGGAATTTATTCAGATATATCCCAACCCCGGGTGAGTTGTCTTTAGTTGCATCCCTTTTGAGTAAGCTTCTTCTGGCTAACATGCTATTCAGATGGCATGAGCATGACCCCCTAGAACTCGTGTCTTCCGTCGAGACGTGTGTCGAAGAAGCCGTCAAACAGTTCGAATCCGAAGGACACTCGCGGCATGATATCAAAGGCATTGGAATTACCAACCAACGCGAGACAACTGTGGTGTGGGACCATGAGACTGGGGAGCCGCTGTGCAATGCGATTGTGTGGACAGACACACGTTCACAAGACATTGTCAGTGAGTTGAAGGAAAAACGTGGGGCATCTCAGCTGCAGCAACTCTGCGGCCTCCCTCTTTCGACCTACTCTTCCTCTACCAAGCTCCTTTGGATGCTTGCACACGTCCCTGCGGTCAAAGATGCTTTTGAACGAGGCACGCTGGCCTTCGGCACCGTCGACGCCTGGCTCGTCTATCGCTTGAATGGGGGGCACCAGGCTAATGTGTTCGTGTCGGATCCGACGAACGCATCGCGCACAATGTTCATGAACCTGGAGACCCTTCGGTATGATAACACACTGCTTGATTTCTTCGGAATCCGGGGTAGGATCCACCTACCGACAATCGTTCCCTCATCCGATGCACATGCCTACGGAGCGATATCGTACGGCGTCCTTTCGGGTGTCCCAATCATGGGCTGCCTGGGCGACCAATCTTCGGCACTGGTCGGCCAGAAAGGGTTCTCCCCCGGTATGGCGAAGAACACCTATGGGACCGGATGCTTTCTCCTATACAATGTTGGCGATAAGCCCGTTATCTCTACACATGGGCTGTTGGCTACAGTCGCCTACCATTTCGATGGCAAGCCAGTCTACGCTCTTGAGGGGAGCATCGCCGTTGGCGGCTCAGGGGTGAAGTTTTTGCAAAACAACTTAGAATTCTTCCAAGACTCCAAAGAGGTCAACGACCTGGCACTCAGCGTTGAAGACAATGGCGGCTGCGTGTTCGTCACCGCGTTCAGCGGGCTTTTTGCACCCTACTGGATTGATGATGCGAAGGGAACCATCTGTGAGAGATCACCCCAGCAGCTCCACGCAAAGCTATTTTAGATCTATGCTAACAATGTTCGAAGTTGGAATTACACAATACACCAAGAAAGGCCACATCGCCAGGGCCACGCTAGAGGCCACGTGCTTCCAAACCAAGGCAATCTTAGACGCCATGGAAAAGGACAGTGGACATGCACTTTCGGAACTGGCCGTTGACGGAGGGATGAGCAACTCCGACCTCGCTATGCAGGTAGGTCTAACGACTCCATATCAACTGCTAGCGAATGCTAACACCGCATTCAGATCCAAGCGGATCTCATATCCATCCCCGTCTACCGGCCCAAGATGCGCGAAACCACCGCCCTTGGCGCCGCCATCGCCGCCGGGCTCGCCGTGGGACTCTGGCGCAACTTCGCCGAGCTCCGAGACATCAACCGCGCCGGCGGCGCTGTGTTCGAACCGCAAGTCAGTCGCAAAGAGAGCGCCAAGTCGTTTGCTCTCTGGGAAAAGGCCGTGAACATGGGCCGCGGCTGGGCTGGCGATAGTAAGGAACCGCAAGCGCAGGTCCAGATCCAAAACCACGAAACGAAAGAGGCCCCAGAGGTCCGCGTCAAGGTCAATGCATCGGCCAAGGTCAATGGGGAAATTGCGCACGTCAAACCGCCGTTGTTCAATATATGTAGTGACCTGGATGACGCGGACGAAGAGGATCTCTATCTGGAGCTCAGAAGGGTGGAAATTCTGCAGAGGATGAAGAAGTTGAGGAAGGTGAAGGTGACATATTTGTAAGGTCTGGGTTCTGTCTCGGGTGTAATTTGATCATTTTGACTTTTCTATTTCCCTCCCGACTTCAACGTGGCTATTTGTAAACCGTCTATCGTAGCCAGTACAAATAGTTTACTTCATGATTTACTACTCAGAGTAAAGAATCAAGAGAATGGAATTTTTTTTTAAACAAATATTTAGGGATTATTATCTCATACCCGCAAAAAGCAAACCGCTAGCCGAAAACAAGCCATAAATCCATAACCCTAACACCGTCCAACTCAGCAACTCCCATCATCCGGTCTTCTGCTCATCCCTCACAAAAACACAATTCATCTCCGACCCGGGACTAAGCGTGACTTCGAACCGCAGAACCGGATCTTCGACGCGATCCTTCCCACTCGCCGGCATGGCCTGGATGCGCTCAAACGCCTGCAGGATCCTGACAATGGTGTACCCCATCTCGATGGTCGCGAACTGCTGCCCGATACAGATCCTAGGCCCACCGTTGAACGGAATGAAATGCCACGGCCGGGGCTGCCATCCGGACAGCCAGCGCTCGGGAAGCCATTTCTCAGGATCGAAGTAGGTAGCGGCGCCCCGGGGGTCGTAGTTCTCGGCGCTGCGCTGCATGATCATCGTGGAGTAGATGACGCGGGTGTTGGCGCGGACGCCGACGGGGGAGAGGCCGTCGGGACCGCCGCCCCGGGGGAGGGTGGTGTCACGGAGGGTGTAGCGGACGTTGAAGGGGACGACGGGGTAGAGGCGCATGGTCTCGTTGAGGACGGCGTTGAGGAACTTCATCTCCTTGAGGTCGGCGTAGGTGGGTTTCTGGGCGTCCGGGCCGAGCCCCAGGCGGGCGTTGATCTCATCACGGAGCTTGGCGACGACGTGTGGGTTGCGCGAGAGCTCGAAGACGCAGAAGGAGAGCGTGGTGGCGGTTGTGTCGCGGCCGGCGAGCAGGATGGCCACGAGCTGGTCCCGTAGTACCCGCGGGTCTCTTGTGAAACGGGCGAGAGCCTCCAGGAACGTCTCTCTTTTGGAGAGTTTCTGGTCCAGCTCGGAGGGGGACAGTGAGAGGACGTGTTTGATGTACGGTTGGATGAAATCGTCCATCAGTTTGAGGTTACGTCGGAACTCCTTGCGGGATAGGAGCACATTGAACACTCTGTTTTGGCAGGTTAGTTAAATTGTACAGGGTTAGCGAGTTGGAACGGCGTCACTCACCCGAGTCGGAACATCTCCGCCTGCCGACTTTGCACGTATCGGAATGCCTCTGCAAAAGTGGTCTTGGGGTTCTGGAGACTGTCGGTGCCCTGCCCGAGGAGATAGTCGGTTGCCGCGTCGAGCGTATAGCGAAAGAAGAGAGGACCAACGTCCACCCCTTTGCCAGCCACAGGCGATCGCTGACCTTCCAATAGAGGTATGAGATGTTGAACATGCTTCTCGAAAATCTCCGTGTCGACGATCCGTTCCCGAACAAACATGGGCCGAATCAGATGTCGCGAGCGAGACCACATCTCGCCGTCCGTGGCGAAGATACTATCGCCCAGGAACTCCTTCCAGTCGCGATGAAACGGCTCGCCTTTTCCATAGTCGGAGAACTGACCCGTGAGGATTGCTTTGATGTTCTCGGGGTCCTTGGTGAGGATCACTCGGGTCGAGATGCCTGCGTCGAGCTCAGCGGTCTTGGGAATATCGATCGTCGACGCTCCTTTGGCGGTTCTGATGGCATGATCCCAGAATTCCAGGTCTTGGCCGGCCTTGTTGGACTGACTCGATCGATAAATAAAATCGATGGCTACCAAACATCATAAGCGATCCACTTGTCCATTCCAGTCGAATCTGCCTGCTACATACCGTACGGCAGGCGAAATCGGATCTGCGCAGCCCTACTTCCCAGACGCGCGACCTGCCTGGAGACTTGAAATTTGCGAAACAAGGCCAGCAAAAACAGACCTCCAAGCAGACTGAGGTATGCCTGCGCCGGGGTCATCTGACCGAGCAGCTTGTCAATCATCCTGACAAGCCAGCCAGGCGTATCCTGCAAGCGTTCAATGGAGATGCACGATTGTTCTGACGCCTGCAGGCACTAGAGCACGCGGCATAAACATGTGGCCAGTGAATCGCAAGAAGGGCAGAATTACAAATAAGGCCAGGAGGAGTGGGCGAGAATAAATACTGGGGACGAGAGGGTGCAGATCGACGCTGGACCGAACCCGACATGTTGATCTCGTCAGAAGGTCATTTCCCCCGCATCAAAGCAGCGACCAGTTCAGGCTCGGTCCGCTCGGCTGGCGACCGTTTGAGAAAGGCTTGCGAGCCCCGCGTGTGCATCGTGTGGTTCTTTCTTTGTCTTGGTAATGCGCTACTACGGTTGGGGTCAGGGGACATGTCGGTGGCGTCAGCACTGTGATGCATATCGATGCATAACGCCTCGTAGATAGTCTCATTTCTGGCCTACACAGTATGGAGTCGGTCGTAACCCAGGCAGGGATTGGCAGGAAATGGAATCAATGGGTTACTCAAGCGATCATGAAGAGGGCTCTGAGCAAAACTACAGTATATCCTGTCTAGGGAAATCTCGAGAGAAGAGAACACAGCCCGAACACTGCAGTGAATGGTACGGAGTAGAATGTCCCATATCCAGGGATAACACAAAGACGAGGGAAGTGAAATCGCGACGAAAGGAGAACGGCTGGTCCCGTGACCTTCCCCACGTGACCCAGCCTTGGCGTCTTTCATCATCGGCCAAAGTTCCTGCAAGCTTCCAGAAGGAAAAATAACTACATCCCGATCCTTGCCCGGGTCTTCGTTTCTCTCGCATTTTCTGGTCTATTCTGCTACTCGGCTATTCTGCTCAGGTCGCTGATCTTCCGAGTCAATCTCGCCATCTTCGGTGTTGTTTTCATATCGCCTCCCAACCGACTAGCGCGAACTCCGTCTTCGATTCTTCCGCTCGAGCATCTTTCGCCTTCTGTTGAACCCCCTCCCTTCGGTCCACTTCGACCCCCCGCCCTTTACACCATGACGACAATGGTTGCAGCCGGTACTCCGCTAGCGGAGGCGCTGGCAAATACGATTCAGCCAAAGCTGGTCGAGATGGGATGGAGCTCCGACAGTGGGGATGACTCGGCCTTGATCGAGTATGTCATTTTGATGCTGGTCAACGGCAAGACCCAGGAACAAATTGCCGGCGAACTGTCGAACGATCTCTTGGGTCTCGGTGAGGGTGATACGCAGGCGCTGGATTTCTCGAGATGGCTCTTCGAGCAAGTCGAGTCTCTGAACCATCAGATTAACGGGGGCGGTGTATCGACGACAACGGAGGCCGACTCCATGCAAACCATCCCCTCCTTTGCCGACCAGGACGTATCTACACCTTCGCAGCCGATGGCTCAAGACGGTGCGATGGACGCGGACATGAGTATGGGCGATGGCGGATTCGCGAACGATGCTATGTAAGTGCCTTGACCTGTTGTTGATGGGCTCGTGTGATTACGGGCCGAGATGAGCGTCCCGAATGTGAGCTGACTGAGTATCAACCGACAGACCGACGGGACCCAAAGCAATGCGCAACGGCCGTCAAGGGGGACGAGGCAGAATGCTGAATCAGATCAACCGAGCGATGGACCGGGCCGACGCCCCTCTACACCGTATACGGGGCCAGTCGGGTGCCGGGGCGGGACGAATCAATGCACATGGGCGAGATAATCAGAAGGGGCGCTTCCAGAACGGCGGCGGCAGAATGGGTGGCGGGCGTCAGATGGGTGGAATGGGCATGAACCCGAACCAAATGGCGGCCGCCGGAAACATGATGAACATGCCACCGAACGATCAGATGCACCTGATGTCGCTTCTCGAGGAACAAGCGCGTATGATGGCTCAGTTTATGCCCGGATTTGTCTCCCCGGCGATCAACCCGGCATTCCAACCGAACGCTCCCCAGCACGGCCGCTCTCTTTTCGATCGTGTCGAGCGTCAACATGGCCGCCGACAGCAGGGATCCTACAACAACCGACGCGATAAGCCCGCCGACGTCGATATGGATATGAAACCCGATCAGACTCAGGACGGCGAGCCGGACGAGAATAACGCCAACAGTGTCTGTCGCTTCAACCTCCGCTGCACCCGCAAAGACTGTCCTTTCGCGCACCAGTCACCCGCCGCTCCCGATGGCGCCCCCGTGGATGTGTCTGATAATTGTACATACGGCGCAGCTTGTAAGAACCGGAAATGTACCGGCCGTCACCCTTCGCCTGCGGTCAAGTCGGCACACCAGGCCGAAGAGCTTTGCAGGTTCTTCCCGCATTGCGCCAATCCCCATTGCCACTTCAAGCACCCCGACATGCCGCTGTGTCGCAACGGGGCCGACTGCTCCGTGGCTGGTTGCAAGTTTACCCACGTTCAAACGCCGTGCAAGTTTAACCCCTGCCTCAACCCTAGTTGCCCCTACCGCCACGAGGAAGGCCAACGGGGGGCGTTCTCCGATAAAGTGTGGACGGCCGGCGAGGAAAAGCCGCATGTCAGTGAGAGGAAGTTCGTGGCTGACGAGGACGCGGAGGAACTGATCAAGCCCGAGGGTCCCACAGATGGCTCCTCGCAAAACCAAGAGATCATAACATGACCTGCACCTCTTTGATTCCATGACGAACCTGAATTCCAATTTCTCTGTTTTGCTTTCAATATCATGTATTATCTTGTGCGCGCGCAAACGATGGGTGGCTGGTAGGACGGGCGTTTTATTTCGATTTGGCCTATTCCCGACAATCTCATATTGGCATGTAAATAGATGTGGATAGGATGAGACCTGAATGCTGTTGGGCGTAACCCGAATAATCCAACTTAATGAAAAAAAAAAGTCCACGTTATCTGTTGACCTAGTATGTAGTATGAGTATGTGGGCAGTCATAGACTAATAGACTAGTTATAGTAGTCGTTTCCCGGGGCGGCGTGGAGTGCACCTGACTGATCTCATCGTCCGGGGAAAGTCGACCCTCACCTTCCATCCTCCTTCCATCTCCCTCTCGTTTGTCCTCCCCGCCGAATTTTCTCTTCCCAATTGCAGCGATGCGGTTGCCGGGGGCCTCGAGCCGTGCACTGAAGGGGGTCCGACCACCATTGGCCCTCTTCCGCGACGCACCGAGACGTTCTCTTCATACTCCGACGTACGACGCCGCGGTGATCGGTGGTGGCATAACCGGACTCACCACGGCCTACCGCCTTTCCAAGGATCCGAAATGCTCCAAAATCACCTTGTACGAGAAGTCGAGTCATTTAGGAGGCTGGTTACAGTCTGAGAAAATCCCTTTCAAGGATGGACATGTGGTTTTTGAATATGGCCCGCGCACCTTGAGGACCGTGTTACCCAGCTGTCTCCCGCTGCTGGACCTGGTATGAGACCTCACCTTCTTGGAACTCCTTCCCAGCCCCGGCGCCGGCAAATTGGAGCTAATGAATTCCGGTCGACTTTAGCTCGCCGATCTGGACTTGTTGGACGACGTTCTCATAACGCGCAAATCCTCCCCCGCCGCCCTCAATCGTTACGTCTACTACCCCGACCATCTGGTGCGCCTGCCAGCGCCACACCCTTCGCGCAACGTGCTCGGCAATATCTGGTCCATACTAAGGACCCTGCTCACTGAACCCGTGTTCAAGACCCTTTTCCAGGGCCTTTATAATGATCTAAACCCTGAAGGTCCGCAAACATTGAAATCCGACGAATCTATTGCGGATTTTGTCTCGCGCCGATTTACGCCGGAATTGGCCGATAATCTGGTCTCCGCGGTAGTCCATGGAATATATGCCGGTAACATCGATCGCCTTAGTGCAGACGCGATCATCCCATTCCGCGAACAAATACCCTCCACCCCATTCGGATTCAGTGTACTAGGCTCGGTACTATGGGACCTTCGACAAGGGAACCGGCGGCTGGTCGTAGATGACCATCTAGCTTTACACGCCATTCTTCAGGGAAAGCCGCAGAGCTACTTGAAGGATTTAAGGAATTTGATCCGCGGGTCCAGTGTTCTGACTCTACGCAATGGCCTCCACCAGCTCTCTGATGCATTGTTGACTGCGTTGACCAAGTCGAAGAAAGTAGACTTTCTGCCCGAGACAGAAGTCACGGCAGTTAACCGGAATGCAGGCTCCTCCAATATAACGGTCAGTGCTGAACCGCATTCCTTTTGCCTGCCTATTTCGCGCAATAATACTGACACGGGCCAGATCACTCCTGGGCGCGGTGAAAGCCGCATGCACAATCGGGTGGTCTCCACGATTCCCGCTCCTCATATCGCAAGGGCACTGCGCCAGACCGACGGGAACGGCCGCGGACTCCCACAAAATACAATTCAAAGTCTTGAGGAGCACAACTACGCAGTGACAGTGATGGTGGTGAATCTTTTCTATGAGAACAAAGATCTGCTTCCGGTGAGAGGCTTTGGCTACCTGATCCCACGGTCAATCCCCTTCGAACAAAATCCGGAGAGGGGCCTGGGGGTGATCTTCGGGACTGAGGCTAGTGTTGGCCAGGATACGGTGGCTGGCACCAAACTCACGGTGATGATGGGCGGTCACTTGTGGGATGGCTGGAAAGAATCTGACTACCCAGATCATGATACCGCCGTCGACATGGCCCGCTCCTTGCTGGAAAGACATCTGGGTATCACCGACGCCCCGGCTATCAGTCGTACCCGCCTGCATCGGGATGCTATTCCTCAGTACACAGTCGGCCATATGGACCGCATGAGAACACTTTCAGACTCTGCACGCCAAGAGTTCAACAACCGGTTGACCTTTGCCGGAAGCTGGTATGGCGGTGTTGGAGTAGTCGACTGTATCAGACAGGCATATTTGGCGGCGTCATACGGCGTTGGCGCGCAGAAGCTCAGGCCTGACAGTACCGTCCAACCCTGGAAGAGCCTCGACTACATGAGCTGGGATCTGGAGGGTGGTATAGTCACATCGCCGATCCGGCGGACGAAAATCGCCCGGCCGCCTGCGTGATGAGATTACTAATTATTCTGTACCATGTAAATAACTATAGCTTTCTGCATTGATGGTTGGGTCCTATGGATGGGTCTGCTCGAGACTGTCTGCCGTCTCCACCAAATATTCCTACATTGGACAAGTCAAGACAATGAAAAAAGAACGGAAATAGACTTAGATATTCATCCGACAAGCTGTAAAAATCCACATCGTAAATCCCCTTCGTAATTTCTCATCTCAGGTCCTCACCCGGGAAGATACTGGAGTCCGTTGCAATAAAGCCGTCCTACACAGATTCCGAGGGACAGCAGAACACTGGTTTGACGTGATGAGGTGATGTTTTCCGGATAGTGGCTGTGGGTCCAGAGGACCGATTGATCCTCCTCAAAGATAATCCTCAATCGTTCATCGATCCCTGATGCACAATGTCTGCCTGGAACGGCTGTCCTGAAGCAGCATCGGCTTTCCCGGAGAGTCCCGGCTCGCGATGCGGAGAGATAACATCCTGGTCATCATCGCTGCATCGCCTTCGTTATTAAGAATAAGACTTCTGGCCATGATCGTGTCAAGTAGTTTCTCAGGCCTTCTCGTTGGCGGTCCCGTCCTGCTTCTTGTCCCCATTCGAGTCGAATCCCAACCCATCCAGCTGGCGGATGAGTTCCTGAATCTTGATCACCTTATCGAACTGCTCGGGTAGCAAGTCCTCTCCTTGATTCTTCTTGTCGCGCAAGTCACGAGCCTGTCTCAGCTTTTTCTTCAGGTTGCGTGCCTTCTTCTCCTTCTCGGCCTCAGCGTCCACCGGGTCTTCTGTGGGTTTCTCGGGTCCATTCGATGAGGCCTTCTCGGCGGGAACCCTCCAGTTGTCACTGTCCTTCCCAGTCTTCGTATCCGTCGAGCCGGGACCATCCTGGTTCGCCTTTGCCTTCTTCTTGGCTTCCCGACGTTTCGCGTTTTTGTTGGTCGAAGCGCTGGCGGCCTTGGAGGTGGCATCGTCGGTGTTCAACGCTTCCGCACCGGGCACCACCCCCGCCTTCCCACGATTCTTCCATGCCTCTGCAGCACGGTTCTTGTAGAGCTCGACATCCTCGGGAGGACGGTAGCCGGGGCGGACACGAATTTCGCGACGCTTGGAACCATCCGCACGCAGCGAGGAGGGGATGTAGCGCTCGCCGGTCGCAGCGTCAGTGGTGATTCCGGAGTTCGTTGACGCCATGGATGGCAGGGTAATCGGGAGATGCGAAGTTGGAAAGACCGAAGAGACGGGGAGGTCGACGACAGAGAGAATATCAATCAATCCAACGGAGAAAGACAACCTGAAGTGCCGTCGAGGGGGGATTTTTGGGGGTTTCGGGAGGCTCTGGAGGGTCGATCCGGGCGGGCCAATCAGCGACCCGATGATTCCCGCGAACTTCGAAACTTCAACTTCGCCGTCTTTCAACCTGCTTCTCCCTCTCCCTCTCCCGCTCTCCCCACTGCCTTTGCTTCTTCCCCCGTCCCTCTTCTTTCGACTTATATCCATCACAATGGCCGGTGCTGTAGGTTTTCCGTCTGTCTTCCCCTTGCGATGATTCAATGGCTAACTGTAGCTTGTCCTCCGTCCAGATCGCTTCCGCCATCTACCAGCATGTCTCCCCCTCTGACTTGCTCGCTCGACGCTCTCGGCAGAACGTCGGCCATGCCACTCTGACCGGTTCCAACTAATACGCGGCTTTTTCTTTTGTTTAGGGGCGTTATCCGCAGGAACGCGGTTTTCCTGACCACCATCTTCACCAGTGCCTTTGCCTTCGAGATGTGCGTGTGAACCCCCGAGGATCATTCTGACCGCGGTCACTGACCACAGCTGCGACACAGTGCCTTCGACTCCGCCTCCAACTCGATCTGGGACACCATTAACCGCGGCGTATGTGACCCAACCCCCGGAACACCCACACTCCCTACTCGGCACGGGATTGCATGATGAGCCTATCACTAACTAGAATCCCTTATCTACAGCGGCAATGGAAGGACATCAAGCCCCGATACATGGTTAAGGATGAGGAGGAGGATGACGACTAAAGGACTGAACAGTGATTGATGGATGAGTCCGTTCTGGAGGGAAAGCACCTCATGTTGTTATAATACTTACCGGCAAGACCGGGGCTGGGGATGGGGACTACGGAGAGTGTGAATGTATGAAATAGATTTTTTGCCCAAACTCTGTAACCACAATGGAATCCACCAGGCTCCATTTCTCTCGATTTAGCTTCACACCGGATGTTCTCTCTCTCTCTCTCTCTGCCTCCCGAACGTGACAGGAAGAGGAAGGTCGCGCCAAGCCGTTCGTCATCCCGCCAGAACCATCAACCATCAACCACTAAACAACTTCGTCATCGTCATGGTCGGTTCACTATTCGGTGGTGCAATGCGATCTTCCGCTAAATGCTTCGTTAGTCTGGAACTGAACAGACTCATTCCGCTACCCATGAATTGAACGTAGCTTTGTTATTGGTGGGTGCGCTCGGCCTGGTGCATGGTTTAACCCGCCCATCTTCCCCCCCCACAGTGACATCGATTCCTTTCTAATCTTCGATAACTAAGCGTCAATCTGATAGTGAGCGAGATTTTTCCCCTCCGGTTTCTCGATCAACCCGAATTACTCTATTTCTTCTTCGTCTCTTGCCATCCCGTTGTCACCGTCCGTATTCCCGTTGGAATTTCTTTGACCTATCTTGAGAGGATCTCCTAACGAGTTTCGACCTCTCCCGCATTTCCCTCCGCTTCCGCCACACCGAATACTCATCTGTCGCCCAACGTAACCCCCCTCTCTCTACGGCCATCGGGCTCGAACCTTTGGACTGCCGCATGGGTGTCGCTTCCTCACGTCAATCACGGTAAATGATGCTCACGGAATGTGAGAGGATCCTGGGTCAAGGCCTTCTACGACTTCCGGCCAAACACAATTATCGCTATGGCCCCCAGGCAGAACGAGACCTGCTGGAGCTTCTCTTCCGCTCCCTGACGGGCCACAACGAAGATCGTCTTCGCGAATTATTCCCCGACGGACTGCCGACCGGGCCATGGAGGCTGGCTGAGGCCCAGGGTGCCGAGGAGGGAGCCGAGTACAGCGAAGCAGCGCGGGGCAAGCGATGCGGTCATATCTTCAGAGCCGGCGAGGCCACCTACCGATGCGTCACCTGCGCAGCGGACGATACGTGCGTGCTCTGCAGTCGGTGCTTTGATGCGTCCGACCACACTGGCCACCAGTATCAGATCTCGTTGTCGTCGGGAAACTGCGGCTGCTGTGACTGTGGGGACGAGGAGGCCTGGCGGCTGCCGCTGTTCTGTGCGATCCACACGGACAACGAGGAGAAGAAGGACAAGGGCCCCGCCGAATCGAATCTGCCGCGGGAGTGGGTGGACAATATCCAGTTGACCATCTCGCGCGTGCTCGACTATTTCTGCGACGTGATTTCGTGCTCGCCGGAGCAGCTGCGGTTGCCGAAGACCCTGGAGGGGATCCGGCAGGATGAGGAGTCGTCGCGGCTGCGGTCAGGCTGGTACGGCGACGGGGACCAGGCGGAGGAAGAGCCCGAGTTCGCGGTGGCGCTGTGGAACGACGAGAAGCACACGATCCGAGACGTGTCGCATCAAGTGAGCCGGGCATGTCGCCAGAACGACCGGTTCGGTATGGACCGAGCTCACGAGACGAACGACATCGGACGGAGCGTGGTTAAATATTCGACCAACCTGGAGCAATTGCTGAATGTCTCCAAGGTAATTGAGCAGATCAAGGTCACTGTCACCATTCGCTCTTCCCGCGACACGTTCCGGGAGCAGATGTGTGGCACCATCGTGGAGTGGCTTTCCGATATTGCGGGATGCAGTGTTCTTGGTGATAATGAGATCTTGCGCCACACCATCTGTCACCAGCTGATGAGCTCCTGGCAACGTGGGAGTGGCGCTTACAACGCAGAAATCGGTCTTCGAGGGATCGACGACCATCAACGATTGGAGAATGTGCCAGTCCGGACAGTCATGCTCACCGTCTCGCCCCAGGGTCAGGTTGTGTTGGCCGCAGGCGGCGACGATGACGAGGACGACGCTCTCGAAGATGGGGACGAACCCGACCCGAACGAGGCAGAGGGCGATGATGACGATGAATTTGTGGAACATGACGATGCCGATGACGAGGATGAAGAAATGGAGATTGATCTCAATCGACTCCGGGAAGAGGTGGACGAGGATGAAGACATGGTGATGGGCAACGCGGATGAGGTTCTTGACATCGGCGATCACATCATGAGTATTATAAACCACCCTGGGGATGAGCCTCGACAGGGCCAGCAGGATGGACAAGAGCGTGAGCAGGAACAGGAGCAGCCACAACATCACGCTATCCCGCCACCTCCCCAAACCGAGGAGGGTCAACATGGCCAATCCGCCTCCAACAACAACCCCGGCTCGAGTGACAACTACGAGGATACCGCCATGGAATATATTCGCATTCCCAAAACACCTGCTGGGACCGTGAAGCCCGCTCCTGCCACCACACCGAGCCACTGGCGAGTCCGGCCTTCCGTTCCTCTGAAAGGCGATACTGTGCCGCCGTACGAGGACCTATGGAAACGGACGCGACTGGATTGGATGATTCTCTTCGACCTGAGATTGTGGAAGAAAACGCGTACCGATCTCCGCGATCTCTATATCGGCACCGTGGTGAATGTTCCACAGTTCAAGCGAATTATGGGTCTGCGTTTGTCTGCCCTCTACACGGCATTGGCGCAACTATACCTGATCGCCGATCGAGAACCGGACCACTCCATTGTCAACCTGTCGCTGCAGCTCCTCACTACGCCGTCGATCACCGAGGAGATCGTGTGCCGAGGAAATTTCTTGACCAAGGTCATGGCCATCCTGTATAGTTTCCTCACAACTCGGCAGGTTGGTGAACCGTTCGACGTGAATCCAAATGGCACATTAGCGTTCGATGCCGGGTCCGTGACAAACCGCCGTCTATACCACTTCTTCCTCGACCTGCGGTATCTTCTTCAGTCGGAGTACGTGCAAGCCCGCGTGAGGACCGAGGATCAATATCTCGGTCAATTCTTGGACCTTGTCAAGCTGTCTCAGGGCATCTGCCCCAACGTACGCGCCGTGGGAGAGCACGTGGAATACGAGACGGATGCGTGGATCAGTGCATCGATTCTCATGCGCGAGATCAATCGACTCTGCCGCCAATTCTGCGAAGCGTTCCGAACCCCCGAGGCGGATGGGGGCGTCAATTTATTGCGGGCAATGAAGGTGGCTACCATCACCGCTGTGGTCCACTCTACTGGCATCGAGCGTAAGCGATTCGATCAGGCCGAGATCAAGGACTACGTCTCATTCAAGACCCTGCCGCCTTTCGATTTCGAGGTCGATCAAGGTCACATTCCCCGCTATCGCGTGGTATCCTTCGTTGTCGAAAAGGGCTCTATCAGTTTCCATCACGCTCTGCACTATACCCTCTCTTGGCTGCTTGAATGCGGACGTGGTATGAGTAGCGCCGTGATGCGTGAGGTCCTATTTGACGCCGCCCAAGTCGCCAATGACAAGTTTATCCACGATAGCACGCTCGAACCGGAGGATCTACTGCTGACAATGTTTGACTATCCTCTGCGGGTGTGTGCCTGGTTGGCACAGATGAAGGCTGGCATGTGGGTGCGCAACGGTCTGAGCTTGCGTCACCAGATGTCACAGTACCGTGGAGTGTCGTCCCGCGATTTTGCGTACTATCGCGATATCTTCCTGCTTCAAACCGCCCTGGTGACGTGTGATCCGAGCAGGGTGCTGGCATCCATTGCGGATCGATTTGGCATGGTGGATTGGATGACCAAGAACTACACCCCGCGCTCCGGCTACGAGGATACCCAGATTGTCGACGTGGCCGAGGAATTCGTTCATTTGCTGATCATCCTCTTGACTGATCGAAACTCGCTGACGGCCATTGACGACAGCGACAGGGCGATGCACCAGAACATCAGCCGTGATATTGCGCACGTGCTGTGTTTCAAGCCTCTCTCCTTCTCGGACCTGTCCACCCGCCTCAGTGACAAGCTTCTGGACGCGGATATGTTCCAGGACGTACTGGAGGAGGTGGCATTTTTCCGCCCGCCAGAAGGCATCAACGACTCGGGTACTTTCGAGCTCAAGCCCGAGTACCTTGAACTTGTCGACCCGTACAGTGCTCATTACACCAAGAACCAGCGCGATGAGGCGGAGAACGTCATCAAAGAATGGATGGCCAAGAAGGCCGGCAAGAAGGCATCCGACATCGTCTTCGAGCCCAAACTCCGACCCATCGACTCGGGGGCGTTCTCGGATCTCCCTCGCTTCACCCGGACCTTGCTCTTTGCCCAGGTTATCCACCACTGTCTAGAATATGCGATGTCCTCGAAGGACCGGACACCATACATACCATCCACGCGCGTGGACACCTTCCTCCAAACGGTCTTGCATTTGATCCTTGCCGCCACGCTAGAGGACGACGCCGGGGATGAGATGTCGGGCGATTCGGCCTCCTTCGTGTCCCACGCATTGACAAAGGCTCGCGAAACCCAGGCTGGCTACTTAACCATCATTGAGTTGCTAGAGAAGATCTCTGTCATGAGCGAGTTCTCTGCCTGTGGGGCCAAGATCCGGCACATCTTGAAGCGGCTGTGGCAGAAGCGGCCTCAGTCGTACGCGTCGGCCACTGCCTCTCTCAAGTTCCCCTTCGATCGGATCGAGACAAACTCGCCGGCCATCGACACCGATAATGAGAAAGAGATCAAGAAGAAGCAGGCTTTGGAAAGACAGGCACGGGTCATGGCTCAATTCCAGCAGCAGCAACAGAACTTCCTGAACAGCCAGGGTGACATCGACTGGGGTGAGGAGGATTTCAGTGATATCGAGTCGGAATCCGAGGCCGCCCCCGAGGCCAAACTCTGGAAATACCCCAGTGGGTCCTGCATTCTGTGTCAAGAGGAGACCAGCGACTCTCGCCTCTATGGCACATTCGCCCTGATCCAAGATAGCAGTATCGTGAGGCAGACCGACATCCGGGACCCCGACTGGATCCGGGAGGTGCTGAAGACCCCGTCCAGCTTGGACAAGTCTGCCGAGGACATCCGGCCGTTTGGAGTGGCTGGTGAGAACCACACGACGGTCCGCCGACTGGATTCGACCGGTGGAGAGGTCATTAGCGAAAAGATTGGGCTCAGCAAGGGCTTCAACGCGAAGAACACTCTCCGGGGGCCCGTCACGACGGGTTGCGGGCACATCATGCATTATTCGTGCTTCGAGGTCTACTACACGGCCACTCAGCGACGCCATACCCAGCAGATTGCGCGCAATCATCCCGAGTGTCTCCAGTTGAAGGAGTTCGTCTGCCCCCTTTGCAAGGCCCTGGGCAATGCATTCCTTCCGATTACCTGGAAGGGCAAGGAAGAGTCCTATCCCGGCGCTCTCAACGCCACAAGGGGTTTCGACGATTTCATGACCAACGAGGTCAAGGCAATCTTCTCGCAGCCGCGGAACTACAGTCTCCTCATGGAGAATAGTGGCGGCGGTGCTACGATCGGACAGCAGCAACCCTACCAGGAAATGTTTGTCGATTACCTCTCCAAGACGTTGGTACCTCCGCTAGCCACCAAGGTAGAGCAATTGATGACATCTTCTCTCTCTTCTACCTCGCATTACGCCCCGCCGGCCAGGATGCCCATGCCTGGTCTCTTCCCGTCTCAGGATGACCTCCCTACACCCAGTCCTCTCCAGCATGTTTCCAGTTCCGGCGACAGCCCCATGTCGGAGCTCCTCCAGATCTACAAGCGGCTGAAGAAGACTCTGCGGTTGAACCACATCTACTCGACGTTCAGCCATTCGCCGGAGACCATCACTACGGACGACCTGGTCCATACGGATTCGCTGTTCCAGAGCTTTGGCTTCAGCATTGCTGCGGCCGAGATCTCGACGCGCGGCGTCGAGTCAGAACCGGGAACGACTCTTCTCGACAAGATTTCTCCGCTGACACTGACCCATCTTCGCGTTTTGGCCGAGACGGCCTTGTCTTACGCAGCCGTCGGGTGTCTACACGATCGTACCAACTCCCACAGCCGCTCGATTGACGAGTTCCAGGAGATGCATCGCCACAAAATCTGCCAGTTGTTCGTCGGCCACCCCAGCCTGCACGGGACGTCGCTTGTCAATGAGGTCCGCGAAATCGAGCCTCTCCTGGGTATGGACAGCTTCGTGTTCTTGGCCGAGAGCTCGCTCTTGCTTCTACGGGTCCTCGACATGGATGTCCGCCATCTGATCCAGATGTGCTACGTGGCCGAGATTGTCAAGGTGGTTGTGACCTACGCCCTGTGGCCCCTTGGGTTGAAGGAGGAGCTCACTTCGAACGGGGATGCGCATTATCTCCTGGACACAGAACTGTCGGATGAGCGATATGAATCAACGCGGCACTTCTTCAACTCTGTCGTCTCGGAGTTGAAGTCGAACTCAGTCGGACGCGCCGAAGGGTCCTCGTTCCCTGCCGAGAGCGGCTACGTGAAGGATGGCGAGGATTCGGCCACCCCCGGCGTCATAATTGCCCTCCGTCGTCTCATCTCCAGCTACGCGTTGAGCTTCCTCCGCAAGACCGTCATTCTGCTGTACGTCCAGCATGGCGTTGAGTTCCCCAGCACGGGTTTCGCCGACGTTGATGCGTCCGAGCTAGACCGTCTTACCAAGATCCTGCAGCTGCCGACCCTGGACGAGATCTTTACGAGCGTGAACCCGGCCCGCGCCAGCAACAATCCGTTCGACGGGGTGATCTCGGGGTGGATCTTCCACTGGAACGCATCTCGATCTGGGGTGCGCATCGGCGACCACAAGCTGTGGCCCAGCCTGACGCATCCGGCCATCTACGAGCTGGTCGGGTTGCCCAAGCATTACGATTATTTGATCGACGAAGCCAACCGCCGGCGCTGTCCCAAGTCCAAGAAGGAGCTGACCGATCCGAGCATCTGCCTGTTCTGCGGAGACATCTTCTGCTCGCAGGCTGTATGCTGTATGGAGAACAAGCTGGGTGGATGCAACCAGCACCTTCAGAAGTAAGTTTTCTTTTTCTTTTCCTCCCTTGAGGGGGTTGCCATCTGAAGACTTTATACTAATCGAATTCTGCAGGTGCGGCAAGAACATCGGATTGTTCATCAACATTCGTAAATGCACCGTTCTTTACCTCCACAATCAGAATGGATCCTGGCACTATGCCCCGTACCTGGACCGACACGGCGAAGTCGACCCAGGACTCCGGCGCAACCGCCAGCTGATCTTGAACCAGAAGCGATACGACCGACTTGTTCGCGACGTGTGGCTCTCCCACGCCGTGCCAGCAACGATCAGTCGAAGATTGGAAGCGGATATTAACAACGGAGGATGGGAGACGATTTAATGGCGAGAAGCAGTCGCGGAGAAGGAGACAGATGGGTATAATGAATCAGTCAATCCTCTTTTTTCTCAGTTCTTTACTTTTTTGTGTATCTTTTTTTACCCTCTCTTTTCTTGTTCTTATTTTTTCTACATAGTTTTCTCTTGACTTTCCTGTTGCATTTCGTTTTGCCTGTTAAGATTGAGGATGCATTGATGCCTTTACGCATGAACCAAAAGCCATTGTGACGAGCTTGTTTGGGATGTTTCCTGTTGGACGAGATATGGCAAATAGAATGGGGGTTATAATTTCTAGGATTGAGCTGTTCCATCTTCCTTGTATCCGTAGGTCAGTAGCAGACATAGACTCGGAGAAAGAAATATATATTATATTGAATGGAGAGTGACTGCCAAGCATGACGGCATCGTCTCACCGCCCGCCTTACGTTCCTCTTTTTCCTCTTTCGCGATTCCCTCCATCGATTCATGAACTCTCACCGATCGGCTCTTTTTTCTACTCGACGATCCAGGCTGTTTTCCTTTCATCCTGCCTGCTTCTCTTTCTCTGTTCTTGTACTGCCAGTCTCTCACTACTCGACGGAGTCTTCTCCGTCTCTACCGAGTTCATCATGAACAACGAACAATTCCGCCGTCTCCTGCTCGATAACGACTCGAAGTCCCAGAACCAGAAATCGTCGCAGTCTCCAAAATCCCACGGCACGTCGCGAGGCAATGCGACTCCTGCTCCTACTGTCGCTTCCTCGCTAGGATCGCGACTCAAGTCGAGTATCCCCATGACCCCGTAAGTCCCTTTTAGCCAGCAACTCGTCTCCCTACCTATCTACAACCCATGCCTCGAAATTCAACCCAACTAACCGTTCTGTCCCACCCCAGACGCTCAGTCGGAAACATCGACTTCGCGCGCCAACTGTCCGACTACCACCGCGAGCAGCAGCAACCGCCGTCCAAGCGATTCAAGTCCTCGGCCGCTCCGAAAGGCACGAAGCTCCCCTCCGGATACGAAGACCGCGCCGCGAAGCTCCGAGCCCTGGAGGAGGCGGGCGAGGGGTCCGGAAACCAGCAGGGTGATGGGGAAGGCAGCGGGTCGGATCTCGAGAAACGCATCCAGGCGCTCGAGGAGATGGTGAAGCTAGGCCAGATCGACCAGGCGACCTTTGAGAAGCTACGCGGCGAGATGGGGGTGGGTGGGGACGTGGGGAGCACGCATATGGTGAAGGGGTTGGATTGGGCGTTATTGAAGAGGGTGAGGGCCGGGGAGGATATTAATGCGCCGAAGGAGAAGGAGGAAGAGAAAGCGGAGGAGAACGAGGAAGACGTGGATGAGGAGTTTGATCGGGTGCTAGAGGAGAAAGGGGAGGGGCTTCCCTCTGCGCCGAAAGAGACGGAGCCGAAGAAGAAGAAAAAGGGGAACCTGGCGATGGCGCCTCCAGCGGCCCCGGTGCCGAAGACGCGTGACGAGATTCTGAGACAGCTGCGGGAGAGTCGAGAGCGCGCTCGCTCGACGCAGATGGCACCGCCACCACCACCGGCAGAGTCCGTGCTGGGAGCACGGTTCAAGAAGGTCGGGGATGATGCCCCGAAGGTGGAGAAGAAACGATGGGTGGAACAGGATGAGAACGGTCGACGGAAGGAGATTCTACAGATTACGGACGCCCAGGGCAATACGAAGAGAAAGGTGCGGTGGCTGGACAAGCCAGGCCAGTCGAACGGGGGACTGTTGGTGCCAGACAAGGATGCAAAGCCCCTGGGCATGGAGGTGCCGGTGGAGATTGCGTCCAAGACCGAGGCGCCGGTCGAGGCGGAGGACGAGGACAATGATATTTTCGCAGGGGTTGGGGCCGATTACAATCCCCTGGGGGATCTGGACGAGGACAGCAGCTCGTCGGATTCCGAGGATGAGACCTCAGCGGGCGAGAAGAAGACTGAGGAGAGGGACAGTGCAGATGCGAAACTAGTCAGAGACACGGCAGCTCCTGCCGTGGAACCGACCGAGAAACCAACGCGCCCGCGCAATTATTTCTCGACCTCGACGAGCGACGAGCCCGAGCCCGTTGACAGGTCGAATCCGCTGACCAAGGACCCGACGCTGCTGGCTGCGCTGAAGCGCGCGGCCGCCCTTCGCCAGGCCTCACCGTCGGATGAGGCCGCAGAAGGGGGAGACGGCGACGAGGGCGTCGATTCGGACACGCTCCTCCGACGGAAGAAGTTCCTGGAAGAAGCGCGACGACGAGAAGCGCAGGATGCGATGGACATGGACTTCGGATTCGGCAGCAGTCGCATCGAAGACGAGGAGGACGAAGAGGGGCCGACGTACGATGAACAACGGGGCGGCAAGAAGAGGAAGCGAGGGCCCAAGAAGAAGAAGGGGGACAAGGACAGCGTGTCTGACGTGATGCAGGTGCTCGAGGGACGAAAGAAATAAACCGACTGGTCTGCTAGGAATACTACGGAGTACCTGGAAATGGAAAATCTACGAAATCCCGAACTCTCGAGCTATCCATCGATAGCCGGGAAAAAAAGTAAGAACGACAGGGAGGAAGGAAAATATGGGATGATCGTTACAGATCCGTTCCTGCGTCTTTTCTTCCCCCTTTCGACAGTCGAACCGATGCATGCCAGACCAATTGTGGCTGAATGCCAGCTGGTTCGGCGTCAGGCACCGGGAAACGCAGGCCGGCTAGTCGCACAGGCAGTCTGGCACAGCATCCAGATCCCAGAGGCTCTCAGACACCAGCGCAGGCTCCACGGCGCCACCGGAAGTGAGCGGGTCGACTTGGTGCCAGTCGCAGCGCAGAAGGCCTTGGGATAGGCTGGGCGTCTCGGGCGAGCATGTGGGCCCAGACCGCAGTCAACGTCAGCGACATCACACCGTATTATTCTCGATGGACTGCTCTCGTCGACGATGGAGCGCGAAAGCAAGTGGATCGCGGACGCAGTGGATCTCGCGGTGGTGAACAGTGCAACCGCCGCGAGTCCAGACCTCCACGCAGTCGAAGCAGGTACGTAGGCCAATACCGCTGGGATTATTTGCGGTGTGCCTAACGAGCAGCGAGTCTAGCGCCGGTGTAAAAATAATCTTCACCATCCAAGCCCCGGCCCAGCAGGACTAGTGAAAGAGATTGAATCAGGAGGTGCTCCCCCAGAATCAATAATGTCGAGGCCGAAATCTCCGAGCCCTCCAGAAATAGATCTGGTTTGGCCAGGAGAAACTGCTGGGAATGTAACTCTGCCTCAGTAAGCGCTCACGTCATCCGAATAATCTGCACGAATGAATCGTATGTGTTGGCGCTAATGCGCTGGACGATTGGAAGAGAGAACGCTGCAGAGCTTAGGCTGTGGATAGTGCAGGTTGCTAGGTGTAGCCCCCGAGCCTTGTTGGACAGATCCTCAGGGGCAGAGAATTCAATTCCATTACATTCGATTCATTATTCATTCGATTCTGGCTGGTGGGCAGCAATCGGAGGTGTCAACTCTTCCGGTACAGAGGTGTACCTGGATCTACTTGCCCGCCGCAGACCAATCACGCGCAGAAGGATGTATCCCGAAGTACCTGCAGAACCCTAACAGAACCACGGATGCGTCGACGCCGACAGCATGAAGCCCACTGAATCATGGGAGATGGACCGAGAGGAGAACTGTCCAGCACGAATGGGATTCTGGCCCCCTTCCACAAAGCCCATGGATCGGCATCCCACACGATCCATGGGTCCGTCGCCTTCTGCAGGTTTGTTTCCTCTCGGCTGTCGTTGTCTCTGGTCTGACTAGTCTCCTGCCCGAGGACAAATAAAATGCACGAGAGAAAATAAAAAATAAAAATAAAAAAGCAAAGACAAGAAATGAAACACGCCAGGAACCCAAAAATCGCCAACTAGTTCCCCCTCCAAGCGACGCTAGACCAACAGCCAATGCCGGCCAGAACAAGCCCTAAACTGGCCCGACCCAAGGGAGTCCGCCTGGGATATACTTAAAGAACCCAAGGGAATCCCCTTCGCCTCCCTTCCAGTTGCATTTTGCATTTGGTTCTTGCCCAATCAGTCCTTCATTTTTCCTGTTGCTGCTAATTGACTGTGCCGTGCGCAGTCAACGTCATTCCTTTGATCTTCTGATCCTACACTATCCTTCCTTCGTGATAGTGACCACTTTCTTTGAGATATACCTACAGACCATCGCTCCTAGACGATCCTATTCTCCCAGGTAGATCGAGTGACCCTTTGAACCAAAAAGCAAAATGGTCTCCTTCACCCAGCTCTTGACCGCCGGTCTCCTGGCCACCTCGACGGTGGCCATCCCCCACGGCCATGTCCACGAACAGACCATCCACCTGAAGCGCACCAGCCCTAAATCTCTCCTCCCCCGCGAGAACACCTCCAAGCGTGGCGCCGCCTACAACGATGCCGCCACCGTCGGCTCCCTCAGCAGCAGCGGCACCGTCGGCTGGGCCTACGACTGGAACATGTACTCGAACGGCGACCTGCCGGAGGGTGTCGAGTTCGTGCCCATGCTCTGGGGCAGCAAGATGTTCGGCGAATGGTTCGTGGCCATCGAGACGCTGCTGGCCTCCGCCTCGTCGGCGTCCTACATCATGGGCTTCAACGAGCCCGACATGCCGGAGCAGGCCAACATGGGGGCGGGCGAAGCCGCTGGATACTACCGCGACTACATCACCAAATTCAGCGGACAGGCCAAGCTGGTCACGCCCGCCGTCACCAACGGCGTCGGCGAAGGCCTGGGACTGACCTGGATGCGCGACTTCCTTAACCAGTGCCAGGATTGCGGCATCAGCGTGCTGGCCGTGCACTGGTACGGCGAGTCGTCCGAGGACTTCCTCAAGTATGTCGACGATGCCGTTGACCTGGCCAACGAATTCAATCTCGAGAGCACCTGGGTCACCGAGTTTGCGCTCAACCAGGACATGAACGCCGGCGGCGCGTCCGATGTCAGCGTCCAGTTCCTGAAGGACGTGATCCCCAAGCTGGACGAGAACGAGTCGGTTGGCCGCTATGCCTACTTCATGTGCAAGGACGGGTTCCTGCTGAGCGACAGCGGGTTGAGCATCAGTGGACAGGCCTACATTGAGTAGATTGTCAGATCTACTGCTGTTTTCCTGTTCTGATTTATTTCTATTTACATATACCTTGCGTTGCGAGAGTGGGCGAGTCGACTTGTTGACTTTGCGTTGTGGGTCGTGGTTATACCCAGAGCTGTGGTTATTTTATTTTTCTCTAGTATATTTTATTCGATATCTTTCAATATATCAGAACATTCCATTCAACCCTTCATTTCCATTGTCTAATTCCATTTCCATTATCTCATTGTGCGAGAGTGGATATACTTAACAAAGAGCGAGATAAAACCACGCATACAATCCACGGACCCCAAGAAACTAGAACCAGCCTAGAACCCCATCACTGCCTGCCGCTCTGACACTGACATTACAATCAACCGGCCAACAAGTCCGATTTGCAGTCAGAAACCCCTCTCCATACTCCTGACTATCAGTGCGGGTTCCATGGGTCGTCGACCACAGGTGCATCAGCATTGGATGCAACGGGACCCGCGACGAGGCGATCCACGGATGGCGATTGAATCGGTGACACATTTTTGTTTGTTCACAATGTCTAGTCTGTCGGCTGGTTTTTGGAAATGGGGCATGTTTCATGTTGCAGGTGGGGAGGTTGGGATTTTTTTTTTTTGGCGAGTCTGAAAGATGTGAAACAGCATACTGTGGAATTGGGCAGGGTTTTGGGTCTGTGTCTTTTATCTTATGTGTTCTACTTGCTGTGGATTGTTCTCTGTGGGAATCAGAACGCCTCTATGCCTCCGTTTGAGATTCGTACTCGTACATGATGGTAATAGTAATAGTGTAAAATGATTAGGTCGATGTTTTGCCCTCCAACGCCGGTGCTCACAATCCCCGTGAGCTATAGAATACCCAGGGGAGTTTGCTCAATGCAAGGTCCAATGCAAGATGATCAAGGTGAAAAGAAAGAAGGACTGCGCCGACAAGTTCACCCGCCAGTACCAGGTGTGTCGGACTCGCCCATCTCTGTATCCTGGGGTTCTGCGTCCGAAGGGCCGGTCGGAGTGACGCCGTTGGGTTGCGCGTCAGGCGGCGGGTTGGTCTGGGGCTCTTCTGGCGCTGTCGGTGCGTCGTCGCCGTTTTCTTCTTTGTTTTGGCCCTGGTCCTGGTCCTGGTCCCCGTCCTGGCCGTGGACTTCTTTGTCTTCGTTCTCTTCGCGCTCTTCATACACCCGCACCAGGCCATCGATGCCGCAGCTGACCATCAATCGGTGCTCTCCGAGCGATGCCGTATCCACGCCCAGCACCACTCCGGCGTGTCCCTCGATGCGCTGCAGGATCTTCTTGTTGACGACGTCCCAGCAGAGTACCGCGCCGTCTTCGCTGCCGCTGACCGCGAACGCCTCGGGCGGTGCGCCCGGCGCCCCGTACACCCCGAAGCCCCCCGACAGACTGTATTTCCGATTGTGGTGCCCCTGGTAGGTCTTGATGCATCGTCCGTCCACGTAGTTCCACAGCCGCACGCAGTCGTCCAGCGTCCACGCCAGCACGTACTTGCCGTTGGGCGAGAACTTGACCGACGTCACCGGCGGGTTGTCCTCGTGCACCAGCGTCCGCAGACACTGACCCGTCGCCGTGTCCCAGATGCGAATCAGCCCGTCCGTGGCGCACGAGGCCACCAGCGTCCCGTCCCACACCACGTCGATGCCGCCCACCGGGTCCGAGTGCGCCGGCAGCGAGCGCATCACGCTGGCCGACCGTACGTCCCAGAGAAATACCGCCTCGTCGTAGGAGCCGCTGACCAGCATGTTGCCCTTGGGGGAGAACGCGATTTGGTATACGTAGTTGTGATGGCCGACGAAGGGGATCGGATGCGCTTTGCCCTGCAGGATCGTAGCTTAGCCAGAGTCGACCGGGCCGGAGGATAGACGGGGACAGAGAGTAGCGAAGGCTTACCGTTAACACATTCCACAGGCGAATGGTCTTATCGTCCGACCCCGATGCGATGGTCGCGCCGTCAGGACCCCACGAGATCGTCGAAATTCCCGCAAGATGGCCTTCGAACGTGTGGATTAGTCGGCCGCTCTGTGTATCCCAGACCTTGACCGCTCCGTCGGCACCTAAGCAAATCTCGTCAGTGTCTGCGACATCCGCGCCCAGTAAGTCACATATCACTCACCCCCGCTGGCAATCATAGAAGCATCCGGAGAAAATCTCACTGCTGCGACCCCCCGGAGGTGGCCCCGGAGCAAGAACTTCTGCTGGTAATTCAACTTGTCCGGCTTGGGCGGCGGCGGCGGCGGAGGTGGAGGGACTGGCGTGGGAGATCGATCTGAATATGGCTGCTCGGGCGCGGCATCGGCGTCCGCAGCGGCATCAGGCTCTTCGACATCGGCCGGGATTTCCTCCACGTCCTCGATTTCCACGTCCTCTGCATCCCCTTCTGCTCCGGCGTCCTCGTCCTCCGCTTCCGCCGGCTCTTCCCCTTCTTCCTCCGCGTCCTCGTCCTCGTCGTGGTATTGCTCCGACGACGGCTCCGCACTTACCTCCGAGGGAGACTTGCGACCGCGACCACGCGAGCGCCAGTAGTCTTCGGCATCCATGGTCAGTTCGTCCGGGCTTTCGGAGCCGCTGTAGCTGCGCGACCGCCGGTAGGGACGCTTGGGAGGCACGGCTTTCTGGATAGACCAACTGGCGCGACGGCGCTCGGCCTCGTGTTCGGAGCCCGCAGCCAACTCGTCGGACGAGGACTCGGTCGGCGACTGGATGAAACCATTTGGCCGCACCGGAGATGGATCCAAACGACGGCGCTTCGATCGGTGGTTGCATCCGTCCATGAAGAAGGATCGTGGGTGGGAAACGAGGGCTCAGCAGAAGAAAGAAAGCCGGAAGAAGCGCAAAAGAATCAAGGAGTGGAGGGCATTCTGCCATCCCCGCAGCCAATCAGCACGCGCATATCCCGGGCGGTGAGCGGCCATGATTTCATCCATCGCGACGCTTTCTTCTTTTGCGTCTCTCCGTCTTCATCTCCCTCCTCCACATCATGTCCTGATTCTTGCATTCGATCCTTTTCGTTACTCTCTGGCCATCATGTCGTCCGGCACGCCCACCGACCCTCCCTCCCATATCCGCATCCTCACCCTTAATTGCTGGGGGCTGAAGTATCTCGCCAAATATCGTCATGAGCGTCTCTCGGAAATCGGCCGCCAGCTGGCCCTGGCGGACCCTCCTCCTCAGATCGTAGGACTTCAGGAATGCTGGACGCAGCAGGACTACGAGAGCATCCGCGAGCAGACCCGTCACCTGCTTCCCTACGGCAAATTCTACTTCGGTGGCATCTGGGGTGCCGGCCTGGCCATCCTGTCGCGATGGCCCATTGAGGAGAGCGGCATGTTCGGATACCCGTTGAACGGCCGACCCACGGCCTTCTTCCGCGGCGACTGGTACGTCGGGAAGGGCGTTGCCTGTGCGCGCGTTCGCTTTGGTCCGGGCGTGGAAGACGTCGCCGAGGTGTTCTGCACGCACCTCCACGCCCCCTACGAGCGCGAACCCAACGACTCGTACATCTGCCACCGCACCGCGCAGGCCTGGGAGATCGCCAAGCTGATGCGCGGCGCTGCCGAGCGCGGTCACTTGGTGATCGGCCTGGGCGATTTCAATATGCTGCCCTCCTCGTTCGCCCATCAGCTCATCTGCGCGCACAGCCCCGTCCGGGATGCATGGCAGGTTCTGCATCCGGACTCGTCCGTCGGCGCCGCCATCGACCCCGTCGAGCAGAAACGCAACAAACCCATCCCCACGGCCGAGTTCAATATCCGAGAGAACGGCGCCACCTGCGACGGCAAGTTCAACACCTGGCGCTGGACCGAGGCCGACCGCAAGCGGCTGGAGAAGGGCGAGGACGTGGTGGTCGACAAGGACAGTCCCGATCCGCGCGGGAAACGGCTGGATTATATCTTCGTGGGCGATGGCGGCTACGCACCGGCGTTCCCGGCTCCGCGCTGGTCGGTCGAGTCCGTCCAGATGTCGATGATGGAGCGACACCCCCAGCTGCGTTGCTCCCTGAGTGACCACTTTGCCGTCGAGGCCGTCATCACCCGTGCGTCCAGCCCTACTACTGGCGCGGAGAAATCGGATGATACGCCCATCGCCCCGAACACGACGCTCTCGCCGGACACCTACGACCGGATCCTCGACATGATCCATACCTACGGGCAGCGCGAGCGGTCGCAACGGTTCTGGCGGGTGGCGCACTTCGTGGCCTCGGTGGTGGTGTCGATCGGGTGTTTCATCGGCGTGTGGTGGACCGGCGATCACCTGCCCTACGTGGCGTTTATCCTGGTGGTCGTCAGCACGTTGAACTTCGGAGCAGGCATTCTGGACGGGCTGATTGGCGGACTGTTCATGTCGAGCGAGATCCGGGCGCTGAAGGAGTTTGAATGGGAGGTCCGCAACGCGCGGCGGCTGGTCGAGCCCGAGAAGAAGCAGGAAACTTGACAGAAAATCGGGTCTCGACAGGGGGAGGATCTTCGGACTGTAATTATTCTACCTATTCTGCGGCGTAGGTGTCATTTCGATGTATGTACTATAGTCTATTTATGTGGCAGGCGTATGGGCCTCCGGTAATGAACATGTGATGACGAGAAAGCGTTGGCTGGCTGAGCAAGAAGCACTGCCTCTGAGATGACAGCTTTCTTCGGGGTCGAAATAGCCTTGATTCTCCCGTTGCTGATGGATCACCGACTCTTCATACTGGAGTAGTCCATCCTAGCAGGGTATGTTCCCTGTTGTAGCGTACGCAATCCGGAGCCAAGACTGGATACACCGTGCATAGAGTATAGTACTGTAGGGAGTGATAGATATGAAAAAACAACTAACAATGAAGTGGGTAAAAAGAAAAACAGATCCCTGTTATCTGGTTTCAGGACAGGCGTCTCAGATTGATCCCCCGCCAGCCCTACTTCCGCCTATCCTTTTAGGGCTCCGATTCTCTCGCCTTCCGCCCCTTTTCCCGGTTGGGGTGCGCCGCCCGCTGATTGGCCGGCCCCCCCTGCCTCCGGGCTTGGCACGCATGCCTCGACCCCGCGTGGATGCGCCGGCAGCCAATCAGGGGACGGCGGGGAGTGGCCCCCAAGACCCTGGCTCGAAAAGGGGGTTCGGATCGGCCTGAGGCGACCGTTCCCAGCGGTCTGTCGGTATGTGTCGGTTGGTCTGGGGCGGAGGTATGTTGGCGGAGTACCTATACTCAGGTCTGAAAGAACAGAACAGAACACCTATCTTCCCACCTACTGTAAGATGTAAGGTACCAAGAGACACCGTAGGCGGGTAGTACTCTATCAATAGCCCATCTCAGGGACTCGGCAGGATCACGTCATCTTGGCATTCCCGCCAATCAGCGGCGCCAAATCCCAGCGCTGCCCCCCCGGTGCCGCGCCGGTGGAGCCTGAGGCCAACGATCCGGCAGAGACCGCCACGACTTCTTTCAGCCCAGCGCCTTGCGATTTTAAAATCTCCCGGTCCGTTTCTTATTTCCACCTGTCCTTGTCCCTCCTCTCATGTGGTCCGGTTCTCCATCTTGCTCTCGGTGACAATGCGCTTCGCTCCTCTGCTCTGGTCCTTCGTGTCCTCCTCGCTGCTTGCCTCGGCCAACATCCTCGAGAATGGCCAGGAAAGATTAAACCCGTGGCCCGGCCAGGCCCCGAACGTCTCGCTCGACGACTCCTGGCGAAACTACGACGCCGGTGCCCCGGAGATTGCCTACAAGGGCCGCTGGGATAGCAAACACATCGGTTGTATGTAACTCCTCCGGAATGCTGTGTCCCCCTCGTCTGCATTCTCCTGCTCGTTCTGGCTCTCGCGGCCTATCTGTCGGGACCGTTGGCTGACCGTTATCTGTCTCCTAGGGTGGTCGTGTGTCTCCCCCATTCCTCCGTTATCTCTGCTTCCGGGCCTCCGACATTCTTTGCGTTCTCAACGGTCACTAACTCCAGCAGAGCCCCTGGCTTCAAAACCGAATTTACTGGCGACCGAGTAGGTTTTTCCCGCTGGCAGCGTCTGGTCCGGGGATCCATGGGTTGACTAACGCTGGTACAGTTGGCCGTGAGCTTCGGTGAACACACGACGGAGGGTGTTTTGGTGGCGTATCGGTAGGTTTCACCGAACACGAGCAGACAACCTCGGAGTTGCTAAAACTGTGGAAAGCATCGGCTCCCTCGACTGGCTCTTCTCGAACGTTACCGCCGACACCACCTACCAGTTCGTATCGCCCGAGACCGACGTGGGCGAGAAACCCGTCGGAGACCCCAAGGTCTTTGAGCTGCGAGTGACCAACTGGGGCCGGGGATAAGTCAACCTGATCTTCTTTGCCTGATTCTCCTGCTGACCGTCTGTGTACAGCTCAGATCGCCGGTGTCTCTGTTGCCAGCGATGCGCACCTCAACAGGGTTGAAAACTTCAAGCGACGAGTTGAAATTATCGGCGGTAGTCTCGCCTCTGGACAGTATGGCACCTACGAGACCCTTTCCTCGTGGGCCTGGCTTTACGGAGCTGGACTCGGTAACGCTGAGTTCGACATCACGGTTCGTATTTTTATCCTCGGTTTGGTTATCCATACTGACGAATACGTTACAGGCCTATCCCGGAGCTTGTCTCGCTGACATGAAGTGCTACGGCGGTAACGTTCACGGCATGGTACATACATCCTCCTCCCGCTCTGCATCCCATCCCAACTAACCCGATCCAGCCCTGGTGGTGGCACCGCGCCTCTGACCCCGGTACTCGTGCCCGTGAAATGTACGACCACGACCCCGAGGAGTTCGATGTTCGTGGCGACCAACCCGCCGATCTGGTCATCATCCAGATGGGTGGCAACGATCACCGTTCGCCCAACGAAATCTCGGGCCCCGATTTCTACCACGACTACATCCGTCTCATCGACGATGTTCACTCGATCTGGCCCAAGGCTGTTGTTGTCGTTATGGTACGTCTTGCTTTGATTATAGCCAGCACTCCACATCTCGTCCTCTACCTACAAAATGCACCGAAGTGTGTGCACAGTCATGCTGACAACTGAAAACAGACCCAATGGGGCGTCTGGACCAAGACCGGAACCGAATACGTCCCCAACTCCGTCTACGAGTCCGAGATCAAGCGCGTCCACGACCACTACAAGGAGAAGGGCTTCGTGCACTGGTTCGACACCGCCGGTATCCTGCAGCACAACGACATCAACCCCAAGAACCACCCCACAGATGTCGGCCACATCAAGCTGGCCAGTCACCTGCTGCAATGGACCCGCATGATCATGAGATGGCCCCTCGAGCCCACGGGCGAGGTCCAGCACGGTACCGAGTACTGGAACAACATGCAACAGTATTAGACGAACTACGCTCGACTCGACAAACCCCCCTTTACCTTCCCTCTCATCCTTTGGAATAGGCTGTGCCGATACCGATGCCGATGCCGACGCCGACGACTTTATTCATGTATATCAGTTCTCAGTTAAAAAGACTACTCACTAACTCAACCTCTTGCTCGGATTCTGTTGGTAATTTTCTATATTATATCGAGGTGTATTTTGATGGGATTGGACCCGATTGGATGTTATACATAAGTGCGCTGCTTTTTGCGTCTCGTTTTTCTTTTGCTTTTTTCTGGAGATTTGATTCTTATATTATAGACTTTTACCTTTTTCTTGTCTTTTTGGTGTATTTACCTGCGTTTTCTGTGTCAAGATAAGACAAGATTCTGTGATCACGGACATGACATATAATCCTGGGACCTTGGACCAATATTTAATCTGACATTTTATTTGGCTGGCTTGGAAGTTCGGATCCTATTGAGGGTCTACATACCAGTGTAGGTAAGGAGTGTGTCGGTGAGGCACTGGTAGGTTGGGTAGATTTGCGATCCGCAAGGGGGCGGGCAGATGCGAGGTAGACAGATTAGTCTGACTGCACCTTTTTAGTGGGCTACGGCTATGACTAGTTGATGGCTGGCTGGCTCCTTCTACGTGGAATCGCATATTCAACGAATGTTCAAAACGGTTCATTCATAACCCAGTGCCTAATTCATTCCCTATCGTAAAAGAGAGACTGGGAGATCCCTCCAGCATAAATAAATTGATACTCCCGAGCGTAACACCGATTTACTCGGCACACTCGCGCTGACGCACGTCGAACACCTTCAGACACTCCTCGGCCGCCTTCACGCCGCTGAGCACCATGGCACCGAAGGTCGGGCCCATGCGGTTGAAGCCGTCGATCTCGGACAGTTCCATACCGCCGATGATGAGGCCCTTGGCGACCTCGCGGGTGTTCTTGACGATGGCGTCCTCGGCGGAGTTCATGTCCAGGCCGCGCATGCCGCCCAGCTTGTCGACGGTGGACATGGACACCAGACGCTTGGCACAGAAGGCACCGAAGGGACCGTCATGGCCCGTGGTGCTGATGATGACGGGCGCGTTGATGGTGTTGGGGTCCATGCAGGAGTGGTCGTCGTGGTGAAGCGTCACCAGGGTCCAGTTGGTGACCACACCGGCGATGCGGGTTTCCTTGGGGTTGCCGTTGGTGGAGGGGCGAGTGACAAGGTCCTCGACGCTGGTGGCGTTGAAGAGCTTAACGTTGGGGAAGGACAGGACCTTGGACAGCAAGGTCGAGGTGAACAGCGAGGCGTGCTTGACCACCACGTAGTTGGGGTTGGCGGGGTCCTCCTCGTAGGGCACGCCCAGCTCGTTCAGGAAAACCTCAGCAGGGCGACGCATCACCATGGCAGAGAAAAGCTGGCCACCGAGCCAGGCACCACCGCCTTTTGTGAACTGTTAGCATCATGAACGCGTGACGCCGAGATATCTCAAGCCACTAACCAGGAGAGACGGAGGCTTCAATGATAGCAATCTTCAGGTCGGGACGGGCGTTGGCCAGGACGTACGCGGTGCTCAGACCGCAGGATCCAGCGCCGACGATGACCACGTCACTTTCGGCGAACTTGTCCAAGTCCTGAAAGTAACGTCGGGTCATGGCCCGAGAGACCTGGCTCTCGCGGATGGGAGCGAACTGGAACTCATCCCACTTGTTGCCGAAATGGTCCAGCAACTTGGTCTGAGAGGCTCCAGTGGCAGGGACCGTCTCCGGCACCACGACCTTGCCCTTGAGGCCAGTAGGGGCCACGGTGGGCTCGTAGATAGCAGCGGGAGGAGACATTGTGATTTAAGCTGTTCCATGTTAGCCATTCCATGAATCGGGGGCAAACAGAAAACAAGGGAAGGCATGATCCTTTCGCTGGTATTGTCCAGATCAAGTTTTGACCGTATAATCTCAGAACGAACCCACGCCGTTGATACGATGTGATTGTGCTGGACGAGATCTCGAAAGATGCCATCCAGGACGACCACATTAGCGTACCAACGGGTGGGAACGAACACCGGCCCACGCCCAGAAGTTACCTGAGATACCTTGATCAGAAATTACAGCCAAAGGCTAATTCCATGACTTCCATCGTTTTCCAAGACCCCTCGGAGGAGGTCCACGCAAGGTGAATATTACATTGCGGGTGGTTGTGCCTGAAGAACGGTCAGCCTATTCCACCTGAGGGTCATCATCCTGGAGAGGAGGACTTGTTTGACAGCGATGAACACTTCAGATGAGCGAGAATGGTGCGCCGAGGAGAGAATAATGAAGGTGATGGAAGAAGAGAAAGACGGCGGGGTAAGAGGGGGTCTTTTATACCGACGGTGGATCTCAGCCGAAATTCCCCGCCAGTGACTTTCCTCCGGTCGCCGGTGGTGACTCGATTGAATTCTCGCCGGACCACTCTCCTCCTGCTCTCCTCCTGCTTTCTCCCTGTGACTTCGTCCACGATCGACTAGTGCCTTTGGGGTGACACAAACGGCACGGATCCCAACAGACTGGGTGTAATGATGAGTTCACCCCGTCCTGCCCGTCCAATGACGTTGATGGTGGGGTATGCAACGAAGCACCTCGCAGTCTAGACTAATTGCTATTACCCAATTACTATTACATCAAGTTGAGATGGATCCAGCTCGAGTTGACGTGGCTGCGCCATCGGCGTCAGATCTGATGAGCCTTGACTCTTGAACAAGCATCGTGGATTAATAGGTAGTATCGCGAATTGCTCTCGCTGCTTCCACAAAAGACCAGCCTAAATCACATCAACATCCAGCTTCACGCCGTATCCCTTGATCCAGTGCTTCTTTTTCCCTAGCTTTTCAATCTTTTCCGCTCGTTCGGGAAGAATTTCATCCCTCAAAGGACCGTCGACGTCGCATTTCACTCGCAGATGCAGCAGGTCCCGTTCCTCTTTCTTCTTCACAGTGGTGCCCCATTCTGTTTCCAATTGAATTCTACCCTTGGTTGTTGGTACACGACCCGCAGGGTAGACGTCTCCGATCAGGGTGGCTACTCGCCCTAAATACCGACACCACCATGCCTCTTTCTTCGAAACATAATCCAGCAACTGGTTTTGATAGATTTCATCAATGGGCGCTATGTCTCCTCCCCAGCGTTCGCAGAGAACCAGCGCAACCAGTGCTCGTTGAACGTGAGCAACAGTATTCACCGAGGCCAGGAGGCCCGTGGACGTACTGTGCAGTGCAGCGGCCGCGCGCGATTCCCGTGGGACTCGGGAATGAAAAAAGAGAAGATTCGCGAGAGCTGTTAGAACACTGCTGGAGAAAGCAGCAGGGAGGTGTAGAGAGTCCACAGAGGATGCCGAAGTTGGTAGTGCTGACGAAAGGAGATGCTTGATCGCCTCTGCGGAGGGAGGCGCATACGGCTTAGTTGCAACCACCAGGGGGTCCTGTGCGCGAACTTCTTTCGGCAGTGTGTCGAACAGGAATCCCTCGCGCACACCTCCCTGGCAGAACTGGATGTGTGTGATCTGCGGCAAGGCATCCATAATCACGTTGACCAGGAAAGCCACTGCTGGGATCTGCGACGCTCGGCGCTTGGACACGCCGAAGATATCGTCATCTTCAGATACCTCCTCTAGAACGGAGGCCGTATCATGGAAGTCATCCCTGCTGGCCCTGAAACCATTGATGATGGGCAGTGGATACGGGTCGACTTCGGACTGGGCCATGAGAACGTAGCCCCAGCCTCGAAACCCTCCGCCGCAAAGGTAAAGATCAGTTGGTCCATCTGGATCATCTGTGAATGGGGGCACTTCCAGGCTCTCGTAGGCATTCTGGAAATTCTCGACCATTTCTTTCTTCAGCGCCTTTTCTGCCTTCTTGCCCTCTTTCTGGGCCTGTTCCAGGCGCTTCGTCAACGCTGCCGCACCGTAAGGAAAGCTAAAGGAACCCTTGGGACTAGTCGAGACCACTCCGTCCTTCTCAACCACCCACGTAATCTGCGTGCTGCCGCCTCCTAGATCCATGGCCAGTCCTGCAACAGAGTTCAAACTGCTTGCAATTCCCATGGCGCCGATCCTGCCTTCGTCCTCTTTCAACAGCAGGCGGACCTCCCACCCCGTGCGTTTCTTGATTAAGGCAATAAACTCCTTCGAGTTCGGTGCCGTGCGAGTTGCTTCTGTCGCCAGGACATGGATGTTCTCTGTCGGAACGCCGAAATCTTCACAGGTGGTCTGGAACTGGACCAGTCGATCTGCGACTTGATTCATCGTGTCCTGAGGAATGGGACCCCGCTCGTCTGAGCCGGAGAATTGCGCATCATACAGCGAGATGGCTGCGCGGTCCTGGAAAACCGTCGGCATGACCCGAGCGGTCTCGGGTGATAGATCGGTAATGGAGAATCGGATTCCATTGCTGTGCGTGCGTTAGAGATTGGCTCATATCAGATGGTGGGGGGATACAGAACTGACCTTCCCATGTCCACAATCCCGTAGAACTCGGGATGGGTGCTTGAGTTAGCCATCTTTGAAGCTAACGGAGGCTGATAGTGTCTAGCAAATGACCAAATGTTGAGATTCCTGGGGGGGTTTAAGCCTGCAGACTTACACCGAAAAGACACGGCGAGGGTTACATGCGTTGTTCGTGATGAAGTCATTGGCAGCAATACACCGCTGTACCGTATGTGAGTCAGATTGAAGTATCGGGCCAATGAGCGACTCTCTTTCGATACCAGAAGGTATGGCAATACATCCCTCGTCTTCGTCTGTTTTTCTTTTTCTCTTCCTTTTCATCTTCCTCTTCTCTTCTGCTCGCTGTCCAAGCCTGTCAGATTCTGTCTCCTGGCTCAACAATATAGGAATTCCTCATATTGGCCCTTTGGTTGATTTCATCCACACCTCCAGAGATGATCAAGGTCGATCCTCATTGACAAGGAATCCACCCAAAGCGCTAAACGGTGCTTCCACCCGCCTTTCAGACTTCAGCCCCCAAGATGCTAAGCTTGGAGCAAAATCAAGCCCAGTGAATATCGCGGGTTAGGCGCCTAATGTGGGTCACCTGTCTCTGATAGACACCCAGAAACATGAGCAAACCCGTCTCAGCTTCTCGGTCGTGCGGTTTTGGTGGTGATATCCTTCCGTCCAAGGCTTACGCGATAATCCTGAAGGAGTTGAGTGTCATGTCTATCAATGTGAAGACCATCGCTACTGGTGTGTAGCACAAGGCTGTACGCTGTGCCGAGACACTAAATCGGCATCAACGGTCTTCCGGGCACAGCCGCCCATCGCTCTACCCACCCCTGCATCGGAGTCCCTTCGAATTATTCTGTAACGCAGTGATGAACGAATCATAGGTGCCGTGGAGCAAACGTCTATCCAATGCGCTGGATGAGCAGCTTTCAAAGGTTGACTCCACACCTAGCCTTGCTGCAAGGTATGGTGTTGCAAAGGTCACTGCCCCCTTGACCATGCACGTCCCTTTTAGTAGCAATGCTTCGGGTAGAAATGGACGAAGGGCCTCGCACATTCACATCCTTTTAAAACTGGTGGGCTGTCCGACGCAGTTCGCCCTCCCACTGCTTCATAGATGTATCTTGACGTCAACCATCGGTTAGATTCAACATGGTGGTAGCGTCGGAGCGAAGCGCCTTCTTGAGCGACCAGCCATTAGATTCTCGCAGAAATCATCTGTCAACAGCCTCGTTATCAGATGTCTCCTCAATCCAATCCTCGACATGGGAGGGAAACAATGACGCCGTGAGCAGGGCGCGTAGCCCTTCTCCTGAATTCGATTACATCGACCACGATCGCCAAAACAACCCATCAGCGGAGGGAAGAGACGATGCGCAACTCAAGGGCGGTGTCCCCGCAAACGCGAGACCTCCGTCGGCGCACCCATCAGACTCAGATCCATATCTTCTTGGCTCGACGACAGAGCGGAAACAGAACCGCTTGGCAAGCTGGCTGCCTCGTACATTTGGGCATCTCTATCTGGGTGCGCTGAGTATTCTGGCCTTGCTTTTGTGCCTAGTCGTCATCCTCTTGCTCTGGCGATCCGAGACAAATTATGGCTTGGGGAACGATCATGGGACCTCCGCCGTTCTTTTTGGCTGGAGATTCAGCCCGACCCTAGTGGCTGTGATTTATATCCAGTTTACTGCCATGCTATTTGACGACGTGAAGCGAACAGAGCCTTACGCTCGACTAGCACGACCAGAAGGTGCAGCGGCATCGCCAAGTATTCTCCAAGCTCCCGAGGTCTGGTGGAATGCTCTTCGCGATGGCTTCTCAAAAAAGAAAAACGGGGGTCGTGTTCGAAGCTGGATTCTCGTGTGTGCCGCGCTAGTCAACGTTCTGGGATTTCTAGTCATTTCACCCCTGTCATCAGCATTACTGACCTCTGAAGATGTCGCCGTACCACACGACAGAGAGTTTGCTCGCCTGACGCCGCGGTTCAATTCGCCTTTATTTCTTGATACGGATCGTACCACTCGCTTTCGAACAATCAGTCATGCTCTCCAGAATGTATCGACGTCCCCGTGGATCACAGACAACTATACTATGCTTCCAGTGTGGCCGGCCGATTGGCCAAGCGTTCCTATTGGCTCGTTGTCGTCGACTTCTTCTCAGTCATGGCAGGTTGAGACGACAGTGTTTAGAAGTAATCTCACTTGCGACAAGATGTCGCTGGAGCATACTTCTGGATATGATAATAAAACCGATATCACTCTTCTCTGGTCCTCTCCTGCTGGATGCACTTATCGACTTCACGTTCAAGGAGACAACATGTTCAGTATCGGTGGCGGCAGCTGGTCCAATGCATCGACGTTCATTTACACAAACTATTTGCCATATGTAGACCCAGGCTCCAATTGGTACCAGGTCAACAACACAGGAGACTGCCGAGGGCATGAGATTCTACTTTTGAGCGAATCTTGGAGGAAAAAGCCGCAGGCGGCCTACAGCGCCCATCTTTGCACCACGAAGTACTATATGGCCAATGTAACAGCCTCGGTCGATCTGTCTAGTAACGAGCCCTCCATCTCATTTGATGAAGGCGAGTATAATCGAAGAAAGACCCTGATTCCCGAAAGGTTTCTGAACACCACGCAACTGAATGAACTTGCCCTCAGTTCTTACTGGGCGAGCTACATGATCTCGATGCTCTATCAGAACGACATGCCTATCCTGGGTGGGCCCGCAATTCTTCTCGGGGCTAGCTACGGGTTCAATGTGACAGACATCCTGCATGACCCGAACCTGATCCAGCGAGCCGGAGAAATCAAGCAACGCTTTTTCGGCGAGGCACTGCAAGCCTCTGCCACTCATCAGGGCGCATCTCAGAGTGTGCCTGCCAGTGGCCAAGTCACTGCTTTTGAGAAACGAGTTGTTGTTGTGAAGGGTACCGCAATTACGTTGGCTGTTCTACTTTTTCTCTCGTTCTGTCTCTTGCTTGTTGTCTGGCGGTGCTCACGACTGCGGCAAAGACCGTTGAATTTGAAAGCCGACCCTGCCACAACATCTGAAGTGGCCAGTTTGGTGACCCATGATAGTCAAATCAGATCAGCTTTCAGTGGCCTCAGTGTGACACCAAAGAAGGAAATGGAGAAGCTCTTGCAAGGGCGTCGTTACCAGACGGAGCCCCAAGCACTCTTCGAAATACATGACGACAATTCCGAGCCTAATGGGACATCCCCCGAAGTATCAAAGTCTGATTCTGCTCGGCCGTCGTCTTGGATTCCTGGAGTGCTCCGTCTCATGACACTTTTAGGCCTGGTGATCTCGCTTGCTGCCGTTATTGTCGGTATCGCCGTGTTGTATTACTTTGCTGAAGATTCTCAGCTCTACCAGAAATTCTTCGTCTACCAGGCCAACATCTCGATCTTCAATAAGAACATTCCCGCGGTAGCGCCCTTTTCAATCATCCCAACCCTGATAGCAGTTGGAATTGGCCTATGGTGGAGCGCCATCGACGAAAACTTCCGTCGCCTCCAACCTTTCCTTGCAATGTCAAATGGCCAGCCGAAATTTTCACAGGGCGTCAGCCTGTCATACCAGTCGTCCTACTGGGTGTGGGCGGCCACTAAAGCGGCTAGAAATCAACACTGGTTATTATTCTTGGTCACACTGGGGGCGACCTTGACGCCAATTTGTAGGATTCATGTCCTTTGCATTTCGTTATATATACTGATAAGTCCCCTTAGTTACCACAGCCATGTCTGCATTGTTTGAACGGGAATCTGGCAATATCGCGCAAACACTTACCCTTCAGCGTGGGCTGGAAATTCGTCGGATTCCTTTCCTCTTTGAGACGAGACAATCTGAAATCAATCATGAGCCTGATGAGTATGCAGCGAGGATTGTCGGAGACCTTTTCCAAAACCTATCCACGCATTGGATGTACACTGCCTCAAACCAGCTCATTCTGAATGGCTCCCAACCAGCCTGGAGCAAAGATGGCTGGAGCTTTGTTCCCCTTGATTTGAGCAATGCCACCGACTCTTTATCGAGCGTTGGCAAGAACGCTTCATCCTCAGACCTCGGACGAAATTTGAATCAGCAGAGCGCAACGCACGCGTCTCCATTCAATGTATCCTTTACCACACCCGCCATTCGAGGTCGTATTGAGTGCAGTAGTTACGGTGCCAATGATCTTCGCAACCTCTCTTCTTGGCTCTCTTTATGGAACCCTGGTCCAAACGATACCGTTGTCCCCGAGGGCGTTTCGGGGTTTGAACTAGGTGCACCATGGGGAAACCAGGACTCTCCAGGCATGATATTTCCCCCAGAGCCAGGACGTAACTGGACTAATTGCGAGCACTGTACTTCCATTTACGTCAATCCTTCTCAGATCATATGCTGTGGCAATTCAACCAGTAGTCCATCCGACTCAAATGTTGCGGTTGGCTACTGGTCCCCGAATCTTAGCCCATATACATGGACGCCACGAACATGGGGGCATAACTTTACGGCCAAATGGTTTACTGGGACCGCTACACCCGTCACTCTGACCAAGGGAATCTCCGATCCTATGGACCGCCTTGTGTTCAGCCAGCCGCCCAACACCGTCGTGATGAATTGCATGCCGTTGGTTGAGAGCGCAGATGCTAGGATCACAGTAAACCCCAGCACTGGGGATATCCAGACTTTTAGCATTCTCGATGAACCAGAGACCATGGATGATGCCTTTTCGGATAACTTCTTGGTCCATAATGGAACGCACAGAGATCCAGACGACCTAGGGTACTTAGTGTTCAACGCCACCATAAGGTAAGACGTTGCCCATCCTCATGCTATATCCGGACCATGATTGGATTGCTAACAGACATTGCCTTTAGCTACGGCCGCCTCTTCATGTCTTCCATGCTCACAGCTGCAAGTACCCTGAACCTTGCAGGCAACCGCGTCATAGGCTTCACGACCGAAAACACAGACGATAATACTTACACAATCCGCGACGAAACCAATGGCCTCAACATGGATTTTATGACCTACTCCATGTACTCGCTCGCTGGCAAAGACCCCTCCGCGCTCATCGATCCGGACACCTTCCTCAAGTACGCCTCGCAAACCTTCACCACCTTCTTCCAACACTTCGCAAGCAACAACATCTCCCTCACAACAGGCAGTTGGGCCTACCAGCCCATCAACGCCAGCTTACCGCACGACCTGGCTCCCGCCGTCGACGACATCTTCATGCCCAGCTCCGAGCCCGCCGCGACTCAGGATGTCATCCACCCAATCTCCCACACCAACCGCACCGTAACAGCACGCGCAACCCGCCGCGTTGAGCTCCTGCGCATGAATGACGTCGCAGTGGGGCTGAGCATCGGCATCCTCGGCTGGTTGATCCTCACCACGGCCGTGGTCGCACTGCTTCAACGGCGCTTCCTCGGCCGCATGATGCGCAACGTCGACTGCATGGGCGACGTCCTGGTTCTCATTGCGGGCAGCGAGAATTTGATCCGAGTGGTCAGGGAGGTTCAAGCTGGGCGAGCATCAGCAGAGGATACTAAAAATCTCCGGACGAAACTAGGATGGTTTTTGGATCAGAACGGTGAGGTGAGATGGGGTATTGAGTTGGAGAGACAAGCTCTCGGTGGTCCAGAGGTTGAATGGCTGGATGGTCCCCAGGACAAGCCGGAGAATCATGTCACGACGGCGCCGAAATAGGTCTGTCTATTTTATAATTTCTGATTAACGAGTCCCCGAAGACGAACATATACCACAATTGATTCTCTTTTCACGCTTATCAATCCAATGACGCGATTTCGGGATCCTTGCAAACGCCCTGTGGGCTGTGCTTCGAGAAGACAAAGAATCAGCAGTTGGTCTTGGTTTAGCCAGCCACTAACAGCCCCCTTGTCTTAATAGTTCGTGGCTAACAGCCGGGATCGAAGCGGCTGACCGTCCCCCGATGCTTAGAGAGTCTAGACATCTCCGACTGGTGATTGGGGCTTGGGGCACGATGGCGTGTGCGCTAAAGGCTACACTTATCAGGCAACTTCTATTTCTTGTCTATTGACCGAGAACGCTTCCTTCCCTCTCTTTGCTCCAACGAGCAGAGACTGGTGAGCTGTTTCGAAATGCCCTTCACCCATGGGGAGGGCGACCTGCTCCATCTTAACCAGGAACAGTTTGATTTCAATCTTCAATTCGAAAGCCTCTTCTTCTCGATCCTCCCCTCCATCCTGTTCATTCCATCATCGCTATGGCGAGCTCAATCGCAGATACGAAAGCCCGTCGTGGTGAAGGCGCCTGTCCTGCAATTCATGAAAACAGTATGCCCTCCTCGGTTCTACTGTTCATGCCAACTGACTGCCTAGGGCGCCATAATTATCTACGCCGGCTTAGAACTGACCCTTCTGATACTGGCTGTGATCGGGTCCTTCCATGCCAGCCGCATGTTTATCGCGTCCTCCACCCTGCAGCTTGTATCGGCCCTTTTCATGCTGGCCGTAAGTGTCGTGGATCACAGCCGCAGCCCTAGACCATCGATGCTGCTGAACAGCTACTTATTTCTCACTCTTCTCCTCGATATCGCCCGAGCAAGGACTCTATTCCTATCCTCAGATTTTAATTCCGAAATCGTATACAGCAGTATTTTCTGTGCATCGGTCGGGCTGAAGACGACCATATTGTTATTGGAGGCCTGCCAAAAGGCGAGATGGCTAACCTGGGACGCAACAAAACACAGCCCCGAGGAGACGAGTGGGATTTTCTCGCTCGGCGTCTTCCTCTGGCTGAATAGGCTCTTCATGGCTGGATATAAACATGTCTTGACAATGGACAGCCTCTACCCCCTCGACAGCACCTTCGACGCACAGGCCCTGCATGAGAAATTTGCGAAGAACATGGACTACGCCCAGCTGAAGGGGGACCGGTTCGGTCTTCTGAAGGTGCTCGTACGGACATTACAGGGGTCACTACTCCTGCCTATTCTTCCGCGGGCGGCTTTGATTGTCTTTTATTTCTGCCGGCCCCTTTTCATCGAGAGTCTCATCACGCATCTGTCTCGTTCAGAGCCAGATCCAAACGCGGGATATGGGCTCATCGGCGCTGCCGTATTCATCTACTCTGGGATTGGGATTTCGTATGCATTGTATTGGTACGTATAGGTGCTGTTACGCATCGAACCAGAGACTCACACGGTCGTCAGGTACTGCCATCACCGACTGCGGACGATGGTGCGCTCCATCCTAGTCACCGAGACCTTCGCAGCCGCCACAAGAGTCCGACTGGGATCGGGCGATGATAACGCTGCGCTGACCTTGATGAGCACCGACATGGAGCGCATCAGAATGGGTCTGCGCTTCGTGCACGAGACATGGGCGAGCATGATTCAGGCCGGTCTCGCCGCTTGGATGCTCTATCGGCAACTCGGTGTCGTGCTAGTTGCCCCCGTAGGGGTGGTGGTGGTCTGCTTCGTTGGCTTGGGTATCCTAGTCAACTTCACCGGCGACTCGCAGCGAGCCTGGATGTCCGGGGTGCAGAAACGGGTCGGGCTGACAGCCACCGTCATCGCCAGCATGAAATCCCTCAAAATCTCGGGTCTAGCGGCCCCCGTGACCGAATACGTGCAGCAGCTGCGCAGCGACGAACTCGCCGCTGGAGCCCGGTTCCGCAGGATCATGATCATCGCCGCCGTCTTCGCCTTCCTGCCGCAGTTGATCAGCCCTCCGTTGACCTTCGCGTTTGCTCAGAGCCCGCTGAATGCCTCGACCATGTTTACCAGTCTTTCGTTCCTGACCCTGTTGACTCAACCACTGTCGCAGCTTTTCCAATCCGTTCCGGAGCTCGTTTCGGGCTTGGCCTGCTTAGGTCGGATTCAGGCATTTTTGGAACTGGAGCCTCATCAGGACTACCGGCAGCCTTTGGTAAGGAGCGAGAAGGGATTAAACCGGTTGGTCCCGGACCCTGCGGACTGCATCGTCATCCAAGACGCGAACTTCGGGTGGAAAGCAGACAAGTTCGTCCTGCACAATATCAACACTCGAATCCCCGCGTCGTCCCTGACGATGGTCATCGGCCCCGTCGGCTCAGGTAAATCAACCTTCTGCAAAGCTCTCCTCGGTGAGATTCCCTTCAGCGAAGGCAGCGTCGTGACGAGCACTTCCTTCCGTCACATCGGCTTCTGCGAGCAAACCGCCTTTCTTTGGAACGGGACGGTCAAGGAAAACATCGTTGGATTCTCCCCCTTCGACCGCCAGCGATATGACCAGGTCATTGAAGCCACTTCCCTGCGCTTTGACCTTGCAACCCTATCTCAGGGAGACCAGACGAAAATTGGGTCCGATGGCGTGGCGCTTTCCGGAGGGCAGAAGCAGCGTCTGTCTCTTGCGCGGGCACTGTGCCTGCCTGCGGACTTGTTGATCCTTGACGATGTGTTTAGCGGGTTGGATGCAGATACCGAAGAGTAAGTATTTCGGCAGGTATTTGGACCGGATGGTCTCCTGAGACGAAGGGGGTCGACGGTGGTTCTGTGCACGCATAGTGTTAGGCATCTCCCAGCGGCGGATTACATCGTCGCGCTTGAACACAGCCGCGTTGCAGAGCAGGGCACTTTTGTCGATCTGTCGACCCGTCCGGGATATGTTCAGCGTCTGGAGGTGGGACTCAAGCAGGAAGGCGAAAATGCTGCGACTGAGCCTGGCCCTTCCCCGGGCCAGCAGGGCGAGACTGGCACCGGCGAGAAACTCGAACCAGCGAACGATATCAGCCCAATGGCCCCAGCAGTGGCCGCAGCCCGGCAGGTCGGGGACACCACCGTCTATAAGCTTTATATCAAGAGCATGGGATGGTTTGTGGCGGCTTGTAGTTTGTTCTTCGCGGCCCTCTGGGGTCTCTTCACCAACTATCCAACCGTTTGGCTCACGTCCTGGAGCGACGCCACCGAGTCTGAGCATCGCGCGCACTCCGACGCCTACTACGCCGGCATCTACGCCCTCCTCCAGATCTGCGCCATCATCGCCCTGCTCCTCCTAGGAATCACGCTCTTCATCGTCTCGGTGAAGAAAGCCGGCGCCAATCTCCACCAGCAAGCCCTACACACCCTGATTCGGGCACCACTCTCCTTCTTCGCCACCACCGACACCGGAGTCGTCACGAATCTATTCTCCCAGGATCTCAATCTGATCGACACCGAACTCCCCGAGGCAACGCTCAACACCCTCTTCTGCGTATTCCAGTCGATCGGCCAGGCCGCCGTGATGCTGACCTCCTCCGTCTACCTTGCAATCAGCTACCCAATCCTGGGTGTACTGCTATACCTCGTGCAGAAGTACTACCTCCGCACGTCGCGGCAGCTGCGATTACTCGACCTCGAGGCCAAAAGCCCCCTCTACACGCATTTCCTAGATACGCTCAAGGGCATCGCCACTCTGAGAGCGTTCGGGTTCATCCACGACGATGTACAGAAGAACGCCCGACTGGTGGACTCCAGCCAACGCGCCGCGTATCTCCTCCTCATGATCCAGGAATGGCTGAATCTGGTCCTGAACCTCGTCGTGATGGTCATTGCGGCCGTCTTGACGACGCTTGCTGTCCGTCTGAACTCCAGCTCGGCCTTCGCCGGTGCGTCGATGTACTCGCTCATGACCTTCGCGGAGAGTCTCTCCGGGATTGTCATCTACTACACGAGGCTGGAGACCTCGATCGGCGCCATCGCTCGACTGAAAACCTTCAACGATACCGTCATGCCCGAGGATCACGGAGGTCCAGGGGAGGAGGACATCACGCCGGAGGAGAGCTGGCCGCATCACGGGCTGGTCGAGTTACGCGGCGTATCTGCCCGGTACAGATCCACTGAGCCTGCATCTGACACCGACGCCGACTCTGATTCCATCTCCCCTCTGGCCCTCAAAAACATTCGTCTCATCATCCAACCGGGCGAGAAGGTCGCCATCTGCGGCCGCACGGGGAGCGGCAAATCCAGCTTTCTCGCTCTCCTGCTGAAACTCCTGGATCCGCTCCCCTCATCACACAATAGCAATGAGCAAGACCATAACGAAGAACCCCCGGTTATAATCGACAGCATCCCCCTGCACCGCATCCACCGCGCAACGCTCCGCCAACGCCTCATCGCTGTGCCCCAGGACCCCGTCTTCCTCCCCGACGGCTCGTCCTTCCGCGCGAACCTCGACCCCTCTAACGCCGCCACCGCGGCAGAGTGCCAGAAAGTTCTCGAGGCCGTGCGTTTATGGCCGTTCGTCCAGGACCACAATGGTCTGCAGGCCCCGGTTCCGACGGGAACGTTTAGCGCCGGGCAGAGGCAGCTCTTCTCGTTGGGACGGGCGGTGCTGAGAGCGATGATCCGTCGGCGGTCAACTCCTTCCCTTCACCCTGACGGGTCCGTACGTGAAGATCGAGGGGGCATTCTCCTCCTAGACGAAGTAAGCTCCAGCGTAGACCGGGAGACCGAGCGGCTGATGCAGGAGATCATCCGGGAAGAGTTCCGGCGGTATACGATCATTGCGGTGAGGCATCGGCTGGAGATGATTATGGATTTTGATCGGGTGGTGGTGATGGATCGGGGGGAGGTGGTGGAGATGGGGAATCCGGGGGTCTTGAGAGGGTTAGAGGGGAGCCGGTTTGGCGAGTTGGTGGCCGCCGCTGGGGCGTAGGAATGTTGGGATTTTCGTAGTACCGTTACCATGTTGAATTGGAATTGGAATTGGAATTTGAATCGTTAACTGCGTGAGTAGATACCTAGCCTCCTTATCTACCTATCTAGCTCGATAATCATAACCATGGTTGCTATCTATAGCACATACCGGAACCCAGCCCCGTAATTGTCCTCGGCCACCGTATGCGCCGTGGCGTCCTTCTCTCCTTTCTTTCCGTGCTTTTCATCCAGTCGACGGTTCTCCCACGCCAGCAGCGTCCGCAGGGAGAGCGCCAGAATCGTCGTGAAGAACATGAACGCGGCGCAGATCGATTGTCCCCGGATGTATCGCGGACCGTCGGTTTCGGGGTAGACGTTGGTGCCGAGAAAGGGGCCGCATTGGCCGATGATGTTGAGAATGACGATGCCCATTCCTCGACGAGTGTCGGAGCCTTGGTTGTCTGGTGGGGGTTACTGTTAGTTCATGATTGACAATAGATGGAGCAGTGGAAACTCGGGAGGAAGGGAGACATACTCAAGGACCAGGGCAGAATGTTCCCGATGCATGGAAAGACTCCTGCTGCGGCGAGGAACACGCCCAGGTAGCGGACTCCGACGGTGGTGCAGGTGGCAAGAATGACATAGCCGACGGCGCCGACAATGGAGAGGAATGCGATCATCAGGCCGCGCTGCTGGAATCGATCGGCTAACCAAGTGGTGGCGATCGTCAAGAGGAAGGAAAGAAAGTAGGGCGGAGCTGTAAGGCCCTGTGCGTTGATCGAGGTGAATCCCATGTCTTTCAGGATGGTGGGCAGGAAGACAGGGAGGGACGAGAAGCTGACGTTGCAGCTAAAGTACATCAACTGTATGCCACTTTATTAGCTTCATTCCATGGGATTGAATTGGGTGTGAACATACGGCAACAAGCCAGGCTTTTACGTCCAACAGGGTCCGACCTATATCCTTCCAGACAATCCCAGAAACGCGCTCTCCTTCGCCACTGCGCTGTATCGACCGTGCCCGGGCGACTTCCTTCTCGTCCTCGGTCAGAAATCGGGCGGTCGAGGGATGATCGGGCAGGAAGAACCAGGCCAAAAAGGCTGCGAGACAGGATGGGATTCCTTCCACAAGGAACAAGAGTCGCCAACTAGCAAGTTTAGGGTGGCCGGAGGTGATCCCGTAGGCCAGCGCGCCGGCGAAAGTATTCGCCAGAGGGGCCGAGGAGACGAATAAACCGCAGCGAAGACCCAGTTCATGCCGACGGTAGAAAAACGAGAGTAGAAAGGGAGTTCCGGGACCGAAGCCCGCTTCTCCCATACCAAGAAGGAAGCGCAGAGCCATCATGCCCTGCCAATTCTGAGCCGCGGCTTGACATGTGGCAACGATTCCCCTGGAGTTAATTATTAGACGAGCTTTGACTTCAAGGCCAGGGAAAAGGCACCCGCGGCGGAACGGTAACTCGGTACATCTAAAGCTTACCATGTCATCACGGTGATTGCAGCCCATCTATGGGGCGGGATAATTTTCCACATTAAGGCGAGAAACTCAAAGACTGTGTACGAGATATAGAATATCGTGAGTAGCCACGAGTACTGATCGCTGCTCAGGTGAAGATCATCTTCCATTCCAGCAATCTTCGCGTTTCTAGATTCCGTGGAAAGTCAGTTCTCGGAGCTGCAGTCAGGACGCAGGAAACACGAACCCAATATTACTCCGATCCAGAGAAGCAAGAAGATCTAGTGACATTGACATGAGTTGAGTATCCAACACTCATAACGAAAACGTGTCCTACACAAAAACCCCAGAAGCGTCGGGACCCTCCAATCGAGCTTTCGCAGCAATCGTTTCTCTATGGCGGGATCGATGTCGATCGCCGGCGCAGGCATGGGCGGCAGCGCGGTCTGCACATCGTCATCGTGGGTCGGCATTTGCTTTTCCGGATCGCTGAGGGCCGGGGCTTCTCTGATATCGTCGTCCGGCGCATTGCTGCCGGCATGGGGGTCGAGGGGACCGTCCTTCTTGCCAAAGAACCCCATGGCGAGTAGTGGAGGAATCGTGGAGATTGAAACGACAAAGCTGGAAATGGATGAACCGCGGCGACGGGCACGGGTCTTATAATGTCTGCGCCAGCCATCGGAGGGTTTTGCAGACGGATGCGACCCATTATTGGATCTATTGGGGGATCGACAAAGTTAACCGGAATAGCGTGTTCCACTTGTGACGCCATGCATGGAACAGGCGAGTTCGCCCGCGCATCTCGCTTGAATTGATCGAGGATGAATCGAGGGATTGGACGGAGAGTAAGGGGATATGCAGTTGGACAGGGGAAATGCAGGAAGCATGGGAGAAAGACCGAAGACGACGCAGATGAAACAAGAATGGCGGCGAAGGTCTTGGCGAAGGCTTGAAATGCGAAAGGCGGGGAGATCTCGTTCCACTCCGTAGTTCGTTAGTCGCTGGATCAATTCATCTCAATCTCCAGCATCTCATTGGATTATGCCGAACACGACCATGCTCGGATCTCCAATCATCCTCCGTCCTCCATGCGAAATCGCCACTGCGGCCAGTTGTATCACACTCCTCCATCTCAAACGTGCCCGACAGTCAGTGGCACCGGTCGAGGGTGGGATTGGGCGAATGAGATGGCTGAAGCGAAGTGTACCTTGCCAGGAGTGAAAGTTTCCTGATGTCCAACCTCCACCACGTAGTGGTCTGAACCCTCGTTCCACAAACCGGATGGTCTGACGGCTCTCTTAGACCATGGCACCAATTCGCCTCGTCTTATCTCTGCATTCAACTGCATATGCTCGGCTATTCACATGCAGGTCGCTTATCGAGTGTTCCCGTGGGTCTTTATCTGACAGGAAAGATCCTCCATAAGCGATGGCTTGAGTGACCCTCAAACGATCGCTCTCTTGGAAACTTCAGGTTCTAATTGACGCCGAATAGACCATGATGCTGAAGACTATGTCCACTGGCGGCGACGAACTTTGTATTAGACCACATACCCATGTATCACCTCGCGAATTATCTGGTTGTCGGATTCATCGTAGATCCGGTGTACTTCGGCCTGTATATAGAGAGCTTGTTTCAGTCTAGATTGTTTCTGCATGACTCTGTTAGTGCAGCTTAAGTCGCATCGTATCATTAGGTGATTTTCTGGATGGCCATATATGAGAGAACACTATACTAGCAGTAAAACTAATATTAGGTAGAGCTCATGATAATATAAGCATAGAAAGTGATATGTTCGTTTAGTTGGAGACCGTCGTGGTTGATATATATTGCAAATGTCATTTCATGCTGTCGTTTATAGTTTGGCATCTGAAGGACTTATCCACCCAAAAGTCTGATGACAGTCGAAGCCACAGTAATTTGTGATCGGAATTGGGACAAATCATGACTGGACTGGGAGAGGAGAGGAGAGAAGAAAAAGACGAGAAGAAGGAAGATAAAGAAAGCACCTGCGACCCAAAAGGGTTTAGCGCATGAAAGATGTCGCAGCCTGACCCCCCAGGTGTCAATAATGCATCTCTGGTCTCTCCCCTCCACCGCAGCAGCGCAGGGAGCCTCAAATTTCCGCGTCGCGTTTCCATCTCCAGCTCGGCTCATTCGCATCGCATCGCAGCGTTCTCGATCTCGGATGTATTGCTGTCCTTTCGCCATCTAGTATTCCCTGAGGCATTTTCATCACTTCCTTTCCCCGGCTCTTCTTGAACCTGTGACGGTGTCGCTTCACAATGGACGACCCAGCGAGCCGTCTCCCCGGGCAGTTGGTAGGCCGCATTTCCCCAGGTTTCGATTCGCTCGGCCATGGCCAGATCGCTGACTTGGATTTGATATGGACAGCTGCCGCACATGCATCTGCTGTCGCGGCATCGCTACCCCCTCATGCACATGATGCCCACCGAGACCGTCGTCGAATACCTTCTGTCCGCTCAAAAGATCGTCCGTGAGGCGCAACCGATGCATTGGTCCTTCTTGGATGGCCCTCAGGATGGAACCGTCATGCTCACCTGGCAACCCCTGAACCACCTGGGGACCAACTTTGCCAGCGATGGCTACGTCTGGGCGGACGTTGAACAGGCGTTCACCTTCGAAGCTCGCGGCTATGTTCGTGGACACTCCCTCTCCACCTGTATTCGCCGTGACTGACATATACGCACTTTTCAGGTGCTAGAAATGTGGCTACACCGCAGTGGCTACCACCCCCCGAATGAGTCGGTTGCCATCCATTGCCGCCGACGTTACCGATTGCTCCCTTCGAAAGTCCCGAACCCCGGCATGCCCCCGCCAGACCCGTCCTTGTGGATCGTTCACTACTCGCGAGCTCCTCAATCCGACCACATCCCCGCAAATCGAATTCCTGTACTCCCGCAAGTTCAGGGCATGCTGGCACAGCGCCGCTTCTTGCAGAGCCAGGGACAGCTGGCCCGCAAGGACTTCATGCTGCACGACCGGAACAACTGGCCGACGATCAATTTCCCCCAGCAGATGGCACCACAGGGGTTCGCGCAAGTGCCCGGGCCTTATCCGAATGCCATGGTTGGACGTCAGCCCTATTATCCGCCGCCCGTCCAGGGAGTGCCAGCTCCCGCGGGCGCGGCACCGGTAAAGGCACCCCGCGGACATCGTGCGTCCTCCGCCGCAATGAACGCTGCCACCGCCGACTTTGCGCTCGAGGATGAAGACGTTTCCGCCGGTGATATGATGGATCTCTTGACCCCTCGCGAAGTGAGCAAGATGCGATACCAGCAACATCACGAGTGGATGGAGGAAATCTTCGCCTCCCCATACGCCATCAGCCAGATCACTCCCGTTTCTCTGGGCCTAGGTCGCAAAGGCGAGCTGGAGTCCTTGACGGCGGGATTCTTCGATGCACCCGATTCGAAAGACGCCGGTGATGCCGCCGCCACCAAAATGGAACCCGCGAAGGCCGAAGAGTTCGCCGATCGCGTGGCCAAGAGAGTGTCGGATATGACGGCGGAGATCGAGAAGCTGAAAAAGCGACATGCTCGCCGGATGGAGAAATTCAACCGCACTTCCTTGCTCAAAGACGCCGAGATTCGACTTCGGGACTCTGCGACCGACCCTGCCGATACGGGCACGGAGGTCTGGAGACTGGAGGGTCGTGTGGTGGTCCCTACCGAAGAGGATGACGAGCAGATCGCTCCGCCTTCCGACCCCAAAGCCACGCACAAGGTGGGCGACGTGATCAAGGAAGTCGAGACTGCGTGGCAGAAGCATATTGCTCTGGAGCCCAAGGTCGCCTGCGTGCAAAAGGGCGGCTTGTTGGAGAAGATCGAGCCGGAGCAGAAGCCGGAACAGCCCCCGCAGGGAGATATCGACATGGACCAGGGCGATGCACTTCTCAACCAGTTCGGCGCCAACTCGGGGCCGGCTCAAGGCATTACTGCGCCCGCACACGATGTATCGACAGGCGCGCCCGGGGGTGTTGGTGTCGGTGCCGGGGCCCCGGCGCCGCCCCCACAAGCGACGAATATCTCGCAACAGTCAGCTCCGGGGCTGGACATTGAAATGAACATGGGCAATGGGCATCCGGTCAGTACCGCTGCGGGAGAGACCGGCGATTGGGTGATGGTTGACGGCGACAAGAAGGGTCAGTCGACAGAGAAAGGAAACATCGGCGAAACGTCTCTACCTGGCATCGACACGCCCGGCAGCGGAATGCAGGGCCTGACTCCGGGCAACACAGCGGGCGACAGTGCCTTGGACGGCGCCAACTTCGACTTCACCAACATGGATAGCGCGGGCGATGCGCTGGCGGCGTACACGGAGCAGAACGACGACCTTGACCTGCCGGATCTGGAGAACTCGGCGTTTGGCGATGCATTCCACGCCTCGGACAACGAGAATACCCATCACCACGACGCCGACGACTTGGCATGAGCTGGCAGGGCGCGTATTTGAGGGGATTTTCTTCATCTCTTGGAGTGGGTGGTCTACGGTGTTGTCGGTCTTACGAATACGTTCTGGCGCGGGTTTTGTTTTCCTGTAAAACTAGGAGTGCAGCTACTTCTTTCTTTTTTCCTTTTTCTGGACATTTATCTCCCTCAGCTGCCGTGGGAGCTGACTGAGGATAATTTTCTTTTGATATCAATTTGAACGATTTCTGGGAGTCTTGCGCTGTATCTTGGCAGTAGATCTGGTTGGCGTCGATCATCTGCACGCAGGGGTCAACCCGATGCAAAAACGACAGGAACAGACAGATTCCTGTCGGTCAGTCCGCTTCTCGACTCCCTTCTGACTGGCGACGCGACCGAAGTTCTGACTGCAGCGTCCGATGGCAGGACGCCGACCGGCGCAGTCACCGGGCAGCATCATCCCGCCGATCAAGTGACTTGGCTGACCTGCCCGCGTGCGACTCGCGTTCTCTTATTATACGCCCTTCCGGCCTGTTTTTCGCTTCTTGATGAACCTCTGCGGAGCCTTTGCCCATCGAGTGCGCTGAATCGTGGTTGCAACTGAAGTTACTATCCAGTGGTCTGTCCTGCTCCAGCCGACAGAATGCCGGACATCCACTATCAAACCGTCGGGAGCCCTCCCTTCCATAGTATGCATTAATCCGCTCGCAAGAACTTGACAATAACCTGCTGGATTCACCAGATTGCTCCCCGCGCCCTCCGCCCCGCCATGTGCTTCGTCGAACCCGACGAAGACACCTGCGTGCGTATCACCGAGTATCGTGTCGTGCCGGTGCGCGTCTCATGTCCCCGTCCGGCTCCTCCTCGTCAGGACAAATGCAGCAGCGACGGGGGCAGCAGCAGCAGCAGCAGCAGCAGTGATTCGAGCTCGAGCTCTAGCAGCAGTAGCAGCAGCAGTGACAGTGACAGTGACAGCGATAGCGAGAGCAGCAAGAGCAAGAGCAGCTATCACCATCACCATCATCATCGCCGCTCTCATCATCGGCATCATCACCGCCATGACTCGGCCATCGTATGTCCGCCACGGCCTCCACGCCGGTCGTGCTCTCCACGGTGCTCCTATACCACTGTGACGCGGACTATGACTCGCACAACCGAGGAGGAGCTGGTTCCCTTCTGGTCAAGGAGGACACCGCGCGTGATCGAGAGTCGCGAGTGTGGACCGCATCGCGTGGTGGAGTGCTTCGAGCCGGATGAGTGCAGGGTTCGACGGCGACGAGTTCCTTGCGAGCGAGAGTGCGAGGACGATTTGTTTTATACTTGTTGGAGATAGGGGACGAGGTGCTGGAATAAGAGGTTTTGTTTCTTTCTCTGTTATGCGTGTTGCGTTCTGCTCCGTTTGATTTTATTATACCCCCTGTTGACAAGACTGCCGATCTACTGTCCATGTGCCTGTTCAGTGTGCTGCCTTCTTTTCGTTTCCTGTGTCAATGACTTTATGACCTAATGTCCTGTTCTTTGCTTGATTTTGCCTGCTTTCCTTTCCATAGTCTTTGAGTTATATCCAATCAAGAACCATCACCCCCAATACTCAGAGGTCTGCTCTCATCCACGGTCGAGTCCACGGCCGACCAACGAACACCAAGAAGACAGATCAGAAGGTTTTACTCCCATGGTTCTCCTATCGCAGTCCCCATTCAGAGCGACTGAAAGCGGACGAAATGACCTCAACATCCGCCCATCCCGAATGACGTCACGTCGGCCCTCCACGAGTGTCACGGTCATTGTCCTTCATAATTCCCTTCTGTTCTCTTGTAGTATCTGAATGTCGTACATCGCATGGTCTATTGTATGCGAACTACTATCTATTTCAATTTATCCAAGTACCAACCGGGTATAAGCTACCTACTTAGTTGACTAGGGTGATCCATCCAATCAACTTCGAAAGGAAGGCGCATTCCAGCTCGTTGTCGGTCCAATTGAATTACCTGCCACTCTATATTTCTCATTTACGACCTGTACAGCACTTGCGTTCTACATAATCGTGTTGTGATCCTCATTTCGCCCAACCATTGCAACCATGTACGCCTCCTAAATCCCCACCCACCTACTATGCACCTACGATCAAACTAACATCCACCCAGGAACCGAAACATGTCCGGCCGAAGAAGAGACTCGCTCTCGTCCAAGCCGCGCTTCAACATCTCCACCCTGCGCGGCTTGCAGCAGCCTGAGCTGAGCCGGCGTCTGGGCCGGCTGATCAAGAACGAGAACACGGCCATCGGCGCGTACGAGAAAGCCGGGCGCGAGCGCGTCTCCATCGCATCGCAGCTGTCCGAATGGGGCGACTCCACCGAGGACGATGCCGTCTCTGACATCACGGATAAGTTGGGAGTGTTGATGGCGGAGATGGGCGAGCAGGAGGATATCTATGCGCAGAACCTGGAGGATTACCGTGGTCTGTTGAAGCATATCCGGGACACCGAGGGCTCGGTGCAGCCGTCCCGTGACCATAAATTGAAGGTTGCGGATGATATTCAGAAGCTGAAGTGGAAGGACCCGAACAGTCCGCGGTTGGAGACGCTTGAGCAGGAGCTTGTGAGGGCCGAGGCGCAGAATTTGGTGGCCGAGGCGCAGTTGACGAATATGGTGGGTCTTGCAGTCTTCCCATTCTATGTTTTGTTTAATGAGGGTGGATGGTTGACGGTCCTATAGACTCGGTCGAAGCTCAAGGAAGCGTTCGACGTTCACCTGGCAGCTGTCATTGAACGCGGAGAAAAGCAGATCCTTCTTGCTCGTCACGCGCGTCGACTGCTGAACTACATCGACGATACCCCCGTGGTCCCGGGAGATGCACGAAAGGATTATGACCGGGCTGCCGAGGCGAAGATGGTGCTTGAGGATGCCGAGAAAGACCTCCTGTCCTGGGAGAGCACCGTTGATCCTATTCACACCTCGGCGGGACAGATGCCGGGCAATACTCTTCTGCCTGTGCAAAGGGCCCGCACAAATAACCGCGAAGCGGACGCCAGTAGTTTCTCCGACACCACCAGGGACATCGAAGGATCCGTCAACGAGGCGACTCGAGATGTGGATTCGTATGTCGCGGCAGACACTCCGGAGGCCAGCGCACCAACCCGAGAGGTCGAAGAGACCATTACCAAAACAACCAGCCGCGATGCAGAAGGCCCCGTGACAGAGGTGACTAAGGAAACTATTGTTCGAGACGTCAACGGATCCGCTGCAAGAAAAACCGACGCCCCTCGAGGCACATCTAAGCAGGCCGCGCTTTTGTCCGACGGCGCTGGAATGGGAGCCCAGCCATTGGCCGTTCCGTATTAAATTGATCGTATAGTGTCTTGTGTCCTGTATTGTATAGTTTGAGTCTGTCTATAATGCTGTTGTAGTAATTCACTCGTGATCTGTGTTGGACTGTCTGGGAGTGTAGTTGTGGTAGAATTCCCGAATAGTTGTATCAAGTAGAAGACTAGAAGTGGTGCTTTTAGGGCTGATGGGGTTATGTCGCTGCCTGGAAACGGGGGCATTAAACACGTGACCGGCAGGCGGCCAGCGTGACGCGGACGAACAGCGGGCGAGAGCTCCATCAGCTTCAAGAGCTCCATCCTGCCTCTGCCCTCGTCTCCCCCCATCCCCACCGTTGTACACTACCTTCGCTATCTTCTTCCCGTCGTTTTATTCCCTTCAGAAATCCACTTCCGCCGATCATGGATAAATTGGTCGCCCAGTACACCCAGGCGCCTCACCAGAATGAGTTCTATTCCGAACAAGAGCAGCATGACCTCACCGAGAGCCTGCCCCCAATCTCTCTAAAATTCAACCTCCCTCCGGTGGACGACGTGAGATTACCCCTGCCGGTCTATTATACTTGATGGCAATGACTCCGGGGGGCAAGCAGACGGCGATGCCTACCCGGGTTTCGCCATTAGATCCTCCCCTCCCTCATCCAACCTGCCATATGACGGACGATCTGGGCTGACCTTTTGGAATCATCGGATTCTTCTCTAGTCCCGAGCTTTCCTTCGTGCGATGACCGATGACCACTCCAACCCCGACTGTCCTATCAAGTTGGCTCACGGAACGACGACGCTGGCTTTCCGGTTCCAGGGCGGAATTGTATGCCTTCCCCACACGCTCTCCCTTGTCGACTTGTCACTATCATCGCCACAGTCCACTGACATGTGCGGGCTTCTTTTCTAGATCGTTGCGACGGATTCGAGAGCTTCGGCTGGTGATTGGATTGCCAGTCAGACAGTCAAGAAGGTCATTCCCGTGTCGCGGTTGAGCCGTGGTGAGGATAAGCCGACGAATGCCCCGACGCCGGGTCTTTTGGGTACTATGGCTGGTGGTGCTGCGGTATGTCTTATTCCTTGGAGTGACTTTCCGCTGGGAATATAGGATGGAACATTCTTGATTCATGATGATACTGATTGTCGGGCATTTTAGGATTGCCAATACTGGCTGAGATACCTGAGTCAGCAATGCACACTTCATGGTAAATCGTCAACACTGGCAATTCCCATGTCTTCAGTTGGCTAACCCAGGACAGAAATCCGACACAAGCGCCGCATCACCGTCGCCGCCGCTTCGAAGATCCTCGCCAACCTGACATACGCCTACAAGGGCTATGGCCTGAGCATGGGCACAATGTTGGCAGGCGTATGAACCACCCTCCGATTTTATTCAATCGACATAAACGAACTCTGCTAACATGCTTTTTGCTCAATCTTCAGATGACGCCCCAGGAAGGCCCCGCCCTCTACTACATCGATTCCGACGGCACCCGACTCCCCGGCAACCTGTTCTGTGTTGGATCCGGTCAGACCTTCGCCTACGGTGTGCTGGACGCTAACTACCGCTACGATCTGTCCGAAGAGGAGGCGCTCGAGCTCGGCCGACGAAGCATTCTGGCCGCCATGCACCGAGACGCCTTCTCCGGTGGTTTCATCAACCTGTATCACGTCAAGGAAGAGGGATGGGTGCACCACGGCTTCGACGACATGAACCCCATCTTCTGGAAGACGAAGTTGGAGAAGGGCGAGTTCTCGAACGTTACGTCGGAATTGTAAAGGGGAGATTGGTTTCTTTCGTAATGGGTGTTGCTGGGCTTTTTAGTGGATATTTTACTATGATGATGTTTTAGGCATACAGACGTTCTAGTCTATGAGTTCCTTTGGTTTTGGTAGCGAGCATAGCAGCTCATATTTTATGGTCTTTCGTAGACACAAGGAAGTTCAGCATCCCGATTCCAGAATTCAAATGCACCTAGCAGCCAGTTTCTCCCACTCTTCACCGTTGAATGATGTTACAATCGACGGCTACTCTCACTAAAGCATTAGAAGGCCTAGCGAAAAAAGCTTGGTAGTGGAGCCAATAACATTTCATACAGCTATTCTACACGGGTGCGAGCACATCAAGATAGTAGTCTCCCTGCCTTTGCGTCGCACTCCCTTGTATCTCAAGTTCGCCTTGCCTTGCAGGGTCTACTATCTTCTAGCTCGCGTGTTCGTTTCTGGCCACGGTCAATTACGTCGTTTACTTTCTGTGACAAATTGGAGGTGTAGGATGGCAAGGAACTCGGCGCCAGAAGCTCCGCCACGAGCCTGTCCGAGAAGCTCTTGTAGGGCTGATATGGAATCCTTTTCCGTCGAACGACAGGCCATTCTATCGGGCGAGTCGCATCCCGCGGGTTCCTGAGCCCAGCCAGAAGCTCTGCTGTGATGTCGGCCTCGTAGAGAAATAAATTCTCTCGATCTAACACGTTGGTCACAAGAAGACGCGACTATAAGCTGTAGTCAGCCTGGGCTCCGAGGGGCTTTCGCGGAATAAGCAGGCCAGAGCATACAGTGAAAGCGATTCGTCGGGGAAAACCTAGCGTATGCTCTTGAGACTGCGCAAGGGCCAGCAAGTGGCATACGAAATAGGGGTCCTCGGTCCATTCTTTCGGCGTTGTCTGATGGAGTCGCTTCTGACAAATTCTCGCGCCAACGGAATTCATAGCACCCATTGGGCCGGGACAAGGCTCGAATTGTCTCCGGCGGGCTCCATTGACGCTGGTGTAATGCAAATAGCCAACCAGTGTGGGTGGGCGGTTTTCGACGTGATTAGCGGGGGTTTCGCGTCGATGAAAGACGATATACACTGGTTGATGCACAGGCCGGCCTTGGAAATAGAGCGGCTTGCCGTTACTGGAAAGTGAGTTCATCAGTCATTCATATACATAGATGGATCTTCAGTTCCATTGGACGGTTGTATGTACCTGAGCCGCGCGAACATGCGCGTCTCGGATACCAAGATATTGGTGAGAGAATGGCGCTTTATGGCAGGAAACAGATTGGTCGCGAGTAGTTCAGCATTACGGGGTGATTTCAGGCACAGACTTCGAGCATCATTGTCCCCTTGGTCCGATTGTTGGTTCGGTTGGACAGGGGTAGTAGTTGCGACATCTTCAAATCGACACCCCACCAGCTCAAGATGACGCGAGGTCCACTGGAGAGGAGTGACAAGGAAAGACGTGTAGTTTAGTAGGATATCACGCAGAGACTTTGGCCCCGAATCGGCCGCCATTATAAAGACGACCACATGGACAATGAGCATTGGTGATGTGCAGATGGAGATATGTTTATTGTGCCGGACAGTCCTTCAGACCGCCTTGCCAAAGCGCCTGACCGCCTTCGCTCACCATCGGACTCCGGCCTGAGCCGTTGGGCATCAATATCTCGACACCTTAGGCCATCATAGGGCAACGTCTGTCCGAAGGGAAGGAATGCGATCAATCAAGTAGATTTCATTGATCGCAGCAGCCTGTATAAGAAAAGTATCCTGAGCCTCCCTAATCACCCCAAATATACTCCATCCTCAGCAGCAGAAAACCAGGTCTCCATATCCATCCCAGCGTCCATCAGATGCCAAAGCCGTACCAGAACATAGACCGAGCAGTTCATCCACCCTTCGTAGTCCTGCGCCGCATTATACGGATCGAAGAATGGCTCAATAACCTTCACATACCACTTTTCTATCTCCTGCAAACACCCGTCTCCATGCTGTTCAGCATGCTGCTCCGGCGTGGGGACATCCACCAAGCGTTGAAGAATGTCATCGTCGATCACCATACAGATCCGGTATTTATTCCACATGTCGCGCTGGCATTTATCTTCCACCCATTGTTCGAAATGAGCGCGAACAGTGTCGATAGTGGCGCCGTTGAGTGCATTCTCATCTTCAATGACTGTGAAGCGGTGACGTGCCCAGATCTCGTTGTTGGGCGCCGGATCCGCGTTCTCGAGGTCGTTCAGATCCTTGTAGATTTCTCGCTTGATCCATGTTTCAAGCATCTCGAGCACCTTGGGAAACTGGGTGTTGGACTCAGGAGTGTATGTGGTGCGGTAAACAACGTAGCCCCACGTTGCTTCTCGGCGTATCAGACGGAGAAGCTGACGCGAGACCCGGTGGTTGTCTATCCAGACGGATTCCGAGATTCCATTGGGATACATGGCACGCGATTGTATCGGAATCGGGGGCAACTTTTCATGTTTGTGGGTGTCAATGCGATCTCGAGGGCGTTTACGGACATCTTATAGGTGAAGCTGTGAACAAAGAATGTTGTGCGGGGCAGCCTTGGCCGCTAGTAGGCCAAGGGGTATACATAGCTGCTTATTACCAGACATGACAGGGGGGTTGTTGAGGATTGGCAGGGTCAATGCTTGAACGAGGAAGGCAACAGTGATTCTGCCTGCACGCTTAGCTTACTTTACTTAGATAATAGTAAAGCGGCCTCACCTGCTAGCCCACCCAAGTAATATCTACCTAGCTTCTGGCTATGTTAAATCCTTAGGCCAGCCAGTTAATAGTTGACTCCTTGCGTCAGAGCGAGCAGAGCCTTGTAGAGTTAGTTGGAAGATGGATTGAAAGAACTAAATGAAATACGATAAATGCTATGAGAAACAAACGAAATCTACAAAATCCCCCAAAATAAATACATGCATATCCAGAAACAAATAACAAGAAAAAAAAAGCAGTGCTCGGCTCCATTCTATGAAACCAGAAATTTTTGTGAGATCAGCCAACCTTCAACCCCAAAACTCATACATATAGCATCTTCGTTTTCCGTTTTTGATTTCTTTTGATTTTTGGTCCTTCGTTGTCCATTGTTTTGTTCGGGTTGGAAAAGACCTGGAGATTGTATTTATCCCCTATATACTCCGGACTGACATTAGTTTTCCACCTTGTACTTCATACGGATACCCATAGCGGCCAGTTCAACGTCCAGGAACTTAAGCACGCCGGGGATCGCAACGATGGTGACGTTGTCACCGCCGACGTGACGACGGCCATCGCCGTCCTCCCAGACGATGGCGCGAGAGTCCTCGAAGACGGCTTCGCGAGCACAGCGTCGGCAGCGGACGATGGCCGGAGCAGAGCCCTGGCTGTTGGCAGCGGCCTTGGCGGCGCCGGGGTTGCGGGCCTTGCTGACGGAGGAGACGGCGACCTGGGTGGAGAGGAAGGAGCCACAGTCGCGGCAGATCCAGGAGAGGGTGGAGTCGGAGCAGTTCATGAGACGGTCCTGGAGGATGAAGGCGGCGCCGTGGGCGATGAGCGAGTCACGCTCCATCTCTCCGACACGGATACCACCACCCTTGGCACGACCCTTGACGGGCTGGCCGGTGAGCTGGTTGACGGGACCGGTGGTTCGGACCTGGAACTTGTCGTTGACCATGTGACGGAGACGCTGGTAGTGGACGAGACCCATGAAGATGTCGGCGGCGAATTCCTTGCCCGTGATACCGCTGTAGAGAGGCTCGTTACCGTGGTAGTTGTATCCGGCCTTGCGCAGCTGCTCGCCGAAGTAATCGGTGGCCGTGTGTTGTTCGGAGAACTGGAAGGGAGTGCAGTCCTGGGCGTGGCCGTGGAGAGCACCCGCCTTACCGGCCATGGACTCGATCATCTGCGCGATGGTCATACCTGGGGGTGTGTTAGCTAGGGTCAAAGCCAATGGATAGTGAAGGGAAGAACTCACGAGACGGGAAAGCGTGAGGGTTGATGATCAGGTCGGGCTGCATGCCACTCTCGGAGAATGGCATATCCACCGCAGGCCAGAGCTGGGAGCAAACACCCTTCTGTCCGTGACGCGAAGAGAACTTGTCACCAATGACTGGTTTTCTGGGAATACGGTACTTGGCACTGACGGCCTGGCACGGCTCCATGCCAGTTTCGGAACCCATGACGCGGACGCTCTCGATGAATCCTTCCTCGGAATCCTTGTACTTGACGAAGTGGGTGAGGCCGTCAACGTTCACATACGTATCCGACGCGGGATCAAAGCGCACGTTGTGCCATGCAGCCACGGGGGCACCCTCCCGGACCTTGGCCCCGAGAAGAGGAAGTCCATCTTCGTCGATCGTGTTACGCCACTCGGCCCGAATCTCGGCTCCTGGCGCGAAACCGAAAAGTTTGGTGATCTCATGCCTGGACTTGCTTCGTCGCGAATCCTTGTCGTCAAGCGAGTGGATCTTGGTCTTGTAAACCGTACCGTGACCAAAGCCACGTTCGTGAGAAGATTTGTTGATAATCATAGCGTCATCCATGTCGTAACCCGTGTATGAGATAATAGCCACGACAGCGTTGGTGCCGTTGGGGAAGTTATCCAGACCATAGGCGTTGTAGAGAGGCGGCCGCACAATTGGCGTCTGACCTGTTTGCAATCGGTAGAGCTTGTTGTCTGTGCGATATTCGATAGCGGTTCCCGGCGTACCCATCGTTTGCTTGCTCATCTGGCACTGGTACATGTTACGAGGGGACTGGTTGTAGTCGGAGAAGGGCGTCATGTTGGCGACAATAGAAAGGATGTTAGTGGGTGTAAATTCGATGTGGGTCGAAATGCCCGAGATGAGGTCTGACGGCACGCATGCAATCTCCATGAACGGCTGCTCGAAAGGACCCACAAAGTCGAGCTTGTCAAGAGGAAGGTATTTGACGGGGCGGTACATTCTCGCGGACTGGGAGAACATGTAGATACCGGGATATTGACCACCGTTGGTGTTGGGGACGTAACCGATTTCCAATTCCAGGGGGATGTTGTGGGTGCCCGTCACCTTCCAATATCTCAGGGTATCGGCAATCACACGGGCCTGTTTCGGTGAGCAGTATCCAACGATTCTGCCGTCAAGTTGGACGGGAACACTCTCCTCCAGCGAGACAGACGAGTCGGAACGAACACCTAGTTGGACCAACAGGCGCGGAATGTGCGAGACATCCACATCGCTAGTGGCAATCAAGCATTTGTGGGCAAGATGGTTAAGCAGACCACAAGGAGACCCATCAGGCGTGTGCACGGGGCATAGGAAGCCCCAACTCTCCGGAAGAAGCTTTCGGACGGTGGTGGTTTTCAGTTGAGCGAAGAAACTACCTCTGTGAATCATTCGGAAGTGACTGATAAATCGGTAGAAGTTGATCTTCTCAGCCATGACGGTGTAACCAGATGTCTGTTGCAAGTCAAGACCCGTAGGACTGACCAGATTACCGGTTGACAGGAAGTATTCCAGCGAACCACCGATGTTTTCGTTGGACCTCCGGACCATTTTACTCACGAAGTCTCTCTCGAAAGCCGGATCGGTGAACTTAGCCCCGTGGTTGCGATTGGACCAGTCTCTGATAATCGGCCCAAACGATCTGACCCATTCTTCGAGTCTTTCCTTCAAGATCATTCCGTACAAGAAACCACCCAGCAACACTTCCTGGTTAGAGACAGCATCGGGGTTGTCAGGAGCACAGTCTCCAGCGACGAGGGCGTAGAGCTTCCGGATCATGTACATGATCATCTTGAACTTGTCATAATCCTGGGTCTCGGTAACGTTGTAGTTGCCCAGGTGCGGCAGAACCACCTTGCGAAGGAACTCCGTACCGGCATCCTCGTTGGACATGTCCATTGGGACACCGAGAACGGGCTTAAACTTCTCTCCCAGGTAGGCGCGGCAACTCGAACGGCTGTTCAATCGGTATCCCTTGTATGTCCGCAGCAATAGCTCCACTCGATCGGTCACGAAGGTGTTGTTAATACCCTCGGACGAGGAGCTGCCGACAATTCCTTCGAAGATTTCGCGGTCGTTCGTTTCCACCAGCGCTTTAAGGATCATCATGATGGGGACAAGGTATTCGTTCTTTCGCCACGAGAAACGGAAAGTCACATTTCCGTCGCTGAGATAGTGGAGAACATTCGTTTGCGACGTCTGATCGGGTCGCACTGATCGTATTTGCACACCATACTTGGTGTAGGTCTGACCACGCTTGACGAAGGATCCACGGACGATGGCCATGGGAAAGTTCCTCTTTCCGACAATCAACATTCGGATCAACTTCTCGTTTCCGTTCACGATAAAATAACCACCAAGTTCCTCCGATTCTTCCTTGTGCGACACGAGTTGTTCGGGGGTCGCATTTTCTAGGTGGCATCGATTGGTCTGACAATTCACATACATTAGCTCTTCCGAATTTCCCACAACAATTTGAACTGCGGTGTCCCGCAGGGTATACTCACCCGCATCATGATAGGAACCTGGCCCAGTTCTCGAACCGACTCCATCCAATCTCCATTGTTGACCTGGTATTCGATCTTTGCGCGCAACTTTCCACGGTAGGTCGCATGGCGCTCTCTGCACTCGGCAGGGTAGATATTACGGTTGCGCGTGGTGAACTTATTCGTCGGCGGGATAGCCGGCCGGTCGAGAAAAACTTCTCTGATGCGGACATTCAGCTTGTTCCGCTTGGGCGGCCTCCGTCCTTCTGCTTGCCGAGCTTTCTTCTGTTCGGGAGTTTCGGCTTCGCCATCGATAAACGTCTTGGTTCCAATGTCTTTCAGACCGGCCTCCAGCACTTTGCTGCCGTCGAAAAGCGCATTGAAGGAATCAATGTGAGGTTTGATGGCATCGGCCAAGGCGGGATATGCGGTTCGGTCACTCGGGGGGTTTCTGAACAGGTTCTCCCGTCTGAGCACGTCGTAATTGACGGACCAGTTGGTGTCGGTCTTAGCGGGCGCCATGGTGAAGATTCCTCAGCAATCGGAGAGGATTGGCCGGAAAGGTGTAAAAAAAAAAAAAAGGCAGCTAAAACCTTTCGTCTGATGGGAGCACCAGAAGCACCGTCAACAAAGTCGGTGCAATTGAAGCACTCAATATTTCATTCCCTCTTGACACGGAAGACAAGGCGGACGGGAACAAAGGGAAGGCCCGGAGAGAGAGGGAGGCAGACTCGCAACGGAGAAGGTCGAGAGAGCAAAATGAAGCCGCTCGGCGCTGCGACGGGGAAATTTTTCGAGGTGGAGCCCCGGACAGATATCATCACGTGCTGATACGGCACCGGTGACTCGCTGCCTCAGGCTGCCCACCGCATCACAGGACCGCGGGACGGCACGCAGCCGCCTTAGGCAACAAGGCCGCCGTCCTCGAAGGGGCTTGCGGTGGGCTTTCGTGACGCTTCCTGGCGACTCCCTCCGTCTGTCGCCGATCCACGATCCATCTACGAGTTCGACGAATTCGACGAACTCTGGCCTCGGGACATCGTTCTGCGATACTGCGGTCCCGCGATTAAGGGCACATCCCAACTTCTTGATTTCTCATCGGCCGGACTCCAAATTAATCTCGCTCGTGCGACCCAGCCACCGTCCTAGCCTAGTCTAGCCGGGCTGCCTACGAGATCGCTCGCCGAGTGCCTACGTTAGTAGATGTCCAGACTGACAAGGGACACGGGCGAACTAAGCGCTCCCCTCCCCGGCGGCGCAAGAGCGAACGGTCATGCGTGCACATAGATCGGAGCAGTTTAGTTTCACCGCAAAGCAGAGAGTATCAGAACGGCATTTATCCTTCCTCCTACGCATCACCTCCTGAGCGCGCAGCGGTTGGACCCTGAGCAATTAATTACTTTTTTCTCCCTCGCCCTCTCTTTCGCTTCTCCCCCTCTCTTCGTTGCTCCCTCGCTCCCCTCAGCCCGTCGGTCTGGTCGGCTGCGGACGCTGTCGTTCACCTCCACGCCGCCTAAAAACCCAGTCGTATCTCCCACTCTCTGCAGCGTCTGGACTACTTCGCATCATCTGGCCTTCTGTCGGAATCGCGGAATTCTGCTTTCACCTCTTCCCCCCCACTTGATTCGTTCAGCTCCAGATATTTTTTCTTTTCTTTTTAGCTTTCGATATATTAAGCCCTTTCGTCATCCGCTTGGGCCAAGACAGTCCTTCGCGATTTTTTTTTAATCTTTTTTTATTTTATTTTTTTGACTTGCCTTCACCGACTTTGTCTTTTTTCCGTTTCCCTGGACTTGGCCTGTTCGCCTGTCTGCTCAAACCGCTCCGGTGAAAATCTCTTGTGCAGTTGTTTGTTCGGAACCGGTCTATCCATCCAGCATGGCGGGGATCTTTCGAACCATCTATGACTGGCTCTTGAGGATGTTTTGGTAAGTGGGCCGTTTGTTTCCAATGGGTGATCGCTTTTTGCGGTTCCTCGGGAATAGTCCCTCCCCCCCGGCCCGTCCCCGCAGAAATGGAGCTATTCGGCCTGACAAGAGCGGTGCCATGCGTGGTGTGACTGTAGGGCGACGGAGATGGATGTCACCATGATCGGACTCCAGAACGCGGGCAAGTCGTCGCTGCTGCGTGTTCTTGCGGTATGCTCTCCCTCCCCGGCCGGCCGACCGAGGGTCCTTTCGTCAACCTTCGTCGCTAATTCCATGGATACGGGACGGTATAGGGTGGCGAGTTTACTGTAGAGTAAGTTCTTAGCGCGTAGGACCAAGCCTAGTCGCAAAGCACTGCCGCTCTCTTGCTAAGACACATCGCAGTTCTATACCCACCATCGGCTTCAACACGAAGCGGGTCCAGAAGGGCCATGTGACTTTGAAATGGTTGGTGTTCCCGGCACGTAAGCCTCGGTCGTGATGTTCTAACGTTCGTTCAGTTGGGATCTAGGGGGGCAACCGCGGTTCCGACCGATGTGGGAGCGATACTGTCGCGGCGTCAACGCGATCGTGTAAGTGCTCTAGGACAGCGGAGGATCGATCTCGTATAGCACTGCTAACTTGCCGACCAGCTATATCGTGGATGCAGCAGATCGCGCTGCCTTGCCGGTTGCGACGGACGAACTGCACGAATTAATGACCAAGCCCACGTTGGATGGAATCCCTCTTTTGGTTCTTGGAAACAAATCGGACCTGTCAAACAAACTGTCGGTCGACGAGCTGATCGACGCGATGGACCTGAAGTCCATCACCCGTCGCGAGGTGAGCTGTTATGGGATCAGTGCCAAAGAGGAAACCAACCTCGACGCCGTGCTGCACTGGCTCATCGCTCGAGCCAGCCGATGAGCAATACGACTCGAGAAGCCGGGTCAGGGACTTAGCCCTGCCCTTCACTCGTATCATGCCTGATCATGAAATTTCCGTAGAAGATATCCAACATTTGGCTCGCTGCCTCAAACGTAATGACGTTGATGATGTGAACCAGGCACATTCGACTTGAGCGTGATCATTTCTTGTCTCTATGATTTTGGCCATTCTTTTCTTTTTCTTTTTCGTCTCACTTGTTCATGTGATCTGTCATGACGACTTCGATTTCGTTTGTTTTTTTCAAATAGTATGTCATTTATTTCGGGGGGGTGTCTATCGGAACTCGATCCAGTGAAAGAATGGGCAATCTAGCAACGATTGGAAATAAATGCGAATTTTCAGGGAAGACAGTCGAAATAACAGGCACGAGACTGAATATTTCCGATGGCAATTCCGCTGTGATCTGCGGACCAGACTCGATGCAAAAAGGAAAGAAGCAGAAGCGGAAAGGAAGAAAAGCAAAGAAAAGAAAGCATCGGGGGCCAGGTAGGAAGGAAGGGCAGGAAATAAGAAGCGCGATCATATTTATGAGGAGCGAGATGGAGGAGTAACGCGGACAGCACACAGACCAACTGATGCGTTGGCAATGCAGATGCGAAGACGGGAACTAATCCAGCCCTCCATGTCTTTCCAGCAAATCCAACCCCGCCAACACCCCCGGCGAAGGTTCAAAGGCTTCTAGGGTCAGCATCTTGTGCTCCGTCCGGCGTTGCCATGGGGCAGCTGCCCGGTTCGCGTGCCCGTCGACCCAGTCATGTTGCAGAAATGACCTCGTTGGGAGTATGAGTAGGTATCATGGCATCCCATGGTCCTGCAGAGTACGGAGTCAACCCTGGGCGAAAGGAAAGGAAAGGAAAGTCGATCGTGGCCCGGATAAACCGACATCCTTGCCAGCCCCCTAGGGACATGAAACAGAGGCTTGTCCCGGGTGGGAAAAAGGGGAACGGATAGAGTGATGAGAACTAGAAACAGGCCTGGCCGTTATCACAGTGATTCTTTCTACTCTACGGAGGCTCCGTACCTGACCAAGTCCGGATGACCCGGCTACCTAGTATACCGAACTCCAAACCTGCAGACGATTACGAGTTTTATTGTCTTTTTCCACTGCGCAGAACTTCTAGAATCTCACTAGTCATCCAGGCGAGACGCTGATATCAGCCTTGGAATCGGTACATACGCAGCAGGGGGAAATCTAAGCCGCACCGTTTTCCCACTTGGGAGAACAATGCTATCTGATCCATGGATCGGCCGATGACAGAACGCCTGTTAACGGGACTGGGAGGTCTGCCGAGTACTCCGTCGTATTGATCAGGAGAGGAGTTACGTCAAGAGGATATAAGCTCGTCCCGGTAACCCTGTCAGCAATACGCAGTACGCAGAGGCAATATTACCTACAGGTAGTTAATAATAATGAAGGAACTGAATAATACAGAATTGTACCAAATGCCAAGCCGCCCAGCCATCCACTCAGCCACCGCCTTAAGCGTCCCGTCCAATGGCCAATGACCCGTGCATTTCCACTCTTCGCTTTGCTGCTGCCTTCAGTCTCCCCCAGAAGAATCTCCAGGCCTCTTTTCTCCTCCCCTTGCATCACTCCGTCTGCCCTTTCGCTGCGATCAAAATCTTCGCGCGTCTTCGGCCACTTCCATTTAATCACCTTCGATCATCTCGCGGACTCTCTCTCTCGCCTGTCGGTCTTTCTCGCTCTCCTACCGACCTTTCGTCCGATCGACGTCATTTTCCGCCCTACAGCCTCGGAAAAGAGGCCTTCAAGCCCGACATGATTGTCCCTCGTCGCGACTGGTGAGTCCCCCTCGACTCATGGCTAGAATTGGAGTCAACTGGCAATCAAAAAGAAAACGACGACGACTGACTAGTGTATCTCAGTTATTATGGCGACCGGTACTGCCGTAACAGCGCCTGGTGGGAATGGGGTCGCTGGGTCGCCTTCGCCGTGATCGTCGGCTGTGCTTTCATCATTTTCTTCATATTTGCGTATGTGACATCCTCCCTTTTGGTTGCCCAGTCACGAATCTAACGTTTCGGCAGATGCTACAACGCTCGTCGACGCCGCAACCGCGGTCTTCGTCCTCATCCCGGCACTGCCTGGCTTGCCGGGCCGCCTCCGTCGTACCAACAACACCAGCAGCATCCCCAAGCATACGCCGACCCCTACTACCAGCATCCGCCGCCGCCGCAATATACGCCTCAACCGCAAGCATACGGGTACTTCGGGGGTCAGCAAACGGGGATCGAACTACAGTCGCCACCCAATGCATACCAAGGTGGCCCGGCATACGCGCCTCCGCCAGGTCCTCCTCCGACTTCCAAGGCGTAAATGCCAGGAGCATGGGGTACCAGATGAACCATCGGTCTTGATTTCAATGCTTGCTTTGGTAGCTTTGTTTTTGTGATGTCTTTTTGTCTTTCTAAACTATCCCGGCGTTTGATCAGTTATCCGAATATCCCGCTCTCCGCCATATGATCGACACGAGAAGTGACAACTGGAGGGATGCATGACGGTCTATGAGTTTCATTATGTTTATTATTATACGCATTTACATATTTAATGATTTAGTCAAGGGAGCCTCCGGACGTCTGAGATGGAGTCCTCCTAGTATGTACACGGGTCCTAATTCTATAGTCCGTTCACCCTTGGAATAAAGAAATGTTGCAAATAGCTTACTCGGACGTCGTCGGTGACAGACGTGTACCCTGGTTGTCTTCTCATGTCCCTGATTCTAAATCCAGCCTTCTGGAACTGCCTCCGTTGCAATACGCAGTACTCTTTGGTTCGCGGTCCAAAAATAGCTGCCTCGTATTCTTATTTTATTTTTTGCCCCCCTTAGTGTACAACTGCACTACTGCGTAAATTGCCGTCGGTTCTCTCCTCCAGAATGGTCTACGTTCTATGGCTGGCGGGGTGTCTATACTTAGTGAGAAAGACGGTCGAGTTGTGATGATGGGCACTCGTCCATAGAGTATGGTAGACCTCGATCTTCTCGGAGTACGGAGTAACAGCATGCATGTTCAGTAGCTCCTGGTTCGAGAAGTGTGGACACTGACAGGTAGGACTGCCAATTAGAACGGAATCGCTTAAAACCCAACGAACGACTGGGATCGACAGGCGACGGTGGAGAGGGCGATGGGGTCCTTGAAGGAAGGCAGAGCGAAACGAGCGGGTAAAGATTACGGATGAACATGCTGATCCCCGCGCATGCGTCCCTTTTCTCGTCCTTTTTTTTTTCTTTCCCTGGTGCCTTCTTTGCCAACCTCCCTTCCCTTTCCCTTCTTTGTTTTGCCGTTTTTTAACCTTCCCCGTCTCTCTTTATCCCTTAACTTTTTTTCTCCTGGAGAGATCTTCATTCATCGCCTGCAGACTTGCCGGTCTGCTGAGAACCCCCCTGGAGAGGCGGTGCAACTGATCTCACCTGGGCGCAGCACCGCACTTCATTGTCCTATTTTCTTCTTCGCTTCGAGTCTGTCCTTGATCGTCCGATTGCTACAATTTCCATTGTCTCTTGTAATACTATCTTACTTTGACTTCTCGAGTCAGAACTCTACAACAGACACTCCACACAATTCGCGTGCCACCCCAACCCGAGGTATTCGCCTGACGACACATACGCGAAGCCATTCCTTATAAAAGCCACAATTTCCGCCCGATCCTTCGATTCTGCTTGTCTTTCCGTGGGACACCCATGACGAGCAAGTCGATCTGATAACCCGAGTCGCAAGTCAGTGTCAGATCCAGTTCCGGAGTGTTTGCGCCAAGTCTGTCAGGGATACAACCGGTGACTGTCCGAGTAATCGCGGGATAAAATCGCAAAAAGAAATCAGCGCATTGTCGGAGAGGAGTTCGCTGTGGGGCTCCAAGATCTCAGACATTATCCGCCAAAATGAGTCCGGTGGATACAACGCCCGTAACGCCGTTCCCGATATGGGCGCGGGACATCGCAAGTGATCTCAAGGAGGCCCCCGAGACTTTGTCGAGCTGGGACAATTGCATGGCTAAATCCTACTGCAAGTATGTCATCTGATGCGCTGCTGCAAATGAACCTCAAACACCGTCTATGGAGTTCCCAGCTTTTCCTGCCCTCGCCCGGATGCTGACTATTATTCTGATGCAAGATGGCCCGTTATCGTCGCTATTATCGTCGGAGGTGTCATCGTTATTTCGGTTCTCGCCTGTGTGATCAACTGTCTATGCTGCGGTTATCAGTGCTGTAAAAGCTGTTGCTGCTCATGCTGCTGCCCGTCTCCTCGAAACAAAAACCGGCAACCTAAGTACATGGACGACCCTTACAATCAGCCGTACAACCAACCCTACAGTCAACCGCCCCCGATGCAGCCGCCCCCAATGCAGCCGCCGCCCATGCAACCGCCGGTGCCGGTCAACGATCCCTATAAGCCGTCTCCGTCTCCAGCCACGGGATATCGCGGCGCGCAAGTAGCGCGCTTCGATTCCCCATCGAGCCCAGGCCACGGCAAGTTCAACGAAGACGCGCTGCCTGCCATGCCTAGCTGGGACAATGCCGTGACTAGAAGAGTTGAGGATTCAGATCCCCATTCAGATGCGATGGAAATGGAACCGTTGAACGCAGCGAACCAACCTCCTCAACGAGCGCCGTCTGCTCCTCGACCGCATGCAGGTGGCTATAATGGCGTTGGTCACAACGGTAGCGACTACGGTCATGACTTCAACGATGGTGGCTACAATGGAGGTGGGCCCCATGGACCCGGTTACATGGGAGTTCCGCCCCTTCGAACGGGCACGCCCTCCAGTTACTATCCCGAGTCCCGGGCACACGACATCCCGAGAGCATACACCCCTCATTCGCCTGCCGTGGGGTCTCCCGCACCCATGCATGCCTATGATCAACAGCCTTACCATGACTACTCTCCTGCGAGCGGTGCAAACCCTTGGAATGGAAGATCTCCCGTCCCGAGGGCCTACACTCCCCAGCCGCAGTACATGGCCATGGGCCCGGCCATGACTCCCTCTGCAGAAGCTCCTCGTCCCATTCCTTACCGCCAACCATCCCCAGGTTTCCCTCAGGCGCCTATGAACCAAGCTATCTCTCCCGTGGATGGCCATCGCCCGATTCCATACCGTCAACCCTCCCCAGGGTTCAACCAGACACCCGTCTATCAGGCCATGTCCCCAAGCATTCCTTCGACGCCGCCTCCGCCATTTACGTCAACCGCCGCTCCTCACGAAGTGACTGCCGACCAGGGCCGGCCCCCGAGTCTGTTGCAGAGTGGACGCAAGCCGGCACCCAACTCCTACCGAGACGTATAACCGGTAACAATTATTCATGAATGAAACATTTTCTATTTTCGACGGCGTCTATTTGCTATGTTACTTTCTTTCATCTTTTATTTCTTGGGTTCCATTCTTTTGGCCGCTCGAGGGTTTTGGTTATTTATGCCTGTGTACATATAGGGGGGCATACTGGGCGATCTCCAAATTACGAAATGCCGGCGGATCATGCGATCTTCTATATGAACAAAATCTGGAACACTGGCGTTGGGTTTGGCTTTTGAATTTAGGTGATGTGCAAGTTGAATGATATTTTTGGGATATGGATGCCTCCCATCATTTATTTTCTCTTCATGTTTTGTTATGATTTTTCCCCGGCTTTTTGGGTTGTCGCCTGTTTTTACTGGATCTTCGTTACTATCAGAATGACTAGTTCGATCTGAATATCAAATTTCAGCATCCAATATCGACAAGTCCCTGTACGGAGTAGTTTTAGAAGATGATGCGTCGACGTTTTCATTCCACGTTCCATTCAAAACCAATTCCAGATTCACAATCAACCTCTAAATCCCATAAAGTACAATGGATATACATTCAACCCGACGGTTCCCAGCGCAGAAAAAATAAACAGAAAGAAAAAAAAAAAAAAAAAAACAAGCTCAACCCAACTAGCCCTCCAACGTAAAATCGAAGTCCTTAAACGCTTCCTTAAACGCCGTCGCATCCACCTCCTCCTCCGCATCCGACTGCACGTCATTCTTCCAATTAATGCGCTTCTCCAGCTCCATCAGCTTGGCCATGACTCTGCGCCCGAACTGCAGATCGAAGCGGAATTCCGGTCCTAGAGGCAAAAGGAGGGATTTCTCGGACCCAGAGGACTTCTGGCTATCTGGTTGGGAGTCCGCTTCTTCGGTTTCGGCTTCGGCTTGGGGTTCAGATTCAGAAGAGTCAGCAGGGGGATCCCAGATCCAGAGGCGGAAGAAATCGCCGGCCTCGGCGCTGGGGTCAGCGGTGGAGGAGGCGGATTCGAATTTGGGATACTTGAGGTTCTCGGCTTCGACTTTGAAGGCGGCGGTGACGAGACCGCGCTTGATGAGGGCGGACGGCACGGGCAGGAACTGCCAGTGCACGTGGATGCCGTTGCTGCGGCTGACTTCCCAGGTGACGGCGCCGAGGGCGCCCGCGGAGCGGTGGTTGAGCATGGAGTGTAGCGCTGATCGGTAGCGCTGCATCTCGGAGTAGGTGGCGAGGCGGGAGTCCGGGTCGGAGATGCTGTTGAGGGTGGGGGAGTGGGAGAAGGGGATGATGAGCATGTGGCCGGGGAAGTCGAGGGCGGGGAAGGTTTTGGACGTGGGGAGGGGCCCCTTGGCGGTGGTGAGGTAGCTTTCGTTGCCGATGGAGGTGATGAGGTGGGTTGCGATGTTGGGGTTGGAGAGGCAGAAGAAGCACTGGTCTGGGCCCGGGGGAGGTGCGCGGGCACGCTTGCGGGGACGGTGGGAGTGGTCGTCGTCGACGGCAAAGCGGGAGAAGGACTCTTTCTGGCTGGTGAGGGGTTTCCGCTTGGCCTGGGAAGTTGGAAGAGGGGATGCGGTGGCGCCGACGGGGACGGTCAGGGGATGGGGCGCGTTGGGGTCGAGGGTGAAAGCGTACATCCATTTCTGCTTGGTGGTTTTGCTGTAGGATGCCAGGCTGATGAAGCGGGTGAGAGGCTTCGCGTCGGGGTTGTCTTCGGTGGGCATGTGGAAGAAAGGTTCACGCTCATAGAAGAAGCCGCCGGAGCTGGTGAGGTGATAGCGAGGCTTGAGGGTTGAGCAGAGGTCGGCGATGCATTGGACTTCCGGCGGCGGTGTTGCGTCTTCCGGCAATGATACTTTGGAGCCGGTGCGGATGCCCTTGGGCCATTGGTGAGTGACGAGGATGTCGGCATGGTGGGCACCGTGCAGGGCTCGGGCGTCTGACTCCGTGTAGGCAGGGTGGTACTTGTCGGTGGACTTGCTCTCCGAATCGAAGTTGCCGCCGAGGGAAACGATGCGAATGCCTTCTGCCGTCTTGAGGGTGCCGCGTCTTCCCAGGAAGAACAAGTTAGGACAGACCTCGTCGTTGGCCTCGATCCTCTCAATCACCCTGGTGGGAAGGGGTCGACTACCCAGTCCAAAATAGGTTGGCAGTGGGACGCTGATATTCTCATTCAGCAATGCCGTCACCTCATCAAGTTCATGCTCAGTGGAGCAGTCGCCGAACAGGTCACCCGTGATGATGGCCAGTGAAAAATTCTGTTTGACATGGAGCTTGGCAAGCTTTGTAAACACTTCGCGCAGCTCGCAATTGACATCACCGAGTACGATTCTGGAGAATGTCAATGAAAGGTACGGTACATGAGAGATTCCATCAGACTCACATTTTTGACGCCATCATGCAAATGGTAGTGTGGGTGTGTGTAGTGTTATGATGCAAGGGCCAGGGTCAGCATAATCTCAGGGACCGTCATACACTGCTGAGTAGGAGTATGGAGTCGTGTTGAAGTGCTCGATATATAAATTATGACGGACGGAACTTTGCCAAAGACGGAGGAGCTTGGACCAACCTTAATCCCACGTGATCACTGCACTACTCCCGATCAGGCTAGCGCTGTTCTGCAAAGACCGACGCTAATCTCCGCACCGGAAGAAAGCTGCGGCGCCGCCGATGAATTTTTTTGTCAATGAGATGATCATGCAGATATAATCCTTCAGCGTATCCACGACGCAAATTTTACACGATATCCCCAACGGCGCTGCTTTGTTGGGACACCGTCGCTTTTCAAGATGGTAGCAGCGTCGTCCGCTTCGCGGCCCAAGCCCGTGAAACGCGTGAAGAAGGGAACTGAGACGACCAAATCGCATCGATTCGAGCCCTTCTCGCAGCGTGTCGCAAAACTGAAGATCGATCCCATCCATCGCGTGCGACAACCGAATTTTGGCGAAGAAGACGATGAGACGTCCTCCTATTTTCGGTCGGCCTTCGACCACTGGACCGAATTGAACTTGTCCGACAATTTTTCGCAGTTTATTCGTCGAGTCAACCCGCTATGCGAAAGTCTCGCCCAAATTTTGTACTATGAGGATAAAATATTCGGCCTGCTGGTGGAGTTCATCGAGAAGCGCGATCAACTTTCCATGGAGCCGCTGCTGAGTCTTCTGGCTCAGTTTGCGAGGGACCTGGGCGCGCGGTTCGAAAAGCACTTTGCTACTTCGGTGAGTTTGGTGGCTTCCGTTGCCGCCACTCACCCGGAAGTCGAAGTCGTGGAATGGAGTTTTACGTGTCTCGCCTGGATTTTCAAGTTCCTTTCGCGACTCCTCGTTCCGGATTTGAGACAGCTGTTGGGTATCATGACTCCGTACCTGGGAAAGGAACGCCAGAAGCCGTTTGTGGCCCGATTCGCCGCCGAATCCATGTCCTTCCTCATACGAAAGGCGGGTCTGGTCTACTACAAGAACAACACGCCCCTCCAGCGTGCGGTATCATTTTTGCTGCATGACTTGCGACAGACGGAAGCGGAATCCAAGAGTGTCGAAATATACAAGGAAGGATTGATGGTCATGTTCTCCGATGCCATAAAAGGCATCAAGTACGGGATCCATTCCAACGGAACTGATATTCTCAGCTGTATCCTGGATAACATTGCTACCGACGATGGTCTGCAGAGCAACCTAAGTCTAGAAGTCGCCAGCGGTGTTCTTGTCAACGTCATGCACGGCACAACTTCCGAGACATTCGAACCGATCTTGAGCACGGTAATATCTTATGCCGAAAAGCACGGCCGAAAGGCTGGGAAAGAGCAAGCGGATGCCTCTTGCCGTCTGATTTTCCAGTGCGTGTCTGTCCGTAAAGGATCGCGCGTGAGGAATTGGAAACCTGTTCTCCAGACCTTGCTTCTTCTGTTGCAGTCGGCATCCGCTGCGCCTGAAGCGTATGCCGAGGCTGCACCCCAGCTCCTGACAGCTGTCGCCTATTCGCTTCAACTGGCTCCCATGGATGAAATGCTACCGTTTATGCGCTCCATAATGGAAGCTGTTACGAGTGACGTCCTCTCCAAGCACTTCTTATCGTTCTGTGCCACCTTCTCGGAGTGGGGTGCAGAGAAGTTCCATAGTGTCGTTCTGCCATATTTCCAAAAGTAAGCACTGTGCTGAGCCACATTGATTTGACCTATGTTCTAATCGTTTGAAATCTAGGTTCGTCAACGTTTCATGGCAGGAGCATGAATACGAGCTTTGTTTGGCCCTGCTTCGCTTGAGCCAGTCTGGCTGCATCACATCCGAAGCGTCCAAACCCGGATATATCACCTGTCCCGGCCCCTGGAAAAATCGGATCAAAGATACCCTGAGCAACAAGAAGCCCAGCGCTACCGACGTTACTCTTCTCAATGCATACTCTCAGCTTCCCGCGGCCTTGTCTCTATCTACAGAACCATCGCTTTTACCCGACATGAGCCAGATATTCCATGATCAGTTGGCCCGCATCCTGAAGAGCAACGAGTCCGACCTGTCTCCTGCGACCAAGTTTTTCCTTGGACAGGGATTTAAGAGTTATGTGGAACTGGCCAAACTCACCGGGGGCTTGGATACGGATCTTTGGGATCAAATCAGTGCAGTTGCATCCAAGTACTCGCGTCTGGATGTTTTCCTTGAAGCGACGCTTGCTTACGTCTCGACATGTTCTGTGCAACTTGATCTTAACAAACCTTCGTTGGAGGAGTTTGCTGATGTGTTGATCACCAATCTTGGTGGTCCATCCCATCACCTGAGGCTGTTGTCGCTGAAGATTTTGCGGGCAATAGTTGAGGCTTCGGGCGAAGATGCTTCACTAATTTCCGTGGCCATCGAAATTGAAGAGAGCCCTTTAACCCTCCAATCCGCCAGATTTCTTGCAATGCAGGTCCGTAAGCTTGCTATTGCTTATCCGCAAGTCGTTTCACGCAGGTGGATGCCTCGACTGATTCCAAATTTCTGCTTCGGGCTATTCTCCAAGAAGATGGCCCCGTTGTGGGATGATTCTGCTGCTGCTCTGAAGACAGTGAGTGAGCATCCTGAGGGAGAAAAGATTGTGTCAGATTTGGCCATTCAGTGGCTCGAAGAAAGAGGCTCGGTGCCCACGGAAGAGCCTGAGGAAGAAGCCATGGATAACTTCACATCTGGGGATTTCCAGTGCTTTAACGCCGCCAAGATTGAGAGCGTGTGTGCTAAAAACTTTGGATGTCTCGAGAAGCCCGCTTCGATCTTGCTGCAGAATTTCGAGAAGGATCATAAGTTCTCGGAAGTTGTGCCTGCTTCTCCTCGGACCCACGCGCTGCGAGTTCTGAATGCAATTCCGAATATCGCCGAAAAGCGTTCTCGCCAGGTAATTCCACTGTTCCTTTCCTGGGCAACGCGCGACGAGGAAGATGCCCCCTCTGGCACCAACAACAAGTCTGAGGAGTCTGGTTACATTACGTGGGGTTTCCACGATCGACTGGCTTTCTTAGGGCTTCTAGGCCAATTTGTCAATCCCAAGGTCTTGTTCAGAGCGCCTGAGGTCCACGATGCCCTATTTGGGTTGCTCTGTCATGGTAACTCCGAAATTCAAAAGTCGACCCTTAAGGCTCTTTTCACATGGAAGTCTTCCAGCGTCACGCCTTACCGAGAAAATCTGCTGAACATTCTTGACGAGTCGCGGTTCAAAGATGAGCTTTCGATCTTTGTTCATGTCGGTGGTGAAGATAGCCTCATCGATGAATCCCACAGGGGTGATCTCATTCCCATACTTCTCCGACTGCTGTACGGAAGGATGATCTCAAAGGCTGGAGCGAGCGCGACCCAGGCAGGCCAGCAGGGACGGAGGAAGGCTATCCTGAGAACCTTATCACAGTTGCCTGATCGAGAATTTGAACAATTCATGCAGGTTTCCTTCGGCCCTCTTAGTGATGTCCACCTGATTCAAGACGGCAAGATTGACAAGCAGGCTCTTTCTCGCGAAATCACCAGCCCAAGAAGACAGATGGGTCTGCTGAGAATGATTGAGACTGTGTTCGAGACGCTCCAAAGCCGGATGGCGCCTTATGCGCAACAGTCAATGGACGTTGTCTTATATTGCCTGGTTCAGGCATGCCGTGAACTAGGAAAAGAGCAACCCACAGAGACTGTCGATCCACAGAGAGAACGACTCTTGACAGTGTTGCGCAACATCCGATACACGTGTATCAGGTGTCTTGAACTTATTTTCTCTATCTCGCTGGACCGAGATTGGGCTCCCTATGTCCGGGTTATCTTCGACGAAGTAATTAACCCGAGACTCGATAACTTTGCGACGGAAACTACCCAAGGTGTGTCTGGGCTCCTCAAATTGTTCCGTGTATGGGCGATGGCTCCTAGATCCTCGTTCTATCTCGTCGAGTACAACAATGCTCTCTTGACCAAAATCCTCGACTGTCTTGGAGTAGAATCAGCCCGTGATGAGGTCAAGATCTATGTCTTGGATGAGATTTTGAACCCACTGATTGGGCTTTCCACTGGGAAGCAGCTCGAAGAACAGGAGACAATGGGCGATTTCTCTGCGGATGAGATCCGATCCGCAGTTCTGGCACCCTACATTGAGCATTCTCTTTCTCATCTCGGTGGACTTTTGAAGCGGGGTCCTTCGAAACACTTGCTGAACTCCGGTGTCCAGACTCTATCCCTACTTGCTCCATGTGTGGAGTCATCGGGAGAGACTTCGCGCTTGGTCAACATCACGACCTATCTCCTCCGCCAGCCCGCTGATCGAGTTTCGCCGAAGACCAAGTCTGGTCTTTTGCGCAGTTTGGAGCACTTTTTGCCCTTGTATAATCCTAAGGAAGACCCGAAGCTTCTCGAGGAAGTTTATGGGGCTGTTTCTTCCCTGTTCGATTATTTCAGGGATGACGCCAACCGAGAGGTTCTATCTAGGGTTTTCACGGCGTTCTCAAAGCACGATTCCGAGCTCCTTGAGGTGGCAAGCCTTTGCGAGGACCTAAACTCCAGGTCAATGAAGAAGCTTGAAGTGGATTACGAACGGCGACTGCAGGCCTTCAGAACGATCAACGAGGACCGGTGGGGAACATTCAACGCTAAGCAGTGGCGGCCCCTACTCTTTAACATGCTCTACTATGTCAAAGATGATGATGAACTTGCTATTAGAACAAGTTCCTCTTTTGGTCTGAAAAGGTTCATGGAGAGAGCTACCGCTAATAACGGCAGCGACGAGGAAGAATTCGAACCTTTGGTGAATGATGTTTTATACCCCGGTTTGCAGGCTGGCATCCGGCAAAAATCAGAGTTGATCCGATCGGAGTTTGTCTCCGCTCTTGGCTATTTCGTCAAGTTGAACCCGGACAGACCTGCTGTGCAGGATATGCACGTGCTGCTTGTCGATGATGATGAAGAAGCCTCTTTCTTCAACAACATTCTCCACATCCAGCAGCATCGCCGTCTCCGAGCTCTGCGCCGTCTCGCTAGCGAGGCAGCTCAAGGCAAATTGCAAGCCTCGAACATCAGTACCATCTTCATTCCGCTCAATGAACACTTTGTGTTCGATGAGGAGGTGGAGGAGAGTGGTCATAACCTGATAGCCGAAGCTGTGGCCACGATCGGTGCTCTTGCCGAGTCGTTGGAGTGGAGCCAGTTCAGGGCTATTTTCCGCAGGTATCGTGGATACATGCAGAGTAAGTCCGAGATGGAAAAGAACATTCTCAGACTCTTGGGCAGGATGTCCGATGCCTTGACGACCGCTATGAGCCAAAAGGGTGTGCCTCGAGAAACTACTGGGGATGAAATGGAGGGAGTCGAAGCCACGACGACTTCGAAATGTAACCTGGCGCGAACACTGCCATCTGTGGCCAAGGTTGCGACGGAGCTGACCACGAACTTCACGCCTTTCCTCACTGACTTCATTCACCACAAGGATGAAGCCCAGATGAGTCTGCGTCTGCCAGCTGCGGTGACAGTCATCAAGCTTCTGAAGTTGCTGCCGGAGGCCGAAATGGCTATCCGTTTACCACCCGTTCTATCGGATGTCTGCAGCACCCTCAAGAGTAAAGCTCAAGATTCTCGAGATACGGCGAGAAAGACAATCAACGATATCGCCTTGCTTATGGGGCCTGTTTACTTCGCGTATATTCTCAAGGAGCTCAGAGGTACTTTGACCAAGGGATACCAGCTTCACGTTCTCTCCTTCACCGTCCATTCCATGCTCGTGGTGACAACAGACGAGTTCAACCAAGGAGATTTGGATTATTGCTTGGGAGATCTTACTGCGGTAGTGATGGACGACACTTTCGGAACTGTTGGTCAAGAGAAGGATGCAGCGGATTATATCAGCAAAATGAAGGAGGTGAAGAGCAGCAAGAGTTACGACTCGATGGAACTCCTTGCCAAGAATGCCTCTGTTCAGAATCTGGCTCGTCTTATCCAGCCTCTCCAGTCGCTTCTCCGGGAGAAGTTGAACTCTAGCATCGTGAGAAAGGTCGACGAGCTTTTGCGAAGAATCGGAGTCGGCCTTTTGAGAAATCCCGGGGCAGAAAGCCGCGATCTTTTGGTGTTCTGCTATGAAGTCATCAAGGATTCATACACGGACCCCACGAAAGGCGAGAAACAGACCAATGTCTCTGCTGCAGAGGAGCGGTTCTTGGTCCGGATACGAAAACGGGGCGAGAAGCGAGACACGACTTCTTCTCATGTCTACAAGCTGACGCGCTTTGCGCTCGATATTCTGCGCTCGATCCTCAACAAGCACGACTCCCTGCTTACGCCGGCTAACGTCTCCGGTTTCATTCCAGTTATTGGAGATGCACTGGTCCAATCCCATGAGGAAGTGAAGGTCTCGGCTCTTCGGTTGCTGTCGACAATCATCAAACTTCCCCTGCCCGAAATCGACGACAACTCCCATGTTTACTTCACTGAGGCCGTGAAGGTGGTCAAGGAAGCACCCAGCACGAATACTGAAGCTGCCCAGGCATCGTTGAAACTGATTTCCTCCATGCTACGGGAAAGAAAGAGCACCAAGCTTAGGGACGGACACCTTGCTTATCTTCTCCAGCGTCTCACATCTGACATCGAGGAGCCAGATCGCCAAGGTGTGACCTTCAACTTCATTCGGGCTGTCATGTCCCGAAAATTCGTGGTTCCTGAAATGTACGAGCTGGTCGACCATATCGCTTCTATGATGGTTACCAACCAAACTCGCTCGGCGCGTGATCTGGCCCGCGGTGTTTACGTTCACTTCCTTCTCGAGTATCCTCAGGCCAAGAACCGGTGGACGAAACAATTAAGCTTCATGGCCAAGAACCTTGAATACAAGCATCCCGAAGGTCGCCAGTCCGTCATGGAGGCGATCAACATGCTGCTGTCGAAGACGGGACATGAGCTGGCTCAGGACATTGTCGGCACTTTCTTCCTGCCGATGGTCATTGTCATGTCGAATGACGACGCGCCTGAGTGCCGTGAGATGGCAGGTGCTCTACTGAGTCAATTTTACAGCAGGGCAGACCGGGAACAAATGAGGACCATCCTCACGCCCCTTCGATCGTGGCTCGAGCAGACCGAGAACTTGCTTCTGACCAGCACCGGTCTACAGGCCATGAGAATTTACTTCGAGTCGGAAGAGACGGAAAAGGAGAAGGAAGCTCGTTTTGTCCGCGACACCCTGCCGTCCGTAATGCAGCCCGTTCTCGAAACCGACGGTACAGAGAATTGGCAAACGCTCTATTTCGCGCTCCAGCTCTTCGCCAAGCTCTGCAAGGCCGTCCCTTCGATTGCGCTTTCCAAGGACTGTGCTAGCATCTGGGTGTCTATCCGGGAGTGTCTTTTCTATCCCCATGCTTGGGTTAAGACCTGCGCCGCGAACCTTGTTGGTACTTGGCTTGCAGACCTTGCCAAGTCGAACGCGACAAACGGCTACGATTCTCTTCCTTTGACCGGTTCCGCCGGACTGACGCTTGACAAGGACGCGATGATCCACTTGATCCGTGCCAGTTTGCGTTGCCTGCGTACGCCCGCCGTCAGCGAGGAACTTGCTATGCAGAGCGTGCGCAACATCATCTTCCTCGGCCGTTGCTGTGCCCAAAATGGCCTGGTACTGCCCAAGACCGGAAACAATGAAGCCGAATCGGAGGACAGCGATAGCGACGAGGACGCCGATGAGGAAGAGACGACGCAGAAGGAGCAGTCCGCCCTGCACTACATCTTTGTCCAAGCATCTTCCATCCTACGCCGGGAATTCATCAACACGCGGGCAGCAGCTCTGATACCCAAGACCGCCTCCATTGGGCTTCTGGCCGCTCTTTTCCGGCATCTCGAGGCAGAGCAGATTCAGCCCTCTCTCTCCGTCATCCTGGTTCCTCTTCAGCATATGACGGATGCATCCATCCCGCCACCCCGTTCGTCCGACGAGGGCTTCCGCAACTCGTACAAGACCCTTGTGTCGAACTGCCACGAGGTCCTTGACCTCATCCAGAAGAAACTGGGCACTACGGAATTCGTGAACCAAATGGCGCTCGTCCAGGATGCCATCAAGGAACGACGCGAGGGCCGACGAGCCAAGAGACGCATCGAAGCCGTGACCGAGCCCGAGAAATACGAGCGCGACAAGAAGCGCAGGAACGACCGGAAGCACGACAAGAGAAGGGAGAGAGGAATGGAGCACCGGTCCAGAAGACGTGGGTGGTAAGAGGTGCTCGGATTTACGGATTGTACCTGCCAGCATGTTGTGATGTGAATATACAAAAACAAAAGTCCGGAGTTAGGAGATCTGGGATAGATTTGCATTTAATAGTACAGAATTTTTCTCTTCATCTTCCTCTTGTTTCAAGCTATAGTACATGTTATCGGAGCAGAGTGTATAAAATCGCCAAGGTATCTATGACAGAAAAACAATCCAACGCCATTCACTATTTATCTTTTGCGAAAAGCGCCAACTTTTGCTGAACACCAGAGTAGTCAATCAACTCGACTCTCTACAGATCAAACCACCAAATCATTCAATCATCCCCATTCACGAAGACTCCGATCCAGACCCCCTCTTATGCGCCACACCATCATCCCAGAACTCCATATCCCCATCGACATAGCCCCTCGTGAGCTTCGAGCCCCTCTCAGCCAAAATATCCTCCAGCGTGGTCTTCTGATCGAAGAAGATATTCAGATGGTCGCTGATAACGTGGCGGTTCTGGCACGACGGGCACCGAATCAGGACCGTGCCCTTGTGGTAGCCATGCTTGGACATGCGATGCGACGAGCGCTCGCCACACGGCTTGCAGGTGAAGACGATCTGGTATGCGGGCTCCTCTTCGCGGCGCTTGCGGTTCTGCTCCTCGTTCTCGGCGTCGCGGGCGGCGCTGGCGTCTTGGTCTGTGAGAGGTTTGCTGGAGTTTTGGCGGATGGTGGTAGACGAGAGGAAACGGGTGTGTTGAATTGTCAAGGGAGAAGTGACTGAGGCAGGGACCAGCGAGGGACGAGTCGAGCGATACGTCAACTGGGAGAGAGAGCGAGAGGTCGAGCGGGAGATGGCCGCGCGAGGAAGAGAGGGTTGGGCGGCGCGGAGGCCGTGGAAGAGCGAGAGGGCGGGGCGCATGATGAGTGACTTGTAGGGTTTAGCGAGAAAGGTAAAAAAAAGGTAGCTTTGGTGCGGAGAGAGGGTATTGGGGACAGATGCAGGAGGAAAGTTAGGACTGAAGATCCGGTGATGATGACGGAGTTTGGCCGGACTTGCGCCGGGCTTACGTTGTTCCGCGGCGGTGCTCTCCGCGGCCTTCAATGAGACGCATCAACTTCGCCTCCGTTTGGACTCGTCGAGAATCCAGTGAATCGGTGCGCTGCCTGGCGGTCCCTGCGAGAAGGACTCGGTGACTCTGCGTCTTTATTGGGATCCCTCGTTTCTTGCGCTGTACGAGGACTTTCATCCTCGATTTGCCCCGCTCAAGTCTCCGCGAGTACAGTGGATGGCAGTCCACCTTCTTTTACAAAATGACTATGCGAGCACGACAGAAGATTCGGGCTCCCCGAAGGGTAAGACTTTTTCTGTGTTCATTTGGTGCGCTGGTGCTGCGTTTGCGGACGTGCTCAAGATTCTCACGGAGCTCTCCAGCGACAGTGAATACTCGGGCAACGCCAGTGAATCTTGTGTCGAGGACAGCTAGACATCAAAGGATATTCACTAACTATGTATCTGTAGGGCCTGACCTCGAGCAAAACTGATGAATTCGAAAGCTATTGGAATGTCCTCTCCACGTCTCTTAAGATGATCCACACCAAGAACGCCTCCAGCCTTTCCTTCGAGCAGCTATATCGAAACAGCTATAATATTGTCTTGATGATGCGCGGTAATGACCTTTACGACAAGGTCAAGGAGTTAGAGCAGGAATGGCTCGATACCGATGTTCAAAAGCGAGTCACGGCCGCCGTTGTGCCTGGGCTTCTGCTATCAAACGAGGCCGGGCATGCGGAAGATCAAGCGAACGAGAAGAGAGCGGCAGGCGAGAAGTTTCTGGTGGCTCTGAAGGAGGCGTGGGAGGACCATCAGCTGTGCATGAGCATGATCACGGACGTTCTTATGTACATGGTAAGCCCACATGCGGAAGTTCGTCGATTTACAATCGGAAAAATTGACGAGTTTCTATCCATAGGACCGAGTAGTTTCGGCAGACAAAGGACGGCCGTCGATCTACGTTACAGCCATGGCCTTGTTCCGTGATTCTATCCTCCGATCTGGAATCCGGCCAAATCTGGAAACGACTGTCGTTAGCGCCCTGGAATCCACGGTACTATTCATGATCCAGCTAGAACGATCCGGGCATATCATAGACCGGACTCTGGTGCGACACTGCATCTATATGCTTGAGGGTCTCTACGAGACCATCACGGAGGAGGAATCGTCTCGGCTTTACCTGACTATCTTCGAGCCAGCTTTTCTCGAGACCAGCAGGGTTTTCTATCGAGCAGAAGGCAAGCGATTGCTGGAGACGGCAGACGCTGCTACCTTCTGTAAAGTCGCTTCCGAGCGCATATCGGAAGAAAAGGAGCGTTGTCTCTACACGTTGTCTACTCTGTCGGAGCCGAAAATCAAAGATGTCCTGGACAATGAGCTGATCCGCAACAATATTGCTGAGGTTATTCAACTTGAAGGGACGGGCGTCAAGAACATGATCGACAACGATCGCTTGGATGTGCTCCGAAATGTCTATACGCTCAATTCGCGGGTCGACAGTAAGAAGACCCCTCTGACTGTGGCTGTTCAGAAGCGCATAGTGGAACTGGGCCAAGAGATCAATGCCTCAGCAGCGTCTGCCCAAGCACCTCAACCAAAGCCAGCAGGGAAGAGCGCCGACGGCAAGAAGCCGGAAAAGGAGAAAGAAAAACCTGTGAACCAGCAAACAGTCTCTGCTATCAAGTGGGTAGATGACATTTTGGCTCTCAAAAAGAAGTTCGACAATATCTGGCAGAATGCGTTCCAGTCGGACCAGGTGATGCAGAGTGCCATTACGACCAGCTTTTCGTCGTTCATTAACTCCAACGGACGCAGTTCGGAGTATCTGTCTCTTTTCTTTGATGAGAACCTGAAGAAGGGTATCAAGGGCAAGACTGAAAGCGAGGTTGACTCTCTCCTGGACAACGGTATCACACTCCTGCGCTATATCAAGGACAAGGATCTTTTCGAAGCATACTACAAGAAGCATCTGTCCCGGCGTCTTCTGATGAAGCGTGCAGTCAGCATGGATGCAGAGCGACAGATGATCTCAAAGATGAAGATGGAAGTTGGCAATCAGTTCACGCAGCGTCTAGAGTCCATGTTCAAGGACATGACAATCTCCGAGGATCTGACTGCCAGTTACAAGGAGCACATTCGGCAGGCAGGGGACCCCGACCGCAAGCCCATTGATTTAGAAGTCAATGTTCTCACTAGCACCATGTGGCCCATGGAAGTCATGTCCGCCGCCAAGGGGGACAGCGTCCAGATGTCTTGCGTTATCCCGAAGGAGGTCGAAAGCGTCAAGCAGAGCTTCGAGAAGTTCTACTTGGGCAAACACAGCGGCCGAAAGCTTTCATGGCAGCCCAGCATGGGCTCGGCCGATATCCGAGCGACGTTCCAAAGATCCAACGGCAAGACTCAGCGCCACGAGCTCAATGTTTCCACATACGCCATGGTCATTCTACTGCTATTCAACGACTTGCCCGCCGACCAGTCCCTAACCTTTGAAGAGATCCACGCGCGGACGCGCATTCCCGAGCATGATCTTATTCGAAATCTCCAGTCGCTAGCCGTTGCACCTAAAACGCGAGTTCTGAAGAAGGAGCCGATGAGCAAGGACGTGAAGCCCACCGATGCATTCTTCTTCAACAACGACTTCCACAGCCCGTACATGAAAGTCCGCATCGGCGTCGTCAGCGGCGGTGCCAACAAGGTCGAAAACCAGGACCAGCGAAAGGACACAGAGAAGCGCATGAACGATGAGCGTGGTGCCAGCATTGAAGCAGCCGTCGTGCGAATCATGAAGTAAGCTTCATTGCCCTAAGCCCTTACCTCAAGGACCTAACTAACTCGACACAGACAACGCAAACAACTCGCGCACACGAACCTTGTCAGCGAGGTCCTCAGCCAACTCTCCTCCCGATTCGTGCCCGACGTGAACATGATCAAGAAACGTATCGAAAGCTTGATTGACCGCGAATACCTGGAACGAGTAGGCGAAGACCCTCCTGCGTACGGATATCTCGCCTGAATTGCCTATGGATTCTCCCCCTTTCATTTTCTTTTTCTCTTCTCAGCAGTTCGGTTATCTTTTCAATTTGGGAAATTTTTCATTTTTTTTATATCACAACCACATGGGAAACATCTGGAGCTTAGCGGTGAAGGGCGCAAAAAAAGGCATCATTTTCATGTTCACATAGATTTTGGTCTGGTCGTTGATTTCTTCCATTTCTTTTCTCCCTTTTTCCTTTTTGATTCCTTTTTTTCTTCCCTTCCATGGGTGGACTTGGGCGATGGAGACCAGCAATATGACGTATTATGATGATGATTTGCTCTTCTGGACGAGCTGAATGATGTGAATAATTGGAGACAGATGGTGTGGAAGTAATGGCTGGTTTATTAAAGATAATAATAAGTCTAAAAAAAGTTTTAAGATAACGGAAAGAAATCAATATGTTCAATCTGATGTGTGAGGGATGAGTGAATGGTTGTGTATGTTTCCTTTCTACTCGTTTTTCTTCTTCCGTTCATGTTTCTATTATTCTTTCTCTAGATTCTGTCCTATTCTTTGACGACCCTAGACATATCTAGGATTTAGAAATATAGCTGCACTCTACGCTACTAGTCGGTGATAAATTTTGAAGCTGATATATATGCGCACTTGATCAGCAGCTGACACAACCAGCATGCCCAGGGAGTTTGCTTCTTGAAATCTGCAATGAAGTTTCATTACGTGGTATCAAACAATCAGGATATAGATCTATATCATGCACAACACAACACAGAAAAAGCAGGCAGACAGACAGACAACCAAAAGAAAAGGAAACCCAACGCCTCCAAAATGCAAGACATGGCATATGCACTACACCGATAGCCAAAAGAACAAACCAAAGAAAACACCCCCCAGCCCACAAACACACAGATAGAACAAAATGACAATAACTCTATAAGAGCTCCACCTCCCCCCTCACCCAAGCATTCCGAATACCCTCCCACCGAACCGCCCAAACATCACCCATGCGCATCGCCGTCCCGAACTGCTCTTCCTCAATCCCGTCCCCAGGCGGCACGACGACCATTACCTCCTCAACTAGACACCTCACGAACACGACCTCCCTTAACTCCGGCCCCTGCACCATACTCGTTCCGCCGGCGTTATCATCCAACCGGCGCAGCTGCGGGGGGAACGAGGACAGAAACGAGGCGCCGAAATGGCCCGCGAGGAGGGACTGGTGGGCGTGCAGGAAGGAGACTTCCTGCGGGGAGAGGGGCGAGGGGTCCGTGACGGACGTGAGGTCGGGGATGGAGTCTTCGGGTTGTTGGTGCTGGTGCTGGGAGGAGGGGGTGGATTGCGGGAGGGAGTTTGAGGGGGCGGAGGCGATGAGGAGGAGGTAGTGCATGCTGTGTTTTGTGAGTTTGGAGAGGCGTTGGCGGAGGAGCGAGCGGAGGAGGTATTGGGTGCGGGAGAGGTCGGTTTGCAGGATGGAGAGTTTGAGGTTGAGGGTGGGATTGTGGGTGGTGGGAGTTGTTGGATCGGCGGAGGAGGCGGCGAGGTCTTCGATGGATTCGATCTGGAGTCCATTAGTGACTGAGGTTTAGAGAGAAGGGGGAAAAGATGACGGACTTGTCTTTTTACTCGCTCCATCATGCGCTCCATCAGTGGTCCCGGCCATGGGAGGAGCTCCGACACGCCGCGCTCGGCGACCCAGAAGCGCGTGAGGAGCTGGTGGTCGAGACCGGCCGATTCTGGGGTAGACACATCGCCGCGGTCGACGGAGGCGAGGATGTCATCGATATCCATGGCCGAGGAATGGGATTGCGAGTGCAATGGGAGAGAGACTGGCGCGTTGGACGGAGGGAAATCGCGAAAGGCGGCGGGGGAAAAGCGGAGCGGAACAAAGGCGGAGAGGAAGTCTGCCTCAGGCAGGTGCTCCGTTGGCCGCTTTAGATGGAATTGGATCACAACTACAGCCACTCTCTACAAAGTTATAGAATTGAATATAGTCATCAAGTTTATTCATTCCAACAAAGGAAATTACTATCTTTTGACCCTCGTATCCTCCCCAGGTGGTTCCATTATATGCCAGTGATGTACCGACGGCCAGGAGTTATGTATGTACAGCCGCATGGATCATTCCGCGCCGTTCATCTGCTTGGATCGCGGTATGAGGCTTCGCAAAGAAGCTGCCATGCTTGTCGAAATTATCGCCTTGGTGACGAGCCGTACATCGATATGTACTGCGTACGGCGAGATGTGACCTGCTTCCTCAGTGTACAGGAAGAAGCGGAGGAGAGTAGATTAAAAGACGGTAAGGGCGAAAAAATTGTTTTGAGAAAAGAGATGCCGGATGGCGTGGTATCATGAGAGGTTCGGTGCGAATAGCCGAACTTGATCGAATAAGAAATCACGTAGGAAAGTCGTGCAACACATAGGAAAAGGGAAAAGGAAATGTTCTGAAGGAATGGTCGCTGAAACGAGAGCAAGAAGATTCAAATATGGCGGCGAAAAGGAGAATCCGATGAATCGGGTTGTGGGCGATAATTTCCTGGCTCGAGAAGGAATCCCCAGGTAATCAAAATCGAGAAGATTGTCGTGTCGTCAAAAATGAAGAATGTTCTATCACTGGCGCCAGCCGAAAGGGAAGAATCCGAGAAAACAAAAAGGATAAGGAAATAAAAGTCAAGCGAATGGACAGGCCCTTGACGTGCCGGATAGGATCCTGGTCTATAATCATCGCAGATCCAGGAATCCACCGAGCCTTGTCAAGGTCCAAAGGAGACGAAGCATGCTACACCAAGAGCTCCATCAATGCTAGCCGACCTGGTGTCCAATTGATCGGCAAACGATCTCTGCAGATCGATAGGTCCCGAAGGCGAGTAAAAGAAAATGATGCAAAAGAAAAACCGGACCAGGCGGCCGGGGCTAAGGTGCGATGCGTGAAATAAGAAAGCGTGTCGTCAAACTGTCGTGTGAGACCATGTTAGAGGGTCTGAATGTCAGAACCAGGGTTTCAGTAGGACAGCATACGGCGTCCGGGGAATCGAGCAGACCCGGGGCTTTCAGCGAAGGGCGATCCTAGGAATCGACTGCGATCACCAGGGTTGTTGCGACATCTCCCGGTGGGACTGTCTTCCATTTCGGGCGAGTTCTGTCCAAAGGCAAAGGTTTGAGCGCGGTTCAGCTTGGATCGTTGCTTCACCTTCCCAAGGCCACGCTCGCACGCGAATTCGTGCTCCTTGGCAGACATTTCGACGTAGTTCTGGGGGTAACATAGCGAGCGATGCTGGGCAAAGAAGGAGCTGTAACCTCCTTCGAGAATGTACATGTCCGGATAGCTGAGTTGGGGGTATTGATCAATGTTGAAGGCGCGGTCCCGATGGCGGATGTACTTCGCCATAATGGGAGCTCGATGGGCCGAATATTCGCAGTGCAAAACGAGCGCGGTCCGGGGCTTGGGGCTGGCAAAGAGCTCCGCAGCCAGGTTTTCCTTGTCGTTGTAGTTCACGGCGCCGTTGATGTGTCCACCCTCATACTCGTACTCAAAGCGGCAGTCGATAACCAGAATGTTGTCGAATTGATCGTTGAATTTGCCGTCCATGAGCTCCAAAAGAACGGTTTTGTCGATACGGGGCAGAGAGTCTCCCTGATCCTCATGAATGACATGAGGCAGGTGGAGGCTCGGGGTAGCTTCGATGTCGCAAATCGACTGAAGTGGTGCATTTGATGTAAAACTGGCCTCTTTTTCGACAACTACATCCTCTGGATGCTCATACATACTCAACGAACGCCTACATTGTTTCCGAGGGCGCATCAACGGGTGGGAACTCTTGCGAATAGACGCGGCGGAGGGCGACCCATTTCCACGAACATGGCTGCCACTGTTAGTGGCCATCAACGGCGGCCGCAACCGAGGGTTGGCCAGCCCGCCCGACGAATTGTTCCTTAACAGTGGACGTTCACGCTGCGGAGATTCTCCAAACATATCCTCCAACGACGCCGACGTGCTCAGGGATGTCTTGGTGGTTTTGCTCTGGAATCGAAAGGGGGGTGCCTGGCTCTCCGGGGCGGGCTTCGTCATGCCCAGTTGAAAGGACTGGGCTTTGCTTTTGGCGAGGCTGGGCCGCAGGAACGTCGGACGCCGTCTCCTATAGATCAATTCGTGATTAGATTCCTTGTGCCCCAAGACAATCATATCCAAGTATGCAGGCATCGTTCTCTTACTCTGGCTGAGCGTCCTTGGGCGGGACAGAGGGGGAGTTCTCCAACGGACTGGGCATGGGCGAGTCCACCGACAAGTCATCCGTCCCTGGGGTAATGATCTCGATCTCGTTTGTCATACAGAATGGAGGTTTGTGCGGCAGAGGCGACATCTCCATGATATCCATAGCGGGAGCAGGCGAGGACGAGGGGAGGGGAGGGGTGGTCATGCTTTCTTCTGTTTATGGTATGGTTAGTGATACCGGAGGCTTCCATGGTTCAGATCGGAACAGAGCGGCATCACCACATACCATTTCCATGCCCAAAGAGATTTGAAGAGAACAAAGACCGCCGGGGGGTTGCTAATTGCGGACTATGGCAGGTCAGCAGGGGTCCTTGCACCACGGCCCATCCAGCAGGACAAAGAGTACTGCAGACTCACCTTTGATCAATATGAAAATTTTGAGAGAGATCTGCGGCTAGACTCGCCGTTGGCGAGGAACCACGGACCGGCTTCACGTTAAAATAGTCGCCATGGGACTTCTTCATGGACAGGTCTTTGAAATTGAAACTAGGGGGTTTCAGCCCAGACCTGGGACCAAAAGAGCCGTAGGATGAGGGCACATCCGAGCGAAAGCAGTGTCCAAAGAGCACCGACGGAGGCTGCATGGCAGCCAACGGTGACGAGTGTTCCATTCTTCTTCAAAGACCTATCTTCTTTGCCCTTCCACTTTTTTTCTTTTTTCTTTTTTTCTTTCCTTTTGCCAGAAACGAAAAATTTCCGATTCCTTGTTCTTTCTTCCTTTGTGGTCGTCCCAATTGACCTAGACACCGTCGGGGTAGAAAACTCGCAGCAACACAGTAAAGCCAGACCGTTGACACTGCACGCTATCTATCTGGCATGTACTACAACGACAGGGAGATCTCCGTCGTCACGGTGCCTATTCCAAACCGTCCGCACAAGACCCGTTGTCGACAATAGTGTTGAAACCCAATTCGTCCAAGTGGTGCAGAACGGCTTCCAAAAATCCCACACGCAGCTAACCAGCACGTCGCGGCACTTCCTGGTGTCGAAGCCGACCAGCTCAGAGCGACATGACTGGCAGAGGGAATAATGTCGATCAGGGCCAAATCAAAGACGGAGGAAGAAGGGAGGGACCGAGGTGGGAGGACCAGCAAGAGGAGGGGCTAGCAGGATGGCAGAGGCTTGGGTTAGCAGATTACTTCTATAAGCATCGGCAACACGCAGGGGGAGCAGCAGCAGCAGCAGCCGCCAGCAGAGACGGCAGAAGGGGAGGACATCGACGTGGTACGCTAATGCATTGGGGGAAAGTTACCGAAGAAGAGGGTGTGAAGAAGTCTGGACACGGGATTGGGGTGGAGGATAGTCTGGTAGACCGAGCATGGGAATGAGGAACGACGCCGGTCTTAAAGAGGGAGTAGAGAAGATGTTTAAACAAGGCTGAAGAACTCAAAGAAAGGAAAAGGGTCACGGCAGAAAAAAAAAGAAAAAAGAAAAAAAAAAAGACCTGGAGAAAAGGTGAAGCTGAAGGGATGACCTTGTTGCAATGGCAACGAAAAAGTGGGGATGCGATCTCCAGATGCTCAAGAAAGAAGAGAGCTTAAGCGACGACGGGTTTAGGCCGTGTCAGAATTCCCAGCGTCGAACCGGTTTGGGGGATGAGCGTTTGCCATTGGTTCTCGAACCGCCGGCCCTGGAGAGGGAGATTGGGCAATTCGTTGATTCCTACAGTCGATCTTGAGTCTAGTTTTCCACTTTACTTCTGGGTGTCTCTGGGAAGAGCGTTTGCTCAGCATCCGGAGGTACCTACCAGGTAGTCCGTACTACTGCGTAGGTGAGGTCCAAGACGTCTGTACGGCGTCAGTAAGTATGTACGGTATCGGGCGGAATCGACGTATGTATGATGTACTTGGGAGTACGGCGTCTATCTCCGAGAGGCAGGTACGTCGGGAGGTACACGCAGGTACTCGTACATGTCGACATCATCGATACGGCGATACCATACCGTACTCCTACAGTACTGTACCTACTCCGTCGTAGGTACCAGTACTCCCGCAGTACAACGGACGGTCTTCTCGTTGCCGGGACTCCCTTGCCGCCATCGTCAACGCTAACCGCTGCTCAGCAACCCCCCGCCTATCAGCGTCCTTACGCTCTCCTCCGCCGCTCTTCTGCCAATCCGAGCGGGCTGGCTGAGGCATGGATCGTGCCTGTCTCACGGGCTACCGAAGGATTGTCCTTCCAGATTTTCTTTTTTCCACTTTACCCAGTAACTATACGTATGTATCTACATTCTGTTCTCGTCCCTTTCACCGGTTCTTACGTGAAAAACCGTTCATTCGGGATTACAGCCAAGACGCCTTCCATTTTGACACCTCCGTCAAAGCCTTCACCTTGCCCTAGGGTACACCCAGGCCCTTCCTCAAGGCTCCTGGCATATGCTAGGTGAGATCCTCTTTTAGTTTCACATTTAGATTTTGGGGTTTTTTTTTTTTTTTTTTTTTTTTTTTTTTCCTGCTTAACCCAGAAGGGATTTTTTCCCTACCGGAGTCCAGAAAAACGGTCCATGAATGGTCCGACAGGACGGTTCCATTCAACTACTGGAACGAAAAAAAGGACGACTCCAGCCAATAATCTGCGCAGTTCCGAAAAAATTACCCTATCCGTGTGTGCCGTTTTTTTTTTTTTTTTTTTTTTTTCTTTTTCTAGCTCTTTGGGTCCCGTTTTTATTATACATCACTCGACTCCATAAAGAGTCCAAATGAGAGATCGAATCTAATAAAAACTCCACCAGAGCTCCACCGGTCGGAAAAAAGAGCTTGTCCGGAATCTCTCAGGAACGAGTCTGGCCGTCCAATGGCAAAGGCTGGAAACAGCAAGCTGTCAGTCGTCAAGCTGCCGCTTTGGGTACCTGTACATTCTCCGGAAATCGAGTATACGCCCTAGCCTGGGGAAATGGCATCCCTGGGGAGAGTTAAAGCTCCGAGACTTCGCCAATCCTACCGCTCTGGAGACTGTGCATTCCGCTTATCTCATCGCCGTCGACCCTGGCCGATCGGAGAGAGCTGCGGATTCGCCCAATCGGGTAATGCGTGCGACTCCCTAGCCCTAGGGTAGATTAATTTGGCAGCACATACCAGGGCATGATCATGGATTGATAATATAATTCGATGGCCAAAGGGATGCTCGAAAAAAAAAAAATGAAATGAACCTTGGCCTGTGCAAATATTGATTGCCAATCTGGAGATCAATCTCTGCATCCCTGTCCTTGTTCACCACGGTGGTGAGGTCAGACGGCGCCCAAGCATTTTCCAGATAGCTTCAACTATGATCATCGCAGCTCTCTCCACGAGCTACCGGTGCTGTTCTCCAGACTTGCCTCATTTGCGACGGGGGCCGTACATGCCGTCCGGGCATTCTTGCTCACCGCAGAGCTCATCGTCCACGCATTTTTGGTGCCCTTACTTGCGCATAATTATTACTCCCGCATTCCCGCCGATCTGGGCCCAGGGGTATTCTATCCCTGCCCGTCCCCTCTTAAAGGGAGCTATCTAGCTGGGCATTATCGCCTGCCCCCATACCGCACATGGTCGCCTTACAAATCGTTCGATATTAACTCCTTATTATCGGGAGGACGAGAATTACGCGGGAATAGTGCCTCGGACGGCGCCAGGTCGAGCTGATGTCCTCGGCCTGATTATTGTGGGGATCTCATAGCTCCCAATGGCGCCCGAAGAGCTGACGACGTCACGACGAGGGGCTAAAATTTGCTCGGTCTGGGTCGCGAGCTCAGCTCTCGGCTGCTTTCCTGCTCGCTTCTCCGTCATTACCATGTTGGAGACGGAGTCGGGACTAGTCTTCGCCCGCACGTGTGTGCTGATGATCCGAGATCAAAATAGCTCGGTGCGTCCATGATCCCCTCGATGCACAGTGCATAGATTAAAAATAACCAACACTTCGTCCCGCACACCGCCACTAGTAATGTGACACTGGCAGGGGGAGGTGGACGTACTCTTACGCCGTGCTCCGTACTCCTTGACGATCGCCGGGCCTGCATTATCTGGATTCTGACCCTGCGCCCGAGCCCCTCACTTTTGAGACACCGGTCAAATCTTAGGTCTTAGGGAGGACGAGAGGCCAGCCGAGAAGGATGCCCCCTCCGTGCGGTATTATTGTCGGATGGCTGAGTCGGACGATGCTGACCCGGAGGCTTGCGGCTCGTGGGGGGGGTTGATTCTACGGAGGATGGATTCGAGTCAGAGAACACGCCGCGATCTCAGAGATTGTCGCAGGACAGTCACAGACCTCCCGATTTCCAATGCGGCGTGACAATGGCCGGCCCGGCATGGACGTGCATCTGCAGGTCTAAGGCAGCGTGATCGGCCGTGATCTGACGGTCGCGAGGTGCTATTTGACGACGATAAGCGCCGGACTTGCGACTAGGGAGGTACGGTGGTATCTCGGACCCTCCGATCTCCTAGTGGCCAGGATTGTGATCCGTCATCTGCGGTGACAGCACCATGTGCCCGCCTGACAGTTCAGTGTGTGTTGGAGTTACTCCGTCCGCAGTTCTGCGTAGTCACTACCGACCAAGGTATTCATTTCCAAGGTTCTAGGTATTGGGTACGCCGTCCGCAAGGCAGCGCCCGTCTCATTACGATGTACCCAGTACCGACAGCTCCTTCGGCCGGAGTACGGGGTACGGCGGAAGGTTCCAGGCCCGGAGGGAGTGGCTGCCAGTGCGGGGTTCGCAGGCCAATGCGGGCGCTGATTGGGAGAGCGCGCAAAGTCAGTCTGCAACTTTATTCACCAAACCTGAAAATACTGTTTCGTCCGGAGGGGAGCAAAACCGGAATCCCCCTCGGCGTGACATCACCACGTCAACATGCAGCGGGATGTGTTGGCCTGCTCGTGGTTGGCATTGTTGTTGCTTTCCCCCATTCAGGTATTTGCTTACTTTTTTCTTTTTCTTGGTGTTCGTTTGATATACTATCTCCGTCCACTAGTCATGTCCCATGGGTCGCGTCATAGAGTAACCACCACGCCGGCCTGAACCGTGGTACTGAGCCGTGTTGTTTGATTCCGCGACCCAGACAAAACGCGACCGCCATGCGCTCTCCCGTGACCTTCGGGTATGAGATCATCGACTCACTCAACCCTTTTTTGTTTTGGATTTGCGTTGCTTTTGCATGCTGCCTTGCTTTTCTTTTTTCAGACCGACACGTGCGGTGTTTACTTGTTTGGTGTTTACCTTTTTTTTCTTTTTTCTTTTTTTTTTTTTTTGTTTCGCCCAGGTCGCAGAGGCCTCGCCACCTCACTGCCTGGACACCTGGATGCCTGACCCCTCGGTCACGCCATGCCCGTACGCTGTAATCACTAACCTGGAGGATTCACCTCTGGCCCCCTCAGGAATATTAATACCTACTGTCTCGGTACTAGTCGAAATACCACGGCCTCAGCCGCATTATTGGTGAGGGGTGACTGAACCCGAACAAGATCGGGAAGAAGATCGGCACAAACTACTACCGAGTAATCTTCCCTCTCTGTCCCCTCGGCCTTGATCAATTCTCCAGGGGGCTATCGAACCTTAGCTTCGCCTACCCTACTAGGGCATACCCCTCCTTTGCAAGGTGACTTGCATACAGGAAGGGGTTGCTTATCGATGCCTTGCACGAGGATTTTCTCCGACCCCAACCAGGCCGTTACCAGTCAGTCCGTCGCTTGTTTTCTCCTGTGGCGATTGGCCTCAGCTTTCCTCTTCCTAATTAATCGCATCTACCTTCTAGGGGGTATGCTGTTTCTCCGTAGATACTCCGACTCAATATGGGATCTGGAGAATGGTTTATCCACCGCTGGCTCGGGAATTGTGCCTGTCCATCCATCCCTTGATTGGCCGCTCATCGAGGGATACCAGAGATCCTGGTCGTTCCAGTGTCCATATATATTTGACCCCGTGCTTTGTGCGTGATTTATTGATCGTTATCTTTTATCTTCGATCTCGATCTGTGGAACTGGTATCCATGTGTCGATCTGTGCTACCGACTGTGGTTGAGACTGTAGATTGTTTAGATGTAGCTTTACTGTCCCGGTTAGACTTACCAACCCTATACCTCTAGCTGACTTGCTAGATCTAGATCCTGCATCGAATTCATACCACATTCCACTGAACCTCCATCTCGATAAAATAAACTCTAATCCTCCCCCATACTCCCCAGGGATACATTGCCCGTCCGGGGTATAAAAGCCACCGAACAAGCCAATATATGCGCACCCATCCGTCCATCCCTCTAACCCTGTCTAGGGCAGAGCTACCATGCGGCGCCCCAAGCCCCCAACGCCTCCGCAAAGCTTATATACTTCTCCGCGAATGCGATAGAATCGAAAATAGCCCCTTCATCGTCCAATTTCTCCGCGAGAAAAAAAGATAACCAGGATTCAAATCCATTCCCTCCTTCCTCAACCCTCGCTTTCCAGATAAACACCCGATCCAGGGAAACATCGCAGATCAACCCTATCTAACCCTTGCATGTGCAGCACATCGCCCTCACAGGAAAAAAAGAGGACCTTACAACCAGACACAAACAGACAGTAGAGAGAGGACCCATCAACCCCCAAACCAGCATAGGGCCCGCCTGCGCCAACGGAATAGAGTTGACCAGGGCGTCGTGGCTTAAGGTCCTTGCAGATTGGGCTCTGCAGTGCTACTTACTGCGCGTTGGGTTGGGCTGCGGTTTGCTACCTACCGACGTACCTACCTACCTATCCTAAGCGCCAATGAAGTCACCCTCGCTGCTGGTGGAGTGTGGGGGTGTCTTGTCTGGGTTTCGGAATTGGGTTTGACACTGCGTTGTACAGTATGGACCCGTTTGTTTGCTGTGGGGGTTGGGTCGGGGATTTTACAGAGGTGGTTGGGTTCGCGGGCCCCGTATGTGAGTGGAGGAGTGGGGAGGAGGATGCGTGTTTACGGTGATGTTCTCATGGCGAAGGGATTGGGGATGTAGATGTAGGGGCATGGGTCTTCGCTTTGGGGGAAGACTGTGTAGATTCTTGGTGTTGTATACTGCTCAGGTTGAGAACATGGGTAAGTAAATAGTCAGAGTTCGATATGGCATGAGAAATACAGTTGTATGGGGACAGTTGTGTTCACAATTCATGCTTTGCATTGCATATCTTGGTCTCCTGGTGCCTTCGGCGAACACCTAGATAGCAGATAGATACTACTCAAATCTGCCCATTCATCATATTGCCGCAGCCAAATCCCCACAGATAGATACCTATGAGATACTGCAGCATTTACAATGTGGACCTAACGGGCCCAAGGCGCCAGGTACCCGGAATGTCAACCTTGGAAGTTCGGCATCCTCGTCATCCACCATCTAGCATCCACTTTTAGAACCCACCAACCTCGTCAATTCCAGCACGACGCACCCCACACATCTACCACCTACCACCGCATCCAATCCAACCAGCTACTCCCCCTCCCCTCAATCTACAGTATTCACACGGACCCAACGACGACGCCGAAAGAAAACCTGCATCCCACATTCCTAACCACGAACTATATCCCGACAAGCAAGGGGGCAGCCTGCAGTGGGGAAGATGGTAGCTTGGTATGTGCGTATGTATGTCTGATGGGGATGTGTATCGGGCCTGCATGTATGCGTACTGCGCAGTATTACATGCACGTCGGTACTTACCTACAGCTAGGCGCCTGCCTACCTACCTAGCTACCTACCTACCTGTGTCTGCCAATGTGCTACTAGCAGAGTGCAGGGACCATGCTTTTGCAAGGGATATGTACGGGGTCGAGCGCCCCTGTCGGCAGTTTGGGAGGGATGGGGATTCGGTTCTGGGGCTTAGGGGAGGATGTAAGGGAATGGGGATGAATAACTCTGCTTGGGAGGGGGTTGATAATTATGGCGATGGGATTGGGGGAGCATTGAAGGTAGAAGTGGGAGGAGAGGAGTATGTGTTCGATATGAATAAGTTATATGGTGGCTTCTGCATTATGGCCAATGTTGAATTAGAGCGTCGTGGTGATATATTTAAACGATTCATCAATAGCCAATGCCGTGCTGAGTTACCCACTAGTCAAATCTGTAAGAACCTTAGTGTGACATGCATATTCCACTGAGCAAGTAGATGACCGGTCTCTATATAGGACTGTCTTTCCGTATAAGTGTATGAGGAAATTGTCGATGCCAGTCAGCCTGGACTTTAAAATGAGCAAAAAGCTTCGGCTAGCTAGAATATTAAGGAATACTAGACATATTAGATATGCCAGCCATCCTATTCCGAACTTCTTATAGTTGGAAATATATTAACAAAAACATCCCCAATTTCTCAAAAGATAACCTGAATACATTGGGTTCTAAAAATGGTATTAAAAACGGGTATGCGAGCTGCTGCTGCAAGCCCGTTGAACGGGACCGGGTTGGCTACGCTTTGCGCATCTTCCATCTGTTGGTGTTGAGCGAATTCTGGAGATGAAAACCTCAAATAGAAGCTGAAAACCTCTTAACAATATTTGAATAAAATTAACAAATAACAAGTGTAGATCTGTAGACCAATCACATGACACACCAAAGCGGCGATCCTGCCATATCAGATGGCGCTAACCGGATTGGGCGCAACGGCTCATAATTTTTCGCGGCTTCTCGTCACCTACAAATCAGTGTCTTCCAGCATCTAGGAGCTGGTTCTTGTGAGGAGTTCGGCGTCACGAGGGAAGAATACTAAGCCTTTAGTTCTCTTCCATTCCAACCCCCCACAATGGCCCAAAACTTTGCCGCCTCGAAGAAGAGGCGTCGCGAGCCGGTCAACGTCGACACCAAGCTGGTCGAGATATATGAAGATCTCGCCAGCGAGAAGGACGAGATCCGATTGAAGTCCGCCCAGGCTCTGGTGTCGCAGTTCACGCCGGACAAGAACCCCACCGATGAGCAGATCCAGAAGGCCCTGCAGAGACTCTTCCGCGGTCTCTGCAGTAGCCGGAAAGCGGCTCGGATTGGCTTCTCGATCGCGTTGACCGAGATCCTCACGCAGGTTCTTGCAGCTCCCAGAGACTCGTCCGACATTACCGTAGCAAAGGTCATGTCGATTTGGGAGTCGCAGTCGAGTTCCTCGGGTAGTGAATCGGGACAGGTGTGTTCTCCCCTCTCCCCCAATGGAAAGCGTATGTCGGCGTACTGACTCTATCGACAGGAACAACGGGACCACCACTTCGGACGTCTCTTTGGCGCGGAAGCCATCATCAAGTCTTCTATTCTGTTCAAGCCCAAGGCGCCGTTCAGTGAGTGGACCAAGCTTTTGGACTTGGTCTTCGAGCTGTCCAAGAAGAAGCCATGGATCAGGGAAGAGTGCGGCTGGATCGTCTATCGCTGTATCTATGAACTTTCGACCCAGAAGGCAGATGCCAAGTTCGTGGAAACCGCCCTGGAACGGCTGTGCTCGAACGACCTGGCGAAGACGCCCGAGGGTGTCTCGATCTGGCTGGCAGCCAAGGAGCTGTTCCCGACTGTCAGCTTCCCCAGTAAAGTGTGGAAGCATGACGATCCGTTGGATGCGCGGGAGAGGAACAGCCTCGCCAAGGTCATGAAGGACTCTTCGTCTTCGGAGTCTGAGAATGGCGACAATGCCAACGCTACGAAATCCTCTGGGGTCTGGAACTCCAAGCTTCATTTTGCTTGGGAGGCGATTATTTCTAGATTCAGTGTTGCTCCTGCCAAGGAGAAGTCCAAGAGTAAAAGCTCTAGCTCGTCTCGTTTGAGTTTCATTGACTTCTGGACTGAAGTTGTCGACAGTGAGTTTGGTCCTCCCCACCCTACAATAAAGTGTTGGTCTAATACGTGTCTTTCCAGACGGACTCTTTGCTTCTGCTTCCTCGGAGGAACGCAAATACTGGGGATTCCTTCTTTTCAACAAGATCCTCAACGAGGGCCCCTTCCACCTGGCTTCCCAGGTTTTCACCAAGAACCTTGTCCGGTGCCTCACGAACCAGCTCGCCGTTGACGACCGCTATCTTCACAAGATGGCCGCCAAGTCGGCAAAGACGATCCAGACTCGTGTGGCGAAAGAACCCGAGTTCGCGGGCGCTTCTGTCGTCGGCTTGATGGGCTCAGCTGGGTCCGTGAACTTCGACCAGGTGACCAAGACGAAGACCGTGGAGAAGATCGTGGCCGAGGCCAACCTGGACGCACTGAAGCAGATCGTGCCTCTGTTCTCCAAGCTGATCGCCAGCCCCGGAACAGACGATGCTAAGGCCGCGGCCTCGACCCGCCAGATCCTGGCCGGCTTGCTCCTGGCTATCGTGAGGTCTCAGGCCTCGACGAGCGGTGATGCCCACGACGAGGTTGAGTCTGTGCTGGAGCACATCCTGTTCACATTTGTCCAGTTCGCCTACTTCACGGAGGGCGAGGAGAAGAAGGCTGCCGCGCAGCCCGCCCTCACTCAGCAGACGCAGGAGCTGTTCCGAAGCCGCATCACATCCTGTCTGAACAGTTTGATTGCCTCCCAGAAGCACGCAACAACCCTGCCGTACGCAGTGGTTCGCAAGATCCGCGATGCCGCCAAGTCCGGCGAGTTCGGCAAGTTCATCATCAACATGGACGAGACCCTGAATGAATCGGTGAAGACCGCATTCAAGTCTCTGAAGAAACTCTCCAACACGGTACGACCACAATTCCCCACCCTTCCCCATCAGTTCCTCATACTCATTCAAACAGGAGAAGCACAAGAACGCCGCCGGCGTCGACGCCTTCAAACTGCTCTACTCCATGACCATCCTGCAGGTCTACAACGGCGACGCCGACGCCGTGTCCATGCTGGACGAACTCGACTTCTGCTACACCAAGATCTTCGGCGACAAGAAGTCCAAGAAGGAAGAAGCCTCGGATGCGTCCGACGCGCTGGTGGAAATCCTGCTGAGTTTCGCGTCCAAGCCCTCCCAGCTGTTCCGCCGGATGAGCGAGCAGGTGTTCAATGCCTTCGCCCATCAGGTCACTGAGAATGGTCTGGAGTCTTTGATCTCTGTATGCCTATCCCATTTCCCATTTCCCATTTCCCCTCTTAGAGCTGTCGTCCTTTGTGATCTGCTGGTTTGCTCCTCAAAACTAACGTGTCTATCTAGATCCTCGAAGCAAAGGAAAGTCTCGCCGGTCAACAGGAAATGTTCGACCAGCAAGACGACGAAGAAGGCGACGAGGAGATGATGGACGTGGACGACGACGAGGAACACTCCCACTCCCACTCTGACGAAGAGGACAGCGACGTGGAAGTCGTCGATGCCGAGGGCTCCGACAACGAAGACTCCGACTCCGACTCCGACTCCTCCTCCGCCAACGGCGACGGCGGCGCCGACGACGCAGAGACCGCCGCCTTCGAAGCCAAACTCGCCGAAGCGCTAGGCACGCACCGCGGCGACGAGGACCTCAACGCGGAATCCTCCGAGTCGGACGCAGACATGAACGACGACGAAATGGAGCAAGTGGACTCGGCGCTGGTCAAAGTGTTCAAAGCGCGGCGCGACGCGCTCGGGCAGAAAAAGGACAAGAAAGACGCGCGCGAGAACATGATCAACTTCAAGAACCGCGTGCTGGACCTGCTCGAGATCTACGTCAAGAAATGCCACTCGAAGATCCTAGCCCTGGATCTCCTCCTGCCGCTGCTGCGTCTGACGCGCCGGTCGAGCGTCAAGCAGGTCTCGAACAAGGCGAACGCCGTGCTGCGCGAGTACACCAAGCTGTGCAAGGGCTCGGCGCTGCCGGCGATCGAGGACCCCGAGCCGGTCTGGGAGCTCCTGAAGTCCATCCATGCCGAGGCGACGCGCAGTGGGCCCCCGGCTCATGCGTCGGGATGCAGCCAGGCCAGCTTGCTGGTGGTGAAGGTGCTCGTGGCGCAGGACAAGGAGGCGGTTGCGGGCGTGGTGGATGTGTATGCGGCGACGCGCAAGGAGCAGCTTCTGAGCAAGAAGTGCCATGTTCAGCCGTCGTTGTTCACAGACTGGAATAACTGGTGCGTGTCGGCTAGCAAGCAGATGAAGAACTAGATGGGGTTTGAGGTGGTGGTTGATACAGTAGGGTAAAGCAGATTAATTGACAATATGTACGAATGGAAAACGCAGGACTATATAGACAGGTGAAATCTCGTAGCCACATAATCATCAACCCCCGGGCTAGGGACGTCATATACACAGTAAGTAAAAAGCTGTTCGCACCGTCTCCAACCAATCGACTTGTCTACAAAGCTAGAACCCCTTCACGTACCGATGATTCCTTGTCTCCTCCAACACCTCGAACTTCATCCCCACCTCAATGGCGCCTTCGTTGCGCGGTGCACTCAGCATGCCAAAGCACGGCTTATACGTAATGCCCTCGTCGATGCGACGATACTTCATCAGGGTATTCCACGGCTGCGTCTTATGCTTATCGGCCGTGTCCGGGTTCACATTCGGGACCTGGCAGCGGGCACAGCGCGCCACGACATCGATGACCAGGGACGACGAGGATGACGACGCACCGCTGATGCGGACGAGCTTCCACGAATCCTCCGTCCACGGGGTACTGCCTCTGATGATGATATTGGGCCGGAAGCGCTCGATGGTGATGGGGTCGGCGCCGGACTCCTGCAGACGGCCGTTCAGCTCCGCGATCGACGCCTCGGACGCGATCAGCACGGGGTGGACGTCGGGGAAGTTGGTGCTCTGGGTGCGGCCGAGGAGGCGCGGGTCGCCGTTCCCCTGGAGCACGCGCGGCGTGGGGCCCTTGTAGACGAGGCAGACGTCGCGGGCGAGGAAGGACGAGAACAGATCGTTGACGGCGGCCCCGTAGACGTGTCCGTCCGTCACGGTGTCCCAGATCTTGACCTGCGCGAGGGTGGTGTGCGCGGCGAGCCAGGACGGCGAGGGGTAGGCGGGGATGCGGACGGTGCCTTGGACGCCGGTGATGGAGAGGACGAGGGTGTCGGTGTCACCGTCAGCGTCGGGGCTGGTCTCGTCCGCCGTGTCCAAGGCCGTGTTGATGAGCGTCATTTGAGGGATCTGGCGGATGGTGAGGAATTCGTTGGTTTTGGCGTCGACGAACATCCAGCGCCGGTCGAGATCGAGGCCGTGCATACGCAGCTTGGTCTTCGTGAGCTCGATCCCGCGACATGATTTGATCGGGTAGACGCGCAGTGATACAACCTCACTGGGTGGCTGGCGGGATCCTCGGAGGCGTCGTAGAAGACTGGATGTGTTGGATAGCGCCGGGCCGGATGAGAACCGCGGGATGATGAGCACCGGGGCGGCGAGGAGCAGCAGCAAGATGACTGCCGAGACGGGAGAGATGGAGTCAAGCATGGTGAATGAGGGGGATCTCTTTGAGAGATGAGATGCTCTGGTTCTGGATCCAAACAATCGATGAAAATTAGAAAGCAAGCGTCATTCTGCCAGCACTTACCGCCCTGTTATCGGACGGAATGATGAAGTCATGGATCGGAGTCTAGGGATGGGCTGGCATTTCGGGTCCTTTTGGATGTTTGATGATGCTGCTGTGAGTCCAGTCTGTCCAATTTCATGCGTCATATGAGCCCCGCCTCCCGGCCTATCAACTGTTCAAAATATACTAGTCCAAAAAGCAATACTAAAGGCATAAATCACGCTACTAGAATGCAATGCCCGATCCACTTGCTCCATAGATCAACGCCCTGAATCCCATGTGCTTCATTAAATCTTCCGATCAGTCCAGTATGTAACCAAACTCTTGATCAAGGCAATTGCCGCTTCCTTTCCTTCTTGAATGGCATCATCACCGCAAGCCCCCGGGACGTGAAAGAAAACCACATTCCGATCATGACCTTCCCGGTAAGCGTGAGACAAGCTGGTGTAGTAGATGAACTCGCACAGATAACGTCCCGCGTCATCCGAAATGCGAAGGTCGGTTCCCGCAGGAGCGAAGGATTTCCATAGCCCGAGAAGCTCATCGTTGGGCGGACAAGGAGTCAAGGAAGAACGCAGTGCCTGGAGGGAATCCTCTGTGGTAGATTGTACATTTGAGTCTGCGGAGGTCGGTTTGAGATCAGTGGCACGCCCGGCTTGCAGCACTGCCGGCAAGCCCAATTCGCGCCACAGTTTTTCACCATCTTCGTAGCCACCTTTGCCTTTGATATCGGACATGTGGTAGGCGTCCCGCCGAGCCTGCGTCTCCACCGAGTAGAAGTTCCTCATAGCGGCTATGCCCATATGCATCACTATGTCTGGCCGACGACCCCCGTGGTTCTTGGCGAAGTCCTCGAGGATAACCGGGATGGACTCGCGCACCGTTGAATAGGCCACGGGAATCGGGGAGGGATGAGTATGGATAGATACTCTCCGAGATACGGATCCCGATGCATCCGTAGTAGGCAAGTCAATCGACGGTGGCAGGGATGACGCGATTAGGTACGAAGCGTTGACGAGGTTCGTTTTAAATGGCTAATCGTCTCAGTCAGGCGGAGGCGTGCTTAACCATGAAGTTCAACCACTTACCCCAAAGCCGGTCACCAGGACCGATATCTCATCGGGTTCCGCGGCAAACCGAGGAGGATTTGCCGGGACTTGTGTCTTAGACAATGACACGTCTGGCCCGTAGTCTCCCATCTCTAACAAGTGAGTTTATCCAGTCGGTGGCGGATATATCGGATGGGATGGAAGCATGGGATGAAGACCGGAATCTGATACAGCCTCCAGTCCCGAGGAAGGAGAGAATGGAATAGATAGTCGAGAAGTGGAGAAGTGGAGAAGGGAGAAAGAGAGAGAGAGAGAGAGAGAGAGAGAGAAAGCAGAAGAAAATGGTCGATCCCCCGCATTCCAAATGCGGGGCTTGGCGTCACGGGAGTTTGCTTCAAGGTTGTTTGTTTCATTTCGCTTCGATTCCACTTCTCCTCGGGCATCGCTTGACGCGGAGCAGCATCCAGGCATGCTGGACAGCAGACAGACTGATCTGGCTCCATTCAGGTATGGCTCTCGCTTTCCTGCCCCTCACGGTTCACTCTCCATCTGGTCAATCGTCTGGATGGCGACTAAGCGAAGTATATATTTTAGTCCACGGTACTCCAAAGTGTCGGCTGCTGCGAGTCTCTACCACGCCAATCCAATCCAATTGCAGCCTGGACCAGAGTACCACCGATAGCCAGAGGCAAGGAGGGCTTATCATGCATTCAATAGGTAAATGCTCATGTCGGGATTCGCCGCAAGGAGACCCACTGTGATTCAAAGTGGCTCTCCGGCTCCGATCTATACTCTATCGGTCAGGACCACAGCCTCCTTACTCCTGGGCGGCCTGGAGCAAATCCAATCCGCCGAATCACATTGGTAGCACTAGAAAGATCCAAACGCTTGATCGAACGGTTTTTCATATACATGCGATATGTCCAAACATTCTCAAACGTCTGGTAGCCCAAACCGCTGCATCCTGTGTACAGGAGGCAAGCGTGGAAGCGTTCTGGCCCGACGTTTCCAGAAAACAGGTGGAATCTTAGCGGTAGAATCCATTTCACAAGCCATCGAGGATCGTCGTACGACGCGGTGTGGAGCTGCTCGGTTAGAGCCCATCTGGGGATCTCCTCGGCCAGGTCCAATCGGATGGCACTCGGCACCGCCCAGCCTGGATCGTTACATGGTTTGGGGATGAGGTTGATACTTAGACCTTGAACTACATTTATGGGCCCTGGGGAGGCCAATCGCCCTGTAGTGTTTGTCTGAGGGGAAGAGGCAGATACTGATGAAGGATCGTCCGTCGACCACCGGTGCAGATCCTTTCATTCGACCCAGACCGCCGTATTCTGCGTATTCAATGCAGATGCCGCATCGAACGTATCCATCTCTTCGCGACCCCCCTTTTCGGCATCATTCCGCAGCTCGGAGACAGTGAATGCTGATATTCCTAATGGCTGCCTGGTTGCGAGCCGGGGATTTCCAGGAAATGCATCGGCCACTTTGCGATATCGCTGTCACTCTGTCGCGTCGCTATCGGAACTTTCAACCTTCTCCCTACCTCCACAATTTGACTTCCTATGTATTTCATTTAGCTCCCCTCACTTCCCCTCAACCTGCGCAACCTTTTCCACTGCTCTTCTCTCTTGATGTCTATCAGTTCCCTCGACGCCTCCGACTTATCTTACTACTATGGCTGCCATCGTTGACTCTCTCGACACCCAGTCACTGATCAAAGCTACTGCTTTGGTCTTGGCCCTGCTCTTCGTGTCTCATTTTTTCCATGTACTCGCGGACGGTTTCCCCTACTGGCATATACCCCTCGTGGGACGCAGTCGATGGGAACTCTCCAACACTAAAGCCAAAGCGCGCTTCCTCGAATCGGCAAAAGAACTCATCAGCGAGGGTTTTCGTGAGGTATGTGGCGGCATAATACCCGAGGGTTCTCCTGCTGGGCCCAGGAAAGCCATCTGGGTCGGCTAATGGTTGATGTATAGGGGAGAAAAGTCTTCCAACTCACGTTTACCCACGATACAGTAATTGTATTGCACCCCTGTTTCATCGATGAGATCAAGAACAATTCCAATCTTAGCTTTTCGCTGGTCACCAAGAAGGTATCATAGTGTCTGAAGAGTTGCTTCATTTGTGCAGACAGTTGACTATGGTCTAGTTGTTCTTTGGAGAGAAAATCTCTGGCTTCGAGCCCTTTGGAGGGGGGAATGAGAAATATGATGTGGTTCGTGAAGTCATCAACAAGAAGCTAACATATCAAGTTCTCGGTCAGTTGACCTGCCCTCACCTCGCAATACGCTCATCTAACTTGCCTTGTCTGTAGGAAAACTCGTTTTACCTCTTTCAAGAGAGACCGCCTTTGAATTGAAGGAATCGTTTCCCGAGTCTGATGGTATGTCGCTTCCCTGCGCAAAAATCGATACAATGCCTAACGGATGTTGCGGTCTGAATAGACTGGCAAGAGGTCACCTTTGGATTCAAACTCCCATACATCATTTCTCGCCTCTCTTCGCTTGTTTTCATGGGTGACGCGATCTGCCGCGACAAGAATTGGCAGAACGTATCGGTGAATTATGCCATCGACGCTTTCCAAGCCGCCCGTACCCTGCGATACTGGCCGGCCATCCTCCGCCCAGTGGTGCACTGGTTCTTACCCTGCATGCAGAAGATCCGGAGGCACGTCTCGGCGGCCTCAAGCATCATCAAACAGGAGATTGACAGAAGAGATATGATTCGAGACGGCAAGCTACCGGCCGGTCCTCCGAGAACCCACGAGGATGCGCTGGACTGGCTACCAGAGGTTGCGCGTGGCCGACCTTTCAGCTTCATGCGCTCTCAAATTGGATTGAGTCTAGCTTCCATTCACACAACGTCAAAATTTGTGCTGAACGTTCTCTACGACCTGATCACGTATTCCGAAAACCTCCCGCATCTCAGGGACGAAATCAAGGCCGTCGTGGAAGAGGATGGGATCCTGACGAAAAGTAGCCTCATGAAGTTGAAGAAACTGGACAGCTTTATGAAAGAATCCCAGCGACTGAGTCCCTTGAGTCTCTGTATGTCAGCCCCCACCCCTAACTTCACATTCTCGTCGCTAACATCGCACCAATCCAGCCGTCCTCAACCGCGTTGCCACCGAAGACGTCCACCTATCCGACGGAACCCTCATTCCTAAAGGGGCCACTATCACCGTCTCCACGCACTCCATGCAAGACGAGGCCGTGTACCCAAACGCAAAGACCTTCGACGGTCTCCGCTTCTGGAAAATGCGACAAATCCCCGGCAACGAGACACGGTACCAATTGGCATCGACGAGCGCAGAGCATTACGGCTTCGGACATGGCATGCATGCCTGCACGGGGCGATTCTTCGCCACGACCGAGATCAAAATTCTCCTCGTGCACCTCCTTATGAAGTACGACTGGAAATTCGCCGACCAGACAGACCGACCTAAACCGATCGTACGCGGGATGGAGGTCATTTGCGACCCGAGGGTTAAGGTGCTGTATCGGGCCCGTGAGCCGGAGATCGATCTCAGAAAGCTGGGTGAAGAGTTCGAGTCATCGGACGGTTCTTGCTCCAGTGGTGGAAGTTTTGATATCGTGGAGTGAGAATCGTCTTCATTGCCTAGTGCTCAGAGCTCACAGGTACCAGGTGCCATGTGATGACCTCATGATTTCTTCTGTCTGTTCTTTCAAATTCTTTGTATCTGTTATCAGATCCCTGGGTGGAAGCGTATCTAGCTTTTGCAATTTCTGCTACCTGGTTATTACCTATTCTGCGAGCAAGTACTGAGTACTGGGTTTTCTATCCAGGCCCTGCCTCTATAGCTAAAGGTATTACGCGACAAGGAACTCACCGAGTGATATGTCATTTATTTATTGATTTATTTGGTTAATAAACGCCTGACCACAAGAACTTTCCTAGTAAGCCGGAATAATTTGCGTATGTGAAATTTCTTTCCAGCTGCTCGAACCTACATGTACATGCATCTTATCACATATACCAGGTCCGCTGGCAATCTGGCAGATGCTCGCCTAACAGAAGACCGTCATCTCTAACATGACATAGCGTCTCGGATGAAGCTCGTCCTAGATACGCTCTGGGAGGAGTCACACACGAGGTAGTAAACGACAGACATGTGGCGGTCAACTACCCGGGTAGCGTTTCGAGATCCGTTAGGAAATCCCACCTTTCCGTTGTTAGTTTGGAGACAAGTTAACTGAAACTCCTCACCTGTTCCACTATCCCGCTCTATATCAGTAAAACCACGGACCGGTGGTGGCAGGAAACGCGGACCCGGGGAACCCGAGCAGCTCAGTTCGCTGCTTTTGCTCGAGAAGTTACGGAGATGATCGGAGCGATGTTCGAACAAGTCATGGACTATAACAATGACGGGATGACGCTCATTCGACACCAGGCACTTGAGTAGGATAGCTGTCCCGAGAAGAGGCGCTAGCTCCCTGGTGGAACAGAGTGCGCAGGCTATCGATCCTCGCATTCCCACTCAGGAGGTAACGGAACAACCGTGTCAGAGCACGCATAGCGTCATTCCAGTCGTCCTTTGAGCTCAGGTCATAGCCGCGCGTGAACTTCAGCTGAAAAACGTCCTCCTCGGAGCAGCCATTCGAATGCACCCGTGAGATCATATCCCCGGAGAAGGAACCTCGAGCGACAAAAACGCACGAGCCATAATACCCGACGACAAAGGCGTCCTGGTCCTGGAAAGGAACACTCAAATTCGCAGCAAGCTGTCCTAGCATGATATTAAGAGTCTCGGCGAGGAAATTGTTCCAAGATTGCCCTTCGAACCACTAGAAATTGTTAAGAACATAGTCCATTGATATAATATTATGAAGGAAAAATAAAATAAAGTAGATAGACATACTCCCGCATAAGAGATTATTGGCGTACCTGGGTGTGAGCCGACGACCGCTGCACCTTCCGACTGGGCGGAATATCTTTTGCTCCCAATCACATATCTCAGCTTGGGCCTAGATGCAGGAAAACTACCCGGCTGTGAATTAACTACTAGAAGGGTAAGTGAAGAAGGACGGGACACTTACTGAACAATAGGTGCTATTTCCGAGATGTCCCCAAGACTATCATAGACAATCTCCAACAAAGTGGCCAGCAACATACCCTGGGACCTGATAGGACGCGCGCGCGCGACTGTTCGAGATTTGGAGGGGATGCGAACTGTTTCCTGCGCACCAAGATCCCCTGCTAGTGTAATCTGCGTGGCGGGGCCTAATTGAGAACGATAGGAACTGAAATGGTAGAAGAATGGTCTGAAAATATGGTCATCTTGTGGCCAGTGTCTCGTGCAAGTTTCGCTGGCAGTGTCTGAGTGCTGGAAAACCCAGGGAAGTAGCTTCTTTATGTCCTGGTCTTTGGCACGTTAGCCTGAATCATTGCGTCGCGGGAAGAGAGGGCCCTATCTCCTACATGCCTTCGCAATCGCTGGTCTCAATCCTCGGTATGATCTCATCAAGACCAACGATCTGGGAGTAGATAGTTGCCGACATTATGCGAGCAGTTGGTGATGATGGGAAGGAAAGCGTAAGCACGGAGATCCATTGGGGGACAGTTCACGCATCACAACGATCACGTGTTACAAGGGCAAAGTTGATCTATTTGGCTACCTGCTTTGTGAGAGCAGCGTGCATGATGGCATCCTTGTCGGTTGCTTTGGGGTTAATCCGAGAGTAATCTCGGATGGTTCTAGAGTACGTACTAGCCCCTTGATAGGACATAAATCATTATATGTAGTAGATGGAACTACAGGTGTCCTGCCAATGGGTTACAAAATGGAGCACGGAGCCCCTTCAATGTATACCTCCTCGGGCACCGAGGATGTGGGCACCACCACGTCCAGCAACAGAGGGAGGACCGAGCATGGACCACTGCATGCATCTGCATCTATCCCATTCCAAACGTACCTGTGCATTTGCAGCTTATAAAAGCAAGGGAGCGGAGTAGCAGGATTTGGTTGGGGTGGGATGGACACTCATAGGGCCAACGGCTTGGATTTCGTGTTGTTTCGCGTTTGTTTTGATCGAGGACATGCCACAAAGACAGAAGTAAGACCGACGGTGGTACCGTGTCCCGGTGTCTTCCTCCGTCGTCGGGGTCGGTGTCCACAATCGAATATGGCTATGCTGCATTTCGATAGACTAGTAAAATTAAACCACACCAAAGAAAAGATCTCGGGTGCTGGGCCCAGCGTGGTGGGACGATTCCACTATAAACCAGGAATTCCTGTATACTCCGTTGACGGGCTGGTTAGCAAGACCCGACGGAAGTAGCACGGAGTCCAGAGAGGTTGTTGGGAGGATATTATTAGAAGCTGATGCCATACTGGCGGTGGGCAAGCTCCATCCGAGTCCCCAGCGAGAAAAATAGGAGGATGGGTTCCTGCATAGACCCAGACGGAGTCCCGAACGAGGTGATTACCGAAGAGGGCAAGGCCTTAGTGCCTTAGTCCAGGAACCGCGTATCGGAAGACGAGTAGCACGGACCCTGACTGGCGAGATCGCGCCCGCAAACGGTATCATTACCTACACGCGCGCAGACGCGTTGAGACGCGTCCCACGCGACCAACCCCACTTTGACGCGACGGAAAAAAGACCGGGGTGGCCTGAGTCCTGAGGCACATCTTTGAGCTTGGACGATGAAAGAAGTCAATGTCAATCCAATCCCGACACAAAGTCTTTCACCCGATCCTTGGATCCTCTCGCACTTCTTATTTTGACGTCCGCACATGCCCGCCAGATGTCTGCCAACTGTCAACCGTCAACTGTCCCATCTGGTCCATGCCTCCGCCGTCCAGGAAGACCGCCTTGTCAGCCAGCGAGGCGGTTAGTCGCGTCTGCCCATCGTTACGGCCAGTCCGTGGTCGCACTAATGCACGCCCCGTCCATCTTGGTTCGTCCGTGACTTGGTGCGGAGCCCTTCTGCAGGAGACTGGAGTTCTTCGAAAAATCGAATCCTTTTTTCTGTCTCCTTCCAAGCGAAATTCACTTTTCCCTTTTTTTTTTTTTTTTTTTTTTTCCTCGGGCATTGGACGGCTCAACTACTGGCGTGACCCCGTCGAATATTTCCCAGCCCCCGACATTAATTGATCACCCGATTCCCCAAGGTCAACCGACTCTAGGTCATGGAATACCTTTGCACGAGCCCATGTAGATCACCGGACGCCGTGCACAATTGGGGGAGATGAGATGTGATGAACTGATGATCAGATACCGATGAGCACCTCCTCTGGTCGGCTCTCAACAGATTTCTGGTCGAATGAGAAAAATCACTGGGAACGAAAGAACAACCGCCGGATATTCCACGCTCTCTGACTGGACGGGGGTGAACCAACCTGGGTCGAGGAATAAAAAAACAAAAATTACTCTGCCCATTGAGAGTCGATTCGCTAGCGGTCTGCAGTGCATCCTTCTCGCGCACCCTTGCGGCAGGTGGAAGCAAGCAGCTTTGCGAAGTACTACTAGTAATTTTTTTTTTCCCTTTTCTCTTTTATGAAAGTGGAACCCAGGACGTGCAGCGGTACTCGAGGTCGTAAATGACCCCATAAGGCCCGATGCCATTTGTCGACGGCCTTTCTAGCATTGCAGAGGCCATCGTTGGGCGGCGCAGTGAGGCGGTTGAACGTCGCCCATAAACGATTTACCAGCCTCCGGGATTAATTAGACTCGACTGAACAACCTGTTCTTTCTCTCTGGATTAGTGGAGTCGACACGCTGTTTTTAGAACACGGGAGGGAAGAAAAAAAAGAAGAAAAAAAAGGGGAGAGGGCAGAGGTTCACGCGGACGTTGACTAGTCGTCCAGCAGCCATTCTCCGCATTCCACGGCGGACTTCCTGTGATCTGGATGTATTTTTCTGAATTTTCGTCCCCTGCGGCATCCCCATCGGGAGATGCTGGTCTTTTATGACCGATGCTCGTCGGGCCTGCGGACAGCCGTGAGTTGGACTCGAATGCGCCCTACCGCATACTGACCATCTCATCTCATCTCATCAAACCCTGAGGCGGTGGAGCCCCCAAAGTTCGGCGGCTGGCCTGAGCAGTTAGGCTCGTCCCTTCCCCTCTTGGGCGATCTCCTTGCGTCTCTTCGCCTTCGCTTCCTTCCCGCCGGCTCTCTCTTCCTCTCTTCTCCCTCCCGACCCTTCCCTTGTTTTCCTTTTCCCCCCTTCCCCCTTCACCCTCCTCGTGCACGGCCACCGTCGCTATCTCGCGCGTGGCTCGTAGATTTCCGTCTTTTATTGTTTTCCTTTTCTTTTGTGTTGGTCTGGCGTTTTGTGTGCCAATGCCCGGCTCCCGTCTATAGTTGCTCTCCGCGGGTCCCCTTCGATGTGATCGCGAATTCACTTTGCGCATCGCATCGCCCTTCACGCAGAACCGGTCGCTGACCTTTCCGACCACTCACACCTTGACGAGTTCATTTCCTTTTTGTCGTTGTCTTCTCTTTTCTTTTCCTTTTTGTTTTAGGAGCTTACGATTTTACGACATCCCTGTTACGCGCCCGGTTGATTCGGTCTCACCTCGATCGAAGACGCCTTGCACCCTTGACGAACCAAGAAATAACCCAAAAACAGATTCATTTGCTCTTTCGACTCGGCTTCTCCACTCACCACTCGCCTGCTCGCCGTTACGGGAATCCGGTTACGCTTTCAATTGAGGCTAGACGACAAGTGGTGCCATCGAGGAATCAATTCCGCAAAGCCTAGGATTGGACTGATTGTTACTTCGGAACCGCGCAAGAATTTCGACAAGCGAAATGTTACTGGTATAGAGGCTCTCGAATAACCTGTTACGCAACCGACTCCCTTAGATACCCTGGACGTCGCTTGCGGATTTGACCTTCTTGCTCCGGTGGCCCCCACGATCCGAACTACAACCATGGCGTTTCGACAGCAAGGTCTCTCGCGCACCCTGCCGAAGAACTTCACCTTTCCTTCGGCAAATATGGAGGAACCTAGAACCCCCGAACGCGCCTCGACCTTCCTGGACGTTCCGCCTCCCCCTCCTCGCCATTCTAGTTGTCGCTTGCGCAGGTCCCGCGTGCGCTCGGGGACCGACGTCTTTGCGCAGGCCGAGTATGATCTCAAAACCTCTTCCTCTAGCCGACCCGATATCCCGTTACCCTCTATTGAATTTCCGCCCGGCGACGCTTCAATGGCTCAGCCACCTTTGGTGATGCCCGCCAGCAATGACCGCTTTCTAGCGCCCCCGCGGGATCGTGTGGCCTTGAAAACCCCACCGGCCCAGATCCGCGCCGATCCCATCGAGCCGAATTCCGCGGAGCCATGGACCACCGACGACCCCCAGCTGTTGGGGGGAGCGATAGAACGCCCCGGCTCCGCCTGTTCGCATGCCTCGGACTCCTCGGTCTCGTCAATTGAAACGTTCGCTTCGCGGCGTTCGGTGGGCGGAAGCTGCACAAGTATGGAAAGTGACTCATACGATCCATTTTTCCACTTTGAGCTCCACCCGAAGCCGGTTGAAGAATCGCCGTTGCCGAAAAGTCAGCGCAACAAGTCGCGGGCGTTACCGAGAAAAGAACGGTGGACATTGGACATGGACAACCACCTTTGGAACACCTATCAACTATACCTTCAGAACCCGACAATTACCCCGTTTAAGATGACCCCGGGGAGCATCCCGCCATTAGGAGTGACTCATCGAGTCGCGCGCGATGCGAAGAAGACCTGGGAAAAAAGACCTCTTCTCTTCAGCAAGGATTTTATATCGACCGCGCAACAATCTCGTAGTGGGGACTCTACACCGACTCAGAAGGCGGACCCCTCGAGGCCACTCTGGCCGAAGTCGGAAGCCTCAACTAGGCGGAGATTGAAACTCCTATGCAAGAGAAAGTTCTCCATCGCCCCTCATTATCAAAGAATGATGCAATCTAAGAGCCCGACGCCTGCGCTGGACTTGTTCTCGCATCCATCTGGCGAGCCATCGCACGCCGAGGCTTCGGGAAGTAATTCGACGGCCTACGCCACCCGCGACTTGGGTGTGTCTCTCGTTTCCAGCTCAGTTCCCGGGCCCCTCGCCCAACTGGCCACGGAGACGGTTTCACCTCCAGAGACGAACAACGAGTGGTTCAATAACCCCGTCTCTCACGAACCCCCTCGCGCGACAGACCCTTTTGTCAACAAGCCCTTCAGTTTCGACGAACGGGATGTGGCGCCGCCTCGTCTTGGGTCGCCGTTCACGTATCATACGTGGGGTCCTCATAATTCGAGAAAGCGAGCCAGTCGCCACACCCCGCGAGTTAGACGCGAGACGATCCACGTTACCGGATCACGACTGCAGTCACCACCGCGCATGGATATGTTCTCTGGTATCAATCGCCGCCAGGAAAACACCGTCGAGTCGCCCCAGGAACAAGACACACGGCGTCATGTGGAAGAACTGTTCCGCCAGGGCAAGCTGAGCGATGGTGGCCAGCGTCGCGTGCGAATCAGAAACCGTGGGGCCACAACCAGCTCCGTCAGCTCCAAGGGCCTCGACCAGCTATTTTCTCCCCCGTCATCTTCATCGAGAAACGAGGAAACGTACGACATGGCGAAGCCCGTTGCCGAACCCCTGCGGAACCTGACCGGGGAAAGCATAAAACGACTCGGCTCGCCATTCAAAGTGGAGACCTTCAAACGCTCCGGGCCGATTGCCAGATTTGTGAGACACGCACCCTCACGCTCGGAGCCATTCTCCCGCGAATTGTTGTCTCAGATTCGACCGGCAACCCCGGACGCTCGGCTCATGCCTCAGGGAATGCCGAATGCACTCCCGCATGATCCCACCGAGCAAGGCATATCTGATGCAGAGCGGATCCGGAGACAAATATTGAACCTGTCCCACTCGAGACAATGATCGGAAGTGGCTCAAAAAGCAAAGAGCAGATCGGGTCTTGCATCGATAAATCTGTTTTCGACATGGTGATCGACTTCCCTTTGGATTACCTTGCTTAATGACCTGGACGAATAAACTGCATCCTTGGTTTTCAAACCAACCAGGGAACATAATGACCGAAATGGTTTTGATGACATTGATGATATACAAGAAAACGAAAAGAACAAAAATATACACGGCAAAGACAACACAACGACCTTAAGGAGGGTTTCTCTCGAAGAAATGCTTCCCCTCAAAAAACTACGAAAAAAGAACAAAAAAAATCCTTTGACGATCTTGCATTCGCAAACCTCGCCATTGTACCACTCTTCAACTACCTGGATATTGTACAACATTGTACATGTATACGCCAGTGTGGTTTGGGTATCAATCTGAGTCGACAGAATCTCGCTCTTGATTTTCCTTTTCTCTTTCTGACATTCTTCCAACTTTTACTCTCTCTTTTCTCTCTCCTCTCTTACCCAACAAGCAATATTGCGCATCGATCAGTCTTGAAACAACCTACGGAATGACGCGCAGTGACAATTTCGCCTGTGCCAGACCGGTCTGGTCGATACTGAACTATCCATGTCTTAACTGATCTCCAGTCTAGACGACATCTCTCGAATTTCTTTTCCTTTTTTCTACAAACCGAATCCTTGTCACTCTTTGAAACAAACCATCCATCATCGACAGAATATTTCCGACCCAGAGGACGAACGAATCAAAAAACTGGAAAAAAAAATAACAAAAAGTCCAGGGTCATCACTATCTTTTGAAAATTTTCTCATCTCTTTCTACTTTGAAATACTCCCAGTTGGAACCCGCTCCCTCAATACCCAGATCATCATATCGTTGTTTTGTCTTATGATGAGCCATGTTTGCGATCTTTTGTCTTTTTCAGCATGCATGATGATTGGAATGGAGAGATGCCGGTATTGAATGAAATGACTCATAGATGAAATGTTCATGATGCTGCTCAGCAACGTTTACGAAAGCGTTTCTTGTCTTTGCAGCGCTCAGTCCCAGTCTGATTTTACCTGAATGATTGTTTTTCACTTATCTCATGTCTTGCATCAGTCGGACGTTTTGATTCTTCTATTTCCTTCTTTCTCTAAACTGCCATACTGCAATTTAACTCAGATGTCAATCTTTCCCCATTGCTTTCCCCTCCATGGGAGTGTCTTTTTCTACAAGAATACACTATTAGCTTCTCAGATTTCATCCTCTGATTGGGTCAATTTTGCCTCTTAGATGAACTTTACCAGACCTAATCGGACTCGTGAACTAAATCTAACATTGATGACGTATATGATCTGATGATAGTTTAATGTCTTGCCACGGACAGAACTTGATCGTAAATTCTACCTTCGAGTTTGAATTAACTCACGCTTTCAGGGCCCACTTTATAGTGAATTGTACATTGTTTGGAGAGTCATTTACGAAAAATTGACCTGAAATTCCCAATGAAGGAATGATAGAATAGAACAAAATTTGATATGATATGGTACGAGAAGATACAGAAGAGAGATACATCAAGAAAATATACCAGCGGCAATCAATATCGCACGCAGATTTCATCGCCCAAGAAACGCCAACGCTGCAGAGGGCCCAACCAACCAAACCAAGAAAGGAAGAACGACGAGGGGGGTATTACATAGGTAGTGAGATGTGTATCGTGATGCGTCGTGAAAGACAAAAGGGGGATGAGAATGGGTATGTAATGTATGTATGTAGAAAGTCAGAGAAGAGAAAGAAGAATGAAAAGAAAATGAGAAGAAAATCAAGACTTCTCCATCCTCTTCTTCCGCTCGGAGAAGATAGCCTCTAACTTCCGGATCTGTAGACCGAGACTCTTCTTCTCGGCGTTGGCAAAGAGCCACGCCTCCATTCGCTCGCGAAGATAGCGCATAGAGTTGAGAACGGGAAGGATGGGCGAAGGCTGGGGAAGGGCGTTCTCGTCCGAGATTGGAGCATTGATGGGATCGCTGTTGGTTTCCATCTGAGTCCAGCGCTCGGAGCCAGGGTTCAGAAGGAGGTCGAAGACGTCGTTCCAGATCTCTCGCTCCCAGTATCGTTTCAGGGACTCGCGGATGCGGTAGGTTTTGGCGCCGGCCGCAGGGGCAGCACCATCGCTCTTCCGACCGAGAGTCGACTCGAGGTATTTTCCGAAGAGCATGACGTGAACGGTACCGGCGACGCCGTACAGATCGATTTGGTGAGTCCAGGGCCGCCCCTCGCGGATCTCGTTGCATTCATGCTTGCCGGTCTCCCATTCTGCGATGAACTGGACGGAGGACTGGAAGGCGCGCATGTCGATTCCACGGCCGAAGTCGATAAGAGAAAGGCCCTTGTTCCGCCAGCCGTACAAGCCGCGAGGAGAGTAGTGCGCTTCGCGGGGATCAGAGTAGTCTTCGCCGTCGCCAAAATCAATAAGGGAGGCAGATGGCGCGGTCGGTTTATCCTCGAGTCGGACCAGACAATTGTCGGCCTTGATATCTCCATGCAGAATGCCACAGGCGTGAAGGGACTCGACGGTTCGGAACAGTTCCACCGTGAAGAACATGGCAAGCGCCTCGTCGAGACCGCCATCGGCGGTGGTGTTGGCTGTGAGTGGCTCGTTGCGAACGAGGTTGACAAGATCCAGCAAGGTTCCTTGACAGCGGTAATCTTCAACCAGTATACTCTCGCCCTTGAAGACATGAAGCTCATGGGCACGGATGATACTTTCAGCAGCTCGCGACAGCTCGGGTTTCTGGTTCAAGCGATCGTGTGCACACCGAATCATGTAGAACTCCCAAGGGTTTGGGGGCCCGACTTCCAATTTGATGGCCTCGAAGCCATAGCGAGACGCATTTCGCTTGGTCGATTTGCCACCGTTTGTGAGATGCGAATCCCCGGTATCCTCGTCCATTTGTTCGCTCTCCGAATCAGAAGACAGGTTGTCGATGCTTTCAGCAAAGTAGACCGGGGCATAGGCGCCGGCACCAAGTTCTCGCCTGATGAGGTAGCTTCTGTCTGCCTCGGGAAGGTCGAGAATTGGCACATCGAATGATGCTTCATCGCCGCTCCTAGGGCGCTTTACATGGGTCTTCATGAACTTTTGAATATCAGAAGCATAGTGTGTCTCCATATCAGGGAAGTGATGGAACCCGGCAAAGGAAGCAGAAACGGGGTTCAAAGAATGGTTGAGAATAATGTCACGAATGTTCTTGTTGGTGGGGTTGCACTTGACATCTGGGATGATCGGAGACTGCTGGCTTTTGTCGCTCAATCGAAAGGAAAGCTTGAGTCCGGATTGCGTCTTTTTGAGAGCCGTTGGACTCAAGGTCGCGTCTTCAGGCAGATTCTCGAGGTAGGGTGTCTCGGCGACGAGGGGAGTAGCCAGGAGATCGATCTGGGGCATGTGAGGTGTCTTGTCGACGGGGTGCGTGGGCTTCGACGGGGTCTTCGCATTGTAAAGGTGTGCTCTGGCCGCTGTCATCGAGGCAAACGAATGCTCGGTCTGCTCCACAATGGGCGTCATGAAGGGCAGGCGATTCTGGGCCATGATCGCAGGATCTCGATACGGTCCGTAGGGAGGGTTGTAGTCGTCAGGCATTTGGGGAACAAATCGCCCATCGCTGGTCTCGTCATCAGAGTATACTTCACCCTCTCCTTGTTCCTCATATGCCGCTGGTGAATTGATCGAAGTGGCAGTCTTCGAATCGACAGGGTCCAAGTCGTGAATATCCTTCGTAGGAGAGAACTGGGTCCATTCACCATCCACTACGCTCTCAGCTCTTGTATTGTCATCGAAGCCATCGCCGTCGCCGTCGAAAGATCTATGGAACGTGTCGTCGCCAAAATCGCTCGAAGCAGCAGAGATTCTTCCAGTCACTGTGCTTTCACCGGCACTCGTATAGTCGTCGTCCTCGAAATCGCTGCTTTCGGCTACTTCGGTCTCTGCCTTGAGCGGCTGATTGAAAATGCTGTAGATCTCATCTGTGGCGGCACGAGTGTGCATAGTCATGGTTGGTTCATGTGTGCTCTTTCGTCGGATTTTACCCCCAGTAGGTGAGTCAAACTTCATTTTGACTGTGCGCTAGTTAGAAGTGAATACAAAGGGTGCTTCAGAGTGCGTGCCTCTTTTCATAGGCAGCCACAAAGGGATACACCCGGGAACAAGGCATTTTGCTTTGATGATGAAACAAAGAACAAAGGCAGGGACAGGGGAGGGGAGAGTCGTGCCATTGTTACTCACCGGTTTGTGTTTCTCCTCGAACCTCGCGAAGTTTCAATTTCCGCGACTTGCTAGACTTGCCATCGTCGGCAGCCTGTGGCTGAGAAGACTCTGGATCCTTGACAGTCAATTTACGGTTAAACTCTTCAGGCAGCTCCCTCTCTTGATCAATCATGTTCTCGTTGCCGGATATCTGCTTCAGGGGTTCTTTGTGCGAGCGCCAGTCCTTATCCAACCAACCCCGTTTCATGGCTCTCAGCTCTTCAAAGCTGACCTCGACACTGGCGTTCGAGTAGTCGGGGTAAACGGCATCCAGATTGACAAAGACACGCTCCCGTCTTCCTGTACGTGGGTTTATAGCCTCCCTTACACGGTGCTCTGGAATATGCTTCGGTTGCACGGGTTCTTTGTTTTGTAAACTCGAGTTTGACTGAATACATAAAATCGTAACCAAAAACAGGTTCATGTCACCAATTAGTCCTGTGATCGTAAATATAAGGAATTCAGAAAAAGGGACAGCAGGTGGAATGCCCGTGTGAACTTACCTCATCCCTGAAAATCGCCATCTTCTGCGCTGGCGCTGCCTTCTTTCCAGCCTTGAGGGTCTCTCCAGCCCACGGCTTCGCCTCTACCTTATTCTCCTTCCGTCGATCACCCAATGACCCAATACTCTCCCACCCCTTGGTCGGCGCGGACACTGCGGGCTGACTTGCCGACGAGTCTGTATCGGAAAAGATCGCCATCTTCTGTTTGCCGGACTTCGACTTCGTGGGGCCCGCGGCGGCGGGGGATGGTTGCTGTGCTTGCGGATCGCTCGCCGCTGGCGCGGCCACAGAGAACGGATCCACCTTGGCAGCCAAAGCCGGGCGCACCGCCGGCAGTGCAGGGGAGGAAGGGCCGTCGTCGTGAGATTTCTGCTCGTGGCGTTGTTGGAACTCGCCATATTTCCGGACCAGGCGTTCGACGGGTCGCGCCTCTCGGTCGACACCCAGCCTGTACACTTCGTCGGCCTGGGTCCATCTGCCCGCGCCCTCCAGCCAAGCCGCAAATTCCTCATAGAACAGCGCCAGGCCTTCTCCGATGTGGTGACGCGCCAAGAAAGCAAAGGTTTCGCGCGGCGAGTCCGAGAAAAGTCGAATGTAGTGGAGCCATAGGCGCAAGTAGCGAGGGTCATTCTTGTAGTGATTCGAAGACAGGAAAGATTTAACGGCGCGCTCCAGTAACGGCAGCAGGCCGGATTCGGGGGTTGCTTGGGCGGTCGGATAGGCGTTCAGTGCCCATTTCACGTAGCGATCGTAGATGTCCAGCGGGTCGTCCGACTCCCCGATCGTTTCCAGCTCTGCTTCGTATTCCTGTCGGATGGCGTCGTTCAATGTCCGCGTGTCATTTGGTGACGGCGCTGCCAGTTTGTTGTCGGTCTCGCGCGGCGAGAAGATGCGAGCCAGCTCTCTGGCAGATCGGCCACCCGGTAGCGATTGGATGTTTTCCTTCTGGTTCTCGATGATATCGAAGTCGATGAGGTCGTCGTTGGCCGCCATGGCGGCGACAAATGGGGGCTGAGTGAGTCCAAACAAATCAAACGGGCTGTGGTGGTTAGTAGTCGTCGAGGGCTGTTGGCGTCGAGGCTGAAACAGGCGAATTAGTCGGGCGTCGAGGTCGAGGGGGAGGATTGACAAAGTGGAGATGGTTTTTCGACAAGTTTATCGATAAACACGGAAGGCGCGTTGCCCCGGCGATGCGTCACGTGGGGTCTAGGCCCGATCGGGATGTCCAGTGACGTTCCGCTTCTACAATTCTATATCGACGAGCATCGAAGTCTCTGCACGAAGTCTCTGCATGAACTGGCTGGGCGCAACTTCATCTTGAAATCGCCAGAGAATATACTACCACTTCATCTTCTCCCCGCTGCCTTGAACGGACAAGGAACTATATCTGACGCGGAGCACCGAAGCTCCAACTGAACCATCTCTCATTGGACAACTACTAGTTGAACAGCTGGACCTTGTTTTCTACTTCAAGTCCTCCACATCAACGTATCAAATAACAATAGTCCTATGCCTCCCCGCGGAACCCGCAAGGCATCTGGCGGAGCGCCACGCTCAGCTGAACCGACCAGTCCAGCAAGCAAGCGCAAAACAAATGGCACTGCAGAGATAGACTCTTCGCCCCGGAGATCAAAGCGCGTCAAGTCAACGGACGAACTCAAGGCTATTTCCGTCAACGGAACCGTCAAGGAAGAGGTCGGCGAGGAGACCAAGGACGCAGTAGACGTTGTTGCTGACGAGGTGGACGAAAAGCCCGCCGTGACTGAAAAAGGCCCCAAGAAGAGAAAAACGAAACAGGAGAAGGAAGCCGAAATGCTGCCTTTGCGAGCCAGAACCCCGGGCCTGCGCATGTTTGTCGGGGCGCATGTTAGTGCCGCTAAAGGTATGCCTCCGTTCCGTGGCTTATAGTTAGGGCAAGGTCTGACCAAGCGCATCGCAGGCGTGTTTAACTCCATCACCAACAGTACGCATATTGGGTAAGAATGATCCCATATGCCAATGACCTTACCACTGATAAACACAGTGGCAACGCGTTTGCGCTTTTCTTAAAGTCCCAGAGAAAATGGGACAATCCTCCGCTGCAGGATGACCACCGAGACCAGTTCCGCAAGATGTGCGCCGAGCACAAGTACGACGCGGCCCAGTAAGTCAATCCATCACTCTACACCTCTATACACTCACCAGCTAACCCCTACTCACCAGACACATCCTCCCTCACGGCTCATACCTCGTCAACCTCGCCCAGGAAGACAAAGCCAAAGCCAAGCAAGCATACGACTCATTCCTCGACGACCTCCGTCGCTGCGAAGCCCTTGGCATCAAACTCTACAACTTCCAGTACAACCCCCTTCCCTCCCCATCCCTAATCCCGTCCCAACTAACCAAAACCCCCCAGCCCGGGCAGCGCCAACCAAACCCCCCACGCCTCCGCTCTCACCCGCCTCGCCAAAGCCCTCACCAACGCCCTAACCGCCACCACCACCGTCATCCCGGTCCTCGAAACAATGTGCGGCCACGGGTCCACCATCGGCGGCCAACTGAGCGAATTCCGGGACCTACTCGCCCTGATCCCACCAGAGCACCACCCCCGAATCGGCATCTGCATCGACACATGCCACAGCTTCGCCGCGGGCTACGACCTGACGTCACGGGCGGGATTCCAATCCTTCCTGGCGGAATTCGAATCGCAAATCGGGCTGCAGCATCTGCGGGCGTTGCATCTCAACGACTCCAAGGCGCCGAGGGGCAGTCGGCGCGATCTGCACGCGAACATCGGCACGGGGTTCCTGGGTCTCCGGGCGTTCCACAACGTGATGAACGAGCCGCGGTTCGAGAATCTGCCGATGATTCTAGAGACGCCGATCGATCGGCCGGATCCCAAGGCGGGCAAGGGTAAGAAGCCCAGCACGGTGGCGGACCCGAGGGTGTGGGCGGATGAGATCGCGTTGCTGGAGTCGTTGATTGGGATGGATGTCGAGGGCGAGGAGTTCAAGGGTCTAGAGAGGAAGCTGGCGGAGGAGGGGCGCGAAATGCGCGAGAAGCAGCAGGAGCAGTATGATCGGAAGGTGGAGACGGAGAAGAAGAAGCAGGCGAAGGGGGGACAGCGGTCGTTGATGGATATGATGGGTGGGAAGAAGAAGAAGGGAAAGAAAGAGGACGAGAGCGAGGATGAAGGCTGTCAGAGTCATTCTGAGGATTAAGTCATCAGGTCGGTGTGATGTGCATGAGGCGGATCTATCTACTACAGATCCTTACGCAAGGTGTTGATAAGAAGTATCATTTATTGATCCAAGGGGTACGCGTTCGGTCCCCTTACAGATTGGCAGAACTCGCATGTTACTTTAATCTATACGTTGCATATGCAGATTATGACGTTGATTTACCGATGATCTCAAACGAAAACTCATGTAGGACGGGGAGTTGGCTCCCTGGGCAATTCTCATGCATGCATGCTGCAAATATCAAGGGAATATACATCGTCGCTATAAATCAACAGTGTATTCTGAGGTAAATGATGGCAAACTGTAATCCAAATGGGTATTTCGTATGTAAGACCTTCAAACAACTATAATCCGGGCCAGACGCTGAAAGATGCAACACCGCCATCTGTCTTGAGATAGTGCAGATGGCAAACCAGGATATTGCTCCGTTAAATCTTTCTATATGAGACTTCGGTCCATATGTGCGGGGCTTCTTATGCGCTTCATGCATATCCTCCTCAGAAGCATCGAGGGCAATTTTTGAGATATAGGAAAAAATGGGTAGGGCACAATGGCCGTACTATAACAAACCCCGAAGACACCCTGCTCTTCATTCTTCCTAGAATTGGAATGAACAGGGGGGAGGGGAGGCAATCAAGCATCAAGAGAGGCCAGATACCCGAAGTGAACCATGCCAGTGGTTCTAGAAAGGGGAGAGAAGTATGAGAAAAAGCGGTAGTAATCCCGCCTAGTGCCTTTCCTCATCGGAGGCTCGATCCGGAGAAGCCTGCAAGTGCCGCCCGGGGAATTCGGAGTCCGCGGAGAAGATCACAGGAGGTGCAGACCGCAGGGGCGACGGTCCCGACACTCGCGGAGAGAACGGCCGATCGCCAGCGCTGAGGTTCGTCGTGTTAATGCTGAGTCCGTGCATGTTGTTGGAGCCGCTGGCTCGGACGCGGAAGGACCGCCGATCGCTGCCCGCCAGATCATCTGCGGGCGTGATGTTCACGTTATCATCGACATGCAGAGTCGGTGAAGAATGAAGCATGCTGGTTTCCGGGTCGGCGGCCTCGTGGTAGCGGTGTTCCCTCGAAGGGACCAGGCGTTCGGTTTCCGGATCCGAATCCGGGCTGCGTTCCCACGAAGGGCTTCGAGCTTCGGCTCGCATCTTGGAGATCTTCATGTAGTTGTAGGTCCCGATGCTGGCAATCGTAATGACCAGACCCGAGATATTGATGAGGGTGAGCTTGTCGTGGAAGACCACTCCGGCCGCACTGATCGTGATCACTTCCTTGAAGATGCCGCAGATGCTCAAGGTGACCACGGACGAGCGCTTCAGAAGGGCAAACTCCGAAGCAATCATGCAGAACGCTAGCATACCGGGGAAGATCAGCAGAAGCATGCCCACCATGGGTCCGTGGACATCGGCGAGAGCCACGAAACCGGTCACGATGTTGGTCGGGCCCTCCACCGTCAAGGCAATGAGGATCAGGGAGATAAACATGATGGGGGTCAGGAAAAAGAGGGTCGAGAAAGGGTTGGCGGTGGCCGGATGCCGCAACAGAAGAATCTGGGTGAGGCCCCATCGGAAGCCCGAGAAGAAGGCCGACGCGATGACCAGAAGGAAGCCGACCATATTGAATGCCGTCTCTCCGGCGACCATCATCACCACACCCACGGTCATCGTCGCGATGATCACGATCAACTTCACGGACGGCGTCTCGAGGCGGAACAGGAAGGCGAAGATGAGCACGAAAGCCAGGGCGGAGGATTTGCACATGGTGAGGAAGGTGAGGGAGATGAATTTCAACGACATATTGCCCAATCCAATATCAAGGGAGGTCGCCGTGCCGCAGGGAACCAGGCGAGTGAGATAGAAGAGCTTGGTAAACAGCGGAGGTTTCGACTCGGCGTCCTCAGGCTGCCCGATGGGGGAGTTGGACGGCGACTGCGCAGGGGTGGCCTGCGGACGCAGCGACGGAATCAAGTATAGGAGGAGGGAGGACAGGGTGAACTGGACGAGCATATGCAAGCTGGTGGTGAACAACGGGAAGGGAAACACGACTTCATCTTCGGAAAACATCCATTTATTGTACTGTGCCAACCATCCCAGTTAGTCCACTATCAAAACCACCATATTTCCTATCGAACCCGAGCAGGAGAGAGGGGGAGAAACTCACGATCGAGATCGCCAGCGAAAAGAAATACCACAGCAGGATCAAGCCGGCGTTGACCAGCAGCTTCTTGGTCACGTCGTTATCCCCAAAGGCGGCCGTGAAGAGATTGTGATGGGAGGCCTTGACGTCGGCGATACGAGCATCCAATTGTCGGCGCTGCTTTCTTCTGCGGCGGCGCTGGCGTTTCTGCTTGGCCGTGAGGCCGGTCTCCTCGTCGTCGTGCAGGTCGTCGTCGGAGCTGATGAAATCCATCTCGACGCTCTCAGCAATGGACGAAAGGTCGGAGGCATCGAGGTCCTCGGGGCCGCCAGGCTTCAGGTCCTCCCGCTTATTATAACTGGGAGCATCGGCGGTGGGGGTTCGGGAATGCTCATCCCTTTGGTCGGTCGCGGGCGGCTGTGACGGGCCTCCAGCGCCCGTCAGCACGGAGCTCCGCCGTCGATGGTGATTTCCCGACGGGGGGGCCATCCTGGGTGGAACGTGGAATGGGGGGGTTGCGGACGAAGGGGAGATCAAAGAAAGGGTCCCAAAGGTAATGGAAAATGGAAGTGGAAATTGGAAGGGGAGATGGGACTAGAAGGAAAGGGACTCCATCAGTTGAGCGGGAGCATGGATGGGAATGGTTAAATCGCCGTCGCCCGGCAGAGGTGAATCCAGACGCAGTCGAGGGGGGCGAAAGGCCGAAAGGAGCGAAGACAACCGGTGTGATGTCAAAGGACGTGGAATGGAGAGGCGAGCGGACAAATCAAAGGACACAGGAAAGTCGAGAAGGAAAGGAAAGGCAAGAATCCAGGACGAAAGGAGCAGGAATGGAGCCCGGGGAGGGGAGACGGTCATGCAAGGGCGACCGATAGACGCCGCATGAGCTGGAATTCCCGTGCGGACGATGCAATCAAGTGGAAGGAAGAGAACTAAGGAGCGGAAGATGGCCCAGAGAGAGGAAGAGAAGGAGAAGGAGAAAGAGAAAGCCAGGAAGAGGAGACCAAGACTAAGACTAGAAGACCCTGATGTGTGCCTGAGAAAATAATCAAATAATGAACAATCCCAATTATGAACGCTCGGGCTGCCATCCTTGGGACTCTTGGGACCACAACCACGTCCTGCTAGGAATACGAGACCCTCTCCATCTCCATCATCCATTCTCTCATCCACAAATCATCGTCCGCACGCAGGCAGAAGCTTTCCCACGTCGCTCGGAACTAGACCTTCGAGCTCGATAGTCTGGAATCCATCTCGTCAGGATCGGCCGCGGCGGGGAGCGAAAATCACCGAATTTTTCGATTACTGCCGATGCGAGCTAGGTACCTCGCTGGCGCCCCCTTCCGGACGATCCGGGGTCGATGCTGGTTGATTGATTCCCTCTGGACTCTGCCGTCCCTTGGGTCGGCCTTTCTTTGTTGCTCTTTTTCCCTCTTGATCTGGACCTCCCCTCTCGGCGTCATCGACTTCTCTCTCGAGGGTCCCTAATCCCATGATTCCATCTTCCCTCGAGTCGGGTTAGTCCTCCGATCACTAGCCCCGACCAACCGAAACGCCCCCATCGACGGTGGTTCCAAAAACCAGGGGCTGAGCCGTTTCCCTGAGCCTTACGGAGCAACGCCGCCATCAGAGTCTTTTTCCCTTCCCACACCGACTTCTTGGCGAGTGGATCGCAGCGCATAGCATGACTCCTCCGTCGAGTCCGCCCGGATGATGGCCCTGCCGGTGCCGTACCTGCAGCCCTGGGTTGCTCAGTTGACCGTCATACGTCTGATGCAGCATCGAATCGAAAGGGACTCCGTAGTAAGGAGTAGACACGTCGTGTCTTTCCCCTCATCGTCTGACTCTTTAGTCTTTCCTCCCGTAGTTTTAATTTTTTTTCCCCCCTCTCGTATCGCGGTAGGGGTCTGATCTTCGACCTCGGCAAGCCCCGAAGTAGCGGTATAGATCGGTGCAGAGGGAAAGGCCCTGACAACGGCCCCCGCGCATATGAGGTATAACATAATATGATATTCGGAGGAATATCCGGGCTAATAGTTCTGGTCAATAATATGATAGTCCAGAGAGGTAATAATAATAGTGATGGAACCATGAAGTCATGCGGTTGGGACTGCACGCAGGGGACGGGGGCAATAACTATGACATGATCGAAATTGAGATTGGGCACTAGACGACGGCACTATACTCCGTACTATACCCTGGACATTATTATTGCCTCCTCTTCACGCGACCAACACCCCGGCAGCGTTAGTCGGTCGCACACAAGCCACACCCTCAGGACGAACGGGGGTTTGTTGCCTGGTCGAGGCGCAGGGTGACATCTGTCACACATGGCGCCCCCGCCTGAGTCCTACGCAGGACATCGTGGAGTAAGAACTACCTGCGATAGAGTAGGCACCGGAGTTAATCATGGACACAGCCACCGTCGAAAAAGAAGGTGATTGGAGTGCTCGGCTCACAGGATCAGCCCCGGAAAGTCTCGAAGCTGCTCTGCATGTGTGACTCTCGCGTGGTGGCATGTTTCGAGCGAGTCAGGTCGAAGTACGAAGGCCAGGGACCTGGGGGGGAAATCCTACTCTGTAGAAAAAAAAAAAAAAGACCGACGATCGTAGTTCTTCGGGGAAAATCGAACAGACAAGTTTTCATTCCAACCCATCCATAACTGCTCATATCGTGCCTTGCGCCCCGGGATGAGGTGGAATAATTATACAGTGAGAGACCCATGTATCCAGCATACCGCCAACTCCTGCATCATGCCTTGTCGCTTGAATTTCCCAGTCAAAACACAGAACTAGAGAAAAAGTAATGAATAAGTCAAAGAGATGACGTCCCCGGCTAAGATCATGCTTGCATCTATCACATCACCCCGCTTACATTATATTGCGTGCTACTGCCTTGTGGTTTTAGTCTTACCCTCCCCCCCTTTTTTTTAGCTCTAGCCGCATCGAGATTGTTTCAATATAGTTGATACCAAAGCCAAGGAAGGCGTCTTTTTCGATCCCTCCTCCTTTCTCCTAGTCTGGCGCTAATCGATGGTTTTCACCCCACCCGACAAGAGCCGTTGCGCGGTTCGTGCGGCGGAGAGATTTGGGAAAGGAGAAAAATCGCTGTTCAACCGCCCTTTCTTTGTCCAGCAGCCCCGGGCCCTGAGGCCGGGTTGGGATTGTTGGCGGTGGAGTTTCGTGAGAACGTGTTGGTGGTACCAATCGTGGCGCTGGCAGTCCGCAGTTCGATCTTCTTGCGTTCCATCTCAAGCTGTGCGAACCGGATCATTAGTCCTCGTTTACTCTTTGAACCGTGGTTTTCTAAACTGAACAGAGAGCAAGGGGAATTGGGGGTTCGTGACGTACCACCTTGCGCACTCGAGCAAGAGCGGCCGTATCACCCGCCACCAGCGGTCGACAGTCATCGACGCGGTATGGAGGAGCAATGGCAACGGCATCCGCTACAATGATACTAGGGCCGTCCCACCGGGCCGGCATTGTGCGACTGAACGCATCGAAAAGGTCCTGGGCTTCGCGTGTGACGCCCTTACCCCGGCGCGCCTCGTTCTCTTGTAACTTGCCGACGGCAGCGGCTTCTCGAGCCTTCAGAGCACGGATATCAAGCGCATGAACCGAGGGTACGGCGTCGGAGAAAGACGGTCCGTCGGGGGAGGTGGACGACGGAGCGAGGGAAAGAAGCTGGAAGGACTGTATCCGCGACACCGGGATGACGTGGTAATCGCCGCTCTGCGTTTGCTTACCATCGGCGGTGTTGATGGCAACCAGGTTGGTAATAGGACAAGCCGTGAAGAGGGTTCCTTCGAGGGTAGAGACGGTAGGTGCGGCGGTGCTGATGCGAACACTTTGGGTGGGCACGGAAGAGAGTTAGCATTCCCGGATGGCGAGCAGCTTCCCCGCAGACAATGAGACTCGAAGCTTCGTGATATAGAGTAGAAGATGTCTCACAGCACTGCAGAAGGTGAAAGAAGTAAGGGCAGCTTACCGTGCGCCAATTGCACCGCTCAATGCGACCTCCAAAGGTACCATGGCTCCAGCCATTCCCTGACCCGCAGCACCGGAGGTTCCTTGTGACGACGCTCTCGCTCCTACGTTGTGTCGCTTGTTGTCTGCCATAGAATTACCTCTCGGAGGAGAGGAATTCCCGATGTCTCCGTGCGGACCAAGCAAGATGAGGCCTGGCTTCCACGTGAGCAGTCGCTCGAGAAGGCTGTGAGGGGGGCGTTCAACGGAGGACACTAGATGATGCTAGATGCCTGGCGTGAGCAAGCAAAGAAGCCCCAGTATGTCTGACGAAGCCAATCCGTCACTCCGGGTATGGAATTATGCGAGCCGCAAGCTTCGCCCGAGCCGCTATCGTTTGGAATAGAGATGGGAGGTTTGAGTCCGGTCAAGCAAAGTGGGACGTAGCGGGAACCGGAGCAGCTAAAGGAGTGACGGAAATGACAACCCAAAAAGACAACCCAAACGAGAGCGAAAAAGGGAAATGAAATGCCGTCAAATCAAAAACAGCCAAGCCGATGCGAAAGACTCTACTCGGGCCGCTGGCATGGATCTGGAGGTGAAAGGGGTGGCGATGGTCCGACTGAGGATGCCAGCGAGAGACAGAGCGACGGAGGTGCGGGCACTCCCGGTCGGGTTTAGCGCCAAACACCCTGACCGCCTGAGTTTCCAGGTGTCTACGGAGGTTGCCTCCGGTCTCCCTACGTAGTTGCTGTCTGTGCCTTGTTCACCGTGCTGATTCTACACTTCAATCTAGGGAAATCAACCCCTTACTTAGCCCGCCAATTGAACAACTAAAACACATTCATTTCATACGTTTCAGCATAAGCAAAAAGGTAAACCCATCATCTAAATACATTGGGATTATCCCATATCCTTTTGACATTTGTTTGGTTCCGTCATCATTCTATGTGCTCGAGAGAGCTCAATTCCACTCTCCCGATCCTCGGCGTGTACCGTCATCGTTTAGGGCGAGGCTCCACGTCCAGCGCATTGCATCGTTTTTGCTTATTTAAGCCACGTAGGTCGAGGCGGACACGTCACCGCCACGGCCGGTCCAGTTAACGTGGATGTCCTTACCCTCGGGGTAGTTCTCGTTGGCGTGCTCGGGCTTGATGCGGAAGGTGTGGGCACCGAAGTAGTCACGCTGAGCCTGCAGCAGGTTGGCGGGGAGGTCCCGGGTGCGGTAGCCGTCGTAGAAGGAGAGGGCGGTGCTGAAGGCAGGGTTGGGGATACCCCAGAGAGCGGCCTTGCTGACAACGTTTCTCCAGCCGGACTGGGCCTTGTTGATGGCAGCCTTGAAGAAGTCGTCGAAGAGCAGGTTCTCAAGGTCGGGGTTGGTGCGGTAGGCGTTGGTGATGTCCTTCAGGAAGACGGAGCGGATGATGCAACCACCACGCCACATGAGGGCGATGGAGGGCTTGTTGAGCTTCCAGCCATACTCTCTGGCGGCCTATATCACGGAGAATTGTGAGTTACTGATAGTCCACGCGGGGGGGAGTTCTGGGAGAACGACGGGACAACGCTTACCTCCTGGATGAGCATGAAGCCCTGGGCGTAGGAGATGATCTTAGAGGCATACAGGGCCTGCTCCAGGTCGTCGATGAAAGCCTGCTTGTCACCGGTGAACTCGGGGGTAGGGCCGCTGAGAAGGCTGCTGGCGCGGATACGCTCGTCCTTGAGGGCACTCAGGCAACGAGAGAACACGGCCTCACCGATGAGGGTGACGGGCATGCCCAGGTCAAGGGCGTTGATGGCGGTCCACTTGCCGGTACCCTTCTGGCCAGCCTTGTCGAGGATCTTCTCAACGAGGGGAACACCGTCGTTGTCGTTGTACTTGAGGACGTCACGGGTGATCTCGATCAGGAAAGAGTCCAGAACACCGGTGTTCCACTTCTCGAAGACGGAAGCGATCTCGTTGGCAGACAAGCCGAGACCACGCTTGAGGAGGTCATAGGCCTAAGTGGGTGACCAGGCGTCAGCTTCCGCGGCTCTGTGTTTCTGGGAAGGTTGATAATTGACAGATTGCTTACCTCGCAGATCAGCTGCATGTCACCGTACTCAATACCGTTGTGGACCATCTTGACGAAGTGGCCGGCACCCTCGTCACCGACCCAGTCGCAGCAAGCCTCGCCGTCGCTCTTGGCGGAGATGCTCTGGAAGATGTCCTTGATGTGAGGCCAGGCGGCCTCGTTACCACCGGGCATGAGGGAGGGGCCGTAGCGGGCACCCTCCTCACCACCGGAGACACCGCTGCCGACGAAGCTGATGCCCTTCTCGGCGAGAGCCCGGGTACGGCGGTTGCTGTCGGGGAAGTGGGAGTTACCACCGTCGATGATGATATCACCCTTCTCAAGGAAGGGCAGGAGAGAGTCGATGAACTGGTCGACGGGCTTGCCGGCCATGACAAGGAGCATGATGCGGCGGGGGCGCTTGAGCTTGGAGCAGAACTCCTCAACGGAGTGGGCACCAACGATGGGCTTGCCTGGATGACGGTTTAGCTGACTTTACTCCCGGAAAACAGTAGATCTCGGCGATCCAGGATGGGTGGGTCAAATCTCACCCTTGGCCTCGTTGTCAAGGAAGCGGTCAACCTTGGAGGTCGTGCGGTTGTAAGCGCAGACGGTGAAACCGTGATCAGCAGCGTTGAGGATCAGGTTCTGGCCCATAACGGCCAGACCGATGAGGCCGAAATCAGCACTAGGCAAAGGACGCGCCGGTGCGCCGACATTGATGCCGGCCAAGCGGGCGCTAAAGTCAGTTGCCAGATTCTTCCGTCAATAGCTGGGGTGGAGAAGCCAAATATGATAAGGTGGAGGGGGGCAGATGGAGGGGAAAATCATGCGAAGCTGAAATCAGTCCCGTCGACCGCAGGTGAGGGATTAAATTCCAGGCGACGCTGTGCTGCGAGTCGTGCCATAATTCCAATGTGGCGACTCGAATGAGATACACCGAGTGCTACGGAGCATGCATAACCCGGCAGCAATGGAATGAAGGACGAGGGAGTGCATTGTCATGATGAGGGGGTAGAAAGAGCGCAGCGAGGGGAACGTTGACGAGGAACACTTACACAGCCTGGTCAGCCATGATGAAGAGTGGGGAGACTGGTTGGAGAGATGGGAAGGATGAATACAGCAGAAGATAGCTGCCCCAGGAGGAGATAAGATGGAAGAGAGATGGAGAGGAGAAGAAGAGAAGAGGAGAGGAGAAAGAAGGAGGAGAGAAGGGGAAGAAAAAAGAAGTTCGCCGATGTCAGAGACGGCTTACGGAGCAACCTTCCGTCATGAACAGCGTGGGAGGGGCTTTCAGGGAGCAGAGTCGTCCGGGTCCGGTGAGGCCGCGGGCGTGGGAGTTTGGAAAGGGAGTGACTACAGATTTAATTACTTTCTGCTCGTTGCGGCTGCGGTGGTCGGGGACCCTGCGCGTGCTCGCAGTGGCATGCTCCTTTCCCATCAATTCTGCTTCTCTACACATTGAGTCCATTGAGGCCTCCCCGACGTCGACCTTTGCGGCGTAATTACTTTGCGGAGAGATGCTGAACATCATCAGTTCTCGGAGACAACGGAGAGCAAAAAGCTGTGACGCTGACGATGGCGGGGCACATGGAGGGGCAGTGGGAGGAACTCGGCCTCTAGTCGCCCTAGTAGCCTTAGTTCGTCCCAAGCAGAACCGGGAAATTTGGGTGCTTCGGTGAGGCAGATTCGGCTCGAAAACTGGCTTGGTTGCTCTCCACCACGGGCATCATTGCTCAGCCCGGCCTCCCTCCGGAGTTTTGTCGCATTGGGAGTCCGGATGCTGATGGACGAGCTGCGACGGACGTCCTGACGGCCTCGCAGACGGAGAAATGATGGTCGAGGAAGTCCGGAGTTCCTGCAGCAAAACAGTTTCTCTGCGTCGGCAACTGCTCGTCCCAATGCGGTTTAGAGTGGGGGTGCCCGGATTACGTCATTCTCTTTTGTTGGGGGTTGCGGTCCCGTGATCCGGAGTAACCTGCTCCTTCGAGGGATGCTGAGTCACATGGCTCGGGCGCGGCCTGGCGGTCAGGATTATCGTTGTTCCGTCGCAGGTCCGGCAGTTTGCTCCGGATGCACTGCACGGTGGCCCAGGACTGCCAAAGGCGTCTTTTTTCGGTCGGCCTGGCCGTTCATCTTTGCCTCCCTCTGGAACCATCTCAACTGCCCACGCGCAAGATCTTCTCACTGGCCCCTGACCGGATTTTGCAGAATCCGTCCGATCTCCCCCACATTCGTCCCTTCTCAACCCTCGAGTTGAGCAGAAAAACCGCATCGACAGCCGCTCAAAGAACGTTCCTTCGCCGTTCGTTCTTCTTCGCGACCCGGACCCTTTTTCAGGCGTGACGTCTGGCGTGTGACTGCTGCGTCAGTCAAGCCCTGAAGGTACGTGTCCGTTGCTAATCTGCACACGGCGCATCACATATCCTTCGTCTCTACGAGCATTCCGTTCATCATGTCCTTTCCGCCCCCTCCAGGTCTAAACCAAACTCCGTCGTCGCTCCCTCCGCGACCACCACCGCCTGCCAGTACCGCGTCGTCTGCATCCCGCCAACCCGCATATTCGGCGGCTCCGTCGTATGCGTCGTCAGGTACCAGCAGTGGATATGGCGGAAACGGGCCCCGGCCAGGATACAATGCCTTCACCGCATTCCAACCTCGCACCGTAGCCTCGAGCCAGTCCTACCGAACCAATAGTCCCGCCGTGTCCGCTCCGCCAGCTGCGTCGGCCGGATACTCCACCCCGACTACCACGACCGGCTACGGCAGCTACTATTCTCAGCCCCAGCAAACCTACCAGGGAGGGCCATCGTACTACGGGTCCGCCCAGTACAATGAGAATTCGTATGGCCCGTCCGTGCCACACATTCAGAACCCCTTTGCTCCGGGAGGTGAACATGGCCCGCGAGGGAAGAACTTCGGGCGCAACGAGTCCGGTTTAGATCCAGAAATGGAAGCGCAGATCGCCCAGTGGCAGAGCGCCTACGCGAACAAGGACGAAGCCTCCTCCATGGGTAAGATCCCCGGCCGCCCGGATAGGAATCCCGCTATGCCCGGAGCCCCCTCCGGTGCGAATACCCCCTCTGGCAGCACACCCACCGCCGCGACTCCGGTGCCCATGCCCGGCCATTCCGAGCAAAACCCCAAGACTGTCGCCCGTTCCGGCGGCGGTCAAAACTGGACCGATTCGACCTTGCTGGAATGGGATCCGGCGCATTTCCGCCTGTTCGTCGGAAACCTCGCGGGCGAGGTTACGGATGATTCCTTGCTGAAGGCATTTGCCAAATATACGTCGGTCCAGAAAGCGCGAGTGATCCGCGATAAACGCACTCAGAAGAGCAAAGGATACGGATTTGTCAGTTTCAGCGACGGCGACGACTATTTCCGGGCCGCCCGAGAGATGCAGGGCAAGTATATCGGATCGCATCCGGTCTTGCTGCGCCGAGCCACTACCGAAGTCCGCCCGGTCTCCAACTCGAAGAACGGCAAGAAGAACGGCGGCTCGGGCGGTGGCCACGCCGGCGGCAAAGTCAAGCACGACGGAGTCAAGAAGCCGGGTAAAACGAAGGGTGGACTGAAGATTCTGGGATGAGCGAGGTGGAACTCTCTTATGGTTGTTTATAAAATCGGTGCCGATACTCTATCTTAATGACACGAATGTACTATACACGTTTGCTCGGTGTATGTTCTCGTTCCATCTTTATTTCGTACCGTATATATATCCATATATTCTGTAAGACATGGTATAGTTTCATCAACCCAATGAGAACAAGCAAAGCGAATATATGCAATCCCAAGCAAAACGTATAGGAAAATACCAATCAATATGATACACTCGCACCCAAATAATCGAATCAACCAATATAAACACTCATAGTAAAACGCCATATACGGGGTCAGGGTTCTTCACTTTTCACGCAACATCAACAGTAAATCATGCGTAATGCATAAAACATAAGACATAAGACAGACATTAGACCAAGAAGAGAGATATCATGAATGGAACGAAGCACAAGCGAGAAACAGAATGAGATGGAGCCATGCGATCTTGTCACAATGCAAGTATCAGATCGCTGGTGGTGATAACCAGACAAGGCATGCTCGGGAGTCTGGAAATTTAATCGAGAAGGTGAGAATAGCGCGATTGAAAGATGCGCGCTATGGAGATCGTGATGTTCAGGATAAAGGAGGTAGAGAGTCGGAATCGTCGAAGTTGAGCATTCCCAATCCCCATGCCCTCGAGGGGATGAAAACCGGAGCCCAAAGACAGATATAAGGATAGATCGTGAAGCGTAACGTCGTAGATCGTAGGAGTGGCATGAATGGACGTATGCAGGTAGATAGAACGTAGGTAAATTCGTCGTAGCTCCGTAAAGATAAAAAAGCACCAGAAAAAAGAACGATGTTCGAGCCCAAACCGCAGCTCAAGCAAGAAAGTTTCTCAGGTCTCACGGCCGGGAAGCCCAAGCCATGCCATTGGAAGGCAAGGGAGCTGAAGCTGAAGCTGGACAAGCGCAACCATGACGATGGCGATCACGCTTCCTCGCCACTTTCCTCGTCGACGGCCCGTTTCTTGGAGAATAACGAGACGTGGTTCTGCATGGCGTAGATACCGAAACCAGCGGCGGCGAGGACCAAGAAGAGAATGATAATGATGACGGCGATGGCGATGTTTCTCTTCATTTTGGAGGTGCTGGTATGATACCGATGCCGGTATCCTGACCAGGGAAGTGGGATCGAGTCTAGACAGGCACCGCAGGAGCAGAGACGAAGGCAAGGAGAGTCTATCTGGACACGAATCGACTTCAATCCAGAAACTGGAATGGCGGCAAACGAATGAAGGGATAAGAAATAGGAAGCCGCAAGATTCGTTCGAGAAAGGTCGTTTCGGATGGTAGGTAAGACAAGGAGCTCGATAGTATAGAAAACCCACTCTATACCAACACAGTAGGGATCAGGGTTAAACGATTGTCTATCCTGGAATGCGATTCCAGAGACAATTCAAGGGATATCAATATCGACCAGAAGGTGAGAACGAGAGAATGTACGGGAGCCACCCGCTATAAGGGAGACGGCCCAACGTGGCCCAGCCATGTTGATTTCTGCTGGTGGCTGGGATCGAGAGCTGTGAGACGGGATGCCGGCGGGGCCGTTCTCGTGGTCGGTGATTGGGTCGCGGGTACTTAAGCTGTCGCCCTAACTAGGCGTAGTATCAGGTACCGGGTACTTTGCTTATCCCCAGCCTCTGCATTTTGGAAACCCAGGGATTGCCAGATCTCAACGAGTGTAAGAAAGCCGCTACATAGAACCATTATATGAGCCCTATTTCGAAGGTGATAATAAGAAATACTCCAAGAGGATACGTCACTATTATTCTCCGACGGCCAGGTCACTTATCTCAGTGAGTGTATACTTCAAAGAGCGCGATGATGCTGAGCAGGTATTACAGTTGAACGGTGTCTCAGATAGACATAGAGAAACAGCTAACCTTCAAGTGCATAAACACTGGGGGCAAGTGAAAGGATAGACAAAACCAACAAGAAAGAAAGAAAGAAAGAAAGAAAAGAAAAGAAAAGAATAGAAAAGGGGAAAAAAAAACAATAGCTGGAGTGAAGTGCATCCCCCATCCAGGGATCGAACGTACAACCTTCGCTTCAGGAAAAAAACCGGTCATTTCACAGAACGATTTGTTTTTGTTTATCCGGTCACTCGTTCCTTTCCATTGAGCCACTTGACCGCTGGGTCAACCAGCAAAGAGCAGACAACATCTTATAACCCTCGAAAGCCCTCAAAACATGAAACAATATGCTCTGCAAATGGAGCCCTATGCAAATGTGATGTGATGATAGAAACTTGGCGACAGGCATTTGCCATGTTATTTGCATCGATACTTACCTCATCAATGATGAAATACCAATATGCGCCTTCCGGGTGCCAAGACACCAATGAATGGTCTCTGACTACCGCACAGAATCCTGCCATGTTTGTACATTCCTACATCCATCAACAGTCGAAGAGGGCCAATAGTACAGCACCATCCCTGAGGTGGCCACAGAACTTAACAGGGGTTCGGATCGGAGCAGCAGCGAAAGACCGAAGACAAAGTCAACGATGGTCACGAACTGTCCATCTGTACATCTGATTTGTCGGCCCGTCATGGGATGAGCGGACGATGACTTCATCACCACCGCATCCGGATCCTCAAGGTCTCGACCAGCGACATTCCATCCATTCGATCCTTCCTGTCGGATGTTCGGTCCCTGCGCCATCCGGACTTTAGGCTTTAATCGGCGTTGCAATCTCCGATTTTTGATGCGATGACTGCGATTCCAACGGCCTTATGTCCGGGGCTCCGGTTGGTTATCTGGTTTTTGGGGGAAATTGCATACCTGACGTAATTGCTGTTTAGCTGTTTCGATTCTTGTACTGTTCACATGGCTTCTGATGTTAGATTTTATCTTCTGTAAAACATGCGCTGAATGAAGGTCCGAAGAAGGACCCGTCAAAATGAATCACAAGCGCGAGGATGAAAAAGAAAGCGTCGCCGCTCAAGATGGAGCATCCAACTCGTCATGGCGAACGCACTCTAACTCCAGCTCGACGGCTCACGACTCTCCGATTCGCAATGATCAGCCGACCCTGTCTGAGAAGCCAGGCCCGGAAAGGAAACCCTCTATGGCGCGACAGCTCACCGAAGATGATATTGCGCGAGCCTTGTCGCAGAGACGGACCGGCTCTGTCCAGGGTGAAACGGACGAGGATACGGCTCAGATCGTGAGACTGGTCTCCCGCATGTTCGGTCAGGACCGCAAGGCGAATTCCGACGAAGAGAAGACAAGGCATCAGGGTGTTGTATGGAAGCATCTGACGGTGAAAGGCGTTGGATTGGGCGCGGCTATGCAACCCACCAATTCTGATATCCTTTTCGCCATCCCAAGGTTGATCAAACAACTGAGTACGAATGGTAACAGGCATCCATTGAGAACAATCCTCGATGACTTTACGGTATGTTTGCTTCAGAGCTCCCCTGGTTTGCTTGAGATGGAAGCTCATACATGCTTTCCGGATACTAGGGCTGCGTGCGACCCGGCGAGATGATTTTAGTCCTTGGAAGACCGGGCTCTGGATGCTCGACGTTCTTGAAAGTACTCGGAAACCAGCGATCAGGCTATAAAAGTGTGGAAGGTGACGTGCTTTACGGGGGAACAGACTCTAAAACGATGGCCGACAAATATCGCTCGGAAGGTACGTGAGATAAGGACGGTTTTGCAAAATCCCGAGGCACTAAGATGCGCAGTACTGTACAACCCCGAGGATGATCTTCATTACCCAACGTTGAACGTGAGAGATACTCTTCTGTTTGCTCTCAAAACAAGAACCCCCGACAAAGCGTCGCGACTGCCCGGAGAGACCCCGAGGGAATACCAGGAAACGTTCTTGTCGACCATTGCGAAGCTCTTCTGGATCGAGCATACTCTGGGAACGAAGGTCGGCAACGAACTCATTCGTGGGATTTCCGGTGGCGAGAAGAAGCGAGTATCGATAGGAGAAGCCTTGGTGACCAAGGCGAGTACGCAATGCTGGGATAACTCTACAAAGGGCCTGGATGCTAGCACAGCACTCGAATATGTGCAGAGTCTCCGAAGTTTAACTGACATGGCAAATTCATCCACCTTTGTGGCTTTATACCAAGCTTCGGAGAATTTGTACAACTTATTCGACAAGGTCATTCTGATTGAGGATGGCAAATGTGCATATTTCGGCCGCGCTGCAAATGCTAGGGCCTATTTTGAACGCTTAGGATTCGAATGTCCGCCTCGTTGGACAACGCCTGATTTTCTGACCTCTGTGAGCGATCCCCATGCGCGGCGTGTGAAGAAGGGATGGGAAGATCGTATCCCCAGATCGGCAGAGGAATTCCAAAACATATATCGCAAAAGTGACATACACAAAGAAGCCATTGCCGACATGGAGGATTTCGAGCAGGAGGTCGAATCACAGCGCGAAGACCGCGAGATTGCCCGGGAAAATATGCCGAAGAAGAACTACACCGTTCCATTCTACAAACAGGTAATGATTTTGACTCACAGGCAGTTTCTGGTCATGTATGGCGACAAGCAATCACTCGTTGGAAAGTGGTCCATCCTTACATTCCAGGCGCTCATTATCGGAAGTCTTTTCTATGACCTCCCACAAACGAGGTAAGCAGAGTCTTCCGCTTCAAGCTGTATACCTCGCTGACAATATCAAGTGGTGGGGTGTTCACCCGAGGAGGTGTTATGTTTTTTGTTCTTCTTTTCAACTCTCTACTTGCCCTGGCAGAACTTACAGCGACATTTACAACACGACCTGTTATGCTCAAACATAAAAGCTTGTAAGCATCAACACACACTTTCAGGGTCTAGATTTTATACTCACCAGCTTAGTTCATTTTATCGACCGTCTGCCTACGCCTTAGCCCAAGTGGTCGTCGATGTACCCTTGATCTTTGTCCAAGTGACAATATTTGATCTCATTGTCTACTTGTAAGCATCAATCGTCTTGCTGTAGATCCATCATTGCTAATAGTCCTGTTCAGTATGTCAAATCTTACAAGAACAGCCTCGCAATTTTTTATCAACTTCCTTTTCATATTTACGCTCACGATGACGATGTATTCATTCTTCAGGGCCATTGGGTCTGTCTCTGCTTCGCTTGATGTTGGTACGTCTGATAAAGAGTCGCGCTCGCTTTTAGATAATTGCTGACCCGACAAAAAAGCCACTCGAGTCACTGGGGTGGCAATCCAAGCACTGGTAGTATATACGGGTAAGCTAGTATCGTGAATTCTCCGGCCCTGTTACTCATATCTATAGGTTACCTAATTCCGCCGTGGAAGATGCATCCGTGGCTGAAGTGGTTGATTTGGATTAACCCGGTTCAATACGCCTTTGAGGGTATAATGTCAAACGAGTTCTATGACCTGGACATCCAATGTCAAGCACCAAACATTGTGCCGGATGGCCCCAACGCTTCTCCCGGACACCAAACCTGCGCGCTACAGGGAAGCAACACCGACCAGTTGACAGTTCAAGGCCCAAACTACATCAACACCGCCTTTACCTACAGTCGCTCTCACCTCTGGCGGAACTTTGGTATCATCATAGCATGGTTCATCTTCTTTGTTTTCTTGACAATGCTTGGGACTGAGTTTCAGAAGCCCAATAAAGGAGGAAGCGCGGTCACTATCTTCAAGCGGGGAGAGGCTCCTGCGGCGGTCGAAGAGGCTGTCAAACATGGGGAACTTCCTGAAGATGTCGAAGCAGGGAAGAAAGAGAATGATACCAGTGGTGTTCTGGAGAGGAAGGGCTCTAACGAAACGGGAGGTAACGTCGAGGGCATTGCCAAAAGCACATCCATCTTCACCTGGCAAAATGTCAACTACACCATACCTTATAAAGGAGGGCAAAAGCAGCTTCTGCAGGATGTCCAGGGATATGTCAAGCCGGGTCGTCTTACCGCACTGATGGGTGCTTCTGGAGCAGGGTTAGTATATGACATACGACTGAGTTTGTTTATTCCAGCTGATCCGTATCTTTGCAGAAAAACTACTCTGTTGAACACACTGGCGCAACGCATCAATTTTGGTGTTGTAAATGGGTCTTTCCTGGTTGACGGAAAGTGAGTCCTCCGATTTCTACTATTTATGTCAATCAATTTCTTATCCTTCTAGGCCGCTTCCTAAAAGCTTCCAAAGAGCTACAGGCTTTGCCGAGCAGATGGATATCCATGAGCCCACCGCAACGGTTCGAGAATCCCTTCGATTTTCCGCACTTCTTCGACAGCCAAAAGAAGTACCGCTTCAGGAAAAATATGACTACTGCGAGCGAGTCATAGATCTCCTAGAAATGCGGCCGATTGCCGGTGCAACTGTGGGTGCCGGAGGTGTAGGTCTCAACCAAGAACAACGCAAACGACTCACAATCGCGGTGGAACTGGCAAGTAAGCCAGAGCTGCTACTCTTCCTGGACGAGCCTACCTCTGGACTTGACTCCCTAGCTGCGTTTAACATCGTTCGGTTCCTTCGACGGCTTGCCGATGCTGGACAGGCGATCCTATGCACGATTCATCAGCCGTCAGCGGTGTTGTTTGAACACTTTGACGATCTCATTCTACTTCAGAGTGGTGGCAGAGTTGTGTATAATGGTGAACTGGGCCAGGATTCTGATAAGCTATTAAAGTACTTTGAAGAGAATGGAGGCAAGCGGTGCCCTCCTCACGCAAATCCTGCAGAGGTATGTCAGACAACAATCTCTACTGAATACACACATTCCTTGCTAACCATAGGCCACAGTATATGCTGGAAGTCATTGGTGCCGGTAATCCCGACTACAAAGGGCAAGATTGGGCAGAGGTGTGGGCCAACTCTCGTCACGCCAAAGAACGATCCGATGAGATCGATCAATTTATCAACACTCGACGCGACAAGCAGGACACAGGACGAAAAGACGACAATCGGGAATATGCAATGCCAATCTGGGTTCAGATTGTCGCGGTTACCAAGCGTTCGTTCGTCGCATACTGGCGGACCCCCGAGTATAATGCCGTAAGTTTTATTCGAACTTTTTCTTGTTAACCTGGACTCTGATTGTCTGCTAGGGCAAATTCCTCTTGCATATCTTCACAGGACTCTTCAACACATTCACCTTCTGGCATCTAGGGAACAGCTACATTGACATGCAATCACGCTTGTTCTCCATCTTCATGACCCTGACCATCTCGCCGCCTCTCATCCAGCAGCTGCAGCCCAAATTTCTCCATTTCAGGGGTCTGTACGAATCGCGTGAGTCCAATTCGAAGATCTACTCCTGGGCTGCATTCGTTACGAGTGCCATCCTCCCTGAACTGCCATATTCAATCGTCGCTGGATCCATCTACTTCAACTGCTGGTACGTCAATCCCTCCCCTGTTCTATCATGATACCCTCGTCTTCCCACTGACACAACCCCAGGTACTGGGGTATATGGTTTCCCCGCGACTCCTTCACATCCGGATACACCTGGATGATGACGATGCTGTTCGAGATGTTCTACGTCGGCTTCGGCCAATTCATCGCGGCCTTCTCGCCCAACGAGCTCTTCGCCTCCCTCCTCGTCCCCTGCTTCTTCACCTTCGTCGTCTCCTTCTGCGGCGTGGTCGTCCCCTACCCGTCCATGATCCACTTCTGGAAATCCTGGATGTACCACCTAAGCCCCTTCACCTACCTCCTCGAGGGCTTCCTCGGCGTCGTCACCCACAACGTCCCCGTGCGCTGCGTGCCCCGTGAAGAATCAACCTTCACTCCGCCTCCGGGCTCCAACTGCCAGGACTACGCGGGCTCGTTCGCACAGGAGGCTGGCGGGTATGTTCGGGACATGGGCAATGGCGTCTGCGCTTATTGTCAGGTCTCGGACGGGGATAATTTCGTACGTGCCCACCCTTTGTCCTTCTCTTCCTAGCATGCTCTTCCGGAGAATATACCGTCATCGGAAGAAGTATATCTATTTACTAACCGCCCCAATTCGAAATATAGTCCTCCGGATTCAACGTCTTCTACTCGCATAAATGGCGCGACTACGTATGTCCCCCAGGTATCCTCCCTTCTTAGAATGATCCCAACTGACCGGTTTTCTCAATAGGGTATATTCTGGGCCTTCGTCATGTTCAATTTCGCTGCCGTGTTCTTCTTCTCGTGGTTGTATCTTCATGGGATCACTAACACCAAGAGATGGTTTAGTGCGAGGAAGGCGAGGAAGGTGGCTGCGGCTTAGGGACTGGGTGTGCTTTTTTTCGGGGGTATTTACTACTACTATATATATTCGGTATTGTTGACTCCTTGTTTCATGGTGTTTCTGGAAGATGGGAAAACAGTTGTACTACAGTTTTACAGTCATGTATCTGAGCTTGATTATTTGGGGATTGTCTACTCCACTCCTGTGATGTATTTACAATGGATATATAGTATGGTTAGCTAACGGATAGTTGATATTGAGAACAATGAGAACGAGAAAATTAGCTTGACATAGGTGAGGCTGGGTCTGGTTTTTAATGCCGACTAGCTGGCTGATAAGGTCTGTTAGAAAGGTATATATATGTACATGAAGAGAGCTAAGTACTGGTCACATTCTTGTGCTCGGGTCCAGTAGACAGATACTAAACTGAGCTAGACAAAAAGCGGAAACCGCTTGAGACATGGAGAAATTATTGGCTTAAGAATAGAAGTGATCCCAAATAGAGCTGCGATGATTATGTGCCCGAAATGGAGGAGGGAGGCGTGGGACCCGACGAGCCCGCGAGATTCGAGACCATCAGATTCTGCGGGGGGTTCCAGGAGGTCGAGGAGCCGCTGGGGCCTTGGTTTGTGGAGGAGCTGGCGCCTTCAGTGGTGTTTGCTGGATGGTGGCCGTTCATCAGGCGAGGCCGTTTGGCTTGGGGACCCGCGCTGGGGCTCGCATGGCCGTCATGCTGGTGGTAAGGAGAGGGATGTTGGTTCGGAGACGCAGATGTGCCGCCTGTCTGAGAGGGCGATGGACCCGGCGGGCTCATTGCCGTGGGAGGCTGCAGAGATCTTGATTTAGGCTGATTCGCAGGCTGCTCGTCGCCGGCACGGGGCTTGTCCGAGGGATTGTGATCGTCGTGCATGGGGTTCGCATATCCGACACCCACTCGGCCCATGCTCTTATCATGCATCACAACACGCTTCCACTTGGTTACTACGTTGTCATAGTCCCAGTGGGGCGAGCCAGGGCTGATTTGGCTTTCTTTCGCGTCCAATTCTCGGGCAACCTCCCGAGGGAGTGGCAGCGTATCCGGTGGGAAGAGAGCAAACTCTCGTGGCCATTGGCATGATCCAAGTCGTTCCACTTGCGCGCGGAGCTGGTTTGCCTCCTGCTGAACCCGTGCCAACTGGTCATCGAGTGACTTCCGTTTTTCCATTTCCCTAGCAAACGCTCGAGTGATTTCAAGCTGCCAGGATTCCTGCCGAACATCTGGAGCAAGCGAAGCCCAATGTTTGAATGCCAGCTCCAGATGCCTCAGGCTGATGTCCTCATGTTGTTGCGCACTCCGAGTGATCATGTTGGAATCCAGGCCAACACAGGCCCTCCCGGACTGGGAGTTTCTGCCTGAATCGGCAGCAAGTTGGTCTGATTGCCATCGCTCGATTTTGGCACGCAGGGCTTGTCGAATGATTTCGACATGCTCAACACCAGGAGGTTGAAGAGGAAAAGAGGATGAAGAAGGGAATGGATTCGACGAGAAAAGACTAGGTGGAGGGGGAAGCAGCTGCAGACAGAGCGAAGGGAAGGTTTGCGACTGAATGTCGAATTCAAATGGTGATATCGGAGGACGCATCCTAGATCTATTGCGCATGTTAATGGCTGGCTTTCATAGGCCGATGGGAAAGGATAAGAGTAAAACATACGTGGCGGCCTTGATGTTGTCGAGGACCTCCTGCAAAGCCAATTCCAACGCTCTCACGGTATCCGGATTGCTGCCACTAGTACCTCTGCTTCCGTATTCTGGTAGGTTCAGAGAGCTTGCCCTGGGCTGCGCGGAGCCCAATCGGGATGAACTCGAGGGTTCTTGGGGATGACTCGGATTGGGAATATCATTGATGACACCGGTCGCATGCCATGTCGGAGTGTTGAACATCATCCGAATCCCACTATCTCTCTGTTTACCACTCGATTCACCACCGTTATAGGAATCGAGCGGGCCTTTTCCGGTTGTTCGTTCAGGAGTGTCCCGTTTCCCGGACGAGGTGCGAGCCTGTCGTCGGGTGATGCTGCTCCGTATGCGCCGAATCTCCTCCACATCATGAATTCCGTCTGGCTTCTTTTTGAACAGGAACTGATCCAAATGTCGCCCTAACGAAGACGAAGTGAATGCCTGATCACAGTACTGGCATTTCCGATCCTTCGAGGCCGCGTTTTTGGCGGCGGCCGACTGGGCATTGTCGTCGGCGCCACCTGACTCTTCAGGGGTGTTTGTCGGACGAGTAGATGCGCCTTCATCCATGTTTCACAGAAACGCGAAGATTTAGGCTGCAGGTGAATGTCAAATGTGGATAGAGGTGTGGAGGGGGGCAGAAAGACGCGTTCACGGGAGCCAAAATGTGTAGAACTTCTGCAAGCTCAATGCATGACAAGCGATAATCAAATGACGGGAAATTGCCGGCGACAAGTATGCAAGCCGAATAAAGAGAGTGGTGGTGCGCAGCGACGCGAGGGGTGCAAGCAGCTGCAGGCGAAGAGTTGGTCGACGATTCGAAGGAGCGGAGAGAAGAAGAGAGCGGAAGAAGGGAGGAGAAACGTGACGATCCTCGCCAAGCTTTGGCTGTGGGGGAGTTTCAGCCTCTTCGTCTTCTGCGCTTTCCATCACCCACCACCGTCGGGTCTTTCCACCGTTCGTGCGTTTGTGTCTAGAGAGTTTGGCATTGCGCCTGATGCTACGAATACATGCGGTCGGAAATTTACGTCTGCTCAGATGATTTGCTCTAGAATCCGCTATGATTAACTCTCGACGCATTCAACCTGTCCTGCGAGTGCTCGTCGATTAGAACTGCGCGTCGAGTATCACAAGCACGGAATGTTCAGACCAATAAGAATCCTCAACATGTCAGTATACCGGATGGAATTGCTGTCATGCTGTCTCCATATCCCTCCGTTGTGCCCGTCAAACACGTCACCCTGATCGCCAAACATGTGTTCCCTCAAGCTACGGGCTTTTGGGCACGTTAGCACCAATATAGTCAGCCAATGTAAGCACTTTTTCTTCCTGAAGGCGTCGCCCAATGAGCTGCAGCCCGGCAGGTGCGCCGTCATAAGCGTCAGCATCGTCTAGCCTATGGTCAGCAAGGCTTGATACACATAGTCCAATCAAGAGCGGTCTACTCACATTGACCGTGAACTTCTTGGTCCATTTCATTCAAGAAACCCGTTCCTGGCTGAGACACGTCGATATTTTTATCCGCTCGAGTCACCGGGAATACAACGCTCGTATAGTCGAGGAGGTTGACGAAGGAGGTATATCCAACATGGTCGTATTTGCAGGGTAACACCGCAGCATGGGGCGCAGCAGGGCAAATAACCCCATCGACTGGTCGTCCGCTACCAGTCAACTCGGCTGTGCTGTTCCAGTAATCCATGTACTGCTTCTGATACTCGCGCTTTTGCACGTTGAGTACAGCAATCTCAGAGGCACTCTTTTGAGGCCCGGGTTCCACAATCACTTGGTAAGGCTGATCTTCCCCCGATAGACCAAAATGATGACCGAGATCGGCTCCCCCATCGAGGTTATACGTTTCCCTCTGTTATTGTTAACAGTCTCTAAATGGATAAGAATTAAAAGGGTAAAGTCGGACAGAGACATACGGCTAATTGATGCGCAATTGCGTGAGAGGGAGGGTTCCATTCGATAATCTGTTCCGGACAGTTAGCATCATCAAGCCAATAAACCTGCCTTTTTTTGCCCTACCTTATGTCCTAATCGTGTCAGAGTCTGTTCAACAATCTTCATGGCTCTTGCTATCGGAGGATGAGGCCGCACGACACCATTGTGGTTCATGAGGCCAAACGCAAGCGGAGAAGATCCTGATTTGGACTTCTCAATTAGGGCGCGTGTCTCTTTTTCGATCTCATCCCGCCATGGTAATTCCAGAACTAAGGGATCATGATACCATGGCTGCTGACTGAGAACCGCCTTGAAGAGCAGCTTGAGAGAGCGTGCAGTGGCCGCCAGAGGCCCGATGACCGACAGGATTGTACTTTGGCCATCCATGGAATTCGCCGCACCCTCATACGGCACCCTGCCCGCTGACGGACGCAATCCATAAAGCCCATTAAATACGGCCGGGATTCGAACGCTCCCGCCAATATCTGTACCGAATCCTCCCGGGGAGCCCTTCAACGCAATGAGCGCCCCTTCACCTCCCGAGCTTCCCCCACAGGAGAGGAGTCGATTGTGCGGATTGGTGGTGTATTTGATGATATTGTTGACCGTTTCACCAGTCATCAAGGTGACGGGAACACTGGTCTTGCAGAACAGCACAGCTCCTAGGCTTCGAAGCTCGCGGACAAGTTCACTTTCAAACACTTTACTCCGGGGGTCGTTCTTTTGTCCTTGGAACGTGCCAATCCACCCGACATATCCCATCGTAGTCTCGACCCCTTTAACATGGAACTGGTCTTTCAAACTGACCGGTAGTCCGTGCAATGGACCAGTGGGTTTTCCATGTTCCGCGAAGTAAGCATCGAGCTGTTTCGCATCTTCGATCGCAGCGTCAAAAAACACTTCATGCAAACAGTTTACCTGCATATCCAATTAGTCATTTTCCACCACAGCTACCCGTAAGAGGACTCTACCAGTTGATGAGCAAGCGCCGCTCGATGGCAAAAGGCCTCTGTCACCTCGACGGCAGACCAAGTTCCCGACGTGGTCTTTTCTGTGATCCCCAAGGCGTCGGTTTCGGTGATTTCGATCTCCCGGGGAGTCAGGAACTGTTGTATATAGGGGCCAGTTACATCGCGTAACTCTTCCGCCGTGGGGATGGGACTCTGAATCCTCCATTTCTCAGGGATTGCGTCTAAAATCGATTGGCGCTTCGCAGCTGCCAGCTGTTGCCAGCCTGCATGAGTCATACTGAGCGCGATGACGGAGCTATAGTTATATATCCAGTATCGTAGAGGATGTGTATGATGCACAAATTACAAGGGTAAGTAAGAAGACAGGAAATGGGAAAGAGGGAGAGATGTGCATCATAAGAGCTATGGCTTATCTCTGTCGGATGATTCAACGGCGATGGCTTTATCAGGCAGGTCGAGAGGGTTAGCGCCGAAAATCGTTGGAGTAACTTGGGATCCCCTCAATTGAAGTGGGCGGGGTCAATCGGAGCACGATTGAATGGCACCCCGATGTGTAGGACGGCTCGTGATGATTCAAGTGGACTTTGATAAGCTCACGATGGAAGCCGTGGTGTTCTCGTAATGGATTTGTGTTTATGGTTTTCGGGAGTCCCTTGGTTCTCCCAAAAGGGAAAATAGTCCAAACGCGAACAATAAATCTTGGAAATTGATTATATACAACAATGCTTTTTTATGTACTCCAACGCAGATAGCTCATTCAGTGATGAACAGCCATGTCTCATTAGTCACAGGTCGGCTGAGCTGACCCCAACCCAAAATATGGACTCCGAGTTACCCCAAGGCCAAGAATCCGAGGGTTTATTCAGCCAATTATTCGGTATAATTCTATCGATATCTCGTATCTTGGGTGACACGCGCATCTTTCCAATCCTCGAATCGTATTACGGAAGAGGTTCAGTGGCCATCTGCCGCACGTTCAAATTGATTCTCTTCCGCGACATCCAACCCTTCCAGTCGTTGTATTGCGATGCATCTGTCCCGCCAGAGCAGGGCCAATCAGCCAGCCACTCTGGGCAGGTATCAGGAAGGATCTTGGGCACTGCATGCCATGCAAAACGGGAGGTGCCGTCCATGTACACGGCATCTCCGGAGCGAAGCCGAATGATGTCGCATCCACTGCCGTCATCATGGCTGATGAGGAACAGACCATCACAGCCAAAGCTGATACTGATTAGACCCACGTCGCATTCTTCACTGACATCGCGATGGGCACTCAAGGTGTCTCCGGGGGTATAGAAGTTCAAGATCGCCGCCTGAGCATCTGTCTTGGGGAACGACGCTCGTAGAAGATTCGCAATATCCGCCGGGAAGACGGGAGGACGCTCCTCTGGGTATTCCTTGGTCGTCCAATTGTATTGACCGCCGAGAGTGATCCATCGGAGCTTCTTATTCAAGATGTCCCTGACAGCGAGGGGCTTGTGCACCGTGGCATCCTTGGGTTGTATCGTGCGAGTTTGGTCGTCTGCGAAAAAGGACATGGTTCGAGTGTCTACTGGGCTACTGTCGGGTTGCGTGCCATTCTGGCCCACCGGCCGAGGGTATGTGACATCGTAGTGTAGATGAAGATTGGATTGGTGGTCCGGATTAGATACATCGCGGTGCAGTAAACGAGACAACAGCTCTATCTGAACAGCCGGTGGGAACAGCGACGGGATCATTTGCAGACCTACCATTTGTTAGGTGCCTATCCTACAGTTCCTTTTGTCTGATGCGCATTTGAATGTCAAGGTTGCTGACCGGAAACGGATTGATGTGTGTACACGGGTATATCTTTCGTAGTACGCAGCCCATCCTCGTGTGTCCCCTTGTCCACTGGGATGAAGTCTTCGAAAGCAGGCCGGAGGGCCTCACCCGACATCCATTGGGAGAGCGCAATGCCCGTCGGAAGGTCCTGGGGGTCTAAAGCCTGAAGATCGATGATGCCGACATCCTGCTGTATCTCCGACACCGTCGACTTCTGATATTTCTTGTATCGTTGTCTGATGGACTCGGGAGGGCGCTCGTGAGCGTTGAGGTCATTGATGCGGGCCATCCCCGCGCTGGTTACTGGAGTGTTAGTGGAAGGTTGATCGGTTGATCTAAATGCCCGGCATGTGCATAATTTCGAGGATTGCGGGACAAGGCGCGAGACGTAAGAGCTATCGAGGCATGCGAGATCCAGGACCTCGCCAGACAGACAAAGGATTCCCGGAAGTCCAGCGGAGGGAAGAAAAAGAGGAAAAAGCCGTGGGACGCGCTCACCGCCTTTGGACGCGGGTTTGTTTGTGTTTGGGTTGACCGCCTTCGCTCCCCACCAGGGATGAAAAGACAACAAAGTGAGCCTTCATCTCGCCAAAAAGTGCTCTCGACAACTGCTCCTCGCCAATTCCCCGGATTTGAGTTCGATCATTAGTCGACAATCGATCTCCTTCGCCCCTTCGATCCCGTCGACCTTCCCTGGATCCCCCAATCCCTTCGTACCGCCCCCTCGTCCACCAAACCCGCCTTGTTTTCCTCGTTTCTTCCCCGGGCAACAAGCACCCGCCGTTGTGCAGTCCGTTTGTGCCCTCCTATAACCCCCACGTGCTGGCGGGCTCAGACTTCATCCTTGTCGTGGCCAAGTATCCGAGACCTCGTTCCAATTGCCGTCAAAGGTGACCGATAACCATTCGTCATGGAGAACTACCAGAAAATCGAGAAGATCGGAGAGGGTACGTATCCGACTGATAAGGACATACTTTTTTTCTTGGCTTTCGATGGCCAAAATCCATCACCGTTTAAATTGATGTCTTGCTTATAAGCAACGGATAGGAGCTAACAAGATCTGTTGTAATTAGGAACTTACGGTGTTGTCTACAAAGCCCGAGAACTCACGCATCCCAACCGTATCGTCGCCTTGAAAAAGATTCGATTGGAGGCCGAGGATGAAGGCGTTCCCAGCACGGCCATCCGTGAAATTTCCCTTCTGAAGGAAATGAACGACCCCAACATTGTGCAGCTGCTGAACATTGTTCATGCGGACGGCCACAAGCTCTATCTCGTGTTCGAATATTTGGACCTCGACCTCAAAAAGTATATGGAGGCTCTTCCTGTCAGTGAGGGTGGACGTGGTAAAGTCCTCCCAGATGGCTCCACTCTCAGCCGCAGCATGGGCTTGGGAGATGCCATGATTAAGAAATTCATGGCCCAGTTGGTCGAAGGAATTCGTTACTGTCACAGTCACCGCATCCTGCACCGTGACTTGAAGCCTCAGAACCTGTTGATCAACCGTGATGGTAACTTGAAGTTGGCGGATTTCGGATTGGCGAGAGCCTTTGGTGTTCCATTGAGAACCTATACCCACGAGGTAAATCAATCGTGCATGTCCATTGTTTAGGGGCCGGAACTGACTTGCCTAGGTTGTCACATTGTGGTATCGCTCTCCCGAGATTCTTCTCGGTGGCCGTCAGTACTCCACCGGTGTGGACATGTGGTCTGTCGGAGCTATCTTCGCGGAAATGTGCACTCGCAAGCCTCTGTTCCCTGGTGATTCCGAGATTGATGAGATCTTCAAGATCTTCCGGTATGTCCTCTTACTCAATTTCCAGAATGAGTCCCGCTGACACATGCCCTCGCCCATCGATAGACTTCTCGGCACTCCCGATGATAACCTCTGGCCTGGTGTCACCTCCTTCCCCGATTACAAGCCTACGTTCCCCAAGTGGAAACGTGAAGAAACCCACGCCCTGGTCCCTGGCCTGGAAGAGGAGGGTCTTGACTTGCTGGATTGCCTGCTGGAATTCGACCCGGCACGACGAATTTCTGCCAAGCAGGCTTGCATGCACCCTTACTTCCAGCACGGCAGCTCATACTACTCCGGTCGCACCGGCCGAAGAAATGGCTTTCATTAATTGAACGGCGGAGTGACGGACTGTGGATTGATACCTTACGTGTAATGTATGTATGTGGGTGGCTGATGGCAGACCGCAGTCTCATGGAGATGGCCGCCCGATAGATTCTACCTTTCTCTTTTTTCTTTTCTCTCCCCAGAGGCGGTCAGCAGTCCCTCCGATGTCCTTTGATGCTTTTGATGTCTCGAACGTTACCTTTACCTTCCTCTTTCATCCGATTTTGTTTCCTTTGTTTATGGCGTTGCTCATGGTGTGTTATGACCTGAAGAGACTAGGTTACTGGATATGCAAGGAGTGTCTCTTTTCTTTTTTCGTTTCCTTTCTATCCCGTACATACCCATCTGAATGAGCCTTTTGATGCACTCCGAACGGACAAGGAGCAGGAGAAGCGGACAGGCCAAGCAGTAGAATCCCGGCAGTCCACGTGCTGGTCTCGTTCTCGTCGACTCCGCCTCCCCCGTTCTTGTTTGCTCCCGACAACAACCACGTCCACACGACATTCCGCACAATCGACGGATGACCCAAAATGATCTCAGCCAGTCGTCAGAAAATGAGTTTCCCTCCAGAACACAGCCTCAGGCTAACATCTCGGGACGGCCTGGCGCCCGTTTTCTGCGACTCGGGAATGGTCGAATCACCGGCGGCGTGCCTGAGCGCTTGCCAGCCGCTCACCCAGCGCTCGTATTCCTTTGCACCGCTGCGCTATGGGCTACTATTAATATTAACCACTCATTGCTGACGAGCGGGTCTGCTCGCTCCTCGATTGTTACAAATGATGGCTAAACAAGATTTCCCCCCTCTCATAACGGTCCAGCCCGTCAGCTTAGATATTGCCGTTCAGCTTCCATCCATCACCGGTCAAAGAGCGACTCTGGCCATTCAGGGGCCGTCGAACGTGCCCTGTGTGCAGACTTTTCTCAGCTATCGTCATGCTTAGGTGACTCAGGCCCATAAACCATACTCCGGAGTAAGCACTACACGGCATATCGGTCGCGACCAAGCGGGCACCCCCTCGGCTTCCGTATGCAAGGCCCCCTAGCCTAAAGATGTAGCGATTGCTCAGCACATCCTATTGGCTCATGATCCCTGGCGTGCAATTAGATCCTGGAGCTGATCGCCGTTTCCTGATGACCGCCAACCTGGTTCGCCCAGATTCGAGCGGACCCAGTCGTCGTGGTTGCATTGGGGCTCTCCTGCTTTTAAGGCGATGCATTGCGCCTCCAAAGCGTGTCCTCGATGTATCACATTGAGTACGAGTGAGAAGCTTCCCTTCCTTATTTATAAGAGCTCTTGGGGACCGGTTTTCTTGATCGGAAGAACTCAACAACATTCTATACGATCTGTCTTACATCTAAAACAATCCAATCATGGATCACGACGACGATTTGTCCGACATGGTATTCACCCCTCCGCTTTCCACCCGGTCGGGGAGTCGAGCCTCGCGGCGAGCGAACCATTCACCGCAGGAGACTGTGCGACAGTTCTGGGATCTATTCAACACCAAGTTTCCGGGGAAGGTGTACACCGTGTTACCGAACAATCCGTACGCACGCACCAAGGCTGCCAAGGTCCCCAAGGGGGTGATCCGGGGACAGGATGCAAGCAAGTCGTACGAGCAGGTCCGCAAGGAATGCCAGCGGACTGTTGATCGCATCGTCAACGAATGCAGACGATTGAACCACAAGTACACAGACCCTCATTTCGACATCGAAGTGGATCTCAAGTCTGGAAGACGGCATTACCTGGATGGACTGGAGGATAAAAACATGGAGATGCGCCCGAAGGGAGTAAAACGAGTCACTGTGAGTTAGAATATTGAAGCATTCTTGATCAATTCTGACTTGTATAGGAAATCTTCGAGAAGCCCCAATTCTATGTCAATGGACCTACTGCTTCCGATGTCCGGCAGGGCCGAGACGGAGATTGCTGGTTCATGGCTGCTTTATGTACCATGGGCAACAAGCAGGGCTTGATCGAGAAGATTTGTGTCGCTCGCGATGAAAAGGTTGGCGTTTATGGGTTCGTGTTCTATCGAGGTATGTGAACAGATCACCTCTCATGTCGATTCCGCGACTGACAATGGCTAGATGGTGAATGGCAGCAATGCATTGTGGATGATAAACTATACCTAAGAGCAGCAGACTATGATGAATCGATTGATGAGCGACCCATCTGGGACGACATCAATCGGAAAGACACCGAGGAAGAGTATCGCAAAGTCTGGCAGACAGGATCTCGAGCGTTATACTTCGCGCAGTGTGTGGACGAGAACGAGACTTGGCTCCCGCTGCTTGAGAAAGCCTATGCAAAGGCACACGGTGACTACTCTGCCATTGAAGGCGGGTTTGTAGGGTACGCCATTCCGTTTTTTTTTTTTTTTTATTATTGGGGAGGGGGCGAGACAAGTGCTGACAGACCACAGAGAAGCAATTGAGGATCTCACTGGTGGCGTTACTTCCGACATACTATCCAGTAATATTCTGGACAAGGACAGGTTCTGGGAAGAGGAGCTCATGAAAGTCAACAAAGAATTCCTATTCGGCTGCGCCACTGGATTGTTCTCCAACTGGCTGGACCCGAAATACCAAGGACCTCCAAGAGACAGAAAGGGCATCTCGGAGAATCACTCTTACTCAATTATGGATGCGAAGGAGATTGATGGCCACCGACTAGTTCGATTAAGGTATGTGAACAGCCTACATCTGACATCCATGTAGCTGACCAAGACAGAAACCCGTGGGGTAAAAAGGAATGGAATGGTGCCTGGGGCGACGGTTCGGAGCAATGGACACCCCAGTGGATGGAAAAGCTGGGCCATAAGTTTGGAAATGATGGGGTCAGTCCTTCGGTCCATGGAAATATGACTACCCCTACTGACATATTCTAGTTCTTCTGGATATCCTACAACGACCTGCTTAAAAAGTACCAGCATTTTGATCGAACCCGCCTTTTCGGTCCCGAGTGGACTGTCACGCAGCAATGGACCACGTTGAATGTCCCATGGTCTGCCGATTACCATAGCACCAAATTCGTGGTCAACGTGACGAAGGACGGTCCGGCGGTCCTCGTTCTCTCCCAGGTACGTTAGCTTCATTTGTTAGTTTCATAACCGACTAACATCGAAAAGCTTGACTCGCGCTACTTCAAAGGCCTTGCCGGAGAATACGACTTCAAACTGAAATTCCGGATCCAGAAAGAAGGCGAAGACGACTACATGGTTCGCAGCAACTGTAGCTACGTGATGACTCGATCGGTGAACGCGGAGGTGGAGCTGAGTCCCGGACGCTACCACATCTTGATGAAGGTTACTGCCTACAGATGCAGCGACATGGCCACAGAGGACGTGGTCAGCCGGGTGGCGCCAGTGGAGAGAGAAAAGCTGGTTCAAATCGGACTTTCTTACGACCTCGCTCATGCCAAGGGTCTGGTGTTTGAGTCTGAGAAAGAAAAGCGAGCTCGTGAAGACCGCGAAGCACGCCGTAAGGCAGCAGAAAGGCGCAAGCTGCGGAAGCAGACCAAGCGAAGATTGCAGAAGGAATGGATCCGCGAGCGCAAGATAGAAGGCCGAAGGCAGAGAAAAGCAGAACGTCTTACTGCAAAAAGCTCTGTCGAGTCTATTCACCGATCAGACTTGAGCCGCAGCAGCGTGCAAATCCTTGCTGATGGACCGGTTCAGTCACCGCTAGATATGGACTACAGCCCCGGCATTGGGCTGGATATGAAGCACGCCGGCAACAGCAACGGCAGCGTTCCCACCATCCAATGCAACGGCGTCCATGTTTCCGAATACCACATGACTAGCAAAAAGGACTCTGCGCGCTCGAGTCTTGACACGCTACATTCGCCATCGTTCGCGCAGCAGCACTTCAATCAGCAAGAGATGGAACTGTTGGATGGGTTCGAGTTTGACTCGGACCTCGACATGCCTCCAGAGGAAGCGACCGAGCCAAGAGCCTGCCAGCTGTCCCCGAGAAGCTGCACGGAGGATAGCAATATCGACACATGGAACGCCGTGTGTGTTGTCGGATTGCGAGTGTACTCCAAGGACGCACAGCTGTCTCTGGAGGTTATGCGTCCTGTGCCAGAGGATGAGTCGGAGGCCGCGCTTGACATGGATGACCCGGCCGCGAGTGCAGCTTGCGAGAAGGGACCATTTGGGCGGAATGCGATGTTCTTTTAAATGACACTGATCATAAAAGTTGATTTCGGCGCAGGCAGGGTTGGAGGATATCTGAGTTATGTTACGAGCTGACTAGATTTCGGCTGGCGTCTTTGGCTTTAGAGTATTTATCATCAGAATGAACATTTTGTCTACATTTTTTATACTCCAGAAAGTACATATGATCATTTCCATTTAACTCCACACAGCCCCAAACAAACCTACATTTGGCATGCAATCCCTGGCCAACAATACAGATATCTGAACAGGACCAGCCAGTTCTTCCAAAGCGTTTGATCGACAGTGGCAGGGATGTAAATCATGCACGCGTCTCGGTAAGTGTATACTCGGCCTCTCACCTGGTATCCTAGATTTCGGATGAGTGAGATGAGATGCAATTATGGCACCATACGGACTCGGGAGCTGAGTGGCTGCACCTCTAGAACGCTCGGTAGTTTGGGCGATATTTGATAAGACCCGTAGGATTTAATTCCCGGTAGTTAGGCATTCAAGAATCATACTTGTTGTGTTATTGCGTTGACACGGATGTATTATACGGTAAGCTAACCTGCACCAAAACAAGCCAAACTTGAAATTTGCATCTTTCCGCCGCGAAAATTACCACCGATTTCCAAGATCTCGTCCCTCAGTGTAGTCGGAGCCTGTTCTACTCTCCTCTCTCTTACGCATATCCAAACAAGCCTCATTCATAATTCTTCGACATGGAACACACACCCAACCCTATCCTCCTGCAGAAAGGCGACTCCTCTCGCACGCCACTCTTCCTGCTCCACGATGCCGGCGGCACGGTGTTCAACTACTACAAGCTCGGGAACGTGGGCCGAACCATCTACGCCATCTCCAATCCGTGGATCAAAACGGAGACGAAGTGGGAGGGCGGGTCGATGCGGTTCGTGAACGAGTACATCAAACTGATCAAGAGCGTGGTGTCGTCGGGCGAGATTCTAGTGGGGGGTATATATCCTGCCTATCTACCTTCACCGCACATGCCACCCGATATCTATGACCCTGTACACTAATCAATATCGAAACAGGCTGGTCCCTGGGCGGCCAACTCGGCATCGACATCGGGCGCGTCCTTGCCTCCAATCCTCGCTCCCGCCTCTCCGTCGTCGGCGTCGTCATGATCGACACCCTCTATCCCTACTGGGGACCACCCGAGACCCCTCATGCCGAATTCCCCGTGGACCTAGTGCTGCGCAACTGCCCGGACGAGCTGCGCGCCGAGATCCTGCGGTGCATGCAGTGGTCGAAACAAGACAGCGACGAGTGGGTGCGACGCAACTGGAAAGCCGACGCGGACGAGCTGGACAAGATCGAGGCGGAGGAGCCGCCGCCGGGGGTGCTCATCCTGGCGAATGGATACGTGCCGGTGGGAGAGGGACAGGGCGGTCGAAAGGTCATGGTCGATTATTTGAGGGAGAAGAGGGTCGGGTGGGATTTGTTTCCGCATCAGTTTATTGTGGCGGTGTGGGAGGTGTCTGGGCATCATTTTGGGCTGTTTGAGAGGGAGACGGTAGGTCTTTTCCCACGGGGCTTATAGGTATGAGGCTAACGAGAGTAGATTCAGGTGACGACGGAGAAGGTTCGATTGGCGTGTGATCTTCTGGCGGAGGACTGATATTAGTGATGTAGCATGCATCTAGACAGCCATACAACCTACATATCAAACCATACAAATTGACCTAGTACATAGTACTTCCTACCAAGCACAAACCACCATCCCAGGACTCGACAGAATCCTCGAACCCCACAGTCCAGGCACACTGCGCCAGAACTGTTCCTCATCCTGCAATAAATGTCCCGCATGTCCACTATCCAAGCACCGCAGCCTGAGCACCTCATACCCCTTCCTCTCCGTCTCCTCCGCATGATCCTCCACCTCCTGCGCACGCACCAGCTCATCCTTCCCACTGTAGATATACAACCTCGTCAAATCGGCACTAAACTGAGCCGGATCATTCAACCGCCTCACCACACCGACCACATTCTCGACGCCCATCAACCTCTCGAGGAGAAACCACACGGCGAAGTATACCCTCAATCCTGCCACAATGGCCAGCGCCTTGACTTTTCCCCAAAACCACCACCACCACCATGACCCCTCAGACCCTCTCGCTTGACTCCCTAGCATCCTTATTGAAAACGCCCCCACCGTGCTGCTGAAGATCTAGAAGCGTACCGACGGCAGGCTCAAACTCCCTGGTCCATTGCGCCGCGGACTGCACGAGGAAGTGAGATGAAGAGGTCGTGACGAGGAGGATGCGCGAGGTCGGGAACTTGCGTTTATATCCTGTGACGTACTTGATGATGTGGGCGGGCGAGGCGTTGAGGTAGGTGCAGAGGAGGATGAGGTGGGGAGGTGGTGTTATGGTGGAGGGTTTGGTGGTGGTTTTTGCAGTGGTGGTTGCGGGGATGTAGATAGATGTTGAGGGAGAGAGGGGGGTGAATGTTGGTATTTTGTGGGGAGAGGGCATTTAAATTGATAGTAGAGAAAGAGGTGAGAAGAGGATGTGGTTGAGGTCGAAGCTGGCTGGATATGTTTGATGTTGATAGTAAGGAGAATGTTCAGGGTGAGTAAGGTGCTATTGAGGAGAAAGCTGAAGCATGGGCAATTGAATAAAGGCGTTTAGTCGTAGAGAAATAACATAGGAGACGTACTCCAGACTGAATGAACGAAGCAATGCTTATGCTCATGTCCAAGTTAGGGCTTTGGATGTCACGCTACAATACCGAAACTTGCCAAATATGACCACCACCAAAAACCCAATACCATACCGTGTAATTCTCACTCCCAGATATTACCAAATATTACCCGCATTACATTACAGGGTCCTCATCATCAGACATCCTGCAGAACTTAAACCCCCACCGATGAACCTCGCTAATCTGACCGTCCGAAACCCGCTTCGCCAGCAAAAGTACCTGCTATATCAAACTCAGTCCAATAGCTGAAACTCAATCTTCCTGCTGCCTATCTTGAAGGATTCCTTCCTCATCGACGTTGTATGGCGGAGATAGTGGAGATAGTGAGACGGCTCTTGGTGCGGAGCTGACGTCGAACGCTCGGAATCCCTCAGTGTGCTTACCGTGAGGGAATGGATGTTGTGTATTCTCCGGGCTAGTGTCGAGGGACTGTCGAGGCTGGGTTTGCTTGCGTGGACATTGGAGTGTAGACAGGGGTGATAGTCTGGTTGGATTGAATCCTTCACAATGGCTGTGCTGGTGGTCTGAGGTATGTAGATAGGGACGCTGAAAGGATGTGACATGCCGAGAGAAATGTGTGGACTCTTTGTCGAAAGGGGTGATGAGGTATACTGAAGCATCCCATGACCGGAGTATACGAATGCACACCAGGATCGGTAGATTTGACATTCACATTCATAGTTATACCTTCACAGCTATGTATCTATCACCGAACTGCTAACATCTACACATTCAGGTAGGAGATAAATAGTATCTACACCCTCCTCACCGACTTCGCAAAAATTGAATGAGCCATCTTAGTATTCAATTCCAGCTTCACCAATCCCTCCTGCCGCGGCGACTCGGGAAGCAGCGTGACGCTCTCGAACTCCTGACAAAGACGCGCGAGGAAATACTCCATCTGGAAGTTGGCAAATTGCTGACCCAAACATACTCGCGGGCCATGATTGAAGGGGACGAATTCCCATTTATTACTGGGTTCCCACGTTTCTATACATGCGTTAGTTCAATTCCCCGTAGAAGTGATGGAAGCAGGAGGGAGGAGGATACCCCATCGTTCTGGATTCCAGACAGACGCGTCGTTAACGCCGAGATCTTCACGCTGTTGAAGCGAGAGGAGTCCGTATACTGTGACAGGTCAGTCAGGTTTAGGATGAAGTGGTAGGAGAAGGGACATACAGATTTGGGTGCCTTTGAGCACGGCAATCGGAGATTTTCCATCCGGACCGCCTCCTCGAGGAAGTGTCATGTCCTGAACGGGGACTCGCGCATTGAATCCCACTGGCATTGGTTAGATTTGATCCCTGGATAGATGTAGAGGGACTCACAAGGATGATGAACTCGCAAGGTCTCTTTGATCACTGTTTTTGTATATTTCAACTTATGAAGATCAGACAGCACGGGAAGTCTCTCGAACCCAATACTACCACCAACGTTAGCGTATTCACAACACAAAACCAGAGACTTACTGCTCCTTCACCTCCCCCTTCATCTTCTCAAACACATACGGATGGCGCGCGATCTCATAGAACGCCCATGCCAGCGACGTTGTCGTAGGATCCTTCCCGGCCAGCAGAGTGGCAGTGACTGCGTTCTTGATATGCGCGCGCCGTTTCCCTTTGACGATCAAGTCATCAACCAGAGTCAACGAGTCCTTGGCTTTCTTGCCGCGAACGCTGCAGGCGTATGCCTTTGTCGCGAAATTATCGAGGTAGTTGTCGATAAAGGCGACGGCCTTCGGGGCGATCCATTCATCCTTTAGGTAGACACCAACCTTTCTAATAGGCATTAGCTGTGAAGCTAGAGAGTGAGGCGTACATTACCCGAGAAGCTGTCGGAAACTGGCGACTTTCAGCAAAGTGTCCATTGCGTTGCGGAAAGGCTGCTGGTCGGATGTCAACGAGTTGGTCGATTCGTCGCAGAAGACCTCCGTCACGACGTCTAGCTGGAGACGGTCGATTACGTCGAAGGCATCGACGCCGTCTTCTAGCAGTTTGAATGCATTTTGGATGTGTCGCTCGGTGACCTCGAAGTCGGATTGTCGGACGCGGTTCATCTGGGAGAGTTAGGGCTGGGATGTTTATACGTTCAGATAGACGTACGTGTGGACGGAGCAGCCCGGCTTCCTGTTTCCATTCCTCGCCATTGACTATTGGGTCAGTTTGGACTAAACCAGAGGAGACATAGAGAGAACATACGCGCGAAAATAGCATCACCAAGGATATGTTTGAAGATCTCGTGCTGTTCCTTCGACTTGGCGACTTCCCAGAACTGCAGCCATTAGATATTGTTCGCTGCATCCCAGGGTCTATCTACCCACCTGAGTATCTTGAATTGCCCTGATATTGGCCGGATCATCAGTCAACAACAGATTGGCGCCCAGCATATGCAGCTGCAGCGTGTGATTATTTTCTTCGAGCAGCCGTTTCGTCCAGTGATAAAAGCGATGCTTTCTCAGCTCTCTAAACATCTGAATCACATAGTTCAAGCCTTTCCAAGTCAGTAACGCCACCGAAGCAAACAGAAAGACAAACCCAAGGTATTAGAAGGCAGAATAGCCGGTGGACCAGCGCCGACGGCGTTGTATCTCTTCTGCCGCGGATTGACCGAAAGGACATGAAAGACCACAACGCCGACGAGAGCGACGCCGAAAAGAGCGATGGGAGATGTAAAGACGCCCATTTTGACTGTCACTGTTCCTGTCAAAGTCAACTCTCGATATGATTCCCAAATATAAGCAGAAGCAGGACCCCCCCTCGCCTTCTCACTTTCCAGCAGACCCTCCCTCATTCGTCGAGAAGCTTCCTCTCCACATGGCACTTCATCCCTGCTTTTGCACTCCTCCATTTCCCCTATTTCCGGCCACGGGGTCTCGACTTCGTCAGTGGAAAGTTTGTGTCAGCTTGGCTCGCCCAATCATCGTCGGGTCGATGTTGCTGATGGCCTGATCGGTCTCGTATCTTTGTCTGATGGTAGTGGATCTTGGTCTGAATGTCAGGTGAGATAAGATGCATCCATGTATCCTGCAGGTACGATTTAAGTGTCAGTATTGAATATCGTACCAGATGATTTCGAGGCTCTCGGCCTACTTGACCTGTTTAGCTTCACCTGTCAGCTCTTGGCTGAGCATTGTTCCGATCATTCTGCTCCAGATTGGAAGATTGATTTGTCGATGGTTTGAGCTCTTCCAGTCGACTCAATCTCTATACAGGTCTATTCAACACCGAAAGAACTCCCACACCACGACAATGGCTGAGAAATCCCAACTCCTCCCCTTCCGACAAGTCGTCATTATCGGCGCCGGCTTTGGCGGCCTCGCGATGGCCTGTGATCTGAAGCGCAAGTTGAAGTTCCACGATTTTGTCATCTACGAGCGCAATCCCGGGCTGGGAGGAACATGGTATGATAACAATTGTAATCCCCACCTATATCCCATCTCGATGGATAAACACTGACTAGAATGCAGATCCCGGTGCAGTACGTCTGTCCAGCTCTAAACACTTGCGCGATATCAACTCACGCAATAACAACCAGGCAGCAGATATCCCCGGCTCGGTATACCAGCTGTCCTTCGCACCGGAGCCCAACTTCACGCACGTCTTCCCCGACCGCGCGCAGCTGCACACCTACATGCTGGATGTGGCGCAGCGATTCCACATCCTTCCCTATCTGCAGTGCAATATCGCCTGGGTGGGAAGCACCTGGCTGGACGAGCGTAAGTGCTGGAGCGTCGAGCTGCAAAACACGCAGACGGAGGAACGGTATGTCCAGGAATGCGCGGTCCTGATCAGCGCCGTCGGCCACATGGTGGATCCCAAGCGGTTCGAAGTCCCGGGAATGGAGACCTTCAAGGGACAGATCATTCATTCGAGTAAATGGACGGACGGGGTGGATTTGAAGGGGAAGAATGTGGCTGTGTTGGGGAATGGAAGTGCGTTTCCCCATTCTCCTTTCTATATTTCCCTTTTCTCTGGACTGAAGGGTGAAGACTAACGAGACCAGGCACGGCCGTTCAAATCGTCCCTGCCATCCTAGATGACGTGAAGCAATGCACGCAGATCCAACGAGTACAGCCTATTTCTCATCCTCTAACTATGAATGCAGACAGTGAAGCTAAACAGAAATGCAGTCCCCCCAATGGATCCTCAACCGCCCCAACCCATACGTCCCCTCGAGCCTGCGCAAATGCCTTGCTCTCTTCCCCATCCTCTTCGTCCTGCTCCAGCACTGTGGCTTCGCCCTCGCAGAGCTCTTCTACCCCCTCCTGGGCCGACGAATCCCTCGCTTGAGCAAATCGCATCTCCGAGCCTGCGGAGTCCCCGAGAAATACCACTCCCTGCTCACACCCTCCGTTCGTTCCCCCATCCATCCATCAATCCCTCTATCCACCCACCTACCAAGCCCTAACTACTAACCCGACATAAATAAAAGTACGAACCCGGCTGCAAACGCCTCGTCTTCGCCTCCTCCTACCTGCAAAGCCTCTCCAACCCAAAACTGCACCTCCAGCAGGACGAGATCACCGCCCTCACGGACTCCAGTGTCGTGCTGAGATCAGGCACCCCCGTGCCCTGCGACGTGCTGATTCTCGCGCACGGGTTCGAGTCCGACACATTCCGGTTCCCGGTGAGAGGTCGCGAGGGCCGTACGACAGCACAGCACTGGGACGAGGCGGGAGGACCGAGCTGCTACAGGGGGTGCGCGATGCATGGGTTTCCGAATTTCTTCATGATACGGGGGCCGAATATGGCATCTGGGTGGGTATTTCTTCTTTCTTCTCCTGTCTCCTCTCTTCTTTCTGGGTTGAGTTTCGTTGGTTTCGTTGGTTTGGTTGGTTGGTTGGCCTAATGTGAGAGTGAAGGCATAACTCGGTTATCTACTACATCGAAGCGACGGTCTCGTTGATCCTGAAGATCGCCACGCCGCTGATTGAAGGGCGGTTGCGCAGCGTGGAGATCAAGTCGGAGGTGGAGAAGTCGTATGTGGCGAGTGTGCAGGAGGCGTGTAGGAAGGGCGTTTGGGGACGCGGCTGCTCGACGTATTATGTGGATGGGACTGGGTGGAATCATACAATTTATCCGTGGAGTGAGTTTTCTCTTGCGTTTTTATTAATTGGGTTTGGCTGATTGATATATAGCGAGTTATTGGTTGTGGTTTCATCGGTTTGAGAGGGTTGGGGACTGGATTTGTGAGAATTGATCTGTTATTTATCTTGGTTTGATTGTGAGGACATGGGATAGGGATATATTACGGCCTGAAGTATATACTTAACAGAGTTGAATAGAAAGAGAAGAATGACCGGTTCCCGTTCCCTCCAATCCTGGCTGTGGGAGCGTTGACCTCTCGTTTCAATTCTCGCTGCACTCGATATGCATCTTGGAGACACCAATCAGCCATTCTCTGGGCGATCATCACCAGCTTTCTTGGCTGAGGACGACAATTGCCCCGAGTCCAACCGCATCGACCAATCTGCGACCACCGAGGCTGCATCAAACGGCTATGCAGCTTGTTCAACATCATCTCTCGAGCTGCAGAGAATTGGTTACACTCACAGGAGGCCTCACGAGAAACGGCAGCATCAATAGGAATTAGATTTCCGATCCCCGGGTGACCCAAATCCTTCTGGACGGGAGTTCTGCAGAACGCCGTTCTGTCTGGATCGACAGTCAGCTTGGATCCTGTTAGCTGCAATCAGATCGTATTGCAAAATACCGTGATACAAACCCCGGATCCGTCGTAACTTACGAAGTACGACACTTACGATCGTGAAATTTGCAATTCACGCTCTCAATGGAACCGAGCCCTAACAAGTTGCAGCCAACCAGGCCTCACTGGAGCGTTTCTGGCAGGAAAGGCGAGAGAAACATGCTCTCATGCAGACTCCACGTGAGATAGGCTGACCAGTGCCATGCGCAGTATACCTTGCAACTATAGACTGATGCATGGATCGTGTGGTTGCAGGGGCTGAAAGTCCGAAAAAAGCGTACATCTGCACATCAAACAAGGATGGCACTTTGTAGCGAGATGGCAAAACAATAGACACGGCAATATAGCAGGTTTCAAACCTGGCAAAATCCCTCGAGAATAAAGTTGGTTGTTGGCGGCAAAAGATCCGTAGGTGGGGCTGCTATCTCTTTCGGTAGGAGACTTACCCATGGGACTATACAATGCCAGTCCGACTGGTTGGCTGCGTCATATTGCGCAAGAGGGTTGGTCGAGCAGGACACCACGAATAAATGTATACGCTTGTACGCAGGACGATTGGTCTGCTGCAACGCGCAAGCAAGGCTATCGTCCAAATCTTACCTGAAACCACCCGAGGTCAGCAGAAAATCACAATGCAAGTATCCAAGAATGCAGGATGTGACGTCTCATTTAGTCCGTTTGGCTGAACCTCCACGCTGGGGGCTGAACTCAATCCCCTGATCCTTGTTCCATGCGGAGTAGGCATCATAATGCTCGTAGCTACTACTGATAGATCCAACGCCAATGTGTCATCTCTGACCCTCCACATCCTGTCTCCGTATCAATTCCCACAGTAAGATGGCATGGGCAAATAATCATCGCCATCAAGACAAAGGTGCAGCAATTGAAGGCCAAGTTGTTGTCGTGAAGTGCGGGAAAGTGGATGATAACCCCGGTCTTTCACGAGATACGTTATTTCGTATCTGTCAGAACTAGAAGACATCTGGTGGGGTGGTGGGGTACATTGTGCACCGCTAATAGTATATCGAAACGAGATCCGAATGGCTCGCGTACGTTGCCTCAGTAAGACGGAATTAGTAGGCTAGATGGGCCGGGAGGCTGGGCTTGGTTTGACCTGGAAGATAGCACTGGGGACATAGTGAGATCTGTATGTTGGCCTGATATCAATGGCCGGTGATAGGTTACGGCTGAGATCCGACGGTGTCAAGTGGAGTGTAAGCGCCGGTACTTCTGCCTGGTTGCGACAGCCATCGTATATAAACTGCTCCAGATCGACCCGGTCCGGACCTAGCTGGATCTTGTCAAATCTGGAGCTTACAATAGACCTATAGGATTTATCGACGAACATTATGGGTCACGAAATAAACGGTAGCACCAATGGAGATGGACTTACTAACGGCCATTCGAACAGATATACGAATGGTCATGCAGATGGGTGCGAGGCATTCAACACCCCTCTAAAGACCTTCACTGACAAGCCATCAGACACGACGCACCACGAAAGCAAACCTCAACGCTCCCTCCCCCGATCGCCATCATTGGCATGGGAATGCGTCTACCCGGCGGATGCAATGACACCGAGTCGTTCTGGGATCTTCTCATGAACAAGAAGGAGGGCATGATCCCAGTTCCACCTAACCGATGGAACGAAGATGGATTCTATAATCCCTCCGGAAGGCCGGGTACTATCCGCAGCAAAGAAGGCAACTTTCTCCAACAGGATCCTACTGTCTTTGACGCAGGGTTCTTTTCTATGACGGCGTCGCAAGTCGAACAGGTAGATCCACAGCAAAGAATCCTGCTGGAAACAGTTTATGAGTCGCTGGAGAATGCAGGAGAAGGAGATATCAGAGGAAGGAATATCGGAGTGTATGTGGGGACTTTTGCAGAGGTACGCTCATTGAATAAAGCGAAGGGGATCTTGCTAAGGGATACAGGACTGGATTGAAATGCATGCGAAAGACTCGGAGCCACATGTTTTCTTAGCTCTCACGGGACACTTGGATTTGATGACGAGTAAGTATTTAGAGACGGTCCGGAAGAGATGCCTGATCTAAACATGATAGGTAATCGTGTATCCTATGAGGTTTTTGGAAAGGAGGGCATGATTATTGGATCTGTGAGAGCCCTATTTAGCTCTTCAGTAGGATATTAAGCTGACATGGTCAAGGTGAAATCCAACATTGGTCACTCTGAGTCCGCGAGTGCCAACTCAGCGATCATCAAAGCGATCCTGTCACTGGAGCATTTGACCATCCCACCCAATGTCAATTTTGAATCGCCAAATTCTAAGAGTATGTGGACCGATAGATACCTCTAGCTCTCGTTCTTTCGAGTTAATGAAATCGTTAGTTCCACGGGAAGAAGGAAAGCTCACAATCCCTCTCGAGGCTATGAAGTGGCCAGCCGGTCGCCACGAGAGAGTCAGCGTCAATTCATTCGGTATCGGAGGGTCCAACGGTCATGTAAGACATGCTTCCCAAATTAGGCTTTCTCAACTGACATCTCAGGTAATCGTGGACTCGGCTGCATCCTTCGGGATAAAGCAAGGGAGCAACGTCGCAGAGGCCGATGCCCCGAGACTCGGCCTGCTCCTTTTCTCCGCAAAGAGTGATGTTTCTCTCCAGGGTTCCGTCGAGAAGCACTCAAAGTATATAGAAAGACACGGGCCATCTCGTCTTCAAGACCTGGCCTACACTCTTGCCACTCGAAGACAACACCATGGCTACCGCACATTCGCCGTGTCTGACGGAGTCGAGCCCTTGCTGACACAGCGGACTGTCAAGGCAAAGAATACTGCGAAGTCCCTTGTCTTCGTCTTCACGGGCCAAGGTGCTCAGTGGCCCCAGATGGGGAAGAAGCTATTTCAAGATTTCCCTGCTGCTCGCGAGGACTTTCAGGACATTGATCATATTCTGTCACAATGCCATACTCCTCCGTCTTGGAGCATCCTAGGTAAGGCGCTATGTTCTGGTAGCTCTTAAGAACAGCCAGTAACGAGTGGACAGATGAGCTTTCCAAGCCAAAGCTGAAGAGCCAGATTCCCAAGGCCGAATTTTCCCAGCCACTCTGCACCGCAATTCAGATCGCTCTTGTCAACCTGCTCCGCAACTGGGGAGCTAGTCCGGCTGCTGTCGTCGGCCACTCTAGTGGAGAGATCGCCGCCGCATATGCAACTGGTGCCATCACGAAAAAGGACGCGCTGCTGGCAGCGTATTTCAGGGGTCTGGCCACACGAGAGAAGTTGACTGATGGTGCAATGGCCGTCGTGGGACTTGGAGTCGAGAAATTGCGAGCGTCTCTAATTGATGGCATCGTGATCGGGTGTGAGAACAGTCCGAGTAGCACAACGACGTCCGGTGATCGTGAAGTACTGGCGACGTTTATCGAGAATCTGCAGAAGAAGTATCCAGATGTGTTTGTTCGTCAGCTTCATGTTGACAACGCCTACCACTCACGCAAGTCTCTTCTCATTGCCTTCATCATGTAGTTGATGCTAACACTTCACAGACCACATGAAGGCATATGGTGCTGCCTATGAGCAGTCAATTGCTGAGATTTGCACAAGCAAGAAGCCCAATATTCCGTTTTTCTCGACAGTAACCGGAACAGTTCTTGACTCCGCCGACGCTTTCACAGCATCCTACTGGCGAAATAATTTGGAAAACCCTGTCCTCTTTGATACTGCGGTACGTAATATCATTAATGCCAATCTCCAGAATCCCGTCTTCCTTGAAGTTGGACCCCATTCAGCACTCGCAGGCCCACTGAGACAGACGTTCCAAGCTGAGGGAGCCTCTCTCACGTACATGTCAACCCTGCAACGTGGCAGGGATGACACCGAGTCCATCTATAATGTCATTGGGAGCCTCTGGGTGAACAATGTTTCTGTGAACCTAGAAGCTCTAAATCCCGTTGGTTCCGTTCTCACAGATCTGCCGACCTACTCGTGGGATCACTCCGTGAAGTACTGGGAGGAGAGTCGGATCTCGAAGGAGTGGAGAGAGCGAAAGTTCCTTCCCCACGAAACCCTTGGCGTTCGCCTCGGAGGCAGTAGCCATCTCGAGCCAACATGGCGCAGCCTGTTGAGGCTCGACGAAGTTGGATGGGTCCGAGATCATCAAGTTGGTACTAATATTGTCTTTCCCGTGAGTGTCTTCCTTCGTGCACACACCTCTAATGCAACTCTAATAGTAGACAGGGCGCCGGCTATGTTTGCATGGCCGGTGAAGCCATCCGCCAGCTGACCGGAAGGTCTGACTATTCCGTGCGAGGCTTCTCAATCCGCACAGCCATGATTGTCAGTGAATCTAAATCAAACGACGTGGTGACCACATTCAAAAAGGGCAAGCTCACTACCACGACGGATTCTGACTGGTGGGACTTCCGCATCACGTCATTCAACGGTTCCACCTGGAGTGAGCATTGCTCTGGCCAGGCGAAAGCTGGACCTATTCACCCAAGCGAGGGCCGGAAGGTCTCTCAGCCAGACTTCCTCAGGAAGATTGCCGCTAGTCGCTGGTATGATACCATGCAAAATATCGGTTTCACATATGGTCCAGCTTTCCAGGGTCTGAGAGAGATTTCAGCAGATCCCACGGGTAATGAGGCAGTCGCTATCATCGAAAACGCACACCTTGATACGGAGTCATTCTATGAACTCCATCCTTGCACACTTGATAAGCTTATGCAATTGATGACAGTGGCCCAGCACGAGGGAAAACCGTCGCTCTTCAAGCAACTGAGTATGCCCACATACATTGATGAGATCTACATCTCCGGCGGGATGAAGGAGCTGAGAGCAACCGCTTCATCTTACAAGGACTTTATGGATGCATGGTCCGGTGACGAAGTTGCCACCGTTGATGGCAAGATAGTGTTTGAGATGAAAGGCTTGAGAGTGACTGGCCTAGGCAACAGCACGGACGTCGAAGAGAAGCCCAAGAATGCCGTTCAACTCGTGTGGAAGCCTGATATCAACTTTTTGAATGCAAAAGATCTCATTCGTGCCCCCTTGGATCTCAGAACCTACCTGATCGCGCTGGAGAAATACTTTTTCCTGCTGGCAACGGATACAGTGAAGGCTATCGAGCCCATAGAAACTCAGGAAAGCCATCTCATTAAATTCCGAACTTGGCTAAATACCTTCGTCGAGTTTACAGGGAAGGGAGAGAATAAAATTCTTCCTGAAGGTAAAGAGCTCGCCACATTAAGTGAGCAGAACCGCCTGTCTCTCGTCCAGTCCATGACGGAGGAGTTTGATGCTGGCCCGGTTCACTGGGTAGCAACTGCCATTCGACGTGTCCACGAGAGCGCTCAGGCCAGATATGAGGGCTCTGTAGACACGTTGGAGCTTCTTATGGAGGGAGGTGCCTTGACGCAGGTAAGTCGGGATAGAATAATGAAACAAATTGCGCAAGCTGACTGTCTAGATTTACGCATTCTTTGATCTATGCTGGGATTATTCGCCATTGCTGCAGAGTCTGGGTCACAACAAGCCCACCTTGAGAGTACTAGAGATCGGAGCTGGCACCGGCGGCACGACAACCAATTTGCTTTCGGGGCTGCAATCCGAATTCGGAGAGAGACTCTACTCCAAGTATAGCTATACTGACATCTCTTCCGGATTCTTTGTGGCGGCGAAGGAGCGCTTCAAGGATCACCCTAATATCGAATTCTCTGTTCTGGACATCAGCAAGAATCCCCTGGAGCAAGGGTTCGAAGAAGGATCCTATGACCTGATTCTGGCGGCCAACGTGAGTTTTCCAATGTCCTCTATCGTAAGTTCGGGCTTTTGACAGGGTCAGGTCATCCACGCAACCGCTTCACTGCAGGAAAGCCTGAGAAACGTGAGGAGGTTACTTCACCCGAAGGGTCGATTCCTCCTTCAGGAGCTGGACATACGTGAGTGAACCCTCCATCTAAACAACATAGCTAACGGTCTGATCAGAAGCAAAATGGATGAGCTTTATCATGGTACGAAATAACATCCCTCCACTAGACGATTTGAATTGTTGACATATACAGGGTGGTTTCCCCGGATGGTGGCTTGGAGATGAAGACAATCGTCTCGAGGCACCGTTTGTGTCGCCTGAAAGATGGAATCAGGAGCTGCGCGAGGCCGGCTTCACAGGTGTCGATGCTCTTGCCTACGACAACGAGCTTCCGTATCAAGTCACAGCCAGCATGCTATCCTCCGTCGCTCAACCAGAACCCGAGAAAACGCGGATCACGTTGCTATACCGAGAAGAAGTAAACCCATCGGTTGAATCCTACAAACGTGCTTTTGAAAGTTCTGGTCACCCCACAGATATGCGCTCATTGAAGGAGGACTTGCCATCCAAGCAAGACATCATCTCATTGCTGGATCTGGAGGCACCATTTTTTGACAATATTGATCAGCGTGACCTCGAGCGAGTGATCCAGTTCTCCTCCAATCTTGAGTCCGCAAACTTGCTATGGCTGACCTGCCCAATTCAAATGGACGCCAAAGACCCTCGGTACGCGCAGGTCCTTGGCTTTGCACGGACCTTGCGATCGGAGAAGCAGGCCAGTTTTACTACCTTTGAAATAGATGATTTCCTGGATCCTGTCGCAACTGAAAAGGAAGTCCAGGTATATGAGCAGATATTTCGACCAGACAATGATCCTCAGTTGGATCCGGATTATGAGTTCGCCTTGCATGAGGGCACCGTTTACTCTTCCAGGTACCACTGGGTCTCTGTTCGAGATGAACTTGCGTCCGCGGCCGATCAGGTTGTCGACAAAGTCCTCAAGATTGGCCAGAAGGGCATGATTGATAGCTTGCAATGGGAGAAGAACAACGACGCGTCAAGGTCACTTAAAGGGCAAGAAGTTGTTGTTCGGCCTCACACGGTGGGTGTTAACTTTAGAGTAAGTCCGTCCTTTCTGGTTCTAAGTGTCAGTCTGACGGTCGCAGGATGTCCTTCAAACTCAAGGTCTTATTGATGGAGATGATCTAGGAGGCGAATGTTCTGGTATCGTTGAGGCCGTCGGCCCTGATGTTACAGATTTCACCCCCGGTGATCGGATCTTCATGATGGTACCTTACTGCTTCTCGAACCGCGTCATCACCACTGCGGATCTCTTGGCTAAGATCCCCGATGGCCTGAGCTTGGAAGAAGCCGCAACAATGCTAATCACATTCATTACTGTGATATACGGCTTGCTTCATTTGCGTCACCTAGAAAAGGGCGATGTAGGTTCCATACACGAGTCACTGAATGGGTTTGCGGCTACTAAATTTACTGCAGACCGTTCTGATTCACTCCGCGGCCGGGGGTGTGGGTGTATCAGCCATCCAAATTGCGCAGATGGTCGGAGCAAAGGTAAGACACAATTGACGAATACACGCAGCATCACTTACATTCTCCCAGATATTCGCTACCGTTGGTAGCCAAGAGAAAGTGAATTTCCTCGTCAACAACTTTGGCTTGCCTCAATCTCAGATTTTCGACTCGCATAGCAACTCTTTCCTCCCTTCTGTCCTCGAGGCAACAGGTGGACGCGGAGTAGATGTTGCATTAAACTCTCTTGCGGGCGAGTATTTGCATGACACTTGGAAATGCATTGCTCCGTTCGGTACCATGATCGGTGAGTATAGAAGCTATGAACGAAGCCATGCTCTCCCACTGACCGCGCTTTCTAGAAATCGGCAAGCGTGATTTCTATGGCCATGCAAAGTTAGACATGATGCAATTTACCGAAAACAGGACGTTCATCGGCCTTGATGCTCGTCACTTGGAAGCGGAGCGTCCAGCACTTTGCGGAAGGTGAGACTAATTATCGGGATCGTTGGTACATTCGCTAAGTTTGACAGAATTCTGCGAGAGTGCGCCAAGTATTTCGAGCAAAGCCATATTCAGCCCATCCGACCTCTCGAAACATTCGCGGCCAGTGAGGTCGGTGATGCGTTCCGATTTATGCAGAGAGGAACCCACATTGGCAAGCTTACAGTTCGCATGCCGCATGATCTTAAAGACCTTCCCTGCGCTGCCCGTCATCCAGATCTACCGCTGCATGAAGACGCAAGTTACTTGCTTGTCGGGGGTCTTGGTGGCGTTGGGCGATCAATCGCCTCTTGGCTCGCCGAAAGCGGTGCCAAACATATTGTCTTCCTTTCTCGGTCGGGAAGATCCGAGAAGACCGAACATTTCATTCAAGAATTGGAAGTTCTGGGATGCCGAGTACAGGTTTTCAAAGGCTCGGTGGCTAATTTTGACGATGTACAACAAGTGGCAACCAAGGCGGAGAAGCCCATTCGCGGTGTTATACAGCTGTCAATGGCTTTGCAGGTAAGATTTGCTTTATATCCCCTAGACGAAGTTGCCAACCTCTAACACTTGACCAATACAGGACCGGGCGATTGAAACAATGACACACGACGATTGGAAGGCCGCAATTCTCCCGAAGGTTGATGGTACTTGGAATCTGCACCATGCACTAAAGAACCTCGACTTCCTGGTGCTATTTAGTTCCGTCAGTGGACTGATGGGTCAGTTCGGCCAAGCTAATTATGCCGCTGCCAACACATTTCTGGATGCGTTTGTGCAGTATCGGCATTCTCTCGGCCTTGCGGCCTCTGTCATTGACCTAGGCGTCATGGAAGACGTTAGTTTTGTCTCCGAGTCATCCAACCTGATCGAGTACTTCAAATTTTTGTCGGCAAACCTGCTAACGGAGGAAGACCTGGTGGAGGCCGTTCGGCTCGCGATTGCTAGATCGCAGCCCAGTCAAGCAGTCAACGCCTTCACCAATCCCAGCGAGATCTCTGTGGGTGTCGCTTCCTACATGCCCTTGGCGGACCCCAACAACCGGATTATCTGGAAGAGAGACCGCCGTTTCTCGGTGTATCGAAACCTGGAAACCACATCGGATGCATCTTTGGCCACAAACGAGGGGCTGAAATCGTTCCTCTTGCAAATCACCTCGAGAGGGGTCAGTGGTCTCGGAGACGACACGGGTGAATATTTAGCCAAGGAGATCGGAAAGACCTTATACGGGTTCATGATGCAGAGTGCCGACGACATGGACTTGGAGCAGCCTCTTGCCACACTGGGTCTGGACAGTTTGGTTGGGATTGAGTTGAGAAACTGGTGCCGACAACAGCTGGGATTGGAAGTTAGTATTCTGGAGATCATGCAGAGCACACTCCAAGACATGGGCAAGAGGGCGGTGGATTCTTTGGTCGCGAGACACAGTTAGACAGACGGTCCACAGATGAATCGTGGGCGGCTTTGTTGAATAGAATTCTGGATTTGAACCTTATCGTCCATGCGTTTTCGCCTGCCACCTAAGGAGACCGAGGTGTCACAAGATAGACCATCTAGAAGACGAGAAGTCCGTGTTGATGCCCAGACAAGGGCTTGAGACAGTGATGCGGAATGACTCTTTTTTTCTTTTTCCTTTCTTCTCTGGCCGAGACCAACGTGACACGATCCAGCCTGAGGCAAATGCTCCGACGCACTGTGATTGGTCCACGACCTCGCGTCCGCCTGTCAGGTGACTTGGCAATCCACGGCGACCAGCGAGCTCAAGACTCAAGACTCGGGGAATTCAATGGATGTGGCGGTGCTGCTGAAAACGAAGCGTCCGAGATGGCCAAATGACAAGGAGACAAGACGGCGAGTCGAACTGATGATCGCGAAATGCCAACGCTCCGTATCGCCCACTAGTCAGTGCGGTTGCCGTCGTGGGTCTCGGTCCGCTGATCCACTGACACCCACTTGGCGGTATGAGCGAGGGCCAGCTGGGATAGACTTCCACGAGGGAGAAGCAACCGAGGCTCACACGGATGAAAAGCTCGACGAGCGGAGACAGAGACAGAGCGACAGAGGAGAGAAGAGGAGAAAGCAGAGCGGCTCAGGGCGGCAAGCGACGCCAAGTCGGGGGGACTAGCGTAGTCAGCAGCGTCCACGTCCAACTCAAAGCCAAACCCTTCGCTTTCTGGCTGTTATTTGTTGGCTCCTGAGGATTCCGGGGCCCAAGAGAGTCAGCCGACTCGGCGACTCTGCGGACCAGCCCAACAGTTTTGACTTTGGGTGGCTACATCCCCGAATTCCCCTGGGCAAGGTCTCGGTTCTGGGGAAAGCGACAAGCTGCTCCGTTACTCAACGATCACGTCCGGCGCACGAGCATCGTTTGTGCCGAGACGCTGGGCTTCTTCTAGTCTGGTCTGGCGAGCTCTCAGGTTTCCCCGCGACTAGGAGCCTGGCCTCTCGATTTAATTAGTTCCAGCCCGTCGCCGTCCGTGTCGTCTCCGCTCTTTTTTTTCTATTTTTTCGCTCGCTCCCTCCACTTCGTCCTCTCCACTTTCGTCGGTTTCTTTGTTTGCATTGACTCCCCTCGGCAGATGAACTCTGATAGCTCTTGAGCTCCTCTTTCCCTTTCTTTGTTCATTGCGTACTCTTCTGCTGGAAGGGACCCCAAACTTGCCGACTGCCCTCTGAATACCATACCCCCTGCGATCGGCCTACGGAGCTCCGATCGAGCCTCACGCATCTCCAATATGAGTTCCAAACAGCCGGCGGACTTGCTTCCCAAAATGGAGAAGAAGGCCCCTTTTTCCTTCGAGGTCCCGGGCATGGAAAAAGTTGAAGGAGAAACGATACCGCGCCGGAACATCCGCTGCAAAGATGGCCTCATCACGCAGCCCGATCCGTCGATCAGCACGGTCTACGATATCGTGACCTACGCCGCCAAAAGGTTTGGGAATGCCAAATGTATCGGATCGAGAACCGTGCTCGACGTACACAAGGAGAAAAAGATGGTCAAGAAGTTGGTCGATGGTCGGGAGACCGAGGTTGAGAAGGAATGGTCCTACTTTGAATTAAGTCCTTACCAATATCTGTCCTTTGTTGAGTTTCAGAAGCTCGTCGGCACGCTGGGTGCGGGTTTGAAGAAACTCGGCTTGACCAAGGGCGACAAAATCCATCTCTACGGCGCGACGAGGTAAGAATCGCTCGTTTGAATTCCCACTGCATGCGCATGGCTTGAATCATTACTCACGAGCAATATAGCATGAACTGGCTCTCGATGGCACACGGCGCTTTCACTCAGTCCTTTACGATCGTCACTGCTTATGACACTCTTGGTCTCGAGGGTCTGCAGTCGTCGCTCAAGCAGACCAAATCGAAGACCGTGTTCCTAGACTCCGGCCTTCTGCCGATCCTCAAGAACGCTTTGTCCGAGGCACCGGAAGTAGAGCATATTATCTTGAACACCGAGTCCAAAGTGAACTTGGAGGAGCTAGATAAACTCAAGGCGAAATTCCCCAGCATCCAGGTGATCTCATTCGATGAACTCAAGACGCTGGGAGAAGAAAACCCGGCAGAGCATGTTGTGCCGGGGCCGGACGACCTGGCCTGCGTGATGTATACCTCCGGGACCTCGGGCACGCCGAAAGGTGTGACCATCAAGCATAAGTCCGTCGTCGCCTCCGTTGCCGGTGCCAGTTCAATTGTTGGCGACTATATAGGACCCGGCGATAGTCTCCTGACCTACCTCCCGCAAGCTCACATCATCGAATTCATCTTTGAAAATGCCGCCCTCTTCTGGGGCGCCACGATGGGATATGGATCCCCGAAGACCCTAACCGATACCTCCGTCCGCAAATGTAAGGGCGACATCCTCGAATTCCGCCCCAGCATTCTCATCGGCGTTCCTGCCGTCTGGGAGACCATTCGCAAGGGGATCGTGTCCAAGGTGAATGGGGGTGGGTTGATTGCCAGGAACCTATTCTGGGCCGCTCTATCACTGAAACAACTGTTGTTGTCCAGTGGCGTCCCTGGCGTCAAGCTGCTGGATGCCATCGTATTTAACAAAGTCCGAGCGGCCACCGGTGGCAGACTTCGCATCTGTATGTCTGGCGGCGGTCCCCTTGCCAAGGACACCCAAAAGTTCATTTCGACGGCTATTTGCCCTCTCATCAGTGGTTACGGACTGACCGAAACCGGCGGTATGGGTGCGCTAAACGACCCTCGTGCTCTCACGTTCGAGGCCCACGGCGATATCCCCGCATCTGTCGAGGAGAAACTGGTGGACTTCCCGGAAGCGGGGTATTTCACTTCCAACGACCCCCCTCAAGGTGAACTGTGGATCCGTGGTCCCTCGGTCACCGGGGGATACTACAACAACGAAGAGGAGACGAAGGCCGCCCTGCGAGAGGATGGATGGTTCATGACGGGCGATATCGCCGAGTTCGACAAGAACGGTCATGTCAAGATCATCGATCGCAAGAAGAACCTCGTTAAGACCTTGAACGGCGAATACATCGCCTTGGAGAAGCTAGAATCCATCTACCGTGCATCGCCATTGGTCGCTAACATCTGCGTCTACGCGGCCCAAGATCAGCCAAAGCCCGTCGCGATCATTGTTCCGGCCGAGCCGGCTTTGCTGAAGCTCGCCCAGACTAACGGCATCACGGGCCATGGCATCGAGGATCTTGTGGAGAACCCACAGATCAACAGCCTTGTTCTGCGGGAACTCCAGAAGGCCGGCCGACAAGGCCAGTTGAGCAACCTCGAGATCATAGACGGAGTTGTTTTGGATAAGGATGAGTGGACGCCTCAGAACGTGAGTTTCAACCCCTTGCCTCGCGGCACGGATATGCTGACACGAGATGATTACAGGGCTATGTCACCGCCGCACAGAAGATCCAGCGCAAGAAGATCTTCGAGAAGAACAAAGAAGGCGTTGCCAAGGCGTACGGTCGGGGATAGACGGTCTTCCACAGGCCTTCATACGATCTTCATGCGATGTAAACTCGCGCATTGTGGTCATTTCGGTTGATTCAACGCTGTGGTCGGGGGTGGGTCTCGCTGCGAGTTTGTAATGTGTTCTTGTATAGCGTCTTTGGGGTAATTCACGTCTTGTCATAGTATAGCTGCATTCACCATTTTCTCCATTCTTGAAAACTTCTTCTCGCGGTTACTACTCCGTAGAACAGAAGGCCAGAGCCCGCGAAATAAATATACAGCCGAGGCTGGCATAGATCAATCCCACTCTTTCCACGGGACCTTTGCGATGACGCATCTCCGATTGAGGATGATCAATGATGTCAATGGCGTGGAGGGGCTTGTGTGACTGGCCGACCGCGACCGGTGTTGGGACCAATCCCTACGGTACCTTCGGTCGGGTATCTTGAGGGCCCGCCCGAGAGAACCGAGCGACCTGGTCGTGCATACGACGGACTACCAGGAGGTATACCCGGGAAGGTACCTGGAGGTACTTCCTTCTACCTGCCGTCAAGGGCACGGAGCAGGTACCGCGGAGTAGCTCGGTGATGCGGCCTCCACGATGACTCGCTGGAATCTTCATCCCAAGGATGAACGGCGTTGTCCACCGCTCCGGTGGGCTGTGGCGCGGCAGGCTGATCCAATCATGCGATCTGCTGGCGATCCTGAGAAGTTTTCCGCCTGCTTCTTGCTCCACCCCGAATGGAAATTACTCGGTGCTCCCCAGTCCATAATTCGGCGTCTGGAAACCCTATGATCCCGCCCAGATTCTTCTTATGTATCTGCCAATCGCCCACCTCCTCCAGGGCTGCCCTGATGTCACCTCTGTTTTCCCGTCGCCCTCTACAATACTGCGTCACATCCCACTCGGCCTGAACGACACCACCCGGTTTTCAATTCCCTGCACAATGTTCACCAACAGGTATGGCTTTCCTTCCGGTTCCTTGCACTGCTGTGCCCTCCTCCCGCCCCTCGCCGGCAGCTAACTAGCATTCTCCCGCCACCAAGCATCCGCCGGGAGAGCTAGAGTGATCGGTTGAACTATGTACTCATCCACCCACCCTTCTCAAGCAGGCAAAATAAGAAACGGCCGAATCAGGACCTCATCAACAATTTCCAAGAGACCTATCCCGATGTGCGACCGAGCCTCGACACCGAATCCTCTACTGGCCGAGAGGTCCGCGTCACGCCATCCCTAGACGACCCTTCCCTTCCTCCCACGTCGATGAGAAAACAAAACGACCACGATGCTTTGAATGCGACGAGCACAGTCTCTCATAATCCCGCTGGAAACTTGCCCACCCCGTCCAGCGGTATGAACTTGCTCTTCGACGAGACGCTGTTCGACCAATTCACCAATACTTCCCCGGGCGCACCAGCCTTCGACGCGTACAACGACGCATTCGGAGGGCAATATCCATCGCATATACCCCAAAACCCGGATCCTTATCTCAAGGACGAATCTTTTTCGCCCGAAGGCTTTAGATTCCCTGGCGAGGAAGATGGTAACACTACTTCTTTGGGAGAAGTAAACAAGCAAGACGACCACGCCCTTCACACAGCCAGGAGGGTCTCGGATTCGACCGAAGTTTTAGCAGTCGATGAAAGGGAAAAGTAAGCATTTCACGTCGCCCTGCATCAATTGTCGATCTCTTGCCAACGCCTCTTCTCTGCTCTTTTTAGGTTCCGATATTGCGTGACGCTGCACGCGCCAACGGCTATGATCAAAAATCAAAAAGACATTCCGGTTACATACCTCAACAAAGGTCAAACTTATGTACTCTCCGTGGCCGATTCGGTCCCACCGCCGGTGGGTAGTTATCCTGCCAGGTATCGCACGTCAGTCCGCATAGTCTTCGACGAAGCAGCGCAAAAGATCGACCCCTCGGCCTGCTGGCAGCTCTGGAAGCAGGTCCGTGGATCAAAGGACGCCCAAGAGCGAGGCGGTGATGTACAGGCAGTTGACTGCCTCGATCCGGCAGAAGGGGAGGCGGGTCAACCACGGAATCAAATCCAGCTGGAGAGTATGTCAATTGATGGATTTTGTTGTACGTGGACGGCAGACATCCAAACAGGTGTGCGGGAATGTAATATCGGCGTCCGCTTCAACTTCCTCTCAACCGATTTCACCCACTCCAAGGGCGTCAAAGGCTCCTCGGTCCGACTATGCGCCAAGACCGAGATGATAGCCTTAGATGTTGACGACGCAGGCGTCGACAACGTCTCCGAAATGTGTTACTGCAAAGTTAAACTGTTTCGCGATCACGGCGCTGAGCGGAAGCTCCACAGTGATATCTCGCAAACCGAGAAGTCCATCAAAAAGCTCCAGAGGGAGACCGCGATGTCTGAAACCGGAGAGGATGATCAACTCGGAAAGCGGAAACGGGGAAGCATCTCGAGCTTCGCCAAGAGCGCTGCAAATCACGCCATGACAGAGGGGGAGCACCGGCGGGCGCAAATATATCGCAATACGGAGTTGCACATACTCGGTGACTCACTCACGTCCAACCTGCCAATGACTGTCTTTGCCCAACGAGCTGAGCCGACGGACGATCCGGATCAGTTTCCAGTCCGACTGCCCGGCGCGTCACAGAGCCCCGAGAAATCCGAGGGTAGTCCCCAGAATTCGGACAGCACGACACCTTCCAATGCAAATTCGACAAATCCCAGTTCACCTGCTACCACCATTACCGAGCCATCGAGGGTATCCTCCAGTGCTGCTCCAGAACAGGAATCTCCAAACACCTTCAAGGTACCGCCACTTCCCGCCAAACTGTCCAAACGCTCTGAACCACCCCATTCAGGATCAGGTAGGTCGCCGTAGACAACCCACCGATGCCCCGAAATACACCCGCAGAACTCTCCGCGTGCTGACCATCTCTTACAGCGGTTTGCTTTTATATACGCTTTCATCACGACTGGAAGAGGCAGGACCATTACCACCGGGCTGTGTATTTGAAGGAACGAACCGTTCGCGATTTGAAGGTGCAGATCTGTCGGAAGCAGAGCATGAACCCGGACTCTGTAAGCCGTATGCTTCATGTCAACCCGGGCGGTTTGAAAATCATCGTAGACGATGATGTAGTTCAACAGCTTCCCGATGGTCAAGACATGATGGTCGAGTTTTCACGGGCTTCGAAACCTAGCACGTCCGGCATATCTGAGATTGAGATTATTTTAAGCTTTTGAACTCTCGGCCCAGGTCTTGACCTAGACTTTCGTTTGCCCTCCTACACCCAGCCGCACGACCTCCTTCACACACACTCTCTCCTATCCGAACGAGTCATGATAGTTAATATAGCCTCGGAGAAATGATCAATTTCAGGATAACGCGAAGCCAAACCTGTTGTCATGATTGCTGAGTATGATCGTTATAGATTTTTCGAGTTTTGTGTGCGATCAACCCTGAGCCCTTCCACCACAATGCCCGAATCGCCCACTCAAGCGTCTAGATACTCGTTCAGACGACACGATATTAGCTTTGACCAGCCAGAGAACGAACCCCTCCGTGAACCCACGCCCCCTTTTAAATACCGATCCCAGCCCAACATAAACGGACCGATACGTATCAGTAACCGGAAAGTAGGTCTATAAATCCGGATTGCGAAGCCAATTGCAATCCTATGACGTACACCTAGCAGGGAGTATCTAGAGTATCTAGGTAGGCTCTAGGTAGGCTCTAGGTAGGCTCGCAGTAAGGTATACACAGCGATAGTCATTAGTATCTCACATCCTCCTTTCAAAATACCATAGTGAGAAGTACGAGAGACCGGACCTTCGAATCGAACTGCTCTCAAAGTCGCGGTATCCCGGTAGGTATGATCTTCAGGAAAAGTCGAGATCACGAATCGAACGCCCCGTTTGACTGTTCTAGAACAGTCTAGCCCCTAATATCTACTACGGAGCAATCACCCGTTGTTCGTGGACCCTGGACTAGTTTTGCATGCGTCGAGGTCTTCGGCTGCCATGTTGAGAATTTGTGGAGACTTGGTCAACTTGTCTCATTCCAGGTTGATCTCCAAGCTCTACGGAGTGCCGTAGTAAATGACGTCATTGCTCCCTCAAGAAAGACCCAAACTCAATTGCCCTCTACCGCGTTCATCATACGATGCTTCTTCGTCCTACCCCAGCTTCTCTGGGAGACTAGAAGTGTGACATGGATCAAACGTCATGGGTATTACTACCTGCGTCATCCAATAATGAGCCCGGATGATAGAGAAGCAAGGCGGAAGGATGCTATAAAAGATGTCTTCTGTCCGCCATTCTGCCTGCCTCTCGGAATTTAGAAACAACAGATTCACAAGGTCTTCACTTCACAGTCCTACCAAAGCAACTCGTCATTCCAAATGTCTGACTCGGGCCGCAAAGATTTCACCACCAGTGAGCCAACCCCGTCTCTTGATAATCAGCGATCACATCTAACACCCCCCGCAGAGGCTAAGGAGGAACTCACTCCTGACTCCATGAAGTCCACCCAGGACAAGACCAAGGAGGCCGCTACGGATACGACGGACCGCATCGCTCGGGGATTCCAGTCCGATGAGGGCAAGTCGGGACCCCAGGAGGCGTTTGACAAGGGTCAGCGGGCTCACGATAACCACGAGCATGGCGGGGCTACCGAGTCTGTGTAAGTTCTACTCCGTAGAGTTCAGGTCAGACTTCTTGATTCCGCATATCTAACCGGACTTCCATGCAGAGGCGATAAGGTGAAGGGCGCTCTGGGCCTTGGGAAATAAATGGATGCACATACTTATACTCCGCGGTCTTGTATACATTCTTCCCACTACTATACTTCAACCATAATTGAGGATTGAATCCGCTTTTCCCAAGTGATGTATTAAGTAAAGCTCCGAAATACAAAACTCATGCGGCATCAACCCTGTCAACTTTTGCAAGCATCACATCTGAAATCTGGATTACCATTTTTCACCATCGAATCTCTCCATGCGAGATTGCATCCACTCACGTGACTTGTCGTTTGCTTTGGCTGCAGCCCCTCCGACCCCTCCAAACAATTCCTTCCTCCTACCCTGCAGAGCCCACATTAATCGAACTCCATCAGTTCGATCACCGAGTGCCATTTTTGCATCGCGAGCACCTACTATTGTGCCTCTTGGACAAAGTACGGAGTACAGCCACAACTCGGTGGGGACAAGTTCTTGAGTCACCGACCAACCATCTGTTTGCCTGAGAGCGGGAGTCAATCCCACCTATTGTGGACGAGAATGACGATGGAAACGTGGGCCTCTAACCAATGGAGTCAAAAACTAAGGATTTCTTGCCAATAATAATTTATCTCAAGAGTGGAGGGCCCGCTCTGTTGGCGATCACTGGTGCCGATGACATACGCCGCGAGGTACTAAGGTACTTGGTCGGCCAGGACCCACCTGGACGACTTGAATAACATCATAGATACCCCATCGACTTTCGTGTTCCATCCCGTTCCCCTCCTTTGTGCCCCTCGTTAAACGTGCCATTTCCCACGCAATAACAGACCACTTGACTTCCCAGCAACAGAAGACAAGCAGGAATCAAGGAAAGCAAACCCATCATGCCTGACTTCGTCCGCGTCCAGGTCCTCGGGACCAATTATGAAATCACCGACAGGTAAAATCACCAACTTTTGCCTTCCAGCACGCGGTGGGAGCAGGTAAGCTCACCTGGTGTAATGTTAGGTATGGACAACTCGAACCGCAGGGCTTTGGTGCCTCTGGTGTTATTTGGTAGGTCTTGCATCTCGATTCGTCGCACCGTTGTCCCGAGAAAAAGAGACCCAATGCTAACTAACGATGGTGTTTTGGTAGCTCGGCGCACGACTCCATATCCAAGGACCAGGTGGTTCTGAAGAAGATCGCAAAACCGTTTGATAATGTTGCTATTTTGAAGCGCACGTTTCGAGAGGTGCATCTGCTCAATGGCTTGCGCCACGAGAATGTACGCGAAGAGAGAAGCGAAATGATGAATGAATCGCGGCTAATGTGCGACGCAGTTGATCAATATGAGAGATATTTTCATCTCGCCTTCAGAGGACATGTGTGTACCGGTGCCTTTTCCCGACAGCGTAAACGACGCTAATCCACACAGCTATCTCGTCACAGAAGCCATGATGACCGACCTCTACCAAGTTATCCGATCGAAACCGCTTGAGAGCCAATTCGTCCAGTTTTTCACTTACCAGATTCTGGTATGCCTACCACTCCTCCGCCCGAAGCTCGATCATCACACTAATTACCCGCCTAGCGAGGATTGAAATACATTCATTCAGCCGGCATAATTCACCGAGACCTGAAACCCCAGAACCTTCTCATCAACGACAACTGTGACCTCAAGATCTGCGACTTTGGGCTCGCACGCCAGCAAGACCACCAGATGACCGGCTATGTGGTGACGCGATATTACCGGGCCCCGGAGGTCATGTTGACGTGGCAGCACTACAGCTACGCAGTCGACATTTGGAGCGCTGGATGTATATTGGCGGAAATGCTGCGTGGGACGCCTCTGTTCCCCGGGAAAGACCATATCGATCAGTTCAAGATCATCACGCACATACTGGGTAATCCACCAGCGGAATTGGTCGACAGGGTGTACAGCAGAAACGTTCGTCCCCCCTCTTGCTCTGTTCAGCATTGTCAATGTCGACTAATGCTCATGTTCTCTATATTAAGACTTTGAAATTCCTGGAATCATTACCTCCGCGCGAGCCGCGCCCGCTTTCGTCGTTCTTTGTGGGTGTTGAACAGGAAGGTTAGTTTTTTACCCTATTTTGAGTGCTCTGATGAAAGGCAAAGCTGACGAATCGCAAAAGCGGTCGATATAATCGAGAAGATGCTCCAGTTAGACCCGGACAACAGAATCACGGCCGAGAGCGGCCTAGCCCATCCTTATATGGAGAACTTCCATGAGCCAGAAGACGAGCCCGTGGCGGATCGGCAAATCGACATGTCTTACGACGACGCGGAGCTCCCGGCAGACGAATGGAAGAAAAAGATGTATGTCTCCCCTCGAACGTGCCTCGTCCCCTCCCTTCCACATGCACAAGGTAGAATTTGACTGACAGGTTTGCGTGCAAGGTACCAAGAGGTTTTGGACTTCCATGAAGGTGCTTGTACCAACGTTGTAGAGACCATCGAGAAGTAAGAGAAGCGACGAGACGCAGCTCAGCGAGATTACGAATTCTGTCCAAACGTTTATCGTATCATAGCACATTGCATCATTATAGCGACATAGATAGCCAGCCATCCAGCCTTTAATTCACTCCTCATACCCCAGAACCACCACGATACAGGTACAATTATCACTATTCTTCTCCTTACCAACCAGGTCGATCGTCGCCCTTGAAATGTCCCGCGCCGCATGTCCCTCCTTCTCCATTGCCCCGACCAGCTTCACCAGTCTCTCGTCGTCCAACGCATTCGTGACGCCATCGCTGGCCAGAATCAAGATTTGCTTACCACTAGATCTAGACAGTCTCCTCACCCTCATGGACGGGATCCGCGACATAAAGTCATCCTCCGTATCCTTTGACGGCGAGGTCCCCGCCACAATCTCCAGCCCCTTATCGACCGTCGCCTCGTTCAACGGCCGCTTAAGCTGCAGATCCCCCAGCGCGCGCGTCATGTTGACAGCACCCAGCCTCTCCTCCCCGCTCACATCGTTCAGCTGCCCGCCGGCGTAGAAGATGCGATCCCGCTCATCGTCGTTAGTCGGTGAATGCAGCTGAGAAAGCCGTTGCTAGACCGCAGTATGCCATTAGCCAGACTATCCCATCCAACCACCCCAGAGAAAAGGAAACGAGGCCAACAACTCACAACACGATACCCGTCGCCATCCTTCGTGCCCAGAATCACCGGGGAATCCCCCAGATTGGCCACCAGCAGACTGCCCCCCGTGAGGTCGACCAGACACAACGAAACCGTACACCCACACATGGCGGACTCGTCGCTCCCGCCGCGAAACCGCTCGTACAGCTCGTCGTCGATATCCTTCAATCCCGACACAATGGCCTTGTCGAACTGACCGGCGCGAAACTCCTCGCGATCCGCGATGCGGTGGTGGAGACTTTGGCGCGCGAATTCGGAGACTTCGTCGGAGCCGCTGGACGGACGTACACATTAGACGTGTTTCTGTTTAATCATCGGCGCAGAACTGCGAGCAGAGAAGGAGGTCAGGAACGAAGGGAACAGAACGTACTGTCCATCGTACACGGCGAAATAGGCGATCTGGGCGCCTTGCGGTGGAGAGAACTCATCCGGCATGATGCATGTGTAGCGGTCTTCTTGGTGTTTGCGATCGCCTTGGGCCTGAGCGTTGAGTTGGTTCGCGATTAGCAGGTACAATAGTCACCCCGTCAAATAAAGAACAATTACCTACCGTTTGCCCGGCCATGTCTAGGATCCGAAAGCTCGGCATTATGTTTACAAAGAAGGAAGAAGTCAAGTGTTAACGCTGACGGTATAATTCTATAGAGATAAGAGTAAGAAGCGGGATGGTGGGATGGGTGAATGAATGAGGGATTTGGAATTCGTCGGAGGGACAGAAAATACGATGATGTCACAGGACACGAGTGTGAAGCGTTTCATTTGCCAACGGACACTTGCGCAATGACCGGATGGTGGTGGAGAATGGAGATTTCCCTGGTTGTTGAGTGGAGCTGCCGTTGTGGCTCCGAATGGAGAGGATTGGCGTGTCCTGCGGAGTGTGTACTTTTTCTCTTTTGTAAATGATCGACACGGGTTAAGACAGGGGATTTATCCAAAAATACACGTGCTAATTTTTATGACTTTTATTCCTTCTTATTTTACTATTTAGTAGCTATCCCTTATAGGTATTCTGCAATATGTACTCCCTTGCTGGGGCACGTTAGGGGTGGTCCGGCTCCTATCGGATAATGGTTGTCAGTAGATTAGTGCCTTATAGAGGTCTTTTCCGTAGCCTAACTTTATGGGACCTCCTCGCCGGTCTCCTCGAAAGCAGCTGGATTGAAGTCTTTACTTCTATACTGGCCGGATATGCCAAGTATACGGTGTGCCAGGAGTGGGACCGCTACGCCCTTTAACGTCTTACGGAGTATAGAATACTTCTTGTTGAAGTGGCGTAATCACTCTACTGGGGTTGCTGATGCTGGGCAGTCTTTTGTTCTTGGAACTGGAGGCCAAAATCACTCAGAAAAAGGAGTTATCTGGAGGGGCTTTTTTGTCTGTCTTCTTGGCTTTGTTTTCGCATCTCTTGTTTGCAGTTCAATGAAGACCTTCCTTGCTCTTGTGCGTTTGATAGAAGACCAATTTCTCTCTCTTTCCCCCATCCCTTTTCCGCCGGGCCACAAGACTCCTCTTCTGCTCTGGGCAAGCATGGGTGTGTGCGATTTTGGATACTTCTCCTAGTGTCTCGCTGACAGTTGATCATCTATATCGTCGTGTGTACCTCTGTAAGCCGACGCTGTGCCGTATCCTCCCTTTTGCTCAAGAGAACAAGCGACAAAATAGACCGTGCCACCAAGATGACCGAGGATCCGATGACTTTCGCACGTTGTGCCATAATCCAGGTCTCTTGTATCGCGACTTCGCTGAGAACTAGGCGCCAGCAAGGATCGTGCATATTGTTCGGGAATGAACTCTTTCAACTCTCCAAGAACATCGGCATGACCGGTCTGGGCCAGGAGGACGGCTTCCGATTGCGGATTCTCAATATATTGCGAGATATAGAAGTCATCTGCAATGTGAGTATGACGGAATCTCGTATTTCGCACGAAGGAAGACTAACAAGTTCGATCCAGCTGCCAAGGCCAGTACCAGACAATGAGTACCCCCTCCTCAAGAAGGTAACAAGATCGAACGTGAATGGAAGATCTTATGAACATGCTCGGAGGAGAATCGGACGAGGACTCAAGCGTGCGACAAAATCGAGCGCTCTCATCCAGGTCACTTATGATATCCACGAATTCAACCGCGATTGCAAGGCACTGAAGCGCGATCAGAGCCATGGGGTCACTGCCTTGAGAAGAACCATTCCACCAGGGGTCTCGAGATATGCCAACGAACTCGCCTCCCAGACGATACGCAAGCAAATGCACTGTACCTGCCAGAGCGACGAGATGGGAGAGAGCACGCACCGAGAACATTTAATGTGCCTCTTGCTAAAGTCACCAGCTACACTAGCGACCGATGACGGCTTGGTGCATTTTGACATGCTTTTCTCGTCTATGCCTTTGTCGAACGAGTCACAGCTCAGCCGCTGGCAGGATGTAGAGCTGCTTGTGCCAAACAGTAGCCGTGGAGATAAGCATGCCAGTATCGTACCTGCAGGCCCTCTGGCGCCAGTCGAAGAAGGCAGATTCTGTGATTGGATTACCGCCGCGGCCAACCGGCGCCTTTGCCTCTCTATACAAGACGGGGAGCTTGAACACTCCTTTGAGAATCTCAAGCGCAGGATAGATCATGTGCCTGCTATTCCTTTAGCCAGCATTCTCAGCGAATCCCGTCTGACAGCCCGGATGAAGCTTATACTAGCCTACATAATAGCTTACTCGGTCTGGCAGTACTACGACTCAGAATGGATGAATATCATGTGGACCAGCGATGTCGTGCGGTTTATGAGAAGAAGTGATCCCTCCAAGCGCAAGATTCATATTTTTACCACTGAGCCTTATGTATCGGTACATCTCAATCAAGAAGGACCCTTTTGCGATGATGAAATTGACATTGCTGGTATGGTTCATAAGCACCCCAAGATTATAGGGCTTGGTGTTATGCTAGTTGAGATAGCCATGGGTGTTCCATTCTGCGACAACGACAAGCAGTCACTGTCTTTAGCTGCCAAAGTGAATAGCGAGCTACTCACTGCCCTAGAATACACAAGCGACATGAGCCGATGGGAGGATTTTGAATATCCAGACTACATGAGCGCAGTTCGTCATTGCCTGGAACCTGACCAGTTCGATCCTTATATCGAGGGATCGTCTGCCTCCGAACAGAAGCAGAGACTCCAGCGACGGAGAAATGTTTTGTATGAGAAAGTTCTGCTTCCGCTCGAGAGCCTTCTACGAGGCACGAAATGGATGGATGATTTCGCAGGAGTCGCCCCGCTGGATATCCTATCCTCCAACACGAGGTGCACTAAAAGCATGAGAGAAGCTAAGGAATGGCTTTCGCGCCTGGATAGCTTTCATGAAGAACTGGATCAAGTAGCACCGGCAGGCGGGCTAGACATCCCCCGGCGACCGGTACGTATCGCGATCCTGGATACCGGGCTGGATGAAAAAAGTCATATGTTTTCTATCCGACCTTACACGGAGCGACTTAAAGGATGGAGGGACTGGGTCGATGGGTCTGCCCAGCCACAAGATTGCCATGGACATGGCACTCATCTGGTGTCTCTTGTCATGAGATGTGCACCCGAAGCTGATATCTATGTCGCGCGCATTGCCCGAGATCAAGATCAACTTGGGGAATCCAGCACGCACGTAGCAGAGGTTCGTGTTCCTAGGCGCCCGTTACAGACCAACCTACTAAACCATCTATCTAGGCCATTTTGTGGGCAAGTCGAGACTGTGAAGCCGATATCATCTCAATGTCGTTTGGCTCTTTAAACGAAAAGCCGTGCGTCGATCACGTCATTAAGCAAGTCGTAATGGAACGCGAAAATCGCATTCTATTCTTTGCTGCGGCTTCTAATCACGGGGCCAACGACAGAGAAATGTATCCTGCTCGGTACGACTCTGTCATATCGATCCGCGCAACGAATTCAAAGGGAGGATTTGAAGATTTCAATCCACCAAAATGCGACTACGATGGTTTCGTTTTCGGTACTCTTGGGGTAGATGTCCCCTCTCTGTGGCCCGGCTCGGGTGATAATAATGTCAAACACCAGTCAGGAACATCCATTGCCACCGCCATTGCAGCCGGTATAGCAGGCTGTCTTCTAGAAATCGCCAGTTCTCAGACCCCCGATAAGCCATTCCATGATATCAAGGATATAGCACGGGAACTGCGGGGAATGCGTGAATTATTCTTGGCTCTGTCCTCTGAGACACTACAGGCAGGATATCGGTACTTGAAGGTTTGGGACTTGATGGGCAAGTCGGAGGATGACCGGTGGGCCATGCTGGGAAGCGCATTATCTAAGGCTGGATCTGATAGACAAAAAGCATCTGTCATTTAGACACTACCTGGGTACTTTCATTTTGAATAAATACAGGTGATTCGGTTTCCCGCGTCTCCAACCTCAGTCACGGCCATATTTCTTCCCTTCATCTCACGAGCCAAAGTGCTCGCATTGACTTCGCGAATGATGAATCCTTCAACCTCATCCACGTTCTTGCTTGACTCCTCTTCATCATGAATGCCCAAAAGGGTATCCTTGCTCCTGAAGTCATGATATTCAAGCTTCCGGCCTTTCCAGCCCTTGCACTCTATTTCCAGAAGCTGATATGCAAAGACTAGATCGTCACCAGCCCGCCAATTATGCCCTTGCTTGGTGCTGGCAGCGTTGGTTAGATTACCCCCAAAGCCCACCGGAGCAAGGGGCGAGGGTGCACTGCCGCTAACCCTAATCTCTCCATTACGGTGTTTATCGTGTTCCGCATTGACGGTGAATCCTTTCGCAATCATACGACCAGTGATCATGTAAACAGGTGCCCTGAGCGCCAACATCCGGCCAGCCTTGGTGATTTCTTGAACGCTGGGAGCATCCAGGCGGGCCTGAATCTCTTTTCGGTCAGGGTGAGCAACAAAGTACACTGTTTCGAGATGATCAATCTTGTAAGTCGATTGCACGCCACTGCCTCCTTCGCCCGCGATATTTCCGGATACTGCCTGAAGGAAGGTTGTCCATACGCCCATCGAGACGTCGCGGTGGGTTGCCAGGGTGCTGGTTCGATCGTAACTGTTGAACGTTTCGACTAGTGGGTAGGAACTCTGCAATGTTGCCGCATCGACGGTTGTCAGAATAGTCTGGGGTTGTAGCGGGTTCGAAATAATACTGCCCAGCTGGATAGGGCAGGTTTCCGGCTTCCAGTGGAAGTTCGGAGCGAGGAGATAGGTGGGCTGCTGTGCCATCTTTAGGAGAATCCGCGATTCAGGCCAACAGCAAGAGATGCACGCCGTATTTGTTCCTGCTGTTTTGCGAAATCTAGGAGGCTGGGGCCCGGCTTGAAGAAACGTCGGAATAGGGGCGATCGACCCGCAAAGGAGTAGGTGTCAAGATGAGGATCAACCTGTCTAGGAGCGGTGTAGTAGGCGTTGAGATGCCCACCACAACAAACGGCCGTTTGCAAGGAATGGTGCCTTACATATCAGGCCTGCACTCCCCGGGCTGACGCCGGCATTTTCCGCCTCCAAACCTCCGCGTTTCGGATCCCTCCATGCAATCCGACAGCTTAAATATGCCTTGCTTCCACCTTCAGCTGATTCCGCTCGAACGGGTTCCCTCATCGCACAGAGTGAACAGACCGTGGGCAAACCGCCTTGGACGCCATGGACACTGATTATCAGATCGAAAGCGCGGCACGGCAGTGCATTCAACGCTTCAGGCAGTGCCTTGAAGTCCCGGCACTCCAGGAAAGTGAGTGGGTTGAGAATCGTCTTGCTCAAATGAACTTGTGGGTTTCAAAAACAGGAGCCTGCGCCCCAGGACGAGCTTCCTTAGACTCAAGATTAGCCGCCATGCCGGAAACTCGTGACGTAATCGCCAATTCATTGCGCCTGCTCGCTATCGTGATCGACAAATACCGGACACTGAATCAACCACACGATACTCCGCCCAGTCACCATCGTGAAGAAGACCCTGCTTCCTCCCAGGATGAGGATCAAACTCCAGAGCTATCTCCCACGATCAATGATTCCAGCTCCGATGATGTCAGTCCCGATGAGTACGGCTCTGATGATTCCATTTCCGATGAATCCGTATCCGATGAGTCCAGCTCCGACGATCAGCCAGAAGACGATTACGATACGAACGATCCACCCAAAGAACTGTTGCAACAGTCAATGTACGACATCAAGATGATGCAAAATCAACTTTTTGAGATTGCGGCTTCCATTCGTCGCCCCGGAGACCGCTCACAATTGCTCAAGGCCGACCTGTGGTTTAAAGCAACGGAGCTCCAGGAACTGGAGGACCACCTGGTCGGAATATTGCTTGTTCGGTTGAAGCGTTGCTTCCAGGAAGAACACTCGAGATTGAACGAAGTCCAATTGCGACTGGTACGCTGTAACCTAAAGCGCCGAAACCGCTTCTTGCATGCACAACGCCAGGGTCCTAGCTCCAGACCATATCGATTTATAAACAGCGCAGCTGTATCCATGCCGGAAGACTCAACGGCGCCAATCGATCTAGACTATCCGCGTCCGCCTCGACTCGACGGTAATGGGCATGACTTTCAATGTCCGTATTGCTGCGAAAAACTTCCCGCAATTATGGCAGACGACGACAGGTGGAGGGAACACATTGCAGATGACCTGGCTCCGTACACTTGCATTGTGGCCGGTTGCGATCAGCCCGATGTCCTTTTCACACTAGAGGAAGATTGGCGAGAGCATGTGCTGAAGGATCACAGCAGCGTGACATGGACTTGCTTTCCATGTGGCAATGGCGCTCGATTCGGCGACAAGAATACCTTCGTGCAGCACACGAAGTCCTGCCATGCAGCCAGTATTTCACCGGACCAGATCCCAGTCTTGACCGAGCTGTCGAAGAAAGCCACACCGCCGGAGATCAAGCGATGCCCACTGTGCAATTGGCCAGAAGAAGAGGGAGTTACGGTGGATCTGGATGTGCTGCTCAAGCATATTGCCCGGGATATTCACGCTTTCTCCCTCCACGCATTGACATGGGCGAATGACAAAGATCAAGGGAGTCTCGACAAGAAGGCGTCGACGGTCTTGAGTCAGGGCCAATTGAAGAAGGTCGAACCGTTTCCCGATACGCTGACAAGTATGGCGAGCCTGGCATCGACATACAGGGACCAGGGCGAATGCGAGGAGGCCGAGCAGCTTCCGAAGCAAGGTATGAAGATTAGCGAGAACCGTCCCGATGCGCTGCCAAGCATGATAAGCCTGCGAAGAACATGCGTTGCGCGGGGCCAGCGGGAGAAGGCGGCACAGCGTCAAGCACGAATGATGACGATGCTCAAAGTCAAGCATCCCCACGTGCGTTGACAAGTGATGCCTGATCTCGCTTTAATCCGGAAGACTCCGGGTTGCGATACAGATGTGTTCAACTAGCTACTTATGATCAGCGTGCTCAGTCAAGTAAAGGCAATCTCTGTTTGTCTATTCTCCGACTTCGTTAGAATATCACCCGTCGGTCCTTTTCGTAGGCGAGGAAGTGCGTAGATGGTCTGCAGAGACACCCGGAGACGCGGGATTGGTCCCAGCCGATCTCCGTACTTGTGGATGACTAATCCGCCATTATTTCCTGATGCTAAGTCGACTACGTTGTATTTCAGCCTTTTCATATTCATCTGAACCGGATCGATCTCAGTATTATAGTAGACATTCATCCCAAGCCCCTGTTCTATCGTCTTATCATAAATCCCAACGTTGGTATATATTGCACCATCACCATCGCCCGTTGCATACTCCCAACTCTAAGCCGGATTATACCCCTTACTCCAATCCACACAGTTCAGATCCAGCTTCTGCCGATCGATATTCCGACACGTCACCAAGTTCGACCCGTTGATGGACCGAATATCCACATCCTGCGCCGAGATGCCGGAACACGTGTCCGGACTGGAGCAGACCAGATGCGCCACCAGCGGTGCAAAGACACGGTTCGTTCGCCCACGGATATTGTGAAACTTGACATCCGTGATGTTGAGTTTCGCCTGTACACATCACACATCGTTAGCCCAGTCCAGCCCAGTCCAGCCGACCCAACCCCAACCCCGGAAGGAGTAGGGACATAAACCCACCGGATGCTTAAAACACTCCTCCTCGTCGTCCTGCCCATAGCACTGGGTGATGGTCAATCCGTAGTCGACATTATCCAACCACATGGTGTCGTAGGTGACGTTTCGCACGAGGCCGCCGCCGCCGCCCCCGACCAGGCTGGTGGATTTCTCGGAGTAGGCGTCGGGCCAGACCTTGATACGCGCGCCCTCGGAGGAGTTGTACATGCTCACGTTGAACACCAGGATGTTCTCGACGTAGTCGACGCGCGACGGGTACTGACCCAGACTGCCGACGGAGATGCCGTGCGTGCCGTTGCAGTGCATGTTGCGCACGGTGATGTCGGTGCTGTTGGGCTTGAAGCTGACGCAGTCTGTCGTTCCCTTACTTAGCTTGAGGGTTTGGGAGGGGGAGGATGTATACCGTCTCCGTTGTTCACTGTCGAGTTCTGGATGGTAATCCGGCTCGAGCGGTACGTGTCCCAGCCGTCGGTGTTCTTCTCGAAGTTCTCATTGTCGCTGACCGAGTACATGTAGATGTTGTGGAACACGACGTCCGTCGAGTCCATCACGATATTATGCCAGAACGGCGAACTGAGCATCTGCAGATCCGAAACCGACCCACCATGCAGCCCCGCCGTAGCTAGAAGGATCGGCCGTCGGATGTTCTTGTCCTGCGCGTAGGCATCCCACCAGGGCTGGCCGTTTCCGTGGATCGATCCGCCGCCGTAGAGATTCACGTCGCGACCACCCAGCAGGATGAAGCTGGTGCTATTCTGGAACTCGAGGTCGAAGGCGTGGTTTTGCCAGTAGGCCAGGTCGTCGGAGAACTGGATGGCACCTTGCAGGTCCAGATCGACGTGGGAGAGATGCGTGAGGTTCAGCGCCTGGCCGATCCGGTAGGTTTGGCCGTGGGGGAAGATGACATGGCCGCCATGGTTGCAGGCGTTGATGGCTTGGAGGATGTAATCGGAATCGTCGGTGGTGTCATCGTTGTGGCTCTCCGCGATGCAGGTCTGGTTTCGCACGGGGGAGTCCTGGGCGTGGAATGGGCGAGGAGAGCGGATGGACCGCAGGAAGGATTCGGGGACGTTGACGCCGCAGCCTCCTGTCGCTAGGGTTAGGGCTAGTAGGGCGGAGGGCTTCATTTTGGCATATACTGTACACCACAACTACTGTGCATACTTCTGGTCCTGTCGACACGACGACAGATGTATTTATATCCTGTTGAGGCCTGTTCATTTCTCCGTTTCCATTCCTCCGGATTGCAATTCTCCGTCTTGTCTGTCGTTGGTTATCCGAGATGGTCGGATAAACGGCGTCACTCCGCCATTCCCCACACTTGCGGGGGTCAATCCTCCAGGCGTTCGTTGATCGGTTCCTCTATGACGCCATGGAGAGATTTTTACTGACCGTCTATAGATGGGCTGTCTGCTTGGGAGAAGCACGCACCAGACAAGTTCGAGGCTGTACGAACGCACAGGGTGACAGAGAATGCATAGTTGAGCAGTGCGCTGGTGGGTCAATCCGTCGCTTGAATCTGCAAATTTGGCCACGTTCATATCGCTTTTCTCCCTCCAGTCGAGAAGGGATGTACATTTCAGGTAGCTTTGACATGAGACTCTTTTCAACGATGAAACTGAATGAGTCTCGGACATTGACTATAGACTATATCTGCTGTGGCTAAAATGACAATGAAGCCCATTGAACCTCGGTGCTCATGTCTATAGTCTTAGAGTCTACTGCCAATGATAGTTCGGCTTACAACTGATTATAGGCAGTAGAATGAACGCTGGTTGCTCTGATAACGGATGGTTCCGAAAAGATCACGTCACCGACCACTCTACTCCCTTGCACATGGCGGGTTTCATGGCCGCGATCTTCCGTGAAAACAAGTTGATGAGATCCAGAGTATATAGGAATGGACAACCAGTCAATTGGCTCTGCTTAAGATGCCTCCGTCGCATCTATCCTTCATTGTAAGGTTCCATCGCTCTGCGTCCAAAACCCGTCAAGAGTGTCCTTATTTATTCCCTCTGGTCTACAAAGAAAAGATTCCAAATATTTTGAACGTTTATCGAGGGTCACTTCTCAGCATCATTTCATAGAGTCAAAGGAGCCTGTGATTAATATGGCTGCAGTGTGAGTCTTGCCTTTTCCATCCTATACCCCTCTTCTAACTGTTCACCTGCAGACATATCAGCAAACACATGGTAGACATTCTCTCGTGCAGGTCAGAAGACTGTCTGGTCATCTCTCAATATCTCATCTTTATATTCGTCGTGTGTGGTCTATGGTGGATGGGTGTCATGTTCCACTATCTCCTGTTTTGCTTCTTTTTCTTTGGAGAGACATTCCTGTGAGGTGATTGATAATTATACTGTTTATGTCTTGGGTTCTATGACAAAGTGTTGAGCTTCTGGACTGCTTTCTAGATTCAACACTGGGGATTCTCTACCAACAGGTTCAGATTTATCTGCTGTGAAGTCGCATGTCATGCTGTCAACCACAAATACTACTGCCCTTCAGGCCTGTTGACCTGACATATCTTCTCCGTTATATGACAGTGTGTTTCTTCACATTTAGGACAACTGAGCGCTGTGCTGGAGACTTTATAAGATATGTCTCGTTCATAAGTTGGCGTATTACTTGCCAAAATCATAGTAACAAAGCATTGATCTTGCTGCAAGCATCCTGGTCTATATGATTGGCGGAACATTCCATGCCGGCTCCTTTGAATTATTCCATTGATCGGAACTTCTAACTATAAATAGTACATAGTGCCTTGAAGCCGACTAACTCCCGGGCTAGCCTGTGTCTGTCAGTTCCTCTGGAAACCGTGATTTAGTAGAATGGAGACCGGCAATGCCTAACCGCCCACCACGGGAGCGGCGTTCTTTATATTCAAGTTTGTATTAGAAGCCTAACACAACTTTTGATACCATCCTATATTCCTTTTCCAGAAGGCCTTGCTGCATAAATTTACTCTTAGTATTCAACCCGACGGGAGACGCAGAATCGAAGAATCAATCTACTCTATGGTAAAATCTGAGGCCTCAGGCGTATCTGGGATTATAAATATACCAGTCGTAATATCTGCAATCTTGGTGAATTTGAGCACCTCTGGACTAATGTAATTCAAAATACTTTTGTTACTCTGAAGGAATAATTAAGAGTGAAGGAAATCAACGTTGGTTTAAAGTTTATTTTTAAATGTGTAAGTATGTCAAAGATTATCCGTACGTCGACTGAAGTGTTCTCTGTTATAGTAGGAGTAGCCTTTATATTTCCCATAATTCTTTCTTAAAAGCTATTCTCCAGGTGTCAAACTTTTGTCGTTTTAATATTCTTTTTTGTCTGTTATGCGTGCGACATAGATATCGGCTTGGGGGCACAATTTGAGAGCCATGCCCATCACAATCTTCGGTTTATCACACCCGTTAATCCAGTCTTTCCAGCCTTTCATCCGCACCCTGAGTATTATGCGTGCGACATAGATATCGGCTTGACGGGCACCAAATGAGAGCCATGCCCACTACAATCCTCAGGTATATCAGACCCGCTGACGAAGTCTTTCCAGCCTCTCATTCGTTCCCGAGTATCTGCCTTCATGAATACGGGCACTTCGCTGTCGTACCCAGTATCCAGAATCGCAATACGTATTCGCCGTGATATATTGCTTAAGCTGGTCCAGCTTTTAGTACGACTTGAGCCAGGCTTTTATTAAGATTGATCAGGCGAGAGAACTATATCGAAGCCTCCTTCTGGCTTTGGGTAAGATTTGTCCCGGGGTTCGGGGCCATGCTCCCAGTGCCTTCCTGCGTTATCGTGGCTGAAGAAGATATACCCGGCAGACTCATCGCGCTCAAATGCCTTGAAATCCCGCTGCAACTCGTGGAGTTTGGCAAATGCCTGCTCGAGACTTCCGAGCCTTTTCGTACGATGCCACGCCGGGCAACGGCTCGTAGAGCTTCGAGGAGAGGCTATCCACCAGGAAGTGGATTCCTCGAAGAGATCAATGAAGAATGAAGAAATTCAATAAAGGAGTGGATGGATCGTGATGATCTTCCTCTTTCCACGGCGGGGTTTGATCATCCTTATATAGAAATGGTCAGGTGATTTGGCACACGGCGAAGTGAGCCTTGAATTCCGGGATCTTTCGCGATTCAATGGAAGATTCCACGGTATACTGGATCTTTTATGATAGATCTGAGGTATTATCCGCTAATCACTCAGTAGGACTAGGAGTGTTCCGGGGAAGGAAAATGGCTGAGCGGTCCTGTCCCTAGGATTTAATCACACTGCTACTTGGGTAAAACGATCCTGTATATTCTAACTAAATCGGTTACCCAGTACTACGATTGCGTATATACTATTAGAGTCGGGAGGTTCACGTTATTGCTATCTTCATTGTACCCCTATTAGCCAAGACAAGATATCAAGAATCAGAATAAGGATATAACGCTCAAAGGAAGCAATCGGCACGGACCCATCTCATTAGCGTACAGCCATCTATACATTCACACATAAACAAACTCCAACAAAAGTCGATATACACGCAAGTCACCCCGAATGACTCCTTTTCGGCGCCGCCATCAACTCCACCGGCGAATCGCTCAATTCCGCGCGATATCCACCCTGCACACCACTTGCCATCGTCACCCCGGACAAGCCCCCCGTCCCCATTCCCATTCCCATCCCAGCCTGCTGTCCCTGTCCCTGCCCCTTCCCAGTTACCCCATACCCTCCCACCCCCCTATACATCGCATCAGCCTTCCTCCTCGCCCTCCTCTCCCAAAACGCCCACCCCAGCGCCAACAGCGCCACCACCCCCAACGGCAACCCGACCCCAGCCCCTATGGCCGTCCTCACAGCCCTCTCCTCGGCGCTGACACCGCACCGGTCATCCACCATGCCCGTGTTCGCGGTGCCGTCCCCCGCGGTGCCGTTGGCCAGGGCCGCGCGACCCAGCAGGACCTTGGCGGAGGGCATTTCGAAGGGTTTTTCGCCGTTGGGGCACGTCACGTTGCCGGTGGATTCGTCGTAGATGGGGTTGCCGCAGCAGTAGGTGGAGATGCCGTCGAGGAAGAGCAGGCTGGTGATGGAGCAGCCGCCGCCGATGTTGTTTTGCGCTGCGTGGAGCGTATGGGTTAGCTGGGTTGGTGGATTGGTGGATTGGTGGATTGGAGTTGGGGGGGGGGGGGGGGAGGTTAGGGTTAGGTTTGGTTGGGTTAGGGTTTGGGATGATTGGGGGATGGGGATCATGACATACATCCCGAACATAGTTGTGGGCAGTCGGCGCCCCAGTTCTGGTCTGTGCAGCTACCGCGCGACAGCACGTAGGGCTGGTGCGCCACGCTGTAGCAGTAGCCGTTGTCGAGGCAGATGTCGCCGGCGGTGCAGCAGTGGGTGTAGGTGTCGGAGGTGCAGGGCACGTCGTTGGAGATGCTGTGGTCGGGGAAGTAGCACGTGCGGGGGCGTTCGGCGGCGGATGGGGAGACGAGGGCGAGGACAGGGAGAATCAGCGAGAGGGTTGGTAGAGGGCGTAGACGGCGCATGGTGGTCTGTGTTTGTTTGTGTGGGGGGTTTGGTTTAGATCGTGAAGTCAAAGTTCATGTCGGAGGAGTCGGTTGGTTAGGAAGTCGAGGACGTGAAGTAGATGTTAGGATGGAATTAACGGTCGATCAGCGGTGATTGCTGAATCTGAAACAGAAATTGAACACTTGGAATAAATCAAACTGGACAGGAGGGCCATTTATTACTTATTACTTATTAGCCTCACTACCTCTACTGCGTGGTCTCTAGTCTCCGACAGACAAGACTCGGACATGGGGGCCAGACGGAAAAATCAACCCTTCCAGCAGCTAACAAACTAGCTGTGCATCGTGCCTGTCCTGACCCTCTTCTAAGGTGTCCAGGGACGGCGGGTGAAACTAGATGGCGTTAGTTGGCATATTAGAGTCGGGGGATACGAGCCGACGAGGTTAGTTCGCTCCACCGGCTGCGGTGGTGAACTTGGCATGACTCGCGAAGTCTGGGCATTGAGGCAGTTCGGGGGATGATTTGACATTGGCATTTGGCATTTGGCAGAAGTGGGCTGGGGTTTGAAGATCGTGAGTTGTTATGGAGGATTTTGAGTTGAATGTGCAGTACGGAGCTCTGTGAAGGCGATGCTCAACCGAAATCAGACCTGTTTATACAACCATTGAGCCCAGAATCCTCTTGCTCTGTCTATCCTAAGCCTTGGCTAATAAGGCATAAGTCTCTAGTGCCTGATTCCCTCTTCCAATCCTTAGTTCCCTCTGTCCGAAGCTCCCCGGCATGTAACCCTAATAATGGCTATCAAGCCACCATGAGTCTATACTCGCCCTACCTGCTGCCGGTTTTTCTGTTAAAAGGTAGACAAAACACAGACATAATGCCCAGGATGCTATCACCCCACGCCCTTTACTGTACAGCCACTGCGTGAAGAAACATAAGCATGCCGCCGGACCCCAACACCCGAAACCATGCCAACGCAACAACCAAGACTCCTAACACAATGCATTCTCTGGATTCCTGCAAGGCTGAAGCGTAATATCAAGAATCTTTCTGTGATGCCTGGCTGACAATATACATGACACAGTGGCCAAGCAGAAGCTGAGAATAGCACCACAGCTACTACTGCCAGGAACGGACTTGCGATCGACGGTCGCTCGTATCCTTTGTAGATCTCTTTCCCTTCCCATTGCTGCGCATCGGTCCGTGCCATTCATTAGTCGAACCGGGTTAGATCGATCGATCAGGTGTCAACGCTTTACTCGAGACAAGTCGAACCCATGAGCCATAAAGGTAATTAATCGATCTCTATTCTAGCTATAAAGAACCACCCCCGAAGCCGTTCCCGTTAGGAGAATCCCACCAAGGCTCAATGTCAGATAAACTAGGTAATGCCGGATCCTCATACGCAGGCCCGCCTAATTGGCCCAGTCCCGGATCGTCAAGCGCGCCCGAGAGCAACTGCAGATCGGAGTTCCGGATCCAGTCGAAATCGCCCGGTTGACAAGCACCCGCCTGCCGAGTGGGATCGAGCGCTGGTGCGGCTCGGAGAGGGTCTGTCTGGCCCGGCAGGGCGCCGGGGACTTGCAGCGAGTTCACCGGCATCGCAAATGGATATGACATGTGTCCGCGCGGCGCTGCAACTCGGGTCTTCTTTCGAGATGTGTTCGCTTCCAGACTGGTCCCTGCGAGTTGCTGCGACGACGGCCGCCGGCTGACTTGTCGCTTCGCACCGGTCCGGCGCATATGGGCTTGCCATCTGCGCTGGAGGCTGACGAGATAGTCTCGCGTGCGTTTGGCGTTCTCGAAGGACTGGCCCAGTTCGTCGAGGGCTCGGAAGCAAAGGTTGAGATATGCGACCATGCCTGCGTTGCTGCTGATACTGTCGCTATTGTTTCTGTTCGAAGGTGTGGAATTGGAGATCGTGACGTAAAGTAGCATTAGAGCCGCGCTGAATATCATGGCCACAACCTGGTTGTTCATGCGGCGGAATGTGTAGTGTTTTTCATAAATGTGAAGAAGTCGTGCAATGGCTGTCGCAGACTCGACGCACATTCGTCGAGCATGATGATAGCCAGGTCCCTGGCGCGGACTGCGCGGCTGGATGTAGCTTTTCGACACCCACGGCCGATGGGTGAAGATGACGATTTGATGGTATTGCATACTGTTTCATTAGTTTACGTCTAAATGTTTTGTAAGCCGGTTCCGTCCACTTACTGTAGCATAAGAAGATGCGGCAATTTAGGGATCGTGTCGTTGTCCAGATCGATGTCGAGGGTAGAGGGAAGATTAGCTTTCCAGGCAAACAGATCATCGGTCACCCGATGGCATAATCTTTGGAGATCGTGCCGACCGATCTCGGAGCAACCATATCTATGCCATATCAGTTCATGCCATCCACTCCATTGCAGGATACTTACAGAATATGGCCAACCGGAGATATTATCTCCCATAGAATAGCGAATTGTCTGCTTATGAGTTCGTTCGGGTTTTTAACCCCATTCTTTGAAGGTTCTAGGTCACCTGGTAGTCCATATGGATACCAAGTGCCTTCCTTCCCTATCCCTAAGCCTGACGCGGGCTTTGGAATGGTGATATCTCCCGCATTCATGCGGAACGGGCGGCCCAGGTAGAAGCCCCAGAAGCTGACAAGGTCAGTGACGGATTGCCAGCCGAGAAATGTTCCACTTACTGATCTGCCGTATAGCTCCCCCAGAACGCGATTCTTCGTACGTCGGCTTCAAAGGCACTAATATCTCCTCTTTCTACGTACGGAGTCATATCGATGTGCAGCCCAAGGTCGAATGCAAGCCTCATGGACATTCCTGGAAATATTAGCCACACGCTCACTTTATTCAAAGTCCATCATACCACTGTAGAGCCAACCACGAGCATCGCGATTCGAGGATCCTTCATGGCAACTCAGAATGACAAGCGCTTGTACCGTGGCGACACACGGCGAGTCCAGCTCTATTTCAAGAAGGGCCTTGGCTCTATCCGCAAAGAACTCCGATAACGATTTGGGAAAAGTGATGAAAGTCGGATGATACCGCGCCTCGAAGGCACTGCCAATAGCGCACCTGGAACATGTCAGCAAAGGCGGATGGATCGAAAGCGTCAGCATACATTGCATTGGTAAGAACCTCCGAGTAAAATGGGGTATCGTCAAGCTCGTTCCGCCACTTCGACCTGGCGATCATGTACATATCCTTATCCACCACGTAAGTGCTCGGATTCTGCCATGTGAAATACAGCTCGACGAGATGATCCTCAAGAGTCTGGTCCACCGCCTGTCCGACGCGCAGATGATTCAAGATATCCTGTCCATCGTGCCGGACAGTGCGCGCGTCCGGACGCTGGCGTTGCTGCGTTGCCGAGACATCCACCAAATTTAGATTCGAAGTGGCGCCATAGAACCGCAAATGGCCATCTCCGGCGATTTTCAACGTGCCGATCCGATTCGAGATCTGCTCGATCACATCCTTTTCGGCCTCGTCCTCCTCCCCACTGTCCGATTCATAGTCCCTGTTGTTCCACGTCTGCCCCAGCAGCACCCCCGGTTGCTGTTGCATATCCTGGGACAAGTGGAAACTGTCGGGGCTGAGACTGTTCTCATGCGAACCACCCGGCGCGCCGTTGATATTCGCATAGATAGTATCGAGGCTCTCGGCCGTAGGAAGAGTAAATCCCCAACTCGGCGGCGGATAGTGATGAGACAAACCAGGATGGGCTGCCAGCGGGTTTATCGTGTCCGGGCTTTTCTCGGCTGCGGGAAGAGATGATTGCGCCGAAGAGAATGCATTCTGCGCCGGGGAGGGAACCCCTGCCACGCTTTCGATCGAGTCCAGCTTTCCATCGAACGTCGACGGTCCGGGTGTGTGTTGAACGGGCGACTGCGCGACGGCCGATTGCGACCGTGCATGCTGCCCACCCTGGAAATCCGTGCGTTTCGCCAACCCTCGAGGAATCTGAAGCGTATCCAACACCCTGTTGATACCCGACTCATCCTCGGGGTTCATCGGAGGTGGCTCTAGCCCGTTATCGTATATAAACTGGCATAGCTGGTCTATTCGGGCGGAAAAAAGCTCTGTCGCCGCGCGCAGTGATACTCTGGAGGACATCGTCAGCCCCTCCTTTCTCCCATCCTTGTAACACAATAACCTTGGGCCGTCTGGGAATTCGCGCAACAATTATCCCAAGAACTCCGCGCCAGGGAGCAGGACTTACTTCCGTTTGTCGTCCCCATGTTGGTATTTGCATTCCTTTCCCTTTCGCTCGCAGTTGTGGCAATGAGGAGTCGCTCCGTCGCACTGGCAAGAAGTCTGTTAGAATTGTATGCGATAGTGGGATTTCTGGTAACATGCGACATACTCGGATCTTACTCTCACGACAAGGGACACAAGCAGTGGTTACATGCTTCCGAGGAGCCTTCTTGGTCTTGGAGTCTGGCTCCATGATTGAAGAGACCGACAAAGTGCGATCGCGGGGAATTTTGAGATTTCGCCCCGACCGTGGAAGAGAAGAACGCGGAGTGGGATTGTTGGGACGGATTCACGGAGCGAGAGCGGAAATAAATATACGGTCAACCGACATCGACGGAGAGGACAATCGACATAATCGTATGCAGTGCGAAAGTGCAGGGAGTTGGCATGGCACAGCAAGTCCAGGTCGAGATGGATGATTCTGGGGAAAAGAAAGCGACGATCGTCTGCGGCAGGCGAACAGCAAACCGCCGGTCACTAATCGAGTCCAGACTGCGGGGGGCTTCCCCACTCGAGGTCCAGCGTACACAGACAGGCACATCAGCACATCAGTACTCTCGTTTCATTCGTCGTTTACACAATACAATGCTCATTCTGCGCAATTATATACTTGATCTCTCATTGATCTCTCGTTGATCTCCCATTTACCAGTTGCTGGTGCGCTTCAGCGCCTCGTTCTGCACCACCTCGACCCAGTAGTTGTCGGGATCCAACACAAAGGCCACATTCCTCATGCGTCCGTCCGTCAAGCGCTTCTTCCAGTTGACGTTGAGCGACTCGAACCGATCGCAGGCGGCGTTGAGGTCATCGACAGACACACCTAGTAACGTCGTTAGCAGCCGCAACTCATCGCAACCGTCCGTCTCAATTGTTTTCCCAACTTACAGATGTGTCCGAATCCCTGGGGCTCGGTGTTGCCGTTGTGGTAAACCTGGCCCTCCTGGTTCTCGGTGCCGTAGTTCCAGGTCAACTCGAGCAGACCCTCCCATTCAGTCACGGGGTTCTTGGCGTTCTCCTGCACCTGCGGGTTGGACTTGGGGTATCCCAAGAAGTACAGGTTGAAGCCAGCCTCCTTGTTCTCGGAGGTTCGCAGCAGGGTCATGCCCATGACCTCCTGGTAGAACTTCAAGCTGCTCTCGGCGGACTTCACGCGGAGCATGGTGTGGTTGAGGCGGTAGTTGCCGGGGTCGGTGGTAGCGCCGACATCCTCGTCATGACGGCGGATGAGCTCGACCCAGTATCCATCGGGGTCCTTCGCAAAAGCAATGTGTCGCATGCGTCCCTCGGTCAGCTTCTTCTGGAAGGGGTACCCGGCATCCTCGATCCTCTTGCAGGCCGACTCGATGTTGTCCACGGAGATGGCAATGTGTCCGAAGCCGCGGTGGGGTTCGGTGTTTCCGTTCACCACGCTGTAGTTGGGGTCGTTCTCGGTGCCGTAGTTGTGGGTGAGTTCCAGCAGGGCGTTGCGGTCCGTGAAGTGCCGGTCACCACCCTGCAAAGAGTTGGGGCCGTTGTAACCGAGGAAGTAGAGGGAGAACTTGGCTTCGGGGAAGTCCAGATGCTGGATCTGGCTGAGTCCCAGGAACTTGTAGAATTCGACTAGAACCGCCAGCGAGATGAGTATGCCAGCCGCCAACCTATAGACGGGAAATGCCAACTCACGGGATTTCTTCGGGTCCTTGACCCGGATCATAGTGTCTTTTTACATGGCACCATCGTCAGCCATCGATCATCAGGCAACCCCGGATTTGCCGGATGGTCGATCACTTACGGTTAAGCTTATACTGGTTGGTATCGGAGGCCATGGTTGCGAGAGTTCGATTGGTTCCTGAAGCAACCTTGTGAGCGCGGATCTCCAATAAGTGGGGATGCAAAGGACAGCCCACCTGGGAAGATCGAAGGGAATCTTGGGCTGGGGACCCTGAGGGAAGATGGACGAAGGGAAGACAAAAAGCGACCGGCGAACATACGGAGGGGAGGACAAGGAGGGGTAACGCGAGAAAAAGTCTTAGTTATGCCGGGTCGGCCTGAGGCTCCCTGAGGTCCCTCCGCCGGTGGGGGACCCGATGACGTTATGCCTGCTCTGGGAAGGCGGTGTCGGCTCGTCCCGATGAAGCTATTCCCGACCACACGAGGCTAGAAGACTGAGAGACTGAGACTAAGAATCCTGCGCGGATCAAGCGCTCCTGCTTTGATCCCCGGTGTTCCGACCTTCAGCCGCCTCGAATTCGGCCACTGGTTTGCGCCCACGGGAACCAGCCGTTGGAAGGAGCGGAACATGGTTTGGGCCCCCACTATCTGACCAGTGGCACGTAGTACAGACGTATGACCCCGGTCTGGTGAATCATTTAAAGGCGCTGGACGTCACCCCTCGCGGTTTCTCCGTGGCAAATTTCTACGATTGCACATTCCATCATTAGACCACAACACTAGGGTCCAAGCATCATGGCAAATACCAGAACTCCCGCCCTGGTGGCTGTGGTGGCCGTGATTCTGGGTATCGTTGGAATATATTTTCAACCCGCGAGGGACTTCCTTGCACAATACGGATTTCATTCTCTCGGGCTGGTTTCTCCTACCCCGATTGTCGTCGATCCTGTCCGGAACATCACATACCTGGGAAGTCAGTCCTCTGGGGTTGAGCATTTCCATGAGATTTTCTACGCAGAGAATCCATCTGGCGAACGCCGCTTTGCGCCACCAGTTCCTGTCAAGCCGACCAAAGGCTCCATCATCGACGCGACACGGCCTGGGGCTTGGTGTCCCCAGGGAACCGGAGATGTGCTTCCATTCACGAGTCAAGTGACCAATATCAGTGAAAATTGCTTGAGTTTGAGGATAGCCCGACCCAGCGGTGTGAGCAAGAATGCCAGGTTACCGGTGGTAGTATGGATCCACGGAGGTAGGAAATCCTTCTTGGGATTAACACCACACTACTAACCAGATCGCCTAGGTGGTCATGCCTTGGGTTCGGGGTCGGATATCTTATATACCCCAGATGGCTTGGTTGAACAAGCTGCGGCAGACAACCAACATTTAATTTACGTTGCAATTAACTATCGCTTTGGCTGTAAATTTCACTGTCCAAATTGGAATGGAAAAGCGCCGTTAACTGACGTGCCCAGTGTTCGGCTTTGCGACAAGCAAAGCAATGATCGAGGCCGGACAGGCGAATGCTGGTCTTCGTGACCAGCGGGCCGCTCTTGAATGTAAGCTCCGATGCCACGATCTCATTGAGCATGTACTAAAGCCTTCCACAGGGGTTCGCGATAACATTGAGGTGTTTGGTGGTGATCCTAGTAAAGGTAGACTTTGGAACGTACCGATCGCCCGGGTCTAGAGCTGATTTACGTGCAAAAGTGACTGTCCTCGGCCAAAGCGTCGGAGCCAGCGACATTGGCCTACATCTAACAGCATTTGACGGGACGCAAGGGGTTCCATTCCAGCAAGCAATGTTAGTTAGCCTCTTCCAGGGAAAGTTAATTCTTTGCTAAGGTCGAAACTTTCTCCAAGAATGATGTCGGGTGGCCCAGGCCTGAATTTCAATAGCAAGCCAGACCTTGTGGCGGAGAACACTGCAGCCATTGCACGGCAAGTGGGATGTGTCGAAGATAGCGACGATCAATCCTTCAAGGTCCTGGAATGCCTCCGGAATGTTCCCTTCGAGACCCTGACCGATCTCTCCGTCGCGGCTTCTCGCGCTGCTCGTCCACCTTTCGGCGAGGGCTTCTTCTACCCAACCATTGACGGCGACTTTATTCGCGATCGGCCATCTCAGCTGATGCGGGCAGGTAAGTTTGTCAAAGGGATCCCAGTGATCGGGTCCTGGGTTACAAATGACGGCGCTTGGTATGCATCGCCTCACACCTCGACGGACGAAGATGTCTTGGCTAGCTTTGGGCGTTGGCTGGTCGGTCTTTCCAATTCAACCAAGCAACGACTGTTGGAGCTCTACCCACGCGAGGATTTTGAGCACATGGTCCGACGAGACTACGACGGCCCGATCTCTACACAATACTACCGCGCTGCGCAAATCAACCGGGATATCTGGTTCACATGCCCGGTCCTGGACTTTACTTGGCAGTACGTCAAAAATGGTGGCGTTGATTCGTCCCAAGTCCGAGTGTACGAGCACAACTCCACCAGGTTCACCCCGGTATTTGAGACGATGGGCGTTCCGATGTGGCGGGTTGCTCACCTGAGTGATATCCCGTACGCACTGAATACCCAGCATCTAGAAGGTGGTGCAGACAATTCGGCCTCGCAGCTTGCCTTGGCTCGGGTTGTGAGTAGGGCCATCACGAATTTCGTCAATACGGGGACCCCGGAGAAGAGTGAGAGTCAGACCGAAACATGGCCTGCGGTCTTTTCCGGGTTAACCAGTGAAGACTTGAGTAGGGAGTCCCCAAGCAGGCTTTCCATTCAGGTGTTTGGCGGGCCGTATGGGACAGTCCCAGTGACTGTGGGCAGGGATACGGATGGGAGTATGGCTGGTGAAGCAGAAGAGGCCATCCAGGCGGCACAATTGTTTCGTAGATGTGAGTTTATTAATAGTGAGCTGGTGCGAGCGGAGACGGGGGTGTGAATGCCGGGTGATAAGACAAGACCTGGATGATGATAGATCTAGGATAGGACAAGATAGGAGAGGAGAGGAGAGGAGAGAGACTAGTGTGCTGAAGGCGGTGGCATTTCTGCCGGACCGTGACATCTTCTCACTTTCCCTCCCCTGCGCTGACTGGATCTCATCTTTCCTCTTGCTTTTTCCCAACCTTCGTCCTTCCCATCGGATCGGCTTCTTGCAGCTTTCTCGGCGCTGGTCGCATTGTCAATTGGCCAAGGTTTGTAGTTTGCTCCCTCCTTGTCCGTTACGTTGGACTCCCCCAACACCCCCGAGGATCATTTAGATCCATCCATGTGCTTTGTTGGCACTTGGAGATGGTCTGCTCGCTGCGCCCCCCATTTGCTTCCGACTATCATTCCTATTTTCCGGTTTCTCCCTTTTGAGTCTCCCCATCTCGTCTTACTTTCTTTTTCCGTCCGGGGCGCGATTGGTCCGGTCCTTCTGGGACTGTGCGTTTCTGTTTCCCCCCCATGGCATCTTTCCCCACGCTCTTGAACGCCATTTGAAGGTTCCTTCTCGTGTGAACCTAACAACTCATTTTCGTGATGGGTGGTTGCGAGACCCTGGGCTCGGGCGAGGAACGAAGGCGCTAGACTGCTTCCCATGTTGGGTTACTCTTCTGCGCCCCGAGGGAAGGAACTGTCTTGTGTATCTCTTGTGCCACCGGTGCCTACAGTTGTACCTCGTGTCGGACATCATATTTGGTTGCTTTGGCCTATATAATTTCTCTCCACTTCCGTCCCGTTTCTTTAGTCCTCCTTGCAGTGTTTTATTCTCCCCCTTCGTTCAGCTCCCTCTCTACATCTCACTTGTTTGCAAATCAAAATGGCTGAATATCAACATCCAGTTCAACCTGGCAGACCGTGCCAACAGAAATCCACTAGTGTTTATGACATTTCGCACTCTCCGTACTGGGCACAGAGCCAGGTTCAATACGCCCAAAACCTTCTAGAGTGTTCGGGTGAACCGATCGAGTACGATTGCGACGATCGAGACTACTGGGACAATTGTTTCTTTTTCCCGGAAGACTGTTCTTGGTCTCCTCCCAAGGACTGGATTGTCGAGCAGCACGACCCCAGATACGATCTCAACCGCGACGACTCTTACGACACCATGATTCCCGGACTACCAGACATCAAGATGCTGGATGCGGAGGCCCTCAGCGACCTGCTGGAGGACAACCTCTCGCCCCCGGAGATCACCTCCATTCTGTATGGCACACTTTGATCGATTCGGGCTTGGCGTCCCTGCTAACGAGACATGTGTGGCACAGAGTATTTGCTACGAACGGTGCCATCTTCGCCTCGGCGTCATCTCTTCCGCTGAGACAATTACGCAACCTGAGCGCGACGTACGGTGCTGCCTACACCTGCTACGCCAAGAATGCTTCAAGCGGGAACCTGACGGGCGTCAACCCTGCTAGTCATCCCTCTTCTTACGTGACAGCCCAGTCCGTATCCTTGGGTGACGTAGGCTCGATTGTCTTCGAGCTCGACGACCTAGTTGCCATCGTCACGCGCATTGCCGACAAGGTTCTCCTTGCTGCCGTCGGGCCGTCCAAGATGAAGCCCGCCGGACCAAGCCACGCTCAAAATGGTCAGGGGGCCACCGGTAATACCAACGGATCTCGACCGGGGACGGAAGGCCCCACGACGGGGAACTTCGCTCCTCCCAACGGTGCATCCCTCCATCACACTCCCACCAACGGCACCCCAAACAGTATTTCCCGCAGCCACAGCGAATCCAACATCCAGAGCGACGCACATCTCGAAACGCAATACGAAATCGACCGCAGCAGCGACCTCGCTCGTCTCTCCAGTCTGAACCTGTCTGCGTCCCCAGCCATCCTGCTCGCACTGGAGTCAAAATCTGCGGCGCTAGGAAGATTCCTCAGCCAGAAGCTGGAGGACCTCGATAGTCCGGAGGACTTCTGATGAGGTCACCATTCTCTTTGGTCGTTCATCGGTACGACATATCTAGAGCACAGTCCTTAAGTGGCTATGATCCGTATGAATCTTCTTTTTTTTTTTTTTTTGAGCGAAATTACGGCGTGTTTTATTCAATACACAAACTTCGTTTCTTCGATCGCGTGTTTCTCCGTGCCGACATGGGTTTGGGTATTTGGTATCAAACTACATCTAGCGTAGTCGAAGACATTAAACAAATAAAGCATGATCCAATTAGGACGCTAAGTAAGAAAGCAACGGCAAGTCTATCGAGTAGTGGAATAAGATAAGTTAAGTTAGGTCAGGTCAGGTTAAGTTAGGTATCTCATGATATCTTTGCTATTCAGGCAAGCGCAGATAAAGAATCAAACACTGAAAAATCAAGACGATTCATATCAACCATAAGGGAAGAGAGAACAGATCATATGTAATAAAAGAAAATAGAAAATCCCTCCAATGACTAGCTTGGATGAGACGGATATAATTATTTGCGCGATGCGATATCGCATCACGCCTTGTCGCCCGCAGGGGCGGCAGAGCCAGCGGTGGAAATAACGCCCTGGGTCTGGGCTGAGCTGCCGGTGTCGGCGCGCGTCATGGGAGGAGTGGAAGAAGGACCCGACTGGGATGCCTGGGGTGAAGTGGCCTGCGGCGATGATGCCTCGCTGTGCTTTTCGGAGTAAGCGGGAGGGTGATTCTCCGCGGTGCCGGCGCCGGCACCGACAGCCGGACTGGCCGGTTGCGAGGCGGCGGTGGGCGAGGCGGCGGCGCTGGTCTGGATGGCGGCCGGGCCCTTAGTGGCGTCCTTGATGATGTTGTACCACTTTTCGGCGTCGCTGGGGGTCGGGGCCTTGAAGTTCAGCTCGGTGTTGGTGTGGAAGGCGTTGCCGACCTTGCCGCTGGAGACATCCTTGCCCTTGACGCTGAACTTGACGCCGTCGATGGCGCCGAGGACGCAGTCCGGCAGGTACAGGGACAGTTCGGGGGTGGGGTCGCGACGGAAGTCATCGTTGTCTTTGAATTCGTGGAGGTAGCGGGCCACAGTCACAACGTAGTAGCCGGTGTTGAAGCCCTTGATAACGGCGCGGGACTTGCGCTCCAGGGATCCTTCGATCAAGGGCTTGGTCGAGTGGTGGTCCTGGTTGGGGAAGGTGATGTTGCTCAGCGACCGGGGCGGAGCATCGGGGTCGACGAGGGTTTGGTGGTTGCTGGTGATGAAGTTGACCCATTCGAAGTCCGGAGGGATCCGTTGGGAGGAACCCAGAATGTCGGAATACATGGTGCGCTGGCGCTCCAATTGGTTGTTCATGAACACGACGAATTGCTCCATGGAGGTCTGGATGGTCTGCACGACGTGGGCCTCAAATTGCTGGAAGTTGTTCTGCACCGCGATGATGTCCTGGCGGTTGTTGTTCTCCTCAATGACCTGCTTGTTGAGGCGGTGGTTGATGCCTCTGCGTAGAAGATAGGGGTCATGGTGCTGGTCGACCTTGTTCTGGGCGGCCGCATCGAAGGTCGCACTTTGCTGGCCAAGAAGCTCAATGTGCTTCTGGGTGATGCCTCTCGCCTTGTCGACGGCCTTTGCGCTCTTGGAGGTGCCCGTCTGCAGCTCCTTGGACTTGTTTTTGATCTCCTTGTGAAGACGTTCCAAGGTCGGGGAGATGGATCCCCGAATGTTTTTCTCGGATTCAAGGTACATGTTCACCATTCCCTAGCAGCGATGCGCATGTCAGCAACTGCTTCAATTCATCCTGAACATATACCGAAGGACCATACCTGAGTATTAGACCGAATATTCTCAAACCAAGACGCCACGCCGCCCGCGCCCTGCGAGAAGTGATGTCCTTCTCTCAGCGGATCGCTCACGGTCTGTCCACCACGTCAGTATCATGTCGGCCCAGCCCGAATAACCCAGAATGCATCCGCACCTTCAAAACCTTCTCATACTCCTTCGACTGGGACTTCTGAGTCTTAGCTGTTACCGCGACGTAGTCTTCGAGGTAGCCACACATGTGCTTCCAGGCCCGGAGACGCTCGAGGAGGAGGTTCGTAGTCTATCGGCGACAGAGTATTAACTATTTTCCCGGCATCTAGACCCTCACGAAAACACGATCGATGACCTACCTCATTGCTATCGGAGCCCGGAATAGCCTCGTCATCACTCATCGAAGCGCGGCGGTCAGGGGCGATGGAACTTCTCATGGTCGACGACCGATGAGGGAGCCTCTGCTCCACGGGACTGCTTGCCGCGGACATTTGGACGGATGGAATGTCACAGGGGTATCGTAGATTGCCAAAAGTAAGGAGAACAAGACAAACAGAAAAACAATTGCAAAATGGAAAGAAAAAAAAAAAGACCGAAGCCTGCAGAGAGCGGGCGCAGTGGAGGCCGGAAGCGCGGAGTCAGACTAGTCTGGACTATCGATCATTACAGTTTGTTCGTTAGTCTCAAACGGCCCTTTTTTCGTTTTCGTTTTCGTCGAAGCGGAGAGGGCGGGGAGTCAAGAGAGAGCAGGATGTGGGCCGGATTGGGAGAGGGGAAGGGGATGGGATTCTTTCTCCGACCTTGACAATGGAGACCTACCGGATCAAGCAAAAAGTCAGGGGAGCCAAATTCAGGACCAGAGGGCCAAATGTCGCGATGAAAAAAGGACGAGGGGAAGAGGAGAAGAAGAGGAAAAAGCGTGGAATGATCGACGGGCGGCTGATGAGGTCACACGCCGGTTGCCCCTCCTTGCATCGCCCAACACAGCGCCATTGTGGCTGTTGCTCCGATGGGCCTGGAACGGTGGTCCGGTGGCTTGAAATCTCCGTGGATCATCTTTGGCGAGAGACTCAAATCTTGAATCGACCAGAGAGAATGCAAGGGGTTCGGCCATGATCTCATCACCCCATTCGGTCCACATCGGATATGATCTCATATGCATCCAGGGGAAGAAACAACTAATAAATAAATAAAAAAAAATTAAAGTAATAGAGATGCATTGAAGAAAGCCATGTGTCATACAGCATCATCATACTCTGAAAGAATGAGTGGAAAAGAGAGGTTGCAGCATTGTATTTGTGCTCACGTCGCTCATGCAAGGAGATGCTGGTGTGATAAAGATACAGATGGTCTGTATATACATAACTCATGCAGACTCAAGGTCGTTCGTCACTTGGTGTCGTTCCAGTCCCATGCCTCAGAAAAGAAAGAAAACAAATAACGTAAAAATCCGTGTCCCAGTTAATCCCAGTCCCGTCTATTAGTGGTGAAAAAACGCCGAATAAAATGAATCCGTGCCTCTAATATGTATGTGCGCGAAGATAAAACATATTCCACATGCCTCCATGCTTCTTTTTCTCTAACTGTCGTGTGCGGTTCGGCGTCCAGCGCCAAGATTCCAATATTATGCGATTGATCTGACGCCGAGGCCAAGGGGGTATCGAGGGAGAATCAGTTAAACTCGGGCTCGCGCCTGCAAGAGCCGCAGACGTCGGTCCTCGTCCTCATGGCTATGGGAACGGGAGTGAACGAGCCCCGGTCGGTGATGAAGCACATCCATGGGAGAATAGTACCCGCTGCCCCGCCCGGGGGAACGCAGATAGGCTTGCTGAGGTGATTGCGGCGGTGGAATGACATAGTCTCCGGCGATCACCGCCTGGTAGTCCGGCAGGTCTGCATCTCGCGGGCGGACGGTGGTCCGGACGGCAGTCGAGTAACTCGGGACGCGGCTGAGGGTTTCGACTTCCGCATATTGAGGGTGGAAAGGCGTGGCCATTCCCGAAGGAAGGGGATCGTGGTCGTGGTCGTGGTCGTGCTCGCCCTCGTCAGAAGGTCGACGAGAGAGGGTGGGACTCGCAGGGCTGTGAGAGTTGGATCCCGAGGAGGGACCGAAATAGTCGGGAGGCACCCCAAGCTGACGGTTCTCGCTTTCGTGGTGATGATCATCGGACGGCGAAGGGTGGTTGTGTCTGATGTTATGAAGAGTCGAAAGACGGCTGTGCAAGGCCGACGCAGAAATATCCGTGTTGGTCAGAGCATTCATCGAGGCCAGGTTTTCGGTGGAAAGGTTGCGGCTCAGAGTGCCGAATGGAGTGCCAGGGCCGCTGCCAGGGCCTGGGGTTCGGTAGCCGGCGGGGTCAAGCTCGCTGTATAATTGATCAAACTGGTGTTCGCCGTACAGTGGCGGTGCCTGTTGGGCGATATCGCTGATCGCTCTCTGCGCCGACTGCGGGGTTTGATCGACCAGATTGTTGTTCTCGTCGATCGCAAGGTTCGGAGAAATGAAGACGGACACGGGAAGTGTGGCTCGCAACTGAGATTTGTTAGCATATTCGCGAGTAGAAAAACAAACATGGCGGATCGCTCACCTCGCTGATGTGTCCGTCAGGGTTGAGCAACTGCACTCGGAATTTCATCTTGTGCCGGATCTTGATGCCCTTCGTGTCGGTGTCTTGCAGGCATCGGGTCAGAGTCTTGGGTAGCTCCAAATGTCGGGTGAATTGGTATCCTTCCGCCGCTTCATCGATGATTTCTAGGCTGCCATCTGGGTCCAGCTCGTGCTCATCCGACAGGATAGTTCTCGTGCTCTTGTAGGTGTTGCGGATGGAGTCGTGGTCCTCGGGGTTGAGCGTGAGATCGTGACTCTCAATCAACTGAGAAACGATCTGGCCGATGCGAAGTCCCTTAAGAAGCGGGATGAGTTTGAAGTCGACCTGAATACTGGTGCCGAAGATGACGGCCTTAGTCGGCGTGCTGATAGAATACTCGATCTTGTTCGGCCACACGTTTTCCACCGACTGTACACGAGCGAGTCAGTAAAGTACACGAGATGATGCCACGGAAAAGGGAAAGCTTACCATGGCGTGGGACAGTTCCAAGGCGCTGGAATCTAACGTCCGGATGATGCGCAGAGGCCGTCGCACCACAATGTCCTTCGCATACTTGCGACCGATCTCCGCCTTGAATCGATATGTGACGTAGGTGTCGTTGAGACCCTCAACACTCTCCGGCATCGACCCCTCCAGGACCAAGTCGAAAGGATACTCGTAGTTGCCGCCCGGGAGAATCTCAGTTTTGCCTTTACCCGGGTCTCTGAAACTGAAGGTCTTCTCGTAAAACACGCGCTCCCTCCATGATTTTCGGCCACCGCCAGCGGAGCTGGAGGGGAGGTGCCAACTAGATTGACCGGATTGTTAGTCGACGACCCCTAATTGCGACAAGTCAAGCACTTACCAGACTCGAGAGATACCGGTCAAGTGCAGCCGGATATGTTTAATCGACAGCGGTTCCGATAGACACAGGATGAGTTTACCGCTCAGGTGAGCACTCGCGGCTTCTTGTTCGCCGCCTCGGAACACGATATAGTCTTCATCGAGCCTGCGGGACACAAAATGACGGGTTAGCGAAAGCCGATAAGGAAAACCGGGTTCCCGGGACCAGATGCGGGCGTTCAGTGACTCACCGAATGTCGAAGTACTTGGCGTAACTCGCACTTCCTCCCCCACCAAAGAAACTGAGGGCCATGACGTTTCAACTAACAGCTGCAGACCAGGGGCAGCTGCCAGAAGATAAGCAATAGACCAGGGTGGAACGCAAAGGGATTGAATGATTGATTGTAAGAGGGAAAGGGAAGAGGAAGGGGGACAAGAGTGGGATTGACTGGAGTAATAAAAACCCAGGAAATCGGATTCCACCCAACGCGCGCCCGAAGAAAAGAAAAAAAAAAAAAAAAAAAAAAAAAAATTCAATTAAAAAAAATCAGAATGACAGATCAGACGGGAAATTCGCAAAACGGAACCTGCCAGTGATCTACCGGTCACTGACCAGATTTGCAGGCAAGCCGGGTCGACCAACGGGTCCCACTCAGAGCATTCGCTGGTGGGGGCTCGCGCAGCCGTTTCCGTCACCGTCTCGAAAATTTGGTCGTTCGGAGGATTTTCTTTTTTTTTTTTTTTTTTTCTGGTAAGAGTGGCGAGAAGCGGATCTCTTGGGCTTTTAGGTTAAGACGATGATGCGATCTTTTGGCCTTGTCTTGACTAAGCCCACTAGTGATAAAGATAGAACAACGCGAGAGAAAGAACGGCGAGGCTTTGGCTTTGTGGTGGAATCGCCGGTCAGCAACTAGGTAATGGATAAGGGGTATCCAATGGCACGAGGGGCCGAGGGAACAAAGGAAAGGAGAGGATCGGGATAAGTAATAGCCATGATGTACTCGGAGGATTGTAGGAATACGCATCCCCTGGAATTGATGATAAGGAGGAAAAGTGAAGCAGAAGCAGAAACGGAAACAAACACAATCAAACACGCGGGACGGTTACGTCACGGGGTCTACTTACTTCTGTCACTGTCAAGGGTTACTGTTTACTCTTGTTCGTGTCAATCTCGTTCGGTTTCAAAGAATCAACAGAGGGAGCATTTCTCTTCTAAATAGTTCCAGCTGTGCCACCCCGAGGGATCGCCCGGTTTTATCTCATCGCCTGAACTCGTAAGATCGACCCCCCGATTCTAGGCGGCAGGCCGGTTTACCCGGTGGGTGATGCTCCATCATCACGAGGGATTGATGGCCTCTGGGAAAATTAATCCCCATCCCCATCAGTCCAGCATTCCTTCTTGGCACGCCATCTGGATGCTTATTCCCCGGTCCGGCCTCTGTGGATTTTCCGGCTGATGATTCTTCCTGTGTCTCCGAAACGAGGGTGACGAACAATCTCGGCTGGTCTATCTTCTGCCTCGGGATCGTCAATGCCGCATGATGTGCGCGATCTTAATGAAGTTAAACGGATAACTAATTCCAGGGACGAATCGAGTTAGACATCCTGCGGAGACAGCCGACAATCTCTCTCGCTCGCGAGTCTCGTCCGTCGTCAGCATGTGCTCGGACAATTAACTCTTCTACAGGGTACATCCTGCCCCTCCGTCTGATCTCGCGACACACTACGTACAGCATGCAGGGCGAGGTTACACAGCAGCGATCAGAGGAAACCTTTCCAAGACGGACACGCCCCACTAGTTGATGATCCTCTATCGGCGCCTGCATTGTCCCCTGGTCATCTCTGAAGGTACCTTTTGTCGACGTGGATGTGGTGTGTCATATGGTGCTGCAGATCTCGTCAGGGAAAGAGGCCGGTGGCATGACATCCTCGGTAGCACCACATACGACCTTATCAGATCCAGTCAGCGCCGCCGAAGATACTGTGAAGAAATAACCGAGACCAGCTGAACATGCGATTCGGGTTCATCAGCTACGTTTGACTCGACATCCTTATTCCCTCATCAACAAACAGGCGGTTGGCATGGAAAGCTCAAGCAAGCTAAGCTCAGCTTTCGGAGGTCGGGGCCCAAAGTGGAGAGCGATGCGAGATGCATGCATTGCAACCAACTCCCAAGACCGGGCCAAGAGCAGCGGAATGGCGTGCTGTCCACGACTCCACTCCGGATAAACCGAGTCTCGGACATGAGAGGGCTGCCATTACTGATCTGATCAGACGACAAACATCCAGATCATGACATATGAAACACTGGATTGGGTTCGAAGGAGCAAGCTTGTCCTGTAGATCGAGGTGCACCGCGTAGCACTTCAACGCGCCGACCAAGACTCGAATAGACCAGTCCTCAGGGGAATGGGAATGGATTGATCGCAGACTATCTCGACCATTGCCAAGACTGCCGGCTCAGTCACCTCCCCTTCTCGGCAATGCTCGACAGCGCCGAGCGTCATCACCATTTCACATGCATATGCAGCTGGGACATATGTACGGAGTGAGTGTCGTATGCCTGGTAAGCCAACTCATCGGCTGTGTCAATCCCATGCAGGCGTCTTCAATTGCTCTACCAGCGCGCCGTGATACCTACGCATACGCACGGAGTAGTATGCTCTCTGCAGACTGAAACACCCGCGGTAACGAGAATTAGCAAAGAACAGCCTTACGGGACTCGGGCAGATCCGGGCAGACAAACGGCGGTCGGGGAAAGTCGCGCGGGCTCCGGTCGCATCCCGACTTGGCCGTCAACCACATGCCTGACAATGTCCTTCTTGTCATCCGGAGTCTATCTGTCTGTCTCTTCCCTCGGAAACTGATCACGTTCTAGACAATCGTGATGGTCGTCGTCTTCGTCACCATGACGCTGCTCGGAAGGAAAGGTCTCTTCACATCGCCTAGCCTAGACCGTCGCCCACGTTGTGAAATTGACGCAAACACAGCCAATGCTGATATCACGATCGCACTTCAGCTTGCGCAGCCAATGGACGGGAAATAATAATTAAAATGGGTAAAAAACAAGGTCCCTACGGACTATTCACGCACGCACCCCGTCGGCCTTCCACATTGGTCAACGAGAGTTTCGGTCTTCCAAGGTACACCTTACGCAGCATGTAGATCGGGGCGCTATCTATTTCTTTAGAATCACATTCGGTGAGCCGAAATTCCAGAACACAAGGCCTTCCAGGGATGATATGCAGGACCAGCCACTGATCACATCATCCGAGCCAGAAAAGTCAGTTAAGTGGGCCTAGTCTCGAAGTCCAAGGACGCACTAAACCGGTGGCGCGGACTGTCATTAAAGGTACGGTTTGGGTCCTTGGTCGGCACGGAGGACACCATCCCGTAGATCATGGTGTCGTGAATGTGATGGCAAGCATCCAGGCGAATTGCGTCGTGATGTGAAACGCCAGTCGGGTCGACTGGAAGGGCACGCACCCGGCGCACCATCTTTGCATACAGAGCACAGCTGCCGTTGCAAGGACCGATCGACTTGAAGATCTTCTGCATCGAGGAGGGGCTTGCATGAAGTGCAACCCTCCGCGCCATCATAGCACGCAGCTGTTTCAGCGCCTGGCCCCTGGTCTTCCGTCCTGCCTGAAGTCTTTACTGTATACGGAATGCCGAAATCCCTCGTGGTTTCAACGCTGTTCGGCATGCCGAGTGAGGCTTTCAGAAGGGTTTCGCAATCCGGTGTCTCTATCGGGCATAGTCTTGCCAAGTCGCATTCAACCGAAGCTTGGATATCGAATCGTTCGACATTTGACTCACGGAAGCTAGATAATGGAGAGAAAACTGGATCCGAGTGGTAAAAGAGGTGGCGTTTCTATCTCACCACTTTGACTCACTTCGTGGCCCGCCTGTCACGCCCGTGGACTACAGAAGGGATACAACCAAGGGCCACAAGATAGAAGACGAAAAATTGACCACCACGAAAGGCAGTGGGTTGAATTCACGCCCTCTGTATGGAGCAGAAAGCCACGCAGCGCGCCAGGGACTGCACAAGTAGCAAGACGTGGTGCAATGCAATACCCACTCTGGACTGGAGCTTCCCGTGTGCCCAACATCGCCCTGATTAGAGATTTTAGCTGTTATCGACGGGGGGTGCCTGAAAAAGACAAGGTGAGAAAAAAAAAAAAAAAAAAAAAAAAACCTGCTTATCGTGCCGGACTTGCGGTGGCCTTTCCGAAGCGGATTCTGCCGCGGTTCCACCAGACAATCGACACCAGAAAATTTTGATTTGCAAAAAACTAGTGAGACCTGATTCACAGAATAGGAGTAAGACGATACACCGGCGCCTGGAAGAGGGATAATGGTTTTTGCGGCTATCCCGTCTATCATGCAACGATCTAAGCACTTGAACATCAAAAGCTAGACCAATGATAGCTTTTCCTTGCCACACATGGCCAGAACCATCAAATGTCTGGCCGCCATTTCATCTTCGTTTTTATCCGAAGATTTCTACGGGCATTTTCCTAGCGCGTCGGGCTACCTCCGGCAGGTCAACTAACATACCACGACAGGGTATTATCATGATCGCACTAGATACCGGCATCAGACCTTAACAACCAGGAGGCTAGCCAATGATCGGGATATACCTCCGAGGTCTGTGTTCCTGAAGGTTAGATAATTTTCCGGAAGCGACGCTGGCGCTGTGCGACTGCACTTTCTATCGGAAACACGTTCGCGACGTGGAATCTAGATCCCGTGCGACCTTACGATTCTCAGGCTGACATGGCCAGGAACCATTCCTGATAAGGTTATCAGGACCCGGGATTTCGCCTCGATCCTTTCTTCGGGTGATTCGACTGCGGACGGGAAGAACAGGCTTTCCAGCTCCATTCCGTGTCGATGGCGTTCGGCCATCCCGCGAATTTACCTATCGGTAGGCCGATGGCTGAAGCCGGCTGTTCCCTATGATTCGTCAGGATGATTTACTAGAAATCCTTCGCTCTGGTATGAAAGAGCGAAAATTATCCAGAATTTTGCCGAAATCTATTGCGAATTCTCGCCCAATCTCTCAGCCCTATGCATGCCCCTGTTCAGAGAAAGAAAGGGTCTCGAGCGATAAGCAATGAGTATCAGGACCTGTCATTTTCTCTCCGGCTTGTCACTAGATTTGACAACCTGCTTGCAGTCATTGATCCCCTGGGCTCGATCTTCAGGATGTTTGCTCAATCATAGCCACGAATTTGAGTCAGGAGTCAAGCAATTTAATGACATCGTCTGTCAATACATGCATTACTGGTCTCTGCCACGGATGTGACTCTGAATGACCATCGCAGATCTTAGACACATCTAATCTATGAACCAGCTCTACCATGGCTCTCACCAGCATCCCTTTGCCCTTTTCAGCAACACCCCCCCCCCCCCCCCCCCCCGGCCAAACATTCGACCATTCCACTAGACCCAAGATATGCACCCAAGCCTCTTGTCAAGATAAGTCAAGAGAAGTCTAGATGATCATTGCATCGCCAGATGAAACCAAACAACCAAGCATCTACATCCATCCATCCCCTCAGTCTATCTACCTTCTGAGAACCTCGCAGCCCCATGAGCTGAGTAGGTCTTAACCATCTAGCCAGATAGCTATATAAATACCCGTCATCATGACTTGAAAAGAAGAAAGCCGCTTTGGGCACAATGTCAAGACTCACTAGGTCCGAATATATGGACCTGCTTATTGTACATGATGTTTTAGGTCCTTAGAACGTAAGCTTCCTATTTGATCCAGTGTCTTGAAATAAATCTAGACATTTTCATAGCTGAAAATAGTAGTATCGACCTACCTATCTGGGCCATACCATCCCAACCAAAGAATCTGGATCAAACAGCTGAAAAGTAAATTATAGTATAGCGTAGTATAGTATTATACATGTACAAGCTCGGTCATGTCTGTCATATATCATAGACAACAAATACCAAACAGCGCAGCAAGTAGCCAGCTAGCCAGCCAGCTGAGGTGATCATATACCTAGAGACAGGCAAAACAAACAACCAGGCAAACAAAGCAAGTAGGCAAGTGAGAAAGTCCGTATGTATGTATGCAGAGAGCCAGACAGACACCCATCGCAAGGGAAAGAAGCTCGACCAGAAGAGTTAAGACCACATCTCGAACCCGCAAGACAGTAGCCAGTCCCGTCGCTCCTCTCCCTTCCCTTCCCAGCCGGTCTGGTTCCGCCAGGACGAAAATATTAATATACCGGAGGAATCGAATCCCACCCGTATCCGTATCCATATCCATATCCATAAACCGATGTGCGAATATGCAAATCAATCAATCAGTCACCACCAAACTCCCCCCCCCCCCCCCCCCCCCACTTCCCTTCCCTTTCACGCTTGTCCCGATTTATAAACCGAAGCACATCCACCTCCTCACGAAGACCAGACCAAGCCACATCAGACCAAACCCAGCCAGAGGAAGAAGATCAAAAGATCCACCCCAGAATAACCCAAAGCGCCACCCCGACGCAGACCACAATGCCCGCGACTTTCAGCACCGCCACCGTATCGCCCTGCCGTGCCATGCGAGTTAGGCGGCTTGCGCTGCCTTTCAGGCCCGTGGAGAGGGAGGAGAAGACTTGGTTCTAGATATTGAGTATCGTTCGTTAGTTAGTTGGTCAGGTTGGTTTGAGGGGATCGGCTCGTGTAGGTTCATTCAAGTGGTGTAGTGGTGTGAAGTTCATGCCAGCTAGCCAGCCAGCCAGCCAGCCAGCCATCATGTGGAAAGAGGTAGGTAGAGCGATAATATCACAGCGCACGGAGCGTGTATTCATGTGCGAGAGAAAGAGGAAGAGGACCAACGAACCGAATGATCCAACGTTTCCTGATCCCTGGCATTATCGTGGATATCGATGGTGACGGATTTCAAGATGGAGGCTTTCGTAGCGAGGGATTTAAGGAAGGCGTCGTTTTGTCTAGAGGGAAGGGATTGCGGTTAGTCTGAGGGTATATTCAATCGTCGTGGACGCTGAGGGTCTTGGATGGCCTGGGTTTGGGTCGGCTCCGTTCGCATTTTGGTCTCGATTCTGACTCTATATAATTCGAGGCTCAAGAGACGAGGGGATGCGAGGTTCCAATATCTGGAATGAAAGATGTGGAGAAGGGTATGGAGGGTGTAGAGGGTTGGAAGCGTACTGTTCACGTTCATAGGCGTCGCCCATCTTGGTGGTCGGGGTGCTTTTCCTCGCACAGGTTCAAATTCAAGTTCAGGTAGGTGGCTGGCTGCGGATCGGAAAATAGGTTCGTTAGGAGATTTCTTTTGGATTTGTAAGGCAGGAGATCTGATCGAGTCGGTAAATTTGGAGGCAGCAGGTCGAGGTGACAGTGCCGGGCAAGTGATGACATGACGACGCCCGCGGAGGCGGAGGTGGAGTCACGTGATGCTGCCTGCATGTGAATGGCTTCTATTTTTGTCTATAATTTTTCGAAGCACTATCAATTCAAGGCCAAAGCGTAGTGAAGTTCTTCGAATCATTTCATGAGCTCTATACAAAGTCCACATTGCAATAGCCAGAACACCCTCACAATCCCACCAATGGCCAGAGCCATATTGTCCAAGTCCAAAGCAAATCGGGTTGGTTATTAGACAAAGGATGAAAGAACAAAACTGAGTCCTGAGTCCGTAGGAGTAATTCAAATCGAGACAAATAAACAATCAAACCAGCCAGACAGAAAGAAAAATGATACCCTCCGACGCTATGCAACAAAACACACAAAACAAGATCAAATCATCAAAAGCAATAACGCATATCTTGCACTATCCTGCTTAGAAGGGCCGGCTGCGTGCTATATAGAAATGCAATAAGGTAGAATGCAAGAGAGAGTATAGACACCATCTAGTGTCACATCATGTATTCTTCTTCTCCGGATGCGTGTATAAAATCCAGTTCACAAAAGCAGAGGCAGGAGAAACAGAACGTTCGAACGGTGAAATGTACTGCTCAGTGTACAAAGTTGCAGGAAGGACCAGGGTTCACACACAAGAGGGGTATTTCGTACGCTGCAAAAGAACTTGTAAAGAGAAAAACAGAGGCAAGAAGGGATGATACTCCTGTTTCCTATCACCACATATCATCGTCGTCGTCGTCGAGCTGAGCGTCGTCGCCAAACGACGAGTGCCCGTACTGATGATGTCCTGGTCCATATACATTTCCGTTCTCATATCCTTGCTTGCCACCCCGCGACTGTGTCCGGTATTGGTCATGCGGATCATCATGATAATCATACATCTGATGGTCGTCATAGGAGCCGCCATCGCTATACTGTTGTTGCTCCTGTGCCTGTAGAAGACAAGAATGTCAGCTTCGTTTTCTAATAGGGTGCAATTCAACAAGACGAAACAACTCACCTCTTGGTATCGCTGATACTGAAGATATTCCTCGGCCTGGGTCTTCTGCTGCCTCTGTTGCGCCGACGAGGCAAGCATCAGAGGATGCATCTGCTGCACCTTGGCCAGGTACGAGTACATGAAATTACTAAGGAGGACTTGGGAATATAGCGCACGCCGTGGGTTCGCAAGCTTGATGTGGGCCATCCGGTAGATAGCCCTTTCTTCCAGGATGGAGAACCGAGTCCATGGGAAGTCGACATCCGGTCGGAGTTCGCGGACGGGCGGGTCAGGCGATAGAGTCCGAGATGCACTCTTCTTGTGGTGGCTATCTCCACTGGCCTTCTTGCGGCCACCGCCGAAGATAGAGGAGAACAACCCGGATTCCTTCTCCTTCTTTGACTCGCCAGACGTCCTTCGGACGTGGTCTTTCCGACGCTCTTCTTCTAGCTTGGGGTCAAGCCGGTCCACCACGATACTTTCGCGTCCACGTTGGTTGGAGTCGCCGGATATGGGCAAGGAATGCGCCGTCTCATGAACCTTATCCACAATTTTGGATTTGATTTTCTTTGAGTCGTCCTTGTCCTTCTTCTTGTCCTTTTCTTTCTCTTTGTCTTCCGAGCCGAGCAGCCAGTGCCAGCTCGATTTGCGGCCGCCTTCCGAGTCCTTCTTGTCCTTGGATTTCTTGCTTTCGGACTTGGTTTCGGACTTGGTCTCTGACTTTCGATCGTCTGAGAATGTAGGGATAAACGAAAGGCTATCTGTCCGGGTCGTGTTTCCTGGGAGAGCCTGAGGGGTGCTGGCGAATTCGTTAAACGTCTGCGTACTCTCTTTGCCATGCGAACGGCTGTGCTGGGATCGTTTGGATGAGGGCTGGTCGTAAGCCGTCTGGACCTTTGCAGGCGGCGCAGATGGGGGCGGATCGTAGGAAGATCCTCGGCTGGGGATGGTGGTCGACTGGGGGGAAGCGAGTTCTGGTGGGGCGGTGCTCTCCAGCGGCGGCGTTTCGATAATCTCGGGTATCTTCTGTTCGGTCGGAGATATATGCAGCGTGGATCGTCCGTTGGAACTGATTCGGGAATGCCATTGACGAGATTGCGACTGGGAACCTGACCTATTCCTAGACTCTGCAGACGATTCATCCGAGGGTTCATTGGCAAAGTGTTGCTGTTCTGGGTTTGACCCCACGGCAGAGCTGACAGGCTCGTCGGAAGCGCTGGCCGTTGGCTGCGCCGTCTTCGCTAAAGCTTGGGCGCGCGTTGCACTGGGAGTGGGATCGGTCGACACCCGGGACAGGCCCACCTCTCCCATGAATGGCGAGGCACCTTCGCTGGAGTCCGATGTTCGCCCCAGACGTTTGGAGTATGGAGCCTTCTCGCCCTTTTTCAAACTGCCGGCTTTTCTGTATTGGGTTCTCGTAGACCGTCTGAGGCTGTGGCCGGGAGGCGCTGGGGGGAGAATAGGCCGATCCTCTTCGGAGACGTCGAGGTTCCGCATCTCGCTCAAAAGGGACGAACTGGCGCTTCGAGGGATCGAGTCGTCCACCAAAGTCTCCAGTTCCAGCAGATTGGGGCCGTCCCCCTTGGAGGATTTTGACCGCTTCCTCTCGAGCCGCTCCGCACCGTCTGTGTAGCCCTGAGAGGAGTCAATCTGTCTGGACAACATGGATTTCTTTCGCCGAAGACCTCCAGTTGACCCTTGACGCTCCGGACCCAGGGTCGAGTAATCGCCCGATTTCCGCTTAATATGATCGGCTTTACTTTCCAGGAAGGACTTGAATTCTTTAGGAGCCAGCTCCGGATGCAGTCGGGCCGGCACCCAGAAGAGCCGGGAGGCGTCATTTTCATCGGCGGAAGGCGAGGGAGCCATTGACGGTACGGAGAGGTTGGGGTTAAAGCTGGGAAGGTCGGGGTCGCCCGTGGCTGCTACATCCATGGACATCCGCCGAATGGCGGCCAAATTGTTGAGCTCCTGGGCTACGGCGGCCGGGTCGGATTCGTAGTCGATATCGTTCAGCGGGAAGGAGGTGGTGGCGGTGTCGGTCGATCCAGGGGAGGTGGTTGAGCTGGGGGAGGTTGGGCTGGTATTATCCAAAGATTTGGCACCCGCGGACGGGCGAGACTGTCCATTTGTTTGTCTATTGTTGTTTATTTCATTTAGATGGCTTTGTACTTGGAGCGATTGCGGTGAGGAGGGCGATTCGGCACCGGCGAGTTTCGGGGGGATAATCGAGATGGTGTCGGTCAGAGGGGAGGGAAGGTAGCTGAGGCGTTTCGATTCCCGCTTGTCGTAATCATCTTCGTACATGTGGCCGATGGCTTCCGTGACGTGGTGACTCGGGTCACTTATCGACAGATGAGGCACATGTCCTCTTCGTGTCGCATATCCTCCGCCGACCTCAGAGGGGCTCGGGCTCGGTGAAGCCTGGAGAACGGGAACGGGGAGTTAGTTCAGGGCCAATATTCGCAGGGGGCGGGCAGGGAAATTGAATCGCACAACGTTTACATTGATCTTCATTGGGTTGGTTGGGGGGAGAGGTTTGGGTGTTGGTGTTTAAAAAAAGAAAGAGAGAAGAAAAAAAAAGGGCAGGACAAGACAGGGGGGTAAGACGGACGGGTTTCACAGGCACGTCAAAAGGAACACCATTCAACCCATGAAGCGCACCGCCCGACGGAGGAAGAAAGGAAAAGACGAGGGGAATCGGACGAGAGAAAAAGCCAACGCACCTGCATGGAGAGCAACTGGACCGGGGAGTCGAAAGGTAAGATATCCCGAAATGGGCTGGGAGGGGGCCGAAGGGCGATGGGAATGTCGCCTCGTGGAGCAGAGGTCAATGTACCACCGGGGCGGAAAGACGAGGAGATCGAAAGGTGGTCATGGAATCATGGAAGCGGGGAAGAAGCGTCGACGGAGAGGAGCAACCACCAGGGTAACGGAAGGAAAGAGAGAATGAGGATGACGCCTAGGCATCCGGTGACTAAATCTAGTTCCAGCACGGAAAAAAGAAAAAAGAAAAAAGAAAAAAGAAGAAGAAGAAGAAGAAAGGCGCTGGAGCAAAGAAGCCAAAGAAGCGGGACGAATGAAAAGAGAGGAGAGACGAGGGAGACGGGGGGCAAAGAGAGAGAGAGAGAGAGAGAGAGAGCAGAAAGAAAGAAAGGAAGCGGAGAGAGACGAGAGACGAGGATAGAGAAAGCAGGAAAAGAGAAGCGCGAGGCTGCGGTTCCTGGATAGACGGCCTGAGGAACGGGCGTTCGGTCACGTTTCTCGGTTTCTTTGGTTCTCTCTGGCGCTCCTCCAGTCTGGACTCTTTTCTCTTCAACCCTCCCGACGGATGATCTCTCAATGCCCCTCTCGCGTCTCCTCCCACTCGCCTTTCTTCATTCCGCCGCATCCTGTCAATCGTCGTGCTTCCCTAGTCGACCGTCCCGCTCCACTACCTTACTCCCTCAAGGGCCGATCAGAGCCACTGGACGGTAGACGATCGTTGATCAGCAGTTGCCCCCCATGTCCCCTGCTCTGGCCTTTTTTAGCATGCTTCTATTTATGAATCTGATCAGTCACAATCCGACTTAGCGGTTATCAGATCCATCTGTCTACATAGTGACGATATAGCCTAAATAGATGTCTTTCGACCGACTTCTGGTAGATTTACACTTCTCACCCGGTCAGTATATACATCGGGTACTTACTCCGCAAGAGTCACAAAGGAAGAGCCACATACCCAGCGGCAATTCCGTCAGGCAGTTTACCCAACCTCCAGTGTTCTCAATTCCCTCCCAAATGGATCCGATGACATGGATGTCCAGCGTTCCATGACCCTGCCAATTAATTCATCCCGATCCCGAATTTCCAACCATACCCACTCAATGCCTCCCGTGTTTCAGCCGACCCTCTCCCGTCCTGCCGCCAGACATCCCAGACAGTGGCAAGTGGACAAACACGTCAACGCAGCCAGAACCTCGGTTCCCTTCACCCAGGACGCCTGATCAGTCCCGGATGCAGACACAGTCATCGACTGACTCACGCGAACCTTCATCCCAGCTCACGTGCCCTCTGCCCCAGAAACCCGGTCCTGGTCTTCCTGGCCTAAAAACCCGCCAGACAGGACCGCAATAGGACGACGAACGAGCAGAAAGAATCATCTGGAACAGATTCTTCTGCGCTTGGCTTCTACGCCCGTCCCGTTTCGGGTCTCGTGTGCCCCGGCGATGACCTGACCTCGATTGGTCCGGAAAGGGGGAGCGCTTCTGTCTACAGGGTCTGGTGACTTGCTGGATACTTTTGCTGACAACGCCCCTCGGGTTAAATTCATGTTGCCTACACGGTTATGGAGGTACCGAAGGAATGGAATAACGGCTGGTTTGGGATTGTGGGATGATGGGGCTTTAGACTCTTCCTAGGAATGTACGACCTGTTGGGCTTTCTTGTCCGTTGAAGACTGATGACGACACCCAATGATACTTGGCTCCTTGCTTGCCATTGTTTCATCCCTTTCGCCATAACCGGGAAACTTGACAGACCCTTGAACGTACGATCGGAACGGAGAGGCAGAGTTCAATTTACAAACTGACGCAGTCACGATGGCATAGCGCAGGTGGAAGAGAGAAGGCTCGTCTTCCCTACCATCCGAGTCTGGAATTGCTTGGTCCCGTTAATATACTTGAGTAGAAACAATACCAAAGGAGAACCAGAGGATAAAAAGAAGCGATCTAGAAAACCTCGTCAAGGCCAAATATACAAAAGGTATTCATTTTGAGCCGGAGTGAACCGACTTCAGGCTGTCCATGCCAACCTGCGCAACGACAGCTCCAGCGCTTGCACCAGAAATTTCACAAGAGGGCCTCCCAGGGACTGGGAAGACATGGATGGGTATGTAGCTCCTTGATGTACGGCTGAAAGGATGTGGCATCGCTGGGACACCGGGAAACAACGGGCGCGATAAGGAAAAGGGGGAGAGGGGTAAAGAAACACAAAAGCAGGACCAGGGAAGCAAGTGTAGATGTTGGGTCATTAGAAGTCATTCCGCATAAGCCAAAACGCATGGCCGTGAGGTCTTTAAGCCGTCTCGACATAGTTGCTAAAAGAGGGTTGAAGTCAGCATGGCGAAGTTGGGTTATACTTGACGGAGTCCATGTTCGTACCTGGGAAAGATGCCGACCCGGTCCCCAATGCGCCCCGTCCACCAGTCTTCTTTCTTGTCGGTTCTCTTCAGGATAGTGATAACGTCCCCCTTCTTGAAACCAAGGTCTCCGTCCTGGTCCGCATCGAACGTGAACAGGGCAACGGCCTGGTCTTGTCGCAGAGCGGCTCCCTGTCCCGTTCGTTGCCCGAAGACCGGTTTGGGCGCCGTAGGCCGGCTAGGCTTGCGATCGGAGTAAACGTAGTCATCCTCGGCGAAAGGGGCGGTGTTGCTGCGATTGCGACCGAATGTATCGAAGGAGTCGTCGCGACCATAATCATTACGGGTTTGTCGGGTGGTCGCGGAGCGGCCGAGGCCTCCCGCAGGCCGGTCGTACACATCGTCAGCCCATGTGTTTGCGCGACGGGGTCGGTCCCGGTACTCGTACTCGTCGGCACCGCTGTTGAGGCCGGAGCGAGTATTCCGCCGAGCACCCTCTCCGTACGCATCTCCGCGCCGTCCTTCCCACACCACGTCGTCATGTCTGTCGTCGTAGATGGGGATGTCATTGTACATGGCGTCACCCTGCGTCCTGGAGTTCCCGTAGAAGGCGCGCGAGTTCAGGACGCTAAGGAGAGGGTCGGCGGCCGGGGGTGGCCGGATTGTTCCACTGAGCAGCTGGCGGGCTGACACGCGGCTGTTGTAGAGCTTCTCGTTCGCATCCTTACGTTCCACCAGCATGCTTCCCTCCAAACTGACACCGGCGAAAAGTCCCTTGGTCTTCGAGTACGAAAAGACCGCAGCCACACCCTTCGTGCTTGCTGCACCTGCAGCCTCGGCATTCCGTCCTACCGGCCCCGCAGCAATCGAAACGTTACCACCCAGAGTCAGGGTTCCCACCTGCGAAAAGGTTCGGACAGCGGCGGCATCGTTGAGAATGAAGACGAAGTCGGTCAGTTCGAACCCGATTTGACCACCGAACCCGGCACCCGCGGTTGCGATCGCTGACGGAGCGGACCACGAGCCATCGGCCAAACGAGCAACGACAATTCCCGATCCAAAACGAGCGGAGCCCAGGAAACCGGCTTTCAGGACAGTGAGCACAGCCAGACCCTATGAATAGAATGTGTCAGCCACGAGATTATCATCCACCATCGAGTGCAACCCAGGGGGGGTTCTTGTCTTTTTCCCCCCTTCTGCTTTTAACGGTTTGATCATACCTTCGCTCCGGCCAGAATCTCGGGAGGAATAACTTTATCAGGACCAAATGCCTGTCGCGGGTCGACGAAGGAAGCAACGATTTTACCAGCCTTCTTGCATTCGCCTGCCAAAGGGGCGCAATGTCAGCGCCGACGTCCATGATAAACTGCGGGGAAATTGACTCGGAGGGAGCGGATACGTACTTCCCAGAGACGAGGGCAAGGGATTGTGTATCCCAAGAGGCATTCTGGCGGTGCTCTTCGAGGATTAAGGGGAGTGAGGGGGGTAGGGGGGGAGAGGGAAGGGCGAAGGAGTCAGGGAGACCGGAAGGAGTTGATGGGTTGGAGAGAATGCGCGACGGAAGTCCGTTCTGATGGGGGCGACCGGAAGTGGAACCAGATGACGGGTGACACTGGGCGCTGGATATCGAGCTAACAGCAGGTAGGATTCAAGGTACCTGGACGCTAGTCTCTCCGCAGTGCCGAACCACGGGGAGGCTGGAGAATGTTATGTATTATCTGAATGGGCTGAGGTGAGGAAGGATGGCAGCGATGACCAACAAAGATCGTGGGCACCTTCCGTCAGCCGCGACAGGAAGAGAGATGGAATTATATCCCTCTCGGTCTCTGTCTCTCTTCTCTCGTGCTGGGCGCAAAGTGGCGGAGTCGTCCGATCCGGTTCTCTTCGTCTTGGACTTGCGCGTATTGACTACTACCTATTTCTCACCGTGAAAAAATGGTAAAGTGATTACGACATGGCTGTATTTGGTGTGCTGCCGCCTGGGGCTTCCTCGGATCCCATTCTATCATGTTTGGAGTCGCAGTAGAGTTCATATAGATCATTAATTAATTACGGAGCAGAACATATATTATAGTTGGTCAACGCCTCGTGGCTGGTGAGAGTTGACACCTGAGGCCACTAGAGTCGGCAGAATCGCCGCCGAGTCTCCGAGGTTATCGCAGCAATAACAAGCTTCCACTGGTGAATCTTCCTTCCAACTTGACGACACTAGATACCTCTTTTCTGCAAGTCACCATACAAGGAGATATTATTGATCACCCATGGACTATGATTTGAGACTGATTTGAAAGAGGCGCCGTTGATCGCCGTTCCCGTTACAAATGGCCACAGGTGCGATTGGTTCAACACCGCCCGCCGAGAATCGATCGTGACCTGATTCACTAACTTCCTGCAGTGCGGATTTGTGTTTGTGGTGACGAGGGAACTGGGAAATCCAGCCTCATCACTTCCCTGGTAAAGGGTGTCTTTGTGACAAACAAGATCCAGCCAATCCTTCCCCAGATCACCATCCCTCCTACGATCGGAACCCCCGAAAATGTCACAACCACAACGGTGGTCGATACCTCTGCTCTGCCGCAGGAGCGAAACAATTTGGCAAGGGAGATTCGGAAATCAAATGTGATCCTGTTGGTCTACTCTGATCACTACAGCTATGAAAGAGTGGCTCTATTCTGGCTGCCGTATTTCCGGTCCTTGGGAGTCAACGTCCCCGTGGTGCTGTGCGCCAACAAGTCGGACCTGGCTGCTGGCCACAGTGAGACCCAGGTCATTGAAGATGAGATGCTGCCGTTGATGGCGGAGTTCAAGGAGATCGATTCCTGTATTCGCACAAGCGCCCGGGAGCATCGCAATGTAAACGAAGCCTTCTTCCTCTGCCAGAAAGCGGTCACCCACCCGATTGCGCCGCTGTTCGACTCCAAGGAGTCCTCTCTGAAACCAGCCGCCATCGCAGCGCTGCAGCGCATCTTCTACCTGAGTGACAAGGACCGTGATGGCTTTCTTTCCGACAAGGAGATTGGAGATTTCCAGATGAGATGTTTCGAAAAGCCTTTGAGTGAAGAAGACCTGGTGCACATCAAGGAGACTATTCAGAAGACAAACCCACACTCGGTGACGCCATCTGGCATTGACTGTCGGGGGTTCATCCACTTGAACAAGATGTATGCCGAAAAAGGCCGCCACGAGACGGTCTGGATCATTCTACGGGCGTTCCAATACACCGACAATCTGTCGCTGCAAGAGAACTTCCTCCACCCGAGATTTGAGGTCCCTCCGTACGCATCCGCGGAGTTATCTCCAGAGGGGTACCGGTTCTTTGTCAACCTGTTCCTTCTCTCGGACAAGGACAACGATGGAGGGCTGAACAATGCGGAATTGGCCTCGCTTTTTGCCCCAACTCCTGGCTTACCGGCTTCCTGGGCCGATGGCTCATTCCCCTCCTCGACGGTTCGAAACGAAGCTGGTCATGTCACGCTCCAAGGGTGGCTTGCCCAGTGGAGTATGACCACTTTTACGTCACCCAAAACCACACTTGAATACCTAGCCTACTTAGGGTTTGAATCATCCGACCGAAGTAATCCGTCGACTACGGCGGCATTGAAAGTGACTCGTCCACGAAAGCGAAGAAAGCGTCCTGGACGAGTGGGCAGAAACGTCGTATTGGGCCACGTGCTCGGAGCTCCGAGTTCAGGAAAGTCTGCACTTCTTGATGCCTTCCTCTCGCGCGGATTCAGCACGACATATCACCCCACGATTCAACCACGGACGGCGGTCAATACGGTTGAGCTACCCGGGGGGAAGCAATGCTACATGATCTTGGACGAGCTCGGCGAGTTGGAGCCTGCCATTCTCGAAAACCAATCCAAGCTGCTCGACCAATGCGACGTGATCGTCTACACCTACGATTCGTCCGACCCCGACTCATTTGCCTACATCCCGGCGCTGCGGTCCAAGTACCCTCATCTGGAGGAGCTGCCTAGTGTTTTCATCGCTCTCAAGGCGGATTTGGACCGAACCACACAACGGGCGGAATACCAGCCGCACGAGTACACTGCCATGTTGAACATGACCGGTCCACCGCTCCATGTCAGCGCCACGTGGAGCTCAATCCAAGAGGTGTTTGTGCATATTGCCGAAGCAGCCATGGAGCCCAGTTTGGCCTTCCCACGCAGCGAGGAGGATGTCGAGGGGAAATGGATGGCGTGGGGGATCGCGCTGGGAGCCGTGGTCTGTGCCGGAGCAGCGGCGGTGATGATCTGGCGGAGAGTGAGTGGGAGTGGGGACTGAGAAGGGATGTGATGGTGGATCAGTTGCAGACATCCGCTACCATTAATAATTTATGAACACATGATGAGACCTCACTGAAGTAAATCCAACTATTCCGTAGATACAATTGACTCCGTAATGCGGACTGACGCGCTAACCGCATGCAGCAACCGGCGTGTTTATCCGTCTCCTCACGAGTCCTCAGGCATCCCCGCCTGGCACGCGAGAAGCGCCAACCAGCGACCAGCCAAACCAGGCAAATCCCCGGAAACCCTTCTCCTCACTCGATCTAACCGGCTCTGGCATCTGTCTGTCTGGTTGCTGCTGCTCTTCGGCCTTCAGGCGCTGGCTAAATCTGCTAATTCTCCTGCCTTCCATTCGGCTCTATTTAAATCAATCCAGCTACACTCCATCCATCCTTCCTCCACCCGTCGGAGACTTTAACGACTTCCTTCCGCCCCATCCTTGAACTACGCCCGGGCAGTGCAACGCTTAAAACCCCCCGGCATTCAACTGCGACACCGTCACTCCTGGAAGATCGCACAGCTCCTCCTTTGCTACTCAACCCCTTCATTCCACTGACATCACACCTCCTAAACCTTGTGTTGATCTGGTTTCGATTATCCAATTAATCCACCCGTTTAGCGCCTCATACTACCCTGAGTTGCACCACTTCGGGTGCTGCTCTCGGGGGAGGATTCGCTACAATTGCGTGACCAATATATCGAAGCGTTACTTACCGGGGTTGCGTTAATTCCGTCTCACGAGACATTCCTTCGCACGTCGGAACTCAATTGGTTATCGCGATCGCAGCCATGTTGTAAGAATCGCCCTGTCTCGGCCTGGTTCTCAGCGCTCGTTCCCCTCCTATCAGGACCCGAGATGGTTGCATGTGTCGAATAGAGAAACGGACTGTGCTATCCGTGGTTCCTGAAAAGCTTTTCCAAATGATACTTCTATGAAAGCGTTGTTGTGACGTTCCTCGCGTGGCTGATTGTTGAACCAGCGTCCTTCCCCCGCCTCCGCCTCGCTACACCGTTCCAGTTGCCTACGCAGCTGGAGCGTCAAACGGCATGGCGGTTCCGGTCGTCGAGACCAACAATATAATCAGCAATCCAGAGGGTGGTTGTCCGCTGCAGGTCGGAGAAGGTGCGCTTCTTATTTCTGAATCTCCTCCGATGCCCTTCTCAGATAAATATCCGTACCGATGACATCGCTAACGTCGACCGTTGCGACAGGCACCTATCACCTTCAGGATGACCTGCATCTCGCGACACCCCCTCCGCATCCCTCCGAAGCTCCGATCGTAAACCCTAACCCCCTCGCAACGGTTCCCACCCCTCCCACAACGGGCGTCAAATTGTCGCTGGTTAGTCTTGGTACCCGAAATAAGACCCCCGTGTTCTCCTTGAAAGACGGCGTAACGGTACCCACGTTCGGAAACGACAATCCCGCTCTGGTGGCACCGGTCACGAAGGAAGGCGTCAAGAGGCGCAAACCGAAGAACAACATCATTAAGAGTAGCTCCTCATTTGTCTCGCGAGTCATTACGCACGAGGCCTCCACGAAACGACTTAACGACCGAAACCCCGACGGGTTGTTTGCCTTTGCCAATATCAATCGTGCGTTCCAGTGGTTGGATTTGAGTTCGAAACAGAAGGATGAGCCGCTCGCGAAGATCCTGTTTACCAAGGCGCACATGCTGAGCCATGATGTGAACGAGTTGACGAAGAGCGCATCCCACATCGACGTTGTCATGGGTTCGTCGGCCGGCGACATCATCTGGTACGAACCCATCTCGCAGAAATACGCCCGAATCAATAAGAACGGGGTGGTGAGCAACTCGCCAGTGACGCACATCAAATGGATTCCGGGGTCCGAGAACCTGTTTATGGCGGCGCATGCGAACGGACAAATAGTGGTCTATGATAAGGAAAAAGAGGATGCTCTGTTCACGCCCGAGCTGAGTAGCCCCTCGGTCGAGGCAATCAAATCCTGTGGTCGACAGCCGCTGCAGATCTTAAAGTCGGTCAATTCAAGGAACCAGAAAACCAACCCGGTTGCTTTGTGGAAAATCGCCAACCACAAGGTCTGCCAGTTCGCCTTTTCTCCCGACCAACGGCACCTCGCCATCGTGCTGGAGGACGGGTCTCTGCGGGTGATGGATTATTTGAAGGAGGAGTAAGTTCATTCGGGGTTTTATTTAGCTCGAAGACCAAGCTAACACATCCTAGGGCTTTGGATATCTTCCGCAGCTATTACGGTGGGCTGATTTCCGTGTGCTGGTCACCTGATGGCAAATACATCGTGACGGGCGGACAGGATGATCTAGTTACGATATGGTCTTTCCCCGAACGCAAGATCGTCGCTCGGTGCCAAGGTCACAATTCCTGGGTCTCGGCTGTAGCATTCGATCCTTGGCGCTGTGACGAAAGGACGTACAGATTTGGGAGTGTCGGGGACGATTGCAGACTGCTGTTATGGGATTTTAGTGTGGGCATGCTGCATCGGCCAAGAGCGGTACGAAGCTGGAGGACTCCATCCACTATCCACTTTGCTCACTTACTGACTTGACATCCTATTAGCTCCAAGCCAGCGCTCGCCATCGGACCAGTCTTCTTCCTTCCAACACGCAGCACGCCAACCGTCACAGAGCCGACAGCGCAGGAAATCGCGTACGATCCGACTCGCAACGCACTGCGGGCATTGACAGCACCTACGACCAAACCGTCCGCCATCCAGTCGAGCCGAGGGCACGGACTGCTCTTCTGCCTCCTATCATGGTGTGTTCCCCCTGGTTACACACATTCATCCCCATCGCCGTCACACAAGAGGCAAAGAGAAACCCCGAGAAACCTAACTGTTTGATAGTCCAAGATCGTCGGAGATGACCCTATTTCCTGGTTAGGATTCCAAGAAGACTCCATCATGACTTCTTCCCTAGAAGGTATGCCCGCTCCTGTCCCGACCATCTAGCTCCCCTCGCCTTTTTATCGCCATCCTTCGTCCGCGGTGATGATGAAACCATTGCAAACTCGACTGACACCACATCTTCACCAGGACACATTCGTACCTGGGACCGGCCCCGAGAAGGCATCAATGACAACTACAATGGTTACACCTCTTCGCCTGCCGTCAGTGCCAGCGCCGCCGCCTCCGGCTCCGGCTCCGGCTTCGCTGACTCGGCGATGGGTTCGCTTTAATTTAGCCAGTAACTAGGCAACTAGGTTGGCTGGTTACTTATCTTTTTGTTGCTTTCTTTTTTCATTCTTTCCCCCCTTCCTTTCCGGTTTATTGTTGTTTGTTCTCATGGCTTGTAAATATGTACATTCTCTTGTAATTCATATACCCATCTGCACATGCCTTGGTTTTCAACTTGTAATTGAATGTATTTGTTCTGGTAGAAATCTGTGGAGGTGTGAACTAACAGACGCAGATATATCGGAGCCTAGTAATACTAGTAGGTAGCTCGTCAGGGTGAATTCGGTGATGGTCTGTAGTACAACAACATATATATGAAACCAAGCGGCTGAGGGCGTACACATTTCCCATTTACATCGCACTTGAGTGACATGGATGAGATTGCTGCCTTGAAGCCATGGTATTTAATTAGAAATAGGATAGATCTAGATTTCGTTGTACAAGACATTATGTGCGAATGACCACTACGATCAATTAGATCTGGGCAACCACGGGACGAGTTCATGATACGATTGAATACCTACAAGAAGGGACTAAAACAAAGCTGAAAGAAGGAAAGAAAATAAAACAAATCCCAGCCACTTCAACAAAAACAAACAGGCAATGCAAGCTCACCTCCATTGCACAATGGGACCTATCATATGCAGTCCAAACCCAAAAAGAATACTAGTGAAACCCACGCATGCAATGAAGAGAATTATAGAAAAACGTATGCAGTCTCCTTACATGAGTGATGAAGTGTCATCATAAGTTAGAGGGAACCAGAAAGCCAAAAATAAAAACATTATTCGAAAGGAAACGAGCAGACAATAATCAAGAAATGGGGCAAATATTCATTAAGATAGCGCGTAAATACATCGGGCTTGTTCCTCATCACAAAACAACGAACTAATGCATTATATAGTCCAAAATGAAGTAAATAATCTCACCATGAAATGAAGGATTGAAAAAGTAATGATCGGGATGGATGGATGGATCGATAGTTGCTTTTTCTTTTAGGAAGCATATCGACATGGGGTCGGCGTTGGGCAATTCTCTCTCTCTCTCTCTCGCCCCCAGCACTCTGCATGATCCGATGACCAACTTAGAGAACCAGAGCAAAGAGACTCACCATGAGAGAGCCGAAGGTGGCCGGAATCGCAAGCGAGGAGGCGCCGGCGGTGGAGTTGGTGGGCTCGGCGGTAGATTCAGTGGGACTCGAGCTGCTGGAGGTAGTAGTCGTGGCTGTTGCGGAAGAGTGACATTAGAAATCGTTCTTTTTAAAATAATATATGTACTCACCCAGTGCTGCAGAGCAGGAGGGAATGGTGCTAGATGATGGTAAAGTAGTGCTGGAGAATGTGGAATGTTTGATGCAGGGGCGGGAAGTAGATTTGGTGCTGGTGGCTGTGTATGGTGATGATGATGATGATGATGTGGTGATAGATGAAAAAGTAGAATCTTTCTTACTGTTTTTGGGGCGATCAGCGACTTTAGTAACCTCAAATTGCTGCGACTGGGCGAGAATGCCGGTGTTCATCTTGTCGTTGGAGATGAAGTTGAGCTGGTAACCGGTGCTGTGAAATCGACGCAATTAGCTTCGGAATGGAGGGCCCATTGAGAGCGATATCAATGAAATTGGACCAGGCATACCCTTTGGGAATACCCCAGACCTTGTCGACTTTAACCGAGCCTTGAGATGCGTCGATGTCTTTGGCAATCTCCTTGTTGGCGCTGGAGCCGTTCATGTTGACGAGGTTGATAGAGAACTTGGACGGGTCGGACCTAAGCATGATAAGTATGCTGCGTTCATCCAATCTATCGAAAAACATTCACTTACTGGACGGACCTCCACTTGATCTCGTAGGACTTGCTGAGATCAACCTCGTCTCCGCTCTTCGGAGCCGAGATCGTGAGAGCTTGAGATTGGCCATTTTAGCATGTAAGTTCTCAATCAGAAAAAGACTGAATCACATACCAACGCAGGAGACTGCAAAGATAATTACCGAGAAAATGTTGAAGCGCATTGTGAAGTAATATGTGCGTAAATGGGATAAAGGTTCCACGAAGATATTAAGAAATAGACAACTCGATCAACGAGGTGATAAAGTATTAAACTCGATTGCGAGGGTTTATAAACACAACGAACTGAGATACAATTGAATGAGTTGAACGGAACGTATGGGGGATGTCGAGAGGACTTTATATCGCCTGGAGGCACTTCTAGTATACACCGCACAACGGAGCCACAAGAGCGATCGGCCAATGTCCTTTCCAGGGCTCGCTCCTTCGACACTGAGTTTTCCTTTTTTTTTTTTCTCCTTTGCGCCTTCCTTCCGGATTGACCGATAGGAGAAATCATAAATGGGGTTTTTTTCGGTGTTCTCTGGAGTCGCAAGCACAGGGAGGGTCCTGCGTTGAAGCGAGGGGCTGCAGATGATCTGTCCTTCTTTCGCCCTCTTCCTCGAATCCCACCGGCCCTCCCTCATCGTCGCAGTTTTAATTGGTCAATTCCATAAGGAATTGCAGGCTCACTTGATCGTTTTTGGGAATCGAGGGTCCTCCATCCAGCACGACGGGCCTCTGCCCGTGCTTGCAGGAGACACCTCTCCTTTCAAGGATTTCCCTTTTGCCAGCAAGTCTTTTAATTATGACGCACCGGTGGGCTCATGATGAGATCAATTCTCCCTTTTTTTTCTTCTTTTTTTTTTTTCTTTAATACCTTCTTCCTGGGATAGATTCCCTGAATCGACCCTTGTTGATGGCAAATTGAAGAGCTGTCTGGGTAACCGACCATTCGAGGCTGGAAAGTTTTTTTCGGTCTCAAAGCGACTGAAAATCTATTGATTGGTGCATCGGTGGGAAGAAGGGAATGGCTGATAGAGCTAGCGACGAACCTACATGCATTAGAGGCTACATGAGGGTCAACTAGTGTCTGCAAATGGGGCAATCTTAACATGACAACACGTTAACTGCCTAAAGATCCAGGTTTCTCGGTATCATGCCCCCGAGAATCATACGGCGGGATTGAGGCTTCAAGAGACACGCAATTGAATGAATCCTGGTCACTGCTGCCTGCTCAGGCCGTTAAGCAATACTTGGCGCATCAGAGGGAGAAGATTGCGTACGACCGATAACGTGGACTTTACTCCCATTGAGATTTTAATCTTTGCCTATTTTGTCAATCCGAATGGACCTCTGAATGTTTCTTCGGGCACGGCTTGCTACTGCGCTGCACGTTAGGAAGTTTCGATGCCAATAAACTTTGGATTCGCACGCCGAGCGCGGTATACAAATCATCTGCAGCCGCTCTGGGAGTCGACATGTCACATCCCGAGCTGCCGGTCTGGGCAAACTATTGAGATTATACCTTCATCTCATCTCTGATTTGGCTAACAGACAGTCGCTTAACTCGGTAGCAACCGCAAGAACCATGGCTTGCATGACAATCCAGACGCGATTCGGACTGGAGATGCCGAAGCTATTATTAGCCAGAAGAGGCGACAAAGCACTGGGCTCTGCAACTGTCCGCCGTATTCCCGTCGAATCCCAATCTCATTCCTGACACGCAGGATTCCATGGTGTTTCGATGCGCCTGACATCCTTCTCATCTCCAGCTGGCCACGTTATCGCGTCACGTTCTAGGTCGCCGAAGGCCGAAGACCACTGTTTAATCTAATAATAACAAACCTACAGACTAGTTGTATCTTCAACAATCACCCATAAATAGAATCTTACCGTGCTTACGACTGCGTGCATGACCAAGGTCCGAGGCAGCTAGCATGTTGAACTAAAACGCGCAATTCAGTGGCTTTCTCATCTCAGATACCTTGTTTCCTCCCTTACGCTTCGTCTTTACTCTCTCCACCAACTATTGTGATGACGACGATAACCACAAAGCCAAAGTGCAATGTTCGTACCTGACTGGGTGCGAAGTTCTCACCGCTTCGTTAGAACTAGGGCATGGATATCGAGCAGGACTCGTCCGAGAATGCCGACGCAACGGCATATATCTGCACAAGGTTTCCGACTATAAGGCATGGTGAACATGCGCCTTACATAGTGTCGGCTATCATGCATGAAGGTAGATTGGCGACGAGAGATAAACATTGAAAGCCTCTGCGGGTAGGATAAACAGGGATTTGTAGTGATAAAACGAAAGATATGAGTATACTAGTATCCTCAGTTCAAAATATTTACTAATTCATTGAAGACAACTACTGAGCGTTTTATAAAACAAAATATATACATATTTAGGTATCTATACCGGGTCTACACTCCAGAGGAGGCAGTGAACTCATCCCTTGGAACATATATCCACACGGAACATCGGAGAATTAAAATCCAGTTTCAAAGTTCAAGGCTTCCCTTCCCCCTTGATTTCTCCTACAGGATCGCATGGCAATCACCCGAAACTCCCTAGGTAGTGTGAAGTTTCCACGGAGCACATTGCGCCACAGATCTTCAGTCAGGAGGAATGTGGGTTTCCGTTTCCGTCGGAGTGTTACTACGGCGTGAAACAACCACACCATCTCTCTCCATTTGAGAAAGCATAGACATTTTAGAAACGTACACAGCATACCCAGGATATTATTGCCCGCGGAAGAGAGAATCCACAGGCTACGTACGCCATGATGCCCAGAAAGCGTTGGATTGTCCTGGCAAGAGAAGGTCGAACCCGCGTGGCAAGCCGGGAGAGAATGGATACCCCCACATTCTTTCCGAGAGATGGGGCAATCCAGGACTGTCTGGACCTTGAATGGCTTTCGCATGCGAAAGACCTACGTATGTTCCTCAGGAGGGAACCTAGACCATGGTGGGTGTTAGCGGGACAAAAGTCGCGGTGGAGTTGCGAAATGGAGGTGGAGAGGCAGAGGGTAGTAGCGATGGCGTGCCGAGGATAGACGGAATCGGACAATGGCGTGGTGGCGTGTCTCTGGACGCTGCTTGCGGATAGAGAGGGTGGGTGTTTGGCACATACATGGAGGGACGTGTTCTCTCAGGAGGTGATCCAGTCTCATTTGGCGGATTCTCGGTTGATAGTATTCCTAGGAGGTAGAGGTTAGTAGGTGATAGATCGGTGGTTTCAAGAAGGGAATGGGGGAAATAGACTGCACCAGAATTTCGGGATGATGACACGGTGGGCAGCGAAGGTAGGAGATGCTGAAGGGTCGAACATACAATGGGGGAAAGTCTAACGGTTGTTTCGGTTGCATTGTTTGCAGTCGGTGTCACATGGCTGTCACTGACCAGCAGGTTCTCCCGCTCAGGAGAGTGTGATGATTCTGTCAACCTTCGAGCATCTTGCTCATCACGTCTTACGCCATCTTGGTTCACCGTTCCATCAGACCCATCTCGCTTAGTTCATCCTCGGATTGCAGAGATGGCTGAAGAGCGCACGAAGGCACAGGCAACAGACAGACAGACGCATTCGGTCAATCTGTCCAAAGTCCATTCATGGCCCATCTCCATCTCCGTTTCTGTTTCACCCCGGACTTGGAAGGTCCCTTGTCCTCCTCCGGAGTAGGACATTCGGAACCGAATTTCTGCTACATACTTCTAAATGCATTCGGCTCGGGTCTTCCAGGGGGAAGGAGATATATATGGTTTAAGACATGTCCACATTTGTCGAGTCTTGACAGCCTAACTGATCCTAGTCCTTTCCGTTATCATTGTCGCCGATCACCGTACTTGCAGACTGGTTACTCTATTCGGCTGCTGGGCACGATCTTGACTATGAAGCCCCAGACATCGACGGTTATCCTGGGGCTGTGCACCTCGGCCCTCGCCCTCCCTCTCGGCAACACCCAGGATGAAAACCCAACTACGACAACGACGCTATCTAAGCGGCAGGATATCTCCAACCCCAACCCCGCTGCCACTACAGAAGGCGCTGCCCCGAACCCCGGGAGCCAGGCGGGTGGGGTGCCCGGCGTACAGCAATTCCCCGGCTTTGGTGGAGGCCAAGGCAATGGCCAATTCCAGGGCGCCCAGGGCTCAGGATTTGGAAGCTTCTTAGGAGGAGGAGCTTCTCCGGGTGGTGGAGGATTCCAAGGTTTCGGACAGGGATCCTCCTTCCCCGGGGGCTTCGGTTTCTCCAGCTACCCAAGCCAGGGGACAGCAGGTGGTGATGCCTCCCAGCCAGCTGGGCTCCCGGGCTCCGGCAGTCCTCCCGGAGGCGGAGGCTTCCCAGGAGAAGGTTTCCCAGGCGGCAGCTTTCCAGGGTTCTCCAACACACCAAGCCAAGGGCAAGGCGAGGATGTTTCTCGAAGTGCCGAAACCCCCGCCACTAACAGCCTCCCCGGCGGTGGAACTTTCCCCAGTGGAGGCTTCCCTGGAGGCGGAAGCTTCCCTGGAGGAGGCTTCTCAGGTGGTGGCGGCTTTGGCAGCGGCTTTCCAGGTTTCTCCGGCTCCTCAAACCAAGGAGCAGCAGGGGACGATGCCTCTCAGCCAGCTGGATTCCCAGGCTCTGGTAATCCTCCCGGGGGCGGAGGCTTCCCTGGAGGAGCCTTCCCAGGTGGAGGACAGGGGTCGGGTTTCCCAGGGTTCTCAAACACACCAAGCCAAGGACAAGATGCTTCTCAAAGTACTGAAGCCCCGGCCACTAACCTCCCCGGTGGTGGAGGATTTGGAGGCTTCGGTAGTGGTGGTTTCTCAGGATTCAACCAGGGATCAGGGTTGCCAGGATCCTCCAACGCCCCAAACCAAGCAGGGTATGGAAATGCCCCTCAAGGTGCAGGTGCTTCTGGCGCTGGTAGCTTCCCCGGAGGGGGAGGCTTCTCGGGCTTCGGCCAGGGGCAAGGTTTCCCGGGGTTTTCTAACTCTCCAAGCCAAGGAGGAGCTGGAAGTGGCCCTCAAAGCGCAGGACTTCCTGGTTCTAGCAGCCTCCCCGGCGGCGGAGGATTTGGAGGCTTCGGAGGTGGTAGTTTCTCAGGCTTCGGTCAAGGATCAGGGGTCCCAGGATTCTCTAACGTCCCAACCCAAGGAGGACAAGATGCACCGGCCCCTCAGGCTACTGATGTCCCGGTCTCCAACAACCTCGATTCCCAAGCGGATGCCCCCAACCCTCCAAGCGAAGGAGACAGCGTGGCTCCCGCTCAGGCCACCGAGACCCCGGCTTCCAATAACGCCGATTCTGAAGCGGCCGCACCCAACCCCCCAAGTCAAGAAGGAGAAAGTGAGACTCCCGCTCAGGATGTCGAGACTCCGGCTTCCAATAACGCCGAATCTGAAGCGGCCGCACCCAACCCCCCAAGTCAAGACGGAGAAAGTGAGACTCCCGCTCAGGCCACCGAGACCCCGGCTTCCAATAACGCCGATTCTGAAGCGGCCGCACCCAACCCCCCAAGCCAAGACGGAGAAAGTGAGACTCCCGCTCAGGATGTCGAGACTCCGGCTTCTGACAACGCCGATACTGAACCGGCTACACCCAACCCCCCCAGCCAAAGAGAAGGGGAAGATCCCGCTCAAGACGTTGATATCCCAGGCTCTGGAGACCTTCCCGGGAATGGCCGTCCAGTTCGCGGTGACAGACCCGGCTTCCCAGGCGTAATAGGGGAAAGCGACAATACTCAAACCGCCGGGCTCCCTGGTTCTCGTAACCCCCCTGGGGGTGGAGATTTCCCTGGCTTCCCCGGTTTCCCAACCCAGGGAGACGGCGAGGGTCCTTCTCAAGATGCTGATATCCCCAGCCCCGGAAATGTCCCCGGGGGCCCGGGAAATAGTCTCTCACAAGATGCCCAAAACCCAGGACTTGGTGGATTGACCGGAGGCGGCTCGGGTGAGTTTCCAGGATTCCCAGGTCAGCCAGGACAGGAAGCCGACGAGTCTCAAGATACTTCTGGTTTTCCCGGCTTCGGTGGATTGCCCGAGATCCCCGAGATCCCAGAGCCCCCAGGAAATGACAATGAAACCGATAGCAACGGCACTGCCAATGGGCTCCAGGGCTCCTACACCTTTACGTTGTCAGGATTTGGTGGACAATCCTTTGGCCAGTCTGTCGATGCGCCAAACAATGCCGGTAATTCCTTGACGGGCGAATTCGCGGGCTTCGGAGGTGGACAGGATGGCTCGAGGCCGAACCCGTTTGGTGCCGGTGCTCAGGGTTCTGAAGCTGAAGGCCAGGATGTCCCAGATGTGCCTGTGGATGCAGCGCAGCCTCCGGCAGACGCGGCCGAGCAGCAAGAAGTTCCAGCCGCAGCTTGATCTTCCTTAAAACTTTGTCGGGTCTGTTTGTTCTTGGTTTTCTCTCATGCCTTCCTCTTTTCGTCTTTGTCCTTTCTGGTATCCATATTCAAATTGCTGATAGGCTATGGCCTCTAATGGTGGAATAGATCAGAAGAAAGCGTGGCGGTGTTTTCCATGATTATGTTAATAAATGATGAAAAAAATGACAAGCGTGTGAAAAATGGAAGCAGTTTCCTGGCCAAGATGACTCGAGCCGAGTTGTCAGCGAATCCGTGTTGGTTTTAGTGAGGAAGGGGTGGCAGACCACGATAGTAATAATGCTTCTAGGGCTGTTAGGCTTCACCTTAGTGGCACCGCATGGTGCAAAAAGATGACGCCCGACGAGACTCCGCAATGAAGTCAGGCCAATCCCTGTGTAAGCTTGTGTCGATCATCCTTTTCTCATTTTGATTAGGAGCCGATATAGCCCCTTCGCTGAGACACACCCCCAGATAATCAGCCGGTATCTCCATCGGCCCTGAGAGCCCCTGGGCAGAGAATGCACCCTGAAGAGCCCAATAGGGCAATCCTACGAGATGGCGAATTTCCGCGGGCCGAGACGTTTGCGGGTCTGTCCCAGAACTACGTTCAGGTGTCCCTTTCTAGTGACAGAAACGGCCAGAACATCCGCCTCCTCGAAATAGCGTATCTCTCTGATCAAATCCCTTCGGAATCAGTTCCATCGGCATCAACAGTTGAGCGGAAAACAAGCTGATGGATAAGATAAGCCCCGACTAGCGGACACATTGGAGGGACATGAAACGCTGAGCCCTGCGTTTAAACCATAACGTCGTCTACATTTCCATAAACAGCCGAATCCTTCAGGATTCAAGTTAGCTGGACGCTGTTTGCAGAGCGTTAAGCTATTGCAGCCTAACCCGAGTGGATCAATGTCTTGGATCACACCATCCTTCATTGATTCTCCATCTAACTGGCCCAGCATTCCATCAGGGCTGTGGTTTCGACGCCTTCGTAAACAGGTTGGTCATCAGCGCGGAATTGTTCCGTATAGGGCTATATAGTTCCTCATGCCAGCAGTTTGATCTGATCAACCAACAAATTCAACAAAGCATTCCAGATCTTGCACGATGAAAGCCGCATTCTCTGTTCTGGGCTTCCTGGGCCTGGCCGCTGCGGCATTGCCAGAATGGAACTCGTACCCTGGACACTCTCCGGCGGTCGAGAATCGCACGCTGGACGAGATCTACGCCGCGGCCAAGAAGGAGCAAGGAAGTCTGGTGGTTCTCTGGGGAGGAGACGGTGCGTGTCATGGACTACGCCTGACGAAACGAGGCATAGCTGACTGACCCTCACTAGCCGTCAGCCAGGGCGAATCCACCATCAAGGCGTGGAAAGCCCGATTCCCCGACATTGAACTGAACCTCACCGTCGACGTGTCCAAGTACCATGACAGTCGGGTCAATCGCCAGTTCCAGCGCACCGGGTCCGACGGCGCCGATATTGCCGTCTTGCAAACGGTCCACGACTATGTCCGCTGGAAGAAGGAGGGTCGGCTGTACCCCTATAAACCGGCGCATTGGGAGGATGTCTGGGCCGATATCAGAGATCCGGACGGCGCGTTCATCGGAACTTTCATCTGTAAGCTAAGACCCTCGATATGGATAGCTGTTCAACCCCTTCCAACGCTAACCCTCATCCCAGATGGCTTCGGAACCCTAATCTACAACCCTGCCCTGCTCGACGAGTCCGCCGTCCCGTCCACCTACGAGGAATTCACCCGCCCCGAATGGAAGAGCAAGCTGGTGCTCACGTACCCCAACGACGACGACGCCGTGCTGTACCTCTTCTCCATCATCATCAACCAATACGGCTGGGAATGGTTCGACGCGCTCCTCCAGCAGGACGTGAAATGGGTACGCGGCACCGGGGAGCCCGCCGCCGAAATCGCGCGCAAGCAGTCCACCCGCTCACTGTCCTTCACCACTTCACCCCGCGGGAACCTGTCCACCTCCGACCCCAAGGACACGCACGTGTACTGGCCCCAGACGGGCGCTATCTTCGCGACGACGCCGCGGCCGGAAAGCGCCAAGCTGTTCATGAGCTGGCTGCTGAGTGACGAGCACCAGAAGACGTTCAACGGGAGCTATCTGGCGCGGAAGGATCTATCGTCTACGGCAGGGAGTGTGTGGGAGGATCCGGCGTCGCCGCTGACGCGGTTTTCGACTTTCATGGAGAATCGCGAGACGGTGGAGTGGTGGAAGTTGCAGTTTGAGACGGAGATTGGGACGGCACAGGGGGATATTTCTTTGTTGCGTGGGAATTAGATTTTTTGATCTGGTAGATCTTGCGGATGGAGTGTAGAGCTTTGGTAGACTTTACTATCGTTTATCCTTATGTTTCTTGGGCGAGGTGTATCATTCACTCAGACTAGTCACAGCGTCCAAGGATTATGCTGTTTATAATCTGCTTTACCGGGGCTGCAGCATTCACCAGCTTCCCTTAGATTCTTTCATCTGCAGTCCACGTATTTTATGAGACACGAGTAATTCTTCAATTTTCAGAACCTGGATGATGCCAGGCCCAGGGATCATTTATTATGCTCCAATGGTGGTGATGGAACATACTCCGGGCCCCGGGGTTGTATGGCAGTGAGTCTATGGGCCCATTACCTAGATAGCAGGTATGCGCTTAGTATACTGTAGCCTAAATTAAGGCAGAAAGCCCAATTTAGGTAAGAACTATAAGCCTGGTTTGGACGAGGGATAGTAAAGGAGTATAAATCTTTAAAAACTAAATATAAGCGTCCGGGATCATATTATCGGGCTTTCCCTCCAGTAAGGACCTACCTTAACTCTAGAGATACTATAAAAATACATTTAAAATGCACTAGTAGAAATTCCTGCAGTAGATCATCGATCTACTATTAGGCTAGAATTGCAGTTGAATCATAATTCCGAGTCATTTGGCCATGTTTTGGCAGCGGCCTGAGTCATATTATGTCATCCGGGACTGCGGTCGTTTTGGCTTCCCCCGCTTCAGAACTCTCACTTTGCGCTTCTCAATTCTCCTGTCACAACCTTGACGCAGGGATTGGCCGCCTTGCCAGAAGTCCGCCGGCTGTTTTAGACCCCCAGAGGCATGCCCAGGAACCCCCGAATACATCCCCGACGTATCATCAGCGACTTCGAAGATGGATGACAAAGGTGCCGGCTTATTCAAAGTGAGTCCTGAGGTCCTGCCTTTTCGCTTCCCATGTCGCCTGCCCGCAAAAAATGGCCTGGACCTCTGACTCGGGGCTAATGGCCTCTGGTTCTGCAGGAATTGGAAGAAACCTATTGCCCACCCCTCGACGCAGCCTTGTTCACCGCGATCGTCTGCGACTATGACCTCTCCGACGCGACTCAGATCCAGGACCTCCGAGATACCCTCGATACCCTGAAGCTGTCTGCATGGGAACAGGAGGGACTTCCCTTCGATCCCTCCGGGACGAGCGGCTTGGGATCGGTGGAAGGCCTCGACGCGGACGGGATCCCGTCGGAGCGCAGCGTGTCGCAAAACGGCACCAATCCGTCGCGCGAAACCGATGTGACCAGCCTCGTCTCCGACTTTTCGTCAACCAGCCTGAATGGGAAGAGCAAGAGTCAGAGGAATGATCGGTCGGGACTGTCCGATCGCGTGGCATACACGGTTGCTGCCGATGGCTCTCTACGTCTGTCGGGAGCGACGCAAGAAGACAAGATTGATTATTTAACGGAAATGTTCCCCTCGGCGGACGACTTCACCATACAGCATACTTTGCAAAAGTCTAGTGGGGATGTAGATCGGTCAATGGATGTTCTGCTCAATCTGGTCTTTTTCGACGAGCAACCGTCAAACGAGAACGACCCCAAGGTGGCGGTTCCGAAAGGCATCGACGGGTTTCAGGACGGCGTAGATGCCGACATATCGCGCAAAAAGGGTCGCAAACGCAAAGGCAAGAACAAAGCCACCAGGAGCCAAGAAATGTCTGCTTTTGATTCGGAAGACTTGGAGTCGCCCCGCCCCGTCAACAAATGGGATTCCGCCCAGAAGGACGTGGACTTCATCCATTCTCGGACCTCTCCGATTCTCAAGAAAGAAGCAGTGGCGTCTGCTTACCATGCCAACGGAGCTTCGTTGCCGATCACTATTCGGTCTCTCGCCGGCGCTTATGCCCCGGCGAAGGAGGAAGAGATCAATCGAGACCCGGTTACGTTGGCCCAGGTGGCCGAACTGATCCAGGAGTTTCCGTCCATCCCACCAACAACATTTGCCGGTCTTCTCGCAATCACTAGGAGCTCAACCTCGGCCGCCAGTGAACTAGCCGATGCGATGCTCACCGGACCAGTCACCCCATCGGTATCGGAATTGATCAAGATCACCGCGGCGCCACTGCCTCTCGACCCGGACGACGAAACGCCAGCGCAGCGAAAAGCCGCAGCGCGAATCGCTCGAGACTACACGACGGTACGGAGCTCTGCCGGGGTTCATTTCGCAGCCGGCGCAGAAGCTCTCTCGAAAGCCTCGATGGCGTATAGACGCGGCAAGTCGGATCGACTTATGGGTGGAGCGGCTGCCTACTATTCCGCCGTGGGACGAGACCATCTCGAGCGGGCGAAGCGCAATGCCGCGGATGCCGCCGACGCCTTGGTAGACTCGCAGTCGACGTCTAACATGCTGGATCTGCACGGCGTCTCGGTCCAGGATGCGGTTCGCATCGCCAGTGAGCGAGTCGGCGACTGGTGGGATTCCCTGGGGGATGCCAGGTACGTGCGAGGGGGCAGCGATTCGATCGGCGGAGGATATCGCATTGTCACCGGAGTTGGGCGCCACAGCCACGACGGCACCTCGCGCCTGGGGCCAGCGGTGGGCAAGATGCTGGCTCGAGAAGGCTGGAGGGTGGAAGTCGGGGAGGGCGTTTTGACCGTGACGGGGGTGGTGCGACGACGTTGATATTGTGCCTGATTAGCTTGGTGATACCCATGTGCATGTGTACGATTGTTGAATATAGTTGAGGGCATATGAAGCCATGAACATAGTTCTATACCACATAGATCGGAGTATTCTGGGATGGCAAAACGTGGCCAATGAGAAGCAAGACGTTCCATTTCAACGTCATGTGGGGCTCTGAGGATGCCTTGAATCATCGCAAAGTATTTGAACTGCAGTGATTGAACTACTTTATCAGTTCCTACGCATATGTATTAGTCCCTACTTCAACCCATCCGCATACCTCTCCCCATGCGTTTCCAGACCCTCTACTCGTCTCTTCGTCTTTTCGCCATTCCCCTCCGATCCCGCGTCATACCCCGAGCCGCCACAGCTCCACCCCCTCGCCCTCGAGCAACCATTCTGAAAGCCGCGCCAACGATCCCCTTCCTAAGCTCCTTCTTCAGCTCCAGTCCCCGCGACAACATGTCCTATCCCGACCAGCGCAGCGACGACGCCTGGCGCGCCGTGCTCAGTCCGGGTAAGTCCCCGCCCCCGCCTTCCCTATAGCTAAAAGCCCAACCCCATCTAACTCACCCAACCCATAGAGCAATTCCGCATCCTGCGTGAAAAGGGCACCGAGCGTGCCGGCACCGGCGAATACGACACGCACTATCCGACCGAGGGAGTCTACGGCTGCGCGGGCTGCAATGCGCCGCTATACAAGGCCTCGCACAAGTTCAAGTCCGGATGCGGATGGCCGGCGTATTTCGACTCGCTGCCCGGCGCGGTGACCCGGCACACGGATAGTTCATTTGGGATGGAGCGGACGGAGATCGTGTGCAGCAACTGCGGAGGACATCTGGGTCATGTATTCAAAGGCGAGGGGTTCCCGACGCCGACGGATGAGAGACACTGCGTGAATAGCGTCAGTCTGCGATTCCAGGAGGACGGGGGAGAGCCGAAGGCGAAGGCGTGAGGGGGGTATATTAGATGAAAAGCGTGTAACACAATGGAAAGGTGTACAGAGTGCAGATGAGTACCTCATGGAGTAGTTAAGGATAGAATTGCACACTTGGTGCCTGTAGCCCACCGCATCGGGCAGCCAGGCGCCTCAGGCCGGCAACGCCACCTGACCGACGAAACGATCGCCGTCGAGTTTCATCCTCCTTTCTGTCCGTCCCTGTCGTCCCTTTGCCTGACCCGGCCTGCCTCGAGTGGATTGCTCTCGCCCGCTGTGATGTCTCGACGCGCGACGCCATCCCAGGCTGCTCAGAACCAGCAGACCATCAAGAACCTGCTCAAACTCGAGTACAACAAGACCTGTGCCGACTGCAAGCGCAACAAACGTGAGTCGCCTGTGCCGATATACTTCCCCTCCCATGGTTCCGTGCATCGGACATTCGATCTCGGGGGACGCTGCAACTGACAATTGACTCGGTAGATCCGCGATGGGCCTCCTGGAACCTCGGAATCTTTATCTGCATCCGCTGCTCGGGCATTCACCGGGGAATGGGTACCCATATCAGCCGCGTGAAATCCGTGGATCTCGATGCCTGGACCGATGAACAACTGCAGAGCGTGCTGAGATGGGGCAATGGAAGGGCCAACAAGTGCGATGCCCCTTGAGACTGTGGTTTCGACATAATGGAGAGTTTGTGTGCTGATGGATTCTTGGCAGATATTGGGAAGCGAAGCTGGCGCCTGGTCATGTTCCCTCGGAAGCGTAAGTGGAATTGTCTCCCGCCTCTCCGCTCGGTCGTTTGGGTCCCTTGTCTAATGGGAATATGGGGACAGGAAGATCGAGAATTTCATCCGGACCAAGTACGACTCGAAGCGATGGGTGATGGACGGCCCAATGCCCGACCCTTCAACGCTAGATACCGGTGATGACGATGTGGCAAGTGACATGGAGCCCCAGTTTCTCGATGGACCAACAGCTGACCTGGATGTTCTTGCAGCCTCTTGCGGTCGTTCAAGAAAAGGCGAAGCTTGAGCGCTCGGCGTCTCAACGAGTGGCCACCTCTAGCCAACCCCCCGCGCCTCAACGCCAGCAACCCGCCATCGATCTCTTTGGCGATGACATCTCGCCTCCGGTGCGCCCGAGCACGACAGAACCTACACCCCGAGCTGCGCCGAAACCCCAACAACCGCCGCCGCAGGCTGCCCCCAAGCCTCAACGACCGGGCGATTCGTTGCTTGGGCTGGATTTCTTCGGCAGCACCCAACCGGCTCCCAGCAGCCGTCCGGCGAGCACGGCATCCACACCGACCAACCCGACTGGCATGTCCCGACCTGATTTGAAGCAATCCATCCTTTCTCTCTACTCGAAGCCTCAGCCTGCTCCGGCGCAGCATGAACGGACCTCCTCGTTCGGCGATCTGGCATCCCCTGCACCGCAGTCCGGGTCTTCCATGGGTGGTCTCACCGATGCATTCAGTGGATTGAGCTTCCCGTCCACCACGTCTCCTCCGCCTCCCAAACCCGCCGAGAAGCCCTCGCCTTTTGCCAACCTGACCAGCTTTGCCAAGTCGACACCGGCCGCGCCCAAGGTCTCGTCTCCTACCGCTTCCGCTGCTGGTGGAGGCAGCTTGTTCGACAGTCTCACGTCTCCCACGATCCCGCCGGCCAAGCCCCAATCTCGCACCACGTCGATTTCATCCAACGGGTTCGACTCGGGATTCGGCGGCTTTGCGTCCCCCCCGCCCACCAAGCCGAAGCCGCCGCCATCGTCGTCTCTGTCAAACGACCTGCTCGGCCTGTCATCCCCACCCCCAGCGCCAGCTGCGAAGTCGCCATCTCCACCCGCGGCCGTCGCCTCCCCGCAGCAGGAGCTAAGTTCCGCTTTCAACATCAGCGCGCCCCCTCCTCCTAAGCCACAAGCCCCGGCCGCGTCCACCGCATCCATCGCAAGCGCTCTGCCAGCCATGGACCCCTGGGGCGGCAACGCTTGGTCCACCCCTGACCCGGCACCCCCGGCCCCCTCTACATCCACCACTGCGGCCTCGATGATGAAGGTACCGGATACCCTGACCGCCAACGACATCGGTGCCGGCTGGGGTGCGCCGTCTCCGTCGGCGTCCAGCTCCAAGCCCGCCCCCACGGTGGCCGCAGACGAGGACTTTGGCGGATGGGCCAGCGCAGCGCCCGTGTCATCGAGCACCACGGCGACGAGTTCGACTAAACCGGCAGGCGGGTTTGGTGGCGCTGATGATTTATTCTCTAATGTTTGGGAGTAGATGGGCCTTTTCCGTTCGTTTCCTGAGCCTTCTTCATGCCCTTGAAAATGCACATATTTTGGTGTTATTACCTATTCTTAGACTTTCGCGCCAGATCGCAAATTTGACTTTCTTTATTCATCCTTTTATTTCTTTTAATTTTCCGGTTTACTGGTTTCAATGGTAGGAAGGGGTATCTCTTGTCTTCTGCTTATGCGTTATCTATGTCTTTTTCTTGCGTGCGTTGGTTGGTCATGACTTGATTAATTGCTTGCCTATGCTTGTTAGGGTAGGGAACCTGAAGAGCGACCCCTTGGATTGTAAAATGGGTGGAGTGGATTCATGAACAACACGATTGAATGATTGATTTCTCTGTATTTCGGAAGTCATACCTCGTTTTCTGTAACTGTTTTCATCTTAAGTTACTCTGATTTACTTGCTTCTCATATTTGTGTTTTTAAAGCCTACTGCTCTATTCTAACCCACTGAATAGTTCGTAAGGGGGATATTTCTCCAAAGAAGGAAGTCGAATTGAGGCACGTCCACATTCAGAAAAACACCCATTATACTACCTAGAAGGCTTGAAAAGGCCCAATAACTACCAAACACGCAGGTCTAATACTCACCTACCTCCTATTTATCAACCAACCCCCGCACACTTGAATCCTCATCAGGCGTACTCCCACTCCCACTATCCACAAACTCCTGTGCCAGCACCGTCGTGACCTTGATCCTCTCCCGGCTATCAATCTGACTATCACGGTCATCGTGCCCAGGGCTACGGCCACGCGAGTCTAGGTTCTGTAATCGGTAATCTGGCGCGTTTGCAACGACGGACGTCGATGTCTGGAAGCCTGTAAGAATGGTGTTTCGGCTGCGGCTGCGAGCGTTCCGGTTCGTCGTGGCTTTGGCACTTCGGCTTCCGCTGCGGGTGGATAGGATGCGAGGGATGAGCCGGGAGATGAAGGCGCGGATGCCGGGGAGACAGGCGCAGATGATAGCGACGTTGCATTCGATGGCGGACCAGGTGGCAGCGCCGACGTTGTCGTCTGGGTTTGATTTGGTGTCTTAGTATGAGGGTTGGTGGGGGATAGAGGGAGGGAGGAAGGGATGATGTACAAGTTGGGTCCGTGGTATTAGATATGACTAGTAAACTCTTCAAGCGAAGGATGCTAGTGATCAAGACGCTTTGGAGTTAAAATGTTAGTAAACATCGAAGCCGTGGGTAGAAAGAAGCACTAGGACTGAACGTACAAAGCACCGAGGAGAAAAACACCCATCAGAGCAATCTTCTGCCGTCGTGGAAGCTGAAGACTCTTCAGAACCGGCATAGGATAAACCATGATCAGAATATCGGTGAAGATGTGGATTGCCGAGTTCGAGAACCAGAGCGCCTTCTTGTTAAGACAATAGCCGTCTATACTATCATCCCAGAACCGAGCCACGGGCATACAATTCAGCCATGCGCTCATGATCGTCCACGCTCCGTAGATGACTAGGAATCCGATCAGGTAGTAGCAGGCGACACGCATGCGCGGGGTTGAGAAGACCCGTTTGTACTGTAAAAGGATTGACGCTTTTGTGGTGAGCAGACTGGCCTGGTAGAGAGGAACTGAGGCCCAGAAGCACTGCGTGAGATGGTTTGAATGTTAGTTATTCAGGCAAAAACAATGTCTAGTTTCAACTGACAATCATCTGCTTGATAAATATCTGGGCAGGGATATTTGCATAGTGCTCTCCCATCAGATATGCGGTTTCTAGATTCATTAGCACCATGTCATCCATGCCTGAACTGACAGACTGGTGATCCAGAACATACCGCCAACAAAAACCCCAAAGAAAGCCCAACTAAAGGCCTACGGACGGTTATCAGTGGACTGCACGGCCATTGAACAAACCTCCAGGAAAATTACCAATGATACAAGAATTGTCCAGTCATCTGCACCCATCTGTTTTACTAGAAAGGCCCGCGTGTATATGCGAATGACCACCAGGAGAGTAGCCAAGCAGGTAAAGACGGCACTAGTTGTAAGGGCCTGACGACCGCGGGGTACACCAATCGCCATCAAGTCGCTCAGAGGATTGACACTGGGAAATATAAAACGAGACAGAAAGCGAAGTTGCGAGACAAGAGGCAGGTGTCTTAATGCATAATCAAGAGACTATTCTCGTTTACTGAGAACGGGGAATATGGTTATTCTGGACTTTTCATTAGCAACCGGGGGGGCAGCTGTGTCGAGAATAGATGATAAAGGAGGAACATCGATGATATTGTTGGCATAGAGGGTCGTCTTAATCAAAATGTAGCAAACAAGCCAGCCTAGCAAGCGGGTACATGGAAGCCCAAACGCGTGCTAATGATGATCGCCATGGGATCAGCTTGCCAGGCGGTCATATCGTCGATGTTCCGGAAGCCAATTGATACCATGATGCAGGGTATGCCCTCGGAAACAGAGTTTGCCAGGAACAATAAAACGGCAATGGCGCAAGTGCCTGGGAAACAGGCCTATCAGTGGTACGTTCTAGGGAGCTAAGACGAAGTATGGTTCACTTGTGGCGACACAGCGAGGGTCCCACGTGTAGTTAGTGATCTCCTGGTGAGTGGTAAACAAACTACTGACTCATAGACATCTGGCCTTGGAGATGTTTTCATTTCCAGGATTCACGAGGAAGGGAATGGTTTAGAGGCCTAGAAAGGCCGTAGGTTCGTCTCGAATATTAGAGGACCTCTTGTAAATCGAAGGTGTCGACACAAGGCCATCTAAAATGGAGCACAAACAGATTGAAACCATGCCCCTATCTACGAGATCGTCCGAGTCAGATTGACTGGAAGCCCACGTCAAGAAGTCCCATTTGAGAATAGCCACACCGGCAGAGTTTCGTGAAGGTTTTGCTGATGCGTTTCGGGCAATCAGACATCGATTGCCAAGGTTCTAGCTATGTTAGAAAAGCAGAGCGTTTTGCTGTCGTTCAATCGGGCGGGGTTGTTCTGTTCATGGTCCAATGGCATCTGCAATGTTGAGAGCTTCTCTGCCGCTGTGGATCGGTCAAGAGCACAACTGCCGGCTTGCTCGTATTGGTAAACTTCGACGGCACGAATTGATGGCGACGAACCACGGTACCATCATCGTGTTTTCTCAGGGTGAAAAGGTTCTATTTCAGGGACATGACACCTGTGGAGATATCTCGGGCAGTGCCCGCAGGCGGCCCAAGTTGTACCTGGTGACCAGTGGCAGCTTATGCATTAGTATTATGGTTGCTATAGTTCACCAGTCCATTCCGGGCTACCGGAACGAACCCCTGGAGAACAGCTGAAATGAAGACAGATGCAGATTGGCAGGGCCAACAAGTTAACGTCAGAGAACTTGGGAGACTACTTCAATCGAAGGGCTCTCGGAAAGAATAGAGCGTGTCATTCAAGGACCTAGTACTGTAAATTTCCTAGGAAAGTGGTCAGTGGCACGGAGCCACGGAGGTAGTCCGCCGTTCGGCCCAAGCGGGTGTGGCAATCGGATTATTGATCCCCGGAGATGACGGAAATTGGCGAGGCCATTTAATATTTATCTCCTCGTGTTAGCCGAGGGAGTTCCCCATCGGACCCACGTGCGGCGGTGATCGGTCATCGCTGCGAGGAGCGATTCTTAGCTGGGTCATCATCCCATCAGTGGAATGTGGAATGATAAGAAAGAGAAAGAGAAAGAGAAAGAGGACGAGAGGAAGAGATGCAATTGAGACAAACACGGTCACGAGTCCGCCGGAGACGCTAAGCCTGTTGGAGGTGCTGGCCTGAGGCACTGCATGTAGGCAATCCTGGACGGTCCAAGTAATCCAAGTAATCAGGCGTCGAGTAAACACCAATCCTCCCACCGGATTTAGACGGTCTTCTTTCTTATTCCTCCAAACCCCTTGCATTCTCTCGGTGGAATTGCCAATCGCACGATGCACTGCAGACCACCATGGGTCAGCAACTCAGGCTCCCCCTTTTGCCCTGTTTTCTCCTTACTGTTCTCTCCTCACCGCCACTCATCTGCTGTATTCCCCCGACCGGTGAATTTTCAACTCGAAGGCACGAGAAAGTACAGCCAACCAAGATGGTGGATGTCCTCCTCCAGGGCTGATTTTGCCTCTGCTCGTGCACGAATGTCGTGCTCTCGTCGACAGTTATCGCCGCCCTATCGATGACTGGCTGCTTGGCCTTAAGTCCGGTACTAAACCCCGCGTTTCTGCGACGCCGAACCGATCGCATTGGCATTGGGGGCCTTCAAAACTGCTTGGTTTCCCGCATGAGCCGCTTGAGTCTGGAGATTCCTCTCCGCGTGCCTCACCTGAAGATTTGTCTTTCAAACCACTATGTTGCGCTGTGAGAACCCCAAGGTGCTTCGTCCACGACTATGACGGATCTCCACGGGCAGGCCGAGGCCGCTCAGGGCCGCCACGCCACTAGCTCTGCGACGCCCCAGATTCGACTATCTTGCGAAATGTGCCGACGGCGGAAGATCAAGTGCGATAAGCTGGATCCCTGCTCCAATTGTGAACGCCTGCGCGTCACATGTGTCCCCGTTGAACGAGCCCGACTCCCACGAGGCCGATCTAGCCGGGGCGCCGCGGAAAAACGACCGAACAACGATACGCGCCTCAAAGATCGGATTGCTCGTCTCGAAGGCCTAATCCGCGGTATCGCGGACCACGGGGACGACGAAACGACTGTCGATGGCTTCCCCTCTTCCAAAGCCTCGTGTAGCACAAGGAGTCGGGAAAGCTCCGCCCAACCTCAATCTCCCGGCAACGGATCCCAAATTGAAGCAAAAGATGGGTCACGGTCGCCGGCCTGCTCCTGGAAGGGGCTTTTCAGACGAGTGAGCCGACTAGATATGCGTTTGTGGTTTTTGTGGTTAACTGCTACCTAGAGGCACGATATGCGTGATACATGTGGGCAAACCTCTCTAAATCCGAACTGTGACAGCAGGAGCATGTGTTACCAGAGGATCCTCCTAATGTCTAGAGGCTCTGGGACTCAGAAAGAGACGGTGGAGAGAGGCGAGTTCGTTGACAGAACCACGCAACAAAAGCTGTGTCAAATCTATTTGCAGAGAGTTGATCCCTTCTTCAAAATTCTTCACAGGCCCTCCCTGAGTGCCTTTCTCATTGACGGAAAGCCTTACTTGAATTATGCACCTGGAAGCCTGGCTCCCAAAGCATTGAAATACGCCGTCTGCTTTGCGGCAATCTGCAGCCTTGATGAGGAGGAGTACAAGCACATATTCAAGGTCAAGAAAACACTGATGGTGGAACGCTATCAGAAAGAGGCAGAATCGGTGCTAACACAAGCCGATTATATAACGACTAATGATTTGACCGTGTTGCAGGCTTTCACCCTCTTTCTCGTGAGCATTTCTTGAAAAGATCCCAAAGGAATAACCGTCGCTAACATGCTCTACTCAGCTGTCATCTCGATCTCAGGACCAAAGCCGACGCGTTTGGACTATGCTTAGCATCGCGCTTCGCATTGCCCAGGCCCTTTCCCTACACATGGCAGAACCGCCATTTCCCGTGACACCGTTTCAGCGAGAAATGCGCAGACGACTCTGGACCGCTATCGGGTTTCTCGACATCCAAGCTGCGACAGACCGCGCATCCGAGCCCATGATGCAAGTCGCCTGGCTACAATCCAACCCCCCTTCGAACGTCAACGACCACGACATCAGCTTTGAAATGGACACCCCCGTCCAAGAGTCCACCGGTTTCACTGATATGACATTCACCATGATCACCCTCAAAGCGCAATGCGTCTCCCGCATCCTTAATTTCACCAGCGCCGCCTCCCCAATTGTCGAGCCGATCCACTCACGCCAGCAACTCGTCCTCGACTTCCAACACACGGCATCCACCCTCCTCCAACACGCACAACCCCACACCATCCCCTTCCACTGGTTCGCCCGACAAGTCGCCGAATGCATCAACGCGTGCATGCAACTGATCGTTCTGCGCCCTCTCCAACAACACCCTAAATCCCCCCCTCCCCGCGTCCACGGCGACCGTCTCCTCAAACTCGCCGTCGACGTCCTCCTCAGGAACCAAGAAATCCGCAACAACCCCCGCGCGCTCCCCTGGCGCTGGATCGAGTATACCTTCGTCCCGTGGCATGCGCTCGCCGTCGCCATTTCCGAGCTCTGCGTCTGCCAAGACCCCGCCCTGATGGCTAAGTCCTGGGCCCCTATCGAGCAGGCGTATGAACGACTGGGCCGTCTCGTCGCGGACACATCCCAGGGCCGAATCTGGAAACCCATGGAGAACATCATGGCCCAGGCACGCATGAGAAGGGATCAACTGCTGCAGTCCCCATCTCGGCACCTATTCTTCCAGGTGTCCTATCCATCTCAACCTGCGGCCTCGCAACCAAGGATACAATCTTCGCAGGGCTTCATGCAGCCTGCACCTATCGATTACGCAACTAGCGCGGCTGCGCCGTCTTTCGAGATCACCGGATTAGGACCCTGGCCGAGCGTCTGGGACGCCGTGGACTGGACGAACCCGCTCGGAGAGAATGAGATGTCGTGGTTGAATTACGAGAACTTTATAGGGGACTTGCACGGAATTACCGATCTGTCGAGTGTTCAGTAATCAAATATTATGATGATTATACATTCGCTCATGCGACGAAGAGAAAGACAGACTGAGCATTGACTTGACCATCCATCTGTTATCATTTCGAACCTTATCATTTAATAAAGCTATTCTTGGGTAACAGAATTCGAAATTTGAGTAACGATTACGCTCTACCACTACTTGGGAGACACGTAGTAAATAGCAATCATATTCTTTTTCAAGCTCTAAATAGATATCCGATTTCCTTCGCATCAATCAATACTCAATCATACTCCGTATAGTACACTTACTCATCAAGACCTGAAGGGAAAGAAAAAAAGAGAAAAAAAGAACTAAACCACAAGGCGCGAAGGAAAACACAAGGATAAAACTGAAACGAAATAGAAAGGAAAGAAAGGAAAAGAACCCACAATAAAGCAAAGCCGAAGCACCGTTTCTACCTCGTTACAAAAGCGCAAAGCCAGACGCCATTTAATTCATTTAGACCGCCCGTCCCCGAAGCCCGTTTTACTAGATTCTTTTTCTGAGGCCCGAAAAGAAAAAAAGAAAATAAAAGAAAATAGGTCGAGCTCATCATGGTCCCTTAAAAGGCCCGATGAGCTAGCCAGTTGTCGTCGTGAAAGAAACAAGCAACAAAAGGGCAGGCAATAGAAGAAAGGCACCACATATAGTTAAAATAATATAGAGATAGAGATGGAGGAAAATTTAAATGAAAACGGGGTATTTGTACATACAACATTTAGTAGGAAAAAACGAGGAAAGAAAAAGAAAAGGCCAGAACATATCGAAGGGAATAGAGGTTTTCGGGATGTAAGAACGGTTCATCGCATGGACATTTTCCATAAATTGTTTTTTAATAGTAATCCTCTCTCTCTATGATCATGATCAGTTCAGTGAGTTCCTTGCGTAATGATCGATTACGATCCCATATCTCGACAATCTTGGGACGGTTGCTGAGGAATACGGCCTTCTTCCATGGAAGCCCGTTGTATTCGGGAGCGATGCCACTTGGGAGGTTTCTTGCGAGATTGCGCAATACGAGAGCCGCTTTGTAGGCCACCCCGATGGGCTCGCCGCGTTCGTTCACTGGCGTATCCACGTAGAACCATTTGCGCACGATACGCTCCTGGAGCACAGCACGCTTGGAAATTGGTGCTTCGGCGTCTGTGGGTCGCTCCTCAGGCAGATGTGACGAAACGTGGCCTGCAACCATAGCAGTGTTATCGCTGGGACCGGACGAGCGAAATTTCGTGCAGTTATCCCAGAGACAGGTATGGGTCGCGGACTCAGCCTTGTCCAGATTGAAATGACCGGGTGTGTCGGCCGGCTTGAGATTCATGTGGTCTCCGAAGATGTGGTTGCGCAGGTCTGTAGGGCTGGCAAAGGCGCGTTGGCAATGTTTCATTTGCTTCGAAGCGTCCGCCCATTTGCAGTAAATATAGGGAAATCCCTGGAAGGTGTAGGCAGTTTCCAGGGGGCGAATGCCTTTGATGATGAACCTGGTTGTGGCGCCGGGGCCATTGATGACCTGAGCCTGGGCGTTGGTGAAGGTCGTGCTGACGTTCTTGATGAATTCAGCTGCTGGAAGAACACCACCGCCGGGGACACGAGGGTCTGCAAATCGGCTTTGGTAGGCTTGCCACAACGCGATCTGAGTGATCTCACAGTCCGCGTCCTCAACAAAGCAACAACGCAGCCAACGAGAACTACGCTCCGGCTCTGATAGCTCCATCAAGTCTTTCAGAAGCTCAGGAGGCACTCGAGGGATTTCCGTTGGTGGCGGGGCTACCTTTTCTTCTTGTAGAACGGTTTCCTTCTTGCTAGGTCGGCCGTCGTGCGTTAAGAGCGCGATCATCCGCGGCACGAAAATAACGGAGAGATTGAAGACATCCATCATACGCTCAATGTTCTCGCGCGAAAGTGTATACTGGTACCAGAAATCAAGTGCGCCACTCAGGATATCTCGGTCCGCGTCGAGTAGCGTGTGGAAGTAGAGTTGTTGCAGTGTGGGTTTCGATATACGCTCCAGGGCTCGGTTTGCTTCTGGTTCATCCAGCTCGGTAGAGAAATGAGTCAGGGCCCAAAGTGCGCGAACAACGTGAGCACGGTCCGAGGATTCCAGGCAGTGAACAAGGGAGATCCAGAGCGGATCCTCAGGGTCCGTTCTCATAAACTTGGTTACCTCTTCCGCAATGTCCAAGGCATCGTTCTTGATCTCGTTGAGCCGGGGCTGGTTGGGAAGGTTGATGAGGATTACCAAGAAGTCCCTGAGTAGTCCTTTCGCATAGCGCGAGACGTAAAATGCGTTCTCCTTCAGGAGGACCATGTTTCTGAGGACTAGCGTGGCTTCCTTGACGTTACGCAGACGGTGGTTGAATTCGTATGTTTCAAGCGTGTCACTAGGCAATGTGACAGGGATATTCTTGATTTTTTCCAGAATATCCCGCGTACCATGCAGTGAATTCAAAACATTAACACGATCAGTGGGTTGCCGAAAGTCATACTGCAATTCCCACTTTACTCCGGTGCAGATAACCGAGACATCGATTGCCTTTTCCATCAACGTTTCCGCAAGCAGTGGGAACCCCTCAAATTTGAATTTGTCCCAACGCTGGTTGGATATTTGAACGAGATGGTATAGCGCAAAATCGACTTCGTCTGATATCCCCGACTGGAGACCGTAGTGTGCCCGTTTGTATATGTGATCCGCTGCGCAGCATGGTCAGCTATGATAAACAAGGTAGAGTGGTAAGAAAAGATCGTCACGGCAGGAAGACGTACATTTGGGAACCTCTAGGTATCGGAGGGGAAAGTACGGATCGTAGAAGTCGGGTTGTTTGGCCATCTTTCCTACTTCATGTACGCTGGCAAACAAGCCGGGTCTGTTGCCCGGCGTTGCTACCTCACGCGTGGACATGGGAGCTTGTCGCGGCTCTTTTCCTTCCCAATTGTCAATGCTAGGCTGAGGGCTGTTCGGGTTGATTGGGGTGGTCGAATGTGCTTGACTTGACGGCGGCTGTGGTGACTGATTCGCATTCATATGGGACCGCCTGACAGGGGCAGTATCTGGTATAAAGGGCTGGTTTGCTTTAGGAGCTTGCCGCAAGCCCTCTGTTCGGGGTCAACGGTCAGTCAGATGGCTTATTGCCAAAGCTACAGGGTTCCTGGGAAAGCACATACGGCGCAAAGACGTGCGGGGAGTGTTGGCGCTCATTTTGAGTAAGGAACCCAGGGGATTCGCAGACTCTTATTTCGCACGGTTCTAAATGCCGACCGATTTCAATCTTTTCGCACAGCTCCTTGGTAAACCCAGGGAAGCTCCAAGCCAAATCACTTGTCCGGAGTCCCAGCGAGCAATGATCCACCCAAACTGAACCAGCGGATCGGATCGTCTGTGGGAGAAGGTATTCGATGCGGAGGTGCAGATCTCGGATGTAACCACTATCGCGTCTTTGACAATTTATTTTCCGTCGCTTTGGTTCCTAGCGAAATGTCTCGACACGAGCAAGGGAGGGGAAAACGGTGTTGGACGACGACCGTGAAGTTTGTCGGGAGCGAAGGGGTGTAGTTTCGCGATAGATTAGGATGCGAAGGCGCGTTTTAAAGATGTCGGAAGCCGGTCTGGTCTGTTGGAGAAAGAGGATGCGACTTCCACGCGGGAAATACCAGGAAGCAGAGGGCAACGGCGCGAACTTTTTGGCGCAAGCAATGGAGATGATCGGCAACGGGCGAAAAAGGAAAGCGAGCGTCAATGCCGTGGATGTGGCCCTTGGGGGCTCCGTGAACACAAGCTGGTCCTGCGATTCGTCTGGCCTTCGCAGGCAAAAGTTCCGCGCCGCTGCGATGGGCCTCAGGCGCGTTGCCGGATTATCGTTCCTCCGCTTTCCGGGCTTCCGCTGCTGAGTCATTGCTGATTAAGTAGGTGCCTGAGGCAGCGAGATTTCCACCCGATGGACATCGCAAGCGGAGTACTCCATTCGTCCTCTATTCATCACTGCACCACCAACTCTCACTAGTTGTTCCATCAGAAGTGGATTCAGCATCAAATTCATTATTTTGAACCCTATATTCTACTCTGGCGCACACCTCAGAGACCCCAAATTCCAGGCCTGGACCAGACTCAGCTCGGATTCGGACCCAGACTCCGCTCTACACTCCGGTCGAAGTCCGTACTATACAGACTCAAAATGGCATCCCAGTCGATATCGGATTTCGGAAGCAGACTCCGATCCATTCATTTCTCAGGGGTCTAGGATGGATCTCATTTAGAATGTGTTTATAATCAGCAAAAAATAGAGGTCCTATTTATATATTTTTCATGCTCCGGTAAGGATCACACATCGGCGCAACAGCTTCCGTACTTTACCTACTACAATCCTTGCCCAATCTACCGTTTAAAAATGACCGAAATAAACACTGACATCCTCGATGGAACTGCGGCAGAGAGTTTGAGACAGAAGCAAGATGGTGCCGAGAACAGTAGCTTCAGCGATGATGCAGAGCTCAAGTACCAGTACCCTACAGGGCTGTCGGTCACCTTTATTCTCACATCAGTGACCCTAGCATATTTCCTATTCTTCCTTGACCTTGCTGTCATATCCACGGCCACCCCAGCCATCACATCCCAATTCGACTCATTGGTGGACATTGGCTGGTAAGTACTACTGCCAACTGTTTTCGGGGGAAGCTAATATCATCTGCTAGGTATGGTGGTGCCTACCAGCTTGGGAGTGCAGCATTTCAACCTGTGACTGGTAAGATTTATAGCCAGTTCTCTATCAAGGTACGCCCTGGCATACACCTCACGTATTATTCCCGCCAGCGAATTCAATTCTGATAAAATTCCCATGCAGTGGACCTTTTTAGTCTTCTTTGTTATTTTTGAGATTGGGTCTGCCGTATGCGGAGCGGCCCAGTCGTCGCCTATGTTTATCGTCGGCCGAGTCATCGCGGGCATAGGATCTGCTGGAGTGGCTAACGGCGCGGTGACAACCATCTCTACTGTTTTGCCGCCACGAAAACAGGCGCTGTTTATGGGTCTCAATATGGGAATGGGCCAGTTGGGCCTTGCGACGGGCCCCATCATTGGAGGAGCGTTCACTACAAACGTGTCCTGGCGGTGGTGTGCGTCAATTTGTCTACTGCTTTGTGAATCCCCAAAGACTGACTATTTCTGAACCAGGCTTTTACATCAATCTCCCCTTGGGTGTTATCATCGGCGGCTTTTTGCTCCTACACAAGATCCCCGAGCCCAAACCCAAAAGCCCTCCCATGGAGATTCTCGGCACAGCCATCAAATCGCTAGATCTCCCAGGATTTATGCTCATTTGCCCGGCGGTTGTCATGTTCCTCTTAGGACTTCAGTTTGGTGGCAATCAACACTCCTGGGATAGTTCAGTTGTGATTGGCTTGTTGGTTGGCTCTGCGTTTACCTTTGGTCTCTTTCTGGTTTGGGAGTATCACCAGGGAGATAATGCCATGGTGCCACTTGCCATGCTCAAGCACCGAGTCATCTGGTCGGCCGCCATGACCATGTTCTTCGGCCTGTCCAGCGTCCTGGTAGCCGATTTCTACATCGCAATTTATTTCCAGGCGATTCACGACGACACGCCCTTGATGAGCGGCGTGCACATGCTTCCCATCACTCTCGGCATGGTCCTGTTTACCATGGTCTCTGGCACTCTGAGTAAGTGTCTGCGGTGGCATCTTTTTGGATGTAACTAACTGTCATGAATCACCACATAGTTTCCGTTTTAGGCTACTATCTTCCGTTTCTTCTCGCAGGGGGTGCGATATCAGCCGTTGGCTACGGACTCTTGTCCACACTAAGTCCGACAACCCCGGTCGCCAACTGGATCGGATACCAGGTTCTCTACGGCGTTGCAAGCGGCTGCACGGCGGCGGCTGTAAGTTCGATCCTTGATCCGTTTAACCGATGACCCCGGTCTACTGACACAATTCCACTTCATCTAGCCATACATCGCGATACAAAGCTTGGTAGCTCCCGAGCAGATCCCCCTCGCCATGGCAATTATAATATTCTGGCAAAACATCGGGGCGTCAACCTCTCTGATCGCGGCAAACGCCATTTTCAGCAACAGCCTCCGTAAGGAACTTCATAAGCGTGCTGCACAGATTGGCCTCTCCCCGGAAGCCATCGTCGATGCGGGAGTCCGCTCCATACACGATCTGGTGTCTGACTCTCAACTCAGTGCCGTGTTGGCGGCCTACGCCAAAAGCATCGACCACGTCATGTACCTTGGTATCGCTGTCGGTCTCGCCGTCTTGGCCTTCTCTCCGGGACTTGGATGGAGGGACATTCGCAAGGCCAAGAACCTGCAAGTCATTACGAGCGAGCCTCGTCAGGGTGATAATGAGGTGGCAAGAAACGAAACAGTGGTGGGCGACAAGTAAGGACATAGCCCGAAAATGGATACAATAGGACTAGAAGCACTTCCGTTCAAATCATCACCAGCGGTTGCAGTTCTCTCTCTAGCTTGAGGTATGCGCGAGAATTGTTTCTTTGTCGATCTGAGTGGGGAACCTTTCCTGTAAAGTTGCCAAAATGGATTTTGCATTAACAATAAATAGAAGACACAAGTAGCTGGATGCGAAACGACAAACAAAGAATCACTCATTTCACTCACCTACCTACAATATTGATGTGAATTCCGGGCCGATGACCTGCTGCACGAATCAAACGCGGCCAGTGTTCTTGAGCCGGATATTACTTTCCCGTATGTCCGCTATTTCCGTAAGCAATTCGATTGTCAGATCCCCCTAGTTCTATGAACGGACTTCGGGGGTTCAGAATCCGTCGGCAGGAGACGGAAGGATTCCCGACGGAGTTTCCCTCCGTTCGAGACCAACAAAGAAAAGTAGCTCTTCCGACTGCTACCATCGTTATGTTGCCAACTTAGACATTCGGAATCATTCTGGGAGGAATGGGGAGATCAAAACCAGCTCTCGGCCAATCCAGCGCCTATGGACACGCCTGCACCCATTGTTACAAGGCCAAATCCCGATGTGTGCGCACTGCAACTGGCGATAATTGTGAAAGGTCATAGAGGGAGCATGCCCTGTCGATGCATGACCTTAGACTAATCAGGCCTTCAGATGTATCCGTCTTGGGAAATTATGCGAGCCATCAGGCTCGGCTCGCAGGCGTACTGCTCAGTCAACCTCAACAGATGCGTCCGATACGCGCATCGCTAGACTGGAAGACAAAATGGAGAGCTTGTTGTCCGCAATGCAATCAATCATAGCCTCTCCAGGGGCTTCAGGGGGTTCTATCAAAGCCATTCAGCCTCTCAATGGAGACAATGCTCCATCAGCTACGTCTCATTCAAGCAGTACCCTCATAACTCCTACGATTACTCCTCTGGGATTTACTGAGGGACCGGCATTCACGACGGACCCGATTATCACTGCGTTGCCAATTCCAAATTCTGTATTTTTGCATAACCATCACTCTCTATCCCCTCATGTTCCAACGCCAATTAACGGAGAAGATCGGCTCAACTTCTTTCGTGCTCGAATGCTTCCATCCTTTCCTTTCATAAACCTGACTCCGGACATGACAAGATGGTATCTACGCCAAAACAGACCTGTCTTATTCCAAGCTATCCTCACCGTTACAACATTTTCGACACAGGAAAGACACAGTCAAACGGAGGAGCTAAAGCGCCTCTTGTCCACGTCTACGTTGCTGAAAGTCGAATCGAACATCGATTTGCTGCTTGGGCTACTAACGTATCTAGCATGGAGTACTGACGCATTTCTTGGGCGAGCAGATCTCATCTCTCGCTTTATGATGCTCTCAATTTCGCTAGTCTATGACCTACGGCTATTTAAGCCGTCTTCACCGGATGTGCAACTCATGATGAAGATTACCCAGGGGGGAGAGGAAAATGATCAAAGTCCTGGAAACGAAACGCCGTATGACCTGTTGGAAAGGCAGCGCGCACTATTGGCATGTTTTATTCTGAGCTCTAAGTGCGTATGACTTTACCTGCTCCCTTTTTTGCTCGGATCAAATTATACTAACGTGAGATTGGAAGCATTTCGTCGCATCTTGGGCGTCAAGACTCTTTACGATGGACGCCTCAGATGGAAGAGGCACTTCGGGTGCTCACAATCAGCGAAACGTGCCATACGGATGACCTATTCGTTGCACAAGTACGCTTGCAACTATTGAAACAAAAAGCGGATGATATCCGACAGCAGGATGAAATGAATTGCGCTCTCACAGGCAAAGCTTCTGCGGCAGCCTCAGCTCCTCGTTTACTGTACCTCAAGACTTTACGAAGGCAGCTGCATGAGCTGAGGTCTTCATTTCGCCCAGATTTTGATCAGCTCGGTAAGCTATTCCCAGGCGAAGGACCCGACGGCGCTTATTGGCCTGCAGTATGGACTGACATCTTTGTGGGAAAAACCGGCTTGACAGAAATTCTCAACACCAACGTGCAATACGTTGAGCTATACATAAACCAGCTAGCCTATACAATAAGCCAAGACGCATCACCTATAGATCTATCCGGCCACCGTGGTGACAGCGGAACTACCTTGGGCTTCCAACGTCTCGAGTGTCTCTGGCAATCTGTCGAGAACATCAAGTCCTGGCTGGACCATTTCTACCGAGTTCCCTGCTCAGAGCTCATCGGCCAACCCTTCCACTTCTGGTCTCAGATGATTCTCACCATCACACTACTAAAGTACCTATCCACGCTCAAAGACCCCGACTGGGATTGTCATGCGGTGCGTAAAACCGTCCACCTACTCTCGACGATGGACCGCATGCTTCAAAAGTTGGACCTGAGCAGCAAGGAGCCAGAGCTTCAGTGCAATGACCACCTGCTCAAGTACCTATTCAAGCTTCTGACTAGGTGTCGAGTGTGGGGTGAGGTGAGGTGGAATATGCCGTCTCAGGCCCACGACGTGGAGGCTAGGTCGGGTCGGAGTGCGAGCTCTGATGCGATCTGTCCCAGTCAGGGTTACAGCCAAAGCCAAGGGCATAGTATTCCAGATTTCGACCAGATGGTCTGGATGCAGTCGATGGACTTGGGAAACGAGCAGTGGTTTGAAGATGTGCTCGGTATGCCTGAAACGATTTACTAGATGCCCCTCGCTCACCAATGGCCTTTTGTGAGCTCGTGGAGGTCGCCTTATGTATCGCTTTAGCAGGGTCATATATATTGATCAGTATGTCCCTTTCAGGATCAAAAAGATGAAACCAACCAGGTTTTTGGCTATATCCAACCAATAACAATTATGACAGATACTTTGACCAAGAGAATATAGCCGATATTTACTTTCTGTGAAGTGCCCATTTGGAAAGTTCATAGCGGAAAGATATCGCATAGACAAACTACCTGGGAGGAGGTGCCGTATGAAAAGCTGAATATCTCTGGCAGTAACTGAAAAGGTAAACAGCCGTTAGCATCCTTGCTTCATCTGTTTTCTTTCTTTCTTTCTTTTTTTTTTTGGCTGCTTTATAACAGATTTATACAAGTGCAACTACCTGCATCTCCATGGAAGCACCTGCTGGCAAGCGCTTTGTTTCTATAGTGCTACGGCATGGAACCCCCCGAGACTTTCGGCATTGACTTTATTCATTTGTCCGAAGTCCTCAAGGCTGACTAGGAATATCTAATATCGTGTTCAAAAAGCCCAGACTCGCTTCATAGACTGTTTCATGATTATAGGATAGACCTACGCTGGTTTTAACAAATTTCTCAAGGCTTGATCCTGCTGCCCCGAGAACAGCTTGGGCATTTGTGCACATAGCGTGTGTATTGTCTGCAACAGAACCCTGGATAATGTCTATCCTGTTGTCTAAGATCTTTGCAGGAAGCTGCCCCGAGAGTAAAACGAATATTTCACGCCTCTATCTACCTTTACCATAAAGCGAACTTGATTCTGCACCCCAACATTTAAGGATCACCTGTGATACTTTGTAGCGTTCATGCTGTGGTGTATGGAACTACAGAATCCACAGCCAGTAGCTGCGTTGGTAAGATATGAAGTCCCAATTACAGCGAAATTGATACCATAAGATCTTCGCTATGCCAATTCCGATTACAGAGCCACCATAATATTACTGGAGTACAGTCTTTGATACTAACGTCGGAATTATTTCTTTACTCTATGGCCAGCATTCCATGACCGTGCTTATCATTCTCCCGGATGCCCTCCAAGTCAGCCTCTTGGATATGGCATTCACAGATTTAGATCCAGCTTGTAGTCTTGCAATAGGTCACTGGAAGAAATGGTTTTCAGCTCGACAGTCCAGGGGTGCTTGATAACATTCCAGACGGCGTCTGCCTGCAGGATTACCCTCAGGCGTAGCGCTTCGAGAGAGTGATTATGTACGAGTTGTATTCTTCCGCGTGTTGTCGACCTCACGACGAGGAAAGCTGTTGTGCTCGATACTCATGCACAGTTCAAAGACGGCACAGCAGGCCCGTCGAGTTTAAAACTGATAGATGTGCCTTGGAGATTTCTCGTACCGATTTGCATCTATCAATGATAAATTAGCATCTGGGATGTAGAACTGCTGCACAATAATCATAATACTTACCCGCATAGAGCCATGGTGGTTTCGAATTCCCTCAACAGAATTTTGATGGCCAGATCAACACCGTCTTCTCCGTTATACTATTATAATGCTAGTTAGTATTGTTCTGTGAGGGAGAACGAGAGAAATGGGAATAATGGAAAAACACTAACAGCAAGTCCCCAGAGCGGGATCCTCCCAGCAAAGCAGAAGTCCGCTCCTAAGGCGAGGGCTTTGAAGATATCCGAACCTCGTCGAGTCCCCCCATCAATGCCGAGCTTGATTTTATTTTTGGCCAAAGGCGCACATTCCCTTTAGGCGTCTAAGCTTGCAGGAATGCCATCGAGCTGCCTACCGCCATGATTAGAAATCATAACACCATCAACCCCGTGTTCAATTGCAAGAGCAATGTCCTCGGGGCTCAAAACTAGACGAATCAAGCATAAGCGATGAGTAACCATATGGGTAGCACGTAGCACTCACTTCCTTTGAGCCACACCTCCATCTTGGTGCTCTGCCGAAGCCACGGGATAACCTCTGCCCATGACATGCAAGGATCCCATTGGAGATGCGCAGCGTCTGCTGGAATCGTCCCGGTCTTATCCGCGAGCATGGGCATCGTTATTTCAGGAGGCAGCTGGAAGTCGTTCCCGTATTCATTCAGCCTGATACCCATGGTCGCAACGTCGATCGATAGAATTACAGCCTTGAAGCCAGCAGCTATAGCCTGGAGTTCAGCATCGAGTCTCGAAGAAGAAGTATTTCACACCTATCTTCAGCACGTTGGATGATTTCGAGGGTCTTTCTTCGGTCCTTATACAAGGAAACGTGAATCATGTACGGGTTTCCATCTGCCTGCGCAATTACATCCTCGAGGTCCTTCGACGAGTAGGACGAAAGAGCCATCGGGATGTTGTTTTTTGCGGCCGCCCGCGACGTGGCAAGCTCACCGTTTGGATGCGCGAGCCCATGAACAGCAGCTGGGGAGAATGCAAATGGGAAACGAATCTAGTGGATCAAGAAGAATTCAACGACGGAAGAAGCAAATACGGCGGAATAGAGAAGACACATGGAATGTATTCTGTACACTTAGATATCCCGTAAAAGAATGGATTTACACCCTGAAAGCAAATATAAAAAATAAAAAAAAGAGTATAGCACATCAGTATTATCCAAACACAGACGACCTACGCTACTAACGCTGAATCGAGTATACGAGCAAGTTGTTGTTGAAAAACGTTTTCTCAGGCAGTACCACGATTGAATAGTATTCTCAAGAAAAAAGACCCCTATCCTAAAGTTGAGGCGCAACCCTCTCAAAAACATCAAACGTATATCGACATGGTGCTTTTGGAAGATAAGCATAGGCCGAAGCCTGACACCAGATTCCCCACAGCCTCCAATATGAATCCCATTCATTTTTGCCAAAGCCAAGAACTTGTCACGCTGGGGTGTGTCAAACGAAATGAATGTACCAAAGCCCTTACCTCGCAAGTTCTGAAACACGCTGGGAAATCTAACCGAGAGACTTTCGACCTTGGTGTAGAGGTAGTTACCAACAGATGCAGTATTCTCCAATAAGTCCAGTCTTTCAATCTCCTTGACAATCTCGCTCAATAGAATCGCCCGAGCTGGGTCTCCAGTCCGGGTGTTCGAAAGACGGAATGGCTTTGAGGGTTTCAGCTCAGGGTTGCCAAAGTAGAAGCCCGCAGCTTGGGCCTTCTTCGAGAATGTGACCATGTCAGGAGGCTGGGTCAGATTCCAGTGCTCGTGGGCCCAATAACGACCCGTTGCACCGAGACCCGTTTGAACCTCATCAACTATAAAGAGGACACCGTTTCGTCTCGTGATATCACGAAGGCCCTGGAAGAAGAATGCACTCGCGTGTCTATCGCCCCCCTCTGATTGGACCGGTTCGACAATAATCGCAGCGACTCGATTATGATAGTTCTGAATAATGTGTTCGGCCTCTCTTAGGCAACGGAATTCTTCGTCGGCGTTTTCATCCATGTGCTCCTCTAGAGGGTATTTCAGGGAGGGAAACGAGCACTGCGGCCAATCGAAGGCTGGAATATCCAATTTGTGGAGGGCTTTGCTTCGTGTAGTGGAGAGACTGCCGAACAACCGGCCATGAAATCCGGCCTTGAAAGACATGATAGACATGATAGACACGTTCGGTGATCCTGGAGCTCGGTTGTTCATAGTGGAAAGAACCTCGTCCTCGGTAACTCGGAGTCTCGTGCGCCGCGTTCCTGCTGTCGCTTCCAAATAAACGCTGCTTTGTAGGCTGCTTCGTTTGCATCGGCTCCCGAATAGGCCGTAAAGACTTGATTCAAGCCTTTTGGTGCGATCTTGATAATTCCCGCCTCTAGAATGGATGCCCAGTCATGCTGAGGGAATTAGGCCAAGCAGGGACGATTAACGAGCGCGGAGGCAACCTCGGGGGAGCTCGCAACCTCGAGCAGAGCTGGGTTGTTGTAACCAACTGCGAGGGATACAATTTGGGATAAGACGTCCAGCAGTGTATTCCCATCCGCATCCACAATGTAATTCCCATAACCTTTCTTATAGTACCCAACTGTTCCCACGCTGCTAGAATCGAAGACCTTGTCAATTCCATCAATTATCTCCTTGCTTTGCTGTCCGGAAGTGTCGATGACACAGGGCCCCGAGAGTTCGAGAGGAAAGAAGGCATTGCTCGGTGCCATGACCGACGAGCCCGCAGCCGGTTCTTGCATGGCCATGTTGTCCTTTTAGGCCTGACGGATTGGAGTGGTTGATAGAATTCGACGAGACGTGAGCCGAGGGGAATATGTTATGACCAGGGTCCAGGGGATGCGAGCGTTGGCCATTCCATGCTTATAAGTCAGCATAGTTGAAGAGCTAAATTGGCAGTAGAGGAGGTGTCATTAGCGATACCGGTGGACTCGGACCTTTAGAAAAGGAAATGACAACTATGGTGAGCATCTCTCGACACTGTACGGAGTATACTGGCTGGGTATCTTCATTGGCCCGCCATCAGCTTCCGTGTCGGTGGAACAGAAGACTCCGTGCGAAGATAGAGATCAAAAAGAGAGAAAATGTGCTAACTCCTCCAGGGAAATCTGATGGAAGTAGAATACCTAGTTGGTGAGCCTGTGAGAGAGGCCGAGAAAGCCGGCGTTCCGACGCCCAATCTCAGAGTTATCTACGAGATTTGTAAGGCTGTCCAATGGAAGATAAAACTGGAAAAGGGAATTGTTACTGTACCGCCAAAGAGAAGTTTTTGAGGCCTCTATGACAATAGAAATGCAAATGACCCTACTTCTAAACACAATCAATGGTGACCCCTTCAATCCCAGAAGGAATAAGTGGTGTATGGCGTCCAGGTTTCTTGTTTAGTAACCACGCAATTAAACTTCTTTCAGCTCAGCATTATGTGCTCCGAAGGAGATAGTATCCTCCTGCGCTGCGTCTGATGCAAACACAATATATGTGTAGTGGCCCAACCTTCCACGCACAATGTGTAGCTTATATGATGAAGGCCACAACATGTGGTACTAGAGGTAAATGTGTTATTTAATATCTCGTTGTGCTGGTATTTCCTTCACTTTCTGTCTAACAATGTGTCTGAGGCTTGCTGATGGTCTGATTGGAATTTCAAGTTCTAGTCTATGATCTCTCGAATTTCTATAATAAACCAAATTCCTTCCCACTGAGCAATAAAGCAAATACATCTATCTACCATCACTAAGGAGACCCGAAGGCTGAACCGAGAGTCCTTTCCTATCGTAACAGAAAGCCAGGGAACATTGCCTCACTTGGGTCGATCCAAAATCTCATCTGACCAACAATATTAGCCCGTCCACGAACACGCGGAATACAAGCCTTGAATCCTTCCACTGGTGAAGGTTCTTCCGAGACAACATCGGCCTCGAAAGATGTGCCAATAATACTCTGATGAACAAGCTTGTTTTTCCCAGCACCAACGCGTCCCCGTGATAGCAACACAGCCAGCCTGGCGCATGTACCGGAGCCACAAGGCGACCTGTCAATTTGACCATCTGCAAAGATAGTGACATTTCTCTGGCGGACGATTCCTGCTTCGTCTTTTCCAACATCCTCCTCGCGGTAGAAGATCACACAGTATAAGTCGTGGGTGCCGTAGTGTGCTCGCTGGCCTAAAGAATGCTTCACCTCACGACCAAGCTGGATGAATTGGGCATAGTTGCAGGGATCGACTTCGACGCCTAGCTGGTCCGCATCAATAGTGGCATACACAGCCCCCGCGAAGACCAGGTCGGCTGTCACGACGGCTCCACGCGAGGGGAGAGCAGCGGATAGATCCTTCGCTATCTGATAGCTGAGCACGTTGATGAATTCGGCATGGATGGGGTCTCCGCCCTGCATCGTGATACGCGATTTGACACGTCCGGAAGGCACGTCGATAATCACATCCACCTCTTCATTGTCGGGAACCGGAAGCATTCTATGGGCAACCGCCCAGTATCCGAGTGCGATCGTTCCATGGCCGCATGCGGTAGAGAAACCGTCCTTATGCCAGAACAGAACACCAAATAGCGCGCCAGAGTCGTTCGGTGAAACGATGAAACCACCATACATATCAGCGTGGCCGCAGGAAGCCAACTTCCTGAGTCATAAACGGTGGAGTAAAGTCTCCTTCACCGCGAACGGGAGGTGATGCCGTGGATTGCCTGTTTCCAAACAGCCCATCTGGACCTCTTCTGTTCACTCCAGTGACCCATTTTGGAGTTCATAAAAAGCATAATTGCAAGGCCAATCACCGAAGCCCTTCTAGGCACAGATAGTGATCCTAAAGAAAAGACTGTTGGGTGGTATTTGACTTTGTGCTCCGAGCAAAAAGACAACGCAGCAACAACTGATGGTGCTGAGATATGGGGTGTATTTGCAATCGCACACCGTGCGTATCTGTTTTAACTCAGAGGATATCCTGTAAGATTATCTATTCTAGAAAGGGAAATGCTAGTCAGAGACTGCGGAGTACAGCCTGGTGGGCTTGTGGACGCACGAGGATCCCTGTGCCTCACGCCCTACCACGCCCTACCACGCCCTACGCCCTGTAGATAACAGTCAATGCTTAGGAGAGAGGTAGATCTTGCTTGGTTAAACATCCCATGATAGGTAGAATAGCGCATTTTCAGATGATTGATAAACCCCCAATGCCTCCATAGTGTCGTTCCAATCCGAAATACATGCTCGCCTTGTACTGCCATCTCGACTGAGCCCTTATAGTCAATTCTATCTTTTGCAGATGGCTGATCAAATCCTTTCCATAGCTGGCCTTGAGGCGGCAGCTTCTAGCTCACTCCCAACTTCTGTGAAAGGTTCGATACGTTGAACACCCCCCCTACATTTTAGCTAATCACCCAATAATTCACATCTCTGATCTATCGGGCTTAAACTAGATTTCTTCAACTCCGGAGCTACAAACGAGGTCACCCTTCGCGATAATTCAGCTGCATATGGCAAATATCGCCTACTGCCGCGAGTCTTGAAGGACGTGTCTCGCGTTGACCCAAGCATATCAATGTTTGGTAGCCAGATCTCGTTCCCGCTATGCATTGCACCAGCCGGTATTCAGGCAATGGCTCATCCGGATGGAGAGCTAGCGACAAGCAGAGCATGCGCCAAAATGGGTGTCGATATGGGCGTGTCGTCGTTTGCTAACTACTCGGTTGAGGAGATAACAGAGGCTGGCAAGCAGGTGGGAGTCATCCACCATGTCATGCAATTGTATTCCATGAACGATAAAGCCAAGCAGGAGCGCATTGTCCGCCGTGCCGAGGCTGCCGGCTGCAAGGCGATCTTTCTCACGGCAGACAGCCCTGTGCTTGGAGTTCGCTATAATGAATGGCGAAATGGGTTCAAGCCCCCTGCTGGGCTAGGGTATCCGATGTATGAAAAGGCATCGGAGGAAATTCACTCGGAATCCCACGACGAGGGGTTCAGTGCGTCGAATTCGGACTCCCATTCGTGGGCCAAGGATATCCCCTGGTTGCGCAGCATTAGCGGCATGGAAATCTGGATCAAGGGAGTTCTTGCCGCGGAGGATGTTGAAACTGCCATAGAATACGGGTGCGACGGCGTCGTTATTAGCAACCATGGAGGCCGACAGCTAGACGAAACTCCGGCAACCATTGATGCGCTCCCAGCTTGCGCGAAAGCTGCCCGTGGGAGGATCAGAATCCATGTTGATGGAGGCATTCGGTCCGGTGCCGATATTTTCAGGGCATTAGCGCTCGGTGCGGAATGCTGCTGGGTTGGCCGTCCCATGCTGTGGGGTCTAGCAGTAGGGCCTTTACCCTTGATTTGCCTGACATGTGGCATTTGTGTCGTGAATGAGTACTAATGAGTGACTAGCATAACGGTCAGTCAGGCGTGGAACTAATGTTGAAGCTTCTTTACGACGACTTCAAGCGCTGCATGCAACTGACAGGTTGCAAATCGATATCGGAGATTACCACTGCCAGTCTAGCGATAGCTCGTGCAGACGGACCACTGGCGCGATTGTGATGCGGACTGTTTCATTATCCTAAATATGACTTGGATGTATTATCAAAGGGGGAGTTGATGTTACTAGTCAGGAGACTGAGATAGATAAGCTATCGAGTGTGGTCAGATATTCCAAGATCAATTGAGATACTCCGGTAATTTCTCCTTAGGCTATAGCCCACGTTCTCATATTGGTTAGGCAACGATACATATTCAAATGTCGTCCAGTCCCTGCTGATAATATTTACCAGTAGTCCAAAATTGTGTAGTTATCAAACCCATGAACAAAACGACATATTAAATGTCTGTAGTGTATTCCAAACGGCAATGAATTCACTTGAGGACCAATGTTTGTATTAAAGATGGTGAAGATCCGACATTAAAAACGGATCTGCGCCATCATCATCAAGGTCAGGAAATCCGGCCCGTAGGAAAGGCAAATTCGCCAAGAACACATCCGGACAATGCAGAAGGTCGGCAGAGTCCATGAATGATAGCCTTGCAGTATCTGGGAAGCTGTCCGTGATCGGATACTGCATGCCTGTATCCCCAGAAGCGGCACCCTCGGGGATGTCTTGTAGTTCCTCTAGGGCTGCCGGTGGAAGAGAGGGAGTAGCAGTTGATCTTTTTTCTGGGCTTGGTGCATGAAAGATCGCCTTTGTAGCTTCTGTGGTCGACTGTCCTTGGAACCATAGGCTTGCAAGCAACTTTGCGTACTTGGAAGCAATGTGTGTTGGAGTGGTAGCTGCATCTTTGAGCATCGAAATGAACTGCCTGCTTAGAGTAAAACAGGATTGATATTCTCCTGGGCTTAATGCTCCGACTGTGTGGGCCTTGAAAAGAAATACCGATGCATGGATCTCACTCCTAGGACAATGTCAGCCTTGATAATTCTGCGTTGTATAGAAGTGGGTTTACTGACATATAATATCGCACAGGCAGGAATCGCAAATGCCTCGAGGGATTAAGCTGATCTAGGAGCTCCCTTAGAACGTTCTGAGCTGCATCAATGGCAATGTAGATGTGACGACCATCAGGGCTCGCCATGACACTGTAAGGGAAACAAGACACCCCTTTTTCATGATCCGACGCAGGATCAATTCCGGATGATCGATAAAGAACGGCTTGGAATGCGAAAGCGTTGATATAAAGTCGCAGGTATTCAAACTGGAGTGTTAGGAGCCCATTGAGGTGGCTGGGCACATTGACATTGCTCCATGACATTTTCCACATGTCGAGTGCCTTTGCACCGTCGTCTAGATACTTTGTGTAGTCACCCATGAGAATCAACTGCCCTGTGTGTGACTTGGAAGCATACAGGATGTCGTGTACATTTCCAAAGATGGTTGTTAATTCAACCTGAGCTTGTACAAATGATGCATAGTCAGATTGTCCAGCCCTCTGAGGGCGCAATGAAGGGTAGTCATGCGCCGTGAATCGAGCAGATAGACCTGGTCCGCGACACCAAAATGCTTGACCCATCTGAATGGATATCTGGCGATCTGCAAGGTAAGTGACTGCTGACCGTTAGCTATGCAATCGATCGACAAAGTGTAGCCATACATATCCAGGCCAATCGCTTCCGACTCGCAACTGGTTCCGACTCGGCTTTCCCTTCTCCGCGAAAGGAATATCTTTCCAAATGGAACAAATAGGCTTGCCTAACTGCCAGTCCGATGAGGTTCCACGCCAGGCTATCTTCCTCAGATGTTTCTCCTTGCTCTAGTTGATGTTGACTTGAACTGTGGTCATCACGGCTGACATTGGTCCCCGAGTTGATATGCGGTACCCATTCAGCTAACAACAATAGGCCTTCCACTGAGCCGACCTGTCGAACATTCCTGGAGCCCAGGACTACACGAAGGAGGAGTTTCTCCATATAGCCTAGGACTCTGGTGTGTAGAGACTCTAAGCCTTGCCGGTTCTGCGTCGATATCGTTAGTACCGCGGCTAGCAAAAATGGCTCGTAAGCCCAATGATGCTTCATCGTTTCGCCAGATATCAAATGGCTTGGTACAATTGGTAAATAGGGGTGGTGGTTGCTGGCATAGCTGAAGGCCGAAGGGTTAGGTTAGCATTCTATTCCTGGCTCCGATGATATTGAAGACTTACTACTGCAAAAGAGGCTCGAGCATTTGTATGTCTACAACGCCATCCTGGATAATCTCACTTTCCCTCAGACTGGGCTTATCTCCAGGAACATGACTGCCTGTTCCATCTCGAAATTCTAGGTTATTTTTGGGAAGTTCAGGAAGTGTAGAGGCTCTTCTGTAAGTCACTCTTTCGCTAGACGCCGTCTGTGCCAGGATTTGGAGCGCTTCTAGAGGGTTTTGTATCCCGCCATGAATATCATAGCCTTGGCTCTCCTCAGGGACGTTGTCCATTGACAGCTTAGGACTGATGCTCTGGTTTTCTGAACCATCGGAATTGCGGATTATTTGTCGTCTGTATTGGCACCTGCGTCGTTTCCGGAGGTGTGAATAGTCGCCGCCTCGGCTTGATCCGGCTACGACGCAGTCAAAGCCCTCTGTGGAACATTTTGAACACGGCTGATGTCCACTACTGCTCTCATACTTTCTGGGAAAGAGTCACGACCAAACAAGATACGCGGGGTAAACAGTCTGTACATACAGGTCACATTTTGTCTTTCGCTGTCGGCATCGAATGCAGGCGCGATAGAGCCTGGTTCCTGTACTTCTTGTCATGATGGTTGATGATGGAGAGACTCAGAGTATCTAGGATGGAGGCGGGGCGTGATGGGATGATGGCGAAAGGCGCGGAGTGGAGATGCGGAGATGCTCGTCGGCAATAGATGGCAATAGACGGCCTGGCCCTAACTATAGCCGTTTCCCCTCATCATTTCTAGCAGTTGCAAGAATGGCACTATAAGAACATCGCCCAAGCACCAGGCTTTGGTTTTGCGCCCAAGCTTCAGTTCCTCCGTCTGATCATCATTGAGAAAGCGATAAATCGAGCTTCCCTGCCAAAATGACAACTACTGTCAGCGAAACCAAGATTTGCGCCTCAACGCCAGCAGAAACGCGCAAGCATCCTTCTCCCAAAGATGACCAGTATGGCAATTATTATCCTGCTCATCCAGAGGATCTCAATCTTGAATCGAATTTTGGCCCCATGGCTGCGGACCAAATTGGGTACCTCCAACCCACTTCCAAAGAAACCCCAATTGAAATCATGCGAGAACGGTTCCAGCGCGATGGATACCTATTCGTAAGCATTCCACTTCTCTTTGCGCTTCTTCACACACTTATTAATCTCTTTACCATTGCTAGGTGAAAAGCCTGCTCCCAAAAGACAAAGTGCTCAAATGTCGACGACAGTATTTCGAGCACATGGCCCCATCAGGCCTTCTCAAGGAGGGGACAGACCCGGTAGAAGGAATATACAGTGACAAAGACAGTCGAAAGTTTCTTCCACCTGGAAACCTCCGACGGCTCTTCGGTCTTAAAGACGATGAGGAGTCAAACAAGTACCTCGAGCTAATGATCAGCGCTCATGAGGCGCCCTTCTATCTCGAATTCTGCGAGATCGAAAAGCTTAGAGCCTTTATTAGAGCGTTTGCTGGATGGGAAGATATAACGATGCTGCAGCGAACCATGCTTCGTGCTTTTGTCCCCGACAGTGAATTAACCCCAGTTCACTTCGACCAGATGTATCTTCGCGCAGGACCACCGACCAGTTTGACAGCATGGGTCCCGATTGGCGGGGTGTCTTTGGAAGGCGGAGGCCTCATGTATTTGGAGAACTCGGTCGATATCGGAAAGAAAACAGAGGAGGAGTTTCGTTGCAATGCGAGCAATCTGAATGACGAGGAGCGTGTTTCAGCTTTCAACAAGAATATGAATGATGGTGGGTTCCTCAGCCGTGATACCGTGTCATACGGAAAAGAAGCCCAGAGAAAATGGTTGATTACCGAGCATGAGGCTGGGGATGTGATTTTTCATGATCCATTCCTGGTGCATGCAAGTTGCAAGAACAAGGATCCGGAAAGACGTATTCGGCTGGCAACTGACTTGAGGTTTGTTGATTCTGCCAAGCCATATGATAAGGTAGGAAGCCAAGAAGCCTCTTTCGATATCATGTCTGCTCAGTTGCTAACATTGGGACTTATAGCGTTGGATGAAAGTGTATCGACCACTTGATGGTCTGTAAATGGTTAGGGGTGACGAGATCTGATGTTGTATAGATGCAGAAGTTTGATCAACGACCCATTTCCAATTTACAATCAGTTTGATTCACACGGCATTCTAATTGACCTGAATTGTTAAACTGCCTAAACCGTATTGCTCTTATAGACCTGCCCCCGTGTGTCCTGAACTTCCAGGCCGTCGAAGTCACCTGGTAGTCACCTGCCAGCCACTCCGCTCTCCTTTTGCTCCCGATCTCATCGCACTCATTTTGAATTGTGTTATCGAAACGTCCATTGCGTATCAATTCAAATGGCGCCAATGAGAACCCTAAATACCATCATGTATCAGCGTTCCCATCAGTCTGAACAACATACAAAGCTCGCTAGTCTATCCCTAGCTAAGTTCTCGCATACGACCACCTCAGCCAGTCATCGGGGTCCCCTGCATTGGAACCATATCATCGGAAACGGCGATATCGTTGGGGTATTTGAGAGGTTTACAGTCTCAGGCAATGTCCTGCTCAAAGTGTTCCAGGATGATCAGATAATAGTACGCTCCGTGAAGCCTGCTCCTATAGCCAAACCGTCGCAAGCTCATTCGCAGTCTACTGTTCCAGGAGCAGATTAGCATAACGGATCTTGCCCAAATAGCAGCCTCTGAGGCCCAGTCCAGCAATCCCGGCTCCTCGAAGCCGACATTCGCCGTCGTCGTGAAGTTGCCCTGTCTTGCGATAAAGTATTCAACGGGAAATACGCACGTTCGTGAAGTCCCATCTCTAGTGAGAATTTGGGAGACTTCAAATCTGATCACGGAATAGATTCGTCGATTCCAAATCAAATTCAGCCTAGACCGCGACTACTACACAGTATTGGCTATATTAAGTGACATCAAATGCCCCTTCTCCGAGCCCAATATCGACCCAATGCCACTGACTCGGAGACCATCAACTGCACAATGGCAAATGGCATCCTCATCGTCGGCCATGGGAGGTAGAGTCGGTGGTAACTTAGCGCCCGAGCAATACGCATCACACGGTGCTTTTATTCAGCCCCATGAATCAACACTCGGAGTATCAGGAACAACTTCGAGCATTACAGCCGGTGACTCGATTCCTGAGCCCCTGACAAAGTACTGGCTAACCCAGAAATATAGCCCAAACCTCCCTGCCCTCCTCATCAAGCACCATGCCCAACGTCCCTGCAGAATCGTGGCCAAACGACCGCAATCGAAGCGGCCCACGAGACACAAACATCTCTCAAGATATCGCGCCCAGAGATCCCATACCCGGACAAAGCAACAACGCACTTATCCGGAGGCCCTCAACCGCGACAACATGCTACGATGCCAAATCGCTCGAGACAATCCTACCTCCCAAACGACAGCTCCCCTTCCTCAACCCCGGGCCACAAGAGGCCAATAAAAGGCCGACGACATCGTCGGGTCATATATTCCGCAAACCAGAACATACCAGTAAGTCGGCGGGACTAAATCCGGGAGACATCACGAACACTAAAGTCTCGCCGTCTGAAGATCTCTCGGGCTTGTCTAAACCTACTAATACCTCTATCACACCATCAACCGGATCGGGTTCTCTGCCCTTTCCTCCTCCGAACAACGAGAAGCATCATCAATCTATGAATACAGAACCGGTTCAAAACAAGCCTTCACAGCAAGAAAGCCTTGACATCCAGAATCCACACCTCAGGTCCGAAAATCTTTCAGCATATGTGTCATCTTCCACTGAAGAGCGGACCAAAAGCCTTGCGAATTGGATCTGTCAGCAGATCGAAGATGAGAAATTCGTCCAGCTGGTTCAAGATATGGATGGCACATGGGAGCGACTTGCGTTGGGAAAGTAAGATCTCCTAATTCCTGTATCATTTGATTTGTGAACAAATTGCGCTGTTTCCTTGTCATTTCTTACGGAGATAGTAAGTAGCAATATCAGACGGACGTTTCTGATAGATAGTGAGCTTCCCTGCCAGAAAAGATAAAATCACAAGTTATCTTCTAGCAAATTGATAAAGTACAAATAGGATAGAGGAAGATGATAATAGATACCCCGCTAGTCAATCACCATTCAGACAAAGCCCATTACAAGTTGATAATATTTCTCTGCTTTGTTTTTTGATTTTTCCAAGTCCAAATTATTTCAGCCCCAAAGAAATGAATAAAAGAACAAGAAGGGTCCAAGAGTGGGACGGAGGAAGAGAGCGCCAAGAATACAAAAAGGATAGTGCTAAAGATAATCAAATTCTCCTCGGACAGGCTGAGAACGGAGGCTGAAAATACATTCAGCGAGATCGACGGTAGATAAGGCCGGAGAATACATTGAGATAACCTTCCTTGGTAAGGAGGGTGTAATCAACGACCACACGAGTCGCCGGTTGCGAGACAGGGCCCAAGTTCGGCGACGTGGCAGCGTTGAGGTTGTTTTCGGTCGACAGCGCAGGCGGTGGCGGAGAGCCCGAGTTGGCAGCCACAGAGCCTTCAGCGCCAACAGCGAGATCAGCCAGATGTTGAAGAGAGCGCTGCTCATTGGGACCCATGACGGGAGGGCCGACAGAGCCGCTCTTGTTGAGGCTGGGGTCCTGGAGTTGGCTTTCTTGGGCCTTGGTTCGTCTCCATTCGAGGAAGATGCGGATCTTGGCGTCCCAGCCCGGAGTCGTGAAGATATCCCCAAACTCAGCCGCTTCGGTGCTTCGTTTTTCGCGATAGTCAAGAATTTCCTCGACCTTTCGGAGCGAATCCCAGCAGTCATTGGCGTACTCTGGAAGAACCGTAGACTCCAGGAGGGTCATGGAGGCCAAAGCCAAGCTGTGAAGATCGAAGGGCGTTGTGATGCGAGATTGCGTGCTGGCCTTGTGCAATTCGTTGATGACCTCTTGGGCGCTGTAGATGATCTCGTACGGACTGTAGACGAAGATGTGTCGCTTAATCAACAGCCGAATGGTCCAGTACAACTGGTTGTGCAGACTGTCAATAAAGGTCTGAGATTCTGATTCATCGGAGGCATCATTGAGTGAGCGCAGATCCTCAATCTCTGATAGACGCTCAAGAGATGATGCCAAGTTGGCACCGACCATGCGACCAATGCCGGTGTTCGTCTGGCAGATGTTGTGGTCCAGCGCAGCCAAGGTAACCAGCTCAACAAGGAACGTTGAATAAGCTATGAGGCAAGCAATTAGCACGAATACCTAAAGCGCTCAGTACACTCGAAGAACTTACAGCCAATGCCAGTGGTAACACGTCCAACAACCCGTTCGTCTTCCCGACCGCCCATCTCGTACGTTCCCAGGGCGCTTTGGTCGGCCACACTGACCGCGTACCAGCGAGAAAGTATACCCAGCGCGACCCAGTTGCGACGGACGAGGTTTGCCTCGGAGTCGACGTCGGGGTCTGAAGAGCGTTTGGTCTTGAGTTGGCCAAGGCCCTTTGCCATGTCCGAAGCGAGTTTGTTGGCGGACTGGATCAAGGAATGTTTCGGTACACCATCCTTCAGAACAAAGTTGTCTGGGCCCCTCCAGTCAGAGTCGAGTATCATGAGCAGCATAGTCTGGAGCCAGATGAGGTTGATCCCGGTCGGACGGACAATAGCCGGCTGGCGAGTGTAGTATAGAAGGAGGTCCTGCGCATTATCGAAAGACGTGACTCTCTCGAAAGTACCGAAGACTCGATCGAAATTTGTGCGTGTAGCGGTATAAAGACTGTAAATGAAAATCTCTTGCACTTCACGACTGCATTGGTGGAGGATTTCGAGCAAGCGTTCCTTCGAGTGCGGCAATATGGGGAAGACAGGGTGTATTTTGGCATAGTACCTGTTTCTATTTAGAAGCTGTATGATCAAGAGCCACAAGGCTGTGATGAACTTACGCGTTGATAGCGCCTTCGTCCAAGTCCAAAGGAGTCATGTCCTCTTCCATTGCTTGTTTGGGTATATCGGTCATTTCAATGCCAGCGGGTAGCTCGTTCTCATTGCCAGGCGACCAGAATAGATTGCCAGGCTTCGGTGCCGAGCCGCTGACAACCGATGCATTGATCGGATCCGTTGCGCTTTCACCTGCATCTTCTTGTGGAGTTAGTTAAAGAGAGGCAATGGAAACGCGTAAGACACGAACCGAATGCATTCTGCGACCGAGTGTTGAACGGCGCTTGTGTAAAGGAAGAACTCGGAAGTCCTTCGAATACCGAGTATGTTCTTTTGCGACCAATTCCACCGCTGTCCATTGGAGGCGAAAATTCCTGATAGCCCTTCGGGGAAGACACCTCGTTCATACCCTGGTACGGCATGTCCGGATGGACCATGGCGGGCTGCATCTGACTTTCGAGAGTGTGCAATCGTTCGGCCAATTCCTTGATGTAACTATGTTATAGCCAACGTCAGCTGAACGCGCTTCTGATCACAGACATTTACGGCGATCGCGTCTCTTACCCTTTGCTGGGGCCACGTTTCATCGGAACGCGACTGAATTGACAGACAACCCCGAGACGTCGACAGTTCGAGCATGTTTCCACACCAGTTTCGGAGCTTGCATCGCAACGGACCTAGGGAAATCGCGACGTTAGTCAAGGGGAACCACCAAAGCAACGTCGCGTCGCGCAATCAAAACATAGGATGTTGGTACCTTCTTGCGCCGGCACTCATCGCACGCGCGAGAAATCTTCGATCTTTTCCTTCTCGCACTCTGATCACCATAGCTCAAGTCGTGATTCGGATCGACGCCCACTTGTTGACTGGGAGTGAATTGAAGCATATGTTGTTGTTGGTGCTGGTCGGGCGACGAAGGGCGACCCATATCGCCGCCAGCGGGATTGGACGCACCCAGGACCATCGACTGACCGTGATGGACTCCATTGCTGGATCCATCGGCCAGACCGGGGCCGGAGGTTTCGCGCGAAAGCTCGGCGGACAGGAGTTCGTCGGCCGTCAGTTGGCGGTTGGTGTAGTACTGCATGGCGCCCTGGCCGATCTGCGCCGCGTTGGGGGACGGATAGGAAGGGGCCGGAGGCATATCGGAGTGCTCGCGGGAATTCATTGTCGGGAGATGGACCGATCAGAGCTGGGTCGATGGGGGTGGGTGATGGAGCGAGGCTCCGGATGGCGATGGGATGGTGGAGGAGGGAGGAAGTTGGCGGACGGAAGAAGTCGCGGGCAAAGGTTTTACAGGCTAAAAAACCGCCTGGGCGGGGAGAACATTTCGAATGGGTTAGCGCCGTATGCCCTCGGCGCTGGGGAACTGATCACAGCAAACATGGTCGCGCAACAGCAGATGAGTCGGGCTCATGGACCTGGATTCCTGCTCGCGGGATGCGATATAGTTTCATCCTGGGATGATCGTGCCGACGCGGAGATCCGGCTTTTTGTTTCTGCGTCCAGCGCGCGGATTAATACTATTTCCCACCGGCCCAGACTGGACCAAAGAAACTCCTCCCAGCGTCGAAGGATTCGATGCGTCGACCGTTTGTCGGAATGTCTCTGGCACGCCGTCTTTTTGTTTCTGAGAAATTCGCCGATGCGCCCGCTGCATTCCGGCCTCTTGCGACCCTGGATATGAGGCCTCTGGCGATCCACGTTGGGATACAGCTCTGCGCCATGGAGATCATCGACCTGCCATCCCAACCCGAGGGGTGATGCAATGTCGCTGTGGTCGCTCTTGTTCTACAGCTAATGAACCTTTTTCTGTTCTTTCAGATGACTTTTGTCATGGTTTCACGCGTTGCTACGCAGATGCCGAAGTTGAGATACCAAGACTGGTGATGTGCCACCGGACTGGTGCGATGGTCACAGCTTCTGCCTCGTAGCCAGTACGCCCAACCACAATCCACCGCGTCATACTGACAACAATTTAGCCTCAAACTAAAGTGTCTGAATCGCAATATCTGGTATTATTGCTGAATGTCGCACTATTGCCGTGCGTGAAGGCTTTGCCGTTTTGCTCGAAAGGCCGACCCTAGGGCCTTCAAACTACCACAAACTGTATCCAACCTCTTTTTGCTGCCTTCAGCAGTTTAGAGATCAGTAGCGATTGTTTGGGTATCAACTTGCCCTTTCCAGCTATTTTTCCTACTATAATCACAGAGCGCACCGTTTTGACACCTGAGGCAGCTATGGCCGTCATTGCAGACCAGATCACGTGGACTATCACGTGCATGATGTGTCCCCAAAATGGAAATGGCCATGTTTAGGCATCAAGGCCACAATTGTTGGAATGTGCCTTCGATCAGACATTTCCATAAGAAACGCTGGTGTGAAACTCTGCATCTGGAGTTATTGACAACTTGCAACCAGCATTGTCATTCGTTCCTGTTCTCATATGAAGCCTTCTCGGACAGGCTCAGATCGCCATTGTCTGCTGTACTTCGTAAGGCTGCGCCAGTCTTGGCCGGAATCCGTCGACAGGCTCCAGGACCACTAATCAAAGATCTATGAGCCACCTGCTTCGGAATTGACAGATTCATACAAAGCAAATGAAACATTGGGGCTATCCATAGGGTTGCGGAGAGCTCGTACCAACATGAGCGACCATCAGTCAACAGCAATTTTAGCACCAATTCTTCCTATCTTCACTAGGGTTAAAAGCGCCTACGCCAGGTCATATCCAAAGAACCGCCCCAAGTCGCCTAATGGCTCGGCAGGCGGGGGTGCCTGGGCGAGCTTCAGGGGCGTCAGCTTGTTAATTTAAGAGGCCTGCACTATGCCCATTCAGTGAATTGTCAAACAACATTCTCAGGGATATTCAGGCGCTTACTGGCCCTAGGGCTGCATGGGTATGATCCTCACCATGAGGCTCATTGGTGGGCTCGGTATACCTTGTCATTGGCACGTACTGCGTATTCAGATGCACTGCACATTCTGCATGGCCCAGATATATAAGCACGAGCACTCCTACACTACCAGGATATTCTTTTTCTACAACCCGGACTAGTACTCTTTCCACACCCAAACAACCTTCCTGATCAAGATGCAACTTATCTACATCGCCGCTGCCCTTGCAGCCATCACCACTGCACATGCCATCGATGCATCGGCCACCCCTTCGTCTTCCGGCGTAGCCCCCCATCGCACTCCCGACACCAAGCCCGGCAAGCCCGTGGAACGGACTGAGCTCCTCACATCATCTGTCAAGATTCTGCTCAACTACGACAAGAACTGCTACTTCGAGCTGACTGACATCCAAGGCTGCACGGGCAAGTCCGCGCCATTCGGCACGGTCAGCAAGACCACCGGGAACTGCGAGAACAGTAAGCCATCACTCGAACTTTCACCCCTCTTTCTCCATTGAACACTGCTAATGTGGGACTCCAACCGTCACAGACGGCGCGTACCCCCTCATCGCCGACATCTGTGACGGTCAGATCTGGATCTACACCCACGGCACGGATAACGTGGAGACGTACATCCCTCCGCTGGGTAAGGGCGAGTTCGTCACTGAGGGAATGTTCTGGTTCAAGAACTCCACGGGGCATGTCAATGATATACCCTATGTCATAGGCTATGTGATGCCCGGATGCGAGTTCTATGCGACGCACTTTGACGAGGAATTCGGTTTGGTGTCTTGGTCCAGGAGCTGCTATTATTAGGGTAGGAGGTGTGTTGGGTTTACTCTGTCGATATAATAGAGGGTGTCTGTAATGACATTCTTATTCTTTTCATTTTTTTTGTATTATATATATTGATTGTATGCTTGACGGATACTTCATCATAAACCGATGCTCTCATAGTGAGGAATGATTCCACCTCTAATCGAAGGAGCAAAAATCCAATAGTCAAATCTACATGAATCCTCTATGCCTGGAACCCCCTCATTCATTCCTTACCATTAACCCAAGAACCCAAACCCCAATAATAAAAAAATGAAAACAAATCCTATCCACAAAACATCTCCCTCCAGCCTGACAAATATATCCAATCCCCACCCCCCAACCCAATCAACCTTGAAATTCCCTAAATATACTCCTTCGCCAAATACCCCAAATTCTCCTCCAACGGCTTCCCAGCCACCGTCGCATTCGTCACGCCCACAAGGAAAATAAACCATCCTAGCCGGCTGGGTCTCGGAGACGTTTCTCCACCGATGCATACCCGCCCGGTTCACCGACACGTCGCCAGGATACATGAGTCTCTTCTCACCACTGTCCAGCGACAGCTCCATGACGCCGTGCGTGACGACACCGTACCCGATGCCGATCGATCGGGGGAGGTTTGATTCGACGCCCGGGGCGAAGTCGATGGATGACGGAGACGGAGGGGTAGTTTAGAGGGGGCTTTTGATTTCATGGTACTTAGTCAGTGTTTAATGCACTCTTGGATAGGGTAGTGGGGGAGAAGGAAAGAGACAGGTACCTTATTTTCCATCGCGAACTTCACGTCCTGGTCGTCTGTTAGGTCGACGGGGTTCGAAGCCGTGCTGTACGGAATGTTCTGCGCCGCGGCGCCCTCGACCATGATAGTGACATGGTCGCCCTTGTCGGAGGCCAGGAAGATTGATTGGCCTTTAGGGTTGTGGCCGACGATGTAGCGGTTCTGGTCTGGGAGGCCTGGGGCTGGGAATCCGGTGACAGGGCCGCCGTGGGACATTGTGCAGGTGAAGAGGGCTGTGGATAGAGAAGAGAAATGGCGATTTCAATATTCAAGGAGAAGAAATCTACAAGGGAGGGAAATGATCGCGCTGGAGGTTGTGGTAGGTAACCAGTTGAGATGAAGATAATATCCAAGTGTATCGGGGCGAGAGATGAGCCCAGCTTTATATAGCCCCAACCATCAGCGAGTCGAAATTAGAACGGACCAAGAACCACAGGTCCCGTACTTGCTGCGCATCAATAAACAATGGCACATTCGAAGGTCCCCATGGTTTGACTCTGTCTCCGAATGGTCTCGTCCTGGGGCTTTGCGTGCTATCCAGCAAGCGAGCCTGATCCTCCGTGGGACCGGAACACTTGACAGCCTGGGTCTGGCAATGCCGAATTGGAATGAGTTTGACACCTGGTCTGTCAATGCATGGCTTAGCCCCAACACGTGGGTGCAGGGTCCGTAGACTGGACGGGATGCCCGGCGAGGCTGGGGTTCCTATAGACGATTTGCAGTTGTTGAGGAAATCGTACTTACAATGTAGGTAAAAATGTAGTATTGCGAATGTTTCACGTCGTTGTCGTATCACGCAGAATTTGCAAAATACGGAACTTGTGAGACTTCCTTCATACGAAGTATATTTAGAGTTGCACAACGCTGACAACGCGATCGACCATAATGCAGTATTAGGAGAGGCAGCTGGATTTAACTCAAGAGACTTCAAATGGAGGCATGCTCACCGAATGAATGGTAGGTCGCTAGGCGATCAACAGAACACAATACATGTATCAAGCAATCGACAACGAGGAAGGTGCCATAACTATGTATAATTACCAGTATTCAAAGGTGAGAACGAACATCTAGATACGATTCGAAGCACAGGCATAATTCAGACATTTGATAAAAAGAAGAAAAATGGAACTCAATACGACCACTCGTGCAAGACAAGTTAAACAATTCCTTCACCTTTTTCCAGTGATCAGTCATGTATCTGTGTTATTGAATGAAACCGTCTCAAGTTCCGCAAACAAAGACCTCCCCAGAAAGTCAGTTGGTCCCCAAAGAATCACTTAGGTGAAAATAAATAAATCTCGAGCTAAAAAGACACCATTCTCTGACCTCTCACAAAAACAAACCACGACGCAGAAAAACAAGGTACATCTAATAATTGCTTGCTACCGGCTTGTTCTCCACAATCGCCTGCACTGGCTCCTCCACCGAAGGCTCCGATGTGTCCTTCTTAGACTGCACAAAAAGCTTCTCTCGCTTCATGAACAGAGACAGAACCACGGTTAGAGCTCCGGCTGCGACAAGCATATAGTAGATATTGCCGATAGTCGACACCAGTGCCCTCTGTACGGCAACCTGTTGGGTGGAAGAAAGCGATTTGAAGAAGGGCCCCCCGGCACCGCTGATGGCCATTTGAATCAGATCCTTGTCTGCATCGGGCATCACTGCCGAGATCTTGTTCGTCGCCTGATTGATGAAAATGCTGTTGGAGATAGTCAAACCCAGGGCGATACCGCCAATCTGACCGCAGCCAATAAAGGCAGTGGACGAAGCGACCTTCGAAGGACCACCCTTCGCCTGTGAGACCGGGAACGATGCTTGTGAATAAAGCCCTGTGCCTAGAGCCAAGATCACACTGTAGCCGTAAATCCTGGAGGTGCTGGATTCGAGGGTGACCGTGTGCATAAGCGACGCACCGATAACAACCAGAACGCCGCCAACGAGGTACCAAGGCATGTAGTATCCAATGATTCCCATGAGGATACCATTTGAGATGACGGCGAAGACCATGATGAACACAAAGGGCAAGAGTCGCACACCTGCCTGTGTCGCAGAATCCCCGAAAACGAACTGGAAGTAGAGAGGAATGAAGTAGACGGGAACAAAAGCGCAAGTGACCGCAGCTGCCACCAGAACAAAGAGAACTACCTGCTCGTATGATTTGAGGAACTCAAGAGGGAAGAGGCGAGTCTCGGGTGTTGTGAAGAAGACTTGCTGAATTCCGAACAAGATCCACAGCACGCCGGAGCAGACAAAGAGACCGATGATCCTTCCACTGTTCCATTCGAACATAGCACCTCCAAAGGCGATAGCCATGATCCCAGAAACAAATCCACCTGCACTCAGGATGGCACCCAGGATATCGATGTGCTGAATGCGGGATTTCCAAGAAGCGGTCGGTCTAGGGTCGTGTGTCTCGAGGAGCCATAAGTAAATGGGGGCGGCCAACGCTCCCACGCAGAGGTTGATGTAGAAGCTCCATCGCCAGGTTGCCTTGGAGTCAGCGAAGGCTCCTCCAATGATGGGTCCAAGCCTAACACCTCGTCAGCAAAGTCAGTCATAGGCAAGCCGGTAGTTGATTGTGTCCCCTTACACGGTCCCAATTCCCCAAGTCAATCCAACAGATCCAAGGTAACCAGGTCTCTCGGCCTCCGTCGTACTGTTGGAAAGAAGGTTGATTGCCCCAAGATAGATACCAGAGCCACCGACACCACAAATAGTTCGTCCCACGATCAAGGCATTCATCGTCGGTGCCGCACCACATACTGCCGAGCCGACTTCGAAGAGGATGACGGTAATGAGGAAGGACTTCTTCGTTTCGAACTGAGCAAAGACCTTGCCCCTATGGGTATTGTCAACAAGGAACTACTATCTTCTCAATTGGGTTCGAGGACTCGTCACTAACCAGACTAAGTTGACGGCGACACCACCGAGGGCAAAGGAAACGGAAATCCACGGCAGTTTGTTGATTTCGCCAAAAGAGTCGACAATCTTGGGTTGAACATCGGCGACGATCGTGTTGTCCAATGCGAACAAGAAGATCGCCGATAGAATTGACAAAACCACAAGAACCCATTTGAACCCAGTTACATTCCGTGGAGGAAGGTCCGGATTGGTGAGAGGTCTGTCAGCATACTCGCTCACAGCCATGACGGAAGATGGAAGAGCCGCTACAATTGCAAGGGCGTAATTCCTAGGAATTAAAGTAGACCAACAGCGAAGACCACACAACTATTCAGGACGAGTACAGCCAAATAAAGTCTAGGTCGGAAGGTTTAGAAGGCCGGCCAAGACAGCTGAATCGTTATTAAGGCCTAGAAAAGAAAGCTCTCGGGACGCAGCCGGGCGAACAGAAAGCAGCGACAACGACAGAGCCTCGCTTTTCCAGATGCACGCAACCCGGACAGTTCAATGTGCCCGCGTCTGAATCTTTGCGGTCATATCAGAAAACGCCTTAATATTAATTTGCTACCATCTTTCCATTATACGATATACCATCGTATTACCGCTAATCCAGAGGCGGATAGTAGCATATGCTGAATTAAGCTAGACCAGCACGTGCGCTGTCAATCAGCGGGTCGGGCAATTAAGGTGTCCGGTACCCGCAGCCTGACCCATACCAGAATTACCCGTGTATTCGGAGATTTTCAAAAAGGAGCCTTAGAACTCTACAAGACAAACAAGTCCTGAGTCTTACACCAGTACCGGGCACGAAAGCCCCAATCCGCAAAGAATGCCCCTCCAGGCTGAAGCAAAAACCAACTGTATTGGCTGCATGGTATTCACATCTGTAGGTAAATCTCAGTTTCTGCCTGAGATCGGGCAAACTAATGCTAGCGTCCGTTAACCCTGCCCTGGTCGCAGTGCCTGGTGCCAGTGGCGTAGAGTTCCCCCGATGCCGATTCGACGGCTCTTGTGAGTGTTCCGAACGGCGCTCGCAGTCCGTCCGGTTGTGCGCCAGGCAGCTGGTAGAAAGCTCCGTTGGGCGTCTGCAGGGGCTGCGCCTCGAATGGCCTCTCTCTTTTCTTTGTACTGGGTTTTGCTTTGTTACGTGGATTCTTGGGGTGGGTGAGATAGGATTGTCGGTGGGAAAGCTATGGGTATACCTGGACTGAGGTACTATTGTCGCAGCGTTTGATTCGAGGGTCACCTGTGAGTTGCGCAATACTCTATGCTAATGCTATAGCTTCTCGTGTTGCTAATAGCTCCGACAGTAGGCAACCCTGTTTACCTGGACGACTGCCAGCAGATTCCCCCATCTGTATATGCCAGTGACGGCCGAGAGACTCTAGAGTCTGAGTGAAGACATTGTCGGACAGCAGTTTGCCCTGTAAGAATATCCAACAGGGGCATGTCTGATAGACCATAATGCAACGCCAGTATTGGATTTATTTCAGCTGTATTTGTTTTTTACCGAAACCATGTGGCGTCCTCGCGGCGTAAGAAAACCGTATCGGAATCGGATAGTTTCTTTGCAGATCAGCCGGTGTATTAATGACTCAGCGCTAACGGTCCGGGTGCGGCTAGCCCCGAACGGGTAAGAAGCTAGACCAGTGGACGCCTGACAGACTCAAGCTATAGGGGAAGACTGCGGCTGATCTGTCCTCGCTCTATTTTTTGCTTCTTTCTCCTACCTCGAGTCCATCTTCCTCAGAATCCCGACATGCACGCACACCCTGTACGACATGATTGAAACCCAGATCCAGATTGCAGCCTCCCCAGACAAAGTGCAGGAAGTGGTAAGTGCTGGGCTATCTCCGCTTTCTATCTCCGCTCTCTATCTCCGACATGAATCCGTGCTCTTACTGATCCTTTGGCCATCATAGCTGCTCGACTTCTCCACCTACCTAGAATGGCAGAGTCTCATCAAGCTCCTCGAGCCGGAGGATAGTTCGAAAACTCTACATTCCCTCCAACCAGGAGACAAGATCAAATGCGACGTGGATGGAATGAAGTTTACGGCCGAAATCAAGGTAATATTGCCACTATCTCCGCGCATTCAATCCTCATTCCCTTGGCGCATGTCATCATTTGTCTACTTTTGGTTTGTTTTCGCAGCGAATGTCAGCTAACATCGATGATCACGCAAGGAAAACTCCGAGAAGCTATTGCAATGGCAGGGCCCTCCCGTGTTTGGCCTCATTGCCGGACTTCATAGCTTCCACATCGAGCCTGCCAACGGGGGGTCATCAACCCTATTCAAGCAGACCGAACTATTCACCGGGGCCATCTCCTTTATGATGAGCCCGTCGTTACTGGGAAGGAAGATGTTGGGCCAATACAACCAATTCAACAAAGACCTCAAGGCCCGTGCTGAATCCTTAAGCTAGTCGAACAAACGATTAAGCCTTTGTCGGAAAGGAAGAGATAATATCATTGGATTGCTTATCACCTATACATGGCGAAATTAACAACTGGATCACGAATATTGCCTACCACGCAGGTGGGCCGTCAGAGTTTGGCGGGCCGATACAATTTGGGTCCCAATTCTTGAAGAGTCCATCAACCAAGCTTTAGATCTGAAGCTGTAATGTAGCTCCGCCGTCGACGAGCAGACCACCTCCGGTCATATAGCTGGATCTAGGGCTGCTCAGGAACATGATAGCGTCTGAGACCTCTTCTGGGTGCGCAATCCGGCCGAGTGGCACTACTCGACGAATAATGTGTCTGAGGTCGGCATCGCCTTCGATGGCCTCGCCCGTCATTGGGGTGTCGACCCAAGACGGACAAACGGCGTTGACACGGATCTTGTATGGTGCGTTATCAAGTGCTAGACTAATGTTAGCCAATTCCGTCACTGTTGCGAAATGGCCCGCTCTTGCGTTTATTCCTTACCCGCATCCTTGACCATACCAAGCACTGCATGCTTGGCCGTGGTGTACTGCACGATTTGCGGTGTGGCCACATAGGAATTGCATGATCCGAGGGCAATGATAGCCCCCCCGCCAACTTCTCGGGGACCGGTGCGCGATGGTACGCTCAGGACGTCCTGCCGTTTCATAGCCGCACTCACATAGAACGTGCCCTTCACATTGACGCGCCAGAACCTGTCTAGCTCCTTTCCCGACGCTTCCGCTATCTCTGGTGTTCAGGGCTGATGTGCCGTTCTTGGATCTTTTGTCGTCGACGATGAGCTTGGATTAGTTGATTGATGGGATTGAGAAGGGGATTAGTGAGTTGATGGGGTAGAGTGGAACCCAATGAGATGAAGTTGAGATTGGCTTTATGAATCAGGATTGGTGAAAGTCTTAGGTTGTTAGTTTGTATCGTATCCTTTTGAGGTCGGAGCTTTTCTATGCGGTTTTCTGCATATTCCTTCTTTTCTTTCTTTTTTCTTTTTTTTTTTCCATTTTTACCATAGAGTCCTGACACTGACGGGAGCCGTTATGTTCTACCGAACCTTCCGAAGTATATTCAAGGCCACCATGGAGAACCAACTTATCCATCTTCCTAGCACTGATCCTGCGCAATTCACTGAACTACTACTATCTGGACAAGCATGTTTGACCAACATGACAATACCACATTACTGCCTGTCAGAGTGCATGAATCATGGTATCTACTCTCGCACGTCATCCTGACTATCTTTGGAGAAAAGCCCATCCCGAAATGACTTCACCTTTTCCACGCTCTTTTGAAGAGCCAGCCTCGCCAAAACTTGTCCAATTCCTTCACTCCGCTGTTCACTCTTCTCCGAGCGTGGGCTGTCGTCGCGAAGAGCAACACCAACGCCCCCTTCGCTGTCAAAGGAACCACTCGATCCGCCTTTCGAGGCCATTTTGTGCCATCTCTGACGAAATCGACCCCTCGTACCAGAGTCTGTTGAGCTATGCCGCATTTGCAGAATTTCGGAGATGAAGTGCGCTACTTCCTCATGCCCATGATCTTTAGCCCATTGTAATGGAGTTCGTCCGTCCTGGCTTTTTGCATTGATATTGGCTCCGGAGTCGATGAGTATTCGAAGGACCTCGTCACGCCCCAGTCCTGCGGCCAGGTGCAGTGCTGTTCCTTCTGCATTGATCTTTCGATTCACTTGTATTCCCCTGGAAAAGCTCGCTGTGCCGCCAACTTGGACATGCGAATTGACGTCTGCGCCCATCTTCAGAAGCAACTGCACCGTCTTGTCGTGTCCAGCCCATGCTGCTATGTGCAATGCTGTCAGCCTGACTTGAATATTTGCCTTCAATTTGGCTTCAGCCACTGCTTCGATGTCGACAAGACATTTGGCATCGACGTCTGCTCCATGTTCCAGTAGTGACCTCGCCACCATTTCGTCGTTCATTAAGGCAGCAAAGTGCAGCACCGCCAGATTAGCTTGGATCTTAACTTCAATATTCGTGCCAGTCGTGAGTAAGCGAAGAAGCCCTTCGTGGCCAGACAGAATCGCCAGGTGCGGTGCAATCAGCTCAGGTCGTATACTCCTATGAATGATAATTTGACTGGTGGCTAATGCGTCAGCACCCTTTTCCAGCAATTCTTGAACGACTCGCTCATGTTTCATCATTGCTGCCAGATGGAGCGCCAATAGCTTAGCTTGCAAAATATCGCCAACATTGATATCGCACATCCGCCTGAGACTCGCACCCCTGTCGAGGAGGGAACGGACCGTTTCCACATCCCCTAGTCCCGCGGCCATGTGCAGTGTGGACAGATTCAACTGCATGTTGAGGTCGAATGTTACATCAGCGTCGGCTTCCATCGGAATTCTGAATGACGTATCAACCTTGGCCTGCATTTTAATTCTGCATTGTTCGTTAATATCGTCAGTAAAATCGAAAATAACCGGCTGCAGTGTGCTGTTTCCCGCAACGGCGAGCAAAAATGCGGTTAGATGACCCTGAATGTGGTTGGGGCCCTGAGATTGGCCCTCCGCCGCTATTCCTGGATCACACTCAGATAACAGATCGACCAATGGAGCTCTTTTCAACCCAATGGCTATGTCTCGGGCTGTAAATTCGGAATGGGTCCAGAATTCCACCTGAGCCAAGCATTTAGCATGAACATCCAACCCTTTAGATAAGAGGCTCGCAATGCTGTCATGCTCAGACAACGAAATCAGATGAATTAGGCCAAGCTCGGCTTGAACTCTTCGTCTGAAACCAACTGGGCATCTTGCCTGTGCGTCGAAGCCGTTGTCTATTAGAGACTGCACAACCTCAGTCGACTTCAAAGATACGGCTAGATGCAGTGTTGACAGTTCGACATACAGTCCGCCCACATCGACCCGAAGCCTTGTTTCAGTGTCAACTCCACTGTCAAGAAGGCATTGAATCACAGTCCAGGCTCTAAATACCACTGCAACATGGAACGCTGTTAACTGGATATACTTATCCCCGGCAGCAATCTTCAAATAGGCATTCACATCGGCATTGTTGTCAAGAAGTAGCTGTATATTCTCGGGAGATTGCACTAGAACTGCCATATGGATTGCATTGAATATTACTCGCACACTTTCAGATTCCAGTAGGAAGGTGGCGTTGACATCTGCTGTGCTTGTTCGTAGGTTCAATTGTTCGCTGTGCTGGGAAGCGTCTTCCGAATTCCTTGTCGCTGACGCCTGTGAGCTTGCCCTTGACCTCTCTATTGATCCTTGAATAGAGTCTGAGCCTTGCGAAGAATCTGATCCTTGGATTGAATCACACGCATCTCCATCAGAGAGCTTCTCCCGGCCTAGTCCGTTGGAGCACTCCATAGAAGTCACGGACGGCTCTAACGACAATCCTGTGGATGAGGACCGATAGTAAGAGGGTTCCGAGCAACTCTCAGGGTATAATTCTGAAGGCGATAGCGGTTCTGTCGAGAGAAGAAGATGCATAATTCTCCGATCCCTCCATGCCGTTGCCAAATGCAGTGCGGTCAAATCAACTCTGCCTTCCTCCGTATTGATCTGACAGCTCACATCTGCCTCAGCCCCATATTCTAGAAGGGTGTGGACCATTTCCAGGTCTGCGAACAAAACAGCAAGATGCAATGCCGAAAACTCGGCGTATTCATCATGGTACTCGATCTGGAGGGTGGAGTGAACATCCATTCCTTTCTCGATAAGTAGATGAAATGTATTGTGTGTTCTTAATAGCACGGCTAAATGCAGGAGGGTGAATTCGACACGCACTGTACCGAAGTTGATCAGGAATCGTACTTGAATGTCGCTCTCTGTATTGACAAGCTGTGATACGATATTCTCATGTCTTAGTAAAGTAGCCAGGTGCAGCACTGTCAGTTCGGTGCACATGTAGTCCCCAGATATGAGTGCATTCTGTTGAACATCGATTCCGGCCTCAAGAAACAAGCGGAAAGTCTCTTCACTCCCTGAAAGGGCAGCCACATGCAGCACAGTGAGTTCCGCATGTATCCAGGTATTGATATCAACTCGGCACTTTGCATGGATATCACGGCTCTCCTGAAGTAGGAATTCTACCACCTGTTCGTGACCCAACAGTGCCGCCAGATGTGGCACTGGCAATTCAATGTAAGAGTTATACCAATGGATTTTGGCATTGGTGTGGACCTTTCCTCGATCAAGCAATAGCTGCACGACATCAATACTTCCACTCATTGTTGCGAGATGGAGTGCATTCAAGATATTCTTTGTGTCATTGTTGATCAGACAAACCTCGTCAGCGTCGGATCCTCTGTCCAGAAGAAATCGTACTACTTCCTCTTTCCCCGATAGTGCTGCCAGTTGTAGCACGGTAGCTTCGATGTGAAGCCAGCTTCCAGCTTGAAGGTATAGCTTTGCATGGATCTCGGCCCCTGCTTCAACAAGCAACCTCACCGCTTCTTCCTCCCCTGATAGAGCTGCATAATGTAATGCCATGGCTTCAATGTGCAGGGAGTCACTGATGTTAGTCTGCTGTATCGCGTGTATGTCAGCTCCATTTTCGAGTAGCAGGCGCACAACCCTCCCACAACCCCACATCGCAGCCAGATGAATGGCGGTAATCTCTACTGAGGCATTGTTGACCTTGACCAAGAATGTGGCATTGATGTCAGCCCCCTTTTCAATGAGTACATGGGCCGTTCGTTCGTTGCCACACATTGTTGCGACATGCAGTGGTGTGAGTGTCGCGTGTCCGATATACACCTTTTCGCGGTAATCGCCGTAGGCTCTCGCTGCCTTTTCAGGAAGGGACCAGTCTGCCATGTCTTCGCTTATGAAAACCATGAACAACCTTGCCGTTCGTGCGAGTATTCGTTGAAAGATAGGTTTGTCATCTTCCTGTTCGCTTTCCTGCTCCTGCTGCTTCCCTCCCTGTTCGTCCTTTCCCTTGGATGGCTCCCAGGAGTCAACATCCACCCGACAATCGGCGTTGACGTCCGCCCCTGTTTCAACAAGCAGCTCAAGTAGACCGCTGTCAAAAAACGCAGCTAAATGCAGCGCCGGTATCTCAACACGCATATTGTTGTCTTTGCGAGCTTGGATGCTTGAATTGGCACTAGCTCCGCTTCTGAGAAGAGCCTGTGCTGCTTCCTTGTGTGCCCATATGACAGTAATATGCAATGCGGTTAGGCTAAGGTGCATGGAGCCAATGTCAACACAAAGCCTTGCTTCAGGGTCGGCATTGCTCTGGAGAAGGACGGTGATTAAATTATCGTTTTCCGTCAATGCGGCCAGGTGGAGTGCAGTCAGACTAATTAGTGCCTTGAGTACGATACGTTTGCCGGTGCTTTCATGGGCCTTGACATCGACGTCAAGATTGACTTCGCCTCTTGCATTGGCCTCAGCCCCGTTGGAAAGGAGCAACTCGATGGCTTTCTCGTGTCCCAATATCACAGCAACATGCAGGGGCGGCAGAGTGCACTGCATGGCTCTCGCACTAACCATAAATGCGTCGTGGATGTCGGCCCCTTGATCCAGCAGAAGCTGCATCACCTCTTCGTCACCCGATATGGTTGCCCAGTTCAATGGAGACCATTCAGCCCATATCATCCCACGCCGCTGGTCGCGACTGCTTCTCATGTGGACATCCAAACCCTGTTCAAGTAGCAGACGTACCATGGCCGTGTGGCCTGAAAAGGCGGCCAAGTGCAGGGCAGATGGTTGAGCATTTATCGTCCCAAAGGGCTTCATCTCCACCTCTGCTCGGCACAGCTTCGTGATATCAGCTCCGCTTCTCAGCAGCAGCTGCGCCACCGATTTATGACCGCACTCAATGCCACAATGTAAGGCTGTCAGCTCGTCCTGGATGGCGAACATAAATTGCGCTGGGCCTGGCCGGGGCTCTGTCGTCTCTGGGAATGGAGACCACGGCAGTATGACAGTGTCTATCGCCGAGACGGTGTGAAGACATCTCAAGATATCGCCATGAGCACCCTCCATTTCCAACTCGGCCATCGGGGGCAGCCATGCCAGTCTCCTCTGCCAAAAGGCCAGCGGTTGGCTGATCATGGTCAATTTGTCTTGGACCGTCAGAATCTGCTGCTGCAATGCTTCTTTTATTTCTTCCTGCTTAGCTTGAAATTGCCGCAGTAGAGTCGAGGACTCGTCCTTAATCGTCAGTGTTCTAGGCTTCATGATGTCGTGTCGCTTTTTCGAAGCCCAATGCAAAGGTGTCCACCCATCCTGGTCCTGTGCATCCACGTCGGCATCTGCAATGATGAGAAGCTGTGCCACTTCCAGATGACCCTGGGCAGCAGCGCAGTGGAGCGCAGTGAGCCCGTTCTTGTCCGTCTCATTGACATCGACCTTTGTCAGAAGAACTCGCACCACTCCTTCGTTCCCTGTCCAGGCTGCCACATGTATCGCCATCCGTCCATCGCCATCTGTCAAGTTGGCCTCTGCTCCTTTTTCGAGCAGGCTCTCTGTGGCCGCCTTGTGTCCATTCAGCGCCGCCAGGTGCAGTGCCGTTTGGCTGTACTTTACTTCTTTAGTGTTTAGCTCGGCGCCATGCCTGGCGAGTATGAGGATCACCTTGCTATGGCCATTCTCTGCCGCGCGGTGCAATGCCGTCCTCCCATCCTCATCGAAGATGTTAACGTTCGCTCCGTCTTCGATCAAGCGAAGAACTATATTGGCCAGACCAAAAGATGCGGCAGTGTGCAATCCATTCATACCTCGCACGAAGTCTTGGCTGTATCCCGAATATCGGTAGTTAGTTAGATGAACGACCTGGTTGCAAGAGGCGACCTTTGCTTCATCCTGAAGAAGCTTCACTATCATATCCTCCATCTCTGTCGTCGGAGCCTTATCATCTTGCGCATGGTTCCCCCAGTGCTGAGCTGCATAATGAAGGAGCTGATACTCCGATAGACGATCTTCCAGTTCTTGATCATCATGACAGGGTCCGTTGCCAAACACTGAAAATGAAACATAAGTAACACATGCACGAGCTATCATTCTGCTCGCATGGTTTCCGCAATCCGAGTGGTGGCTGTGGTCTTCAAAGCACTTCCGGCCTTCGAGATAGGTGCGAGCTGTGTGGTGCATCAATTGGACGGTGTCGCTCCGTTGGTTGATGATCACCAGTCCCGCACAGAGGGCCACTGCTCCATTGAGATCGCTGATGATGTATTTGTCTTGGAATTCGCGGCTGCCGGGGATGACTGCAAGAGCGTGTAAGAATTCCGTCCGAGTGAGAGGCCGTTTGGCTTCCACGATCCAAGACAATATCCGATGGGCCAGTTTGCGGTCTCCAGGTGTCCGGCTTCCTATTCGTTTCAGTGCGCCTTCATACACGGCGGAGACCTTGTCGGTGCTTTCCATGAGCGATCTCAGTGCGTCGAGGACGGCTCCTCTGGACCATTCCCCTAGCATCGAATCCAAAAAGGGCTGTACCAGCACAAACATTCCGTCTACCGCCTCGACAATATTGTCTGTTACGGTGTGACGCAATTCGATGTCGGTTTTAACCAGAGAGTCTGAACTCTCCATCAGGTCATCGAGAACCTTCCTCACGTCTTGTGGATTGGCCTTTATCTTCAACTCCTCGCAGACATCAAACTCCTTTCGAAAATTGATCGTGGGCCGTGATGTGACCAGGAGCTTCATCCTGCATTCCTTTTGCTGCTCGAGAATGTGAGAAAGCAGCTCTTTGCGGGTCTTTTCGAAGCACTCGTCCAGCGCATCGACGACCAGGAAGACTCGAGGAAACCTTTGGATTACCTCCGTCAGCACGGTGGAAATCTTGTCCAGATGGGGAAGCTCGTTGGCGCAGTGAAGATCGAATAGATCTGTGACGGAAGCTGGCAGTTCCTGGCACTGCTCGACAAGCTGCCGGAGGATTGCGCAAGTCAGAGATCGCACCGTCTGATCCATCTGTCGATCATATTCACAAAATAAACAAGCAACGCCGGCTTTATTCTCGGGGGGTTGCTTCTTCTGGGCGACTTTAATATTCTCAATCACGGTCGAAGCAAAGACTGTCTTCCCCCCACCGGCAATCCCATGGCACCAGAGCGTTTGGTTATCATTGCTGTTTTCCATCCAGTTCAGATACTGCTCCGAATGCAGTAGCTTCTGGATGGTGCTTGGATGCCACTTTTCATAAGCATCGGACAGTCTTTTGGTATGGGTATCGCTACTATCCAGCCAATTCAGGATCTTCTCTCTGTGCTGCTGGTGTCTGTCTTCCAAGCCGGTCAGCATGTATACGGGCGTGCATGGATTTATGTTTATCAACAAGTGATTCATCTATCAATGAGACCCTACCTTCAACAAGTATTTCAACTTGGTCTTCAATATGATGTATATCCTGCTCGACTATGATAAAACAGGCCAGTCAGACCACGGCCTCCCCGTAAGTGCCACTCATCACTCACCCCTTTCCAGCACTCTGATTGCATCTTCTATTTTCTCTATGTCTTCCTTCAACACAACTTCCAGCAGCTCTTTGGTGTAAGCTGCAGCCGTCGCTGCGGCGTATCGCTGCCAAATCTTGTGCTTGTGTGTGTCCGCGTAGTCGCAAATTCCTCGCACAACCAGACAAGGAAAGTCATTCATCAGTCCAGCTGCCTCCATCTCGAAGCACAAAACTCCGAATTTCTTTCTGATCTTATTCCTGGTCACCCCATGCCTCATGACCTGGTCGGCGGAGGCAATTGTTCCATAATGAATGACAGGACCTGGATGGTTTCGTGGCTTGCGCGCAACCAGGCGGGCAGCATCGCAGCCACGACAGGGCAGCGGGATTTCATCATCGCCATCCTCCTCCTCTTCCGTTTCTTCTGAAGATTCCTGTTCTCCCTCTTCGTTGTGCTCATAGTCGGCTTTGAACAGCCGATCATATTTGTCATCAGGGCGCTGGTATAACTCTTCAAAGTCAGGATTCGCGTCTTCGGATTGCTTCACCTTGTCGATCATCGCCGTAACATTACGCGCGATGGCATTTTTATTCAACTCGTGCTTGCCTTTCAGCTTTGAAACTGCATTGGTGAGAGCGGTAGGTGGCATATTTAGCAAGCCCATGTGTTGGAATTCACCATTTGCGACCACCTTGCCGCGATCATACTTCACCACTCCCCCTTCACGGAGACCATTGTGAGTATACACCTATCCACTAATGGAGGTTACCCTACCTAGATTCCCCTGCGGAATACCAACCACCACATCGCCCAGCCGAATATCCTCGCTCGGGTGTGCACGGCGAGCTGGAGCACCACCCCCAATGCCCACCATCAGACCGAACCGGATCTTGGGGAAGCTTCTCAGCATATTGGCTGCGACGGTTGCCGCGGGGGTGATGCCCATGTTGCCCGCGGGGAGACAGGCCATGGCAATGTTATGTCCGCAGATCTCACCCAGAGTATACATGTTCTTGTCCCCGGGGGCTAGATCCAGGTCTTGGTGGACCTCGTCCAGCATCCCCGAGGATGCGGCCAGTTCGATGGAGAGAGCACAAATCCATCCTACAGTGTAGTCGGTTCGAGAGAGCTTTCTTTCTAGGAGTGTTATTTTCGCATGATTGTGGCAGCGAAGAGGAACATACTTTCGATGGTTGGCCTCCATTGTAGCGGATTGTTCTAGCTGACTAGCTAGTCCGGTGCTGAGGGGTTCGGACTAAACTATTATATCAATCAGAGAAGATGGGTTGTAACATCTAAGACATGTAACTAGTGTGTGGATCCGATATTCAAGAACCCAGCCTCCAAGCTGGGAGGGCGCAGCGAATGGTGAATCAAGAGGAAATCGGAATGATAAAAGGCAAATGTCTACATGGCGAGGGGCATGTGTGAATGAGGGGTCAGCCAGGCATGTTCGTAATCTAGCAAGGCTGGCTGGTAAGAGTTATCAGGGTATGCATGGACACGTCAGAGAAGAATCGCTGAATGGAGCTGAAGGAGTAAGCACTAATGCAAACCCCCGTTCCCTGTCCAGAGGTCAACTCTGAAAGGTCGACACGACACTGCTGATCGCAGCGCTACTTTTCAGTCTTCCTTTTGATATTCTTATTCTCTTGCAATTGCGAGACTTCTAGAGCCCGGTTTAGTACCCGCATTGGGTGTCATATGTCAAGAATCACATACTATTTCGTCAAACCACTCTTGGAGGCGACGAAGACACCAGAAATCTAGCTTGACACTTGTGTCCCTCGCAATACTCAAAGGATCTCACTGGCTTGATCCTCCTAAGCCTTTGATCTACATGAAATAGGCCTTACCTAAGCACAGTGGACTAGAGGGCTACCTTAAGCCCGCCAGACGACAAATTCAATTATCTATTCTCTGCCTCCCAGCAAAACTGGCCAGCCCGGTTAAAAGCAACCATGTCACAAAGAATACCCAGAGATCGATTGAATAGAACGAGAAATGCATACTCTACCGACAAAAACATATCGCAGTCCCAAGAAAAACCGCGCCGCCGCCGTTTCCTGTCTAAACTGATGCGCTCAGCGACCATAGCAGCCGGTGAAGAAGTTCTCGCCTCTCACCTCGCACAAGATCGCGGCCACGGCGGCAGCTATATTACATCTCGCGTGCCCAAGATGGCTCTACATGGCGCTTTTGTTCAGACTCTGTTCAATCATGTCTTGCTGAAGGGATGGAAACATGTTTTTAAAGCCCATACCAGCCGCATCGGGAGCATTATGCAGATTCTGGCCGCGATGGTGATCGTACGTATAGACTTTTTTATTGCTTCGTTTTCCTTCTGACCACAGTCTCGATCAAAGCACCTACCAGAGAAGATGTCTGATTCTAATATTCCTCTTCGTGTATAGGTTGCTCCTCTCCAGAGCGTCATGCATCTTCTCTCCATCGCCTTCATCACCGGTGCAAGGACGTACCGTAATTTCAAAGCCAGCGTCAAGGCCGGGTTGTATGAGACCATGGTTCTCACGTGGATTGCTGCTCCTGCGGCCATCGCCTTTGCGCAGATATTTCTACCGCAGAGGGCTTGGTTTCCCTTCTTGCGGTTTGTGTCCTTTACTGTGGATGCGATTTCGAATTCCATTCTCAAACGGAAGAGACAGGAGGCTCTGCGCTGTTATTTCATGGCGAGGACGGAGGAGCAGTCAAGTGAGGAAAGTGACGAGACTGACGAGACTGACGAGACTGACGAGACTGACGAGACTGACGAGACTGATACGTGAATCTAGAGATATGTGTTAGGGCATCACGGCTACTTTGCGAATGGAATTGCTTTATTTACTAAACTCCCTGTTTGGGGGGTTGCAGTGTAGTCCGGGGAAAGTGGATGTCATGGGCTTCTTCCTTATGTCAATCACGAATATGTCAACAACACCCCTGATTCCGGACCAGATGTTGAGTTTGCTGTCTGGCTTCTTCTTCTTCTCCCTATTTCAAAGATCAAAGATCAGGGATCCGCCAGTGATCCTATTTCCTAACCTCCCTCAAACCCCGAACAGGCGCGAACGAGAAGAAAAGTCAAGGGAGGGGGGGCATTAGATTCAATCATGCAAGTCTCGGTCCAGCGTCACAGCCGGTCTATCGACTCGGTAGATCGTCTTAGCCACATTGAAATACCCCTCGTACTCAATCTCCTCGCCATCCCCCTCAACTTCATAATGATAATGGCCTCCAGCCTGACGCCCAAGCGGGCAGTATCCGTGGGTATGTTCCAAGCGCAGGCCCAATTTCCTCCCCGGGTCCGCGGAATGAAGGACCGAGTAGCAGACCATCGGGGCTGCAAAATCATGATATGTCAACCAGTCATTGTGGTGCTCAAAGTCCTTGAAAGGCAGCTGCTCTTCGGCCGGGAAGTCCGGCATAACGTGGTATCGCGCGGAGCCTGATCTGATGACGAAGACGCCGCCGAGGCTGACGGTTCGCGAGTCGCCGTATGCGACACGGAGTCCCTTGCGGATGCATTCGGTGAAGCTCCTTTCCTGACCATGCTGCTTTCGCTTGCGGGCGGTGATCTTCAGCACGGGTCCTGGCTCGCCCCGCGAGCCGTATAAGTTGGCCATGAGGGCGCAGTCGAGGCTGGGGCTTTTGTCAACCCCGACAGCGCCAGTTGCACGGTCTATATGGGCGAAGTGGGTTCGATTGTCGATGCTGTCCAGCCCCGCCGTCCAGCTGAGGTTCGGGGATAGTTCGCAATTCTGGCCCACGATGTGGAATGGACCGGCTCCGGCTCCGATCAGTCCCCCGCTGTGGTGATGCAGCTCCATTGCCTGCGCGATCTCGGGGAGGGAGTATCTGCTGGTCAACTGGGGGCGAGGGAAGAGATTCGGTTGGCCACCGATGTCTGAGATCTTCTCGTCGCCGCATATTCCTTCGGTGGCGAGGCACAAGGGAGGGTTCCGGAGATCGGGACATGGAATGACACTCACGGCCGCATGCTCATAGTTGGCACGCAGCGCGGCGCTCAGAGGTTCGGCCAATTCCTCAAGGGTGGGCGGCGATAAGGTGAATTTTTGGGTGCGCATTTTTGTCAGGAAAGTTGCACTATTTCTCTGCTGGCGAAAGCGAGCGTGTCTAGCAGAGCGAACTCCATTTGTTTTTGTGCGTTCAGCTATCCATCACCCGGGCCAGGTACAGCGGCCAGGCCGGAACTCGAGGCCGATAGCATCACTGTGATTATCACAGATCTGCCTTTGACGGCGTGTTGGCGGTGGCTCACAGTAGCGTAGATATCGGTGTTTAGGCCAATTCCAGCTGTCGTTGTCGGTGCGCGAATCGTCCACCATCGGCCTAATCTCCGTGCGTCAGGAGATGCGCCTGCGATGGTCCGGCCGAAATCTCCGATTCGTCCGGTTTTCACTCCGTCGGCATTCGGTCGGGCGACAAGAAAAAGCTATGTAAAGCCTCCCATTATTGTCGTTCTGGAAAGTTCATGAAAGCTGCGTTGAAAGACATCATACGCCTTATCCGCCTTCCCTCGTTATCCTGCCCCCAAATTCGTCGTTCATTCCATTCTACTCCCACGCTATAGGTTCGAAACATAACTCAGCACCATGACTAGGATGACACCACCGGTCCAAGAAGTGTTTCCACACTACCCTGATTTGCCCGGGAAAGTTGCCTTGATCACCGGGCTGGGACAGGTTGGGCCCCGGGAGAGTTCATTCTGGGGCAATGGAGCGGCGACAGCGCGCTTGCTCTCACACAACGGTGTCAAAATCTTCGGCTGCGACCTGAATCTATCGGCAGCCGAGAGAACCAAGGAGCGTCTATTGGAGGAGAAAACAGACGCCGTGGTGGATGTCGTGGCTGCCGATGTCACGAACTCGGCGGACGTGGAGGCACTGGTCAGGGCTGCTATGGAGCGGCACGGCAGGATCGATATACTGATCAACAACGTGGGCCAAACCGCGGCAGGGAATCCCGAAACCATGACGGAGGATCTGTGGACGCGCCAGCTAAACCTCAACCTGACCTCAGTCTACCGCCTTTGTCACCATGTTCTGCCCATTATGCAGAGGCAGGGCGGCGGCAGCGTCATCAACAACGCCTCTATCACTGCCATGCGCTACATCGGGAAACATCAAATTGCATATGCGTCCGCCAAAGCCGCTGTGATACGATTCTCCAAGGCGACGGGCGTCATGTATGCCCGGGATAATATCCGATGCAATTGCGTCGTCCCGGGGCTGATGTATACGCCTCTGGTAGACAACTTTGCTCGCAGCGAGGATGCCGGGGACCGTGAGGCTGCCGCGCGCATTTTAAACCACAATTGCCCCATGGGGTGGATGGGCACGGGAGAGGATGTTGCAAATGGGGTGGTTTGGCTGGCCAGTGGAGCCAGTCGGTATGTCACCTCTCACGCACTGGTTATCGACGGCGGCATCACAGAGAGCACGGGAACAGGATTTGAGGCGTTATAGGTACAAATATCTCTGGGACAGGTTCTTGGTAATGCCTGCGTGGGCATTCTTGCATTTCATGTTGACATACGTACGCTGAACCCTTCTCAAGATCCATCACGGTTAATCTCTTCAAGGCGAGCAGCACACTCCTTGCTGTAAGAATGTTAAGATCCAAGATGAGTAAACCAATGATACTCGTTCTCGGATGATAACTGGCCACCAGATTCAAGTGGATACTGGAACAAATCGGACGCGTCAAGCATAAAGAGCGAGTCCATGGCTGGGGCCATTGGCATATGTTCCTGCGGCGCACCCACACCAAGATCCAGTCTCGTCTTGGCCAAAGAAGCCTTGGAGATCATACTTTCTAAGCCACTCCCAAGATGGTAAATGAGGTGTTGTGATGCAGCGCTTTGGGAGCGCATTTCACGCACACATTGCTCGAGTAAGTTGAACACCTTTGCGTCGTCCACCGTGCTAAGTCCCAAGAAGTTGGTACTTGCTGCCTTCACCAGAAACACGGCTGCAAAGACGATCATGGCATGGAAATAGATAGGCATACCGACCAACGCGTTACGTAAATCAGTTCGTTCAAGCACGAGCTCCAGGACAGCAGTTGCTGACGAGAGCGCCAGGACGGCATATTCTTTTACTTGATCTGATACATGAGCTGCGGCCTCGGTTGTCATGCCACGAAAGATGTACGAGCATAGATGTAAGCGGGCAAAATGATAATGGAGAATGGCACCGTCCGTAGGGAAGTTCCCGACGTAGGCATTTCTTTCTGCGTGACAATCCGGTTAGCATGCATACTCACATGGGCAGGTACAAGCTCAGACGCACGCATCCGGTTCCCCCAGGTCATATACCATCGGTCGAGGTCCGAAAAATGGCCCTGCAGTTGGTAAAGCGAATGCTCCGGAATTCTGCCGTGGTAGGCACCAAAGGTGCTTTTGGCCTTGGACGTGACATGATACAAAGCCACTTGACTCGACATCCTGACGTCAGGCTCATCCCCATGCTCGCTTTGAATGAATCGCTCCCATTGCTGATAGGGTTCCTGATTGGGAGCAATGATTGCCGGCCGCCCGTACAGGATACTCAGATGGTGGTCCATGATGTACAGAACGTACCACAGTCTGGCCGTTTCAAACGCCGGGCGGTCCCCTTGGATGGCAGCATAGTACGCCAAGTGGTAATTCAGACTTGTTGCAATGCGGATGGCGTGTCCAACCAAGGTATAGGTAATGTCTCCCAACCAGTACGAACCAACGATGAGCGCTCGGATATCGTCGGTGGAGTAATCATGGGAGAACATCCTGGAAGTTACGAGTCTTAAGAACTCCGCATGGCAGATCCTAAATACGGCCGAGGAGTCCGGGTCGTGAAGCGCGGAAACAGTACATATTGCAGCTGTCAGCAAAGCCGAGCTTTTCCTGAGGCTCTTGAGCGTCTGGTGAGGACACATAATGTCATAGCAGAAATGGTCGAGTCGCGTGACGAATATGTGGAAGAGTTGCTGGGCCTCGGCATCCGAGATCAGCCCTCGAGCAATGAAATCAGTGACGAGGTTGCTCGGAGGCGTTTGCAAGCCACCCCGGCCTTCCCACGACGGCAATCCGGTCACTTGAAGCAGTGAGCTGATGGGAGAACCATATAGCATGTTCTCACTTTGCAGTTCAAGTCCTGCAACTGGGTGTGTTGGCATGGGCCCCTCGGAGACATTATCGCCTACGGGCTCTTCATGTTCTTGCTGCGATACCTCAGCCGAGCAGTCCGCAGCATTGTAAGAGGCAAGAGACGGCAGCTCTGCCTTTCGGAGTAGTACATTGACTGCAGTTTGTAATTGGGATACACGGCCGGATAGAGTGCTTTGCCACCTGGCAGAATGCGGTTAAACAACATGCTAGGGCAAACTGGGGAGAACCGGTTACTTGGAATTCTCATGCAGCAGCGATTGGAAGTTTTTCTCAACGCGACAGCTCATGTCTCGAGACTGACATCTTTCGCATGGTGGGGCTCCGGTTGGCATTTTGCATTTGATCTGCTGCCGTTAATAAGGGGTCGACAGCTTTTGCAGCCAACGGAGCTTCTGTACCTTGAGGGCTCTGCAAGTAACACATGCTTTGACCTTCCTCGGGGTATATGCACGAGACGCCTGGCGCGACTCCGCAGAATCGGAACTGGGCATTGTCGGGGCCATGATGACGTTCAAAACGCGTCCGGATGTCACCAGCAGAGCAGCTGAGGATTGGTTCCGTCACGGGACCTCGTGGCGCGTTATCCTCCGATGGGCAGATTCTTTCTTTCTCCAGTTACTCAGCTGTCAGCCTTGATCAATTCGCTCGAAGCGAAGAGCACACTCCATGCAGGGAGAGCGGCGTCGGCAATTCGGCCGATGGACGGCGATTCTGCCGCTGCCAAGAAATCCTGCATCGCCAACTATACAACTGGTTCGTTACTTCAGCTTCGACTTCTGCTTCCTTTGGGACCCGCACAACATTTGGCGGACGGATTCGACGCCGAACAGCAATGGACTTTTCCCCATCATATCCCCCGCATTTTTCCCCACACGTCCTCAGTCCGGGGAATATAAATTAGGCCCCCGGCTTCATTCTCCGGCATGTCTTCCGACCCTGAACATTCAGTGGAGGGGAAGAATCTCTGCTTTATCTTGTCAACCGTTGTTCATACTACGCGATGCTATCCACACCGTGTCCCGGAACACCCAAGCCGTCGGTAGAACTTGACGAGGACGTTGCAAAACGCAAAATGAGCACGGCGGTCGAAATGCCGGGCGTTGAACTCAATCCGGCCACCGAAAGAAAGCTGGTCCGGAAGATTGATCTCTTTCTTCTCCCGGCCATCTGGATTGTGTATCTTCTTTCATACATGGTAGGTTTGCCTCGTCCCTGGCCACCGCGAAGACGCCATCGCTGAGCCACCGATCAGGACCGGTCCAATCTCGGAAACGCCAGGGTGGCGGGAATGGGAGATGATCTTCACATTACAGAGGATCGATACTTTCTAGCCGTGGTCCTATTCCAGGTTGGATACGTGGTTGCGGAAGTGCCATGTAACATGATTCTGGCCCGGTCCCGGCCGTCGCTGTTTATCCCGGCCATCATGATATGCTGGGGAGCCGTTTGCGCGGCCGTGGGCTCGGTCAAGACATGGCAGCAGCTGGTGGCAGCGCGTTTTATACTAGGGGTAGCCGAAGCAGGGTTCAGCGTGCGCCTCTCTCTACACTCGCGCGGCCTCGGGTACTAAATTGGATGCAGCCTGCCATTATGTTCATCATATCTAGCTGGTATCGGCGGCATGAGCAGTCTAAGCGGTACCTCGCCTTTCACAGTGCCGGCATCGTGTCGGGCGCCTTCGGCAGTATCGTGGCGGGCGCAATCACCGACGGGCTTGAAGGCGCACGGGGGATGGCGGGATGGCGCTGGCTGTTCATCATCGAGGGCGTCGTGACGGTGACTGTCGCTTTCGTCATCCCTTTTATCTTGCTCGACTATCCGTTGACATCGAAGAAGCTTCAACCCCATGAGCGCCAACTAGCTTATTCCCGCCTACGAGCCGATGGCATCACCAGCCGCAACGATGCGACAGAACATCGCATTGGACACATGAAGGCCTTTTGGATCTCGGTCTCGACTTGGAGGCTATGGATCCTGTCAGTGGGATACATGACTATCATCGGATGCATGTCACTCGCGTATTTCTATCCTGGCTTTGTTGAACGTTTAGGCTATGACGAGAGCCAGGCACAGTACGTGTAGCCGGAAGCCCAACGCCTCATAAACAGCCGACATTGACCATACAGCAGGTACATGACCGCGCCCCTCTACGCCGTTGCACTCTCCATCGCCATCCCGCTATGTATCCTCGCCGACCGCGTCCCACGATACCAGGCCTTGTTTGTCACGTCCGTGCTGCTGGTATTTGGAACCTTGATGTGCGTACTCTCGGCGGCCGTTCATGGCGCCACCGCGCGATATGTCTTTCTCTGCTTCGTAAACACGGCCGTGTGGGCCGGGAATCCGCTATCCCTCAGCTACATCAGCATGGTTCTGGGCCCGGTCCAGCCGGAAGTGAGAGCGATCTCGTTTGCTATCATCAATGGCTGTGCCAACTTAGCCCAGCTGTACGGAACGTACATTTTCACCGTCGCGAAACCCCCGGGCTATACAATGGGCTTTGCGGTCTACTCTGGCATCATGGCATTTGGAGCCGTCACCTTTCTCTCTAGCTTTTACCTATTTCGAAGATGGCCGTACAAGGCCATTGAGGTTTTTTGATGCGCGAATGCAAACAAAAAAGTCAATAAGAAATACTAGTGCTCTATATCTACATAGACCTCTAGAAATAACTTCATAATTCAAGCTATCAGCCGACAAATCGAGACCGACCCTGCAGACCAGTAGATCATCTCGTATCAATTAAACAAAGCAAGATCAATCACGCCCTCTTCAACATGGCCCGCAGGGTCAGTCGCTAGGAGCTGAGGCCTCTTGTCAACAGAATCCACAGCGCTGATCAAGTATTTGGATAGTGAGTGAAATTGTTTCGAAACGATGGCAACAGTCACCATGCCATGATTGTATTCTCGCCGTCAGAGAGAATTCACCAACTGCCTGACATGTATTGAATGGAGACTTCACGGTTGAATATCAACAATGTCTAGTGTTCAGTACTGAGGTGTCGCCCTCGATATATGATTGTCCGGTGTACTGCTTCTGCATGCAGTATACACGCTTGGAAACTCCGATGGGCTGGGCATATCATTAGAATCACAATTGTTATTTTCTCGTATTCTTTCTTTTTCCCTCCTCCTTGATGGTGAAGTTATATTTATCCTAACACTTCACTCACACTATGATTGTTGCCCATAGACTTTTCCATAGTGTGTTTCTCAGTAGTCTTTAGCTGTTTGTTTATTTACTTCTTCTTGAAGCCAACATACATATTTCAAATCGTCTATCAAGTTCCTAGAAGAATATGTTCGTTCATTTGCTACAAGTCCGTCCCATCTCCTCTCTTTAAATCTTACAATCAAATCATGTATACAGTCTGGGACAGGCCTACATCAGTCACTCAAGATTACACTATAGTAGTATATTCAAAGAACATGGATCTTCAAATCCAGACATCTATGTTGACTCTAATAAATTGAGCACAGCAGACTATCCAATCCACCTAATACCCACTATTAATTCACGTCAACGTTCACCGCATACTTGCTTCTCTTCCGAATTCTCGGTCCGTACACATATAACAGATAAGGCACCAGCGTCATAACACCACTAATCGACCCCAGAATGGTAAGTGTGTAGTGAACACCAATGGCTCTGTAGATCGGGCCTCCGGCGACAGTAACCCCTCCCGCCACGGCATATCGCGTGAACACCAGGAAACCCAGCGCCGAGGCCGAGTATATACCATATGAATCGATGAGATACATATACGCGACAATGAAGATGGTCGTGATGCCGAAGCCGAACAGAACGGAGGCGACGAGCGGGGACCAGATGGAAATTGAAGGCTAGAAGAAAGAAAGTTAGCGCTCTGGATACGCTATTCGGGGTCGAGCATCGCTTACATTGCTGGTCCATCCCATCCAGAACAAACTGATCGGCACGGCGGGTGCCCCGCCCAGCATTGTATACCAGAGCCGGATCTCCGGTGCAATGGTGGATGACTTGCTCCGTTTATATTCCCTCGCGGTCAGGTTGTACACGACTGGCACGATGCAGGTGACGAGTAGAATGCCAACGAGCATGCCGGTCCAGCAAAGACTAGTCAGGCCCTCTGAGAGGCCGTAGGTCTCGCCAAACATGTATGTGTATCCCTCGAGAAAGGTAAACAGGACGATATAGATAATGGTCAGATACAGCGACATCAGGATGATGATCAGCTCGGAATAGAACATCGCGAAGGGTCTGTAGACGGACACCTTCAGACGCTGGCCCAGCCCTTCGCGATTCATTTCCATCGGAGCTCGATATCGCTGATCACCGGTTTCCCTTCGATGAATTGACGCTTTCCAGTAGAGTAGAAGATGGCCGTAGGTCTCTGGCTGGAACAAGAGAACGATCACGAGAACAGCACCCCCCATTATAAGCATAATCCACTCCAGCCAGCGCCATCCCAGGGTAGTGGGGATGTAGCTGCCAATCATCTGGCCGATCATGGGCCCAATAAACGCCGGTACCGAGTAGGCAGGAAAAGCATATGTCTTTTCTAAAGGATTCCATAAGTCCGCGACGGTGCCGCCAGCGCAGCTGAGTGGTGTAGAGGCGAAGAATCCCGCGATGAAGCGGAAGATAAGGTGGCTTTGGAGGTTCGGAGCAAGGCCTGAGGCCATGATAAATATCAAGAAAAGCAGCATCGTTGACAAGTATATTGCGTTTCGCCCGAAGGTTTCTGAGAAGGGGCCGGATAGTAAGGATCCGCAGGCGAATCCGACTAAGAATAGGCCTTTCATGCAGTGTGAGTTGTTAGTGTAGCTCCTTCAGCGAGGACTTGGAAACTATTTGTTGCCATACCTGTTGCAAGGGACCCAACAACCTCGGACACTTGGAAATACTCGCTATATTCCCTCACACCACAGGCGTCGATTGCAGACGCTGCAGTCACCGCGAGGGCGATCAAAGACACCAACAAGGTCATAACCATCTTTCGCTTGACACTCTAGTTGGCAGGGTTCAAGGGGTCGTCTTTTCCATCCCAGCAAACAAGAATTATATCATCGGGTGCTTGGGCTTGCGTCGAGGATTGCTTTTCAAGGCTGTCGTTCTTGATGCTGAGTCCACAGCTATAGTCTAACGTCAGATAGATCGTAAGTCTTTATTCTCAGGTCTCACGTACCTTGCATCATGAAGAGACCCGACGGTATATTTCTGGCAGTTGCAATCTTTTTCGAGCTCTGACAATTCGTGCCGAACTGCCCGCTGGATTCTTCTGTACTGGAAATAGGCTTCCATCACGGTTGAGTATGGATGGACTGTAGAAGGACTGTTCGGTCAGGAAGGGTAACAGAAAGAAAGCCATCCTTTTGAGACTTTTCGATCCAAAAGTGAGCTTAAAGAAATCTTGATTAGTGGTTTATTCGAGTCTAGAAGTTGTGGGTCTCTTTCAAGGATCGGAGAAGATGCTGCATGGTTCTCCGATGCCTCAAGTCCGATCGGACAAACCTGCAATCGGCACTCCTAATTGCTTCTTTTTCCATATCTTGACTGGTTCTATTTTCCTGTCTTATCGCTGTGTGAATTTAATAGTAAGTTGAGTACTATGTTGCGATATACGAATACCTGAACGGGCGCTTTACTGGAAAGAATATCACTCATGAGCAAGGGGGTCATTCGTTGGTGTAGTTAGATTTGTCACTGGCAACGTGCCCTTGTTCTCCAAGTCTGGACCCTTTTTAGCTCAATTGGCTTAATGCTTCGGCGGATCTAAACCCCTAGTGGCTTTCCTTGAAGCCTAGTCGGCCGACAGAGTGAAGAATTGCCACGGAGATGTATGCAGCCCTATCGATGACAATCTCCGGTGGGGCGGAGATAAGCAACAACGGAGATGAGTCAGCGCTCTTTAAATCCGATTATATCACGACTTCATCTCAACATCTCCGACAATCTGAGTATATCGGATCGGACTTCCAAGTTCCCCCTTCTCTCTCCAGTCTTTTCGGAGAAATGGGTCCAAATCTTTCAGACCATAACAGGTCCGTTGCTCAAAGCCCTCGATCCTATCGCCGAAAGCGAAAAACCATCAATTGTGACCAATGCCGACGGTCCAAATTACGATGCGATCGTCAGCACCCTTGCGGGTCTTGCAAGCGCCGTAACCGTGAATTCATTTGCTTCTATGAGACGAATCTAAACTCGGAATCCCCCAGTCACCGGTCCGCACAGGCTCGAGGGTCAAGGGGGGCAAGACTTACGAGTCCTTCAGGGCTGTCTCTCCCGCTTGAGCCACCGACATCTGAGGCAAATCAAGCACCTCCAGACAGTAGTCACTGGGAGACGGTGCTTGAAAGACCAGTTCCGGAACAGGATGCAGACGATACCCTGTCTCCTCTCTCTATGGGTCCGCATATGACTCTCCAAGAAATCCTGGACGCTTTACCCCCGAGAAATTGTTGTGACTATCTGGTCTCCCACTTCTTCACCAACATCTCTGCCCTGTTTCCCATCCTCCATGGCCCAACATTCCAGAAGCAGTATACTTCATTCATGCAACAGCCCCATGGCGTCGACCTCTCGTGGCTGGCTTTGCTTTTCTCCATGTGCTCGCTGGTCCTGAACACCATGGACGCAAGCGATCCTCGACTCGCCACTCTCTGGTCCCAGCTATCCTTTGATCCCACGCCAAACACCACCACTCTATCTGCGTCTCGCCGACTCTTGCAAACCGCCATGTCTTGTCTCTTACAAGACCAATTCCTAATCCGCCACAAATTCAGCACCTTCGAGGCCCTCCTCATGATCATATACAGCACCTCCCACAACGGCTCCGTCGACCAAGGCTGGGCCTTACTCGGCATGGCACTCAACATGGGCATCGCCTTACGCTGCAACACAGACGACCAGAGTCTCGGTCCCATCGAAACCGAACGTCGCCGCCGCTGCTGGGCCGGCCTTCTAACCCTGCACACCTACCAATGCATCCTCTTCCGCGACGTCGACATGTCCTTCCTCCTCGACATCAAAGCCACCATGCCCGTTGACGCCAATGACTCCGACATCACCGAGGACGGCATCTCGCACCCGTCCCGCCGCACCCAGCCCACGCAGATGTCCGTCATGATGTCCAAGCTACGCCTCTTCCGCCTCTCGACCCAGATCTGCCGCCACATCTCGGGCCCCTCGCGCCTCGACCAGCGCCTCCTCCACCACTTCGACGACGCCATCGCCCAGGAGCAGAACCGCTGGGACGCAACCTACATGGTCGACGGATCGCCTAGTATCCTGGACTCGACCAGCTACGCCTACTGGTGTGTCTTGCAGACCTACGCGCATCATCTCTACCTGCTTCTCCACCGCCCGTTCCACCACTCCAAAGCACCCTGTTTCCTCGCGTCGTCAAGAACCCAGTGCATCGCCGCCGCCATGGCGCTGATTTCTCTCCATCGCGAGATCTTCGAGGTCCCGTTGCTTCGCAACTACCGGTGGCTACTTAACGGGGTGACGAGTCTAAAGGCACTCCACGCTGCGGTGGCGCTGAACTCGTGTCTTTTGGATACCCCGTCGTCTGATCGGGCCGGTGATGTCGATGTAGGTGTTTGCAGAGAGGAGATCGAGAAGCTTGTTCTGCGGATGGAGAACTTCTCGCCCCGGAGTATGATCTGTTTGAAAGCGCATCGGATACTATGTAGTTTACAGTATGTCCCCCTCCCACCTCCCTCCCTCTCCAGCTCTATGGCAATTCCGAGAATCTCACGGATCTGAGTAGGGCTCAATGGGGCGGCGGAAACCCTCCCCCGTCGAACTCGGAGACCCAGCCGGAGAATATATTAAAGGATTGGACGGACATACGAGGGTGGATGGATGCGGATTTTATTAACTGGGTGAGTTTGTGTCTGCGGGTGTGTTGTGTGTGCTGTGCTTACTGTTGCAGAATTTAGATGGGGCTTTTTCGGGGTCTTGATGTCGTTCATAGAGGTTGTATCGCTGTCATCTGCTGGAGTTACGTTTAGAATCTGTACAAAATATTTCTGATGTATAGTTTTGGATTGGCTAATGATATAATACTAATGATAGAAGTATTTCAGAATGGTTTTGTTATTCAAGAAGGTTGTCTGGCATCCTGATCCTAATATATATTTTACGGTAAATACATGTTTGCTCAAATTGCAAAGTGAGTAGTACATGAGACTTAATTGTATACGTATACCAATAAACACACCTATAAGGAACAGAATGTAGTACTATGGGCGTTCAAAGAACTATTCTTTTCTTTTTGAGAAAAAAAGGCAAGGGACATACCTCCACAGCCTCCCTTCCAACAACAACACTAGCAAACAAACCAGTGCCGAACATCCGAACACCCTCCCTATCTCCTGCATTCCAGACTCCTCATCCGGCTCCCACAGCCGTATCACGGCCCCGAGCAACCACGGCAAAAGCCAAGCACCGACAAGCCTTGCTACGAAAAGCTTGTCCGGGCTGGGTGTGCCGCGGCCCTTGCAGGAGGACAAGAAAAGAGGGGCCAGAAATCAGGGAGATCGGAATGTGAGCTCAGGTGTGGTGGGACTGGGACTGTGCGACGTGAGCTGCATGAGAGAGGAGGCGAGGAGAGGAGACAGACAGAAACAGGGGAGAGAGGGTAGAGGGGAGGGAGGGTAAATAAAATGCCTCATAGAGGGTACGATGATGGATGATTTGGTATGTGCTGCATTGTTCTGGTTTCACTGCTGGGTTTGAGGGAAGTTGTTCAAGCGATGGTATTGGGAGTGATGTCAGTTCATTCCTTCGCTTGGTTGTCATCTGAAAGGGATCTAGGGCCGATGCATACTTGAGAATTTGACCCCATGATCGGATCTGAGCAGTTACCAAGTCGACAGTTCTATTTTCATAACGATGACGTCTTCGCATCGATCGGGTTCTTGATCGAGTAAAGGCTCACCGCTGGTTGAAGACTCCGCCAGGCTTGCATCTACACCGCTTCGACTGCAGGGGCTGACGGTGTCACTGCGGGTGACTCATCGTGCAGCGTCCCATTTGGTATGTCGGCTGTGTCCTGTACAAACGAAGGCTGACTGAATATGCCTGATGCCGGGTCGGACGGATCCATCTTCGTGTCAATTTTCCAATTGTTGGGTTGTCTATATGGAGGCTAAAACTCCTGCTGATCTATGATACATTCAGCCAGTAACCAAGAATATATCCATGAAAGAAACCAAGAAAAAATAAACATAAACAAATCTTTAAAATTGACTGCTATAATATAGTTTGGTCACTCGGACTTTAGGCTAATTGAACAAAGATAAATCAGGCATTTATCATCATCTCTCATCAGGGTCGTGAAGGACGTCGGTGTCGTCACTCAGACGGTGTGGAGGTGGTGGTAAGGTGCCGCAACAAAGCCCAGAAATAAGCATGCGCGCCCCCTGCCCGCCATGGGAAAGTTGAAACCAGAATCACTGTACCCATGACGGCGGATAGTAGTTATTCCCGTTGTCATCCATCGAGGTCGCCCCCGGATCGAACAGGGCCGCGGGCCAGATCGAGTCCGTGGCAGACGTCATTGGGACACTCGAGGTGGGTGTGGTCATCGGCTTGAACGCCTCGGCATCGGACATGGCATAGACTTCCTGCGACGGAAGCGGCTTGGAGTCCATGCCCATGTTCGCCTGCAGCTGGTGCTCCAGGGCGGCCGTCGATTCGTTGGCGGACTTGAGGAAATCGTCAATGTTGATCGACTCCAGGTGATTCGACGACAGCAGCTGCGCCTGCGGCAGGCCGATAAATGACGACGCGGAACTGATGCGGAAATTGTCCATGTCCGACCCCTCGCTGCCGCTGTGGAGATCGGGAAGATCGGCGCCCGCATTGCCGATACTGGAGAAAGGTCCGAAATCCTCCACCTCCGAGATGTCTCCTGAGGAGGACGGAGCCGGCAAGCCGGTCGCCATGGAGTTGTAGTCGAAACTGGCATACGATGGCGCTTGCGTGCTGGTGGCCGCTGGAACGTCGGACGAGTAGAGGGGAAAGCTGGACCAGTCGACGGGCGGCGCGCTGAACCCCGCGGAGTGGAGCGGCATATCGGCTTCCGGCGAGGTGAAGTAGGACTCCTTGTAGGGATCGTGGAAGGCTACATGGTTCACCGGAGACGTGGTCGTTGTTGGGAACGAGGAATATGACGAGACGTCGAGAGGGGGGACACTGGTCACGAGTTGATTCAGAGGCGTCTTCCCCATCGGCTGCTGCACAGACGCCGTCGATTCGGTAGGCGCGCTGCGATCCGTTGATTCCTCCAAGGGTTGAGCCGGAGGAAAGAAGGACGAAAGATCGAGCGGAGGCATAGACGTTGGGACATCTTCCGTAGGAAGGACGGGGGCACTATCGGGAGACCCATGTTCGGATTTGACTCGACGTTGAGGACCGAGTGGCGCAGACATCTGCTCGGGAAACTGCGGATTCGAGAACGGCGGCGGTGGTGGCGGTTGTTGGTGCTGTTGCTGCTGCTGGTGCTCGTTCATGAAGGCAGCTTGACTTAAAGGCAGATGATCGATGGATCGTCGAGCGATGTCGGACGTCGAGTGGATGGTATGCGACCGAGGTATCGTGTAGGGCAGGCCGCACTTGTGAGCCATGTCATTGTGCTTATGAGCTGGCTTGTGATGACCATCCCGAAAGATCGTGAGCGTGCTTTCGGACTTGGTCGACGTCAACTGGGGCTTCTTGGGCGGCTCCGACAGAGTCGCGTGCGGAGGCGGAGGAAGACCCGTCTCCGGGACAGGATCGAGGTGGGGTTCCTTTTTGAGCGCGCAGGTGCAGCGTAGCCCATGGGTGCAGCCGCATCTGGTACGAGAATCCTCTGTGAAATGCAGATCAGAAAACAATGAACCGGACTACCATCGCCAACATGCTCACGCTTGAGATCCCGCTTGTCCACTGCGTGGGGATCTGAATCATGCTTGTGGCTATTCTTTTTCTTGTCACCACACTCGCACTTGGTGTGGGTTGTCCGTGACTTGCGTAGGCCGCGACAGTGAGCGCATTGGGAGACTGGGCGGCCTTTTTTATTGATGTGGGTCAATGGGCGGTCTGCACGAAGAGGACAGTTTCACTCTGAGTCAGTCTTTTTGTTTTTTGATTTCTGCCCCTCCGCCAGGGCCGTTGGTTTCGAGGGAGGCACGAGGACAAGACTTACCGCTGTGGTGACAACTGCTGACACGGTGACCCCGGACGCAAGCTTCACAAGCCCACTTCTCGCCATCGATCAGCATAGCGGTGTTACTGGGTAGCGAACATGCGACGATTCGCGACGAGAAATAGAGGAAATCAAAAGTTAAGAAGAGCGGCGAGAGAACCGATACGGACAGATCTCTCGGACAGAAGCTTGGGGTTTGCTGGCGGGCTTCGTGTGTTTCTCTTTTTAATTTTTGTATCGAAAGGTTCAATCAGCCGAACAGGAATCCCTGTCGGGAAGGAAACGAAAGGGCCGTCAAGGCGAGAAGACGCGGAAGAGGTGTGCGGTCCGTCGAAGCGATCGGACCGACAGGAACCAAGAAACTCCAACACGCAGGGGTATCTTCAACGAATATCCCAATGCACCAAAATGATGCCACAGAAAACGCCGGGTTCACCTGTAAAAGGGAGGGGCCGCAACCGAGAACGGGAGGACTAGGAGGGCACACCTTTCAAGCAATCCAATTGATTGCTTGAAAAGCGTACGAGGTAGAGGAGAGTAAGAAGAGGCGAGTAGTACTCAAGGTACCGGGGTACCAGGAGCAGGGGTGGTGATGAGGAGGAGGGGGGGGGGAGAAGTGAAGATAGTCGATCCGGAACTAAGAGGAGGCCCAACAGAACATGGAAAACGAAGACACAATTCAACAGACAAGTAATTCGCGGGGGGCCAAAGCCTACGCACCGTTTGGCGCCGGCCGTGAGACAGGACACCAAAAACCGGCTGTGGCGGCCAAGGGAAAGGGGAAAAGCGATCGATCTGAAGGCAGAGCTGCGCAAACACCCTGAGAGAAGAAGGAAAGGAAAGAAGGGAAGGGGGAAAAAAAAGCAGAAGAAAAAGAAAAGGACAAGGAAAAGGAGAAAGACGGAAAAGAAGAGGGGAGAAAGCGGGAAGAGAAAGTTGGAAGTGCGCAAGGACGAGTCTGGCGCGGTTGGTCGCTGTGGCTGCCCGGACGGTACCGGCTGTGTACGAGTATTGAGTATTGTCTTTTTTCTTTCGTGGCCGCCGTCTATAAATACTTTTTTTTTTTTTTTTTTTTTTTTTTTGCTCTGTCGTACTCCTCCAGACTCCAAGTAGAAACCTGAACAGTGCTTAATCCAGACATGAATAATATTAGATCATAACCAGGCAGCCTCCCCGAAATCAACAGGCTATTACATAAATTCCCCATCCTCCCCCGGAATGGAATGCATCCTCAGTCCAGACTCTGGCCGGTTACCTAACAGCATCCGTGATCCATGAGGAAGGCAGTAAATATGAGTACCTGCGTCCTCGACGGTACAATACCGATACCGGACTGCGCCAGCCTCGTGCGGCGGTTCGGCTTGGGCTTTGCGTCTCACACTTTGATTATTTTTGATTTGATGTGGTTTATTTGGATTTTTCTGGTTCCTCAGGCTCAATCAAGGAGTCCGATCCCCGTCACCAGCCTCGGAATGGGCCATCTGATGCGCCGGTTGCCTTGCTCCTGGTCCAGGACCTGCCGTGCGTTTCACCTGGGTTGTTCGGTCAACCATGTCTACTCTGTGTACAGAGTGCATCCTACATTGTGCATCCTACATTCTAACATACTACACCAAGCATACAGTACGTGGATGTTAGGTAATGGATATTGCATTCCGGCAGAGACCCGGGGTTCTCCAATATTTCCCCATCGGGAGTCTGGGCGGTTTGCCTGCGGTCCCTCCGGTCAGCTCAGCTCAGCTCCTGCAGCGCACTGGTCACACCGACCGTACATCCATCGATGTACGCAGTAATGCAGGCTGGGAGACTCCATCCAGCAGCAAGGGACCCGAACTTTCCTGTTCATCTCGCTTGCCGTCAGCTCCTCGAAGTCAACCGAAGTCAAGTCACCCTGGGAACTTTCAACCGGAACCGCGATTCACGCGGGATTTCGGAACTTAATTGGAATTAGGTCTTAGGGTTGGAGACCCTTCAGTGCAAACTGGAAAGCGAAAGTCAGAAAAGCAACGAAAATGAAAGGAAAAAAAGAAAACTGGAGCCCCAGCACGGAGACTAACCAAACTCTGTCTTACGGGCGATGGATCCTGTTACGAAATTCTGGGGCAGAAGCCGGGCCGGTGACTTGGCTGCGTGTCTGGACGCGAAGAGGGGCCTTTTTCTTTTCTCCCACGAGTGTCATGTTGACTGTTGACTTTGACCGAATGTTGTCCTCGTCTTCTGTCTTCTCCCTTCCTCCCCAGGGCGAGAATGTCGACATCCACCCTGTTCCGCTACATCATCGGGTGGGAGCAAGGTCCTCTGGCGGCGCTGACTCGTCGGTCGGTAGGGTTTAGTGGCCTCGTTCTAGAAAATCTTTCGGATCTTCCGTGCAGACCGATAGGCGTGGAAACGTGCGGCGCGACAGGCACGGGGATTGGACCGTGGGAAGGCGGCAGAGGGGAACCACGGATGGATGGAAGAGCACACACAATCTAACAAACAAAGGCTCTTGGCCTGGAGCCCGTGAGTACGCAGTAGGATTGATTATTTCACCATCGGCCTGAGAAAACCAACCGCATGCAATTTCCGCGACACCGTCGGATGACGTCAGGGCTTCTTCTTCGGGGCGTCTGCAGGCGGTCAGGCGGCCCTGATCTGCGCCCGGATGCCTGGTCTCTCCACCAATCAGCGGCCGTTGGGCCTGATGCCTGATCCCTGGACGCTCTTCTCTCCAGGGACCTAGAGAGCATCGCTCACATTCCTCCCCCCATTATTACTATGGAGCACGACGGAGCAGTATTCGATATCGCACCCCTCCAACATCAATGCTTACCTACCCCCCAATCCACCTCACCTAAAACCACCGTCCCATCTCCACCTCGGCGTCTAGTCTCGACCGCCGACCGTCTAAAATCCTGACCGGTGAACGCGCGGTGGATCGTCCTCCAATTTTGCTTTTCCCCCTCCAATCCCCAGAAAGTCCCACTTCGGTAGCCGCGGACTGGCGCTAGATCCAGCCGGTCTTGGGGGTTGCCTTGATCTGGGACGCCGAGGTTTTGCCCATGCCCACTGAGTCTTTCTCCGGCTGGGGGGATTGGTCCGTCGCGATGTGTTCGGGCCGCGGTGGATAATCCTCTAACTCGAGGCCGCCGAACTCTAGATAGGGACGCCGGACAAGTGACTGACCCCGTACGTGTGACTGTCGTGGACTTATCTCCACTGATACTAACTGCGCATGGAGTACAGTTTTGTTCAGTGGTTGCCGGGCAGAGCACGGGTGAATGCCATCCATCGATGCAAACCGTATCAGCTGTCGGCTTTCAATCCAGTGTCGTCATATCCACTTGCCTGGTAACTTCTGTCTACTTCTATTCGCATAAGAACGAGGACGACATGTCCCACCTACTCAATCGGATGAACTGCGCACCACCAATAGAATGAACCATCAACACCACCAGTGACAAACCCCGCCAGCCTCGACGTCATGAAATCAACCTTGGCGCTAAGTATCACATCACTGCAGTGAACGGCGCAGACAGACGTCAGTCACTGCTCCTCCTAACAGAACCCCTCACTCAGCTCAAACATGCCGCTTCAGTTCGAATTCCCTCGGGTATCGACAAGTTGTCAACAGTAGACATTCAACGGCACTATTCGTCGAAGACAAATCTACACATTCATCGTCCTAGCGCTGGTCTAGCGATGCACAGATCTGCCAGCTAATGCAGAAGGACCTTGCCCCATCCACTCCAACGAGGGCAGCTATCTGCTATCGTACCTTGAATTCTGCCGCAGCAGAGACTCCGGGTTAACTATATAGACCACTTATCTTGTATCCTCTCCAGTAAATCTCTAGTCCGTAGCCAATGACCCTAACTATATACCATTGCTTGCGTTAGCAATACTTCAACTAGGACGTTGTGGATACGTGTTAGTGTCGATATCCTCTGGTACAAGACAAACAGTGACCAAATCCCTTCTCTAGAGTCCTTAAAAAGAAATAGGAACAAACACCGAAACACCTAAATCCTTCCGTAATCCCTCCTGTCTAGCAAGAAAACCTATCTACTCCGTCAACCACCATCTCATCTCATCTGATCTACTCCTCCTGACCCACTGAATCGTCGAGTTCCCTTCTTCCAATCATGATACTTAATCTCTTATTCTCTACTGACTCCAAGCAGAACGCAAGCGCTACATATGAGATACTAAATCACTACATCCATCTCCCCACGAACTACCCTCAATACCCGAGACGACGGATAGCAAAACACTAATATCCTCACCACCACAAGCAGCGTAAAGCACTACCGAGGCCTCTATACCAGCCTCCTGATCTTCCGCGACCTGCTGCTTTCCAGATCGCCTTGTCCTTCCCTACCCAGGTGATCTGACGCAGCAGCGGTCTTACCACAGCATGAAGAACCAGTATTAGGAGCCATCAGCTCAGCAGCAAGCCGATCTGCAAAGGTATCATACGGCTTGAAGGAAAGCCTTCTCCACCGAACCACAGACCACTCGATATCGTCCGTAGCTGCTTTCGGTTCGTCAAGCGCCCGCAGAAACTCAGCCGTGATTTCCGTCTCATATAGATAGATACACTCGTGGTCCGTCATATTGGTCACCAGAAGACGCGACTAGAAGTAAATGAGCAGTTGTTCACAAATCAATCCTAGAGATATAAAGCCAGAGTTGGTCCCCGACAGGATAGGTAAACGTACCGTGAAACCCATCGGTTTCGGAACCTCAGTCCTACGCTCTTGAAATTGCGCAAGAGCCAGCAAGACGCATATGAAATATGGATCTTCAGTCCATTGCTTTGGAGTGACTCGAGCCAGACGGTTTTTGCCGATTTCCGCACCGATGCGGTTCCCGCGTCCTCGCGGATCCGGACGGGCTTCGAAGATCCTCGAGCGGTCTCCTTTGACGTGTCCGTAATGGATATAGCCTATCAGGGATGGAGCGCTGGACACATTCTCGTGGAGTTGGGGTTGCGCGTGGCGATGGAACACAGTATAGCATGGTTGATGAACGGGGATGCCCGCGAAGAAGAACTCGGGCCCTTTACTAGAAAACGAATAGCTAGTTAGCTACTGTGGTCCATCCGGACATTGAGTGTAGTGGATCACATGCCATACCCGTATCTAGCGAATGGGCGACCCTGGCCGACGAGAATATCGACAAGGCAGCGATGCTTTACGGTGGCAAGGGGTTTTATCGCAAGGAGCTCGGCGTCGGTTGGGGTGTTTATGCTTCTCTGGTGGCCTTGTATCTTGATCTTTTCTTGGTCTGGGATGGATTCTGTGCTGGGATTGATGGCATTTTCGACAAATTGACACCCTACGAGGTTCATATGGTGGGAGGTCCAGAGGAGTGGGTTCACGAAGAGTTCACGAGAGGTTTGCATGATGTTATTCCATAACATTATGCTGGTTTGGTCACTGGGTGGGCTGCCTAACCAGGGAGGATAAGAACATGTGGAGGCGGTAGTTTGTTGACCTGGACACTGTCTACCAATACGGATGATTTCACCGCCTAGGGAGTAGGTCGCTCGTCAGGAAGTTGGCTTAACGGATTCTCCCAGAAACCATCGTCATTCTCGGTCGGTTCCGTGACCTGCAGTCACATTTGGGATTTGATACAGTGCGCATTTCGAGGAACCTATCAGACTGAAGCAATGTATTAAACATCTTTATTGCAATTATCAATGCCAAGATGAAACCCTATATATAGTCTATAAATGTTATTCGTGATATCCGCATGGATCCTTTTTGTTGTCCAAAAGGTTCTATTGGTATTTGGCCATGAACTCGGCATGGAACTTCACGATGCGCTCGACCCAGTCGGTTCCCGGGGCCAGGAAAGTCGTACGGAAGTGCAGCGTGTTCTCCTTCTGTCCGAAGCCAGAGCCGGGAACGACGCAGACACCCGTGGCGTCCAAGAGGCGCAGGCAGTAGAATTCATCGGCGGCGCGCTTTTCGGCGGCGGCGGCCTCGACGGCCTTGGGAGGCAGGGTAATCGTGGGGAAGAGGTACATGGCACCCTGTGAAAGATCGATGTTAGCAAGTGGTGTGGACTGCGAGGGGTCTAGAACTCAAGGAAACATACCTGGGGCTTCTGGCACTCCACACCCTCCATCTTCTGGAAGGCATCATACAGAGCCATGGCGCGCTTGTGCAGACCATCCCGGATACCGTTGTACTCCGTCTTGTAGACCTCGTGGCTGGGCGAGCCCTCCTTGGGCGGGTTCACCATCATCTCCATCAGACATTGTCCGATGACGGGCGGGCACAGCCCGATGCTGACGAGCTTGTAGATCTGGGCAGCGACCTCGGGATCGAATCCAACCAGCTCGAAGTAACCACCACGCTGACCACACTCGCCAACCATACCTTTGGACACACTGTGCAGGGAGACCAGCTCCACGTTGTCGTACTTGCCGGGCTGCTCCTGCTGCAGCTGGCGGAGTCTCTTCTTGAACGAGGTGAATTCACCCTCGAAGACGTTGGTCTGGTAGACCTCGTCGGCAATCACCACCAGCTTCTCCTCGGCGGCGATGTCGAGCACGCTCTTGATATCGTCCAGACCCAGAGAGGCGCCGGTGGGGTTGCCGGGGTTGATGACCACGATGGAACGGACGTCGGTGCCGTTGCTCTTGGCCTTCTCCAAGGATGCCCGGATGGCATTAACATCGGTACCCCAGGCCTTCTCCTCCTCGAGAAGGTAGGGAACGCACTGCGCATTGAGAAGGGAAAGAGTGGCGGTGTAGAGAGGGTATTGCGGGATGGGGACGAGAACACCGGCCTGCGGTCCGTTGCAGATGACGTTGAGAATGGTGCTCACACCTGACGAGGCACCGGCACAGAGGAAGAGATCGGACGGGTTGGCGGGGAAGCCATCACGCTCCTCGATGAACTTGGCGACGCTCTTCCGGATAATCGGGGCACCCTGGCTGTGGCTGTAGGCTCCCACGCTCTGCACGTCGGCAAGAAGGACCTTGGCGCGGTCGATGACGTCCTGTTCGTATCCGAAGGAGGTGCGGAGGGCCTCGGGGCGGTCCAACAACTGAGGGTTTTCGAGAAGACTGAGCACTTGACGGAAGAAGGTGATGGGCTTTTGGTCGAGTTGTTGCGGGTTACCGATGTTGGCGAAGATGACGCTGTCGAAGGGCAACGACTTGTCTCCCTGGGCCAGCTTCACCCGGTATTCCTCCGCCTTGACGGCAAGTTCACCACGCACGGCATACTTGGCCTCCTTGACGTGAGGGTTGATGTTATCGGGGTTCAGACAACGGGTTGCCTGCGCAGACAAGGTACGCTTGGCACAGTAGGAGACGGTCGTATGGGTCGACATGGTGGGGACTGTACAAGTCGGGGGGGGGAGAGAGAATGATTAGTATAGGAACTTTCGAGACTGGGACCGGCGGTTCACTCGGCGAGACCGCCACATTATGTATGGAGGGCCCTTGGACGGTGGATAAACGGGGGGAAACGAGGAGGGGAACGGCCCCAGACAGCGTCACGAGAGGGAGGGGAATGGCGTGGGCGTATGACGGCCGAGAAAGGGCAGCGGCATTAAACGGGGGTCCAATGGCGCAACGTTGGCAGCCGATCGGGACCCAACCGGGCGAATTCCCGAGACGTTCGAAGGCAGTTGACTGGACGTACCTGAGGACTTGGACCAGAGACTAGAAGCCCCGGCGGGAAACGAGCTGAAGGCCCGCGGGATGTTCTGACGGCGCATCAGCCCAGCGCCATTCGGCCGGGAAATGCGCAGCGGCGACGCCCGCGCGAGCTTATACTGCCAGCTCATCTTGTCGCTTCTGAGTGCCTGGGACGTTACGTGCGCGATTTCCTTCCTGTCTCCACCGGTGCAAGGGAGGGGTGGCTAGGCGTGGGGAGATTCGAGGGACGATTGGCAAAGAAGGAAGCCAGGAGATAATGAGAATTCCCAAGACACACGAATCCAGAGATAAAAAAGAAAAAAACCGCGGAAAACACACGATCTCCCTTTGGGCGGGCGGTGAATCCCGCGCTGAGTCATCGCTATCAGGGAGGGAGTCTCTACGATAACAGATCTTCATCAATTGGGATTCCTCTTGCTAATACACATGTTGATGATGATGCCAATGCTGACACTGATATGAGACTTTGCATTGAATCCCAACGCAGGAACATCAACGATTGTCCATGGCAACCCCCAACTCTCCGACCTCCGCACTGCGTCCTTCCCCACGAAGGCTTCCGGCGCCGCCCGACGTCGGCTTCCATCCCGTCAGTCCGGCTTCTTCTGCCTGCTCTGCCTGCTCTGCTGGCTCGATGACTCCATCCTCTGGATACGAGATCTTAGGTAAATGATCATCTGCATACGAACGATTGACCCTCCTGGTCCCACTGCCAATACCTGCCAATCCATTCTATGAATAATCCCTCAGATCGCGTGGGCCCAGGACGCAAGATCCAAGGCCTCGGACGCTTACAATCGGCCCACTCTACGCTCAAATCCAATCACGGCCGATCAGGCGATTTCGAGGTCATGTTGTCTTCTGTCATTAATGGTATGATACAGCAGCCTCACTTGCTTTTTGCTCTAGCAGCGATCACAAAGAACAAATAAATAACTCTAGGCTTCATCCGTCACGGCTCCAACGAGCCCGAGTCCAGGGGATGTGGCGGTAAGTCCCCCGTTCAATTCATCTCGCATCTGTCTCCTCTCCGCCTCTAGCTCCGTTCGCTTCCCCTCAGTCGTACGGCCTGGCCATACTTCTGGAGCTTCGTGATCAGAGCGTCTCCGTGCTTGACCACGTCGGCATACTGCTTGTTCTTGTCGTCCGGTCGGTTCGTCTCGATGATGCCGTTGACCCGGTCGATGGTGCAAGCGATGCGGTTGCTGGCGATGAACTTGGCCAGGTCCCTGCACGTTCAAATCAGTAATTGTAAATCTAATCATTCAGGGGATGCAAACTCACCGATCCAAGAAGTCTACCGTCACGCCAAAGTCGTTGGCCATGCTGGTCAGCCCCACAACCCGGTAGCTCTGGAGCAGCTGCTGGTAGGCGCGCAATCTCATCTCGCGAACAAACCACGCCCGGTGTTCGTGCAGGTACCGATCTTGGGTCAGGAACTGGTCTTCGACGGCAGCCAAGGCGACGAAGAATGTGCGGTAGTTGCCGTTGTACAGACTGTTGACCAGGTCGGCGAGAGGCGTGAAGTCCACGGGGACTTCGGACTCGGCCTGGATGCCGGAGCCGGCGGCGAAAGTGGTCAGGTTCACAGCGGTCGTGGCGGCACCCGGCGTGCTGCTGGCAGTGGATGTATCCTTCATATCCTCATCTCCGGCACTGGGACCGGAAGACACCTCGCCGGTCAGGGCAGCCAGCCGATCCTCCCCGGACCCCAGGATGGCCCTGATTTCCGGTGCGTCAACCACCTTGGCTTTGAAGTCGACTCGCTTCAGCGATAGCGATCCCGCGAGGACGGAGTAAATGACGAGGGCGGAGTAGCTGCACAATTCGTAACTCGTGAAAGTAGACAGGCTGTCGAGAAGGAGAGGGGCAGCCAGGCTGTAGGAACGGATCGTAAGCAGGTGCAATCCCTTGTATGCCTTCAGGCGATTCCTTCGGTCCCAATCACCGCCGCTCTCGACCAGGGTTTCTGCCCGTTCGATGCTCTTCTTGACAAACAAGGAGTCGCCAAAGAACAGTGCGATCCGGATCATCGCCATCACCAGGTCAATCTTCGTTCCCAAGAACGTCGTCTTCTCAAGGAGGGCCTCGTGGGATTCGATAGCTTTGTCCTAACGTGCGTCATTCAAGTCAGCATGCGACCGACGCCAGAGATCGGAAAAGAGTCTTGCAAAACACCCACCTTATCTCCCACTCTCGCCCAAAACTCGGCACGTTTCCCCCTCGCGGCCAGAACCTCGGTCTCGCCGGCCGCCTCTTCCGCCTCGTCTTCCTCCTTCTGGAAGGTCTCCAACTCCTTCCGGTTATCCTCAACTAGCGACTGATATAGGGCCTCGTCCCAGGGGAACTCGATCTTCTGCGGCGACTTCCGAGACGCCAGCAGATTCGACGTAATCAAGGACTTGGCGGAGCCGCCCTGGTGCTGAGGGACGCCTTCGCCGGTGTGGTTGAGGATGCCTTCGACGGGGTGTGCGAGGTGTCGGTAGAACGGAGCCATCTTGTTGTCGGAGATAACACTCTGGACCTTCTTCAGCGATGCCTGCTGCACCGTCTGGGGGCACGCCGGGTTGGACAGGTTGAAGACATGTTGGGCGAGGATGAGGTCAGGGTGCTTTATGTACTGCGGATCGGACCCCATGCTGGCGACGGGAGATGCAATGTGGGAGGTGGAAGTAGAATGAGGGGATGGATAGGATGCGAGCGATAGGGTGGTCGGGTGGAGGTTGCAAAAGGATCGGATGTTGATGAGGCAGGATCCATCACATTACCAAGTAGCCAACCTACGTAGCTGACCCGAGCTCAGCTGGCCGAACGTTTGTCCGTTCCGAGGGTCGGTCACGTGTTCTGGCGTGTTGGCCAACGGAAGGGACTGTAGCTGATCAACCAGCCTACTCCACATCTTCTTAGCCACGAAGTAGCCATAAGGAACGGTGGATTTCATTCAGTCTGTTATTAACGAAAGCTTGACATTCAATTTGCATGTGCACATAAAAGTTCTAGGACCTGCAGCATATTCTTCCCATTCTCTGGAGCCCTGTCCCCCAAATCCAGTTGCTCTTGGCTATCACCAGTCAGGATGGAAAGTGGATCCATCTTGCCGATTTGAACCAAGATGCGACACATCTCCATATCCCCAAGCCGCGCCGCCACCATCAAAGGGTTCGGTTGCATACTCTGGAGATGGCTGTTCCGGTTGGCGCCTCTTTGCGACAGCAGGATTCTGGCCGATTCATGCCGGTCCTCTGCAGCCGAGGAGCTCGTAACAATCCCCATTATGACTGTTTTTCCTTGATGGTCGACCTGATGTATACCTTCTTGGAAACGGGGGAGCAAAAGTCGGAGCATTTCGGGGTTGCAGAGCCTTGATGCTAAATGCAGAACATTTTCGCCTCGGGAATTCCGGTGACGAAAATGTGCTCCGATGCCATCTACGCCCAACAAGTACCTCACCACACTTGGATGATTTCCCAAAATCGCCTCTCCAATAGACTGATGCATAGGGTCTCTAGGCAGCTTTTGTCCCGGTTGGAATCCATATAGCAACTCACTTCTCAGTTCTGGGCACCGTTGAGCGATGCGTATCAACCGCCGAATTATAGGGATGCACCCTGCGCCAGCAGCCGCACAGAGGAGCTTGTTTCCCCATCGTTCGTGTATCAGCCGATCTACCACATCATCAATGAGCTCAAAGACACAGTCGAATTTTTCACGATGGTTGTGCCACTTTCTTAAGAGAAGCCGAAAGAAGTCCAGGTTTTGCAGTCGAGGACCAAGTTTCTCGTCTAAAAAGAGGATTTTAATTCTGGAAATTTCGCCCCAGTCAAGAATCTGGTCCACAGCTTTTATAGCTGGCTCTCGCAGAAAGACTTCTCTTTCAAAGTCTGACTTCTTGAGCATTTCACGTAGCATGGCTTCTGAGCCATAGAGCGCGGTGATGCTGAGGGGGTCGTACAGGCAGCTCTCAAATTGAAATCGGGGCGTGATTGTGCAGCCCGGGCGACAGTTTTGTTGAATCCAATTGCGAAGGTGAGTCGAGCCTGCTCGGCATACTTCCTCTATGCTTGTCAGACTAGGAAGAGGCTCCGCCGTGATGGCACCAAAATGCCTAAGCCAATGACATGACGCGTAGACAAAAAATTCACTAAAGCCACGCTCGATGGGATCATACCGAGTCATGTCCTCTTCCCAAGTTTCCCACGCACAATATGGATCGTACTCCACTGGCTCTTCGTTGTCGTTGAATAGGTCAAGCCCCTGAGGGAGTTCTGCAACTCCCGCTTGCTCTTCTGAAAACAGATCTCTAGCAGCAATTTCATTCAAAAGAAGGTATCTGATGCAAACATCTAAGATGCAAGCTTCGAGACTTTCATCACATTGGTCAAGACCTTTCTGGTGAATATTGTTCGAGGCCTGCCTTTGTAAACAAGGCCGATCCTGGGTCCATTCTTTTCGGATGAATTCCTTCACAGACTGATGGGTGAGTCGCACTTGATGCTTCGTTATGTCGCTATAGTCAACGCGAGAAATGAAAGGATGAATGAGCCTCATGAGCCTCTTGTGATCGACGAGTTCAGCAAGAGCGCCCACAGTATCACCGTGTTGGGTTGCACCCAGCGTGGCAGCCCATGAGAGCTCTATTATGCTAAGAGGCCTTGTGTGTGATGGCGACTATTTTCAGAGCTGTCATAGCAAGGGTCTGGTTTTCAGGGTCATTGGCTGTGCAACGGACGAACAATGCTGCATAGATATTTGACAGCTCGTCGGGCAAAGGAACTTGCTTGATAAACGACCGCATCGGACTTTCTGCCGTGATCCCACGGATTTGGATGAGCTCAACGATCATCTTGGTCCATATGGCGCTTCCTTGCGCCCGGTTTGATAGTTCCTTGATAATGATGTCTTTGACTCCACGCGACAAACCGGATAATTGCCTTTCAACGGTCCTCTCGACAATGATCGTATCTCGTTGAATACTGGGACTAAAGTCAATCTTCGCCATTCCCATTTCCTTTAATTGCGTCAAGATATCTTCCTGAGGCCGAGAAGACAGTAGTATTTTGAGCCCCCAGGGTCTTCGCGACAAGGCTTTCAATAGTTTGAGGAGACTGTTACGAGATACCGTGTCGCATTCATCTAGACCGTCAACTACGACAAAGATGGGACTGTCAATTTCTCCGGTCAGCTTCTCCAAGAACTCTTCCAGCTTCCAAATATTCCTTGCCGGGTCAACAACTCCAGAAAGCTGAGCCTGCTTATACCACTCGCAGAATGGATTTTTCAGCCCTGGAAGCTGCACAAGAAGCGATAGAATCAGAGCAGACACAACAAAGGCAGCCTTGCCTGTCTCATCGTTCTGGCAATAGTGATAGCATATCTTCGGCTGGGGTAGTTGCTGTTCACTCCTTCGACTCAGCTCGTCTACAAGAAATGACATGGCAACAGACTTTCTACTGCCCATGTCCCCTAGAATTGCCAACTGCGAGGAACCGGAGGTTTGGTACCATTCGACGAACTTAGTTTCTTCCAACAAGAATTCGCAGGCCTCATCCGCTCGGAGAACCTGTAGGTCGGAATGGTGTTGTGCTTGGCGGCTTGTCTTCTCACCCCCCAACCATGTGGAAACTGGACCCGAGTAAGAATATAGTCAGCCTGCTTGAGTGTATAAACATACTTTCATGATCATGCAACATTGCTTGTATATCTTGGGTCATTTCCCACGTCCGTTGTGCACGAGGCTCTGGAGAGAGCGGGCATGGTCAAGAACTCCTCGACGATGTTCGGAAGTCGCCAACTGTCAAGGACCATTTCCATGATCCCTTTGATCCCTTTCTTTGTTTGTAAAACTCTAAAATCTTCCGATACCCTAACAACTAACACAAGAGCCTGCAAACGGAAGCATTAGACATGTATTGAAAAGTTGGTAATAGATTACCTCATGGATACTTCGTTTCTTTGTTTGCTTCAATGATCAGTCCTACTTCACCCCCCATCGGTAGAAGCCATTCATGGGAAATGTGTTGCCGCCCAACTGCGCTCAGACATCCGATGCTATTCCAGTTGGGTCCGCTGGCATTTGCGACTATTTTCTTCCTTTCCTTCCAACCGCATCGAAATCAGAAACACTGTTGGCACATCTACCCAACTCGCCGGCCGACGATAGAGCATGAATCTAGATTCGCACATAAAAGCGAACAGCTTTTCGGGAACCAGCAAACCCCGTCTCAGTCAACTTGTCACTTATCAAATCAGAAAACCTTTCTTCTATCATTTCGCTCTTTTGGAATCTTCCAGGCAGGGAAAGTTCAGCTCCAGCTCTAAATCGCCTATCACACATTTTGATTTCCCTTACAGACAATCCAGCAATCTACCATGATGTCATGTTTAAGATCAGAAGGGGCCCTATCACAGGCAGCAACTCCTACCTTCTTACGTTTGCCTGTTGAGACTCGAAAAAACATCTACAAACGAGTGCTTGCTATACCGCACCCGTTGTTTCTTTTCCAAGGCCCCCAAGGCCCAGTGGAAACCTTTGCGCCCCAAAAGCCTCGCGGGTGGCTTGCATTGCTCTACACCAATCGACAGATATCCGACGAGGCGAGTGCGATCCTCTACGGCATGAACCAATTCACCCTCGAAGAAATGGAAACACAGTCCCACCGGGCTGGCCTCCTCGAGTCTTTTCTTCGGTGTATCGGTCCTGGGAATGCAGCTTCGCTGTTCCATCTATGCATCAATTTCCCAGCTCTGGAGCAGATGACGGATACTTTGGAAGGGATCAAGCTCAGAGAAGATGGCCAGCAGAGTCTGGAGCTTCTCCAAAAGCAGTGCGTTGGGTTGAAGACTCTGGAAATCGTTTTATTTAGTCAGAATGCAGAATTCTGTAGTCAAGACGACCAGGAAAACATCAGAAGTCTTCGAGATGTGTTGTTGGGAATGGATATGCATTTCAGGAGCATTGCTTCGCTGAATAAGATCGTTCTCAGGGTCTGCAGTGAGCCTCCTGCCCCTCCCTTGAAGGAATTCGCTCAGGAACTTGGATGGGTTGTTTTGCTTGGTAATAGATAGATGCTTTCATCATTCTTGGGTCCCCAGCCAGCAGGCTGTTCATATCTAATTTACTTGTATTTGGTTTGTCGGATCGAGATCTAATCTATATATTATTCGGGTCTCCTGTAGGCGTTGACAAGAATTTCAAATTAATTAAACTTGAATGCTAATTAGTACTAGCTGTGAATATTATGGAAGTTTCGCTTCAACCTTTCCAATAATGGTTGCTTATATATAGCTAATTGCTTATCCCTCTAACGCTGGTGCCTATTACTCCTGCCCTGTAGGGCTTAAGTTGCCAAGTAAAATAAAGTATGCCTTGGTTTCTAAGTATCAGTTACTCCCTCTCTCCCTCTCTTTCTTTCTGTCTCCATGTTTAAGAAATCAACCATGTCGCATTGTCCAGCCCCCTCGACAACATTTGAGATCCCCACTGGAAGTGCACAACCGACCCATTGGGGGCGGAACGATGCCATTCGCGACGGCAGCCCTAGCACGGGTGGGCCAATGACAAGCCCCCCGGCAAAGCTTAGCGTGGGCAGTCGTGATAATGAATGCAACTTAACGAGATGGCACTATCCTCGAATCGTCCTCGGAGAGTAACCTGCAATCCGGTTTGTCCTTCGAAGGATTTCCACCATGGCGTTCATCAAGGTTGTCCCGCTTCCGATCCTCTCTCTGTTTTTCTTTTCTTTTCTTTTCTTTTCCCCCATTGAGTTCATCTGCCCCCTCCCGTCTTACTTTGTATTCACGTCACTTTTTTGTCTTCTACGGTTCTCTTTTCCGCTTCTTTACTTAAAACTGTGGTCTTGGAGTTCAACAGACTCCTTTTCTCTTGATAGAAAGGCAAATCCCAGTTAGCTGAACAGGTCCATCCTGTAATCAACACACCAAACAGCGTCAAAACCACATCGTCAACATGGACCCCAAAACAGATCAAAAGGTCGCCGAAATGTCTCCTGAAAAAGACCCCGCGTCATTCGACGCAGTTCCCCTAGAGTCTGGGCAGGAGCAAATACAGAAGGGTCGCTGGGAGCGCAGTTGGCCCACCATTGCTTGCGGTGCTGGTCTTTTTTCGGACGGTTATCTCAACGGAGTATGTTTATTTCCTCTATACCCTAATACTGAAGTTCAGACCTCACCTCTCTTCGATCTGTACACCTGTAGCTGATCCCAATCACGTAGGTTATCGGCCCCGTCAACACTATCCTCGGTCAAATCTACCCCGATACGTACAAAAACTCCCCCGCCAGTCAGAACGTCGCGGCCATCACCTTCGCGGGAACGGTGCTCGGACAGCTAGTGTTCGGATACCTGAGCGATCACTGGTCGCGCAAGTGGTCCCTCATGATCTCCACAATTATTCTGATCATATTCGGTGCCTTGAGTGCAGGCTCCTATGGATACCATGGTAGCACTTACGGCATGTTTGCTGCCCTGACTGCGTATCGATTCTTTCTGGGTATTGGAATCGGCGGCGAGTATCCTGCCGGCTCTGTTGCTGCAGCCGAGAACACCAATGAGCTGAAGAGTGGCCACCGGAATAGATGGTTCATCATGTTCAGCAATTTCCAGATTGACTTTGCTTACGTCGTGTCTGCCTTGGTGGCTATGATTTTGGTACTGATCTTCTCGGAAGACCATCTGCGTGCGGTCTGGCGTATAGCGTTGGGCCTGGGCGTGATCCCTCCCTTGAGCTTGTTTTATCTGCGGTTGAAGTTGAACGAACCCGAGCAGTTTGACAAGGAGCGCATGCATAAGTTTCCAATTTGGTTGATTGTCAAGTGAGTAGTGGACCTTCACTTTGAGACCTTCCGTGGCTAATGCTTCGACAGATTCTACTGGAAACGCTTGGTGCGATTATCCTCGAGTCTGATTTAACAATGGATGAGCTAATGGAAACAGACTGTTGTCTCTCTTATCTGGTTCATCTACGATTTCTCGGCCTATTCGTTCAACATCTACTCTTCAAAGTGGGTGGCAATCATCTTGGGAGACAGTGCTCCTCTGTGGAAATCCTTCGGTTGGACCACCGTCACCAATGCCTTTTACATCCCGGGCTCTTTCCTCGGTGCATTGGCGAGTGACTGGATCGGGCCCCGAAATACTTTGGCCCTTGGTGTCGGCCTGCAGGGTATCATCGGATTTATCATGTCTGGCTGTTACGAGTATCTCGCAACTCCCCAGAACGTCGCAGCGTTTGTCGTCGTATTCGGGTAAGTCTCTCGAGTCCCAGTAAATGCGCCTCTAACTCTCGGATGTAGTATCTTCTCAGCCCTCGGTGAGTTCGGACCAGGTGACAATATTGGACTGTGTGCTGCAAAGACCAGCGCCACGGCTATTCGAGGACAGTACTATGCAATCGCCGCCGCAGCGGGTAAGATCGGTGCTTTTGTAGGCACCTACGTGATGCCCATTGTTCAGAACAATGCTCCCAACGAAATTCGCTCTGGCCAGGATCCGTTTTTCGTCTCGAGCGCGCTGTGTATCTTCAGTGCTGCACTGGCGTACTTCCTTCTGCCCCAGATCACGCAGGTATGTAGCGGTTATCCTTTCCTTTCGCCTCTCATTCATCGGTCCTACGTCAGAGGAAGGCCGTCCTAAATTGACTCGTTCCAGGAAACCATCGGCGAGGAAGATGCGAAATTCCGTGCCTTCCTTGAAGCTAATGGATACGACACCACCACGCTCGGCAACAGAGAGCAGCAGTAATCGGGTTTTCTGACGGCAGTCTTTGTCTGCAGACCTGTATGCTGCCTGTATTGGCCATCCTCCCAAGTATCCCGCCCAAGCAGCGCCAAACCAGCCCCTTTGCGACTTTTACGACTTGAACTTGTGATGATTCCATGTGGCATTCGGTGATTTCCCTTGCGGCCATGAAAAGCAGCCCCTGCGACATAGTCCCGATACCAACCCGACGTTCCAGAAGCAGTACAACGTGCGCGAGAATTTGCCCCAACGACGTTATCAGTAGTAGTCCGCAAAGGACGGGACCCCAAGCAGCAAGATACAGCCCGGAAGCGAGATTGGTAGAAAAAGATCGATGCGATGGTCCTGGATCGGACACAACTTGAATTCAGGGTGATGTCTCCAATGTACCCTAGCCAATGAGTAGTTATAGAAGACCGAGCATTGTCCACCTTCACATGTCCCTCGCAATGACGTCTGGCAGCATGTGACAGCCCCGTGTCACATGATGAGAGCAAACCGCGCAAACATCGCGGCCTGAGGGAAGCGCTGTCTCGAAGGGGCAGTTGCTTCCACCTGCCCGTACAGACCGTATAGAAGTATCCACAGCTCCTGGCCGTGCTTGATTCACGTCACTGGCAAGCTCCATTTCTCAATAATATTGTCTCGAGCGGTGACATTTAGTCGGATCGCGTATCTGAAAATGTTCAAGCCCTATAATGCCCGCGACTTGGAGTCACCTCTGCCGAGTCTACGGTCTTTTGGTTTTTCACTTTAGCTTGAATTAATATTATTTTTCTTTGTTCTTGGGTAGATTAGTGATCAATTCCATCCATTCACAGCAGACTTTAGAGTAGACATAACAAACAGTAGACGGCAGTCCACGGGGGAAATTCCCGGATCAGGCCAGCCGAGGTCCCAAGGATGTCACGACAAGCGATCGCCGACGGTTCAGTCAATTACCGACCTTTCATCCCTCTCCCGCTCCCTCTCCACCCCCGTCTTTTTCTCTCCATCTCCTTATCTGTATAACAAGACCACCTGTCGGAGGCCGTCTGCTCCTCGGTACTTGCCAGCTGGCCTGTCATTTAATTCTACCTTCTCTTCGTCGCTCCTCTCGTCTCTTCCAGCTCCCCGGAATCCAGCTCCCGGAGCCTGTTTGATTGAATCCACGAACCTCCCTTGAACCACCCGGCATATAATCTCCCAAGATGGTTGCAGAGACCTTGGTCTACCACCCTGCTTTGGCGCACTACTTGCGCTTTGTCGCGACGACCGGTACGTGAGATTCCTATTCTGGTTTGTTTGCTTCGTTCGCGTCGGGGAGCAAGGGATTCGAGCGAGCAAAACGCATGGCATAACAGCCATGCCGGCACTCGGCCGATTTCTCGTCCGCCCAACAGAACCCAACGAACTCAACGCGACGCACACCGACCCCGATCCCGGCGCCAGCCCTCATTCCAGAGAACTAACCACCCCATGCTCGCACAGTTGGCCGTGACAAGATCCTCCGCACCCTGCAGTACTTCTCGCGGTTCTACGCCTGGTACCTGTACCGCACCAACCGGCCGCAGGCCTCCATCGACCCCTACAATGCCGTGAAGAAGCAGTTCGGCACGACGCGCAAGATCATGCGCATCGGCAAGTTCGTCGAGCACCTCAAGGCCGCCGCCATCGCCGCCGACAACAAGAGCCCCGTCGACCCCGTCCTCCGCTACCTGGCCGTCGGTCGCCAGCTCGGATATGCCGGCTACCTGACCCTGGACAGCATCACGGTCATCGACGCGATCGGCGTCCGCAAGCTCGCCGCCGCCAAGCGCCTGCAGGATAACGCCTACCGGTCCTGGATGGCCGGGCTGGTCTGCAGCGCCATCGCCAGCGTCTACACGATCTGGCGACTGCAGGAGAAGGCCAAGACCATCGACCGCAAGGAGGGCGAGGGCGTCGTGGAGGCGAAGAAGCTGGAGAAGTATGTTCCCTGCCTAGGCTTAAATCGTGGATTCTGGTGTGCTAATGGAATGGTTGTAGGGAGCGCTCGACCGCTCGCACCCAGCTCATCTCGGACGTCTGCGACTTGGCCGCCCCCGTCTCCGCTCTGGGACTCGCCCAGCTTGACGACGGCATTGTCGGTATCGCCGGTACGATCAGCAGTTTGATCGGCGTGGTGTCGCAGTGGAAGAAGACCGCATAGAGTGGCAGTACGGAGTGAGACCGACATCAAACGACCCGGATGACGATCTATGCCGGTTTGTACATTACAAGGGTTCCGTGGTCGAGTTGATGATTGATGGCCGACAGTTGAAACGAGTGACTGAGAAAAAAGGGAGTGGACGTGAAACAAGATCAGGGTAGAACCTCGACGGGTTTATCCCTGATGGTGGTGCCTTAACATAAGATAGTGGCAGGTTTAATCTTTTCATTTCTTTCTATGAATATATTCACGAGATAATCATGGGAATGGTGCATGTTCTAGGGTAGTTTTGAGAATTGACATTACATTATAGCAGCTCCTTCCACAACCTACGTACTTGAACTAGACCTACCCAGTCGACCCAACCCATCTAAATCCCTTGTCATTGAAGATTGAAGTAAACAAGTTATGCATTATTCCTCGTTATCATCATCATCATCACCCACACGACAGTATGCGCACTACTCCGGAGAATCAAAACAAAACCACCCCCCACACCCGACACCCGACCGATCTAAACTCCACCGATCATCCAGTCATGACAACAACTCCGGACGGGATTTAAACAGGGCAAGTCTAGTTGCGTCAGCGATCATCCTATCGGAAGGAAAAGTAGATAGGTAGATAGGTAGAGAAGTATGTACCTTTCCGCAAGAACCGCAGGTCTTAGTCTCCCCGGGGATAGGGGCACTGCAGGAGGGGCAAGAAGTGTGTCCGGACATTTTGCTTTGGTGGGTAGATGGATCTATAGGTAAACAAACAGTCAGATAGAAATCCCAGCATGCAGAGGATGTTCAGTACGCAGATGCAGTCAACATACCTAGGGCTGAGCCTTCGCAACAAAAAGACAGGACAGATGATAGGTATGAGTGAAGAGACAAAGGAGGAAAAGAGAGAATTAGAAATTGTTCGTGCGTGATTGATTTCCTGCGATCTCGAGACCCCGCCGTCGGTGTGACAGTTCGGCCCCGCTTTGGGTGCCTTGATTGGTGCCTGATGATTCACGCATGACTTGGTGAGGGGGCGTTGATTGGTGGGGGTGAGGCTTTGGCTGGTGAAGAATGGAATTGGGTGGGTTGTGATTGGTGGTGTTTGTTGAGTCTATCTTGGATGTTATCGTGGATCTTACTGGAGTCTTGCGTTTTGGCTAGATATATGTAGTGCGGACAAACTGTAGGTGTTCACTTGGGGTACATATATTGTGCTAGTATTTGGAGTTGTCTTCCTCAATGAAGTGTTGTATTGCTATTGCTATGGAGTTAAACTGTATATGAAGTAAATATAAAAGCATTGCTATACACAAACAAGCCACTCTCTCGATCAAAAGGGTAGATAGCTCTACTAAATCTGAAGGTTGCTTGCAAAGTGAGACGAAAGGGCGACGCCTCATATCCGGCTACCTTTTCTAATCTGTTACTAGAGAAGGAATCCATATATATACGAACCGAGAATGTTTGTATTGAAGCATGGGTAATATCCTTTTGATGATATTATAGCACCCCGGTTGAAGACTGCAGTCAAAGCAAGAGGTTCTGTTACGACTTAGAAGGAATGAAGAAACATGTCCTTTGCAACCCTACTTTCTGAGATAATCTTATGCTGCTTGTATTTGACTAGATCGAGCAGTTTGCGATGTTATTTTGAACAGTCGGACATTGAAAGAACTATTCCACAGTGACGAGGGACTTAAAGACGTCGGGATATTAAAGAGATGATCCAGTGGAGAATTTTTATATCATATGCTAGTGACGATAAGGAATGATTTTCAAATCATCGAATGAAGTCCGGTCATACTTAACCACTCAAATGAAGGCAAGTCCATACTGGCACGAGACCATTCAGGACACATAAACAAGACAGACGAGTGCTATTCATGCGACAACTCAAACGTCGACTGGCGTAGAATGCGAGGTGCCTTTTTCATACTTCGTGTAGATTGTCCAGCTCATGTTGACCCGTTTGCCTCCAGGGATGTGAAAATATGGTCGTTATCCATACCGACCCCTGCTCGCGACCCCCTGTCATCAGATGCCATGCCTCTCGTGTCAGCCCAAGAGGCCAAGCATCTGTCTCAAGCCGAGAGCACGTGTTCGTTGCATTCCGGGAAGATTCGCCTCTCCTACCCTGGTCAAATAAATTTGCGAGGATGGTTGTACGCGGCGAAGGAAAATGCATCGTGACCAGATAATTTCATCCTGGGTGATCTCCTTCATTTTCGGGAAAACGCAAAAGCGCATTCATCTTGCCCGAGGCTAGAACTGTACTGCGTGCGTCTCCCCTGTACATACTTCGGGATGTGTTTATGCCGCAGAACCGCCGGCGAAAACGAACAATTGGCTGCCTAGTTAATGGGAAAGAGAACATTGGGTCAGCATTTTCGTCTCCACCGTCTAAGGGGTATGGGGCTGATTTTCGACGATTTAATTTTCGGAAGTGGCCCAGTTTTCCCTCGGGTTGTTTGGGCCACTATCCTGGTCATCGGAAGGATCTGGTCGGGATGACCTTCACTTCGAGGTCGGCCGTCCCGAGAAATCCCAGAGATATCATTGCTGGATATAATTGGAAGGCGTTATCGTTCTAAGGGGATAGTCGCGGCGGAGAGAAAAAAGCACGAAGGAAGGGCCTAGACAAGGGATTGCAACCCGGAGTCCGTAAAGTGGGTACAGATTTAGACGGGTTTCAGGCGAGTGTTTGATTTTCGCGTTGATGGGTTTCTGCTGCGCCGACGTGTGTACCTGAATGTGTCTCATTCCGACAATCCAGTGGCAAGAAATGCGCCACGTCCTCATAGCTATTTTTGCTCTCGTGAGCCTAGTCCTACGCCGTGGTACCTGTCCGAAGTGTCTCGTGGGCAAGCGTCAACCGCTTCGTTTTCATTCTCGTCTTTTCTTTTTTCTGCATTTTCTGCCCCTCCTCCGTTGTCTAGACCATGCGCTAGCGTAGCACATCTGCGGGATTTTAATTAACAGTGGCCCTGGTGATGGCGGAGGGAACAAGTTTTTCATCACTTCGTTCCCTCCCAGGGCTTCCTAAATCACCCGGGCGAGGAACCCTAAGCGTCTCCACAGCCGCCGGGCCAGTGAGCCAGCCTTAATCTGCCTCGGATCCTCCTATCTTCCCCGATTTGTGGATCGGAGCGACCTTGCAGATGGATGTTTGTGTCGCTGCGTTTGTGATGGATTCGATCTGGGCATGTACTGTGCACATATTGGATTTGTACCGTGTCCGGGCCCTACGACGTCTACATGTTCCGAGCAAAGCGCCGTAGTCCCCGCGAGTCAGCCGCTTGAATCCCAGCTGTTCGACACCAAGAATACTAGTATTAATCTGGGGAAAGGCCCGCGTGGCCCAGGCGTCTAGTCGGATGCGGGGTACAGACGAAAGAGAGCTTTGTAGACTCCGCGACAAGGACTGCGCCACCATTGGCCGGGAGAGGTATCGCATCCTGCGGCTGCCTTGCATCGTCGGTGTTTTCTTGGCCGAGAACGTGCATCCCATCAGTTGACCTCTTGTCAGGGGCTGGCGCCTGACCGTTGGCGAGAATGTACGAGTCGCAAGGGGGTCGGAGAATTCAGTCGACTGCGGCAATTCTGGATGTTTGTCATGTGCTTGCCGAGCGAGTGCAGTGAGACAAAGTACTGTCCTCTAGTTACGTACTGTACTGCGTAGTTCAAGTGTATACTGCAAAACTTCAAAATGGCCAGAACGGGTAGGGAGCTAGGAGCTGTCCACCTCCTGTCGGCGTCACCTGCAGCTCCACGTAGCCACGAAAAGAGGGAAAGGGAAAACAGAAAACAAGGACGCATCACCACATCATCATACAGCAGCACAGGCTGGAATGCTTCCGAATCCGAGGGACGACGGCAATAGATTCAGCCCAGCGCGGTGACGTTGGATTGCCAATCACGGCGGAACACGACCCGTGATTGGCCGCCGGTTGGCCTCGGGTGGCGGATGACTAACGGATTGCCCGGTCGGGTCTAGCGCCGGGGACGATTTTCGTCGCGCATGTCGTCATTGGCTGGGATTACTCTAGAGCAGGAAAACTATGGAAAACTATAGGTGCTCTCGATGGAATAATGACAATGAAAGGAAGAATCCATGTGGCTTCGACTCCTGACCGGGTATGGTCGCTGGGCTCCAGCCGAAATCCTCTCCCCGCAATTGCGGTTCTTAGCATTCGACCCGTCCAGATTGGCTCTCTGAGCTCATTCAACGTCATCACTCCAAACGCTTTGTTCCATTTGTCCGTCTGCCTCCCAGGGAACGACGGACGATGGAGGTGAATAATAGCCTTCGAGCATGGTGTAATGCCAGAAACTCTCCAGCTCCTCGCGCGCAGAGTTCATAAATACAGGTCGTTTGCAGCGGAATCTTGGGCGCCACGGCATTTGTCTCGGCCAAACAAAAAGTCTAGTCCCTCTGCCCGTTTTTTTCTTTTTCTTTTTTCCTTTCCCACTAAGACTCCTGACCTGCATGAGCCATTTCTTCGCGGGTTGCCTTCCCTGCCCCGACGCTGGCTATCATTTGCGACGAAAAGAACGTCAATTCTCGCCTTCTAGTTGGTGCGTTGCCCGCTAGCGTTCCCGGAACCACTTCGTGCCCACATCTGGGGTTCGGGAACTTTCGGACGAGCGCGAGAGACATCATTTTGGCCCAGTTTACGGGTCCCGTCCGCCGCCTCAGCCCTCAGCTCCGGTCCTCTGCCCCGACATCTCCCGGGAAACTGTGGAGAAGATACATCGGAATTGGAGGTTGAAACGTCTTCTCGACTCTGGCCGTCGTGATCATGGCCCCTGTTGAGAACATTCATATACCCCCCAATGCCCCCCCGGAACCAGGTCCTATCTACTCAGACTTCTTCCAACAGCAAGTAGCAAAACAACGAAACAATAACTATCACTCTACTTCGCTAAGAAACATGGTTGCCACTTCTGTGAATCGTACTGCCCTGCACCCTGGTGGTGTCCAGTATGTCTTCCTTTTCTTTCCTTCGTCGTCTTGTTCCTTGAATGCCTTCATACTTCTTCACTCCTTCACTCTTCATACTTCATCCTATCTTGACTTCTTTGATCAACCTTGACTAACTTTCTTTCCCTTCTAGACCGGGCAAGGGTCACACTGAGCTTGAGGAAGAGCTTCACGAACACGCCCACATTGACTACGAGCGTGTTGCCATTGTAAGCTTCCATGTCGTCTGCCCACCTCGTATCTATGCTAACCACCCTAGATTGCCAACCCCTCGGTTGCTGCCCTCTATGAAGATGCCCTGGTCTACGAGACCGGTACCGCCATTACGTCGAGTGGCGCCTTGACGGCGTACTCCGGTGCTAAGACTGGCCGCTCCCCCTCAGACAAGCGTGTTGTCAAGGAGGAATCGTCAGAGAAGGACGTCTGGTGGGGACCTGTTAACAAGCCCATGACTCCTGATGTACGTTGCCCCTTGCTTTTATTGATCCCGTTGCGCGATAAATGCAACGCCCATCCCTTGCATCGACCCACTTTTGCCCTTCTTGGCCTCGCGTGTCACCCAAACCAAGCTTTCTGGAGTTGCAGATGCCCGCAATACCCCGGAAATGCCTCATATTGAACTTGTGAGGTATTTTCTGGTATTGTCTGCTGTGCAACGCCGGAAAACTGGACTTGCGCCACATTCTTACTCCTGCATCCGTGGATCCCTGGCCTTCCCCAGGCAAAGTCGATGTGTCACGTGTGACGTCACCTGCATAGGGCTGGCTGGCTAACCCGCTTTTAGGTCTGGCGGATCAACCGTGAGCGTGCCGTTGACTACCTCAACACTCGCAACCGTATCTATGTCATTGATGGTTTCGCCGGCTGGGACGAGAGATACCGGATCAGCGTCCGTGTCGTCTGCGCCCGTGCCTACCATGCTCTGTTCATGCGCAACATGCTCATCCGTCCTTCGGCGGAGGAGCTGCAGCACTTCCACCCCGACTACGTGATCTACAACGCCGGTTCTTTCCCTGCCAACCGCTTCACCGAGGGTATGACCTCTGCCACGTCGGTTGCCATCAACTTCGCCGAGAAGGAGATGGTCATCCTGGGTACCGAGTACGCCGGAGAGATGAAGAAGGGTGTCTTCACCATCCTCTTCTACGAGATGCCCGTTAAGCACAACGTCCTGACTCTGCACTCGTCCGCCAACGAGGGCCAGAACGGCGATGTCACCGTTTTCTTCGGTCTGTCGGGAACCGGCAAGACCACTCTGTCTGCCGACCCCAAGCGTGCCCTGATCGGTGATGACGAGCACTGCTGGACCGACACCGGTGTCTTCAACATCGAGGGTGGAGTAAGTTTTGATCGAGACAAGCATTGTATGCAGATAGCTAACCCTCCATAGTGCTACGCCAAGTGCATTGGTCTCTCCGCCGAGAAGGAGCCCGATATCTACAACGCCATCCGCTTCGGATCCGTCCTGGAGAACGTCGTCTTCGACCCCATCAGCCGTATGGTCAACTACGACGACTCGACCCTGACCGAGAACACTCGCTGGTAAGTCGTTCCTGACCTGGTCTAAGAAGACCGACGCAACTAACAATTACCAGCGCCTACCCCATTGAATACATTGAGAACGCCAAGATCCCCTGTATCTCGGACAAGCACCCCCAGAACATCATCCTCCTCACCTGCGACGCCCGTGGTGTGCTGCCCCCCATCTCCAAGCTCACCACCGAGCAGACCATGTTCCACTTCATCTCGGGATACACCTCCAAGATGGCCGGTACCGAGGACGGTGTGACCGAGCCCCAGGCTACCTTCTCGTCCTGCTTCGCGCAGCCCTTCCTGGCCCTGCACCCCATGCGGTACGCGCGCATGCTCGCGGACAAGATCTCGCAGCACAAGGCCAACGCCTGGCTGTTGAACACCGGCTGGGTTGGCGCTGGCGCCACCACCGGCGGCAAGCGCTGCCCCCTGAAGTACACCCGGGCCATCCTGGACGCCATCCACAACGGCGAGCTGGCCAACGCGCAGTACGAGACCTACGACGTCTTCAACCTGCACGTGCCCACCAGCTGCCCCGGCGTGCCCTCGGAGCTGCTGAACCCCAAGAACAGCTGGACCGCCTCGACCAGCTTCAAGGACGAGGTCAACAAGCTGGCCGGTCTCTTCAACGAGAACTTCACCAAGTACTCGGACCAAGCGACCAAGGAGGTGATTGCCGCCGGCCCGGTGCCTCAATAGATGATATCCTTGGGGGTTTCTTTTCCTTTCTGTTTATAAATTGCATGGCGTGTTTTGTGTTTCAATGCTCGGGTCTTTTTATTTCCTTGTGTTCTCTTCCCTTGCGACAAGATGCAGGGATATCATACCTTTTGTGAATTGTTTCGAGAACTTGCTTTGGCTGGATATAATATTGGCTTTGGTTGATAGGAGTTATGAGCCCAATGGGCACATGGCAGATACCTATGAATAAAATTGAATAGGGTATGAATGACTTAAACAACTGTATTCTTGTAACATACCTTGCTTTATCCTAAGGGTGCTGTGTCAGTATCCATACTAATGGAACTTGTAATCGACCTCAGTCCGATCAAGAAGTTGAACAGAAAGACTCTGAACTTATAATCACCATCTCAGAGAACACGTCTATTCTACACTAGCTCCAGCGTCGAGAAAAATCTGTCGGACGGACTGTCCATACCGAACCCACCTTTCCTGATCCACTAGGACATTGATTCCTCCGTACACTCAACCCCCCTTAGGGACCGCACCTCATAGGTAGGTAGGAACTTGGGAAGATGGATTACGAATAACGAACCTCAACCAGTTACATATTAACCATTACTTAATACCCAACCACTAAACCAGGTAAAGCAAGCAGCGAGAATCGGCTTTTAGGAGAAGCCCGGACTCCGGGTCGATTTAGATTATCATCCACTACCTAGTATCTACCTAGCTGTCATCTAATAATAACTAACGAGCCAGTTACCGACACCCATCCTCCGGGCCACAGAATCGGCAAGCCCAGGGAGTAGATTAGTCCGGCGAACTAACTGCTGACAGCGACTGCCATTCCTCCTTGCTCACTCCGCTTACCAGAACCGATCTAGTCTAGACAGTTAGTCACTATTGCACATACGCATACGCATAGACCCTCCGGGTCTGTCTGGAAAGATGGAAGAACCGGCTCCCTACCGAGCATTCCCGCCCCCCACAACCGACACACCCGCATCCCGACACCCGAACCACGACCCGTCGGTCAGCCTCCCATCCCTTGACGCCGACTTCTGCTAGGGAGTAGGTAGGTAAATTGCGAATGACGCTCATGCCTCGGGCTAGCGTGGGCGGTAGTAGGTACTATTCCTATCACTGTTCTCATCACGGCTATAGTTCCCGGAGTATGTGTCCGTGACGTCCGGAGGAGTGTTCTCCGGACAAGAGCAGTGCGGTGATTCGGGTGTCATTCCGGGAGTTTGTTGGGATGACGGACGGGCTCGAGGTGGATTGATTCTATCACGGTCTGTAGGCTGGAAGTGCCGATTTCGGCGGTTTCGGAGGAAGGGAGATTGTAGGTTGGTGTTTTGTATGATTGTATCTATCAAGGTTGTGGGTAGTATTTATTACTTATTGTAATATTGCTATAGGGGTTACAGGGTTCGTAGGTGTGGTATTGTATAGATCTATGGTTGATGGGTAGCCATGGAATTGTTGTGATGAGTCTATAGTTATCATGTAAGGGAGTCGGAGTCTAGATCGCAATGGTAATAAACGGTCGACGATTGGACATCGGAAGAAAGTGTCGATCATGCAGCCTTCAGAGTAGCCGATACGGAGTAGACGGGAGTAAGTAGCCTTCTATACTTCTGCTGCAACTCCGTTACACAATGCAACGCCTGGATTATCAAATTGTATATGATTCAAGTCAATATAATCATAAAACATCATCATAAAATGTCAATAAACCATGGATTTTGTAGGAAAGAATCGGATCGGCCGCCGGGCGGTTCTCGTGCCACGCCCGATGCGGTTAGCGCACTTCCCGCGTGGGCGGTACGGTATGGTAAAATATGGTAAAGCAGTGACAGGCTGGGCAGACATCATTCAGCCGATGTACCATTCTCTGGAGGGTGGTATTCGCTGCATCATGACTCTGCCTGCACTGCATCAGACATCTCCTATTCCTCCTGCTCCCCCAACACATAGTCCTGACGTACAGTCAACCGCATCAGCGCTGACGAGTAGATATCGGGTGATTACATGTCAAGCTTCACCACGTAGCGCCGTGGCCTTCCCCGCAATATCCACGGCATCGTGCAGTAGCTGGCCGTTAGTCATCGTCTTTTCTTGTTGGGCCGTCGATTCCAGCGAACTTCGCTACATCGTGGATGAGGAATGATCGAGCACTAACACTCGGGGCTCTCTGTGTTTCCCTCGGGTGACGGGTCGGTTCCTGGCAAGATGGGCCGCCAGATAGAGCAAGTATAAAGACCGTTGCCTCCGACTGAGGTACTCCTGTAGACCACACCGAAGTATCAGCTACTATTACTCCGAGTCCTCCCAGTACATTCTATTACCGTGCATGACGATTCTCCCCGCGTGTCATCTGACTGGCCGTGTAGCTTGGGCAACTTCCAATCCTCTTGCTTCACGTTGATCGTTCCCCTCCTCGCTGCTTCCTGCTTTTTCTCGTGTCCCCTCTTTTCCTGGCGCCTGGCTTTGTGTCGCTGCTCTGCGCGTTGATCACTCCCTTCGTTTGATACGTCATCTGCCGGGTCTTTTCCTGGCCAGCTGCGTCGTCTTTTGTCCTACGATTCGGGGTAACTGCTCGTTGCTTCTTTCTCTCCTCTCGTGTCAGTTCTCCTCTCCTCTTCTCCCCTCTTTCTTCCCCTCTCTCCTCGTGTTGTCTTCCCTCCCATCACTACATTGTGTTTCTTCACATTCTCTTCGATCTGGTCCTCTCCAGATCAATTCGCCTATACTAACCATTCTCCTTCGGCTAGATTTGACTCTAGGTTTAAGGCTATCATGGCATCTACTAAAGTCGCCACCGCTCCGGATTCGCAGCCTCAGGTCGACTTTCTGCACCATCCGTACACGCGAGCTGCTCTCCCCTTCGTCAATGGCGGTCTGGCCGGTATGACGGCCACCGTGGTCATCCAGCCCATCGACATGATCAAGGTGCGCCTGCAATTAGCCGGCGAGGGTGTTCGCTCCGGCCCTCGTCCGTCAGCCTTTGGCGTCGCTCGCGACATCATCGGATCCGGCAAGGTGCTTGATCTCTACACCGGCCTGTCCGCCGGTCTGCTGCGCCAGGCAGTCTACACGACAGCGCGTCTCGGATTCTTCGACACGTTCATCAAGACGCTCAACAAAAACGCCGAAGCCGCCAACCGTCAAGTCACCTTCGCCGAGCGCGCCGGCGCCGGTCTGACGGCCGGTGGTATCGCCGCCATGGTCGGAAATCCGGCGGATCTGGCTCTGGTGCGCATGCAGTCAGACGGCCTCAAGCCGCCCGAGGCTCGCGCCAACTACCGCTCCGTCGTGGACGCGCTGATGCGCATCTCGAAAAGCGAAGGCGTCCTGGCCTTGTGGTCGGGCGCGTTCCCGACCGTGGTGCGGGCAATGGCTCTCAACGTGGGCCAGTTGACCTTCTTCGCGGAATCGAAGGCGCAGTTGAAGGCGCGCACCAGTCTCTCCGCGCAGAACCAGACGTTCGCGGCCTCCGCCATCGCCGGATTCTTCGCCAGTTTCCTCTCGCTGCCCTTCGACTTCATCAAGACGCGTCTGCAGAAGCAGCAGAAAGACCCTAAGACCGGACTGGTGCCGTACAAGGGCCTGTTCGACTGCGCCCGCAAGGTCGTGAAGGAGGAGGGATGGTTGAGGTTTTACCGCGGATTCGGCACGTACTATGTGCGGATCGCACCCCATGCGTTAGTCTCCCCACTCTTGGTTTCTGGGCGCTTATCACTAACCCCACGGGATCCACTCTAGCATGGTTACGCTTATCGTCGCCGATTATCTCAACCTCATCACCAAATAGGTTGACTTTCCTTGACGGTGTTTACCACGATTCCATCACCGACGCGATAATATTGCGGGGACGAAAGCGTCGGTCGATGGAATTGCATCGTTCTGCTTAGTGTGTAGAGTTATGTGGTACGTTAGAGATGTCGCCTCGGCCGGTGAATCTCATCTGTCCGTGTCCTGTTCCGACGCAGACACATTCTTCGGGCTGAACCAGGAATTCCTTTATATCTGATGACGGCAGGTGACGCATACCCAATTATTTTTCCCTTTTCTTTTCCTCTGTTCAACTGCCAATCAATGGCTTGATTTCTTCGGCCGGTCTGACTAAGATCAACGTTCTATTCCTGCTTACTTTCTGCGCGTCAGTCCAATGTGATTCGTGTGTGGGTCTCTTTTGTTTCTTATACCCGGAGCAGTGCGCTTTCCTGTTTGTCGCTCATTGACTGTCTGGGTTCTGTTGCGTGTATTTACTTTCTATGCACCTTATACCCGATGACGAGCTCGTGCTCGAATGGTAGGGTAGTAGGTAGGTTAGGTCCTGGCGTTATTATTTCGGCATTGAAAGATCCTGTTTGTTGCAATGAGAAGACAGATTGATTGAATTTACCGCTGTGTTTCAGTAGTTATAGATGTAGTGTCAGGTAGACTGATGAATGTATGTCTGGCATGAGACCGAAACAGATCCAGATGATACTCCCTAACGCGCACTACTCGACACTGCCCGTTCCTGCTTGATCCGCACCTGCTCCTCCATCGCGCGTCTCTTCCTCCGAGGCCGATCCGCATCCTCATCCTCATCCTCATCCTCATCCTCATCCTCGTCCTCCTCATCTTCATCTTCATCCTCATCACTATCCCCCTCATCACTCGCCACCGTAATCCCACTCCGTCTCGACCTCTTCCTCCCAGACACCGAAACCCCCTCCCCCCCGCTCTCATCCTCATCCTCCTCCCTCTCTCTCTCCAGCGCCTCCGCGCGCCTCACCCGTCTCAACAGCACCGCATCACCCTGCAAATCACCCCCCGTCAACACAACCGAGCAGACAGGACACTTGACAGACCGGACGCGCCGCGCCGCGCGCGACGGCGCAGTCCCCGGCGCAGGGGGGGGCGCGGGCACGGTCGTCGGCGACTGCGAGAGCATGCTTTTGATGGCGGAGCGCTCGAAGCTGTGTGGGCATTTCGTGCTGGTGACGGGGTCTCGGAAGGTGAGGAGTGTGAGGGGGCATTTTAGGGAGATGCGTTCGCGTTCGATGGCGATGTCGTCGGACTCTGTCGAGGGGTTTCGGGGGTGGTGGTGACGGCGGTGGTGGGTGGTTTGGGCTGGGGAGGCGGAGTGGGAGGATGAAGGGGAGGTGGATGAGGCGTTGGGGTCTTCGAGATGTGAGAACCAGGTCGAGGCGTGGGGGAGGGGTGGGATGTCGTTGCCAGGGTGTTGGGCTTCGTGCACGATGCGGTAGAATCCGACGTACGTGTTGTTGGCGGAGTAGCTGTAGTCATTGAGTGGGTGGTTAGCATTCTGTACAGTATAGCAGGTTGGTGGAGGATGGGATAGACATACCGTTGCGTCAGGGAGAGTCGATCCCATTGCGCATAGTTCTTATTCAGACTCTCTTCCAGGCGTTGACTCGGCGCAGCAGCATCGGCACTGGTAGTGGCAGTAGCGTCTTCTCTCTCCTCGACCTCCTCATTATCGTCATCGTCTTCCTCGTCCCCATCTGCATCCCTCCGACTCCTCCGTCTCGTCTGCCTCCTCGCCGGACGAGCCATACTCGCCTCCTCAGCCTCCTTCTCAAACCCCCCCATCACCTCCACCAACGCATCCACCTTTGTCTCCGCATCCACCATCTTCCTCACCTGCTCCTCCAACCTCTTCGTGATGCCAGACACGCGATCCTCAAGACTCGACAGCCGATTCATCTCCTCCTCGCCTTCTCCTTCTCCTTCCTCATCACCATCGCCATCCCCATCCCCATCCCCATCCGCATTCTCCTCCCCTTCCCCACCCTCACCTCGATTCTGATTCCGTCGTCTCTCCCTCTTCCCCTTCTGCCTCTCAAACCTTACCCTCGCATCCGTCAACCGCTCATTCACCTCCCCCGCCGAATCCCCCAGCTTCGTCCCCGCATGCTGCAAATGCGTCTTCAGCTGTCGCAGCGTCTGCGATTTCAGCAGCGCCAGGACCGCATTATGTCCTGTTGCCGTTAGGGGCGCGATCGAGGGCTCGTAGGGCGGGAGGGTCGGGGTTGGGGTTGCGGGCGCGTCTCTGGTGCTGGCGGTGCGTTGGCGGTCGCGGTCGCGGTTGCGGTGGAGGGTTGGTGTTGAGGACATTTTGGATGGGTCCTTGTGTTCGAGTGGATTGGGTTGGATTTGGGGTCGTTGAGAGGAGGTTTGGTTGGGATGGATGGGTGAGTTCTTTGTCGCGACTTTTTCGCGTTTCTTTGAGTGGATGAGGGTACGTATGGGAGAGGTAGGGAGGTGGTGGGTTTGTTGATGGAGACGGAAAAGGAAGAAAGTATTTAAAAGGTTGATAGAGTTAGAGGTCGATAGGGTATAGAGAGTGAGGACTGGTAAACGAGAGAAGGTGAGTCGAAAGTTGTATACGCTGGAGGAATGAAAGAAAGTGGTCGATCGCGTTAGTTCGTCTCCCGCTCGCGTTGACCGCGTTCTGGACTCGACTTACTGCGTATCTTTCCGGAAGACTCCGTGGTTCTTCTAAACCAGAAGGATTAGATTCCTAATGATTGCTATTTAATTACTCTGATGGTTCATTTCTACGAGTTTCACTGATCTACTTGTATGAAAATAATCATGAGAAGGATAGTGGATCCCTAAATCAGGTAGTTTACATGAAGCCCGAGAAGCGAATGCAATAATACATCAATGAATCAGAAGAATAGCACGAATGATAGTGATGAAAAGAACAAGTTGGAGCAAGAATATCCAACCTTATCACACCTTGTAGAAGCAGAATGCATGATAGAAACCTATTCCTCGTTAGTACTGGCTGGTCATAAATCAACTTCAAGACTCACTGGCTGCTTCCTTCTCCTCCTCCGTCATCAGAAGAGCCCCGGTGTTGCGGTCTCGCACTCCCATGCGTTCACTCAGAGGGCCCAGTTCCGCATCGTCCTTCTCGTCGCGCCAGACCTCCATGAAGGGCTTGCGATATTGAAGTTCGAGGTTGTAGTCCTCCGTCAGTCTGGTCTGGTCAGTCCACGATCTTAACAACATAGGGAAAGTCTGACGTACGCTCGGAATGCCTCCCAAGGCACCACATACTCCGGAATCTCCTCCACCGCTTCCTGCATGAAATAGCTGTATCGCCATCCAAACGGCGGCCGGAACACTCCATCCTCAGGGGTCTCGCCGGGGAATCGCACGCGGTAGATAGAATTCCCCCACTCCACCTTGGCTTCCTCTTCGACCTCGCCGTCTTCCGGCTCGGCCTGCTCCTTCTTGGCGGCGCCCTCGCGCGCTTTCTTCTTCGCGTTGAACTCGGCCACCTGGGCGCTGATGATGTCGGAGTTCGGGCACACGCCGAGGAACCGACCGCCCTTGCGCAGAGACCCGGCCACGTTCCGCAGCATCTGTCGCGCTTTCTCCTCGCTTTCAAAGGCGTAGTGGATGGCGAACATGGACGCCACCACGTCAAACCCACCGCCGCCGCTCCAGCGCGCGGCCATCGCCGATCCGCCGGGCCCGGCGTTCGGGTCGATCCCGACCTGTTGGATGATGGGGACGTCGCCTAGCCACTCGCCGAAGCAGTCCTTGGGGACGAACTCGCCGTGGAAGAGCGGACCGCGGCGGCCGCGCGAGCCGCGACCCGATCGCATCTGGTTGTACCGCTCGCGCGCCTGCACCGTGGAGATCTCGGCGGGATCCAGCCCGACGTAGAGATCGACCGTCTGCGGCGCGAGCTGCCACTTGCCCAGATCGCCGCCCTTGCCGCAGCCCAGGTCCAGGACGAGCAGGCGGCGTTCCTCCACGGGCGGAGGCGCCGTGTCTTCGGCCCAGTCCTTGGTGCCGATCGAGCGGGACACGAACTCCTCGTCCGGGGAGAACTTCTGGATGAGGGTGCTCTTGATCCAGTTGTTGAACGTGCGCAGACCTTTGATCTTACTCTCGGTCTTTCGCCATTCCCGACCCCGCTGCGGCACAGCGTTGTAATGCTGCCGCACGATGTCGGTGACGCCCCGGGTCTGAGAATTCCGGATGGCGTCGTCCTCTTGCGCCCGTTCTCGTTCTTCCTGTCTCCGACGGAGCGTTTCCCGATCCACCAGTCCCATGCGGGCGCCGCCGCCGGGCCGCTTGCGCTGGCGCGGTGGCTCCTCAGGCGTCGGGGATCGACGAGGCGCCAGAGGTGAGATGGATCGGTCATGGCGAGCCGGTGCCGACACAGCCTCTGCCGCGTCCCGGCGAGAGTACGCCGATGGGGGAGTTCTGCCGCGTTTGCGCAGTTTCTGGTGTCGCTCTTCCATGCGCTTGCGTTTGGAGATCGGGCGATCGGGGGCGCCGGCGGGCTTGGGCTCGTCTTCGGTCATCTTTCGCTTCTTGTCTGCGGGAGAGTCGTGCTCGGGGCGAGGCGAGGCGGCCGATCGCTCGGGCGAAACGGAGGCGCGATCCGTCATTTTGCGTTTGGGAATGGAAGGTTTCTCGTCTCTGGGTGTCTCCTTCTTCACGGAGGGTTCGGTTTCTTCGGTGTGTTGCGCAGGTGGATGCGTCCGAGAGACGGTGGATGAAGATTGTTCTTGCGTCACAGGTTGCGTAGCGGAGTGCGAATCACCAGGAGGCTGCAACTGAAGCACTCGTTAGTAGGGGAATTCCACCTAATCCAATGGCAAAAGAAGTGAGTGTGAGCGATAGGAAAACAAAATTCCTGAAGTCGCCTGTCGGGGGCTGGGAAGGCAGAAGAAATGAGTCGGAGAAAACATACGGCGGGTTGGACGCGGTGAGCCTCCCACGAGTCCCGTGCTGGATCATACATCGCGCTGCTCTTGCTGGCTGCCGTCCCGCATCAATCGTGTGCAAACACAGCCCATCGCCAATCTTGAGGGAAGGCAAGAGAAGGAGGATCCAGAGTCACGATGGACTTAGAATTCACCTCTTGCCTGCCTCCCTTTGTGCTGAGTTCCTTGGTCCAGCCTAGCGTCAACCATGTTTTCGTTGACCGCATGCGGTTGTCGATCGACCTCATCCGGGATACTGCGTCCAACGCTACGACAAAGGAATGGATTGCATTCGATCCAACTTGCTTTCTGCCGTTACACAACACTATCTACGTGCCCAACACGCTTCTCAGCGACTCAGCCGATGGATAACTCCGTCTTCCAGCAGGACAGGATCATTCCCTGAACGCATCTCTCTCCATCTCTCCGACTCGCCGATAACACCGTCGCTCATACAGAGGGCGAACTCGAGTCTCGCCTCGTGAAGATCAGATCATACGATGGAACCACCATTGTGAAACAATCCTGTACGCCGGTTCCATCCAGCGTATCCAGGGATCCCTTCTGCCCCTCGGGAAATCGGAAGTCGAAATTCCTCACGATGGTCGCAATCACCAGCCGCATCTCCATCATCCCAAAGCTCTTTCCCGCGCAAGAATATGGTCCGGTGGAAAATGGAATGAAGGCCTCTTTCCTGATAATCAGCTCGGGTTTGTCGATCCAACGCTCGGGGATGAATTCGTCGGGGTATTGATAGTTTCGCGGGTCTGTCAAGGAACGTGCGCTCATGTTAGCTTTCATGCTTTGCAGGATTCAGTCTTCGATTATCAAGGGGCTCAGACCTCGATGGACCGTGTATGTCGGCACAGACACCGTTGTGTACGCGGGGATGAAAACACCGTCGATAGTCAAGCCCCGTGGACCTGTTTCTCGAGGCACTCCACTCATGACGGCGGGATACAATCGCATGACCTCGTTGATACAGCCCTCCAAGTATGGCTTGCCCGTGAGTGCTGAATGTGACAAAGGTGCGTCTGGTGGTAGAACGGCGTCAATCTCTTCTTGCAACTTGCGGTATGCGTTTGGATGCTTCGCTAGAAGGAAAAGGAGTGCATTCATAGTCGAGCCGGTGGTTTGGCTTCCGGCCCCGATGGCCAGCTCCGACTCGGTGACAAGATCACCATCGGTCAATTTCAGAGATTCATCGGTCCCCGCGGGCGGCTCCGCAATAAGGTAACTGAAGAGGTCTTTCCTGGACAAACCCATCTACCACTTCTGGTCAACGGTGAAGCAATCCGCTTGCAGAATACAATTGCATACCTTTCGACGTTCTTCCAACATTTCTGCGCACCACTCCACCCACTTGGCCGAGGCCGAGTTGATCACAGGTAGGTGTCGTGCCATGATGAGCATCCAGGTCGCAGTCAAGATAAAAGCACCGGACTTTTTCGCAGCTCTCATCGCATCCAACATTGGGTGACTGTTACCCTTCACCATGCCAAAAGATCTTCCGAAAGCCAGAATCCCCATGGCATCCCAGGCGAATCCGTCGAGAACATCGTTAATCAAAATTGGCTCTTCCGTCTGTGACGATATCCGTTCGACTAGATCGTCGCAGTGCTCGCGAATAAATGGTTCGTAGCCGGTCAGAGCTAACAAGTTCTTAGCGTTAGCATGAATGGTCAACGCCGTCTGCCAGAATGCCAGATGGTATACCTCGGGAATTGAAGCCGAGGTCCCAAACCCTCCGTCGTCTGGAGTGGAACGCCTTTTCACGGCACATTTGCAGCGAGCGATTCGGGTGATTCAAGTCATAAAAAACTCCTTTAGTGCACGTCGTGCCGACGCCGTAGATTTCCTTGATTGCAGACGCATCGTTGATCGAGATCTCCCTGGGTTCTGGAGAAATCAGCTTTCACAGAGTGGCCCAGCTTCTCAAAGGACGCATACTGATTCGAACAAAGGTCCCGTACTGCTTATGGAGCTCTTGTACATTGACCTGCCATTTCGCGTCTTTTGCGACCCGTCTCAGGGACCAGAGTGCACTGACTCGCGCCAAGGCAGGACCCGGAAAATGCCTCAAAGGATGATAAAACCAACGATAGATGATCATCGATAGCCAGATCCCACTTTCGTAGCTCAGCAGTGCGAGAGCCGTTGCCCGTGCCACATGGCCATACCCGACGATCGCCAGAGCCGTTAACAACACGGCCGGCCAGAACACAAAATAACTAGCCAACTGGGGGGCATGCGTATCCCACTCGCCTTTGATGAAGACGGCGAGATGCGTTAGAACCCCCAGACTACTTGATATGAGGTACAACTTGCCCGAGACCATTTTGAAGCGCCAGGCCAGACAGACGATGTAGAAGAGACGCACTCGTCTCAGGACGATGGCATATCTCTCAAATAAAGGGCCAACTCGTATTGTCAGCTGAACTCCACTGCCTCTGACATTCCGAAAAAGGCGAGACAGGCTAGCCTCGTTCGTGACATGGCCCCAGGCAAATCGGCGTATATGCAATGCCATGTACTCCGAAACGAGGCAAACGAACCGGCCTTTCCGCCGTCACAGCGAGTCCAGCCCAGTCCAGTACTGGAAGTCGGTAACCGGATAGGCGAATGCACTGTAACATCTACTGCGTACTAATGATTCTCCAGTACAAACGGCCCCACCTTCCTGGGAACAGCATGCAGTAGCGCCGGCAGGGAGCTTGAACCATCAACAAATTGCACGACCGATGCCTCATGGGATTGGCCCGCAACCCAACATCACGAGTCACATGATGGATCGTGCATACTCGGACGCGTTTCCCATTAGTGCTTCAGCCGCTGCTGCAGTGTTCCTGTCATGGGGGTCTGTCTCGGTTGGAAGGAAGGGCCTTACGAGCCTGGACCGCAGGAGTGTCCGGATCGTTTACTGCGTAGTTCTCGGTGAAGCCATTGATGATTGGGCCCTAAGTCGATATGACATAACACGCAGCTATGATAGCCTCAGGTTCTCGACCATGGCTGATACGAGTTGCCATTTGTTGGATCCTCCGGTGTGTACCGAGAAGTGAGAAGTGAAAGTCCCAAAAATTTGAGATAAGCTGTGATCCTAGTGGCGTGTTGATCGCTGTGGTCAGCGTCAAGCCATGCAGTGAGATTGGCCGGTGCTTCCAGCCTATCAGGAGTAGTTGTGAAAAATTTTCCCTGTCTAGGTCGGCAAGATGGATCTCTTGGTGTCTGTGTCTCTCTTTGCTTTTTTCATTGTCTGACAGGTTTTATTTTTTTCATGGAACTCCCTGGACTGGGCCCCTCGATCGCGCGCTGACACTCAGTGGGAGAGACAAAACTAGTGAAATGCATGATCAATTGTAATTTACCGTGACTCTTGCTCGAATTCTTTTTAGATCAGTGGCTTTTCTTGGCCAGGTTCCTGGGCGGAGATTGTCCCTCAAATGAAATGTTACTTGAAGGCTTCCCTTCATTTGTGGCAGAGCTGACGGTGCCAAGCAGGAATAATTATAGGCCACTCCGTGGAGCCTTCGTATTTGCCATCGATAGTTCCCTCGGTATCTGAGGTTTGATGCATGCCTAGTAATAACAGGGTGAGCTGGCATAAATTCTCGTTCACTTTGCTTTCGATATTCTCATCTGGTCATTCGTACCTCCTCAACCCCTCGAAGGTTGCACACAAGAATCACAAAGTCCAGTCAAATCCTCAGCTTCTGTGCAAGCTTTTTGCTGCCGAGACAGTCTGAGCCTTTTATGTTGCTTAACCATCAGGATAGTTTTGTCTCACTGTCTTTATTTCTCGCGATTGGGATCTACCCAGGCTTCTCTTCTGCCTCCCGGTGTAGAAAGACTACGAAACCTTGATTTGACGTATCGCGAAGTGCCTTTCCTGCCACGCCGTAAAGAGAAGCCGATTTCAGTCCCCATGCAGTCCGAGCAAGAAAAGACTTTATGACTCAGGATGGGTAATCGTCCCGAAAAGGTCAGCAGGAGGACATAAACACTGTTAACCTCGTATACCCGTCCAGCCACATGAAACAATTCCCAAAACTCCGATTTGCTGGAGACTCGGATTCTTGAGTGATTGTCAGGGGTGCAATGGTTATATGTGGGTACACCCGTCTTCAATATCTCCTGGTAAAGATAATATGCTATTTTGTGAGAGCAGAAAGTCGATTGGCTGTGGTAGCCGATGCCCAACAGTTGTTCCGTCGACTGTCACACGGCAACAGTTATGCACACACTTGTACGACTTTTCGTATACGGTGTCGTGTTTTGCCGAATGCTTAATGTACAAGGGTCTTTGTGCTCTAGATGATAAATGAGATTAGCTGTGACCACATTCTGCCAAAGTATGTTTTGGAAGTCATGGTGGGTATGTTTATTGTTCAACAACTCCGTCCATGCTCGAGAAGGGCTTTTCGGATAGACATGGCTCTGCTATACCACTGCTACGGAGGTATCCGTAAACAGGTGCTTGTGACATCTGGAATAGACTTAAGCCAGGCCATCATGTGTAGAATAGAAGAAACACGGTGTTTCCCTACACCCAAATAAAAGCTGGAGTAGATGGAGAAGGAGCCGACTGTCTTCAGGAGTTTGGAAAGTGTAAGGGAATGGAGAAACACAATTGACTTAGTAATGCATTGGCCACATGATGCAGGCAGCTGTTCCACAATTGTCTCTTTGGGGCCGATGAATGTTACACACTTTTCCCACAAACAGACACTCCCCCAAATTGGCCAGAAATCGACTTCAATCACACTCTTTTTTTCATCTGAGGAACTGCGCCCCGGTCTATAAAAGAGCTCAAGCATCGCCAAGCTATCCATAGATAGATGAACAGGGCCAGAACCTCAGCTTTTCAGATTCATTTTTTCGTCCCTCCCCCAAACTGAAAGCCATTCCTGCACTGATGCGCCGCATGTTTTCAATTCCGCGAGGCACGCATCTCGTACACGTTCACTCTGGATTACCTGCAACGCCTTTCGGATGTTGCGTGGCGATCCAGACTCCAGTGCTTTGGCTACCCAGCCCCCCTCAGGGGCTTCCAGAGCTAAGATGATCGGATACGAAAGCTCCCTGTTTCTCAGGTCTTCCGCAAGAGATCCTTTTGATTTGGCATATTCCGACGAAAAGACGTTTTTACAGTCGTTCTGAAGCTGGGAGCACCACCTATGCAAAATGTCAGTTGCATTCCACAGAGCTGGGACGATGGCAGGAGAGAATCGTACGCAACAGTGGTTAAGGTCTGATCGGCAGATTTATTCTCCAGGACTATCTGGCCAAGGAGTCGAAATAAAGCACCGGTTTTCAACGAAGCCATTCTCCGATACGCCGCGGCTCGCTCGTCCGCTTGCGTCGGTAAACTACTGAGTCCGTCCCTTCGCCAGACCAAGGAGAGATCCTGTCCCTGGAGAATTTCTTCCAAGTTTTGCATCAGAAACGGGGCCAATCTCGGAAATCGTTGGACTGTTTCGTTGAGGATCTGGGTCACTCGATAATAGGCACGATTTGCAGTCTCCGACAGACCATAAATCTTGTGGGCTGCCAGCTTGCCTTTCCGATAGTCGCTATTGTCAGAAATCTGCTCATGATGTGAGTATTGCTGCCCGGCTTAAAATAGAAGGCAAGCAAGCAAGGAACTTGGAGAGACACGGAGGGGAAGTGAAAGGGAGGGACAGAAATATTGACAAAGGAAAAGATTCCCTACATCATCAACCAGCATCAAGCACAGGTGGATGGCATCCATGATCTCCAGAACCATTCGATACTTTGCCGGGTCGTCATTCTTCAAGGACGGGGAAAGTTTATGCACAAATGGAGCCCAATGATGTTTTCCGTATATCTGCCGAATATAAGTATACGGACATTCAATCGCTGTGACATTCTCGGGCTGTTTCTGGCCAATCATCGATGCTTTCTTGGATGTCGGCCAGATGGGGGGCAGGCGGTCCATGAGAACGAGGAAAAACAAGGGGACCATCCCGATGGTAGCCAACCAAGGAAGAGGTACAGACGTTGCAATCTGAGGCTCCATCTTGACTATGTCACCAGAAGAGCATGGTAGGGTGGGAAAATGCCCCGTTCCTCACGGCGATTTACTTATTATATATCCTACCGTAACGTGTGTCAAACTCAGAAAACTTCATCCTCTCTCACGGATCACCGCTTGGTAACACTCTGCCAAAGTTACACTGTTTGAAATATATGCCTTGTTTGGCGTCTGAAACCGGAGTCCCGGTCTGTTGCTTGTCTTGGGGTTTGCACAGACATGTCACAGTCATTAATTGGTAACGAGAAAAGAACCATGAGATGCAAGATGGTGGTCTAGAACACATCTTCATACCAAAATTCTCAAATTTCCTGGGATCTTTTGGATCAGGTCAGTTAAATTCGGTACAGCGGAAGCCGTCGATTTCTCGATAAGCACATTTATTTGTCTCGCGTGTCAACGACACTGTCAAAGTCTTGTTGATAAGTATAGGTCTCTAGCGATAACACCTTTCCCAAGAGTCGGAATATTGCTGATGCACCTAGTTGTCTGGTACATAATTAATCTGCTGCATAGGATCTGAGGAATTGCTTTGGGACAGAAGAAGCACATGCGAATCATATAAACCGAATAAGGGAGACACCCTGTCCAACATCACCGGTTGCTGCGAGAATTCTCTTTTGCAGCATGCGCAGACATGATGATCAGTTTTAGGATCGCAGGATCCGGATAACTACGGGGTGGTACCCCCAATGTTCTGTCCGTGTCAGACTAACACAACCGCCAAGGCAGCCTTTGGGATGTCACGATGCTAGACTGCATATTGCCCCTAGTCGCTTTCCGGGGTCCTAACCAACAACTCGGTCTCTTCCCAAATGAAATTCTACCGTGTTTATCATCGCCAACAAACCCCTGTTCATTGGCGCAATGGCGCCATGCTCTTTCAAGCTGGGTGTAAGCCTTTGTTGTTGAGCAAGCTTCTCATTTGACAGTCTTCTTGAACCCATGCACGTCCGCCGCCGTCACAGCCAGTCTGGGCGCTAGCTCTCCCCATCGGAGAAATTCTTTCGGACTTCAATGTGGTAACTATCCCGCTTTGTATGCAATGAATTGGGTCCGTCTTTAGCGCTAATGTGGTACATGGGTGATATGTCACTCGCGGCGCCAATGTAATCCCTTGTTAGAGGGGTAGCACATGGGACATTCGCCCTGGTTCAAATCCTCAAATGTAGTACTGAGCGGCCTGTCGGCTTTGCCCGGCGTGGGAACTTGACCAATTTCCAGAGCGTGGGTCTCATCCAGTCTATATCATAGCCTCCTGAAGCGTTTCTGAGCCATGGATCATCCCAACTTTCATGTTGTCATCGTCGGTGGCTCGATTGCAGGGTTAACTCTGGCACATTGTCTACAGCGAGCCAACATCAGCCACGTTGTGCTTGAGAAGGGGAAAGAAATCGCTCCACAGTTAGGAGCGTCAGTCGCCATTTTTGCCAATGGAGCACGGATTCTTCAGCAGCTTGGTATCTATGAAGATATTGAACGGGAGATCGAGCCTATAGGACTTGTCCATGCGATTTACCCTGATGGCTTTTATTATAACACCAGATATCCTGATGATTTAACGAAAAGGTACGTTACTAAGTCCCTATCAATCAACAGCGATAGGGTTGGCTCGTCTTTATTTATTAACATTTCCGTTATAAAGATTTGGTTATCCCATCTCTTTCCTCTCTCGTCAGAGGTTCTTGGATGTTCTGTACAAAACCTACCCCGATAGTTCCAGAATTCTCACAGGCAAGAGGGTCACTGAGATTCGCCATCTGGATCATGGCTCTTGCGTGATAACAGAAGACGGGTCAGTCTACCAGGGAGACCTGATTGTCGGTGCCGACGGAGTCCACAGTCGAGTGCGGTCGGAGATTTGGAAGCAAGCAGAGCAAGAGCCTGGGCGGATTATAGCAAAAGAGAAGTCAAGTCCGTTTACCGTTATAATCCACACACTCTCAATCATTGTGGGCTAATAGTTCTAGGTATGATGGCGGAGTTTGTATGTGTTTTCGGCATGTCATCCCCCGTTCCTGGCCTTCACGCCGGAGAGCAGACCAACGTCTTCTTTGACGGACTCACCATTGCCACCATCCATGGTCAGAATGGTCGCTTGTTCTGGTTCTTCGTCAAAAAGCTTGACCGGAAATATCCCTATGCAGACATGGCTCGGTTTTCAAACGACGACGCAGCGCAGTTCTGCAGCCAGATTGAAAACGTGCATATTTTGAACGGCGTCTACGTTCGAGATGTCTGGAAAAACCGAACGGCCGTTTCAATGACTGCTCTAGAAGAATCCTTACTTGAGACATGGCACAGTGATCGAATGGTGCTTATCGGCGACAGTATTCATAAGGTGACCATTCGATTTTATTAATATTCGTTCTGAGGCACCGTAGTTCTCTATCCTAAGCTAACCTCAACCCGTCTAATCTAGATGACAATCAATGCCGGACAAGGAGCAAACATGGCTATCGAGGATGCTGCTTTCCTAGGCTCGCTGATTGAAAAGCTCGTCCGTACCACATCGCCCCGAGGGCCCTCAACTCTCGACATCAGCCGCACCCTCGAAAAATACAAGAAAGGGCGGTATGATCGGGTGAAAAGCGTCTACAACGTCTCATGGCATGTCGCTCGGATTCACGGACGCGCTGGACTCCTGTACTCCCTCATCGGCCGGTACTATATTCCCTACAAGAAAGATCTGCTGGCGGATATGACTTCGAAGGTCATGGCAGATGCGAACTTGATCGAGTTTCTTCCGGTGCCGAAACGGTCGGGACCGGGCTGGGAGAAGTACAGTAGTAAGAGAGGTGGGATGTCGCAGGTTCAATGGCTCATTTTGTTCGTGCTTGTGTTGGCGTTCGTCTGGGTGTTCCGTGGTCTGGGGGGTAGAATGCCTCTCGACCGACTCTTGAGTCCCTTGCCCAGGTCTGAGTAGTTTGTTGCTGTGAAGCTTTTCTTTGTCTCTGGGTTAGTAGGTCGGTAGTAGTTGATATCAGGAGGAAGATCTACTGGGTGAGGATATGATAATGAATAGCAGTTACGTTCAGCATCTTCTCCATTCTCCCAGCAGTCTACTACCAGTGGTTACTAGTAGTAGCTGCATAGTTGAGCATTTTGCCATTATATGTAAATGTTAGCGATGAGAAGTCCTTTACACGAAGATGAGAAAAGAGCACGCAAAACAATGCCCTGAACGCCACGCTGCCATCATAAATCCCATGTGAAACGCATAAATCCAATCATCCAGTAGTCGACTTTCTCTTCGGAGACTTTACATTAAGCACCTGTCTCATTTTCCGAAGCTTCGTCCACCATTCACGATCCGACGCCTTCTTGGCTTCGATATTGGCGTCATCGACGACAGGGTCATCCGTAGAGGGCGACTCCGAGGCCGCAAAGCTAGCCACAGAAGCAGTGGAGCGGATGCGACGACGGTGCTTCACTCTCAGCGCTTGCACCAAGATCGCCCATCCGCTGTGCAGCTCGTCGGGTTTCTGACCCGTCTTTCCTGTCCCGCTTTGCGCTTCGCCGTTGATCCAGGGACAGTATTCCATATGTTCGTTGGCCGCGTCCAGGGCGTCGTAGATGGCACTGTCGCCGTTCGGTTTCGGTTTGTACATCCACAGTCCGAGACGTCGGAAGCATGCGCTGCATTCTGCGAGACCGGCTGCGCCGTCGGAGACGCTGTCCCAGCCGAAGGAGGCGAGGACAAATGCCGTGCGGTTGAGGGTCGGTTCCTCGTGGGTTGAGTCTTCGGTTTTTCCGTTGCTGGCGATGGCTGGGGGTTGTTTGCCGGCTGGGGAGGGAGATGGGGGATCTGCGACCTCTGTGTTCTCTGCGTCTGGTTCGGGGTCTGTGAAGCCTGCGCTTGGGAGCGTTTTCTTGATGTCCTCTAGTTTGTAGGATTTTGGGGTTTGAAGGACGTCGTAGTCCGGTAGCTGGGTAGCCATTTTGCTGAGGTGCGAATAACGGGCGCGAAGGGCGGATATGGCGGTGTCGGGGTTTGCTAAGGGGAGTCGATGGATGGTGGCTATGTCTTTGGTTAGCAGTCGAGGCATGAATGCATTGATAGAATGGAAACGAACCATCGCAGCCCTTGTTGCGCCACGGGCAGCTTTCACCATGTCCTTGAACGACGATGTCAACGTACTCCTTTACGAGTCGGTCGCCTTTGAAATCAATCAGTCTCGATCATTCCGATATCCAAGGCGCGTAAGAGTGAACCATAACTTACGGACTTCCCTTCTCTCCTGCACCTTTTCACTATCGTATCCATCCAATTCATCCAGCTCATCGGGCAGCTTGACCACGACCGAGCCACCACATCCCCCAACACAAGTCACCCGCGACACATCAGAGCATATCCAACCGCGCTTCGCCCATTCCACCTCACTGATCGCCGACGGCTTCGGGGACCAGCGATCCACGCGCCGGAAAGTCGCCAGGCGCTCGAGAAACCGCTCGCGATCCCAGGGCACAAAAGTCGGTCGGGGCGAGGCCGAGTCGCGGGAATCGGGTCGGTTCACCTTCACGATCGTTTTCCGTACCGAGGCGAGGTCGGTGCCATTCTGGCCGCCGGTCAGACGAGCTTTCTTCGCCGAAAGGTCCGCGGAGGTGGTGGGTTCTCGGGGCGTTGGGGGCGCTGGTTTGGACGGCGGTTCGGGGGTCGAGGGTTTCGTCAATGACTCTAGAACTCGGTGGAATTTGCGCTTTTTGGTTTCCACGGCATATGACATGGTTGCCGCAGGGCAGGGAGCAAGGGTCGAAGGGGATGGAGACGTGAAGCGCAGCGAGAGCTTGTCGCTGTTGCGTTGGCGATCGTCTTTCTTGCCTGAGGATCTCCGCGGACGGCGCTAAGCCTAGACGGGAAGGGTTGTTGTTGCTGCCTCAGGCACCATATCGTTAACTCCGGGGGGGGGTGAATGGAGGCCCTGCCAGCAATTGAATACCGGAAACCCATACGAATTGGATCAGAAATCCTACGAGTTTGCCTTTCGCATCATCCAGAGCGACGAGAATGCAATTGTCTCGCGCAAATGCCCCGAAGCATCAAATCAGGCCACCCTGATTGGCTCCGCCTCGGGGTCTCGGCCTTCCGATCCGCTCGTGCAATGAATTCCTCCTCCTTTCCTGCTCTCCCGGATTCTTCCCACTGAGACATCTTTTACCTCGTGTATTGGCCGGCATCATGGCCTCTCTGGGTGGCTCCGTGCCTTTCTTCCGGAGCTTTGCTCCCCGACTTTCGAGGGAGTTCTTCACCTGCCGTCAATGTCTAACGCAGAGCCCCAATTATGCCGCTAAACCCGCCTTCCGCAGGCAGTTTGCGGCTTTCTCCTTCACCCCGAATACGAACAACGCGACTTCGGCCGCGGCATTTGCTAGAGCGAAGAAGGCCTTCCCTTCGGCTTGGAAGAGGTCGGCTTCCGGATCCGCAGCTGCGAGTGCGATTGAGAATGGAGCTCCCAAGTCTCGATCGCGATTTCCCGACGTGAGCCATAAGTCGGTGGCCTACTGGCTGCTGGGAAGTGCGGCCAGTGTTTTTGGTATCGTAGTGTTTGGTGGCCTGACGAGATTAACGGAATCAGGGTACGTTGGTTTTCCTGCACCAATTGGCCTACTATAAACTAACTTGCGATCAATAAAGCTTGAGTATCACAGAATGGAAACCCGTCACCGGATCCTTGCCCCCAATGAACGCAGACGACTGGGAATCGGAATTCGCGAAGTACCGTGATTCCCCCGAATTTCAGCTCTTGAACCCGCATATGACTCTCTCCGAATTTAAATCGATCTACTACATGGAATGGATTCATCGTCTATGGGGCAGATTTGTTGGTCTATCGTTTGTGATCCCGGCTGTTTACTTCGTCGCTCGGAAAAAGGTCAGCAAGCCTATGGCGTTGCGTCTCGCTGGAATCGCTGGCTTGATTGGATTCCAAGGATTTATCGGTTGGTGGATGGTGAAGTCGGGATTGAAGGACGACCTTTTCGCACCCGGCAGCCACCCCCGAGTGAGCCAGTACCGTCTGACAGCGCATCTTGGAGCCGCCTTCGTTTGCTATGTTGCTATGCTTTGGAATGGACTTGCGATCCTGCGGTCCCACCGTCTTCTCGCGGACCCCGAGGCTGGTACTAAGCTGCTTGACTCGCTCCGTGACCCTAAACTCAACGTCTTCCGTCGCTCGGTTGCCGGACTCGCCCTTCTGGTCTTTACGACCGTCATTTCCGGTGCCCTGGTCGCCGGTCTTGATGCTGGTTTGATTTATAATGAGTTCCCGTTCATGGGCAATGGCCTGGCTCCTCCCAAATCGGAGCTCTTCGATCAGCGGTATTCGCGTCTCGAGGATAAGTCCGACCTCTGGTGGAGGAACATGCTCGAGAACCCTTCTCTCGTGCAATTGGACCATCGCATTCTGGCCATGACTACGTTCACGAGCATCATGGGTCTGTGGGCTTATTCCAAGTCGCCTGCCATGAAGCGTCTTCTTCCCCCCGTTGCCAAGAAGGGCGTCCACGGTGTCGTCGCTTTTGCGTTCATGCAAGTTGGCCTTGGTATCTCGACTCTGCTCTACCTCGTCCCTACCCCTCTCGCTTCGGCCCATCAGGCCGGCAGTCTGTTCCTTCTGACTTGGGTTCTTGTCCTGGGAAGCCGCATCTGGCACCCCTCGCGGACTGCTAAGCTGCTTCAAATGGCGGCCAAGGCCCGTGGCCAGGCCCTGTCGAATGCGGCTGCGCATGGCCCTCGTCGGGTATAAAAGCATGGCTTGGTGAATCTTCGTGAGTTATTCCTCTTTTGGGTCTATTCCGTCGCCGTGCTATGATGATGATGACTGGAAAGACCAGTGTATGTTATAAGAATCTCTACTTCTACATTGTACAATATATTGACATTTTTCCTTTATGGATTCATTCTTGATTGACTTTTCTTTTTCTTTAAACGCCCCCTTTCTTTTCATTTACCTGTTGGTCCGTTGTCGAAATACACCAGCCTGCTTTTGCTACATGCTACTGGTTGACACCACTGGAGACTGAAGCATTCGGCATTCAATTTGTACCACCTATTTCAATAAAAATCTCGGATTCCAAGGGAAACAATCTCAATTTGGTTAAAGACAAATGTACAGGCCACCAACAGTCCGAGAATGAACGAAAAGTCCCAGTCAGAGTAAGCTATTCGTCACCTGCCATGTACAATCTCAAGAACAACGCAACAGAAAGAATACTGGATTAAGAGAAACACGCAATTTGAGGATCACAGCTTTCCAGGATGCAGGAAAGAAAATGAAGCTGAGTCTTGTCAGGCTTCGGTTTGGGGGTTGGTGGAATTAAACAGAAGGGGCAATCAACAGGACGGTGAATAAACAAAGGAGAATCAACAGAGGGAGTTTTCACGAAGAAAGGCAAAGACAAACATCAAAATCTCAGCAAAGTACTGGAAAACATTCGAAGAGGAAAGAGGAGAAAAGGTTAACGGCCGGAGCGTTTGCGAGCGTAAGCCTGGGCTCTGGTCTTGACCTTCCCATTCTTCGGTTCACATTCACACTCGCTTCCTTCGTCCACGTCCACGGCAGACGCATTCGCCTTTCTGGCTTTTTCGTTGCGAACGTAAATCCCAGCTTCCTCGTTCGCTATCTCAAGGGTTTCCTGGCGCAGTCTTGGTATGCATCTATCCAAGGGGCTGCTTGATCCTTCATTGTCCTCTCCTTCCTCCATCTCCATAAGCTCGGTCTCATCGTCGTCATCCCTTCTGTGCTTGTTCTTGTTGACTTCGACCCATACTGAATGGTACCAACCTATGTCCATCATACTTGCTTGAGCGCGTGCATCCATCTCAAAAGCCTCTAAGCTCATCGCATACAAATTGCGCGCCGCATTGACGACGGCATCGGTTTCTCTCAAACCTGCAGAACCGGCTTCATTAGGACTTCCGTCGAGGGAAGAGGAGGAAGAGGGCTTGAAGGCATATTCGGTCGCTCGAACCTGGGACTTGGCGGTACGCTTCTTTTTGCTGCCTCTTTCCGACTCTGGCACGTAATCTGGATCCTCTCGCTTTCTTTTGGCAGCTTGCTTCGCTTTCTTCACGCTGGCTGCAGTCGGCAGGTCTTTCTTGTCAACCGGGCCAACATGGAGCGCAGTACCGGCTTGATGGCTGCGGAAGTAATGGTTCTTGATGGTGCACGCATTGCACGTCTGCCATCCACATTCAGCACACCGAGTCATTCCCTGGCTGTTACGCTTGTTGCAAATATCACATTTGGCCGTGTGCGCTTCGACGACGACAAATTCGGTCAGCTCAGCTGACGAGTCGGGCACCTCGGGCTCCGGCTGTGTCTTCTTGGGCGAGGGATCTCTCTGGCGCGCACGAGGGACGCGGGGTGGAGCTGACTGGATCGGGGTCGGAGTGGAAGGCTCTTCATGGGTTCTCGCGGGCTCAGGAACGCTTCCTGAACCGTGACTTCTGCGGGAATCGGGGGACTTAGACCTAGACCGGGGGCCTACTCCGGCATCAACGGCAGTCGCCGGGTCAGCATCTCTCATATGGTTAAAGACGCTAGGGCTCGCAAAGAGTGGAGGAAGTTCAACTATCTCGTCCTGGGGCCCGACGGAGCTGAAGATGTGCTGGATGGGAGGCAACGGCAGCGACGCACGACGACCCACCGGCGGGAAGTCGTTCATCGCGCGGGGAGGAGTGCAAAATATGCTGGGCTCACCAATATGCTGCCAATACGGAGGCGGTCCACCTCTGGTATTCGCTCCTCTGCTTCTGTTGCTTGATCCTGGACTGGAAAAGGTACCAAGGCGAGGCCGAGAAGGCAGCTGTTGAGAGGGCAAAGGAGTTTGGGGCTGACGAGCGGCGAAGCTATAGCCAGGGGTTCGGGGACGAGCATATGTCGACGGCACTGGAGTTGCACGCACCCCCGGGACCGTGAGGACTTCTCTGGTAGGCACTCGACTAAAGGGAAAAGTTTGGATATCGGACCTGGTAGTACGCTCCTGCTAGCTTTGTTAGCTCTGAGGTCAAGCGAACCGACGATGACATCTATTGATCCGGATACAGTATCAAACGATAACATACCGAGCTGGTTGGATGAACAGGCACGCCAGGAACGACTTGATACAAGCTTCTCGCGCTGGGATGCTCGCCAGGGTACAGATCCATCATAGGATAGGGGACATATCGAGGCCTTCTGAATGCTTCATCAGCGCGCTGCTGCTGGCCGGTATGATCACTGTGGTTAGACATCTTGACTATGTGGCTCTTTTCTCCTCTGCTGGAGGCAGGGAGGTCCAGACACAGTGATAGATGCAGGAGAAGCAACACAACCAAGTCGGATCAAACAAACAACTCTGCTCTGCTGGACAGATCAAGGTCTCACTCAATATGAGCCCCGCCGGTCGCAGCAGGTGTCCTTCCTACTTCAAGGTCACAGCAAAACAACAGGGACGACGTCACTCAATGCGAAAAACAAGATAGAACAACCAAAAGAAAGAGGGAAGAAGGAGAAAGAAGATCAACACGACGAACGACGTGATCAGGCAAGAATCAATCAGGAAGAGAGAAAGGAAACGAACTGGGCGAAGAGAAAGAGAAGAGATCGAAAGCAATGAAGATGAAGAAGAAAGTAAAGAAAGCGAGAGCGCGCCTCAAAACCCCATCGAAACGCCTCACCGTGAATCTCACAACCAGAAACGGTGAATGGGAACGTGGGCTTTATCAAATAAGCGAGGTTCATCGTCACGGAGAATCCCCGTTCAACTATGCGGGCTCGAAAATGGCGATGTTGCCCCAAGTGAGATAAACGAGGTAGGGGCGCATCAGGGAATCAGGGCTTCTACTTCGTGTCGATGTACCAGCATTAGAGAACTTCGCGGTGAAGGTACCTGGGTCGCGAAACTGGATTAGGTGATGGGCCATGCGGTCGTGAGTTTGGTCTTTCATTTTCATTTTCTATGAGAATAAAGAAGGTTTTGCTAATTGATGTATGTTTTTGTTATTTCCTTTTTTCTTCACGATGAATTTGATTCATTCTTTGCCTGTGTTTTTCTGCTTTTCTTTTTGATTTGTATGGCGGTCGTGAATGTCTTTCTCAGTCAATGAATGGCGATCGGTCAGCCGAATATGCTTTCTTTAGTCTGTCTAGTGAGTCAAGCTGTGCGAAGGAGAGAAAGAGTTTATATTGTTTACGTAGGTGCCTAGGTTCTCGGATCAAAGAGACACTGAGACATAAACTCTCAGGGGGCTTTGACTGGAGCTTTTATCTAGGTAGCAATAGTGATATTGAAACTTGCTAGACCCCCATTGTTTGTATCTGTGCATACATTATGAAGAAAACCATACCAGAATCACTGGTAGCTGGGTTGAGGCTTCATTGCTTTTAGTTTGTTGCTTTCTACTGACAACACACTCTACTATTGGAGGTAAAAAGGATGAATCTCAATACATAAGAAATCAACTAGATAGCTAATATTAAAGCAAGGTCTAAGAGATAAAACATATAATAACTGTGCTAAGAACAGCTATAGCTATAGAATTTCGTACATACTATAATATCAAGCCTGCTGATAAGATCAGGTCCTACACTTGTGTAAATCTTCTGACTCGGTTGAAAGAAAGCTGATATCTGAATTCCGCCTTGTCTTCATCTGGAAACTGAAGTGTTACGACCCCTGCACCGCCGTGAAGACACTCTGGCCTTGATATCAAAGGAATAAAAGAGGGAGCTTTTGCTGTCTCGCTGCCTTGAATCCTTCCATCGGGTCCGGTAAGCCCGGGTTATATGAGGTCAATAGAAGCGGGAGATCGGTAGAGGCGTCTAGCAGAGTGAGTAAAGCAGAATTGTTAGAAGAGAAATCGGAGTAATGCGCCTTGGGCACATGGGTCGTCGCACTTTGACTGCTCATTTCCACTCGTAGGTGTGGGTGTGGTACAGGATATGCTTGGGACACGTAGGTAGATCGTCCGATGACGATATGAGAGGAGGTATCGAAGGGGCAGTTGAATGAGGGCAAAGAAAGGGCGATGACGTGTGACACTGGCCAGAGAGCTCCTCTTCTAATTTTCGAATATCCGAACTGTCAATTCACTCGCAATGCCTGTTTGAAGAGTTCCTCAGTCATCATCGGGTCATGGTCAAGGTCGATATACGGATAGACAAGTTGCAGGAGGGATTCGGCACTGCTGTAGGGTCGCGTTTGAATGCCGTAGGCACACACTACATCGACATCGAAATTAGTCTTGTCGGTTCAAACACAGGCAGAGAGAGGCAGGGGTAAGGGGTTGGGGTTAGACAGAAAGCAAATTCGGCACCAGGCTGTCCTCCGTCATACTTGCTCTTCTTCCGACGGCATTCTTTGCAAGCTCGACTGGTCCGATGTCTATTCATTTTCGAAGTGACTGAACTCCCTTCCTAACCCAGTCCATCTGTAGGTAGAGTAGCTGAACGCAATTTGATCTCCACCAAGATAAAGCCTGGATCTCTATGAGAAGCCTAAGTGCATTGCCACCTTGGCTGACGAGTGCTTGCATAGTAGCCAGACTGACATAAGACAATAACATAATGTCCACTACTTACCTTGGATCTGGGGATGTAGAAGCGTCAGGAATTGCGGACATCGGTCAGTCGATTGGTAATCTGACGCGATGAACTGACTGGTTGGTTGGCTGCGCGCAAAAGGGTGACGCAGAAGGCTGAAATTTGTAATCATCCGGTAAATTGGTCAGCACCATCAAGCCCAACATCTATTTAACCCAGAAGACGCACATCAAGCTGAAGTTATCAAACTTTACAATATTATTACGTTTCTTACCATCTAGATTCTTTCTTAATGCTCAATCCTTCCAAAATGCCAGGCCCTGCCAACACTGCCATCGTCCTGGTGGACCCATACAACGACTTCCTCCATCCCGATGGCGTCCTGACACCGCGTCTAAAGGATCTCAACGAGAGACAAACCGTCAAGCACCTCCAGGATCTGGTTCAAGCCGCACGCTTCCATAAGATTCCTATCTTCTACGGCCTTCACCAGACCTGCACGGAGAACAGCTTCTTCGGCTGGAAACACATGACGCCCAATAATGTCAAGCAGCAGAGGCTGCAGTTCTTCAAGGAGGGTTCGTTCGGAGCCGAGATCTATGAAGGGTTGCAACCAGATCCCGCAAATGGGGATGTGGTCGTGAGTCGTCATTGGAATAGCAGGTGTGTTGCCGAGCACTGGGAGAGGGTCGTGCAGGAATGATAGTACATGCGTCGAGGGGTTGACGTTGACTGGATTGCAGTTCGTTTCAGCATACCGATCTGGATTTCCAGCTTCGACAGCGCGAGATCACAAATTTGGTTTTCGCTGGATTGACAGCAAATACCTGTCTTGAGGCTACTGCTCGAGATGCTTTTGAACAGTAAGTCTTGGTGATTGCTCGTGATGCTGCTGTATGATAGGGCTAACGAAGTCGTGTTCATCTCTAGTGGATACAACATTACTCTCTTGTAAGGCTTACTTTATACTTGGCTCTTTCGAATCCTACGATAAGCGATTTCTTCGCTAACTGAGAATGTAGGAAGGATGCTACAGCGAGCTGGTCGAGGGAGCTTGCAAACGCAGCGGTGGACCTTGTGTGGCCTTTGTTTTCGCAAAAGGTAATAACGGTGAATGAGTGGATTGAAAGTCTGTGGTAGTCCGAGGAAGTGGTTGGCAAGATATAGAGCATGCTCTTTGGATATTGAGAGCTAAGCTCTGGATGTCGATGGTCGCTAACCCTAAATCCATCGTGGTAGTATCTATATGTGCACTTTGGAACGTATCATAGCAATATTAAAGGGGTCATTTTGGATTCAACTTGTCTTCTCCTGAACTCTACCGATAATTCCCTGTTCGGACGAATGCAAACATCATAGCATTTGCTCAGTTCGAGCTTGCGTGCAACTCGTCAACTCCGTGCGTAACTCTGGATGAATTGACGACCTGCTCGATTTGTAATCCACCTGAGCCATTTTTCTCCTGACAAATCGAGGCCCGAGGGTCGGCATGCAGAGAGCAACGAGTCAATCATATGAATCACCAGCACAGTAAGAACTAAATTCTCCTTCCGGGTATCCGGCAAGCTCCAAAGGCTTCTGACGATCAGTAAGACAACATGGATTGCAGGTCATTGCCCCTCTGATGGAGTAGCCCATCGGGGGAAACAGAACGGGGTATTGCCGACTTGATTACAAATTTGCCCGCAACTCCCTCTTCCTCTGTGCATTTCTCTCGTCTTGCGTGCCCTACCATGTCTGAACATGCTGCTGTATATAATTAAAGGTATTTTCGCTCTATACCATCTTATTGTACTATTGTCTTGCCAATGAAGGGTTTTCTAGATACTTTCGTGGCTCTCTTTTACCCTTTCGATATCTCCATCTCCTCCGTCGTCGTCCAACACAACCAATCCTACGTGCCTTTACGAAATAACCCCATCTCGTCCGCTCCAAAGATAATGTATCAATCCGAAAAAGAAGACGAAGAGCAATCCCCATTCCCAGAGCCCACCACCCCAGCCCCCAATTCGCCAACAATCCACCCATCCCCACCCCCAGCACCAGACGGCGGCCTTGAAGCATGGACCCAAGTCCTCTGCATGCACTTCACCTTCTTCAACTCCTGGGGCGTGAACAACAGCTTCTCCATCTTCCAGCAGCTATACACCTCCACGCTCGCGGAGTCCGCATCCAACATCTCATGGATCGGCAGCGTGCAGACCTCCCTGCTCTTCTTCATGGGCGTGTTCGCCGGCCGCGCCACAGACGCCGGACACTTCAGGGTCGTCTACGCATCGGGCGTCTTCCTGCAGCTGCTCGGCTTCTTCATGCTCTCCCTGTGTCACTCTTACTGGCAGATCTTCCTCGCTCAGGGCGTCTGCATGGGCCTTGGTAATGGGCTGGCCTTTAGTCCTGGCCTGTCTGTCATGTCGTCGTACTTTGTGCGCCATCGTGCGGTGGCGGTCGGGTTGGCGGCTGCCGGGGCAGCCACGGGGGGCCTGGTTTACCCTGTGCTTATTGAGAGGTTGCTCTATGTTCATGATATAGGGTTTGGATGGACGGTGCGAGCTGCCGGGCTGGTGATGCTGGTGACGCAGGTCCCCGGTCTAGCTCTCTATCGGCCTCGATATAAGCAGCAGCAGCAGCAGGAGTTAGGGCATGGGCATAGGCAGGGGCAAGGGCAGTGGAAGAGCAAGCCTCCGCTGGTCGACTGGGCGGCATTCAAGGAGAAGCCGCTCGTGTTCTTCACCATTGCCATGTTCTTGAACTTCTGGGGCCTCTACTTTACTTTCTTCTACCTGGGGACGTTTGCGCGCGATCGCATCGGCATGTCGAATACCCTGAATCTCATCTTGGTGTTGAACGGCGTCGGTGTCATCGGGCGTATTGTGCCCAGTCTGATCGGGGACCGTATCACTGGACGCTTGAACATGCTGATTCCCATCAGCGTCGCGTCGGCAGTTCTCATCTTCGCGTGGATGGCAGTTGATTCGGTCGCTGGGTTGTATGTGTTTACTGTCTTCTATGGGTTGGTTGGAGGCGCTGCGCAGTCGCTGTTTCCGGCCACCGCGACGACTATGACTCCGGATGTGCGACGTACCGGGACGCGGTTGGGGATGATTCTGAGTGTGGTGGGCTTTGCCACTTTGACTGGGCCTGCGATTGAGGGGGCTCTGATCCAGCAGGAAGGGGGGAGCTATGTTGGAGCGCAGGCTTTTGCGGCCAGCGCGATCATGCTGGGTGCACTGTTTGCTGAGGCTTGTAGGGTAGCGAAGACGGGTCTTCATTTGCGTGTCAAGGTCTGAAACTGTACTTGATTCGTCTGTACATAGTGTTTGCTGGCTATAATATCCGACCACATTGTGATCGGATTCAGATAGGGCTTGGGAGCTTGGGGCTGGTTTGTTATATAGAGATCTGGTCGTGCTCTGATCCTCGTTCTACGTGAATGACATCCTGAACTGAGAAACAATTCCTCTGCTAAGATCCATAGGATGATAATTCATTATAGGCCCTCAGTTTCAATGTGGCCTCTCATCTATATAGATAGTGTCTCAACCCGTCCGAATCACAGCCAAATTTGTCATCCTCCGAAATTTGTCATCCGCCAAGCATCACCCATCTCCCTGCACATCCACAGCGCCGTTCCTTCAAATCTTAAACCACCACGATCTATCAATCTATCAATCAATCAAGTAATCGCAATATTCCAACCCTTCATAAACCTATGACAGCCACCCCCTCAAGATCATCACGACCCAAACGGCGTCGTGCCTCGCCACAAAACACCCCCGCCAGCACCCGTCGCAAGCGGGCTCGTGGCCCGGTAGACAACCAAACCACCACAGAGCCCAACGAGAACAGCAGCACCACCAACGCCAATGATAACGACCTCTCAGCCCAACAAAACGAAATACAACCAGACATCCCACAGCCACCATCCGGCGGTGGTCTCGTAGAGCCCATATCCGCGATCCTAGCGCGCTACAAAGCATGGCGAAGTAAGCCGACAATCCCATCCCATCCGTCTCGAACACCTTCTCCCAATCCTACTTTATAGAGTACATGACTAGCTAACACCGCGCACAGAAGCAGGCGCCCCACATGATCTGCGCTGCTTCGAATGCCACCAGGAAACAGGGCTCCTGGAGGCATGCGAGACCTGTCGCCGAGTCTACCATGAGGCGTGCAAGCCGGCGGAAGGCTGCTTTGCGTCATCGCCGCAGCAGCAGCAGGAAGAAGCCCTGCCTCCCCGTCAATGGTATTGTCCTGTTTGCGTGCATCTCGGATGGCACGTCACGCCGCCTGTCCTGACGCCTCCGCAATCGCCTGTGTTAACGCCGGCGCTTGAGTCGGGCATCCCAGGGCGAGAGGGTAGTATACATGCGGATACTATGCAAGATGCTAGCAGTGCTCGGCAAAGTAATAGCGGAAGCCGAGAGGTCGAGGCATCCGTGGAAAAGGAAAAGGAAAAGGAAAAGGAAAAGCATACGGACGCTTCGCGGCGCAGATCGCGGTTCGACACGCTCTCGCCGCAGGTCGAGTCTGCATTGTGGGTTCTTTACCGCGAGCTAGAGAGCGTTCCTCTGTCGCAGCGGCGGATCGCTAATTTGGAGAATGAAATGGCGCAGCTGAGGCAGGAGGTGAGAATTCAGAAGAACGAGATTGAGTTGGGTCGCGCGAGTGGCTCCCAGGTGCGTTCCTTGCAGGAGGAAGTGCGAAGGTTGAAGGCGGAGTTGGAGGGTCGACAGACTTCTGTGGAGGAGCTTGAAGCTCTGAAGACGCGGAATAGAGAGCTAGAGGGGGATGTGGAGCGTTCGCGAGACGAAGTGGCTGAAAGTGCCAGGACCCTGGCGGAGTGGAAGAAGAAGTTGTCGAGTTTGATCGGAGACTCCTGATTCGTTTCGCTGGTTGCGTGTCCTGATCATCCCTATATGAAGATGGCCATTGCCTTGCTGTATATGAGGACCAACATATTAGAAGTAATAATCGTTTTTCTGTTTAAGATCATTAAGTCTAGCTACTTCTTTAGTATCCAATCTAAGAAGCGATGATTGGGATTTGAACTATGCAAAGACAAATGGATATCTTTCATTCTTCTTGTTCATGCTTTGTCGAATAGGTCTCCAATAGTCATCCAAATATCCAAACAATGGATGGATCCAAGCAGGTCAAGCAGCTACAGATTACATCGCAATCCCATCCGGAACTCAAGGTCTACTTTTATTCTTATCTTGCTGTATACAACATCAAAGTACACACAAGCTACACAAACACGTCTTCTCTTCAAATCAATTAAAACCTTTTCGTTTGAAATGCATCCCTTCATTGATAGAAAATTTTAAACATGCAGAGCCAAAAGTCATCAACTAGATAAGATCATCCCATGTGTAATGCCGCATTCATTCATAAGCTAGTTTATTTGTGGGCTGCGAAGGTTAGCGAGTGTCGCTCAAAACTCATTCAAAGGAAGTAAGGAAATAAGATGGACTACTTACGAATTCCCTCCTCGGGCTTGGGTTCAATACCAGCCACCTCGGCGGCGCTCTTGGTGTCCTGCGCCGTCTTGTCGTCCTTCATGAACGGGAAGGCAAGAACCTCCTTGATGCTGTAGTTGTCCGTCAGGAACATGACCAGACGGTCGATACCCATACCCCAGCCACCGGTGGGGGGCAGGCCGTATTCCAGACTGGTACAGAAGTTCTCGTCAATGATCTGGGCCTCGTCGTCACCCTGGTCCTTCTGGCGGGCCTGCTCCTCGAATCGCAGGCGCTGGTCGAAGGGGTCGTTCAACTCGGTGTAGGCGTTGACAATCTCCTTCTTGCAGACGAAGGCCTCGAAACGCTCGCAGAGACCGACGTGCTGGCGGTGGTACTTGGCCAACGGCGACATCATCTGGGGGTGGCCAGTGATGAAGGTGGGGTTGACGCAGGTCTCCTCGATGAACTCACCCACCAGCTTGTCAAGCATACGGGAGTTAGTCATGGGCGGCGAGCACTCGACACCGGTCTTCTTGAGCACGCGCTTCAGGAACTCGCCGGACTCGGCAGTGTGCAGCTGGTCACCGGGCGGGAACTTCTCGCCGGTGGCCTCCTCGAGGGCCGGGATCATCTCCACACGCCGCCAGGGGGCCTTCCAGTTGACGTTGTACTCTTCGCCGGTCTGGGTGTGGAACGTCGTCTCGTAGCCGCCGGTAACGTGCTTGACGAGTCCAGAGACCAGCTCTTCGGTCAGGTTCATGACGTCGAAAACATCGGCGTAGGCCCAGTAGAACTCGCAGGTCGTGAATTCGGGGTTGTGGGTCAGATCAACACCCTCGTTACGGAACTGACGTCCCATCTCGTACACACGCTCCAAACCACCGACGATGAGCATCTTCAGGTACAGCTCGGGGGCCACACGCATGAACAGGTTCATGTCGTGCTCGTTGTGGTGGGTGACGAAGGGCTTGGCCGTGGCACCACCAGCGATGGCGTTCATCATGGGGGTCTCAACCTCGATGAAATCACGGGTGTCGAAGTAGTTACGGATGTAGCTGACGATCTTGGAGCGGGTGACGAAGACGTTACGGGACTTGTCGTTCATGATCAAATCCAGGTAGCGCTGGCGGAAACGCTGCTCCTTGTCCTGGAGACCGTAGTGCTCGGAGGGGATGGCGTGCAAGCAGGGGGCCAGGAGCACAACCTCCTTGGCGAAGATGGAAAGCTCTCCATCGGGGCGGTTCTTGGGGTTGCTGCGACCGGGGAAACCGACGATACCGACAATGTCACCTCTCCGCAGGTTCTCATGCTGCTCCTCGAAAGAGATGTCTCCGGTGGTGTGCTGGGCCTGGCACACAACCTGGACCTTAACACCCTCGGCACGGATGTCGTAGAAAATCAACTTGGTGCCCGAGGCACGCTTGGTGTAAATACGGCCGGCAATGCTGACGCTGACATCGGTCTTCTGTTCACCCTTGGCCAGACCCTCGTAATCCTTGAGGAATTGGCGCAAATCGTCCTTGACGTGGAACTTGTGGGGGTAGGGGTCGGGGTGCTTGCTCTCGCGCAGCTTGTTAACGCGCTTGCTGCGGATTTCGAAGTATTGCTAGACAACGATCAACCATTAGCATTCAATGAATCGCGGACCCGGAAGGCGAAGGAATTGGGAAGCAAAGAAGAAATAAGGGCAAGGTATCTTAGGTAACATACGTTGGGGGTCAGGTTAGCCTCCTCTTCCTCGGCAGAAGCCTTCTTCTCGGCCTTGGGGGGAGCAGCAGCCTCCTTCTCTTTCTTCTTGGCTTCCTTCTCGCGCAGCTTCTGGCGACGCTTGAGCTCGGTCTTGGAAACCTTCTCGCCGGTGACGTCGTCGAGCAGCAGGTTGGCCATGGAGGCCTCGGCCTCCTTGACAGCGTTAGGTTCCGTCATGGTTGGATGGGGGGTATAGAGCGGGAGGGTGGAGGGGAAGAGGAGAATTCGGTGGGAGAAGTTGAGGGGCAGAAATAAAGCCCGGCTTGGCCCGTGCTTTCACGCCATGACTCACGACTCTGTACGACGCTCCCGGCGAGGTTCGACTACGGAGTGACAGCTTCCAGTCAGATTACCTTGTCATTCTTCTGCTAAAATAGACATTGTATTGTATGCCAGGCTAATCCTTCCACAGAACCTCCATTCCTCTCTGCGCCAATGCCACGGCCGATTGGGGACGGATAGGGCTTAGGGCTTAGGGCAGCGGAGTGGGGTTTCTCTACCCCGCCAGCCCGCAGAGTATCTCTTCCTTTTCAACTCTTCCAATCCGTCAGAATACATTCTTCCAAAGCCATCAGACAGCTTGCATAGTACATCCTTCATCAATCACCACACCTAAACAAAAGAGGGACGGGTCATCCAGTCGTTCATGGGCTCCGTCTTGACGCGGCTGCCGAAATCGTACACTCCGTCTGACTGCTCCTCTTTTTTGGCCGTCTCAAGCCATTCCTGTGCCTGGGTGATCTTGTTCCGTTCTCTTTGGAGATGGTAGCGGCGGCGCTGGCGTTCCGGGTGCTCGGCCATGAGCTCTTGGCAACGCTCCATCGCTAGGTAGATCCCGCGTCAGCGTCTCATCATCGGAAGAGCAGCTTGCCAACTTACCATTGTCATCCTGAATGCCCAGATTCTCCTCGATGACAGGGATCAGCTCCTCTCTGCACTTGGAAAACAGTTTGGTATGGACACTCTGGCAGGTGCAGTCCAGGAACCTAGAGCTAGCGATATCGTAATACCCCCGGGTGGACTAGAATTCGTCAGTCCGATGCACTACCAACGATACGTAGACTAGACTCGTCCTACCGCCATCATCTTCAGCTCTTGCTCAAACCGTTCGGGCCCAATCTCTGCAGCCGTCAATCGTTTCCTCTCTGCGTCTCGCCGCGGATGGTCGGGGCCGATATTATGTTTGTCCAAATAATAGCTTATGCGAGCCTCCGTGCGACGAGCGCTAAGATATCCGAACGCATTCTTGATGGCGTGGTCAAGAGTCACTGTCGCCATGGTGAAGGGCTTGTTGTATTCGATGTTGTAGTTTTCCTTGGCATGGCGCTCGTGCTCCTCCTTCAGCTCTTTCAGGAAGTTATCAATGATATACACGAGTTCCTTGTACAGACTGGTCTGGTAGTATTGGCTGAAGACTTCTGCCAATTGATCCAGAATCATGTCTCCGACAAGCCGATGGGTGGACTGGATAAAGACGTTCATGGGATCTATCCAATGGATGACACTCTTCTGCCGCATGATTTCAATTGCCTTGGGGTCCGCCTGGTCGGGAATGCCGGCACGGTAAGACTCCTCATTAATCTCCCGGATCCCCTCCCAGGTAAATGTTTGTAAAGGCTTGTCGAACTTCTCAAATTCAGGAAAATGGTACCCAGAGGGCTGGCTCTCTACGCTCGGCTTTACATCACGGGGACTATGAGGTGCACTGCGAGTAAAGCCATTGGTGGCAGGAGCCTTCCGTTTCATAGGGACTTGAACCGAGGTCATTTCGCAGTCCGAATCACCGTCGCGCTCAAGAACACGATCAGACTGTGATAGCAGTTGAACGGTCGGTCGGGTCTTCATGAGGGCCCTTTGGAAATCCAAAGCCATGTGACCCCATCGCTTTTGGAGGGGATACTGTGATGAGCCGCCATCAAAATGTGCAGTGATTCTTTCTTTGAACTGGTTGATATTCCGGCACAGAATGTACTGCACATTAGCGCTTGGAGGGTCAGGGAGTGTTTTCAGCTCAGCGTCGATACGGTCGGCCTTCGCATTGATTTGCTCAATAACTCGAGGTAGGCATCCCTGGATCTGCTCGAGGAGCAACATCGACAGTCTAGTTTGGAGGTTTCGTGTGCCAAATCTGTCTCTGTATGCCGCAAGCTCTGTCGACCACGGGCTTGATGCAAAAAAGGCCGCCTCTTCCTCCCGGGCTTGGGCATGCCCCACGGAAGGATCGGGGTTGTTCTGAACGACAAAGTATCCATGTCCGAGCGTGAACTTGTCTCCTTCCAAGATCTCTATCCATTGGTTGTATGATTCACAGGACTGGACTCGATCAGGCTTGGTCAAGACACCCAAAGTCCTCTCCGTGGCTCCGCGCACATCTCGCATGATGCGCCCTGCACTAGAGTTGGTAGCATCATCGGTCATGGGCAACGTCTGGATAACTATGCAGTTCTCCTGGGAGATGTACTGCCTCACCAGGTTTTCAACCAAAGCGACCAAGTAGCGCTCATCTTCAAACTCGGCTTGGCTGATCACGCCGGGGAGGTCGTAGAACGAGAGGTTGGGAAAGTTGGGAGCAGAAATGTCAAGCCGCACCACGTTGGGGGAGAATTTCACCTGGCAGTCCATGGTAGCATCTGCATTTTTGCCGGGAATGTAGTCCATTGGATTATGGCCGGGGTTCAGGATAGCGATCTGAGCCCACTTGATGGCTTCTTGGACGTCATTCTTGTTGGACAGTTCAATAAAAAGCAGATCTTCTTGGTCTTGGGGGGACCACGGGCCAAGAGGCTGGGATTTCTTGGGGATTTTGGTGAGCCTGTGGGAGGGGTCAAACATGTATTTTCCCGACAAGAAAACGCGGCAGGTCCAGGGCTGACCACGCTCGCTTTCAGAGAGGTTGATTTCCATGGGACAACGGGTGCAAGTGCCTGCACTCCTGGGGACCTTGATCTCAGACATTCCCTCGATGAGAGAGCTCTTGCCGGTGCTCTGATCACCGATGACGCAGATCTTAGGCAGAGCAATCTTGCTATCCTCGATCCCAATGTGGCGAAGGTCTTGGATCTTCTTGACCAGAGCCTTCATATCCTGGGCAATCAAATCAATGGCATCGTTGCTCTGGCCCGACATGGTTGGGGAAGAGGAGCCCTGGGTACTGTCTAGAACTAGTCAGAGAAGAGCCATTGAACTAGAAAGTCTGTAACTTACCGGGGTGGATTAAGCCGTGGATAGCGAGTCTTGTCTCTGGGGAGTGTGTACGCAACGGCATGGCCTGAGAGGGAGAGGAGTGAAGGGAAATGGCGTGAGACATGATAAAGTGAGAAGAAGGCAAGGGTATAGTGATGGAGGAGAGATAGAAAAGCAGGAAAGGAGTCAGGAAGATAAGAAAGAGAGTGAGAGGGAAAGAGAGAATTGGAAAGAAAGGCGAGGAAGAAGATGAGGAAGAGAGAGGACTTGATAGAAGAGAAGGTCAAGTAAGAAGGACTGAAGGAGTCTCTGTCCGAGAAGTGAATAAGAGAAAGGTAGGAATCTCCCAGTGAATGAGAAGAGGATCCAAAGGGTGGGATATTTATAGCCTGCCATTGCTGCCATGGCGAGTCTTCAGCGATGGGGGTCGACAGATGGACGGGGTGAATTCCGGGAGAAGACAAGAAGCTGTATAGAAATGCAGCAAATTGGGAGGGACTCCGACAGATTGTTGGTGCGGCGGAGGAAAAGTGTACACTTCTGGCAGCAGTTTATCTATCACGTTTCACAGACGGTACTTTTGACATTGCTCATTTTACTTTTGTCCATATGTACAGAACCAGAATAATGAATTAAAAATGAATTAAAATAAAAGAAAATACAATAAATAAAGATCTAGACATGTCCCACCCGAGCAAGCGGTGAACCATGGAAAGCGTCGACTGAGACCGGAAATGACGCTAAAGCGGTGGAGATGCTGTCGCTCGCTCTCTTCCTTCCTTTGCTTCCCCTTGCTTTCCATCTGCTCGACTGCCGTACCTGCTGGCAATCTTTCCCCTCGTCCTCACCCCTTGCATCCCTTCCACTCGACCCAATGCTTCAAGTTCCAGTGCGGGAACACACCAACGTGGCCTCCACCAAGGCCATCATCCTGGTAGGTGTCCCTGACGGTTCCCGCCGTTGGAATGAATCCCCTGTTCCTAACCAAACGCTTGATTCTAGGTCGGAGGCCCCTCCAGAGGAACTCGCTTTAGGCCTCTGTCCCTCGATGTGCCCAAGGTGAGTCGCATTTCTCCCCTTCTCTCCCCCCTCCTCTTCCTCCTCCTCTTCCTCCTCCACTGCCCCGCCATTCTGCCCATGATCTTCGCCCAACAATCACACTGACCACCGACCACTCTTCTTAGCCTCTGTTCGAAGTCGCCGGGCACCCCATCATCCACCATGGCCTCAAGGCCCTCGCGAAGATCCCTGATATTCGAGAAGTGATTCTGGTCGGATACTACGACGAGTCGGTCTTCCGCGACTTCATCAAAGACTCCGCCAAGGAGTTCCCGCAATTCCGCATTCAGTACCTGCGCGAATACACCTCGCTGGGCACCGCCGGCGGTCTCTACCACTTCCGCGATGCCATCCTGAAGGGCAAGCCGGAGCGCATCTTCGTGCTCAACGCCGACGTCTGCTGCTCCTTCCCGCTGGGCGAGATGCTGAAACTCTTCGAGGAGAAAGACGCCGAGGCCGTGATTCTGGGAACCCGCGTGAACAACGACGCCGCCACCAACTTCGGCTGCATCGTGTCCGACTCGCACACCAAGCGCGTGCTGCACTACGTCGAGAAGCCCGAGTCGCACATCTCCAACCTCATCAACTGCGGCGTCTACCTGTTCGCCACCGAGTGCATCTTCCCCTCCATCCGCAGCGCCATCAAGCGTCGCACCACCCGCCCCCGTCTCGTCTCCTACCCCTCCTCCGAAAACCTGGAGTCGTCCTTCATCGCCGCCGAGGACGAAGAGAAGAGCGAGGTCCTGCGTCTCGAGCAGGACATCCTGTCCGATCTCGCGGACAGCAACCGCTTCTTCGTCCACGAGACCAAGGACTTCTGGCGCCAGATCAAGACCGCTGGCTCCGCCGTCCCCGCCAACGCTCTCTACCTGCAGAAGGCCTTCCAGGCGCAGTCCGAAGAACTCATCGCGCCCTCCGCCACCATCGTGCCTCCCGTGTACATCCACCCCTCCGCCAGCGTCGACCCCACCGCCAAGCTGGGCCCCAACGTCTCCATCGGACCGCGCGTGGTCGTCGGTGCCGGCGCCCGTGTCAAGGACTCTATCGTGCTGGAGGACGCCGAGATCAAGCACGACGCCTGCGTGATGCACTCCATCATCGGGTGGAGCAGCCGCGTGGGCGCCTGGGCTCGTGTCGAAGGCACGCCCATCCCGATGGGAAGCCACTCGACCAGCATCGTGAAGCACGGGATCAAGGTCCAGAGCATCACCATCCTTGGCAAGGAGTGTGGTGTCGGCGACGAGGTGCGCGTCCAGAACTGCGTCTGTCTGCCGTATAAGGAACTCAAGCGGGTATGTCTCTTTCCCTCCCCCTTCTAACACTCTCCCCTTCTCCTTCTGTCTCAGTAAATCTAACTGTCTATCCAGGATGTTGCCAACGAGGTTATCATGTAGAAGAGTCTTGGAATAAATGTCTTTGATGTTTTGGTTGCATACATATTATATCATCTCACTCATGTCCATTTCACTGTGTGGAATTTAATACTCCTAGTACCTGTCTCCTACCTCACCCTTCAAAATCCTACGGTTATGAACTCTTAGCCATGATCCTGGTCTACTCGACGATTACTGCGTCTCCGCTTATGAACTTAAACCCACTAATTTACGGTCGCATTATACGCGACCAATTTGGCTAGTCTGGAACCTCAGCAGTTGGACCATGTCAAACCAACCTCCTTCGAATTTACTTGCTCAATAGCGTTCTCTCATATTTCCAAAAAATGCATTAAAAACACAATAAATCGAAATAAACGTAACAACCCTCGCTGGACTTGAAAAGAAGAAAAGAAATACATCCCAATGACGCCATCCGCAGCAATCATGAATATCACTATCCAAAATACACGAAGCCCCGGGGCCTTTTTGCGATGTCAATGTTCGTAACACATCATATCGAAAGGGAGAAAAAAAAATGAAGATCACGACGGGCTGAATGGTTGATAACTAGCTAGCTCAACTAGCCAACCAACCAGCCAGCCAATCAATATAACTTCCCAGTAGCGTACAGTTACACTCTTTTCCGAACGAGACAAGATAGGTAGAAAATGTACCCGTACAAGCACAGCACAGCACAGTGTAACATATCTACCGATAAGCAGCCGGATCGTAACCCGTCTGCTCGGCTGGATGATTATATCCATCATAGGCACTGAAACGCACACGCGGGGTCCGCCGCTGGCTCAGGGCGGGGGCAGTCTCCGCATAGTCCTGCGCATCGCCGGCATGGTACTGCTCGAGGGAGGAATTGGCGCCGTAGACGGGCGGGGGAACGCGCTGGTTGCCCGCGCCGCCGGAGACCATGGGGTCAGGGATGTTGTAGAAGTCATCGGAGGGCTGGTGCGAGTGACGGAAGGCCGGGTGGCGGTCATCGTCGGGGTGGGCGTAGGGGTTGGGGCCGGAGCCGTAGGGACCCATGCCGGTGGACATGATGCTGCTGTCGCGGTTGTGCATCTTGTAGTCGTTCAGGGCGGTGCTGGAGGCCATGGGGTCGTAGGCACCGAGACGGGTCTGGCGTCTGCGAACGATGACGTCGAGGGCGATGCCGGCGAGGTGGGTGGCCGTGCCGATGACGGTGAAGGCGTACAGGGCCTTGTAGATGCGGCAGACGTTGATCCCGGTGGAGGTGCCCCAGTAGGTGGCATTGCAGGTGGTGAGGATGGTGTGCGACATGCTGTAGCTCATGAGGCCGAGGGAGATGAGCCAGAGGAAGAAGAGGATGGAGTTGGTGGTGGCGGAGAGTATTGGGGAGAGGCCATAGCAGCAGTGCGTGATAGTGGTGAGGACGAAGTTCAGGAGTGATAGAACGGAGGAGATGAGGAGCTGCGAGGTAGAGAGGTCCCGTTAGCTAGGTTTGCGGCAGGCTGGGAGAGGTTAAAATGGCAGCCTTACCACTAAGAAGGCCCACGGTAGCTTATGGCTACTCTTGGATAGATTGGAGATAAAGACGGCCAGAATGATTGCGACGAGGAGCGCCGAAAGGAAGTTCAACCCCCGAATGACATGAAAGGGCAGCGCAGGGTAGGCTGACGGCTTCACGGATTTGGCACGAATGGCTCGCATGATGCTGGGGTGGGAATAATGAGATTAACTCCAGTCGCCGCAAGTGGAGAAGAGCGGTGCGAGGTAAACAATGGAGATCTGCGCCGTCAAGGTGTCAGACGATAATCCAGGATGTTGCCTTCGACTGGGGATGTAAAGAAAAGCGAGAAAAAAACAACGACCAGAAAATGGAGGAAGACGATGAAGAAGAAGAGATGTGATACGCGAAGGAATGAAAACAAAAGCAACGGTCAGCCGTGGGTGAAATCGTGCGCAATGCAGCGCCTCCTTCGGCCGATCTCGACTCCACTGCGGGTGTTGCTAAAGAAAGAATCCAGTCAAACTAGCGGGTACTCAAATGCGATGACGACGACCGACAACAAGGCGCAGGTGTCTGGGAAACCGGGTCTGGCTGGGCCACTGGTACGATCGCAGGATTCGAATGTTTCACTCTTCGTGTGGAGGACCTCGATTGTTGCAGACAACAGATTCGAGACCATCTGAGAGTATCCAAACCATCGAAACCGTCCAAATCACCGCCTGCATTCTCAGGCCATCGCATCCCGTGGTCTTGGCACGTGCCGTGTCAACAACTGCCCGATCGGGGAATGGCTGCCTGGCGCGGTGGGTGCCTGGGGCAGGTCCCGCCCTACGCATATTATTCTGGCCTGAGGTATCGATCCCTGCCAGGGTCTTCCTCTGGCAACTACAGAGCCTATACTATAAATCCAACATCTGGTTAAGAGTAGAAAGAGAAAAGGGTTCACATCGCCCTATTGACCGTTCTGGCAAGTTTGGCAAAAATCACCACCAAATGAAGCTTTAATTATGAACACGAATACCGTGGTATATATTTCCAAGGAAAGCTGAATGGCTGAAGAGTGTCCGTGGTTCATGTACAACCAAGACTTCCCATAAATATATGGTATAGTTCTGCAATATCAGCAGTATTCATCCAGTCGTAGAATTCCGCCCTGCTGACCAATCTCGAGTCTGAAACTCTAACAAATTGATTACCCCGCCGCTCTCTCGCTGGCATCGACTAATGTCCTCGAGAGATGATGCCATCCGGTACAATTCCGAGATCAAAGAACGAAAAACTCCCAGAAGAGCTTCTTGAGCTTCTTGAGCTCTGAAAATCAATTCACGGATTTCATCGAGCTTTCAGACCTAAAACGCACCGTCACAATCCATCATGCCGTCTATCATCTCGGGGCCAATCACCTGGCACGAGGGCGAGAAGAAGATGCATAGCTTACTTCGTGTGCCCCCGCAAGACAACCCTACGAATCCCTTCCTAACCCCCAGGATAAGCATGTATCTTCAAACGTTCCCGTTGATGGCCATCGGTGCAGTGGACCGTGAGGGAAGGCCCTGGTCAACCATCTGGGGCGGCGAAGCAGGCTTCGCTACCCCCACGGCTGAGGGTTACGTCCAAATCAACACTCCCATCGACAGCAAATATGATCCTCTAGTGGATGTGCTATTTCAAGATTCACCAAAGGATCAATCGGCTGAGAAATTGCTCTCAGGCCTGGTAATTGATTTAGAAACCCGCCGGCGGGGAAAGCTCCACGGCAGGCAGATTTCCGGGTCTGTAGCCTCCGGAGACGAGGACAAAGCAGCTGCAAGTCATACAGGATTCGCGCATATGACGGTTCACATTGACGCAAGTCTGGGTAAATACCTGTCTTACTGGAATAACCAACATTCATCTGCTTACGAACACAGGAAATTGCCCCAAATATATAAATGCAAGACATATAGTGCCTGCTCTGCCGGAACCAAGACTGGTTTCGGATTCTCCCCAGCTAATGCCAGAGGCTATTCGCTTCCTTGATCGAGCCGACACGTTTTTCATGTCATCCCGTAATGGGACAGTCGACATGGATACAAATATTCGTGGAGGACCCCCAGGTTTCGTGCGTGTGGTGTCCAACGAGCCGAGTGGAGTTGTCTTTGTCTATCCTGAATATTCTGGCAATCGATTATATCAGAGCCTGGGCAATCTTCAGGTGACTCCGCTCGGGGGCTTCGTCTTTCCGGATTTCGAAACTGGAAATGCGCTTTTTGCTACAGGGAAAGTAGAGATTCTGGTCGGTAAGAATGCGGCCGCCGTGCTGCCAAGATCCAATCTCGCTGTGAGAGTGACGGTCACCGCTGCTCGATATGTAGAGAAATCCCTCGCTTTCCGAGGTATCGCAGGGAGTCTATCCCCATACAACCCAAGCGTGCGGTACCTGGCAACCGAAAAAGCCACCCCGGCCATGATGGACGGACCAGCCATCACAGCGACGTTGGTGCGCAAAGAAATCATAACCCCGAGGATCGGACGATTTCGCTTCCGTATATCAGATCCCAAACAGATTGGTTCATGGACGCCTGGTCAATACGCAACATTCTCTTTCCAGGAAGAGCTGGATATGGGTTATCGTCACATGCAAGATGATGACCCGTCGAGCCTGAACGACGATTATGTCCGGACATTCACAATATCGTCACATCCAGACAAGGACCTCCCGCCCGATGAGTTCGAGATCACAGCTCGCAAGAACGGCAACGTCACCAGCCATCTTTTCCGAACCAACGAACGAGCCGGACTTGAGGTTCCTCTGAAGGGTTTTGGCGGGGACTTCGTGATCAACTCTCACGGCGGACAGGACCTGATTCCTTTCATCGCCGGCGGAATCGGAATAACGCCCGTCCTTGCACAGCTTCCAGGCCTTGACATCAGTCGCTTGCATCTCTCCTGGTCCATGCATGTCGATGACATCGGGCTGGTTGTGGATACATTCCACCGCTTTCCTGAACTACCTCAATCCACGAGACTTTTTCTCACTGGACCAGATCCCCAGGATGATAAGGTAGTCCAACATCTGAAAGCAATCATGGCGACGGCAGCGCGAGTCGAGCGTCGCAGAATTGATGCTGCGGACTTGGACCTGTCACTGGCTGATGTGTGGTACTTCTGTGGCAGTCCTGTTCTGAAAGGTTCAGTTATGGACTGGCTTGCAGAAAGGACAGTATTATATGAGGATTTCAATTACTGATGAAGCATTCAAGTATACTGCTGGCGCATAGGAGTTAGTTATTCCAGGGACAGTCATTAGCGGTGCGTTTAGGATAGGTCGGAATATGTGCAAATATCATAGTATTGTCAAAATATCAATCGTAAAATAGTATCCATGTCAATCAAAAACATAATGTATGTCCAATTAAGCCGTCCTGAATGACTCGATCGTCGAGAGGCGAAGAAGGAAGAAAGGGAGAGAAGAAAGGATAACGCAACCGAGCGAACACCACCGGCCGCGTCTCCGCTGCTGCCTTTCCTCCCCTCAAAATCAATCCACCAGAATCACGGAGCTCCCCTCCGTTTATAATCACACTCCATCCTCCTCTCCAACCTCATCCTTTTCTACAATTGAATCCAACGGTCTCAACCCCCCAGCGACCCAAGAGGATTGAGCCGAATTGCCTCCGACCCAGCGGGCTCCAATTCTACCCCGCGCTACCTTGCCTTATCTCCATCTATCCATCCTCTCCTCCAACCTACCTACACCACCCAAACGCAAACCGCCCACCATGTCCACCTACGAAGGCAAGTCCTTCCCACCTCCCATCCAAAAAAGATTCCTCAAACTAACACCCACCCTCCCAACCAGTCGAACACAACACCACCGACCCCTCCACAAGCGCGTCCTCCGCGCGCCGCCGCCGCCCCGACCTCTCCACCTTCTTCGCGACGCTCTCCGAAATCAGCCCCGACGAGACCGGCCGCTCCCGACCGCACGCCGTCCCAGTGCCCCACGACGTCAGCGCCGCGTTCTACTCCCTCGCCGAGGCGTTCGAGGTGATGCGTCGCGAGGGCCCGGGAGCCGCGGAATCAGGCGAAGGCGCTGAGGCCGGGACCGAGACCGGGACCGGAACTGGAGGAGATCTGTTGACGCAGATGATCCAGTCGTTGTTGAGCGAGGCGGAAATGCCGCCGAAGGAGGTGGAAGGGGCGAGTGAGGAGTTTTGTGATGGTATGTATAAGACAAGTCCTGGGGTGGTATTCTGGGCCTGGGAGGCTAGGAGTCTGTCCTGCTTTTGTTTTGCGGAGTTGAGGAGCGTGGTTTGCTGATTATATGTGCTGTCTGGTGTAGTGCTCGATCGCGTCCCTCGCAAATCTCTAAAGCCCGACCAGACCTGTCCGATCTGCAATAATCCCTTCCTGGAGGACCAGTATCCGCTTGTTGTGCGGCTGCCCTGCCATCCGACGCATCTGTTTGATATGGAGTGTGTGCGGCCGTGGTTGCGCCTGCGGGGGACGTGCCCGCTTGACCGGACGGATTTTGCGAAGCAGGAGAGGGAGAAGGAGGAGGCTCGGAGAAAGAAGCCCGTGGAGGATGACGAGGAGGAGTGGGATGGGATGTATGGTTAAATGCGTGGTAGACGGGGGAGCTGCGATGGGAGTGGAGATAGATACTGGGAGGATGATCGATAATAGATACTACTGTGGACGGATGATATGATTGATGATATGACATGACATGATGTGATTGATGTATGTGCTGTCATTTAAACAGGAGATGCAAGAAATGCACAAGAAAAGAAATATCTACAGGCCCATAACTCATACGTACTTGATTTTCTCGCCAGGTCGATGGCCTTCCCTTTCCGTTTTAGTGCTCACCCCTCGCCGCTTTTTGCTCACTGAGTAGACCTGAGCACACCCTGAGCAGCCTAAGGCGATCACTGAGCACAGGGTGAGCGGAAGACTGAGTGCCCTAAATAAGTAACCTCAATAAACTGCACCCCAACTAGCGGTCTCCCTCTTGCCCGTTTCTCCACTCCGAGTTCACTTTTGCCCGTCACACTCCCCAAAAAACCCAGCACTGCCATCACGAAAATGACGAATCAGGGAAGCTATTTTTCCTTCTGATGCCCACGACCTTTTCTCCAGGAGGAAATACTATACTATCGCGCTGCACCAATATGGCCAGCATTGTTCTGGGCTTTCTCCGTCGAAAGGCAGCACAAGCCCAGATGTTCATGGGAGCGGCCCTGGATATCCCAAGAGTCAAGGAATTCTCGGAACATCAATTAACGCTAGTCTATTATAGATATTTTCTGAATTTTGATCCCGAATACCCACGTGGTAGAATGGCATGCCAATGTTTCACCATCAAAATGCATCATACTGAAAATTCATAATACTGATTAAAAGAATAAAACTCGAAAATGAGGACATAGTGTTGATTATTTGTGGCTATCTTGGCCTGGAAGGCTTAATAGCTACAGTACAAAGTCATAACAGATTCATTTTAATCGGGTTAAATTCCTTACATGGAGCCCTATTCTTTCTTGTTCAAACAATCTGTAGATATTGCTGGTATGATAGTCGATACGTACTACATGTGTCAGTAGACGTTATACGAAAAATTCGCACAGAAATCACTGAATGATATCATAACCTACGCATAATAGTATAGAGAAATTGTAGATCTTAGAAAGTCCAAACTGGCTCTTGGGATCCTCGCTGATCTCCAGAACCTCGAAGTCCCTGAACAGAATCTACTGATTAATCTGTAAAATAAATCTCTGAAACAGAAAGATAATGTATCGAGACTATTTAAACTCGCAAAGAGTGTCTCAATTCAGTAGTCTCAGTTAATCTCTTTTAAGTAAAAAGTCCCCAGTTACTTTTAATTTCTTCATTAATGGCCTGTCAAAAGAAAAGTCTTTTAGAATACGTTGGAAGATGATTTGCGGTTCGATATATTTTACTTGGTTGTCGCTTTTGATATCAGTTACAGACCTTTGTTTCAGACAAGCCTTGGATATTTGTTACGCAAGATAAGTGTAATCAGAGTAGACGCGGTAAATCTTTATTTTGTTAGTTTCGTTCATTCTCACAAAATTTATAGGCGGTGCGAGAGAAAATCCGGTGTATTTGTGATTCCAAGTTGGAAGCTGTATTCTGAATCAAAGAGGTTACTTTAATAGAAACCTGTGGTCTTTTGTGTCGTCATAATCCCAATTAGTTGGTGGCTTGCCTGAATTAATACGCTGACGTATTGTGCCTAACGGCAATATTCAGGTATCTACTATCGCTATGTAGGTTTTCTAGATCTTATATATATTGTTTCACAGAGCGAACTTTGAGCCTCGGCGAGACTAATGGAGGCATTTATGTCTGGATTCGCTTTTTAGCCATTCCCTTATTTGGCGGCTGCAGAATACTATATTATATTGCACAGTTCTGTCAGCGCTCCGCTGATAAGAGCTATTACGCTTTTTTCTCTTTCCTGATTGGTACTTGCCCTCTAGTTGCGTTCGTAGTGCAATCATGATGAGCTTGCAGATGAGACGGATAACACTTGTCTATATATGATCCTATTTTCGCTAGGAATCTCGCAAAAGCTGGCAATGCTGAATTCAAGGATCATAATCATGAGTACATTACTGATGCCGTTTCCACTAGCCAAGTGTTTCGTTGCTTTCTACTCGAGCTCAATTGCGATGACTTGTAGTGAAAACGATGTCGATGGTCTCCAACTGACACTGCGGGTTTGGTAGGAGGGATTTGTAGGTTTGACGCTGCCATACACAGTCCTTCTGGTAAATGTTAAGAAGCTCTAATGCGGCAATGCTGAAGGGCGTTGGGTGGGACCTCGACTTTGCAAGTGAAATAGAGAGAGAGCGATATCATTGACTGCGTCAGGCTTCGAATGGTGGGAACAATCCTGAGCGAGCTGAAGAGATGTGGTACATGTATCTGTTATTGATTGGTTGTGTTGGTTGAATACGTGGTTAAAACGCGGAAACAAGATCTCGCGTTTTGACATTAGACGGTTCGGTTCGGTAGCAAGGTGGGACCGATGGGTTAAGTGAGAGCTTTAGATTGGGCTGGGTCTAATTGAACTATTATGGCTTTAGGGTCCAGGGGTTGTGATTTTATCTCTCTTTATTCTCTCGCAGCTGGCAGGTTTTCCGTGACAAGCTGGCCGCATTATGATATACTCTTCTTTTCGTCCTTTCTTGCCGGCTGCTTAGATCCCATTATACATACAGTGCCGGTGAGTACATTCTACGTTCTAGGAGGAAGATCTTGCTTGTTTGGGCTCTTAATATTTCACAATTAGCCGCATTATTGACTGACATTATTCTTCGGTTAATGTCATTTATTGCCTCCGTAATAGACGTTATAGACTATGGGGAGCCGGTTTGCGGGAACCACTATAGCAATACTACTTTCCTGTAGGTGCTGATAGACATAAAGAACTCACGCGGACTTACTGGAGTAGTACTCTGCACACTGAGCGGAAGATAGGAATAGTTGTAGTCTAGACAGATAGTGTTATTTTAGTCTATTCTCAATGCTCGATGTGGGGGAGACGCAGTTGCAGGATTGCTTTTTATTACGCATATTGGCGGTTTCTTGTAAAAGAAGAGCTACATCGTTCATGTGTTAAAACGGAATAAGTAGGCTGTGTGGGAAGTTTGTATCAAGGAGTAAAGAGTAAAGTTCGCGGGAAAAAAGAGTGGAATGTGGGCTATGCCTATCACGGTATTACGCACATAGGGGCTATGAACTTTTGTCAGATTAGTAACGCAACGGTAAAAGTGTCTTAAATGTAAAAGTGAGAAAATGGCTAGTTGCACATTCTAGTGAGTGTGTATGCTTGAACGTTCCTGACATCGCGGTATAGGGAAAACAGTTCGCTATACCGTGAGTGTTGGCTGGCGTAATACAATTACAAGTGCGGTCTCTCGGACTGTTTCAATACACTGCGCCATAGGGACATACACTTCGCGTTTTGAAGGGGCTTGTATGAACCCGTATGTTACGGATTAAGAAGTTTCACATAATAGCCAATCCAGCGGACTGGGCAATGGGAAACGATAAGATACGCTGCTTCTAAGGGAATTTTGGATATGGGATCATTTAATTGCTCATTTACGTTCTGTCGTGATTTAACGTTAATCAGGTCATTTTAGTTGTATCTGACTGCTTAGTATCTGGTCATCATTTTTGCTCACATCCAGTTTTGTGTATTCAGGTTTCTGCATCTTACAAGGTCTACTATTAGCGTTGCGGGCAATACCCATACCGTGATACAGAATATGTTGCTTTACTGACGGAACAAAACTGCATCGAATAAATTGAGGTTTGCTGCAGCAATTGTTCAGTTGCTTATATTGTACTATTCCCCTTCTAATGTTTAGGCACCCCTGACCTCATTGATAAGGTCATGAATGCAAATATCTTTTGTCTGATCGGGCGTGTTTACTCGGGTTTCTAAAAGGAATTACTATTTGCACGATATTTCACCGGATTTCGTGGATGGTTGGCCTTACTAGCGTGATGACTGAATATGGCAATAAGACACCGAAGTAAAACCAGTATAGATTATCGAGCGGAATGCCCGCCCGGCCTTTCACCCAAGATTGTCGAAAGATGTCTGGGTGTATTTTATCTATTCAATACCCAACATTCGTAGTGTCACGGATGGATATGAAACATATATGATGCTCGATCTATTAATCTATAATTCTTTTATACCTACGGTGAGACGGAACCAGAAGCTCCTCTCTTATATACGCGTTGTCCTTAAACATAGCGTTAACAGTCAATTTTCAGCTTCCATATATGCCCAGATGCCTAAGCCCCAATAATACGTTGACGTCTACAGTTAATCTTAAACCTTGATCAAACTGAAACCGTAGCATGTCTTGACCATTTTTGGACGAGATAACCCGGGCATTGCAGTTGACATTCAGGGATTCTTCCCCTTTTGCCAGCTTTTCCTTTAGATATGTTGTTGACATACTTTGCTCCGGTATGCTCTTGCCCGAGGTATTCCTTGTTGCAGTTCTGGCTTGCCAAAGGCTCACCGAGTAATCGGCCTTGATTCACCAACCTATTCCGACCTTCTAAAATAAATAGACTCATTATCATTCGCTTGCAAGGGTTTTCTACTTTTAGTTAGTTATTCGGGTTTCCGCATTAATCAGCGTTCACATCAGAGAACCGTCAGCAACTGAGTGCTGCTAAAAATTAGATTTCTGTCTTATACTGAGATCAGCAAGACGCTTTGTCGATTTTATATTATTCTGAAAATCGAGTCTCAGTAATAGCATCCGAAGACAAGATTGTAGGTAAGAGCCAGAAGCTACGCAACACAAAGCAGTCATAGTTTCGCGTGAATGCCGGGAAATATACACACAATAATTTGGAAGCTTGAAGGCGTGCGCGATCAGTGTTTGTCTTAGTGTTTAGACTCAAGCTATATTCTGAGAACGGGGCGAATGGGTGACACTCTGTAAAAGGAAAATCTTCTATGTTAGATTGGAGAGCCCCTGCTGCATAGTATTTTAACATCCCGCCTAAGCGGTCAATGCTGACGACAAGGAGCTCCATTTGACGAAGGGTCCGTACAGTACAATAAGATGACTAACGAGAACGTAAGGTAACGTATTCAACTACCGAGTCGCGCCTACCACCGAGCCGCGCCCCCTGTATTCCCATACAAA